CAGGGACATGCACACCTCCAGTAGCAACGAGATTAGCCGCATTGTCGCTGAGCAGCGCTGGGTGATCACACACCTGCACTCATCAGGTGACTTTTTGATACAGACCCCTTGCATAAGGGCTGCAACAAAGTCCACCAACAAATGACTTTGAATGCGTTTCACTGAACATTATAGCTCTGCATTTTATCAGGCTGCCACACAAACTAAATAGAGGCAGTGACGTTGCAGTAGTGATGTTGCAGCGCACCTTCTTGAGGACGGTCAGGGCGGCCAGGGCTGAGCCAGTCTTGTTCAGAGCCGCCTTGATGGCTGAACTGTTCAAGAACGCCTGCAGAACGCCAGCATCCAAACCCCACAATTTTCTCACGAGATTAAAAGTGTTCTTGACAAGTCATTCTTGTGCTCTTCTCACAGAGCGCCCAAGATCAGTCCTGAATGGCCCAGATCTGGAGTGCAACAAAGTATTTAAGGAGCTCCCACCTCATATATGCGGCGCTGCATGGGCTGCAGCTTCAGCCAGACCACCAGGTCATTCTTACGGCCCATGGCCTGCGGCTTGGCGCATGTCTCCTTGGCTAACTGGCCATTGGCTTCTTCGGCTCCTGCCGGCGCACTGCAAAAGAGAGCAGAAAATACAATTCTTAACGCACATGAGATTATCCGCCAACCCGGTATACTGTACTCCTCTTTGGGCAAACGCCCCTGATTCCGGCCTCAAAGATTAAGGCAGACCCACTGGTCCAGGAACCCGCATCCCCATTCTAGTCTTACACATGCACTATAGATGTGCAAGCAGGCTGATTGCATGGCTGGCATTTGCGCACCTGTCGCTGGAGCTCTTGAGCACGTGCTGCTTCTCACGGCGCAGGAAGTAGGGCCCGATGCGCGCACGCAGTTCAGCCGCCTTGGCTGCGCCCAGGCTCTGTGCGCGCTGCGTGGCGCCCTTGTCGGTGCCAGCAGTGATCGCGCGCACAAACTCCTGCTTAAAGAACCGCACATCCCCCAGCAGGCCCTGCAGGTGTTACAGGTCCTGCTCAACACTCCTGAAAAGCTTTCACAACTCCCTTGATCAGCAGATGATGAAGTCAACAGGCATGCACGCTACGAAGGCACGCTGAAGTGCAGGAGCTACACATGCAGGCTGTGGGTGGCGAGATGGGTATTCAGAAGAGAGCAGTCATGGCCATGCATCAATTACATGTGTGTCCATCTTTATTGCGCGCCGCAAATATCGGAAGTTTTGGGCCTGGTGCAATTGCTTTCTAAAGGAGTGCTGCGCACCGGGCAGACAAAGTCCATGAGGGCGTGCATCTCAATGAGGTCGTTCTGGATGGGTGTGCCTGAGATTATGACCGGCAGCTTCACTGGGATATCCCTCAGCCGCTGCGCCAGCTGCGTCCTGGGGTTCTTGATCTTGTGGCCCTGCACATGACAATTTTTCCCCTCATGCATGCTTGGTAATTCCAGCAAAGTCTGGCCCGGGTTGGAATCATCCACAATCGCACAGATGCATCTCCTGCACAGAAAAACTCTATATGCGGACTGGGTTTTTACAAACCACTCAAGAGGTCACATCTATAGAAGATACTCTCAAGGGAAGAATGTTTGCCTATGCAGGTTTTGTGTGTTACGCGAGGGGCAGGACACCTCGTCCAGGATCAGGATGTCCCACAGTGGCTCCTCGCTGTCCCTTGATCCTTGCAGGCTCTCACTCAGAGCAGCAGCATTGTGCAGGATCATGCCATAGGTGGTGAGCAGCACCCCTCCCTTCCTCAGCACCACGCGGAGAGAATCCTCCCTGCATGAAAGGTGCATGTATCCAGCCATCAGTGATGTGACCGACCATTGCCATACCAGCATGCAGGGCAGCCATGGCCCTCCCAACCAGACTGCATAATGTGCCACGATTTAAACATTTGACTGGGAGCATGTGGCAACAGATGCGAGGCTGCCCAACACGGTTGTTCTGAATGCATCGAGCTGGACAGGAGAGAGGGTGATGGTGGATGGACTGTAGAAAGTCACCACACCTGGCGCATTGGCTGGTTCCATAGTACTCGTGGGTGAGGGATGCCAGTCCGCACACGCCGAGCTCCTTCTCCCAATGCGCCAGCAGGGTCTTGGGAGCCACGACAAGCGCTCTCCTTTGAGCAGTCAACAAGCACTTCACTGAAGATTCGTCGGTTGAAAGCAAGGCATCGTGTTCCAGCAAGAACATTTGGCACCTGTCAGTAAAGCCTAATGCGATTGCATTTGCCAGTCACAGGCATCTCACTGTGGCATGGGGGATGTCCCAGTGTGGACGTCGTCAAGCTGGTGAGAACATATGCTGAAGCAATAGGATACCAGCGGATTTCCCACCTGGCCTGTTGACTCTTGATCATGCCGGACATGAAGGCTGCACATTGCATGGTCTTCCCCAGCCCCATGTCATCACCTGCATGATGTTACATGTTCATGCATTACTTGGCTTGCGTACAATGAAACTTGCACATCCCACAGCAAATGATACTTACAGAGTTTAACGTCTTGTGATTCAGGAGGTCTTCTAAATTGGCTCACCCATGATGCCACCTCTGCCCAGTCGATGCAGGGACCACAGCCACTTGACTCCTTCCACCTGTGTAGCACGTGGGCGCTTATTAGGAAAGGAGCTGTATGTCTGCACTTGCAGAAGCGATGGTATGCTGTTGCAAAATTTTCAACGCAGATCTCGAGGTTTGTGTTCATACCTGGTGTGCATACAGCTTTTGGCTGACAGCACAGTCCAGCTTGAATTCGCTATTATCTCCAAGGCACAGCCCTTCTGCATCCTGTGGTGACTGCCTGCTGGGTGGCTGCTGAGCGCTGTCAGGGGTGTCAAGCAGCTGAATGGCAGCAGGGAGGGTCTTTGCTTCAGGCTGGGTGACGGGGCTCTCTGCATCAACGTCCAGGGCTGCTAGGCTGTCTGCAATGCTGTCTATTGCGTTTTCTGGAACTTTCTTCCTGAGCCGTCTAAATGCTGGCTTTGATGGCTTTTCATTACTTCCTTGACCATTAGAATGGCTTTCCATCCAGGAGGAATCCTGATCCTCCTCAAAATCGCTGCCCACATCACTGGCCATTGAAGTGGGGAAAGCTGGCTGCTCCGCTTGCAGAGCCCCAGATGCAACAGATGCCGTCTTCTTGGTGCGCAGTGCTGCAAGAGATTCCAGCAGAGCAGCCCGCTCTTGCCGGCTCTCGCTCTGCTGCCTCGAAGGGCGCTGCATCTTGATATGTTCTAGTGGCCAGTCAGGGCTTGCTCCATCTTGAAAAGTGAAATTAGAAACTAGTCACTGGTAAATAATGCTGTTATGTATTTCTTCTTCTGTGAACACAGTCCTCTCCGAATCTACAAGCAAGTATGCGATGGCTTTCCAGTCGCAAACGTAACTTGCAAAACAGTGGACATATAGGTCGCTTGATTCAACGGCAATTGCTATCTGATCTAGGGTAAAAATTCCTCATTGACAAATTTGACCATGAACATCTTATAATTGGCTGTTCTGATGAATCCCAAGACGTATTCACAATTATGCCGGCCGTTGATAGCGCCGCGGAAATACCAAATCTGACAAGGCATCGGTAGTCCAATGGTCAGGATATGCGCCTTCCAAGCACGAGATCCGGGTTCAATTCCCGGCCGATGCACTTCGGTTTTTGGGGTTTTTCTTTTATGGAGCTGGGGGGCCCTGACCCCTGGTGAGGATCTTGGAACGCTTTTGTACAGCTCCAGTTCTCCCTTATTGGCGCCCAGGCGCTAACAGGCAATCTCAGAGGTGACCCGCCGCCACAGCGGCCTCAGGCCAGGCTGGCCATGTGGCACAGCGCCATGCTTGTGACATGCTCTTCGGACATCCTTCCATTGCGGTGCAAGCGCACCAATGTGAGATCTCGAAACGGTAAGCTACCGCACGCAAATATATGAATTGTGCAAATGTATGCACAGTTTGCTAATTAATTGTAAAATCCAGTTTGTCGGCAACTCGGTTGGGGATCAGGCTGGTTCCCTTGTGCATCACCAATGGTGGCTTGATGAGTCTGCGACGAAGCAAGGGATGTGTGCGGCATACTTGAGACATCCGATGGTATTTGTGCGAACATGCATGCATGCGCATATATGACTAGATGCATTGTCTGTGTGGAAACCACGGCGGTTTGGGGGACATTACAAAACATAAATGCAAACAAGTGGGAGCGCCCGCGGGCGGCCACGAGGTCATACGCGAGCTGGGGGGCAGAACCAGTCGCAGGCCCGTAAAGCCAATCGCCAGGGAGATATTTAGAGATAAATTAGGGCCTAAAACGGGGCAATCCCCTCGAAACGACCTCTAGACTCCGGTTCGCGTTCCGTACAGCAAGCGTGGCCGCCTGCTCAGGAGCCAAATGGCATAGGGATGGGGTAAAATATAGAGATAAATCGTACCAGGTTGGGCGACCGTTAAGGGCATTCGCCTTATGGCGAATGACCAAAAATCCTAGGGCCTTGCTTGGTCACGGTCTTAGCAAGTCTCACCTCAGGGCACTATTATGGCACGTGCACTTGACAAAGTCAGGTTGCAGTTGATGGCAAGAGCAAGCAGGCAATTCTTCCCCAATTGCATTCACACTGCCTGAACTCAATCAGTCCCCAAACTCTGCAAGTCATTGCTCTGTGTATGATAGGCGTGTAAGCCTAGAAATCTCTGGGCTCATATTGAAGATCATAAATATCACAAATACTGTGCACGACAGAACCACACGGGCTGAGGCTTGAACAAGCAATTTGCACGTTCTATGAAGCCTGTGCAGCCCAACCTATGCTAAATAGGTGACTCTTGCAGTGTATGAAATCAAGAGAGGTGTAATTTTCTATAGACATTGCCCCACACACCAGCCAAAAAAAACAATGAATTTATCACTCTGACGACACACAGCGGCGAGGGCGGCCACTTTCTCTTCATCGTCACAGCCTTCAAGTTTACTTCGTTCGTCCGATAAGCTTATTCTTTGCCAACAAAGTTCAGAATGCCCAATGTACCCAGCACTAAACAAAATCCAGAAGCCTGGAGTCCTGCGCGTGACACAGTACATCGTGCTTATGACAAGGAACTCTGTGACCAGAGGGAATCTTGGATTCGATTATATCAGTGACGCAAGATCCCCAACTTGGAAATATTAGTGATCTCTTTACGCAGCCCTCAGTGCCCAGGATCAGGTGTTTTGAGAGCATGTTTGCAATTTATGATGGCTGGGGAGTCAAGTTGTTTGTCTGTCGTTGATGAAGCAATTGATAAGCATGGGCAGTCATGGTTTGCTTCATCAAAGAGACATATATTTGCGCAAGTGCTTGAAATTAAGCAGGGGCTCAAAAGGTCATTTTTTTCTTCATATGGAAAATTTGCGCTTACAAGGGTTGTTGCAGGCTGCTTCCCTGCTTGGAAGTGAACAAACACCCGTGCAGTGCTACGTGTAGGCAATGCAGACCTTAGAGTTGGTATGCGCAAGTGTTGGAATTTACTTGTCATGTTCTCACAATCCAGTATTACAGTCTGACGAGGGTACTCATTGCATCTAAAAGTTGCAAATTTCAGCAGCTTCATCTGTCACCTGCAAGTGCACTTGTAGCAATGTTTGCCCTTGTCAGCAAAGTTCTGTCTGCACCAAGTGATATTGACTGCTGCAGCTGCTGCGCGGGAGCCATGCGCCGGACCGGCTGCCTCGCAGGAGCAGCGGCGAATCTTGTCGCAGGCGCACTAGACGCCATGCGCTTGCTCTCATCGATCAGCCGTTGCGTCAGCCTGTGCTTGGCCTGCGGCCTGCACATTCATGGCATGATTTTTCAGACAGGGGATTGCGCACAAGGGCTCAGAGCACGTTGACATTGTTCTGTGCCAATTGTAGAGTTTAGAGCATTGATTTGCAGAGTACCAGACACGCAGATGCTTCAGCTAGGTAGTCACACACTCAAAACTTGTCAGGCTGATAGATCATTGGAGGCAATCGCTACGGCAAATCAAGAACAAAATGCATTGCTATTACACGCTTTTCTTGTCAGAAGCAAGTTGCGTCTGCAGAAAAGCTGCAGGTAAAGGCTGCCACAGTTCCTACCCCTTGTTGGAATCGCCAAATCCAAGCAACACCCAATCAACCGTGGGCATGGTGCCCAAAATTTAATCCGCCCCCTGTCAGCTGGACCCACAAAAACATGGTATTCGAGAGGGAAGTGCACCTGTAAGTCTCAGCGAGCTCGCGCTTATTGCCGGCAAGGGCGTGCTTGGCTGGCACAAGGTGCGCCCACCAGAATTCGGACAGCACCTCAAAGCAGGTCGCCCAATAAGTCCTGTCCCTCTCTACGTAGAACAGCGCCGAGCCGTTCACTGTCCACAGGTAGATGTTGCACCACTCGCGGTCGAATATCTCCATTAGCCCTTGCACCTGCGCACAGCCATGCTTCCATTTATCGAGTTTCCCATCTCATGAGAGCACCCAGTGCCAGCTATCTCATTCCCAAAGACAAGCTTATGTTACCCTGGGGACTCTGCTGATGCTGATCTGGTGATGACATCCCACCAAAGAAGCTCTGTCGCAGTACAACTGCCGCCTGTGGCCATTTGGGGTCCTGAGAGCCCGAAAATAATCACGTCCAGGGCCAGCTGCTTGAGAAGTCGAACCAACCCTGCAACCCACGGAGGGCTCCTACATCAGAGAGCTGCAATCCCCTGGAGAGCTCTCAGGCCAAGATTAGTCACTCAAATGCTTTGAAAATTCAGAGGGGTGCACACCTGTGGCATGTAGTACCAGGGCGGCTGTTTCGGCGGCGCTGCAGATGTCGGGCGGCCCCGATTGAAGGGGCACTTTATCTCCAGCACACCCGGACCGCTGCCAGCCATCAACCCCGGCATCCCTGCCCCTGCATGCAACAACAGTACAGAATAAACACAGCGCTGCGCATGATGGAACCAAGCACATAGACTGCAAGGGACACAAGGCAGAGCAAGCGCCATCAGCAGGAACTGCGATGTGGATAACAAGACCCAGGACAATGCAGCACAACTGCAACAAGCGCAATCTGCTTGACAATTGACACTTTGACATCGCATTGCAACACTCTGATGAGAACCATGTAGATTCTATCCAAGATCGGCCAGACAGCTACTCGCACAAGAAGACAGGAAAAGCCTGAATGCATGCACTGAAATCTCTAGCATACGTTGCCAGTTGCATGCCCCAGTACCAACGTAGGTGTCTCGTATGTCACTAGCACTGCATGTACTTTGCGAAGCAGCCCTTTCTCCTTACTTGGCGCTCGCACTGCCTTCTATGAGTTGCATCTCTCTCAGAATTACTCCAAAATGCTGGTGCAATACAAATGGACAGAGTCTGACCTGGCGTGACAGCGAGGCTGTCAATGAGGCCATCGGGCGAGGCTCCGAGCCAGCCATGCACGGCGTCGTCTCGCAGCACGGAGAAGCGGCATGCGCCGACGAGGTGTCCAGTCAACTGCTCGTAGCGCGCGAGCGCGGAAGCTTCCTGCCGGGTCCCCCAGTCGGTCGCTTCATTCCCCGCGAAGCCAGCCCGCAGCGCCAGCTTCTCCTCCCACAATGCCACGCGCCCCTCCGGCCAGAACCTGAAAAAAGCAATAACTCTTAGTGTCTGGGGCTTAGCCTGAACAGGCACTTAACACGGCCATTAAATAAGGTGATGTTGCTGCCTACCATTGTATAGTACATTGCTGAGAATACCCGAGACAAAGAAGCTCCTATCAGATGAAAAGCCTGCAAAACTCAGGGGTTACTTTATCTTACTAGCTGTTAGATAGCGCCCCCCCGGCAAAAGTCCTCATGAGGCCTGTTGGAGCGCAATACTACCACACCACATGACCATCAATGGTGCAGGTGTGTATGCAGACCAGCTTCACCGCAAACTCCTTTTGCATGTGAACATTATATTATGAGTTTACCACTGCGATTCGCTACAGGCTGCCAATGGGCAGAGGTTGCGTACCCAAGGGCGTTGCCGAACGCTGAGGCTGTCAGGCGCTTGTCCCTCTCCGCATGCCACTCAGCCGTGCGCTGCTCACCCTTACCCATGTCAATCTGCTGTGCAGATACCTGTCACAGCACAAATAGAGCTGGAAACAGAGTGCATGCGAGAAAATCCCACAACAGCGTCAAGCGCATTGGACATTGTGAAACCAGAGCACATCGAAGGGTGCACACACCACACATGAGATATCCCAAAAATAGAATTAAGGACACTGGACATGTTGAAATCCACATAGCGCACGCAGAAATCCACATGCAGGGCCGACAAGCATGAGAAGCTGCATAAAACACCAAGCCTTACCAGTTCTGCATTAGCGTGCGCAGCGGCGGCCTGTGTGAACGAGGCTCGAAATGCAGCTGTCTCCGGCTTAACTTGCCGCTTGCCCGGAGGCTGCTCTATGCCATTCTGCTCCAGGTCCCCTGAAGCTTCAGTTCCAGCATCTTCGGCACCTGCAATAATGCGGGCCAAGTCAGCTTATTTCCTGAAGAGAGGTCTCTCACTCCACTTGGCCAACATTCCTCCGAGAAATGGCAAGTAAGTAGACCTTGCTGCGTTTTATTTGGGCAGCGCAATATGCCTCTGCAGGACATGTTCAATTGCAAGCAGTTCAAAGCGTCAGGAAATGACAATACATTAGGGCAAGTCAATGAGGCTTACAGAGTGACTCACCAGAGCCGACTGAGAACTCCTCCTCTTCCCCCACCAGTGCCTGCATTCCAGCGCCATCTCCATCCCCCATTGCACCACCAACATCCCTCCCACTGCTATCACTGGCACTAAGCGTGGCCGCCCTACTGACAGCATCAGAGTCTGACAGAGAGCGAGGCTGCCAGCTGTCGACCAACACATCTGCCAGGTCAGCTTCGCTCAGGGGCGCGCTCCGCGCGGCGGCGCCGACAGGGGTCATCAAGCGAATGCCGCTGTACCGCTGGGACGTGAAGCCAATCTGAAGCTCACTGATCTCTTGTCTGCTCGCCATCTCGCCTACTTTATTCCCCAATAAAGCGCCCTGCGCTGGGAGATTGATTGTTGGTCCCTCCGTGCTGAGGCCATCCATCCCGACAAGGTTCTTGAGGCTGGAAGTGCTGCGCCAATTCGGGGGGCCCTGCGGGGGTTCTCTGGGGAACCCCCGTCCAGAGGTGGAGGCCTCCGCTGAGTCGTGCGCCGACTGCTGCGCGCCTGATCTGGCCGCCATTGTCTCAGCTGAGGAGAGCGCTGTTCTGTCGTCATGAACCCCAGTCTGCGCATTTGAGGCCGGCACCATCCGTGGCAGCATGCGGGCCATCTGCAGAGCGGCACGGGGCGTTGCCTCTACCGGTACTGACCGCCCTGTGCGGGGATTTCTCTGCAGCGCCTCTGCTTCGCACATGGCGTCTGCGATCAGCGCCTGCCGCTTTTCTAAGGGCATCTGATCGTATCCCCTGAATCCTGTAGAGTGCAAAACCCTGGATAAGTGCAATGGACACATTTCTTCAACAGCTGCATGGCAGGCATCCAAGAAGACTGATTATGGCGTGTGAAGCTATATGCACTGAGATGGCAATGCCATGCACAATCCGAGGGCAATTAGCAATGCCGTGCGAGGATTGAAACCTACCGGCTGCCAGCTGAGAAAAGGCAGAGGGCGCGCCGCAGGACAGGAGCTCCTCAGAGCGCCGCGCTGCAAAATCTGCAAATCGCTCAGCCGTGCCCTGCACCGTTGCATGATGCATAACATCAGCCGAAACATCTGTGGACTCGGTGCTGCATGCATGGTTTGCAAAGTAGACCAACATTGATAGAATCGTGGCTCACAAACATTTCAGACAATCAAAAAGAAAACACATGCCAAGAAAATGGACATCACATTCAAGTGTAAAAGGGGGCCACGATGGCGCATAGTTAGCTGCGTCTGCTTGAGTGTAAGGTTGGAAGTATGCCGACCTGAGTGTTTGGAAGGCCCTTGGACAGCTCATAGCGGAGGCCAGCAAGCAGACTCTTCACCACATCTTCCTTTGCAGGAGCTTGTGATGGCCGCACAGCGTTGGTTCCCTGCTGGCTTTGTCTGAGAGCTCCAGCGGTGGCAGACATCTGATTTGTCCTGCGCCCATTGACACCCCTGCAAGCAAGCAATCCTTCAGGTCCCCTGCATTTGAGCATTTGCAGACACAAGGTGGTAGACTAGCTAAGCGGCTGGATTTGGGACCCACCAGACCCTTCCAGCCAGGCTCGCTGCGGGGCATCCTGTGTGTAGGAAGCCCAGATGTGCTGCAAACCTTCTCCCCTGCAGCATGCATATCGTAAGATGACACACACGTCCACAGGTAAGACAGAAAAAGTATATATCATATCCAGGAAGCATGTAAGCTTCACTCACAAGTCGCAGACTGGCAGTCGTCCTCATGCAGGGGCGGAGGCTGTCAGTCGAAGCACTATGTCCCTTTACTGTTATTTTCATCGAAGTGTAATGGAAGAGCTTCGCAGCAGTACAAAGCCGGACTTGATGGAAAACATATATTCACTACGTTGCCTCAAAAAGTACAATGCTCATGCAGCACATCCCATCCGTTGGGAAACATCGATGATGGAATACAAACATTCTACACTAGGCGGAACTGTAGACGATGCAGGGAGGATGCAAGAAATAGCACAGTTGCCAGCGTGGCACTAACATTAACGTCACCTACATCTGTTTGGGCGTCTCTGCGGTTCTTGCACGAAATTCTGCACCACACCAATCTTATCATCTGAGAAACCAGTAGCATTGAGATCTGAGAGTCTAATCTTTGCCGGTTCGTTCCGAGGGACTCACAGCACATCCGTGCTCACAGCACCCAGCCTTCTGCCAAAGTCACTGTTCAGCACTCGCCAAATGGCACCCAAGGCATTCCAGTGGGTGAAGCCCGAGGTGAGAACTTCTTTAATGGAAGTGCGAGAGCTGCTCCATCTCCCTGGTGCACTAGCGTCAAGCCTAGGGCAACACATTGTTTTCCCTTCTACTACTGGTTTGCGTGGTCGCCTTAGGCTCTTTTGTCTTACGTGAAACTTGAGGGTGTTCTGCAGATCTATCCTCTGTTCGCTGCCCTGGGCCTGGGTATCGGCGCCTGTGTCTACTCCAGCACAAGGAATTTCCTGCACTCCCCAGAAGTCAGGTGCGGGTTCTGAAGTCTATGTTGATCTTCTCGACAAAGACATTTGCTGCGTACATGTTTTTTTATGGAAGGGATAGCCATTTCACAAAGAGGCCGTGCTGTATATGCGCAGGGTATACAAGACCTCTAGAGCTGATGGAGCTTCAGAAGACCCCGCTCTGGTGGCTGCTGGAAAGAAGTATAAGACGTCCTTCTACCGCATGCTGGGAGACGTAAGTTTGACACGTGATTTCTTGCAAACGAAACCTTGCTTGTGCGGCCTGGAGTGCTATCTTCACCCCCTTGCCAAGTACACCAGTCTGAGGCAAATATTTTCTGTTCTGCTGCAGATCAAGCAGGGAAAGACTGGGATCTTCTGAGCGCAGCGCAGTGCTGAAGCTGGCACGCGATACGTCTCAGTACTGACTATTTCAGGAGGCGGGCTGTAGAAAGGCCCTGAGACAGGGTCCTCAGACGGTGTCGTTGGTGGCTCCTGCATTTCTTTTCTGCTAATGGCGACTTCAGTTCAGCAGTGGATTAAGAGATCTCCAGGCACTGCTTGCAGCCACTCGGGTAATGCCATTGACATATATTTTGTTCTCTATTCGGTTCATAATGAGAGTTTCACTATGCCATGTTCGACTCTCAATCAAGTTCTCTGAAAGATGCATATGGTGGGAGACGGGACCATTGTAAATCTTCTGCAGATTGTGATTGTCACGTGACACGTTACATTTGATAGATTTTAATCAGCACCTCAAGTGCACAGCCTGGTTGCGCACAAGCAGCCAGCTAGGCTTGTCTGCCACTGATGGAACATGCAATGGTTAGTCAATAATACACCAGACAACATTGTCATCTGGGTCTCTCTTCACTTTGACCCTGTAATACAGCTGGGATCAAGGCCTGTGCTGTAGCAGAGTCCACTGAAAATCCAACAGTACATAGCTCAATTTCTGTTGAACAGCAAGTCACTGCCAACAAGATATCCAAACTGATGAAGAAGACATGTCCTCGAAAATTCAAGTCACCACAGCCTCGATGGATTGCACCATCCAACAGCCGCTGCCGCGCATGCACATGTGCCACAAGAACTTGTGCGCCTTGTCCGAGTGCTCCAATGCAATGTCTGGCAGCGGCAGAACCTCAGCCTCCTGTGTCATCCTCTGCAGAGATCCCAGTGATGCCATGCCCAGCTTTGCCTGTCATTTTAAGCACAGCACCATGAGCAAGGGGCATCAAGGTGATACTTTCAGAACGTGTAGGTCGCACAAACAATGCACTAAAGCTGAGAACGGCACACAATTTGGCAATCACCGCCCCTTGTGTGACTGGTTCTACATGTGACGCCATCCCTCTCAGAGAGTCCTTTCAGATACACCATCCTCTGAAAAGCCCTAAATGCCACATTCAATCGATCGCAGCAAGTTTCCACCTTTCGGAAGGTTGCTCGGGACACTGGAAAAGAATGCGTGACAGGAGGATTCAAGAGAAGGGAAGAGATGCTAATACCAACCTCAGTGTGGTTGATGAGAAGCTGACTGGGCCCCTGCATGAAGCTGTGCATCAGCTTGGGCAGCTGTGAGCCTGGCCTGGCGCCTGGGAACAGCATGTACTTGCAAGCGTCGTGCAAATTCGCCCTCTGCAGAGCCGCCATCTGCGCCAGAATTATACTCTCCGGAGACGCCCTGCACCAGCAGTGGTGCATGATTCTTTATTCACTTGAGGATCTGACACAGTTCCACGTCTGCTCCAAGACAAGGCCACCAGTTGTAATACCCACAATGCACCTGCAAAGATGATCCATCATTGCCCGCCCTCACATAAGTTGCTTACTTCATGTGTCCTCGTTGTGTTTGATGACAGAATCTTATTTGTCCTTCTTTGATTTGAAAGGCAAGCGGACAGGATGATGGTGCACACCTGGGGTGAGGCCTGGTGGGCAGCGGGTAGTCGCATGAATCATCACGCTTGATCGACTGGACACACCAGCGGCCGTCCTGCTGAGTCAGCGTCCAGATCAGCACTGCCTCCTCCCCTGCCCGCGCAGTGATGGCCGTCCTCTGCACAAAGGTGCCATGTCCCAGCTGCAGTGAGGAGAGCACCTGCGGCAACGAGGATGACACATCAGAAGCCCAGGAACATAAAAGGTAAGTGGCAATTAGAGCTGTTACATGCAGAGCCATGTAGCTTGGGCATGACTGCTGCACGAGGGAATGCTTCTGGCAACAGCAAACAGCAATACAGGACTTCAAGGGCTTTGTTCCAAGATCCAAGAGAAGCAATATTTTGGCCACCTGGCATCTGCGCAGCAGATGTGCCGGGAGGACTCGCCTTGCGCCAGCATCTAGCACATCTGCACAAAGCATCCATCAGCGTCAGTTGTTTATATCACAAGCATGGCGAAGCACTGCAGATACAGGTAGATCACTGCATAGCAATGATATTCAATCTTTCAGTGAGCTAGCTCAGCATTGCGGGGCAAGCAGGTCTGGAAGCTCACCCACAAAATGAGAGAGGGGCCCATCCTCAATGCATGGCTTCCCACCAACAAGCACAACCTGTCGCTCTCCAGGGCCGAGCTTCACCCGGTTCACAGGAAAGTGCTCCTCAAAGCTGCACAATGGGCACCATACCAACGTTAGCATACCATGTCTCTTGACGGCGCAGAATCTCCAATTTCTTGCCTTTAGGAGAGGGTTCAGAGGGCTACAAGGCGACAGAGGGAGGCTGGTCCCACACACCTGTCAACGTCCGCCTTGCGCAGGGAAGACAGGCAGTCTTGGATGACGCTGTGAGGGCTTAAAGTGCTTGTGACAGCCTGCATATGGCCAAAAATAGCTTATTGAAGGGCTTGTTGGTCTCCAGATCCCTCTCTAGACTAGCTGTATTCAAGCTGTTCATCCTAGAAAGATGCTAGCCCTCTCGACCTCGATGCCAATTAGGATGAAAATACTTACCTTTGCTGACTCTTTGCAAAATGTCCTCGATATAAGTCTCCTCTTGTGTAAAAGCCTAGTAAACGATCTGGGCTGGGACACAGTGTTGTGTGGAACGAAAGGTCGCTCAAGACAAGAATTTGTCAACAAAGCTGAAGCCATTTAGAGAGACACGTATGCATTATCGTTAAACATAGGGTGGGCCACATTTGAAAGTGCGGTGTGGTCTATGTGGATGTCGAGGTCCTCAGCTCTCTCAGTGTTGGAAAAACTCATAAGGTCTCGGAGTTTTTGACAGTGAGAGTTGGCATTCTGAGCATTCGATATTAGCTGTCACACAAGCATACATCTGCATTGAGTTATTAAGTGAGGATCCCTGCTCTGCCAGAAGGCGTAGTCGCCGTCGTCAGGATGGCTATCTTGACTAAACGTGCTTGAGATAGTAAGATTTCTGTGAAGATAACCATCTGCAGCTCACGATCCATTTTGATCATAATAGATACCTGCAGTGACAGGAGTGCAAAACCGAGCCCTGGTGGTGGAAGTGCTTCGTTGTCTAGAACTCGAGCTTCTCGTGTTGGCCCCTTACATGGACCTTGCTTGCTTCTAAAAATGTGTCCATCTGTTAGAAGCGAGCTAAACACTAGAAATTTGGTGTATTCTTCACCAGAAGCAACAGGTCATGTCAGCAGAAGAACAGCATCGGCTGCAGATCACACTCCAGCCCATTTCAGAACGCCACTTAGAAGAGCTGAAAGCCCTGAACGGCGTCATCTTCCCCATAAAATATCAGGTGACATATGCGGAATATCCTGAAATCTCTTACGTTGCTCCTCTTTGAGAAATGAAAATTGGCCTGATTGAGTGGCTCACACATGTGCAGGAGAAGCTCTACCGGGAGTGCTTGCTTTTCCAAGGCCTCACACAAGGAGGTAAGAATAGACGAATTTCCTTTTGCAATCACTTCCGTGATACTCCTCTGTACTCAATTGTCAAATTGGTTCTCAATGTGTGGCTGTGGCAACTGCAGCGTTTTATGACAACTCGCTAATTGGGGCTGTGGCGGTGCGACTGGAGCAGCAGCAGGATGGCACAGCCAGGCTTTATTTAATCACCCTTGGAGTGCTGGCGCCCTATCGCAGCTGCGGCATAGGTGGGGTGTAGTGCATGGCACCTCCTTAATGCAATTGCGGGAATTTTGGATCCCTCGCAGACCACATTGAATACCCTGATCTGCTTGATGTCTGCCAATATTGATGACAGACATGCCATTTGAAATCAGAGACGTGCTTCTTTCTGTGTATCCAAACGCTTCTCCTGCCAGTGACAAGCTGCAGGTAAAGGTGCTACAAAATCTACACCTTGTTGGACTTGCCAGATCCAAGCAAGGTACAGCCAATCGTGGGCGCGGTGCTCAGTATTTACATCGGCCCCTGCCAGCCGGGCCCATCTTGCTGTTTATTCTTTGGTATTAATAGGGGTGCTGCATTTCTGCAGGCTCTCAGCTGCTGCAGCGGACACTGGAGGCTGCAAGGGAGGACCCCAACATAGTGGATGCATACTTGCATGTGCAAACCAGCAATGAGGAGGCAATCCGATTCTATCAGAGAGCAGGGTTTGAGATTGCAGAGACCCTGCTGGGGTACTATAGGAAGAACAGGCTGAACCCGCCAGACGCGTACATCCTCAGAAAACGCCTTGCCAGCTGATTGGACAGTGACTCGGTGAATATTTCTGGGGTGGGGTGGGGCTGATCTTGCTCACCATGGCAGAAAATCTGCGGTGTCACTGGCAAGCAATTATGCTGCATGTGCCACTACAGTGCTGACAAGTATTTCCAAGCAACGTGTTGATCTTGAAGTACCACACTCCACGCAGTACGTCTGACTGGCTGAAAGCAATCTGATGCAATTGACTAACTGACTGCGCCGCATGGACATATGCAGAACGGGATATAGCGTGGTGACTATTTTGCTTGTAATCGTTTCTCATGTCATCCAGCCATCATATGCATGTGAATCCATGTATCTGCCAGCCTGGTCGCTCGAGCGCTGAGCTCATGAGCGCTCCCGGAAGGTCTAGTGATGCATCTGCAGACGGCACAATTGGCTTATTTGCAACTCTGGCACACTGAATCTTTAAAGCAGCTGCAAATAACGACATTGACAATATATTGTTGATTCTGTATGGAGTCATGCAGCATGCCTTGATGACTCCTGCTGCTATAAATAGGGAACACCGCAGGATGAGAGTCATCACAGTCAGCTGTCCAAGAAAGAAGTTTAAGTCATCATCCTGGGTGCACAGATGCTCTCACGAGTCTGCTACATTCCAAATCAGAATACTGATTTCTGCTTGAAGAGACTCCATTGCGTCGCCATCAATACAACTTTGCTTTCGAGAAGTGCAGCCGGTTCAGCAACAATTCTTTGTTGCGGTGAACATGAATCTAGGCTTGCGTCATTCAGCAATTGAAAGATTCGATCTGAATTGTAGCACGAGCTATGCCTCGGATGTGCTCGGTGTTTCACGTCGAAGGTCCGTCGTACCATCCGCCTGATCTACCCAAGAGACCCAGTAAAGCTTCCACACTGACATTGCTCTTTGATGTAAATCTTCAATAGGCAAGCAAAACAAAGTACTCTTGCTGGTATCATCAATAGATTTATGAGGATTGTCTTGAATCAGGGACGCCTGGTCAGCCATGCACAGACAGTCTTTTGCTTCACGCAACCAGAGACCCATAGAATGCGCGGTGCGTCTCAAAACCTATCTGTTCATTGTAAAACTGTCGAATGGAGTGCAAGCAAAGGTAGTGATTTGCCAGCTGGGCCCTGGTCCCCTGCGTATATTCAGCATATCAAGGATGACAGAAAACAGAGCACATCTTTGGTAAATGATCATTTTCCTCTTGTCGTCACGATGATGAGAATCAGTGCAAGTGTCAACGTCAATGATCATGCGCAGGTCCAAGCAGCACCCACGGATGCAGGCAAGGCGGACTGGCGTAGTAAAGCAAAGCCCATCAAGGAGGGCAGCACCTACCCAGCCAAGCAGTTCTGCAGTCACTGCGGCCTCTGTGACACCTACTACGTTGCGCATGTGAAAGACGCTTGCGCATTTCTTGGCGATGGTGAGATCCCTCTTCTCCCGCCCTGTAACAGCCTCACATGCTATCCTGCCTCAAAGCCAGGAACCAGAAACAAATTTTGCGACAAGACATTGCAAAAACACCTTTGGGACAAGCAAAGGAGTGCTGTACAAACAAATGAGAGGACCGCATGCATGTATGCAGGGATGTCTAAAATCGAGAGCCTTGAGGAACAAGTTCACGGCCGCAGAAGGTGCGATGCTGCATCACTCTACTTCAGAGCCGGCCGCACATTAGCTTTGCAAATGCATCACTGAGCAGAGATCCATTGATCCACACATTATCAGCAGAGCACCGACTTCCGCCTGAATAGCAGAGGGGAAGACACAGAAGCTGTGTGCAGGGACTTGGACTCGCTGGATGACTTGCATTTTGGGGTGCACGAGGACATGATGTACGCATTAAACACCCCGCCGGTGCCGGGGGCGCAATGGACTGGAATAGTGACTCAGATCGCCATCGAGATGCTGGAGAGCGGCCAAGTAGAGGCAGTGGTGTGTGTGCAGAATGACGAGGCCGACCGTTTCTCCCCCAAACCTGTGAGCCTCCCTGCTGCTGCACTGGTTATATGTACCTATCTGGCCTTTAGTAAGCGGATGACCTCAAGGTGGGTCACCTATTATAGCATACATAGCAGGTGTGAGCAAAAGGCAAGTCTGTCGTATTGTCTTAAGTATTTATGGCCGAGTATATTTCTGCAAGACCCTGTGGCGCCTGTGCCAATTTCAGTGATGAGAATGCACCGCGCACAAGCCAGCGCGAGCGCAATGAAAAGAGGACTTCTAATCCTGCACACCTGAAGAATTGCAAGTTACATGTTGTGGACTTCCGGCTCAATTCCTAAAAGTTCAAGCGAAAGTCAGTAATTACAACGATGCACAAGCGGCAGAAAAGATTAGAGAATGAACACCAGTGTTAGACAGCTGGTGACGCGTTGTATTGCATGTGATCAGACAATGGCGGGGAGGTGTTATGTATGGCTGCCATGATTCAAAACTCGAAATTCGATTCACCAGGCTGGCCATCTGCTGTTGGTGCAGTTTGTGGCTCGCTGCAAGGAGGATATCTTGAAGGCCAAAGGAGTGAAGCCAACGCTATCCCCAAACCTCAATACACTGGCCACCGTGGAGGCTCTTGACGTCAAGCGGCTGCTCTTCATCGGCGTCGGTTGCCAGGCAATTTCCAGAGCTCAAATCTTCAAAGAAAGCCAAATGCTCTGCACCCGTCTCAGCAGTCATGGCAGACGATGCAGCTTTAGTTGACACTGCTGTCCTTATTCTGTTGTGCATGATACTTCGGCAAGCTCCTTCTCATGGAAGCAGGCTTTGCTGCACTACTGTCGTCAGCAGAGATACCAGGGGCAGTCATACAAGATGTGTTACCTTGCAAGCCCATCCCTGGGAAGCCAATTGCACTGCACCACCACTTTCAGCAGCAACGTGCCCACAAGGAACACTCACACATGATACTGTTTTGATAAATGCCAGAGAAATTTTAGCAGCAACTGGCTACAGAGCTGGAACACACCCTTCTCGTGAGCCACCAGTTGCTTGCAGACTGGTGTCCAGTAATCGAGCATTGCAGTATCTGTTCACATTGTGGACCTTCACAAGTGCAGATATGATGTCATCACGCATTTGAACCTATGCTTGCATTGCATTGGCCCCGGCTGGCGGGGGGCAATATAAATACTGAGCACCGTGCCCACGGTTGGGTCTTGCTTGGATCTGGCGAGTCCAACAAGGGGTAGCATTATGGCGGCCTTCAACTGCAGCTTGTCTGCAGGACATGCCTTGCCTCTTGGCAGCAAAAGCTTGTAATTATAATAACAATGATAATTGCATTGCAACAGGTGCAGGCGCTGCGGTCAGTCGAGAAGTACCTGGGGCTGGAGGCGCTGTATGTACTTGGCACTAACTGCGTGGACAATGGGCCCAGGGAAGGCCTGGAGAAATTCCTGAATGCGGCCAGCTCTGATCCTGACACAGTTCTGCACTATGAGTTCATGCAGGTATTTCATCTGCTAGCCTGTGGGGAGATTTCAACCTCTGCCAGAAGATGAATTTCTGTTTTATAAGTTTTGTCAGATTGCAGGCTCAACGGAGTTCAAAGTGCTGCCCACACACATTTCTGCATCGTGTGAAGCAGACAAGGGCACCTCGTTTCAGGGGGTGCCTACCTTCTATTGGGGTTTTTGGGCCCCTGAATAAAATCATGCATGCTTGGGACTGCGAGCAACTTAGAGAAATCCCCATCAGACCAACAGTGACCATCAGCAGACTTTTCCTTGGACTGCCATCGTTCTTGTGGCAAGCGCTGGGTGACAAGTGACAAGTGATGGGGCTTGATCCCCTTACATGCACATGCAGGATGCTGAATGTCACTGGACATGTGTATGCAGGACTACAGGGTGCACATAAAGCACCTGGACGGCAGCTTTGAGTATGTCCCGTATTTCTGCCTGCCCGCAAATGACCTCACGGATGTCATCGCCCCATCCTGCTACTCCTGCTTCGACTACCCCAACGCCCTCGCAGACCTGGTCAGCCCTCCCTGGCCAAATTTTGATCGTTACTGCTTCGAACCCGTATAAGAACCCTGGATTTGCGAAAGGAGGGAAAAGGGGAATACTTTGTTTGTACGGCAATTCAATGTGCTTTTCTCACCTGCTGGGCAGCCGTTCCTCCCCATACTACATATTATGGGCACCCAAGGCTGAGGCCCTCAAGAGTGCTCTACAATGTGCATTTCTGAGAACGGGCATCTGACCTGTCAGAGGCCATTTCTGGACACCTTGCATGCAGGTGCCCTTTCCAGTATAACGCAAATCATGAGCTGGCTCCGTCATTCACTTATTTGGACAATTTTCCATGCTGGTAATCTCTTGAAATTTTTTGGGAGATGATCTTCACATCCTGCTGAAGCTCCTACCTCACGAGCGCTTGATCTAGTTTCACATCATCCTTTCTGTTTCAAGGTGCAGACACACCTTTTCTTCTTGCCGCTCGCTCCGCCTTGCAATCTGTCAATTATCAACGTTCCTTTCTGGTGGAACGTGCGCAGGTAGTGGGCTACATGGGCGTTCCCTACTACGGCACAGACATGACCTCGCACCCGCAGTACATCACCGTCCGCAACGCGCGCGGCCGAGCCATGATGGACGCCGTGAAGCCGCGGCTCAAGATCCTGCCGACAATGGCGGCCGGGGATCGGACGCCGTTTGTCATGCAAACCGTACTGTCAGACGATGCGTGCGCCCCCGAATTCCAGCTGTTGTGTTGTGGGAGCATGCGTACTTGAAATGTCTTTTGTGAGGGTGAAGTTGTACTTGATCGGCAGGGCAAGGGACTACCTAATGTTAAATCGCATGCTGCTGTGCCTCCTCTGTCGAAAGCTGAAGTTCTTCTAGTGCACAGCATTCTGCATGCTGACACTTCTTGCTTTTACACACAGCAGCAAGAAGGTTGCATGTGAGGACTTGAGTGCCAGAGTTATCGATCAGGGCCAAGAAGGGCAAGTGCAGGGCTCATACTTGTCTGCACCATATCTGCTGACGTCACAATGTGTGTGTGTGCAATGCAGTGGGAAGCTAGGGACTGCTCCACTGAGTTTCTTATTCTTGTAAGGGCCCAGAATGGCAATTTCAGGGCCCATCAACCGTTGCTGCAGGCATGCTACTGACGAAACACTGTATCTCTGTAATGCAGCGGGAAGCTAGGGACTGCTCCCAACCCGGCGCCCAGATTCGTGGGCAACGCGATTGCGAAGGTGCTGACGTGGCTGGGCCCCAAGGGGCTCGAATTTGGGCGCTATTCCATCGACTACCACTACATTCGAAACTGGATTTATGTCAATCGCCACATGGGGCCGGCCCGCGCGCAGCGTCACACCCCCGAGTTTGCCAAACGCCTTGTTGCCATGTACAATGAGAAGGGCGAAATTGACGCCAGGTGAGAACCTTGACAATTCCTTTTGTCATGTGTTGATAACCTGTGCTGTCCTAAACATGCTGAGCACCCGAGCTTAAAATTCGCTTATAGTGTGTACCTGAATATTGGGCAGTGTGGATGATTCAGCGGCTGTCCTGTAGCAGTTTGGGCAAAATGCTCACTGGAATCTTGTCAGGCAGACCTTCACATGCTTACCGGTTCAAGTAGAGAAGTGCATTTAGCCTGCTTGCCAGTCTCCCTGCTTTGGCCCCTAGCAACTGGCAGCACTGCATGCCCAGAATTCATGTTTTTTACCTGGTAATATTAGAAGCCCAGATTCTGCATCCTTTGCGGCTAATTGTTTGGCAGTTGCCAGCTGCCTGAGGGGTGGTGCATGGTGCAGGCTCAAGCTTGGGCTGCCCTCAGCCGCTGCCTCTACCAGGAGCTCAGAGGTCAATGTGCAGCAAAGCCAGTCGCCAGTGGTCATTGCTGCAGCAGCTGCTGGGCTGCTGACTGTGTTGACCTTCCTTGGGATGCGGCTGTTTGGCAGCTGATTAGTTGCTAATCATCCGTTTGAGGGCAAGGGGCGCGTCAGATTGGACAGCTCTCAATTTGCTAGCAATACTTGGACTTTGAATGCGACCTCTTTTGATGCTTTTGGGCATTCATTGATGCGCACTTGCATTCTTGAAGAGGCTATGGGGCGAGTCCCCATTGCGTGAAAGTTGCATGTTGTATTTGTTGCTGAAAACGCTGTTGCTGTGGGACTTTGTGTGTTATTCTGTGCGAGCGGATGGCAGGACCTGGATGTGAATTGTTTGAGTACAGAGTTCTGAGAGAATGACGCGATTGCAGCAGAAGAGGTTATGGTACCAGCTGTGAAGTATGGGCCAGGAGGAATGTTGTTAGGTGTTTGCGGCTGCCATTTAGTCAATACCAGAGATGTAGAAGTAAGCAGCTCCACTGACTCAATTGAGGTGCATGAATTGCCTTGTATTTCTAGGCCGATTCGAACCCCTTGTCTTTGATGCCGCGCATCAGTCGTGGGTGGTAAACCCATCACTGACTTTTTCTCTCGACTACGGTATTTGAGTGCCAGCGCTACCAGCACAATGATCTTGGGACGTTCGGGTCTGGAAAAGCTGCTGCTCTAAGTGCAAAGATCGGTAGAAAAGTTGTGCCCGTCCAAAATCCTTGGAAATCAGTGACGCCAGCAAGCCTTATCGGCAGCTGATCGTGGACATTGCCATCTCCTCAGTACATGTTTCATCCACGCATGGTAGCATATTAGGCAACGATAATTCCTCGTACGCCACGCTAGAAGCTTCTGTGATACTTATCATCTCACTTGGGTATGTATTCAGGCTCAGCACACAGGAGCTTCAAAACCAGTTTGCCAACGCTTCCGAGTTAACTCAAGCAAAGCAAGCCGATTGTCCCTTGATTCGAGATCATCCACAACTCTACAAGAATGGCAGACAGCAAGGATGGAGCCCAGCACCAGGTACGACTTGCTCTCGGGCGACGTCGCTCATGTCCATCGTGTCGGTATCATGCTGATAGTCTGCTGACTTCCGTCAGAGGCGCTCAGTCTTGCCATACCTTGTGCCATTTTTGTATCGAGAAAGTTTATGCGCTATGTGGGTCAATTCAAAATTTGGTGGATAGTGCTGCAGTTGCATTCTCTCTCACGCCGTACTTCGCGTTTGCAGGGCGTGTTCAAGCAAGACCAGCCAGGCAAGATTGACAAGCGCCACGGCGACCCCGACGCTGGAGGCAAGACATCTGGCCAGAAGGCGGTAAGTTTTCCATATGAAGCGGGAGTATATTGGACATTTTTGGGCACTGCCATGCACGATCCCGACAAGCAAGCTGGACTGGAGGCTCTAGGGCATCTGATACAGTATCTTCAGTATATTTTTGACTCTGCGTCATGATGCTGGTATTTCCTGCATCAATCGGGGCTCTTACCGCTCGTGTGCTGCAACGGGGTTTCAGCTTGGGTGCGTTGGTCGCAGGCCGACACGAGAGCGGAGCGGTACGGCGAGCAAATCCACTACGACAAGAAGTAAATGTACCGTCTGCTTTTATCAAGGATACCGGTTGCTGCTGGCTGCCTTGTTTGAAGACGGAATGTTAAAGGCTTGCCTGGCTTTGCACTGTACAATAGTTGAACCGATACGGCAGCTGAAAGAGCCCTCGAAAAGTGGTATCTGGCTGCAGCTGCTGTGTCGTGCAAATCTGCAGCCAATTGTTGTGTAATAGCCTTGAAAATTCTGTAGCCAATCTCCTCCCTTCCGCAACAACCCCTTCTTGCAAAAGTAGACCAGGAACTAGCTGACTCACCTGCATTCATTTGCATAATGCATGATGCAAGTTGCATTCAAAGCAATCGAACTCAATGTCAGCATGCCTTACACAGTCTAAAAAGCTTAGGAAATTTTCATCATATCCATGGCAGCACCACGACCATGGTATATACTTTCTTCCTGCAGCCACCATCAGCATTCAAGAATGCATGCAATCTCAAAGATTGCATGCTGCAGCAATGGCCAGGATAATTACCCAGGCACAGTATGATCGGTGCAGAAATCTTTGTATGTAATGCATGATTTTGAACATGTATCATGCAAGACGGCTTGGCTCTTCAGGCCGTAGCTCATGATTGAAGGTCACGAATTGCAGATACGTAGATTATATAATGTAAAGTGCATAGGACAACGTTCTCTGACAAAACCCGCAGTTTTGGATATCCAGGCATTGAAATCAAAACTGTTGCTGCAGGCTCTTGTAGAGCACTTTCCCATGCCCAGCGCATCTAGCAGTGAGGCAACCACACATCCTCCTGCATGTCCTCCCCAATTTTTAAACTTGAATCAGGGCACAAGGGCCAGACTTGCAACTCAATGAGCAGGCTACCAGATACCGTTGAAACACCCTCTGCCTTTTTGTGCCCCTCCCGGCTTCCCAGCCACCATCAATCAGATTTTAGCCTGACTTCCACATCCTAAAGTCCAGTTGGCGTAGTCCGTGGGCCAAACCAGTTCGTTAGAGTTACAGCCAGTGCAGTCTGAGAGGGATTGCTGCAACCAAGCACCCGCTTCTACAGGGCTGCATCACCTTGCAATGAACAACCCCTAGACAGCCAAGGGCAGGCAACAAACACATGCCTCTGTATCTCCCTCCCAACACTGGTACGCTCACAAGACTGCCTTAAGCCTCAGTAGGCGCCATACGAAGAACTTCCTAAGAGAGCCTGTGCTGACGTCAGCGGCCGTCAATGCCCCAAGCCCGCAGCAGTGCCAGCAGGATGCCAACGCAATTAGTAACATCCTCATCAACATTACTAATGCTACATGTTCTGGCCGCGTCAGTGGAAGCCGTTGAGGGATGCCGGCAAGCAGACTTGCCACCTTTTCTCTCAGCAGGCGCCATTACCACGTGCTTACTGATAAGGCCTAGCTTGGCGCGTCAGTGGGTGCCATTGAGAGATGCTGGTGAGCGGGCCTCCTCTTCATCGAGTCCAAAGTCGCCGCTCGCGAGCGGCTGGAAGTATGCGTCCTCCGCATCGTCCATTCCCCTGTAGCCAGACCCCCCCCCTGCGCAGCACCGCAGCATGGGTCAGAAAATCACAGAAATGAAATCTGATGGAGGCTTGGCTGCCAGCCTGAGCTGGTAGGCACTGAGCTGGTAGGCATTGAGAGAGGCAGAGGTGCAAAATTACAGCAAAAGGAAGGAAGTGAATAGAATAGAAAACAACAGATGGAGAAGCATGCGTAGGGTGCATTATTCACAGCAGCAAGCATGTCTGCCTCAATGCTGGCATCCATGAGAAGAGAGCACAGATGCCGGCACCCAAAGAACCTGGAGCATTCCTCCTTGCAAGCTCACCCTTTATCAAGCTTGCCTCCATCGACAGTCTTCATGTCTCCACGCGTCTCAAGGTAGAACGCTTTTTGTGTCAAAAAGTAGTGCGGAAGTAAAAATCACGGCAGCGATTAAACAGGAGGTAAAGTAGTCTCACCTGTTATTCTCTCCTTCAGGCGCATGAGTGCGTCGAGCAGCCAGTGCCACGTGCTCAGCAGCGTTCCTACCACGGGCGCCAAAGTCTCTTCCACCGCCGCCTTCTGGTCATCGCTCGCCCACACAAACCACCACAGCGCACCCGCCGTCCCAACTATCCCCAACACCTGAATAACAATAAGACAACGTGTCAAAACAATTCCACACAGCCTACCGCCTGAGGCAGGTGTTCCTGGGTCAAATACATGATGTTGGTTCTAGGGGAAAATGCAGTGTCCACGTCAGCTGATGAAGTGAAACACAAGTTGTACACTATGAAATGCTGGCACAGGATAGGTTCTGAGAAAGTCTGTGACATCTGATAATACTTATGGAGGCTCAAAACGGTCTTATATCCCCCTCAAGGCAGTACACGCGTCTCAGCAGCTCAGCGGACTTCGCCTTGTCTTCTCCTGCTCAAAGGCAGGCATATTGCTGCTGAATCCTGCACAGATAGTGCAGGCCGAAACTGAGAACGCCCTCGTTACAGTAAGGAAAATGGGTGAAGGACAACTCACCAGGATGACTACGAATGCCCGGGCTGCCCGGCCGCGGTGCTTGTGGCCTGCCCCGGGCCCGCCGGGCAGGTTGCCCTTGCCGTCGGTGTCGGAGATGACTCGCGACACGTCAGCACACACGTCATCGCTGACTAAACGGTGCTTGCTGCGGCTCACATGGTACTGCCCTGAGGTGATCGCTCCGCACTGCGACGTGTCCACGCTCTGAATCGGCCGGCACTCGTGGTTCACGTACTCAAAGCCGAAATCGCACTCCACATCAGCCTGCAATTACACACGATGAATACAGAACGTGCGTAAGCTGCTGCATAAGCTGCATTGATCCTATTATTAAATTGATGCCACATGCATTCAGATTGTCTTACACTATTGCAAGACGATCTGAACAAGACAGGAGGCAGATTGAGACCAGCGAGAGGGGAATGCGCAGGGGCAGCGCGGCAGCTGTTCTGGCAGGCATGCACGCAATCAGCAGATGCACATGGGAAAGGCTGCAAGCAAAAGGGATGGCGCACGGAGTCGCAGGGGCAGGGGGCGAAGGTGGTGGCGGCTCGCTCGTACTCCTTGCCGTTAAAGCAGTCGCTGCTGCGCCGCCGGCGTTCCATTGTCACATTGCGGCCCAGCAGGCACATGTCCGGCTTCGGGGGCGACCACGTCTCATAATCCTCCGCCGCGCAGTCCTGCAGAAAAATGCAAAATAATAATAATAATAATAATTATTATTATTATTACACGCCTATCCAAGCCAGATTAGGCTTAGGCAAGAACGCAAAATATGTTGCATTACTTCTTCACCGGTATCTTGCTGACCGCGCGAGGGTAGAGATACCAGCCTATCAGGGACGTCAAGAAGGGAAATGAGTGAATAATTGAAAACAGCCCTGGGCATTGACACCTGTCCAGGATGTCCCGCCAGGCCCGAGATGTAACCTTCTTTTGGCTGGGACAGAGGAGACCTGAACAGTCTGCAAAAAGACAGACACGAGCCCCAAACATCTCCGGGCTATGCTTAATCACATACCCGAGCTCTTGACTGCGACCTGGCTGCAGCAATGTCAGAGGCGGTGACCAGAAGCTAGGAGGGAGACTGCTATGATTACTACTCGGCAGAAGGGGTGACTCACCCGCCAGTCAGCGCCCATGATGGGTTTAAGGTCGATGACATAGATCTTGCCGACGGGCTTGGTGCCCTCTTTGGTGTGGCTGCACGTCGGGTGCTGGGGCGTTTTAAGGCAGGCTTCACCGTGCACCACAAACACATGACTCGCCGCCTTGGGCTCAACCCTGCACACCAAGCAGACAATTGAGCGCTCGGTCAAATACAGTCTGTACGTTGCTTGCCTGTCATCTTGGCAAAGTGGGCAAGCAGAGACAGGACGATCAATAGAGCAGGGCAGCAGTGCCAATCTGTCTTTGTGATCCTGGTCAGGCTAGCCGCCAAAATAATGCCATCTGCAGCTCAGAATAACAAGCCCTTAACATTAGCACAGGCACCACGGTCACAGGGCCCTTTTGGGCCGCAAAAACACTCTATGTCCGGAATAACTTTAGGATTTTGGTTTGAAAGATTTAGGGTTTAGGGGGCAGGAAAAGGGGTCTGACCGAATGTTTTGGATGTCGATGGCCTCTGACAGGTGGATGGTGTGCCAGCAGGCGCCCTGGTCCAGGCTGAACTGCAGCGAATCTGCGGGGCCCTCCGTCTCATGTGATGCCATCAGCAGCAATCCCCCATGGTCTCCGTACTCGTAGATGCCCTGCGGGGGGCGAAGGGGCACTTAAACCATCAAGACAGCAACAGGAATAAACCGCATCTAGGTCTTGATTTTGGGAGGTTTGCTGGGAGATGTGACACTACAAGCCAACCTTCCCATCCTCATTTGACACACGCTGTGTGATTAGTACGGCTGACAAGTCATGTCCTACATGAAGCTCGCGCGATGCAGCTCAATGAATTATTGCATGCAATGCAAACGCACTGTTTTGAGGGCCATGACATCCTTCCACAAAATCTGCTTCTCTGCACAGATTTCAAGTTCGAAATTGGAAAGGAACCCTCATGTTCCACGTGGAGGGCCTTGTCCTACCAGGTGGCGCCGCCGTGACATGACATCCAGGTGGACATGACACTATATAAAAGTTGCACCCCCCATTTACCAATTCAAATTTGAATAAAAGATTCCGCGCACCGCATGTGGCGCTACATCCTCCCAGGTAGCGCCGCCGTCCCGCGAGAGCCAGGTGCACATTGCGTCGGCGGCAAAGTCCAGGAATTCGCCGGTGTTGCCGACCGCCATCACGATCCCCGGCGCGTTCTCGTGCGAGTAGAAGCTCGGCCGCCCCTCTGCGCGCACGTGCCAGCATGAGCCTCAGCCACAGAGTGTATCCTTACACATGCACTTTTGTACCTCTGAACGAAATCCGCATTGCTACAGACAAGGCCAGGTAGTGTGGAGAGATGGCAGTCGGCGAACAGGTTCTTACAATGCCTCTCAGGGCACTTGGAAAGCTTCGCTCTTCTCACAGGTCCCCATAAACGGTCCTTCCAGTGCTCTTGACCAGGTGGCGGGTAAAGTTCCCCTAAGACTATGGAGGCCGTTCATTGTAAAAGCGGCGCAGAGGCCCCACAAGCGCAAGCAGGATGGGCTCACAGGTTTCCATGTAATAAACTCGAGAGCACCCCGGGGGGGCAGGGGGGGCGCTTGCCTCACCCTGCCAATTGGCGATTCTTGGCCTAAAATGAAAAGGAAGAAGATAAGAAATCAAAAATAAAAGGCACACCAGGGCCTTTGTGCCAGGAGGAGGGGCCGTGGAGGTGCAGCTGGCAGGGGACGGTGCAAATAAAGAGCATGCATGCCCAAGGTTATTGTAATTGGGTCTTGCTTGTATCTGGCAATTCCAACAAGAGGCAGGTTTTTGGCAGCATTTCCATGCAGCTTGTCTGCACACGCACCTTTCCTCTGCATGTACTACTGGTACATTTGAGGCAGCTGCTACTGGATCGGCACTACTGGTACGTACTACTGGTATATCCTGCTGGTAGAATTAGGCAGCAATATAATGTTCGGCCCCGGCTGGCGGGGGGCGGTACATATACTGAGCACCGTGCCCACGGTTGATTGGGTCTTGCTTGGATCTGGCAAGTCCAACAAGGGGTAGGAATTTGGCGGCCTTTAATTGCAGCTTGTCTGCAGGACGCACCTTGCCTCTTGGCAGGAAAAGCGTGTAATAATAACAATATTAATACTGTAAGATGATTGGTGATCTAGAGCGCACCGGGGCCTTCGTGCCAGGAGGAGGGGCCGTGCAAATGCAGCTGGCACTTGGAGGGGTCGTGGCCGGCCGCGCAGCGGTTGCACACGGCGTGCCGGTAGTGCTCCGGCTTCTGGAGCTCCTCCCACCTCCCGCCCCCATTAAACGAGATCTGCGCAGCAAATATCCCTGGTGGGCGCCCAACACTGGTGGGCGGCCTATCTCCAACAATTGTTTTCGGCACTTCCGCACAATCATAAGAACTGAAAATAAGGACAGCACCCGAGATACCCGCTCCTCCACCAATTCTACACTCACGGCAAATTGCCAGCCATTAGAAATTCAGAGATCAGAGCAAGCTCACTTCCCTGCAGGCTTGAACGCACCTGCAATTGGCCTAATAGGCATGCAAAGAAGCATTTCGCGCCCAGCCTCCACAAGCCACTTCAGATGCAGACAGTCAGGATTGGACAAGGCGCAGTAGCCCACCTTGGACTTGAGGAATTTCTCGTAGTTGACGGGGTGAAAATTGCCGGCGTCGTGCAGCAGATCCAGGCTGAGCTGGTTGGCCATGTACACCCCCGGGACCCCCTCCACGCGCCCAAAGTCGGTTATGTAGCGCCGCCGGAAGTTCGCCGACATGCTCAGGCTGTACAGCGTGTTGTTGTAGCCTGCCCGCCATCACACACAATTATGAAATTATTTCCAGCAGCCACAGCAGTGCAAGGCTTGGAATGTGTGAACACCGGTACAAACTGCTGCGGGAAAGCAAAGGGCCAGTTTTGGCACCATCGCAGGCGTGAATGCAGGCAGAATCTTGGGATGGATGACCCTAGGCAACACTCAAGGCAGACTCTGCAAGACACTGGGCCATGAGTCATCCGCTGACGCGCAATGCAAGGCATTCAAACAGAGGGACGCGTGTGGCTAGCAGCTGCCCTCGGTCACCATTTTTGCAGGTCTGTTTTGTAGGTGGTGGTCTGTCACGTGATCCAACAAACTCTCTAGGGATAAACACATCTAGCTTCAACCTTTTGGACAGCTGAAGCAATGGCTACACAGAAGCCGGCTTGATTTAGCTCCCCCACCACCTAAGGGTGGTGGAGGCCGTTTCTGATTGGAGAATCAGCAATCGTGATCATAAACGGGACCAACAGAGGGATATTGTTTTCTGAAACACTGAGGCACCCACCTGGCGAGTAGATGTTGCCGATGGGGGCCTTTGAGGCGATCATATCCTCCTCGTCGTGGTCGACCACCAGGAAGGCAGAGGAGCCGTCGTGGTTCTTCACCAGATTGTACGCCAGGTCCAGCCACTTCACCGGCAGGCATACCTGCGCAGTGTTATTGCCAGATCAATATGTTTGAACAATCCAATGAACAGCACATCCCCCTCTCTTGTATGGGCGGCAAACCTGCAGCAAAACTAAAGGCAGGGACACTCGCGCAGCACCCAAAGCACTCCGAATCAAGGCATTCGTGTGAATCTTACTCCCCCTCCTACTCATCATGACTATGGTTGTTGAAAGATATACAAATACAAAGTTATATCACCGGCAGGCGCACTTGTGTACAAGACCAATCCACTTTGATATTTTTCTGAGTTTTCATGGACCAGGACTCCTCTTCGAAGTCATTCAAGGTGGGTATCTGACATGCCTTTCTGAATGGGATGCTAGTGGACATGAGGCTGCTTTGGATTGATTGAGCCTCCAGCAGGCTGAAAGACACGCCGCTAAGGGCATGCTTAGCGATGCATGCACATCAGGCAGAAACATGCATTCCCTTGATGCCCAAATGGCTTTAGTTGTCTTGGAGTGCATGGCAAAGCACTCAGAGGGTTGCATTGCAGGGCCTTCACCGTGCTGCCTGACAAGACAACCGTTTCTCTTCCCCGCTTATTCTATCAGTTAGCAAATGCCTTCTTGAGGCAGCAGAGGTGCTGCAACGTCAATCACAGTCTCCAGGACCCGAGCGATCACAAACTATGAGGCCTGGCCTCTTGTGTATGGGTGCTTGGGCCCGGCAGGGGCCTTCTTCAAGGCATTGCTCTTACTAGACTTATATTTAGGGTTTAGGGTTAGGGTTAAGGGTATCGGGTCCCTAAACCCTGAAAACCCTAAGACAAAAAATACTAGACCCACCTGCTCAAAGTTCCTTCCCTCGTCATCAGACGCGTACAGGATGACTGAGCTGGGCCCTGCGGCGCTACTCACACTCCGCGGCGAGCCGTCCGGCTCTGTTGGGCAGTCCGAGGGCAGCGCCAGAAACACCTGCGATTTTTTTTTCTTTATTTTCCTTTTTTTATTGTTATTAGTTTTTAAATTGATACACAGAGTCTTACAGGGCAGCTCCCTTTGTACACGCAGTCTAGTAAGGGCAGCTCCTGCTATAGCCATTGAAAATGAACAGTAGTGGTCACACACACAGCATGTAAAGGTATTTGTATTCCCAGCGAGAGGGTGCCTCCTCTATCTTAGGCCAGGCATGTACTTGGGATGGAAAGAGCAGGTGCACCTCTTTGGAATCTAACCTCGAAATGAAGACGAAACACTGGGTGGACTCTTCGGAACAACTGAGCAGACAAGAAATGAGTTCTGAGCAGGAACTGATACAGAGAAGAAGATCTGAAAATTTCATGCATACTGTAGAGGCGGGGTGCACCTTGCGCCCAATGATCTCGAACTGGTTGCCGCAGGACACGAGCTTGCTGTGCGCAGACTTGAAGAAGTCCTGGCTGGTCACAAAGTGCATGTCCTTGTCCCACTGGGGGTAGGGGCCCTTCATTGCCTCCGCGCTCTCGTACACCTGCCGCATGACTCGTCAAGTCAGACTTGCCTTTTATATGGTCCTTTCTGGGCTTTATCAAAGGGGACAATGCACAAAGCCACTGCTTGCAGCATGCATGTGGCATATCATCCAGGATGCATGAACCCAAGTACCTTTCCCTTCTCACTGCTGATCAGGAGGGGAGCCCACATTCCACAGGCAGCAAATAACTCTCAAAATTACTTAGCAAGAAGCTTATTACAGAATTCACGCAATACATAAACTCCTGCATGAAGTGTTTCAGAAGGGTATGGTACATGAAGCTGGCTTGATTGGGGGAGTCACTGTGGTCTATCAAGCACGGGTAAGGAGAGGCCTGAAGGCACACCGTGGCGAATATGGTCTCGTCAGGGAACGCCCTCTTCTCGCCGTGGTGCAGCGAGGCCCCCCAGTCAAAGTCCCAGAAGGACGCGATCGCGCCTCCAGAGTTCTCTGTCAAATTCGTCCAGCTGTGTCCGAAATTCTGCATGCACCAACAGGTACTGTGAGAACCACATGATGAGAACATGTGCCTGTGCATATCGCCAGGCAATTGACATGGCTTTTTTAAATTTAAGCGTACATAATATGAAAGACTTATGAAAAAATTGTGTGTGAAAATCCAAACAAAGTCCAATGCTCAGCTAAAGTGGAAAAAGAGCAAGCATGAAGTGCCAGCCTTACATTGATCCTGACATACACCTTTATGAGCCTACACGGCAGGGCCAGCCAAGACGAGATCGAACGGATCATGTTCACACTGTGCAAAAAAACAGTACAGGACATAGAAGCCTGCAGCAACCACTCCCAGACATCTCACGGCCTCCCTTAGGTGCAGAAGAGCTGAAGACCCCACCTGGGAGACAAACAGGTCGTAGGCACACTGGGGGTTGGTGCTGGCGTCCCACTGCTCACAGATGTTTCTCCGGACCTTTGCCAGGATCCACTCTGGGCGCCCTGGATGCACCTTCACCTCATGCCAGAATCCCAGCGTGCGTCCAGGGGTCTCCACCTGCGTGCGCATTCGCTCCCCTGTCAGGGTATATAGTATTCTCATTATTATTATTACACGCTTTTCCTGCCGAAGGCAAGGTGCGTCTGCAGACAAGCTGCAATAAAGGCTGCCACAATCCTACCACATGTTGGACTCGCCAGATCCAAGCAAGACCCAATCAACCGTGGGCACGGTGCTCAGCTTATACCGCCCCCCGCCAGCCAGGGCCAGGTCAGGGTATATACCTCAGCCTAAATACCCTACATCAGGGATTCAGGCTTCTGTGCTGCTCTGCCCCAAGTGATTAGATGGTCTTTACTCGGGGCACCATATTTCAGCCCGCATAGCAGGTTTGTGCAAAGCACAAGCCTGACTCAGGCAAAGAAATGTCATTTCGCATGACTTCCCTAGCTCATGGCGCCTACGCTCCATGTCCAGCTTGAGTGTCCTTAATTTTGTGTCATCATTACCACCAGATCCATAAGGATGTAGACGCAGCGGTCACACACAGTAATGTCAGCCTGACCCTATTCTCCCCCTGAGTGGTGCCAAGTGGGCAATTCAGGGGCGCTATTTGCCTGCTCTTTAGTAAAATGGCTATCCTCCAGACAGTTGGCTCGACAGTGGCTCTGTCTATAGAGGAAATTTGCAAGGTTGGAGTCAAAAAGGACAGGCTCTCCTTCATCTACCAAGGGAGAATAAAGGCGTGCCACTACCATGTTGTATATCTATCAACCCTGAATGCAGACCCCTTATGCACTTTGTCTACCAAGGAAGAGGCTGCACCTTGGTGAAAGTCTGGCCATAGTCAGAGGTGACCCAGTGATAGTAGGCAGGCCCCGCAAACAGAATCCGCTCCGGATGATCCTCGTGGAAGTAGATATCCAAAATTCCCGCCAGGTCAGCATTCATCCCCTCTCCTAACTTCAAGGCCCCTGCGCCATGTCGTCCATTCCAGAATCAGTGGTCACCATGCCTTACTGTGTAGTACTGAGATGCATGAAGTCAGGACGCCGATCGATGCCTTCAAGGAAGATGGCAGTACGTATAATACAGCAAAACAGCAGCATTGGCCATGCAAACATCACGTGCTTGTAGGGGTGTCACCAATTCTCGAGCAGGAATTGTCATCATGGAGAGCCTGTCAATATGACAAAGTCAGGACAGCGGAAGATTGTGCGCAATAAACAAGGAAGCCACCTTCCATCTGCACAGTAACGTCCTTCCAGCTGCCCTCTCTCCCATAATTGTCTGACCGCCAAACGTGCCCGCCAACAATGGGCTCCATCGCTTCGGTGATGGCAAAGACAAACTGCATGGACCAAATGTCAGGTTCAGGGAAGTAATGCCGAGCACATACATAAATCTGAATGAGCGGCAGTTGTGTTCCCTCCCGAGGCTAAGATCATGCTGGAGGTCGCTTTCGCCAGACGCAGCCTCATAATACAGCTTTGCACAGATTACGCTACAACAAGATGTGCCATTCTGCACTACAAAAAGAACACGTAAAAGACGCACTCTGTCAACATCATGATTGAGACCTGCCCAACGCAGGTCGACGACGGGCGCCTCAAACTCAACCTGCACGGAGAAAAAGAATCAGTTCATAGTTTCTTGTCAGGCTCCCAGTCACTTACGAACAACTGCCGTGCATTCTGAATCTGGGTCCTTACATATGCAAATGACAGTTATGAAATGAAAGGTGTGTTCCTCTGGTCGGGGAAGATGTAGCTGTGCGGAAACGTACGGGTTTCAACTTGGTTCCATCTGCAGGGTAATCCTTCGTCCTCGAACACTGCTGGATCGCTGTTCCACCAAGCAAACCCGAGGCTCTGGCTTCCTTAGTTTGCTCCTCGCAAGCGTTGCCTTCACATGACGCTCGGACACGGAGCAGGAGTCCATTACTACTCAGCAGGATCAAAGAGAAGATCCACAACCTTCTCGTGGGTACCATTGTCCTTTACATCTAGCTAATCTTTAGAACCGGCCATTGCCACGCTAGTACTGCTTTTGGAGGTCTTTTAAAACTCCAGCACGCAGCAATAGGTCTCGCGAACGTTGCAAGAACTTGCTCCAGACGTGCCCCTCGCTTGAAGGGTTTCCATGTCATTATTGCAGGGTTTTGTGACGTCACGACACGGGCGATCAATGAGTGATCGAACCGGAAGCGACGACGCTTTGGCAGGATTTCGGGTCCCACCAATGCCGTAACAAGCAATTTTCTGGCTTTCAGAGTGAATCCCTGCCCTTTTGCGACGATTCCTCGCTTTCCAATGCTTATCGCGAACTGACCGAACTCTGCGACTGCGACGTTGGCGTCAGGCAAGAAAGGTACGCAGAGCAGGCGCCCCTTCATTAAGATGTACTGAGGATTGCTATTATTTGGTGTGATTTGGCCTTGCTCAAGCGCCTCGCCGCGGCAAACCCGGAATGCTGGGGCTTCACCGTGCCACCAACTGTCATTGAGAACGTACGGAGATGTTACGCTTGCCTGCTTCCAGGATGGGCGAGGGCGGTGGGACATCGCTGCTTGAAACACCTCCGTATGTTATTGCGATCGTGTTCCTGTTCTTTCTCGTCGTCACGCTCGGCTTCGAGAAGGTGAGTAACCATGCCTTGCTGCACTGCTGCTGCCCTGTATGAGTGAAATGATCAGCGCTTCGTATCTATTAGCGTCGAATTGTATCACTTACATGTCATGGTTCTATTACCGATGCTCAGACCTCGTAGACCATGGCCAAATTCAATATGTCAAACGTCATGTCTTTTCCACGCAGATCCTGCACGTCATCACCCACTACCTGAAGAGCAGGGGCAAGCATGGGCTCGTGGTGAGATTCTTGTGACCTTCTGACTGCTCGCTAGCCCTTGTACAGTCTATTGTAGATGGCATCTCCCTTGATATCACCGCGCCTGCCCTGTTGCCAGACACTTATTGGGGCTTTACCTGTGTCGCAGGCAGCCATGAATAATATGACAAATGAAATCATGCTGCTGGGAGTGGCGACTCTCCTGCTGCTTGCTTTCCAGAAAGACATCGGGCGCGTATGCAGTAAGTGTTCTCTCATCCATTGCTGGATGCATGCATTATATTGGAGCCTCCTCATTGACATGCTGTGACAGTGCTCATCCCTCCAGAGCACAAAATCTTGCCTGACGAACTGTGCAAACATCCAAACGCCACTGCCTCCTCACATTGGATCTTTGTGAGCTCACGTCATGGACATATTGCTCGGTAATTGAAGGGGGCCACAGTCAAGACTGTTTTTATCCATAGTCGAGGCTATCTGGGTCCGCAGTACTATTTCTAGAATATCTACATTTCTGCTCCCATTCTCTGTGTCGAGCTGATCCCCGCTTGTGGTGCCTACATAGTGATCACACGTTATTCCTCCAGATCACTTCTCCAATAAAGTGCTGGGAGCAAACCTCAAATGCATGGTCTGCATTATTACCAGATCCACTGGTCTAGGCTCGAATGAGGTTTGCCAATCTCGAGGGTGTTTAGGGTTGAAGGTTTTCAAAAGCAAAAATATATATTCCCTTCAAATTCCTTATCCTGTCATGTGCAGTTCCCAGCAAGGCATACGCGGGTCAGAGCTGGTTAGACCACGTGCATGGCTGCGCATGCTGCCTGACCAGAACTGCTGAGGTCAGCCCCTGCTACCTGCGCGCCAAGGGGTGCCAGGACAAGCCTACTCTCGACCAGTGCTGCTGGGGGGAAGGGGCCAACAACCAGAAGAACAGGGTGCGCCACTCATCAACAGTGCCCCCTAGGCCTACAATGCATGGCTGCAATACGAGACCGTATTATTTGTTGTTAGTGTTACACGCTTTTCCTGTCAAGAGGCAAGGTGCGTCCTGCAGACAAGCTGCAGTGAAGGCTGCCACAATCCTACCCCTTGATGGACTCGCCAGATCCAAGCAAGACCTAATCAACCGTGGTCACGGTGCTCAGTATTTGTACCGCCCCCCGCCAGCCGGGGCCGTGACCGTATGTGTGTGTGTATATGGCCACCACTGCACGGGCTACAGGAGACTTGTAGCGGGGCACTGAAATCTGTTTGTCTTTGAAGTTACATGTGAGTGTCCATCAAGCTTTTGGGATCGCCTCAGATCAGGACTGAGGGCATAGGCGTGAAATTCCAGCTTGCATTGGTGTGTGGTGGGGTTTCTTTGGCTCTCTGCTCCCTGACACAGCCGCTGCCTTTGACTCTGTCACAAGCCTGGGTGACAGACTGACTATATCCAGCAGACTTCACGAGTTTGAAGCACAGCGCATCGTATTATTGCACCACCCAGCCATAGCAATACGGTTCCTTTTCTCAAAATCGATGGAGTCATGCCACCAGTGGTACACTGTGGAGCAGGTAGCAGTTAAATTTATGGCACCTGCAGCTTGCACGTCTCTGTTGCAGTTCACAGTTTCTTTGGAATAGGGCAGACTTGAACAAGAGCAAACTGTCTAAACCTCTAAATTGTCGGCTAACAGTTGATGGACACATTGTGAGAACATTGGTGTGGGACAAGTTACAGCGAATAAGAGCAAGCATTGATGCTTGCATCAGGTGTGCAATGCTATTTGGGATAGCGAGGAAGCGCTGCAGAACGCGGGGGAGGCGGCCGGGCTGGAGCCGGCAGTCATCGCCGCGGGAGACGCGTCCGGCAGCCACCAGCGGCGGCTGCGCGGCAGCTTCCAGCGGCAGCTTCTTGGCGGCGCCGGGGGCGCGGGAGCGGCGGCGGCCGATGACGTCGTGTGTGACGGCCGAGTGCAGGTGCGCTTCTGGTCGCTTGTATAAAAGAAATGTAACGAGTGTGATAGTACAACTTTCGGGTGTATGTCAAATGTGGCAGGCCACAACAAATCCCTGGGTTGCATGCTGGGTTGCATCGGCACGTAGTCGCCGATGTCGAGTCGCCGATGCAGATGCGCCCAATTTGGACCTTAGGGTTTTGGGTTAGGATATAGGGTTTAGGGCTTAGGTGTATTATAGATGTATCTCCCTCCGAGATCGGCGACTCGACAACGGCGACGAAAACCATATCAGGGTTTCAGGGCTTGGGGGATGTGCAAAGGGTATTGACCACATATAGCTTTGCTGCCAGTGCTGCTACCTGATGCTCAAGCTTGAAACGGATTGCGAGTAGAGATCAAGTTGGTATCCCTTTCCTTTCGGCTGCTCTTCAGTTTCTTAACAAGGGTGTTGTGAATTTGATGCTGACAAAGGCCCCTTGGGAATAGTTAAGGCTGTGTACGGGCAGTGCCTCTATCAAGCGTTATGCAGGAGGGCATGTTTCTCTAAAGTCATCGGGACAGAAGAGATAATGGTTGTGGCAGGTGAACTGGCCGGAGTGCGGCAACAAGCCCAACATGCGGCCGGCCATCGGGGCCGCGGCGCTCCACCAGGTGACTCACCTCAGAAATCACTGATTCATCCTTTGCATACGTCCTTGTGGGAACAGAAGCCTGGATTGCCGAAATCCCACGGCTCTTCCCATGCAACAGTAGTCACACAGACTCCACCCCCGACCTTATTCTTGATCCACTTTTGCTTAGGGTTTAGGGAATTTTTCATGGGGAATGCAATGGTGGATTTAGGGTTTAGGGTCGATGAAGGGTCGAAAGAACTATAAAACACAAAGTGGATGAAGTCTAATGCCAGCGGACTCCACCATCAAACTGGACATTTTGTTGGTTGCTTGAACTGAAGAAGAAAGTTTCCGTGCATACAATATTCATATGGAGAGCACTTATCCCGGTTTTCTTCCATGTCCCGTTAGGATATGTATCTTGACAGCTGTCAGCAGCACTTTGCATTGGTAACGAGATTGTTTGTGGTGTGGCAGAGAGATGTGAGAGTCCAATTCAATGCCTCCCTGTGCAGATGTGAATTCTATGAATTCTATTGAATTCTATGTGAATTCTACCAACGAGATTGTGTGATTGTTCATTTGTCTGCAGCACTCATCAAATTGTTGTGTGCAGGTGCACCTGTTCATCTTCATAATGGCGGTGGTGCACATAACCGGAGGCATTCTGCTGATAGTGCTGGCATCGCTGCGAGTGCGCTTCTGGCAAAAATGGACAGAGGATGGGGACGGCTACACTGCAGAGTGAGCCCCCTTGAGACCCATAAGTCGCCATTTGGCTGCACAAAAGTGGGCTTTTTACGTCAATTTTGGGGTTCCCTTATGCATCAAAGTGTTACCATGCCTGCAGCTACCCATTCTGGCAACACTTCAAATTAAAAAGCTGGCTGTGTACAGTTGTTGTTGCTCTGCACATGTAGGTTAGCTGTCAGATCCAGACCTCTTGAGCTTCATTAGACGCAGTGTATTCATGCTATTTTTGTTGCTGAGCACAGGTCATGTGTAGCTGGGCAGGCCATAGGATACCTGACACGGCGGTGTAAGTCGAGCACTACTACCTCTTTCTGCTTACCAAAACTTCCTCTGAAGGCACTATCTGGTGCATGCACAGGGCACGGCGCGCGAGCGATTTGAGTGTGAAGGAGGTTGAGATGACAGTGACTGGCAAGAGCGCGGTCACACTGGGAGCCAGCAGTGGTGTGCCTGATCTGGCGCCGGGGTGGGGGGACCGGGGGGACCTGGAGGCCGCAGAGGGGCCCCGGGCGTTTGTTGACCACGTGGAGGTCCCCCGCAAGGAGCGCTGGCGCGGCAGGTGATTTTTGCTAAACATTAGTAAGTCTTAGGATTTTCAGTAGTTTGACTCTGCGGGCGAACTTGCATGCAAATAAACACCTTGTCATGGCATCAAAAGGCATGCATGCAAAATTGCCACCCAAAAATGCACATTTTGAATGTCTGCTCCAAGGGCCGTTCTTGTATGATTTCACAGAACTGGGATTTTATTCAAATCCACCCGCCGGTGTTGCAAAATGCTGCCTCTTCAGGCGACCTTGCCCAAATAAAATTGGTGCAGCATCGCGCCACAACATTTCCTTTACCTGCAGCCTTGCACCACATTGCATTCATTGGCTTTAGACTTCCATCAAAGGTCGCCTCTGATAGCCTGTGCTCCTGCAAATGCAGGCCACTGCACCTGAATGGGCTGTGTGGAGCTGTTGCGGAGATGTTTTGGTGCATCGTGCGCCAGTTCAATGTAGTCAGCGTGGTGACTAAGGAGGAGTTCTCGCTCATGCGCGCGTCCTTCTACCTGACTCACCACATCGACACAGGTGCTGCCCTGGCTTTATCCTAACTTCTGCTTTCTGTTTACTGCACTCATCATGGCAGAAGAGACATGATATTCACGCTGTCTTGCACGGATTATTGCTTGTATATATATTATTTTGTTCAAGGTTTAGCATTTTCCCCCAACCCTATCAAAAGTGACAGAGACCTTTGATCAGAATGAGCAAAAATAGACAAGAAAAAGGGACACAGAGTCTGCATGCGCACTCCGACCTTGACATACTGTGCTTTGTGGGCCGCGTTTTGGCATGAAATCGACAGAATTGGGCTTGCATATGATGACATTTCTCGAAACCACCAAGCAAATGGGTGCACTCAGTATGGCATGTGAAATATTTGCAGGTGCACAGTTCGAGTTCATGGCGTACCTTCGGCAGAGCATGGAGGATGACTACGCCAGCTTAGTCGGGCTGGGACTCGCCATGTGGGTCTTCCTGATTGTCTTTGTGCTGCTCTCGTCCGTCTGGGGTGCGCTCACTTTCTCTCAGTTGCAAACCCATGAGTGGTTTGTCATCGTATGTTCTGTCTGTGGCTCTATGAACATGTACAGTTTGCATTTTCCTGCCTTTGCCTTGTATGTCTTGCATTCTCCCTTTGTTGATTTGATTAGCTTTGTACGATGTCGTTATTTTCCTCCTTCTGCATATGTATTAGTTATTATTACATTTTAGAGACCTGTTGGGAGCCACGCGAGGCTCATCGGTCTTGTAAACAGTCTGTCACTGCACATCCTCATATCACAAGCTTCTCATGTGTCTGCATTCCATCCAAAATTTGGCAATCCTTATCCTGTTAATGGAGGTTTGGATGGCTGGTGTGATAGTCTAGCACTTGCATTGATTTGGGCAGAGTTTCACACTACGAGACTGGAGAAAAAGCACAGTCCAGTAAAGAAAATGCCTGGACTCTTTGCAGGTTGGTGCGTGTGGCTCTTCACAGTGCTCGCTGGTGCGGTGCTGCTAGTTGTGAACACAAAGCTGGTGTGGGTTGCTCGCTATGTCACCCGTGGAGGCATTGTGCACCGCCTGCAGCCAGGTGAGCCTTCCTTACCCAAACTTTTCCAGCTACCACCTTCCAAAATATACAACATCAAGTCACCTTAAGTGCCCATTAAAAACAGGAATGATGAACCGTCCCTGCAACTTGATTGTCAAGAATTGAGCCAGGGGGATCTATATCTATATCATAACGTTAGTAATGTCATATATACGTGTGTAGTAATATTAACAATTTTCCTAAGACCTTAAAATTCTGTTGGCTGCAGGCATCTTCTGGTTCAACCGCCCCTGGCTGCTGCTGCCAGTGATCAAGTACCTCGTCTTCTTCAACACCTTTGTCTTTGCCAACTCCATCTTCTTCGCCACCCAGTTTGGCCCGCACTCCTGCTTCTTCTCAAAGACTGGCTTCCAGGGCGCTGTGCCGCTCTCCTGGTGGGTGCGTTCCTATCCATCCCATTTAGAGCCATTTGTCTATCTGTAAATCCTCCTGAGGGCGGCTGCAGGGCGCAGTCTTTAGCAACCCCTGGCGGCTGTGATCATAAGTATTCTGCTATCCAAGCCAGCCTTGTTGCAAGCAGCCTACATTTTCACAAGGATTGCCCTGGTTATCGCGGAGCAGTGCAGTGTTCCATGCAAATGCACGCACAGTGCCTCTCAATACTTGTCATGAACTTTATCTTAAGTTTGACATGCGATCAATGCATGCATTGAATGAGGGGCTCCATTGATGCGTGTGTGTTTCTGTGCGGGAGTCCATGCTGCTGGTGAATGCCTTGTATGTCTTCCACTGCCTTGTTGCTAATTTACCCAAAGACAACAAAGCAACGCAAGCACCAGGGAGATAAGAGGAAGGGCTGATACGCGAGTGTACATTATGCACCAACAACACAATGATCCAACATTACCCTTGTAAAGTGCGTTGATAACACTGCTGATGGGGGCCTTTGGTGCATTCGATGCTGCTGCTAATGCAATTGTGAAGTCACTTCGAAATGAGTGCATAAGAAAGATTGCTGATGGGTGTGTGTTTGTGTGGTGCAGTCGATGCTGCTGGTAAACGTGGTTTACTTCATGAGCCTGTGCTTCATGACGCTCCCCTTGTACAGCCTGGTGGTGCACATGGGCTCCGACATCAAGCGCGAAGCATTGCCTGCCGAGCTGCGGGAACGCCTCCGGCTTGCGCGCGCCCAGTACGACCAGGCGAGTCATCCTCATAATTGTTACTCATCATCAACCCCATATTCAGATGCTGTGTCAGCAATAGATGTGCCAAATGAGCATGAGAGCTGATTTTAGCAGCTGCATCATCTTACCAGGGAGGGTGCTGTGAGACAGGCAGATGGAATACAGACTTTGCTTCAATCTGTGCTGTTGGCAAACCCACACAATCAGCTGGCATGCATGTGTACCTTGAGAAAGCAGAGAATCGTGCACCTATTATTATGATTATTACACGCTTTTCCGCGGACCTATAATGGCGTTGAATTCCAAAAAAGTGACAGGCGTTAATCTGACGGCTAGCGAATGCCATTTCAGGTGTCAGCGGCAGAAAAGACATCAGGCAATTTGTTCAATATGGTTGGGGGCCGGAAGGGGTGGGCCAAGGGTGGACCAGAGCAGGCCCAAGGGGGTGACCCTCTTGTGACAACACCGCACTCCACCAGCAAGGATGCATGATTTTGCTCCTCGTATTTTGATCAGGGTCTACTGTTGCGAGGTCATCCTGCATGCGCAGTTGTAGCTTAAGCGACCAGTTATCTGTCAATCACATCGGCACTGTGCACATTGGCAATTCAATTGCCGCAATTGTTTTGCAGGACAATATAGTTTTAGAACAGCCTGTGATCTGAGATGGGATTCGCATTCTGCCAAACTTGAACCGTTAGCTACCGACTACCCATCATTTGCTTGGTCTGGCGTATTCTAGCTTCCAGTGCAATGCTGATACGGTATCAGTTACTAATCATAATATCAAATTTATAATAAAAATCTCAATTTAAATCACCGTACGTAACCTAAACCCTAAAATAACCCTAAACATGTGCATGCGCACTGCTGTGTCCATCTGCTGTATCGTCACTAGCTGACCGAGATGATAGTGGCAATGCTAGTGACGATACAGATCTTCAATTGAATGCAAAAATGTTAATGCTGTGTTTGAATACAGACTTAGCATGCCAGGTGGCAGCCACGTGTTGCAACGTCAGCCACGTGCAGGGAACCCTAGCATGGAAGCTGGGGTACACCTCTTGCAGCAGGTGTTGATTGCAACATTACATTCGATACTCATCTTTATTTAGCCCTTACTTACTCTAGTAGATATCCAAGCGTCCTAACGAAGATTTTTCTTGGCCTGCACAGAGAACGTTTGATCTTCCTGCTAGCTGCACCCTTAAGCACAGCATCTGATCGCTTTTCATCACCTGCTACTGTCAGGTACTATAGTGTATGGCAGACGGAAGCCCTGCTTTGTTTGCTGGCATTCCTCTATGGGCTAATATCACACTGTCAGCCGCCCTCGTGACAATATCCGCCTACTTCGCTGGAACAACTCTTGGCGTTATCAGCCTTGACAAGATCTCCCTGAAGATCGTTGCTCAGGCTTCAGACGATGCGAAGGAGAGAAGACATGCAAGTGCGAATCTTCGCTATAAGTCAACACCCTGAGTTGATCGTTATGCATAATCACGTTTCTTGTGTCTGCATCGTGACATATTTTGTAAAAAGTAATGTTACTTAACGTTCACATCCTGTAAATTTTGCGAGCGTCTCAATTGCCGGATGTCGATCGAAGCGTGAAGCAACTGGCCTGATCGCAACTGCGTGCTTGCAGAGGCAATATTGCCAGTACGAGAGCGAGGAAACTGGCTGCTATGCACATTGCTCATTGGAAACACCATCGCAAACTGTAAGTATTCTGACAGATCTTCCTGTCCTGAGTCTTGGTATCTTTACAATTAATCAGGTTGTATGCTAGCCCTGATCCCTTGATCAAGTAGGCAATCTTCCGTCTTCTATTGATGTGTTCCAGGCTGACTTTTTCAAAAATCGTGGCTGAACTCCCCTTTCTGTTGGTGCAGCGTTCCTCTCTATCTTGCTCGCTGGCTACACCTCAGGCCTGCTCGGTAAGCCTCTGCCTTCTTCATTTGTCTAAGTGTTATGCAGACGACACTGTAGGTGTAAAGTGCAGGTCTTTCACACGCAATTTGTAGCCTTGCTTTGCTGATGTCACTGCAAGTGCTGGTGTCACTGCATGCAAGAATCCCTTCGCGCACTGCCGCTGACTGTGTGCATGCCATGCAACAGGCCTCATCCTGTCAACCGCTCTCATCGTCATTTTCGCAGAGATCATTCCACAGGCGCTGTGCTCACGGCACGGGCTGCTCTTCGGTGCAAAGACAATCTGGATCATCCGGGGCGCAATGCTATTACTCTCTCCCATCGCCTGGCCTCTCTCGTATATCCTTGACAAGGTGCGCTTTTTCAAAATAATGCATCTTGCATATTTTCCCGTTTTTGGCTCGCGCACTGTCTTGCACCTCTTTTCTTTCATTATGGACAGCTCTGCCCACGTTCCTGCCTCTGGTCTTCTTTGCAGTCTGCCGTCTTGTGCCAAGGTTGGCTACTGGGCCTTAGGAAAGCAGGAGTGTGTCTGAAGCAGGAAATTGTATGATAGTGAGGAGTCATGACTAATTCATGACTAATCTGTTATGCACTGCAGGTGCTTGGACACGAGGTGGGCAACATCTACACGCGATCAGAGCTCAAGCACCTTATCCAGATCCATGTGGAGAACCCTCAGCACCAGGTGCATGGCTGCCCTCTCCCCATCACACGGATTATAATTATTACTTTTATTACACGCTTTTCCTGCCAAAGGCAAGGTGCGTCTGCAGACAAAAGCTGCATGTAAAGGCTGCCAATGTCCTACACCTTGTTGGACTCGCCAGATCCAAGCAAGACCCAATCAACCGTGGGCACGGTGCTCAATACTTGTACCGCCCCCCGCCAGCCGGGGCCCAAATAGCCTTGCCTAAAATGCCTTTCCGAATGTCTTGCACTGCCTTGTACGTCTTGCATGTCCCTTCTGTAAGTATATCTTTCCCGCTGACTTACTTAGCGTCTTGCCGTCCTTGGGAGTCTGATCTTCCATGGCAGAGTGAGTGGCGGACAAGTTGACTGAGAATTTAAGGCCTTGCACCTTCCTAAGATGCAAGGTCTTTGAATTTGACTTTGCACGTGAAGTCAAATTCAAACTCAGTGAATTTGACTTCACTGTGAATTTGACTTCACTGTGAATTTGACTTCACTGCAAGTCCTATGAGTCATTAGGATGTGATGAGGATCCTAATCACATTGTGGATTGGGTGCTGACTGGATGTCCACGTGGCGCAGGAGGAGTCTGGGCTGACAGTGGAGGATCACCAGCTGCTCTCTGGCGCACTGGACTACAAGGTGCGCAACTGATCTTGTTGGCATAAGCACGCCTGTGAAGTGTCTCTCAGCAAAGAATTGTGAGGCTTGAAGCGGCGCAATGCTATGCAAAAGTTGCAATGCTAATTGCAAAAATCAATTCCCTGGCATCTAGCCACTTGGCGATCATATACTGAGCTGCCAACACTATCCTACAATGGGATTGGCAAGCTGCATATGGGAAGAGGGAAGGGTGCATGCTGTACCTGACAGTCTTCACATCTCTACTGGGTGCAGGGTTGCCTGCCATCTCTTCAGATGTGATTGATGTCGACATCTCGTGTCTTTTCACCTCCACTTTCTGCAGGAATGATTGTGTTGAAGGAAGAAGGTCACTTTCACAAGAAAATACTGGGATCTTCTACCTTCTGTGCTCTCGGTTCTGCACGAAGCCATCCTACATGGCCATCGCTTTCAAGTATGTTTTGCTCGGGAAACGATAAAAGGGGAGTGTGCGTGCGCGCAGGACAAGCGGGTGAAGGATGTGATGACGCCGATGAACAAAGTGTACATGATCGAGGCGGGCGTGCGGCTGAGCTTTGAGCACATGCTGGAGATCTACCGCAGCGGTTACACGCGCATCCCCGTCTATGACAAGGACCCCCAGAACATCATCGGCATCCTCTACACCAAAGACCTCATCCTCGTCGACCCAGGTGCGCTGCTGCTCGGCATCGAATATCTCTCTGGTCCTGACTTTCAGATGAGCCCCATGTCCCTTCTTGGACAACCAACCAACAAAAATTCTGGCACTGGTTGCATGCGCATGAAAGCGGATGGTCACTTCATCTGTCCCTTCACATGACTGGTTTGCAAGTCACAAAGGCAGGGATGCAGATGCCATGCGAGCCAGAGAATTAGAGGACGGAGGGGGCCTGGGCTTCTGAGATGAGCATTTGGTCTCAGCCCATTCCGTCAAACATCACAGAGATCGCGCTGGCCAATCTGTCTCACAGGAATTCCTCGCATTGGGGAATTGGATGTTGTGTTTGTCTGGCTGCTACAAGCTCCTGAATCATTTCTATGCCTCTGCAGATGATGAGTTGGAGATCCGCACGCTCGTCACCTTTCAGGGCAAGCACACCGTGCAGTACATCCTGGATATCACCCCGCTCAATGAGGTGCGCTTCTCTTGCATCACTGAACACCAGAAGTCATTTCAGCATCATTGAATCTGATTGAGCAGCACTCTTGAACTCTGAGTGGAGCAAGTTTTTTAGTCTAAGGGAGCAAAATAGTGGTGAGAGACTGGTTGAGCAGCCTGTTGAGTCTCAAGAAGCACCACTGCCGAGTCTTAAGCTGCAAAACCGTGTGAATAGAATTGACAATGGGGCTCCGATTGCTGCTGATCATCCTGCTCATGATTGCTGTCGAGTCTTAAGTTGCACAAGGGTGTCAAAAGAACTAGAAATAGACTTAAAGTGCTGCTGATGTGCAGGTGTTCAAGCTGTTCAAGACGAATCGCACGCACATGATGCTGGCGTGCGCGCTGGACACGCTGGCGCAGGTTCCCGGCAACATCCTGTCGGTGCGCTCGCAGCAGAACTTCCTCACCAAGGGCGCCAAGCACATGACCGGTGAGCCGCCCGTGTGCATATGCCCGGCCTGAGCCTTGAGTGCCTTGAAAACCATTTATGGTAGGAGCATGGTTACAGTTGATCAAATTGTCGGGTTTTCCTGGGTTTTCTTGTCAGTGGCACTGAAATTGTCAGGCTAGCGTCTCTTGGTGTGAGTTCCGCAGTGCTGAATCTAGCGTATAGATCAAGGTTAGAGAGCACTCTCGAGCCTGAGAGGGGAGCAGGGATGGCGGGGCAAAGTGGTATTTGAAAGAGTATAACCATTTCATGCTGCTACCACTGCTTGCAAAGCGGCATGCGCCCGGTCTAATGACGGTGAGGAGTATCTGAAAAAGGTTTCTGACGGACATGCCGTATCTTGTGTGTCATGCTGACATCAGCGCATGCGCATGCCCGCCAGGTGTTATAACGCTGGAGGATGTGCTGGAGGAGGTGATCCAGGATGAGATCATCGACGAGACCGACAACTTTGAGAGCAACGAGCAGAGCATCCCCGTCGTGCGCCGCCCGGGCCGGGACCGGCCGGACGTCTCCGCCTACCTCGCGCTCTTCGAGCACAAAATCCGCGATCAGAACAAGCTGTCGCCCGCCGAAGTGCAGGCGGTGAGCGCGTTCCTGCTAACCGCCATCCCTGAGTTCGCCATCTTTGCCTCGGTCGACACCGTGCTCAAGGTAAGAGATGCAGCTGGCAACCCCTCTGTCGTCCAAACTCATTGTTGTTGCGGCGTGAATACAAGTGTCTTGTGCTGAAGTTGGTGAGGGAAAGGAAGGCTTTCACATGTCACTTGAGGAGGCATTTACTTCTGCATGCACAGTGCGGAGCCTGGGCCCTAGCCTGCTCAGGCTGTCTGTCCAGTGCAGTACATGTGGCTGCTGTCGTGAACTAGTCTTTACATTTCAGGATATTTTAATCACCGTAATTTAAGTATCTTGCTTTCTCGCCAGCAAAGTTTCTTAGCCTAAGCTGCTCTAACCCCTGTGGGACTCAGAGCCGGGTGCAAGCCACTCCTTCTCATTGCGCCATGGTTGGCATGTTTGCCTGAGTAAATCCCGTGGCAGTAGTGTAGGTTCACAGATCCATATATGTTGCAGTGAGATGTGCACAGATGCCAGCAGAGTCTCTTGGAGCCCGGATGTTGCAGTGAGATGTGCACAAAACCAAACAAATGACAGCGCAAATGAGTGTGGGACCAATCGGTTGCATGTGTCATGCGCGCGCAGAGCCTGGTGCGTCAGGCGGAGATGATCGACACGGAGGGCAGCGACAGCGACGAGGACGGCTTGGGGGAGGCGCACTCGCGCTCCCTCGACAACTTGTCGCTGTCCGGCAACGAGCAGCCGCTGTACACACGCGGCGTCCCCTCCCCCCACTTCACCCTCGTGCTCCAGGTAATAATTCTCTCATGCTATCGGCCCAAGCCTTTGATTTGCATGCCTCAGATGCATACACGCCGGCAATTCTGTAGTCCAGAGGACTCAGCAGTAGCGCCTCTGTTTGTGTCTCTGGTTTGTGTCACGCCTACCCCTCGAGAGTCTAAGACCTGCCCAGCAATCTCTACACATGGCTTCTCAATCTGTCCAGCCGTTCTCTTCTGTCACGCCTCAGATGACTAAGTTCTGAATTTTCCAAATCTCACCAGTACCTTCCATGCACACAGGGCCGCGTGGACGTGTACGCTGGCTCAGAGCGCTTCTTCAGCGAGCTGGGCCCCTGGTCGGTGCTGGGCCAGAAGGCGCTGGCGGCCGAGGAGTACGTCCCGGACTTTGACGCGCGCGCGACCGGCGGCTGCCGCATGCTGCGCATCCACAAGGACGCGTACCAGGCTGCTCTGCGCATGGGCAAGACCGACCAGATCGTCGGCGTTCGCGCCATGCGCCAGCTCACCCAGGTGGGTCCTCTTTCCACCCGGTGCTCTTCTGAGCTGAGATGCCGATTTACTGTTCGCCCGTCTCTTTGAGGCAGCTTGCTTGATGGCTTGGGCTGTTCGCGAGTCTCAGTGTCGCTGTCCTCCTGGATTCCAGATTCACGAATGCCGCCCATGACATTGGCCGGCGGACAATGAGAGACAATACAAATGCTTTGTCCGAGAATGTTTTGTTTTAAGGAAGTTTCCTGGAGATGCTGCCCTTTCTGGCCCACCACCTGAGCCCACCATTTTTGCACACCTTCACCGCAGAACGGCGGTCATCTCTTAAATTGAAGCTTTCACAGCACTCTGGACTGACCTGCTCCTATTTCGCATGTTAAGGCCACATGATGTGTTGCATTTCAATTGAGACCAGAGGATACACCATTTTCACAGGCCATGCCTGCCCCCGCCCCTCCTGCTATGCTGCCCAGTCAAAACGCTGATCCGCCAAACCTCCTGCTGCTGTGAGCCCGGCTCTGCCCCTTTCGCGCGGCTGCAAATCCCAGAGCGCGAACGCTGGCAGATTGCCAGATCGCCCCTGTGAAGCTTTTGTGAGCTTGGAGGTGCAGGTGTGCTTTTAACCCTGGCTGCTTGGTGCTACCAACCAGAAAAAGATGCCCTTTGCTTCCCCTTCTCTTTTTCCTCACTTTCTTATCTTTGCTTCAAATGCGCACAAGGCAGCCCACCGGTTCCTGTGAGAAGCTCATGCCATGCCACTGTAAGGCAAGCCCATACTATGCTTCGGCGGCTGCACTGCAGAAATGCACCTGCCTGTGTGAGAAGACTTACTTGCTCTATTTCAGATACTTGCATTATTCTGTTCATTTGGCTGAGATCTGAGGACTTTGGCTTTCCCTGTGCAAAGGCGCTGGACTACAAGCCGCAGAAGGTCCTGAGCCATCCGCTGCAGCCAGCAAAGAGCCTGTCGGATGCAGCGGCCAGGTCGGCGGCGATGCCTCCCAAGAACAGCGCCCCGGGGAGCAGCAGACCAGTGACACCAAGGCCACAAGACACCGCTGCCAATGTGACAGACAGTGCAGTTGTGAATGAGTCATCATTAGGTGATGGTGGGGCCAGCAAAGCAGCGTCCAGTCAGCCTGCTCCAAGCCAGACGTATTCCCAAGATGCCAGCGAAAATGTTTGATTTGCCACAGCCTTCCCTGTGTAAGCTGTGGCAGTAGGCTTGAAGAATGCATGTCCCTGGGTCAAAGATTGTTCGCAGATTGACAGGGCATCTGGCAATGAATTCATTGCAGGATTGGGACTTCTGTGTCTGCCATGCGTTTCGCACTGCTGTGTCAATGTTTCTGGCAAGCGGCATTTGGCAGTCCACGATGTGGATTGCGAGAGGAATGAGAGACAATGTCACTGCGATCGATGACAAATATGCCAGGGCAAATATATTGGCCTTGTGTGTGAAAGGGGCTGGCCTGCGCAAGCCGATTTTAGTGTTGCCACAAAGTATTTCCCTGCCAGAAGTGCAATTTTAGATCAGCGCTAATCGTACTAATTGCTCATATCATATCAACGTTCATCGTCTTGAGTTCTGGAATGTCCGCCCTTGACATGCACATTCGCATTGTTTCTCTGCAGCTTGCTAGCATGCTAATTGAAGTGAGTAACCATGAAGTCTTGGGACAAACCTGATTCAATAGACAGCAGATTTGATCTTGATTGTTCAATTGATTGTTGAACAGCCGTGGCTCGATATCTTGCAATGAATGGCTGCTCATGCGGACTTTTAACGATTTATAATTTTGTTGCATGCATGCATGCATGCATACGTATTATGTGCATCGGCGAAATGGAAATGGCTGACCTCAAAATGCTATGCAGATTGCCTAATTCTGATCTCTCGATTGACTGCTAATGAAAGGATTCGTCTACCTCCCAAATAAATCTGAAAGTGTTGTGGCGAGGTCTAGACCCGGTCTAGGGCCTGTCTGTGCGATTTAGGTATTACTGGACCCCAGCTTAATTATTATAATTAGTATACTTTGTATAATTATATAGACCCTAGAGGAATTAAAATTGCGGGAAGGAGCTGTTGACAGACTCTTCTTAAGAGATGCCAGCAGTGCAGTGCAAGAATACTCTGGTTGCAACGCATGCGCCAAACATAACAGAACATGAATTGTGTAGTTTTCTCCAATTGCTAGCTACTTTCATCACACCTCATGAGGACTTGGGTGGTGGTCACAATGCCTGCTTTGATGGCGCTCCTGTTTCCTGATTCCTTCGTGGACTGCGGCGCAGAAAATAATGAAATGCAAGCACCTGTCATGCCACATCAGCCGCAGCCAATTCAATCCATCCCCATCTGGCACTGACAGGCTGTTGAAAAAAAAAGACCCCAGCAGAGGCAGGGGTCAGGCCAGACAATGCTGTTGATATCCAGGCCATTTAGGTCTTTTTGCTGCGACAATACAAGCCTTCTCCCATGGAGTCGCAGCAAATTTAGAGCCAGCGATGCTGCAACGGTTCAGATCAGACATCTATTCGCCTTGTCTTCTCATAAGAAATCCAGCAGAAATTGTCATCGTCATCATTGACAAAAAGCAAGGTAAACACCAGCTCTGGTGCGCACCTTGATTTTCCTCCAGGATGCCTTGAGTTGGAGAGCTTGTCGTACTGCAACAGGCAGCACTTATACAGGTAACGCACGCTTGCATGGTTGGCCAGCATCAGCCATCCAGAGACCTCCATCTATGGCCCGGTAATAAGACACAGCGACTGCTGCGATAGCGCCACCTGTGCACCACATCAGCTGCCATGTCAGCGGCAGGAAGCCTCAAGCGGTGTGGAGCCTCAAAGGAATTGAAACAATTACCGAGGCTGCCTGTGATCACAGCAGAATTTTCTGACACAGGCAGGATGGCGGAGCACACTGCAGAGTGGTTGCAGGGCTTCCAAACTGGTGAGGCTGCAGGACATCTGCCACACGTCAAGAAGACATACCATGCCACTGCGACCTCAAATGCTATATTTGCCACATTTGGTTATTCAAGCTAATCCTGTATTGAGAAAATGAATGCGCTGACGTCAAACCTCTGCTGCCATCGATGCACTTGGGAGAAGTCAAAGAAGTCCGCCTTGCTGCATTGCAGGGGACTATTGTACTTGAAAGTTGCAGTCTGACTGTTCCCGCCCACTTGAATGAAATTCCAGCTAGAATTGTTGTGGGCTTTTCAAGGGTAAAATAACGAACAACCAAGTGTAGTTTTGCTAGGCAACCTTGCAGATTACCGAACTCAACCCATTTTCATCATTATCACATCCTTTTGGATGATATGTCTTCGGACTTGTGTATATTGTGGAGTTTGCTCCAAGCGCTAAGGTCGAAAGCCTATTCGTAAGGGGTCCGACGTCATTACACCCCAGATAGCTGTAAACTTCAAAGTGCGAGGTGCAGCTGTTGTTAGCAAGCACCTGCCCATTCCAGTGCAGTATAGGCGCCAAACGCACTGCGATAGATATTTCAGAGGTATCAACCCGTTGCGAGCTACGTGGTGGACGAGCGTCGTGGTCACCATGGCCGCATTCATTGCGCTCTTGCTCCTGGCACAGTTTAGTTGCTTGGCCCATGGTGAGGCGCTCTAAGAAAAGCATCTTGAGGATAGTTCCAACCAGGGTGCCTGGAACTGCTACTTTGTACTGTTCACCAGCAGTGACGGTGACTCCAACTTGAAACATTGCCACTGCTCCAGGTGCGCCAACGGAATTGACCGTCGTGGACAGCTTGCTGGTGAGCTCGCCTGACGATGAAGCTTTTGAATGATGTACAATCTAGTGGATACTCCGGCTTTCTTTGGTAGCGCACTGGATTTGAATTCTGGCACCTTGCGCTCTTCGTCACTGCAGTAATTTGAACAACGGGAGTGCTTTCACCACGGGAATGCGAACAGGAAAGCCGTCTGTCCATAGAAGGGTGGCTATTAGATTTCAGTGGGACATATCATTGCAGATGTCAGAAGAGTGCCATCACGGCCCTGCGCCATTGTGACCGTCTCTCACCAGCCCGACACTTGCGCGGCGGCTTGTATATGGTTTCGATATCAACGCATCAACACAATTGTTGCAATATTATCGAAGTACATGTCGTTCAAAACGCAGCCCCGTTCAGTTTGCTGAAGTAAAAAATGCTGCATCCCACAGGTGGGAGTTGCTGCGCTGGGCAAAGAGGGTGCGGATGCCCTGGCGAAGAAAACCGCGAATACTGTCGACGTTATATTCCACAAGGGAATAAAACGCGCTAGCAGCACCGTGCAGGCCTCCACAACACCACCACCAGAGATCACAGTAAACACATCAGCCTCAACCACCCCTCCAGCTTCAACCCTGCAATCCTCTACAACACTGCCAGCATCAACAAGAGTGGCACAGGTGAGGCATTCGTGATTGCGAGCGTATGCTTTACACCCTTGTTGCAGAGCGCACACGCGCTTTGCAAATGCACTTGCCGATTCTGGAGTCACCTGTACTTGCTGTCCTCTGAATGGTAAGACAGCTTCCAGAAAGAGCTTGCTGTGCCGTGTGACATTCAGATCACACATGCTAATGGCCTGTTCATTGCATGCGCAGAGCTCGCTGCCTCCTGTGACCACCGGCACTCCAATCACAACGCTGCCACCTGCGACCACCGGCGCTCCAATCACAACGCTGCCACCTGTGACCACCGGCGCTCCACTCACAACGCTGCCACCTGCGACAACACCTTTGAGCTGCCCCGGCACAACGACCAGCGCACCAATAAACTTAGTTGGGGACGTGGATCCAACTTTGTTTTCTTACCCGGGATTCACATACCAAGCCGGTCAGTTCGAGCGGAGCGCAGCCGGCCAGACCTTCACACCTTCCGCCGGTGCCACTGTCAAAAGCTTCGCATTTGACATGCGTATCCCCCCCAGACAATTTAGCCCCGGTCAAAATCCGGTGAGGCTCTTTTCCCGCTCAATTTTGAGCGCTCCATGCAGTGCATGTGCATGTTCGGCGCTGACCTCTTGCTTTTCACTGGTTACCAGCTTGCCACATGATGACAGGCAGTCCAGCTTGGGTGATGGCATCGCCCAATAAACCTTGGAACATGCTCTCAATCTGCTTCTGCGCCTCTAAGTGCGTTTTGCCTGGTGCGCAGGACCTCAAGTTTGCAGCCTACTTGTACGCTTGGGATGCAACAAAGCCGGGGCCGACGGGGCCGCAGCTGTATGCGAGCGACCCCAGATCTCTTTCCACTCCCCTTGGGGAAGTGGTCACCTTCAACGTGCCAGGCTGCCTCACCCTTACTGGCAGCACCGAGTACGTTGCTTTCCTCAGCAGCGCTGGTTTCTGGCCGGGCGGCAGTCAGAAAGTCACCTTGATCGATTCATCGTCCACCACACTCGCTGGCTCTAGAAGGATCTCCTCTACCACGGCAAGCAATAGCACTGCGACCTTCCAGACCACGGACATGTGGGCCGCACAACCGGCGCCACCTCTCGGAAAAAACATCGCGCTCAGCGTGACTTACTACTGAGCATCGCAGCACAAGATGATGTTCCACCCCTTGTGACGCTGAGTCTCACTTGAAGGTGGTTAAACTTGGGCTGAATCTGTGCAGGGCCACCCCTGTTTGCAGGCCTTGATTTGAACAGCCAGATCGTTTTAAATAGAATGTCTCTGATGATTTTTTGTTTGCGACTGATCATATCAATGCTTGGCAGCTTGCTCAAAGCAGTAAATGCCAGGTTGGATACTGACTAAGGCTGGAATACACCTGGGGGTGTGTCTGAGCATGAGCGCATATTTTCTATTGCCATGTCCGACCTCTGTCAGCGATTGACTATGAAGCCCGCCCCATGAGGCATACAGGCCTGTCTTTGCATCCTGCCTTTCCTACCAGGTGCCTTCATGTGTAGCAGGTCTAGCTGGCACCTTGGGGTCCACCTACTTAGTAGATCTCGATTTCCGCCCACCATGATCAATGCTACTAGTATATACTAGCATGCTTGAAGTACTTGAAGTGTAGGTGCACCACGTGGAAAGTTGGAAACGAAGTTTGTTGTTCCTGCTCTTTGGCAGCAGTGAATCATATGAAATAAAAAGGTTTTCAATGTTTTGTCTATGAAGAGCGCACAGATGCAGGAGCAAAGAGCACGTGTACATACCAGGCTTGAGCTTCACATATATACAGCTTGTGGAGATTTACTATAAAGTACATCCTTGTGAGGCCTGCAGCTTGTCTGCAGACGCACCTTGCCTCCGGCATGCCTTGCGCAAGAAAAGCTTAAAATGATAGGAATAAAATGCTGGAGAGGCACGTTACAGTGTATGGCCGAAATCAGCAATGCTTTAACATCACACTGCCAGGTATCATACAAACCAGTGAACTTTTAAGAGTGGATGCGCATGCTGCACGTGAGCTTCCTGCGGGCAGTCCGCAGGTGTGCCTTGTCCATTGCAATTGTGTCAGTTGGACGCAATCAGGGTTGCCCGTTTTATATAAATTATATATAATTATTATGATTGATCTGATCACTTTACTGCCAATGGTATCAGTACAACCAATCAGCCTGGGCGATACATGTGTAATCTTTCTTTTCTTTTCATTATCATGAAGTCGTTTTCCCAGCACTCTACTTGATCAAGCCACACAGAGTCGCTGAATCCACATGAACGCGCTGCGAGCAGGTCAAACTCCACATGCATAGCGGGAGCTGTCACTGCAGCCAGTTGCATTCGGGTCCGTTCATAATGAGGAGCAAAGCATGGAACGCTTTTGCAAGCAAAGCAGCCAGCAAAGGCTGTTTTCACTGTTTTCACAGTCCACAGTCGCGGCCATTTTAGGCAGTCTTAAAAAGCAGCAGGAGCGAAATTCAGCCACACTTCGGCTTGCAACAGCGCCACCGCATCAGGCTGCCAAGTCAGGCCACTGCCGACTGCGGCCAGAACAGGCATGGCACCAGCAGGCGCGAGATCAGGCCATGGCCGAGGCCGGCGAGCGCAGATCGGCGGCGGCTGACATCGGCGGCACGGAATTCGAGATCGAAATCGGGCGGCCGGCGCGCTCGATGTAGTCCGGCCGCTCGCACGCCTCGTACTCGTCCGACAGTGCCTTGACGACTTCCCTCGCATCGTCGAACTCTTCCAGATTCTCCACTGTCTTGCGGCCCTCAATTCGGTGGAACATTGGGAACTCCTGTGCAGCGCCGCATAAGCCGGGGTTCAGTCAGGCCTGTTCTGCACGTTAAAGATTCTCATGCTGGGCGCATGGGATTGGCGCGTCGGACGGGGCGTTGCTCACAATATATAGTAAGTGCAGCCACAGACTGAGCGATGCAGAGACCCGCCTGAGCACAACCGATGGCACAACGTGTGTATAGCCATGCACAAGCATTCCTCAGAGACCCGAAATGTCCTTTATTCGCAGCAGGAATTGTTTGTCAAAAGGCTAGTATAAGGAGCATGGCTCAGGGTCACAGCAAGTGGCCGCGCGCACCTTGTAATTTTCCAGGAAGGCCTTGCGCTTGGAGAGCTTGTCGTACTGGGAGAGGCAGCGGTTGAAGAGGTGACGCACGCTCGTGTGGTTGGCCAGCATCAGCCCGCTCACCCTGTGGCCCGTCTTCAGGTACGGCGACTGCCGCGACAGCGCCACCTGTCACGCCACATCAGCAGCCATGTCAGCCGCCGGAAGCTTCATCTATTACTCAGACAAACGGATGAACAACACCCCTGGCTCAGTGGTGGTTGACTGCCCATGTGTCCAGTGGATCAGTGCGAGACTTTGGCGCAACGGCAGGATAAATTGCAGGATTTGTGAGAGGGCACGCTGCTGCGGCTGCAGCTGTCTGCTCTGTGGCCCGGTGCTGTGACATAGAAGCAATTGAGGCACAGGTGTGAGAGACAATGCAGTTGACATTCACATTGACATGTCGCTCAATAGCTGCTACTGAGCGCGGAGAAGGGCAACAGGGGCATTCGGATGGAGGCCTTGCATCTGACAGGGTGCTGTAGCTCCAGAAACAGAGAAGACTGAGAATAGATATCAGGGCAGGGAACAAAAGGGAGGAGAAGACTGAGAATAGTTATCAGGGCAGGGAACAAAGTGGAGGAGCGGACTGAGAATACATTTCAGGGCAGGGAACAGAGGGGAGGAGAAGACTGAGAATAGATATCAGGGCAGGGAACAAAGTGGAGGGGAGGGAACAGCACCTGGATGGATGCCGGCCCCCAGTCGATGAAGTTGGCCAGCTTGCGCTCACGGATGCGCTGCAGGCTCTTGTGCACATTCGTCGGGTCCACCTCACCCTGCGCAGCATGCAGACAGTGGTGACTCAGCGTGGTCAGTGATAATAATAACAATAATAATAATAATCATAATAATCTGTGGCAAACCCAGAGCCCAGAGGGCCACATGGCATACACAGGTCAGATCGGCCATAATACAAGTGGAGATGGCGGCATGCACTTGCAATCATGATGGCTGTGGAGTGATAATTTTTAGAGGCTTCCATCCGTTGAAGAAGATCAGGGATCCATGCATGTTTCCGCAGCCCGGTTCTCAGGAGAGCACGAACGCCGCGGCTTGATATATCATGATCATTGGAGATCACTTGCAAGTTGGCCAACTCTAAAAGTCGGGCAGCTTGAAGCTGGAGTCAAACAGACTCTCTTATGCCCAGTGTTAGTGCCCCACTGGGCTATCGTTAGTGCCCTACGGGGCTATTTGTGAAGTGGTCATCGTTGTGCAGTCAAACAGAAAGTGCTGCATGCTCTTGTGCAGCATGTCAGGAGCACTGAAAGTGAGAAAACTTACAGCAAAATATGGACACATCACATTCAGTGTACGGCCTTGGGCAAAGAAAAAAACAAGCATGGCTTTGCGATACGGGGTCAATGGCATGTGATTTACAGGAGGCATATAGCTGCTGCTTTGCGGATTACATGAGCATGATTGCAAAGACCTGAGGAAGGGTCACACTTTGGGCAAAGGCAGGAGAACCATCACAGTCCAAATCATCGCACCCCCTGGTGCCTACTCATTTGATGGGGTGAAGGGAGCGCGCCTGGATGATGTTGAGAATGGAGATGTACTTGGACTTTTCATATTCCTTGGTGCGTGCGTGCGCCGACACCATTATGTTCTTGGGCTGCAGCAGCCGCCGCATAACGTCCAGCACCTGCACTCATGGCAGCCACGGTGAGTACCACCCATTCTGTATATTATTATTATTACACGCTGTTCCTGCCAGAAGCAAGCTGCGTCTGCAGACAAGCTGCAGTAAAGGCTGCCAAAATCCTACCCCTTGATGGACTCGCCAGATCCAAGCAAGACGCAATCAACCGTGGGCACGGTGCTCAGTATTTATACCGCCCCCCGCCAGCCGGGGCCAATAAATTCTGTTTATTGATGAGCTTAAATCAATGTTGCATGCTGTCTTGTGTGAGACAGGTGCACCTGCAATGATGCATGATTGCCCATGCATCGCCCTTTACGGAATCAGGGCCCCAGAGAACCATTAGAATGGCGCCAATCACCACCACAATCCCTGGAAACAATGTACAGCTCAGCAGAGCACTGTGTGGTCCAGCACCGTACGACGCACTCGGCAGCAGAACCCCATCCAGACATGCTTGCACACGCGGTGTCCTTATAAAGTGCCATCGACAGCGCAGCAGAGCACTTCCACATGTATTCCTCTGGCTATTGGTACCCACATGACCTCTAGATGGGACCCCCTATTGCAGCATGCATGGCAGGGATGCATAAAAGACAGGCGTGGCTTGGGCAAACAAATGCAGTACCGTGGTTTTGCGCACGGCGCCGGCGGCGGCGGCCGAGGATTCGCGCTCGATGGTGAGGGGAGTGTAGCCGGTCATGAGGAAGTGGCAGCGCGGCGTCGGGATCAGAGACGCCACCAGGCCCACCAGGTCGTTGTTCATGTAGCCTGCGCGCGCACAGAGGCACCCATAAACAAGCATGCACAAACCAGCTGATCTCCCTAATGATCTCGCCTTCCGGTGTCCCTGAGAACTCTCCCTTGCCCGATTCTTTCTGGTGTGCAACCGGCCTGTGATGGTGCTCACACAGGGCAGGCACAAAATGTACAAGTTGTTCTTTCGTACAGCCGGGTGTCTAGTAATGGTCCTTGCTCCATAGGAATGACCTTGCTAGGAAATGAAGTTGAGCAATCTCAAGAGCCCACAATGCTCTGCACCACCATCTTCTGCAAGTTGCACCACTGATGACCCTAGCCAAATAACTGAGCATTGCCATTACAGTTCTGCACAGATAGCTGGGAGACCAGCGGGTTGACATGTGAGTCAGCGGTGAGTCACCGGGGTAGCGCAGCGTCGCGGTGGAGGCGGCCATGACGGTGGAGACAAGGGAGTTGGTCTCGCTGAAGGAGGGGTTACTGATGTGCAGCCGTTCGACGGCGATCCTGTTCAGCGCAGTGTTGTCCAGAACCACGACCGCATCCGCGTTCAGCGTCAGCCGCTTGAGCGTCAGCAGCGAGTTGTATGGCTGCACCACAACATCGCTCGCCGCCGTCTCGTTCTGGTTTGGGAAGACGCTGCGCGCATGCGAAAATTGCCAGCAATCAGTCATTGGCGGTGGACAGTGCGTGCTGCTTATTGTGTTCCCGATGCATGTGCACAATGCAGGACATCAAATGCCAATGGCGAAACAACCACTGATGCACTGCAGCAGTGTAAACAACTCCACCATGATGCCTTTACTCGCGGTCCCTGCCGCTTCCACATTAACAGACCAGTGGGCATCGCATGCTCCTCCCCAAGCCACACAGTAAAAAGCCTAGATCCTAGTGCTGCTGATGAGGACATTGCACGGTGACTTTCAGTGTTGAGCAAAAGAGCAAAAGCATTACCTGTAGGTCTGGATGAGCTTCTTGGGAAAGCGGTCCCCCAGGGCTTCGAGCAGGTAGGAACCCATGCCTGAGCCGGTACCCCCAGCAATGGAGTGGCACAGCACAAAGCCCTCCAGGCTGTCACTATACCCCGCCTCACGATCTGCGCAACAGGCAGCAACCCTCATTGTCTCTCAGGGGTGCTAAATACTACTAGGGGTATTTAGTACCCCCCATGTCTTGGCCCCGGCTGGCGGGGGGCGGTACAAATACTGAGCATCGTGCCCACGGTTGATTGGGTCTTGCTTGGATCTGGCGAATCCAACAAGGGGTAGGATTGTGGCAGCAATTAACTGCAACTTGTCTGCAGGACGTACCTTGCCTTTTGGCAGGAAAAGCGTGTAATAATAAGATAATAATAATAATGTCTTGGGGGAACACTCATGATACATGAGGGCAAGCCACTGCCAGCCACCTGGCATGGCTGGAGAGAGGGACTTCACTTTTTCGCAAGCACCACCAAGGCATATGCTTGGAACGGGCAAGCACTAGCGCTGCATACTCAGCAAGTGGCTTGCATTTCCACATGAGCCTGCAGCTAGCTATGCGGCCGCTCTTTAGAGCAATGCCACCCCAAAATGGTGATCAGTCTGTCTGCCATCGCTTAGTGATCATGGCAGTAACCTCAATCTCTGAGTAATTGTTTGCGCTCACAGTGGCCTTCTCAACCTTGGAGGGAGGTGTGACGCACCAATCATGTCCATGAGGTCTTCCTGCACACTCTCCCCCTGGTGGTACCCGCTGGCCCAGTTGTTGCCGGCGCCTCCGCCGTGCTTGGACAAGTAAACGTTCTCTGGATTGAACAGATTCTTGATATCCGAGTTCTGTATTGAATTGATTACCCTGAAAGCAGCAAACATTTCTGACTTAGGCTTGCTATGCCCTAGCAATGGCCAAGTTCTGCATTACCACGCCTCTTGCTGGCTTGTTGACGCACCTGCAGTTGATGAAGTTAGCGATAACGAGAAAGTCTCAGAGGATCGGGGAAAGAGTCGTGATTGCTGCACCAGTAGTTTATTACTTGAAGCCTGTTGCAATAACCAGATCATTGCTATTTTTGGTTGAGGGAAAGCTGAAGGTTGCACCTGGGCTCCAGGTCGATGAGGAGGGCTCTTGGGATGTATCTTTCGTCATCTGCCTGATAGAAGAAAACGTCTTTCCTGTCTCCCCCCTTCGTTGTGCAAGTTACAGACAGCGTCAGCTCTACACTGGCAGACCTTTGCGGCAAGAGCAGATGCATGGCATTTGGGGAAACACAGGCTCAGACAGCAGCCAATATCCGCGTACCTGAGTTGCAAATTCCTCTAATATACCATCGTTGCTGATCCCATGCTCCAGACAGAGCTGCAATGCACATTTAAGGAATGACACCACCACAGGATGGTTCTATGCCTTAAGGTAAAGGAAAAGAAATGGTGCTGGTGCCGCTTCTCAAAGCAGTGTCACTGAATATCTCTGCAACTACTGCTAGAACAAAATTGCATCTTGGCTATGGACACAATTGAATTCAACAAGAGGCCCCACCTTCCTCCAAAACTCTGATCCGATTTGATTGCCACACTGCCCGACCTGCAATGTGATTATTTCCCGAGGCATGGCTCAAACACTCTACATAATCAATGAGAAGGCGTTTCAAATGCTCCCTTTGTAGACCCCTTAACCAGTGAAGGTACTACTTCGCAGAATACACAACAAGATGTCTGCTTCTGCGTTGCAAAAGCTGGCCAATTTATAGTGAGTACGCCCTTTTCAAGGCCTCTTTCTTTTTCAATACACCCTCACAGTTGGTGACGAGCTCTGCGCGGACTTGAAGGCAGTGTGAATCAGGCGTTTCAGCCAAATCTCGACGCATGCCAACAGATCCAAGTCTGGCCTGGCATCTAGATATCACATCAACCCTCCGTCTCAAGGAATTATTGTAGGTCATTCCGCATCAATATCGATATCGCTGCTCGCCATGGACATACAGCCACGGTTGCAGACGTGCAAATTGTGTTGCTCAGATAATTCACATTTGGAACAAGCTCACTTCCCAGCTGATTGAAGGACTTGTGGTCAATTCATAAAACCCTACACGCACGTGTTTTCGTTCGCAGTGCGATAGTAGAAAGTCCTTTAATGCATCGTTGCCTCGCCTGAAGAAACAATTTTGAACCATTGAATCGGTAATTTAAAGTACTATCGTCAATTTTGATGCGGACAAGTCGCTGTAAACCTCCTGTCCCCAAGCCCGGGTGGGGCAGCTTGGTCAAGCCATCTTTACTAAAATTTTAGAGCATTGTACATCGCTTTGCTGATGGTGATCAACAGATCGCCTGGCAGGTCAAATAATGGATTTATGTTTCAGCGCCCTGGCAATGGCAAGAGCGCCATGTTGTCAGTCTCTGTAACTGCCAATGTTCTTTTCTTACTTTTTCTCATCTTCTGGTTAGCCACACGCATGCTTCCCATGAACCGAGACTTGAGGTACGTGCAATTAGAAACCTGATCTAACACAATCGGTTGATCACGCTTCAGTTCAAGATCGAGCATTATTGTCGCGGTCAACCAGGACCAGAAATCGCCAAGTGCCGATTCTTGCTGCTGCGCAGGACCGTGACAGCTACCTTTCAGGAATCAGAGCTGCTGCTCACGCGGCTGAAAGGGGACATGCAGGTGTGTTCTCATCGCTGAACTGTTTTCACTGCTGCACCGTGGTACTAGGAAACAGATTTGTGCATCGCAGCCCTCAGATGCAAGACCAGAGCCTTGGCATGCTTCTCATGGGCACTCAAGTCATCAGTATCTTATCGTAGCTATCTACAACGATTGTTGTTCCCCTCCATTACACCTTCTTCACACAACACCTTGCCTGGCATCTCAGGTGGTGACGAGCTATCTGGAGGGAGCCAAGCATAGCATGGAGGACAGGAGGGGTCTCGAGGAGGATGTCAGGTGGAAAGAGGGGGCTAATAAGGCAGCAGGGCAGGAGGTGGATCTTTTTGAGGCTCAAAAGGCGCTCAAGCTGCAGCCACAGGTGTTGGAGGAAGTGGCACAGCTCCGCAGCCGCCTGCAGGAGACAGAGCAGCACGCATCCGAGGTGCGGTGCTGTAGTCTTCCTTGCAGGGGTCCCTGGAGCATCCACTCTACTGCAGGGCTCATGTGATTTCAATGTCATAAATGCATCGTAGATGTGGTATCTTAGATTGGTGCTATCAGAATATGGGTGGCCATCGCCAGTACTGCTGCGCTGCCTAGAGGTACAAAACTCAGTACAGCAGACATCAGCTGCCGTCATATTGACGACGCAGAAACACGCGGCAAAGTTCACTCATGTGATTGTGGCCTGGCGCAGCTGGAGCAGGCAGTGAACGCCACTGAACGGCGGGCGTGGCTGACCATCGGCATTCCCACGGTGCCGCGCAAGACCGGGGCAGATTACCTAACGCTGACCCTGGAGAGCTTGCTGGAGGAACTGCCATTAGATGGAAGTGACCCGCTGTACGGCCGCGTCCGTGTTCTGATCATGAACAACCGGCCCGGCAATCACACCGTCTTCTACAAGGTGCGCCAATGGAGTTCCCTGCTGGTATTTGCTCGTTCTATTCAGCCAGGCCGCAGCTGGCGGGGGGGATGTGAATACCAAGCAACACGTCTATGGGTGGTAAGGTCTTAGTTGGATCTGGCGAGTCCATCAAGGGGCACGAATTATGGCAGCCTTTACCTGCTGCTTGTTTGCAGGTGCACCTTGCCTCTGGCTGGAACAGCGTGTAGTTATGACCTTACTTTTTTGGGGAGAGTAAAGTCTTTGCGTCCCAACGATTAGGTGAAGTTTGGTCCTGTGGAGCAGGGATTGCCCTTCCAAGGACATGCAAAGTGTAGCAGCGGCCTCCTGCAGCAACTGCACATTCCAACAGCTTTGTGGCGTGTGGCATGTGACCTCGATCTTTCTTGGTCCCAGCATGCAAGTGCAGCAGGATCAGAGCATAACCAAAAGTCTGATGGAGTGTTCTGTGAGGCGAGCAGGTGCGGCGGCGGATAGAGGAGGGAACAGCAGAGGACGAGTTCGTGGCAAAGGCGAGGGTCTACGTGGCGATGCTCGACAACCCAGGCACGCTTATTAGGACTCGCACAGAACCTGCTTTCTTGTAGCTGTCCTGTCCCTGCATGTCATTTGGCAGATGCACACTCCAAACATCAGCTACAACCACTTGCCAGGGCCGCCCATATATTGATTTTCTGGTGACCATGTAGCCTCAGCTGGCAAGGAGCAATTAAAATATAAGGAGTGGGACCACAACTATATCTGGCCCATCAATAATCTAGGACTTTGAATTTTGATGCTTTTGCCACACAGGAACTTTACCGGACCCAGCGCCGCATCTCCCCGACCCCAACGATCTCGACAACCCCACCAACCGCCCCGGCAGGTGCGCGCACATGCCCGCGCATGCCCGCACATGCTCATCTGCAGTTCCTTGCAGAATTTTGTGCACGGCCTCTGGATTGCTTCATTGAGAGCTGACTCAAGCGTCACGATATTGCTGGGTGCATGCTGACCCCAAGTTGAACATCTTTTGGGGTCAGAATGTTGCCATCATGTTGCGAAAGTGCGTTTGTGCTCCCCATATCATTGCCACTTAAACCCATGAACCAGCCTATAAACCAGGTCAGAGTGATAAATGGTAAGCAAACCTCGTTTTTGAGTGTGCACTTGCATTATGGTTTTGCAGGCAGGTTCGGCAGCAGACGTGCGACCTGATCACTCTGCTGGAAACAGCGACGCCGCAGTCCTTCTACTACCTCTTCATGGAGGACGACTTCAGGTGCGCGCGTTCCCACAGCCATGCAGATTCTAATAAGCTGCATTTGGCCAAATATCTCTGGCAGAGATGCTTGAGCTATCCCATTGCTGCACGTGCAACAAGGAGATGGATGTCTGGACAAGGGAGGCATGCGTTGGGTTCCCATACCTTTGCAGACGCTGTGAATCCGCTGCTACTGTATATGCCCTGCACAGCGCAGACATCACAGAGGGGAGCAGACTGCCTCTTGACACATGCGGAATAATGTCTTGGTAAGTTTGAGTGAAGGGCCCATGAGCTCTCCTCTGCTGTACTCCACTCCGCCAACTGGGCTCACAACCCAGCAGCCTGTCCGCATCAAGAGAGTATCCTTGCTCTTGGGGGATCATAGATACGTAGTCCAAGACGATCGTGCATGGCATCAAGCTATTGCAACATCGATTCGTCCTTGTATGCAACCGTAATGTGACTGTGCTTGCCTTGGTATGCCAGGGTGTGCCCATATACGGTGCCGACGCTGCAGTACATAGTGCGCAAGCTGAATGCGGTGCCGGCCACGCGCAATTGGCTGAGCGTGCGGCTGAGCTACGGAATGAACGGCATCCTGCTGCCAACGCTCTACCTCCCATCGCTCACCAACTACCTGCGGTGAGGGCATCTTCTTGCGACATCACTTGTTCAGCATGTGTTAAGACTGCAAATTTTTTGCGCCCATGTATATAGTAGTGCCTCAACCCCCGGCTGGCGGGGCGCGGTATAAATGCTGAGCACCGCGCCCACGGTTGATTGGGTCTTGCTTGGATTTGGCAAGTCCATCAAGGGGTAGGATTTTTGGCATCCTTTACTGCAGCTTGTCTGCAGACGCACCTTGCTACTGGCAGGAAAAGCGTGTAATAATATTAGTAATAATATAATATAGTAGTGGGTTGAAAAGGTGCTCCGGAGACATGTTGCGTGTGCCAAAATATGGCCGTCTGGTCAAGTTCAGTGCCAGATTGTCCGTGATTTGCAGCTGGCTTTCTCCATGCCACTTTTGGAGGCACTATTTTTTGTAGGTTATGGAGTCAGTGCTGCATCACTTGATGGCTGCCCTGGCTTGGCATACATAAGTTGCAAACGAACGTGCGTGCATGTATTTTTAGCTGCGCCTTGCCGCCAGGATAACCATAGCAGGCTGATTCCTTACATAACCATGACTCACCATCTGCTCGATCACATGCGCAGAACGCACACGGCGCGGCTGCCGCCCGATCTCCTCTACACGGAGTGGTTTGCCGGCAAGAGGGAGGAGACCTGGGACACAGTGCGAGGCCGGCAGCAGTACGTGTACCACAAAAACTTGTTGGATCACGTCGGGGCGCAGTCATCGTTCGCAGTTCGCGCAGAGCGGATGCCGTTTCCCCGCTGCTTCGACTCCATGGCAAACGTTTGGTCCATCCAGGCGCAAGAGCGATTCCAGGTGAGCAAACCTGCCAAAGATTCTAAGCACATGTATGATGCAAAATTTCTGATGTAGCAGTGGGGTTGTGCTTTCTGCTGGAACTTAGATCGCTTCTTTAAAGATTTGTCCATGGACTGAAATGGGTAGGACAGGACAGCATTTGTTTTGCACCCAGCTGCAAAAAACAGGATTACTGCACTTGCTCCTTTGCATGCAGCAGCATGTCACAGCATTTCATATGATGCTTGAATATCTAGAGAAGTGACTGTGCAGCCGTAAGAAATGTTTGCAGGGCAGCCAACTTTTTCAAAATACAGTATACTGTAAGCCGACGATGTGACTAAGGAGGGCGTCATGTGCGCGCAGGCGGCCGCATGCCCCAACAGCGATCTCTCCCCCTGTCCCCCGGGCGATGGTGGAGAAACATGGGTGCGCCTTCCTGTGCAGTGGCCAGACAAATTCAACGACGATGCACGATTTCATCCAACGGAGGCTGCCGCCACAACAGTCGGCAGCGCTCTGTTGCGATGAGATGGCGCCAGCTGGCCTTGCGATATATCGTGAGCTTAAACGGATGATAGCCTGTTTACTGCAAGAAGGACTGGAACTCGTTGAACAGCAGAAGGGCTGATGCAGCAAGCATGATAAAAGAAACAAGGCATGGTCAAGCATCATCAGCTGCTTGGCTTGGAACAAGGGAATCAGTGAAGTGCGATTTTGTTGTAGAGAACATCAGAGAACAAGATGTGCCCAGAACAAGCAATGGCCAGCATTGCTGCTCAGAGACAGGCAATGTATGCAGTCAGATCCGGGGGCTTCAAATCTGTAGACTGGCAAGATTTCATTTAGTGTGTGGCGCTCTGCACGCCTAGACAAGGCCTGAAATGTATGCACAGGTTGTTGTTTTTCCCAGGGCAGATGTGAGCACTTCAGCTTTTATGCCCGTAATGTGTTTGCCGACAGACGATATCATTGTGTACTTTTTTACATTGTAAAATCAGGGAAGGTGGCCATGAATGGCCACTTCTTGACCTGACAAACTGTCGCCTAGCCACCTCATCACAGCCAAATTAGTGGGTATGCACCGCTCGTTTCAAACCACTCCTGTTCAAGAAACTACCACAAGTTCCTTGTCAACATGATGGCGCACCGTCCCAGCAATCAACCGCTGGTGACCTTCGCGACTGGCCTTCTTCTCTTTGACATATTCTACTAGGATTTCAACGAAGAGGCTCATTAAGAAAGAAAGAAAGAAACAACGCATACCGGTAACCTGGGAACTCTGTGGGAGACCCAGCATGCATACGGGCAGAGCCAAAGAGGCTCTGCAGGGAACATCACGCTGTGAGCTTAGCCCCCGTCATAAAAAGGAAATGGGAGGGCAGCGAGGAGGAGGCAGGAGCGGAGCGCAAGGGGGGCCGGCGGGCGCTGATAGGAGCGCTGGATTCCCGCGCCCGGGGAAGAAGCATGGGGAGGAGAGGCGGGCGTGGGAAGAGCAGACGCAGGAGCAGAGCAGGCTAATTAAGGCTGACTCGAGGCAGAGTCGGTCTTCGTATCGCCTACTGCCAGATTAGGCCACAAATGGCGGGACTTTTCCAAGGCGGAGTATAATGAAGAATTCCTTTATCTTCTAAGTTCTTCTTTATATTCCCCTTGACTTTTCTGCGTCAGTAAGTGCGCAAGCTAATGCGGTGTGGGTGCATGGGGACGTCCTGGGCCCTCGACAGGCGCACAGCTGGTGGCACAGTGCCTAAGCAGGCGATCGCTCGATCCGATGCAAATTCAGTCCGAGGTTGGTCTAGCAACAAGACACCCCAGGGGATAACTTCTCGTAAACTTGCGACAAGTGCTGAGAGTAAAGACATTCAAGCAAGATACAAGTGTTTATCGATCACAACACTCGTTCTTCGATGGATGAGATGGGTATGCACTCGACGGCCCCGCAAAAAGCCGCGGCAAAGGTCTGGTCTTGCGGAAACGAGGATTGCCCCCACGGTCGCTACTGGCCACGCACATATACTTTCACAGAGGAGTACGAACATCACGTTTGGGGCTCAGACAAAAGTTTCAGAAAGGGGATAGATATTTGCGGAATGCCGCAATGTCTCTTTCTGTCGGAACTGGGGCCAGAAAGAGGAACAATCCCTAGCCCAAAGCACTCCCAAAATCAAGTGCTCAGAGTAATGCCTGGCACACACTTGAATTGGAGGGTAAGTAACGTTCGATGTAAGGTGCGCCTCTTACAAACTGCATTCTGACAAGCCTACAAATAGCCCATCAATAAATACAGCCAAACAGAAACCTTCCTGTGATGACGCCAGAACGTGGACACACAAGTGAAGACAAGAGCACGGGAAGGAATTAACAACCCAGAAAAGAGCAGAGGCCAGCATACTCTCTGTGAATCTCCACAACGACGACTCCTAGGTAACTTACACTTCCCGATTTCCCATCAGCTCAAGTTGAAGGCATTGCCACCCACTGCTACAACAAAACTCCTCACACAAACAGACGAGACACCGACCTCACAAACGCTCCTCTTCGACCACACTGCTGCTGACAATTGCTCTTATGCAGGCACAAACAAACGACACACAGCAAACGCCAAGGATCAAAACTTGGAATAGAGAGACCACGGACGCAGAACTCAATTCCCATGGAAGGACATTTCGTAAGGACAATATGCAAGCAGATTTGTTGCAAAGTATTTTCACAGGTGTGGCCAGGTCCATTGCAATGGGTGTGCTATGGACGGCCTCTTGAGTGGGCGGTGCATGCAGATGAAGTACTTGGGCCTCATCTTCCAGGCCCAGCAAGGCATGCATGCTACTTACTCGAACTTGAACAGGAAAGTATGGGCGCATGGGCGCTATTACAGCGACAATTTGGGCAGCTCCAATGTGTTGCTTCCATTGGGCTGTTGTTACAATCGTATAAGACATGTGTGCCGCCTACTGGTCGGTATGGCTCAGACTTATGGGGCCCCTACCGCCTCGGAGCACCTCTGTCATCTACTCGGGAATCGTTAGGGCTTTCACATTTACGGATTCTCAAACAGGTTGTTGGTGTTAGGTCTACTGTGGCCACAGCGATCTTGATGAAGGAACCTGAAGTTCAGCCTTTTGAGAATGAGTCCTGGCTCCGTGCTGTCCGCTTTTGGGATATTCTAGCTTCCCTTCTAGATGCAACTTCCTATAAGCGCATTGCCCTTGATGTCTGCCAGTCTGTTGTGACAAGTAATGTGATGATTATTCATATGAAATTAATTGAGCTTGGTCTATTATCAAAGGTGTACGCAAATTAGGCTATGATCTTGTCCTCAGTGCTTCAAAGTTGACTTCCATTGATGTTGCTAAGTTTACTCAGGTTCTTGCTGACCGTGCCAATTTAGCATGGTTAGACACTCGATAAAGATCTTTCTTTTGGGTACTGGCTGGTGCTATACCCAAGGCTTTCAAAGTTATAAGTATTTGTAATTGGCAAACACATGGCTCTGCACCAGTGTAAAGCAGCTGTGATGTGTGCATGCTTGCTGAGATGCTTTGCGGCGCAATTTCCAGCAATACCATAGTATAGGCACATGTATGCGCATGGTGCTTTTGATGTCTGCCAATCTCTCTTCATGCATATAACAGCTATTTTCACAGCCGAGGCAGGAAGATACAAAGGATCTCTGCAGCACAGGGATTAGGAATTCCGAATTTGTTTAAAGTTTGAACGCTCTAGTGAAGAGCAAGGCAGCACAAGCAGCAGAGGAACTGCAGGCGCATCTGCATCAGCTGCATCAGCAGGACAAAATTGGCTTTGAGAAGCACTTGTGACGGCTATTTTCGGGATTGAGTGCAGATCTAGTGATTTTTTGTAAAATCCAGACCCATGTGAATACCACGTACTCTACATTGTGACAGCTGCATGCGTTCCAACAATGCCGGATGCACATGCCTTTCGCAATTGACATGGAAATCAAGCTTCTTTAGTCTATGATGGTTTGCATGACATAAACTACTGCTACAGCAGCTGCCTCCTACAAGCGTCGCCTGCTATTTGAAAACACCTCTGTTGCACTCTGGCCAGCACCATTACTTCACTGCCATGCGAAAATGCTTTCAGGCCCATGAAAGCACCAGTCAACTCTGTGATTGGCTGATTGGCTGCCATCGGCAAAACCAATAGCTCATCGCAATTTAAATGCCTGAATTTGTCACCATTTTGTCTGGGCAAGCAAGGCAGGCACCATCACTTGGGTGCACCGGACATTCATGTGCAGTTGCTGGGCACCAGAAGAGCTGTTACAGCCGCTCAGTCAAAGCCGCAGATCAGGCACAACCCCCACAAACAACCCCGTCGGCAGCTTCCTGCAGCTTCTCAATGCCAAACCAGGCAAAAAGTCCCTGTAAGTTTCCCAGTTGGCAGCTTCCTGCAGCTTCTGCATTGCCAGATCAGGCAAGCCACCATGGCCACATTCAGGCAGCGCCTTGCTCAGTCAATGCTGCAGATAACGCTATGATTCCCCAGACGCCCAGTCAGCAACTTCTTGCAGCTTCTGCTCTGCCAGATCAGGCCAGCGATGCGACACTCATGGCAGGCCCTCATTTGTTCAGTCAAAGCCGCGGATCATGGTGGCCTGTGTGACTGAGCGCAGAGCCAGCACATAGGCTGCAGTGCGAAGTGGCAGCTTCTGAGTTGTGTGCACGTCCCAAATCCTCTCAAATGCATCAGTCATTTTGCGGTCGAGCCGCCTGTTGACCTCCTCCTCCTCCCATCGGAAGGTCTGCTGGTTCTGCACCCACTCGAAGAAGCTCACTATCACGCCGCCTGCGCGCATGCAAATCCGCTGGTCAAATCCCTATTAGTTGCGCATCCCTTCCACAAAATCACAAGGCCTTAGCAAGTACTTGGGTCCTGCAGAAGGTGCATGCCAGCAGAGTCCAGGCATTAGGACATGCACACAAGAGCAATCAGCCAAGTTGCTTTTTTGATAAGGGATTTCAAGACAAGACACCAGAAAGGCTGCAGGCAAGAGCTTCTGCTGAGTCGTAAATGCAAGCGCTCATGCCAGGGCACTGCCTTGAAATAAGCTTATGCACAGAAAGATTTCACCGCTGTAAGCTGCAATGGGACACTGGAATGGCTGCAGCCAAAAGATTCTGGCCGATTTGAGAAGCCAACACTAATCTGGCCTGATTGCATGCACGGGCTGGGTGATGCCGTGAATGTTCGGTGGCAAAGCACATGTGACAGCTCATGCACACGATGTCAGAGACCAAGCTAGCACTGCCTGTATTCCGCCATACTAATTCCACCCCTTTCATAATAAGAAGTGACTGGTATCGCAAATATCATGCAGTGCTAGCCCGATCCTTGCTCCCCATCGCACCACACTTAAGCTCTGATGAAAGAGACTGTCTCCCAATGATCTAACCATTCTGCACGGTAGATTGGCATCTCTCCAGACCAAAACCCATGATGCAGGGTTCTGACCCTTCCTCCACGGGGGTGCATTGAAAAAAATTATACCCTCTGTGGGGCATATAGGAGTCAGAGTGTCGATCCCTTCTCAACAGAGCCACACCCTTCGCTACACCTGGACCTTTAAAAACCCCTCCTTGACAGGGGTGTTTATACAGCAGGACGAGACCCTACCACCATTGGCGTACACACATCCGGCTGTAAGACCCTCCCTCAACAGGACAATACTACAACTTGTCAAATCCATACCTCCATTGGACTTGACCCATACATTGATATAGGTGTCAGGGCTCTGACCCTCATATGAAGGGGCCTTCACATGATATATTATGCCCTATGGCCCTCTGGGCTCTGGGTTTGCCAACATAAAGGTTATCATTATTATGATACATGATGCAAACTCACCTCCGTTTGCATACACATCAGGCAGGACAACGATGCCCCGCTCGCGCAGCGCTTTATCTCCCTCAGGGGTCGTTGGCCCGTTGGCTGCTTCGACCACGTATTTGCAATTGAGCTTCGTCGCAACTTCTTCTGTGATCACATCAGGCACCGCTGCCGGGATGAAGACATCGCACGGCATCGTCAGCAGCTCTTCTATAGCTAGCCGCTCCCCTGCGCGCAGTGCATGAATTACCCCTAATTCTAAATTTTGTAGTGAGGGCTTACACCTCGATGACACCAGGCCTTGTTATACGGCATTAAATCCCCCTGCTGTAGTAACACAGATTGCGCATTCGCTGTTGACAGTCAGCGCTGCAAAGCTCTTAAATGACGTTCGAGTGCCGCGGCAATGAGCTTTGGAAATGTTGTCTCCTCAAGCACCATACCTCATGCAGCAACACCCAAACGTCTCAACATGTCTCAACAACAGGAAACAAGCGATACTAGGAGAAACCATGCACTCTATGCTAAATCAGATGTTCACCTGTTTTTCACAGAAGCATACCTAACCAGGGCAACAACCTGGCAGAAAAAGGAGCTGAGCAGAACCACAGAGGGGTCACCTCCTGGGAAGGAGCTCATGTGGCCGCCAAAGGGGGGCTGGGCCTTGATGTGGCGCTTGAGTGAGCGGATGTCGAGTCCCTCTGGGTTGTAGATGGCCCCGGTGCGGTCAGACACCGCTATCACTTTGCCCCCGTACAGCTCCAACAGCTCCGCCGCCCAGCCGCCCACGTTGCCAAACCCCTGCTCAAGACAAAATCATGTTCATCTGGAAGATATTTACGGTATACCGCAGAAACAATTTCCATTACGGGCTTCTGTATCATGAAATAAAGCGTGCTTGTGTACGTGCCTCTTGGGTACACGCAGTGCGTTCAGTGGTGTCAATTAAGATTGCAATTAAGATTGCTAAATTCCTCTCAACTCAACCCAGCAGGGGCGTAGTGGGGAACACCCTTGGAAGCTGTGATGTAGCATGCACATTGAGACATCAAGCAAGGTCTGGCCGATGCAAGCAGACTGTGCCAGATGGAGTCCTCCCATGAAGTGTCATGACATGGACCAGACACTACCATCAGTGATGCAAACATTTAAACATGCAGAAGATCTACACGGAGCTTCCATGTACCACTCAATTGGCTTGCCAGTGCACAGGTCTTCACAGGATTTGTACTGAGCCCAGCCTCGTGCTCTCACCTGGATAACAAAGGTCTTGCCGGCGATCTTGCCCATGTGCTCGTTTCGCAGCAGCTCCCTTGTGGCTAAAACGACTCCTCTGCCAGTCGCGTACTCCCGCCCGTAGCTGCCATGCAGCGTCATCGGCTTGCCTGCATGGACATTGCACATGTCAGCGTCTAGCATGGCCTGACACAAGCATATTCCCTTGTGCAGCAGATCGCCTTTCAAAGCTTCGATGCGCCGAGCAAACATCTCGAGCAACAAAATGCGCGCATGCACGTGGATCCAGCACCTCACCATGTTGTTCAAACACGAAGGAGCTCCAACAAAGCCAGTGCCTTGAATACACTTTGCTGGAGTATCTTTCACATGTGAACACTATGACGAGTCTCTACCATCTGTTGCGTCTCTTAAACGCTTCTGTGTATCACAGTCGTGTTGGCATGGAGAACTCTAAGAGATCTCTGCCCCTTCTTACAAGCTCTATATTGTGGCAGCTTGTTCCCTGTGCCTTGTCTGCAGACGCTTTGCCTCTGGCAATTAGGGTCTTCAGTCAGCATCAAGGATTTTTCTGAGCAGGGCAAGGGCTTACCCGTGACACAGGCAGGGGAGAATCCCTTGTACTTGCTGTACTCATCAAACCACCAGGACATGACTTTGGAGCCTGCGCTGATCTCCGGCCCGGGGATGTCTCGGTCCGGCCCCACGCAGTCCTTCAGCGCCTGCGCGCAGCACGCGCGCATGTGCCGTCACATGCCAAGCCAAAACCTTCAAGGACTGAAATGATAGATGATATTGTTTGAACTGCCCCGAATTGGGCTCAGTTATGGCGCTTCCGAGCTGCGCATGTGCCTCTTGACACGCAATACCGAAACCGAATAGTCACATCTTAGGACTGCACACAGGGTTTCAGAATCCTGTGTGGTGCAAACATGCCGAAGATGACCTGCGGTATCCTTGGATCGTGCAACAGAGCTGGAAATAGCTCTGTTAGCGTTCACGACCAAGCATGCCCCATGCCAATCGCGGCATGTTTGCATCACATGTACAGCAAAAAGGGGGGTCCCACATGTTTAAAGAACAACACTCCTGGGTTTCAAAGTGTAAGGGTAAAGAGTATAAGCAGGGGGGAATGTGCACGCGCCTGCACGAGCTTGCGGGTGATGCGTTCGAGCTCTGCCTCTGTGAGGTCTTTGGGGTCGCAACGCACTCCGCCCTTGGCGCCTCCAAAGGGAACGTCCACAACCGCTGTCTTCCACGTCGTCAGGCTAGCCAGGCTGCAAACAATGACCCATTTTCAGGTTATCGGAATATCTCAATTCATCTGTAGAGCTCTTGTCTGCGATCATTCTGCGCACAGCAGGATGTCTGGCTGGTGCGGGAATCCAAGAGCGGAGGAACACTAAAGAAGCAGAGTATGTGTGCAAGCAAAGTACTGAAGTCACCCGGATTCCACCAAGCAAGATGCATGCATGCAAGTGTGTGAGCAAATATCATGGGCTTCAGGGTGTGGGCGCACAAATATTGCCCGGCTCATGAATGCACTGAGCTGAGCTGCATGTGTGAAAATGGGTAAAAGGCATGCCCCATTTTCAGACATGCAGACGTGCTCAATGCACCCCATGTACTCCTCAGAATCCACACTTTCTTGACAGCACTGGATGGGCCACCGCTTTCTTGAGACACCTACCACTCGCGGAAAGCATGGCCTGACATCAGAGCGTCTCAGGCCTTTACTGAGACCTTTTGTCTTGTGAGCAGCATGCCATCATTCAAAAACTAGTGATTCCTTGCACCGCACCCCACAACCACTTTTGAATGACCACATCATGATAACCGCAGCCGTGATCCTGATTGCGGTGTGTTTCACTAGACTACATGATCCACAGCACACCTGCGTACGTCATCCATGCTGACATTGGGGTGGAAGCGGAACCCCCCCTTGAAAGGGCCGCGGCTGTTGTCATGCTGCACGCGGTACGCGTTGAAGATCTCGATCTCGCCGTTGTCCCGGGTGATGTTAAGCTCCACATGCAGCTCGCGCTGGGGAGTCAGCAGCAGCTTCTGCAGGCGCTCTGGGTAGTCCAGCACCTGGAACGCCTGAGCAGACCAGACATGGGTGCATGTCAGACAAACCAGCTCTAAATGTTGATGTGCTCTATGCACATTACCACAGCTTCTGCCCCGTACATCTACATGCCCTTTCCTCGTTGAAAGAATTCTCCGACTTAAGGTGCCAGCGACTGCATAAAATGAAAGGACTTTTGCAAGCATGTGCTGCGGGGTAACAGGGTGTGAGCGGACGCCCCATCACATCCTTGCACAAGTGTCAGTCAGATTAGAAAAGTTGCATCTGCAAATCAATGATGGCTTTGCACTCCTGATTTAGATCACATAAGAGCAATTTTGCGGTCTGGTGGGGCCTCTCTGGATTGCCAGCAGATTTTTCACTGTTTGCAGGACGAATGTTTCAGACATGCATCCAAATGGCTCAAAATGGAAGATACTCGTGAACAAAGCAAGGCTTCTGGGGCGGGTGCCACATGGATCACATCATATGATACACACTTCGGTAGCCTGCCGTGTTGAGAAACGGCCCTCCATGTCAAGCTATAAGGGCAGACGAGCGGTGCAACGACAGAGGGCTTGGCAGATCAGGCACCTCTCTTACAAATGTGTCTGTCCGGTGGGACTGGGTGCCCTTAGGGGGTTCCGAGTATGCAGGCTCGTACAGCTCCTCGCCAGAGAACTGATCCAGGGCTGACGCAGCATGCTGGCCTCTCGCATGTTGCACCTGCAACGCTCCTCTGACATGCCTCAACAAGGCATTCGATGCCGTCCGCCTGAGCAGCATGCCTGCTTCGTGCCTCTGTTGGCAGCACCCTGAAATGAAACAAAGTCTCCTTCCTGTGAAACGTGTGTCACGCTGAAGTGCATGCCCGCAGGAACAATCCGATCCCTTGCACCTACTACGAGATGATTAGAAAGTACAGCACAACAAGAGGTAAAATTTGCGATGTAGCAACTAATGATATGATAACGATTGCTGGTCTTACCTTACTAGGTCGTGAATAATTTCGAAGGTCGCTTCAGAGTGCTACGACAAATGAAGATGCCTGATTTGCAACAAACAGAAATGTTCTTATATGCTGAGATGGCGCGTGAATTGATCAATCAGAGGAGAGAAGCCCCCCTCCCTCTGTTAGCTTTTCGCATCCCAAATATCTTGAAGGATGGCGCTTTAATCACTGGTCCTGCACTGCTGAACGACTTTCAATGCTTCTATGACAATCTTTGTGGTCGTGAGCTATCAAGAATGCCTCGCAGATAAGGGGGTTTCCTTCGGACATGTACGTGTATCGATCCACCTCAGCATTTTGGCATCAAGCGAGCACGTGCCGAATCTACTGAACTTAAGCGGTATCCCACGATCTCATTGCTTTGCAAGCACTCTCGGATCAGTAAAAACTGCGAACGGGTCCCCACGAGGGTTTATGCCTTGTGAGCAGTCCATGGAGACATAAGATAGGTGGAACCCGATCATCTTGCACCATACATCCGTCATTGTACCGCTCGATCAAGCGGATTGAGCCAATCCATCAAGGCATTAGGTTGCACAGAAGAATTTCTTGGCAGCTACGTGATGTGACAACACTCCGCAGTCGAAGCATGATCGTTCACCCAACCGATGGGACTGCATTCATATGACATACTCAAGTACCTCGGTGTAATGACAGACTTCCTCAAAAATACGAACTCCAGCACAACAAATACATCATGCACATACAGTAAATCCATGTCCTCAACCGCCGCTGTGCCAATACTTACCCACTATTCCCTCAGACTTCCTCTACCCATCAAACTGGAAGGAGGACACTTTGATGCCCATCAGCTCATCGTCAAACACCACCCTTCCGGGACCATTGGCAGCCCCGGCAATCACATGCAGCGGCAGCAGGTGTTCCTCCCGAGGATGGCACTCTCTGGCGCTGGGCGCCTCTTCCCAGTGCTCCATGAGCCCCTGCCGCTGCGCTGCGCTGTGCTGTGAGTTAGTCAGTGCGTCATGGAGATATGTGTCAAACTCCTGCGCACCACACAGCAAAGGCCGCTTAGCTCTTGGCCCGCGTTCAGACTTATGACAAGCACTGGCTTGGAAGGCCGCTCCTGTTAGGCCTGTTGCAGGATCCGACTCAGTGGCTCAAGCTTTGCGCATACATGCACCCCTGCCGAAATTGATACAAGCAGCTGAGACTTGGCAACCTAAGCGGGTAACGTATGGACATGCACAAGCTGTAAAAAAACAGGGAACACAACCCTGCCAATGAACACATGATGCAAATAATACTTGCAGAACCAGTAGTGCAGCTCGGCAGCCTGTTACGACTACAGAGCCCGGCTCTTGTCGTTGATTGAGACATCAATCCAGGGATACAATGTATAACGCAGCAATTGTGCCAGTTGCGCGCCTTGCTGGCGGCCAGTGCGGCGCTGACGCCGCCGCCGCGGGCGAAGCCGCGCATGTTGTGGAAAGACATTCCCGACCCAAACAGCAGCACGCCCTCGTCCCGCAGCGCGCTTATCGCCTGCCCCATGCGCATGTGCTCCTGCAAGAGCATCCAGTCACTATCTCTACTTTCTTTACTGGACTTCATCCGCCAATTTGGAGGATTTGAAGCTTTGTGCACTTGCCTGTTCTGCCCTGCCCTTGCAGACTGTAGCAACAGTGCATAATGCATCAACAAGCAATATTCCTGGAGATAGGCGTGCATGCCATCAGAGACGCTCGCGTGCAAAGCTGTCTCTCTGCCAAGACAGCGGTCTCCTCCGCACGTGACGAAATGGAGCTTCATATTTACCTGAGGGTTGAGCGAGGACAGCATTGACAGCTGGACGACAGGGATGTCTGCAGCAGGGAACGCCAGCTTCAGCGGCACAAAGGTGCCGTGGTCAAATCCGCGCTTCGCGTCCAGCTTTGGCGCAAAGCCCGCCTCTCTGCATTGTACGCACACATCTCACGGTGAGGCCCTCGCTGCTGCCAGGGGAAGATTGTGGACCTTCTTGAGAATAGATAGATTGCAAGGCATGAAGGCATTGCAAGCATGAAAGTTTCGGAAAGGGCTGCCTTGCAGTGTCAACAGAGTACATCAGATAGTGCAAACATCATGGTTGAATGATATATTAGGAAAGTGTGAAACATGCGTCAGAGACATAATGAGATGCATTACAGATTTCAGGAATATTTTCCAAAATATGCATGCATTTTCTGGGAAGTTTATGTGCAGATTATCACCTTAGAAGGCCGGCAGCACGCTGCGCCAAATTGGCTGAGCCAGGGGCCGGGTATTTTATCTGGTAAGACTCTGGTGGGAAGCCGTAGTAATCATAGATGAGCTCTGGCGCAGTGCCGCTTGTCAGGGTAGGATTTGCCTCCTGCACAGCACATAGAGCAATAATTTGGGTCACCAGTAGCGCCATGGTGAAACGCCTCTGAAATTTGCCAGAATCTCCAGGGGGAGGTCCATGCGGCGCAAGATCGAAAGATACGATGAAATGTAATAATTAGGACAACGAAAATGAGAGAGGCACAATTAATTACTACTGGCACTAGAGAGTGGAACATCACCTCCCAGTGGGCTGAAATAACCAGGATGGCCTTGGGCTGAGCATGCAGAGAGGCCGAGTATCTCTGCAGCCACTTGGTGAGACCTGCGTGCCCAGGATGGCCCAACAGAGGCAGCGGTCCCCCACCGTGGGCCACAAACACAGCAGGCTGCTTGACTGACGTCGTTGCGTTCATCCCACCTCTCTCGTACTATTTAAGTGCCTGATTATGATGATGGATACCTTGTTTCTACCTTCAGTAGATAATGTTAATGCTAGACTACACGATGGACTTGCAGAGCATGTACAGGCGCACTCGTGCTGCAGTGCAGGCTTAGGTCTGCTTCGGCATGTGAAGGTCCAAGTCCCTAGTTGCCACTGTGAATCAAAAACTTCAGTCGATGCGTCGTAAATACATGATCAACTATCGTGTAATTACGACGCTGATATTTCATGCACGAAGACACATGAATCCGCACATTCCTTATGCCAGAGAGGAGCTTATCACGTCATGCATGAAGATCCGGCAGCTTCGCGGGAAGGGGAAGCTGAGCATGTGGAAGAACCTATTAATATAAAAATGAATATTCAGTCTCATGAGGATCTGGGAATAGTGAGCACCAACGGAGGATAAGGCAATTTGATGTTCAGGTTATGTGGGTTGGACAAAGCTACTGCCATTTCGGCAAGGTCTCTTGTTGTGCTGACAAGCATTTCCTCAGTCATCATACTGCAGGAACGGGAACCCTTGTATTCTGAACGCCTTGTGAATACCCGCACAAGGATCGATACAAGGTCCAGTTAGCTAGCAGGCGTTTGCCAACACACTTCTAGAGGTGGCTAGAATCCACCGATGCTTCATTGAAGTGCGCACTCAACTGTACACATCGAGAAGTAGATTCTGCGGTTGCACCTGCACGCAACACAAGCACGCGCCTCTTGCGCAGGGGCCGTGTCTCGTGATTAGCTGACGGACCACTAGATGCCCCTCATTCCCACCCCAATCCTTGCAGCACTTGGAGGTGACCGCTGCAGCCTTCCACATACTTTTGTTCTTGACTATTTGACTGAGGAATTCCTCCTAATGAGCGCTTGTTCAGACGCGACCTTCCTCCCTACTTGTGTACAGGCTACTTCTTCACATATTACAACACAAGGATCACGGAGGAGCGCAAAGCACAGATTGAGCGTGTCAATGAGCAGGTCTAGCATTCTACTTTTGCTCAAATGCCTTCTTATCACATGTGCACCCTGCAGTCAAGTGCTTCGTGCAGAAAGGCTACCTCGGCCTGTCTCTGAGGAAAATTACCTGCAATGACAGAAGAGGACACTTGTTGTCTGCCGATCAAGCCGTGAAGTCAGTGTCTGTGGTGGCAAAGCATGGAAGCTTTTGAAAGTACTTGTTCTGCATTTAAAAAGGGGCAATCATCTAACTCAAGGAATGTTGCTTGCACAGGTGCGCTCGCTCTATGGACCCCTGTTGGCGTGCGTGACAGCCTCAAAGTCAGCTTTCGAGGCGATGGTGCACCAGCACAGCCCAGAGGCCGGCGACAGAAATTTTGTGGAGCTCGTCAGGGAGAATCCCGAGGGGAGAGAGGGCCAGATTTACAGGCGCGCGCACCCTTCCCTCCCTGGGTCCTCACTGCAGCATTGAAGATGTCCCCACAGCTTGCTTAGCACATGATCGGGTAGCAAATCTGGGGGGATCAAGCTGTTGCAGGAGGTGGCCTGTCCTCTGTAGACAATATCAGCCCTTTAACGGCTCTTTTAAGGTAAGGGGCAGGGCAGAAGGCAATAGTACCCGACACACGCCGCTTCGCTTGTGACTTTCTCAAAGGTCATGCGTGGATGGCTGTTGCAGGCATCAATCTGGGGGCAAAGGAACATGGGCTCACATCAGCTGTCCTTCTACAAAACGTTTGAGAGCATGCAACTTTATGTAAAGATAGTCATCATGATTAAATGCGCAGGCAGTGGATGAAGGAGGTGCTTCAGCCGCTGAATGAGAAGGCGGCTGACATCATCGTGCGCCATGCGGACCTGCTGCAGAGCGCACGGATGGAACCTCTACTGCTTCAACTTGTCGCGCATGTGTCAGCCTACCGAGTCATCCTCAAAAGGTATGCTGCAAATATGTCCTCTTTAGCAGACGATAGGAAATCATCTGTGCGTTGGCCAGTGTCAGGCGTTGGTGGGTTTTGGCAGAGCTTTGCAAGCTTGAGGAGGACAAAATACGAAATAGTTTGGTGGCATGAAGTCATCACATGTGTTGTGTCCTGAGCACTCTCAGTGCCAAGGTACCAAGGGAAGGAATTTTTTTACACTCTCTCTGAAGAAATCACTTGCGCATGCCCATTTCAGGGAAGGGCAAGTGCAGGACTTGAATGCGTTGCAATTGCAATCATAGATTAAAATGCCGCCATGCACTGTAGAAGGATTCTGCAGCAAACAACACAAACATGTTCCGGCCCAGGAAAACTAAGTAAGCAATCGCAGTGCATGCATGCATGCAAGTGTGTTCTAAAAGTGCTTGTGCCTTAATGCAGGTGGGAGGCTGGGGACCTGAACGAGTGGAGCGCTATCACTTACCCGGACAAGCTGCATGAATATGTCACTGAAGAGTTCAGGCGGATCAAAAAGCGCCAGGCAGATCTTCTGGGCATCAAGGAAGGAATCAGATCAAAGCTCTGATCTGCTTGCAGTTCATGTGTTGGTTTAAATGGATGTGATCAATTAGATCTCCTGGGTAGAGGATCGTTGCATTGTTGCTGCATGTTGTGCACTCGTGAGGCAGTCCTCCCTCTTATTTCCCTGGAAACCACATTCCTTTGGTGTGTGCATGTCTGTCTTGCTAAGGAAGCGCACCATATGCTATGGTCTCAAACATGACAATACAATTGTATGAGTGTGTGTGTATTGAAGGCTTGCAGCACTGAAAGTTCAGACTGCCATAGCGGTTTTACTGAGCTTCAGCAGTGAATTGAATGACCATGTACAGTAGCGTGGAACATCAATGACTAATCTCATGACAGGTTGTGCTGTATGATTTTGAGGACAGGTTGGGTAAGATGGGATTGCCTATCTGAACTTGAAAGAGAATTAACTACACAACAGCTCGCACTCTTTGCAGAAGTACACATGGTGGAGTGTGCGACAATGCAACCCAAAGCAAATCAAAACCGAGCAAAGCCACTTCCCAGCCTTAATTAGGGCACCGCCAGAAGAATGACACATCACATCTGTTTTGTTTGTGTCAGTCACCCTCTAGGCCCACATACCGGGGTGTCCTCTGCTACAAAGACTTCCAGAGCTCTGACAAATAACTTCAGATACACTTAAATTTGGAAGGAAATCTTGACCAGATCTACAGATGACTGCAGAGAGGCTAACTAATGATCACCTCCCACGCAAGAACCAGTCAGTGGCCGCAATGCCAAACACTGATGGACTTCTAACTCTGCAGTTTTGCCAATGACTCGGCCAGTGCCGCAGCCTTCGCTGAGTCAACACTCTGGCTCACATGCACCCGCTTGGACTTCAACTGCAACTTGCGATCAGTTGCAGAGCTTGAAGGAATCCACAGAATCAGCCAGGCTGCCTGCGACAGGTGACACAGAGAGTGTTCATCATCTGCCTATGAAATCACAACCAACCAAATTTCTCATGTGCAGCAAATTTTGTGCTGCCTGTGTCGTGTGGGCTTCAAACCAATGTGGAATGCAGGACATGGAAGACAGCACGAGCGCCAAGAAGGGCTGTCTCGCGGTGTAAACAGAGAGCGTTGAAAATGCCCTTATCACGTCTCCCAAACCGATGATCACACTTTATTGATACCACAACTAGGAAGGACCAAAAGGACAGAGAACATGCCAGGAGATATGAAAAGTTCTAATTGTACCTCTGATGGGGCCTTGCTTGGCGGGCAGCTGTCCGGAGGCCGTGCCTGTATGCAGCAGCATGCAAATCAAATGCGCCAAATCCTCAGCCCAAAAGATGCCCGCAATTCTTGGTCCATGCATCGCATCACGATGTTCAGCCGCTGCGTTTGGGGACCAACGTGCAGGTATAGGTTGCAATGCTGCACCTCTGCTGGCTCCATACAATGCAAACATGGCAGATCCACTGCTTACTTGAGCTTTCTCCATGAAACAGGCGGTTGTGGATAAGGATGCTACCTGTGCAGAAGTGGCCATCGTACAGAACGATGTAGTTTCCTGCATTGCTGGTGTACGACTCCCAGGAGTTCGTCCTGACGAAGTTCTGCAGGCAAAGTACGACGACAGTCGTTAGTGAAGAATACATCAAATTTTTGATACCTTTGATACCCAGGATGATAGGAAGCTGCTGGTAGGAAGCTAGCGATGGGAGGAATGACATCCTATAGGAAAGCTCGCTGTCGATCAAGTTCCCTTATACAGAATATGGGGTGCGTGATCATTATTGTGCAAGAGATAATCCCAGTAAAGGTCACCAGGGTGTACCAAGAAACAACTGATCCGCAAGGATCCTCCTGGTAAATGTGCGCCCACCCAAGAAGCCATTAAGGCATCAGGAATGGCAGCATAATTTGCACCCAGTGGTTGTGTGTCAGATCCGTAACTCTCTCTGGTCAAACCCGTCTCAGAGGCAGTGGATCACAGACTAGACTAGGGTTCACTGCGTACCAGGTCGTTACAGTCGCCGCAGCCTGACGCCGGCACCCTGGCCTCGAAAGCCTGGCCACCGCCGCTATAGTTGGTGTTGTCGAAGAACGTCACCCTGCCGGTGGTCGCCTGCTTCAGCTCGCGGGCGGCACACAAGGTAGCCAGCGCCGCGAACAGGATCACATGGACGGCCTTCATTGCTGCTGTACGAGAAGGGGCAGAGGGTTATAGCAGCAGCGAGCGATGATGCTAAATATATCCTTCGAGCAAAGGTTTGGGCTGCGATATGGATCCTGGGACAGAATGATGGACTAGGATCGCTGTCCAATTCCGAGTCAGCTTCACCCTTCGCTGGCAGCTTCGGTCGAGCTTCATAGGCATTGGAAAGGAAGCTTCGCCCCTTCGTTTTGTTTCAGAGATTAGTGCGATGTTCACATGATCTAGACCGTCGTTTCGATGTCCACCAGACACGAACAGCAATGCTTGCTGTAGCATGTCCATCTTATCACCTGCCGCAGTCCAAACATCTTCGCCGCTGGCATCATGGTGATGTTCACATCGATGATATCATGATGGGTGATTGATCGCTGTAAGGCTATAGTCTCCTTTGGGCATCGTGCTGCAATTGAAGAACTGACTGAGTCTGCTGTGAAGTGCAGCCTGCCAGGGACTGCAATGCCATGGGATGGTTGACGGCACTGAGATGAGCAGGTCTGTGATTATATTTGGTGTTGGCCTGTCTTCCTTGTCAAGCTGGAAGCGTCTACGACAAAGTATGCTTCAACATTGCTCGGTGCACTATATCCTTACAGTTGGTGCTCAGCTCACAGCATCATACTTTAAATGTTCGCTTCACTTCAGCAATTACGTCTTGCAAAGAATTTGCTGCACCCCGGCGAAACTTACCAAAACGTTTATCCAGATCTGCTCGAAATTTGAGTCTCACCGCATCTGCAGTCAACTTGCCAACCACTTGCAGAACTTCAATTCATGCCATCAACAGGTCCAAGTGCAAACTGTAAGCCTTCTTTTCTCAGTAGGTCTTGGGAGTGCCAGAGTCCGCGCCATCAGTGATGGATGGCTTGTCCTTGTTTGCCTGCATGCATGCAGCACCTGCCTTAGTAAACTCTCAGACAACCTGCTGCAGGTCTGACAAGCCATGCCTCAATATGTTTCATACCTCCACCATCTGATTTCTTCCCATGAAGACAAAACAACAACACTTCAAGTGTTGGACGTGCGGCCTTTTCTAATTCCTTTGTGCCCCGTAAAATGAAAAAGGTTCCATGCAAAGCCAGCAATCTTCTTTATCTCAGCATGCACGTGCAACCTCTTTTTTTCATTAGCGCAATCATTTATGCTCCTGGGCTCGGGGTTTATTTTATTCTTGTCACATGACGTGCACTCGCTCTGCCTTGATGTCTGCATACCTCTTTCTCTAATTAGCCCTGGGTGATTTCAACATGGTGCATGCTGACTAACAGGCACATGCCGGAGCTGGTGGAGATACTTGCAGCAGCACGTGGCGATGTGTGCTGCATGCTGCCAAATAGCTCCCGTCGTCCCCTCGAAGCACTATTACAATTTAAATACAACCTGCTTCCACCCACCTCTGAACCCGACGTCTGTGCAGTCAGCACAACCATCTGTTAAGTGGCGTACCTCTGTGCCCTGGCGGCCGGCGGCCTTGCCAACACTGCGAGAGAGGCTCTGAGCCTGGTCGGACTTGGCGCTCGCAGCCGCGCTGCCGACCTCGCCTGCACAAACAAAAATGTCATTACTTCACTGCCCTGACTAACAATGATGCAGGCAATTTGTAGGAGAAAAGACATACCAGCTGCTAGGTAGGCTCACAAACAAGGACAGGCAAGTGACAAGGTTGACAAGATAGTCTGATTCTCAAGCTCGACGTTCTTTTGTGCACGGAGCTTATTGCAAGCAGGTGATCATTCGTACAGATTTCTTGCCTGCGCAACGGTGCATGCACTAGAGAAAGTACTCAAATTGTCATGATCAGGTAGGACACTAGCAGCAGAAATTTCATTTGTTGTATTGTAAGGATTCAAAGGGACTCACTCCGGTTGGCAGGCATCTTGGAGGCATCGCGAGTCTCTTGGATGTCGTCGCCAATGGGGTTGTTCAGGCCGAAGGGCAAATCGGGACCAGCAACTGCAAGTAGCACAAAGATACTACATTAAGCATCTAAGTTCTCAATAAATAAGTCAAGTCATGATCGAAGTGATGTCGACACCACCGAAACCACTCGTTCAAGCAACCTCGATGAAGGTGCAGTGGGAAAGCAGCTGGTGTCTGCAGACAGCCCTTTTAAACAACAAGCTGAGGCATTACTGATCTCTTTTGAATAAATACTGCTTGTGAGCACTGTTGGATCTTTTCAAAAGGGGTTGAAGGGGACAAGACAAAACAGGTGACACATGAACGTACTTGCTGCTGGCAGAATGGCCAATTGGGCTGCGAGGAGTGCGCCCAAACCTGCGCCTGCGAGATTCTGCAATTAGCACACACGTCCACCTCTCAGTTTGTGTATTGATCGATGCTATGTCTGCAGACAGCAAGGCTGTTGAGGCGGTTCACTGAGAGCTTGATCCGAGGAACGCACCCTCTTCAGGTTGGGCTGTGCCTGCTGTGGTCCAAGCATCGCCTGCATCGAATGGCACATCACGGATTCACGAGCAATTATAAGACTCGGCAGTGTATGAAGAGAACCAAGGACACCCCATTCGAATGCTTCCTCGGCATGCCATGCCCGTTTGCATTAGGGGTACATGAGATACAGCGTGCCAGGCACGCCCTGATCACAGACATTTCGAGAATAATACTACCTTAGGAACATCACGGCGAGATGCTGATGCCTTGACAATCCTGCGAGCTTGGGGCACGGTCGTGGTGAAGGCGGTGATCGTCTGCATTGCGACTCGTTACGAGGCCTTGAAAGTTTTGGGGTGGACGGCAAATAGAGACAGTAGCGATGCGCAAATAATTCTATTGATGAGAGGAGGTCTTCTCTGACAGAATTATGTGCAGGCTATCCGAATCGAGCTTGCCCAATATTATTGTTGCCAATTGTGGACATCTATATAGGTTTCCCTGCGAGGTCCCCCCACCCCTACGAAATCTTTCATTCATCTCTGTCCAGCTGCTACGCAGATCTTTCTTGCAACATCCATTCGATGTGTTATTACGTATATCTCCTCTCTAACCAACGATGATCACTCTTGCTTATCACCAGTTCAACCGTGATTCTCAATTGCGAGCTCCTCAGTGAGATACCAATCATGTTCAGCTACGACTACAGGCTGTTGCTAGCTAGTTCAGTCAGTGATTGGATCAGCACTGTGAGACACAAGCTGATCAGACTCATCTACTGCACTACAACATCATGTTACGCATATGTGCTGCACAGCACACTTCCAGTTAGAGGCCTCTTGCACACCGGAACTCACCAAAAATCTCACATGTCCTTAAGCTCTGCCTTGCGAGCATGCACCACATACATGGGGTCTGTCTTGCCAAAGTAGCCTCCCAGGGGCGGCTGCTGTGTGATGTCCTCGGCCTTTGGCGCCGTCCAGCCGCCCGGCACAGAATAGTGGTAATAGGATCCGACAATCCAGATGTGGTCCAGATCTCCTGTTGATGTCCAGATCGCGATGGCTGCAGCACAGAATCACCGCCTTTATACACTCTGCCTCACATCTTCTGTTGCTCGCACGCTTGAATGAAATGCACTACTCAATGAGGTCTTGATGTAAAGCTCAGGATAAAACAGTGGCAGCTAGCACTGTCAGTGTTGTTTCTTCACGATATGCATCAGCCCTGTTTCTTGTAAAGATCAAGGCTGAATAGTCACTGTCTGCCCACACAAGTGCCCTGGGCGGGAAGGTCACAGAGCAACTCCTTGCTTCCCTGCCTTTGCAGTCAGGTGTTCTCGTGTACAGAAGGTGAACCGGTCCTAGGAAGCCCTTAAGGTCCGGAGGGAGGAAAGTGCTAAATTGCTTGCTCACCCTTGGTGGGGAAGCATCGGTTGGAGAAGCTCATTATGGCCTGCCCGCCAGGCTTGAGCACGCGGTGCATCTCCCGGAACACCTCCAGTGGGCGGGTTAGGTAATCCACCGACACAGCATTAGTCACCACATCGAACGAGTTGTCCTCGTACGGCAGCTTTGCGTCTGCGACAAGAAAATCTGAAATTCAGAGAGAAACTCCAAGATAGGCTTTGCTTGCAAATTTTGTGCACCCATATCAACACCGTTTATTTGTCTCTCTGGAAATCTGGTGCAAGAGGTTGTGCATGGTCCAGAGGCACCATGTAATGTCTTGTGTCTATCTGCAAGTGAATATCTGACTACACACCAACGACTACTTGCCATGCTCTTGCCCTTGCGTTTGACAAAAAAATTTAAGGTTGCAGGTATCTTCATGAACTTCAAATTGCCATCAGCTGCAGCGCACCTTCATTGAGATCCTTTACTGCCCACTCTGTCAGCGCCACATTGCGTTTCAGCTCCTCATCATTCATGCCCAAACCTGGACCAGGCCCCAAGTGAGGATCAGCCAAGCTTCTCTACATGTAAGCGTTTAAATGCACCACCTATTTTTGGAAGCCCTATCATGGCTTTTGAAAACACAGCCAAGACCCGTAACGAGGCTGCCCATCTGCCACAACACACAAGAGGTGACCTGCACGATGCAAGTCCATCCAATTGCACGCCACAGCCATGCAGACTTAGCAGAGAGCTGGTACAGATGCTCCGCACACAGATTGCAGCCATTGTTAGGCAGATGTGTCAGCTACCTTAAACAGGTCCCCCTCTCAAGCTTTCACGCAGCAAACATGCACTGCTGCGCACATGCAGAGTAACAAGTGCCCATTAATTGTGTTCTACACGAGACATTCCTGCATTTGTAAGATTTTGAGTCGGGGGGCAGCACCTGCTATGCGGCCGGCCTTGTAGTCTTTGGGGTAATGACTGATCCAGCTGCTGCACAGGTCCAGGATCGCCACGTCATCGCTGCCAGAGGGAGGAAACTGCCTCTCGTAGAACCTGCAGAGGATTATCAGAAAACGTTCATGGCATCAAAAGTGACTTCAAAACGGGAAGAGTCGCCCAAGAGGGACACATTCAAGGAACCCCTGACCATTACACCCTTGTTCAATCGAGTGCTTGACAGTGACAGATATACGACTTCAAAGGTCCTCGATCCCAGTGCTTCCCTTTGAACTCTTGACCAAGCTCATCTTCTCTGTCGGGGATGATTGCCTTCCGAGCGCACCAGCAGGTGTCAAGGTGACCACAGCCTTTTCACGAAAGCAACTTGTGCAGCAGGGCAGCAGAACGCACTTTGTAAGTGCAGCGATGGCACTGTCATCGATGTGAGTGACAAAGCGCGGTTGGTCATAGAAGAGTTTGTCACTGCTAGGGTCATATCGCTGAAAGTCCTCGTCCCTGAAAGGCAGGCTGTCCGGCCAGTTTGGCTGTTCCAATACCTGCATTGACGTAGACATGCTGCTCTCAAGTTCACTTGAGGGCTTGCGCAGTGATGCTGCAGCAGGACTTATCAGAGCTGAAGATGCCAGAAGTTCAGAGGAGCTAAGAGTGTTACAGTGAGGTAAACAACGCTGAAGACATAGACCTAGGATCTAATAGCAATGACGTTTACCTTGTCGGCTGTGAGCTCCGCTGCGGAGGCTCTTCCGACCCTGGTAGAGCTGAAGGGCATGGCTCCCACAGTGAGCAGGATGCCACCCAGCAGGGCTCTCCTTAGGTGGCCTGGCTTGCTGGAGTGGGGAAGATGTGACTGTAGACAGGTCTGCTGCCTGCTCTTCCTGCTGGATTGCGCTGCAGCCGAGCTGACCTTGCGTTGATCTGATACTATTCTATGCTGATCTGTAAGCCTGTCAGCGGTAAACCGAGGCCCTAATGAGCGCTGCAGGGATCCAAAGCCTCGTCTAACGCAGTGCATGTGACAGCTCTGCTGCGAAAAATGAACGTTCATGAGAAGTTAAATGAGGAGTATACTTACACACTGGTCGGCATGCGCATTCACCAAGAAATGACGCAGACGGGGACAGAAGTACCGTAGCAATCCCAAACACAGAGCTGTGGGAAGCACGGATATCAAAAGGCACACTACAGGTCGTCGTTATGCACACAAATGGAGAGGCGCACAAACTTCAAGATCGGAAGACCCACGTCATTGCCGAGGCGCTGCTGGGCGTATCCTTTTTGAAAGTGCGGCAAAAAGCAAAGGAGTTGGCCACCCACTCAATGGATCGAAGACCCACAAAAGCCTTCATATACAGGTTCTTCGATGATACCAAGCTTTTTCAGGTAGAGAGCTGGATTCATAGCGGACGACAGAGACACTTCACACGTGGGCGGACAGTGCAGGTCACTCGTGATCCTAATGCACCTAGCGCAGCGTTGAGGTGTCCGATCGGGACTTTGGCGCGATCACCTTGATGGAGGCGGCTCCCACGGGGTCCCTGAGGGAAAAGCTGCAGCAGGCGGTATACGGATTTGGTCAGCTGGCAGGGTGTGTTTGCCAAGGCGCGCTCGTACAGGTGAGGACATCCGCGCAATTGAAGTCCGCGAGGGACCAAGAAAAAATAAACTGTCTTCTCTGTCAGCAATTTCGTGGATTTAGGGATTGCTAGGTAGCGGGATTGGCTAGGCTGGAGGGCACCGATCCTGGCGCCAATAGAAAGCATGCTTTCAATATTTGCCCAAGATATGCACCAAAAGCGGTGCACGTCTGTGCCATTTTCCTGGCTGATCTAACGACCGTTAAGATGCTCTTATGCTGCATTCAAGGCAGTATAGAGCGTCCCATCACCCCTTTGGAGGCTGGCGATGGGGAGTCCTATCCCGCCTGCTTTAGCACCTTCACCAGTGCATGAGACAGAAGGAGTGAATGCCATACATGCTACTTGTTAGCTCCCCTGAAGGACAAGGATACGTGAAGATTGCCATTGTTACACGCATTTTGGTCGATGCACTGTCAGCCTAGATGCAAGAATGTGCACCAGTTGGAAACAAGTTTCTCCTGGCAAATTTGGCCATCGATCTGAAATTTAACGCCATGTGACTTCCTCTTGATCGTGCGATTACGATGGAGTTCTTGTTTTGCCCCTGTTGCTGAGCAGTTGCTCACTTGGTGCAGGTGTGGTTGCCAGTTCTGAATGCCAGCACAGGCACGTGCGACGATTTGCAGACGAAGGTGAGGGCAGTATTGGTTGTTCTCGTTCAAGGAGGAGTAAACTTGCTTGGAGACCAGCGCTCTCCCCCTGAAACTGGATCTTTTGGGGCATCCGAATGGGTCATCACGCGCAAAGTGTCAGCCTCGCAATGCCGTGCGTGCTGGCATTGCATTGCTAATACGTAGCTGGACAGAATGTTAATATTGCTCGTCACTTCCTTCAGCTCAGGTAGTGTGGCAAGGCCAGAGACATGTTTGTAAGCAGCTAGTGGTATGCACCTCTCACAAGACTTTCTGCGCTCCAGGGCCAGCCATGGAGCATCTCGGGGCTGCAGGACACGCAGCTGTGCCTTTTCCGAGCTGACTGCTCCGAGGTGACAATCAGCGCAGCAAATGACAACGCCTCATGCGAGACTGTCAGAGGGGCGTTGCAGCGGCGAGAGGTGCGCATGCTTCCTCTCCTGCAGGAGCCTACCCCGTTCTCAACAGCAGCAGTGGCACATGCAGAGCCCAGCTGAGCCTTGCCCCTGTGTTGGGCGCATGCCACGTTGACGAGCAGTGAAGTTGCTCCAGGCATCCTGCAAAGACGTGATCAAAGTAGCGGACACTGCTTCTGCAGTGCTTCATATATTGGAGCTTGAACGGGCAGCGGAAAAATGGTAAATGCGCAAGAACGAGCATGCCATGCCGTGACGCGCTCGCTAAGGGTGATGTCATCTCTGACTAACGAGCAATGCACCGTCACAGGTGAGCGTGTATGCGGATGTGTGCGCGCTGCCGGCGGAGAATTATTCCAGGGCAGCAAAGGCGACCAAACTTGGCGTGCACGGCTCAATGCTGGTCCCTTTATTCCCCCACAAGGATTTATCTCTCGCCGGCCCTGTGGCAGTCCTGGAGCTGCTGCAGCTGGGCGCTGACGTGACCTGCTTTCCTGCGCTCTTTAATTGGCTCCTCGAAAAGCTGCCGGTGCGTGCGCAGCTCCATATCTGAATGCTGTGAGATGTTCCCTGCTTTGGCCTTGGTACTGCACAGGTGTCATGCAAGCATGCATACAGACCCATCTGGCCCGCAGTACTGCATGCTGCATTCAACAGCATTGGTGGTATTGTATACAACTGACAGATGCATGCCTGGACACAACGAGCATGGCATGCTTCAGCTTTAAAAAGTGACCTCTGACACATGGTGCATGCATTGTCCGCAGATGCTCAACCTGCACATCCCCAGGGAGATAGCGCACTGGCACGACGCCGCCGGCCTTGATGTCATGGCGAAAGCGCAGCTGGGGGCCGACACGGGCCCTAGTACTAGTGCCACCGCAGCAGGCTCACAGCAGGAGCAGCCTGCAACAGCCCACACGCCAGGCAGCTCCACACCCGCATCGCCAATCTCAATCATCCCCCAGCGGCCCAAGGTGTCTTCCGACGAGGATCGGCCGGGGTCGGCGAAAAGCGCGTCCCTGGAGAACGCCCAGCCGCCGCCGCACGGCTCGGCCGGAGCCGGCCCGGCTCAGCCAAGCGGCAGAGGGAACACCCCTGCTGCCAGGCGCGCACACACAGAGCAGCGGCTGAGCGGGATGGAGCAAGCGCAAATGCTGCAGCAAGAGGCGGAGGGAGCGGGTCAGGCACGAGCTAGCGGCAGAGGGAATGCTGGTTCTGGCATGAACCGTGCAGAGCAGCAGGAGGCTCAGCAGACGCGCAGGCAGAGCAGGCACGGAGAGCAGCGTCAGAGCGAGATGTTGGACGATGCGCGGATGTCTGAAGAGTGGGCGCTGCTTGGCTCAGAGGGAGCGGGCCAGCCGCGCGCCAGCGGCCGAGGGAATACTCCTTCTGGCGTGAGCGGCCATGCAGAGCAGCGGCAAGGGGTGTTACAGCGCTCGCATGCGTCGGAGCAAGGTGCACAGGAGGCGGCGCCGGCGGCGGCGGGGCCTGCCCGGGGGCGTGCGACGCGGGGGGCGCGCGTCTGCGACGTCGGTGCGGAGAGCCCGGCCGGCAGCGGGGAGCGCCCCAGGACGTCCGCGCCGCGGCAGAAAGGGGAGCGCTCGAAGGCAGGCGTAGACAGTGCGGCGGCAGAGGAGCGGCCGTTCTCCCCTGGCAGCCTTGTCAGCGTTGGGACGCTCGGCAACTCGCATGTCTCAGAGGTGGGCATTTTGTCTTCTATGGATAGTACCCTATGATGTGTATGAATAGTTGTTGTAACCTGATCCAGAAAGAGGTTATGAGATGAGGCGCCTTGTCTGCGTAACAATTTGAGCTGAGCAGTGCTGCAGATGTGCCGCCATATGACCCTTGATTGATGGCATTGGCCCTCCCTGAGACTGCGACACCGTAGAGGGATAAAGAAGGTACAAACCTTTGTTTGTGAGGACAATAGCAATTAAATTCTGAGCGGTGCTCTCATGATGCAACAGGCGGAGCATCAGGCGCATGACCTGGCGTCTGCGAGGGGGGAGCAGCCAGATCTGGCGCCGGAGACACACCACCGACGGGCGCCCCTGGCCGCTGATATCGGCGAGGACAGCGGCGAGTCATCCGGCCGGGTGCGCGCCTCTTCTGGCTCTTCTTGTTCAGCCGGAGTCAAGGCTGAACTGCTTGATCTGCATGCTGAAAGTGTGGAAGGGAAACAAACAACCTAGCAAGGAATGCAGGAATTGTTCAAGGACACAGCAAAAAAGACAGCATGCTGCAGCATTGCAGCAAATGGCTGGCACAGGTGTCAGCTTTGCACTCCTGCTGCTGCATGAAATCTCTGATCAGCAGAGCTCTGCGCAACCATTTGTCTCATTGATCTTTGTGCATGCGACAGGCGCTGCAGCTATCATTCGCTGAGCTGAAGGCTCACTTTGGGGTGCCCCTGACGGAGGCTGCCACCAGGCTGGGCGTGCAGAGGCAGGACCTTGTGCGCAGCTGCAGGTGTGACATGCTTTCATTTACCTTACACCAAACCCATGCACTCTTGTATGCCTGAGTGCATCTTAACGACCAGGCAACCCAGCATTTCCATAGTTGTCCCCAGCAGCATCCTCACATGTGCACAGCCAAGGAGCGCTTCGCCTTCTTGCTTATTATCTGCAGTGCGGGGTCTTCTTTGTTGTACAAACCCCGGAACAGTCCACGCATGCTAGCAAGTACAGCAAGATTGTTACGACAGTGATCAGTGCAGAGAACGCCCAGCAAGCACCAGCCAATGATGTCCTGCCTTGATGCTCAAGTGTCTGTAGTGCCCATTTCCCTGAACCAGGCCTGCATATTATGCAACCATGACATGCACGCTATCGTTTGGTGCTCCACCTTGAGGTCATCTGCTAAGGAAGAGGACAGAGGGTACGCACCTGGGGTTTAATCGCCCTGTCATGACAATTTTCATAAACCCGCCGCAGGGAGCACAACTTGGAGGGCTGGCCGCGACTGAGCCTGAGCGTGAACGATGCGGCGCGATCTGAGGGCGTTCCTGTCTCGATATCGAGCCTCCCCAGTGACGTGGACGCTGCGGAGATGGCCGCCTTTGTGCCGTTCGGCCCCAAGGCTCACCGCACCACGCCTGCTTCTTCTTGGCGCACTAACTCTGTGCACACGATGCCGCTCCGCCAGGTGAGTCACCTTTCCTGGGGCATCCTGAATTGTTTTCAAGGATTCCAAAGGGAGAGAAGAGCCCCTTTTGATGTTTTGGTGCCATGGGTTTTCTGGGCATCAGATTGGCCGCACTTGGCCGGGCCAGGGGGTGAGGCATCAAACCTGTAGTCCGGTGGGGTGCTTTTGAAGTTTAGACAAAAGCAAATGGAGTGGGAGAGCTTGATGATACTAGTAAGGTGATTTAATTTTATGTATGCCACCAACTCTGTGCACACGCCGCTGCGCCAGCGGAAGATTGCATATGTTTGAGAGCGTTTTGTCCATTTTGGAATTTAGTACGGCTGTGGGAGATGGCCTAAAACTCAAAAATGTAAATGATGCAGTCTGGATAGGCAGGGCAGGCCTCTAAGAGAGGAGGGCCTGGCAGACTGCTCTTTTTGACTCGATGTGTAGCAGGGAACGCTGTGAAGACGTGCATGCACGCCTGAACAAGTGTAGGCAAAATGAGTGCTACTGCAGTATCGCCAGAAAGGTGGCTGCTAAAAATTCTGAGGATATTCCGGTGTATGTGTGGCAGGGAGAGGCGGGCGGCCCTGGCTGGCAGCTGGGCGGTCGCAGCCGCAGAGCCAAGGCGGCGGCTGCGGCGTGCCACAGCGCCAATGCTGGCGGTGACGCGCTCATGTTCGAGCCGGAGATGGACCCTGTCGGTGTGTCCCCTGTAGTATGAAGCTCTGATCTGTCTTATAACTCAGTCGCGTTCCACGGATGCGAAGGAAGTAGCCACGCCGTGTCATGCAGATGGCTTTCATGACTAGGCTGTGTGAAGTTCAACGCCATCTGGCACCTCGCTCACGCTTGGAACACATACGCAAGGCCACGAGCCTGACATATTACATCTGTGCTGCTGAAAACGGAGCCAGAATCCAGGGGGATGAGCAGCACTACACTGCGCATGATGAGAGCAGGTGCACCCAAAAGGCTAGGGGTATGCATGCAAACATAAAATGAGATGTGTGAAGGAAGCTCCTAAAAAATATTTTTTGGGAGGACACGTCACATGGCTCCTCTTGCATGCTTGCAAGCTCTGGGTATAGCTGCATGCTTAACAATTCCTGTGATGGGGTGTTTGAATTCATATTCAAATTGTGTTGGGCGCGCAGGATCTCCGCAGGAGGAGGGCGAGAGCAACAACTGGGTGGGCTACGCCAAGGGGCTGATGCTGCCGGTGAGGTCCCCCCGCGAGACCCGTATGCACGGGGAAGGGCTGGACGAAGCTGCCGCACAGCTGCCGCTCTCCGGCGACGCCGACGCAGAGCAGCGGCAGCCGCAGTCCAGCTGCTGGCAGAAGGTGCAGAATCTCAAAGCATCTTTCAAAACTAAAAATCGTACTGTGCTCAATATCTCTTGTGCCTGGCAGACTTCATTAAGTTGGCAAAGCACACGGGCTCAATGCGAGTGAGATGACTTTCCAGGGACTGTTGTCTGTACCTTCAGAGGTCTATTTTCTGTCATACACTCCGAAGATGCCTCTATAACAAGCAGCTGAATACCTTCAAAGAAGACGTCATCACAGGAGAGAGAAAGATGAGATATTTGCTTCGCTGCAGGACAATGATCCGTTTGGGGACACACGGTGGGAGAATTGGGAGCGGCTCCGCTGGTCGCAGGGCGCTGACTCAGCAGGCCGGCAGCCGCCACCGCCGGGGGACGTGCCCCCCAGCGGCAGCACCTTCACTGGCACCAGCCTCGCCCAATGCCTCGGTGCGCCAATCACCTTGTGCTGGGACGAATTATTGTTATTAGCATTACTATTATTAACACGCTGTTCCTGCCAGGGGCAAGGTGCTTCTGCAGACAAGCCAGCACATATAGGCTGCCACATATCCTGCCCCTCAACACAAGAACCGGGACCATCTAAGCATCATTGATATGTCAAGATCGACCTCGCATCATTGGGAGTCTCTGACATTTGGAGCACCATAGTATCTTGAAGCAATGAGATCATCAAATCATCAATGTTCGCAATGATGCCACTTTGTTCTCAGCTGTCAACATGCTGTATCTCTTGTTTCAAGGTCTCATGCTGCATTCCAGCTTGGTAAACAGTGCACCGGCTGGCCCCGGCTGGCGGGGCGGTATAAATACTGAGCACCGTGCCCGCCGTTGATTGGGTCGCGCTTGGATCTGGCGAGTCCCTTCAAGACATGAAATGAAGACACCTCGTTACCTCACCTCGATATCACCTCGTTATGAAGAAGATGTCACCTCGATACGATGCTTCCAAACCTGGGAGAGGAAGCTGAAGGGAGGGCGGACATTCCTGTCTTGACAGCGTTTTAGGAGATGATGCTTGTCAAACTAGGACTTAATGCTCCTTTTAGACAGTTTGACGAGCATCATCTCCTGGAACGCTGTCAAGGGTGTGATGAGCTGCTGCTGACGTTTACTCCTAAGGGAGGGAGATTTTGCCGTGATGGACAATTTGGTGACCGGAGCAGGTTTCACAAGAGAGCATGGGATCAGCACGGCAGATATTGTGGAAGCAGCGGCGATGATTGGCATGGCTCCATTGGCGCCAGATCAGGCGCCTGCATGCATGGGCAGCCCGCCGCCCATCACCTCCGGGCAGCCCAGGGTGAGTCACCTATCTAGGGGAGCCCCATCTCAAATCCATTTTTGAATTTTCAAAATCCTGTCTCACCCTGAATGTGGGCATTTCAGGTGAATATCTGCGGAAACTGAATTCCAACGAGCCTCACCTCCTTCAGCATGCTATTGATTACTCAGTGACCGTGTATACGGTATTTGCTGTTGTATGTCAGCCTATGACTGCTGCGCAAAGGTATCATGCAAGTTGGATGTGATTCGTGTAGCAGGTTAGGACAAGCTGATGATGCGCGCTTGCTCTGAGCACAACTGCTGAGAGCCTCACTCTGTTTTGTGCATGATCTCTTCTAACTTCTCTCATGTGCAGGCGTTGCAGCAGAGCACCATTGACACGCTGTGGGAACTGAACTCGATGGAGCCAGGACCCCAAAGGCAAGTCTTGCCATCGCAGCAGGAGCAAGTCATGTCCACGCCTCAGTCGGGGCTCCTGCCACCCTCTCAGCCTACCCAATCTGAGACCTGCAGGTAGATTAGTAATGATACAGACAAGTTCCCTTTCCCTGTCATGCACAAACAGACTCACTGGATATTGAGTCATCATGAGTTATGAAGAAGCCAGCATGATGCAAGCTTTCATGCTGAGACCAGCTTTAAAATCTGTGTCTGTGCAGGCGAGCGCTGCTGGGAGATCTGGACACCGCGGCCGAGAGGGCAGCTGCACAGGCACAGATGGGATCGCTCAGCGGCCCCTCGGAGGATGTCCGGCGCGCAATCCACCAAGGCATCTGCGCGCGAGAACGTGCCCCCTTCAGCAGCGGGTGCACCACAGCTGCAGCCACCGGGGGGCCCCATGACGAGGGGACCCCGACCGCGCAGCCGAGCGCGTCCGGGACCACCATCAGCGACTGTGCTGTGGGGGCGCGCGGTGCGGCCGACGCCAGTGAGACGGCTGACAGCGGGGAAAGCCGCGAGCAGAGCCTGCCAAGCTGGAGTCGGGCAGCCGGCAAGGGGAAAAAGAAGAAGGCCCTTGGCGCGAAAAGGGGCGGGAGGGGCCGCGGCCGGGGAAGGGGGCACGGCCGGCGGAAGCGCGGGGACGGGGGGAACCGGTCGCTGGCGGTGGCCACCGCCGACGCCGGCTGTGGCCCGCGGCTGTTCCGCGGCGGCGGCCGGCCCCGTCTGCGGCTGCGCATTAAGGGCCCCTCCGCTGAACGCGGCAGCCCGCCACCTCCTCCTCCGCAGCAAGAGCAGAACACATCACCTGCAGAGCTCCCTGCACAGCCTGTGGAAGACCTACACGCAGCGCAGTCGTCTGAGCAGCCGGAGAGCGCTGCAGCCGAACAGCCGAGCGTGCAGCAGGAGGTGGCAGCTGCCGCGCAGCCGCTGGCGGCTGCAGAAGTGGCGGCTCCGTGCCGGCCGTTGCTGCCGCCGGCCGAGCCGGCGGTTTCCGAGCCGCTGCCGCCGCACAAAGCCATCGGCATAGTGCCCGTCAGCGTCCCTCCGCGTTCAACGCAGTCGGTGCCCCTTCCCTGCACGCCGCCGCTCGACAACGACGAGGAGGTGACGTCAGCAGAGGTGACATCAGCGGAGGTGGCATCAGCGCCCTCGTCAGCGGACACCGCGCAGAACGCTCCCGAGCCTTGCAGCACTGCCAGCTTATCGCAAGAGGAGAACGCTCCTACCGATGCATCACCAGAGACGCACGCTGCGTCAGCTCCGCCAATGTTGGCCGCGGCGGCCACCGCGCAAACTGGGTCGCCCGAGAAGGCCGCTGCAGCCACCGCAACTGAGGAGTGTAGTGGGCAGCGGCAGGACACTGCCAGTGGCAGAGATGCGCAAACTGCAGCGCCGAGAGCAAAGGAGGCGGCGGCTGCAGCCAAGCCGCGCATGCAGAAGCGGCTGACGCTGGCGCCGGCGCCGGCGGTGGCGGGGCGGCAGCGGTGGGCTGGCGGTGGCAGCAGGGGGTCCTCGGGGGAGGCCAGAGGTGGACCCAAGAAGCGGGGGCGGCCCCCCCACATGGTCCCCCACCCACACACCGGCCAGCTCGTGCCCAAGCGCGACCTCATCGCCGCGCGCATCGACCCCTTGACTGGCGAGTGCCGCTCGGTGAGTCACCCTTATCCTCGATTCCTAATCCTCAGATCCTTTGAATGGGTCAAGGTTGACCTCAAGACTGCGAACCTGTTGTATTTATAAGGGGGTTAAGGGGGTTAAATGGATACAGGCAGGGTTCCCTCGACAGCATGGATTCTTTGATCACTGGGGATTTCACTGCATGCATTTGTTGCATCGGATCCAGATAAATCTTTGAGCAGACTGATGTGACTCCAAGCTCAAGCTTACTTAGTGGTGCTATCCTCTCCTTTGGCATGGAAGCCAGCAATGCCACAATGCCCATTGACTCATTACTTGGTCATTGAAAGTGCTACTTGCAGTCCAGTTTATTACCTGCTCTTATGCAGAGGGTTTCACATCTCTGTTGCAGGGTAAGAAGCGCAAGGCTAAAGCGGCGGCAGCAGCGGCAGCCAAGAACTCCTCACCGGAGAATCCTGCAGCGGAGGAAGCGCCTTTCGCAGTGCTGGTATTGACTTCCTTCTATGAGGCAAAAACGCAAGCAGTGCTGCAATGCCCTTTGACTGAATTGTTGGTCGCCGCACATGCAACATCCGCGTCGGAGGAACTGTCCACTTTTATTGCAATATACTGATGCACAAGTCTCACATCTTTGCTGCAGGGGAGGAAGCGCAAGGCAAAGGCTGCGGCAGCAGCGCCAGCCAAGGAAGCCTCACCGGAAATTCCTGCAGCGGAGGAAGCGCCTTTTGCAGTGCCGAGCCGCAGCGACAAGCAGAAGCGGCCGGTCAAGAAGAGCCGCAGAGTGATCGAGGCTGAGGAGGCACAGGTAACATCAGCATCTTAGTCACCTATGCATTGCATGTAATTCACCCCCAGCGATCATCAAATGAGAACATATACATGTGAGTCCATCCGCCGTGTTGCATGCCTCCGTCAGTTGCCCAACTTGTGTTCCCTGACAGCAGGAAGGAAACGCCAGACGGGGGAAAGCAAGGGAAGTCCGGATGATCCCTTTGCAATGCCCATGACTATTTCTACCTTTCAGGAAGACCATGCTGCAACACTGATTGGTTTCTGGTGCTGCCTGCAGCAGGACTTGGGTTCTAGTCCAGAGCCCGAGGCGCCTGCACATGACGAAACAGCAGCGGCAGCCGATGCGGCAGGCGACGATGACAGACACTCGCAGTCTGATGGAGAGGCAGAGGTGGAGAGAGTGCCCAAGAGGAAGCAATTCAAGCTGCAGGCTCTGCTGGCAGACTGCCCGGCAGGACATCATCCAGAGACCCCCACCCGAGGCACCTCTGCACTGGTGAGCTGTACATGTCTGCAATTATTCGCCTGGACATACAGTATAGTGTATTTTGCAGTACAATACTATCTTAGGACAACATCTGCACCCTACCACGTTGGACTTTTCTGAGGAAACTGGGTACCGCTTGATGTTTATCTTTGTTTCGAGTTCAAAAGGTAGCGTCACAGCCGCAGTTCTTGGACTAGGCAAGCAGTCAGCTGGTACACTCTTCCGAACTTTTCCTATAAAGAGTCTGCATTAGATTGCTAACATATGGCGTGTCGATATTTGTTGTATGCTTGCCCTGCCGGAAAGCACCAAGGCATCGGTTGCTCGCCAACTCGCTTCCATGCTTGCTCGTGGCTCCAGCAGTCAATTCTGTCTGCGGTTAATCCTACTGGATTGTGAGCTTATGCTTTAAAGCACTGATGTTTGCTGTCCTGATCTCAGGTATACATGAGCACGCCAACCAGCCGGCCCAGGAACGCCCTCCTAGCCTCGCCCACCGCCAGGAAGTTCCCCGCAGCTACAGAACAGGTGCTCATCAGCTGCCCTCTGCTGGCTTTCCCATATATGCCCACAACGACTGACGCTGTGTCCTCTGTGTTGCTCTTCCCTACGGTCCGCAGTCAGGGCGCTATGTGCGGAAGAGCTTTGACTTGAAACATCGCCTTCTTAGTCTGCACAGACCAAGTTGTTGCACCAACGGAATTAATGGAACAGAATGGATTGAAATGGAACAAAACGGAGCAGGCTGGAACAGAATCGAAGTCCTTCTGTGTTGCCTGTTCAGGAGATCACCTGCGACGAGCAGCTTCCGGAGCGGCTTCCCGAGCCCAGCGAAGCTGCGCTGCAGGGCTTCCTCGTAGACGCGCTCAACTTCAGTCCTCCCCGGCCGCTGTCGGGGGTCCCCCCCTTCGGCGGCGGGGTGCCCCCATTCTCTGGCGGGGGGTCCCTCTTCGGCGGTGGCGGGGGGTCCGTATCTGAGTCCCCCCTGCCCCGGCTGCACGACGCAGACCAGATGTTCTACGGGTGTCCTCTGGGGGACCTCGGCACTGCCGCTTTTACTGACCTGGCCGAAAGCAGCTTCAGCTTTGGCTGCTTCACCTGACTTTTGGCTGTTGTCAGATGTCAGTTCTCTGGCCTTCAGTAGCCTGATGACCTCCAGGCAGGGCAGTCTGTTGCAGCTTCAATTTTGGCTGCTTCACTTAGTTCAAGGGACTTGAAGGCCAAACGCCGGACCTGGATTCATGGCTGTTTTTGGGCGTGCAATGCATGGCTGAAGGCTGATCCTCAGCCCCCATTAGGCAGCAATAATTACATGTGTTCTGCAAGGACCGAGGATAGCAGGTACTTACAAGCAGTCCGATTTGGTCAGTTGAGCCAATTGATCCAAGGTAGTTGAAAGCCCATGCCACCGCTTGTTGAAAGTTACTTGGAAACACCGATGCATCCAAAGGAATTCCGACATGCAGAATCAGAGAATGTGCTCTGAACAGTCTGCGTGTGCGTTGCTGCATCATTCTTAGAGGTTGATGGGTGCTTTTCCCTCCTCGGCTAGTTACTTTCAGTTGTCCAGGATAATGACAGGTCAGCGCTTGGTTGCTTGTGGGAGGCCCTGTGACTCCCCAAACAAAAGCAATTACTGACTGCAAAGCTGATGTGATGCATCAAACGACTGGAATCTTTACAAAAGAGACACTTCTCTGATGACCCTAGAAGGCGGCAGCTGATGGTTGCAAAAGGAAAAGTACTGACGTCAATTGACTGCCCTGTGTGTGTGTGTGTGTGTGTGTATGTGTGTTGAGGCGTCTCAGGGCAAAGTAATGCCAGCTGACTTGCTGGAGATTGAGAAGCAAACAGTGCCACTTGCAACCTGTGTTGCTTGCAGAAGTCCAGGCCTGTGCTGATTCTCAAGAATTGGTCATTTATAGGTGTGTTGGATTGGACCTGTGATCACTAATGTTGAGATGGTCAAGGCTATATAGCAGGGCATGCATGCAAGCAGATGCTCGGTCTTGAATGATGGAGGTCCCAGCGTAGTTATCTTAAGTCCCGAAGGTATTCATCCTCCACACGAAGAGCATGTGGACACTGTGTTCACTGCTCAGACAAGTGTGAGTGTCACTGCTGTCTGGTGTTGGAAGTCTGAGTCTGGTCTTTCAAGGCTCAGTCCTTAGTGGGAGGCTGGTAACAGTGACTCGCGGAGTGATAGTGATAGATTGCAACTGCAGGCAAGATGTGGCAATTGAAGCACCAGGTCATGTGGCACTTCAAGATAGGATCCTGTCCTGACCATCCATTTTTACACTTTTGTCTTTGATACTTTAAAGTTGGTGCACTAGTAAATGTATCACGATGTCTATCAGCATCCACTGTAAAAGTGGACTCCGTTGCAGGCGCCTGCAGGTGTTCAGCTGGTCAGGCAGCATGCATTTGATCGGGCGCCCGATGATGTCGGCATTCCATAACAAGTGCTGGCGCATGAAGGTGTTTTCGTTTGTGCACGGACTTATGCTTCTTTGAATGTAGATGCTGCAGCTGTGAGTGGTGAGCTAAAGAAAGTTTTCAAACCACAATTTGAATCCAAAGGGGAAGGGCACAATCTCATACACTTTCGGAGTTCGGAACAGTGGTTCTGTTTTTGGAACGTAACCCATTTTCATTTTCGCATTACTTGATTAAGACACTGGGAATTATTTGTTTCGATAGCCTTTGGTGTTCAACATTCTTTTGCCCCATACGCATAGATGCGCCTGCCGGACGCAGGATCTGCCTCTTTGCAAAGCCCTCGGCCCAGTATTTTCTTCGGATCTTCCTGTAAATCGATAAAATTAACTGGCAGACATAGGAGCAGCTTGTACCAATTGAGAAGTTTGAAGACCTGCCGTGGAGTTGCCGGTGATCAGTGTGTGCAAGACGAAACATTCCAGTACAAGACTTCTTCCACAGATGCAGCATTCATTGCGCTATGTAGAAAGGCGTATGGCAACATAGCCGGCTGGCAGAGCGATCGAGATTGGAAGGATGGCGACGAAACGTACACAGGCATGGTGGAAGTGTCCAGGGCCCTCATGAAGGTTGCTTCCTTTTTGTGTTTCCTTTTTACTTTTTAAAGAAAACAACCCTTCAAGAAGAAGAAGAGGAGAATGCAAATACTTCAAGCTACAGATCATGCAGATTGCGGAACCATCCTGTTGAGGGCATGACCAATTCAGTGGTCGCGTCAGGACCACATCTTTCTCAATAGGGATCTCATATCTGCTTGGATCGTGCTCACACTCTAGCAGCATCCGAATAGCCTGGCCTCCTTGGAAATATGCCCTTGTTCATAGTGGTGTGCACATTTATGTGTTATGGTTGTGTACAGAGCGTGGATGTGCGTGCAGCAGGACTGAATTACTGAGTGCCAGGCTTTGTGCATGGCAGGGCCGTAGCGCAGCACAGCAGAGGGAGGCAGTCATTGCAGGCTTTCCCAGTGTTCCGCCCTGGTTCAGGAAGGCCTTCCCCTATTCCAAGTGGGGCGCCGGGCTCAATGCGCGCATCACACCGGCCTTCTTCACCTGGCTGGTGGGGCCTTTATGCCCTCATCAGCATTACATTATCATAGGGGATACAGGGAACTGGCCCCGGCTGGCGGGGAGTGGTGTAAATACTAAGCACCGTGCCCGGTCTTGCTTGGGTCTGACGCGGCCATCAAGGGGTAGGATTTTGGGAGCCTTCAACCGCAGCTTGCAGACACACCTTGCCTCTTGGCAGTAAATATGTGTGAGACCAACTGATAATATTGTAGGGAACTGAGAGATGGACACTGCATGAACAGAGTGATGAGTGCTGGTGGGACCTTTGTGCAGTTCAGTGTGTTCTCAGGGGCTTCGAGCACAGCTGTTCAAGGGCACGTGTAGAATAGTTTGTGCTGTAGATCAAGTTTGAGTCCCCTGCCTTTCTAGAAATACCGAGAACTGAGAGATGGACAGTGCGCGAACTGAGTGTCCAGTGCTGCCACAGGGCCTTGCAGAAATGCACTCAAATGGCATCCTTCATTGATGCACTGTCTACTGCAGGAAACGCTATGGATCGCATGAGAGGCTGCTATTTTTGTTCTTTACAGGATATTATGGTAAATAGCTTTTTTGATCTCCAGGTGGGGCCCATGCAGACAGTGGAAGCTACACTCAGCGATGGCACAGTTCAAAAGAGTGGCGTGCACATTGAGCGATGCAGGTGCGCAAATTCCCAATCAATCATTCCTGCTCAAGAAAATCGAAACATATTCAGATTGTCAATGTTGCTGTGCAATTTGTGGAGTGTGTCTAGATGCCACGTTCAAAGTGTACTTGTTGTACTGCAAGCTTGTTGAGCTTGTCTATGCAAGCTTGTTGAGCTTGTCTGCAGTTGACTTTTGGCAGGAAAAGGGTATAATAATATTTTCAAAGCTTGTCCAGTCACTCTATTGGTGGGAAGCTTTGAACAAGTCGGTGCATATGTCCTGTGTGTCAGGGGGTTGTGCAATATGGATCAGCGTGCGAGCTCCTCTGAGACGCAGCAAACAGTATATGCCCCTGTGTTGAAGGCTTCACACCAGTGTAAAATTGTGCACAAGGCGGGACATGTTGCGTTGAGGTATTTTTGATTTGGAACAATTGGCTTGTGCAGGTATTTGGCAGAGAGCAAGTGCGCCGGGATGTGCGTGAATTTGTGCAAGGCGCCGGTGCAGACTTTCTTCACAGAAGAGCTGGGCATGCCTCTCACAATGAAGCCCAACTTTGAGGATTTCAGCTGTGAGATGGTTTTCGGGCTGACGCCGGCGCCTCTACAAGAAGACGAAGTCATGCAGGCCGCATGCTTGAAAGAGTGCGCAACAGGAGTGCTCGATAGGCCAAAGTGCCACAAGCTGTTGTGAGAGGACGCTTATTCAGCGCTAGCTCCTGTGAGGTTTATGTTGTGTATATTGGGAAGCGGATGGGACCATTATTGTGAATCTTGGCACTTCTGACTAGTTTGTCCTCTGTGAGAATATGTATACTACCGGTAAGTAGACTTTTGCTCAGTACAGCAGGTGATACAGTAGTTTGTATGCGGCACCGCATCAATATTGATACCAGATTGTAGTACACATGGGCTTGACATTGTGCCTGAAGGATGCAAGCACAATGGGAGCGCTCTGGTTGTTCAATGCCATTTCAAGATTAGCTTGAAGTTGTCGAATACTTGACATGCTTACGCTTTTAGCACACCGGTGGTACCAGTCTTAGCACTGAGCTCTTCTCATCAATGCCATTGGACAAATTAATTTTTCAAATACCATTGGACAACAATTGTAACTGACATTATCTGCTTTTCCTCAAAATTAGCTCTTGAGCTTCCCTCTCTATTAGCTAATGGCACTGTCATGCAGCAAAACAATATGACCTGCCGCCAGCAGTACCTGACAACTTCTTACAGCATCTGCAATTCCGACACCGACGCTTGTCTAATCCAAGTTTCTCAGTTCCTCGAGGACTGTAGCAAAATCGGTTGGGAGCTCCGAGGTGAAGCTGAGCGCCTCTTTTGTGACAGGGTGCACAAAGCCTAGTGTCTTAGCATGCAGCGCCGGCCGCGCCAGCAGCTTGAGCACTCTGTGCGCCACCACCTGCCTGTAGGTAACACATGCATCTGATCAGCAGTGATCTGATAATATTGACAAGCATGAAGGTCAAATCCTGCTGATATTCACGCTTTGCAAGGTCAGGAGAGGCCTCAGAAGTTGCTGCTGTTATAGCTGCAGGGAGGATGATCAATTATACGTGGCCCTAACCACATGCTGGCGTGACATGTTGCAGTCTAAGCTATTACAGGCCTTGCCGTCAGGAGGAGGAGAAAATGGAACATTGAGTGTCTCAGCAAACACAGGGAGAACGCCCAGAAGGGAGGGCTGCGCACCGGGCGCCCTTGCCGCGGCCGATGGCGGCCACTGCGGTTCCCCCGGCCCCCCCATAGGTGTCGTCCCCCAGCAGCGGGTGGCCTGCACATTTTTGGCAGGCCACTCAGATGTGCACATGCGCAACAGCCCCTCTGAAGTGTGTGCTTGCAGGTTACAGTCAGCATGCAGATTTTGCCATGACCCCACTGAGGCTTCAGATGTAGCGCGATAGAGGGAATGGCCAGCCTCTAATGCATACTTTCAACACTGGTCCACCGATGGTCATTTGTCACCTGTCAGTCAGAAAATGGAGCTGCAAGGGAAGACCGCTGCACTATCTCCTACTATGATCAGAGGGTATGAGCGCATAAAAAAATCCTGCCTGAGTGTTTTGCGTGCACGCGGATCTGGTGGGTCCTGCCAGTCTGCAGCCGCCACGCTGTGTACGCTGCGCTGTCCCCTGCCAACGGCTCAATCACCCTGTAGCCGCTCACCGCGTGACGGCCCCTGCGCATGCACAGAGCTGACGCCTCAGCCACCCAGATGCGTCCTTCGTGCCTCTTGATCAGCTGCTAAAGCTTCAGTTCCACCTGCTTCAGGCTGAGACATAAGGTTCCAAGGCATGCAGACGAGCACACCGCCTGTTAGATTTGATTAGATCACACAACTGGCAGCCCTACCAATGTGTACACTGTCCACAAGCTCCTCAGCAGGAGAGTGAGGGGGTAAATACGCATACAACAGGCTATAAAGGGCAGGAATCTGCAAGGAGGCCGCCTCGCCGCTGATGGACGCTGCATGATGGCACTTATTGACAGCATTGTATAGCAGAAAAGACTCGCCTGCTGGACATGTAGGAAAAGACGCCCATCTTCTTCCGGTCCCGTATATCCCGCCCAATGTTCGTCTCAATAACTCCCTCCGCCTCTTTAGGCACGCCCAGCACGATCGCGTGATACACCCTCTGCACTGTGTGCGCCTTGAACTGGGCGGCCAGTCCAGTCAGCGTCCGCTCATCCTTCGCAGCCACCATCAGCCCCGTTGTGCCCTTGTCCAGCCGGTGCACAATGCCCGGTCGAATCACGTCCCCTGCAGCAATTAAAATGACCACTGTTATACCATTTTGTGCACAATGCCCGGTGAACAATGCCCGCTCGGATCACATCCCTGCAGCAAATCATAACAACAACATCAATTTTTGGTTGTAGTGACGGCCTGGAGGAATCACTCCATGCTAGGATCAGATTGCTGATAGGAGAAGCGATCGTTGTCCAGTCATATGTCTGAAGCACATGACAAAACGCCTGATAAACGCCTCTTCCATAAATCAGCCATCACTGAATCACCCTCTCACTCATTCAGTCACCCAATCGTTCATTCATTCGCGGTTTTAAGCACTTAGTCATTCCTTCGTGACTCCAGCAAGCCAGGAAACAGAGTCTGCACCTGACTGCCCAACACTCATTGGGGTCTCTGGCAGAGCCCAAGGCACAGCCCTCTCCTCATCTCCATCCTCGCTCTCAGCCGCCTCTAACTCATCACCTGCAGGAACAGGAAGTCAGCTGCGGCCCAGGTGATATGTACATAAAAAGCTTTACAACCAGCAGAAGATTTTGGGCCGAGGGCCGGGCCAAACTTGTGATGATGGCTGTCATTGCATAGCCGCCGCCAGTGCGGTAGAGCCATGGAAGCAAGGCTCAATCACGTGACTCACTTCTAAAATACCCTCAATCACACCTCCAGCAGATCCTGTTGATCTTCAAATGCGGGGTACTTTAGTATTGCGGCGCATGCGAGGCATCACATTTGTGCTGCATGTATACTGCCATGGCACACTGGTTGAGTCATCGGTGCTGAGCCGTAAGCTGGGCCAGATCAATGCAGCATACCGCCAGACTTCAAGCAGAGATACATGCAGGAGGCGGCACAGCATACTTCGGCGCCCAGGTCAAGCATGTCGGCTTGTAAGTGATCAATTCAAACCCTTCCACCATTACTCCTGTCATGCAGGATGTCACTGCTGGCGTTATTACGCCACAACAGCCCTGAGGGCGTGCTGATCAGTTCAAACCCTTCCACCATTACTCCTGCCCCCAAACACACCAAAACAATGTAGTAAGAGCGCACCAGGCGAGTCATCGGCGCTGAGCCGCACGCTGGGCAGGCCGAATCGGTGCAGCAGAGCGGATACAAGTGTGCCGGTGTAATTGCCCGGTGCAGGGTGGATCACCATGCCGGCCGCTTTGTTGATGACCAGCAGATGGTCGTCCTCGTACACCACGTCCAGAGGAATGTCCTGCGCACAAGTTTCTAGAGATTACAAATAAATACAATATTTGAAACCCAAAAACTAGATAAATAGAAAGCTGGCGCTGCCAGTATTACTGCTGTTTCAAAGGTCGGCAAACCCAAAGCAAGAGGCCACAGGGCAGACACGCCTGGTGCCCGCAGCCGCATCTGCACTATAGTGATTCATGTGGGTCCTGCTCCGGTGCAAGCCAGCTCGCAATGTAAACCCAGAAAGCAGCCGCGAAAATTTGGCTCTTATTGATGGCAGTGCCCAAAGCGATAGCCGTTTCCAGAGACCATGTTTTCTCTCAAGACGAGGCATGCAGAGGGAGGTGCCCAAGCCTGCCAAGCTTGCTACTCATGCAAGCCTGAGAGCAGGCCCGATAATGCATGCAGTGGACTTTGCCTCAGTACATTGATGCATGAATAGTGCATTGCCAGTCCTATGTTGCGAGTGGCATGTTGCATACCACTCGTGTGGCTGCGCAGAGGTGAGGCTGTGATCCAATGACTACCTAAGGCGCCAGCTGCTGTGCAAGTTTGGTGAGGTGGCGGAGAGGTGCACCTCTGGTGAGGCTTCCAGGGAGGGCAGCGGCGGCAGGCGGCAGGCCACAACGTCCCCCGGCCGCAGCGCAAGGCCGGGCTTGGAGGGAACCCCCTCGTTGACGCGCACAAAGCCGTCCCGGATCGCCGCCTGCAGCGGGTGCAGCACATATGACAAGTCAGAAAGATTCATCACTGATTGCTTGCCTCCCCAGACGCAATGCTGTTCCCATCAGACACGGGGCTTGTGAGGTATTCATTGCAGATGTCAGTAGCCTGGTATTGAAGAATCAGCTCCAATATCTCCATGAGAGATGGCATAATGTCCCAGAAGATACGGTGCATAAGGCTCCTTTGCGCAATGAACTTTTTCACAGAATCTGCGATGCCCTTGATGATGGATATGCCTTCCTGACCATCCTTGGATGAACCAGGCCTTGGATGAGGCTCTGTAAGCATCTTAAAAACAGTTTCAGAGATCAGCCGCGTGCCTGCAGGCGTGCGCGGCTGGCATTCGGCATGTTCCCTGACAGAAACGCATCCAGTCTGCGCTTCCCAGAGCCCTCCACGGTGAATGTCCTCTCTGTCAAATCCTGTGCAGCAGAGAAAAAGAGCATCACAACCAAGCCTTGTGCATGCTGTGAAGCCTTCCTTGCGCCAGGCTTTGGATGTGGCATCTGCAGCCTCTGTCTACGTCATGGGTGTCCTAAGATCAATGTTGATCTGGGACGCCCACTGAATTCTCTGGTGCGCAACGACTGCGAGTAATCAACGTGTTGATGCAGAAATTCTTGGCAAGCACTCAAATATAACTCCATCGTCGTCATGGAATGAATGCTGAAGAAAGGCCTACCTCTGCAATCTGGCTGCATTTTGTAGCAGGCATGCAACTCCTGCTGCGGGATACAAAAGGTATGGCTGGCCTTTTTGAGAAGGACTTGCATGATATGAGCTGCCGCACTGGCATCCCCAGCCAGGGCGAGGAGGGCATAACCAGACATGCCGGTGGTGGCATTGCTTTCTGAAATCTACAAACTTGCGATTGACCCTGCGCGAATGATTTGAATGATTTGTACTACATTTGAGGGTCAAAATTTGCTTCGCTTGCGTCTTAACGTTATGTAATGACCGCAGATCGAGTTGAGTTTCTAAAAGATAAATTGTTGTGACAAATCTGTCAAGTAAATCAAGCAGGAGTACGACGCCATTCTTCAAAGATCGATAAATGGTATACGATGATGCAGCCAGACTGCTTTGCATGTTTCTGTTTCGCGAATGAGTCGAAGGACAGTGCTGCGGCGCGTATCCGGCGGTGACATGTTATCCGCAGGCGTGGCTATGTCGCCGGCGTGGAGGGCGTGTCCTCGACAGCCAGAGGAGAAACACTTGTATTCTTCAAAGCGAAACCAACACAAGATTGACGTGTGACAGATTCAATTCAGAGCAGCAATCATGCAGACCGTTTTGCAAAGCCAGATGCAGGTTGGTGTGTCTTCCAGCAAGCAGTCGTCCCGATCTGCTCTGGATGGTTCTAGAATAGGCAGTGTTTCCCTGCCCCTGCGGCGACGATTCTTCTCCGGGAGCAGCTTGACGGCGACCCGATCTCATCTGCGACAACATGCAGGCGCACGCCGATCGAACGGCCTCTGCGTCAGGGCAGAAAAGGTGATAAAGACACCATAAAGCTCTGGCAAACTTTGCAAATAGGTGCTTGCTGGTGTCACATGAATCCTAGCCACCAAATTAAGGATCTTTCGAACTTCTCGTGTATGAGTATTAGGACTGTAAGCAAGTGTATGCCGGAAGTATGATTTTTTTACTAGGTGGCAGCCCTGCTGTGCCAACGCGATGGACAGCAGTGCACCTTGATCAGAGTTCTTTCGTCTGTCACAGTTCTAGATACTTGCAACAAAACAAGCGAATTTAACGTATAATATTCCTACTGCTGCTGGAATCGAGTTTTACGGAAAAGTCATTTTGAGTGCCTCAGTTGGGACACCTCGTGAGGTCCTTCGGATGGTGATCACTGCTGTGCATAGCTGCATTTGTACTGATGTTTTTCGTATGGCTGCCATCATGACAGGTCGTTGGTATCGATCTGGGCACCACAAACTCGGCTGTGGCTGCCATGGAAGGTGGCAAGCCAACCATTGTCACAAATGCAGAGGGTACGCTCCAGTCCCTTTAATGTTCTGCTGTCCACTATGCATCATCTTGCCTCATTGGTGGTCACTTGTCCTGCGTAGTAGTTTTGCTCATGCTTCCTGCAACTGCAAGTTGCATGCTATGTGTTGCAGCTGATGTTTTCCAACGAGCGTTTCCTCTAGATATTGTAGCTGTTTCAGATGATTGCAGAGATATACATATTGACAGCGCTAATCTTACAGCCTGTTGATGGGCTCATGTTGGTGCAGCAAGGCTTTTGCCTTCTGCATTGTACACCCGCACAGATGTTCTCAGATTTCACAGGCACAGTTTCACATCGTCCTGCTCATCTGCTCTGCTGCATGTGCACTGCAGAGGCACGTGTTCGTGCAGTGCATCCCAAGCATCACACTGGGACTACTCCGACCAGCGCCCTGCTGATGTGTTCTTGCGTGCATGTGCTGTGCAGGTGCGCGCACAACGCCGTCAGTGGTGGCATACACAAAGTCTGGGGACAGGCTGGTGGGCCAGATTGCCAAGAGGCAGGGCGTGGTCAATCCGGAGAACACATTTGCGTCAGTGAAGCGCTTCATCGGCAGGAAGATGAATGAGGTGCAGGAGGAGTCCAAGCAGGTCCCCTACAAGGTAAGCAGAGCGCCCATGCTTGTGAGTTAGTGAATGGCACATGTTCAGGCGCATTTACATGGATCTCGCCTATCTGCATGTTTTGGGTCAGTGCACCATGGCACAAATTCCGCAGTGCTCAGCAGTTCTCTCATCATGTGTTTACACTGGAGCGGTGCCTCTCAAGGCAGCAGCTGAAGGAACTATGGTTCATGGCTGGTACATTGGCAGCCCCAGGGGAACGGCAGGACCTTCCATGTACCGGTTTGTTGAGCTGCTGCCTCAAGAGGCCATGCCATCCTTACTGCAGTAAAGAGGATCCTCTTGCCCCATGCCGTCAATGCCTTGACTCGTCAAGGGGATGCTTTTGACCTGTCGAGGCATGCGTGGTGACGTGGCGGGTGCATGCATGCAGCTGGTGGAGGACAGCAACGGAAATGTGAAGATCGTGTCCAGCAACGCCGGCAAGGAGTTTGCCGCGGAGGAAATCAGCGCTCAGGTCCTGCGCAAGCTTGTTGACGATGCCTCCAAATTTCTCAACGACAAGGTGGGCACCGCAGCACTTGAAGAATGATGGTTGTATTTCACCGTAAGGAAACCTTGCAATTGCCTGTGCATCCAGGGCAGGAAGGACGCCCTGCCATTACTGGAAGGAATTTAGTAATGGCATCATAAGTACTGAAAGCCATCACTACGCATATTCGCAAGTGGAATAAATTCGACGGTATATAGGGAGGTGCGATGACGGTAGAAGCTGGCAATCTTCCCTCAGGATCTCACACAGCCAGGGCATGTGTGCTCACATGCACAGGGGCATGTCACGGCCTGTATGTGGTCCTGTAGGATGATTAGGCAGTCCTACTGCTTCTGAGGGATGGGCTCCTTTGTTAAACTACAGCCCGCCACCGAGGCTGCATGTGACTTACTTGTTCATTTTTCCGTGGCTTTGAAGCACTTATTGTTACTGATAATGGTGGCTGTGCAGGTGAACAAGGCGGTGATCACAGTGCCGGCCTACTTCAACGATTCGCAGCGGCAGGCCACAAAGGACTCCGGCCGCATCGCTGGCCTGGAGGTTCTGCGCATCATCAACGAGCCGACGGCCGCCTCGCTCGCGTACGGCTTTGAGAAGAAGTCCAACGAGACCATCCTCGTCTTCGACCTGGGTGGCGGCACCTTTGATGTCTCTGTCCTGGAGGTGAGTCAGTTTTGTCTTCAAATTACTATTTAGGGTGGCACCCTTGGGTTTCAATTGGGAGTATCACATGTCTGTCCTTTGTCATCCTGGTTCAGGGTAGTCGGGTGAATCTCATTTGCGATTGACATCCATCCCATTATCCCGCACTGCCTAGGAGGATCTGGGACCCTTTCATGTGAGGCTCCTGGGGATGCACTTCTCTAACTGGTGGGATATGCATGTTGCCACTTCATGGGGTTTCTGCTCGTGGCCTGATGCCTGTGGGTGCTGGGTCATTGTGCTGTGCCTGAGAACACCAAACAACAAAGCCGTGGTTCATTGCCATTGTTCCTTGAACCACTCATCAGTATGCAGAAGGCATGCTGCCGATTGCAATCTGCATATTCCTCCATGAGCGCTTGCGGCGTGACTCATGCTCCGTCATCCTCAGGTGGGCGACGGAGTCTTCGAGGTGCTGTCGACGAGCGGAGACACACACCTGGGAGGCGACGACTTTGACAAGCGAATCGTGGATTTCCTGGCGGACGACTTCCAGCGCTCAGAGGGCATCGACCTGCGCAAGGACCGGCAGGCGCTGCAGCGGCTGACCGAGGCCGCTGAGAAGGCCAAGATGGAGCTCTCTACGCTCTCGCAGGTGAGCCCAGTTTCTCACGCTCTTTCTTAGCTGAAAGTGGAAGGCAGGGTCACTTAATTACAGTGTCACCCAGCCACAGAGGTAGCGATCACTGGCAATTTTGAGTGCTCTTGCCTCGGTGGCACGCAAGGTAGCTCTCCCCACGCTCTCGCAGGTGCGCGCATAAGTTTCTCATCTGATCAGGCTGCGCTGCTGATTGGCAGTAAGATTTTGGCCGTCCCAAGTGCCAAGTGCCAAATGCTAGGGAGTGCACTACAGGTTTGGTTGCCAACTGCGAACATCACAGCGGTCACGATCACGGGCAGCTGCTGTAGAGCTGTTGGTGATCCAGTCTCTGTGGCATGCACATTTGGGCTCTTGTGCTTATAGGGAGCATGTCACGCCTGCACCTGTAGTCATCTTGGACGTGCAAGAGCAGCAAATTTCTGCTCGCTCCTCTTATTGCACTACGCCGTAAAGTTGCCGCACTAGCTGCGTTGCTTGACAATTCCTCACTCTTTGTGGCAAAGATTCTCATCATGATCATCGTTCTCTAGGAGCACCGTTAGCTGGAGTAGAGCTGCTGAATCTCCCACAAGTGCGACTTGCAGACAGATCATTCTCTTGCATGCGACCGAGTGTTCCTAGTGGCATGTTCTGGCTTGTAAATTTTATGTAAAGTTTGCCACCGTCTTGTCTGCAGAGCCGTTTGTGCGTGGTGGTTCTTAGGGCAGTCTGCCAGCATCAACATGAGTCAATGGATGACAATGTCCTGATGCACCTGTGTTGCCCTCTCGCAGACATCCATCTCGCTGCCCTTCATCACGGCGACGGCCGACGGACCGAAGCACATTGAGACCAACCTGTCTCGTGCCAAGTTCGAGGAGATTTCCTCGGACCTGCTCGATCGCTGCCGCATCCCCGTGCAGCAGGCTCTGAAGGACGCCAACCTGAAGTTCACAGACCTCAACGAGGTCATCCTTGTGGGCGGATCCACTCGAATCCCCGCAGTGCAGGTGCGATAGCAAATATTTGAATCTAGATTGCCATGAGAAATACATTCTTCTCCGAGTGCATCAGCTCACAAGTGCATCAGCTCTCAGGGTGTCAGTGTCGGCTGTTAGTGCAGCCATGATATCTTCCTTTGAGCTGGGACACAGGACAGCATCTCGTTTTGTGTGCTGCGTACAGACTCGCCTTCCTTGTTATGCAGGGATATGTGAAGACTGTTTTGCTATTACTGTATCACATGCGTATCAATGTGTTGCAAGCGCTTGTGTAGTCGTACGCACATTTCTTAAGCAGGGAAGTAAGGCAGCGTCGTGTTCTGAGTGCATATAACTCTGCCTTTGCAGCATTTTGACGCAAGCCAGGGGATGTCACTGCACAGCCTGGTTTGGGGAGATGGATTTGGAGTCCTGTGAAGAGGCTGGCACTCAGCTTTTTCTGTGCGTGGTTGTGTGTTACAGGAGCTTGTGCAGAAGATTGCTGGCAAGGCGCCCAACGTGACTGTGAACCCCGATGAGGTCGTGGCGCTCGGCGCAGCCGTGCAGGCCGGTGTGCTGGCAGGTGTGTGCCTCTACTCTTTATCACCCGATCTCTCGCCATTCTTATTGGACTAATGCCTTGTATCTTTTGGGTCTGGTCTTGGTTGACGTGGCGCACACTGTGCCGCACAGCAATGTCGACTGCCTAGCAGCTCTCACAAGCTCTACTGCAGATGGAAGCAATTTTCCCGATGCACTGTCCTGAGAGCTCACCTCGTTGGGGGGTGACTGTGTACTGCACAAATAACGTGCATGTTCCATGACTGGTAGTTGGCGACAGACTCTGACTAACCCAGTAGATGCCAACTATAAATAACTAACATTGTCATGATCTTGGGTGCGCGCAGGCGAGGTGCGCGACATCGTGCTGCTCGACGTGACGCCCCTGTCGCTCGGGTTGGAGACCCTGGGAGGCGTGATGACTAAGCTTATCACTCGCAACACCACCCTGCCCACCTCCAAGTCCGAGGTCTTCTCCACCGCTGCAGACAACCAGACCTCTGTCGAGATCAACGTGCTTCAGGGTGAGATCCTGCTGCGATTTGACACTCCCAAAACTGCTGAAATCCTCATCAGCAGACAGCTGTACCTGAACATAAAGCCCAGGTACTGGGATCTTGAATGCGTGGTGCTGAAGATGTCACTGCAAACTCCCTTGTTTTGGGTTTAGACTCCATCTAACTACACTTGGCGCAAGTGCTGGGGAAGGCGTGGAGTGACGCTTGACCACATCATGCATTCATGGTTCCACACTCCCTGGCAAATGCATGCCTCTGAGCATATCTGGCATCTAGCCAATCATGACAATCATCTTTCTGGATCCTTGAGTGCTTGCAGATGGTCTCATTTGAGCAAGCCTTGCAGTTGCTTTGCTTTTTCAATGCAGACTTACTTTGCGACTGCCAGGCATGCCTGCATGAGGCTCTGATGGTAGCATTCAAGCTCCCAAATGTCTGGGTCGATGCATGTCCTTTACCGTGTTGTATGTGATCAGTTGATGTCCTGGGTGGCTCTTGCTTCCAGGATATTGGCCCGAGGAATGTAGGCCTGCTACTGGAAGATGAGAATTAGGCTCATTACAGCAATGGCATTGATTTGACCCCTGCCCGGTCCACGAACACCCCTCAATAGAACACCAGGCCTTTTAGTAGTGGCCTGGCAGTGCATGATCTATTGGTGGGCTGGCTCTATAGTGTGTGTGTGTGTGTGCACAAGACCTGTGAGATGATGTAGACCTTTTGCCTGCAATACCTTGGTGTGTGGATCATGGTTCAAAACCACATGAGTGATGCACATTGTTTGCCTGCAACGTGTGTATGTATCAAAGCTGCTGAGTCATCGTGCTGTGTCCTGTGCAGGCGAGCGCGAGTTTGTGCGCGACAACAAGTCGCTGGGCAACTTCCGGCTGGACGGTATCCCTCCCGCTCCCCGGGGGGTCCCCCAGGTCGAGGTCAAATTCGACATCGACGCGAACGGCATCCTCTCAGTCACTGCCACCGGTGCGCCACCTCATAACGCCCTTTCATTAGTAATCACACGACTGTTTATGTAGATTTTTTTGGTCACTCACAAGCAACAAGAGGCAACGGGTGTGCAAACGTGTGATAGGGGCCTATCTATAGGTGCTGAGTTTTCCTTGTGTCTGACATGCGAGCTTATTTGCGGTGTGCAGACAAGGGCACTGGCAAGAAGCAGGACATCAAGATCACCGGCGCATCCACCCTTGCCGGTGACGAGGTGGACCGCATGGTCAAGGACGCCGAGAAGTTCGCTGACGAGGACAAGAAGAAGCGCGAGGCCGTGGACGTCAAGAACCAGGTGTGCTTCTGCCGCCGCTTAAAAGAGGAAATTTTATTTTGCAACATGCTTTCAAAAAGTGTTTTATCCTTTGTAAATTGTGACCTGAGGTTTTACTTCGTTATTTTATTAAATATATAGTTGTACTGTCCGTAACTGGATGGGAGGCACTTCTGGATGTAGAAGCGTTTGCTGGCTTGGGCAGTTGTTGCTGGGGTTTGTTTGCATCAAGGCATGTGTTGTTACCTCATATCCCGTGTCTGCGCGAAGGGACAAGCATCTTGTTCTTAGCAGCAGCTGTTGCTATGGGTGAATTGCATTGCATAGTTTGCCTTGGATCAGCTGGCGGACCTGGAGTAATAAGTGGGTCACATGTGCAGACTCTGAATTATTGTGTTTGACCCACGCGCTGATGTCATGTGCATTCTGTCAAACAGGCGGACAGCTTGGTTTACCAGACAGAGAAGCAGCTGACGGAGTTGGGCGACAAGGTGCCTGCGGATGTCAAGTCCAAGGTTGAGTCGCAGATCACCTCCCTCAAGGAGACTGCTGCCGGCGACGACACAGAGGCCACCAAGAAGGCCATCGAGGACCTGCAGAAGGAGGTGCGTTCAGATTTGCACTACTTGACTTCCTCTGAAGCAGCTGTTGCGACTGAAGCTATTGCACTTTCTATCTTGCAAGTGCGTCAGATTCTTCACATGCTGATGTGATCTGGGCTGTCAATGCAATGGTCCATGCACCCCTTGCCGAACATGGCTTTGCAAGGCCGGCACTGCGCAGACACAAGGCTGTTGAACGGCAGCTACTGGCTGTGCTGCACCTCCGCAGCTGTCAGGACTGTGATTCTTCATATACATCCTGCTTGGATATGACGAGTCCATCAATGGGTAGGGTTTAGGGTTAGTGGCAGCCTTCACCTGCAGCTTGGCTGCAGCCGCACCTTGCCTCCTGGCAGGTACAATTATTTGATGTTTCTAGATGTTCTTCTTGTATGTACAGCTGATTCTGACGTATGTGATGCGCGCAGGTGATGGCGATCGGGCAGGCCATCTACGGGCAGCCAGGTGGCGCGCCCGGCCCCGACGCGGCGGCCGGCCCCGGCGCGGGCGCCCCCGGCGGCGACGAAAAGAAGGGCGGTGACAATGTCGTCGACGCCGAGTTCACCGACTCCGACAAGTGAAGCCGCTCCGCCTGAATTGGCGTCATGCGCTGATCTGGCGACGGCTGACCTGGCAGCGCGTCTGATCTGGCACCGTGCTGATATGTGCGGCGTGCCTGATTTGGTGATATCGTGGAAATTGGCATGGGAGCGTGATCTGGCAGGGGGCTTTGCTCACGATGTATCGGCAGGGTCCGCTCTGTCGGCTGTCAGTTTCCCAGGAAAATTGGGAAGACGTCCTCTGCGCGAGTGGTTTGGAGCGCGCAGGTGCTGGCTGTGTCCAAGTGATGGCACGCGCTTGCGAAGGTGCAGTGGGATATGCGGATGACGAAGATGGCTTGAGCTGAGTGCTGGGGGTTTGGAAGCCCCCAAGACACAGGAGGGGATGTGCAGTTGACTATTTTGCAGACTGCATTCGCTCTGCCTGCGGCAAGACTATAGGCATGAACCAAGGACCACCAGTGCGCTGCTTTGGAAGCATCACGTGGTGCACTTGCAGAAATGCTGGCTTTGAGCTTCTTGGCTTGAGAGGGGGGATGCATGTGCAAGTGGGTGTTTTATTTACCCCTTAAGGATTAGCTCTGGGCTTGCTTAATGCCGCGAGTGAATACTAGTTCATCGCCATGACAGCACATAAAAGTGAATTGTTTTGCTATGTGTGGGTGACTGATTTGTGGGGTGATGCAGCGTGCAATCCCCACTAATTAGTCTTGACATTTTCCTGCTTCAAGACGTGCTGCGTGTTGGTGTGTGCAAATGTGTAGGTGGTGAACAGGAATGGAACAAGCACAGGTGGGTCAAATTATTCTTATTGCTGTTGGCTAGTGACTTCACAGGAATGAATATACAAGGACTGTAAGATCAAATTTGCGCATTACAACCTGTCGAATTTTCATTCAGTCCAGCTCAATCAATCATTTTAAATATCATTCCTGCTTCCTGCTTCGAGACAAATGTGTACCACAAGATCTCTCAAACTGGAAAATTCTCAAGTCTTTGCGGGATCAGTACTGTAAGGAAGTCATTATCCACTGAAGCTCCTACCTAATCATGAACTACATCAACGGAGACAAAAGACACACAAACTGTGCATTCAGAGCGCTCATATGCAGCCATAAAAAAGCTGCAGAGCTTTGAACTGATGGGGATAAATTTGCTATCTGCTATCTGCCAAAGAATGCGTGGGACAGAACATCTGTCCTATGACAGCAATATCAGTTCCGCAAGGCAACGTTGCAGCAAAATCTCTCGGTTGCAGGGAGTGAAAAACTTTGCGAAAGAACGAAATGAGACAAAACCACCGCAGTGCAGAACCAATTGTGTCGCCGTGTGCAGCGGCACCAGTGATAGCACTTAGAACTGGAAAACAAAAGTGAGTCCGTGACAGAGTGTCTCCTGCCAGCAGTTGTCACAGTAGCGCATTTGCCAGAGCAGGATCAAATGTTCCTATGCTGCGACGCCTGCCTTGACATCACTCAGTCCATGCCAAGTGTAAACCTGCACAGCCAACCACACAACCTTGTGATCAACACCGATCTGCAAGGAGAAAAACACAACCCGGCAGAATGAGTGAAAGTTCAGCAGGAGAGGAACCAGATCTGTGGCATGCAGGAGCTTTCTGCGATTTTGGCACATGCTGCTGCTCTGCAAGGAAGCATTGCACAAGGAGAGTGGGAGTGCGATTTGATGGCACTTTCCAGATTCTGCTAGCGTCAGTCTGAAAGCTTCTGACTATGTTCGAGAATCTACATGAAGTTTCCCAAGGCTTATTTAGAATCTGGCCCCGGCTGGTGGGGGGGCCTATAAATACTGAGCATCGTGCCCACAATTGATTGGGTCTTGCTTGGATCTGGCGAGTCCAACATGGGGTGGGATTGTGGCAGCAGCTTGTCTGCAGGACGCACCTTGCCTTGTGGGAAGAAAATGCTAATACTCTAGAAAGTTGACAGCTGGTAGTAGTGAGGCTGCAAGGTGCTGACCTGGGACATATGACCTGGCGCCCAAGTCATGTCAAGGGAAATGGTATCGGTCAGCCGGTCTGACAGCGCTTCCAGGGGAGTTGTGGCGACAACTGTGATTTTGACGGATGGGAGTGCGTTCATGGCCCTCCTGAAGTTCTTGCTCATCCTGCAAGCATGCACAGAGCTGCGGTGAGTCAATCTAGCCTGGCTGCTATTAGTGCAACACTTGGCACCCCTGTGATTTGAAGTCAAGTGCATGACAAGCCTGGCATGCATCCATTGTGCTGGACTCTTGCGGTACAAAATGTGCCAGTGCCATCCAATTGCGCAGCTAACCTCTACGTGTCAGGCGGTCTTGTCCAGGCTTGAAAAACACTACAAAGCAACCAGCCATCTCACTGTGAACTAAACCAGGCAGAGCTGGAAACGTGGAGCAGCATTGACGATGGTCACCTCATGTTGGTCCCTTGCTGGAAAGCAAGGTTGTTACAGAACATGAGGAGGGACGTGCAGGCGTAGCTCTGCAGCATCGCTGTCAAGTCATGGTCGTTGAAGTCTCCCAACAGGAACTCGATCTTCGACTGAACATCCTCCGGAAGCGAAGCAAGAAGCTCTTGGCTCTCCTGAAGCTTGTCATTGTACTTCTCGATGCCTATTGCCCTGTAGCAACCTCCCTGCTGAACTGAGGCGGCAGTAATCAGGCCACGTCCGCTGCCCACGTCCAGGAACAGGGTATCCTCGTCACAGAGAGCAAAAACATCGGCAAAAGAACTCTCCAAAATCTCGCCGTACGTGCGGGCCATGTTGCTCGCAAGGCAAGCGGGGTCGCCGTTATTGCTATAAATTCTGGCGCGTATTCAAAAGTGAATGCAAAAGCTCATTCATCTGCATGCGTTCCGCTTCGAGCTTCACGAACTGCATACTTATCTGCGAAACGCACGATGCTGCAAAGATGCTCCTGCCAGATTTGTGATTCCAAAGTGGCAGCAGAAGAAACGAGGGAGGTCAGGGTCAACTCCCAAACCCCTCGCTTGATATAATTACCCCTTCAGAAACCCTATATCTGTGACGAATGAAACGAGGCCTTTACATGCCGCACCATGTCACATGGTCCATGTGTTGCAGAGATTTGATTGAGACCTCACAGTGCATAAGAAGAGGACAACAGTGACGTTTCCCAAAGTTGCTGCACCACACCCAGCGCAAATGTGCGCAAGGAAATAGCTTTCGGACTAAATAGTACTACGAAAACTATCAGTAGTCGGCTAGTCTTCAATCTGCGGATATCCGGCAATCTGCACAGGCCAATGGGCCAACAACCAACCGTGCGTGCACTAGCTGTCGGTGCAGTCTGCAATGGCAGGAGACACAATCGCCCAGGAGCCTCTAAAAATGAATCTACACACCTGCCACCATGTGACTTGGCCCTTCCGTAAACACACTGGCAGTGTGATGCTGATCAGCGACACCGTCCAGAACAGCTGAGGAGAGCAGACCCTGGACTGGGACTCGGAATCCTGAACTACAAAAATATTTGACTTCTTGATGCGCAGTTCTTCATCAGCAGGGCTGAATGGATCGGCACCACTCAGCTTATGAGGTCAAACACATCCGCCTGCTCATGGTCGACCTTCAAAAAGGTCTTGAGGAGCTTCTGCATGTCCCTCCAGGCCTCCTCTGTCACCGGATTCTCCTTCAGGTCTCGCAGAGCCTCCTCTGCAATGTCCTTTGGTAAATTGCCCGAGGCTATTCGCTCCTTCAGATCTGCCTCCATGTACTTGTCTGTGATTTCTGGGTGGCCCTGCAGACCTGCAAACCGCAGCAATCTTTTCAGGATTGGGCTCATTTTGACATGCCTTTACTGCCAGAGGCGAGGTGCGTTTGCAGACAAGCTGCAGGATTGGATACACTCATTCAAAAGCATTTAGTGTTAGCCGTGTCTCTGTGCATGTGCAGAGCAAAGGACCTAACAATCTACACATGCCATCTATCATCAACGCTTCAGCAATGTCTCTGGTTCCTGCAAGAAATAATTGTGCTTGTACTTGCATAGCAGGGCGGTGTTAGCATTATTCAGAGAAAATGGTTCCGTCTACCATGGAAGCCTCAGGGAGCGGAGTGCTCACCGAGGAAGTGGTCACCCATGCAGCACATCTGCACAGGGGTGTTCTTCCCATATCCCAGCACCTGCATCCCTGGCGCCGGTTCTGTGATGATGTCAAAGTGGGTCTCGTGCAGGTTGAACTCTGGGCGCTCCTCAAATTTTTCTACCACAGAAAATACAACAAGGTCATGAGTCAGCCTCCGATGAGTCATAGACTACTTATCAAGCTACTCTTGACTAGTAAGCTCCACAGTGCTTGCAGTATAAGTGACAGGTGAACATCCGTACAGGGTGTCAAAGGAGAAACAAAGGGCAGATTCCGCACCTGCATACCACATCTTGTCAAACTCTTGGGTGGTGTGGATTTTTCGCGCCCCGCCCTCATACCCTGTTGGCGCCTTACCTGCACAAACGCACACAATGAGAATTTTGAATTCCTCGCTCTCTGCAAAAAGAACAGGCCGAAGTGATGATGACCAATACGCTTCACAAGGGCTCACTCTTTTCCACGGCCAGGTGACAAACAATCAGCATTCAGACACGAGCAACCCCATCCTGGCCTGAAACATGCTCTTTTCTCTGTTTGGTAATTGAACCACCGAACGTGGCTGTCAGGTTGCAGAGGTACAAGTGCACATAGGGCACCCACCAACAGTGCCGCCAAGGACGATGGTTGTGATCTGGCAGCCAAAGCAGTGGCCCAGAATGCGCTGCTGCCTCGAGTGAGCTGTCCTGATCAGCTCCCGCAGCTTCAAATTCCACTCATCTGTGGCATATGCGTCGTGCCTGCTCCCTGTCAGGATTATGCCCTGGCCCAAGGACAAGGCGAAGATCACGCAGAGTGGTACAAGACGAAATCTTGTAGCATGATGCCCTCTTGAATAGCATTACAGATCGGAAATTGTGAGGCACACCTTGAAGTCCTGCAATTCCTCATCTGTTGGGAAATGGTTGTTGACAGGGTAGAATACGTGCCACTCCTCGTCGAGTACAGGGTCTGATAGAAGATTTTTGTAAAGGACACCGTAGTCTCCAAACTCCCTTTCGATCTCGGGAGCTGAATTTCCAGTCACCAAAATGGCAAATTTCAGCTTCCTGCCTGCTGTGTTCCCATTCATGTGGTCGAAGGATCTTTAATGGTGAAATGTACGATCTCAGATCTTCTGAAACTACCTTTTATCCACTTCAATTACCATTGTACAAATAAAGTCTCCAAATTTGCTTGTTGGCACCTGCGGAGGAGCTAGGGGGAACCTGACGAAATAATTTAGACATATCTCCTGGAGATGCCCATCTGTGCATCTTGGCTGTACCACACGAATTCTTCCATGTCTTTGCATTAGAATTCGATCGCTTGCGGTGAGGAATTGCTTAAAAATCTTTGTCCAAGGTATACAGATGCCACTGGTCTGCGATCCTGAGAAAAGTGTCAGCACTTAGCCTGAAGGAGCATTGCATTCATCTCTGTGAGATCGATGGGTAGTACAGCAGATCGATCTATGGAGGCTGGATGCGCCGAAGGGCCAAGTCACCCTGTTGAGCTTGTGCATCCACCTCACTGGAGGCTCTTGCACACTCGCGGTGTTTTCAGTGCCCTGCATGCCACCCACGCGCAGTACCACGATTCTCACCTGGACACAACCGTCGAGTGGTCAGCCCGGAAGCACAGAAAAGGCCGGCGTGTCGCAGTGAGCCCCCTTTAAGCAGAAGTCCAAGTATTTGAAGTCCTCTGCAGGTCCTGGCTTGTGCTTGTAGCACTGGGGATGAGCCATGCACGTGTGCATCTCTTCTTTGGTGGCACCTGTTGTGAGAAACTGCTGAGTGACTCGCTGCATGCAGATCCATGAAGACCCAAACAAGCACAAGGTGGTGCGGCAATGGCCACGTCTTTGGGGCTGGGAGTTTTCCAACATATCCTGGTGAGGATCTGCTGTTTTGTTGCAGCAGGAATCTGATGAAACCGGTTGCCGATCTGTCCTTCCAAGTTTTGAGGCGATTGAGGTTGATTATAATGAAGCTGTGCTTGTGAACAGGTGGGTTGCGCAGCTCTTCACATGGGGATCTGTAGCCTGGTGTATCAATGTGAGATCTTAGCACTTGCTTTCCCTTCACAGTACTGAGCTGTGGCGCTTGACACTGCTTGCTTTTTTCATGTACTGCATTCTCTTTTCAGTACTGAGCTGTGTGCTGCTTGACGCTGTTGCTTTTTTCCTGTCCTGCAAGGATTAACGACTGGGGCACCCGGCCCTGCAGGGCTGGTATGCGCTGTTCCCTCTAGAGGACGAGGCCAGAAACACCAGGATTGTCGGGTGGAGTGCGCTTGTGGGTGGGACGCTGTTTGAGGTGGGAGCGTACTGCATGGTGGTTGAGGCTGTGAACAGGGGCAATGCTGTTCGCTTCGGCTACGAGGTGCGAATCCCACAGTATTTGCAAAGCGCCAGACTGTTCTCAGAAAGAGCAACCAGAGGAATTTAATCTCAGGGTCAGATCAGTGTGCTGTATGTGCGTTTCTCAGCGCAGAGGGGGCTCGGCATGATCAGAAAACTCTTCAGAACCTTTATCTCTATAGGTCTTCTGTTGGTGAGGACTAGATAGGAAATCTGCGCCAGCGGTGCTGTCAATTTTTTCAGAGCTCAAATTCTGATGGACCAGCATGGTACAAAAGTGATCCTATGAGCCATCCCTGTGCACAATTCGTTGTAAGACTTGCCGGCCAGCAACAGATGCTCCTGGTGCAGAACTTGTGCTGCCATTTTCTTTGTTTGCAGCCCAGCAGCCTAGCATGCAATGCCTCCTACTGGCTCACAGATTTAAGATCTTCATTTCGCAGGTGAAGAATCTCCTCGAGTCCGGGCTGACTCACTTCCACTTGGCGCGTGGCAGCGGTTACTACAGCCACAGCAACGGCTCAGGGCGTGAGATGGTGTGCACTGGCATTCCTCCCCCTCAGTTGCCCAGTTGGCAGCGTTTTTGTGGCAGCAGAAGCCGCCTGTTAGCTGACTCTTTGCCTTCAATGGTTATCCCCACTGTGGCACAGGCCAGCAGCCATCTTAGCCAGTCTGGGGGGGTTGTTTTGCGTGCAGAACATTACATCTTCGATCAGCGAGTTTGGCCATATACATCAACATCTCAATGAGTTCTTACGACATGAGCGCATGCAATCGAAATATTGTGGAAACGAAACAATTGGCCGCACAGGAGACTGTCGAGGATCGCCGTGCAGTCCTGGATAAGGATAAGGGCGGGAAGACGGGGTCAGGGAAGCCATTTGCAAATGGTGCTGGAAACAGTGATGGGGCTACAAAGAAGGATACCTCTGGCAGCGGTGGCCAGCGGTGGCGCTGGTGGGGCACCAGGTGGGGGGCCCTTCATGATCCCTTCACCACTTACAATATTCGAGGTATCTGTTGAGGATAATCATGCAGGTCTTAAGACTCAGACTCAGAGTTGAAAGGCATGCGTGTCAATGATCATTGCTGGGATTAGCTTGGGTCGGCTTGGCAGGTACTGTGCAGCGATGTGCTGGAATCCAGATAAAAGATTGCGTGACCTGAACAAAGATATCTCTGTGGAGGTTAAAGATGGAATAACCTGCGCTATCTCGCGTCCCCTATCCTCTCATTCGAGAGAGCAAACAGTCAGCAATCTGCTTGCATGAGGCAAAGATGTCTCTGGTCCCAGGTGAAACAACCTGGGCTATTTGGCGTCCCTGATCACCCCAATAGGAGCTAGTATCAGCAAATTGTTTGCTTGACATAGGGAATTTTGTGGTTCCAGTCGGAATCATTTGGGCTACTTGTGTCGTCATTCATCTCAAGGGAGCTAATATCAGCAAGTTGTCTGCATGAGGCAGGAATATTTGTGGTTCCAGGTGGAATAATCTGGGCTACTTGGCGTCATTTGTCACCATGATAGGCGCTACCATTTTCTGGGTATCCACAATCGTGGGCGTGCCTGGAGTGCTGCCAGATGAGTCAGTGCACTATGTGGAGTGGGACATCCTATTCTGGCTGACACAGGTGCGCTGAATTCTCTGCCAAGAGATCGTCATCTGGTCTGTATAACTTAGTCATGGGTCAGATCAGTCATGCGTCAAATCAGTGATGATCAGTCATGACTCTGAAGGCAAGGGAAGAGTCAATATGAGGCAAGAGCTTTCATGGAGTTGATCTCCAGCAGTTCTCGCAGTGCAGTTCTGGCACTGCTGTTACGTGTGCTGTGTTTTTTGGCACCCAAATTTTAGCCTGCCTGCCTGCCGCAGAGTATTTTTCTTGCCTCAAAAGGTCACAAGCTGCGTGCTTGTGCACTTAGGGAGAAGGCAGCACAGCTTCTTAGGTGATGCCATGTCAGATGCTGCATTATTTTGCACCCGATGAAGCCAAGATCAAATGAACATAGTGGGCCGCTGTACCCCACAAAAACTCCGTGCTTTTCTCATGTTAGGATACAGGGAAGTCTCTTGACATTGGCCAATGGGGAATCCTGAAAGTTTTTCAAGCGCTAGGAAAATGATGTCATTTGCTGTGTCAGGTGCTAGGCTCGTGCTGCTTCATAGCTGCAGCGATCCTATTCATGCTGGAGACTCAGTCGTCCTGGTGGCGCATACAACCCCTCAACCTAGGCTGGCAAGTGGGCTTCTGGAATCTTATCGGCGGCCTGGGATTCTGGCTCAGGTACTAAATTTATTCCTTCTCGCTCACACAACGGAACTCTTTTGATTTTGTACTCCACTCTTTGCATGATCGCCGAGCCTGATGGGGTGTGGCTGAAGTGGGTGTGGCTGAAGAATTTGCAGTTTGATAAAGTGTATTGAAATGGAATGACAAGGTTAGAACTTGCTGGCGGTCTACATATTGGGAGTACTGAAGACTAGCAGGGCAGTGTTCTGTACCCTCTATTGTATCACATTAGGACTGGGATGACTTTGTGGCAATCAAATTGGTGCTGTCGCATGGCTGAGCCTTAGGCGGTATAGAGTTGCCTTTTGAATTTTGACAAGGGGATTGTGTGATGAATGCAGTGGCTTTTTTGGATTCTGGGCGTATCCGGCAGGGACGCATCAGAAGTGGGGCACAGCGCTCAGCACCTTCTGGGGTGCATGGGCGTTTCTGCTGGGGTCCTACATACAGCTGTTTGAAATGCTGAACTGAGCCGTTGATATCAGAGGAAAATATTCAGAGCGGCGCGCAAGCTGAAAAATACGGTCCCCTGCGCTGCCCGTTAGATGCATTTTCATCCTTGCGTGAGGCGGTTTTGAATTACCCTCTTCTGTCAACTTGAGCGGGCACCAAATGAGCGAAACGATTTCGAGTGATGGCGAAGATAGGTGCAAATGACGCAAGCAGGATGTGAGCATCTATAGAGGGTGAAGGATGGTTACATAGGGTATTTGTAGGGCAGACAGAACAGCTGCAGGGAGTGTACTACCTGCCTGACATAGTTGTGGAAAGTTTTATTCCTTGAGTGTGCAATGTGAGCTGGTCAAGTGAGCTGTGCACTGAATGATTGCATTGAAGTGTGTGAGTGGTACAAGTGTTGGTACTGTGCATGAGGCTGCTTTTGGTCTTTCCTTATGAAATTGCCACTTTTAAGTTGTGAGTGCAAGGTGCGGAAAGAAAGTGATGGACTGCTCAAAATATTGAGATTCGCAAGACAGCACTGTGGACATCAGCTCTTACATATTTGTTTGCAGAGATATGCACGCCTGGTTCCATTGCTTTGCAAAGCTGCCTCTGAGTTTCTAGAAGTCTTCTAGTTCTTAGTATGGTAGCATCTTCTCCTACAGAGTCTGTCGCTCAGGCATGCAAACTCCTGCCAAGGCTCCACAGCTCATCATCATGCGCAGCCAATCGTGCAGCCCTGCCCATATCTCCTAAAGCATGATTCGCAAGCTGCTTCTTTGAAGTACAATTTGGCAGCTGCTCAATCCTGAGAGGCCTCTACAGTCGTCCCCCCCTCGCTCACAACATCCCAGTCCACTTCTGCATGTGGAGCAGGGGCTTCGAGAGGCGCTGTTTTCTCAACTTCCTCTTCTTGGTTCGCTGCCGTTTCTCCACTTTTGAGTTTTGTCGAGAACACTGCAGGCACGGGCCTCCGGGTGATATGTGTTTTCAGTCATTCTTGGTTCGCATTGAGCGAATCGCTCGGCTTGAGCCTGCTGCTGCTGCTTCATATTTTGTGATTCGGGCCGCAAGCTTGAAGGACGCCACTATCTCTGGGCCTGAGCTGTGCGCAGGTTCTGGGGTGTACTCATGTCATTCTCATCCTCATGTACTCATACTCATGTCATATTCGTGTCATCTGTTTCGCACGACCCGCGAAAAGAGAGGTGCAAGTGCCTTCATCCATGCAAGTGAATCATTGAGGCCTGCTGGTGGCTTTGTCACAGCCAGTTGAGATCTGTAAATACAAGGTGCCGCCGTGCATGACCCACAGTTTTCTCACTTCTTGGTTGCAGCGGACTCGCACCTGCCAGGCACTTGCGCAGAACAGCCCATGCACAGTAAGTCCGGTAATTGTTGACCAGCATGGTTAGCTGCGCCTGCAATGACCACACTTGAGGGGCCGTGATGCATGCATGCCATGCGCCCGCTCAGAAAAGACAGGCCCACGGTCGAGTTGCTGTCCGCCCACACTGCGATGAGGTCTCTGTCATTCTCCATCTTAAATTAAACTTTTTCAGGGCCCGTGCTGTGACAGCTAACGGATTTGGCGTGCTACAAGCTTTGTACGAGACTTTGGTCTTCCGATGGGCTGTAACGTTCTGTAATTGCTGCCTTTGGTAAGCTTTGAAGCCTCTACAGTTTTTTCCTACCTCACTTGCTTCGTAAATATTCTCATATTACCAATTGCTTCCAGCACCTACTGCCTCGCAAAATGCTTCAGGATATTCGCGGATGGAAGAAATGTGGCCGATGGGTGCTGTTTGAGAATTTTGACAGCAAGATTGGCTCAGAATTTCGCTTCTGGCAGCTCCGTTCGTGTCAGGCCACATATTGGGCACGTAGGCCTCTTCTCGTCAAGTACGGTGGTACCTGCCAGCTGTGAACTCTCAAGTAATTATTGGTGCCCACAAGGCCTGGGGCTCCATCAATATGCACAGTCTCCGGCCGTCGGCCGAAGGAAGAGAGATCGATAAAGTAGCATTCCTCAGATTTCTCGTATCTGGGCCACATTGCACTAGCTCCGCTGTCGCCGTCCAATTTTGAAATACATTTCTTCCATCTTCTCACCTGCGGAACCGAATCACATTGACATCCGCAGGGCAAACGAAGAAAGAGCAAGGCTACTTTTGTAAGCAGTAAGGGTGTGCTAGTCTCGTTCACTTTGGGTCCTTAAGGCGTGCAAGACGTTGGATGCAGCAGCTTACAGACGTGACGGGGCTTCTCAGAGTTTGATGCAGATACATAAGCATTTGTAACTTTCTTCCATTGATGCGCAATCGCAGAGTGAGTCGATCGTGTGACGTAGTCATCCCTTTCTTTTGAGGGTTTACAGAAGGGGAGGGTGATAAGGTTTCGTAAGGGTTTCATAATTCCCCCTGAGCATGTGGCATGATTACCCAGGCTAGTTTTTCTCCCTGTCCTTAAAGGGTACCCCAATTTGTTAGCATGCGACGTCAGTAAGCTTTGGGCCATTGGGCGGAAATTGTAGATGTAGACACACCGGAATAACTCGCAAAAAGCGAGCATATGAGATACCTGAAGTAATTCTCCTGAAGACTAGTCAACAACACATTGAATGAGACATGCAAGCAAGGGATATGAAAAGTACGTATGGGCAGCCCTCTGTTATGCTTTACCGAATGGAAAGATCGCATGCAAGCACACAGGACGGCCCTTTCAACTCACTCTCAGCAGGTAAATTGACAGCTCTTTTGCTCACAGGACTCAACCTTACAATTTGCATGATGTCAAGCTGCCAGGCAAAAGTTTCCTTTATCGTTGGCGCTCGCTCTGTCGTGTTGTCTGCATTTCTCTTCTTCCAAACCCTCACAAAAAGCACGCACCGGCCGTAAGGCTCGAGAGTGCCACAAGATGAATGCAAGGCTGCTCATGCAGCTGATTCCAATGCCTCTGGGCAATCCCAGAAATCTATGGTGTAGAGTTTAGGATATTAAACCCTGGATTCCAAAAATAATTGGCAAGGAATGGATCACTCGGAGAAAGCGGCACTGCTACAACGTTTTGCTAAGGCCTCCCCTTGCCAAATTTTATCAAGCAAATATTTTATGCGGTATGGACAATTTCAAAGTTGTATCTTCCGCCTACGTGTCACTCGCCCCACCACGGCTGACGACATCCCACTCCCCCTCTGGAGCATCTGCAGCAGCCTTCGCAGCAGGTGAAGCCTCACAGGCGTCTGCCTCAGCCGCATCCTTGCAAGCAACATCAGAGGGAATCTTGAACGACTCCATATAAATTGAGATGCGCACTGGCCGCTCCAGCGTGCCGTCCTGACCGCGAGTACCCAGTGCTGCCTGCAGCTTTGCCCAAGTGCAGGTCGTGCATTTCTCGACAGGGTCATAAAAGCCCCAGGCGCCGCCGATGCTGAGCTTTCCAAATGAATTGCGCACTGGAAAAAATGACAGGTCCACTGGGGCGCTGTCTTCCACCCATATTGGGGTGGCAAAGTCCTCATTCTGGTACTGGAAGAAAGCTATCTTTGACGTGCTCTCGGATGCAACTGCGTCGCAGATGCGCGCCTGTCAGGATACATTTGGAACTGCTCATGATTCAATGCATATAAAAGAATTCTTTGGTGATCTGAAGGCCTCCATCGCCTTAACGCAGTAATTTGGCCAGCAAGCGTTGCAAAAGAAGGAATGAGGGCAGTAGCATGAAGTGCACAGGAGAAAATACTTGTCCTGCACTTTTGGATTGAAGTGAACTTTGGATTGCATACCTGAGGTTGGAGTTCCTGGAGAAAGAGGTTTCCCCCATATTATGAGGGGTCTTTCTTTGGAACCGTCTTGGCCCAGGTCGCTCAGGCATGACGCCACTTTCCCATGGTAGAGTTTCATCTGACAAGTGTCAGCATGAACCAAGCCCACGACTCCAGCAATAAAGATACTATTTGGTAACATGTCGAGAAAGGAGAGGTCAACGTAAAACCGCTCGCTGCCTTCTTTGTCTTTTCTCGCCTGGGGCCACATCGCCCTCAGTTCCGTCTGATCCTCTTCCTTGTAGAAAATAGGCGCCATTTGGACGCTGCACAAAAGCACCTAGATGATTAAAGATTAGTGGAAGACCTGTGACGACAAAGAGGCACTCAAAAATGCGTCAACAGTTGAACCTAAAAGGAAGATTCGTTGCCCGACTGGATGGGTTCGCACCTGTTGTTTTGAAATAGAGGAGAGTGTCTGCTGCAGGAAAATGACTTGTGCGCACCCTGCGCTGGCAACACCAGCAGCGCAACTCGATCGTGTTGGCATCACGTGTACATCCTACAGGAGGCGTTCCACTAATTTTATTCTCGCCAGACCCTGTCTATGTGTCAAGAACGGAAGTAAAACAGCATAAATGGGTGTCCTTTTTCTGGTAGTCAGTGGCATGCCAAGAGGCAGAGCTCATGCTTCTGCTGATAATTTCGTGGAAGTGCCGAAAAGGCCAATTTTCAATTATGCCACATGCCAAAACCACCGCATGCCACAGTGTGAAGGGTGTGCAATCGAAATACAAGCTCTTTACAGGAAGTTGCGCAGGATCTTCCACTGCTTAAGCTTGTGACTTGCGAGTCAGTTACCAAATTTATCTGGCAGAAATGACAATTAGCACAAGAAAACTCAACCAGACTACATACAATCAAGAAGTCCTAGACCTATGCCATCCTACCTAGCAATGAATGCCTGAATTCGAACAGCCATTGATTTTTTAAATCTTGAATGTTAGCACCCCTCTTTCTTGATTCTGCCCTTCCAGGCTTGCCAGGCTCACACAAGCTTTTGTTCCCATCACTCTTATCACTCAGCCTCTCGAACAATCACAATTTTAAAGGCCTTACTTTGCTGAGAGCCTTGAGCTCTCGAGATATGCTGTTGTGTGCAGCTGCACCCATCACACCTTGATGTTGATCAGAAAAGATTCAATCAATTTTAATTATCATGATGGCAGTCTCTGGTGCAAAATATGGTCTACTTCAGGCCTGTGTGAGATTTGGATCAGCCATCCACGGAGTCCAGCGCGCAGCTGCCGTCCACCTGTCAAGCCACAGGCCAAAGGATTTGATTTGAAAGTTCTATTCAGCTGGATACTAAAGGTTTTGGCTAGCCCTGCTCTGATCACCAAAATACAATTATGCAACACTGCGCATGCGAACCTCTTATGAGAGGAGCGTGAAAAACCATCACAGCACTCTCTCACGCCTGTGTTGCAATGTAATCTCCTTGATCCGCAAGAGCACCAAAACGGCACCTTCACAGCATGGTGCTGCAAATTGTCTCTCACAACAGACTGTTCTTGCCAGAGGCAAGGTGCATCTGCAAACAAGCTACAAATAAAGGCTGCCAATGGGTTTACCCCTTCATGGACTCTTTACTAGCTAGCGTAATTTTACCCATGTTCCTGCCAGAGGCAAGTTGGTCTGCAGACAAGCTGCAGGCCTACAAATAGGGGACACGATAAAAAAGTGAGCTAAAAGAGAAAACTACGTGCAGGACGAGGGTGATTACCTGTGTTTATTCTGCCATCTGAGCCAGGTGAACAGCACAAGTCTCACTTAAAGCAGTGCAGGACCCACACTTGCCACGTTCTAGCATTCGTCTAACATAACACAGGACAGGTGAGGTGACTCAGCACCTGCAGGAAGAGGGTGAGCATCTTGCGCAGCTTGCGCGCCTTGTCCGGCTCGTCAGCTTCCGTCAGCTCCACACCAGCCGCCCCAGTGAACCACCCCGTCAGCCGCTGCACAAACACACCCAGCCAATAAGCCGGTGAGCCAGAAGGTGCTGTTACGATATGACTGCATACCAGGACTGCAGCAGGAGAGGCTTCAGGCCTACTAATCACAGTCAGGAGACTTTTTGCTGTGCTTTACAGCGTGAGGAAGTGATTTTTCTGCTTCATAGCTTTGTGAACAAGAAGTCTTGTCACACAACAATGCCATGCAGGATTGCAAATCACTCAGGCAGTCATACCCCTCTACAATCACCCCTGTTTACTGTCAGACGCTCACAAAAATACATATATCTTATCGTTCTCTGATGTGCTTGGGGTCAACCTTGAGCATGGCGTCTGCATGCAGCAGGCGCGGCCCGACGCGGCCGAGGCTGTTGCACTGGCCGCCGCCTCCGTCGCTGCCGTTCCCTCCGTCCAGCAGCCGGTCATGCAGGCACTGCGCAAATATCACGTGCTCAATTAATTAATAGGTGAATATCCCCAGGCCTACACATTCAGGACTTGCCGTTACGAAACAGCCGACTAATGCATTCTGGGTAAATTGCCCTCGCTCTGTCGGGCGATTGAGGCACCAGAAGGAGCAGGGTCTTGTTGGTGCAGGAACTGAGAGCACGTTGGACTTGCCAACAGCACTGCAGGTGCTTATTATATTTGCTATGCCCAAGGACACAGTCGTAAACTTCACCCTTGAGCGACATGTGCCGCTCATTCCACATTCCCCGGGCAAGCCTTGTCTTGGCACCGCTGCCGTGCCCGCCAGATGCCTTTAATCAAAACACCACAGTTGGTACGTGATTTGACAGCAGGAGAATATACATGCAGCGGAGGCCAGTACAGCTCACCCCGGCGCATGAATTCCAGAGCTCCCTCGCAGCGCGCCGCAGCACTCGGGGGTCCAGGGCAGGGGACAGAAACTGCAGGTGCTGACTCAGCGCGTCCGTAACGGGCTCGGCGCGGTCGTCGAGGGGCGCCGCCGGGGACGGGTCCCCCGGCGCCGTCACCGCCGGGGGGCCCTTCAGAGGCGGTGGCCGGGCCGGCGTGGGGACCGGCCCCTCCTCCAGGCTCTGGGAGAGGACTGGGGCAATGGAGTCCATCAGCCGCTTGACCGTGTGGTGCAGTACGAATGCAAACCGGCGCTCGATCTCCACCTGCATGCACGGCAAGACTGGTTGTTAAATTAATATTTAAATGTAAAAAGGGTGTCTTGCCTTCGCCACCCCCAGACTTGCATCCTAGGTGCGCCGAAAAAATGTACAAGTTTTGCTTTGGTAAAGTATCCTGATCACAGAGCAATCTTCTCACGCAAAATCGCCTTGCTGAAGCCGACCCTGAACTTTGCAGCAGGTGCACAGGGTGTGAGGGACAGCAAGTTCAACACTGTGTCATGCTCAGTGCCCTCAGGGGTATTCAGATACTTTCAGTGATTGGTTTATTCCTGGCCGGTAATGTGATGAGTCAGCGCCCACCTGGCACAGCTGCAGGCGGCTTCCGAGCGCGTAGCCTCCTCCGGCATCAGCGCCCCACCATGCCGCCGGCAGGCATCCGCGCACCGCCGCAGTTAGGTCCGAATGCTTGCACCGCACCTGCATGCAATGAGCATCTTAAGAATATCCTTCAGACTTTGGCTCTTTATGCAGGGTCTAGCGTTCTCATTCAGAATAGTTAACTCACCTCTTACTTCACTGAAAATGTCATTCACCACACTTTCCATGTGAGAGAGCTTTCTACTTTGTATCTGCCTTGGGCCCTGAATCTGGCATTGCATCGCCTGAGATAAGACAGCGCATGTACACCCACAGTACCCTAATTCCCTCGCTACATAACCCCTAAACCCTTGATACTTGTCGTGAGGATGTTTCTGCGGCTCTTTATAAGGAGCGCACCTCGCGCAGGTCATTGAGGACTGCGCACAGCCGCCTGGAGGGTCGCCAGAGTTTGGGCTGCGGGGGCGTTCCTCCCATCCGCAGCCGCATCAGCTGCGCCGTCACTGTCCCCTGCACCGGCGCCAGCTGCTCCTGCGCATGGAATTCAAAAAAATACTCAAATTTGAATCATCAAGCCATTGGAGTGTTGCCCGATATTCTGGGTTCTGCAGGCCGCCTCCAGTTGAGGCAAGGTCCTGAAGAGATTCGCTCACTCCTTGCGTGCTGCTAGTGACGAAAAGCGTTTTCAGTCCTGCTGGGTGCCGTGGTTTGACCTGAAGGATTTGTGTGGCAGAGGAGAGTGGTAGGAAGGTCCACCAACGGGCCAGTATATGAAAGCGAGCACTTCAAGACAAGGGGGCAGGGGGACGGCTGTTACGCAGCAAAGGCACGCGGCAAATTTGGCAACGATTTGTGGTATAAGTGGGGCACATACAACGCAATAAAGAGACAGGAGATACATATGCAAAGCTGCGTGTAAACAATACAGCGGCGATTGATTGCCACACATGCAGTGATGACTCGGGGGCTAACCGAATCACACAATTGCCACACCTGGCAGAGTTTCTCCAGGGAGACCACATGCTGCAGGGCAACTTTGGACAGCGCCTTTTCCAGCAGCGCAGCGTACGCGATGTGGGCAGCCGCCACTCCGGCATTCTCCTCGGCCACTGAGCACAGCGCCGTGTACATGTCGACCAAGGCCTTGCTGCAGCGCACGCCGCCCTCCGACACCGACGTCCACGTCTCCTGCGGCGTTCCACTCTATTCTTTATACGGTGTGTTTCTACGGGTCCATATCGTGTGTTCCAGATTGCATTCTCTCCAAATTTTCACATGCCAGAGGCCAGTCCGTGCAGACGTTATCTATGCAGTGTGCCCAAATTTGCATTTTACCGAGGTGAGGTGGGTTTATAACAAAAACAAACATGTAAGAAAGCTGTTAGCCTGCCTTATTCCTAGGGCGCCTCAGTTCGACTATTTTGATTTGAAGCAATGTGATCACTGCTTATTGATTCTTCTGCCAGGAGAACGCACGACCTAAGAAAGAAGACTTGTGCCCAACATGCTGATACTGCATGCTGTCCTTGCAAAGAGAATGCCTGCTGCAGCTGCAGGAGCACTACGTGAACCGAAAAGTCAAGGTGCTCGCATGAGGAAACATAATATAGAAGGCCTTAATCGCCTGGGTGAGCAGCTGGGCGAAGGAGGATCTGTAAAAGCTTCTTAGAGAGGGCATAAAATAGAAATGAGCATAGAAGGTCAGATCAGTCACCTGGGCGAGCAGGCGCCCGGACCACTGCGCGAGTTTGGAGCGCATGGCTTTGAGCCAGGCCTCAACATGCGGCTGGAACAGCGGCGTTCCCTCCTGATCCACAAATGCACCCTCCGACCCTGAGCATGCATGCATGCCAATTTTTCATTTCAGCGTTATATCAAGAAAAATCTGTCAAATGTCATATTAAGAAAAAATAGAGAGAGAAAAATTGTTGCACAAAATGAGGCGCTTGCATGGCCAGCAACAGTGCCATTTCCACAGAGTGCTCTGACCTGCACGAACGATTCCAAGGTGCTTCGATGCAGCTAAGATACCTAGACATCCTTCTGCCCGATTTCACTCTGTGAAAGCTTGGTCAGCACTGAGCACGGCTCAGGCCTGAAAAGGAAAACACAGCATGATGCTTGAGGAATACATGCTGAGAATCACCTGTTCGTGGCAAGCAAAGAACCGGGGAACTCCAAGAGATCTAAGGAGATTTTCAGGACACGTTTCTAATAGTGCTTGCTCTGGGCATAGAGAGGCGCCGAATCATTTAATCTGCATTCAGCCTACTATGCATGTTGTGACGGGAAAGCCCACTTAGAGGCCATCTGGACTAGAGGCCAGGGAACTACACAAGTGCTTCAGGAAATCCTGGGACCGGTCTCAAAAAGGGGCGCGCACCCAGCACGGAGGGGCAGTAGCGCAGGGCGTGGCGCTCGAGTGCGTGCACGGCCTGTAACAGGTCGAAAAATGCGCGGTTGGCCGGCGGCTGCTGCGAGAGTACCGCCTCCAGCGCCGGCCGCAGCTGCTGGCAGTACACCCTGCACGCACGCGCATTGAGATCACAGGCAAGACGTTGAGACAGTGGTTTGATTAATTTTTGATGATGCGGCTGCCGGCACCCTGCATGCATGCGTCCTCGATCCTGGAGATTGAAAGTTGCGTTCGTGAAATTGCATTCGGTTTCAAAGCTGCAGTGCTGGCAGGGACCCTGCTTGCATGTGCGCGTAAAATTGCAGGCCAAGCGCGAAATGGTCTTGAATCGAGTGATTGTCACGGCCGCGTCGCCAACGGTACATCGTGCATGCATGCATGAAAAAAATCCGATAACAGGAGCAGTCCACATGTGCGCATGCTGTTGACATCAGTTGTCAGCCTCTGAGGTTGGTGCAAATAACGATGTGCTACCAGGGAAGCATGGTGTACATACCGAAGCTGGTTCCTTGCACCAAAGACACTGAGCCACCAAGGAATCATCAAAATGATGGCGGGCGGGATTTAACTGGACACAGCCTGCCGAGCCTCCGCCAGGGTTGTCACACCATGCAAGAGCAACCTCTTTGCCATGCCAAGTAGAGACCGCCATGAGGTCACTTCAGAGTTCGGGCTTTGAAACATGACTGATGCATTGGATTGTTGGACGGACGAGGTCCTTCGGCTGCACACCTAGCGGAGATGGCAGGTAGTGACACTGGGGAGGTGTCAGGGAACGCCTGCTGGTAGACTTCAGCATCCTCAGCCACGTCCTGTACTAATTGATCCACCACCACGACTAATCCACCCACAGCGTTCCCCTCAGACGGCTGCGCCATGCTGGGGCTCGTCGGCGTCACTGCGTGTGCACACCGGGAAATATTGAAAGTACCCCAACCATTCATAGAAATGTATGATGTACTGAAACTAATGAATAATTAGCTTTGCAGTGATATGATGGTTGCTCTTCCAAATGCTGCCCTGCTACACACCAAATCAGAGGAAACCAACATTGAAAGGAGTCCACAGCTGATTGCTGCCGCACACATCCGGCTCCTTTACTGAAAAAGACTCGAGTTATGGTGTCTGTCTTTACATAAGGGATAACACCCACAGGTCATCACGGGTCCTTGCTCTTCCATAAAAGGACTTGTCTTTAGTAGCCTGATTTCACATCAAGAGCTATGCGCATGTGACTTCAAAATCTCACTAGGGCCCACATTTGTGTATCAATACACAGCAGTTGGGTTTTAGGGTTTAGAACTGGTCCAGGCTTTAGGGTGAGACTCGAGCCGCGTTCAATGCAATATCTTGGGGACTGCGGCTCACCCTTAGGGGCCCCGAGCGTGGAGAGCAGGGAGTGAAATCGCTGAACCGCGGCAGAGTTGAGGTGCACCTCGAACATTTCTCCCATGCCGCCGCCGTCCTTCGTGCCGCACGAGGTCAGCAGCGTTATCAGCCGCACCTGCGCGCACATGCCGCCACATGTCAGCCGCATGTGAGCTTGTGCGCTCGCTCGCATGCAACAATTGAACCTGCTGAGACAGAACAATGGCATGTATTTTGACTTGGCTGTCCCTCCGTGACACTGCAACATCAAAGGCTGTGGCAGAGCAGAGTTAGCGTATGGGAGGGTTGCTATCATATTCAGGAGGCGCTGATTGCTGCGCTGCACGAGAAGTCACCAACAGGGGAATGACAATCATTTCACAAGAATTGCAAGAGCCTGAGTAATTGCTTCACATCTGCTGACAGTAAAATAGCGCACACCGAGACCTGACTGCAAGCAGGGCACTCATGCAGGGTGCTTGCATGTTCACATAACATAACATAACATAACATAACATAACATAACATAACATAACATAACATAACATAACATAACATAACATAACATAACATAACATAACATAACATAACATAACATAACATAACATAACATAACATAACATAACATAACATAACATAACATAACATAACATAACATAACATAACATAACATAACCTAACCTAACATAACATAACATAACATAACATAACATAACATAACACGATATAAAAAAGGCCCCGCAGATGTGGCTGCGTACTGTGCCCTATGGCCTCTGGCTTTGGGTTTGCCGAGCATGTAATAATTAAAAATAAAATAAGAAGTAAAAAATCAAATCAAATCAAGACCATGTAATCAAAATCGACCATGTAATCAAATGAAATATGAAGAATTAGAAACGAAAACAAAAAACAAAAGGGCCCGCTCACCGCCTGGTAGAGGATGGCAGCGTTCTGGGCCTGGGAGGAGCGGTGGCTGCGGTAGCTGCACACAGCCGCCTCCCCTACTTGCAGCGCCCTGTCAGCCACCCGCTCCAGTGCATGCATCGTGTCTGCGCGCACAATATCTTTTATTTTCCACTCTTTAAAATACAATGCTACCCTGGAACCCTACATTCCGCCATGAGCCGCGAGGGAATGTATCCTGGTGAACTTGATCCTGATGTGTCGTGTCTGCGTGCAGCAATGGTAAACTTGAAACCTTCTTGATGCGTTCAGTATGCATCAAGGAACGCCCCATGATCCAAATTGATAGAGCCCTTGGTCTTGAGCCAAACGCAGCTTCCCCTTCAGGCGCACATGTGAATGCATGCTACCCTGTCAAGTGTGCAGCTGTGAAGAAATCTATGGGCTGTCCCTTGTCTTCGACGGCCATTGGCGTGACAGCAGCCGTCTTCAGGTGTAGGCAACACAGAAAAGAACACTCGGCCAAAGGCCAATTAGCCCATATCATGCTGGAAACCTGGGACGAAAATCCTCAATATGGACTGCTGGGGGCTCAGGGAGCTCAATGAGGGGTGAGCTCAGAGTGAATCCCTGGAAAATCGACATGCCAGGGCCTGCAAGTGCGAAAGCATGTTGTGTGCGGTGATGCAGATTCTTTCGAGGCAGACGATTTTTCTGAGAATGAACAAGCGAGGATACCAGCATGGCAAGAAGAGGCAATTTGGCTCTTTGTGGTGTGTGGGCCAGTCAGATGCCATTGCAGTATGGGGCAGAGTATCTGCCGTGATGTGCTGAAAGTAAAAGGTAGCAAAGAGCCATGTAGGGAGAACGCTGCAGACTTGCCCAGAAAGCCATGTATCTCTTTAGACTAAGCACGAGAATCTTTAGAGGCCCCAACAACACACCAGAACCTGGGGCGAAAATTCTTGCCAGCACTTCATTTAATGCTTCGTCTGCCGTGAAAATAGCTGAATGGGAGAGGATGAGGGCTCACTGAGTGGCAGCTCCTGGTCGTGCAGGTGGGCCATGACAGGTGTCAGCTCCTGTACCAGCAGCCGCAGCCACTCCTCCTCGCATGCCACATACTTGGCCACCCGCGCCTGCGCCAGGGAATACTTTTATTTACTTTTATTTATTTATTTACTTTTGGTGTTTAGGGTTTAGGGTATTGCCACGCGGGTAGGTATTCGGTGATAACATGAGAGGCTTTGCACTTGAGGCAACCCACAACCTGGGTTTTGGACCTGGCTGGAGTCCCATGAGAATACGCACAAATACAGGAAGAAAATGACTAGGAAGAAAGAATAAGGGGGAAAAAAAAGATGATAGCGAAGGAGTCAGGGTTCACCAGGTACGAAACGCCTGCATGCATGCTGGTGATGCAGCAGCGCTGAGCCACGGCCCCCAGAAGCCACACCCAGGGCTGCACCTCGCCCTTGTTCGGCGCGGCCAACAGCAGTGCATCTAGCGCTTTCTCCGGTCCCCCGCGTCCGGACGCGCTCGGCCGCTCCGATTGGCCCGCGCTGCAGGAAACTTCCTCCTCTGCGCCAGGGGAGAGATGGTAGAATGAGAATGTTTTCACGTTCCTTCCTCCAAGATAAGAAAGGTGTACACCAATCTTGTGAGACCACCGCCTCGTGCTGTGCTCTGCCGCAGGGACCAAATTTATAAATATCTTGTGAGCTCAGGTGCTGTCTCTGCATCAGAGGATACTGTTTTTTTTTAGGTCAGGTGCTGTCCCTGACCATGTAAAATTCACCAGCTGCAGGACGGCTCCTCCCTTGCAGCAGCAAAGCTATCATTCTGAGCATGTCCTGATGTATAAACGGATCTGGGCAGGGCATATCTGTCCGCTGAATGGCACCTGCCCGCCAGTCACTTGGGCCATTACCTAGCCCGAGCCACAGATGCATCCAGGGAAAAGGCCTCACACACACACAAATACCTGAACCGCAAGAACCTGGATGCCAAATTTCTGCCCAATTGTGCATGGCTGTCTATCGACTGAAAGGATGGCTTTTGGCTCACTCTCCGTGACCTTACCAGGTACACTTACCAGGCTACGACGTCAGAGCCCAATATGGATCGGCATGCGCAGAGCATGCGCATATATTGCCTCACCAGCTGACAGGAAGAAAAGGCGGAAAACTGTCTCACCAGGCAGGGGCTCGGGTGCTCGCGGCGAGAAGAAACCCAGTCCACTCCAGTGAAACCACAGCAGTGGCCTTTCACAATCAGATTCTACGAGGCCACCGTGTATCCGCCCATGATGGATCGGCATGCGCACTGCAGGTGCCTTTGCGGCCGTACTGGCTCTTTAAGACAGAGAAAATACTGGCAAGTATCTCACCAGGCAGGGGCTCAGGGGCTCGCGGCGTGAGCAACTTCCGCTCCGGTGACGCGACTGTGGCACCCGCCGATTTCTGCGGCGAGGCGGCCAGCGTGCGCCTGGTATGATGATCCGCCGGGCTGCCACCTGTAATGTTCATGATGTGATTTTAGACCCTCTGCATTGTCGTAGTCGTGTATTCCCTTGCACCATAAGGCCTCAGGTTACCTCTAGAGGGACGATTCGTCATATGACATGCAATGCAGGATTCCAAATGAAGCACACATGCAGCATGCTTTATAGTGTCATGCAGAGAATGGTAAGAATCTGGAGAGTGTTAGAGCTTTGTGTCATTCAGAGCATTTTTATAGTAACATGTGATTGCGTCGCAGTGGGTGAAGCTGCTAGATAAGACATTTTCATGGTAGAAGCCGCAGGAAACTGGCATGCTTCATTGATAAGAAAGCCAGAGAATCACAGAGGATGAGGTGCCCTCACCGGCACTGTTGCTGCTGCCCTTGCGCAGCTGCTGCACAGTGCGCCACAGCGCCGGAATGCGCCGCTGCTTTGCCGGGCTCTGCGTACGCCGGTCCGAGGCCGCAGTATCTGCGCGACAGCCCAGAATGATAATCTAATTACTCCATGAGAACAGCATCAGAAAGCCCTGATCAAATCTGGGATATTAGTATGAAGGTAGAGAGGTGTGCCACTTTCCATGCGGGCACAGGTGCACAAGGGCCGCTATATGCCTGTGCCAGCATGCTGTTGCGCAGGTGAGATGCGCGCATGCATGTTGCTGACTGTGTCGACTTCTTGGGGCTTTGTGTCTTGTTGAACATGGAGGAGAACCAGAAAAGGTAATCATGGCTCGGCGAATCTCCTGATCTCTTGGTCTGGATGCTAAAGGGGGGAATTCGGCTTCACCGCAGCTGCTTTGGTGAAATGGATTGGCCAAGAGCAGGAAGATGCGTACCTGCAAGGGCTTCAGAGTCCACTGCAGAGCTGACACTCTCCTCCTCGCTGGTTTCCTGCATGTCCTGGGGCGTCCGAGGGTCATCTGCGCCAGTCACTCAATCGGTTCATGCGACTGCACCAGGAAGTCTTTGGAGGATTTGGTTTAAGCATGAGCATAACTTATAGGCTTTCAAAGTATTTCGGTGGAGAAGGGGTAGGCAAGAGATGTACCTTTCAGGCAGAGTGCCTTCTTCAGTACTTTGTAACTGCACAAACATGTGGCCAGTCAGAAGTAAATCTAACACAAGAAAGGATTCCAAGAACATGCATGTCACTACATAAATTTATAATATTGCTGATTTTGACATCACAGAGCTGGCTAAGGGCACGCACCCAAAAGCTCTGAAGTGTGCAGCATGCTGCAATGCAGGGCCCTCCCTGGCCTGGTATGCATCCTCGACACATCTGCATGCCAGGTCCATCGCATATTTCCTCTGCAACACATGCGTGCGTAAGCTCAGTCATGTTGCAGAAGGAGTGCCTGTCAGGCTGACGGGGATCTCTGGCACAAGTATGCAAGTTGAGGAAAATGATAATGCAGCTGCAGTCACGAACTGTCAGCATACCTCGCTGAGAGAGAGCTTGGAAACGCGGCGAGTCTTCGGCGTGACTGTGTCCACCAGGTAAGGCACTTTGCCACCGCTGACTGGGGAGGGTGAGGTGCCATCCCCAATCGTGACTGTCAAGGGTGGGCGTTCCCTCGGAGACTTGAAGCTTCTGGCAGGGGACATTTTGATCTATTGAACTTCCTAAAATCGTTGCATGGCACCTGCAACGAGCTCCATATTCAAGCTTCCTACAGCTTCACTGCTGCCCATCTGCATTGTCTCGTGATATCCTCACAGCTTGCGTGCCTGCACGGCTTGCTTTTTAATTCTTGACAATAGTCACTCTGATACTACAGTGCGACTCTGCCTTGCAAGAAGCCGGATCTTGCTTTGAATAAGAGCTGAAGGGCCAGGTCACACAGTTGCTACTGTGTTTCCTACGTCTTTTCCGTCCAAGCTATCATGCGCTGCGCACCGCAATGACATCCTATGCCTTTTCCACTCTCGCAGGTGGTGTTGCAGAGCAACTTCAATACATTTGACGAAGAGCTATTCTGCACTTGGCTTGAACAAAGCAAGCCCTGCTAATTAAAACCCTCGCAACTGGGGTCGCATTCATAATAAAAGACACGTCACTCCCGTTCTGACCAATCAGCGGCCACAAAACAACCGAATTGCTAGGTTTTCATCTGCAACTTCCAGGAACACACGAGTCCCCCGGGAACATGTCGAGAAGGTGAATTTATCTTGGAAGAGACACTCGATTCTTCAAGTTCCACATTTCTTACACGAGGACGATAGTGTGAGAAAGAAGGCTATTTTCCCGTACTAGCGCTTGCACGGCTATTATATGGTGCAAACAAGTGCCACAACGCGCTAAAATCTTCAACACCTTAGTTTCAACTGTCTGCAATTGGTCCGTGAGGTAGCGAAGGATCTGTTGGTGCTGTGAAACACCGAAACCGCCACAAGGGGATACATTTATTCACAAGGTTTTCAGAATAGCTGAGCAGAGATGCAGGAGGGCAAGTTCAATATGAGGAACCCGGCTGTGAAGAGGATTCTGCAGGTATACCCAAGTGGCATAGACTGCATGCGAGATACAATGCGTTGCAAATCATGTACAATTTAGCTCGACCTGGGCCTTCCAAGAACTTGCTCCTAGATTTTTGAGGCGTTGGACCCTAACCTCTTTATGCTGTGCCTGTCTTAGGAGATGAAGGAGTTGCAAAAAGATCCCAGCATTGATTTCATGGCCGCGGCATTGGAGGTAGGTCGCCCTTTTCAACTAACAGTCAACATGCCAGTCCACTGGAGACCACTGGCCCAACTACGGTCGTTCACTAATGATCCCGGAAGACAAGGTCATTGTCTGGGTTCCTGATCTAATGTTCTATTTGTTCTGTGGCAGGACAACATCTTCGAATGGCATTTTGCTGTGCGTGGACCTCCAGACACTGAGTTCCAGGTAGGGCATCCCACCTGTGCCTTTCATGCTGCAGCGCTTGCTCATTTCTAGTTTCACAATCGTCCTTGTGCATTGCTGAGCCAAAGGTAAGAGGGTCAGGAGCTCTGCTAGGGGAAGTCCCTGAGTTGGCTGATCATCCCGTTGTCTGCTGCTTCTTCAGCAACAGCTTCTTTGTAATGGCAGCTCTTTCACACCCTGGGCATTAGGATGTTGCGGCTCAATTTTCGCGTTGGACACTGGGCCAATCGCAAGCGTGGCTGAGGCGTCTCTGTTGCCTATCGATAGCTAGGAGGCAAGCTATGCACTCTCTGCTGATGTGCCACTGCAGCCATACCCAGAAGCGATCACATTCCTTCAAGCTTGCGTGGCTTCACTGTCATTGCTATTCAGGATGGACTTCCGTGATAGCGAAACAGTATCTTGTCGGCAGCGCAAGGGACCATAACTGTCAGCAATGGCGTCTCCAAATACTTATTCCAAGAAATATGGAAGACACAAAAGGCAGTGCCAGCATCGAGAAAGGGAGGAAGAAGCTGCATCGCAGCGCAAATAGTGTGTTGATGACTACACCCTGTGTCTTATGACAGATTCTGAGTAATCGCCGTCTGTCTGCAGGGGGGCATTTTTCATGGGCGCATCCTGCTCCCACCCGAGTACCCCTTCAAGCCGCCCTCGTTCCTGATGTTGTCTCCGAACGGGCGGTTTGAGACGAACGTCAAGATCTGCCTCTCCATTTCCTCGCACCACCCAGAGCACTGGCAGCCGTCTTGGAGTGTGCGCACCGCGCTGACAGCGCTCATCGCCTTCTTTCCCACCGCCGGCAATGGCGCCATCGGCTCCCTGGTGCGCGGGCTCTGAACGATTCCAAGTCTCTTAGGGTCCCTGCGTTATGCTGGTTTCAATCTTGCGCGTGTTAATCTTTGATGCATGCACTGTACTGTCAGTGCCCATTCAAGTCTGTTCAGACTCTTCTGTAAATGATGGAACACATAATTTGTGCGAAAAATGCCGAAGTGCTTGTCAGGGCCTCTTGCAAATGCGACACCCAGGTCCATCATGAGCCACTGCAAATCCTGGGGAGATGCCTCGCACATGAGAGCACATGAGGTCTAAACTAATTTTCGAAGTTCTTTTGGCAGGACTACGCAAAGGAGGATCGGGCGGCGCTGGCCGCAAAGTCGCGCGAGCAGCCGCCGCAGTTTGGCAACGCCGAGCGGCAAGCAGTCACCAATGAGATCCATGCGGCCATGCTGGCAGCTGAAGAGGCACTGGTACGGCTGTCCTCTTATTGAAGCAGAGCGGCAACCGTGTACAAGTGATGAGCCCAGACATGTCAGCCAAGCAGCTGCCTGGTCAACAGCTTGGCACAAGTCTGCCAAAGCATATTACGGCCCTCAGGACAAAAGGTTTCTGTTGGCAAGATTGTGCATCTGCTCACAAGGTGTCTGTCAAGGCAACCACTGAACATGTGGTCTCTAACAGAAGAGCAACACTGAGATGGGCGTTGGATCGGATTGTTTTTCCTTGTGCGCACACCAACGTATGCGGGTGCAAGGGTGCTCCTCCTTTTGGTTTCGAGGTGGTAAGCCTCTGTCAGCTATTAAATCATCCTCACGAGCTTTGTGCGGAACTGTGCAGAAGGCTGCAAAGAAGGCGAGAAGCCTTGGCACGGCAGAGCCGGAGCTGGCTGTGGAGGGCTCCTCTGCCGACATGCCCGCAACAGCGCAAGAGCAGCCTGCTCCAGAATTGCCTGCCACGACACCCCCACCACAGGTGAGGGGTCCTGCTGCCCGCAGTCTCATTGACACAGACCCTCGATTGTGCATAGTGATGTGAATTGTGCATGCATGCATTGCATGATGGCCTGCTGCAGACGCTGTCACTGTCCCTGGAAGGTATATGCTATTGCATGCGAAAACAAACTGGGAGTGCTCAAACCGGGAGTGCTCTTTTTGAAGCAGCCACACTCTGGTGACAGAGTGGGCTTATTAGAGAAAGAGGTATGCAGACATCAAGGCAGAGCGAGCGCCAGGAGATAGGAGGAAGCTTGGCACAAGCGGTACAGGGAAGGGTGCATCAATGGTTTTGTTTGAATTTGAATTTGGTTCCTGCAGGCGCGTCAGATGAGCCCCGCGGCAAAGGCGGCTGCCGCGAGGGCGGAAGCTGCCAGGACAGGTGCACCTAATCTCGCCCCGGCCCCCGCGCCAGAACAGGCGACGCCGCTGCCGGTCGCAACCTTGGACCGCGCTACCGTCGCCGCGCGGCCGCCGCCGCCGCAGCCGCGTCTGAGACCTGCAACTTCTGTCGATGCAGGCATCAATATTCCACAGCTGCAGCAGCCACAGCAGACCTCGCTCTTGGGTCAGGCAGTGGGGGCGATTGCCGGGGACCCCCCGGCGGGGACCCCCCAGAGTTGGGAGGACCGGGGGCTGACAGTGGTGGCGGTGGCACTCGTTGTGCTGATTGCTGCGATCCTGTTCCGGCGTATATTAGTCATCGCCGGCGCTGATGTCACCAGCCTCATGTGACCGCCGGTGCTGATGTCAGGAGCCTCATGTGACAAAAAAGTTTGGGAGAAACGTGGGGATCTCTCTTGGAGATCAAGGAGTATGGAGGGCCTAGTGCCAACCTGAGGGAGATCATCTGTATGATGCTGTGTGAGTTCCTCAAGGCGAGTGTAGCTGTGGGTGAAAGTAGTGTATCATGTGGGCTTTTGTCCTGTCAATTGAGCCCGTGAGTGGAGCTGCAAACCATGCAATTTAATGGTACTGTGCCTTGCCAGCTAGCGCGCTCGGCCCAATGGCCCAAGTGATAGAATGCTTTTTTTTGGCATGGCTCTACAGTTGTGCTAGTTTGTCGGCATAGTGTGTCTAGACAGATCTGTCTGGCACCCTCAAAAAGGTACAGGCAGTATTGCAGTTCATTGTTGGGTGGTTTTGGATGCCACCCTTACAGGAGATGAGTACTCTTGAAGGAGATGAGATGAGGAGATGTATCTTAGGAATTGAGTCGCTCTCAATTCGAGTCTGCGCAGACAGGGCCTCCGAGAAGAGTCTTATTCTACAGCCTGTGCCTCCTGAGGAGGCATGTGTACACCTTAAACTCTGAACATTGAGCAGTGAGCAGTCATGTGAGAGACAGGGTAAGCTTTGCCAGCTGTGGGCATCGTGACAATATTGACATTGATATTTGTGTAAGTTAGATTTGAGCTGCATTTCCTTGGGTGGGATCAAGATCCCCTCAAGTTCCAGTGTATATGGACCCCAAGATTGTAAAACCCTTGATCATTCCGGAACTCCGAGATGAACTTCGGTTAGAAATTTCGGGGCGACGTTTGTGGGGAACCTGTGTGTGTTTCGCTGATCCCGCACCATTAAACCGGTGGGAAATCTTCGCTTCATCCACACTGCACAACATACAAAACCCAGTGCGGGTAGAGCTGGCGACATCGCACGCTATGTTGATGATCGTCTTGTTCAGAGCCTTCCAACCCTTGCCCTAGCATGAAACACTTGTATGTGTCGATCAGCCAACGATTCTTCGCAGTAGTAGCAATCTATTTCATCACGAACGCGCTGTGCTGGACGGCAGTCGAGCAGTGTGCAGATGTATGTTCACCTAGCGACAGCTACGCCTATGGCCACTGGGAGCGCATTACAAATGCCCCTCCCCTGACAACTGGTGAACAAGTTGAATCATTCTTCGGTTATACGAACCACACCGCCTACCATTTAATCAATTGGGGCCCCCACTTCTGCACCAGGCTTCCGGTAAGCCAGCCATCCTGATATCAAGGACCTTCACCTATCTCCCGTTCATAAGATTAAAGGTCGTGTGCCATAATCTTTCGAATACAGGTGTGTCCTAGGCCGCGCAATTGCTCATTCAGATATATGAGAGGTGATGTGTCTGGTGTGCACATTCCAGGATGACTTGGTCAGAGCGCGTGAAAGCGCGCTGTGGCGTTGGCAGCCTGATGGCTGCAACCTCTTCGATTTTCGGCCAGCGCGGTTGCAGCAAGAGCACAATGTCAGCTCGCTGCTGGCGAATCTGGGGCAGAGGAAGATCATCTTTGTGGGGGACTCGCTTGTGCTAGAGCAGTACTTGTCTCTGGAGGTGCGCAGCTTCTCTACGTACTCTCAGTCAGCACAGTCTGTACAGGGGGCTTCCTCACAGAAACTCAGTATCATTCTCTCAGCCAATGAGACCAGGTTCTGCGGCTTGAAGCAGTGGATCAAGCTGCCATATTGGTCACAGAAAAAATGAACCAAGTGACAGCTTGCCATGCAGCAGCACATGCAGCAGAGTAGGATCAGCATAAATCACCAATGCATCTGGACCCTGCCAGGCAGACAGGCAGCAGAAATGCAGCTGACAAAGAATGAAGGGCTTGTTCAAAAATGCGGCATGCAGCAACCCAGATGCAAGATTTTTAGATATCGAAAGGCTGAAAAGAATGGAAGCCGCTAAACTGAGGTTTTGCACCTGTCTCGCAAAAGGCCATAGTCTGGCAACTTCCCTTTGTTATCAATGGGGATGCATGTCTGAGGACATGGGGGTTGTTATGCAGGGTCTGCTGGGGAGTGAAATCGTGGGCGCCAATGAGGAGTTTGTGCACATCAACGGGCGGCTGCACAACTCCCAGGCAGCCAGCTTCATGACACGCACTGGGCTGCAGGTAATCAGTCCCTGCTGCATGTTACATTGACTGCTCTGCTTAGCCCGCAGGGGTTGGCAGGACCTTCTGGAAGAATTTGGGTCCCAGACAGCATTGTTCTGCACCTCGGGGACTCGACCTTTGCCTAGACATTCTGATTGCGTTTTCTGCATATTACCTGGCTGGACCAAACATCCATCCCAGAGCCCACAATGCTCACACCTACCTGAAGGACGCTCTCCTTAGGAAGTCAAACTTGCAAGCTTTGGCGCAGCGTTGGAATCTGAATGAGTATTGCTTCCTGAAATGCTGATTGCTGCTGCGAAGGTGCACTTCGTGAGGAGTGACTACCTTGTCAACAAGGAGACCATGCAGATCGACACCCCTCAGGCAGTGGGAGCTGCAGGAAGTCCAGTCAGCGCGCCTCACCACGCTATGACAAACAGCACACCTCATAATGTGATTACTAACAGCGCGCCTCAGTACGTGATGACTAACACGAGTCACCTCGTTTATGGCAGCACGCCCTGGGCGCACATGCTGGCCCACCCAAATTCGTGAGCCCCTTTGCATTTATTTTGAAATGATCCGTAATTAAACTTTCCAGAGAAGGTACACTCTGAGAATGTGGGTTGTCAGAGCAATAGCGTGGAGGTAGAGACACGTTACCTATTGACAAGGAGGGAAAAAGTGCTGACGCCAGACCTCGTTCACCATACAAGACCACCATCAGACCCATTTTGATGAGTCCAATGATGAGTGCAAGCCTGCAATTGCGCTGTGATCGCTACTTGGATGGCTGCGGTCGTCTGTGAGGTGCTGTGTCTTCATGCAATGGCCAATCCAAAGAGCAGGAGGGAGTGTGGGGGTTTCTCCTGGCATTGAAGCACGGACAATCAACCTGTGGCTCAGGCCTGTGCGAATGCGCGTGCAGGCACCTGGTGATATCAACATCCGCACACTGGGCCACAACCAGGGGCACCGGCCCCGGCAGGCACGCTGCAGCGGTGCAGACCGTGGCGCGCCACCTGGCGGCCAACTTCAAGGGTGAGTCACCCCTACAACACATGCAAACACCGTACGGGTCACTGCAAACCCCGCAGAAAATCATCTGTGGCTGAAAGGGTTGATAATTAAGACCCTGTCTCCCTCAATAAACCCTATGACAATTTTGAGACCCAATTCAGAAAGCACTCAACATGCCCCTGGTGATGAGAATGCCAGGAAGACCCCTAAATGTTGCCTTGAATGGTGATCCGCACCGGTGGGAGTGCGGGTTTTACAGTGACCAGTACCCTCTACACCTGGAACAGGGTGACAAACTTGCACAAGTAACTTTGCAAACGAGACACTGTCGTGTAAAAGGCATTGTACAACACAAACTCGTGGATGAAATTCTGGGGAAAATAGAATTCGTGGATTACTTTTTTGGGGATTCAGGTGAGCGGGTGTTTGTTCGCGCATCCGTGCCCGGCCACCCGCAGTGCCACCTGGCGCAGGTGCGAGCCAAATCCGGCCTGCATTTTCAATTTTAAATTTGCCAGAACAGCTGTTCAATCTCCGACAGGTGTGTGTCAGAGAATTGCATACCTTTAATATTGCTGACCGTTTACTCCTTCTGCAATTCGAGGGCCTGTTATCTGCGGTGTCTCCTTGAAGAATCCCGGCGCCTATTCATTTGCGCTGCACTGCAGATCTGCAATGAGCGTAGCTGCTGTGAGAAAGTGACCAGCCCATGCAGATCAGCTCTTGATGCTGGCTCCACAGGTTTATTTGATGAAGGAGCTCTTGCAAGCACAAGGCCGCTATGCTGATGCTGTCAAATGCTGTCAGGGGACTCTATGTTGTTGGTTTGTTGATTTAATCCCCTTGCTGATGTGTCCGTCAGGGGCCGTACAGCGATGCGCTGTATGCACATGAGGCCAGCTGGCACAACTGGGGCGAGTTTGCTGCTCACAACGACGCATGGCGGAACGCGCTGAGAGCTCTCAATGACAGCAGGTGCGCGGCTGCCCCTTGTGAAAGCTAAGAGTGCACAATGGCGGCTGGTTTGCCGATCTGCAGGGCAATTTTTCGGGTAGTCAAGAGGTTGGATCTTGACAGCCCTCACATGCAGCTTGTCTGCAGACGCACCTTGCGACTTTGCAGGAAGGCGCGTAGAGATAGTAATAACCGTAATTGTGTAGTCGTAGTCGAGTGTTGCACAGCCTGTGCAGCACAGCAGGAAGCGTGCTGTCATGCTGCAATGGGGGCAACAAGAAAGTTTGGCCACTAGTGCCCAGTGGCCCCTGAATCCAGACAATGCCCCAATTCTGTAGCCTTGCGAGGCCACAAGCACTACCTAAAAGAGTGTGATGTCATTTACATGCCATGATGGCGTTCATGCGGCTTGTGCGTGGAGTGTGCAGAGTCCGGCACTTGGCATCTCAATCCCAGCTTTCTGCGCAGCTTTCTATGTCCACATACTTTGCTGCTGACAAGATAGAAATTCAAATTCGAATTCGAATTCAAATTCGCAGGTTTGTGTTTTTGGATGTGGAGCCGTTGACACGCGCGCGACCGGACGGGCACCTGCGGCCGGGGTCGCCGGATTGCCTCCATTATTGCCTGCCAGGGGTGATTGACTATTGGACGCTGCTTCTCGCCAGCTTCTGGATGTCCTGTCGATCTTGAATTATCATGTGTTTTCGGATGATTCGAAAAGCATGTGCCGGATATGTTGCGTGCCGGATATAACAGACTACTGGACGCTGCTGCTGGTGCTCTCCAGCTTCTGGATGTTCTGCAGGGCCTGAACTTTCGAAAATTACATTTGAGAATGCATGTGCCTGCATATTGCATATTGCCTCCCGGGGTTGATTAACTGGACGCTGCTTCTCGCCAGCTTCTGGATGTCCTGCCAAGCATGAGCAGGCGCCAAGGGGTTCGAAATCTGGCAATTTTATAGCTGCGAGTCCTTCGGTGGTGGGATACTAGTTGAAGGTATCTGGTTCAGAGAAAAGTTTCAGGGAAGCTTAAACACCTTGTTGGTTTTCTATGTGGGATTACTGCAGGTGGATTTGTCTATAGGACATTACTGCCTGAAGAAAGGAAATGAGGCAAAAAGCCAGATACTTCTTTAGATTCCGGCCGGAGCACACATGTAAACTCAATCCTGTCTGGAGAAGATCAACAACGGGCAATTTAAAATGCTGCAAACATGCGCATCTTCCCAGCATGAGGTGACATGCTTTGTTGAGTCGCAATCATCTGCGAACTGTTTTTATCCGTTTAGCTGCATATGTAGCTGGTGCCCTGTGGAATCAGGCTTGCCAAACCCATGTAAAATTTCGTGTAAACATGCCATGCATGGGAACCCATTTGTACGAATTTGCTGCTTCCTAATATGTACCGCAGTCGTGCAGTGCAAACCTTCACAAAACTTCAAAATGCCCTTTGGGGATTGTCTCGAGCGCAACATGCCGCTGACACTGTACACTGCGCATTGTGCAAGCATCTTGCTTCTTGGCATTTCCATCATGTTAATATTCATCGCTCAGGGACAAAGATCAAAAGGAAGCGAACATCTGCACTCATGCATCCTGAGACAAGTCCATTTTCACTCAGGTGTCCTCCATTCATCTAGATATATTCTTAGTATTGTGCACTTAAAGTTTGAAATCTGCACCTGCAGCCCCTTTCTCCGGTTTAAAGCAAGCTACAACTGGCAGCTCACGAGTAGCGACCCCTGAACTTCCTGGAGCATCACCATTCAGAATGTTCACACACTGCTGAAGCAGATATGCCACTCGCTGGATGTCCTGGGCATGCAACCCAGGCGGCTGCATTTCAACATCCTGAGCGCCAGCAGTGGATCCTGTTATTTGCGCATTACCTTGCAGCCCTGATGTCTGGGTGGTAGTTGGCAATCGCTGTTCAGACCTGCGGATATTCACCCGGTATTTTTCCTCCCAAGGCCAACTCAAATGGATTATCACCACGCGCAAGACATACACCGCCAAATCAGCAGTTCCTATGACCCCGCCTGCAAAGGTCCACTGACGATCTTCGTGCTTAAGAAAGGCAGCAGCGACCACCGCGCCAGCCGCAAAGGCATACATGGGAATAGCTAAGAATTGCAAGCCAAAGGCCCTCCTGCGCCAGCTTTAAAATTCTGTAGGCAGCTCATCATTCAGGTTTTCAGGCCATTTTGTGGGGTACTTGTCGCATCGGCAAAACAAGCATTGCAGGAGGCACGCCCAGGGGCTCAGCTTTGCCTCTTTACTAATAATTGGCCGTGGCCGCTCGCTGGGCTCTTCATCGACGTCAGCTGTCAGCAAAAGGTACAGCTGCGAGCAGGCCCAGCGAGAACCAGAAGGTCAATAGATTGCAGTAGAAGAAGAAGTACAATGCCACGTAATCCTCACTCTTTGGGGGGTTGACATGGGCATCGTAGGTGACTGTAGCAAACAGCGCCGCAACCACAGCATATGTATTGGCGTTAATCTTAAGCCCTACCATATAGCCCTGCACGTGTCACAGAACACAGCACTTCGTCATCGGTAGGTAGGTCTTCACATGAGCCTGGCCTGATGCAGAACTGAAGAAGCAACATGTTGGCACCAGCAGGTGTGTTTTCCTTGCTGGTCCCTGCCGTACATGATATTTTCAGTCTTGAGGACCTTGCACAGGACAGCAAAATGCGGGAACGATGCAATCGAATCAATCAAAAGCCGCAGGTAAAAGTCCGAAATCCACAACAGTGGAACGTGTCCTTGGGGCCACAAGCATCTGGTACTGCTCCTACCGTGAAATCTTTCCGAGGGATTTGTCAGGCCTGACTTCCACACCATCACTTGCTCACACGAGGGAGCGCTGTGCAATCTGATATTCTTACTGTTCCGTATTCCTAGATACAGCTGACAGCGTGGTTGGCAAGGGTTCCCTGGAAGTGTCGTACCTTCGGCTCTCCCATGCTTTCCCGAACGCACTTGGACCACGTCAGCCACAATGCCCTGCATATTCCACCGGATCCTTTCAGAATGAAAGGATATAATGAATGTCCAGCTCTGTGCTGCGGATGAGGCTGGTGACGTAACGATGTATCTTCTGCAAACACTGCGCACCGTAGCAGACGGTAGGTGAATGGTGGCCTTCTTCTATAGCGTACACTTCTGCCCCTGAATATTCCTTATGTTGTGACGCTGAGACGCCGAACTGAATCGTAACGTCAAAGATCACAAGTAACTTGTCTGATTGAGTCTAAGCAATGACACAATTGCCACGTCAGTACGGACATCGTTCTGCTAGATAGAGTGCAAGTTCCGTGGAGAACCACTTTGCAGAACCAGCGGCCTACAACATGTTGGCAATGCATACAGTAAAGCCTTCACGCTGCAATAATCTGCTCGCCAAGCATTCCCGCAGGGGTACCTTTGCCATCAGGTGACCGACCGGAAGGGTTACATGATGAGCGCCAGCAGAAACAGAAGTTCTTGTTCCATGTACAGCGCTGGTGGATACTGTTAGAATCTTTCAAAAAGTATTAAAAGTTGATTTGATGCCGAAGGTCAACACATATGCATTTTTGAACAGCCCAGTGCCCGGTGATGCCGCAGGTGTAATGCTTCGCCTGGCCTGCGTGATGTTGCCAAACCAGGAGCCGGACTGAAGAAGTTAAAGGATATTGAGCAATTTATTTTCATTCGCCATGGCGAGAAGGTACATTCCCCGAAATTTCCGGAGATGCAGGTCACTTGGCCCAGTGCTTTGATAGCACCAGAACTCTTCGTATAGCTCTGCCGTCAGACATTGTAGCGCATACTCTGAAACTTACACAGATGTAAATATGACGTTCTTGCAGACCGTGGACGATAAGCCCGGCCTCTGCGCCCAAGGCAGAGTACGGGCGGCCCACATCCCCAAGGTATTCGGGAAGGGTAGAACCGCGCTTGACACCTACAACTCTCCCAACATCATATATGCAATGAAGCAGAAGGTGTGCCTCTTAAACAACAGAACCCACCGCAATTGCACCTTGAAGACATGGCTCCAACAATCAGTCTTGTTCGCAGCCCTGCGTTGAAGATAGTCTCAGGTGTTCATAAGAGCAGGCCTTGCACCGCAACACTTTGCTTTCCGGATGAACTTTTGTTGTGCCGCCTGTGAGCGCAAGTCTCAAGGCACTGCTTGCAAGCATAATGGTTCCGGACTGCATCCCCAGAGTGCATAGTGCTGACAGCAGCAATTGTTCGCAATGTTGGTAGCATTTTCCTGAGGGTCTCACTGGTCCCTCATATATGGCCCGGCACCGATCTCACATCTGCCTACGTTCCAATACAGGCGCAGCACGATGGTTTTTATTTGCGGGGCCAGGAAGTTTTTGTGGGCTCCTAAAATGCATATCTTTGTACCTTTTCCAGCAAAGTTTAGAAGGACCTCTGGCAAATAATTTAGAGGGTGGTGGAAAATAAAATTTATCACTACTGTACCTTAGCAGTTTGTTTGCAGGAGGCACCTTTCCACTTGGCAGAATGGCGTGGTATAATGCTATGATGAGCTCCTGGCAGGTGTCTGGTAGAAGAATGCTGACACAGCTATTGTATCCACTTCCCCGCTTAATAAATGAGACTCTGCGGTGCCATTTTCTTTTCAGTATGCACAGCGTTAGTAGCTGAAAGTCTAGAACATTCCTGGGTACCGAATGGTTCTAAGGAAGAGCGTTTCTTTTTGTCCTTGTGCAGAAAATCACTTCCAGCAGGCGGCCGTTTGACACCCTCGTGCCACTGGCTGTTGAGTTGGGAATGGACCCTGTCATGGGCGGGCGCACAGGGGATCACGGAGAAAATGTCTTCGATGCAAAAATTCTGCGGGATGATATTGAGGCGCGCCCCTTGTCCCATTTCCCTTTCCAGGCGATTCTGAGGTGTTGAGCGTATCTGCACTCCTGGTCACCTTGTCGGGTGCTCCCTCTTCTCAAGCGCCTGAAGGCTGCTTGGAGTGTCTGACCCGGTAATGATATTCAGCTGCCTCTGTTCTGCTGCTCTGAATTCTTGGCATGCAGCCGGGCTGTTGTTCTGCACTCAATACCACTCAGTGCTATCAGTCCAGGCTCAACCTGCTGCCACGGGTGATTGGCTCTTGCTTGGATCTGGCAAGTCCAACAAGGGCTAGCATTGTTGCAGCTTGCCTCATTGCAGGAAACGAGTGTAATGATAATATTATTAGCACTCAATAATAATCATCATCATCATACTACTGAATGTAGCACTATTAATAATGATAATTTGCGGCATCGGAACGCATTCATGGCTACCCAATAACTGTATTGGCGAAAGTCAGTTGTTTGTACTGCAAATCTGCTGGGGATGAAGATTAGTTGATGTGTAGGATCTTCATGACAACATCTTGAAGCATGCCGAGGACTCCTACGTGGGCAAGACAATCCTTATGTGCTGGGAGCACAAGGCCATCCCCAAAATTGTGCATGAAATAGGCCTGACCGATGAAGAGCTAACCTGGGGGCTTGACCCCTTCTCAGGAGTGAGTATCTTACAGCGCAAATGCTTTGATATGTGCATGTGGCAAATTAAAGGCACCAAGTTTCAACTCAACGATGCAAAAACTTGTAGTGACTTTAACGATTCGAGTGCAATCTGTTATTTTTAATGCAGATCTTTGCAGCAATTATGGTCGATGCGCTGCAATTAACTGATCATTCATAGGCCTGTAAGTCAAAAATAATCTGCACTTCAGAATACATCTTGCTGTATTGAGATATTCCGTGTCATTGCTCAAAATTGTGGCTGCTGCATGAATGCACAGGTGGATGAAAGAGCCAACTTTACAGCCATCTGGGTGTTCACGCCTGCGCTGGCGAATGACCCTGAGCAGTACTTCAAGGTCTACAAGATGTTTGACATGGTGCCGAATCACTGCAATGCTGAGGGGAAGTGCCCGCCTGATGATGATTGTATTGTGGCGAATGCTCTCTACGTACCTGAGCCTCCCAATGGGCCATACAAAACCCGCGTACTGTAGCTTCTTTCTGCGTAGATAATCGAAGATCCTGTTTTGTGTGGGTAGTCATTGTTGGACACAATCAAAATAACTGTTTTGGAATGAGCATATGGTGTTGTTTCACTCAAGCCAGATAGCAGGCCTAGCTAGCTATAGGCTATATGGCATAAATGGACTTCTGATGTTCTGCGACTGGCATGTCTGGAAATAGGATGTGCATTTTGGGGGGTTTTGCGAAGATTGGAATTATGGCAATGTGTGAGGTCAGCAGCGGTGGAAATGATCTGGCATCGATATCTGGCTCATCACTTTTTTTTTTATTTTGATTATAATCATGGCACATTTTTTCTGCCAAGAAGCAAGGTGCGTCCTGCAGACAAGCTGCAGTAAAATGCTGCTACAACTTGTTGATTGGATCCCTCGTTGGATTTGCCAGGTTCATGCTTAGTATACAAGGGGCCATCTTGCAGGAACAAGCCTGTTCACATGTTCACATGTTTCATGAGCTGCACAGAAGCCAATAAAAAATTGCACGTGCAGGGATAGCATGCAATTTACAGATCACGCGTATACTATCACCGCAGCAAGAGGTGAAGCCAAATGCAGGAACAACATGGTGCCTCTTTCATCCGGAGCTTCAAAGATCAGAAAAGACTTAACGGTGCTGGGTCCTGTCCTGCAGCTAATCTGATTGCTACCACTCATAGAACAGATACAACACTGCTAAGACTACTCTGTACGCAAAGTTCTCCATGCTTTGCTGTGGCTGATGAAAAGGAGACAGCTTTGTCTTTGGGAAGTACCTAATTCTGCACCCAGACTGCTGAAGCTGAGCAGTTTTTTTTCAGTTCTCACGTTCACATGGGCAGACCGCAATTTCTAGACAGTGAGCAAAGATCATGCCAGCAGCCAGTATTGGCGCAGCAAACAAGTGATGCGTGGACTAATATGACTGACTGGCTGGCTGACTGACTAAGGGGTGACAAACAAGGTCATTCACACAGAGCTTCACACAGCCATAGGCACGGATTGCTAAAACAGATCCTGCCCCATCGGTTGTGGACATGCTCTAAGACAAAACCTGTACAGACCATGTCACAGAAACCATGAGACAGAACTTCACAAGCACGTCTGCCAGAACAGGCGCGCATGGCTCGCCAGATCTGGCCGGTCCTGGTCCGCCCGATCAGGCATTTAGTTGAGAGTTCAAACTCATATCGCAACAGCGTGGGCCGTTTTTTGGGCACGGGCAGGCAGATACATCGCTGCTAGACGCATTTCTGCCCCTCTTGGGACCAGCGGTGGTATCTGGAGCCCTTGGTTTGTGGGCACTTGCTGCTGCAGCGCTTTGCAGGAATGTAAAGAGCTGCAGAAAAGGCTGCTGTGTCCAGCGCCCATATAGCATACACAGACCATGTTCATTCGCATGCCCGGTCCTGTTCATTTAAAGCTTGCAGGGCTGATGCCTCAAGTATCCTCATCCTATTTTATCGTCCACCATTCCAGCTCCAAAGCTTTCGAGGACTCCTTGCCAAATTCTGCAGCTGCAATGCAGATTTGTTTTGCAGGCTGCCTTTATGAAAGCTATTTGCGCATCTCAGCGCTGTGCAGTTCCAAGCACTCAGTGGGGACCAGTGCTTGTCCTACATCCACTGCGCGCTTGCAGATTACCCAGGTGCAGCCACAAAGGCCGGAATTTGAGCCTTTTGATAAATTCCTGACAGGTGGTGTCATTTGCCTGAACTACTTTACTCGCCCTTATGGCTCCCTTCAGCTGAGGCAAATACCCGCTGCGATTTGTCCCATCTTTTGGAGACGGCTTGATATCAGGATCACTGCATTGCAACAGCGCATTGGAAGCAGTTTTGAGCAGAATTTTCTTACTTTCGCACGAATTCATGCGTTCCGGTCGAATCGGACGGCCTTGATGGTGCCGCGGGACTCGCGGCGTTCCCCGCTGCTGGCCCGAGCCAGTTTCGATGGGGTCCCCCCCTTGGCCGGTACCAGAACAGGCAGCAGGTCACCCGCCTTCTCGGCCGCGCCAATTTTGGCCGCCGCCTCCACATCAGTGCCAGCTGGCGGCCCGGCCGGCCTGGCCGCCATTTTGGCGTGGGAGTAAAGGCAGAAGCCGATTACTGCCACCGTGCAGCCGGCGATCATGCGAGGAGTCATCTGACTGCCCTCCCCTGCTCAGTGCAGTTTATGCATTGCTTCAGTATTTACCATATGTATAACTGGCGCCAGTGCTAGCATGCTGTGGTCCGATCACAAAGCAGATTGGATCCTGGGCTCTGTTCACTCACAGACCACAGACCTGTACACGAAGCATTGTCTTGCATACCATGGATGTGCATTTGTTTATCAAAAATCTGATAGTTGCTTGAACACAGTGCTGGTGCACCAAAATATGAATTCACTGCTTGCTTACTTGGTACAGGATACATGCTTGCAGAACAGCTTCAAATCTAGTCCGCAGACGCCCAAACCCCAATCTTTCACTTGCTTCAATCTGACGGGTGTCTCCTGTGCAAGCCAGGGCATGACTAATAAAATGCTCAGATGACTCACCCAGCAGCAGGGCGGACAGCAGCAGCAGCCCCACGATCTTGATTTCTCCCAGGACGGTGGTAGTGACCGCCGAGGTGCGCTGGATCATCAGGTAGTGCACAACGTTGTATGCGAGCGCGTTCACACATCCCACGCCCAGCAGCAGCTGGAACATGCCGTCCCTGTGCGCATCCGCGTACTCCGACAGCCGCGCTGCCTGCGCATGACAATAAATTATTAATCATGATGATATATGAGTAATCATAACAAAAAATGGAGTAACCATGTGCGGGCGTTTGCTGCAGCCTGTCGGGGCAAAAAAGGACCTTGAAAGATGCCCTCCCTGCGTGCGGTAATAGTTTCCAAAATTGAGTGAAAGTTTATCCGTTCTGGCGGCCGCAGAGATGAAGAGTGATTATGTCATGTAAATTATCTGCGCTGCCAAAGGAGAAAAGAATGGCCAGTTGAGACGGGAGCTATTGAGGTGCTTGCATTGCTGCCTCAAGGCAGTGAGCTTCTCAAACTCCTCCTTGTGAACACCTGGCAGCAGCTGCATTATCAGGACAGTAGCTTGCGCACTCTTCAGGCATGTAGAGCTGCTGACACTGGCGCAGCTGCTGGCATTGGCGACTGCTCTCATCTGCAGAGTCACTGTGCTCTGCAAGCCCCTCAGCTGAGGATTCTGGGGGGTGCCTTCAGCAACGATGACTCATGCATGACTAATGCCAATGAATAGCAGTGACTGCATCGGCGTTGCACCAGCTGTGAATCGGCTGGCTCGTGATGGCTGTGGATTCGCACTGGCGGTCTCTACTGGACTGCATGCCTTTCTGTAGTATTGACCATCTCACGCGTCTGAAAATGACACATACACATACACATCAAACGGTGTCACATGACCCTTCCAAGATCGCACATCGCTGCAAGGCCAGAGGCTGACCTCCTTGGTGAGATAGAAGGGAAGCAGGCACGCGCAGGAGACGGGCGCAGTGTAGAAAGTCAGCCGAAGCACGTCCAGCCGTTCGGACAGCACCTTGCCTGACGTGGTCATCATCAGCGCATTGCTCACCATGCCTGCACAGAGGAAGTAAGTGTCAGTGCCGCAGAATGACCTTCAAAGGGGCACATGCAAAGTCCTTGCATGCAACCTAGACACCGGCAATAATGAATTGGAGCAAGGCACTGGATGTATCAGCCTGCGCCCTGGAGGCAGGAAATGCAGTGCGGATGATGAACTCCTTTATAGCAAATCCTTGCGCGTCTGCACAGTGGTCTGTCTCACAGGAAGGAAGTCAGATCCAAGCACTGCACGCATCGCCCTGCTGTGCTCGACCAAATCACTCTCTGGGATGCTGACCTTACACACCCTTCCTGCCAGGGGGCAAGGTCCGTCTGCAGGCATGCTGGGGTCTGGGGTTATGAAGGCCCTGCTTGATTGATCTCGGCACAAGAAAGGCAAGAACTTGTCACCATGTAACTTACTTGATGGAAGGAGTTAAGCTTACCTGCAATGCAGACGAGGATGCCCCTCAGGCTGCCTGCGGCCCCTTCCCACACAGCCACCATAACTCCACTCACGAGCACCATCAGTGCAACGCCCTCGGTCCGCGTTGGCACCTTCTTCTCAACCGCCACAGCCAGCAGTGCTGTCACCACTGGGATCGCTGACCTGCGCATTCGTCTCCGAGACATCTTCATATGCTCACAGTTGCCGAAGGTGATTTTCCCCTTACATGTTTCTGGTGCCCTTTCCAGGCTGTTGACAAACTTGTTCTCCACATGAAATGATAGATGGGAACATCGATGGGAGTGTGACAGCCAGCAATAAGGTGCAAAAGGCACAGTCGAAATACAGTCTGAGCATCAACAAGAAGAGCTGCAGCCTTAAGGAGAAGAGGACGGTATTATAGAAGGGCAAAGATTTCCACCTGATGACCTGGTTGAGGGACAGGGTGATGTCCACAAGGGACAGGTTGTTCAGGGCTATGTTCAGAGCCATGAAGGCTCCGATGCATATGATGCCCTTCCATTGTTTCTCCAGCGTGGCCTTGTGCAGGCTCCTGAAGGGCTGCATCATCATGAAGGGAGCCAGCACGACGAGGCTGAAGAGCATGTGCGACACCGTCATGAAGAGAGGGAAGGAGAAGCCTGCATGTGCACAGGAGGACGAGATACTTTAGTGGTACGCCATTTGATGATGTTGAACAGTGCTTCATAGGCCCTAAACTTTTGCAATATATATTACCAATCTATAGTGGATTTAGCAGTCGTATCACACTGTGGGAAGTGGGTCAGCCTACAAGCAAGGTGCTGAATGCAGCAGTGGTCTGGCACCACAGAAGGCAGCAGTTGCCCAGTGCTTGAGAAGACATGGCATATCAACAAATAATCTCTCTTAGTTGGTTGACAGCGCACCATAGATTCCCAGGCTCCACTTGTTCAGCAGGTTCAAGGTGGAGTTGAGGGTCAAATATGCTGCCAGAAGCGCCACATTCGTTACCACGGCAGCCATGCGCGGCTCACTGCCCTCCAATATAGTCATCGTTCTGCTGGAGGATGCGCTCTAGCCTCCTCGATGCTCCCTCTATGACCTTGCGCCCGCTGATATGGAGCCCATAGCTCCGCTGCCGCTCCAGCCTCCACCGGACCCTCGTTCCCTATGACCAGGACCTGGGATGCCGTGAAAGACAAGTTCTTGGCGATCCGGTGTGGCAAAGCTTGCTGAAGCAAGGTTTGTATCGGAGCGTGTTGCCGCGAGTTGCCTGCAAGGTGCACTCGTTTGAACAGTTCAAACGAGTCTCCTCATGAGGGCGTTCCCTTTCGCAGTTCCGAGATGCCAAATCGGGAACCGCCGGATATTGATCGGCGGCCCACTTTCCGAGACACCAGAGTGCAGCTCAGACGCCACAGAGTGCAGGATCTCAGTAAATAAATCGTTGGGTAGCGTTGCTGCAATCGCTAGGATCGCCCACTATTGTTGTGCACTCAGCAATACAGCAATTTGTCTACTGTATGGTTAGGATAGAAATAATTTTGCCATTATCTGCTGATCGGCCATATAATATTAGTTCTAATAGGAGCTAAGATCATCTTTGGGCGTGGCTGAGGCCTTTGTTCCTGTAAAGGCCACGGCAAAATGGCCAGGGCAGAAGATGTAAAAGTGAAGCCTCGCTCGAAACGGGCAAAGCGGATTATGGAAAAGCGCGAACCGAAGCTGGTGAGAATGCACATGAAAAAATTTAGTTTGCCTTGCAAAGATGTGCAGTGCCTGCAGTTGATCCTGACGTTTCTAGACTTGACTTTGTTATCCAAGTCACGCCACACCAGGACACGATAAGTACTTTGCCACAATCCTCAAACAGTCTTTGTTCTGCGCAGGTGGAAGAGGTCAAGACAGTGCTCTTGTTGCACGGCAATAAAACGAGCCAAGTCACAAAGGTACAGCCGCCTTCATTCTCGCCTTGCACACCATATTCTAGGCATGAAATATGTTCCTGAGACCTGCCTTGCGCACCATATACTGGTCATGAGACATGCTGACACCTGCCAATCGCTGTTGTTTCACCATGAAGCTTGCTAGCGGTTGCTGATTAGCTTCTGTTTTTGCTCTCCCCAGGACGTCCTGACAGACATCCACAGACTGAAATTCGTGAGTATCCGCCCCGTCCTCCCATGCATTTCCTCTCTATGTCCTTCCCAGTGCCATCCGATCATCGTTCGCTCGTCTCCTGCAGAACCCACAGGATCTTTTGTCAATTCCTGTGGGATCTTTGTCATTCCACTCAAATATTCCTTTGGTGTGCGTCAGCAGACCGCTCTCCCTCTCCCTGTGTCTCTCCCCACAGTACTCCTGAGAGATGCATTTGCAGCCGGCTGGGGGAATTGGCCAGGAAGAACTCGGTGTGTTCTTGTCCTCACTCAAGGTTGTCATGCTGGTGTCTCTGCAGAGGGAAGCACTGAAGCTGAGCCGGAAAAACGACGACATGAAGCCGTTTGAGCCAGGCGGTGAGACCCACTTGGAGCATTTGGCGCGCAAAGCCGACTGTGGCATGTTTGTGCTGGACTCGCACACCAAGAAGCGCCCGCACAATCTCATCCTCGGCAGGTGGGTGGCTGCTCTTGAATTGTTTGCGGCCGCTGGTGACCTTGAAATTTTTTACTGGTGAGCACACGGAAATTGTGTGGGGTGAGCATGCGGTGTGGGAGCCGGTGTCCCGCTCACGAGGGGCTCTGCACCACACATTGCTTAATTGCAAGTTTTAGTGTAGTGAGAACACAGCTTGTGTGTCATTTTGAAGTTCCTGTGGGTCAGCTTGAGGCAGAAGGGTCCTTCTACTTGTGAACAGCTGCCGTTTGTGTCCAGATGGAAGGATTCCCTCCTTCTTTAAGATGCTGACTAGATCCGCCTGTGTGTGCACGTTCGCTGGCTCACCATGTGGTTGCAAGGGAGTGATCATTCAGGTTACATAAAGTCCAAAGGGATGCTTAAGTGGTCGCATGGGGGAGATGGAACGAGCTTCTTGGTCTTTGGATTGCACAGGTTGGTTCTTCTGATTATCGCATAGGGGACATGGGATGAGATCCTTTGGTCTTTGCGCTGCGCAGGTTCTTCGACCACAGGGTGTACGATCTGTTGGAGCTCGGTGTGGACAAGTACAGAGCCATCCGGGAATTTGCAGCAGCCGCCGCCTCTGTGCAAGCAGGCAACAAGGTGTGCCTCCCATCAGCAAATCCCTATTTTGCCGTTCGCTGAACATTGACTTTCCTGTATGCATTCTTTCTCGGCTTTATTTTTTCGGTGTGACATCACATGTCATCCCCTTTTTACTATAGCCCAATTGATTTGAAGAGCATTTGGTACCCAGTCAAAGAAAAGCAATTAGAACATTTTATGATGTGCATGTACTGAGAAAAGTGTTTCTGTCTAGACCCCTGAATTTGTGTGCTGCTATGCTCCATTTGATGCTGATAATTAAGATACGTGTCATGCATGATGATAAACGAGGTGTCCTGTGTGTGCGCAGCCGTGCTTTGCGTTTGTGGGGGAGCAGTTTGAGAGCGACCCAGACTTCCGACTGGCCAAGAGCATGCTGCTGGACCTGTTCAGGGGGCGCCTCGTGGAGAGCATCAACCTCAAGGTGAGGCCCCTCATTCCTCCATCACTGCCCCCTTGTGCCCTGTGGGACCTTGAGTGTTCTGCAGAGTACAGGAGGTTTTTACAGCACACATTCGCATCCTGTCAACTTCTATCACCGGTAGCATGTCTGCAACCTGTGTACCTTTCTAAAGAGTCTCAAGATTCGGAGCCCGTCCTGAGGGTGCCTGCTATTCATGCCATGTGGTATATTGCCCCAGAAATAGGTCACTTTGGGAGACCTCAGGTTCCAGCGTTCTGCGCAGATTTCACCAGGCGGAAGCTTGGGATTTGCTCCCGTGCTGCAGGGATTTTGCTGAGGGATTTTGATTTTGGTGGTGTGGTTGACAGGGCGTGGACCATGTGATATTTGTGGCTGCGATGGACAGGAAGCTGCTGCTGCGGCCCTACGCCATCCGCTTCAAGAAGTCTGGCACCAAGGTGCGCCCCGAGGCAGTGTTTCTTCTCAAGATTTTGGCTGGAAGCGGGAGTGATGTTGCTGGCGCTGATCCCCACGGTCAGAGTTGGCAGGACATCCGAAACTTTCTAAGTTTGGGTTCGAATTCAATTTGAATTCGCATGCGCAGATCCCCCGGGTGGAGCTTGCGGAGATGGGCCCTGAGATGGACCTGTCCATCAGGCGCACGCGGCCGGCAGCTGCCGACCTGGAAAAGGAAGCCATGAAGCGTGCTCTGATCCACAAGAAAAAGGTGCGCGCCTGGATCTTATCATTTTTGCTTTCCAGAGATTGTTGGTACAGGTAGTATTTACTGAGGACTTTTTGAAGGGATGTCAGTGGAGGGGATTTGGTCAGGTGAAGAACTTTTACCTCAGGTGCACAGTGCGTAGTGCATCAAAAGAGACATTTGGTGAAAGTAGTTAGGTGAAGGACAGGACATAATCAGGCGAAGACCCAGGTCAACAGTGCATCAAAGATGACGTTTTTAATAAAAGTACTCTTAGGTGAAGGACATGCATATTTAGCGCACAGAATGTTGGTGACATCGGGAGGAAGAAAGATAGGCAGGTAAAAAACAGTAATGCCAGGTGTTTGAAGTTGAGCTGAATGGGTCTGAAAGATGCAGTGCTGCAAGAATGCCCTGTGATGGTTCTATCACCTTGGAGATCAGCAGTCCCTCGTAAAGAAGGGTGGCGAAAATTGCCTAATAGGCACTTGCTGAGGGCGTCTTGTGGCTTCTTTTTCCTGCACACTATAAAGTAATGCAATCTAGCATTCCTGTTCAGATCTAGAGCAGGCGGTGACAATTTGTCACTCCAGAGTTTGGGATTTGGGGAGTGCAATGATGAACAGCCAAATGTTTATTCTGACACCTCTTGTTTGAGGGCCACGGCTCGTTGAACGCACTCGTGCTTTTCTTAACTGAGCACTCCCTAGCCTCAACTTCGCTCGTTGCCACCCTACATAGTGCTAGAAAGGCTATCCTGCTGTTCCTTAGCATGCACTTGCTTGCTCGAGGCGTCTGAGCTTTCAATTGTCCTGGGCAGATCTCAAATTCAACCTCTGTCTGGTGAAATTGATAACTTTGAACCTTACTTTCCATATGAATCTTTTATATGTGCGTCCTGACATAGATGTGTCGCATCAAAAAAGAAAGGCAGTGTGCTGGCATGCCATGGCGCGCTGCTGACTAATTTGTATTTAAATATAAATTTCGGTGTGCTGTGTGGCCTTTGACAGGAGAAGAATGTGTCGAGGGATAATCTGGAAGGCAAGGTGGGCCGCATGTATGTGCCGCGGCAGGAAGTTGAAACCATGCCTCTGCGCAAGATGAAGGTGAGCTGCCTTGTATGCATATATATATATATATATATCGCGCGCTTCCAATGCTGGCAATTATTGGCTGAAAAGAGATGTTTTCTTCTTTGACACTGCATGGCCGGCAGCCTGCGCTTTCTTCAAGGAGAGCGGGACTATTTTTATGTTTCATAGGTGCTTTATATTAGCTGAGTAGCATGCTGTTTGCCTTGCGGCTGGAGAGCAGTGCTTTGCTGTGAGGGCTTGGAAAGGCCAGATAACATGGTGTTGTGTCACCCCCGTTCAAGTGCAGGTTTGTTTCCGGCATGTGTTGACATGATCGTGGCTTGGAATGTGCAGGGGTTGAAAAGGGATCGGCGGGAGACAGCTGTTGCTGCCAAGGCGGAGAAAAAGCAGCGAAGCGAGGGTGCTCCAACTCCTGTATCTGTCTGATCTGTCCTTTTGCATCTTATCTGTGCAATGTTGTGTCTGTCTGCGGCTGAAAGTGAAAGTTACTCTTGAATTAGTGAGCCTGTCCTGAGGATGTGCCTTGTATTGAAGTGACTGGTCGGAGTGAAGGCTACTGATGAGGTCATCGACCCTCAAAACGCATGAGTTCATGAATGTCAAATCCTTGTCCTGTGAGGAAGCTTTAAAGGCCCGGGGCTTAGGTCGAAACAAAAGCAACACTTCAATATGGAATTGGCTGCGACTGCACATTCATGGTCTGTAATATATCCTCTTTGCTTTTACATGAGCTTCCAGCAAGCAAGCTTGCCGTGCCACCATCTGATCATGAAAAAGTACTGTTGCTCTGGTACAAAGACATGCAAACACCGCAAGTAAAAAAAGGCCCTCTGCAACCTCTTGATGAGCTGCTCATCATGCACAAGCAACTCTGGGCAGCAAACGCTGAAAATGCGCGCCACTGGATAATAATCTTCACAAGCCCAAGATGAAGTACAAGATCCTGCATCCATTTGTGTGAATTCAAATTGGGGGAAAAAACACATCATATAAGACGAAAAAAGCTCAACACACGGAAATCCTCGCCATTAATATTCAGATCGGCTGCTACTAATGGCCCTGTTCTGTCTTCTCAAGCATCGTCCCACCCGAAACCAGGTCAAGGAAAAATCTGCTCATCACTTTTGTACACAAAGGTCCTATTTGTGATTATACAATAGTGGCCTCCAAAACTAGGCAGCCTCCTTGGAACTCAAAACTTTCCAAAACTTCATTTCGGATCGTGCCACACACTGCTCAACTGCTCTTGACAAGCGCTCCCTCTGCTGGATCATGCAGGACTATCCTGAATTCTACTTTGCAGAACTCTGCTCGGCGCCTTTGTCAACATCACTCAACCGTCCAATCTTCAAAACTGGCACTCTTGACAGGGTTTGTGCCCCAGTAGCCTTGCCAATGACTGCAAGGAATCAGATCTCTGCGCGCCAGGTGCCTGCTTGTGGCAGCAAAACTTGTGGCAGCACCATTGCTTCCAAAACCTCAGCGCGCCCAATTTGCCACTCGCGCAAAATTTTCCGTCAAAATACAAGTGCTGTTTCGGGTAACTCTTGTCACATCTGATCTTCTGACTGGCGCTGTCAGTGCTTCATGCAGCAGCTCTAGCGTCCATCCCAGGGCCATGGAGAAAGATTCTCCTCCACAAACTCATCGTCATCTTCCACTTCTTCCTCCTTGACTGCAATCAGACGGGAATGCCTTGTGAGATCCAACACAGCACACAGCAGGAGAACAGCAATCGTGCATCGGCACTTCGAAAAACCAAGGTGCTTATGAAATCAGTCGTTGTCATCACCCCTTGCGCTACAGAGCCTGCTTGGCAGGGCCTGAGGTGAGCATCTTTGCTTCTGGACAATCGGACGCTACCTTGCTCCCAGGCAGTTTCCAGGACCTCGACAGCGCCGAAGTATTTCTCGACACGTCTGCCGTCGCATCCAAAGGTGGCGTAGCAGGCCTCCTTCGACGAGGCGTCATTCAAGGCGCTGCACGTTTCCAAGGCATCCCTGCCCAGCCACAACCCTTAAATCTGTCAAACTTGTGCAGAGGCATGTGTTGGCTGTATTCTACTGGTGATATGCAATGCTAACATACTGTTCCCCTTTCAGCATATCTGAGTGCCTGACTATTCTGAGTTCGCAACTATGGACACATGGGCGTTATGGCCCTTTCCGTGAAGGTTTGACAAGAGCAAGCACTAAGTCTCATTGAGAAACATTATATATTGCTAAATTAAAAGCATATATCTCCGGAAATGACTTCAGGGATTGCCCACAGAAACCTGGTGCATTTTTGGAAACATCCGTTCAGGGATGTTGAGCACCTGGCGTCAAGCAGGGTGGCTTCGCCACGCTGGGGTACCATCTGAAACACTCCACGGGCCTCATGAAGGCTCGGGTCTGCGTTGTGCCTGTGGCTCTGACAACGGACTCGTAGGGACGGGTTTGTTGGTCTGGGGGACGCCTTGTGCGACACTCCTGCTGCGCCAGACGGGCGCACAAACACGTTGCTCTGCATGGCACCCCGTAAAAGATCCGTTGCAGTTCTCGAATATCAGAAGGTGGACTGACGAGAATTGGGCGCGAGGAGACAGAATACAGAATACAGAATATCGGAGAATATCGGAGCCCGCTGACTAGACCGCGATACTGCAGATCTCGACTCGGCTGCCCGACTGCCCTCTTTCGGGCAGGAAGACTCCACACTCATCGAGCATATTTCAACACAGTAGTTACACTTCAACGATCATGATATAACTGCTGCGGACATGCAAAATCAATGCCTGTCTCAAACAATGGCTACAACCAAACCAGCGGGGTATGTTTTCGTACCCACAGATGGCCAAGGAGATCTGATCTGAACTTAAGAGTCTGAGAAGCAAAAAGAGTCACAACACCAAAAACAGTAGCTGAAGAGCCCTAGCAGCTAGTGAACATTGACAATCAATTTTGTCCTTTATTTATTGTATTGTCTGCATTTAAGTGTTCTGCATGCGTTCGGGGTACAGCTTTGCTGAGTCCCTCTGTCTGGACAGTCACGTCTGTACTCCCATTTCTGCCTCCGAATATGGATCTGCAGCTGTCTGGTCTAGGACAGCTCTCCTATCTAGAGCATTGTCCTTGCTACTCTGCTGCTGCACTTCTTCCTGCTTTTTATGCACATCAGCACCCGCTCCTCCATTTTCCAGCTTGCCTAGAGGCTCCATGCACAACTCCCTCCTCAGAGCCTCCTCCACAAAGAGGTCCAAGCCTGCAGGGGAGAAATCACTGTGAGACCCTTCCCACAAGGCAATTGCAGAAGGATCGGATACCTCCAGTCAAGAGCATGACAAGGCTTCTCCAGCATTGCAAGCAGAGTCATAGGCCTGGAACTGACCCAAAACCTCGGTGGTATGACGAGGACATCTCTCCAGGGAAAGAGGTGGTCTTGACAGATTCTTTGAATAGAGTGGTCATTGTGCAAATAGTTACGGTAGATCAAAATCACCTTTGCGCTCCCGTGCAACCTCCAGAGCATTCTTGGCAATGACTGCGCAGTAGGAATGCATGGGCAGCACGTGGAAAGGCTCCTCTATCTGTATCCCTGCAAAATGCAAACACACATATTCAGCAACCAAACAAGGCAGTGAGGTTGCATGCATGACGGCATGCCTTCAAATGCACAGACACCTCCAGATTGACCACAGTAGGCAGAGCTGCTCTACAACATTGTAAATTGCTGGGTACGCAACCGGTGCTCACGAGCCCACAGGACACTTGGCATGAGCAATGCATGTCATGCCACGTCATGTCTACTTTGCCTGCACCTGGTTGTTTCTTATGGTGATTAGCAATGCGCACAGAGATTGCTGGTAGTGACACAAGGCACAGCAGAGACGTAAAGATGACCTCATGACGATGATTTAGGATCGAGGTTCAGGTGCCAGGATCACTGTAGCGAGTCCCAGCCCACACTCCAGATTTTCATGGAAGATGTTTTTGGGTGAGAAATGAGAATCGCTACATCAAAGCTAGACACCTGATCCTGGTGTCCAAACCATTGACATGGAGTCTACTTTATCACCCTGCTGTGCCTTGTAAAATTAGTTTTTGCAAACGTGCTTGGCTAAAAGAGCCGTTATTTGGCAAGAAGAGGGCTACCTATGTTTTCCACTCCCATCAGCAGAAAGGCGAGCACAGCCTCAGCCACAGGGGAGGCCCAGCCACAGATTTCCCACAGAGCAAAGGGCAGAAATGTCAGCCACAATATCAGGAACCCTGGGCAGGCACATGTCACATAAGAGATGTCAGGTTCATCTGGATCCCGAGGTGCAGTAGTATGACATGTATTTCAGGCAGGCCGAGGAATCTGAAAAATCTTATTTGACTGCCTGAGGCAGGATGCACTAGGGTCATACTTCCTTGCCATTGCAGCAGGTGATTCCTGCATCCAAGAGCAAGGAAGGGTGATACAGAATGCCCTGAGCTAACAGCAGGCCTGCAAAAAAAGGTCCTGTGTAAGGAAGAAATCTTTGCCACTCTCAAGCCTGCCACTGCAATAGCTACACTGGTGGTTCTAGGAGCTCAAAGATGCGGACCTCCACACATGGGCACCTTCTGGTCATTACTTGCCCCTCAATATCCTCTCTATGTGCAAATTCCATTGCCAGCAGGACCCAACAAGCTCGGACCAGACTTTGTAAAAAGCATGCCTCGCACAGAGAGGCTGTTAGGGGCTCCCTGGAGGTGTTTTACAGGATTTTTACTATCTCAGGACTGCAACAGCTGTGGTGGCTCTACAATTTCAATTGCGGACGTCTTCATGCATGCAAGCCCCAGAGGCCTTTCCAACTGACGGCCCATCTTCCCGTTCACACAACAGCCCCGTATGCTCGACCAAAAGAACTGCAACAAGGCATGTTTTGCACAGAGAGGCTGTCAGGGATTCACGCGAGATGTGTCTAATTCCCTTCTCCCTCATGACTGCATGTGGAACAGCTGGATAGGTGGACATTTTAACGCAAAAAAGGATGCTGTGCACGAAGAGGCTGTCAGGGGCTCACTGGAGGTGTGGCGGGTGTAGCAGAATGGGATGCAGGTCCTCTGAATGCGTTCACACGCGCCAGCATCATTTATGTACGTCGCTATTTGATCGTCCATAGCCGCGCGCAGCTGGGAATCCTTCACCGCCGATGCCACAATGCTGGACAGTACCTGCACTTTAAGCTTGATTCAGATTCATTGTCCTGCCATTTACAAGGCCTTATGCTTGGCATATGCTTTGTTTCTGTTACGGTTAGTCTCAGGTTTACGCTGCACATGTGCATGCACCCGGGAGACAACCTCGGGGACAAATCGACGCCATGATCTGCGGAGTCGCTGGAGTGTTTTAGAGGGGGGAACGTTCATGAAATACAACCCACCTGACCGGCGCAGATAGGCCGGTGCTCCCAGGATGCCAACAGTTTGAGCTCCTCTGGATGCAGGAGTCCCTGCAAGTCATTGGCAAAGATTCCTCAGTCATGCATGCAAGCCCTGCAGCATCTTAGAGTATGACTCTGCCATACCCCTGCTTCGTTGGGTGAAACTACACTGCCGTTCAGACAGTAGGTGCTTCGCATCCAGCAGCTCAAGAACAACAGAGGAGTCACCGCCAACTGCTGCAGCTATGTATACACCTGTCCACAGCCCTGTGGACCTTGACAGATGCTGGACAAAACCATTCCAAGGATATATGGACTCCCAAGGCTAAGATCCTTGAAACAGCCAATCGGCAGAAACGGCGCTTCTATGGCAAAACGACAAGAGTACCCCATTTGCACCTTTGAGATTGGATCTGTGCAGACAAGCTCTGCACTGCACTTGAGGAAACTTCTCCCGCACCCATCAAGCACTGTATTAGTGGTGTGAAGATATTGCCCTACCTCGGCCTCTGGGCCAAGTTTGGCGGTACACAGGTGGGCCTGAAGGATGTACCCAGCCGCAGCACACCAGCGCACCAGCATCTGAAACGCCGCCACATCTTCCTCGCCAAACCAGGCGTCTGCCTGCGAGTGAGTCATCATAACACATATAACGGAGGGTGGGGATCTGATGCAGCACTGATGATTGTGATGGACCTGTTTTTGCCATGAGGCAACGTGCGCATGCAGACAAGCTGCAGATAAAGGCTGCCAGAAGATCCATTGCGGGGCTTGCCAGATCCAAGCAAGGCCCAATGATATGTGGGCACACTGCCCCGTGCCAACCGGGGCAGGACCAGTGATTTGTACAAAACATATGCAGTGCAGCACACACACGCCCTGACACTGGCATCGCCAATTACTAGTCCAGTAGTAAGCAAGCTCTGTTACACAGCTCAGCACACTGCATGGCAGAAATGCACTTGTTTCACTGTGTCCCATCCGGGTTTGGCAATAATGGCACACCTGCCGCACAAGGTTGCGGGTAACATTGAACACCTGGCCCCAGACAGTCCTAGCCTCCCACCACCTGCACAGCGGTGTCTTTGGATATTAAAACGCATGGTCGAGTCTGATTATAGAAGCCCTCACAGCCCACACCCTGGACCCTTCCTCAGAGCCACACGTGCACCTGCTGCCAAGCAGCCTGTCTGCGGCCCAACATGTAAGCACAGCATGCTCACCTGCCTTCCAGATTGTAATACTTCAAAGGTCAGGCATGTGATGGCCCATGTCCGGCATGTTGAGTCATCCAGGCGTTGCATGCTGACGACCAGTGCCAGGAGCTGTGGCCCACCTGGCATAGCTGGAGTTGGTGCGGAACACCATCAGCAGCGCTAGCGCAAATGACGTGATTGCGAAGGGCTGGTACAGCACAGACGCCACATTCTTTGGAGGCCAGTCAGGGGCTCCCCTCGGCTGCGCAGCAACAGAGCACTTCCAATATACTGATGAATGCTGGAAGACAACCGTTGAACTTGCTGCATAAACAGGCGAGGTATCATAAATGGGATGAATAGCCTCAGATTTGCCGCTTGCACTTGATATTCCCATTTGCATGCTTTGGGAGTCAGTGTCAGCATTGCTGTATTGCGGGAAGGGTCTTATGCAAGGTATGGTCACAGTCTAGAGGTTTTCCCTTCAACCCGCCAGTTGCACCGGTCAAGTGTAGTGCTCTCCAAGGAGTGGCACCAAGCTAGCGGATGTTAAATGGAGCAATTGACGGCTTGCAGATGTTAGCCCTCGTCCGGAATTCTCACGAACATGCTGCCAGAGTATGATCTGCATCTGAGAGTGCGATGAGATGCCCTGAGCACTCATGCCAGTCAAAATGGCAAGAGCGTGGAGAGGGTGGCTCGGCTTCGGTGTAAGAGATGCATGGCGTCTGCAGAGAGGATGTAGGCGCACCACGAGCACAGTGTGGTAAAGTCCGATGAGCACGGCGATCAGCGCGAAGTAGACAACCCAGAGCCAGAACCCCGACAACACTGTGACCCTGCGAGCATTCCAGGCAGTGGTAAGGTCAGTGGTGAATGGGAGGGAACAGGGTCGCAGTGTGCTTTGCGGATATCCTTTTTTGATGCAAATTACCAGCTTCTGCTAGTGAAAGTGGCAGCATGCACCGGATGGAAGGGAGGAAGTCACCATGTCAGGTCTGGGAGATGCCGTCTCCAGCTTCGCAAGTGATACCAATCGGCTGCTGTGACGACCTGTTGGTTCACAGCAGTTGATCTGGTCATCCTCACAACAGAAAGGGGAGGTCTCCACATTTCCAAGTCACTGCATGAAACTGAGACGGGCAGTTGCAATGGAAATATTGTGGAGATACTGCTTGCATCATACATGAGACACACAGTAATTGAGGAACGAAGGCGCTAGTAACTTGCAGTTGGAAGTTGGCCTCACATGGTCTTCAAATAAGGCGTGGTGATTAAGTCGGGACATACGGCAGGTATGATGGAAAAGATTCCTGTAAAGTATATATAAAGACCACTTCAATTCGCTTCAACTCCGAGCTGCTATAGAAGATTGGTCCATTGGGTTCAGAATTATACAGTTAAATTCCATCTGGAGCACGGACACATGCATAATAGCAAGTTCTCTTTTGCTCTGAAGTATTCTATATATGTCGCACTCATCGTTGTCAAATTGGACTTTACTGGGTGTCACCACGGAACTAGAGGTAGCTGGATTACGAGACCTGCCCGCCCATTGTGTCTCCTGCCCAATTTGGGCAAGGAACGCTCTTCGAACGAACTAGATGTCTACAGTATGAGAGGGAGAAACTCAAGAAGGATTTCTCCTAGAGTTATCCCCCTGACACTAATTGCATGAAATTGGATTAGACAGTCTTGGTAACCTGCCAAGCGCTTGCCACATTTTGGCAGATTGAAAATTGAGAATGCTGTCCTGGCTTGCAGAAACCACGTTCAGGTTATTCTGGATAATGGTAAATCTTCCTCTCTGCTAAATGAAACAATAAATCCATCCTGTTCATAGCAGTGCCAGACAACGAGAGTCACACGCAATTCTATATCACCTCCAGGCAACCGAACGGCACCTTCATGAACTCGAACACGAGCACGCCGTGTGCGTTGCAGATTTCGTGCAATTCTAATGGAGATGGTGAGGATAACGTCCTTGACGTCATTAAACTGTCATGGCTCTATTGCTGCTCCTTTCCAGCCAGAGCAGCCCCGATGGACAATGGCCATGCTTGCACTGGTGCAGGTTGTTGTGCAAGGGAGGTGCATGTCCTTTACAGGCCGGTGCCTGGTGCACGTGCGAGCACAGAAGCTACCCTGCATCATGCCCTTCACTCCAGCCTGCCAGCCGTGGAGGAGTTTGTCACCAGTGTCCAGTTCCTAGCACGCAAAGTGCGCAGCTCGACTTTGTGTGCATGGAATTACGGGTTCTCAAAGCCCCTTGTATTGTTAAAGAATTTTAACGAGGGTCTTTCAATGTCCCTGATATGCATGAAGAGCACACGCTATAAGTTCACTACACATTCATGACTATCAGCACGCCATGTAAGAATGCTGCAGCGCTATCGCACTGCTGCAGGGTGAAGCTGAGATTGTTGTGGCATGCTCCGCAGGTCAATGAGACATACCGCCTCTTCAAGGCGCTGAGCAAAATGAGATCGACGGGAGTGAGCAAAATCAGCCCCAGATGAGGATGTGCAGGACCCCACTTTCCACACATCTCAATATCAACATGGAACTCTTGCAGAGAGTTGCAGACTGCACCCACGTCAAGATCATTTGGCATGACTTCCTCAGTAATGGCGGCGAGGAGGACTGAGCATGATGGCATTGCGCCGTGATACATGCAAGCTGCAGGATTATATCCTGACAGGCTGCCTATGCCTGAAATAAGCATCACAGTGGGTTCCCTCAAGGATAAGTCATATTGGATCCACAGGGCATGCATCTCACAACTTATTTCTTGACCAATAGTGTTGGAGATTTTGCCACAGGGATGAGCAAGGGGTGGCATGCCTGCTTGCAGACTGCTATTAACGGCATTGCAGTGGACAGTACTGCTTGAATTCCCTGAGTCATTTCGGCGGTGCAATTAATCAGCGATGGTCAATTTCTCAGCTTCTCATCAGGATTGCGCATGCTTGCACTGTGCAATGATGCCTGCAATTCGCAGAATATTTTCTTATAGGCGTTGCAATGGATGGCTTGAATTGTGTACACACTGGCTTCTGTATACACGTGCATAGCCACTAGGCTCACGTGCCCCTAGTTTCCGACACCATCTTCGAGATCCCTGAACAGGTGGGTCTGATAGCTTTTGTTTAACTTTGTTTCCTTTGGAAACACCATCAGGCAGATATAAGAAGTTGTCTAGGCATCTTGCACTACGTTGCAGACATGCCGTACACAAGATCGCGTCAGGGGCGCAACAAGCCCTTCTCGGATGACTTCTGGCAACAGTTCGATGCAGGTGGTAGGGTTATTAGGAGGGTTCTTAAGTACGTGGCGAAGGGGAAGCTTGGTAACGGTCTGACCTTCATCAGTCTGTTTCATAGGTCGGTTACCCTGTGATGAGAGGGTCCCCTGTTACCTCTAACTGACCATGACCTCAAAGCCTTGTGTTACCAGGAATGGAAGCATTATATTACGCAATGGATGGCTACAAGCACCTTGTTGCTTTGGAAGTACAGCAAATTACCCAGGGCGTAAGATTTCTTATGGAAGAGCAGCTGCTGAAGCTCAACCTGGAAATGGACAACTTGAGAATCGAATGCAGGTCAAAAACGTCGGATGACTTTCTAGGTAAGAACCTGCAGAGGATTGCTCTGGCAGGAACTGGTCACAAATGCCTGTGAGGGTTCTTCCCCTGCTCCACATTGTTGTTGGGACGCGAGATTGAGCAGCCTCTTATTGTCCTGTGGCTGGGAACAGCTCTTATTCTTGCACAATACCTGACACTTGATGCCGAACTTACAAGTCAGGATACTTTCGGGTATGTTCTGTGAGATGATACAGGCAGTCGTTGCCAATGGACCTCAATATGGTGCCTTGGTGCAGATGCATGCACTGAGGAGGTGCATTGGCGGATCCAGATCCGCACATATAGTGCCCAGAATGTGGATGGTGGGCAGATGCCCAAGCAGTCTGGTGTTCTGGCAGCTTCTGGCAGCCATGCACTGCCAAAACCACGTGCAATGGGAAGTCCCACCCAAAAAGATCACACCACATGGGCAGGCCAACAGGCAATAAAGTCGCCACCGGCAGGTCACTGGTCCCAGCAGGGTCTCTTTGATCAGCTGTTTGGGAATCAGTTCGAATGTCTGTTTCAGCGTTGGGAAAGGGACTGTGAAAGCATTACAAAATATTTCCCCGGTATGTAGCACTCATTCTTGTGCTAGAATTTTTCTCATAATTCTTAAACACATTGTACTTTAAGTTCATGCTATGCTTTGACTTTATGCTGTACACAGGACACACTGGGTGCAAGTTGCATGTCGTGGACGCCTATGTAGCCGACAAGGTGCATGTCGTGGACGAGTATGTAGCCGACTTCAAGTACAGGCTCATCTATTTGGTGGACAGGATGGTAGTGAAAACAGAGGCAGAGTATGATGTTCTGCTGGAGGAGAAACGCAATATAAGGGGAGATTTGCAAAAGCGCTAGCTTCCAAGCACACCCTGCAATTAATGGGTAAGATGGGGAAGTCCCAATTGATAATGCCTTCTGTACATGTATGCACCGTCTTCTCATTTTGAACTCTTATTGGTGGCCTGACGGCGCAAATCAATGCAGATGGCAGTGCAGATTCTTATTGCTGTGGATCTTGATGCACAGCCTTTTCCAAGTAGCATTACAAGACATTTGTGCCTCGGTATGTGCAGCTTCTTGTGCCCAGGCAATCCGTAAATTCCATGAGAGCGTTGGAGCTGATTGCCTACCTGACTTGAAAGAGGAGCACAATTGTTGCAAGACTGTACAAGATATTATAATCATGCCCAATAGTTGCAGCCTGCCCAGAACTAGAGCATTCTACATCGACAGCTATTTTTCATCCCTGAGTTTCGAGGTATACGCACCGCTTATGCACCAGTGGTGGACATGGGATTAGGGACTTTGCCGGGTATCACTCTGAGCTCATGAATCTTTGATGTCCTGATCAGGACATGCATGAATGCCATATGGGAATTCTCCACGGCACCTCTCAGGTTGAGCCTGCATAGGATGGCAGAGGAATCGGTGTGCGTTTGCTGTGCAGGGTGTGGATGACGCATCAGATTATTACAGAATCATTAGTAAGGCGCTCCATTTGTTAGCCAAAAGTGGCTCCGTACATCTTTGGAGTGACATGATGTGCTGGCCTGATGGGCTCATGATGGCCCACAAGCCGCTGGACAATGTGGCAGAGCGCTGCCACATAAAGATTGCATGGATTGATCGGTGACAAGGGCGCTGCAAGCCTTAATTTATAAGGTATTAATCAACCTATAACAAGCTAATGACAAATCAATGAAGCCTTGAAGGCCTAGGCCGCCTTTGCGACGCAACACCTGAGTGATTCAACTGTCATGGCCCCGTTGCTGCTCCTTTCCAGCCAGAGCACTCCTGATGGACAATGGCCATGCTTGCACTGGTTCAGGTTGTTGTGCAAGGAGTCAATGAGACATCCCGCCTCTTCAAGGCGCTCAGCAAAATGATGATTGATGGGAGTAAAGAGAACCAGCCCCAGATGAGAATGCAGGACCCCAGTCTCCTTAAATCTCAACATCAACCTGGAGCTGCTGCAAAGAGTTGAAGACGGCAACAACATCAAGATCATCTGGCATGACTTCCTCAGTAACGGTGGCGAGGAGGACTGAGAATTATGGCATTGTGCAGTGGTCTGAATTGCACGCACTGCGCATGCATTATGCAGTTCACTTCTTGTGCTGAAGCTTCTGAACAGACATGAGCGTGGGGTGACATGGTTGCTTGCAAATGCAGACTGCAGAATGAAGGCATTGAAGTGAATTGCTTAGATTGCCTGAATCATGTGTACATCTCGCAGTGCACTTTCTGTATGATGGTGCCCAAGCTTCTTAGCAGGTATGCGCATGCTGGCATTGTACAGTGATGCCAGTGCAAACTGCAGAATGATTTCTTATGGGCGTTACGGTGGACGGCTCCGATTGTGTATACACTCTGCAGTTCCTTTCCTGCCAGGAGCCTGCAGTGAGCCTGTTAACGGATGACTCAAGCCTACCACCTCTTTCATGATGTGTCAAGCTCGGAACCCGCATGTTTCCGACTCTCTCATACTGAGAGAGCCACTGGCACCAGCACTGTCCCTACTGTGCAATCCCTTTGCTGTGTATCACACTTGCCCTCTTTGACATACAGTATGGGATATGAGCTGGTGTACACCAATGCTCTGATGTGCCACTCTCACCATCTCACAATTCCTTGACGCGCTACCTGCTTGTTTCTGATGTCCAACGGAGGAATATTGTCCTGCTCTGTGCTGGCTGAGTTCAGCTCGACTGCTGGCCGGCCAGACAATCTCTGCAGCTGAACTGTCACAACGTTGATCTTACAGTGAGCTCGAGCGGATCGCTCACAGATTGTCCTTCCCTCCTTTTGGCTCCAAGATAATTCTTTTGGTGTTGCAGCAGCTGATTGGAAGGAATATCGGATTGATTAATATTGCCACGTGGTGACACGTGGTGCCATCACTCCTGCGAATGAATGGCCAGAAAAAGTTCAGGGATTTCCTTTGATGACGGGGGCTAGCCTTGAGGTGTTGTCCTCTGCGCGGCCCCCCAGCTGCGCCCGTACGCACGTGGCAGGGGTCCCCCCCGGGGTCTCCTGTTATGCGTTCTTCTTCTTCTTCTTCTTCTTGAAGCTGAGATTTGAGTTTGCATCGTGGCAGGGAAATTCAAGAGCACAAAGACTGAAACCTTTCGAGAATCCCGATTTTAATGACTGCAGAAGAGCCTTGCACACCGTACATCAAGATGCAAAGGGCAGTGCAAACTTGTCGACTGGCTTTTTCAGAAGAGTTCTGGAGGCGATATGAATCCGGTTCCAAGGTGTTTGCGAGGGTTGTCAGATACGTGGCAAAGGGCAAGCTAGGTAACATTCGGTCAAGCTACTACATATTGTCTCGCTCGATGTTGTTTTATGTGATAGCTTGTGATAATCACGACGATTAGCTGAGCTGCGTTTGGATCTAAACTTGTTCGTTCTGTAGGAATGGAGGCAGTGGATTACGCATTGGAGTGCTACAAACACCTTGTCGCACTGGAGGTACAGCGCATCATCCAGAGGAAAAGGGTGGAGAATCAACGAGAGCTGGCAAATCTGGATGCGGAATCGCAGATATTGAAGCTGCAGCTTTCATCGAGAAGTTCAGATGACTTCCTAGGTGCGAGCAATCAGCTCAAGGTGGCCTGTTGGAACCACACTCTATCTCACACATCAAGTTCCACAGTACTTGAAGCCAACGGAAAATGACACCAGTCAAGGTCACAAGTACTCATTTTCTTCAAGAAGTTCCTTGGTGCGTTAGATAATGAGCACCTGCGCTGGTGCAGATTCCAGTGCGGAGGAGATGCATCGGCGGCATTTAGAGGCCACTGCTGCGTACTCGCCTAGTGTACAGAAGCCGAATGCCACACTGGAGCCCTTACGCCCTGTCCAATCCACTGAAGCAGAAGCGACAAGACAACCGTTGCCCCCAAATCAGCAGAGCAGCTCAAGGAGGAGTCATGGGGGAAGCAAAAGGTCCTCAAGAAGTGCTTCCAGAAATCCGGCAAGCCCGCAACTGGCTGCTGGGAATCAGCTTCACCCTACACCGCCTGCCCTCTTTGAAGAGCTGTTTGAAGATGATTTTGAGTGGATATTCCGCAGCTGCCGCCTTTCTCTGAAGGGCGTTGCAGGTGATGTGGCTTCCGCAAGGATTATGATCGGACACCAATGTCTCAGTTTCATCCCATAATGTGCTCAGAAGCGCCTCTGGTTGCGCAAATCTGCTTCTGTGTGCCGATTCAGGGCCAGCTGATCTGCGCTACTTTGCGGAACTATTCCAGGGACACATCTCTTGGAAGACAGACCAGCTGATAAAAAAGGTGGAGGCGGAATATCGGGAGGAGTTGGAAAAGAGGGACAAGGAGATGAGGGGGCTGCAAATGCAGCTAGCGAGCAAGCACGGTATACAGATCCTGGGTATGGGTTCTGCTACTTCCTCCTTGTTCTGTTAATTCATGTCTTCAATGCAATACGCAGCACCCTCATTTAGTAGAGATGAGTAGGCGTTGCTAGATAGCTAAGTCCTTGAGAACCTTAGTCAACCTCAATCTCTAGCTAGAGCACTTGCACACCCTCTATAGTGTCCATATCGGTGGATTTATAGCTGTAACAGGACTTTTTTTCATCATCATAATAATGGTAATTGGGTGACCCCCACATACATGGTACTACGTAGCCGGCTCAACTATGTCGGCACCTGTCTTTCGGACATGCATGGCAGGGCATGCCACAGCTTGACACGTAGCTGGTGGGGGGACATCGTCGTTTTGTAGCTCTGCGCTCACAAGGAGTAGCACCAGAGCGTGTGCACCCGCATTAACTGTTGCAACATTAGCCATGCATGTGCCTGTGCAGGTTGTTGTGCCCGGACTATACAGAGGCTCCATGAAGCAATGGAGGCAACGTGCCTGCATGACATGCAATATGAAGCTGACAAGCGAGACACCATACTTCATGTTTTGGACCACGCCGAGAGCAGCTGCCCGCTACCCGCTGTCCGAGCACTTATGGAGGACATCTGTCTCTCACAATATAAGGTATGCTTCACATTTCGCTCGTTTCTGGAATTGCTTTCAGCCAGTGCGCCAGCCTTCGTGTGATACCGAAAGTCTCCTGCCAATAGTACACTAGGAAAGTTGGCAACAGGCATGAATACGCTCCATGGATACTGGCCAGTTCTATAAGGTGTTCATGCTAGCCTCAAGCTCATCTGAGATATTGTTTCAATATCCATGGTGCAGGATGTGAGCGACAAATCAGACGCATGGAAAGCACTGGCTCCAGCACTCGACATAATACGCAAGACAGGGCCTGTTTATCTTTGGGATCGGGGCTTCTTCAGGTGCCTGTCATTTCCGCCAGATCTGTTAGAAAAAATAGCAGAGTGTTGCGATGTCAAAATTGCATGGGTTGAATATTGAAAAGAAAACCCAGTGCCAGCATTGACTCCTCCGTACAGAGATATGAGAGGGCGATTGCAAAAGAACGTGTGGGCCTCGTCTCTGTTTTTGTAACGTAGTGACCCTCGACAGGCTTTCGAAACTAGGATTTACCAGGGAACGTAGCACTGCGTTTTGCTAAAAAAGTCCCTGCCGCTGCGGATTCCTGCGCGATTCGACACAGGAAACCCCGGGACTGCGCTCGGCGCTGGGCAATCCCGGGATTCCCTGGTACTGGGAAGTACCGGGACGCCCCGGTCCTGCAAAATACCAGATCGACCAAACCTGCGAATCTCCGAGGATGAGAAACTTCAGGGAATGCCGGGCCTGGTTCAGGCTAGGAACTGCCAGGGACGAGAAGCCGATCGGGAATTCTCGGTCTTGACAGTCCGGCTTTTCCTGTGCGCGACAGGTGGGAATACAAAGCAAAATGGGATATTATGTGTTTGTCCTGTAAGCATCTGCGGTGTTACAATGTTGACAGCAGATAGCAGCACAGACTATTTCAATTTGACACCAAAATGCTGAAGTGAGTCAGTACTGAAGCATGCATCACTAATAAGTTACTAAGCCTACCCAAGACTCTCCCTCCAACTCTACTCCACCCAAAACTGCTCCTTGGCTCTCCACACTACAGTGTCATTGCATCACGGTCATGCAACAAGGCTATGGAGGCAATGCTAGTAATGTTGCCCAATTCCGGAATCCACGGCGCCTGGCAGCACTTGCATGCATGGTTGCCAGCAAGGCAGTCTTGCAAAGGCAGAGATTCCTAAAGAGCACTCCATGGCGAGGAGCATCGCTCATATGCACAACTCTGATACGTCCTGGGGGTCAAAGTAATACACCAGCGCCGCTGACAGCGCCACCCTGATCAGCCCCGCCTACCTGCATGACACACCCTTGCACCCCTCACGCCCCATCTCATGCAGATTGTTCATCTGTATGACAGTTCTCCTTTCAATGTATTCACATCCACTGAATACATTGAAACTCCTTTTTGTGGCGCTTCACCTGTCCAACAAACGCATGAGACTGCCTCTAAGATGCCGATGCTACCAACTGGCTTTCATGGGTGATCAGGCCAATCAGCATTGTACCCGCGCATGCTGTCGTTTCTCCTGTTCACTGCAAAGGTGCTCACAGGTCCGAAGGGAAAATGCAGTCTGTGGGAAGCGGGGCGCCGCACCAGGTGATGATCATCCCATTGAGGGTCGGGGGCTCCTCTTCGCGCGAGAACCAGTTGTGCAGCATGGACAAAAGGAACAGGAAGGCTGCGCGGCCCAGCATGGCGAGCGGCAGCAGCACGCTGAAGAGCCACACCGTCTCTCCAAAGCGTGTGTTCTGCGCCCCATCACACATGCATCTCAGGGCATCAATTTAGGATTTGTGCCGAGAGTATCTGGACTCTCTGTGATGGGTTTGCCTTGCTCCACAGCTATCGATTGGAAGCAGGCAGGAGCCCTCGGGCAGGCAGTAATAAAGTCACAGCCCTGCACATCTGTGCTTGGCTATAACCATGCATACTGACAGGCAAGGATGAGCTTTTTCAAGAGGGGAGAAGCCCCTGCACATTTATTTTTGCTGACCATTTCTAGCAATTGTACCCTGGTTGTTATACCATTTCCGTTAATCATGCTCGATCATGGTGTAAATTGTGAAAAGCTTTATTTTCGTCATATTAAACCACTCAAGAGTCTGCGCCACAGATCAAATTTTACAGAAAGGCAGTGAAGCTTGCCTTGAGCTGTGCCAGGCGCATGGCATGCAGGTTCCTGAGCCCCCGAGTGCTCCAGCACGGCGGCTGCCTGTTCGCTCTGCTGCTGCAGGCGCCTGGCCTCCCGGCTGCGCAGCTCCTCCGCCTGCTCCCTCGCCACTATGCGCATCACTCTGCACATTCCAGGGAGTTTAAGGGTCCAAAAACGCATGGTCAGTCAAATTCAGAACTTACGGTTTCCACCCACACCCACACCGGCGCATGTGAGCGGTTCTCCACAGCCTGTAATCCACTTGGGGTAAAAAGCGATCCCACAGCATGCAATCCAATGCTGCTGCACGGAGGGACTGGCCCTGCTGCCAAAAACATCCCACCTCAGGTCTGACAGTAGTAATGTGCCTCATTTTGAAGCTCAAAGATGCAACGCAATGAGTGCCTGCAGGATAATACGTGAACAAGCCTGCAGTGTCAGCAGGTACTAAAACTTTGCATGGCTTGCCTTGACATAGCAGCGACCTGCTGGCGTCTTCAGAACTCTCCCTCACCTGTCAGTGCATTATCCTTCCGAAACTACCCCTTAGCCGAACCTCCCTTGAAGTATCTTCAAAAATTCAAGGTACGCCATCAGAATGCATGCATGCATGTTTTCTTCAGGGGAAGGACTGCCAACCTTAGGACTCTGCTTCGGTTGTCTAGTTTGGGCTGGTGAAGAGGAGCCCTCTCGGTCAACGGGGCTGCGGCGGCCGCTGCTGGCTGCTGTTGCCGGCCAGTCCATGGCTTGCAGAATGCGCTGGCTGCCGTCTTGCATCTGCTTCACCAAATCCTGCACGCCCCAACGCTGCTGTCAAGCCTGGGGTGATTGGGTCTGTTAGGGTGTAGGACCCAGTGTGATAGTCTATTCTACCCCAGGCGAGTGTGTCCTACCCGACACTGGTAAGACACAGGAGAGAGTGTGGGCTATACCACATTCAGCACGCATAAGAAACCACAGGAAAGCTAAAGAACCCTTAAATGATAGAAACAGACAGAGCACCGCTCCAAAGAGAAGATTTGCAGGCTTGCATGGATGGTGTTGGAGATGTGTAAGTATTGTGTAAGGGGTTAGTACCTTGACAGCGAGGCACACAGAGCGGCCCAGGGCAGAGTTGCGGTCCAGAGGCTGTGGGAGGCCCTGTCCTCTGCCAGCTCAGCGTCTGAAGGTGTCCAGAACAGGCAGCATTGCGAGCTCGACGCGCCTGCCCTCTTCACAGCTTCAGGAAGGTGCTTGTGCCACCTGCAGGACAAGTTTCAATTTACTTTCTGGTCCAAGCAGCGCACGAATTGAGGAACTGGACTGCAGCAACACGTGCGATCTGCAGATACCAATAATAACACCAGGGTGAGCCATGGTCTCAGAAGAAGCAGACAGGCATGGCACATGATAGCAATGGTGACCATTAAATTGGTATTTTGCAGGGAAGAAGAGACATCTCATACATGAGGCGCTACTTGTGACTCATTGACAACACTGATGGCAAGTACAGTATGTTTACCTGAGAGACCGGCGTTTGAGGATGATGGCAATGAGGACCAGGCACTTGACGCGCAGCAGGGCTTCAAGACTTTCACCGCTGCTGCATGAGAGCAGCCCCAGATACCCCACCACCCTCGCTGGCAGCCCATCTGGCGGACCCGCTCTGTCACAGATCCACCCCCCCTGTACACAAGCAAGAGATTTGTCACATCATCTTGATTGCGCCATAATTTGAGTAGTATAAGTATCTATGCCCACACAAGTATTAGTTGCTCACGCTCATTTCTGCAAGACAGGACCCATGCATGGGAGGCACTGTCAGAAGATGGGTATTCAGAACGGGCTCAGTGAGGTCTAAAAACATATATAATGAACAGCATAAGGGTTGTCAAATTGCATGTCGTTCTGAATGGGCGTCCTCTGTCAAATTGAGAGCATTTCACCTGCATGGCGTACTGAGTCAGCATCCAGGTGGCAGTCACCAGGATGGCTGCCAGCGTGGACAGGTGCATCAGCAGCCGCCCGTTGCCCTCTGTCGCCTTGGGGCCGCCAAGAACAGGCGACAGCAGTACCAGGCCCACTGCATTGCCAAGCAACATTTGCTTTCAATGATGGTTAAAGCAACAATTACTGGCATTTTGACGCTTTTTTCACATCGAGATCATGCATGTGCCAAAACTGTTCAGTCGCATGGCTTGCAGTAGTGGAGGGCATGCATGCAGATCAGCTTACAATGACACCTTTCTTGAATGCAGGATATGTGCTCACCTGTGAAGACCCAGCCAAAGCCACCAGGCCGCTGCATGGCTGCCCAGAACAGCATGAGGGCCTCAATCTTGGAGGCGTGCAGGATGAAGAAGCGGGCGACCAAAGCAAAGATGCCGCGCTGCGCCTGCAGATTTCTCTGCTCCCGCTCTGCTGGGCTCAAGCTGTCCCTCTCATGCTGGGCCTGCACAACAGCCACAAAATACCTCATTGCTCCTTAATACCATTCCAACACTCATGCTCTCCAACTGGTTAATGCTTGGGGCAATGCTAGATCCGCTTGATAGCGCAAGTCTGACACCCCAAAACTGTCGCTGGTGGCACAATAAATTGATATAAGCCGGGCGCCTGTACCACAGCGAGGCTGCCGGCAAGAAAAGATTCGAGTGCCAAAGGAAAAGTGAGATGCGCATCAAACAAGGGCACCCACACTGTGCAACAAAATGACACCCCAGAACGGTCGCTGGTGGCACACTCAATTGATGCAAATCTCGCGCCTGTACCACAGCGTGGGTGCCGGCAAGATAAGGGCATAAACTTACTTGGCATTAGCAGGTATGCTTGAGCTTTCAGACGCTCCGAAAGAGAGGCCCCATTGTGTTACTCGTGGCAGCAAGGAAGCCAAAACTCGACTAGATTAGTAGCGGATTCCTCCACTGAATTAGTGGCGTTTGACTGACAGGGTAGGATGCCCATCTGGTGCAGATCACTGTGAGAGAGACAGGGAGTTGATCCGTGCTAGTCGTCCAAGCTCAAAGCAGACGATGCTTTATATTGACCATAATGATTGCATTAACGAATGTAAACATACATTACCGAGCAGTAAGTAAATGGCATCTACAAGCTTGGCAGTTTAAAATCATGGGTTGAAATCCATTATCGCCCCGAGCCCTTAAAGACAAACGAGAGCATCTGGTAAGAGCTATTGCTCGAGATAAAGCTTATGGTTTTGACTAGGGATCATAACTCCAGCCCTAACGCTGATATGGCTTCCAAAGGGAAGATTACCATCTCAGCGAAAGGCGCACAGTTTCATGTGGCCAGTGTGCAGGCTTGTGAGAAGCTTGTCCAGAAAATAATTCCTGCAAACATCTCAGAAAATCTGCACTTCTCTATCAAGGGCGGGGTGCAGAAGGGACTTGTTGTCAATCTGCCTGACACATTCGATGAAGTCAGCAACGTCCACCAGTACCAAGCGTACGTCTATGAGATCGAGCAGAAGAGTGGGTTCCTAGAAAGTTGTTTCGCTTGTAGAAAGGGACTGCAAGTCCAGCATCACTGGAACTCACAGCCACTGTGCGTCGAACCTGAGGCACCTGAAAGCCCACAGCAATCAGATAGCAGCACATCTGTGACCAGCCAGCCTCCATCTTCACCGGACTCAGTCTACCCGGCCTCATCAGAGCGAAGTAACATCATACAGCTTTTTGGCAACAGTTTGGGGCATTCCATAAAAATGATCAGGAGGTTCTGCAAGGAAATAGCAAAAAAAGACAAAGGTATCGTGCCCTTTTCATCTGTACCTGCTGAAGGCGCTTGCTCCCTTTAAGTAACCAGTTCACCGACTGAATTTGATGCTCATGTGCAGAGTGGAGGGGAATCGATGACTTGATCGGGAACTTGCTTGACCATGTTGCTCGAAACTACTCCACTGCCATCGGGTCAGCGCTAGCAGAGAAGAACGAAGAGATCCGCACACTCCAATTGCAATCGACCGAAGAGATCCGCACACTGCAGTTGCAATTGGCAGATCTCCACACCCGGCAAATCATTGGTAAGGATAATTCTCAGATGCTGTTGTGGCTAATATCGGTTTGATGTTCACTCTGACAGAGTGAACTGCGCTGCCAAATCAAAGCACGTCCTTGCATAACATTCAGAGAGCAGGGCTGTGTCAATATGTCCCAGAACGGTGAAAGGGCTGAGCCGTGTCCACATGGCTGATCTGTTCAACATGTGTGTCTCTCTGCAGATTCATGCGCTCAGGAGATCTACTCGCTGCATCTGGGGGCCCCAGCTCCAGCGTGCTTGACCGAGGTTCAGGAGGCAGAGGGGTATGGGCCGCAGTGCAGGCCGGCAAGAGTAGTCATGGAACATGCCCTCAGCTGCAAGCTCTCCACAGTCCAGACCTTCGTGCAGGACATTGAGCTGTCCAACGCAAAGGTATGGTGCGCACATATTTGCTGACACCTGGAGTATGAGCTTGCACCTCTCTGTGTTCAAGTCAGGAACTGTACGTCCAATGCACTTTGCAAGATTCAGGCTGCTGGTCACCGTTCGCGCCTCATTCTCACTGACTTGCAAATTCGTGGCTGAAAGTGTTTCTGTTTTGTGCAGATCGTCAATGAGGCCTCAAGCGCGTACAAATTCCTCAGCAAGAAGCTGCACTCCATGGGGGCAAAGAAAGTCGTGTACCTCTGGAAAGATGACATTAATGGTTTTGTGATCATTCCCACAACTCTGCTGGAGAAGGTAGCAGAAAGGAGTAATGTTGAGATCAAGTGGGTGAACAAGTAAACTGTGACTGCCCCCATTGTGACTCACAGACTTGTGCACCCACATTGGATGGACATGTAAGCTTACATGCTTGAGCAATACCTGTAACCAGTTCTCCGTGTGTCAAATGTAGCACTTGGTATGTGAAAGATCTGGTCTTGATCTTTACTGTACCTGTCTGATAAGTTTCAAAATCCTGCCCCAGCAAAAATTCACAAAATACTTATCAAATTCAATGTTGTAGTGCATTGTGCGCACCAGGTCAGGAAGACATCAATCGTCACTTATTATGAATATCAGTTCTGTTACACGTCTTTCCTGCATGAGTATCTGGCTGCATCATTGTGGCATACATTCTCCAACAGCCTTCTCCATGCGGGGTTATGTTTAGCATTATACTATGGTCGAATCGGGTATCCAAGTTCTGCAGAGACTCCAAGTACTGCCTGGTATATAACCAAGTATGTGTTGGTTCAGCTTTCTGCAATGCTCTTCCTGCATTTGTCCCACATGATGAAACACCTTCACCCTGCTGGTCAGCGCCTTTCGAGGTGAATACTGCTTCTGCAGCATGCTTGGTAGAACAAGCTGAAGACATCTACATATGCTGCTGCTTTCACGTGCTAGTTTGAGGTCTATCTGAGTGCGTGCTGTAATTTTCAAAGATTCCTACAAAGAAGAAACTCCACTCCTTGACTTCATGTCAAAAGTAACCTAGCTGGCAATGATCTCTCCATTCTGGCTCGCTCACGATTTCTTCTTCCCATACATGGCATCTATCTGCTCCTTGTAGTGCTTCAGCAGCTGCGGCCGCTTGAGCTTGAAGGTGGGAGTGATCAGATTCTGCTCGACTGAGAACTGCTCTGCCTCCAGGTGAATCTTCCTGATTTGTTCGAAGCCCTGCGCATTTGACAGCAATGGAGAAGCTCAGTAGTCATACCCGGAAACGCACCTTGTGCAGGCAGAGTGATGGCGTCACATGGGGTCTGGTGACTATATAGGTTCTGATAAGCTGCAGATAAATGTATGATAACTGCACCCTGTCAGTGCAGGACACTGGCACCTTCATGCTCCACTCCGGGAACAGCGGCTTAATGATGTGTTGCACTGCCAATATAATTAAGAAAAGACTGGCCACCTCTCTCGACAATATCTCCTTTCTCCTGACTGCACAAGGGCCTTCTTTCCAATGTGAATGGCCAGCACTTTCTTTTCCTGCTCCAAATGAAAGCGCACGCTCATCACAAAACTCTACAGGCTACCTTACCTTAAGCTTTGCCTCCTTGGCGGTTTTGTTGAGTTCGCCCCAGACATAGGAGTTCGCCTTCGGGTCCTTGACGATCTCCGCCAGGTCACCGCTGACGTCAGCGTCGGCGGCCCACGATGTCAGTGCTGACTCAGCGGGCACCACCACCGCCACCAGAATGTTCTCAAAGCTGTTGCCGTAGACCCAGATTTGCTCCACCAGCGGGTTCTTCTTGTACACCGCCTCAATCTTCTCCACGGCAATGTACTCGCCTGCGGCAGCAGGACAAACTCGTGGCGTCTCACATGCATTATCACTGTGACATCTTCCCAGGTACCTCTGTGGGTACCTCTGTGGCCCTCAGCTCATGAAGTCCCAATTGACAGGGATCTGATGCTCTGCACTGCTGGCTTCCGTCCCGGAGCTTGCACTGCATGCCAGTCTTGGCAGACCCACGGTGCATAGGACATCCAACGCGCCAATCTCAGAGCTTCAGACGTTTGGAACTCCTGATCATCCCCTGATGTCAGGCTACTGCTTGTTGGCATCCTTGTGCCTATTCCTCCACAGAGGTCCGTCTGAGCACAAAGGACCCCAGGAAGAAACAAGATTCAGCAGGAAAATCATGATCAAGGGCAGAGAAAGATGCGCGCACCCTGCGACAGTTTGAAAATGTTCTTCTTGCGATCGATGATGCGCAGGGCTCCTTCTGGAGTGAGTTCTCCCACGTCCCCAGTGTGGAACCAGCCGTCCGCCGTGAGGTCCTCCTTTGTCTTGGCCTCGTCCTTGTAGTAGCCCTTGAACAGCGTGGGGCCCCCAATAACCACCTCCCCCCTCGGCGGGCTGCCGGCTGCGCATGCATAAAAGCCTGCTCAGCATCACACGCAGACGCAGAGAAGCTCAGCGGCATTTCTGCCTTGATGGCTTGCTGGCGTTTTGTTTTGCTAATATTTTTGGCCTGCGAGCGGCTCCAAGATCAGAAAATGAGCTATCGGAGCAATGAGAATGTCTGTCGAGGGCCGGCAGAGGTGCCCAAGTGTGCAAACGCCGCTGCGCGATAATATATTGGGAGGCAGCATGATCCGAAACAGCACTGGCCTGTGATCCCTGAGCTTAAATGCAAGGGATTGTCACTTTGTGCAATGGGGGGCCGCACCTGGGTCATAGTTCATCTCGGGGACTGCCTCGAGCCGGAATGCTGTGCATGGCAGCGGCGGGCCAACAGTGCCTGCCATCTCCTGCGCAGTACAATCAATATGAATCAGCGCAGCTGGGCTTTTCCACAGGGATCAGCACGGTGACCGTCACTATACCCAAGGACTTTGAGCAGGATTTGTCGCCAATGGCGCAAAGGAAGATGTTTGGATGGCGTCGGATGCTCACCGAGAGGTCTGGAACGCTGATGAAGGAGCCCGCACAGGTCTCTGTCAGCCCGTACCCCTGCACACCCCATGATCTTCAATATCAAAGCCGTACCAAGCAGAACAGACGTGTCGCACTTGGACAAAATGTTGCAAGCAGTGGTGTTTGATGCAGGTCTGTACAGATCTGCGGTTGAAAAATTTAGCACAGCCTTCGTTATCATTCGCATGACACTTCTACATGCGTTTGCAGCGAGGGACCGGAAGAATGCTGTCATCTGGTCGGAGTTTGAACCTTGAAACTTGAAATTTGAGATTTCGAAGATTAAATTTGAATTTTCTGGGGGTGGCAGAGGAGGGAACGCGCCTGCACGACGGGCGCGCACATGGTTATTTTGAGGAACTCCTCCACGTGGCCTGCCAAAGGAGCGCCGCCGCTAACGATGATTTTCACGCGGCCGCCCAGCCGCGCCTTGATCTTGCTGAACACTACCTTGTCGAACACCGGCGTCGCCTGCATGTCCACATTCATTTTCTTTCTCAACGTTGCAACCTACTTGTGTTGCGACCAGAAAAAGTGCCATCCAGTTGCCAGGGAGAACCTCCTCTGGCTCACTTGTCACGCGTTCCCAGCTTGAGAAGGGTGTGTTTTTACATCATCAAGAAGAGTTTGGTCAACGCTGATGAAGGACAACAAAGCCACGCCTCAACAGGGTAGCTCTTTTGCGAATGGTGCACCGAAGTAAGATTATTTTTTGGAGCCAGCTCTTGGCTGCAGAGTAATGCATGCGCTCGGGATGTCTCGATGAGCCCCAGGTTTCATGACTTTCTAACAACCATGACATCCTCTGCCCGACAAACCTCACATACCCCAGAAGAATATGCACGACAAATCCACTCGAGGCGCACCTTGTCTGCGGGGATGTTGCGTTTGAGGCGGGCGCTCTTTCTCCTGTAGCCCCAATGGAACAGCTTGGCTGCGAGACCCCCCTTCTCATCGATCTTGCTCATCGCGCCCGCATATATCCGGTCAAATACCCGCGGCACGCCTGCATAATATTTGCGCGCACATTAGCCCTCCTATAATTCTGCATAAGCGCAGTCCCGTCTTGATTTGCACACTGTAGGAAGCTTGAGCAAGCCTGAAAGCTTGGCCCTGCCAAGCCAGGTATCATATATGAGACAGATTCTGTTCGCCAAAGGCTGCGATAAGTCCTGACTGCATATTTGTGCAAATAAACGGCAGCATGGCACGTTTTCATTTTCACAGCTGACATCACTGCTTTGCGGCAGCTAGACATGAACACATTTTGCCAAGCGCTTCACCATGGGCAGAATTCCCACAACACATGCAACACCAGGGGTTGTCCCCGTTACAGTGGCGCACGCTAACACACAGGTCGGTTCCTACATATCTTCACCATCAGCACAAGCCCCGCATGCATGCAATCTTTAGGAGGATCTGTCCAACACGCACCAATAAAGATGGTGGGTTTGAGGGCGGCGATATCATCCACAAGTTTTTTCACATCTCCCTGGAAGTAGCCGATGCGTGCCCCCACCGACAGAAACATCTCCTCTGTAGACCTGCACAGGCCGCGCCAGATCAGGCAACCCGCCAGCATGTGCCACCTGCTGACTCATGGATCGTGTCTCATAGAAAACCCAGGATCAGGCAACCCCGCTGAGCGGCTTCTGCATATGGTATGATTGGGCTTTTGCTTCAGGTGAACACCCTCCATTGGGTAAGTTAGCAAGGGGAAGACAATGGCATTCCTTGCATCATCTCAAAGCTCTGCAAAGCAGCAAACACAGCAGCCACAATGAGCACCAAAGTTCAAACAAGAAAAAAGTGCTGGTGTAGAATTGCAGGCAAATTTGCAGGTGCGCGATGTGACAGCAGGGCACCTGCCAAAGATGTGCACTCTAGCTGTAGACAAGCAAACAATTACACAATCCAGTCAGCAGGGCTCACACATGCATGCAGATGCCTCTGCAAGCAATCACCCACCTGTCGAAGATATGCGCAAGGGGCAGGTATGACAGCACGACGTCATTTTCTGTGATGGTGTTGCCATGACTGATCTGCTTCAGGAAGGCATGCAGGCCCGCCACCTCAGCCACCACCGCCGCGTGCGATATCATCACCCCCTGCGCACGACCCCTTGTTATATCCTGAAACCCACCGCCTAATTTGTTCAGCAGTCAAGAACACGCAAAGCGCAGAGAGTCTACTTCTCGTCCTGTGATCCCACACCCATTGTTCGGAGCAGAGGGGCATGCTGCAGAGGTCTCTGGTCGGCCACAAAGGCAATTGGCGGTTCTGATAATCCTCCTGTTTTGGCGAGGTCTTCCTCTGGAGCAGATTCAAGGTCCTCCTGGTATTCTTCTCTCAAGAAGCGCGAGTGACTGAGGGCCCAATATACACAGCAGGGACTGTCATCGAGCATCGCTGCTGTGCATGTCATGTGATGTATTGCCCACCCAGAGGCGAAGCCAGTGCCCCAGAGGTCAGATAGACCTGATACCCCTCAGAGCCCTGTGGTTTGTTACATTAATCACCTTGGGGTCTCCGGTGGTGCCGCTGGTGTACATGATGGTGCAGAGGTCCTCCGGGCTGGGGGGCACCGGCGGCGCAGGCGTTGCCTTCCCCAGCGCCAAAAACTCATCCCACGAGTAGGCTTTGATGTCCGCACCCTCCGATGCCTGCGTGTCAATTTGTAAGTGATGACTTATACAACCAAGGTGAGCATGCCCTACCCGCCGCTGGTCTCACCCTTACTAATTGATGATTAAGTTGTTTTGTCATGCTTACATCCTCCGTGGCACGATGACTCAGAACAATTGAGAAGGGCAGGCCCATGCAAGTTGGTGGCACCTGTTTGGCGTCAGCGTAAGCACTAAGGAAGCCTGGCTGCCATATGCAATTCACCATTTTAAGATGAAGAACCGGCATTACACACAGAAACAGAGGCTGCCGAAAAGACCCTTCAGTCTCTTCTCATTAAGGGATCATTTTGCTGACATGATGCCTTTCTCATCATGCATGCAAGGAGCCACAGGTGCCCAGACCAACGACTCAACGAAATCACCTGTTCTGCATCGGGACGCTTCTCGTCCCCAGTCCCCCAGTACACGAGCGTTGTGAGACCCTTGTGCGCAGAGGGCAGCGCCTTCAGCAGAGTATCCAATTTTTCCCTGGGATACACAGAAGAGTCCTCATAGGTCAATCATGAGTTGGGTACAGGAGACATGTGCTTGTTGGTGTCAATCCGAGTGAGGGTTGTATAATGGCGCTCGCAGTGCCTTTCATGTATTGATCACCTCATTCAGTTTATCAGAGCTGACTGGCCAGTACCCACAACAGGAGATTGTATTTGGGAGTGATCATTTTATCTTTGACTGAGATGATACGCTGTCAAGACATCCCACTTTTGTCAAGCAGTGCAGATGGGCAAAAAGTTTTGAGGATTGAAAGACAACAAGGAGCTGACCTGGCGACAAATATGATGCTGGACTCAGAGTGGTTGATGATGAATTCGACAGCGTTCTCTCCCAACGAGTCATACAACGGCACGCAGTACACGCTCTGCCTGTTGCATGCCTGCACCACCGTGCCAAATGAGGCCATCAGCTTTCATGAATACGTAATCACCCTTCATCCTAGGAGATCATGGAATTCTTAGACAGACTGCCTGCTGCATGCAACAGTGTTGGCGTGCGACACCTTGCTGGGATCGGAAAGGAGCAGGATGCAGGGATCTGAAATGGGCCGGCCACGGATTCCAGAGAGATGAATCTATCTGCAGTATTTTATGGACATACCATGTGCCAGTGTTGCATTGGCCATCGGTGGGACGCAATTAATGCCCCGGGAAAAGGGAGGACATGGCTCTTTGGGGTGGGAATCATACCTGCATGGCAATCATCCATTCTGCGCTGTTGCCCCCATAGATGGAGCATTTGTCGTGGGCTTTGACTCCCACAGCGCTCAGGGCAGAGCCGATGGCTGCCACAAGCTCCGCTGTCTCCTCATAGGTGATGAACTCGAAGGGCCCAGCAGTCCCATCCACCTGCACATCAGGGGCAGCGAATCGACTGAGTCCATCGATGCATGTTGGAGATATCAGAACGGCATGATCACCTATTGCAGGTGATACGCAATGTCGCAAGGTCTGGCCAGGCCTTTCAATACAGTGACATTGCCAGTCCCCGATGCACGCCCTTGACAAATTGGGAAGAGCTCCGGACAAACACTACGTTATCATTATGACATCATGAACCTTTTCGCAACCAATGGTAACCCTTATAAGTCAGCAAAGAGGCGGTGGCTTTCTATTTGGAAAGTTGATCGCTGATGAGATCAGAAGCACTGACAGGGTTGACTACATCAATTGATCGAATATAGACAGAAGCAAAGAGTATTGCAATCATAGGAATGTCTTTCCTAACATTCAGTGTAGTTGTGCACACCTGTTTCCTGCTGCCAAGGCAAGGGTTCTGTGCGTAGCGCTTGGCGCTGCTTGTGAACAGCTCGTACAGCGTCTTGACGCCATCGAGCGTTGGATACGCATCCTTTGCGACCACATTTCTGTAGGTAGGGCCGATTGCTACAGTACCTTCTCCTTTGCTGGGCTCTGCTGGTGCAACTTCAACCAAGAGGTTTTCAACATGTTTCATCTCGTCCTCCTGAACCGCTGTGAGAGCCTTGAGGGCCACTAAACCTACCCCCACGCCCCCGATCAGTAGTGCCAACATTTTGGACGCCTCAGAACAGACTCCCGACGGCTCTTCCTGCATTGAACCGTCCCAGACTAAACAGACCGCTCGTTCAGGAGTGCCAAGACAGGCGCAAACTCCGTTTGGAGCTGCACTGTACCTTCCTCTGAACCTGCCTTCGAATGATGATTTGGATTCACAGTTTGCTCTCCTTTCCTTTGATTCGACATGTTGGTTTCTGCATCAGTTTGTGTAATGCTTGGAAGGACTGACATATTCAGTAACAGCAAGCATTTTGTAAACTTCGACTCAATTGTGAATTGGAACGCCTTGAATTCAATCGATTTTGCAAATTCAAATGCTGATGCAGAGAGAAAGCACACATCATGCAATGCACGCAGTGCCATGCAGCAGCGCGCAGCTTCTGCATCAGTTTGACAAGCCTGAAACAAGCTGATGAGTGGAATTTAATTACTCTTACTCTTACTTACTCTGCAGTGCGCGCTCACAAAGACTGCCCAAACGCAACCGCCCCTCAAATTCATTAGAGGGGAACAAATACGGCGGTCCGGTTACTCCACTTAACGTTTCAACACATCCAAAGAACCATCTAGTAATGTCGACTACTAGTTAGAGAGGATCCGTTGCTGCTTTCTGAGCACCATCGGCGCCCACAGTACCCATCTGTGTTGCGGAGACAGGAGTCTGACCCAGACACACCCTCCAAAACAATAAGAATACAACGCGTGGACTTGGGCTCTATGAATACACGTTCAAAGGGGTGCCCACACCAGTCACCCAGTCACCAAGAGGGCCACACCCCGGCCTAAACAGCACTCAATACCGAGCCTGCTTGACAGGTCCCATAACCGGCAATCCCTGCTCTGCCTCGCTCCAACCCACGCATGCAGCAAGCTCGCCGCTGCTGCTTGCGCAACGGCCTGTGGCCACAGTGTGCCCGCGATCGCGCCCTGTGAATCCACCCAGGGGAATGTGCCTCCAAGGGTGGGGCAGGGCACAATTGCGAGCCGGCGAGGCGGCCTATGAAATGCCGGCCGGAGTGGCGTCGATGGTCGATGTCATCTTCTTGTCGCCGTTGAGCACGCTCACCTGCACAGTCAGCGAGACACACATCAGCATCAGCCTTGTATTAAACTAGACAAGGACAGGAACCCATGCAAGGATAGCCTGAGCATGATGAAGGCTGCCACATCTGCGGCAAGTCTCTAGCAGCGAAGGCAGTCTCTAGCAGCGAAGGCACCACAACCAGCCTGGGCTATCATCCGAGGCGCGTGCAGATGCACAAAAGCTACAGCGACTCTTGGTTTGTTCTGGCATCTATCGCCCAGACTAGAGCACCCCAAGCCTCTACGATTGAAGGATATGATGATCGAGTCTTCGAGCTACCTGGGGGCCTGCGCCAGGCTCAGGCAGTGGAAGCGGCAGTCTAAAATTAGAAATGCTCAGCAAGCATGAAGGTCTGTCTGGTGGGGCGTGCCTGGCCGTCGGCGTCGACATCGATGATGACGGAGTCACCCTCCTTGATGTCACCGCTCAGCATGCGCTCGGCCATGGAGTCCTCCAGCAACCGCATGATCGCCCGCCGCAGCGGCCGCGCACCGTACGCCGGGTTGTACCCCTCCTCCACCAACCGGTCCTGCGCAAAGCCGGGCAGGAAACCTTGATTTTGAATTCAAATTTTAATCGTGACAGCTCAAACAGCGTGGTGAGACAGGAAGACAGCCTGCCAGCGTCGCCATCCAAGGGTCGTACGAGCACTGCAAAGTACTCTATCAGAGGACGACGATGGCTTATCCTCTGACCAAATCTGTGGCTTTGAATAGAAGACCAGTGAACTTGGCAGGTTTCAGCCTGGCTGACACTGCAGCTTCCAGCAAGCTCATATACTGCGGTGCTCCAGTGTCAGGTACTTCCACAGTCTAAAACAACAGAACACGACCCCATCTGAAGACCTGTCTTGATGCATATTGCATCTGATCTGGGCAGAACATGATCAAAGGCTTTCATGGGCTGCGCCAGGCCAGTACAGGGTGATGTGGAAGGGTGGCTGACCTTGAAGCGCTCGGTGACATCGATCTTGATGCCCTTGATCTCGGCGCGCTTGAAAACCTCTGTCAGCATGATGTCAGCGATCTCCTTCACCTCGCTCTTGCTGAGCTGCCTGAACACAATGATCTCGTCCAGCCTGCACACAACAAAGAATTCCTCAGAACAACATTACAAAATTCTCTCTTCACATAGTCCTTCAGCAACTCCAACAACTCCGTTTGTTGGCAGCAAGTAAAGAGGCAAAGACATGCCGCCATGCATGCAGATGGCTCCACCATCGCACTTACATCACAGTGCCAACCCAGTCACAAAATGGAAGCAACCACCGGCATCACCTAAGCAGCAAAAACCCAGCTGACGCGTGCGCGCATCCTGCAACGCCCTGTATCAAGGCATTTCCCACAAGCATACCCCGGCAAATGCACAAGCCCCAAAAAAGCCGACATTTCCGCCCACGAAGGAGCATGTGCACATGTGTCGGCAGATGCATGCCGCGAGGCACGACGCACCTGTTGAGGAACTCTGGGCGGAAGTACTGCTTGAGCTCCTCGTTGACGAGGGTCTTGATGCGGTTGTAGGAGGAGTCCTCCTCGCTCGTGTCCAGCTGGAAGCCCAAGCCGCCGCCACCCTTCTCAATCACGCTGCTGCCCACGTTCGATGTCATGATGATCAGCGTGTTCTTGAAGTCCACAGTGCGGCCCTGCGCAGCAAAGAAAGGGACCCAACTCAGTTCATCGTCAAACTGTCAAAACAGCGATCGTAATCCAAGTACCTCGACATCAATCTGCATGGAGGAACTCAAAAATTTCACCCTCGGTGACAGCTCGGCAACACTCATCATCACATGTACATAAAAAGAGCCGTCATGAGTGCCTTGCACCGGTTTGGAGCAAGTAGCAAGGAAGCAATAATCTGTCAGCCAGCACATTCCGCCCAGCCTCAGCTGGTCCACCACTGGATGAACCAGGCGAGGTTGGACACCAGGACGAAGAGAATTCTTCTATGCTGTCATATTCCCATCTGACTAGAAGGCAAGATAGAACAACACCCTGCGCCTTTCACATCACTGCAGTGCTACCGAGCTCGATGGAGGCAAGAGATAGGAGACCCACCTTGGAGTCGGTCAGACGGCCATCCTCCAGGATCTGGAGCATCATGTTGAAGACGTCCGGGTGAGCCTTCTCAATCTCATCGAAGAGCACGACCGTGTAGGGCCGCCTCCTCACAGCCTCTGTCAGCTGCCCACCCTCGTTGTACCCCACGTAGCCTGCCCAGCACAGACGATTAGTCATCATCACCCTACATTATCTTTAGCCAAGTTCACAGTGAATGCAGAGGCCGCAGCATGGGAAACTTTGGCAGCTATAATAAAATCTTCTAAGTACCATGAGACATGATTGCTTGAAGAAAGACAAGGCGTCACAAAGTGCTGAATCCTTTTTGCTCATCGAGCCATATTGCAAGATAGGAGTGCACATGAAATGCAGCGCAGCAGGCAATGCAAATGCTGAGCTGCATAACACGCGCATCAGTGCTTGCCATATAGCTGACCAAGAGAGCCCCATGGCTAACAGGTTTTGCAAGCCTCACATGAAGAGCCTCACATGATGAGAACATGCGAATTTTCCTCAAGATAAATTAAGAGGTGGAAAATTGCACACCTGGGGGTGAGCCGATGAGCTTGGAGACGGTGTGGCGCTCCATGAACTCGGACATGTCCAGCCGCACCATGGCCTCCTCGCTGCCAAAGTAGTAGCTCGCCAGCGTCTTGGCCAGCTCAGACTTGCCCACACCTGCGAGCATCAAGCATTATTATTATGATTACACGCCTATCCAAGCCAGATTAGGCTTAGGTGCGTCTCATCAAGCATACAGACGCCTAAGCAAAGCTATTTTAGTGTGCAGTCAACAATACGGGCAAAAAAACTGCAATCAATGCGTCTCACGTTTTTGTGGCTGGGAGGATGTCATATCATCAATTGATTCTCCCGAAACCTACAGACGCCGACGAATCCCAGCGCCAGTTTATACTACCTCACTCTACTAGTGATAAAATCACTACAACCTCTGACAGCATGCCAAGCAACCAGCAGTAACATGCTGTATTCAGAAGCTAGGAGACAACATGCAGGTAAACCATTTCACAATACATTCCATGGACCTTATGACACCCTGAGCTCAAATCCCAACAACTATGGCCATAAGTTGGGATTTAGGACACCACAAATGCATAAAAACCTATCTTCCATACTCAAACAGAGGCAGAGGGGCAATTGAGGACTGAAGGCTCCGCTAAAGACCCAGGAAAACAACACACAGATTCACCAAGAGACCATGGTAAGGGCAGGGGCCGCACCGGTGGGTCCTGAGAAGATGGAGGATGCTACGAGGCGATTGGGATTTGTAAGGGAGTTTTGAGCTCACGATCCAGGTAAACCTATTATTATGCGCCGCACAACAACCCAAAACAAGCCTGACAACAGGAAAGGACGACAGGTGCCGCACCGGTGGGGCCAGAGAAGATGAAGGATGCGATGGGGCGGTTGGGGTTCTTGAGGCCGACGCGCGCGCGGCGAATGGCGCGGCTGATGGCCACAACGGCCTCCTCCTGCCCAATCACGCGCTGATGAAGGGTCTCCTCCATCTTGATCAGCCGCTCACTCTCATCGCTGGACACCTGCAGTGAGTGGAACAGACAGCATGAGCACAGGAGGAGAAGGCCACGCAGTCAGCTCTGAGCAGAAAGTGCTGGTTGGGGAACCATGCCAGCAGAACAGCAAGCAGTGTCAGAGCACGAAACATCCAGGACCGGACAACAAGCGGTATGTACACATCAGCGCTGATGCATGGTACCATTGATGAGATTGACAGGTCTCCGAAACCATAAGCACACACTGGAGCCAGCAAAAGTCGCCCACAGCATGATTTGCTGCGGGCACATTGCGCAGACTTGAGTGCATGCAAATGAGGGAACTGCAAAACAGGATGACTCCAACCCCGTCCAACATTCTATTGCATTGCTGCAGGTAGCGCGGGTCAATAGATAAAGCGACCAACAAGCAGGGCGTTATACATCACCAGCAGAACTATAACATCTATGCGCAGAGCCCGCACCTTTTCGACGGGGATGCCGGTCCACTGCGCGACAATGTTGGCAATGTCAGCCTCGGTCACCAACGGGCCGCCGCCCTCGGCTGAGGACTCGGCCTCGGCGGCCTCGCCCTCCTTGGCCGCTCCAGTGATAGCACTGATCTGCGCCTTGAGCTCCATCTCCCGATCCCTCAGGGTCCCCGCCTTCTCAAAGTCCTGCAATATGACGAGAATAGGATAGTGAGTTGCCTTGCACCAAGACAACTTCACCAGGACAAGAATCACTGCATTTGGGGAGAAGACGGTTGGTGAAACAACCAGAGCCATTTTGTGCAAGAACAACGATGCACCATTCCAGTCCCTCCCACATGCATCGGGTGCATCGGGCGCAGAAGCCAGAGGAGCTGCAAGTCTAAACAGATTGCTATTGCTTCCATTGGTCTCCTCACAGATTGACAGTAACACTGCTCCCCAGGTTGTCAATCTCCCTACAGCAAGTGCGCAGAGCATAGATATTCATAAGTATGACCTACGGGCCGAGGTGCCCACCTGGCCGCGGACGGCGGCGTCCTTCTCCTTGAGCAGAGCGCGCAGCTCTTTGTCCAGATCGCGCGCCTCCTCTGGCAGCTGCGCGTGGCGCAGCCGCACCCGCGAGCCCGCCTCGTCGATCAGGTCGATTGCCTGCACGCAGATAATCACTCTCCACCTCAGTCCAGATGTGGCACAAGGATCACAGTGACGCGTCCCTTGTGTGCATGGCTGCCTGTAAGGGGCTCCAGCTCAGCCCAAACCTCATTCTGTCGTGCTGCACTTTCTCTTCCGACTCGCCGTTTCAAGCTCAGCACAGACAGCTCAGCACAGACAATCTCACCACCCTTTGCTTTGTACAGAATAACGTGAGGGTATCACAGGTAACCTGGTAATCACAGAGGCTCTGGCACCCGAAGGAAAAATCGTGACGGGGCGCGCACCTTGTCGGGCAGGAAGCGGTCGGAGATGTACTGGGAGGAGAACTTGGCTGCGGCGTCGAGGGCCTCGTCGGTGTAGCGCAGCTTGTGGTGCGCCTCGTAGCGCTCCCGCAGGCCCAGCAGGATTTGGTACGTCTCATCCACGGTCGGCTCTGGCACGTGCGCGCACAGAAAGCACATGATCAGTCTCGCTTGCTCTTTTGTACTGTATTACAGCCTCATGTAGATTGGGTGCATTCTTTCATATTGTTTTGTTCACGCCGTCCCAGCCACTGAGCGTAGCAGATGATAACTCTTTTGCCTCTCGTTGACAACATGGCCTGGTACAGCACATTTTCAACCAGATCACCCTTAATCAAGCAGCAGAGCAGCATTAAAATTCGCTGACTCAAGAACACCCAAACAAACTGGATGAGCTATCTGGGACGAGCAAGAGCGCGCGGACACCACAGGGCCCTGCGTGGGTGTACGACATACATCTTACGGGCAAGCAGCCCATCTAAGAAAGCTCGGAGCAGCGCTATGACTTGCATGTGCGGGGCAGGGAGCTTATCTTAACGGGCTGGAAACGGCGCTCGAGGGCGGGGTCCTTCTCGATGTGCTTGCGGTACTCGTCAAGGGTGGTCGCGCCGATGCACTGCAGCTCACCACGCGCCAACGCCGGCTTCAGGATGTTGGCAGCGTCAATAGCTCCCTCCGCCGCTCCAGCACCGATGAGGGTGTGGACCTCGTCGATCATCTGCGCACATGCGCAAATATCTTCTGTTAGCCGGCTGCATATACTGTATATAGAAGAATTCAAATTCACAAGCGTTTATATGTCATGGTGCCCAGCGCTCGAAGTCCTATTCAGTAGACCACGTTCCACGGGGCGCATGTGACAACTGAGTCAATGTCAAAGGCCGTTGAGTGCATGCATGCAGCATAGCAAGCCGCAAATCTAGAGCAACTGACACTACTGCAAATGCTTTCTGGTAGGAAACCACTCTCCTGTGCAAATACACAGGACAGCCTGGCAAAGCCTAATAATCATATTGAATGCAGGGCAGCCGCAAAGAGGATGAGTCAGGGGCTCACCAGAATGATGTCATCGTTCTGCTTGATCTCCTCCATGAGCTTCTTCAGGCGCTCCTCGAACTCTCCCCTGTACTTGGTGCCAGCCACCAAGAGGCCCATGTCCAGCGTGATCACCTGCGCCAGTGCTCGTGATGTCAGCACGGTTGTGATGTCAGCAAGCTGCCAGCGACATCACCAAACTAAGGTGCAATCATATGGGCTCCTGGTTGGCGTGGCGTTCAGAGGGAAACCTGCATCCTTTAATGCTCTCAGGTCTTGTACTGGAACTCCAAAAGACACAGACGCTTCAATCAAATGTCATGCCAACTGGTGATGCCTCAAACTGACATCCTTAAACAAAGAGACGTGAAGTTGCACTGGCAGTTATGCTCGGAGCTGTTCCCCGGAACAATGCGTCCTAATTTCTACTGAGTATATGCCTTCCTTGAAGGCTTCTTGAAAAATAGGGAAAGGCATTTTGTAGCATTGTTCAAACACATTAGAAAGAAATCCCTGCTTTAGTCCCGTCACCCAATGTGACATGCAGCAGAAAAGACATGATGAACACATCATCCAGCCGTCTGAAGCTGATCATGCACTGCACAGCATCCAGATAACAAGTACGGCCGGTTTGGACCAGTCACCCAGCCACCCAGCAACACAAATACAGCCGCCTTGGACAAGTCAGCCAGTGACACAAGTCACAGCCGCAGTAGTCCAGTCAACCAGTGACACAGAGGCAGGCCCACACCTGCTTGCCCTCGATGGTTTCAGGGACGTCGCCATTGGCGATCTTCTGCGCGAGGCCCTCTGCTACGGCGGTCTTGCCCACGCCTGGCTCGCCGATGAGGCAGGGGTTGTTCTTGGTGCGGCGGCCGAGGATCTGAGTCACGCGCTCAATCTCCTTCTTCCGCCCCACCACCGGGTCCAGCTTGCCCTGACCACAAGACATGTTCCGTCTCAGCGAATTCGCTCAGACCCACATGCCAGGAAGCGGTCTACAAATTGCATGCATTCATTGAAAGCGATCCCTTGCCCTGCATTCAATGCAGGACATGGCTGAAGAGAGCATGGACAATTCTTACCTCTTACCACTCCTCTCAAGGTAGATAATGCACACGGCAGAACAGCAATCATGATGTGCACTTGCCAAACAGGAAATGCTGTTTGCTACGACGAACAGCTCCGACCAGTGAGCGTGCTCCGACATCGCAGGTGCGACTTCCAAGGCTTTCCTCCCACAAAATATGGTGTGCAGCACGGGCCTGACCTCGGTGGCCTGCGTGGTAAGGTTGGTGCCGTACTCCTCAAGAGTGGGCATCTTGTTGGAGGACGAGCCCGAGCCGCCGCCCACCGTCACCGTGTCCTGGCTCTCGCCCACCATCCTGATGACCTGTTATCCAGCACCCACACATTCCAGGTAAGCGCAAGGTAATGTAAGTTTGTCCGCATGATGGCAAGGAGAATGCAATGTCCATATGAGGGATGATGGATTTTTGCAGTGAAGTAGATCCACGTCTCCATGGACACCACCCCTCCTGTTCAGTGCTGTCTCTGTTCACATGCGTGATACACGTGCTGTGGCATCAAGATTCCTGTAAGATGCTATTCTACCGGTGTACGAGGCCTGCAGGTGTCATTCTCCCACTCACACCGGCCACAAAACTACTGTCAAGCAAATCCGACTTCTCTAAAGGTCACGAGTGCGAGGCCTCCAGACTTTCTTCCCGGTGAACATTGTATGGCCTCAAGAGAATATAGCAGTAATCTTCTGCACAAGTACTCTTTCTGGCTGGTGTCTGGAAGACGCTAGGGCAGGTGCGGACCTGGGTGCGGATCTTGGAGGCGTCAGCGCCCAGGGTCTCCAGCACTCTGGCAGCCACGCCCTCTCCCTCCCTCAACAGGCCCAGCAAGATGTGCTCCGTTCCGATGTAGTTGTGCCCTGCAACCAGCAGTCATGCACTTAGTAAGCCAGCACCAAGCAGTCTCTGCTTGCATCTTGGTGTGATGTCATCACTGCATCCCAGGCAGAATGCATGGGGTGCTGTCTGCTAGTGCAGTGCATGCATCATATAATTACTGCATCCAGGCAGCACAGCATGAGGTGCTGTCTGCTGGTGAAGTGAATGCATTATGTCACAGGGATGAACTTACTGCAACCAAGGCAGCACAGCATGGGTGGCTGTCTCCTAGTAAACTTGCGCATTGTTTACTTGAGGACAGCCTTCAACAAGGTTCATGTGTATGCTTGATCCCAAGACAGAAAAGGCAACAGTGCATGATGACCGGTAGAGCGCGCACCTAATTGCCGTGCCTCTTCCAAGGACAGCTCCAAAACGCGCTTGGCGCGAGGTGTGAAGGGGATCTCCACAGCAACAAAGCCGCTTCCTCTCCCTGTGAGCATGCAATTCAAACCGTAATCAAATTGTTAAAAGAAAAAACTTCACGGCAAAGGCAGTAGCTTGTCGGAGACAGGTATTGCTTGGGACAGCAAGGCAGCTTACATAAGCAGTTGAGATGCTTCTGGAAAGAAATATGACTGATAAGTCGCACCAATAATCTTCTCCACCTCCACGCGAGCGTCTTTTAGGTTCACGCCCATGCTCTTCAGCACCTTGGCCGCAATTCCTGTAGACTCGCCAATCAAACCCAAAAGGATCTGCTCTGTTCCGACGAAGTTGTGTCCCAATCGCCTCGCTTCCTCTTGCGCCAGCATCACCACCTTGATGGCCTGTTGATACCAGCAGAAAAGTATCAACTGCATGCTGGACGCTGATCACATTCACATCAGACCATGCAAGGTGGACATAAAACAAGGTGGCAGAGAGAGGTCAAAATCATAAAGCGTCCCAGATTCATTGTGTAGCTGTACTAAACAAAACAGAATAAGAATGTAAAGCGTGTGTCTGCATTGAACGTGACGTGCCTTCTCAGTGAAGCGCTCAAACATCATCCTCGTGACCTTGTGGCCACTCCCTCTCCTACTCTGCTGGTTGCTTCTGCTGACGACTGCCTTCAAGCTAGCATGCCCGCTGTGTGATCCAGCAGAATCCACCTCGTTTGCTCGCCTGAACCCCGAGAAAGAGGTCAGCTGGGCGCAAGGCCTGCTATGTCTGCAATTCATGCTTGGCATCGAAACCGAGGCCCTGCTGCTCGCTACTGGACTGTTCCTACGCATCATAGTGCCGCTATTCACTGGAAGAGTCTGCATGATTAAAAACTGCCCGAACGCCGGACCAAATTGTCTGAAATGAGGACAACAGAGCCGCAGACGTAGCGATCCCTGGGCGAAGTGGATAAATATTATGTAAATTCCCCGATGGAAGGGTCTGGAACCTTCTGGAAGGGGTTTTTGGGCAGAAGCACGCAGACGCGTTTAGCCTCGAAGGATGCAGTTTGCTTGCAAAGTTGTCGGCATGTAGCTCTTAAAAGTGGAGCAGGATCAGCAGATGATCAGCTCAGCCACTACTGCTGATAGCAACCTAGGCCTAGGTGAATTCAGAAATTAATTTTTAACTTTAAATTTTATAAAGTATTCCTTTTTACAGATTTGACAAGGATAGGGATAATAAAATCTGCTACCCTGGGGATTTATCAACTTCACCCAGTCTTCTTTGAACCTCACGATATCTACTAATGCAGCGAGCAAGCACAGCCTGTGCAGCTCGAAGCTCTTCATGGGCAATATTCACAGCAAAATGATAATGTATCTCACCGCGGTTCACCGGCTCAGCACATGCACATGCAGCGCACTGGCCGATCTGGTCATGAACAGTCCTCCACATTGCCACAAAAACCCAAGTTCTTACACACTATGTACGTCCTAAAGCATGCGCAAACGGCAGTGCAACTCCACATGTCGCCAACTGGCAGTAGCGTTTTGTTCAGTTTCCTTCCTCATTGCCTCAGCACCATTCAGGCCTTGCTAGCGGCAGCCTGCTCCCAGGGCAGCTGCTCAGCAGTCCACGGACCACCCTCGTCCAGCCAACATGGGAGCACCTGTTTCAAAGTCTCCTCGGATCGCCAGTAAAGCATTCGTTTGCATGAAAGCCGTTATATCCGTTCGTATGGCGGCACCCTTCCGGGCAAGCATCAGCACCCGGGCTGAAGCTGCCACAGCAAAAAGTATCATCCTGCAGATGAGCATTTGCCTTGGATTTTGTGGGCCACGGTGCTACGGCTGTGCTCATCCAAAACACAGATTCATCAATTGCCAAATGTGCCGTTTCATTCTGAATATTCGTCAGATCAAGCACCGTGGCTGTGCCGCTCCGAGACTACTTCACCCGTTCCTGAAGATGCCATCAATTCTTCGTGGTTTGCATTCAAATTCGAAAGCTCAGATTAGCAGGCTGGCCTGCGCGGGAGGCGGCGACTGCGAAGGACCGGCCGATGCGCTGTGGCCCTGCATGCAGACGCTCCTGCATATCTCCCCGAGCTTTGACCCTTGCGGCGCTGACGTGTAGGGTGTGCTAACTACCTGAGTGACCCCCTGCCAGCACCACAAAATTGAACGTCAGGCCATTGAGATACCGTAATAGGGCCCCATTTGTCATTCCAAACAAGTCATGCATGAGGCTCACGATAGCAAGAGCAATGCATGTGCATGACTATGAATCCATACAGATGCCAGGAAGTCAGCTGCAGCCGCAGAGCAGCAGTTTCAGCCTGGGCGTATTGAGTTCTTGGCATGATGGCTCACTCCACCTTGTGCAATGGCCGAGAGTGGAACTGCATTGTGTCACTTGGGAAAATGGTGATTTGGGCAGTAGCAGGGTACGTTTGGGGGGAGGCACCGCACCGAGACGCAGTCGATGCGAGCAGTGCCATTGCTGAGGGGAGCGAATGCGCAGGAGGAAGCGGCGCGCGAAGCATCGGTCGTGCAGGTCCACCATTTTGTGTTAACGCAGGAGACCTGCGTTCAAATCCACTTGCAAACTTCACTTTTTTGCCCTTCGTTTTGTTTTAAAGACTCCAGGTCATTGCCCTTCCTATGTGACCACTTGCTCGGCACGCGAGCCCATCAAAGTTTGGCATGAAGGCCAAGAATAGGGCGGCACCGCTATCAAATGCGATTCAAATTGTAATGCCTTGTAGAGCCGCAGTGCAGGCACCAATCGGCGCAGGAAGGTTCAACGTCGGGTTTGTAAAAGTGAGCAAAAGAATCCGGATCTGAGGCTTGCCTGTGTGCACCAGTCGCAGTCCTTGCCGATCTGGGCGCCCTGGAATATGCCCACGATGCACGTGGCAATGATGGCGCTCAGGCACAGCGCACACACCGCCTGCACAGCGTACAAAGCATGACACTTCAGCGAACACATGACACCCTCTTCTCGCAGCACATGGCAGACGTCCATGACCTTCTCGTATGACTAAATCCTCCCGCAGCAAACGGCACACGCGCGTGCCAGTCTGCAATTTCATAAACAATCCGGCAGGCAGTGACTCAACTCATCCAGCCAAACAGGCCTTTACCAGGCAAGTGTCAGACTAAGACCAGTGTGAGACCTGGAGCCCTCACTTTCAATGGTGCACATGTGCAGCATGCCTTCAAATAGAATACACGAACTCATGCTGGACAGTGCACAACTGAGAGTGAGGGTGGCAGGGGTGAGTGTCACCTGGAAAGGCCTCCAGATCAGGGGCCGCTGCACTGCCTCCACTGATGGCAGCAGGCACATCACCAGAGCACCTGCCACCATGGAACCTGCATGGAACACACCAGCCCTTCAGCCCTGTATTCTTCTCCTCTTTTGCCACCGTGACACTTGCCACCAGCACAGGTCCGAGCCCTCTTATGACACATCACTCGTGGCCCACAAAATGTATGAGCACATGAAAATTTGGCAAGTAACAAACACTGAAACACGGTAAAAGGTCTATCTCTGCCGTGGTTGAGCATGCCCACCAGCCAGACAGCAGCCTGGGAGGCACTAGCCACATGCACATCATCAGCAGGTTCTGCCCACAGATGCTTTCGTAGCCCGCTATGTATAGGGTTGTAATCTGACATTTGCTTCAAGCGGACGCACCCACGATGAAGAAGAGGTCTGAGGAGAGTGGCAGGAGGCCGGTGATGGTGAATTGGGCTATGGCAACCGCAAGCATGATGAGCGTGCACGCGTGGTTCCTGTATGCCTTGCTGCCCACTATCTGGTCCGCCAGCGCGGCACCTGCCGGCACATGCAACAAAGGTGTCAAGCGACCAATCGTTTGAAAGATGGTAAATCGATGGGCATTCTTCCAAGCCTGCGGGCTCTCTGCACCGAAACTGTACTTAAACTGTTTGTTTCCGTGCCTTGAAAAAGTGTAGGGGAAGCGCACCGATGAGGCCGCAAACGGCGGCGGGCGCGCCGACGGAGGGAACATCAGTGGACAGGTTGACGCTGACTAATGCGCCAACGATGCCCGGCAGGATATAAAGCGCAGCCACGCTGACAGCCGAGAATCGCAGCGCACGTGACACGTGTACTCCGAATGCCCACAGCGTCATCACCGCCAAAACAAGCTCAATGATGCCTGCAAGCGAATATCACGTGCTTTTCAGGATGAGCATTGTTCTGTGAGTGGCTATCCAGGGGCAGTCCCCACTCTGGAACTGTATCACAGTCTACAGTAGCCTCGGCAGGATCTTTGCTGATATCTCATAAACACGCAGTCTGTATATCCTTTCATGTGTTCGCTCCATGCAAGTTTGGGCTAGGGGCCAACTTCAGTCCCATGCACCTTGCCGAGCAGCTGAAGAAAGGTGCGGAATAGGCCAGCACATCCCCTTCACTACATCTACCGGAGCATCAAACTTCCGGTCTCTAGAGCATCTAGAGACCGGATCACTTGGCATTGACTCACCGGAGCACAGGAAGATGGAGGTGATCAGGCGCCAGTACTGGCGCCGGTCGACGATGTCTGACGTGGACAGCGAGCCCAGCGCGCGAAGCGCGGCCTCGGAGGGGCCCACCAGGGGGTTTTGCGCCAGCGCCTCAATCTGCCAGTCGTTCTGCCACAGCGCTAGCACAAAGGTCGCCACCTGGCCGGCCGTCAGGCAGTACAGCAGCGCTGCCAGCAGCGAGCACCGCCGCCGCCGTTGCCGCCTGCGCACCATTTTCAAACTCGAGCTTGAAATCTTTGCCAAGTCTACAAGTCTGCAGTATTGATTAGTGAATCTTCTAATCCGACATTGCTGCTGCTGGATCTTATCAAAAGAAGCTGTGCCTTGCACAGGGTTCCTGAGATGGCTGTAGGTCAGAGTGAAATAGGCTCATGCAGCACAAGATTTCCGCTGTCATCAAGTGAGACACAGTACTTTTGCAAATTGCAGCACTGCCACATCATGGGCAATTGTGGCATATGCCGCAAGAGTGCGCTGCCGACAGCAAGCACATTCAACGCCTGCTGTCCAGGGAATCATACAACCTAGCATACGAGGCTCCAGGGGATACTGTATCTAACAGATACTGTACGGTCCCCACCGGAGGCTCCTGGAGGGAGTGAAAATATTGGGCATGGGCAGGGGATGTGCGCACCTGTCTGCACGTACGGCGGCGTTCCTGCCGTGCTCCGTCAGCATCTCCTCCTCCTGCAGTCGGATGGCCAGCGCCAGGTCAGCGTCTGAGCCGCCGCCGCGCCGCGGACGCGCAAAATCCTCCTCCTCCGGTATCGGCTTCACCTTGCCGCCGGCGCCCTGCCGCAAATACACAAAGTTTGAGCATGAATTTGAACTTGTAATCCACACAATGCACCGAAGCAGAGCTGTGCGAAGGACCAGCCGGCGCCCTGCCGCTCCACACCGAGTTCTGATTCACATTCTATTTAAAACGTCACACAATGTACTGAGGCAGAGTTAAGTCAAGATTCAGCCGGGCCCCTGCCGCAGGAAAGGTGCATGCATGGCACAGGAATGTTGGGAAGGACAATGGCAGGAAGCGCTTTGAGTGCCCTGGCCATATCAGCAAGTGTGGGCAATGAGAGCTGCGACGCTCTGTATCAATCAACAAGTAGGAGAGTGTGAAGGGGAGGGAACGCACCAGCAGCCAGGTGGCGTGCTTCTCGGCCCAGACCTCGATGGACTTGCGCAGGGCCACATTAGGCGTCAGGGCGACAGGTGCCGCCAGCACTGTGCCGGTGGCCGGGCATGTGCTGCTGCCGCCCGCCAGCCAGCGCTCTATGTAGCGCCGCTCGTACCTGCGCACATGCCGGCACATGTCAGCAGGGCCCTGCATGCCCGGCCCACTCCTTCCAAGAGGAAATAACGATCCTTGGTATCGATCAATGCCTACTCCTGCGTACTCACTCATACTCATCCTGGACCGAAAGGCACCAGCTTGACCTAACAAAAGACTCTCTGTGCATGCTCCTGTAAAGAAACCTTTCTTGAAGTAAGGTGCCTGGCAGGGTACCACAGAATTCACCAAACGATTGAGTGACCTGTCCACAACAGAGACATGCATGCCTCGATGCAGTGAGTTTGCCCTGACAACAACAAAGGGGCTCTGTGCACTTGTGTAGATGGGGACAGATTATTTTGCCGATATGGTCCAGAAAGATGTGCTTACGTCTGGCCAGTGGAGAGCATGACGGGGTCCCTGAACATCTTGAAGGAGATGGGGCAGAAGAAGGCCTCAGGGGCGCCTGCCTCCAGCGCTGCTGTGTCCAGGTCTCCCTTGCTGAAGCTGACCACCCCTGCGAGACATGTACATGTGTCAAGAGGCTTCTTCCAAAAATGTTGTACAATTGAGGCATAACAACAAATACCATGGTGCCAATTGCGTGATGCATTGGCGCTGCAGCATTAGAAGAAGGATGCGCTGACATGGACAAAGCAGGGTCCAGGGGAACAGGAGGCACAGAGGCAAAGTTGTTCAAGAGGTTTATTGACGGTTTTGCATGTGCCAAGGAACAACTCATATAGACTGCGCCTGCATTGCATAAAAAAAGCAAAAGCTTGGCCAGGTGTGCATGAGTTTGAAGCTCACTTGCAGCAGCAATGAGGTCGGAGGTGCCCTCATTGCCGTGGCCACAGATGGCACTGAGCCACCTCTTGGCCAGCTGCTCATCCCCATGCGCCTTCCTTAAAAGATCTTTGTACAGGCCTTCATCGCCTGCGCAGATTCAAAAGATCCTATCATTCTCCCATTAATGTGAAACGCTGCACAACTCAATCAAGCCACCGTGCTGAATACTACTCCTTTCACAAGCTCCTCAAGGCTTGTGAGCTCTGCCACTCACATGCTGAATATCTTTCAAGTAGCTGTAGCCTTTTCTCTTGCATAGACCAGGCAGGCAAGGAGCCATCATTAATGGTTCAGAAGTGCAGCTTTCCTTGCAGTGCGCCTGTCTCTGCACCCTGCAAGGAGAGTGCACCCTGCTCACCTTGATCATGTCCAGGGCGCACTGCTGCGAGCCTGAAGTCCTGGGATGGCGAATGATGACCGCTTGACTGGCCGCTGGTCGAGGCCTCTCCCGAGCTCCTGCCACCTGCTGGGATCACGCAGTGATCAGCAACGATTCCTCAATCCTACCCTAGATGACACACTTCTGGTCAAAAACGTGACAGTCACAGGCTGCTTCTCTCCAAGCAGCTTCTGTTTGGAACAAGCAAAGGTATTACATCGGGATCCCAATAGCTTTGAGCTAGGTTGACAGAAGGGGACTGCCTAGGCCAAAGGACGACGCAGGGGAAGCAACCACTGCTGCATGTGACTGGTCCAATCTGGCTGCAGCACCGTGCGACCCTGAAATCCCTCAAAATGCAAAATTCAAAGCGCCCCGTTCCAAAAACATACCTATATCTCTCCAGCCTCTTAGTCAACGATGCATGCCCGATGTTACCTTTTGTCACGGCAGGCGACAAACCAATGCCAGACCAGCAAAATGAAGTCTTTATATGCCACAAAGTACCACACTTATTTCATATTCTTCATTCTTGCATACAAGAATATATATCAACCCGCCAACTTTGAACGACCTATCTTCCTTTAGCTCCTTCCTTTCTTGAAGAAGCACTCTATTGGCCAGACTGGACCCATCTGGCTGTTAAAGCCAGCAGAAACTGAAATTGTACGATAGATTCGATCATTACGGACGCACCGTCTGAACTGCCCCTGATGCATCCAGTCTCCTCGTCCTGCGGGATAGAATAAGCCGGGGCTGAGGGCGCGTCAGGGTCGCCCTTCATCCTCTCCCCGCAGATCCCACAAACAACTAGTCGAGCTCCCGTCAAGGCCGATCGTGCTGCTTTCATACAATTCAAGTTTCAGCGGGGACCGTTTCCAAGTTTTAGATTACCTTTGGGGCCTGCCTGCCACCTGCCGGCGTCAGCTTCTACTGTGGCTTCTGCATGCCATTGAAGATTCTTACGCGCCACTGGGCAGAGATGGTTTTCATGCTTGCCAGACACTTCGTGCACACTTGCACTGTCGATGCACCGCAGCGCAGACGCTAAGCAAGGTAACAATCAGAATCATGGCAATGATCAATGTATCATGCTCATGAGGCTCATGAAATGAGCGCTCAGCGTCTGCACTTTGCAGTGGGTTTCTCCTGAATGGACACGCATGGGGTGCCTAGCATGCATGTGCATGATCCCGAATGAAACCTTGTTTACACTATCATATCAACAATCATAGCTTGGGCATTAATCATCACCAAAGGCTCCTTCCCCAGCTTCACATGTCTGGGTCGGCCTTCGGCTCATGTACATGTGTTCTGGCATGCGCAAAACCAGCATGCAAGCACTCAGCCGCCATTCACATACTTCAGCCAAACATCAGGAAATTTTAACGGCAATAAAGCGCTGCTCAAAACCATCTACACCCATGCCGGCGGCATGATGCCGTAGACAAGCGCACTCCGTTCAACTAGCAAATGTGACTTGAGACTCTGCCCAAATCTGAAATCAAGGGAGTGCGCTCCCAAGCTGTGCAAAATGCTTGCTGGCAGATTATTGAAGCCCCTACCCATCCTTGAAGCTACAAACTAAGCTTAGTGAAAAGTCCTTCCTGCACTTCATAATGTGAGCGATGACACATGCACATTGTGAATTGCACATCCGCATCACTATCAAGTAAGCACTACAGTACAGTGCTTCTTGCGACCCACCCCCTTGATACTCTCCATTAATGGATTTAGTACTGTACATTGAGGCTAGGAGATGAGGTGGCACGAGTACTGGCCTCATCAGGGATGACTCATGGTCTCCTGCCTTCTTATGACCCTCGTCCAAAGCATGCCCGGTCAGGCGCCAAAGATAAAAAGAGTCTTTTCAAATTTTCTTGCGAAAGTACTGCACCAAGTCTCTGGGCATGGCTGGCAAAGGGCCTTAAGAAAGCCCAGAAGGCAGGGAAAGGGACCTTGGAATAAAGTCGACAGATCATTGATTGGAAAAGATGATCTGTGGGCCCCTGAAATAAAGGAAAATCAACATGGGGGAAATGGAACTGCCTATCCAGTGTTGCCACCAACGCGCAGTGCGCAGTATCCCGGCGATAGATTGACCCAGTTTTGCTGCGGCAGCACACAAACACGAACTGTCAGCATGCCTCATTCTGGGGATTTTGCGACAGAGTCTGGCGCTCCTTTGGTTCATGTATTTGGCATGGTCAGCATGCTGTAAGGTCATTGTCATGGTAGCGTAAAATCTAAGAGCATTGTAGCTTATTCCCTGCTGAAATGCGCAACTCTGTCAAAAAGCAGATGTGCGCAGTATATGACTTGATAAAGATGCCTGCCCCTCAGCAGGCTTCAATCTGAATAGTGACACTGCAAAGACAGCATGTATCCGCAGAGTCCATGACCGCAGGAGCTGGACCTACTCATCAACGACTTGTTATAAGTAATGATCTGTCAGGGGTGAGTCACCTGGATGAGGTAGTAGCGGTCGGTGCAACCGGCCTTCTTGGCAGCTGCCGGGCAGTTCCACCTGACATTGGCCAAGCCGCCGCCTGCTGAGAATGTGTTCTGGCTGAAAGTCCACGCGCACAGATCCGCGTTCTCATAGCCGTCTGTGTTGTACCTGCGGCATTATATTCCAGGGGCTCAATCCTCAAGTCTGACCCTCTTACATGGATTTTATAGCTAGGCTGACTGCTTGAATGGAGTGAGTGTGACGTATTATTGGGGCACTGTACATAAAATCGAGAAGCAAAATCTTTATTAATCCTTTTATTTGTTGATTTTACTGTGTTCAGTTTTTTAACCTAGGGATGCTCAAATCCAGTCTTAGCTTGGTCTATGCATGAGCCTCAAAGTGGCATTTGGGCCGTACACGCCTTGAATTGCAACCCCTTTGTTCAACAACCGGGGGACTTTACGTTTGACTTTTCAATTCCGAGCCGTGCGGAATAATCTAAGACACAGCTAAGAATTATCATTGCACGCTTATCCTGCCAGAGGCAAGGTGCGTCTGCAGACAGGCTGCATGTAAAGACTGCCAAATATTCCACCTCTTGATGGGCTCGTCAGATCCAGGCAAGACCCAATCAACCGTGGGCACGGTGCTCGGTATTTTTATACCGCCTCCCGCCAGCCGGGGCCCGAAACAAGCAATTGCAGAAATGAGGGGTCAACTCACCAGGCGTTGATGAGAGGGTCACTGCTGACCTCCATGGCCTCATGTGCCACAATGGAAGCCATGCCATCAGCCTCTGCATTGTAATTGGGAGTTGCCAGCACGTTGTTCGCGCCCTGCGCTGTGCATGCATTCAGGCAAGGCAGCGGGCTGCCCACAAACCCAAACCTGCGGGCAGCAGCAGAACACCGGTTTCAGGATCCCTGCCTTGCTTTACCTGTAAAGAAGCGTCCCACTTGATCCTAGGGCCACTTAACTTCATCATATCTCATCCTAAGGTCCTCTGAGCTTTAGAGCAGAGGGATGGGATTCAATCCATGAACCCGGACTGGCACAGGGCCGTAATAAATTAATAAACAGATCTATCTGAGTCAATGATGTCCAAGGGCTGCATATGTCAGGCTCCTGAGGCTCCAAAATTGTGCAAGATATCTCCACAGATAGCAGCTTAGCATGCATGAATAACGCTGTTTCAGATATTCCCTAAAGAGCACATTGGTCAAGCAGAGTGTGTACCAGGCTGTTCAAAATCTCGTGGAACGTGGTTATAAGAGGATTGGAATGCTCACAGTGTCTGCCGGTTCCTGCTGTCGAAGCCATAGGTGTGCCATCCGCAGTAGTTGGTGCACATGCCTGAACATGCAAGCCACATAGTCAGAACAGAAGAAGTGTCAGATTATATGCCTTGCCTCCTTGTATGTATTATATATATTACACGCTTCTCCTGCCGAAGGCAAGGTGCGTCTGCAGACAAGCTGCATGTAAAGGCTGCCAAATTCCTACCCCTCGCCAGATCCAAGCAAGACCCAATCAACCGGGGGCACGGTGCTCAATATTTGTACCGCCCCCGCCAGCCGGGGCCTTCTTGTATGGTGACAACTATATATGCTGGCCATGGCTCGCACGTTCCTGTCCCCTTATCAGATCAGCAACAGGAGGAAAAACTGCCGGGGAGCGTACAAGCGTTAATCTGAAACAATAGGTTATCAGACTAGACGTAAAATTTGTCCACGAGGACCTGCTGCAGCGGCAAGCCCTGACCCATAAGGCGTATGGGTCAGGGCTTGCCGAAGTGCTTGCTACAAATATATGCTGCCATACCGCCAATGACGAGGCAGGCCTGCACTGTGCACCCCAGTCTTGACAGCATGGCACTCATCTGGATGCCAGGATCCAAATTGCTTGAATTCGGGTATTTACCCTTTGAATTTGAATCTGTTCTTTTCCTGTTGAGGTGAAAAGGGAACACCGCTCACCGCTGGTGGCCTTGACATTCGAGGCGCCCAGGAGGAGGTAGACTGCGTTGGTCAGGTAGGGAACGATGCCTCGCTGAATCACACAATCCACCACTGTGAAGATCTGGTCGTTGGACAGATTGTTTCCCTGCACGCAGGAGCAGAAAAGGATTTATATTTCAGCAGCGCACACAGAAGCGAAACTCACTTGGCAGCTGTAAGAGGCTCTGGCTGAGGGTCAGGAAGCATGCATTGACACAGGAGCGTGAGTGCTTTCCAGAGTCTGCAAGAGTGTCAGGCTGTGTGCTTCAGGACCCCGGCATGCATGCACTTGCAGATGCGTGTACAGTCATTCTGAAGCATTTGGCCCCAAGGCTGAGAAGTTCAGTGAACCCCTGAGGTGCTGAAGAGACAGTAAGCAGTCATCGAAGCATTGAAACCACAGGAAAGCCCAATGAACATCCTCCAATACTTAGAAAATACTTCGTGGCAGACTCTAGCAAAATCTTGCTACGGAACTAAACGCAGTGCATTCTGCAAATGGAGAATGTGAGTACTGAGCATTACTAATTCCTAAAAGCAGTCAGTGACAAGAGCAAGTGTGGTGAAGCTGCAGGCGCTCACCACAAAGCAGGGGCCGTTCTTGACGACTGCTCTGCCGCCGTATTTGACAATGTTGGGGATTGCACCGTTTTTGTCAGAGTATGTAGTCGCTGTCCCGTACCTGCCAGCACAGGCGGCAGTACACCTCAGACTTGTCCTTCACATTGAAACAATGGACAGAAATGAAAAACAGACGCCATGATGAGGCCTGAGGGCGTGACGGGCATTAAGGGCTTGACGGTGAATTTTGTCAAGGCAGAATTGCCTGTGCTTCAAAGTGGCAGTCCATACTCAGTGTTGTCTGCAGGGAGTTTACTGCAAATCTTCATGCACCGCCTTACTAACATTGCATGCATCTGTGGCAACATGTGCCTTTGATCTAGAGCAAACAGCACCCCTGAACCCCTGGAATTTCACTATATCTGCCAGCATGTGTTCAATTTATAAGGCCCTCGTCTGCATTATTTGTGGCAAAAGACAGCAGTAAAAGACGGGCCCCAGGGCTTTGTGACTGCCATTCAACCAGCAGTGCAGGACCTGAAGCCAGAGAATTAGTCTGGAAAGTTTCTTGGAGCTTACCATGGTTTCCCGCCCATGCTCTGTGCCATGTCAGTCAGAACCTTCACGGTGGTTGGTCGGTTCGCTGTCCCGTTGTTGTTCAGATTACCCCAGGCGCCGTACCAAATGTAGTATATCTGCGTGTATGCATTACCAACCCTCTTAATTCCCCTGGCTGCCATTGGTCAAACCACCCCCGGGAAGCAAAACCCTTCATGCATGCCGCTCAGCCGAGGCATGCATTACCTTTGCATGTCATTGAACACGAAGACTTTGCATGAAAAAAACTCAGGGAAAAATGCTTACAGCTATATCAGGGTGATTCAGTCATGGTGCATCTGTCCTTTCTGCCAGGTAATCAGAACAAAGCTTGACAGTGCAGGAGTGTCGAAGAAAGAGAAACTTACAATGAGGCCGTTTTTGTTGTTGACCACCGGCCCTCCATACCAGTTGATGCCAAAGCCTGTCTTGACCGGAGCTTGCCCCTGCAAGACATGCATGCACACAGCATTAGCGCCATGTCAGCATTATTAAAATACAGTTTTAGTAGTTAAATACAAGTAAAACATTTTAGAGACCTGTTGGGAGCCACCTGAGGCTCATTGGTCTTGGCTGCAGTCTGTCACTGCCCATCTTCATGTCACAAACTTCTCATGTTTCTGCATCAATGCCCACTGCAGTAATCTACAATGCTAACAACGCAAGTCAGGATCTGAGCCACAGCGACCGAACTGCTTTTCTGTTACCCTGCATGCCCAGGAATTTGGACAGCCTCTAGAGATCACCTCTACCGTGCATGCACAAGACATGCACATACATAGAACCTGCACATAACTGAGACATGCATGTGTCTGAACGGATGCCCTTGGCGCAAGGTCAGGCGCTCCAGGTGCCCATGCAGCGGTCACGGTGCAAAGCTCAAAGTTCTAATCCCAAGAATTGCAGTTGGAAGCTGCCTCTTACCGTTCCACTGGCGGGGGGTGTGACTGTGCTCGTGCCATCGGCGTTTTGAGGTACGCTAATACTGCTTTGGCTATCGCCTCCGTTTGTGGTGGTAGGTATGAGGATGTATGGAGCCTGCAACACAAAGCCAATATTCTTGAAACGCTTTTGTTAAAATATAAGTTTTGACACTTGATCAATCCTAAATCCTGGATCCACCATTGCATTCCCCGGAAAATGATTATATTTGTAAAGGTTCCTTTGATTGAAAAATTGGACTTGATGCATGCGCACTCCGCGGGCTGGCCGGGATTGAAAACTGGACAGATTACATGCACAGTAGAACAGCTGTAGGGGCCACATAGATACATTATGCAACCTGCTCTTTCTTGCCTACAGTGTCTGCAGATAGACTCTACAGCTTCACAACTTGAGACAATCAAGTTTTGACCAGGCAGCAATTACTAATGTCCGCTCACCTCGCCCATTTTGTAGTCATCCAGGGCTCGCAGCCAGAAGGTGACGTTCGAGACATATCCCCCAGGGTTGAGGTAGTGGAAGGGGAATACGGACCCAGGGTTCCCGTAGTAGCTCTGCAGCGCCTTGAGCCGTACATCCCAGCTGCATTTCAAACACAAATTTGCATTCAGCGTTTGTAACCAGCTTTGCAATGAAGCAGCAGTGCTCAATACTATTTGAAATAGCATGTGGCCCATTCAGCGAAGCCTCAGCCTTTGCTTCACTTTCTCTGCAACCTTCTCCGAAGTCCAGCTCCAAAAATGTCAGAGGGGGATGAGTCTGGGGTGCAAGGGCCCTGCAAAGTACTCAACCGCCGTCTAACTTGCTTTGCACCGTTCCGCGGAAATGCCCAGTAGGTCAAAGGGGGCTAATCAGGGGTCAAGGGGAATGTTGCAGTCCCTGCAAGTCAACTGCGTCACTGCGTTTTGGGAATTGCCAGTAGGTTAAAATGCCCAACAGATAAAAGGGGATTTACCAGGGGTCGAAGGGCATGTACTCCTTTCCAGCAGCGTACTCAAGCCCGGCCACAATTTCGCCCTTGGTCAGAAATCCGCTGCAGTTGGAAGAAGTCATCATGCCAGGTGGCGGCGGCGGCGGCAGGTTGGGAGTAACCTTGGGAGTTACTGCCAACTCTCCGGCGGCGAGCGCCTGCACATATCCAACATACACATTTTGAATTTGAATTCAAGTCCAAATATCAGCAATAAAATCCGCACCCACCCGACGTCAAAGAGCTGAGGATCCATGGGAAGAGTGTCTTTTGCTAGGGACTGGACAAGCAGGTGTGCTTGCAAAGAGGCTCTGAGCGCATGTTCGCATAAATCTTCTTCTTGGAGCTCTTGCTGCAATCCAATACTGTAATTTGCGGTGCAGTTCATTTGCAATATGACCAAGCATAGAGAGCTGTGCATTGTGTCGTGTTCTGCTGCTATAGAATGAGTAGTGGGTGTATTTACCTGGGTGTCTTGGACGTAGGCCATGGCTGAGGTGTCTGCCAGCTCAGCGCCGGGGTACGCGCTGGGGTCAATCGTGGATGAGTCACCCATCGCCGGCTTCTCACCTGTAGCACAAGGCCATGTGTCAATCTTCCATTGCGTGCTGCATGCAAGCAGTATTTACCGGCCCTCTCAATGTGTGATGACATTCTGGGAACAACTGCAGTCCAGGCAATCTGAAGAAGCTGGCTTTCCCAGCACTAAATTACCCAATGCACTCAGCAAAGCGAATGGAAAAGGCCTTGAATGCATTTAAGCACAAATCAACAATCTACTCAATTCTAACTTTACTCAATAAAGCAAGGGGCAGAGTTGTTTTCTTGGTGGCTTTTGAGGCTCTGGAGAGCAGGTTCCGCAGAGGGATAGGATGTGTGAAGGAGAAAAAGCTTGTGTGCTAACCTGCGTAGGACTTGGCTCGGATGGCTTCGTTGCTGATTTTGCTGGCGATGAAGACGTTGCCATAGGCGGCCTGCTGGCTGGCAGCGCCAGAGCTAGGCAGGGTCCAGACCCCCTCCAGGGACTGGGGGGCCCCGGTGGAGGCCACAGCTGTGGGCACCGCTGTGGTGGCCTGCCCCGCCGCTGCCTGCCAGGTCACACGGCACGCTCAGCACATAAAGAGAGGGCAGTGCATCTAGGAGGAATTTCATCACTTCAATCTGATGCACCTTTTTCATGTAACACTGCATTCAGAAAACAGCAACGTACATGCCTGAATTTGCTAGGATCTAAGCTTGACAGTTGACAGCAGAACAGTTGACTTGTTTGCAGGTCCTTGACATGATGTTTCTGTTGCAGGAATACCGGCTTTCTGCCAAGCTGGGCATGTGCATTCAGAGGTGCATTCTGCTCATGCATATTGCAAGTTGCATAGGCCAACTCAAGTTCGTCTTTGAGCTGCAAGATCCAGGACAGAAGGCTAGGACAGGCAACTGCAACTTTTGCATTGCGGAGGTTCTCTTACCGGCGTGGCGCTCTCAACCTGAGGGGCCGCCTGGCTGGCTGTGGGGGCATCAGGGATCCACCAGCTGCCTCCAGCTACCGTCTGGAAGCCACTCTCTGTTATTCCCTCATCAGCCTTCAGAGAACGCTGCGCCCCCCTTGGGTGAATTGGGAGATACGAAATCCTCTGCCCTAGCCTGCTGCCATGGCTCGGCTGCTCCTGCAGTGACAGCAGCACTCGTCAGGGAAGCTCGTCAGTCATTCTTTGCACCAGTAACCTGTCTAACCAGCACTGTGATATGCATGAGTGCAGGACTGACACAAGCACTTGCCATGGAAATTGAGCTCTGCTGTGGCAGATTGCAAATAGGTGAACTGATGTTCGCAGGCAAGTGCTTTGTGAGATGGGTCTGTGCGCGCACCTCTAAACACAAGCAGCTCTGCACTGCACACAACAGCAGCAGAAGGCTGACTTGGTTTCTAAGTCCTGAGAGCTGACGACCCCCCATTGCTCGCCTCAGTTTTGGAGGTCCTATTCTGTGACAGGCAGCTCAAGATGCACCTGCTGAAGCAGTCACCCTCGCGTAAGTGCTACAGAAAGTATGCAAATGATACATCCACACATACGGCAAGACAATCAAACCGTTCAAGGAAGCTTCGCTTCTCGAAAATATCAGACATCCGGTACGCTTCATCTGCAGATCACCTTTGGTGGAAGAGTCCTTGGAGTTTAGGCAAGCTTGGTGCCACCTGCTATGCTGGAAAAATGAGATTTCCCGATCCCCATACACCTTACTTCTCACGTGCCGACTTCACTGTCGTCTTCAAACGTCTGCATCGTGATGTCTAGGGTACCCAGACGGAACGGCCGTCTTCTGCGGTTTTTCTGCCGGTTTTCTGGCTTTTCGCCGCCAAATCGCTAGATAATTGCTCACAAGATCAGATCCCTCCGCCTCCCGGCTGTTTTCTGGCTTGCTGGGGAGGGGTCCGTTCCGAAGTTTAGTCAAACGATGGGATCTCTCCGATTTGTGCAGCCGGAAGCAGGTATACTCCAGCAAAAGGCCTTATCCACTGCTTCGTTTGTTTATTTATCCTTCTACAGCTTGCTTTTGCGACGTCTAGGCTATCTCTCTGTGCACAGATTGTGAAGACGTCCCTGGTGGGAGGTCGGGGAATTGTCCTGATGTAACCGCGCCTTTACCCCTTGTTCCTTCGCAGGGTTTCAGAACCAAAATAGCCTGCGATGCATGCATCCTCCTTGCTCACGCACTGCTTCCGTTTGCGCAATCTGAGGTCGCCAGTAACATAAATCTGAAGCATAGACACGGCTGAGAAGTCGCCGGAAAGACTCGGAGCGCGGCAACACTGTCCAAGGGCGTCTCCAAGAATTGCCAAGGTTTGCCTGCCTTTTTGCCCTCCCTCCGGAATCTCCGCCCAATCACTGAGGTTAGTTGCCTGTGTTGCATCCCTTGCATTAAAATTTTCTCGTGGCTTGTGAGCAATGAAGATGGCATCCGCCGCCTTTGAAGGGAAGGGTCAGCTGATGGATTCCCATCTTGGGTGACGGCCGTAGCGCATTGATTCCTTTACAATCACAACAGCAATAAAAGAATCACACAATTGATTGTTGAGCTGTTTTGAGTAAGTTTTGGTTGTCCTGCTCCATTGAAAGAGTTATGGAACTCAGTCCATTGTCTTCAGATCACGGCCTGATTGGGGATCATAGTTACGTGCATTATGGCTGCAACCAGATTTCCTTAGCAGAACATTACGTCAAGGTGTATTTAACAAAGGATCGAGGTATAATTCGTCCCATTAGAAGCCAGTATCCTGCTGAGGCGCTCAGCTCTTGCCTGCGGTAGCCAGAAACTGCCATGATCCATTCTCTTGTGAGGCAGTATCTTTTACTCCAGTTTGCAAGCTCTCAGCTACCACCTTATTCCCAAATGCAGCTATCTCAGACAGCAGGGCTCACCCATAAGTCTGTATTTGTCTGCAGGATGGCCGCACCTCCCACCCAATCCAAGTACCTTGCCCTGGAGCTGGCTGCCAAGTCCGGCAGCCTTGATGAGCTGAAGGCATACACAGCCAAGTACATCTGCTGCATGCCGCCCTTCCGCCAGAAGCAGCTGTGCGCCATGGCTGCTGGCACAGGCAATGTGGACTGCCTCAAGTAAGTTCCCTGCACACAACACAGACAACTTAACTCCCCTGCTCTTTGACTCCCCTTGACAGGATAAAAAGCCATGAATCTAGTGATGCGAGATGTCCCATTTCAGGTTTTGCTTGAAATGGACATGTCCTGCTGTGGAAGCATCAGGACTTGTTCATATCACACAGATTCTGATGTCGAACATGTGCTTGTGTTTATTAGACACATGCGCACACTTTCCAGCATGCCTCAGTAGTAACCCTTGGAGCCCTGATAAGCACTGGCATCTCCGGGTGCACGCTCATATTGGGAAGCAGGATTGCGAGACAAACTTATTCGTGTGTTGGTGCAGGTACCTGCGTGACAGCGATGCACAGTGGGATGAGATGACGCCAATGATCGCTGCTCAGAATGGAGCAATCGACTGCCTGAGGCACGCCTATGAGAATGTAAGTCAGCTGCATTGACCGTGAGCAAAGTCTGCTCAGCTGAGCATGCTTTGCAGACATGCATGCATTTGCCGTAATGGCAGGCATGCAGAAAATCTGACTCTGAATGCCTGCAAATTTTTACACAAGGTCATGCTTGCAACTGCAAGGGCAAGCTCTGCGAGTTGTGGCACTTGCAGGGACATCTTGCCTCTCACACCAGTGTCCACAGCTGCATCTGATATGCGTTTCCAGCTAGCAGACCAACCATGCATGCAGCCTTCTACCTGCAGCATGTCTGCGGGCGCACCTTCCCTCCTAGGAAGAACAGCCTGTCACACGGAGGGGAATGCATGCACGCAGTGACACGAATGGTGCATGCTTGTCTGCAGACGGACTTGCCCCGTGGGTCCTCCAACGTCACCCGAGGGGTGTTGCGTTGCCGGCGGGCTGGAGTGCGCCTTGGGGGATGAGCTAATGGCTTCTGACAGGAACGGCGGACAGTATATAATAAGACAGACACATGCATGCCTTGAGAAATACCATGCATGTGATGTGATGAATGATGCATGCATGCAGGGATGCCCCTTCGACATCCGCGTGTGCATCTATGCTGCTGAGGCTGGCCAGCTGGAGGCTCTGCGCTTTGCAATTGATACGGCCAGCCAGCCACTGAACACTGCTGTTGCCTATGCTGCAGCCGCCAAGGATAACCTGCCCTGCCTGACCTACATGGTGGAGAAGGTGTGCTCTTCTCTATTTGCTCTATATTATGGAGTCCATCCCATAATATGCAGACCTGTGTTGGGTTTTGGAGCTGCCAGTGCCAGAGCAGGCAGGAATGCTTGCAGCACTTCCTATGGAGGACAATGCCAGATCAAAGCTGGGGCTGCAGTACTTGTGGGGCTTTAAGAACTCCATGTTCACACAAGCTGCTTGAGTATGGATCCTCCTGTGGGTGGGCACCTTTGAGCCTTTCAGAAGCTGCATGCATGAAAGCAGATGGTGGAAAGACAGGCATGGAGGATGCATGTGTAGCAGAGTGTGAGGTGTTTATGTGCCCCTGTGATGCTGTGTTCCGAACTGGGTTTGACAGCCCCCAAGGGCACCCCAAGGAGTTGGGCAAAGTGATTTAGGGCTAGGGGCAAGGTGTCAGGGCAGCCCCGGATAGAGTTCAGATTTGGTGAGATAGTGTCAGAAACAATGCCCCGAAGCCACATGGCTGTGACTCAAGGGAACCCTGTACTTTTCAGGCAATGTGAACCAGTTAGAGGCCAGATTCAAAGGAAAAACTACATCTCCCTCGTGAAAATTCTTGGGAATCTCAGGGATACCCAGGAGTTTCAGCTAGTTTTTTCGGCAGCGGTCGGTGGCGCAGCCCCCCCCATCCCTTGCCCTACTTAGGGGCTGGCGAGAGATTCTCTAGAACCCCTGTCAAATCCTCGTGCCGAACCATGCATGCAAGTCCGAATCAAATTCATGAGTCATGGATACCTGGACTGAGCGGCATTGAATTGGTGCTGCAGGGGTGCAAGGTGGATCCGGTCATCGCTGGTGTGGCGGCATCCCGCGGCGCCATGTCGTGCATGCTGTAAGTGCCCATGCAAAGCCTGCCACCAGCAGAATGACATGTCCTGTCTTGGCTGCCGCACGCCAGAGCAGCATCTTTTGCATGTCAAGTCATCATCTAGTAGTACTTGGCTGTACATGCCTTTAGCTTGTTGCCGAGGAGAAGCCTTTGACATGAACAAGCACCAACTGGCTATCCTCGACAGCCGCTTGCAACTGTTGTGCAATCACATGAGGCAGTCTCTGCGCCATCATAGTTGTGATAAAAAAAAATCTATAGTGCTGTCTTTGGGGTACGGAATAACAGTGTGTACTTGTGACTGACGGTGACTGATGGCGACTAATTATTGGGGTGACTCATCGGTGTGCGTGCCTGATCAGGTTCCTGGTTGGGCACGGCGTGCGGCTGCGCGCGGCAGACATCGACTACACGCAGGCCGTGCTGCCGGAGGGCGGCCAGGAAAACGCGAGCATCCGCTCCCGGGCGCTCTGCCTCATCTTCGCCCTCAACCAGGGCGCCAAACTGACTCGCCGCCACTGGAACAACGCCGTCGGGTGCGCGCTTGAGCTGTCAAGCTTGCTGGAGATATCAGGAGTAAGAATGCTGACATGAGTAACGCGAAATCATGTGGGAATCATGATTGCCGCAAGTTCTAGGGTTCCCACAGATGTAATTCGATGTGGGTTGAGTCAGCCCCTAAGGGTACAGTGAAGGGGGAGCCCCGTCAGAGGAGAGACTCTCTCCACAAGGCGCCGGAATCGAACCGTTCCTTCTTGTTCATCGTTTTCTACAATTTGTCCCTCCGCAGTGGAAATCGCGCAATTTGCCAAACATGCAGGCAGCTGACGCGCTACTCTGTCTAATTCTCCATGCATTCTAAGAGTCAGATGAGCTGTCCATAAATAGGGAATTATCATGGAAGGCAGTGTTACAACAACGACAGGTGTGGCATTGGCAGTTGTGATCTTTGAGCCTAAAGTCTTGACGCATTCACAATCGTATGGGATCATATCGCATAGCATTCAGGGGATTACAGTGGAGCAGTCTGCCAAGCAACTTCACTGGTGCAGCGCATCGTAAAACTGTGGGCATTTTCTCTCTAATCAATATGTGCACGTCTCCGTGCATCACTCGACCCTGTCAAATTGCATTTTTGTGCTGCAGCAAGTAGGGCATGCAAGTGCGTGTTTGCAGTGAGAGGCACTTTTTGAACTTCTCTTTATGACGCACAAGCAGTATAGTCACCAGCCTGTTCAGCCCAGCTACAGGACCTTCTTTCCTGGCAGCTCTTGAACACAGATCCGCCAGAACTGAAGCGCTCGAGCCACTGTGCCTGCAATGCTTGAGCTCAAATCTGTCAGAATTGAACGGCTCTTTTCTCTTCTGCCTGCGCAGGGCAAGCGCACAGCGCATGCTGATTGAGCGCCGCAAGGCATTTTACCTAAGCATCGGCTATGCCAAGGCCCTGACAGCCGCAGCCAAGACCGACAAAACCACCGCGGCCCTCTTCGACATGCACATCAACCTGAGCCCGCCAAAGAAGGCAGCCGGCAAGCGCGTCTCCGGCCCGGCGGCGGCTGCGACCCCGATAAACGGCGGCAAGGGAAATAAGGCGGCGGCTGCGGGAGAGGAAGCAATTGAAGAGGGTGCGTGCGCGTGCGATCCGGTGCATGCTCCGCTGGCTCGCATTCCCAAGGACGTGGCTGAGATCATTGCCGGGTGAGTCATCTTTTTCTGCACAGTCTCAAAACTTGATTGAACCTCTTCCTCTCTTGGGTCTGCTAACGGTCCTAAAGACCACTCTTGGTACCCCCTGGTCACCCTGCCGTGGCTGGTTCTCTATTTGGAGAGTGGGGCCCGGGGGCTGTGGTACCCCTCAGTCACGTTGTAGCAGGCTGCAGAATGGAATGTACATGGCAGCAGTGTCAGTGCTCTGCGCTTGGATGTTCTCTTTCCTTCGATGATGCTCTGATGCAGGGTAGGTGTGATGCACTGGTTGTGTGGAGTGCACTAGAAATGGAATTGCAGGGTGGGGAAAGGGGGATAATAAGAAGGTGAGGGGTTGCTGTGCAGGTATGCGCATCTGCGTGGAAACTATACAACCTGAGGCGAGCTGCAATTTTAATTTGAATAAAGCAGCGCAAGTCAGCATGGATTGCCCTGTCAGCAGCTCATGGCCGTGTGAGGAATCAACAGCAACCGCCATGCAGCGTAGAGAGGAACATGTCAGTGACCTTGGGATCTGTGAGCTTTGAGGCATCCAATCCAAATTTCATCCCTATTTGATGTGGCAAGGGTGTGACCTGCAGAAGGGGAAATTATGATGCATTTTGTGAAGCTTGTTTGGAATAAATCGGTGCCGAGTTGTATGGCTCACTGATGGATCTAGAGGCTTCAGCCGCAATTTCAAGGCATATCCTGTTGCCAGCATCCGTGCAGACCAGATACTTCTGTCTATTTGCAGCCAACGAAACTGGTGCAGCATACAAGAAATAGCCATGAAGCGTGGGAGAAAGATGGAATTTTCAGTGCTTGGAATGCCCCTTGATTTGACCTTGTTCAAAAAGATGTATGCTAGTGCTTGTCCCTGCCTAATGTTTCCTTCAAATTGTGATAGTGTTGCAAGCTGTTGCAATAAGGAGTTCACGTACAAGGATCTCTCCTCAGGAGCTGCGTTAGTTGTGCATCACTGGCAGAATCACGGCGGCTCATGAAGACCCTTCCGTCATACAGTGTGTGGGCCATTAGTCACAATCAGGTCCAGGGCAAATACATAACAAGCAGTCTGATCACACATCCTGGCCCGAATCTTGCAATGCAATGTACACTCACTTTGGCAAAACACCCTTGGAGCTGCAGAGCTCAGAGCTTGAGCAATGTATAAGTATTCAGTATCGATATTCACATCTGAATGATGGACCAAAGACTTCAGATTCTCTGGGAGCTCTAACATAAATTCTTGCGCCATGCGATGTCATGACAGACTGTGGACCATAGGATTTCATGGGCCAGGGCAGGAACACAATAAGCATGCCGATCACACATACCAGAAGGAAACTTGCAAAGCAATGATCACTCATATCATCCTCGGAGCTGCAGATCTGAGCAGTGTGCAAGTGTCAGTATCAACATTGACATCTGTGTGGACCAACGACAACAATTGCCCTTTCAGGGATTCTTTACCAAAGCCACGGGCTATGAGAATCTCATGATGAGATGTCACGACAGATTCTGCACCATAGACTCCAAAGGCCAGGGCAGGAACTGATCAAACATCCTAGCAGGACACTTGCAAAATAACGAAGACCATAATCATCCTGGGATCTGCAGATCAGAGCAGTGTACAAGTGTCCAGTATCAAAATCAGAGTCTGTATGCACCAAAGGAAATCGCCGTTCTAGGGGCTTCTTACACCAGCACGGCATCAAGACAGGGTCTGGATCATAGGACAGGATCCGATCGTGTAGGTGAGGATCCAGGGAAGGAACACAACGAGCATGCTGATCAGGAGACCCAGCAGGAAGCTGGCCAGGCAGCGCAGAATCACATCAATAAAATCATCCGATCGGCAGCCGCCGCGCATCGGATTCGGCCACACCCGCACCCCCTCGGAGAAAGCCGCGCGGCAGCCGCCGCGCCGGCGCGTAATCCCGTCATCCGCCGCGCAGCTTCTGGAGCAGCTTCCCGGTAGCTGCTCCCGGGGGGACCAGGCGGCGGCGCTGGCCTTGAGCATCGGGCTGACGATCTCGGTGTTGAATAGGACAAAGGTCGTGAGGCACATGCCGACGGCGAGTGAGATCATACCGATGTAAACGCCGAAGAGCTCGTCGTAGGAAAGGCAGAGAAAGTAGGGGAACTTGTGTGCCTGCCGCTCGGCTGTCGTCTCGGCGTTCAAATCCGCCAGGCCCCACAGGTGCGCCCCGTTCACGCAGCGCACGTTCTGGCACCACGGGAACGCCACATACCTGCTCGCGCGCAGGCAATAATATGTCTGCTCTTTGTCCTCTCACGCAGTACTTGATTGACTGCAGTGCCCCCTTTTCCCCGCCTTGAGCACATGCTATTAGCCTGTTATCAATATCGTTATGTGCGTCTGCAGACATGCTGCAGGTCAAGGCTGCCTCAAATCCAACCCCTGTTTGGACTCACCAAACCCAATCAAGACCCAAGTCACCGTGGACACAGTGCTCAGTATTTATTCCGCCCCTCGGCCAACCAGTTCTTAACATCTCTGCCCATGTCCTCTCTCTCAATACTGAAACGACTGTGTTACCCGGCTGGATTGCACATGCCAGCTATGCATGCAGGAATCCGAACTCCCATCTACAGGTCTCCTAGTAACAGCAGCAACACCAACTGCAGAATGTGCAAAGTATAGAAGAGAATCCATCAAGACACAGCTGTACCTAAGTACTAAATACCTCCGGGAATCTCCCTACTGGTAATCTTGGAAATGATACATTAGTGAAGGCAAAAGGATGACGCGTACGTGTCAGCGCCCTGGCCGCAGCCCATCTTCGCGCCGAGCTCGGTCCTGGGGGCGGCCAGAGCCGCAAACGCGCCGTTGAAGCACTGCTTGGCGGCTGCCGTGGAGCTGCCGAGAAGCTCGAAGAAGAAGAAGCTGTGCTGACTCACCGCGTCCACGCGCACGATACCTTTCACAGATGTGACCATTTCAGGGTTATACACTCTAGGGGGTGTAGACTCTGGAACCCTGGGTCATGGCAGTAGCCTGAACAGGCTCCCTGATCCATACTGAATTTTATGAGGCTGAATAATTCGTATAATTTGTATAGTTTATAGATTTTTATCACGCGCAATTACCAAAAATTTCCTGTGAGCATTCAGGTGTGACAATACCGCTCATGGGTGGGGGGATTAGCCGCCGGCCGACCCAGCGCCCTGGGTAGTCTGCCTGGAACAGTGTCATCTTGCCAAAGGGCACCTGCGCAACGCGGGAGACATGTCATTCTCGGATGCCGCTCCTGCACACTGAGGGCTGACTAAATGTAGTTCAGTGTTTGAATACACAGAGCATACATAGAGGTTCTGAGAGCCCCTGTGGAGTTGCCGGGACTATAGCAAAGCTGTGCCTGTGTGGTGAACGGCGTCAGAGGCAGGGAAAGTAATGAAACAAGAACCTGTGACACGGAAAGTCTGGCAGGGAACGTGCCAGGATGCATAACAGCAGGGCTCCTGCGGAGTCTTCTTCTGCAGCAATACATTGAATTTGAGCAAGTCATTTGAAAGGTTGCCCCCGCACCTGCCCTCCAGCAGAGAAGTCCTTCATGGCAGCGATGGTGCTGAATGTGTAGTTGAACTCATCTCTGGGATCATGCTTCCAGCCGCCCAGGCCGCCACACGCCTGAAGAGCTTCCATCAGGGGCCACAGCTCATTCTCAAGGTTGCCTGAGAACCACACAGATTTTCTGCAAATCCTCTCAAAAGTGCTAATTTACTGATCCTCACTGAGAGACCATGGCGGGCGGAAGTTTCAAGCCACAATGGCTTCCAGATGAAAAGTAAAGACAATCTGGAAAGGAAACCTGCCTGAGATGTTGACATTGAAGGTGTAATTGCGTCCGTCGGTGCATGCTATGCCCAGATCGTTGCAGGCCACACCTGTCACAGGATTATTGTTTATAATTATTATTATTATTACACGCTTTTCCTGCCGGAGGCAAGGTGCGTCTGCAGACAAGCTGCATGTAAAGGCTGCCAAATTTCTACCCCTTGTTGGACTCGCCAGATCCAAGCAAGACCCAATCAACCAAATCAAGGACAATGTTTTGACCCTCAGTAATAGTAATGAAATATATTGATAAAAGTCTGTGAGTAATTTCACTAGTGATGTTACTGATTACGCAATGCAGCTGAAGGCGGAGCAGGGTCAGCATCACACAGCTGAAGCCAGTTGCTGCGGCCCAGACAATCTTTACATCCAGATTTTGAGACCTCCTTCGACACAGGTAGAGTCTGGACCGCAGCGTCGGCATATTCTGTTGAGCACCCTCTCCAAGCAACTCAAAGTTGACTGTGCATTAACTCGCAGCTTGCAGCTTGAAGCACATGTTTCTGTTCTGTTCAGGGAGCCTTCAGCAAATCTTGGCTTGCCTGTGAATGGCAGCTGGTTGCCGGTATGGCAGGCAGAAATCGCATAGTCCTCAACAAGCCGCCCCCAACCCCGGTCCTGGGTGTTTTTCTCCGCCACCTGGACACTGTTTCTTTGGAAAACTGACTGAAAGCCAGCTTGTCTGCGAAGATGTCTTTGTATGAATAGCCCAAAGCCACAAAACTGGCTGAAGACAGGAATTTGCTCGCGCATTTTGCTCAAAAGGGGCAAATTGTTGTTCCTGCACAGTTGTGGATTTTTCTCACAAAGCCAATTCTGCACCTGGAAGGTGTGTCGGCTGGTTAGGAACAGAATCATTGCAGCCGCCAGCACAGTGGCGTTCAGGTCAGCCATCAATCCTGCTCGGTATACATCCCTTGCCACATCGGGGTCATCGGCTCGCGGCCTGTGCATGCACACACTCCAGCCTGTCTCCTTGATTAATTCCTTCATCAACCTTGTTAACGGGACTTGCTGTTCCGGCCAGAGGCGAGGTGCGTCTGCGAACAAGCTGCATGCAAAGGGTGCCACATATCTTGTTCCTTTGTTGGACTCGCCAGATCAACCAAGACCTGGGCATGGTGCTCAGTATTTGGACCGGCCCCTGCCAGCCAGGGCCGTAAGTGCTACTAGCAATACAATCGTATGGTACTAGCCATCAAGTCACCAAGAAGTGCCCATCATGGCATGCTGTCAGAAAGGAGGCAGCAACTTATCATCATGCGGCAAGTGCAGGATATAGGTGATCCAACATTGTGCCGGCATGGTGTCAGGCAAACATGAGTCAGTGGCGAGTCCTATCTTCAGCGGACCCTCTTCAAGCATGCCTGCTTTATATGTCCTGCAGTGCATTGCCCCACGTGGAGGTCATCTGGGGTCTTAGGGTCCAGAGAATCACAAGCTCATTTAAGGGGCAGGGTATTACCTGTCCCCGGCTGGCGGGGGGCGGTACAAATACTGAGCACCGTGCCCACGGTTGAATGGGTCTTGCTTGGATCTGGCGAGTCCAACAAGGGGTAGGAACTTGGCAGCCTTTACATGCAGCTTGTCTGCAGACGCACCTTGCCTCTCGCAGTAAATGCGTGTAAGAAAAAGAATTACCTGTAAGTACCGGCGAAGACAAGAGCCATCCGCTTGAAGAAGCCCAAAACCACTCCCAGCACGAATACAGGCAGCTCTGCCGCATAGCACAGCGCGCCGCATGCCTCAGGACGATCTGTGTTGTTCTGCAGATGTGCGCAAGAGAAAGTTAATTATTCATTGATTATAGATGTTTTGAAAATCGTGAGCTCAGGGGCAGAGGAATGCAGGTAGCTGTGCTATATAGCAGAGCACACCGCATGCTATAGGACAATAGTTGTCTGAAGCAGATGCGCGCAGCAGAAATTCAATTCTTAGTCCGCCCGATCTTTAGGAGCGTCAGAGAAAGTGGGCCAACTCGTGTTAAGGCCTGCCTAAATCCAGATCGAGCAGCAGAAACAAAGACTGGGGATATGGAGACACCAGCAAACAGACATTTGTTGACACACATTCACACATGATCAAGCATGCGGACCATCTCCATTTTCGTGAGTGCGAGCCAAAGGGCAGAAGGCTTTGACTTAGCTGCAAATCTCTGCACAGGGTTGTCAGGAGCTAGTGGCATCTGCTGCAGAACAGGAGCCGCTCACCTGTTCATTGGGTACTGGCGTTATTTTCCCAGTCTCCAATGAGGACTCAAATCCGCCTGCATCGAAATTTCCCTTCAATACCTTTTTGAGAGGAGAATATGGTGCAAGGACATGCAGTGCACATCACCAAATATCACCACAACGCGCACGTTGAGCAAGCAAAAATAAGGTTCTGGGAATTTCCACGTTCTGCACATCCTGTGCGAAAGTCTTGATTACGCTCGAGCGTTTCTTTTGAGCTTCCTAGCGATGCATCGGATCCCTATGTATCTTACCGGCTTTCACTGGGTCACCCATTGGCGCTATAGGACCTGGTAGCACGAGTCTTGTCAGATTCAATATATTTGCTCTAACATCTTCTCCGCTCTAGGGATCCTGTGTCTTAGTGGAAACTGTCAGAATTGTTCGGCTTGACACAACGGAGTAGAAGGCTAACCTGCGGTTCCTTGAGAATGCTCCTTGTGCAGCTGCCATGTTTCAACACCAGTAATTCAGGTCTTTGCTGCATTTGATCGAAGGACATCCTGTCTGCAAGATAAGATTAGGGCTCGTCTCATACCTGCAGCCGATGCCGATCCCGACGGAAGCCAGGTTGAAGCAAATGATTTCGCACAGCTGCAAAACCAACAGAATGTATGTTTGAAATTTGTGCAGACAAGCTGAGTACCTTCGATAGGCTTTGCGTCTTGGCTGTACGACAAGAGCAGGTAGACTACAAGAGTCATCTTGTCACCTACAGATCGATGACTACCCCAACAAGCAAGTCCTGGACTTCAACAAGCACATTGCTAGTGTCAAGAGGTGCTTAGAAGAGATGATTGGATGTAACGCGTGGCTGAGATTCAAAATGATGCAATAGAATTGCGTATGCAGATGCCATAGATCTAAGTACTGCACAACTCCAAGATTCTACTGCTGCATTTGCCTGCATGAAATTTCGCCCTACATAGCAATTTCCTGCCTGAGACATATGTGCCAGGAAATTACATTCAATTCTTAGCCGCGGCGACACCCTGGACGCTGACGTGGCCGCCGCCCTCGATCCTGCTGCCGCCCTGGCAGCCAGCGCACGGCATTGCAGGAGCAACCCTGGGCTGATTAAGTAGGCATTGAACATGCCAAAGGATGGGCCACCCTTGCTAGAATTTTTGGGGAGTGCCAGCTTGTGACACTGTAGTACCTCTAGAGCTGAGCCGACAGCTACGAGGGAAGCGAGCTGTCCACCCAGAAAATAAGCCTCTGCAAATGGCTTATGGCCCAGGGTCACTGTAACACCTTCATCGGTTCTTGCCGGTCAGACCAACGACCAATCATAGGCACAGACTCTGAAGGTCGCTTCAAATGGAAATTGGTTCTGCCGCACTGCACCCCCTATCTTCACGATGAACCTATGAGCCTCTGCCTGTGAGAGTTGCAGTGACTTAGCTAGCATGCTGTCTTATTTCTCCCTGACTTTGGAAGCCTCCTAGGGTCGAACACCAAACAGTGCCTTGCAGTACTCACAACAATATGGCGCAGCGAGGGTGGGAGCCCTCTAGCTTGCAGCAAATAGTTGCGCATAGTTGCATGCTTAGTACCGTCAGTCTCAAACAATCAGGCGGTAGATACCTCAATGGCTACCTAAATTCTAATCTTCTAATTTTCTAATTTTTCTAATTCTTATTTTCGGTAGATACCATGCAACGCAGCTGCTGCGCTACCCGTGCATGTGCATGTCTCCCATGCTCATGTCCATGCCAGCCATGCTGTCGGCAGGTGCCGGGGCAACAGACGCACTCGCCACCATACCGTCGGCACCTGGGCGCACGTGAAACGAGTGATTAATAATGATCTAATCACCTTCTTCCTGTTGGGGGCATGGTCCGTTTGCAGACCTGCTGCAGGTAAAGAATGCCAGTGGTCTGCCATATTTCCTACCCCTTGATGGGCGCGGTGGTAACAATGCAATGATTACTAATACAATTACTAGTATAATTACTATAGTATAAAGGCCCTCGTTGCTGGGCCAGCACCACCAGAAAATTATTTGATGGGGTGGTCCATGCACTAAATACCAACATTGTGATGACAAGAAGATTGGCAATGCCCTGTGTGATGATCAATACAACAGCAACCCAGCTGTCTGAACAGATCGGTACGCACCTGGCATGTGCATGTGCATGAAATGCAGAGTCTCACAGATCATTGAAGGGGCAGACTACTGAGCCTTGAGCTGAGATATGCGTAAATGAAAAGCATACCGACCTGGCATGTGCATGTGCATGTCGGCCATCGGCGCCGGCGCCTTTGATGCCGGTAGCCATGCGCCGAGCTCGCCGCCCTCATTGGCCAGAGTGTGCACCACCACAACGGCGTTCCCTGTGGACACGTACCTGCAGGGAAGCCACGATTGTTTGAAATGCAATATTGCCAGTCACCGCTGCCCATGACTTTTAATGCTGTGACAAGCTAACAGAAGTGGAGATGCTGCAGATGCATCGATGATATCTCCAGGAGTGTTTGCTAAGACTTTCCGCAACCCCAGCACAAATTTGAGAGACCTCAGCTATTTGCAAGTATTTATTAGCTTATGTATGATTCGCCTAGGGGCTGACAGTGAACACGAATCTCTTGTGGTGGATAAAGGCTAAATCATCTGCTGAAACGATGGAATTTTCCGGTACCGTCTGATGATGGCCCATCCCCAGTCCGGGACTGAACTGCAAATGCAGCTGCAAGTCCGTGAATCCCAGCTAAAACTGGGTGTGTATGGCAGATCTGAGATGCAATGAGGCGCAAAAACCCTCAAGAGGAGAAAAGCATTGTATGAATGCCCATCTCACTCAGTCAGTCATTTACATCAATTCCAGCTACCTAGGCTGATCTGATGCCTGACTCTCATTATCGGAGTCAGCGCCCAGCATGACATCTAAAGATTCAGAGAAAAAATTAGCAACACCAAGCATGTCATCCTGCCAGAAGAATTGCCTCATAGTAGAATCTTGAAACAAAGCAGCATACTTGTCTCTGATGTACTCACTCAGCTCTTGGCTCTTGCATGAGTCCTACCAGTCAGAAGCCAAATTTGGCTTCTGGTACACGATCAAGCATGTCTGGTACAAGGCTAAGAAAGGCTCACCTCTCCTCCAAGAATGATGCGGGCAGATGCTGGGCCAGAGGTAGCAGTAGAGGCCCAAGGAAATCGTGCCCCATCAGCGTCCCCTTCGCAGCTAGGCCATTTGTTACCTGAAGACACACAGATCGTGGCTGATGGGGACAGAGTGCAAAAGTCGGACGGCAAGCCATACGTCGACTTGTTCTTAAAAGACACTTCTAGTCAATGTACACAACGATGAGGCTTCCTGACAAAGGAAGATTGGATTGAAATCCTTAGTCATACAGAAAGGAGTGGCTGGGCTAGGGCATTGATCAGCACCTGTGTCGCGTTTTGAAAAGGAGCAGCGTAGAAGAACGCAACCACATCACCGTGTGTTCCTGGCGCTGCAACGTGCAGCTCTATGTTCTTGACGCCGTATACGTTGTACAGGTATATCTCAAAGTCATATCCCTCGCCTGTATAGTTCAGCATCGCTGTGCCCGATCCCTTCGTATTTACCTGCGATGCACGTAATAACGGCTTTGCTTGGACCAGTGTGCATGAACTACACCGCCGGGTACTTCAGTCACGTAGCGTCCCTCTAATAGATGGAGACCGAGGAGGCAGAGCTGCAAAGGGTTTATCAGCATGTGTGGCCACTGCTAGACCTTCGGCCCCCCCTACGCAAGTTTGGAACGCACCGGCCCCATGACTGTCCATGGAGAAAATGTTTGGTTGTACATCTGGGCCGACGCAACCGATATCAGGCCTGCGATCGCAATGAATACGTGAGCCGCCCCCATTGTGAAGGCTTGCAAACACCACGCTGGCAGCTGTCCGGGAATCGAGGTTGAACTACGCAGATCTCTTAACGCGTGTGCTTTGAGGAAGCAAGAAGTCCTTTCGACCCCCAGCGTCTCACGAGATGTAGTCGAAGATGTAAGCGTAGACACGTCGAAGGAGAACCAAGGGATTTTATGAAGCACAACTTTTTGGGACCTGCATAACACACGCTCTTTTGCTGCACCACTCTCGTTGGGACTCTTTGAAGGTCAGCTGCGCATGGGCTAATACTTGCCTCATGAACAGATAGCATTGCATTGGCAGAGCTTTTATTGCTTCATGAAAGTCTTTCGCAGCCGTAAATCTGCAAGCTTACTGGTTCTTTTGCGCCAGCGTTACATCTGCTAATTCTACACTTACAGTGTCCAAAGATTGCATGTATCGGCCGCTCATCCTACAAGCGCCATTTATGCAGATGGACATCAATCCTTCTCACAATCTCAGGCCTATTTATGTAAACGTTGAGTCGCCATGGTGAGATACTGTGGCACACTATTTCTGACCATCATGCCGGTCATCCTACTATACAGCAAAGGTGCAAAGCTCAGCACTGCTAAAATTGGTGGCAAGACAACAATGTATGGCGTCAGGTTCAGCCCTTGAACTCGCCATCGAATCCCACAAAGCCAGCCACCTTGAAGATAGGATAGTAATTCTTCTTCTCTATCTTGGATCCCCAGTTCCACGCCGATGTCAGTCGCCCATCAATGCAGCTCCCCGCGTCAAACTGCAACAGGAACACAAATATCAGCTGACAGCCACATTGTTATTCCTGATACATGGTTCTGATACCAAGTAGCAAGGCCCGTGTGCAGTGCTGCAAGCTGCAGATAAAGACAGCCAAAATGCTATCCCTCTGTTGGGAAGCCACAAAAGACCTGGAAGTGCATTCAGGAAGAACAGACCAGGACACAAAGACATCAGTTCATAGCCACACAAGAACTGCAGTCCCGATGTGTAATCGGTGTTACAGGTGGAAGAGCAAGTGATTAGCATGCATGCACGAAGGAGGAAGGGAATACACTCACAAAGTTGTCTGCACCGCTGCCGTCGAATGCGTGGCGGAAGAAGTCCAGCAAGATTGCCTTCCTGCACGCCAGACACCTAAAACGGATCAGGACAGCACTCCAAACTTCTGATGTTGCCTCTGCATGCTCACAAAAATCCCTGCAACAGTTTGACCGTGCCCAGATTCTTCTTCCATGCTGTTCACCAGCAATCAGAGGAGGTGCCATCACAGGTGCTGTTGAGGATTGCGGCAAGCTTTCCTGGCCAGAAAACAACTGCACGGCAGAGTCTCAGAAGGTTCCGTGGGGCACGTCTTCTGATGCCTGGGTCCGACAAAAAGCAGCTCCGGTGCTTGGGCTCGACCACAGCAAAGAGGCTACTCCTCAGCTTGAGTTACTAGATAACAGTGGCAGGGGGTGGGATGAAAGCACTCGCCTGCAGCCCTCGACGGAGCCGAAGACTGAGTTGACGTAATTGTTCAGGTGGGGGTCCTTGCAGTACTTGGGCAGCGAGTCCAGCACCAGCACCACCGGGTTCAGGATGCGCGGAACCTGCGCAGGCCAAATTTTCAAATTTGAATATACTGAAAGTTTCATGCAGCTTAGCCACGCGATTGAAATTAAGACCTCCAGGCGCTGCAGGTTTCGGCCTAAGGACTAGCACGCCATGTATTCCACTGCAGTCCGGTCACGACCGCATGCGATGTCAGACTAGGAAAGCTGAGCTGTCAATCAGAGCCCTGCAAGATCTGCCCAAAGACATGCAGTTGCATGTTCCACTGGATCTCTGCTGCAAGGACTGTGATCAGGAGAACATAGGCCAGAGCACCAGACACAAGTGATGCAGATCACTTGCCAGTACTCGTGTGATCTCTATGCAATACCGCTGTCCTGCAGTTGTATAACAAAGCGTGTCACATTGAGATGGTGGTGGACTTGCAACCAATCAGTTTACCATGCCTTGGACCATGCCTGGATGTAATTATCGATAAATTTTCAATCATGCCGCCTGGGAGTTTGAAAAAGAGCAAGTGATTGCGCCTGCTAACCACCTAAGTCCACCCGCCGCACCTGGGTGTACTTGTCGATGAACATGAGGGCGTTGGGCACGTTGTGGTCCCCGAGGTGGATCACGCTGCTGCCCACCCACTGCCCCAGCCGCTGCTGGCACCGCCACAGGATGGCCCCCATCGCCTTGCCCACACTTGCCGCCTGCTGCACCCGGTTCAGGCCCTGCGCAGCGCAGCATGAGACTTCTTTAACAAACCAGATTGTGGCCTCAAAGTCATCAAAGTACCTCCCTGCTGTGCTTGCTGTGAGGGTGTGCCCGGTTCAGCCCTTGCGCACAATGTACACACTTTGGGAGGTCTCAAGTGTATTGCATAAATTAACTGCTCGTCTCGCAGTGAGAAAGGGGTACATCCGGTTCAGCCCCTGCGCGTGCCCAAAGCCATTCACGTCATATGTAAATCATCAGCCCTTCTCCTGACTGCTCAGGGGCCGGTATCCCCAATCTTGCTACTGTAGGGGGCGAGCATTGACATGTATTGCCATTGTGCTGATTTTCTCATCATTTCCCATGCATTTAGATGAGCCACCTAAAATGGAACGTTGAGCCATGTTTTTTGGCATTCACATCAGCCTTCCCAGCTGTGGCGTGCGCGTCATTTCTTCCTCTGCAGTGAGATGCTCTCTTTGGCAGGGAAACAGTACACAGCCCTTCTGCCGATATCATATCAGTGCTTCTACAGCAAACCCATAGCCCTAAGCAAGGGCCATGGGTTCGCTGTCAACGTGCCGTAGTTTTCAGAAAGTGAGAATTTAGCAGAATGATATTTATATAGGGAGCGCGCCTGGCCAGTGTTGACGAGGCGGTAGGTGTTGCTCTCGCGCAGCAGGTCATTCTCCGCCAGGCACCACAGCTTGAACATCTGCGCGCCAGCAACACATGGAATTAGTATCTATTCAAAGTTTGCTTCGATGTGTGCCCATTTCTGTGACATGCCTCTGGGTCCTTCTTTCTTGCAAAACTCTCCTGCTTGCACATCCATTTGCTTTATAGAGTTTCCAGGGCAAACTGGACCTCAACATCGTCACAAATCCCAAAACCCCAATGACCCTGGATATGAGGGGAGTCAAGAGCGGGGCAGAGAAAGAACTTTGAAGCTCTGATGTTCATGCTCTCAGCAAAAATCATGATTGCCCTCCTGCGAGTCTCCGTTACTAATCTCCCAAATCTCAACCTCTGACTGGCATGATGAATCTGCAGCCGCCGCGTTTGCATTTGGGAAGACCCACCTCGTGGCTGATTTCGCGCCAGAGCGTGAGACTCTGCAGCACGTAGTGGAACTGCCGCTCGTGACTGTGGGTTAGTCGTGCGCCACCCAAGCCGCCACTAATCGCCAGGCTGGCACCTGCCACACCCCCAACATGAGTCACACATCCACACAAGATTTCAGAGAGACATGTTTTGTATTCCTCTGTGACCCTGAAGCCACCAAGTGAGGCAATCTATTACTTGACATGCAAAGCAGAATTGCTTGAAGAGATTTTTGGCTCGGTCTGTGAGGCTTTCAGGTTGTGGGGACTGTCCTCTTGACATGTATTTTATTGGACACCAGGAGTCAGTTGACCTTATATAATGATGTAATAATAATGATAATAATCATAATAATCATAATAATCATAATAATAATTATAATTGAATGACATGCATAGCAGGAACAGGTGCAGACAGTTTCAGGCCTCAGACGCCCGCCGCAGCCCCGGCATTACTCATCAGCCACTAGATATTGTAATATTCAAAAGATTCAGGCTTTGGGGGTCAGGGAAGGGGTCCTTGTAGCTACATGATAATGTCTCCAGCAGAAAGAGACATGCACCCATGCAGGCAAAGACAGCGCCAGAAAGGAGGGGAGGGGGCGCCTCTCAAAAACCTTTCTTGCCACGGCAAAGCTCCAATATACAATGGGAATTTGAATTGTAGGGTCGCTGGGCGGGGATAATAAAAATGGCGATATAGGAAATGAGTACTCGTCACGCAAACTCGTCTACCATGAGCTGCAGATGCACAGCTCTTCTTGTCTTCCTCGTCGCCTTACTTTGCGATGACTAACAGATTGTGTGATTCTTCTGCAGCATTGATGAAAACTCGTCTGCAGCACTCATTAGTCACCAGATATGAGCGCAAAGGCGGCACCTGACTCGAGGGCGTCCGGGCGGAAGTATTCGCGCAGGTAGGAGATGACCCGGTCGACCGGATCCCGGTTGAATAGCAGATATGAGTTGTTGTCGCTGATACTGTAGATGCACCGCAAGATGTCCTCCTGCGCCAGAAATTTAATATTTAGAATTCGATTTAGAAATGGAGACAGTGTAGCGAGGATGTCTTCCCGCGCCAAAAACTTGGATATAGAATTCGAATTCGAAATGAGGACAGTGTAGTGAAGATGTCTTCATGCGGGCGAAAGGGAACCCCATTAGTCATCCTTGAGCAGAAATTGAGCTCGCGGATGTACAGCGTTCCCACAGCAGCATGAACGGTGAATGTCTTTTCAAGGACAGCAGCGGTAGGCTGCCTGAGCTAAAGTCAGTGAGTTTATCGCAAGAAAGCTCGCCTTGATAAAACGCAACCAACAAAGCCCAGAATAAATTTTGGAAAGATGTTCAATATATGGGTGATGACATTCTGAGGTCCACTGGAGGCCGAGGCACCACCTTTGACCTCCAGGTGGGGCATTCTGCTAAACAACATATACAGCAGGACTTAACCCCAAAAAAGAGAATGCACGCATGGAAAATTTCATCAGATTTTCGCACCTCGGCCAGCTGCGCGGAGCGGTGCTTCCTGACAAGCGCCTCGCGGGCGCGCTCCTTCTGCTTGATGTCCCGCTGCACCTCGGCCCGCGGCCGCTCCCCGGCAACGATCTCCGCCGTGGCCCGTTCCATCAGCCCGTCTGCTAAAAGCGCCAGGCCGCCGCGCTCGGCTAGCAAGCCGTGGACGGTTCGCAGCGGGCGCACGCAGCGGAACTCCAGGAGCTCCTGCAGGTCCCGGTCCGCGCTGCACAATGGCACGCAAAAATATCAACAAAGATAAAGATCATGAGAATGTCTAAACCTCAAGGATGAGCGAGGAAAGCACCCAGCGGAAATCTAGGAGTCATGCAGGTCCCGGCCCGCGCTGCACAGGGGGGTGCAAACTAAGATTGAATTCAAAATTTGAATTTGGAATATCTAAAAGATTTAATGGCGGGTGAAGTGCGAGGGGGAGAGGTTGTAATGGAAAGGTCTGGAGACTATGTACTTCGCTGCAGGGGCGCCAAATGTGAGTCATCCTAACATCTTGGACCCTCAACCTTTTGAAGGCTCATGGTGGAGAGTTGAGCAGTGTCATGGCCATGGAATGAGGGGTGCGTCTAAGGGTGTCCTTCAGGCATATCGTGGTAGAAGCACAGGACAAAACACCCAAAGGACATCTTGAACGCATTCCTCATTGCAAGGATGGGTGGAGATGTCATGTGCTTCCGTATGAAGATGTCCACACAAGGCTGATGAGCAAACGCATCACATGGAAGGAGTCAATCATAACACAGGATCAAATACTTCAAAAGGTCATCTGCATGATTCTCTTATTTTCCCGTGTAATTAAAATCTAAATGGCGGTTTGTGCGCACCTGTCCATGAGCATGTAGATGAGCTTGCCGTATTCTGAGCGCATGCGGTCCGGGTTCATGATCTTGAAGCGGCGCCCTACCTCAAACACATTCTGCACGAAGCACCCCAGCAAAATGTCAGCCCCTGGCCTTCATTGTCAATATACATGCTATGGCACCAGCTGGAGAGACATCAACTTTGTGACCCACCACTTAAAATTATCCAGCAGACACAACTCGTAAGAGCTCTCTTTTGCTCCAGACGAGAAAAAAGGAATCGACTGAGTAATTGCAGGAGGGGTGGAAGTGTACGCAAAGCAAATGCAGAACAAGTATTCCAGGTGCAATGAGCATTATTAACGTGGATGTATTTAGCATGGAAGCACTGTAGATCATGAACAGGAGACACATCGACAGGTGGGTTGCTTGCAGATGGCTTTGCATGCAATTCTGCGTCTTACTAATGAGATGGGTGATTCGTTTGTTGTCTGTCATCATTGTCAAATAGGGGGCGTGCCTGGAACCACTCGGCGTTGTCGGCAAAGTTGCGGTTGACGACGAGGGCCTGCCCCTTCTTGTAGTCCTGCGCGACCACCAGCCCCGACAGGATCGCGCAGATGTCCTTCACCTGCACGTGCACCCGCTGCGTCTTGTTGCGCCAGCTCAGGATGTCCACCTGCGCGCCAGCATGCCGTTGGCTCTTAGTAAGCGATTGATAAGATTAATAAGCAAAGGTTAGTCCTGACACGATGTTACAGTCAGCCTGGGACAGGCTCCAACTAGCCGCAGATTTGGCCAAATCCCTGATCAAGCACTGGCATGCCGCCCTCAGACCCATGCACACAGCTTAAAAGTACCGTGAGCCATGAGGCCTTCTGTTCATGCCTCAGTCAGGAGAAATTTTGGCAGTGTATCAGCAGAACAAGGGTTTAAGAAGGCTTAACGGCACATCTCTGGTTGTTGCTGCTGCTGCTAGTGCACGACACGCGACAGTCCCTGCTCAGCACTCAACAACCCACAACAACAGAGGGCGTCAGCGGCGGACCTTGTCGGTGTAGGAGGACACGGACAGAGCAGCTTCCAGTAGGTGCAGCAGCCGCCGCTCGTCGGCCGACAGCCGCAGCGGGATGAACCGCGACCGCTCCAAGAACCCGGCCGAGCGCGGCCCGGCCGCCGCGTCGGCGTCTTCGGCATCCGAGCCGGCCTCGTCGTCGCCGGGCCGCGCAGCGCCGCCGCGGCCGTTGGCCGCGTGCGACGCCAACGGCGGATCCTCGGCCCCGCCCGTCAGCTGCAACGCGCAGATACACATTTCAGCGCGCACGACAGTCCTCTCCAACAGTGCACATGGATCAACCAAGGGGGCAAGAGGGATTACACGCTTATCAGCACTCTCAATCAATTGCCATAAATTTGCCTTTGGTCGCACATTGCAGGTATGGCAATGAGCAGCATGTGGAATACATGGCACGATGGCTGCATAAAAATGAAATGGGCCTCAAAAGTGGTATCTTGAATGGCTGCATTAGTGCGGTCCTTCCCAAGAGGAGTAGAAGGCTGAGTGCTTCAAGGGCAAGCAGAAGGAAATCATCCTACCTCTGAGTCGTCCTCTGACTCCCTCATGCGCTTCATCTCTACATCGCTGTCAGCTGTCTGCAAGTCCGCCTGCAAACACATGACCTAACCTCAGCGTTTGCCTCTCCTTCCGACTCGAACAAACCATCATGCACAGACAGAGATGACAAGAGCAATCTTTACGAACGACAGACGAGTCAACTGACGGACAGGTGAAGAAGCAGTGGAGACTATGGCTAACCTGGCTGAAGGACCGTTTTGTCCGCTCTGCGTCTGCCTTCTGCTGTGCTGCAAATGCTCGCGCCTCTGTCACAGCTTCCTCTAGCCTGTCCTTCAGTGCCTGCATTGCAGAGAATTGAATATCTCTGGTCATTATTATTTCGGACGGCCCACTCTGGTGTTTGGTAGCTGTGTCATGCCCTAATGAAGGCTGTGCAAATACAAAGTGCGAGTACATCCAGGGCCATCACAACTTACAAGCCAGAGAGAGGCAGGGAAGAGGCGGTGTGCTTGCCTGCACGTGTGCCTCTAGCTCGCTAAGACTGCCACCACCCTCGCTAGGCTGCTGCAAGGCTGATGCAAGCGCTGTATGCACAGCGTGAACCTGTCCTAGGAGATGCCCTGCCTCCCCTTCCCTCTGCTGCGCATACTCCGAAATCTGCTCCTGGGCTACTGCTAAGCGCCTAGTTGCGTTCTCTGCCTCCGCCTCGGCTTTTAGCCGCGCCTGATGCTCCTCTGCAGCAACACAGGTTTGCAGTGGTCAGGGAATGTGGCAATCTTTTGTGTCAAACGGCTGGCTCACCCGGCAAGTAGACATTCGCCCATGCCGAAGAATGGCTTGGTAATTCGTTATATTAAGAAAACGATTGCTACGGTTATGGCAACTCAGCCCTAAATTGCTGCACTTTTTCCTGCCTTCCTTCAAGGTTGGCACAGTGACCTGTCCATGTTGTGAAACAGCATTGCCTTGCCATAACTAAACATCACAGCATACTTAATCACTAAAAAGGAACTTGATTCAGGCACATGCAGCGGAGAAAGCACCGTAAAAATCAATATCTGTCTTGTGGTCGCCGTCTTCAGTGCGCATAGGAGTACCCCCATTGTTTGTTGGTGTCTCCGATTCTTCCGCATCCAAGACAGAAAACAAAGCATCTGACCCCGACGCCATCTCAGCAGGCGTCTGGGAAATGCAATGCGAAATGGTGCGATAGACAGCGTTCAAGATGCTTCCTCCGCCGCTATTTTGCATAGAAAGTCGTCACGCCTGGCCTCGAGCAATGGCCGCATAAGTTCACAAAGCTACAGCCAGCGTAAATGTTAGTAAGCTTCAATCAATAAAATCTTGTTCCATTTTCCATCATCTATTGGCCAAAGGTCAGTGCGGCGCGTATCGGCCACGTGGGTGTGATGATAGCCACGCCTCGATCATAACTCCGAAATGTCGAGACACAGAAGTCTGAGCATTGATCATCCTAGCCCACAAGAGCCAATTGGATTGCTCTTTTGTCCCGAACAAAATAACACAGGCAGATAACTCGGTCATCAGGCCGGAAAAGCTTACCGAATTACTGACCAGGCAGTAATCTGCTGTTGGTGAACTGTATTCTAGATTTAACCCTCAATTCTGCATACTTTTAAATATCTATTTCCATATCTACATTGGAAGTGGGAATAGTAATGGCGGCGAGAGGCCGTAAACCGACAAACTGTTGCTTCAGCTGCCCAAAATTCACTTTTGAGGAGAGATTCTTCTAGCAAAATCATGTCTTGTTAACGGGTTGAACAAGATCTGATAATCTGATAGAAATTGGCGCGCATCCTGCTACTGTGAGACGACTGGCATGATGGGCGCAATCGTGAAGCTACTAAGTAGTGAGCCATCCCAAGAGATCATCGGGCTGCTTTCGTGTACAATGATCTCCCTCGGGATAGCCACATTCCTTGCCCTCTCCCTAGGAAAACTGTCTGCAGGCTACGGCAGGTGCGAGATCTCTTGAGCCTCTTGCCAAGTTTTGCTGGCATGTGCATGGTGATGACCTGAACTCATGTCATATTCTTTGTAAAAAAAGTCGTATACAGCAATCAATGCATCTGCAGGTACTCTATTACCACCAGTACGTTTTGCCTGAACGCCAAGCTAGCATGGATGGTGCGGTCCTTGCCCTACAGCCCCGATTGGCACAGTATAAGAATACCAGCCCTGTTTTGTCCTGTTGACAGTCGATTGTTTACCTGCCTTGCATCGCTGAGGCCTGTATGATGGAAAATCTGCGCACTTGCATTTGTTTGCAACTTGCATCACTGCATTGAGGCATGCAGCATGGCCTGAATTTGCATGACAGTGACGGATAAATTAGTATGCCTAAGTGCATTAGCTGCGCGCAGACTCAAGAGATGTGGTCAGCTCTCGTGCCGGCAGCTCTCTTGGGCCATGCAGTGCTGCAAGGGCATCACTTCTTTCCAGATCAGGTACCTGTTACCTGCCAAAACCAACCAGATCATGTTTTTCAATCTGGACCTGTGAATGAAGTCAACTTTTTTTGGCCGCATATCACCTGGATCGTATCACGAAGCCTGGAATAAGTATAGTTTATCTTTTTCATTGTGCTTGTCTTGCGCACAGACTCAATATACATGGGGTCAGCCCTAGTGCCTAAGAGTCCTGATTAAGCGGCTTTAAAGAATTTGAATTCACATCGATGACAACATTGGCCTGATCAGGTGCTGCTGTTTGCCATGTTCCTGATGCACTACACCTGGCGCAGCTTCGCATACCCCTGGATGCAGAGGGGCGGTAAGCCGACGCCAGTATTTATCTGGGCCATGGCCTCTGCCTTCTGCATAATCAACGGCTACCTGCAGGTGCTGGCAGCACGCGCGCATGTGCCGACCTGCTAGCTTCCCTTCTTTTGCTGGGGTTTTTTGGCACTTAGGTGTCTGCACGGAGTGCAGTACAAAGCCCGTTTGGTCTGCTCCTCCCATGCTTCAATGATACCTGTTCCTAGCACCAAACTAAGAAGCTCTCAAACCTTTCGTGTATAAGTATCAGGACTATACGCAAGTGTAAGCCCAAGTGCAGACTTTGAGTCTTGGAAATTTGATCGCACACCGAGTACATTCAGCCAAGCATGGATGCCGTTCCCTGCATGCATGGCATTTGGCTCCTGTCACAAGGAAAGGTTGCCCTGGTCATACTCTCATTTTGCCATTGTTTTTCGCAGTACATTCTTGGAATCTGTGATACAAAGATGGGCAGTGAAAGACTGCCCACAAGGCACATGAGCCTCAAGTGGCTCCCAACAGGTCTTTAAACAGTAATGCGATCGATGATTACATGAATGCTGCTGCTGTGGAGAGCAGGCACATGGCATCTTTCAGCAAGGGGGTAAACGCTGCGGGGGAAGGATACGCCCGCACCACTTGCTGGGGTTAGCCACATGGGCAGCAGGCTGGGCGGTCAATCTGCACTCGGACCATATCCTCAGAAATCTGCGCCAGCCTGGCGAGACAGGTGTGTGCTGCGCAAACAGCTGTCTGTTTGGCACCCTCATGAGATCAACTGGGCCCAACTGGACTCTGACGCAACAAACAAAAGCCAATTGTAAGCATAGTCTAGACCAGGGCCACCGCATGCGATAATGCGATTAATGTGATATATAACTGAACGCGAGCATTTTGTAGTATTTTATTTCTGGCCGGTACAATGCGATAGAATGGGATCCACTCAAAACTGCTATTTTGGGGCCTTCAGAGCCTTTGAGGAATTCCTCCATCCCCAAGCCTGTGCACACTTCAGGTTTAGATGGAAAAGACAGGTTAAAGGATATTTCACTTTAATTTATCAGAGAAAACCTTCTCTTTACCTGGCTACCTACGTTTTGCCTGATTAAACAGTGGCAAAACCGTTGCGAATGCATTTTATCGCATTTATATCGCATTTTATTTGTCGCCAACAATGCTCGTATTCTGTTGCATTACATTTAAAAGAAGGATCGCATGCGGTGACCCTGGTCTAGACCACATCCAGTCCTAGGTCGAACTCAAATCTGGACTAGGCAGGGCGAAAAGAGGTCGAAGATGAGGTCGATGTGATATGTTGAGGTCTAAACACAATCCGACCAGGCCAAGTCGAAAATACCGACCAGGCAAGGGGGGGAGATCTTTGAGCTCAAACTGGTCTGACAACTGGGCGTGGAACTATAATGCAAGAGGTCTCTTGCTCTCGGAACCCACCCTCTGAAGCATGTGCCCTGGGAACACCCCAGTGAGATAGCCTAGGGGTGACATTTCTTGCGGCGTTTGATCTGGCCTGCTACCAGTCAAAAGAAAATAAGACACTTTTCTCAAATCCATTAGGCGTTTTTTCACTGTGCTAGACCTTGAATTTCACATTTCAAATGGTCCTGCTCCAATCACAGTGCTCTTGCGCAGGGTACAAGATCCCAAGGGGCGGCGCGTTCGAGTGGGTGTCCGGGGCGAATTACCTGGGGGAGATAATCGAATGGGGCGGCTACGCGGCAGCTGCCTGGTCGCTGCCGGCGGCTGCGTTTGCAATATTCACCCTCTGTAATATTGGGCCAAGAGCCTGGCAGCATCACCAGTGGTACAGGAAACGTTTTCATGACTATCCTCGCAACAGAAAGGCACTAATACCATTTGTCTTGTGAAATGTGCTTTTTGCTGTACTACAGGACATTGTTATTGGAGCATTTTGGGATTTGCTGGGATGCTTGGCCACACAACACTGGTTGCTTGAGCTATTACATGTGCACATTGTGCAGTGTGATCATTGACAACACAATAGCAACATTAGTACTGCTTCCTTTCACGCTTACATCAGCAGCAGGCGCATGTCAGGAACAGTACGAGGGACAAGTTTTACATATCACCAGTAGTTAAGTTCATATCACTTGTCAATCTGATGATGAACAGACTGACAAAACCCCAATGATGTGACAATGTGTCTATTAAGGGAGGCCTTCCTGTTTTCTGTAAGCCTCAAGTGCTTGAGCTGTTGAACCAAGAGCCAAATATCAAGACCGAAGCTCGCAGGCTTCATGCTAAACTGCAGTGCGATGCACGAAGCTTCAGCTAAAGCGTGCATGCAAGCGTCTGCAAGAGCATAAACAGCAGGACAAAGTTCTTCTGCGGTCTGTCAGGCAGTTTTGTCATCAACGATTGGCACATCGATGACATCAGGCTGTGAGGCTGACTAATGGACGGGGGGCACCCACGTCCAGGCTGGCACTGCCAGTGCCTGGGCCATACAGGGCGTCGCCAGAATAGGCCGCTGTTAGCTGGTAGCTTCCAGTCAGCAGCTTGGCAGCTGGTGATGTGGACCGTCCAGTCAGGGCCTGCACGGCAGCTGCCGCAGCAGCTAGGTGCTTCCGGGGCTGCAGCACAAACTCAGCCGCTCCGCCGGTGATATTCGCCTGCGCATGAAGCATGCAGCCACGTCAGTCTCCTTAATGTCTACTTGCTGGCATCTGTCATAGCAATGCATGCACTCTTGTAGCTCGGCGCTTGTCGTTTGACCTGGTAAGTAATAACAAGGCCTGGGCAACAACGTGTAAGGAGGTCTCTGCCATTTTGACGCAACACTGCGCATGTTCTGGCATGAGCTTCTAGACAAAGCCACAGAGATCTGGAAACATTACTTGGAACTTCCAGGTTGGAAGCGTTACCAAACATGACAGTCATTGAGCTCAGAGAAGGTGGGCGTACCGAGGCAAGGGTCACGTTGAGGGCAGATGCACCGAGAACAGGGGATTTGAGGCCGGAGAGAAATATGTTCACAACCCCGGCCGGGGGCGCGGTACCGTTGGAGCCCTTGACCGACGCAACCACCCTCAGAGGGTTTGAGCAAAAGGGTTATTGCAGGGCTGGGCTTGAAACTGCAACCGCTATGTGGGCAATATCCCCCAATTCAGTGGCCGTCAGCTGTCTGCTGGTCTCTCAACCATTGTAGATGGAGTAGCTGAAGTGACATGCTGACATGACCATGCTGATTCCAAGATGGACAAACACATGGTGACGTCATCGCTGACGTTGAGCAAAGTGGGAAACAGGACAAGGTCTTCGTCAAAGGCCTTTTGCAGCAGTGTATCTGAGATAAGAATTAGCAATAACGTTGCTGGAGTCAACGTTCGTTTGAAAAGTCTGGCAGGGAGCTGCGGGCCTTATAGTTGGTGACACTGGCAATGCGGGCCTCCAGCAGCTCAAGTTACGGGTATTTATTCTAAGACACCTCGCTGACGTTGAAAAGCAAATCTTGTTGAGACTAAAGACGGCAAGTCGTGCCCCCAGCTCACTGTTCCGGACATGTGCTCGCTTGACACCGCTTGAACCATCCATGACGTTCAGTGATGTGTGCAGCGAGGACACCTGGGTACTTGTATTCAGCAGGCCCTCGGTGCCTAAGATGTGTAAATCAATGTTGTCCATTTGGGTCACTCAAAATCTCGATGTTGCTTTTTTCCCATTAATTTCCAGTCTGACGGACGAGCGACTGTTGGCACAGATGGGGCGCCAGAAGCGTCGACGGTGCCTCCGTCGCATGCAAAACAGCCAGGGCCCACGGCATTTTCTGGATGACTGTGATACTCGCCTTCAACTCCCTGGTAGGGATGTTTGCGGTGCGACTTCTTTCAGAGTCCTTTCCCGCCTCTCCATGTAGTGTTGAGTGGCTCTGTGACAAGATTGAAGCCTCGCCTCTGGCCACGAAAATGTGCATTGGATGAGTCTAAATAGTTACATAGTGGATTTTTAGCTCAATAGCAGGGTGCGTCTAAGTCATCTATGCCAATTGCATAAGTCGAGTTTGGTGCAGGGAGCGGCCCAAACCAACCCGACAAGTTTCAACGTGTGCGGCAACGCGTTCTACGACGCTTCGGGCGTTGAATGGTGAGCAAGAACCTTTGTCTTGCATCCGTCCACTCCGCAGCCAACGGATGATTCTTATAATCAGTCTGACAGTTGCAAATCCGTCAATTCTTACGTTGTGACAGGCCCCTCTCCGCAAATGATTCGCACTGAAAGTCACTGTGTCTCTGCAGGTATGGCGCGAGCTTCATTGTCACGAGCTCAAGCGGAGCTTCCTGCATAAGCACCACCAATCCAATCGTCACCACTCCCTCCAGTTGCCCTGCTCCTAACTGCATCGAGTCCGAGCTGCAGGAGATGCTACAAAGTAAGATCTCCTCTCGCAAAATTGTCCGCATACTTGACACCTTTGAGAGTGTACAATCGGGAAAACATTTGGTGACAAATTGGGCTTTAGCGTCCTACATATATCACAGAGAGAGAGCTGCAAAGTGAAGCATCAGATCACCTGTAGCTGCAGTAGGACAGAGACGGAGATGTCTTTATTGGTGCATCCACGCACACACACTGCTAGACTGCAAATTCTCCCTTCTGTGCATTTGCACTCCCTCGTAAGTCTTGCAGTGTGTCTTGTTTAACCAGAACATAGCTGAACGCGTCGACATCTGTGCAGTTTCGCAGATGGGTGTCAATCTGACATACAATTACATCAACATCGGGTCCAATATTGGCAGGTTAGACACCAACTTTCAGGTGCGGTTCCAATCACAAATACCCTTCAACACAAACTGCCAGGGGGTACTAGAGAGTCTTTAGTAGTCTATAGTACCCCCTTACGATGTGGTCTTTAGTACCCCCTTAGACTGCATGCATGGTAGATCAGGTGTCTTGCAGGCAGAAAGCAGACGGCCTGTCACACTTGTACAAGATGCACTGAAGGCTTCCGGCTTACTCTTGCTCACCTTGTTTGCGGGCAGCTAAGATTGCATGCAGTCAGGCCTTAGGCTATCCCCTTGATATACGGCCATCTGAACAGACCCTTTCCATGCATGAGGGCAAGATGTTGTTTATCAACATGCACCCTTACTGGCGGGGCCTTTTCAGTTTGGCCCCGGCTGGCGGGTGTGGAAAAAATACTGAGCACCGTGCCAATGGTTGATTGGGTCTTGATTGGATCTGGCATGTCCATCAAGGGGTAGGATTTGTGGCAGCCTCTACCTGCAGCTTGTCTGCAGACGCACCTTGCCTCTGGCAGAAAAAGCGTGTAATTACAACAATAACTAAGCGCCCTGGGAATTAATGCCAATGTGCTTTGGCAGGTCACGCTATATTTTGCAGAGTACGTTGCCACAGCTGTGGGCCAGAGGGTCTTTGACATAGTAATCAACGGCGCCACCGTGGCGACTGATGTTGACATATTTGCTCTGGCGGGCGGTCAGGACAAAGCCGTGTCCTTGAGTTTTGTGGTCAACTCAGGTTCCATTTTATACTTTGACATCTTTCTCCCCACCAAGGTGAGCACACTCTCTGACCTCATTGCTTCTAAGGGACTGACATGTCAAATCCAACCAAACGTGCTCTCATGTATCACTGCTCGGCATACCAGGCTGTTTTGTGTAAGCTGATGAAGCCTTGCTGGCATGGAACGCTTGTTGCATGCAACCAGGGGGTTGTATATTAGATATAGAACTCCCTGATGCAATCAACTGTTTTGTGCAAAATTGTATCTTTTAAGCCAACTCCTCAAATCCCAATAGGCTTGTTTCAGGGTTATATCTGAGTGTTTCAGTGATATGCCTGTCAGCTGCGCAGCAGCCGCTAGGAAGCTGCACATTTAGTCAGGCCAAGCATCCTTCGTTTGGCACCTGCAAATCTTCAGGAGAATTGCTATCGGCTTCTCTCTGTGACGTTGCAGGTGGGCACCGGCAGCATTTTTGCTGGCGTGAGCTTTGGCTGGGCCACAAAAACAAGCATCAGCTACATGCCACTCAGCGGTGCCATTTGGGGTGAACCCATCACCCTGCAAGCCATCATTTCCTCCCTCAACCCAAGCCTGGGGAATATCACTGAAGGCGCCGTCTTTTTCTATATCGATGGAACGACCATTATTGGCGGCTCGGGGGTTGTAGGTGCGACCCTTTTCCTTCACACTCGTAAATATTGGACTCAAGTATGACTCCTGGAGAAATTACAAACACAGGGAATTCGGAAACTGTAAAAGTGCGGCTGGAACGAGACTAGCCTTGAAATGCTGATGAGTAATAATGATAATATTAACAAACAACAACACAGAGCCCTGGCTGGCGGGAGCCGGTACATCTACTGAGCATTGTGCACTATGTGGCAAAAACTTGTGGGGGGACCGGACTCTGGTCACCAGAGCTCCGTAACAGAGCCTAGAAGCAGAGACACAATCCCAGGGCGTTCCCCCTGTGATTCTGATGCCTTACTGATCTGCAGCCCAGCCGGACGGGACGGCGATCGCAACAATCGGCGTTCTTTCAAGTTCTTTCGGCACATGCTCTGGCGGTACATTTGAAGTGACAGCAAAATACCTGGGCTCCAACACGCTGCCAGCGCTTGTGTGGTCACTTGGAGTGGCATTCCTTACTCTTGAGCCTCTCTGTCCGGTGAGTCAGCCCCTGACTCGGCACTCAGTAATCCAACGCTTGCAGCATGCTCTTTCTTTGCTTGTATTCTGCACAGCAAGAGCAGAGAACTTTTTTGCATTGAGTTATTCTGAGTGCATGCACCCCTAACGAGTGCCCCGTCATGCTCAATATGCAGCTGATGCCATGACCATGTATCTCTCTACTCTGCCGTGTAGAGTCCAGGAGCTAGGTGGTTTACACCAGGCTTATGTATGCTGCACTGATGCGCTGACAAGATACAAGTTCTTATAACAATTTCCAAGGCACTGTTGTATACTGTTTTGTGTTGCGCTGTGCAGACAACCACCCCTGCGCCAACAACAGCCACCCCTGCGCCTACATCAACCACCCCTGCGCCCACAACAACCACCCCTGCGCCTACATCAACCACCCCTGTCACCAGCACTCCAACGCCCTCAACCACCCCCACCACAACCACCTCAAACCCCCCTACAACCACCGCGAGCCCTACCACAACCCCTACAAACCCTACATCAACTCCCCTGGCTTCTTCGACGCCCCCGCCCACGACTGGAAAAGTGGTTACCACACTGACAGCGGACTTCAGCCCAAACCCGCCGCTGCCGGGTCAGCCGCTCACAATCAGCGGAGAGGCAATTGCTTCCAGTGGCCCGGCCCCGACCGGCAATGTCACCGTCTATGTGAGTGCATCCCCTCACTTTAAATAGAAAACGAAGCCTTAGGGAAAAAAATGAGAAATATGAGGGTGAAAAAAAAACTGTAGAAAGTTAGTAAGCGCACTTGTTTGCATGCGCGCAATGTTAGACAAGCGCTGCTGCAGAGCTTTGTATTGGAGTCTGCTTGTTTAGCTGGCGCCAATTTGTCATTTGGATTTGCATGTTCGTGATGAGCAAGCTTATTAAGTGACCCAGAACTGTGCCTTCGAGGTAGCAGTGTGCCTCTTGAGGTTCTAGTATGCAGCTGCTTAAAGACTTCATGGTGTAAGTGCACTTCCGCTTGCAGTGAGGTCTGGGGCAGATATGCAAGTGTGGATCTGATTGGGAGTGCTGGACTGACTTCAATTCGATCTTTGCCGGGGTCAGGTCGACCGAGTTCCTGTGGCAGCTACCCAAGTGACCGGCAGCCGCCGGCGGCTGCTGACATCTTCGTCCCCCTTTTCCATCACCATTATCGCCCCCAGCAGCCCCGGAGTCCACATCATCACAGGTGGGCACGGGTCGATATTACAATGCCAGAAATCCCTTGTGGCCAGGAAGACACTTTCCTGGCTTTTAAGGACACATGAATTTTTGCTTTTGAAGCCCCCTTTGAGCTTTGCACTTCAATACGTGTTGCTGCGGAAGTGTTTCAGGCACCACCGGCTGCCTCAAGCAAGGGGCTGATAATACACATCTAGAGGCTCGCGAGCTGAAGCTGCATATGTGAATTGTTTCTGGCGGTTGCCATGCATGTGTCAAGCCTGTGAACACCTCTCCTCTGGTTTTGAACACCAAAATTGCTGGCTGTTCTGCAGTTGTCTTCTTCCCAACTTCTGGAGGCAGCGGCGGCGGAGTCGCGCCCGTAGTGGCGCCCGTAACGGTCACTGTCAACGTGGAAGGACCTGAGGCGAATGTGGCTCTCGCGATCTCAAGCCCTGCGCTGCAATTCCCCTCCTGTACAGACCCTGTGAGGGTGGTTGCATCGGTGACGGGCCTCAATAACACGGCGGCCCCCACCGGAGCTGTAATCCTATCCATCTCCGGCCTCAAATCCCCTGTCGCCGGCGCAACTCCCCTCAGCGTGACCCTAGCATCGGTGCGCGCACCCGTAATTGCTTCTTCTTCTTCACCTTAATGTAAGGAGCATGGCTCAAGTGCTGCACGTCACAAGGCTCTGAAGATCATCTGAGAAGCTTAAGTTTAGTTGTCCTGGATTGGCCTTTCTTGTCCGATTTATGCCCAAATTACTGCTGCACTTGCACAAATGCAGGGTGCAGTTTGAAGCATCAGAGGTCTAGGTGCTCACCTGCCAAAAGAACCTTTCTTCCATGCAAAATTTGTCATCGTATGGGACAAAGATACATGTGCACTGCTCATTGAATGCTTGGATACATGCATGCGCAGGCCAACATCACAGGAGGAGCGGCGGAATTCGTACTGCACCCGCGCAGCCACACAGCAGCTGCCATGCAAAAGTCTTCCAGCACCAAGCTGCTGCCGGGAAGCTACCAGCTGACAGCAGCCTATTCTGGCAATGCCTTGTATGGCCCAGCCACTGGCAGTGCCAGCCTGGACATTGGTGCCACCTGTCCATTAGTCAGCCTCTCGGCCTGATCGGATTACTAGTAACAACTGCCTGGTTGGCACAAAGTAATTGCATGATTAGGCAATCAGTGACTACCAAGGTTCTGGAGATGCTGTCGAACGAAACCTGTATGTCCGCAAATCCTAGCAAGTAATGCTGGCACCGCAAAAAGGGTCCAATATACTTAAGCTATCCTTAAGCTATCCTCCACGGCGGAGCAGATGTGTGTCTTCTCGCATGTGTGTAAGAAGAAGAAATCTGCGTTCCACCATTGTCCAAAATTCCAAGAATAGAAAGGCACTCCAGGTTGACGTCACGGGACAAAAGTATCAAAGCGTCATTGATGACGCGAAGATCTTTGCCGCCAAATCTTGCAAAGAGGCCTCGGGTATTCGGAACAAATTTACTGTCACTGGCGCCACTAAGGGTGGGACCCCAAAACTGATGGTAGCAGAGGGAGTGAAGAGCGCTGCATGACACCAAAGAATAATTCAGAATTTTGCATTCATAACTCATAGTTCAATAGCTGATGAGAGAATCTTGCAGTTGCATGTGCAACACAAAGATGCTGCTACGGACACCTTCAAACCTTGATCTTTATTAGAAATTATACAACAGGAGGCAACCTGATCTTCATGGATTGGAAAGGCGTGCAATAATAACAATAATAAAACAAGATGCAACCCTATGCCACTTGTTATGTGCTATCCTATAAGGCGAGGCTAACAGGTAAAGCTATTGCCTTGTAGTTCTGCCCAAGAAGGTTGCCCCATTCTGAATGATTCAACTCTCGCTTCTGGGAAGGCACAGGATTGATCACCATGCCATCAGTACATGGTATTTTGCGCTGCTCTGCGCATTTTTAAAAGGCTAAGCAGCGGGCTGTATCGATGCACCAATTATGATATGGACCCCTGGAGTGCTGGGGGCGATAACTGTGGCGGAAAAGAGGGAAATTGATGACAGCAGCCATCGGCCGCTGCTGCCCTCTGGGTATACGGGCACAGTCGCCACAGGAACGCCGTCGACCTCATCACAGCAAAAATTCTTAGAATTGGGACCTGCATGTTTTCAAGCTATGCTGACCGGACAAAGAGCACGCAAATGGTATCGATTACCGTTATTGTGACAGAACTGCGGCTTGCATGTCTTTGAGCCATGCTGACCAGACAAGGGAAGCTATAACATGGAACCACAAGCCTTTGAAGCTGTGTTGAATTATTATTATTATTATTATTACTATTACAGTGTCGGCAAACCCAAAGCCCGAAGGCCATAGGGCATACACACAGAGTGTCTGCAGCCACATCTGTGGAGCCTGAAGGTCTGGTCTGCAGCCCATATGGTATTATACTAAAAGTCTGAGTCCAAGTGAGGCGTGCGTATTAAGGAACATACCACCACCCCCACCACCAAACAACGCTACACAACACAGCAAGCAAATGCATATATATATATTGAATGCACAAAACAAGCGCTCGGATAAGAAACAGGACTCTGGAAGAAATCTCTGCAATCTGCTTGCTGCACCCTGCTTTGCAGAGTCTCCGCCTGGATCACACTGACACAGTTTCTGCAAAAATTGCACCACTCTGTTGTTGTCCAGACACTGCTTGCAAGTGCTAGCTGCTGCACAACTTGCATGACATCCAGCAGCTGGCTGCCGCTCGCAGAACGGCCGCCATTCAACCCTCAATAGCTACAGCAATGGCAATCTTCCTGTGACAGTTACAGTAGCAGTCATCCTAGTCTTTTGAGAGAGGCAAGGTGCGTCTGCAGACAAGATGCATGTAAAGGCTGCCAGCATGGCATGCAAACTTGGAAAACTAAAGCGCCGAGTATCCGCCATGACACAGTAGTAGTAGCAGTTTTCACCGTAGTAGTTTTCTTAGTCGTGTGCCTGAAGAGGGGTTGCATTCACATAGCTGGTGACATTGCCAGTGATGGGTGGTCCACTGGAAGCAATTGCCTCTCCGCTGATTGTGAGAGCGGCTGACCCGGCAGCGGGTTTGGGCTGAAGTCCAAAGTCATGGTGACTGTGACCTTGCCAGTGGTTGGGGAAGGCGTATTGGAAGCCAGGGGAGTTGAGGTGACGACTGCCGGGGTTGTTGTAGGGCTGGCAGGGGTTGAGGTAGGGTTTGCAGGGGTCGTGGTAGGGCTCGGGGTAGTTGTAGGGGGGTTTGAGGTGGTTGTGGTGGGGGTGGTTGAGGGCGTTGGAGTGCTGGTAGCAGGGGTGGATGATGTAGGCGCAGGCGTGGTCTGCACAAAGAATAGAATTAGAAGACTAGAAGGATTAGAAAATCTGCTTTCAGAGAATCACTGCCAAATGGACAGGCAACCATCTACATGTGTCAGCCAATCGATCAGCAATGCATTGCCGTAAAGAAGAAGAACCAATATGCCCTCTTATTCTTAGTGCCAGATCCACGACACAAAAAAGACAAAATGGTCTCCTGCATCTGCAGCATGCAACCTGATGAAAGCCTACACGGTGCTCAGAGGACAGAATGCATAAGAGGAACCCTGCCGACAAGCTGCAGTTACACGCTGCCATAATCCTACCCCTTGGTGCACTCGCCAAATCCAAGCAACCCCAATCAACTGTGGGCACGGTGCTCAGTATTTGCACCGCCTCCGCCAGCCGGGGTTAACACAGGCATATTTTTGTTTTATTAAAACTTAGGTTTGAGGGTGAATCCTGTATATAAAAGTCTAGCATGCAAAAGAAAAGAAACACATGTTGCTTGAGAGCGATACTTTTGTCCTGTGACGTCAACCTGGAGTGCCTTTCTATTTTTGGAATTTTGGACAATGGTGGAACGCAGATTTCTTCTTCTTACACACATGCGAGAAGACGCACATCTGCTCCGCCGTGGAGGATAGCGTAAGGATGCTTAAGTATATTGGACCCTTTTTGCGGTGCCAGCATTACTTGCTAGGATTTGCGGACATACAGGTTCTGTTCAACAGCATCTCCAGAACCTTGGTAGTCACTGATTGCCTAATCATGCAATTACTTTGTGCCAACCAGGCAGTTGTTACTAGTAATCCGATCAGGCCGTGAGGCTGACTAATGGACAGGTGGCACCAATGTCCAGGCTGGCACTGCCAGTGGCTGGGCCATACAAGGCATTGCCAGAATAGGCTGCTGTCAGCTGGTAGCTTCCCGGCAGCAGCTTGGCGCTGGAGGATTTGTCAGCGCCCGTTAGGGCCTGCACGGCACCTGCTGTGTGGCTGCGCGGGTGCAGTACAAATTCCGCCGATCCTCCTGTGATGTTGGCCTGCGCATGCATGTATCCAAGCTTTCAATGAGCAGTGCACATGTATCTTTGTTCCAGACGATCACAAATTTTGCATGGAAGAACGGTTCTTTTGGCAGGTGAGCACCTAGGCCTCTAATGCTTCAAACTGCACCATGCATTCGTGCAAGTGCAGCAGTAATTTGGGCATAAATCGGACAAGAAAGGCCAATCCAGGACATCAAAACTTAAGCTTCTCAGATGATCTTCAGAGCCTTGTGACGTGCAGCACTTGAGACCTGCTCCTTACAGCAAGGTGAAGAAGAAGCAATTCTGGGTGCGCGCACCGATGCTAGGGTCACGCTGAGGGGAGTTGCGCCGGCGACAGGGGATTTGAGGCCGGAGATGGATAGGGTTACAGCTCCGGTGGGGGCCGTCGTGTAATAGAGGCCCGTCACCGATGCAACCACCCTCACAGGGTCTGTGCAGGAGGGGAATTGCAGCGCAGGGCTTGAGATCGCGAGAGCCACATTCGCCTCGAGTCCTTCCACGTTGACAGTGACCGTTACGGGCGCCACTACGGGCGCGACTCCGCCGCCGCTGCCTCCAGAAGCTGGGAAGAAGACAACTGCAGAACAGCCAGCAATTTTGGTGTTCGAAACCAGAGGAGAGGTGTTTACAGGCTTGACACATGCATGGCAACCGCCAGAATCAATTCACATACGCAGCTTCAGCTCGCGAGCTTCTAGTTGTGTATTATCAGCCCTTGAGGCTGATAATATACAACATAATACACATATTGAGGCCCTTGTGTATTATCAGCCTTGAGGCAGCCAGTGATGCCTGACACACTTCCACAGCAACACGTGTTGAAGTGCAAAGCTCAAAGGGGCCTTCAAAGCAGAAATTTATGTGTCCTTATAAAGCAGGAAAGTGTCTTCTTGGCCACAAGGGATTTCTGGCACTGTAACATTGAACCGATGCCCACCTGTGATGATGTGGACTCCGGGGCTGCTGGGGGCGATAATGGTGATGGAAAAGGGGGATGAAGATGTCAGCAGCCGCCGGCGGCTGTTAGTCACTTGGGTAGCTGCCACAGGAACTCGGTCGACCTGACCCCGGCAAAGATTGAATTGAAGTCAGTCCAAAACTCCCAATTGGATCCACACTTGCATATCTGCCCCAGACCTCACTGCAAGCAGAGCTATACTTACACCATGAAGTCTGTAAGCAGCTGCAGACTACAACCTCAAGAGGCACACTGCTACCTCGAAGGCACAGTTTTGGGTCACTTAATAAGCTTGCTTATCACGAACATGCAAATCCAGATGACAATTTGGCGCCAGCTAAACAAGCAGACTCCAATACAAAGCTCTGCAGCAGCGCTTGTCTAACATTGCGCGCATGCAAACAAGTGCACACACTAACTTCAACAGTTTTTTTTCCTTTCTCAATTTTCTCATATTTTTCCTAAGGCTTCGTATTCTATTAAATATGAGGCAATGCACTCACATAGACGGTGACATTGCCGGTCGGGGCTGGGCCACTAGAAGCAATTGCCTCTCCGCTGATTATGAGCGGCTGACCCGGCAGCGGCGGGTTTGGGCTGAAGTCCGTCGTCAGTGTGATAACCACTTTTCCAGTCGTGGGCGGTGGCGTCGAAGAAGCCAGGGGAGTTGATGTAGGGTTTGTAGGGGTTGTGGTAGGGCTCGCGATGGTTGTAGGGGGGTTTGAGGTGGTCGTGGTGGGGGTGGTTGAGGGCGTTGGAGTGCTGGTAGCAGGAGTGGTTGTTGTAGGCGCAGGGGTGGTTGTGGAAGATGCAGGGGTGGTTGTTGTAGGCGCAGGGGTGGTTGTCTGCACAGCGCAACACAAAATCCATTCAACAGTACCTTGGAAATTATTGAAAAAATTTGTACCTTGTCAGTGCATCATTGCAGCATACATACAGGAAGCCTGGTGAAAACCATTGTCTCTGTACGGTAGAGTAGAGAGATACATGTTGATGGCATCAGCTGGATATTGAGCATGACGGGGCACTCGGCAGGGGTGCATGCACTCAGAATAACAAATGCAAAAAAGTTCTCTGCTCTTCCTTTGCAGAATACAAGCAAAGGAAGAGCATGCTGCAAGCGTTGGATTACTGAGTGCCGAGTCAGGGGCTGACTCACCGGACAGAGAGGCTCAAGTGAAAAAGAACCCAATCCAAGTGACCACACAAGCGCTGGCAGCGTGTTGGAGCCCAGGTATTTTGCTGTCACTTCAAATGTACCGCCAGAGCATGTGCCGAAAAAACTTGACAGAGTGTTGAATGTTGCAATCGCCGTCCCGTCCGGCTGGCCTGCAGATCAGTAAGGCATCAGAATCACAGGGGGAACGCCTTGGGATTGGGTCTCTGCTTCTTGGCTCTGGGACGGAGCTCTGGTGACCAGAGGCCGGTCCCCCACAAGTTTTTGCCACACAGGGCACGATGCTCAGTAGATGTACCGGCTCCCGCCAGCCAGGGCTCTGTTTGGTTATTTGTGATTATTATTCTTACTCATCAGCATTCCAAGGCTTCGCTCGTGCCAGCCGCACTTTTACAGTTTTCTTCCAAATTCCCTGTGTTTGTAGTTTCTCCACGAGTCATACTTGAGTCCAATGTTTTTGAGTATAAGTGAAAAGGGTCGCACCTACAACCATCGAACCGCCTATGAACACTCCATCGATATAGAAGGATACGGCGCCTTCAGTGATATTCCCCAGGCTTGGGTTGAGGGAGGAAACGATGGCTTGCAGGGTGATGGGTGCACCCCAAATGACAAAGCTGGGTGGCATGTAGCTGATGCTTGTTTTTGTGGCCCAGCCAAAGCTCACGCCAGCGAAAATGCTGCCGGGTCCCACCTGCAACGTCACAGAGAGAAGCCGATAGCAATTCTCCTGAAGCTTTGCAGGTGCCAAACGAAGTGTGCTTGGCCTGACTGAATGTGCAGCTTCCTAGCGGCTGCTGCGCAGCTGACGGGCATGCTGAACAAGTACAATGGGATTTGAAGACTTGGCTGAAAAGATACAACTGTGCACACAACAGTTGGTTGCATCAATGGTTTCTATATCTAATATACAAGCCCCTGGTTGCATGCAACAAGCGTTCCATGCCAGCAAGGCTTCATCAGCTTACACAAAACAGCCTGGTATGCCGAGCAGTGATACATGAGAGCACGTTTGGTTGAATTCGACATGTCAGTCCCTCAGAAGCAATGAGGTCAGAGAATCACAGAAAGTGTGCTCACCTTGGTGGGGAGAAAGATGTTGAAGTATATAATGGAACCTGAGTTGACCAGGAAATTCAAGGACACAGCTCTGTCCTGACCGCCCGCCAGAGCAAATACGTCAACATCAGTCGCCACGGTGGCGCCGTTGATTACTATGTCAAACACCCTCTGGCCCACAGCTGTGGCAACATACTCTGCGAAATACAGCGTGACCTGCCACAGTACATTGGCATTGATTCCCTTCCAGGTCAGGGCGTTTACTTGCCGTTGTTATTACACGCTTTTCCTGCCAGAGGCAAGCTGCAGGTAAAGACTGCCACAAATCCTACCCCTTGATGGACTTCCCAGATAAAGGCCCCGCCAGTAAGGGTGCATGCTATTAACAATATCTTGCCCTCATGCATGGAAAGGGTCTGTTCAGATGGCCATAGATCAAGGGGATAGCTCAAGGCCTGACTGCATGCAATGCTAGCTGCTAGCAAACAAGGTGAGCAAGAGCAAGCCGGAAGCCTTCAGTGCATCTTGTACAAGTGTGACAGGCCGTCTGCTTTCTGCCTGCAAGACACCTGATCTACCATGCATGCAGTCTCAGGGGGTACTAAATACCACTTCGTAAGGGGGTACTATAGACTACCAAAGACTCTCTAGTACCCCCTGGCAGTCTGTGTCAAAGGGTATTTGTGATTGGAACCGCACCTGAAAGTTGGTGTTTATTAAGCCAATGGACCCAATGCCGATGTTATTGTATGTCAGATTGACACCCGTCTCCGAAACTGCACAGATGTCGATGCGTTCAGCTATGTTTTGGTTAAACAAGACACACTGCAAGACTTACGAGGGAGTGCAAATGCACAGAAGGGAGAATTTGCAGTCTAGCAGTGTGTGTCCGTGGATGCACCAATAAAGACATCTCCGTCTCTGTCCTACTGCAGCTACAGATGATCTGATGTTCACTTTGCAGCTCTCTCTCTGTGATATATGTAGGACGCTAAAGCCCAATTTGTCACCAAATGTTTCCGATCGTACACTCTCAAAGGTGTAAAGTTTGCGGACACTTTTGCGAGAGGAGATCTCACTTTGTAGCATCTCCTGCAGCTCGTGTTCGATGCAGTTAGGAGCAGGGCAACTGGAGGGAGTGGTGACGATTGGATTGGTGGTGTTTATGCAGGAAGCTCCGATTGAGCTCGCGACAATGAAGCTCTTGCCATACCTGTAGAGACAACAGTAACTTTCAGTGCGAATCATTTGCGGAGAGGGGCCTTTCAATACGTAAGAATTGAAGGATTTGCAACTGTCAGACTGAATATAAGAATCAGCCGTAGGCTGCGGAGTGGACGTATGCAAGAAAAAGATTCTTGCTCACCATTGAATGCCCGAAGCGTCGTTGAACGAGGTACCGCACAGGTTGAAACTTGTCGGATTGGCTGGGATCGCTCCCTGCACCACTCTCGATTTATGCAATTGGCATAGATTTCTTGGACACAACCTGCTATTGAGTTCTAAATCCATTATATAACTATTTAGACTCTTTCAATGCACATTTGACGTGGCCAGAGGCGAGGCTTCAATCTTGTCACAGAGCCATTCAACACTACATGGAGAGGCGGGAAAGGACTCTGAAAGAAGTCGCACCGCAAACACGAGGAAGTTGGAGGCAATTACGACAATTATCCAGGAAATGCCGTGGGCCCGTGCTGTTTTGCATGCGACGGAGGCACCGTCGACGCTCCTGGCACCCCATCTGTGCCAACAGTCGCTCGTCCGTCAGACTGGATATTAATGGAAAAAGTGCAACATCGAGATTTTGAGTGACTCAAACTGACAACATTGATTTACACATCTTAGGCACCGAGGGCCTGCTGATTACAAGTACCCAGGTGTCCTCGCTGCACACATCACTGAACGTCATGGATGGTTCAAGCGGTGTCAGGGCGAGCACATGTCCGGAACAGTGAGCTGGGGGCACGACCTGCCGTCTTTAGTCTCTAGAACATATGCTTATCAACGTCAGCGAGGTGTCTTAGAATACACACCCGTGACTTGAACTGCTGGAGGCCCGCATTGCCAGTGTCACCAACTAAGGCCCGCAGCTCCAAGGCCCGCAGCTCCCTGCCAGACTTTTCAAAGCAAACGTCGACTCCAGCAACAGTGTTGCTAATTTATGTCTTTATTACACTGCTAATACCTATTAGCGGAACAAAAGGCCTTTGACGAAGACCTTGTCCTGTTTCTCACTTTGCTCAACGTCAGCGATGACGTCACCATGTGTTTGTCTATCTTGGACGCAGCATGGTCATGTCAGCATGTCATTTCAGCTATTCCATCTACAATGGTTGAGAGACCAGCAGACAGCTGACGGCCTTAATTAAAATATATGCAACCCCCGCCCCACAGAACGTCCACTTAATGAGCCAATTGCAATTCATTTGTTCAGCAACTTCCCTTGAAGCCTTCTGTAAGTTCCTGTCCATTATTACTAAACTTATCATTAAAGATCGGCACACCCACAGCAAAAGGATACAGGGCATATATGCAGGCCGTCTGCAGCCACATCTGCGGGGCCTACAAAAGTCTGCAGCTTAGTGTCCAGTATTGATTGCACATCTAGCGCCAAGGCTCTCAGTCACTCTGTCACTAGCGGCAGCGCCAGAGGTTGGTGCCCAAAGCACTGCCCGCTCAGGTTCTGCCACATCTGCCGAGCAGTCGAGCTCAGCCAGAAGTAGCAGCGCAGAAGCCGGATGCTGACGCTGATGCGCAGCCGCCGTCGCCGGGATTGTAAGCTGCCCTCGTATTGTACCCTGCCCCCGGGGAGCCGACATATCGACATGCCCTGCGCAGCACACAGCAACACTCAGGCTGAGTGACTCAATTGATTGCAGACGTACAGAAATATGTATGGTGAGGATACCTACCTGCATTAGAGCGCAGGATTTTTCAAGCAACTCTAGCCTCCCAGGAGGTACTGAACAAAAGCTGAAAACTACCCAAGCAGTGGCTGATGAGGGGTCCCTGATGCTCTGACAACTGCCAGAGAAGGGGAGCTGTCCCACTTTAGCCGATACCTCAAGGCATTGCACTTGCTGCATTGACTGTCCAGAAGAAGCACTGTCTCAATTTGGCCTGAGGCTGCAAGTCTGGCCCAGAAAGAACCCTTTCTCTTCTGTGAGCCACCAAGGAGCTGACGAACAGATGGAGAAGGAAGGAAGGAACTTGCACATCAGCTCCAGCCATCGAATTGGGTCTGCATCCCGTTTTGCAATGTGTCTGCTGACATCAGCGCTGAGTCAGCGGGCGGTGACTAACCTTGAGCGCATAGGTGGCGTTTATGCGCAGCCGGTCGGGCACCGAGGATCCCAGCTTTGTTGCGGCGCCACGAGTGATCGCACTGACCTTCAGAAAATCCACCAGCGGCCTTGGCAGCCCCTCTAACAGCCGCCCCAGATCCCCAATGGACGAAACCCCTGCAGAGCCAGTAAGCCAGAATCACAGGAATGTTGGGGCATTCCCTCTCACAGCGCGTCCCCAGGGTTCATTTGAGGATCGACTGCCCTGCAGCAATCCAACAGCAATTCAGGTCCGTTGCTTTTGGGCTGCAGAGGCTGTGCTTTTTCCCTTTAAACTTTTCTGAAAACACACATTAGAAGAAAGCTCTGGCGCATCTCTGACCATGTTCACACCAAGTGTTCTGCTGTCGTCTTTAGTCCTGCTGCGTGTTCAGTACCATCTTTAGTCCTGCTGAGTGTTCAGTACCAACAGGAAAGGGCTAGATTGTTGAGCTTTTGCCTCGCACCGGCTTGTGAGCGCAGGGCTCGCCGCTGTTCCTCGCTCCTTAGGGCGCCCGGCCGCAGCAGTTTGGGCAGAAGCTCGCCCCCTCGCTCCCCTGCACACAGCACAAACCACGCCCCAGATCAGGATTCCGCGCCCCTCCCTTATCATAGCAGCACACCTTCACCACAGGAAACAACCCGAAGACCCAAGGAACCTTCCTACCACTGCAATGAGTTCTAGACCTCTGGCATGCAGTTTGCGCCCCGTGTGCCCGCACCAACTTGCGGGGAGAGAACTGACAAGCATGAGGTTTGCCAAGAGTTCTGGCACAGTATTTCAAGGTAATCGGTCCCTATGTCAATGCCCCATGAATATTCGGACAAGTCCTTCACACGGACCTCAATGACTGTGCCATCATCTAGGAGGGCAGGGGATATGCACCCCGGTATACCTCTGAAGAGAGTGAAAGCAGCAAACCTGCAATCTGGGTGGCGACGGCTGCGGCGGTGGCCTGGTCGTTGAGCACAAAGGAGCACCAGAGCTGGCAGTACTGCTGCCGCAGCGCGTCAGGGATTTCCACTATGAGCCCGTGGTCCAAAAGCACCAGCTGCGGCTCCTGCCACTGCCCCCCAAACCAGCGGTACCAGAAGCCTGTAGCCAGCACACTATTCCCTGAACATGATGATGTACTCCTTATCATGTAAGTTAGGCTTGGCCCAATTATTAGCGCAAAAACTCTGCACTAATGCTGTGATGACAGGCCAGCAATGTGCCCTCCCTGACAATATACAGGCATCTGCAGAATGGAAAGCTGGGCAAAAAAAACAACAGCTGACTCGATATACAAACGCCTTGATGCGCAAGCATGCTGCGTGCATGTGACCAACAATCATGAGTACCCATGCGTTCAGGCTGGATTTCAGCACCAGTGGAAGCAGCAGAGGACAGCAATAATTGTACTCACGTTGCGGGGCTGGGTGCGCCCGTACAAGGATGTTCCCTCCATGCGGATCCCCATGCACTGCAAGCCACGGATGTCCAGTGAAGCCACTTGCGCCAAATCCTCACAGGTAGAATGCCATGTTGTGGCAAATGGATGCTGCGCGCTCTGTCGCAAGTGTCTCACTGAACAAGATCGCCTCAGCATGCATGATCATGCCAGTTGTGGCAAATGGATGCTGGGGACAAAGCAATTGCGGGGCTTCAAGCGTCCAAGATTAATTAGGCTTTCTAATCCATCTGGACTCAAGGGAAATATCTTTGTCAGCCGATATCTATTGCAATATACACACAACAAATGCCATCCTTCAGCGCACAGGCCAGGGCGTGGCAGCAGTAGCAGAGGCACTTGAAAACAGCCTTGAAAGGGCATTTTGCTGTATTATTAGTAGTGCTACACTAGATCCAATCCTTTTGGCTGGTGACAGATGCACAGTAAAGAGGGATGACTCGGCGCTCACCAAAGCCGTCGACAAAGGTCATCTGGGCAAACGCATGGAGCAGCTCTAAGGCGACGTCGTGTGGGTGCACGCGCATGGCCACCAGGGCCTCCATGTCTGTCAGCTTGCAGCCGTCGATCCACTCCATAGTCAGCACCCGCTCCCCAGACAGCTGCGAGAAGTTTCCACACGGCGCCCTCATTTAGACCAGTGAACCATTGCTCTGAAAGTGAAAAGGACAAGAATTTCAGGTATTGTATGCCTGTCCAGCAACTTCATTACACGCCCACTGGCAGCATGGGGTTTCCCAGGGCTTCTGACCATCCTGCCTTGGGGTAAGGAAAGCTGTCGTAATTGACACAGCCACCAGGAAGGACATTTTGCCCCAGACACAGGCCCCTTCTGCCCCAGAACTTCGTTCAGAATGCTGTCACCCACAAAGATAGAGGACTCGGAACCATTCCTCTTCTGTTCCACCAACATGCTAAGAACAACGAGCTCACTTTGGTTGACGGGACTCTTCCACCCCAGAACTGCAATCAGAAACGGTCTTCCACAACAACCTAAAAGAAGCAGGCATGACAGGCAGCCATTGGTGAGGGCGCTTGCGCAGCAGCAGCAAGGGGAAGCCAGCTCAACTCCAATCGAGTGCACCCGGAGCATTTTCTAGATTTTGTGGGTGCTCTGTTTTAACGTTGTTCAAAACAATGTTGGAGGGCAGACCAACCTCGGGCACGGGCAGCGGAACGGCAACGCCGCGGCGGCCGGCAAAGGCGGCGGCGAGTCGCTGCGCGTTGGCCGCCTCCAGCCGGAAGTCCAGCTCCTTTGCCAAATTCTGGCGCAGCTCTGTCAGCACCCACCTGAGCAGGACAAACACCGCTGTTGTGTGCGATATGTTTTATTGCCCAGGTTTGCACACATGCCCACATTAAAGTGAAAGATACTGACGGGTACCCGGGCACACTTCCGTGAATACAGGAAGGGCATGCAAAGAGTGCACAAGTAAAGCTCAGGTCAAACGTGCATTTCTGGCAGGCGAAATGTCCAGTGCACGCTGCTATGGGAATTTGGAGGGTACAGGCATATCCATATCTTGTCACTTTTTCAGTTTCAGTTGGATTCTCAGTAGTGCATGGCCCAGCAAGCAAGCAGCCTAAACGTGGACGCGCTCTGGGGGCAGGCCTTATGCCAGCACCATAAGCATAACCACAGAATATTGCCAAAGAGAAATCTGTACAACTGCCTTGCATGCCCGGTGTTACGGGCCGCACCCAAAGTCAAAGGAGTCCGGGAAGAAGCGCGCTGCCGCGTCGGCCAGAAGTGACAGCGTAGTGAAATCCGCATTGACGGCAGTCTCCAATCCCAGGTACTGCACTTTGACCGCCACCTCCCTCCCGTCCGCCAGCCGTGCCTTATGAACCTGCCATACACCCCCGGATTATAAGCCCTGCACCCTGGACCATGGACCCTTCCTGGCTGTGCACCTGCCTTGCGCAGAATGCAAACCATTCGGCTACGCAGAGCCTTGGACCCCGAAAGCTATGGTCCCCAACTCCTAAAATGTCATTTTCGGCAGCTTCTCAGTGACGCCTGAAGGGTACGCAACATAAGACGCCCAGTGGTGCAAATGTGGGCCGTAGAAATGCAGGAACCGCCTGGACTTTTATGGAAGATGGAAGCTGGAAGCAAAGAGCATCACATGTTCTTCGCTCACGCATCGGGTGAGGTTAAACATAGAGAGGGAATGCTGCGTGCCTGCGCCAGCGAGGCGGCCGCACGCGCCTCCGGCTCGAACTCAACGAAGAGCGCGCCGATCGGCAGCCCCAGTTCGCGCTGTATGGCCAGCTCCACGTCAGCGTAGGGCCTCGGCTCTGCCTGGTCCTGGAGCACCTCCAGCGCCCTGATCAGGCACCATGTACAATTTCAAGTTCAGCGCTGACAGCCAAAAATAATATTAGTTGGATCTGGGCTGCCGTGAGCAACTGGTCTAATTTAGGTGGCATGGGCCGATGCCACTGATGCGGCAACATGCACGCCTTTTGACCCTGTTTCATATCTTTTATGATGCCGCATGCACATGCCCCTGCCATAGCTTGCTTGGAAGGATCGATTTGTGCAGACGCAGCCAGGATCATGAGGTGCTTGAAAACAATGTCTGGTTCATAAGAGCACCATAATATGACAATAGATTGTGGGAGCACCACAGAGAACCTCATCTGGACCTATTCCATCTTCAAAGGTTACTTTGCCACTTGTGGTAGGCAGATGATAAGGGCGACGCACGTGCGGTATTCTGCAGGCACGGTCTGCGCGGTGCTGAGCAGCTGCGCGGCCTTCACGTAGACTCCGCCGTTGCTCTGGCACAGCCGCAGCAGCCGCCGGGCGCACGCCCCGTGCAGCAACGCCAGGTCATGCCTGTACTCCTCGCTGCCCCGGTCCTGCGGGGGGATAAGTTAGGGTTTATGCATTGGGGGCTTGGTAACAATCCAGGCCCAGAGAGTGTGAAAGAGATTGCAGAAATGAGAGAGAACTATTTTTGCTCACAGAGTGCTTGGTGTTGCCCCGCAGGGGTTTTGCAGGGGTTTTGCAGAAGGCAACCCAGCTGAGACAATTTGAGGACATGACGAGAACAGGTATTTTGCCTTGCAACCTGCGCTGTAGTGTAAGCTTGTACCAATATCAATTTTGGACTCAGGGGCTCAGGAGCAAAGGAGGAGGCTACAAGCCGGCCCATAAAGATTGCAACAATCTGATGATGAGAATTTTACAGTCGTGCTGTTGGGAGGTTGGGGCCTCTCTGTCTTTGATGGTATCACAGTGCGGGAATAGGAGAGCGCACCGAGTGGGTGACCATACATCTGACGTAGGCGAGGCCGCTGCGCACGCCCCAGGAGACAGCCCACGCCGTCCTCGGCACCGACGCCAGCACCGCACCCGCCCTCACCTGCCAGCATGTGCGCCACCTCAGCGCACAGTCAGCATGCAAACTTGAACCAAGAATCCAACTTACATCAGACCATAGACCAAGTTACGAGTATCTAAAAGCAACGCTGCCTTGAATGTTACCACACCTAGAGGTCAAGCTACTGCCTCATGGATCAGCGGACACTTATACAGTACTGACCACAATTCAACGCCCATCATACTGACACCAGGAAAGACTTGCAGGGCTGCAGAAGTGTTTTTCAGCCTTCAGGGCAACGGTGGCTTTGCAAGGGTGACGACAGGCCAGTGAGTGCATACAGAAGCAGCAAAGTATGCGCATGTCCATAGCTTCTACTCGTCATTTACGCCTGCTATCTTTCATCAGCTGTATGATGCTTGCCAGGCAAGCTTTTCTGGCAGCCAGGGATGTGGACAGAACATGCCTCATCAAAGTCGCAGGCCACGAGCAGAGCGAGGCCCGCCCCGCTGAAAGCGACAGCAGCAAACGCCGGGATCCGCATCCACCGCCGCTTCCCCCTGACACTGGCTGCTGATCGCTGCAGCACTGCCCTCCCATCAGCCTTCTCCGACCCTGCATGCATCATAATTGTGATTATCACACGTTCTTCAGTCCCAAGGATTACATCAAGCAACACCTGTATCACTGCTTTCCAGTCCTCTCGAATCTCGCAGTTCCTCCACCAGTCATGTGCATGCCCAATTGCATCAAGGCCATCTCTCTCATATAGTTTAATATCCAGCTCTGCATGCTTTCCTACTCACCAATAATGAAAATGTGATTCACGTGCCCTTTGCATGTGTGCGTGCCCCACAGTGCGTGACCCAATCCAATGCAGCAATGCACAGGAAACGAATGATAGAAATGGCAGGATAGGGACTTCTATATCATCCTATTGACTGCACTGGGAGGCAATGCCTGATCAAGACCTGGACTCGCCTTTGACTAAGGTGGTAAGGAGTCTGCCTGCGCTGATCCTCAGCAGGACGTCCTTCTGCAAGGCTTGCTTCATAGGAGACAAAAAGAGCTGCTTCAGACCGCTCGTGCGTAGCGTATGTGCACGAGGATGTGGCTTTGCTGTGCTGTACTGCCGTACTGCTTCCCAAAAGACACCAAGCCTCCTACCCGGCAGAGTATGTGGCCAGCTGCATACAGAGCTCCGTTTGCTGGCTGACACGCTGCTGCCAAGGTGCTGTTGTTGTGAAGAACCAGCCCAGAACTGCGATCTGTCAGACAACGACTGCCATGTGCTGTGCTGGCATGAGAAGGTCTGGAACAGCTTCATAGCCGCAGACCGCGACTATCACTTTAACAGAACTGTGTCTTTATCGTGCTGTTCCAATCATTTTCATCGCCTGAAAGAGGTAAGAGTCTGTGAGGATGCTGCTGTACAGATCAGTGCCCAACAAACCCTAGGCAACTTGAAGCGGATGATACCAATTCGCTATCCCTCTTTCCAGACAGTAATAAAACCCATGACATCAACAAAAATAAATGGAATGTCTGCAGAGAGCCAAGAGTCGCTGCAGAACCACGGGCAGGCATTGCATCGTGGCATGTGTGTAATAAAATTTCGCGATAATTCCAGTAACCCGACAGTAAAGTAGTCTGCGTACAACTGTACCTCACACATACGAATCGCTTGACTTCTGAACGAAACTGTGATTCCCTCAAAGGCGAGTGATCATATGACGTCACTGTCGTCGACGTCATCAAAGCTAGCATGGAGTTTTCCTTCTGTGGCAGCACGGAGAAATTTTAGGGCAATTGGAGAGGATAGTGTTGAGTAGTAATCTTTATGAGTGGCGAAACCAGAGCCCAGAGGGCCATAGGGCATACACAGGTTGTCTGCAGCCGGAACCTTTGGGCCGTGTATATCCAATGTTTAGGTCATGTTTCCAAGCGTTCCCTTTCCTTATGACCAGGTAGCTCAATAGGCAGCCAGCTGAGCGCAATAACTGAGCAGATTGCATTTGCCCTGCGCGTGCTCCACAACCAAAGCAGAGCAGACACAAGAGGTGATCCCAAGTGCAGCCTACATCTGCATAGAGTATGCAGCATGACGCTTTCACCCCTCCCTTTGTAATATCCAGCTGCCAAAACTACCATGTGTCACAATAGCACAATAATTGCCGCAATGTCAGGCACAATGCACAGTATCAGACAATTCACACATACCTCCTAGACCAATGCTCTGAAAGCCTCTCAAACTCAAAACAAAATTTCCGAGACCAGGATACGGTAGTGTCAAGAGTGCTGAATATGTGGCCAAGAGACCGATCAAATTTTCGGTTGCCACCTAGACCCGCATCATGAGGATCTCTTCTGCTTCTGCTGCCCAAACAACATCTCATCCAGAATCTGTCCTTTCCTGCACACAGCATTGATTCCCGCAGTCAGCTCAGCATGCCCCTCGCTGCCTTTGCACCTCCACAAAAGACCCTTCCTTAGCCCTCCCAATCTAGAGGAGCACCTGAAGAGAGGGGGTCAAAGAGATATGACCTGCCCAAATCCCAATTGAACTGCAAATATTGTGGGCTGGGGAGCTTGAAACAACAACAAATTCCAAGATGATGTACAGTAGAAAGCTCCTACGAGCAAACCACTCCGGTTCTGCAAAGATCTGCCAGGAACTGTGCCTATTGCTTACCTTGTGTAGCTCCCCCCTGCCTGCGTGAATGCAGGGCAAGGCCTGTATGCCTGCGCAGCGAACGAACTGAAATTAATTGCTCATGCATTACAGTCCTGGCTCCGGCTGGCGGGGGCCGGCATGAATACTGAGCGCCGTTCCCACGATTGGTTGGGTCTTGCTTGGATCTGGCGAGTCCATCAAGGGGTCGGGTTTTGGCAGCCTTTCCCTGCAGCTTGTCTGCAAACGCACCTTGCCTCTAGCAGGAAAAGCGCATACCGTACTAATCTAATATGCATTACAGCATCGGAGCCGTGCAAACTTGCAGAAGACTTCTACAGAGGTTGGAAAGATCCAGCAAAGAGCAGGCATCCAGCAGGAGACTGCACCTTGATTGGCCACCAGTCGGCGATGGCTCCAATGCCGCCAGCTACTCTCCCTTTCTGATCGCACCTGCTTTGTTCAGGTCGCGCAGTGTTGGCGTGGAAAAGTGATGCACAGGATACGCATTTGTTGCAAACAACTCACAAGCTGGGAGCGCAAAGGTGTTCATACCCTCTTGGGATAGACTCCAGGCTCACTCCACACGTGGCACACACGTTACTTGGCTTTGTGCTGGTTTCCTGCATCACACCAAGCCACGACTCCATGGAGAATTCAGGAGAGCATGGTGGCAAAATTTTGGGGACTAGGACAACGAAGCCGAGATCTTATTTCATTCTGCAGTCGTAGCATTTGACAGGAGCAGTATGGAGTAGGAGAAGTCATGAACACAACTCACTTGAGCTGCAGCCGGTGTCTCAGTCTGAGCACATGCTCTTGTTGGAACAAGCGCACGCCCTGAACGAACTTGCGACGGAGACTTCCTGTGAATTCCTTGTACTCCCACTGATCTTGCGTGTACAGGAGACGTCAGAGCAAACATCATAAGTGCTGTCAGGAATTTTTAACACAAACGAATCACCAGTACGATGCAGCGAAAGTTGACGAGAGATTTTAAGAAGAGTTTCTCGTTTGTACAAATGTTATTTGTCGTTCACAACGAAGAATTCATCCAGATCGTTCATCGACCTCGGATTGCAGCGATGAAGCCCTGCTTAACTCTATCAGCAGGCCGAAACCCTAATAGCCATAGGGGAAATGATATGATATGCAAATGCAGGAATGGAGCCAATTCTCTTTTTCAAACTTTCACAAGCGATCCCACTCCACCACGATCTCAGGTGCTCTTCTCGTCTTCAGTCAGATCCCTGCAAAGCAAGGAAGGCAGCATGGTCTTCCCCAACTGGCAGCAGCAGGAGCCGGTGCGCGGTCTTCTCAAATGGCGTTTCGTGTTTGACTTACATAAGACCCCTTCTGCATTGAATGATCAGGCCTGCGGCTTGCCTCACAATCAATGCCTCTATGTCACATCCTACTGCTGGTCACTTTCTGCTCTTGACTTCCTTTCACGAGCCCATGTATCGAGTCAGCTGATCTTGTTTTGGCGGTCACTTTCGCAGGTCTTCCTCGTCTTTGGACGCAGCGGCTGGATTGGCGGCCTTGTTGGAGAGCTTTTGACCTCTCAGGGAACCAAATTCGAGTATGCCAATGCTCGCTTGGAGGACCGCGCAGGAATTCTGGCAGACATCGAGCGGGTACGACCTGGAAAACACAAGCGGCAATTCTGTTCACTGTCACGGCCTTGTAAAAGTCTTCTGAGGCTGTGTAGAGCTTCCAATGCATCTTACAAGGGCCTGATCGGCTGTACTGTCGCTATTGGGCGCTTGAGGAAACAGTCATGCTGTGTGTATAAAACCCCACAAATTTGCTTCTGCTACCACCTTGTGGCAACTTGATTGGCTCATTCGGTGTGAATCGTTTGTACAGGTGAAGCCCACGCACGTCCTCAACGCAGCTGGTCTCACAGGACGGCCCAATGTGGACTGGTGTGAAGACCACAAGGTGCCTTCTTATACTCTTCTGCTTTGTTTTCACTCTCCAGCATCTGCACTTTATTGTTTCTTTGAGGACTCAGAGCCTGACAGAGGCGCGTGTCAAGGATTAAGTGCCTTTCTATGATAAACAAAGTGACGATATCTGTGAACATCCTCGCATGTGCAATCTCGCCATTATCTCGTCATCCATGACTTCCTGCATCTCATCTGCAACATGAGGAGATCCTCTCCTTTATCAATGGTCCTCCCTTTTGTTTGTCATGCAATCACGCAAGCCAAAGCAGTACATGCACTGTCATGCATGCTTTGCACAATTGCTGACAACCATGCATGTGACATGTGCAGATTGAGACCATCAGGGTCAATGTCTTGGGGATGCTGAATCTGGCGGACATCTGCCTGGAGAAGAAGCTCCACCTCACAACCTACGCCACTGGCTGCATCTTCCACTACGACAAGGACTTCCCTGAGGGCTCTGGCAAGGGCTTCAAGGAGACTGACACACCCAACTTCACCGGCTCCTACTACTCCTACACAAAGGTGAGGCTGCTGCCACAGCCAGCATGTCTCAGCTGAAACGCTCATGCATGCCAGCTCTCATGCATGTCAGCAGCATGTCGCATTTGTGTGTCGTGCATGTGTTTGCTGGTGAACCCAGCGTGCACTGCTGCGCTCGGGGCCAGTGTTGATTGAGAGGGTGATGTCCACTGCATGCTTGACACAATGTGACAGCACCTTTTGATGACAGTGTCCTGGGGATAAAGCACAAGCATGTTGCTGCTGCCTATGTCTGTCATGTGATGGCTGCATGGTTAGCATCTGCATCTCGACTCAGCTGACATGTTAGTGTCCTGCAGCACTGCCACACTTCCGTTGCTTTGCTTTCACCATTCCCAACCTGCACATGAGCACTGTGCGAAGTGGCAAATGCTCTGCCTCAAGATTATGCATGCACGTGCATTAGTTGTCACATGGCATCTCACTGTTATGCGCCAGAGTTATAATCCCATCACGATGCATGCACTCATTCTTGTGCGTGGTGTGAGCCTTATCAGTTGCATGTCATGTGCTGGAACATGTGCATGCATGTGCCAGGCAGCATTTACTCATTCTGAGGTGCTGCTTGAGCCATGCATGGCATGTGCTGAGAATTGTGCATGCATGTGGCAGGCAGCATCTGCTTATTTTGATGTGCCAAGTGCTGCTTGGGCCATGTACCAGCTGGCATGTCATCATGTGCCAGGCAGCATAATTTTAAATCTGATGTGCTGCTTGAGCCATGCACCATCAGGCATGAAATTGATCGAAGCATGTGCATGCATGCGCCAGGCAATGGTGGAGAGCCTGCTGAAGGAGTACCCCAACATCCTGGTGCTGCGCGTGCGGATGCCCATCGTGGGAGACCTCACCTACACCCGCAACTTCATCAGCAAGATCATCCGATACGACAAGGTCAGCACCTGAGCCCTCTGCACCTGCTGAACTGGACAGCAACCATGTGCTTTTGTCGCGCCTGTGTAGATCCATGTGCATGCGCCTGTTGCCCAGAAGTACATGGAAGGGCAAATGCACATGGAAGTGAGCAAATTGGACATATGCATGAGCACACCTCAATGCACTGTTTGCTTTGTCACACTGCTTTCCATGATCATGGGCATTCCAACCGAATATTGCGCAATGTATATATTCTCCATGTCTTGAGGAGCTCGTGAATGCATGGCTGCCAGCAATATAAAGCCCCTCAACTTGCTGCAGATGATTTGAAGGACTGGGTTTTGCTGTGCTTGTGCAGATCATCAACATCCCCAACTCTATGACTGTGCTGCCCGAGCTGCTGCCCTACTCCATTGAGATGGTGGGCCCCTCAAACCCATCCTGGCTGTCAGTGTACATGCATGTGGCCTGTATCAGGGTTACCTTGTGCTAATTTTCCTCATGGGAATGGCATTGACAATGTTCAGTGGGGAGCAGTGAGGTCATGACTGACTGGAGAGCAGACTGATGGTTCCATTGCTGCCTTTGCAGTAGCAGTAAGCATGATTTCATGCAGCTTTTCTGCATCTTGTGCAGTCGTGATATTTTGTAATGTTGCATGCATGCAGGCCAAGCGCGGCCTGACGGGCATCATGAACTACACCAACCCGGGCGCTATCAGCCACAACGAGATCATGGAGCTGTACAAGTCGTACGTGGACCCCGAGTTCACCTGGAAGAACTTCAGCGTGGAGGAGCAGGCCGAGGTCATCAAGGCCCCCCGCTCCAACAACCTGCTGGACACCAATAGGGTGCGCGCACATTCCCCCTGGATTATACTGTCAATACCTCGGGACCCTGGCATCCAGATGAGCGCTTTATCTGAAGCATGCAACCAAGACAGGGATGCAAGAGCCTGATAGCGGTGACAGAATATTCCACAAGGGGAACGAAAGCACACCGGGTTGCTGGGCCTGCTCGGGTGATGCTTGGCATGAAACCTTTTGCTTGAAATAGTTCTGTGGCTACATGTGAATTGTGTGCATGGAGCATTGCAGGCGAAGCCAGTATTGGGCATATTTTCAGGGTTTTCAACATGGAACAAGGTCGTTACATTTCCCTGCTGTCCGTCCACTCCATGTGATGCACTGATCTGAGATCTGCAACTGATGGTTTTGCCTGTGCTGCACAGATCGAGGGCGAATTCCCCCAGATCCTGCCCATCCGCCAGAGCCTGATCAAGCACGTCTTCGAGCCTGCTGCAGCCAACGTAAGTCCACCTGCCCGCCAAGCTTGTATCCTATCATATTGCATTTTTTGACTGCTACTGCAGTTATTTGGGTTCGGTTTCTTATATTTGCAGGATCCAGAAGTGGAAAGCACTGCTCCAAATCGTGCTGGCACCAGCTGTAGGACTGTTATAGCACTGCATAATAGCGTCAAACGCTCTGGCAGGACTCCATGAAAGCGCTAGTTTCTCCAGTCTGCAAAAGCTTTTAATCCAATGGAGGGTTAACAGAAGTGTGTATGGGAAGATCAAACGAGTGTATGGGAAGATCAGTTGTAAGTTTTTTTTTGTATGGTGCTCTGCAGAAGGATCAGGTGTGCGAGGCAGTGCGCGCCATGCGCGGAGGCCGCGTATGAATTGGAAACCGATTCAAATCCAGGCGAACCACCTGATCTGCGCACGGAACAACACCGAACCAGATGCCACAGCATTTACTGTCTGGAACAGGACCCATCCAGGGGTCTGTGCTCTGAACCAGGGCCCCTAGAATAGAAAGTGTCAGAACTGGATAGAGAATTAAATGTCGGGTGTCAGGGGATTGGCACTTGAATAAAGCATGCCATGCACCAACGCTGTATTTAAGATAGCCACAAGCAACCCAGATCAGGAACTTCAATTAGGTGCTTGCTGAAACTTGATTCTGGAGCATAAGGCAGGGAATGCCAATAAGCGCCAGCATGGCACCTGGAGCGCAAAACATTTGAAGTCAGGAATGAGGGTACCGAATGAACTGTCTTGCAGTTGGTCATGAAGTTTTGAGTGTCGCTGCTTTGCTGCTCAAGCTGCTGTGTGCAGTATGTCTCTTTATGATGTCTGTATGATCTGTTCTCCAGCACTGCAGCATGACTTAGCAGGTCTCTTTTTGTCAAGTGGCCAGATAAGAGCACGAAGTGAGCTCGGCCAGTTGTGTGCTGCAGCAGTTGCTGCCTCTTGAAAGTAAGGTATGTCTTGCAGACTTTCGTTGCCCCACTGATCCTGGGATCTATCCATGATGGTCAGGCATGCTTACTTTTGTTGCAGCACACATCCAATACCAGTATATTTATATATGCATCATATATGCATGTCAGCAGCGATTGCTGTATTGCCAGTCACAGAAAAGGAAAGCTTCACAGCATGCATGCAGGTCTGAGAACTCCGTACACACACAGATACCACCGAAGAGCCAACCCAATCGAGAATTCCACACATATTTAGGCTTTAGCATACGTCATTCTTATTGAATATTCAACACTCCACATGTGCATGCAAACGCATCCCACATCCAACGCAAACAAACACCATGCAAGGGACTTCGCACCGCATGCTTTGCAATGCAGCTTTAGCAATTTCAAATCTGTACATACTTTGCATGCGTAGTCTTGACAGCTAATGCACGTCACCCTTTCCCCATAAGCAGAAAACCATACAAACTTTTCGCCAGGAGATTGGAAAAAATCATCCATGAGGAAAATCCAGCCCTGCTTGCAGCTTGGCAGACCACCCAGAAAATAAAGTTATCCCACAATTTATGAGAGATGCAATTTTTGGGCACTGCCCTGCATGGGCAGCCCATTCAGGGCAGGTTGGGCTGGGCAGTCGTGCGAATGTAGCCCTTTCCTGACGGCAGCGAGGCCTTCTCAAATCCCTTGGGGAACTGCGCGCAATCGCACACCAGACCCCTCAGCCCCAGGCGCATGACATTCACACACACAGATACACACGCAGCCGACAAACTGCTTGTACGAAGCGACCATCAATTTGATTGCAGCACGCATGCACATGTGCATCACACGAGGCCTTGTTGCTCTGCAGAACCACCAGATTGATACCTCCAAAGTACTCTCACTTAATACAAGAGCTTTCGCGGGAATCGACTTCAGAAATGATGAAGCGGCCTCCCTTCAAACGCAGGATCTATAAGATGCCTGCACATCTGTAGCTTCCTTGAAGCTGCCGGCTGTGGCATGCACAGCCTGATCAGGCTTACTATCTCACTTGTCCTGAGAGGTTACGCTGCCCCGGCATGCATGCATGGCTTCATCAGCCGCACCTTATTCATTTACTTATTAATACTCTTACTCACGGGGAGAGGGAACGATGCAGACCTTGGCGGTGGCCTGCTCGTCGGAGAGCGTGGGCACGACCATGACCTTGTTGCCGTGGGTCCAATTGACGGGCGTCGCCACCGAGTGATTCGCCGTCAGCTGCAGCGAATCGATCACGCGCAGGATCTGCACATCAACCATGTGTAGTTTCAGATGCCAACCCGGCAAGGCTGCAGAATTTAAAAAGTGGATCTGCATAGAGCAAGACTGTTCCCACAGCCGTACATGCTGGGAATTCGTGTTCTCTAAATGCAAGTCTTCAAGTACTGCATATTCTGTCTTTCACCCAAAAATACTTAATCGGCTAAGCTGAAGAATTGGGCACGTCGGCCATAATGTAGGTTTGCATGGCCGGGCCAAGCAATGGTGCATGGCAATAGCGAGCAGACACGAGACACGCCAGAATTGCACAGGTAACAGACAACCCTGTTGAGATAAACCATAATAAAGAAGGTGGGCCTCATGCCGGAACATTACGAGCATTGTTGCCATCATTCTGACTCCAAATTGTGATCATTCTGCATTCAGCAAGGCCCTGTCACACCTGATGCTGCAAATAAAGCAGAGCAGCACCCCAAACCATATGAGCATTCCAAGGAATTAGCCAACTGACCACATTTTGGATTGACAAGATCACCCTATCACATCCATGCATCACACCCTGTGGTAAATAATATCAAAGCAAACTAGTAAACAGTAATAGTAACTCAGTAAAGTAGCTAATAAGTGGTAAGTAGTACTAGTAAATCAGTGAGTAATGATGGGGGCGCACCTCGGAGAAGTTACGGCCGGTGGTGGCGGGGTAGAGGATGGACAGCTTCAGGCGCTTGTCGGGGCCCACGATGAAAACGGCGCGCGCCGTCAGAGGGATGCCGGCCTTGTCCTTCTCATCGGGGTCAAGCATCCCATACCTGTGTGTTACCAGCCACTTGTGACAATACACCTACATGTAAGTCAAAGTCTGGGAGTAGCTTGGACTCTGCCCGGCCCCTCTTTTGGCAGAAGCTCCAGCAGAAGCTCTCGGCAGAAGCATCTGCCTTGACAGGCTGGAGGTAAAGTTTGCTGTCCTGCCCAATCGCTGCAAGAGCTTGGTGGGAAGAAGTACTTGATGTCAAGCACTCCCCGCAGCCCTTTTCTAGCCGATCTTTCAACGGGGCGCTTCATTACACAAGATGATATGCCACGGACACGGCTATGGCTATATCGTCCACATAAAGAGGGCGTTAATGGGTTGGTTTCTCAGTGAGGGGTGCGGTCCATGATATAATGTGCAGAACAGGTCAATTGTCCTAAAAGGATATAGGGACTCCCTTCTCCTCTTGCATGTCTTTCAAGCAGGAGGTATTTCATGGCACTCGGCAGGTCAAGCCAACACACTTCTTTTCATAAATACAGTTTTGTGGTACGTGCCGGGCAATACCTGCCTAGTTCCTTGTAGGTTATCCTGCAGGCTCACTTCTATGGTTGCTATCACAACGAATAACTGACCCAGCTGCTAAAGAACTGGCATGAGGCAGGCTTAGGTTGTGGGTATACTCACAGTGTGGCGATGTCCCTGTTGGGGTCGGCGATTATGGGGTAGTTGACAATGCTGTTTGGGGTGTATGCCTCGATGTCCTTGATCCACCTGCGCAGAGCCATTAGTCAGTTACATTACATACTCATTTGTCGTCCTTGGGCTCCGCGTGAGCCTTTCAATTATTCAGGTTATGAAATGATTACACCCAATTTAGAGACCGCCAGAGAAGTGGGGACAACGTCCTTATGGCCTGCCAGAATTGAGCTTCAAAAGGAGGGCTGGGGAGCTCGCCCACGACGCTTCTACAGATACCATTATAGAGATTAAGAATTCAGGATGAAGTCCCCACGTGCAGATCACTCTAGTTGCATCCATGTGCTTGTGCTGCAGCTCATGCTGCCAAAACAGGTCGATTTGATAAGTTGGGCAGTTCCCCTGTGGTCACAGGAGCTGAAGAATTTACGTAGATGTCACTGACAAGTGCGAAGGAGTATGCATGGGCTCACCCCTTGTGGGATGCCACATCATTGCAGCTTAGCGCCAGCAGCTTCACGCCACGTTTTTCAAACTCTCCTTGGAGCTTGCCAACCTCACCTACAGATATTAGTTGGGTTCAGCTGGAAAGGCAGAAGAAGGATGTCCAACCTTGACAATGAACTCCTACCTGCCATTTCTTTGCAGGACGATGTCCCTCAATGGCACTCTTCTTGCATGAACTTGGGACCCTAAAGAATTCACAGGCAGTTCATCACTGAATAACAAGCCACAGTCTCAAGCCACAGTCCTTAGCCTTCTTCCAGAAAGGCTCACATGAACAAGATCTAAGATTCCACAGGATCCAAACTTCCTTCCAAATGGGATTGATATCCGTCTTTACAATTTTCAGTTCCTCAGTAGATCACTCGACCAATTCAGCAAGGCACATGGAAGCATGAGGATGAAGGCGTCATCACCCAGCTCGGTGGTGCAAACAGGCGTGTAGTCCGCAGGGTGGCTGAAAAGGATGGCCCATGATCCATCGATGTACTCGTGGAACTTGATGCGTCCTGCAATAGCAGCGTGGTCAGCGCTTTGCGACTTGCCGAGGTCAGAAAGGGTCATGGAGGGAGTGGGGTCTTACCCGAGCTGGTATCCGCCTCGAAATCGGGCACGATCTCCGTCAGTAAGACCATGGCGACTCTGTCTTTGAGTAATCTGTCTTTCTGGGCACTGCAGCGGTCCTTGGCCTGGATTTTAGCGGATCATCGGTGCACGTGTTCCTGGTGTGCAGGCACAAGGTCTGTGTATTCACATCAATTCCCTCAAGAGCGAGATCTCTCTAGAGGTCAAGGGGTTCGGTGAAGCCCTCGCGCAGGGTGCCGAATAGTCCTTTCGCGATGAACAATTCTATTCGACAGGTCTACTCCCACGCAACTACATGCTTACAAGAAGTGCTGCATCGACTAGATCAGTGAAGAATTGTTGCAGCACTTTCGGAGTGGTTCCGGCTAGGCATCGTAGCAAGCACACTCAAAAGAGGAACCGCGCCCCTCCTTGCATTCGTGAGTTTCATCATAATCATTGCAGCAATCATGTTACTATGTCTCACATGTGGTGCACTGTCTACCTCTGTTGCTGCTCTGATTACCAAGGCAATATATATTTTGACCAAGGAGCAGGTGACACGTACAGTGATCTGGGTGTTTGCGAGGGCTAGGGTCTGTCAATTTGGAGAATGCTGGTGTCATATTGTACCCCAACGTCATATATCGATTTCGTAAGGGTCTTTGCTGCGTGATAGCTTGCTTCAAGGATTGTGTTTAGAGAATATTGTGTACTTCACCAATGCTTGGCAGAGGGCGACTAGGCAAGGTGCACATCAGTGCTGTCAGGTTTATATACTCTGTCGCTTGAATATTCATAATTCGCAGGTCAAACAGATGGACGACATCAGGAAATGGTTGGCAGAGAACAAGCTTAGGGCTGTGGGTAAGCAGAGCTTCCTAGTTCTGTGAGCATCCTGTGCACATGCAACTTACAAGATCAGAGGAATTGCAATTGTTTCTATAAATCAGATCGGCCCATATATTGTCAGAATCCCGCTAACACAATTGCTATGACAGGTCTCTTTTGGGTCACATCTGTGGGTGGATCCCTGGCGTACCAGCTGACACGCCCCATCCCTACGAGCCTGGCAATCATCCACTCCCGAGTGTATGCTCAGGCGCTCACTTTGGCGGCCCTGGGAATGGCGGGCCTTGTCGATGTCTATGAGCACCGACACAAGACCAACGAGGTTTGATATCCTGCTCCTTACAATGCCAATATCAGCAATCGATGATGCTGCATGGCAGCCACGCTGCTATCCCTGTGTGTGCTGTGTGTGATCTCCTACAAGTGTGGATCGCACCCTTATACAGTGCTTTGGCACAAAGCTCGGTACTGCTTCTGGCAGTCCTCTCCTGCCAGCAGTTGTTTTCAGTGGTCATCCAGGCTTCATTTTTCCCTTTTGTGGGGCCTTGGTGAGCCAGTGCAGCAACATCTGGCGGGTGTTGATTTTCTGCGTCATATTGCATGGTTGCTGCAGCAAGATTGAGGAAATAGATGAGATCCATAGATCCTCTTAAGAGGCAGTCTCATTCTCGATTGACAAATGCTGTGCTCCTTCGCAGGAGCTGGACAAGTACAATGAGAAGCTGTCACAGCTGGAGGAAAGGGTGCACAATGCGATGGCCAGCGGCAAGAACAGGGACGACATGAAGAAACTGGAGACCCGGCTCGCGAACGTGCACGGCAGCGGCGGCGGTCAGGGACAGCTCAAGGAGCTGGAGAAGCAGGTGCAAGAAGCCACCCAGTAAGTGCGCGGGCATGCAAGCACCTGCCCGCAGGATTCCCTTTGCGGCGTGCCCTGTGCAGCGCACCGCTGGATTTGGGGTGCTCAGTAGAAGAACATTCGTTCTTTTCATTGCCTCTAGTTGGAACTATAAGGAGCTCCAGGTCTTCTTTGATTGTCGATTAAATGTATTGGCCAGCTTAGGCATTGCTGGTGCCAGAAGGTATCTGGTCTCACACGATTTTGCCTAGTCGTGCAAAGTGTCTCATTGGGGTCAGATGGGCAGCTCAAAGACGCATACTGCAGCTCAGGCAGGCTTTAAGCTAAGAATTATGGAGGTGCATGCAGCTGTCAGGCCTCCAGCATACATTTCGGCGTGTGTCTGAGATGAAGCGCCTCCCACAGTGCTTTCGTTGTAGGTCATCCTGGGTGCTGAGCATGCGCACGACGTGAGTCTTTTACTAAATGGTCGCGTACGCAGATAGAGTGGATTGTACGACCTCAGGTCTGATGGGAATGGCACCATTACCCATGCACAGTACAGCGTTCTTCCGGTATCATACGGATCACTGGGCAAATGTACATGTCTTGTAATTGAGGCTCTATGGACTGTAGTCTACAGTCACTTCCGGAACCAGATGCTGGCAATGCCGTGCCGCGCCGCGCGGCGGCCGCGGCTGGACATCTGGAGATTCTGTACAAGCCAATCTTTGTTCATTGGCTTGTACAAACCCGGAAAGCAGTTGGATTGTTTGGGACACCGAGACTTGGAGTGGTAGTCGTGATCAGGGTGATGCAAAAAAGTGACTGGCAGATTCTCCTCAAGGGCACAGCTGATTCAGCGGAGCAAATCCCATGCGGGGCCGAAGCTGACGGCGGTCCCTCTCGAATCCCCTATCTGCTCGGCTGCAGGTTGCACCTCACGCCTCCCGTGTGTCCTTCTCTTCCCTGGCCGAGTCAGGGAGCAGGCTATCGTAAGTCGCTCTCCTGAACGCAATCTGATGCCCCCCTGATCGTGGGAAGGACCAGCGAGGCTCGTGTAGGCCGCAATTCAAACCGCGTTATAGTATGGATCTGCGTCATGAATGTTATTTGACATCATGACTGCTCCATATCGCACCAAGTGAGCATCTTTGTAAGTGTATGTTGCCTACGAGGCCTAGCACACGTTGGAGCGTGCAGCTGTGAAGGTGGTCATGAACCATTTGGTGTCAAGGTGTGGGCAGTGAAAACGTGGGGGTAGCCGCACAGAACGTGTATCTTGACCTTCGGATCTTTATATTTATTATTTCTCTGTGGACATCCTGGCACAAGTCTGCCGCAGCTAGCCGGCAAGTCCAGGTTTTCTTCCTGCCTTCAAGACTTTCCTCATTGTGTGCAAGCGATGTCTACCGTGACTCTGACCAACAGACGTTGCTTTAAAAGAAATAATTTTCGCACGTGATACAGAAAGAGTCACCTTTGACGTGCAGATTGTCCTGGGCTGTGCTTCCGTGGCTACAATGCTTCAACCTTCAATGCGCTTGACCTTGCTTCGTGGTGACAGGGAGGCTGTAGGCAGCGGCTAGCGCCGACGTTGCAAATATTGGGAAATCGGTCGATCCCCCACGCGCCATGACGGCCCTGGCACTGAAGCCAGATGAGCAGATGGAGCGATTCAAGACCTATGTGCGCTCCCTGAACGAGCAGTTTGCGCGCTGGGTGGTGCAGCAGTGGGAGACCAAGAGCGATAAGTTCTGGAGCCATGGCATGGTGGACTATCTGCGCCATGCTGTCATCATCAAGCGAGACCACCCAGATGCTGCAGCCTTGCTTGGTGCGCGCGCTGCAGCACCTCTTTTGTTAGGGTTTTGCAACGTGTACAAAATATTGGTGCTCTTATTCTAAAGATAGCTTGACAGGTTTAGTGCGGTTACAGCGAAAGCTTGACATATGTGATATTAGAAAATCTGCAAATTTTGCCATGTGGATGTGCAGACCAGAATGGCAAGAGCGAGAACCCGGAACGAAAGCACGAGGCGCAGCTCACCATACTGCCCCTGCAGCACTCCAAGGCATGTACACTCTCCTCATGCGATCCAACCAGCGCCAGTAATCCAATCACAAATGGATGTGGACATGAGCCTGAGTCAGCCTGGAAAGGCCCAACACTTTCCAGCAAAAGAGCCGCTTTAGCCGCATCTTATACCTTTATGCATTTCCACCCCCATTTCCTCAGCCCACGCCAGGGAATATATGAGCAGCAGTCGCGCACAGACCCTCGCGGCTGCTGTACTGTCACATCCAATGCGATGATGTTATTCTGGTCAAGAGGCGATGGCTGATGTTGCATGCGTGAATGCGCAGACGGTGCACTTTGTGCGCCACGGAGAGGGGTTCCACAACATTGGCATTGTGAACCTGGACGCGCATCTCACAGAGGCGGGCTGGAGGCAGGCCGAGGCGCTGAACAAGCACGTCGCGGGGCTGAAGCCAGCGCTCGACATCCAGGCACGCCCTGACAGATACAATATTGTTCAGCAGTTGTTCTCGTCCTGTAACTCCCTGCAACCTTTCTTTCGGCAGGGCAGTCAGCCTGGCTCCAAAATCTGCAAGTTATTGCAGCCTGCCACGGCACTTTACACCATGGGACAAGTGCTAAGAAGTATTTCTGTGCTCTTTGGGGATTCCAATCTGCGGAACTACTCTTGCACATTTTCACATATCAGTACCAGCGCTGATCGGACGCTGTGATCAGCGCTGACATATGCGAGGAGGTGCTGATGTCATCGCTGGCATGTGCGCGCAGGTGGTGATCGTGTCGCCGCTGATCCGCGCGCTGGAGACGGCGGCCGGCGCGTTTGGCGCGGGCCCCTTCAAGGGCTCGGGCCGGCCGCTGATGCTGGCGCAGAGCGGCGAGCCGGACGAGTGCGCGGCGCACTGCGCGGTCGCCTGCCCAGAGGGCATCCCCTTCATTGCCTTTGAGGGCTGCCGCGAGCGTCTCGGTGCGTGCCACCATTTCTTTGGTCCCTCTGGAGCCGTGTTTTTTGTCATTCTGTGGTTCCTATGAGCAATCAGGGGGCGTGTGTTAAGTAGTCACATGGGATGCACTTCAACGTCGTGTTCCTGTGCATCTGGCATGGCTCAAAGTCGTGCTTTGCATGAATCACCTCAAATGCTTGCTGCGGCATGCGTGGGGCTCTTGCTCTACAAAGAACGGGCACTTACAACATCCAGAGGTGTCCCAGGAATGAATCGTTCCAAGATTTGGTGGTGGGTGCTAGCACGCAAGGACCGTGCCATAGCAGGATTGCTGTAACGAGCACAACGTCGCTCAGACAAGCACCAGTGCATTCCGCTGAGTAACCTTCTGGCCTGCAGGCTCGGCGGTGTGCGACAAGCGGCGGGACATCGCGTTTGCGGAGGAGCAGTTTCCGGGGATCGACTTTTCGCACATCGAGCGCGGCGCGGACGTTGTGTACGACCAGCACAAGGTGGAGAGCGAGCACGCCGTCATGGAGCGGGGGGCCCGCTTCCTGCAGTGGCTCATGGCCAGGTGCGAGGGGGTAAACCCGTTAGTCGTCATTGCAGACTGCTCCCTAGACTACAGGCTACGGACCACAGAGGGACCGGCAACATGAGCTTGGCAATGGCCTGATGGAGACCTTCTGCAAATCAGAACCTAGAATCATATGATGCACGGTTTCAGGCGCTGAGGTCTGCCCATTTATAGCGACATTTGTTTATCTGGGTCCACGGGCGCATCTGCACCAGGGCATGTCCGAAAGGACCATGGTCATCTCTTGCCATCCAGCAACTTACCTGGGCTTCCAGACAGCAGTACGACGCTTGTTAGCCTGCAAAGATGGCCTATATGGAGGATTGTGTAGTATGGCCTGGCGATGCAAATATACCTGTTGTTTCGCGCAGGCCGGAGTCGCGCATCGCGGTGGTGAGCCACTGTGGGTTCATCTTCCTGACGCTGAGTGCGTTTGGGCACGAGTGCGCGCACAGCGTGCAGGAGGAGATGCACCGCGGATTCGACAACTGCGAGATGCGTTCCATGATCATCACCGACGCGGCCGGCGGCGGCCGCTTCAACAACTCCTGGTTCCCCGGCGGCCGCGAGTGCCTTAGGAAATGACACGCCACCGTCGAGCGCATGCCCTGGCAGCTTTATAGAAGCTCCTTCCAGCCCTTGTCAGGAGACCGTCAGTCGCCGTGGTGCCCAGCGCCGGAACTGATCCTGCGCGTGTGCGCAAAGCAGGCTCCTGGAAGCTGTGATCAGCACTCCTCGGCAATTTAAAACGGGGCCCGGCAAGGTGCCTCCAAGTCGCGTGCGTGCCGATCAGCTTCTTCATGGAGGCTGCGTCTAAATATTCTCGGTAATCCGGCAGCCGCTGCGGAGGCCAGCAGCGCCAAAACTCTTCAGCGGGCGTGCCGGTGTGCTGCGGCTTCCGGAAGCTGCTGTCGGACCTGGTTGGGAAGCTGGAAGAGGCCGGGGGGATCGGGAGGGCTGTGGATGCCGTCTGCACACACGGCGGCTTCCGCGCAGCTGCTGGGAAGTTGAGGCTGGAGAGGTGCAAGCTGGTGTGGATTGCTCCCGGCCCCTGTGCAGCAGCAGAGGATGACAGGGTGTGCGCCTGGTATATAAGGCGGGTCTTGCATTGCTGGAGCTGCTCAGTACCTCTGCCACAGAGGCTGTATCGGCCAACAGAGGCCTCGAGGGGACATGTGAGGGCGCGGATCTTTCAGCCGTGCACAACATTGCATGGCAGCGGAGAGCAATGTCCGTACAAACTGCCCTGCAGTGTTGAGCGAGAATGGCTGCATGCCAGGGAGTTCATGTGCTGGCAAGTGCCCACCAAAGATGTCAGGAGGAAAGTCTTTCTTGGGATTGGGGGTCTGACAAGGGTCTCTGTGGCATGTACCCATGACCGCAGGGACATTGAAACAACAACAACTCGATAAGCACGGCAATTGAAGGCCAAGTCCATTCTCTGTTTCCTTGGTTCAAAAATTGCAGCAGAAGTGGAAGCTCAGAGCGGCATTGCCAAACAGTGTGCAATGAAATGAGGCTGGAGAGTGTTGAAGCAGCTGTTGAGATGGCTGAGCACCCTCTGGGTCTGTAACCTGTCGCCATGTATTACCGCCATTCATTGTACTGAGAACAAATGCGAGCGCGTCCAAGAAAAACGGCAGATGTGTATTGTTTATCGTGCTCGAGAATTCTTTTGTGGGTGTGCCATGCCCGCTGGTTGAAGCTGGTGTGATCTGTGATGATGCGACCCAGCAGAGAGGTGGTGCAATTGCCTGCAATCCGCTCTCCCGCTGTAGGGATGTGAGGCGTCGAGTGTAACAATAACTTTAGAATATCAGTTTGGGGTCTTGCTGCATGTTACATCTATCATCTGGGTGCAAGCACCCCCAAACAATGAACACGTGCATTTCTTGCACTGTAGCAATCCACAGTGCCTCTCACTTTTGCATCTTAGATGTCAACTTCTCATCTAACATTATTCGCAGTGCTGACAGCTGGCAAATAAACTTCCCAGAAGCAAGGAGATATAAGGCTCCACCTCCAGATCAGAAGGGCCACTGCCCTTCTTCATGTACCTCAGACCCAGGAGGTATTGACCACCAAAGGTGTGAGTCGGTAAGTCTCCTTGCCAGTGCACAGATCTCCACATAGGAAAATCTGAGTAGAGCAAAGGCAATGTGGTGCTGAGACCACACGGCCCTGCCTGTCAAGTGATGCTGTTTCTGATATGTACACATGCACTTCAGAGTTCACCAGACTGTTCATCTTGCCAGGTTCAAGGAAACAAAATACTCTGATCCAGGTTGTTCAGACCAAAATTCAGCCAGATGACTTCCAATGAACGCCCATGGTCATCTTGTCTTTCGTTGCTGAGATGTGGTTGACTGCCCTGCAGATTTCTGCTCAAGTGGCTGAGGGGATTTTGGCAGCCACTTGAGTGGATGCCGGTTGAACCAGGGCCAGTCTGGCACGCAGGCCACCATCGCCACCGCCACGCCGCTCCCATAAACCTGCGAAGCGATAGTAAGTCTTTGTGCTATCTGCAGTTATTGCCAGATCAGGCAGCCGTCGAGGTGCCAGTGCAGGGGGCTTGCCTTCATCATCAGCGCGAAGCTGCCCTGCACCCATCCCAGCGCGAATGCCACCGCCCCAGCGATGCATATGATGTATAGACAGAGCTGCTCTGCCAATTTCTGCCCCTGGAAGTCCATGATGGTACTGATCGAGCACTCAGCCGAAACTGAAGACCTGAGGTGGAACTTATGCGCGCACTAGAAGGCCGCTATCGTCCGATGGCGTTCCTGTCAACTGCCAATACAGACAAACCTAGGATTCTGACATTTGTCCATGCACGAGGAGAGGCCCTGCGAAGACGACGTTCAGATGAGAGGCAGATTGCCTGCGACTGATTTTGGGTTTCTTGGGAGATTAGCGGGATAAATATTCGAGTGAGGAGGCGGTGATCGATTATTTAGAGCCACTGATGATCTGAACCTTGGACACCCTGCAGGTCTATACCTCTAACCGCTGGTGCTTGTACGACACATTCATTAGAACCAGGAAGAGGGGCGAGTTGGCTCGCTAAACGGTGACTGCGCACAGATGGGGGTGCACCCAAAGCTATTATCGTCTTCTCAATGCGTGAAGGCGCTGACAACCCCCCGTGGTGCCCGCATCGGAAAGACGCCCAAGGGCAGATCTGGCCTTCTAAATCTCGTAAAAGTGACGTCCTCGAACGCATTTACACGCTCATCGTTGCAGTCTGAAGCCCAGGAGAAGACAACATCAGCCCAGACAAGTACCCTGGAGAGAGGCAAGTTCAGCATGCATCTAATACACCCATATAGTGATCAGGAAAGTCAAGCTGGATTTAACAACCCAGCCGATGCCCTCAGATCGTCATGTAAGCGTCTGACTGGAAGTAGTGACAATTGCCAAGCAGGATGAAATCATATCTATGTAACATGCTCCTGAATGAAATAAATTTCGCAGCTCAAACGTTTGAGGCATCCAAAAAGAGTTTATCATGACATGATGGGGGTTCCAGGTGCTTTGGATGAACCAGCGCTGGTATTGGGCAACGTTGTGCCATGGAGACCCACTCCAAAACTCAGCAGAGTGGATGCGCCTGTGGACACACCCCCTCTCGTTGTTCTGCCCGGTTTTGGCAATTGTTCCAAGGACTATGAGTGCCCCAATGGCAACCCAGATGACAGCATGGTGGCGGTTCTCAGGGTGAGTGCCTGGATCAGCATGCCCGTATTCTGGAACCAAGGAGGACTGTCCATCACTGACAGTGACACTCATGCAAGGGCATCCTGTACTGGTGTCCATGGTACAGCACCTGCGCCTGCTGGCATGGAGTAAGCCAAAGCTTATTTCCTGCATACCGTCTGGGCTCCTTCTCTCAGCAGAGGAGTTTCTCATGGCTGCTGCTTACTTACCATCTGTTTTACTCCCATGTGTGAGGCTTGTGTTCCCAGCCAGATGTCATTCAAAGACCATTGGACAGAAGGGCAGTGAGCTAAATGTATGCACTTTGATGATGGACCGACGCTTTGCTGGTTGTAAAACACAACTGACAGCTGCTTGTGTTGTGACTGCAGAGGAGGGGCTTCAGGGTCTATGTGGCCCAAGTAGAGCGCAGGGACTGGCTGAATGTGGGGCGCGCAATTCTCTCCAGAAAGTACTGGGTCGGCCTCTGTACAGTAGACCCTGGTTACAGGTGCCTCCCTGATCAGGCCTTCTTCCTACAATTTTATACTTCACTCACATCTGTTGCCAGGATGAAGCTTAGGAAGCAATGTCAGCAATGTTGCATGATCCGCAAATGTGGAATGTTGTGAGAAGATAATGTTTGGATTCAGGGCTGCAAGGGGGGTGCATTCACTTTAACTTGCTGGGGTGTGACAGGTGGTACTTGGAGCGTATCCAGCAGGCTGTTGACAAGGCGCGGCTGGAGTGCGGCAGCGACCAGGCATGTCCCGAGTGTTATTTTTTCCTGACTTATTTACGACTGTCTACCGTCTGTCTAGCAAAACAAGCCTGCAAATTCTGTATGGTTGCAGTCCTTGTGACCACCGTTGCCCTCCTTCCTAAAGCATGTGAAGCAGGTGCTCAGGTCAGTACCGCTGAATGCTGGCTTTCCGTTAGTGTTGAGTCATTCCCCGTGCACTTTTCCAGGTGCACCTGGTTGGGCACTCAGCAGGCGGCTGGCTGGGCCGCGCATTTGTCGCAGACCCCCTGTACTTTGACTCCCCAACATGGGACGAAGGTGGGCTTCCCATCTTCCACATGAGGTCATATAGACATCCAGCCTTTCTCGTTTGAGCGCATGCATGCGTTATGCGCATGTGAGCCATAGCAAGCCATCACTTCCATACACATTGGTCTACACACGAAAGTAAACTTGCCATAGTAACCACCCCGGCTGGCGGGGGGCGGTATAAAACTGAGCACCATACCCACGGTTAATTGGGTCTTGCTTGGATCTGGCGAGTCCATCAAGGGGTAGGATTATAATAATAATAATTAATAATAATAATAATGATAGTAATAGTAATAGTAACCCCCTGCTTGAGTACTGCGTCTGCTAGATCAGCGCTGCTGGTGGGATTGCCGGGCCTGCATGGGAGTGGCCTGGCAACACATGGTCTCGCATTAGTTCCACTCTAAAGGATTTTCTGTCCTGCAGGGATCCCCCACCAGGGCATCAGCAGCCTGGTCACTCTGGGGACGCCGCATGTGCCGCCGCTGGCCACCTCCGGCCGTGACATGACTGGCGGCGCCCTCACCTGGGTCAACCTCCAGTGGCCAGGTCAGCAATTCCTCACCCGTTATTCTCACGTCGGCAAGTGGATGGCGGGCCCTTGCCCTGGTGTGTTGTGGTCCAGTCACATCAGAACAGCGCATGCTGTGGTAGGCACCTAAGTCCTTGTCAGTATGTTTTACTGTGATATTCTTGCTGTAGGCTAGCCCTTTGACATCGCAATACAATTTCCCTTGCAGCCCTAGCCAAAGTGCTGGGATCAGCGGTGGAATCAGTGCCGGCACGGAGCACAAAAGCCCTGGTGCGGAAATAAGAGAATTACTAGCATTGCTTACTTTGTTGCACGGACACGAGAAAATTGATTTTTACGCCGGACAGGGGCCCACTTTGCGGACAAGGGTGTGGGGTACATGTGCGTGGCCGGCTGCGCAGTACAAGCAGACAGACACGCGCCAAGAAACTCCATCGAGCGCTACGCCCACAGCAGCTACAGCCAGGTGGGCACAAACTCCATGCCTGATCTTGGCGCCTTTCTTTCCTCGTTTCAGCGTTAGGTAGGGTTGCAGCAGTCACCATCACTGATGTGCTACTCTGTACTGGGAAAATGTTCAAGAAGACTAATAATTATTATTGTTACACGCTTTTCCTGCCGTAAGGCAAGTTACGTCCTGCAGACAATCCTGCAGGTAAAGGCTGCCACAATCCTAACCCTTAATGGACTCGCCAGATCCAAGCAAGACCCAATCACCCCTGGGCACGGTGCTCAGTACTTATACCGCCCCCTGCCAGCCGGAGCAAGACTGATTTGTGCAATTCACCAGAGGGGAGGCTACTTGTGTGCTGGTCAAGGCTTGCTGTCGCACAAGTGGCACTCATCACTCAGGACTCGCTCATTTGAGACAGCAGCGAATGTCAGCTGAGAGAAAAAAATGAGAGATAGCAGAAACACAGAGATTTTCCCAGATTCAATCTTCTAATACACGCAAGCAATGCCCTCTCACCCGGACATCGCTGCTGCAGAACACTATCACTGCTACACATGGCATGCTCTTATTAGTTTGCTCTGTAATGCTTGAAGTAGCACTGAGCAGCAGAGATGGTGCATTTGTAGGACTGCTGTGTTAGTCACAGGGGTATCGGATATAGAGGGGCATATATCCGGTACAGGGAGTGCATGAGGGTTTGGTACTTGAAGATTGCCTGTGATACAACACCAGGCTGTAGACTTTTGTGGGCCCCGCAGACGTGGCTGCAGACACCCTGCGTGTATGCCCTATGGCCTTTGGCTTTGGGTTTGCCAACCTTTAATGAGAATTCAGTATAATTATCTGATTTTATATTATATTTATATCACCTTTAATTAGGATTTAAATTCACTGTGATTTGCACGGTGTTAAGTGACGACCAGGTTTCCTGCACAGGTGTGTGGTGATGGGCATGGGCACATGGGGGACTGTGTGGTACCTGTGGCAAACGCCCACCTGCAGGCGCGCTCTCATTCAGCTGCTAGCCAAAATTTTGCGCGCTCATGATGACACAAGGGGTTTTGGCAGGGCGGGCTACGGCATCTGTGCACCCTCATAGGGGTTTTTGGCGAGGGGGCTACGGTATCTGTGCACCCTCAAAGGGATTTTGTTTGGCAAGGGGGACTACGGTATATGAACCCTCAAAAGCAACTGATGCAAGGGGATGTACCGTATGTGAGGTTGCAATCGACTGGACGCTAGTATGTAGATGACCTCTGGGTGGGGCACCCTAGCACAGCATGCTTTGCAGAAGGATGCACCCAAGACATGCCTGGCTCGGGCAAAGAGGCACTTTAGCCTTGTCAAAGTATGGCAAAGAGGCATTGCATGCACGGCGCAGATCTACCTGAGATTATGTGACTGGGTGCAGGGTGCGAATAATCTGGTGCTGGAGGGCGTCTTCCACAGCATGGGCACTCACAAGGGCTGGCCCATCGAGCACCGCTGGTACGGCTCCAATGATGTGGTGGACCACTGGGCGCACTGCCTGGTAACCCAGTGACTACGCATTCGTCACCCAGTGACTGACCATCAGTACCGCCACCAGCTTCTGCTGCACGCCTGCCGGACGCCTCACTTGTGCCGAATTGGGCGCATTTCCATATCCGACAGTGACTACTCATTACCAAATCCACCTGTTGCAGGTCCTCTTACAATCATGTCCTACAAAAGAGGGCTGTTCTCAAATTTAGGGACTTTGCCGCTGCCCAGAAAAGGCCCACTCAGAAGCTCAGCAAGAGAAGAACGGCAAGAATTGGCGGGGGGGGGAGGGGGGGGGGGGGGGAGAGTTTTGAGGTATGAGCCATGCTCAATTGGCCAGCTGCTTGAAGTCATGAATAGCTCAATCAGAGCAAGCAGCACAATTACTCCTGACAGCTAGAAAAGAACGTGGCCCGGTATTTGTTGTGGCCTGGGCGCCGAAATTTTCTTTTATGGTCTGCTCAAAGTGAGCATAATGGTCAGCTCAAGTGTCAATAAGTTATGAGGCAGCAAGAAGCCAGCGTTGAGAGCATTCCATACTATTTGCTGCTGCTAAAGAAACATTAAAGGGAGCAGCTTCTTCTGCCCGCATTAGTAGTTGATATTGTGGCCGGTGGTGTGTGGCGCTAAAATGTGCCAACCCTCACGAGCCAGAAATTAAAGGAGTGAGCGCGCATATATTTAGTCTGCCCAAATTTCGTGCCATTTTTATTGCCCCTATATTGATCCCGATGTCGGTAATTCTGAAATAAGTGGCTCCCGCGTGCAAAGCCGTGCCGTGCAGTGGTGGCTGAAGGCAATTTAGTCTTTATTGCTTATTGCTGCTAGTGGTCCCTTGTTGTGGCTATCTTGGGTAAAACATGTGAAGTCTGGAGAGTGGTAAACAGGTGGACCGTTATATGGAAAAATCCGAGGAACGGGTGATTTTTATGCGTGATATTGGAATGACGGCTGTATTGTGTTCAGCAAACACTGCCTGTACCCCTTTGTATATTGGATTTAAAAGTGGTCCCCAGCGGTCATCAGTTGCCTTTTTAGAGTCAAATCGGCAAAGTCTTTAGGGGTCTGTGTCGTTTTAGATCCTTTTTGCGATCATGCCAATCAGATGGCGACACCAGACACAGCGAATGTGAAGTGGGTTGAGAGCATGGCAGGTACAGAACAGGAGACCGTCTCCTGTGGTGACCAAGTATGTCAAGGAGTTGCGCGCAGTGAGTTAAGGCAATCAAAAATTCACGGATCATTGGTAAAGTATACAATAGGAGCAGCAGGTGCTGTGCCCAGAGGGTGTCTGATCAAATCCAGCTGTGTCACATTGGCATGCCTTGTGCCAGCGCATTTCCTCTATGCACCTAGATCTTGTAATGAACAACGATTTGATGTGGGCATGCGCAGTATTGGCATGGAAAGCAAGGAGGAACTGATGTACTCTAGATCTAGATCTACGCCACATCCATAGGACATGGCACGAAGGATCTGACCTCACAACCTTGCAACTGCACTGCACACTGTGACATGTCTATGCCAAGATTAGAGTGAGTTGCTGCCATGCTTGCTGCCTTGTGCATTTTAGTTCTCTCAGTGGCTGAATGTTGTCCCTGAGAGTGTTCATCAACACTGCCAAAAATAAAGCACTACAAGCTCCCCACTCACATTCATTAGGCTTGAGAAACATCCAAAGAGGGGTGTCAATTGCACAAAAGAGTTCTCCTCATCCATGCACACTCCCTATACTGACAGCTCGGCTGGTAGAACCATACTTACTCTTGGAATTGGTCCCAAAACCCATACTTCAATGGGTTGAGTGGAACCAATTCCAAGCTAAAATCTCTGGTATAGCAGAACTTTCTTTGGTGGCAGCGAGGCTGGCAAACCTCTAATCAGCCCTCCACAATTTTGGTGCGATAGCCAAAAGGGCTGGTCTTGATGCTGAGCAGCTCAACCTCAAAGTCCAGCGTGGCATCTGGGGGGATCTCACCGACTCCCCTGCTGCCATACGCCAGGTTTGGCGGCACAATCAGCTTCCTCTGGCCCCCCACCCGCATGCCCCTCACTCCCTGTGCATCACGGTGTCAGAATTGCATTCAAATTCCTTGAAAGACAGCTTTGCAGAGCATTGTGTTCCCGCCAAGCCAGAACATGCGCATGCAGGTGAAGGCTGCCACAAGCTCTATCCCTTGCTGGGCTTTTCAGATCCAAGCGAGACCCAAGCTACTGTGGGCACGACACTGGATTTTTTTTATTTTCACCGTGTTTTGGGTCCTTTTGCTGTACATGTATTGTTCAAGTCAGATATAATAACATGCACCCATGATACTTTCTTATGGAAGGAAGGTGTTCACCAGGTCCAGGCCTGGCAGGGTCCCCCCGGCGCCCTGGGCCCCCACATCAAATCCCAGCGGGGTCCCCCCGGTCACGCCAATGCCCTGCCTGCGCACGCACCAACTATTTCAAAACCGGTCCCAGGATAGAATACTTATTATCATTGTTTAGCGCACCCTGGCTTCCAAACACACCATGCCAACCTTTTGATTCCTTCCAACATGAATTGGACCATGCAAGACTCTGCTGCTGCTGACATTTTCGGCGCCACATGAGGCCAGTAGCTGCCTTGGGCATGCGTCATCCAGCACCAAACATCGGCGAGCTGCTCAGCCTGTAAAGCTAGATAGCACATGCAAGTCCTGCAGGCAACCTGCGGAAAGACTGGGGTGAATTGCCTGGTATTTGAGCAAGAAATTGGACCCACCTGCTGGTCATAAAAGTCACGCCTCGCCACCGGGCTTCATAATGCACCACCACTCGCTCTCCCTCCCTTGCCAGCGCCCCCTTACCCTCAACCACATCATAGTACCTGCAAAGCCACCAAATTCCTCTCAGCACAAGAAAACTGCAGCATGCATGCAAAAATGGCATCTGATGCGCCATCTGTGCAGTGTCCTTGTCAAAATTAATGCTCACAACTGTTTAGAGGCCCTGCATGCTGCATGTGCAGAGTATGATAATCTGTGTCGGGCTTGTCATCTGCGCAGGGTGTTTAATATTTCACGGTGCGGACAATCAAGAAGCAGAATGGCAGAAGGGACGACCATGGAATTTGCAAGGACTCACTTCAGGCCCTGAGGCCCCTCTTTGAATTCCGACTCTGGAATCTTCAGCTTTCGTCTATTCTTCAGGTCCTGCAGCCAAAATGTCAGGGCAAGACTTGAAGGAAACCCTGTTGCAAAACAAGAGCAGCCTTGTATGTGCATGGTGCAATGATGGCTGTATATTTTGGAGTGTAATTGTGTCACCTTCTTGAACCCAGGAAGAGCATGTGCTGGCGCTGTAAGGCCAAGGCCTGCACCAAACTTATGCATAACGTCTGCATACGCTGAAGATTTTCCCCTTGTCGGTATTTTCTTGTTAATTTCGCCAATTTACATAGGCTAATCACGGTAAATGTGGTTTCACTCAAGGATCCAGGAGCGCACCTGCAGCTACTGCAGCCATCAGCAATGCTTCCCTCTTGGTCACTGCATTCGCTTGAATGCTCTCCTGATATTTGGAAGCACCTGTGCGCACAATGAAATATGCGTTAATGGGGATGTCTCCAGCTTGAAGCATGGGCATGGTCACTGACAAGTCATCGAGGGGCACCTGAAGGAGCAGATCCAGCGCCAGCAGAAACCCCCGTCGAGAATGCTCGACACCTAGGAGGTAGTCTGCAGCGGCGGGGCATAACTGACGAAGCGGGTGTGCAGGCCAGCTGGTCCATGCCAGCCGCTATTGCCATCCTGCACACGGCCACCGCTTATATCTAAATCAACGCAAAGATAATCAGTTGAATTTACGCCTTTCTGATTGCTATTTATATTGATCTGTCCATCCAGATGATTTGATCACTTGAAACACCACTCCTATCTGTTTCATCATCCACCCTACGCAGCTTCCGAATTCCCCGAAGCGGCCTATCGGGCAGAATCTAATTACCAGATCTGGTACAGCTTTACGAGTCGCTGATCGTAAAACACGCGACACCATAGACAAAATAAGAGGCAGGGAGCTGTTTGTGAAGTCTATTAGGAGTACCAGTGCAATGGATAATGATGGATCGAGGATCAAGCAGACACAGGCAGCTGCCTGGGGCAACAGCGCTGAGCAGTACGCTGCCGATGTACACGAGGGCGCCGGAATCATGATGCCATTGATAGCAGCCTACGTTGAGACGGCCAAGGAGGAGGTGAAAGGAAACCCACAGATCCTTGACGTCGCCAGCGGAACGGGGGAGCCCGGCATCTCACTGGCCAAGCTATTTCCCGGCGGTACTGTGACTATAACTGATATCGCTGAGGGCATGATCGCGGGAGCCAAGGGGCGTGCGGATCGCCTTTCGTTGAAGAACGCCAGGTACTGCATTGTGCTCTGTCATGCACTTTTACAAGACTGGATTTCCTGTGTACGTCCCATGTTACCAGCACAAAGCTTCACCAACTGCTTGCAGGTTTGCTGTGGCAGATGGAGAGAATTTGAGTCAATTTGGAGATGCAACCTTCGACGTAGTGACCTGCAACGCCGGCTTGATGTTCATGCCAAACTACGAGAGGTGGGTCTTCTTTAATTTTACCTTTGCACCTCACCTGCGGGCAACCCCAATATGACATAGACGGCATAAAGTTTGGTATAACCTCCAGCAATTGGCACATTCGATAGGCTGCTTGGAGTAACCCACAGAGAAATTCCGTGATCAGAGTCTTCCTGATGCTGCCTACAGGGCGCTAGCTGAATTCAGGCGAGTGTTGAAACCAGATGGGCTGGCAATGGTATCTGGTGAGGACCAGCTCCTTACGCTGTGCTGCCAAACTGCCTAACAACAGACCTCGCTTCTGCTCGCAAGGCAGAAGTAAATCTACCCTCTTGAGCTGTACTCAGGCAGGGCAGTGCAAACATTAAAAGGACGACACTTGCACAGCAGGGATGCTGAGTTACAGGGTGTGTCTCCCTTGTTTATGCAGCGTGGGGCGAAGAGGAGCAGACAAATGTTGCCTCTCTGATGCTGGCAGTACAGAGGGCAGTCGCCCCAAATGACAGCTTATTTGCAGATCCCAACATTCTGGGCAGCCGAGAGAAGCTGCTGCATTCCCTGGAGCGCGCCGGCTTCAGCAACAACTCCTGCAGGTAAGGCTACTTCCCCTCTCCTTTGATGAAAATGAGCATCCAGAAAACATGTCTAAAAAGTGACCTCTGTTCACACGCGCAAACACCCCCCTGCATAGGCAGGCATGATAGAAGGGGGGTTCCTGTTCTTGCTAACAGGCAAGAGCAGACAGGCCATTGCTAAGTCTGACAAAAAAGCTCAACTACTGTGCGCTGTCACGTGGGCGTGGAAGAATTTAAGCGTGCTCAGGCCTGCAGCAATGGCAGAATGTGGCTGTTGTGCTACCTTTGTCCAACGTGGTGTCCTTGCTGTGGGCTGCAGGGAAGTCAATGTGCCCATGCGCTTCCCAAAGGAGAAAGTCCGGGGGATGCTGCAAAATCCTGTCATAGCAGAGCTGCTGGATCGGCTTATAGAGCGGGGAGAGAAAGATGTGGCTGATAGCGCACATGGTGCTTTGTTGGATGCTGCTGCCAAGAAAGGCCTGCTGCAAGAAAATGGGGAAATCAGTTGTCCCACCAACATTGCCCTCTTTGTCACTGCGCGCCCCTGATGTCATCGACAGGTTGCATACCAGGGGGTATGGAAGGCTACTGTATGCTTTCAGTCACAATGTATTAGAGGATTGTAGGGTATAGTACCCCTGTAGAAATCAACATATGCTATTGAACGTTAACCACGATCCTCCTGTGATTGCTGTAGTGGGTATACCCTAGTAAGCCTGGAATCTTGTAGGGGTTTTTTCATGTATGTATGGAACGCGTGCCCGCAGTTGATTGGGTCTTGCTGGGATCTGGCAAGTCCAACAAGGGGTAGGATTGTGGCAGCCATAAACTGCAGCTTTTCTGCAGGACGCACCTTGCCTCTTCAAGACTTGGCAGGATAACAGAACTAATGGAACGCGTTGGGCACAATTCCGTATGACTGATGCAGCATCAGGCTTCATAAACAATAATTACCTTAACACTTCCAGCCTTTGCAATTGAACAGTGTTCCATGGAGAACCTGCCAGCTCATGCACATCAGCATCGAAGCCCCTTCAGCCTCAAACTTGCCAGCTTCCCTGAGCCAGGAAGCTAGAGAGAGGCGAATCCCGAGGCATGCATCGAACGTGTTACTTTGCCATTCCTTTAATAGCCCAACCGTGCTCAAAGTTACCAAGAACAATAGTGGAACAGGAGACAAGGCAGTGCTTTCCAGTGTTCGGTTGCGATCTTTCGCGATGGACCTTGAGACCTGCAAGATCAAGCAGACGCAGGCAACGGCTTGGGGCAACGGCGCTGAGCTGTACGCTGCCAATTTACATGAAGGTTCCGGAATCATGATGCCTCTGATAGCTGCTTACGCTGAGACGGCGAGGGCGGAGGTGAAAGGCAACCCACTGATCCTTGACGTTGCCAGCGGGACTGGGGAGCCTGGGATCTCATTGGCCAGGCAATTCCCGAACGGCAGCGTGATTATGACTGACCTAGCCGATGGCATGATCGCGGGAGCCAAGGGACGTGCGGAACGCCTTTCAGTTAAAAACGCCAGGTGATGGCCCGCTGCTGGTTTTGGCCCTTCGTGTGCCTCGGAAACTATTACACAAAGTTGTCAAGATGTATTTCTTGCTGCAGCTTTGATGTGGCGGACGCAGAGGACTTGAGTCAATTCAAAGATGCCACCTTTGACGTGGTGACGTGCAACTGCGGCCTGATGTTCATGCCAAACTACGAGAGGTGGGGTCCTATATGCCCGCCTGTGACATCCTGGTACATATCATAGGTGTTTCATGGTTTTATCAAAAACGTTGATTCGTCTGCATTTGAGGGGCGTGTGTGTATGGGATTCCAAGCCAAGCCAGGATACTTTATGTGCCTGCAGGGCCCTGGCAGAGTTCCGGCGAGTGCTGAAGCCAGATGGGCTGGCGTTAATGTCGGGTATATAACAGATCCCAGGCACAACATTGGGTAACCATGCATTCAAAGAGCTCTGCAGGTGCATGCACCTGTGCTACAAACTTTTTCATCTCTGCCCTTGCGCAACCTTGTACTATGCCACAGCGACCAAGCTGTGGTCCTGACAAGTGCAGCAGGAGCGTCTGCTGCACAGCAAACCTTGAAAAGCATCACCGCAGTGCCCAGATGACACTACAAAGAAGGATACCGTGGTTGCCAGTCCAAACCCCGCACTTTTCTGACTTGGGGGATGAATTCCTTGATGCAGGGCTCATGCGCTGACTTGTGTGTCGTGTCTGTGCAGCGTGGGGTCTGCCGGAGCACACGCAGCTCATCTCGCTGATGCTGGGCATGCAAGCGGCCGTTGCGCCAAATGACAGCTTGTTTGCAGACCCCAACATCCTAGGAAGCCGCGAGAAGCTGGTGCACGCCGTGGAGCGGGCGGGGTTCAGCAATGTCTCCTGCAGGTGTGCAACCTGCCCTTCACAGGCAAGCTGTGCAGTGGCTCTGCAGAGACGTCAGGACCCATGTCACATCCCTTCAATTATACGCAGGACAGATATATCCTTCTACTGCTCACAGACATTTGTAAAAGAAGCCACCCTTTGCAATGCCTGCTTGTGATGCCCCGGGTATAGTGGATCCTTCCCTGTTGAGAAAAAGGCGGCGAGCATGCAGGGTTGATGCATCATGTGGCACAATGTGGCGCATGCAGGCTGCATGCATGCGTTGTTACTGAAGGAAAATAATGTGGTGGGCTGCAGGGAAGTCAATGTTCCCATGCACATCCCCGCGGACAAGGTGCGGGTTGCGCTGGTGCAGAATCCTCTGATTCGCCGAATGGCTGGAGCGGCTGATTGAGAGAGGAGAGACTGATGCGGCTGACCGCGCACATGCCACTTTATTGGATGATGCAGCCAGAAAGGGGTTCTTGCAAGAGGATGGCACCATCCAGTGCCCAACCAACATCGCCCTCTTCATCACTGCGCGCCCCTGATGGGATTTTGTGGTGCTTGGTGGACATGTTGGCCCCACACTGGGGCCAACATGTCAAACAGGAAATTTGACCAATTGAACTTTAAAGAATTTCTGCGCTTGATGATGCCGTTTGCAGTTTGCAGTGGTTGATGTGGGATATGTGTGGAAGGGCCCGGCCAAGCACAATCATATCTGCCCAACGTTTCTAAGATAAAATGATATAATCTACCAAATATCGAATAAATCGCTATTACATTAGGAAAATGTCTTCAGAACAGGCCGCATGCATATGTGTATTAGCCACTTGTCGTTAAATTCCTTGTTGCAAAAGAAGACGCGAGAGGAGCCAATAGCATGCAATGACCTGATGTTGCCAGGTTAAGCCGGAACAGTATTGTGAAAGTGGACAAAACAGTGAAAGCCACATTTCCAGCTGCGTGGCTAGGTACTTTATTAAAACAGTGCAGAAAAGTGCCCTTATGGGGTGTCTGCCCTTGTTGAGGGAGCCATAGATTTCCTGGGCCCAAATTTGGACGGTCTTTGGTTCGGGTCCTGTGCAGCTTCCTGAGCGTTGTTGCCTGCCAGTGAGGGACGAGCCATTGATTTCCTGAAGCCGACCTTTGATGGTCTCAACTGCACGCCCTGTGTTTGCTCCTCAACGCTGCCCCCGGTTGGAGGCCGCACAACTGACTTCCTGGACACCCTTGCATCCCTCACCATCATGCCTACGCCTGCGCAGCAACATCCTCCATCAAGAAGAATGTAAATATGATCGGTTCTGAAATGAAGATCCATTTCACTTGTATCGTGGCAGTCTAGGCAGAGCCATGCATGGAGCGTCGCACAATCAAAGTACCATGAGGTTGCTTTGATTTTAATATTGTACCATTCTGCATTCCTACCTGTCAGTTCAATTATTGAAATATTCTGCGCCTGTACTGTACCCCATGTACTCATGCAAACACTCCGTATACATCCACCGTTGAAGAACATCGGACAGATATTCTCTCACATCAAATTCTGCAACAGATTGTGGAGATCCAGTGACAGCTCTAGGGTTTATAATTTGGACCCCACCTTTCTCGATGGAGAGGGAGGCGCTGCCGTTGCCAGCGCGGATGCTGAGTCGCGAGGTGCGCCGGGCAGAAGAGTCCATATTCGAAGCCCTTGACCCAATCGAAGATGCTGTGTCCGGTCGCTCCGGCCGCAGGATGCTGCATCAACATAACAAGTCTCAAATCAGAATTCAAAGATTTGAATTTGAAAGTTGCATCAAGTCACCCTTCTCTTGCCCCTGAATTGGGGAGACGCCTGCAGGCCCTACGATCCATGTGGATTCCGTTCTCAAGTCGCAACAATGAAACAGGGAGATGATTACTGCCTGGGCCACACATTTGCAATGCACTTGACCTGCATTTGCATGCCTGCTCTTGAACTATGCCACTCTCACGCCACCCCTGTCCACCATCTGTAATTCCCTGTTGACCTCTTTTGCTCAACCACATGCCTCTCCGCACTGCTATAAGGCGCACAGCATTCTCACACGTTGCAAGTCCTGATTTGCTAGACCTTGCGATGTGAGCTTGCACAGCTCGTTATAACCAGGCGCAACTCCCAAGCAGGGTTGACTTGGGGAGGAAAGGGAAAGAAAAGAAAAGCACCATTACCTGCGCAGGGAGCGGCGGCGTGGGCTGCCGGTTGACTTGGAGATTGCCAGAAGGGCGTCCTCCGTCTCAGATCTCTGAAGTGGGCCCATGGCTTCGAGGATGGCGATCAGTTGCGGCTGCGGCAGCTCCGACATAAGCTGTGCACCCTCCTGCCTCGTCAGCGTGCCTGCATCACAAAATCCGATTTAGCGAGGCACTGCTCTCACAGTTGCTACTCTGTGTATGGTTTTTTCGGCACGCACTTCTTGTGCAGCACTACTTGAATTGAAGCATAGCTTGCCCTGTCATAGGGGCCTTTTGATATCATGGCTTCATCCCATGATCCTAGAAGTTCTGGCTTCAAGTCTTTGGACAGCCCATGCCATGTTTTGGTGCCTGCTTGTTTGCCTGCCACTGCCGCTTATAAACCGCATCATGCAAAATCCCCTGCTTTCTCTGTTTAACAGTCTCACCACACGATAGCCTGAGAGGGGAATTGTACTATATAAATGTTCTAGCATCGGCAAAACAGATAATTTACCGGTGAGCGCGGCGGCGGCAGTTGGCGGCAGCGCCCCGATAAGTTTGGCCTTGTCCTCGAAGGGCAGGCCAAAAACCGCGGCAGCAGCCGCGCGGAGTTCCATCCCGGCAGCTTCCCTCAGCTCCTCCACCTCCTCCTGGTCAACTTCCTCCTCGGCTTCCTGCTGTTCCGAGAAATCTTCCCCATCTTCCCCAGCAGAGTATCCGGCTCCTACTGAAAGCAAGCACACATTTTTATTTCTAGTTTCGCGAGGATGAAGCAGGTTATTCTTTTAAAAAAAATTCAGGATGGCCGTCAATCACCCCTGTTATCAACTATTGATTTTGTTGAGCAACCAAAGCGCAGCACGCGCTTGCCGATTCCCAGAGACTGCCTTCTAAAACAACGGGGCCTAAGCAATTGGGGACATCATTATGTAATCAGAAGATGCTTGCTGCAAGATCAGACATATTCTTGACTCCCGACTTATCTTAGGTGATGCAAGGGGTGTAAGGATGATTCGCAGGCTTGGCATGACATGTTCAATGCTGAAACGGAGAAAAAGGCTATGACACCTGCCGCAGGCACAGGTGGGGAGTATGTCCATTTGTGGGAGGACTGCAGCAGAAGCTGCACGGTAGCTTCCGTGGCAGTGGAAGCTGGCAGCGCCTGCAGGAACTCCCTCTGCCTTTCTGTCACCCATCCCTGCACAGAGCCCACGAGCATGCTTCATTAGTGATGCATTCCTAATCTTCAGGCAATCAATCAATCCTGCTGCCATTCACTTTACAGCCCTTTTCAGGCTTCAAAGTACCCTGCACTGTCTCTTGTTGGAAAATGCTGTGGAATGGGTCACCAGAGATCAACTATGCGCCTGAACAGAAGGTCTGAGATTTTGATTAATAATAATTAAAACGATATCTTGCAAAATCATGGGCTTCTCACCTGGATGAGTCGCAGGGTGTCGCTGACAGACAGGTGACTCAGCAGCGCCGCCCGCTCAGAACCCCCAAAGCACGCCAGCACCTGCACAGTTGCCAAATTTCTTAAGCATGCAACGTCACACCTGCACATGCTTAACAACAGCCTTGTACCCAGGCAGATGCTGCAGCAAAAAGCAGGTTCATAGGCCGCCCTGACTCGAATATCCTGACAGGGGTTTGCACTGCAGCTCTTTCGTCACCATCCAAGACGGAACTTCAAGACCACGATGAGTAAGCTTCTCAGTTTTCTCTTTTCAATTTCCAGAATTTGAACACCAGAACGAGCCGACCTGCTGCGCAATTGGCTTGATCAAGGCTTGCAAGCTGGACAGAGCCATGGCGCGAGGCATGGCCTGCAGAATTGCAGCTGTCGCCTCTGGAGCCAGCCCTTGCAGGATACCCTCCCTTGTATGCGCCTCCATCTCCTGATCACACAGCCACAGAAGGACCTCTCAAGCATCTTGTAAGGCAGCATTGCTCAATTTGCATTCCTTCGATTTCCCGGCGACATCTATGGATGGAGTTATTTTTACTGCATTGGATTTTTGCGGGACTGCAAGCATGCGTTTTGCTGGAAATCAGCTTTCTGGCCATCCACTCTTGGACCAAGGAGCAGATTTGTCAACCCAACACCTGTGCATTGCTCGCTGCATATGCCAGTGCAAGAAAGCCATGGGGAAATGCCCTTCAATTCCCACCGTGACTCCCCTGAGACATCATCAGGGGCACTAAATAATACCCCCTGACATTCAAGTATATAATACCCCCTGGATTCATGCTAGCGGGGGCTGTAAACATGCACACCCTGCGCAAGCGGTTGAAGGATTTAATGTAGTACTCGTTTTAAAATCTGCACCCCTGGCGGTGCTGGCAGTTTTTCAAGGCACTTTTTAGGGGTCTTCCTGACCTCAAGATACTAGGGTCATGCCCCATTGGATTCCGATCCTGATCTCAAAATTATCATAGGGTTTATATTCTGGGAGATAAGGTCTTATTTATCCACCCTTTTTGACCAAAAAAATATTTTCGGGTTTCAGAATGAAAATTCAGCAATAACTCACCTCGAGGAGCGCGGCTGCGCGGTGGGCTTTCATACGCAGTAGCACTTGGCGCTGTTGGGGCAGGTCGGTGTTTTCCAGCAGCTCCCGGGCAGCCTCCGGGGCAGCCATGCTGCCCAACCACTTGCCCGCCAGCGCCGCCGAATGCCTGCGTGCACCACGCATGATGGTCAGGAAGGAAGCGTTTCCTGTGCAAGCTCCTGGCATGCTAGTGCGCAGGGCAGATGCTGGAACATACGCCACTTCATCCTCTTCCTGCATGCTGCTGTCACAAAGAGATCAAATGGCATCTCCCTCCACCTTGACACAGATCAGCAGAAATGCTTCCCTAATATTTCAACGACTCCTTTCAAGGAATCCTGCATGCCACTGCTTGTGTTGTGATTGTGAAATCCAGAGCCGACATAAATCGCGCCCGTGGTGCACTTTTCACAAACCCCACCTCTAGACATCTGCGCGCTGTCCACCAGTTCAAAGAGCACAGGTTAGAATTGTACCAGATGAAGGCGAGTGCGCAAGTGGCGAGCGTGGGATCGGCAGTCGTCAGATCCGCAATAACTCCCCCGCGCGCGTTCAGGCTCATGGCCGCCAAACATGCCGCAGCGCCCTCGTCGGACATTCCTCGCAGCAGCCCTGTCCGCTCTGACGGCGCCAGCGTTGCTAGCACCATTGCTTGTGCCTGTACACAAAGTATGCAGCAAGATTCAGTGTTGCCCTGACGTGTCATCTGATGGGTCGCTCCAACCAGGGTAACAGGAGCTCACTCTAAGGGCTCCTTTGTCAGATGGAACATACGGTATATGGCCCAAGAAGGGAAAACATACCACAGCATACAGCCAGGCACACAAACATCTGCTAAGACTGACCGGCACACGGCAAGCAAAGCATGCTGTGGAGCAGAAGTCTTGAAGGTATGTTTGGCGAGGCTCAGCACAGAAGGTGCAACAGGTTCTGAAGTTGGGTAGAAACCAAAGACCATACTGCAGTCTGCAAGGTAAAGACTCAACCCGCACCTCTGGGGCAAGAGTGTCAAGCATCTGGGCGGCCTTCTTCGCATCGCCTGCCATTGCCGACAAGAGTGCAGCGCTGCCAACCATTGTGTCCTGAGCATCATGACAGATTTAACATCCTCAAGCCAGTCAATCATGAGGTATCCCATTGTCAGAAGGTGTCAGCCAGAAACCAGAAGGTCAACGCTGCAGCATCGTCCATGTCAAGTAAAATTCTGTACTAAATAAAGCATTGTCGAGCTGTTTATAAGGTCAAGGCATGGGTTTCAATTGTAGCACTTATCTTTCTGGAATGTCGTCACTGCATCTATCCAAGAAAAAGCACAATGCAGCCTTGCTCCTGCTGGCTTACCTGCACCACGTTTGCAAATCTGGACCCCGGGCCGCCAGAATCCGCGGACGCCCTCTGGAGCGCCAGTCGCTGCTCCGCCCTCGTCCGGTCCCGCCGGAAAGTCGAGACTGCAAGAGCCATTGAAGTGCCCTGCAGCATTGCCACCTGCACAGCGCAAATGCCATGATCAGCGTGAGCACAGCATGCGATTGATACTGCTCTTAAAGCATGCTATGCGCCGAGTCATTAACCATTACGCCGGATTCAGCAGAGGTGGATTAGGCTGTGCCTTGCTCCAATTTCCATTGCCCCCTCACGCCATGCACTGAAGTCCATCGAGTGTCTCACAAAGCCCTATTCACAAGCGCTGGAAACCAAGCTTACTCAGTTCTCACGGCACTCCGTGGTAATAGTTTGTGCAGGTAAACCCTGACGGGTGTAACGATTTGGCATTTGTAGAATGCTCAATGGAGCTTTGCCAGCATGGCAACTGCAAGGCTTGGGTGGAATGGAGAATAACGAACCTGCTGCAGGACGGGCTGCGGGCAGGGGCTGCGGGCGCTGGGCAGCCGGAAGAGGCTCTGTTTATGCGCGGACCCCTGCAGGATCGTGGCCTGCCGCCAGCGCATGCCCGCCAGCAGGCGCCGCGCCATCCGCTCCACCGCGTCCAGCTCAGCAAGACCGGATTGCAGCTTCTCCTCGGCTTCCGCCTCTTTTATCGCCGCTCGTGCTGCCGCCACCTCATGCGCTTGCACCTCCTGTCGCGCAACCAGCAGCACGTTACATCATAAGCAGAGAGTGGGAAAGCTGTGTATGTGGTACCTGTGCACCTTTGCACTACTTGTCTTGCAACAGGTGCCTTGTGGTGGGCAGACACAAGAGGGAGATGTTTCTGCTTACATCCCAACCAATGTTATTCCCTTTGGAACCGTTCCTCCCCCGTCTATGCATGGCGAGACAATCCAGCAAGGCGAGAGAGGGTATAGCAGGGCATCTTGCACACCCTTTTGGAACATTTCCCATTCTGCTGAATTTCTCAGATTGCATCAACGAAGTGTGCGTGCAACCCCTTTCACACACTGGCTGCCAATTTAATTATGAGGCGTCATGCATGCTTTCTTAGTTGCACAGTGTCAAGAATGAGCAGTCCAGAATGTCGGCTAGAGTACCTTGCAGAGGCGGTCAATCTCCCGCTGCAGTGCTTTGTTGTCCTCAGCCGCCGACTGCAAATGCATCAGCTCGGCCTGCAGAGTGATGTTCTTCTGCTCCTGCTGGGCTGCCTCCTCCCTCAGACTCTCTGCACGGCATCACAACCACTTCAGCTGAATCCGGGCCCCAATAAGACACGGCCATGGCATGCAGAGCAAACAACAATATACGAATTTGCAGCTACACAGCATCGCAGACACTAAAGCTCACATTATGTTCCAGAGAAAACCTTTCTTTTGGCATGCATGTATCTGACAGCTAGCGTGCAGCTGTACAGCTGTGCCAATCACCACTCAGAACCCCAGTTAGGAGGAAACCAATGTCTTTTTCTCTGGGACAGACTTGCTCACATGATGCAGGATTTCAAAATGAAAATTTTAACTTTCTGCACGTACCCATAATGGAGTCACACACGGCGGTGTGCAGGTTCCAGGCAGCTGCCAGGGCGGCCCCGCGTTCGGCGCACGCCCCTTCTGCCTGCCTGATTAGGTCCGCCATCGCTATTCCTGCCCCCAGCAAAACCCCGGCCATGCAGTGCGCGTCCCATGCAAGCCCTGCGTAGTAATTTTCAATTATTTTGTCCCAAGCAGAATGCAAGATGCATAAGGCTGAGAAATTTTATGGGTCCTCCGTTGTATCATACTTATGTGTGTGACGAAGAGATGGTTACATGCTCTTGTTCTAGTGCAGATCCGCACGGCTTCTGTACTTCTATCTGTGCGGCCGGTGCATATTGAAGGGTAAGAATTCGTCAGCACATGAAGGTGGGGTATATGTAAGGGTGTATCACCTGGTCTGCTGCCAACTCCATTCAAGCCGCCATCAGAAAAGGTCCTTGAAGGATTGCTTGCTGCAGTGGTGCTCTTTTCTGATGCGTTGCCCGGGTCGCGGTAAGTTGCCACTCCAATGATTGCCTCTGTTGATGCTGGCAAGCTTGACGAGCCATTCGCTTTTTGAACGAGTCGGGTTCTGTTGTTTTCTGGCTGGTCCAGGGCCCGTCTGCAGAGGCGTTCCAGCACCTCCTCTCGCCAGGTGAGCGCCCTGTCAGCACGTGCATGAAATGTTCATGCTGTGTTCAGCTGTTCCTGGTACACAGATTAAGAGTCTTTGCTGCATGGAGTTCCACTGCTGTTTTACACAGCACATGCATGGCCTTCCTGTTGAATACTGCAGCCTCCGTGCTCGCCCACAGAATCTTCAAGTGTAAGAGGGCAAGGCAACTTGGCAGTGGATGCTTCAGTAGTACTGTTGTGTTACCTCTCGGCCGCAAAGGCGGGGGCGGCAGCAATGTTGCGCAGCAGCGCATGCACCTCCGCAGCTTCATGCCTCCCCGATGGCCCATCAGAAGGTAGGACTTTTAGCCCTGGAATGCCGGCATTCCCACCCAGGACAGCACTCCCTGCAAAGAATGGCTATTGTTGACTTGTCTGCTTATCAAGATATAGATTGGTATTCCAAAGAGATGATTGGCATCATCCTGGAACATTGCAGTGGCCCCAGAAAGCAAGGTAATCTTGGTGGTGCTGAGCCTGCCAATTCACCCTCGTGCAAGTCTTGGCATCTCCTGCACTTTGTGTATCAGGATTTCCCTGACATGTCAGCAGCATGAACACTCACCAACGCAAGGGAATGCTTGGCAAGAAGTTTTGTACCTCGAGATTCTGCAGTACAGGAGAGCAGGCGCAGTTGCAGCGGCTGCTTCTGCTGAGGAAGCTGCTGAGCGGGCTGGCTCCTTAGCACTTTTACAAATCCTGAGCTGGACAGCTGCTGCCCAGATAGATCACTTAGCCAGGTGCTTTCCAGGTCGACTGAGTGCTGTGTGCCCTGCACAAGACAAAACATCCAGACTTCCAGATTCCATGCTGGAATAGCATTCTGTCAGATTTCATGTACTGTACTCAGGATGCTTGCAACATGGAAGCATGGAACGTATTTGAAAGAAAAATGAACGCAGACACACACAAAAAACCTTCACAAGTGGAGCACCATTGGATACACATCCATCCTCTTTGACCAACGTGAGAAGCAAACAGCCAAGTGCAATTCAATATGTATCCCGGCAGGTATCTGGTGTCTGAATGGAGCCCAAAACATAGAGCTGTGGCTGCATGCCTGGAGCAATTTTGGCATGGTCCGTAGGGATCCGTTACGGTGCAGGCTGGGTCGCCTACGGTCAGGGCTACCCTTTGACTGCAGCCGGTCGAGGTCGTGGATCCAGCCGCCGCTGTCATCATGATTAAGCTGACTCAGCGCCTTCAGGGCCGGACTCAGCTCGTGCTCACCTCGCATGTGTGACACCGCCAGGTCACCTGCGGTGCATGTAAGCCAGTATGAGCGATTTAACGCCCCTCTCACGGCTTGACACATCACTTGGCTGACAAGTTCTTCCCTCCTTATAAGGGCCCTGCATTCCTTAGCGCTTTGGGGTAACAAGCCCCGGCAAAAAGGTGCACATTCCGCAGCAGGCCCAGTGAAATAATGATGATTGACCTGCGAAGAAAGGCGATATTTTGTGCCTAGGCATGTATGATGAGCATAAAAGCAGGCAGAGAGCACACCACGTTTAAGAGTGCTTTCAGCAGGCTGCAGGCCGGAGCTAGCAGAATGTTCCTCAAAAGATGCCAGCTCTGACCCTGCATTGCTGGAAGCTCTGCGCAGCCGCCGCATGCCTGAAGCTGGCACCACCCACCGCTGCTGCGCCCTCTTTGTGTACCAAGTACTCGCCTGAAGCCCCTCTGCAGATCCTGCCTGCACAGATGGCGCAGGCTGGTGCCCTGCTGGCTCTCTTGAGGGAGATTTACCTTGGTGTGTAATGATGTAATGGGTCTGATGATCCACCCGAGTGCTGCTTTCTGCCATCGTGGGACCTCGCAGTCACATCTGCCACCTGATGATGGCTCTACATGGCTCTTGGGAAAGCTCTACTGTCCAAGAAATGCTGTAGCGTGATCTGCATCTCTGCAACGCGGCCTTTGATCTCCATTTTCCCCTCAAGGCTTGTTTCAACGAGGTCTCACATTCGTTCAACCTAACTCACGCTGAGCTCGCCTTCCTCACTTGGTGCCATCAGGAGCTGCTTTTTGCCTCCGTAGAATCTGAAATGTTGAGAAGAACATCCTTAATTTGCTTAATATACAGCCAACAAGTTGACTTAGACACTGCAGGACTGAAAAGCAAATAACAAAATATCCTGAGGGCTTGTTGCCACAAATAGTTGCAGTCGTACTTTTGTCGACGAGCAGAAAGACGATTCTATCTTGCCACACCAACGCGTCCCTTACTATTGCTCTATCAATAATGTAAATTGAATGGATGTTATTGCATTTCTATAGGCTGGAGTGCTTTCCAGTGTGAGAGCTCCAAGGTTTTGCTATCCCAACTCTATTTCCCTGACCGTTATGGGGTCGTTGTTGTCTTGGAAGCTTCTGCCATCACGTGGTACCACCGGTGCTGACTCACCACGATCCCACAGACCAAGACAGCTCAGAAATCCGTCTTGCACGACGCATCAATATTTTGGATTGGAAAGAAAAGTCGAAGAAGTTTGTAGTCTCATGAACGAAGAGCATTGGTGCCAGCGTTTTCAGGTTTGAAGCCAAGGAGCATCTGCATGTCAGCGGTAAGTATTCTTGCCCCATTTGAGAGCTCTTCCATAAATATCTTCGGCATTCTTCAAGTCAAATATGTTAAATTCTGTTCTGTACGAGAAGTGATGCGCGTTGTCAAGATGACGTGTGCGTTTTGGTTCTTCACATCAATACGGTTGACCCGCCTATTCTTTGGCTGAAACACAATCTGCAGCTCCTCCTTGATGATCATTGCATCATTATACGTTTACAGTACTCTTATGTACAGCTTGATTAATGATCAGAGCTTTTGATTGGCTTCCCCAGCTACAAGGCAGAGGCCAAGGGAGGGGCCGATCGGTACATAAAAGGTGCTGCTTGATTGCAGGCCACCGTGAAATATCCTCCATGCTTGACCAGACTGTACGGTGCAGCTGCTGGCCTGACGACAGCCCCTTTGCTGTCTTCGTCAGCAAGGAATCGACCGCTTTTCAGGACCTCACCATGTGCCCACAGCGCTCCACAGACCTCCAGGAGCCCCTGCTGTGCAGCCCAGCCCTCCTGCAGCAGCACCAGCAGTGAGTTTATGGCAGGCCACTGCGCAACCAGCAGCCTACAGCAGAACAGCGCAAGCTCCAGCCAGAGGCCATCCGGGTGCAATGCGGTGCAGTGTGAGAAGAGCGAGACGGTCTCCACACGGCTGTGGCGGGACCGGTGGCGTTACATGCGCTCGGAGTCAGCCCGCACCAATCTGGGTCTCCCCAAGGCAGATTGGCACCGCTACCATCTGCAGGTAAGCCAGATCATCACAAAGCACCGGTGAAGGAGAACTCAGCCAGCCAAGCTGAGTAGATTATTAAATGTGTTGCATTGAAGGTCGACCACCCAAATTCCTTATCGTCAAACATACGTGCAAATTTATCGGAAGCATGGAATGTTATGCACCGGTGCTGGTGTTGTGCTGGTGCACGTTAATGGAGGTGCACCCTTTCACTGGGTCAATACCGTGACCAGTACAAGCTTTCTGAGAACAGCGTACGATTTTTCCAATCCGTCATGTTCTTGGGAATGTCGGCCTTGAAAATTTTGGTCTGTGTGCGCAGATCCTGTTCGTTGACAGGACAGACACAGTGAGGGCGCGGGTGGCGACAGGGCTCTTCGAAAGGGTGGCTGAGTGGAACGGCTACGGCCGGGCGCTGTACCCCAGTGCGGCCGGGGTAGATGCAGAGGGTGGGGCGCCGAATGTGGCGACCACCGCATCTCTGCTGTCCATGGCCGGCATGCTTGGGATCCGGGCCAAGATCTTCGCTGCGCAGCGAGAGCGGTTCGACTACGATGACTTTGACAGGTGGGATTCTGAGAAGCGTTATGGTGTTTCTTTTGGCAGACAGGCATCCTAGGAAGGTGGAGAGTGCAGCAAGTGCTTTCTGTTTATGGGGTGCAAATTGTGACCCCTTGATTTCCGGCAAAATTGGACGATTGCTTTTCAACACGACAGGCAAAGCAGATATGTCGAGGGAAATGACTTGCTAGGGCGGCAGTGTACTCTAGAGTGACTGGTGTTGAGGTGACGCTGCCTGATTTGGCGGAGGGGTCACGGAGTTGCATGCAGCTATTGGATTACCTTACATATCTGGCGCTCGGGTCACTGGGAGCATCGCCTTGTGTCCTGCCCCTTTGGGGTCCTGCCTCGGCATGACATGAGCCCTGGATCCTCTTGTTTCCACCCCTGGGGGAGCAGTGAATGGAAAGAGCACCAGCAGTTCAGAAACTTGGTTGCCAGCTACAGGACTTCCACAAGTGCGGATGGCTGCCTCTCCACCTACGCCCTACTGGGCTGTGGCCCCTTGGCAATTGGCTCTTCACCTGCCATGCAGCACAAAATGATGCAAGCTCACGTGGACCATTTGCAGGGCAAAAATGTTTTTGATGGCGTTGCAGGCATGACATCATCGTTGCGATGGATGACAGCGTCTTGGAAGACATCCTGGGAATTGCAGGCGGTCCCTCAGACAAGGTGCAACCCGTCACTGCTCGGCTGTGGAATGTTGGAACGCCCCTGCAGCCGTGCCTTCTTGTGCATGGTCTTGCATTGCTGATTGAGGCGTGTATGTGCACAGTGCATGCTGTGCTCAATCCTGCTCTCAACACTCCCACCGCCGTAAAGGAGAGTAAAGAGAGCATAATGTAAAAGTCCACTGTGCAACCCCAGGCATGGTACGCCCCCCGGTGCACGACGCTGACGGCTTTCTCCCGGTACTGCGGCGGATTGATCCTGCGCGGCGGCGGCAGCGGTGTACTGGAGCCGGAGCTGCGCGCGATCGTGGCCCCCGTGCTGCAACGCGCATGCAACGCCGCCGGCATATCTCGGCCCAACCTCGGCAGCGGTGGGTTTGGTTTTTCCCCCCTTTCACCCTTCCCAATCCACTTCTTCAGGCAACCCCAGTTTGGGATTTTAAGTTTGGATTTGTAGAGCCTGTACAGAGCTTGTATGTGTTGTGTTTATTTGGGCCCTGGGGATCCGGGAATTTAATGTAGACCATATAAGCCCCACCTGCTGGTGGCATCAGCATGTGTACAGTACTGCACTTCCCTGTCCAATCCTGCGGCAGCTAGCATTCTTGTGGCCCATGCAATGGCTTGCGAAGTAATCAAGTCATGTCAATGAAATATCTTACTGTTGTTGTCGGCTGTATGCTGCGCCATGATGGAGTGGCATGCATCTGAGCATGCCGTGCATTGAGAGACAGCGCAATTAAGCATGTCTATTTGATATTGTGAATTGCTGCTGCAGGTCCAGAGGAGTGGAATATGATGGTGGAGGATATTGTGGTGGCCTGTGCAGGACTGGTGCAGTATCTGGCGGATGCTTACCCCCCAGACCTGCCAGAGTATGATCCGGTGTGAAAAACCTGTGATCCTGTACAATCTGCAAATCATCTGTACGTGTAGAGTAATGTGGCAAAGGGTTGATGAGACAGGGTGGTTGAGATTGAGAGTGTGAGAGAGATGTAAAATTGGTGGCACTATTAACATGGCAGAGGAGAGAAATGGTGCTGCAAGGCAGTGCATGAGTGCTCTTCCAGAGATTTGAAATACGCATAGGTCACGATCAGAAGTTCCATTCCATTTGACCGAAAGAGAGGAAAGTTGTTGCACTGCTGCATAACCATTACAAGTGTTGCTGTGCATTACTGCAGCCAGCAATGTGCAGGCTGCTTTTCATCAATCCGCTGAAGTCAGCCCGCGAATTTACATATAATCCAGCCCGCAGGCTCCTACTGCACGTACAGGTCTCTCACCCTCATGACATAGTCCCCCTTCTCAACGCACTCCAGGCAGATCATCCCCCTGTCCTTCAGCAGCTGCTTCAGCTGTGTCACTCTGAGGCTGCTGAAGTCCGTGTTGGCATCCACCTGCGCATGTGTAACGCATGCTCTGCATCAGGATTACTACCCCTCTGTTTTGAGTGTTCGGCATCTCTGTACACACCGACCAGACTCTCCTTTATGAAAGCAATCACCAGACGTTGAGTTCCCAACTTGGTCAGGAAAGGTTTTTGGACACTTTGGACCACATGCAATGTTCGACCCTGAGGCATGCTCTTGGATGAAGAGGTATTTTTATCACTGCAGCAAGAAAATTTAGTTAACTCGCCTAGCAGCTTGCATGTGCAGTGTGCCCTGGACGCTCAGTACAGTTGCTGCTTGCAACTCAGTAGCTTGACACAGGACTCACAGCAGACACACCAATAAAAATATTCATCCTCAGAAACAACGCATGCCCAGGACTCACCTTGACGGCCGTCGCGCATTTCCGCCCACCAGCGAACTTGCTGAGGAAGTCAGTGATGGGCCCCGACTTGAATTCGCCTTCGAATCTTTCCGCCGTGGCGGGATCGCCGTTGCATGCCACCAGCAGCGTCGGGGCAGCTTCCACGCCAAACTTGGCCGCCATCTCCCCCCAAACCCCTCACCTGTTAATTTCACAACAACCCCTCAGGACAATGACACGGTCAGACAGGTGTGCACATTGCTTTCTCTGCTCTCTGGGCACTGGTATTCTGTGCTGACACTGATAACTCGTCGGCCCAGATTCTCAGCCCAAAGGCTTGCAGTTCTAGCCGCCACAGGTAGCAGGCAGGGGCAAAAATTCACCAAAACCTGTACGCACTCGGATCAGCAGAGATGTGCGAAACTTGAGCACACAATTTGCGACCAGGTACTGAGGATGCTGTGCCTCTGTGTGCGCACAAGTTCGCGCATGTCTTTGCTGATCTGAGCCCTTACAGATTTCGTGCTGAGAAAGATTCCAACATCACATGGCAACCAGCAAAAGGCTACAAAGACTTACCTCTCCAAAGGCCAGCTTGCCGGCGTACTGCGAGCTGAGGCTTTTGTACAGCGGCGAGGTCTGTTTCTTGTCCGAGAACAGCAGCACGCATCCGCCCCACGAAACCCCATCCTTCCCTGCTTTTTTCCCCTTGCCGCCGCCGCCGCAGCGCCCGAGAAACGCCTCCAACTTGTCAGCGCTACTCAGCACAGTCACCTGCGACAGCATCAGGGGTCACAAATTTGAACTTGAATTCGAAAGAATGACAAGGAACTGCAGATTAAATCGCGACCTTGGATGACAGAGTCGCGACAACAACCCCCGCATCACTCATGTCAGCGTTTTCACTCCTGATAGAGCCACATGCCATGTGGCTCTGCGCAACTCTGCTTGAACAGCAGTTTGTCACTTGTGTCACAGGCTTCAATTGCCAAAGCATCATAGGATGATCGGCAAGCCATGGATTGTTCTTGATAGATAGGCACGCCAGTCTGTGAGGAGTTGCGATTCTCTGTCATGAGCAGCTCAGGCTTGGAGGTCCGGTGACTGTCATGTTAGAGGCTACACATTTGTCCGACTGTCTCCCAATACACGACGATCACCAGCACCCAAGCCAGGGCAGCTTGACAGACCCATGCCATTCAGCAAATGCCCACTTCGACAGCAATCCAGGAAGCTGGAAGACTTTCTGCATGCCAGCAATTGCTTCCACAAGTCAAGCTTGCATCCCAATTGCAGCAGCGGCAATCGCAGGTGATTGGCAAACCTTGTTGGGGATGAGCGAAATAGCCCAGTCCTTGAGGTGCTGCGCAGAGCGGTCGCCATTGTAGTCGACCATGCGCCCGTTCACAAACGCCTTGATAGTGGGGAAGCCCTGGATCCTATGGGAAGCAAGGCAAAGAGCACATGAGTCACCTGCGCGGTCAAAGTGACCTACATTCTGCTCCTGGGCTCTGGTGGAGGGCTCAAATGGAACAATGGAGAACACGAAAAAGCCTATGTATTTTGAATATGAGTGTCAAGGAAGTGATACTCGTAAGGGGGCATGCTCAAACATCCAGGGCTCTGCTGGACAAATCAGATATGAACGCAGGTTGACATAGTGAAGGCATGCCCAGACAGCCGCAGGAACAAGTGTGCAATATGCAAGACGCAGGAAAAAAGCAACACAGCCTGCTTCTGCAAGGAACCCTGGCCAGCGACACTCCAGTGAAAACAGGATGCAATCTTGCAATAGTCTCTTTCAATGCCTGCACCTTGGGTATTTAAAGATTACATAGGAAGACCGCGCACTTGTGCTCAGCGCAGAGCGACTGCTCCTCGTCGCAGTTGACGGCGCCGACCTTCGCGATGTTTTTCAGCGAGGCCGCCAGCTTGGACCATTTTGGCGCCAGCTGGCGGCAGTGGCCGCACCAGGGCGCATAAAACTCAATCAGCCACACGAATCCCTCGCCGGCGCTGCTGGGGAAGCTTCCCGGGGTGAGCGCAAGGACGGAGGTGTCGCCGTCGTACAGGCCCGGCCCCCCGCCGGCGCCACCGCCGGCCCCCCGGCCGCCACCGCCGCGCTGACCCCCCTGCGGATCATAAGGACGACTCACAGCGGGATTGTAAGGCATAATCGGGCTTTATAAGAGCTCTGAGGTAGACAGTGGAACGGGATTCAGATGAGTGTTTGCTCAGATGATGCGGTGGCATTACCATTCCCCCGCCAGGAAAGCCGCCGCCCATGCCGCCCCCTGGGAAACCGCCTCCCATGCCGCCAGGAAATCCTCCACCTGCATTTGCACATTATTGTATCAGCTGCCTGTCTTGGCCGTGTATCCCAATTCCAAGGTTGATCAGTTCCTGGCAGCTGCTGCAACACTGGAGTGTGTGATTGGTCCTCCGTGTGTTGTGCCCCTTCTGTTGCGGAATGCGAGATACAGGGCGTCAGTTTCTGGATGAGCCTGCACAGCGCCTATCTCCAAGCAGCGCAGGAGACTGGAAGGCTATTTGATGCAAATGGGTAAATGCACTCCGGGAAAGAAACAGCATAAGATGTTACTTGGGATGACTTGATGGTCCAGCAGCTGTTCAGAGGCAGAGCTAGTCACCTCCGCCTCTGCGCCGCTGGCCGCCTCCGCCGCCGAAGGGGCCGCCACCGCCGCCACCGCCAAAGGGATCTCCCCCCCCAAAGAATTGCTTGAATATGTCCATTGGATCACCCTGCATGGTGACAACACTGCCTCATTGATCTCGTCGCCTCCTCATTCCTTCCGCTGCTGAATGCCTGCTGATCTGCCTCTTTCTTGTAGCATGCACGCCTCCTCATGCACTTTGCTCCTGAATGCCTGCCGTTCTGCATCTTTCTTGGAGCATGCCACTGAGCTTGCATCTAGCGTATGCCTTATGCCTTATCATGCAAGCGCCGTGGCATGCATGGCGTGACTCTGAGTCAGGAAGATGAAAGCTGCAATCAATTTGCAATGCTATGGAAATTACTCTCAAAATCAGCAGACACAAGTTCTGAGGACATGTGAGGGGGGTGAAAATCTCATTACCTGGAATTGGAAATGCATGCCCGGACCACCAGGCCCCCCTGGGCCCCCTTCTCCTGACAGGCCAGCCTCGCCACCCTGCACATCACAGCATGCATGTTGACATTACTCGACATCCGAGCGATGCTGCAGCACTGTATGCATTTATCGTACTAGAGCCGCATGGGTTAATGAGACCGTTTCCAAGCAATGCGGTGTGCCTATGACAAGTAATCTTTGCATGAAGTCTGTGGGCCTACCTGGTCGTATATAGCTCGCTTCTCCGGGTCTGATAAGACCTCATAAGCCGATGCTATCTGCAAGAATAGAGAAACTCAATCTCTGAGAGAAAGAGAGGTGTTGATCAGCCAGAGCTTCCTAATATCTTCACATGCATTTGCCTCTCAGGCATGTGATTCAAGCAGCGAAGAAGAGGTGATACCTCTTTAAACTTCTTCTCAGCTTTCTCCTTCTTGTCACCTGGGTTCCTGTCAGGGTGCCACCGCCTGCAAGCAAGAGAGTCTCTCAAATTCTCGATGAACTAGAATTTCCTATACAGGATGAATAAGCTTCCATCGGGGCTTCATCGTTTCATGTCCACACAATTGTAGTTAGCAAGACAGTAAAGGAACTCACAGAGCTGCTTTCCGATAGGCTTTCTTTATGACGTTATCATCTGCATCAGGTGGAACCCCGAGAGCATCATAAAGTTTCGTCTCCTTGACTGCCAAACTTCTGAGAGGCAGCAAGAGAACCACAGACAGGCTGGCCAGGATCAAGTTCCTCAACATCTTGGAGACAACGCTCTTAATAGAGCAAGGACGAAAATGGCTGAATTCTAATATTTCTTGAGGAGATCTTGGTACGTATCAAGCTGTACTATGCGTGCAGTGGAATATCACGACATATTTGTCTCCAAGAATCCAGTAATCTGCAGCGTGCACGTCAAGGCAGTGCGCGTGCCTTCGTAATGTCACCCACAGATGACCAGCACTACACAGGAGGTTCAAATCTCCCACAACCTATCACAGAATGTCACTGCTACTTGTCCCGCGTTCTTGAATTGATGAACGTGGAAGGGCTTCGCTGATTGGCTGTTGGTCAAAAACCTATAGGGCCCCACCCTTTGCATGTGCTTCGTGTTAAAAATTTCCCTCTGCAGCATGCCATCACGTGCGATGAATGGAGAACATTTCTGCCTCTCGCTGCTTGCCAAGATACTCAACGAAAAATTCGTTGATCAGTTTATTCTTGTTTCTGTCCAAACTCGCGTGCGTCGGGACAACGCTGACAAAGTAGCTCGCTGATTGATCTTGGATCATCCCAGCTGAAAGTCTAATCACTTGTAGAACCACAGCGAAGGTAAGCCGTATTACCTCTTGTGTAATACAAAATTATACAATTTTGTTTTCTTGCTTGGAAATCTGGCGCTTACATAGCACAAAGTCGTGTGCAGGATCGCCGGGATCCACAGTATGGAGTCCACATTTGATGGACTCGCGGGGGTGCTTGAAGAGGCCATGAATGAGATCAGAACGAAGTTCAAGGAGGCCAGCAAGCACGCAGGCATCTGGGAGTCCCTGCAGGCCTTCGCTGCAGCGGTCGACTGGACGGTGATGAGCTGCAACGGAACAGATCAACCTGCTCTTAGAGTCAAACAATCCATAATTATCTCCCCGTCTGTTTTTTAACTCTTTTAGCAGTAAATGCACCACCAACCTTCGGATCTTGTGTGGGGCATGACAAGAGTGTTGTTTCTGATGTAGGAACCCTGGCTCATTGCGCTCCTGGCGTTCCAAGCGCTGCTTCTGGTCTCAGTAATCATCTTGCGCAAGTCCTGGAACTACAACGTGGGTGTCCTAGTCCTGGCAGGTACGCTGCCTCTGCTTCGTACTTGCCTTTCCCTGTCTCTGGGACCTGACACCTCCAAAGCATTAGAAACATCTCATCTCTCTAAATTTCTTGAACAACCAGCACCATGTCTTAGGGCTGAAAAATGCTGGACTATCTCTGGCCATGCCTGCAAGCTGCAGCTTGCCGCTTGTGCCCATGCGGCTTAACAACAAAAAAAGCACAATAGGCAAGTGGATGGGCAGTTCAGGAGCAGCTGTTGCATGGTCGAACTGCCCCACCGAGTATGTGTCGACTGAGCTTCTGGCATGTGCTGCATGCAGCTGGCACGGTGTATAACGCGCAGCGGCTGAACAGATTACTGGGCGACCACTGGAGGAGCTTTGCAGGGCAGCCCTATTTTGACGAGCAGGGCGTGTTCATCAGTGCTGTTGTGTCGGCGCCGCTGCTGCTCACCATGTTTGTGCAGCTGGTGCGCTCAGTCTCCTCCTCGTGCCCATTCCTGTGATAATGGCGCTGCCTGATCATAGATGAGAGTCATGGCTGGCATTGCTGAGGATCAATCAGCACCACATAGGTTTTTTTTCAATCTATGGAACCAGACACTGCGACTGGCAAGGTGCAAGCTGCCTTGCTGTTGACTGAGCCTCTGCGCCTGCTTGAATAGGACATGCCTTGACTGGCGCAGGCTTAGAATTCTCAGCACATCCTGCGCGCCTTTTAGAACGTGCACCGAGACTGCAGATAGATCTAATGCTGTGTCAGAATTAGTCAGAACTTGCACACACACAAAGAGATTGAAGGCGGGTGTCACTATCGCTGGCAGGTGAGCTACCTATGCCAGGCGTCTGGGCTGCTGGTGGACATGAAGAGGAAGGAGCTTCGCTACAAGGCCCGGCAGAGGGCGCGCCAGGAACGCGCTGCCACGGGTGCCCAGGCAGACACAAAAAAGACTAGCTAGGGAATTTTTTCTATCATATTCCCATGAACATATTAGTCAGAATTCAGAGGGGCCGGGAGACAGCCATGTTCACAAAGGGAACATGCCTGGTGATCTTGGATCACTGCGCAGACTGCTCAGCATCCCACATGCATTTGCCACACCCCTCCAACACTCACTCTCACTTCGATGAAGATGTTCATTGCCCAACCGCCCCAACCGCCCCTGTACGTGCACAATTTGTTTGGAGGCATTCGTTGCATGGCTGCGTGTTATCGACCTAGCCAGTAACGATCTCGACTGCTTGTAAAATACAAGGATGAGCAAGCAAGAGGTGAAGCATGAAACACTAAGGCTCAACCACAGCGAGGCAATGGCGAATTGCTTTGTGGCACACATTTGAAGTACCAGCAAGTAGGTGAGACTATTGTGGCGATAGCTATCTACTGACGCTCTGAGTACCTCAGCATGCAAGAACGGGCTTTTCAGGACGATTACAAAAAACCATCCAGTTTTTGCACTTGTGCAGCAGTGTTTTGAAAACCTTAATATCTTTGTATATCTCACGGCACTTGACAAGTCACTCCACATCATGTCTATACTAGCCTGCATGTCTCTTCCTACCATGCCAGAAACATTCTTTGAAACGTTGCAGAATAAAACCGAACATGAACCCATGTGGGCTTCCCAACTCGTTTCGAAACAGTGAATTCAAGCGATCCTCAACAGCACAATCAGCACTTCCAAAACACTCGAATCCAAACCCGACAATGAATGAGTCATGCAGCATGCAATTCAGAAGTCCACTTCCCCTACAAATGCACAAAATGCAAACTTTGAATGCAAACTCACCAAGAAACTCAAATCCTGCGAAAAGCTTGTGATGCCGTCTTCCATGCACAGATTCCAAATGCACATCATGCAGGCCCTTAATTTTAACAGCAGACGATTGCCCGCCAACAAATAAAGTGTGTCCACACTCAAAACAACCACTGCGACTCTCCTATCAGGCTCTCAAAAGTCTCTTTCCGTTCAAATCTGACTCCTACCTCTAATTGGCAAATCCAAAGCTGGGCAGGGCGTTCAGAAAAAGTCAGCCGATGCCCTTTGGGCCATCGCTAATAACACACTGCAAGCCTGCCGCTTTTCTGCTGGTGCCAGCAGAAACAACCAGGAAGATGCAGTGCAATTGAGACGCCCTGCTCAAAGAATCAATGATCTTACCAGAACAGGCGCTCCGTACAGTGCGCGGCAGCACAGCCTGAATTTACTTTGAATCCCATACTTACTCACAAATGCACAACGAATCTGAGAAGTGCAAACAATATCCCCTGACCCCAATCTGAATCCCCGCAGGTTCCGATAATTTATTTGCAAAAAGGTGCAGGCCCCGAAAGAAGGGGCAAGAGCTATCTGAGAATGAGTCCTCCAGGGGTACGAGTCAGGCATCTGCAGAAAACCAATTCCCAACACGCTCATTTCTTATTCAAGCATGGGCGGCACTTAATCAGCTCCCAACTGCCCAAAAAATCTGCTGCGCGCCTGCTGCCCTCCCCTCTAGAGATCTGTGCTACTGAAATCCGCCCATCGTCTAATATATTCATTTTAGGTCAATCTACCCGCTGGGTGTGTATCGCCGGGCGGGGCATGCCTAAAGGATTGTCTGCAGTTGTGGTCCAGGTCCTCGAAAAATATGAAATCCAGCTCTTTCATTCCAGGTGATTGTAGCCCGCAGAGTTAGTCATCCAAAATTAGTCATGCATGCAGGGGCGCGTGTCTCAGGGGGTGTCCTCGACAAAAGCATGCAGCCCGACGTCCAGCTAAACTGCAGCACGGAGGATGAGTCATCCACGATTCGTCATGCATGCAGGAGCGCGCGTCTCAGGGGGCGTCCTCGACAAAGGCATGCAGCTCCCCGTCCTTGAACACGCCCATGCCTTGCAGCGTGTCATTGACCACAGTCAGAATCGCCGACCGCGCGCGCAGCGTTCGTCCCACGTCCGAGCCTGCGCAGGGATGAATAATTCATTACTAATGGTCATCGGCGCGGCTGGTGGTTGATTGTGCGGTGCCTCTGAGCACCGTGCCCACGGTTCATTGGGTCTTGCTTGGATCTGGGGAGTCCATCAAGGGGTAGTATTCTGGCAGCATTTAACCTGCAGCTTGTCTGCAGACGCACTTTGCCTCTGGCAGAAGAAGTTTGCAAAAACCAGAAAATGCCAGAAAGCTGCAGCCCTTACCGGTGTGAGACATCTGCACTGCGACCAGGATGAGCATGCGGATGGGCATCGTCTCCGTAATCTCCTTGAACACGATGTCCCGGTTGCCCGTAAACTCCAGCTTGTTCGATTTCAAATGCTCGTCCACACGGCGAGTCACCGCCTCCACCACTTGGCTTGGAGTGCCCAGGCCCACCGGGATCTGTGCGCGCATGACTAACCGTTAGTAAGGGTGAGTCAGTCTCCAGTGAGCATAGCTTCTACTAAAATCAGGTGAGTTTTTGTAATTGACACAGCCGTGCTGAAATTATCTGCCGGAAATTTGGAAGTCTACTGAATGCTGATCTGGTGGCCTATGAAAGGCCGGCCGCGAATTAGAATGCGTTTGGCGCTGATTCGAGGTTTAACAAGAAGGTATTGCCCAAAGCACTGCACACTTGCTCTTGGCGTCCTTTGGGCAGCACTTGCAAAGCATCTGGGGCACGAAACTGATGTTGGGAGCCTCAATATGCAGGCATGCTCTGTCACTTCTGGCAATGGACTGCCCACAGGTTTCGGGAATAAGAGGGGGATATGATACGCACGAGTCCAACAAGGGGTAGGAATTTGGCAGCCTTTACACGCAGGTTGTCTGCAGACGCACCTTGCCTTCGGCAGGAAAAGCATGTAATAATAAGAATAAGAATGATACGCACCTTGAATATCTCGTACTTGTTGTCTGAGCGCGAGAGATTTGCGATGGAAGATGCGGTCATCTTTGTGTTGGGGTAGTACTGCCTCACCATGTCTGCTCCCCTGATGGTGGTCGTTGCAAGGCTTATCTCCTCAACCTGCAAGAACCACGTTAAATACCTTCACATGCTGAACGCTGCACACAAATAAAGAGCAACACTGTTTCCTGAGTGTATCCGGAGTCTTTCTCAAATGATCAATAACTGCACTGCAGGTTTGAGAAGACCAGTCAACATTGACTGATGCGGTGTCTGCCCTATTTTGGTGCAGTGCTGAATTTGCCATCAAAACATGCACATGGAAAGCCACAACATTTCTTCCAAAAATGCCTCACCTAATCCTAATCCAAATCCAAGGCATCTATCTGGCAGTACATCTCACTGACAGCTGACAAGAAAACGCTTTAATTCTGAAGGCTGCCACAACACCATTTGCAGCATGGTGCTGCAAGGGACACGTCATGAATAGAAAGGGTCATACAAGGGTGGGGAAGGGATATAAACTTGCCTGGTATTGGTTGCCGTCGATCATGAGCCAGTCGCCGACGTCATAGGGGTGGATGACAAATAGGAAGATGACTGCCTCGTACAGCTGGCGGATCGAGTTTCCGAATACGAATGCGAACGCCAGAACGACAGACGAGAACAGCAGCCACACTTTCTGGATGTCCACCTGCGCGCATGCATGCTTTTCCAATCAGCTGATGTAAAAGTCACCCTGCATGCTTCAATGCACCACTATTATTATTACATGCTTTTCCTGCCAAGAGGCAAGGTGCGTCCTGCAGACAAGCTGCAGTTACAGGCTGCCACAAGCCTACCCCTTGTTGGACTCGCCAAATCCAAGCAAGAACCTATCAACCGTGGGCACGGTGCTCAGTATTTATATCGCCCCCCGCCAGCCGGGGCCATGCATTACATGTGCATTACAGCAGCTGAAATTGTGACCCTGTCCGTTGATGGTGCCACCCGCCAAGCTTCCAGCTGGAAGCCAAAGTAGACACGAGGCCAAAAGGCAATGAGACAGATCAGTGAGTTCAGATCATTGAGGAAGAGGTAAAGCAATTGCAGCAGGCAGGATTGGCTGCACTCAGGCCCGCACCGTCTCAATTTGCCTGTTTGGTTGAGTTGAAACGAGAAGTCACAAAGGAAATGGAATTTTCCCCAGTACAACAGAGTGTCGGGCATGCATGCTCACAGGATTTGAGTAAGATTACTTCTACTCCTTTGATTGTGATTCTTTAATTCCTCATCTTTGCTATCCTCTGATGATCATTTGGCGAGGGAGAAAAGATAGGCACAGGGGGCGCACATTGTAGATGGTGAGGTAGAAGAAGGCAAAGAGGATGTGCAGAATGATGGAGATGACAAACTTCAGTCGGCCCACTACCGTCTTGGTATCCTTCAGCTGGATTGCCAGATTTGTCCGCTCCCTGTAGTCACAAAGATATCGTCACTGAGTCATCTTCGGGGCAAACTGCACATGAACCCCGGAAAAACTGCACTCATTAAAATCTTTCATTGCCTATGCCATTTTGCAGAGTGCAATCTTGAAGGAGCTCTCGAGCAGAATCGGACTATCAAGTCTATATTCTATGTAGAACATGGTGTTTCAAGGATTGCACGCTTGAAATGCACAGCCTTCACAGGTGTGCTGTGACATTAACGCCCCTCCGACCATCTTGAGATAAGGCAGCATGGTTGGTGCGTCAACTATGCTGAGCATCAAAGCATCATACACTTATGTCATCAGCTATCCGAATATTTCTGATCAGCTGACAGTCATGTGATCAGCTATTAGAAATTCTAGAGAAATAATCCCCCCACCTGAAAATCTCGCACACCCCCTGGCAGAGCTCCCGAGGAGTTAGCTTCCCGTTGGCATCCTGGTCCAGAATTCGAAAAGCCTCGCGCGACTGCTCAAGGGGCAGAACTTCTTCGAAGTCTTCGGCTACCAGGTATTTGCGGTTGGAGAAGGGCTTCAGGTTCCAGTAGATGTAGAATGCCACTCGCTTTGCCTGCTTCTCCGCAGCTTCCTGGACGCCCTTCTTGGACCTGCAACCATGCATGAAACTTTATCACATGCCTGCAGCTTTCGATCCGAGTGCCTGCTCCTCTCACGGCCTTTCACTGGCGCGCTATGCTGCAGCTCTTGCAGCCTGTAGATGCCTCATCAAGTTGCACGCCAAATCCAAGCACGGAGTGATTATATGGAAAGTAGCAGCGCACATCAAAAGACCAGAAGGAAGGGTATCTCCATACAGCCATGCATGCAATGCACTAGTGCAACAATATTCGATTTGCTATCCTCGAAGCACAGTAATCCTCCGCTGCCTCTTCATCACAACGGTGATGATCAGATCTTGCCGTTACAAAGCAGATTAATTTGGAGCCTCGCTTGAGGAGCGAGCACCGCTTTCAACCATGAATATTTCCCGGCACAGTACAGTGAAACAATCCTCTTGTGGCAGGGCAACAACAGAAAGGGAGCCTCACGTGGAGCGCTGGAGTTTGTCGACGAAGAGTCCCCCCTGCAGCGGGTTCTTGCGCAGGTGCTTCTCCACCGCATGCAGCCGCGCCGCCATCGCCTCACCCTTTGCATCCCCCTCCCGCAGGTCCGGTGGCTGCGGTTAGTCAGATCAGTCATATCAGTCATGCATTAGTCACATGCATGACGTCAACATGAGTCTTCATTATGTGAGCATTACATCGCCTGCCCCTTCGCATCCCCCTTCCACAGGTCCGGCGGCTGCGATTTAGTCAGATATGCACGAGTCATCATTACTTAAGGGGCACACCTTTTCAGAGTTGGCGATGGTTTCAACAATGAGGTCTTCGGGGCTGAACTTCTGCTGCCCCAAGGAGATGGAGGAAAACTTGTGGAATGCTCCGCTGCCCTCCTTGGCCAGCGGATTGAGCAGCTTCTGCCGGCTTCCCTCCGACCTCTCGACCTCCTGCATATATTATACTTCTTTTTTTTTTGTTCCAATGCTTCCTTCTTACATTCTGAGATTTTGACATGACCAGCTGGCAGTTCAGCAGACAAGAAAGTCCCAATTCCGGGGCAGATGCTGAGGGCTGCAGTGCATTGTGATTAAGAGAAAGACCCAATGGCAGAAATTTTGAGCGCAGCTACCTCCACAGCAGCGCTGGGTCCGAGTAGACCATCTTCTGGGTTTGAAATTAAGACATGGCAGCAATGAGGAGGAAAGTTGGTCTGTTGCCCACAGCAATGTGGAGACACCTCTCCTGTGACTACACGGTGTGCATTTCTACCAGCCGCTTGCTTAGAAAGAATGTTTCCTTTTCTAAAGCTCCTAAAGCTCAGCTTACTGCGGTGCCAACAAAATGGAAATCTTGCCTTGCGCGAAAAAGGGCTGCTGCTGAAGAGTCGGCGCTGGCTGCTGCGAGCGCTATGCTGAGGTAGAGGCGCCACCTCAGCAGAGAACGCCGCCAGATCAGCCTCGTCAGGGTAGCGGGATGCTGCGCCTGCAGCCCACCAAAATTTTGGTTCTTCAATATTCAGGCGCAGAAAAAATGGGAGGGAAATGGATCTGCCGACCTTTACTGCTCCCCGAATATCCTGACAGGATAGTCTGTGACTTGGCAGGTCATCGAATGCAAGGGCCTTGTTGCAATAGAATGGTAGCGCATTAGTCTCCTGTTAGCACCCATGTCAGTCTGTTGTCTAGACTCAACCGCGAGGCATGGCAATGATAACCTGTACCGTTGACACTGGTTCGAGGAGTGCTCTGCGCAGAACACACAGCTACAGCTTTGCATGCATGGCATGCTATACCTGTCCGTCTTGCCAGTTCCCAGCCATTTCATTCAGGCTGCCCTGATGCAGGATGCAAGTGGCCAGTCCAAAACTCGAATTCAATTTGGGCAGAGGGAACGTTCTGCGCGCCTGCAGCGGAGCCGGGGGTGGTGTCCGGGGCGGTGGTGAATGAGTCACGGCTGGAATTACTAAGCAGCTTCCTCCTGGCGCTCGCGCGCGCAGCCGCCACCCTCTCAGCGTTGCCGGGGCCGTAGTAATCATCAGTCGTCGCATTCACTGGCGCTTCTTTGTCCTAAAAGGAACTAGAATTGTGTCAAGTCACTTGTTGTGCATGTTGTTGAGAGTGTTTGCTGAATGCACACCCTTAGTTGGCTTCAAAGTACCTCTAGATTCTTGCCTTCTACTAATGTTCACCAAGGTCAGCGCAAGGATTTCTGTCAAACTGCTGCTGTTTCACCATGCTGCTCGCTTCTCTGTCAGCTCGTTGCTGCCGTTGCTGACCCAACTAAGCCACCTAGATTTCTGGGATGATTTTGACCCATCCTTCTTATTCTTGGCAACACCGTGATTGTTAAACAAAAAAAAACAAGGGCACACCAGGGTTGGCATTGCCAGCGAGAGCTCAGGGCCATTGGGCAGGCTGAGGTTCTCCTTGGCATGCGCGGCCAGTCTAGGCGTCGGCGGTACCCCTTCCGGTAGCGCCGGTGGCCGCCGCGGGGGGGACGCCACAGTGTGGGGGACCTGAATCGGCGGCGCGCTCACGGGAGGCAGCGCCAGCGGATTCGAAAAGATGATCCCTGCATATATAAAGCAAGCCACTCTGAAGTTGAAGATGAAGTTAAAACAGAAATGAGCAAGTGAAGAAACCTCTCAAAGGACTGTCCCACTATAGGTTTCCGCCCATTTTCATTCTGAAGGGTGCAAGGTGGTGATCGTCCCTTCTGCTGGCAGTTTTAGGCTCCAGGCGGCATTTTGGGGCAATCCAAATCACAGCGCTGCTTTCTGTTTCGTATAAAGCTGTTCCTTCTTGGATTCTACATAGGAAGGTGCACTGCTTTGAGTGACAAGATCAGCGCGAGCGGTCACCTGCGGCTGAGCCATCGGGGGTAGCAATAGAGGGGGGTGCACCCGAGGGGCCCGAGGCTGCAGCTGTGGGCTGGAGACCCCCCTCTCGGTGCGGGGGGCTCGCTCCGGTGGCGCTGTGGAAGCTGAAGTTGAGGGGCGCTGATGCCGCTCGGCCCTGCCCGCCTGGCAGCACTTTTGCCACCGGCGCAACCTGGAAAACCCGGCAAAACACTCCTTGCATCAGCCTTCCATTTCTTATTGAGATTGACCCACAAAGTGCCCATCTGATCTAGAATTGCGATTGCAGCTCCGTTTTCTATTCTACAAGTCATGGACAACAATGGAGGCACTGTTGGAGGATACAGCATATGCATACGCTCAAGAGCAGTAATGAATCCAATGCAGGGCATGAGCAGATTCTGGTATGTCAACTCTTTTATTGTGTTGCACAGCCCCTATTGCATGAATCAGCAGCCAGTCCCGCCAGAGCCACGCACCCCAGATTGCACAATACACTCTGATTCTGATCAGAGCCGGTTTCGAGTTAACATAGCATTTGACATCATCCACTCACCAGGGCGTTGTAGAGTTGATTGGAGAAGACAGTGCTGCGGTTGAGTTTTGAGCCGGCAAGTCCAATTCCTTCCCCGTCGCTGCCGCTGCAATTCATGCCGGTAGAGCCCATTTTGTAGAGGTCCACGTCACTGGAAAACGGCTGGCGCGGGCCCCGGCCCGGCCGCGGCGCCGATAGCACCGAGAGGTAATACTCCTGGGAAATCACAACACAAATTTCGGTGCCAGTAATAATCGGGCGCTAGCAGTATAGTTGAAACCACCCGTCAAATGGAAGTTGGGCTTCTGATGTTCTGGTAAAGCTGTGGACAGCTCTTGATGACTTGCAGCACTGATGTTGATGCATCTCCTATTGGGCAAAGGTTACCATCAAGATCAAGGCAGTCTGACGCACAACTTAGGGTAAAAAGTTCAATGATGTACAGCCAAATGTCATAGCACAAACATACCAAGGAAAGGTGCAATGGCCCTGCATATCATGGCAATATCAAGAAGGAGCTTGCAGCTGCTGCAGAGCCAATGCAGAGCGTATGTCGCGGTGTGACAGGAGGTCCGACCTTGCGGATTGCCTCCTGCATTTTATGGAAGTGGGTGGCCTTGTGGAAATGCGAGGCCATCATCTTGGCCAGCAGCGTCGACAGCACATTCGCAAACGTGAACAGGATCAGGCACGCTATCGCCTGCGCATGCGCATGCCACACAGGTTTTCAAGGCAGCCCGTACTTTAGAGACATCGGAGGACTGAAGAACAAAATATGGCAGGTCTGAAGAATTTTGCATGCATGCTTCTTTGGTACCATTCTAAGAGGCATCCGTGCACTCAAACATGCCACACTATCATGCAACAGAAGTCATGTAAATAGGTAATGTTAAAATGAAATCCCTATCGGATGAAATGCTAACTATCAGAGGCAGCATGCAGAAGGATATGTGCCCTTACGATCCTGGCAAGATCACATGCATGGGCGATTGATTTCGCATGTCAGCAAGGCTGTTCTTGCATGCGATGGGTGGCATGTGGCGTTACTAAGCGTTAGTCAGAACACACCTTGAGCACGTACACATAGACGGTGGAGGCAGTATCCGAGGAGTAGGCCTTGGGTGAGAACAAAGGCACATACAGCGGCATCAGGAGCACCGCCCTCACAAAGTGGCCGAATGGTTTCTGCACAGACATCAATATGAATGAAATTATCAAACAATACAAACACAAGCCAGGGGAGACCCATCTTGAATCCTCAATGACGCTGTTTGAACCTCAGATCCACAATTTTCGATTAACCTCTTATTTTCCCTTGCTCACAGTGCCATGCAGCGGTGGGCGGCTGGCCATTAGTCACCGCTAATGACAAATCAGGGTAAAAATCAAAGGCAACCCATTCAGTGGATTCCAGAATGTCGCGCACAGACATCCGGGCAGAGGTTGGTCGTTCATGACCAATTAGAGTGACTAAACAGGTGACTAAGCAAGGAAGACGCACCCGGATGGCGACCAGGAAGTACATGACATTCTTGGTGTTGAGAAAGGCGCTCTCCACCAGGAAGACGAGCAGCCGGACCACAAAGTCGCCAAACCACCAGATCGGGGCCAGGCCGCCGAAGAAGAAGAACCAGCGCCACAGCTCAAAGTCCCGCAGCTCCGCCTGTTGGCACACTTGCGAATCAGTACTCAAGAAAAAAGCGATACCGAGACGCAAAGGCATGTTGATGAGTGACGGCTCTGCCACGTCAGCGCTAGTGTGCATGCTGCTGCTGTGCTGTAAATTCACGGGAGGATTTTCCTGCCTGGATCCATACTGGAAGTAAGCTGGACAGGTTACCCCTCAGGAAGTCCTGGATAGGTCTTCCTCAGGGGATCAACCGACCTTCATCCGGAGGCCTTCCAGCTAAGCCTGGAAAAGAGCTGGAAATTGGAGGATCCACTGGATCCACTGCTACCCTGGACAGACTCAGAAGACAGACCAGCCTGCCAGCCTGTTGCTGACAATCACTGCAGCTTGAAGCAAAGCAACGCAAATGGAGGTTGGCCGAACAAGGCATCTTCTTGCACCTCGCAGAAGGCCCAGCAAGGCAGGACCATTAAAGGAGCCTCTGTGGTGCTTTATGTTGACTGAGTAAATCTCTGCGAGGTGAAGATGTTCACCTTGAATCGCTGCCAGCCGTTGATGGGCGGCGCGTTCTTGCCGGTGGGCAGCCCCTGAGTGTTCAGCACGCGCAGCAGAACCCCCGCCACGATCAGCGCAAAACTGCATGCACAAGAATGCTGCATAAGAGACCTCAAGTGCCATTTAAATCTTTGATTGCTCCGAATCTCACCCCGGTGCGCTCTGCCGCTGCCTTATCTGTTCGATCCATATTTGTTTGTGCTCTACAATCTGGACTGCGGCGGCTGAGAAGGCGCAGAGATGAGAACCCGGCCCGTGTGAGCTATCAACACGATTGTGACATTTTTGAGTGTATCCTCGCACCTGGTGAGGAAGAGAAAGGTGGTCCGGTAGAACTTCCACCGCCGCCAGAAGGGCTTTGTCGCCTTGGCCTCATCGTCCAGATCCTCATTGAACTGCGCCAGAGAAGTGGTCAAGTCAGCCACAGCTCAGGAAAACAGCCAAAGATCAAAAAGCTGCATGCACCATTGGGCAGGCCAACCAGACGACAGCATTTGCAAAGGATGGATTTGCATGCAATGTGGGGAACAGTACTAGGCATAGCCGCAGCAGCGTCAGCTCTTGCTTTTGCACACACGCTTATAGAAGCGTCCAAAGAGCCGGGCCAGAGCACTCCAGAGAAGATGCATCACCTCTCTGAGCCTGACAAAGGCATTAAGGGGTCAGACAAGAAATTTTGGAGCGCACCCCTTTGGCAAGAGGGTGCTACAAAGAGGCCTCGGACAGGGCTAGGAAGTTTGGCTCCAGGCTGATAGAAAGGAAAATATACGCATGCATCTGGCTCTACCAAAAGGCATCAGCTACCTTCCACCAACTGCAAGACGCCACTAGCCCGTGCAGAGGTGGAACCAACCATCAACACTCACCTAAAAATGGGCCGTCCCATGCAGAATGCCCGGCCGCACTACCACAGAGCTGTTGAGACATCCTTTCAGTGTACAGGAATGTATTACTAGATCATATCTCTAAGCGGGTTTTACGCACATTCAGTGAACAAACTTTAACTCCTCTGCAGGCTGATTATACGCGTAGAAGAAAAACAAGCGCGTGCCTGGAATTCCTCCTCGGACCTCCCAGGAGACGGGGGAATCCCCTTGGGGGTCGGCCGGCGCCGGCCGCCGCCCTCCTGGCTGCTGCGGGTTGAGTCAGCCGCCAGCCGGTGCACGGAGGCGTTGCCTCCCTCCACGCCAGATCTGGCCGCCTTGCCCTGCCGGCCCCTGCTTTCATCCCCTGGTGGTTGCTCCCACTGCTGGGGTTTGGAGTCCTGCTTCAACAGACATCATAGTCACGCACCGTGGTATGATCAAGCGGCTGATACAATAAGTGATGTCAGCTGTCCGACCTTGCTCTCATTAGTGAGGTCTTGAGTCCTGCTCTCGCAGACATAGGCAACTGATGTTGGCCCTCTTACATTAACAGTCTGGAGAGTCACGGGCTGGCCTTCAATGCAACTTGAGGCTGTGCAGCAGATCAGTGTGTCAGGGTGAGCTTTCACTGCCATAAAAGATTAAGCAAAAGATGAAGATTCTCTAGGTGTACCGCCTGTTGCGCCAGGGCAGTACAAACGCATGCATTGATGCAAATGCAGCTTTGCCTGCTCGACTTTGGCATCACTGCAGATCCCAGCATTGCTGCGTTGATGCGGTGGCGCTGTGCTAAAGCACCTCACTAGTGGCAGAAGCAGATCAAGGGAGCATCAGCCAGGTGGCGAAGGGCGTACCGCATGCTGTGGGCCTGGGAGGTTGCTGGGTCTCAATGTGTTTCCTCTCCCGTGTGTCGGAGCTGCGAAACTGTAATTTGGTCCTGGTCAGACAGGAAAACAAGACATTTGTCAGTCCAGTCGTAGCAATCGGAGCCCCGTGTTGCACAATCTGTCGGCTGCCAAGTCTCGAAGTGCCTGGCCCGGACTCAACACTTAAAAACTAAGAACAAAAAATTCGTTCTTGCTCATATTTCTGGGATTATCGACGCCTCCGCCGTTACAAAGCATTGCAGACATTTTGAACCCTACTCGACATTGCTGGCGCAGGGGGATCTGCGAGAGGTTCACCGCTGCTCGCATTCGCGCCGGTGTTCCTTCCGTCTGCCTGTTGGATCTGCTGATTGATGGCCCCAGCCACCACAATCTCCTGCAGGGCGACCGCTTCTGCGTCTTGCGGGTCCATGGAGAGATTCCGCCCTGAATTAAGAAAATTCCCCTTTGTTGGTGCTCGCATCGATTCCGATGCATCTATGGGTATCAAAACCGAAACGTAAACCTCCCTAGCTACAAGAAAGATGGCGGAAGGAGGGAGCCGGAAAGGTACTGGCTGCGCTCGGGGTCCTCCCCCTGTGGAGCTGCCCGGCAGCTGCCCCAGGGTCCGGCATGTGTCATTATTGTAATGTGGAGGGTCCGACAGAATGGGGTGAGATCCACAATGACCGACCCGTGCCACACCTGGTACTGACGGTCCATTAACACATCCAGAATAAAAAGAAACCCCCGTTTTCCTTCTTCAGATGTTCCAGCTATAGCTTGTGTCTGAGCTGCACCTGTTGCTGTAATAATAATAATAATGTTGCACGAAAATTTGCCTCAGCTGAGACCAAGACTGCACTACTACTGTAGTACACGAGCACGTCTGCATGCAACATGACATGCACCAGGTCTGCAAATACAAGACCATATTTTCTATCAGGTCTCTGAGGTGCACTGCATTGAAGTCGAGTCCCTTACAAGATCAAAAAAGCACGTTCCTATAAAAGATTCAAGCCTGGGCATCATTTCGTTTACCGTCATAGCTCACACAGCACTGCTTATGGCATACGTCACAAGAAAGGATCAGCTAGCAAGACAGAGCCATAGCATGCATGTGAAGTAACATCAATCGCCTCATTTCATTGCTGGCACTGAAGAAAGCCTACGCTGTACTGAGCCATGTGCACAGAACTGTCACAAATATCCCTTATAAACTAGTCAGCAAATACTGGTACCAGCGCATGCTAGCATACCTCAAAATTGTCACGACGAGGGCAATGAAATGACCAACCAAATGCGACTTGAGTCCCATTTCGTTGCCTGATGACACAACCAGTATTGACAGCGACAATGCACGCCCTCAACAGTAACGGTGGAAGTAGAAAATAGAAATTCCTATACTCAGGAGCCTCCAACATAGATCTTTGTGTACTTTGCTCCAAGCTCCAAGAAGATTTTTGTGTCTTATTCACCCGTGTCACTCTCTCTCGCTGCCTATCTAATCCTCACAATGCGGTCTGACCTATGCATTTGTCTCAATAGCGCCTGTTTATGTACATTAATGACAATATGTATATTTAATGGCCCTCATCCATCTGCGCCGTCAGTCAGGATTAAAGACATGTAGTTTATCAACGGCTTGGCATCGTTGGATGTCTTGCAGCTCGTGCATTTCAAGGCCTCAAATCGGATAAGAGGTGTGTCCTTTGTTTGTGGCCTCACAAGCCATGGGCTCATTTGTTGCTTTCCCTCACAGCCTGCCGCAAAGTACACACGAGCATTAGCATGTCAGTCAGCACAGCAGAGAACCGATGGGCTTCCCTTTGCAATGCCTGCAGTGGAACTCTTGTGCAAAACAACTCTGTCAAGGGCATCAATTCACAAGGATTGCTAACCAGCTTAATCTGAGCAGGCTGCTGTTGTTTAGAAGAGTGGGGCAGTGCAAGCAGCGCATGAGAGGCCTTTCGCACATGCCAGTCTCAGGCATGGATGCAGGTACCAGACACTGATTCTAGGCACTCATGCAAAAGCGATGTGTTCAAGAGGACGGGATGAATGAAGGTGAAAGGCTGACTCACCTTTCCTCGGCTGCGACGGGGCCGGCCGGCGCCGCAAGGGCGCCCTTTTTGGTCTTGGCTGCATGCTGCGTCCTGTTGACATGCCCCAGAGGCAGGTACTCCTGCACATTGCAGGGCGTTCTTAGATGTTATTATTATTATAATTATTACATGGTCGGCAAACCCAAAGCCAGAGGCCATAGGGCATACCTGCAGGGCGTCTGCAGCCACATCTGCGGGGCCTACAGGAGTCTACAGCCTATCATGATCATGGATACTCACATATCGTATCTCAATGACCGCATGCATGTAGCTGAACTCGACAAACACATTCTCTAACAAACCCCTCAGGACAAAACATGTACCCTGGCACGAGGGACGAGAGCACCAAAATTTGTTGGGTGCTCTATGCACTGGCACAGTTTGATGATGAGGTGTTTGTGCCTGTCAAGAAGCAATGATGTTCCTGACTAGGTGTGCAAGCCTTTCATCAGGCAGCGTCTAAAAAAAGGGCGCAGCAGAACTTTTAAAGAAGGTCTCTGTGCCTCTCCAAACAGCAGTTCTGCTCTGAGAAGGTGTACAACAGTGCCACCGGGCCGGGCATAACAAAATTAACAAAGGGGAGCGCGCTTGCAAGGTGGCTCTCTTGCAAGAGCCATGTGGCAGGGCATCATGAAATTTGGGAGGCAGGAAATACTCACATGGTCCCAGACTTCGCCGGTGAGGATGGCAGTTGCTGCGTAGAAGGCCACAAAGGCGACCCAGATTCCAACCCAGCCGGCCACCTTGTTACACAGCACGTTGCGCACTCCTCCCGCCAGCAGGAAGAATAGCACTGCCAGGGAGAAGAACAGCGTCTGCAGGGCGCGGTTGATGCGCAGGGTCTGCAGGGGGCACACGCAAAGAATTTTAGGTTTTCAGGGGAGCTGAGAAAAATAGAGGAGTTGGCAGCTGAGCATGTGCAGTGAATCATACACAAATCTGTGCAGCATTGCCCTTGAAAGGACCCCTATGAGGTCTCTTTCACACAGGCTTCGAGTTGGTGAGCGCAGACAGGGCATCCTTCATACAGCACCTCCACATTTAGCATTTCCATCCGTCTCCACAAAGACTGCCGGCAGTATAATTTCACACAGGCGGAGTCTTTGCTGATGGCATGCGGTTGGCTGTTATAAAAGTGGGGAGAAGAACTGATGCTTGCAGCACAATTTAGAGAGGGGAGGCGGCACCTGGACAAAGAAGCAGAAGGTGAGAATACCCCACAGGCTCAGCATCATTTCCTCAGTCGTCACCAGGCTGTAGTTCTTCACTGGCTTGCTGCTGGACTCCCCAGTCCAAATATTGGCCTGCACACATCCAACGCACACCCATCAGCCCCGCATCTAGATAAAAGACTATGTGCATCATCACCATACAGCATTTCTTTGCAGGTCTCACACTGTTTAGATGTTACTGGTCATCAGCTCAAACGTGACTGTGGTGTTTGCATGCGTAGATGCCCTTGACAGGTCAGAGATTCCTGTGTGCACCTTATGGATGCCCAAGGGTGGTGCCAGAATGCAATAACTCCACATTACTAAAGAAGTACTCACCGCGTGGAGGATCATGTAGAGGCCCCATCCCAGCCAAAAGCCGCCTGCAGCCAGGCAAAACCAACTTTTCTTCGAGGTCACACTCGTTTTTGCCCACCAATACAATTAAACGCGCACGTTTACACTATGATGTTTTTGACATGCGCATTTGCTCACTTACATGAGTCCAAGAGGATCCAGGCACAGGGAAATTGTTGCACCAATACAAGGCCATGGTTGCGCCAGTGCGAGGCCCATGAAATTGTCCAATGTAGCGCTATGATAGACGATTGACGATGCGTGTCCCTCTGCACGGTGTGACTTACTCGAGGTAAGGATTTTCTCACCGTAGCTGGAAAAGGCGGTGGCTGCGAAGGTGTTGTTCTTCCACATTTCCCACATGCCTGCCAGCAGCTGGATCGTACCCCCTGCACACCCCAAATATCAAAGATTTGTCTGATTGTCCACCCTTATAGGATCATCATTGTCGAAATGTGCACAATCTAAATTAGATGCTGATCCGTGACACCAGCAGCTGATAGTCAACTGTATGCATGAGCTCAGTACTCGGCACTTGAGTGTCACATCATGAACGAGGAAACCGACACCACAGGCAAATCACAAAGCCCAGTTCACAACCAGCACTTCACAACCCTGCAAAACAGGCTTTACTTCTGTGAGCAATGCCTGCTGCATGTCTGAGGCATGGGATGTGGTGATGTGCATGTGCAGGGAAAAAGCAAAAGCAGCAGGGAGAACGGAAGAGGGAGCTTTGCGGCTGGGGCGCACCATAGAAGAGAGCAAAGCAGGCAACAAAGTCCTTGGTGGGCTGGGGGTCAGTAATTTGTGTGACAGCACCCTGCAATAATGCAGCAAGTGAGAGTTAATTAAAGTTGACGTGCGCACGATGGATGCCATCCCAGAGGGGCAGCCATCTCGCTCAAGAATGGATGCTGGTTGCTACACTCCGCCCCATCTTGACGCAGGGCTTTTATGCCCTAAAAAGCACTGAAATGCAATTAGCGTGTCAGAACATCTTGGGGGCATGCCAACCTGGAGGAAGGCTGTGGTGAGGCCAAAGGCGTACAGGCCCAGTGGCCCAGGGTTGCCAATCTGCAGGAGCAGCACAAAAAGACTTCATGAAGATGTAAGAAGACGGCTTTGCTTCTTCCAACGACTTGCAGAGCACTCCCTGTGTTGGGCATGCAGGGCTCAAGGTGCCAATCGCTAAAAAGATGACCTAAGGTCTGCATGATTTGCGTTTGCACTGCAGTAAAACTAGCCGAATCTGCAAACAGTCATCAATCCTGGTATATTGATCGCCCAAACGCACTACAGCTTCTCCCAGGACGCTCTGGATCTCAACGGCTAGACATTGTAACGGGTGCACAGCACTGGGGGAAGCTCACTGGCGCATTCGCGATGAGCTTGGTCGCTGTGTACTGTTCTCTCGTGTAGATTGCGTCCGCAGGGTTGAGGTCGAGGTCACCACCAGTGTGCCTGATACAAAATCACAAAAATATCCCTCCATGAAGCCCCCTCTGGTGCACGACAGATTCAACTTGCTGAGAATTCTGGACACTCACACCCAGTAGACAAAGCAGAAGTGGAAAGTCCGAAAGGCTATAATGGCTAGGTGAGAACACACCTGACCCTCCAAGAGGCGCCGATCTCGGGGTGAACTTGAACTTCCGTCTGAGACATCCTGTGAAGTTTGTGTCCTGCACAAACACAATACGATATGTTGTGATATTTAAGATTGTCCTGTAGGCGATACGCTGCAAAGTTTCTTGTGCTTAACGTAAGTGACCAGCCGCGTTGGCTTCCTTAGCAAGGGTGCATGCCGCCCCGCGTGTGTGCCAGGAATAGAGGTCCTGGATGTGCACAAGCCACCGTGGGCCGACGTACCTTTCTCCAGACGCAACTGAGAGGCTCTCGTATCAAGCGTGGGATTGGGAACCGTCTATTTGTGCAGGTTTGAGCGTCTGTCCCGCGGTGGCTTGCATCCAGGACAGAAGACGAGTCAGCAGGACATGTTTGTTCTGCGGCGTTCCTTTTCGGCAGTGACGAAGGATTGTGCCATGAATTGTGCGTGTGTTCAAATTTACAGGACATACTAGGACGATGGAGGACAGATTGAGGATACTGAGGTCGCACCTGGCACCAAGCACAGGTAAATAATGCTCGAGACTGGGTTTTCCGATGTTGAAGCGCGGACGGATCTGTCCTGATGTCCTTGGCCGTCAGCTTCATTCGATACACTGGCATCTTGTCCCATAGATCGAAGGTCTGGGACCGGATTCCTGTGGGCGGGAAATCTCGGATCCAAGTTCAACTTGCGTGCGCAATCACTTCACGTGAGGAATTTATGAGTATGTTTCGGTGCACACGTTTGCAGATGAGATCCCTCGTGGAAACTACATATTTGCATTGAATTGTTGAATGACAATGTGTCGCAATAAACGCTAGTCGCCTTTTTGGTTTCAGGTGCCACTCACGAGGGCCTGGTGAGTCAGACAAATTCGTCGCAAACACGAGAGGTGGGTGGCTCTGTCACCATCAACGGCGACATAAGGTCATTTATAGTCTGCAGTATTCTACGTTCCTTTCCCTTCATGGCTGTGGGAAATTCTGACGCCCAACCTACAATCCTCGATCCCTGCTGGACATCAAACCCTTTTCTTAGCCCCCTTCCCGTGTACCCAGTAAATACCTGCATTGTTGGCGAGCAATGGTCTTACTCATCTGCTTTAGACCCCCTCCCATTGTTTCCAGAGGCCAGGGACACCTTGTGGAAAAGCTCCCATCTGCAAGAAGCCATTCCCTGCCAAAATTCTGCAGGAGTACATCTAAGGGCCTTTCAAGGTCCTCAAAAACCGTTAGGAAAACATAGCAGCCTCTAGCTAACTTGAACGCCAGCTTTGTTGACCCCAATGTATGCTGGGTCCAAAACAGGGGCATCCTGATGTGGCGCAGCCAGTGTCTGTGGACTACAGAGCACGTACCGGGGTGAACAGCAGAGAGGACTATGAGCGCCTGTACAGGCGATCCATCCAGGACCCTGCCGGCTTCTGGGCCGACTTTGCGCGAGAGTTTCACTGGGAGCGCCCGGTGGGTACAGCCTCTTCCGCCAGTGCAATGTAGTGCTCTATGATCTAACTGGAGTGCTTCAAATTGGCGTCGTTGCTTGATACACATCAATCTTGATCAGGAACATACTCATGTGGCATGGATGAACCTCTGTGTGAAGTAGTGAAGGGAAGTGGAGTTGAAACGATAGACGCCCATCACTCTTCTAAAACGTCACCATGGGCCACCGCTTTGATCTGCTAAAGACATGCCGCAGATGCGGATAGATGCGGATGCTAGGTCAAGGGGTGACCTGTCTAGATATTTCTAAGGCTGTGATGGGTATCTCTTGCTTCAAGGCAGCGCGACAACATTTCCTCCCAAATATCTGCACCACAGCTTATACTCCATAATGGCAAAGACTTGCTGACGGGTTTGTCATTGCTGCAGTGGAGGAGAGACCATGCGCGCTGGAACTTTGACCGGCGCCGCGGCCGAGTGGAGACAGTGTTCTTTGAGGGCGGCCGAACCAACATGGCCTACAACTGCCTTGACCGCCACATTGCAGCCGGCCGGGGGCAGCAGCCGTGCTTCCTGTGGGAGGTGCACTTCCTGCAAAAATTAGTTCCTCAAATGTTTATCGCATTAGGGAGCTTTGAGGCCCCACAGAAGGGAGTCCAGAAGCAGCTTGTTTCCATGGAAATTGCAAAGTTAGCTGGGTCAGGTCTGAAGCTCTGACACTCGTGTCAAGAGGCCTGATGGTTGAGTTGTCACCTGATTATCGCCGACAAATGCATGCGTCATCATGTCATTGAAAAGCCAGAATCACGGAGCCCAACTTCGATTTGATGCCTGCGCTGTGCTGTGCTATGATTTGCTGTGCTGCTGAGAAGGGTGATTGATATGCCTACATTATTTGGCATGCACGGCGCTAGGATAAGTTGCTGCAATCCTCATGCAACTTTGCATGCATGCGCAGGGAAATGACATCGGGACAGACAGGAGGATGGTATTTGAGGAGGTTCGCGACGAAGTCTGCCGCCTGGTGAGTCATTCGTCCCCTAATTCTGAACACATTTCAGCAGCACACAGGAATAATGAATGCCCATGCTATGCGGCAATCCACTCTGGCGGCTTTGCTGCTTTTGCCACTGAGGCCTGGGCCCTTGAAGAGCCGCTTCAGATCACACGCTGTTGCAATGGGTGGGTCCTGGACATGTGCAGCAATATGCATCTCAGGGCATGTGCTGTGATACCAGTAAGCGCTATGAGCAACACGTGCACCTCAACTAAAGCTCCTGCTCGGTGTTTCCTAAACTGGATCTGCAATGTTCCGCTTGCAGGCAAATTGGCTGAAGAGCGTGGGAGTGCGAAAGGGAGATGCGGTCGCCATCTACATGCCAATGGTGTGCTGCGCACGCCACCTGTCATACATCCATTACGCATGCAAGCATGCAAGTGGCAAACACCGAACGGTGGTCTTCATAAGTCCTTTCATGAGCTGAATAGAATGCCATGCAGCCAAGCCATCGCTTTGCACGTCACCTGCCATGCAAACGGCAAGCTTTGCTGAGTGTCATACTGGCATGATCCCCTAAAGAAGTACAGTAACATGCAATGAAGCAGGCACCACAGATCATCCTCCAAAACATATGCTCTCAAGCCTGGCACACGAGGGAGTCCAGATTGCAGGAGGCATTTTCATTGTGTCAGGTCTGCAGAACATGCGTTTGAGAGGATGTCAGGCTTCCATCGTCAGCAGAAAAGTCAGCAGAGGGTCTTGAAGTGATCTCCTTTACCATTCAGACATCGTGGATGCGTATCATCCTTGCTGGCAGCCATGCACTTTGGCATGACAGATGCCGATCAGATGGGTCTAATGCCAGCGCAGGTGTGTGAGTTACCGATAGCGATGCTGGCCTGCGCGCGGCTGGGCGCGGTTCACACCGTTGTCTTCGGCGGCTTCTCTGCAGAATCCCTCGCGCAGCGCTGTGCCGATTGCAGGTCTGCAAAAGATCCCAGATACCTGTTTGCCTTTGTCTGTGTCTTTATCGCTTGTTACATTGCTGTTTCTCTGGCAAACTTTGCCTAGGCCTGTGGCAGTATCTCTATAGCATGGTACGCTAGGGGATGTCTTTGGAGACAAAAGTTTAGGCTGGCTGATGTGGCAATCACATGGCACGATAAATTCGTTGTGAGAATGGGATGTCAGGCCTCATGTTGGAATATAGGCACCTGCATGACAGCTGTCGATCAGTCATGGAAGATGAGCAATCATTCATTTGATCCCTGCTAGGTGCAGCCCTGGTGGGAATAGCACTGTGTTTGAGCAGGAATCTATCTTTGTTGGTGCAGGGCAAAAGTGGTGATCACCGCGTCGGGCGGAGCGCGCGCGACGAAAGTGGTTCCCCTGAAGCAGATCACCGACAGGGCGGCTGAGCTGGCGGCAAAGGACGGCTTCCAGGTCAGCATCATCTGCGCCACATCAGCAAGACTAATCTGCATGTCTACAACTGGCTATTTTTTGGGTTGGGGAAATGTTGCTTGGGACAGGCACGTTCACGGTCATAATACCTGGCGGTCCAGTGCTGGGCATCGGTGTCATTTCTAGGCAGCTCGATGGGTGTTGTGACTTTGAACTTTTTAAAATGTCTTGGCTTCCCTACCTGCGATGCGCCTGGCAAGCATGTCACAGATAAGACAACAAGGCTCAGCCAGTCATGTATTTCCTCGTTGGTTCATAGGCTCCAAGGGTCAAGACTCATCCTGCCCCTTGTGCTCACAAGCAGAAGGAGAGGCTTCCAAGATTGTAGAGACACGTCGCCGCTGACATTTTCTTGTTTGTGTGCCTGTTTGCAGATAGAGACAGTGCTAGTGCTGGAGCATCCCAGCGTGCCAAAGGGGAAGTGCTCCTGGACAGAGGGCAGGGACGTCTGGTACCAGGAAGTGGTTCCACGCCAGAGCAGCAGCTGTGCAGTGGAGTGGGTGGACTCTGAGCACCCGCTATTTCTTCTGTACACATCTGGCTCCACTGGCAAGCCCAAGGGGGTGGTCCACTCCACAGGTGAGAAATCAAATAGTATAAAGTAGGTTTTCCAGATGAGATGCCTGAGAAGTCTCTGTGGTGTCAGTCTACTGGATAGGTTCCCAAATGTTGAGCTTCGTGCAATGTGCAAGGTACCTCAGACTGCAGACTTGTATCAGATATATGTCTATATCTGAGCAAGTCTGCGACGCCTCCGACGGTTGAGACATGTGGCTAGGATAAATCCTGTCAGGATGCCTCTGCAATTAATGTTCAGCACGATGTCAGGCATTGGGGCTAGAGGCAGACCATTAAAGAGCTGGAATGATTACGTGAGGGATGACCTTGATGCTATTGGGCATGCATATGACTGGTGGAGGAAGTGCAAGAACCGAGAAGACTGGAGAGCTATAATCCAGGTGTTGCTTGACATACCTAGTCCTTCAGGACTGAAAAACGTGTGATAATAATAATAATATTAATAAAAAGTAGGTTGAGAAATTCACTGAAATTTAGGCATTGTGCACTCCACAGGTAGGAGCTGTTGGCTAGATTGAGAACTTTGCTGATATTTAGGCATTGTGCGCCCAACAGATGGGGTCTTTTGACTGGAAGACAAGGTCCCACTGATATTTTGGAAGTTGTCCCTGGTTTTCTAGGGGACGAAGCTTAAACACTGGGGGAAGGATGCATGGGGCTGCAAGGCTGCATGCAGCACTTGGCAGTGTTGAAAATGGATGTTTTATTGTAAAATCCAATAGAGATGGGGACATCTTGTGCAATGTTGCAGGTTGAAACAGTGGCGTGTGTCCGCTGCCATGTGTCATTTTTCTGACTGTGCACTGCTGCTGCGGCAACTCAACAACCGGATGCTCCAGCACCAGTGCACGCTGGAAAGATGCTCCACGGCATCCGACAAGAACCAGACTGCTTTTGATCGTCACCCGCTCATGCTAATTGTAAAACTGTACCTTCCGACTCGGAAGTTCTGAGGTGTGTGGCTGATGCGCAGGCGGGTACATGGTAGCGGCGGCTGTCACGACGAAATTTGTATTTGACCTGCAGCCGGGGGACGTGTACTGGTGTACGGCGGACTGCGGCTGGATTACGGGCCACAGCTATCTGGCCTACGGGCCACTGCTGTGCGGCGCTCGGTCCGTAGTGTACGAGGGGGTTCCCTCCCACCCCACCCCTGCCCGCTGCTGGCAGATCGTCGAGAAATACAAGGTGCCTTGCTCGGCGCACGCACGATTCCCTTCCTTCCGCGTCAACCTTGCTGCTGTTGTTGAAAATTGAGCAGTTCAGAGCCCTCAGTGACCCTTTCTCCTGGGGCTTGAGTATGCAGTTTGCTTTCACACGAGTACCTAACAAGACACTGACACAGTGTGATTTGATTGCAGGTGCGGCAGTTCTACACAGCTCCGACGCTGATCCGCGCGTTGGAGGCGCATGATGACAAGTTTGTGCTGGGCAGCGACCGCTCCTCTCTGCGCGTGCTGGGCACCGTTGGCGAGCCCATCAACCCCCGCGCATGGATCTGGTTCTTCCAGGTACCCGCCAACTTTTATTTTTTATAAGTTTAGGGTTTAGAATTTAGGTTTTAGGGGTGTAGGCCCTAAACCCTAAATCCTAAAATATTGAACGTATTTGCTTGGTCACATGATGCTGCTGCCGCCAAGGTGGCTGCATGGGCAGTGCAAAACAGCTGCTGCAGCAATCTGAAAAACGGGGTTGTAACTGAAAGGAGGGAGTGATTTCATTCATGAATTGCAGCATGCAGGGATGGCTTCAAGCTGATAATCAGTACTGGCATTGCAGTGGGAGGCTGGTGTCCATTGTATCTCTTTCTTGCATGATTGTGGCGATGTCAGTGAGGACGCTCCCCCGTTGAATTGCTGTGTTTCTGAAAGGACCTGCAGCATGCAGCAGGCAGGACAGCAGAATCACAGAGGATCTTTGGCAAGGGGGTGAAGTCTGGTCATGGCAAGTTTACTGCATGCATGCACATCCTTTGATTGCATGCATGTGCATGCCATTAGTCATGCATGCGCAACACTAATGGCATGCATATTACAGGTGGTTGGCGAGGGCCGCTGCCCGATAGTGGACACGTGGTGGCAGACAGAGACAGGAGCCGCCATGATCACTCCCCTGCCGGGCGCGTGGCCATGCGTGCCCGGATCAGCCACCCTCCCCTTCTTCGGAGTCGCGCCCGTCCTGCTAGACGACAAGGTGAGGGAATGGATCACTCCTGCTGCTAAAGTGTTGAACATTTTGTGCAAAAGTAGGTCTCTCAGCTGTGAGTTGACGCAGCTGGGGGTAAACGCAACTGCCGTGCAGACTTTGTTTCAGTCCAGACTGTTTGAGAGCACACTTCCTGCAAGCCTTGGTCTGAAGGCGGTGTGAGGTTGGAAGGAGTTCCCAGGAGTTCCCGCTGAGCTTGCTACCCTGTCAATCTCAAGCGTGTAGCCGTCAGAGTCAGAACAGCTGCGAATGGCGCTTTCCTGCAGCGTTCCAGTTCTGAGCGGTGCAAGCTGGCAGTGAGAAGCTATCGAACTCAGGACTTGGGTTCCTTGGCCCAACAGAATGAGACACTGGACAGCCTGCGTTCTTATTATCTCAGCGGCGGATACCTGGATAATGGATGGCATTTCCGCTCAAGGTCTTGGTGTCCTTCAATGGCCCGTGGATCAGTGCTCCGGGCCAATGACATGCCATCAAAGTCCGGGTTGGGGTGCTTCCAGCCCCCAGGCATCTTCTGTACCTCGGGACCGTGACTCATCTCAGTGACTCATTTTTGAACACGAGGTCATAGTGTTTATGGCGCGCAGGGCAAGGAGCTGCATGGGGCGACGGAGGGTATCCTTGCGCTGAAGCAGGCGTGGCCGAGCGCCATCCGCACCGTCAAGGGCGACCACAGGCGCTTTGAGGAGACCTACTTCGCCACCTTCCCGGTTAGTCACCGGCCTGGCACCCTTACTGATGATTCCATCACCGGCGGCCCCCAAGGGATTTGTTTTCTTTTGGGAAACCCCTGAAGCGTGAAACCCTGCGCTGCTTCACAAAAGGGTCCCTCACACGCTTATTATTAACCACCAAGCGGCGGTATTGTTTGCAGATGTTGACATGAAAATGGTCATTACTGGACGATACCGATTGATGTGCAGATCTGATCCATATCTTTGATCACATCTGAACGCGAGGTGGCGTCAGCCAATGCTGACCGTCGTTCCTTTGCCAGCACCTTTTAGATTCAATTCAAGTCCGGTAGCGATCCTACCCCTCACAGTCCTTCAGCAGATCAAAGACAATATCTTTGCAGTCAGCTCCCTTGCAAGGCATTTCAACCTCAAACTTGAGCTTCACTTTCTGGAATTTGAGTTTTGAGTTTTTGAACTCAAAGTCTCCCGCGCAGGGCTACTACTTCACAGGAGACGGCTGCCGCCGCGACGCAGCCGGTTGCTACACGATCACCGGCCGGGTGGATGACGTAATCAATGTCAGCGGCCACCGCGTTGGTACCGCTGAGGTGGAAGCTGCGCTCGCGTCCCACGGGGCATGCACCGAGGCCGCCGTTGTCGGGTGCGCGCCGAATGTTTGCTCATTTTGCCCTAGATCTTTTTGGTTTACTTACTATTGCTGTACCCTTGCTGGAGTATGCGCCGGTTTTAGTCACAGCTATACAAATCGGCGATTGAGGGATTGAATTGACAGAGTCGGCTTCAGCCTTTGTGAAGGATCTTGATGTTTCTTCAATTGGCAGGAAATGCGCAGGAAAGACTGCCATTCAAAGCTGCGCCATGCTGAAAACTTCTGCAATTGTACTTTTACTTCATTCTTTGGCTGCTCCCAAGGCCTTCAGTTGCATGTTCCTCCGGTGAATTATGCATAGTGGTGTCACATGTGCTTGTTGCATGCGTGCAGGTTTGACCATGACATAAAAGGGCAGGGGATATATGCGTATGTGTCCCTGCACGACGGCAACGAGTTCAGCGAGGCCATAAAAAAGGACCTCGTAAAGTCCGTGCGCGAACAGATCGGCGCATTCGCCGCTCCCGATGTCATCCACTGGGCGCCCGGTGAGTGCCAGAAGTGTCAGTCATTTATAAATCGTTCATTTGTTTTTTTTTTTTTTCGCATTTCTTGTGTGAAAAAATTTGGCTGCGGGATGTTGGGTTGGGCAGCATTTGCCATGAGAATGCTGTCTAAAAACGTGCAACACATGGCGAGCTCAATTTGAACTTAAATTTATATGGGTGCGAATCTGTCAAGAGTGTGCAGAGAGGTGGTAGCGCATGTGAGATCCATGCTATCGGGACAGTGTTAGGTGGATGCCATGACGGGCCTTGCCATTGCTAGGGCCTGTGCTCCTTTACTTTGCAGTAGAGGCTTGCTAAAGGCATCTAGTAGTGGTGCGGCCCGTTATGGACTCCCTTTTAAAATGTCCCGACAGTGTGAGTTGGCACTTGCAAGAGGTTCGTCTGGATGTAGCTGCCCTTGCAAGATTCAAGTCTGACACCAACAGCCTTCTTCTAGGAAATTTTGCTTTTCTTGGTCCTGCGCGCATTCTTCTTTGGAAGGAAAATGACAGAGGCAGCCCAATCACGTCGCAGCAGCTGATTACAGCACAGCATGCAGCGGCAAATTTTTTGCACGCCAGAGGGTGTTGTGTTCTGGGCTAATGCATTACTGATGTGCCTGATTACTCACGACTGTGTGTCCCCTGCCCGCAGGGCTGCCCAAGACGAGATCGGGCAAGATCATGCGCCGAATCCTGCGCAAGATCGCGGCCAAAAAGGACGACGAGCTGGGCGACATATCCACCCTTGCAGACCCTGCCATCGTCCAGGGGATTATCGAGCTGCGCGGGAAATGAGTGTGCACGGTTGCAATGACTTCGTGGCTTTTGGAGGACGTGCAACACTTGTACTTCCTTTTGTTTCTGGCCACATGAGGACATTCTCTGTACTGCGGCTAACTTTGTTTGGCAAAGCATGGTCATAGCGTCTTGCGCAGGAAGTCTGAGGGGTTTCATGAGCAGCCTCGACTGTTCTGAACAATCGAAGAATATCACGGTCCAGTGAGGCCAAGATTAGTGCAGTTAAAAAGAGTGTACTCAAGCTGTACAGTACTTTATGCCCCCGCATGCGCTCATGTGAATGCGATTTTGGTCTAGTCACCTAGCTGTTTGGCAGAGAGCAAATACCGCCAGGCAGCCCTTGTTTTGTGAGATGCAGGACTTGATTGTGTGCAACAATAACGAGGGCATCACGCCAATGAGTGCGCACTTCAACTTTGAAATGGCTCTATACAAAATGGAGATGAAATGGCAGCTCCACACTGTAAGATTGAATCATGCAGTCAAAGGATTTGGCAGACATCACGCTATTCAAAAACTTTGTAACATTCCATCCTTAATATGTTTTCAAGGGCTTTGCAGGGGCACATCAACAATCTGCATTGCCTGCTGCGCTGGACACAGCTGATTTGTTTGGATGAGCTGCGCTCCAACTTCTTATCATACACATCTCAGCAAGGATACACGTATTTGTCATATTGAGTCAAGTCCTATACAACTGCTCACACCCAGGCAGGCAGAATGCGCGGGCTGGCCTTTGGAGCAGGAGGCCTCAAGCCGGCCTGCTGGCTGCTCAGCAGTATCCTCTTGGGCTTCAGCGGCGGCAGCTGCTGCTGCTGCTGCTCTGATTGGTTCTCACACGGCTGTGCTTTTGCCTCTAACACCCCTTCTCCCGTTGACTCCCCTGCATCACAGCATGCATCCATCAGCCTATTTTACAGCTGGTGCACACCCTTGTGTTGAACCTCTTCTTGGCTTTGCTGCCTCGGCAGATTGCTCGGCACAACAATGATGTCAGCAAGCACACGCAGCTGTGGTCCCGGTAGCTCTCGTGCTCTTGGAAAGACTGGACATTGGGGCAGGGCAAGCACCGGGTAAACGGGGCTGCCTCAAGTGTGGACATTATGCAGCAAGTAAGGAAAGATATACCGGCCAAGGAGCACTGGAACTGCATTGCAGACAGGCATACACGCGTGGCTGTATCAGGGGCTGAATTATTCAAGGCATCCAAGACTGCACAGAATTTGATTATTTTGGTCGCTTGAAGTGCCGGTCAGATGGAGTGCACCCTCGCCCTAAGCCTTTCTAGCGCCCGTCCTCTGCAATTTGCTCAAGTGGATTTGTTGAGATGGTTTTTGGGCTGCCCGAACCTGTTGGCCGGGCAGGTCTGGGCAGCGGAGGGGCAGGACTGGCGGGCAGCGAGGCGGCACAGTCGATGGCGTAGCTGACTGGATGCCTGCTCGGGCTTGCCCCTGCAGACGCGCCCCCGTACCTGCTGGGCCAAAAACGAAACTTCGGTTGCAGATCCTGCTGCCTGCAATTTTCGAATTCCGTCTGGGACGAGCTGAACCCGCCATGACCATGTACTGCAAAAACCAAAACAAACAAGATATTATGCAGGCCCTAGGATACAGCCTGGTTTTGGAAGGAGCTAGGAACGCTCCTTGCAATTACATAAGTACTGGCCCACATAGAATGGCCACAGGAATCAATTTGTTGAGGTGACATTGGAGCCCAAGGAAGAAGAGTGCAGTGAAGGGAAAGTGCTGACCTGGCGGGTTGAGCGGACGCCTCGTCAGCCGCGCTGTGCTGGCGGGAGGCTGGCTCCATCCTGTGACCAGTTACCGCCAGATCAGGCGCTGACCCATTCTCTGCACTCCCCCCATCTTCCTCCTCTGTGCTCAGCCTCCTGTAGCGCATTTCACAAGCTTCATTTTCTTCTTAAAAACAGTAGACTTGGCCGGATGTCTCGCGTCGATCTGTTTTGCTTCATGCAATAGCTGGGCATCCAGCTCGGTTCCAAGAACCTCTGTATCAATAGCGAGACCAGGGCACCCACTGAGCCACTTCACTCATCCTTGCACCTACCACAATCCCTCGTTCCTCCTTTCTTGTGCGCAAGCATAAAAATACAGCAAATCAGCAGATAGCTTTTAAGTTCACTTGAAAATACGTGCTGTGTCACAATGAAATCAAAGCCAGGGCACACCTGAAAGCTTGCCCCAGTGTGTCTGCGGTCGAGCCTCCGCGCGATGACTCATCTCCCTGAGAGGGAACCCCCCGCGGCGGCAGCGCTGGGATTGTGAAGGTGCTGTGACCTGCATGAACGCATGGCGTTGATTTTTTTTGAACTTGTGCTGGTGATCTATGCGAGATGTTAGGATTGTTTCTTTATGGGCCTTCCACACAACAAATGCCATGCACAGGCCAGGGCGCAGCATCAGTAGCAGAGGCACTTGAAAGCAGCCTTCCCTATTTATTCATATATTGGATACTCTGTCATTGCAGGTGCAGCGCTTGAAACAGGCACAAAAGCATGATGCTTATATACACTAATGGAGAGAATTGGACTCCAAATCTCGTGCCCCTGCAATTTAAGACGTGTTGCACTGCTTATTGCACATCCCGTCTGTCTAAGAAAGATGTCGTCTCGAGATGGTAAAATCCGGAACCAAATTACCTGGAAGTTGTGCCGACTGTGCATGTGGGGAGGGCTCGCCGCCGTCCGGCTTGGCAGGGGAATTAGTCAGGGAGGCAGGCTCCGAGCGCAGGTCGTTGATCCGCAGCTGGATGTTGTGGCATCGCCTCAACGCGGCGCTGCATTGCTGCAGGCACAGTGCAAGGGGAGAAAATCAGACACATTATCAAATCTCATCAGCTGATGAAGATGTTGCTTGGTAATATTTCTGGAGACGAGCAAGATAATGTGCTCCTGCGCTGAGGCATATAGTGATGTGAATGACATGCAGTTTCACGTGGCTATCAGCACTGGGGTCTCTTTGTTGCTGGTACTTTCTATCTCCTTTGGCGCCGGTCCATTTCTGCCAATGATGCAAAACCAGTAGAAAGACAAATGGAAACAGGTCAGAGCAGTGCAGCAGGTGTAGGTTGAGCCTTGCCTCTCTGTACTGCTTGGCGACAGGCGATTGCATAAAGCGCTGCTGCGGCGGATTAGGCTCAAGCCTTGGCTGCGCCCCACCGCTCTGCACAGTATAAAGCACCTCATGACAATGCAGATACTTTTGAGGTATCACTAAGAACCTCGACAAATTATATTGAGAATATCGCTGAATACTAAAGGTTCCAAGTTGGGCGGCAGGCTGGTTGGCAGAGGACGCTTATATCTCAGGGTTAAGGCTCTTTTACTTTAGATTATGGAGTAGATTCTAAAAGTAGAGGGAGGGAAAGCACCATGTCAGGCATGGGTGGCAGCTGCGCGGCAGCTGCCCCGGCATCGTTCGCAGCCGCCAGGTCATCGGCCGGGCTCTCTGACAGCGTCCTCAGCGGCCGCGATGGCCCTGTCCTCTGCACGTCCAGCCCCATGAACTGCCTGCACAATGATCAAATGCCCGTGAGCGTTTTGAGCAACATCTATGCCTGGACTAAGACTTGGCTGAAAGACCACTGTCAGGTCTTTCCATTCAGTCAGACCTGATGGTTTTAGCCATTCAGCAGCAAAAGCCCTTGCAGGCCCGCATCGGCTACCCCAGTGAGTACACCTAGATGAAAAGAGCTCCAGGAGCTCTCTTCAAAACAGGAGATTGAGTGCAACCATAGCAGCCCTCCATCTGTATTGAAACGATTAAAAACCGCCTTCTGTGAGGCATGCGAGTACTGCAGCATCATGGCGTTTGACACCCGCGCTGTGCAGGGATGCTGTATTTCATATTGTGGTCTGCTGAAGATCAAAATTAATTGTTTGTGTTTGTGTGTGCATATGCGTACAAAAAGGCAAGAGTTGGCACCGAGGGGTGGCTTTGTTTGTGATGGGTTGTGACTAACCTGTAGTCATCGATGAGCTCGCTGCGCTTCTTGCTGCCGGGGCGCCACTCCTGGCCGCCCACCCACTTGCCCTTCAGGTGCGCCTTCAGCGCCGGCACCTGGTAACAAATTGGGCAGAACAATTTCAGGCAAACGGTGAGCCATACGCTGGTGGAATGAATGTGAGGACAATTCTTTTGACTCTGCGGGTGCGAGCATAGGATCATCAGCATCAAGAAGCGCGAGGTGCAAAGCTGGTGAAAGTTGAACTGCTAAACAGACAGGGGACCCCAAGCATCAGCGTCGGGTACCCCCACATGCCACACCACGCCATTGAGATCCCAGATACCTCCCGGACATGCAGAGACCTGTCATACTTGAGAGCAGAGAGAACCAAGATAAATCCCCAGTGCCGCACTGTCAGCTTGATGACTGGCTCTGAATTTGTGTAATAATATCTAGTGTAACAATACTGAAAAACCAGCGCTTGGTCTGGAAAAGCAGCGCTTTTGAGAGGGAGGGATATTCAGGCCGCACCGTGAGCTTCGCGAGGGCTTCTGCCCCGGCGCGGCGGCGTTTGCCGTTGAGGGCAAGCAGTACAAGCTCTTCGCGCGACTCTTACATGCCATCTGGGCAACACTTCTTGCAAAATGGGGGTTCGCTGAAAGTGCATATTCTACATCTTGAGTATTCAGCGCGCACCGTCAGCTTGACGAGTGGTTCTGCCCCAGCGCGGCGGCGTTCGGCGTTGAGGGCGAGAAGAACGGGCTCCTCGCGCGACTCGCGGACGGCCGTCGCGCATCGCTCCTGCGTAGACGGCGTGGCCGCGAGCCCGCCGCTGCCCGCGCAGCTGCCCAGCCGGCCCCGAGTTAGCGCGCTCACCGCCTGCCGCCACATCATATTCCCGGGATTTGCTTCAAGTTGTGGGGCACTTGCTCTCCCGTCATGTTATGTTCACCAAACAGGTCTCCTTCTTGTGCTCTGATGTCTCTTCTGCCGCGTTTATTTCCGTTGGTACTGAAATTGCCCGCACAGCATTATCTCCGTGCCAAGGATCTCACACGGTGGCAGAGATGTATGGTGGACATGGACTAGCGGATTTAATGTGGTTTGTATTGGGACAGTGAGATTGGGTGCCGCGCACCGAGGAGCGGCTGCAGCGGCGGCTGCCGCTGCGCACGCGACGCCGAACACCGGCCGCGGGGGTCGCCAGGGACGGGTCCCACTCATAGTCATCACTCTCGTCCGAGTCCCCGTCATCCGCTGAGTCATCGGCAATTGAGCCGTCGCTGCTGGCGCTCTCCAGGCTCTGCACCATTTTTTTCGTTAGGTGTCTCAAACTTTGAATGTCACTTTCAAAGTGTCATCTCCTCTTAAAGGCATTCCTCGATTTGATTATCAAATACTCCATTTTTTGCACATAACAGGTCTGTTCCACTAAAATTAAAAAAAAACTTTGGAAGTCCACACTGGACAGTCATAATTTATCAGAGGAACAAAAAGAACATTTAGCAAACCCACCCATGGAAACTCCTCTGTCAAAATGCATAGCAGTGGTGCTGTGCTCACCTCTGCAGAGGCGTCCTCGTATCTGGCAAGCAGGTCGGACCTGGCACCAGCGCCCAGCCGGGCCTCCTCGTTGAGAGACTCCAGCAGCGGGCTGCCGCTCACTCCTTCTAGCGAGCCAATACCCTCCAGCTCCTCCATCAGAGACTCTGCCTCCGCGTCCACCTGTATTTGAATATCACAGCCGTATGTCACCGGCTCTTGCCTGACCCCCCCTGTACGAACCTTGGCTGCAAACTTATGCAGCAGAAACACAGTAGCACCGCACCAATGTATCCTTTTAGAATAAGAGGCATGCTATCTCGTGTGCAAGACTGCAGGGCTATTCTTTCCCGCAGCCTGACACAGGAAAGGTGTATCCTGGAGAACAGGATAGGAGGGCAGTCCAAATTCAGGAACAGAGTGTGCTTTGCAAGTGAGATACGGTATAAGGCGTGCGGCCGGCCAAGAGCTCCTTTCAGCCGGGCCCCTCACGTTGCCCTGATTTATTATGAGATCTCAGGTGTCCTTTGCAGATCGACAGATGCAATTTCATGTGCAAATTCCAAGCCAAGTGTTGCCACCAGCAGGGAGAATTTACTCACGTCGTCCTGGGCGGCAGACTGGGCCTCGTCGTCGATGTCATCGTCCGGGGCGGCGAGCGCGGCGGCCAGGGCGGCTTGGGCTTCGGCCAGAGCGCGCTTGGCGGCGGCCTCCTCCTGTTGCGCGAGCTCCAAGTGCAGCCGCAGCAGCTCCGCCTCCTCTCTCGCCTCCACCAGAGCGTTGCCCGCCTCGTACACCTGTGTAAATCATGAACATTTCGAATGCACGTTTGAACCTCAAATTTCTTGAATGGAGTTCGACTCCTCGGATGTTGAGGGCAGGGTGAGGCGTGGTGGCGTTCAAGGCCCGCTGCTCCAGCGGCCAAGGGTGTGACAGAGTAGCTGACTGTCACCGCATCATGCATGGCCCCTTGTGCTTCCCAGAGCGTCACATCTTGGTTGGGTGCAATAAAATACATGCCATACGACTATCCATCCAGCAATGACTTCGCAGCCAAGGCGTGAGGCTTTGTGAGTCAAGGCACCGCAGGAACGCTTAAAGACTGCCAAATGTGATGTACGCAAGGGACGAAAAAGTGCTACAAATCAACTCCTTAGTGGAGTGCAAACGAATGATTGAGAAACGCACTACCAGCAGGGTGGACTGGTGCACCCCCTTGAGAGGCATGTTTTCCTCTCTATACAGGCGGTGGGGCTTCTCGACCACATGGGGTAGGCACACAGGGCCAGGCCATTGGCACATTTGCATTATCCGTGGCGAGTGACATGGGAGAATGTGCAGGGGTAAAGAGGATGCCCACGCTGGGACAGGATGGACACAATTGCGCTTCACGGCCTTTTTAGAGCTCCTGAACTCAAAATACTACTCCCAATTCTACTCAAAATTCTACTCACTTTCAACTTACAGTTCCTGACATTGCACAGTGCGGGTGGGGCTATAGGCACCTGCGCCTTGTGGCCGGCGGCGACGCGGAAGAGGGACTTGAGGAGCGAGCGGGCTTCCACGATGGTGCGCAGCCCCGTCCAGCGCCGCACCTCGGCCGGGTTGCTGACGCCGGCTCGGCCCTCCTCCTCCGCCTGTGCGCGCGCCAGCGCAGCCTGCGTCTCCAGGATCTGCGCAATTACGAACATCTCTCATTAAGTTAGCTGATAGTAATGGCGCATGCATGACAGCGTGAGAACAGACCTGGGACCTTAACGTCTCCAGGATCTACGCATGCAAGCTTCTTGGGTTTGATCATTTAGGATGTGGCCGGGAACTGCGCCACCCCAGGACTTCAGTCCAGTTGCCAAGGGTATTGCACCTTCTTATGGTGACGCTGCATGCACCATGGTCTGCATGAAAGGACGCTGTCGGTTCTGAGCCCCAAATATCTTGGCAGATTCATAAGCGGTGGCCTTGAAACCATATTTGCAGAGCAATCGTGAGATTCATCAGATCCCTAGTCACAGTGAACGCTTTTGAGGGTGAACGGGTGAAAGGGGCCGCGCACGTGCGCGCTGTGTCGCTGCAGCTGCGAGTCGAGGGTGGCGCGCTCGGGTTCGAGGCCGGCCGCGGCTGACTCGTCTCCGACGGCGCTGGCATGCGCCAGGCGCCTGTTTAGGTCCGCCAGTTTCTTTGCCACCTCCCCCCTCTGCGCCTTCTCTCCCTCCAGCACCCTCGCCAGCTCGAATGACTGCAAATTGATAAAGCGTCCCCTATTTACTCGGCGTTGTATATTTGCATGCCTTTATGCTGCATTAGATGTGATGTGCATGTCATAGGATAACATGTCTTCTTGTATCTGTGCATGATGCAGGATGACCTACTTGCGGAACTATGGAGTAATTTAAATCCACCGGGGACCATCTGCTTTAGGAATTCAAAGACTGCTCAGTAACTTGCATGTAACCTGCATGCATAAGTCTGCGCATCTCAAGTGACACATATGCAAGCTGGCAGAATTTTCCCTGCAGATACCCATGGGAGGCAGACCACAAACAGCACCCATCAGCACATATCGAGCGATGGGCCTCACAGCGTGAGCTTCTTTGTAGGGATGGTTCCGCAGATGTCAAGGGAAGATAAGAGACTTCCATTCCAGTTATATTTAAAGAGGCAGGCCACAAACGGCACCTGGCAGCACATGTCGAGCTCGTGCTCGATCCAGTCGCGGCGGGACTTTTCGTCGCGCAGCAGAGGAGCGGCCGCATTGGGTTGGCACTCCACGCCGGAGCCGGACTTGGACATCGACGCCGCGCGTTCCCTCTTCTCGTTCGACGCCCGGTGCACGTCCATTATGTCCTGCACGAAAGACGCTCTGGGACATGCGATTAGATTCAAAATTGTGCATGCCCAGCCGCGTCAGCAGACGTATGTGACATCACATGTCTGAGATTCTGCCTGTTCAGGCACGTGCAGATCATTATACACCTAGTGTTTATATCAGTCACGGATATGATGAGGTGGGGAATTCCAGTCTTAAAAACAGGTCCACAATGTCCAAGCCAAGCCAATCAGGCCCTTTGCCACAGAAGGCCATGACAATGGTTGCTTGTGAAGGGTTCTGTTCACGACTCATATTTTGCAGGAGGTGGATGGTTTTGCGTGCCACACACAACCCATTACTGGGTGTCACGCATGCGATAAATTACCTTGAGGCGGCGGCGCGCGGCTTCTGCCTCCTCGGTCTTGCGGCGCAGAACCGCGGCCTGCTTTGCTTGCAGCGCCTCCAGCTTCTGCACCTGCAGCAGTGTACACCAAATATTTATCGTTGCCCCAGATCACATGCACCCGTTGCGCGGCGCACAACTTCATCGTGCCGCATCCTCTCGGAATAGCAATGCGATCTCCACTGCGGGTGTTTTCTGCAAGGCTCTGCGCCGTTCGGCTTATTGCATGTTGGATGCGTGCATGGAAGGTGTGACGGGGAAGATATGGCGTGCCATGATGAGTCCATGCCTGCATATAGAAAGGGAAAGGAAGAGGGGGGGCATGACGCGCCTGCATCTGCTGCTTGCGTCCCTGTTTGCGCAGCTGTGCGAGTTCGCGCTCGCGGTTCTTTCGCCACGCTGCAAAGTCTTTGGCGTTCTGCTCGATCTGCCGCGCCAGCAGCACCTGCGACACACATCGCCACATCACGCATCAGTCAATCTGATACAAAGTAGTAAAGCCTCTGCCAGCTGGCGGCTCAGGCCTAGAGCAGAGCCCATTTCTGCTCCCCTTGCTGCTTTGATTGGTGCACTCAGGTGCACCAGAGTGGCCCACAAAGGCAAGAACAGGAATGAGGGGACCCACCTTCTGCTGCTTGATGGAGAGGATGTCGGACTGTAGGCGGCTGCACTTCTCCAGCGACCTTGCTTGAAGCCGCTCCATCTGCGCGATCCGCCGCTCCTTCTCCCTGACTTCCCGCAGCTTTCCGTCCATCGTCTTGAGGCGTTCCTTGTACGCCTTCTCCATCTTGTGCCTCTCCTCAAAGCTCGCCTCCTTCACGCGTTCCATGCTCTGCGCGCGATACCAGCCTCAGCTAATCAGCCACAGGCGCAACATTTGTAATATTCATTGCAATCAGCTTCGCCTCGGTGCCCTACTATGGAGTAGATTATCTTCTGATGTATGGATTATGGTTCTGTGGATGCCTCTACGCCTGCCAGGAGCTGCCTTGCACTTCCGTTTCGCCACCTTCGTGCAGAGTTTTGCGCAGAGTTCCAAAGCTTCTGCAAAGACTCAAACCTTGCACACGGCGCATGCATCACATTTTGCATTGATCACACACAAGGTATGCATGAATGGAGGAGGGTGCCAATCAACCGCTCCCATGGCATGCATGTAAGGGGCACCTGCATGCTTCAGTTCACACTAGCCAGGAATTCAGCATGCTGCTGCGACTGCAGTTTGTAACAACCAGACAAGCACAGATATCTGACAATCGCAGACCCTCCGGAAGAAACCAAAGCGCCCGCCGGATGAATTGTCTGCACTCTAAAGAGCAGAACTAGGGCGTCAACATGCATGGCACCTGGAACCTTGTCTTCTTTTACTGCCCTTTTGAATTTGAAAGTACTGTTTTGAAACACACCCGGATGAGCTGGCTGCGCTCTGCCTGCAGTTCGTCGCGCTGTGCCTGCAGGTGCGCGAGCTCCTGGTCGAAGCGGGCCTTGATTTGGCTGATTTTTCCCTGCCCGCCGTTCAGGCGCTGCCAGGTGGCCTCCTTGGCTTCCATCGCCTTCTGCAGCGCCGCCAGCTGCTCCTCGCGCTTCGCCTGCTGCACCCTGGACAGCACAGCGTGCACAGCGCGCTCAGACCAAGCCGCTGACATTTCAGTGCCCCAAAGCCCTAAAATGATATGCACATATGTACAAGGAAGGTACCGCGCTCCTGGGCCGGAGGTCTTTTGTATGTTGCACATCATTGCTTGTAAACCGCATATAAGGGCAGCCCTTCCTCCCTTCTTGGCACGCAACCTGCCTTGTATGTCCTTGCATCATCTTGGTGTTATTAGCTCCTTTCCAGGGGTAAAGTATTTACAATTTCAGCGTTAGCGCTCTTGTGGCACTTCAGGCATTTCAGCAAGCATTCAATACCCAAGCACAATTCATGAAGACCCACAACAGTCACACACCGCTCTGGCGTTGTCAGGTGTGACAATCCATCTTTACAACATACTTCCAAACGGTGAGTCACACCTGTGGGCATGTTCTTCAGCAGCGTACTCCTCGTCTCCTGCCAGGTCGCCCAGTTCCCCATCGCTGGCAGGGGTCTGGTCGGCGGCCGGGGTGGCGAGGCCGAAGGCAAGGGTGCGCGAGTGGCCGGCAAAGGGGCTCATGGGGAAAGGAGATGCTGCGATCGGCGTGCCCGGCAGGGCCCCCTTAAGGGCAGACCCCGGGCTGCCCAGGCCCATGGACGCGCGGCGCGCTGACATCAGGAACGCCCCAGAACAGCGTTGCACCTGCATGCCAAAAGCACACTTCAAAACAGAGAGGAATTATCTAAACCAGGGGGAATACAATAAACACAAGGCAGTGCATGTTGTGCTGAAGTGCTCAGGAGCTGGGCATGCAAGGGCACCTTGTTTCAATGCTTCCCGCTTGCAGCAAAGATTATGGCGCCCTTTGTGTCAAGCCTGTAAGAGGTGTCCGTTTGTTGTTCTGAGATACACTGGGTGATAGGCAGGCGACAGCACCACTAGATCACTTGGATGTCATGCAATTCGCTGACCCTGAGACTCAGACTCAGGCACTGGCTCGGTGGTATTAGCTGGAAGTCATGTCATATGACTGATTGTCTGTGACTGAACAGAGCAGGCCGCACCTCCTTCAGGCGGCGTATCTCCTTCTCCAGGTGCGCGATTCGGTCGAGGTAGCCGCGGATGAAGCCGACCTCGCCGCCGCCGTCTTGATCTGGCAGCGCTGCGGCGGTCCCCCCGGTCCCCCCGGCGAACCCCACCCCATCGCCACCGCCGGGGGGCCCGCCCACCTGCGGGTAGGCGTTCTCCTTGCCGCGGCCGGGCGCGTGGCCGAGCTGCTGCAGCCTGAGGGCGTTCCTGTCCCTCTCCACCCTGGCAGTGATCAGCGCCTCATGCGTCTCCTGCAGCTCGCCTTTGGCCCTCTCCTGCGGCGGCCACCGAACACCCAATGTGATAGGGCAGACAAGCCACACTGCCCAGCAACGCCATATCCTCGCCACACATTCATGCTGCATGCAACAAGAAGGGGTGCAGACCTTCAATCCCTACCATGCATTGAACCGAACTTTACGATTGCTTGAAGGTCACCAGTGCTGTGCTTGCTGCAACTGTCCTCTTGTGCAACATGTATCTGGCTTGAGTGAACCCACAGGGTCCTGCTCATGCACAAGCTGCATGGCAAGGTATCCCAACACATGCATTTGTCTGCTAGAGAGTACAACACGGCGTAAGGAGTGTAGAACACACCAGCGAGAGGCGCAGGCGCGCGTTCTCGAGGTCCAGAGACGATGCGCGGGCTTCGGTTTCTTCCAGCGCGGCCGCCAGCACGTCGTCCCCTGGCGTTCCCTGCCATGTGCCACTCCACTGCCCTTCCAGCGCAATATCTCCCTCCGTCTCCCCAACCCTGGCAATTGCTCTGCAGAGTCAAGACCCTCTGCACATCTGTGAGAAGCCACAGCGACTGTCTACTTGTAGTGGGCAGCCAAAGAGATGGCACGCTTACTCCACTACGTATTGTTCAACATGATCTGTTGGACCACGGAGGCTCTTGCCAATTGGAGCAGTGACTCTCATGCGTGAAGGGCACGTCGCAGCAATGACAGCCAGCATGCACGCAAGTGAGCACGCGCTTGGCAATTCCTGGCTTAGCCAACAACTGTCTGCACACTCTGGAGAGAGACCACCCGCCACCCAAAACCTTGTCTCTAAGTAAGCCCGTCTCCGCTGCATACCGCGTAAGAATTCAAGGCAGGAGGATATGGAGCAAGCGGTGGGCACCTGCGTCTGAGCCGGGTGTTTTCGGCGCGCGCAGTGGCGAGCTGCTGGCGCAGGTGACTGATCTGCGCAGCTATGGGGTCGCGGTTGACTACGGGCTTGTTGCGGATGTTACGGGCGCGGTTGGCATAGCGCAGCGTCTGCGTGCTCTCCTCCAAGTTGATGTCGGCCGGGCTCACGCACGCGATCATCGTCGTCTTGCTGTTGCCGCCGAGCGAGTCCTGCGCTCGCATCACCGGAGCTCTCATCTCGAGCGCTTCAAATGAAATGCATGAAGATTCACTACTTGAGCAAGTAGCCATGTCCTGAGGCATGATGCAGGACTAATTACCACATCTTTTACTCCTGATGCCCCTTTCTAAGCCCTGTGAAGGACGACGGATTCAGATGACAATTCTTGCTGCTGTGCTCTTTGCAGACATGGGGCATGCTTATAGTAGCAGGATGGAAGCATTGGGGAGGGCCATAAGCGGGGCACCTGCAGCATGCGGGTGAGCTTTGAGTCGCGGTAGGGGATATGGGCCTTGTTCTCAGTGAGCGCGTTGACCACGTTGCCCAGTGCAAGCAACCCCATATTGATGTTTATGCCCTCCTTCAGCCGCGCGCCCTCCGCCTTGGTCCGCTTCTGCCGCTCGCTGCCTGCATGCACGCAAGCCAAAATTCTCATCGTCAGCTGCTAGGATCTCCGCAAGGAATGAAAGAGGTGGAAGACTCCCCAAGTCCATGCAAAATATGCACATTGCCGCAAGCTGAACAGCAGCTAGATACCACCTGCTCTCTTTCAGGAAAACGGTAGAAGAGCATGTTTTAAACCTTCTCCTGTTGGGGCCTATGCATGTGCCCAACTCTGCTTCATCCTGCAGATCCGCATGTTGCACTTCCCCTCCCAAGTATTTATAAAAAGAGCTGCCCCTATTCAAGGAGAATGAATGCCAGAGCTACAAGAGCTACGAGCGCAGGGGTGTGCGGGAATTCAGTGCAGCGGGAACTGCTGTGTACAGAGAGGGCAATAGTGCAGCTTCTTGCATCTAGCAGCTTCTTCCTAGGAACAGTGTATCGTGCAAGGACAATCATACAAGGCCAGAGATTATGTTACTGACACTCAGACACGCGCTGGTGAGCAGGCAAGTGCACCTGCCAGGTCGACAAGGTGCATCTTGGCGCAGAGGTAGTCATCGGGCGCGCCGTCCTCATCATCGCCGCTGTGATCCCCCTCCGCCTGATCAGGCGCTCTGTTGGGCGCGATCCGGCGCTGCTCGACCGTGATTGTGAAGATTGCGTGCGAGCGCGAAGATCGCTGATTCATGCCCGTGGACGCTGTGGCTCGGCAGCGAGACCCCTGCCAGCCACAAAGAGCACTTTATTCAAATGCAAACTACGACCTGCTCATTTCCAGGCCAACTGAAGCTAAACCTGCACGAGGAATGATCAGAAGGGATGCCGGCGCCCCGCTCTCGCCCGGTGGTAGTCCCTTGTGCTTTGCCTGGCATGGCCGCTGGCAGCATGCATGGAAGAGCCTAGATATTTGAACCAGACAAAGATTGTCCAATATGGATTATGACATTGAATTTCTGCCACCCGCTGCACTCTTCCCATTGGCGCTGTGTAATATCAAGCCAGACAGGCAGCATCTTGCACTCCATCCCCCACCGCAGAATATGTTCCACACCAGCTTCATGTGGTGCTACTAGATGTACCTGTTCAAGGATGGCTGCCATCTCTTCCTTGGAGGTGACGTCCTTCTCGTGCGCTCCTGCCAGGCAGACACCCCCGCCCACCACCTCTCGGATGTGCACTGACGGGGAAGCTGCCGCAGTTGCCGCCTGATCAGGCGACAGCAGGTCCCGAATCTCCTCCTACAGATATTGTCATGAATTTTCCCAACTCAGATTCCACATTTAGTGCTTGCCTAGGCAGATACCGTTTAGCCTTAACATGCCCGAGAGTGATCTAAAGACTTCCCAGAATCTTTTTGGAGAGATTAAGCAGTCATGTAAGCTAGCTAAAGGACCCAAGATTGGACCATGCAACTCACAGGAGAACATGCACTTCCAATGCATGCTGCTGTAGAGGAAATCTGCAGTGAGAGACAGGTTAGTGGAGATAAGGGTGCCTTACGTTGAAGATTTCCACAAAGCCGACGCGGACGGTGAAGGCTGCGTCGCCAGTGGCAGCGATGCGGTCAAAGATGCTCTCCATGACGCAAGGGATGACGCCCCGGGCGCTGCCTGTGGCAGTGAATGCTGAGCTCCCCATGGTGTATGTCTTGCCCGAGCCGGTCTGGCCGTACGCAAAGCAACACGCGTTGTAGCCCTTGAACAAGCCAACAACAAGCGGCTGCACGCACTGATCGTACAGCCTATCTGGAGAAGCTCCACCTCCCCCATAGACATAATCGTAGGTGAATGTGGGCCCATCCTTGCAGACGACCTGCAGGGAGAAAGGGCACACCTGAGGGACCCTTCGTTCCTGCAAATGGTTAATGAGGGCACTTTTGTGACGAGAAGACGTGCCTTTGGGGCATTCTGAGGTCCTCTGTAGACTTCCCTCAAAAAGTATATAAACAACATGAAGCTCTTGCAGGAGGGTAAAAGACCACAAATGTCTCAATAACGTGGATACAATTGTCAACATAAAGTTTAAAACGCCAATAGGGTCCTGTAAAGCGCATCAGCGGTGCCCAGCTCGACCCAAAGATGTACCAGCGTTGGGCCTCAATCAACTGGTGGGAGATTAAGAGGATGTCGTACACATAATAAGGGGTCCCATGTAAAGGACCAGGAAGCTCTAATTTATGAGATTGACATCCATACAACGATGTAAGCTTCTCGAAGCTTGATGGCTATCGTTTGGGAACAGGATGCTTGCCTGAGGCTGTCCTGGGGTCACGCTGAGGCAGGTTTGGCAGCCATCAGCAAGCTCGCTTTCGACGAGAGGACGGATGTGTACAGCCACACAGACTGCATCCGAGCCCCCTTCTAGGCTCTGGACCACCGAACGTTCTGTCTCTGTCATGTTATGACAACCATGGACGACACTGCCTCTGTCTCATGCACCAGTTGTGTCAATTATGCTTCCAGTAATGAAATTAACCGATCAGTTGAAAAGCTTGAACTTCAAGCCTTGAAGCCTCTCTTGGGATCTTGCAAGGTACATCGAGCTTCAAATTTGGGCTTGCAATGACTCAGCGGTAACGTTACTGATACATGCCGGCCTTCCGAGAGTTTAGATCAGATGCAACCTGATTGATCTTCACCTGATTACATAAGAATAATATCCCTTTCGATCCTGGGAGTTGTCTGCCTTGACAGCACGCAAAAAAAATGGTTCAGAAGCCCTGATCACGCAACCCATGCTCATGGAGAAGTTGTCCTTATCAGAACAAACGCCAGGTAAGTTCACACTTCCCTTGTCTCGAATTCCACGTATTAAATGATGGGAAAGTTTTGGCATCTGCTAGGCACCCGATCATACCTGATCGAAACGCGGTTGCCACTGCTGGTCACAGCAGGAGGCGAGGAAAGCAACACCGTCGACAACAAGCTAATAGAAAGCACAAAAGAAGACGCAAGTGATACCAAATCACATTCAGAGGAGCAGGACGGAGGCAACTTGGGCGAAGCTGCAATCGGCAGTCCTAGTAAAAAGAAGAGGAAGCCCAAGAAGAAGGTAAGCCCTGTTGAAGACAAAGCCAGACAATAAGCAATGAAACTGGACATCAATCTGATATATTCCCCGATGCCATCGGATGGAAGGCATGCTGTGCTGCACAGGCCAAGAAGCTCGTGGCTCCACCCACTGTCCTCGCAGCAGAGGGGAGACTACCTTGGTCTCTGGCTTCCTCAGCACGTTTGGGCCGCCATGCACTGGCAAAGCGCGACATCAGTCCAGGTCTCTTGTTAGTCTCACTGCGTACCAAAAACAACTTCCCCCACCACTTTCCGCGGTGTGTCGCCTGGCGCTGTTGTAAGATCAGACAGGGATTTATTCTTAAACAATTGCACAGTCTTCATCAATTCTGCACACTTCTTTCCCATGCTTGAAATTCACACCATGCTGACCGGTACTCTCCAGTCCTTTGAGTCGTGCAGCTGAAAATCATTAATCCATGCTCACTTACCAATCGTCTAAACTGGTTGTCTTCTTACCATTTGCAGGAGATCTGGTCCTCATAGAGGCACCGGTGGCGGCAGTGGTGCGCTCCCAGTTTGTGAAGACAGTCTGCCACACGTGCTACAGGGAGTTGCCAGCTTTGGCGCCGCCTGGCAGCGTGCCAGATCGGGCCGCCGCAGCGCCCAACAAGCAGTACTGCAGCCGCGCCTGCGCTCTGGCGGATACACTCGCCGCCGTGACCAACCCCATCCACGCCAAGATCGACAAGATGGCTGTGGAAACTCAGGTGCATGCACAGCCTGTTCCCTGCAGCTACTGGGTATACTTTGTTTGCATGCCTTAACACCTCGGTCTGTTTGTCTGGAATGTTCGATTTGCTTTGATCCTCATGAGACATGGTCCCCTGAAGCCATGCCGGTTGCCTTGGCTCACAGAGGTCTTGTCGAAGTGTTCTTTCCTCAAAAGAATTTGCCTGAGTAGTAATCACGCGAGCCCTAATCTCGGCACTGCAGGCCAAGCATGGAAGCATGGAGCTAGTACAAATTTACTGACAAAGCTCGCAGCCAAAATTGTGGACCTCTAATCTCAGAATGTCTGGATGTGCACAGGTGGACCCGCAGCTGCTGCGACTCATCTTGGAGCTCGACAGCAAGCGCGCCACATCAGCGCCACCCGGCAAACCAACCCCGACGCCTGAGGGCACCTGGGTCCTTAAATTCAGCCGGTCAGCCACCCAACAGAGCAGCGCAGGCGAGCCAAGCACAGCGGCAGGCACTCAAAAAGAGAATGGCGCGGCTGCAAGTGGATCCGCGGATGCAGGGCGGGAGGAAGGGGGTGTGAAGGGTTCAGATGCAAGCGGAGGGCAAAAGGGCGGTGACGTATCTGAAGCTTCAACGGAGGGAGGGTCTGAGCAGGCTCATGCAGCGGAAGTCGATGGCAGCGACAAGCCTGGGAGGTGGGCAACAAGCTCATCTTTGTGCTACACGTGTGTGACCTGCATGTGACGTAGGCCGAAGGCGCAAGAAAAATCCGCCGGACATGCAACACACATGGCCTGGCAAAACCCGCGCTGCTCACAATGTAGGTGCTTGTAGTCAGCGAGCATCTGTTCCGGTTTGTGATTTACGGAGGATGGGCCGGGCCTTGTCTTCTGCATGCTGCTTTGAGTCCCCCCTCAATGTGACAAGACACTTGCACGTTGGCGTTCTTCTGCATCACAAACCCCCCAAGTGACAGGTTTGCATGCATGCAGAACGGTGCGCCACACCTCCAACAAGTGTAGAATCACATATTCACTTGTCGGTTTAGGGTTTAGGGGTATAATTTATTCTTGTTTTAGCAGGGTTAGGATTTAGGGTATAATTTATTTTTAGTCGTAGTTTTAAGGGTTTAGGTTTGCATGCATGCAGTACGAAGGCAGGACAGCTGGAGGCGGTGCACTGCACGCTGGAGGATATGGAGACGCTGACGTCGCCGTGGGACAAGAGCCCCGAGGCCTGGCGCAAGAGTGTGCGCGCCGGCTGCGAGGCGCTTCAGCAGGCGATCATTGCAGAGGGCGCCTACCAGCCGGGCTCCCTGCAACAGCTCCTGGTCAGTTCTTCTCTCCCTAATAACAAAGACACGCTTGTTCCAGCCCACAGGGCTAGCAGCAACCTCTCAAAAATTCCCAGCCAGCCTTCCCGATTTTGACGCTCTCTCCACCAATGGAACTAACTTGTGCTGACCGTCATTTTAGGTATTTACATGCGGGTGATGTGCCAAGCTTTTGCAAGGTTCTTGTAGCCATTTTGCATGGACATGCCATTAAGGCCTCAGGCCGGATGTGTGTGCTGCTTGTCATGCGAAATAGGCAACATGTTTGCAAGTCCTTCTTTCAGATCAATCCTACCTTCTATGCAACACGGGCAGGTAGTTGCTGAGGCAAGCGCTCCTCTGCTGTGAGCTGGATGCCGCGAAGTCTGAGGGTTGACTGCTTGCAGGACATGGCGGCGGTCATAAACAACAACGCTCACGGCATGGGAGCGGCCAACAGCACCAACACAGACAGCGCTCTGGGGCTGTATCCTGCGCTCTCCATGCTCAACCATTCCTGCCTCCCAAACTGCGTCTTCGCCAGCTGCGGTGCGCCCCATACGGAAGTCTGCAGCCAGCGCTACGTCCAATTTTTGTACACAACAATGTCGAGGGCATGCCCCGTGTGTATTCATTATTGCCGAGGTTTGTTCTTTGTGGCTGCCCCACCTCCCCGTCAGCATTGGGGGAAGCCTGCTGAGCCCCACGAAGGTGTGGGTCAAGGGCCTCCCCGGTGGCGGATCCCTGCGGCCCCACTCAAAGGCTTTGCCCCGCAAGGGCCCGTTGTAAGGGGCTCGAGCCCCCGAGCTGAGAAGTGGGGCGTTGCTCGACTCCGCTATGCATGGGGATGTACAAAGTTATTTGCTGTCCTCATGCATTGTCGAGGCTAGCTTCAGAGGACCACTACAGGTGGCGAGATGCACAATCGTGAACATTCGGCCTGCAGACCTTTTAATGATTCCTCCTACTTTAGCTTATGTGGATAAGTCAGCATAGAACATGAATCCCTTGATGCAGCAAACTTGCCGATGTGAGTTTTAGCCATCTGACAGGCTGTAAGCCCAGCTCAAGAAGCATCGCATCTGACGGGAGCGTGCGGGTCAAACTATTCATTGCAGCAGTGTTGTCGATTGTGATGGTGAGTGCCTCAAACTGCAACTCAGAGGTGCCATGTGACGGGAGCATGCGCGCGTGCTGCAGGCAGCGACATGCATGTGCGCGCAATCCGGCCGGTGGCGGCCGGCGAGCAGCTGACGGTGACTTACATAAACATCATGGAGCCGCGGCGAATCCGCGCGCGCGAGCTGATGGACACCAAGCACTTTGCATGCGCGTGTGAGCGGTGTGTCTCGCCCCTGGAGACGCACCCCGACCGCTTCCTCGAGGTGCGCTGACCTGGCGGTTCTGCTGACTCAGCGCTGCTGAGGTGGCATGATCTGTCATCGAAAGTTATCATCCCTATCTGTATGGTGCGCCTGTGTTGGCGGCTGGGCTGCTGGGGTGGCGCTATTTGCCATCAATGGCTGCCGGAAAACGAAGCGCTATTGGGAGCGGGGTTTGCGGTTGCGCTCTTGCACCACTCTCAAGCCATTTGCTAAAATGAGCGGCTTTTCTTGCAAATGGCTTGGAAAATGTGGCAGATCACAGTTGCAACAAAACTCTGCCCCAAAAGCAGCAAGAAGGCGCCGGCGGGCGCAGGATACATGGTACAAGAATCCTGCACCTTAGTATTTGCTAGGATACAGTGATTGTAAGAGGAATGTGTGTTTCTGAGGCGTCGTAGTCCTGGTGTGGCAAACACAGACACTACTCAAGAGGGGCAGGAGAAAAATAGGAAAGCTCCGAATGTTTGCGGCAGGCGGTGAAGTGCGGGGCTGGCGGCTGCGACGGCTGGCTGCTGGAGCAGCGGGCGGACAACCTCTCAGAGGTACAGACACACTCCCAAGAAAAATCACACAAATGCAGATATAAATTAGGATCCTAAAGGACCGAAGTCGCAGTCATCAGCAAGCTCTCACTCTTTATGCAAGAGCTTGACATGGCCAAAATTTGAGTGTATGGCATCTGCGATGATCAGAGCGGCTAGCCACCATTGAAAGAGCCTCTGCAAGATGTCAGATGCATGTGCACTGTCAGGTAATGACACTTATTAGTCATCAAGTAGGGTGGTACGGTACATGGACCTTATATTCTGTTAGGAATGTCTTCATAATACAGCCTTCATCGCTATGTGAATCTGCTGGTGCTCTGAATTGCCAGCAACAGTTTCTACATTTAGATCTTGGCAGGCTACAAACCGTGGACGCAAATGGGCGAGCACCTCTGTAGTATTGCGCGCACTAACGACTACAGCTTTTGTCGTTGCGCATCAGGGCGACACCTGGAAGTGCACGGTCTGCGCCACCGCTGTTCCCTCCCGCTCCGTGGACGGCCGCACCGGGCCGCAGGACATCACCGAGTCCTTCCGCGCCGCATGGCACCAGGCCGCCAACATCCTCCGCTACAAGGTGTGCCTTGCAAACTGAGAAAATTGCTCGCTAAATCCTGCAGCATGCATGCATGAGCACGCATGTAGAAAGCCAGCAAAGGCAAATCCGAGGCCATCAGATAGACTCTTGTATGACTCACACCTGTAGTAGTCTGAGTCTGCAAGCATCCATTGCTTTGCAGCATCTGATCGTGGTTATGAGATCCAAGAACTGGGGTAGAGTTTGTGGGGGAGGGTGCAGTGGCGGTGCGCGCTCCTCTGGGTACAAGAAAGGTGGCCATAAAGTGCTAGCCCGTATTAAGGCCAACCCGGATAATCTGCATTGATGGGAAGAAGCAGCGAGCAGGCTTTGCCTTATGCTGCTGCTCACAGATTGCCCACACGGCCGACAGGGCAAAACTCATTATCGGGTGGTAGGCTTGCGCTGCAGAGGGCTGAGTCCCATAGCATACAGCAGTAATTGCGGGAAATGAAGGCACTGCGCAGTTTGACAAAACATTTAATATGCGTCCAGGGGCATGCGGCGGGGCGGCCGGTGTTTGAGGCAGTGTTGGCGCGCGCTGAGGGTGTACTGCATCCCATGCACGTCAGCGCCTTCGACTCACTGATGCCGCTTGTCAACTGCTGCCGCTCGGCCGGCGACGGCGCCGGGGCGAGCCGGCACCTCGCGCGCATGCTTGACACCATGGAGACTGTCTGCGGGCTGCCCACTGTCGAGGTGCGCCCAGCTCTCCTTGTGCCAGGGGACTCGCATTTTCAAGATACAAGTCCCCCTACTAATGCAGGGCAGGAAGTCTTGGTAGACTCTAAAACCTTCCGTGTACAGTTTTGGTGAAGCACGGTGTGACTCCTGTAATTGGTTGGGCAGCTGTATCTGGTTTCTGAGTTTGCTGTACTATGTGTCACTGCGTAATAGGCAGCTTGCAGAGGACATCTTTAAGGTGATGGTCTATGATGCGAATCATTGCTGCAAGGCAAAGCCTGGCATTGAAGGTTGTTACCATCAGAATGTCGTGGCAGAGGCTCTGATCAACGTGTCCATGGGAGATTGGCGCTGCCATAACTTTTGCAGCCGATCCCTTGGGAATGCATGAAGAGAAGCAGGGTGGAAGTCTTCCCTTTTCCTTTTTAAGACACGCTTGAGGGGGTGAATGAATGGCAGGTGGGCAATCTGTACGATCTGCTGGGTAAGATGCTTGCCGACCGCGCCAACTCGGTGCCGGCTGCGCTGCGTGCGCGCGCCAAGAAACAGGTCTGCCGCCCTGATTGCAATAAGCAAGCTACTTTTGATTTCCATAATGCCGGATATTATGGGTAATAAAATGCATCAGTGGGGACAAAAGATTCATGTCTTGGTTCCATGGACTTCCATTGGCCAATAAGCATACAACCAATGAAATCAAAAAAAAAATCCGGGGTCGGCCCTTGGGTAATGATAAAGAGCATCAGAGGTGACAGTTTACTCTGACGCGTGAATGGAGAGTGAATCTGGGAGACGACCCTGCTTGATTTCTTTGTCATCCCAATGCGTGCCAGCCGAGTGCTGCGATCCCCTTCTCTAAATACTCATCATGGCAGAGTTTGAGATTATTCTGGCGCAGCCCATCCCTTTGGACTGATGGCAGATTCTGGTTGTCTCTTAAGGCCCCTTTCCTACATGCAATGAGTGGTGGTCACCAAAGAATACCTTCTTGTGTGGCCTTCAGTAATCCCTGATGCAAGCGTGGTGCTGCAGCTGAGCATGTGTTTCTGTTATGACCTGCAGGCGAAGGAGGCATGGGCTCGCGCGCTGGCAGTGTGGGCTATTTCTCTCGGGGAAAAGCACGAAAAGTGCGATGACCTCAGATCCCGCATGAAGCTGCTCCGCTGATGTCAGCTGATGGCGTTTTGCATGCAATGCGGAAGTTTCAGAACAGAAAGAGCCGCGTATCAGTTTTTCTGCCAGCAGGAGAGAGGCCTGGTGAGTGCCGTGGCTATAATAAGCCAATGTTAAGGGTGCCCTTGCTGTGTACAAGTCCTTTCTCTCAAGTAGGTGTACGTATTGAAGAGATCTCTTATAAGGAGGTAATCAAGGTCTGGGCTGCGGCTGTGCCGCATGCATAATGGCCTTCACAGCAAGATGCCGTTTCAGTCCAGATGTATGCTAATGTTCTGGTTGCATGGACACATATTGTGATCAAGATTGTAAATTAGCGTTCGACACTTGGGTGACATCAGCACTGCATGCAGACCACGTGGGTTTTAATATCATTGGACCCTGGTCTGGCAGATGTGAGGAGGCTACGGAAGGCACATTCTCTGCCTTTGGACCTTTGTCCACACCTCGTAACTGACACAGATGCTTCGAAAGAATTTGATTCGCTCCATCTAGGTATCGAGGCGACTGCGTAAACAGTTACAAGCCAGCATCGAGATACCACATCCCCACGAGTGCACTGCAAATAAAAGCTTCAATTTGCTCTCGTACAATCATTGCAGTTGACGAGGCACTTGAGTTGAAGCCCCGGATGTATCATACGGTTGTCCCCTCCACATCTATCTGCAAACTGACTCCAGGAAAATGTGGATGGTAGCCTACATTGGCCTGCACGCAGCTACAAGCACAGCTTCAGTGCACTGGCGCACTGAAGCCATCCTGGAACAAGGACTCTGGACACACGTCTCTAACAATTGATGCACTGAACACACCACCAGCAGCCATGTAATGTGCAGTGGCAATTAGAACCCCCACACTTACACCTAAACCCTGCGGCTGGCATCATGATAGCACAGGCACGGCTACGACTGCATGGCAGATCACATCAGCTTGTAATTCGTGGCCTGTGAAAAGCGGCCACGAGCACTGAAGGGTCTTGAAAAGCAGCGGCGCTGAGGCAAGCCTGCCCTGCGACTGTGGCTGCTAGTGCTGCTGGCATGTGCGCTGGGGCGCCGCATGGGCAGCGGGCTGCAGCGCTCCAAGCTGCGCTTCAGGTAGGCCAGATCGTGTTTCTGCTCTATGAGCTTGCCTGCCGGGCCTGCTGGGTCGCTGATGGCACTCTTCAAAATTGTGTTCACAAAGGCGGGGTAGGTGACCTCGCCCGTCTTTCCGCCCCAGCTCAGGTCCACAAACATAATCTGCTCAGCTACCGGGCGCAATGCGGACGCACTCTGATCCGCGTCCACATCGGGCTTCCCAGATCTGCAAGGCAATCAGAGCATTTGTGAGCTGTCCCACCCACAGCATGAGTCATAGGCGGGATTTGACAGCCCAGGATTACTGCCAAGACTTGTCAAAAGGCCCAATGCTTGCGCTCAGGGTGTGCGCATACATACAAAAAAAAACCCGCAGTTTTGCAATGACTGGTCCAAAAACATATAAGCACAAACCCCCTGAACATATGGATGAAGACCTCTCTTCACGGAAGCATTCTGAATTGTGATGAGGGTGGGATTCATGACATGCTTCCATCAATTCCTTTTTAAAGCAGTAAATTATCCTAGCTGCTTGACTTGCTGCTCAGGGGCCAAGGGCCAAATTCCTTGCGCAGGTAAGCCCAGTTTAGCTTCCACCTTCCCATGGGTGTACATGTTGGGCCAAGTCATACCTGATGTACACATTGTAGGGGTTGAGGTCGCCATGCACTGCGCGCCCCCCGAGGCATGCATGCAGCTGCACCAGAGCATCGTTGCACAGCTCCTCAAGGCCCCTCCACTCGCCTGAGAACCGGCCTAGGGGCTCCCATCCATCGTCGGGATCCAGGTAGGCCATCCGTATGACCTCCACGCCGCCGGGGAACAGACGCTCCCCGTCCAGGAGCTTTGGCGCCAAGCCGAGAGCCGCCAGCTCGTCATGCAGGTCCCAGGGGTATGGAGTGGACTGGACCTTGGCCACAAATGGCTCCAGCTCGCTGCTGCTGTCCTTGGGCATGCTGAGGTACACGTGCTTGTTCTCTACAAGCCGGGTGATGTTGTTTCTGCACCAACACGGCTGTCAGCTCAGCTCAGTGCACTCCATTCACCGGGCACTGAACTGCAGGACTGTGCATGCCAGAAACAATTTGTCGTGGCCATGTCATTGTCCCAGCTCATGTGAGCGTCACTCATGATGTTCAAGAAATGCGCTAGCAACACCCGGCAGAATAGATTAGGAGCAGTGCCAATGCATTCCTGCACAGTTCTGCACTGGCATACTAATAACTCTTCAACTACCCTCGGGCACAGCCAGGAGATGTAATGGCCAACCCCTCGCATGTTTGATGTTCAGGTGCCCCCGTTTGATGGAATTGCATCATGATTTGCTGGAGGGATTCCCGCACCCAGGGTTTTGAAGCATGTACGGGATGCCGTCTTGCAGCTGCTCAGCACGGATGTGCTTCGGTTTGGGGCCGGGCTTCTTTGGCTGCAAGTGCATGTTCACCTCATCGCAGAGGTCATCGGCGCACTCTGCCACGGCCTGCAGAACGCCCATGAGGTACTCCATGTACTGCGGCTGGGCCACCCGAAGGTCCGCAAAGTGCAGCCAGGGCGTCAACGGCTCACAACTGACGCGGTCTGTGAAGTACAGAATGTGGACCCTGCAGCCAACAAATGCAACAGCTCAGCCAGCCACAAGATGCCAGGCTGGACCAAAGTGGCCACTCCTGCCAGAATTAATAATATGCACCAATGTGGCTCTTTATGGTATACAAAAAGAATATTTGAGATCGTACACTAAATTCCACAGGGAGGTTTTGAGATGCTCCAAATCACACGGTACTGGACACAATAGACGACTCCATCAGTCTTTCAACAAGCCACATGCCACCCACATCAGCGAGCACATTGATGAGCATTAGATATCCATGGAAAAGCGCTGAAGAGGCAGGCAAGAGATCAGTGTGTACAAGAGCATGCATGAAGGAATATAAATACACCTGAAACCATGGCCGATGACCTCCAGGGCGAGCACAGGGTAGAACGTCTCCAGAACGACAGAATCGTTCCGACTGCGCACGAGCATTTTGCCGTAGTACGCCCCCAGCTGCATGATGGGGCTGCCACCACCCCCGCCGCCGAATTCGTCTCTACCCTCAAGTATCATGGCAGAGACTCCAGACAACATGCCGTAGCGGCCGCGCAGCCGGCCCGTGCCATCGGTTTGGAAATTCCCCTTCAACACCAATGAGTCAAATCAGGTTGCTAGACATTATCATAGATTTTCTTTTTACCTTTTGGACATGAAGTAAATAAACTGACAGCAAAGTCCAAATACATTAGGATGCTGCCAAATCCTCAACGATATAGAGTCATAGTATAGTAACACAACGGCATTCAATCTCACATGTCGTCAAAAACATTCCCCATGCACTTGCAAACATCACAATGGCATGATCCCCGTATTCGAGCAATTGGTTGCCAGAGGGCTGAGTCACCCTCACCTCGGATGCCATTGAGGGCTCAAGGCTGCTGAAGCGATTGGTCTTCGTCATCTTCTTCTGCAGGAAGTTGAGCATGACAGCCCTAAATTGCTCCATCATTTCTGCCTCTCCCTTCGGCTCAGGCCCCTGACCGATGTGGTCCGTTCCCAGGTACGGCTGGAGGATTTTGTGTGCCTCCTTGGTGTTTAGGTTCATGTATGAGGCGCTGAGGACGCGAACGAAGGCCATGAGTGCCTCTGACGTCACTGTGTCAATCTTAGCATACTGCATCCGGTCCAGAAATTTACCCGCCGCACGCAACGCATACGATGCTGGCAGTCCCTGCAAGCGCATGCAGCCATCAAAGCCAGCAGTGGCAATATGAATGCCACAAATTGCTGCCAAGTTCCACTGGCGGCACTGCTAAAATCATCTAAGATGGCAGTAGGAAAAAAGCAAATTCCCCATGTTATTGGTACAGAGACAAGGCATGCGTCAGTATCAGTGAATAACGAGCTACAGTTTACAACTTAGGTTGAATGATCTGGGCTGTCACAACAAGGCAAAAGCACGACATGTGAGAAGACAGTGGATCTTTGTGCTACCCAACCTGAGCGGTGTGGGGACGGTGGATGTTGAAAAGCGGCTCAAACGATGCTTCGTCGTCCAGGGAAGGAACAGGATACTGGAATGCTGGCCAGACCTTCGCAAATGAGCTGGGTGGCGGCATCCCAGACTGCAGAACTTTGTAGTAGTCGCTTTCCTCAGACTCTGTGTCTGTGACAAGCACACTGGTGTCAATGGAGGATTGCAGCAACCCAATGCATGTAGCAAGACTACCATCCTTACCATCCTTGCTCGCATCCTGAGAGCCGGTCATTGCACCAGTCATCATCTGGGCGCCAGCAAGGGCCTCACTTGCTGGGGTAATCAGCTGCGTCTGCAGGGCCATCCGCTCCCAGGCCTGGCGCAAATCCTTCTCATATGCGACTAGCCGAGCCTTCTCCTCTGTGTAGCTGTCTATAAATTTCTGGGGCTTCTCGTCCTCAATGGCCTTTTCTATCTTCTTCTGCTGCTCCCCAATCTGCTGCTGAGTATGCTGCACCTCCGACCAAAGCCTGTCTATTGACTGCTGCGCCATCTGCACAGCATTCCAGTACATCCGTTGGCACACTGCGCAATTTGCTGACACTTCAATTTGGTCGGCGCAGGTTGTTTGCACTCTCTTATTATGATCAATTAGGCACGCCTCTCAAGCACCATGCACTATGCAAAGATGAGGTGATTGCACTGAAATCGTTCAAGACAGGGCAATTGGTTTGCAGCACACAATCAGGAGCACAGTACCTGTGTAACTTCTTGAGCAGACTCCTTGCCACGGCTTCAAATAGGAACAGCCTGCAAAAGGAGGAGACTTTGTGAAGCTGACAAGTGGAGAGGGAACACACACTTCTCATCGACATGGATGTGAAAGTATAAGCTGAGACTCTCCACCTGCTTGAACATCCCTTCTGCAAAACAGGGCTTGCAAAAGAATACACATAGGCAAAGATACAGACTGGATGAAGAAAGAAGAACAACACCAAGACAGAATAGACGCTTCTGAGACTGAACAAACAAATATTGATTGGCATAACGCCATCAGGTGGTTACAAAGGCGTCGAAAATACATTGACGGTCTCAGAGCTGTGCACAAAAAGTGCACTCTTTACAGGAGAGCATACGGCGAAAGCAACTATCGGACACCTGTCGGTCCCTCAAGAGGCTTATTGAACCAGAGTCTGAGAATACTGGAGGAGAAAGTGAATACCTGGAGTCTGATAAGTCACCCGTCTGCTGTCTCTGCCCAGGCCAAAGCCTGTGCGAAAATTACACAAAGAACCAGCCTTGTGCAGTAAATGAAGATACGTGGACTTCGAATGTCATCTTCATGTAACCACAGCCTTTGGAGTTCAGAGGAATATGTCTGCACACAGTGCAACAGGTGTCCCCGTCCGTACTGGAAATATTAGTCTGGAATGTGTAGGCGCCTCAGGCAGTCGTTCGTTGAATTATGGCCCTGTGGCTAGTTCCCCTGGCAGGTAAATCAAACTAAATTAAACCAGGGGGTTCTATATCTAACCCCCTGTTTATTTGGCGCCAGCCGCCCTTGTGGCTGGCGGCCACCGCTGCATTTGTTTTGAGGTAGCCATAGGTGGCTGATTCAAGCTCGATTTGAATTTCCTGCAAGTCCAGTTTTCTGTTACACGGACCAGGATTGTATAAATTGCATGCCGAGCACATGATGTGCTCGGCATGCAATTCAATGCAATGCAAAAAGGCAGTCAGATGAGCTGACTGCCTTTTTGGCTTTAGCGCCGCGCATCCTGACCTAACCCGGAGTGACCTTACTGGCCCCACAGAGTTGCGGGCTGCAGAAGCGGAAACGAGTGACATTGATAAATAAATTGCAGCCTGGGCAGAAAAGGGAGTCTAATCAGCCCGACGGATGCCATGCTGGCTGCTGCGATGGAGCCTTGTTTCCTTTCATAATGGAATGTGTGAAGCTAAGTCTCAAGTATTGACATCACCTGTGGGAGGGTGTGAAGGGAGTCTCTTCCTCCCTGGGTAGCTTCAAAATGCACAAGCGCTTGCAGTGCATCTTCTGTGACTGGAACGTGATCGGTGCTGACATCAAATCCCTTACATCCTCAGGCTATCTGAGCTCCCAGATCGTTATTTATTGCTGCGCTCCCAAATCGTCAACCGTCCATCATGTCTTTGTCTGAATCAGCCAGGCAGCACAGGCTGTTGCCGGCCGCATGTCGCACCATGATTCCCTTGCAGCAGGGCTGCTCAAATCTTCCCTCTGAACGCAAACATGCACACCACCGCTCTAGGTACAAACAGCTACAGGTGGCAGGAGCAAGGCACCTATACGTCCTCCTAAACCTTCAACAGTATTCTGGTTTGGGAAAGCAGGCGTTTCAATAGCATTGTACAATCATGCGCGTCTGACAGCAGCCGTCTCTGAGTGCAGCACACACCCAAAATGTCACGGTCACGGTGCATCCCCAGCATGACTTCCGTCTCAGATTGTCTGCATGCCCCTCTGGACACTCCATCATACAGATATCGGTCTTGGCATCAACCCAGCTCAGCTCAGCTGAGCGCTCAGGATGCTGGACCGCTGTCAGGACCTTGACATCATACGTACACATACATCACATGCTAAGCACTCCTGCCAATCATGGTGCAACAAAAGTGCTGGCTGAGAGGAAGAGCAAGCATGCACTCAGGCAGCTTGCATAAATTTTTTTTATAAACTCACCAGCTTTCCGCAACATAGGCATGACTGAGCACTTTAGGGCGCTGCAAGCTCTGATTATAATGGTCTGACTGGCTTCAACACTTCTAAAGCCTTATCTGAATGAACCCTCACACGGCCGCTGCTCCCTGGGGAGCCAGAGTGCAGTGGCAATGCCTTTCCAAAACACGGGCCCGCAGGCGACCAAGCGGCCAGCGCTGACTGCTCATGCACCCGGCGATAAACACCCGCCCATAATCTGCTCCTGAAGAACTCAAGATGCAGCGTTTGCGGGGCTCTGTCTCTGGCTGGCATGCCCAGGACACCCTGCACTCAGGATGCCACGGCGATGCCATCGGAGACAATGGGCATGCCCAGAACGACGTCCTTGTTCTGCGCATCCTCGAAGACCTCCTGGTCAGGGCTCAGCACATAGCCGAAGCCCTTGGACTTAACGTCCATGAACCGCGCAAAGGTGATGCCCGGGTACTTCTTCTGCGGGCCCTGGATGACATCCTTGTAGCGGGGCCACACAAAGTAGCCCATCGAGTACCTCTCGCCCTGCGTGGAATAATGCCAGGGGTCACATCACATGCCGCATGTCACCAGTCTGCACGACCTCTATCTATGACATTATCTACCTGGCACTGTTCAGTGCTATGCTCAGTATAGAGCTCCGGCGAAGCACATCCGTAGGGCTGCTTGCCAACGGTGCACATGACAAGAACAGGTAGCGCTGCCGCGAGACTGGAAGCAGAAATAGCGAACTGCAGAGCCCCTTAAAAGCAGGAATTGAGCCTGATGACAGAGAGAGGACTGCAGTGCACTGTGGGCTCTGCAGGCTTGGGCATGATAAAGATAGCCAGTGCTGTCTGGAGACAGGAGGGCTGGAGAATGCTGAGGTATATCATGCTGCGGCATCCTTGGCCTTTAGAGCAAACAATGAAAGCCTGCGACGCACCGCGGGCTCGCCGGGGTTGGGCATCCTGACGCGGTGGTAGTTGGACTTCAAAATGCCGTCGCTCCAGGCCTGCAGGGAGTCCCCGACGTTGACCGTGATGCACCCGGGAATGTGGGGGCATGGATGCCAGGAGTCCACCTGCACACGGGCACTCTAGCCTTCAATTATCACTATTATTACACGCCTATCCAAGCCACAGTAGGCTTAGGTGCGTCGCAGCAGCGTTTCTATGACAGCCTTCCAACTCGGCCTATCTTGGCACCTTTTCCACCATGTCAAGCTCAGCCCAAGTCTGGCCTTCAATACGCATGTGTAAAGCCTATGCCTGCGTTGGTGCTCTCAACAGGAAGGACGCAGCCTGTCAAAGTGCTGCACCACATTGGCCCAGTTCTCTGCCTCTGCAGGGGGTTCCTTTAAAAGAAGATGCCCTCAGAGCTTTCCGTTGCTCATCTGAGGCAGGATGAAGAGGTTGTTAGAAGGCTCTTGCAGGCTGACTGTCGGCGTTGGCAAGCCTTAAAAGATGCTGTGAGCTGGAAGTGGCGTGTGGCGCAGGCCTTGCAGTAGCCCTGCTGCCAGTCCATACAACTGTGCACCAGTTCTCAGCACAGCTGAAGGGTTTACCCTTTCAGTGGCCCTGTTGCCTTTTCATAGAAGAGTGCACCACTTTTCAGCACAGCAGAAGGTATATATGTTACCTGGTAGTGGCCCGTCTGGCTGTCCACAGCCTTGCCATCCTTGCCGGCTGCCAGCTCTAGGCCCGCCGAGCCTGAAGACACATCGCACTTCATGTTAGTCAGGGAGCGGCCAATGCAGCGCATCTGGGCTGATGAAGAGGAGGGTGGTGATGATCTCATCAGAATGCGCAGTTCATGACATCGCGCCGAGCTCACAAAAGAAGGAAGTAGCCACAGAGAGGGAGCGCTGCAGCACGCGCACCTGGGCTGGTGAAGAGCAGGGTGATGAGGATCTCGCCAGTTTGTGCAGTGATGTTTGGTGCCTTGCACTCTCACAAGGTTCTACAAGCTCGACTTCAGCAGAGCATGAAGCAAGCAAATTACGGCACAGCAACACACCTGGGCTGGTGAAGAGCAGGGTGACGAGAGTCTCGTCGGTGTGCGCGGTGATGCGCTGGGTGTCGGGCTTCCAGGTAACGCCCTCGGTGGGCGGGTAGTAGTTGACCACAAACACGCTGTAGTTGTCGGGGTCGTGCGGGTTGGAGGCCTGCACGCACATCCCCAGGACTCAGAGTGCGGCTCAAAGAACAAGGGCCCATGATGGAAGATCCTGTCCGCCATATGCGCTTCTGTCTCGCTTGTCTTGCTTGCATGCAAAGATGTGATGCAGTCATTGCGGTCAGAAGGAATTGACCGGGTGGTGTCCATCCCACCACAGCCTAGCAGAAGAAGGGAGGCAAGCATTGTGCTGTCTGAGAAGAGGATGAGCACCTCCTTGAAGAAGTCCTCGGGGTAGCCCAGGCCCAGCGCAATGCAGGACAGGATGCGATTGTACACCGATGGCATGGCCGCCATGAACTCCTTGGTGGTAGACCTGCAGCCACCGCACCACCCATCAGGCCCCACCAGGGTCAAAACCACGCACTTGAGTGTATATCTTCATCAGCAGGCTGCCTTCCAGCGGTGGTCTCTAGAGTGCAACAATTGGCCGTGCTCCTATTGAGACAAGCAGCGTCCCCGCTGAGAAGTGATGTCAGGGAATTGTCGCTTGGGTAGCTTTTGCAATGCAGCACTCTGCCGGGATGGAGCGCATGCAGCAACATGTGTGGCTGTCAGGAGAACAGGCTGGTCGTGAAGCGAGCGGGAGCATACTTGAAGCCGGGGAGGAGCTTCTCATCCGGGTAGGCTGTGTCGGCCACCTTGTGGGTCTCCCACCACTTGAAGTGGCCCTCGCGAACCACGCCCTCTGGAGGTGCAACACCGATTCAGATGGAACAGCCAGCACAGCAATAGGCTGCCATAGGGCATGCAATACAGGAGGATGTCATATGCGTGTCTGACTGCACAAGCCATGGCCTGATGGGACACAGCTACATTTTGCAAGCTGAATGTCGATCAGAAGTCACATACTGGCCACTAGGAATACTTGTAATGCAGCATGTGTCTTCAATTGTGACGTAAACGTGGAGGTAACGCCTGTGCTGAAGTCACAAAAGACTGCGCTCGTGATTACAAAGGAGAGCGAAAAGAGTAAGTGACATACCGCTGACCCTGTTGCCAATTTCGTGGCCCAGAAGCTCGTGCTTGGCCCAGTTCACTTGCGGCAGGTCGGCCTTCACATCCGCCGGCAGGTCCTTGAAGTACCTGATGGACCGGAGGTAGCGCTCAGGCAATGAATATCACAATGGTATCAGCCTATCATATCACGTCATTTCAGCCTGTCAAGCAGCTGAATATGGGCTCGGCATACCTGGAGTTGACTTCAAACTCACGGTCGATCAACGACTGCTCGACACCTGTGGGGGTACGCCATTTATTATCCCGTCGCAAACTCTTCCAAGCATGCGGAGCAGATTTTTCAGGCTTCAGAAGCCTCCACTCGTTCACGTTTGTTGGCAGGACTATTTTGTGTGACAGGGCATGATATCGGTAAGGAGACGAGAACTGCTCATACCATGGTCTCGGACGTAGAAGAAGCCTGCGCGAAATGTCAACAGTTAGGCACACTCAACACGACAACCCCGTCAGGATTGCGCACTCAATTGCGGGACATCAGCCTCTCCAAGCTGAAAACCTAGTTACCCTGGCGCACCGTGAAGCATAGAGCCTCCAGAGCCATCCGACACAACAAGCACACCAAGACACCTTCTCTAATGCCCTAAGCCACTGCTGATACCGCGAAAGGCGCCTAATGTGTAGATGTCAGAAACCTTGCCGGTGGCAACTGGTTTGGTGTAAATCGCAATGGCCGCCCTCATGCGCAGATGCGAGACACGGTACATGAAAGCTTACCACTGGTGGTGGCAGCATGCATGAGCTGCTGTGTGATCTCCTCCTTCCGCTCCTCAAAGTTCGCCAAGGAGATGACGGGCGGGTGAGCCCCAGCTGGAACAGCAGCAGCAGAAGCCATCCTGGTCCTTGTCTCTCAGTGGAAGATAGAAGGATATGAAGAGCTTCGCTGAGTCTTGTAGACAGAATGTGCTGCACTTTGCAGTTCAGCTGAGTGAAACCCCAAATTCGTATACGCAGGCTCCAGATTTCGATGGGGCACACATGGGGTTGTCCCGGGGGAGCCCTCAAGGCGAGTAGTCACCTTTACTCCAGGGTTGCGTCATCCTTACTAGCTACACATTCCAGTACGGACGGGGACACCCGTTGCACTGGGTGCAGACGTATTCCACGGAATTTTGAACGCTGTGGTTACAAAAACATGACATTCGAACTCCACTTATCGTCATTTGCTGCACAAGGCTGGTTCTCGGGGTAATTTTCGCACAGGCAGAGACAGCAGAGGGTGGCATATCAGACACCAGGTATTCACTTTTCTCCTCTAGTATTCTCAGGTACTGGTTTAATAAGCCCTCTTAAGGGTCCGACAGGTGTCCGATGGTTGCTTTCGCCGTATGCTCTCTTGTAAAGAGTGCACTTTTTGTGCACAGCTCTGAGACCGTCAATGTAATTTCGACGCCTTTGTAATCTTCACAGCAACCACCTGATGGCGTAACGCCAATCGATCTCTGTTCAGTCTCAGAAGCGTCTATTTTGTCTTGGTATTCTTCTTCTTTCTTTATCGTCTGTATCTTTGCCTATGTGTATATTTTTCAAAGCCTTGTTTTGCAGCAGGGATGTTGAAGCTGTGAAGAGTCTCAGCGTATACTTTCACATCCATGTCGATGAGAAGTGTGTGTTCCCTCTCCACTTGTCAGCTTTCAAAACTCTCCTCCTTTTGCAGGCTGTTCCTATTTGAAGCCGTGGCAAGGAGTCCGCTCAAGAAGTTACACAGGTATTGTGCTCCTGATTGTGTGCTGCACACCAATTGCCCTGTCTTGAACGATTTCAGTGCAATCACCTCATCGTTGCATAGTGCATGGTGCTTGGGAGGCGTGTCTATTTGATCATTATAAGAGAGTGCAAGCAACCTGCGCCAACCAATTTGAAGTGTCAGCAGATTGCGCAAGTGCCAAAGGATGTACTGGAATGCTGTGCAGATGGCGCAGCAGTCGATAGACAGGCTTTGGTCGGAGGTGCAGCGTACTGAGCAGCAGATTGGGGAGCAGCAGAAGAAGATAGAAAAGGCCATTGAGGACGAGAAGCCCCAGAAACTTATAGACAGCTACACAGAGGAGAAGGCTCGGCTAGTTGCATATGAGAAGGATTTGCGCCAGGCCTGGGAGCGGATGGCCCTGCAGACGCAGCTGATTACCCCAGTAGGTGAGGCCCTTGCTGGCGCCCAGATGATGACCGTTGCAGCAAAGCTGTGCTGTAGCCGCTGCTGTGCTGTGTGCAACTAGGCTGTGTTGTGGACTTCTTGAGCTTCCAGCAGACCTATTCAGAGCCACACAGTGTGTCCATACTGTACTTTAAATGCTGGTTGGCAGCACACATGATCAACACAGTCTGCACTTGCACTGGGTAACAGCCCGCCGCAGAGCATCGCGTGGTCCATTTGCAACTAGACGGTTGCCACCACGTCTGCCCTTTGTAGTCTTACAAGAGGTTTGTTTGTGTGTGCCACTCTTGTTTTGCCTAAGCTGTTTACCGCTGCTGTTGCTACGAGTGAGGGACCAAACGGGTGTACTTGAAGGTCTTATAGTCAGCGACCGTTTGCAAAAGCGGCCTTTGCAGGTTGCACTTGCCACCTTGTTGCTGTGCACTGTGTGGCTGTCCTTGCTGACCTCGCGCTTGCTGCAGCTTAGTTGAGGTCCACTAGCACAATGCAGCAGCAGCTAGATGGTAACAATTGCTTTGTCGCGTGCAGGGTCACAAGAGCCTCCACTGAAAAAAAGCAAACGTAAGTGGTTGGTCATGCTTGCCACAATTGCACACCCACTGCCTTTGCCTGTCGTCCAGGGCATCATCAAATACTCCATGCCCTTTGTGTTGTTGGGGATGTTGCAGGCGATCCAAGCAAGGTTGTGGCTGATCTTGTGGGTCCGCTGCCCTCTGGTTGGCCGCTAGGAGGCTTGGTGGGCTTAATCACAGAGAAGGTTCCCCGCAAGCTGCCTGTTGCGCCCTGGCTGTATGCGGCACTGATCGATGAGGATGCAAGCGTGTGGCAGGACAAGATCGTCCCACTTGATGGAAAACTGGCCGCATGTGTGACTGACCGTGTGGTCAATGTAAGTGTTTTCAAAGCCTAATCATGCCTGCAGCTGATGGTACAAACATCTCGTTCCTTGGCCACCGGGACAGCTGCTCATGAGTTTCAATCCCTATGATCAACTGCTTTGCAATGTGTCCTGTAGGCGCAGTCAACAGACGGCAACGAGCAGCTCACAATCAGTGGTGGATCAGAACGCCTCATTGGTCACTTCATGCAACGGCTGGCCGAAGCGGCGGGCGATGGCTACCAGCTCAGCTATCAAACGCATCGGGATGCAACAGTATCATTTTCACGCTCAGCAGCATCTGCGGTCGAGGCAGGCACTCGACCTGACTGCAGCATCATTGTGGCGCTTCGGCATGCGGTCACAGGGCAAGACGAGGTGACTTGCAGCCTATATCTTGTTGACGCATGTGCTCTGACTGCACACACATACTGCCCTTGTTTGCCGGGCGTTGCCAACAGCAGCATACTTGACCAAATGTGTTTCCCTGTTGTTTACAGAAAATGAGGCCGGCAAGGGTCGCGTCCAGTGTCTCAATGTGATGTGATTGCAGAAGCAAGGCGACTTCAACTCTGCCTATGATGACATTGTGAAAAAGGCTGCGGTCTGCAATGTTCGGCACTACGCCCCTGTAGATGGCACGCTGGCGTATGCTGCGGCTGGCAACTACCTCCAGTTTTTCTGTCTGAATCTGAATGGCGAGGTGAGATCTGTGGTAATGAACTACATATGCAATATCTATGATAGTTTGCGCGAGGAGATCCTGAGCGACACTGCATATACGCGACTGTGTATGCAGGTCACATATGAAACCCAGCAGTTTGACATCAGCAATCCCGTGCATCGCGCGGAGGTGTTGTTGTGTGTTGCTGCCATGTTCCGGGCTTTGCTTGTGATGGGCAAGTGCTGGCACGCAAACCCAATCAAGGCAGAGGACGCGGAGAATGTCTGGCATCTCCGGGACAGCGGTTGCCATGTCATGCATTCTATCAACAAGAGTGGCCGCAGGTCAGTCACCTTGCTGCGATTGGCTGCTATTGCTGCTTATAAGAATATGCATTTAAAGGGTGGAGGCCAAGTTAAAGACTGTTGGCCTCATCAACCTGCGCCAACCACCATGCACACACCCTCAAGTTGTATGCTTCTCAGCCTATGTGAGGTGCAGGTTCCTGAAGGACTGGAGTACCAAGATCTTGATGCCTACCTGAAGGCCAACTTCACCGAGCTGGTCACCTTCAAGGCTGTGCATGATCTCGGCAATGACAAGAATGGCTCGCCATCTGCAACACTGGTCGTGACCAAAGACAAAGTGCATGTCAACATGCCTCTCTTTGGCCCTGATCTCCTGCATGCCCCGCCGGAGAATGAGCAGGTGTGCTTCATCAGCTACTTGATACATGTGTGCATGGAGTGAACAGAGCCATGACACACCACCACATTCATCACCTGGTGACTGCTTTCCATCGTTCAGTTAGCCAAGTTGGCATGTCATGAGATTGTGCGAAACAGCCTTGATGTTGATATGCATGTGGCAGCTTCTAAGTTCTTTCCCGCAATGCAGTCGTTCAAGGCAGTGGGGCGAGGCCTGCTGCAGGGTCTGAGCATGCTGCACTCAAAGGGGCTGCGCCACCGAGATCCGCGGGCACCCAATGTGGTCTGGCAGCACCCTGTCCGGCGCGATGCGGTCATCTTGGTAGATCTTGATTTGGCGTGCCGCAGCAGCGCAGAATTGCCTGAGGATTTCAGGTTGGCTGACTGGGACGAGGGCACACTGGACGGCACGCGCCACTACACAGCTGCGAGTGATGTGTACCAAGCAGGCAAATTGCTGCAAGCCCTTGCAGCTGACAAGTCCTGGGCTGGATCCGCCAAGCAGTTCTGTGATGATCTCCTTAGTAAGCAACTCACAGCTGTCGATGCGTTGCGGCATAGCTACTTGGCCTAGGGCTTGCGCATTCAACTCATTGCAAGCAAGGTTGTTCGGAGACCCAGCTCCAGTGCTTGCTGTGTTCTACGCTAGGAAACATGTAGACTGCCTTGGACAAGATGAACGGGCAGTTGAAAGGGATTGCTTTGACTCACTTCAACAATATGAAGCTCACCCGGATCAGGTGGAGCACGGGAGTCATGTGTTTTGCATAGCTCCCACGTTTGGGGTGTCACAGACTAGTTGCTGCTTATCTGACCTGAGAATGCTCCTGTTGTACCTGAGTCGGACAACAGGAGCAACCTTTCCAGGATCATGACATGCAGTTGTGACATGCGATAGTGCCTGGATTGTGCGTGCTAAAGCTCTTGCCACTCGAAGACCCAGGCAAGGGGTATGTAGTTAACTTTATTGTATACCCCTTGACCCAGGTACACCAGCTGTCCCAGCAATTGTAAGCACCTATTGCGTTGAGCCAACCCCAGATCGGATCTTCCTGTTGACCGACAGCTCAGCAGCTCCACGTGGGCCTCACCTGCAGCCCCTCAATTGTAACCCTGGTGCTATCGTTACTATCCACCAACAAAATGGTCGTTCGAATCCAGATGCAAGGCTGTTCGTTCGTGTACTGCTGTCCCGAGTACCTGACTGTAACCAGGCCAGCACCCTTGGAGTAATTGTACGACTGCCTTTAATAGGTAACTTGCCTGCAAAACCCTTTATGATGTTGTGTGCAGAGGCCAGACTTCGTGAGGTGCTGATGAAAGGTTGCACGAGCGAGTCGTTGCACTGTGCCAAGTTGCACTTCCGCCACAAGTCCACAGTTGTCAACTGCTGCCTGCAGAATATGCTCGCTGCAGGCAGCAAATACTGTTGCATAGTTGCGCTCTTAAGTGCCTGGTGCCTGCAAAAAACGAAGAGGTGTGTACGTACTATCACACCTCCATAGCTGCTGCCTAGGCTTGCCAGCCCTGCTAGGTCCAGGATGGCTGACCTATCAACTCAAGACGATGCTGCAGGGCCCAGCAGCGCTCGGGCAAAGCCGCGCAAAGCAAGGAAGAAACCACCGCGTGAGTTCAGGTGGGCCTCGTACATACATAAGTTGCTCCAGCAAGTCCACCCTGAACTCCAGGTTTCAACAGACGGTCTGACTGTCCTGTCAGACGCGCTGGACGAACTGATGGAGAGGCTGGCCTCAGAGTGCCAGCACTTGGTCCAAACCAACGACCGGGCGACGCTGACTGCACGGGATGTGGAGGCTGTTGGCGATATGTCTGTTGGGTCTCTGTGGAGTGGCACATCGCAGCCGCCAGCTGCTTCTTGTCTGAAATTGTTAGGCGGTTCCAATCAATAGCAGTTAAGTAGCTGTGGCGCATCAGCGTGAGTCGGCGGCCAAACAGCTCCTGCAGCACGGTGCAACACCATCTGCTGTAGTTCTTGGTCGTGTAAGGCTGGCCTGCCTTCGTCGTGGACAGCCATTTGCAGGGCTCTGCATGCAGCGACTGCCAGATCTCCTGGGTTAGGCTGCCTGGTAGCGTATGCCGCCAGACGCGTTGTGAGCCTGCGGTTTTGAACTCTCTGAGCACCAGCACCGCTAGCTTACTCTTGTCAGATGGCAAGCAGACAAAGTTGCTCTCTGTAACGCTGCGTTCCTGCTCTTCAGTGAGGTCTGCCGCGGATGCTGGGCACATGAGGACTGCGACTCGGTTGAGGTCACAGCGGACGGGCAGAATGCGGCTGTAGCACGACAGCAGAAGGCGCTCCCGGGAGCCGCGGGGCAGGCTGTCGCGCACTCTGATGACCTCGCGGAAGTCAATATAGCCACGCTACTGCCTTTCAGAAGGTGTGTTGCTCTTTAGTCGCATCTGCTGATGGTGTTCGAGCTCATGGGAGGCAGCTAACCAGGCATTTGGGACGTGGCGGTGTTGCTGCTTAGGCATGCGTTTGAGGGCCGCCAGCACGGCGGTGACAAGGTTCTTGCGGGTTGCAAGCTCTGAATACGTAACCTTGACCCAGGGTAGGGTGGTTTGGGGTTGTAAAATCACTCGACTGATCGGCCGCTGCAGGCGGCTGGCCATGGCGGCTAGGCGCTGGGTGTAGGTGAGCTTAAAGGTCTCGGATAGCGTGGCGTCTTGCCAGATGGCGTTCAGGGCGGGGTCTCGGGTGGGGTCCCGGCCAGGGCCTTCGGTGGCTAGCGGGGCTTGACGGGCTGACGGTGCAGGGGCTGGGGGGCCCCTTGGAGGCTGGGGGAATAGCATAGCTCAGCTTACCTATGGTGACGAAGATCTGCAAGAAGAAGATCTCGCAGATCTTTGCCCTAAATTCACAACCCTGTCCCACCCTTGCTGTCGAGCATGTCACAGGCTTGTATAATATCGCAAAAGTTTGCCTATTGAGTCCTCGACAAAGGCAGTGGCACACCCAGCTGCTGACTCTCATAAAGCCCAGACATCTAGGGGACTTTGCGAACTTGCGAGCCACACTTCCATGTCGAACAAAAATCAAGCAAATTTGAGACATGGGAGTGTGCATATGGATGAGTGATTTGCTGTCCCAGCATTGCCATTGTGTTTTGGACATTCATAACGCCTGTGGCATCCAGTATTACACGGTCACAACGCACAGGCAGGGTGTTGCAACTGCAGTGGCTGGAGGCTGACAAGGTGCGTCTGCGGACAAGCTGCAGATAAAGACCCTCAGAACACCAGATTGCTCGCAGCAGAGAGTTTGCATGCAGCAGAACGATGTGCACGTGCATGCGGCTCCTGACAAGAAGGATAGCGCCACTCCATCTGCTCTGTAAACACGTTGTCACCTGCCCAGTGTCTTCAAGAAAGTCCAAGCCAGCCAGCAACACTGGCAGCGCTGCTAGCAGCGCGAGCGGCGCATGCACAACCGCGGGCCATTTCTCCCTCAAAGCCCCCGCCAGTCGATTTGCAACCACCACCAGAAATCCACGGTACCCGGCATGATAGACCGTGCAGTCTATGGCCTCCACAAGAAGGTACAGCCGCCGCCCATAAGGGCTCCAGGCTTTGAGCAAAGCCTCGGCCTCTTTGGGTGAGTAACCATCGTGCAGATCCAGGAAGGAGAGCTGGGAGGGAGGTCCGGTGAAGCCTGTCTGGATGGCTGAGTCAGCCATGGCCTGGCCGATGACTGAGAAGGCTGCCAGGCTGGACAGCGCGGTGGCAAAGCACAGCGCAGCGTAGCGCCAGCTGGCAACGCAGTAGAGCTTGTGAGACAGCAGGGCTGAGTCCCTGAAGTCTCCTAGAAGGTTTGTTGGTATCTGAGCAGCGCAGGACACTGTTTTGATTGGCTTGGCTGTGGGGGCCAGGTTCTTGAGTGGCAGGTGAAATGCTGTGGCTTCAGAAGTGAGAGCCTTTGCTGGCCTTTAACGAGATAAGTTTGATGCCTTCGAGCCACATCTGTGACAAATTTTGTGACGAGGAACTTGGATTGGAGATCCGCCAGCATTTTGTCAGGAGGAGGCTCAGGCTGCAACACACAAAAGGGAAGCGATACGCCTGTGCATTGTGCCTTTTATCTTCGAAGTTCGGTGCATTTGAGCGGTCTAGAATCCTGATAAATCTGAACGAATCCTTCTGCATCGTCGGTTCTGTAATAACGAGAGACACTTATCGGCTTGCGTCATCCTGGAAACGTTACTGAGTAACGCGGCGGTTTAGTAAGCCCGTTTTCTTGGACAATGCAATCCCCGTGATGCTGTGCCGAGGATAGTTTGCCCTTGCAGAGAAAGCTGCAGCTCCTCGACTTATTCCATCGATCATGGCGGCAATACGAAGAGCTGGCGATGCCGTCAACAGCGCCTTTGAACGCTCCATAGTGAGTGTCGCCACAGCTGATCAGTCTGCTACTAGGTTTTAGTCTGAAAGCGTGCACCTTGGCCCCTGCTTCCCACTTACCTGACACAGGAATTTCTGAGTAGATTGATTTGGAAGTCCATTGCATGCATGGCAGCTGACGTGGTCTCTTCTGCAAGTGCAGTTCGGACGATATTTCAAGGTTGAGCAGAGGAAAAGCAACCTCCTGAACGAGCTCAGAGCTGGAACCGTCACTTTCCTGACAGTAAGCCATCATTTTCTGTATCCTTCCGCCAATCCTCCTCCATCTCGTTGGCCAAAGGTGGCCTTCAAACCCAAGGGACCTTGAAAAGGTAGCAGCAAGAGAGGTTTCACTGTGTCTCACTATTTGAAAGAATACGTTGCCCTGTGCAGATCGCCTACATCCTGTCTGTCAACTCCAACATTGTTGCCGAGACTGGCGGCACTTGCTCATCAAATGACTGCACGGTGACAGCCGTCTTAATGCCCTCTGAATTTTTAAAGCCGCCTTACACATACATTCAGATGCAGGAAGCCCTCAGTGTTTGTCACCACTTAACTTTGTTGCAAGCACCCTCTTGCCAATACATAAACACATCATGGCATTAGAAGTTGTCTGAAAAATAATTTGTGACGGCTGCGCAGGGGCCTCTGAAGGGGCAATTCCAGTGCCGATTTGATGGTCCAGATGGCACCAACCCAGGCTACAAGGCATGCACGGTGCGCTCTTCACCTGCATGTGCTCCTTGCTCTGTTTGCCTCATCGCCTGACAGAGATTGTTTGTATGGTGCTTATGGGATGCCCCAGGCTTTTTTTGCTGTGACAGGACGAGGTGCGGAAGAATTTGGTCACGGCGACGGCAGCTTCCAGCCTCATTGCCTGCGCCATCATGGGTAACACTTCCCGCTTCTCAGTGTTTATCACCTTACCTAGCCACACTTGACTGCATGTATGCAATGTGATCTAGTGTGCTCCTGGGTCGGAGCTCCTGTATGTTTCACATATTCCACTTGCACTGCGAGGCCAGCCCCTCCTCCTTACTCTTGGCGCTCGCTCTGCTTTGGGGTCGGCATACAACTTTCTCTAGTTTCAAGCATCCTGCAATGCTTGACCCTCTTGTGTAGACGGGCGCTGCATGTCTGCCTGAGAGCAAGGCTCGTCGATCAGAATTCTCTTTATCTCGAGGTACTTTCATGCGTCATGTGCCATCGCGCAGTAGCGACAATACTGAACTGTTTGGTTGCCTGTGCTGTCCAGGTTTTGCCGCCAACATGCCTCTCGCGCTAGCTCCTGGTAATTTCACACCATCTGCCTTGTTAAGCTCTTACTCATTGTGCTGCAGCTTTTGCAGGCCCCACAAGTAGCTTTTTGCGTGTGCAAAGTTGGGAAGAAGGCAGGGTTTCAAGCAAGGATCTCATTATTTCCTGCCTCAGCTGAAACTTTGATCCTGGGCAAAGAGCACATTGTCTCAGATTTTGTTTGTGGCTGCCTGAACAGGCATGGGCCTGAATGCTTACTTCACCTACAACGTCGTTGGCTACTATGGTACCGGCAATGTGCGCCACTAGCCCTCAAACCTTCTCCCCTCTGCGCAAATTGCCATGCCTGTGATTGTGCCAATAGATAAACGCCCAAAAGAATCGCACTACATCCAGACTGTAAACAGATGTGGTGTAGCAGAACAGACCCGAGGGCAGCTTTTCACATTTTCTGGCTGCATGCAGGTGACTTACCAGGAGGCGCTAGCGGCCATCTTCATCGAGGGCTGGATCTTCATCATCCTGTCTCTCACGGGCGTCCGCCAGGGCCTCATCAGGCACGACCCTTCCCCACTGGCACGTTGAAAGAGCACATGACCCCGAAGTGCCCAGCTGCAGATTCTGGATGACTTTGCACCTCATGACAAATCAGTCAATCGTACTAGAGTTCCTCATGGACAGCGGTTTGAGGGTGCTCTCAGCCTTTGGGCGGCTAGTACAAGAGCAGGCTTATTTTGAACGCCACGGCACTCAAAAGTGAAATATAAATATATCACATATCCCCTGACCAAGGGTGGTCAGGTTGATGAGGGCTCTGCTCGCATGCATGCAGGATGCTGCCGGAGACATTGGCGCGCGCGATGAGCGCTGGGATCGGCCTGTTCCTGGCGTTCATCGGCTACCAGGCATCCGAGGGCATCGGCGTGGTCGGGGGCAACGGAGCCACCCTCGTCAGCCTCGGTAATTGTCCCTTTTAGTTTTTGAAAAGCCAATTCCTTCTTCTTGCAGCGACTGCAGAATGCAGCTTCCGACTTCACAGCAATGGAATGCTACCCGGAAAAATTGTTGGGTCGCTCGCCGCCCGCTGAGCAGTCACCTGCCTGCATCCAGCTGATGCTTTGCCTTTTTTTATTATTATTACATGCTTTTCCTGCCGAAGGCAAGGTGCGTCTGAAGACACGCTGCATGAAAAGGCTGCCAAAATCCTACCCCTTGTTGGACTTGCCAGATCCAAGCAAGACCCAGTCAACACGGTGCTCAGTATTTGTACCACCCCCGCCAGCCGGGGCCAGCCGGCTTTGCCTTACTGGGTGCTGATTTAAGGCACCATAATGTCTGGTGAGACTGCTGTATTGTGTGAAAGCAAAGGCTGTCAAAATGTTCTGACTGAGATGGAATACAAGAATCAGCAGGCATGCTCCTAGCGTGCCCTTTTGCAGTTCAGAGGTCATCACACTGCGCATCTCACTTGCTGGAAATCAAACATGTCACAGCACTGATCTGATTGTTCATTTTCAACTCTCAAACTTCCAATTTCTGTTTTCAACTCCCAGCGTCATGCGCCATGCGCAGGCGGCTGCAACGTGGACGACCGAATCTACCCCTATTACATCGCGGACCCTTCTTCGGTGTGCACCCCCGCCGATCCGGGGGGTCCGATCCCCAACCTGCCCCCCGCCGGTACATCCTATGAGTGCCTCACCAACAAGATGCATTCAGCGCCCATGTGGCTTGGCCTGGGCGGCCTTGCAATAATGACCATTCTTATGGCGCGGAATGTGAAGGCTGCGATCATCGTTGGCATCAGCGTGACCACCATCATCGCCTGGCTGCCGGGGCAAGGCTCCTCCTACCTCGGCCACACCTCCAACATCCCCGGTGAGTGTATCCTACACTGACACATTATCAAGTTTGAAGCTGAAAGACAGTTCTCTGGCAGGTGATCGACTGTACAGAGCACACCCAGTGCACTCCTTTGATGCTGTTCTTAAGAAGGATCCGAATGCTGGGGGTGCAATCTGGCGTGTGAGCTTCTCCATCGTCAATCCTACTGCATGCGGGGTGTGCTCTGCCCAGATTTCTGTGCAGAAAAAAACAGGCAAGTGGCTTGGCTTGACCGACAATGCTGCTTCAGGTTTCAAGCTGACGTGGCTCTGCCAATGTACTCCCAAGTTTGCATTGTCTTCCCTGGCAGAACGAAATCGAAGCAGCGGAGGTTCAAAGTTTGTTGCGCTGCATGCGTGCAGGCGGGATTGGGGGAACGGGGCCTGCCCGCTGGGCTTACTTCAAAAAGGTGGTGGCAGTTCCCAGCCTGTCAAAGACCGGCGCAGTGCTCAGGTGCGGCTTATTTTCTTATTATTCCCATGTTCTAATTCTATCATTCCAAGATGCAGCCCTGTAGCACCTAATGACTATGACTGGGCCAAACTCGTACACATCAGGCGCTTCACGAGTCTGCCTTTGCATGTGTATTGTGTATTGCGCCAACAAACAAGGACGCCCTAGTTTGTGTTGGATTATTCTTGGACTGCGTCAAAAGCAAATCGTCTGCTTGAGGCACTTGTGTAATCACTGCGTGCAGCTTCAGCAATTTCAACAGCGGCAGCCTCTGGATCGCGCTGATAACATTCCTATACGTGGATTTCTTTGATGCAACCGGCACGCTCTTCGCCATGGCCAACTTTCTGAACAACTTCATCCCCGGTGCGCGTTCTGCCTTTCTTTCAGCCCTGCATGCATTGAACTCTCCACAGTTCTCCAAAATATTTGCCTCGCGGTTTCTTTTGTCTGCCTGCCGTAAGGTCAGGTTGTTTCATTCCTTTGAAGCATGATGCATCTACAAACGACCTGCAGCTCTGGTACAGGCAATAATAATCAGGGCCCGTGACAAATTGTTGCCACATGATCGGCCCTTCGGTTGGTTTCATCTTGGATGCCAGCTCAGTCTCCATATGGCTTCTTATTCCATGGTCCCAACGGAAGAGACATCAATAGAGCTGCAGATCTCTGCATGCAAAGCTTCAGCCATATTTCAGCTGCGCTCTTGCTTGTATGCACAGGGTTTGTGGATGACAAGCACAATTTCCCTGGCAGCATTGCTGCTTACTGCAGCGACGGCGCCGGCATTGTCATCGGCTCGCTCATGGGCTCATCACCTCTCACTGTCTTTGTGGGTGCGCGTCTCACTACCCACGACCCTTCCTTTCAATGCTGATTCTGCCACACGCAATGTGCCACAACCCTACACAAATATAGACAGTGTGAGAAAAGTTCACCGTTGCAGACAATCCAGGATGAAAAGGGAGGAATTCTCCACCCCCTATCCTGCGCCTTGTGCTTTGTAGCAGAACATGGCTCTGGGTGCCCATTGGGCATTAGTGTTTTTTGGTGACCAATCCTCGCTCCTGTTGCATATAAACCCAAGTCTTGCAGGTTTGAAGAAAGCCAGTCATCCCCTGAGATGGGCCTGAGAAAGTCTGGGGCTACCACCCGGACGGCCAAGGCCTCCGGGGGAAATGCCTTGGGCCCTCTTGGGACGCCTTAATCTCAGGGCTGATGATGCTTTTGGCCATTTTTCACCATGCAAATATCTTCAGCACTGGAAGCCCCTACTCAACAGAATGCTCTGAGGCATGCCCTTTCTTGTCCTGCAGAATCTGCCACGGGCATCCGCAGCGGCGGCCGCACGGGGCTGACGGCGCTCATGGTTTCCTTCTGGTTCTTTGTCGCCCTCTGGTTCACCCCTATCATTGGTGCGCCTTAGCACTCTGCGCAGTTGAGGCTTTGGCGGTAAGAATTATGCTTGCTACATGATGGAGCGATCTGGATCTGTCAGCAAGCATGCTCTTAAATAAGTTCTTCAATTATGGCCTTTGAAGAGCAAGAAGTCAGAGCCCACGTGAATGTCATGAAAGATTGCTCTTAGCTGCATGCAAGATAATTTGGCAGGACCTGGGAATCGTGTGTCACAACTACAGTATGCAAGGCATGTCCTTGAGGTTTTGTTGCGCGACACAATGTCAAGTTCCTCTCAAATTTTGTACTCACATCACAGAAGGCCTGACTGATATTATGTCATTGTGCCATGCAGCCAGCATCCCGGTGTACTGTACTGGTCCGGCGCTGATTCTGACGGGGGCGCTCATGATGGTAAACATCACAATGATCGACTGGAACGATGTCAACAAGGCAGTGCCAGCCTTTATCACTATCTCAATCATGGTGCGCTTCTAAAGAATCTATCCTGTGCGTCAAAGTGAAATAGTTGAGTGGTCTGAGCTTGCAGGTTGCAGGATGCATTACACTTGCATGCTGCAGATGCTCCAGATCATGTGCCCAGATCACTTGGATCCTGCCACCAAGGGTTCTTGATTGTATATTATTATTATTATTATTATTATTATTATTATTATTATTATTATTATTATTATTATTATTATTATTATTATTATTATTATTATTATTATTTATTTATTATTTATTATTAATTATTAATTATTACACGCTTTTCCTGCCAAAGGCACTGTGCGTCTGCGTTAGTATTTGTACCGTCCCCTGCCAGCCGGGGCAAATGATTGTATGTATGCCGGGAAAATAAGAAGTTTACTGAAAGTATCTCTCAGAGTGACTGACTCGTTGCTGTGCTGTGCTGCAGCCACTCACCTACTCCATTGCCTACGGTGAGCTTTCTAGTCCAATCTTCATTAAGATTGACAGAGTTTTATTGTGATGCCCGCTTGAGGACTGTGCTCCCTAAAATGCTGCACTGCTGCCAGACGCTGATTGCGCCTTGCAGCACACAAAATGACAATTATATCCCCTTGTGCTGCCGTCTAGATCTATTTCATCTTCGCAGGAGCTCTTTCTTGATGCCTTTCCTCCCCCATCAGTGCTGCGCCAATGCTCATGCCCAGTGCACATGCTCCCGGTGCCTGTGCAATAAGAGGGGAATAGAAAGGTGAAAGAATTGCTGCCGCCATGCAGGTGTGATCGGGGGAGTGATTGCGTTCACTCTGGCGCATGTGGTGAAGCTCGTCCTGGATTGGTTGGCGGCCAAAACAGGCTGCTGCACAGGTGGCGCCTCCGGCGCTCCCCTGGAAGCTGCCGAGGAAGTCCACGTCATCGCGCCAAAAGGCGCTTCCACTGCACCAATTACAGTCGCACCACCGGTGAGCCGTTCTCTCCTTGGCAATTCAACGGAAACGGTTTAATCCTGAGGCTGTGCACCTACGTAGGGAAGAATTTTATGGCACCAAGTAAATGTGCCATAAAATGTCGAGAAAAGTCTCGAGCCGCCGGTTGCCATAGCAGCACCGATGAGCCCTACTGTCCCTGGCGGACCTGTGTAGCGCATCATGGTGACATGCATCTGTAACAAGGTCCCTGCCGTATTCAAGAAGATCGTCCCAAGCCGTCGGTCGCCGCCGCCGCGGTGAGCCTTGCGCACTTGATCTATATCTGGCGCAGTTGCTGGGGAATATATTCTGTTGTTTCAGTCACCTAGCTGCAAGTACCCGTTTGTTGTGAGGACTTGCAGAATATAAAGACTGGAGCAAAAAAATGGTAGGCAAAACTTGACTCACCCGGGTCATTTTGAGGCTTGTCCAATACAAATGGTACTGTCAGGGCATAGACACAGCAGGGGATCTGCATCTAGAATGCAGATCCCCTGGACACAGTACATGGTGTGAAGTTAAATTGATATGATGGGTTGTGGCTTGATGACTAACCAAAAAGCGGCATGTGATGGAGGGAATTTTCTGGCAGGTGCAGGACAGCGCTCACGGGGGAGTGGAAATGGCAAACGGGGGTCCCCACAAAGCTATCCTGGATCCATGACACGTCAAGTGTGTTAGCAGTGTGAGGTCCGTACAGAGGCGATAGCTTCTACAGCAAAGGCAGGCTCCTTTGCTTTTCAGTGTACCAGCGGAACGTGTTGATGACTCAAGCCACTGCAGCTAACTCAATTCTAAAGACGCTTGATGGATGTGCCGTTTATTGCTAGGAGCTTCACCGCATGCCACAAAACTCACAATCATTCTTTCTTTTTGGTCAAGCTATCCTTGCGGTTGCTTTTGTCTGGTATTATGCGCACAGATCAGCATAGATATGTTGTTCGAGCGTCTCGACCCAATTTCCTCTTATTTGGGATCACAATTGTATCCATTACAGTGAGATGATAAACTCGACAGACACAGCTTGTGGCTTCTCGGGCAATGGCCCTTTCTACCGACACTGGCACTATCATGATTCATCAAACCATGAGAGTCACACAATGCGCAAGTATGCGGAATATACATTCTTTGCTAGCGAAAGAACTCCTTTCAGGCTTTGTAATTCCTTCACATGCTCAGCAATGAATGACAAGAACACCCTCTGATACACCCCAGACCCACAGCCTGTTGATCTCATCATACAACGGTCATATGTTTCATCAAACAGACAACAAGGGGACATGTAATGATGTGCCCCTTGTGAAGTCAAAGAATAACAAGCCTGTGCTGCTGGTGAAAAGTGTCTTCAGCTCTCAGCCAGCCAAGCGGTGGAATCATCATGCGACAAAAGCAATAAACGAATAAGAATCCGCCACATTTGTGTTTGCATGCAATTACTTAGCTGCCACAGGCAGCTACACAATGGACTGCCCTGCTTTGGACATGGGTAGCACTGGGTTTGCCTTTTCAGCTGCATCCGGCGCCGCAGCCTGCGTGCAAAACAGCTGTCTGAAATGCAGGTTCTCACAGACGTCTCGTCACAATGCGGGTGCAGGTTTGCTGTCTGTAATTTGTGCAAGAGCTGCACTTAACAAGCACACTCCCACAAGCCGCTTAAGTGGAGTTTTGCGCATGTCAGTTCAGAGGCATAATCTAAAAGCAGCATGTCATGCAAATTCCCATCGTTCACACCCTCAAATGGTGTGACAAAATAATGCACATGCCCAGGGCTCACACCAAACCCGACTGGATCCATGATACGACCAGCTCGGGAGATCTTTATTGTAATATCATCATATCTATTACCAGCCTTTCATATCAAAAGGCAAGGTGTGTACTGCAGACAAGCTGCACTTAAAAGGCTGCCGCAATCCTACTCCTTGTTGGACTCGCCGCATCAAAGCAAGACCCAATCAACCGTGGGCACGGTACTCAGTATTAAACCCGCCGGCGGCCAGCCGGGGCCCAAAGAGAGATTTTAATGGATGAAAAGTAATGGAGGGTACTTAACAACATGACACTGCGCAGCACGCACCTCTCCGTTGGAGACGGAGGCATCGCCCTTGGCGGACGGCTTGTTGCTGACGCCGAATTCGTCATCGGCCACGCCGTCGTGCGCCGTTCCCTCCGGTGAGGCCGGCGGCGAGCAGTAGCCGAAGGCGCCGTTGGTGCGTTCGCTCAATTTGTCACAGGCCCATTTGATTGCATGCAGCAGGATGAACGACACCACACCGCCAATCACGCCTGCATGTCACAACAGAAGACACTCTAGCAACTTCCCGGTTGATTGCATGAAGCCATCGATCATGCGTGGGTGCCCCAAGGTCCCTTCACATGTGGCAAACGATAGCGAGACACTCAGAAGGCAAGCAAGCAATGAAAGGCGAGGTCAGAGGGTCTAGAAATGCTGGAGAGAGCTGCTGCCATGCAAAGCGACTGATACAAGCCCGATGCATGGGGCTGAGGAAATTTTTTCATTTCCAGGTCGGATCTCAAGAGACAGCTGCTTTGCCATGTGCAAGCAGGAGAAAATTTTATTGCAGAAGCTTTTAGATAATACAGAGCAGGATGCAAATACCACCAAAGCATGCGGGCTGGGCCACATGGGGTTACGAAAGACAATGACTAATGGGCAGTCCATATAAAGCAGAAAATCAAGGGTCAGGGGACGCGCACCGTAGGAGATGGAGTAGGTAAGGGGCATGATGGAGATGGTGAGGAAGGCCGGCACGGCCTTGTTGATGTCGTTCCAGTCGATCTTGACCACATTGATCATCATCAGGGCCCCCGTCAGGATCAGCGCCGGGCCTGTACAGTAGGTGGGAATGCTGGCTGCGAACACAAGGAGGCAGACACGTCAATACTCATATTTCCTCTCATAGGAAATGCCTTACTTTGTACAGTGCTTTTGCGGCTCCCTGCAGATATTAGAGACCCTGTGTGGCTTCTGCTAGGCACTCTTTTCCCCAATCAAAAGGCCAAATTATGCTTGCCTCCTGGCACAGCAGAACATACTGCAATTCACGACAGAGTAATGCATTCCTGATTGGAATTTGTGATCGTGCTTGAACCCGTAGGGCTGATTTGTGGGCAATAGCTCCACCCTATCACAACCACAGCCAAAGGACAGAATGGAAGTGTGTGCTGCCAGTGTTAGTGCCCGCAAGTCATCTATCAGTGAGCAGAAAGGGGTGGCGTACCAATGATGGGAGTGAACCAGAGGGCCACAAACATCCAGAAGGCGACCATGATCGATGTCAACCCAGTTCTGCCTCCCTCCCGGATGCCAGTCGCCGACTCTGCACCAGCCAGCAAACACCTTCATGATCATGCCACATAAAACGCAGAAACAGGCAGACCTCTTTAAGACACCTCTGCTTTTACTCCCATTTGCAAGCAAGTAATGATTGCAAGAAAGGAGCTGCTTCTTTCAAAGGAATAAGAGCAGGATATGAGAAAGATCCACTCCATTGGAGGTGGGACAGGATCCAATAATTCATGACCCAGGATGCTAGTTCACTTGCATCCAAGGATCACTTGCAACAGGTAGGCACTCTGAACTCATTATACTAAAATTAGTGTCGAGTCCCCTTGAACGGGGATTGCACTAAAAGACGCCAGCTCACCCACAAAGACGGTGACAGGAGATGTGCCCATGACTGATCCAATTACTATGGAGATGCCATCGCTGCAGTATGCCAGCGTGCTCCCTGGGAAATTGTTGGTCTTGGGATCCACAAAGCCTGGGCATGCAAACAGCCGATCAGTTCTGTTGTTCTCTGTTCCCCTTCTGTTGTTCCCTTGATACAGTGAACATCTAATCAGCCTTGTTGGCTGGCACGATGTAATGTTTCTCTCTCTCTCTCTCTTTCTCTCTCTCCCTATGCAAAACCTCCCTCGAGTCAGCACAAAGATTGTTGCATGTGGTGGAGTGGCAAATGCACAAATTCAAATGCAAAAGGCTGGCAGTGCTCATCTGGATTTGGTAAGCAGGCATCATGCATAGGGTCTTGTATCTTAGAGCAGGACAGAGCGCTATTCAGAAAAATCGTGCCAGGACCGGACAGAATGGAGGAATCTTCTACACATGTTACCGGGCGTACCGAGATCCTAGATCTCTAGGAATAGGAAGATCTTTATATTCAATACTGAATAATTTCATACCTGGGATGAAGTTGTTAATGAAGTTTGCCATGGAGAAGAGCGTCCCAGTGGCATCGAAGAAATCCACATACAGGAAAGTGATGAGCGCCAGCCACAGGTCTCCGCTCTTGAAATTACTGAAGCTGCACACACCCAGCAACACATAAAAAATCAGGCATCTTTAACTTTCAATTGTTATAATTACACGCTTATTCCAGCCCTCAAGGCTGGGTGCTTTGCAGCGACCTTGCAAAATAGCACCTCCAGCATTCCCTGTCTTGATATTTTCTCCACCAATGGCATGTCAGTCGTGTCATATCTTAACTAGCACCCAAGAAACTTCCTGCAAAATCAAATCGGGTCACTTCTTTTCTGGCCTTCAACACATGCCAAAGCTGAGTTGTGGCAGCCAGTGTTGCATGCGAGCCTGCCCAGTCAGCAGCATTGCAAAACGAGCGTTTTGCGATAAGAACTAATTATAAAGAGAAAATAAGAAAAGGAGCCGCACCTCAGGGCGCCTCCTGTTTGCTTGATGCTGGGAACCGCCACCACGTTTTTGAAATACTGCCACCTGGACTCACCATCTCCTCCTATGCCACCTGTGCAGCGCCAAAACAGGCAGCCCAATTTCAAAATTCCCTCGGATCCAAATCAGGCAAGCATGCATGTGGAGATTGCAGTTTGCATGCTCGATTTGAGCAATGTATCTCAAACCAATTGCTCTTGCAGCTTGCCTTGGAGGTTGTTACATCTCCCTAAAAATTGCAGCAGTGATGGGCAGTGGATAAGTGGGTAAGTGGGTAAAATTGTACCGAGGATGGGGGAATTGGAGCCGAGGTATGAAGCGGCGTGACCGGGGATCCAGGAAATGATGGTTGTGATTGCAATGCCAGCAATGATGGCGCCCTGTGCAAGCATAAGCACAGTAATCTTGGCAGTCCAGTCTCAAAACTGATAATCTTGCCTGCATGTTGTAGCAAGAATTTAATGGAAGGGCAAGGAAAAAGAACCTGGCCAGTTAGCTGACCTTACGGGTGGCAATAAAAAACAGCACATGGCACCACATGCAGAATATTTCACTGGCAATTCTTGACGTGGCTTTTCTATTATGGACAGCACCCTCCTGGCTGTGAGGGGACAATTCCAGTACACTCTATACTTCTCAGGACACACCAGGGTCTGCAGAAGAGCTTGGCCTCCCTGCAGGCTCCTGTGGCAGTCGCCACTTGGATGCATTCAGGTGTACATTACCCCCTAAAGAAAATTCATATCCCTGAACCCTGAATACACAGCCGGGGGCGCACACCTTGAAGTTACGGGACATGAGGATGCTCATTATTGCAAGTCCGCCGAGGCCCATCCAGATGGGCCCGCTGTTGAGTTTCCAGGTGGGGCACTCGTAGTTAGCGCCTGCCGGGGGCAGATTAGGCAGCGGCGCATTTCCCTCGGGGGTACACACACCCGTTGTGTCTGCTATGTAGTACGGGTGCACCTGGCTGGGTGTGGAGCAGCCGCCTGCAAAATTACTAATGATGTTATTACATGTATACCTAAGGACAATCACGTCAAGCAATACCTGTAACTCCTGCGAGAATGGCAGCATTAAATTGTGAAATACAATCATGTCTCTGGTAGCACCAAGCCTGGACATGCTGTGTGTGCGCGCAGCCAAATGTCAAGACTCCCACTCGAGTCTATTTGTCGCAGTCACTTACGCCAATTCACAGCGGGAGCGGCCAGAATGCAAAAAACATGAGAAATGTAGTTTTTGGCCGCCCATCAGGAAAATTGAACACCAATAACAGAGATGTCACAGAGCCAAAAGAAAGGTGAAAATCTGAGTAGCACCCAGCAACAGGAGACTCTGGTGCTCCCTTTCCCTCTCTCTTATGGGTGATTTAGCAACGCGCAGTGCTGACTCAGCAACAGGCAGGACATGGCTAAAATCATGCCAAGGGATGTTATGCTGCAAGGGCCCCAGAAGAGTGGAGTGACTCACCGAGGGTGACTAACGTGGCGCCGTCACCGACGACGAGGCCGATCCCCTGAGAGCCCTGGTACCCGATGTGCGCCAGAAACAGGCCGATGCCAGCCGCCATGGCCAGCGCCAGCGTACGCGGCAGGTAGCTGCAAGGATGACAGATAATTAGTCAGCATGTATCCTTGTGTACGTCAAACAAATAGGAGCACTACTGAGCACAGACACTGGGGTCAAACGCTCTTGCTTCAACACAAGTGGCATTGCAAAAACGCAAGGCAGCCCTTGCTCCCTTATTGGCGCTCGTAATACTTTCTATGTATTGCATCTCACTTCTCTAATATCGTTACTACAATGACTGTCATAACAACAAGTTCCTGCTTTGACATGTGAGGTGCGAATGCAGGCAATCTGCAGGTAAAGACTATTATGATGCTAATTTGAAAAAGTGCTGTACCTGATGACTTTCTGGCGCACGCCAACGGCCGACAGGAAGACAAAGATCCAGCCCTCGATGAAGATGGCCGCGAGTGCCTCCTGATAGCTGACGCTCTTGGTGCCGTAGTAGCCCACCACGTTGTAGGTGAAGTAAGCATTCAGGCCCATGCCTGATCAGGCAACATGTCTTCATGACAGATTTAGGGAAGAAAGCAGGCGGAACTTTTCGGTGATTAGCATCCTAGGGACGGATGACAGCGGCAGAGAACACATACAACTGCTACAGATGGTGTGCAAGCCAGTCAAGCAGAAAGCTGAAAGGGGCTTTTCTAGTCTCCAACGTAATGTCAGTATGCAGCAATGCGGTGTGTGCGATGTAAAATTTGCATGCGACCGAATTAGGTTCAAGAGCCCATTTGTGGGCTGCCATCGTGCAGAAGCAGCTGTATAATGGAAAGACTCACCTGGTGCCAACGCCACGGGCAAGTTGGCCGCAACGCCTGCATGACACACAGTTGCTCGTCTCCAAAAGCTTGTTGCACAAACCAACACGAGTATAATGAAGCTTGGAGAGATGGGCACAAAGATCCCCAGCAATGCATAGAGGAGATATTCTGAGGGAGACCTCAACGGGACAATCAAAAGTTCGCAGGAATGCCTGTCTGTATGGGCTGTTGCTGCTCGCACCCATGATAACGCATCCCAGCAGACTGCTAGCAGCCGTCGCTGTGATCAGGCTCTTCCGAGTGGCATCCTGCGCACAGCAGCATAGAATGAGCCACAAGGAAAACTTGTCCAAGCCAGGGATCCTAGAACAGTGAGGCAGCCCTCATAAGGGACATCCACGAAGGTGATCTTCGGTTCTGCACACAGGAAGGAAGGGGCAAGGAAGCGCACCACACAGGCTTGGTAGCCGGGGTCTGTGAATCGACAGGCAAAGCTTTTGTCGGGGCCCTGCGCAAAAAAGACCTGGTCAACAGGTATGGTCATCTACAAGGGAATGACACCTGTAATTGGCCATGAAAAGTCACCCAAGCGCCTGTTTTGGATGTAGTGGGCTTTGCATCAACACACAATTTGGGCTCATAGATAAGTACACAAGTTGGGCTGATGGTGAGTCACCGTGCAGTCATCGGAGGTGCATGGTCCGCCAGTGTCTGAAAGAATGTTAGCATTGACCGAAAGGATGTAAGCGATCTGCAAGAAAGGGCCACAAAGACATCAAACCCCGCAACCAGTGAGGCCTGCCATGTCAGTAATTCCTGTATCTTAAGATATGACCCAAGCGGCGGGAAAGCGCAGCAATGGGGGATCTGCAGCAAGAGAGGATTTCTTGAAGTACCGTCAGAAATGTGACGGTCCCTGCTCGGAGCTCCTGAACCAAGGTTGTGTTGCGTTCGACTGTCTTAAAGTAGCGCCCCACCTGGAGCAGCACACAGAACGACAATATCATTCCAGCAGAACTTGGAACATGCGTCTTCGTTGCTTCCAATTTGCGTCGTCGTGTGATCTGAGTGAACGTCAATAGATCTGAGTGATCACACTATTGCTGCCTATATTTGATGTTGGGACTGGGATGCCTTGTGGACATAAGTGCATCGAACCAGAAATTACCCGCTCTATTTGGTGTTTTGCATAGCCATCCAAGGATGTAGCACACACTATATGGATCTTCAAGGGTTCTTGCAGGACTGGACTCTTGCAAATGTTTGCTGGAGGCATGGCCAAAATAAAGATACTGCCAAATACGTGCAAGCGTCAGCATCTGAGCTCATTTTGTTCAGCTCGTCAGAACTATCGTGTTGCTGCACGGCGCCCACTTCATCGACTTGACTTAAAACGACGCCCTATTCCGCAATCCTTCCGTGCGACCGGCTACAAACTTTTCACACTCACAAGCTGACGTCCCAGAGTTATTGTCACCCAGTAGTGGGTACATCCAAAAAGCGAGATCCACTACCATTCATTCTTACAAACCCGTTGGATGGGCGATAGACGGCAAATAGGGTCTCACCCGCGATGCGCCGAACTTTTCATTCAGCTTCGCCAGAAAGCCCATGCTGTCGCAGTCACCTTTGACACATAAGCCCAGGTGCTGTTAGCTGACCTGTTGAGGACCAGAGAGCATAGTGTTGCCGTCTTTCCTTGGCGGTTCTCGTCACGGGAAGCCACATGATCATGAGTCAGGCAACCACGTGGATCGAGATCACGTGCGAAATTCACTCATTTATTTCGCATCTTGCGTCAAATGCGCCTCAAGTCCAATCAGTCAGTGTAGCGCATATTGGTGTCTTCAGTATGCAAGGGACAACATCCAGATTTCCAGTATTTTCGACCAAGGGTGAGCAAATTTTCTTTGCCATGCCCATGGGTTATAGATATGAACCGCTGGTGCCCCTCCAATATCGAAAAAATGTCATCCCTGTGTTGGTTAAAATCCGAAAATTGAGTCATCCTCGAGGGCTCTTACCTTTTCTGTTTTGCCTCCTGTCCCAGGGGTCCATCACGATCCTGCTGCTTGCCACCTCGGGGGCCTCCACAGACGGGGATGTCGGATCAATATCGAGCATAGAGCTCCGACCAGCAGCGCAGCATCTGCTGTGCGCTTTCAGGCCTCCAAGCTCCAGGCCTCCAAGCTTGATGGATGGAGACAGTCACTCTCTCAAAAGGAGAGGCGTGCATCCAGCTTCTGCTGCAGCACCTCTGGCAGGGGCCGAGTAGATTCCGCAACAGAGGATGCCAGTGCAGAGGAAGATGGCGATGGCGCAGACCAGGTGTCTCAGCTTTCTGCGGAGGAAGTCGACAAGCGGCTAAGGAAAGCAGCGGCCTTCATAGCCACTGCTGACAGCCTGGCACCCTATGACCGCCGGACCTTCAATGCAGCACTGGTCATCTGGTGAACGCCTGTATTTTAATCCTCTGAAGATCGCATCAGAAGATCGCATCAGCTGTGATTGCGAGGGCCTCACCTGCATGTACGAGACAGGGACTCCTTCATTGCATCTTAGAATTCTACATGCAATGAGCGTTGCTCTGGATTCTGAGTCACAGCTGTGAAGTACAAGACTCTGAGTGCTTTGCTGTGACGGGCAGGAGGGCGATCGCTGACATCCCTGCCAAGGAGAGGCCAAGGCTTCTGGGAATGATCATGCCACAGTGAGACGCGCCTCCCCATCCCTTCCCACATTCTGCTCTGCACAGTCTGTCCAAAAACTCAACTTGCCTATGTGCACCATTGTCAGCAGTGACCGCCAGCACTCTGGCAGAAGATTCTGCTGCACACGCAAGAGGATCTCAGTGTCCTTCAGCCTGATAAAGACTCTCAGAGACTTTCATCATGACAGGGACATAGTGAAGCTGTGGAAGGTGTCTGGCAGCCGCTACCTGGCCGGCAGGCAGGAGCTGGCAGAGGTCCAGGGACCAGACTACTCCCTCTACGATGACTTCCCTGAAGAGCTAAATGAGGTGGGCTGCGGGCTGAACTGATTATTTAGACCCTACCGAGGCTTGCTGCTGTTTGCATAAACAGCCCTGCTCAGGGTAGCAGATGGACAATTTTGGTCTGTTAATTAACGCCTTGCGTCCAGACCATGTGCACTAGCTGGACGTGGTTGCTACAGCAGCAGGCATGCCTTTTGTATGGGAACTCTTTCCCGGGTGTGATATCTTGAGCAAGGCTTGCTCTACACAATCTGACTTGAGCACCAAGCAAAGGCAACATTATTGACAAGAATCCGATAAATTAGTGTTTGGAGCTCTGAGGCCCCCCTTGTCTTCTGAGCAGGTGGCCACCTTTGAGGGGCGCGCAGCGGTGCCCCTGAACTCTCTTTTTGGCGGCTTCCGCAAACTTTTCTTCCTGCAGCCGCGCACCTTCGATCTGTATGGGCGTGTCCAGGTGAAATTTCTCACTTGCTACCTTATTACTCTACAAGTGCTATGAAAAGGCAAAAGAATGTACGGTACTGTGTTTCTGGAGGAAATTTCACAATTCCCGTCTGTTGCACGCATTGCATAAGTTGTAAGCCAGCCCTTCCTCCTAATAAGGCGCTAGCACTGCCTTGTATGCCTCGCATTCACTTTGGCTTGAAGGAGACTTGCGCAGGAGGGTCCAGAATGAAAAAGTTTCAAGGAAGTGGACCAGCACACCACTTAACCAAGACTGCCATGATGTATTGTACGGTACTATGTCAAGCAAATGGTTGCTGCAAAGAGGGGTAGTGCATCAGGGAAGGATATCTGCATTTCTGCAGGTGCAAAAGGGGCCACTGGGCGATCTTCTGTACCCGCTGTACTACAAGTGCACCATCGACACTAGCACAATACCAGGTACTTACCTTACTTCCCTTCCATCAAAATTCTAAATAGCCAAATTTCCGCCATGCAATGGCTTGTCAGACACCAGATATTGCTGCATGTGCAAGTGCAAGGATGATCTATTTCAGGGACCCTGTGCAATGGAGCAGTTGGTGGCATATGATGGCTAGACGAATACTTCTTTTCTTGGCAGCTGGCTACGACGCATGCTATGCCGTGATGCTGACTAACGACGACATAATCGCAGGAACAAATGAGCTCAGCGACGTGCAGCTGGAGTATCTGGATGAGAGGCTAGGTCTGAAGCCGTCCGATGTTCCCTCCACTGGGCGGTGGCCGCACAATAGGCAGCCTCGCTGGCCATTCAACGGCGGTCTGGTGAGCGCTTAGTCACCTTTTCATTTGCAAAGACCTCATTTGCTGCATTTCAGTGCAGACCAGCCTGTCATGCTGGAGGGTACAATGGATGCCACGATCAGCCCTCACCCAATATAATGGCATGCGCATGCAAATTGCCAGCTGCCTGTTGCAGTTAGTGGATCATGCACGGAGCACCGTAGATAGAGCACTGGCAAGAACTGGAAAAGATGTACATTTTGGTACATCAGCATCGTCAAAGCTCTGGTGTGTGCACAGGTGGATCACTTGAGGGCAGTGGGGCCAGGGGTGTATGTTGGCGTGGGCTGGAAACATCTGGGCACAGCAAATGCCAAACGCTTCCTGCACTTCATGCTAGTGAGAAAATGCGACGCATGACAGTGATGCTTTGCTTCATTCTTATACTACACATGTAGCTTTGTGATACTTCACAGAATTGCAATGCTATGAATACGTAAATGGTAACCTGAAATTGCTCAATGCATGTTCTTCTTTCGTTCAGACTTGCTTTACGCAATGATGCTAACAATAGCAGCACAAGAATCAAGCGCTCACTGTTCAAGTGAGATCCAATTAGTAAGTATGGCCTCGTTGCGCTACACGTATATGAACTCATTGTGCGCCACGGCATTCGCAGCCCCCTTGCGCTCCTCGGCTTCAATTGCGTCCCGCTCCTTTTTCCTCTCATAGCTGTCGTCGTCAGTCGGCAGCTCATGCCGGCACACCTACACCACAACCAAAAAAACTCACACCCACCATCTGCCAGTCCCATGCGCCGCTCTCTTCAGGTTTATCTTTTGGGGCAAGTGCAAACATTTAGCAATTCTGGGGTCTGAAAACTGCAGAATTGGTGCCGATCTGAGAGAGTTCTGCTGTCTAATCAGGAAGTGACCTGCCAGGTGCTATTTAACTGGCACAAAGCCAAAATAAACAAGATCCAATAAAAACAGACGCCTTGATGGTATCTGGGGAGTGATTGGAGGTCAAGCATGCCACAGACAAGGTTGGCGCAAAGCTACAAAACTCACCGGGCAGGAGTTGTGGTCTTTGAGCCAGGGAGCAAGGCAAGGCGGGTGGAAAACGTGGCTGTCACTGCAGGGCATGATCTGCACCTCATCTCCCGCCTGCAAATCCTCCCTGCACGCACAGCAGCGCTCAGATCTTGAACTAAATCTACTGCGTGCTCCTGGTAGTGCAGGTCTGAAATGAAATCTCGAAGCACAGAGCCGACTCCACTGCGCAGCGCGAACCCCACAAAGCTGCACCGCTGATTCCAGATGCAGCAAGGGTTTCTAAAGCTCTCTAGCACCATACTCAGAAACGGTCACAAATAGCAATGCTGGCAGTCCGCCCGAGGACACAGCGAAATTGGGCAATGCGGAAGAAGAAGTTCGGTGGGCGTGCATGCAAGGGAGGTGGGCATGAATGTGAATCTGCCTACAGATGCTGCATACAGCTTTGTGCTGCATGCAGTCCGCGATACAGGCCAGGGCAAGCTGCACAGTGATCCTCCATTAAGGCGGCACTTCCAAATTTTAGTCTGTCTATTTGCATGAAGAAGATGTGTTGAGTGGAATGTGTGACTTGCCTGCAGACGCTGCATTGGGCGTCGGGTCCCCCCAGCTGCTTCAGCCTCGTTTCTGTGAGTGTCTCCTTCACCAGCGCCTTGACTGCATGCTTGGAAGCGGGGGGCGCGCCCCCCGGCCGGACCCCCTCCTCCGCCAAGGACGCTGCCAGCGCCGCTGCCAAGTCTAAAACACGAGAACACAATGTCATTTCATGATGACACGACACACAGGCAACAGCAGGGCTCAGAGAGAGACAATGCATGATTTACATTGTGACAACAACCACAGTCCATGGGTGGCTGCATAAGAAGAGCTGGATCACAGATCCCGAGCAAGAGACCACATGAAGCCTCTTCTGGTCTAGATGACATCCTAAAATAGTGTTTTCATTGTATCCAAGAAAGTCCTGAAAATGCGGGCATGCAAAATGCTTGCAGCAGGGAAGTACTGGGTACCTTCGTCCAGGGCGTCCATGCTGGGCAGAGTCTGGCCTGCCTGCATGGCCTCGCCAGGCTGCCCGTCTTGCCCTTCGCCAGCTGTCTCCGCTGATGTCATCTGCGCTGACAGCATCGCCAGCAGATCCTCCAACCTACTCTCCCTCTCCCTTGGCGGAGACTCATTTCCCTGCATGCCATGGGCTCCTTCAATTCACATTATCGCTATGGTTCCATGTCACACTGAATGGTGAGATTTTCCTTTGGCACTGCATGCAGCACTGGTGCAGGACATGGACTTGCTTTCTTGCTGTTGACGTGTGAAAGCGCCCTGAAAAATCCACCCACATGAATAGAGCACTACAGTGCGAGTAAAAGGTGCTCACATTTGAGAACTGGCCTTCGAAGAGATATGGCTGCCTTGAGCCTTGCTGTGTTCCTGCAGGCTCTGGCTGAGGTGCCTCGCTATCCGTGCTGGGCCCTTCCCCTAGGTGGGCAGAGCACTGGTCGATGTAGTCTGTGCACCTGGCCTTGACATCTGGTTCGCTGGTCGCTCCCTGCAGACGATTCGGTAAACTGAGACTTCAGTGCTTCCAGATCCTTCTGGGAAACAAGTGCCTTTTCTTAGCCCGCATAGATCAAGTGAAAGAGCTTTCAGTAGACAGGAACCACGAAACAATAATATCTGTATTATTGGGAATAAGTTCAACACCGATGTTTAACACGATCCTCGGTTGTCGTACCTCGACTGCCTGGTACAGATTTCGGCCTGCTGACCAAAACGCTGGAGCTGTGTACCTCGATTTCAACAGAGTGAAGCTTCGTTGCACTACTGCAGAATATTCCGGGTTCTGGATGAGTTCGGGGTTATCGTTGAGAAGTTGTTGAAGATCTGCCAGTGCCTGTTCGAACGTTGCTTTTCTACTCAACTTCTGACGCACATCCTGCAGGCATGAGTCCATGTTGAAATTATTTTCACTCCAAATTTCAACACGAGGTTGTGCCTTTGGTGTGTCGGTGTTTGATGGTGCCTGGGAGCTCCAAGAAGCTGTGTTGCTGTCATGTGCAGACATGCAGTGTGCACGTGCCTCCAGATGCATGTTCAATAAAGCTGCAGCATAACCCAATTACATATCTTTTGAAGAGTAGTTGGATCCCCTTAACAAAGCGTGGGTCACTAATGTCGTGGCCCCTTCATGGGATGTCTCTGCGTCAAGAATCCACTGTCGTGGCGTTGCCTGAACTCAATCTTCTGTACCTGAAATCATGGCACATTCCTCCGGGATCCCAGCTGTATATGCTGTAATTCCCTTGCTTGCAAAGTAGATTCAATGCGCGTCGCAAAACGCCATCTCTATTGCCATAATACACACTGCGGCACAGAAGATGAGAGGTCTGTTTTCATGGACTCCGCCAAAAATTTGTCATAATGGTCATGACTCAACATGTGCTGGAGGTATCAGCTCCCCTGGTCTTGCAACTTGAAGAGGTCTCCAGATTCTCTTGAGCTGTATGGTACACAAATCCCAGGAGTCACTGTACGGTACTGACGGTACATGAGGGGACAAGCTATACTGTCACATCATTATATGCATCTGGCGCTTCTCGATCAAGAGGGAGTGCCAGTCTTCTGGCCCAGGCCCACATCTTCCATGTTGCCTGTGTCGCCTCCAATGAGGTCTTTGAATCCGCCAGTCTTGCCCCCGGTCAGGCCACTGAAGCCCTCTGATGACTTGCCGCCGGTCAGATCCTTGATGCCTCCGGTCACTCCCCCCACAATGTCCTTAAAGCCCCCCACTTTGCTGTCTCCCTCTTTCTTGGGGGCATCTGCGCGCGCGCCATTGTCGCCACCTACACAAAGCCATAGAGCATTAATTTGAAACCCACTTTTGGTGACATAAAGGATGCCCCTGGCTGGCGGGCGGCGGGACTTGACCAAGCACCGTGCCCACAAATTGATTGGGTTCAGGAACAATTGCAATTACTCCAATACAAATATTAAGAAGTGGTCTGCAAGCGTAAAGCGGCCTGGAATCTCGAACGCAGGTTCACTGCAAAAGAGCATCACCAGTGATATCCTTGAAGCCACCAGTCTCGCCGCCAGTGATGTCAGACGCCTTGCCGGTGTACCCGCCGCCCAGAGAGTGCTGCCCAGTGCTGGCATAGCCCCCACCAGCAGACCTGCCAGCTGTGGAGCCGCTCTGCACTGCTTCCATCGTCCGCTTGTCATGGCTGCAACGGAGTAGTGATAATTTAGATTAATTGTAAGTTGAAAGGCCGCGGACAAGTGAGTGAAGTCAAGACCAGGGAAACCCTGCACTGTACCTGTTGACGATGCCCGAGTTGATGCTCTCGAGCTGCCTGGCCCTCTCTTCTCTGACAGTCCCTGTCATTCTCACCTCCTCGCAGCAATTGATTGCCTGCTCCGACAAACGCCTTAGTTTGGACTAGGTGCCATGCAAGACCGTGCACAGCGAGGATCCGCGGTCTACATAAGTCGCCTGCGATCCCTAACGCCAAGGCAATGAACTGAAATAAAGATAGAACAGCTTAGATCTGTAGATTAAGTCCAAGTGTTGTCTTGCAGAGCTACGGTGTGCCACAACGTTGTAAATGCCCCAAAAGGGCATTGAGGCCGCTCTCACCTGTGTTGCAACGTCTGATCCTTCCAGCTATATTTGGTAACGAAAAATTTTGTCGATTATCAACATGCGACAGTACCCCGTTCACGTTCTGTTCCACATCGACATCGTAAATTTCGTGTGACTGCCTCGCACCTTCAAGGTTCCAAGCGGTTGGAAGCTACAAGAAGCTAAGCTCCAAAGTCGGTCCTGGAACATTGAAGTGCTCTTGCATGTGGCTGGCACGATGTGATGTTTCTCTCTCTCTGTGCAACAAGTCTTGCACTGCACTTGCATCACTTTCAGTGTATGCTGTACTTACTACAGCGGCTGGAGTCTCCTGTACAAATGGTTTTGAAAATGATGGAACACTGTATCATACACATGATGTTGCAGGGCGGTACTACTAATATTAGTAGCCACAATGTCATGAAACCTTGCAAATGGAAAGGCATACTGCAATCAAACACGTGTCACACCAAATCACTGAAAACTGCACAACGGGATGTGAGTCTTCAAGCAGTCACTGCGACATTTCTGCTTGATTTCTACTGATCTCCTCCAACGTAACAGCTCAAATCATTAAATGCCGGACATCTATTCTCTACCATCAAGGGGATAATTCCGATCAATTCGCCTGCAACCGCTGCTTGCGCAGCGTCTGCTCCTCTATTAAACTCGCCACAAATTGATAAGTCGTTTGAACCATGTATTATCGGTGTCAGGGCACCAAGAACCCAATAAACAAAGTCAGCTGCTATGTGGCAGCTGGTCAGAAGGCGTAGGCAGGCATGCCCCAATGCTCCCATGCCTTGTTATACTCCGGGTACCATCCAGCGCAGCCCGGCCTGAACCCAGGCACCAGGCATGGTTAATATTATTTATACACGCTTTTCCTGCTAAAAGGAAAGGTACGACCTGCAGACAAGCTGCAGGGTAAAGGCTGCTACAAGCCTACCCCTTGTTGGGCTGACCAGATCCAAGCAAGATCCAATCAACCATGGGCACACTGCTCATTATTTATACCGGATCCGCCAGCTGGGGCACCAGGCATGCCCAGTTCTACAGTCCGCCGTGATGCCAATGAGGTGCGTCCAGGTCCAAGTCTCGATTTGAGAACAGGAAACAGAGGCTAGAGAGCTCGAGACAACAGAAAATCCACAACCAGATGACCACAAGAGACGTAGGGATGTCTTCAAATGCAATCCGGTGCCCGTGTGCGGACCCTCTCTTGTTCAGCTACATTCCACACGCTCAGCACCAACTGACACTCACACCCTCCAATGCATGCATTGCTACGGACAGTATCAGCAGCCGGACTTCACTGTGCCCTATGGGATGCACATGCCTAAAATTAAAATTGGGCTAAGCAACGTGTTGTGGTGGATCTAATCCGTATGCACCCAGATGACATCATGCATGCGTGTGTCAGCAGATGGGCAGCAGATGTCAGTGCTGAGCTGCAGTATTGCGGATCCCCCATTACCAAGATCCACCCATGACTCTTAGGTGAGTGATTGCTTTCAATCCTTGGGTGGAAAGAATTTGCACACCTGAGGGACGGAGCTGTGTAGATGGCTGGGTCGATGGTGGCGGCTGGTGCGCCTGCAGCCAGCAGCAGCGGTGCAGCTGCATGCTCCCTGCCAAACCGCTCCGACGCGTAGCTGTGTGCACATACAAGCGCAAAATGAAAATCGGTTGCTTGCGCAAAATCACACACTGCAGGGCTACACCATGCCATGCTGCAGAACATTCTTCCGCACATAGTAGACTCGTTCTTTGTGATAATCATATCGACAGTGCAATGTGTCTATCAGCATGCATGTGGTGGAATAACTACGAGTGTGACAACCACAACTCTGTTGAAGATCTGGCAGAGAGGCTGCTGAGTGAAGGGGTGCTCACTTGTAGAAGATGCGCATCCAGATGGGTGTGAGCACAATTAGGATACCACCCTGGATGATAGCCTTGTTGGTGATCATCACACAGCCTGCACCCCACACGCCACAGCACTCACAAGGCATGCAACAAATTGGTTTCTTTTCAAGCCTACTGACCTGATCATGTCCTTGGCAAGTCGTAAGAACACATCCTTCATATGGTACAGGAGAGCAGAAGTAAGTCAGTCAGCTCTGCAATCTGGGGTCCAAAGCGTATGGAATTTTGGAGCTGGAGCGCACCTGTGAAGAAGCCAAAGATGAAGAAGCACCAGAGGAGCTTGTCAAAGATCTGGTGCCACATCTGCAGCACAGCCAGCACTACTCAGCCCAAATCCCTTCCTGGATCTTGCTGGGCAGCGCAAATTGCCGCCTGAGCAATCCTGAAAAGTCACCGATCTCTTGTCCACCATGTGAAAGAACAAAAGGAATCAGCATGCAGCAGCGAGGTCCTAGAAATGACTAGAGACTGGCATGGAAGTGGTGGTAAGAGGTTGACAGCGACCACTACGACCTGGCAATCAGCCCCTGCCACAGAGGCTGCAATCCAGCATGGCAGCACAGAAACCCACTTTCACACTCCACAGTGCCCCTTGGACCAGACCACACATTGGTCCCGGCCAATGTGTCCTGCTGCTTAATGCAGCAGCACCAAATGACACACTAATGCTGATCCGTAAAAAGAAAACAAGACAGGGTGAGAGCTGCAAGTTCCTCGAGAATAGAAACAAGTGTCAGACTGCTTTGGCCGGGCCACTGTCTGTGGCTGATTTCCTTCACACGGCAACCAAGAGCAGATGTACTGCACTGAGGCAGCTTCCTGGAGAAGAGCCTTGGGCAGGAGCGCTCACCATGCCGCCGGACTCGGAGCTTCGCTCGAAGACATAGAGGATCGCATATCGCCACATGATCCAGGAGGCCACAAACCACCACAGCGCAAAGGGGAGGATGATGGGTGACACCGCTGCGTTGGCAAGGGTGATTGAGCTGATGAGCATGAATCCGCGGCCCAGCTCGCAGCCGACGCGGATGTTGAAGTGCGGGTACATGGCCTCCATGTACGCGCGCTCCCCCTTGGGCCCTGTATCACAGGGGAAATAGAGGGGTTGCTTCAGGGTTCTGCCAGCAGGTACTAAATAAAAAGCTATTCTGAGGGTGGTAATTGAAACAATGTACAGCGCAAGGGACCAAAGATCTGGGCGTTATCTTGGGATCAAGGGTTCAAGCTGCTTGGGGTCTGATTAATAAGTCCTTTTTTATTACTGGTGAGCACACAACTGGTATCATCCTCACAGCATGCCTCCTGAAACACTCACCTCTGTCTTCTGCGTATGGTGGCGTTTGGATGGGATTGCCCTGGCCAGCATCACTACCTCCATTTTGAAAAAGGAAAGTGCAGCACTCCTCATGCAGACACTAAGTTTAGCTTGCACCTCCGCATGGTAAACATCTGCACCAGGTCAAGAATGCTGAATTAGACCTGGGAAGGGGGCTTACATGGCAGGATGCCCAGCTTGCGCAGCATTGTGAAGAGGGGGAAGAAGGTGGGCGAGAAGAGGCGGTAGGGGATCATGAAGAAGCCCTGCACACAACACAAACTTGTCCACCTCGATAGATGACCATGCATTGCATTGTCTATATTCCAAGACACTCAGCGCTAGACACTGCAGGAAGGTTAGCTGCCATGCAAGACCATATTGTCTTGTCGAACACCACGGCACTTCTCTACTAGCATGGTTAATGGATATGGAAGCATTCTGCCCACCTGGAAGACGATGTAGTTGATGAAGAAGTTGGAGGCAGACGACAGAGAGGGCCCAATGAACTCATAGATGCGATCTGCACAGCATACCACGCTCATTTTGTTGGAAACGAATTGGCATTGATAGCTTCTCGTAGTGAAACACAGCAGAGACTCAGGCTGCGGGATTATCTACAGCAATGAGCTTCATGGCCATGAACCACTTAAATGATCCTGTTGGACGCACTTCCTTTCAATAGAGGCAACATGCGTCTGCCAGAAGCTGCACCTAGAATTTTCACAAGCCGCCCCAATCCTCATCACTAGAAGTCACTCACATAGGCGAGCTGAAAGGGCTTTGAAGAGAGATCTGGAAGAGCCAGGTTACAGAGCTTTCGGCTGAGGTGCGCGCCTGGGCGTGAGATGAAGTCTGGGGAGAGGTAGGTCAGGATGGAGCCACCCACGATGCCGCCGATGAGCACCGAGAGGATGCCCCAGATGAAGAACAGGCTCAGGATGAGACGGTCCAGTCCTGACAGCGACGGTTTCTTGCACAGCAGCTGCACATGCACAGCCGTTGCTGCTGTCAACGCATTCAGCCAAGCCTTTGTAATAAACTCAGAGCAAGCCAATCTTTGAGACCAGAATGAGCGTGCCTTCTGCATCCCTGCTCATTCTGCATCCCCCCGTCTGCAATTCCTCAACAGATATCGGGTTCCCCAAGTGGCTTCAACACAAGCCATGGTGTGGAGAAAGGGAAAGATCAGGGATCAATATCAACAATGCAATGAAGTTCAAAACGTAGCTCCTGCTGTACAGCCTAAGAGATATTGTGGATTGAACATTTTGCTCGTACAGAGAAACCAAGGAGGAATTTTGGTCACCTGGGCGCCGATGTACACGAGCTGTGGCATGAAGAGGTTCTGCCACAGGGTGAGCAGCAGCGGGGGGAGCACGCCGGTGATTAGCGACTTGAACTTGGATGTGGAGGCGCAGAAAATGTTTTCCGCAAATTGTGCCCGCTGGCAGAGCGCATTTGTGATGTTCGTCACCGCACCTGCATGCACAATTGTTTCCATAACCCATAGAATCAGACTCATCATAACATCATGCAGGTCTTATTATCATGCGCTGTCTGCACGCCAAAGACTGCATACAGGAGTTTTCCGCCCTCTGTCCTGCGTGCTGTTGTTGCCCTTGACAATTTGCTGTCATCTTGAAGCATGCAAACACACGCATACCTGGTGATACCTTTCCAATATGAGGCATGGAAGCGGACGCGTACCTGTGATATCTTCTGTGGCGCCCACAAGCTACATGCACTGCCGTAAGCACACTTGACAGCATATTAAGCAGAGCACATGAAAATACAGAAATTGAGGGGGTACTCACCAGTGAAAATACCGATGGGGAATATGATAACGACGGTGAGGAGCAGCCAGCCTGCAATGCGCAGGCCAGCGCGCTTGCGCCGACTCACCCACAGCATCTGCCAATTCACCTGCACAAAGGCATTTAATAGGGCTTCAGCGGTGACAGCACCACCTTGGGCCCTTCCTGCCCTGAAATCTGCCTGCTCGTCATAGAGATTGTAGGTGCTTCATAGCCCGTGGCAAGTTTTCTTCTCGGGCCCCTGTAGAAGGCAGACATGAAGAGAAGAGCCACCGCTGGATATGAAGCATCTGTAATGCTACTCGTTGCTTTCACTTGCCTTCATTTGCAGGTTGTTACGCATGAAAGGACAGGCACAAGCAAGTGTGCAGCCTAAACAACCCAGCACATTGCACAAAATTGCATATGCTCTGCAAGGAGCACAGGAACAGTGGTGCACATTTGAAGGTGGCAGCTGTCCCACTGCCAACTCATACAAAACGCTGTGCATGGACTATGGTACAAGTGGCCTTTGTGAAAGAAATGTCAAGGCAAGGTGTAGTTTGGAGTACCTCTTCCGGGCCCGGGGCGCTCATGACGCGGAAGGCATCGGCGGCGCCTTCGGGGAAGATGCAGCACTGCGCGGCGGCAGCGGCGGCCGTCTGAGAGTTGAACAGCACAAAGTAAGAATTGGTCACCGGCGGCTCCTGCAGCACCAATGAGCAAACTGTCAAGAGAGAGAACCAGTGATCGGCAGTAAATTTTTGGCACAGAGACACCGACTTTGAGTAGTTGAGCGTGCAGAACCCTTGTTTATTTTCCAACGAGCACTGAACTAAGCACAGCATGTCCAAGCCACCTAAGCCTCACACTCCGTTGCTCACTGGCAGATGCTGTCGTTGTGTTGCTAGTACAAGGAGTCCAGCACCACGACACTGTCATCTCACAGATTGATGGTTTAAATGCAATGAACAGGAGGTAGCGCACATTCAGGATGCGCTCCTTCTCCTCGATGATTTTTTTCTCCAGCGCGCGGATCTGAGCGGAGAAATGATTGATGGAGTCCACTGTCTCTCCTGCAAATTCAGAACACGTAATGAGGTTTTTGCAGCAATACTGTCTTCTTTCTTTAGTTCTGCCAATCAAAATCTTGTTATTGTGAAGTATATTGAACTGCAATTTGATAATTTCACAGAGAATACCGTGCCAAGTGCACCTGAAGAGATCTGCCGTGCAAAACATAAGAATGCCTTATGAAGTAGGTCAGCCATCTGTCTACATGTGCAGCAAGCAAGCTTGCTGACTGTCTTGTTTTGTTTAGCTTCTAATGAACAAAAATGACACATTGGGCGCACCAGAGCATCCGCAGCATCCCAGGCGGTGTGTTGGGCGCTTTGTCTGGTGGCTCGCAAGGTACTTTGCCTCAGCGATCTCAAGCTGGCGGTAGTTGTTGTCCCACTGGAACATCAGCTTGTCCAGGGGCTGCACAATCACAACACAAATCCAAGCACGCTCCTCAAGGGGCATATAGCCCAAGTGCAAAGAATGCGGCAGTCAAATGCTTAGGTTGTCAGGCTGAGCCTTTCAACAGAGGAGATCCAGATAGTCACAGCCAATTTTGCAATTTGAATTGTATTGATACCCCTTGTTGCACGCATGGTGTATGCCGTTCATTATTACAGATCAACATGAGTAGAAAAGAAAGCCATTGCATTCGTTCAAAACTCATTGGAGCAGGTCAGAGGAGCAGGTGCTTGCCTTGTGGTTGCGCACAGGCACCACTTCCTGGAAGGTGTCTGGGAACATCCCCCTGAAGACAGCCTCCACAAGGCCTATCCCCCCAAGCTCCACCTGGCACAGCCACAGCCAGGCAAATAGGCAATCATTTCACAGAGCATGTGCTGTCTCACAGCTGAACCTCCAGTTAATCCACCTGCGCCTATAATTTACACTGAACATTTTTTGCCCGCCGCCGGCCGGCGGAGGGGCGGCATAAACACTGAATGAGTATAAATACTGCGCCGTGCCCACGGTTGATTGGGTCTTGCTTGGATCTGGCGAGCCCAACAAGGGGCAGGATTGCGGCAGCCTTACACTCCAGCTTGTCTGCAGGACGCACCTAGCCTCCTAGGAGAAAAAGCGTGTATAACATAGTACTTTTGCCTGAGGAGGGGCCAAGTCAGTGTTCTCACCTCTGCACCATCACCCTGTGCCGCGCTCTCTGGGGTCACATTCGCATCGGCCGCAGCCGCCGCCGCAGCCGCCGAGCCATGCGGGCCGGTCTTGCTGTCCGGCAGATCCTCCGCCCTGGCCGTCCCAAACTTGTTCTGCGGCACAGGAAACTTCTTTACATTATTGCAAGATCACAATTGAAGCTGTCGCTCTATTCTAATTCCGTGCAATCATCCTATTGCAGCTCACACAGCTGAGTAATGCATGCACAACCAGCAACTGGCTCAGATCATGCCAAGCACGGCCGTACCAAAATTTTTCTGTGGCACTGGACACCATTTTGCAGGAAAGTTGCATGACCACACATGGCATCACAATGCAGCAAATTCAGCTAACTATTGCATGGAGAATTGAAAATTGGCTGCCGATCATGTGTCAAGCAAAAATATGGTTCACAAAGGATCCCAGCTGATATACAAGCAACTTAGAAGAACAAGCAGCGATCTGCAGAAGCTGCAAGTTCTTGTACACCGAACATGAGTGGTTTGTGCTGCTGTGCTGGTTGTCTGGAAGGCAGACTTAATGAAAAGAGAGCCCAATATGTGGTTCAATCATCCAGCCCATAGAGAAGCAATTACACCAGAATCAGCTGTGATGTGCGGAAGATTGCAAGGTCGTGTACAATGAATAAACAGGTTCGCACCGCTGTGCTGGCAGTCTGGAAGGCAGAGGCAACGCCCTTCCAACGCAGGGCGGCGCCGCCGCCGGATTTCGCGTCTCCGTCACCCTCCGCAGGGGGCGCCGAACCCTGCTCCACGCTGAAAGTGTGCGCGGGCCGGCTCGCCGCGGCGGCGGCCGGGGCTCCGGAAGAAATTTCAGAGCTGCGGCGGTTGAGGGAGGTTGCAGGGCTGCCGCCTGCGTCTGGAGTGCCCAGTCCTGGGCTGCTCAAGCGGTGCATGAACATCTTGTGCACGGGCGCCAGCTCAAAGTGCCCCGTGTGCGTGCCCCGGTGCTCTGTCGCGCCCTTCACGCCCACCTCTGCCCAGTGCACAGTAGTCCGAATTCAACAAGATTTTCTGATTTTTAGTTTTTAAGTAGACCAAGGAGTGCCATGACCGCACAGAATGGAAAATACATGTGCTGCTGGACGTACCTGGATCCTAGGTCCCTAGGAAGTGCAAAACGTGTATAAATAATAATGAGTATAAGAAAACAAAGGCAGGATGCAAGACATACAAAGCGGGCGAGCGCCTTTGTATTGATCGGTGTCACTGGCTTTTGTAACGGCAGTAAAGCTCAACAAATGCATTAGTTGCGCTCCTGACGCACATATTTCCTGGCTGGAGGACTTTATATGCTTACAGCATGTGACGCATCACGTCGACTAGGACAGTGAGGATCCTCAACTAGGACAGGATGTAATTTCGACTAGGTCAGTAGCTATCAAGCAAAACATGTAGGTCAATAGCGGGTACGCACCAGGGTCAGGGCGGTCGCCTCCGTGGCCCTTGCCGTTGGCGTTGACATCATCAGCATGAGCAATGATGTCATCGCCATCAGCGCTAGTCACACCGAGCTGCCCAGTGCTCTGGGTGGGCTGGAGGCTGTCTGCGGGCACCAATTCCGTGGAAACCACCTCCACGCTGAGCTTGGCTGTAAAGGGGCCCCCAAACGCCTTGAGCATTGCCGGCAGCCCCACCCGCGGCAGCCGCTGCCGGAACGCGCGCAGGCGGCTCGGAGGCGCTGCCGCATCACTGCACAATGTGCACAAGGGAAATCAACTCCAATAGCAAGTCCTCGCATGCAAGCCTTACTGATGAAGTATCATGGCACCCTTGCAGCAAGGCCATCCACTATTATTGCACATTCAAGCCCTCATACACTGGCTAAAACTTATTAATGCCCGAGTACACGTGTCACTGCATGGTGCGTACAGAGGCGCTCAGACTCAGTGCAAGCAACCCCTTGAAAAGTCTTAAGTGCCCCACAAGGCAGAAGAAGTTACTACAATGGGATGACTACCGGATTGAGTCATTGTTATGTGCTGCATTAGTACTAAAAGGGGGTCTATCCTGCAGCAGATCAACGGGAGGGATTTAGAAAGATCCGAGGACTTGCTTGCTACGGCACTCAGGCCCTCTGTGTTTTTCCGCCAGGCTTGCAAACACCACACCCACCGATGCTTACTGCTATCTATCTTCCCGTGCGCAATAGCTCACTCAGACTCGAGCAAGGCATTTGCCGCTAAGATGATGGGACCCACCTCGGCGGAGGTACATCGCAGACGAGCACCACGTACTGCTGGGCGTTGACAGACACCTCCTCACCGTCCGGCAGGTGAGTTGACACGATCTTGCGGAAGGGCACCGGCGGCCGCGCCACCTTCACCGCAAGCGCTGAGTTTTCAAGTTTAAATTTCAAACTAATTTGAAAATAATTTTCTTCTTGTTCATATCTTCCAGGTCTGTCAAATCGTACCTCAAGTGGCAGCGTTTCACAATTAATATTCAGGCAAGGAGCATTGACAGTTTAAGATAGTGCTTGCGGATGACTTCACATGCAGCTGTCAGGATACTGTAGCTGTGGAGATTGTGCTGTTGTGTATATTTGTCTGCAGCACTCACCTTCACCGGCCGGCCCGATGACGTCATCAGCACCGCGCTTGGCTTCCACCAGCGCAGAATGCGCGCGCCCTCTGCGTGCACCAGTATTGATGTCAAACACCCATTTAAGTACCCATTTAAATACGCATATGAATACCCTTTCAGCGCCACAGGTTACTGCTAACAAAGCCCTTGCAAAAAGTGCGCGACCTCTGCATGCGCCAGAGGGCAAGGACACTATATTCATCCAGCCGGCCAAAGGTCCTGCCAGCCAAAGGTCCATGCAAAGAAGGCCAACAAAGCCATATCATTGAACAGCTGCTTTCCTACTCGGCTGGAATTTCTGCGGTTGAGCGCAGCAGAAATGCACAGAGTGCACTTCATAAATGGCAGCATGCCTATCTTGATAAGCACACTGAACCTGAGAGACACAAGCAGCGGGGTCAGGCCAATGACATGAACCGTGGATCATACCTCTGGAGGCGCCGTCTGCATCGTCACTCTTCTCCATGGTCTCGTACTGGCTGATGGGGTGCACTTTAATGACGTCCGGGCTCCAGTCTGGCGCATCCAACATGACATGCTGTCAGGTTATCAGAACAGCATCCAGTGATAAAGTGATCATGGTATAAACATGCAACAACACAGATATTCATGTACTGTTCCTTCCAGCTGATGACGTCCGGGCTTCAGTCTGGCGCACATAGTCACCACATGATGTCATGAGTGAAACAAAGCACCAAGCCTGGCTGCAGCAGCAACTTGTCCTAACTGGAAATGCCTGCCCTTCCCTTTGGACTGTCACCATCTATTCCAAGACACCGCTCATGGTCAGCAGAGTGCACTATAGGACTGCAAAGGAAACAGCAAGACAGTGGTCCTCCAAGCCCTCTTAAGCGTTGAACAATCTGCAAAAACGGAAGAGGCCAAAAAGCAAGGGGAAGGAGGGCTTTTGCACCTATGCTCTTCAGGGGCGTGTTGTGCGCGCCGAGCACGTCATCATGGTGGCCATTGGAAGCTCCATCCGCTGGGGCTTTGCTGCTGGCACCGCTGTCCTCTGTGCGCTGCATTGCCCCCTGCTCTTTCGGCGCGCGCCCCTCGTCCTCGTTTATGTCCCCCAGACGCTGCACACACCACAGGCACAGCTCAGTGTGAGGATTGTATACAGCCTTCGAGGTATGAATCCCTGTTGTGGATTGGGAAATTCCTGGACTAAAATGCAAATGGCCACAGCCTGAATACAATGCCATGATGGCAGTGTCAGCACATCAAGTGCTACTCTTAGAAATCCCATTTGGCCAGTAGATATCCCCCTCGGTATTGATACCAGCAAAAGCCTTTTCACAAAAGTACAAGCTTGCACGGAGATCTTATATTTGGCTTTACAGAGGCAAGCAATGCCTCATGCAGAGACTCTCGATGGCTCTGTCCATATCTCAAGGGTGCCTGATAAGGGTTGATCATGTGACAGTCTTGGAAATGGGACACAGCAACGTAGGACCCACCCGTGGGCGGACCACTTTGCCGTTCATGGAGCCTGTGCGGCGGGGGATCCTCCTCAGCTGCCACTCATTCAGCATCTGTTCGCCCCTTACCAGGTATCGCTGGTGCAGCTCCACATACTCCTGCACAACAGATCCGGAGCTTCAGGCATCCAAGTGAGAGAGCTTCAAATTGAGGGTCTTGACATGTGAAAGGACACTAAGCAAGGACACAAATGTCCCACGATACTAAAAGAACTTGGCAATGCTTCCAACACTTCCGCCCAACATAGGCAGACATAGGCACAATGATAGCAAGGCACCTGTCTGATCCTGATTGTGTGCTGAAATTAGCAGCTAACATAGCAAGGTGAGACCCAACTTTGGATGGGCCAGACCTTGTAGAAGCGAATGAGCAGCCACTGTCCATATGCAATGACGATCACCACATACACCAGAGTTACCCTGCACACCAGTCAGCAGGCAGATCAGCTCCCAAGTCCGCAGGCCATGACTCGCTTGCATAACAATTCGATAGATAGTAATCCTACATGGTCTTCATTGCAGTGATTTGCAGATCCTGAGAATGTTTGCTCAGGAGTGCTTTATTATCACGAGGACAATTCGGCCCTCCACCAAAATAGTACAACCCTTTACATGCTGTGTGCATGCATGGGTGCTTTTCTGCAGGTGATACAGGGACAGCAAGGCAACGCAAAGAAGGGTTGTACCAGTAGAGCGGCGAGCCGAGCTCCAGATTCGACATGGTGAACTTTCCAAACGTCACGCCCGGGTTCCTTTTGACTCGTGGGCCCGATGCGTACACCGGAAGGACTGCGCATGCACACAAGCAAATTTTTAGCTCTCATCTCAGTTGCAGAGAAGCCAAGCTGCAGAAGCTGGAATATTTCAATCGCACGCCATGTGTACTGTTGACAGCAGTGGTTGGCGTGAGCATTACACATCGCTGTTCTTGGGAAGATTGATTGTTTGCAATAATTTGCTGGCCATACTACATTGGACTCCCAGACGAACTCAAAGCGAAGCATGAGAGCGTAGTACGCACGCAGCACGCAGGAGAGGATTGTCACGGGGCCAAAGAAGAGGATCCCAAACGTGAATGCGCGGTGGAAGATGAGAGCGTCCAGGCCGGCAGTGCGCATCAGCTCTGCATCGCTGACGGCCAGCACCGGTCGGATCCAGGACCTGCATGGCACATGCCGGCACATGCGCTCACTTGCATCCAGAATCATTTGCCGTTCCACGCACATGCATGCCGCTTATTTTGCATAGCAGGCATGCAATGCAGCCATGCACTGCTGTACGTAAACTATGAGAACTATGTGAAGAGTTATAAACAATCAGAATTCCATCAGGGATGTCCTTTCAGGAATGCGCTGGCATATGTCTTTCTCCCGGTCTTTAATTGCAACTGATCCTTTCCGAATGCGCATGCACACTGTCGGGCACATGATAGCAGAGATATTGTGGTTCAAGAAGCAGCCGTCATATTGCAAGGCAAACTGAGTTAGAGAGAAGACACACCAGATAACTCTAGGGAAGGTGAGTGCCATGCCGGGAGGTTTGTCCAGGACCTCGGGTAGCAGCTGCAAGCAGCACGAGCCCATCACTTGTGCATGGAAAACAAAGGTATGGTGTATCAATCCTATGGTGCCGGTTCATCTGAGCTGATTTCGGCATGCTTTTTGCTCATGTACATGATGAACAGTCACAAGATCAGACATCATCACACAGCAGGCACTTACAGTGGCAGAAGAAAGGAGACTCACCATACGAGACCTGTAGAAGGCTACACCTGACCATCTGAAGACGATGAAGCCAAAGATGCACGCACAGCCAATGATGAGGTTGAAGATAGCCCTTTGCAACACAGCACAAGAACTATAATATAGCATGCCCAAGCCATTGCCAACATAAAATGTGAAATGATCCGTGTCCTTAAATGCAGCAGAGATATCAATGTCCCAACACTCACCCTGATGCGACCTGGCTGTCGGTGTAGGTGTTTTTCTGCGCCAGCAGACTTGCAACACCACCACCTCCAGGTGTCATTGGTGGCGATGGAGGTGACTGGAGGGGACTGATGCTGCTATTGTCAGGTCCGGCCCCCGGAGCAAATGCTCCTTGTGTCTGTGCTGCAGACTCCGGTATCCCGAAGGCATTGTTGCCCAGAAAGCTCATTGAAGCGTTCTCAGGTGTGCCTCAGCAGCAGTACAGATGCCTAAACCTTCCCACGCTTTACCAACGATACAGTAGCAGTGAACCCTGCTTTGTCATTCTAGAAGACTGCCATCCTATCTCATTACTATTCAGTGCTCGGAAAGACCACCGGAGGGCAAGAGAGCTGAGTTATGTGCCACTGTGCTGTTTCTAGTACACCCGTTATCCCGGCTTCAATCTTTACGAGACATCTGAGATTTCTACGATTGAAGAAGAGATGGTCCTAGAAATCAAATATGCCGCCAGGGACGGGAGATCTGATGGTGAAGCACTGTACGGACATCGGATGAATCTCTTTCGGCACTTACACTTCCCTCCGCATTCAAGAACACCACCACCGTACAGACGGTTACTTAATTCTTCTGAATGAAATCAGCGCATGAGAATGTCCGGGAGTAGCTCCAGCAGTCTCGGCTTTGAAGGCACATGGTGACTGACCGCTGACTAAGTACAGGTCGCCTCTCCAAGAGAACCTCGGTTTGGGAGGTTTAATTGTTGCTCAGATTATGCCTCTGCATGTAACAGAGGCTGGAAGTGCAGCACATGCAGGACCGCAACACCACTGTGATCACAAAACCGCCTAGGATATTCATGCAGAGCTAGGATGCTCCGGAGCTTGCAATACTGCCACAGGAGTTGCCATGCCGCCTCATCCATGCATCCATGCATGGCCACTGGCAGTCAAAAGGTGGTGTACACGGCACTTCTTTTGAGCAACCATTTTAATTTAATAGATCAATCCCAATATTGCCCAGCGTATCAGGACTCATGATCACACCAAGGAGTCTATGGTTCACACAGGATCTGTCTGTCACCCAAGCTCCCAATGATTCCTTGCAGAGCCATAAGACAATACATCAGACACAAGCCACTGTTCTCAAGCAGCACTCCTCTAGACAGGCGCTGCCTCGCATTATTGCATCTTGCATGTTGAGTGTTGTGGGGTTTTATCTCGAGAACGAGTTTTGCAAAATTGAAGGCAGTCCGAACTCCGAAGGGAGGATTGTCCATACACCCCAGTCTGCCAAGAACCTCACACTGCTTGGACTCCTGACATGCCCCTGCTATGCGCTGGAAATTCCAATTTGAATGTTCAAACGCAGGCAAAGGCTGTACACAGCTCCTGTGTGGGCCACTTTGTCCCATGCAAGCTATGGTACATTCATACAATCCCCGCGGCAACAAAAGAGAGAAAAGAACTAATAGCAAACGCAAGCAGCGATAGACTCATTATTCCAAAACCTCATCGTCCCAAGTCGTTTTTACCCATTCAGCTCTCTAGTCTAAGATTTAGACTGCGATATTCGATTCCAACGATTCCAACAGCCGCACCCTTGAAGAAAATCCCCTCAACAAAATCATTTTCCAAAAAAAAGAAATGCACGAATTGTATTGCTCATCATGAAGAATATGCCAGCCCTGCCGGTGGAGAAAGGAGCCCAGAAAGTGAGTAGAGCAGAAAATGCTGTCCCTGAACACTCTTTTACCTGCTGTGGCGCTGAGATGAGCAGCCAGTAAGATCTGTATTGTCAGGGAAAAGAGCTCTTCTCGCTGAAAACAAGGTAGATATCTCAACAAAGTCATCAACATGCCAGCTCCCGAAAAGGCTCACTCATCAGAGGCCTGCAAAGCACAGTACACCTCAAAGTCTGTCTGCAGAAAGCAAGCTGCCTTTATATGATATATAGCTAATGCCATCATCGCACTGTAACGGGTGGATGAATTGTGAAGCACCTGAGTGAGGTAAGGAGAAGCACTGTGAAGGCCTTTTCTGCTGCATAGAGTGACATAGCACCGAGAAGGTCTGCAATCAAGTAAGCATCAGGGCTCACCAGCGGGCCATCTTGTCTGCTGCACCATGAATGGATCTCCTTTAGCGTGCGCCCTTGGCCTCTGCTGCAAGCACCTGAACGACAACCCCAAGTGCCACTTTATGGAGCTGGTTTTGTAGTGCATGCTGGGACTCAAGAAAGGTAGCAGTTGCCAGCAAGTAGGACTTGTTCTGCCCGGATCTTGCTGGCAAATCAACCTATCTTCGTGGACATGCTTGCACGACTACATCAGTACCAACAGGCGTTGGCGTGCAAACCATGCAAGATTGAGCTGAGTCAGCGCCCCTGAAATTACCTGCATTGGAGCAGAGCCAACAGATGGTATGCCACACCTTCAGATGCAAGAGAGTGCAAATACAAAAGACACTGAGCTGGCATCTTGAACAAAATGCATCGACAATACAAACAACTGCGCACCTGCTGAAGAGGGCGTCGATGGAGGCCAGGTCAGCGTGCATGGCAGCGGAAGCGGGGGAACTGACGGGGGGACTGGTGGGGGACTGCCACCGCGGCGACCGCGGGGTCCCCTTGCGCACGGGGGGCGTGGCAGGGCCCTGGCAGTGGTCGTTGAACATCGAGAACAGGATGTCAACCTCGGACAGCGCGCATGTCTCGCGCATTTGCTCCTCCAGCACCCCCAGGCTGTACACCACCTCTGCCATCGACGGCCTGCGCAAATTCAAAGTCAAAATCAAAATAGAGTTCAAAGTCAAGGCTCAAAAAAGTTTTTATAGGTGGCATGCACCAATTCAACTTTGAATCGCATTCAGAAATAAATCAAATTGAAGGCTCGAGAAAGTTTCCATTCATTGGGACAGAGCTGTGTATGCCTTGTCACTAATGTGCTGCAGCACGAATAGAACTGCTGCGAGCCAGCTCTTAACCAAGGCACGCAGATTGGACAAGCAGAAGAGGGTGCAGCAAGCCTCATTGCTACAGTATTTCTGCCATGAGGATGTTAGCAGTGGTCAGGAATGCTGATCGAGAATACTTGACATGTTTCTTCATTTGCACTCATCCAAACCATATACAGAACACAGTTTACTGTTTGAACACCAGAAAATGCATGCGAGACACAGTGGGCGCTGGTATTCACACCTGTACACAGCTTCAGTTGCCAGGCACTGTCTCACAAGCATCTTGTAGGCGGTGGGCAGGCTGTGGCGCACAAACTCCAAGATTGCGGCCTGCCCATCAGAGCTGCGGTCCGGGCACTTCCCTGCAAGATAGCAAGGTACGTCTTGGCATCTTCATTTGCAACCTGTAATTGTGGGCATGACAAAAGAAGGGGCGCATGTCAGGGTGAAGCACGAGGGTGCAAGCCTGCTACAAGAGCTTGCTGCATGACTCGCATGGAAGGCTTTGTTAAGAGGTTTCAGCATTGGAGAAAAGACTGGCAAACCGGATAGACAGCATGCTCCCAAAGTGTCCATTGCAAGAGCCACGCATAGATATGGAGCCGCTGTATTCTGAGGTAGGAAGCCCCGCTTGAACTAGTACAAGAATGGCGCAAGACATCTCCAAGGTCAGGGAAGGATTCACCACACATGCAGTGAATGCTCTCAAATTTGACGGCAAATTTGGCGCACCTGTGACCATTTCAACCATCAGTGCTCCAAATGCATACACGTCGTCAGCAGAAGTGGCGCCATGGAACTCCCCTGTAGACTTGCCACTTGCTGATGCCTGTACTGGCACCCTGCCGTCGCCTCCATGCCCTGCCAACAAAGATATTCTATTAGCAACAAAGTATTATCACACAGAGATGACTTAATCACCCTACGCATCCAGCTTTTGGTGCTTATATTCCTCAATGCTTATAATGTACAATACCACCACCCACAAAAGGCCAAGTGGCTAACAATCCTTGCTCTACAACACTGGCAACTTATCTTTCCGATGGCAAGTGATCCCTGACGGAATATTTGCATACCGGCGCCAATGCTCCCCATTGAACATGTTGGCAAATGCCTCTGACATGTTCCAAATGCAATGTATGTCCAGGCCCGCACCTATCTTTGCAATGAACCCCCTCCTGTCCAACGAGCTCTTTCTGAGCAGCACGGTTGATGAGCTCAGGTTGCCATGCACAATGCATGACGCATGCAAAAAGGCAAGCCCACGGCCCACCTGCACATAGGAGCCTCAATGTTAAGCAGGGGCCAGAACAGACCACAAAAGTCAAATTGATAAAAATTTCACATTGGGGCATTCTAGAGGAATAGGGCAGCAATTCGCAGGTAATGTGCTTCGACCGCTCTTAATACCAACAAAGTATACTCTATTGGTAGACTAAAAATTGACGCTTCCGTACCATAAGCGTGCTCGATGCAATGTGACAAGCAGCAACCTCAGCATCCTAGGTATGCTCATGGACATTGCAAGAAGCTCTCCAAGGCAGATAGGACGCACCTCCAGCAGAGTTGTGAGTTTGAGAGCGAGCTCCCCATCGCTGTCATGCTGTTCTGAGGGCTTGGTGCTGCCTGTGAAGTGTATGAAGTTGTCCGGGATGCTGCAGTCCGCCTTGGCTATGGACCGCTCTGCAGACTGATCAACCACCTGTGCCAGCCTGCAGCCAAAACCCTCTATCTCAGGGCAGGTCAGCCGCTGCTTCTCCCTTTCATGCATCATGCATCTTCCCAATGGATGCACAGCAACATCGGTTCCTTTCCAACTTTCTAGGCACCTTGCAGGTCAGCTTAATTGATGACACCGCCGTGTAGCGGAGCAAAGCACACTTCCTTCTTTCCCAATCTGCAGGGACAAGAGCTGCAGGGACAACTAATGAGCTCTGATTGCAATACCTTCCGATGAACTCTGAGCTGTGACTACACAGCCGTGCATGTAATGCATTGATGCTGAGTTCTTGATGACAGTTTCTGTGCTAGGTCTTGAGGGCTCTTAAGGTCGCGCATCCCCACAAGGACAAGAACAAAGGCAGGTAGGAGATCAAGGACCATCTCCAATAATCAGATCCTCACCTGGCTGCAGTGGGAGGTACGCCATGCACCATGCTGGCCGCCTCTTCAGGCATCAGCGCCACCTCATCGTCTGCATCGCCACCCTCATTCTCCACAGACGCCTGCACAAACCACCACCCTTGAATGGTTGCATGCTTGGCAGGCAGAGACATGCTTGTCCAATGACTGTCTATCAGCAACGTCAAAACAGCAACTTGACAGGTGGATTAATTTTCAAATTAAGGACAAGCCAACAAAGCGACGTTCACAAGGCATGGGAAAGGGCACACATCGTGCACATCGAGTGTCCACATCACGATTTGTCATTTGCTTCTGCCTAAATCGAGACAGATGGTTTTGCATGAATCAAGGGCACTTTGGAATAGGGTCATGAGGTGCGCACACCTGGCACGTGAGTGAACGCGCACCCGGAATATTCTTGCATCTGGGCCGATCTATTACATAACTATTACTGATTGCGCGCACCTGGTCCATGACAGGGAACGCGCACTCAGACGGGGCGGGGGAGGGCAGGCCCTGGCCCTCGCAGGAGGGCGCCCCGCTGATGGGGCAGCTGCCCACGTTGTAGAGGATGTCGATGTGGTCTCGCAGCGTTCCCTCCTGACACAGCTCCGCCACCGTCACCACCTCCAGCAGCTCCTCGTGCTTCTGCACCCACACCAAAAGCGTGAGACACGATACGAAATAATCTCTCCCTTACCCCACTTGTGCATCTCACTTCTGCTCATATTTCCAGTACCGCTACTACAAGCATACTTCTGCCACACCCCCTAGCACGGTGCTGCTGTTTCCTCTCAGGAGCAATGCATAATTGACTGAGCAAGCCCCTGAGCAGCACCGCGTAATTTCTTTATTTCTTCCCAGAGGCTACTTCAAAAATACAGCGGGGTGTGAGGTTGCTGCTCCTGTGTATTTGCCGGCTGGCCCCTGAAAACCCCGCCCTGTCCTATGGTCGCAGGATGCATTGCATGAGTTAGGGTGAGTCACCTCGTCCCGGGCAGCCGCGGCGGTGGTGGCCCCCACCAGCTGCAGCGCCTTGTGCAGGTTAACGGGGATGGCACTGCCGGGCGAGCGCAGGCAGCCGCTCACGTAGTCGCGCCCTCGCTTCACCACCGTCCACTTGTACGTGTGCAGCTCCACCTGCACCAATTGATGCTACTGTTCACACGTCTGGACCCTGGAACCCAGATGGACCCCATGTTGTAATGCGTGCCATCAGGAAAGGGATGCGCATTCATGCCAGAGATCCTCATACACGCAGAATGCAGGCGCGCTTATGAGGATTCCCAGGGTCATGACCTTTTTGAAATCATACTAGATATGCACGGGCCCTGAGGTATGATCTCACGGTCAAAGGGCAGAGAGCGCAAGCTAGAGCGCCAAGCAGCTCTGCAGGTGCCTCGCGGGAACATCGCCGAGGATACACTATAACGGGACTGATGCCAAACGTTGCTGAGAAGTTAATTTAGGGGGGGGCGGGGTGGCTGACCAGGTTAGGGTGCGCCACCAGGCGGCACATGGGCGAGACAGGTGTCGGCTGCACGCCATCCGCATGCTGCCGCACTTTCAGCGGCAGCCGCACAACCTTAACAGCCACTGGGGCGCCTTGCCACTTGCCTGGACACAGCACACTCATGTGAGACTAATTGTATGGCTCTCCACCCCAGGATATCAACGAGAGAAGACCTAGCGAATTTCACTGTTGCTCCTAGTGCAGCTTCAGCAATAAGATTGGGGTTTGAGAGGGCCGGTGCAGGGATGCTTCTGGCCTCACTGGCAAGGGCAGCAATGGAGCGTTCTGATGATATGTACTGCAGGCCTCCAGAGGCTGTGAAGGCGAGAGGCTACCTTTGAAGATGAAGCTCCTGCAGCCCCTCCCTAGCAGACTCGACACCTCCACACACAGCCTATCACTATGCTGCAGCAGTACTTGCGCGCATGCAGAATGATCCACTGCTGGCAGCTCTGGCAGTGCCGCTTGCTCTGTCTTGGGCTGCTCTCTGGGCCCATGCCTCCTTCTGAGGTGAATTTTGAACCAGTGCGAGCACAGCAGTCCGCTTAACAGAACACAGACGAATGCTGTGCATGCCGCGGACCACAGAGGGATGCAGTGCTGGTCTGGTCCCGCAGCAGGGCACTGCATTGTGGCTGCTCTGCCTCTCAGCCTGTGCCTGCACACGTATTGCGGGAAATAGGTATGGTACGTCCATAAGGAACCCCTTTTCAACCGCTTGAATAGAGTGACAAGGGAGCACACAATCCCTGCCCACAAGGGAGGTTGCAACGACTGAACTTAGGATGCTCTGGATGTGAATCCTCCTCCGATTAATCATAGGAACGAGCCCTAATCGTATGAGCAAGTACACGCACTGCACTCGACAAGGATTCGCACTGCAACAAGCTGAGCAGGTTGATTAGCTGCACCTGTGAAGACTGTGGAACGGGAGAGTCGCCTATTCAAATCGTTCGATTCACTACAGCGATAGAATGCCGTTCTTATATTGTCCCGGCGTACAGTGCAGGCTGAGGGTTGGTCCCAAGAAGGCAACCCATCCTATGAGCATCGGAATAAATCAGAAACTGTGCTTTCGTGGCTGAACAAGACGCGATGCTAGACAGTCGAGGGCAACGATGCAATCTAATCGGCTGAGTGAACAGCCCAGACGCGGTGAAATGGCCGAAAAGACGAGCCCAGCACCAAACCCAGCACTGTGGAAAGAGTGAGGCCGCGACACCCCTGCCTCAAGCGCCGAAAATCACAACATTGCACATCTACAAATCTTGGGCAGCTTGCTGCGCCTTTCTGCGGCGTCCAACAAAGCAGTCGACAGGCAGGAGCAGCAAAGATCTCCAGATCTAAATTTTCACTTTTTACGGGCAGGTGACAAACATGGTGATCCCCGCCCGTGACATCACCTGCAGATAGACACCCGCATCGTCGCTGTCGAAGTCCATCCCGAAATTTAAGGTGGTTTGCTAGGGACGGCCCCTCAGCATTCGTGTAAGAAGGGGTTGTAGACCTGTAGGCTGCAAGGGTGCATTTGCGAGTTGACAAGGCTGCAAGCCTGTGCATATCGGCCCCAGGTTCCGGCTGCAGACGCTTTGTATGCCCTATGGCCCTCTGGGCTCTGGGTTCGCCGCTCATGAAGATAATTAATATTAATATTATTTGAGCCGGCCAGCACGGTATGCATAATTCATGCATAATTCATGGCATGAATTTCATGCGCATGCGCATGCAGCATACACATGTTCAAGAAGTAGCGTTTTAGATGTTTGTTGAAAGAGCTGAAAATCTGCTCCATGCCAGGACCTGCAACTTACTCGAAGCTTCACCTCGAGATGCACTGCACTGCAAAGATCTGAAATATCTGGCAGACTCCTCTGGCTCTAAGCAAGGTCGCTAGAGTATAAAATGATTGGGCAATCAACGCCCGTTTTACCGCTTACCACTACCAACGGGTCCAAGCAACCCCAACATTATGTAGCGGCAGTCTTCAAAAGTTCTCATGGTGTAGAAACAGTGAAACCTGCGATCATCCTTGTCAAATTTTGGCAATTTGCATCTTCGCTTGACTCCTCACCAACTTGCTGGTGCATGCAAACTATTCTCCAGGGACCCCTTATGTTTCTTCAGTCCAAAAGCTTCTCGGATGGCGGAGTGACTAAATCGGTACAAGTGGTTTTTCGCTGTCGGCCTCAGCTGAGGCCAATAGGGGGGACGGCTGGTCACACAAAGCGCGTGGCAGCGCGCAGGGCCTGGCGCTTCATGCCCCCAGAGCTGGCAGCTGCGCAGCGCACACACGCGTATTAATGATGGGAAGGGAAGACCAAAAAGTTCATTGGACTGCCTCATGGAAGTGCATTGGAGGTGGAGCTTACTACATATGTGAACAAACTTTATCCCTGATTACCCAAGGTGTGGGTAGCACCAGTTACGCTGGTATGCATAGCCTGGACTCCACAGTTAACGTACAGGAGCAGAGGTAAATGTCAAAAGCGAAAGGAACTCACGTTTGGGGCGGACTTTGAAGTCCTTACGGGCCTGCGCAGAGACGTGCTGGATCTCATAGCCAGTGCGATCTGTGTGGTCGGTGACGGCGTCCAGAACGTGCTCTTGCCTCTTCAACTCGTCATTCATTGCCTGCGCGCCACATGTGTCATGATCAATCCTTGGCAGGACTGCACTGCATGTGCTGCTCTTCTGGACACTCTTCACATCCTCACAGGGCGCCTCACAAAGATGCCTCTAGAACCTTGGCCAGATGCAGGCTCACATGCATAGCTTGCAGATGCTGATAAAGGGCGAGAAATGCCGTCCAGGCAGACTATGGCTAAGAGGACCTCTGTCAAAGATTGAGCACATGGGTTTGCTTGTGCAATGACTGTGTGCATGGCAGAATTGCGAGGGGAGGATGGGGCTCACATGGCTCATCTGCTTGAGGTCTCCCAGGGCCGTGCCAATCTGGTCAAATGCCTCCTCTTGCTTCTCAGTCTCGGCATGGATCTCCTCCTTGTCTTCATCTGCACCCATGCAGGTCCTCTTTCATACTCATTACAGCACCCACGACTTGCCACAACACCAGCATGGTTTAGACCCTCATTCTGCTTGTGTGGCATACCAGATGCACCACACCTGCTTGAATTCAGCATGGGATAAATTGAGCGGCTTCAGGTCAAAATGCAGCTTCGTTCCGGCAGGCTTGTGCAGAGGTAGGCCCAAAAATCTGGTGCCTCAGAGGCGCATGTGTGTGCTGGTGGTCAAATGACGGCATGTCAGTAGGCAAATGCAAAGTAAGGAGGCAGTGCTTGCCTGCGAGATTCTCCCCTATCCTGTAGGCCGGGTTGCGAGCGGCCTGCCTCTGGCGTCGGCGCTCCTCGATGTTCACCCGGCCGGGCTTCTCAAGCAGCTCGTTGCGCGCCGCTTCCTCGTTCACCTGTGAGGGATATCAAGCTATGCATGTAAGCAATGTTCCTGCTCCCTGCATTGCTGTTGAATGGTCAGCTTGGGAAGTCCTCCTCAGAGGCCATCAACTTCCTCAAGATTCCCTATGGAACCAAGACACGAGCAGCAACATAGCTGCGGCCATAGTTGAATGTGGCCAGCATGAGGGGGAACAACGCAGTGCTCTTCCTGCTTTGCTGCTAATAGATGCAGGTCACCGCCGCGGTCATAATTCAATGGTTCAAATGGGCATGTAGCCACTTTCTAGTGTTCAGTCCAATTCCTCGATCAAATGCGACACTGCTGTTAGAAGGGATGACAAGCAAGGGAGGCACACCGGGGCATGGGCTGCGACGGCGCCGGTTGATGACTCAGTTTTGCGCGCCTCGTTGGCCTTGGCGTACATCTCCGTCTCCTGTGCTCTGGCCTGGTTGCGTCTGTACAGGCAGATAAAAACTGGTCATGCTCCCATGCACTGCCCCTGCCAACTACAATCCACACATGGCTTTCCAGTGACCCGTGACCTTCCTTGTCCGCAACCTGTCATCATGTATCATGGGGCATGGAAAGGCATAAGGCAGTATTCTCTGCCAGAGGTTGAAGGGAAGACATGCCACAACAAGCATGGACCGTCCTGGTACGATGAAAACTCACCCCTTCACGCGCTGCTTGCGAGTGTTGTCGCGGACAACATCACGGTCGCCATCACAGCAGCAGGAGCACAGGAAACACATGCAGCAGCGCCGCATGTAGCTCAACACGCTCTTGGACTCGTCCACGTCCTGGTCGATCTGCAGCAAAGAACGTTCCATGGTATTACATACTGTTCTCCTAGGGAGGCCAGTTGCCGTGAAATTTCTAGCAATTCATGACACCTGCTATCTCTGAGAGCATCTTGTCGCAAGAGGAGTGCTTGACGGCAGTGGCATGGCAAGATGCAGGCCAGGTTGTACCTCGTGCAGGTCTGCATCGATCCTGTCCAACTTCTGGCCTTGGCTCTCTAGCTCGCCCAAGGTATTCGCTGCCAGCTCGCGTGTCCTCTCTGCTGTCTGCAACAATAGAGGCAAAGGTTGAGTTCTCTCTGGAGTGCTTCGTATGCTCAAGGGCTTGTGCATGCACTGTCTCGAAGTTGAAGGAGGAGCTGGCCAGAGAGGGCTGAACCTGGATTGAGAACTCCTTTGAAATGTGCACCACAAATTTATCTATTGAGAAACCCTCTATTGTGGGTAAACCCTTTCCTGCTAGCTGAGTTTCACCCCAACAGACTGACGTGAAGCTACAGTGCTGACGAAGCAGGGACAGCACAGGTGAGGATTCTGAAATAACCTTCAGCGCTCTTTGAGCCGAGGCAGTACTTCCCCTGTGCACGCGCTTGGCTTTGTCTACCAACTCTGCTTCATCAGCAGTGTAGTGGTTGTTGTAGTAGCCCCCATTCTCGTTGGGAAACGCCATTGTATGTCCCTCCAATGTTGAAGCAAAAGCTAGTAAATGCAGTTGTATTTGCCGCCCGGTACTTGAGCTTATGTTGGGTGAGGTGGGCAACGAAGTTGTCTTCCGAGACTCGGAATCAGAATTCGTTCTGTGCGCGCCTCGGATGAGGATACACTTTCCAGCTTCCCAATCAATGGAAGGTGGGGAGCCTGGTCTCCACCAATGGCTGGGATATGGTTGTGGCCATTTACAACACTAGAGACCTATGTCATCCGACAATTATGAAGTTTCAAACGCTCTTCATCGTGTTTCATGCTTGCCCTAATGAGGGATGACTCCAGTCACGTGACTAGCTCGTGCGGGGGTCCCCGTGTGTCCCCACGGAATCCTGGCATTCCTCGATTTGAACGGCCGAACGCCACCTTTCAGTCTGACAAATGCGATTTGACATGCGTGGGCTGTTGATAGTACTCCCAGGCCATGCTGATTGCGCAGCTCGACAACTCAGTACTTGATCCAGAAGCCTCCCGATGCCCAGGTGGACAGACGCATCGCATCCAGCTGAACGATCTGTGCTCCTTTAAATACATATTTTCCCTTTGTGGCGTCCAAGGACCTGCAAGAGCGCTTGGAACCATCGAAGCATTGGTCGTGCTTCTATCTGCAGGTGGCACAGATGCCCGAGCCTGAGCCTGAGAATGTGGACCCCAAGCACAACTCAAGCGCTCCAGAAGACACGAAGAGCGATGTGAAGGATGAGAGGGTGGTGTCTTGGTTGGATGGAGTGGATGGGAAGAGCTTGTTCACGGTAGGTTTTAGCACCTGATTCCCCTGGCGTGAAGCAGTTCCCAAAATCTCTGCAGAATATGACAAAGAAACTGATGCAAAAATACGATTCTAGGAGCAGGCAATAAACAACAGATGTCACTCATTCTAGAAAAGGATCTGTGCCAATCCTGCAATGCTGTTGCACTCAATACCATTTTGCAAGAAGCAAGGATGTCTTTGTGCAGGTGAGAGAGTTTGAACCCAGCGAAAGTGGCCTGACAGACGATGAAGATGAGGCATGGGACAAGCGCAAAAGCTGCTGTTCATTGATGTAGCAGCCTGGAATGGGGAATTTGGCGGGTGCAGTTTTGAGGTACTTTCTAATCAAGCAAATTCTGTTTCAATTTATCATGAATGGATCAAGAATGTCAAGGTTACAGTCAATGGCAGTTTCTTGATGTCGAAGAGCTTCTGGAACTATAGTCTTCTTCAAGAGCACCTGAGCAGGAAACTGTTGATGTCAACAGTAGTGCTCTGCGTGGCCAGTTTGTCCAATGTCAAATGCAACATGTGAGCGCTGCTATCTAGTCCCAGACAGCATGTTTTCCTAGGTGTATCGGAAAACTGTTGTGCACAAGCTATGTGCAAAAGATTCCTCCATTGAGAGGATTTTGGTATTATTTGGCACCTGCAGGAAATCCTGAATAGCTCTTGTCAGGAATCATGTGTGGTTGCACCTGGGTAGCGCTACATTGCCCTGAATTTGCATTGGAACTCTTTTTCTCGAACAACCTGAACTTTTCGTGTGAGGGCATATATGCCTGTGTGGATACATACAGCACATGTATGTTTTAATAGCAGGCAATTATTTTCACTGCTTCTGCATATTAGGGTGCGATCCTTGTGTGAAGGAATTTTAAAATTAGGATGACCTCAATATTAACAGTCATAATGAGAAGATCTTCCCTTGAATTGGTGGGATGCTATGCCAGGGGGCTGCATGGCAGCCTCTGCTGATCCTTGAATGTGCTAGTCATGGTGACCATCACAGATCTTACCATCTGCATGGTCGTGCACGCAGTTGCGTTCTTGGTATTGCCGGATGTTCCCATGGTGGCCCGTGAACGTCACATGTGAGACGGCAGATGAGCATATTAAATAAATTGGCATGATCATATTCTCTCACCATGCTGTCACTGAATTGTGGCGCGCTGTGGCGGTTCCTCTTGCAAGCCTCGATGCCCACCGTGGTGACATCCCCGAGGAAAGTGGGTAACCTTGAACTTGCCCACTTCACCCTCCAAGTGCAGCAGCTGCTAGTTGCCAGCTGACAGCATCACATGTATCAATGTTCCGGCTGCATGCATGGCCACGGACCATTAAGAGGCCACCGGCACCACCGGTGCACCGGTGACCGACGCAGGCAGGAGCCAAATTCAATTTTGCAACTTGCGCAAGCTTGTGTGCCCGGGGCAAGAACTTTCAAAGCAGGCTTGCATGGAGCCAGCATGCAACACCATGAAGCTGTGTAGAACTTCGGGGAAATTTATTTATGGTGCTGGAATGAGTGAAGCCTGAATCCAGCTGGACACCTTCTGGGCAGGAGAAGCGTCCACGTCATCGGTTGGGATAGCCATTGGCTCCCCAGACACCAGCTTGGGCGATTGAAACATCATTTTCTCATGGTCCAATAACTTTCAAGCATCCAAAATTCTTTGAAGGCCACTTGCGTCTCTACAGTGCAAAGTGCCATGATCGGCTAACACTCTAGATCGTGATGGACCTGCAGTGTCCTTGTAAGCACAGTTGCAGTCCTCCACCAGTGCGCTCTCGACCTCATGTGCATGCTTTGACGGAGAGACTGAAGCAGCAATTGATAGGCTATCATAATTTTTATTCGTTCGGACAAAGGAGCAGGCGCTGTCCACGGCCAGTCGTGCTCAATGCTCTCGATGGCATTGACGCTGATACAGGTGTGCAGCGTGCAATTGATTATGCGTATTATACCGTATTAAGGAATTTAAGTGCCCATCCGAATGGTACGGGGACTAAATTTCTGCACGATTGGATTGCTTCCCTCACCTTATGTATTCTCTTTCTCTGCAGCAACATCGGGAGTCCAGGTGATACAGAGCCTGGCAAGCCTTCAGACCTTGGAGACAGCAGCTTCTGTGATCCGAGGAGCGGCACAGTCGGTTTCATCCGTCTTGCCATGGCCCATTCAGCAGCCTGTGGCAGTTCTGGGCTCAGATCTCGCATCTGTAATTGCTCTGCAGCCAGATCTGGATGGCGTTGGGAGGCTTGTCGTGAGTTCGTTCTTCCACTTGAGCATATCAATCCCTCTCCATCATGATCCGGTTTCAATTCTTCATGTTGTGACGCTTGCTCACGGGCTGCTTTGCATGCCCCTTGCTCAAAGAGATGCATGGGCATGAGGCCATGCCCCTTCCCCACGCAGTCAACCTCTGGAGCTTGCCTGTGCCAACATTGAGGCTCCTTGTGTATGCCTGAGCCACATGCGTGCTGTTGCCTGCAGGCCATCTACTACCTGCTGCTGATGCGGCCGAGTCCAGTGTTGGGCGTGCTGGACTTCTACGTGCTGGTGCCCTTTGGGAAGCTGTTCCAGAGGCGCTACCGCGTGGCCGAACTCACTCTGCGCGACCGCCTCGGCGCCGGCAACTTTGGACAGGTGCTGCACTTCCTTATTTTTTGAGCAGAGAATCTTTGTTTATCGAAGGCTGTCCTTGCTCACACAGTAAGAGCAGAAAGGGAAGCTGTCAGGCAGTGGATTGGTGCGCTCGGTAGTGCATCCCTTGAGCAGCTCACACGGGATCTTTCCCTGTGCATGGGGCCTTAGGCCGACTGGGAACAAAGCAGCTAAATAAATTCAGCGCACAGGGAGTAATGTTGCAGCACCTTGGGTCCATCCTCAGGGGCCTTTCCCTCACTCGAGTCAGTCAGTCCGAGTCGGTCAATCACATAACATCGCTTCTCCAGCCATTCAGGACTGAATAAGGCCTGACACAGTCGGAGCCCAGCTTGGCATCCAAACGTCGAGAAACAGTTTGGCGCACACCCCAACACCCCAGGACAATTGCACCTCTTACGCATGGAGTGTCTGCGCAGGTGTTTGAGGGGATCAAGAATAAGGACGGCGAGCGCAATCGCAATGCGATGCTGACGCCGGAAGAGAAGAAGCGGCGGCTGGTGCTGAAGCGCGTGAATCTGGATGGCGCCGAGCAGCGCAGCAGCTTCCTGCGGGCTGGCACCATGGCCAGGGTGAGTCACCGGAATGGTAGTTGCCCAAGCTCCAGAGACAAATCGTCAGCGCCCCAAGGTGCAGGAATAGCGTTTTGAATCCTCGGAACATTAGCAGGATGGCGTTGTGGCTGGCGTACGGTCGTTGTTGAAAGTTATAACTGCTTTCCAGATTCACCGAGGCAGTAGGCATGCATTTGGCACGACCAGCCGAGAATAAAACGGGGTCTTCCAGACACATGCACCTCTGTGCTCTGGTGTGTAGATCTGCGCAGCGTCATAAAGGTCCTTTAAAGGCAGGGACTCCACGAGCTGGCTGCTGTGGGTGAATCAATACTGGTGGGTATGTCAGGAGGCGGGACAGGAAAGGTCTGGGGGGAAACCTGGCAGCTAGCAGGATTTACACAGCCAAACGAAACCCCCTACCCCTTTACAAAATGTTGGGGCTCAAGGAAACATCCTGGTGCAGGGAGCGGGGGAGACGGGTATGGCAGAGGCGTACATGTGCTCGCGGATTATGCGCGACCCGCTGGTGCGGCAGGGCATAGCGGAGTACCAGGGCGAGTTTGAGGCGGAGGAGACCGACGGCGGCTTCACGCGCGGCACGCAGTGGCTCGTGTGGAAGTTCGAGTCCGACTCCACTCTCGGAGACGCCATGCAGGTGCGCACATGTGCTCGCATGCGCAGGCTGGGCCGGCTGTGCGCGCTGAGCTTCCACGCAGGCCAGAAGAAGCATTGTGCAGCAGGTGTCATGCGCACATGCATAGCATCTTTCTCGAGGAGGAAGCCTGAAGGCACTGGTGCATGGGAGGATGCACTTATTTCAACGGAGGCAGTTGGCGTCAGCAGTCTCTGAGCATTGGCTTCAACATGTCAGGAGTGCTTGTCAGGTGTGTCCAAGCATGCACAAGGTTCAGGGCCTGAGCAAAAGAGCAAAGTTCAGTCAGTGAGTGCATGGATGCATGCTTGTCGCAGGGCAGCCTCGGCAGCCGCTTCCCGGAGTGCTTGGAGGAGATAATGCTGGGGCGCATAAGGGACAACGTAGATGAGGCAAAGCGAGACACAGCCATCATCCGCGTCGTGCTGAAGAAGCTCGTCACAGGCGTCAAGGGGCTGCACTCTCTTGGTGAGCTCTTTTGTACCACTCTCTGCACATCATCTGTCAGCCACCAGAATGGATGATTGGATGTGGCTGCTGTCAAAGAACGACGTCCTTGAGTACTGATGAGCTCAGCAAAGTATCTTTAGCCAGCTCTTGCCCAGCATCGATTGCAGTCCCTCTTGCCACCCCTTGTTCTTGCATCTGCAGGGGTGAGCAGGATTGTGTTTTTCAGCAAGCGATTCTTACACCTTCAAAAATGACTTTTTGATGCACTTTCAGCATGGCTGAGCGAACATACTTATTATGTCGCTGCAGGCATCGTGCATCGGGACGTGAAGCCGGAGAACGTGCTGATCACTGCTCAGGGGGACGTGAAAATCATCGATTTTGGCGCTGCCGTGGACATGTGCACGGGCATCAACTTCAACCCCCTGTATGGCATGCTGGACCCCCGCTACAGGTGCGTGCCTATTGAAGCATCTGCTCAATCAGATGAACATCGTTCAATCAGGGGCACTCACCAGTCCTCGCATTCGCTCATCTGGTTGTGACGTTGTGCGCACCCAGTAGTTCTTGTCCCTCCCTTGACTGGCGGGTGCCCAGCCAGAGGAGCGTGGTTCTCAAGGGCTGGTCAGTTGTCTTGCTTGGGATATTAGCACCATGCATACTAGCGCTTGCACGTCCTCACCAGAGCTTTGGCAAGGCTCTGAACATTTTGAGCCTGGGTGGCGGATCCTGGTCTGATATGATCGTGGCTCGGTCTCTCTAGCGCAACAAATATGTGGATACCATCAGCGCTGGCATGCAGCGATGCATGCATCACAGGATGTAAATGATCTTGCAGTGACCATCCTTGTCATGCTGAGTCGGACAATGGCTTCTGCCTGATTTTGAGCTTGAGCGAGCAATGCCGGATTTGCCAGTGGCCCTGCTCTTTTCAGCGTAAGTATCACTGTATTTATCTTTTCTTTTTGCCTGATGCGCGCAGCCCGCCAGAGGAGCTGGTGATGCCCAAGAGCTTTCCACGCGCGCCGCTGCCATTTCTGGCCGCGCTGGTGTCGCCACTCGCGTGGCAGATCGGCCGCCCCGACCTCTTTGACACCTACAGCATTGGCGTCCTGCTGCTTCAGATGGCAGGCACGCCTCTTTAGAACCTGCTGCACCCTGCGACCTACTTCCAGGACATGCACACCTCGTTTGAGACATGCGAGGGGCCACTGTCATGTCCCTCGAGGGCTGTCTTGCAATTGCTTATCATCCATGTGGCCGTTTCCAGTCAAGGCGGTGCTCTGAAAGCATGCAAGAGACTGCAATTTTTGGGGAGTGCATGTGATGCAGAGCATGTGACAGCACTGCAGGGATTGCAGGAGACAAGAGCACCTCCCGTACCTCGCACAGCAAGTGTCTCCCTGCTGTTGCGCATGCAAGGCTTCACCAGTAAGTTGCTGTCAAGGTTGTGTGAATCAATATTGTGTGTCTGGGCAGTCCCGGAGCTGCGTGCGGCTTCCGCTGTCCGGACGTTCAACACGGCGCTCAAGCAGTGTGACTGGGATTTGGAGGAGTGGCGGGCCACAAAAGGTACCAACCGCCTCCATCCATAAATGTTATAATCTGATTAGCTCGTATCCCTTGAGAATCTTGACCCCGGAATTGCTTTGATTGCTCTCGACAGGGCAACTATATCCGACCAGTCAGAAAAGAAACCTCCTCTTAACCCGTTGCACAACAGGAAATTCACACAGAGCCTTATGAAGCCTTCTTTACAGTCACTTTCGGTGAATTTCAGTACCTTCTCTTTTCACCCATTGTGCAACAGCCGTTTGACATCGGGCCTGATGACAACCGTTTCTCTAAACTTTCCATCCTTGTGCTCCAGGTGCGCGCTATGATTACTCACTGCTGGACCGCAGAGGGAACGCCGGCTGGGACCTGGCATGCAAGCTCGTCTGCCGCCGCAACTCCCTCAACCGTGGCCGCCTCTCCGCAGCCGCCGCCCTACGCCACCGCTTCTTCCTCCCGGAATTCTAGCGGCTGCTAGAGCTCTTCACTGATGTACTTTGTCTCCGGAGATCATTAAAAGAGCAGAGGGCTTCTTCCCTCACTCTCTACCCTTTACTGCAAGCACGAGTCTGCAGGCCCGTAGTCAGTATGTGAAGACGAAGTACCGAGAGTGAAAGCATGTGTGATATTGCTTCTTGTTTGTAGGCCTGTTGGTTTTTCTGTGCTAAGGTTCTTTTCACTCTTGAGTCTATCTGTCGCCTTGAGATGGAGATCGCAAGTAATGTGACTCAATTTCACCTCACCTATGAATATTCTTTTGCCCTCTTCTGCCATACTGCTGCAATTCTGCCACATGGAGCATTGCATAGGAGCGCATGCTCACTATGATGTGACTGTCATTTGAGACTCTTTTCTGGGCAGTATGACAGCAAGAACACCAGTATCTGGCGTGATTTTTGCGCCATATATTACTGTACATGCAGCCAACTTCCTGCCTGGAGAGAATGGAGTGTGTCTAATGCACCCATGCTTCCCACAGGCTTGCAGACCTTGTAGAGAAATAGAGTTGTGCTTTGTTTTGAGTGAGTGTAGCATTGAGCAGGGAATGTGAATGAGCACAACTAGTAGCGCAGGCATCTTTCTATAACAAGCTAGTAGAGCCCGTGCTTAGCTTTTGCCAATCAGGAGTGAAGCTGTAGAGTCTGACCATCCACTGTATCACTTGTGTTCCAAATTTTGTAATGATCATGCAGTGCCAAAAGTTCAGCGTTCTAGACTTTCCAAGGACCTCTGCAATTCAGTTCACTGCCCTCTGCCCCAATTGGGACTAGATGTCCAATTGGGTTGCAATTGCTCTCATCTCGACTGCACCTTCACTTCCGGGGGATCCTCATGAGCTACCGAATAGCAGAAGCAGCCCCTCCTTCACTTTTCAAAAAGCGTAAGCCTTTGTGTAATGCAAATGATTCACATGGAGTCCTTCTGCATCCAGTGCATGCACACATGCCAGTCCGAAACTCTTGAGCACTTAGGTTCTATCTAAGCGTCACGCGCTTCAATCTTACCCCAAAGCCATATTTTCCGCTCAGGTGATGGGTCAACCATTGAAGTAGCCGAAAAGCAATCTCCTTAATGTACAGAAATTCCAAGAATGGCCCAATGACATTTGCGCAGACGTAAGAAACAGCCGTGCACCGCAAATCTCATTCAGCGCTCCTTGCCGCTCGGTTCATGCTGCGCTGTCAGCAGGGCCCACAGCATCACTGCCAGGCCGCCACCTATGACAACAGCCACCACTCCCAAGCAGATGCAGGTCTGCAGGAAAGAGCGCTGCCGCCGGCCGTAGGCATACCACCACTCGGGCGCCACGCAGGAGCAGCAAGGGCAGCAGGACCAGTCGCAGCCGCAGCACTTGTACCGGTGCTTGCCTGCATCATGCATCACTCACTCTCAGCTTCTTCTTTCCTCTCTTCAGGTCAGCTGACATCAGCAAAGCTCTCTTGACCTCTTGTCCCTATCCGCATCACCCAATCTGAGCTGCTATCAGCAGATCTTTCGGAAAATCTGTCCCAGTCACACAATCTCAGCTTACATCAGCAGAGCTACACAGACAATCTACAGATATCTGTCTCTGTCACTGAGGGAAAACTTCCACAGATCCCCCGAGTCATCTGATTTGGCAAATCCAGGTGCGGAACAGATGCTGGAGGGACGCAAAATAACTTGTCCAGCTTGAACTTGTTACTTGCCTAGTGAAAATCTGGCAGCGCTAAATCAGAGGGATTTTGTTGTGGCATTTGGGGTAATTGAAAGTACCTGCAAGGGCGTCCCAGTCGAGGAGGCCGCCGTCATCGCTGTCCTGTGACATGGCCAGGTCAAAGACCGCCGTCCTGTCCTCAGGATCCATTGACACATCGTACAACGCGTCATGGTCGGGGCATGCATAGCCATCTCCGTTCAAGTCATCATCTGCGTACACACAGCAAACAATGGTGTCAGCGCGGCAGCTGTGCAGTAACACCTTCTAAGAGTCTTTGGGCACAGGTTGGAGCTACTCGCGCACATAAGTGCGTGTTGTGAGCCACATAATACCTTTCTTCCCAATTGCACCGTGACAGCTGTGTGCTTGGTGGTATGACCATAATCTGCTGGTGTCTCGTTGATTACCGAGAATTGATTTTTGGGAGGCACTTTCAATGTCGTTGGGAGTTTTCTTTCTGTGACTGGCGTGCACGGTGTGGTCCAGGAGGTAGATCTGGGTGAAAGAGGCGTACCTTTCTGAACGACAATTGTGTATGAGTCACCACCGTTCTGAGGTTTTGGAGACAAATCGCTGTTTTTGGCAGCCGTAGATGTTGGTGATTTAAAGAACACAAGCTCTCCAGCTCCCATTCTCTCCTTTCGTTCAGCACTTCAGAACCACGAGAATAGGCCGGTGATTGTGCTAGGTTCTGGCAGGTATTGTCTTTTAGGAACAAACTTCCAATGCGTGACTTCTAAATGGCTTGATCAACAGCCGCACAGAAATTAACAGCGCAACGGATGCTAGAGTAGTCTGACGGCAAGGTTCTCACAGAATTTTCCCAGCCAGTCGATGCGAGTGTATTCAGACGCGTCACTACAAAAACCTGCCCGAACGTGTGAAACCTTGCATTCCTGGCTGTCAGTTCGTTGAGTTTGTTGCGAAGCAAAGTCCGAGAAAATCAACGCCGTCGGAAGAATGCCATTACTAATGCTTCATTCAGACTTTCTGGCGTTTGCTTTCCTCGTTGAGGTAGCAAAGGTGCATGCTGCACAATCGCGTTACTTGTTGGATCTTCCCTTATTGGCTGTGCTGTGGTGTCCGAGAGTTGCAGTAACCCCTCACCTGCGTTTTCACTTTCAGTGACATTTGTGAACTTCGGAACAGAAAAATCCTGGTGGAGGTGCTGAAAATAGCGGATACATTGCATTACTTGTAGACATTAACCTTGCCGCACAGCAGCTACAGCGAAGACTGTTCACACGATGATTGTGTTAACCTGGAGAAGTAATCCCGTACAGATCGAGGTCATCGTTATGGGTTGAGAGGCCCCATCAGCACTCTGATGCTGTGGATCACAACAGAAAACATCAAAAATAATAATTGGCTGTACAACCGACCTGCTCAGGTCGACGACACGTCGTGCGACTGGCTGTGATCCAGCTCACAGATGACATCCACAAATGGCATTCCCAAGAAGCTAGGAGCGGATGACGCCCTTCCAGACACTCCAGGATCTACACCGAGGCACCCAGATCACGTAGCAGGTACAGCCATTGCCCTTCAAGACTCTCTAGACTGTTGGGTGTTCTGCTCAGTACACGTCCTGCTGAAAGCACCACTACCAAAGTATGTCCGGACATAAAAACCTCATGCAAGCATTCATCACAAAATTGTTATTTTCTCGAAGGACGCTGCATAAATTGAAACAAAAGGACAATGACCCCCACTATGTCTGCTTAACATCGAGCTTCGGGACCCTGTAGGAGGGGGACAATCAGCCAATGGTTTGGGAGATGAGGATGATGCTGGCAGCGTCGGCTTTGACCGCCCAGACCATGCTGCAGTATTTGACCTCAGCATGGACTACAGCGATGACGATGTGCTGCTTGATTGGGAGCAGTACTCTGGTGCGCATGCACACCTTCCCTGCTTAGCTGGAAGGCAGTGAACATGCAATGCTTTTACGCATCCCTGCTTGTAAGGTGCCCCACCTAGAGGTCATCTTATCACTAACGACTAGAGGAATACAACGCTCCTGGAGGCAGGTAAGGATTTTTTGTGTAGCAGTGCTTCTGTGCTGAGTGTGCAAGTTGGTCATTGGTGCAGGGGGCAGGAAATTCACCTTCATGGGGCAGGATGTGACCTGGCTGGCCAAGATTTGTCCTTGGTGCCCCTGCTGGGTGCCGCCCGAGTGGTGAGCATTTTCATGGCCTTGCCCCAACTTCCATTGCCGACACCCTACTGTTTATTTGCAGCATGACAGGAAGCAGGAACATCTGATCTTGTCAACTGCATCTCATTGACTGCATCTGATCTCATTGACCGCATCTTATTCTGTGTCTGTTGCCAGCTTCAGCCTTGTGAGGTCTGATGGGGTTGTGGGTGCATTTTGCTCACGTAGGGCCTCCTCTGGTACTCACAAATGGCGTCCTCTGGTGAAATGCAGACCCTTGCATGCTGTGTGCAGGTGGTACAAGTATGGAAAAAGGCAGAGGAGGGCGATACTGGCGTACGCAGCCTTTGGCACGCTGGGTGTCATTGTGCTGTCGGTCATCATAGGTGCAGTGGTGTACGGGCTGCAGGCAAGCAACTCTGGGCAGTCAGGGCTTGCTGCGCACAGGGATTTTCAGGTATTGCTCGCCTCCGGACCAACAACGAGCGCTAAGAAAAGTCCCCATGCTTGCAGCATATCCAGTGGTAGCATATCACAGTGCTTGCGGACTTGATGCAGTGTTATCAAGTTGATATTAGTCGAACAATGCACATCCTGCATATGGTGGATGTTCAAGTTGCTGCGAACAGTAGCGTCCGTGCTTGTCAGCTTGCTCTGTGAAATTTAGCCATAATTTGGAAGTCAAAGCCATTTTGATGCATAAGGCACCTGTATGCAGAGGCCTGTCCTCAACGCTGATACTGTACGGACTATGTCGGCTTCGTTGTAATCACAGTAACAAAGCTGGTCCACTCTTCTATTGCAGGGGCAGTGGGATGAGGGGCTGAAGGTGGATCTGAGGCGGTATGAGGAGTGCAGCTGGACGCACTGGCGGCTCCCTGACAATGTGAAGCCAGACATGTACCATCTGGACCTTTACACTACCCTGCAGGTGCGCCCAAACTTGTCCCCAGATTATTACTATTATCACCATTGCTGCACGATTTTCCTGCCAAGAGGCAAGATGCGTCCTGCAGACAAGCTGCAGTAAAGGGCTGCCATTATCCTACCCCTTGATGGACTCGCCAGATCCAAGGAAGACCCAATCAACCATGGGCACGGTGCTCAGTATTTATACCCAGATCGACACCCAGAATATCTGATATTGTTTCTCCCAGACGTACGGCAAATTTATCTGCAGCTTTAAGGAAAGGCTGACTTGCAATGGATGTCTCGATCACGTCTTCATTAGAATTGATACATGCAGCTGTGCAGCTCATGCCTGTCTTGCTATCAAGCAGCACCCTGATATAATTTAATGAATATATGTATGTACAGGAGCCCTTTGCAGTGAACGGCACGGTGCGGATAAGCCTCAATGTGACGCGGCGGTCTCCATGCGTAGTGCTGCATGCCAATGACATGGACATCACACACGTGGCGCTCGAACACCCACACACGCATGGTGCGTCCCCTATATGTCTAGGCAACAGCGTTAATCACTGGGCATGCACTTCTGCCCATGTGCATGTTCATGTGCATGCTCTTATGCGGTGCCGGATCATTGCAATGCACTGTCCAATCAAGAGCTTTTGCTCGATTGATCTCCCCTGTCTTCAGGGATGTCAAGCAGAAGGGCTTGAGAGGGCGGTGTGTTGCTCCAACTCAGGCACATTGTAAGATTTTGAACACCCCCGGAGTGCATTGTCCTTTACTTATCTCTCTGAAGATGTATTTGTACATGCCTTAATCATGTGAGCGGGCTTCCTTGAAGATCACCGCCTGGATCCGCCTTTTGCGATCATACGCACATGAACGCACATGGCAGTTCTTCTGGCAATTCTTATGGGGGGGGGGGGGGGGGGGCATTGGTGCGAGCAGGTCGGTGGGCATTGAATGCCACCCTTGGGCAACTGACGCTGGCCTTTCCCAATCAGCTGCCCCTGGACCAGCCTGTCAGCCTGCTGCTGCACTTCAATTACACCCTCCAGCAGAAGCTCAGCGGCTTCTACAGGAGCCACTACTCCGGTGAGCACACTCTAGAGGCTGATAACCAGCCACTGTCTGTGCTGCTATCAACTTCCTGTTTGTTTGCTTCTGCAGCAGCTGGCAATTCTATTGTAAGACTGGAGTTCCGTGCTGTCATGCTTTTGAGAATTGGCCATCCTTTCAGGTCCCCGCAAAAGGGCAGTCATGCATGAGGACAGTGTGAAGTATATCAGGACTGTCGGATTGAGCGATGGTTCCTGCTGTCTTGTCAATGCTGAGTGGCCATTGTGCTATGTGCTGCAGTGGGGGATAAGAACTACACTCTCGGCACAACCCAGTTTGAGGCTGATGGCGCTCGTGAGGCGTTCCCATGCTTTGACGAGCCAGCCCTAAAGGTAACATTTATTTCTTCAGGCTCTCATGATCGTGTAAACACCGTGAACACTTGATTCCTTTCTGAGGTCAATAACAACCTTTTGCTCATCTGAGCACTTGCACTCTGTAGCAGGAGAGGGAGCACCTTGTAGCACTTAAAGAGTTGTGGCTCCTCCTTGTTCTACTTATGTATGGCAGTATGAGCAAGTGCACATGACATGCAGGGACATTACTCAGTACAGAACAAATTTAGTAACTGACCGTCCTGCAGGCGCGGTACAATTTTAGCATCACGGCCCCCGCGCACCTGACAGCGCTGTTCAACACGCGCCAGCTGGAGGCCACCTCAGCGCCAGCTGGCGCCCTGTCGCGGCGCAGCTTCGAGCCGACGCCGCCCATGTCGTCATACTTGGTCGCGTTTGTCGTGGGGAACCTCACCAACGCCTCTGCGCTTGTGCCCGGTGCCACGCCCATGGACGACCGCCGCACAGTCAGCGTGTGGGGTACACCCGACAGGTACATTCCCATTATGTGAATTAACCCCACACAAGGAATTGTTCAAACCTGTAAACTAGGTCGGTCCGCATGTAGGCGCTTGCTGAAAGAATTCCTCATCTCTACTCTCAGTTCTCTGTGGATTTGCTGTTGTTTTGAGCTCCCCAGCCCCTCAAGTTGCACCTCAATTTGGATTTGGGCAGGCCATGCCTCTTTGGCCCTTCTCAGGTGCTCCTCTAGATTGGGCGGACTAAAGAGACGGCCCTAGGGGTGGTCTTGTGGAATGCACGTGAGGGGTGTAGACATCTCTTATTACAAGACGGCGCTCAAATACAATTCAAACGCCGTACCATGCAAGACCAGCATTTGTTGGTTGGCACTGACCCAATCAGCCCATTCGGCGCTCCGCATTGCGCTTGCCTGGCGTGTCAGTCCACAGGTCTGTGCACACAAATGATAGGCCCAAAGGAGGACCGTCATGTCCTTTCCCACAAGGTGAGGCACCTGGATCATCCCGGTGATTATGCCGACGTGACACCCTGCTGGTATGGGCTTAACTGAGCGGTCTGAGTGTTCCTTGCTGCGCTGCAGGGTGAAGGATCTGGATTTTGCGCTGGACACGGCGCGGGCGATTCTGCCGGCGTACGAACGGCTGTTTGGGATGCCCTACCCGCTGCCAAAACTGGACCTGGTGGCGATCCCGGATTTCGCGGCGGGCGCCATGGAGAACTGGGGCCTGCTGCTGTACCGCGAGACCGCGCTGCTGGCCGGCCTTGACTCCTCCATCGAAACGCTGCGCGGGGTCACCGCCACCATCGCGCACGAGATGGCGCACTTGGTGCGCCCTTGATCAGCATGCCTATGTACAGTGACATGCTGAGAATAGACATCACGTTGATTTTGGGTGTGTTACTGCCATAATGGCGCAGAATCGTTGCAGAGAGTGCAGCAAGGTGCTGTGAGTTAACGGCTGCTTGCGTCTGTTTTGGCATGCACAACTAAAGCTTCATCAGCATGTGCAGCTGAGTGAGGGAAAGTGGAACCTGTCCATTCAAATGGCAGTTTTGGCACTCTCTTGTAATATGAGTAGCTATCCTGCCATATTGTAGCTGGTTTTCCACTGCAGAGCTTGATGAGCATGCATCAGACTGCCATACTGGCTGGAGTTTGTGCATGCCCTGAGCCACTTGTTTTCTGGTGCAGTGGTTTGGCGACATGGTGACGATGAAGTGGTGGGGCGAGCTGTGGCTGAACGAGGGCTTTGCAACGTACATTGAGGCGCTCGGTGGCAGCGCGGCGCGGCCAAACCTGGCTTTCATCAAAACGTTCTACGGGGATGTCACCCGCCGCGCTCTCGCTGCCGACTCCAAAAACGCCTCCAATCACGCCCTGGCCACCCTCGAAGGTGTGGGCTCCTTCGCCTGACCTGACGTATTTGCAATTTATTGGCATTGTGATCATGATGATGGCTGCACCTGCTGCTCTCCCCTGCAACTCAGGGAGCAGAAACGCCAGTAACAAGGCTTGAACGATGAATTTGAGCCTCATGCGTTCATTTAGGACATTTTTCATGCCATCATTCAACAGAATTGGCGTAATGCTGGAGAAAGCATGACAAATATGGGAGCGCGTTTGGCATGATCAAAGATCCCCATGGGTGGAGGCTTGCTCCCAGGTTGGGGGAGCAGCAACTGGGTTGCAGGCCTTACTTGCAGGGGTCGAATCTGAGTGTGTTGGTGTGCTTGCAGGCGTGGAAACCACTGATCAAGTGGAGGCCATGTTTGACAGCATCACCTACGACAAGGGCGCCAGCGTGCTGCGCATGCTGCGGGCCTATCTCACGCGAGACCTTGTCCCCCAGCCGCTGCACCGCCGCTCCCTCCTGCAGGTCTGACATGCTGCACCCCTGCCAAGTTTGGCGAGCCTTGTCATTGCATGGGAAGATCGGCAAGCAGTGGAGGTTTCCATGCTGTCCCAGAGCTGTCAGAGAGCTGAGCAGAGCAGAGCCGAGCATGGCTCAGTGGCAACTCTGGTTCATCATGCGGCCCACTCTGCCAGCTGATCTTCCCATGCATGTGCTCACTGAGCAAGTGCCTCCTTCAACTCATGCTTGGCTTGCACAAAATGCAACAGAGCACCATAGAACAAGCGGCACTTCGCTGTCAGCTGAGGAGAAAATTCAGCCCGGAGCGAATTGCGTGGCTTACCTGCATGGCAGCGCTTTCAGCTGATCCAGTAATGGGTGCAGGTCAAGAGAACCTCACTTCCGCATTTGAATATGAGGATCTAGCAGTGTATAAATTTCTTGGCTATGCAATTACAGGACGGGGAGAATATACTGTACGGGACGGGGGACGACCCGTTCCTGCGGGGGGTGCGCACGTATCTGCAGAGCCACAAGTACAACACGAGCACGAGCGCGGATCTGTGGGAGGCGCTCAGCACCGCCGTGGGCCGCAATGTTGTCGCATGGATGCACAGCTGGACCTTCCAGAAAGGCTACCCGCTCGTGCACGTCTCCCTCGGAGGCGTCACCAACCGCGACGTCTTTGTCCTGCAGGTGCGATCTGTCTCTGCTCTCAGCATCTGCACAGCAAATATTCCAGGGGTCTCTCCTGCAGGGCTGGCGTGAATGTCAGGAGGTCCCAGAGAGCATGAAGCGGTCGGGTGGCTGCCCCGGATGAGGTCGTGCTTGAAACCACCTGTCCTTCACTTCAACACATAGGCACGGTGTTGTGAGGTTGTGCACAGGATGTCCAAGGATGACCTGCAGTTTGGTCCATCTAGCATCCTTACTCTGGTTTCTGCAATTGCCTGCCTCTTTTCTCTGAAGGACCAGCAAACTTCATGCAACAAGTGCAACAGAGTTGCTGTGCATGTGTCAGTGCACCAGCAGAGTCCGCATGAGCACATGTTGCTGTCAATGTCAGTTCTCACGAACCCTTGTCTAAATTCAGGGTAAAAGATAAGCAGCAGAGTGCCATTTTTCTGCAGCCTTCACCCTCTCAGCATTTCGTGTCAATGCATGCTGATGCGAAGCCCCTTATGTGCCCTGTGCTGCAACGGCCATTCGCAATTGACATACCTTTTCCCTTGGTCTGTAGACTGCCACGGCTTGCACATGATACTAGAGCAGGGGTCAGCAGCATCAGCAGGGCAGCATTTACCTGCACCGTCCACCCATTTCAGCCCTCAATTCAATGCACGCTAATTTGTGCTCTGCGCTGCAGCGGCCGTTCACCATAGACGGCGTGCAAGGCTGCGGCAGCGGGGGGGACCCGGGCATGCCGGGAGTTGAAAAAGTGGCGCCGTGGTGGGTGCCGGTCAGCTTCTCCACTGCCACTGAGCTGGACATCACCTGGAAGCCGCTCGAGTCCTGCTCCTCCAAAGAGCCCATCTACACCCTCAAGGTGCCCCTTTCACATCTACCGTCCACTTCTGCACTTCTCTTCCCTCTATCATCACAGCGCTGAGGTTGAGTGCAGATGCCGTCCCTGCACTGCCAAGGGTCATCCTTAGCCTTCACATTGTCCTTTGTGTGTCCTTGTGTGTCTTTTTGTCCTCCTTTTTGGCTTCACAGCAGGTGGCACCCACGGTGCCTGCTCAGAACTGCATTTTGCTGCATTCTGTGAGCCAGCGGGCTCCCAATGAGTATCTGCTAGCTGAGACATTCTCTGAGATCTGCGCCAAGTTGACAGGGAGTTGTATGATGTACACAGTCTTGCATCTCCCACACTCATGAAAGAAGATTGCTTGGTCGCAAACTGAGATGAACCGGCCATTTCACAGGGCGACACGGACTGGCTGAAGCTGAACGCGGCTCAGACGGGGCTGTACCGAGTGCACTACCCGGACGAGCTGTGGGACCGGCTGACGCGCGTGGCGGCGCGAGTCATCGACGACGTGCCCATTCTGCCCGAGGTGGACTTTGCCGGGCTGCTGGACGACGCCTGGGCGCTTAATAACGCCGGCGGCCTGCCCGTGCATGTCTTCCTCAACCTCACCAGGTGGGTGGGTGGACTTGTTGGTGGAGGCTTGTGGGGTGATGGCCGTTAACAGTGCATGCATGCCACGTGCTGACACCGCCCTGATGCCCCCTGGATGTCTTTTAGGGCACATGGGTCAGGGATCGGCTCCCCAAGAGGTGCTCCCAATGGCAGGGCAGTGTACATTTTTGCTCAGCCTGACAAGGTGCGATAGTGAGCTGTCTGGCTTATGAGGTGATGTCCCCTCTAGTGCCTGGCGGGCTGGTGCACCTCTGTGGTTCATCCCAGCTGATTGGGTCTTTGATGTCCCTGTGCTAAGCGGCCGTGACACTCAAAATATAGCACAAACATGCAAAAGTGGCCCCATGAAGGCCTTCTGCATCGCGGCTTCCTTATTCAAACCTGTGAAGAATTTGCCATTAGCCCCCATACGCTCACTTTCAATGGTCTGGCGTTTGTGACTCTTTCCTATGCGTGTCACAGGGCGCTGGCGGCAAGGGACGTGGGAGAGTACGTGCCCTGGCAGGTGGCAGGGCCGATCCTGGTCAAGATCAAGAATCTGCTGACGCTGGAGAACGCCAAGGGGGGCTGCGCAGATGCCTTCCGCCAGTACGTGCTGCTGAATGTCACCACGCCCTTCATTGCAGGCCTCTCCAATGACGCCGCGTACGGCTTCAAGTGAGTGTCATTTTGTCTGAGAGTGAGAGGGTGCATGCAGCCGGCTCTGCCTGCATATGCACAGCTGTGTACTGTATGGATATTCCAGATCAAGCCACGTCACGGAGATTAGCCATGTGCATGCCATTTCTGCTGTCTGCTGTGATGGGCCTTGGTTGGCTGTCTGCTCAGATCACTCTCTGTGTTGGGATCTTGTCATGAATTTGATGTTTATCTGCAGAGAAGAGCAACAGACGCAGCATAAAGCATTGCAAAGTACCTGGGCTGTGCTTGGTTCAAGGGCAGCTCAGGAGAGGATCAGACAACCAGGACATGATCACAACCTCCAGGCTCAATACCCATGCATTGCTCTGTCTGATATAAGCGGGACAGCTCATACTAAGTTTGGCTCAATCCAGTGCTAAACAAAGTTCTGGTGGTGCAGGCTCGGCGCGGATGCATTTGATGTTGCGCTAGAGCCGGCAGAGGCGCGCCTACTCCTGCCCTTTGTGCTCGGCCTCGCCGGAGAGTTCAACAACACCGGAGTCCAGACCGCCGCCACCAACCTCTTCACCGTACGCCCCCTCTCCCCTGCCATACTGAAGCCTGCATTTGCCACATTGATCAGTTGTAGCAGATTTGCAGTGTCGAGTGATGGTGCTTGAGAGATCTCCCTCTTGGGGGTAAGACACTTTTGAAGTCTATTGATGCGACATGAAACTAGTACCGCAAGTCTCCCTTGAGGTGGTGCTCAGATGAGGCTGTTTTCTTTATCGAGGGTTGCCCTCTTGGGTCAAAAGACACTTCTTGAGATATTATCATGTGCTGACATGACTAACGATGGTGTGGCGGACTGCAGGGGTTCACGAGCGGCATGCCGGTCCAGGCGGACATGCGCAGCCTCATATTCAACCTGGCGGTTGCCAGCGGCGACGCGGCCACCTACAAGACCGTTCAGAAGCTCTATATCGAGGTGTGCGGCCCCCCACCCGCACCATGCCGCTTCAGTTGTTGTCCAATGCTTTCTTTGCAATATTTGGCAATGGGAACAGTCACCAGCCCAGCTTAACAGCGCTGGTGGGAACCTCAAGCTGCACAAAACTAGGAAAGCCCCACGCAAATCACGAGTGGATCTCCTGGAGCACGGGAATGTATCCTTTCATCCATTCGTGTAATCTAGGATGCAGGTTCCCTCTGAGGTACATTCCTGGTGTGCGTTCTCGTTTTCCCACTTTTGGGCATTTCAGACATTTGCCTTGTGAGACTGTTGCCTTAGGGCAGAATCCCCTCATCAGGCTGCTGAGCTTCTTCCCAGCAACTGCCTGATTAGACGTTACACTTGGGCAGGCACCGGAGGCTGAGGAGAAGGCGCGGCGGCTGGAGGCGTTGACGTACGCGCGCGACCCGGCACTGATCAAGGCCACGCTGGCGTACGCGCTGGCGCCGGAGGTTCGCGCGCAAGACACGCCCGCCCTCATCCTCGGGGTCGCGCACCGCGGCGGCCCCTCCCTGCAGGCCGCATGGGCCTTCCTGCGCACGTGCGCCAATCCCCTCTCATGATTCTTAAGATTGGTTCCAGGCAAGGTTGAACCTACGCTGGCGGGGGCCGTGTAAACTATGTGCACCGTGCCAATGGTTGTTTGGGTCGTGCTTGCAAAGTTGGCCCCTGTTGGCCAGGGGGCTGTGTAAATTTTGAGCATCGTGCCCACGGTTGACTGGGTCTTGCTTGGTTCTGGCGAGTGCAACAAGGGGCGGGACGTGTGGCAGCCTGTACCTGGTGCCAGTTTGCAGACTCTCCGTCCCCTTTCCCAGGAGGAGGTTCATTGATAAGTTGGTGGTGGTAATGTCACCCAATTTAGTGGGGTCCAATTTATTCTCATTCTGGGTTGAGCTGCCTCCAGCAGGGCCTTGTGCTGGAAAATTGCAATGGTAGCACCTGGATGACACTCAAGCTCATACCTTGCCAACACAGAGAGCTTTCCTCCACATGACCAGATGGCGAGGGTGTAGATCCATATGCTGAAGGCAGGGCATGTGGTGATGCTCAGGCGGTACAGCAGCGTGGTGGCCAAGCTGGGAGGTGGGCCGGAGGCGGCGCGCAGCATGGGCGAACTGCTGTCCGGCGTCGGATCTCTGCTGGCCTCAGAGGCCGCCGTGGACCAGGTGCTCCCATGCAAGCTGAACATGTGCATGTAAGGTTGTGAGCGAGATGGCAGGAGCATTTGCACCGCTGTGCCTCTGTGAATGTGCTAGGTCGGCATGGTTTCATGGATTTGCAAGGCAGGGCACGGCCATGTTTGGAGCTGTATGATTTGGAGTATTTTCCCGCCTTCAGGATTCGGTCTCAACCATGGGCTTTGCTTTGTCCTCGCATACCAATAATGCTATCCCAACGGACCTGCTAGAAATTGTCTTGGATAGGGCATTCCTGCCAGTTTCTTGCCTGGGGTGGTCGGCACTGGCACATGCAGGACTGTCAACTTCAACAAACATTGACAAAGCCCTGATGCCTCCCAAGGCCAGGAGGAACCGTTTTGCCAGGAGCACGACAAAAGAGTCTTTGACAAGAGTCTGGAGATCTTAAGGCTGAAGCAAAGTCAATGCGTGAGTAGATAAAGTATGGTGAAATACGATTTGCTCTGGGTTGATGGTTGAGCCAAAGAAAGTGCATTGTGAGCGTAGGTGGAGGAGCTCTTCCGGACGCACATGGACGTGGTGAGCGAGGAGCGCTACCGGGACGCGGCAACGCAGAGCATCCGCAGCAACATCAAATGGCTGCGCCAAAACTCGGCCGCCGTCTGCCGCTGGCTGCGCACGCCGCCGCCGAGCGAGATGGCCGCTCCCGCGCCTGTTCTTGCGCCTGCCCCCGCGCCCGTTTTGGCCCCGGCTGCCGCTCCTATCTTAGCGCCTGCCCCTGCGCGTGTCTTGGCTCCAGGCATGGGCCCCTCATGAATGATGACCATGACCGTGACTGTTTCGTGCTGGAAGACTCTGTGGTATCTCATTCAGCTTGCAACTTGCATAGCAATTTTAGGTTGCATGGCGACATTTGCTTGTTGACTTCACCATGCCATCAGTGCAGGGTAGCAGAGAATAAGAAGACAGAGCATAGCTATGACCCCCTGGACTGGACTGCATGCAATGAAGGCCTCTTTAAATCCTTCCTGAGCCTATTGACACCATGGGATCCGCCACCATGATGTGTACGCTATGGTACAGTCGCTGACGCAATTCTGCTGCATGCAGGTTTTGCGCCGGCACCGGGGCCCCTGTTTGCACCAGCCCCCGGCCCTGCACAAGTGCCGTTAGTCGCCCCCGCACCTGCGCCAGTTCCGGTACAGCAAGCAAAGATCGATCCATGGGACGATCCGTGGGGGTAAATACTGTCGGGGTAGCGATATTCGTTGCATTAGGGTGCTTCAAGTCAAGGCAAGGTTGATCCTAGAAAAGCCTTGGTGAGGACTTCGACTGTGCAACTATCTGTGTGGAACCATCTGTGAGACAGCGGATCGTACAGGAAGGTCACTTGGGAAATGTACGACGTTGCGTAAGAAGGTACACCATTTGGTCTTGCATTGTGGACTTCCAGAACTGGTGTTCTTCAAGCACCTGAATGCTTTAGGCTATATAGCTATATATGATAACCCATTAAGTTGCTTGCAAGAAGATGAGGAGTGTTGCGTAAAGCATATCTGGGAGGTTGCTGTTGGCATGCCATGCGCAAGGCAGAGATTATAGAATATAGGCTAGAGTGATAGTGTAGTGGCGATTTCTGTTTGCAGCCACCAGTCCAATTGGGACCAGTTTCGTAAAGTACAAGGCTTTCTGTTGCTTAAAAGTGACAGTGCCATCTTTACAGCACAGGAGAGTTTTGCAAATTTACAATCTCTCTGATAACATCGTGCTCCAAATGTTCAGAACTTGTTCAGAACCGGCAGACCTCTCAGATCTGCGCATCCACGCCATTCACATGTTGGCAATGTGCAGCAGCGCATGTTAATCAGCCTGCCTAATCAACACCATATAAATGGGCCCTACCATATGGACAAATGCAAGCCAGCAAATCTCCTCGTGATCACGTTCAGCCACATGCGTGCTTCAAGGACCCATGCAATATTTCTCCAAAATTGCAATTATCAAGCACGACACACATTACTGCGTCATCCTTCAAGAAGATATCTATGATCTCCATCCGAATCAGTCTATCCAGTCTCTGTGCGGTATTCAACCGCAGCAGTGCCACATGTATGCTTATCAAAAGTCACGCGGCATGAATAAATCATGGCCACCCTCAAAAGCCTAGATGGCATCCAGATATAAAGAGAGGACCGTAAAAGATCAGGTGACCTTGGGTGCCTGCAGGAACTCGAGGCCATCCACAACCTTGGCCTCTGTGATGAGGTCACCGACCTGCAGCTGAGTCAGTAGATCCTGTCCCTCCACCACATACCCAAACACTGCGTACCGCCCGTCCAGCAGATTCGCTCCTGACGGCGTCAGCTCTGACTCCTGCAGGCAGCCGCGGCACAGTCACAAGAACCACCTTTCACCATGTCCTGAGGAGATGTCCAAGAAGTAGAATGAGATATGGCGGTAGAATACAGCTGACCAATGGCTTAGTAGTATGCCCTTCTCCCTTGTGGTGAAGCATTTGTCCCATATACCGGGACACCACAGACATGGTAGGGAGCTGAAAAGGAGCACCCCTTAGGCTGCTCAATTGCAGCAGTCACAAGCCATGTCTGCAATGTCTGCGACTGAGACTGCCGAGCATGCTACAGCCCATCATCATGCACCAAAGCACCATGAACAACACTGTCCCACACACAACAGCATGTCTTCTTTTTTTGAAACTACAATCTAGGAATATAGGATGTGTCAGCTACAGCATACTTGCGGCAGCATGCCCAATATCAAGGATTCATCATGTCACAAGGCTCGATACCCATGCGCGCATGGCCTCGTCAGTGCACTCGTTATACATTCGCAAAACTTGAGGTTGTCTGGCTGCATGATGTGCGGGCATGCCCTTCTTGCATACGGGCTGTTTCTGACACCACTTGTAGCCCATTGGTACTCTAATTGCTTGAGGTGGGCCCACGCCCTCTGTCAGCCAGTGGCCTCAAGGTCAAAATGAAATACAGCAGTTTACGAGGGGGTGTGACCACACCTTGTCCAGCCAATGTATTCAAAGTGTACTCAAAGACATGCGGTGTTGTGCGCGCACCTTAAGCAGCCAGAAGACCTGGGAGGAGCCGGAATTGGCCTCGAACTCGCCGCGCGCAAGAGCCATGGTGCCGTACGCATTGAAGGGCAGCACCGGCTCGTCGTTGAAACGCCCGGCGTCCTCCAGCGTCTCCTCATAGAACGGCGCCTTGTCACCCTTCACCATCACCTCGAAGGGAATCCGCCGCACGTGGTCGCCCTCCCGGAACCCGAAATCCTGCGCATCGAATATTTCTCTCACTGCTTGAAATTGCTTGAAACTGTATTAAGACAACGTGCTTGACAAGGTTGAATTTAATGAGTAGGATGCTCAAGGACAAGGAGCGCAGCAAAAGCATGCATCCTCATGCATGTTTGAATCAAGGCTCGCGTGCTTCTGCCCCTTCCATCTGTATGCAATGGATGAGGCACTGGCAAGCAGTGTTGACTCTGCCCCGCGCAAAGTCTCCGCAGGGTTGGGAGACAGAACATATGCCGTGTGATAAAGCTGGGCGGACGTGCTCATCATTTCTGGAGCAGTCTGCGCAGTGGGGTGCGCAGACTGAACCAAAAACAGTGAGCACATGTGCCCCGCCTGTGACCTGGGTGAAACCCAGGGGGAAGCTAAAAGCCAACAAGAACGGGCTTGACATTCATCCTGCAAGCAATGTACACTGGAGCATAATATAGCTTCCACAGAGCTGAACACCCTCCGGACAATGCCTTGCCAGCCTGTCCAGCGCCCCCGGGACTCCCAGGGCACAGAATTCAAGGCAAAAAGCAAGTGTCCCCGCAAAAAAAAGACATCACCAAGCGCTTACGCTGATAGGGATTCAGCAACGCATCTTAGAAAGTATCACGTGGTGCGCAATATCACGTGGTGCGCAATGCAGGTCACATGGCGATCAATGTAGGGGTGCGCGCACCGGCGGGCCGGGGTCGCCGGTCTGTACGATAAAGCCGTCAGCGCGTTGGATCTCCATGCCGGTGTAGAAGCCACGGCTCACCAGGTCCACGAAGTCGCCGGCCGTTACGGGCGCGTTGAATCCGTCCACTACGATCCGTAGGTTCCCCCCCTCCACGCCGTCGTTGCGCACCTCCTTCAGCTTTATCTTCATGTCCACCGTCGCGCGCCCCTGGCCCCACGCAACAAACACCCTTGGCCCCGTGTCCTGATGTTACTATATGTGTTCAAGTTGATGAAGTGCTGGCCAGTCTTCTGGCAAATCTTATGAGTATCTCATGGGACGAGTGCCACGTACCACGGAGGGATTAACGTTGTCACGCACTTCAAAACTGCTTGCTCCCGGTGTGTGAGAGCTGCAGGCTCTCACACTGCGCATGACATTGGCGTTTCCATGGTGTGCATGTGTGCAAGCAGATGTGCCCAACGTCAGGCAGCAGGGTTTCAACTGTGATAGCTGGGGGCGCGCAGGAGTGGGTGTGCACCTTGAGCTGTGGCAGGTTGGCATATTGTGCCGGCACTTCATAGGGGAACCCCTTGACCATGGCCTCCTCGACCTGCCCCACAAAGCCCAGCGCCTCCTGCTGCTTGATGGGGATCTCCTGCTTGTCCTTCGCGTCCAGCAGAGCTGTGAACTCGTCCAACGATTTGTCCAGGGCCGCAATCGCCCTCAGACCTGCTTCCTGCGCTCCAAAATGTCACAGGAGTTCGTAAGAGCAACGATGGCTTCTTAAGGGGATTGGAACCATGTTGGAAGACACAGTTTCCCAATAAGGCAGACGTCAGGCATTGTGCCTGCCAAGTGTATGCCTGCACGCTGACAGTGGGCATGCAGGCTACAGGCCCTCACAGCAGAACAAGGCTGAGAGCTGTATTGTACCCCAACTCACTCCTTCTTGAAAGCAGTCATTTGACAGCCAGGACAGCTTCGGGGACAGGAGCAGATCGCTCTCGGCAATCAGCGGCTGAAGCGCACCTTGTTTTGGGGCGCAAAGTCCGCTATGATCTTGGCCTTGTCGTTGTTGAGTACGGATTTGCTCTTGCGCACGGCCGATGAGATGGGCCCCAGCGCCTTGCTGCCTGGTATGCGCAGCTGCTCGCTGATGCCCTCCAAAGATGTCTGCGGGGCACAGAGACATACATCAGTATACATTGCGGCGCCAAATTCAGATGCCACTAGTATTGCAGAGCTGATCCTCAGGGATCTGTGTTCTATAGGATTTCTTAAAAAGGTGTAAAATATTCTGAGAGGCCTTAAGCTGTTATATATTTATGCTCATGGATTTATCATTAGGATGTGCTCAAGACCATAGCATCCCCAGCCTCTCCAGACTCCGAGCACTTGAAGGAACAATGGTAGCGATAGGAAAGCGTGCCTGGATTCGCCGAGCGGAGTCATTCTTGATGGGCAGCGCGTAACGAAGCAGCGCCCGCGCATTCTTCACCGGGTCCCCAGCAGTCAGGCGGGCTTCAGCCTGAGGCATCATCTGCCAGCACAGCACATATATAATATGAAGCTGCAATGATGCGGGTGGCAGATCCGGCAAATTTCGTCCCTCAAGTGTGTGTCCCATGCATGAGGTCCCGAGGATGACAACACCAAAGTGAAGTCCACAACCTTGTGCAGCATACAAAATAGCAGTCTTCAGGGCGTTATGAATCATGCAAGTCCTGATAGAACCAGGAGCTCACATCCGGAGGTGCAAAGCTGAAGGGAGTGGCCACGCAGGCTGTTGCTGCCAGACCCACTGCGCAGGTGCGAAGCACTTCTCCAATACTGGGCCCCTACATCAGGCAGAGTGGATAGTATAGACGGTTTTCGACTATTGCAACAATCTTGCATCAACCTCGAGTGCGAGTGTGTAAAATGGCACACCTTCAAAAACTAGTGTTTATACTGTATAAGCCAAATAAAATTTTCGATATTAGCAAGATTATTAAAATATACCTGTCGATCAAGACTGCAAGATGGAGAAAAAGCACCTTATCTTGGAGACAAGCCACCCAATGCTACTAAGCTTGTTCATTTCTTCTCACCTGGCCATCCTGCCTTTCCACTGAGCAGGTCACGTTTTTCGAAGTTCTCCTAGCTGCAGGCGCCCTCCTCGCAGCAACAGGGCGGGCATCTGTGAAAGCGGCATTGCGATTGGGTCCACTACTGTTCAGCAGCATCGACATGGTACGGCCGTTGCTTCTAAAGCAATCTGGAGTACGCGAGTTGGGATTTATAAGGAAGGAGCTGTTGCTTAATCACATTTCTGTCAGCTCGAGATAAGAAGAACCATCTTGGAGCCTTCGGACTGTCCACGTCACCGACTTCATGATGCTTCATCAACAAATTCCTTGATTCTTCCGCTCCTTGATAGAATGTTTGGCAGCAAAAACAGCTTTAACGATACTGATGCGTACCCCGCTCTGATCCCACGGAAGGACTTTCTTTGCAATTTGCAGTTGCTGCTAGTGAAAAGGTCTGCGAGTTTGTTCTTCCTAATAGAATTCAAATCCTGTAGATCTTAGTTAACTTTAGCAACTTCATTTGATTTTAAGCTACTGTTCTCTCGCAAAAAAATAAGCATCCGGATCATTCACAACAGTGTGGATATTTGTGATCTGACGAGGAGCATCTGATCTGCTTATGAGCGGGGATACTACAAAGGATACCGCTGACAAAAAGAACGAAAAGACTTGTTTTGAGTGTGCAGAAGAGGCTGCAGCCTTGTTGAACTGCGTTACCGACAAGAAATATAATGAAATGCGTTGCCTTCCACTCCTGAAAAAGCTGCGTGCTTGCGTCGAGAAAAAGGTCAGCGCACTCTTTTATGTGCCTCAGAAGAGCTTCGATGTTTGAGATCAGCTGGTCTGATCTCATGTTGCAGATATCTTGGCCTGTCTGTACAAACATGTTCGACCTCCTGTTTCATGGGAGCTTCTCCCCAAGCGTTATTTGTCCTTTGCAGAACGTGGTGGACTTCAAGCTGCTGCCAGACAAGGAGGCGTGCTAGGTCCATCGTCAGCCTCACGCTTATGTCCACGCAGACAGGCTGAGATAGCAGCAAGACAGAGCAGCTGGCATGTCGTGGATATGGGAGAAGAGCGCCACCTGGCGGAAGCTGGTTGCGGTCACCAAGCAGTCTCCGGTGGCTATGGCAACTTTCACTGTGGCCATGTTTGTGGTCCCATACGCGCTGGGCAAGGTGGTCATGTCAGGCACCAACCCTCAGGCAGAGAGTGATCTGGAACGCCAACTACGCAGCAGAGCCACCCTTGAACACAAGGTTCCTCAAATATCCGTGCTCAAACATGCTCACCCAAGCCTCAGGTTCTAGAAGGATGGCCAGAGCATGAGCGAGTTCATCAAGGATCCTATTCTGTGGAGGGCATTGTGATTTTCTCGTCAGCTCATGTCGATGGACACATAGATGTACTGCCATATACTTAGCATGAGACAGGCAAATAAATGGCTTGCTGTGGTGTTTGCAGATGCTGGCAAAAGCAAACAGGGAGAGGCTTGCAGTGCTGCTGAGCGAGACAGAAAAGGGCGATGCCGGCAGCACCCGCTATGCTGCAGCCCTCAGGTACTTGAGTACACCGGTGCAGTTTCAGAACTGCATACAGGAGGGCACAAGGTTTTTTAGACTGTGTTGTGATGTGTTCCTGCTGCGTCGCAGAAATTACCTCAAAAAGGCAGGGGTTTGATGAACTGTATGGTGTGCAGAGGGCAGTCGTTGGGCACTCACAGCCGGGGGACCACCACAGGGGCGCAGGGTATAAAGGAGAGTGGCAAATCACCAAGCAGTTGAAGCTCTCACGCGTCCATCTATCTTATCATGCATGCTTGTCTACGAAAGGTTTTGTGGAAATCAGAGAATGTGAAGCAGATGCATTGCGTGAAACGCATGGGACTGACAGCCGAATGTATGTGTCCAATGAGATCATTTTTGGAGCCACTGTGGTTGTATCAGAAGGGATAGAGTTGCATGGTGTGCCCTTAGCCTTGTACTGGCAGCGTCACTGACGTGGCACGCGACAGCTAAACAGCTTGCCAAGAGGAGCTTGGATTTTAACATGCTGTTTCCTTTGAAATCTTCTGTAAATCTTTGAGACTGCGTTGTTAGGCACGGCTGCGGATCTGGAACTGCCCCCGGGGTTCTTGCCATGCAGCAGTGCTATGCAGTGCATATTACCTCCCACCCACTTAGTAGATCTCGACTTCCGCCCACCATATGCCCAGCTACTAGCAGGGGGACATAGATTGTGACATCACCCACCGGCTGATCGACAGGGAAGTCCCAGAAGAACCGCATATTGCAATGAATATATGCCAAGAAGGTTTACTAAGCCCATTTGTGCCCCAGCCCCGGCTGGCGGGGGGCGGTATAACTACTGAGCACCGTGCCCACACTGGGGGTGCCACCCGCTGGGCCAGTGATTGGGTCTTGCTTGGATCTGGCAAGTCCATCAAGGGGTAGGATTTTGGCAGCCTTTACTGCAGCTTGTCTGCAGACGCACCTTGCTTCTGGCAGGAAAAACGTGTAACAATAACAACAATTATAATTTGTGCCCCTAGTCTCACCATATTGGCTGCCACTGGCAGCCTGCCAGCGCCTGTTCAAAGATTGCTGCCCGCAAGAACCCAGGCGGGTCTCGAAAGCGGGCAGCTTTCCCCGACAGCACATCTGGCTGGAACCTGGACGAAGGGAATCTGCAACGGTGTGCGATTGTTATTCCAAGTGCACGTTCCCGATAAATTGGATTCCCTCGCTGGCTCCTGCACGAACCAAGATGTCATCAAGCAGATATTGAGGACCGTCCCCTGCTGACGGTTAGCCGGCGCAGAGTTTGCTTGAGCTAGTTCTGGTGATTCTCTGTGCCTTGATTTTGTAGTGCTCTCATCCAATGCCTTTCCTTTGGAAGTTACTGGACTAGGACGCAATGACAAGTCGTCAGGCATACCTGCCACTCATATTGTGTACTGGCATGTGATTAGAATGTCACATCAGCCACCTGTGAAGATACTCGCATTCCCAATTTTTAGAAGGTATTGGTTGTACCATGCTTGGGAAGAGCCTGGTGCAGCAGCAGCAGCAGCCAAATCGATAAAGGACTGGCGAAAAGGCGTAAACTTGGAGGAGAAGCTGGACCTTCTGGGCCAGCAAGCCTCGGCGAAGGTGTCTATACATCACAGCACAGTGCAGTCACGCATTGTTAAAGTCATGCAACGCCAGGAATTGGTCATCTGACTATTCCAGCGTGTGCAGATATATGAGAAGATCCTCTCCCAGTGGCGCGATCTGCAGGCGGCAAAGAGTGGCAGCTTCAAGCACTGGCTGTACAGGTACGACCGTGTGCTTCCTCAGAAATATATATATTGCTGTGCTCACCCAATCCCATGCGCTTTAGTCTTACCAGAGTAGTTTTACTAGTTTTGCTTGTGATGCAGGCTAGCACAAGGCGTCCGCTCCAAGGAGGAGCCAGAGGAGTCATTTCTGAAGGGAGTGTCATCACAGCCAGAGCACATAGACATCATCTACCCGGTGTGTTCTTTCCTGATGCGTGCAGATCAGCTCTGGTCATTCCTGCACCCAGCGTATTGTCCTATGCTTGTGTGTGCATAGGGATGCTTTGTTGGGGCATAAACCCTATGGTGCCGTGTTCTGGAGGGCGCTCATACTAGAAGCAAAACTGAGTTAGTTCGCTTGCGCAGAGCGGGATGAATCCCAAGTATGTGCGGCGGAGGATGAAGAGACTTCTGAAGCAGCAGAGGAGCCGTCTCAGGATGCGCATGGTCAGCCTTCCTGGGCAGCAGAAGCACCACACTTGATGTCATCTCTAAGCTTTACATGCATCGGATATATCCATACAGCGTGCCATGCAGCTTACCAGACTGTATGATGGCAACTGAACTAGTCCCCACCAGGCTTCAGCCTGACCGAGATGCGTGTGTTCTGCTTGCTCAGGCGATATGGGGCTTGTGTTGCATACCGCTCATCCCCCTGCTGGCCAGTCCGGTCCCAAACCTGCCCCTGTACTACGCTGGGTACAAGGTATGACGAACACCCCATAAACAAATACCAGCACCCGTATAACACCTGGTCCGGCATTTGCTCCCAATGCTGCTTTTGCAAGCTCAGGACCTCATAACTATCTCAAAGTCTTGCTTGTTAGGCAGGCAAATGAGGCCAAAGCTGATTGCAAAAAAATAAGGGAAATAACTACGCACCTACAGCCTTGTGCTCACTTCAGCCCTATGAGCAGGGAACAGACATGAAGAGATTCTTAGCGGCTTGGCAGGCGTTGAGACGATGCAGGCACTTGCGCGCAGGTGTACTCAGCGCGCACAGCGCTGGTGGGCTGCAATGCGCTGACTAACATGTGGAGCCACCTGGACACAGAGCAGCTGACAAAGCTGCGCGAGAAGCTGCGCGCGCTGCAGGAAAGCGGCGTTGTCTTCCCCGAGGACGCCTGGACCGGCAAGCTGCTAAGGCCCCACCCCAGGCATGCACCCTCCCAACCCACCCCTCACCAATGTGCAATCTCCCACACCACAGAGGAGCTGGCTGCTCATCAGACAACCCATATCCATTGGTGCAATTTGTTATGTATTAATGGCATGCGCACCACCCCAGGATTGTACCCTTCCAATGAACCCCTCTCCAATGCACCTCAAAACTCCCCACAGAGAGGAGGCCTGCTCACCATGGGAGCCCTGCAACACGTTTCCAGTAGAAGGGACCATGTGGAACAGAACAGTGACATGCCCATTACTGTACTTTCCTGGCAATTACTTCGAGGTGAAGAGGCGATGTGGGGTGCGGCTGAAATGCAGGATTCTGCATTACAGGTTGTTGGGACGCTTTGAAATATCATGAATTTTGCGTGGCAGGTATTTGGACATCCTGGAGAACATAGAGGGGCGGGTGCAGCGGTACTACCACAAGAGGGAGCCGCGGCAGCTCATCCCCCAGCTCATCCCCAATGACAGCCTCAACAGCATTGTCAGATCCCAGGACAGGTGCGCCGCTGAACCTTTAGTTCCCTCCAACTTGCCATCCGTACACCTCTTCTAGTCCTGAAAATTGCTGGTGCCTTTTCCTAAGCAGAGCATGATCCAGTGAGCGGGTTTGGAGGTGTCTCATAAGGCAACAAAGACAATGTGTTTACAAAACTTGCCTCCCATGCATGTGCCATCACCTGTAAGTTGGATGAGTCATCATATTTTTAGTTCGGATACAGATTCCACTAACAATTTCTATATTGTTTTTGGTGCGCTTCAGGGCGCACAAGCCCATCTCGGACGAGGAGGCATTGGCAATTGGCAAGGAGTTTGACGCTCCAAGCCTGTTCGAGCACGTGGCTCGCGCACGCAGGCGAGCTGTGGGCGCCATGTTCCCTACTGACATCTCCTAGTCATTCATAGTTCTCCCGTCGGAGTTGGACAGTCTGCTCTTATTAATGTAATTAATTTGCCATAAATCAGAAAAACATGCAGATTAGCACTGCCTAGACAAGGACCTGACTGGGATTCTCCTAGTGCTCGTCTAGTGTAGCTTGTTGCCGATGAAGATCTAGCTAGACTCATGACTTTGTTGACTTTTCTGACTCGTGAAATCTCAACGCATGCTGCTCAAATCCCAGCATCATGCCCTTGATGATGCGCAGCCCCTGTGACCGCGCCTTGCTGTGCATGGCATCATGATGCATTTCTAGCGATGAGTTACTGGTCAGCGGCTGTGTAAGAGTAATTGCTAGCAGGGTGTTGTACAGCATGCCATGCCATGCCATCATGATGCCAGTGCATGCATATGCATGCCATTCTTCAGCTGAGTGTGAGCATATGCCGTGCTTCACTGACAGCTTTAGCATCTACCAGATCCCTTAGGGATCAAATATTCACTCATTTCACAGCTTTGCTAGGATCCTTTTGTGCCCAAGTTTCTGGGGGTGGTTGGGCTTGGCACGCACGTGCTTGCACAAGCTCCAAGCACAGGCAGCCACGTTTCTCCATCGATCGTTGGTGAAGAACGCTTGGGAATTAATCGCATTGCTCACAAAACGAAACGGTGCAAATAACTTATCTGACTATAGATTGATCCAGCGTTTCTTAGTACAGTGCATCAGACAAGATGTCGGCGCTTCATGCTACCAAAGTCAGTTCCGGCATGTTCAGATCAGGCGCGCCTCCAGCACTGACAGTTAGGTCTCGGAGTGTCAGGCCATCAAGTAACCGCAGAAGTCTACTGATTGCTAATGTTGTCAAGGTTGGCGACAAGGCTCCAGATTTCTCACTAAAGGACCAGGTGAGCAGGCCATTTTTCAATGCACTGCCATGTGCTGACCCCTTAGATATCATTCGCTGCAAGCGTCTCAAAATAAAGGTCTTTAGATGGATATGAATCGCTGCTCGCCGTTTTGAAGGAATACATGGCTGTTCGTGCAGAGTGGGAAGACTGTGAAGCTGTCGAGCTACCAAGGCATCTTCGGCAAGCCAGTGAGTACCTGCATCCTGAACGAGTAATGTCACCCTGCTGTAAGAAATGAAATCTCTTTGAAAGTGACCAGAAGCTCTGTGAGTGTGCCATCTTCTGCTACAGCTCTGTGTTGATTGCTTCGAGTTCTTTGCATGGCAAAGGTGGTCCTGTACTTCTATCCTGCGGACGCTTCTCCCGGCTGCACAAAGCAGGCCAAAGCGTTCACAGATGCGATTGGGGAGTTCAAGAAGGCAGGAGCGACAGGCATGTACCCCATTCTATATCACTGCAACCTACCAAATGGAAGTCCACAGCTCTCAGTCTTTTGCACTGCCAAGAGGAGAATAGTGTAGGATTTGACTTCCCCTGGCACTGCATCCAAGCATTGAGGATGAAGCAAGCTTCAAACTGACTGCGGAAAGCTGCTGTGGTGCAGTGGTTGGTGTCAGCGGTGACGATGTGGAGTCTCACCAGAAATTCAAGAGCGAGCTTGGAATTCCATTCCAGCTGTTGGCAGATGAGGGCAATGAGGTAAGTGTCACTTTCTACAAGCAAGGCAGCTTGCATGCCTGCATTTAGAGCGCTGCTTGGCCGCCGTGACTTGATGCAGGCTGCTGGCTGCAGAGTAATAGCAGGGACCTTGCTGGATCACCTTCATGCAAGAAGCATTGCATTGCGCCTGCCCAGGAGTCAATTTGTGCTAGATTTAAGCCTGCTTTGGATGTGTTTTGTCAATCGTCTGCTGACAATGTGCATTCGCTGTGCACACAGGTCCGCAAGACATATGGAGTCAAGAAAGACTTGCTGGGCCTCCTGGAGGGCAGGCAGACATATGTCATTGGCAAGGATGGCATTGTCAAGCTGGTCTTCAACAACCAGTGGGAGCCTGAGAAGCATGTGGATGAGGCCCTCAAAGCCCTGGCCTGAGCCCAATCCAGCAGTGTTGCCTGCAGCTGCTTCTTGCGGCCGCACCTTATGAGTGCAGTGACCAACAACGCATGCTCAATGGCTTGCCAGAGCCATGCAAAACGCAGAATAGCCTTTTGATACCGTAGTGCCTTGGCAGAGTATGGAACGATAAGACCAAACTTCACAGTATGTTGAAGGTCACCAGCATCCAGCTAGTCTGCTCAAGATAATGCTTAGGAGTTAGAAGCACTCATTTCCCGACAAATTACCATGATAGCGCTCACAGCGAGAGTATGTTTCTATAAATTGTGGATATCCATTTTCCCCCTTAACGCAGGTGCAGGGATGCCTTACTGTAACGTTATGGATTACTTACTTTGTAAAGAAGGGTCTGTGCCACTGCCACCTTGTCAGTCAGATATTGTAAGGGGTCCAGACTTGTTGCGTGTAATACACATGACTGTAGCTGTATATCAGCGCTAGTCTGCTCCTGGAAGAATGCAAAACATGCATGGCGCTCGCAATTGAATGCCCAGTCGAGCTCGAGTTATTGACATTACATCGCCGGAGCCGCCATCTCGCAACCAGTTTCTTACGTGACAGTCCAGCAACAGATCTACGACAAATCACCTGCACAAACGCTTTTCAGGTGACAAGATCCGTTCAATCCTCACAGCAACATTAACTCCACAGTACCCAGGGGAACTGCTCTTGCACAGCCTTGAAGGAGGATCATCAGATTCTTTTGCACTGGACACAAGACGAAGAATCCAAACTGCGATGCGGCCAACACCAGTGGTCTCATGTTAGTCGGTGCAGAGGGCACCCCCTCACTTACAGGCACCGTCTTGTTGACCGTCCAAGATAAGGGGTCTGAAGATTCTTGGCGGGCAATCTGCCATGCCTACACTCTTGACCAAAACCTCAGGATCTGTCCTCGAGCTGAGAGGACCGCGCTCTACATCTAAAAAGTACCGCCGCACACACACTTTAAAGACGACATGGGTGCTGAATGGAGATCAGTCCCTGAGTACAGCTCCCATGTTCTTCCAGGCATCCTTTCTTCTTAAAGCCTGACCACTGCGCATGCCCCACAGCATGGACACACAGTTTTTTTCTGAAGCCACCGTTTTCAGACTCCTCTTCCCGTCCTCACTCTAGCATGCTGAGCCACCCCCACAAGGTGTCTTTCAAGGAGATCTTGTCCATTGGGCCCTGTGCTGCAGCGTTCCCTCTCACCCCACAGACTTGCCCCAGCCAAAGCTCTGTGACCTCTCTGCCAGCCCTGCTCCATAGCGCTGCAAGCCTTCAACTGCATCTCTGACCACAACCGCCCCAGCTGTCAGGACCTGCTGTGCCAGATCGCCGAGCCCCTCCGCGCGCAAGGCTCCCAATGCGCCGCCGATGCCGGGGAAGCCGGCTGCGGTCCCCCACGGAGCCGCCACCGCCGCAGCGGGGGGGTCCGGGGGTGGCACCAGCGGGGGGTACACCCCTGTGCATGCCAGGGGGGACCCCGGCCCGAGGCCGCCGGCGTTGCGGCAGCCGAGCGCGAACGCGGCCGCCGCCGCGACGGCCGCGGCGCACGCGAGCGCGAGCAGCGCGCGCCGCAGCCAGGCCGCGAGTCATCGGCCCACGTACTGCGCGAGCCGGCCGGAGCCGCTGCCGGCCGTCAGCTGCCGGTGCGCGGCCGCATCCAGCTGCTGCCACGTCTTCCGCCGCTGCTCCTCCTGCGCCGCCTTCTGAGCCTGCACCCAGCACGGGACAGTCAGCCTCAAGGACTGATGAATTAATGAAGATGCTCGTTCCAATAGTGGTAATATCCAGAATCTTCAAAAAGAGGGGCATGACCTCTATTTCACGAGCTGCATCTTGATCATTATCATTATTGGAAGTTGTCCACAGTTGCTGTTCCAGCAGCCAGATTGGGGAAACCTCACTTCTGCACCTTGAAAATTTCATGGCTTCTCTGCTGTCTCCGTCATACGTATGCCTCAGCTGAGATTACAAGACATGCATGGTGAATTTTGCCGCATCAGACGTGCCAGGGACACAGGTGGATCCTCAGTCCTGATGTGCGCAAAGCCACCAGGGTAATATTGAGCTGGGAGGCTGGGGTGTGCGCACCTCCTCGGCCTCGTATCTCAACCTGCACTCCTCGTAGAGCCCCTCGTCCATGTCCCTGAACATCTTCCGGACGTTGCTCGTGAGGCCCAGCACCTGCGTGAGCACAGGGCAAGTCCAATCAGCACAGTACATCTCAAACAACGCAATGTGACTAAGAAGCAGTCATGCGCCCGCCCGCCCGCCCAGCTAGCATGCACAGCGACCACATCAACACAAAGCATCTTTGTAAAGTCACCATGCATTGCTGCCGTTGCCTGGGGGATACACTCCGTGCACAACAACCACCCAACTGGATACAGAAGCTTTATAGAGGATTAATATATTTGAAAGCTGAGACCATTCCCTTCTTGTGCGCAAAGAAATATAAGGGAATGGCTTACCTGGGGGTTCCAGTGCTGCTTCTCATTGCGTTCCAGGGCCGCGAATATGAGCGGCAGTACGGCTGTCCTCTGCTGCGCCACCAGGCTGACAATGTACTCGTTGTTCCACAAAAACAACGACCTCTCCGCCACCTGCGCACATGTGCCGGCACATGCCCAGCCTTCAGCATGTTGCGCACGGAAATGATGTGTTTGTGCGCCTCCACACCACTGCGCTTTGTTTGACGTACAATGCTGGCTCGACTGATTCAGCACCACATGCTTATGCTTGTCTGCAGTAAACAAGTGATCTGCCATGCTTTGAATTCGCCCTGGATTTATGCGCACAGCGGTGCAAACGGTGAGTGAGTGTTCTACGAGTGGCGCCCACCTGGAAATGCGAGCTGTTGAGGCACTTGGCCAGCTGATGAAAGAGGGGCAGCAGCACCTTTGCAAACTCCTGCGCCTGCAGATACACACGATCCCAATCAGTCAATACAAAACGCAAATGCCCACCTTGTAAGCATATAGTATCTGGAACAAGGAATCTGTCAAATTTGTAGCTGTGCAGACAGTGTGTCAGCTTGCCCTGCAGCTGCGAACAACGAGGCAGATCCCGCAGCAATGGTAGGGTAGCTCCCCGCAACAAGGACTGGACAGGTCTGCTTATTCAAATTATCAACATAGAGAATAAGAAGACAGGGAATGGGCGTGCCTGTGTCATCTCCAGGATCTCCTCGAGCTCGCCCAGGAAGAGCACCTCCTTCTGGCTGTTGGTCACCGGCCAGTACTTGAGCAGGGCCTTGAGCACCGGCTCTGCCAGCTTGGGGTCCTTCTCCACAAACTGCACAGAATACCAGTCAGCACTCTTGAAATCACTCTTGACAGGTGACTGCAGTACTGCACATTGCAGCACATGCCCGTGGACATCAGCCCTCAGTCTGGTTCCATGAGATGCCGGTGATCTCTGCCAATGTTCTGGTTCTCAATAATGATCAAGCCTGAGTGCCTTCACAACCAAGCCAGGCGTGGTCCCTGCCTTTTGTAACAGGGGCCGTCGAGTTTAGCAGGCGGAGCTGCCACCTTGGGGTGAAGTGAAATACACACAGATCTCCTGCCAATGGGGCCAGCAGTGTAGGAAGCTCACACCTGCGTGACGCAGTAGGAGAGCTGCTGTTGGTACATGCCCAATCCCTTGGGCTTGTGCAGCGGCATCAGCGCCTTCTGCAGGAACGCCTGCAAAAACCCATTCCGATTGGGCATTACAACATTGCAAGGATGACTGCATCGCATGCAGACACTCTTGCGGCAGCTGCAAAACCCCAATCCCAACAGACCCCCTCTGGAATCTGATCATGAGAAACATGCTGAACATCAGGCTGTCTTGCATGCAGCATCAGGTCCACAAGATTACCTTGCAAATGAACAACCCATGAACATACAACACGAACTGCTATGCAGCGCTAGACTGAGAAACGGTCAGGACTCCACCTTCTGCTCAGGAAACAAGACTGAGAAATGATCAGGAGCCCACCTTGTGCTCCTCCTTGAGGGGCAGCGCGAAGCCGTTGATGATGGAGCCCAGGATCTCCAGCAGCTCGGCGATGCCGTTGTGATGCTCTGTCTCAAAGATGAAGCGGTAGAACACGTTGTTGATGGCCTTGCGGATGAAGGGGCGGTGAACCATGAACTTGCCGTAGATGCGGTGGAGGATGGTCTTCAGGTACTCGCGCTCGCGCGGGTCCTCGCTGTCAAACAGCTCCAGCAGCCGCACCACAAAGCTCTGATCGATGTACTTCTTGGCGCTCTTCGCGTCCGTGTCGTTTGACACCACGTAGCGCAGCAGGAACTCGTACACGATCTGCGCATGCAGCAGACAATTCCACATCGTCAGTCCGTTTGCTGCCTTGATTGGGCACCCCAAAAGTGGCCTGAAGTATATTCATGGCAGGAGCTGGGCTGAGCCCTTTGCATGGCTCTGACCAGCACGAGCAGCACGGAGATTGATGAAGCACAGCGAGAGGCGCTACGCTTGCAAATGCACTCAAAATGAGTGATAAAGTGCAGCTTGCATTGTTGGCAGCAATATTTGCGTTCCACACTTTATGCACCATTCACCCAAAGAACTTGCAACATTATCCCAAAGTTCATCCTGGAGTAATCAGTACATCTGGTATAAACGAAAGACTCAGATCGCTCAAAACTCAGCAGTTTTTCGATTTGGGGAGTTTGGCAACCTAGATATAGGGATAGATCACCTGCAGATGTGGCCAAGCAGGCTCCAAGGCAGGCTCCTCTTCGTCTGGATCTAGGTTGTCCACATCGTGCGACTTCGATGCTGGCAGCGCTCTGAAGAGATTTTGGGACAGCATGAAGACGATGTCCTCAGCTACAGCCTCTGTGAACTTGCCCGACCCAGTGTTGACGAAGTCCACAAGCTCCAGCAACGTTTGCCGCTTGACCTCCTTCTCTCGGACATTTTTAGACTGGTCCGTAAAGCTGAAGGTGTAGGCGCAGAGGTGCAGTTTTCGCACAAATAGCTGTTGCTTCTCGGATGCAGGCACTTCTCGAAATGATGGGAGTGGCTCTGCGTAGGCCGCTGCACAGCTCTCCTCTGCCATGGATGGCAATGGGGGCTTCTCCCTGCTCGACACTGCTGCATTGGCTGTGGAGCCCTGCGAGTTTGCTCGAGCTGCATTTCCTGTGGGCCTGCGGTCCAGAACTGAAGCTGCTCCACTGCTGGGCTGCCGGCTATTGTTTGTCACTGGTATGGCATCCTCACGACCTGCTGAAGTGCCTCCACTTCCCCTCCTCCCACCAAACTTCTGCTTTAAGCTCTTGAACTGCATCATCTGTCCCACAGCTGCTACACACCCAACTCCTGACTGCAGCGCTACACAGCCTCATGCCCACCCGCCCCTAAAAGGCAGGTGAGGAATGAACGCTGCCAACGCCACAGTGGAGCCAGTACTCCCGCCAGCTGCCCTGAAACTGATGCGCTGGGATGAAACCCTTTTTTCTGTGCTCAGTATTTGCTTGTTCTGCAATTAAAGGGCCCACAAATCGTATAAGCAGAGGTGCATGTGAACGCAGAATACTGGAAAATGGGCGTGCAGCGATGCGCAGGTGAATGTGGAACACTTGATTGTGCCTGTGTGCAGAAGGTGCAACCACTGTAAGATCCGTACAAATCCGTAATGTGCATTTTGTTCTTCGATCTGCATCGATGATAAGTCCTTTCCATTGATGCACCTTGTTATTAGACGACAATCTTGTGATTGGTGTAAGGTTTTACTTGTATTGTCGAAGATCACAGCTCTGCTGTGCGGCAGCAACTGGAAGCAAGGGCCAAGCAGGCCACCTGGATCACAACACACAAGCTCACAGAGTAATTTTCCGAGAACCACGCAATCTTGCAAGCCGTGAGATGCTCAGAAACTCTGCGAATATAATCCTTTTAACGCCAGAGTTCCGTTTGGTCACACTATCACCTCAGATCTACGCTGAGGCCATCAGATGAGTCAGACGTTACAAAACGGGTCTTGCCAGGATCAAATGCAGCAAATTCTCCAGTAGAGAAGGAAGGTATTATGCAAGAGAGATGACAATGACATGATCTCTACAATATGTCTGTGGCGCACTGCCAAAGCACTGCACCCGGCGCCAGAGACAAAGTATAAACAGAATTCCCCAAAATTCATTGCAAAGAGCATCAGTTGGTCAGCAGTAAGCAGACAGCCGCAATGTGCTACAGCAAAGGATTTGAACAAAATGGTAGTGAGACTCACAGCCTCTCATGTCAGCAGATTCAATATCCAGACCAATTGCAATAACCAGACGGGAGCTAAAGATGCCTAGAAAGGCCTGCCTTTGGAGAAGCCACTTGCCACACCCATTAACACCAGTGGCAGAAACCGACAGGACAGCACAATGGTATCAAATTAGCGTTGGATCGCGCGCGACTGTCTGGTCTCCAATGGAGCAACAGCGTACGTCTAGTGCGGTGCACGAAGTGCACGCTAAGTGGCAGTCCGTGTCATCGCCAACATGCAGCATGCTGCACAGTGAAGAACTGCTGAGGGGAGACAGCTCTATTTGCATAGAAAAAACAATACTTCAGCAGTGCTGCCCCGCTAAATGACACCCATCAGGCCTCCGCTTTGCCCCAGCCCTCCTGCTTTATAAGCTCCAGGATTCTGCTCTTCACTTCGTCCCGAATTTTCCTGACCCTCTCCAATGGCTTTCCCTGATGACAGTATGCAGACACACATTTCCTCAGCTGATCAGTCAGACTGCACTCTGATCACTTCATGAATCAGCTCGGTCTAAAGCTGCAGAATGAGGGGCTTTGCTTGTCACAGCACACATCAGGAGTTACAGCTTCTAGGTCAGAGTTTTACACTCCATTGACATGCTTTAAAAAATCAAAGGACTTACCTTCGGATCCTCCAGAGGCCAATCAAGACGCTTGAGGCCAGGGACGTATGGGCAGGCTTCCCCTGCACGCCAAGGGAGATCTGATCCAATGCTCGGGCATTCAGAATACGTGACTGCTGTCCTGAATTTTTGGTGACAGCATTCACTGCACGAAAAGTTCGAAATTGCTAGCGATCGGCACTCGAACGCACCACAGCCCATTGTGATAAGCAAGTCAGCTGAGGCAGCCAATTCTGGGGTGAGAAGCTGCGGCTGGACGGAAGACAAATCAACGTCGAGCTCAGACATTGCCACAAGCACCTCCGGGTGAACCTTTGTGCCGGGCTGCGTCCCTGCAGATATGCCCCGAGCTTTTTCTGGATCCACTAAGTGGTTGAATAGAGCGTTCGACATCTGCGATCGCCCAGCGTTGTGGACACAGGCAAATAGCACAGTCTTCATTGGACGGATCCCTTCAGATCAATCACACATGCGATCAATACGGACTGCCGAATTCTCTTCTTGCTTTACGACATGCATGCAGAGAACGCATGCGCATCCCGGAAACGATGCGCATCCCGGAAACTACAAGCACGCCGTAATCGACAAACCTGGGCAGAAGCATGCAGAGAAGGCAAGGCCTGACATTGCTGGAAGCACCATTTAGATTTAAAATATGAAATATGGAATAAGCCTGAAGGAACAACTGATGCGCATGCATCATTCACTGTCCGTCAGGTCTTCCGCTACCAAGGCTGGAATCCTAATTTGCTGAAAGTTGCATGCTAATTTCCTACACATACGCGCAAAGATGTTGCCTGGTGGTTCGTACAGAAGCCCTCTGGATGATCCACGAGGGTTCAGGTAATTCTCCTTGATTGTTTCGGGTTCCTTTCATAAAAGTATATTAGATCACGGTTCCTTTGGTCGTCAGGGCTTCCCCCTGCCTCGGATCCTGTTTTATACCTTTGTTAAAGCCATTGTACTGCCATTAAAAATACATGTGAGATACGCACCTGACAATTCTGAGTCAAATTTGAGAGACTAGCAAGTCACCAGGCGACACGGAGCCATCTGTGTTGCCAATATTTTTTCTTTTTCTTGTTATGTTCCTATCTGTCCTTATTTATTCCAAAACGTTCCTTTTTCATCGCAGGATTGATCAATGTCCTTGCTATCTCTTCGCAGGAAGAGGAACAGGTGGGTGAGGGAGCTAGGAAAGCGATCCCCTCTTGTGGCCCTCTTGCTGCTGGTGGGGCTGCTGAGTTCCGTGGGCGTCTACCAGTCCAAAGTCAGCCGCCTACAGATGGAGCTCAAGGCACAGAAGACTGGCCTTGAAACAGCCAAACTCGAGTTGTACCAGCAAACAGTAAGCGCTCTAGTCTCCAGCAGTAGAGCTGGAAGAAGCTCATGTACAACAGTGTGCCAAACATCACACAACAGTTGCAGACGTCAGCATCTCAGGAAGCTAACCTGCTCTCGATGTCGGCTTACAGCGGATAGGAGAACATTCTAGAGAGTTGGCAGCGACGCGCCTGAGGGAGGCGGAACGGCTCAGGCATGAGTTGGACGCGGCGCAGCGGCGGGCGAAGATAGCGGAGGAGGACAATGTCCAGAAGCAGGCTGTGGTGTCGCATAACAACAAACAGGTGCGGCATGATGTGTTTGTGCTGCCAGCTTTGCAGTCCTTTCATGCGCTTTTTGTCATGCGCTGTGTGTCTTCTTTGATACAGCTCAGTAAACATGTTGTGGAAAAAGGTTTGCGTTGGCTTGCGCATGAGATGGGCAATTCTCACAAGGAAACGTTGTTGCGGCAAGATCGGTGTTATGGTTCATCAGCATGCAATGACTGCGTCGTGTGCGACACAGATAGAGGAGCTGAACGCAAAGGTTCAGGAGCTGCAAACTCGGCATTGGGAGGATGCCAACTGCAGGAGTGAGCTTGACATGCTGAAAGCGAGGTGGGGTTTCTGGTGTAGCATGGTATCTTGCCGTTTCTTGCCAATATGCTCTACCACGTTCCTCATGCACTCTGCATCATGAGAATACCCCTAATCAAACGATTTGTGATTGGCAGTGCTGACACACAGAATCTCACAAGATGCCGTGTGAAATGGTTAGTCACATATCTCATGGCAAGCATCACTCAGGGAACAGGCATGAGAAGTTTGGTATGGCTGCAGGACAGAGCATGCTCAGAGGAGTTTGCAGGAGAAGGAGCTGGCGGTGTCTGACAAGGACAGGCTGCTGGCAGATCTGCAGCGCCAGGTTAGCGAGCTGCAGACGCGAGTCAGCGGTGACTCAGCCAAACAGCAGGACGCGTCCGTGCCCCTTGTGCGGCCAGGTGATCCCTCACCAGCCTTGCTCCAATTTATTATTGTCTCTATCACAATTGCCTCCAGCAGGTCACTTCTTCTCCACCTGACTTAGTATTCGCTGCGCTTACAAAAGGGTATAGCCTGCGTGAGCCTCTTTCTACTTCTGGATTGAGCTGCAGAATGAAGAAGCTTTGAAGTTTGACCCGCGGCAGAGCGATGGGTCCTACAATTTTGCCATTGAAGGAATTGGATATCTAGGGTGGTGGTTGTTAAATCAGCTGTTGATGGAGGAGGTAGTCTGGTGCTTTGCTCGGGCGCTTATTCATGGCATATCATCTGACGTCTTTGTTTGCCAATACTGTGACAGGATGGACGGACCCTAGAGGCACCCAGCCGCAGCAGCCAAAGGATTTGTCACCCCCACCCACATCGCAGTTATCTGCCGAGGCCCATGCAGGTCTGCCACCATGCCCTCCTCTCTGCCTACTGCTTTTCACATGGCTGTGCTTGAAACGGAGAGCTTGTTGCAGCAGCAACATGAGCACCTATGTCGCTACAACAACGTGCAATTAGTTGAGAAGGAATTCTGATGATGCCGTGCGGCATGTTCAGGTTTTGCACATGTGGCTACCATGCTGACTCAGCAGGGCATCGAGGACCCCCTGGGAGAGCCTCACCTGGCTCGGACACTGGTGCAGTTCTTCGAGGGCAAAATGGTGTGCTTCCCCTCAACAGTGTTGCTTCAATGTCCAAATTTCCCTTCTGGCCATGTGCGGCATAGTATCGGCAGAGACAAGTACACTACTGTACACATGTTTGCCTCAAGCTTCTTTTCAAATGACACCTAGCAAACCAGTGATAAATAGCCAGAAACACGCTGGAATGTTCCTTACTCCCGAGACCTGCTCGGCTGTATGCGGTGATGTCTCTGAAAATGATATTATTGCACACAACCGAAACGACCTCAGGGGTAAGGGACTGCACAATTTGGTTTTGGCTTTTGGTGCAGGGATTTGGTTTGTTGGTATCAAGCACGTGTGCTCTTGCTCTCCCAGCGGTGACTTAAAGCCATGTGATATTTATTTGCATGCTGTTTAGCCTGATTTCCGTAACTGACCAGGAGGATTCCTGCCTGCCTGACTAAGAAGCAAGTTGCACTGCAGGCGGACCTGATCGGCGCAGAGTTCCGCGACCCCAGCGCTGCGCCGCAGCAGCCGATGCACGAGCAGCTGGCGACCACACTCACGGCACTGGGTATCCACAGCAAGCATGGCCACGAACACTTCCTCAACACGGTCAGCCACCCTGCTCCAACACCCCGCAATTATAGCGGCGGGCTTTGCAATGGCGTCCTGCTTGATGGACGCAAAGCGATGTCATGGTCATGGCAGCTTGCATGCTTTCTAGGGTTGCGGTCTGAGGGCAGTAAAGCCTGCGACCCTGGAGTGTGTCTCAGAGCTAGGATTGCTCTTGGCTATGCACTAGGGTGTCTCAATAGGGGATACTGTATTTTGTTATTGTTGAGCGCCTGAGTCGCATAGCACACTGAGGTCCTGAGAACTGAGGAGTGACTTTGAGTAAACAATGTGCGACATGTGCTGGCGTGATGCGGGCAGGTGCGGCACATGGTGGACGCGGTGAGCCACATCACAGGGCCGGGAGCGGCCAGCGCGGCCGGCACAACGGGGCAGTCCGCGCACATGGTCGGCCGGGACCAGCTCCCGCAGGAGGGAAACCCCCAGGCGGACGCGCAAGCAGGCACGCTCCACGGGGCATTCACTCCTCTCTCGTCTTCATTTGTCTCTTACCAAGAAGACAGTCAGCTGACGAGATAAGACCTTTCCTCGGACATGGGCAGATACTGTACAGTCTCAATCTTGGAGTTGTCACACCATTCACCGCCTGGATGATGTCCCACTGCCATGGGAAGTTGTGTACATGGCTCTGCACAGCTTACAACACTGAGTCCTCCCTTACTTTGGTGCTCGCAATATCTTTCATAGATTGTCTCTCCAATGGTATTATACAGCAAGTAGCTGAATGTGAATATGGCTCCATGCAGGGCTCCAGATGGGTGGCAGGAAGGACTTGGGTGGGGCGGACCCAGTGGCACATGGCGGCACTGTACAGCAGGTGCCGGCAGCCCACCTGCTGGAGCAGGCAGCTGCCACGCAGGGCACCCCTAACGTGCCACCTGGCCACGACCACAGCGGCTACCCAGGTAGCTCTTCCTCCTCAGAGAAAGCTGCCATGGTACCATATGTTGACAGCCTTCAGATGGATGGGAAAGTTCATCAGCCAGGGCCTGCAGCAATCCCACTCTGAATTCTAGGAGTGCATTCATGCACCGGGTTGCAGGGTTGACTATGCGTGTTGCTTAATGCTTCAATGTCCTGGATTCTGTCATGCAGTGGTTCGGTCTCCTGTGTTGAAGGCATGGGGAATAGGTATAAAAGGCAGCTTGCTCAGGTAGATGTTGACAGATGGTTTGCGGATCGCATGCATGCAGGCTGGCAGCAGCACGATAGCAATCCGGCGACCCCGGGGGTGCACGAAGTGCACGCGGACATCCACCACGCACACCAGCAACTTCACAAACCTGCCGCGCAGCACCACAGGCCGGACGCTGCTGGCTTCATCTACTGAGCTGACTCTTCCGGTTTGCCACCCAGTTTGGCGGGGTGGCAGGGTCTGAAGGGGGCTGACGATGGGCTGCAGGCTAGGAGTATTGTCAGGCATGGCACGTTGCTGCTTCCAGAGGAAGCCAATTGCATGTTGCATGCGCAATTGATGCTTGCTGGAGCTGAGTGTTACTTGCTGGAGCTGAGTGATGCTTGTGAGTGTGTTGTGTTTGAGAGGCAGACATTTGGTTGTGTCCTTTTTAAATCCTTATTCGCTGGAGTCTGGTTGAGCATCCGCCTCTCTAATCGGAGGCATCATGAGTAGTACGATCCGGACTTGAATCATGCATCACTGATGGCACTGATGGCATGATGATACTTTGCGCACATCAGTTGCATTTGCATGGTACTGCAATGCGCCGGTGCACATCACTTGCGGTGCTGAGCTGCTGCATAGGAAGGATGAACTGAGCAGTATGGGATTTGCAAGTTCCTTGCTCTGCTTGACTGGGGGTTGGAAGGAAGGAAGGAAGATTACATCACTCCAGCCGCCTAGGGCTGATTGGATGAACTGGCAGCATCCAAATAATCAAAACAATCCATCACAAAATGTGCAACACCAACAATGTCCAACTGCCACATGAATTGCTGCATCGTCACAATGGCTGCACCAAACAGCCCAGGATATCTGTCCCGAACAGATTGCAAGGCAGGGCACTCAAACACAAGGTGGCGCTCATCCCCAATAACCTGCTGGGCACAACGCATGCACAAACGCTGGGGCCGGGGAATCCTTGCCCAGCGGCCCGAGACATTGGGCAGACTATGACAACCCATCCTGAACTTCAACAGTATACGCAAGCAACGGGCACTCAAAGGCTGCTGTAAGAGCTGGCAAGGGTGGCGCACACAAGCTGGCCTAGCAAACCATCTGTGATATGTACACAAGGTGGCATTGCTGGACGGGCAGGTCCTAGGGCAAATGTCAATGTCATCCCAAACCTGCAGTGCTTGCGCATCTAGCAGCTGCATCACAGCATCAACTTCCACAGGAACAAGGGTGTCAAACCGAATAACAAACTCATACCCAATCCGGCGCAAGCCCCGCATGAAGGCCCAAGCCCAATTCTTAACAGTACGGGTTATGGCATCCCAACAATCATCAAGGGCCACTTGCCTGTGAAAATTATTTGCAGGCAAGGCAGCCAAATTGTTCCAGAACTTGATAATGCGCCGCCACCACACACAATCAAGGGTCTGCTGATTCAACTCCTTAAGCAAGATGGCACCATGCACAGAGGTGGGGACGCCAGCAATGTCTCTCAGAATTTTCAGGTGAGAGGAGGCCAAGGCAGCCCGGCCCCGCCGGCTGTCGCCACCAGGAAGGCTGCGCAGGCCCCACACCTCACAACCGTAGGAGGCAGTCGGCGGCACACATGCATCATATAGGCGCAACAACAGGCCAGCTGACATGCTGCAATGCAACTTCCCATATTGCTGCCTGAGCTGTGCCCACGCACCCCACATGTTCCTGTGAAGCTTGCCAAAGGTGAGATTAATGCCTTGGGCACCATCAAAAAGGGCACCCAGGTACTCAAACTGCTGAACCCAATGTAAAGGCGCACCACCACAAAGCCATTGAAAAGGTCCTGGCAAACTTGAAGAGAAAACCACAATCTTTGTTTTGTCAACACTGATGACCATTCCCGTTTGTTCACAAAACTCAGCAGCTGCATCAATCAAGCGTTGCAAATGAGCAGGTGTGGTGGCGAGCAAAGCAAAGTCATCGGCATAGCCTAGATCTGGTACACAACTGCCAGGACGCAACTGCGGGCCAACCCCAGGGCACCTCTGCAGCAAGTGCCTGTGCAGGCCATCTGCAAACAAGCCAAACAGCGTTGGGCTAAGGGGGCAACCCTGCTTCAATCCTGTCTCAGAGGGCAAACTAGGACCCTTCCTGCTCCCAATCTTAATGGCAACCGTAGAATTGGCATACAAAGACTGAATGGCAGAGAGCAGGCGGCCATCAATGCCCAGGCGACGCAGACTCTCCCAGAGCAACACCCGATTCACTCTGTCATAAGCACCCTTCAGATCAAGAAAGCAACAATACAAGGGCTGCTTAGCATGGTTTTGCCGGTCGATAAAATGCTGCAAGGTGAATAGCTGGTGGGCCGTAGACAGTTTTGGCCTAAAGCCAGCCTGTGTGGCTGCACGCAATCCAGCCCCCTCTGTGTACTTCAGAATACGAGAATTCAATATGCCAGCATACAAGCGCATGATGGGCTCAGTAACGGCAATGGGTCTATAATTGAGCATGTCAAGCTTGCTGCCTTTCTTGTGCACAGGGGTGATCAGGCTACCATTCACAGAGGGTGGCACTTGCCCAGCCACAAATGCAGAGTTCAGCACAGCCACCAAAGCAGGCGCCAGGACATTTTCCGGAGGAGGCATGCCTGGCGCCCGCTCATCTTTTGCATACCGAAACAGCTCAGCTGGTAAACCTTGCACTCCGGTGGCACGACCATTGTGTAAACTTTTGAGCCCAGCAAGCACCTCCCCAAGAGAGATGGGTGCATTGAGAGCATCAACATGGGCAACAGGAGCACTGGGCTGGACAGGGAAAGACAAGTGGGGCAGCTCAGCAATGAGTGGCAACTGCAAGTTTGCAACCCGCTTGAGATAGCCAGCCCACAATTGCACTGGCTTGAGCTGCTCAGGTATATCAGACTGCTGAGACTTGAGCCGCTTCCAGAAGGCTCGGGGGTCACTGTGCAAATCATCAAGCAGGCGGCGCAGTTGTGCGAGCCGGTGAGCGCGCCGTTTGTGGCGGACGGTGTTGTGGTAGGCACGCTCCAGCGCGCGCACTTCGGCTGGATCGCCCCCGCACCGCGCGCGGGCGCGGACGTCCCGTTTAAGCTGGCGGCACTCCGAATCGAAGAAGGGCGCGTCGGCACGCGCCTTGCGCTGATGGCGCCCGGTGCGGGCCGGCATGCTGTTCGCGGCTGCGGCCTCCCGGATCCCCGCCTCCAGGGTCTGAAAGGCTGCATCAAGTTCCCCAGCCACAGCATGGCCTGTGCAGGCGTCAAGACTTGCACTGGCAACATTGCGCAAAGCAGCAGCATACGCATTCCTAGCACTGGGCTGCCATTTCACTCGTGACAATGGCGCCCCAATACATGGTAAGGGAACACTGGCAGCCACATTCACTTGCAACGTCATCTCAATAGGATGATGATCAGAGTCTTTTCTACCAGTATTCACAACAAGATGAGAAATCAAGGGGAGCGCATCAGCGGAAACGAGAACATGATCAGGTCTAGTTGCCTGAGTATGGGTTCTGGCCTTAAAGGTAGGCACTGCTTCAAGGTCTCCTAGCACTCTGCCAGAGCATATGAGCATGTCAGTTTCCTTGCAAAAATCTAACAGGCGCAGCCCATGAGCATTGACACCTTCATCAGTGCAGCCTCGAGTATTGCTGTCATCAGCGTCGGGCAAATTTGACACACGAGCATTGAAGTCTCCTGCCAGGATCACATTGCCCTGAGCACGAGCGGCAACAACTTCTGCACATAAGCCCGTAAATCGACTGGTCAGGTCCACAGTCTGCAATTGCCGGGAACCCGCTGGAGGCACATAGCTGGAGCCAATCAGCAGCGGTGTAGAGTCCCCCTCAAACTGCACTTTCACCCATAAGGCACTGTCAGTGTCTGACACCCAGTCTTGTGCGTGGTAATCACGGTGCTTCCGAACCGCAACAACAATGCCTTCACCCGCCTTGCCCTCTTCACTAGCAGCCGTGAAAGTCACAGAGTGGTGAGGCAAGATCGAGTCATCCCAGGTCAAGCAACGGGCCTCAGTCAGAAGTACAATATCGAACTGGTCAAGATAGGCTGCCGTGTCCCACAAGGATATTTTGCTAGCATGTAAGCCATTGACATTCCAGGACAATATACGCAGCGATAGGCGGCTGGAGACTTCCTAGCGGCGCACTGCTTCGGCGTAGGAGTCGGCGCGGCCGGGGGAGGAAGGCGCGGCCTGAGAGGGCCCGGCAGTGGCAGCACCCGGGGCGGCAGCGGCGCCCGGCGCGGCAGCCGGGGGAGGCCCAGGCACAGGCATGTGCTCACGCACGCGGTCGCCCTCCCGGACGAAGAGGCGCTCCTCGCGCCAGAAGGGCTGCTTGCCGGCTGTCTTCAGGGCGACATAGTGTGGGCGCATGCTGACGCGGATGCGCTGCTGCTGCGGGGTGAGGTCGGGATCCAGGAAAATCTGGGTTGGCAGGAGGATTCCAACAAGAAATGCTAGCTGACGTCACGGGTCCACATGCGGTTTGCCTGACGTGATCAAACGTACTCCACCATCGCATCTTTGATCCCACAAACAACTTGCTTCACAATTTCTATACTTTCCTTCTTTCGTTGCTGTTGCAGCCTACTCTCTTCTCCAGGGGCTATCAAATATTCGCGTTCGACGACTTACAGTATGGGATCAACGGTGACCCAAGTGGTCAGCTCATGCCAGGGAGTCCAGTTCAAGAATCAGAAGACCCTCAGGTGCCGCTTTTCGAGCGGCACCGATGTGCCTGCATCCTTTGACGCAGAGAGCAACTGCATCAGCTGTGTCCCACCCCCAGAGGTGCGGCTAGTAGCTTTTCATCGAGACTTCTGTTGCTTCGTCTTGTCATACTCTGTCGTAGTGCCGACTGGCGGAAGGCAGGCAGAAGGGGCCTGCTACAGCGTTCTTGGGCCTGTGACACCTCACCCTATATGTTCAAGAGGGTAGGTGTGTTTATCAGGCACTGGAGGGCGAAAATGGCAAGTTTCAGGTCTATGGAAGCGACGGGGATTTGCTCTGCCCAAGCTGCGATCCGACCATCAAGTATGACTTCCTCTGCTGAGTCTCTGCTGTTCTTCTCAGACTTTGGCACTTTTATAGTGAACCTCCAAATGCATATGCCACTGGGAAGTTATTGCTGTGGTGTACATGCAGGCCTGGTGTTCCCAGCTCGTCATCAATCTTTGAGGTGACACCCTCACATGATCAAGGAATTGCACTGCGCCTGGTATTTGATCCCATGCAATTCAGAGGTCAGAACGCCAGGAACATTCTCAGACCTGCTTGTGTCTCATCCCAGGTGGATGGGTGTGGGGCTGGGGAAGATGGACAAGGCAGTGCTACAACTGCCACCAGTGAGTCTCCAGTCCACGACTTTTTTCTTCTTCTCTGGTCTTTTCTGCTTTACAAAAGTTGTAGGTCTTGGGGCGATTTCACGTGCAAATCATCGAACAAAATCCCAGCCCACATCAAAACGCAATGATGATCTTTAGCATGCATTAACTTCACAAGCGACCCGCGGCAAAAACTGATCCTTTAATGCGCTCTGCAGGTGTATTTAAGAAGCTCTCGCTGTTGGACCGCTTTCTTCCTGTGTGGATTATCGGTGCTATGGCGCTTGGCATACTGCTGGGCTATTTCGTGCCCGCCGTGGAGCGAGCTTTCAGCGGAGTGCAGATTGTCGACGTCTCCTTATCAATAGCTATAGGGTGGGTTCTCTGCATTCCTCTCCTCTTTGCAGAGCTGTTTGTAGCAGTAGTGCCCCTGCAGGACTTGTGCCTTGTTCTGAGGGTGTCAGGAATTCACATTGGCAGCGCCGCAGCAGAGGTCAAGTGGAAGGTTCTGCACAGACATTGATAAGCAGCTGATATTTTGGGCTTATTCGCAGCCTTCCTGGTCAGCAACATGTATCTTAGACCTGGACAAATGTTTTTGTAGCGCGCCACATGGATCTTTAACACTATTTGTCACTCAGTATGGCACTCGGCATGAAATTATTTGTGCGTGCATGCAGTCTGTGGGCGATGATGTGGCCGGTGCTGACGAAGGTGCGCTACGAGCTTCTGGGCAGCATCCTGAGCAGCCGGGCCATCTGGGGCCAGCTCGCCATTTCCCTCATTGCCAACTGGGTCCTCGGCCCTGCCATCATGGTGGGTCACCAGCCCTCCTCCACTCCTCAAACTGCATCAGCGCCAAGACTGTGATAGGGGCCCCGCTGCATGCACTGATGTGCAACACTGCAGCATTGATCGGAGAAGATTGCTTACATTTTCTGTATTATGGTGCAAGGGTGAAGGTGCTCCTGATGGTGTATTATTGGCGTAGATTCTGCATTCATCGACCTTGATATTTAGTACCTGAATCTTGGCCCTGACCTGCATTGACCCAGCACATCGCCCTTGGTACAGCAACTCATAAGAAGGTGCATTCGCTTCGGGCATGCATTCTGCGAGAATTTGAGTGAGCGTGGGAGAGCCTTCCATGCGCGCAGGTGGCATTTGCATGAGCAGCGCTGCCAGACACAGTCCCCTCACACTTTGTCAAACTGGAAACCCTACCCTTTTATGTTAGCTTCTGCGCTTGCGTGCATTGGTGGCGTTTGCATGAGCAACACTGCAGTGCACAGTCCCGCTCACAAACTGTCACACTTGAAGAAGTCCCACCCACTTACAGGAGCTTCTGTACTTTGCGCTTAGGTGGCGTTTTGCTGCGATACACAGTCCCGCTCCTCACACTCTCACACTGGAGTCACTGTGCTTTCGTGCGTGCGCAGGTGGCGTTTGCGTGGGCGACGCTGCCGGACCTGCCGCACTACCGGGCGGGGGTGATCCTGGTGGGCCTGGCGCGCTGCATCGCCATGGTCCTGCTCTGGAACCAGCTGGCCAATGGCAGCCCCGAGTACTGCGCCATCCTCGTCGCCGTCAACTCCATCCTGCAGATCGTCCTCTACGCGCCCCTCGCCCTCTTCTACCTCCAGGTGCGAAAAGGGGATTTTTATTTTCGTGCTGGATGGCATGACCGGGCCATGGTTCTAAAAAGGCCCGCCTCGAAACCAGGCGTACTGTGCCATGGACTGTTCTGCTAGTGTATCTATCTGTCTACTCCAATGTCTAATGACTCTCACAGCCAGTCAGCCAGCCAGGTTGGTGAAGCCCCATGCAAATGAGTTTGGTGGCGCTGTGAAATTGCCACAAAATCCAGACAAGCTCTTGTGTTTTGCAGAGCGTCTTGTCACTCAAGAGCTTGTGCCTTGCTTTTCTTTTGGTGAGTGAAGACAGCAGGAAGCAGATCTTCCTGCGTCCCACAAAGCAGCATGCGAATTCAAATCAACACTTCTTTCTTTGTTGTGCTGGTCAAAGACAAACTCTTTTCGTTCCGCCAGCGCCCTGCACCACTGATCCTGGTCCCCATTGGCATCTCCAGGTGGTTTCGGGCGGCGCGGGTGCGGCCGGGGGAGTGCACATCGGCTTCTGGCAGGTCGCGCGCAGCGTGCTGCTCTTTCTGGGCATCCCTCTGCTGGCCGGCATCATGACCCGCTACACCCTCCTGGCCACGATTGGAAAGCGCCGCTTTGAGAACAACTTCATGCCCTACTTCGGCCCTGTCGCGCTGCTGGGCCTCATCTACACCATCATTGTCATGTTCTCCCTCCAAGGCCACGAGGTGCGCATCTTTCTGAGCTGTTCATGTAGATGCTGTCGGCCCACTCCAACTTGCTAAAAGCTTATGCGGATGCCGCTGAGACATATCCAGGCGCTGCTTGACTGTAGATCCTCTCTGCAAGACCCCATTCACAAAGCGGCACAAAGCAGCTCTGGCCGCCCAAATGTTTGCCGCGGGTTTGTTGCTACATAAGCTATTGTCAATGCTCACTGCGCGGTGTGCCCTCATGCGCTGTTGGGCTGGAGTGATGTTTGTGATGGTATGGGTCAGCTTGGATGCGCTTGGGCTGCTCTGAATGCGCCAGCGTGCATGAGCAGCTCAAGCAAATCCAAGCAAATTCATTCCAGCACAAGCACCGTCCTTCCAAATGACGCATGCAGAGGAGCATGCAGAGTGTGATTAATGGACTCATGCGATGTACAGTTGATGCTTGGCAGCGCCGTTGAATGTTGCAATATAGGGACACTTGTGAGGCAGCCCTTCCTGTCTTTATTGGCACTCACGTGTGTCTTAATGTCTGCATTTTTCACCTGACTTTATATGGATTCTACATTATGCGCAGGTGATCGCCAACATCGGCAACGTGTGCCGCGTGGCCGTGCCGATGATCCTCTACTTTAGCGTCATGTTCTTCGGCACGCTGGCAGTCTGCTGGAAGCTGGGAACGCCCTACGATCAATCCGTGACTCAGGCCTTCACAGCCTCCAGCAACAATTTCGAGCTGGCCATTGCCATTGCTGTGGGCACCTTTGGAATCAAGTCCCAGGAGGCTCTGGCCGCCACTATTGGGCCCCTGATCGAGGTTCCGGTGCTTCTGGGGCTTGTGTATGTCGCCCTGTGGCTCAACAAGAAATGGTGGGGGGCTCCCCGGGGAACCACTGGCGCATCTGCCTGAATTTGAATTTGAATTCGTTTTGTGGGATGACAGCTCCTGACATTGAATGGGTGCTCGACAGGAGTCACCGGGGGGTAGACTCATGTCTGTACGGCAGTGCAAGGGGCTTTCAAGCGTCAATTTACATGCTATTATGTACACCGTCCTGTGTAAAAAAAAATTGGAGTTTCTGCACTGCTGCTTGATTTGAGAATTTGATATTCGTGGAGACACATTGAAGTATTCTAGCTGAAAAAAATGAGTGTTGCATGCATGACAAGAGCTGCGGACAGATGGAAGTGATTTGAGACTTGAAGTGATGATCTACAACGCATGCACATGCTTATGTGACCACAAGCGTCCAATTCGATCGGCGAGCCTGCCAATTTAGCCTTGTAAGCCTAGTCAGCACGACAGGGTCAGGCCCCTTGCAAATTCCTTCCACCTGTGCCCCAGTCCTTTTTCCAATGTCGTTGTCTGCTGTGCTGCACAGTTCCAACACGTGCCAAGGTGATTGCTGTACTGAGGGGACTGCTCTTTATATCGATTGCAATGTTGAGCTCCTGGATCAGAACTCGAGCAGATCTAGATCACAAGATCAGGGCCTCAAGAAAGGATCTCAATATTACACACATGCTTCTTGCATGTAAGCACAAGGGTTGCAACGATTCCCATTCTTCTTCACATGCATGCGGCAAAAGCAAAGCCCGTACTTGAATTTACATTCTCTGTTGCGGGTACTAAGTTCCACTGTGTAGGTCTCCATGCCATGATGACATCTAAGGTCCTCCACACGACCTTCCAAGATCATTTAAAGTTGTACAGTAGGGGTGCTGTGCACACAATGTCAGCTAAGATGGACCTGAAAGAATAAGTGTATGGGAACCCTTTGTCATAAGACTTCGTTCTGGCACAAAAGGTCGCCCAGATGTATGAAGTATGGCAGGTTTCAGAAGGTGTCAGAGGACCAACCTGCTTCACAGCAAAGCCGCATAAAACCTAAACGCTAAAATAGCCACTGCAAGCATTGCAGGTGGCGGCCTTAAAAATGGTTACCATAGCAAGACGCTCCTTATTGGGAAACGCTTCTAATCAATTGCTTACCAACACATCACGTGCGGCATGTACTAGCAACGAATTCCACAGTGCCTACTTCATATGTCTGTCCCAACAATAAGATTATCAGTGCTCTACGGAGATTGTCCCTGTAGTCTCAACCTGCACAATTCTCACCGTGACCGAACACTCTGGCACATCCTTCTTCATCGATTAAAATGAGGCGTGCCTTCTCCACAGCGCCAACATGGCTGCTCTCCACTTCACCCCATTGCGTCCTCTGTCTGGGAATTTTGAGACCGATTCGAGACTGGCCCCTTTGAATTTCCTCGGCATGGGCTCAGCCGGTGGCGGCAACGTCCTTCTTTTTGGCGGCCTCCTTTTCTGCCTGGCTGAGCAGGCGCCCCTTCTCGAGCTTCTCCTTGCGCTCGCTGTAGCGGTCGACCAGGAAGTCCGAGCGCCCGCGCAGCAGCATGGAAAACTTGTACAGCTCCTCTGCCACGTCAACCACCCTGTCCCTGTAGCTCCTGGCCTGCGCGCACCCCAAAACCAGAAATTTAGCTTTCTTCATGCCCCGATTGCCAAACTTGGATGGCAACGTTCACATTCATGAAAGAGGCAGGCACGGGTTTGATAGTCCTGTAGCCTCTGACGATATTCAATTACCACACTGCCGATGTTGCCACGGCAATCATATTAAAGAAAACGTCTTTGCTTTTAGATGCTCTGTTGCGGGAGCCTGAGAAGTGAGGTGGCACCCTGAAGGACCACGACAACAACAGAGCAAGTCTCTGGCCACCACAACTTCACAAATTTGTTGTGTCACATACCTCCTTGTCCTCACGCAGAGACAGACTGACATACAGTGAACCCCAAACAGGCAAGTGGGCATCGGCCGCTTCTTGATCTATATCTGACCCAGCGAGGACACACAAATAGGGGCGCCATTGCCTGAGTGCAAAATTCTTTCTAGCATGCCTTCAGCTGCAGCAAACAAGCCAGGCATGTGCAGTACCTTCATGCGGCCGTCGTCATGGAACTCGGTCCAGGCCTTGGGCACGGAGGACTGGTTGGGGATGGTGATCATTCGCATCCAGCGGCCCAGCACCCGCAGCGTGTTCACTGTGTTAAAACTCTGCGAGCCGCCGTTCACCTGCAGCAATACCCACACGACAGATATCATGGGAAGTATAGAAGATGGCAAAAACGGCTTCCCTGCAGATAAAGGCCGCAGTGGCAACTGGGCCGGGGCAGCATGTCAGGCCTCTACAGGGAATTCCATCAAATGTCAGTGGGACGAGCCGTGTTGATCTCCTGCTTATGCTTGAAGCCTGTTAGATTCCCTCTCTCAGGCCCCCGATGTCAACCCAATGTGATCATGGCAAAAAGACCCCACAACAGTGCTTGTCATTGGTCGGCCAGTGAGGCCTGAGTCATACGAGACCCCCATCGTTTGGGGCAAACAGGATTGTATAGAAGGGTCCTGTCCCAGAAAGAACCTTTGCAGTACTTTGCTGCTATGCCTGAAGGGACAATTACTCTATCCCCTGCCAATTTGATCTGCTAGCAACTGCTCGATCGACTGGTAGTAGGAACACAAGCAAGAGAGTGCGCCTGTGCAGCGTGCCTGTGCCACTTGTAGCAGAAGCCTTCGCACCTCGACAGGGTAGCCTACAAGGGTCTCCTCCTCAGGATAACCATCGCCTCCTTATGCCAAAAGCCTGCACCAAGGCTGTGAGCAGCGCGCATGTTCCACAAGCAAATGCCACCGGGACATGCAGCACGGGCACTTTTAGCAGCAGCACACACCTGTGCAATGGCGAGGGTGCGGCCCTGGGATGGCCGCACAGAGCCGAGCGAGAGGGGGATCCAGTCGATCTGGTTCTTGAACACGGCCGTGATTGTGCCGTGCTGCTCCGGGCACACCCACACGTGCGCCTCCGACCACTCACTCAACCCACGCAGCTCCTTCACCTGCGCACCAGACCATACAGCTCTCAGCCGCCGAGGGCAATAAATGTCGAAGAGTACAAAGAGAGTCGCGTTCAGTGCTCCCGGGGCGGGTGATCATTGTGTTCTTGCTGCATAATGTGCATGCGCCAGGCAGCCCTTCCTCCTATTGTCCTGGCGCTCGTGATGTCTGCAGATTTGTATCGCCCAAGAGGTATTCCATTTCTAGGTGGCAGGAGGATGCATGGTTTCACTGGACAGCTCAAAGATGCTTTGGCATGGCCGAATGTGTCCTGCATGCTTCATGCAACAGGTTTTAAAATACAAGTCCATGAATGCAACCTACAAAGAAGCACTGCTGGAAATCGTTGTGTGGGCAACTCTGCATGTAGCGAGCGCTGAGAGGCCTATAGCTGGGCGTGAGCCGTCATCGATTCTAGGGTGCTGAGGTGCAAATGAGGCAGCTACGCAGTCATCAGCATGCTGTGAGAAGAAAAAAAGCAACGAACCTTTTCATGTCCCTCAGACACGTCATCTTTGATGGGCAGGCCTTCTGGATCGAAGAACCTGACGTCTGCGCCTATGAACTCCAAAATCCTGCACCCAGATACATGCGACAATGCGACTACCCTCTTTCTTCCAACACCCTGGAGCACATTATTGGGGAACAAATGCACGGATCGCTCCAAGGCAGAAAAAAATCACAAATATGAGTGGGTTGGGGCTGTAGAGTGTGGCACGATTAAGAATATCCATCTACTGCAGGTGAAGGAGTGTCACCTTGCGAATTCCAGAGCCAACAACCGAGAATAGGAGCGTTTCCTCATCGAGCCATGGAGGACCAAGACCCTCAAGGGATCTGCCTTTGCCTCTTCTTTCATAAAGGCTTTCACAGAGTCCAGTTCCAGGTCTTTCACCCAGTCATTCTGTGCTGCTTCCCCACTCAGCCTGTATATCTTGTAGTCTGGATGCATCTGCACTCGCAAGCAGCTAGCTCAGTAAGAATTAAACACACTGAGAAGGGTGTGTTGGACTCTCAGCAAGGCTTTCACAGACCACCAAGCACTACCTCAGGTCATCCAAGTAGCACAAGCGTCATTCCATTTGCAGGTCTAGCAGATCAGCTCCGGCATCATGAATAAGTAGCAATAGCGCCGGCATTCACCTGTGAAATGGATGTGACGGAACTACACTGCACAACGGTCTCCTTCCGTGCAAGCACCCCGCCGCTATTTTTTAAGGAATATAAAGAAGGTAAATGCACTACTTGGCGCTGCAATGCCCGGAAGGACGCCCCTGAGAACGCCGCGTACATGGAACAAGTCCAAGAAAGATCATAAGACGATTGCTGGACACTGCTTCCGCTCAGAACAGCATCTCCTCCACACAGAAATGGGACAACGATATTTAACAAAAGTATTGGGCAGATCGCAGTGCAGTGAGGAAGCACGAGGTGGCCCAACTCGAGCAAAGGCTTGCAGGTGGGCAGCCCAATTTGGGCAGGTGGGCTTGCCTTCCTGACCGCCTGGAACAGCAACATACAAAAAAGTTCCACTGGTAGCCTACTGGACAGTATGGCACTGTAACAATGTAGCCATGCATGTGGACAGCTCCAGTGCAGTGTTCATGAAATGGTCTTACGCTTGATGATTGGCCGCGGGATGACGCGGGAATTTGAATAAGCTTAAGCAGCCTTTAATTCTGATCATGTTTCAAGTTGCACTTAACATTTTCAGGTGTAGAATACGTGGCCAGATGCTCTGCACTGGCATCACACTGAAACATTAATAATCAGGAGAGCAGAAGTAAGCTTCAAAGCACCCCAATTCAGTTTGCCCATATTCATTAGTCCCTCGTTTTCATTCAAGTCGGTCTAGACAGATCAGAAAATACACTTGAGAGCACCACCGAATTGCTTGAGAAAGTCTTGCCAGTCCAATCTTGTCGTTTCGTCAATCTTAAAGCCTTATTGCCATGCAACCCAACACTCAACCCACTTTTGGCGCCCCAAAAATTGTCATGCGGCGCCTCAATATTGGACCAAACAAAGGTTCTCCCCTAGAGTCGAGCAGCAGCACTGCGCTCACTTCTTGCCCAGGAAGCTGGGCATGCGCAGCCAGCCGAGAGGGTCGGCCGCAGCTGTGGCAGGGGTGGCAGTCGCATCTGTACCCAAACCACAAATCTTCAACACTGTAGCCTCAAGGTCGAGTAAAGCAGCCTAACATCACAGTCCAGATGACTTGACATGGACGCTTCCTTCCTCATGCAGCATAGCATGACAGCAGCGGCATACACCCATCACCATTGCCGTTTCGGATGTAAATACAAGGCACATGGCGCAATGAGTACCAGTGTCAAGACCCATATTAGTCATGCCGGTGTCAAGACAAAATTATGTCAGGCCATAAATGGAGAACACACCGGCGCCTGTGGTGGCAGCTGTTGCTGCGGTGGATGTCACGGTGGTGCCATCTGAAGCAGTAGCCGGCTGCAACCACATCACAAAGTTTAGGCATGAAGTAAGCTGAATCAGCCCATCTGCAAGTACATGACGCAGCAAGGATTTGGAAGGGCAATGATGACCCAAGAAGGTGCTCATAACTGCTATGATGCAAATCAGTTCCTCAAGCCAAAATCATATGGGTGTGGCATGCTAGACATAACATCTGCATTCATGAGTGCATGTCCAGATCTGTACTGTATAAGAAATGTCACAGCCCTGGAGCCGCATGGACAGTTGAGCCAACCTGTGAGGTCCATTGTCTTTGGAAGTGTCACCAATGCCTGACAATCCTCTGAGAATGATGAATCTTCTGGTAGAGTTGCCATGCATTACTGGATCTGCTAGGTGGTCACCTGGGCCTCGGTGGTGGGAGTTGTGGCTGCGGTGCCGGTGAGTGGGTTCTGACCGCTGACGACCTCCGATGTCACCTTCTGGAAGTTCTTAATCTGAGCCTGGTTGGCATCGTTGATCAGCATCTGCAGCGGTGCAGCCGCCTGCAGGAGCACACGTGCACATCGCTGAGTAAATTATTCTATTCATGCAACAATACCGAACTGAACCGGAATGGCATGAAAAAACTAATTTGCTGCCTGTTGGTAGCCCAGTTTAGTGAGGCTGCAACATTGTACATGTTGCTGAGTGATCCATGCATTCCATGCAACAGCCCTGAAGTGCCCCTGATAAGTGGATGACTAATCTTCCTGCTCCAGCATTATGCAAACGCAACCCCAGTACAAGCAGACAAGCAGGTATCTAGTCAAGCATAGCACGCACAGGCTTCCCTCAGCAATAGGCGTCACTGGGTCTGGTAAAACTGAAGGCAAGCATGTGTGCATATGCAAAAGGGGCAATGAACGCACGATAGCGAGGTTCCACTGCACTTTCTGAGCGTTGTCCTTGGTGATGCGGGTCTCAAACGCGTAGTCGAGGGCCTTTGCGACCGGCTGGTACGCCTGCACAAAGTCCTCGATTGTGGGGTTGGGGTTAGCCACCCGGTTGGCCATAAAGTCGGGCTGTGCCTCTGCTGCAGGCGCTCCGGAAGGTGCCTCCACACCTGCACCGTCCCAGAGACACACCTCAGTACTGAAGCTGTCGTGTGCTGTGCGAACTTCTCATCTAGTCAGGGGTTGTTGCTGCCACGGCATCCCTTGGCAGGGAGCAGCCAGGGTGCTTGTGCTGCATCAGCCTCATGTGCATGGAGACGGCTGGCAGATTGGCTTAATTCCAGGTGCTGCAAAGAGCACCATTCCTGGAGGTTTACAAGGTGAAGGATTTTCATGAGTCAGCAGGTCAGTACCCTGGCTTGGTCCTGGTGCAAAAGCCTCCTCAGCAAGAGGCTCTATGGGCAGGATTCCCTGGGCCATCCCCACGTATTTGAGATATTCTGAGTAGCTCTTGATGTTCTTCGGCATCTTGAAGTTGGGGTCGACCGCCGGCATCTGGGCAGTGGTGGTGGAAATAAAGCAGGCCATCACCAGGACTGCCATACACCTGCGCAGATGCACAGCTTGTGAATGCCAGGTGGAGTGTCTGTTCTAAGAAGACTATCGTCTGGAAGTATACGGAAGTGCTCTTATTCCTGAAACAACGAGCACAATAAAAGCAAATAAATATATTCAGATGCCAGGTGCATGGCTGTCACTGATTGCTTTTCTTACAAGGAGATCAGAAAACGCACATCATACACTTTTGGGACGCCATTATATCGCTGATGCTGGTGGCCTTGGTCGTCAGCGCCGCCGAAATTTCAAGTATCACCCTGCGTACATGCAGCTTCCCGCTTAGTCAGAACGGCAACACGGAGTCTCCCTGAGCCAGCACGCGTGGCTTCATACTGAAGCCTTCAACACTCCAGAAAGGCTGAATTCCGCAACATCTGATATCCCTGAGATGCCAATCTTTTGCTTGCTGCGTGCTTCACGCATCAGCCTCATAAAACGTAAGCAAGGTACACTCAGCTGTGGAGGAATCAGGAACCAGGCACAACATTCATTGATCCAAGAGACAGGCGAACATAAGTAATCATGTACACACAGCCTCACGCTTCTGAAATCAGTGTCTCAGGGGAAGGGATGCAACCTTCAGGACAAAGTTGGCTCTGCCCGCAAAGCCTGACGTCTCCTGTGCCGCGGTTCCGCTAGCCAGTAAAGATGTCTATGAGGATCTTAGGAATGGAATCTGCCCCTGCGTTTTTATCTGCCAGGACGGTCTGTTGAGCGCGGACACCTGTGGCTTGCAGATTTGAAGAGACGATACATACTGCATCGACCCTAAAACTTCATTGGAGTCCCCTGATTCTATATTTTCTAGGGGTGTGCAGGGCCCTGTTTCCATGATGCCATCTACATCAGCCGTCACGCCGGTACTATATTCCAGGGAAGTGAGGCCAGGCGGGCAGTTCTGGTGACATTGATGATAGAGGAGAACTGTTGATTGGGGCAGGGACTGACTCCAAAGAAGGTGCGTGTCGGAGATGGGCAAGAACTTGTCTTGGAGGGCATCTGGACTGCAAGCAGCCATGTCCTGTTCGATCCCCCCGGATCGAAGCGATTGAGAAAATTGTCTGGATTCAGATATTCTCTTTAAGTGCTGCTAAGTCACGCACGGGATCGGTAACCCTGCATGACAACTCTTGCCCATGAAGTACTGATGTAGAGCGTGCATATGCAGATGAATATCGAAAGGCTGCAGAAGATGGCGGGCTCTGTCCGCACCGGCGGCAAAGGAACTGTGCGAAGGTGTGCTTCACACATTTGAGGCCCTCAGTTGGACCGCTGACAGGCTCTAGTAGGAGGGATCTGGACAGTTTGTTTCTGGCGACCAGCTTGGGCAACGATTTCTTCTGTGCATGTGTACTAAGAGATCCTGATTTATGGCTCAGGAACCCCGAATACCTTTTGTTGATAGCTGTCAATACTGGCACTGTCGAGAGCTCACTAGGTGGTTTCCATCTGAAGACGTCTTTTTGCTTTGCAGAAAAAAGAAAGCAGTGCACAAGGTCTCCACAACAGACGACAAGCGACTTCAAGCAACCCTGAAGCGGCTTGGGGTTAACACCATCCCAGGGATTGAGGAGGTCAATCTGTTTGTCGAGAATGATGTCATCCACTTCACAAACCCCAAAGGTAATGCTCAAAGCCTTGCCTTATCTCTTCTGTTCTTCTGTTGTTGCCTAATGTGCTTCCATGCTGCCTTCCTCGGTCATGTCCATCAGTGATAAGTGCAGATCTTGACATGCTTCTGTGCTGTGTCCCTGCAGTGCAAGCTTCCATTGCAGCCAACACCTTTGTTGTCAGCGGACCCTCACAGACAAGGAGTAAGTTCCAGCTCCTGCATTTGTGCGTTCTAGTGCACAGTCATTGTATTCGCTGAATTGCTGCTGTTTCCCGTCTGCTCAGATCAGATTGCCATGAGGTATCTTTGCCAAGACTTCACGGCTCTCGATCTATGCTCAAGCGAAGACCAAAAGATAGCAGTCAGCGCATCTACTTAATTTTGCTTTCATAGCACGTGTGAGCACAGTCTGATCTATCAGCTTGTGTTTCATAGCCGAGCTGCGATGCATGTGCATGCAGCTGCTCAATTTTTTCTGGCAGAATACGTCTGGCTTCGAAGTGGCCTGGAGACTGAGCCTCTTGTCTAACGCAATATTATGCTGAGCATTACATTTGAGGCTCACTCCTCGTACTTAACGCCTGGCGTGATTGTGTCAGACAGCAAGCCTCAAATTTATGCATCAGATAAGGTTGGCCGGATGCATTGTAATGCAATGCCTTTAGCAGACCAACAGAGCCGCTGGCTGACTGGACTTGTGTGTTGCGCAGAGCTGCACGACCTGCTGCCGAGCATCCTGCCGCAGCTGGGCGCGGACAACATGAACACTCTGCGCAAGCTGGCCGAGGAGGGCTACGGCGGCGCTGGCGGCTTTGGCCGGGGACCCCCCGGCGGCGTGGGCACCATCGAGGAGGAGGACGAGGAGGACGACGACGGTGCGCTGACGCACCCCACTGACTCACTTTGTTATGCCGTGATGCACAGCAAAAGTGTCAGCAGGATTTGCCTCATGGACGGGGGATTTTGCATGCATGTGAGTTAGAGGGGTCGCACGGGCATGGAGCAAGGTAGCTCCGCTGTTTTAGATGGGAGGTGGTGAAGGCACAAACGCAGCTGTGCCCAAAGGCTATACTTGTTGAGCATGAATGTAACGTATCTGGTTGTCTTGCTGTCTTCCAGTACTGGCCAATGCCTGGTTGTTTGCATGGGCAGATGAGCCTGCGAGAAGGGCTGCCTTGCCATTGTGCTGGGTTAGAGAATTGCAGGGAGGCCAGCAGATTTGACACATGATGTCTTACAGCGGCTGGAGTATTGATGGCGGCTGGTGTGCCCTGCAGATGTGCCTGACCTGGTGGAGAATTTCGATGAGGCCGCCAAGTGAAGCAAGCATTTGCAACGAGGGGTACGCTGATGGGAGGCTGTTCAAAGCTTAGCCTTCAGCTGCTGCTATGCATATGTGTACACCTAGCTTTGTGGGAGCACTGAGAAATACCGCCGTTTGCATGATCAGGCAGGGCAATGTATGTAACAGCCACCGAAAGGCACTATCATCACTTTGGTCTGTTTGACTGCTAGAAAGGATCATAACGGCAGAATGGTACACTTTGACAGCTTATGATGAGAAGTCTATGCACATGTGTGAATGGCTTGGTCTGTCATGTTCTTTGCTTGCAAGCTTGGTTGTTTCAGCTGAGCAAAGCCGCTGTCCAGAGATGTGCTTGGGTGATCAGCCGTTGTCCTGAAGAATCAGACCAGCTGTCATCCATGTAATGCTGCATGCCTTCTGAATTAAAAGTTCAAAAGCGCGGTTAGAAACAGACATCAGCCTCTTATTGGGACACTGGCACAGTCCCAAGTGTGTCCCCCAGTGTGTCACAATTGGCAATATCGGGCAAACATTCCTTACAAAGCAGAGTCTCAATGACTTCTTTGGACAACCCTCCCTCTTACAGGTAAACGTGCTCTTTTGAAAGGTACGTCTTGAGGAAGCGTCAGGACACAAGAACGTCCTCGGTCAGTCCGTTTGAGCACGCATGATCCATACTCTGTGCCCGGCAGCAAAACCCGCGCAGCAGCAGTTGACCTTCCCTTCGGCCCTCCTCTTCACAGGAGCAACTTGTAGAGGTGCTTGCATTTATGTCAAATTGATCATATCAAGCCGTCTCTGGTCCCTTGCTGCGGGTCAGCAGGCAGAATTGATGAGCACCCTTGCAGCTCTGCAGCAGAAGAACTGTGGTGCATGTAGGCGCTGCTCAGATCAGATCAGGTCCGCCACGTTCATAGGCTGCAAACACACACAATTCCACATCAGTGCCACGCATTTAAGTAGAAGCACACAAAATAACCACACGTTACCCAGCAGCCAGAAGGTGTTTTGACACTAGCCTGGTCTATGGCACCCACTTTACCGCAGTATCACCCCACGCACTTAATAGAAGACCACCGGTTGCAGTGGCAATTTAAATTGCCCATATGACGGGGCTCAAGTCACACTATTCAGGAACCCCTTCTTAGATCAGGGCATATACACAAGGACCATGCGCTCACAGGATGGCGCCAGATGTGGCATGAGGTGAGCAGGCAAGATAGGCACAAGAGGACGGCGGAGCTCACCATTTCATCAATCTGGGTGGAGTAGTACTGCTCTATGTCGCGCAGGATGCGGATGTCATCGCTGCGCACAAAGTTGATGGCCACTCCCTTGCGCCCGTAGCGCCCGGAGCGGCCGATGCGGTGAATGTACAGCTCACGGTTGTTGGGCAAGTCGTAGTTGATCACCAACGACACCTGCACACCGCGTGCCCTCATCAGCTCAACAAATCCACCCTCTCATCCTCCAGACTTCCAGCAGATGTCCACAACACAGGAGCCACCACTGAGCCCATCATGCATAGGACCTTTTCTTTTTTTGAAGTGCAGAGCGGTCAGTGTGAACCAATCCATACTTCTTCCAACATGCAGCGCAGTGCTCACAGCAGCTGCCATTGATGTGATCCCCTGTAGAGGTGAGCAGGAGTGGGCACCCCAGCACGCATTCCTCTGGACCCTCAGGCGTCCGATAGCCTCTGAGTGCGGCAAAGAAAGGAAGAAAAGTGGAAAGCAAAGTTGGGAACACCGAGCGGTCCCATCATGAGCGCACGCGCAAAGCAGTGAAGCTACGCTGGGGACATCAGTTCAAGGGCTAACCCTCATCATCAAACACTGGGCACCCTACGAAGACATGCAACGCAGGGGTGCTTGCAGCATGTGCGGGCATGTGGCGGCATGTGCGCGCACCTGCTGCACGTCAAGGCCGCGGGCCCAGACGTCGGTGGAGATGAGGACGCGCGAGTGGCCGCCGCGGAACTCGCCCATAATTGCGTCGCGCTCCTTCTGCGGCATGTCGCCGTGCATCGCGCTCACTGTGAAGTTGTTCTGCCGCATCTTCTCCGTCAGCCAGTCCACCTGAACGCGCAGTTTAACAGAGAACACCACATCAGCTCTAAGTGAGTAGGTGCCAAAAAGACCCAACACAGAACACTACATCAGCTCAAGTGAGTAGGTGCCAAGAAGACCCAACACAGAACACTACATCAGTTCAAATGAGTAAGTGCCAAAATACCAAGCCATAACGGCGCAGTCCTGCCCAGGGTGTCATGCAAAATGGTGCCCCACGTAGGACTGAACTGAGGCCCTAGGCTCCAATGGAATACAAGTTCAGCAATCGATTGCGCCTGCGATACTTGTGCTCTACCAAGCATTTGTCATGTTGATTGCATGTTCGGGCCACACAGGCATGCAAGCTGTCTTCGTCATCCAATTGCGACAGACATTTTGAAAATCGCCGAGGCTCAGTTCAGCCTATGTGGGCTCCAAGCAAGTAATTTTCACAGTGTCTCAAGGCAAAGTGACAGTGGCGAAAGATGGTGGGGATGCATGGCAGTGGAAGCCCTGGATGGGGCAACAGGACCCACCTTCCTCTTGGTGTTGCAGAAGATGACGGCCTGTGTGATGGTGAGGGTGTCGTACAGGTCGCACAGAGTGTCAAACTTCCACTCCTCCTTCTCCACCGCCACAAAGAACTGCTTGATGCCCTGCGCACACCCCACAGGCGCTCAACGCAGCTGAAACCTTTCACATTTTTCTCCTTTTCTTACTCCGATCAGTGCCATACTTTGTGCTGCTACCACAGCAACATGACAGGAAGGCATACGGGACAGGTGCACAGAAAGGGTGCTCGTGGCATGCGAAAGCAGCAGCAGCTCTGCGCCAGAAACACCCACGAACACCGTAGTCCTATCGCACAGCATTTGGCTCCAAAGGCGATCAGACATGGGAGAAGGGAACGCAAAATATGGTGCGCACCTCGAGAGTCAGCTCATCACGCTTGACGAGGACCCTGAGCGGGTCTGTCATGAACTTGCTGGTCATCTCCAGCACCTCTCCTGGCAGCGTGGCACTCACCAGCACCACCTGCACACCAGGCCCAGCCACTTGGTATTAAAGTTTGAAAAAGTATAAATAGAGTGGAATAGCCTGCATAAGAAAAAGCACACCATATACCACTCGCACATGAGAGGCTTTCAATTGCCCACTTGAGTGGCCCAGGGATGCATGCTCCTGGCCAAAATTGCCCGCCAATTAAAAAAAAAACATGAACGGTGAGATGCAGGAGCTCTGCTGGCCCCACCAGGCCCAGCCCGTGGCAAGCAGAGTGTGGTTGGATTGCGCGCAAGCCTCTGTGCGACAGGATGCAAAGGCAAGCAGCAGCATCTTGAGTAGGTGTGATTGTAAGCCAGTGTAGAACACATGCGGCAGAAACGGAATCGGTACTGAAGCCTACCTGAGTGTCAGGGGGAAGGTATCGGTAGACGTCGTAGATCTGCTCCTTGAAGCCCTTGTTCAGCATCTCGTCCGCCTCATCCAGCACAAGTGTCTTGATGGACCGTGTGGCCAGGCAGCGCCGCTTGATCATGTCAAAGACCCTTCCAGGGGTTCCCGACACGATGTGCTGCCCAGCCTCTAACAAGGACATGTCCTTGCCTGCACGTTTGCATTTTGCTTAGCTAATTTCCGCCAGCACATCAGTCCCGCAAGCTTGGACACCGTTTAAAATGCTTGTTGTTGATCACATATCCATACACATGTTGAGAACAAGGGAACTGAGGAGAGAAGGCGAAATATGATGATAATTGAGGAATTGAGCAGCAGCACATCCAAAGAATATGGCTCGTGAGAAGGATGGGATCGCACCCAGGCTTGTGCCGCCAACGCATGTGTGCGCCCTGACCTTCATAAACTCAGCCACGGCCTGGATGGTCTTCGTGGTCTGCGCCGCCAGTTCTCTGGTGGGTGACAATATGAGACTCTGCGGCCTGCGCAAATGTGACACACGTGAAAAGTGGTAGTCCAGAATGGACCTCCTACCCAATCTCCTTTGATCAGCTTGCGAAAACAACAAAAGGCGCAGGAACACGTGGAGAAGGTTCAGGTGAAATAGGAGGACTCACTCGTTGAGCTTTGGGTCTAGGAGTTGTGCCAGGGAGATGGCAATCATAGATGTCTTCCCTGTGCCAGACTGCGCCTGCGCGATCACATCGCGGCCCTGCACTATGGGGAGGATGGCTCGCTGCTGGATGGCTGAGGGCTTCTCGAAGCCAAATTGATACACGCCACGCAGCAAGGGCTCCTTCAGATTCAGACCCTCAAAGGCTGTCACAACCTTCAGGTTTTCTTCCGACTCGAAGGTGAGCCCCTCATCTGCGACATAATCTGTGTGTGCAGGTGCCGCGCGCGGCCTGAACAGCAGACAACAACCACCATCATTAGAAAGCTGGCTTCAGATGTAAACTGAGCAGCCTCTGTAGTGCAGAGGCAGCGTGTCAGGATAAATGATCGTCTAAAATGGGTGGCTTGCTTGAGCCACTGAATAAAAACGATGAGCTGGACTGCCCTTCAAATGATCTGCATGCAGAATCCCTCCGGGATCGAGGTTTCTTAAAGACGAGTAAACTTTAGAAAACAATGAGGTCCTCTGGGCGAGCCAGACCGGTGATCCTCGCCATTATAACTTACTCATAAGACTAACAAATGCACGTTAGTTCTACGGCCTCCTGCAAAAGTATGGCTGCTCACCTTGCTTTAGACATCCTCTGCCCTGATCTTCCTCGCTGAACACTCTGTTCAGATTACAAATATACGCGTTTCTCGTGACAGGAGTCTTCTTGATATCCACTGCGACCTTTCTTGTCCCTATCAGCTCGCTTTGTTGACAAAATGTCCTCAGTTTCCATCTTCGCATGAGGAGACGGGCCTTCCAAATCTGGCTCCACAACGGCTGTGCTGAAACGCTGAGCATTCCCCATCGCACAACATCAAGGAGCAATATGTGTCACATCAAAGGCTACTGATTGCAGTGGCGAATGGTGATTGACTCAATCAAACTGAGGAGAAAAGCGAAGAACAATTTGGATTAGGCTGGCTTGTTGGGGTTGATTGTCTGCCGATGGCTGGTGCCCGGCTTGAAAATCCGTATGCATCTTTGGACACGCAGATTGAGCAGTTGATGAAATGCCAGCCATTGCCTGAGAACGAGGTCAAGGCTCTTTGTGACAAGGCCCGGGAGATTCTCATTGACGAATCCAACGTGCAGCCAGTGAAGTGTCCTGTGACAGTCTGTGGAGATATCCATGGCCAGTTCCAAGACCTTCTGGAGCTCTTTCGCATCGGTGGGAACTGTCCAGAGACCAACTACCTCTTCATGGGCGATTACGTGGACCGAGGCTACCATTCAGTGGAGACTGTCTCTCTCCTGGTGGCGCTCAAAGTCCGCTACAGGGAGCGGATAACCATCCTCCGCGGCAATCACGAGAGCAGACAAATCACCCAAGTGTAAGTGGGCCTTGCATGTATGCCTGTTCTATTTCTGCCTGCATCTTGGACTGCATCACAGATGTCTTTTGTGTGTTTTGCAGCTATGGCTTCTACGATGAGTGCCTGCGAAAGTACGGCAATGCTAATGTATGGAAGTACTTCACGGATCTCTTTGACTACTTGCCGCTCACAGCTTTGATCGAGAACCAGGTACACCTATTTTGTGCATCACTTTCTCTTGACTGTTGTGCTCTTCACTGTCTGACTTGAGGTCTTGCTTGGGTCCATCAGGGATCGTCCCTCCAAGATCGTGTCTTTACACATGTTGATTAAGAATCAGTCTCTGCCTTTCAAGCCAGTAATCAGAGTAGGTGACTCATGCTTGTGGCCATGTGTTGTGATGCAGATCTTCTGCCTGCATGGCGGCTTGTCACCCACCCTGGACACGCTGGATCACATACGCGCGCTGGACAGAGTACAAGAGGTGAGCAGCGCACATCCACAATCCCACTGGTGCACCAAGTGGGAATGTTAGAGGAGGTGGCTCTCGGATGCAAACACAGGCAACACAGACATCCCCCATTTCTGAGGATCCAATCAATCAATCATCCGTGCAGTATCTCGCCCGACATCGTCTCTCGTGAGTCTCTTGTGAGGCTCTCAGATGTGTCCCAGACATGCTAGGCTGCGCGCCATTCAAATTCCCACAGAGTGGTGCCATTCCCATTCTTCGAGGGAAGGGGGCGACAGGACCTGTGTTCAGCACAAGGAACCCTGCAGTTGCTGCAGGGTGGCCCACATTGCAGAGTGCCGGAACTTAAGTGTCTAGGGATCATTACCCCTGGGAAAGTACGAGAAAGCAGTGCCTAAAGAATGCTTGTTCTGGGTATGTGCAGGTACCGCATGAGGGACCCATGTGCGATCTGCTGTGGTCCGACCCGGACGACCGCTGCGGCTGGGGCATTTCGCCGCGCGGGGCCGGGTACACCTTCGGGCAGGACATAAGCGAGCAATTCAACCACACCAACGGCCTCAACCTGGTCGCGCGCGCGCACCAGCTTGTGATGGAGGGCTTCTCCTGGACCCACGAGCAGAACGCAGTCACCGTCTTCTCCGCGCCCAACTACTGCTACCGCTGCGGTGCGCGCCTTTTTGCTGCATTGCGTCCTACACTCAGTTCCTATCATTGGATGCTTGCCTTGCTGTTGCTGCGCTGCGCGCCGCCTTGTTCTCAAGTGTGAAGTACTTGGTACGGCTTTAGTGCTCGCTGCCTTGTTCTATAATGTCATGCCACGCTGTCGCTGTCATTGGATGCCTGCCTTGCTGAGAGCTGTGCAGAAATGGTGCCAGTGTCACTGCTACGCCAATGCATCACTGAATCATGCTCTCCCGCTGCTGTGTGGCTGTCATGAGAGGTCCTGTCTCGTTCGAAGGCCTGCAGGAAACATGTGTCTGTCACCGTGCTGTGTTCATTCTAAGATGAAAGGATTGCCATCAGTGGCACCTGGGGTTCAAATGGACGCAGCCGAGTTGTCACTGCTGCTACTTTGTCCTTCCAGAATATGCAGTGCTCAGCACTTTCAGACAGGACCCTGGCAACCTAAAGCGACTGATCGCAGTGTCCTGCCCACTGTGAGATTGCCGTGCCACAGAACCTCAAGGGTCGATCGTCTTGCAGGGAACATGGCGGCCATCATGGAGGTGGACGAGACCATGCAGAAGAACTTCCTGCAGTTCGAGCCTGCGCCAAGGCGAGGAGAGCCGGAGGTATGTGCACACACATAGCCGGGCTGTCTTGTCGCTCTCGAGTGGCTCTCTCCAATTTGCTCAGGCTTCTGCTATGATGTAACTTACTGTGGAGGCATCAGGGCCTGCAATGCTTCTGCATGTGATTGTTTGCTATGGTAGTGCTTGAAGTGTGAATGCGGATGGATTCATGTGTAGGTGACAAGGAGAACGCCGGACTACTTCCTTTGAGGGCATCTGCTGCCTGCAAGATGCCAACAGGCCGGCCAGCTGAATGGCGATCCTAGGATAAGAAGGGACGGTGCAAGTGCATCCAATGACTTTCTGCATCCAAAGGCACAAATGACCGAAGGGGCTTGCGTCTAAAATTAGCACAGGTCCCATCGCGCGCTGGCAGCAAGCTGCCATGTGTGCTTTGCCCCATATGGGGGTCAGCAGAGCTGCAATAAACCATGGGCTTTTTTTTTACTTGTGAGTGTGATCTTGTTTGAGTGTACAACAATCCTCGCTGGCCGTGGGAGGGCTAGGCATAGACACAGGTCTGTATATGACAACCGAGTGTGAGCGTTGTGCTGTGAGATTGACTCTGTAAGCAGTCTTCTTTGCATATGTGCATATTTGATTACAGACTGACTTTCAGAGTTCTTCCTCCTAAGGACTGCATGCATGCTTATGGAACTTAGACGTGCACCACAGGTCATTATAAGCAGGCACTGAATTGACTGCAAACGAACAGGGCATCTTGCAATTGACAAGAGAATATTCATTAATGCATGCACTATGCGCATACTTCGTAACTGTACAGATCTCATGGCTTCAAATGGCAAATCTAGGTCACTAGGGCACATTCAAAAGTCTCTCCTCTCCTGCTGACTTGCACTCCTCGCTCTCATCGCACGAACATCTCGTGTGCTTTGCACAGCTGGTGCTCTGGCAGGTCCAACTGCGCCTTGGCAATGCCGACATCCGACTTGATCCGCGCTATGAGCTCATCCAAACTCCCAAATCGCATCTCTGGCCTGCAAACAGCAGTCAACCCTCGTGAACTCTGACGAACTCCCTTTCTGCGTAAGAAATAAATCTTCCTCACCAGCAGCACAAAGACTATTTTTGGCACAGATTGGTGACCGCAACGCCATACGTGTGCATTGCAGAAGTCCAATGCCAAATTGAAATGGTTATTATGCGCCTATTCTTGATGCACACCTCCATAAGCAAGGACCCCATAGCACCAAATATGCCCGCATCAGGCCAGCGGCATTTACAACAGGTCTCTGCAATTCCTTCAAGCTGCATGCGTGCAAAAGGTAGCGCGCCTGATGAAGCCACCGACAACGACGCGCAGCTGTCTGCCGCGGAAATCGCTGGCTGCAAAGCTATGCAGGATGTGCACCTCCACTGTGATGTCTGTTCCGTCCTCGATGCTCGGCCGCCGGCCGATGTTCATGGCCATCTTGTGCACCGCGGAGTCCTCCTCCGGCTGCTCCGGCCCCGCATCCAGCTGTGCCCACCTGCAGCCAAGATGATGTATAGGTGGGAAGCATTGGGAACAGATTGCATGTCTGACTGTGAACATCAAGCTGTGAAGGCTGCCATTTCGGTCTGAATGAAGCCTCCAGTAGATAAACACAGCCACCCAGCAGACAGCTTGCCAAGGCCATGCTTGCACCACTGGAAAAACATGCTCACCCCCTGGTGAATGAAACATGGAACATACTTATATTTGCAGTGCCTTCGCTTGTGCAGGACTCCCGCTTGAAGCTGGACTTTTTTCATGCAAGCTGGCCGGGCACAATTTACATGCCAGCAATGAGTGCTTATTGCACTGATGGCTTTTGGGTCATATATTCTCAATGTAATGAATATACGGGTCTGAGCTGGTCTTTTAGGCGCACTATGCCCCTTTTGCTTGCAGCTGCAGCAGACCTGTCAATGGCACGCTCTGCATGGCTGCTCACTTCAGCTTTTGGCGCGCAAGTCAGGGGGGCCAGGCCACAGCAGGAACGCCCCAGGACTACCACTTCACGAGCAACACCGCCAGATCTTGGCCCCTGCACTGATGAAATACTGTATGCATGCATGTCGCAACGGCTGCGAAAGAGGTATCAAGGAACGCGCTGCATCGCACCCAAAGTAGACCCCGAGAGGGAGGCCCTCCAGTTTTGCTGCCAGGGGCCCCGGCGCTATGTTGGCGGTAGGGACGCCCATCCTGCTGCTGCCGCGCCCAAAGCCAGCCACCACCTCCCCCTCCAGCTCCAGCGGCCTCCCCTGGATCAGGTATGCCGGCGGCACCTGCAGGCACATGCCAGTCCACTTCAATCCACTAATTCGCGGTCAATTGCATTCTTGCCACAATGGACGTGCATTCTAACCAAGCAGCACATTTTAGTCATCAGGTGAAGAGAATTCACAGGTGAAGCACATGCCTGCAGGAGGGTGAGGTAGAGGTCTGGGTCGTCCTGGAAGCTGCGCAGGCGCAGGGGGAGGTCCGTTATGAGGCGTTCCAGGGTGGGCCTGTCTGGGAGGGCGTGCGGCACTATCTCTGCGTCCCCCTCCCGCAGCCGCTCGTGCCATGCGCGGCCCAACGGATGACTGATCACAATGTGCCCCCCTGCTCGGTGGCACCACAATCAGTATATCCCTGCTCTGCTCATCATTCCTTATGAGTCTCCTTTATGTTTCCTTATTGTAACTGACAAGGTGCATGATTGGGCACAACATGAGACGACTGTAGGCGAAGCATGGGATGTCTGAGGCAGCCAAGGAGGGGCAGGTGACAGACCAGGTCTGAGGAGCAGAGAGGTCCGGAGGAGCGCCTCTCGCTGGTCATACACGTTGCCGAAGACGGCATTGAAAAAGGCCACATCGAAGGGTCCCTGCACCGGAGGACTCTGCTTTACTCTGCGTCAAAGCGCTCGCAAAGAGCTTGACAGAGTGCTTGCAGGCTGGTAATGCAGGAAAGCAACGTCCCCCATAATGTATCGAAGGTAATCAAGTATTCAGAACATGAGAACATGTCAGAAGAGCATACCTGATAGGCTGGGACACTCTCCACATCGCCCACCCATGTGCGGAATCCATGGTCATTTCCTAAGGTGCTGGAAGTCCCATATTGCTCCCTCGCCTGCCACAGTATCTACTTTCGGAGTCCTTTCTTCATCAGTGCTTTTGCTGCTCCCCGATCCCTCCATATGTGATCAGTATACCCTTCTATAGGGATGATGTGGCAGTGGACCACGGATGATGCAATACAGAGCATGCATGACAGTTCATGTCCAAATGGACGCTCATGATGGCAGGAGCGCGTAAGTCTGAAGCCATGGATGACTATGAGAAGCAAAACATGCTTCAATACTGTGAAAGGAAAGGCAACCTTGGCGAGCAAGTCCTCTGCGAGATCCACTGCGAGGATGTCCTGAATCCCTGTTTGGTGCATGTGAGGAATGAGGCAGCCTGTGCCGCTGCCCACATCCATTACTCTGGAGCCTGGCCCGAGATCAGGCACCACGTCCACTATCCTCTGCTGTCGCTGCGCAGCAGGGGAAGCACCCAATGCCCAGTCTTGCCACTGTCAGAAAGAGTCAGAGCAGCACCTCGGCTGGGGAATGATCTGTGCCGCACTGGCCCTGCTGGTCACAAGAGATTACCTCTGTAATTTCTGGAGGCAGAGGTGCCGAGAAATCCTTCGTCTTCTTATTGAAAAGCTCTGCTTGCCTCCTGTTGTGCTCCTCCTTGTCAATGCTGGCCTGCTGCATCGTTGACGCTGTGACAGGACCAGAACGGCTACAAGTATTTTTAAACACCTGCAAGCCCTTCAAATGGTCAGTATAACACGTCAGCGTGGCAGAGATCAAGGTCTGATGAGCGCCTACACCGATGAACACATATGTGCTCAGCTTAGTGATCCAACCCCAACCCTTGCATATCACTTCATTCATCAATTACCTTGGCTACACTGAATGGTCTCGAACGTAGTTGCATGCACGAGGGAATGTGCTCCACGTGAGCAAGATGCCATGACAACGTTCGTGGAATAAAGCTGCTCATGTGGCTCTCTTGCCTTAGAGATTCAGCTTTCAAGCATTCTATTACTCCTGCAAATTTGGCCTTCCCTTCTCCTGTCGCAATCTAAGCGGGCCTCTGCATGGCATGAGTAGTCACCTCCTGCTCACGAAACCAACCGGAAAGCTGCTTCCGAAAGCAACATTCAGCAAGTCTTGATTCGAACAGCACAAGACTTGGAATTCATCGTGATATGTTTGTGTGCAAGATTCACTTCTAGCATGTGCATCACGGTCAGAATTATGAAATATCCAGTGTCTGCATATCCTTGAGATCGGCGCTCTTTTCGAAGTATTCTCTCTCATAGAGCGATGCTGAAGCAATTGATCTTGCAACTAAGTGCTCGGAGTTCTTGTACAAGAATCGCGACAACACATGAAGGCTGCGCCTCAGTAGCAGCATCAGTGTGCAGATCCTTCAGCGCTTTGCCAGACCCAGTGGTTTCATCGAGTATGCCCCTGAAGACTCATTTACCTGTTGTTATTATTTTCACCCTCATCTTTATGTCTCAGCATGAGTTACCAGTGTGCTGCAAGTAAATGCATTCTTGCTTGCTACACCACAGGTCCCAGTGCCTTTCCTGCAGGTGATGGAGCGGTCACCTCACGGCAGTGGTTCAAAGATCCAGATATCAGCGCCAAGGCAGCCGTCAAGATTGTGAAGCAAAGACTAGAGCAGCATGGGCCACAAAGTGAGTCCGCCTGTATCACAGAGCTGCCCTTGCAGACTTTCTTGCACCTTCCTTCAAGCTAAATTATAACACCTTGTGTATGGTTATAAGATCACCCTATTTGAACGGATGCCGAACTACTGCTTGCAGGGGTTTCCCATTTGATGGAGCTGGCGCGGCGAATCAAATCGCCAGAGGAGGCGGCCATGGTCATAGATGTTGCGCAGACATTCGCTGCGCACAGAGCCCGCAGGCAACAGCACGACTCCATCAGCCCGGCTCTGTCTACCTATCTACTGAAGGTAAGCATGTTCGCAGTGTCCAGTATGTGTCCCATGCCCTGCATTCTTACCTTCTTGCCTATTGCTGTGTTTATTTGTATGGGGTCAAGCGAAGCCTGTTCCACCTTGGCGGTTTTGTGCAGCCGTGTTGATGTCAAGGCAAGCTCTTTGAGCTCTCCTTCACGTCAGGCCTGCTGGGGATCCGGTAATAGGATGACTGCACGGCATCCTGTCTGATTGAGTCCCGGTGATGTGTGGCAGAAAGTGTTGGAGGCTGGGGACGTGCAGCAAGCACTTGAGGTGCTGAAGCGGTCGCCAGAGCTGCAGCTGACATACCAGCTGACAGCCTTCAGGCATGTCATCATCCGGGCTTCGCAGCAGGGCAATCTGAGGGCAGTTGTCAGGTGCGACACTGCCCACATGAAGCCGACTCTCACAGCACCTTTACTGTCATGCACAGCAACACAGTGCACAGCAGCAGCAGAAGCTGATTTCATGCTTCTGCCGCTGGGAAGCATAAATTCAGCATGCTCCCCAGCATGCAGTCATTGTTTGGGTCCATTCTGCAGAGGACTGCTGCCAGGTGAAGAGGTAGCTTCAACAAGACTAAGGCGTCTCGGCTGCCTGGTGTGGCTGTAAAGGAAAAGAACATGAGTGTGATGGCTGGAGGTGCACAGACAAGAAGCTGAGTGAGTGCTCCGATGGCTTCACTCTGCACTGCACGAGATTGTAATCATGGTTAGATGCAAATTGAACATAAAAAGTCGGGCGAGCCTTTGTCTCAATATGGTGAGCGAGGGTCTCTTCAGGGGCTTCAATGCTGCGCTTGACCCCGGCCTCAGGACTGTCGCACACAAAGGATTTCAAAGTTGCTAATGGAGGTACACATGCTGAGTCAGGCTGATGTCATGCTGACATATGATTTTGTGTGCAGTGCGCTGGAGCTGCTGAAGGCTGCTCGCCTGCGGCCCAACCGGGACATTGCGTTCCACGTGTTGCGCGGCTGCTTCGAGAACAACCGGCCGGACCTGGCAGTTGCCTTCTGCAGGTATGGGAAGTCCAGCCTTGACACGTGTGCCTGATTTGCACAGACTACCGTTTTCCCCTGACAGCTCAGTTCCCGCCCTGGAAGTGGAGCGCTCCTGAGGCCAATGACGGCCTTTGAGATGCCTTGAATGCTATTGGGGAGGCCTGGCACAATGTGGCAGACGTCATAGGTGCATTGTTTTTTCTCTGCGCTCTGCTTTGCCAAGGCCCACAAATAGCTACGGTGCTGCTGGCACTCCTCTAAGGGATGCTGGCAGTGTAGGATGTCTGTGAAGTGGAGGGGTGATGTGGGAATGATCTGCAGGGAGTTTGAGGCGAACGGGGTGCCGCCGCGGCCGGCAATGAAGGAGAAGGTTGAAGCTGCTGCCGCTGAGCTGGCGGCAGCGGCAGGCCCGAGGCGAGCAGCTACGGGGAAGGTGCATGCCCTTGCTAAACGTTTGGTCATCGATTGAACTATGTAAAACAAGGGACTCGGTGGTGTCAGATTGACCTGCTATACCAGACAGCACCTGGCAGGGAAGGCAGGATGCAAAGACTGGCCTGGCTTGCTTATGGGGGCACTCGGTCTTGGGTTCGGGAGCGACAGGACATGGGCAGAAATACCACCCTGCGCCAGAGGAGGGATTTTTGGGGCCAGAACTGCAGTAGGCGGCCGAGAATGAGGGGGCCTGAGTTGCTTGAGATTTTGACTGTCTGCCATGCTCTTCACTCGAGCCGGGGGTTTGTGACTGATCAAGGAGGTGCCTGTCTAGGCGCGTGTCAGTTCTGTTAGAAGCTGACGATGTGTGACTGTGCGCAGGCCGGTGTTCAGAAGGAGGAGTCTAGTGAAGCTGCACAAGGGCAGCCAACGGAAATTCAGTGACTGATGAGTGATAAATGAGTTATAGGATTCCGTGTGTGTGTCGATGTCATATGATGTTCTGGCAGCCTGCAGGGCGCCCTGCAGGCAATCTACCTCTGGAGTGCGGAAACATAACAATTGTAAAAATCTGAAAACTGCACCCAGTGGGACCTTCCAGGCTGCTTCCATTTGTTGATGATCAGGCATTGGAGCCAGGTGCATGCACTCAATGTTTCAAAGTGTCTGGTCTGCTGATATCGATGCACAAGGTTTATAAGCAAGACTTGCATTTTTTGACTGACTCGTGCATTGTCCAAAAGTGCATAAGCCTATTCTAGCTCCTTCACCTGCTCACGCAAGCCAAGAGTTCATATGCTGCTCAAACTCCGTCCGAAGCCTGAAAGCCTTTCTTGCATCTCCTCAAGTTCGCCATACGCTCAACTTGCATTGTCGCTCGTGAACAGCGCTGTGCAGACGTTCCAACGCTACAGTCAGGACATCCCCCTTCCGCTGTCGTCAGGATGTTGATTGTGAGGTGGGACGCTTGCCCGCCATAAACAATATCCTACCTTGTGCACAATATTTAGAATAGGCGTGCAGTGCATACGTTGAGATTATTAAGCAGGGCAAACGTTACATACTCCAAGATGGACTGGGATGTTACCAGGAGAGCACGGCGTCACGGGCCCTACTCTGTCACTTGGCAAGCTTTTTATGTTTGCCCCACCTTTCTCCCTCTCAAACAGCTGTTTAAACTTGCTCCAGGCTCAGCGTGTTGGAACGACGGTGGTCGCGGAAGGTGTCACGAACGAAAGGCCGCTGCCACGTTGTTTTTGCAAAGCGGGCAAATGCGAAGTTCGATGAGAAAGAAGCAATAAGAAACAGTCAGAATGCAGTTTTGGCTCATTTCAAGATAATGTTGAATAATGCGCTATTGCTCGACTCAGGTGCTGCGCCTTCGCCATCCTTGCCGTGATGGCGGGATGTGGTGTTGCCCACGGTCTGGACTTGCCCGTGGCAACAGGAGGCTTTCAAGACTGGGCCCAAATTGTGGCGAAAGCGGTGAATTACGGTGGAAAAGATCAAGAGCAGAGCCTTCAGGCTCTTCAAAGCTTCCAGACATTGGTCATGACAAAGTTCCACAAACAGGTGAGGCGAGAGGGGTCCCTTGCCGCTCTTAAAGGAAACATGATACAGATAATGCTAACAAGTAGCAAAAACCCTTGTCGTTTGAATGATCTTCATGTGTACATTCAAACAGCTGCACGTTGTCGAGGCAAATGAAAACACATCTGTGTGTTGCATTTGACAGGCAGATATGTGGACAGATGTGACACACGGCAACTTTACCCTGTTGGCGCAAAAGCTGCTGACACCCAACATCCAAATCAATGCACCCGTATTCTTCGAAAACGGAGCCAAGCTGGCGAAGTCTTCAGGCAAGCATGCGACTCCCAGTGACCTCATTTACAACAGTGGCAGGCCACGCGGGTTAGCCTGGACACATTTACCGGCATGCAAACAATGTTTTAAGGGGCTCCTTCACTGCCTTCATGCATGTGCGGTGCGCTTGCATCTGCATCTTTCATTCTTTTGTATTTATTGAGTGTACCTTGTGTGTGTGCAGCCAAGGGCATTGACTTCAGCTTGAAAGGATTCAAGTTTGAGCCTTGCGCCTTTTTGGTGAATCCAACTGGCGTGGCGGTCGGCGCGACTGGCATCAACATTGCCCCTCAAGGCATCTCAGTGGCGCCAACGGGCGTCAACGTCAACCCTTTCGGCCTTTCTATTTCACCCTCTCTCATCGTCATTGCACCTTTTGACACCACCATTGCTGGCCAGGTGGGTGCCAAGACCCTGAATCTCACTACAACAGGGCCACACAATCAACTTAGCATCGTTTACTTGCCCAACTTTACTTGTGCAACCTTATGTGTGTCAATGCAAGTTGCATGCATGACCAACGTTCGCAGCCCTTTTCTTCCCAAAATGCTTGTGGCGGCAGGCTGACATGTTGCGTACGCATGGCAGGGGCTCAATATAGCGCCTGCGCTCATCGCGATCGCGCCAGTGAAGACCGTGATAAACCCGGTGGGGCCGCTCAACATTGGCGGCTCTGTCGTCTCAAAGGAGCTGCCGGCACTGCCATGAGCGCAGTACCATGCAAGACCACTTTGTTGCTGAAATATGCAACAGCTCCCAGTGAAACAGCACCTGATCTTGTGACCTGAGAGACTCTGAGAAGTCGGACTTGCGTTTCTGTACAGCAAGGCTGCCTGACTGACAATGCTTACTGACTTGAGCGTCGTAGAATGCCGCTAACCTCAATGCGCCGCACGATTGCTCTTAATGCATCTTGACTGCTTACACACTACATGTCTTACTGATGGATGACTTTGCTCCATGCCGATGTTTATTTCTCGGGGCCGTATGTAATTTGCCAACCGACAGTCTTGATGTTAATTGCCGCCTGTTTTGATGATTTATAGGGATGCTAGCAATACTTTTGACTGTCAATGCTGTGCACACTTGATCCATTAGATACGGTACTGGAAGCAAGATTAGTTGATCATGTTAATACTTGTAAGAGCCCATGAAGCCACAGACACACAATAAGAGCATACGGCAATTTGAAACACTGAATGCCACAAAACCTTCTTCCACTCTGCATTACTGTACGGCTCATCTCCTGGATAAAATCCAATCTGACATTCACTTACTGCCGCTGCACTGAAAAATCATTGCTGCATTGCACTCACTGACTTTTCCATTGCTGTATGGCTGCGCGCAGGGCCCGGTTTGAGGTCAGGCCCGGGTGCTCCAGAGGCTGATTAGTCATGGGGCTGGTGGTGTGCCCCAGCTGCAGCCACTGCAGTATGGCTGAGCGCTCATAGGAGAAGCCATCCGCTGCCAGCACTGGCTCGTCCATGACTTCCTGCATGCCACATGCACCAGAAATTTTTAGCACACTCCCCTACCTGCGATGGCGATGAGAAGGACATACCGAAGTGCTTCTTTAGATAGCAGCTTGAATCCCACATCAGCGCCTCAAACCTTCCAGTAAACAGACCAGAATGGGGCCATGCGCTGCAGAATCCTTCCTAGACAGGAGCAAGCTGAAATATTTGACGCATGGGTGCCAGGAGGGTTCAATAGCATAGCTGCAGCATTCTCGAAATGCTCAGGAGGGCCTTTTCCCCATCTCATCTTTCATGCGCACGCCACATGCGATTGCTTTTTTGGCAGTGGACAAGGGGTGAGTCACCCCGGGTGACTAATACATCACGTTGTATTTACCCCTCAAGAGCTGACTGCGTACCTGAGTGATGGGGCAGACGTACTCAGCAGGCACGCTCCCGTCCATTTGGCGGCGGCCGGCCCCGCCTGCGCGCGCACGGCTGGCGGCAATCTGCATCGACTCAAGCTGCCGCTTCAGCGCGGCAATCTCAGACTCCTGCTGCCGCATCCAGTCCTTCTGCTGCGTGTACGCTTTGGCCTGCGCAGCGACAGTGGGCCAAGAGTAGGAAGAGTGCAAACTGAAGCTAAACTCAGGCCTCTATACTGAAACAGTAATGGTGGCATCAACAATGTGAGTAGAGCAGCATCGTGTGGGTTGTACAAGCCGGTGAGGGATGCTGCACGCAGTATCGGCCGGTAGATCCAGCGAGGTGCGTATGTCTGCCTCCCAAGAATGTTGAACGCTGCAGCAAAGCTATGTATGCAACAGCAAAGGCCTAAGGACCCATGCTTTAATTCCAGCTAAGAAGTGTAAGAGCACACCTCGGCTTTGGAGCCTCCGCGCACCCAGCCCTGCTGCCTGTCCATGTCGAGCTCCAGCTCTGCCAGCCGCCTCTTGACCTGGGCCGCTGCCTGCGCATGCCCCCAGAAATAACCTTGACCATCGAGCCATACAGAGACAGGCTCAATCCCTTCTCCACTATCCCCAGACTGCCTCTTCAGGAAGCCCTGAGTGCAATGGATCTGGTGCATTACTCAACCTGCGACTTCCAGCATTCTCAGCATGCAATTACCACAGCAGGTCGCCTCCCTGTGCTGCAGAGGCTCTGAAAACGTCAGAAGAGCTGCAAAGGAACGTCTGAAACCAACTCGGCGGCGTCATGTCTTGGTAACTTCACAGGCAGCATTCCTGAATCTTCTCAAATCGCAGTTCAACCAGAGCCATGCACTTCAAGCCTGCGCTGACTCACCGCGCCAGATTTGGCTCCCCCGGTGGCGGCGGCCGGCTCAGCCGCGGAGCGCTCTGCCTCTGTGCGGTACTCATCGTCGTCTTCCGGTTCGTACGGTTTCAGATCATACTTCTCGACGCGCGGCACGTTCTCCGGGCGGCCAGCCCAGTCCTTGTTGGCCCCCGCGCCGGCCCACTGCAAAATGTCAACCACCTCCTGTTTAATACATAGAATATGCCCTACTAATTCTATGACATGTTCATTGCAGAACCTCAGACGCTAAAGCTGCCGGATTTTCATGCTGTACTGCATCTGCAATGCAGCCTGCTAAGAACCATGCCCACCCACTGCAGAAAGTAAATGCTCCACGTACCAATTTGGAACATGTGCTGTACTGACTGAGTTAAACAGCCCTGAGGTGAGATCCACTGCAAACTTTTAAGCACTTTAGACCAACAAAACTCTTCAAGCACTGTGCTAGAATGTGCCAGGTAGCCAGAAGTGGTAATCCCAGGCTTTGGAGCAATGCGAGTAGGATGAGGCGCCCACCTCTGCCTCAGCCGCGGCGTCCTCGCGCCGTTCGCGGTCGGCCGCCGCCCGGGCCGCGGCGTCGTCCTTCGGCTTCCCCTGAATTGCGTTCCAGAGGCCCTGCGCCTGCGCACCCACACACTGATCTTCAGAAAAACCTTTTCATCTTCATGTCGTGCAAATGATGCCATGCCAATTTGCCCCGCCTGCGGGGCAATCACCGGGCGCGCCCCTCTCTTTACGCAAGCCCTTCTCTGTGTTGCTGCAGATAGCAATTGGAGGGCTGCCCATGCCTGCCCAGGGCCCAGAAACAACTGAAAATGTTCATGTTGTGCCCCAGATCTTGCGGCGCAGCATGTGTCGCCAGGCCCAAGGCACCAAACAGGAGTGAGGTGCAGGATGCTGGCAGGTAAACATGGCTCCTTCTGGCAAGGGCATTTCCTGCACCGTGATTGCAAGGACATCACTGTCAGCAGCTCACAAGGACATTACTCTTTCAAGGGAATTCTCATCTCCTTGCCGAGATCAGTGTTGGCCTGACACTCTATTTTCCCAGCACAGGAAGGACACGAATGGCTCACCTGGCGGAGGACGTTTGCTTCAAAGTCCTTGCGTGGGTTGGGCCTCTCGTCCTGCTTGCCCTCGGCAGCCTCCTTCTTCTTGCGCCACTGCTCAGGGATAATCGGCGGCTGCTCCGGCACCGGGAAGGAGTGGCTCAGGTCCTGCCCCACGTGTGAGCGCCACCACTCGCCGTCGCGCACTGCCGCCGTCTGCTGCTGCGGCGCCTGCCACACACCACCCTTTGTCAGATGTTTGATTGTCACACCTGCTCCGGTTTATGAGCGTGTGCTGCCCTGCGGAGCGGGGTGTCTTGAGAGGGACAAAGGATCTCAAAGCGTCCAGGCAATCGGGCGTTCTCAGAAAGGCATGCCGGGTAGGATCTTAAGGATTCCAGAACTTCAAGTATCATCGCACAAAGGTGGCCTTTGCTGCCATTTGCTGAGGAGACACATTCAATTGCTCCCCAGTACACCCACATGATGCCCAAAGTTGGGACCCCAGCCTGGAGCGCACTGGTGCGGTGGCGAGGGACGACTTGTCAAAGGGCGCATGCGCGGCGTAGGCGCCGGTTTTCCCCGACGGCTGGTAGATGTCCGGGTAGCTGACGCGCGCACCGCCGCCGGCCCCGGGGGTTCCCCCTTCGATGGGGGTATTTAGAGCGCGGCCCCAGAACTCTGCGTCGGACTTGGGGGGCGCACCCCCCTGCAATGGCGGCGGTGGCGCGCTCGGCATCGGCGGCGCGGACGGCGCAGCGGTGCGGGCCTGCCACCCATGACGGTTCAGTTTCTCAGCCAAATCAGGAAGGCAGCAATGCCATGCCATGTCCATTCTTAGCAGGTGCAGAGGGCAAACAGACATCTAGACGTCTGGGCGGGTTCTAATAAGTCTGTCCATGTGACATGGGATGATTGTAGCTGCTGGGTGCTGCATGTTCTGAATGTGACAGCAAGAAAGTCTGCAGAAAGACCCCTGCTTTTGGATAACCTTCCTGACGGCGATCTCTCTGCAGCAACTGCAGACAATTTGCATGGGCATGCTGCCTTCTGTCACCACGTGAAGTATTGGTAAGCTGGTGAGGAATTCTACCTGCAGCTGATCGTGGCTGAAGAAGACGCTCTCCTGGGGTCGTGGAACAGGCCGGCCGGCTGCGGCGGCGTTCCCTCCTTCAACGATGAGATCGGCAACCTCCTTGTGGCCCGCCTTGGACGCCAGCACTGCTGGTGTGGCTCCATCCTGCACCCAGAAATATTCCAAAATAAAGACCACTTTATACATTAATTCTTAGAGTCCATAGTTTTGAACGCGTTTTCTGAGGAGAACAGCGTAGCAACTCACAAAGAGCTAATGCAAGGGATGGTGAATCCCACGGGCAGGACACATGCGCCCGCTGCGCAGGATTCATAAGGGCACATGGGAGAGGAGAGGGTGATCATGCTGACCTCATCCTGAGCTTGTGCGTTGGCTCCAATAGACAACAGGTACTGCACGGTGTCGGTGCGTCCGGCCTCTGCCGCCTCATGCAGCGCCGTCTGCCCATCATCCTTCACAGTCTGCAACACCGCAGAAACAAGAGTATGCCCTCTGCTCTGCACGAATTCTTATGGAAGGTGGTTGGGGCAATTGGCCTAGGTACACAGATCGCAGATGTCTCATGTTGATCATGTGAGAACTGCAGTGGGCAGGGGCAGATCTGTGCTGGTATTATCCTCAAGAGGGAATGGAAGGGAACACACCCGGTAGTTTGCTCCCATGGAGATGAGCAGCCTGACGACGTCCAGCTTGCCCTTCCAACTTGCGAGGTGCAGCGCTGTTGATCCATCCTGCACAAGTCAATGCATTCACCAGACAGCACAAAGCCTTGCGCAGCATTCTTGTTGCTTAGGCCTGCACTTGCCCTTTAAAGGCCATGCGTCACCTTGCACGCCGCCACACAAATATGCGCATATTCTCCCCCACACATCTAGTAACCACTCTCTATCAGAGAGATATCTGGTAGCTCTGTAGCATATTTAAAGAGGCCCTCAGGTTCATAGGACGGCTCGCACCGTCAGTTTGGCATCCACGCGAGCGCCGTGTGCCAGGAGCTCTGACACTGTCTGGGTGTGGCCCTGCACGGCTGCCTTGTGCAGGGGGGTCATGCCGTGCTCGTCCTTCGCGTTCACATCCGCCTTGGCAGCTTCCAGCAGCTTCACCAGCTGCATGTGCCCCTGCAACGCCGCCAGGTGCAGCGGTGTGCGCCCACCCTGCAAGCACGCGCATGCAAGCGCATCAACAATCTGGCCCATGGGCATTACAAATAGTAATTCCGGCAGCTGATGACCTGCATAACGACATCTTCATGGCTGCTGCTGGTCGCAAAGGTCCGATACCGGAGAGGTAGGGCGGTGCCAGAGCCCAGGCACCTTCAGGGTAGCTTCCGTGGCTCACCTTGTCCGTTGCTTTGGCGTCTGCGCCCAGACGGAGCAGCTCGTTGGCCACCTTGACGGATCCGCCATAGCTGGCAAAATGCAGAGGTGTCCAGCCATCCTGTGAAGGGTGACACATAGATTTCAGGGCGTCACTTGGCAGAGTCCGCTCTTGACGAAACATCGTAGCAGCTTCAAGTGTGGGGACGATAATTGCTTTCTGATCACCTTGCTGTTCTTAGAAAGTCCAGGTTTTGTTCATATCCAATACACAATACAGCAAAGATCTCTATAAGACTCAGAAGCCAGACTTTACAGCCATTGCCTGCCGATGCATTCAAGACCTGGGAGTTTGAACAATTACCTTGTCTTTGCTGTTCACGTCCGCAGAATCGTGATCTATGAAGTACCTCGCCCTCTCAAGCTCGTCTGATGCAGCTGCCTCAAATAGGTTCCTGCTCTGCCCCTGCCCCATGCTTCTGTCTTGATCACGGATTGACAGAAGCTTTGTCGACGTCTCCAATTGATGCAACTTCTAATTGTCGCTCTGAAGAAGGACAAGGCGGATCGAATCTGGGACAGCTCATCTCGGAACGAGGACATGCCCATATGGGAAGCTGGCTCAATTAGGCAACCTTCCACGGCCTTCATGACGCATCTGCGACCAGACTGGCGTTTCTGCGATGAGCTTGTGTAGATCGCGGCCATAAAACGTCTTTTTGTGGCTGTTGAGATCTCCCTAGGCCATCGTGAGCACAACAATGGGTATCGTTAGTCCCTGCCGGGATTTATGCAATGACGGAACCACATTGGACGCATCCTCTGGCCGTCGCGCTGTGCCGATCGAGGTTTTCAGCACACTAACCCGTTTTTGAGTGATATAGCAACAGAATACGTTCAAGATCGCGGTACTTTGTGTACTCGTCAGGTAGAAGACTCCAGCCTCAAGGATGGCAATAAGCAGCACCTTTCTTCTCTGGATCCTAGGAGCTGCCCTGCTAATGCTGGCACAACAACAACTTTTACCAAGAAAATCGGCTGCACCGAGTCCTGCACCGAGTCCTGCACCAAGTCCTGCGCTCCTGCCAGGGCCATCAGCATCTCAAGTCTGGTCCCTGCTGAGCGAGCCATCAACATCAGGTATAGCACTGCTCCAGGGAGGGTTCTCTGCTCTTTATTACCCCACTATCCTCCATACAGGCATATTTGGGGAATCTCTGAACCCGGTTGGGCTGGTGCAGTGGACGCGGGACCTTACTTCTACAAGTCGATCCAGGCCGCTTCCTTCACAGTGGCCGCAGATCAGGACAGCCTCAACGGAGTGCCAGTCGGTGCGCCCTTTCACTTCCGTCACACACTGCATACCGAGATCGTGGCGATTCAGCATGCCATTCAATGCATTGTGCAGGTATATGTGGGAGCTCACTGAGTGAACATGCGCGCAGACAAATCTGTGCAAGTGCCGATGGCTGGAGGCAGCAGTCTGCTGGCTGCGTGGAGCAGGAACGCCTCAGCACTGATCCTGGCATTCAGCGGCACTAATCAGACGCTCGAGAATGTCACTGCATCCAATCCGCTGCAGTCCATGAGCTTCCTGGGGGCCGCATTTGGCGACAATGGCACCATTGATGCGCAGACCTCCGACCCTTTCAAGGAGGCTCTGGCCCCAGACAGCCTGTCATCGGTGAGTCATCTGAAGCTATGAGCTGTTGGTCTCCCAACCTTGTTGAGTCCATTTGCTAGGAAGTCTCCACCCTCTTGAATAGATTCCCACTCCTGTACCATGATGTTCTCAGAAACACCAGTGCAGGATAGCTGCAAGGCGCCGTGGACTCTGCTGGGAATTTCGCGCTTATTGTGTTTGATCCCCAAGAGGGGGATCTGCGATCTCCTGTAAGCAGATGTTCTGGCAGAGTCTTGCTATTCTGTGATGGTGGTGAAGGTGAAATGCCTCAAAATTTGGAAATGTGAGTCATCTACTACTCTCATGAAAGATGCTTTGCCAGCTGAGCTGGCGCAGCTGCTGACTCACTACGGCTGAGCTGGCACTGCTGCTAATGAGTGCAGGTGATCAGTAATGTTTCCAGTGGCACGTGGCCGGCCAGGATAGTGGCGACTGGGTATGCCCAGGGAGGAGGGCTGGCCAAGCTGGCTGCTGTGTGGGCGGGTGCAGCGTACCCAGGCACCCAGATCCGCTGCATCGTGTTTGGCGCGCCCCGCGTGGGTGATGCACGGTGCGCTACTGGTTCACATGCACATTCTGGCGCACCAGTTACACTTGAAGATAGGGACACTGACAGACCTTACTATTGAGCAGTACACAAAGTAGCAAGCACCACTTCTGTGATCTCCTTGCTTGCAAGGCGATATGCTTGCGAAAGGGTCCGTACGTTTTCTCTCGGTAGAATAAAAACAACTGCATTGCTCTTTGTGTTTTCAGAAGCACATGGCCAAGACTGCCAGTGCTTCGCATGTCTGGTGCGCCAAGACCATGCGGGGTGGTCATGTCGTCTCCTTGTCTTTGCCAGGGGTTGCACAGCACTGGCAGTCACCAATCAATGAGCACTTTTCTCTTCGCTCCATCAATGATCTGATCTTGACTTGTGAAGCCGTCTGCAGGTTCCTATGGGCGTACCAGCAGTTGGTGGATCTACGCTACGAGTGGGCAGTGAAGTCAGACCCGCTGCCCGACACCCCGGAGGGCAGCCCACAATCCGATGCGCTGTACTACCTAGGTGAGGGGACCCTGGCAGGCAACGCCAGCTTACAGCCGCCCGCCAGCCTGACGTTCTACATGGCTGCGCTGGAGGCCAACGCCCGTAACATCACCAGCCAGGGCAGCCTTGCAGGTGCGGGCGTTCCCTATTCTGACTCCCTGTTCCTGCCTACATTATTATATTTTCCTCTTGCCCTACAGGGTGATGTGAGGGCCGTGGTTTGACAGCATCCTCATACGTTCCCTGTTTCTGCCCGGAAAGTTTTGGTCGTGCAACCAGGAAACTGCTTCTGCCTACGCCTTCACATTCCCCTCTTGCCTTAGAGGGCAGGGGACTCTATATCAACAGTTGGGTTAGAGCCTCCTGTACAGGAGGTGAGGGGCGGGGCCTTACAGCATCCTTATAGGCTCCCTGGATCTGCCTGCATTGGTTTGGTGGTGCACCCAGTTGTCACAGCGGCTGTAGTGGCAGGTGCAACAGCTGCATCACAGACCGATGTCAATTCTGTCTTTGTCACTTCGGAGCAGCTGACATTTGACTCATGCACAGCCTGTCGAAGCTTGACTCCTCCCCTAAGGTTCCTTAGCCACCTCTGTAAGGAACTCCAAGGAGGATAGCAGGGCAATGTCGAAGTGGTGGATCGATTGTATGTGCAGCACCAATGTGGGCGTGCAGATGACAATGCGCAGAACACAGTCAGCCCGGGCAATTCCACGCAGCCGGGCACTCCTGTAGTCACCCAGAGCCCCTCCCCAGCACCCACAGGCTTCTTCGGCCGCGTCAAACAAACCTTTGAGAATGTTGTCAGCGGTGAGCTTCTGCTAGACCCCCTCCCTCGTTCCTGTTGAATCTCCACGGTGCAGACTGACAATTCTTGGCAACTTAGCTGAGAGCTCCCTGCCAATGTGCTACATTTTTAAGAGCACATGGGATGTGCAAAGTGGGCAATATGTGTGTCTCATGCTCAGGATGCAAAGCTTGCAAAGCTTCACGTGAGGACATTGCAGTATCCACTGCAACAGGCAGTGGTGCTGGGATGCAGGGGTGGAGGAGATCCTGCCGGTAGCGACACAGGAGATTGCGCGCAGCAGCACTGATAACACTGAAGTCAAGGAGTTCCCATTCACCAATCTGTCAGACTCTGACCCCAACGCGTGCCCCGTCGAGTTGTGCAAGACCCGCCAGCCCTCTGTCTGGTCCTGCAATGTGTACAAGGTAAGCATTTCACCTACACAACGATGTCGATCTGACACGACACCTGCTAATGGGTGGCACCAAGAAGGAGGCTTGCTGTCAGGTGCTTCCAGAATTTGCATTGTGATCCGGCTGACAGCCTGTTTCTCACCAGCCACACATGTATCATCTAGGCACCAGATGCAGATACTTTATGCAGTCTGCACCCCACACTTGGCACGAGTCTTTGTGGCAGCTTGTCCTGGTAGCTTGTCTGCAGACGAACCTTGCCACAGTACAGGGTCTACTTCTCAAAGGCAGCTAGATCATCCACTGTGTATGCCACCGTTCATGACATGATCCTTGTGCAAGGTGTCTAGTCTAACAGTATCATGGGATGCAGAATGGGCCGGACACAATAGCCCCTGGATCAGTGACCATCAACGAGCCCGAGAAGAGCACAGACCTGGCAGTGGCTTGGCTGCCCCAGAACTCCACCGCTGTCTACGCCTGGAGGGGCAGTGTCGACAGAAAGGACTGGCTCGCAAACTTCCACCTCATGTGCGCATCCCCTGCCCATTCACCTTCTCCCGAGATAGGTTGCATGCGCTTAGTGGGCTTAGCCAGCTCTCTAAGGTCCTGCTGAAGCATATGCACTGGTTGTGGGACATGTGTAACGGCTGATTGGAAGTCAGTTCCGGCAAACAACCCTGCAAGCCAGCAAGCAGGGGGTTTGACCTTGCATTGTGCACTGGTGACGACTGGCCACCAACTCAGTGCAGAGCTCCGGTGTTCAATGAAGTGTTCTCTGGATGGGGTAATTGATGAGTCACAAAAATCTTTTGAGTCCTGGGCAGCTATTTGCTGCAATCTCATCTCTTAAAGTGCATTTGCGGTGCTGATTGATTTTGAAGCCTTTGCAAGAAAGCATCATAGAGGGGCAGAGGGCTGTGTGGCTGCAGGCTGGAGAATGACCCGCTGTCGCCAGTTTTGGACCAGCTCTTCCCAGGCGCCACAGCCCACTCCGGCTTTGTTGGCCAGTTCCGCGCAGTCACCGACCAAGCCACGAATGACACCTACAATATCAAGTGCGCGCGACTCTCACTGGAATGACTTTTCGAGGCAAGCAAATGGCGGATGAGGTGCAGAATGACTGCTTGCCTGTGGTGGGCCTTCGTGTATCAATCACCACATGAATTGATGTATGTTTCACGAGCTAGCTTCCACAGCTATGCAGTCGTTTGCATTAATGTCACCGTGATGAGTCATGCATTTTTGAAATTTTCTGCACTCGCAGCACCTTGCCTCATTGGGGGCTGGGGTCGGCCTACGGGCTTGTAGTTTGTCGCATTGTTCTCGAACCATGCATTTTCAGCATCTTTTGTTATTTCACAGTTGGGGGTGCAATTTCTCATTGGCAGCATGCATGCGCAGGACGGTGCTGCTGAAGCAGTCAAAGGGGCGGCCGCCCACCAAGGTGATATGCACCGGGCACAGCTTGGGCGCTGCGCTGGCGTCACTCTGCGGCGTGTGGGCCTCCCTGCAGTGGCTGGATGCTGATGTGAGGGTGGTCACCTTTGGGTCTCCAGCCGTCGGCAACCAGGAGTTTGCAAATGTGCGCTTGTCTGCCTCCTGTTTAATACTTCATCACCAATGCTGTCACCTTTGCAGGTCATTAAACCTTGGTAATGACGTGCTCACTTGTTCAGATGAAACATGTCAGGTTGTGTGCCAGCAATCTATTTTGCCAACTATGAGCAGAAGCCATGCTAGGACAGCTTAATTGGAGCAGCCCAGAGGCTAGAAAATCTCTTGGGAGAGGTTCTCACATGAAGACTGCAGCGGATGAAAATTGCTCCCTGTTACAGTCGAGCACCGTGCCCACAATTGATTGGGTCTTGCTTGGATCTGGCGAGTCCAACAAGGGGTAGGATCGTGCAGCCCTTAAGTGCAGCTTGTCTGCAGGATGTACCTTGCCTTTTGGCAGGAAAAGCGTGTAATACTAATAATAATAATAGTCGAGCACCCCTTGAAGGGGTTCTCAACATTAGCAGCGATGTTATCAATGCCCCGGCTGCTTTGCACCGAACAGATGTCGGCAATGAAAATGCAGGCAATATGCACGGTGACTGCACATGATTCATGTTGACGTGAGTAGCTGCTGCAGTGTATCTGCTGCAGGCGTTCAAGCTGGCGGTGGGGAGGGAGTATCGGCTGGTGGACCGGCTGGATGTGGTGCCTGCGCTGCCCCCCTTCGACGGCTACGTCCACCTGGACTACTCCCAGTGGATCTTGGTCAGCCTCTTTTGTTCTCATACACCCAATTTGCCAGAAATGCTACCAGACTAGGGAAAGTACTCTTCTCTGCTGCAAGCGAGGAAAGACTCCATGTGCTTTACAGCTTTTCTGGCTGCGTGCTGTTTGAGGGATCAAAGCATGCTGATATGTTTATGAATTTTGCGTCGTATTGTCAGCGTGTGACAGTTTTTCACATGCTTGCACATGACACTTTCTTCAGCGGGTGGCCTCCTAACTTGCTTGCTTCTTGAAAAGCCGGCATCAGTCTGCTGTGCAACACTGTGGCACGATGTATATGGGGGCCCCAAAAAGCCCCTCCTAACATTGCTTTAGAGTTGTCCATCGCATGTCTGGCATGGTCTGACGGTTTGTCATGCACCTGTAGGACAACGGGACAATTGTTGCGGAGACGCGGCCGCACTACAACACGCGCGACCTCAATTGGGACGACCATGCATGCGCAGCCTACAGCAACGCCACCTACAATGTCACCCACGTCAGCGCCCCACAGACAGTCACCGGCACTGCGCCGATCTAGGCCGGAGCTTCCATCCCTGCCAGGTTTGCACCGGGGAGAAAACTCTAGGGATTGGGGGAAATAAATAGAGAAGTGCGGCTCGGGTTGTGTATAATAGGAGGGTCTTGAGATGGCCACCTTCTCATAGCAAGAATCAGCACGCCAGAGGGTAATGCGCAGGCTGAGTTTATCTGGCAGGGCCCATCTACGTTTAGTGCACAGTGCTCCAATGAGCCGGCTGATCAGAATTAGATTCAAAGGTTGAAGTTCATGTGGAAAATTTCCATGGATGCATGAAGTCTGCGCGACTTTTTGTGTGTGCTGACATGTTCATTTGTATGTCTGCGCCAGATGTCCTCCCTCAAAAGGGTGGATCTGGCACCAACTCTGCTGCATCAGGTAGTGAGGTGGTGGATAAGTTGATAGATAGTTTCAAATTACAAGCTTTGACCCTCTTGCGCCTGACGCATGGCCCTCAGATTTCTCTGTGTCAAGCATGCAACCAAAACTGCAGCTAGTACTGGGTACTTAGCTCAAGTGGGTTACTTCAATTTCTGAGGAAGGCTGCTCCATGAATGTCAAGTTTTGCTATTGGCTGGGCAAGCTGCCAAGCTTTTAACGTATGCTCATTACATTGTGGCAAAAGTAGTTTAGAAAGTTTTTGCGCTCGTAATAATGTTGTTGAACTTTCAACATTCCGTGAACACATGTGTCATGAATTGTGCTGCATTCCATTTTGGGCCTTTTTTGGTCTGCATGATGCTGCAAGTAACTCTGTGTCAGGCAGCTGATTTTAGATATGCGCTGACTGGTTACGCATGTGGGGTATCACATAGATTCTTTTCAAGTACATAAGCTGCCACCTGCCCATATGTCAGGCTTGCTGTGTCAATTGGATCCCACTTTAGACTGGGGCGGTACAAATACTGAGCACCGTGCCCACGGTTGATTGGGTCTTGCTTGGATTTGGCGAGTCCAACAAGGGGTAGGAATTTGGCAGCCTTTACATGCAGCTTGTCTGCAGACGCACCTTGCCTTCGGCAGGAAAAGCGTGTAATAATAATAATTAAAACGTCTCTGTGAAGATACAACAACTTGCCAGTGGGCAGTGTCCTCAATGGACAGATTGCTCAAAGCTGCGTCAGTGGCTACATATATGGTGTAGAAGACCTGCATGAGCTATGGACTGCAGAGCTGATCAGTTCAGGACTGTTTGCTGACTTACAAGCAATACTCAGACCCATCAAAAAACAGCTAGAGACTGTCTTGTTAGGTGCACCTGCGTTGACGTTGACTTCACTTCCATGAGCTGCATGCATGGTAGCAGGTGTCAAAAGAATATCAAAGGAATGTGCCTTGATAATCTCATAAATCCAAAGGCCATGGCTGTACTTGCATCCATGCGTCTGTTGCAGCTCTCTTGAAGCTGCACTCTCTGCATGGCCAGTTCAGGCAACACGCTTAAGTAACAAAATGCCAGGTCTGCAGATTCCACAAGTTTGCTTTCCTCTCGAATACATCAGTTAATACTGAATAAACTCTCTGGTTTGAAAGCGAATCGACATCGCTGCCAAGTGCACTTCGAAAGCCACGCGATCTGTGCACGGCATCTGTCAACGCCAGGCATTTGTACTTATTCTATCGTCGGTATCACAGAGAAGACAGGTTTTAAAAATTACACAAGAAGTATAGTTCTGGAGGAAGAATGGTCGAGAGTGATGAGAACCCTCGTGGTCCAACTACGGTCAACGAAGACCCAGATCATCACCCTGAGCACGACGCACCTGAAGGTCATCACCCTGCACAGGATGGATACAGGTAAATGATGTGACCCTGCCAAAGAAAAACAGCGGGGTGATCACGTCGACTCAAGTCAAATCTTACTTTGCATACCCCTTGGTTGAGTGGTTCATTAGGTAGGCATCACCAACAGACTGATGATGATGATGATGATGCCCTGCAGGATGCCAGCTGAATGGGAGCCTCACAAGCAGTGCTGGATGGGATGGCCACTCAGGCCTGACAATTGGAGGAACAAAGCCCAGCCAGCACAGGAGGCTTTTGCTGCAGTAGTTGCAGCCATCACGGCCTTTGAACCTGTCACTGTCTGCGGTCCAAATCCGGCTCAGGTACGAATACAGTTTTCCGGGGCTTTGACAGCGTGAATTTGCCGATGTAATGCATGCATGTTCAAAGCATGTGATCGTGTGTTGTGGGCAGGTGAAGGTAGCTTCCACGAAGGTGCCAGCAGGGACGGAGGTGCTGTGCATGTATCAGAATGACTCCTGGTTCAGAGACAGTGGTCCCACGGTACAGCATCCAGCCTCAACCTTCCATGAAAGGACTTGCCGAATTTGTCAGCAAGCATTCCTGGCAAGATCGGGCTTCTCGATGCTGAATGAGTGCAGGAACAATGTGCGTCGCTAAACAGCGAGTTTCCCTGACTGCTCATCAAGCACAAATCGGGTGCTGTGCAGTTTGTGGTGCGCGATAAGCCAGGCAGCCCCGGTGAGAGGGAGCTTGCCGGCGTGGATTGGGTGTTCAATGCCTGGGGAGGCCTCACAGGAGGCCTCTACAAGGACTGGCGCAATGACGACATGGTGTGCCTCTGTCCTGCCTTGACCCTCTGCCATAAATCGTACGCAGCGCGCACTGCCTCTGCTGTTTCTTCATGCCACATGGACCCTCCAAAGCTCAACAATGGTAATGAGCTACACAAGGGATAGAACCCAGGGTCTGATCTGGCAAATGAATTGGCATGCTGAGCTGGCATGATGTGCATGCATGCAGATTGCTGGGCGCATATTGCGGCTGCAGGGGGTGAAGCGCTACAAGTGCAGCGCAGTGCTGGAGGGCGGCTCTATTCACACAGATGGAGAAGGGTGAGCTCTCTTCAGTACCCTAATAGTAGAATCCCCTGCAATAGCAATGAAGCCGAGCGTTGCAGATCAAGTCATGTGCTACTCTCGTGAATTGCCAGCTCCTACTGCTCTGCACAGTCAGCATCTAAGCAAGGATGCACGTGCTCTTGCGGCTTCAGCAATAGTCCTGCTGTTGAGGATGTGGGGTCCAAGGAAAGGGAAGTGATTTATATTTTTGTGTATTGTGATATAAGGCTGTGATCCATGCAGGACGCTGCTGACGACTGAGGAGTGCCTGCTCAACCCCAACAGGAACCCATCCATGACCAAGGCACAGATCGAGCAGATGCTGAAGGACTACCTGGGCGTGCAAAAGGCAAGGGCGCAGTCCATCTTCACAGCTCCTTTAGTTGCGCATTGGCAGCCCATGTGACCATTGAATGAAGTTGTGATGTCACAGGCTTTGCAATGGCAAGCTTAGTGCATCAGATGCTCTAGTATCCTGCAGGTTCATTCATGGCAACTGTCTGCACGTCCACTCGGCGCCTCCCATTGCGGGACAAGCAATTAGGCATCATAGCCTGTGGGAGGCTCATGGAATCAAGCGGGCTGTGAGCTTTGGTGCTTGATTGTGCGCAGGTGTTGTGGCTGCCGAAGGGGCTGTATGCGGATGAGGACACCAATGGCCACGTGGACAATGTTGCCTGCTTTGCGCGGCCGGGCGCCGTTCTGCTGTCCTGGACGGATGATGATTCAGACCCCCAGGTGCATTTGTTTTACCATGTATCTCTTCGTTATTCAATGTCAAATATGCTTTTACCTGAGCTTGCGCTGATCTGCACACGGTCAAGTGTGGTACAATGGCAATCTGCACAATGGTGGCAGGGTCAGGGCCTGACTGCATTCCCTTGGCAATACCGTATACTGTACTGGGCGCATGTCCAATGGTAATGCTGTAGCCAGCCGACACATTATATCTGTGCGAGGCGGCAACTATTGAAATTTCTTTCTCATGCAGCATGCAAGGTCCGTGGAGGCCTACAAGTACCTGAGCGGCCAGACTGATGCCAGGGGCCGCCAGATTGAAGTCATCAAGCTGCCCCTGCCTCCGCCGTTGCACATGACAGAAGAGGAGGCCGCAGGCATCGCACAGGTGCACCCACAGTTTGCGCTACCGATGCCCACGTAACTGGCAGGGCAAGTGTACAACAGGCGAGGTGCATTGCACTTGCATTCGCCCCTCCTGCATCGCATTGTAACAGCAAGCAACTTGTAGGGCAAGAGCGACAGAGTGAGGTGCACAGCCTGCATTGAGTAGTTCTGTCAGAGCCAGCACCTCATCAATCATTCCATGCATCATGTGCTAAATTTATCCTGAATTTGTTTTGGAGTGGGAACAGGTGGAGGGGTCTGTACCCCGGAAAGCAGGCGAGCGGTTGGCGGCTTCTTATGTGAACTTCTACCTGCCCAACGGTGGCGCCGTCATCCCTCAGTTTGGCGGGGATGCCACTGAAGCCGATGCCAGGCACGCATCTTCTGCCTTTCAGTCAAAAGAAGAATGTCTTCTCGAAGTGTGGCTGGGCAACCTGTGCAGCGTGACATGCTTCACTTCATTCCTGTGCTCCCTGCCAAATATGCGCTCACCAAATCACAAGGAGCCAAAATATTGCTCTGCGGTCTTCATGTAGTGTCTTGGCTGCACATGTATGCCTGTTGGCTGGGGGAGGAAAGGCAGATTTTTTGACTCTTTCACTCAAGTCTATGCTGAATTAGCATTGCTGATGGAAGGCAATGTGTGATGTGCAGGGCCCTGGAGGGGTTAAGGGAGGTATTTCCAAAGCGCAAGGTGGTGGGTGTGCCCACTAGGGAGGTCCTGCTGGGCGGAGGCAATATTCACTGCATCACACAGCAACAGCCTGCTGTGTGAACAGCCTGACCCTGAGCAGCTCCCTATCATTTGCTGGATCTTATTTGTTGTTCATTGAATATCTCACTTAGGCAAGCTTAGAATTTTGCAGCCACGGTGTTGTTCCCTGTAAGCTGGTGTAAAGGCCGTGCTACTCACACAGTAATTTTGTCAGTAATTCAGTGACCAACGAGGTGCCCTGTGCCTAGGCACCTCTGGCTTTGGGTTGGCCATTCTGTAAGATATAAGTGAGGTTCTGGGTATGCCACTTCCTGATGTACCCTTTGCTCTGGGAAGGTCCAAGGGTGGATCACCGAGTTTGTGACCTGCATGCTGTGCTCCCCTCTCCGGAGATGAAATGATTAATATGCCGTCCCATGCAACGATATGTGCTCACCCCGAATAAAAAGAATGCCATAATGATCTCGGGTTGCAAAGGATTGAACTAGACTCCGACATTAGCGAAAGCGTCGCTCATGACGAGGCCTGCCCACCTTGACGACGATATTGTCTGCCTGTCGGACGCCCAAGCTGATCCCCCGATAGTTTCAACAGGGAACTTGAAGCAGGCTGCCAGAAAGACGAGGGCGTCCACTGTCGCTCAGCTCCAAAACGAACGGTGAGGCATGGAACAGCCCTCTGGCACCAAGAGGAGCATTCCTGGGTTCCACCGATTCACAAATGCTCTGATTCATAATTGAAGACATTATAAGACATTTACTTGCGAGCAATCACTTTGGGGACAGATGTTTAGAATCTAGAGATATCCTGATCATAATCTCTGCACTTTTCTGGGTTGACAAAAGGGGAATCCCCTTCCTGTGCATGCCAAGAAAGAATAATATGGAACCTTCACCAGATCTGGAGGCCCCTTTCAGTGCCTAAATTATGCATCGATCAACCTGTGAGATCCCTTGACGTTGACATTGCTTTTTGCTCGCACACGTTTCGATAATTCACACCATGGAAAGATTGATATGTAGGGGTGCAGATCTGAGATCTTTCAGAAGACGCCGTCTGTCTCACGAGGGGGCTTCAGGGAGTCCTGAAAGTGTACAGGTCAGAGACGTTGTTGTACTTGATGGTGGCTCTCCACAAGGAGATGGTCCCAGGTAAGTCAACAATAAATTCGTGACGTTGCCTTGCTGAGGTTTCGTGAGACACTGTGGTGCCTGGCCTGGTCTCAATATCACGCTGATCCAAATCCTCCAAGAAGAATATGCCATGACGGCTTCAACATTGTCTTATACTAGGCCTGCCTCTGATTGTAGGAGGGACAAGGGGCGGCAACGTGCCTTTGTGGATCTTACCAAAGATGAAGACGACATTAATTCCATCGCCCTTGGCTCCAATGGCAAGCACCTGGCTGCCGGGAAAAATGCAGCTCCACATAATGACGACAGTGATGCTGTGGAGCTACTGCCTGATGAGGCGAGGGTTCTACGGGCTCCAAAGAGACGGCGCTTGGCTGAGGCAAGCTTCTTTTGTCCCGGCATGCAGCTTCCATCCCCATTCCTCATTTACCACCACATACCTCAAGACCACCATGTGCTGATGCTCGCATGCTCTTCTGCTTACGTGCAGGCTGTTATCAGTGAGGACTTGGAGGACTTGATTACAGCAAACGCAGACAGCGAGGCAGGCCCATTTGAATCGGACGTGGCAGCAGGCAGGGAGACAGGGACTTTCAGCTGCATGATCTGCTATGATGACCACCCAATGGAGGACTGCTTTGTGGCCAGCATGTGCCGGCACATGATGTGTAGGGATGCCGCTCGACAAGTCATTCTTAGTGCCATCAGGTGATCCCTCTTGCCTCCAAACTGCATACTTCAGATTTCCATATGGATATTGCTTCTGCCAGAATTTTGTATGAAAGCGCGGCAGTGAGCTGCCAATGTGCATATTTGATTGTTTAGCCTGATGCTGAACCTCATGGCGCGTGACTGCCCAGAGCATTAGAAAAGGGACAACAATGTTTGATCTATGCATTGCCAGCAACCCTGCTGTCTTCAGTCTGTGATATTTCACAGAGGGACCACTGACCGCACATGACGACTGACTGGGAGGGGCGTTTGCATGTGCAGTAATTGTGCCTTCCCGATCCTGTGCCCCATCTGCCAAGCGCGCGGCGACCCGACCTGCATCAAGTGCGAGCGCCGCCGTACCGACGCCGCGGCCGCAGCCGCCGCCGCGGATGGGGACGTGGACATCCCGGGAGGAGCTGGCGGTGGTGGGGGTCCCCCTGGCGGTAGCGGAGGAGGTCCCCCCTCCGCATGGTGCTGCAGCCTGGACGCTGACATCACACTGCTGCTGTCCGTGGAGGTGCTAATGTTCTCTTGACCTATACCACAACCTCAAATGATGGTCTCATCTCTGAGACTTCTTTTAGCATCAATTCTTCCATTTTGGCGCCTTGCTCACAGTGGTTTGCTGGCATTGGCAGGAGGAGGAGCGCTACCTGGAGAACAGCCTGAAGGCGGCCACCAACACGTGCCCGGACCTGCTGCCCTGCCCGCAGCCTGACTGTCCCGGCGTTGCCGTTGCCGGCCACGGTGCACCCTCGCTGATTTTAGTCTCCATTTACTCTCCACTGCAGTACCTGTGAGCCTCCCCATCCCTTCTAGTGTACCAGGAGCATGCTGCCGCGGCAAATACACGACTCCTCCTGCTGGAAGGGGCTGGCAGCGTTGCGGGCATTTGAGGGAGTGCATCAGCATTTTGGCAATCCCCTGGAGTCATAAGCTGCAGCACGAGGACCACAGTCTATTCTGCATTCAAAGCATCGTTTAGGTGCTGAAATGTGCTTCAGAAGGAAAGGAAGTAGGCTCACAGCAGTGGCTGTAGCACTGATTAATTGCTGGGAAGGGCTTCAGAAGGAGATGAAGTGGTCTCAGGGCAGTTATTTCGGTGGCTGTGCAGAGGATGACTCGCCGCGGCTGGTGTGCAACGTGTGCAAGCACAATTGGTGCAAGGCGTGTGAGGTGGCCTGGCACGAGGGCAAGAGCTGCGACGACCACATCCGCGAACGGGGCGAGGTGGCCGCAGACGCAGAGTTCCGAAAATACGAGAAGAAGCACACTGTCAAACGCTGCCCCTTCTGTAATCACGGCCTCATGAAGATCAGCGGATGCGACCACATCACGTGAGTTCCCCCTGTTCTTGGAGCACATCAAATATCCTTTTCCTCTACATAATTTGTCCCACATACACTGGCTTGTGTGCTTGACTACTGCCACAATGAGGAACTTGTGTGCTCGTGGCAGTTGTGGGATCGCTGGGGGATAAACGCTCATGTAAATTGTCATTCGAGTTGCGATTCGGGCATCGCAACTCGATTTCAGAGCGACCTTAAAGCGCCTGCCACTGGGGTGGGAATGTGTCATCGGCAGCTGACGGGACCGCATGTGCGCACAGGTGCGCGGGTTGCAAAACCGCCATGTGCTGGCGGTGCCTGCAGCGCTATGCTGACTGTGCGCGCACCCGCTGCAATGGCTACATTCCGGCTCTCCCTGCAGCGCTCCCAGGAATGGCCCCCGGTGATGCTGGCTGGGCAGGGCAGCTGCAGCAGGTGTGACTGTCTCACATTACTCTTTTAAATCATGCACCGTGGTACACGTGCTTGGCCAACGGACGCAAGGCCTCTGTGTTGAGCCATCTGGCCCGTGCCATCCCCAACATTGGACCAAGGTTAGAGGTGAGGAAGAAGAAGATAGTGGGGCTTACGTGGCAAAATCTCTGCACAGAGATACTAAGAGAGGGGGGAACGGCTAGCGGTTTAGTGGAGTATCACTTCCGACCGTGAACAAGTAAGGACGCGTGGTGATGCAGCCCTGCCTGCTTTCCTTGGCATTCGCTCAATTTTGGTGTCTGCATCCTCTCTTGGCTTAATCATGCAGCCGAGATTAGTTTTAGGAGTCCGGACCGTAAGCACATCAAGCTGTAGGAGAGCTGGTTCAGCAACTCTTACTGCGCCAAAGGTAGCACAAAATGCTCAGCATGCACTTTTGTTGCTTGCAAAACAGGTCTTTGGCATGCGCTTGAGACTTGCAACACAGCTCTCTACCCGGCAGACTTTTGCTGCCAGTCGTGAGCAGGCACCTTCCTACATGCAACAGATATGTCTTCTACACGCGCTTGAGAAGCAGCTCGTGGTGTCGCGCTGGTGTCCAAGGTCGTCAGGCACGATTGAGGGTCTAACAACTCTGATCGGTATCGTCATTCTCTGGCCTTTAGGAACCAGATGACCTCTAGGTGGGGCAATCTATGACATAGCATTCAAGGCAGGGGCGCTTGAAGCCAGTCTCGGCTCGATCTATGAGGCACTCAATCACTTTCAATTCTGAAAGAGATGGTGAGGAATCCAATCTGCACCAGAGCGTGACAAGTCAAGCCCTGCTCCCCCTCCTCAAACGCCGGTATCTGATCTCGTGCAGGTGATTGCGGGAGCCTTTGGAGCTGCCCTTGGTGAAGAGAATCCAAACAATGGCGTTTCCTTTCCTGTGGCGGCTGCTGCAGCGCCGATGGCACGACGGCGTGGCGGTTTCTTCAGCCGTCCTATGCGCGCGCGGTGGTAATAGCCGTAACTTGTTTAAGGAAAAGGACTTGCTGATTTACATCGCCCTGGCAGGGCAAGGTCCCGACACTATTGGACCCAGTCTAGATGCATGGGCTGGCGGGGGGCGGCATGAGCACCGTGCCGCCCACGGTCGATCGGGTCTTGCTTGGATCTGGCGAGTCCAACAAAGGGTAGGATTGTGGCAGCCTTTATCTGCAGCTTGTTTGCAGGACGTACCTTGCCTTTTGGCAGGAACAGCGTGTAATAATATAATAATGCAGATGCATGGGCTGTGTGGCCGGATGTGCGGCACCTGTTGGACACTCTGGCATTGCCGTTTGAGGGTGTGCTCACAAAGGGAAGGGGCCGGCTCAAGGCCGACAGGCCGCAACATGTTGGCTATCTAACGTCCATAGAATCTATAAACTGAAGCGGTGGAGCGCTTGATTGGGAGGAGGCTTGGTGTGACAAACTCGTAGGCGGGAGTGCATGGTGCGGGATGAGGACTGATGTGTTGGGGTGACCTTATAGAAGACTTGCAGGTCCTGCCTCTTCAGGATAATTAAGAGCGCCCCGGACTGAAGACTCGATGGCTGAAATACCTCGCCATCTTGTATAATCTGCAGAATTGTGAAGCTTCATTTGTCCGTCCCTGCTTCAAGGGGCGCTCAGATCATACTGTGAGGCTTCAAAGCAATTGGTCTGCGACTCTTGTTGCGCCCAGGAGGGGCCAGAACGTTCTCCACTGTGTGTTGCAATTTTTCCTTAGCGCTCATCCTTGGCAAATGGACAGTGAGAACGTTTGGAGACTCATCAGATGCATGATATCATGCAGGATGCACGTGCTTTGCAGAACAGATCTTGTGCTTCATATTGCATGCTTTCATTTGCAGATACTGCTGGTGCTTCATTGTGTATCTTGCTAATTGATCGCACGCATGTCTCAAGTGACAGACAGAGTGCTCAAAGCTATCACATCATAAGTCACATGCGTGCCGTGTCTTGCGAAGAAGGCACAGACAAGGCCTTCTCTGTATATTATTGCGATTGAATTGACAGGATATTGTAAAATATCGTGAATGGACACACATGGCAGATGGTCTGCCGCTTTAATCACTGTGTTGCCTCAAGCTGCACTCTGCATCGTGCTAATTTTCCCGATCAGCAAAGTGAATATCAAGGGACTGAAAGTACCCGATCAAACAGCTTCTCAGATAATATACACTCCTACATTAAGGATGGCAAATGGTACAAGGCATGAAAGACTGCATGTACAGTAATCTGGACAGGATCCTTAAATGGTGCTCCAGAGCACCAATACCCACATTTTTCTAGTATTCCATTTGGTCCTGCCAATTTCCAGTATTCTCAGTTCAGTTCACTACATTTGCAAAGCATCTTATTCAAAGCCGTGTTTCTCAATTGCACTGTGTTTCTTGCGGCCAAGCTGAAGTGTGCAGAGAATAGGCGTTCTGGAGCACAAGCTGCCTCATGTCACAAGTTTTGTATGTGTCTGCAAAAGTTACTACGCCGCAGTCACTGCAGCAGATGATGGCACAGACTCCATGCCGAGGTGCTGCCACAGGCGTTTGTGCAGCTTCTGACAGAACATATCTTTGTGGAATTTGTTTGCAATCCACCTGCAAGCAATCACCAAATAGACACTGTCACTCCTCCGCATTTCTGACTCTCTAGAAAATGCTGCTGAGCGGAATCTGGCGCCGTCAGTTTGCTGCAGCAATCAGCAAGCATCTGTGTGGCACTGATCTGCTGTGAGACGAGTGTGGCAATTCTGTTGCTGACATACTTGCTTTGGGGCACACAAGTGGCTCAGACTTGGCACAGTCCGCTTCATGCAACAGAATATGACAATGTGTACAGTTCTAGAGGGAACTGGCCCCAGCTGGCGGGTGGTGGTATAGATACTGAGCACCGTGCCCACGGTTAATTGGGACCCTGCTACTAGGATTCGGCGAGTCCATCAAGGTGTAGGCTTTGTGGCAGCCTTTACCAGCAGCTTGTCTGCAGACGTCACTGGCCTATGGCAGTAACGCTAATAATGTTAGTAATAATGAGGGAACGCGTGCTCACGTGGGGAACCAGCCGCGCATGTCGAAGAAGTCGACAATTTCCAGGCGGCACCGATCTGGGCCCAGGGCCACCGTGCGCAGCGCGAACGAATTAAATGCCCTTGTCAATCCGTCGCCACCCTGGCACAGCACGCGCTGTTAGTCATGTCCTTATCTCTTCTATTGCATGCTTGGAGCACTGTGGACTAATGAGAGATTTCATTTAGCACATCGACACTTGCCAGTGGAGCACCCTTTGGATTTGCAACACATGGCAGGCAGGGATTATTCACCTACGGTGAGAGTTCCTCCTCGAAGAGGACACAGGCATCAAGCAGATGACAGACATGCTGTGCCAGAAGCGAGCAGTAGCAAGAAAAATTGAAAGATGGAGCTTTGTATGATTGTTGCAGCAGAAAGGCAATTTGCACCGGTGGCAGCGCCTGGTAGAGGATGGACTTGGTGGCGACTTGGGTGTTGGCTGTGTCAAAGAAGCTCGCCTTCACAAAGGAGCGCTTGGGAAATGGGAACTTAGACTGAATCGTCTTGGAGTATCCCACCTCTGCCCTGCAGCAGCGTTCCAAGCTTCTCTCAAGCCAAAGGTGCCTAAATGGATGTTGATGCGTGTCTGGATGATGATTTTTCATGCCTGTGTAATGAATCCGTGACCAGACAGTACAGGACAAGGGTGGGATCGAGAACCTGGGCCAAGCACCTGTCATCCCACTGTAGAATCTCCACTGGAGGGTCATGCATGGTCGAATCATCGATGATGTCTGATCCTTCCGCGGATGTCAGTAAGCTGAAGAGATCCTTTGCGCTCTTCTCAACCTCCACAACCGAGCGGACCAGGAGGAGCTGCATTGTCAGAGTGCATGTGTCAGTCACAGACATGTCCTGGAGTGCAAGGAAGCAAATCAAACGACAAAAGCAGCAAATATTTACAACAAGAAAATAATCTGAGGACTATGCCCTTGATTCTACTTTAAACAGCCCAAAATCCATCTTATTGTGCTTGATCATGGTACTGTCGGGTTGTCCATATTGCATGACATCGAATGATATGCAGAAATATGTGTACTCGGTGAACAGCTATTACCTTGCTTCCTTTAATTGGCCTGGAGTACACCCGCAGACCATGATCATAGTCCCCGACGACGTCCCAGTCTGACGCAGCTGAGCCAAACAGACCATCTGCCTCTGCCAGTAGGCGATCAGCATAGCTCTTCACATCAGTGATGGCCTCCTCCCAGATCAGATCCACTTCATTTGCAGCCAACATACTAGTCACCATAGAGAGGAAAACGGCGGAGAGCGGTGACGGCATTGGCCGTTGTGATTTGCAATCGTCTAGACTAGCGCTTCTGCGCCTGTGTGTAATTAGACAGAAGAGCCCCACGAAGATACAGCCTGGCTCACATTACTTCTTTCTGAGATGCTTGATGTACCAGATCTACCGTGATATGAGTTGGATGTTCCGAGAGTTTTATCGGCCTAAATTGAGGAGCTCCGTCATAACATTACGTGGTTTCCACGTGATTGCACTCCAAGCTCCTGCAGTTGGGCCCTATGGAGCGCCCTACTGGAAAGCATACTGCAATTTCCTCTCCAGAGAACACTGTTCATCGCTGCTGTGCATGTTATTCTTAGCGCATGTGTGCAGAGCATGTTTAAGCAAGCATATGCATGGTTGCCGGCCAGGGCCGGCCCCTGCTAGGGTCACTCCAGATGATCATCTGGGCATAAGTTACACGTGCGCCAACCAAGCCTACGGAGCTGTGGCAAGCCTCAACTGTGAGGCTTGGACAAGCAAAGGCTAGGCTGAGCAAGCTTCCAATAGAACTTCAGGCTGGATGCGCAGAAGGCTAGCCTGCTGGACACCTATACTCGCATCCGTGCCTTCAGAGGCCATCATGATAGTACAAACTTGAAAAGCAACCAATTGCATCCTTAGGGTCTGAGATGCAATAAGATAGCGCCGCCTAAGAAAAGAGAGTCAAGAACAATATGAATCAATATGCACGTGGCCAGATGCCTAGTGCTTCTAGCCATGCATATATAGGACAGAATGAACGCCTTCATATATTCTTCGTCCTACGTACAACAACCTTTGAGCAGGGACACATGACTAAAACAAAAATGGAAGATGATTCTGCATTTGAACTGCTCCTATCGCCTACCATTGCATTGACTTACTTCAAGCAGGTTGTGCTACCCAACTTCATGCTTCAGAATCTTCACCTGGTGTCAGGGCAAAAAAACCAACGAAGCTCCTACCTGGACTTTGATGCACTATCTCAACAAGCACAAACATCTACCTAGGGCCAATAAGTGCTGCTTTCTGCCTCGTGTGCAGATCCACTTCCTTTGCAAGGCAAATGCGAGGCCAAGATGGCATCCTGGAAAAGGCTCGATTCCCTTGAAACGAGAACGTCCTTCTCTCATTAGCAATTCTGCACTCAAGCCAAATAACGGCAGCTTAGCAATTTGCTTGTTCACAGGATGCGCATCCTGCCTGCCTGCCACCAAATGGTCATGTGTGGACGATTCCACTTAATCATATTATTTGGAAAGGGTCATACCATACTACAGCATCATGCGCATTGTTTGCAGCTCTTAGTGCTGCATCGCCAGGGCGGTGTTCCAGCAAACCAATTTTAACTCAAAGGTGCCATTACCCAGAAGGGGCACCTTCAACAGCAAAAGTGGTGGGGCGCAGCTGGCCGTGCGCAAGCACCCCGCTATAAAAGCAGATGTCTCATTGTGCCAAAGAATTGAGACACCTGCGTCCAACAACCACCTGCCATGGGGCATGAAGGTCTGTGCTGACCACATCGCCAAAAGCTGACATCTATTCAATCCATCTCTTTCCTCACCGCATTGCTCAGCCCCCACTTCAGCCCCCAACTCTCCCTCATACACCCCTGCCAATTCTGGCATCCCTGTCCGCCTCACTGCTCCATTTGCATGCCTTCACAAAGTACAGGTCCCTGATCCGTCAGTCCCCGGTAACTTCTAATAAATACTTGCAATGGGGGTCGCGATCAAGGCACCACCGCAGGTCAACACAGGGGGTTCTATGTCCAGTTTAGTCAGACAGCAGCCCTGGACTACGGGGAAGATGGGGTTTCCAGGGTGGTCATCAATCCCCGTGGATTACAGGGCAGCGGCGGTGATGAGCTAGGTGGAGAGCATGCGGCGGCCGCTGAAGTAGCCGGTGCCAGTGAATCGCTCACGCTGCCAGCGCACCCAGCCGCGCACGCTGCCCTGCTCCAGCACTTCCTTCCTCATCCGCGCATGCGCCTCCTCCATGTTCAGCAGCATGTTGAGCACCTGCAACACCAACCAGCAAGCTCATTACTCCATGCTTGGGGCTTGTAGCAGTCTTCTGTACACTTACTCCTTACTACATGCTGGAGCTTGTGGCAGTCTTCTGTACAGTAAGACTTGACAGGGGCGCCCTGTCAAGTTGCGCATTCAGCACAACTTATGATACGACAGAAGCTAACCGTCTAAAAGCAACAATGTCCTGCTGCAATCCCACAATGAGCATGCTGTGGACCGCAAGTGTTGTCTGCGAAGGGTGCACCAATGCGCCCAAAGATACAGCTGGGAGCAACATTTTGCATGCATTCGCAATGTATCCGTCATGAGTGACACCTTTGTCAGAGCTCCCCTTGCTCGATATGCGGCATTCTGATACCCAGCTTGGGCTTGCTTCAGGTTTGCGTGAATATTTAAATAAGCGCTTGCACACCGCAGTTTGCATCAAACCGTGCGTGCACGCGCCTGCCTTATGACTAAGTGCGTGACTATGAAGATGTTATGTCTCTTTTCCTGCCAAAAGGGCAGTATTTGTGCACATGCTTGCTTGTGGTGAGTATCCTTGAGGGGAGAAACATTTGTCGATCTGTCTCTTCCATGCACAGTGTGTTGAAGGTGACTAAGCCGGTGACAACAATGGAACTTGCACCTCAACACTGCAGTTGGAAGTGGCAAAGCTGCGCGCAGGCTCACCTGCATCATGAAGTCGGGCCCCGGGTGGGTGCGGTCGATGAGGACGGTGGCCTTGGAGATCTGCAGCGCCATCGCCTCCAAGTCCAGGAGATGGAAGCGCAGCTGCGAGGCCACGTGGCGGCCGGCAGCGTTGATCTGCGCCACGTGCTGGCGCAGGTAGGGATCAGTCTCCCAGAGGTGCGGCTCGCTTGTCTGGTGCGGCGTGTGCAGCGTGTGGTACGCCAGCATCGTGCTGTCCGGCACCAACTCCTGCAGAGAAGTATCACCTCTTGCTGAATCACCTCCTTAGTCACGTGACAGTAATCGTAAATACTCACTGTCGCTGCACCGCTTCCCTCTGCTCGCTGTCGCTTCCCATAAAAGAAGGCAAACCCACGTTGAATGGTACTCCATGTGTTCTCAGAATCGTGTGCTACTCTCATGCCAGCAGGCTTCAAGTCCTCTCCTATCTTCCTACTTACCAGTGAGAAACTGCAGGGCAGCATTAGCTTGGGTCATCTGCACAATCTTTTATGAGGAGAGGAGACATATGATCACGGCTATGGGGGCTTGCCTTCAGCTGGGTGAGGATGGTGGTGAAGTTCTGGATCCAGGAGTGTATCCACACGTCCGGCAGCAGCTCATTCCCCAGCACCGTCCCATTGAACTGATACCCCCCATCAGCAAATCTGCATTGCAGCGCACCCCATTTAGGTGCAGCACACCAATGCCTGGTCAACCTAGACAAGATCACCATCCTAGCGCCCTTTCAAGTTCAAATCCCACCGCCTCAACATGTCTGGACAATGAGTGCTGAAATCTTCAATGCATGCCGGGTACATCAGTGCATTCTGTGATTGCTGCAACGTTTGATGCTGAGGCCAGCTTTCCATGCACAGGCCGATCTATGGTGGACAATGGGGGCAGAGGCGGCATTTAGCAGCTGTTGCCCAAATGGCAATAGCTACAGGTGTGTTCGTTGGTGCAGCAAGAGGCGGCACTCACGCTTTGGAGATGTCCCAGAAATTGCTGGACAGCATGACAACGTCCGGCGCCGACCCATGCGCCTTGTGGAAAAAGTCCAATCCCTGCGCACGTGGGTACCGTAACTACTGTTAGACATTCTTCAGAGCACAATAAAGCAATTGGTGGAAGAGAGCTTGTCAGTCGTGGACTCCGTGGATTGATAGATCCCATGGCAATACTCCAGGAATTGTCAGACAGAATCTGCTGCAGCCCAAAAGGGACCATCATGCGTGACGCTGTCGAAAGAGCGAGGAAAGATCTGTTTCAAAAGAGTCCATGACATTGTTGTCTTTCTTTTCTGATGACTCGAAGTGCTTTTGGTCCCGGGCCAAACAGCGCACCTCCCGGATGCTCTGCAGGGGAGGGTAGTTGATATTGTTCCAGTAGGGGCCCTCCAAGGACACCGAGGAGATGTGGTACTTGGCCACGGTCAATTTGGGGGTGCGGCAGATGCCCTGCAGCTTCAGCCGGTCCTCCACCCCAGGATAGCCAAAATCCTCGGGCTCCAAATCGAGCGCCAAGTTGCAGAAAAACTTGACAATGCGGAAATCGACCGAGTCACCGAACAGCAGGATGCTCAGCGGCCGCAGCTTGACCGTGCGCGGATCTTCTGGCATCAGGTTCCCTCCCTGCAAGGTGGTGCATCTATGGAGTTAGCTGCAGACTCTCAAGTCTGAACATGTAATATCTCAAAGTTGGCATAACAGCATGGGACCCAGAATATGCCTTTCGATGGTGCGCTCTAGTGATGACGCTCATCGCAATGAAACTTTGTTGTGTCGATTGCACACAAGGCAGGGAGAGCAGGATGCACACATTATCAAGCCACGCAAGATTGAGGATCTACTCGTGGAGTAAGCAGAAACCAATGGATAAGCTGAACACTGCAGAAGCAGGAGGTGGGGGATGGGTCTGGGCAGAAAAATGCACCTCCAGGTAGGGGGTGAGCAGCGGCTGAAGCTGACAGGCGGGGCAGTATGGCTGCCACACAGAGAAGGTCATGTTGAGGAGCTCCCCCTCCTCATGCCAGGGCAGCAGCGCATGCCCCTTGGAGCTGATCCATCCCCCTGGTAGGGTCCCATAGTGGCACAGGCCACTCCCTGCACAGGCAGCGTGCCAATCACATCGTGGCAATTGGCAACACAGCAAGTCCTGCTGCATCATGTGCAGGCTAACACCCAAATTGTAATGGCGACAATTATGTCATTTCTCCAACGACAACAATCTCAGCATCGGCATCCTGGCAACTTTCTTGCATGGACTATATATAAAGCCATGCTGCTGCCACTCGTTGAGTTGTGATGTGATTGAGGTCCTGCTCAGCACTGGTAGGCCTGTGCACATAGACGGAGCCTCACCTGTAGGGCACGCATTTGTGCGGCTGACAGCTGTGACTGTGCAGAGGGCTAGTAAGGCCCAGAAGCCACTGGGCATCTAAGGAACCTCTGCCTTCAGCCTTGAGAAGGCCTGCACTGTGCGATAAATGCTCTAGATCATCAGACGGTATCTGGACGTTCTTCCGAGATTCAAGCCCTGCAATGCAATATGGCCTTCTCGGATCAGACTTTTCCAGTGAAAGCGCTGACAGGGGCTACCCTGTTGATTCTAGCCCCCTTCTCTGGTCGGTGCTCTAAAATCATGCATCTGAACATTTTATCAATGTGGCCAATGGTTATACGCGCCTCTGACCTCAGCAGGGTACTGCAAGTTCAAGTTCACAAAGTCTGCACCGGTCTTTCCCCCATGCGCGCGGCAGCAGGCTGCGTCGCCTGGGTTCTGTGCGATCAATGTTCTGATGATCTAATTTCTACGAAAAAGATTTGGCTGTCACGGTGAGGACTCCGGCAGGCGGCAAAACCCGCTAAGTCTGCAGTGCTGGCGACAAGCAGCATACACCTTGGAGGAATAGGAAGGAACGGAGTTGCTTGATTTGGGCCAACAGAGACACCGACGACGGACTCAGTGGAAAAATCCCGCCTTTATGCGGCAAGACCGACAGAAGTGTGCTGCGGCAGGAGCTCTGGCGCGGAAGCTGGGTCGGGCACAGCAGATCGTTGGCGCCAGTTGTCAATTTGTCACCGTCAACTCAGCCTCCCACCTTTTGAATTACGGGGCACAGATTCCGTGGGGCCTTTGGCTGTTTTTCTCCCACATGCAAGGAATGGACAATTACTTTTGCACTCTTCAAGGAGTTCTCATCTTCGTTTCTTTCTAAGCTCACTCTCAGAACTTTATGTCTGCTGAAGTTCAGCCTCGTCAAGAATATCTACATAAAATATTCTTCTCGCTTTCCCCGTGAGCAGCGCAACAGTTGCAACTGGCTGTCCTCTGTTTTATCACACTGCGCATGACGCAGTCACCACAATACTAGTACACCGCAACTGCTCTGCGAAAGAGACCTTTCTGGACAAGCGGGCACTGCCTGCACCCCAGCAACTGGAGCAATACCTTTGCTGGTAGCAGAATCCAAAATAGACCCATGCGCATTGTCCAAAGTATCACACTCTAGGCAATAAAGATCTCTTGTGAAGCAATTTCTGGGTTCGCTCAAGTGCCATAGCAAATCTCTGTCTCACTCTTGTCTGAGCTGCCTTCACACAAGATAAAGATAATGCCAGCAGTGGTAGCTGTCAGAAATATCCTGCCAGGAAGGCTACCGCTGCATGGCCGCGAGAAAAACATCCGATCTGATCACACAACGCCTGATTGGGCTATGACCACCCTCTTGAATGGCCTCCCAAACCCCTTCTCGGCAACGTCCGCTCGCTTGTCCCCGGCTATCTTTGCAACCCTGCACAATGCATCGCCCATCTCTCACCACCAACACCCAATCAAACTACTAACACCTGGTGCTCATGCAAACTCTAAACTCCTCAAATGCACCTTCTCTCCTTCAACTACTGAGCAAGCCTGCAAGGAATCGCGGACAGTGTCACCTGAGACCTTTCATATATGAGCAAGCCCGACTTGACTGTGCAAGCAAGCAAGCACTAACAAGCACTCCTAATCGAGAAGGCATGGGTGGAATTTGGAGCGCACTTGAAAAAGGGAGAACCAGTATTGGCTTTGACAGACGGCAGCTGCGCAATAGCTTCCACGACGTCCATGCCTCCGATCACACGGCCGACTACGAGGTTAGTCGTGTCCAGCTCAGGCGCGGCGGCTGTCGTGATGACAAACCCCGAGCCGTTTGGCACCGCGCCCTGCTGCTCTTGCACCGTCACCAGCTTGCCTTGATACGCAACCAGCCTCTCCTTGACCGGCCTGCAGGGAAGCACACCAGACCCATATCACGTTCAACCCTGCTCCAGTTGAAAGACTGCAACTGGCATTGAGTCGTTGGCACCTTCTGCTGTCCAGACGCAAATGAAGCTCCCCTTCGACAGCAGTCAGAGGAGATCTGCAAGTACTTCACTTGCAGCAAAGGCCCTTTCAACTCAATCTGAGGATTAAGGTGAGTCAGTGTTCAGGGGTGACAGTGAGATTAGGTAAGCTCACCGCGGCCGAGAGTCCTTGACGACTAATGACACCAGGCCCTGCTCCCCATGGGCATGCCTCGCATCCTGCAACTCCACCTGCACAAGCACTGCAGTTTCTAAGGCTGGATTCAACTGAATACAAGTACCACTGCCTAAGGAGAGGGTCAAGGTGCATGCAGCTCTGCAGGACTGGACAGGGGGCAACAGCAAAAGGGCCTGCAATCAGGAGGCTGGTGTGAGGCAGTGATCTCACCTCAAGCTGCTCTACTGTGTCGCCGCCAGTTATGGTGGCTGTATCATTCGCAGAATAGCTCAACCTCGGGAGCTCGCTCACGCGTATGAAGGTCTGCACACAACCGGGGACACAAGTCAATTGATCCCGCGAACAGGGAGCATCCGGGCACTCATATGAATGCACCAATGCATAATAATCCTACTCTCCTTCCAAGGGGTATGCCAGTGTCCGTCAGTGCTGGGAAAGCTGCCGGTGAAGCTGAGGTCTGTGGCCATATGAAAAGGTGGCATAGTAATATTTTCGAGCGCAGAATAGTGTGGCGTGTTTCCAGGTGCGGGGGCATACCGGTGCGATAGTGTCAACCTTGGACAGCTGGTAGCTGATGCCTTCGTGGCCCTCTGCCAGATCCATAAACCGCCGCGATCCAATGGGCACATCATCAAACAGCTGCACCACTATTCTTCCCTGTGACTCGCCGGCGACATTCATGTCAAAGTACACCTGCACGTGGCAAATGGACGAGGTAAGAGCCTCTGCGCCTTCCATCCTAAAAGAAAATTGCAAACGAATGTCTAATCTAAGATAAAGACGAAAAATAAAATAGGCAAGCAGTTTGCTCCTGTGAGGAGCAAAATGCTGACCTCATGTCGCCTGCCGCTCCGCTCTACCTCGTCGTTCTGTTCTGCCAGCACCGTGCTGAGGCCGCTGACTGCCTCAATTGTTGCGTTCACGCTCCCTGACGCGAGCATGGGAGAGAAGTCTGCACGGGCTTGCATTGGTGACAGCAGCAGGGCACCAGCTGCCAGCACATGCAACATAGGACCGCCCATCTGTGGCCTCAATGTGCTGGAAGCAGTTCTGCAGGCTGTAAAGAGACCTGCTTCGTCTCCAGAACAGGATGTGGTGGCCTCAGCTGCTGGCTGTTTGGAGCCAACACTCCTTGGCTTTGAGGGACGTTCCCTGCCGCACTTCGTAGGAGCCAACGATGTGGGCAGTAATGCACATCTGGGCAATTGAAAATATAGATGTCCCATTATAAATTTAGAGATCGTGCGATTATGTTCTGTAAGCTCAGGATAGTGTCAAGATGAAGCGTTCGGGCAAAAAATTCGCTTCACGACTCCATCGTCAATCAGTGATTGATACTTCGAACAAATGTATATTTGCAACAGGGCGATTCCTTTATGCTTTGCTTCCTGCACCTCTCACATCGAGGCGATCTGCTGTTCCGAAACTCTTATCGTGACGGAACTTTGAGGTCGCCTGGCCTGCGGCGTCCCTGGCGGCTTCCGTCCTGGAGGAATGTGCCGCATTCATCATGCTTCCTGCGGATGTCTCCTCGGATTTGTCTATTCTGCAATGCTAAACAACACAAGTATCACGGTGGATTCTTTTTTGTCACTTGTGATAGCACAGTGCGCACAGCAGATGCCGAGATCCCTGTCAAAAGAAGCAGCAAATGTCTACACAATCGAAGAAAAAGCGCAAAAGTAGATTAGAGGCTAATCAATCCGATTTTACAGTACCGCAATCAATATCTGAATCTGTCTCCAGGTATTGTACTCGCAAGTTGGCGAGCTAGTGAGGACCCATGTGTTTGCTTTTCAAGTGTTTTTTGACGTAAGGATGGTACAGCTGTACTAAACCGGCACCTGTGCACACAGGGATGACTGCCCATCGATTATTGCACTGCAGCCTGGGCAGGTGTGCCTCCTGCATGCGTATCTCTGTGCATCATGATGCTGATTTGCCGGCATACAGCCTGCATGAAAGGCTTCTTCTGTTCACAGGTAGCCTACTTTGAGGGGGAGGCCCAGATCAGCGTGAAGAGGGGGGCTGTCTTTCTGAGCGGGTGCGCATAAACGCTGTATTTCTGCATGCATCCATGTGGATTGCAGATAAGCGCCCTTCTAAGCAGTGGGGCATGCACGCATCTTCCAGGACGTTTTTGGAGGCAGGCAAGGGAGTTGCTGCCTGTGCGAATGCGGCTCTGGGAGGGGCATTGCCAATCGAGGCCGTCCCATTAGGCACACAGGTTGCCCACCAGTCCCACGCTCATTACTTTGCACTACTTTAACTATTTTCGCATTGCTTTGTGCCACAAAGACTGTCTCGAGGCGCTGTATTTCTGCCCTTCCAGAGCAGGAGGGCCATGATCAAAGTATGCACATGCTGACGACTCATACGGGATTGACATGTGACAATTGCACATCATGTTCAATGGCGGCTTGGTGGATGCAGGTGCCGCATCCACACGAGCATGTGCAGATTGGATTCGACAGGCTGCCGGGGGATGGATCTGCAGCCGATGGCGCTGATGTGGCGGCTTTTGCTGGTGCCAGCTGGCGGGTGCTGCCAGAGGGCGCCTGTGCAGCACATCTTGTGCCCCAGGACTGGCGAGAGGTGGGACCATGGGGCAGAGATTTGCCCTTGATAGCATGCCTGAATGGGCATTTGCTATGAGAATACAGCAGAAAGACTGAGAATTTGTCTTGTTCAGACAGCGGACTCATGAACAGGAGGGACGTGGAATTTGAAGCACAGATGTAGATGTCAGGTGCAGCTACCAGTTGGAGATGTTGGCCCGGGCACTTTGGGGTCAGAGACGGTTGTTAATGGAGACATTGCTATGCTGATGCTGGCGTTGCTCACTTGGTTGTCTCTGAAGGTGTAGATGAGACTGGGTAGTGTGGTAAACACTGCAGAACATTCAAACTCGGCACCGACAGCTGACAAGCGTTGACTTGGCTGCACAGGCTGCGGCAGGCATAAGCGTCGCAGTGCAGGACGTATGCAGCAGCGGCCGCAGCGGGGGTCGCACAGTGGCAGTGTGTGGCGCCAAGGGCACTGGAAAATCCTCCTTTGGGCGCCTGCTGGCCAACTCGCTCCTCAACAACACTGCACAGAGCGTGGCGTGGCTTGATGCAGACTGTGGGCAGCCTGAGTTCACCGTGCCAGGCAAGTCACTTTGAGGTTGATGGATGATGCCTGAAGTTGTAAGTTTACACTAGTTGTTTAGTGCAGTTGGGGTGCTGTAGGAAATGCTGCATGCACACAGTCCTCGCCATATGCTTTTTCCTTCCAAGAGATGGTAATTTTTTTTTTGATCATTTGTGAAAGGAACCACACAGAGATGCAGCTGACTTTTGAGGGTGGGGCAAGTCATCTGTGCGAAGGAAACAGGTCTTTATTCAGTGAAATATTCGCTATGGGATCATGACTTTTCTTTTGGCGCAGATGCCTTGCCCGTTTCATAGGTTGCGATTTTTGCGGGCTTGAGTGCGTTAAGAAAGGCCGTAATGAAAGGGAAATTGATGGGTCTGAGTGTCGTGTTTTCTGTGCAGGAATGGTGTCCCTGACCTACCTGGACCGCCCAGTGTATGGCCTGCCTCACATGCACCAGCGCAAGCCAGATCAGGCGCGCTTTGTGGGGCACCTGTCTGCCGAGAGGGACCCTGTCGCCTATAGAGGCGCGGTGCAGGAGCTGCTGAGCTGGCACGCTGCGCACCACACGAGCGCACCTCTCGTCATCAACACCTGCGGGTGGATCAAGGTGCGCACATTGCTCTGCTTCAAGCTCCCTGTGCAGGCAGTTGAAACAATGCGGCCCTTTCAGGTTGGGTTTCTGAGAACGATATTCACAAGCAATACCACGCCCCTGAGAGAGAGCCTGAAAGAGAGATCTAGGGGGCCAATTGAGGAGGCTTGGCGGCCTGTATGAGCAGGACTCCTCAGGAAGCCTCTCTACATGTCTCATGTTGTGCTTTGTGCCAAGCCCTGCAATATATTTGTGGAACTGCTAGTTCTGTTGCCTGCGCTGTGCCCTTGCTAGAGAACGAGCCAATGCTCTTTGTGTGGTGGCATGCAGGGACTAGGCTTTGATCTGTTGGCAGATCTGCTGCAGAACGCAGGCCCCAGCCACGTGGTGCTGCTGCAGACAGCCAACCCCCGACGCAACCTGCCCGCAGAGATCTTCTGGGCGCCTGCGGGCAGCCCGGCGCAGGTGCCGGCACCTGCCTGCGTCCTGCAGCTGCAGGCTGTCGGGCAGCTGCCCCCTGCGCCGGCCGCACCTGCCCAGCAGCTTCCTGGTGCGTCGCTCACCAAATTTTACGGTTATGCATGCTGAGTCATCAGCTCCTAATTATCAGGAGGCTTCATGAGTTACGAGTGAGCCTGTGCCAGACTCTACCCAAGCCTGCGCTTGCAATCGGCATATGGTCAGCATTTGCCCGTCAGCTGCTGTGAGAAGCGAAAATTGCATGGCCAGAGGTACTCATAGCAAGCTGGCATTGGTTTTGTCATCATTATTTGAAAATCCGAGTATTTGAGCACCTGATCAGGTGTAGTGCATGCAGGCGCGCCACCCGCCCCGAAGAAGCTGTCAGCGGCCGAGACGAGGAGCCTGTCTTGGCTGGTGTGGGCGCGTGAGATTGTGGGCCTGCCCACGTCTGGCATCAGGTGGGAAGCTGACACCCTGGCGGCAACTGCCATGGGCCTCGCATCCCACACCCCCTACACAGTCCAGCTCAGCGATATGACCGTGGAGGTACGCCCCAGCTCTATGGCCTTCCTTGCAAGAAGTGAGTAATATTACAGAATGTCAGTCAGACGTCACTCTGCGAAGGAGTGCAGCTACGAGTGTTTGTGCCTCCATCAGCTAGCTGTGCAATTTTGGGGTCCTCAAAAGACGCAAAGTCAGCTGGTCAGTGCTTAGGAACTTGTGGTTTGCCCCCCTTGAACCAAAAGAGGAGTTGCAATGGAGAGTGACTGCTGAACACGCGACAGAAAAGGAATGAGCAAGAGTGCTTTGTGGGTGTTTGGTAGGTGCTGCATGCCAGCGTGGCGCCAGGTCAGCTTGGCTATGTGCTGAATGGGGCACTAGTGGGCCTCTGTAGCAGGGCTGAGCAGGCAGCGGAGGCACCTGACGGTGAGGCGATGCCCAGTTTCGGTGTATAGTATGGTTTTGTAGTATCTAGTAAATGTGATGACGCCCACATTTGTGCGTTAATTGAAGTAGGCTGCAACCATGCAGCCATGCACCAGGCAGCCTTGCAAGATGATGTTTCGCGCATTGTGTCATTGTTACGCAAGTGCTAAAACACTGCCAACGGTTGGTTGGGTCTGCTTGGAAATGGCGAGTCCATTGAAGGGTGGGATTATGGCCAGCCTTACCTGCAGCTTGTCTATGGAACGCACCTTGCCTCTGACAGGAACAGCGTGTAATAATATATGTGGAAATTTTACAATAAATGTAGCTGCTGAGGTGGAATTTGGCTGTGCAATGACAGGGCGGCCAGAGACGATGTGCTTGGGGGTGGGCATCATCCGCGCAGTGGACATAGCTGCAGGACGTGCATATGTGCTAGCGACTCTTGATGTCGAAGCCATGCAGCAGGTCAATGTCCTGCAGGTGTGACTCGCCCCCTTTTTTCAACACTGACGATGTCTTTGTCTGTTGGTTGTTCTACAGGAACATCAACCAATTATTTTGTGATTGTAATTTACTTTGGCTTTGAGTAGTCTGGATACCTGCCGGGAGGAGCCATCGGTGATTGTCTGAATAGGCTTTGCGCATGCAGTTGCAGCACTGGCATGTGCATGCATTTGTCAGCACGCACACTTCTGTTGGTCATGTGAGAGCTGCTGGCTGCCGGGACTGCTTGACAAGGAAACAACATGCAATTTTGTCTTCTAGTCTCCTGGGACGGAGGGGTCTTGCATGATACATGCTGCGCAAGAAACCCTGCATGACAGCCCGTTCTCCCTACTTGGTGCTCGTACTGCCTGAAATATGTTTTGCAATATCTCTTCTTTTAAGAGAGCGACACTGTGTTACAGGTGGGCAGACTGGAGCTGCCACCAGAGCTGCTGCAGAGCGGGCCGGTTGTGTCCCCCTATCTCAGCACATGGTCCATCGGCAGCGCCGGCACCGGCGCTGGCGCCATCAAGAGCCGCAACAATCTGCCGCGCGCAGCGCAACTTGTTGGATGAGCACGTGTTGTCAAGGGAGTGAAATGATAGTGATAGGCAAAGAATAACTAAGTCGGACAATTTCACAGCCAGCTGTGAATCCCTGGCAGTGCAATTATTTGCTTTGATATGTTCACCGGCTGATTTCACTGTTGACAATTCTTGAGACGCTATCGAGCAGGAGCACGGAGTAAACCAGCAGTCCAGGGCCCCAAGGGAAATATTATGTGCAGTAAAAAAGCTGTATACATCTGTGTCACTTTCATAGTGCCCCTTCTCACTCTATAAATGCTGTAGTACAGCAAGCCTCCAATGGCGCAATGATGTCAGTACAGCCCGGCTCAAATGCTGCACTTGCGCTGCATCAATGTGCTTTGGCACGCTCCCAGTGCTCTGCACTGCCTGATGCGCCACAGCCTGCACGCCACCACCCATCAGCCATCATCGAATTTGGAGAGCAAACACCAAGTCATCTCTCACGCATGACAAGCATGCAAGATTCTCTTGGTGGGCCATTGCAGCGTGCTTTTAATATAAATCTGCCTGTACGGTAGGAGTGCCCCCAATACAAGCGACCCAGTCACAGATCCTTTCTTCTGCTGTGTTACTGAGGTCTCAAGTAACAGAGTTATTGTGCTGCTGGGAAGAACAAGTTGGCAACGGTCGGCAAATGGCACAGAATCTCAGCAGTGGACAAGAAATGTGACATACTATGCCGTGTGCGAGTGCTTCAGTGGGGCTGCAGCCGCGAAGGAGGCCGAAGAGCGCTCCAGCTACGAGGCAATCCCCTGCTCCGCTCGTGTTGACCACCCTTGCAGGCGGCGCTGCCATGAACCCAATCTCCAGCCAGCGCCCGTCTCCGCTGCGGCCACAAATGCAAACGGAACAAAAGTAGAAGTCAAGCCTTGCAATTGCTGATAAGATCAGTAACAGGACCAACGTGCCTTTTTTGAGCGACACAGAAGGCACCATTATTGGCGTCCAACTCTCACAAGCGCATATTGCTGCCAGAAGAGTGCAAGCCCAAAGAGACATAAATAGAAGTCTACACACTTATGCCAGCGCACGCAAAGTGTATGGTCACTGACCTCAGCGTGCACAGCGCGGCGCCCAAGTGGCCGAGTGTGAGCACGACGCATCCCACTCCCGCATGCAGTACCGTGCACAGCTGCGGCGATAGCAGTTCGACGGCGTTCCCGGCTGCTTCTGATACCAATGTTGCTCTGAACCCTGGCTTTAATTGTATATCCTCCCCGCTGTCCGCAGTCTCCGCACCAGTATCTGTACTGTTTCTTATCCCTGACAAGCTACCGCTATGCCTGGCTGGCCCATGCAGGCGCTCAGCTACTGACCCATGTGTGCTGCTACCCATTTGCTGGTTTCTGGTCTGCATGCGAGCTCCCTCTTGCATAGAGCCTGGCAAGGCCTCGCTGGAATTCAAGGAAGGAGGTGCCGAGCCACCATCAGAGCTGCTGCGCTCCATAGTACCGCTTGCGCCAAGTGTGGGCCAATTCTGCCGAGGGTCATTTGCGCCCGACTGAAAACGCTGCTGCCGCGCTGGTGCTGATATCAAAGCCTCTGCCATCGCCGTGAGCTCCTTTGCATTGGGCGAGATGTAGTCCATCATGTGCAGAGCTAAAGTGGCGCGCACGGCCTTTGCTGCCGACACCGGTTCGTACCAAATAGGAACGACCTTTTCCGACGCCAGCTGTGCCGCATCCTGCACCAAAATGGGATTGTTATTATTTTGTTGTTGTATTGTTGTTAGCATTGAATATATTTTTCCAGTCCTGAAAAAAAGCAGATGGAGCATATTATAAAGTGCAGCAGCTTGTGCAGAGATTATTATCAACTGGATTAAAGGTGGAAGGAACCATCCATGGCAGACGCCCTTCAAGACCAGCCCTCATGATAAAAAGCCACTCATCCCTTCCAGCATGCAAAGTGCCGCCAGGAGACAAGCCAAATGAGTAGGAGCACATGGCATTCAATTGAATTGCTGCACAAGCAGGTGCAATTGATTGAGCTAATTGGACGAGTGAGGCGATGGGTGAAAAGGGGCCGGGCATACCAAGAGCGCATCGGGTGACAGATTGCCGTCAAGCATGACGAGAGGGGCTGACTGAATATCCGCTGTGTGCTGACGCAGCACTGCTGGCAGGCGCTCCTCCAGCGCGCCCACATCAGCCACGCTGGCGGCCACCTCACCGCCTGTCATCGCCAGGTCACCAAATCACGACCAAATTTGCACATATGCTTTGAGCCTTACTGCACACTGCAAGAGACACCACTGTTCTGTCACATAGACACGAGACTGTCTATGAACGTATAAAGACATCTGATTTCCATCGTAGATGGGTACGAGACACACCTCTGTCAAAGATGATGCTGACTGAGGGGGTGGTAGCCCCTGGCACTCTGTGGATGGCATGCGTCGGGAGGCCCAGTGACTGCAGGTGACTCAGCAGCATGTCACCCGCTTGGTCTTGCCCCAGCACGCTCACCAGCAGAGGCTTCAATCGAGCCCTGTATTTGCAAAAATATTGTCACTCCCTGTCAAGACTGACCCTGTAGCATTCTGTTGTCAGGCATGCATGCGCCTCTCCATGACGGCAGCTCAGAATGAATCAATGAAGGTTCTCAGGCAGGCAGGCAGGCAGGCCTTTTTTAATACTGACCTGGCTGATGCTGGCAGAGGGTCAGAGTTGCACAGCCGTGCAAGGCACTCGCAGATGTTGCGCGCCACACCCCCTGGAGTCTGCTGGACCTTTCCAGGTACAGAGCCACCACGATAGACGTCAGCATTGGTGCTGGGTTTTGCCTGCGAGGAAATGGTAGCATCAGAAGATCCATGACATCAAATCCTCGGATCAAGTCCTCCTTGGCTTTTCAACAAAGCAAGCAAGCAAGGATGTAGAGAGATATACGATACAATTGACGTTGCAAGCAATGATCACGGACCTGTACGTCCATCACCATGCCGCCGATTAGGACAGGATTGCCTTTTTCTGGCAGATGTGAGGAGGTTACTGAAGCCACAACCTCTGCGTTTGAATCTTTGTCGACACCTCGTAACTGACACAGATGATTCGAAAGAATTTGAAGTCGCTCCATCTAGGTATCGAGGCGACTGCGTAAACAATTACAAGCCGCATCGAATTACCACATCCCCACAAATGCACTGCAAATAAAAAGCTTCAATTTGCTATCGTACAATTATTGCAGTTGGCGAGGCACTTGAGTTGAAGCCCCGGATGTATCATTCGGTTGTCCCCTCCACATCTGTCTACAAACTGACTCCAAGAAAAAGTGGATGGTAGCCAAAATTGGCCTGCAGGCAGCTACAAGCACTGCGGCACTTAAGCCATCCTGGAACAAGGACTCTGGGCACACGTCTCTAAGAATTGATGCACTGAACACAACAGCAGCAGCCATTTAATGTGCAGTGGCAATTAGAACCCCCACACACCTAAACCCTGGCGCTGGCATCATGATAGCACGGCTGGCAAAGCATGGCTCCTGCCATGCAGATCACATCAGCTTGTAATTCGTGGCCGGGAACGGGCTGCAGCTGTTCAAGCTGCGCTTCAGGTAGTCCAGATCGTGTTTCTGCTCTATGGGCTTGCCTGCCGGGCCTGCCGGGTCGCTGATGACACGCGTCAAAATCTTGTTCACAAAGGCGGGGTAAGTGACCTCGCCCATCTTTCCGCCCCAGCTCAGGTCCACAAACATTATCTGCTCAGCTACCGGGCGCAATGCGGTGCGGCCAGACAGCTGACTCTGTCCGCACCTTGCATGCAAGATTGCTTGGCAGCAAAAGGGCTAGAAGGCGGTGAATCGGCTTGCAAGCATGCTCTCTATCACTGCCCACATAGCCTGACTAGGATCTCAGCAAAGGCATGGCAGTTAGCAGATGTGTTAGCAGGCAGTCAGCAGGTACGTGTCATGAGCTGTCTTGTTTTCTGCCTATATGATCACCTTTTGTCTCCCTGGCTTTGAAATCTCAATCAACACGAAATGCACTTGGGTCTATGATGATGCAGGCTGCACCTGTGGTCGGCTATGCAGACTATGGCATTCAAGGGCCATGTGAGTGCCCATACCAGCAACCCCTTCATGGCCAAGTCACCCTCATCGTCAACAGTCTCCATAAGCCAAACCGATGCGAATCACACCAAGGTCTGCCGCATCAAGCCGCCTGGATGGCCGCATGTTGCCATGCCTTGCCACCGCATGCTCAGAATGCGTGCTGGCCAGCCCCGGCATGGCCGCCACATGCGCTGCTGGCGAGCCTCACAAGCTGAATGGGCAAGGTGCCCAGCTGCACGCGAAGCTGCTCTGGGCTGCGAGGGGCGCGCAACAGACTGCATTGCAGGCCGAGTGACCCGGACTTGGCCCTGAGGCACGCTGAGCTGAATCACCTTCACCACGTCTGGCTCGTCCACGTACTGCAGCAGGACGCGTCCCAGCTCCAGCTCCAGCAGCACGTTGACAAAGACCACCTGTTGAGCACCACATGCCTCAGCAGTCCACCTAATTGCAAGCCCAATTGGTTGTCATGATGTCATCAAAGCAAGTTGCCTTGCATATGGAAGTATGACAGCCACAGATGCGACGACAAGCAGCCAAAGCAGACAAGGCCATGTGATGATTTCCACTGCCAGACCTGGGCATTTCCGGTAGTGATAATCGAGGTGCACATGGCTGGTATTTCTTGCATTGGGAAAGCAAGGTGCATCAGAAAGCTTTGCACACCTTGTCAAAGCGCTCTTTTGGCCAGGTCGCAAAACTCCCCATCGCATCCTTTAGCTCTGCCTGAGTCTGCGCCTCAACAGGCGGCAAAGCATTCTTGGGCGGCCGCTTGGGGCGCTGCAGGTTCACAGCAAACACCTGATAGTTGTGCTGGTCGCGGTATTTGACACCGCGCTGGACGTGCTCCATGAGATCCGCAGCTGAGGCTGCGGAGCTGAGCTCATAGCTGGTGCTGTACTGACCATTGCCAACATACAAATGCAGCCGCCTGCACCTATCAGCCTCTGTTGCACCTGCATACTGGCTGGCGCTGCTGCCCCGCGACACACTTGGCAGGCCAGTGTTGCGAGCTGACTCCGCTATGCCAGCACCCATGCTGTTCTGGCTCTCAGCCGGCGCGCCGTCAATCATGCTGCTGCTGCTGGCTGCTGGGGCGTGGTATGCTGTGTTGCGTACCTCCACTGCCATCTTCAGATCCTTGAACTCCAGGGTGGTGAACAACACAGCGCTGCGAAGGACGAGGTGCAGGCCCCGGCTGAGCTCATGCTGCAATGCCCACTCCAGCACTTGCTGGCCATCAGATGTTCGGACGTTCTCTTGCAGTAGCCTGCTGCTCTGGAACTGGCCCAAAGCATTCTCCAAAAGGTACTCCCCCAATACCCTACCCACAAATGCTGCGATGAGAAAATGCAAACTCCCACCGGTGCAACATTTCAGCCTTGCTTCAAAGCTCAAAGCCAAAAGTCGGGCAGCCAGGGGCATGGATGATCAACTGTGAAAGCAGCCATTTATTGGCCACATGTAGAATGATGAATGCGCCCACAAGAGATGGCAAATGTACCGGGCGGTGGACTCTGCCGGCGGCGCCGGTAGCTGTGGCAAATCTTGAACTAAATCGAGGGCGGCGTTTAGCATAGCCGCAGCCAGCATGGGGGAGGACGCCTCGAGGTAGTGACCTCCCGCCACACCCGCGAGGCGGACAACCCCGTCGCACAGCAGTTCATATTCGGCGTTGCAGAGGCTGTCAGGACTAGGCACTGCATGGCGCCCTGCAAGCCAACATCTGAGATTGACCTAGGGGACACTGCCAATTTCAGATGCCAGGACGGCTAGGTGGCACGTGCCATGAACGGGAGCTAGAGTGCAGCGAGGATTCCCTCCAGTGCACACAAGTGATGTGCTATAGTTGAAAATCTACACCTAAGATTGGACATGAACACACTAGAAAGGACAGCAAGCTATGACCCAAATGCGTGCAAAGCCCTTCTTTGATATCTCTTGCCTCCCGGCCTGTGCGCTAATGCTGCAATAGCTTGCAGGGCTCACCAATTAACATAAGGTTCTCGATGATCGCCTGCATGGTCGGATCAGAGGTGTCCACAGCGCTCATCATGCGGTCGTATGCCGTCGTAGTACCTCTTGTCAGGAGCTTGACCAGAATGTGATGCAGAGACTTCTCCCACTCTGAGAGCTTGCAGATAGACATGGTGCTGAAGAACTCGTCGTCCAGCTGCAGTAACAAAGATGGAGCGAGTGACATTGTGAGTCCACAAGCAGCATGGCAGATCTCTTGAACAACTCTTGTCGCAACGCCCAGTAGGTCCTCATTGGCGCCCCATTCAACGGCCCTCACAGAAAGCACACTTCCTTCAAGTGCTTAACAACAAGCAATATGCACCGCCCTGCGCATGACTAGGGCGGCAGAAGCAGCCGCTCTTGCTGGGTCTCGCAACTATCTGGCCCCACCAGCAGGACATACCTCTCCCAGACAAATCCCCGTGAGGCCCTTACAGCCCTCTGTGTGGCTCCACAGCAAGAACGCCCAGTCCTCAATGGAGTCACTGAGGCGCCTGTTGCGTGCGGCAACTATCTGGCGGAAGAGCTCACCGACCTCGGTGGGCGAGAAGCGAGAAGGGGACTGTTGCGCACCCTGCAGTGCATGCGCCCACCTGGTAAGCCCTGCCATTTGCTGACCTGGCTCGCATGAAGTCAGTGCAAAGCGGTGATACAGATTCGCATTTTGGCACTAAAATGAGGCATCGGTGCTATACGAGTCTTGGGAGGCCGAGGCACACCAAAGAGGTCGTTCAGTGGAAGGGCAAGGGTTGAGACCAGCATCAGGCACTAGGGTCCCCACCACTATGAGCTTGGGCCATGCGATGCCGTCATGGGCACTGGGGATGGCCTCGTCCATGCGCAGCGTGCCCACCAGCATTTGGCCACACAGCCTACCACAAAAAACACGACACACCTCCAGAATTGACAATCTTTGCAAAAACACATTGCGGATAGCAAGTAAATCATGCTGCGCTGAGAAATGTCAAGCGCATGCTGGGCAGGCAGATTATCGCGCATGCAAAACCTTACCTGCTGTCTGGAAAACGTTCTTGCGACAATGAACGCACGCCCAAAAGCCAGCGACTGAAGACGACGGGCAGCTGGTGCAGAGTATCACACTCATCAAACACCACTGCCACTCGTGGGCCCTTGGGACGCTTCAAAAATGTCCTGAAGCTCCGGTAGCTTGACTTGCCAGGCATCCGGGCAATGCCAAATTCCTCCAGCACCTCCCTCCAGATTGGTTCCGCATCTGTGACCGCCTCGTCAAAAGCACTCGCTGCCGCAACACTGAGATCCACGTATGCGACCTGCGCAAGCAGCCCATTAAGCAGCCTCCAGCATGCTTGACAGGGAAACAGGCACCTCAGCAGCTCAGGAATGAGATGCATACGCACCTTGCTGCCATGTGATGCAGACATTATGCTGCCACAGCAGGACATGAAAGCAGGACATGAGAGCAGACATGAGAAAAAGCCAGCATGTGCTGTACCTGGATGCTGAATTTGCGCAGCCGACGGCATACTGCCAATGCATCTGTGGTCTTCCCACTTTGACGAGGACCTCTGTAAAGCATGACCAAGCCTGTGGCCATGTCATTGGCCAGGCTGTCCACCATGGCACTCTCCACATAGAAGTTGCTGTCTGGCTTGGTGGCACCAATTGCCACAAGACGCCTCCCTTCACATGCATCACACCACAAGTTTACTGATCCAACCACCTTGTGCCGGATTGAGCACAACCCATTCCCAGACACGGCGTAGTTGGTCAACTGTGCATGCTTGATGAGACCACAGTGGGCAACAATTGCACAATGCACCCACTAGCAATGATTGCAGACATGAATGCTATACAATCAGACACTAAGTCACATCAAACATGCCTGTTCCATCCTTTGCTCGCATCCAACACAAGCAGCCGCACCTAGGGGGCGATGATCTTTGCCGATGGACGCCTGATTTTCTACGACCCTCCTGCCTGCAAGCCCCAAGAAATCTCAATCACCTATGGCAACCTGTTGCATAGACCCGTAGTGTGCGTGCCAGACTGCATCAAAGCCCCAGCGGGTGCTGTGATCACAGCAGAGAGGAGACCAATGCAGGCAAGGCGCATGTGACTGGACAGAGGTGCAGAGGCACACCGCAGCCCAGCCCTCACAAAGCATGACGGGTTTGCCCTAACATTTGGCAGCACTTTAAAGCAGATCTGAGAGCCGGTCATTGCACCAGTCATCATCTGGGAGCGACCAGCAAGGGCCTCACCTGCTGGGGTAATCAGCTGCGTCTGCAAGGCCATCCGCTCCTGGCGCAAATCCTTCTCCAATGCGACTAGCCGAGCCCACTCCTCCTTGTAGCTGTCTATGAGCTTCTGGGGCTTCTCGTCCGTTCTGGCCACTTCGATCTTTGCCTCCTGCTTCTCAATTTTCTGCTCAATACGCTGCACCTCCGACCAAAGCCTGTCTATCTGCTGCTGCGCCATCTGCACAGCATTCCAGTACATCCTTTGGCACACTGCGCAGTTTGCTGTCACTTCAAAGTGGTCGGCGCAGGTTGCTTACACTCTCTTGTTATGACCAAATAGACTCGCCTCCGAAGCACCATGCACTAATGCAAAGATGAGGTGGTTGCATTGGAATCGTTCAAGACAGGGCAACTGGTGTGCAGCACACAATCAGGAGCACAGTACCTGTGTAATTTCTTGAAAGGAACTCCTTGCCACGGCTTCAATTAGGAACAGCCTGCGAAAGGAGGAGAGTTTGTGAAGCTGACAAGTGGAGAGGGAACACACACTTCTCATCGACATTGATGTGAGAGTATAAGCTGAGGCTCTTCACCTTAGCTTGAACATCCCTGCTGCAAAACAAGGCTTTGAAAGTTATACACATAGGCAAAGATGCAGACTAGATGAAGAAAGCTCCGCAGCTCACTCTTCTTGTGGACCAGCCAATCAATCTCCTTGTCAATAGCAGCAATGAGTTCAGGCGGCTCCTTAACCCTTGCTGCTTCTCGGCGCTCTTGCTCGTTCGCTTCGATACTCTCCTCTACATGCTTCAGGTCTGCTTTGGCCCCATCCATTTGCACCTGAGCCAGCAATACAGCATCCCAGTGATTCAGCTAGCACAATACACTGACTTTTTAACATTGGCCAGCGCAGTGTTGCTCTCAGCATGATGAAAAAGAGTTTCCTCCCTTGTGTTTCAAAGAGAAGGAGTCGTTTCATCTGTAAAGCTCTTGAACCCTTCATGACATGGCAATTCATCGGACTTCAGTAGTGTTAGGCACAAGCGAATGGTGTGTAGCAACAATCAGGAGAACTACCTGTTAGAGCTCTCGAGCATAGCTCCTTACATTAGCTTCAGTGCGTGAACCTGTCAACAGCCTCTGAAAAAGAGCACGACTTTGTGAAAATGTTTAATATTGAGAGGAAGCATACGAATCGGATCTATGTTGAGACGAAGATGCAGGACAGTAAATCGTGCAAATTAGAGCTTTAGAGACAGTACCTGAGCTCATCTGATCTGCCACGACTTAAACCAGGCGAATTCCGAAGATCAACTCCTATCCTTCTCGGAATCTAAGGAGACCGAGGGCAAAGAACATGCTCCTAGAACAGACAGGACAATTTCTGTAGAGCAGAAATTTCTGCCAGTTACGGGAATATCAAGAAAAGCAGGCATTGCCCATGTCGGCATTGCCTGAGGCAGCTGCGGCATTTGACTGTGCAGCTTCCCACGTGTCCCACCACGTGCGAACGACCAGGGCAAACCAGCTGAGGGCACAACGCCTGCCTTTGCATCTCCTTGCACCCTTTGCAAAGGTCAGAGATGATTCGCAATAATTCTTACTCCATTCATATCTTGGCGATCGTGCAAGCAATATCTAGAGTTTTATCGAGCCGTTACAATCCCACCCACCCATCGTTGCTCTATTATATCAGTTTCAGTAACGATCCACACTGAACTGAAGCAAGTGAGGTTGTATTCATTTCATCGTGGGATGCGCATTTTTCTGCAGCTTCATTCCAAGAAATGCCTGGATTAGAGCCAAAATAGGCCTGCTGGCAGCTTCCACAACTTTCCTACCTGCCTCCCAATCCCATCCTTCCCTCGAAGAAAAGGAAGGTGCACTTAGACACAATCTGGATGCAGTCTTCATGACCTACACCATTCATTCGTGTGGGTGTTCCATGCTTGGTCTATTGTACCAGCAATACTGGCTACAGGCTCGAGCCTGTCAAGAAGTTCCACTGGATCCTTTTCACTGCTATACGTTATGGGTATGCCTCATCAAAGTATCAACATCAACTCTTGTCAAATAAAAGACGCCTACAAACAGCATACAAGCAAGTTTCATTGCTGCACAGCTTGCATGCAAGTGCCCAAGCACATCACCTTCCCCCCTCAAGTCACACAAAATCATCTGGTCAAAACAGCTCAAGAATGGTCGCAGACTGATTGAAATATTGTGCAAACAAAAAACCACAATACCCCATTTTCATCCTAGGCTGACAATCATCTCCAGGACATCAACAATTAAAATAAGTATGCAGACTAACACTTTCTGCTGCTCTGGTTACAACGAAACGCTCCATCTCACACCTCATGACTCCTCACCAATAGCGCAGGATGCTCAGCCACCACACCTACCCAAAGAAGAAAGGGAAGAAAGGAGCCGTCACGGGCCTTGGAGAAGGAGACGGCTGAATAACTGGAGCCGACTGGACAATTGGAGACGGCGGCGGCACAGCCGGCGTCGGCGGGGGTGAATATGGGGGCGGAGAGGGTGAGATGGGGGGCGGCGGTGGTGAATTGGGGGGACTCTGGGGCGGGGGCGGCTGCGCCTGGGGTGCATTCAGGCGAATTGGAGGCGATTGACCCTGCGAGCCACACCCTCTTCAGGCAAAATTGTCACTATTTCGCTACACTTAATAGACACTGTTCCTGCCAGGAGGCGAGGTGCGTCTGCAGACAAGCTGCAGGCAAAGAATACCACATGTCCTACATCTTGTTAGACTTGCAAGCCCCGGTCACCCCTGGGCTCGGCGCTCAGTATTTACCCTCCCTTCCCGCCAGCCGGGGCTTTATGCACATTGGTGGTAAATACATCTAGAATGCTGCTGTTCTGGACGCAGCAGAGGCACTCCTAGTGGGTGGTGGGTGGGGAAGCAGAAGTGGCTGCGCAAAATAAGGCAGGGGCTGACCTGCAGCCACTGCCCTGCAGCCAGGTGCTTTCCAGGAATCAGGTGCCATTGTTATTGCCCTGCACGTGGCAAGGGCAGCAGGTGCCTGAATCAAGCACTAGTGCGACATGAGATGCAAGAGAGTCAGCAACATTGGAGGCTGCAGCTGCAGCAAATCTGACCAGTAGGACTCACCTGAACAAAGAGGATTATTGGTGAAGAGTTTGGCCCTGCTGCCGCCGCCGCTTGCAGTGCTGCCGAGACATCTACCGGTCCTTCTGGTGTCTGCACAATGGCCTGTAATCGCACAACATGTCCCATCATACGCATGCTCAAGCTCTTTGACTGGTTCCTTTTCTGCTCAAGACCCTTGGCTGCTACCCAGCCACCTAAATTTTAATCGAATGATGGAGACATCTACGTGTGTGCATCTACTAATTAAATCTGGTGAACTTGGGCCAAACATTACATTCATGCAGCACTTATTAGGCCAGAAGCGAGCAAACACGCAAGGCAGAATTTTGGTTTGCACAGCGAGAGAGGGGGACTTGCCGCATTGGGTGCGACAGCAGGCGGGGCCACACTTGTGGTGAGCACAGTCACCGGCGGTGGTGGAGGTGGGCTGACTGGAGTGGGGGAGGCCACAGCCTGACCCTGCAGCGGGCTGGGACTGGGCAGCGGCGGAGAGGGCACAGGCACAGGACTGGCCGCAGCAGCCGGCGGGGGGCTCGGGCTTACGGGGGGTGGCGGTGGCGGCGGGGAGGCCGCCGGGGGGACCGGGCTGGGGGACCGCGCCTGAACAGGCGCCGGCCGTGGGCTTGTTGGGGGTGGCGGTGGCGGTGGCGGTGGGGAGGCCAACGGTGGGGGACTAGGGGACCGCGCCACAAAAGGCGGGGGACTGGGAGATTTCTGCACAACAGGCGGTGGGCTCGGGCTTCTGGGCGGTGGTGGGGAGGCCGCGGGTGGGGGACTTGGGGACTTTGGCACGAAGGGCGGGGGGCTTGGGCTACCGGGCGGTGAAGGCGGTGGGCTGTGGGGGGGAGGCGCCAGCGGTGGAGGTGGCGGCGGGGGGGGAGGTGCCTGTATACAAGTCCGCATTGGCTTACATGATTGTGTTAGGCTTCAGATGCACTGACATGTTAGATAGGAGCAGGCGCCATCCGTAGAACGAGGGCTGCCTTGCAAGGACGCACTTCATTACATTCAGCCGCTGGAATGTCAGGCCAAGGCCGGATTAGAATCTGTCACCTTTACCGGTGGCGGTGCTGTTACAGGCGGCGCTGATGCAGGTCCTCTCAAGAACTGCACAGCACAACCTGCTCAGTACCGACAACACAGCAGTGGCCAATTAGTCGACACAACAAAGGGGACGTATCAACACTTACTAAGGATCAGGTCACCTGGTCTGCGGTGCTGGCGAGCTGAGTCGCCGGCGGGGGTGGACTAGGGGGTGGCTGTTTTGGGGGTGGAGTAGGGGGTGGCGGGGATGGGGGTGGATTAGGGGGTGGCGAGCTGGGACTCTGCGTGGTGATGAGCGGACTGCTCGGTGATGAAATCACTGCAAACACAGAACCTCAAGTATCTTGGTAACTGACACGTTCACCTCCACAAATGTTAGCAATCCGAGTGCGCATGCATTGTCTTGCGACGGTGATAAGACAGGATTGGGAAGATCATCGCACATGGGCAACTTCCTTTTGAAGGCCCGATGCGTTCTGTGGGTGATCTGTTCCCAGCAGTTCCCAGCATGTCGCTGGGGACAGGACTTTGACCAATGCAGCCTCAGGACAAGTCTGTGTTTGTCAGTGCTTGTGAAGAGCATGTCTCGGCAAGTGTGTATGCTGCCGTCAGAGCTGGGCTTGGGTGTGAAGGGGGTTTCCATGGATTAGTCAGGGAGCAGCTGAGGAGTTATGCCTCCCACCTGGCGCAGGACTTGGGGCTATGGGCTCAGTCAGAGCTGCCTCGAGAGAGGCGGCAGGGACTTGAGTCACCGGTACAAGTCCTTGCAGGATTGTCCTTCTCTGTGAGGCCTTGCCATCCAGGAATCCACTGAATCCACCCAACAATGACCGCCTAACCCCGCATGCAGAGTCCTAGTCAGTACTGTGTGAATCTGTGCGCTGAATGCCTCTCATTAGTAAACAAGAGCAGGGCAAATACCCATTATACACTTACACGCATACAGGCAAACAACATGCAGGGCACTACTTGCTTCTATATTGCACCGGACCCTCTTGAAATTTTAAGGCGCGCATCAGACAACCAGCCACCAACTATGAGCAGACACCAAATCTCCATCTGCTGCTGCAATGCACACTCCCCACCCCAACACTGCTCTGCAGATCTATGTACACATGAATAGTCTTGTAGCACTGTATCCTTGCTCGCTGACATGGTATCAACCAGGTGCTACGGGGCTGTTCTGCCTTCTCGCAGTGTCCACACAAAGACACTCTAAGTCGTGGGTGGTCCAATTATCTTCTGCAGAGTTGCTTCCGGCTGACTGAACAAGCAGTACCTGTATTTGAGGTGTCTCCACACAACTATAAGCAGATGCACAGGCATCACAAGTGAGCTGGGAATAGCATGAGATATCTACACTCTGCCCACTTAAGTTACATCAGGACTCCAGCTGCAAGCAATGCTCTCCGCATGCAGTAATATATAGGGCAGGCTTGCATGGAGCAGTCTTCCTTCCTCGCATACACTACTCATCAACAGAAGCATACAGCCAGCCGGCTAGCAACTTCCCCTTCAAGAGAGAGGAGACTGCTTCAATACAAAGGGATGTCTGTACGATGCTGCACCCTAATATGAATGTCCTGCTGATCTAAGCTACTCATCAGTGACGTCAGTGACTCCTACTTTCTGTATACTAGACTATATATATCCCTCCTGATTCATAACCTTAGAGTCTGCGTGCCTGATAGCTGCAAGTCCATTGCACATCAGCAAAGGGGCCCAACCGCTCAGAGCACCACAGATCACCCAACAAAGCTGCATACAGTGCTGTTATTTCAATATCCATACATGGGCGCACAGTATTGAACCCTTAAGAACGCTTTTCTCACCAATACTCCTCCAAATATCATGATGTGTGCTGGGATGTCGATACATTATGTGCCACTTCTGCATTCCTCTCTGCCTCTCATGGGCAGCAGTGTTCTGTCTGGGGCTAGGGTTGCCCCAGACCCTCAGATATTTCCCCAGCGTCGGCCGAGTTTTTCACCTTCGGCTGGACGGCGGCGGTGGCGGCGGCGGTGGTGGCGGCGGCGGAGGGGGCGGCGGCGGTGGCGGGGGGGCCGGGGCAGTGGGGGGTCCCGAGGCGGCCAACACAACGGGCGCCAGCTGTGGGCTGGGCACGATTTCTGAGAGGAATAACAAGAGGATAATGTGTTCAGCAAATGAGAATTCTACGAGGAAATTATGTATTCAGCAAGTGAGTCACCTATGTTGAACTCAGCAGATTACCTGACAGGTTGAGTGAGGTTGAAATTGCTCAGTGCAAGGCAGCAGTTCAAAGCCGGTATCATGAACTGCATGCTGCCGGCGTTGCCTTTCAGAGCAGCAACATCCTCTAGCATGAACTTATCTATCTTGTTTAACTCAAAGAGCGGCATCCTACCACACAGAACCGGCCATGTCAACAATATTGTCCCCAATCAGAGTAGCAAAAAGGACCTCGCACTGGCTGCATTGCGAAACAGTTGATATCAAGTCTCCTTCACTTGCAGCACTGTGCATGTCACACCTGGCAGGGGCAGGGGCTCTGCGGGGATGGGCAGCCCAGGCTCGATTGGCGCGGGCACCGGTGCCGGCAGCGGCGCAGGCAGGAGCTCAGGGGTGGGGATGGGCGCCGGGGCAAAGGCCACGGCCGGCAGAATGGGCTCCACCGCAGCTGCATGCGCACCATGCATACTCGTCATTGCCACAAGCTTAGTTAGGCTGGATCTCTTGGAGTTACATCTGACAGAGACAAGATGCAAGCAGAAGCCGAGCAGGCAGTGGCCGCACAGACAGCGGTCATCTGAAAGCGGTCTCAGCAGGCGCTGACGGTTGAAACGGCGTGGATAACAAAACCCATGCCTCTTGCCCCAAGTCATGTGACCTTTCCAAGCAAGGACCCGGGGGGACACTGACAGACAGGCTGCCAACTTCAACAACCTCTGCGAGAGACAGGGCCGTACTGAAATGCGATAATGTTTTTGTCTGCGGCGCTTGCATGTCAGGCTGCATGCACCAAGCACAGCACCACGGTGCAGCAGGTTGTCATGCTCATATGCACCTTTTCAACGAAAATTGTGCAGCAGCCAGAGCTGCTCTAGAATTAGAGCCAGCGCTGTGCCTCACCTGGCGCGATGAAGACTGGGGTTGTGATGATGGGGATGGTGCCCAGGGTGATGGGTGGGGCCTCAGGCAGGGGCGCTCCAGCAGGGGCTGGGATCGGGGCAAAATCTGCAGCAAGCAAAAATGTCTGATATTAGCCTGAGTGAAATAAGAATTGACATCACATCAACAAGAATCACCATGTACTACCAATTCCATATTAAATGGTGCACAAGGCACGGATGCCATGCTGCTGAGCCTGTGACCATCTGCTGCCTGGCACTTACAAAGGGAGTTGGAAGGAGATGCTTTCGTACTTTGTCGATTTTTTTAACTGCTTTGTTTTATTGAGATACATCAAGCCTGACCGAGTGAGCCTTGACAGAAAGCAGCTGTTCCGCACAGCTCAAAGCCACAAGTCAAGCTCGATGAGTAGCAGAGCTCTTGCTCAAAACATGAGACATCCTGACTGGTACAAGGGAGTGCTCATGAAGATCCCTGTAAGGATCTATTAGCGTCACCTTGCATCAGGCGCCGGTTAAGCTTGGCAGCCTGGTTCATCTGATGTGCGTCGGCCTGTGCAAGGAGCAAGAGAGCCGCAAGCATCAAGTGCAGCGACATCCAAGGCAGATGTACGGGCGAGCGCCGAGCAGCGGCCATTCCAGAGTGGTACGCTGTCATCTGGAACCAGCCTTCTTCTTTGAGCCGGGCAGCTGGGTCAGATTGGCACAATTCGTGCCTCGCATGCGCCCAGACCACCAAAAGAGGTCTGCGAGACTGATGAAAAGACTTTGAAGGTGATCGGGAGTGGAGGATCTGGCTAAGGACAGATGCCAAGGTGTCCCTCCCTCGTACTCCAAGGTTGGTAAAATCGGTCCTCCCTGGCGGGGGGCACTCTCGGCCCATGCACCCTGCCAGAATGCAGGCAGCACGCAAAATTTAATGTGTCTCAATCGCAACCAAGTAGGACTTTCTAAAACCTCAGCACATACTCTGGAATATCAGTTGATTTTGGATTTGTGTGCGACTGGCGCAGTACAGGACAAGTTTGGAAGATAAACGAACGACAAACATTTAAACGCCTGAAACTCCAGTTTCTTTCTTCTTTCCTGCCAGCACTCCTCGAGACCTGTTCGCAAGGAGGGTGCAGGGCTAAAGTAGACTTCGTGAATTGGCAAAAATTCGACAGGCGCAAGGTACGGTTCCTTTGAGCACTACCAGCATCGCTGCCTAAAATGTGACGGACGTTACCTTAGCTTAAAGCAAGATATCTTATGATTGCGAACCTGTGCCGTGTCCTGTGTTTGGCTCGGATCTGCTCTGCCCTGTAGGCCGCACTTCCAGGACTTCATCTTTTCCTCCGCAGGCCCTTGCCTCGACCTACTCACCTCCAAATGTCAGCTCACCGGGCAGACAGCTTGCTAAGGGCGGTGAAGGACCCCGCAACACAGGCAGACGCCATGGCACGCATCTTGAACCTGGCACGCGCGTACCGAGACTGGCGTGGCGACGAGTGGCGTGGCGAGCCATACGCAGCAGCTGCCAGCCTGACACTCCTGGCCAAATGACCCTGCCTGGAGCCCCACATGAAGAAACTTGAGAAGATCTTTCCGCTCTTCCTCCCCAAACCCCGCCCACCGGCCACACTGCGCGCTGCAAACATGCCTGAGGACGCCCTCTTGGCCATCCTGACACAGTGCATGGAAGAACGGGCCGAGGCTCTGCATTGATTGCGCCCTGGTGGCGACAAGCAAGGCTTGTATTTACATGTCTACGCGCTGCTGAAGCCCCTCTTGAGGGCCGCCGGGGGCAGCTTGGTCCTCAATTGACAGGGCAGGGCTGCCGAACGAGTTGGATGCAGTCACTGCCGCCACGGGCGCAGAAGCCACAGCCGCAGACCTCGCAGACCTCGCTGCGGTTGAAGGGCTGTTTGAGAGAGTTTTGGGCTCTGCGGATAAGGGTGCTGAGAGCGGGTCCGACACAGAATGCAGCGCTGCAGAAGGAGCACGGCAGGAGGCGGAAGGTGAGCGACAAAATGTAACCAGAAGGATCAAACAGGGCTCAAGCAAAGTGCAAGTCTTGAGACCCGCAGATATGCTCTGAATATAACGTCATAGCTCACTACGTGTGTAAGAAATGCATGTTATGGCTAATGAACCAATCCATCGGCCTACAGCACGAAGACGTGGCACTAAATGAGGTCATTTACAGGCGTGCCCGGATTCTACATGTACGACCCGCGCGCTGCTTAGGCTGCTGTTCACAATGTTTGAGTGCGACCTGAGCGGCGCGCACTTGGGCGGCCACGTGGACATGATGCTGAGGGATGGCGCTCCGCGGCGGCTGACGGCTGTCGTGCACATCATCGCCTATGAAAATATGGCGATTGGTATCTACCAGCTGCTTTAGCAGGTAAAGTTGTGAAACCATCATCAAAGGCCTCTACCAGCTGGTGGCGGAGGTAAGTCTGTCTGACAGGCCATCTCTAGGGGCAGTGCATGTTGTGCATTCACATATGGGTTGAAAGGGCGCCCTACGAGCGACTTTGAAGTGTGCTTGCGCAGGCATGATGTGGCTTTGTTGCATTGAGCCATGGGTTGCCAACCTCTGCCTGATGATTTGACCCTCGCATTGCAGATGATGACAGCCATCGAGAGCAACCGCAGCAAGGCAGGTCCAGAAGAGACCAAGGACTGCGCAACCGTTGTGGGAGTTCTGACATCCTACACGTCCTTCTTGTTCGTGCGCCTGACAGCCATTGTAGACCAGAGAGAACCCTCGTTCATTGTGGGATCATCGGTTTGTGGGAACGGCAGTTGCACATAAATGGCGCACGTATATTTACAGCAGTCCCCTTCTTCATGCAGCCGATGCTTCTACAAGCTGCCGCCCAATAAGGGCACGGCCTCAGACAAGATCGCGCTCATCCGCGCGCGGCACGGCCCTGATGGGAAGGAGGGGGTCGGCATCGGACCCCCCGCCGCCGCCGCCGCCGCCGCCGGAGCGGCCGGGGGGACCCCCGAACACCGGCTGCATGTAGGCGGCGTCGAAGGTGGTCCACCAGCGGTTGATGCGGCCGGCCGGGCGATGGCCGGAGCTCGTGCGCTCGTCCAATCCGGTCCACCCAAACGCAGCCGACGGCGTTGACTCCCCGGGGCCATTGTCCGGGTGCTGCTGCGCGTCCGCGCTGCCCTGTGCCGCCTGCCAGCCAAAGGGGGTCTGCGCCGCCCTGCAGGGGAATTTATCATTGGTATCACACGCTGTTGCTGGCAGAGGCAAGGGGCGTCTGCAGACAAGCGGCAGGGGAGATGTACGAAGGACTTTGTAAGTGTCATTTGCTGGCAGCATGCAAGATTAAATTGAAATGCAGATTGGTTGCTTTCGAGGCCTGTCAGCTTCATGAGGGAAGCTGCTCTCTTGTAGTGCGGAAGTCCAGCATGCTGCAAGACATTCAGCCTAAACTTTGAAGCCTCACCAGTATAATGCATCATCGTGCCCACTTTATGAGACAGGAGGCTGATATGCAAGGAACATATTTGCCCTCTCCGTCGGCAGGAACACATCCACACCTGCCAGTCTGTGAGGCAGGGCCGCCGCGGGAGCTAGAGTTGGCGCGGGCCCTGCTGACAGGAGTGCTGCTGCCGCTAGAGGCGCCATTGGGCGCGCCCTTCCACTCCGCTGCATCCCCCAGCAGCGCGGCCGTTGGCGGCTGCGGCGGCTGCCGTGGCACCTCCCCGCTTCCCTGCCACCTTGGCGGCCCCTGCAGCCGATGGGACTGCTCAGCCGAGTTTCCAGCCATGTCAGCACTGCATGCCGGCAGGAATGCTGAGCACTTTGGCGGCCCCTGCAGCCGATGGAACTGCTCAGCCGAGTTTCCAGCCATGTCAGCACTGCATGCATTCCTGCTGAGCACTTTGGTGGCCCCTGCAGCCGATGTGACTGCACAGTCGGCTACCCAGCCACGTCAATACTCAGGGTGCGTGGCAAAACTTTCAAGGGTCTTTTCTTAGTACATTGGCAAAACGGCAAAAATTGTTTTGCCAGCTGTTTTGGCCTGGCAGAATCCCTAAATACAAAGGCACGAACACTTTTAGGAGAGATGGGGGCCCCTCTTGTCACCCCATTGTTTAAGAATACTGCATGAGCAGCAAATGTTAAAGGGAGGTGCTGCATCTCGTCCGCAGTCTGCATGCTTTAGGCAGCCTTGGTCTCAACAGTGCGCTATACCGTGCACTTGCTCAGTGCTAAGACGCATAGGGCTAGCTAGCACTCTTTACTACAGATTGCCAGCCTCTATACCTGATTTAGGATTGCTTGGGAGACACAAGACAGTGCAAAGGGGTGAGAAAATTCACCGTAGGCCGCTGCGGGTGGCCGTTGTGCGGCAGGGGCGGCCGGGGGCGCTGCGGACCGCCCGTGATCTGCCGCCCAAAGCTGTCAAAGCCGAAGGGGTTTGCGGACCTGCAAAAATGAGTAGATTCCCGTGTTAAATACCCGGTCTGCAACCAACCTCGTACCCTAGACCCGATCTTGATGGACAAGGAGTTTTGAAAGTGCCCACAACAACGGACACAGAGGCCTGCTCTCCAACACCATTGTGCACTCTATTGTGAGCATGCAGTCTTCAAATGAACAGGTAAGACTAAGACAGGAGCACACCTGCTGAGCCCGGCGCCATTCGCATAGCTCCCCTCCACCATTTCAATTCCCCCTGACGACCCCGCGGGCTCCCCGGCCCGCGCATGCGTGTTCGCGCCGCTGTTCTGAGACACCCTCTTGTGCCCTACCGCATCCTTCGGCCCGGCCCCCGCGTCCGGCCAGGGCGCCTTGGACGGCGTCAGCGGCGGCGGCCGGAAGTCGCTCACCCCGCCGCTGCCGCTATCCGTCCGGTGGTTCCTGCCAACGCCGCATATCCTCGTCAGATGTGCATTTGTCAGGTGGGTGCCTGCCAGACATACAACTCCCCATCTGTGCAGCGCCTTTGCAGCCCTGGGAGCCTGGCACCCCAAGGATTGAGAGCGTACTTGCCACCCAGCAAGTCTGGGACAGCCTCTCCCGGGGCCAGCAAACTGCCTACAGGGTGAGCAGCCACCTCAGCTGGCTACTCCGTTTGTCTGCTTTGATGCTTCTGCCCAGCACTGCACAGTGGCAATGCAATGCGGGAATCTTGCCACATAGTGACAAGGTGAGGGGTGTTGCAACCAGGGACGCCCATCTCAGCGAGCAAAACTTGTGTGCTGGTGCATGCAGGCTTGAGCACCAAGCTTCCCATCAGTGTGGCTCACCCTAGCCGAGATCTGGCCATTCTGGTCAGATGACTTGTATGACAAAATGCACACACAAGCAGTGGCTTTCAGGGATTGACGTGGAAAACCAGACACGCAGGGGCGACTACACGCCACGGAGATGCTCAATGTGGTCACATAGATGGGAGATAAAAAAACTCACCTGTCCAGCGGAGCAGGCTCGGGGTCCAGCCCGTCGTCCAGGGCAGCGCTGGAGGGCAGTGAGTCGTAGGAGGACGCCCACGCGCTGCGGCGCAGGCCGCTGCCCTCGACGGGGAACACCGTTTCCTGCGCCACTCCCACCGCCGCATATGCAGGGCCCCTGCACCAGACAAGGTCAAAGGGGGATTAAATGCAACCCTATTCTGGCGCCGCATAACCCCACGGTGCCCAGATGTACCAAGGGAATTGCTTGCAAACCTACATGACGCTGCACATCCACAGGTAGAAGAGGGAACCGCAGGAATTTGGGTGCGGGGTCCGACAGAGCAGGTCGGAGCATTTTGCCATGCTAGCAAGATGGCAGCATGAGTGACAGCCTGCCTAGAACACGTGCAGCAAAAAGGGCATCCCCTTTCAAAAAGCAGCATTTACAACTGACAGCAACATACATCACGTCTCTTATCAAGGCAGCAAGCCTCTGTGAACAAAACAGAAGTTTTGCCTTCCACAAGATTCTCATGTCTGTCTGGACGTTGAAACAGGGTGGTTCTACACGGGAAACAGGGCGCGCACTTGTCATTGCTGGGCCGCATGACATCCACTGGATTTAGCCCGTCCAGGCTGGAGTGGTTGTGATGGGGGATGAGCTCCGCCAAGTTGGAGGCGTTCCCTTCCACCGTCAGGCCACCTTCATATAATTGCCAATAAATTAAAAACATGCCGTCAAGCGCTCTGCTGAGCAGGGCAAAAGAATATTCTGCATGCTGCACGATACTTTCATTTGCAACACTACACAGGAAGGGCGTGGCAAAGAAGCTAATCCACTTGATCAATTCCACTTGATTTTGGCGTATGTATATAAGAAGGCAGGCTTATGTGAAATCGAGACATTCTTAGCGATAAGATCACAACGAGAAGAGTATGGCCTTCATCTGAGGCAGGAGACGGGCCAGGGATGCGCAGCACGCTTCAAGAGATACAGCAGAGGGAGGAGCACCTCTGCTGCCACGGAGAGTCAGGTCCAAGAGGGGCTTTGTGACGGCGCCAAAGACCGTGATGCTGAACATGACAACTACCAGTGTCGTGGCGATGAGCGTTGCGCGGTGCGAGTCCTCTGACTGGCCCTTGGGGTCAAAGTAGTAATACACCAGCGCCACTGACACCGCCCCCCTGATCAACCCCGCCCACCTGCGCGACACACCCTTGCACCCATCACACCCCATATCATGCAAACATGGTACTGTTTGTTCTACGGCAAATTTTCTTTCTCGACGCTAGCAGCAGCTGCTTTGACCTCTTAAGAATTCTCTGCCAACGACGAGCTCTTGTGGGTGATCAGACCAATCAGCCAAATGCCAGCCGTTGCGCTCACACTCAGGGCTGGCAGCTGTGTGCCTGAGCATGCTGCCATTTCTCCTGGATATCCGCAGAGGTGCTCACTGGTTTGCAATGCTCCCTTAGGAGCATTATGGATCTCTCCCCACCCAACAAGATTGTATTGAACAGCAGCTCCAAGAGAATTGTCCAAGACAATAAAGAGTTGATAGTTGGGCTGTCTGCCTGCTTACTAAATTCCAGGCAGAGATGCCAGACCATATGGGCTCGCAAATCTGTTGCAGGCTTCAAGCGAAGGGAGGGCAGTGTGATAGGTTGCAAAGTGACACTTCTATGCACGCCTGTATAGACAAGTTGAACAACTTCGCAGAGGTGCGCTCAGGTTTGAAGGGAAATGCAGTCTGCAGCAAGCTGGGCGCCGCACCAAATGACGATCATCTCATTGAAGGTCAGGCGCTCCTCTTCGCGCGAGAACCAGTTGTGCAGCATTGAGAAGGGGAACACGAAGGCCGCGCGGCCCAGCATGGTGAGCAGCAGGAGCACGCAGAAGAGCCACACCGTCTCCCCAAAGTACGTGTTCTGCGGCCCAACAAGCACACAACCACTCAGGACAGACCTGTAAGGCGCGCCCCATCCATGCATGAAGATGTCTGCTTTGTTCCACCCCTCCTCAAAAGGCAGACATGCCCCCAAAACACATGCTGCCTTGATGCCACCTTCGCTAGGTCAAATACTATCCCTGCTTGGCAAGAGCAAGGGTAGGTTGCCACCAAGGGCTGCATGACACTTGTTGTATACCGTTTCCAGAAGCACCGAAACCAGTCACATGGACCTAGCAATTGCTTGGGGACCTTTGGAGGCTGACACAAGCGCAAGAAGATTCGAGTGTACGGTGCACCCATCATGATGTCACAGCCCAGCAGCCCCCGCACAAGGCTATATCACAGACATGTATTCCAGGCTTGCATATGCACATTCTCAGAAGCACTGGCGCTCATCACCGGAACAAAGACGACAAGACCATGGCCTATCTCATGAACTCAGCAAGCCTAGAGATGCCAGTCTATCACACTCACCTTCCACTTGAGAGGATCGAGCGTGTCCATCCCTACATAAATGAAGATGGCGCCCTCAGATACATAGCTGAGCGTCTGACAAGACCGTACGAGCGTCACGCGCGCCGGGGCGCTGATATTGTGCAGCGCATAATGCGAGATGGCGACCGCGCAGCAGAACAGCGTCACTATGCCGCTCAGGCCCGCCAGCTCCCCGCAGAGATAGGACAGGTAGCCCAGCATGCCGATCAGGGCCACCTCCTGTGTGCATCCCAAAAAGTGCAAGAGTGTCAGAACACTGCTGGTGAGACAGACCAGGAGGTATTTAAACATGCCTTGGTTACATGTGTCTCCAAGCAATATACGTTGCAAGACTGTGCCTCATCCACGCTAGCGCAGGCATAGCATCACCCCTGCTGCTAATTTACATTATGGCAGAGGAGGCCTGGGAAGGATGATTGCAGAGACTTCATGTCGAAAGCAACCATGGATGATGCACAACAAAGGTACATCAAATGAAGATCGACAGTAGAAGAGAGGGCGGACCTGAGGCACTGAGTTGGACTTGAAGCGTTTCATGAGGAACGAGGTGCCGAGGCCGAAGACTAGGCCCATGAACATGCTGGCGACAAACAGGTACAGGAACTTGACGAGGACTGTGATGATCAAGCTGGCGTGCAGATCCTTCTCGCTGGTGCCCAGCTCCTGCAGCATGTAAATCAGATCACTGGAAAGCGGTTCTCAAAGTGAATAGAATTGATTTCGAAGAGCTCATGCTTGCATCGGCCTGTGAATTGGGTGAGGCGCGCTTCAATGCTTGCCTGATGATCATCGCAGATCATGAGAGCGAGCAGCTCTGCAGAAGGCAGCCAAGTTGGAAAGGGCCACTGGAGGGCTGACATGCATGCACAGTCCTCGTCTGGAATTTTCACAGCAGACATGCGGTTTGGAACCTTGTGGGTTCCGCGTGGGTTCCGCGTGCCAGGTTGGCTCAGTGCCTCAAACAGATAGAAGGCATCTCCTTTGCAGCAAGAGCACGGTGGCACACCTGTACAGCGCGCAGCAGGGCGACGGCCGTGGCATCATTGATGACGCCCTCCCCAAACACCAGGCTGTACAGCAGCGGAGCGCGGTCCGGCCGCAGCACTTGCAGCACCGCCACGCTGTCTGTCGCCGCAAAGATTACTCCTAGCGCCAGCGAGTCCTGCAGACACCAGCCAAACACGCTGACTTCCCACATACAGTGTGATCACCAGGAAGGTGCCATGCATGCGCTGAAAGCAACGCCCGCCCGATGGAAGCATGAAAAGACATGATCAAGCTTCCACTGGCAGCACAGTTGAGCAGTGTACAGTGCAAATAAACAGCTTATGCCACACATATGGAGTAAGGCAAAATGACTCACCGAGAGGTCCAGGACGTTGGGGAGTTGTGCCAGGCCGTACAGGACCAGGGCGATGAGTGCGAACGCGATGTAGGTGCCAAAGATGCCAAAGGAGGCAATGGTGGCAAAGTTGCGGAAAAACTGCTTCTTCTTTACTGACAGCCCCGCATAAAAGATGATTGGCGGGAGCAGATACCTGTATGCCACACACAGCGCCACTCAGTGAACGTGATTCTTCACCTTATGAATATGGGGCCTGATGTGAATGGCAGACATCGGCAGATAATGGGGAATCCACAAGATGCGAGAGAAGGTACCTGTGACAGGTAATCTTTGTATTTCACACAGCACCACTCAGTGAAGATGATCCTTCACCTTTATGAAGAAAGGGCCTGATGTGATTGGTAGATGACATAAATGATGGGGAATGCAGAAGAGGACAAGAGGGACCTCATCTTGGTACACCATGCAGAATGCGGATGGGTCAGAGGAATGTGAGAGCCTCACGTGAAGAAGTCTGCTGGGTTGAATGTGAGCAGCTGGTGCACGACATCAGCAGACATGTAGCGCTGCATGATGAGGATGACCAGTCCAGTCAGCAGGCCCAAGATGCATGCAGCACTCCACTCGCCCAGGTACTTCGTCCTGCACATGACAGGACACCGGTCAAAACTTATGGTAAATTGGCACACGCACACAACCGAGCATCTGAGCATCCGCAACGCTGAGAAGGAGACTTCTACAGATGTTGAGGGCTGGCAATGAGCAGGGGCGAGGGCTGACCTTGAGGCGATTTGATGGCCAATGGCACTCCACAAGACCATGAGCAGCACCATCAACCCTGCAGCAAAACACTATTAAACCGTTGCTAAGGGGTTCTTGCACCTGAATCGATTATTTAGACGTCCCTACTGTACTTAACCAGAGTGCATGCACAGAGCCCGGCATACAGAGCAGGGCTCGTCGTGGCATTAAATCTACTATTATGGCATTGCATCGTCCCTGATGCAAAAGAAGACGATGGAAGCCATGCTAGTGTGGCGTACCTGTGTTGAAGCTGTACTGTTCCACTACATCCTCTGTGTCTTCAGGTGCAGGCCCTGGGGCAGGGGCACTGCTATTCGTGGTCAGGTTTGCAGCCAAGGCCGCAAAGAGAGTCGGCGCACTCATGATTTGTATCTTAATTTAACATGACGATCATATGGTGCTGCTGTTGTTCACCGCTCACTTTGGAAGATCCAGCCTATTTGGGATGGTGGCCTAAAACCCAAACCAACTCCAGATGCGAGCTCTTTGCACGTGTTTCACGATTTAACAATGTATCTTATGCGCAAGTCAACAAGGGCTCCCGCTTGAATATCGAATATGGTTGGTTTCGCCATAGCACATGGCGGTCTAAAAGCCTTTGTTGCTAGGCTGAGTTGCCAATAGCATGGGAAACCTTAGCTGCACATCAGGATTTCCTACAGATCTCAAACCCTTCACATGATTCTGGCGGGTGGTCTTGCCCGCAGATTGAGCACACAAAGTGAAGGACTTATATAGCTTGCAGATCTACCTGAAGGTAATAACCAAGTGACAACGGATCAGGCTTCTGCCTAACGCTTTCTTCATGACCGATTCAGACCAAGATTCTGCAATCGATGATCGCACACCCCACTTTCAGGTGTCCAAGAGTGAGCAAGAATTTGTCACAGAGCACATGCAGTCCGTAATCATGGTACCGCGCGCGGTACTGGTGTAAAGCCCGTAAATTACAAGACCGGCCGTGGAGGCACAGATTGCAAACGAACAGAAAGGCAGAGCACGGACAAGTTTGGCCACATTTGATAGTGAACGGTGCATCTGTGATATATCAGAAGTGCTGAGTTGCAGCACCGTTGGGTAGATGATGCATGACTGAACAACGTCCTGGGGGCTTTTACGACACGACTTGTTCAAGGTCAACAGAAGTCGAAATCTCCACTTAGATGAAGAAACAAACTTATGGTGATGCTTATGTAGATTTATAAGTGCTTTATCAAGTTTGTGAGCAGGCCACAGGCGTGAGATCGCTTTCTCGACCAAAGGATGTCCTCCTCGAGACAATATAGGGCTACTTTGAGCCCTACAGCGGTGCTAGCCTTTCTAGCAATCATTTGCATATGCACAAATGCGAATGGCCAGCAGATGCAGCCGCTCCTATTGAAACTGGCGAGTTCGGGAAAGTTGGGCAATGCAACCCAGACAGTCGCAGGCTTCATCGGCCACACGCTCTGTGAAGGTGTGATACTAATGTTTCCAACGATACACGTGCTTCTTGATGTCGTCACATCAGGAATCTCGTATAGATGGAAGAGACCTCGCGTCTTTCCTTGCTATTTCATAGCTGGCTTATTCAAGGATGGTCAACAAGGACACAAGAGTCAACCTGCCACGTATTTTTCCAATGTATGTGGACGTATAATTATGTTCACTGGTCGCCCAGTGCAATTTAAGGAATAAGCCCTCCGCTATTCAGGACACATGTGACAGTGCATGTGTGGATGTGCAAAGTCTGACTTTGCCTGCGGCATGCAAATGAATGCATTAAATTGCCCCAATCATTTGCAGGAGAGTTTGTATCGAAACGCTCTTTTGAGAGCGTCTGGAATTCGGACGCCTGCGTGTACAATTGCCTAGCGCACACCATCTTCAACCTGACCTCGCCCAAGAGCGGTCCGGGGACCTTTGAAGTCAATAGCACTGCCAAACTAGTGGACGTGACTGTGGTCAACTCAACTTCCAGCGTTGTTGACATTGGACCCGCCTTTGGCTGCCAGCGCACAGTACAGGACCAGGTGACAGCAAGATAATGACCAGCTTGCTATAGTATATATATCCAGTCCCATGTCCAAAAGTGCATGCCTTGGTACCCTGACAGGCCGTGTTGGACCTGCGGCCTCACGTGAACAGCTTTGACATTTGCCCGCCTATGACCGACATTGGGTTTGTCTGTCAATGAAGTGTTTGCCCCTTCAAGTTCCTGCCAATGCAATTGCGTCAATGAAGTGTTGACCTGATCGGGGATTGGACTGTTTCTGCAGAGAAGCACGCAGCCAGTGTATGTGGATGACGGCTCCCCATGGGCGCCTCCTCTGGAGGGGGCAGATGCAACAGCCAACAGCAGCAACAGGACAGCAGGCGTGGACTATGAGGCCCTGAACAAGACGCTGGCCAAATACTTTGAGGACCCTGCCCTCGTCGACAGCTGCCACACCAAAGCCATTTTGGTCATTTACCAGGCAAGGACCTCCTCCGCTGTTTTGCTTGAGGTGTAAAGTAGCCAATGCCTTGCTGCATTGGTACAATCAGCTGGGTGAGGTTTTCGTGACACCTGGCTTTGCCTGCATATCATGTCCGTGTACTCCCTTGTATACTGCACCGCAACTTCATCTTCATGATTCCGTCTTCCAGCATATCCGGCACCGGATCAGCTTGCAATGCCATCCCGCATGCCCCGCTGCAAGCACTGCTCGGTGACACGATCATGCACCGTTGTGTGCGCAAGTGTCCAGGGCCTCAAAGTGATGTCCTGCCCTGTGCATTGTGAACTCACAGGCCGCAGTGCAAGCAGTGCTCATAGAGGTGATCCTGGACTATGTTGTGCTTCTTACACAGCACCTGGGTGTTTCTGACACCATGCAGGGCAAGCTGATAGCGGAGCAGTACAGTGAGGCCCTGGACATCAGCGCGGCGACACCCTCCATCAGCTGGAGCCTGGCAAAAAGTGTGACGTCAGCGCTTATCGGCATCCGCGCCGGTGACGGCGGCCTGTCAGTGCGCCAGCTGGCGACCACCCCCGTCTGGAACGCCTCCGAGACTGCGGCCCGCAACATCACCCGTGCGCCCACCCTTGCACGCAAATTGCAGGGGTAAAGAACTGTTGTGCAGAGGAGTGATCACGCGAGCTGGAAGAGTGGTGGTGGGAGAGTGAGGAGTGATGAGTGACTGTTGTGTTGTGTGCAACTGAGGTGTTGAGCACCCTGTCCTGTCCCTGACTGCCCTATTCTGTCGCTTGAATCAGGCGGCCTGATGCTGTTTCCCTTCCGTATGCCCTGCATGCCTTGCGCATGCGCGTTCCATGCGTGGTCCGTTGTGGTTTGGTCCTTCCTCTCCACTGCCACTGCAAGGGCAGATGTGCCTTGGCCCTCTTACCTCAGTATGGACCAGGGCATCTCTGATCCTTGTTAAATTGGTGCAGAGACAGGCACTGAACACCTAGCCCTTGCTGCAGCTGCCATGTCACCATAACCAGTCTCCACTCTGTAGATGTCAACAAAGACCGAAGGCATCTCGCAGCCGTGCGGATGAAAGTAGCCAGCACTTCAACAACCCTTAGTCCAGCCCCTTGTGAAAAAAGCAAAGCATGCATCAACTGGGCAGAGCAGACATAATGCTAGGGGGCCTGTGCAACCCCATGCTGGGGACACTCTTCAGATGAATTGCCTGATTGACAACTGCAAATGACATGTAAATCACTTTTTATGGATGTAAGATCACTGAAATCTTGGCGATGTGCCCTGCGCAGTGGACAACCTCCTGCGCATGGTGAGCGGCATAGACTGGAACGAGTCAGCGGGCCTGGACACCGACGGGGGCAGGACAGTGCCCCTGAACGACGTGGCACAGGCGCTCTTTGAGGCGCCCAATGCAGCGGCCTTCGTGGGGGCCTTGCCCCAGAATTGCACTCCTGGCACTGTCTGGAACTACTCCACTGGCAACTTCCAGCTGCTGCAGTACAACCTGCGGTACGCAGCCCTCTCTGAGCTTCACCTCTGTATGCAGTTGTCCCTGACCTGGCATGGTTTCATCGTGGTACCAGGAGGCTCATACTTCTTGCGGCAGGGGTAGTATCTCAGGATAGAGCCCCTTGCCAGTCTGAGTGATCTGGGTTTTAAGGCAATGGGACGCCATATTCCCATCAGTTGGAAGAGTGTGGAAGGCGGATGGGAAACATTGAAATCTTCAGAGAGAACTACCTTGCTTTGCAGGGTGGATTGTAGAATGTGCTTGCATAAAAATACAATCCCAAGTGACAAATGCTTTCATCACAATAGAAAGTGCCAAAATTTTTAGCTGGCTGGTTGCAGGCGGTCCTTCACCAGTGACCTTGCCTACTGGAGCTTTGCAGTCAACCGCCTGTTCAAGAAGATCGGCGCCCGCTCGTTCGTGTTCGAGTCGGACCCTTCGGGCACTCTGCTAGGCGGCAGCCACGCCTTTGCCACTGCCCGTGACTGGGCCCGTTTCGGGCAGCTCTTCCTGCAGGTGCCCCTCCCATTCCTCTTGGTTTCCTCACCTATTCTGAACCATCGGGCACATTTCTTCTGCACTTTTAAAATTGGCGTGTAGGTTGTGACCAGGCATTTCCACGTCTTGGGGTCACAGCAAAATTGTGGGGTAAGTACATGGCAGCAGTGGGTGATGGGAGCTTGTCATGGGCGTAAAGGCAAGCCAAGATAACTTGCATGGTTGGATATGGGATTAGCTCAGGGTGTTGGGGTGTGACTGCAAACAGGATGGGATGTGGAATGGCAAGCGGGTGCTTCCAGAGGGCTGGGTGCAGTACAGCGCGGCACCCACAAAGGCCTTCAGCAAGTATGGAGCCGGCTGGTGGCTCAGATATCCCGGTAAGTCCTCCAAACGACTGCACCTGGTCTGAGCTGGCTAATTGGTAGGTCGTAGATCATCCGAGGACCGTGCAATTTGGGTTTGTCATTTGCAATTGCAAGGAGACATGTCTGGTATTGTTGCGCAACTGCCAGCCAAGACAGGTCATGTGTGCTTTTCCGGGGGCCTCTGATTGAAGAAAGAATTGCAGGGGCTTGTGATAGATCAAAAAAACAAAATGTACACACTGGTATCAACGGATGTTCCTTTATGTGCAGGCGCTCCATCGGACAGCTTCTATGGCAATGGGCTCATGGGGCAGCGAGTCATCGTGGTGCCATCCCAAGACCTGGTCATCGTCCGCTTGGGCCTCAACTACAACGATGACTTTGACCAGGCATGGCCACCCCCGTTGATACCAGACATCCAGAATGTGATTCAGCATTGAGATCTCTATATGTCTGCGTTCCTAATGCTAAATGAGCTGCAATCAACAGAGATTTGGTCACTGAGATGGGTGCTGTACTGCTGCTAACTGAGCTGCACTCAGCAGGACTTTGAACTCTCAGATTGGATCATGCCGCTGCTATGGCATACAAGAAATGTCTCGCGGAGAAGTGAAGGAAAGCAAAAGTGCACAAGACCATTTTGCAGGGCCTGAAAGGAAGTCCTCTGGCTCATGGGTTGCTTTGTCATGCTGCAGGTGTACGGGCAGGACTTCTTTGGCAACATTTCAGCGGCGCTGCCTACCTCCAGTGCTCCCCAGGGCCTGTCTCAGTCGCAGCCTGCATACCAAGTTGTTGGTTAAGTTGGACAAGTCCACCCTCTTTTCAGGATCTGCAGATCATCGTCTAAGACAGGTTCTGGAAGATGAGTTCCTACGAATGATAAAGTTCGCAAAAGTGCTAATTGCCTAGCTGCCCAAGTGGAGCTTCTCTTTGTTCCCTTGCCTGGTACTCTTCCTGAACATTCAGGAATACAATTAGTGTCCCTAGTTGATTGTTTTCTTCTGTTGCCTGAGTTGATAATAGTCTGGGCATGCCATTTTGATGTGTGCTCAAGGCTAGTCTTACTACCTTCTAGAGGAACTTCTTTTTTTCTTGAATACTTCTGCAGTTGTTGAGAATGAGATGCAACAGCATCAGTTATGCTAAAGCATGTTGAACTGCGAAAGTTATGGGATGCTCCCATGCATGAACAGCTTTTGAATGATTTGAAGGACATCGTAGGCAAGAATCAAAATGAAAGGCAGGCGTTTGCTGGCTTAAGCTTGTTGTGCAGCAACCCGCATAGGGCATTGCCTATCAAAAGAATCATACAAGAGATTCTGGCATTGTTGTTTAGTGAGGAAAGGAAATCTGCATGTGCCAAGCATCATGCTTTTCCTCTTTTGTCATGGATTGTTTTCACCATTTGGATGCTGTTAGTATATCTAATCAGCCCTAGGCGGCTGGCCTAGATGATGTGTAAATTTCTCTCCTTCCTCCCTTCCTGTTTGGGCACCTTTCGGTGACCAAGGCAGATGCAATGATTAATTACTTTTGGTCCGACAACAAGTTGGCGGTCTTTTATGTAGGAATAGGCTTATAAGAGGCGATTCGTTCCAGTTCAGTAGAAGTAAGGAGATTGCTGCGTGTATGCAAGTTCTTGGAGAGTGTGCATAATGGTCTCGCATCTTGTGTGCAAGCAATGAAACTTGGATTTGCAACAGCTTTTATTGCGCATGCAAGAGGGCCTGCTGTGGATGATGAAGTTTCTGCAAAGGCAACTGGTGCAACAGCTGCAGTAAATACTGGGCAACACCTGTAAAATGTCACATTCTTCCACTAAGATGTCATTTGGCTTGATCAAACTTGCAGCTTTGGATCAAAAAGACGTTGGTGTCCTAGCATCTTTGGATATTTTTTCAACTTCATACCCCTGGGCTGACATTGTGCAATAGCCTGGTGAGAAGCAATAGCTGACATCTGCGGTGATCTGGGCATTATACATCAATCCATTCGTGACAGAATTTGTAGCCAACACACAGGCCGGCGTAGCAATAAATTTAAACACCGCAATATCAGTGCTGGAACATTGATCCTTTGAATCCTATACAAAGATCCTATAAAAAAGAATTCAGGGTGCCATAAAAACAAGAGACCAAAGATTTATGAATGGGAGTCCCCACTCTCAGCAGGTGGGGGCACAGGGTTGTTTGAATTGGAGCGCAGGAACGCCTCCTCAGCCCTGCTTCTGAGCAGCCGCACATTGGCCTCATGCATGTCTTTGGCCGCCACCTGCCGGCACATGTCCCACTCGAAATCCTCCTCGCAGTATGCCTTCCTGACCTCTAGCACCCGCAGAGCTGCAGCAGAGGCACATATCCCTCAGAAGAATGCATTGGCAACCTCACAAAAAGTGCAAATTAATGTGACGTATGTTCAATCAAGCTCATTCTTTTGGAGGCCCCAAGCTGTCCTTGGAGAAAGGAATCAAGCCGTTCCACCCAGGTCAAAAGCGGCACATCGCAATCAGCCCTGATACTCTGCACATGCATGGCAGGATGCATCAGCCTGCAGGCTCTGTGCAGAGTGCATGCCGGCAAGTTTGTGAAGGCTGCATGGGCAAACAACAACATGTGAATCTGTGGCTTGTGAGCCGCACCAAGCATCTCGTTCTTCTTCAAGAGGAGCTCCAGCCAGGCATCCCCGTCTCGCATCGGGTGCTCCTGCAGAAAATTGCTCAAGTCCTCGTATGCCCCAGTGTTGTAGGAACCCAACCCACCTCTGCCAGATCCCTCCAGCTGCGCCAAGACAATCCTGCACCCCATGCAAGACCAGTGCGTGAGCAAACCAGGGACGATATAATCTTGAGTGGGAGTGAGAGGGTCAAGTCCCTTGTCCAGGGTGGCTGTATTGAAGCATGGCGCGTTGTTACATCAAAATTGTATGAGAATGCCACGCACGGGACGCACTTTGCTGCGCAGAAGGTGAAGAGGGTGCGCAGGAGATCGGATGCCTTTCGTTCTGGGCTCCTTCCCCCAAAGCTGCAGACGGGTACACAGCAGCTGTTAGAAACTTTTTTCTACGGTATAAACACTGTCCAATCGGTGTGTGAACAGCAAAATTGACATGATATTTCTGCTGATGGTGCGTGTCCATGCACCGAATGTCAAGGCTTTGAAGGAAGGGAATGATGGTCGATGACCTGTCAGAAGGCACAAACATGCCTGCGTGAACGTGTATGAGACGTCTGCCAATTCTGATTGATCTGTTCCTTTGACGAGCAGCTGGGCAAGGCCCCCAGCGTCTCTGCCTTATCAACATCTTGTCAAGTGACAGTCTCATCTTCCAATGGATGATCATCGGTCAAGCTACGTTTGCCTCAGTTATCTTACTTCATCAAAATATTATCGCAAGACAATGCAACCTGGATCTGACGGACTTAGCTCGCTGCTTGCAAATAAAAAGGCGATCCAGAAACAAGACAAGGTCAAAATAGCAGCAGTCGACTTCCAAATGACATTTGGCCAATTTTTGCAAGCCTGATCAGCTGCGTAGAGGCTTCAAAACAAGTCCAAGCATTCTTGGCAGTTTTGGGAGACCCCCCAGTTCACCGCAGCTGACGTTCGTCCCAGGACATCGGTCCCCCATAGACGACTGCGCGCAATCTGGCTAAGGTGCAAAGTGAGCAGGTTTGTGGAGACGCTGTCATCAGAAAACACGAATCGTAAGAAATTTGACGATTCTGACTTTTTGAGGCGCAAACACCTGTGCATCGCCGCCCATGAAGGTCATTGCGCGCAAGTCCGACTGAGCAGGGCATTGGCTTGAACGGGTCTGACGCATACTCTCAGGTGCGATATGGATGTGAGCATTTCCATACATGTGCTGGTATGAGATCTTGTTTAGAGATGTAGCTTATGTACCTGGCAGAACAGGTGAATGAACCCTATCGCATGGTGCAGTGCTGGCTGCGTTGGTGCTGCGTTAAATTCGCACTAGAGCGCCCCAATAGTAATATTAGATCTACTGATGCATCTTGAGCGCACTTGAACAATAGTAGTACGAGGGCTGGACTAGAAAAACATCCCCTAGGCAGGCAGCGATCTACCTTATAGGACCTCTTCACGCCAGCACTTTCCCTCACTTCTGAAAGCCCCTCCGAAGCTTTGACGTACATAAAATAACAAGGCAAAACATGCAAAGACACAAAGGCCTTCCACAGCTGGCCACTCCATCCCATCCCACATTCTGAACATTCAGAGTACTGATGCAGGGCACGCATTCAGGACATCATCCCAGTCGAGGCACATCAGGACAAGTCTTAGGCTGAGGACTTCAGCACCCCGCGCCATGCACGGCCTGTGGCTCAGCATCACCCTGCTGGCAGTGATGTCAGCGGATGCCTCAGGCGCAGCCTATGACTCACCCACCACAGGCTTTGCCACCCAGTACGGCGGCAGACAGGTAAATACTGCACACACCCTGCTGCGCATGCCAGCAGCTCACTCCATAGATGAGGGTTGCTCCTGGTCTGTTCCAAATACTAGGGGGTGCAGCGATGCCAAGGTGAGCATGGACACTGCTCTCAAGCTGCATCGTAGCAGCCAGCCAGCCTGGATGCACCACAGAATTCAACTTGAAGGGGGTGGGCCATGGCAGGAAGCTTGTGAGGCTAAGGCAGCCGCTGTGCTGAAGGGGATAGACTGTGCTCCTGTCCCCGGGTCTCCCGCTGTAAAAATCTAGAGCGGTCCGTATGTAGGCGTTACTTTGAAGACTTTCAATTTCTACTCTTCATCTATCTGTGAATTCAGTGATATTTCGAGCTCGCAGCCCCTGTGTTTCAGCGCAAGGATTTGGGCCGGGCGCAGCAAGCGGGGGACAAATTTTGCTGGCGCTACCCTAAATTGGGCAGACTAAATATGCCTGCAAATTCACCGTGGAAGCTGCAGCTGACAGTGTGCATGTGCGCTGTGCAGGACAGGAGCGATCCGAACACGCCCATTTACGGGCTAATTGACGGCGCATGCGGTTACGGGGCCATCCCGCGGACATCTTGGCCGTACTGGCAGGTGGCGGCTCTGGGATTCTCCAACTCTGTGTCAGCATCTGGCAGCCCCCAGAAGTGGGGCTGCGGCGCCTGCATCCAAGTCACCTGCACCGGCTCGGTGCGAACTCCCATTTGTATTTGTATTCTGATTTTCCTAAGCCACAGGAAGAATCCGTGCGACACCTGCGCTTGGTGTTTGTAGTTACTCTCTCAGTGGCCTTGACAGAGGAATTAAATAAAAGGCTTTCGAAGTCCCACCCGACAACAAAGTCTTGACTGCGCATCATCTCCCCAATCCTGTCTGATCACCGTCGCAAGACAATGCATGCGCACTCGGATTGCCAACATGTTTGGACGCATGTTCAGTGTCTTTTATCAGGCCCCTGTTCTATGCTCAATGCCCCCCATGTGCATAAGAAGGATGTGTGTTCTGACCTGTAGAGCCCACCGTCCCTCAAAAGATTTGTTTCAGTCGAGGACCCAAGGGTGGCCCAGCATCTTGAAGCGCTGTCATGACAGAATCTCATACAGAATGTTGGTGGCCGGAGAACACAGGAATGAAAATGACAATTTGTAAAGCAGTGATGTTTGAGCAGAATGGGTAGTCCTTAATTTTGTCATTTTGGCTGATCTCATGCCCATGCTTTGCTGCTTGCATGCAGGGCTGCACTAGCAAAGCCCCTTTTGTGGTGCTCGTGACTGACACCTGCAAGGCATGCGCGGCCAACCAGATCAACATCAATGCTCTCACCTACGAGAAGTACATCTCAGCGACCAACGGCCAGATGGCAATCAGCTGGCAGAAGGTGAGTCAGCAGCTCCTGAGCAAGTCTCCTAAGCCAAATGGGGCCCTTGATTTCTGCAGTGCCCGCAGCATAGAGGAAGCCATTAGACAAAGTACAGGAACGGAGCTGGAGGCAGACTCAGATGCAAGGCGGGTGTCATTTGTGCAGACTGTTATAACTGCTTGGATATCCTGAAAGCTATTACATGCAAGATTAAAGGGTGACATCACCATTCTTAAGAAGCCAAATATGTGTGTCTATTCTGCTTACTACTGTGTACAGCTTGACATGCAAGAGATTGATATGGACTCCAGGGCGCTTTGCGCCTGCGCAGTACCTGTAAAAACATGTGGCTAAAATCTTGGACACAGTCACTTGCAGAATGAAAGGGGTAATGTGGTGAATATGTTTTTTTTTGGTCCATGCAGGTGCCATGTGCTCCCACCGGCAACATTGTTGCCAGAGTGACTGCTGCTTCAGGGTCCTACCTGCGCCTCGTGCTCACTCAGGTCAGACTATAAACACCTCTGCACCTTTTCTTGGCGCTCTTCAATAGAGTCACAGTGCACAGTAAATGCAAAGAACAGGGACGGCATGTTGTCACAGGTCTCACAGGAGATCATGAGGATGTTAAGTGCAAATTTGAGCGAGCACTGATGGCCATGAGCCTGTCACGGCCCCTTGAAACACGAGTTGGCCTGATGATGCATGGGAGGTGTAAGCTGAGAGTGTCTGTTTGTGCTTGCATGGAAGGTGTTGCTGAAAGTGTCTGTGTCTGCTTGCAGGTGGGTGGCAGCGACGGAGTGAAGTCTGTGGAGGTCAGCAAATCGGTGAGAACTATACCGTGAAGTGTCAGGGATTTGTGCATAATCACAGTATCACCATCTCATGTTGCATTCCATGTATACATTTGTATGTATGAACACAATGATTTGCACCCGACAAACATGTGTACAATGTTTGTGCATCCAAGGGGTCCTTGATGCTAGAGCATCCGCAGGTAGTTTCTTTGAGAGCAGATCTAATGCATTACGTACTCTATTGTCATCATTCTCAGGGATAGTAATCCAAGTGGTGTACACCTGGCGCAGGGATCTGGCAGCTGGATTAAGATGGACTCTGCCTGGGGAGCCAATTGGCAAACAAGCTCAGCCCCAGCACCCCCTCTAGATCTTCGCATCACACCCAACGACGGGAGCGCGCCCCTTGTTGCCACGTGCGCCTCTTTTCCACCCTTGGTCATAATATATCTTCAGGTCAAAGTCTCTGCATGCTAGAGCTGGAGAGGGGGACAGAGCTGCAGTGCACTCCTGGTTTTGTCTTGCAAATTTGCAGAGGAGCGCAGCCCGCAAATATGTCTAGGAGCATGCATGCGTGCCAGCATGGCATGTTTCAAGTCACCGGGTTGTTTTCAAAGTGCACACATGAACACCAGATCTGACAAGAGTCAGAGCAGCAGTTTCAACATTGCTGAAAGCATTGTGCTCCCCTGTAAATAATTCAGGGATAATGAACAGATTGTGTGATTCTTCTGCGGCACTGATGTAGAACTTCTTCTCAAAATGCAGGGGGGCCATCACCGCTGCCGCACCGGGGGACTATGACACAGGAGTGCAGCTCGGATTCCCGGCAGCCGCCGCGGCAAACGCAACAGCCGCGGCGCCGGATGCGGCAGGCAACGCCACTGCACCGCTCCTGGGCCCCCCGGTGGGCCCCCAGCAGATCCCGACGGTGGCCGCCGCCAACGCCACCGCAGCGCCCGTAAACGCCACCGCTGCGCCTGTGAACGCCACTGCGGCGCCCGTAAAGGTCCCGGCTGCGGCCGCTGCGCCGGTGGCGGCTGCGAATGGGACCGTCGTCCCTGTTGTCGCCGCAGTGCCGGCAGCCCCGGCTGCTGCCAACTTCACAACGCTGACCTTTCCAGGTCAGCCACCAGCTCAAGGATACCTAGATCTTCTGTCACTGCATTTGACAGCACAGGGTATCCCAGCACAGGGCACTGTGATATTCTTGCTGTGTAGGACCCTCCAGCGTGTTACTGTCATGGCAAAATTGTACCTGGCACATAACGAGTGCCAATTCTGGCTGTTACCCGCAGCTGATCTGCAGACGGCCCTTGCCTCCTGGCAGGAACAGCGCGCACGAATAGAATTTTTTGTGGTGTGCAGCATCAGGTGCAGCGCAAACCCCCCAGGCTGCCAAGCCGGCGTCCGCCGGACAGCCAGTCAGCCAGCCTCCTGCTGTATTGGCAGCTGCCGTGCCAACAGCCGCCGTGGCTGTTGCTGCCGTACCCACCAAAGCGGCTGTTCCTGCAGCATCCACCCCTGCATCGGGTGCTGTGAGCGCGTTCAGCACCCCCGCCGTGGCACCTCGGGTGCAGGCAACGCCCCCGGCGACAGTCCCCGCGCCACAACAGGCGACGCCGGCTGCCGCGCCTGTTCTGGCGACCCCCGTGGCCGCGCCGGCAACGCCCCCGGTGACCGTGCCCGCGCCTGTTCAGGCGACGCCTCCCAGCACACCCGCTGCAGTCCCCTCTTCAGCGGTGCGCGCCCCTGCCCTGTCACATTTGGTCATTTGTGTACCATCTGCTCTGTTTGCTTGCTTAATATCACTCTCCTTTCCAGCCTTCCAAGTCTAGGTGCGTTCCAGCATCACTTATATAGGTCTCTTCCAAAATGCCCTGTCTTTGCACTTTTTCCACTGGTTATATTGCTTGCGTGCATGCTTGATTTTTTTTAGTGCTGCTGATGGGAGATCTGCTGCTGATCCACCCCTGCTAAACATCTTTCACGCAGGCTATCACTCATTTGTACAATTTAATGAATAAAATCTTTAATTTAAACCCTGACAATGGAACATGCGCTTTATATGTTGCATCGTCTTGATGCGGGTGCCATGTGTGGGGGGGCAGGCGGCAGAGGCACCGGCAGCTTCATCCAGCACCCCAGCTTCCCCGCCGCAGGCAGCTGCCATCTCCACCGGCAGCGCACCTGCTCCCGTGGCTCAAGGTGTGTGTCCCTTCGCTTGACTGATTAATTTGCAACCAATCTACTAGCCCTTTTCCATGCACAGAAGCTGTGCATGCGTAAGATGTTGGTGTCTTGAAACTTCATAACTGCTGCGACATGGTTGCGATGCACTGCGCACCTTCTGCTGGCACAGCATGTCATGCTTCCGATTTTGACAGAGGCATCCTGCTGGCTTTGCTCTGAATTACATCTGATCTGGCCTCCACATGCACTCGCAGTATTGGCTGTTTCTCTATAGTGCTGCGCCACACATGAGGACATCAGTTCTTTCCCGGTGAGTGTAGTCAGCATGACTGAACCACCACAGCCGCCGCGTCCTGCAATGTGAACCACCCCATCTTGCTTGCGCATTTTTATGTGCTGCAATCCATAGACCGTATCTGCTGGCTCTGAAAATTTGTTATCTGTGCATGTGTGGCGGCAGCGTCGGGCAATGCGAACCAGCCCTTCTCGCTGAATTTCGACCGGACGGCGGCGAATGTGACGGGAGGGAACGCTGCCGCAGCGCCCAGCATCGACTCAGCGGTGGAGAATATCCTCAACCCCAAAGTGACCTATAATTCTGGGGGCCGGAAACTTTCATGAAAATTTATGCCAGTGACCGATAATTCCGGGGGCCGGAGGCTCTCATGAAAGTGTTAACATTATGTACTTCTCTGGCCTTTGGTCATGAGGTGGCCTATCGGTGGGCTTACCTAACAAGAGCATGAGAGTATCATACAGGCGTGTGATTGCCTTCCAACAGCATGTGGAGCAAAGCGGGATGTGCAGAAATACCTTCAGTCAAGGATAGAATCATTGTGAAATGCCTGTGGCCAGGGTGCATACAGGCCTGAGCATGTTCCTGGAAAAATACTGCTATGACGTGTTACACTCCTGGCGCTTAGCCAGCTTGGGGCCTGCCTTGTATATAGGGCAAGTGAAGTAGCAACTTGGTGCAGGATAAGGCAGAGTTGAGGCAGAATGATGACTCAGTCACCGTTGGACAACTGAAGAATTTTATTCCTGTTGGCATGGCGATAATCAGAAGTTCTGCAATCTTGCCCTCCTGCGAAGCCTCTGCAGCTGCATCTCTTGTAGTCCTAATCGCTACATTAAGGTAACGCACAGTGCAGCTCTGAATGCTCACCTCCCATTGCAGAAAGCCTTATGAGAAAGGTCACGGCAATGGACTTGCATTGCTGATGGTCATGTCGCAGGCAATGCTGGACACCGTGCCATAGTGCCACGGGCAGATCATTGGAATGATTCCAAGTGGTAGGCTTCTACTGTGGTACATACAAAGGCGAAGGCAACAATGCACGGGAGAGGAAGTCAGTACGCTGCGGTTAACTTGGTGTTTGGCAGGGCTAAATAGCACGAGGTAAAATTATGACATTTTGCACAAGCTGTACATGTGAGCATCTGAGTGTTTCAAGCGGATTCATTCAGCAAAGAAGGAATGCAGCCATAAAAGCAGGGGCAGGTTGTGAGTGGGGGATCCGGCAGCACTAGACAGATCAACTTGAAGCACTTGCATGCGTCGCGATAGTCAGGCATTACACAAGATTCCACAGGCACTCACTGATCCACACATGCACAACGGAAACAATGTATGAAAGAATGTGGTAAGACTTTGTCGCACACACAAACACACGCAACAGCCTCACACCCCTCAATTGCACTAGCAGACATGTGCGGGCTAGACCCCAAATCTGAACATGTCACTCAGCTTGAAAGCAGGACAATGAATGCATCACACGCTGGTGATACTGGCTACGGTAAGTCAGAAACACAAGCAACTGAACAGCACCTTGCCGGCACGCAGTGCCTAATCCACACGTGGCGCCACGCAGTGCCTAATCGACAGTTGACTAAGCATGACACATGCCGCGGCCTAAACAAGGATCCGACTGGCATCTCACACAGTCTACCTTCATCAGAAGCCAACCACTCGGTCAATGCTGCAACTTGCCACTCAAGACTGGATGATATTTCTTGAATCAATAACAACCCTTTGGACATTGCCACTGCTCCCCTTTGCATGCTGCCCACTTATCAACCACAGGAGCAGTTCCCGGGATACATGTAGGGGCCTTGCAAGACACATGTGTGTGCACAGCACCGTACTCAAGACAAGACATTCTTTGCCAATGATTGACAGCACCCTTCTTGTACGCATTTCTTACCCTTGCCAGCTCACACTACGCTCTCAGTCTTAACCTGCTTGCCGAACACCTGCTGTCCCGGCCTCTACACGGAAGCCAAATAAATTATCCCTGCCTTTCTGTCAAGCGCCAAAGTCTCCCAAAACCCTTATCCCTTATTTTTCAAAAGCAACAAACGCCCCTCATGCATAAAAACCTTACCCCTTCAAACCAGAATACCCCAGACAGCAAAGCTGTCCAAGGACTTAGCGCTATATTTTTGGACCTCCGACTTCTGCAGCGAGCTCCAAACACAAAGCTGTCTTCACCATCGTCCCAAGATACATCAGACATCTGCATTCGGCGCCCCTGGCACGCCCGCAGAACATGTGGGAATCGCATACAAGCGGATATTAAATTACTGCAGCCTGAATCGCCCCCGTCAAATGTTGCATCTGCCACTACCTTTGTTGGCTCCCCTTGCTTGAAAAAGGTGAGAATATGCAGGCAGACCGATAAACATAATTTCCCTCTCCCCTAAAATTTCCAGTGGCAGCGCAAAGCACTGTAGAGATGCCAGAGCATCATGGGCCCTGGCTACATAAACACACTTTCATTTTTGCATTGGCAGGATAAAAGCAGCAACCACCATTCATCTTATGAACTTCCAGCTGTTGTTTCGCTCGCATGAAATGCCCCTCTCAAGGATGACCTAACCATGCCTGTGCATGCTTTCAAGCTCTTTGCCCGAAGCGCACTTGTGTTTAGAATGGCAACCACAGCATTGTCCAGCCTAAAATAAACGATGGTCTGGTCCAAAAATACCAGTAGATTGCATGCGGGCATGCTTGCTTGAGCAAGCAGCCACCGGCCGTAGCACTGTGCTTCGCCGTGTCTTGGGGTGTAAATATACTGCTCGCAATTGCGCAGTCAACGAAGACCGTGACTGAAAGTCGTCTGACCTGGATGTCCGGAAAAGAACCACGGCGCCCTGGCTGCAAAAGGAGCCTGCAGGCACATGGCCAACTGTGCAGTGGCAGCTGTTGAGCCACCATGCATAAGATGCCAGAAAAAAGAGAACATCCGCGTGTTATTTTCCAGCTCAGCTGCAACAACTCTTGACAGCAGTCTCTCATGATGTCGAGGGGCCCACCACGCAGAGCATGCATGGGCCTCTTGACTGTTCTTGTCTCATGGAATCAAACCAGAGCTGATCTCACTGATTGTGGCTGCTTGGCTGCGGCTGTCATGCAGATGCTTTGGCAACAGCAAGCATGCGGGTCAGGCCTGTCCAGCTGGTACAGTCTGCTGCCCAATTTGTGCAGCCAGCTTTGCCAGAACATCCAAGCCGCTCCCCCCCATGACACTGTGCGGCACCGACACAGTCCAGTCCTTGCCGGCTGACGCACCGGTGCTGACGGTGAGAGGTGACGGCTGTTGCATGCCCACGGCTGCTGATGTCGACCTGTCAAGGCTGATGCTCTGCAGCAGGAAGCTGGACAGGTGGGGCAGACCCCATGTGCACCTGCATGCCGACACATGCAGACATCAGACACTGTCCAGCTTGCGACAGCGCGAGTGCCCACAGCACTAGTTTGAGACTTCAGGGCCCACGCCCAAATGCAGCAATCCACAATCACGCTCATCGTCCAAAAGGGAACGCCGACAAAGGGCACTCGACTAAAAATTAGCAACTCTTGTCCGCAGCAGGACAGACAATGTTTAGAGAGCATGGAAGCCTGAGCGATGAACAGGGGCTGGGCGGTACAAGAAGGACGTTGCAGAGGGGGGCTCACGCAAACTGGAGCATGCCATAGGCAAGCGCAGCTGAAGCTGGCTGCTGCAGAGAACTGACAAGTACCAGGGCTTCCGGGACGCCTTCTGGACGCGGCAGGGCGCTTGAGGGCGCCACATCAGACGTGCCATGACTCAGCGCCCGCATGACTAATCCCATCTGGCACAGCAGTGCGTCGGTCGTGGCCCTTGAGATCGCCAGACACTGATCTGCGACCACAACAGACCAGCAGCCAGTCAGAAATTGCTCCGTAACTGAGGTCAATCATGTGGGGGAGGGATGTCTCGCCAGTCTTGCATGCCAGGTTACTTAGAAATGTTCTCCCTCTGTCTCGCTATGTAACTGCAACATCCTATGTGACAGAGGGCATTCGTGTGGGGGCACATGTGTCTTGCCAGTTTTGCATGCCACATTTTGAAAGAAAGTAAGTTCCCCACTGTGGTCCCGCCCCAAAAGATGCTCATGATCCGGCCAAGGCGAACCCACACAATGAACGGCCGGTGAGACTCTCACACTGAGAGCGCAAGACAGCAGTAGCGTCGGCCTATGAACATTACTACCTGCAGGGAGCCAGCCGCCCTTGAGCAACGCGTCCCGGGCGCGTAGCGCTTGTAGCAATTCCACGGCGGCGGCCGCCCGCTCGGGGGGCATGACTAACGCAGGGCAGGCCCCGCCCACAAAGGGGCCGTGCTGCAGCTCCAGGTAGATCACCCCTGGAGGGATATCCGGCGGCAGCCGCACAAAGAACTTCCTGCCCGCTCCAGCCGCCAGCCCAGTCACCTCCTCCACCTGCCCAACACGAACTTGCGTTTCAGCATGACTCCGTAGAGAATTAGACTTCCAAGCCCCCAATCTCTGCAGCGCAGCCCGACGCTAGCTTGCCATGAAAGTGGCAAAGTTACCCTGGTCCGGTTCAAGTTCAGGCCAGTCAACCAGCGCAAAGGACAGAAAGGACCTGGACACGAGAGCTAGTGTTGCTGAAGAGTTTCTCTGAGCTTGGAGTAAGGCTCTTACATACTGACATCCACCACCAAATAGCAGGGGATCTGTACCGCTATCGATTTCAATACCTGGGTGTCATAGTATCGCCCGTTGGCTCGGCAGAGCACGGCGCTGTCGGCGATGTCAGCGGCCGCGGGGCCGCCGTGGGCCTCCAGCACGCAGACCTGGCCGGCCATCGCAACCGGCGGCTCGACACGAGAGAATGCCCCCGAACAAACCGCGTCAAGGCCAAACTCGGGCCCAGGAACGCCGTCGCTGACCAGCACCGCCCGGTTCATCACCTCCACCAGCATTACCCCCCTGCGCCAAACCTGGCTCGCCTGCGCGATGAGATGGTGCGCTGCCTGCGCTGCGCCGTTTGCCAGCACCTGCTGGTATGTCACCACGTCCACGTACGCCTGCAGGACCCAGGACGTTGAGAAAATACTTGTGAAATGCTAGCATGACATACACTTCGATGAAGCCTTGGGCTCTACATTGGGGGTTGAAGATTGAGAATGCCTGTCTCAAACACGCCAGGAGTGAATAATTGCAAACACTCCATCGGCTGCAAGACAGGCCATAAGGCAATGCATGACGGGGCCCAACGTCGGTAGGGCCGTGTGAAGCAAGCACACACCGTTACGGTGAGGTGGACGCAGCCGCTGCGGATGTACAATTCGGTGCAGGCAGGCGCGCCCTTGAGCCAGCCGAGCAGCTGCTCGCGCGCGTCCTCCGGCAGGTCCGCCGGCGTGCAGTGGAACAGCTTCACGCACAGGTGCACCGCAAAAGCCTCCGCCCGAAACGATAGCAGCTGCGCCGTAGCAGCCGCGCCCCCGGCGCTGTCCGCCGGGGTCGTGACGCGCATCAGCGCTGACAGGTTCCATCCCACCCACGCCCGATACGGCGGCGGCATTGGCGGCCGCCACGTTCTCCAGGAATGCTGCCTGCTGCTGCTGCAGCTGCTGCTTGGGCGCAGCGCTGGCCATAGAGCCCAGGAGCATCTGGTAGAACTGGTAGGACAGCGGGTTGGCCGCTTGCAGCTGCGCAGCACCTGCGACCGCCGCGGCGGCCGCGCCAGCTTGGTCTGCACCCGCCATCCCAATCTGGGCGGTGGAGCGGGCCATAGGCAGGTATAGAGACTGCTGCGCTGCGGCAGCAGCGGCGGAAGCCGCGAGCTGCGCTTGCACGGTCTGGGACGGCTGCGCAGCAGCCGCCGCGGCCGCCTCGGCCTGGGAGAGCAGGCTAGGAGGCGCAACAGCTGCTCCCGGGCCCTCGCCGGCGGCTGCGAGAGCCGGGGCGTCGATGTGGGTGCCCTTGCGCTGCGGCTGCCCCACCGGCTGGCCCATAGAGAGGCCCAGCGCGGTGCGAAGCCCCTCGGGCAGCGATCCGGCCAGTACTTGGCGATCCTCCTTGCCAGCGAGCTGCACAGGCAGCGGCAACTCCTGCACTCCTGCCTCCGCGCTCGCTGCGGCCGCGCCTACCTCCCCAGCGAGGTAGTTTACAGCCTGCAGGCCCAGCGAATGCGGCAGTAGACCCTGGGGCCCGGGTTTTGTGGAAGCCGCAATCTGCTGCCCAAAGTGCAGCCAGTGGCGCACGGCGTCCTCATACGGCTCCTGCTGCTGGGGCGATGCCTCCCCCTGCGCTGCGCGGCCCGGCTGGCCGCCTCGCGGCGGCTGCGGGAAGGGGGGTGGCCTGTTGGGGGACTTGTCCGCGCTCGGCAAACGGGCGGCAGCCGCGTCCGCACCGGAGGCCGAGGCTGCCGCGGCAGCAGCGGCGTCCGGGACGTACAGGTCCATGCTGGACTGGGTGCTGTTGCCGCGCTGAGTCAGTGCTATGCTGGCAGAGCTGCTGACCTTGCGGCCGCTGCCGTCGGCCGCCATGCTCTGCTGCAGGCCGCGCAGCACCATTGCATTGCGCTCCAACGCCAGCCGGGACCGCGCGGCAAGGAGCTCGGCGCTACCGGCGGCCGAGTTGCTGACCGATGGAGCACCCGTAGCCGACATTAACCCAGATCGATCCAGCGGCCGGGCGACAGAGGCGGTGCGCTTGGCGGTGCCGGCCCAAGAGGGGGGCGACTCCCCCGGCAGCATGCTCTCAGATAGGCTCCGAGACGCCTGGATGCCGGATTTCAGGTCGACGGCGGCGGTGGCAGCGGCCGGCGAGACGGAGGGAGGGAACGTTGCAGACATGGCCTCGGGAGCCCGCGGGCTGATCGAGAGCTGCGTCGTGGGTGCCTCGCTCAAGCTTGCCGATGCCAGCGCGCTGAAGGGAGTCGGCTGCGGCTCAATGGGGCCCATTTGGACGCCTGCGGCAACCCCTGGAACGATGTCATGCATTTTTGGCGGCTGCTCGGCAGCTGCTTCCTGGAGAGCGGCAGCCGCTGCTGTCACCAGTGCAGGCAGTGCAGAAGCACCAGGGCTCCTAGCTGCTGCTACTTCATTCGCTCCAAACCTGAATGAACAACCATGTTCAGGCTCTGCAGAGTTCTTGACTCGCATGATAGCATTTCAGGTGGCTGCTTGAAATGACACAAGCTTGAGCTCTAGAGATAGGTGCACAAACATGGCTGGGTGCACACCTTGCCGGAAGAGCTTGGGCTACTGGCCTCAATTCCTCCGCGTGTAGCAATGGTCTCGTTTGTTCCGCCCTGCTTGGTTCGCCTGCAACTGCAATGCACGCACACAGATCAGCAACGCACTGGCTGAATACCCTCAAGCATTTCTAGCCCCTGTGAAGGGCAGCCGACACGCTTCTTGAGTGTTTACGGCTCTGCGAAGAATGCCTGCAATTTTCTTGATACACTAAAGACGCACAAGGCAATTAACTCACAGTCATTGTCTTGAACGGTGATCCAACACCTGGCTAGAGCTCACCTCTGCTCAAAACTGCAGCGAAACCTTGCGCAGCAGCGCTGTCAAGGAACCGCGAAGCTGCCCCGGGACTCGGACTGGTTTTGCCCGAGGGCCCAGGCGCGGACCCAACTCGCTCATTGCCATGAGCCGGCAAGTTGCCACTTCTGCGGCGCACAGCAGGCTCCAACGAGGCCGCCTCCTCGCCCACGCTATGGGACTGCCTCCTTGCCTGTGACGTGGCCTCCTCAGCATCGGCTCTGCCCGGCGATGTGTCATACACGCCGGCTGCAGCGCTCTCGGAGGACGAGGTTATCTGCTGCTGACGGCTTTTCTCCGACCCCTGCCGCAGCATCTGCGAGCCGAGGCGCCGCTCGCTGGCATCTGTGGGGGTCACAGCGCGCATGGCGCCGCTGCCGGTCCTCGCGGCCGTGGCCGCGTCCCCTACGGCGGGCTCGCCGCTGTACTGCGCAAAGGCGGAGAGGCGCGAGGAGCCGAGGCGAGACGCGGACGGCTGTTGCTCGGGCTGCGGCAGCAGCGCGGGCCGCGGCTGGCTGACCGAGAGGAGCGTCGCCGCGTCGGCGGCGGCGTCCTCGTCATCAGCTCCAGAGAACAGCCCCGCCGCGGCGGCCGACAGTGCCGGGTCGCGGCTGCGCCGTGGGCCAAGCAGGCCGGCTTCCCCGGCTCCAGAGCGGCCGCCGCGCGGGACGGCGCCGCCGCCACCGCTGCTGGACGCCGGCAGGCTGGTGCTGCTCGAGTACTGGCCTGAGGCGCTGGCGCCAGCTGCATGCGCTGCGCTGCCGGCCCCTGGGCCCTTGGCGGCCGCTGCGTTCTTCTTGGCCTGCCTCCTCCTGACAGCAAGATCGTTGACAAGTTTTTAGTCCATTTATTCCCCACAAGGCATAGCATCAGAACCATCAAAATGTTGAGCTCTGTTGAGAGAAGTAGCAACAATTGGGACCTCACAGAGCTGTGCAAAAACTGAACTCTTGGGCCAATCACCTGGCATTGTGCCTGTCTAGCTGTGCGCGGCAGGAGCGCTGACTGCCCTCGAATTCTGAGAGCTCATGGCAGCGGCCGCACTGCTGGCAGAAGCGCTGCAACTTGCCTTGCCGCATGAATGCCGGCAGCCGTATGTGCACATTGCATATCCGGTATCGAAAATGGTACGTGCTGAGCTCACACACATCCCTGGTGCAGTCCTCGACCTGCAGTCCCCGTTCATGAGAGCAACGATTTACAAAAGGACAAAAATAGGCGTACTCCTTGCAAAAGAAGGTTTCTACGATGACCCCTCAAACAATGTCATCCTGCTCAATTCCCACAAGGAATGAAACGCCTTTTTATGAATGACAATCTCCCTTGGCAAGGACACAACATGGACGAGCACCTGGCAAGTGAATGGCCGAGCTGACGTTTGAGAGCGCCGCTGTTTGGTGCTCTGCACCTCTGGACCTCCTTGGCCACCTGCAAGAACAAGGTGATATTCTTCACAATTTCAATCAGGCATCGCATGCAGCATTCATGACATGAAAAAGGTTACAAGAAAGAGAACACTTGCCTTGCAGCAGGCATCGAAGTGTCCACCTGCATAGATCAATCTGAGAAAGCCAGGCCAGGTAGTCAAATACGGATGCCTACTCACCGCTGGGCCCCTGTCCTGCCGCTGCAGCCCATTCGGAGCGTTGAGGAGCAGTGGCAGAGCCAACGAGCGCTGCAATGTCAGCAGCTGTGGCACTGCCTGTCCTCGGTCGCTTGACAGTCCACTGCTGCTGCGGTGCAGGAGGTCCAGCCTGCGGGTCCTCCCGTTGTCGCTTTACCGGCGCTCTCTCCTCGCTCGAAGTCGTAGACATCAATCTGCATGCGCCAACATGGGGCGTTGGCGCCGGAAGGCAGGGCCTTCTATCTGGTACGGGCTACGTACACCCGCAGTACTTGATGGGTTGGCTTCTGGAAGCCTCTGGGCAAATCAGCGGTATCCAGCGCGACTGCTCCGCAATGTCCAACTTTACACATCCCAGGAGCATGCCCGTGTACAAATGCAATATTGCACAAAAGCACAGGACAGGCAGCAGAAACCTGCATACTGCTGCGCTGGAAAGGGCAAGGCAACGTAACCTCGGCATGAATCAGCGGTCTACCGCATCCCAAAGGGCTTCACCTGCTCGAAAGGTGCTTCAGGCACGCTGCACGGCCTCGGAGCCGTCCGCTTTAGCCTCGGAGCCTGATGTCGGTACGGCCGTACCTCTTTAGCCCGAGCGGAGCCTAGCACGCTCAGCGCGTCAGACTGCTCGGTGCCCGGGACGGCCGTACGCCACCAGCCACGACACAGCACCCCGACGGCCTCACAGCAATCCTTCCCTGGGTCATGACTGCAGAATCTGAACCGCTGACGACAGCGTGAGCAAGGCCGCACTGCCTCAGATCGCTGGGTGTCCAAAACAGGCCACGCGGATTGAGGCTTATTCACTCGTGACTCACCTCGTACACAGGGTGAATGGACCTCCTGGGACACCTGGCGCAGGACACCCAAAATAATTTGTCACATTCAGTGGACGGCCAGCCACTGTAGGACCAATTATTTTGAGGCATCAGTGGTGATGGTGTGTATAATTGTGGTGCTGCACATGCGACAACAGCAAGATGATGGATGATGATGGATGATCACAACCCACGCGCACACATGGCCGCCAGCGTGGCTTTGCCACGCCAGCGGCCGTATCCCCGTCGGAGGTGAATTTCATTGCCGCAGCTGCAGCGGCTGGCATGACTCATCGGATGCATGGAAGGGCATTCTCCTAGCGGGAATGCCACATCCCTAGGATGGTCCTGAATCATCCGATTGGAGGAAATGGTATGCTGACAACAACTGTAAAGTGGTTAAGTAGCTTGTTCAAAAGAAAAATTGAGTGATCACCTCATGAGGTTCAGTGAGCAGATGGATGGGATCTGGCCAGATCAGGAAACACTAAACCCTTTGTCGCAGATGTGTCTAAACCTATTCAGACAGATCTTGTCAGGAGGCTTTGCCCAAGCTAAAGCCTTCAAATCTATTCCAATCATTCAGTTGGAAGAGGAAATTGGAGTCTAAAGAGCTGATCGCTAGTTGCCTTTGACAGATCCCAAACGGCACGATGTAGGACTGTCAGGTCGCTGCAATCTTATTTGTGACGACCGTAGGAGACAAAATGCCTGCAGCAAATCTCCTACACGTGCGGCAGGTAACGCTGCATGTGCCTGTATCTGTGCATCCTCAACAGCTCTGCGACTTGCGACTGAGTGTAAGCCCACACCAGGTGCTCCAAATTCATGAACGCATCGATATGTCAGCTTTTTCTGATACAAATGCGTATCTTACTGTCGCAGGCCTGCAGCCTTTCGAGGCTGCCACACCTAGGCGCGCACAGTGGCACCAACAGATCTCATAGCATCAGATACCGGCAGAGATGCTGTGGGCCAGTACGGTGCCTAGTAGCCACAGCGGAGCCCATCATCAGCGCCAAGGCAGAGCAGAAGCTAGCCAAGAGGTGCAGCATTCATACTGTCACATCCCTTGATGTGTATGGACAATGCCTGCGTTTTTGGCCAAGAAGCACCCTGGCAAGTGAGGGCTGCTATTCAATGGATGTTGTGTGCACCTGCAACACAAGTCCAAACAAAGCAGGCCTAGCATTCGCGCACTGCTGACCTGGATGTGTAATGTGCTGTGCAGGCGACTAATAATGATGCGCCACGCGGACAGTGAGGAGCGGTTGCAGAATGTGCGCGACCACGACCGACCCATCACAGAGGCCGGCAGAGCATGCGCAATGGAAGTGAGGCTCCTCATTTACCGCATTGCAACCTCCTTCCCTGTGTTACAGAGAGTATATCTAATTACTTTGCCCACAGGCCCTCAAGATAGGGCAGGGAGCCCTTTGTTTGCAGACAGCACGTCCTTTTTGGAGCAAAAAGCATGTCAGGAATTTCCCTCATGGATGTGAGCAAGCTTGCCAAAAAATTTGCCGTGAAGCGATGCCCTGGATATTTTTTAGTTTGGACTCAACGGCTGATCAATATCAGCACATGGCTTGAGAGCGATGCATGAGTGTGTTGTCAGCAGCTCGCTCTGCTTATCCGTCGCATATCAGGAGAAGAATTTGTGGATGAGTGGGGTAATTAGTCATGGCATGACTCTACGCCCGTGGCGCGCAGGTGGCGCAGAAGCTGGCAGAGAGGGGTTGGCTACCGGACCTCATCATGAGCAGCGACTCATCGCGCACGCGCCAGACGCTGTCTACGATGGCGGCCGCGGTGGCGGCCTTTGGAGAGGCGGTGACTCACTTTCGTGGCAGCCTCTACACCGTGGCCGCGCTAGATGGGCAGCTGCGGCAGCACCTGCAGGTCAGCTTCCAGGCAGCCCCTGCGATCCTGTGGGGTTGTCCTGTGGTATGCAGGCCGGAGACCTGGTGTTAAACCAATGGCCGCTGGTTTGGGGGGCAGCTGGAACATTTTGCAAATGTTCCAGCACCCAAAGAAAAAACTGGCGCTGTTTGTATTTATGAGCAGTGTCTGCTCACGCGACCAATAATACACGTGGGTAATGTGATTGCTTACAAAGACTTTGTAGCCTTGCAGCGTGCATCTTTCCTTTGATATTGGGAAGCGATGTGCAGAGAGATGTCCACAAGGAATGATGCTATTCCTGAGCTTGTGGGCTGCTCATTCTCCAGGCGGCTGCCAAAGAGTCCCCACCGATTGAGATGATCTTGCCTGAGTTCAGGGGCTAGTGGTGGAGGAGGTGAAGAAGACAGGCGGCGATGTGGCATGCGTGCTCTGCCTTGGGCACAACAAGGGAATGGAGGAGGCCGCCTCCTCTCTCACTGTGCGCCCCTGGAAATCTGTCCTGTCCACACTCGAAAACGTCCTCTGAAGAGGAAACACTGTCTGCAGATTGCCCCCAACCTTTTGGACAGCGCGGTGGTGCGCCTGCTTGATCGGAACGACTTACACTGGCTCTGTTGCGCCACGGTCCGATGTGCAAAAGAAGGAGGCAAAGGCTCCTCGTTAGACGGAAGTAAATTTATATAGGAGTAGTAAGTAAATTTATATACGATTTGGGGTTTAGGCGTCCTCAAAAACGTCTTAGGCGTCCCTAAAATATACATATATAAAATCTGGGAGGGCAGATGGGGCGAGTGGCTGATGTGTTGGTCTTATTTGCAGGGTAAGACGATAAGATTGGAGACAGCCAATGCAGCACTGCTGGAAAGAGCGGCTGCATCTTGGGAGGAGGCATTGTGCGATGAGCCTTCATGGACACTTGTAGAGCTGTTGCAACCAGATACATGCGTGGCGGGCTGATTGCTCGTCAGGCTGTGCTATTTTCTATGTTCTTTATTGATGTGTTCGCAATACAGTGGGGCTGACAAGAATGACTATAGTGCCACACTGGCGGTGAAGCTCTGTCTGGGGGCTTTCAAGAAGTGGATTGTGAGGTTGAATGAGCCTGGGCAAGTACGGCAATAGCATGTCAATCATGCACATCATTCAAGATGATAACACAATACATGTTGTCAATCGCACAATGAAATTTGAACAACATCTGAAAGCCCCTTGCGCATGTAGCACATTGCAATTGTCAATGTGTGTTCTTGAATGGGTTCATGAATTCACAATTTGACTTCAAGACAGTCACAAACATTGGCAAATGGCGCATGACAGACAGCTACACGCCAACACATCTCTCTGGATGCTTTCTAGCCTGCAGATGTCAGGCAACAACAGATGCAGAAGACGCCAGCATGGCAATACGCACTGGCATCCACTGCAATTCATGTTTGGTGGGTGGTGTCAAAAGGCGGAGGCGGCACAGTGGATATAATTTCACTTTGCATGACCATCAATGTCCACCCTTTGCTGCACTCCTGGCCAAACTTTCATGCGTCTGTCAGACACTCAACATCAAACGTTCAACTACCCAGGCCGCACTCCTGGGCACAAGAGTGCTGCCGGCCTTCCAAATAAAATATTCGAAACGCAAGCATGCACCAAGTATTAATGAGCAAGGCACTCCAAGGAGTCACTGTGAGAGTGCTACAGAGCCCACTGTAGAAAAAATTGCAGCAAAAAATATGTTCTGCATTCGGCAATCAACTCAGCATTCCTTGACTGATTGTAGGATTCGTCCTTAGTAAGTGATCACTGCACATGGCCCTGAGTCATGTCATTCGTGGGCCTGCGGCTGTTGTCCAATGCATGTGATGGAGCCTCTGCTGCTGCCTCTGAGCTTGGCGCTGTCATGCCTTGGACCGCCTGAGCCGGAGTGAATCCTGCGCTAGAAAGCCAAGGTGAACTGTTGCGCCGATTGTGACATGCCTATGATGTCATGATGGCATCCTGCCGCAACCGCTTGAAGAAATTGTTTTGACTCGGCTTTCTTTGCAATCTATACTTGTGAAGGTGGAAGACAGACAGGCATGCCTTGTTGTTTTCATGAGTAACAAGCTGTGCACTTCGAACAGGAACATTCTTCGCGTAAACACAAAGGCAGGTGATTGTAGGTTATGATTGCCGGCCCCAAAATCATGCACAAGAATGCTCACAAGAATGCTCCCATTCTTTGCACTTGTGTGCCATGCGCAGCGCTTTGCGTGTGCATAACTAGATACAGCCAGGTTATTCTAATAGGGATGTGCCATGACGCATGTACAAACCAGTAATAGCCTTATTACTGCCTAGAATAGCTTTGCTGTTTCTAGCACATAACCCGCAGCAGTATTTCCTACCGTCGATGCCTATGCAAGCACAAGCCGAGCACAAGCTCCCAGGCACAGAGCAGAAGAAGCCCTTGGATTGACCCACCTGGGAAGCCCTGCATGAGGTCTCCTTCGTGAACTCCAACAGCTGCAGCCGCCCTGCTGACAGACACCGCCTCCTGCCCAGCCTCCACCTCCGGAGATGCCTCCGCTGCCCGCGCCAGTGGACACGCCCTATTGTCCGATCCTGTATCACAAAATTGCTGTCAAAGTCCGCAGCAAAGGCATAATCTGTGGCGCACAGGTGCATGCACCCGCCATACACTCTGCCCAGTGGGTAAGCCGGGAATGGTGACCCTCAGCTACACTCAAAGAACAACATGTTCCCCCAGCGCCCAACTGGCCTCGTCCCATCCACCAGATAGTTCAGCTAAAGAGCATCCACTGGCACGAGAAGTCGTTCAGGGAGTGCTACCAGCTCCCACCCTTGTCTCAGCCATTTACACCAGAAGAAAGAGCAGACATGCATGCACGCAAGGTGAGGCCTAAAATGACCCTGCTTGATGTTGATTGATCTTGCTTGGCTCGAGATGCTTGCAGTGTCATAAAGGGTGCAATTGGCAACCCACCGTCGGACCCAAGGGGATGATGCTCGCTGGAGAGGTTGCGCGCAGACTCCCTCTTCTTGACCGGCTTTGGAAGCACCTGCATCAGCACATCCCCAGGCATGCTGATTTCCTTTCTGCTGTCCTCCCACTTCCCTTCCAGGCAGCATTGCCTTCACGCCTTTTAAAGCATCAGAGCAAACAGCAAAAAGAAATTGATGTCAAGTGCACAGTGTGCTATTTTAGTGTTCACCTAAGTAGAGGAATATGTACACAACCTATTAGGTATAGGTCCCAACAACTTCCGCACAACTCATGAAGATGCCAGGACCACACGGCATGTAACAATACACCTACCTGCTCCTCATGATCTCTGTTTGGGGCGGGCAGATGAAATTATTTAAGCAATATGGTCTTGACACACTGTGTTCAGAGAGGAATCCGACCAGCAATATCTAGCATTGATATCTAGCAGCAAGGGAGAGCTTGTTGTGATACCTTTTGTTGTAAAGCAAGCTTGCTTGGGTTCCCATAAGGGGGCCACAAGGGTTCCTATATCTAGCGCACTGAGACATAGATATCCCTGCTCTAAAGGGTTGTGGCAGTCCAATGATGGATGAGTGAGCAAGGATGACTCACCTCGCCGTGGCCGTCATGAGCATAGAAGAAGTCTCCGGAGTGGGCCGGCATTTTGCTGCGCGGCGGCGAATCCAACGAGTTCTCCGAGCGCGCCATGCCGGGCTCCGGCGCTTTGCGCTTCAGCGGCGGCGCCTGCAACACACACTTATTACATCACCATTGGTCATTGCGACAACACAAGAGATTTGGAAGTAAGGTGGCATGCATGACTAAACGGTCGTGGATGGCTCCGTTCTGGCCACGCTTCCACTCTCACAGAAAGACGCCAACGATTCCACAAGCTTCATTGTAATCACAACTTGAGCGTCCTAAGCCATTGTCAACAACACAAAAGCTATGATATTATGTTGGCACAACTGCACCGTCTGTGGGCGGCTGTCTGGCCAGGATTAAACCCTCGCAGGAGGGCTGACACACATATCCACATGCCGTGCAGGAACACTCCAGGCCACACACAGACATCATGATGTGAGGGTGTATGTTAAAGGGGCTGCAGGCTGCGTGCCATTTGGGCAGAGCTGTAGCTGCTGATGGGCGTGGCAGCGCTCTCTGTGCGCAGGCTGCTGCTTGTCCCCCGCTGCAGCCCCTCCCCACCACCTGCTGCCACATCATGGCACCAATTAGACTTTTCACACCTCTTTTCTAAAGAGGTGTCCTGGTGGTACCTGCTGCTCGTTGCTGACACCCACAAGGTGTTCTTCGCCATAGGAAGATAGGTGAAGCACTCACTGGGCAAGCTACGTGATGAGGAGAAGGACCTTGCGGTTCTGCTTGAAAAAACGAACTCGTATGTTTCTTTTCCCTTTGGACTGTAGCCACCTACTAGCTGGGCACAAGCAAAAAATCCAGGGACACCATGCAACTGGCCTGCAGCTGCGGCGTGGCCGGGCAGTTCCCATCCGGGGGCGTTGCCTGCCGCCTGCCGCTTGTGGCCTACCGCCTTGTCAGCATAGTGCAGCCGCTCCTCCACCGGCAGCTGCGCCCACCGCTGACCCACCAGCTGCACATGCACATTCGAAATTCAAACAAATGCCCCAGTGCATCATGCTCCACTGTCTGATCGTGCTTGGCAAGGAGGGAGTCATGAACTTTGAGTAGAGGGGTCAATCTTACCACCAGCTGTCAATCAGACTGCGAGCTTCGTATCAGAAGGCACAGCAGAAAGCACAAGTATGCCGGTCCTGGATTCCCTGATACCTTGTGCCATGAAGACATCAAAGCTCTGCCTACGTGCACACACAACCCTTTTCATTTGTGATCGGAAACGGAAATGGGAACTGCCAACCTTTTCTATGTCGGCGGCATTGGCGCCGGGGTTTTCGGCGCGCACGATATCGCGCGCTTCCAGGCCATACGCAGTGAACGCCGTCCAGCCCCTGGTGGCCCGGGGGGCCTGGGGGGACCGGCGGTGGCCACCGGTGGTACCCCGCACCCCCCGGCCCAGCTGCGCCGCCAGGTCTGCAGCGGCAATGTCACGCCGCGGCCTTATCTCGCTACCATATTGCTGTGCCTGCGCCAGAAGAGGCAATCCTCACTGATGACAACGTCTCAGCTTTGTTGGCAGGCTGCCTTCAGATGTGGTAGCCGCATTGTGGAAGACACTGGCAGGCATGCATCCTGTGGGAAACACAAAGCTTCTTTGCAGGTCGTGCTTCCACAAGAGTTCAAGGGGGGATGCCAGGCATAGCTTTTTCTACAGTGTGACTGTCATGTGGGCTAGCTTCTGCACACTTTGACCGGCAAAGCGCCGCTCACGGGTGTCAAGAAATGTGATAACTGTACAGCCGAAGGATTGCAATATTCCCTGTTTTTTCTCCACGCACTAGACACCCAGGGAGCAGGGTGCATCTGCAGAGAAATTACAGGTACAGGCTGCCATAACTTCCACCCTTGCTGGACTTGTCGGATATGAGCACGGTGCCCAAGTTTACACTGCCCCTGACCAGCCATGACATTGCAATGGTGTGATATACAATGGCCAAGCTTGAGGGACTTAGAGCAATGGGACTTAGAGCAGAATGGCACCACACCTGGTCAATGGCTCCGCTCAGATCCATGTGCCAGTCGCGCAGCGAAGCAGCCCGCCGAGGCGGCGACCGCTGCGCCAGCCGGTGCGGCGTGGACGGAGAAGAGGTGTCAGTTCGCGGCAGAGGGCTGCTGGGATGCAGCCGCAGGCCTGCCATGGCAGACTGCCTCTGCACCTGCGGCCTGCCCTGCATCACGCCAAAACCTGCGCAGCATGCATCTCTCCTGTCAGTCTCCGCACAGCCACAGCCACAGCCTTCAGTCTTCAGCAAGTGTGTGCAGAATGCGGCCTTCTGCACAGAGCCTGCTTGGTGCATTGAGCTTCTGATGCTTGCGCGGTGCAGCATGCGGGGGAGTGCATTCTGATTGAGACAAAGAACGCCACAGAGGTCGAGGACACGAGAAGTACAAAGGGTGCCACTGACAGCTGTGCTGTAGTGCGTGGTGGCTATAAAATTGAGACGGATCAAGAAAGTTTCTGAGATAAATCTCCCAAAATCGGTGCATTTGGGCGAATACTACTGGGAAAGGATGAAACATGGCACTGGTTAAGTATCATATAGAAGCCATACGGTGGCATCAAAGTGGGACATCCTCCGGTAGCTTATGCGCCAATAAATGCCCTGTTCATTTGTTTAGAGCCACGTTGGCTTCTAGAAGCCACTTTTAAGGGAAAACCCCTGGATACGGTTGGGGCAATACTGAGGTACCCTCCATTCGTCCAGAGACAGATGAGGCACATCCACGACAAAGGGAGATGATGATGAAAGCAATATGGGGAGGTGATTTGTCGAAAAGGGGTATAGGGGCGCAGGGCTGTGCATGCTGATGCAGGCATGCATACCTTGGGGAAGCTCTGGGAGACGCGGGGCTACCGGCTGCTGCCTCTGCTGTGATCTGCATAGCACCAGCTGCACAATGGGATGATCAAAGCCAAAGGCCTGCACAGGAGCCCCACAAACACAGAATTCAGTCCTGAAATCTAAATATCAACAACGCTGATCTGAACAATTTCAGAACTGATCTTAACAGCATCCCTGCTTGCTGTCAAGCACTTTCCTCCTCATGGTCAAGGGCTGGCTGCTAAGGGCTTGCATCCAAAAATGATGCCAAGAAGGTCCATATGACCTAAAGCGGTACACGGGTCATAATGATGCCAAGAAGATTAGCCCGGGCGGAGTCCATTTGGGTGTGCCAGTCTGGGATCTTCCCCCAGCAAAGCAGTGACTTCTTGGGGAGATAAAGCTCACCTTGACGCCATTAGTCACGTCCAGGGTGCCGATAAAGAGTGCCAGCTTGGCAAAGGGGGCTGTGGGCGTGTTGCCTGCAAACTCCTTCCCGCTGTCCCATATGACCTGAAGCGGTACACAGCAGTACTGCGCTTAGAATTTCTCTGGAGGTTCTTTGTGCGTGGCATATGTCTGTCGCTGCAAGCAAACTTGTGCAGTGCATCATGTTTACCATGATGGTGCTCTCACCACAAATTCCAGCTGGCCAGATGCGTCCTTTGGTCTGATAATCATCTCACAGCCCTGCCCATGGATGTAAGCGCTTGCCCTGGACGAACAGCACGAAATTATCCAATCTTATGAGTCGAAAATATCGCTTCTTTGACCGCAGCATTCCTGAGAGAGAGCGCATACAAGTAAAAACAAATGGACAGCCCAAAAGCCGTGCACATATTGCCTTGTCATGTCTCTATCAATTTCCTATCGGAGAATAGAACGCCAGGAAGTTGTACCTGTAATTTAGAGGATAGAAGAACAGATCTCTTCCTCCCTGGCGGTAAGAAAAGTCACTGGCGGGCCCTTCGCCGAAATGCCACACAGTTGTGCGGTACCTGGACCGCAAGGAAAGAGGGGCCACGACAATAACCTGCAAGTCACCAACTTTCCATCATTGAGGTCTTGACCTCAGTGCATGACCATCATCATGCATGTAGCGGACACATTTCCTCGTGATTGGCTCATCTGGGACGTTGGTCGCGTGCATGCTCTCGCACACAAGACTTCGCGTAAATCAAAACTTGCGCTGAGCGCATCGTGGCAAATCAATGGTAACAATTTCAACAATAGATGCATAGTCGCAAGCTACCTGATCGGTGAGATTTGTGCTTTTGTGCTGCAGGAGGGATCCAGAATTACCCATCAACATCGGTCAGTTAAGAGCATTGATAGTACTTCTGTTGCTTTTTGCATCGTAGTACTGGCTAGAGTCATGTAATTGCACTTTGCGTCAAGAATTTCTGCGCATTCTTACAGAGTCCTATTTTTGTCTCCTCACTGAATGTCGCCGTCTTACTTCCTGCATGCAAAGTGCGTTGCCTGTCTAGGCGTGGAGAAGTCCAAGAAACACTCCAGCTTCCAGGACGGATGCCGGCGGCTTCCTACCCACGTGCCACTTGGTTGAGGTCGATCTTTAATTTTGCTTCAACATACTTGAAGCAGAACTCCAATTTACAACCAAATCCTTGACGGCAACACTGGATGTATGCATCTAGACCGCCGCATGCCATGCCAGACAGTGTCTGCTAGTAGCTAAGACTCCATCTTCGGAATCGGATTCGGAATCAACAGCAAACACATGAGAGCATCACTGCGTGCCAGCAACTATCCGGCAATCTCTATAATGTTCCTAGACGTGTTAGTCATCAAAGTTTTCCCGAGCACCAAACTACTAATGCATGCACTGGCAGTCATCAGCTATTCAAAATACAGACAGTGTCACTGATATTGATATCAAGCAAACACACGATGTGACAGCACATCCTGAAAATCATGCAAAGCCCTGGAAACCCCCTTATGATCAGCCTTCAATCAGCACCTTGCCTCCGCGGCCCACATTCAATGATGCCTTCACTGCATCCACAGCCCTCTCCAGAGGAAAGACCTCACCTGAGCAGTTTGCGGTAACAACTCTCAGCACCAGAATAATGCACCCTGCATGCTTGATAAGCAGCGTGTATTTGGCCTACTCTTTTCCCGAACAATGCATATGTGGAGACTACAGCTCAGGCCTTATTCTCTGCAAGGCCTTTCCTCTGCTCCAGACCCCCGCACCTTTGCAAAGCCACCGCTCAAGCAAGATAGGTATTGAAGGAGCATCGCAGCACTGCACATTATTGATATCACAGGTCGGTAAATCTGAAGTTGAAGTCCACAGGGCATACACGCAGGTGTCTGCAGCCACATCTGCGGGCCTACAACGTCTGCAGCCTAGGATTGGGTCGCAATCATATCTCAAGGACCCCCTCACGCACTCCCCTTGCGATGCCATTGCACCAGCAAGACAGCTGTTGAAGGAGCATTGCAGCACCGCACATGCGGCATTGCATGGCAGATTGTGCGCACCAGTGTAGGGCTGGATAGTGCCGTCCAGGAAGAGGTCCCACACTTTCTGCAGCTTCTTCTTGCCGTCATCGCCACCCCGGTACAGCCAGTTGAACAGCACCCATCCTTCCACCTTCTTTGCCTGCAGAACCAATGTGCACCAGTTACTCACCTGCACCCCTGCAGAACTACAGACCCCATTAAGACCAATTGCTTCTTGTGCGCAGATCCAATTTGGACCAAATGGTTCATGTGCACTCTACAGAAGCACATCGCAGGTGATCCCCATAATCCTGTACTGCAGGCATCTCTATGACTGTAGCAGAGCGACATGGGGCAAGGCAAGATGTTCATTAGTCTGGCTTAATTTCAATTCCACTATTTGGGGTGGGCCATGAAAGACCCTAACTCCCTTTATTTTCCGTCCATACAGGCCAGCATCTGCATGCTGGAGGCATCTGGCACGCCAAGTGCTCAGCTGGGAACATTTTTGGCCACGCGCTGCCTGTCAGTCAGACTATCAAACCCAACGGACCTGTAAAGTGGTACTCTCATGCACCTAAAGGCTGTCGGGACCGGGATTCTCAGCCCTAGTGTTCAATGCATGCAGGACAAAATCTCTGCAGTCGTGACCGCCCTCCCCTGAACATTAGCTTCCCAACAGCAAGCCTGAATGGCCTCCTCTGCATTTTCAAGCAGGGGTACTCAATAGCTCGCCCTCCAAGGGTCCGCCTGAATGCTGCTCTCCACAGTGGCCCCGGTGGGAGAAGGGCGGATAAATACCGAGCATCAAGCCCACAATTGCTTAGGTTTTCCTTGACCTTGCGAGTCCATCAGGTAATAGGACATTGGCAGTCTTGACTGCAGCTTGTCTGCACACGCGTCATGCCTCTGGAAGGAGAAGCTTGCAAATTGGTAATACCAGTGTGGCCATATCAACTTCATTCGCTTCCGCACCTGGTAAATGACCTTGAGCACGTTGTAGGAGACCTCTGGGCCTCCCAACGCTCCATACAGCAACACTCTGCCGTCCTCCCGAATGGAGTCCAGAACACTGCCAATTGCCTTACCGCCAATTGCATCCAGAGCGCCATACGCCCCCTCCCCGCCTGTATATCACACACATACACACCAATCCCTGAGCATGTCAGTGGAGGCACATAGGAAAGCACCGGCCGGTGCATGCGGCCATGTGCCGTAACTACGATCATGATTTATGCCCAGTTTCCAAGCTGCATACTATGGGAGTCGCCAACACACATATATCTCTGAGCAATGCCCCAGTCTCCAAGCTGCATACTATGGGAGTCCCCAACACGCACGAATTCGAGAAATGCCCCAGTTTCCAAGCTGCATACTGTGGGAGGCCATCTGTGGATGCAAGTGGTGAGCTTTGCATGCATGCAATCAGGCAATCTCTCACAGGATCCCGCAAGCTTCTAAGATGCAATGGGCTGAGTGCTTTGTGCACGTTGTAACTTGAGTTGGTCCAAACGAAGGCACTAGGTTGCAAAAAAGCTAATCTCTCGTCTTCATCTCTTGTGTATCTGCTATTGTTTCAAGTTCCCAACTGGCCAGCTCGAATTGGATTTAATCAGGCCAGAACAATGTTGGCATGACTTTTTCTGGCGCTCTTCTACATTGGGCACAACTAAGAAGGGCAAGTCAATCAGCAGAAGTGAAGCCTGCATGCACGCACCTGTGATCTCTTTGACCCGCGAAACGAGGTCCTCTGTGTCTGTTGCAATGACTTCATCGGCCCTGCAACGAGCACATGATCCCCGTCATGCGCTGCCTTCAAGCTTGTAACACACCGCAGGGGAAAGGCCATGTAATTACCATTTCATATTTTCATACTTTCCTTATTCATGCATGGAGCACAGTGCATGCGCTCCTTATGTGGAGCTGTAAAGGCGGCACAAAGGTTCATGAGCCACAGACAGTCAGCAGGTAGGCAGCCAGCTCGAAAAGGAGCTTACCCGAGGTCCAGAAGCTCCTGCTTCTGCGCGCTGCGGCGCACAACGTTGATGGTCTTCACTCCTTGCTTCTTTGCAAGCGCGATGACAATGCGGCCCAGCACCGAGCCGGCCGCTGTCTGCAGCAGCCACTTGCCCTCTGGTACTGCAATGTCCTCCACCAGCCCATATGCTGCCATGGAACAACCAGAGACTTTCAGGAACTGCTTCATCACAAACTACTTGAAAATAAAGGCATGTGCGCATGGAAGATCCTGTCATTGCCTGATGCTCGATCAGAAGTTCATCGCACATGCGCAGTTGGAGTTGATTTGGCTGATGCCAACAAATCGCCAGCAATTCTTTGGAGTCACCATTGGCAAAATGAAGGTCACAGGATGAGGTCCAATGTGCACATGCAGGTGAATAAGCGCACACCAGTCACAGGATTGACGAGGAACTGCGAAGCCGCCTTGGATTCAATAGCGTCCGGAACTCTGACCTGCATAGATGGAAGGCTAGATCAGAATTCCTGCTAGTCTTTGCTTCTTGCCTACAGCGGACTTGCTGGTTGCATGCTCTTTCATGCAGGATACATTGAGCCATGCAGGAAGTGGGCAGCAGGAGGAGAGGAAGGCACCAGATCATCCTCTGGCACCGCCACAAACTGCTGCCAGGTGCCCTGACCAGTGGCCCTGGATGGCCATGGAACTGCCACAACTCTGTCACCTTTCTTGTAATCGCCAGACGTGCCCGGACCATTATCCTCGACCTCGCCATATCCCTGCCGTGACATCATCGATTGTAATGAATGCAGAAAAATATAAGAGTCAATGCCTCAACGAAGCCCCACCTTTCGTACATTTCTTGTCAGATCCCAGGCAAGTCAGGATCAAGCAAGCACTTGATATCAGTGGTAAGCGGCCGTACCTCGAGGCCCGGAACGAATGGCAGGTCCACCGGCGCCCTTCCGGGCATGTCGATGACTCTGTAGACATCGGAAGGGTTGACGGGCCTGCGGAATGTACTGTTGATCTCAGCGAACGATCTCAGCGAATGACCAAGTGAGGGGTGCCCTTTATTGTCATCAGCGAAGCAGCAAAACACGTTGAATTTCGAGTCATCCAAGTCCGGTAGACTGAGTGACATTGATGTCTCCTGGGTTTTCAGACCTCTTCACGTAAACAGTTACTTGATCGAACGCACCACGTCCGCGTAATTCGACAACGGCTACGAACGGATGAATTGGGTAAAGCTTCAACAGAGTAAATACCTGTACAGCACTCTCACGAGGATCTCGCCATCCTTGGGGGCCGGAACGGGTGCCTTTGTGATCTGAAGGTTGTCCTCGAAGTCTTCAGTGAGCTTGCCATCCTTACCAGTGGCCTGGACTACGATCTGCTGTGCCATCGCAAGAAATGAAATCAACAGTAATTCTACCCTTTGGACAAATTCGCGATCACCACACCTGATTCCGCTGGTGTTCTCGTCAACTTTGGAAATTGAGCCCTGCCCGTGTGCATGCTGGGTCTCCCACGGAGTTCCCAGGTTGCGCGTTGTTTCTTTCAAGCCCTGCCACTCAGCATAGCACACACATCAAAATCAGTTGTCGGTGATTGACAGACATTGAGTATAGCTCTGTGAGGCTCACCAAAATACCCTGATCCCGCTTTGCTCGAGGCTAATTCCTGTGATCAAGTGAAGCTAGCAATCCGAACAATCAGCACGAAATAATCCAACTGTATTGCTAGGCAAGCATGAGAACATAATTAAGCACAGTCCGAAACGGACGGGGACACCTGTTGTACCGTGTGCCGTGGGACTCCCAAGGCTGTGGTTACATGGCATTTGAACTCCACTCCAATTCAGTCAAGCATTGTCATTGACTGCACAAGCCTGATTTCTTGGGGTGGAATTCGGAAAGACGTTGGCCTGGGCAGAGAGTGGAGCTCCGCTCAAGAAGTATACACAGGTGCTGTGCTCTTGTTTGTTCCTGTACGTTGCTTGCCCTGTCCTCAGAGGTTCCAGTGCAATTACCTGATCATTGCAAAGTCCAAGGTCCCCGGTCCAAAGTGCATAGCCAAAGTGAAATGGGATGCGAACCTATATCGTCACAATAAAGCGGGCAAGCAACCCTCGCTGACCATTGCAGTGTCAGCAGATATGTGCCAAAGGATGTACTGGAATGCTGTGCAGATGGCGCAGCAGCGGATAGACAGGCTTTGGTCGGAGGTGCAGCGTACTGAGCAAAAGATTGAGGAGCAGCAGGAGAAGATAGAAAAGGCCATTGAGGATGAGAAGCCCCAGAAGCTTGTTGACAGCTACATGGAGGAGAAGGCTCGCCTAGTCGCAAAGGAGAAGGACCTGAGCCAGCAGCTGATGGCCCTGCAGACGCAGCTGATAACCCCAGCAGGTGAGGCCCTTGCTGGCGCTCCCAGATGATGACTGGTCCAATGACCGGCTCTAAGATCTGCTTTCAAGTGCTGCCAAATGTGTTAGGGCAAACCCGTCATGCTTTGTGAGGGCTGGGCTGCTGTGTCCTCTGCACCTCTGTCCAGTCACATGCGCCTTGCCTGCACTGGTCTCCTCTCTACTGTGACCAAAAGGCGCTGGGGCTTTGATGCAGTCTGGCATGCACACTACGGGTCTATGCAGCAGGTCGCCATAGGTGGTTGAGATTCCTTGGGGCTTGCAGGCATGAGGGCCGTGGAATATCAGGCGTCCAACGGCATAGATCATCGCCCTCTAGGTGCGGCTGCTTGTGTTGAATGCGAGCAAAGGATGGAATAGGCATGTTTTGATTTGATGTAGTGTCTGATTGCATAGCATTCCTGTCTGCGATCACTGCTAGTGGGTGGATCGTGCAATTGTTGCCCACTGTTGTCTCATCAGGCATGCACAATCGACCAACCGCGCCGTGTCTGGGAATGGGCTGTGCTCAATTCGGCACATGGTGTCTGGATGAGTAAACTTGTGATGTGATGCATGTGAAGGGAGGCGTTCTGTGGCGACTGATGCCACCAAGCCAGACAGCAACTTCTATGTGGAGAGTGCCATGGTGGACAGCCTGGCCGATGACATGGCCACAGGCTTGGTCGTGCTGTACAGAGATCCTCGTCAAAGTGGGAAGACCACGGACGCATTGGCAGTATGCCGTCGGCTGCGCCAATCCGGCATCCAGGTGCAGCACATGCTGGCGTCTTGTCATGTCCTGCTGTGGCAGCATAACTCTTCAGGTGAAAATTGTCAGAAAAACACATGATATAGGAGGACATGTCATCAGCCAACTAACAAGCTTTTGCGTCACTGAATTTGCCTGAGAACTACTTCTTACTTAATAACTGGTGCAGCAACACGAACAAGCTCGCAAATGCTTTGTCTGCATCACATGGCAGCAGGCTGCATATGCATCTCATTCCTGAGCTGCTGAGGTGCCTATGTCCCTGTCAAGCCTGCCGAAGGCTGCTGAATGGGCTGCTTGCGCAGGTCGCATACGTGGATCTCGGTGATGCGGCAGGGAGTGCTTTTGACGAGGCGGCCACAAATGCGGAACCAATCTGGAGGGAGGTGCTGGAGGAATTTGACATCGCCGGGGTGCCTGGCAAGTCAAGCTACCGGACCTTCAGGAGCTTTTTGAAGCGTCCTGAGGGCCCACGGGTGGCAGTGGTGTTTGATGAGTGTGATACTCTGCACCAGCTGCCCGTCGTCTTCAAACGCTGGCTCATGGGCGTTCGTTTGTTGTCGCAACAGCGTTTCCCAGACAGCAGGTAAGGTTTTGCATGCGCGATAACCTGCCTGCCCAGCATGCGCTTGACATTTCTCAGGGCAGCATATTTCCTTGCTACCTGCAATGTGGTTCTGCACAGATTGTCAATCCCAGAGGTGTGTCGCGTATTCTGTGGCAGGCTGTGTGGCCAGATGCTGGTGGGCACACCGCGCATGGAGGAGGCCATCCCCAATTCCCTGGACGGCATCGCATGGTCCAAGCTCATAGTGGTAAGGACCCCGAATGCCTGATGCTGGTCTCAAACTTTTCTTTTCTGCGAAAGACTGCGATGGTGTGCCTCAGCATCTCAAGACTGGTGCGGGCCGATGCCTCAAACAAGCGCTATAGCAAGCACATCTGTATCAGCGCTTTGTACTGTTTTAATGCGAGCCAGGTTAGCAAATTGGCAGGGCTCACCAGGTGGGCGCATGCATCGCAGGGTGCGGTACAATCTCCTTCTCGCTTCTCGCCCACCGAGGTGGGTGAGCTCCTCTGCCAGATGGTCGCCGCACGCAACAGGCGCCTCAGCGACTCCATCGAGGACTGGGCGTCCTCGCTGTGGAGCCACACGGAGGGGTCCAAAGGCCTCACGGGCATTTGCCTGCGAGAGGTATGTCTTGCTCGTGGGGCCAGCCATCTGTATGACCCGGCAAGAGCGGCTGCTTCTGCCGCCCTAGTCATGAGCAGGGCGCTGCATGATATTTTTTTTGTCAAGGATTTGAAGGAAGTGTGCCTTCTGTGAGGGCCAGTGAATGGGGCCCCAATGGGACCTGCGTTGCGGCAGGACCTGTTCAAGACATCTGCCATGCTGCTTGTGGACTCACAATGCCACTTGCGCCATCTCTGTTGCTGCAGCTGGACATCGAGTGCTTCAGCACCCTGTCAGAGTGCAAGCTGTCAGCGTGGGAGAAGTCTCTGCGCCACGACCTGGTCAAGCGCCTGACAAGAGGTACCAGGACGGCATACGATCGCATGCTGAGCGCTGTGGACACCTCCGATCCGACCATGCAGGCGATCATCGAGAATCTTCTGTTGACTGGTGAGCCCTGGAAGCTACTGCAGCATTATCGCATAGGCCAGGTGGCAAGAGACGCCAAACAAGGGCATCGCATGCATCCGGATAATAGTTTGTTGCCCTATGCAGTGTGTTCATGACCAGTCATAGCTATAGTCTTCAAAATAGCAACACTTGTGTGCATTGGAGGCAATCCTGGATGCACTCATGTTCCCATTCATGGGCATGTGCCACCCAGCCGTCGTGGCATGTGAAATTGGCAGTGTCCCTGGCTCAATCTCAGATGGTGGCTTGCAGGGCGCCATGCAGTGCCTGATCCTGACAGCCTCTGCAACGCCGAATATGAACTGCTGTGCGACGGGGTTGTCCGCGTCGCGGGTGTGGCGGGAGGTCATTACCTCGAGGCGTCCTCCCCCATGCTGGCTGCGGCTATGCTTAACGCCGCCCTCGATTCAATTCAGGATTTGCCACAGCTACCAGCGCCGCCGGCAGAGCCCACCGCCCGGTAAATTTGCCATCTCTTGTGAGCGCAATTATCATTCTGCATGTGGTTACTAAATGGCTGCTTTCACAGTCAATCATCCATGCCCCTGGCTGCCCGACTTTTGGCTTTGAGCCTTGAAGCAAGGCTTAAATGCCGCAGCGGTGGGAGTTCGCATTTTCTCATCGCAACATTCGTGGGCAGGGAATTGGGGGAGTACCTTTTGGAGAACGGTTTGGGCCAATTCCAGAGCAGCAGGCTACTGCAAGAGAAGGTCCGGACATCTGATGGCCAGCAAGTGCTGGAGTGGGCATTGCAGCATGAGCTCAGCCGAGGCCTGCACTTCGCACTTCGCAGCGCTGTGTTGTTCACCACCCTGGAGTTCAAGGATCTAAAGCTGGCAGTGGAGGTGCGCAACACAGCGTACCAAGCCCCAGGAGCGAGCGGCGGCGGCGGCGGCGGCGGCGGCAGCAGCCGTAGCAGGAGCATAATTGACAGCGCGCCGGCTGAGAGCCAGACTAGCATGGGTGCTGGCACAGCAGAGTCAGCTCGCAGGACTGGCCCGCCAAGTGTGTCGCAAGGCAGCAGCGCCAGCCAATATGCAGGTGCAACAGAGGCTGACAGGTGCAGGCGTTTAGATTTGTACGTTGGCAATGGTCAGTACAGCACCGGCTATGAGCTCAGCTCGGCAGCCTCAGCTGCGGATCTCAAGGATCACGTCCAGCGCAGTGTCAAATACAGCGAGCAGCACAACTGTCAGGTGTTTGCTGTGAACCTGCAGCGCCCCAAGCGCCCGCGCGGCCGCCCCCGGAAGAAAGCTCTGCCGCCTTCCGAGGCGCTGACTCAGGCACAGCTGAAGGATGCGATGGGAAACTTTGCGTCCTGGCCAAAAGAGCACTGTGACAAGGTATGCAAGGCTTTCTGATACGAATTGCTTCCCCAATGCAAGAAATGCCAGCTCGCTTATCATTGCTGGAGATGCCCAGGTCTGGCCAGTCGGAATCATCACATGGCCTTGTCAACATCACATGGCCTTGTCTGCTTTGGCTGCTTGTATCTGCATCTATGGCTGTCATACTTTCTAGAATGCAAGGCAACTTGCTTTGATGACATCATGACATCCAATCAGGCTTGCAATCAAGTGGACTGCTGAGGCATGTGGTGCTCAACAGGTGGTCTTTGTCAACGTGCTGCTAGAGCTGGAGCTGGGACGCGTCCTGCTGCAGTACGTGGACGAGCCAGACGTGGTGAAGGTGATCCAGCTCAGCGAGCCTCAGGGCCAAGTCCGGGTCACTCGGCCTGCAGTGCAGTCTGTTGCGCGCCCCTCGCAGCCCAGAGCAGCTTTGCGTGCAGCTGGGCACCTTGCCCATTCAGCTCGTGAGGCTCGCCAGCAGCGCATGTGGCAGCCATGCAAGGGCTGGCCAGCACGCGTTCTGAGCATGCCACACCTTGCCTCCGCAACACGCGGCCATGCAGGCGGCTTGATGCGGCAGACCTTGGTGTGACTTACATCATTTTGGCTTATGGAGACTGTTGACAATGAGGGTGACTTGATCATGAACCATTTGCTAGCATGGGAATTCACATGGCCCCTGAATGCCATAGTCTGCAGAGCTGACCACAGCTGCAGCTTGCACCACACAGACCCAGGTGCATTCATGCTGATTGAGACTTTGATGCCAGGGAGACAAAAGGTGATCATAATGGGCAGAGAACAAAACAGCTCATGACACGTACCTGCTGACTGCCTGCTTACACATCTGCTGACTGCCATGCCTTTGGCGGGATCCTAGCCAGGCTATGTGGGCAGTGATAGAGAGCATGCTTGTAAGCCGATTCACTTCCTTCTAGCCCTTCTGCTGCCAAGCAATCTTGCATGCATGGTGCGGACAGTGTCAGCTGACTGAAATCAGACAGTGGGGATCGCAGCTGCAATTCTAGAATAGGGGGGCGAGGTGCTGCAGAAAGGTAGTGTCCCTCTGTAAAGTGCAGGTTGCTCCGATGAGAATGTTTGGCGACATGCATGGAACAAAAATCTCCCTGCTGTGCTTGAAAGCCGCATCCGTACTTACAGGATATCACGATACAGCTGGCCACCTTCGTGGCCAGATCCCAGTGGTCAGCGTGGCGTCTGCATGCGCACATATGCATGTGCATCATGGAGGTGCAAGATCAACCTGCAGTGGACCAAAGGGAGGAGATCTGACGCCTTCAACAGCAGCTGGCAATACATGGTCCTGATGTGGAAGCACATCAGCAAGATGTGCAGAGATGGCCTCTCGTAAAACGAGGATCCCAGGAGTTCAGTCTCTGGAGGATTTCTTTCAAAGTGGAGAAGAGCTGGGCATAGACGGTTTTAGAAGGGCCCTGGGAAGGGAGAATTCCAGTGGCATGTTTCGAAATGGAACTTTCTTACATGGTTGTAATTCTTATAGTCAAGCTTTGCCAAACTTTCTCTATTTCGCAGTTCTCGTTGGTGCTCTCGTCAACTTTGAAAATTGTAGTTGGTGTACCCCTGCATGTGGCTAATCGTCCTCGCTGGATTTCTCGATAATTTATTCGACAAGGGTTTGAAGGGATATCGAATAATTACCAACAATATTCTCGATAATTTCTCCATAAAGTTTCCTATTAAATTACGAATTATATATCGAGAACAGCATCTACAAGCGATCTCGACATCAATAGCTGATAGAGGTATCGATAACTTTGTTCGAAAATATTACCGAGAAAGTATTCACACCATATTTCTCGAGAAGTGTTCTCGAAAAAATGGCAGAATTCCAAAGACAGTATCGACAGCGGGACTGGAACCGGAGATTCTGCCCACAAGTCCTTATTCCGCTTCGAAACCGAAGTTGGCAAACGTACTCGAGAGACCTGCACATGAAGACCTAAAATACCGACAAAGCGACACAATGCTGGTATTTGTCGGAAAAAAATTCCAGAATAGCCCATGCGTTGCCGAAATTTTTATCAAAAATGCCGTTCAAAATGTCGAAACGTATCCCGGGATAATTCACATTCAGTCTTCAGCCTATGTATGGAGGTGCTGTGCCGATCTCTTCTCTTATACTTTAGGGATGAGTCTCGAGCCTAAAAAAATATTTTGCAAGACGTACGAGTCTTCCGTAGCTGGCGAGAATGCACACATGCACGCAACCCTGTTAGATATTGATTAGTGTAACGCTGAGCTTCCTCCTGAACGTCAAACATGGATATTGATACTGGCAACTTTTTGGGTGCTCTTGATGAACTCGAGGCCTTGACTCGATTAGAGGATTGGGTGGCAGCACAAGGTCAGGAACAAGGTCAGGATCACCAGGGCAATCCTGTTGTCGATCGGCATCCTGCTGCCCATGCAATGTCTCAATGGCCGCACGATGATTTTGATGAGCATGACGATTTTGATGAGCCACTAAACGGCTTTGATCAGCAGTGTTTGCAAGATTTGCAAGCTATGGCAGCTGAGCAGCCTGCCTCCCCTCTGGCAAGAACGGGGTTGTCCGATTGGCAGAAAAGGCGGCAGGCCCAGCAGAACTCCTTCATTGCTTTGCGGCCTGCCTTACTTCAGGCTAATCTGCTGAGGCATGCTCTGCCAGAGCCCGGAGCCTGCTGCTCGATCTGTGATCTCCTTGCACAGATCATCTGCTTGGATTGTGATTATCCCTGTGGCAAGCTTCTGTGTGGCCTGTGTGATGAGGCAGCACATCCCTACGCACACCTCCACAGGCGGCAGAGTATCCCTTCTGGGTGCTTGCTACCTCTGCACCCGTTACAGGGAATAGATGAAGGAGGGAGGGAGAGGCACAGAGGTGGGCCTTTGATCACTTCGTTAAAGATTTGCTTACACCGGCAAGCTGCTGAGCAAGGCAGGTAGCCTGAATCATGGTTATTGGTTGCAGGCTTGTGCTTCAATATACGACCTTCTGCATGCTCGGAGTGTGGCTCAGAAGATTTCGCAGCACCCGAACCGACCTCAGATCGGTTGACATATGTCATGCATGGTATGCTCTACACCTCATCTTCTGTCCATAGTGCCATGTCTGAACCCAGGGTACATCTGGAATCTGAGCACAAGGAATGTTTCCTGTTGCTCAGGACGGCTACAATTCTTCAAGGGCCAGTGCAAGTGTGCCTCCTGTGGACACTATGAGAGGCAGTCTCTAACTGACTTTGTCAAGGCTGGCTTCTGGCCTGGGACTGCAGACAGCTCCAGATTTGAAACTCTCTTTGACGAGCGTGTCTTCCAGCGTTTTGCTTCTTTGAAGGAGACAGCGCTGCGGCTGTCCACCAAGCACTGGTTACGAGCGTTTGCTAAGGAGGCGCGCGAACTGGGTGGCTTGGTGTGTTCTTCATTCAGCTTTTTCTTAGCATTGCAGACATTGCAAGCATTCTCTTTCTGTTGTTTGGCAGCACCTCACATCCTTCATGTGCATGCAGGGAGAAGAGTTGAATGCTTCGGGCTTCATGGCCAGCTTCATGGAATGGCGATACATGCAGCAGGACAAGCGCCTCCACATCCAGCGCATTGACGAGCTCAAGTGCGCAGCATGCCAGCCAGCGCCCCACTCTCTGCACATTGACGCCAATATGAAGTTGTTCGTCTATGATCGGAAGTGCGAGCCTTGGCGAGAGGCTTATCATGCAGAGCGATTATTCCTGTCGAGTGAGCTCGTTGTGCAGCACATCAAGGATATTGATGCTGCAATGAACAAGCAGGTGAGAGGCTCATGTCTTTGATGCCCAGAGCTTCCTCTAGTAATTGCGCTCTTAAATGGTACTGCGGTTCACCCGATAATCTGCATCCATGCCATGAGCAGGAGAATGATCGCACGTGCAGAGGACTATGGGCAGCTGCTGGCGACAGAAAGAGCCGTTCAGACAAAATGAGCATAAGCGGCTCATGTTTTGGTAGGGAGATCAGGAGCCATGTTTTACACTTGTGATCACAGGTGCTCTCATACATGTAATCCTGGTGTGATGGTGTCCAACATCTGTGTGCTGTTGCAGCCTTTTGCCGGCATGACGTGCCATGCGCCGCTGTCAATCTGATCAAATCAGGAGAGCGGTACGGCTACAGCCATTTTTTGCAGACGCACCGGCTGCTGGTGAGCAATCCACCGGCATTCATCCATCAGGACATCGCATGCAAGCATGAACCCTGGGGAAAACGAGTAGCCGCTGCATTTGAGGGCAATGCACCTGATCTGGAGTCGACGGCCGCCTACAGGCGCATTGCTGCTACATCTGCTGCGGCGTCTTCAGTCGTGGATGTTTTGCCAGAAGCACATGGACTCCTGCATTCTTGGCCTTGTCAGGTGTGGAATCCATTGCGCAGCACTTAATCATTGTGGTGTCTTTGTTCTCCTGACTAAGTAACAATGTACTGGCAATTCTTGGGTGGTGCAATCATGGGGGAATGTTTGTGGATGTCTAGGTCCTGTATGGCTCGCTTGGAAGGATGGTGCAGGCCGGGGGTCCGGAGAAAATTGCGAGCTTCACTTTTCCTTCCTGTCACCAGCAGCTGGTACCACTTGGCACATGAGCGAGGCTGGTATGTCCTGTAGATGTCCACCTTTCCTTCCCTCCGTCTATAAAGCCCTAGATGTGCTCGGTTAGAAGCTGACCTGCAAAGGATAGCGCTGTGTCGAATATCAACGGCTGGATCATTTGGTGGTTCTCAGGGCGGGATGACTGGCTCACCCATGCTTGCATAGCATGGGGGGCAAGGAAGCGCTGTTTACAGCCACAGCTCCTCACTGACAGGATGTCAACAATGGAGAAAAAGCTGAGTGCTGCATCTGCAGCTCTGGAACAAGAGTGCTGGGCCCTGCTTGGCGCCTCCTCTGCTGACTGCATCGCCATCATCACCTCTTTGACTGCTCAGGTCAAGGAACTGGCTGCAGGTGCAACTTGGATTCCTGTCCAATCATAACATCCAAACTGTGATAGTCGGTCTGGTGTTGCTCTGCCAACACAGTGATCTGCTGAATGCAAGAGAGTTGCTGCCCTTTTGGTGCAAATCTGGCCTCACCAATGTTCACAATCGCAGGAGAATTGCAGAAGACTCGACATACCATGAGTGCCGCCATGGAGTACTTTACTCTAATCTTCGCGAGAATCTATGCGATTATTTTAGTATCAAAGGTCCAATAAAGCCTTTATGCATCGATGGTCATAATTGGGGGTCAGTGCACAAGCTATGTCTCAGAAACTCTTATCCATCTCGCCTACTAGTTCAACACTGTCTCAATGGAATTCTTACATATCCCCGACAGATCAAAAAGCTAGTTTTTGCCTGATCATTTTATTGGCAGTGTTAGTAAAAGTGGTAGCGTAGCTCACTTTTGGGCCTAGGCCTGCAGGGAAACGTGCATTCTAGTTCCTAGGTAAAGGGATGTGTGGTGCTTCTGGTCTCAACATACTTGTCTGTTCAAAGACATCGTGTGAAGTGTGCAAGCCGGGGAGTCCTATAGGTTGAAAATGGCAAGCGGCGCGGGTATACAGAGTGCAAGGCTTTGATCCTAAAAAAAATATAAACCCTTCAATTGACTTGAAATTGTGAGGCATGCCTCATAATAAAAGTGCGCACTTTTATTAATATATATAATAATATATATGATAATATTAGGAGGCATTACAACACGACCGCCGGTCGCTGGACGTGAACAAAATCTAAACCCTTCAATTGAATTGCCTCATAATAAAAGTGCGCACTTCTATTAATATAAATTAATATTTATCCTTGATTAATATTAGGAGGCATTACAACATGACCGGCACGACGTGAAAAAAATCTAAACTCTTTATTTGACTTGAAATTATGAGGCATGCCACATAATACAAGTGCGCACTTTTATTAATAAATATTATAATATATATATTAATATATTTCAATTAGTAAGAATTAGGAGGCATTACAGCATGACCGTCAGGACGTGAATTTCCTCTGTGACTTGTGATGATGTCTTTGACTTTAGGTCCACTCTGGGTGCCTCGGACAATGTTGCAATCAGTCATGGACAGCTATTGCACTCTTCAAAGTGCACACTGCTTTCAAACTGCACAATGACTGTTGCGTTTCTGCTATTGTTGGGAGATCATCTCCACATGATGTGTAAAAAAATGTATCCCAATATTGCCAATAGCTCAATCCTTGGGCAATCAACTAGACTTCCTCCTGTGAATTTCTAGAGCTTTCTGCTCAGCCTTCTGCATGATCTTCCTGCAGCATCCAATGGGAATGCTGCCCTTTGTGTCCTCAAAAAGCTGTTGCGGCGTGATTCGGTAGGCTGTGCCAGGCGATGAACCACCGACAAGAGTGTCCAAATCGTACCCAGCTTCTGTCAGCGCTGGAAGATGGGCCTCCAGCGCCATCGAGATCAACAGCTTTTCCAAGTCATTGCCACTCCCAGAAGCAGCCCCAGAACTCCTGCATGCAACACAGACAATACAATTGTATAATTATTTCCTACATCTTCCATTCTTAGGGCATCAGCAGTATCACATAAGGTGCGGCTTGGATGTTGCAACACAAAATCTAGGGCAACACCTTCTCCCTCTTCTCCTCCTCTGCCTTCACCATGTTGTTGATAGTGCTGGAGCTGCCCTTGTTCATGGCATTCTGCATGGCCTCATGATTGAAGACCCGCCGGGAATGAGGGCCGGTGGAATGCCGCAACATGACGGCAGCGATGGCAGAAGAATCGTATTCATTCAGCACCTTCTCCACATGCCTGTCATTGGTTGGAGCAGCACGGACAGCGGCCGAGTAGTATGCCGGGGCTATGAGTGCCACAAACATGTCCACGCCCTCCTTCTCAGCCAGTGATGTCACCTGCATTCATGTCATATTCAATGTTGACCATGAGGTGTCTTTCATGCCAGGCCGCTCTAATGTCCTCTATGCACGCAACAGCAGCACATTATCTCGCATTAAAAACAATCACAAATAGAAAGCAGAAGGAAGCTGCTCAGCAAGCACCTTTTTTACAGCGCTTGCAAAGGCTTTCTCGACATGTGCATATCTCATTCTCTTAGCATCTGGCAGTCGAGGCTCGTCAGCTAGCAGAGCCTTGCGCTGTGCGTCGCGCAGGCCCCGCTGTGTGCTGGACACAAAGACATAGTCGCAGATCGTAACAATCTGCTTGCCCTCAGCATCAAGCTTTGCTGTCCCATCGCTGTTTGTCAGTGGGACCGCTTTCCCACAGCGGCTGCTTTTTTGTCCCGCACCCTTCTTATTGCCATGCCACTGCATGCACTTCTGGCACTGCTTGCGGCTCTGCAGATTCTGTCTCGATGCTGGGTGGTTTCCTTGGCCCTTTATCTGGCCAGGATCTGCATCATTATCGCCTGCACATGGCATAACCTTACCGCACAGTTTTGAACTCCTTTTCAGCCAGACTTTAGCTGTAAAATTGTCACATATGCTGCACAGAAGGGTGCCTGCACAAGACTGGATTAATGAGGAAGAAGTCTGTGTCATACCGCCGGTACCATCTGAGGCGTGCCCATCAGCGTCCTCCAAGCTGAACTGTTGAGAAGGGATGGTAGGCATCAGCGCAACTGCCTCTCCTGGCTGCTCAAACGGGCCTGGGATACAAACAGTACATTTATCCCTCATGGCAGGACCTCAAAATCATTACACTGTATGTTGTTGCTTGGTTGCATCACCCCCATTCTATTGGAGGAAGAGTTCTGGTCCCACCTGCATTGCCATCTGACGAATGCCCGATCTCGGCTCCAGCTGAGCCGCGTTCCCTGGCCGCTGCAGCGCGCCCAACAGGAGGAATGCTGGGCATGCCCTGGACCGGATGCCCTAGCAGGTTTCCACCTGGGACACAAGAATAGAGAAACATTTGTAACAGTCCCCATGCATGCTTGCTTGAGAGTCATTTCATGCAAGTCAAATACAAACAGTGGCGGGATGCAGCACCTGATGCCAGGCCAGATGTGACAGGAATGGATTGTACAGGCTGCGCTGCTCCATGCTCAGACCGAAGCAGTGTAGAGGCATCAGGTACTCCAGTCAAAGGGTGTCCGGCTGACAGACCTGCATGTGCACTATTATTAAAATGGACCTCCTAAAGCATGGGCATCATTGCTGCACACCCAACAATTGAAAATTGCTGGCAGCTTTGGCTCGGTCTTACAGGGTGTCTCACCGCTGGCTTCAGGGCCTGGCGGGGGGCCCCCGATCGGCTCTTGCATCCCCTCGTTCAGCAGATCTGTCAGAGTCCTTCCAAGCTGATCTGAAACAGAAGGAGCTCTCTTTAGAAAGACTTCACCGCTGCAACTCTTGATTGTCCTGTGAGCACAGAGAATGCAGCGCAGGAACAGACTGCCTCACTCAGGCTGCGGAGCTCAGCCACAGCAGCGGGCACATGCATCCCCCATGAAGGTTTCATCCAGTCAAAGTGCAATGTACAGTACGGCCTGATGGAATGTGCTGCGCTTGTCAAGAAGTGTGACCTTTGACTTCTGAATAGATGAGGGTCACACCTGATGGCCGGCAGGTTTTGCAGCGGATGACCTGCCCATGCCCCTCCTCTGTGATAGGGTCACCACAGAAGGGATGGTTTGGGAAACCGCACACGTCGCATTTATGCGAGAATGCATCGGGGTTCGGGATGGGGCCTCTGCACCCTCCACAATGCTGCAGGCCACAACACATCAATCAGTCAACTTGCCTGAAGTCACAGATGCAAATTGTGTTGGTCTGAAGAAAATCATGGGCACAAAAACAGCGAATGCATAGGGATGTCCGCACCCTGGCCCTGTCAAAGGCAGCGCAGGACTCCTGTGGGGCATCACCTGCAACACAACAACCACGTCACTTATGCAAGAATCTCGAGGTGTCCATCGAGAGCGGAGTAAGAAGAGGAACCTGCCATGAGTGTGGTGGGCCAAAGGACTGCCATGGCAGACACAGATAATCCGAGCACAAATGGAGAGGTCACTGCTGAGCGCAAAAAGCGTATGATGCTCAACTGCATATGCTCAAGAACACTCACCCTGCATGCTTCTGTCCCCGTCGTTGCGTCCAGCTTGTGAGACTTCAAGAGCGCAAGCCAATTCAGCGGCACCACCTGTGCAACCTTCCGTTTGAGCTTGTGATAAAGACTTGGTCATTCCGCCAAGTCTCCATGCAAGCCAGTCTGTTTTGTGCAAATTGTTCAGCATCAAGTTCCAGATCTTTGCGCAACGCTAGGAAGGGAGCTATTAGTTTGTGCACCTGCTGCCGCTATGTTGCTCAGGGCGTCTCCTGGACAAGACACATGCGCAGATGGAGCCACGGCAGTCTCGTCTGCGGTGGCGATCATGTCAGCACCCTGCTTGGCAGGAGCTTGTGCCCCAGGAACATTCTCACCCCAGCACTCACGAGCTGCACAGACCATACTGGAATGGGTGAGCGCCTCGTTTACAACCTCCAGCATTCAGTTGTCGGTGGAACCGAACATGACGGAAGCTCAACATTCAATCTGCCTGGCCAAATACCTGTTTTGAGGAACTTCCACATGTGAAAGTCCAGAAAATGTTGTTGAAGGTACTGGCACGCAGCATTCCACTTCCTGGTGTCCCACTGTTGGGTATTCTCCTCAAAGAGCTGTTGTGCTATGCCCAGAACCTGCTGGGAGGTAAGCTTGTACCGATCCATTTGCTCTTTATTGAGTTCTCGCACTTCCTGGTCAACCTGCAACAACACAAGTCTTCATCTGAAGCCCCATCTTGCAATATGCAGTATGGATACTTGGTGTCTGCGGTCTCTTTGCAAACACCCCCTCTGTTGCCTCATCATGACTACTCTTTTTGGACATAAAGAAAAGGCCACCTGCCATGATGGTGCCATTGCATGCGGAGTATTACCTTTCTGGCTTTCTGCCTTGTAAGGCCTACCAGAATAGCACTGGCGGAATGAACATGATGTCTGTGTGGAGCACGCCTCACCTGATGAAGGAGTAGCAGGATGACCAGGTCCTGCACTTGAAGGGATATATTCTGGCCTCTGAAAGGCTTTCTGGTTGTCGCACCCAAATAACCGACATTGTTCCATGCACACCGGATTTTTTCTCGCTTAGAGTAGCTATCACCGTGTTGTATCAGCGGAGCCAGCGTGACTATACTGCTGGTGGGATGCCTGTCCCTCATGGCGGGAAGCTTCAACACCTTAATTGTCTGCACTTGAAACCCGATGTGGGCGTCAGGCCTTTGTAATACCAGTGAGAAATAGGACTACTGAACTGTTATCGAAACTTAGAACATAATGAGCTTGCTTGGGATGTTGGTGTTAACCTTCAGATAACTTATTTCGACAAGCGTTTGAGGGCTACCATGCATCCTTTGTCTTCTCGAAGAAACGCTCTGCAAATATTACGAAAAGAACTCGAGAAGTTCTCGGTGATATAATAGAAATCATTATAGTATTACTTCTTTATCTTTTTCTCGATATAAATATCGAGAAGGGAGATGAGACAGGGTTGGCATGTGCCGCCACGTGCCTCGACACGTCATGGGCACGGCTCGTTTCTATTCCATATGTGCACACTACTTAGAATGGGCCTCCGCACTCAGCATAGCAGGACACAGCGACATCAGTTGTCGGAGCTTAATAGACATTGAGCATTGCTATGTGAGTCCAACTACAGGATCTTGATCCCGCCTTCCTCGAGGCTAATTCGAGGCTCCTGTGATCAATCTAAAGCTAGGATACGAACAATCCGCACGATATATTTGAGTTGTATTGCCAGACAAGCATGAGAATAGAGTCGAGCACATTTCAGAACGGACGGGGACAGCTGCTGCACTGTGTGCAGTACGTACCCCCTGGAACTCCCAAGGCTCTGCTCATATTTCATCATGGATACGGGGAGCACACTGGAAGATACGAATACGGTGCATTCAAATCACCACATCCCTGGCGCTTCCTATTTCATGCCGAAACGTGTGTCTGAAGCTGTGATGGAAGCAGTACTAGATAGTGCTCCACTTGCCTCGTGTGCAGTAGCTCTGGCTTTCCTTTCATGCAGACATGAGCCTTGACATGCCTAGGTGAGATTACTCCTGCTGTTATGATTCATTTATTATGCACTGCAGTGTTCAAGCTGCTGGCAGATGCCGGCATAGCGCTGCATGCCTATGACTGCCACGGCCACGGCCGCTCCGAACCCACTAGTCAGCGCGACCGTGCGCTGATCTGGAAATTTCAGCATCTGGTGCGCTGCTTCCAAACAACAAACAACAAACAACCCCTTGCCTATGTACATAAATTCCTCTCATTTAATCGAGGCCTCCAAAGCTTGCTTGGGGTATGAAAAGTCCTCTAGTGCTGTCTCAAGATGGGCGCTTCGTGTTGCACGTTTGCTGTTGCCTCTTATTATTTGTGACGTCGTACCCGGTTTCTGAGAGGCCTGCGCACGGTATCCGCTCAGGTGGATGACTTGTTGGCGTTCTCCAAGGATGTGAAGCTTCAGTACAGCAGCCGCATACCTATATTCGTGGGCGGGCAGAGCATGGGATCTCTGGTAGCGCTGCATGCAGTGCTGCGTGATCAGAGCCCCTGGGATGGCATCATTCTGGGTACAGCTACCATCCACGTAGAGATGACTTGGTATCTCAGGTGACCAATCCACTCACAGAGGCTTGCAACTTTCCTGTGGATCGCGCTGCGCTGCTTTGTGTTACATGGGACTCCGGATATGCACTCACACTCAGGAAGCGGCCCTTTAGCTGCCGGTCACTTGATATAAATAGCTAGCTGGACATGTTTGAAGATGTTTGCGTTTCACCTGATTGCGCTGTCTAAGCAGGATGCAGGCCATGGTGGGCAATCTGCTGGCCACAGCCATTCCCAGAGCAAGGATAGTGCCCGCAGTGAGAGGAGAGGACATGAGCGCCGATGCAGCCACGGTGTGTGATCTGTCACTCCCGATTTTAGGATTTTAGGATTTTATGCCTGATTAAGCACGCATTTATTCTGAGCAGCACACTGACAGACGTGCCATCGCTAGTAATCCTCTGTCATCATTCTTATGAAATCACCGCTGGGGAGCACACAATTGTAATGTAAGGAACCATATGCTCAGCTTGCGCGAGAAATTTTGTTGCCAGTGGAGGTGAATTGGTGCATTGCGGGGGCACGCAGATAATGGGAATGAAAGTACCATCATGGACTTCACAACCTTGGTAATCATAAAGATCATGCAGAATTGTGAAGTTGTGTGCATGCATGTGAACAGATCCGAGTGATGGAGGAGGATCCCTACAACAATCTGGGGAACCTCAGAGCGCGCACAGCCAATGAGATCCTGAAGGCCTTTGGGCATGTGGCGAGGCTTGAGAGCTCGCTGCATCTGCCCATCTATGCTCACCATGGCACCCAGGACAGGCTAGCAGACCTCCAGGTGGGCCCAGCCCTTCGTGCTGAGAATTGCACGTCACACTTGTTGGTGCTCATGATGAGCGCTGTGACCATCATGACCGGCTCTTGCTTGGGCTTAGCAAGGCAAACAAGAGAAGGAGCTGTGGCGGACTTTGGCTTTTACCTCATATGCTGGCAAGCCCTGAGAACTGTGCAGAACAGCATTCATGTTCAGAGGACTCATACTTAATTCATGGATTAAGCACCTTTGTTGGTGCAAGTCTGTAGCATGAGCAGATCCTGCCGGGGCATTGTGTATTCTCAATAGGGAAGTTTTGATGTGGACTGGTGGGTCCCCACTGGTATCGAATCTGCCTCAGTCTCTGAAGAGTGCAGGCCCAGCTTTGCGATGACTACACCGAATGTGTAAGAATTGCTGTGATGCTTGTGCAGGCGGTGAAGAGGCTGTTGAGGAATGCCAGCAGCAGGGATGTGACGCTGTTTGAGGTGGAGGGTGGATACCACGAGCTCTTCATGGGACCAGAAAAGGACATTGTGATGCAGCGCATGATCCAGTGGCTGCTGCAGCATGCAGACTTTGCCTCTACTGCAGCCAAAAACGCCAACAATAATCCCTAGAGCGTTAGAGATTTCTTTGCTACCAGGTTGAGTGGACCATTCGGCAGTTTTGCACTGTACCGTGGAGAGATTGAATGTGGAACAGCTGAAGGAGTGGCACATTTGTACAAGGCAGGCTGAGGTGTCAATGTGATGGCAAAAATTGAAGCTCTTGCGTGAAGGGGTATCTGTGCTTAATGTATTCTTTATTGTGAAATGTTTGGCTTATGAGGCAGTGGAGGCGTCTTAAAATGCAAAGTGCTGAGCACATTGCTCCGGGTATTATTTCTGCTTGCAAAAGTGCAACAGCGTCTATTGGTTGCAAATTGCCTTCAAAGGCCTGCTCGAGAAGATGCTGAGGTAGAGGACTTTTCAATTTGCCCTGAGAGTTGTTTTGGTGCTCTGTGAAGGCCCTTCCGGGAAGGCTTGTCAGAACGTATTTGACAGCACTTTAGTGCATAGAGAGTTTGAGTCCTGATGGAGAAGATGAGCAATGCATCATGTACCATAATACTGGCGAGCTGGTCATGACTTCGAATTTTTAAACAAATAAATTCTAAGGACAACATAGTTTTGAAAGACCCAAAAGACCAAAATGAATTGAGTCCACCTGCAAAAGCCCAGATACTGAGAAAATAATCAGGCAATTTACCATGTTGAATTCAAGTGGAAAACAATCCTACTGTCGTTGCATATGACATTGCTTCGAATTCAATTTCATCCCATGCAGACTCAAATCACTTGTGCTGTGCTCAAGTCCTCCCTGTATATATAGACAACGATCTGCAAAAACAAAACATAACCCAAGCACCCCGGTCAGTTCGACGAAAGCAAGTTTCTGCCCATTCAGTTCCCTGCTAATGAAATTTACGCTGCAGGGGATCATACTCCCGCAACGCAGCTTCACCGCACCAGCCACCCATGCATGCAAACTCAAAGGCACAAGTGCCCAGAAGAATGCCACTGGTAAGAAAGCCCCACTGCAACCCCAAGCACAGTATTTCTGGGGAATTTCACTGCTGCTGCTCACTTTTGGGCCCACACCAGGAGATTCTACCCCTGGGTGGCTACATGATGCCTGCCCCTGCTGCAATCTAGAACAGAAGCAAATGGAGAGCGTGCACTTCTGGGGATGACTATGCATCCAGAGTGTAAGGGAGGCCAATCTCGAGCAGGTGCGCTGAGGGAATGTTGAAGATGCTGTCCGCTGGCTCTGAGAACGCATCCGCAAACATCTGCACATCCCCAAGCAACTCGGTCAGATTAAATAAATGACACATCGGCTTTGCACATTCCACCAATCCAGTAAAGGCCCTCTTAAGCCTCACGATCTGACAAGGCCCGCAGCTGTGTGTCATAGCACTTGTTGCCCCAAGTCTATTTATGGGCGCCTGCAGGTGGCGCTTGCAGGACCATGCGAAAGCAGCATGCAGCCATGCTGCTCAGCACCGCACCCCTGTCGCTAATTGATCCTAAATCCTTCCAACCAGGACTGCCGCAAGCGCATCCCAATTAGTGTTGCGATTGCACGTTCACTTAATCACTGCCACCAGTCCTGAAAAAATGCTACCACCTTACACCAGTCGTTCAAGATTATGAGGTCCAAAGCAACTCCGCACCTTGAAGGGCAGCTCGAGCAGGATGCGGCGGGGCACACTCCAGAAGGGGATGCGCTTGGGCAGTACCACGTGGGTGTGCCCCAGGATGAACACCACGTTGTGCTGGTTCGCCGCGTGCTTCACCACTCGGATCTCGTCCGCCACTATCGCTGCCCTGTGGTACCGCGTCGCCACCTCCTTCGGCGCCGTCGCTGCAGAGGCAGAAGGATTGATGATTCAGCAGAGAGAAATTTTGTCCAGATGCAGCATAAGTGACGCCTTCTGGCTGTCTTCCCTACCCTCACATGAGAGCTTCTAAATTTTCTATTCAAAATGCAGTATATCTGCCACCTCCCTTGGTGCAGTAGCTGCGATGTAAATGAACGGTGTTTCAGTCCGACCGCAGCCCAATACTGCTTTGGGCCTTTCTTGAATTCAAAGACTGTCACACCCTTTAAGGTTTAGGGGGCACCCAAGAGGCAAAGGCACGGCAGCCGCAAGCAGCAGCACCCACGCAACCTATGGCAGGATGCAGTCTGCGCGAAGCTTGCGAGTACTTCGCCTTCGCTTCTTGGATGCGTTTGATAGGACTCCTGACTGGACCCTTGTGCAAATGCTTTTGCGCAGCTGCCTCTGGCTGCCAACATGCCAATCACAATAAGGTTTTGGGAGAATTATCTGCGCACCGAGCTTGTTAGCAACCTCTTCGAGGTTGCGGTACAGAAAGGGCTCTGGCACATGGTCGCTGGGGCTCAGGCTGCGGCCCTGGCCGGGGATTTCCACCAGCGTCGGGGCCGGCGCGCCGTCGGCGGCGGCCGCGGCCGGCTGCGCCGCGGTCGTTGTCACCGGCGTGAGCTGCACCTCCGCTGCTGCGCCGCCTGCAAGTTTACAGTCATTTGATTTTATTTCGGAAGGACCTCTACCTGTCCAGTCAAATAGCACGGTAGGGAGCAGGTGATGTGTGATATGGATGAGTGCGCTGCCATGATGAAGGGCAGACCTGCCGTCAAGGGCGTGTCATGCTTTGCGCTGTCGTCCCTGGCCTTGAAGTTGGTGTCCGAGGGTGGCTGCAGCACAGCCAGAATGCTTCAGCACAGCAGCTCAAGCACTATGCATCAATCAAGCACTTGAGAGTAATCAGGCAGTTGCTTTACAAACTTGGAGCTTGTTTTCACCCTTGGCAAGTAAATTAGGTCCTGAGGCTGCGCTAACCTTTCCTTCTCAACCTAGAACACCTCTTGGCTTACTGCAACTCCCATGCATGACTCAAGTGTCGGTCAAATCTCCAGCAGAACTCAAAGGTTGCTCTTTACAAGGAGTTGGCAGGACTAAAAGGGTGCTATCTGTGAGGAATGGGCAGGGCTGAAGGGGGCCGCTCACGGGGACTTTGTGGGAGGCGGGGAGGCCGAGGTCGTGGTGCAGGGTGGGCATGGCAGACGCACGCTCCTGCAGGGTGATGAGGAGCAGGTGCAGCACGCGCTCCAGCAGCACGCGCACAAACGCATCGTCCTGCTTCACCTCCTCCATGTACCCGTACCTGACGTGCACAGACAAAATATCTTATCACAGATGAGCCAGGATGCATTACCTTGTATCACCTCAGGTGACACCTGCATCACCTTCTCAAAAAACTCCAGCTAATCTCTGTACCTGACGGGCACCCACAATGGTGACAATCGTGAGCAGTCGTTGTATTACACGGTTTTCCTGCCAGAGGTAAGGTGCGCCTGCAGACGAGCTACAGGCGAAGGTTGCCACATGCCCAAACCCCTAATGGACTCGCCAGATCCAAACAAGCCCCAATCAACCGGGGGCACGTTGCTCAGTATCTTAACCGCCCTTTCTATCATAATGCGCAGTGCCTGTGCGCTGAATTGCTACAGCTATCATGCACCCCCCAGTTTCACTACGGCTGCAAACATGCAGCGGAGACAGCTTGGATCATTATCTGCCCTCACATTCCTCAGGAAAATGAATGACCCCTCACCTGGCAACAATGTGGTAGAAGCCTGAGACGCCCAGCTGCTCGACAAGGATGCGCTCTGAGGGGAGGACCTCGGGAATGGGCACGAAGCGGTTGGTGACGAAGATGTTGACCTCGTAGAGGACGGGCGTGCGCGACACCATTTGCAGCAGCACCGGGGGCACTCCGTGGATGTCCTCCCCATAGTACAGGCCCACGCCTGCGCAAACACACTCCAAGGCTGAAGACTGAACAAACTTGGCCAATGCTCCTTGAATTTGTCACAAAATAATACCTTTCCTTGCCAGCACCACACAAGGCGCAGCCTGACTTTCATGCATGTCACTCCCTCTGCAGCTCTGCTCTTTACTTTTCCCTCCCTCAAGTTTGCAAATACCCATTTTGCCATGAAGTGTTCGCATCACCCGCAGCAGATTCAAAGGACAGAGAGATCCTGCGCGAAGCAGCATGCGAAGGAGCCCTGTCCTCCCAGCTTGCAGCGGGTGATACACACTCTCCCCCGGGACAAACGAATCCAGCATGTTAAGGATCCATGCCAGGTCTGCCAAACATGCTCGTCATTGAGAATCTTGACTGTCCTTCTGTCAGGGAGGTAGTATGCCAGCTGACAGAAAATTCTGTGTGATGTGATCTGGTCACAAGGGTGGATTGGATTATCCCAAATCCTACAAAAGGAAACCAAGCTCTTTCAAAATTCAAGCCCCATTGCAGAGAGGAAAAAGCCGCACCGCGCACGCGCTTGAGTTTGGTGGCAGAGGCTTTGAGAGCGATCTTCTGGGATGCAATGGTCATGGATGTCTGCTCATCCTTGCCATCGTCGCCCATGAGCGCCAGGAACTGGTGCAGCTTGAGCTTCTTGCGCCCGTAGAAGGCCTTCTTCTTGGAGTTGCCCCAGAACCAGAGCAGCATGATGCAGGTGTAGATGCCCGACATCATCACCGAAAACCACCCCCCTGCGCCAGCCAGACACAAGATTCACTCAGATTTTGGCGTGTTGGGATGTTTTCATTCCAGGGCCAGTCTCTACAAGTGATTGCAGTGTCACCCCAATTCATGGCATAGGGCAGCTGCCCAAAGGGCTCGATCCAGAAGAGGCTCAGTGGAGACAGCTACAAAATTTGTGCATCAGACATCACATGGAATCAGGCAGGCCAGTGTATTGGGATGTCTTCCGGCCCAGTAGGTTTGGCAAAGAGTGTACGCACTCAAAATCTGTGCACCGGTAATCTGACCCTACAACTTTCACAGATGTACAAAATCATGACTGCTGAGGAAAGGACGGCAGGGAGAGGGACACATCATTGGTCAAATTCCAGACACCAGGGGCAGTGAGCAGCCGCGGGAACACACAAGGCAATGCAAAGCAGAAAGCCATGGAGAGGGACAGGTGGGGTATTGTGTGCAGAGACCAGTGGGAAATTCACGAGGCAGGTTCAGCGAACAGCGCGGGAGCTTATGAGGCACTGCAAAGCCGAAAAGAGGGAGAAGGGAGTGTTGTGTGCACGGACCTGTGGGGATCTTTTCGAGGGCGGAGGAGAGGTAGGTGGCCTCGATGGGAGCAAACACGCAGTACCAGAGCACGACGAGTGGTAGGGGCAGGCGCCATATGGTCATCAGCACCAGTGTCATGAAGTGCGTCGTCAGAAACATGTCCGCCAGCACAGATATGCCTGCGCAACAACAAGCACATCCAGTGCCATTGAGACAATCCAAGCAGGTTCAAAATTGCGTGGGCGAAACCAGTGCCATGCAGATAAAGCAAGCACATTTAGCAGCATGCGAGCAGCTTCGGTACCATGCAGATGATGCATGCACGATCATTCCCATGCTAGTAAATTCACAACTTTGTCCACAATGCAAGCCATGCATTACCATGCAGACTGTGTCAAGATACCATGGACACGTTTCCCAGGATGGGATGCAGTAAGGCAGAACCGGCAAAGAACGGTAGTAAGCAGGCGTCGTGATGCTTGAATACACTGCTGGTGCATGGGGCAGGAGTCAAAGGGAGATGAGAGGGAAAAGAAGTAAAAAAGGTTCACCGTAGGCCCTGCCGATATTGGTGGAGGTCTGGAAGGTGCCCACGATGATGAGGCACAGGGCCATCAGCAGATAGTTGATGAGTGGGATGTACACCTGCCCACGGTGCTGCACGCAAAGGAAACAAACACAGTTGGCATCATTGCACACAGACCTACAGACCTGAAATAATGCTAAACGTCATGTCTCCTAGCCACGGCCTGCGCTGTGTACCACATAGTTCTGACCACCAGAACGTCCCATTGAATCAGCAGGTGGCAAGTCCTACACGAAAGGCCGTGTCAAAATCAACCCTTGGGTCACTCTGTGTAATCCTCTGATCTTTGGTAAGCAGATGACCTCTAAGTCACCCTACAGCACCCTACACAGCATACACAGCAGTGATGTGTGATAGACTGCCCGGGCTGCGGCAAAAGGGGAGCACGGTCATTTCATTATCGAGTTCGCGCAGAGGAGAGCTCACCTCGCGGCTGGTGTGGTAGACGTGGAAGCGGGGGAAGAAGCCCTGCACGATGGCCTGGCTGACAATCTGGAAGACAGCTGATATGAGCGCCTGGCTGGCAATGATGGCTGCCAGCGTGGCGACCACAAACATGGGCCAGAAGGTTCCTTGAGGCAGCGACTTCCAAAACATCGCATCGAACGCGTCCGGGTGCGCCAGCAGATACGAGCCCTGCGCATGGATCTCACCAGATTTAGGATCCCCAGATCAACACCATGCAGAAGTAATTCAACTGAAGATCAACAGACCAAGATTATACAGCTAAAATGGGAGTGTTGACCATTGTGGGGGGATGATTAGAGACTGTGTTGGCTTTGGTGACTGGTGGATGCATGTTTTCAGAATTTTTGCAACGCCAGCATGTTGCTGAGTCTAGTAACAAAAGGTGTGATGATGTCCTCTGACAACAAGCCTGTTAGATGCCAAGGGAAACACCTTTTGGTGGATGGAGCAGCCTCAGAGTCTGCCCAACGCTGTGCATGTAATGTACGTGATGCGTGCGTTGTCAGGTAGAACAGTAGCATGGTGCATGTGGTGGGCTAGTGGTGAGCACCTGGCCTAGATAGGTGATGATGAGGGCTGGGTAGACGATGCAGAAGGTGGAGATCTGGATGGAAGGCCGGTTGAAGTGGCCCAGGTCAGCAAACAACGCCTCAACACCTGCACGGGCAGAGGGGCAATCTCAGCATGGATGCATTATTTCTCGAGCCTACAGCAAGGAAGGGATGCAGACTTCGGTTGGTGTTGGGCCACGCATGGTGTCTGTGAACACTGCACCATTTCCTGTGGCATCCTAAATTACTTGCTGTTTTCACAGAGCCTGGTAGCCTCGTGTCGTGTTATCAAGTCAGTGCCATACATCATCACAGTATTAATGAGTGTCTCAGGGTCTCTGGTTGCCCAGTCTGCAGTCAGTGCCACAGGATATGACAGAGATCAAAGACAAGGAGCATATAACAAACAATTCCTTGGCGCTCATACTGCCTTGATATCTGCTTTCCTCTTTCTATATATATAGTAGGTGACAGGGCAGCACCCAGCACCTGTAATGCAGAGCACGACGCCGCCCAGAGCCTGCCAGCCGCCCTTCTGGTTGCGCAGGAAGAAGGAGAACCAGTAGTTCGGCCCGAAGGCCTTGAAGATGACGGGGCGGTACTTGGCGATGTTGTAAATTCCCACCACCGAGTTGAACAGGAACCAGACCAGGATGATGGGCGAGAAGAGGTAGCCCACAAACTTGGTGCCAAACTGCTGGATCATGAAGAGCCCCGCCAGGATGACAATCGCGATAATCACGATCATCGCTGCGAGCACAGAAGGAAACGGTCAGACGCTGAGAGGATCTCCCCATTCCCTCAAAGAGCCACTGCTCACATGACACGCTTATGTTTTCCATGCTGGACCCGCATCACACCCCGGGATAGAGAGAGAGAGAGAGAGAGAGAGAGAGAGAGAGAGAGAGAGAGAGAGAGAGAGAGAGAGTGAAACAAAGCTAGGAGTGAAGGACACCAGTGGCACCTAAACTGAGCGACCTTTGGAAATCATTTTTTCTATATAAGACCAGTGTAGCCCTGGGGACAAGGGGCTCAAATGCACACCCAAGGCAGAAACACTTGCGCAAGCGGGAGCAGGAGCAAGCAACAAGACAACACCCCTTAAGAGCTTCCACGCATGCTCATGGCAGTTACGGCACGCATCCTGGTTTCCATAAATGTCATGCAGTAAATGGCCCTACTTAGATGTGAAGCCTCAGGGTCCACTGGGCTAATAAATGATAGGGAGGAGGGAAGGAGGCAACGAGGCTCACAGCGGGTGATGTTGGCGCTGGCCTGCTGAAGGCCCTCACAGGCAGACACCACTGAGATGGCGGGAGTCAGCACTCCATCGCCCATGATCATGCCAACACCGGCCACCACCAACACGCGCAGAATGTTCTGCGTGTGCCGATTCTGCGTGCGCATGCATGCACACGTCAGCGCTCCATGTCTTCTGCTTGTCTGCTCCTAAACGTGATGGCCCCTTTGCTAGGCCCTTGATTAGCCAATGTCTTCGCAGCCCTCTCTGTCATGTTTGGTCTAATGATACATCACTGCAGTGGCAGGTGCTGCCGACTTCCCTTACAATTAGCATTGCTTCAATTATGTGAGGCCAGAGGAGTCTTCATGCAGCACTCTTAACTTAAGAGCATGCTCCATTGCTCGCTGCAGGAAAATGCATCGATTCCACTTGCATGTTGAATGGCAGGTCATCCTGGCTCTCAGGGTGTTGAGAAATCCAAAGGTGTCCCCTTTATGGTTCTGAGTCGAGAATGCAAAACCACTGATGACCCCCTATTATCTGACTAGCATGCCATTCAACCCACCCCAAAACTCTGCACTTTGCCTGCCTGCATCTTCTTGAATCCATGCTGTTGAGTCCCTTGCTTTCAAAGAGAACTTACAATCAAGGGATTGAGTAAAAAGGGGCACCTCGATGAAGCGCTGGCGCCAGTCGACGAGTTTGGTGGAGTACTCGGTGACGGTGGGGAGTCCTCCAGGGGGCGCAGACTGCGTCCGCTTCCGCCGGGACAGCCGAGACGCCAGCCGCGTATCCCCGCGCCCGATGCTGTACTGCGACAGGTGCCTGTCCGACTCCATCAGCTGCGCACACAGCACACGATGTCCTCTGTTTGTCATGTAAATCCGTATGTAGATGTGGCTGCAAACGCCCTGCATGCATGCCCTATGGCTCCTGGCTTAGGGATTGCCGACCTGTAATAAGATTTATCATAGAACGATGCTTGCATGCCTGCCTGAGACCTTCATTTGTCACTGACGGTGGGCCTGGCCACCTTCTGTTGCTTTTCTCTTTGGCTGCCAGTGATCGGGCCTGGGGTCTGGTTGCAATTAAGCACAATTTCCCTCCCATACTGAACATCTCCCCTGCTACTCAGAGAACTCCCAAGCACAGAGCCAATGCTTTCTCAGATCGGTGGCTGCCAAAGCGCAGCACGTTCACCTCAGAGCTTTCTAAAGGAGCGTATAAAGATTGCGAGACGAGGCTAGGAGCACATCGTTGCTTCGGTCCCCCTATGGCAGGAGCAGTCAGAATAAAGGACTGAAAGAGGTGGATTTGCATGTGAGGTAGCAGCGCACCTTTCCAGAATTCCCCAGCTCTGCCTGACGCTTGAGCAGGGAATAGAGCGCGAATGTGCCTCCCTGCCCGTTGTCATCTGCTCTGAGCACTATGGCGGCATATCTGCAGCACAGAACAGAATCATGAGCACAAATGCCTGCTACTGAGGCTGCACCTGCTAGAATCCTTTGAGCACAATTTCGCATTTGTGCTAGGCCAAAGGCCCCATTTGTGAACACCCTGGAAGGTGATCTGTGTCTCTTCAAAGCCAATGGGGTTCAAATGAAGCAAAAGACTTCAGTGGTCAGCATGTCAGAGTCTGAGCTTTACTGTTTATTGCATGCGACGAGTTCCACTGCTGAGGCCGAGGGGACAAGAGAGCAGCGCACTTGATGACTAACAGCGCTGTAAGGGACCAGATGATGAGCGAGATGACTCCCACGATGTCCTCCTCTGAGGGCGCTCCATCCAGGAATGTGGATGAGATGACATACAGCGGGGATGTCCCAATGTCACCTGCATGCAGCCAAACTTGTCAGTGACACGGGGTGAACACTTTCCAAGTGCCTTCCATACACCTTAAAAACGTGACTTAAATACAATGTAGCAGTGCACGGCTGTGATTGTTGCAGGGCTGGGTGCAAGAAAGAAAGCACATGATGATGGCAGCTGCGTACCATACACAACACCGAGGGCTTGGAAGCCTAGAATGAGGGTGCCCCTCCATTTGGCCTGCGCCAACAGGTAACGACTCGCTCATTGCTCTGTGAACAATTTCAGCTCCTTCCAAGGGTCAGGCTTTCAGGCACACGGTGAATGTGGACTCATTGTTGCAACTTGAGCTTGCAGCAAACCTGACTACTGGCAGTGCTCAGGTCTTCAAGACCTTGACACAGGCCACAGAGTCTGTCTCTCATCATACACGAAAGAAAATGGGCCCCTACGACCGAGCCAGGCCTGGTTTTGCATTCTTGCCTGTCCTGTCTGGTGCTTCTATGTTCAACAGGTCAAGCTGGCACCGTATGGTCCAGTGGACAACACTGAGCTGGGTCAGGGTGCATGCTCTCACCTTGCCACTCCTCTCAGCTGCTCCTGGGTCTTCTATGTCTGCATCATTCTCCCAGGCTTTGGAGGTGACGCGGGACAGTATGCTGTCTGCGAACCCCTGCCTGCCGGGCTCTTTCTTCCTGATCAGGTCTGTGAGGGACCTCTTCATGGTTGCCCCCTAGGCACATGCAAAGAGCTTGTCAATGGTAGCCGCCTGAAGCTGGAGGCTTGGAGGCTAGAAGCAGCCAAAGCCTTGCCCTTGGAGTTGCCAAAGTAGAGGAACCCTCTGCTAAGTTTGAAAGTGGTTTTGTCTAAGGATTCCACCTGAGGCAGAAGGAACAGGGCAGAGGAGGCAGGGCAGACAGCCTGCCAAGTGCTCTGCTCTCGTGCTGAGCTCTGCTGGAAGAAACACTGCATTCTATCACCTTTCTACAGGCGTTTTCAGTAAGGTCGAAGAACTCATAGACCATAGGCCGAAAGAAGCTGCTGAATGCATCGCAATACAATGTGAACAACAATAAACCCTTGCCCTGGACGAGCTCAAGGTACTACATACCAACATGAAAATCTAGCAAGCTGAGTGCAGCCATATGCCGAAAGAAAATGAATTATTCCAGTCTAAAAGCACCCGCCTGGTAGAACAAGAAGGTAACTCTCGGGCACCAAACAGCTCACGCTCATACTCACCACCAGGCGTGCAGCAGGAGCGTACAGGAGGCGCCCACCCTTACTGCATCCGATCTACTGGAAGATTATAGATTAAAACGCTTTTTTGCGTTGTATATGGTTTCCTCCTAGATGCTCCTAGTGCAATTCCAGACGATGTGGTCGTTGACGACAGTCATCAGAAGTCGTTCACAAGGGAGCGCATCGAAACTTCCACCAAGCTGGTACCAACCATCCTTGAAAAGAAAGATGTAGGAAGACCAGTGCATGTGATCATCGACAGAATGGCATTTGTGATGCGTCCAACCAAGGCGGAAGCCACCTGGGTGTGTTCCCCAAAGCGAAAAAGATGTTTCCTGTGTAGGGACTCGATCCCGCGACCTGATCATGAACCCTAAAATGGTTTCTGAGGCAAAATTGAAGCATTGAATGCCCAACCGCTTGTGTTCTGGAGCAAAAAACAAAAGTAATGTTTCTATAACCCAGCATGAAAAGGCAAAACAATTCGTCACACGGAGTTCACAAGCGATTCCTCAGCTCATTACTAGTCGTGCGCAAGCATACTTCGCTTCTGGGAGCGGACGAGAACAGGCGCTTTGATGCTGCTATGAACGAATCATGGAAAGGCTGTATTTCTTGGCGCTTATAGCCGATTCAAACTATTTCTGCATGGTTGTGAAAGACACGGCTTGAACAGATGAAAGTCAAATTAATATATTCTTAGCGATCGCCGGGTGCGATTGAAGAGCCTGCTGAGCATTGCCTAGGTGTGGGGGGATGCGCAAATCATAGGTGATGCCTGTGCGGCTACGACTAGCGAGGTTTGGGCGCAAGGTGAATATGAACTCTCTTTTGTGTTTAGTTCCACGTGCATATCTTACTCCAATTTCATGTTTGATCTGTCATTTCCTGGCGTGTTGAGCCGTAATTTAACTTGGGAATTGTCTGCCTGCAGAACCTCCCCTTCTACAGGATCTTTGCGGCTGACTCCAGATCTCCTAGAGACGGCAGGCATATAGAGATTCTTGGACACTTTGATCCCATACCAGGTGAGCACCACCCAGGGAAACGACCTTTGCACACCTGAGCTGTTCAGCATGCCCATCTTGGCCATGTCTTTATATTCGACTACAAGGGCCAGTATTCTGGCATTCTAGGCTTTGGAGAAGTCTAAAACACCGAACTGCAACTCAGAGTGACCGGTTGATGCAGGCAAGGACGGCAACAAGCACGTGGGCCTGAACATCGAGAGGGTGCAGTACTGGCTTTCAGTGGGCGCCCAACCTACAAAGACAGTTGCGCGAATACTGGGGCAGGCAGCCATTATCCCCAAGCCACCACCGCCTCAATCAGAGCAGAAAGGGCCAAAGAAGGACTTGAAGCAGAAGAAGTGAACGGCTGGAGAGCTTGTTAGCTCTGTCACAGGTGCTGTAGTGTGGCAGCAGATGGATAGGAGACATGGGACATGCAGCAGCATGCTGTTGCAATCATGAGCTTGAAGCAGCCATGGAGATTAGGCAGGAAGCAGGGGAGTGGGCACTTCCCTTCAGCTGATCAGGTTTGTATTGCATCGTGCAGTGTTGTTGTTGGCAGCGCTAGGGTGAGAGCGCCTTGGAGGCATATGCCTTAAGCAAGCAGGTTGGCAATCTGACAGTGTCAGAAACCAATGCAATCAGGACCATGTGCCTAGCAGATGTTCCATTCCTAGACCAAACATTGCTGCAGATGATCATGCCGGCATTCATTGCTCTCAGATTTCTTCCAGGAATTCTGTCTCAATGCAAAGAGCAACCGCAGATTGTAAGATTTGGCAGCTTTCCAGATGTCCTGCCACAATTCATCAACAAGTTCAGCACACTTCAACAAACACTTCCCGTCCTTGGGACGATCTTCCTACGAACCTTCCTCTTCCTGGTCTGGCGCCGCGCCCTCTTCCCTTGGCGACTAATTGAATTGCCAAACGGGGAGCCAAAGTTCCTTATTGTTATAAGTTCCAAAAATGAGTCATTGCTTGCCGGAAGCCTGCGCCTCAAGCTGTGCGCAGCGGGCTCGCAGCTGCGCCACTTCAGCTTCCAGCTCATCGATGCGATTGCCCTTTTGGGCTGGCTTGTACGGCTGCATCAGGTTTTTGGAGAAGTCCTTGATGGCATCAACTCCCCTCACCTGCCCAGTCACAATAGTCAAGCCAAAACATGCATGCATGCAAAACTCCCAGTGGAGATTTCCACACTGGTGGTGTTTGCCATCAAGTAGTAGCAGCACTGTGATCTCTGTCCTTGACTAAATGTAAGGACATCATGTCGGCTCAATGCATTCTCCAAAGCGTCCGGTTTGGCCAAGTAATCAGCTCCATTCATGCAGGAGTTCTCAGCGGTCTCTTCACTCCAACATCTGCATCACCATACCTTTGCACCATTCTAATGTACACAGCAAGCAACTGAGAAGCTTGCATGCAGGTAGCAGGCAAGTACCTCCTCTTCTAGAAGGGGCATCCTGACGAGGTGGAAGTCCTCGTACAAGTCCTCAAACTGCTGCAGGTAGGTCTGCTGCATCTTCACGCGCGCCGCCAGCAGCCTAGAGCCGCCCGTCTCCTCCTCAAAGATGATCTGCGCACGGCCGCCCCATGATGTAAATCCGAACTCAACCCTTCAAAGAAAGTATATACAAACATCAAGGCATAGCACCGAACATACAAGGAAGGGGGCTGTCTCGTCAACATGGTGCACCGAGAACACAATTGCAACATCGAACAGGAAGCTTCCAGGAAACCTGTGCAACTTGTGCGTGCAGACATGCATATTGATACGCGTACAGCACATCCGGGTACTCTTGGCAATGGAATGCATAAATCAGCACAAGGCGGTCTCGCTATCATTCCAGATAAGGCCAGTGCAAGAATTGCCAGTGACAAGTAGAATGCTCACCTGGTTGATGACTATGTTGCAGGTGTCAATGTCGAACCTGGCCAGTTCCTGCACGAGCCGCTCTGTCTCATAGAGGCTCAAGAACTCCGGTATGCAGACGCACACAAAGGTGGTCAGGTCCGGGTCCTGAAATTGCTTGTTCACTTCCTCCACCACTCCCTGTGCACCCACAACAAACATGCATCCATCAGCCTGGCTCCCTAGATCTTCATAACAGCTTCTCCAATCTTTCTGTTCGCACAAACAATGAGTCAGCATGCAGCTTGTCTGCAGGCGCTCCTTGCCCTGGCAGGAACAGAGCGCAGTGTTCACAACAATAATGTAGACAACAAGTCTACAACATAAAGATGGGATAAGAAAGCAGCAGAGCAATGGATCACCGTTGTAATAATGCAGAGGACAAATAAGAGTGTCTAGAAGCTTGGCAGCAGTGGACAAGCAGAAAGTGCGTGCAGAGTGCTGTCAGCAGCGCATCAGCTTTAGAGGGATGTTCTGCAGTACACACCTTGAGCTCCTCTAGTCTGCCCACCAGCTGGTTCTGCATCTCCTCTATGTTTGTCCCCAGCAGGGCCCCTATCTGGTTCAGGGCGCCCCCAAGGCTGCCCCTCAGCTGCATGATCTTACTAAGCCCCTTCTCCAGAGTAGAAGGGAACTGCAGCAGCCGCAGCGTGTGCCCCGTGGGAGCCGTGTCAAACACTATGCAGTCGTAGTCCATCGATTTCACCTGCCACACAAAACACTCCTCTCATTTTACACGCTGCAGCTACACGGGTGTGCGATGAGCCTTGTCAGTGCTGCTTTTTGCATAAGTGGCGTTACTGCAACAAGAGCACCTGGACAGATTGGCTCCATTGCCTCGCAGGCAGCTCCATGGAAGGAGAGTTCAGGTGGGTCTGAACACATCATGACAAGGACGCAACAAGTATGAGGATACAACGTCTGATAACAATGTTTAATGACCCCCTGCCAGGTTGAGGGTGCATGTGCGCGCACCTGGCGCATGACCTCGGCGAAGCTCATGGCCTCGTCGATGCCGGGGATGGAGCCGGCCAGGTCAGACAGGAAGGAGGCATCGCCGTCGTCTGCGCCCCCGGCCGCCAGCCGAGCGTTCTCCGGGTTTGGATCCACCTCCTGGCGAAGCAATGAAAGTACTTTCATTCTATCTCATGTGCTTGGAAGAGATCTGACCTGATGGTGATCTACAGCATGCGGCTGTGTGATGTGTACAGAGACTCGGTTGCAGAAGTCATAAATTGTTTGCATGCGGTCGTAATTAGAAACCACTCATCGATGTGCGCCACACTTATTCTGTTAGACAGACACAGTAACTGATTCCCAGCAGCTGAGAAGAGACACGCATGCACAAATGCAAGGTGCCTCGCAAAATATCAAGCTCATCATCATGTGAGTCGAATTGGCTGTAAGGCAAGATATGGGGACGAACAGACCATTGCAAAGAGGTTGTGGAAGCCGGCCACGGGCGAGGGCGTGCTGGTGAACTTCTGCCTGAAGGCGTCGCTCAGATTGTGGGCAGGGTCCGTGGATATGATCAGCACGCTGCGTCGTACAGCTGCCAGCTGCACCGCCAGACTGGCACACAAGAACATGAGTCAGCAATCAGCTTCAGGCGCAGGATGTACACTTAAGATGCCCAGCAGCCCATAGCAGGACCAGGTATCCTTTGTAAAAGGTGGGAATCAAGGTCTGCAATTGGCAAATAAATGCTCAAATTTCTCTCCTATAGACTCAAATCATCCACAGTTGGACTGAGGAAGCTGCTGGCAGCTCGCAGCAGTTGACAGACGTGGAATGAAACAGGAGCTCACCTGCAAGAACAGGTAGTCTTCCCTACACCTCCCTTGCCGCCCACAAAGATCCATTTGAGTGTGTCATGATCCAGGATGTTCTGCAGCGTTGGCTCTGACAGATCTCCATTTTCCACGTGAGCTTCACTCATCTTGCGGCTGTATAGCCAATCAATGTGTAAATTTTCAGGTTTATAATCGAAGCCTATTACCCAGTGATCGAGCGAAAATGTCCTTTTTATATTGTGGACATATCATACCTAGTAAAGCATCGGTGAAATTAACCTTTCGGAAGATCAGCCTGATCTAATTGCCCTCTACATCAAGTCACAGAGAATAGGGAGTAGTTGGATTTGTTTAGATGCCTTCTCAGCCAATGACAATGTGATTAGAAAAAGGAGGTAGATAGCTGATCTGGAGTCTCGCCGCTATGTCACTGCGTGCGTGCGGTGCTTTTATGAGATTGGTTCAGATTTCTTTATTTTTTTTATCTAAAACTCTTTCGCAAATTGCTACATGAAGGACTCGATTGCCTCAGGTGGCTTCTCTGCCCCTTCATGAAGCCAAGATAGGCTCGAGCCTTGATCGTGTATTTGAGTGCAAGGCTACTGAGCAAGACGGTTGCGGTGGAGGACTTCTTGCAATCGTGTAATACCATCATCCTTCCCCTTTTCAACCTTTCGACAGCGCCCCTGATCTGATGGACCAGAGGCTGCCAGGGTGTGGGTGCGAGGAATGCTTTTGCTTCGCCTCCTTGGCATATGCCATGCGCATGACCGTGTGACACACTTTACGTAATCTGTACCGATTTACTCAGTCCACTTACAATAGGGAGCACTCTGCGCCAAACTGTTTAGACCTGAACTTCAGCAGGGAGGACAACTCCATGGAATAGATTAGCCATGCATGGCAGCAACCAGTGTGCGCGTGTAAATGACAACGTGAATTCAGCATCATGCTATGATATATACCCACGGGAGGATCCAAAGTATCTCTGAGAACACATGCGCCATATCATGATCAGGCATGGTGCTGTGACAAGCTATGATCACACTGCGGGCTCCAAAGAAGACATACTCCAGTACTCAGAACAGGATCTTCAAATTGATCATGTGCTTTATTTAGTCACCTGCTTGAGCTCTGCCCAATCAAAGAGGTGCAGAAGCAAAAATTTGAGGCGTCGCTCTGCTGAAAGTGTGCCAGTAGGCAGAATTGCACCATGATTTCCAGGGATTTATCTAGTTACTAGTAGTGTTGTAATCAAATACGGCTCACTGATGCAGCGCTCTCAATTCTCAACAAATAGCACACACGCTTCAGTCATGGCATGGTAATTATTCTTACTTTTGTCGCTTGTAGATCTTTTTTAACAGCGCCGTGAAGACCTCTGCAGGCAGCTCCTTCTGCGTGGAGATCTCTGCGCTAAGCTTCTCATAGCTGGCCTGCTCATACTCCTTGAACACCCGCTCCAACTCCAACTCGACAAAGACTTCCTTAATCCTCTGAATGGACTCTTCATTGTCTCTGCCATAGTGCTCCTGCGCCAAAGACAGTTGTCTCCCCTCAGGCACACAGCCACTGCAGCAAGATGTAGAATCTTCAACAAAGGGAAGTGCCAGAGGAGGAGAGCATTATAGTATACCCTAGCAGAACTTGAAAAGTTGGCAGAAGTAGGGACTTCATGCAACAAGATGGAGGAAGGTCACACCTTTATGACCTCAAGCTGGGCCGCACTGGCTCTTTTAAGGGCCTGCACCACAAGCCACGAACACTTGTTGTCCTGGATGTCAGTGCCCACTTTGCCGATCACCTCTGGGTCGCCATAGCAGTCCAGATAGTCATCCTGGATCTGTGACACAACAAGTCTGTGTCAAGCAGGATTGCTTTTTCTCGCGGGGTGCAAATCCCTCATGCTTCAAGGTCGGTCAAGCAGAAAATCACAATTTGACTGCCTGAACATGTTTGAAACCTACATCACATCCAGAGTAGCAGTAATAATGCAGTAGGGCATTTACAAGGCAACACTAATTGCATGCACACCTGGAAGTACTGGCCCATCTGGATGCAGATGTCCTTGGCTGTGTTGAAAGCAGCCTCGCTGTTGGTGCCCCCAACAAGCAGGCCGCAGACGACAGGCAGGTAGAAAGAATAGAAAGCTGTCTTGAAGGTGACAATTCGAAGGTAGGTCTCCTCGGTGTACTTGGACAGATCCACTGTGCCAATGGGCGCTGTGGTGATATCCAGGAGCTGCCCATGGGCTGTCTGATGCGTGGTCTGCATACAGAATACAAGTGTCATTCATGCGTCTCAGAGGTGTGACTCGATACTGGAATCTCAGGCAAGCAATACGGTGTTTCCTGATCTCGCATGGGCTGCAAATTCTAAGAAGGTAGCAGCTTGGGAGTGCAATGGGAGGGGGTTGCACCTCGTGGAAGAAGTCTAGGAGCAGGCCGTAGTAGGGCTTCTGCCCAAAGTGCTTCTTCAAAATGCGATAGATGCAGGACTCCAGAATGATGTAGTCATTGCATGCCACCAACCCAACCTGCCCATGAAACACCCTGAACTATGAACCTGCTTGTGCCCGCCGGCCAGCCCAAGAAGCACCAAGCACTGACAGATCATCAGCGGCACTTGGCGGTGTCCAGGTTTCCATGCACACAAAGCAAAAGGATGTATAAAGGCACTGTCAATATGGGCTGATGGAGGCGAGCAGGCGCACCCCCTCGGCTCTGTACCAACAGGGCTGCCCCCTTCGAGTGATGGAGTTGTCCATGATGTCGTCTGCCACCAGGAAGAAAGCTTGCAACTGCATAGAGAGGATTTGAGATAGTCAGATTGTTAAGCCGTCAAAATTGAGCATGGTGGAAGTGCCTGTGGTATCAAGACAGTCAGCATGATAAAGAGATGCTCACCCACTCGATGCACCACCCCAGAACATTTGCCTCAAACATTTGCTGTTCTGTCACCTGCACCCAACAAATGACGGATCAGAAGCACATGAAGCAGTTTAATTACGCAGCAAACTTAAGCAGATGAAGGGTCAAGGAGCGTCTATGAAAACCATTTCAGTGCTGTTGAGGGGTCTTGCCTCGTCCTTTTGTAGGTGTCCCAGGATGTCCCCCACGGCTAACCCTCGGTTCAGCTTGCCTCCTGGAACATTGTAGTCCAGCATCTGCAAGTGAGTATCCCAATTGATATCAGTATTAATCTGCTGTCAAGCAGAGCGTTGACTTGTTCATTTGCCCATTACAGAGAGCGCGGTCAAAGAAGCAATTACCCTGCGCATGTAATCCGCTGAGAAGGACGGTTGGCCAGCAATCAGCTCATCAGCGACCAGCTCATCCGTCAGCACTGTGTATACCTTCATAAAATCCTGTGTTGCAAACAATCAACACCTTCAAACAGGATTTCAAAGAGGGCCATCAAATATATTATAGATGCACTGTGTAATTCTAATCATTGCAAGCAGAAGGAGCATTACACATTGACAAAGTACGTGAAAGTATCACTTCCTGAAGCAAGATCACACTCAGAGGTTGCAGTGTTGCCCCTCACCTGCTTAGTGTTGATGATCTTAGCCGATCCATTGCTCTGAGGATCCTCTGGGATTGTGACAGTATCTACATACATTTGCAATTTATCTGGCACAGCCAGAGGCGCCTGTGTGGTGACCATCGCACAGAGCTTCAGCACTCCCTGTCTAGACCTAATTTGCTTGGACACCCTCTCTGCTGCTCTAGCGGCAAGCAACCACATACGTTACAGGAATGTTAGATGCATGTCCGCTTCAGTAACGCGCAAGCATCGTTGATGCGCAGAGCGGGTCAGTGAGTTGGCAACAGGGAGAGGAGGGAACGGCAGGGACAAAGCATGCGCAGCAGCAGCTGCATGCTTGGCGCTGTATTCTATGCCAAATCTTTAGGACAGGAATACATCGCAGATTCTCAGCTGTATCTTTGAGGTGTTTCCAGATCCATCGCGTGAAGGTGTTTCAATTTACTGCGTCACTACCCAGTACAAGGTTTGCCTCGATGGGTGTGTGAGACACATATGGCGCATCTCTCAGGCTTCGATATATTCGATCTATCAGGCTTCGATAGATATAGCTCTTCTGATATAGTATATGCGCGTTTTGGCAGGGCTCGAAAGCCATGAGCATAGAGCTCGCTCAATCCTAAGTGTCAGAACATGCCCATCGTCACCTTGGCGCAACTCCGAGGCCGAGGAAGGGCCAGGCGCGGTAGAGGGCGAGGCCGAGGCAGGGGAAGAGGACGAGAAGGCGGCCAACAAGGTGTTGCGATTGATCTTTGTAGAACTTGTGCTTCAGGTTCTGGCTCCTGCACTGCTCTGTGCTTTGATTGTCTTATTAGGTTGAGAAGACAGACAACAACAATATATTTGGAAGCTGCGATTTCTTTTTGGATGCCTTGCAGAGGCGGATCCAGAGCCGAAGAGGTCCTTCCAGGGGCCTTCTCGCAGCCTGCTTGGGGGAGGCCCACAGGAGGAGGAGGAGCACGACCCTGACCTGGATGGCCTTGGAGTCTTTGCCAGGGCTCCTCGAGGCACCTACGAGGATGCTGTGGAGCACCTGCAAAGCATACAGGATGAGGCAGCAATCAACGCTCTTATGGAAAAGCTGGAGGCACAACAGGCCGACGCTGAAGAAGGAAGGGATGCGCCAGGCCCGGCAAGGATTGGCGTGAACGGCCGCACGGCTGCTGCAGATGCTCAGCAGCACATGAGCAACCAAAAAGGGGCAGCAGAGGTGCGTTGGGCAATCGACTACTGTCAAATAGCTGTACCAACCGAGATTTGCGGGTTTTGTTTGGCTGAAAGAAAATATCGGGGAGCCGAGGAGATCCATGCTTTCTGTCCTACAGGAAAATGAGGTGGTTGACCTTTGCGACAGTGATGCCGAGGATGCTCAACCACAGCCAAAGCGCAGCTGCAATGCGCACAGGGGCTCAACAGCGCCGGCACCAGCAGTTGCTAGCACTTCTGGGAGAGTGCAGCCCCTGTGCAGGTGAGAGCAATGCAGCGGTATTCAGTCGGCAGCTCAGACTTTGCCTCAGCACACTTTGTGCAGCACTTCTTGATTTTGCATTGATGCCTTGGATCTATTTAGTAGTATTGCAGCGCTTTGAACATCTCAGGGTCTTGTTTGATTCTGCTTTGATAACTTCAATCTAGCTCAAAATAGTGCAGCGCCTTGTTTACCGGTATCATAGAGCACTCTTTGGTTTGCATGGATGCGATTGATCCAGGCAAAACATGTGTATTCTCTTCCTCAATAGTGCAAAGGGATGTGGCAGTCACTTTGTTGCGTTGTAGGCCTCCAAGGCAGCTGGGGCTACGCGAGAGGAACTGGGGAGGCACGGCTGGCCGCGCTGCCTCCGCCAGCAGCAGCAACTGGATGTTTGGGGGTGAGGGCGCGTATGTGCCGGACCCGAACGCAGCGCCGGACATGCGCCTGCGCCTGAACGAGACCGTGCATGTGCTGGACGTCGGGCTGATCCGCCACCCTGCGCACGCCCTCCTAGACAGCGGTGCGCAGCTTACTCATTTGTGCTGTGTCATCACGGAATGTGCAAGACCTCAGAAGTCAGTTTTCCCTTCCTGACGAGGCACTGTCCCCTGTGATAGGCCTTGCATACTTGACAACATCTGCATGACGATATCTGGTTGCTTGTTCAGCATGAATGTCTTGCAGAAAAATGTGCAATCGGCGGGTTTGGTAGCAAAGGTACTGCCTGATTGGAGGTGCACCAAAGCCTGCAGAATGTGCCCTGTCCTCCTTGAAAGGTCAGCTGAAGCTGTCTTATGGAGAATATATGGACAGCCTTCAGAACATTGTGTGAACTTCGTCTGAGGCAGCCCTCTGTTCTTCTTCTGGCACTCACTCGCCCTTGATATCTGCATATATTTCCTCTGCATTCATGTTCACCACAATTTGTGGTTGTTCCTGCAGGGAATGGTGGCTGCACACTTATCAAGCGGGCGCTGGCAAGGCAGCTGGGTCTACTGGACGAGTCCGGCTGGCCCACACAGGCAGGCAGGCGGAGCACAACAGTACGTGGAGTGGTGGCAGGCGCCACAGAGAAGATCCCTCTCATGAACCTCACCTATGAGCTGCGAGGTGAGCCCTGAACAGAACGGCTCCGTTGCCAAGAGCTGCACAGCGCAGCTCTTTTGCACAGCACAAAACTACGGTGTCTCTCTGTACAACTTGGACAGAACACAAGAGGTTTTGAAAAATTGATCTGAACTCTATATAAGGTTCTGATGACTCATGCACTTTGACTTATGCTCAGTCTTCAACCATGCCCGGGCCACCAAAATCCGCGCAATTGAATGGATCTGCAGCGGCTGTGACTGTTGCCAGGAAGAATCTGATGTTTTGGTGTTGTGCCACGCAGGCAAGAAGATGCACGTGACTGTAGGCGTCACAGATGCCAGCCTGGGGTGAGCATCTGTTCCGCCACAACTTCTATCCAAGTACACGGTCGTGTGCAGGCCTCCTTTCTAATGCATTATCTTGACCTCTGCTGTGACGGCTGCAATGAGTACGTGGCGGTGCAACTGGACTTCTGAGTATTGCTGCATTCATTATTATTATTATTATTGTTGTTGAAGTTGTTGTTGTTTCTATTATTATTATTATTATTATTATTATTATTATTATTATTATTATTATTATTATTATTATTATTATTATTATTATTATTATTATTATTATTATTATGATTACACGTTTTTGAATCCTAAAGAACTTGGTACGTCAAAGCGTAAAGGACTAAATATAGCTTTCCAGTCTTCTCGATTCTTGCTCTTCCTCCACCAGTTGCTGCATTTGCAGGTGCGATTTGCTGATCAGTCAGCGAGAGATCTCGGAGTTCCTATCTGATGGATTCATTTTTGATGTCCGGTAGGCACACAGCGCAGCTGGACAGCTGCCAACTGCCAGTCCCTAGCTAGAGCTTTTCACCTCTGGCTTTCTTGTGCTAAGGCCACTGGGGTCCGGCTTGTCTTCCAACCAAAACGCATGCATCAGTCTGTAGAATAGAAGTGCTCAAGTTGTTGATGTCAACATCATCAGTCTGTCATTAAGAATAATAAAACACTTGAATAGAGGTGTCTGGATCTGTACATGTGCAATTTTGATTAGACCCTACTGTGCAGCTGCAGCCATGGGAATTGCCCGCAAGCTTGTAGAATTGCAAGCTTGCTGTGTGTAATGCTGTTAACGTGACTTGCAATTGCCCATGTAGTCGACTGACGTCATCCTTGCTACTAGCATGCATGCTTGTAGCAACATTACTCCCAGAAGATGGCAAGCCTGCCTGTCTTAGATACTGTCCAGCCAAGGTGCACAACCCCGTGGGTCACATGCATCGATGGGAAATCTCAAAATCTGCCACTCCTGCAGGAGTCTGACCCCCAGACATACACAAAATTGGTTCAGGCCCTACACGTGGCGATCCTTCCCAAAGAAAGCAGGGCGACCGCATGCAGACATTGTGGGATTAGTATTGAATCGCTGTTGGTGTGCCATTCACCTTCTCTTTAACAAGTCGTGGACATCTCACGACAGATAGGTGGTCGAGGCAAGTCTAGGAAGCATGAGGCGACACGCCGCTTTGGCGTGCCTGCTCCTGGCCGTGTTTGCAGGTGCGCACGTCTCGTGTTTCGCCATTTTTCATCCATGCAATCAGGGCGACTGCTGTTCATGGGCGAGTGCTCTATTCCAGAGGCGCCGATCAGGGCCTTCGGCTGAGCGTGCTGGGGCACCAGCGATGGGTTGCTTCTCTTGCTTTCTTGGACTGGGATTGCCATGTGATCGGCCGTCAGAACGACGCTGAACGTGTTTCTATTGCAAAGGCGGCTGAGGATTGCCATCCCTGTCGAGGTTTCTAGAGGATCCAAAAGGAATCATATAAGCAGAAATTTTCCGACCTATTCTGCTGTGTGTTGTTCTGTTCGCGCACTGCAGTGCTTTTTCTTGATGGTTTGCGCTGCTACCAGGGAACGAGATCAATCAGGCGATAGGACAGCAGCCTCTCCAGCTTGGTGAGGGCACGAACGAGCCTGAAGATGAGCCTACGCTGTGGACACCTCTTCGCAATCTGTTGGTGCGTGCAGCACGATCGTTTCCACCTCTGATGTTGACATCACTGGCTTCTTGAGCGACCACCTCGACCATCAGTGCTCAAGAAGGCAGTGACATACGAGAAGATCATGCCCTGCAGCAAGCTCGCTTACCATGCATCAGCAGCACAAGTTGGAGCTTAGCCCGTTGTGCTCCTGCTGCCCACCCTTCATTGAGTCTGCACCAATCTAGAGTTAAAGATGGAGGGATCACAGTTGAATGTGATGTGCTATGCTGCAGCAATTCAGTTTCAGCGGTGGCGGGGGTGTCACCAGTTCGAAGGGGTCAGGCTCAGGTTCTTTATCCGTCACCGCCGACAAATCCAGGTACATTCCTTCATTCACTTTTGCAGGAGACAACCATCGTCCTACTGCTCTGCACCGCAGTGGGCGCTCAAGTATCTTGGGCGGTATTACATTGCTACGCGTGCTGTTGTTCTGCTTGGTAAAATGTCAAGGTTAAGCCTGCCCATTTGCATCATTGGCTGAACCTGGCAGGCTGATGCGCATATTTGCACTGGCCAAGTACACTAGAAACGTGTTTATACGGGATCATGGATGTGATTGTCGCAGTGTCATTTGCATGCATGCTGCGCAGCTCAATGAGCACTGATCACGGCTGGAAGTAGCGTCAAATGTGCCCATTTATTGAGTGATGCTCAGAGAATCGTCTGATGCCATTTGCAGCTCAGTGGATTGTGATCAGTTATAGTAGTGTGCTGCCACTTCCAGCTCAGTGATGCATGACCAATGGTTGGTATTGTGCTTGTCTATTTATAACTCCATAATAAATGACCAGTACCTGGTGTGGCCCCGGCTGGCGGAGGCGGTGCAATTAGTGAGCACCGTGCCCACGGTTGATCAAGTCTTGATTGGATCCGGCGAGGCCAACGCGGGGGCAATATCGTGGCAGACTTTGCCTGCAGCTTGTCTGCAGGACATGCCTTGCCTCTTGGCAGCAGAAGCGTGTTTTTACTGTGATAACATCAGTAAATTTCTGTGGTGTCATTTGCAGCTCCTCTGGCTCCACGCCGTCCTCGTCATCGGACACCCCTGCTTCTTCGTCATCAACCCCTGCTTCTTCATCAGACACCCCCTCCACTTCAACTACTGTGTCAACTTCCGTCGGCACCAACTCGGCCGCGGCGGCCGCCGGCGCTGCCGCTGCCTCGGAGGGCTCCACTTCAGCTTCCACATCAACATCCGCGGCGGCTGGAGGTGTGCTCAACCCTTAAGTATTTGTGTGACATGGAAGCAGTTTGGGGTTTGGAACTATCAGTCTGCATAGTGCCAGTGACTGTACTGCCTGGAAGTACCAGCCTCAAGAGTGCAACTGGGCTCTCTTGAATGCAACTGGGCTCTCTTGAGTATTGGGGCCTTTCAAGCTTCTAAAAAGATGTGGAGGAGAGGAGATATTTCGTGCTCTGCAGCTTGCAGATCCAGTGAGATTTGTCCACAACCTCACCTGAATGTCCAGGATTTGCATCAGTGCTCTGCAAGGTTGATGCCTGCCATGGCAGGGAGACTGTATAATTGCTTGACATGGCCATTGTGCTTCTCAGAAGTTTGCATGTCCCAAAAAAGGCATGTAGAATCCTCTGGCGACCTGGTGCTCAAACTGCTTAGGCAGCCGCTCCTTAAAATCTATCACAAGCCACATCTAACGTTTTGATGGCTTGCAGGTGACTCCACGTCATCGTCAGACCCGCCAGCCACCCCGTCTGATCCACCCGCATCCCCATCCGATCCACCCGCCTCCCCCTCAGATCCACCTCCCTCGGATCCACCCCCCTCAGATCCACCCCCGTCGGATCCGCCAGCCGCGCCCTCCAAGACTGTGGTTGTTACTAAGAAGAAATCTCCTCCGCCAGAAGTGGTCGTCAAAAAATCACCCACTCCCAGTGAGTACCCTGCCGACATGACCATAATATACTCCCCTTCCGTTTTGTACCTCCTGCATTACTGAGGACGGCCCTTCTCATCCCAGCAGCACTTTTCCTGCAATGGATCTAGTAGTCTAAACCAAATTGTAAACTAGGAAGCTGCCTGTAAGCATGTGAACAAACGAACTCTGTGCATCTGAGTAGACCTTGACAAAGTCTGTGGCACCTTAGTCCATGAGCGGAGCTCCGTATTGCACCTTGAAGCAAAAGTTTGTTCCTTAGCACAGGCTGAGTCAGGCGCTGTTGGGACTCTATTTTTTTGGCATCAAATTGGAGCGGCGAGCTGACTTGTCTAGGCTGTGTGCGCAGCACCCAAGATTGTGGTGAAGAAGGAGGCGCCCTCTCCGCCGCCACCAACCAAGATCATCCTGATCAAGAAGATCTACTCGCCACCTCCGCCGCCGCCCGAGAAGATTATTATCATCGTGCCGCACTCGCCACCGCCCCCCGCCAAGAAGGTGAGCACCGCTCTTTCTTTCAGCTTGCGCTGACATAATCGCTGACGTAATCGATACACGCGCACTGGCAGTCCCTGCATGCTCCTGGGGAGTGTCTTGAGCTGGCTACATTTTACTGGGTGCATCTAAACACGCACGCATTTCTTCAGGCCACTTTGGAGGAAGGCTGGCAAGATGGCTGTGTCCTGTCAGCGATCACATAAGGGTTCACGTCAGCTATACCCCACTGCTGTCCTGAGCAATGCTTAGTTTGCAGTTAGATCCAAGGCCTCCTTGTACTTAAAGAAAAAAATAGCAACGCGTTTTTTGGCATCCAGACGAAATTGAAGAACCCATCACCCGTTTTTTTCATATGGCCAGATTATATAATCCAACAGGTCCAGAGTTATGTGTTATAGCTCTCCGTTATTGTTTTCTCAACAAGCCACAAGGCCGCCTCGCATGCATGCAGGTGGTGGTTGTGCCGGCTCCCAAGACACCCAGCCCCACACCAGTGACAACCGTCAGCGGAGTGAGCGGCGTCAGCGGCACAACCAGCCCCGCCCTCACACCGGTGGTGACCACACCAGTCGCTGACGCACCCACAACAGCAACCACAGTCCCTGCCGACGCGCCTGAAATATCAACCACCCTTGCGGCCGACGCGCCTCTGAGCGGGACGACACCAGCGGCCGCGGCTCCGGCCACCGAGACGACGCCGGTGCCGGAAGTGCCGGCCGTGCCGGCCGGCGGCCGCCGCAGCGGCCGGTCGCGCCGCCACGCGCGCCGCTGACTCATCTTGAAGCTGCAGTCGCGCATGGCCTCTCCTGAGTGGGCTGAAGGATTCTGGGTGGGCCAGGAGGTTCCTGGTCTTTGATGCTTAGCATCATATATGTGAGGTGCAGCTGCGCAACCAGATCTGGGTGCTCATCTTTCAGACAGCCCCGCCTTGATTGATTCTTGGCAAGAATGAATTGGACCAGATGGGCAAACCCATATATATTGCTTTGTCACCTGGTAGATAGCTGTGTTAAATGATTGCACATGGACACTATCAGTTCTTTTATCCTGCTAGTATAGGCTCTGCCTGGAGCAGGAGGATGGCAGCTGGCTGCATTGTGCCTGCCAAAAGTATCCAGTTGGCCGGCTGGGCAAACACAGATGGTGATGATCATGCTTGGCGACAACATATATTCCTTACTGATTGTCACATGTGCTGTGGACTGTACAGTGTGCTATGGACCTTATAAGCTCAGTGGTCAGCTGCAGAGACGAGTGTCTTTTTTTTCCTTTTGTTGAGGCACGCTCAATTTAAAATTTCTGGGGTGGCTCAGAGCAGGATATTTCTTATGAAGGACAATTGTCTATGGTGATGAGAGGTTGCTATGGGTTGAAGTAGAGTATTCATACCTGGAAGAGAGCCTGCAAGCTGATGAGGCATGACAAAGGGAATGAATTTATAGGCTTTTCAAGACTTGAAACGGTAGGGCACTTCGATAATTTTGTTTGGGCAAATCAGGTGATGTGTGTAATATAATGCATTCCCAGCGTTTCAGCATATTTCCACGCATCCACACTGCTACAAAATGTTTAGGCGACCCAGCAATCCGTTTATGTTCCTTTTGCGTACATGCTGCAGACCGCGGTCTTTGATCCAGATCTTTATCAAGAATTAATCAGAAGAATGTTCCATCCGTTCTCAACAAGGCTTTGAATGCAGCAGACAATAAGTTCATCCATGATGAAGAAAATATCGACCATGATCTCAGCGGTTCTGCAGCATCGGGGGCACAAGCCACTCGAGCTCATTCATTTCGCGCACGGCTCGGTTGACAGCTGCGCGCAGGCTCTCTCCCTCTTGCAGGGCCCCCTTCAGCTGCTCCAGCCAGTCCACTAATCCCTCACATGCCTCGCGCAGCGTGACCAGCGCAGCTTCCACTGCCTCCTGCGCAGCATCCAATACCTGTGAGGTGACGGTTTGTTAAAGCAGCATGCGATTTGACCATTATCGTCCCTTGCGCTGCAGGATAGATACTCTTTCACCCTCACGGAAGCCCATCTGAAGAAGCGTCTCCAGTGAGTGCTCGCGGCCTTGGAAGCCCACATTTGCAGCATTGCACGCAGAGCCACTTACGATTGAGCAACAGATGCCCAAGCTTGCTACACATTTGCTCAGGGTGAAGGTTCCCTGCGTACGCCTGATCATGCAGCTAACACAATGTAATTAAGGAGAGGGGACATTACTTCACATTGAGAAGTATGCGCAATTCAGCAGTGCCAAGTGTGCGGTTGGTACTGTGCTGCCTGCCGATCCGACAGGCAAGCAACATTATAGGGGAAGATGTGCTCAGATGAAGGCGACACCTTTTCTGTGGCGCCGCCTTTGTTGCCATAGAGGGGGTCATCGATGTCCTGGCCGTCCGGGGTCATTATTTTAGCAAGCTCGGGGTGGAACTCGCCCAGCCGCCTCACCCTTTTCGAGTAGTTCCCCGTTGAGTTGATTGTGTCAAACACGCTCACCTGACCAAGTACTGCACTGTAAGCTCAACACAAAAGACTGTTTATCCGAGCTTCAGGGTCTGAATGAACCCCAGTGACACTCTATGCTGGCAGACTCGCAATGATAAGGACAAATATGTACAATGATGATCCAAAACGGCCCGGGCTGTCACAACCTGATCTAGCCTCATTCTATATGTATGGTAGCAGATCACATTCAAGAACAGGCAGGCCAGAACGACTGGCCAACACACCTCTCGGAGGACATCAGCTGCAGTGAATTTGTCCATGACCACCACAAGATCAAATTGGACAATGTCCTCTTCTGGGCTGAAGTGGCGGGCCTTGAAGTCCTCTGGAAGAGTGACGTCATTCCAAGCAGCCACCTCGCTCACCACTGCTTCCGGACCTTCACCCAAATTGTAATCCCTGCAAGAGTAGCATCAGCAAAGCAATTGTGAAGCATGACAGCCAAACAGCACCGCAGCAGCACATCCCTGTGCGGTCAGCAACTGCTGGGTGGTATATCCAATAGGACTTGGCATGAATTTCAAAGTGTGCAAGAGGTTGGCGGCACAATGCTTGCCTGGTGCCCTTAGATTCACAGAGTATTTGCTCTGAGAGTCCCCGCTCGTCCAAGATCTGGCGTGTGACTGCCTCTGCCAAGATCGATCTGCACACGTTGCTCTCGCTGACAAACAGGATCCTGGCTGCTGTGCGAGAACTCTCCCTCTCCACTTTCTCCTGAGCCCATGGTGTCGACCGGAACGCTGTGTCCACGAAGATTTCAGAGACATCTATCTGGTCGGGTTGAGCCTCCTGCACTGCAGAGAAGTCTGTCAGCTTTGCTTCTCTTGTCTTTGCTACTGATTGTGAAGGCAATAAGCATCGATTGAATTACCTGCTGCTCAGTTGCTCTGCATTGCACTCCTCGCTTTTCTGGCAATCTTTCAAATGTATTATATTGCACACTGGATCCTGCATTCAGATGGGCTGCACGCCCGGCCCTGGGACTATGTCTAGTACATGGTGATGCTTGATTGTTCCCTGCTAGAGTCACACGACCTGCCAGGTGATGATCGATCGCTGCATACATCCTTACAGAGTGATGTTCAGCGTCCTTTCGACATTAACAAGCTTTGCAGCGATGCATATATTGCGAGTGCAAAGGTGACCAGCAGCTGAGTCACCAACTTATCCCTTATCCATCATGAAATGCCAAACGTCAGAAACGTCAAAATCCTTCAAAAGTAGCTAGGAATTTGGCCCATTTTGCCTCACAATTGATCGAATCGACTGAATATATGCTTACAAATCTTTCTAATTGCAAATGAACAGCTCTAGCACCAGCTGTGCCCATCAGGATTTCTCTTTTTCCAACCAGCACAAACTTAAACAAGAGAGAGCCACTCCAAGCTTTACTAGAAGACAAACAAAACGATGGCACCGCTGTTGCCATCGGTCAGCTCAATGCAGTTCCAGCAAGCTTAGTCTCTTCTCACCTTCCAAGGTAAATGAGAGTCTGGCATGAACCCGACAAAGGAGAGCATTTTTGTGAGGACGGTATCCTTGTTTATAATTGTCATCTTTCAAGTTTGGAGTGCTGGGCGCAGATCAACCTTTTCCTTCGCGTTGTCCGCCGAAGAGAAGATGGATACCACGACCTTGCTTCTCTATTCCATGTAAGGATGCTGGCAACCAAATTGCCCACATGAATGAAGACACGTGTGTGCATATATTTGCTGCTGGTACAATCTCTTTACCAGGCCATCTGTGCAGCACTGCTGTGACGATCTCCTGGATCGTGTTGGTCTGCAGGTGATAGATTTGGGAGACAGCATGGATTTTACGCCAGTTTCAGGCTCAGGAAGCGACCAGCTGACCTGCAATGTGGCTGACATTCCCACAGATGGCTCGAACCTGGTGATCAAGGTAAGTGCCCACTTGGCACAGACCTGTGGATCATGCACATTTATTCTCTCACACACTTAATAGAATGCATTGAAGCAATTCATCATGTGTTGTAAGGTGTGGGAATGGCCATGCAGGCCCTGAAGCTCTTCAGGGAGAGGACAGGCAGCCAACAGCGGTTCAAGGTCCACCTGGACAAGAAGGTTCCTCACGGTACTGCGCCACTTCGCATCAAGTAACACAAGTTGACATCGTGCCAACCCAAAACTGCTGATTAGTCTTCATGTGTCTGTCTCAAGGTTGCGATACACAAAGGCATGACCGGCCCTCATATCCGACAGTGCTAGCAAATGGATGGTGGCATGAGTCAACCTTTTGAGACGAGTGCATGGTGCAAGCAGGTGCGGGCTTGGGGGGTGGCAGCGCGAATGCAGCAACCACTCTCTGGGCGGCAAATGAGCTCTGTGGGCGGCCGGCCACCAATGAGCAGCTGCTGGACTGGTCGGGCGCCATCGGATCGGACATCTCTGTCTTCTTCTCTCGTGGCGCCGCTTATTGCACCGGCAGGCATGCCCCCTCCTATCAGCTAGCTTTCTGCTTCCTTAATGGTCATTGCATGCAATTCGAAGGGGCAAGGTGCTTCAAGCTTGAGGGAGCAATGCTCTGCCCTCCTCGAGAAGGTGTACTGTGCTGGATGAGATGCACACCTCACCTCAGTACAGTCCCAGCCCTTCCTAGCGCAACTTGCGGATCACAAGCTTCCGCCGCGAGCCTCATGTACGGTACTGTGCCCTGGAGACACTCTCTGCCCAGCAAATATAGTACTCACTGTCTGTGTTCTGATGCACAGGGGAGAAATTGTGGAGGATGTGGATCCTCCCCTGCCCCTCACCACGCCGCTGCTGCTAGTGAAGCCTCCAGTGGGGCTGTCCACACCAGAGGTGTTCAGATCTCTGGATCTGGCCAGGAGGAGCACAGCAGACCCCCTGGAGTTGCTCAGGGGTCTGGCAGCCAGGGGCGCGATAGATCCAGAGCTGTGCGTGAACGATCTGGAGCAGCCAGCATTCGATGTGCTGCCATCCCTCGCACAGCTGAAGCAGCGGCTGATCGCCGATAGCGACGGGCGCTTCTCTGCTGTCTTCATGACAGGTGCGTGGCTTGCATCCACTCCTGACTCCTGCATGATGCAAGTAATTCTTCACCTGCGAGACAGCTCTTTCTTCCATCTCCGGCACTCGCTTTGCCTGCATATGCCCTTCTCTTTGACTACTCCAAGCGCACAGCTGCATCAGAAGCTCGTGCTTGTTGGGCCTCGCTGTCATCAGGAGTGTCTGCTTCCTGCACGAGGCAAACTGCTCATCACCCGAGTACGGAGAAAGGAGGTATTACATAGCAGATCCAGTGTCTGCTTCCAATGGTGTGTGTACTAATTGCAGGTAGCGGGAGCACCATTGTGTGCGCGGGATCAGATGAGGCACCAGCATTCCTGGGTGAATCGGACTGTGCAAATCTGTTCGTGACTCCTGCCCGCCTCATTGCCAGGGAGGCTGGAGCGTGGTATGAGCCCAGCAAGGCCCTGACAGCTGTTGCATGAGCAAGTTGCACTGGAACTTTGGAGGGTTTGGATGTCATGTACCGTGAGAATATGAGAGTCTACTTTTTGGATCAAAATCACATCACTGTGACAACTTCGAAATAGGCCATGCCGTGATTTGACAGCAGTGTGGGTGACCAATTGTGGGTGTGAAGCAAGCTCATTGATTGCTCTGGAAGTTATGGCAGGGCAGAGAGCTGCGCTGCCATTACTAGTGGTCTTCAATAATTGTCATGCTATTGTAAAGCTTCATTGAGAGGTGTACAAGTGCCAGCAATGGGTATCACAGATCTCAAGACCACCTGAACTATACTCATGCACAATTTGACCACACCAATGCATCTTAATTACAATATACATCACAAAATGGCATATAAGTAGTGGTCAAGCTCACACCTCCAAGCTTGAACCATAAAAACTCATCACCGGCAAAAATTGAATACCCATTCAGCAAAATTGGGGACAAAAATAACAAATACAAGCAAAATGTACTTAGCCGCATTATGCGCTGACACTATAAGTCAGAATGCATCATGCGACCAGGTTCTCTGCCGATGGGCCAGCGACTGCGGCTCATCTGGGGTTGCTGAGCGACTGCTGCACAGAGCATGGGGGTTCGTGCATTGTTGGGCTGCCCAAATTCGTACAGCCAGTCTTCCATGGATGCTCCAAGGCCCTGCAGGAATTAAGCACACACCTCAGTCTGCCGTTTTTCATAATTTTGCACTTCTCGACAGGTTGCAGCATGCCGCTTTGGTCCCTTTGAGAATGGCACCATGCAAGATATGCTGTAATCTTGGGTTCCAGATGAATCAAGCAAGATTTCAGCATAGTCACCATGGAGAAATTCCCCAGCAGCACAAACGGGCACAATTCTGATGTTCAGTTGACCTCCCACTGCCAAAGCATAAATCTAATGGGATCTTTCAGCCGCTTGCCATGATCCTTGAGAGGCCTGTCACTGCTCCTTAGGAGGAGTGTTGTGTTTGTGAGAAGAGCAGTCCAAATCACAAAAGAACCCAATTCGGTCGCATGAAGTAGTAGGGTTCGCACCGCTGGTGCCCTCGCCAAATCCTCGCCAGCCTCCCTCAGGGCAGTCTTTGCGCGCTGCGCCCTGCGCTTCACCCCCTCAGCTGCAGCGCGGCCGGAAGCCGAAACGGCCGCGGCCGTCTCCTTTGCAGACGTGCGCGCCGCTGCATACAGTGCCTTGGCAGCCTCGCCTGCATTTCAATAAGCTCTGCCTCAGGAGAATTCCCACAGATGCTATGATAATGTGTGATAACCACATCCAGGATAGCAGAGCCCCTGAATATTGCTAGGTGGTTTCAATAGCTGCCTGGGCACAAAGGTATTCTTTGCGGCGCAAATTGCAGTGAACGCCGTAGGCAAGGTAATCTGGCATGATGAGGAAACATGGGATGGCAGTGTGTCTGCACCTTCGCTGCTCGCGTTGACAACGTCTGCAGCTGCGCGGCGGAAGCCGACAGACCATGCATCCATCGCCCGGTGGTTGACCACCTCTGTTGCTAGCGCTGCAGGAGCAGCAACATAGCCCACCCGCGATGCCACAGCCTGTGACAATTCAACAGAACACCAACTTCAGATTTTACATCGCAGAACATGTGCACATGAATTTACAGCTAATGCTGGTGTATTCATACCCCAGACCTGTGGTGAGGAATGTGCCCCGCACATGAGAAGGGCAGCCAGAGTGGCGACCCACAAAAACCAAAAAGAGGAAGAAAGTACCTGAACAACATCATTGCCAGGGTGGAAGCCCAGAGCTGAGAAGGCATCCATGGAGGTGGCAAGCTCGCTGGGCTTGAAGCTCATGACTCTCTGCCGGATTGCTGCTGACAGGGCTGCCAGTGTGCTGCCCTCTGGGTGATGCCGCCATGTCTGGTATGACCACAGCACCAGGGAGATGCCCTGCAGCAATGCAGTAAGGTGAGCCTGTGGTCCCTGTGCATCTCCTAGTGACTGTGAAAGACAACTGAGCCTTTTGCACTTGTGACGCATTTGCAGTCACATTGCCAGATGCAACTGACGTCATCTGCCAGAGAATTTGACACTTGCTCAATCCTTCTGAGGCTCTGGCAAAGGACGTTCAAGCTGCATCTCAGGACGTGAATGGCATCTCACCACTAATCACACCGACAATGATAAACATATGAAGATGTACCATTTAAAGACACCGGCACGAGGGCACACCTGGGCAGTGATCTGCGAGCTGAGCCGCTCCACCTGCTGGTCCAGGGCTGAGAGCACTGCCACTAGCGGATTGTAGTTCAGCATTGCAAACGCCCAGAGTATAAGCGGCACCTGTGAGGGCTGCAAGCTTGCTGCATGCGTGCAAGCCTGCGGTGTACATAAATCATCAGTATGAAGAAGACCAAGGTCGATGATGCATCGAAGGCCTTCAGCCAAAGCCGTGCCATCAGATAGTGCATGTGAAGGTGCAGAAGAATTCGGGGGTTGACCTGCTTAGAAAGCGCATCCAGGAGCAGTGAGGAGGGCCGCTGTTTCAAGCGAGCCAGGCCATCCAGAGTGAGGGTGACTTCTGTGGCCCCAAAGGCGCTGACTTTGTTGGCAGCAATCTCCAACAGCCGCTCAATCAGGCCAGACTGTTCCAACGCTGCAGACAGCAATCACAGTTTCAGGTTATTACTGGCCACACATATGCGTGATGATCACGTGCAGACTAATCATCTCCAAAATTTGGACCTCATTGGGTTACAATATGACGAGGTGGAGTGACATGCCTGCTTGTCGCTGCCATGTCATGAAGCTATACAAGCACCCAAGGCGGTACAGGGCATAAGCAGCTGTCCCCGCGTCTATGCATGGCTGCTTGTTGATAGCAGATTGCACATCCTGCCATCTGGCTGCCAGTCGAATGCTTCTGTAGCTGTCTGCGCCAGCAGCTGCTGGCCTGACATCACTGCCCCTCACAGTGGCTGGGTGCTCCCTGGGGCTTGCCAAGAGTGCCAGTGTTGGGGAACATAATGCACGCCTGCATCACGATTACCCTTCTTTTCAGAGCCTGGAACGGGTATAAATTTCAACTTGGTCACCGTAAGGACTTCGCATGCATCTTCCAATCTTGCTCCGGTGGAGTTCCAGATCACCACCACCCGCACCTTTGCACACATCGACGATGACCAATGCTCCTTGCCAATTGTCCAACTGGTCCACCCTTGAATGGCAATCCTGTCCCCTCGCAAAACTTCGATCCTATGTGTGGCCTGCCGTGCCCCACAAATATTGCTGAAATTGGTTTGCAAACGACGAACTGAGCAATGCATGTACTATCATCTTCTATCCAAGGGCATCAGGGAACAAATTGCATGCTTTCAGGCAAGCCCTTCCAGGACCCCCGCGCTAAAGCACAGCTTTATCACCTTTGTGCAGGCATCGCAGCGTGCTGCGAAGTCCCTCCCAGAACGCTACAAGCCTGCGACGCGCCGTTCTGGAACTCCTTATGACAAAGTAAGTTCGTCCGAGGCCACTAAGGCAGGCGTGATAAGTGTTAACCAAAAGGCTTTACAACCGCAGAATGCCACTTCAGTATGCCTACAAGACGCCCGTTTGCGGTGAGCAAACGTTGTTGTTCTCCTTGCTGTTCAGTCAAACGAGGGAAAAGATTGTGAGAATTGAACGGAAGTGATTCTAGATCGCAGCTTCTATTCAGGGTCACAAGAGGGTGAGCGCTCATGCGGGATCCTATCTAGGCTGATAGCCAGATCAGGCTGGGACGGCTGTCGTTTTGAAACAGGACGAAAGGCAAGGCAGCAAACATCACTGATCACAAAAAAACTGGGCAGGAGGAACCCCAGATAATCACAGTTGACATTAGTTTGGGACGAAGCCAGTTGTGTCCTGCTAGGTGGGCAGGAATAGTCGCGATGCAGAAGGCACCATCAACTCAACACGTGATGCGGGTCAGTGGACCCTGCAGGATACCAATTCCTGTAGCCTGCCAGACATGCTACATGCAGAGCTGGAATGGACAGGAACGCACATCGCGGGGGCGCCTTGCTTCGACAAGCTCGCAGGTACAACTTGGGATGTATTTTGTTCCTTCGTGTTCAATCAAGGCCAAATTATTTCTCTGAGAAGAGCTGGATTTTGTACCGCAATCAATCTGGTACAAATTACAATGCGAAGGTGTTGATATTACACGATTTTATTGATTGAGGAGGCACTGGATCAGTTGCAGGGTTGATATTAGGAATCACTGTGTATCTTGCAGGTCTGCCTTGTTCCTCTTTCCTTGAAGGGGCCGATACAGACTCCTACACGATCCTCGCGCCTCCAAGCAACACCAGGTGTGACACAGGGTTCTGCTGCAACGTTAACACTCTTGCACAGCGGCATATTAGTATCTCTGAAGCCCATTCACTGGTCACAACCGAATGCAAAGTTCTTCAGCGGCCTTCCAGTCTGCATGGGGGAGCATTGACATTTGCTGTGCCCTGCAGTTGTGGCGGTGGCGGCCCCGGAGAGGCCCACCATTCTGGTCACAGAGGAGCTAGGTGAACCAGGTAAGCTGACATTCTGAACATGCACACGCCCTGCTCTTTGTAATACGTCTGGAAGTGCAGTGAACGTACACATCTGCACAAAGTCGGGGGAGCTGCGATGATGAGTGGCGCTGCGCAGGCATTGATCTCCTGAGCCAGCATGGGGATGTTGAGAAAGCCTACGACCTCACCCCAGAGCAGCTGTGCGAGAGGATAGCCACAGCTGACGCTCTGATCATCCGCTCGGCAACACAGGCATGCCTCTTGTCCTTCTGTGCATTGCTGCCCAACCTGTGCACGCCCTATTGGCATGCGCACATCCCTTTTTGGGCAGAAAGTGTGTCTTCTTATCATGGTCGTATTTGCAGGTCACGAAGGAGGTCTTTGAGGCTTCCAAGGGGCGCCTCAAGGTGGTCGGCAGGGCTGGCGTGGGAGTCGACAATGTCGACCTGGCGAGCGCAACAGATATGTGCCCCTCTCTTGCCCCAAAATAATCGCATGTCAACCCAATGAACCCTGCACCTTACTCCTCTCCTGCCACCTTGCTGTTAACCTCTACTGAACTAACCAGTCTGGGTGACAAGACAATCAATTTAGCGTGCAAGCCTGGTGAAGCCACCAAAAAGCTGCACATTGCTCCTTGCCAGTTGACCGATGCCTGACAATCTCCAATTTTGTATCAGTGCACCCACTTCGTCTCGCACAGTAAGACATATCATCAAGAGTCTTCCTGTGAGAGACTGCCTGGCAGCGCCTGATGCGGGAATTGTTGTGTGTAGCACAGCACGGCTGCCTGGTGGTGAACGCGCCGACGGCCAACACGATTGCGGCCGCGGAGCACGGCATCGCGCTCATCTGCGCGCTGTCCCGCAACGTGGCGCAGGCCGATGCGAGCGTGAAGGCCGGCAAGTGGGCGCGCTCCAAGTATGTGGGAGTTTCCATCGTCGGCAAGACGCTTTGCATTATGGGCTTCGGCAAGGTGCGCCCCTGGGCTTGATCATGTTCACTACCGATGCACATGCCTGGCCACCGGTGGCAGCTTGCCTGAGGTGAGAAAGTGCATGGAATGCTTGTGCAAGGACTGACCTGGATATATAAAAAGCCTGTGCCCATGTGCAAATTCCAGATTCCGCTTACAGCTGCTCTCTGCGCAGAAGCTGCGCGGCGCTGCTGAGCCGTCAAGTAGAGGCTGTCTGACGAGGTGCTTTGATACCTCCAGGTGGGCAGCGAGGTGGCGCGGAGGGGCATCGGCCTGGGCTTTGCCAGCGTGATAGCGTACGACCCGTACGCATCGGAGGTGAAGGCGCAGGCGCTGGGCGTCAAGCTGGTGTCCTGGGAGGAGGCCCTCGCGCAGGGCGACTTCTTCTCCCTCCACATGCCCATGACCCCCCAGACCAAGGTGCACACCAGCCATGCTTCCTTCTCTGTGCAAAGTCCCCTTCTCGAGTTGCCGGATTATGCAGGCAGTTATCTTGTTCTCCTGCTTGAATCACTGTAGGTCTGCTGGTGAATGACATGACAATTGACAGATTGCCGCCACTACAGCTGCCATACACACAATACACCAGGCGGGATCCAAAAGAGCCGCTGCAATATATTCATTGCTTTTAGCAGTAAAAACCGTGGCGCTTGGTCACCCCCTCGAGCCACTCTCATGCACAACCATGCAAGGTATACACCTTGAGATGAAATAAATGCCTGTGCGGACTCCGCGCAGGGCATCTTCAACGACGACACGTTCAGCAAGATGAAGAGGGGCGCGCGCGTCATCAACGTTGCCCGCGGCGGTGTCATCGACGAGCCGGCTCTCGTTCGTGCGCTCGACGCCGGCATCGTTGCACAGGCGCGCATCCCTTTCGGCCCCCTACCGACCCCTGCCTCATCTGAATTCCTTCAGCTCGCAGGCCTCCAATTCACTTGCCACTTGTGAGCTTGGCATGTAGTACCGTACATGCTGCTGAGCACGGCTCTCGTACGAGTCATTCCAAGCCGGGGATAAGCCAAGAGCCACAGTATGCAAAGGGTGCCGAGCGGGTGGGTTGGACGCTGTGAAGCAACAACACTGCTTCATCACTCGAAAAGTGAAGTCCATGGTTCTAGATGGGACACATGTGGGACCACTTATTAGCTTTACCTAGGCAGTCATGGACAGTAAGGTAGAGTGGACACCTGCAGTGCCAGGAGATAGGATGAGGGATGACAGAGATGCTGTGTGGCAGGCGGCGCTGGATGTGTTTGTGAAGGAGCCGCCGCCGGCAGACAATCCGCTGGTGGGCCGCGAGGACGTGGTGTGCACGCCGCACCTGGGCGCCAGCACCACCGAGGCCCAGGAGGGCGTCTCCGTCGAAATCGCCGAGGCCGTCGTGTCCGCCCTCAAGGTGCCTTGGCCGCCTTCTTTGTGAACATGATACCCCTTGTTGTAAGTTTCATGAGCTGTGCTGTGGCTCTGCAAGCAGCAAGGAAGCTTTGCACGGCAGCAGGACTTTGTTGTCCCACACCTTTGCGTCCTGGATGGTGAAGCTGTCCAAGCTTTGTCCTCTTAAAAGGAGCACATGGTAAATTGCGGCAACAGGAAGACCTTCTTTGAGGAGTGACACTCTTCCGTGCATTTTTGGGAGCCTCTGACTGCTGGTGGAACCACCTTCGGTGCCATACTAAAATAGCACGCTGAGAAGCATTCAAGAATTCAAAGTAAAGCTGTCTTCTTTCACTGGCGAGTTATGCGATGTGCAGGGTGAGCTGGCAGCGACGGCGGTGAATGCGCCAATGGTGCCGGCAGAGGTTCTGGCGGAGCTGCAGCCGTTTGTGGCGCTGGCGTTGGGCCTGGGCCGTGCTGCGGTGCAGCTGGTGGGAAGCCACGGCTTCACAGACGTCCACATCACCTACGCCACCCCCCGCGGAGGTACGCCCGCCCCCCGACGTCAATCCCTATTATTGTCAGAGTGTCTGTGCATCTTTGTGCATGCAAAGTGCAGCAGAGAGCGCCTAGGTTGTCAATCTTGCCAAAGCACTGCTTTGCATTATCCTCACGCACTGCATGGCTCAGCAGAGTCAGGAATGCAGCACCACTCTACCAATTCTTCAGTGATTGCATGGGAGTGGGCCGCCCTGCAGTCATCTGGGTGGGCACCTATTCAGAATGGGGATTTGCGCGACCGCGCCGCTTGTAGTTGCATGCAGACCGACAAATCTGCACGAATATTGAAGCAGTCAGACTGGTGTGCAGATGACTTGGACACGCGGCTGCTGCGCGCGATGGTGATCAAGGGCATCCTGGAGCAGATCACAACGGCCAACGTCAACCTGGTTAACGCCGACCTGCTGGCCAAGAACCGCGGCCTGCGCATCATCGAGTCCACCGTGCCCGCCGAGGGCAAGGTGACCGCCCTGCTCACCTTGCTGCAGTCCTGGAGCTCCCATGCCAGCCACTAACAACAGATTTAATGCTCCCTTTCTGCCTACAACAGAGATATACGTGCGGTATGACTCTTTAGATGCTCTTGCAATCAGTGGCGTCTCAAGGGTGCGACAGGGCCATTGTTACACGCTTACAGTTGGCCAGTAGTGCAGCATGCTGAAGTATTGTTGGACACTGGCCATTGCAGAGCAGTGCAGCGACAAGCAACAAGAAAGGCACGCATGCCTTCCATTCAGAAGCGGCACAGCCATTCCTGGTCCCTTATATTCCATGCGAGCACTTCAGGGCTTCCGGGATTGTGCGGGCCATAAATTTTCCACAGAGCTTCTTGTGACACATGAGTTTGCATGCATGCAGGAGGTGCTGAAGTCGCTGCGCATCGCCCTGGGCAGCAGCGACACGCGCTTCAGCGCAGCGCTCGGCACGGACCGGAAAATTTCCGTCACCGGCACAGTGAAGGGCGCCGCTCCCTACCTCACGCGCATTGGCACCTTCGACGTCGACCTCTCCCTCGACGGCATCATCCTCTTGGTGCGCTTCCCCTTACCTTCTTCTGAAGTACAGATTGAAGCAGGGCCTCTGTTCCCTTTCCCGCTGTGCTCCAGGCTTCCCAGGGCCTGTCCTGGCCAAATATGGGACACACAACTTCCCAAAATGGAAGGTTTTATATAGAATGTGAAATGATCTTGTTTGTTTGCTGCTGCTGTGCCCATGAGGGTTGAGGCAGAGTGCCCGGCATGTGCACATGGGATCCATCAGGGCATGATGACAGAAGTACTGTGGTCTTGTCTCAGTGTCATGCATGAATCCCATGCGCATGTGCCAGTCTGAGTTCAGTACCAGAAAAATCTGTCCCAAACCCCATTGCTTGAGAGGCTGACGTGCGAACTTGTGGCCTGCTGTGCAGACGCGGCAGAAGGACCAGCCGGGCGTCATCTCAGCGGTGTCCACAGTGCTGGCAGAGGCTGGAGTCAACATCAGCTTCATGTCCGTGTCAGTCACCCCCGACAACGACGCAGTCATGGCCCTGGGACTAGACATGGAGCCCACCCCCGAGCTCCTGGCCAAGCTGCCGAGCCTCAAGGGCATCACCGAGTTTGCCATGTTCTCAGAGAAGGTCTGATTAAGATGTTTGGCCTGGCCTGAGGCATATATTTTTGGACCAAGACGGAGTCGGCCCATTCTCTCGCCTGCTCTTGACAATTGGCATGGAGGGAGCGCTTGCAAGGGCTGCCAGACATTTCTTGCTGCATGTGCTTGGGAAAATCACATGCCATTCATATTCCTAGTCCATGTGAAAGGCTATCGTGCAAGTGCTACCGCAAGGAAGCGTGCATGCGAGAGCATCCGCATTGGGTTCTGAGAGAAGCTCGTTGGGACCTGTGTGTCGCTTGTTTAGGAGGTTTATAGAATTCTTAGGATGTGGCAGCCGTGCTTGCTGCACTATTTTTTAGTGGCGTGTGATGCTTTTGATGGTTGACAAGTACTTAGTGGTTACCAATAAAGCCTACTAGTTTACCCCTGCTTGCTGTCGATGCGCCTGCTGCTTAATTAAGGATTGAGGGTGTGTAGACGAGGCCAGATTTAATTCCAAAGGATGATTGCAGGTAGCCAATGCTGACGCTTGAATGACTGAGATGAAGAGGCCGTGGCTTCGGGCACCAGCACATTTAGCACGCGCTTACTTCAAGGACGTATATTGACATTGCTGCACATCGACACATGTGTAAATGAAGTTATGCTGAGCAACAGGTGAATCACGCTCGCAACCTGGTCCCATACACCGCTCGCTGCATGTGCGGGTTGTGCTCCACGCCTGATGTCACATTCTTGCTCTGCACTGCCCCTGTGCGCTCCAGGTACTCGGCTGACAGCTGCGAGTCGATCGGCAGCAGCGCCATCTGGCGCGCCAGCTGCGCAGGGGACATTGACTCGCTCAGATCACACAACACTTGGTCCCTAGTGTACAGACAGGTTCAACTCACATTCTTGGGAGCTCTCCGGCATTTTTTTTAATCTCTGGATGGAGGATACTAAAGATGCACCAAGTACTTATGCGACATCAGGCCATGGACCGCAAACAAGCAGTCTGACCTCACAGCACACCACGGCGGAGAAAGGGGAGCGGCTGCAGCACCTTGATCTGGCGGCAGAGGTGGCGGTGCGTCTTCTGCTGCAGCCGAGTGGTGCGCTTGGGCGGCAGCTTGCCCAGCTCGCTGATGAACCTGTTCAGAAAGCCCTGGTCGCGGAAATCCGCCCTCTGCCGCACCACGCCGTTGGTCGCCTTGTCCGTGGCCACCTTGACCGCGTGCTTGCGCCAGCCGACCTGCTCTCCAGAGTCCACCAGGTCCTGTGCACGGGAGATTGTTATGGCTGGCGTTTCAGCTCCTTCTGTGTCCCTCTGAAGTAGTAATAATTTAATTTTATCATTTCACACCTTTCCTGCCAAAAGGCAAGCTGCGTCTTCCAAAAAGCTGCAATCAAATACGCGCCAAAATCCTACCCCTTGTTGGCATCGCCTGATCCAAGCAAGACCCGATCAATTGTGGGCACGGTGCTCAAAATCTTCACCGCCCCCTGCCAGCCGGGGCCAACGTGATGTTTGATGCATGCAAAACCAGGGACCAGCTGCCCATCACCCACTGTTCAAAGAAATTTTTCAAAGGCTGGCACGCAAGTGTTTCAATGTACGTGCCGGAATGAGGAGCCAATAAGACAGGCAATTTTGTCATGAGAATGTCGGGTCATGTGCACATACCGCAGAGATGACAGTGCGGAAACAATGGCATGCAGACTCCCAGGTCAGTCAAAAGGGCGAGAAGACCAATGGTAGCTTGGTGACTCTCTCTACGTGAGGGAACCATGGACAGATGAGCGCATATGCCTTTTGACACACACCTCAGGGTCGTAGGTCTGGCCTGGGTAGAACATGCGCGTGGGGTGTAGGCGGGGGGCCTCTTGGTGGTTCCCAAAGCGCCCCCTCTCGCCCATACCGCCGTCATCGCGCGGCCACCCCAGCCGTTCCTGCAGACAGCAATCAAGAGTAAGAAGTCTTATTAATGGGATGTGTGACATTTTAAATGCCTGCAGCACTCATCATTGAAAAGCACCGTCAAGATTCATGGTGTGCCCATGCAATAGGAACCCCAGCAGCAATTCTGCCTCGACAGAGAGGCAGAAACATCAGCACCTGTTGCACCGTATTTCCAGCACAAGGTGCCACGCCCCTTGCAACAGCCATGGAAGTGACTGCGCAACCTAGTGCTACAGAGGACATCACGCTGGAGAGCCAGCAACGGCCAGCAATGGAGCAATAGAGACATACAACGATGCAACCCTTGCGACAATAGCAGGGCGGGGCTCACACTGTGGGGCCCGGTGAGTTTACTTGACTTAAACTGAAGGGTGTGCCTCACATTCAAACCAGAAGACAGTGAGCGTGTTGAAAAACGAGCTCCTGTCACCAACAACAGGGTGCCTCCTGGCCCAAGAGTAAAGGGATAAAAGGATAGAAGCACGCAGGGAGCAATATAGGAGGGAGCAGACAGAGGAAGGAGCTCACGCTGCGGGGGCGGCCAAGATTGGCATAGCCAGTGACCGGGTTGGCCAGGCGGTCCATCGGCGGCTCGATGACGGTGACGCGGCGCGGCGGCGGCTGCGCGGGCTCGAAGATCGACGGCTCCAGCGGCGCGCTGGCCTTGAAGGACACCGGCGCGGCGGCTGTGGCGGCCGCGCGCGCATCGGCGTCGTCCCGCATCGGCTGGATGAAGGCCGACTGCGCCAGGTCATGGCGCCGCGCGGTCTCCGGCAGCAGCCGCTCCAGCTCCCTCCTGACGCACAGGAGAACTTCATATTCAAATTCAAGTGCAGCCCTGACCAAGAGGCATGGATTAGCTGAGGATACATAGCCGTGTGTTGCTGCAGTGAAGATAGACACTCACCTCGGGTCCTTCATGTTGAAGAAGTCAGGCAGATCAACGCTCTTCGTCTCTCCGGCGAGTCTCTTGGCCGCCGCATCCGCCTCTGCCTTCATGTCGTCTGCACAACACCATCCACAAGCACATCAGGACTGGAACCCAGCAACGAGTCCAGCAGACAATAGTTGCAAGCAGCAACTAAGGTATCTCTCCTTACTTTCAGGCAGACTGTCAGCTTCATTTGGACACCACACGTGCTGGAATACAAAGACACATGCAGGCTGCATGTCTCACCAGTGTTGCCCGGCATCACAAATCTGCGCCAGGAAGGCACAGCAGAGTCCGCTGTCCCCTCTGCGGCAGCCGCAGAGCTGCTCCGCGCACTCGAAGCCCCCAGATCCACCTTCTCTCCAAACCTCTGCTCCACAAACCTGGCCCAGGCATCACTGGGATCCTCCTCCTCCTGCTGCTCTTCGTCCTCCTTCAAAGATTCCATTTGGGGCACTGGTGTGCTCAGCTCTGCACCCGCCGAAACTCCCTCCATCGGCACATCCACGGCTGCGGCAGCTTCCAGTAGATCCCCCTCCTCAAGATCCAGGGCATAATCCTCTGGGAGCGCGCTGTCCTCCTGGTAATCCAACAAATTGATGTCTGGCAGGAAGCTCTATGATGCTCAGCCACTTGATACAAGGCAATCGCTTATGTATCGGTCAACATGATCCAAACTCACATAATGCTGGGCAGTAATTAAAGAAGTTTATTAAGGATAGAGTTGAATGTTGTGTCAGATCAAAGCAGCATACCTCCAGAGAAACAGACACTGCCGGAGTGTCAGCCCCACTGACTTCAGGACTAATCATGCCAACCGCTTCTTGCAGCGGTTCTTCCAGTGGCTGCAAGGGCTCGTCTAACGCCGCAAGTGTGCTAACAGAAGAAGGATCCTCATCTCCTGCACATCACCAGATGATGTCGATGAACACTAGCTGAATCCCGTACAGAAGAACATATCAGATGAAAGAACGGTGACACGTACCTCTCTTCGGCTCTGCCTTGTGCCCAAGCATTCTATCTGCCCATTGTCGCATTTCTGCGGCTGTTGCATTTTCTGGGAGGCTGTTGCCCTGGTCCGATGCGTCTGCATGACAGGTATGTTGCCAATCATATTCCATTGTCCATGGCACGCCATAGGTTAGGCTTCCATACATATATTAATTGCAAGAGAATTGGCTATGTACAGCGGTGCGGGCACCACAGGCATATAAAGGATAAGCAAGCCCTTACCCGGGGTGCCAGAAGTTCCAGGCCTCCCATCATCAGCATCTTTTGAAGCAGATGTGCTGGAAATGCTGCGCAGACTCAACAATCCATATGCATGGTTATTGCGTGTGCACTGCTGCAGCAGATCGGCAACCTTGCTCTTTCCAGCAGTGCGTTGGGCAGCAGCTGCACCTTGCCTGAGTATGATCGGTAGAGAATTCATTTGTGTAGGATCAATCAGACCTTCATAGGTATGACTTGAACCTGAACTGATCAACCGTGTAATTCAGGGCCTTCATTACATGTCGTCCAGGACATGAATCCGTAACAGCACACTCTCACCGTAAAGCAAGAACCGTGGCCCAGAGATTACTTGCATGTCTCAGTTACTAGACCTGAGGTAATTACACTGCAATAACACGTCACTGGTGAGTCTTCTGTCTGTGCACATGTGACTCAGCTGAAGCAGGCCTAGTAACTGACTGTCGGTCCATGCATGTCAGTCCATATGGTGGCTGGTGGCCACCATGGCCACCATTCGTAGCACCCATCGAATCACTGAATAGGTGGCGGCATGCAAAGAAATGTGGGCTGCGAGCCAATTGCTGTCACGTGTGCACATCCTGCAGCGCGGGCCCTGACATAAGCACACGGCAACAAAACCGCTCGCCCCCTTGCCCCACGCACATGTGGCCGGCATGCCTCTGCTGTGCTCAAGCAACCGACTGGCGGACTTCAGGGCATCCGTGCTGTTCACTGCCGCGCTATGACGCCAGGCAGCATTGCCGGCTTCACCAGTCCATATGGCCATGGTCAGGCTCGGTGTGGCAATGCACAAATGACAGAGCCGCACATGCTATGTGAACGTACCAGCTAGGTAGGGGGGTGCTTCCTCAGCCGTCCAGGCGGGTGATGTGGGCATTAGCAAGAGTCAAACGCAACAACACAGTAGTTCCTCCCATACAACAATTCAGGCGTCTTGCTGTCGACTGATCATCAGCCCTACATCAACTACACCAGGTAATTTGATGCCCCTCGCCAAATAAGGGCAGCTAGGCGTCCAGCTGTCCAAATGCGCCATACAGGGTCACAAAACTCATCAAGCATATTTCAGCATGCACGCATCCACCATCCGGAGCTGCCTCCAATGTTCACAAGTGCCACTTCTCAGCGCGGCTGCACCTCAGATTGCATGCATGCACGCGGGGTAGAACTGAACAAGTGTTGCTCTCACTTAAAACAACCAGGTTGCCTCTGCACAGGGAGGGCCCATTGCTGATCCGGAGGACGCCTGCCCTCACTGCTTCACGAGAGGAGCTTTGACCACTCACAGCAAGTCTAACAACCGCTGACACAGTCTGCCGAAGAGCTGCATAAAGCCCGCACACTGCCCCTTTCAGGCGCTCGCAACCTTGTCAAAGGCAGCCCTGGCGCCCCCCGAACGCCGCCGGGCCACCTGGTCATACAGCGCAAATCCCACCAGCACCAGCACAACCAGCCCGCTCAGAATCAGCATCGCAACGGAGGCGGAGGAAGCTGCGCGGCGGCCAGAGACTCCCCGGGCCGCGTTGGCCTCGAGGGTGAGGAATGCGCCGTTGCCGGAGCGCAGGTTGGCCTGGATCTTGCGCACCCACTCCATCATGGTCCCCCGCGCGCTGCCGGCCGCCTCCGCGCCGCCCGCCGGATGCGCCGACTCGTCGTGCACAAACAGATTCTGCGCGCGCACACGCACCGTCAGCGGGGCTTGCAATTTCACCTCAGACACATGATCGTGGCATGCAATATGTCTTTTGCAAAGGATGCACAGGATGACATCCCTCACCAGCAACAGTGGGGCCTTGATCGGTGTCATGGCTGTCAGGCTCAGTCCACAAAGCCTTTGAGTGCATGCAGGAGGCACGGTCCAAAAGGAGGCAAGCTCCAAGAGGGAGCAACGCCTTGTACAAGAGCAGTAGCGGAGCTCTTCATCAAAGAACAAAGGTGCAGCTAACAAGGAGCACCGCCGCAAGCTTTATCACCTGGACGGACAGCGCATGCACCGAGTGCGGTGTGATCTCCAGCGTCTGGCCCCACTCCGGCCTCGCTGGCTTGCCCCAGACCACCTGCAAATCCAAATCCACACCTGCAATGAGCTCTCTAAGACTTCCCAGCAAGCCAGCTGAATTAACAAAATCTAAAGGAAATTTTCTTGTTTCCCTTTAGCATGCATACCAAAGGCTAGGCCGCCGCATTAGATGAGCAATGCTGGGTAAGCATGCTGTAAGCGCGCAGGTCAAAGGCAGGGAGAAGAATCCGACGGGCCTCTCCAGACATGCCACAGATCAGTGTCCCCCGCATATTTTCGCCGCCAGGTATGATGGGACAGCACACTCAGGACAGAAACTTGGGTAAGTAGACACAAGGGAGATGTGTCTGCGCACCTCAACAAGGTAAGACTAGCATTGTCTCAAGTGAGCAAGAGACATGGGCACAAGCAGAGTATATCTGCGCACCTCAATGTCGCTGAGCGTGGCGTGGTTGGCGTGTTCAATGAAGATGGCGGAGGTGGTAACGTCATCCACCAAGCCGCGCAGGCTGGGCCGATAGTCTAGGAACCCCCCGGGGATGTCTGTTTGGCGCACCAGCTCTAGATTAAATCCCTCCAGCACCAGACCCTCTATCGTGGACCCCGGGGATCCCGCCACCACTACACCAGCCTCTGCAGACGCGCTGATGTTTGTGAAGCGCACGTCCGTCACCGTGCCCACCTGCACGAAAATTCAAAACCAAACTCACAAATTACGGGTTGGACATTGTCCACCCTCCTGTTGTTGATGTTGCGACATGCTAATTTACTACAGCACCTTCAGTGACAGCAATAATCTCCAGCCATCTTCTTGTTTGCCAGGATTAAAATCACTTTGATGGGCAGATCTCAGCGTGCTTCAATGGCCTACTTGACGAGTCACCACCTCTGACCAATATTGCTCGACTGCTAAGAGGACAAGAGGATTTATGACTTGTGGTGAGAGCAAATGCTTCGATTTCTGCCGCGCAATGACCATGCATGCAAGTGCTTCAGGAGGCAAAGATCACACACCTTGCTGCCAACCGTGCGGGGCATGGCAGTGATGTGGATGGGCTCGGCCGCGCCCTTCCAGGAGCGCTCGAAGAACAGCGCCTCGATGCTGATGTTGGTGAACTGCACCCCGCTCACGCTGCCCTCGTCGCGCACTGTGATCGCCAGGCCCCTGCATGCACACATAAACCTCTGCTTCTAATTTATCCAGTCCTGCATCCTGTATATTCCCCAGGACCTAGTTTTGCACATGAGCTACCAAGCCTTTACCAGCAGGCATCAGACAGGGCCCATGCAAGAACTGCGTTCCCCAGCAGGACACAGTCTGTCCTCCTGTACATGCACAGCGGTGATATGAGGCTGCGAGGCAGGGCATGCGCGCCTGTGGCTCTGCCGGATGGTGATGTTTTGAAAGACCAGCGTGCTCATGGAAGCGCGCGTCTCGTCGCCGATCTGAATTGCCACCGACTTGGACTGTATCAGCCCGCCGTCCACCAGCACAAACTCCACAGGCTTGTCCGCTGTCCACAACAACATAAAAGAATTTGGGCATGGCTGATTGTTTCTTAGACAGCGATAAAACCGGTGAAGGCCTCCTTGTGGCAGCATTCAAGCTTACTTGTGTACCGGTCCGCTACACGCACCGCTGGAAACGAGCTACACCCTGATTTAATTTGCTTCACTTGTCTCTACATGCACCAAGAGCTGCTTTGTGCGTGATTGATGCAAGTAGAAACTTGCAAACTGCACTGAGCAGGGTTTGACCGAAAAGCCACTGATCCCTTGGCAGCTTGTTTGCACAAAAGAGCAGCTAAAGCCTTAGACTTGGAGATCAGACACATAGAGCCCTGGGCACACTGTAGATGAACAAAAGGGCCGGCACTGGAGCTGTCAAAGCAGTATTCAAGAGAGGGACTGCGCACCGGCAGTGGTTTTGAGGGAGACGGCATCGTCGGCAGTGGAGATGACATTGCCGCCCAAGTACACGCGGCGGCTGCCGTCGATGACAATGCCCCGGCTGAGGGGCACGAGAGGGTCCCCCCAGATGCTGACCCCCATCACCGCCACCGCCTCGCTGCGCAAGATGTGCACCGCCCAATGCACCGAGTCGTACAGCTGCACCCCCTGGATTGTCACCTACGCAGGGTGGTTGAGGGTCTGGGGTCAAGGGTCGTGTATGAAGTGCACTCTTGACGCTTTGAATGCCCCAAGCCTGCATCGCGGGCATGCTCACAAAATGCCCAGTGCTTTCAAACTTGTATTTTGTTGTGAACAGAGCTAATCAAAGGCTTAATTAGCCATCATGGGGTGCTTCAAGATCTTGAGAGGTGCAATATGCATCCATCGGCTGTGTGCTCCATGTTACGGGCAGCCTGTGGTGTGGGATCCTGGAAAATCTGACCTGGAAGGAGTCTCGCACGCCAACAAGGTGCGGCCTGCACACGCCCTGCTTGGGGCATGATGAGTCATCCCAATTAGTAACCTGCTTCTGCTCCAGGTTCCTGCAGCACACCTGCCTCGTCAGGCCAGAGGTCCCGCCAGAAATCGACCCAGTTCATTTCACGGCACAAAGGGGACATGCGCCATTCTAAGCTGCCTTGCTCCCATGTTCACCCGTAGAAGCCATGAAGTGCGTAAAGGAGAGGTGAAATTACTACTGATAACAAGAGACATGACAAGAGCACACCCTCCATAGGTCCACAGTGTTCCCTGTGCATCTATCCTGCCCTCCCCTTCCACGCCGCAGTTCTGGCACTCAAACAGGATCAGGTACCAGTCCGCGTAGCTCTTTGGGTAAATTTCCCTCTGCAAGCCGGCAACAGTATTGCGTTGACACAGTGCCCCCACTATTAGTGACAATGAGTACCACGACATTCTACTAGAAGATGTACAGTGTTGCATGAATTTACCTGGCTGCCTAGCAACAAGGGATGATGCACCTCTGACTACAACCAAGGAACTGGGCGCCATCAGTGGCTTGCAATGAAAAATGCCACACACCTTGGATCCTGCTAGAATGGTTGCGGACTTCGGCAGGCGCAGCCTGACCCCGTCTTTCACCCTGACATGTCCGCTAAGGTACTGCTTGTCTTCGTCGAAAGTCACGATGCCACCATCCTTGTTCTTTGCGCACGCATCTATAGCTGCCTGAATAGCCGCTGTGTCATAGGTGGTCCCATCCCCGATGGCTCCATGATCCTGTGACGACAGACTGAGCTAGTTTGCTGCATGCACCTGAGCAGCACAAGCTTGAGGGAATATATTCCCACTGAAATGGTCGCAGATGAGGTGCATGACATCTCGTACCTTTACAGGACACGTGAACTCTGGCGGCAGGGAAGGAGTGGCCTCTTCAACAGCCTCGATTGCCAAAAGAGCTTCGTCTTGGGCAGCAGCAAGTGGCAGCAAAGTAAAGGTCGCCAGACATAGAACTCGGAAAAAACCTTTAGATCCCTTCATCGAGAACCGTTTCAGTATGTTGTTCAAGGCTCGATGCCGATCACATTGCCGTTTATTCTTTCTGATGCTCCTTCAGCGGGTGCCTGAAACCTGCTCTCAGATCGTATAGTTTTTACGTCACCCAATGCAGGAACAATGCTTCCTCAGGCTCAAACTGCACTGCCTTAACACATGTTATGTGGGTGCAAGATAAGCCTAGGAAAGCGATTTCCACCTCTGGCATCTGAGTGGGGTGCACATCAAACCCGTGCGCGTCCCCGCGTTGCAACACGTGCGGGTGATTTTCTGGTACACAAACTCTAATCTGCCGTTCCTTTGAAGAGATTTATTGCAAGGATCGCCTCAATCCCAAGTCAGACTTTGATCCGACCCGAACGAAACTTCTCCGAGACCGTTTGACGGCGTGCCATGTCATTCAAGGAGGCAGCAGTCAAACATTCAGAGGCCACGATCATCAGAAGGGCAGGTTGCTCTGATTGCTAGTCTGGATATTTGTAAGACCCCTCCTAGCTATTTTGTTGTGACACAAGCCATTGGGCTCTGTTGACGCGATGCTAGAAACGCTTTCCTGATGTACTAAAATTGCCTGGTGTTGTTGTGTGTCGCGATTGCCCCTTTGACAAAGGCATTTCTTGTTCATTCGTTCATTGTTCAAGACTTTGATATGCAAAACTTATTTGGGACTTGATTTTTCGGAAGCACAGTCGATCACCTGTACTAGGGCTGCCACCACCTTCTACCTCCTGAACTGTATCGCATCAAAAGGCCATGGCGTTCCGGTTACAGGCGTTTGGCAGGGTGAGCATCGCACATGTTCTCATGCCTGAGTATTGAGCAATTCCGGTGTTGTCCACTTACACATGTGTGGCTCTTGACAGGCCCTGCGCACAGCTCTGGCAGAGCAGCACCAGGGCCAGATCAGACGCCATAGCGTCTTCAGTGAATTCAAGAAGAAGGTCCAGGAGGAGGTAGAGAGGTGCGTGCCACTACAGAGGGTGCCTGACCTCCTGTGCTGCACACTGCTGCTGGTCAGCAGTCAAATGCTGTGAGGATCCCCTGAATAAGGCGGCTTGTTGTCTGTCCTGCAGTAACCCTTCGGTGAAGAAGTCAATGGACGAGCTGAAGCAGACAGCTGACAGCCTGCGAGAGAGGTGGGTGCTTTTGTATCTCTCGAAGTCCTCAACGGCATGCTGGGACATCGTTCACTAATTTGCCAAGCAGACAAAATATTTCCTCTCTTCATGGGCCTTCAGATATCAGCAATCCACCCTATGGATGTCTCTGATGCATGCAGGACGAAGAGTGCTACTGAGGGCCTCCAGAAAGCCGCCAGCGCATCAGCTCAGGCCACCAGGGCAGCTTCGCAGCAGGTGTGTGCTATTTCGGCTGTACCAGTCTTTGTAAGTGCTTCAAACATTTCTCCATCCCCTCAGGGTCAGTCTATGAGGATATGCAGCCCCAAGCACCTGGTGGCTGTGGATAATATTTAGACATTTGCGATTGTTCCTTTCTGGTCCTGCAGGTGTCATCTGTGGTTCAGGAGAGCTTTTCTCAGGTGTCACAGGGGGTGCGCTCTCCTATCTCTCCATGCATACTCTTCTAAGTGATAATCATGTTGCTATGTAGGTGTGCAGGAAGATTTTCGATGGACACTCGCACTCGACATATGAGCCTATGTATTGCTGAGATGTTGAATGTTGCAGGTAAAGGGCACCGTGGAGGATCTGACAAACTCTGCACAGAAGGAAGAGGGCACCACATCGCCATCTGGCGCTGGCACAAATGCTGACACAGCCGCCGGGGAGACCTCAGGAAAGGAGCAAGCCCAAGGAACGCCCACTGAAGACCGGCAGAAGTCCGAGTCAGCCATCCCTGGCACAGATGAGGGACCCTCAGGGGCGCAGGGGCAGGAACACAGTGGTGGGGCTGCGGGGAGCCAGACAGCAGGGGCTGCTGGCAGCACAGGTAGCCTTATGAGCCGCCTCAGAAGCGCAGCGGAGGTGGTCAGGAGAGAGGTGCGCGCCCATCTGCCCGACTTATAACCAGGTGCATTTGCTGCAGTGCTGAAGGGAGTACCCAGCTGTGCCTCAGGAGACGTGCCTATGTGCACGAAGGGCCGCATTGGGTTGGCATGTAATAATGGCACTTGAGACGCCTTGCCGCCTGGAAATCCCACAAGTCAACAGCAGCACTTGTTATAGCCGAGCATGCCATTAAAATCCTTCAATTCAGGCTGCCATCTGCGCCGCATGGCCAACATCTGTCGAGCCCACTCACGCGGTGGAACTATGCCACAACTGAAAAAAATATGAATAACTTTTTGAAATATACATGGGCAGGTGGCGGCGGCCATTCTGCCGGAGGCGCCGGTGTCGTCGGCGACGCGCGCGTACTCGGAGGAGCTGCGCGGCCGAGCGCCGCCGCCGACTTCCGAGAGCGCGGTCGCTGTGGTGCCCCCCACGCGGTGGCAGCGCCAGTGGGACGAGTGGCAGAACAAGGTGCCTACTCGCACTCAAGTCATCAGTGCTGCACGACACAATCACACAAGCACACCAAGTCCCCTACTTTCTCCCTATCCTGCGTTGTTCCTCTATTTAAGGTGGATTCTGTACAGCTTGTCCTGCGGGTGGGTCACCTCGGAATGGAAGCGTTGCCGGCATGAAAGTGTTGCAAATCTTGAAGCTCACATATCTGGATCGTTACATGGACCTGGAATGGCTGCGCATGCACCTTGCATTGTATCTCATAAAGTGCAGCAGGACACGCCCGTGCGCTGAAATTGGCGTGTGGGTGCGTGAGGTGATTTTGGGCACGTGTGACTGATGTTGTTCTTGCATGTGTGTAGCTGGGCGGCCACCCACTATTCAAGCGGGTGGCGTCGCTGCGGGAGCACAAAGTGTTCTCCAAGGGGAAGGAGGTGGCCGATGACCTGCGCGAGCGCTGGGAGACCTCCGATTCCCCCCTGGTCCACCGCATCCAGGTGGGGGCCCCCCGCTCTCCTTAAAATTTGGCCAGTACTGAACGCTCTTTATTGTTCATCTGCGCCCTCATGCAATGCCGTCTGACATGCATGCTATGGCAGTAGTGCTTGAGGATGCCATAGGATAAGGAGGATTAGGTACTGGTGCTGCCGCCACAAAGCAAAAAATGTGGCAGTCAATCGCAGTCCTTGCCCTTGCCCCTCTGTGCCGAGCACCATCAGATGTCAGCAGTGCCAGCAGACCTGCATTGGATAGCATCTGTCCTCCAGCTTACCGGTGCTTTCGAGCTAAAGATACTGCTGAAAAAAGCTGAGACACTGTCAGCTGGGAGTGTCTCCATGACAATAAGGTGGAGCCATGTCCTTGAGGACAGGAGAGACTTGTCACATTGTGCTGAACTGTGGGATTGCGTGGCTGGGCAGGACATGACGGAGACGGTGTTTGAGGAGACGGAGGTGGCCAAGACGGTGCGCGAGATCCGCGCGCGCGACCCCAACTTCGACATGGTCCGCTTCCTGCGCAACCTCAAGCAGGACATCCAGCCTGTCATCCAGGTCAGCACTCTCCATCATGCACAGACTCCATCCATTCATTACTAATCCCACCATAGACAAGTTCAGAGCTGGTAGATGGGAGAGCAGGGAAGCATTTGAAGCCTGACTGCAAGCACACATCCATGATCATATGATGTCTGCTCTGTTGCCAACACGATTTTGTGCCCAAGAATTTTGTTTGGGCGGGTATTATGGGAGCTGAGATGAGTGTGTGGTGTGCTGTGGGCAGGCGTACCTGAAGGCTGACGAGGTAGTGCTGAGTCAGCACTGCACCCCGGGCTGCGTGCAGCGCCTTTCCGGCATAATCAAGGCGGAGGTTATTGACGAGGTGGGGTTGATAATAGTAACACTCATCCTTGAGAATGAAAAAATTGCTGCTCTATACCATGTCCACATGACGATGTTCATCCCTGTGTGCTTGTTGAATGATGCCGTCACTCATGCAGTGGCATGGCATGGCTAAGAAGAGGAAAGCCCATAAGCTCAGGGTCGTTTGGTGTCTTGTAATGGCAGGACAAGTACCCGGACACCAATCTGCTGGACATCTCAGACGTGGAGCTGCATGACCTCCAGATGTTTGAGGACAACCCTGTGGTGGTCGTCAAGTTCTCCTGCCAGCAGATCAGGCATGCATCTTGTCTCCTCTCCTCTCGCCTTGGCTATCCAATCATTTACGTGTTGTGTGTTGTGTGTTGCGTGCTGCATGTTTTGCAGCTGCTCTGTCTGTTACAGGACTGCTCAAGTATGATCCCTGTTGGCAGTCCCCATGATTGATCACAGCATGCATGCAATGTGGCTCTTAGAGGCAAATTATTTAAAGGGTGTAAGGTTTTTCGTGGCTGCTGGCGTAGTGCAACAGTCGGTTTGATCATACTGTAAGCGCTGCTATTCACGCAGAGACACCGAGGCCTATTGCTGATGCGCGCGCAGGTGCTTCCGGGACAAGTTTGACAACGTGGTTGAGGGGTCACCGGACGATGTGCACCGTGTGCTGTATGTGTGGGCGCTGCAGCAGGGCACTGCCGGCTTTGTGGGCGCCGATGGCCGCCTGCACCCGCCGCAGTGGCAGATCGGGGAGATGGCCGTCGGCGTTGCTCAGAAGCTGCTGTGAGACCAGTCAAGCTCCAATAGCATCGTCAGATCTTGTTGTATGGTTGTGACTTGGCTAGTGAGCTTGGCGCAAAGCTGAGCCGGACTTGTGTGCCTGTAGTCCAGCACAGGATTTTGACAGTATCTTAGCAGTTCTGTAGTTCAACTTGAACTGCAGGTTTGAAATCCTGGATTGCAAATTGACTCAACAGCCCTGCTCACCTCAGGCTGTCATGCGGCGCAATCGATAATCTCGTTATTCTGTATGTCAGTTTAAGAGAATTTTGTGCATGTGATCTGAGTTCGGGCGTCACAACCGGCATTCAATGAAAGTTCCCGGTGTGAGTCCCTGGCTACCGCTAATGCGCTCTCAGCCTATGGGTGCGCAACAGGAAGACAGTCAGTATGATAAGAAACAGTGGAGTGAAGGGACAGCGTCAAGGAGCTCGGATCGATTCAATATCCGAGATCTCTGGAGTCTCCACGTGTGCACATTCATATTGTGCAATTAATGCATGCAGGGTTCTTTTCAATACTTCTGATCGGTGGCCCTGAGAGTCCTCGTGAAAGCCTCCGTATCAATACAATTTGACATGCACCTCCTTTTTCATGATAATAATAATGCACCTCCTTCGTGCTCTTGGCCATTTTTGTGGGGCCAAAGCGTCTTGCCATGTAGGGCAGCCCGCAAATTCTCCGTGCACGCCACGTGGCTGCCCGCCTGGGCCGCGAATGAGCCCTCCTCATATCTTTCATTCTAATGCTTCAACATCACCAAATAACGCCAGAGAATAAGATGTCATTGCGGTGTGATGTAGATGCGTGAGAGGCTGAATTGCCAGCTCACCTTCTCTGGCTGCTGAATTTGCGCAGCTTCTTCTACTAGAAATGAGTGTTGGGGCTTACCTTTGAATCCACGAATAGGGCTATGAGGTTAAATCTGCACTTTGGCAGTACTGCCACGATGAAAGGGGCAGGCACAACACCAGATCCCCTTCTAGCGACTTCAGGACTGCGGGCCTTCGAGTGTGGTGGGTTGCTGATTGGCGATGGTGTCGCTCTGTGCACCGCCCTTTGAACGACATTTGATTGTTCTCAGTACACAGGTTCTTGATTGTCAGTATCAGTCTTTGCTAGTCAGGCATCGCATATGTTCATTTTCATTTCGACTACCTTCCAAGAAAATATCAAAGGGGATGCCTTTCTGACAGGTTCATGGAGGAGGCATGTATTCCGGGAAAAGCCAGCCAGGGGCCTCTTGCATATCAGAGCAGCAGCACAGGGCTCAAGAGAGGAGCTGCTGAAGCAGGTGAGACCTGGGGTCTAGCTGTCAGCCCTTTGGCTCAAACCTGAGGATTCCCCTTCAACAGGGAGGACCTAAGATTGAATTGCTGGCATTGCACAGATCGAGGAGCGGAAGCGTTTGCATGCAAAGCTGATGGAGAAAGTGAGGGAAAAGGGCCTCCGGCCAACAGGAACACAGGTGTGCAGCTGTCCCAATCAGCACTGCATGATGCAATTACTGTGATCACAATCTTGCATGCAGCTGCTTTGCAAACTGTGAGCATCCCCTTGCCATGGCGAGGGCCAGTGCCTGGGTGATGGATCGAATGTCATCTGATATGTTTCCTTGGATGCAGCCGAAGCAGCGGCAGAGTCCTCCAGTGGAGGTCCCGGTCACACCTGCTACAACACCAGAGCCTGTGTCTGAACCAGAGCCGGTTGCTGTGGCAGAGCCTCCTCCAGTGCAGCGTGCCTACGAGCCTGAATTGCATGAACAGGTGCAGCACACCCACCAATGATGCATTAAGCTGCAAACACCAAACAGGTCTTGTTCCAATGCTTGCAATGCTAGACGCCAAATAACATTTTGGCCCCGAGCTTTCCCTCTTTCTCTTGTTTTTCAAAGTTTGTTCTCGTCCTTGCTCCCCTGTATGTCCTTTAGTTTGCCGGGTGTTACATGTGATCTATCCTGCTCATGCATGTTCAGGCGCCGCAGACATACTGGGCAGAGGAGCCCTCGTACCAGGAGCCTGAGCCGTCAGGGCCTCTGGCTGGGCCCAATGTCATGAACGTTGTCTTGGTCGGAGCGGAGTGTGCACCCTGGTCCAAAACAGGTCCGTGGGCGTTCCTCTGCTCAAATGCGTTGGCCTGCCAGTCGCCAGGGAAAACTGCCGAGTTGTCATCTGTTGTGCTTGTCCTTGCCCGCACATTCATGGCAAAATGTGCCCCACTGCCCACTGCCCAAGGAGCCAATTTGCACAATCCTTTGTCATATGCTGATCACTGCAAGGCAACCAAGCAATGACCATAAATTGGCCTCCTGACCGCATTTTCCAGATCGACTCAAGGCTTCTATACGAGGGGTTAAGGTGGATTTGGGAATCGACTCTCGGCGCATGTCAGCCTGGGACCTGACACGCCTGACCCATGCTGTATCACCAAAGAGCACCAAAAGAAGAGTCCAACAATGACAGTCCTCTATTAATTACCCATATAATCATCACTTGAGCTTGTGCCCATGGTTGATTGGGTCTTGCTTGGATCTTGCGAGTCCAAGGAGAGGTAGGATTGTGGCAGCCTTTGACTGCAGCTTGTCTGCAGGACATACTTTGCGTCTTGGCAGGAAAAGCTTGCAGTAAAATAGTTACTTCTTATCATCACGCGTGTCACGTGCAGGCGGGTTGGGTGACGTGATGGGGGCGCTCCCGAAGGCGCTGGCGCGGAGGGGCCACCGAACGATGGCGGTGGTGCCGCGATACAGCAACTATGAGGAGGGGTGGGAGACTGGCGTGCGCGTGCGCATGCGCGTCATGGGCTCCGACACCGAGGTGCACCTGCCTTCCAGCTGACTCTTCCTCTTCCCCGCTGTTGCACTGCCAAGAACTGCTGTGACTCTGTGGAAGCAAGGCCATGTATGATGCAGGCGGTACAGGGTTGTCATCCCAGGATAGTCATGCACCTGAAGTTGATCCAGTGGCTTGTTTGCTTGGCATTCCCCCCCATCTGGGCGTCGAAGCAAGGCCCCAGGCTCATCAGACACCCGGAATTGTTCACGCTGTGGCATTCAATGATGCTCCCACACTTATTGATGGCCATGCAAGGGCGGCTGTGTGTGCTATGCCGTAAACGACGAGTATGTGCAGGTGGGATACTGCAATCTATATGGCCATGCCAGGCTCATGTGTATGCAGCGCAGTAAATAAAGCGTGTGCTTGCGCAGGTGGGGTATTTCCACGGGTACATTGATGGGGTGGACTATGTCTTTGTGGACCACGCCTGCTTCCAGGGGCGCCAGGGGGACATCTACGGGGGGGACCGGCAGAGCATCCTGTTCCGCTGCGCGCTGCTGTGCAAGGCCGCGCTAGAGGCTCCCTGGCACGTGCCCTGCGGTGGCGCCCCCTATGGCGATGAGAACCTGGTGTTCATCGCCAATGACTGGCACACCGCGCTGCTGCCCGTCTACCTGCAGGTGCTGCCTTGGCCTCCCTTGCAAGCTCTATTTTGTGCACCTGCACTTTCTGGATCTGCAGCCTGCCACTGCAGCTATGCAGGTTGTCTGGCTCGGTTGGCTGCTCTTGCCAGCCACATCATCCTGCTCGTCATGCCCGGCACTTTTGGTGAAGCGTACATCACTCGCAGTACATGAGGACTTGTCAAAAAGGATGGAATCGATGGGCCCAAGACCCAGAGCCTCCCACATTCTGTGCAGACACCACCCTAAAGCGATGCCCAGTACAAGTAATGCTCCCGATTTATAGTAATTAGGTCCTGACTCCCTTTCACACGCTCCGTGCAGGCACACTACCGGGACTACAACAAGATGACGTTCGCGCGGAGCGTGTTGGTGATACACAACATGGCGCACCAGGGGCGGGGCCCTCTGGCGGAGGTGGCGGGGCTGGAGATCCCGGAGCACTACACACACCTGTTCCAGCTGTACGACCCCATCGGCGGCGAGCACATGAATATCTTCAAGGCCGGCCTCATCGCCGCACACCGCCTCGTAGCCGTCTCCCACGGGTGCGCTGCTCTTTGTTTGTGTTTTAGAGTTAGAGGATTGCAGAAAGCAAAGCAGTCGAGTGCCAGGGAGGAAGGAGGAAGGGCTGCCTTGCAAGTGCACATCATGCAGCAACACTGATCCCCCGGCCCTGGAGCACTAAATGATCTCGTAGCAGTATGTATGCAACTGTGGCTAGGTGAGAATCATGGCACACCTACAGACAGGCAGGAGGTGTTTTGCAATTGACGGGAATGGTTCATGCATCCTTTCCGACTGGGGTCCCTCTGATTGGGGCCTTGCTGCGCTGCACCCTTCCCACTGATCGTCCAAGTGCTGTTTGTGGGTGGTACTTGTTGTGTTTTCGCAGCACTGCTGAGCATCCCCTTGCAGGCCCATCCCTGACATTTCACAGGCCCATGGGCCAACTGTGCGCAATGCAGAAACAAGCTTGCAAGCCACTTCTAGGAAGCTGCTTCATCTTGTTCTCCAGGACACCATCACCAGCTTTCCTTGCCAGCATAGCCAATCCGCTAGTTGTGTTAAGAACTTCAAAAGGGAACGATTCACACATCACTCAAAAGTATTTCACAGCACACAAAGATCACCCCTGATGTTATGCCATGCGCAACCTGGCCACATGTACGCATGGGAGTGCCAGACTTGTTCTCACACAGGAGCACTCTCCTTAGTGTGAGACAATCGTTCTATATTGAGTGATCCAGAGTGTGCCAGGGGTATGTCCAAAGGACAATGCACATAATCCTTACATACTCTCGCCTTGAGTGAAAGTCCCTGAGGCGCACTGTGTCTGCAGGTACGCATGGGAGTGCCAGACGGCGGAGGGCGGCTGGGGCCTGGATGGCGTGCTGAGAGAGCACGCCTGGAAGCTGCGAGGCATCGTCAACGGCATGGACTACGCCGAGTGGAGCCCTCAGTCCGACCCGCACCTGCGCTCTGACGGCTACTCCAACTACGGCCCCGACGACATCGCCGCGGGCAAAGCGCGCTGCAAGGCGGCTCTGCAACGGGTGCGCGCCCTTTTGATAGTTGTTTGCAGGTTGGTTCAGAGCCCGCTGTTGCAGGATGGACAATTTGATAAAGAATCCCCTGGTGTTTGTCTCCCTCTCCTTGCTCTGTTCCAAGACGCTCTTCAGAGGCATAGGGGAATTGCATAAATTTGCTGTTGGCTGTGTTGTGAGAGGTGGTTTTAATTGCACGAGGAGAAATCCTTTGAAAAGGCGCGAGTCAGTGCCGGCAAAGTCGGTGCCGCACCATGTTCAAGCAACAATCCCACAATCTTCCTGATCACCTTCCGATCTATGGGAAGATCCAGCGCTCCCTCTCACATGAGAGCCCTCCACGTGCCACCCTGCACCGAGTGCCTGGCAGCAGTGCAGATACAGCAGAGCACCTTTGTGCAGGAACCCTTCGGTATTTGAAATCATGCATGCATGCATGCGCAGGAGCTGGGCCTGCCGGAGGACCCAAATGTACCGCTGCTGGGGTTCATAGGGCGGCTGGACTACCAGAAGGGGGTGGACCTCATCCGCGACAACTTCGACTGGCTCATGCACGAGGGCGCGCAGCTCGTCCTGCTCGGCTCCGGCCGGGACGACCTCGAAAATTCCCTCAGGTGCGACCCCTGACTCAGACTCTGAACACTCTGATCCATTTTTTCTCCTCTGTGTTGATTATCCTGGTACGGTGCCTGGAGTGGGGTCAGGCCCCAGAGTCACCCCTTGGGCACATCTCTTACATCTTTATTGCCAGCTTTGCCAAAGCATGCAGTGTTGGCCAAGGCTGGCGGTGGTTGCAGTGCATGTGTTTGAGCGCGCATGTGCCACCAGCCAGCCGCCCTGTTTTGTGCAAAAGGGAGAGCACTTGCCACATGGCGTGGAACCTCTGCTACCCCGCAAGCATGTGCCGGAAGACTGCTGTGCAGAGCTGCCCACATCCCATCAGCAATGGTGTCATGCCATCAGAAGCACGCATTCCATGTCAGAAACCAGCCTCAAAGCAACATTTCTTGACACCTCTCGCTCACTGCGGTACAAAGAAGTGCATGCAAATGTAAGTGCTGCTGCACTTGTATGGGTGCAGAGTGGCTGAACATGGGGTGATGTGCGCGCAGGGAGATGGAGGCGAGCCGGCACCAGCAGTGCCGCGGGTGGGTGGGGTTCAACGTTCGCCTGGCGCACCGCATCACGGCCGGCTGTGACATGCTGCTCATGCCCTCGCGCTTCGAGCCCTGCGGCCTCAACCAGCTCTACGCCATGGCCTACGGCACCGTGCCCATCGTCCACGCCGTGAGCTTCACCTCCTCCTCGTACACAACATGCCCTGCTGCAAAACTATGGAAAACCAGAAAACGCTGACGCTACCAAGTATATATTCATTTTGAGAAGCACCTCTTGGAGGCGTCTGGCTCAAAACGTCCAAGTTATGGCGAGCATGCTGGAGGTTGCGTTGGAGGGTTTCTGGTCATGATCTTACTATGTGCGCGGAGGTCATCAGAGACAGGCCTTGACGTCTTTCTCTGTCAATTTTCTGCTTTCGTTGAAAACTGTATGCATCCCATACACAGAACAGTGCAGAGGAGGCAGGCAAGGGGGCCCACCCATCACGTTCAGGATGCACTGCCGCACTCAAACTACCACTGTGATAGTTCTGCAGTATCGGAATTCCTGCAAATGTAGAGCTAAAAAATGACGTGGCATGCATGCGCGCGCAGGTGGGCGGGCTACGGGACACGGTGCATCCGTACAACCCGTACGAGAATACGGGCACGGGGTGGACCTTTGACTGGGCGGACGCGGGCTCGTTCCGGGACGCGATGGGCAACGCAATTTACACATACCGCGAGTTCCGGGACAGCTTCCGCGCCGTGCAGCTGCGCGGCATGCGCCAGGACCTCTCCTGGGACCACGCTGCCGAGCTCTACGAGCAGGTGAGGCTTTAACATATCTTGTCACATGTTTAGCAGCTCAGGTTGGCAGCTTGGCGGCGAGTAAAGTACTGTGGGCACATCAGCCTTTCTCCACCTGAATGCTTGATTAATTTTTGCGCTCAGGCAGAAAGGTACAACAAGGAGGACCCCTTTGTGACTCCTAAGTCTTGAACTGAGAGTTGTGTGATATTGGTTAACAGGTGCTCATAGACGCCAAGTACCAGTGGTGAGCTGTAGGCAGCAGTGGAGGCGGGTGCATGCACCGGCCGTCTGCGGCAATGGCACCTTCAGGCATGCGAGATGCCAGTGAGGCATATACCGGTAATTGGGAGGGCAAACGAGGCCAGCCTCTTTCTGTGCTACCAATCTTGGTATTACTTGTGGTGCAGCCCCACATCATGCCTTGAAGGCCTTGTGGAGCTTGAGATGGGGCTTCTACTTTCCATTGTTTCCTGCTGCGCTGTCGCAAGTTTTGCTTTCGCATTGAGGGCCACAGTTCAGACTTAGCAGGCTGGGAATACCTGCCCGGTGATGGCTTGGTTCTGAGAGCTTTCCCAACTATAAGTGTGATAGCGCCCCTAGAAGAACCCCTGACAGCAAATGCAGTCTCATCCGGCATGCTCAGAAGTGGCATGCAGACAGTTTTGGCATTGTTGTGCTGGAGCAGCAAGGCAGGCTCAAGCCACCAATTTTGGCAGGTTCCAGCAGTAGCGATTCTTGAGGGGAACATGTCTCATGTTTGATGTCTGTTTGGCCTTGCATCCGTCGGATGGAGGCTGCTTCCAATGGCAGTGCTTGTGTTTTCTGTTAGCTTGACGTTTGAGAGAGGCTGAGACGATTCATTCAAGTGGTAGGACCTGGTCTTTGCATGCTGGCACGACTCATACTTTTGCTTTTAGCACTTATTGCAGGAGGGTTGCATGCGCACGGATGCCCCAACCTTTGCATGTGCCTTTGGCATGCATTTCCAAGACCTGCATGTAATGGTCCTTAGACCGAGACACTTGTTTTGCGCGATAGACCAGCGTAGAGTTCATGCATGATCCGTTCCCGTAAGCTTCATATTGCCAGCTCGCTCCCTTGGCCAATTTCTCAAGTTTTTGAAGCTTTGATTGTCGTATAGATTGAGAGCATGCAAGCACGTGCACATTAGCATTTATTTGTGCATAAGGCCTGCCCCAAACACTCCCCGGCGGGACATGACTGCAAGCATGCAGGCACCGGTGGAAATGGTACACTTCACAGGGCACCCTGTGCTTCTACCATGACAGATTGGGCAGTTTGCCATACATTGGGTTCCTTCCCTGGTCTGCTATGACGTCAACCACCGTTCAAATATCTCAGCACCTGGCGAGGGGCCATGACACACATGGCTCTTCACATGACTCTTATGGAGCCCAATGCTTCATCTCATGCAAGGAGAGGTTGGTTTCCCTCTCAAAAGAATGTCAGTTCTGTCCATCACCCCCCAGAAGGAGCAATGCTATTGCCCATTTAGGAGTCGAAAACATGTGTTCTCACGTCTGCAGTGCAAACAGTGCTGCCCTTATGTACTCCAGAGCCTGGGCGGCAGGGGAAGGGGTGATGACTTTGGAGAAAGTCTGAATTTCGTCCATCTGATGGTCCGACGTGCCCTCGATGGGAACAAGCAGGCTCATGATGTTGCTGGGCAACACAGGCAGTGTCCGACCTGCACACATTACCAACCATCAGCCAATTATTAGTCATCCGTTCACCAACCTAGATGCCACCGCTCTAGAGAGCTCTTCTGCTGCATGACAAGCTGCACCGCCGATCAAATCAAGCTCAGAATGCTGGCCCAAGCATGTAAGATGCCTTTTGGAGATCCCAGGATGTCAAATAGAAAAGCAACAGCTAGTTTTTGGTGAAGAGCAGACCTGAGGTGTAGTTGACATCTGGACCCCGCAGGGTACCGTTGTCATTATCCATGGGGTAGTTGTAGAGCAGGCCAGGCTCAAAGTAGAGGCTGCATGTGCCCACGCTCTGAACTTCCTTAGTGCTATTCCCATCTCTGCACCCAGTGCGGCTGCTGCAGAAAGTCCATGCATTGCATGAGGGGTCCAGATCCTGACCAGCACAAGCTTTCAGCCTAGCAAATAGAGCTCAAGTGAGTGACACAAGCATGTAGACAAGTATATATCATTCAAAACATAGGCGGAAGAGATGGCATGGCTAAGGTCAGCATTACCTGGCCCACTAGCTTTCTACAGGAATGGCAGCACTCCGCAGTGCTGGATGCATTGAGTCTATCCAGCAGAATCATGCTGTTACCCTGCACCAAAGGAGAGGACTCAGGCATGTTATAACATGCCTACAACACATGCAGCGGTGATATAGGAATAATCTGCAGGACTTTGGCTTGAAGCATGCTATGCAAAAGAATTACCTGGTACAAGGTGTTGGCCTCCTGTATGCAGAGGCTGCCATTCTTGTCTGAGAGCAGGGTCTCAGTTAGGGGCATTCCATGGTAGCTGCTGTTCCCAGGCATCAATCTTCTGAGCCGAGTCTGCATCAGCTTTGCTGCTGGGGCCAGCTCAGGATACCTGCACAGGGCAGAAGATTCCCTCTGCTTCACAAATTCTGAGCCTTCAAGTGCAGCAGAGCACACTGTTGGCAGAGCCCGATGGCTGCCCGACAGCAATAGGAATGTCAAATGGCAGCTGTAAGCGAGGAAGGAAACAAAGGAGGAAGCAAAGCCGCACCCAGGGTCGCAATCACTGCCCAGAGCCGCAGTCAGGACGTTGAAATACAGCCGCGCAACTAGCTCTGTGAAGGCCTCAGTGGCGCGGTCATAGACTCCGTCGTCCCCCAACTGGCCTCCAGTGATGCGAGTGACGCCCTCTGTGGGCTTGAGGGGCGCCTGCTTGGCCAGAGGAGTGGCCAAGAAAGTGAACTTGATGTTGTACACATCGCTGTCCTCCTCACTGCTGCCTGGCCCGGCTGTGACAGTGGTGTTTGGACCCACGGATGACACTCCTGAGACCTGCACCATCCATCAAAGCAGCACTATCCACCTTGATTTTCCCCCTTCGAGACCACCAAGTTGTTGGAGATTTATCTATTGCACAGAGTCTCATGTTGTCAGGACAACAGCAGTGTCACAAAAGGAGATTTGTGTTGCAGGAGTTTTATGATGAAGAGATATGTACCTGTTGTCTTCCGCCCTTCACATCAAAGGGTGCTGCCACTGCAAAGGTGTCATTGTTGATGTCATATATGAGGTCCTCTGCAATCCTAAAAGTGTACTTGGGATTGGTTGGATCTTGGTACGCAATTTCTGCCCATGTATTGATGGCAAAGGCTCTTGTGGACAGATTCAACCGCGTGGCTGGATCTACGATGGGAACTTGCTGCTCCTTCACTGTCACTATCAGGTAAGGATTGCTGGTGCCGCAGGTGTAATACGTGAAGACCTTGTCAGGATACGCAGGAATGGGATGTTTGAGCTGTGCTGTCGTTGCAACATGCTGATACTGCTCTGCAATGAATTGCTGTGCTTTGACCAAGCCTGCCAGAGGGTTGAAATGCAGCACGTCAATCAACGAAGCCCCTGCAAGTACATGGCGCCATTAGTGGTCACTACTGAGACCTTACGCAATCAATATCCAGTTTATGGACCAGTGTGTTCCACTCTCACTGAGGCAGTGAACCTGGGGCCCTGGATTCTGATCATGCTTACGCATTACAAGTTTTCGACTTCCTCAGCTAAAAGGAATTTTTACCTGGTGATGGGAGATTTAAGAGGCGAGGTAGCTGAGTGACTGCACAGGTGGGCTGAAGAAGCAGCACCACAAGGGCTTGACCAACGATGCAGCACCACACTCTATATGATAGTTTGCCAAGAAACATCATTCAAAAGCAGTACTCCAGAGGCCAGGAGGCGCATTGATTGCGCGACCTGGTTCTATGTGGGCTTTGCCATTGGCTGCACAGGGGTCTGGGCAACACTTTAGCTCTGAGGTGTGCAATTACTGCATGCGTGTGCGACACTACCTACCACCAAATGTATTCTATGTGTCAAGCACTGCACCGTCTGTAAATTTGTAATTCATGCTTTCAAAGCTCTCCAATTTATCGATACCCCCTGAACGAAAAAGTCTGACCATCTTTTATGCATTTGCCACAATTCGACGTGCTTCTTACTTATATGCATTGTGCAATTCTTGCAGAGATATAGCTTTGAAGGGAATGATTCGTACTTTCTGACGAAGTGCCGGTCCAAGGCAAGGAGTGAGCTTTGACATGAAAAGGCAACCTGTTGCCAGCTGCTCGTACAGAGACACTGCACAGCTACCTGAGACTTTCCCCATTGTCAAATCCGGTGGTAAATTGTCGCCGACAGTAGGAAAACGAAAAGAAAGGACAGCTAATGTGGAGCTGCGGGTATGACTTGCTACAAGTGACTGTTGATGAAAATCCCAGGAATAGGTGGGTTCATTGTACAGCATGCACTCTTAATAATTTGGCTGCAATTCTCAAGAAGCAATGTTTCGGGGACAGGTGCAAGTCTTGCAGGAGCAAGCAAAGCGGCCACATTTGTTGAGGCCTTCACATGGCTATGGTCCCAAAACCGCAGGAGAAGAAGCAGCGCAAGAATCATGGCGCTCACCCTTTCAACAGATCGAGAATAGCAGGTCAGGCACGTTGTCAAGTCTTTAACCAGCGAATTGCTTTTCATGCAAGCTTACATTGCACACTGGTGATGCAGACCCACTGACTTCACCTGCTTACGGGACTTCATGGGCGGGGATGCATCAACATCCACAGTTGTGCATCCTCCCAGCAGCTTTGCAAGGTGAGAGCATTTTTGATCTTGCTGCTATTCCATGCTGCATGCTTTCATTTTGTTCGCTATGGTTACAACATCTGTGGATACTCTTGGGAAGTCAAGCCCTCTTTGAGCAGCACGTTTGCGTGCAGAAGGCCTGCTCCACCAGCCACAAACAATCGAAGCAATGTGGTCACATTTGATGACATCGCTACCAGGCGGACTGAAGCGCCCACAGACAAAAGCAGATACCATTCCACGGTGATAATGATCCCCCTTTGAACTACTCAAGCCGTTTACAAGGAATTTGCATGCCTCTCATCATTGTCAGTAGCTCTTCAACAATTGAGAGTGCAAGGAATAAGAGTTCTCCAAGGGTGGTGCCGGACGAAATGTCAAGGAATTACCAATTAAAATTGGTAAGGTCAGGTAAACTCAGTCACTGGCATGACAATGAACCATCAGCTACTGTGCATCTGCAGATTCATGAGATTATCCAGACGAAGAGCATGCTGCCGCCAGACGACAGCAAGAGCAATCATGCCTCCCTGCGGCAATCAGCGCAGCGGGCTCCCCCTGACTTCTCAGATCTTGCCAGCCCCCCCATAGACTGGAGCCTGAAATCGCGAGCCCTGTTTCTGTCAGTCCAGCCCTTCTCAATCTGCCAAGAAGCCCTCATGGCTCCTTCCTCAGTAGGTAGGCATTCCCAGCCGCCAGCACACCACCTTGTGCATCCCATGCATGCATGCCATCCTCATGCAGCTTGCTACCTGCATGGTGGCTTGTACGGATGCTGCATGCCATGACATGGGTAAGAACAGATCATGCAGCAAATTCAAGCACCAATCCTGAGGGAGAGAGGTTTTACTCTCTGAGCATATCAAATTGTGTTTGCCGCGCAGCATTCGACACGCTGTCATCCTTTGCGCGAGGATCCCAGCCGGGGCCCAGCTGTCAGGAGCAATTCCAGCACGCTCTGATGACGTGGCAGCATCCGGAGAGCTCCCTGCCGGGGGCGGCGGTGTCAGCGCTGGCCGGCTCCAAGGCCGGTCAGGCCATGCTGGACGCGCGAAAGGCTGCGTGGCAGGAGGCCTTCCGGAGCCTCTTCATGGCCCTGCGCTCCGGCGCATGCAGCGCCTTCTACTTGGTCACAGCACAGGTGGGCTTCCCAGAGCTTCAGCAAACGCAGGGCTGACTCAGTGGCTTCTGGCAGAGGCCTTGCTAGCAGCTGCATGTCTGACTCCAGAGCAATCAGACAAATGCACATTCTGGAGACTGAAAGTGTCAACATTTCTATTCTTGTCCCAAGGCATGCTTGCCGCACTAGGCGTTTGTCCCAGGTCCTGTCCTGCATGGGTGACTTTTTAATTTCAAGCTAAGTGGTCTGTGATTGTTTCCACGGTGCCTTAGTATGCCACTTTTCCCTGTGAAAAATCATGGGTGTTTCTCATTCAGCGCATCCTCAGCGGTGCTCGGCTCGCAGGGCACGAAGCGGCCGTTCGTGGCGTTTTTCGGTGGAGCGGGGACGGGTGGCCGGCCGCACATGCATGCGTGGCTGAGCCGCTCGACGCACGGAGCGCGCGAGCGCATGCGGGCGGCCCCCTGCGGCCTCGACTTCTCCACCCCGCTCGCACCCCGCGCGCAGGCGGAGGCGGCTGCAGCCAAAGACGAGCGCATCCAGGCAGAGCTGCTGGAGATCGGGCAGGTGCGCTCTGTGGTGGCCCCATATGCTGGGGGAGATCGGCCAGTCCGCTCAAACACTCTGCCTGTATGCTGACAATATATTTACAGGGAAATCTGAGCTGCTGGAGATGGCCAGGTCTGCTCACAGCTGCTGCTCTCCCTAGGAGGTGCTAAGAAAATCATCTCTTAATATCTGTCCCAAGTGTTCTCCCTGTCAAGAGGATGTGGCAGGACAGCCATCGCTGTCATCTGCAGCAAGTCCATGACACCATTGGTGGCACCAGTCTGAGCCACTTTTCCTGCCAATCCTTTTGAAAGAGTTGAGAGTGGGCCGTCCCAGCTGCACATAATCAGCCTATGCAGATACGAAATGCATGCAAGCAAGATGTGCACCGATTGGCTTAGGAAATCCTTTGGTGTGTCGCTGCAGAAAAAGGCGCCGCAGTCGGCAGCGGGCGTTGATGGGAAGCCGGCCTCGCTGGTGTTCTTTGAGGGCGCTAGCCGCGTGCACGGCCTCTTTGAGCACCTGCTGTCGGAGGCCGCCACCTCAGCGGAGCATGCAGACGTTCCCCTGCTGATTTCACCCGTCCCCTTCCTGGGCGCCTCCATCCAGCAGCTGCAGCCGCAGGTGCAACCCCTCTGCTTAGATGTCAGGACAGACTCTTTTGAGCCCTCGGTGATTGCATCTGTGAAGAAAGTGCAATTGCAAGGCAGGCCTTTCTCTTGTCCCTGGCGCTCGCTCTGCCTCGATGTCTGCTTTCCATTTTCTCTAACAATAGGTCGTCTGCATGTGTGACAGTGGGATCACCCTGCATGCGGATGTTTGCAAGGAAACAGCTCTTCAGCTGCCGATCTTGGGTGTTGTGTACTCTTTCTGTTTGTCCTGAAGGGCTGCTGTTGAGCATTTGTATTAAAGATGTTAGTTTCCTGCATTAGCTCGCTCTCCCCTTATATATCCCCTTTCGTCCTGAAGGGCTGATGATGAAGTCAACAATGCGTTACAGAGACCATGGTCGTCATGAGTCAAGGAGCCTGACTTGAAACTTTCCTAATGCCTGTGCAGCTGCTGCCGTCAGTGGACACCCAGACAGCAGCAGGTGCAGCATGTCAGGGCGGCCACAGGATGGAGGTGCGGGGGCTGATGCCTCCCTGGGTGCTTGACCGCCTCTACGCTGTCCTCTGCGACTCACAAGACGGCCAATACAGGGTCCGCTTCTTCTCCTTCTTTCCCCTTGTCCTGTGGTCCTGGGCTGGTGCTTTGGAAGTGGCTTTCCGTTGAGGGGTCTGAGTGTTCTGTGAATGCAATAACGAACCACTGACGCCCTCGCTGCCTGGAGCAGCCAGCATTACTTGCAGAGGCTCCATGCATGTCATGCTATTTTTCAGGGGTTCAATGTACTCTATAGTGGCGGCTGACAGCTGTTGCCATGCACAGGCGCTCCTTGACACAGACCCGCAAACCACGGCCTTCAACCTTGGTTTTGCAGCAGATGCAGCTTATGCAGACCAGCAGGGCTGCAAAGCAGATGGGTATGTCTCGCCGCTGTAGACTTCAAATAGTATCAGCTGCTTTACCTGCACAGCCTCTTCAAAGGTCCACTGCCGGTCACACAGTATGTTCAGGCTAGCTGATGCATGTGCAGGGGTACCTTGAATGACGAGGAAGCGGAGCGATGGCAAGCGCCACCAAATGATATGGCTTCTTTTGTGGTTAGGGAAATTGTGTGCAAGGCCGGTTTGTACTCGCTGCGCTTGATGGTGACTTCATCTTAGTCTAATCAAAGTGTAGGACATCTAGGAGCACCATTGTGCCTAGGTCAATGGCCTTAGTATAAAGTCTCACCGGTGAACCTTTCGCAGAAAATGCTAAGTTCGTCAGCTGAGCCAGCTGCGTCAGCTGCAGCGAAGTATCCTGCACGTAAGTGGGAGCATGCGTGAAGATCTATGTGCTGTCGCTAGTAAACATCATGAATGCATGTCTGCTGAAATTTCTTGCACGATATGACTGGCCTTCCCTTATACATGCATATTGTCAAGCCCACTACAAGGGACTTTGTCAAGAAGGCAGTGACACAAGGGGCCACCCAGATGTCCACCTGTGGGGCAAAGGGTGGATCCTGGAAGCCACCTGCAGGCACTATATAGATCTATACAAGAGGCTTGCAAGGAGGAATATCTCCTTGGTTTCTGTTCTATGGGAGGAATCGTGCTGTCGACATCTTTTCAATTAGATCAGAACTTCTTACCTGATGAAGAAGTGGTTCCCAGGCATCGTTGCCCGCTAGTCACAGCAGCTGTTGGTGCTTAAAAAATCCTTTTCTCGCAATCACAGACGCAAAAATTAACGTGGTGTTATAGTGTTGTCTGTAGACTTGCATTAGGCATCGATCGCTGGAGTCTTTGGCACCAATGGAAATCCTATTCTAGTACTCGGCCTCTGGGTGCCCCGAGCACATCAATTTCCTCTGCATTGCAGACAGCGCATATTTGGATACGACAAAAAAATTTGAGGCAGTTTCAAGGACGTCGCCATGTCTGCCTTCGAGGAGCTGGGAGTTATGCCAGAGCTTATTAAGGGCATCGAAGAGATGGAATGGCTGTAAGATCCACCGTGAAATGCCCGCCGAAATCAAGGATATACTGCCTCATAATTTCCCCGAGCTTTCCTGACGATTCTGTTGCTACTGGTTCGCACAAAGGACAGTGGACCCTGCTGCAAGAAGTATGACGGAGCATGCTACCTGCTGGATCATAGGTTGCCCACTCCTGTGCAAGCAGAGGCGGTGCCACTGATCCTGGGCGGTGGGGATGTTATGGTCGCTGCAGAGACAGGCAGTGGCAAGACTGGTGCTTTTGCAGTGCCAATCTTGCAGGTGGTGCATGAAACAGTCACAGCCAGGCAGCAGGAAGCGGGCAGTTCCAATGTGTAAGTCACGCTGCCTGCCATCTCACAATTTCCTTGCTGTGCTTTATTGCCATACATAAAGTTCGAAATTTTGCTCCATCCAGCTGGAGCATCTCCGCCTCCCAAGTGCTGGTGCTCCTGCTCCAGCTCCAGCTCCAGCTCCAGCTCCAGCTCCAGCTCCAGCTCCAGCTGCTGCTCCTGCCTCGGCAATGGCTGTGATGCAGCAGGCATACCCAGAGTGGATTTAATGTGCATGCGATCCCTGTGAACGTCTGACAAAACTGCTGCCCATGCGCAGTCCCGCTTCAGGCCCTGTGGACTGCACATTGAGCACCGAGGACAGGGATGTCGTCTTCAATGTATCCGAGAATGGTGCGCCCAGAATGATCCTCGTGGCTCTTCCTTTTCTGCAACACATTTAACAGTCTGTGTGCCTCACAATAGTACTGCTTGTGTTGCCGTCACGCATGCCAATATGCTGCGACGCTCACAAGTGTAGGTCCTTCAGCAGCTGCCCTGAAGGTTCCGTGCCATTGCATGCATGCAGGGCTGAGCTGCAGCGCGATGACCAAGGGGTGGGCAGGCGGGAGGGCAACAGTGGGCGCCACATCGGGCAGGCTGTATTTCGAGGTCACCATGCAGAACGACGGCCTTTGCAGAGTCGGGTGGGCCTCTCGCGCGGCCGCTTTTGAGATCGGTCGGGACAAGCGCAGCTTTGGCTTTGGCAGCACAGGGAAAAAGTCGCATGGCGGCACATTTACAGACTACGGGCGGGCCTTTGGCAAGGTGGGTTTGCTTCCTTCACAGCCCAAAGGCCGCTCATGTCAGTTGATTACTTTACCTGGCATCAGAATTGCAGGAGAGCCTGACTTGCGTTTGGGGTCAGGCAGAACATTCTCTGTCAGAGGCCACCCTCATCAACCCAGAAGATGCTTGGATATCATCATGGATATCATCAGGCAAGCCTCAGACAGCAGTAGGCAAGTCCTTCACTTTTTTGACCTGCTCACCCTATCTGTATCGCGCAGGGGGAGACAGTGGGGTGTCTGCTGGACATGACAACCGGCCAGATCTCCTATACAGTCAATGGGGCATCCATGGGGGTGGCTTTTGAGCTGCCGGCGCAGATGCGCGGCCAGCCGCTCTACCCAGCTGTGGCGCTGAAGGGCGCGCAGGCAAGGGCCGCTTTTGGAGGAGCCGATCTCCGTTACGGGCCGCCTGACGGCTGCGTCGGTATCGCGGACGCTCCCAGCAGCCAAATCACCAGCGGTGTGTGCCTTGTGGAAATCTCCCTGCAGCTGTGTGTTGCCGATGTGGCTCCACGTCGCTCTCTGGCGCGTGACCTCTCATTTGATCGCCTTTGTAGATGATAAAAATTCCCTTTCAAAGTGTTGTATCTACTTCGCTTTGCAATCTGTGCCTGATCTAGGGTGTAAGAATTCATTGGCCACAACGCTGCGCAAGCAACAACTTTTGATTGTACATGCAACCCTTTGTTGGCAAGCGCTGCAAAAGATGCTCAGGCAGTGAAGTTTTCACGTCTCCATGCTGTTGCAGCCGCGATAGAGGAGCAGGCATCTGCGGCCGCAGGCGTCCGGACGCCGTCAGCGATCATCTTGGAGCCGTCGCGTGACTTGGCGCAGCAGACGCACGACGCCATAACGTCGCTGAAGCGACACCTGACGTCGGCCTCGCTGCAGAGTGTGCTGCTGGTTGGTGGGACCCAGCCCAAGGAAGCTGTGCGGCAGCTGGAGCGCGGCGCTGACATCGTCACCGGCACACCAGGTTCCACCCTAACTCTCGTTGTATCTTATGAATGGCCTCCTTAGGTTGGCAGCCTAAGTTTGATTGCGATGGTTATTTCAGTCACAGTATCCACTTCCATATTCGCGCAAGATGAGGGTGTGCGTTTTGCACAAACAGCAATCTTAGTGGTATCTGCAATTTGGTGCCGAAAGTTCACATGCTAGTAATGCAATCAGGTCAAGCCACCTGCCCCCTGAGAACTCCACAGCATAGTTGGAGTATCTGTGCATCTGGGCGCATATCCAGCTCTGCATGCCCAGGTCGATGAGTAAGAGGGTGCATGCACTTTCCGCACAGGGCGCATCATGGACTTTGTGGAGAGCGGCAAGCTGGTGCTGTCCAGCGTCAAGTTCTTTGTGCTGGACGAGGCCGACCGGCTGCTGGACACGGGCAACCAGGACACCATCATGAAGCTGTTCTCCCGCTTCCCCAAGGCCGGCATGGGCGTGGCTCGCCTGCAGGTGCAGCCTCAAAATCCCCTGGCTGCTGCTCAGCCTCTTCAAAATACCACATGCATCTTGTCTCAGTCTCCAAATGCAGCTCCAAAGTGCGGGCTAATGAGAGGGCCGAATTCGAAAAAAGTGCGGCAAGGCAATCTTCTTGGCATGCATGAAGAACTCTGGATCTTCGCGCAGCACTCGCCTTACACTTAAATCAAAAAGCCAAGTACCCATCAAGCTGAACAGCACAATTTTGCATTCCTCACAATTTGGAAATGCCTGGGGCAGGTCCTGATGTTTTCAGCGACGCTGCACTCGGTCGAGGTGAAAGACATTGCCGCGCGCATCTGCCAAGGGGCTACCCTCGTGGATCTCAAGGCACGTTTCTTCCACTTTGAGTGTTCAGCCAATTCATGTTGTTCAGCAAGCATGGCAGCGGCGTTGACTCAGAATGGCTGAGGATTCTTCTGGAGGATTTGCAATGCTTAGTCCATTGCCAGCTCTCATGCGGTCTCTCCATCACCCCGAGAAGCCTGTGTGGGAGACCTATCTGCTCAATTTCCATTGCAAAAGTCTGACCGGCCGTCGGCTTGTCTACTTTGTAAACAATATCCTGCCATGCCCAGACATCTGTGTTGCTGTGTGTCGCTTCCACCCGCTGGTAAAATTGGGCCCTGGAAGGGCAACGGTAATTTCTGGGCACACTCCTTAATGCTCTCTCCTGCATGCCAGCATATTGTCAGGGGGCGCATCTGCATCTGCAGGGCCGGGAGGCAGTGCCAGACACAGTGGACCATGTGCTGGTGGCTGTGGACCCAAAGGCCGATCGCTCCTGGCTGCAGACAACCCCAGAGGTGCCCACAGACAACATCCACGCCTTTGACAGCAGCGGCCCATCCGTGGACACAGCCGATAACTGGAGCCTTGCCTTGAAGAGGCTCAAGCCGCGCGTGCTGCACCGCCTCATCGACGCCTACAAGTAAGCTGCTTTCCAAAGTGATCGGCTGCTGCGTGTCAAAATTTGTGTAGGGGGCACTCAGGACAAATCGGTGTGCTGTCCCAGTTACTTTAGGCTTGATGGCATTCATGTGTATGTCTTGACCCTCTTTGCGCCCCATGTCAATTGGGTGATGAAAGCAATTCGGGTTTTTGGCAGTCTTTTGCCTCACCAGCTGGCAACTGTCCCATGCGGTGTTTTGTTGCCCTGCTTCTGACTTCTTACCAATCACTGCCAATCTCGAGCAAAGTGTGCTTGCCATCCGTGAGGAACCCTTGCCTGCGGCAATCATATGTCCATTTGCAACAGAGTTAGATCTGTGCCTGCCCCGTGCAGGATGGAGCAATGCCTGGTCTTCTGCCGCACCAACTTTGACTGCGACAACTTGGAGAAGTTCCTCAACGGCCTCGGCGGCGGCGGCGGCGGCCGGTGGGCCGGCCGGCGCGAGAGCGGCAAGGAGAACCCGTACTCCTGCTGCGTGCTGGCAGGTGCCCGCAGCACCGACCAGCGCAGGGAGGCCCTGCAGGTGTGCTTTCCTCCGCTGCAATCTCTTCACAAAGGGTCATGAACACCATCTTGAAGGAACCTAAGTGTATGGTTGTGCTGGCTTGGCTCGCTCATTTTGGCTTGCTGAGACAGATTGGATGGCTGCAGATTTTGCTGATGCAGACTAGCTGACTGGCCCACCACGGCTGCATCTGCACGGACTGCTCATGCTCAACATGTGTGAGCCATGCAAAGCTGAAGATCCTCAAAGCCGAAAGCTCTGTATCGGGGTTGGCAATCTGCCACATGTCTAGGTTGCCAGGCTATCTTCAGGTCAGTGTGGCTCCGGACTGTCTGTTTTCTCAGATGATCCTTGCATGACAAATCCATCTTCTGGCACACATTTTGAGGGTGTTGCAGGCGTTCAAGCAGGGGGAGGTCCGTTTTTTGATCTGCACAGATGTGGCGGCGCGCGGGCTGGACATCTCTGGACTGCCCTATGTGGTCAACCTGACGCTGCCCGACCGGGCAGAGGACTACATCCACCGCGTCGGCCGCGTCGGTGAGCACCGCTAATGAAACCTTAGTAAGAAGTTCTTGCTAACAGCAGAAAGGACTGTACGTCTTGGCAGGCTGCGGAAATGAGCATGCATAGACTGATGCCGAGCCGACCTGTCCATGACGCGTCTTTTTCTGGCATGCATGCTGTTTCAGTCCTTATTTGGAAGGGATGACGGGTGGCTGAACAAGTCGCCGAGTCTGGAGCAGATCAATGTCATGCAGGATTTTAAGAAGGCTGGCATGACATTCTGGTCTCGCTGTCTGGACAAGGCTCACCCATCTGGCAGCTGTAGAAGTTCATGATTCGTGCAAGAAGCCTTATTCTGGCTTGGTGGAGAAAGCAAGAAAAAGATATTCCCTGAGCTCTGCTGTGGCGTGCTGAGCAGGGCGCGCAGAGAAGCTGGGCCTGGCGATAAGCCTGGTGTCGACGGTGAAGGAGAAGGTGTGGTACTGCTCCAAGAAGGGCTACCGGCCGTGGGAGCGGCCCAGCAAGAAGGACGTCAAGGACCAGAAAGAGGGCGGCCACACCATCTGGTACGACGAGCCGCAGCTGCTCGAGGTGCGCGCACAGATTTGAATTTGAATTTGAGTAGCGCTGCGCGTCACAAACTCTAACACCTTGGGACGATGATGCTTGCACTGCTCCCTTCATTGCGTTGCATTGCATCATAATCTTATCTATTGCATTAAATGCAGATCTAGGAGGCAGTGCATTAAATGCAGAATTCTGAATACAGCATGCCAGCATAACGGCCCTGTTTATGGTTTCTGGGCTGCCATACCATCAGAAACAATTATCTTGTAGCGGCACTAGCAGGACAGGTGAAAGGGGCTTGAGAGAGAGAGTTAAAGTGCGCCGCAGGAAGTTGAGACGCGGCTGCGGCAGAAGGTGACGGCGGTGAATCCAGACCTGAGCCTGCCGCAGGACATTGCCAAGCGCGTCTTGGCCGCTCCGGGGTCGGCAGAGGCCGCCTATGGCCAGCACAAGCAGGGGGACGTAGCCAGCAAGGTGATCATCCCACTCCCCTTTCTGCAGCTGCAGCGACAGCCAATAAAGGACATGGCAGTCCTATGAAAGTGCATCCGTGAGGTGATCTCTGCAGAAGAGGCACGCAGGTCAGTCTCGCCCGCTGTTAGCACCTGTACACGGTGAGTTGCTCTGAGTTTGCGTGGGCAGGACAGGGGTGTGGCACTGCCTTTTTTCTTTGGGGCACTTTGTGTGTGCACCAGCTTGACATGTTTCCTGTCCTTATCTCGGCAGGAGATCATGGAGCATGTGGAGGCACTGAAGCCGGCTGTGGCAGAGCTTGCGCGGCTGGAAGCTCTTGCACAGAGCTTCTACCTCCGGCGCAGCGCCAAGCGCAAGGCACTGGCTGTGTGATGGGCAAAACAAAAAATATGTGCGAGACGGGTGTGAACAGACCAAATGTATCTTGAACTCAATCGGAACTGTCGTGCCGAAAATCCCTTAGGAGCACAGCAACGCGGTGAATTTGAAAGCAACACAAATGACACAGAGGATTGACAGTGAATGTGCTGCAGCTGGCTGCATGTGCCATTGCCAGGCATGCCTGCTCTTGGATTCCCAAAGCTTGTCTTGGTCTGGAGCCATTTTCTGTGGTTGCCCGGGGTCTTTGTTCATACATATGTGCTTTTCGATATCTGCAAATGTACACTCGTGCGCTGCACCGCCACGGACCCCATGATGTCTAAAGAACGAAAAGTCTGATTACATCCTGCAAGAGTCTCTATTTTATGGAGGAATCAAATTGTGAAAAAAGGAAAGAATGAGGCATGCATGCTCTGACCCCTTTCTGTGTACCGGTAGAAACTTTTCTGTGTTCTCTTGTTCAGGTTTGATTGCCTCATGCTTTGGCTGCCACCCATCCTGGTCAGGACACCTGGAGCTTGCTTCATTCTTGGCCCTCACCTCAGAGCACGCAAAGCGTCAGTCATACAACCTGCAGGAGTGAGTAGGAGATCAAGCCTTCAGATCACCTATGCTTCGGGACACTTGTAATGATCACCTCCAGTTTGAAATCCGTGGCAAATCCGTGGCATGTACACCAACTCATATTTCTTCAGCGATCGCCATGGCGACGACGTCGTGGATTGAGCCCTTCGATCCCTTTTGGATGCCTTTGTACAGCAAATTCACAATCTTCTTCACATAGCCTTCACTTCGTTCAGATTGGATCGTCAAGTTCATAGCCTTGCCAAAAAGGGTGACATGTGCATGGCTCAGACAGCCACGAATGGAACTTGCAAGACTTGTGCCATTGTAAAATGCTTTCGCTCTCCGAAGTATAACTGCGTTATCTCAAATAAAAAGATGCTCGAGTATTGGCCAGGAGATGGATCTATAAGGAAAGGAAAAGGAAAAAAGGGAATTTCCTGTACATTATTTACACCGACGAGTGGGCGACTCGAACCATCGACTCGTTGAGAAGGGGGTGGGCTCTAGCCTCCTTCTCCTCTCCCCCCTTCTCAAGATCGCCCTGCATCGAGATACCGCCACCCTGAGTGCATGCTGTGACACTTGTTCTGGATGCTTATGTAGTGCTTACAAATTTTAATCTGCTCTATAATCCAATCGCTGATTTCAGCTGTACATGTTCCAATAGAAGCTTGTAGGAATATGCGGAAGCTGCAGCAGTTTGTCGTGCTTCTAGCTACATATTGGTGTGCTATAGCTAAAAAGTAATACCGACACGGTCATGCTTGATTCCTGCTACCATCGTCAACGCGTGAGTGCCATCTGCTGCACAGGCTGCCACGGCTGCAGACGGCGCAATCACAACTTGTTGAACATGCATGCCTTTGGTGACGGGCACCTTTTGCTGTCAAAGACAAAATTAGCAATGCTCTTAAATCAAGTCCTCAATTTAATCCTACAGAGAAAAGTGAACATTGGGCTCACGGACCTCCCAGGCCTCAATTCTATCTACCGGATTGCAAAAGATGGCTGCTGAGCAGTCCACTGACAGCTGTAGAATGCAGAGTGGCGAATTATTAGCAGGACCTGCACGCCACTGCAGCAGCTGTGTGACTCTCACTTCACTCCGTGCTAAGAAGGAGACTTGTACCTCATAACACACATAATCTAAGCTGCTCCACTTGCACACATACAATGCAGACTTGCAGGCGGGCTCGCCTCTGGTCTGCCAAATCTGGGTTGAAAAAAATTGGGTTGGTATTGTGAATTTCTTGTCTAAACTTCCAGCATCCACCAGATGCGAGTGTGGCTGAGTGACTCCAGCCGCACTCTCTGCGCCAAGTCTTGAGCAAGGAGTCAGCAGTTGCTCCAGTGCCGCTCACAATAGGATCTCCGGATGGGGTAGACCAGAAAGGATCCTGATTCCCCTGAGACAGAAAAGAAGGATGAGTCACGAAGTTGAAGGAGACCTGCAGAGGGACAACCACATGCAGGCGGATGAGACCAATCATGCTCTTGCACTCCTGCCACCTCATACCACCCACATGTATACCACTCGGTTCCTCTCCGCGAGCACATGCTCACTGTGCGCTTATCATAAACAACGTAGTAGGTTTTTCACTGCAGCCTGCAGGTGTAGACTTCTGCATCAGGTGTGGTTTTGGTGGTACTGATCCTCATAAAGGCTGCGTAGATCCTTGCCCCATTTAATTCTTCTCTCTGACCTCCTTTGTCTTCTCTCTGACCTCCGCAAGGCTCTTGTTGCCGATGAGTGCCACCTTAGCGCCTCCTTCATCATAAGGAGGCAGCCGTGTGCAGAAAAAATGTCAAAGACTCATTTCATTTTATTTTTGAGAAAGTGCACGTGACGCTTCACATGAAATGGACTGAATGCAATTTGGGTGATGTAACAGCTCCTTGTTGAAGCAGAGGCAAATCCTCTGCTGAAGGATACTGTCTTTCAGACCCAGATCTTGTGTTGATTCCAAGCATATGGCCCATCCTGTCAATCAAAGTTTCCATGTCGTCTTGACACAGTGAATGCTACAACAGAGTATGTTGCCTAAACATTGTTGAGAATAGACACAGCAAACTCCACAGATATACTCATTGGCTGGTGCTCTGCATCCCATGCAGTTTGCTCGCAATGGTGCTCATCATGGTTTGCATGCGTGCCTCCATGTCTTCCAGCTGAGCAAGCAATGGCTCCACTGACACGGCAGTGCCGAGATTCATCGCTGGGTCCACCTGCTTTGATGACATTCTCACCGCAGGTTTCTGCCCTTCCTGCAAATGCGCTAGACGCGTTTGCATTGAGTGCTTCTCACACAAGGCGCCCCCCTCCGCAGCTGCCACCGCACGCAGCACAGCTCCCGCATCATGACAATCTTCTGAGCTATCCAGTGAAGCAGCCTGAAGATGACTCCTCCCTGGGAGATGCTGGCCATTGAGGATCTGGTCCGAGGGCGGCGCAGAGCTGCTAGTTGGGGGGTACCCGCCGCCAAGCACCTCTGTCCTCAGCCTTGAGGGCTCGGCAAACTCTGCGCCGCGCGAATGGCCAAAAGCTCCAGGCGGGCGACAGGAGTCCGGTAATTGTACAGCTGCCCGGGAAACGGAAGCCATGTGAGGTGGGCTGCCCATGCGGCTTTCAGCTGCCCTTGGAGCGGAAGCTGCGCGGCGGCTGCTCGGCGGCTTCAGCGCCCCTCGCAACTGCACAGCGCGCTTGGACAGCCACGGGTGTTGCTGCTTCCTTCTCGGCAGCCCCTGCGCATGATTATAAACGACCAATTCAGTGTTGACTGTGAAATGTGATAGAAATTTACAGTCTTTTTGCTTAAAGCTCATCTATTATTATTTGCTAGCGCTAACATGCACTCGCATGTTCCTCCTTACACATTCCTTGGCCAAGATCCCCTTGCTTCCTCATACTTATGGTTCATTCTTCTATACGCAAGTAACAGGCTGAAAGGCGCTGCCAGCCTCGAGAGACACTCTCAAAGTGGTAATATCACCTCTTGGAGGACTCTGTCGGGTGTGCTGGCGCGGTATGTGTGCATGGGGGCTGCGCTCTCCTCTCGCCCTCTGCCCTTGTGCTGCTGCGGCAGAATGAATCTGTCATCCCAGTCCGGCCGCCTGCTGCCTCTGCTCTGCCGGTCTGACTGGGCGCGCGACCTGTGCGCAGAAATGACCAGTCACATTCTCACCTCTGATATGCAGACGTCCCTTGTCTTATGGTCAATCAAACTGAAGAGCAGCGCTTCAGTGTATGTGAGCTTGCAAGTCGACTGCAGAACAGCATTTTACGCTGCACCAGCTTGTAAAGTCCTTGTACAGCTTTACTCTCCCCTAAAGAACCCACAGATTGTAGAAGAATGCATGCCTGCTGAAGGAGCGCGCACTGCCTGCAGCAGTTACCGCAGTCATGGGCCGCAGGCTCCCAGCAGTCGTGGGGCGTTCCATTTCCGCTGGGGGCTGCCTCCCTGGCATGCGCAGCCTCAGCCCGCTGCGGGTCCTCACCACTGCCTCTGGATCGATCACCCTGGTGATGCTGCCGTCCCAAACTAGGTCAGCTTGCTCGCTCACCCTTTGCTCCTCCCCATGCTGCTGCGCACTCACAGTGCTGCCATGCAGTGCACTGGTGGGCACTCTTGAGCGCATGAGTCTGCCAGACTGATGAGTCTCAGTGTCGCTCTGGTCTGCTAGATGGGAATAAGCTGGGCTATCTGCAGGCCTGCTGGTGATCTTTCTGAAGGAGGTGCCTGACATGCGCAGTGACTGCAGTAGAGAGGGTCCCTGGTGGTACGATCTGCCAGCATCCAGTCTCACTCCTGGCCGCTGCATGCTGGGACTGTCATTCGCCTCAAGGTGTGAGAGGCCATCGTGGGCTGCTGGGGCGAGCTGCCTGGCAAGACTATTGCTCGCATGGGCATTGGCTGCCTCACTATCAGGGTTCCAGCGGCTGAGGGTGAGTTCTGGCACAGCTTGAGGCTCTGCTGTGAGAGGACTTGCCCCTTCCGATCTAGCCGCTGATGCCGCAGAATCAGCAAGCTGGATCTCCTTGGGCTCATTTGCAGGGGTCTGCTGAATCCCCTGCGGCTTGTCTGCGCTGACAGCTGATCTTCTCTGCACAGTGCCAATTGGATCACTAATCAGTTCTGTGCCATGAGGAGCACGCGGCCTTTGGCTGGCTTTTGGGCTGCTGCTGGGCTTCAGAGCAGGCTCCCTGTCAGCTGCCTGTGGAAAGGAGCGTAGTGCTTGCAAGATGAGCTCCCCCAATCGAGCCACGGTCTGCGCATGGTCGGCTGACTCGTGCTGTGATCCGTCAGCTGCAGTATTTTGGCGGGCCTTCTCTGACAAGACAGGGACTGCCTTTCTGTGCTCGCTGGAGCGCTCGGAGGATTGCTGTTGGGATGGGCCATCTCGGCTGACTCCCTCATGGATATCCTGCGCCTCCAGCTGGATGGTGCAGATCTCCGCCACCAGGCAGGTCAGCCTGATCCCATGGGTGCAAAAGTCAGCTCAGAGTGGCTGCTGCTTGGCAGCCCATGCCATGCAAGAGTTGCGTCATTAAGACAAGAGATGACAATTTTATCATGGCAATTGGACGATGGGTAGCTGGCCTACATTGGGGCGCGCAAAGAGGCCAGACCTGGATGCAGTCTCCTCAGGAGGCGCTGTGAATTTGCCACTCATCAGGGTTTGCAGCTTGACAAGGACGTCATACAAGTCGTGCTGCAGCATTTTCAGCCTGTGACGCCTGCTGACCAGCTTTGAACGCCGCCGCTTGAGAAATTCTAGCCGTGCCACATTCACGATCTGCTTAGGAGCTCGCTTCTGCGACAAAGAGTTGTTAAGGCTTCTGTGCACCTCCAAATGTGTACGAGAGTTGTAGATCTTCTTAGTCAGCTTCTGCAACAACTCTCATGACTGATATTTCTGAATAAGAAAGGACCTACCGGGATCGCATGCACATCTGAGAAGTCATTGCTGGATTCCGAAAGACTATCATGACCTGCAAAGCACAGACACTTCATCAGCATGGCCCATCGTGCGGTAAATTTAGAGATTTCGATCTAGAAATCCTCCGACCCTCACCATGGAAGTCATCGTCCTGCCCTGGTACTGTAATGGTGCATTGAACGTCGCACCTGCAAGAATATATTTTGCAAGATGTGACAATCTTGTTCACTGTCTTTCGAATCCATTTAAATCCTTCGAGCACAAGAGCGACCTTGTGTCGAGAGACGTATTGCTGGTTGACTTGATACAAACGCCAGTGCATGAAGTCTGTTCGCTCTGGTACTTGGTTGAGTCGTACGCGGGTCTCTTTGCACCGCTGTTAAGAATGGGCTCAGTGTAACTAGCAAGATCTGTCATCGTTACGTATTACTTCACTGTGCCAAGGGAACATGCTACCAAGCTATGGCCCTCAAAATTCACGCTGAAAGATTGGAAACGGCCTCCCGTCGGAAGAGCGCTTGAACGTAAATTTCCCTCTGAAATTTCCTTTAAAGGGTGAAACCTGTCAGGGTATGCTCATCTGGATCATGTGAGACGGCCAAAATTTTCCCGAAATCGATCAATAAAGAGGCAACTTGTGTTTCTTCCTCTAATTTGGTAATGTAGTGGGAGAAAATGAATGTGAATTGTGATACCGGTTGTAGTACAAGTGGACGACCGTCCACCGGCCCATCCCTTTTTGGGACAGACAACTGGAACAAATTCAGCCCCAAGGTGATCTTGAAGATGGTGCCTATTCATTTGTAAACAGCCATTTCTCAAGGAAGTCGAATTAATTTGATTTGGAGCATAATTCAATACTATAAACAAAGCGTGAATGCTCGTGTTCGTAGGCCCACCTCTGTTCTCCACGCTTACCATCGCGAAGGCAAAAACAGAGGATCTATAAGTCTGAAAGGCGCCGGTGGCAAGTGCACGCTGCCGAGCAGGTCTGATTGGGGCACCACATTTTCAGTCTCCAGAGCTGAACTATGCGTTTGTCGGCATCATTCTGTGTTGCAATAGGACTTATTCATGATGCCAATGCACAGGTGAAGGCAGATGGAGGTGGGGGCCAGGCACAGGGCTTTACCCCAGACAAGTGGCTTTTTGAGCCAAATTATGGGCTCCCTATTGTCCGACGCCAGCTTAAGTAATGCCCAGACAACTTCTAGACATGCATAAAAGGCAGTCCATCGTTTTTAGTACCTAACATACAGTGTCTTGTTTTAAGTGGCTGCACTGACAGCTGTCGTTCGCTCAATGTATCACCTTGCAGAACGCTCAACCAAAGCTCATGAGCAAGTCTCTGACTGCAGGTATGCAGAGCTGCTGAAGGAGATACGGCTGGGGAATGTCAAGAAGGTGGCCTTCTTCGACAACGATGATGTCATGGAGGACAGGAAGGAGTTCCAGCCGGTGGAGGGGCCCTGCTTAGTCATCTTCCATGATGACCGGGTCGCGCACAGCTATGTGCCGCGCTACGACTTCAGAATACCGTGCGGCCCCACAAGCTCTATATCTTTAGTCAGCCTACGTTGACATTCCTACAATCGGGTGTCCTGTGCTGCAATGCTGACAATGAGGGGCTATTCTCCTCTTGTGAGCACATGAGGCCCTGCATGCATGCTCTTCTGGCTGCATATCCGATTGCATTGCACCAGTGCAGAGGACACCAGTTTAGGCACGCCTATCATGCAAAAAAGGGCTCCTTTTGGAGCAAGAGCGCCGGACAGATGGGTCTGACAGGGAAGATTCCGGCTGTGCAGGTATGCCATGGAGACACACGGAGTGGAGGCAGACAGGATAGCGGCGCCCATCACACAGGACATGATCCAGCCGGTCAAGCCGGCCGGCGCATTCACGCGCAATGTCCTCAATGTCGTGCCATTCCTGGCGCTGGGACTTGCCTATGCAGCCACACAATATGCTGCACAGCTGAAGGTGCGAGCTGGCAGCCCTTCCCACTCCCTTTCCACAGTGGCACACCTGCCGCATCTACTGGCATGAATACTCTTTCCAGCGTTTAAAGTGACTCTGCTTGCGAATTCAAGAGTCAATTAAACCCGGCACGTCTCTGCGCAGCAGGCTTTGTGTTCTGACTGGAAGCAGACTGTTGTTATGTTGGCACCCAGATGCTTGTCTTGACAGGGGGTGTCACAGCCTCCACTGCTGCCAATGTTGTGGTCACTACTGCTCAACATTTCTATTGGGGACGTTTCTCACATAACAAAGTGGATGGCGACAGGGAGACAGGGAGGACCGGCAGCGCATAAAGGATGCGGACATCAGGAAGGAGAAGGAGCTCAAGGCGCAGAGGGAGGCTGATGACAGGGCGCTTGAGGCGCGCAAGCTGGCATCCATGGGCTACGGCGTGGAGGAGATTATAGAGGAGCTGATGCGCATCAACCTGGTGTGCACCTTGTTTCCCCCTTTGTATTGCCTTGTAACGGAGGACTCAACTCAACAAAATGATACAGACAGGGACTCAAACCAACCTAGGTACCCGCTTGTATTATTTTTTGTTGAGTTCACATGCAAGCTTTTGTAGGATGAGAGTCCAGTTGACAAGATTAGCTCACAATTGACTTCTCACCATCCTGCTTGCATGGCAGAGTCATGCCTGCAATACTGTATCTCGTTTGACGGCCCTCATAAGGCGATGGGGGAATATGTACCACATCACCACCTGAATTCCTGTAGAGTGCTACTATAAGAGTTGCCACCACCTGCCTGTTAAACATCTGAGAAAAAATGCCACGTTTGGCATTTTATGGGCCTCTGTGCTGATGCATTCTGCTGTGTGTGCACCAGACGGGGTGGTCCCGGGAGTATGTGGAGAAGCTGGTGGCGGAGGAGAGCGCGCGCAGGGACGCTGCAGCCGGCAGAACAGAACACATATACAACACAAATGTGCGCTGCTCTTCCTTTGCACAACGCGCACCCAAATGTATTCCTGGGCACCTCTTGTGCATGCCTGCTTCATCCAAGCTTGAGTTGTCCCTTTCTTTGGCAAGCACGGAAATGAGCTAAAAGAGTGTTTGCACCCCTGGCAGCCATGAGGACACCATCAAAGTGCCCATCAATATGTCATACATGGTCTGAAGGTGCCATGATTGTATGGATACCCAAGTGGGGCACTCCCTCACTCGGAATGTAAGTGACTCGTCTGATTTGGAAGGCCTAAATTTTCTGTTGCAGGAGGCGGCGCAGCGGGAGGCGCTGAAGCAGGGGAAGGCCGAGGGCGAGGAGATGAACGAAATGGAGGCAGCGCAGGACTTTGGGCGGCTGCGCACGGTGAAGGTGCAGCAGGCGGTGGCCAAGGAAGAGGAGGAGGAGATGCGCGTGCGCATGCGGCAGGCTCAGCGCAAGATGAAGGGCGTTAAGCTGCAGTACACTGACGCCGACCGCGTCACCTTTGACGACGTCGCCGGCGTGCCGGGCGCCAAGGTGGGGTACTTGCGCAGCTGATTTGACTGGGAGGGCCTGCCTCCTTGGGGGATCGGGGCATGTGAATTTTCAACGCTTTTGGTGTTGGGTCTGCAGGCTTCCTTCCGGGTTTTGCTTAGTTAACAGTGGTGCTGAGTCAATTGGTTCTGAGCAACGCTTGACAAGAAGGGCGCCGTGGGCGGCGCAATGGAGTATCCGTGTTGCAAGATGGGTGTGAAAGGACACCCTGTCTGCCAGCTGAGCAGTGCGCTTCGCAGTGCCTCAGCAGCCTGTGCGCTTGCAATTTTGTTCTGACACTTAGATTCTGCTGGTGCTCATCACCACTGAACAGGGGCGGCTCTCTGCGCAGGTGGAGCTGATGGAGGTGGTGGACTTTTTCCTGAAGCCGCAGAAGTTCCGGCGATCGGGTGCAAAAATCCCCCGCGGTGTGCTGCTCTGCGGGCCCCCCGGCACCGGCAAGACGCTCCTAGCGCGCGCCGTCGCGGGCGAGGCAGGCGTCGCATTTCTGTCGCTCAACGCCTCCGAGTTTGTGGAGATGTTTGTCGGCGTAGGCGCCTCCCGCGTGCGCGATCTATTTGCCCAGGTGCGGTCACCTGGGCTTTTCTTGATTGGAAAGTTGTGGGGCACCTAATCACCCCTGTGTTGGCTGGCACAATGTCTTCTGTCTCTGTGAATCTCTTCCTCTCTCGCCCCTTGCATTGATATGCTCTACTCCTTGTGCAGTTGTGGCATGAGCAGGATAACTTATCACTTGATATTGCTGACTCCCTAGTACCTGGAAGCCCTGCCTCTCAAAAGTGACGAGCTGCAGGTTTTCAGTTAGATGTGTTGCAGCACACTTAAAAGAAAGGCTGCAGCACACTTGAGGAAAAGGCAAGGGAGGATGCCACCTTGTAAGCTACTGCATCATTGCCGATTCCTTGGGGGACAGAGAGTGGTAATAAGATGTCATTCCGGGGAGATATGGCTTTGCAGGCGCGATCACTGGCGCCCGCGATCATATTTGTGGACGAGATTGACGCGGTGGGGCGCATCCGTGGCGGCGCGCAGGGGAATGACGAGCGTGACCAGACGCTCAACCAGCTGCTGTCCGAGATGGATGGCTTCTCCAACACGGCCCAGGTTTGCTGCGTACCTGTGCTCTAAGGACTCTACTGGCCGATTTTGGGTTGACATGGTCAAGCCCATGTCACGTTTCACGACTGGAGGCTTGTGGAGATACGGCTACTTGGTACCGTTTCTCATACAGTCTGAGACATGTATGACAATACAAATCGGTGGGCGGGATTTGGTGTCGGTGGGATGGATGGCATTGAAGAGCTAAACTCCTGCAAGGCTGCATGCTTCTTGGACATCCAGCTCGCGTTTCCAGAGCCAGAGGGCGCAAATTGCATGCCACCATACAAAATGTGTCTTGTTAGATCCTGTGGCCGATTGAGTAGCATGCGAAAAGGATCCCACGGAGCATCTACTCTGATGTGCGCAGGTGATTGTAATGGCGGCCAGCAACCGCAAGGACGTGCTGGACCCGGCGCTCATCCGCCCGGGCCGCTTTGACCGCATCATCCACGTCGGCGCGCCAGACTTTGAGGGCCGCATCGAAGTGCTCAAGGTGCGGCCCTGACCACTTTGTCAATTGTCTGCCTCATTGCTGCGTGACTTGGCCATGCGCAGGCCCTGTAAATAATAGCGCAAAAGACTGTCTGATTCCTTGAGGCATTTCACGGTTCCCCAATGTCCGTATAGCCGAGGGTATAGCACTTCATGCACCCCTCCTGTTGCTGCTCGCCCCACACTTTCCACGCTTTCATCACACCAACCGTTGCTCCTTTGCTAGCCGCTACCCCCAGTCCTAAGCAGCACATTCAAATCGAAAAGGGGAATCAAGTAATGAAGGGAGTTACTTGTGCGCAGGTGCACCTGGGCAAGCGGCTGTCGAATGGGGAGCGGCGGCAGTACGATCTGAGCGAGGAGGAGTTCCACGACCTCTCCTTCCAGTTCCAGCGCTTCAGCGGCGCCATGCTGGCCAACCTAGTCAACACCGCCGTCATCATGGCAGGCCAGGACGGCCGCACAGTCATCCGCTATCACGATCTCACCCGGGTGCGCGCACGCACCGCCTGAGTTCTTTTTAAATTCAAATTGGGGGGAAGGGGTCTTGTCAAAAGACAGGGGACCTGAGTAAGTTTTGTGGCGTGGTAAGTGTTGTTGGTGTTACTGGGTGCCGAGACAGTCTCTTGATATTGTGGCAGATGCATATTTGACCATCTAGGACTGTACCTTAGGTTCAATAATCTTGTTGTGTGAGTTGGTGGGCATGCCTGGTGTGCGCTAGTCAGGATCTGCAACAGAGCCGGCTTCTCTTCCCGCCTCAGGGTTTCTTATGTCCCGAGGCGCCCTAGAGGCGGGGAATTGAGATTACTCTATTGCAGCTCGGGCCATGTCCTCACAGGAGAGGAATCCTCCAACATCTCCACACATGCACTGCCATTTGCCTGCAGTTTCCAAATGTTCCCTTTGGCATTGCCTGGTGGTGTGCCCCACCCATGCACTTTTGTCCCATGAGATCCTAAGATGCGCTGTCAGTTCAGCCAATTCCAAGATCTCATCTGTCGGTGCTTCTCCTCTTTCAAGGCGACAACCCTTGAAGAAGGATCAATCGGCCATGTCAAAATGGCAATATGAATTAACCCAATGATGGACTGGGTACTGGCCTGATCAGGCGCTGGAGGAGGAGCGGCTGGGCCCGCGGCGGCAGCCGTACAGCGGCGAGCGTCAGAAGCGGCTGGCCGTGCAGGAAGCCGCCACAGCCCTCGTCTGCACCCTCATGCCCGCTATCGAACCAGTCTCCATGGTGCGCAACTGATGTACCTGCAGCCCTATTAACCCTTGTGTTTCTGTCCTGAGCTGCAGGGCTCAAGGCTCCATGGCTCCGCGATTCTACCTGCAAACACTGTTGTGCACCATGTTTGGTTGCCTGTTTCTGCAAGAGTCACATGCTTGCTGTGTGTGTGAGCGCATCTCTGTTCAAGGTTTCTTACTGCAGTGGCTGCCTTTTGAAGAATGTAAGAGTCAGAGACTGATTCCAAATGGCGCACAGGTGACGATCGTGCCGCGTGAGAAGTATCCGCTGGGGCAGACGGTGCTCAAGGTGAACGAGCAGCGCGAGCGCACGCACATGTTCTCCAGGCGCTACCTGGAGGAGCAGCTCATGACCGTCCTTGCAGGTGCTCTTGTCTTGCTCGTTGTGTGATGTCATCCAGTAAGTCGCTGTTCCAGGGTTGACTCCATGCCTTCAGGCTGAAGTCCTCATAGCATGTGGAAGCATGTTTGAAGCATCAGACTTCCGCTGAATATTGGATGCCATTCTACAAGGGCCATGACTTGTGTGACAATGCGTTTTTATGTGGCACGGTGCAAACTTTGTGGTCTGCAGAACTGTTTTCTTTTTGCAAGTGGGCTGCCAGAGATCCTTCAATGTGCTTCTGTGTCTCAGCATAACACTTTGCTGCAGGGCGTGCGGGAGAGGAGATAATCTATGGGGGAGACGAGGTGAGCACGATAAACCAGCGGCGGCTGGTGATGGCGCGGCGCATCGTGAGCAAGCTGGTGGTCTCGGGCGCCATGACCGACATCGCCGAAGTGGGACCTCGCACCATCAGCGCACCTGTGCGCCAGGGCTCCCGCGGCCTCAAGCAGATCATCATGAACCGGGTGCGCGCCGCTGGGTGCTCTGCACCTCTCGCCTGCACGTCTGATGTGCCGGGCCCTGCTTCTGTTGGCCTGCCTGCCTCCCGGCACATCTTGTGTGTGCCAGGATTGCGTGGGGCCTGGTAGCCGTCTTCAGGAAAAGGCTTCAAGCGACATGTGCAATGCTCTTGCTGGTGCATGCATCGCCCCAACTCGGCCAAATACCCCGGTGAACGTGATGAGAGTGTTGAGACAGGCAGCCGAGCTTCACAGCGACCGCGCACCATGTGATGCATAATCATACAATATATGCGAAATACAATGATCTTGTCAGTGTTTAAGCAATGATTGTCATGGCTGCTCCGCAGATGTCCTACGACACGCTTCACGCGGTGGACGTGGAGATGGATCGGCTGCTGAACGACACCTACGCAGATGTCAAGGCGATGCTGGAGCGCAACATGGAAGCCTACAACGCGCTCATCGCCAGCCTGACCACCGGCGACGACCAGACGCTGTCGGGGGAGCAGGTCAGAGAGATCGTGGAGCAGCACGGCTGCAAGGAAGACCTCGACCGCAGGACTCTGGAGCGCGCTGCATTCCTGTGAGGGGGGATGTGCCCACGTGTCTGGTCCATGATTAAAGAGGTTGATCGGAGGACTCCAGGCCGTGCTGCTTTCCTGTGAGAGGAGGGGTTTCATGGATATGAGTCCGCGCATGCTGGGGTTGACTGCAGGACTCTAGAGCGCGCTGCATTCTTGTAAGGGGGGATGGTGTTTTTGATGCAAGTCCATGGATGTAAGGCCTTGCAAGCTAGATTTCTTGGAGGAGAGCGCTGAGTTCTTATGAGGGACTTGCCCCGGTGTCAGGTCCATAGCATAGCAGATCTATAGATGGGAGCCAGGTAACTGCTGGGGACTGACGTCTTTACTCAGATCTGGGTTCTTCCAAGAGTCTCTGAGGAGCTATATGCAGAACTGAATTTGGACCTGTCGCCTTGCAGACGCGACATGCACGGAAATTCAGCATGCAGCAAAGTAAAGTAAATTCGAACAAGATCTCAAATCGCATCCTGAAGAGGTCTTACAATTTTGAAATAATCCGTTTGCGTTGCCCCGCTTGCCTGATATAGGCAACTTTGCTGATCAATCAGACAGTGAAGCACTGCTGTTAGCTGTGCAGCAAAATATACAGAGGGCTTTACCCGTGTTTGAAAAATATACGTCCCTTGCTTGTAACAATCTTAAACAGAAATCCAGAGTACATGGTAATTATTGTCTTTCTTCCATGCCGTTACCACTTTGCACAAAATTTCAGTAACAGAGCATCCAATCTTGCAATTGCCACTTCTTTGCGGTAACATTTCAAGAATTTGTGCACTACGCTAGATTTTCCCGGAGTCTGTCAGCTACCGCAGGCGTATCCTTTCATCATCCAAGACAGACAGCTCAGGCGCCAGGATGCGCGTGTATCTGTCAAAGTAGAGCAGCTGCTTCAGGAGCATGCCCAGCTCCCTTGGGAAGCGGATGCCATGGTCATTTCCCACCTGCACAATCTGTCACCCACAGCAAAATCTAACTAAACATGTAGAGGGACAGGGCTGCGCTGCTTTTTAGGCATTGCGCAGGGTCCCTAGCAGGCAACCAAGCAACATAAGAAAAGGTTGGGTTGGTTCATGGACATGTCCCAAACGCCAAGCTCAATGACAGCCACAGACCCCTTGCAGTTGCACAAGAAAGCATCCTGCCACTTATGTAGATACTGGTCCCTTCGTATAGTGCCCTTGGGGTTAGAGGCAAGATTAGAGGGCACTCACCTGGAGCAGCAGCCTGTTGATCTGGGCATCATCCAGGTTGAGGCTGGCGGCAGCCGCCTGCCCACCCCTGCCAGCCGCCACAAGCACCTCCGCATCGAGCGTGGAGAAGCCTGTGTACAACCGCTCCAGATCCGCTGCAAACGCCTGCACGGCAGCCAAGTACTTCAGTCAGTCACTGCTAGCGCCCTCACTGCCACAACATGTGTAGAAAGGCAATGCTCCAACACTATCAACCAGTGCCACTTTACCTTGTGTCCTCACAGGACCACAATGGCAGAATTATAAGACCCAACAGCGGGACAAGCAGAGCGCCTGTCACCCATCAGCAAGTTACAGCAGACACAGACAATGTGCAAAGTCAGGTCCCACAGCAGGAGCAGCCTCGCCCGGTGTTTCAGAAATCACATGACAGCGGGTGAACAGGGTGTCACCTTGATCTCAACGTCAGTGCTGGTGGCTCCCACGGTCACCAATGCGCGCGCCATGGTGTCAAAGTCCCGGGTGGCGACAGATGTCAGCAATGCTTCCACAGCCATCCAGGTGCCAGGGGACACGCGGCCCACGATGCCGAAATCAATGAAGCCCACCCGCCCGCTCGCCTGCCCATTCCTCTCCTCTAGCACTAACAAGTTCCCTGCACCAACGACAGCAGTGTAAACTCAGGCTCAGGCATTTCTGACCGCCATGGTCTGATACTGCTTCCAGACCACTTGTCCCAGAAGGGTTCCTAAGGAGCCCTTCTGCTGTTTGGTACTCCAAAAAGGTGGAATCAGCAGGGGCCACGAGTTGCCCTATTTTGCTTTGCCTGTCAAGCAAGTGTGCAGCATGAAGAATTTAGCAGACAGGCAGGACGAACCTGCGTGCATGTCTGCATGAAAAGTTTCGCAGGCCAGCACGCTGCCGAACCACACATTCAGTGCGTTCACCAGGACACTCTCTGGGTCTGCGCTTGTCATGCTTCGAATGGCTGCCAGGTCTGTCAACGGGACGCCTCTGAAACGCTCCATTACAAGCATGCTGCATTCAGTCAATCACCCCTGTCAGCTTCCTGTGTGATTCATTGCCACGGATATTCTTAATTATGTGAGATCAGCAATACTTCCTTGCTCCTTGTTGGGAGGCAGAATGCTGTTCACGTTCAGAGCACAGGTATTCACTGTGACAGTGTGAAATGAAACGCCAGAAAGCAGGAAGGTCACCTTTTGGTGGAGAATGCACGATACACAAAGGGACACGCTGCGACGCCGGTGGCCCCCGTCCGCTCCAAATATTGTGCAAACTCCGAAATGTGCGTAGCCTCCTTCAGGAAGTCCACCTGCTCGCAAAAGACTCCTGCTAAAATCTCAAGCAGCAATCGACAATGTGACTCTACGTTCTGATCTTTCCTACAGAAGTAGCTGGAGTTCGGTGCAGTAGCAAGCATGAAGAGAGCTATTTAGAACGAGAGAGAGAGGAGGAGAGAGAGAGAGAGGAATGCATTTATCAAATCAGAGCGAGCGCCAAAAGTGAGGAGAAAGGACTGCCTCGCCGTGTGAATGCAATGCGTGCAACTAACAAGACACATCTGGCCCAGACTCACGCTAATAACAATTGAATATGATGAGTATTGGTATGATATAAAATGGCCAGGTCGGACCTCTTCCAGCATGCATGCGCGGATGTCGCCCACAATGGCGGCAAGGGACATGCGCGAAAGCTCGGGGTTGATGAATTCGAACACCCGCGAGGCCAGGTACAGAAAATCCAGATCCGTGGCCAATACATCCTCCACTCCCGGTTTCAGCACCTTCACCACCACCTCCTTGCCGCTGTCCTTTAGCACTGCAGCGCATGGAGCAGCGCTCAGAGGCTCCAGCCTTTGCAGCAATAGCGCGACACGTGCCCTTTGCACCACTTGCAGTTGTCCTCGGTTAGACTGATTGAGCTGAAGCAGTGGTGCCAACACATGCGGACAGCATGTCATGTGAGGTGGAACGCGTGACATCAAATGAAGGGCTATCATTAGGAAATACTGACTATAAATAAATACAATACCCACATTTTGACTGCTTCTCATGTGGGATGCCTGCCCTGGTTGACATGCCAGAGAAAATAAGGACGCTTGAATGAACACTAAGCCTTGATAGAAAGTGAAAGCATCCCCCACCTGCAGCATGCACCTGCGCAACGGAAGCACTGGCCAGCGGCACAGGGTCCACGAATGAGAAGACATCCTCCAGCGGCCGTCCCAGCTGCGCGCGCATCCTCCCCCGGATCACCTCCCAGGGCACCGGATCCGTCTTATCCAGGCACTTCTCAAATTCAAGCACATACCTGCACAGATTAATTTTCTTTAGCCTTCACAATGCTGACTAGCTGAAACTCATGAGATCTGCGATTGACAGGTCTCTGGATCTGTTGTAGGAGTACTAGCAAGCAGGTGGCAGTGCAGTGTCTCGTGCCACACAATGTGCAGTGCGAGGAAGGCTTACTCTTCGGGGAAGAGTGTGGGCGAGCTGGCAATGAACTGGCCCAGCTTTATGTAGGTGGCACCCAGCCGCTCAAAGAGCTTGCGCAGTACCACCTGAAGGCATGCCAGATCTACATAAGTCAGAGGCTATCAAGGCACCTACATGAAGGCTCCCTGGTCTTGGAAATTGCATGCATGATGCTCTACGCGTAGAAATATCAATCCATTCCCATTTTGCATAAGCCACAGTGGCAAAATTGACAAATTCCTGGCCAGGGCATATCAATTGGCATGGCTGCAAGGGTCACCTGGGGTGGATCTTGGACGCCTCGCTGGAAGTTGGCCACGTACTCGTTGCCAACAGAGAGGGCGGCCTGCAGCGCCTGGAGGGACCTTTGAAACCCCCTGGCACCATTTCTGGTCACAGTGTTGGACAGTTCTGTCAGTATTTCCTGAAAAGCTGCCCTTCTGGCCGAGGCATCCCGCTCCCTGCACCCAGCCAGACATCTTCACTGCTGGCCCAATTACTGCGCCATTGACGTGTTTTCAGCCTTCTAAGGAACCCGACAATATCTCACGAGGTGGACCTCCCAAGTGGGAAGCTTTCTAGCAAGTAGACAAGCCCAAAGACTCACAAAGAAAACGAGGTAAAGTGTCCATTTTTCAGCATGCCTAGAGTCGTCTACATTATAACCCATTTTTTGCAGATATGATTGTGGACCTCACCTTGCCCTCTGTTCACTGAGAGGCGTGCTGTACAGTGAACCTCTCAGAGTTGATGCAGCTCGACAACGAATGCCGACAGAGACGGGCGATCTCTCCCGAATTTTAACTGCTAGGCACGTCCTGGTAGAGCCTAAGAATTTAGAGCTAAGCAATAGCCTCATGTTTACCAACACCACCTTTTTTGTAGCAAGGAAGTCTAGCTCTCGTACGACGGTGTTTCAGGTAGACGTGTTTCAGTAGGATGGATTTCAAGCGTGTTTCTACGATGTTTTTCACCACTTCCTTGATGTTGTGACGACGATCCCAGCTAAGATCGTCGATTGACACCTGCATAATGTTCAATCTGCTCTTGGAGCATGGCATGACGTGGCACTCACATGCAAGGTAGAAGGCAAGCAGGAAGCACTGAGGAATTCCAGGCATCATTGACTGCACCACAGGCATTCAGGACATGTACCTGATGTCTAGTGATAGTGTTTGCCAATCGTGATAGTGTTTCCCAAATTATGCCCATGCCCACACAAGCGCTTGTGGCTAGCGGCAGCCGCACGCTTCAAGTTGTACACAGGAGCTGCAGCTGCCTTTAACTTTATTCTGTCCGAACTCTGAGTGTGAGCACCTGTTGCTACTGGATTGCTACAAAGTGGACACTCAACAGGTCTGCAGTGCCGACTGAGGACTCAGACTCTCATCGCTCAGCGAGCGGAACAGCAGCTGCTGTGGCAGAGCCAGCCATGCATGAAGTACCACATAATGGCTGCAATCTCCCTGTAGAAGTCCCACGAGCTGTACACTCTCTGCAGTGCTAGGCCCCTTGATCTCACATCCTCTACTGGGAGCTTGGCCAGCCACACCTGCAGAAGCATGTCAATGGTAAAGTTCCGGATTCTGCTACTACATAATATGCGGCAGTGAATCTGTACAGAGTGCATGGTTATTCTCAAAGGGATCTGTGCTCGAACCTTCATGCGCCTGTCCGGGGGTAAGGACTGCACGGCACATCTGAAAGTCCAGTAGGACCGAAATTGATGGAAGGGACTCGTCACGACGACTAAAGATTTCCACCTGCACAGACATACCTGTCTGTGGATCTTGGTATCATGGCACGAAGAAACAAGCAGAGCTAGCAGCTAGTGCACACAGCCACTGGCAAGCTACCTGTGCTCATCAATGATGGCTATGCTATTCACAGCATTCTCCCTTGTAGATCTTGATTGATCCTCCAGGAGCCACCTGGAAGGAATGCCATAGTTTTCGGGGGAGGATAGTGGCAGTCCTTTAAAGCACAGTGCATGTAAGGGCTGCAGTTGCAGTATTTGGACTGCTCTTGGGATCCGTGTGCAAAACCCCATTGTCTTGGAGGCTCACATGCCTGTCTGAAGGGAGTGTGCGATTGCTGAAAAGCACAGCATACTCCTGCATGGACTCTGCCTCACTTTTGTTCCTCAATCCTCCGCCTGTGACCAAAACGCCAGGTAGGAAAGATTGCTTGATAGAGGAATAAATTACAAGGAGGTACAGGTAATATCACAGCACGGCACCAACCTGGATGGCCCCCGCTGAATATCAAATGATCCACTCGGCCCTGTCAAAGCAAAAGATAGGCCGCCAAAATCTAGCATGTCATTTAATGCGGTCGACATTCACAGTAAGCTTGGAGTATTGTTGCAGGCCACACCTGGTCAAACAATTCCACGCCTGCTTCGACCCTCTGTTGCAATGTCGGGGTTGGAGTGCCATCTCTGCATCAGTTGCCGTGTTTGAGCGCGAAGTTATATGCCTCAACTGAACAGCATGCAGGGGACACACGTACCTCTGGAGGGCATAGCCCAGGACGACAGCCACATCAACTGTTGCCCCTTCTGGAAGAAACTCCCTGCATTAAATAAAATGCAATGTATGAAGGTTAAGTTAGTGATATCTCTACAGATTTCGAGGCATCGATAATGGTTTCGCACCCTCTTGACAGGAGCTGATGCTGCCACTTAATGACTGAGCTGTTCAACATGACCGCCAAAGCAGTTGCGATGAAAGCGTAAGTATAGCATCTCATATCGACATCACGTCGCGGATGAGATCCCTATTCGCGAATACTGTCAATGCTGCGTAGTGCTCAGTGCTTGTATCACACCTTTGGTGCTCATTCGGTATGCGCAGTACTAGTCATGCAATGGAACTTCAGTTAGAATACCACACATCTAACAATGTGACAAGATTGGAGAATGGATGCAGCATATGCAGGCAGTAGAGCACAGCTTCTTCCGAACCATGAAGCTGGGTGAGGCTGCTGACGTCACTGAAGCCCAGTTGAGATGATCCAGCCCGAGGAATCCATCTGTGATTAGCTTCTCTTAGTAAAGCGTATGGCGTTGCCTAGACCCGATTGGAGGGTGTTCGCAGGGACGGGGCTATTGATCTGGGCAGCTGGACTGCAGGTTCACTCCTGTGCTGCTACCTTCAGCCCTTGCAATGATCTGCAGGATCATTAAATTACCTTGTTTATTTTTCAAAAATTGATTTTGTGTATCGAATCTGTGCAGGTGCACATGTGGAAGCTCCAAAAGCAGCCTGAATTCAAGGAAAAGTTTGAGAAGAGCGTTCCCATCGAAGAGGAAAAAAGCAAGACTCAGTGGAGTGTTCGCACGAAATTCTAGTACAACATTAGTGCTACTCCGACGTGGGATAGTTCCAAGGTAGCTCCCTTCAAGCTTTTAAGCTGGAGTCACACACACCAACTCAGTGCAGCAGTCATAAGTAAGTACGCTGCGATTGTGGAGGCATCAAGTACAGACTAGCGATTGTAGCGCAGGCTACATCAGCGCAGGAGCTGAAGAAGTTGCGTCTTAGATCAACGATTCAGGCGCTCTCGGTGCTGCAGGTAAAACCTGACTGGGCCAGTGTCCACAGCTGCAGCAGGAGGCAGCAATTCAGCATCGGGGCATGACTAGCGGTGTCAATAACTTGGAGCCACACCTACAGCAACTACAGTGTGCCGGCCATCTTGGCGCATCAAGATGGCAGGCACAGCGCATCGCACTATGAACCATTATGAGGCCCTGGATGTGGCCTCGGATGCCTCACAGGAGAGTATACGGACAGCCTATCGCGCTGCAGTGTTGCGGTTGCACCCTGACAAAGTGGCATCACAGACGGGCCAGAAGGATTGGCAGAGGACAGCAGAGTTCTTAAGGGTGCAGCAAGCCTGGGAGGTGACACATCATCAGATTGAAATCTGAGCACACAGATGTTGCAAACACAAAACTACTTGTTATCACTGCTTCTGTCAATTTGGTGCAGGTCCTGAAGGACACACATAGAAGGGCGGCTTACAACCAGCTTCTTGTGGCTCAGGCTCTACAGAAAGAGCTTGCAGTCTCTGCCGAGGTATGCGCTGGGATGCAGTATCATTCTTGAAGACAAATATGGCTCTAAAGGCCTAGAGGCTTCAGAAAAATGTCTAAGCGTGCGGCAAAATCCACTACGGTATTTGTATCATTTTGGATAAGAAAATTCTTGAGGAAGCCCACTGAGAATATTTGTGGGACTTGCGGGGTAGTCATGTAGCAGTGTGATTGTTGTGTGTTGAGCATAGGATCTATGTCTGTACAGGTGGATCTGGACGACATGCTGTGCCATGACAACCCAATTGTGGCCTTATGTACCTTCACCTACCCTTGCCGCTGTGGCAGCAGCTTCACCCTGAGCGAAGCAGACTTGTCAGAAGACTCAGACAGCGCCCTAGTCCAGTGTCAGAACTGCTCATTAGCCATCAGGGTGCTGTACACTGTGCAACCAGCCAGCAGTGCATAGCAGCACGATGCCCATCGCAGATTCACCCTGGAGGATTAGCTGATCAGATGCAGAAAGCTGCATCTACTGGTATCAAAAGCTGGATCTAAAGGTAGAAGGCATGCAGTAATTTTTTGTAGCATTTTGTGGACTGTCTTGAATACTTTTTTCCTCCTTAGCTTTATGACTTGCTAGTCCTGTGGCGATGAAAACACAATACTGCACATTACATGTTAATGCCATAACCAGAGGGGCCATCTTTGTGTTTGGCACTTCAAAGGACTTGCCCTCTTGCTCTGGAATCGAGACCTGTCAGGCCTCACCTTGCAACGCAAGACATACATTGGCAATCTTCTGATAATCTATGCTAGAGTAAGGTGGCATCTGCCAAAGTAGTCAGCGGTCTTTCTACAGTTGCACTTTTAGGGTTGCCGTAGTCCTCAAGAGGAGATACTAGCAGAACTGTTACTTGTGCTGTTTGATCAATTCATGAGCTTCATTGATTGAAATCATGCAGCCAGTGCAGCACTGGCAAGAAGCCACAGTGATACTGTGACAGTGTCCAACATCTTGCCTCATCATAATGTTGGCAAGATCAAGCTAGTTGCTCGAGCTGCGCTTGTGGCAGCTGCCAGCAGTGCACCTGTATCAGGCAGTCTCCACTGAGTGCAGGTCCAACCTGTGCATCGATGATATCATGCATGGGCCTTTTACATATTCCGTGAGCAGCATGCAGAGATGGATGCACCCACTAGGCTGCACAGGTGCAACCTGACTTCGGTGCCTTTGGAACACAGAAATTTCCTAAGTATTCCAAATGCGTCAACCCCCAAGTCCGAGGCCAAGGATGGCATGCACCCCCATTCTGTGTACTCATCTTGAATGTGCTTTTGGCCTGCCGTTCTTAAAGAGGGTATTTCATGTCCTACATTTCGATCAGGTGCTGGCTTCGGAACGAGCAGAGGAGACTGCAAGAGTAAGAACTCCGGCGTGAAGGAGCTTGTGTGCCTGACAAGAAATTGCTGCCAAAATGGGTAATCCCAAGGAAGAGAAGGCCCTGGAGGATAAAGGCATCAAGCCAGGAGATTTTGTGTCCACCAAGTACAGGGGAGGTAAGACGGCCAGAAGCTTTACTGGAGGTGCTTTAGAACTTTTTTGGGGCTTATTGTAACAACAATGTGAGCAGCTGCACCTGGAAACGGTACAGGATGTCCGACATTCCGTGTCGATGCGCTGAGCAGGGACCCGCGAAGGGGTCGTGGAGCGCATTGCCAAAACCCCAGAGGAGCATCCGCATCCTCCCAAGGTCATCTTCACCAACCAGAGGGGCAAGGAGGTTGCCCACAATCCCTCCACTCTGGAGAAGAAAGCTGCCGCTGAGGAGCAGGATGAGGAGCCCGATGAATGAGGACATGCAGCAATCACCCTTAGTGGGGTTCTTGAGTGGTCTATGTGTGTCATACTGGGTTGTTTACTCATCTGTTTTGGCTGGTGACCCAGGTGAAACAATTGTGCACACGATGATCGATTCTTTTATCTGCGCCTGCAGGTGTTACGCTTGGTACCCGCAGGGGTGGGAGTGAATTGGAGGAGTATTTTGAGTCTTGCGGACATTAGGACGGACTGGCAATGGGGAACATAGAATGCTGATCTGCTTCACACTTGCCGGACTCGCTGCGGATGCAGTAGCTCTTTTCGCCTCGTGTCAAGTTGCTGCATTGATTTAGAAATGTAATAATTATTGCTTGGAACCAATCCACATATTTGGATTGGGCTAGAAACGCTGGGCAGCTTCGGTTTGAACTGTCGGAAGCTGTCGGTATGTCGGGCCAAAATTGGCTCTCCACGCCTGGGTATGCGAGAGCCTAGTAACGCAAAGAAGACGGTGAATGCACGGGGATAGACGATCAATTTGTCGAACGTTTGCTTCCTTTCTGGTGTTGTTTTATTGTTGAAAAGTTGGTGTCCAAGATCCTACTTGTTAAAGTGGCTTGTTGACAAGTAACGGTCTGATCTAGAGATAGGGTAAACGTATCCAAGATCAGCCCAACGCGTCCCACATAACCTCTTTGTTCCCCTTTGCTATAGTTGAAGAAGTTTCTGGTGCTGCTAATCGTTTGAACTGGAATGGGCTCCGACCCTGGCGAGCCTCAATTGTCGTTCCATGACTTGCCTGCCGGAGTGCTAGATACAATTATAAGGTACTATACTCGTCCCTTTGCGTCATTAAGTTAATCACTATGTCACTCTTATGTTATGAAGTCCTCTAATATGGCTTCATTTGCTGTGCAGCAATCTCTCGCCAGCAGATCTGGCTGCTCTGGCTACACAGGTGTCTCTCTAGCCCCTTCAATACGGACCATATTGTGACACAACCTCCTCTATATACCTGCACATTGCGCAATAGGCATGGATCAAGCCTTTTCACACTTCCTCAACAATCGGCGCATTCCAATTTCATCCTATTCACCTTTTGTGTTCTGTTGCTTGATCAGGGACGCAGGTTCAAGGACTTGGTAGATGCATCTTCTGTCTGGGAGGCCCAGTGCAGAGCCAGGTGCACACCTTGGAGCCTCTTTGTGATGGGAACACACCATTGCGTGAGCTTTTTCAGCCCTGAGAATTTACTGACTGTCAGCATTCTTCTCGCTAGGTGGGCACCATTCTGTGGCGATCCAAAGACCGGCAATACAGTAGAAGGTCTGGACTGGCAGAGCCTTTACAGGTGAGGAGCCAGCATCCAGCCCTCCACATGTCATACATTCTGCCAGCGTCTGCAAGCCCATTTGCAGTGAGTCTAAAGTCAGCAAAAGAGATATGCAGACCGTCAAAGCAGTGCGAGCGCCATGAATTAACAGGAAAAACTGCCTCGCAAGTACACATTATGCCGCAACAATACAGCGATCCCCCGGCCCAGGAGCACTAAATGAGCACAATGCATACACGCATTCAAGTGCAGCTAGGTGAGGGTTAGGGCACACCTACACACAGCTATGAGCGAGGCCACTGTAATTATTATCTTTTACTCTCTGTTTTTAGTTTTTTTTGTGTGGAGTAACCTGCGTCAAAATATCCTTTGCTGACCGGGAGAAGGTTAAGAAACCTTGACGAGGGCTCCCAGGGAACTTGCCATATCCTGGACGTGGTGTTCCAGGTGCGGGCTTCCAAAGGATTATCTTTTACTTACTTCTGCATGCTGTGTTGCAGGACCAGAGCAGTCTTGGCTCCCTCGGTTGTGGCAGCTGTGGATCTGGCACTGGCCTATCAGGCCTGCTCAAAGTCAGGGGCCCCCATCGTTCCTGGCACCAGAAGTGACCTGCGCAGAGCCTTTGAGCAGAGCATGAAGGTGGGCACTCTCCCAAAACTTTGCCAGCTGCTGCCAATACTGGCCCACTTCAATACTCTTTCGGCGCAGTAGCAACTCCCAGATGGTCCGCATGGCAGCATTGCTCCATCACATATGAACATGCGTCATCTAGAGATGATTCAATAATGTTGATGAGCTCCCCAGGCTCTGTTTATGTTTTTCGGTGTCAATTTAGGCAGGCCACATCCTGGTGCCCTGACAGTGACGAGCACCTTCCAGTATTGAACAGACTCAAGAATTTCACCATGTGGGCGTATGCAGGCCGCATTTGAGGTGGGCATGGAGTGCCAGAGGAAGCCTGAGAGCAGGGACAACCCCTTGGTGAAGCAGCTGCAGACAGCGCTCTGCTGGTGGCTGTCCGAGAAGCAAGAGGTGGGGCATCCCGGCCATCTCCACAGCCAAATTGCCCATCCATTCGCATATTATTGCGCTGTCATGGCATGTGCAAATCGTGAGCTTGGATCTGCCCTGGAACGTAGACTAAGTTCTGTGGGAAAGAGTGAAATTGGGCAAGTGAGATATGCGCTGCCGTGCTGTCATGCATGCGAATCTTATCCATGGCTCTGCCCTGCGATGCGGACTCACTCCACTGCAGTATTCAAGCTGCGCTGCTGCAACTGCGCAGGTGGCGGTGGCGTTTGTGAGGGATGCCAAGAGGTCGCTAGAGGAGTATGACATGTGGAGGATGGCCTTCATCAATTGGCCGGACATCCCCTGGCGCAGGTCTGCGGTGGATTTCCTGCCAGGCCTCATCAAGAAGTGCACCAAGGCTTGGGACCATGTGTCTGTGCTCAGCGCAATAGAAGCAGAGACCAAGCGCCTAGATGTAGCCATAGATAGCCTCAGAGATGAAGGAGACAGTCTGGCTATGCGCATGCCTGAAGGCCTGCCAGAGAGCCACTGGTGGTTCAGGCTCAACTGAGTTGGGTAGATCCCTATTAGGTGATGGGTACAATCAAGAATTTGCTCGTCCAAAGGAAGGCTCCTTGGCAAAGAACCGAATAGTGTGAGTAGACTATCAAAGTGAGGATTAAGGGACTGCAAGATGGTTTAAACAAATTTGAGACTAGCATTTTTTTCCGACAGTCCCGCTGTGGGCTGCGTACAGCCAAAGTTGGATAGCTGAATAGGACCAACCAGCAGTGTACCCACCCCTGCCCATGCCATTAAATTTCTACTCCATAATAGGGCATCACATAATTCCCAATTGTGTATGATCTCGCTGTGAGCAAGCCATGCCTTTTGTCCCCTTCAGCACAGCTGCAAAATCAACCTTGTGCTCTGGCAGAACTCTATCTCATTTTCTTGCCTGGAAATCTCACACCTGAATCGTGCGCCACTCCACAGCACTGGCGTCCTTCTCACGCTCATCAAAGTAAGCCTTTTCTTCTTCATCATAGTAGCCATCCCACCAGCCCTCGCGAATCTTCCTGGCACGCTTCCCTTTGAATTCCATCGGGATTTGTTTGATGTCGTCCACTATTTTCTCATCAATGAATGATAGCTTGGTTCCTACCAGCTTGCTCTGCAAATCTTCTGAAGCCTCCTCGATGGTCGTCCCAAAACCGAGCGCGATTTGCCACTCGGGAGCAACTGCCATCCACGTGCCAGGATCTCCTCGGCAAAAGAGGATGATGTCCATGTCCTTGGGCTCCCTCAAGTAAGCAAGGTAGTTCTCGTGGACCCAGATGCCATCTCCGAGCTTCGCCATCTCTTCCTGGGAACCAGATACTAAAATATGTCATTGGCCAAGCGCGTACCTGCGCCTATCGCTCTGGATCAAACATGAGACATTTACCTACCAACCTAGGTCATACCTCATCTGTGTCCAATTCGCGATCGAAATCGCTGTCAGAACACACATCTTGTGCAAGGGGCCCTGTCAAACCTCCACCTCCACTCTGTTGTTTCCCTGCCTCACACAGCTTGGGGTCTCCTGCATAAGCAAGGGCTGAGAATGCTGATTGTGACAGAACTGTCGAATATGACTTCCACGGGGCCAGTGATCAGTGTGGAAGACGAAGAAGAACAATGGTGAAGTGCATGAGAAATCTCAGGTTGGCAAGCGAGGGTTCCCAGTTCTTCACGATGAGTCACACAGTATTTAGCGAAACCTGCGTACGTACCATCGTCTACAGTTGCTGCACTGACATCCGAGCTGGGGGACCCTGTAGGAAGCCTGCAAAGTGCCGCACATGGAAGCTAAGCCCCATGCTATCTACACGGTGACAGTTTCCGAAGACGACTAGCAATAACAATGCAAACCGGCCAACAAGATACTATAATGCAGCGGTGCAGGTAAAAAGTGTTACGTGGAAAGGCAGCTTTCGCACAACAGCGTGCAGATAGGTGCCAACAAGAACAGCCAGACACACTATCCACAAAAATATCTTGCAGCAAACATTGTCTTGGAAGCAGCGCGTTGCAGCAGGAGGTACTTGACGACCAGCGAGGAACAGGTCAGGAGGCAGTTCACACCTCCAGGAAGTGCGTGGGCGGACAGTCACGTTCACCGCCGTTGTTAGGGTCCATAGTAGCATGCTCTTTGCTTCACCTTTCCATGTTGAAGCTTCCGGAACGCTCTCAGCAAGACAGTTTAATAAAACACAAGGAGAGCGTTCTCAAAACCACAGGCTGTGATTTTGAGAACGAACGGGTAGGTGGAAGCTGTGATCTACAGCTTCCACCTACTGGAAGGTGGAGGCAGTTGTTATCATATTTTATCCCTTGAGGGCCTTGGGGTTTTAAAGTGGGGTTTCTAGTGGCAATGAAGTAGGTCTGGTGGTGCTTGCCAGCAATTCAGACATGACTCGATTTCCTTTAAAATACACCCCTTATGAGGAACAAATATGGACGAGGAGCAAGTGCCAAATGGATCACATGAGTGTCACCTTGCTGGTGGCGGATACTATCACACAGCATAACGACAATTATAAAGCATATGTACAGAATTGTCGCCTCCCAATTAAAAGTATGACTGCAGATGCCGGACTGTGCAGAAGTAAACCTGTTCCGACGTCAACATCCGCATATGCAGAAATAGTGCACAAAAACACAGGACTGTAAAAATGCTAACCTTCGCTCCTATCACCGGCTGGTCAAACAGATATACCTCTGAAATAGCTAATTTTAATGCGCATTCTCTTGCAAGCCATTTGTTGATGTCCCTGCAGCCATTACTTATCATAGAATCCCAGTGTTTCATGCGCACGCTTTGATGAAACAGGCGATCATATATTGTGTCAGCTGCAGCCAACATGACGACATGTGATTTACCTCATCCACACATATTCTCAGAATGGCCTCCTCTAGCAGCAGCTCCAGTTTCTCCTACAGAGTCGCTGTGAAGCCCTGCAGACTTTCCTTGGTTACTCCAACCACGCGATCGTGTGCGCAGAAGGCCTTTGCAAATTCCAACTTAGAAATCTTGAGCAAGCTCAATCTGGCCTCTGTCATGTTTGGAGTGTACGCTGCAGCCCACACAGACATTTGTCAATTGATCATTTCCCGCTTGCATGTGCTCTTTTCTGCACAGATGATATGCCTAATATGTTTTTAGGAACGGGGCACTGTCTTGCTGCACACTGCAAGACAGCTGGGAAAGGACCGTACCTTGTTACGGAGAGAGCAAAAAGCATCCACACAATGACTCATATTACTAATCTAAAATGCCAGGCTCGCTGCTTCGGTTTTACCTGGAGGAGGAGGGCTAATCTGGGGAGGTTCACCCATATTCACAAATACGTCACCGGCTAAGAGAGTGCCTGACGGCTTGTGCAAATAGGACACCTGCGCATGACAGCATGATTACTCATAGAAGAGAAGCATGTCACTGGGCAGAGCTCGTCACCATTCTGTCAATCGATACTGCCTGTAAAATCTCACGTGGAGTAGAAATTTCAAGGTGCAAAGTGGAGTTCACAATGAGGTTCCTCTCACATGTCCAGGAGCGTGGCCCGGGCTGTGATAGAAAGAAATGATCCCCTTAGGAATGGCCCATGTTGCCTTCTGCCCTGATGGCCCCTTGGCATCAGAAATATCACCTGTCTCCCCTGCAGTACCCAGCAACACTTCCTATTGCTCCTGTAAGGGGGAAGGACTCAGCAGTCCACAATTAAAGGCGCCTGAAGAATCGCATGCATGCAGAAGCAAGTGTGGTTGCGCACCGGTGAGGAGAAGAACATGCGGAGGAGGTAGGGCGGCTGACACATCGAATTTTGACACAGTGTAGTTTGGGTTGTCAGCTGGGATGTCACCATAATTCGCTTTGCCTGCACAAGCAGCCCTGTCAGGATCTGCTGGCTTGGTCGAACATAACTGCCAAGTCAGCCCGTCTGTAGTACATCAAGTGCAATGGGCATGGTGTAGGCTAAATTGAATGTAGATGGGGAATTACAGAGGTCTCTGGGGCATTTGTGAGGCGCCAAGTGACAGTGCTGCCACGGTTCTTGAGATGCAAAAAGTGAGCAGTCGATTACCTGTTAGGAAAGGTGCTTCCTTTTGGTGGTATACTACTTGTACGTTAGGATACTCCTTCCTCAGTGACACAAGTGCTCCCACGTGGTCGATGTGGCCGTGGGTCACTGCACAGCCAAAGGCACAGAAATTTGGCATTATGGGATGCATTCTGCCCTGATTTTCAAAACTGAAAAAAAAATGGTCTTTGATAAATAACATCATGTGATTCGTGCGGCCCATCATGTCAGCTGGCAGAATCTGGGTGAGCCAGTTCCTGGGAAGATTGCTCACGCAAGACGAGTCGCAGAGTGCCGCCCTTTAGGGACTCTCGCAAGCCAGCGCTCAGAATACGCTCGTAATCCTCTCCCGGTGCGCCCACGTCCACCAGAATAAAGTCCTGGCCTAGTTTGATGAGGAAGACGTGCACATCGACCCACCTACCAGGAGGGCCGACGGGCACATTCCATAAATATCCCTGACGGTAAACATCGGTTGAGACTTCCTGGAATGCGATAGGATATGGCTCAAACGCAGCAGGCTTCCCTCTAAATAGATCGGAGTAAAGGGCTACTCCGATGGCTAAGACGACAGCTACAAATGCGAGGGGAGCAGCCAAACTCGATGCCATCACGGCAAGATACTATACAAATCAACAAAAAAGATGTTCTAGCACTTTAGCGTGTTGCTAATGGAAACTAGTATAGGAACTCATAGGATTCCTATAGATACGTCCGTGAAATTATGTAAAGCGCCTGGAAGCTTCCCATGCAGCTGGAAGCTAACATCAAGTGTCTTGAACTGTTGAGCATCCATTGCCTTGTATGAATTACACATGAAATGGATACAGTATGACACTGCACTGCCAAAGGAGCTATCCGGAATTGACATAACCATTGCTGCATGCAGGTCACACTGTGGCAACTGGTAGTTGTTTCGCTGCATCGATCAAAAATTTGCAGCCATTCACTTGGATTATTATTAAACGCTTTTCCTGCCAAGAGGCAAGGTGCGTCCTGCAGACAAGCTGCAGTCAAAGGCTGCCACAATCCTACCCCTTGTTGGACTCGCCAGATCCAAGCAAGACCCAATCAACCGTGGGCACGTGCACGGTGCTCAGTATCTGTACCGCCCCCCGCCAGCAGGGGACTTGGATACATATAGTACATGCAAATTCGAGTCTGAAACATCCAGATGGCTGAGGTATCAGATGCTGTGACTGGCATGCATGCATGTCGCAACGAAGTGCACGTGGCACATATGCTGGGAAGGACACTAAAGTTCCTCAGCATCCATCAATTAACAGCCGTGACAATCAGCTATATGTACAATGCTGCTCACCATCTCCACATATGGTGCGCAAACTCTGCAGCTGCAGCTCTTCAGCAATAGTCACCATTAAGGCCAAAAGGAAAAACAACAAATTTCTTTCACACGTTCTTTGCGGACTGCTGAAGGTACTCTCTCGAAACCCCGACGCCGCGATCATGTGCACAATAAGCCTTCTCAAAGTCCAGGCTTGCAACTCTGATGAGACTCGACCGCGCTTCTGTCGTGTTTGGCGTGAACACTGCAAAAAAAAGCACACCCCTCTTTGCTAATGTAGATTTATATCAATATTGCCCAGAGCTTCTCAAGAAGGCAGAAAAAGGCAGCTTCAGTGGACACATAAATTGAGACGGATTGGGAGGCAAGGCTTGCCCTAAAAGACACAACTGAGCAGGAAGTGTGAAATACAAAGATGCTAGTCAGTACAAGAAAGCCTGTCAGGCAGGCGGTGCCAACACAGCTGGGCTGGTTACTCTGCTCAAACTCACTTGGAGGAGGAAGGCTGATCTTGCCCAAATTTCCAAAGACATCACCGGCAATCAGGCTGCTTGAGGGCTTATGCAAGTACACCACCTGCACATGATCATCAAGCCCCAGCTCAGCAATGATTAACTCTGTGCAAGTCTCCCGAAACAGACTCACCAAATGATGCTTTGGTTGATTTGTGTGAGCAGACAATGACAACTGTCAGCGGCAGTGCGGGGAGAGAGGTATGAAACAGCCTCACATGTCCAGGAGCATGGCCCGGGCTGTGATGGAAAGAAACAACGCCTTTGGGGATGGCCCATGCTGGCTTCTGTCCTGACGGTCCCTTGGCATCAGACAAGTCCCCGGATTCCCCTGAAGCACCCGCCACATTGTGCATTCTCTATAGGGAAGTACCTTGGCAGTTCACAGAAGAAGGATGCAACACGCTGCATGCATGCAGCAGCGAGCAGCTCGCGTACCGGTCAGGAGCAGGATCCGTGAGGCAGGTAAGGCAGGCAATACTACGAATCCTTTCTTCAAGTACTCCGGGCTATCAGCTGGGATGTCTCCATAGCTGGCTTTCCCTGCACAACCACTTCCTGAAGGATTCCTCGACGCAGGCTATACAGCACCATTAAATTGCCTCAAGAGGATGGCGAATATAAAAGGTGACATTGGTGCCACAGACATGAGAGACGGCAATATTAAGAAGCACCCGTAAGAAAGGGAGCTTCCTTCTCGTGGAATATCACTTGAAGGTCGGGATACGCCTTCAGCAAAGATGCAAGAGCCCCCACATGATCAATGTGGCCGTGGGTCACTGCAGAGAAGCAGTCGCGATCAGCTAACCAGCACTCCTTCAATAACAATATAGAGCTTTACACAATACTGCTGATGCGATCTTCACGTGCAAAGTTGAAGGAAGCCAGCAGGAAATGGCACTGAGCCAGAGCTCCCATGGAGATGGCTCACATATGACGTTTCGCAATTTGCCGCCCTTCAACGCCTCTTGCAAGCCAGCGCCTATGATGCGCTCGTACTCTTCTCCCGGTGCCCCAACGTCCACCAATATATAGTCCTGGCCGCTTTTGATCAAAAACACATGCACATCGATTACCGGAAAGGCTGGGGGCAGAGGCACCTTCCACAAGAATCCCTGGCGATAAAAATTCCTGGAATACTCTTGGAATTCAATGGGATAAGGTTTGGTAATTGCAGGCTCCGACTTGAATATGCTGAGGTACCAGCCTGCTCCGATAGCTAGGGCAGCCGCAAGGACTGCGAGAGGTGCAGCTCTCCTGGGCGTCATACTGACATCACAAGACTCAACAAGACGTGGTCAATGGAGCTTGTATGCTAAGAAAGAACTGCCGAGATGATCTGTTGGTGCCACCACCGATGTGTTGATCGATGCGCTTCCATCTTATGTAAGGGAGGACCAGCTTCATATGAAGCTGGAAGCTGTGTCCCTGCAGTCCCTCCTTTCCCTCCCACTATCACACCCAATAGACAAAACGACAAAATCTACATGTTAGATCATTTACAAAGATCTACTGTACAGAATTTCAACAATTCCCTCTAACAAGGCTGAATACATGTGCAGCCATGACTATGAGAGCCAAGCTGATCAGGCTTTCATGGACCTAAATATTTTACTTGATCTTGGAAATGCACCATGAGGTGCGCACCATGCATCTTTAATGACCTGGCGATTTGAGACCTTGCTGTTTGTTGATCTTAATGCTAGCCTGTCATGAGCATGATCGTCAAGCGCTGGAGCAATCACTGAGCTGATGCACCAAGTGTCAGAACAAAGTCCAAATTTCTTCAATAATTTTCCAGAAGCTGCGCCTAGGTCTGCGATCAGTTAAATCCTCTAGTGACGGGCCCTTGGGACAGGGCATCATGTGCTATGTCAGCGCAGTACTACGTCACTGTTGAAGACTGGAGAAGTAGGATAGCCTGTCAAAGGAGGGACTTGATCTAGTGGTGCAAGCTGTTGCTGCTGCCATTTGCTGCGCTCACTTCGCTCACTTCCCCATTGGACGTGTCATCCCCTGCTCCTATCTCCTCCACTACAGCCGCCTCTGCTTGCCTTGTCCACATCTCTGCATAGAGACCTCCCAACTGCACCAGCTGTGAATGTGTACCCCTCTCCACTATATCCCCCTCCTGCACACCAAACTTCAACTTGTCAGCAAAGCTTACCTGTAAGACACCCAGCTCAACTCAGACCCTCAAGGGACTTCCGGTGGCAACAGACTGCCTGCCTTAAAAGGGCCCTGATTGAGCAGCTTCTGGTGTAATAGAAAGGTATACCCAAGAGTTAGTCGCCCCTGTAATCTGAACAGGGAGGGTGACTCGCCTTCATGACAATGATGACGTCGGCGTCCATTATAGTGCTCAGCCGGTGCGCCACAATGATCGTTGTGCGGCCGCTCCGCTTTGCAGCCAGCGCCTCCTGTTTTAAACAGAATAACAGATGTCATCAACTTCTCTGTCAAGGTGGCAATGGGGTGATTGAGAGTTGCTCCCTTCATTGGGCACAGAAATGACATAAGGACGCTCTGAGCAAGCCTACGCGCACACCACAAGGCCTCACCAAGGAACAAAAGACATGCGGCCATCCTCCTCGATGGGACCTACTGACATGCACAGCTTCAGTCAATTTTGGAGACATGCTTCACTTGATGATGATAGGGCTGATATTGCTCACCTGTATCCGTTGCTCTGTCAGGCTGTCAAGGGAGCTGGTGGCCTCATCCAGCAGCAGGATCCTGGGGTTCTTCAGGATGGCACGCGCAAACGCCACCCGCTGCTTCTCGCCTGCATGACGCACATGCCTCATGTCAGTTTGCTTCAAGAAAAATTCACGGCATGCGGTGCTGCTTGCTGCAATGGCCTGATCACTGTGCAAATTTGCAGGACTTATGAGCCAGTGGGCCTACATGGTTCACCCTGGCCTTGCTGACAATGATGGAAGCACGCGCATGCTGTCAGCATTGCATCCAACAGGCCTACAATACACACACGTGATATAAAACATTCGAGAGGGCAAAAGTGAGGCCATTTACCGCCACTGAGGCGCAGGCCGCGCTCTCCCACCACAGTCGCGTAGCCCTGGGGGAATCGCGTGGAGATGCTTTCATGGATGGAGGCCGCCTCTGCCGCCTCAAATACTTCCTCATCCGTCGCGCCCGGCCGCCCATACCTGTGACAAACCGGCAATTCTTCAAAATCGTTTTTTAAAATCGAATCTAAAACTTGTACACGCGGCCAATGATGTTGTACACCCTTTCCAGGGCCACAGGTTACTATTTTGGCAGCCTGCACAGCTTCCTCCGACAGCCTCTCTTCCTGGCGATCAGCAATATTCTTTGGCCGTAGGATCTCAGACACACTCCGAAGAGTGCTCACAATCGACACTCATCAAGGGTTCAGTCCGCCCGTCGATCAATATGTCATCACAGATCCTTCCCATCCCCGCACTTATATTGCGTGAGTTCCCAACAACGTGTCACGCGGCACACATTCGCTCAGCCTTTGTGCAAAAGGTGCCCTCCGCACCACAGAGGGCAGCAGCCTAATATTTAGATTTAAGAGGGCAGCCATGTGCAACTCCCCGCCTGACCTTTGCTCGTGATTGCAGCACATGGCACTAGAGGTGTTCTATCTTGCACAACATCCGGTGCGCATGCCCTGCGCTATGTTGTGCCCTATAAAGAGTTCTGTAGAGGTGCAGTGTGGCCATGCGCCCTGGTTCTTGTGCAGGATGGTATCTCTTGTGCACGGTCTTATCATCACAGTGCAAAGTCAGAAAGAAGCCAGGATTTTTACGGGAGTGGTTATCAAAGGTGCGGGGCGGCGCATGCGCATGCGCACCGGATGTTGTGCAGGATGGAGTCGTTGAAGAGGACGGTGTCTTGGGGCACGACTGCCATGTTGGCGCGCAGGGACGCCTGGGTAACCTCGCTTATGTCCTGCCCATCAACCTTGATCACCCCCGAGGTGGGGTCGTAGAATCGGAACAGCAGCCGCAGCGCGCTGGATTTTCCGCTGCCTGCGCGCCAAACCAGGCAATGCATGACTTAGTCATAGACTGCAATGGACCAGGCATGAATGTCTGCATGCAGATAGCAACATATTTGAAAGATACGTGGCCAGTAGATTGGCTCGCTGCTAGCTGCTCGCTGCCAGCAGCATGCAGGTAGAGAGCAAAACAGCTCCGCCCTTGCTGTATAAAGTAAGTGGCAGGAGGCAAACGACATGTGGGAGGATGCTGTGGTTGGGGCCCACCTGTGGCGCCGACAAGTGCGAGCGTTTGGCCGCCTGGGCAGAAGAAGGAGATGCTCTTCACGACTGGGGAGTCGACGTAATAGGCAAATGAAACATTGTCAAATTCCACGCTACACTTGGAGGCCACCAAGTCCTTTGCTCCAGGCTTGTCCTGTCAAGCAAAGCAGAAACCTCTCAGCATTGTGGTGTCATGTGTAGGCCTCCTGAGTGCATAGCGCTGAGCTGACAATTGCCCAGAGCGAGGCATGGCGCCTGCCTTCAAGCTTGGTTGCTTGAAGATAATTGCAAATCTCTCTGTTGTCACAGAAAGCGGTAGCCATGCAGGAAAATTTATCTTCAAATTGTCTTCTCAGTGGGCGCAATCCCAGTCAATATGTTCCGTCAAGTTTACTCTGGGTTTTGAGATTTCCCATGACGAGGTGATCTCTACGACAGAGTGTCGACTAAAGGGTATCAAGCACATAGAGGCAATATACCTTGAAACAATATACTCTAGGGCCAGCAAGACTGTGATCAGGAGAGCCGCAATGCCCTGCAGTGACCATTTCGGAGTTCCTTTTCAAAAATTCTCTGCATGCAAATGCACAAGCTTTCAATAGTTTGAATGGCAGGGGTGTGAGGCGCACTGTCAGGGAAGCTGAGGTGGCTAGCAGGTCGAAGCAGTTCTCCATGTCGATGAGCTGCTGCTGGATGGCGCGGTAGTAGCTGCCAAAGTAGTTGAGCGGCGCGTACAGCTGCTGCATCAGCGTTATGAACAGCACTGCGTCGCCCACTGTCAGCAGCCCATCCGCCACTCCCTGCACTCCCAACCCAGTCAATACACTTGGGCAACAATCCCTCGACTTAGGACCTAAGCATGCCTGTGATTCTTCTTCAACATCTGCGCGAGAGACTGCTTAAAGCGGTTGTGTGCACTGCAGTATTGTGCATCTGTACAAATATGCTTTCCACATGCACCAAAATTGACTTCCCATGCATGTAAGAGCGGTAAACATGCGCCCAAAAATGCACTGCCAAAAGATTGCTCGCCTCGGCCAGCAAATCCCAACAAAAAATACCTCCATCTGCTGACATAGGCAGACATCAGTCTGTGTGCTGGAGACCCATGCAAGGGGAGAGTGCGCACCTTTGTGCAGACAACGAGTCCAGCAATGAGGCCAGAGAAGATGATGATAGACTGGAGGACATTCAGGCCATTGAGGGAGGCCATGAGCTTGTACTCCACGTTCTGGTAATCGATGATGGCCTGCTCCAGCCTCTGCCTCTCCAGCTCCTCGTTGTTGAAGCACTTGACCGTCTCGTAGTTCAGCAGCGCATCCGTCACCCTTGCACCCCTCGCGTTATCGTACTTGTTCATCTCCCTGGCAGTTAGCATAACAAGCCAGTCAGTATAAAGCGATTAAAATCATCAGCCCCATAAGTGCACTGGCCTGACGCTGTCAGCCTGCATACATTCCTATATTTATGAATCCGCCTGCTTGTGCTAAATAAGGCTGCACAACCAAGTACTTGCTATGAGTCAGTAGCTCTCCACTTTTGCATGCAGACCATGCATTTCAAGGATGCCATGCCGAGGCATGCAGGAGCAAACAGGCTGCATTGATCAGGCAGTATTCATGTGTAAAAGCATCAGCTTCAGAAGGAGCAAGAAAACTTGCCTGCGGTACTTAACGCGCCACTCAGTGAGGACGATGGTGACTGGGATGTAGGAGCCCAGGGTGATGAACACGATGACTGCAATCCAGGGCTGCAGCGCGGCGGAGATGAAGATGCACGCCGCCACGATGTCAAACAGCTGCGGGACAATGTTGAACAACACTGCATGCCAAAAAATCACGAAATCACAAATTCATACCGTCAGGCAAAGTTTTCCATTTCACTATGTGGATCCTGTAACAAGTGGAACACCCCATGCTGCAATCGGACGGACTCTGTCAACTCCCATCATGTGCATGAAGGGCATGCATTGGGCTCAGAAGCAGAAATGCATCATTTTCATTGACGCAAGGATGCAATATAGTGGGCCGCCCCAGAAGGCTCTACAGTGCACAAATCTACAGCCCGCAGCCCTTCACAGGGAAAAGGCAGGCAACGTTGTCATGCATGTACTTAGCATACAGCACCTGTGGACAGGACGTTCTGGATGGCAGAAGTTCCTCGGTCCATGATGCGTGTTACCTCCCCCGTTTTGCGCATGAGGTGCCACCTCAGGTCCAGGTCCATGGTCTTGGCAAACATGTCCACGCTGATCGACCTGCGCACACCACACAAACAATATTGCTCCAGCAATCTCCAAATGTGCTCCTCCAAATGACATCACCCCAAGCTCTTGCACATTTGCCCTGCATCAGATTAAGGTGAGGTCTGGTGCTGGGAAACTGACAAATGCCAACGGTGAAAAGCACCGAACAGGCTGGGATGGATGTTCATGATGCGTCCTAGGATATCAGTGAAATTTAGTGGGGGCAAGGGGCATGCCTGTAAGCGTCCTGTGCTATTGGAATCCATAGGTACGAGCGCAGGTTGTTTAGCAGGCCTGAGGAACCTGTGCCAGCGCCGCCCTGGAAAAAGGCTGCCACCATGTACAGCAGCACAAAGGGGTAGAAGATCTGCGTGCCCAGCACCAACACGTTAGCCCCACGTTCATCCCTATTGGCCTACTGTGCACTGCTATGAGGCAAGGCAGATCATAGACCGCCCCTCAATGGACGAACGGCTGTACAGCCCGTGAAGACACAGGAGTACTTCAAAATTTGTCCAAAAGAGGGTCTCTCGTCATGACCCAGACTGCATGCATCAGCTGCTCCTCTTCTGAGTACTCCTAATACAGTACTGATGACTAGGGGTCAAGTGAAAAAGCTGAGAGGCTGCAAAGGTGCAACACCTGCCAGAAGGGAGTGGACTGGGGAGTCTCGCTACCCCTGGGGTGGGCAGCGCTGCTGGCATCAGACATGGCATTGACCACGTCTCGGTACAGGATGGGCACCGCAAGATTCAGCAGCCGCATCAGCGCCACCGCCAGCACGCACACGCCAGCGCGCAGCTGCAGCAGCGGAGTTTGCGGCCAGACGTACATGATCGCAGTGAACATCAGCTGGTACCTGCGCCGCAGTCAAAATCTCAGGCAAGATATAGTGCAACGCATATTTTCTGTCCTGCTCAGCGACACACGTAGTGCGTTGCAGCAATATGGACGCATGTTTTGTGGCTTTTGGAGCACACTGCGAAAGGACCAGGGCAGAGCTGGTAAGGTGGCAGTGCAAGACGACTAAGCCTACCATGGCCGCTTCTCCTTGGCTGCAGGGGCCTCTATGTCTGCTCCTAGCAGCGCCTGCTTCAGAACCTCCTCTTCCTCGGTCGGTGATTGCCTGCGCAATCCTCCTAGTGTCAAGCTACCATGCAGACATGCAGAGGCCATGCACAAGTGTACAATGGTGATGCAAACAGCATAAGGCAAGGCATGCATGTCGTAAACGGTCATTTGCCTCGCATAGTCAAAGGTAATTGCATAACAGACAGGGACAGAAAGCATACTTGGAAGACTCTGATACAAGAGTGACAGTGACGGCCACTGCCTGAACGCATCTGGCTGCCAACAACAGCACTGCTAGGGAGTGGTCCAGGCCCCAGTGCTTTGCTACCATATTGATATTGGTGTACAATTCTATGTAGTAAAGGAACAGAGATGGCCACATCAAGAGCTCTAGCTGCACTACAAGCCTGGCTCTGCATCCCACCACAAGAATGACCTGCATGCCAATGCAGATAGGTTCAGATGCAAATTATCGTTGCTGGTGAGAAGGTGGACAGCAGAGCAATTATTCAATGAGCAAATGGTAACATACCAGGGCAGCCAACCACACGATGGACAGAGCAGCCTCAGAGAAGATGTTGTAAGGCGCAGCGGTGCCATTCCTCGCTGACAACACGGAGGTGATCACTAGGAGAGCTGCGTGGCTGACGAACAAGATGCCGAAGGCAACGGCACTGACTATGGCTTCTCTCGTCCATTCCGTCTGGCCCGAATACCTCCGCTGCCTCAGCAAGGACACCTTCCTACACTGAAATGCCAGTACTAGTGTTGCCACAAATAGCAGCACACTGCCAGACACCGTCTCCAGAAGGCAAGGGGAGAATGTCCAGTGTGCCCAAGTCGGTGCACCATCCAGTACCCCACACCATCCCATTCTTCCGGTGCTTACAAAGTGCTGCGACAGATTTTACAGGAGAGCGCAGATTGCTTGATTGTCAGTAGACTAGGAAACACTAATATTGAAACTACGAAGTCTGCGATGCAATGATGGACATTGCGATGTGGCTTACAAATTGAACAATTGTTACTTAACCGTCTAATTCTCTTGCATTCTACTCACAGAAGTGCTCAATGGCCCAAAAGTGCCAGCATGGCAGATGTGTCATCGCACGTGCGCACAACAGCCTCATCGAACACACTCCAATTGCTCCACCTGAACGATTGGCGATAGATAGCTAGATCATTTGATGTGACAAGAGTTGGGTGACCTCATTTTTGCATAATTGCGAAAATCCCTGAGTCACAAAACATGGTTAGCTTTGCCAATGGAGCTATGGGCTCGGCCTGCTGCTAGATCTGATCGATAAATATTGTTTGCATTTAGTACCATCAAAGTCACAATGCAAAGAGCGCAGGTCGATGAGTTGAACCAGCTTGAGGACTTTCTCAGACAGCCTGATGCTGTCATGGAACCCAACATATTAAGCGTGCTCCGTAGATACATCAGTGATAATGGCAAGCCTGCGGAAGTTGTTGAGATGCTGTCCGACAGTTATGCAGGCGAGCTTGCGGAATCACCCAGCTCCACTGGAACCACATGCCTGCATTGCCTCGCACAACATTTGCTACTCCTGACAGCTGACAAACCTCATGCTTCGGCAGGCTACGCTCAGATGGCAAGCCTCGTTGTGGAGTGGACCAAGGGCCTGCAAGACGAGGAATTGGCTGAAGAGTCTGCCTCAATTGCGGCCTTCGATGAGGCCTACTACTTGAGGGTAGACACTCACACATCACTGAGTCAAATACGCTGTGTGTAAAATCCTTCTCTTGAGACTCTGCCGCTGACAGCCCTTGATGGCTGGGCATGTATTCAAGCATGCATACCCTGTGTTCAGGAGCTGGCCAAGGAACTCTTCGATCCAGACAAGTTCTCAGGGGTGTTCACGAGCGGAGGCAGCGGTCCTCCCAGGTGGCTTGATGGGCCCTCCGGCCTCACTGCAGACAGGCAAGCATGACTGGCCCCATGCCAGCCTCACGAGTGCTCCTCTCCTCCCAATCACCAGAGCACACTGAACTGTCTCGATTTTTCTTTCCGTCAAATATTTGTGACAGCTGAAGGAAAAGTATGGCGCTGATCCCTCCATGCACCACAAGTACACTACATGATGATTCTTCCAACCCTGACAGACAACTTGCATCCACAGTGGTGCCGCCCCGGGGGACAATGGGTCACAGTCATGAGCATGTCATCCCTGCCGCAGTCTTGCTTGACAGCAGGCTTGCATGTGTGGGGTGCAGGGAGGGCCGCCAGCTCATATACGAGCTGAGTGCGAAGCACCGCAACTGCCTGCTGCTGAACTACGCGATCCAGAAGATCCTGCAGGCGGGCCACGAGGACGAGGTGGCCAGTGTGGGCTCCAGCCTGGCGTCCTACTTTGGCGTGTTCCACCGCCTCATGGCCAACCGGCTCAAGGAGGTCGCCCAGGCCGACGCCGACAGAGTGGACTCCCTAGCTGCAGAGCTCAAGGTGCGTGTGATTTTCATCACACCCTGAGCGCAGAGTCAAAAAGAACGGTGGTATTAAGGACAGGAAATTGCTGTGTATCATGAAAGAGCCAAGTCCGTGTGTTGCTGGTGGGCATGGAGGAAGCAGTGCTGAATAGATCAAATAGCTCTTCAGGAAACAAGGACAGGCCAGGAAGTTTGCTGCTTGATGCAGCTATGCACATAGCCTGAGTGCATGGTCTTCTATGAAGCACAGTTGATGGTATACTTGTGGGTGTGGTGCAGGAGACATGCTGTCAGGGGCAGCACACGTATGTGCACGCGCAGCAGATCCTGACGGAGCTGGGGCAGCATCCGCGCGGCAGCCGCTTCCGACGGCTCAGCCAGGAGCTGGAGGCCCACGCGGCCGCGCAGCGTGGCGCCATCGTTTGGCAGATGCACGCCTGGTGCGCCTTTCGCTAGCCGTCAGCCAGCACAGCTTCATGCCTGTGCAGAATCACTGTTTCCCAAATGTCAGAAGTCTTCAATAGCTTTTCCTCAGAAATGCTCGCTGACATGGTTGGTGCTCCCATGTTTCTGCTCAGATGTCCTGCATTACAACGTGCATCCTTCTGTACCAAGTGTGAATCCTCGCATGGGGAAATTCCTGTCATGACAACAATGTGCAAGGCGTGTTGAGGATATGCAGCTCGAGTGCAGGGACAGCACTTGTGCAGACATCACCGGCGAGGAGTTTGAAAAGGAGTTTGAAAGAGTCTGCTGCCACGCAGGTTTGCGGCAAAGAGCAGCTCAGAGCCTGAGGTAGCGGCGGAGGCGGCAGTGGCGCAATTGCTGAGCGCCGCGGAGGCGCGCAGGCAGGGGCGGCCGGAAGGCAACGCTGCGTGGCGGCCGGCCCCACCGCTGGGAAACCGCGGGGGCCCTGCCGGGCCTAATCAGGCCATGCAACGCCTGCATGCGCTGTACAGCGCCGACACCCCGCCGCCCATCAACACCATAAGGCATCCACAGGTCCGTCCTCAAGGGGCCTTTCGAACATTTAATGCGGTTTTGCAACATTTTGGCATTTCATTGCCTTACTTTCACCTCCATGTCATTGGATGGGCAATGGTTTGCTTCACCCTTCATTGGCGTGCGACTTCGGGGGCTTTGGGGTGCGCACGCAAAAACGTGCTTGGCAAGATTGTTGACTGTGCGTGCTGGTGTGTCGCAGGTGTTCAAGGTGCTCTTGGACGGCCTGTTCATGCCGGGCGCGCAGCTGGCGTCCGAGGATCACGAAGCACACGTGGAACTGCTCGCCCTGGCAGCTGCCGCAGTAGATGACAGGTGCCTGCCTTTGCGGCATCAAAATGCTTGAATTCTGAAGCACACTTGGTTTGAATCGAAATGTGGCTCTCCAAATAAACAAAGCTTCAACATAATGTACTTGCTCCCGACGACAGCGGCACGGCACATGGTTGCACAATGCGCGGCGGCACTTCTTGGCGGGCTCATGGCCTGGAAACCTGCGATGTAGCAATTACATGCAGCTGCTGGCTGCAGGCCTTCAGGCAGGCTGGATCTGGAGGATGTGGACGTCACCAAGGTGGCCCTGCAGCAAGCACACGCCGTAGCGCAGAGCGCTGCCATGGGTGTCCGCTTTGGGCCGCGAGAGCAGGTACCCTTGCCTGCTCCAATTGACACAACTGCACGGAGCCTGATGTGCGCACGCACCTCTCATTGACAGCTTAGAAGTACAATGCATGGAGGTCACAAAGCGCCGCATGCAACCATGGCCGCAGCACGTGGCCAGCGAGATGATACCACCCTGGGAACAACTTGAGCAGGATGGGATCTGGCATGCGAGGTAATGGACATGTGTTCTCCAGGAAATCTAGCATGTGATGCAAATTCACCTGTCTTAAGATGACGGGAGGCTGGCCGATGTGCAGGTGCAAGCAGAGGCGGCGGCGCAGTGCGCGGTGGCGGCTGCGGGGCTGATGCGAGCAATGGCGCGTCCCCTGGGCAGCGCGCAGTACTGGCGCGAGTACCACGGCTCGGCCGCGCCCGCATTCCTCACCCTCCTCTCGCTCATCATCCCCCAGCAGCCCGCCCTCAACCCCCAGGTACCCCCCTGCCTCACCACATTTTTCATGCTAAGCCAAACTCGACCTGAGGGGCGCAGGCACTATTGCTAGCCAAGAATGTGAGGCATGAGTGTATAGCTGGCGTGATTCAGAGTGTCACCATTGTGGTCCACTCATTGCGCAATGCCATTGGTACTCACCAACCCCTTTGATCCCTTGCAACCTTCTGGGTATGAGCAGGCATCGCAACACAGATTCTCATCTAAGAAAACTTAGCACGCCTGGCCTTTATGTGCTGTGGCATAGCATCACTCCAGACCAGAGCCCTTTTGACTCCTCTGGTGGCTCCTTGATCTTCAGGCAATGTGCCCAACATCAGCACTCCAATACAGTCTGCTCCTCCACTGAAACATATTGTGGGTTGTGACCAGGCCGTGGACATCATTGCCGCTGCCCTGAAGGCGATGGGGAATGCCAAGCCGGACATCGCGCGGACACTGCTCGAGCTAGGAGTGGCTGTGCTGGCAGCCGGGCAGGTCATGCGCATGCTGTCAGCAGGTGACTCATCAATTTTCTGCATGCAGCTTCCACTGGGGACTCTTTGTCCCACATTTGAACATCACAGCACATAAAATGTTGATCATTTTGATTGTTGCATGCTTTGGGGAAAGGAGGAATTTCCGCTTACACTGCTCACCTGGCTCAGCCATCTGCAGAAGACCATGCACTGTAAGCCGGCCCGTCTGGGTCACCATGGCTACCAGCTGCCAGTGAATCTATTGAAGGACTATATGGCTGTGCATGTGTAAAGAGTGCTGTGCATGTGTAAAGGGAAAAGAGGGAGTCTGACAGAGTTTGACAATACTGCTGCAGCGGAGCAGTGGGCAAAGACGGCGGATCCCTCACTTGTGCGACACTTCATCTTCTGTGTTCTGGCAGCCGTCTCTCCGCCATTCTCATCACAGTTTGCCTCGCCCATCATCAGGTGTGCCCTGCACACCTTCAATGATGCGTCCAAGTGGGCTGCAGCGTTATGTCCTGATGATCCCGCATGCAGGGATGCCTGTAGGCAAACAGACGACGTGCCCATGTGTTCAACCCAGCAGATGCGTGCATGTGCCAACCTGTAGCCCGTGCATCAAGCTGCATGTGCTGTGGCATACAATTGAAGCTCCAGACTATAAATTGGACCATGCTCTGGCGATAATTGCGTGTAGATTTCATTAATGTGGGTCTGGGGGGCACCCATCTGGACAAAATGCAAGTAAAGATAAGAACCTGCAGCTTGTCCGGAGACAAGCCCTGTCTGTATTGGCAGCAAAAGGGGTGGTGATAATCAAATCTTAGCCAGGGATAAAATGAGTATCGTCTGCATGTTCTGGCCTGATGTGGGCTGGTGTGGGGGCTGCAGGCTGATGCAGGCGAGCGGGGTGAAGCGCAGCCGGGCAGGGGTGCGCGAGGGGCAGCGAGTCGAGCAGCTCGAGGAGTTTGCCGCCGCATGCGCGCACGTCGACTTCCGGCCGCCGCTGTCCGCCAAGCAGGCGGCGTTCCTGCACAGCCTGCAGGCCGAACGCCTCTATTAGCGCCCCCCGCTCCGAGGCTTTTGTGTATTGAGAGGACGGCCTAGGGGTTCGGGATGTGCAGCCCTTGGAGGAGACCATGCTGTACTAGGTAATCCCTACCTACAGGTCATCTCATTACCAAAGACCGAGCGGCTCTACTAGCGCCCCCCGCTCTAGGAGGCTGTATGTGGAGAGTAGCCCCATAGACTGGCTAGGAGTGTCTACAAGCGTCCCTGCTGTAAAATACTTGCAATCGAATGAGGCCTTAGGGTCCAGCGAATTTCATGTTGCGAGGACAGCCGAGAGGGTCGGGATGTGCAGCCCTTGGAGGAGACCCTTTTGTACTAAGTAACCCCGCGAAGAGGCCAGCCATTCGGTGAGTGAAGGCCGAAGAATTACACAGGTAAGATGCAGGGACTTGCAGGGGAGCTTTGAGTCCCCTGATGGTGTTCCCTCTTTCATGGTGAGGCGTCTTTGCGGGCCTTTGGATGTCCGGTGGGTTCAAGACCCAATCAACTGTGGGCATGGTGCTCAGTATTTGTAACGGCCCCCGCCAGCCTGCTAAACGACTGGGCCTGTCTGTTGGGCGTCTTCCTGGCTGTTAAGGTGAGATAGAGACAACAGGATGGGTTTTTGGGCAACGAGTCCTCCTGCCCTTGGTGCGTTTCTCCTCTTCTGTTTTCCTGTGTATATTGGCAGCAGCAATTCTGGAGCGTCTAGAGGGTGGCCAGTGCATCCGGCCTGCTTCTAGCCCAACCTAGGAGTGCAGCAGTACCTGGCAAGGAAAGAGCTCTGCGCAAGATCGTTGGGAACACTTGACCAGAACATTAATTGGAATGTTTGCGAACCACCTGTACACAGTTCCTTCAGCGATGTGCAGGCCAATTGCTGCAGGCATCTATGCGTTTTTGTTGCTTCCATTTTGTCGGAAAGGCAGGAGCAGTTCCAAGTGTGTCAATGGCTTGGGATTTCCAAGGATAAAATGATGAACGAAGGCAAACGCATGGCTTGACAAATGCCATTGCATGCTTGATTGAAACACAAACAATAGTTGCAAGGCAGACCTGAAGGGTTCTAGAAGGGTTCCGTGCCATATGTGGCAGAATATAATTTACACCTCAGTCACCAGATAAATATAATGTTTCGGAAGGAAGGCAAGCATGATGAAAAGCATGAAGCTCACACAAATCCCAGAAAGCCAGAAATCTTGACAATGGTTGAGCACGCACAAACCATCTGGATCATGATGTGATCTTCAGATCTGAAGATCACATTATGGCGTGCCATGTCAGTATACATTCGATGGCCTGATGCCTCAACCAAGGAGATTTGCCACTCAATCATCAAATCCTGACGCAGAAAACCAATCGTTGATAGTTAGCAAGCAGCTGCGCTAGTCCTCTCATGCTGCCTTTGAGGAAATGAACAAAAGCTGCTGCAGCTCCCTCAGAAGAAGCATCATAGCCTCCAGATATAGTACAAATTCAGTGGTCCTACACACTGCAGTGCTCGAGTGATCTTGAACTTACTTCTGCTCTGGAAAAATCCCAAAGTACCACGTGATCTCACCCCTCAGAATTTACTATGGACAGCCTCAAGATTGGTCATTTGCTGTAGGATTCCCTCTAAACACTTCGTGCATCCGGAGGGAGCACTTAATGCAATACCAAACGGTCTTTCTTGGGCTCTAAATAATGCTCCTTATCCACTAGGAGTTTTGCAACTATTGGACAGCTTCTTTCATCAAAAGGATCTCAGATGCATGCCTAAAATGCAGGCTGATCTCTGTACTGCAAGCGGCGCGCAGGTGACTCACACGTGCTACCTGGCTCAAATTAAGTGCACATTGTCCAGCTTATTTATTTGCATCATTTTTATTGTGGCCCACAAGACCATCCCTAAGAAGCAGGAGGCGCGTCAACCCACAAACCAAGAATCTTCCACTAATTTCAAGGGGAGATCCCAGCATCTGCAATGGCTGAGATACAAATGGGCGGCCAGGCTCCCTGCCCCCAGCCTGTCTTGAACCACTGCGACGGGCTGGTGGGCTTGCCAATATATACTGCCCTGCAGCAGCCTGCGCAAGGGGTGCGCATTGTTGTACATTCAGGGATTACTACTAATGCTGGTGACATTCTCAGCCAGCAAGCGGGCTGCCCTCCCGGCAGCGCCTGCATTTATTTATCGGCGGCCGCATGCTACGCTGCAGCTCTCAGCCGGGCAGCGACAGGGTGCCTAGATACAATCTTTCTACATGCTGGGATCTGTACTCACGCCCTGTCCCACGGGCATGACATGCAAAGGATTGGCGACGTGCGGCGGTCAGGTGCTGCGAGTCATCCTTTTTCGCATTGGAGCCTCGTCGAGATCTATGCTGTAGCCATGCGGCGGCTCCGGCCAGGCCGCCCCGTGGCGCGCCATTCCGAGCTCGTCCAGCCTTGGCGCCAGCACCTCGTGCAGATGCCTGTCCAGCTCGAAGAAGAAGCTCTTGCACAGCTGCGCGCCACACAGCCACCAGCTCAGGCCATGATCTATCCCAACGCGCTAAGACACCCCGACGTCAACACCTGCGCACATTGTGCCGGAATGGTATTCCTCTGGGTGTATGCACCGTGCAGGTGAAAAATGCCATTGCAATATTTGGGCTGGTAGAGTTCAAGGTGTTCTAAGCACTCATACCCTCTCTACAGAGGGCAGACCATCACTGAGCAATCTGCGTGGAGAAATCACTGCTGAGGGACTTCAACAAATGCTGCTCGGAGAGGTCCGCTCAGCCCTGCGTCAAACTTTGAGCAGCACCTTTGGTGGCTCAAGGCCATGCTCCGAGCCTGTACTGGGTAGGGGCCGGCCCATGCTTTAAAATTTGGAATTGATGTACGTCTACGGGCTGGTGGCATGACTGCCAGGGGTGCCGATACAAGGACAAGGCATGCACCTCAATGTTGCCAGCTGCGTAAGCCCTCAGATTGGCATACTCCGGGCGCAGCCGTGGGATCTGCGCCGGGGTTGATTCTGAGTGTGTGAGCTCCTCGTCTCCAAAGAGATGGCCCGACGCGTCGTGATATATGTGCAGCGGCAGGTAGTCTCTTAAAGCCGCCAGTGCCTGCACAGCATGCAGCACTTGTCACACTGCATCAGACGCCACCCCGCCTTCAACTTGAGACACATAGGCTGCTGTGATGGCAATCACTTCAAGTGGCATGCACTAGGCGCAGAGTCTGTACCTGCAACTGGCCCACTAGCTGCTCGTGCTCTGCAGCAGCTTGTGCGACTGTGAGGCTCCTTACTGGCGTGCTGGACACCAGACGATTCTGCAGAGGCAAAGGAAAGAGAGGATTGACAGAGCCCCAAGTCGGAATACGTGCATTTGAAGAGACAATCCCTCACCATCGCAAAGTTGTTATTGCACATATTCAGAATTTTGTGTACGAAAGGTGGACATGGAAACGGATAAAGATGTCTTAGTGCCGATGGAGGGAAAACGCCAGTGTCTGGGTTTCCCCATTTACGAAGGAATGGCTTACCAGGCATCCGAGCTGGATCGGGATAACTATATCAGGCAGGCCCATCTGCTTCCGTACTGGGGGCCTGGCAATGAGGATCGCGGGCAACTCTGCAGGGTTCCGCAAGACGCTCAGGATCTCCAGCGCGTGTCATAAGTTCGGCCGAGAACAGACAAACCCAGACTAGCAGAGTAGAAGCTACGACAAACAAGATTGCTGATGGACCTGTACTTGGGACGTGTGTCTCTCTGTGTTCCCGGTATGGAAGAAACGCACCGTCTGGCCGCATTGACGTCCCGGAATGTCTGAGCCCGTTTTCGAGCAAATTTGTTTCAGGAATCCGACGCTGGACTGTGCAATGGTAGGACAGAATGTTGCCACCGCGGCTGACTCGTCTTCATCGACCTACTACTGAAGAAGCCGTGAGGGGCATGCTGTGTCGTAAGAAGTTCTGATGACGCGCTCGTGATGTCAAGAAGATTCCTTTCAACCTCCCCTCTGTGTTCCGCCATCTCCCCACCGAAAGGTTTGCAATGTGGGGGATATACACACCTATATTCCACCCTCATCATGCACGGGTGCTTGTGATCTAGTGCTCCAGGCAGGCATGCCCACGGTGACAGGGACATGCATGCATCCATGAACACATGAGGCTGCGCAAGGGTGCATTTGCGAGTTGACAAGGCTGCAAGCCTGTGCATATCGGCCCCGGGTTCCGGCTGCAGACGGACCTGTGTATGCCCTATGGCCCTCTGGGCTCTGGGTTCGCCACTCAAAAAGATTATTATTATTATTATTATTATGAGGCACATGCCGCGGCGGCAGGCCTAGGCGGCGCCTTAGAGCCACCAGTGACCAAATCCGATTCACAGTCTTCTGCTGCAGCTGCAGCAACTGCAAGTTGCACTACGTTATTCTTTGAGCTCTGCATGCCAGTGATGATACTGCATCTCAAGATGATCACTCGACAGGGTCACACATGTGTACAGCAGTCACTTAAGAGAATCCCAGCCACTCCACACAGACAGCTTCAAGCCCTCCTAAAGAATAGCAAATACCAGTCGACCACAGTGCCCATCCTCTACCTACAGTATAGCTTCACACACCACAGCGTCAACACAGAAAAGCCATCTGTGCCTCAGAAGCAAGTGCCCAGGAGACACGAGGGCCTCACTGGGTGCCTGCTGTGCGTTGCAAATCCTGTATTACTCATTCTGCATGCAGCGACTCTCAAATCATTTGCATAGGACACTCGCAGTGCACACTGCTCCAGCACTCTATTCTCCTCAGACCAGTCTTGAACCTTTCACCCCTCACAAACACACGTGCAGGCAGAGACTACTGCCTGACTTGCACAAATGCGCTCCACAATATATTCTGGCATTGCAGCCATCGCTAAGGACCCCAGCGCAGGATTTGTGAGCGCGGGCTGTGCGCCTACACATCGTCGTGTGCATGCAGTGAGGAAGCCACAGCGCTGCCAGAGACTGATCCATGGCGATGGTAGGAGAAGGACTGGATGTTCATGGTGCTCTGCAAACCACACAGAAACAAGATCACAACGCGTAGAAAGCCCTCATCCTGGCAAAAAACTGGCATGGGCTGTCCTGATCAAGCAAAGCGCTCACAATGGATGGGGAGTGTGACTCATATAGAAGTTGCACCTCCTTGTTTGTGGGTCCTGAACAGAAGTCTACTCAATCCACCTTTAAATTATGAAGTGCGAGCTTCATTAAAGGGCAGCCAGGAAACACGAGAAGACACGATTATCAGTAGTGCCGATACTGCAGATACTAGCTGCTGCCAGCAAGCCTGTGAAAGGACCAAATGGGTCGCACAGCTGCATAGACACAGACGGCATCCTTGGCTTGAGGAAGCATCATTTTTGTTTCCGGTTCCCTACCTTCAAGGAGGATGGTGTGCCGCGCATGGTGATGGGCTGGGTGGAGGCCTCCCTCCCGGGCACAAGGGTGGGTAGGGCGTTGTACTGGGGCGCCGGAGAGGGGGGACCGGCCGGCTCCAGGGCATCGCCGCCAAACAGCTGCTCCTCTTCCTCCTCCTCCTTAACATCCCCCTTGCTGTACACCAGCGTGCCGCACACGAGCACCGCAAACCTGCGCAGACATCGCATTGGTGTTGTGTGTGCATACATGCATCAATGCTGTGTGTGCCAAATTTCTATGACGAGGCCTTCTTTCTATGGCACAAATGCACAGGTTAGCTGAAGCCCTGTCATTGATTAGCTTGCGCAAGCCTTGCAGTGAGTAATCTATAAAGCTGTCAACCTCAGCGTTGTTGGCTGCTTGGGATTTGCATCTGCGCATGCTTTGGTTCCCTAAAAGCATGCCACGGCTGAGCGCAAAGGCTCTGCCAGACGACAGAATATCACCGTGGTAAGTAGGAGAACGTAAGCAGGCAAGTTCCAAATCCAAGGCCAATCAAGCCAGCATATGACAGCCAAGACAGGAGATAAAACCCTACCCTGCAGCCTGGATGAAGGAGTAGACGCTCCAGGACTCGCCCAGCTTGCCAAAGCCTAGAGGGGTGTAGAAGAGCAGCAGGTCCACCAGCCACACAAACATGGTTCGCATCGTCTCCAGCACTGTCCGGAACACCGCTCCCAGCTCACCTGCACAGGCGCCATCACAACCATTCATCTACGAGGTTCAAGCAGTACTCAAGGTCCAATTCAGGCTATGCAGGATACAGGATACATATCGGAGAGTTTGGTATTGCTGGATGCAACAGAGAGCCCTCAAACACAGAGCCCTCAAAATAGACAGCCCTTGAATACCTACTTTGTGGGGAGCCAGGTAATGCAGGAGGCAGGGTGCTTTTTGGAGGGTGTGAAAATGCTGGATTTTACAGGAGGTGCAGGTCGTGGCAGGTGCAAGTGGCAGGATCTCACCAGTCACACACATTCCTGCGTAGTTGTACAGAAGTAGAGCTGCCATGTCCACCAGGATGACTGTGAGCAGTGGCCCAGAGTGGAACAGCATCTGCGCAGCAGCCCACACACAGTCAGCAAGGCAAACTCTATAGGCTTCAGATTAACCACCATTAGTGCCCCATCTTGCAATCATATACCCTTTTATGACCAGTCCGTCATCGAAGCTTGCCCATCACAACACCACAACAGTCACAATAAGAAGCAGCAAGCACAGGGGGGACCAGTCCTGCTTGCATGAGCAAAAAATGCATTGCCAGAAAAGGGAGGGAGGCTCACATGGAGGGTCTCGATGGAGTTTTCATGCAGTCCCTCGCCGTCGATGCCAGGCAGAAAGTAGACGATGGGCAGCATTAGGAAGACCATGATGGCCGTTCCAAAGACGCCCTCCCAGCCAACGATGAGCAGGGGAGGCACTGCCAGGTCCGCCATGAAATAATCCTCAAATGTGAGCTGCGCCGCTTGCACTGCCTGTGTGACACAGCGCATCACATGAGTGCATGACTCACTGCTCATGCATTCCTGCATCACAGTGGGATTTGCACATACACATGGCAATAATGGAGCGATCCATTAGTACAGTTCACCCAGAGTCCCAGGAAAACTTCTGAAGGTATTGAATGCCAGAGTGTTTGTGCAATGCTTGTCCTAGTTGCTCGAGCACTGCGGGTGAACATCGCAAAAAGGCATACAAGAGTGAGGGAGGCTCAGGCAGGACAGCATCATGGTGATGCATGCTCACCTGAGAGGCTACAATGAGGCCCATGCCCAGTAGCATCTGCTCTGGGGAGATCTCCACCTGTGTACTGCCTCCTCCATGCAGCACACTGGACATGCCCACCAGCCCAATGCCCACCTGTTCCCAATCAGAGCAGTTTTGCTCTTCTCCAAGACAAGCAGAGCTGATGTGAGCACACCATGCATGTCAGATCAGGACAGGAATTTGTAGAAACAGCCCATTGCCACCGCTGTGATGGGGGTGATAGTGTTCACAGCACAGGCAGATTTATGAACGTCATGCACACCAAACACTGGTGACCAAAGTGGGTACAAAACATTGTCGATAAGAATCGTTGAAGCGTACCACACAGCAGAAGATGCCCAACAGGTGGAACTTGTTCAGACGCCGATGCAGGAAGAGTACTGAGAAGATTGCTGCAAAGAACATCTCTGCACCACGCATCATCTGGTACACGCTGGCTGTGACGCTCAGAAGGCCAATATTCATGAGCACAGTGGCAATCAGGTCGAATACAGTGGGTATTGCCAGCATGAAGACCTGGTACTTCGGTTTTGTGTCATCCTGAGCGAAAAGCAGAAGAATCTGTCAAAACTTGAAGAGAGTACAAGGAGTACATCCTGAGCAAGTGCATGTCAACATGAAGACTTCAAGAAGTCCAAAAGCCCACCATCCAGGTAGCACTCAAAGAGTGAGATAGACATTTGCTCTCGCAGGCTCATGTGATGGCCAATCACTGACCTTCTCTACGCCATTGAGAAGGGGTGCTGAAGCATCCCCATCAGCCTCCCGTGCTAAGCGGCCTTTTTGCCTGCGCTCCTCCAAGAAGGCCAAAGGGATGCAGAAGCTCATGCCAATGAACATGTTTGTTGCCATCGCCCATGGCTTCCTGAAGAGCTTTGCGGCTCCATCCAGATCAGGTCCCTCTAGCTCGTAAACTGCAGCGCAGAACAATAGTCATGAGAGAATATTACATCAATACCCCAGCAATTGAGACCTTGCAATCAATTACCACTTACCGATCTTCGCAAAGAGGGATGTGATCGTGCCGAAAAGCAGCAACCCTGAGACACTGAGGTACAGGGTGAGCGAGCCCATCGCAGGTGAGTCACACTAGTCCGTCTAAGGTTACCCTTGCCACTCCATTCACTCTAAAAGCCAACGATCGAGAAATGTGACACAATCGAAGTGGACAATCATTACTCTTGTGCCTTTCTCCAGCCTGGAGTACGGGTTTGCCTCATCGTCCCACATGGCTACCACGTGACCTCCTTAGTACTGGTTTTGGTGTCAACATATTGGATTCCCAAAACCTTTGATCATTTCCTGACTAGCTTGTCATGCATCTTCAAAGCCATGAAGTACACGCCACAGAGCATCACTCTAGGCCAGCAGGCACTATTGCATGAATGATGAGGCCCCTGGGGCCCCCGGGGCGTATATGCGGCATGCCATGCAGTGCACCGTGCGCGTGACGCGGGATCCTCCAAAATGAACTTGGATGACTTCCATCAAGCCAAAATCATTGGATTGCACGAAGCTGCATGCGATCGCAATTCTCCCGATTCAAAAGATTCAGATCTTGTCCAGAAATGCTGCAGAAAATTAACCCACGCTGCCTTGTACTCGAGACTTTGGCGCTGACCAATATTGGGTAGATTAAGAAATCAATTGCTGCCCTGCCAGCTCTGTTAGCTGTCACACACCCTGACACTCTGCACTTACTCTGCAGCAAGTGTTGGATAGCATTTCATCTGTTGCGGTGCAACATATGCGCAAAGGACTACTGCCAATTGCAAGCGGCAGCTATCGTGAGATTCCATTGTTTGGCTTTCTGTCTTCCGCCAATACCTGCTGCAATCGCATCCGGGCGTCCTGGCTTGATGTGGTTCTGGCATCCTGCGATGCTGGTTCAAGAGGCGCTGGAACTCCCTGCAATCTCGGGACATGAGCCATGATATCAGGGTGCTTGAAAGTGGAAAGCTCTCATCAATGCTCCCCAGCATTTGTCTCCACCAACTTGAATTGCAGTGGCACTGTACCGGTATAAGTCCTCAAGTAGAATCCCTCGTGAATGCAGCGCTCATGCATGCATGATTCAGCTGCAGCTGCTGTGATGCAGACTCTAAGATCGTGATTATGACAGAAAGGAACCTGTTGCATAGGCTGAGCCTCAGATGCAGTGCGGGTCACCCAAGTCTTCAGTGGATCTTCCTCCAAATTCAGGCCCAGTGAACCAGCCACAAACCCGCCCCAGAAAGCAACAGGCTCCTGTAGCAATAATGAAAGTGAGCTTAGTGTATTGAGACAGTAATGGATAAGAAGTATATTATGACCGGAGTAAATGGAACAGCCTTCTGCTAGCTTCTTTCATTACCTTCAATGCTTGCTTCAAAATGGGGTCATCAGTGCTGGCTACCACCCGCACTTGACCCCGTGCAAGTCTGCGCGAATTGGATGTACGCTGATTGTAATCGATATGAGGAGGCCTTGCGCGCGGTGTGCCCGCTGCCCTTCGTACTATGCCTAACGAGGAATGGAACGGCATGTGTTGTCAGATCAGCGCTTTTGAAGTGAGTGCAAGGATATCAGCAAGGAGAGGCTCCGCCACCTCCGAAGTAAAAATTTGCAATCTTTTATGTCAATATCAGTGCATATCGAGTTGTAATGTTTCTGGAAAGTAGACATATAACTTGAGAACCTTGATCGCAAAACAGCAGCTACTATATCTCTGCGTTACATCCAACCTCCGTCGCATCGGTTAACTCTGTTTAATTTTCACGTAACGAGGGTTCTTGTAAGTGCTCATCTACAGTCAACTGAGCCGTCCTAAAATCTGGAGAATCAGCACCTTCCTAAAATAGGGTCAACCCCTAAACTATTCAAGCAGATGGGACTTGTCTCTCTAGAATCAGCTATGCCTGGAAACAGAAACAAAAAACATCACATGCAGGCATTTGCACAAATGGCACATGAACACACAACACCAAAGCTGCGATGTCAGCTGCTGGGCTTCGGCTTCAAGCCCTTGAATTTGATGGTAAAGTGCGGCCCGCCGCTCTTTTTCTTCTTGGGAGGCGGCTGCATGCTTTGGCTGGGACTCTCGTTTGGCCTCTTCTGCGCCCCTGCCCCAATTTCCTTCCCCTGCACCCACAATACTCTTTTTAATGGTGCGGAGCTGACAGAGCAATGATGGGACGTCACATCTCAGATGCGCTGTTTCTCTCATGCATGCAAGCACACGCATGCCTATGCTTTACCTTGCGTTTGAATCTTCGGTCAGAGAAAGAGAAGCACATGCATGCCTATGCTGTGACTTGCATAAGTATCTCCGTCTCAACAACTTCGGTCCTAGAAAGAGATACGCCGATGTCAAGACACGGCAAGCGCCAGAGCAACGAGGAAAGGGCTGCCTCATGGCGTGAATTTACAACCTTCTTGAAACCCCTCACAATGGATACTTGATCAGCAGCGATCAACCATCAGAGCAAAAGAGGGAGATGCGATGATCATTGATCTTCACCTGCTCTGGGGCGTGGCCGTGGGGGGGCCCAACAGAGGCGGCCCGGCTGGGTGCGGCGGGAGGTCTATGACCGGGGGGCACCCAGTCATCTAGGGGGGACGCAGAGCGGCGCATGCTGCCGGTGCGGCCAGAAGTTGAGGGCATGGGCTCCACATCCGCGATGTTCTTGCCTGCAGCAGCCAGCGCCTCATTCTTTCACCATGGACTCTTCTAGATCAGTACGACTTTACTCAAACGCCACAGCTTGTCTAATGTGCTTCTGTCTGCAGTGCCTGAAGCACAGGCAGAGGTGATTGATTTAAAATTAAGGGGATGGCCAAATACAAATACAAAAACACAAATCAAGATGCCCAGAATACCCTGCTGTTATAAGAATTACAGCAGCATGCGAAAGGGAGGCCTGCATCAAGCTCGCAGCAAAATTGCAAAAGTGCCATTGCAGAACCATCCAAAGTAGTCCCTTTGGCTCAGGAAGACTGTGACGTGAAAGGTGATGACTCACCCACGACCTCCTCTTCCATGTCGGCCTCGTCGTCGCCGGCCGCATCCTCGCCCGAGTCTGTTATGCCGAAGCTGTTGAGACCGGACTCGGTGGACAGATTCGCGGTGCTCCGCGCGCGCTGCGGCCGGACGCGCGGCCCCTCCGGCGACGCCACCGCCGCCTGTGAAAAAAAGATACGATTAATACTATTATTAATACGTGCCGTTCTCTGCCAAATGTCAAGGTACGTCAAGAGGCTTCCACGATCATACCCCGTGTATGGCGTTTACTCGACAATGATGCCCTCATCCCTTGTGCAAGAACGGCCAATGCAAAGCTTCTGCATTGTGGGTCTGGTTTGGTGCGCTGCATCGCAATTGTGTGTGCATGCAAAAAAAAGTTGCCTGCCGAAAGTCACGCATGCTGGCCTGCTCCACAGCTCTTTAGGGTTTTCAGCAAGAACGGAGTTTGCTCAGTGCAGGGCATCGCTATTCTGAAGAAGAGGATGCAATAGTTGTACAGCTGAAATTGTCAGAAGCCCTTGCTCACGTCAGGCCATTGGCCATATTGAGATCTGTCACTGTGAAGATGGGAAATTCAAGAATAAAATACACTAGTAATGCAGGGATGACGGGATGAGAGCGGCAGGGCAGGCGTGCCTTGGGCAGGATGCCAGCCAAGGCGGCCAGCTCTTTGGCCTGGTTGGGGCGCTGCTTGGAGGTGGCCTGAACAACCTGCGCCAGCTCCTCCTGTGTGTACTGCAGCCAGCTGGGAATCTCCTCCTCGCCTGCACAGCACAGTTGTATTAATTGGCTGGGCATAAGCCAATTGGCCACTCTTGCAAAGGCTATCAAAATCTGGACAATGGAACGGGACAGACTGGGATTTGTCAGTTCTCCATTGCTCCCTGCATGGGAGTCTCCTGGCTGTCACCTGGCAAAGTTGCAGAATGGCACACAAAGAAGTGGTCAGTATCAGGTGCAGACTGGATTAAATGTTAATTCCCCCGGGTCCAGGGGCGCGCACCCTCCTCGGCAGGCCACGACAGCTCGCGGTCCAGGCGGTCAAACTCCACTCGCTCTGCTTCTGAGCGCGCCAGCACCGCATTGAGTTCCTCCCTGCTAGGCACCGCGTTCACTGCCTTCTTCAGCCGCTCCTCATCCTGCAACGTATGCACTCAAAATACTTTTCCAATCCAGGCCAATTTCTTCTGGGCTAAAGTAATGCCTCTTCTTGATCGGATATCACAGATGTGAGCAACAGTGACATTAATAAAATGAATCAGTAGCACAGACAGGTCAAGACACCCCAGAACCTGGCTTTTGCAGTCCTGCATGTGAGCAGGAAGGCGGGAGGGCCATGCCTGGGATCCATGCGGGGCATGCCAGGGAGTTTGTGATGCATTGTTCCAGCGAGTTGCACAGGCATGGCGAATGCACAACAGGGGACAAGGGTTGTGAAGTCTGCATCAGGGACACAAAATGGACCCATGTAACGAGCTCTGTTGAGAGGAAAGACAGGCATCCCTCCTGCCAAATTATGTGCATGCTGTCATAGGTTGCGCCCCTAGAAGTCATCTGGTTATTACCCCACAGAGGAATGCATATTGTAAGTAATGGGGCCAGTGGCATTAAAAATTGGGACAAGGGTTGTGAAGAAGCTTGCCTGCAGCATTTCCTCGAGGGTGTGTCGCCGCTCGTCCATGGTGGTGTTCATGTCAAAGCGGCCGGCGTCGATGACTTCGTTGGCCATGTCAATCTTCATCTTCTGGATGTTGTTGCGCACCAGCGACTCTATGCTGTCGGCGTACCCTGCCCTCGCCACCTGGCATGGTCCAAGATAAACATGTCAGATTTTTGCAGCCCAAAACCAGCCACTCTTGTGCTGCATTTAAGGAAGCTACAGGTAGCTACAGTAGCTCCCTCAGACGCAGCATGAGAGCCCACGGTACGAGTTCAGTGTTCTTGCACCCTGCAGTGCCCACTTGGGAAAACACGTCTCTGAAAGCTACTTCTGCTCTGGGAAATCCCCAACGTCAGTACGCACGCCATGCTTGCAGATTACAGCTTGGTGCATTGTGCCCGTGCTGCGTCAAAGAACTGATGGATAGAGCCAAGCCCAGTCTTCATTGTCAAGAACGCCGCTTGCTATGGCGCATCATCCAGAAGTAATTCAATGAAGAAACTCAGAACCTAAACTGGTAGTCTACAAGAGTACAAGGGGTGGCATTACAATGAGGGCAGCTGCGGCTGGAACATACCTGGCCATTCTGGGATGGGTTCCCTGACTGGGAGGGGACCTCAGGATCAGCCACGGCCTCCAGGTGAATCACGCGGACCTCCTTGGTCTGGCCGATGCGATGCGAGCGCGCAATTGCCTGCGCATGGCAAGCATCACTCAGATAATTAGCTTGACAGTTCCTTTTCAGCTTTTAAGAGCGTGCTGGCTCCGCCACACAGAGCTTGTGGTGCACAAACATGGTGATGGTGCTGCGCAAGCGCTGTGTTGTAGCCAATGCACCTATGACATATGTGAAAGTTAACCCGAACACAATAGCCGACCCAAGACTGCCTCAATGGGCCTTGGTCTCATCAGGCTGCAACCACTTGCACTCCGCCGCCTCAATGCAGCGGACAGTATCGTGTTGCAATGTATTACTCATAAAGATGGGTGCGCACCTGCTCCTCGTTCTTTGGGTTGGGGTCTGGGTCATAGATGACCACAGTGTCCGCCGATTGCAGGTTGAGACCTCGGCCGGCCGCGCGGATGGACAGCAGGAAGATGAACGCCTCGCTGTCCTTCTTGTTGAATTGCTGGATGGCCTTCTCCCTGCAGTTCACAACAATATCATTATTATTATTGTTATTATTATTATTATTATTATTATTATTATTATTATTATTATTATTATTATTATTATTATTATTATTATTAATAACGCACCAAAATGCTCCTCAGGGAAATGAGCGGTGCTAATAAGTACCATTCCCACCAAATATTCGTCTCAAAGGGTGAATCTAAGCCAGCAGACAGATTGGACATTCAAATTTCTGGGGTGCTGGCACACAGGGGCAGACCTAGTCTCGAGGGTTTGCAATGACGCTTATAATCTCTAAGCCCTGCCGCCTGAGTGACCTACATCTTCACCATGTCATGGACAGAGGGAACCCCAAAGAAGTTCTCTGGGTGGAACCTGTCCTCAACTTTAAGCGTCTATGCGAAGATCAACATCCCTGACCTCTAGAGCCAGAGGACCTACAGAACTTATTCTACCCTGCCGTGCAGGTAGGGATGCACAGATAAATACTCTCGGGGAGGCACCTGTCCTCGAGCGCGGTGGAGCCGTCGATGCGCAGGTAGTGCATGGCGCGCTGGTCGGGGCCCCATCGGCGCCAGAGAAGGTAGGACTCGAGGAGGTCCAGCAGCTTGGTCATGGTGGAGAACATTAGCACTCGGTGGCCTGTCGCGTGCAGCTTGACGAGCATGCGGTCTAGCACCTCGAACTTGCCGCAGCGGCGCACCAGCATGCCGCCGTCAAAGTCGAAGGGCGGCGGGTAGCTCAGGCACGGGTGGTTGCACACCTGCGCGGCGCAACAATGATGTCAGCGGCCAGGGATGCCTGCTTCAGCTTCTTGCACATGGAGGACCAATGGCACACATGAGCTTGGCGTCTGACAGGGGCAGGGTAAAAATAAGTGTGTTATGCAACGGGTGAACCAGAAAGACGGAAGCATGCATGAGTCCCTTTGAGGCTGACCTGGCAACCATTTAACCTGCTTATGGTGTCCTCGGCACACCCATTGCATTGGGATGTGAGCTGCAATGCGAGCAGCGCCGTCTGAAGGACCATGGAAGTCACGCGGTTGTTTCTTTGCCGGGAGAGGTTAATAGTGTATCTTCAGTGGTTAGCAAGAAGGGGGTCGTCACCTTGCGCAGCTCCATGCATTTGTTGTTGAGGGTGGCGTAGACGCGCGCGGTGTTGCTGACCCTGGGGCCGTCCGGGTCGAGGCGGATGGTGCCGCTGGCCTTGACCCAGTTGTAGAGCACGCTCTGGTACGGCGCCATCGGCACCTTCACCACCAACGGCACCTGCGCGCGCATGCAGAGAGCGCGTTCAAATTCGAATTTGAATGCTCGCCACGATGCAGTGCACCTCCAAAAGCCTCTCAAATTTTGGTTCTGACTAGCAAAAGTTCTGACTGATTGCCTAGCCGCTACAGCAGGTAAATAGTCGCCGGAAGAATCAGCTCTGCCCTCAAGCTTAGCAGGGTGGAAAAGTGGGTAGTGTATCCGCCACATCATGCAGGATGGTGACGTGATTCAAAACTCACCAGACTGCCTTTCATCCGAATAGCATGCATACAAGCAACGTGCGGGGCCCGGGTCACAACAAGCAAGAAAACCAGGGGCCAGGAAGAGTGAGATCACAAGATAGACTCTCAAACCTTACTTCAAGCAATAATTGTGACAAGTGTAATTTGATACGCTAATATACCATGCAACTATAATAAGAATACATATAAGTTTGGGATGCGTGCGCACCTTGGGCGGCAGCTTCCCCTCCACGTCCTGCACCTGGCGGCGGAGCATGAAGGGCTCCAGGATCTGGTGCAGCCGGTGGATGACCACGACTCGCTTCTCCGTCTCCAGCCACTCGTCCGGGCCGCCGCCTGCCCCCGCGCCCTGCTTGCCCAGCGCGTCGCTGAACCACTCCGCGAACGTCGCCTTGTCGTCAAACACCTGCGCCGCGGTGCACCCTTGTCAGGACTCGCGTATCAACAATGCAACACTCAACAAAAGCAAGGTCTGGACTAGTACCTGCAGAAAGGGCATGATATTGAATCAACAAGAAGGAAAGATGTGTGGCATCCTGGGAATGGCACATTGCATATGACTGCCATGAAGGAGCTGGCAGAGTACACCCTTTGCCCACATGTCAACGCAGCACAGGACGCATCTTGTAGCCAGTCACAAGCACGCCGGCTGGCATCATATTGAGGAGCATTCTCAAGCCTACAGATATGGAAAAGCGCAGGAAAACGTTCCAAAAGGCAGATAAGAAATAGAAGGGTGCGCGCCTGGGGCAGCAGGAGGTTGAGGAGGGACCAGAGCTCAGAGAGGTCGTTCTGCAGGGGCGTCCCCGTCAGCAGCAGCCGCCGCGCGGCCGTGAAGCGGTCCAGGTCCTTGGCCAGCTTGCTCTGCCGGTCCTTCATGCGCTGCGCCTCGTCAATTACTATGTACTTCCAGTCCACCTGCGCAGCAGTCAACAAGCCTTGAGCAAGCAGTAATGAAAATACTGTAGAAGCGCAAGCACTCCAATCCCAAGGTCTTAGATATGACAAGGTACCCATGAAGACAGTAGCGGAGTAAAGCTTCCATGCATGGGCAGAGGCTTGGAGACGCAGACAGAGAAGAAACAAGACCATCTGAGGGGACAAGGTCATCATGCCCTCCAGCCATAATGAATTATATAAGCGCTATTATATTAGAGCGAAAGCCATGAGGCAAGAGGCCACCTTGGAGAGCTTGGCGCGGTCGCGCATGATGTACTCGTAGGTGGTGACGAGCACATTGAATTGCAGGGAGGCGACCTCGGTGGCAAACTTGCGCGCGCGCTCGTCCTTGTGGCCGACGTAGTAGACGCAGCGAACGCTGGGCAGCCACTGCGTGAGCTCGCTCTTCCAGTTGACCATGACCGCGTTGGGCACAATGATGAGGTGCGGCCCGTAGTTGTTCTTGTGCTCCATCAGGTGCGCCACCAGCGCCATCACCTGCGCGCACATGCCCATACATGAGACCCAGTCACATGCCCAAGCTTATGAGGTCCCGGCAAGCCGCGCAAGCATGGCCTGAAGCACTGTTATCCTTTTTCCTGGCCGCATCCCGGTACATGCAGGCAGCACATGCTGACTGTGAACAGGCTGGCCGAGCCGGCACGGGGGAACTTTGGCTTTCTGTCTGCTGTAGAGAAAGTTGAAGGTGTCCTTCTGAGGAAAGGAGCAAATTGAGGGAACAGAATGATGTGTCCTCTTTCCTCAGAAGGGCAGTTCAAGATTCCCTGCAGATGACAATTACCTGGGTACTTTAAACTCCATCAAGCGGGAACTCCTTGATAAGTGTGTACTTTCATCACTGCATAACGACTCTTTTACTAAACACATGCTGCTCAAGTCGAGGCCACCTTACTTTCACACTCACACTCACCCACAGCAATGCCTGTAAGCGTTTGCAAAAGTGTCTAACCCTGTAAAGAGGTTCCCGGAGCGCGCCTGCACGGTCTTGCCGAGGCCCATTTCGTCGGCAAGGATGCCATTGAGGTGGTTGTTGTAGAGGGACACCATCCACTGCAGGCCCACCATCTGGTACTCGCGCAGCTTTGCCCCCGCCGGCGGCCGTAGCAGCTTCGGCTGCTCCAGCACCAGCTCCTCCACACTGCCCCACACACAGTCACCCCACTTATCAGAACTACCGCTCCAATCAAGGACCGTACATGAAAGCGTTCCGGACAATAAGTAACAGCCATGTCTCTGTCTTGTGTGAAGCAGCTGTCATGTTGTCAGCCATGCAGCCGCCCAGGAGTCTTGCAGGTCCTCACACTATGACAGAACAATATCCCAAGACACACAATGAAAAACTCCCAACTGCGCCCTTTGGTACCCGTTAAGTGGGAGGGCCATACTTGACAACACTAGATACATACCAGCCTCCAAGGAGATGTGGAAGCAGGCTTCACGCGCATTGCAGGTGTCAGCAAGGAACGGATCAGAAGTTCACCTGTGGGCGAGGTTGTAGTAGCGGGACTGCGCGTCGCCACCGTCGGCCTTGCTGGACTGCACCAGGCTGCTGCTGACTGCAGCTTCCGCCTCGGCCGCCTTGGCAGCTTCCTGCACCTCTTCCTCGGACAGCCCCTGACACAAACCATGCAAACCCATTATTTTGGCGCCTTCTAACAGCACACACATTTAAGAGGCACAGTAACTGCATGCAGATAAATCAAATGCGCCTGTATCTCTTTTCACATTGTTCAGAAACTTCACGAATGCAGGGAAATCAATCTCCCAAACACTCCAACCAATTGATCGGCGGTACACATGCCCATGCCATTGCTGCAAGAGCACCTGGCTCTGAAAGCCCGCACAAAAAGATCAAGGTGTCAAGCCTGCACGATGCAACGGGTTGTGTGAGGTGCTAACCTGGGCGCGGGCGCGGGAGATGGCGAGGGCGGCGGCCTCGGAGGCCTCCTGTGCGAGCTTCACATGGGCAACCTTGGAGGCCAGCTTGTGCAGGTACTCCTCCGTGGTGGACAGGAAGCGCGAGATGACCTCGTAGCGCTCGCCGCTCGTGCCGGGGCCAGCCGTCTCGCGCAGGATCTGCTGGTACGCCTCAAAGTCGTTCGCCTGCACAAAGTCACACATGCAGCGCAAAGAAATGAGTAAACATCCCATCAGCCAAGTCCTCAAGCAAGCTCCTTGAGCCAGCATCAAAGTCAGAGAGGGCGGCTAATGATTGTGTTCCTGGGTGCAGGCAGCTCAATGGTAGAAAACTGAGACTTGGCAAGAACAGTTGACATAGCAAGCTGCAGCCTTGCACCAAAGCAAGCTGCATTTCTAGCCATGCGGCGTTGCAAACCCATATTGGGAACTGTCAAGATCTGGATGCAGGCCATTGCGTGCAGGCCTTAAAAGCTACGGTGCTCCTCGTTGCTGATCGTGCTGCGTGCAGCAATGGAGAGGAACCAGAGCACGTTAGGCCCGCATGCAATTATTTCGCATTGCACCCAGCGGCAACGAGTTCTCGTGCAATGTGCACAGCAGGCTCGGACTCACATAACAAGGTCAGGGATCTGCAAAGTTGTGTCACACCTTCAGGGCTTCCATGCGGCGCGTCCGGTCATCCTCCTTGAGGCGGTTCATGTCTCGCAGCAGGCGCTCATGTGCGCGCAGAACGTAGCGGTTGCGCGCTACCCGCATCTCCCTTGCGCCACTCAGGCGCTCGGTTGTCTCGTTCTTCCACACCTTGATCGCCCTGATGCGCTCCGCAGCCCTGTCTGCTCGGCCCTTGTCCTCCTGTGCGTGAGAAATTTGATGCTCAGTGCACCCCTATGTACCACTGCTGCAGGCCTCTCGCTGCAAAGGAATAGTGGGACCCTGCTTGGCTTTACAGAGTACTGCAAGTCCCCTATGTACCATTTGCATGCGTCCCGCTGCAAAGGGATCATGGGACCCTGATTGGCTTCACAAGTGCTGCAGCGTTAACATTCTCATTTACTCGTAGAACACAAAGGACTGCTTGATCATGAGCTGAGCCCTGGCGCTTGTCAAGCGCATACTTTTATGATACGCACACGCCACATATGAGAAAGACAAGAAAAGAGCAGGAAGCTGCAGGTCGCTAGGGAATGGAAGGGCAGGCAGTGCGCCGACTCAGGATTGCATCTGCAAGGACACACTTCTAATTTTGACTCACATATCAGGTAATCAGGTAAGCGCCGTGGAGCAGCAAGGTGCAAGGGGGTGGAAGGGCAGGGGGAACGCACCGCTCGTTCGTCGTCAATGCCCTGGCGCCAGCACTGCCGCGCAAATTTGCGGTAGGAGCGGTCGCTCATGCTCATGATGTCCGCCTGCTCCCTCTCCACCGCCTGCCGCACATTTACCTGCTTCTCCATCGCCATCAGCCGCTTCAGCCGCAGCATCAGCGCCGCCTTGCCAACGCCCTGGCCACCGGCACGTGCAATTTTATGAGCTTTCTGACCTCTCAGTAGCCTGCACACCCCATAACGTCTCCCGAATTTATTGGTTCTGCAAAGGTCCAGCGCCTCAGACATCTCCATACCACTTTGATCGGCGCTGTCCTGTCCCGCTCAATCAGTTTTTGGGCTGTCCAAGAAAAATAGTTAAGAAACCAGGGATAATTCCCACTTGGCCTTGGCCTCAGTGGCCAAGGAGCACAACGAGGGCCGCTCTGCCGGGAGAGCCGCACCATTTTGAAGCCGGGGACCGTGCCGTTGGCGAGCTTGGCCTGCAGCTCGGCCATCTGGCGCTGCCGCGTCCGCTGCACGAAATTGTGGTACTCGTGCGCCAGCAGCTGGGTCGGCTCGAAGTTGAATGCGTTCTGCTGCTGCTGTTGGAGCACGCCTTGTGCAGTAGGATATTGCGGCGCGCGATTGCCGGGCGCAAATGAGAACAGCGGGCCCAGCTGGCGATGCACATCCGGCAGCGGTGGCGGCGCCGGCGCCGACGCCTGCATGCATGCATCCATGAGCATCCGATGACGTCCTGATCTGGCTGCTTGGATTTGGATGCGGAGGGACCAAATGAAACTGTGGCGCAACGGCCTGTCGACCCTCAGCACCAATGCGGCATCCAGCATCTGAAGGCGTCCTGCTTCGAATGATTGGATACGGAGGGACCATAAGTCTTGTGACCAAGAATGCTTTGTTGGTTCACAAAGGCAAAGCAGGGCCTAAGCTGTGATGAAGAGTCTCTTGCTGAGCAATTTCTCAAAGCAACCATATCACATGCCCCGCCATTATAGGGTCAACAGGACCCTTATACACCAAATAAGTACGGGACCAGAGGTGAAAATTGGAGGCGGCTGAAACAAACACCCACCTGGGGAGGCTGGGCAGGCATTGGTGGGGGACTTGGGGAGGGGGTGGGGCCACTGCTGGCAGGCTGTATAAGCACCACAGGAGCGCTGGCTGGCTCCGATTTGACCACAGTAGGCGCCCGTTGGGCCGGCCAGGTCACAACCGCTGGCTGTGCTGGCATGACGGGCTGTGCAGGCGCTGCCGCCTGCGGCGCATTGTGTAATGGCACAGGCTTGATGCTCTTTAGCAGGTCCGCTGGCAGCTCCTTTCGGTTCTGTGTGGCAGCAGACAACGAGTCATGGCTTCAGCAGAACTGGTCATCCAAAGCCAACCATACACACCCGTTTGGCATGACTCTAGAACCGTGCAAACTATCGTCCGCAAATTCGCGCAGCAGGTGAGCTGGCACAGGCTTCAAATAACATACCTTGATGTTGCGGAATGCCAGAATCTGGTTCCGCAGCGTGTACAGCTGACCGTCCGTGAAGATGTTGCTTGTGGCCTGATTGCTGCTCGACGCATCAACCGCTTGCGCTGGCGTGGAGGCAGCTGCAGCATCGCCTTGCTGCATGGTCCCTTCGATGCGTGCCCAGGCAGAGCTTCAGCACTTCAGCAGCTCCCAGCAATGCCCCCTGCTTGGCGCCATTCTGCTCGACCCTGGCACCTTATGGCAGCCAGTACAATCACGCGCCTACAACAAGGGCAATCAGACGCTTCATCATCGAGAAAGTTGTCGACTCCACACAACACCTCCTCATAAATCTGATGCGGTGATCTGGAACTCTGAAAGCCACTTCCATCAGAGCTTGTCACTTTGAATGTTATCACCATGTTCTAAAACGAAATTACTGCCATTGTCTTATTCTCTAGGGCCATCTATATTTTGTCCGATCACTGCAAGGCACTATGGCCAGATGTGCAGAATGCAGGTCCACGAAGTTCAACAACTTACGTTTTCGTCCTGTATGGTTCTTGTATAACAAAAGTACTACATACCTTCGAGTCTTCGATTTTTCTTCACAACAGGCTGCTCTTAGAGTCCTTAGAAGCAGACCAGAGTCTGTTAGCCAAGGTGCTCTGCTTGACTCCTTTGCAGACTTGAAAGCTTGAAACAAGAAAGTTATCAATGAGATGCACGCAATGACAGCTCGTGCAAGCTTTCAAATCTGTTTTGAAAGAGAACGAATGACGCTGGCTTCCAAGCGGCTGGACAGAGGCCTGCCTAGATCTCGAGGCGGTTGCCTAATCAAGGCAGCTCTCCATTTGGAGGAAGTTGCCCCAGAAAAGTGCCATGTCGAAAGCAGAAGAACGCATATCGGACACTAATATTGAAATTTGTTGGTATTCGGCATCTGCTGGAAGATTATTTCACGTATCATATCTATGCTGTTGCGTTTGAGGGCGTTGACGTTGTACTTGACATCGACCCGTTTCTTTTGAAGAATTGTTGCAGCACTGAGACGTTACACAATATAAGTAGCTGCCTTGGTGCGATTGAATGGAGGATCTATGGATGACACTTGGTTGCAGCAAGTGCCGCTATTCAAAGCGTGGCTGCAAAAGATGCAAAGACCCAGAGTTTCAGGCACGTCAGCAGGCCAGGGCAAAGAAAGCACAGGCCGATGCTTGTACACAAAAGAGCTCAACCAGAACACGAGGGAAGGACATCGTAAGACCTGACACAGAGGGTCCACCAGCTCCAAAGCGCAGGAGGAATATCACTCAGACAGGAGAGCAGACCACTGCAGACAAAAAGACAAGGCTCAATGCGGTAATGGAGCCTTCTGCAGACACCAGGGAAGCAGGCAGCGTGGAGCAGCTGTTGGAGGCTCCTGCAAAGAAAAGGATTGGCTCTGGACTGGAGCTCGGCCTCGCAGCAGGCCTGCTGTCCCTGCCTGGCACCGATGCAATGGAGCAGCACTCCCTGGAGCACAGAGCGCTCGACCAGCGCGGCCAGAGGCCTCCAGCTACCCCAGACGCCAGTCTGCCAAGAAGCACAGCGGCTGCCAGTTGTTCCGATGTCAGCTGCAGCAGCACCCAGGTTACTGGAGCAGCCATGCATCAGTCGTTGCGAGGGGAGGATTTGGCTGAAGTCGTGGGCAACGAGGAGGGCCCAGGTGAGCAGAAGAGGAGGCAGCGCGACTTCATGGAACTGCTGCACAGCAAGATTCAGCAGAGGCATGACCAGCGGCAGCAACAGGGCGGCACCAAAGATGGCCCCTCCCTGGCCGCTGCCCTGGCATCAGGCGCACGCCGAAAGAAGGTGGGCACTGATGCATCACGGCATACCGAGGGTGGCCTTACATGGTTGCTAATTAGCTCAAAAGGTGCTGTATCATTCTTTGACCTGTGAAGCGTGTCTGTGTTCTCACGAGTGCACAGGTGCCTGGTATGAGTGTATGGTGCCTTGATGCAGGCAAAGGATGTGAGCGAGTTTCAAGGGGACCCTCGGGTATCTCTGTGGGAGCCACCACAATCTCCCTTTGGCCTCATAGAGGAGCAGCTGTTTGGCAACCCCTGGAAGCTGCTGGTGGCCTGCATACTGCTCAACAAGACCTCAGTCGTGCAGGCACGCATGCTCCGTTGATTCCTTGTGCAATTAGAATAGATCTCGTGGGTGCATCATGATTTTTCTCTGTACAATGCTATGGCTGGTGGAATTTGCATCCTTAAATGAGAGGAGAGGAGAGGTACAGGGAGATCTGAACCCATTGTATGAGATTGTCAGAGGTTGCTGATCCATGCAGGTGCGAAAGGTGATCTGGAAGTTGTTTGAGCTGATGCCGACGCCAGAGGACGCCATGCATGCGGATGTCGAGGCTGTGCGAGAGCTTATTGAGCCTCTGGGGCTGGCGCCCAAAAGAGCTCCAATGCTCATCCGCTTTTCCAAAGAGTATGTGGAGAAGCAGGTGTGACCCTTCTTATATGAACCAGGCAGCAATGCTGTCCTATGTCTGGAGAGCTGCAACCAATCCAAAACGCAGTGCATCAGTTGTCTTTCCTTTTTTATGCTCAACCCGTCAGGCAGGATGCCTTTTGCAGAAGCTCCCAGTTCAGTCAAACACCAGGTGAAGAACGACGCTTGGCGATCGACGGTCTTGTGACACATCAGGTTAATGGACTGAAACTAGTGGGTTCTTGTGGGAAAAATAGTCATCAAATTCTTTGGGCTGTGCAGTGGACCAACCCTGTGGAGCTGCACGGTGTGGGCCAGTATGCAGCAGATGCGTACAACATATTCTGCAGAGGCGACTGGCGCTCAGTATCGCCCAAAGACAAGGACCTGCTGCGCTATCACCAGTGGCTCACGGAAACTGGCGGCGAGGGAACCGGTCTGTCGAGGGATGCAGTGCCTGTCAGTAGCGGGACAGGCAATACTGGCAGTCCGGTAGATGATGGCCACTCGTAGTTTGCAATTTTACCTAGCTATTCAAGAATTGTAACTGCCTTCCTTTTATACGAGGGTATCTGTGCCAAAAGAATGTTATGTGGACTCCTCGGAGGCATGCTCACTGAGGCACAGCACTGTCACATCAATGCATTATCACAGCCATTCTTTCCATAAAATTCTTTATTGAAAATATCTTACGTCTTTCTCCCAGCTCCAAGCACTCTCCGTGGCATCTTGAAAGAGAGAGAACGAGAGTAACCTAACATCGTGCCTTGATCAGAGCTGGAGCTGTCACAGATCCATTCAGAAGCCAAGGGTTGTGAAAGCTATCGACTCAGCATCGCCTGTGGCTTCCGATCTAGGTTCCCGTGACAACTTCCTCTGATAGAAGCAGACGATATCTGTAGAGATATAAGCTCGAGCTCAGTGACTTACAAGGGCGGGAGAGCGACTTCGAATTTTTCAGGTTTAGATCATTCATCACAGCACGCGATTGCAAAAAGTTTATGGGGACACACTGATGCTCTGTCACACAGTATTACAACACGTGAAAGCCGGAATCATGCCAAACTGGTGTTGACGGAGGATGTCAGGTCCAGCATCTTCGGACAGTTCGGAAGTGCCGGTGCCTTCGCCATGCCAGGTTAGTGAACAGCCCGGTCGTCTCGCATACATCTTGGCAGAAATGACAGTATATGATCATCCTGTTACTTATTTTGTGGTCTGACAAGGTCGATTGCAGCTCTTATTGGCATATCTGTAGTCTGGCCAAAGTTGGTTGCATCTCTTGGAGGAAACCAACTCAATCCACTGGTCTTCCTCCACCGCAGGCAGCCGCTTCAGACACGAGCTCCACGACGGATGCGTCCGAGAAGACGATCTTCTGTCGTGTGTGCCTCGAAGATGGCTCAGAGAACCTAGTTGCACCCTGCTCTTGCAGTGGGACACTAAAATGGGCGCATGCTGCCTGCATCCAGAGATGGATAGATGAAAAGGTATCTTCACCAGATGGAGTACCACTTCGTGGTCTTTGACACTGGTTGGTATATACTCATGCATAAGAGCCAGCTAGCTTCCCGATACTGACCCCCAATGCAACTTTGGTGCAGGGTGACAAATGCTGCGAGATATGCAGACAGTCCTACAGCGGAGACTACAGCAGTCCCTCAAATCCTCCTGTTGCGGGCCCGCAAGTGCCGTTAGTGGCACCCTTTCGAGGAATCATGCTGCCATCACCATACCAGACTCTACCGGAGGCCAGAACAGCTGCTAGGGAGGTATGGCCAAGCTAGCAAATCCCTGCACATGCAGGCAGACATCATGCCAAATGTGAAGATCACTTTTCCCAAACCATTCACAGTCGAGGCAACCTCAAAAGCACAGGGAGTCCCACTGGACGACGTACATCTGCGCAAGATGCACTTCGCATTGTGGGCTGTCATGACTATCATGGCTGATTAGATGAAACGGCATGAAGCTGTAGCAGTAGGACATGTCTAAGGTTGTAATTACCTGTCCCTGAATGTGTAGCAGTAGAGTTTCACAGGCACTGGTCGTGCCTGATCATCAAGGTGTAGGACTCAGAAGGGGGTCTTAAGCGCTGCATCAGCTAATATTTTTGGAGCTAAAAGGGGGTCTAAAGCGCTACATGCGCCTGATCAGGAAGCGGCCGGGGGTGAGGAAGGCGCGCAGACGAGCGCGGCCTGGTGCCTCAGCGCGGTGCTGCTCTTCATGAGCTTGGTGCTGCTGAGGCAGGCCTTCGAGCGCCCTCTGGGCGCCAAGGACAGCGCTCCAGGGCCCAGTAGCACTCCTGTCGGCGCCATGCAGCCACACAGCCTCGGCACCAGCCTTGTGTACTCCACCCTGCCTGCAGATTCCCTCACTTCGACGCTCGTCCACCAGGACGCCCCTTCACAGGTGCGCGCCATCCTGACCACTCCCGTCAGTGGGATTTCTTCCACCGCTGCTGGTATGTTCAGTAATAACTATCAAAGTTGCTATCAGAAAGGGCAGGTGTGCAGCCTGGCATGTTTGTCAATGCGTGCCGTTTCACAATCAGGACATAGATGTGAGGTCTCTTCCTTGAAGGGTATCCATGTGCCCGCAGACAAAAGCTGTTGCGCCGACAGCAGACACGTTTGTCAGCGCCTGTCTCTTCATATATCCGCGATAAATCGTATCTATTGGGTGCACTTATTTGCGAAGCTTGTTCAGGGCGAGGGGGGCCCTGCGCTGATGTGGATAGCGCTGAAGGTGCTGATGATAGTACTGCCATTCTGCATCCTCCTGCGCATCGTGGTGATTGCGCGAGAAGTGCGCATGCGGCACAGCCGAGGCGCCGCTGCAGAGCAGAGCAGGGGTGCCGTCCTGTGGGTGCGTCTGCATCAGCGCTTCTTTCTGCATTGTATGCTGGCATTAGAAAAAGTGTCAGGGAAAAGGTGCAATGTCTCTAAGATTGTCTGATACTTTGGCTGATGATCTGACATTGTCTCGTGCAAGACTGTCCCGCAGAGCACAACTGGTGTAGCTCTGGGCTCCATGCACGCTCTGCGGCTGCAGTACTGCTGCTGTGTGCAAAAAATTTTGCAGTTTTTGAAGACAGGTTTTGATTGTGCTTGCAGAATATGGAGGCGGGGTTGCAAGATGTGCGGCAAGAACCGGTGCAAAGTCAGAGCGCAGTGCAACATCAGAGCGAAGTGCAGCATCCTAGCGAAGTGCAGCACCAGCAAAGACATGCAGCCCATTTTTTGCCGTTCTCTGTAGCGGTTTGTTGATTGTGCACATTCGTGTACACGAGCACAGTTCCTTTGGCCATGTTGTACGATGAGCATAGAACTGTTGAGAAGATATTGTACGATACGCCCTGTACTTCCTTTTATGTGCTGCTCAGCTCAGCTCAGCTTTTGCTCAATGAGGATACCCCTGAGAATGTGTGGCTGTGAGAACTAAGTGAAGTGACTCGTGCAGCAAGAAGGGTTTTTAATGTGAGACCAGTGTCATTGATTTTTGATAGCTGTGAAGCTGTTCATGAAGGATTTTGCCAACGCTCTGTTCAACAACTCAGAAAATGGCGCGCAATGTGGCAAATCATGATGTAACCGTCAAGACGATGCAGCAGTTGAGCTCTTGGACACTGTTAATGCCAATAACGATTTTGAAAATGGTGCACACTGTGGCAGCTGCTGGCAGCTGCTCACAGAAAGACACACCAGCAGCACAGACGGCTACTCAGTCTGTGCTCTGCAAGTGGATGGCTGTGAGGGACAGCTTGGTCAACTCAGCAGGCCTGCCACCCAACCTGAGCATGTGCAAGATGCCGGCAACCGCTGCCTGCAAGCCATCATCCGGCTGCTTGATCAGCAGGGAAAGATATGCGCGGCATGCTCGGAAAGATTTCCTTGCCAGTTCTGCCATCAAAGCTGGGTGCACAGCCACCATAGCGTCCTGCAGCTCCCTGCCTGAGCTGCATGCCTCTGCCGCACTTCCACTCCAATCATTGCTGAAATCACCAGAGAGAATGCACTCTGCAAGTGCAAGAGCCTCCTGCCCGGCTGCTTCACTGTCTGTGCTGCTCCTGTCTGCTGCCGGCCTCTGCATTTTAGTCTCTGCAGATGTCTCCCCAAGCCTCGGCCTCTTTGGGTCATGCTGCGCCTCATCCTGGTCTTCGTAGCTGCCTGGCAGCTGCTCTCCAGCTTCCGCACCCTCATGCACCTCTGAAGTCTTAAAGGGTGTCCTGTCGCGCTTGCGAAGCGCACTGACCGCTGCAGGGTGCTGACATGACTCAAAGAGGCATTTCTCCCCATCCAGCTGCAGTGGCAAACGGCTGGTGTGTGCAGCGCTGGATGCAACAAGGGATGAAGCCGCACAGAGAGCATGGAAGTCTTTGATCATACGGCCTGTCACTGCGCCCCACTCTGCTGACAGGGCTGTCAGACAGAGCAGCTCCGCAGCAAGGGCTGCTCCCTGCTGCCCACGCTGCACCAGTCTGTCAATGACTGCTCCAAGAGGAATTTCTCTGCCATGTAGCTGTTCAGACCGCAAATCTGCCCGGGACGTGCCAAGGAGCGCCCTTGCAAGCGCAAGGCACTGCTCGGCTGGGCCTGAGAAATAGGACAGTGCTTGCAGACTGGCTGCGGCTGTGTACACGCTGAGGTCAGCTTGGCTGTCCAGGATGTGTCCAGCAAAGTGCGCCAGGGAAGAGAAGCGGTGCAGGCTGAGATATCTGACGAGGCTGCTCGGATGAGCATCCAGCTTTGGTGCCGGCAGCACCAGCATGCCATTGTGCAAAGAACGTGCCTGCATGCAAACAATGCATTCCTATAGCAAAGTACAAGCGTGAGAAGAGGGAAGAAAAGGGCATGACACGGCACGCTGCATGTTTTGTTAAGTGCCGTCGCAAGGTTTCCCTCACCTTTCGTAAGTACTGCCTTGTGGATGCTTTCAAGAAGGCCAGGTCGAGCTGCGGTGCTGCCTGGGAGGCTTTGTGACCCAGAAGGCACTTCTGCAGGACGTCAAGGGGTTCGCTGTGGTGGAGTTCGCTGCTTTTCCTGGATGGCCTCTGGCAGGCGTCTAGGAGGTTGGCCAGCTTCCTTACAGATCTTCTGCAGTGCACCAGCAGGGCTCCGACGAGGAGCTCTCGTGCATGCTTCAGGCTTGCCAGGTCAAATTCGGACAAAATAGGGGGCAAAATGAGACCGGACACCTGCACATTGAAGCTCAACTTCGACACTGGTCCCTACAAGGCGAAAGTATATATGCAAGATGCAGTCCACAGGAGGCTTTGAGAGCAAGCTCTCGTAGTAATATGACGTCTAGTTCCAGCCTCGTTTACTATTTGTATGTCCGCATATCTGCCTACCTGCTGCTGGCCCACCAAGGCTTCCACAAGCTGTCCCCATCGAAGACAAACGCAGATCTGTTTTGTCGACCAGTGGATTTCAGGCCGATGTGCAAGCTCAAGAATATTTAGATACACTTTGATAGCATGAAGAAGACTCTGATCCATCCCGGGGTCTTCCATCATGTCGTAGATGCTCTCTCGATGCCTTTCAGCAAATGAAGTAAAACAACGTTACAATCACCAAAGGATGCTTAATATATTAACACAGATCACATACCAATCTTTGATGCAAAGTTCCGGATATTGAAAATCTCACCACATAGAGAAACAGACTTTGGACCTGCAAGCGCGATGACGTCAGCTGAGCTGGCAAGCAAAGAAGAGAGGGAAACAGTTGTTATTGAATTCGGCAATACATCTGCCTTGTCATGATTTTGCGATCTCAGTCATCCGTCGCTTGTCAGCACCAGGTGAACGCAAAGCGCACTCGGACCAGGAGTTCTGCAGCGGTCCCTTTGAAAGACATGGCATCAACACAGTCTGCAGCAGCAGAGCAAAGAGTGGTCATATCATTCTGCCCAGAAAGAGGTGATACTAGACTATATATGAGTATTATGCGTTTTATTTTAAATGTAGGGAACAGCAAGGCCCATAAGTGTCCCTCATTGCACAACGCCATCCTCATGTTCTGGCTTCAGAGGGCCGCTGCACATTGAAATAATAGATGGGGGCTGATTCGCAGGATCCGACGCGATAGAAAAAGCATCAGCCCCTCCAGGCTGGAACAGTCGGCCTTTGCAACTCGCGCACCCTCAGACAGGTATCTCCCCAACAAATTGACTTACACTGACGCATCGTTGGGACATATTCTTTCAAATGAACGGGTCAGATAGTTTGGTCACCAGAATTGATACGTTTGCTTATGTTCAGGGCATCCCACAGAGTACATGCTGCTCAACGGTCACCTACAGGAGGTGAACTGGTTTAAGGAACGCTACAGGGCCTGGTTTGTGGGTGACTATGTAATTGGTGATGGAGGACTGTACCTGTGCACACCCGTTGACCCCCTAATAATGGCTCTGCCTCTGTTGGAAGCGAGCCGAAAAGAGGTGACACCCATCTCCTGCCACCCATCCGATTGTGGCAATGATCGCAGATTGTGGTCAGCTGGGGCCCTTAACTGTGCATGCATTGACATGGGGTGATCGCAGATTGACGGCAACGAAGGGGTCTTCACAGAGAGAGACGAGTTGCTTCAGACGGAGGCCTGCTCAGGAAACGCACAGCTAGCGGAGCTGATGCAGGGCAGCTTTGCATGCCTGTGCGACGTGAAGGAATCTGGGGGCAATGTCTACTACAGACTCAACAATGCAAAGGTGCCACCTCTTGCTGCTTGCCTGCAATAGAGATTGCCAGCTGATCCTTCATTTGAGTAATGCAACCCAACAGTGCTGCTCCCACAGGCCCTTCATGTTGATTGCTGTACCCAATTGGGACGGACCAGCAGGGAACTCCAAAGTAATGTACTGTCAGAGTGTCCTGGGGCTAGGGATACCAAGGGAAGGACAGCCTTTGGATTCAACAATTGCTGGGATGCAAATTGATTCAGGGCTCTGAGATGGATCGCCTGTTCAGGTGCTGGCTTGGCTGCGCTGCAAATTGAGGCGGCTGCGAGGGGCGCTACTGGACAGCAGCGCCAATTTTGCTGCGATGGATGACACATTGCTGACGTCGTATGCAGTCGGACTGCTTGGGGAGTACCTCTCTGAAGCCTGGCTACAGCGCCTCTGCAACGCCTGTGGCATCTCTTTGGCAGGTGAACGCCTGATCACATCCTTGAGCTGAGACATGGGATGTACCGGACCTTGAGATTACAGGTTGACTGATAGATGATATAAATGACGTGGCATTTGATTCAGAAGGCAGGGGTGCAAAGACAGGCCTGCCCCGGGCAGCACAGTGGGTTATAGGGATGGTGCCAGAGACAGCAACAGAGTGGCTGTCTTGCGTACGATAGGGGACTTAAATTGGAAGTATGTATGCAGCGCCAGATGGCGAGGAGCCTTTGAAGCCACTGAAGGAGGTGAATGGAGGTGCTGAGGAGGATCATGCCAGGAAGAAGCCTCGAGTACGTCCCTTTCTTTGGATCTGACTGCCACTTAATCCTTTTGATCTGTGGGTGATCTCCTTGTTGTGTTGCCCTATTGGCTAGCTGTGAACACAAACGTGTATTGGCATGCATGTGGCAATGTGCTGATCTCACCATGTGGCTTTCACTGCAGTTTGATCCAAAGGAGGTGGCCAAAAAGAGGCTTGCCGAGGCAAAAGCAGAGGCCAAGGCAGATCAGATACGCCGGGAGACCCAAGGCATGAAGAGCATTTCCTCAATGTTTGGAAAGTTTCAGTGTAAGAAGAAGCCATAGATACATTGAGGAACTTTTTGCAATTTATGCTGCCTCAGACCAGCCTGAGTCGAGCGCTGCAGCGCTGCACAGGGGCCCGGGAATCTTTGTTGGCCAGCATCTTAAGTTAGTTGCATGCATGCATTATAAAATTTACATGATCTTGAAGCACAGGGACTATGAGGTACTTACGATTTAATACGAGCATTGGGGAAAAAGCCTTCAATCTTGGCTGCAGTCAAGGTTTTGAGGACATCTGTTCGATGGCGTTCCTGCAGAGAATTGGACTTGAAATCTTTCGCATGCTATTGTGGGACTATTTCAGGCTCGAATATATCCACTACTTTTGATTCAAATAGAGCATGTGTACATGTAATCGGTGATACAAAAGAAGATCAGTTGGAGAGGGATAACCAAAAACCATCAGACACAGCAGCCACGGATCACTAGGACATCATGGCGGATATCGCCCCAAATCAGACCATATACGTGAACAACCTTCCAGAAAAAATAAAGAAAGAGGGTGCGTTGGCGCATTGCACAATATTACCCTCGCAAAACATATGTTGGGCCAGGTTGCCAAGATCTGCAGAGTCCTTCTTATGCAAGCAACATGTCAGATGGTGCTTGTCTCTTTGTGTTATTGCAAAGGCCTTGGTGTTCACGCGCTGACTGAAGTTTGCTGTCTTGTCTGTCTTCAGATTTGAAGAAGAGCATCTACGCAATCTTCTCACAGTTTGGAAAGATCCTGGACGTTGTTGCTTTGAAAACGTACAGACTAAGAGGGCAGGCATGGGTGGTGTTCGCGGATCAGAAATCTGCAGACGATGCGATCCGGTCCATGCAGGGCTTTCCCTTCTTTGAAAAGCCCATAGTAAGTTCTTTGCACGCATTCTACTTTTGGAGTCCTTCTCCTTTCTGCGGAGTACACGATCATGTATGTGATTGAACACTTCTGTGGTGACGTTGCTTGATGGGCTGTGTTGACGAAGAAATGGCATGTTTCGTTGCAGAGGCTATCCTATGCAAAGGGCGAGTCGGATGCTGTTGCAAAGCTGCACAACAGATTTGAGGAGAAGGACAAGAAGGAGCGACAGAAGCACAACAAGCTTGAGCGGGGTGGGTTCTGCCATCTACTCAGCTGTATTGTAAGATCCGGTTCAGCACCCCCTTGTATAGCTGGTTGTGAACCGCATATGCTGCTCTGCAGATCGGCTCATGGAGAGGAGTAAAGGGAAGGCACAGGGAGCACAGGCTGCAGCAGCAGCCCCTATGGTGCGCATCCATCATTCTTGTGCTCTTGCTGGGAACACTTCACTGTCCTCAATGCTTCTTGGTATTGCAAGAGAGTGCTGTTACATGCACCTGCCGCACCCATTCCATTTGAGCTCCAGGGCACCAGGCCACATGCAAATCTTTGAGTCATCACACTGCCTGCTCATGTGGACAGCACTCTTTAGTCAACAGGTGATTTGGTAATTTCATCATGTGTTCTCAGGCTGCGCCCATCGCGCCGGGCAACGCGCCGCCGCACAAGATCCTGTTCGTGCAGAACCTGCCGGAGGAGACGACCTCGGCGATGCTCGCGTTGCTCTTCCAGCAGTACGCCGGCTACATAGAGACGCGCATGGTCGAGGCGCGGCCGGGAATCGCCTTTGTTGAGTTTGAGGACGAGGACAAGGCGACTGTGGCCATGGCCGGCTTGCAGGGCTTCAAGATCACCGCCACCAACGCATTCACCATTTCCTACGCAAACCGATGAGGCCAGTTTCGCCTTGGGAGGCATTGGATGTCTTGGGTGAATCAACCTGGGCAGATGCTGAGGGGGTACAGACACCATGGATCTGCTAAGCTCCAGAGGCAGTGCCTGGAAGCTGTACGCATGACGGGGCCTGTGTCATGGCTTGACCTGTGAGACCCATGCAATGGTGCCGGGGAAAGGCTTGCATAAGCTAGGCAGACTGGGCTGGGTGCGTAGTGCAGCGTGCAGGGCCGCAGTGCGCACTGTGTCTGCAGGAAAGACAGACACTGGCCACGTGCAGTAATGGAGTCGTATCTGGTGTTCTGCGAGATGTTGTCGAGGGTCTTGAGATTATGCAGCTTTCTGGTGAGCAGATGCCAACCAGCGGCATGATGCTGGCAGATACATTTGGAGGACTGCCAGCAGTGTTGAGTACGGCTCAGCATTCTTGTCAGAATGAAATTGTCCACTGATGATTTGGAGCGACGTGAACATCCAATGGAAGAGATCTTACCTTCTCCCTGACGAGATTATCGACATCTCATGATCATTCTGCTCTTCACTGCACACCTGGATGCACCATATGGTCACGATGGACTCGGAGAGAGATTTGGAGAGGATGCCGTTGACTTGTTATCACAACGTTCACTCCTTGCATACATCCCAAGAACATTTCTTGTCACATCCATGATCAGCCAGGAGCTCTTCATGAAGGACTTTTTTAAGCCCGACATGGAAAAGGGTGCGTATCCGAATATACTGCAGGCGTGGCCGACACGTTGAACTTGATTTTGACGCACACCAATCAACTTTCCCACGCTCTCCTCTAGTACTAATCTCTAGTCTTGATGAGGAGTCTAGTCGTTGATGCTGCCAAAAGTCGCCGATAAAGAAGAGGAGGCAGTGATCTTAACTTCAGGGATTCACTGTCCAGTGCCGGATTGCACCGATTGTATTCTCCTGATCGCGCATGCAAACTATTATTGAAGTATTTTTTACCAGAAATCTAATAATACCTAGTACAGTAACTGCAGCATCTAGTGTCCCAAAAACGTACCTGATCTAACTTGCATTCATCAGATCACGTGAAGCAGCGACTATTAAACTGATCAATACTGGAGTGCGCGATCACTCTTGAGTGTAAACATCACAATGTCAGCAGCAGCCATCTCTTCACGGCCCCCAGAGTCTTGGGAGGAGGACGACAACCAAGAGTGAGCATCCATTTCGTGCTGCTTTGATCAAGCATATGGCTTCAATTGTATCCAACGAGCTTTGAGATGACAAGTCCGATATGAACTGATACAGGGCTGACGAGGCTGCAGAGTTGGAAGCTTACCAGCGCCAGTATGAGGACTATTTCTCATGGGAAGCCTTGCAGGAGGACGAATTTGGTCGATTGCGCCCTCTGGTGTGTGCTTTCACCTCACCCATTTGACTGTGCAGACACTATTCGAATCTTAGGCAAGACCTCTTTGCAGCTTGTCTAATGAGATCAACTTCCACTCTCAACCCATGATGCAGGACTTCAGGGAAGAGCAGCGTGCAAAGCGCCGGCGCCTGTTGAGCGCTGCAGCTACAGCATGCATACGACGTGGCATGATCCGCTACCTCCAGGTACATTTATGCCTGACTACACACTGCGCGAGAGGCCAAATATCTCCCGGGTACCTGTACATGACATCTTGAGGTATGCAGTTCAGGAACGTGACGAAAATTTATGGTGTCATCATGTTATGTTTCTTGATGCTTTGCAGATCATTGTGGACCTCTCCAGGGCGGCCTCAATCGGGGATATGCGGCCCAACAGGCTGGCAGTCATGTCAGGCGTGCTGCAGGGTTTCATCCGCAAGTTTTTCGACGAGAACCCGCTGTCGCACCTGGGCATCATTGTCATGCGTGACGGCATCGCTCAGCGGCTCACTGACATGGCCGGCTCACCAGTGAGTCAGCCGTATGCTTCCATTGTCCTAAGTCTCTGTGATTTGGCATTTACCACAGTCTACAAATGACATGTGCAGTCAACAAAGCTGCAGCTCTCTGCCAGGAACAGTCGTCATCGAAGGCAACAGTTGTCAATTATGCAGTAATTGACACTGCAGGAGGCGCACATTTCAAAGCTGCAAGGGAACCTGGATGCCAGCGGCGATGCCTCCCTGCAGAATGCAATGGATATGGCAGCAGAGTCTCTCAAGTCCATACCGCCATATGGGCACCGAGAGGCATGCCCACAAATTCTCCTCAAGCCTGCCCACCTCCTGTCACTGGGAAATCCTTGCATCTTTTGCCATGCTGATCTGCCCTGATGCACGCTGTCTGGTGCTCCCATGAATACATGGCTCAAGGGTACTCCAACAAGTAGCAGACATGAAATAGACTTGAAAATTTGAGAATATTGATGTGTGCTGCAGGTTCTGGTGCTATTTGCAGCGCTGTCCACGTGCGACCCTGGGAATGTTCTGGATGCAGTCAAGGCAGCCAAGCAGAACAGCATCCGCGTGTCCATTGTGGGAGTTGCGGCGGAGGTGCACATCTGCAAAGTCTTCACTAAGGTGGGCCACCTCTTCTTTCTGCTCACACGCCTTTTGCTGAAAGCACTTGTACGCTACACGGTAAGCTGAAGTGAGCATCGCTTGGATTGCTGAATGGGTCATGAGTTCTTGATGACATGGACTATAGTGAACTTACAATGCGGCAGCCAATAGAGGAGCATAGAGGCATGCTGTTCAATGAGTGATTGCGGCAGCATGCAGGAAACAGGGGGCACGTACGGTGTGGCGCTGAACGAGAAGCACTTTGAGGACTTGGTCTTTGAGCATGCTCCGCCTCCACCTTCCCTCGCCACCGATGCAGCCGCTTCCCTGGTGCACCCACTCCCTCACTACTTTTCACGCATAAATCTTCCAGTTCTGTATGCCATCCTTATGTCTATGCGCCATGCAGTGCGCGATTGCCCCTTCTTGCTGGTGGTTCCACGTCAAGAGCGTGTCTGGTGATGTCAGGTGCGGATGGGCTTTGCGCACCGCAACCAAGACGGCGTGGAGGGCACGGCGTTCATCGGCAAGGATTGCAAGCTCTCTAGCGGCGGCTTCACCTGCCCCAGGTGGGGACCTGTGATGCTTCATTCCCCGCTGATCACTGTGCTTTCCATTTTGCTGTGAGGTCTAGCCTTCTTGTGGGTCGCAATGCATGTTTTCACTCTATTCTGAGCCCCACCGGTAAAGCACGCACGCAAAGCATGCTCCAGAATTGCTGGAAATCGGCAGTTTTAGAGCCATCCCTTGAGGTGAAGTCTGGGTGGAGTCCGATGCGTGGGATGATGGGTGTGCCAGGTGCAAGGCTAGGGTGGTGGACCTGCCCTGCAGCTGCCACATCTGCGGCCTGACCCTCATATCTTCGCCCCACCTGGCCAGATCATACCACCATCTCTTCCCAGTCAAAGCCTTCACCGAGGTTCCCCAGGCAGAGCTGGATGATCTCCAGGTAACCGACTCTCACACGTACATGACCACAGACCTGAGGGATACTGAACATAATTGTGTACGGTATGTATATGTTGTATAGGTTGTATATAGCATCCCTTGGGCATCACTGTTTGTTGAGAAGCAGCTGGTCTGTGCGTACAGCTGAGGGTCATTCACCTAGATTATCATAGGTTCTGTCAAGCCGTCGCATGGTGGGTTCAGGGCGGCGGAGGGCAAAGGAAGGGGGATAGTGGCGCTGTGTCCTGCTATGCCTGTTTGGCAGATCTGGAGCCCAGTTCCTTGGATGATGACGCACCTGGAGAGGTGGGCGTGGTTGTGCGCTGCCCAGATTGCTGCCAGCTGTTCTGCTTTGACTGTGATGCTTTCATTCACGAGACCCTGCACAACTGCCCGGGGTGCCTCTGCTTGGTGGACGATGATGTTGCAGAGGATGGTACTCTCGATGAGCATCCAGCAGCCATGGAAGAAGGGACTGTGGAAGAAAGCATGTAAAGACAGCTCCTAACATACCTAAGACCAATATTGGGCTGTTCGATTATTTTAGGCCGAAGCAAAGAAGGCAGGATATAAGCTACCGGCTCAGAACGGCTGGCATAAATATGATTGGGAACAGTGCCATGTTCTTTAAAGACATATTGGGAAAGATCTCTTATACCCAGGCAGCATCCTCAAGTAAAGCACGGTTACGCTAAATCACTTTACCGAAAGACCTCCGTCGATGCCATTGTTTCTCTGTGAATGTGCAAATTGCTCAGTCCTAGGTGCCTGCAGACTGGCACACGCCTAATATCGTCGCAAAACATAGCAGGCGTTGCAGCTCTAGCAGCACACAATAATCCAGGAGTCTCTAGTACAAGCATTCCTGATAATTCTTTTCACCCATCGTGGCGCCGATGTGCCGTGAGGGCCATACGAATGTCGTCCATCTGCGGTGCATTTGTCGGCGAAAGAACAGCACCGGCCAGCGAGTACCACAGCAACGACTTTGATTGGGAGGACCTGCGAGCTGAAGTAGAGGCTCTTGCAGCCAACAAGCAGCAATTAACAGGAGGTGACACCTGCGATGGTGAGGCATCGGCCCCTGATGTATTTCTATGTGGATTGCACGACATTTGAACATCCTCTGGAAAGTGATTTGGCTGCACATCCTTTTGTCAAAGCTAGATACTGGAGGTCCCTGTTGTGACACAGGCCCCGCTGCAGAGCCTTGGGCGCAGGATCCCAGGAGCTGGGAGAATTTCCACGCCAGAGACAACGCCACTGCGCGCTTTTACAAGGAGCGCAGGTGCAGCCTCTCCCACACCTTGGCCCGTTGCATGCATGCCCGCCCTGCAGGAATTGGCTCGCCTCAAATATGAGCTGTAAAGTGGCTACACATAGGCTCTCTCCTGCATGCACGAGCGCCCTGCACACCTGCAATGCTGCAACATTAGTTCCCACAGTAGCGGCGCTATTCTACCCAGCTTCACGAGGACCCACCCAGGCCCAAAGCACAGCAATCTTGGAATTCTAATTAGTTGTGCACTAGGAGTGCAGCCAGCTGTGGGCATGAATTGTACATGTGCAGTATTATTTTTTGCCAACTCACGCACAAGAACAAGGCGAGAAAGCACTGCCACCCCAGGTATCTGCTGCTGCACGTTGCAGCTCTTCCGAGTGTTTCGATGCCATGCTGAGCACTGACTCTGCAAGTCAGATACCGGCATTGGATCAGCCCCATGTCGGCTTAAACCAGATGTTATGTGCGCCTGTACGGCCTCAGAGATGCTGACATTTGGTGCCTATCCGCGGACTACTCAAACTTCCAGACCTTCAACACATCAGTTGTTTCTGGTACATGCGCAAGATAATCAGATCTTGGATTCAGGAGCGGGTCCTGGCTGAAAGCACAGCAACTTGCTGGCCAATTACGGCAGTCTGGGTACAATTGGCTTCCTTGCTAACTGTGACTGACTGTCTCATATGACCTCGCCTGCTCCACTCTGCTCTGCAGGGATGACAAAACGATTGTGTGATTCTGATGCAGCACTGATGACTGACTGGTTGCGCAGGTACCTGCTGCTGGAGTTTCCGGCGCTGGCCGATGCAGCGCGGCCGCAGCACGTGGCGGAGATCGGCTGCGGCTGCGGCTCCTCGCTGCTGCCGGTGCTCAAGGCCAACCCGGCCGCGCGCGTGACGGCCACCGACATCAGCCCGACGGCCGTGCGGCTGTTCACCGACGCGGCCGCGCGCGCAGGGATCGCCCCAGAACGCTACACCGCGTTTCCATGCGATGCCGCCGACCCGGATGCCGGGCCCCGCCAGCTGTCAGGTGCTGCCACATTTTTTTTTCAATTTCTGCTTTCGTTGGAGAATATCTGCTGGAACAAGGAACAGCGCGCCACTTGAATCTGGTGTAGCATACAAGTTTGGCATTTCGCTTGCATGATAGTAATGCATGCATTGTTGGGGACAAGCTGCCACGTACTATCGGAATGCCAGAGGGGATCTTGATATGGCAAGGTGTGCACAGGCCTGTAGTACCGGAGATCCAGAGAAATGGTTATCTGGTGCAGGTCTGGATGCGGACTGCGTGTTGCTGATATTCACACTGGCGGCCCTAGCTCCTGAGGAACAGCATATTATGCTCAGCAATGCCTTCAAGGTGAGCTGCACCGACCACCTACTTCTTCACAGCAACTTCCCGGGGAATACCTGCTGTTTCCGCTCTCATTGATCTTTGTTTATATAGGCAGCAGTCAATGATTGTGGTCCTCTGGTGCAGGCACTGAAACCAGGGGGTCTGCTTCTCATCAGAGACCATGGAGTGTATGACATCACACACCTCAGGTGCTTCACAGTCATTTCCTGAAACTACCCATTTGCTGGAGAGCTTTCTTGGTGCTTTGGCAGCTTGTATGTGTCATTCTGCAACAGCAGCACCGGCAGAAATTGGCAGTTTCTTCATGCTACAGGATGACTGCTGACAGGCAAGTGGGCGAGAAATTGTACAGGAGGGGAGATGGGACGCTGTGCTATTTCTTCTCAGTCGAAGATCTCAGCAGCAAGGCAGAGGCAGCAGGTTTTGAGGCAGTGGAATGCAAGTATGCATGCACGCGCCTCCTGAACAGGAAGACCCGGTTTGAGATGAGGCGAGTCTTTGTGCATGGAGTCTTCAGGAAACCGTTGATTGAAGTGCTGCTTTGAATTCTGTTGTGTGAGGAACCAAGTTCTGGGAAGCTGAGCCACTGGCTTTGGATGCTATTGGGTAGTTGCCATTTATCGTGGAAATGGTTTGGGCAAAGACAGCCAGGAGGCAGGCTTAGGAGCAGCCTCCCTCTGAAGAGAGCGGCATTATCTAGACCTGCGCAATTGTTACATTGATGGATATTGTCTTTGTTGTCGAGGACTCCTAGTCGGACTGTGTTTTGGCAGCGCTTTCTAGTCTCTAAAACTATTTACATTACTTATTCTAGGGGTGATTAAGCTAAGAGAGAATGCAGACGTCAAGACAGATAGAACTACTAGTTCAATTACCCCTACTTATTCTACTTGTCGCGTGATTGCAAGATTTTATGGGCAAATCCGATGACACCACTAGTAATTCAACAATCTCAATGTTCTAATTGCCATATAACATACAACAATCTATATTAATCTACACATTTTTATCGATCCATCTAGCCCTCCAGCACAGCTTCAGCAACACAGCTGTCAGCTTCTAAGGTACACGCATCCATGTGAGCAATCAATGAGAGCAGACTACAGGCTTGCATATCAAGGGAGTCCTTTAAATTTGAATGAATGAATGAATTAAGTAGCTAGTTGACTGGCACGGCAAGCATAATATTGTCACATTGACAGATGACTGAGAAATTTTGCCCCCAAATCAGCCTGAAGATGCTGGGAATCAGAGCGACAGGGCCTAGGGCGATTGGGTAATGGGAAGGAGCATTCAAAAGCAATGTGCCGTCCTTCACCTGCCGCCTTCTTTATTCGGCTGGCCACCAGTCAGGAAGACATAACCGGACTGGTAGGGGATTGCCAAGGGATAATTGGGTATCTTGTCTGTGTATGCAGGCAGCCCGGACAGTCCTGTCGGCGGCACACCTCCAAGTGGGTTTAGCCTCTGAATGTATGCAACCTCCTTCAGTACACCTGCACATAAACCTTCTCTCGGTGTCGTTTAGAGGGTGCTACAGACTCTGCTTTGTCGTTGCCCAAGGGCCCAGCTGCACAGAATCCGGCATGCAGCCATGACGAAGACCAGGATTCAATTCCAGCTCATCAAGCAACTGTCAGGAACTGAGCATTGTGGGCCTCAAAGTATCGGGCTCTGGTCTGATCGATGCTGCTTCAGCTTAGCATGGTGACAAGATGGTGACAAGAGAGGCCCTTGTATAAAAAGCAGATTGAAGCCCACACAGCCACAGGTATCTTGCTGCTACAATATAATAGATGTACTACATATTATCTAAAGGTGCGTTAGAGATGCATGTCACATCGAGCACACACACACACATGCGGAGCAACGCTAATGAATTTACAAAAAGCAGATGTCACACCTGTCCCATTGGAGGCAGCAATCAGCAGAGCATCCACGGAGCCGAAGCCCCCATCGTTTGCCTGCTTTTGCACTGTCGCCCGAGCTTTTATGGCACCCACCACAGTACCCTGGACTGCTCCGGTGGCCGAGTCAAATATGACCCAGTTTGGCTTGCCCGCAGCGTTGAAGAAGTGCTGCCCTGTCTTTATCGTGCCATCGTAGAGGTCTGCCACAGCTCCTTGGAGACGATAGGTGCCATTCAACACTACGAGAGCACACTGTGTCAGTGCTAGGGTTCTGTGCGCTGCATGTATTCAGATGCTCGTGAACGAGTCCCTTGGAAGAGGTGCTTACGTGCTGTGTAATTCTGTGTGCCCACTCCACGGAGCAAGTACAGGGGTTTTGTGCCGGAAGGAGCAGACACAGGGCTGGGAGCCTTGTCTGGAGCGTCCTGCAGTGCCCTTCGACCACCTGAAAAGCAGTCGGGTCTGACGGTCACTGTGCCATAGGTTCAATACTCTCTTCCAGTGTCCTCAAATTCTCTGTTGACAATAACAATGTCGGCCGAAAGCATAATACGCAGAATTCAAAGTACCAAATTCCGGCCGGGGATCACGGACAATCTTGATGACCGTTTAAAGACACGCCTTCTGTTGAGATCCAAGGACACCCATTATATTATACCAGAGATTTTACTAAATGGTCCCTATCGAGGTGTGAAACACTCCTCATTCAATCCTTCCTCGAGCCGATGCCGATCACTAGAACTTGCATGGTTCCCGAGACCGGTGCAACCTCACTTCGTTCCGTGCAATTTTGTATCCAATGAGATCCTGACGTCACTGTTGCTCTGCCAACACAATTTATGCTCGACGAGAGGAAAGTGAGTGAGATCACCTTCCAGAGCTGCTGTGCGCGCGCACACTAGCAGGAGTACACAGCTCAAAGTCGCTGGAAGCCCCACCATTGTCATCAACATGATTTGTTGATGTCAACAGAAAAAAAAAGATTGATCCCCGGTCTCTTTGATTGGGGTATTGCCTCTTTTTTTTGCGACGAAGGAAACGACTTTTCTGTTTTCAGTCCAGTCCCGCCAACCCTAGCAATAGAAAATCTCCCCCGGGCCTGGAACCCTACTGTATCAAAGTGCATCCATCCCGATGGCCAGCCACTGCACAGTAGTGCACGCCCCAAGATATGTGCACCCCTGAAGTGGCCTCCAGAGGCATTCAGCTCTTTTCAGAAGCTTGGCACAGAACGCATGCCTGTTTGTCTGGATAAAATAGGAGGCTCACTGGGATGATCTGCGATCAAATCTTTAGATATAAGCGCTGAATAGCATATCGTATTCAATGCCAATGATGTCAAGATGACTGATCGCACAAGTCTTTGTTGGTTGGTGAATATTGCACAGATCAGCTAAGTCACAGGCAACGGCAGAGAGCCCACCGGATCCCAGGTGATTCCATGTTCTCTTCTCATATTCTTAGAATGAGAAATGAGTCTCCGTGAAGGTCCGAGAGTCTGCGTGAACGTCCGAGAGGTGTCCGATAGTTGTTGTAGCCATCTGCTCTCCTTTTAGATTGAAGGCTGCGAAACAGATGTGCTCTTCTGCAGTCTACAATTTCCTCACATCATCGTGTTATTTCTACTTTTTACATGTTTGGCTTGGCAATCAATGTACATGTGGCCATACCTAGGACAGGAAGTGTTACATAGGTTTCGGAGAGAGTGTTGACGATCCTTTGCGATAGAGCAGTGCACGAGATTTCCCGAGCTACGACCAGAGTTCCCCGTCTTCTCGTTGGGTCCTTTTGGGACGATCCCAAATGGCCGATATTCCAGCTTCGTCTTCAGTCGCACAAGCTTTTGCGACCCAAACAGATGTAGCCACAGGCACGCACAGTTTGCCCGTACCAGATTACACGGGGGCCTACGCCCCATCCCCATCGTCCAGCCTATTCCCAGCGCTAGCGTCCTTGGGACCTCCAGTCGCCCCGATATCCAGTAGATTTGACATGTCCAGACATATTCCAGTATCCCAGACCTCGGCTCGAGTCCCAGTAGCTTCACGTTCTACAGCCTCCCGTCCAGTAGCTCCTCGTCCAGACCACTCAGGCCTTGACAGCATCTTGAAGAGCCTGGCCCCAGATAAGTTTTCTGGTCATGATGAAGAGCAAGACATAGAAGATTGGATCACCCAGATGGAAATATTTCTCAGGATCTCCCAGATACCAGAGCATCTCCAGGTAGATGTTGCTGCAGCCTGCTTGACAGGACCAGCTTCCAGAGCATGGTCATCAATTGAGAAGCTACGCAGACAGCACAATCAAGAGATCCAGCTTGCTTTCCTCTTTGACACATTGAGGAGGAGTTATGGCGAGATTTTCCCAGAGCAGAAGTTTCGGCAGAAGCTTAAGACACTGCGCCAGACAGATACAGTAGAAGAGTATGCCAGAGCCTTCATGACCATACTTGGGCAGTTGAAAGTTCCCATGTCTGAGCTAGACCAGATAGACCAGTTCATGCAGGGGTTGAAAGAACCCCTGAGGATGCAGTGCTTGTGGGATCCAGCCAGCCAGGGTCCATTTACCGACCTCCAGAGATTAGTAGCATATGCTACAGCACATGATGTTTCTCATCGTGTCCAGCCTGAGCTCAGACTCGAGTCTGCATATCTTGATGCAGAATCCAGCCAGTACCCGGCCCATGATTCACTCGCAGAAACAAACATGACCAGTCCAGGCCTCAAGAGACGAAGGGAAAATGACTCCAGTCTTGTTGAGCCCCAGAGATCCCGCCGGTTCCATGCAGCATTCACGCCTAACTATAGGGGCACTCCCGAAGCTGAATACCTCATGGAGCATCGATTGTGCTTCCATTGTATCCAGCCGGGTCATTCAGTGAGGGATTGCCCAGTGAAGCACGATGAGAGGAAGCCTGCAACTAAGTTCCAGCTTTCTGCCAGTGGGGAGCCAGTCCTGTCCCAACCCAGCACGTCCTGACAGTAGATGCAGCCTCTCGAGTCATTTCAGCAGAAGTAAATTTGCCTTGGCCAGTTTGCCAAGACACAGCACGTTGGCCATTCTGCCAAAATCCAGTTGCCTTGGCCAGTTTGCCAAGACACAGAAGCACGTTGGCCAGTCTGCCAAAATCCAGTTGCCTTGGCCAGTTTGCCAAGACACAGAAGCACGTTGGCCAGTCTGCCAAAATCCAGAGTTGCCTTGGCCAGTTTGCCAAGACACAGCACGTTGGCCAGTCTGCCAAAATCCAGAGTTGCCTTGGCCAGTTTGCCAAGACACAGCACGTTGGCCAGTCTGCCAAAATCCAGAGTTGCCTTGGCCAGTTTGCCAAGACACACAGAAGCACGTTGGCCAGGTTGCCAAGATCCAGATCACAGACATCTCTCATATAAGCGTGTCTCCAGTTTAGTCAGCCAGAACCACAGCCAGCAGATTCAGTTGCACAAAGTGCCTGAATACCAGTTCCAGCCCCTTCAGGTACAATGTGACCTGAATGTGGGATTCCCTTCTGAGCACCAAGTGACTGAAGGAAGTGTGGATCCCTAAGTGGAACACAATTATGGCCATCCAGACAGTTCCAGTCCCGGGTACCAGGCACATTATTCTCAAAAGAGGATATGTGAGGCATGTTATCTCAATGCAGATGCACGTCCCAGGCAATCTCATAAAATGAGTTGCAACCAGACCAGTTCCAGTCACATTATTCTCAAAAGAGAATACGTGGGTAGGCATGTTATCCAATGCTGATGCATGTCCCAGGCAATCTCAAAAATGAGTTGCGACCAGTACCAGCCAGGAGTGGGCATGTTATCCAATGTGGATGCTTGTCCCAGGACAGTTACATACCACTTCTCCATATGAGGGGGAGGGATGTAACAGACCAGATCCAGATTACAGATATCTCCTGATCAGGGATGTCTCTAGTCCAGTCCAGTGTGGTCCAGTCCAGTCCAGCTGGCTTATATCCAGTCCAGTCAACCAGAACCAGCCAGCAGCCTAATTAGGCTGCTGGGTCGATGCAGCTGTCACGAGGTACAGTCAGCAAGGGATTCTAGTCCAGTCCAGTGTGGTCCAGTCCAGTCCAGCTGGCTTATATCCAGTCCAGTCAACCAGAACCAGCCAGCAGCCTAATTAGGCTGCTGGGTCGATGCAGCTGTCACGAGGTACAGTCAGCAAGGGATAACCTTGGACAACCTTGGACAGAGATTACGAGAATCAGAGCATATAAGCCAGGAACCAGCCAGCCAGAGACCACAACCACCCAGAGCAGTCTTGTTTAGAGCTAGAGATTGTTACAGGAAGGCCCGGGGGGACCCCAGGATCACAGCTAATGAAACCAAGCCCAAACCGCTGGAAAGCAGGGCGCGCAAACACAGGGTGCAGCTGTGCGCACAGCAGACGAGCTCGAGCAACAGTAATGGCTGACTAGAGCAAGATCGGTAGCATCAAGTGCACATGCACTGACCAACAGGTGCTTGCCAGGTCAGTCCACAAAGTTATCTCACAAGTCTACCGAACAAAGTGGTGATGTGACAATCAGCTTGAGGCTGCCGCAATGTAATATGCGACATAAGATGCCTCAGGCTTTTGCGTACAGCATATTTAATTGACTTGCAGTCCCTCCCAACCCTTCGGTACAGGACTTACAGCAGACTTGGAGCCAGTCATTGCGCCAGTCATCATGGGGCAACAGCAAGGACCTCACATGCTGGGCTGGCCAGGGCGCTCAATTGCTGATAGATGTCCTTCTTCTCCTCAACAAGCCGAGCCATCATCTCCTTATAGCTGTTGATGAGACTCTGGGAATCTTCATCTTTGATGGCCCTGTCTATCTTCTCTTGCTGCGTCTCAATCTTCTGCTCCAATTGCCCCACCTTCTCCCGGAGCCACTCATGTTGCTGCGCCATGGAATTAAGGCCAACTTGCCTGCCCTCCTTCACAGCAGTAAACAATCCTTCATCTGCATCTCCTCAACTCCTCTGCACAGGCTGCTGTGAAAGAACTGAGTGTGTTACTTATTCAAGTACAAACAGTAGTGTCACAGAAGTGAATTCTGTTTGACTTGAAGGAGGGCAGGCAACTTGGCCTTAAGTCCATGGCGCAGCAACAGGAGTGGCTCCGGGAGAAGGTGGGGCAATTGGAGCCGAAGATTGAGACGTAGCAAGAGAAGATAGACAGGGCCATCAAAGATGAGGATTCCCGGAGTCTCATCAACAGATATAAGGAGATGATGGCTCGGCTTGTTGAGGAGAAGAAGGACATCTATCAGCAATTGAGCGCCCTTGCCAGCCCAGCACGTGAGGTCCTTGCTGTTGCCCCATAATGAATGGCGCAATGACTGGCTTCCAAGTCTGCTATAAGTGATGTAGTGAAGGGTTGGGAGGGGCTGCGAGTCAATCAAATGCGCTGTACGCAAAAGCCTGAGGCATCTTATGTCGCACATCTTATGCCGCTCTTCCTGGAGGATGAGGGCGGCCAGCTGGTCAGCGCGCTGCAGGGGTGGCTTGACACTCTGGACCGGCAGATGGGCGCCACTGGCGACTCGCTCCTGCCACCGCTCCTCATCAGCGGGCTCACCAAGGTGGGCAGTCGTTGGTCATGCGCCCAATACAATGCTGGCTATATGCCCAGTCATCTGCAACTGGTTGGTGTTGCTACTAGTTGGTGTTGCTGCTTGCACTATTGTTAGGGCTGCTTGCTGGCTCATGAAGGCTTTTCCATTGACACCGAACAGGTTGTGGATGCATATCCTTTTGCAGAGGTAGGCAACATCTCGCAGTTTCTCAGGACAACTGCTGAGCGTAGCCCCATCCTCAGCAACCTCGGCACCCTGAGCGTTGCTGCAGCCACAGCGTCCGTCTAGCAGCACTAGCGGCCCAAGCGCGCCCACCATCCCCAGCAGCAGCAGCGCCACCAGCGCCCCCGGCGGGAGCAGTAGTGGCATCTCTCCTGGGCTGTCTGCAAAACCCAGCCGCGTTGTGTCCAGCAGCTCAAAAAGCAGTAGCAGCACCGCTTGCATGTACAACACCACGTTTGGTGGCGGCATTATTAGCAACCGGCGCACCTGTGGGCGGGACAGGCTGTCATGGCCGCTGTACCTGCAGCAGCGTACCATGTTGACAAAGCAGCCAATGAGGCAGGTCATCCGGCGGCCGGGCCCGGGCCTTGGACTTGCATTTGTTGGGGGCATGATGTATTGAGCCTTTATTGAGTAGCGAATGACATTGCACAGTCCTGCAATACAAGCATGCGCAGGCGTCCGCCGCGCAGGCTTGCGGATGTGTTACCACAAATTTCGCGAGCAGGATGTCTAAAAGAGATCGCGGCAGTTTCCTTTTCAAGTCTGCTGCTCAAATCTTGCAAGCATGCTGTCCTGCTTTTTTGGCCAGCCAAGCTTGCTTCCTTCGTGAGCAGCATGCTCAAAGATTCAACCCATTCCTATGAACATGAGGCTCGCCAGCCTGCTGCCCCACGTTTTGCAAGAAACTAAAGCAGTTTCCAAATGAGAAGAGCTTGTGATCATAGGAGTAATTTACTGTGGTGTACTTGCGGCAGCCTGAGTCTTAAGCAGATGTTGAGGTCTTTTGCCAATGCAATGCAGGCCCTCTGGGGATCCTGGAAGTGAGCAATCACCGTTGTCAGGAGTGATGATAGAAGAGGACAATCTGTGATCATTAGACGGCCGTCCAAGTGGCAGATGTTTCTACTGGTACCCAATTGCTGGGCTCAGAGGCTGTGTGAGCAGTCAATGTATATATGGCACAGATCGTGACAGCAGTATTGAAAGCTATGATGACACTCTCGCCTCATACAATCCACACATATCTTCTTACATCATGGCGTGTCCTCCATTGTTCATGCTTGTGAAGATACACGGGGAAAATCATGCCAGACAGCGTCATCATTCACATCATGAATGGACGGCTACTATTGTAGCACATTAAGTGCTGAGTACAGCAAAAGACGTTCTCAATCATTCAATCAGCCTACACCAGTAATCCATGAACGTTCAGTCTCTTGGCAGTTTTGCAACTGCACATGTGCATTATTTAGATGCCATCCAGCGGACTTTATAAAAGGTCCTGACCAATCCAAACAGCGCATTCAGTCTGACTGTTCCAAAAAATGTCCCTAATGGCAAACAGCAGGTGCGAATTCTTGCACATTAGCAAAATCCATGGAAGCCTGCCTCAAATCAATTTATTTGGGCATAAAACACCTGGTGGTCTTGGGCTTTACGGGCTATAAAGCTGGTATATATGGTAGCTGTGCACTACCAACACTAGTGGTTGCCAAAAGTGTACCGCACACAGTGACAGCGAATGATTGCACAAGAATTTTGAAACGTAAGGACCTCCTGAAACTCTCAAAACGGCCGGCATCACAAATGCGACGCATCCGTAGCATTCCCTGTCAGGCTTATTCTTAGGCTGCCTCCACAATGAGGGCTGCATGCAATCCTGCAGCCAAAACATGTTGTGCTAAAACTTGGCCATGTCTCGCGACCAGGAAGCTATTTATCCCTTATAATCTGCATATTAATGCTGCATGTCTGCCTTGACAGGTCCCAGTAGTGCAGCTGATCTTGATTTGCTGCGTCTGTTCTTGCCAGCTTTGCTCATTTAAAACCCCTGGTTTAGTCATGCCCATCTGGGGTGAGCGGATGGTGCAGCCGCTTCTGAAAGTGTGCCATCCTCCGCCTGCCGCCTTCTCCATAGGGCAGTCCGCCTGCCAGGAACACATAATCCGCCTGGTAGGGGACTGCCACGTCATAATTGGGTATCTTGTCCGCGTATGCTGGCAGCCCAAACAGTCCTGTTGGCAGCGCTCCTCCCAGGGGGTTCAGTCTCTGAATGTATGTGGCCCCCTTCAACACGCCTGCACACAACAGGAATCTTCCTCAGTAATGCTTGTACTAATACTTGCCCAACTTCACACTCTCCTTTTACCAGATGCACCTCAAGGGCTTCACATCGAGCCCACTGCCGCTCTTCTAGAGTTAACCTTGCCGTGGGTGACAACTTAGCTGGCCACGGCATTTATTTGTCTTTACAAGCTTTTTTCCCTGTCAGAGGCAAGGTGCATCTGCAGACAAGCTGCATGTGAAGACAGCCAGAATCCTGCCCCTTGTTGGACTCAGCAGATCCAAGCAGGACGCAATCAACTGTGCGCACAGTGCTCAGCATATGTATGATCTCCCCCCGGCCGGGGCGTACCGACATCACACATGAAAAGGCATGCTAAAGGGGCATGCGCACCTGTCCCCTGGGTTGCAGTCAGCAGCAGAGCATCCACCGAGCCAAAGCCTCCATCGTCCACCTGGCGTTGCCTGGCTGCCTTGGCCTTCACAGTACCCTGCACAGTCCCCTGGACGGCCCCTGTCGCTGGGTCAAAAATCACCCAGGTTGCCTTGTCATTGGCGTCAAAGAAGTGCCGGGCCGTCTTGGTTGTGCCGTCGTAGAGGTCTGCCACTGCTCCTATGTTCAAGTAGGTGCCGTTTTGCTCTGCGCAGGTGAAGATTCAGCGTGTCAGACTGTGCATGTTGTGTTGGATGTATCTCACTGGCATCCTGCGCAGTAGCTGGTGTTTGTGAGGGCGAGGCAGGCTGGAGTGCTTACGGGCTGTGTAATTCTGGGTGCCCACTCCATGGAGGGAGTACAGGGTCCGTGTACCGGCAGGAGCAGGCACAGAGGTGGCACCCACAATTGTCGCTTGCTGCAATGCCCTCCGACCCCCTGGACAGCAAGAAATAATGCTTGTTAAGTGAGAGAGGGGACACTTGCCTTCTCTCATATTGCCAGAAAGCATCGGTCGTAGGTAGAAGCCGTGCATCGAGCAACAGTATCTAGTACATATCAGGCCGCCTGGGCTTGTCTGCCAGCCAGCCCCCGTTTACGGTGGGCGTATAAATTTCCCGGAAAAATCCGATTCATAAGTTTGGGGGTTGTGCGGGGTGCTCTTTGAGACAAATCCGGGCAAAGGATGTTGTTGTACCGGATCGTTTCCGAAACTGGAAGTAACCTGTTCGAATGTCCATAACTTGCAAACTCTGCAGTGAAGAGAACCCTAATTGCCATCAGAATATATCTTGCTTTCGTCCAATGTCGTCCGAGAGGGAGAACGGACCCACCTTCTGTTCTAGCTCCAGTCGCCAATGCGCCCGCGCATACCAGAAAGACTAAAGAGCGCAAAGTCGCCTGCAGCCCTAACATCTTCATTGGGTGGACAATCGTGAAAGCATCACACTGATCGAGCCCAAAAATGTGCCAGTAAGTATGTCGAAATTTGTGAAATCTCCCTGTGAAGCACGTTCTGTCTGCTTGGAAGCTGGCAAGTTACTCCGTCGTACAGGTGCCGTGTGGCGCATGCTGCAGGTCAGACATGTAGCAACCATGAGACAGAAAGAGGAAAGTGATCAGGAAAAAGGGCACATTGCTCATAGCAACTTGCTATGCAGCTGGCAAAGAAAGCAGACCGGCAGAATGTATCATGAAGGAGCAGTCTGCAGCTTACAAGCTCTTACTATATGAGTGCTGGCAGCTGCGCTGCAGCGGCCGCAAGCCCTAATTTGGGACCCCTGGATGCAAAAGTCGGCGGTCTTCTGTTCAATCATCACATGCTGCAGCTCACAGTGAGCCCGTGCATGGCATATCTGCCCATTCAGTATAAATAGTAGTTCGTGACAGGCGGCCAGTCTGCAGTGCACTGCGTTTGCATGCACGTGCATGCAAGAGCAATGGCAGTCACTGGCAACGGTTGCCAGAAGCCAGGAAATTATCTGATCACCCCCGGGGCCGCGCTGCAGCCATTCGTCATTGGCAATGCACCAAAAACCTAAAAATGTTTGGTCCTGAGGTTTGTCCATAAGCTATCAACCAAACCAGTTGCACTCATATCTGCAGGTTTCCCATTTCGTCATCAAGCCACATGTTATTTCACACAACATGCCAGAAAACATCATTGATGGCTCTCACAGGCTGTGCCATGTCTATTCAGTGGCGCACGATCGGTGCACTACAGCATGCATATAATACTGCCGACATCAACAGTGACATCACAAATGTGGTGACAGCACCTGGGTGCTTGCAACCGCTAACCACAATTCACCTCCATCAATTTTTCTTGCCAGGATCCCTCACACTCTGCTTGGTTATTCTCTCCGTTCCCCTCCAAGACTCTGCACCACCTCTCACTGAGTGAGCCTCACAAAATAATATCAATGTTTTAACCAATTCATCGGACCTCCTATCCGCTGCTGAGTGGTCCGCACAAAGACTCTTGGAGCCAGCAACCTTTCAAGACACTTCTGAGTCACTCAGATCCCATATGGTACATGCAGAGAGCTGCTCTTGTGTCAATATCTCCTTTTCAATGCTGATCAACATTAATCCTTGACAAGAATGAAAATGTTGCCTCTGTTTGTGTACAGAACCCTGAAGTTCTCATCGCTGTAGGTCAGCTTCCAGAATCCTCCACTGGTGTCAGGCCGCCCTTGCGAGACATCCTGCCACAGATCCACTACATGAGAATTTCTACCACCTCATGCCAGGTTTTATATCAGAACTCTTCAGTCCGGTCACACAGAGGTGCATGCGCTTGATTGTTGGCTTGGACATGGCATGTAGAAGCAAGATTGAATACTCGCCTGCCTGAACTTTAGGGGGCCCAGCTGCCAGTCAATGTACTCAAAGGCCACAGTGATGCGGTCGCGCGCTGGCTGCTCATAGTTGGCCAACAGGTCTACCTTGACCAGGCCAAAGTCCACCTTGTTGATGTACTGGCCTGCCTGCTTGTGTGGAAAGACCTGCAAGCCTCACATCTCGTCACCCGCTGCATCTAATTGCAAGTGCTTGACACAATGCCCGAGGTGAGTTTGAGGGGGGTCAGAGAATGTCTGATAAATCAAAAACCTGGGAGACTCTTCCGATGAAAGGGCCAAGCTTGCCGCTGCTGCTGGCTGTAGAAGATGTGTAAAGCAGTCGCCAGCTGGTTCCTGCCAGGTTCAGCTCCTGGAGTCCTCCAACTGTCTCCAGCTCTCTGATCAGATCTGCAATCTGCTGCGCCTCTGCTGGACTCCTGATGAACATCAAGCAATATTAGGAAGTTTTCGTTCAACGGAAGCACGAGCAGGTGTTGACTTTATGCTCACATAGCTCAAGTATGGCTGGTCTACAGGTCGCGAGAGGATGTTGTGGTCACCTGTCCAGACCATTCTTGTCTCCTGACAGACCTGCGATCTGTTGTTTGAGTGTATCGATGTCGGTTGTAGGGCTTGTTGATTGCTGGGAGCTCTTGCATGTCAGTGTCCTGCACCTTGATCTGGTGTTAGACAGGTTTCGATCTGGTTGCGTACAAGTACTGAAAGGTCTTTGATTGCTCCCAGATTTACATGATAAGTTTGAATATCCTAAAATTTGCGTCTTTTCAGTGCTAGCTAATCTGCTGGCCGACACACTAGCTGTGAAAGCTGCACACATGCCGCTCCTTCAGGCTGGACAGATTTTGTCCAATTGCACTAGGGATGAATGACTTTGGTTACTCGAAACAGTTCCAAGAAGTCGTAGATACGACGATGGGTAAATACGAGGCATAATGCATTGTGATGCCACGAACTCTGTTTGTGAGCCTTGACGTCAGCAGGCAGATATCCCATATCTCTTGTTGTTGGCAGTCGAAACAACATCGCAAATTCTCGTTCAAATCGTTTGAAACTTTTCTGCGACTTATTCTGATTATGCCTGTGCGTCAGTAGGACACTGTCCTGCCTTTCCAAGACACTGCACCACTGATGATCGACTGCCATTTCGGATGCATATGTAGACATTCCAGACAGCCTTGCACATCACTTGATTAAGGCGTAATTCATTAAAATGAGAGGTACATCGCCCGTACTAGCGCAATGCATGTGTAAGCCAATACCAAAAGCCCATTTTCAGTCACGGCAGAGCCTTCTGCTCTTTCAGTACAGACATTGCCATGATCAAGTCCGAAAACCCCAGCAGACCAAGTGCTTTGCTGCACGAAAGTTACCTGAGCACACATCATCTAGGAGGAAGACAGTGACAAAGGTCCAGGCAGTGCCCTCGGCTGGTGAGGGATCTCTTGGGGATGTGGAGCCAAGTGATGCGAATGAGCTCACCACCGCGCTCAACAACGCAATAGCGGCGGAGGACTACCAGCTCGCAGCAACGCTGAGGGACAGATTGAGGCAGCTGTCTGGCGGCGATGCTGGACCTCCGGCAGACTGGCAGAACCTGGGCATCCCAAGCTGGTTGGCAGAGCGCGCTGAGCACATCGGCTACCGCTTCCCCACAGGTGCCACTCTAACCTCCCATTTCTGGCATGACTTCTGCCTTCGTCGCTATCTGGCGTGCATGCCAGCCATGCATGCATTGCTCAGTCACAAGATCGTTTTCCTTGCACACACTGAGCGTTTCCTTGTGCCGTTGCAGATGTGCAAAGGAGGGCTGCAAAGGTCATCTGCAGAGGCGCGGACGCCATCATTCAGTCTGCGACAGGCTCTGGCAAAACACTGGCATTCGCCATCCCGCTGCTCGCACGACTGAAGTATCCCCCGGACGCCTACCCAGAGGACTTCCAAGTAAAGCTCCTTCACACTTCATTTCTGCGCTGTGCAATAATACATTTGCCTGCAGGCCATCTAATCACGCTAAGCCTGCTGTGCGCTAGCACATGCCGTGGCAGAAGCTCTCCCTGATATCAGGCCTGATAAGATCATCATGGCTGCTGAGAGTCCATTGGGCTGCTGTAGGGCCCACAATTGATCATAGTGGTGCCGACGCGGGAACTGGGAGTTCAGACGGTGATGCTGATTTACCAGCTATTTGGCGGCAGCGTGAATGCAGGCATCCCGGGCGACCCCACCAACATGTTTGCCTACACCGGGCCCCGAGGAATCCGGGTGAGGCCCCCTTCCCCCTCCCGTCTTGTCAACACCATCTCTTGTGCTACGCGGCACTCTTGTGTGACAAGAGCTCTGATGCAATGCAAGGACACCGGCACCTGTGCCTCGTGTTCCATTCAGGACACATTATCTTCACCTGCATCTTGACGTCATGCCACAGATGTAGGGCTCATCTGGTTGACAGAGTCCAGAGGCATCGACAGGAGTTCATGATAGAACACTGGAATGCTAGGAGGCTGCTCTGCGCAGCAAGTCTCTGCTGATGTGAGTGGGTGAAGCCGAAAGTGCTCTGTTGGCTACCGCAGGTAAAGGGTGTGCTGGACAAGGAGGAGGTGCTGCGAGCGAAGAACAACGGCTGGCTGTTTGCCAGCCATGTGGTGGTGGGAACGCCCCAGTGCCTGGCCGAGCTGGCCGCATCTCCCAACCCGTTCCCTCTCACCGCCTGCCTCAAGGCCTTGGCTGTAGATGAAGTGGATGCGTACCCCAAGGTGCCCACCATACATCCATCCTCCAGCACAACCTTCTGAGGAAGGTCTAGAATACTTTCCAAAAAGGCTCTGCTCAGGTGGCGCATGGCTGCCCCTCTGCGCTGTTCCCAAGTGAAGTTCTGCCAGCCTCCTAAAAGACTCTCTTTCAATTGCTGGTCTAAAGCATTCAAGTACATGAGGCTCTCTTTGACAAAACAAGGTTTACGATGAATGATATTAGTTTAGTTTATTGTGGCATGTGCATCTACCAGGGTCACATACACAACCTTGTGTTTTCTTTTCTTCTTTGTCACGCGCATCTGCCAGCGCCACATGCAGAGACTCTGCCTGGCAGGAACTCAATCGGCACACACGGAAGTGTCTCCCCGCATCTGCCATTTGCCGCCATCGTGACATGGCAACAAGTAGCAGCCAGGTGAGGCCTGAGGCGCTAGCTTGTTCAAGAATGGAGTGCCTGTGCTGAGCAGGATCAGAAGGACTCGCTGGAATTTGTGCTGGGGCAGGCGTGCGCACAGAGAAAGCAGCTGCCCAAACCGCAGGTGGTCCTGGTGGGCGCCACACTTCCGCCAGAGCATGTCCTGGACAGCTACCAGCAGCAGGTATGCACCTGGGCCCACCAGCAGCGACACAATCCATTTGTGATAATTGACGATTTTCCTGGAATAGTGGGGTTTCTCATTCGCAACTATTCCAAAATTGCACAAATCGCTTTGCAAGCTTCACGTCTGTTCCGTCTTGACATGCCGCGCAATCACTCTGCACAGTCTTGTGCCTGCATGCTGGTATCATCTGTGTCTAGACATGCTAGTAGCCCAAGTCCTGGTGAAATACCCACCAGTTAGGACTCATCATGCCTGTGATAGTGAGGGGAGGATTGGGCAGTGCACAAATGAGTAGCGTGCGGCAAAGAACACTCCTGCAGGAACTAGAGTGATACGCATATGGACCTTGCATCAAGTTCGATAGCTTTCAACCTCTATTCATCATCAAAGCGTGAGCTGGCTCTTGCTCTGAATTCCCAAGCCAGAGGTTCTTCGTTCTGATTTGTATTTGGGCAGGCTACAACCCACTGGACCCCTGCAGCGTCGGGCTCTGTAGTATTGGGCGTGCTAAATATCTGTGGGGGCCGCACAGGGGTGGGTGCAGGATGCAGTGACGCTGCGGGTGGGGCGGCTGGGGCAGGTGCCGGCCGGGCTGCAGCACCGCTACATGGTCGTCGACGAGCCGCGCAAGCTCATCCTCATGTGCCGCCAGCTGCGCCTCGACCTCGCCCAGTGCGCGCCCTCACCCACCCTCATTCACCCTTAACCCACTGGTACAGTATACTACATTCAGGGTTGAGAACTTTGAGTACTCACCAGTGCACCACTAGCCAAAGGGTGGTCCCTGGCGCTGGTTTTGCCCCAGACCTCGACTTCTTGTCCAGCGGGGAGCGCTACAGGAACAGAGAGGCCTAGATTCTCTTGCGGTGCTTTCCAGCAGAAATCAATGAGCACCTTCACCTGCTGAGCATCGCTGCAGCACATTTGGGAGCTCTAGCAATTGCAGCTGAGTGAGTGGTGTGTGATCTGTGCTGCTGTGTGCAGGCAGGGGGAGGACACGGCACCGGCGCGGGTGATGGTGTTTGTGGGCAGCGAGGAGGCTGCGCGCGCGGCCGCCATGCCGCTGCGGTCAGGGCTCTGGGCCGAGCACAAGGTCTCAGTGCTGCTGCCCCATGGAGAGGAGCCCATACAGGTCAGCCCCCACAGACCGCTCTACCACTCTGAAATTGCCAAAAAGCATGCAAGCACTCCAGCTGAACAAGAACTTTTCATTCTCATTGTAGAAATATATTCAACGACTATGATCTCAAGATCGCCATTTGATCATGAGCACATCAGATGGGCGAAAGGGCATCGCACACTTGTGGAGTTCTCATCACAGATCTCAAAATGCCCGTTGCCTTGCCCTGTTCTCTTCTGGCTGCTTCTAGATCATGGGTGTTGTAGCATCATCGTGTCCTTTGAAGTTTCTAAAGGGTGGTTTACTATTGGGCAGGCGCTGCATGCCTTCCGCGACAACAAGGCATCATTTCTGCTGGCCACGCCGTCGGCCGCGCGGGGACTGGATCTTCCGGCGGTGAGCCATGTGTACAACATGGACCCGCCCGAGGACAGCGTCGCATACCTGCACCGAGCGGGGCGCGCCGGCCGCATTGGCAGCCCCGTCAAGGGTGAGCTCCTGGCACGGTCACTTCTATCGTATTCTCTGCCTCTCTTCGTTCCAATACATTGATGCAAGCCTTCCCTTGCAGAAAAAATATTCTCATCACGACTTCCAGAAATGTAAATCCTCTTATGGATAGTGTCTTTCACAGAAGGCCTGCAGAGCTGTGCTGAGGCTTATGCCTTCTTCTCACAAGTATTGAAGCTCTGATGACCTGTACTGCTGTACCAAAATGAGAGCAGAATCCTAGGATGCTCCGGATGATATTGGTATGACAAGGATTACTGCAACTGAGATAGGAGCTTATGGCAAAGTGTTGCCGCACGCAGGCATTGTGACCACGCTGGTGACACAAGAGCAGGTGCCTGAGCTGCTGGCCATTGCCAAAGAACTCAATTTGAACTTGACAGAGCTGCCACAGCCACCGGCTGATGCGCTAACAGACTTTGAAGAGGGAAACATCGACACGGCAAAGAAGACTCTTGATGATCTTTACAATCTGTTGTAGTGCTCCCAGATGCGTTTCTGCAATACATTATATCCATATAGACAAGTAATTCCCTTGATTATCTGCTGAAGCCCTTGCGTAGAATCTGGTATGATCTGTACGAAGTTGAAGCCTGTAAAAAGCATTGGACAAGAGTGCTCAGAGAACGATTTTCCCAAAGGTTGTTTACTAGCCTGTCCAAACAACTTTGGGTCAGGCTCCTCAGCATCCCGTATGCATCCCCGTGTTCCCATTGTCCAGATCCAAGTGATACGCTGCAGGCCAGTCAATATCTCAAAAAGTAATTGTCCCCCTGATCAAATTTTTAAGTTCACAAGTGAGCCATGCGCGTCTGTTTTAACCCCTGATGGAAGCCTGGTGGCCCCTGTGCTGTCCTGTTTCAGTTCTGTAACCTCAGAGACCTGCATAGCCGTTGTAAGGATCTCAAAAGAGGACTATGATTTGCAGATCTGCTCAGGCGGGCTGCGCCGGCTTGCCATCCCTGGCCTCGCGCAGAGTGAATGTGCCGAGCGCCTCCATTATACGCCCCACCAGCTTCTGCTTCTGCATGGCTGCAAAGATGATCTCCTCATGCAGATAGCCCGGCAGCACCTGCAACATGTACAGCATCTCAGCTCTGACACATATACACAAACTGACAACCTTTCATTCAGATCCTGCTGCGCCAACCTCATAATCTGAACCCCTTAATACCAGCCGAAGAGAAGATCTTACGAGCGTGCTCACCATTAGCAGCACCAGCTCTAGCAAAAATCTGCCAAGGTAGGAGAGCTGAGTATGGCCTTACAAAGCAAAATGGGTGCCAGGAAACGTTGGCAGAAGGTAGTGAGAGGGGGTGGAAGGAGTGTGGCACCTTGGAGGCAAAGCCCATCTTGATGGGGTTGAAGGCCAGCTCCTGCACGCCGTCCATGATGGCATCCTCGCTCTCCTCGTCAATGGGCGCGATTTCAAATACGAATCCGCTTTCGTGGTGCGTGTATGTGAATCCGCCGCCCTCTGCCGGCGCTGCCTCCAAGCCCACCAGCGTGTTCAGGGCCTGACCACATAAATCACCCCTGAGTTCCTTGAGCATATGATTGCCAATCTTCAACATGACTTGTTGCACAACCCTGCATGTCTGCCTGGAAAGTTCTAGTGGCACTGAGAATAAATGCACTGCAGGCTGCGGTTCTTTGCACGGAATGTTCCAAAGTATACAGTCTTTGTATAGCGAATGATGAGGGAAGAGACTGCAGGATCAAAGCATGCGATTCGCCCAGGTGCCAGATGGATAACAAAGAATTGGACGGGTGCTCGCACCTTCTGAGTCATGTTGGAGAGCTGGCTGCCGCCCACCTGGGGTGGGGGCAGCGCCACAGCCCCCTGCCCGACGGCAGATTGTGCCTCTGAACCCGGCACAATCTCCTTTGTCGCTCCTGCGGCAAGCACACATCTCCCATCAAGATGCACTCAGTAGAGAGCTTGGCAGTAGTTGCTGTAACGAACCAAACCGTTGTCATCCATTTGAACAGCAACAGGGACTTGGACTTCTTTGGAGTGCATGCAGTCAATGCACTACAGGTCAGGCAGAGCGTGCCTGAGGGTGAAGAGAGGTTGGCGTCTTTGGCGATCTCCGGCCAAGCTGTCCTGTTGAGGATGGCCGGGGCCGAGGCGGCCTGAGCGTGCGGCGCTGTCCCCGGGGCCTCGAGTACAGTTTCTGCCGCCTGTGGCTCCTCCTGCAAGCAAAGGATGTGGCACCAGTCATTGTCTGCAGTCCACAATGCACTCTGCTGTTGTTTGTTTGCCCTGATGTTGCTGCATGCAGGCCTGAATTCCCCAGCAGAGCTGGCTGTTGGTGGAGCGGTGTACTGACACTTCGGCCAAAAAATCAGACAGTGCTGACTATTGTCCCTCTGTGCGAGCCTCTTGTGTGAGTGCAGGGCAAGTACGAATGCAGGGCTGAAATTTGTATTTCCCACCTGCACGGCATCCAGCTGCGGTGCGGCAGCATCGGCGTCGGCAGCAAAGCGGCTGCGCGGCTGCATGACAGAGCAGCCGATGGAGTACGGGACCAGCGGCTTAGCGCTGGGACAGCACTGCACCTTCCCGCTCACTGCGCAGCAGAACACCCAGCAACTTGATATGTCTCTGCCTTTCATCTACTACCAAGGTACAGTTAGGCAACAGTAATTGACGGTGCACAATATCTCCAGCACAACGTTCAATATCTGCAGCAGCCAACATGCCCTCATTCATCTATGAAATTACTATTTGCAGCTTCACCAAGGGCCAGGCCAAGCATGCTTCCACAGTTAGTATTATGTTTGTCTGATGATGGGTGCTTTAAGTGTGCAGATGCTCACCTGGAGTCGGGCAGGACATGGCGGTGGCTGGGGAGCCGTGAGGGTGTGCAGGGTGGCTGTAGAGATCGCTGACATTCGCACCCTCTGGGCAGAAAGCACGCGCCTCCTGCACATATCTCAGGCTACAATTTGATACAAAGGCCATCCAGAGAACCTCAAGGAAACCGGCATTATGTATGGATCACTGGTGAGTCAGCAGCAGGGTTGCAAGAAGGTGATAATTGGGGAAAGGAGGGATGGTGGCACGGACCTGCAGATGGCCTGCCTCAGGAGAGGCCGGGGGTGCGGCTCTGCTGGTCGGGGACTTCATGGCCGGGGCAGGGGTGTGTGCAAGGGCTGAAAGGCATGATGCCTGCGCCCATGCTCTCAAGTCGGCACCCCATATGGACAAGTTGCAAGTGGGTGAAGGGTTCAACAAGGATTGCATTAACGTGATCTAGCAGTCCAGGGCGTCACTGGATCACACACCTGTGCGCCATCATGTGCCTGCATCCTTAGCCAGTTTGGCGACACCTGCATGCATGCAAAATCTGTCCTCACTTAACAATTCAAGATGTTCACAGCACAGGCCTGGAAACTCTGTCGCCCAGCACCTGTACGCTCCATTCCAGCTGCAACAGGCTTGAACATCACACCCTGCCGTTCTCGGCCACCCTCTTGCATGGCTAGCTGCAGTATACTGCGAATAAGTACCAGCGCACACCTGCACGGCCTGGTCGGCCTTCAGAGGCGTCGCGTGGCGGCGGTCGGCTGCGGCCAGCGCATGCTTCAGGTCGGCCACGGCCTCCTGCTCTGCCAGCAGCGCGGCCTCTGTCTCCATGAGCTGTGCGCGCAGTGTGCTGTTCTCCTGCGCCAGCCGCTCCTGCGCCTCCCTCACCTTGGCAGAGCCCGCCTCCTACGGACAGCAATTACACTAATAGATCAGAGCATGGATGATGGACTGACTGATCAAGTGAGAATGTGCCTCCAAAACTCTGCAAAAGCCACCACTATCTCAAGGTGGCTGTTGTGTGGTGCCAGTGCATTCGGACATTCACATAAAGTGTGGCAAGGTTCCCTATGACCACAAGCAGTCCCAACAACATTGTATTTTGCTGTGCAGAACAGCCTTCACTTCTTGGCCGTGGTTCCCAACAACTATTTTGTGAACAGCTTAAAACAAAATGTACAAAGATCAAGCTTAACAATGTTGGCAGTGATGCAGGAAGGCGGCGCACCTGTGCGAATGCTGCCTGACGTTCTGCCTCCATCTTCCAGTGCTCTGCCAGCTTCAGCGCTGACTCACGGTGCTCCATTGCCTGCAGACATGTTGATTACTATTCACTGTCCTGGTGCATGGACTGGCATTTGATAACAAACTTTCGGTACCAATTCCAGAGATGGAATGCTATGGCAAATGCATGGCAAGGAGCACATCAACAGAATAGCAGAAGCATGTGCACAGTAGGATATGGTGTGCATGCCTTGCTGCTCTGCTCCCCAAGCATGGTTTCCAGCTGCTGAATCCGCTGCTTCTTGATCGCCTCATACTTGCTCTGCAGTGCCGCGTACTCCACCTGTCATGGCAGAGGATAGTCGTGCATGCATTTTTGCCAACGTGCCAGACATTGCAGAAGATGGATGCGTATTTCTCTGAGCTTTCCAAGAGCATGTTCTGAACTCATCAAGAGAGACAGGCAGACCTGCAACTTCTTGAAGTTGTTAGACTCTGTAGCTGTATCTGGTGCATGCGGGGGTGGCAAGGCAGGAGGCTGCTGCTGCCTGCTGACAGGCCGTGCTGAAGCAGGCTTGTCTGCCTTCTTCTCTGCGTGCCTCGGCTTGTCTGGAGCCAGCTCCTTTGCTGGCTGCGCTTTGCTGTCTTCTGCGGCTGGCTGGCTGACAGCCTGCTCCTGTGCCTCCTTTCCCTTGGATGCCCTGGAAGAAGTCTTCCAGCTGTCAGAGCTGCGAGCTGGCTGAGGCTCAGCAACGCCGCTTGTCCTTGGTTGCTGAGCAAGCTCTGGTGCTTCGGCGGCTGCAGAAGTCTTGGCTTTCTTTGCAGCTTTGCCTGCTGGCTTGGCATCTTTGGAGGGCTCTGGCACAGCCCGCTTGTTTGAGAGCTGCTCTGGGGCAGATTTGCGCTTGCTGTCCTTCTGGACTGGCCGCTCTTCTGCAATGGGCGGTGCTGGCGCGGATTTTCTTGCCTTGCTCTTCTGCTCTGCTGCATCACCCTTCACATCTTTGGCTGATTGTCCACCTCCCTTTTTATTTCCCTTGACGTTGTCTCCACTGGTGGATGGACCCTCAGCCACAGCAGCTTGGTGGTCCACTGCGTCTGCATTGGCTTTCTTGGCTGCAGCTGCCTCTGTCGTCACATCCTCAGCTTCGTCCTTTCGAGCCAAGGGAGGTCTCCCCTTGCCCTGCTTCTGCTCCTTTGCAGGATGGACATCAGCCGCCTTTACTTCTGCCTTCTTCGTTTTGCGCTCGGCTGATGCAGGCTTGGTATTCTCTTTTTCTGTGCCTGCAGTGTTAGCTGCGTCCTCCTCTCCATCTTCACGTGTAAGCTTCAGCCATGTCGGTGTTCCTGGCGCGGGAGCTTTGCTGTAGTCCACAGATTTTCGGGGCCTGAGAGAGCCCACCATGTTTCTTTTTATCTCAGTGTAGCGCTACTACATTCCAGGTTTAACGGTAATAAACAAGGAATGCTGTGATACAAACACCTCTCTGGCCCTCTCTGCAATGTCTGCTTCACTTCCTGTGTCTTTTAAAGATTATCACACAGCCAATGAGCTCAGCAGACAATTGCGTATTGTCGATGTCAATTTCAACAGCTGAGCTGCGTTTGAAGTTCTGTTCTTATCTGCTCCCTTGCATTGCAAGGGTGTAAATTTTGTTGGAGCTGTCATGAGTGTTGCTCTGTGTGGCTAAACGCTTGCAGCTCGAACGATCTGCCGTGCACAGCTTTGCAACTTTACGCGCATATTGGATATCTTGCATTGTGTTCTCTAGTCATCCCTGACGTTTTGCTATTCTTTCGCTGCTGCCTTCCAAGCAGCAAGCTGCTTGACTAGTCGTTGAACATTGTTTGTTGCCGTCCAGCAACATCTAAGTAAAAACGTTTGCACTACTTCAGAATTATTGTGTCACGTTCATATTATCTCGAGCCATCAGAGGGCATCTTTATTGCTTCTGACGGCTCTCACGTTTCGGTGCCAATCCGTCACGCCGTGTAGAAAACGTCTTCTGAGGCGATCACCGTTTCGGAACAGTTGCTGAACAACCATAGAACTTTTACATCGGCGAAGAAGCGCTATCCAATTCGGACTTGATAGGTGCGTGGTGACGCGAATGTAGAAATGACTGCAATATGAACTCTGCGTGGGCTGCTGCTTAGTGTCTGTGAGTGAAAGCACTGTGAAGGCGAGTTGCATCTAGCATAGAATTGTTAAGAACACGAATTCTGGCGGATGATACCGATACCCTTATCTACTTATCTGGTTTGTGTCCCAGATCCAGGATGCTCTCAGCACAGCACCCCCTTCAGCATGGGGCAAGGCTGTCATACGCCAGTCAACGCCTTGTTATCACGAGATGCAGTGCAACGCCACAGGCGCGCCAGTTCCAGGTATGAAATGCAAACCCTAGCTCTATTTACAGTCAAATTAATGATTGCAGGAGTGTGCAGCCTACATGGGAAATCGCTGCTGCAGGGGGCAACGTGCAGCATGGACTTGCAACGCTTGCTAGCAGCGCCGATTGCCAGAATAGGTGCCCCCATCAGGCGGCACCTACAGAGCATGCAGCTAGGCTCCCCACAGCGCAGCAACGCCAGCAGGGCAGACAATCTGCCCTGCACAGCCACTGGTGGCGGTGGGGGTGCGGGGGACAAGGGACCCCCCGGTGGCAGCGGCGGCGGAGGTGAGGGCAATGGAGAGGGTGACGATGGGGATGAGCTGCTCTCCAAGAAACAGGTGCGCACCTATCGATCAGTTCCTCCTTGCTAATAACTTCCACGTGCATCTTGTGGACCCGCCGCCGTTGCTGCGTCAGCATCTGGACTGCATTGCGCGTGTGATGCTGTCTCACGACCACCTGCCCAGTGGTGCAGGGATATTGCATGTGGGGGCATCACTGGTACTGCATGCGGGCAGAAATCGCGGCAACTAGGGAAGCTGACAGTGCTGTCCCTCACAGGCAGAAGAGTTGGCGGCTGCAAGGGGGGTGGAGCTGCCGGCCGACTTCCTGGAGGCGGCGGCTGGGGAGGGGCTGCGCAGGAGTGCCCTTGTGGCCTACCTGGCGCTGCAAGGAGCCCTGTTCAACGGCTGGCTCTCTCGTCTGCTTCCAGCTTTCCGCAACCGCCTCATCGCAGATCCCCGATTCTTCTTCAAGGTGTGCTCCTGTGATCAAATTTTACAGCTAAGAATGGTCCTCATGTGCAAAGCGATTGGGCTGCATTCATGTTCAAGCACGGTGGGCTCATACAAGGCTGGCATGCGCTGGACACGTCCATTGTTAAGCAGCTCTGCACAAGACAAAGCGGGACCCTTGCTCGCAACATATACTCTGCAAAGGGGCCCGGTCAGCCCAATTACCTGGTGCTTGCATGTTTGTGGAATCATGATCGTGCAGTATGCCCGGACTTCATTACTTATTTTTGCCTGGAGGGCGCTGATCGAGGAATTCTCTGTCGCGTATTGAAATTGTCTGGTCCTTTAATGATTGTGGAAGTATTAAGCCCAGACTTTATCTTTGGTTGTTGCCTTGAAGGCGCTGCTCACCACCTCGACGGCGCTGATCAGAGACTGCTCTATCGCAGATTTTTTCGGAGGTGGCGATAGATACTGGCTGCGCGACGGTGGCGGAGGTGCGCAAGCGAGGGGACGACTTCTGGAACGAGTTTGACTTCTACCTGTCCGACCTGATCGTGGGCTGCGTGCTCGACGTTGTCCTGGTCACCCTTCTTGCCCCTGTGGCCGTCATCGGCAAGCACTCCCGCGCTGCCAAAGCAACAGGTCTGCTCTCGTGCCATGCCCCCTTTCCGGTGTGCATTGCTTGCCTACAAAGTGTGGTGTTTGTCGGCACGCTGCTCTTTTGAAAAGCACAGATGCTGCATCTGCCTGAGCATCCTCGAGGAAAAGGACTGTATCAGCACACTAGATTTTGGGCACGCGCGTTAAGAGCTTGCGGCAGGTGCTGTGGGGCTGCAAGGGTGTTGCGGTGGAATCGAACCTGTATGGGAGTCTGCTTCTTGCACCAGTCTTTGTACAGCAAGGTGTGAGCGAGAGCAGTGCCACAGAAAGAACCTTTCCTGGAGCGGACTGAGCAGAAGACGCATTCATCCACGCAGGCATGCAGAAGGTATTGGCGCGCATTCCAAGCGCGGTATTCGCACCGAGCCCGGCTGGCGCGCCGCGGTATACTGTGCTGGACCGCTCTGCCTGCCTGGGCATCAAGTTCCTGGAGTACAGCCTGGCAGGACTTTTGTGCGGCTTCGCCGGCCAGGGCATTGCCAATGGCCTCATGCAGCTGAAGTGAAGCCTCCCCACTCATCCCCTATCTCACTGTCAGCTTGCTTGCAGTCCTTGTGATGGCAGTGCTCCTATCCTGGCTGCACAGGACGAGCCCGGACATGATTTCGGCCGAGCCAGGCTTGTCTTTTGCACTTCTTGGCCATGCATGCTGCATTGGGGTGCCCCATCAAGGGGTCATCTGGATACTAGTGACCACAGGTAGAGGGATACTTAATTTGCCACGGGCTGGGCTGAGCTCTGTAAGCGCTTGTTAGCACGTTGCATTCAAGTATTGGGGTGGCTGTCAGACACAGGGAGGGGGAGAAATTCTTGACTTGTGCATGCTTCAAAAAAGCATATTCTTTACGAAGGAATTGTGGATGGCCTTATGGGTGTGGCATGGCAGGGGTGCAGGCTGCTTTTGACTGAGTCATATGTGGCTGGGTGTGGCCAGGCGAAACGTGTCTGGTGTGGTTGAGGGCTGCGTGGACATCCCTCCTGTGGGCAAGACTGCCCTCACCTGGGCCTTCTTTATGGGCACATCCTCCAACGTCCGATACCAGGTATGTCTTGAGACCCATGAGGCCAACAATCCCTCATAAGAAATGCCTGCAGCCCGCAATGTGTCTGCATACCCTCCTGTGCTTTGGGGCCTGGTGATCCAGTCATTGCAGGACGTCCAAAGAATGTGGATGAATTAGACCAGGAAAAATGCAAGACATGCGAGGCAGTGCGAGCATCCAGTAGGGAGGCAGGGCTGCCTCTCTGAATCGCTGAATGCTGCCCTGCAAGCAATGGTATCAGAATGCATGTGCTTGGTGCAGATTGTGTACGGCATCGAGCACTTGGTGGACGTGACAGTTGCAAAGAAAGTCCCGGCGATGGCCTATGCAACAACGCTCATTGTGCGCTTCATCAATAACATCATTGGCGGGGAGAATTTCATCGATATGGCGCGATGGACTGGCATTCAGTAGGCTGCACATTGATTGGTTGTGTGAAGGGTGATATCATCGATGTGTGAAGGGTAGACTTCAGAACAAATTGATGTGCGTTGTGGGCGTGCAGCTTCTGTCAAAAGCAGGCGTGTGTTGACAGCATACTTTGAATGTTTTTAAAGGTACTTTTGGGACTGCAACTTGCAGTCCTGTGTGACCACAGGCAGCATTGACTGTGCAGACAAAGGGGATTGGTCAACTTGTGATGCCTAGGAGTGGTTGCACCAATTGTGCAGCTCCTTTCCCGTGCCTCGTGCAATATGGCGGACTTATAGCCATTAGTCCATCCGACAAACCGCAGCATAATGCGTCAATTTCTGATTGAAGAAATTCCTTGAATACCTCTGACCGCACACTTGAGGCTGCAAATGCATTTTCTCCGGAATATCTCCATGAGAGCCCATATTGTGTGACAGCTTGGTGATTTTTAGGCCAAAAAAACCCCAGCTTTGATTTTTTTGTAAAATGCAAACACTTTCCTGATTCGAGATTTGTCTAGCACATGAGCTCCATCCCCACAAGTAATAGAATTAGAATGCATGGTGCATCCACCACTATTACTAGGATTCGAGTTATATGGCAGGCCTGATCTAGATCTCCTAATGGCTGATTCGTCCCAGAAGTGTAGATGTCTACAACTTCGACTGACTCGCACATCAATGCATCAGCTTCAGCCTCTAGTCTGGCAACAGGCATCAGTAGCTGTCCTCCAGGTTGCTGTTCCAGGCTCTGATCCACTTGCCATCCTCGAGGCTGGAGGCTTTGGCGGCGTCAATCACATACTGCACCGCCACGCCATCTTCCAGCCTGGCAGCTGGCTCCAGGGCGGACATGTCCTGCTCCGGGCCCAGAGCCTTCTGCAGAGCTTCCCCGAGCGCGCGAGTGCCGGTTGTAGCAAAGGGATTCCCTCGCCCTCTGACTGAATCAATCACCTGGAAGCAGACCGCAAACGGAGTCAATAACAATGGATATCAATATTCAGAGCCCACTCTGTCCAGGCCATCACTGCCTCCAAGATTTCCACTATATTTAAGGCATCAGGGTCAGCTTCTCTGAGTTATAACATATTCATTCTGGCAGGATTGCAGCTTGATTCCTGTAAGCAGAGGAATGCAGAGCACGCTGCCCAGGATTGAGAGCGAGCCTTACCTTTCCCGCCTCATCAGTGACGATGAGGCTGCCCATGGAACTGCTGATGATCACCCCGCCCTGGGTGCCAGAGAAGATGAGCTGATTGTCCACCCGGGCCTTGCCTCGGGATGCCAGCGTGGCATGAGCGCTGATGTGGCTGTCCTCGCTGGCCCATGCAGGGCCCCGCTGCACAGAAGCCCGGGGGACCAGCTTGAACTGAAGGCAGGCGTAGTCATCCGAGGTCACCTGCTTGGGCCTCCCCTCCTCATCCTGTTCGCATGCACACTCATTTTCACATTATTTGTTGTACAAAAGACGCACACTTCACATCAGTTTCAACAAGTTCTGAGGCGCCCTCATGCATTGTGGGATATCAGGTAATACAGGGCATTAATGTATTGCGCACCGGCAGCTCTTTCAGTAGCGTTTTCAGATTTGCCGACACTTCCTCGATTTCCGCATCTAGCAGAAACCTGCAATGACAAATATACATTTCTTATTGATAATTTGTAATCCCTTAATCTGCACCTGCACTCTTCCTCCTGCCCCATTCAATGCAAGGTCGCACATCACAGGTGGTGAGCATCTGATTGGGTATCGTGCCAAGAATGTTTTTATGAGGGAGGCGCGGAAACACCTCAAGGCATCAATGATGTGGGAGCCAATGGCGCCCAAAACACCACCGCCCATGCTGGCATCAGCCCACCAGGTGAAATTGCCGGTGGGCACTGGGAACAGCACATTCGCTTCCACCACGAGCACAGTACCAATGCTGCCTCTGCGAAGGTGGTCGCGCCCCCTGAGGAAGGCAGGCGTGAATCGCAGCTCGTGGTCCACAATGACCAGCTGCACACGCACAGCCAATTCCAGACGTCAGCACTAGGTTGATGCAAAGCACTCCTCTCCATCTATTGTTGAGATTTTATTGTGTTTCGTGCCCTGAATGCACCTGCTTGACATGCTGTTTCGGGTCTGTCCCCATTGTCTGCTGTGCGGTATGAATATATTCAAGATTGTTTCATAAACAAGCGGGCAAAGGGCTCCTGAAGGTGCGATGTCGAGCCGAGAGCAAGGCAGGGGCACCTGATTTGGGTGCTCCTGATGGGCTTTGAGTATCTCCTCCCCCTCATCAGCGTTCAGACATAGGGGCTTGTCGACAAGCACATTCCTGCCTGCCTTGATGGCCTCTGCAAGCAGGTTGAGCACACATGTCAGACTCTACTTGGCACAGTAAGACAGGATTGTCTCTGTTTTCATCATGTCCTTCAGGTGCCTGCATTAAATAAAAGAATTTTAAAAAGCGTGCTGAATCTCCTACCAATCGTTTGGTGTGCATGGAGGTAGACCGGTGTCACAATGCTGACGAGATCCACTGCATGCACAATTGCAAGCTCAATTTCCAGACTTGCAGCATAGTTTAAGTCGCATTTGTAGCCATGTCTAAAGGGACCATGGTGTTGTATCTAGAGGTGTGCAGAGTGGAATTGATGAGGCAACACCTGTGTCCACTGACAGGAGGGATGCATAGTCGCTGAAGGCATGCGTGATACCATTCTGCAACACAGTGGAATTCCTACCTGAGTGAGCCATGCAAAGCAAGAAGGCAAAGCATCCCTGACAGATTTTATTGCACACATCTTCCTTTCTTACCTCTGCTGCTATTTGGCTGGCCCTGCATCACACATGCGCAGAGCTGACAAATCTATTCGACGCTCTATTTCTGCATGAAAGGAACGGAAAATTTCCACAGTGACTTTGCACGAAGGGGTGGAAGACTTGCATCTCACCTTTTCTGATCCCTGGAATATAATGCAAAAATACGGAGGCCGGCAGCTCTGAACTGTGGGACCTGGACCTATAAAGGCAGCAGAACACTCTCACTGTCACCATTATTGGCCACAGCAGCCTAATTCTGAGGAAAACTTTATTTGCGCTCACCTTGACGCCCCATCCCGTCCCAATGATGGCCACTCTGATGCCATCAATCAGAGGTGCCTGAAAAGCATGTCGACACGTTTCAACACATCTCCTTCACATAAATACATGACCAGGTAAAGCAGACCTTACCTTTGATTTTTTGAACACTCGCCACAGCATGACGCCAGCGAGACCAGCGCACGCGGCAGCTCCCACTGTAAGCAATGTGTCCCTGCAAGAGGACCAGCATCAGACTATTCAACGCAGTTTGTAGTGGAACCGACATTTTCAACATATTATTACTGGGTTTCTGGTTCAAAACGAGCCATGAAAGATACCCTGGATGTCAAGTACAATCCTACATCAGATGGTGGCCATGACCTACCTTGACCTCAGTTCCGAAGCCTGGAATCTCATCTTGGACCTGCACGATATGAAAGCCTAGAGAAATATATTGTCTTACAGATCAAAATCTGTACATATACTTGTCACAAGCACTCAGCAAGCGTGGTTGGCACGATCTGCTCATCCAGGTCAACCGCTATCATGCATTCATTATGACACGCAAGATAATGCAAGCAAATTCTTCATGAGTTTCTGCTTTTGCATGTAAGCCTGACGTCCAATTCGCATTTCTTTTGTTCACATGAATGGAACTCTTGCAATTGCCGTAATGTCAGCTTCCCACCTGAAGGAAGCTAATTGTCCATGTCATTGAAGGTTGGTGACAGGTTTAACTCCTTCGGAGTCAATGCATTAAGATTTCCAGACACTAGCTTCATGTGCTGAAATTCATAAAGTTCTAAAATATCCCAAAAATCCTGATCCTATGAGTGCCAAGAAGTCAAGCTGCAGCTGACCGTTTGAGTTCACCGTGCACTGGAATATTATTGGGAACAGCGCTGATCTACCGCAACTTTCTCGAAGAGCCAATACATGCTATGTTTGAACACTACGGATGTGGTGTGTAAGTTGCCGCAGCACATCACTTTTACCCCCTGTCTCGAAATACACCAAGTTGTTCCGAGCCAGAGGAAACGATCATGATGATGTTGGAAACTGAAAGTTCTATTTGTGAATATTTTTAGGAACTCAAGTCCAACCAGACACTCGGCACTGCTTAGCTAGCAATGCCGCATGACAGCTTGCAGACCCTCAAGCGAGCAAATGATGAACAATCTCTATCACAACTCTGCACTCCGCTCTGCTTATCTTCCCCAAAACCGCTTCGGCTGCTGCTTTTCACAACGCCAAGAGCACAATCTCTCTCACCTGCACACAAGTCCAACCCTTAACATGTATTGGTAACAGGTATTGGGAACATTCCAGCATGTCAGATTATCACATTAGCTACAACAATCTGGACTTACAAAGGAGGGCGCACGGTCAATTACCTTCTGAAATGATCCTGTACCAGTCTCTGATGCTACATGTTCGGCCACCTTCTTGCCATCTTTGTAGACGGCAATGGTTGGCATTTTCTGCATTCCAACATGATCAGTGAGCAAGTGCAGATCTAGCATTTTTGCTGGCAATGTCTTGAAAAAGAATCAGCACTTTCTTTTGCGGCAGCACATACCCGGATTCCGTTGCCTGTCACCAGACTGCCTGGGACCGCATTTACATCAACAAAAACAAGTGGAACCCTGTTCGTGCAAGATACTTTGCATCAGAAATTTGGACAGTCTCTCAAGCACTGACAGTTTGCAAGTCTATAATTATACTAGTTTATTGTACAATAGCTATGGAGCCAAGAGCAGGGTGAGCAGGGGCCTCACTGTGGGAATTCCTCAGCAAAGAGCTTTTGAAGCTTAGGCTTCAGGTAGATGCATTTTCTACACCTGCACAATCCACATCATTAGGCAACGTTTCCCCGATCAGATTGAAGATAACTGAAGGCAGTTGAGCCAGAATAGTTAGACAGATCGTACCACTTTGCCATCCAATCAACCACCACCTGTTAGAAAGAGGCACACCAAATAAGCATTTGTAAGGACACCATCATAATCATAGATCATGTTGCCGTTGCTGGGGGAAAAAACTGCTGAAAGGACAAATAATCTGTCCAGCTCACCACGTTTGCTCGCGACACAGCTTCTGCAAAATCCTCCTCTGAAGTCAACTGTATGAAACGGACAGATTTATCACTCAATCAAGCCATAAAATGCGTCGATTGACAAGCACTACCTCCCTGTGCCAGTGCAAGCAAATGGGGAGGATGTTGTCACGATTTCACCGCCACTGCCTCTCATGCAACCTTTTATAGAGAGCACACCTCCTCAAAGCCACTTACCATCCCTATCGCCGCTTCGGAACCTTCTGCGAGCACGGCTTGACAAGGACACCTCCTGACGATGGGCTTTCTGCAGGGAGATCTGCCAGGCTTCCTTTGCGTGAACATGTGTCTTACATTGGTACTCTGTATCAACGAACATCTCAGAGCAGTTGATGACCTCGACGGATGACCCAACCGGCAAGTCAGATTGATGTGCATGTTGGGCAGACCCACAGCTGCCTTGCTAAGCAAATCTCGGTGTTACTACACCTTTCTCAAGTGCAGGTTTGTAGAACAGGTTTCTGAACATGTGATCGGAAGATATTCTGTATCATGGAGCAGAATTCCCTTGCAAATGACACAGTAAGCTTGACACGTGGCACAAGTCACGTGCGCTCAAAACAGACATGCATTACAAGCGCTGGCATTCTGGACTGGTGCAATATCAGACCCATCCTGGACATCTTAAAATCTAAGATCCGCGGGGACTTAGATTTGCCTCGAGAATGTCAACCTGTCCCTTCAGATAGACATGCACTCCCCCAGCAAATCCCTCGAGGGCCGAGGCGTGGCTGCTACACTGCTGCAGGGCGCCACGATATGAGTCCAAGAGGGGTTTCAGACACGCCTCAAGCATGTCTGTCACATCACCCTCATTCTTTTCAGCCTGCACATCAAGAGAAGAGTTAATTGCAGAAGGAACAAACTCTACCAAATGTCACGGGCAGCCCTTGCAGATGTCAATGCATGCCTGGGTGCAGGATTGCCGGCCTTACTAATGCCGTCTAAACAACTCTCAATGGTGTAAGCATGAACAGATACACGCATGCAAAGCTACCTTAAAGGGGGTCTCATCAGATCCAGCCAGCATTTGCCTCAGGGCGGGCGCATCTGCAGCCAGCACCCTCAGGCACGCCAGTATGTGCGGAGACATGGGTCCAAGCCTGAGATGGTGCTCTAGATCAATGCCATACAGTTGCAGGACGGCTTCCCTTTCCGCTCTGCTGTCATCATCTGGCACCTGCATTGGGAAACACGGGCCTTCCTTTGCCTGAACACACCTATGTACTGGGACAAGTGAAAGGGTGCAAAAGGGCGCATTATGCTCATGATGTTAAAGGCACATGAGAGAGTCAAACCTCAAAGGTGATTGGCACGGTGTCATGTGGGTTATCTGGGAGGGCGAAGCCGTAGAAGAGCAGCAGCTTCAAGTTGGGCAGGGGCCCGTACGACAGAAAGCACTGCTCCCCAGCAGCACAGTGCCTGAATGCGCGCAGTCGCAGAGAATCTGTTGCCGCATCCAGGCGGCCATAGCGCACTATGTGAGGCCATGGAGAGTGGTTTAACAAATGAGCAATGGGCACCAGAGTCTGCCTCACTGCCCCATCAACATACTCCACCTGGCCCCCAGCACAGCAGCGCCTCATTATTCTCGAGTCACTGGCCCTCCAAAGCATACGCTCATTTGATTCGGGTGGCATGTGATTTGTGCTTTTCGCAGAACAGCTGATGATCAGCAGTTCAGAGCCACAAGTGAGCTCCTGCGGTTTGAAGGATTTAGCGCACCTCAATTGCATAGCTGTACCAGAGCTCGCAGGCCCAGATGAACTTGTCCTCTGTGACCAGATCAGGAGTGATGTCATCGGGGTATGCTGCCGTCAGGGCTTGCAGCACTGGCTGTGCTGCCCTGTACTGCTCCCTGATGTGCTGCGCATGCATGCAGTGTTGGCGGCACAGATGAAGCCTTGTCGATCACATTCATGCAGAGTTGTGACATTCAGAATGAGGTGACAAGCTGAATGTCATCTGGGTGGTCATGCTGTCCCAAGCTACCTGCCGTGCCTCAACAAAGGTGGTGTGAGCAGGCGTCCCCTCTAGCATGGAAACTTCTTCCTCAGTTGCACTCAAGCCTGCAGTGCATCCCCACAGAGGATGCTGACCACGCTTCCGGCTCACTTGATGAGATTCTGCCAGGTGTTGCATCATGCTGTGGAGTGGAGGTGATGGCAGCTCACCTGTCATGAAAACTTCCGGTAGGGAGGCCCAGAAAGGGGCAAAATCAGAGTCCTTGTCATGGCGGTCAATCATGGTGTACAACAGGAGCAGGGGATCCTTCTCAATGCCCAAAGCTGCCAGTGCCTGCCCCTGAAGTGACACGCACCACCCACTTGAGCTATGATGACAGAAATCTGTTCAACGTATCTTTCCCATTGGAACTTGATTAAACCAGCCCTGCCGATTTGCGTTAGGCAGCGTCCTTACGATGTCTGACTTCAAGGCAGTGTCCTCGTTGATGAGGCATTGCTGTGGCACATTCACCACAGATTCTAATGCATGTATTGACGCGACTGCAGCAGCTCCTCTCAGGTCCCCAAATTCTGCTTCCACCACAGCGGTTTCAGTGCCTCTACCTTTGGCCCATCTGCATGCATGCACATCTTCCTGCCGTCAAGTACTGTCAAGCCAATGCCCACTTGGTGGCTAGGTTGCGTGTGCACAGCAGAGCACATGCAGGGACCAAATTCATGTACCTTTGGAAGTCTTTCCCCATGGATGTCTGCACAGGGACTGACCGGCTGCATGGAAGCGCAGTGTTCAGCTCATGAGCATTAATGGCAGCTGTCAGTCTGGCCAGCATGTCTTCCTTGCCCTGTTCTGCACCAGAGTAGATTGATGTTGTGTGTATGGCTCCCATGCCAAATCTGAAATAATCTGGCATGGGAAATTACTACGGCGCAGCATAATTCAGGGCATAGAAGTCCAGGTATGGTGTTCTGCAGGTGCATCAGACCTGATGTTCTAGTCAAATCCTGCAGTAATAAAGACAAAGCAGCAGCTTCATTTCGGGGATTGATGGGAGTCTCTATATTTTCAGTGCCGAAGTAAAGCTCCATGTCGTTGAGGCAAGCTATTCTTGCGACCTGAATCATTTCGTCAACCGGACATCTCATTAAATCAATGGATCTGCTGAGCCCTATTTTGACAAGTAAGTGCTCCTTGATGCTCCTCTGTTGATCATCACCGCCGAAATGGATTTGCATGATCGAGAGTGATCAAGAGTGAACTGCGACTGCCCTTCCCAGAAATAAAGTACAGATCACTATTAGGTTCTTTGTTGTCTGTTACAAATGTTTTTCGATCAAGAAGGACTTATATTCGACGAATTTGTCCCCGATTTCTTCACAGGCCTCAAACTCCGAAAGAGGCTTCCGGAAGTTCTCACAGATGATCTCTGCCTTCTGTAGAAGATCCTTATCCTCGAAGTTCTCAATAAAAATTGACTCGTTTTGGCTAGGTATTAGTAGCTTTAGCAGAATCAACACACAGATATGAGTTTGTAACAACTGCTTCTGACCATGAGCAGCTTCGTGAGAAAGGGAGCTTTTGGCGCCTCTCCTGCAGGTGATAAAGTCCTGGAGATATGCATTATTTTATACTGTGCTTGTTTTTGCTTGGTGAAGGTTCTAGAATTCATTAAGAGCGTGTCCAACTGGTTGATCTGCATCTGCTTCAGCTCTGCACTGAAGGCTAGGCAATTTTACGTCGCAGACTTGGGAACTCGTGCTGGGTTGCACAGCCAGACGCTTATCAGCACAGGCCTTGCAGACCTGGACCGTATATTGGGCGGAGGACTGCCCTTGGGGGCTGTCCTGCTGCTTTTGGAGGATGCTTACTGCCCCCATGGATCGACTCTGCTGAGGTACTTTGCAGCAGAAGGCGTAGCTTGTGGCCATAGAGTGCACTGGACAGGCGCAGCCAGGCCAGAAGCCACATCTCTACCATCGCTGGCAAAGAGTCAATCGGCTTCACAGGTCAGCCGTTTGTCCTTCCCTGAATCCCTGTCTGCGCTGCAGAATATACGCCATGATGCACAGAACACCTTCTTTATGGCTACTTCATTGGAAGCCCAATATTATCCATGCAGGCAGAGGACAGGGAGCCAGGCAAAGAGGAGGATCCAAAGCTGCGCATAGCTTGGCAGTATCGCCGCTACATCCAGAGGCAGCAGGACAGAGCAGAGCAGCCGGGGCCGCCAGTCGCTCCGAGAAAGGGGGTTGGAGATGTTTCTGGCAAACATCCTGACCTGACATCACCATCTGGCAGCACAGCAGGTACATTGCAGACTAATTCTCATCCAGCGCACCCTGCTTCCTGTGGTAATTTCAGTTCTAGTCATTCCTCAGACCATGAACGCTATTGCAGGAGGATCCTCCGGCAGCAAGGCGACTGCGAAGTCCAAGAGCAGCAGCGGCATGCGCGATTGGTGTCATCAGTTCGATCTGTCACGGCCCATGGATGCATCTGCTCTGCAAGCTAGTCACCTGGTGGGTGCACATCCATACCCCCTGCCAAAGCACAATGCATTCCAGCAGCACATAACCATTTATCTAAACAATTGCTCAGAAGGCGCCATGTCTGCTGGCACATCGCCAATTGACATTCTTATTTTTGTCTTATTTGCAGGCTTGCCAGGGCTATCAGGGCAGTGATGCGCTGGAGAGGCTGGTGACTGGGGCTAGGGAGTTCACTGAGGGCCTTGAGCCGGCTGCACAGCCGTCAGGAGTGCGCCCCAGTCTCTCCAGGTGCTGCACAATCACAGCTAGCAATCCCTTCAAATTGCTACTTGGCCTGAAAGCTCCATGCATGCCTGAATAGTGCATGTTGTGAGGTATTCGTGCCATTAGGCCCTTGACGATGGTTGTACACATATTTGACAGGGGTCCTGAGACAATTGGGAGGCTTGCGGTGGAGGGTCTGGGAAGCACATCATGGCAGCTCGGCGCAGAGGCACAGGCAGCGGCGGATGCCACACTGCGAGCCGTGCTCCAGATCAAAGCTCTGGTCAGAGCTGCGAAATGCGCTGCATGCATCAGTGTGCCTGCAGGTGCAAGCCCTTCCTCTTCCTTTCAGGCTTGCATTGCACCTTTGCGACTTGCAGATGTCAATTTATATTGTTATTATTCTTGCACAATGTATGCCGAGCAATGGCTGACGCTTCTACCATCCCAAAAGCATATCCCAGGACGCACCCATGAGGGTAGTCAAGGTAAGCAAGAGAATGGTGTTCCCTGCTCCCCCCAATGCAGCATGTGAATTGTGAAGTGAACAAGTGAACGCACCCATGAGAATGGGCCTCATCAGTAATGCATAGTAAGGGAATGCATAGTGAGGACAACCAAGGCATGACCGTGAAATTGTCATGTGCGCAGGTGTGCTTCGGGAGTCTGCGGCAGTGCGATTGCAGCACATGTGCGATGCTGTCATAGTGCTGGAAGCATTCAGGGACGACTCCGGCATTGCGCGCATGGTTTCTGATGCAAGCAGGTGTGCTCTGTTGTTGTCCTCGTCACGGATCCCACAATTACAGAATTTTACGGAATAATACGGAACAGCCTTGGGTCTGACTACATTGCAAGATAGGAGACTCTTGAGGTCCCTTCCTTCTCTTGGATTGTGACAGCTCTTATTTCTTCTACCATGCAGTCAGGCACAGTGTGATAAGCTTCTTTCATAAATGCAGTTTGTTCATGGGCTGTACTGTGGTGGCCGCATTCGTTTGCTGAACAACCTTGCTCGAGCAAAGCACCTACCCCACCATACCTGTAAGGCGAATCCAGCACAGATTCTGAGACCAAGCAATTTCGACCTTGTCGTATACAAATTAATATATGGTGCAGCTGCTGTGGCCTCATGCGTGTGCGGCGGCTGCCGGCCCTCAACACGCTGTCAAGGCCGCTGCCTGCCGCAGAGCTGCACCTGCTGCGCCACCGGCGCCGCCGCCTGGCAATCGAGCAGCTGCAGGTAATCTTCCGCACACTGCCCCTTCCTCCCTTTTTATCGTATAATTTCCTTCTCAGCGACCTGCTCAGCAGTGAGAGGCGTGTGATTGGTGCCTTGTGAACATCAGAGACAGAAATAATGGTGTCAACATCATCACGATGTTGACATCATCTCTGCTGAAATGATGTCAGCAGACCTATGGCAGTACGGTACTTGTGGCATCGGAGGCAGAATGGGACATGCACATGGTTTGAGCATGCTTCTAAGCTGCGTGCGGCTGGGGTACTGGTGACTGATCAGTGACTCATCAGATCACATCGTGCATGTGCTCGCAGGTTGATCCTGATGCGGAGGCGGCAGAGGCCGAGCACGCATCCGGCAAGAGCAGCGCCGCCGGGCTGCTCTGCTCGGGGCCGCCGGCAGCAACCAAGGCATTGGACTTCTAGAGCTGTGCATATCCGAAGCGTCCATGATGCAATTTGAACCTTGGTGGACTTGAAATCGGTTAGATCTGAAGCCCATGGGTGTGCAGCTGCAGACAATCATGCATGCATGCTGTGCAATCCTGTGCCGTCTTTGCCCTTGCCAAGATCACTGATTCTTGTCCAACTCTTGGTATACGTAAGCGTGCGAGGCTGTGTTCGTCAATTAAATTACAATCTAAATAAGGAGGGAAAGCAAATTTAGAGAAAAGAATCCAATGCCTTTAAACGATCAGGACCCCCCAGCAGGGGGTGTTCACATAAAGGCGGGATTCCTTGGACTGCCTTATGTCTGTGCATCCAATGCAGAGACAGCAAGTTGGCAGATAGTAATAACAAGTTAGCGTTGACAGCATTTTCCACTACCTTGGCAGAATATTTGCTTCTTACGCAGGACGTGCTCTATCGTCTGCACACGATGCTGGAGTAGGTTGTTCCTTAAATTTTCTATGGATTGAGGGCAAGATCAATCTGTCATCATGTCTTCCAAAGCGTGGATTGACGAGGTAAATTGTCAGAATTAACACCGATCAAAATGTTTGTAATTGTGGAACGCAGGCATCATCCGAACGAAGCTTTCAGAAAGTTTTTCATGATCATCAGTGCATGTTGCTTATGACACAGTCACAGTTGTTGTCAGGTGGAAGGCATGATAAGCTGCTACAGTGCAATGGCTACCGATTTTGAGGACAGTGGCTTGAACATCCCCTTCATCAGGGACATCAGGTAGCAATCGCAGGAGCCTCTGATAGATGAAATCCTATGATAAATTGAATGTTGGAAACCCCGAAATATTCTTGTGCTCACTGTGTGCTATATATCTTGTTTGCAGGCCCAACTATGATACCTCTTCAGAGGTTTGCAAGCCTCTGACATACACGTCGCTTCCATTACCTCTGGCTGAGCGTGCAGTCCGTCTGTGCGTCCTTCCTTTGCAAGATTCTCAAGAGGTGGTACAGGCTGCATCGCAAGTCACTGAAGCCATCAAGGCCCTGCTGCCTGCTGGTGAGTTCACAGACCAGGGTCTGATAAACCGCTTGCATGAAATGCTTGGCAAACATACAGGCACATCGGTGCATCTTTGACGTTGCACTGGCATTGCAGGCACTCAGGTGTATGTAAACGCCCCGGAGAAGCTGCACATCACTGTGTTTCACATGTCGAGACCAGATGACCCGCGGCCTTCATCCATGAGTGCAGCTGATGATGCCATCACAGCAGTGCCCATCACTGACAGGAGAGGGCCTACAGATGAGGAGATTGCCTCAGAGCTGGCAGCCATGACATCCATAGTCCAGCAGATGCAGCCATTAGAGCACTTGGAGGCGAGTAGTAGACCTGTACCGAGCTTATTGTGCTGAAAATTTACTATGCATGCGAGACCTGGTGTGCTGCGCATGCAATTATTGCCAGGTGCCTGGAAGATTGCAATCAATGTGTGCTCTCACCAAGGAGGTGCTGCACATTTGTGCAGGTGAGTAGTATAGTGCTAGCTGACAGCGGCACGCTCCTGCTGTGCAGCATTGACCGGAGAGCGGACATCACAAAGCTACGGCAGTCTCTGAGGGCAGCCTATCCAGGTGTCCCTTCAATGGCTAACCATCTGTATGTGCAGAGGCTTTTAACTCGACGATGACTAATGTAGAGCTCCTCTGGATTAACACCTGCCATTGAAGGCCTTCATAGCAAGGATCAACTCCTCATCTGCATGCAGGTGCCCCCAAGAAGCAGACAAGTATCATCCATACAACACTCATGCGCATCCTCACTCCAGAGCAGCTGCCTCCAGCGTCCGTTGCAGCTATTCAAAGGCAGTGTGCCCTTTGGACTGAGAGGCTTCGAGGGACTCGTCTCACCATTAAAAAAGCATGGTAAGTTACATTCTGCTCCTAGCTTTCTTCTGCTGAAGCTTTTCTTCTCCGGCATCATGATACTTTGGAAGAGATAAAGTTGCTAACGGGAATGAGGTGAAGGGAGGACTGCATGGCATTACTTGCTTTGAGTAGCGCACTTGCTGTGTCAATGCAGGTATACAGTTGAGAGCGTCTTTTCTATTATTGAAGGCGAGACTTCAGAGGTGCTGATTGGCAGCACTGCTGCTTAGCAAGAGTATCTTCAAAAGTCCTGGGAGTCCCCAGTATAAATTTTCACAGTGTCGTTGATGGCATACCAAAGCAACAGGCCCAATGCCATTGGGCCTATGGATGGCAAAGCTAGAACAATTCAGGCTCTGTGGTAAGATTCTAATGCACCTGTTTTTAGAATGACATCGTGTACTTTTGTGATGCCCTGGCGAAGAACACACTTACAGTTGCCTCATGTTATGGATTACACATGTCCACGTTGACCAACAAGCCCCGTTCTCATATACAATATCGATAGTCCATCTTTATTTCCGTTTCTTGCGCTCCCACTCTGAAACAAAAGGGTGAACCTTCCGACTTGGCAAGAAGCTTTTTTAAACTGGAACGACTTGCAAAAGGGTAAGTCTGGTCTAACAAAGGATCCCTGTGAATCAGACGCAGTGCAGGTTTTAGGTCCCCACCTGCTGCTGCTCAAAGCAGAGAAAATCGAGATGTGACATCAGCGACTCCTAAGACGCCGAGTCATTGACTACCTGAAACTTGGCGCAGCAATATGCCTGTTGCAAAAATGCAAGAGGACATCAGCACATCGCCATACTGTGCACATCAGATGTGCCTGATTCTTTGAAGGCATCCCTTACTGACCTAAGCGGTCGCAGACAGACACATAGAACGCTGAACCCAAAGGATGCTGAATACATCAGCTGTGTCCAGTATCCCCTGTGTGCTTGGCAACCAAGGGTGCCCAAAAGTACAAAGTGCAACTGCAACGCTGCTGACAGCTCCTACTTCATTCCCACAAAAACAAAGAAACAGTGCTGCTCGCTCCAGGGAAGCAACACCGGCTTACGTGATGGCACACTTGTTCTTGTGTACACTAGCTGCAATTATAAAACACCAAACATCCACGCCCTTGGTAGCAAATCTCTCGTAAACACTGCTCACTGCTCTTAAACCTTCTTCATTTATTCCCTCCTCCCTCACCAGGCTACACCACGCAACACTCTGCGAGGCGCTCAGACGCGTCATACATTGACTTGAGGCCCGCTGACACCGCCCTTGCCAAATCTCCAGCTATCGAGGCGCTCGGCCAGCAAAGACGGCTGCAGCTCGGGCTTCTTGCGCTCGCCAAACTCATACATCCAGTCGTCCACGCTTGAGCCCAGTCCCTGACTCAGCCCCTCCCTCATGCTCTGCACTGCCTGACCCGCCCTCCGCTGCACCTCTGCACCCGCAGTACCAAAGGAGTCAACAGATGGGCAAACAATTTTAGGAGATGGGCAAAAAATTTACTTGCGCATGTCGTAGATGTACCGAGTAGCAGGTGTACCTCTGGCAGTGATAGCAGCGAGTGTGCCGCTGCTGGCCTGGCGCGCAAGGAAGCGCTCGGCCGCGGCCGCACCGCGATCCCGGATGGCGGCCAGCGGGGAAGCTGCGCGGGAGCTGCCGCCGGTGGCCACCACGTTGTTGGCCACCTCCCTGCTCTCCGGCTGCAGCGCTGCTGGCGACAGCGTCAGCCCCGCCTGCCTTGCAATGGCCTATGCGCACCCACACACAAAATTCATGAGCTCTGGACCTGTACAGACGGCACAAACAAAGCAATGAAAAGCTTGAAGAGCTTGAAATTATGCTCCAACGAAGCAGGGTGGATAGAGGTTGCTGACGGCACCAGCGAAGTGTCAGGGCCAGGCAACTGTGCTCGAAAGAAAGCGGCAGAAACACAGCAGTCCATAAGGTGGACACAATCCCTTCATGCTTAAGAGGTGACAATGCTGCGGTTGCCGAGAGGTGAAGGTACCTTGAGGAGCTCGTTGCCGGGGTGGTAGTTGAAGGCCTTGAAGGCCTCGAGGGAGGAGGCCAGCTCCTGGCGCTTGAAGGCGGCCAGGCTCCTGCGCATGGCGGCCGACAGGCATGCCAGAGTGCCCCGCTCCGGTGTGTGCTTCAGCCCAGCACAGGCCGACAGCACCAGGGACACACCCTGTGCGCAGCAAATCAAGACATCAGGTGATGGACTCTTGCACCAATAGCTTCCGGTGATGGAGCTTTGCATCGATGAGACAGGAACCCCAACCATGCCGTAATTCGGATTTTCAATGCAGGCACTTCCAAGCACGCCGCAACCGATATCATACAGTTGCGGTACAAAGAACATTCCTCTGCTCATGCAAATCCCAGTTGAACTTGCGTTAGTAGTGGAGCGTTCTTTGCATTGACTGCAGTGTACCATTCTGATCGCGGCTTGTGAATGGCTGCCAGGAGCCAAAAACAAGAACCATTTGGACGTTGAGGCTGGGTTTCTGGTCACCTGTGCCGTTATCTGCGTGCTGCACCTCCTGACCTGCGCCTCCAGCACTGACAGCACCGCCACCACCGGGCAGTAGCCCAGGCTTGCAAACGCCCACAGTATCAGCGGCACCTGCGACGGCTGCAGGCTTGCTGCTTCTGCTGCCACCTGCAACCCCACAACCCAGCATATCAACACATGTTTGCCCCAAGAACAATCTTCATGGAACCTGTGGTCGCTCTCCTGGCAGTGCAGATTTTCCCATCTTGGCACCATTCTGCAGTACAAGAGCCTTCTGCAGGCAACATGCAGGTGAACTTTGTGTGGCATGTGACAGGCAGGCCGTGAATGAGAGGTGCACCTTGTCGGCGAGGGCATCCAGCAGGGGAGTCTCCGGCTGCATCCTCAGCCGAGCCATGCCGTCCAGCGCAAAGGTGACATCCGAGGCGCAGAACGAGGCAACCTTGTCGCTAGTTCTCTTCAAAAGAGCCTCCGGCATTCCAGACCTCTCCAGGGCCTCCTTCCTCTGCACCGACATGAAGCAGTAGAGGCAGCCCAGGCGGAAGAGGGCATACGCCACATTACTGGCGCCCAGCGAGTCGCCAAAGTCGTCAATGACCTTGGCCACATCGCTCCACTGCGCGCAGAGCTTCAAGCGCAGGTTGATGCTGCCTGCGCTGCTGGCATCTATCGTCACAGGGCAGCCCCGGACGGCTGCAGGCTGCTGGGGAGAGCTTGTAAGCAGTGCACTGGGCCGATTAAACCCCTGGCGAGGCTGCCTGCGGTCCAAAAAAAGTAGAGAATGCTTAGCAGGTGAGAAGACTGACAGTTGTACCCGCTTACAGCAAGGATGGAAGCTGCGCCAGCAAGCCTGCAGCTTCTGAGAGGCTGCATGATACACTGCAAACAAGCATTACTAGCTAGAGTAATTGATAGATTTGGGTCACAAAAACAAGCCTGATCCGTGAATGGATAGAAGACACATATAGATGTACTGCTGTCGTCACCACTCACAGTGAGGCTCACCTGCTTTGCAATTGCACAAGCCCTGCATTTCCCTTCTGAGCTCCCAGGCAATCAGCCCGTTGCACCACTTTGGAAGTGGAGGAATTAGACAAGGGGCCTGTTCTCCACGTTTTCGCCATCCTGAAGGATTGCAGATAGTGTTAGATACGTTGGCTCCGAAAGCCCTTTCGTGATGTCTCTCCCAAACCTTCATGTCTTGTGAGAAGTCTTCTATGGGGAAAAACATCTCGATTGTGAAAGAAACATTTCTGGAAACGAGGGCGCACACACCGTTCTCAACGCGCGCGTCGCCGCAGCTTCCTCTTGGTGTCAGGAATATCGAAGCCAAATCGAGGCGCTCTCGTCCTGTACTTGGTAGGTTTGATTTCGAGAAGCAATGGTCTGTGCAGGAGATCGCACGGAAGGCAGGAGCACAAGTACGACAACCACTCTCTACCGGCTTCAACGCAGTTTTTGAAGATCAGCCTGCTCCACTGCCCGACACGAAAGTGAAGTAGGTTGCTAACGTCACAAACTTTTCATCGCCTGTGTTGACGCCTTGCAAGCACCGCGATCGCTCTCTTCTCAATGATTGCTCTGTGATTGCAGATCCAAATGAGATTGTAGTAAGCCAGGGTATGGGGTACATACTTATCATCTCCCTTGGCAAGAGGGTGCTATAGAAGCAGAACCCTGATGCAGATGATTAAGACAGATCACCACCAACTGATGTATAATCTTTCCTTCCTTCCTTGCAACTTGCATAGCAAAGCCTTCCCCAGCATGAGCCTTCAATGCAAAAGTGGCACTTCTTGCCATGGTCATGTCAGCACAGAGTATGCAAAAGCTTCCATGCATGCATATGCGCGGTCAGACATCTCATCGACCTGCAGGCTGATCAGTCATCATGCACGTCACATGATGTGTGCGCTATCACAGGCCTGGGCACTGCCTCCGGCTGGCCAATGGAGTCAGAATGGTTTGGGTATGGTGCATTGCCCAATCAATACCAGTGTCATACACGTCCTTGGATATTACTAGGATCGTCCTCAGGAGGCTCCTGGCAAGATGATTCTGGCTACTCTTATGACTGTAGGGCACATTCATTTCCAAACAGACATTGTCTTTGGCAAACACATCACATTAGCTGTGACATTGTTCATGCCAGCGCAAGAATGAGTCAGGAGACCGGTTTGGGTCAGGCGTCATGAGTGCAAGAAAATCTGCGTGGTCACCACGGCAATACCACTCCCTCTCACCCTCAGCAAGAATGAATGTTCTGTCAGCAAGCATGCCTGGAACTGCACCCAGGCAATGCGCCTGAGCCAGGCTGCATGAAGAGCACACTTCATCAATACAGAATAAAAAATACAGTGCTGGCGCGGCACACCTCACCCAGGGGCCGGTGCACACCACCAGCTCAACCCTCCCCTGCAGCAGCGCTGCGCTGCGCTGCGTACTCAGCAAAACACCCTTGGTGCAAGCACTGCAGCCTCACATCCTGGAAAGCTGACTGCAATGGAGCAGTCGACCATGCAGCGCGCGCCAGAGGTCGCAGCTGTATACGCCCGATTTATGCGCTGGGCGCTGGTTCGTCCTGGGGCAGCTCGAAGCGGTGCTTGCCGTCAAAGACCGCGTAGACGGGATCACTGGTGATGCCGCAGCCGTGGTGCCCTCGGGCAATCTTGATGAAGCCGCCGTCTCCCCTGCAACACGTCCAGCAACAGAGAGTCAGTCACGGCCTTGCACATGCACTCACAGTTATCATCGTGCTGCAGAAGAATCACACGATCCGTTAGTGATCACAGAGCAAAGCGACGATGTAGACAAGGAGCATTTGATATTCAAGCAAGGCCTCCTGGAGACCCTTGCATTACCGTACCCTGCATGTGTCCCTGGATCTCTGCTTCCAGAGGGACATGATTATATTGTCGGCAGGCGTTAGTCTCTTTTTGCTTTGTCCTGTGCATGTCTATGGTGTGAGCATGATTAGGGCAAAGTCCAGCCCACAAGCGCATGCCATTCTTTGGAAGCAAACGCATACAGAGTGGCAACAGGAGCGCACCAGTGGTTGGACCAGGAATTCTTGATGATCCAGTAGTCAACGCCGGCCTCATCCGTGCCATAGCCCACCAGCGCCACAGCATGGTCCAGGTCATCAGACTTCCACATGCAGTTCGGCTCGTCATACGTCCCTGCAATATCACCAGTTTGCATCTGGCTCATTTCAATGCTACATTCCCTTCTCGCTCAGCTTAATACGCAACAGACGCTCCATCGACAAAGTGTCTGTTGTCATAGTCAGCTTCTGGTAGCTCTGATCTGCCATGCACATGCAAGAATGGCGGCTGGCAGGTTTAACCAGGTTGCCCTCCCAGGGGTGGACATTTCAACATTGAGTCACGCAATCCCTGGAGAGCTGGCAATGTTGCATGGTTTACAGGTTGCAAGGGGCTCTGCACCTGAGGCGTAGAAGCGGAAGGTGGGCTGGGAGGCGTCGAGGGAAACAGCGATGGTGCCTCGGGAGTAGACAGCCTCCATCAGTGCCTCGTCATCATGGGGCGGCACATACGAGTACCCCTGCCGCAGCAGAGTCAATTCAAGGACAGTAAGTATATTGCCAGTAGATATCTCAAGCAGTTCTGCGCTGCTTGAGAAGCTAGAAAACTATATGACAGCTCCTGGACCAGGATGGGCATGAGGTGAAAGTCACAAGGTTGTATTGAAAATGAAAGAACGAGGGTTGTAAGTACCCCAGGGTCAGAACCCTACGCCCCCAAGAACGACTATGCTTCCGCACCAATAATTGCTAAATTAGGAGAAAGAGGGCCAAAAAATAGCATCTCTTCCTTAGGAGAGACGGAGCTGTATTGAAGGCAGGGCTAGACTGCGTCAGCACACCTTGACTTTGACGAGGGAGGAGCTGGGTCTCTTGGTGTCGGCCATGAAGGGGTTGCCACAGAAGTCATCCTGGCCCAGGTACTCGTAGTCCTTCTCCTTGGCAATACCTCCCACGTTGACCAGATAGTCGATGGCGTTGTCATAATCACCTGAAACAAGAATTTCCCAGGCTTGCTGAAAACGCTCCATGTAAGGAGTGAGATATAACACCTGTAACGAAGCATGATACTGTTCATGACTCAGTGGACATGATGAGAGGGTTTGCCTGTGTAGGATTAAGCTCTAAAGAGAGCCTCTTGAGCCTCACTGATGTAGCAGTGCTGGACGCAGAAGATATCTAGCGACCATGATGTGAGCATTACTTAGCAAACTACTTATATACAGTATACGACACCCCCATAGCAGAAGGGTTTCTGCCATGGCCTTGCTGCCACTCATGCTATGAGACATGGTGTGCGCAGGACAACTCACCTCCATCGCAGGCGTGGTTTGCGCCAAATTTCCAGGAGCAGTCCATCAGCTGCTGCTCGCTGAAGCTCGTCGCCTTGCCTGCACACCACAGAACAAAATCCTCGCTGCTGTGCTCTTTTCATAGTGCTCATTTCCATGGGCAATCAGATTATTCTTTTTCGAAAGCACAGTCTATACCTACTCAATAAACCACTGCCTCTCCCGCATTTGGGATGTTGTAGTGATTCTAATACCACAGAGAAAACCTTGAAGGCAAGCTTTGTGATTGAACCAGTCCTGCCCAGTCTTTGAGCAAGGGAAAGTAACAGGGCAGCCCTGAGCTCAATAACTCTCCAACATCATTCTTAGTAGTCAATGCCAGTACATGAACGGTCACCTGTGGCGGCCCAGTAGGCGCCCTGCAGTGCAGCAGTAGCGCCAAAGGCCCAGCAGGAGCCGCAGGTGGCCTGGTCCTTCACAACGCCATCAGCGCCGGTGCCCCGCCAGTCGACGCCCCGGGGAACCCGCCAGGCAGGCGCCAGGCGCTCGTACGGCAGCTCTCCGGAATCTGCGCCGCGCCTGCGTGCCACCAGGCCCCCGGCCGCCCCATGCCTCGGCAGCATCACCGCCTCAAACTCCTCCTGCGCGCAGCATCCGCCAGTGAAGCCAAAGGAGCCAAATAGTCAGAATCTGATTACCCCAAACAGCAACCCAGATTCAAATGAGTGTGTCCATGATGACTGAATCCATAATTCCTTCAATATTATGAATGCTGATTCGTCTGTCTGTCTAGACAGACGCTAGCACGACGATGTGAAGAGCGCTGACCTCTGAGACAATTGGACAGGACGCTTTGCACCGCCATGTAACGCTCAATCCAGGGATTGGCTTTACCAGTGCCGTCAAACTTATGGTGATGAGAATGAAGAGGCAGATTGGTAGCAGCTGCAGCAGGGGAGGCACCTGGGACCAGTCAGCATAGCGGTTGAGTGCGAGGGAGTAGTTGCGCTGGGCTGAATTGTGTGTGTCCACGTACAGGCGGTTGCTGTGGAACACGCCCCGGCGGTGCTCGTACTCGGCCGCGGACCCGTGCCTCCGGCCGTGCGCCGCCGCAAACTCGTCATACAGCTCATCTCCACCCTCTGTTGCACAAGCATCCGATATTGGCTCCTTGCAATTACTCAAGGCCGTGCAATGATATCACTGAAAGGAACAAATGCTTAATTGCCGCAGTCTTGCCATGTAGCTCGTTCCTACCCTCTGGCGCAGCGAAACCAGCAATGCCTCATTTAAGCAGCAAGACTCACTGTGCTCACGCCACATAAGAGAAATGGCAACTGCTCAAGACAGTGCCTCCCATGCGCGACCGCGATGCCATTGGCGTCCTGGCAGATTGGCACATGACGTCAAGACCAGAATCAAAGCAGACACAGCGATTCACATTGCCATCAATAGCGCAACATTAAAAGCCCCCTCTCAAATTCAAAGCGCGATCCACAGGGCACTATCAGAAGCTCACTCCTGACACGCATCCTGGGGGGACCATGAAACTTGAAGTGTAGAGTGAGGCGGCCGCACCGATGCGGACAGAAGGCAGCAGGGCAGCCATCCTGAGAGGGAACGAGGGCGGATGCGCGAGGCTTTGCTCCTGCTGCCCGTCGCAGATGGCGGGCGGCTCAAATATAGCGGCGTCCACCGGGCCGGCCTTGAGGTACTCGTAGTCTGCGATGTACTCGTCGAAATGCGCGCCGCTAAACATGTCGTTTCCGTCCATGTGCAGCCGCATCGGCGCGCCGTCCTCGGCCACGTAGAATTTGTACACCGTCACCTTGGCGCCGTGGCTGCGCAGCACATGCACACAATTCTGACGTCGGGTTTTGTTGGGGTATTCGGTTCCTCTGACGTCGAGAGGCTTTGATTCCCAGCCTCTGTGGGCACAAGCCAAGCGAACAGGGCTGAGACTGGATTACACAGAAAGAGCCAGATCTTCAGGTCGAAAGCACGTTTTGTGCGTCACATGCAAAGTGGTAAGCAGTTCCTGACCTGAGGATTGTTTTTAGCCGATATAAAAAGGAACAGGTGAGGTAGAGAGGATGACTGGATTTGAAGATATCCAATTACAAGGGTTGAAGGGGTGCAGCCCACCTCTTCTCGTACACCCAGAGGTGCGCCTGCTGCCCACGCAACTCCACGGTCCCATTGTAGTCCCAACTTGACACATCAGGAAGTACCTGCATCAGAAGCATTGCTTATATGCAAGATCCATGTGCCAATCCTGCAAAGGACTACACAGCTTGCACATGCTCGGTTGAACGAGAATGTAGAACAGGGGGTCCGTTGGCATACCGGCGCATCCACCAGAGACTCGTCGTCAGCATCGGGCTTGTTGACCTTGCAGATGAGCTTCTGCAGCCGCGGCATGATCTCGATTTCCTTGTCCTGCACCAACACATGGACCTTAGACATGATCCCTCATCAATAACACAGCATTGAAGAGGTGTGGCACTGCTAAAGATGTAACTGCACCAGAAATAATCAGTTGCTGCGCACCTTGGTGCTGATGAGGATGTTCCTGCCTCCAAAGGTGTCCATTCGCGACACTCCGCGCTCAGCATCCCTCCAGAACACCACGGGGTACACCAAGCCATCCTTCTGGACGGTCTTCTCGTAGGGCAGCGAGAAGTTGTAAACCACCTATCACAATAGATCAACAAAGCATAGTAAAGATCGATGTGCGCAGAATATGCTTGGCAAGCTGGAGCCAGTTTGCCTTGCACAGCAACCAACTCTTTCAAAACAATACAATTCAGGAACACATCTAACAAAGAATTGTAACAATTGCGTACATTCACATCTCTGCTGACAATTAGGAGGATAAGCCACACGAGATCGCTCCCTGATGCTCACCTCAAAGCTTGATGGGAAGGTTGGAGGTGCTGGAGGGTCCGTGTAAGATTGGAGACTGAGTCCTGTTCTCCGTGCTGTCACTCCACTAGAAAATTGCACTGCTGCTAACAGAAAGACAGCTGCTGGCCAGATCACCAGCGACCCGACTTGTGGTCGCTTTCCCATGCTAGCAAAGCCACAACCAAAACGGCACTAAATTGCAGTCTACTTGGTTGCCCCGTGAATTGAAATAGCTTGATATCGCAGAGCTTTAAAGATATCGTTTCTTTCTGTCTTCTCACCACTGTCCGACGCAGACGAAAAGATCGGGCATGTGGTTCATGTGATCAAGCTGATGGTCATCAACGCTCTACCCCATTACCTCTGCTATATAGCATATATCCGCTCCTTCGGCTTCAAGCGTTCCTTCGGCTCAAAGTCCAGAGGTGCGTGAGGCCAAGGTGGGAAATACTATTGATTGTTGTCCTGTTGACATCGTCTTTCTTGGCAGCAAATGCTGGCTGACGTTGACACATTCCTACGATGCATCACGTCTGGATCCATGCGATTCGGATTACATGCCATGCGCAGTGCGCATGCGGCGGCCGGCCGGCCGCTGCGGCCGAGCTGCATGATGCAGCATTGGTAGAGGCTTGCCACTATGCATGGCGAACGTATTCTGCCGAAGCCAGGTGATTGAATGCGGCGTTGGATGCATTCTACAATCCATCATACAATAGCTATCATGATCACTCTGTATATACTTGATAGCCTAGCCTGAGGCCCTCATGACGACCAAGTTACATACTATCGACTTAATGGGGGACTCCACATAAGAAGGCAGCTTTTGGCGACCACAAAGGCAGCTTTCAAATGCAGGAACAAACCTCCCGCAAGAACGAACAAGCAACCTCTCAATTCGTGGCAAAGTGCGCATCTCAAGTTTCAAGTGCCTGACATGGACGCATTGGCACAGGACCACTAGAAAGGAAGTACCACATTACCCTAGACAGGCTTGGACCACGCCTTTGGCCGGCTGTAAAGTTGGTAGGCTGCTGCCCAGTTGCTTTCAATAAAGCCATGCGCCTTGACAGCCAAGTCATCGGGATCATCCCACCTGGAGCAAAAAGACAAAAGTCAGAGCCACGCTGCTCATGAGCAACTGTTTTTACTTTCCACATACCGCTTTGAAATCTTGGCTGCATTTGACCACCTCAAAGGTGCCAAAATAGGATTTTATCATGCCATGAGGCCTGACCATCATCACCTATTTGCAGGTACAAAGGCAATTGTGATGCAGTATATAGTTGGGTGCAAAGGAGTGCAGAAAGGGGGGCAGGAGCTCACAGGTCGCGCCATACACAGAGTGTGTTGGACAGGGATGGGCTGACGACTGCAGAGGAGAAGCTCTCAAAGGTGAGCGGCCCTGTGTAACCGCTGGCAGCCAGCCCCCTGAACAGCCCAGTGAAATCCACAGACCCGGTGCCCAAGTATCCCCGATGGGACTCGCCAATGTGGATGTACCTAACCACCACCATCATGATGACACCATTCTAGAAACATTTGGACAAAATTGACAAAATTGCAGTGCCTTCTTGTGCAGCCAAGAGAGAGACAGCGAGTGACAGTGAGACATAGTACATCAACCAACACAAGGAATAGGAAGAGACAGGTCAAGGCAGGCACACCCAAGCTTGTTGCCTGCCGCCTGAATCGCCTGCTCCATGCTGTTCTCCTCAATGTTCATGTGGTACGTGTCCAGGTGGATTGTGACATTGTCCAGGCCAATGTCCCCTACCAGCTCCTTTGCCTGGGCACCACAACAGGGAACGTTCAAGGCTGCAGAAGACAGGAACTGCTTACCATGCCAGGGCCCCCTGTCTGGGCATCAGGCTCTGATGCTGTGTGAGGGTAGCTGTACAGTGTAAATGGCACGAAAGTGTGCAGCTGCGAGTTGTTCATAATCTGAGGATGCGGAGCTGACCTGCTGGGCGGTGTTGAGGATGTTGGTCTCATATCTGTTGACCACCTCCAGCCCGTACTCAATCCCATAGTCTGCTGCCTCTGACGCCACTTCCTGCACACCAGCAAGTTCTTGCACCATTGAGAAATAGGTGCGCTCGGTCTGTTAGAACAAAAACTACCCAACAACACCGAAAGGGTCTGCACACACATATTTCTTTAGTTTGCAAGCTGCTGAGGAGGGATGCCAGTACCTTCAGAGAAGCAACGCAGTGCTTCCATTGCTCAGCTGTCAGCGGTTCCCTGTATTTGTCCATGGCTCCGAAATTCACCCCAATGAAGTACTTGCCACCCACCACATTCAGGGCCTGCGCTCAGCACATTTTCCACACATGCTGAGAGGTATTTTTCGGAACACTTTCCGCATGGACTGAGAAATAGGGAAGGCGGCAAAAGCAGCATGGAAAATGTACCTTCAGAGCATTTGACAGCAGCTTGATCCCATTTCTCCTGATCTCAGTGTCACTGCTGGAGATGTCTGTTGCCCTGGAGAGCCCCTGCACAACACAGAAATTTAGAGTCCAGCCTGCAGGACAACCTTGCATTGACAGCAGGCACGGGACGGAAAGGCGCGCTGACACCACTCGCCAATGAGCCCGAGGCTTGAAGCTCATAGTCTCGGAGGACCTTCTTCGTGAGATCTGCATCCACCTCCTCTGGCACAGACAGGTTCACTGCGAGGCAGCCAACGCAGAACGTTGAGATAGTCTCAAATAGATATTTCCTCTACAGACAAGGGGAGACTGAACAGTCGTCACATGCATGGGAGTTTCTCCATGCCACTTGCAACAAGGATAGATACAGCATTCCCAGTTGCTGAATAGACGTTGCTACCAACAGAAGGCATCGCCACCTCAAGAAGGTGGGAGGAAGGTGAACCCATCTCCAAGATCGGGCACCCGTTTCTTTGATACATGAATATTGGACACTATATTACCCTCGGGTGCTTAAAATAATTCTAGCAGTTTTCATGAGATGCCAATCAAACAGTACTGAAGAGGTACGATCCCAAGATGGCACATGCCAAATGTGAAGGCCTGAAGGATTCAAAGGTCGATCAAATGACGATTTGAAGTTTCAGAGAGCCAAAGGCGTCAATACAATGTGGTGTATGAAACAACAAGACAATCCCTGCCACTGCTCCCCAAGATGCATGCGCACATTCGATCAGATCAAAGCCGGCTTCCTTCGCGCCCTTCACTGCACGTTCAGCATCCTCTGGTCTCCAGTCGCCGACAAAAACGCCTGAATGGATACCTATCAGATTTTTCGGCAGTACAGCAGCTGCGTTGACGACCTGTGAAGCAGCCCTGGTGGATACAGCACCACACTTTGGCTTGCCTAGAGAAGGTCTGGTCAGAGGGTATTTGTTGAGGAGTGGGCACTTCAAAGCAGACATTATGACCAGTTTTGATGGAGTAAATATCTGCGATGCTCAGGCTGACAGACGAGGTCTCTGAATTTAGAGCCACTCTGGCAACATTAGTGATATTAGCTAATTTAGAACACGCTTTTTGCGCGTGCTGGCAGTATTCACGAAAGTTGATGGTCCTAAAGTTTGGTCAACTGCGGCCTTTGCATTCTCTTCGTATGGTGATTGATAGTTCTGCGGCATCCGCACGTCGGTTCGCAGCTACCGTCGCAGATCTAGATCCATGCTTGTGAACAGACAGGTTCGTGTCAAGTGCATAAATACGCATCAGTCAGGTGCTATAAAGCTCAAAGAATTCAACAATTGCAGACCAGCAGCGCAGAAGTGCTCTTACAGGTGACAAAGAGCCCCTCATAACCGTCTTGATCTGTCGTAGATCATGGGCCGACCTGATTAATCTCATTGAGAGAAGGCATGCCATTAATATGATTTCACAGGAACCGCTGCCACGCGATGACAGTAGAGGCCAGCCAGGCACCCAAAGCCCGTATTCTAGTCCTCCATTCCCCCGATGCGCCAGAGCTAGAAGTCCTCAAGAAGCTACCTGAAGACGCCAAAATTGTCGGTGTCGGCAGGACGTACGAGGACCTTTCATGTAAGACTTTTGCTCTCTTCTGCATGCATCCCACATACAGGCAAAGCTTGTACACATCTGGCCCTCTTTCAGTTGATGACCAGCTTCTTTCCAATGCAGCCCTTTCTGAGAGCGACTGGCAGAGCGTCAATGTGCTGCTGAACTGCGGGGCGCCTGTAAAGAGGAACCTGCAGACGCTCTGGCCGCACCTGCCCAATCTGGAGTGGCTCCACTCCACAGCAGCGGGTGTCGAGCACATTCTGTTCCCAGACCTGGTGGAAGGTCCTGTCACCCTCACAAATGCCAAGGTGTGACCAAACTGCAAGCACTCATCTTGCAATCTTCAAGGATCAAATAATGTCTGTTCACGAGAATACATCGTGCTTCAAAACTGTGGAGTTTGATGGGCCAATAAGTATCGAAGCGCAAAATAATCCTTTTCCCATATGGTGTATTGGAATGTGCAGGGCAATTTCAGTCACTCTCTGGCCGAGTACACCTTGACAGCGTGCAATTGGTTCGCCAAAGACCTCCCCCGGCTTAGAGCTCAGCAGAAGGCCAGGCAATGGAAGCCCTTTGATGTGGAGGAGCTCAGGTGTGTGCCGCCATGACTTCAATTGTGCATATATGTCTCCATGGAGAATCCGCGATTATCGTCTGCCACCAGAAAATCTACACTATGCAGCCCTCATTGTGAGGTGAGGTCAGGGATCTGCTCTTCTATCATATCTGTTCTACGAAAATATTTCAAAACTGCTTGCTGCCGCAGGGGAAAGACACTGGGAGTTGTCGGATACGGTGACATTGGGCAGGCAGCAGCCAGGATAGCACGCGCTTTCAAAATGAACATCATTGCGCTTCGGAGGGGAGACCAGCTGTCAGAGCAGGAACGGGACGAAGGCCTTAAGGTGTTCCTTGCATTTATTCAAACTCCATACCCACCGAATGGCTGTTGCTTGCGCTGCAGCAGACGCTTCCAAGCCTCCTGCATACGGCAAGGGGCATATTGCATGGTCCGCACCGGGAAATGCTGACAATTAATCCAACTCATTTTTGCATGTTTCAGGTGTACAAGCCAGACAGGCTGAATGAGCTGATGGCAGACAGTGACTACGTGGTTATGGCGCTTCCCTACACGCCAAGCACGCACCACTTTGTGAATGCTGCGGCAATAAAATGCATGCGACCCAATGGGGTCCTTATCAATGTGGGCCGCGGCAAAACCTTGGAAGAGGCAGCCCTCATCAAAGGTACGTCCCTTCAGTTGCATGCAATCAGGGGTATTTAAATGCGCCTGAATTGGAAGGTCAGCATGCTTGATGTGATGCTCAGATAGAGACTGACAGGCAACCCGGTACCCAGAGCTTGCCTTGCTGTCACAGATATGAGCATGGAGTTGGGCATTCAAAACTGTCATACAGCCAGCCCGCATGCATGCAATGCTCTAAGAGGGCCATGCATCTCCTGCCTGTGGAGCTTCACTTGTTTGTGCTGGTGCAGCGCTGCAGGAGAAGAGGATAAAGGGTGCAGCCTTGGATGTGACTGAGGTCGAGCCTTTGCCCGAGGATAGCCCCCTGTATGAGTTGGACAATGTCCTCCTGTCCCCACACTGCGCAGACCGTACTGCAGAGTTCCAGGTGTGCTTCTCACATTCTTGTGTTGATCTGCTTTCAAACTACACCCTGGATGATGCTTTGCAAGTGATTTCATGGCGGGATTCTGCGAGCAGAACCATGATCTCGTGCCCAAGGATTGCATTTGTGATGGCACTGGAAAACCCAGGAGAGAGTGGGTTACTTCAAGCAGAGAATAACCAAAAATGAATGGCTGACGGAAGGGTGTGCTGCTGTAGTTTGAGGCGTTGGACCAATTCTTGGGGATCCTGGACAAGTACATCCAGGGGCAGCCGCTGTACAACATTGTGGACAAGAAGAGCGGATACTGAGAACTGATCAAGCTGCCCACTGTTCTGTCACATCACTGTTCTGTAAAATCAAAGCAGAACCCGAGATCCTCCGACAAGCGCGTGCGATTGGGCGACAATGCCTCACGCCTATGCCACTCACCACAACCTCTGCACACCCTCACCATATTGTGAAGTATTCTGGCTCTCTCACGATTCTTTTCTGGGACAACAAAGCAATGCTGAATCTACAACGCATGCATGCACCAGCACGCACTGTGCCCTGATCAGGCATGTAAGAATCACAGCGCTGTGGCAAGCTGGCCGCTGGGCTGTGGAGCCCCATCTTGGCTGTATGTGGAAGCCCTGACAGAATGCTTCCACCCATCTGCCCACATCTCCTCAACCTTTGCCGGGAGCTCTCTGAACAACCGCCGTATCGTGGTCCTGGTGCTCTCTCGCTCTGTCCTCTTCTGTGCACAGCCATGCAAGCCAGAGTTCTCTCAGCCTTTCACAGGGCAGATAGCAGGCCGGTGTCATGATCACAATGCATGCATGTGGAGTGTCAAGTGTCTGCAGTTGTGGTGCATTCTCTGGCGTCTGTAGAAGGGACAGTGTCTGTACCTGACTCGGTGATGTGTGTTCCCACTCAAAAAGACCAAAACGCGGTGCCCATCCGAACGCCCACTGTGCAAGGCACACGAGGCATAAGTGAAGTGACAGCTTGAGTATGAACTGCTCGCTTTCGTAACCACCACAAGGCAAGAACGACTGGTTAACAGTGCTGGCTCACCTCAAAATTGTCTAAGAGAGTCCAGTACAGCAGCCCGCGCACATCATAGCCATCTGCCACAGCATGCTCAACCTGCACACACAGCCCTACACTTCACCATGCCTCTTGCCGTGTTTCCCACAGCAACCACTGCCATCTCATAAAATAAGAGGACGTGTTTCAATATCTTTGTCTCAAGTTCCAACAGACCCTCGTGCCTTTTGGTTTCTAGGAACCTGACACCATTTCAGAAATTTCAAATTTACCAAATTGTGTGAAGATTCAATTTATTCAGATTTTGATCACCCTTTATTGGGTGAAGGCTGAAGAATAGCTCACCGCCCTGAAGTAAGCCTCACCCCACTCCGCCCTGAGCTTGTCCGACTTGTCGGCGATGCCCGTTTCTGTGATGTACACCGGCCGCTTCAGGCGCGCAAATTTCCGCATGGCCTGCATCATGACTCACACCTGGTGAGTCACCTCTCAAACCTCTCTTGCACCCAGCTCTGTGGATGCGGGGCTGCCCATCCAAGGGTAACAAAAGTAATTTGGGATCTTATATTTCTGTCTCAACAACTCCATTTCCAATCTCTGTTGGATTCTTCTGTGCACTCGCAGTGATATAATCTAGGCTTGTCATCCAGAAAGAGCACTCCCAGACAGCAAGGAAGCCAGCTGCACTCGATCCGATCCGCTCTCCCATAAGGAAAAAATTAATTTGCTGGAAAGTGCCAAGCAGTTTAAGATGGAGAATGCGGATGTTGGGAGTTGGTGCGCACATCATAGAAGCCCTCTGGGTGTATGGACTGGTGGAGGTCGCTCTCCTTCTCATACGCATACACCGTCGGTGTCAGCTTCCAATCAAGCACCACCCTGCACGACACGCCCTTTGTCAGCATACCTACTTTCTTGTGTTTTGGCAGCCCATGCGCAGGCTGGCCCTGTTTATCAAGCCAGATTCCATGGACCTATGCACCTCATTCTCCTCACTGAACGATGGGACACTCTATGGTATGCTGGCCAAGCTCATTTTGTGAACAAGAAAATGGGCGAATGCGGCAGGCATCAGTCTGCATGTTCTTTTAACATGTCTGTTTCACAGCGTCCAGCGCAATTTGTCCAGCAGATTGCACTTTACACATCAGCTAGGCAGGTAATCCAGGGATATGAGTTGCAAAGCAAATGCAAAGCTTGAAGCAAAAGGAGGGGAGGATGTGGCACCTGGAGTAGTAATTGAGGCCGACCCAGTCGAGAGGCGGCCGGCCATCTGGGCAGGAGTAGCTGACGCGGCCGATGGGGCCCAGGGGCCGCCAGTTGAGCTGCCCGGTGCCCAGGAAGTCCAGGATGGTGTCGTTGCCCCAGGTGTGGTTGCACAGCGCTGCCAGCGCGCGGTTCCACCAGATCAGCAGCCACCACTTGCCCGCTCGCGCCTCGAACGGCATGTAGTTGTGCACTATGCCCACCTGCGCCGCCTCGCCGCCTGTGCATAAGATATGAAATATATCCTCTCCAGTGTTGTACACAATACAGGATATTGCGCCGGCTGGCCCCAATCAGAGCCCTTGAAAGAGGTCCAGCTGCTGCATGGGGATCGGTACTATTTCACATTTCAAACAGGTGAATGAGAGGACGGGTGCGTAAAACAGGCCTTCCGTGAGGGTGAATCTGTAGCCAATCAGCAGCGCAAGGATAACGGTTAAGATGCATGCCATTTTGATTTAAATGTCCTCCGAGAGCTAAAATGGGCGACCGGGGACTTTTATGAAAGCCAGGGCAGGGACAGCACAAAAGCACACCTGGCATGCTCTTGATGAGCTTGTAGGCCTCGGTGTGGCAGATCATGAGGTTCTTGAGCACGCGGCCGGCCAGCCCAAAGTGGAAGTGCTTGCCGGGAGGGAAGCTGCCCATGCAGTACCCCGAGAAGGTGTACACCCCTGGCTCGTTGAAGGTGCACCAATGAGTAATAGCTGGGCCAAACTCCCTGCATTTGATCAGGCAGCAGCCATCCTCGCTCAGGCACTTTGCACTTATTGCAATGGCGATGAGCTGACCTTCAAGCTATGGAAAGTTCAAGAAAGGCATGCAGCATCTCAACAAGCAGGCATGTCCTGTAAAGATTGTGTGTCAAATCTGAGGGGCCTTGAAGGGCTGTACATGGGTGAGGACTGGGCAGGTGTGTCTCACTTGTAAGCCAGGCGAACGTAGTCCAAGAAAAGGCCGACGTTCTCCTCCTTCTCGAAAGCCCCCAGTTCCTCAAACCACTGGGGATGCACAAAATGGTGCAGCGTTGCCAACGGCTCCAATCCATTCCTGAAAGACACATGTACTTTACTAATGCACACAGTAAGACGCACATGATTGTAATGTCACACCCATGCCACCCAAGTGAGCCCGCCAAGATGCCTGCAATTGATCATAACAAATATGCCTCACCTTTTGATGCAGCTGATGATCTGATGGTAGCGCGCAACGGACTGCCGGTCGATCTCCCCTTGCCTAGGCTCAAGCTTGCTCCACTCGATGGAGAATCGAAAAGAATTGCTACCGATGTCACGCGCAAGGGCAAGGTCCTCCTCAAACCTGCACCATTGAGGGTCCTCACTCGATCCTGTGCATGATTTCTAATGTAGGCAGGGGCTGCACATTGCCCATTGGATTGGTCAGCGCTGCAAATACGGCACCTGTTCCAGAAGTCACAAGATTTGCCGATCGTGTCGCCATTGCTAATGGTGGGCAGGGTGTCATAGAACCACCGACGACCAACGAAATGGTCCCACTGGGAGTTGATATCCCCAGAATTCTGGTACACTGCGGCATCCACAAATGTATTCAGTAACTAAGATCTTCTGGTAGCCGGGACTCTGTGCATTTAGCTGGTCCGTCTGAAGCAGAGCGCGCCTGAGATGGCGGTGCCGATCAGGAATTTTCGACTCTCATCCTTTGCTCGCGACTTCTCAGGTGATAATTGAGACCGTGTGGTAACCATGAGATTCTAGGCAAGGGCAGATTTCGTAATAGCAGCGGAACTCTAGTAAGATACACCAGGTTGAATGTGAGATCAGTGCGACAAAGAAGACCAGAAGCCTGTTGCGGTAACCCCCTGATACCGACAAATGTTGATGCAAAATATTCTTCCAGAAGATCAAGACAACCTTTCCTTCTTCCTCCTCCTTCTTCCATTGCTTCAAAAGCAGCAATTGGAACCTATCCAGAAGTTGCGTCATCTCAGCATGATGCATGATGTATTCACGATGAAATTGTTCTTAACCTCGACAAGCAGTGACTCTGTACACATTTGAAGTCCAAATTTGACAAAGGGGGCATTTTGCACGCTGACGAGAGCAACGCAAGTATCAATCTTGGTGATCAACTTTGGACTTCCATGGTAAACTGTTTTGCTCAAATGTTGCTCCTGGTGGTTGGTAGCGGCAATCGAATACAGATATGATCAAAGGAGGTTTACACCCTCATAGTGGGCTCTGAGACTACACTGTCAACCGGGAGATGCCAGTCTCGATCTGCAGGCTTCTGCTAGTTGCATTTGCGGGAGTTCTATTGCCTTTTAATGAAGCAGTGAGGGTTGAAATAGCAACCCATGACGATCGGACATTCGTCATAGGGAACAACACGTTCCTGAAGGATGGCAAAGCAATCCAAGTGATCTCCGGCAGGTAAAGAACAACCCAACACATACAAGCGTGCTTTAATCCTTTTATAGATTATATTCTCACGTCCACACTCTTTGGGTGCAGCTTCCACTACTACAGAATACATCCTGCCTACTGGCGCGACCGCCTGCTTCGAGCTCAGGCCCTGGGCCTCAACACAATCCAGGTGAGCCTGCATCAAAGCAACACATGAGCAACATTGCATTCCCACATGGTTTGACATCACGATCCCTAGCAGCAGGTCCTCAAGAGCAGATCTGTGACAGCAGCGAAAATGGTGCAGACATATGTGCCCTGGAATTTGCACGAGCCCAGCCCGGGGAAATACAACTGGGAAGGATACGCGGACCTCACTGGCTTTTTGCAAGTGGCGGCTGATCTGGGGCTGAATGTCTTGCTTCGCGCCGGGCCCTACATCTGTGGCGAGTGGGACTTTGGTGGCTTGCCTTGGTGGCTGGGCTTCCCTGGGGTGAGTGCCCTCCTCCTTGCATGATTTTCCAGGCACAGCCTCTGAAGATTTCTGCCACTCCTGCTCACATCTTATTTTGGGTGTTGACAGCACAACGACATGCAAGACGAGTCAGCAGTGCTTGTTGGCACCACCCACATGTTGGGATTTTAGGTGCAAAAGCTTCATGCCCCATGTGTGCTCAGATGGAAGTGCATGTGTGGAACTTGTCTCATAGATAGAATGATCGGATGCAGGTGGCTGGAGGCGGCAAGCTGCAGCTGCGCTCCACAGATGCTCGCTTCTTGAGGCTGGCTGAGGGGTGGTGGAACGTGCTCCTGCCCAGAATAGCGCCCTTCCTCTACAAGAATGGCGGACCCATTCTGATGGTGCAGGTATGATATCACCCTAGCTTGCATGTCGGTATTCGGCAAATGCAAGAGTTGCCCTCTTTGATGATTACAGTACAGTACACGGCAGAGAGTCTTGACAAAAGCGAAGCAAACTCATGGCTACTTCGTGCTTCACTTTCCAGCCTGTAAGATTTGCGGTAGTGCAGGTCCAGCTAATGGCTTAGTCACTGAGAGCAAGCCAATACTGGCGCAGGTGGAGAATGAGTACGGCTACTGCGGCAGCGACGCTGGCTACATCCGGCACCTGTTGCGCATAGCCAAGGCAGCGCTTGGGGATGACGTCATCTTTTACACAACAGATCCCCCAAGCCTGGCCGAAGCGGGGTCCCTGCCAGGGGATGAGCTGTACACGTGAGTCATTGAGCACTGGAGCTCATCCAGCAGGAAACTTGTCGCCACTTGGGCGCACGCATGGGTGTTACAGCACTCTGAGGCTTGTGAATGCAGCCTCTGGGGCGCAGTCAGATCAGTTTATGGACTCTTTGGAAGACTAACAATGAAAAAGGACTATGTGGTGCAGTGTGGTGGACTTTGGGCCGGCCGCTGATGCAGCGCAGGCGTTCAAGGCACAGGCGGCCATGAACGCCCCTGGAATGTCCCCGCCCTTCTGCAGCGAGTTCTAGTGCGGGCCTGCTGCCTATCTACACACTGTCTACTGTGCAACAACATGGTTGTGTCATTTTGCTAGATTTCGTATTTCTGGATGCATGAAAGGCCTGGGATGACTTCAAGTACAACGCTGTGTGCCCACGGTTGCTTGGGTCCTGCTTGGATCTGACGAGTCCCACAAGGGGCAGGATACGTGGCAGCCTTTGCCTGCACCTTGTCTGCAGACGCACCTTGCCTCCTGGCAGGAACATCAGGTAACGCAAATCACTAAATATTTTTAGTTTGTACCTTACCGCATTGCACTCACATGCAGCACTGGGTGGATCACGCACTTTGGGGAGAAGATGGCCAACACTAGCGCGGATGATTTGGTCGCCTCCCTCAAGACCATCCTGCGGTACGGCAATGGCAGCGGCTCTGTCAACTTCTACATGGCACACGGCGGCTCCAACTGGGGCTTCTGGGCAGGTGCGTGATATTTTCTGGGCAAGCTTCACCATTGAAAGAGTATTCACATCACCTAGCACCCAACATCCTCCAGGGATACGTTGGAGCAGGGTGAAGAGCTCCTCATTTGTGTTCATGCTGTTGTATAGCACTGATCACTCTTGAAGAGCACTACCTTGGAATAAGGTGCCGTCTGGTGTTCACTGATGTGCTTTGTCTGGGGTGCGATGCAGGGTCCGGTGGTGAGAATGGGGTGTTTCTGCCCCAGCTGACATCATATGACTATGACGCCCCCATCAGCGAAGCCGGCGGCAGCGGCCAGCCAGGCATCGGCGGCCCAAACAAGTTCCTGGTACTGTATTTTACCTCCTCCGCCGGCTGCAAAGCCGCTAATGCCTTGTCTTGATTATTTCCTGGCACCCTGCACAGCATTTGGTCATGGAAGGCCTTCACACAGTGCCACCCCTCCATATTGCGCCAATTAGGAATGACTTAGTTTGACGAAGGAGGCTTGGTTTTAATTTGTCTTGCTTTGATGCCGTCGTGCGCTTTAGAAGATTTGTTGATCCATTCCGTAATCAACACAAATCTGCCTGTGTCAGGCAAATATCTGAATTACCAGCTCCACCAGACAGGCTAATCTTGCCATCCCGGCGGTATCATGCCGACATTTAAGGTATCTATTTGATGCCTATTTCAGATGATTCGCGAGGCGATCGCGAACCACACCGGCAACGCGCTACCCGAGGAACCGCCGCTGCCGCCGGCGCGCGCGTTCGGGCCGGTGCATCTTTCAGAGCGGGCCGCTCTGATGGAGTCACTGCCGCTGCTGGCACCCGGCGACGGCATCCCTGCCTTTAAGCCGGCTCCCATGGAAGCCTACGGCCAGCCGTACGCACCGTTCCCTCCGCCTTTAAATTCCTGGCCTGATTTGGAAATCAAATTACGAAAGTGTTCAGCGGCAGAAAATGCAGAAACGCATGCCTGCCTAGGTTTAGATTTCCATTAGCGGAATACGGGCATTGATTATACGGACTTGCAAGGCAGTGCTGGCCCGCGTGCTTCCTGCTCTATGTGCTGTGTACATGCTGTGATTGGTGGATCTATGTGACCAGGCATGGGGTGATTGTGTACCGCACGATTCTGGCTGTGGGGGCGCTGATTGGAGGGGGCGTGCTGGACCTTGGAGAGCCTGTCCATGACTATGCCCAGGTGAGGCTCTTGACTTCCGCAGCCTTGTCTGTGGGTTGCACATCCAGAAGGCATGCCCCTTGACTGAAGCGCATGCCAATCCTGCTATGCAGAAAGCAAAAAAAGTCCAAGTAGCGCTGAAATGCCAATGTCCACCTCAGAAAGAGTATAGCTTGGGCCTGATTTTGCAGCTCATTCCTGTCTATTTGTTGGCAGGTGATGCTGGATGGCAAGGTGGTGGCCACGCTTGAGAGGAGCTGCCCGCGGACAGTGCGACTGCCAGAGGTGCTCATATTTCTGAGTGATGTCACCGTGCTAGACATCGTCGTGCATGCCATGGGCCGCAACAGTGGCGGCTGCGACTGGGACCCCAAGGGCATTGCCTATCCCAATATACAGCTCAATGGTGCGCTGGCTGCTGACTTCTCCCCCCTTGCATCAACTCAAGACATTCTTGCCCTTCACCATGGACGTATTAGAGACAGAAAGAAAATGATGGGACCTAGCCTCTTTCTGTAGCAGCTCATGTACAGCTATGATCACAGCTTGAACCCCGCACAATGCATCTTTGTGGCTATGAGCTGCGAGGCAGACTTTTGTGGCTAGGGGACCAAGGAAGATAATGCCACATCCCTGAGGATTGCCAGGTATTAGGAGACATCGCAGCTGTTGTCTTTGCAATTGTAAATTACAGCTGTGCTGGGCGCAGGCAAGGTGCTGTATCACTGGCGTGTGTTCCCCATTCCCCTGAGCGAGCCTCCCACCCGGGCCCTCATCAAGAGCACAGACAGCGCCCACGCATCTGCCAGGAGTCCCAATGGAGGCCTGCATGATGGGCTCCCAAACACATCGCAGCATGCAGTTAAAGGGTCCACGGTCAGTTTGGATAGTGTAGATGCAGACAGAGGGCTGCACGGGAAGGAGGCTGACAAGGAGTGCAGGGCATGGCCCACAACGGGCGGCCCTTCTGACGGCCCAGTCATACTCAGGTGCGCCTGCCGCCTCACTCCAGCATCACGCTTGCTTGAGGTCCTCAACACCAGAATGCCATCTGCCATGATTTTTTTACCATTTTACCAACACGAGGTCAGTAGCGGCAGGAACAGTGGGACCACCAACAGAAGGGTACCTGCTGGTGTCGTCTAGGGTGGCTGCTGTGATCTTCCTGGGTGAGTAGTACACTTCTCAGATGCAATGATCCCCGCATGTGCTGCCATGCAGGGGCAATTTCAGCGTGCAGGAGAGTGACATCAGCGGGTTGGGCCATCCGCCGGACACATGGGCGGACATGAGGGGGTGGGGCAAGGGGCTGCTGTGGGTGAATGGCTTCAACCTGGGCTGGTACTGGCCCCTGCTGGGCCCCCAGATGCGCATCTATGTGCCCGGGCCGCTGCTGCGCGCTGGCAGCAATGAAATCCTGCTGCTGGAGTTCGCCCAGGTGCCAGAGGATGCAACAGGTGCGATGTCCACAGCTGATCTAGCTTTGTGATGGGGCCTGCCGGCAGTTCATATGCTTATACAAGTGGAAATGGCTTGTGTGGTGTGCGGTCCAGTGAGCAGCAGCTTGGAGGAGGCAGCGCATAACCTCAAATGGGTCATGTGAAGGATGAATTGTGGCATCAAAAGTTGTGGCACTCCTGCGGATAACTAAGAGAATGCTTTGTGCGCCGTGCAGTGGCTCTTATGGAGGGTCCAGACTTCTTTGGGCCGAGCAGTGATAGTGGAGAACTGTTGGAATCGTCAAGATAGTAGAGGACTTCGTGCCCTGTCAACTGTGGGCGCTGTGCATTCTGACGATGGCAATAATCGTATGGAGATTGCGTTTTGGTTGATTCTCAAATATTTGGTATTAGTCATGGTTGCTTAGCCTGCACAATTTGCAGGGCCTGTCTGCCGATCATTTGCAGCTTGAGGATGAACATTGCAATGACAGACCCAGATATAACGCATTTGAGTGAATATTTTATCGTTGATGATTTGTAGGAGTCCAGGCCCATGACATTCAATTTGATACTTGTTCAGAATGAATGGCCCTAGCTATAGCCCATCACCATCATCAGTCCACCTGATCCACCTTGCGAGAAACATGGAAGCTGCTGACATTGTTAGTCAAGCAAGATAGCAGGAATGGCTGTCATTGCTGACACGAATTAATGCCAAGCAGGTATTCTAGAATACCGATGCATAACATTTAGAAATATCCATTTGACTGTGGCACACGTATACTTCAAGGTCTGGCAGATGTGGATATCCTCCGCATGCCGCCAGACCTACTCTGCTTGTAAAGAATAGCGAGGATCGATGAGAACGCCTTTATCTGCTCAAACCCCATGACGACTAATCTTGACAGTACTGTTCAGTCTTGAGTTTTCGGCGGTCTGCATGCATCCGCATCCTTCCATTTAAACACTGGGAGGTCGAAATGGGTGGCAGATTGCAATCATTGCAGGTACCAGGGTGTGAGGCCCCAGCCGCCGGGCGCAACAGAATTGGAGCTGGACACTCTGTTGGGGGTCACAGTCAGGAAGTCGACTTTTGGCCACTGTATGGTCAACCACGAGTCATCCACCAGGCCGCCGGTGTCTCCTGAGTTTGCGTTCCAACTCCTGCAACACAGCATACATTCAAAAGCCAGACACATCCATACACATCCAAAGCAGCAACACTGCGAAGAGTGATATTGCTTCCCACTCTCTTGTCTAGCCTTGCAATTTGGAAGCATTGCCCAGTTGCGAATCGCCATCGGGCTGGTTCAAGGTGGAGAGGGCAAGCATGCTCTCACAGATGGCAAGCATTACTCTCAGCTGGGTCACAGACTCAGCGTTCTGCATGCATGATGAGAGGAGTCCGCATGGGAACTTATAGAGCATCACCAGTAGAAGAACGAGGTGACTGGGGCGTGCAGGCCGTCATTGGCAGGCGAGATGTTGTTGACCCAGGAGGTGAAGTCCCGCAGCCACGACAGGTCATCCGCGAGGGCCAACGTTGTCCCAAACTCGCCTGCGCAAGCATGCTCAATTTTGTACAACCTTTCTGATCATGTGCGTTGAGCACTAATATATGTTTGCTTGTAATGCAGGATTGGACGCACGTTTAAAGCCGATCGGTGCCAATTTGATACCTGCCACGCAGTGTGTATTAGCGTGGGGATGTCACTCAGCAAAAGCTCTCTGCACCTCCCTTCTCTGCAAAGGAAATCTCAAGACACTTGGGATAAGCATGGTAACATTGGGTGCCTTTCCAGCCCATGAGGATCAGGTGCGCCGCCGAAGCTTTTCTACAACAGCCTTCCATCGTGGTCTATCTGGAGCTTTCCTCCACCACATCAAAAACATACCAAGAGATCCCACGGGCTGTGTGACATGGACAGGGGGTTCTATATCTAGCATAAGATCTATCACCCCCTGCTATGGGATGCAGAGGGGGTGCAAAAATCACCTATGGCGATGGGGAATCGCTGGCCGCCATAGCCGGTGAGGGCCTTTGTGCCAAAGGACTGCGACAGCCGCCTCCACAGCGGAGCGCCTTCCTGCTCAGGCACACGTGATCATGCCTTGTTGAGATATGCCGCACATGCACAGGCGGCACAGGAGAAGAGCCCGTGGGTGCCGGTAAGACAGGGTGCAAAAAAGCAGGTTAATTACATCAACCTCAGACATATAAGTCGTGCAGGTTGAACTTCACAGTGTTTGAAACTCGGGCTACAGAAGAAAACCAACAACGCTCATTGAATGGTATGTACCTTGGTGCTCTGATCGCCGCCTGTGACGCTTCTGCCATAGACGTGGGGAGACAAGACCACCTGCAACAGGGAAGAATAGCATCTGAGCCATTGACACTCACTCAAGATTGCCATGATTGCGCTGAGATATCTGAACAAGTCAAAAATATTCAAAAGTACAGATATTCAAGAGCATGCGCGGTAAAAATGCGACAGTGGAACCTTTGACATGGGCAACATGCAGCTGCACACCTGGCCGACATATGGTTTGGAGAGGAGGCCATCAAAGAAGGGCCGGGGGTCTGACAGACCATTCTGGGAGATGAGAGAGCCGTCAGTGACAAAGCCGTCTCCCCACGCCGCCCCAATTCCATTCTGACCCGTGCCTGCTCAGAACAAAGCCTGGATTAAGAGACTCATACATCTACCCTGCACCGCCTCACGATCCCCGCATAGAAGCTTCAGGACACCCATTTCCAGCCCAGGCATGTACCAAATTCACGGGACTTAAAGGCATCCAATAAGTTCCTTGCCTCTACTGGAAGTGGCAATCTTGTGCTGGTGATGTATCCGTAACGCCGTGTGTTTCTTTTTACAGCCAGCAGCCAGAGGGTTCAGAGCTGAATGTCAGTTGCAGGGGCGCACCTTCCACAAAGAAGAGGGTGTTGGTGTTGATGGCATAGAGGGCATCCATTACGTCCAAGTAGAGACGAGTCATGCCGGGCAGGTTGCCAGAAGCCTCCCACCTGCACAATGCACTGCCCATATTTCAGCAGCCTCTCCATAATCATCCATTATTATCACGATCTCTTCCTGCCAAATGGCAAGGTACGTCCTACAGACAAGCTCCGGCTAGGCGCAAGCATGCGCACAGCAACCTATTATCACTAAAACTTCAGATAAAACTTGCAGAGCGCAGTGCCTAGTGTGGCATTTGTCAGTGACCATGGTCAGAGAAAGCAGAACAAGCAGACACGGCAGAAATCAAGAGACACCTACAGCACACTCTGGGTGCCGAGCATCAGGAAACAGACACTTGGCATTGCGCTCTGCATGCATCGGGTTACCGGTACAATTCTAGCCGCCCCCGCAGCGCCAACGCCTTTTTCCCAGAGAAAAGAAGGCACAAAACTGATGAGCACGCGCCTGAGGCCGATGCCGTCAGGTTCGTTGTAGAGGTCGAGGAAGACGCGGCCGGCAAGAGCTGTCGAGAAGTTGGGCAGGTTAGTAATCGCACGCCACAGCGTCTGCCAGTCGCCGATGAAGTTGCCGCTGGCCACCGTCGTGTCGCCGGGAGCCGCATGGAAGTCCACCAGCACATAGAACCCCTGCAGTATTTGAGGTGCGTCAGATTTAAAAATTGTTTCAGAAGCGCTTAACCTATTTTTGTGGCTGAGGCAGCACACGTTTCAGAGGCACCAATGCATGCACCCACTACACGGAAGATGCCTCTTCTAACACTTGTCTCCAAGGTGCTGTGCCACAAACATGCTGTAAAACGGGCTTGATCTGAACTTGTTCCTTGACTGGCACTGCTGCACAAAGTTGCAGTACCGATGAAGAGCATGCAGAAGCTGCTGCATGGCATAAACCAAACTGAAATCAAACATGGGGCCTGCCTTGAGCACCAGGGACACGCCAAAATCCCACAGCAGCCAGCATGCAAGCACCTTGAAATTGTCATGGCATGTCTTTGGCTCAAGCAAACGACGGCACATGTGCATGCAGCGGGGACTGTGCGTCCAAGTGCAGGTCACCTGTTGGACATAGTACTGGACGACGTAGAGGTAGCGGTTGAGGGTGGAGTCATTGGGCAGATCCTCATTGCACACTCCGCTCGTGGGCGCGGCAAAGGCCGGGAAGGAGATTCCCGATGTGTCAATCGAGCTGTATGGGGAGGTGGGGTTCGTCAGATTGCCCTGCATCAAAAACCCAGAACGCCATGTAAATGGAGGTGCAGAAAGCTCACAACAGGCAGCAACAATGCATGCTGACACCAGCGCCACCTCATGCACAATTCCTTGCAGTTTCGACTGCTCATTCTGGCATAAAGGCTGCATGAATGCCATGCATCAGGCCAGTCACAGTGCAGGTAGCTTTTACAATACTTAAGCACTCTCTGCACTATGTGACAGAGGATGGCAGGTGCAAAACAAAAGTTGCCCGGCACCTTTTGGCCATCAGAAAATGTTGGCCACACACACATCAGCGTTGCACCTGTCACTTGAGCACTCACACAAAATGCGCAGTGGAAAAGAATGAGGCACACCTTCAGGTAGCGTGTGTCGTCGGTGCATGCCTTAGTCCAGCTCTTGGGTGCCAGGTTGAGGTCTGAGAATGTCATGGGCAGGCGCACAGCATTGAAGCCCAGCAGCTGCTGCCTAAACACAATTGTCTTGAAATCCGCAACCTGCGCCACAGCTTCTCAAATGCAAAGTTGCTAGTATTTTATATCTGAATTTGAAGTATTATATTCTGCAAGCGCACTACATCCACGGAAAAGTCTGCAAAGGTGCACTCCTGACAGTGGCCTAGTCAGCAGGGGATGTTACAGTATATAAGTGTATGGGTGTGATGAGGGGAGATTTAAGTATGATACCTGGAAGGTGGAGCCTGCATAGAGGCCGTCCACCATGGTCTGCCCATTGTTGAAGCCGAACCTGCAAGCAGCCACACCACTCACCATTACCCTCTGACTGACCTCACTTAATTCTCTGCTGCTGTCTGACTGCACTGAAATGATTAGTGCTCTGTCCACAGGAAGTCACCAAGGCAAGGGACACCTTATGAGTTTCTCCACGAACCTATGGGACTCCAACAAGGGGTGAGAATCTTGCAGCTTTAGAATGCAATTTTTCTGCAGACGCACCATGCCTTTTGGCAGGGAAGGCTTGTAATGAATAATACCGTAGTAATCCATGAGAGCAGCGCACCAGCTCATGCCCTTGAGAGCGACGGGCGACCCAGTCTGCGCGTTGACAAACTGGTTGTCCATCAGCCGCAGCGGCGGCAGCGCTCCTCCGCCGACAGACGGTGTCGGGGAGCTTGCCGGGGGCATCACGACTGGGGCCGGCGACGGCGCCTGCTGCGGGGAAGCTACCGGGGAAGCTGCCGGGGAAGTCGCCGGCGGCGCGGGTGTCTGCGAGGGTGTGGGGGAAACTGTAGGGCTCGGCGTCGGGCCCTGGTTAGGCGCAGCCGCCGGCCCTGCCACAGGAGGCATCGGCGTCACTACCGGACTCGGGGCCGGTGCCTTGCTGGGACCCACCACCGGCCCTGCCACGGGCGCCGGCACTGGCGCAGTGACAGGGGCCGCGACCGGTGCAGCAACAGGCGCTGCTACGGGGCCAGCCATGGGTGGCATTGGGGTTACTGCAGGGCTGGGAGAGGGCCCCTCAACAGGAGCTGCCACCGGCGAGGCAACAGGGCCTGCCACGGGTGGCATTGGGGTGGCGACTGGGCCGGGTGTTGGCCCCTCAACAGGAGCTGCCACTGGTCCTGCCGCTGGCCCCGCAACAGGCGCCGCCACAGGGCCGGCCACCGGCGCGGCCACCGGCGCTGGTACAGGGCCTGCGACAGGCGGCAGCGGGGTCACTGCCGGGGCGGGTGTTGGCGCAACATTGGGCGCCGCCGCCGGCCCGGCCGGCCCGGCCGTCACGGGCGCGGCGGCCGGGGCCGGGGTCACTGACTCGCTAGGGGTGGGTGCCTGAACAGGCGCTGCCGCCGGGGGCGGGGTCATTGACTCGCTGGGAGCCGGGACCTGAACAGGCCCGGCGGCCGGCGCCGGGCCGTCGGCCGCTTGGGCTAGAACCGGGGCGGCAAACGGCGCCGCGGCCGGCGCTGGCGCCGCGGCCGGCGCCGGGGCCGGCGAGTCGCCCGTGCCTGGAGGAGGCGCACCGTTAGGTGACTGCGCAGGAGCAGGGAACTCCGGGGCCGGGACCGGCGCCTGACCAGCCAGGGCCGGTACTGGCGCAGGAGTAGCTACAACTCCCGGGCCGGGAGCCAAAATGGGGGATAGCTCTGGGGCAGACACCGGGGTTGGAGGGATGCTGATGCTCGGGCTGGAAACAGAAGAGGGTGATAGTGCAGGGACTAACAACGGCGGTGCGGCCCCTTGACTGCTCCCTGATGGAGCCAGCCCAGGCGAAAAGGGGGGAAGCTGCGGTGCGGCAGCAGGACCGAGGCCTGGTGCACTGCCGGAGGCTGGGGCGCCAAAGGGTGATGCAATTGGGGAGACTACTGGTCCGGACACTGGCGGTGCAGGTCCTAAGCTGCCTGGGCTGGGAGCCAGATCAGGCGCTGCCACAGGGACTGCCACACTTGGCCCTGGTGCCATCACTGGGGCTGACACAGGGCTGGTCACTGGTGCAGCAACAGCTGGCGCAGGGCCAGATGGCGGTGTCATCAATGGCAGTGGAGGCAGCGGCGTGCCTGATGGGGGTGTGTCAGCCGGCGGGCCGGGGCTCGGGGCGTTGCCTGGCGTCCCGGGAGTGTCCGGAGAGACCGGCCCTGCATGCGTTCAAATGCAATCAGCAGATCCTCTTGCCTGAAAGCCAGCCCCAAGTTTTTGGACTCATTTGCACGTGCACTGTCTTTGGTGTTGCTGTGTGATGCGACACTCCTGCAGGTGCTAAATGTCTCAATACTTACGATACTTACAATACTGGTTGAATGTTCTGCAGGCTATAAAGCAATGTTGCCAATTTTGGGCAGCTGTGGCAGCATCTCACTCATCTCAGTCTTAAGGCCAGTGTGCCGGCGGGCTCAAGGCAGCATCCAGAGAGTGCAAAAGCATGAAACAGATGGCGGAGGGGTGCGGCCTGGCAGGGGACGCGCACCGGCAGGCGAGGGAGTGACTGCAGTGGGCGAGGGCGCGGTTGCAACGCTGGGGATTGGTGTCAGGATCGGCGGCAGCCCGGGGAGGCGCGGCAGGACCCCCTGCGAGGGGGGGGAAGCCCCCGGCCCGGCGCGGCGCGGCGGCTGCGCGCCGAATGGGCCCGGCACCGGCGCCTGAACAGGCGCTGGCACCGGCGCCTCTTTTGGCGGAGCGCTCGGCGCCAGAGCAGGCACCGGCGATATTGCCAAAGCAGGCATGGGCGACATTGCCATGACTGGCGCCTGACCAGTCACAAGATAAGTTTCTAAATACCGTATTTTGAAGTATTTTTATTGGATTGCTATCTTTTCATGACCCTCTTTTTAGGGCATCGTGCATGCCGTGCCACGTTGGTGTGCAGCAGGAGAACCCCTGAGCATTCAGATGGTGATGATTCGCTGCGGAGGCATGTATAGAAGGATCACATGCAGTTACTCAACTGCAGTCTTTCTGGTGATTTCTTAAAGCACTCAATAAGAGGGAGTGTCACTGTCAAGCTTAGTTTCAGAAAGTGCGCAGGAGCAGGGCTCACCGCAGCTGGGATTGTGACGGAGTTGTTCATCTGGAGCAGCAGCTGTGGCAGGTTGGTGGTGCTGGTGATGTTGAGCAGCCCGCTGCCCAGCTGCTGCGACAGCTGGCTGGCCACCTGCCCAGACAGGAAAGGCAACAGCGCCGCCGCAGCATCCGCCACAGCCAGCCCACCTGCACTTGCATCCAGGCGAGCAACTAAGCGCCGTTGACGTGTTTGCACTAGCCGTACAATGCAAGCAGGACGAACAGGCCTGTTCAGCTGTGCAGGTGCAATGCATCCTTTCTCAGCCCCTGTGCCCGAGCGGTGGGCTGCGCATGAGCTTGCATATTATCCATATCACTTATATACGCTTAGATCAAGCAGATAATCCCAGCATGCACCATGCTTACCGACCACCCTTGAAGTAAAGCACTCCACCTGGCCTGAACTGGCAAGCCTGGGAATGTCAAGTTTTCAAGTGAAGTTCCTACTGCTTTTACTGCTTCCAGGACGCACCGCGTGGGTCTCGGCTGGGGAAGACAGTGGAGATGGCGGCGGCTGCAGCGTTGGTGCTGGCAGCTACAGAGGAGCTGATGAGCAGCTTGGGCTGCTGCAGGTAGGGTGGAACCACCGGGTAGGGCGACGGCTGGCAGGTCGGAGACGGCAGCCCCGCCAAGCATGCAAAGCCGTCCGCGCAGCATGCGAAATCGAACGTCTGCACCAGGCATGCGCTGCCCACGCAGTCCGACTGGCTCCCGGCTGCATGCAGCACACGAGAAGATGAGTCATTACTAGATGATCATTCAGATGGCAGTAGTGGCAGTAGTGCAAGGCAGTGGTGCAAGATCCCTTGGGAAATAGCTTGGCACGGATAGGTTGGTGAAAGTCGTTTGTGGGACTCGCCATTGGAAGAAAAGGAAGAAAGGTGATTGAGTGCAGTGTAGGAAAGGCAGAACGAAGGGCGGGTAAGCGCACCACACGGCTCGCCGAAAGGGAGCTTCAGGGCACAGCTGCTTGGAGCGAAGTTGAACGTTGCATTTGTGTTCTCCGTGCACTTCAGTATGCCCTCGTCTGGATGCGGCATGCAGCTGAATCCGATGGGGCAGCACGAGCCTGGAACTGGGACCTCCACTCCGCATTGTTCGAAAGGCTCGAAAGTCTGAAAACAGGATGGAAGGTTGTACTGGAAGCCGCTTGTGGTTCCTGCGCACAAAAAAAATGTCGCGGTTGCAATCTCAGCAGGTATGTCTGAATAAGGCAAATGAGAAGTAGCGATGGACGCTCTATGCAAGATTGCGAGCCGTACAGTGTTGTGTCCGCTCTCCTTAGCGTCAAGACTCACCTCTAATCTCATTGAATTGCTGTATAAGAACCACTACAGCCACCGCCAAGAGGCCTCTCACGGCCATTTAAGACGTTCGGACGTCCAAGAGATGGACGATGCTCAAATTCGACCCAAGCGTCTCAGCTTGTCATAGGCGATTTGTGGCGAGACCACCAATGAAATTGTTTATATCTGACACCTACAATAGCTCCATAGTGACTCCTTCGCCAGCACACTCCAGTCTCCACGCTTTCCTGTCTCGAGCGTTCGCACTGCCTCGAGATTACCCAGCTACCTCATTCGGATCCTAGACAGGCTCCCATGTTGCTCGACATGCATTTATCTTTGCATATAGAATCCATTCTGCAGAGACCAAGTTCGTTAATATTAGGCACACTTTGCCTATCTCAACTGTGCAACTTGTCATCTCCCCTTCCAGCTTTTCCCTCCGAGGGAACTCTCTCCTTCACACGTGTGGAAGTGCACTGTAAAGCTCTCATTGACTAGACTCAGAGTGCCATCCTTGTTGCTGCTGCTAGCTGCTGCAGAGTACACACGCACCATCGCTGAACTGTGCACTCCAGCTTAGGACACTGCTACGTCCCCTATCCTCCTCATGCTCAGCCTCCACAGCTTTATTGATGTGGCAGGCAGTATTGCACACAGCTCGCTCTCCAGACCACTGCTCACTTTGCCAGTAAACAACTCCACACCCTGCGGCAGTCCAAGCAAATATGTTTGCCATCAGCTGTCCCATGAGCACATGTTTTTCCAGCACTATAATTATTGTCAGGGTGCATGCTATTATTGATAATTTCTTGCGTATGCACTGCGAAGCAGCCCCTTCCTCACTCCTCGCCGCTCACACTGTCTCGTATCTCTTGCCTTCTCCCTACTTTAGCATACTACATTTGAATAAAAAAGAAGGGCAGTCATCAAGGACAAGCGCTTGTACCTGGTAGACAGTATCCGCTTCCACCTCTAGCTCATCCCAGCTGGCACAGAGCCCCTCCGACTCAGAATCTTTCAGGTTGAAGAATCCCACGGCCAGATCGCCGTTGTGCAGCCGCCTCTGCCAGATCTGGACCTCCTCGCACGAGCCCACACATTTGACCAAGCTGCCCTGGCGCCCTGTGTTGTACACCGTCCTGCAGCTCAGCAACACTCCCACCCCTTCACAAGTACAAACTCTGTGCTGCATACTGTACTGGGCAGAACATGCAGAAAACATCGACATTTTACACCCTTCCTAGATAGTGCCGGATGGGGCCATGATGGTGGCTTTACTATGGGTTGTTGTGAGAGTGTTCAGCAGGGGAGAACAGATAGTGGGCAGTCACGAAGTCTAGCTGTGAAAAATTCCTAGTAACGCCAGCAGGGGCCTTGATGGTGGTTGGCTGTGGGCACGATGTGAAAGCATTCAGCAATGCATAGCCACCAAGGACCAATAGACTGTGTGCGCCAGTGAGGCCACCATGCACGCGATAAAGAGACAATGCGCACTTATTGTTCGCACCTGCAGGGTCTTGGTCGATGGCAATGACGTCCTTGTTGAGCAGGATGGCTTGCTGGGCGTCTGTCAGGTTGCGCACATCGTTGCCCATCAGCAGTGGCGCTGCAAACATCGCCCAAGCGCCCATCTGCAGCTTCCCCTGATCGTCTGAGATGCCCTGGCAGACAGCCACACGAATTTTCAATTCATGAGGGTGGTAGACGATTGAGCAGCGGTAGTGCCAGACACATAGTCGCATCAAAACTTACCTGGCAGTGTCGCCTGCAACAGCGATGAGGTCCTTGTGTGGAGAACAGCAAAAAGTGCATCACATAAGCATGCATTGTGAGCAGTAGATGTATGAGCAGTAGACATATGTATATAGAAATATGCATATTTTGGATGTATGGATTGGATATAAAGGGTGAGCACCTCATTCCCAATGATGAGCATGTCTGGGTCGTTGAAGGATCCTGGCCCGGCGATGTCCGTGAAGCCCTTGGAGAGGAGCGATGCCTCTGCCCAGAACACTATGATGCTCTTCAGGCTGGCCCAGTCTGACTGGATGTCCAGCCAGTTGCGCCACAGGTTGCAGTGCTTCTTCAGCGCCCTGTAGGGGATCTGCCCACATGGACACTGCGTCAGACTGTCTCAAGAGAACAGCTTGAGGACTACATGTTGATCAGTACTGCTGAGTGCCTTTTCAAGCAGTATCATTCACAAAAGGAAGGTGCAGGGCTTGGGCTCTCATCGATTGCTGCAAAAGGCCTCTTGAAAAGGGCACGGCGAGTGCATTTGATGTCGCTTGATTGTCAGCATGTGTGCAAGGGGAAGTACTTGCCTGGAAGCCTGTCTGCACAGGGTCTGGAAGATAGGCAGGCCAAGAGCAGCTGTACACTATGGGCCGCCCTGTTGCATTCAGCGCCACCCCCAGCTCTGGGTATGTCTCATTGTAAGTATCAGTGTCCGCATAGCACCCATCCACCTGTAGAACAAGCGCTTACTCCCAAGATTAGCGAAAGCCAGAGCAATCTTGACTTGTAAAGGGATGCACGGAAATGATACTTGTCCAAGACATGAGTCAACCTTCAGGTAGTCGACGCCCCAGTCTGCATAAGTCTGGGCATCTTGCTTGAGGTGGGCTGCCATTCCTGGGTAACCCCCACAGGTCTTTGTACCAATGTCCCCATATATTCCAAACTTCAACTTCCTGCGGCCACACATGCTTCTGCCATCCGACATCATCACATGGAGTTTCCATGGACATGTATTGTTTGCAAGCACATGGATGCCGCACCTTCTGTGCAGGTACCTCCCAAAAGCAGTCATTCCTGTTGGGAATCTGTCTGGATCAGGCTGGAGCTTGCCACCCTCGTCCCTTCCCTTAGCCAGCCAGCAGTCATCTATGATGACAAATTCGTATCCAGCATCTCTAAAGCCGTCTGCAACCATGCTATCTGCTGTCTCCATGAACAGGCGCTCGGAGATGCAGTTGGCAGGGTCATGGCTGCAATCTACGTTGCAGCGGAATTTCTCCCAAGACAACCATCCCTGCAACAATGTCTTACCCTGGGTGAAATAGGCATGACAAAACAGGGCGAACAGCAGATCAAGATGGCGAGTTTGGGCAGCGCATCTGGACGCACCATGGGGGGTGTGAGTCCCACGCCATTGTCCAGCGACGATACTAAAGTCACTCTCAGCAAGACAGTGATAAAGAAACACGCTGTACTGCATGCAGTCATAGAAGATTGCAAGGACATCGCAACGAGCGATCCCAAAATTTCGTCACGAATGGCATTGGGAACGTTGCAGCATCGCGATCAGCGTCCCAGGATCCATCACGTCTTTTAGTGCACCCTTGTGGATCACCCTCCTTCTTGGGATCCTGAAAGGCAGGGAAGACATTCTGTTCCGGAAGGGTCGTAATGTAGAAATTACTGCGACGTGGCAGCATGCAGGGGAACGAGTATATTTCAAATCTGCCTATAATTGGGTGTGTACCCCAACCTTGCACTCGACTCAGTCAAATTCTGAACACAATATGGCCTCGACATTACAGTATTTCACTGGACTGAGGCCTGTCGCCGATAGCTTCCGCGTTTCTGCTCAAAGACGTCTGACGCAAGGTCCCGGAAGTCTCCAGGCAAGAAGAATGAACTTCACAACCGCCCAGGTATGCTGAATTTACGTACAACTTGTTGTAGGGGGAATCGAAGTACATTTTGGTTTTGACTTCAAATTCGTGCGAATCGTGGAATCAGAGTCACGTCCTCGAAAGATCCCAGTAGCTGATGAGATCGGGGTGACTTGAACTATGCAACTCTTCACTCGAATGCGTGCAATATATTACTCAACAGGTGGCAAACGTTAAATTAATTGCTTGCAGGCATCGGGAACCAGTCCGAGAGGCAGCGGTGGTACTGCAGCTGAGACGAAGGAAAAGTACACTCTGAAGACGGCAGGAGGCGGCACCTACAAAGTTGCTGGAGGAGAAAATATCAATGTGAGTCCAAATATTTTTCTTCTAGTGGGGGAAATGAACAGTTTCGATCCCTGCACCAGATTAGAACGTGCTTCTGTAAGGTTTAAATGCACACTGACATCCTGTTTGTTCTAATGCAGTTTGCAACTGCTTCAGCGTATCCTCTCTTCCGACTGGGATCTTCAGCATTCGTGTCAGGCAAATTGGCAAATTTCCGAAAGAGGCCAGAGCAGCCGATCATCCTCTATGAGTTCCAGGGCTGCCCCTTCTGCTCAAAGGTGAGTTGACGATCATTATGCCCTGACTCATCAAGTGCAGATATACTAATCGTCCAGTGTAGAGGTAGCAGCATTGATGCCGTGGCGGATGTGAGAGGTTCAGGAGTGGAGGTCATGAGAAAGAGTCAAATTATCCCACCTCATGCTATGCTGCCCTGTCCAGGTTCGGGAAGCTACCACAATCTTGGATTTGGACGTCCTCTTCTATCCCTGCCCCAAGGATGGCCCAACATGGCGACCAAAGGTGAGGCAGAGTTCGTGCCCTTCTGCCAGCTTCCATCAAAACAATGTGCTTGAGTTAGCACTGTGTTTCTGCTTGATTGCCGTGGAGTTTTGAGTGACTGATGAGCCTAGTCTGCTGATGAAGAAGGAATGACTCTTTCTCTCTCTGCTGCACAGGCCAAGGAGATGAGCGGCAAGAGCCAATTCCCTTTCATGATCGACCCCAACAACAACGACAAGCAGATGCTGGAGTCTGATGCCATTATAAGCTACCTCTGGAATGAGTACGGAGATGGAGAGGTGCGAAAATATGCCACACGTCTCAGGAATCCCGCTGCTTTGATTCTGTTTTCCTGGGAAACACTGAAAAGAACAGACCAAACAAACAACCCTGTTGCCTTAATACCTTCGTTCCTCATCCCATGACCCCTGCATCTGCCTCAAGCAGGGAGGACTACAGACTCCTGTAGACTTTAGCACCCCCTGTCTGCAGCCTCACATACTACAAGGCAGAGTATTTGCAGGCTACAGGTCACGCTCCATGCCCAAGCCTTGCCAGCAGTCAGGGTGCATGAGATGAGTGTATTCAGCTGGCATGCAGGTGCCGCTTCAGTTCAAGCTGGGTCCACTGACAGTGCTGAGCATTGGCCTTGGACTGCTCCCGCGTGGAGGCAAGGGCACATCATACCGCAAATCGCGCATCCCCGAGAAGCCCATTGAGATCTGGGGCTACGAGGCGTCCCCCTTTGTCAGAATGGCAAGAGAGGTGCGCGAGGCTTCAGCTCCTCTTTGGATCTGCCTTCACTAGAGACAGCAACATGTCACAGCTTGGAAATCACCACAACAACTAACATAAGGTTGCTTAATGTGATGCGCTGCATGTTGCTACATATTAATTGATCTTGATCAGAGGAGAAGCTCTGCATAGCGCTCTGTGGATTTTACAGATATTTGTGCAAGTGGGGGTTTGTTGAATCGATGGCGCCACCCGCAGAGTTGTGACAATCAAGTCCTTGCCCAAGAGAGAATTATGGATGTGCAGGCTTTGGTGGAGCTGGAGCTGCCTCACCTGTACCACTCTGTGGCGCGCAACAGCCCCAAGCGGCCCTTCCTGACTGAGAAGTGGGGCAGCTTCCAGGTAAGAGCTGCCTCCAAGTCCTTTGCTTTGTATGTTCTGCATCTTGTCACAATTGGGATTTCAGGGTAGGTCAAAGGCCGGAACACTCTGAAGATGTGTGTTGAAATACTGTGCTCCTGGGCCGGGAGATATTTGTTGTGTTGATGCACTATGTATACACCGTGAGGCAACCTTTATCCCTTCTTGGCGCTCGCATTGCCTTGTATGCCCTTGCATTCTACCATGGTTTAGTACTGGCTATACCGGCCAATTTATATTCAGTGCCAATCTGGTGCATGCAGGTGCCATACATCGAGGACCCCAACACAGGGACTGCTATGTTCGAGAGTAATGAGATCATCAAGTACCTGAATGACACCTATGCTGTCTAAGTTGATCTAAATTGCGGGAGGCGGGAGGTGTCATGCATTAATTCAATTCTTTCTGGCAGTCACTGAGCGTGCACAATGTGCAAACATCAGATAGTCTTTCAGCTCGCTGCAACTTTTGTTTTTGTCCTGTCCAGACTTACTGCAGGGTCAGATCATGCATGTAAAATTACTTTGCAATTGAGGTTGGATCAGGCTGCGTGATGTTTTTGCTAATAGGTTTGAAGAGGCTTAAGTTGAACTGGGCCGCTTGCTTGTTTCAGGCAGAAGAAAATCATTGGCCAGTGAGTGCATACAGTCATGGGAAGTCAGACTTGAAAGATGTTCAAGGTTTGATTGAAATCTGGCAATTAATAAGAATCACTAGTTCTGAGTCATCTTTCATGCATCAGATACAGTGTTGGGCGACAAGGGTGGTGCCTGCACCTAGCCAATGCGCATGCATGCAACATGCTTTCAAAGGAAGTTCCACAGAAATGGCAACTCGCAGCTGCAGACCTGATTGGCCACAAGGTCTCACACACCAATTCCCATGCAATGTAAGGCTTCAATGAGAGGAGCAGAGAGGCAATGCCAGCTTGTATGAAAATCAATCTAGAAAATCTTCCAGGTCTTGAGGGTGCATGACATGCACGACACTGACATGATGCAGGGATGCCTATTTTAGGAACCGGTGATGACGAGAACACAAGGAGAGCACTTTGAGAGCAGCGTAAAGGCCATTGCACATCGTCAACGGAGAAACCACTCTCGGTGTAATAAACTGCGTCTGGCTCGCCATCATCATGGCTAGGTTGAATTTAGTCTTCAGACGGAAAGCAGGTGAGTCAGCAACTCTTCTCGGTAGAAGCTCTCTTGCGCCCTCGACTTCAAAGCGATCACACAATCATCCTGAGTCTTCACAGGATGCATTTTGGAGGGGATTCCGGGTCCGTCCCCAAGCAGCTCCTCTTTCTTGCGGTCGTTGTTTGCGAGCAGTACATCTTTTCTTGGGAAACCTCGTTGGACATATAGTGCTAGCAGCTCTGATACCAAACCTAAGAACGAACTCTGGCTGTTCCCATTGCCGAGTCCATGGCCATAGTACTATTAGTACACAAGGTTTCTGGAGATCATTGCCAAGTGCCGACAACTAGTCAAAAGCAACGCAGTGACCGAGCGTTCCGAGATGATGAGAAACCCCTAAGTGAATATTGCCGCCTGCAACTCAATTTGTGTGGACATCTCTGCACGAAAAGGACCTCCCTCTGCCGTGCTAGATGATGCAACATGCGCAGAACTCACAAGGGCTCATTTTGAACTTCCTGGTTTACAGCTAGAGATCATGCTTGCTTGGTGCAGGTGACCAGGCAGCAGCAGGAGGCGCCAGGCGGCGACCCAAGATGAATCTGTCACTGCGCACAGGAGTGCTGAAAAGCCTGGCCTGGGGCTCGGTGCTGCTGTGCTGGGCCGGTTGGGTCATCGCCCTGTCCGGCCTATCCGCCCTGCAGAACGACTGCGGCGGGGCAAACCTGCCAGTGGTGCGCCCCCCACTGCATTATTCATTTATTTATTATGTTTACTATTCCATGCTTCTCCTGTCAAAGGCAAGGCGCGTCTGCAGACAAGCTGCAGGATCTGTTTAAAAACAGGGATATGCGGATTTCTTAGCAGAACAAGCGCCAGCGAATAGAGAAGGGGCTACCTCGCGAGTCAAAATGATGCAGCAACAATGCTGCACCGTCCATTCGCCTCATATGCAATTCTGATCGACCTTGTCTGTGGCTCTGCGGGTCATGCATGGCACAGTACATGGCTTTAAAGAGCTTTGCAGAAGCACTCAACAAAGCAGTGGGGTTGCTGAGATTCACATGCGAATGCAGAGATGGGGCAACATTGGAGAGCTGGGGCCCATGCGCTGCGACAAGCTCTTTGCCTACCAGGTCTGTCCCCTTTCCCCTCAAGCCATTTGCCCGCTCAGTGGCAAACAGATTGCGGAACAGACCTCCCGCGCTTTCTGAGTAGTGCCTGTAACCTTAGTAGAGATGCATCTCCAGACGCAGGTACTGTAGGTGGATGACTGTTGTTCCCATTCCCCACAATCCTCTTACCTTCTCAGTGGCACAGAACCCAGGGTAGAGATTTCCCACGTTTGCTGAGCAGTGCCTTTCTGGAGATGCTTCTTGAGGCAGAGGTAGTGAAGGGGGAGCACTGCTGTGCAGTGGTGGAAGATCTGGTACGAGTGGGGCGTGCTTCTTGCAACCTGCCTGGCACTCGCCATGGGTGCGCGCTCATTTTCCCCTTTACCTCCCCACACACATCCACTGCCTTCAAACAAAGAGGTCCTGCACTGCAGAACATCTGCACCACATTGCCTCTTTGACACATGCACCTTACAGGGAGCACTGCTTGGTGAACAGTGGTCTCGTCACCTAGGACAAGGTCAGAAAAGGGTATTGATGTTTATGCTGCAGGTCGCGTGCATGATTTCCGCGTGGCGCTGGCCGTGCTTCTGGGCATCGCGACAGTGCTGCTCATGGACGCGACCAACACCTTCTACTTTGCGTGGTACCGGTGAGTCACTCAAGCTCTTTAGATTCTTGCAAAGATGCGAATGAGACTGTTTTTGCAACATACAAACGAGGCCAAATAAATGAAGTTGCCTTCCTGCTTTGCCTGCATGTACACTCTGAAGTGAGCAAGTACTGCAACATGGCCAGTCAGATCTGCAGCTTGATTTTCAAACGGGCCCCTGTCAAACCTCGTCTATATTGGACGTCGCCCCAAAGACAGTCCAGAAGAATCACCCCACCAAATTCTCGTCTTTCAGAAGTCAAACAGACTGATTGACCCCATAGGCCGAGCCAGGACTGTCTTCACGCTTCCCTGTTTTGCATGTCTATAATCCCACTATCTTGCCCCATCAAAGGTCATCTGAGGCCTTCAGATCTAGAGAATAACAAAATCTGGTGATGGGGGCTTCTTTTCAACCTTGCCAGATCAGGCGCACATCTGATCAGTCACATGCGCGCAGGCTGGCCCACGGCACGGAGATGGTGCGGGGTAAGGTGTACTTCAGCGGAACGCTCATCACCTCCATCTTCAACCTCCTGCTCATCATCTGCCTGGGCACCCACGATGACACCATCGACAGCCGCCACGATGAAGCCTACGGCAACGGCAAGCACAACTTGCATGGCGGCCACCGGGCCGGCGAGCCGCACGGGGCCGGCGCCGGCGCTGAGGATCCGGCTATCGCGACGGCAGTTTGAATCCCTCGTCAAGATAAGGCGGAATTGTCTTCTATCTACACCGCATGGAGGACGGCCGGCGGAAAAGGCCAGGCTGTTGCCACGGCCGTTTGAATGAGTCATGATGATGACCCACTCCCACACACAGCCAAGATCAGGCGCCCTTGCCCCTAATCCATATCGCCGCGCAAGGCTTTTGAAGAGGACCCGAGTGTCGCGACAGTCGTTTGAATAAAACATTTCAAGACAGTATCAAGATCAGGCCAATAGGTGTGCAGTCTACGCCGGATGTCAGGACGGCTGTCTCAATGAGTCCTGATGACGGCTGAGTTCCAACGCACAGCCGAGATCAGGCGGAGTGGCCTCTGATCCATACCAGCATGCGGGATGGCTGTCTCGATGACCCAATTCAACGGAAGAGCAAGATAAGGCTGCAGAGCCTGTGACTCGAGCAAGGCATGCATGAGAGGCATGATGAGGCACCGTGGGAGTATGTTTGCAAGGTCAGGCTTCCATGCAGACCACCTGAGGACAACAAATATGAAGGGGGCTGCATGGAAGAACAATGCAACACAGCCACGAGTGGGCAAGTGCCAGGATCCCAGAACTGTTGATACCTGCTGTGGTGTACAATGAAACTGTACATATATTGTTGTGCTGCATCTGTTTTTGATCGATGCAGATGTGCCTGGACTGAAGATATGGACGCTCCAAAACACCCAGCAAACAATGTACCCGTAGGGAATCACATGTTGCGGTGAAAACCATCACTCAGACAGTGATGCCCTTGCAAATGTGCGAGCCATACTTTTCAAGTCCTAGACAATCTGAGCATAAAGGAGCACCAAAAAGTGTACATTAAACTCTTTTGAGAACCATCCTTTGAGGGCGGAGATTTGGCCACCCTTGTTCAGTCCTGTGCATGCAAAGCGGTCTGCTGTATGATGCGTGGTTCTGAATGGACCCATGAAATCTTACAAGGAAGTCTGGACTTTATGCATGTCCCCCTAGGAGTGGGCTGCAAGAGATGCTTCTGTCTCTATGTACAACATGATTGGCCAGGCAGATGTAAACCTAAGCACATCTGCATGCAATCCCACTAGAAGTACTACCTAATAGCGAAAGGAAATATTATGAAGTGACAAATATAAATTCTGCGCATGCATGCATGCTGCCCCACAAGCTCTTCTAGGATGCCACCTCTTCAGCCAAATTACCAGGCATCATGAGAATGGTGCCAAATATGGCAGCATAGGTCCAGAGCAATGCAGAGCTGCGTGCACATGCAAAGCAACATGGAGAAAAGAAGAGCAATACTTCTGTTCGTCTCGTTATGCAGGTCACATCTTGCACGCCCCAGAACCTATTGTCAGCGCGTCAGGGCCAAGATTAAAGCCCCCAGATCACGACTTTATTCCACACATGAGCATTTGTTGAATAAGACTCAAGCGTTGCTAGCGCCCTCTCCGCAAAACAATGGCGTCCGTAGGGATCTATGACTTTCATTCCTCGGTGCGTAGGACAGGGGTGACAAAGATGCCCTCCTTGGGCCCCAGCGTGAAGAAGCTCTGCAGCTGCAGTCCCGCCTCATCCTCCTGCCCTGGCGACAGCTTGAACGTGAACCTGCGCAGACACACACACATGCATGTCAGGATCACGGCAGTACATACTGTCATAGTACAGCCCTCAAGCCTGTGCATGACTGCCCCTTCAAAGAGAGCATGCGATACAAAGAAACTGCTCTGCTTTTGCAGACAAGGCATTTGATGCAGATCAGCCCTTAATCTCTGTACCATCGCACCTTCAATGCATGCATGCGATGCAAGAGAGTCATCAAATTTGCTCTCTGCAGACAAGGACACGCTCTGCTTGAACACAAGAAGCCGCCTAGCTGCAGATATAGAGCTTCATAATTTCTGAGGTAAATGTCCACCTTTGGTAGAGCCGGGCGAGTGTGATCTTGGCTTCCTGCAGGGCAAATCGCTGGCCCACGCAGACGCGCGTGCCCTCCCCAAAGGCCATCCAGCTGCCGGGCACCTTTCTGTTGAGCGCAGTCTCCTCGGGGGTTCCCTCCAGCCAGCGCTCTGGGATGAACTCCAGCGGGCGCCCATAGTTCTCCTCACTGCGCTGTAGATTGAAGATGGGCATCTGCGCCAACACACATGCTCCAGTGTGAGACATAATCCACAATTCCCATGATGCTCAGAAAAGGTCAAGCGGGCAACAGATCACAATGCCAATAAATTCAAAAGGTCATGCAAGAACCCCTAATGTATGCGTACATCAATGTGTTGAACAGATCTCACAAAACATGCATGCCGGGGGCCTGCAGCTGATAAGTATTCTAGCTGGGCCGTGAGGTCTGCAAAGCAGATTACGAGAGGAAATCAAAAATGAGACAGAAGCAGGGGACAGGTGCGCACGTGGATCCAGGTGCCCTTGGGGATGGTGTAGCCCTTCACGGTGAAGTCCTCGGTGAGACTCTGGCGCATGCTGAAGACGCCGGGCGGGTACAGCCGCATGGCCTCCTTCAGGCAGGCCTCCAGGTAGGGCATGCGCGCCAGATCAGCAGGCCCCACCTCCCTGTTGCTATCCCCCAGGCTGTCGATCTCCTGCAGCAAAAGGATGTAGATGAGAGGTACATCTGAGGTAGATCAGAGGTGAATGCACCCAAACTGAGACAGTGTATGGAAGGAGAAACAGCTGGCCAATTGTATGGAGCACAATTGAAGTAGGAGCAAGAGCAGGGGACAAACCTGCAGCAGCTTCTCCATCTTGGCTTGGCTCTTGGAGAGGCAGTACACTGTGAACGCCAGTGCTGATGCCTGCAGCAACACCATTTCACACACATGCTCAATAATGGCAAATCCACTTCCGAACGGACATAATACACTGAATCACACACATCCTCAAAAATGGCAAATCCACGTCCAAACGGACATAATACACTAAAGCCAGCTCTGCGGTAGAACAAAAGATGCAAACCCTGCAAGTCTGGGCTGGAGGAACAAGGTGTCAAGACAAGACAACGTTCCAGGTAGATGTGCTAGCGAATTATCCACACTGCTGCGCAACGTGTGTATTACATTTGTTGCGCGCCACTTTTCGACAACAGGGAACAGAGGGGTCATCACCGTGGTCTCATAGCCTGCCAGGAGGAAGGTGAAGGCCTGGGAGGTGGCCTCGTCATCGGACACGCCGCGGCCGTCCTGGTGCTTGCTGTCAATCATCAGGCTCAGGAAGGAGCCCGGCTGCACCCCGCGCGCCTTCTTGCGGCCCTCCGTCGCACTCGCCTCTATGTTCACCGCCGGCGCAGCCGCCGCCTTCAGACCTGCTTCCAGCAGACAGTGCTTTAGCATTTGTCATTGCTACCATAAGACGGGCAGCACAGGCACTGCTGAGAAGGCGCAGCCATGCGAAGAGATACCATGAGAGCCAGTCAACTCTGGCAAAGAGGGGCTTGCCCATGCAAGCTTCCAGTGTGACAAGGCACAGCCAGTCACCCACATCAGACTTTGATGAGAAAAATGCATGCATGCCACGATGAAAGCAGTGACAGAAAACATCCTGTATCAAAGAGAGAGATGCTCACCAGCTTGCTGCTGCCTGCGGGACTCCTGCGTCAGCTTTGAGACTGTGGACCGCAAAATATTGCGCGCATTCACAGCCTGCAGCCCAAAAAAATATCTTACTGACTCAACCACACATTTCAAGGTCTCCTCGCAGGGCTTCCCACGAAATCAGCCAAGCTTGCCCCAAAATTCCTTGTACAGGAAACACCGTTGTAGAGGCAACAATAGAGAGAGAACAAAACTCACCCGCTTGATGCCGTCATCTGGGAAGTAATAGGCCAGCACTCTCATGAGCGGGTTGAGAACGGGCAGCACTGCTCCAGGATAGGTGTAGATGGAGGCCTTCTCAGCTGCAACACAACATAATACCCGGTCAGATCTTAGCAACACACCAGCAAAAGCAGCTGCATATGATATTGCCTCAAAACACCCTCCTCTAATCATCATAATATATACAAGGCCTCCTGCAACTCATTAAAATAACATAGCAGCGTGCGAAGGCATGAAAGGCCAAGCAGTAGGGGATATAGTGCTGCTGAGCAAGATGACTCACATGCAGTGGCGAAGATGGTCTGTGCTGCCCAGACCAGCTTCTCAGCCTCCTCGCTGTTCAGGCCCCTCTCGGCATCCTGAGTGCGCAGCTCAACTCTGCACAGCCAAACACCCTGGTCATGATTGAGCAGGGAAGCTATGCTTCACGGTGCAGCGACAGCAATCAATGCCTTCGTGAGGGTGTCTTGTATATAGACATGGTGGTCTTTGTGTATCAGCACAGACAGATATGCTGGCACAGTAAGATGAAATTATAACATAGCCATTGAGGCCAGCATGTGGGATGAGCAATTTAAACCATACCCGAAAGCAGCGCTCCCCACAACATCCATTGTAAGGTGTCCTGTTCCCCCCAGCACAACCACAATGTCAACCAAAGACCTTGCCATATCCGCAATATGATTTGTCACGTTCAATGTACGGTGTGTGATGCTCTGTCATAATTAGGCAACAGAAGAGTACAGTCCTACCGAATTGCCTCCAGATGTTGAGCTCCCGCTGTTCCCTGGCATTCTTTGTGAGAATGGCCGCCATGCGGTTGGCTCCAATGTTCATCTCCTTGGAGGAAATCTCCAGGCTGCAGGCAAGGCGTACGTTTTTGTTAAGCGCTTTTCAGAATGATTGAATTGAGAGGTGCCACAGTATATTCAGTCAGCCTAAAACACACAATTCCGTTTGCATCACAAAAGTTGCATTGTACTGCCAGTCAGTTCTTCACAGGAGGCAACTGCAAGCACACCTGGCACTGTTGAAGACTGGCAGCCAAGCGCTCTTCATGCTCCGATGGAAATCCTTGCTGCAACACAGATTTGCACCCACCACACTCAGTACATACACTTCACAATATTTTGACTAGTAGTCCAACATTTTGGGTACATATATGATGGTGGCATGAGTGCCAAAACAGTGACTGAATTGCCACTAGAGGGCAGTAGAGAGGAGGAGGCACACTTGTTTGTGCTGAAAAGGCCAACTTTGTTAAACTCGGCCTCCTTGCCGATGAACAGAGAGCCTGGCCCTCTGAACTCATGCCGCGTGGAGATCCGGAGACTTACAAGCCTGCACACACCACAAGCTCCCAGTCAAGGTATCGGACAAATCACTCAATCACGCAGGACTAAGTACTTCGGCAGTGACAATTGAGCACTGCAGATGTAACAGCAGGGTCACATCTTAGCACGAAGGGCATTACCTGGCCATCTCAGCATCATTGACGACCACCACTGGCTGTGCACCTGAGAAGTACTGCACAGAAGCCAAAGCTGTCAGACAACATGACAAGGATGGCTTGATATTAGAGTATCAGCAGCAAGATGACAAAACACAGCTGCAGCAAGCATGAGTGCAGCCCACCTTGAACACCTTGCCATATTTCTCTCCCCATTCCGAGTACACAACAGCTGTTCCCTGCACGCCAGTGATATATTAGCGAGAGTAACAGGACCCCAAATCTCCAGTGCGCAAGAGCAGCACACATGGGGAGATACTACACCTTCGAGAGCAGCTCTGGAAGGCTCCCTTGGTACCAGGCCGGTGTGGGTCCTGGAATCTTCCGTAATCTCCACCTTGCAACTGGATGGAAGCCATATGCAATTGCCTGCCACACATGCATGAGTCAACGGCGGTCAGTAGGCAGGAACGCAGAACAATGTGCCACGATGCTAGCCCGCCTCTATACTTTATCTCCTTTACGGCGCAGCTCTAGTTGATAAGCAAAATTCTTCCAACCTCAATACATGCATTGCCAAGAAATGTGAAAGCAAGCGCTGACCCCAAGCGATCTCGACTTCAGGCGGCAGTACAGCGACAACAAAACTAAATCATTACCAGCCTGCGATGCTTACCGAGGCAACGAAGATGGCGATCCCGCTCAGAGAGGCAAGCACCCAAAGCGGCGCATCCGTGATGCCGCCGAGAGCCTCCATATAACGTGGTTCCCGTAGAAAAGGTGCAAGCACAATATGGAAGGAAGCGCTTGTCAGAGGAGCTAGACGGAGTACAGATCGATTAGCTGAACTCCTTTCACCAGCAGTTAGGATGGAAAGCCGTTTAAGAATGTGGGCCAGTCAGCGAGACGGTAACGAGAGAAGAACGTTCCTCAAACGAAGCCCTGCAACTCCCTTGGAAGCCAAGGGAACTTAAGGCCACAAAAGACTCCAGAATAGGCTCGAAATTCTTTCAAAAGACGAAAGTTTTCAAGCATTGCAGGAAAATGTGACCAATTTTAGGACCAGTATATGTACGCGCACGTCAAAGTCCTCGCAAACTCTACGTTCTAGATTCAGCAAGTTTCTCTTGGGCCCTGCTTGCATCGAACGTCTTGCCGAGTAATACTAGGCATATTTTCGACAGAGGTGGATGTCATTGAGCAGCCTTCGATGATATGAAAACAGTACGGATTGGCAAATTATATCTGAAGTGATCAGGGGTGAATGATGAGGTTTCTACAAGGCATTGAAAAATTATGCTTGAGAACAGCAGCAGCAGGATCAGTTTCTTGGGTCCTTGCTCACGTTGGCACAGACAATCAATCTTCGTCCGCATGCTTGCAATCCAGCACAACATCTGGCACTCGGGTACGCCTGGTGTGCGGCAATCTCTGCAAATTCATTGTAGCTTCTAAACGGCAATTGTATTTTTATGAAAGCACCTTTAGTTTCCTTTTCATGATGCTGGAGTCATGTGCGCAGGTGTGGAGTATTAGATTGCAGTCTTATCAATCAATTCACGCGCACGGGCGTGAAAAGCTTAGTCAAATAGCGGAGCAACACGGGAGCTGTGTACACCACTCCAGCAGCCAGGCAGCCATTATCAGCCCTTCAGATATGCACGCTTCACTCATCGGTCCTGCAATTTTTGCCATCCAGCAGCTGCTGTTCCAGCGAGCGCTGCAGCCGGTAGCTCTGTGCCTGAGCTCCTGGCAGCCCAACCACAGCGCCATGCCTGACGCCACCTTTGCTAGGCACGCCCCATGCCCGATCTCTGATCCCTCTTCATTCCAATCTGCTTGCTCTGCTGATTGCCTCCTGCTTGCTGCTGTGCTGCTCTCCCCCTTTTGAGCCCACAGGCTGAAGAATTCTGCATGTTCATCTCAATTGAATTCACAACTGATCAACGCAAGACTTGCTCATATCCGCACAGGAATCCAACAACCAGAACAGCTGCAACAAGGCAGTCTCGGGAGGCTGTGTCGCCCACCCTGCGAGCGAAGGACGTGGCGGTGGCGCACTCGGATGTGGTAGCGGACATCAGGAGGAAGCTGGAGGAGAGGGGGGTCTCCCTCCCTGCCAGCCATTTTGCTGATGTGGACGTGGAGCTGGCGCGCTATGCCATCACTGTGGGCCTGCTCTCTGCCCAGACTGCGGCCGACAGGTGCATTACTCTTGCTTCTTTTTGTATTTCTTGGCTGTGGTTTTGGTGAGCTAAAAAGTGAGTCAGGGAATTGGCATGCATCACATGGGCTACTTGCTTGATGACCTGGCATGCAGCTTCTTAGCCTGAAGATGGGAGTAACAAATTTGTGACACAACCTCTGTGACAGGGTGCATCTGCAGTAATATGCACCTTAATTGCTGATTAATGAGTCCCTTGCACTAACAGTGACAACCATTACAGGGCAAAGGTAGTGGAGGCAGCGGCTGCGCGCGCACAGGCCACAGCGGAGTGGCTGCTGTCGCACAGCTTCATGCCGGAGGAGCAGCTGGGCAAGTGGGCCAGTGTGGTGCGCAACCAGACTCTCTTTGGCACTGCAAAAAAGTAGAAAAGAATCCCCTCTCCCAAGCCCAAGCTGCGATGGGGCCACCGGTCTCCTCCGAGAGCTCCTGCTGATGCTCATCAGTGGCCTCATGTCCTCCTGATGTCTTCACAAGGAGCTCTCCTCAATCAAAGTGCTCCTAGCCAGCCTGTTCGATTGAGAACCTGCACGTCTTGTGTTCTTGAGCATATGAGCAAATCATCCGTCGATTTGTTTCTCGCAGGTGCACTGGTCAGATGATGATGCAGATGGGCACCCTGTGCTGGTGGTGCATCTGGAGGCGGCTCTGCAGCAGGACGCGGCCGGAGCGGCCAGCGCGGCGGAGGCCATCCTGTCCCACATGGAGGCCGCACTGCGCCGCCATTTCGATAACAACCCCAGCAGCCCTGAGCAGCTCGTTGTGGTGCTCGACTCTCGCGGCGCATCCACCCTTCAGGTGCGACAGCCAAGGGGCTGTAGATTTGGTGGGAGTAACAGAGAATGCAAGACTCAAGGCATCACGAGCGCCAGTGTAGGGGAAAGGGCTGCCTCAAACCGTAGACAGAGTGTTTTGTTGGGGATTATAGTCCCCTGGCAGTTGCGCATGGCTTGCCAAGCGTAAGGTGTTGCAATCACCGCATAAGTACAGGGCTGTTGGCTGAGAGCAAGGACCTGGTAGCTGTATTGACACATCAGCAGCATGACTCCAAGTTCTGTCATTCGATTGCGGCCGTAGGGAGTGGCTGTAGGTGCGCCATTGGCAAAGGAAGCTTGTAGCCTTGAAGGGTTCCAAAGTGGGGCGGTGAGAGACATGCCTCATGCCATGTTTGTGCGTGTGCAGTTTCGGCGGCTGGTACGCACCATCCAGAGCATCGCTGTGACGCTGAACCGGCATTACCCGGCGCGCCTGCACCGACTCTACCTAGTGAATGCACCCGTCATCGTCCACCTGCCTGTTCGGGTGAGTCTAGTGCCGTATTCTTTCTGTACAGGAGCACTGACCTGATTGCAGGTAGCATGCGTTTAGATGCCCCACTGCAATGGCCCAACTCTCACAATTGCGTTGGTTTTATTTCTGACAGCGCCTGGTCAAATTTGCGGCGTGTCATGTCCTTTGCACATCAGCAATGCACCTGAATTTATCAAGGTGGGTTCAGCATGTTGGGTGTTATGATGCTCGGTGGTCGGCAGTGCTGATGCCAAGATTCTGTGCAGGCCATCAAGGCTCTGCTGCACCCGTCCACTTCATCCAAGATCATTATTTGCGACCTTGAGGATCCGCGGCTGCCTGTAGACCTGGACTACGATTCAGCTTCTAGTATCCACCAGACAGCCGAGGCAGCACCACCGTGAGGAGAATTATATGATGTCCTTGAGGGCGCCCCAGTTGCCTTAGGAACACTCGAATACACTGGAACGACGTGTACTGATATGCTGCAAATGGAAGTCTGGATAGCCAGTCAAGGGCTAGAATAAAGATGTTTATTTTCAATATAACAGAGAACGGTGCTTAGAAAAGCGAAATCCAGGTTCGAGTTCTCACATGTGGATGTAGAGAGAATGAAGAACTCTGTAAAGAAACAAAGAAATAGCACGATGCGTGTTTTAGCCTAAATTAACAGTCTGTTTAATGTTGTGATACTACAGCTCAATTTATTGGTGTACGTTTGTAGATGCGCTGCTGTCGTTGGACAAGCACGCCGTCTCGGAACCCTGACTAACTCCGTATTCTGCGGCAGTGCCTCATGAAATTTGGACCATCGATGTTCACAAAGCAAGAAGGATACAAAAGTATCGCTGAATCACTTCTGACGCGCAATTCCTTGCAGTTGGTAACCCTGCTAACACCTCCCTTGCAGATCGAGGATGCATCAGCCTGACGTCCGATTCGCATCCTGGATCAAAAGTACATCAAAGTATGACTCCACCCGCGATTGGAAATTCGGACCAAGACGGGGCTTAAGTACTGGGGATCAACGCTGATGAGCAATCAACCGAAGAATTCACGACCCGTTACTCACCAGTCAGCCGATCGATGACGTCGAGCTGCGCTTGATGATGCGGCGGGGGCGCTCCAAGGCAACAACCTGTTCCGAAACAACAGCACTCGTTCCGTCGTCTGCCTTCCTCGCGTCGCTGCTTACTCATCTAACAGCGTTCCAAGGATCTTGAAACGACTGCAGAGCAGCGTCAGAAGGAGCAAGAGCCTAAGGCAGCTGCAGCGTTCGCTCGACAGCCCAACAGAACAGACGGCGTCCGCCGGGAAGCAGAAACAGCAAGCACACAAGGAGGCGGACAATTGTGCATGAGCAGTAGATAAGAAGCAGCCCCGAACAGGGGAATGGGACTCCGCACGAGCCTTTGGGCTCTTGGACTTCTAGCAGCAATCTCGACAGCCGTAGGTGCGGAGCATCTCCAGCAACAGACAGGGAAAGTTTGATCTAGGAAACGCCTCAATCCTGTTTGATACCACTACTTGATCCGGTAGTAGAGGCTGGGGAGCGTGAGAGGCGCGCATCAGGCAGGTCCATTAACAGTCACCGGCACATGTGCTCTCGACCGGGACGCGGCCAGAGAAAAGCGCACCGTTGTTAGCCATGGCTTGTCTTCGCGCGATCGGGAGCCAAGGAAGTTCATTGGAATCCGTTTTGGAGTCCAGCGGGCAGTGTCACAGCCTTGCAGCCTGCTTTTCGATGCGCTTCCTGCCCTAGCAACGGTCGTGCCTAGTGATCTCCCGGGCGAGGGAGCGCGTTCAGGGCGCTGCGGCCATCTTAGGCGGGGCAACAGGTGTTCTTAAGCATTGCTTAGGTCAATAGAGGGCGCGTGAGTGGATGTGGTAGCACTGCGAGACGCAGACAGCGACACTGATCACTAGTTCAACTGACATTACAGGATATATTTTCACCACTTTGTTGTTTTGCTCTTGCAAGCACTGCGGTGGGTTTTGCTACAGCTGAATTGACTTGAACCAGCAATCTCACGTCCCCTGGATGCTGTACTGCAGGAACTCAGACACAGCTCTGTGCGCCGTGCCAAACATCAGCAGATTGTGGCCCGCTTGGGGCACACACAGAGCTTCCAGATGTACTAGGCGGCCTTCCCAAGGGCCACATCCTGTCAGCGCACTACCCCACAGTCTGCCACCACCGGTCCTGCGTGCCCCTGCAAGTCCCCAGCAAGGATGGCTTCTGCAGAGCGCTCAGGGAAGCGCAGGCCAGCACCCAGCACAAAACCCACCTTGAGCAGCAGCAGCAGCCAGCCTTCTCTCTGAGCGGCTTTGCGCAGAAGCTCTACCGGCCGGTCGCCGGTCACCTCTCCAGCAAGTCACAGCAGAAGACCGTCCCCCGCAGGCAGCTGTCAGACAGGCAGCAGCGCGTGTTCTACGCCCCGGCCCCGGCCCCGGCCTACTACAGCCAGCAGCAGCAGGGCGCCAGCGCGCAGCCACAGGGCGCAGTCAGCTCTCGGGCCGGCACCAGCGGCTCGGCCAGCGGCGCGGCCGGCCTCGTCGGAGGCGGCCAGCTGTCGCAGAACGTGGCCGGAAACGGCGCTCGATTCGGCTCGCAGGGGTACCAGCAGTACAACCCCGCCTCGCCCCAGCGGCTGAGCTCGCAGGAGGCCACCCAAACTGCCGCCAACCCCTCCCTGGTCGACGCCGACGCCAGCGCTGACGTGGCATCCAACGCCCAGCAGCAGCTGAGGACCGCCCCCGCCGCCCCGGCCGCCGCCACAAGGTGCGCGCCCCTAGCAACTCACCGATCAAAGTTCCTTCCTGCTTGGCTGCAATCACATGGTTGTGTTGTTTCGTTCACAGCGTCATGCACTTAATCTGCTGGAGGAGTTCTTGTGGGTATGACATGTGGCACAGCTTTGCTGAGCAATATGATGGCTGCTGTGCAGGCCCGGCAACCCCTTCGGCCCTGGCCAGAACCAGACGCAGGCATCCCCGCCCAAGTCCACCCAGGCGCAAGGTACATCTCTCTGCAGCTGTTTCAACTGCTTTCTTCCTGTATTTCTTGTCCTGCGGTGTCCAAGCGAGGAAAAATGGCCTACAGTTCTCAGATCAAAGGATGACCTGCTTCATGGCCCGCAGGTAATGGAAGCCCCAGCCCCAGTGGCAACAGCGGCAAGTCCGCCACCGGCACTGTCTCTAACGCAGCGTCCGGACAGCAGCAGCAGCAGGGCGTTGTGACCTCCACAGGGAACACCCCCGCAGCCCAGCAGCAGCAGCAGCAGCAGCCGGCAGGCGGCTACACCGCGCCCAATGGCGGCAACCCCACAGCAGCCAGCGGCTTCATTCCAGGCGCAGCCTCTGGCAGCAGCACCAACTCGGGCAGCGCCCCTGTCAACGCCGCCAGCACAAACGCTGGCAGCGGCCGCGGAGGCAGCAGCATGGCGGCTCCGCCGCTTCCGCCGCCCCCAACAAACTACACCGAGACGGTGAACAACCAGGCTGGCGTGGCCGACCTCGGCGCGGCCGGCGGCGCCACCGGCGGCCAGCTGATCGATGTTGGCTACGGCGGCGGCGGTGCTGGCGGCGGCGGCAGCGGTGCTACCACCGCCACCACCGCCACCACCGGTGGATCCCCCGGGTTCCCCGGTGCGGCCGGCACGCCCGCAAACGCAGGCACCTCTGGATCCACCTCCCCCAACGCAGGGAACGCTGCGACTGGATCCACAGGAAGCACGCCGTCAAACAGCGGCACCCCTGCCACCGGAGCCGCCGGCGGGACTAACCTAGGTGGGCGTTGCTTTCGCTTTCTCACCCTCGCGCCGATTGCCTGTGAGATGCATGCTCTGACATCTGTGACTAGGTGCTTGAGTGTTATTCGTGTGCCTTTCTTGGCTTTGGAAGGGTGATCTGACAAGGCTGCTGTGCTGCAGGTACCTCAAAGGAGGCCACCAACTCTGGTGTGGCCAGCGGAAGCAGCAACCCCACCGCTGCGGCAACCATCAGCGTTCCAGGCCCAGGCCAGGCAAACACCCTCAGCGGTGGAGGTCCGACTGCTGCTCAGGGCAGCCTCCCTGCAGGTGCTGCCCCTCTCTACTCCGCTGCAGTGCTGGCCCCTGAGAGCACAGAGCATTTGCAAGAGAAGCCCTTATTGCTTGCCCTGGTAACTTTCAGTTGAGTTGCCGAGCCTTGATTGGTGCTTGAAAGGAAACATCGTTGAGTCAATGCTAATGCGCTTTTGAATGTGCACAGGTGCGACTTCAGGCGCTGCTGGCACACCCGCTGCATCCACCCAGGGATCCGCCTCAGGCACACCTTCTGGCGCGACTCCGGGTGCAACCACTTCCACACCCGCCGCCCCTGTCACAGGCGCTGCCACCACTGCTGGTGCGATTCTAACACTCTTATGCATCACCCTTGCGCTATAAGCAGCACCTGAGTCCATCAGAGGATGTGCTGCAAGGTGCAGCTGGCAAGACTCGCTCAAGTCTGTCTGGAGCAAGATGGACTTGGCTGACTGATGTGGTCATTTCAATCTGCAGGCGCCCCCGGAGCCAACACCTTTGTCCTTCCTCCAGGCGCAGTCTTCACGCCTGGTGAGCCTGCAGCCCTACAGCCAATTTCTCCCTGTTTGCTATTCTCTGCATCCATCCTGAGAGCTTTTTGCATGACCTGTGGCTTGGGACTGCATTCATCTGCATCTGTCCTCAGTACTCTGTGCATGAGCTGTCGCAGTGGGCGTGTTCTGCTTTTGAGTATTTTCAGGGGCTCATTTTATGTCTGCCCGCGCTGTGCATGAGCTGTCGAATTGGCTCTGCTGTGCATAATCCAGTGGCTCATTTTCTGGTCTGCATGCGCAGGTGTGAACGGTGCTCCTCCCAGTGTCACCCTCCCGGGCGGCAGCAACAACGGCAACGGAAATGGCAATGCCAACACAGGGTCCACCAACGGCAATGTGAACGGCAACGCCAACACAAACTCTGGCAACGGCAACGTCAATGGAAACGTCAACACCGGCTCTGGCTCTGGCAATGTCAATGGCAATGCCAACACCAACACCCCTGTTAATGCCCCTGACGGTGCGTATCTGCCTGTCTTCTCCCTTGTACTTGCCCCTGAAGATTGCCCTTATAATACCTGCTGTTCTCTTCCGGACTGACATTCTCCTTGGGCTTCACAGTCTTGGCAATTCCAGTGCTGCCCTTCAGAGTGCCTTATCTGTTACAGTGTGGTAAGATTGTCAAAATCTCTGCAACATATGCTGACGGGCTATACATCTGCGCGTGCAGGCAGCAGCTTGGTCCCCTCAGAGGACCCCACAGCCCCCGAGGGAGTGGCCACGGGCGACAGCACAACCAGTGTTATCAGCAACGCCCCGGTGATACCGAGTGGCGGAAGCGGCAATGGCAATGTCGGCGGCGGCAATGGCAACTACAACGGCAACTTCAACCTCGGGTCCGGCAACGGCAATGTCAATGGCAACGCCAACACTGGCAGCAGCAACGGCAACACAAACGGCAATGCCAACACCGGCAGTGGTAATGGAAATACAAACGGCAATGGCAACCAGGGCGGTGTCCCGGTGACCTTTGCCGCCCCCGGCACGCCAAATGGCCCCCCTGCCGCGACCACCCCACCCGCTGACGCTGGCACCAACCCTGCAACCGGCGCCACCCCCGGCACTCCAGGTAGCCTTCCCTATTGATCCCCAGCCTTTCAACCCTGCATCACTCGAATTTCACGGCCTTCCAGAGCATGATGCCTTCTGTAGATCTTGTTTAAGCAGGCCACAAGTGTATGCGTAGCAGCAAGCAAGTGCTGACCAACGCACGGCTTATCTTGCAGGTGCAGACGGCCTCACAGCCACGCCCGGAGCGGCAGACGTGGTGCCCAACAACGCGACAGACGTCAACGGCGGCGGTGCCGGCCCAGCCGGCGGCGGCGGCCTGATCCAGGTCGGCGGCCTCGGCGTCGGAGGCGGCGGCGGCGGCGGTGGCGGCAGCAGCGGCGGCAGCAGCAACAGCGGTGCCGGGGGGGTATTCCCCGGCAGCGGCGGGACGACTACTACCACTACGGGCTCCAGCAGCGGGGGGTCCTCCGGCAGCGGGGGGGCCGGTACCGGCAACGCCGGCACCGGTGGGGCGTCCACCCCCACTACCCCCAGCACCCCCTCCACCCCCAGCACCCCCGGCAGCGGCAGCGGCGGCGGAATCTCCACAGGTGGTGGCGACACATTTGGCAACCAGGCCGGCCAGAACCAGCAGAATCAGAACCTGGGCAACTACAATGACAAGTACGGCGGCGGCCCAACAGTCGCATCTGGCGCGCTCACAGCTGAGGCGCCCAGCGGAGCCATCAATTCCGTCGGCTTTGGCAGCACCAACCCCAGCACAACCGCCGCCACCACAGGGGCGGCCGCAACAAACACAGCTGGTGAGCAACAGCTCCTTTTCTAAGTGCTTATTAGTCACCTAATTACACCTTGCACCCTGCACTAACAATTGCAGTGCCCTGCGATGAAGACATGCCAGTTGCCACGCAACTCCCCTGCCCCATTCCGGCCTGCAGAGGTGTTTACAAACAAGCGAGTGTTCTGTGATCAATATGCTGACGAGGGTGTGTGTGATGCGCAGCGGTGAACACATTGCAGTACAGCAACGGCTATGTGAGCTTCAAGGCGCAGCCAGACAATGTCATCCCCCACACCCACAACGCTGCTCAGTGCGCGCAGCTCTGCAATCGCGACTCCAGCTGCGTCGCCTGGACGCGTGTTGCCGGTGCGCATTCGCTGAGCCCCTTCGCAGACTCAAACTTGAATTCAAATCTATGCTTGGAAGCTTGAACTCGCATGCTGCGCCAGCCCTGCCTCATGCATTGAGCTGGGAAACATTGATCCTGCATTCTCAACATTCCAGTGTTTGTGCAATGGCATCTTGTGTAGCTGCGAGCAAGGGTGCTGAGAGCGTATCATCAATGCTGTGCAGGCGGGTCCAAGGACGTGCAGAACTGCTACCTGAAGAACAGCCTGACGGCTGACACGCCCAGCAGCAGCCAAGGCTCCACGATACTGAGCCAGGCGACGGGACAGGTGGCATACCAGCAGCCCACCACCTCCAACCGCCAGATACTCGAGTCAGGGACTAAGGATGCCAAGGCGCTGCCGGCATCACTCTATGGATGCCCGTACCCGGCAAGCTCAGGGGGAGAGTGCAAGCCTCCTCCCTCCTGCAACTGCTACCAGGGAGCATGCTACGGATCATGTTAATCCCCCGGGGGTTCCAGGCGCCGGTGACCCCCAGAGTATGGAAATTCTGGTGGCTTTCTTTTTAGTAGTCCCTTTTGCAGTAGTGTGAACACGCGCCGAGTCTCCGGCGCCCCGGGGGGCCCGATGAGTCAGCAGCAGCCAGACATGTGGTTAGTCACCGAAGGCAATTGCTTGCCAGCTGGTGTGCTGCGCTGAGATTTTGTCACTCTGGCACCCCGGCGTTCGTCGATTTGGCCTTCCATTGTTCTACCAAAAGTATATCGATTTGCCCCTTCCCGCTGTTGCAGCACCACTGCACATCGCAGTGTCACCTCCCTTCCAAAGGGGTTGGCTGTTTGGCCCAATAATTTGATGATGGGATGTTTGAGGGGTGCCGCGGTCGTGAAGGCATTGTGGCATGTTTGCTTTTAGAACAGCACCTTTTTGGGAATGCACGATGCCTTCATGCCCCGCCTGATTTGGCACGGTGCGGCAGGCAATCACTGATTGCTCTCTGCAGCATGGGTCGTGTCAACAGGAAACCTCGACACCTGGAGGGGAATAAGAAGCAGCGACACTAGTCGGTCTGAAGAGAGTTTATTGACGGTCTTGAACGGCAGCAAGTGGTTTGGTTGCACTGAAACCTGCTGTAGCATGTGCAGGCCTAAAGTGCCCCCCCATTATTTTTACGTGGGTGAGATTAGGAAATGCTCATCTGCCTTCTGCGAGCAAGTGCACGCTGACTCATCAGTGCAATGCTGCGGGTGTTGAGCATCTCACACCATTTGCAATAGAGCGCTCTCCACAGCAGGTTTCTGCAGAAAATCTCAGCGTCTGGGCAAAATTGCCCAGATGCTGAACAAGATGAAGGGGTAGCTGAGCATATGTACTGGAGCGGGACATAGCTTGTTTATTATTTAGGGGAATCGTGCATATGAGACCCAGCAGAAATTGATTTGTAACAAATACCACCAGACCATCCAGGCAATATTGACATGCTCCTGCTCCTGCACATTATATCACTCAAGCTGTCTTTTTTTGCAATGCAATCAATAATTTCACTCTATCATGCGCATGCGGTGGCCATGAACTCCATGGAACTCGATTGAAAACACTTCTCCTTGCAAGGGCCTCCGAGGTGAGTCACCTGATCTGACCTCTTCCATGCATGCAGAAAAAAAAGGTGTGCAATCAAGAAAAGCAGCTGCACCCTTAACATTTTCTCAATCTTTCTCAAGCGGTCTCTTGCTAAGGAAGGAAAGTAGGAGAGCATTCAGTCAGTCAGTCGGTTACATCAGATGATCTATTCCAGCCACCGTCTGACTCTGATCGTCAGAGTCAGCGCCCAGCATCACATCCAAACATTCTGACACAAATTTGGTAACCCCAATCAAGTCAGCCTGCTAGGAGAACTGCAACATAGTAGGATACTGAAAAAGAGCATTGCATGTAATGGATGATGCCTAGGCCTGGACAGCTTCTCATCCCTGAGCAGCTTCCTCTGCATCATGGATGACGCAACAAAGGATGAGCTCAGCCCTTTCGCAACATAAACTTCAGCTCACTCGCTTCTTGCATCAACTACTTACTGCATCTTACTGTCTTAAAGAAAAACTCGTAAGGCTACAGTGCCAACGCACATTCATCGCACGCTTGTAAAGTCTGCGAGACGAGGTTACGATGCTCGACTTCGAGTCTGCCCCAAGTTGGGCCTCGGCGTGCCTATGGATCCTCGGTCTTCTTACATTCTCGGTTAGTCTTTCGATCACACGCTAGCCATTTGATCGACACTGCATGCCGCTTGCACTTATGCCGTTGCATGCCGTGCTGGATCGAATATCTTGCAGGAAACCTGCGTGCTTTTTGGCGTGTGGCGGGTTTTATGTCACGACTTGTCATTTAATAGAAGTCTCTATAGAGCCGAGGATGGTTGAGCAGATTTGCTTTAATCTGTTTTTTCGTTCACGGTGACCTTGTCACACAGGTGTTCCTCTACGGTTGGCACCCCGTGGCATGGTGGAGACTAAGGAGAATTCCTGGTGAGTGTTTCGTCCCATGTATCAATCGTGATGAGCAATGGACACTGTGAGCAAGCATAGAGCCCGTTCCCATCCTCTTGAGCCAGACGTCACCTTTGCCTTGGTTGTTCAGGACCCAGAGGGAGATGGATGTTGGGGAATCTACCAGAAATCATCCCATCGGCAAGTGCCTTCCTTGTTTACTTGCTTTGATCAAGCACTTGCTCGACATGTCACATTCAGGCATATACTGCTCCCAGTCTATTCTCTGGAAGCGCAGCTGCTTCAATAGTGTGATCTCTTTACTTTCCACAGGGTCTTCATGAGGTTTATTCGAAATGGGGCAAGGAATATGGGAAAGTGTTCAAGGTGACATGCTGGCCCCCAGTCTCAGAACAAATACAACAGCTGCCGCAGTGAAGCGTTCGTGGCACTGTAGTTTGTGCAACAATCATAAGCACTGTTCAAGCAAGCTTCAAAAAGCTGGTGATCTGACATTGCCTGTTTGCATGGTCCAGTATTTCGCCGGCGCGCAGCCTGTGGTGGTGATCAATGATGCTGAGATGGCCAGGTAAGGTCAAATCTGTGCTCCTTTCATGCCCCTTGAGCACTTGACAAAACGATGCTGACCTCGACTGCAATATTGCTGTGTGGACGATCTGCCATTTGCAGCTGACTAACAGCGCTTGGACCTTGTGAAATAAGTGGAGCTCATTTTACCTGCAGGCTTGTGAGCCTGAGGCTGTCTACAAGGCCTCAAGCAAGGAATCCAGCCACGCTGATGCCACCCAAGGAGGCTGCTTTCCAGAAAAATGGGCTCTTCAGCACAAATGAGTGAGTTCCTCACAGCTAGCTGAACCTCCATTTGAATGCGATGCGCTTTACGGCCCCTTATGACATGGTCATTCAATCTGCTGTACTTTGAAACCTTGCTGACAGCTGGGGTTGTGCAATTTGCAGCAAGGACTATCATCGGAGCATGAAGCACGCGTGGCTGCCAGTCTTCAACAGTGCCAGGTATACAGAAGCCTGATTAGATCAACGAAAGGATTAAACTTTCCAGATTTCATAGGTGCTGCTTTTGTATCCGTCAAAAATTGACGTGCAAGCATCGTTGTTCATGTGCAGTCTGGAGATCTCCTCTAAGGAGATGAACATTGGAGCAGAGCGTCTGGCGGCGACCCTGGCCAAGTTTGCCAAGCAGGGAAAAGAGGTCAACATCTGGAGGCAATTCGGTGATGACCCTGCTCGTCTCTCCTCTATCTTGTGGCATCAGGAAGACATTTGTGACAAGCTTTGCTGGCCATGCTGTGCAAGAAGTTACACTTTGTGATTTTGTTTCTGCCTCTGATGGTCTTTTGCTGGTTGGTACAGGCTACATGACAATGGATGTGGTGGGAACAACTGCATTTGGGTAAGCACAGCTTTCTCTTCCGTAATAGTGAAGGGGTCGTGCCCTGCAAATCGCCATGGCTGATTCTCTGGTGTGCATTGGCTCATCTTGAGATTTTTACGTTGAGGACTTCAGGCCGTAAGAGCAGGAAACAATCACATCACTAGGAGAATTGTTGCTGTTGGCTGCAGGGTGGAGCTGCGAACACAGGAGGGTGAGAAGGGTCTAAATTCTGAGGAGGCGGAGCGACTGGTGTGGGCCGCGCAGTCCATCTTTGCAACAAGCTGTGAGCCCCCACATTTTCCCTTTTCTTGACCATCGCTGCATTGCTCTTCCTGCTGGGTGTTAATTTCTTTGCATGGATCTCACTTGCGGTGAATAGGGGACCATTCAGCCTTGTTCCTTTCAGTGAGCTCGGCCCTTTACCATGGAGTTCATCACCTCCTCTGTCAGCATGAAGCATTGCACTTGTGAAGAGCAGCAAAGCAAAGCAAGGTGAAGTGCAGCGATGAAACCTGTTGTTGATGACTGGTGCATGTGCTGCAGCTGTGAAGGCGTCGATCTACACGCAGCCAGGAGCCATCATGCCCTTTTTGGACCCCTTGATGAGAGTGCTGGCGCGTCATTTCCCCGACGCCGGCCTCAAAACCGTGAGCCTTCCTGCTAAGTCCGGTCGAAACATGTTCTCCAGAAAGCTTCTCAAATTTAGGCCTCTGGCAATGGCATGCCTCGAGCCCCTGCTTGTCATGCATTTGACGCCTGCTGCTTGGAAGCCTGTGCCGTTCTTTTCATCTTGGCAAGATGACACAGATCAGTTGTGTCTGGGAAATTCTGAGATCCAGTGATCTCCAGAGACACAACTGCCATAAGAATGCTGTTCATGAGCTCAACGAGTGCCACAATGTGGTGCAGGCGATAAAGGCACGACACATTCTGCGCGACACGGTGGCGGATCTTGTCAGGGAGACACGGCAGCGTGAGGCAGCAGGTGCGACAAGTTCTCAAACGCTTTCCTCCATCTTGACCCCTCCTCACACACTGCCAATTACACGATCCTGACACCCCATGGAAATTGGTGCCTGAGCACGGACATGCGCAGTGTTTCTGCTCTGTTTTCTGAGTCCCATCCCTTCAATTCCATCAGGGCAATGCATGGTGCCTGCTCGCCCCTCCCTTTGTTCGCAAGCCATGTGTGATAGCGCCCATGCCTGCGTAGAAGCTTCCTTCATGCTGCAGTTCTGAGACCATGCGACTCTCTGTGCCAGGTGCAACCGCCGCTGCAAAAATCACGGCGGAGCCGGGGGCGGCGCCGGCGGCGGGAGAGGCGCGGAAGAAGGCGAGGGGTGTGCAGCCGGGCTCCTTCCTCAACCTCATGATCAACAGCAAGCACGAGAGCAGCGGCCGCGCCGTGACTAACGATGAGGCCACCGCGCAGGCCTTCACCTTCCTCCTGGCAGGCTACGAGACCACGGTGAGGATTCTGCCCTCCTCTGAACTCCATCCTTCTGCCCAGCTTGTGCAGTATTCTCAAATACACATGCATGGTACCTGCTCTCATTTGAAAATTTTTGTTTGACTGGGATTCTGGGTGACACAACTTGATGTGGAGCAGCAGGGTTGCTCCTGAATTGGAAGAGCAAGTGCATGTGAAGGTCTTAGTACAGTCTCACGTCGTGTGATCATGGGTGCAGGCGTCTGCGCTGGCATTCACCATCTACACACTGGCCAAGCACCCGGAGAAGACCGAAAAGCTCATACAGGTCCGCTCCAGGCAGCACCATCCACGCATACACCCCTGTCATGTACACCACAGCTTGTTGTGTCAAACCCCAGGCACACTTTGTTACAGAGAATTGCACATGCACATTGTTGCTGAGTCAGCATGGGACCCCACTTCCTGTTACCCTGCTCTCTGCACTCCTTGATATTTCCATGGGACAGAAAACCTTTACTGAGGGCTCCTGCATGCTGGGATCCACCGCATGTGTCCTGCGCAGCATCCAGTTCGCCTGGACATTGTCACTGAGAGGTACATCTGTGCTGAGAGCTTTGCATTGAACAAACTGCACCGCAGGAGATTGATAGCATTGGTAGGAGCGCTGCTATAGGACCGGCTGAATTGGCGCGCATGCCTTACCTGGACGCATGCCTGAAGGAGTCCATGCGACTGTACCCGCCCGGCCACATCACCCCGCGCCAGCCGGTCACCGAGGACTTCACAGTCAAGGGCTACATCATTCCCAAGGGCACCTGGATCCACGTGCGCATAACCTAACACCAGCTGTTCATAATTCCTCTTTAAAAACTAGATTGCTGTCTCACCAACAGTGGCACCGGACAATGCCCATCGGAGGAGCTCCCCCGCAATCGCCGACATCAAATCTTCGGGCTTTGTCCCCATTTGGCCCTGCATTGCAAGGCAATGCACACTTCACATCATGTGTCGCCTTCATGTGCGCTTGCGATGCCAGGGAGTACTGAAGACTACCAAAGGGGGTAGCAATTACTATCCCCTGGTGATATACTATGGCGGCTCTTGCCACCTTGTCTGGCAGACAGCTGCAGACCGGGGCATCGATGTGCTTTGTCAGGGCACTGTCACTTAGCTGCATGCAGACATCAAGCATTCTAATGTGCCCGCTTTGGGCTGTTCTGGGAACTGGTATTAGCGTGACCTGTGCCTCACATTAGTGCATTGATGAATTGACGAAGAGGTGTCTGTGCAGATGCCCATCTTCAGCCTGCAGCGCAGTGAGGAGTACTATGGGCGGCCGCTGGAGTTCATCCCGGAGAGATGGGTGGAGGGAGCGCCAGAGGAGACCGCGCTCAACAGGAAGGTGCCCGGCAGCTGGATGGCCTTTGGGGAGGGCACGCGCTCGTGTGTCGGGCAGCGATTCGCCCTTCAGGAGGCCAAGATCACACTCGCTCGCCTATTCCAGAGGTGTGCATGGTTTCTTTCGTCTGGATGTTTGACTGTGCACTGCAGGAGCACAACTGTCTATATAGGACAGCAACTACATACATGCGATGTTGTGATGCAATCACTCGGTGACGAAATTTGCTGTCAGATCAAGGAGCATGCTTAAAGGATGGCGGAGCGGTGCAGTGAGGTTGAACGATAAGAGCCAAAGTGCTGGACTCAGATTGCATGTGTGCGTGCGCAGGTTCACATTCAAGCTGTCGCCAGGGCAGGAGGACGAGGCGGGGCTGCAGCTGCAGAGCTTCTTCACGCTGGGGCCCAAGGAGGGCATCTTTGTTACCCCTGTCCTGCGCACCGAGGAGTGAGAGTTTTCCATGTGGAACGCCCTGGGACACAAGCAACCCAGTGGCATGCGATTCAGAGCAAAGGAAGACCTCACTGTATAGTAGACGTAGAGTTGGGCCGGCATTCTTCTGCCACCGTGAGTTCAGATGTTCTATTCAGGTTTAATGCTGCTCTGTCGGGCAGTACAGGCATCTTGTTCTGTGGGTTCAGTAGGCTACGTAATTCACTTTGTTGCATCCTTGTGGCTATGTTGCCTTGCTGCCATGGCAGATGGCGCCAGGCGGGAAGATATGCAGGCTACAACATTCATTTACTAACGCATGTAGGCAGCTATTCAACGTTGGGATTGCTTTCACCAATGGTTCGCGGTGATGGACATGTGTTCTACAGGTCAATTGAATTGCCAGTGTACTGAAGAAGAGATTACAAGTTGTCCAGTCACACCTTCTGGCCAGATATTATGATCTGCCCAACGGACAGATGTCTGACTGTCTACTTAATAACACTCAGTGAGTGGGAGTTATTTCTAAGGGACTCGTTAACCAAGTGTTGTGAAAGACCCAGGAAGGGGTATGTGTTGTGCATCGGGATTGCAAGTTTCAATAACGTAGAATGTAAAGGTCAGCTTTCCCCTGCACTCACAAGTGGCGCATAAGAGCGCTCGCTAGCATACCTCGACAGTCTACAAGGATCGATGCATACTAAATAAGGCTCCGCTGAGAGAGGTTTGGGCACCATTATCAAAGTCATGGCACACTCAGTTGCGCACCAAATGGACTCCAAATCTCTGCTTCAGAGAATGCCTGTCTTGATAGTATGCTTGTCACTTTGCTTGCAGCTCTGCACCTTGACCCAATTTTTTATTGCTTCATCAAACTTCAAACCAACCAGTGGCAAGTCATTTGCTGCTGCAATCGCCACGTTTGCAATGCCAAACAAAGATTGAAAAACTGTCGTGGTGAAGAGTATCCCACATAACTAACACATGCTGCTCGCTCTCTCTGCGCTGCTGTCAACACATGCTTGCCACTTGCCTCTCTGATTCTTTGCAGAGGTGGCCTGCAGAGGTGACTGCGTCGCATTTCCGAGAGGGAGTGCAACAAAGAATGCTTGAGCGGGCACCCCTTGCATGAAGCCCCAACACAATGGAATCTTATTTCCCCCAAGCCTGCAAATGAATCTGAAAAGTGAGCTGGGCGGCTCTCCTCGTGAGCCTATGTGAGAGCCTGCGCTCACGGCTCAACAGCTGCAGCAACCCCAAACAACACCTCCATACAATTCTCCCTTGACACTAATTTACCCCTTGCTTGGGTTGTTACCGCACTTTGCCACCTAGGTTCTTGACTTGTTTCTAGATTCTTGTCTCAAATACGATTTCAAGTTTTTTTTCAAATGATCAGTCCACGGTTGTGCGCCAGGTGTCCAGCTCCATGACTCTGGGAGTCGGCAGGAAGCCGGACCGTGCACTGCGCAGCGCCGTCCCCTTCTGCTTTGAGTTGATATCTGTGTTGAACGGCACCTGCATGCAAACAGGTTGCAGACTTTACCATGCTGTTTATTGTGCACAACTCCTAGCACATGGCAGCGACAGCTCTTTCGCATGATTCAGGAGGTAACAAACCCCTGTCACTGACAGTGACCCCTGACACTGCCATCAAGTCAGCCAAGGACCGTCACTGAGCTAGGTGCACTTGCCAGAGAAGCAGGGATGAGCCAGCTAACCAAGGGCAGTGGCCGGCAGGCTTCCTGGCACCAGCTTGAGTGCCAAACAAGTCAGCCCCATTTCACTCATGTGCATGTAACTCCAGTTAACTCTATTGAACCGATCAACTCCTCCCAAAAATGGGGAAATAATACAGCCAGAGAAGAAACCCTAAATATAGAAAGAGAAGAAGAAGAATAGGTGCGCGCCTGCAGCTCGGTCTGGAGACTGGCGCTGCACTTGGCGATGATGGCGTAGCCGCCGTAGGGGGTTCCCTCCCTCTGGCGCCCCAGCAGCGCCGCAGTCGCGCGCTCACCCTCCCCGGCCGTCTCTATCAGCATGCGCCCATTCCTGCCCGCCAGCTGCAAGATAGCCAGAACACCCACGTCAGCTTTAGCACAAGGAAGGGGTGCAGGTGACGGTATTTCTGCCCATGTCCTCTCTTTTACTACTCAAATGACCGTGGTGACCCTTTGACCGAGCCAGGCCTGCCTTTTGCACAAATCTGATATACATGCTGTAATAGGTAACCCCACCTAGAGGTCATCTGATTACTAAAGGCCAGACAAGTACAAGGCATTTCTGATGTGTGCCACTGCTTTTGATCACCCCTGATCCTCAGCCTTCAGCAAGGAGCTCCAGATCAAGTTGCATGGACATCATGACCCAGACAAGCATGTCAAAGTAATTTCTTGAGCTGGCATCTGTGATGCAGGCTCAGACTACCTACACTCTGCTGTCCTTGGAAGGGGAGCATGGTTGAGGCTGCGCTGTCGGCAAGAAGTGTTTCGTGTTTACACTTGCACCTCCTGATCACACACCCCTGGCATCTGCAATTTCGATATACCTTATCAGGTGAGGAACCAATTCGTCATGAGGACAGTCAGTGGTGCAGAGTGATGTGGCGCACCCTGCAGAGCCAGGTACGGGCCTCGGGGTCGGCGGCGCTGATGTCAGCGAGCGCTGCGGCCGCCACGTCACGCGCTCGGTCATTGGCGCTCGCCAGCATGTCCACCAGTGGCCGTCCCGCGCTCTGCGCAGGAGCCCCCGGCAAGTCAGTGCATGCAAACAATCACCCTGTTTCTCATAAAGGCAGCCAGTTTTGAAGACTATTTAAGCGATTGGGCCACCATAGCAGCAATAGGGTGTGCTCATCAATGGAGGGTCTTTTGGTGCTCATGTTCTCCGCACCGTCCATCAAAAATCCGTGCATACAAGCAAGGGCGGAAACAAAGGGCCGACCCCGATTCTGAAAGTGATGTACACTGCAGCAGGGGTGAAAACAATTGCAAAAGGTAAGTACAAGGGGGAAAGGCAGGCAACAAACCTCGGCGAGCTGCCATGAGTCGGCGGTGGCGGTGGCGATGCCGCCCAGCGCGGCGGCGGCGGTGAGCTTGGCGGCGGCGAACTTGTAGCCGCGCATTAGGATCTCGTTCTTGCCGCGCTCGTACGACAGGCACTGCACCGGCCCCGTCACTGCCTCCAGCATCTGCGCACCAGCTCACTCTCAGCCATCCCCTCATACTGTTCCCAGGAATCACTAAAAGCGCCTCCTGAACCTGAAATCACTGTTATAAAGCAAGCACCATCATGATGCCGACCTCATTTAGGAATGCGGCATACTTTTCCTCTTACGCAAGGGCTCAACTCTGTCGATTTAGATCATGTGTCAGCGTCTCACTAGCCGTCGAAATGGGGATGATACTGTCCTTTTGTTCAATGGATTGTACAGGGGTATTGAAGACAGGGTTAGTATGTCAGCAAGCTGTAGGACGCATTTTTACAGGGGCGGTGAGGGCACACCCCGGGGGAGTGCTGGAGGTGCAGCAGCTCGAGGAGGGGCTGCGTGGCTCCCGACTCGGCAATAACGCGCGCCAACTGCTCATGGGCCGCCAGGCATGCCAACACATCCGCCGCTACGATGCGGCAGTACCTGCATCAGCCAAAAACTCAACGCTTTTGCTCGTGCTCCCTCCTTGTCAATACAGCTAACACCCCTGTTGTTTGGCAGCGGCCCAGCAGCGGTGCAGGCACACTCCACAATTTGTCAATCAGCGTGCCTCGCAGTCAACCGCAATACTAAACCCCATGAGGGCGAGGGCCTAGGCTCAAGCTCTAAAGGTCAGAGGGCGGGGAGCTCAGATGTAGAACGGCAATATTGCCATTCGCCTTTCTGAAAGTCAGCTGCCACATGCAATCTATTGATATTTGCGACATATGTCTTGCGTGACAGCTGCAAGCACAGCGGCCGCACCAGCTCTCTGCGGAGAGGAGGGCAACGAGCGGCTTGACGCCCCCGGCCGCGGCCACAGCAGCCTGCAGGGCCGGGCGCGCGGCGGCCATGTTGTAGAGCGCGGCCGCCGCCGCGTACTGGCCGTCCGCCTGCGCATGTTTCAACAGCGCCACCAGATCTGGCACCGCGCCTGAGTCCGCCACCTCCGCCTGCAATCACCCAGAGATTCTCTCGCCTCTGCATGCATGCCTGCCGCCCGTTGTATTTGGCACAACACTATCCTGCCATCACACGGAGCTCCTCTCGCCTTTGCTGGTAAAGAGCTGCATGACTGCGCCCGTCGACAATTTCAGAACACAATCCTGGCATCGCATGGTGCTGTTGGCAGTGGAGGTTGCTGTGCTGAGACATTCTTTTGATATGTTGGCTGAACGGAAAGGACCTTTCCATGGCGAAGGAAGACTGCCGTAGCTGTAGACACCATTCTCAACCTCGCTCAAGAGCGCTCCATCGGATGGGTTCAGTCGAAATCAATAAATCGAGAAATTTGGCGGCGTGACTTTGAGGTCCGCGACGTGCTTGCATGTGCTGCCATATCAAAGTGGTTAGAGCCCTGGTCCGCAGCTCTGGTGCGCACCAGAGGTGTTCCCGACTCCTGTGAGCTTGAGGATCAGCTGTATGGGCCAGCGTGGCTGAGGAAAAGTATGCTGTTGATCATTAGGGGTTGCGCAAACTCACCGCGATGGCGGCGTTGCCGAGGGTGAGGTTGCACATGGCGCCGGCGGCCAAGGATCGCAGCGGCAGGGGCCCACTTCGCAGCAGGCCCAGCAGGTGCGGCAGGCAGCCGCCCGAGGCGATGTCCTCGGCCGTGCGCGTTCCCTCCTCGGGGCAGAATGCCAGCGCCTGCAGCGCGCCGATGCACGCCGCCCTCTGCTGCACGTTGCCTGCCCAGCCACGGGTCACCACGGATCAGACAGAGGCACGATGGGTCACCCTCCGGCATGGCTCACCCTCCATCATGTAGAAACCAGGGCCTTTCTTTAGGTGTCCCATACTATTCTCATTATCAAGAACGTTTCGAACTTTTTTGTCCACAAAATGACAGGTTGAAGTCCACAGCAGGTCTCATTTCTAGTGCTCCAGCTTATTAAAGAGGTTACTGTGAAGTGGGTGCTCAACAGAGCAGTAATTGTATCAGTCGGGAAGGCGCTCGCCGCACCTGACACGAGGAGGTTTGTCAAGATCTTCACGGCCCCAGCTGCGACCAGGGCCGGGCGCAGGGCCTCGCTCTCCGCAGCCATCGCCTGCCAAGGCAACACCCAAAAGACTTTGAAGGCTTTGCAAAGATTGGCTGAGCAGGCCAAAGACAATGCAGCCTCCAGAGATGACAGATGGCAGCACCGCATTAGAGCCAAGCAAGCACAACCACTCTGTGCGTTCTCTCATCTTGGGACTGAGACCAGCTTGTAGCTTATACTTGTGCACGCAGCGTGACACCAAAGAATCTGGTTTCTCACCTTGCAAACGGATGAAAGCAGGCTTGATTAGACCAGGGCAAACACGGGACACAGGGGCGGCACCTGGAGCGCCTCGGCTGCGGCCTTCTTGCCGTGGCCACTGCCGTGCTGCATGATGCGCACGAGCAGCGCGATGCCGCCGCTGTCCGCCACCAGCTGCGCAGCCGCCGCGCTGCCCTCCACCGCCGCGGATATTGCTGACGCCAGGGCAAACGCCACACGCGGCTTGGCGCCCTACGGATTTGATGGCTTGACTATTTAGCTTTGATACCCGTCAGAGAAAGGATGAGAGGCACTTGAGCAACACCCTTTGGGAGCGAAGCAATTTAAGTGGGCGCAAAACCTCATGAAAAAGCTGAGAACGTGGTTTGTTTGCTGGTTCAATGTGAGAAAGTGTGTCACCTGCAGCGCCTGAACAAGGGCGGGCAGGCAGCTGCGGGCAGCGAACTTGTGCCCGGCGTCGCCGTCGAGCGCCAGGTGGCGCAGGATCCGCGCGGCGCTGTACTGCATCTGCGCCCCGTACTCGCAGGTGCCGCCGGCGGCGGCGCCGTCCGCGGCCGGCCCACGCGCACAGCCCGGGCTCCACCGCTGTGCAGCCGAGCCGGGCCGCTCCGGCGTGCACGCCTGCGAGGACGCACTGCCGGCTTCGCTGGCCGCGTGGCCGCCGCTGCCGCCGCGGCGCAAGTCCGGGGTCGAGGCGGCGCCGAACGGCGACCGCGGCGGCAGGCCCATGGGCGAGCGGGGCGGCAGCCCCGCGGAGCCGGGCCGGGGGCCGGGGCCGGCCGGCATGGCGCGCGCGGCCAGCGGGTGCAGCACCTGCCCGGACGGGTAGCAGGGTAGCGGGGCCATCAGCTGGTGCTGCTGGCTGTCGAGCAGGCGCAGCAGCGCGTCCGGGCCGGCCGCGGCGACAAACGCGGCGCGGCTGCGGCTGTCGGCCGCCGTCAGACGCTTGAGCGCGAAGACGGCGTCAGCCAGTGCGCGCGGCTGCGCTGCCGGCGCCGCCAGCAGCTGCACCAGCCCTTCCACCGCGCCAGCCTGGCCGGCAAATCTGTCATCTCAACCTGTAGTCTATAGGATCTTCTGTTGCATCAAAGAACGAGACTGCCAGCATCATTTTCAGGTTTGAAAATTCAGCAGATATTGGCTGGTACCGTTGATGACATGCAGCAACCAGAGGGAGGTGTACGGGGAGAACAAAGGTGCCATAAGAAGGGCAGACGCACCTCTGCAAGCACCCACTGCGTGGTGTGGTCGTCCGCGATGACTCGGCGTATGATGTTGGCCACGCTGCTGCGCACGCCCACCGGGCTGTTGACTTGCAGCAGTCCTGCCAGAACTCCCAAATGCTTGTCGTTCTGCACAATTGCAAACATGATTTTAATCCGAGATGGTAGTCCATTTCTCCTCACGGCTCGCCACCATCAAACCTTTCATGCAGCCAAAGGCCACAGAGGAGGCAGATGACTTTTGAACACTTGTAGCCTTCACATGACTTTCACACAGTGCGTACCCGATGCCTCCGCCACCGCCGAGCACAAAATTCAGCGTTGCATTACGGGCTCAGGCTTTCTGCAAGCAGAGAAGCTTGGGATCCAAGGTTGCACTGTAGGCGCAGATTCCTGAAAGCCGAGAAAATGGGAGCGTATGTGCACTCTATAACATGAAAGCTTCCCAAGCTGTATATTGGTGTCACCATGCATACGATGAGCAAGGGCTTTCAGCAGGGCGCTGAGAGGGGCACCATGCATATGATGAGTGAGGTTGTTCAGCAGCGGGCTGAGGAGGTCACCTGAGCAAGGTTGCCCCTGGCAGGGCCGTGTGCGATGAGGCGGTTGAGGCCCCATGCGGCGGAGGCCTGCATGTTGACCTTGCTGTGCCGCACCAGGCGAATCAGCGGCTTCACGAATGCAGCGCTGGGAAACTCCTCGCACTCCACCGGGCACGCCGCCGCTATGGCGCCCACTATCAGGCTGAATGCCACCCTGCAGGCAGCAAGTTTTAATTCTCATTATATCTCCAAAAGAGGTCCATGCATGGTCATGTCATGACGAAAACAGCAGCCCTATTTAGTCTTAGGATATCCGCCCCAAGTTTGGCACTGCAATGTTTGTTGCCAGCGCCGTCTCACAGAACAAGCAGCAGGGAAACGCTGGGGCAAGCTCCCAACACATTGAGAGTTTAAGGATTCCTATAACTGCATTATCTGAAGGAGAGCTCAATGCGCAGCAATTCTCCAACATTATTTATGCCTGCACAGCCTGGTTGGCATTCTGCACAAGAGATCAGCGGCCCCTGCCCAGATATTGTTTCTCTGGCTGTAAGCAGGCCGGACTAGTTTCGAGAGCGCCAAGCCACAGGCAGGCTGCAGACAAGCACCGGGGCCAAATCCAAACGCTTGGAAAGGACACCCAATTCCTGATGTTTCCTTTGCTATGAAACATAGGAATCTTTGAATTATTTCTGGACGAGCGCTGCGTGAATCTGATTCTATGTTAATGACCCCTGCTATGCATGCTCTGGTAGGGCGCCCTGCCTAGAAGTCATTCGTTTACCAAGGACCAGAGGATTACGTAAGCGCAGAGGGATTTCCCTGGCGCTCGCACTGCTTTGATGCCTGCATATCTCTTTCTATACTGTCAACAATGTTGCAGGGCTGCTGGATTTATCAAGGGGTGGGTGCGCGCACCTGGCCTCTGTGTAGCTGGCGCGGTGCATGGGCAGCAGGGCGCCCAGAGTGCCCACATCAGTCCCGGAGCTGTCCATGTTGGGGATGTTGGGCATGTAGCGCACGCCCTCCATGTCCATCGGGCTGTCCTGCACCCTGTGGCCTGGCTGCCCCCCTGCGGGCGCTGCCGCCATGTCCAGACCCACCCTTCAGTGCTGTGGTCCAGCAGCCTCAGCAGTAGTTTCCGGCATATTCGGTGTTGACAAGGGCCAGAAACCCACACTCGCACACGACAGCTTGACTCTTTGACATTCCTTGGCGAGGGCGCCATCGACCCACACCAAGACGTGCACCAGTAGTTGCGCAAGTAACTTGCCAGTGCTTACACACAATTGTCTAGGACTAGCTCACAGAGTTGAAACTTGTGGCTTACCTAAAATACGGGGCACATGTTTCTGGCCTATCCTAATGCAATACCCCATGCTACATGGTTGAGGGCGTCACCTGGGGTGCTGGGAGCCACGTTCCAGGAAGGAGAGAGGTCCACGAGAGCGCGCAGCTCCGCCACGATGCTGGCGCGCGCAGTGGGGCTGGCTCGGGGCTCCAGCTGAGCGGCAATCCATTCGGCCAGCGCCTTGAGCAGGAGGGAGGTGGCCTTGGGCACCTGCTCGCAGGTGCATGCGTCATTGACATGCTCCCCGTCCCAGGCCCAGCGGGGACGATGGGGCATGGCAATGCACGCCTGGACCTCCCCGGGAAATTGAACCGCTGAGAACAGCGGGCTTGCAGTGCTACTATCATGCAGGTGGATCACAGCATGCATGTCCCTGTACCTCTCAGGAAACCCACCTGCTGAAATCACCGGGCTTGCAACAGGACTTTTGCGCATGTCGCTCGGAGGACGTTGCTTGAAGCACATCACTCAAAGCATGCATGCATTGAATGCCAGATGCACCTCTGGTGTGCATGCTAGGCCCAGAGTCATGCATCTCAAACCCTTATCTGATGGTCACCCAGGAACTGGAGCATAAAGCAGTGAAAAATGATGGTGCATTGTTGCCTGTTTGCCATCTGTTTGCCTGGCTGCAAAGGGATAAATCAGAGGTCTGTATGATTGTCAGGTGGCAAAATAGAGTGTCGAGGGGAACACAGCCCAGGGCATGCCTTGGTAGACTCGGAGCGCGCCACAAGGAGGCCGGCCGCCTGCTTCAGGAAGGGGCCCAGCCCCGCTCTCAGGATGCCCACAAACACCCCCGGCCGCTCCGACTTCTGCACACACACACAAGCCACAATCCCCCCGTCAAAACTTCACCCGCTCGACTGCATGCTTCACCAACTCCTTTTCAGATCTGCGTCATGAGTGCTGCAGATCGGGCAGACTGCACAAGTTCAAATGAGCAATTTAAAATCTTGGAGCAAGGCAGGCTTAGGTGCTCGCTTAAGCAAGAGAGCTACATGTACATTGGACATGTGAAGGTACATGGCAATTTCACATTGTGCAGCACGACAGGCCCCAGGTGCTCCCTTATGACGAAGAGCTACACTAAGAGCTACATGCACATTGGAGATGTGAAGGTACATGGCCATCTGTTATATTGTGGCACGACAGGCCAAGGCGTTTGCTTGAGAACGACAGCTGCTTGTGCACTGTGAAATATGAACAAGCGGGGAGAGGGCGGCACCTCTGCTGCTGCGCGGTTGCCTTCACTGACGCCGCCGAAGAGCAGCGAATGCAGCTTGCACATGGCAATCTGCTTCTCCTCCAGTGGCGCGTCTGCCGCCAGCCGCGCCGCCAGCTTGTGAGCGCCTATTGGACACCCCAAAATACCCCTTCAGCTAGGGAGTTTTTTTATCATCGTCAGGTCCCTCTGAGCCCTTGGGAGAGCGCTTTTCTTTGCCTTGCTTGTGCATTGAAGAACTCATGGAAGGAGCAGAGACCAGCGCAACAGCATGCTTATTTCCCAAATGTGCCCCTTGCAGAGTTCCCCTTGCAAGTGTGGCATAGCAGCAGAGGCTGACAGGACATTCCATGAGAGGGCCAAGCCTACACACCGGCAGACAACCGCCGAGTGACGGGCGTCTGCAGCCAGACAGTGCCCGGGTTGCGGCCCACTTGTGCACTCCTGCCCATGGAGCCGCCCGGGGACCGTGCCAGGCTGCTGTCCGCCCTGTCCGCCATCGGCGAGCTCGGCGCGCTTCCGCTGCTGCTGCACCTGTCACGTGGAACACCACTCATCACTAATGCTACTAAGTGCAAATCATCTCCCTCAATAGATCGGGAGTTTGCCGTCCGGCTGAGATGCCGTGTGTCATGCCACTCTTGCAGAGGGCATCACTCAAGCGCCAACGCGACTGAATTCAAGATGACTTGAACAATGGAAAGGAGATTGACTTTCTCGCCGATGTGCCCTTGATCACAAGATAAATTGGCAGCATGCGAAGCAGGGGGATGGGGGGCTCGCACCTGTCGGGAGTGGGGGGCTGGTCTGGGGCGGGGGATAGTATGCGGACGGGGGTGCCTGGTGCAGTCTGCGGCCTGGGCAGCACAGGATGGTATGGTAGTACATGGGGCACCAGCAGCTCAAAGGCAGGCAGGGGCGGCCACGTGGTCAGCCCCTCAGGTGGCTGCTGCTGCTGAATGCGCAGCGGCTTAGGGCTGCCCTGCCCGGGGCTGAGCTGCCTGGGGCTGGGGGAAGCCAATGGGGGCGCCCTTCTTGGAGGTGTGTTGGGGCACATGCGGTAGCCCAACTTGATGATGGCGGAGCACAGAGCTGCGGGCTGGTCGCCAGATTTGGCGTGGGCCTCGGAGACAACGCAGCTGGTGCCTGATGATGGGGAGTCTGCACTGCTGCCCTTGCTTTTGTGGGGGGATGTCCGCCTTGGGGAGCTCTTCTTGGGGGGAGACCCTCTCAACCGCAGCTGGCGCGGAGTCTTCGAACCTGTGCTGCTGCCTATGTTGGGGCTCCTGTTCTCAGATCGGTAGTCTGAGACCGCCATTTTTTTCTCAGATGGGCACAATCCTACAAATGTGTGAAGGGTCTCCTCATAACCAAGCGGCGCGGGATGATATTCAAATGCCCATCAATAGTGCATTCAGCTCAGCTATCACATTTCTGTCCAGATCGGCATTGCTGTATCAACAATACTCATAAGAGATCGATGCCACATGTCTGTGCTGCGCTGGTCACTTTGAAAATACTCGGACACAGCCACACTGGTCCAGCTGATCGCCAACTTCCTAACGATCGCCAACGAATGCCCGATCACCGTCCGTCATTTGTGATCGCGATATGATCTGTCGAGCGAGGGAGCGAGGGAGGTGGCGCCAACTCGTTCAAAATTTTTGAAGTCAGGGAATATTCTCATTTCCCATTCCAAGGATTCTTTTTCCTTTTCCAATGTTTCGGTACAAATACACTGCAAGACAGCATCAGTCAAAGCAAGGATCCTGTGTTCGCCACGCAGATTACTATAGAACAGCTACTAGAGCTACTGCTAATTGCCACTACACACAAGCACAAAAAGGAATATTCCTCAAAGCACTCTGTATCATGCATGATCATGAAAGTCTCTCATGGCATCTCCTGTGGGGCTTCTATGCAAAAATCCTCCAAAAATCCTCACATCTGATCAGAGCTCAAGCTCTGTCATGTCATCAGGAGCAGGCGCCATCTGCGCGGCCCCTGGCCATCCCCCTGCATTTTGACCTGGCGCTTCATGCTGCTGGCCTCCCCAGTCCATCTGACCCTGTGCTTGCGCAGTCCCCCATCCGGACACTCCATGCATTGCTTGGTAGTCCACTCCCGGCTGCTGTGTGGCCTCCCCGCCAAGCACTGCTGAGTAGGACGTGTAGTAATCACCGCCCGCGACCTGCCCTGTCTCCGTGCTTTGAGAGTACACAAACCTACCCATGTCCCCAAGCTGGCTCCCTCCGTTCGCGGCTGATCCCGCCGAAGCCGGTTGCAATGCCGGGGGGGCCAGGCGCGAGGCGGTGGCGGGCTGTGGGGGACTGGGGGGACCCTGGGAGGTCCCGTTGCTGACCGGGGGTGACAGGTACTGCGAAAAGCTGCCCACGCGGCCCCCCATGCCCTGCTTGGACCCTCCCGGCCAGCCGCCGCCATTCCCTGCCATTTCAGTGTTTCCCTGGTAGTCGCTGTTAGCTGTCGGGGGTGGATTTGAGTACTCAAGGCGGCTGTCGGGGGACTGCTGCTGCTGTGCTTCGATGCGGGCCGGCGACGGGCCGTCAGCTGCAAACTCGGAGCTGACCGGCTGCTGGAAGGACGGAGCCTGGGCCGCAGCGGAGTCGCGGGCGGCGGTGGGCACGAAGAAGGATGGCTTTGCCGCCTTGGCCGCAGGCGTGGGCACCAGAGGCGGCAGCGATGCATGGCTGGCGGTTGACGGCCTGTGACGCAGAATACACCACACCTAAATTGCTGCAGCACTCAGCTGCTATATGTTTGCTGGAAACCACCAAGACACTGTGGGTAAGGGTTGGCGGAGAGCACAGTCTGATTGAGATGACGCCAGGCCTTCTCGCACAGCATTTATTAATCACAAAGGTCGAGAGGGCAAGCGCCGTGCCTGCTAGTGTTCATGGTGTTGACGTATCTGGCCCCGGCCCCGGTGCGGCGGGAAGCCGGCTGCGGCCCCGATCCGCTCGGGCCGGTCGGCGGCGCCGACCCTGCACATAGAGCACAAATTGACATTATTCAACACCTCTCTTGAACACAATGACCTTGACATTCCCGGCATGAAACTCCCTTGAAATTAGGTGGCACAACGATCAGTGGGGTCTTGCGAAGAGAGGAGCACCTGCAGATGGGGCGCTGTCGGGTGCGCGGCGGATTGCAGGTGGAGGCGGCAGCGGCGCGGCCGCGGCGGGGATCTCCGCGCCCTGCTCCCGCCACATGCCACGCTCCTTGTCGTAGAAGAACTTGTTCTCCTCACCCAACCTCGCCTCCTTCTGCACCAGCATCGAGCACCTCTCACAATTGTGAATTTGAATCTGCAAGCTTGGAGAAAAGCACCTTTTATGCCAGCAACTGCTCAACAGGTGAGTTTCCAAAGATGCCAACATCGCAAGCAAGACCAGGTCTTTGAGTCAAGGACATATGGTTAGAGAGAACTGCAAGAGCATAGAGTGAGCGCGTCAATGAGGTTCTGATGAGTTCAAATGGTGCTTACGCTGCTGGCAGGAGCTGCAGCGCCTAGCAGGCCACCCAGGTTGCCCAGCATGCTGCGCAGGGACGACGTGCTGCTAAGAGCGCTGCTGGGCGCATTGCCGGGCGCACCCCGCCGCTCGGCTGCCGCAGCCGCCAGATCCGGCGGGCCGGCATTCGCAAATGCGCTGCCCGATGGCTGCGGCGGCTGGGGGCCCGGGCTGCTAGACCTGGCCGCTGCATGCGCGGCCGGGCTCGGGGTGATGCCGGTGTGTGGCTGGCCGTGCGCGCCGGTGAAGCTGTCTGAGGAGGTGTGCGCATGTGCGCTGCCGGATCGCCGGTGCTGCACAGCGCATGTGCTTTCATCAAAGGGCATCTGTGACGCGCTTGTTACTGGGCACGGTCTCGCGCTATTTTGTCACACAGGAGGGACCAAGCTAGCTTTCAATTTTGTGTTTTCTTTGACAGCCTTCGGATGAAAAGTGCCAGAGCATGCTCATACCAGAAACATGAACAAGTAGTGACGCCTTCAAAAGGACCAAATCAGGGAAGTGTGGTTTTGAGGTCAGGATGATGAGGAGGTGGGGAATCCTGACAAACCTGTGGAGAGCCAGAGTCATTGCGGCGACGGAGGCCAAAGGGATCCACCTCTGATCCGGTGGAGGGGGGTCCAGATGGGGGGACCTCCCCCCCGCTGATGAGCTTGTTGATGCCCCGGTCCAGGAAGCGCCCCAGGCCGCTGATGAATGAGCTGCTCTGCGAATGCTTCACCGACAGGTTGAACATCTGTGCACAGGCCACACAGCATGAGGATCAACAATTTGTGAACCTGGAAACTTCTCGTGTTGGGTTTGAACGGCTACAACGCAACCAGAAAGCATCCTAATGCTTGCAGCGGCTGCTGTATATCAGGAGCTGTCAGTGGGATAGCAGTAGCCCAATGGCTTCTTGAAACCGTTCTTTTTCACAATTCCTATTGATCGTTTTTCAAAGAAATCAGCCATAGGGCAACCACAACAACCGTGACAAAGTATGCCAAGATCAATATTTTGAAGCAAATGGGTCCCACAATTGTCAGGGTGATGAGATTTGAGGGAAATAGTGCCCAAACAGGAACACACCGAGGCATGCGTTCGGAGGCGTTCCTCCAGCTCGGCCACCATGGCGCGGCAGACCAGCAGACCAGGGGGCACCTTGGCGCCAAAAGAGGCGAGTGCTGCCTGCACGAGGCCTACATAGTGCACAGCGGGCGCTATGAGGCCAGCCTCGGCCAGCCGCGCCGCGTAGACCACTTTGTAGGGCAGCATGGGCAGCGTCAGCGCCCCCGGCTGGGCAGCCCCTGTCCAGAAAAACCGATGTTATTCCCATGCTCTCGATTGATAGGATTGTAATAGCTGAGAAACGGCATGAAAAGCGTCGAAAACGACGCTGCAGCAGTGATAAACCAGACGGCAATTTGACATACATGTTGGGGGCTTCCAGAGGAGCACACGCAGGGATTGCACAGGGAAACGAGCGAACCGCGTGTTTCTTGATTGACATCGGGTGTGGGCCGATTTTGTGGAGAAGATAAGAAATCTGATGTGACCCCAACCCTCGATGTTGTACTGAGGCATGCTGAAAGGTTGACTCGGTGATTACAGTGGAGAGAGGGAATACTCACCGGGGAGTTTGGCCCACTCAAGGACTTCGGTGCGCTGCAGCGCAGGAATAGAAGCGAGCGATCGCGGCGCCGCCCGGTGATCTGCTCCCAGCAGGCACAGCCGCGCGGCCGGGTCATACGGCTGCGGCATGAGCCCCGCCACCAAGTAGCACAGCTGCGCCGCATCCTCCTGCATGCCAGCATCAGCGCGATCGGCACAGATCAACTCTGGAACTAGTAAGATCAATGCTAAGCTTGGCAACTGCACACAGACACACAGCACAGCTGCGCCGCGTGTTCCTGCTCACAAGATTATGCATGAGCCACCTAATCTCCTGTAGAGCATCACAAGTTGGGCCAGACACACTAGTGCCATCCGCGCGTGTGCTCTGAGCGGTTTGAGGTTTCCAGGAAGTCTGACAAAGCAGACATGCATGAAGCACAAGATTGCGCCCTCAATGAGGTGCTGATGATGTGGAATACGCTAATTGCAAACAGAGGATGCTAGCGAGAGGGTCGGTTTGCAGGAGGGTGGTCTGCGCACCTGCCCCTTGTGCTGCCACAGGCGGTCCCCGAGACGCGCAATGAGGGCCTCATCAGCAGGGGTCGCCATGTTGGCAGCTAGGATGGCCAGGTTCTCCCGCCACTCTGTCAGCATTGCCACCTCAGCCGCGCTTGGCCCCGCCTCCTCCTCGACAGGAGCCGCCTCCTGCTGCTGCACGCATCACCACCGCAGATACTCTCTCAAGCCACGCAATTCGAAAGGATGTTAAAATGAGCCATCAGAGGTTCCATACATGCGGCAACGCAATGTGTTCTTGGGGAATAGGACTGGTCGCTTCCTGCTGGGGCAAATACCTAATGACAGATCCGCAAAAAAGCATTCAGGCCATGCGACTGTAACGGAGTTTCTACCAGCCGGTCTAGCCAATGTCTTGCCGATTTCCCCAATACCGAGGCAGGCTTGTCTTGATGCCAGGTTACAAACAAAAGGATGCAAAAGTCCAGAGGTATTGAAGATACCTTGGGAGGGGCCCCCGCAAGGAGGGCCTTGAGGCCGAAGCTGCCCGAGGGTGGCCCGGATTTGCCGCCCGCCTGCCCGGCCGGGCCCGCCGGCGCGATCGCGGCGCCCGGGGCCGGCAACACGGCGTCAGGGCGGCCGGCCAGCATGTGAAACGCGCAGTACAGCGGCATTCCCGGGGCGGCAACCGCAGCCGCCATCGCCGTCGCCGTGTCGGAAAACGCTCGGTCGCCGCATGTGCGCGCCAGCAGCAGCGCTGGACCCCATAGCTGCCCCTCAACAGCCACCCTGCAACAGGCACCACTTCTTTTGAGTACCCCCTTCGAAACACGCCAGATTGCAGAGCAGCCCTTTGGTGTTTGTTCTATCTCAAAGGTTGCACTCCAACATGATTTACTTTATTCCTACCCTATCTTGTCTTTCGAATTCTTAATGTTGCAAAACACTTAAGGCACTTAATGACTGTACAGTCCCTCTTGCGTGATCAGCACGCCCTTGACAATCCAGCGTGGTCCGCATGCCCAACAGCAAATATTAGGGGAGCGCACTTGAGGGCTTCTGCCTTCTGTCCGCTCATCAGCAGAGCCTGCATGGAAGCCGCTGCAGCAGGGTCTACATTCCCCCCAGGCAAGGGCGAGCGCGTAGATGGGACCCCATTGCCCCAGCCAACACCCGCTGCAGTGCTGCCAGCTTCTGGCACAAGCACCTTGGCCAGCTGTGCCTCTGCACCCCATCATACACCCCTGTCATTCGCCGCCTCTGTGGTCCACACATCTGCACTCGGTGATCAACTAACCCACACATGTGCAAAAAACTACAGAAGCTTTGGCAAGATGTGGTTTTCTACTTCCTGCAGGAATGTCAGGTGCAAGGGGTGCCCCTCACCAGGAGTGAGCTGGTCCTTCGTCTTGCCGCCCTTGGTCTGTGAGCGCAGGCTGCCACCATTGACTGCAAGCAGGCGCAACACATGCCACATGGCAGCAGTCACAGAGGCCCTGTCCGCCTCATCTCCCCTCGCCGCCTGCCCAGCAATGAATGCCAGCACCTGCCATGCACCACACACACCTCGGCCTTCCTTGCCATCCGTGCTTTTCCTGCATTAGAGAGTGCCCTCACTATCGATGACTCTTCTGGGCACTGATGCCATTGCAGGTCTGGGTCTACTTTCATGAGATATGGGTGAAAGGTGCGCGGACCTTATCGCGAGGCAGTGAGGGCGTGAGGGGCCCTGGGAATTGCTCCAGCAGCTCCTGCGAGTCATCCTTCACGCCAGCCTGCACCAGACCACTACAGCTTCATGACTCTGGCCGCGCAGGGCTGACAATCTGCACATCACAAAGTGCAGAGCGTTTTGCTAAAGGACTGCATGGGAATGTGTGTCAGAATATAACCATGCCAGCAGACCCCTCTTAGACTGCCCTGCAAGGACTGATTATCAGTGTCCTACAGAATCTGCAGGCTTCTGCAAAATGACTGCATGAGGTCTCGTGATACAGGGGAGGTGCGGGCGGACCTGCGTCCACTGTGCCTGTGGCTGCAGCTGCGCAAGGTCTGCTGTCAGAGTGGCAACGCGCATGGGATGCAACTGCCCCGGCTGCCACCGCATATCCAGGCTGACTGGACCCGCCGAAAACACGCTGCCTGCAGCAGTGAGATGGCCCCTTGTGAGCGCCATGCAAGGCAGACACATTATTTATAGACAGCTCGGGTACGATTTAATTGTGCGTGCCATTACAGTAGATATGCATTGCTAAGAAGCACGCCTGTTTTCATAAGTGAGTCATCCTGACTGTCATTCTGCATCTTTTGCCGAGGCAAGGCATCATTTGCTCAGAAACTATACATCATCTTTGTCTCTGCGCTGCCGAAAGAGCAAAAGCAGGAGGGATGTGAGAGCTCGGCAATTGTAATGAGTAGAGAGGCGCTAGACATTATGAAGGACCCATCTGAAGACACGTTGTACGGTAGTCACATAGGCTTATGTCGTGAATGCCAGTACATGTGCTGCATAAGTCAAGACTTTAGGTGGGCGAAGGTACCTTGCATCCTGGGCCGCATGACAGCGCATCGGCCGCCGAAGCCCCAGGCGATGACTGCGCAGGGGGGCCGGCCGTGGGCGACGCGCGTTCCCTCCGCAGCCGTCCCCGGTACTAACCCCGAATCCGCCGCGGACTGGTGCCTGATCTGGCTGCCCCACACGGCCGCCGGCGGCTGGTGGAAGCTGGGCGTGCGCGGGGATGGCGTGAACGGTATGTTACTAACCCGGTTAGTAACCCCCGGCACGGCAGGCCCCGCGCTCTCGTGCACAACATCGTGGTGCGGCTGCTGCTGAGAGTAGTATTCATAGGAGGGGTCATGGGGCTGCGAGTAGCCTGCCCCACTCGCCTGCAGCTGCTGGTGCCACTGAGGCTGGAATGACGGCTGTGGCTGCCCATATGCCGGTGCGTGCGCCTGCTGCTGCCGCCACTGGGTTGCATTCCAGTCCGCCTGCTGATAGCTCCCCAGCTCCACAGGCTGTTGCTCGTGATTGGGCCCGGGCCACTCGCCTGCATCGCTGACTCCATGGTCGGTGTGTGCGGCTGGGAATATCTGCTCCCGTGCAGACACCTGAGCAGGGTCTCCAACTCCCTCAGATCCACCCCACGATGGCTGCTGCTGCTGGGTCTCCAAAGGAGGACGGCTCTCGTCAGCTGCCGACTCAGGAAGTGCCTTTTCTGCCGCCACCTCTGCTGCTTCTGTCTCATCGATGCCTTGCTGAGGGCCTGAGGATACCGGCGCAGGCTCACTTGGGTCGGTGGTGCCCTGGGGTTGCTCTGTCTGCTCTACCGGGCCGACCGACTGAGTGCCCCCAGTTTCTGCGAGGGCAGGCGGTTTCTGGGTGCTGTCTCCGCTGTCCTGCATGTCCCAGAAGTCCGTATCGGAGACCTCCAGGCCCGGAGCCGGTCCGGTCGGCGGCGGCGCGCCGTAGCCGCTCGCGCCGGCAGACGCCACAGCTTCTACCGGACCCCCCGCGGCGCTGCTCTGATCTCCCCAGCCGGGCCCAGCTGTCTGCAAGGGGTCAGCTTGCCAGCCTTGCTGGGGCTGTGCAGCCTGCTCGGCAGCTCCATTGAAGGCCTGCTGCTCTGTTCCAGTCGCATCCAGAGGCTCGGCGGGATCTGGGTAGTACGAGCCGGCCTCCTGACTGGCAGCCTCTCCCCAAGCAGCGTAGCCAGCGCTGGAGCTCTGCGGCCACTGGGATGCGCTGGCTTCTGGGTAATATTGAGCGGCCTCCTGGGTGCCCTGGCCCCACTGCAGCGCCTGAGGAGCCTGCCACTGCTGCGCGCTTGCAACGGCCTCCGGCGCGTGTGAAGGCGGGAAGGACGGCGGCTGCGGAGGGAATTGCTGCTGCTGCTGATTGTACACAGGCCATTGGCTGCTGGCGAGGGGAGCTGGTGCTGGCTGCTGCCGGCCGAACGCCGGCGGCGCGGCCGGGAGGAAGCTGGCCGCACCGGCCCTCGGCGGCTGCGCAAAGTAGGTATGCGCGCTTGACGGCTGCTGCTGCCCGAAGGACGGCGGTGGCGGCCCAGCCTGAGGCAAATCAAGCCATGCTTTGAGCGTTACAAGATTTTAAGCAAAATATGCAGAACTCCCATTCTTGGGAGACGACTCTCTTGGCCTGTCTGCAGGGGCTCGAGGTCTTCACGAGCCTGAGAAATGCATTCTGATTGGCAAGACACCGAGGGGCTTGCATTAAGAGAGACACAGATACTGCATAAGTATGTGTCTTCACCTGGTTGTTCACAAAGGCTGGCTGTGTCTGAGCTGCGCTACTAGGGCCCCGCAGCTCTGGGACTGCCAGTTTTGGCGCCGCTGTCTGGGGCCTCTTCGGCTGCACCGCCTGCCAGCCTGCTGTGAAATAGTTCTGGCCGCCATTGGCGTATGCATCGGCGGCTGCTGACGGCTGGCCGAATGATGGCAGCTGAGAGTGGCTCTCCTGCACAGCAGAGGCACACCATCCTGCTCTCAGCAACTCTCTTTCCTTTGCTTTTGTAAAAATCCATGATGTATTTTACTGCAACTTTGACTGGGCCAAGGGCCTCGCTTTCATCAATGGCTTCAATCTGGTGCGCACGTCCAGCTGGCGGGCTTCCTAAGCTTGGCGTGCGTGCATGCTGCAAGCTGACCGGCACAACACTGAATCTCTAAAAACGCATGTGCTTCAGGGTGGCATGATTAATCACTTGGGAGTTGGGAGGGGTCCAACCTGGGGTGCTTGCCATGTTGAGTCCCACGCTTGCTGTGCTTGTGGCTGCTGGCTGGCGCTCTCAGCCCAATGGTCTGTAGGAGGTGGCTCCTGGCCACCGTGCAAATCGCTGGCAGTGCCCTGATCATACCAGCCCGCAGCTTCCTGTCCAGAAGTTCCAGCTTCATGCAAGGCTCCCTGCCCAAAGGAAGGACCTGCCTGGGACTGCTCTTGCCATTGAAAGTCGTCTGCCACGCTTGGCTGTGTGAAGTGGCTCTGCTCGGAGGTCGAAGCAAAGGGGGCTGGCATTGGCTCCTCGAATGTGGCCGTAGTTCCGTTTGCAAAAGCCCCCGAAGCATCTCCTGCGACACAGCACAGCCCTCAACTGTCTTCAGCGAATACCTCAGCTGGCATACCCATGTCACAAGCCATGCTTGTAAAACACTGCTGGCACCTCCTGTACAACGTAGTGGGCCACTTGTATGCAGGATAAAGCTTGCCAGTAAAGAGAGGCAACAGAAAAGAGCACAGCAGCAAGAGAAGACCCAGCCCCTTTACCTGTGGGCCACTTACAAGGGTATATGACAAAAGTAATGTGCATCTACAGGATTTCTGGCATACCTGCTGCTGAATCAAGCTCCTCAAAGAAGGAGGCCTCTTCCCCGACAGCACCTCCAAACAGATCTCCCCCGCCACTGAAGAGATCCTCCGATGCACCTCCACCAGCAAAGGGGATGCCCATTGACAACGGCTCGGCTGCAGCAGGCGGCTCATTCCTGCCATGCAGAGTGCCCTCCTGACCCGTACTCTGTTCAGCTTCGACGGGCACCGCTGGTGCACTAGGAGGCTCCTCAACTTGCACCTGGACGCTCTGCTCCGCTGCTGAAGTAGGCGCTGTCGGCTCATGCTCCTCTGTGGCTGGAGGGGGTGCCGGAGCATCTGCGAGTGGGCTCCTGCCCAGCTGGGCAGCTTGGGCAGCCAGGCTGTGGGCAGCGTGCTCCTGAGATACATCCACAATCGCAGCCTGACTTGGCTCCCCCTGCTCCAGCCAGAAGGAGTCTTCCTCTTCCCCAGCGGACTCAGGGAAGAGTGCCTGCACACCGCCGACCTCCTGACCGCCTTCTCCGCCAAACCACGGCGGCGCTGCACTCTGCTGTGCGGCCAATGCTGCAAACGCTCTCTGCGCAGGTTGGGGGTCTGCATTGGGCTCTATTTCTGGGAAGGGCTGCGGCTGCGGCTGCTGCAGCTCAGCCACAACTGCATTGGGCGGGGGAGCTGTGACTGTCTCAGTAGCTCTGCTGGGTGGCTCTAGCAGCTGCTGCTCTGGCAATTGCGCTGCGAGTGCTGGCGGTATGGAAGCTGCCTGAGTGGAGGACTTGTCTTCCTTGGCATCCCCAGCCGGCGCAGCTGTCGCGGGGATCGGCGCATGAGGAGCCCTGCGAAGCGCCGGCGGCTGCAAGCTGTTTTTGGGAGGCTCCTGTGGCAGCGGCTGCTCCTGCTGCGGGTATGCGCGGGGCTCTAAAGCCACTGTGAGGCTGCCAAAGCCCACAACATCTGCCTGAGGCCTGCTGCCGCCTGCACCAGCCTGCCCGCTGTCTGCCCTGGATCCAGACCCCCCCAAGCCAGCGTCTGCACGAGCAGAGAGCGACTCTGATGTGGAAGCAGTGACGGATTCTGGCTCTGCAGTTCTCAGCTTCTCGGCGCCTGCCGGCCTGCCAGAAGCTGCTGCCGATGCAAGCTGCTCTGCCGCCGGTGCGGGCCGCGGCGCGAAGGAGTTAGCCGCAGGGAGCTGGCCGCGGGGACTGTACTCCACTTTCCTTCGCGGCGTGGACGTTTGCGATGCCGCCCTTTCAAGCGCAGCAGGCCTGGGCGCCTCTGCCCGTCCAGCGCCCGTGAAACCTCCACTCGCCAGCTCCTGCATCCTGCCGCCCTCGTCCTGTCTGTCCGGCCTGGTCCATGCAGGCGGCACCCCAAGCGTGGCATCGGCTGTGCGAGGGGTGACAGCCGCTCCTGGCCTGGTACGCACAGTGGGGCGCGGCAGCTGCGGAGGTATTTCCTGGTGGTGTTGCTGCTCTGGGGCCAGGCGCGTAGTGTGCAGGCCTCGCGCAGGTGATGTCGGCACGTCTATCGCGGCACTCCTGCTTCTTGGGCTGCGCAGAGCTTCTGACAGCGCGCCCGAGGCCGGCCTGGGCATTGTGGAGACATTGCTCCTGGTCGGCTGCAGTGATGCTGTAGGGCCATCCCCGCGCCCCGGCGCCTGAGCGGCAGGGGATGTCACAGAGGACACGTCGGATCCTGCCCTCGAGGCGCCGCTGGTGGATCTGAGCAGCACCGAGGGCGGACCTGTTGTTGCCTGCGCCTTGCCAGTTGCCATGCGCGCCCTCTGCTGGGCCAGGCGCTGCCTCTTCTCCTCCAGGCGGGCCTTGGCGAGCTCTGTGCGCGACAGGCCGCCTGTTGTCGGCTTTGTAGTGCCGCTTTCGGTGGTATTGGCATGGGAGCCCGGTTTGCTGGGCTCAGCGCGGCCGCTGCTGCCACGCCCATCCATCGCAGTAGGCAAGCCTGCACACCTCGGTGAAATACGATATATACCGTGCAAATTGTAAATTTGCATTTTTCACAACGTCCGCAAGATTGATATATGTGCATTAGCCCCAGATCATTTGTTTCAGAAGTGGCATGTTCTGGTGGTATATGCTGGAAAGTCTCCTCGCGCATGCAACGCCAAATGGAGGTCCGATAAGAAATGGAAATACTTGATATCAATGCTAAGGTACTTTAGTCAGACATCGAATTGCAATGAAAAATGTTGAGAAGCATCGCGGGATCGAAGCATCACCTCTGATCAAGAGGTACAAATGTTCTCGAAGAGCTCGAGAGGCCTCATCTCTCTTGTGACTACTTGCAGCGTTCCAACATGCTACGCACAGGTCGAAACTGTGGTCTAAATGGAATTGTATTCCCACAGACAATGAGCTGGCTGATTCTAGATCAGTCACCTGGGATAGTCATTGGAACAGTCCAGCAGGAGAAAGGAGGAGCCTTGGACAGGTTTAACAGCCGTATTAAAAGATATGGAATTCTTCTGTGGTCTCATGAGACGCTTGTTGATCAGACTTGGCACAAAGGGATAGTGACCTCGCAGCCGAGAACGGCGTGTCTGTCTTTTTCAGTTTCGTACCACTTGTCAGTTTTCGTGTCCTGTTCGCCTGACGTACAGACTCTTAATAGTCTTTTGGGTATTAACAAAGGCTGGTGGTACTGCGGAGCAGTCAAGCTGCCTGGACGGTCTTATCCGCAAGGTCGGGTGCCACCTGTTGACCTTGGCTAGAACACCGAAACAGCCTCCAGGTAAGCCTAAGCACAAACAGAGAGCCCATATTGAAGAATAAATTCTGTATGTCTCAATATAGCGCAAAGGTAGTGAAGCCGGAAGCATTATGGGGGAGAGCCGGAAACAAGATCTTGGAATGTACTAGTTTCCAGTGAAGTATGCTTGCTACAAGAAATGGCAGTGCTAAAGTCCCCAAAATGGCTTTGAAATATGGTTATGAATATTGGATTTCGCTGACGGGGTACAGCAGCAACAACATGGGCCACGGCCATGGCCCAAAGGGGCAGTTCACCACACAGCTTGCACACATTCTCGACAACAAAAGGGCACATGTCCAGGACTTGTTGATCTGTGTGCGCGCAGAACAATCCCTCAGGCACGAAACCTGATGGTAAACGGTTTTGCAGGGCGGACCAGCCATGATGAACTTGTTTGGCAGCAAGAAGGGCAAGTCGGTGAAGGCCAGCAAGAAGTCCTCCAGGAGCTCCTCTTCAGTCAAAGATGACACCTCCACGCAGCCCAACTGGCCATCCTTGTCCCCAGCCCCTTCCATGACCATCCTGGGAGACTTTGAGAAACAGCGCGATGGATCCCCACTGCTTGAGACTAAGAGCTCAGACCTGATCCCCAGCTTTGCACCCCCGCTCAACTTGCAGGCAAGCAACAAGCCCACTATGCCCTCCTTTCCCTATACACCGTAGCTGCACCCTTCGTTAAGATGGTCCCTCCCATGCAGCTGTATCTAGATCATGTAAGAAACCACAGATGGCACCAGCAGATCGGCGCATGCATGCATTGCAAAATTGCACTTCCAGTACTCAGGAATGAACATGTCAACCGTGCTTGAGCAAGTGGGCGGTTGACTACAAATTACAACCCTTGTGGCCTGCCAGGATCTGCCATCTCCACAAGAGCCGGGAGCATCTGTGATGCAGTCCCTGGACAGTGCGCGCGCCACCAGCTTGGGAGGCCGCCAGCACAGCATCGACTCCCAAGTGCCCCTCACCATTGACGCCATAACCGAGCTCGACGGTGCGTCTTCACTCTCCTTCTCCACAGCCCACAATCACCATATTCCATACCTGTGCCATAAATACTACTGCCATGTCTTGAGCTCTTTCATTCCATGCAAATTTGGTGCTCCGGGTACTTTGTCAGGCGGTGGTGGGGCGAGCAAGATTTATGCGTCTGTCATATTGCTCCTGTCATGTTCTGAGCTTTTAATTCTTGTCAACTCGGTACTTTGTGATTTAAATGTAGCAGGGAGAGCAACAACTAATTTAAGCAGGTGAGATGCCTGATGCAGATGTGACATCGCTGGCTGCCCCCGTTAACGAAGCTGCGCGCGCTGCAGAGCTCTACCGGCGCACCCTCCAGACTCAGGTGAGGTGTTTCACACCGGCTGCGCACTTGCTTGCACTGAAGTCTCAACCTGTAACACATGCCCAGCTCCGCGAATTGCCCTCGAGGTAAGTTGAAGCAGTTCAGCCACCAGCCCAGTCAGCATTTGGCATGGTGATCATGAGCGGTCAGCCGCAGCTTCCCATGCAGAAAAACTTGCCTATTGTAATCTGTATCATTTTCTGTCAATTGATCAACGACTTATCTTGCAAGTAACACGTATATCAAACAATGTATTTATCGAATACAAAACGATAAAAACCTGCTGCTCAAATGTGTTTCTGTGACGTGCAGGCTTCCGCGCCAGAGGAATCAGAGGCGGCGGCTGGACGCCGTTCATGGAAGGCCAAGGACGGCGCACTGCGTCGACTGGACTTCCAAAACCCGGCGCAGCGCACACACACCACTGCTGCCATGCACCAGCAGGCATGCTTCCCCCTTTTTAAACTCCTTCGATATGGGTTCAACTGGGGGACAAGGCGAGACAAACTCGTGTTGTGGTGCAAGAGTATGTTGAACAGTGCAGTGGCAACGCACGCTGCAAGGTTTCTTTTTCAAATCTCTGTATTCCCCTCCCGGAAATTGAGAGATTGCGCAGGCAAGTGCTCATGGGCATAGCAAACCCCTGGAAATTGAATCATGGGCCATTGCATGACGCGTGCTCTGTGGCATTTGACAGCTCATGATGTCATGGTAGCATACAATTAGCATGTAGGTTCTTTCTCAAAAATTCATCTGTCTGTGATTTTGGTGCTGTTTTGAGCTTCCCGGCGCCCTTTTGCAATTTGATTGATATTTGGGCAGGCCACAACACAATTGAGCCCACTTCCACGGGTGCGCCTCTGAATCGGGCGGACTAATGATATTACGCTGATGTTATGGTGGTGTCAGGTGGAGGCGGCGCTCGCATCAGCGGAGCGGCAGATAGAGCGGCTGCGCGTGCGTGAGAGGGGCCAGGCACGCGCTCTGATGGAGGCGCGCCACCAGCTGCATGAAGCTTCCTCCGCCTCCTCTGCAATCTCCGAGGACTGCACTCTGTCGCCCGAGGCCGGTGCGCGCGTATCTGGCTATGCCATATCTCCAATCATATCTTTGTGACAGATTCTGCCGTCATGCTCTCCTGCACACTGCAAACTGCCCACATGTGGAATCTTGTATGGGACTGGTGACATGAAATTAGCAACAGTGCATGATGGCATTCTGGGTTGCAAGGTTGACGTGACACTTACTGTAGCTCTGACACGTAACACGGTGGGCCATGTCTCCTCTGCGGAGGACCCATTGCTTGCCTTTTGTATTTCAGGTAGCCATAATTATCACTCTCTATGGAACAACTGGGCTATCAGTAGTCCAAGGCCTTGATGTCGTGCACTCTTCTTTGGGTGACTTATTCTCCTCAACGGTTCAATGGCATCGAGAAACTCCTCTCGTGCGTGCAGCGTCGGAGATGGCGGGCCTGCGGCGGTTGCTGGAGGGCATGCGGCAGGAGATGCAGGGCCTGGAGGACGAGCTCTTTTCGCTGAGAGAGGAGCGTGCCGTCGTCGAAATGGAACGCGCGGCCGCGGCCGACGAAGCCGACGCCGCGGCTGCCGCGCTGGCCGCCGCCACCCGCCGCCAGGCCGACCTCGTCGCCGCCGTGGACGAGGTGCGCCAGCATGGCCATCTACGTGAATGAAGTGAATGGAAGACACATTTTCAGGCGGGTGGCTAGGTGCATGGGGAGCAAGCGCAACTCTTTAAAAGCCATCTCCCAAAGGGAGGCACAACACAGGGCCGGTGCATCGGCGCATTCAGATCCGGCCCCGCTGGACAGCTTTCTTGGGCACAACGGCATTCACTCTGGCGGCAGCAGCCGGAGGAAGTCCCATGGTCCCAACACGCTGTTGAAGTCACCCTTGAATGACACACCTGACAGAGGTACCAAGCGCAGGGGTTGAACAGTGTTACATTGCCTGAGCAGGCGCGCGCGGCGCTGAAGGGTGCTGCCCGCGAGAAGAGCGGTGCCCTGGCAGCGGCGATGGAGGCTCGGGACGCGGCGCGCGCCCGGCTGGCCGTCGTCGAGGCGGCGGCCGAGGCGGCGCGCGCCGAAGCCGAGCGGGACCTCAGCGCCACCCGTAAACGGGCCGAGGAGCTCGGCGACGCCCTGCATGCCGCCCAGGTACTGTACCCCCCCCCCCGACTCACCCCTGCCAGACAAGGGAAGATCAGTAATGCAACACTTGTATTCTTTACTGCCCACACCCGGCTGCGGCATGCAGCCAAGCACACCTCTCCGCCTTGGTGGATTCAGACCTGGGAGGCAAAAAGCAGATGCCTTGAAGACCTGCAGAGTGCTTGAAAGCCTCTGGCAGTGCCAGTGGCAAGCCAATTGTCCTGACGGTGAACATGATGGGGTCGTGTGTGCGCCGTGCTGACATCAGCATGTGATGACGGTAGGCCGAGGCCGCTGCGGCGGCTGAGCGTGCGTCAGAGGCGGTGGAAGCTGCTGAGCGGCTGCAGACGGAGAATGCCGTGCTGTCAGACACCTTCAATGATCGCTTGGACGCTGGCGACCGCGAACTCAAGCAGAACAATGAGACCCTGCACGCCGACATCGCCAGGTGTGCCCTTCTTTTTCAAAATTGAATTTGAAGTCATCTACACTGCCTCCCAGACCACCAGCACCAAGAAAGTGAAATAAGAGGGGGAATGAAACCCACTGGCATACTGCAATGCTGCCGGTGAGTGGCTCATTTCCTACTGTTCAGTCTCTTCAGTGGCCTTGTCCCATTGTCTGAACAGCCACAAAAAGAGTGGAGCGGAGTGCTTACAGCTAAGGATTATTAGATGCTTTGGTGCAGGGCGCTGGAGGCGGTGAGGGCTGCAGAGGAGGAGAGGGCGGCCAAGGATGCTGAGGTGGATCTGCTGAGCAGCCAGCTGGCAGCTGCCACGGCCAACCAGCAGCGCCTGGCAGAAGTTGACAGTGCGCCACTCCCTCCAAACCCCCCAGACCTATCTATATGTCCGGGGTACTCTATATAGCAAACCTTAACTTTGCGTTGTCTGCCTTTCAAATTGCTAACCTCTCTGTGTGTCATGCACTGCTCTGACACAGAGTATCTTCCCTTCTTCATATTCCAGCTGTCTTGTGCAGCGCAAGGCGTCAGAGTGCAAATTCAATGCTGAGCGGTGACGGGAGTCTCACGTGAGAGTGTTCATGTGCAGCACTGGCGGACGAGGCACTGACAGCGCTGGAGGCAAAGACAAAAGAGGTGGACGCCCTGCAGAGCAGCCTGACTGACTTGGAGGCCCAGGTGGAAAATCTCACTGCTGAGCTGGCGCGGACAAACGAGCAAGTTACCAGCCTCAAAGGCCAGGCGAGGCCTCCCCTTGCATGCAACTGCACAGTAGCACCGTGCTGCACTGGGCCACGCAATGCGGCATCCTTTCTGCCCCGCAAAGTGTGATTCTCACTGCGATACTTACAGTATATGTATGCAATGTTGGCACATGTTTGTGAGCGCTGACATGAGGTCTGTGTGGGGCGTGCAGGTGGAAGCTGCGGTGAAGGCGCGCGCGGAAGCTACCGCGCGGGTGGAGGAAGCTGAGCGGCAGGTGCAGGAGCTGCAGGAAGCTGCTTCAGCCCTGAACGCCGAGCTTCAGCAGAGAGACTCCACCCTGGCACAGCAGGTGCCAATCATTTCTAGGGCCTCAGCCTGCTTGCCAGAACCACTTTAACCCCTTGACATGGGTGTGATTGACAGGGCTTCATCACCTACTGTCGTCTCAGCTGTGGTCGTCAATGTTTCTTGCAGGCAGACCACCTGCAGCAGAAGACAGAAGGGCTGCAGCGGGCAGAGGTCGAGATTGCGTCCCTGAAGGAGGCATCAGCAGTGGCTGCTGGAGAGCAGGAGGCTCTGCAGGCAGACATAGCGGCAAGGAAGGCTCAGATTGAGGAGCTCCAAGCTCAGGTGAGCCCATTTCTGCGGGCCAGCATTAAGCGGGATGCATGCTTGCTTCTAATTATAATCACCCGTGAATCTGTGTGTATTTAGACACCTGTTGCGAGCCACCAGAGGCTCATTGGGCTACTGGGCTGTCTCTAACTTCCCAATGTCATGCCTTGTAAAGAGTGGAGGAGGATTCAGAGGCAGTGGAGTTGCTGATTGGCTTGTTTTCTGGCAGATTGAAGAGGTGAAATCTCAGATGGCGGCCCAGCACCAGGCGCTGAAAGAAGACAAGGAGAACGCCATCCAACAGGTGGGTCTTGAACTTTTATTTTTCTTTTCTCATATAGCTAGAGAGATTGCCCACTTTGGAGGACCCTAAGAATCTGTCTTTCAGTTCCAGAGCAGCAATATGCTAGGCACCGGCTTCCTCCTGAAGCAATTACAGATACAAGCACTTGTGGTGGAAAAAGGGATATTTTTGTTTAATTACTGCAATTTCTTGGGTGCCTTCACACGTCGCAAGTCAAACTGACACTTAAGGGGTGCAGGCATTATAAGTTGATAAAAGGGCGCTGACTGAAGCCTGCTGGCATGTGCGCGCAGCTGCAGGAGGAGCGTCAGCAGGTGCTGGCAGAGTGGGAGGCCAAGCTGGAATCGGCTGCGGAGGCCACCGAGGCCGCGCAAACCGCACACGCCGCCGACAAGGCCGCCGCCGAGGAGGCAGCCGCCGCAGCCGCCCAGGCCGCCGAAGGTGGTTGTCCAGACTTTTGTCATCATTCAAAGCATTTGTGACTAATTTTGCCTTAGCTGGTTGTTTGCACAGCCAAACAGGCCAGTCGGAGGAGGGCCAGTGCAGCCGTCCAAGAATTGCACCCCCCAGCCTTCGCAGATTCCTTTTGGCAAGCCGCAGACGAGACAGTGTATGTACAAAATATGCAATCCAGAAATGTTAGCTCGTGAATGGGCTTAGACACAGCAGGTGGTAAGAGCCTGAGGGTCCCTGCACAATAATCCAATAGGACAAGCAAGGGGAGCTCAGAGAGGGCTCCATGGTCGACCGTTACCACAAGTGATCATGGTGAAAAATTGGCCGTCTGTGCAGATGCGGCACAGCGGGAGGGTGAGCTGGCAGGGCAGCTGGCGGAGAGAGTGCGCGAGCTGGCGGAGATGGAAAAGTGCATGGGCTACCTGCAGGTAGGAGCAGTCAATTTTTTAGTAACTGCTTAGGACATCTGAGCCAATGCAGCGGCCCTCTTTGTGCCGGAATGGGAGAGATCTGGGGAACATGGGATTGCTCTGTGATCACGAGCCATGCATGCCCATGCACCAGAATGTGCATGACACATCAATGAGAAATTAGTGAATCACAAGCTGCATGTGAGGATTTATCTTTTCATGGCTACTTGTCACATCAGTTGATGGTTGGTATATCAAACAACATCTCCCCTCTGCAGGCGGAGGCCGACGAGCGCACCGGGCAGCTGGCCGACCAAACGGCGCGCGCCGAAGCGGCCGAGACGGCCGCCGCGGATCTCACCGCCACCGTGGCTGCCCGGGACACCGCCATCATAACCCTGCAGCAAATTCATGCACAGCAGGTATGCCCTGCTGATCTAGTTTTCTCTTGGAACCTGGGTCAATAGCCGCGCCGTGTGCACTGCCGAAGCCACACAGTTGTGTGAGGAAGACCAGAGTGACTCATGCCTGCAAATGGCGTCAATGGGAGCATGCTGAACGATGGCTTTCATTTGCCATTCTTATGGTGACTTAATGCAAAAGTGTTCATGGCAACTTGAAAATTTCCAAAGCTTCACGTTGTTCTTGCGCAGGAGTCGGCTCTGCAGGAGCGATGCGAAGCGCACAGTGCAAGTGAGGCTGAGCTGTCAGCGGCGAGGGATGCGCTGCATGCGCTGACAGCGGAGCGCGACGGGCTGCAGGCTGACCTGGCGGCCAAGTGCGCGGCGCTGGCAGCTGCCGAGCAGCTGGCGGCGGAGGCTGACACAAAGCTGCAGCAGCACTGCGCAGAAGCTGCCGCCCAGAAAGAAGCGATTCAGAAGGTATCACCCCTTCCTGGGCTGTCTTCTGCGTTCCTTGTTGCAATCCGCATAATTGGAGGGTTCTTGAAAAATATCCCAGCTGCCATTCTTTGGTTTTCTGGCTGAGAACGCAGTTGGTCAATCTAGTGGGAGCCTACTTGAGTTTTATGAGGTTATGAGGATTGCAGTGCAGGGAATCACTTGACGCTCAATGGGTTACATAATTTGGAGTTGCACGCACATTCTGACAGGGCTGCTGTTGATATTGAATTCGACATTCAAATTTTGAACAGGCGGCGGCGGAGGAGACGCTGCGCGCGGATAGGGCGGAGCGCAACCTGGGGGAGATGCGTGCGCTGCAGGCAAAGTGGGAGCAGGAGCTGCTGCAGAAGGACAGGACCAACGCAGAGCAGGTGCTCGTCCCCTCTCTCAAGATGTTGTGATCCAATCTGTGTTGCAGGATTGTTACAGCACCAGTCCCTGCTGTTCCCGACCTCTGCTTATTGAAAGTGTCCACTTCCTTGAGGTTGCAGCAGATTTATATCACTTCCAGCTCGTGGCTTTGAGATGCAATCAGCAATCCTGCAAAAATACATGCACAGGCCAGGCTGCTATCCATTACCGTGGTAACTCTGAGGCATGTTGGGGTGCATTCAAGCTCAGTTACAGCCAACATGCATGGATCCGAATTTAAATTGAAACTCGCGCGCGGGCGCAGGTGCGCGTGCTGCAGGCGCAGCTGGCGGCGAAGCGGGCGGCGCTGACAGAGCTGGACGTGTTGGCGGACGCGGCCGGAGCAGCGGCAGCGCAGAACTCCGCGCTCTCCACGGAGCTGGCCGACAAAGCGCGCGCGATCGCCGAGCAGGACCGCAAACTTGCCGCCATGCGCGACCAGGTGCCTTGATCTAATATTCCTAAAGTTGCCAATGTCCTCGATCAGGTGCCTCATGCTGTGCTGCCGGCTTGTGTTCTATAATCTCAGGAGAAGGCAAGGAAGGTGGGACCGGCCGCAATCGACCAATTGTGACTTGCATGCAACATGCAAAAACCCAAATGACCTATCTTATGGAAATCACTCGAGGCTTGAGTCCTCTGAGGGCATATGTGCAATTTTCTGCAGACCTTCGGGTGCTTTGGACATGCACCAGCAGCGAGGGTATGCTTTAAAGGCTAGAGTTTGGAGCCTTTGGGGCAGATGCTCAGATAGCACGGATGCCGGCGCTGACACGAAGGATTTGTGGTGCAGGTGGAGAGCCTGGAGGATATGCAGAAGGAGAGCCGGGCGCTGATTGAGAAGAAGCAGGCTGAGGTGGCGGCTCTGCTGCACGAGCTGGCCAGCCACAGGGCCGACATCAAAGAGCGCGATGACCTGGCGTCCGGCCTAGTGAGTCACACTTGTAAAATGACAGCGCCCTTCTGTGATCCTGTCAGCGACTGGTAAATACCAGACTGCTGGAGCAGGGGAGCATGTGTGACCCATCTGTCAGGCCTTGCCGACCGCTCCTGCATGGTTTGGGGGTAGATCAAGAAATAATTGCCAAATTAACTGGCTTCAATTTGGATTACTTGTGAAGGAAAGGATGCAGTGTCATTCTAGCAAGTAGAAAGGTGCATGGTGCAGATCATGCGGCAAATTACTGACCCTCGCTCTATGCAACCCCAGTGTCACGATAGGCAGGCTAGAGGGTGTTTGCTGGTCAGCTGCACACAGAATTTGCCAGTGCGCGCTAGACCTTCATGATTGTTTGATGTTCACAATTGAAATCCACGTTTGAAATCGTGTTCAGGCACGGAGCTTGGAGGAGGAGCGGTCGGGCAGGCAGGTGGCCGAGGCCGAGCGCGCAGCGGTCGCGGAGGAAGCTGCGCAGAAGGTGGCGGCGGCGGCTGCGGCGGCGGAGGAAGCTGCTGCGCTGCAGTCCTCGCTGGCCGCCAGGCTGGCGGCCGCGGAGGCTGACCTGGCGGACACCCGCACCAAGCTCGCTGACGCGCGCATGGATGCCGAAAAGAAGCTGCGCGAGCACTGGGAAACCTCCAGGTGTGTCCGGCACTCTCTTGTTTGCGCAATATACACCAAGTGTTGCTCTGCAACTGTCTCAACTGATTGCTCCGCACATCTAAGGAAATGGCCCATGCAGACTTGCCCAATGAGATACACCCCATTGTGATCCCTTGTGTTTTGATCTTGTGCTGATTGCATGGCCCAGTTGAGATCCTCTATATCAAAGGTGGGCCTCTCTCATTCTTGTTCCTTGCACCAAACGTGACTTCTGAGATCAAGAAGTCTGAACACCACCCCGTGAAATTTGCAGGTCTGAGATCGGGAAGCTGAAGGTTGATCTGGACACGCGCAAGCGCGCGGTCGCTGAGCTGTCCAAGCTGAAGGCCGACATGAAGCGCAGCGGCCACGTCAGCGCTGCCGAGGCAGCCAGCCTGAGACGGTCCCTGGCGCAGCGCGAGGACGAGCTCAACCGCATGCGCCGCGCCTCCGCCGAACCCCCCACTCCCCGGGGGGTGCGCCCCCCGCTCCCTGCAGTCCCCCCAGTTCCCCCCGGTCGATGTAGAAAAAGTATATCTGAGTCCTGCATAGCCTGGGAACCTGCGAACACAATAAGAGCAGTCCAGCTGTCTCAGCTTTGCAGCTCGGCGCATGAACCGCGCATCCGCCGAGGCCCTCACTTCCCGGGGGGTGCGCCCCCCGTGGCTGCTAATTCAAATGATTGTTGCGTTCTTATTCCACCCACAGGGCCGGGTGCATAGCAGCCTTCCATGTCTTGGCATCGCCCACCAATGGCATGCCAATCCCATTAAACTCAGGCCAGTCCATCACCACCTGGAGCCATCTGCATGTGCCTTCATCCAGTGGCTGATTTTGCCGTTTGCTGAGTTGGGCGCTGGACACCATGCAATGGGCCAGTAAGGTGAGCTGTAAGTAAATTGACACTTAAGGGAGCGTGCTGTTTGACAGGGGGATGAGATGGATAGCCTGAGGGCTCAGCTGGCAGAGCTGCGCGCAAAGTACGATGAGCTGGCAGCACAGCACTGAGACCAGACCACACAGTGGCTGACCGGGCACTATGTGGGTGTGTACAGTCTTGCAACCAAATGCAAACACTCAGCTGAAAGCAGACACATAGATGCGGGGAGTGCTAAAACAAGTGACTTGTTTGCACAACATGAGGTGCGTGCAAGGAGAGGAGTGAGCAGCGCCTGTCGCTGATATCAGCAGCAGTACAGCCTGCAGGGGAGGGGATACCTATCGCTCTATCATTCGCAGTGAGGCAAACAGGTACATAATGACTTGTGTTACACAATGAGTGACGTACATTACATGAAAGCCAGCGGCACGTTCAGCAGGTGGCCTTAATGTTAGGGTAGACATCCTGAGACGGTGATATGTACATAAAATTAGGTAGAGGAGTGTCCAAGGTAGTGAGTCTAATTTCATAGCCCTTGCGGCAATTGGTGAGCACAGGGCAGGTATTTGATGCGTGCAGTTTTGCGTAGTGCAAGTGATTTTGTGGAACAGTGATGTCTGGTTATGTAGTGTAGCTAGGGAGACACTCATCTACCTATCCACCGTAATGGTCTATATAAATCTGATGCTAGCAGTTGCATCAGCCCGTCCGTGCTCAACTTTGGGTCACTCTGGCTGCCAGAGTCTAGCTGAATACATATAAGGTGAGCGATCATGTGTCAGGGAACACCCCTTTCGTCATTAATGGTATTCCACGTTACATGAGGCTGGTACAGTGCTCTGGTGTAGGATTGAAGTGAGGCTAGCAGCCTTGGCAATTGCAAATTGTGCCGAGCTACTTGCAAAAGCTATCCGGGGTGATATATCAATATTGGTGCTCACCTTGCAAGCTGTTCCTCCTTGTTATGGTGGCCACCGGGTGCTCAACAAGATTTATCACGTTTGCTTTACATGTTCCCAATGCCAGCATGCCATGCTGTATGACCCGACCAGCTGTGCGCACCCTCGAGGCCTTGAGTGGAAGCCTAGGCCATAAGGCTCCGCAAGCTTGGCTTTAAAGCCGAAATTTTATTTTGCAAAGTTCATGAATATGCTGCTGCACAAATTGACAGTGAGCAGGCTACATCTTCTGCATCTTGATCCGTGGCGGCAACAGAAAAGTATGTTGACATCAGCAATTGCGATCCAGAGCAATCTTACCCTTCCTCAATATTGTTTTCTTGTGCATGCTTGTGAGGTAATGAAAGCCTGCCACATCATCATTCTTTCGTTCAAAATGTCTCACAACAGAAATCCTGTGTAGAGAGTATCTGGAGCATACAGGCATATTTGCGGATGAAATTCTGATTACCGCATCCTGTAATTCACGATTGCACGTGTGAGTGTCGCTTTGCTGTGCAACTGGAAGATGTAGAAACTAACATCGGTCCCACCTCCCCTGACCTTTCTGCCCAATGAGGTTGGCGCATAATCAGGAAATTAGACAGTCAGAGTCTGGAAGCGAAAGACTTCCTCTAGGAAGTCTGTGCGGAGATGACGCAGCGCACTTCATAGCGACCCAGAGGATGGAGCTGCCAGTGAAGACAAGCAGGTCTCAGGAGCTGGCCTCGCCCCAATCGCTGCCCCCGACCCCCAAGCGCCGCAGCAGGCGTAGGGAAAGCGAGAATGCCAACCCTAATGCCTTTCCTGGCATACCTGAGGAGCCTTCATCGTCGCAAGGAAAGTGGCATGCCAGTCACCAGACAGCTGACAGTCATCTTTGGGGGAGCACAAGAGAGGACCCTGGCTTGTCAGAAGAAGCGCAGCGGGTCAAGGCACATCAAAAGTGCATTGCAGATGGCGTGGACTCGAAAATTTCGAGCACTGCTGCTTTTGATGTCTTCTCGCCTGCAGACTGGAAGCAGCAGAGCTCAAGAGTCCCTGCCCCAGCGCCAGCACAATTGCAAGGGCTACGAAGGGGGCCACTTCTGCCCCTCGAAGAGGAGCCCTCACTGGAGGCAGCAGTCCAGCAGGACAGACGCGTGCCAGCATCCAGCCGGCCTGCTGCAGATGCGCCGAGCTTCAAGGCCAGCAAGGAGCAAAGTTGGGAAGACAGGGTCTGGGAAGAGATTGCCCACCTACCCCATGGCGGGGCAGAGGGAGCAGCAGGCAACACTGCAGTATGGCTGCCTCATGTGCCCAAGCATAGCAGCATCTCTCTGCAGGCGCTGGCACCCGCGGGTCAGGTCAACAGCAGAACCCAGGACAGAGGTGCCAGCAGAGGCAGAAGCACAACAGCAGACAGGGCAACCCCTGCTGCAGAGGCTGCACAGACAGCCAGGGAGTACAAGCCCCCAGCAGAAAAGCCCAAGCCGCTGCGCACAGGAATGGAAGCTGCCACCTACCCCTGCTACATCGAGATCCTGCAGAAGGCACGCCTCAGGCCGGAGCGGCCGCCCGGCGTCCCGCCGCGCCGCCGCCCGGTGCAGCCGACCGCCGCGCGACCGGCCGCGGCCGCTGCGACCCAAAAGACAGACAAGGCTGGCGGAAAAGGTGTGCAGAAATTGCACCTTGCCCCTTGCAGAGCCTCACCCAGCAAGTCCAGCCAGTCCTGCGCAAAGAAGGCACTGCAATTGCTTGTCATGCTTAAGTGGTGCACATTTGTGCGCAGGCGCACAGCCCAAAGCGTCGCCGCAGCCGGCGCAATCGGCGCGCTATGCAGCGCTGGCAGCTTCACGGCAGGTGCTGGAGCCGAAACGGGGCCAGGGGCGGCCGCTGCTGCGCACCGAGCAGCGCTCAGCCGAGAAGGTCCTCGGCGCGGCCCCGGCGAACTCTAGGGCCGGCCACACAAATACCTCTGCGTCAGTTCTGGCAGACGCCGGAAAGAGGCATGAGCCGAAAGACCCGGCGCAGCTGCGGCGGGGAGCCGGCCTTGAGAACATGCCTCCAGCGGGCGAGCGGCAGGCGGGGGCAGGCTACGCGCAGCTCCTGCGCGCAAACGCTGGTGCGGGGGCCGCCGGCAAGACAGCTGCCGCGCAGCTGCCGGCGAGGCGCGTGCCGCGGCCGGCCTTCCGTCCCAGCGGCTCCAACGGCTGGCGCTTTGGGCAGCCCACTGTTACTGTGAGCCCTCCCTCCCTACATCCAGGCCCAAACAGCTGCACACATCCCAATGCACCAGACATTTCCATGGCCGGAAAGGAGTGCCAAGAGATAGATCGGCTTTAAAAGATTGCCTTCATGCAGTCCTGCCTATACTGTGATGTTACAGGTTGCCCCGCTTGGAGGTGATACGAGGCCTTGGGGTCCAAAGGGATACATGATGGGCAAGAGTGGCTGAAGGGTGCGTGTGGGTGGCAGGTGGGCGAGGATCTGGGGTACGGGACGGCGCATGCGCGCGCGATGGCCGCCCATGATCGAGCGCGCCGCGAGAGCGAGGAGAAGGTCGCGGCCGCCAGGGCCGCCGCCGAGCAGGCTGAGCGCCTGACGTGAACCACCCCACCCCTTATACCAAACTCATGCCTGCACTGTACATCTCCAGTCTGGCCTCTGAAAACAGGGCATCAAACATGGCGGATGAGGGACAAAATTTGAGGGTCTCGGGGCTAATTTGAATGGCATTGCAATTCCTCCAACGATAAATTCGTAATCATGCCATTCGAGATTAAGGTTGTGTACATGAGCTGGTGACAGTCGATGCAAACGATGTAATTTGCCCCACTTAAAGGTGATCTGAGGCTTTTGGGTCGGTAAGGGCTAGTTGGTGATGGCGAGTCGGTGAGGTGTTTGTTGTGTGGGCGCAGGAGCAAGGCGCATCGGGCGGTGGAACAGCAAGCGCAGATTGCAGCTGCGGAGAGAGCGCGGGCGCGGCTGCTGCTGAGCTCGGACTACACGCTGCAGGAGCGGCTGGAGTGGGCCTCCAACCCCGACGACACCCGCTCCCTCCATTCCAAGTAACTCACCTTCCTCAATCAAATTCCTTTGCATGCCTTGTTATAGGTTGCCCCGCATAGAGGTTCTGAGGCCTTTGAGGTCCTGGTTGAGGAGAACTACAGACTGCCAAGCTGCTTTGATGAGTACTGCTAATGGGTTCTTCCAGCCTGCCCATGCCCTGCTCTTGCTATTAGCGTGTGCTCCAAGTACTTTCCTGCTCCCTCGTGCAACTCTGTCTATCATCCAGCAATCCTGTCCACTAATTTCCAATGAAGTTTTCATTGGATCATGAAATCTTGACTGAATGAGCATAACCCATGCCCTGCTAACCTGCAAGCCCGCAGCTTTCACATGCTACAATCATGCCGAAAGGCAATGAAATGGAGCTCAGAAAAGCACAGGAGTGAGCAGATATTCAGATGCTGTCTATTAGTCATTCATGGTGGAGAATATAATATTCACCAGGCCGCACCAAGCCGATTTGTTGCGAGGCTACTCTGAGAGGGAGGACATGTGTCCAGGCTGCTGGCGAGCAGCATTGGCCGCTGGCCAGCAGACTCCCTGCGGTCGTCCTGGGGCCATCCGCTGGTAGGCGCCTCAGGGAAGGCAGCACGCTCGTCTGGCGCGGCACGCCACCTCTTCCCGGGGACGGCAGCAGCCGCCGAGCCGGCCGGCCGCAAGCGCAACCGCGCCCTTGAGTGCAGCCCAGCCGAGCAGCAGGTCACACCCTCTGCCTGCCTCTGCACCGAGCTTCACAGCCGCTGTCGACGCTTGCAACAGTGTCCTTGTCTGTTGGCCTGCAGCCTCGAGGAGTCCTTTGCAGCAGCATGCTGCTGCAGCTTCTTATCAGGGGTGATGAGCACATCTGATAAGCTTGCAGCCTCCTGCTGCTTTTGACAATTTGATTGCATGCCGTGTTACTGAAGCGTTTATGCTGCGGTGTCCAGGTGTACGACATGTCTGCCATCCGTGCTGGACGGCCTGAGAGCGTGCTGGACGGCCTCAGGGAATCGAATGGGAGGGGCTGCGAGCGATCCATCGACATGGCTGGCACACCGAGGTGCGCTGAAATCCAATGGACCTCCTCTACAGGCATTTGGCTGGGGAAATGTCCACCAGTTTCCTTGCAGCCCCTTGCGCATGACAGAATTGCAGAAATGCAAAGGATTCTTGCAGGAAGTGTTGGTTGCAGGATGGCAACCCTTTGCAGGTGCTTCCAATTGTATGTTATTGTCATGGCATGCTTGTCCACCGTTTCATTTACATGGTCTGAGTGATGTGCCACTGATGCGGCCAGGTCGCATGTCTCAGACACGGTGCTTACGGGCTCAGGTCCTCTTTGCGACCTCACGGCCGCACCTGGCGTGCACACAATACCGGCCGGCCAGAGGTGCGCTGAAGCACAATGATTTTGTCTTGAAGGCAGGCTGAGCCTTACATCATGCAACCCACTAACGCTGGCAGCATGGCCTTGAATCTGGGATTTGCAGACTTGCAGGTTTGTGTCCGAAAGATCATCCAGTGGTGGCTTACGGTATATCGACTGACAAAAGTTCAAGCAACTGACATAATGTTATACACAGGGCTGAGGCGGGTGATGACGTGGAGCAAGATGACTGCCCAGACACTGTGACGAAGACACTTGCTCGCGCAGAGGCCCAGCAGCCGCAGCGTGGCTCCGGCTTGCACTGCAACCCAGTCTTCGCAGACGCCCTGCACCGCTCGCAGCAGGCAAGCTCATTACTTTCTCTGCCAAGCCCCAAGCGCTGCACGCCTCTGGCCTGAGCCAGTGTGTTTGTTGTGTTTTGTGGTTTGCACTAGAAGAATGGGGAGAACTGCTGCAGCATGGCTGTGTGTCGTCACGCATGCTTGTGAAGGCAAAGTGTATTAAGGGGTCTCAATCTTGGAAATGGTATGCAATATATATGGTATGCATATTGTTCACTGTTGTTTGAGGCATCGTTTACCTGCAGCAGCTTCTCTGCAGCCTGCAGACATAATTTGATAGTGATAATAATAAGGATAAATATGTCAAATATTTTGACTGCAGGAGGTGCACAGCTTGCTGGAGAAGGAGGCGGTGAGGTGCATCTTCATCCAGGACAACCCCACCTTTGACTCCCTGCGCTCCTCCCTGGGGCTGCCCCCCTCGCAGCTCACCAGCGCCTCTCAAACTGCAGAGCAATGCCAGCTCGCCCTCAAGGTCTCCCATCCTCACCCCCCCACTTCCCATCTATATCTTATCTTTTCTACCATCTGTCCAGTGGGCCACATTTTCAGACGATACAATATAAAGTGCGGAGCCTTATTGCAGAACAAATTGCTGGCTTGCAAATACCATTTTTGCCTATGGCAGAAACAGCGTGTAACTGTGATAACAAGAGCAGTAGTAATATTACTACTGATAGTAATATATGGGTTCAAGATGCGTAGAGAACGCACTCATGACGCCCGTTTGTTCATTCAGGATCACAATGGCGAGGCAAAACAGCGTGCGGCGTACCAAATGCTTGGCCGGCTAGAGGTGCCGGCCGATGCGGCGGCTGCCACCGATGCCGAGCGGCAGAGCAAGCCGAGCGGCGCCGAGCAGCCGGCCCTGGGCGGCCGCGCCGCTGATGCCGGCGGGGAGGTGTACATTCTGGCGGCAGCCGACGCTGTGGAGGGCGCTCTCAACTCGCACCAGGTGCGATATCGGCGCAATATCACCCTTTTGAAGAAATCTTAGAAGACATCCCCCGCTTTTTTGGATTGTTGTGACATGTGCCCACCACTGGCGCGTATAAACATGTTTCCCCCTCATCAGTCTAGGGAAATGTGGGACATGTCTAGCATCCCTGTCTGTCACGCAAGTGTCGTGGCTTCCAGGTCCATCTGGTTTCCAGGGTCCAGGATCATGACGTGTCCAGCAGCGGCAAACCGACCCTTGCATATTGCAACCTCAAGGCACGTTGAAAGAAAAGCATTCAAAGCTCACCGGGCTGTGCATGCGCAGGCGGCAAAGCAGGATGCTGCAGAGGCGCAGATGCAGGGGGCGCGCTCGCAGAGCGTGTTCAACTCCAGCCTAGGCTTCCTGGGCAAGGACTACGCACCGCTGGAGAACAGCCTCTCCGCGCATGGGCCCTCACCAGACACCGGCATTGACACCTGTGCGCACATCCCTTAACATGAGAAAGATTACATGCACCCAGTGTGCAAAGCGCCAATGGTTGATTGCGTCTTGCTTGAATGTTGCGTGTTCAACAAGGGGAATGGTAGGTTGCAGGCCTTTACCTGCAGCTTGTCTGCAGGCCCACCTTGCCTCCTGGCAGGAACAGCCTCCTTATCAATAGAAATCTTGAAAAGCACAAAACAGGTGCTGAGAGCTGCAGGGTTCCTCACTTGTTGTGTGCATAGCATCCTCCGCTTCTTTCAGCAGGTCCTCGGAGTGCATTGTAACTGCAATGAGGACTGTGTGTGTCGGGAACTGGTTGGTGACATGGTCACCTGAGCATGGTGAAGATCAACATCCGTTGGCGTACTTGCACCTTAGATTGTGCTGCATGGCTCTGCAGGCGAGGTGGAATCACGGAGGGCGGACGATGTGACGCTATCTCTGGACTGGCGACCCGCCAATGCGCCACTGACACGTGTCTGTGAAGCAGGTGAGCAGACCTGCTTCATTCTTACACATGTCCCTACACTGCCCTGATCAGACACTGCAGTGAGAAACAATCCCCCTGCTTTGATGGTTGCTTGCTAAATGGGTGCTGTGCAATTCACACCTGTCTCGTGTCGCACGCATTCTAATTACATTGCAAGGCAGCCCTCTCTATCTTTTTTGGCGCTCGCTGTGCATCTCTCTTTCTCTGCCCAAGTCACATCAAAGAATATGGAATTGATACGGGTGTTTGTGACATGCAGAGTGGAGCCCGGCAGCAGCGGCGTTCCAGGGGCAGAACAGCACAGTGGATGTCTCACAGGCAGGCTCCGCTGCAACACAGGGCTCCATAACTGAGGGTGCTACAAACACCGTGGCCCCCAAGAAGTGGTCCTGGCTGACCCGATGGGGCTGCTTTGCGCCAGCAGTGCAGCCATAGAGTGGAAAAAAGGTGGTGAATCTGAATAGCGGGCAGTAAATATGGCGCATTTAAGTCTAGATGCTGAGTTGTGACCGGACATGAATAATACTGCTGGCAAAATTGTGAGCACTTCACCTCAACACTGGGTGGCAGAGTAGAGAGAATTTGAGCCTCGGGCAACCTTTTCATAGCAATTGTCAATTGGAAGATACTGTTGACATCACAAAATACAGCTGGCCTGCCAGGTTCTAGTCTGACAAGCACTGATGCTTCTTGCACGAATATTGACGATCGCGAGATTGAAGACTGTATGGTGCCCCAGTGGATTAATCAGTATTGTTCCAGTTCTGCATCACAGAAGCAATATGTGAGATAAGTGATTGGCACAGCTTGTACTGCATGACATGTTGCTCAGGTAATTACAAGCAGATTTGCTTGCTATTGAGCTTGCCATGGCTGTACAGGCTGACATGTCTCCTCGATAAGGAGGGATGTGGTAACAGACTTGAATAGCACGCAAAAGACACATAACATAGCTAACCACTGGTAGTATTGTTATAAATCTACTTATAAATTGGTCCGTGAGAAGACTCAGGTCTCCGTCTCTTCCCTTAGCTCCTCCTCAGCTTCCTGAAGCTCCATCAACGCATCGTTGATGCTTGTGACAGCAGCCTGCAGAGGACAGGATTCTTTAGAACACATCAAAGGAAAGCAATGCTTCATTGCAGGAACCAGTGGCACACAAGAAGATACCGAAGCACCGGTGGCACATTTGAAGTATCTCAATTTGGTGAGGGCGACAGGAGGCATTACAGAGAAGGGCACACCTGTAGCTCCAGAGTGGCCTCTGTGAGTGCATTATTGAATTCTTCCTCTGTTGGCTCGGGTGGCCGACTGCAGCAGTGGCCATGCCCATTCGCATGAGCCCCTTCTGCAGTAAAAATGGCCATGGCAGGCATCAGGTGTCATCTCACGCAACGGTGCAGATCGCTTCTGCAGGTTGTTTGTGGGCATGACATGCTTGCAATACGTATATACATGTGATATAGGCAGAGCATGCGCCCATGACATGCATGGCGAGCTGCAGGGGCTGTCACCTTCATCTGAGGGGTCTCCAAGGGAGCTGCTCTGCTGCTCGACTTCCTGCCCCTGCTGCCAGCTGAACCTCTCCATGCTGGCTTCCTTTTTCAACGCCTGCAGACAACAAAAGATATGCCGCCAGGGGTCAGGGACAAAATAATGCATCTGCCAAACGCCAAGCCCCACCCTCCCCAAAACATTTTTGGCACGACCATGCAGACAAGCTGACAGAGACCCTGTACCGAGATTGGCTCGCGAATTGGCGATTGTTGGCCCCTGCGCTGCCTCTTAAAAACACCAGTGATCTCAGAATAGTCTCTGTGTGCAGGAGCAAGGCGCCAGCCGGAGTCGCTCAGTCGCCATGGTCCACTGGTGCCAGCAGGGGACTCTAAACTAACCAGGTAGTTTACAGTCACCTGACGCCAGTGAAGGCAGGGGGAATGTACCTGATGGACGAGGGTGAATTTGAGCTTTGCCCCCTCGGCCTCCTGCAGCTGGCGCAGGTGGGCTGCCAGATCAGGCCGCGCCAGGTCACCGCTGAGCTGCGCCTCCGCCGCTCGCACGCTCTCATTCACCTCTGCAAATGCGCGCGTCGTATCCACCATCAGCTGCCTGCATTCAACACCCATCTTGCTGTGAACGCGCTCCCTTGTCATGTGTTGTCAGAAGATTAAAGGGACTTCGTGAGGGGTCAAAATTTGTCTGGGTGGCAGCAGAAGGGACGATGTCATGTCAGTGTGGGATAGCTGTCCACTGTCACGTTATGCGGCACAGCTCCAGTCATGACTCTCCGCAACAATTGATGCAACGGAGCAAATGTCATATGTCTGTTGAGTGTCATGGTAATGAGAGGAAGCATGACTTGCTGGGCACACACCTGAAGGGCCCTTCGTCTTTGGAGCGCAGGTACTCTGTGAAGGCGTCGTTGAAGCGCACATACTGGCGCACTCGCCTCTCCTGCGCTGCCTTGAACTCGCCCAGAACAGCCAGCACCTCTGCAGACTCTGGCTGGGATGCACACATGGCTGTCTCTGCCCTCTTAGGCCGCTGTATCTAGTTGGGACGCTATCCTCTGGCTTGCCCTGGAATTGATTGAAAGGCGAGCTGCTTAGCGCATGTCCTCGCGGCGGGGAGGCTGGTACGTGTTCTCCTCGTTGAACTCCTTCAGGCGCTTCTCCAGCCACTCGACGACGGTGGGTTGCACGAAGAGTCGCGTATCGTCCAGATCCAAGATAACAAAGCGCTCGTTGGTTGGCTTGCTATCGTTCAGGCTCAGTATGAACTCTTTGGTTGGCACGTCACTGCACATTCACACATGTAGATGAGGCTCAACGACATCATATCACGATCATCAAATCTTGATTTACACACATAGTATGAGGAAGATCAGTTCACCACTGCAGCAGGACTCCACGCATCGCTGACACCATCTAGCCATCAACAAATGGGCCTGGCTGGATCTACACAAAGGGATGAATGACTGATGCTTCCTGGTACGTACGGAATGTGCTCAAAGCACAAACATAAAGAGGAAAAGAACGATTGTGAGATCTAATGTAATTATCCATGAAGGGTGAAAGCTGTGCATGCTCTCTTGAACCAAAGGATCGATTCGGTGGCGTTCCTTTCGCAGCTTCCCATCGAGAGGAAGCCGCCCGATATACATTGCGTCGCCTCCTCCATGTAGGGCAAGCCGCATATATAAGCTTCCTGTGACTAAATAAAGCTAAGAGCAGGGTGTTTCCTTGACACTAGAAGTGAACATCATGGCAATGAACACTATGCTCTCGTCGGCAAGCAGGCTTGCCCTTGGAGACGCCCGGGTATTGATGCAGCGTGTCACTGCACGTCTCTACACAAGCTCGCCCCAGGTCCAGATGGGATTTGGCAGTCATTCCTCAGACAACGACCCGGAAGTTCTGGACAGGGAAAAGGAAAGGAACCTGAAAGGTCAGTATCGGGGCGGTGATTAGTCCGAGAACAGCTGCAGAACCGAGAGTCTCCGTGACTTCTGTCTTTTCAGTCTGTTCTAATGAGGTCCTTTCCTGGGATTTGAGTGGAATGTGTTGTGCTCATTGTGACTAAGGTCACCCCACTACAGGCACGCCGAAGTCTGCCGTGAAAGATTTGGAGGAGGGCTGGAACGAGAAACTGGCATCGGACTCAGAAGCAGCAGTACGTTGAGCCCACCTTCGAATACTTTTTGCTTCTTCTTGCACACATTGCTGTCCAAGGGAAACGACAGGAACCGTCAGCTCTGGATCTGGGTCACAGACCTTTTGATCCTTCACCCTGCAGGTGAAAGCTGAGCGCCATCACAATGGAAGCGAGTCGATAGAGGATCTGCAGAAAAAATCTGTTCACCACATCCGGACAGAGCACCACGAGGAAGAGCATGTGGTGGGGAGCGTGGCCCCCAAGTAGTGTGCCCTATAAAGGGCTGGGCACGTTCTGAGGATCGTTCCCACCCTACAAGCAGCAAGGATGTGCACCTACGTCATTTGAAGGATGTAGATGTGCCAGCAACCCTGTAATCCTTTGAGGGAAACACAAAGAATGTCATCATCGCTTGTGTAACTGTCAAGGTCCCAACAGGCCATCCTTATAACCTGCTGCACGAAGCTGGTTGGGTGGATGGCTGGTCTACAGCCCTCAAATAGTGCGTACATGGTGCACACATGAACGCTCATGGTTGACTTGTCTGCTAGAGGGACGAAAGGGCTGTGCATATGTGCAGGTATTTGGGTTCACAAGTAGACTGAGTAAGGTTTATATGTACAGTATCAAAGCCTGCTGTAATCTGAAGTAGTTCAATTGGTGTGCACCCACTTATGCTGGCTGTGCTCTTTCCCTCAGAAACGGGGCAGCTCTGGTTTGCTGATGCATCTTGGATTGCAGACTCAACTCCAAATGGATCTTGCTCAGTGAGCTGACATTGTACTGGACTAGAGAGATCATGGCAGCCTCTACGGTAGCTTGGGAGACAGCACATTTGCGTGGTAGGTTGCGTATGCACACACTGGGCAAGAAAGGCTTCCGCAGTGAAGGGAGCATGACCAATTGGGTGTATCCTCAGCAAATTTATATAGATTATGTGAAGGCTGGCATGCATGTGGAACATGCTGAATTTAAGTGTGTGGTGCATGTGTCTGTCAGTGAATAATCATAGAAATTTGAAAGATCTTTTGTGCTGGTTCAGGTTCAAGTCTCGCATCCCAAGCTTACCGATTCACTCAATAGTTTACAGATCAGGCCAGGAAATATAAAGATGTCCACACCAGGATATTGCAGAGATACTTCTGCTTAGCACTCAGAAGGGGCATGGTTTAACATCAATGTTCAATTATTGATCACTCTTGAAGACAGCACCCCTAAACAAGGAAGCGTGGATTGCCCATGACATGAGGCCTCTCTGGCCTAAGGTGCTGCCACAGATTAGCACAACTCCCTCATAGAGAACATGCCATGACAAGAACATGCCCAAGAAAAAGACCCGCATATATGGTGGATTTGGCTACTGCATCACCCCTGGAACCTTCCCCCTGGCATATCATAAAGTGCTGCTCAAGTCCCCATCTACTTACCAGGACGACTCTACTGCATTCTTGCTACCTAACAGACAGAACGTCTAGATAAACGTGCAGTTCAATGACCTTGACCATGTGCACTTTGTTTCTGTTTGGGGACTCAATTGAGTCCCCAAACAAAACAACATTGTCAGGCAACCATGGGCATGCCGTCACGTGAGATATGAGCCGAGACACATACAGAGAACCTTTCGATTTGTCCATCCTGGAGTTCATCCAGTCTGTAATACATCTGGACAAGTGCAGATGGTGCTGTGGGGCTGAAGTCACTCCACCACACATCAACTCGCTGTTGGTGTAAATGCATGGAGCAACATCAGGCTCCAGACAGACTGGCGCTCTCACTGGTGCTGGCTCTCATAGAGGGTCCATTTGCGTTTCCGGGCGCACTCGTTCATGGTGAGCTCTGACTGCAGGAAATACATCCCAAATGCCGGGCTGACCTGCGCGTGCAAGGAAGGTCGGTCAGAATGTAGGGAGGGATTGATCTCACAACAGTACAAAACTAGCACTGCCTAGGATGTTCAGGGACCTTTGCATATCCTTAAAACCCTTTCATGACATGAAGAAACATGCACCAATATCCTCATGAGATGGGACCAAGTGACTTCTTACAGTAGAAATCGAAAGGATACTGTCGACCGATGGCTGCTTGATCTCAATATGCTGTTCTTACATTTATAAAAAGTAATGACGCAAGCCCAGACAAATTGGATCATTCCTTGCTTGTGCAAGTGAGGAATATGGGCAGACTTACAATCAGTGCGGTCTTGCCGCTGACTCCCAGGGATGACCTGAACGCTGGCAGGTATTGATTTGCCAGGAATACTAATGTCCCTGCAGTAGCCAACGCCCAGCCGGCAGCCTTGCCACCAGCCACTAGACTCTGTTGAACACAGTCTTGTTGTGTCTGCTTGCGAAGCTCCTCCAGAGCCTTCTCCTTAGACATCCCGAATTGCTTTATGATTCTACAGTTCTCGTGTATCAGTTGTGCTGCAATGTTGACATATATTGATCAAGAAATCAATATTAGAACAGCAGTGATTAGTCCTTCGGCTCATGACCCTTGAATTATAATCTAGCTAGCTGATATCAATATCTAGGTAGGCATGTTCAGGCTTTCGAAGCACTAATTGACCAGCAGAAGAGAGAAAGCTGTCCTCATTTGACATTCATTCGTACCGTCTTAAGCAGGTGGTATTGTAGCCAAAAGTAGTTTGTAATCGCCTATCAGTGCACACTTGAGGAAATTTTCCTAGGACAGATCAAATCGGGCCGCGATCAGCTTGGAAAGCAACAGATCAAAGCAGATAGAAATATTGCTACAGAAGCAGTTTCATGTCTGGAGTAGCCAGAGGACGCCTGGCTGAAGAGCGCAAGGCTTGGAGAAAAGACAAGCCCTTTGGGTTTTTTGCACGTCCTGAGACTGCAGCTGATGGGTGAGCCTTGATGCTGACTGCTTCAATCAAACTGAACGTACTTTGAATGATGAGGAGGATGTTCACCTAGTTCCACGGCAACGCATGAAAACTCAAGAACACATGCCCACTGAACCTTCGTTGCAGGAGTGTGAACTTGATGAAATGGAACTGCCATATTCCTGGGAAGCCAGGCACTGATTGGGAAGGTGGCTACTTCCCCTTAACAATGGAATTTTCTGACGAATATCCAGCGAAGCCTCCCAAGGTACGTGTTGTCAATGCAGTTGGAACCAGAGCAGCCAGTGCTGTGCTTTGTTGTCAATCTGCCCTCTTTAAGCCAGCACTGACCTGTGTTTGTGTCTTCGTCCAGTGCAAGTTCAAACCAAGCTTTTTCCACCCAAACATCTACCCATCTGGCACAGTCTGCCTGAGCATCCTGAACGAGGTTTGTGACTGTCCGCCCTGGACCTCTACCTCCTAAGAAGTCATCTCTATGGAAATGCATTGGTATCTGACGATACTTCTATTGACAGGATGAAGGCTGGCGGCCCTCTATTACAGTCAAGAACATCTTGACAGGCATTCAGGTGACCTCCTGATTTCTCATGCGGATGTGGATGGCATAAATCACAGCTGTCTGCATTAGCGCGTGTATTTACCAAACGGGAGGGGAAGCCTGCGCTGAACTTCCTGCCATCTTCTGCACAGGACCTTTTGGACGACCCAAATCCTAAGAGCCCGGCACAGGCTGAGGCGTTCATGATGTTCACCCAGCAGAAGGTAGAGTACCGGAAGCGAGTGAAACAGCAGGCGCTGAGAAACCCAGTGCCATCCTGACTCTGAGCTTGACATTTTTCTTGAGCATGAAAGCTGCTTGAGAAGCTGACACACCAGCAAGTGCACACCTTTTGTTGGGGGCGGCTCTGCCTGGGGTTGCTTTTGGTGTTGCTGTGCTGGATGAATGGATCCCCTTGTGACAGGGCAAAATTGAGGTGCCTGCTGTGTGGGGGCCAAGGCTTAGCATGCCCACTCTCATTTGAATACTTTGTCAGAGTGTGCCTTTGCAGTTGCATTTCAACAAGGCACATGTGTATATCAGCTCCTTGAGAGCGTCTTCTAGGCAAGCCGGCAGCTTTGGAGATTGGCAGGTACACGTACCTAGTTATAGAAGCCACCGTGGCACTGTGTGACACTGTAGTATGCTGTACTTTATACGTTGCACAGCAGTACTACTGAGTATGACTTGCCGTTCATGACGGTCATAGTAGTACTTTCTGTAAGCTACACGAAGGTGACATTGGATATAAGCCAGCATGGTTTCTGATGTCACAGTCGTCACATTATTTATGATAACTGTTATTTTGAAATCAGGATCCAGAAGAAGTAGTGCCCTTCATTCACTCGCACATCACCCTCTGCAGAAAGGCAGCTGCCTCCGACAAACCCACAGAAAATTCACTGAATACAGGTCGAGAACCCCTGCACATGTATACAGTAATGCTACTCCATCCATTGTCTGTATCAAAATTTGCCGTGGCTCACATCAAGTCAGAGCAACATTTAGCAGGACGCTGTTCATACATCCTCTCTCCTCTCGAATCAAGCAACTCACAGTACTGCACGTCAAAGTCCATTGCACTCCAGCACTGCAGATCTAGCTGGGAGGGATGGAGACACGGAGGAGGCTGAGCTCATATTCCAGGGTGGCCCCTGGAGGGACCTCCCCCTGCTTCTCCGGCACATGCTCTGTCGGCCGCAGCACTGCGCCCTGATCCCCAAAGCCCAGCTGTGGCGGCACCGTCACCACGCGAATGCCACCTGCCCGCGCCAAGACACCACTGTCGAATTCCAATCCGCACGCCATGAATACAGACACATGAGAAGTTTGTGATATGAAGATGGGCAGTGACAGACTGCACACACGACCAATGAGCATCAGGTGGCTCTCAAAAGGTCTCTTAAATGTAACAAATGTAATACTAAGAACAAATAACACGGCACCGCCCAATAATACGTCAACGACATGGAATGGCACGGGAGCCGACATCATGCTGCTCTTCAGGTTGGGCGAGAGTGTCCAAGAGTTTTGAGAGCGTTGTTGTTGTCTCTGTACCTGCTCTCATGGTGGAGAGTGCTTCCTCCACGCCCTGGCACAGGCCGCCGGTGAATGGCCGTGCGCCATATCTGAATACAATCGGCTTTCCCCGCTCCTTTGTGTCCTCAAACACCTTACCATCAGCTGTTGCCCTGCCCAGGATGACAGAACCACACGCCTCAGCCATGACAAGTGGAATGGTGCACATCTGATCACATGCTGGGTCAGCGATCTGCTGACTATGTGCAGCTCAATCTGTGATGTTGAGAAGTTACCTGTAGTCAAGCACTATCAAAAACCCCCTTTCGACAGGTGCTCCGCCTCCAATCCGTCTGTCGGTGTATTTGAGACCTGATGCTGTGCTCACAACTTTCTGGTCCTTGACATCCTGTCATCATGTGCACGATGCATTCATTCCACTTTGAGCCTGAGCAGGAAAGCACCCTCACTTTGCATGCACAGCGCTCTGCAATGTACCTTTGTGTCTTTCTGCTCTGCGCTGACTTCCAACCGCGTCTTGATCTGCTCTGACACAACGCCAAACGTGAGGATGCCAAGCCACACCAATCCGCCTGCAATTCTGCACATCACAGGAAGATATAAGGGTCCCAGCTGAATACTCCAATACTGTACTTTCGACACCATCATGGAACATGGCACTTACCCAAACCGCCGTGTGAGCTGACTGGAAACCCAATCTGTGGAATCAGCCTGCCTGCGCCTGTTCTTTGAGCCTTGAGATCTGGTGTTCACAACCTGGGGCTCTGACTGTGTTTCCGTTGTCGAAGCCTCTTTCTCTGTGGTGGAACTTTCGGATTCTAGTTTGCTGCATCTTATGTAAGTATAACCATGCCGTGAGGCCCTGATGTGATGGCCTGCACGGCATGGGGACTGGAAAGGTACATGTGATCTGTGCTTCCGGCTTGTCAGAAGCAGCGAGCAATCACTCTGGGAAAGCACAGATGTGTTCATCATGTTGTTGTGCATTAAATCATCAATTTCAACCGCATTAAAGACGCTTCTTCCTGCATGACTGGATAATTGCACGGTTCGTCTCCCAAATGTTGCTTAATCTGGCAGCTTGTCTAGGACTTGGCAACACATTGGCAAGTCGATGTGGAGTGTTCAATCATTTCATCTGTGATATACATGACCAAGACACTTGTTCAATTGTCGGATCAGGGCCAGGTTCTTCGGTTGCGTCGATCTGCGTGCCAGCCCTCCAAGCATTGCCAGCAGATCGTCAATATTTTGCTCCTCTGTGCTCTTTGTTTCCAAGCATCCCGCCTGACTGGAAATCATAAATTCCTTTTTTCACTTCCAGTGATCAGTATCGCACTCCAAGGCAACAGTGCTTATAATGCCGAAAAGGAAGACAGGTGCAGCAAAGAAGAAGGATCGGCAGAAACAGCATCAAGTGGTGAGCTGTTGGCATCTGCATACACAAATATGATCACACAGTGTGTCTTGGCGTATATGACAACGTGCATGTGAGGACCTCACAACACCTGTATCTGGTGTTTCTCCCCCAGGGCTTGCGCAACAGACAAGCAGAAATCGACCTGGCAAAGGAGCCATGCAATGCAGACATGGTTTGCGATGCTTGCGGTACAAAGCAGCGAAACAGGGCCTTCTGCTATTTTTGCAACGCCACACAGCGGGTCCCATGCTGTGCAGAGTGTGGCTCGACCAAGTGCGCACCTTGCTCTTGCCAGAGCACCTTCTCACATTCTTAGTAGTGTACATGCAAACTGCTGTATCATGCCATTAGATTAGGCCCAATGTCAAAGACATCTTGCATACAGTGTCTCGTCCAGTTGAAATGTGCGAACTAACATAAAGGAGTGGTGTTGACGTGCAGATGCATGGGTAGGGATTGTTGCGTGCCACATGGGGGCAAGAATGCCACCGGGATGGCCCTGGTGGGAGCCGTGTGCGATCACTGCGAGGCGTGGGTGTGCCACTCCCGGAAATGCCTCAGCACGTGAGACACACCTTCCTCTGCCCCATCTTCCATCACACTCTCTCTTGCTCATCATGATCTCCCTCCAATGCAGGGCTATGGGGTCTCGGAATTGTAACCTCCTGAATTAATCTAAGCTGACAGCGCGCTGGTGATTGCAGGCACGCATGCAGGTGTCCCATTGCAGGCGCAGTCTGCACAGAGTGTGAGCGCAGCGTCTGGGAACATGGAGGCCGCCTGTTCACGGCGAGTTCTCAGACTCCTCTGCGCTCGGCCCCCTGCAAACCTCCAAACCCATCCGACTGTCTGTGGTCCCCATCAGATCTGCTGGGGATCATCTGAGATTACACACGTCCTAATATTGAATTGTGTTGGTGTGCAGTGCGCCACCTGCGCGAACTGGATATGCGAGGATGACCAGCTGGAGCACCAGGCCATGTGCCAGGTCAGCCTTACTCATCTGCTCAGCCTCTGGCTACCTGCAGAGCCTGCATACATACCTACCAGTGAAGCTGTACACACAGGGTGTTGCGCGGGTTGCAATGTATCATGTGACAGGATTGCACCGTCTGTCTTTCCTCTCGCAGGATATGCAAAGAACAATGGTGCAGGTGTCAGGGTCCCTGGGGCGAGCCTTTGCAGGGCTTCGTATTGAGCAGGCTTTTATATTGACAGTATTAGATCAATTGATAGTTAATTGAGGAATATTCACAATATAAGAAGTCATCTGAGCGCAGATGTCTATGCTTATTCTGAGGATGTATGCGCTCACAAACAGGTGCTGGAGAGCGAGACGGGCAAGTGCATATCATGCAACCGGCTGGGGGTATGGTCGTGCCTGCGCTGCAAGCTGGCCTTCTGCGATACCCACGTCAAGTCCAAGCTCAGCATGGCGCAGGCCGTCGGCCGCAAGGACCCCTACAAGTGCAAAAAATGCGGGTGCGCCTTAGTCTCCTACCCCCCATCCCGGGCCCTCTATGCAGGCAACCCTTGTCCTGAGATTCTGAGTCTGCATCAGCGTTGGTCCAATGGAAGAAGTGCAGCAGTTCTGTGCTTTCTTTCCGCGTTGCCAAATTTGGATGTCTAGCCAGGGGCAGCACCAAGTGTTTCCCTGCGTTGGAGCCGGACACATCAGAGCCATGATACAGTGCTAGTCATCAAACGGCGGTGCATGAGGTAGAGCGGCTGGGGTGGGTGCAGGTACGAGCTGCAGGAGAGCAAGATGCTGTCCATGAGCACGCGCAAGCACGAGTACGGCCGCCAGACGCGCGACGAAGCCGCAGAGGTGTCTCCCCGCTCCATGCACCCCCTAGCCTCCCCCCTCAAAATCCATCCAAAACCCGCACTGCCGGGTGATGATGATCGTCGCAGGCATGCATGCATGCACATTCCTGCCGTGCAAGATTGATTACCTATTATCATTAGAATTTGCAGACTGGATGGGGGCCACCTAAGTGGGCAATTTTTATTGTCAATCATAGACAAAATGTCTGCGTTCTCTCAAGAAATTTGTGTCTGCCGTCCGTAAGTTGGAGGCTAGCAAACAGTGACAGCGCAAGCCGCCAAGAATGAGATGTGTGCATTTGCAGAGCGGGTGGGGCTATGCTGCGGCTGCTAGCAGCAACCGCGAGGAGGCATCAGGATACACTGCAGGGTATGGTGGAGGGTACACCGGAGGGATGGGCGGGCTGGATCTTGGAAACGACAGCGAGTCGGAGGACAGCGATGATGACTCGGAGGGCTCTGACTCAGAAGAGGAGTGATCAACTGAGAGGCAGCCAAAGCAAGAGATTGTGTGACACATATGGAGTGTCAGGCAACCTGCTAACCCTTGTTTGTCTTGTTGAACTAGTTTGGACTAGAGATTGTTTGAGCTCCTAGCTAAATTTTCTGGAGCAGTGAGAATAACAGTCGACGTGACTGTGTGAATCAGTTGTCAGTCTTGACTCAGTGATCCCCAATCCAGTGATCGAGAGTGCGCCTCAGCGGGATCATTGTTCAACAAGTTGCTGTCGTATCAGTGATCATGGACTCCATTCGGAATCATGATAATCAGCGCCATCATCTCTCTATGTCATCATGCATGATGGTGGTCCACCCATGGCCATTCCGATTGCATAAAAATCTGGCTATGCCTTGACTTATGCATTTCTGTTAGTGAAAATTCCATACCATTTTCTCTAATCTCCCTTATGGAAGGAGGGAACACCACTTCCGGGCGGCTCCTACTGTAGGGTTCCAACCGAGTCGCAGAAAGGATTCCTTGACCGTCTTGACCGATCTGCGCTCGTTTACTGGAATAGAAACTAATCTTGGGTTTTGGAAACTCTATCCAAGTAATTAGCGGGCGCAGGTGCGCTCTCAGCTCGCTGTGCGAAGGTAATCCGAACGGGCATCCCGTTCGCTAAAAGTCCGCTTATTTATTGTGCAGGCTAACTTTCATATTCACTTGAGCCCATTGCATGTTACATTTCTTGAGTATTACCCTACTGCAGTTCCTGGCGCTGAAACCGTTTGACTTGGACGAGGATCACTATGAAATCTCGTAAAATTTTCTGTCTGATCCTGGCTTTGGCACTGGTCGCTTCCAGCACTGTGCAAGCTGAGAACAGCATTGAAGAAGGTCAGTCATATTTGTACTGCTTAATGCTCGATGCTTATAGGTGTAAGTTTAAGACTCTGCCTAAAAGGGAGGTCCATGGACAACACAATTGCCCACTGGCCGAAACGCTGTTGCTTCTTTGACAGGTGCCAATTATGGCGTCTTACCTATCATCAACGATCTTGGCGGGCGTTTGACCCAGGCTGGTGAGTCCACCATTTATCTTCAGGATGCAGCCTTCTGGTCAATGCCGGCTGGTTTCTGATACTCTGCATAAAGTATGCGAAGAATTGGAGGTGGTGATCAAGCAAATAACGGCCATTGGCGGCTCTGTGAACGAACATCTCCCTGTCACAAATATTTAGATATATTGAAGACTGTGTCCTGCTGCAGACAGCAAGGACGGGGACAAAGCCGGCCCTCCTCCAGTCAAATGCACCTATTCAAAGGGCCCACTGGGCATCAATATGGTCTGCACTTGACCAAATGCCTAGAATGGTTATAGCCTAAAATGAATGTGCATACCAGTAGTACTTTCCAATCTGTTCAGATGAAACTTGAGGTGTCCATATGGCCGCACAATGATTGCGATTTTGGATCCAATCTGCAGCTGCATGGTTACTAGTTACTTAATGATCAGGCACCTCAGGCCGGGCCCTTTAAGGAGGCCATAGCACAACATTAGTTTTCCGCTGTTAGGAGCAAGCCACTACTTGCTCCCAATGGGATTGCATTGTTCATATAGGCAAAGCTTATGCAAGGATCCCTGAGATCCAATCTTGATAATTGCAGCAGTAAAATAATCACGCAGCAATCCTACTAGTGAAAAAATAAATGTCACACAAGACATGTCACAGTGAATGACACACAAAACTTGTATTGCCGTTCACAGCAAGGAATCCGATGTGATAGCTGTGTCCTAAAGAATACACTCAAGTTGTTCGACAGTCCTAACCTAATCCTAAATTTAACAAAAGTACCTTATCCTAAACACCAAAATTTGCAATCATGTGTTTGCCAAAATTGCCCTAAATTCACAGTACCAAAATTGCTGCTGCGCGCACCTGCTGCATAATTGAAGCCAGCGCAGCTTTTGTGCTTGACCCACAGCATTCACACGGCTTGAAGCCGCGAAAGCCCAAATACAGAGGTTCTTTCTCCTAAAATGTCTTGGCAATGTGATGAGCTCTTTCTACCGCTGCACCATCCTTCTTCAAAAGAGCTGCATGAAGCCTGCACTGCATCCTGGTAAGGTACAGCTTGTCCAGAAATGTCCCCCACAGCCATCACTTAACGCTGTTCACAGAGTGTCATTTATACATCATCTACATGGCATTTACAGCAGAGCCAAGTTTGCCCCAGTCAGCATCCACATGCTAGCAATAATGGAGCCAATTTTGCGACCAGTCAGCGTTCACATGGCAGTAACACCAGATTTGTTGTGGCGCCAGCCGGAGCCAAGGTGCCTCTCACGCAGCGCTCACGCAGCAAGGAGAATATAGAATTTTCTGCTATCCAAAGGGTTATCACATGCAGCGCTCACGCGGCGGTGACAGTCGAGCTAACACCGCAAGCAGTCAACATCACATGGTTGCGACACTGAGGCTGATCTGGCGAATAGTCAGCTCTCACATGGTGACAGTGGAGCCGATCTGGCGCCAGTCGAAGGCGATGGGGGCCTCAAGGCAGTGGTCTGGGATGCCAAAACCCTCCGCGAGACGCAGCGCGGCCCAGCCGCCGTCGGCCGACAGCGCAGCGCACGCGCCGTTCACTCCCGCGCGCACGGCTGCCGCGGCCGCGCCGGAGGCGGCGCCGGATGCCAGATAGAACGCGAGTGCCCGCTCGACGCGGGTGAGGCCGTAGAGTGTAGCCAGCAGGGACAGTACCGGCCGCGCCTCCCTCGGCGCCCGCGTGTTTACCTCCTCCACAAAGCCCTGCAGGATAAACTCCAGTATGAGCACATTTCCAAAACGTCCTCTGCACCCTTTTGAACCCCCTTAGAGCACAGAATTTTGCTTGCGAAACCAATCAACGCCAGATGCTGCCAGCTTGGTACTTTAGCCGTACAAATTCATCAAGGCCAAATGCAGGGTTGCAGCTCAGTTGCCACATTTAAGGCCGACAGCAGCGATGCAGCTTCAGCTGTGCATGAAGACAGGGTATTCATGAGTATAAGGATTGTAGCGCACCTCGAAGGTGATGCGGTCGACGTGGGCCCAGCCCAGCTGCAGCACGGTGTCCAGATTGTCCTCGTATGCGTCGGCAGCGGCGGCAACCGCGGCCTTCTTGCCGCCAGGGGCAGCCACCTTGGCGGCGCGGCCGATCGCCGCGGCCACCTCGGCTGTCAGCGAGTCCTCACGGAAGCGCAGCAGCGCCGCCAGCAGCGTCAGGTCCGTTACAGATGCGCCCTCCATTGACGGCATCTGCGGCCGCGGCGGCTTCTTTGCAGCGGTGTCCAGCAGTGCCTTGGCCACCTGCGCAGTGAATCAGGCGAGTCATCAGCACACGTTTCAGAAATGATCTCGCTCATATCAGAGACCGGTGACCAAACGGCTGAAGACTGCTACACCGCAGCTCTTATCATGCAGAATATGCTTGTCGCGGTGGCCACAAAGAGATGTAGAACCCGTGGCAGAATATATAAGACCACATGCACAACCAAAACCGAAAATCGTGTAATAATAAGAAATAGTTTTAAAATTGCACAACCAAGAACACCTGCTATGGCATGGAAAAAATACAAACAAAAAGGGACAGGGAGGGCACCTGCTGCATCATGACGGTGTTGTCCCCCTCAAAGGTAACATCGACGTCCATGTCATTCTTCATGGGCCCGATCTTGTTGGCCGCCAGGAACCCCTGCCCGCCGCAGCACTCGCGGCACGCCTGCAGGATCTCCACGCGGTGCCACGTCGCGCCCGCCTTGAGCCCGCTGCTCACCACGTGGATTGTCTTTGCATCCTCCGGCCTCTTCGCCATGTAGAGGTCCTGCACATAATCAATACATAATCAGCATAGCTGGCCTTGCTTGCAGACCGTTCCGAAAGGCACTTTTCCCTTTTTTTAGTGTACCAGTCTGCAGGTCGCAGCATACATGTGGGGCCTTTGGATGCTTTTAAAAACACTTCGATCAGATTCTTTGGTAAATTATCGCCTTCACAAAGCTTGAATTACGGTACTTGTCATCCAAACCCAGTGTGTGTGCGCTGGATACCTCATCCTAATCACAGCAGCTGAGCTCAGGGGCAGCCGTCCAGCATCACTGCTAAGACTGGGCGCATATTCAGCTGACATTGAGCAGACATGCGCTCACCAGATCATAAGAAGCCAGTTGCTGCAAAGCTGAGTGTCATGAGACGGAGGTTGCACCTTGAGGCGCAGAGACTGCAGCTGCATGGCATAGGTGGTGGCAAGGGCCGGCAGCAGGCGGCGCTGGTGGGTAAGGTACTCCATGATGCACTTGCCGTTGAATTGCGGCCGCGCGCATGCATAACGCAGCGCGATGGCCACGCCGATCTTGGACGCGTCGATCGCCCCCTGCGCGATCAGCATGCGCCCTGCGTCACACACAAACACCAGTCAGGCAGATCAATTCTAGAGTGGATTCAAACTTCCTCTTGCAAGGCCAGTGAGCAACAGTAGAAGAGGGAGCCTGAAGCCCAGCCTGAGCCCATCAAATATACTGCTGCATGCACAGACATCATGAAGCTTGTGGAGAGCCAAACAGCAGCAGGACACCCATGTTCAACAACTCTTATCTCAGGGACCGCCACGCCGTGCAAAGGGTTCTGTTGATCAGTGCATGGTTACCATGTGTTGCTCGACTGCAGGCATCCCATACAGGAGTCCTACACAGCAGAGCTGCAGCACCCTCAATCACCATCAAACGAGTCCCCAAAAGTTGCAGGGAAAGGGGCGCGCACCGGTGGTGAGGCCGCCGACCATGGTTCCGAAGCGCTGGGCGACAGAGGGGATGGGGCTGGAGTAGGTGCCATCTGGCGCCACGCTGGAGTAGCGGTCAAGGAGTGCGTCCCTCGGCACGCGCACATTGTAGAACCACAGCTGCCCGTTGTCCACGCCGTTCAGGCCCGCCTGGGCAGCAGCCGCCAAGTCAGGCCACAGGGCGACTCATAGAAAGACGACACTGTTGAAAGGTTCAACTGGAAACAAATCCCCCTGATAAGACGCAACCACACATGCAAGCCAACCAGGAGTCGTTGTTTGCCATGCAGACTGCAAGTATGCTCGTGACAAGCAAGGCTGCTCCACAAATGATCCACTTCACAATCTCAGGAACATACATGTTTCTTTTGCATTTGCTTATCATACTGCGTCTTGGATTTTTGAGCGTCCCTAGATGAACCCGAACACAGATTACAAGATGCAACCATTAGTGAGGGAGCGGTGGGAGCCCACCTTGGGGCCGTTGTCCTGGATGCGCACGCCTGGCATGGGCTGGCCGGAGTCGTCACGCAGGCGCACCACAAACACATGCGGCCCCTCCCACTTGCCGCGCACCGTCAGCTGTGCAAACACCGTGCAAACCTGCACCACAGAAATGCCGCATGCTTGGAGCTCGGCCAAACTTCATAGAACCCCTTGCTTAATGCAAGATGTACGTCATCTGACAGCATCAGGCTTGAGGTGCTGGGAGTGGTGATAGACAAGGAGACTGACCTTGCCGTGCTGCGCAGCGCCTCCAATCCAGAACTTTGAGGCGGTGTCGGTTGGGGTGTTGATCACGAACTCGCCTGTCTCCTCATCATATGTAGCCTGTGCAGAGCAAACAAGCACTTCATGACTGCAGCACTTCAGACGTCCTCTGCACCCATATATGGCTCATATACCAGCCAATATCAGTTGTCACATGGTGGGGAGAAAGCCCACGTACCTGAGTCTCAATGCCCATGACGTTTGATCCGTGGCCCAGCTCAGTCATTCTGCACACAAAAATGGAGTTGCAAAGAAATCTGGGTAACCCATTAATTGCGGAGAAAGACTTTGACATTTTGTGCCATGCAAAAGAGCAAAGTACAATAATTCAACTGAGCCCTACCCGAAGCAGCCTGGCAGCTCCAGCGTGTCGAGTCTGGGCAGGAATGTCTTGTGATGCTTCTCAGTGCCCAGCTTTGCAATGGTGCCTGCCAGCATGCACAGCTTGTCAGTGACACTGATAAGACTGAGTGAGGTTAATGTTTGTTGTCAGCCTGACACGAGCAGTCAACAAATTCCACAGTCCAATCACAGCCTCTGTAAAGGAATGCATCCTTGCACTGCAACCAGTCCAATGATGCAATGATTGCCAAAGGTGTCATCAGAATCTCATGTTGATTGACCGCCTGTCAAGCAAAGCTCATGGACCATCACAGCTGGCCATATGCTGGCATCTGAAAAACAAGGAAGCTCACCGCCACAGAGAGTGAAGTGCACCCCTGCCTTGATGCACAGGCTGTAGTCCACAGACGCCAGCGTCTCCAGACCGGCCATGAAGCGCAGAGGATCTGAATATACCACACTATCTCTCAGTAATGTTCTGCGTACTCTCAATAATAAGGTGAACCCTTACATAGGGCAGCGAGCGAGGAGGAGACAAGGGAGACATGAGGCTCACCATTGAGGTAGTCAAAGGTGGAGAAAAACTTCTGGTCCACAAATTTCTGCAGTCTGCGCAGAGTGAGATCCCGGAACTCCATGAGGGATAGATAGTAGTTGGGCCGGTACATGGGGTCCTGTAAGGCGCCCCCGAAGCAAGCTTTAGCAACTCCTAAGGCACGTCAATGTAAGATTGGTGCAAGCAATTCAAACATTCACAGCAATAATATGAGCGCTGGCATGATTTGCACTGCATCACAGAGCTGTGAATGCTCTTCTCTGCAACCTAGAGCACCCCTTAGAGAGCTCCAGTAAGCTTGTGGTCAGCATCAACGTATCACCCGCTAGACGCAATACCATTTTCAGATAATGGGAATATCTTAGTTTGCAGTATGAGGGAGCTACCTTCAGAAAATCCAGCATCTTGGCCCTGAGCTCCACGTTGTCCCTCGTAAGAAACAAATAGACATCTTCAGCCGCAAAGTCGCGAAGGTCGACCTTCGCACTCAGCGAGACGTCCGAAGAGCTCGTCAGATGCCTAGAGAGGGCTGCCACCCGCCGCTCAGCTGCCATTTTGGATGTGGTGCGGGCTTTTCACGTGTGCAGAAAGTAGCTTTATTTGGATTCCTCTTTTCCACCTGAGATACAGCCCAAAAGAAAGGGATCCCAAATAGATCTCCACTCGCAATCCGTTTCAAGCTACCTCTTTAAATGTCCGAGAGGAGCCGAAGTAAACGAGAAAGGTCAAGGCCACGTCGGACAACTCTGGATCACGTGTGCCACATCGACATCTATTTGCTTTCCTGAACGTTTCTGGTGATTTCTTGTCTAAATCATTCCCAGATACTACTTTCTTTGAGTACTGTGTCGTCAAAAACGACACTGAATAATATTATCCATCAAGTATCCTTCAGTCCTTCACCATTTGTCTTTTTGATGTAGAACTTTACTGACGAATGCTTGGATGTCATTTCTCCACTGCCTGAGTGAAATGGATATCATGGTGCATACTATATCTTCTAATTTAGCAACCTTGGGTGCATGATCTGCCAGGTTGGAATACTTCATGTGAGCTCTTTGCGCCAGTACTGCCAATTCCTGAGTGCAAGGCTGTCTTCCAGACGCACACTGACAACTTTTTCAGTGGGATCCACGCTGCAGCACGCTCATGCATCCATGTTTGAGGTCAGTGGTACCGACGGAAAGGCTCGCACTGGAACTCTGACTGCCAACCAGCACAGGGTTGCCACCCCGGCAGCCCTTCTGTACACCTTTAGAGGGTCCCCTCTGAGCCTCACGCCGGACTTGCTTGACTCCATGGGGCCCGAAGCCCGCACACTGCACTTGGACGCCAGCCAATTGTGAGTCCCTCCTACACATCGATGCACTTCACAGCGACTACTCTGATACCTTCACATGGTCATGAAGCAGAATATTCATTGGCCTCTACCGAAGCGCAGTGAGGAAAGCTCCTTTAGCTGGAAGCCCACTGATAGCAGAGGAGAAGCAGCTCTGGATTGGGTGCCCTGAGGGATGCTGTATGTGCATGCATGCAGCCTGGAGAGCCCCGGGCCCGGCGTGCTGCGCAAGTTTGGCGCCGGCGCTCATGAATTCTTCGCGCTGCAGGGCTGCACGCTCATTGCATCCCCACGGGACCCGCTCACCTATGGCATCCAGCGCTGGAAGTCTGGTGCAGATGACGGCATCCGAGTCACCACTCACAGCGGCCATCATGACATGCCCGTCGGCAGGTGTGCACCCCCCCGTCTCTGAATTCCTCAGAAGCACTCCGAATTTCTATTCCCTATCTGCCTGGCGCCATACATAGTGTTGCTTGAATTCCTGTGGTGCTTCTTATGCTTTGCATGCTGATCAAGGTGGACGCAATTTGATATCAGACATAGTTTTGCTGTCGCCCCCTGGTGCTTGTTGTGCTCTGCATGCTCACATGGTAAAATCAGCTTAAGAGTTGCTGCGAGTACGATGAGGCGCAGGGTGCATGCAGGTATCTGGACGTGGTGAGCGCGCTCGCGCCAGACTACTTTGCAGCGCTGTCGGATGAGGTGCCGAGCGCGAAAGTGAGTCATCGCAGGGCGGCCCTGTCGGTTGACAGAACCCTGAGTTGGCTGGACCAATGCCTAGCTGCGAAGGTGAACCTTTAACGTGCCCACCCACCCACCAGCATCAGGCATCATTTACTCTGATGCTGCAAGCATTTGTGAAGCGATGTGTGTGTTTGCTGGCTCTGGCTGGCAGGCACTCAAATGGAGCATCTCAGATGCTGGTTAGCTTGTGGAGTCTTGACTGAGATATGTTCATACTGCAGGGCAGCAGCGCAGTGCTGGCATCCATACAGGGCAGCGGCTACGACTTTGAGCGGCAGAGGTGCGCGGCGGAGGCTGCCAGCCGCCCGGGCGTCGCCGGCTTCTCATTAGCCGGTCTGGGAACCGGGGAGTCGCGCGAAGAGCGCGCGGCCCTGATGGAGGCCACAGTTGCTGAGCTGCCCAGCCACCTACCGCGATTTCTCCTTGCCGGAGCAAGTAAGCACCTTATAGATTGAATGGCCTATGCCACTCTGGCTCTCTGGTGAATCACGCACATCCATTGTGTATGATCTGGCTGCTGAGAAGGAGAGATGGGGGAGAAACTTGAAAAAAGAACCACAAGTGTGAAAGGTGGTGAGATTGGGGGCCCTTGTTTGCAATGCAGGGACTCCAGAGGATGCGCTGGATGCAATGACAGCCGGGGTGGATGTCATAGATGGCAGCTACGCGGTGCGCGCAACAGCCGCCGGAGCTGCGCTGCTTCTGCGCGAGTGCGACAGGGGCCAAGCCGGCGCGCATGCGCCGATCCAGGCAGAGCAGACCCACAGCGTGCTGTCTCAGCCGGAGCCCACGTCGCGGCATGTGTCCCCTGATCATGGCATGCTACATCGGAGGAGAGGTGCCGCAGAAGCCGCTGGTCATCAGGGTGTCAGCAGGGAAGCACCTCAGGGAAGAAATGAAGATCATGCCTCGCTTTCCCCATCGGGGGGAAGTGATGTGCCACTGAAGCAAGAGGCTATGCAGCCCGGATCAGCTGTTGCAGCATCACCGGCTGGTCTGGGTGAAGGAGCAGGTAGACCCACCCCTGCCAGCAGCAGAGGCAGCAGAGGCAGAGCTCACAGCAGCCAGGCCTCTGAGGGCGCTTCTGCACTTGAGCGCAGTCAGCAAGCCGGTGCAGGGGCTGCCAGAGAGGCCCAGGAGTGGGGCGCTGATGACACGACAATGATTATGCATTCAGACAGGTTCAGGCGAGACACGAGGCCGCTCAGCCCGGGCTGCTCCTGCCACACATGCCGCCGCCACACCCGTGCATACATCCACCACCTGCTCAATGCCAATGAGATGCTCGCGCAGGTGTGCTGTGACTTTCCACAAAACTTATCACTGGTGGCTGTGGGAGAGTTCTGTTTGATTTAGCTGCATGCGCATGCATCATTAGAACCCACTTTGAGGGGTGTTTGATAAAGCTGATGCTCTGGCAGGTGCTCCTGGAGATCCACAACTCGCAGAACTACTTGGGCTTCTTTGCTGATGCCAGGCGGGCCATTGTTGCTGGGACCTTTGCTGAAGACCGACTGGCATTTCTGGAGCGCAGAGCCCTTTCTGGATCTGCTACGTAGCGGCTGCACCAGATGCAGAAGATGTAGACTCCCAGGCTTCATATATTTGTATGATTGCCAATGGCAACGACACGGCACCTGCACTGAAAAAGGCTGATCTGTGGCATTTGATTTTTTTCACGCATTATTCGCCCCCAGTGGCAGCTCATATATGTATATGTAATGGCCTCGATGGAATGGAAAATAAGAAGAAAATAAGTAGTTTCATATGGCATCCTTTGCTGCAAACCCCCTTGCTGAAGTGCTGCCCACATTTGCCTGCCCAAGCTGCCCGCAAGGGATTGGGTGTTCCGGAACTAGCGATCGTTCCGTAAATGAAGCCGGCTGCAGATACTTCTTGTTGGAACTATCTCCTTAGATTGTATAATTTGTGTCTGTGAATTGCATGAGAAAGTAACGTATGTCCTAAGTAGCTCATTTGCATCTAGGAAATGAACTTCAGTGCTGCTCAGTGCACAGGAAAGATGAGTGCACGCAGGGTTGTAACCAGGGCAGTTGCCCTTCTCACGCAATTCCATGGTCGTACTTCATCGTCAATTGTCACATCAGCAGTGCATGGATGTCACCACTTTGCACCCGCCTCTCTGTCGGCGCGCGCTCGGATCCTTGGCAGCTACAGCAACCGCAGCTTGACAACTGCTGGCTCTGTCTCAACTGAAGAGCGGGCGGACGATGTGTTTGCACGTGCTGCTACGGTGCTGGAAGACGAGGTGACAGCCGATGAGCCAGCAGCAGAGGCCAGCATCAGTGATCAAGCACCAGCGGAGGCAGCAGCTCCAGCTGAGACAGAGACGGACGAGGCTACAGCGGCATCAGTCCACTTAGATCCGGTCTGGGAGCAGTTCAACAGCCTGTGGTCGCAGTACTCGGACGTCCTCACCCAGAAGGGCTTCTTTGCAGACAGGCCTGAACAGACTGTGCCCAACAGCAAACGCTCTGAGATTGGGGCCGTCAAGCGCGCCAGCCTGCAGGCTGCTCGTGAGCGCATCGACATCTTGTTCAGTGTGCCTGTCGACAAGTTGGTGACCCTGAGCAAGACTGAGCTGCCCTACGTTGACCGCAAGGTGTGCCGCCAAAGCCTAACCGTAGGGACTTGTTCAATTTGATAAGTTGCCTTCTGACTCAACTCAGACTTCATGCGTGAGATGTGCTCCTTAAGTATTTCTTCCTGTCTTGCTGCATCTCTGCATGCATTATCCAGTCTCGTCTCTTTTGTTGGCTTTTGTATCATGGCCGCAGGTATTGTTTTCCAACGAAAAGACATGCATGCAACCTTTGCACACAGAGTGCATCCAGCAACTGCATCATCAGCCAGCCTCCGGGAATATCTTTGCCTCCATGCATTGACATACTGCATCTGCTGAGACGGCACATATCATTGATGATGAGACAGGGGATTGTTTTGTGCTGACGCATGCATCGCTGTTGCGGTGCAGATCGAGAACGCGAAGGAGCGGCTGGTGGCCACCTTTGTGGAGGGCACCGACCTGGGCGTGGGCAGGGGCGGGCAGGCCACGACGCAGGATCTGGTGCGCATGCTGCTGTGCGCGCGCGTCGCCTGCTCGCTTGACTCCAAGCGTGCCCAGGAACTCGTCGCAGTCGGCTCTGGGGTCGCCCCGCTGAAGCCAGGTGCGCGGGAAGCTTCCCCAGTGCATGTGTAGTCATATCAACCCTGAGGGATGACCTCAATGCTGCCGAACAAAGCTGGAGTGTCAATGTGTGGTGCTACGGGTGGGGTCCTTTTCTGATGTCATGGCCGTTATCAGTCTATGAATTTGTAGTGGTGCCCATGCATCCCTAGTCACCCCTGTGCTTCCCTAGTCTTCCCTGTGATGTCCCAGCAGTCTGATGGACTCAACCTTGAATACAGGAGATTGCGATCTGTGTCTTGAAGATCGAGATATTTCTAAATTGATTTTTTCCCAATTGGAAGGTGTTGCACTGGGTACACTGGACGGGGTGCACTGCATGCTAATGGCTGTCTGTTGTGTCTGTGCAGATTTCGTCAAGGCTGTGAACGCCCTCCTGCCGGACGTCATCGCTGTGCTGGGTGCAGAGCCCGAGGAGGAGGCCCTCACCAAAGCCAGTGCGCTATACTCTCACCCGCTTTCGAAACATATGTTGCTCGTGCTTCTCAATGTTGCTGTTCAGCACTGTGCATTCGCTGATTTGGGGATCTGCAAGCCTGCCTCGGATGCCTCTCTCTTGTTTTTTGGAGCTGGAGAGGGATTATTTTCGTGCACCTGCTTGTCTCTCTTCTTCATCAAATGCAGCTGTTCTTCGGAAGCTGCTGTTGTACAGACTCCAATAAGACAGCCTTGCTTGATCCAGCCATCTGCCGACCTGCTGGTGGCAACCACACTTTTGCGGTAGCACTCAGAGCAGAGAGTACCAGTTTGGTGTGGTGATTGATAGTGTGCTGTGCTGTGGTCACTGCAGAGGCGGCTCAGGAGGCGCGTGAGGCGGAGATCGCCGCGCAGCCGCGCTCGCAGTACCCGGAGCGCCGCGACAACCGCGCCGGCTTCTTCCGCGAGAGGGAGACCGGCGGCGACTTCCGCCCAGGTACTGTGCCGAACTCACTCCCCTCACCTGCATTCAGTGCTGCGTCGTTACCAAGTGCTAGCGTGCCCGATTAGCGTGTGCCCTCCCCTCCATGCTTGATCTGCACCACAGTTGATATATATATTATATATTTTCCCTGATATTTGCATGGGCCAATTATTTTTAAGCATGTCACCTGTGAGCTTGCCACATGTTTGGTGGGCCAAGTCTGTTGAGCATTGCATATGTGAGCTTGAGAAGAGGGGCTACAGATGGCTCATGATGTGTGACCGGTGCTGCGCAGGCGACTGGCTGTGCCCCGAGTGCAACGCGCAGAACTTTGCGCGCCGCACCGAGTGCTTCCGCTGCGACGCTGGAAGGTGCGCCTCCGCTCTTCCCTGCCTCTTGCTGCTGCCTGCAATTCCCAGCTGCCGCCACCCACAGCTGCGAATTAAATACCCCGAATACACGGGCTTCTGGGGAGTGAAGTCCCGTATTCTTCTGCGTGCAGGCCGGAGGACGCGACCAGGTTTGGCGGCCAACAGCGCGGAGGGGACCGCTATGTGCGCCGGGACCAGGAGCCCTTCGGCGAGCGCCGCACCTTCGAGGCCAGGGCCGGTGCGCATGCCTGCCTCAAACTATACTTGCACAGCTTCTGCAAAGCCTCGGCTTGCAGGGGAATGTGACATGCTTGAGGTGGTGTTTGTGCGAATAATACTGTAGTAGTCACACTATAAACCCCAATGAGTAATTATCTTTGAGCCTGCAGGATGGTTTAGGGGTTTGGTTTGACTACTATAGTAAGCATGGAGCACACATTGTTCAAAGCTGATGGCCTGCGCTGATGGCTGCAGGTGACTGGCCCTGTCCGGCGTGCAATGCCAACAACTTTGCGCGCCGCACGGAGTGCTTCCAGTGCAACGAGCCCAGGTAACGCCCGCTCACAACCACAAACAATGACAGTTTTTACATGCAACTGTAGTGTGCGCCTGTCTTGCTGAGGCATCACGCACTGAACCTTTTCAGCTCCTCACATTTCCCTTGACATCCCTTTCGTCCCCTGAGGTTCCCTGTAGTGGTTCAGATCTGAGGGGGGGATGGTCGTGCAGGCCTGAGAGCGCTGGCCCAGTGCCGGAGTCCCGCTTCAGTTCGGGCCCCCGCTACGGGCAGAGGGACAACTTCAGGGACGGGCCGAGGCGCGAGGCGCCCGCCATGAAGCCAGGTGAAGCTGCAGCACACTTGGCATGCCACATTCTCGCATGTGTCTGATCATCAATGTACATGTACACAAGCTGAATACCTAGATTTCTTTCGGAGCTCAGTGCATGCATCTCAATTTCTGGTGACCAGATGTGAGAATGCCATTGTCTGACTGGGGAGCGCTGGCTGTGCAGGTGACTGGATGTGCCCCGAGTGCAACGGCCACAACTTTGCCTCCAGGGCCGACTGCTTCCGCTGCAACTTCCCCAGGTCAGCATCACCGTTTTACCTCGCTTTGATTTCCTTGCCCTGAAGTCCCCTTGGAATAACCAGGTACTGTGGACATGGACACAGGATCTTAAAATCTGCCTCTGTTTGCGCTCTACTTGCGAAGTGCCCGGGCCTTGGACCGTTGTCAAGCATCCCTGCTATGCATGGCACGCAAAAATGTGCCCCCCTTTGAGGTCATGTGTACGTGTCAGGGTCACCTGAAGGAGTCCAGGTCTCGAGGAACACAAGTGAGTTAAGCAGGTGTGCTGAGGGGTTGTGTGCATTCAGGCCTGCGGAGGCCGGTCCTCCCCGCGGCGCCCGTGGCCCCTCAAGCGGAGGATCCTCCAGCGGCTGGACCGAGCGCGACTCCTTCAAGCCCAGCGTGCCAGCCGACCTGGACTGGTGAATGCAGTCAACAGGGTCAGAGGCTGTGACGGTCCCAGCACGCAATTCGTTAATTCACCGCGAGTGAGCCTTGATTGCTCTCCAGGAGTGACATGGCAGCTCCGACCCAGAAAGAAAATCTCCGTTCCGGCCATGGCCGTGTCTGCATGCATGATGATGTGTCTCCACCACGGAGCATCGAACTCTGCCTTGTACTTCAGGCAACCTTTGGCTCCGTAATAGATCTTTGGCTTTGGCGACTTGTTTTGAGGAACATGCGGCTTGCATTTGGCAATGTCTGGACTAGAAGATTGGGTGTGACATGCCGTGTGCATTATTGCATATCAGCACAGTGATTTTAGCTCTAGTAGGGTACCAGCTGTTTGTTCTCCCTCCAGGAAAGGGCTCGATACTTTGTGCACAGCGCTGGTACAAATTTGAATGCATGCATGTGATCCCTCATCTGTCAAGATGGTCAACATGACAGCGCTATCATATCAAGCAGTGTCGAGGAAGATTGACAAAAAATATCAATCATATCTACAATGCATATGTAAGGCGGGTCCAGCAGTCATGTCACAAGGCCTGCAATTCTAGTTCAGTCCAGAATAACTTGTCCCAAGATGTACGCAATGCAAATGTGCATAGACGCCAAGAAACAGAATATCAATAGCGGCTTTTGGATGCAAAGCAATACGCTATTGACCATGCAAATCTGGGACTTCTCAGCACCTGGGGAATCAAAAACCTGGCATGCAAGACAACCAGACAAATGGGCGCGTTCTATTTAAATACATTACTCAGGGACTGACGGGCTGATGTTCTCTGTGGTCTATCTACTCGCTATCTACATCAATACATTGAAACTCTCAGAGTCTAGAATGCATAAAAACTGGTTAGCCAGGGCATCACTGGTGATGCTTCTTTGCGTCCATGAGTAGGCGCTGTTGGTGCAAATCACCAGCAATGGCCATAGCAGGTTTCTGGAGGGCGCTCCTGTATGACCGCCAGGGCGGCCCGCAGCTGCTGAGTGATCTCCCCTTTGTTTGCTGGGAATGCTGCCTCCCAGTGACCTCCCCCCTCAGGCCGCCGACAAATGATCCTCTCGATGGGACGAATGCCGCAGATGCTGCAGGGGACACACCAGCTAGCCTCAGTGCGCTGCAATAAGTCCCCTACATCGCAAATTGGCCCCGCCAACCGGTTGGCGGGGGAATTTAACAGTATTGAGCACCATGCCCACCATTGATTGGGTCTTGCTTGGATGTTGGTGAGCCCAACAAGGGGTAGGATTGTGGCAGCCTTCAACTGCAGCTTGTCTGCAGGACGCACCTTGCCTCTTGGCAGAAACAGCGTGTGATAATAATAAAACCATAACGATTGCAAATTTGCCCGACAGAATGTCTTGTGCAGCAATGAGCATGCCCCAGGCCAGCATCAATAGGAATATTTTGGGTTGAAGGGCAGTGGCGTTCTTACAGATTGGTTCCGATGGCCAGCTTTCGGGTCCACAAAAGACCACCGGTGACAAAATTGTACTAGTCTGGTCTATATAGTCATCACATTTGTGACATGCGCAGCAGGAAGGCGGCAATCTTGAAGAAAGCGCACCTGTTTGTGAGAAAGGCCTCCGTCCAGAGGGCACGCTCATGCAACTTTGGCGCGCTGCTCACCACGCGGACGCCCACTTCCTTGCACGCCTGGTTAAGGAGGTGTCCACCACAGAAAACACTTGCATGCAGCTGGCGGTGCTAATGCGGTCTTTCACTGTCTTCCATACATGCAATTTTGCTTGCTTGACAGAATAGAGGAAAACATGACATTATGTGAGGACTACCTGTATGACTTGGCGCCGCATTATTCCCTCCAGAAGGCCCTCTGCAGGAGCAGCCGTCTGCACTTCCGTACACCCACTGAGGCTATCTGCACCATAAGGAATTCACTGATTGTTACATTCACCCACATGCGCTCATCAGAAGTGCTATAATCATAGCAGGCATCGGAGCCCCAGATGTTCTTGTCGACTAAGCAGCAACTGAAGAGCATGACTCACGCCTGACAACGAAGAAGTTGCTGACAAAGGACTCCAGCACAGCGCCATCATCGGTGCACAGCAGCCCCTCACTGGCGCCTGCCGGCAGCTGGGCCTCCAAGGGCTGCCTGTCCCTGGCCCACTGAGAGTCCTTGGCATCAGGCACCTTGCGCCCAGGTCCTGACACTGCCACGCTGACTGGACTGTCCAGCGGCTGAGTCACCGGTGCCATGTGCACCACTACATCGACCACATCCTTGAGTGCCACCTCGCCTGCATTAGTCATGTGCCTTCATGCATAACAGTGCATGCGGAATTTATGACTGCTGGCGTTTGATCTGGGGTGTATCTTGCGTGCATCTGGCGCACCTGTCTGTGACTGGAGCTGCTGCCTCTTGATTGGCAGAAGGACCACCACTTTCCATGTGGTGCAACACTTGTTCCGCCCTGCTCCAGCTGCCAATGCCAGGGAGGCCCTTAGCAGTGGACAAACCAGGCTCTGGCGTCGCTGTATAGTGTCTGCATCATTGAGACCAGAAACGATCAACCTAGAAGCTGCTTCCAAGGTGGGAAGGATCCGCCTCAGAGAGTGAGCCAGCCTCCTGCAGTGGAGGTCCCAGCATGAGATCTGCAAGCATCAGCACTTTTGTTTTCGGAACACATAAGTGTTGATAGCAATGCTGCTCTTCAAGTGGCCTTTCTGCCTTCTGCGCGGCAGAGTCGTCACAGATCCCAGATCACGTAACGGCAGGATACCTTGAAGTCGCTGCCTTTCGCCAGGAAGGCAGTGTAGGGACCTCGCTCATAATGTTTAAGAACTTCAGCACCTGTAATAGGGCTGCTCTGCAGCAATACACCGTTCTCAACTAAAAGTGACATGCTGGATTAGTGCTGATCATTATATCGACATCGCGACATCAACACCGCGAAGTTCGATCTTGCACGGTGCCGAATCAATGCACACCTGCATTTGCAAATGTCAGGGAAACTAGTGAAAGCATCTTGTGTCCTCCTTGAAGACGTGGCAACTGCCGTCAGATTCCCTCATGTAGGAAGCTGCGGCAGGTCCACAGCATGCATTTCATGGAAGGTGCAGATATCTTTCAACGCTGCAACCAACGGCAGATAGAGACATGGAAAGCCTTCCGAGCGGCAGAGTGAGTAGGAAGACCGAGTTTCATTACCTTAGCAATCATTTGTAATTGAAATCACGATATTCACGCTGCCATTGATTGTTTGAAACTGGTCACCACAGCCACGGTGGTCATGCTCATCAACAGCATGCGCATCATTCGCTGTCACACAATGGTTCTGTCTGAAGTGATGTATGGCAATGCGAGCCTGATTAATATTTTCAGACTCAGCAGTCAGAAGCACTGCTGCACTAGCCCGAAAAATAAAAAGCCAAACATTTCCTCTGGGGAAACCAGTGGCCAAAGAATGTTCAAGCGGTCCCTTATCCTGACGTTGTTGGTACAAACGCAAGCATTTTTCATTGGCTTGCACGGATATGTGCACCCTCTGCTGCTTCACATCTGCGGCCTGGTCTGGACCACAGTGATGGAGCCATCTGCCTCGACACAGCCCTCCACATCCTGAGCACTGCCCAGAGCGTCCTCGATGGCCACGCCAGTCTCGGCAATCCGCTGCAGTAGATCCTTCCTGAACCCCTCGTCCGCTATCAGCCTGCGCCACACCAATCCATGCTTCACACTGCTGCTGAGCAGAAGGTCACGGATTGCGCTTTAAAGCACATGAAGTGGTTTGCCTTGCTGTCAGAGACCGCAATCAACACTACCGACATGATTTTGTGCACGCTGATTTCTTGCATGGAGGCCGGATGCTAAGGCACTTCACTCAGCAAAGTATGGGTGCATAACCGATTGAGGAAAAAGAGAGCAGTGACTGCGGGCTAATGACGGGGCAGGGGTGACTCACTTGTCTGAGGCATAGTCGACCTTGCGCAGCTCGGTGGTGTCCATGGTGATTGAGTCGTAGAGGCCTGCGCCAGCGTAGCCCTCCAGGTCCTCCCCGTTGGAGTCCGAGCGGAAAATCAGCGACTCCGGCACAAACATGCCGTCGCTCTTGCTTGGGTACATCTCCACCTGCGCTCATATCAACACACCAGCTTCAGCACACGCTCTTGCGCACACTATACTCCACTCGCTGAGCAGCTGAAACCAGGATCTCCCAGCAATTGCTTCCCTTTAATACTCACAATGTTCAACCTGAACACAAAGCCCTTTCCGAGTTGTCCCACATTGCTTGGCTGCTGGACGTGCATCGGGGCGCTGCATCCCACAGAAAGGTGGCCTGCAACTCTTCGCCATTGCAGATGTTTCAACCGGCCTTTGCCCGACTGGGTATTTTGTCAGTGCTTCTGCACCTCTATGCATATTGTCGCTGCTGCAACTGCATTTGCGAGTACATAAACCGCTGCGCACCTGGGGGTTGCCGAGGTCAGACTTCTTGGCGACGCAGCCGAGCGCGGAGCCGGGCACGAGGCCGGACACGATGGACTCCCCGAGGCCCGCCACCACTTCGGCGTACACCTCATCGGCCGCGCCGGTGGAGGGGTTGTGCGTGTGGATGACAAACGCGTACGCGGCCGGAACCACGCGCTGCACCAGCACGGCCATGCGCAGGTCGCGGAAGTCCAGGCCCACCTTGCGCATGGAAAGCAGCGCGCGCTCGTTGTACTTGCTCGCCCACACGCCCTGCGTTCGAGCAGTTTTAAAGCCTCATCTACTTGCATTTCCTCGTTTTTTTGGCTGACAGGCGAGCTTCGTGGAAAATGTGCTGTCTGAGACTGGTGCAAGCACTGCATGACAAGAAATCCTCCTCTCAAGAAATGGCTTCTAGGCAGATGGTAAGAACGGATTATCAGCGCATCGACACAAATGCACAGAGCAGAGCTCTTCTGTAGGCTGCAGCTTGAAAAGGCTGCACGAAGCTGCACGTGGGTTACAGTGGTGGGCTTAGTGGTGGCAGGTGAGTTGGCAGGCGGACCTTGAGGGCGGCCAGGGCCTGCTGCCAGCGCTCCTCAGTCTCGGGCACGGGGATGCCGGCCTTCTCCATGGCTGCCTTCAGCTCCTTCTGCAGCTGCTCCGGCACCGCCACCTGTGCGCAATTATTCCTCATTTAAACCCGATCATAACTCCCTGAAGTCAACGCAGTACTCCGTATCTGCAAATGGCATGCAGACATCAGGCAACCTGCACACAACCACCATAGTTAATAATCGAAACTGTCCTTGCTCTGATTAAGGAACCAAGGGACAAGTTGCAAGGAGGAGGCACCTCCATGACGATGTCCCTGCACTTGACGAGCTGCTCCTCGGCATGTGAGGTGGGGATGTCCTTGACGGCCGCCTCCAGCCGCTTGGCGACATCCCCGTTCTCCTTCTGCTTCAGCGCCTCCTCAAATGACCCGAACGGCACCGTCACTGACGGCGGCAGCTTGATCACCTCCGGCAGCTTGCCGCGCATGCCTGCACAGGGACGTGCACTTCCCGCTGAGTAACACATTTGCAAGGCGCAGCCTGGATTAAAGACTGCACCGGCAACTTGCCGCGCGTTCTTGCATGGGGAACACGCCTCTCTAAGATCATTCGCATTGCACTGCCTGGACCAAATACTGCATGGAGCGCTTCCTTGAATGCGAGACAGGGAAAGGCATGAGCATAACAATGAGGAGCAGAGGAACAATGAAACACACCGGCGAGGTTCTTGGACTTGGCGCCGACAACGCCGTCCTTGTACTCGTCCATGGAAACAACCCACTTGCCGCACCACTTGGGGATCTTGATGCTCAGCTTCTTGCGCGGCTCCGTCGCGCCGCCGCCGCCGGCCCCGCCCTTCAGCTGCGCCTCCTCCACCTCTTCCCACGTCACCCCTCCCGCTGCCGTCGTCTCAAAGTACACCGCCTGAGGGGCCACAATCGCTGTTTTATTTTCTGACGTCCCCATGCTGTCCAATTATAATCTAAGCACAGGCATATGTCTTTGCAGGGATGGCGCGGAGAAGATCTGGGACTACACCTTCAACGAGATGCGCATGGCGCCCGAGGAGCCTGCTGCATGCTGTATAGATCTATTGAACTAATCAGACTGAACTGCGTAGGGCACAAAAGTGATCCAACCCAACCCCATGCATGCAAAGATCTGCATGACGTGCTGCCTTCCTCAACCGAGCTCGGGTTCCATCTATCTATGCTCATGTGCAAGCATCCATAGCACAGCATGGACGGAGAGTGAGGTCACCTTGCCGTCGAGGGCTTCAATGTCCTTCAGCGGCTGCTCCTCGTGGCATATGGCGAACAGAACACGCATGTTCCGCGCGCGAACGCTGACATGGCTCAGCACATCCGGTGCGTCTGGAGTGACCACGGCCACGCAGCCCTCTGGGACCTCCTCCTCGCCGGTCACCCGCTTTGCCAGCAGCACGGTCGGCTCCTCGTATCTCTGCCCGCCAATCACATTCTCAGAAGACATCACTAAAATGATCTCAAGTTCTGGGGATTCTGGCATTAGGATGTAGTTCCTTGTGAACAGCATGCTAATCCATGCATGCAGCCCCTCGCATTAATAGCAGCCCGTGCTGGGGGTTCCTGTCCTGCCTGTGATCAAGTTGCCTTCAAGCCGTTCTTGCTGAAAAAAGGAGATCCTTCTGGAAGCAAATCACACAAGCCCTGACTCTTGCTTGGATTGGCAGGGCGTGTGCACAAGCCAGACTGAAAACAATATTGCTCGATCCTGAGTAAGACGGGGATCTTGCGCGCACCTCGTCCTGGACTTCGTGCAGTCCGCCCACGACGACGACGCGGCCGAGCGCGTTGACCGGGGAGATGATCTGCCAGGCGCCCAGCTCCGCGGCAGCGCGCAGTGCCGGCTCCAGCGCGCTCAGCACCAGGCTCACAGCAAACGCCGGCCCGCCCCTCACCACCTCCTCTGCGAATAACTCCACGTACCTGCCGCAGCCCAGAGAGCGCCTTAACTGACAGCAAATTTGCCGTTGAGCAAAAAGCGCAAATCCCCGAGACGCAGCTGTGCCCCTTTGCTCCAACAACTGGTTTAGTACTGGTGACCAGCTACCACGAAGGGGACAGCGATTTTCTTCAATGGCATGTATGAATGCTTGATAGTTGCGCCAGAAGACCCTGCTTGTCTGCTGGCTGGCAGGAATAGCTCGTGTTCCTGCTGCATGCAGGCGCCCCGTCTTGTCTAGGACATCGACTTTAATGAAATTGATGTTTTCCTGTGAGGCAGAAGGGTTGTGAAAGGAGCTCGTGTATTGCTGGAGTCATTTAAACGTCAGCATGGGGATAGCGGACCAGTCGTCGACGCCAAAGGCGTTGCCGAAGGCCTTGGCGATGGGCCCGATGCGGCTGGACACGTTGTCGCTTGTGGTGGCCAGTGCGCGGCGGATGCGGTCCACCACCGCAGATGCCTGCATGCATGCCCACAGACACAACACAGTCAGCTTTGTGCATTCAAGGTCTGCGCGTGTACACTTTCCCCTTAAGGCAAAGGCATCGACCCACACGTCTAGCACACCAACAATGGGCACAAGCATCTCGCTATCCTTCCTGTCCAGCACAGCAAAGAAAATAACACAGCCTGCCAGGGGCCGAACAATGCCCACTCTTTACCCGTCAACCTTTGGACTGAAAATGCCCGTCACGTCAGCACAACAGAAATTGCATACTTTCCTGCCGCCAAGCACACACCCCACCTACTTTGGCGTCGGCAGGTGGGCAGGCTCTCTTCCATTCCAGTTGTGCTGATGTGTTTCCTTGGTCTTCTTTATACAAAGATACAGCAAAATAATCACAAAGTCTGGTGGGACGAGACCTTGAGGGCATCTTCCTTGGAGGGGTAGCCGCCGCGGCGCAGGGAGGAGGGCAGCGCCTGCCAGGCCTTGAGGCAGTAGCAGAGCTCCTCGTTGTCCCCCGTGGACAGCACCAGGTTCTGCAGCAGCGGGCCCACAAGCGCGCTTGCGTTCGCGCCGGCCGCCCCCGACCCGCGCTCGGCCGCGCCCCTCACCACGTTCTCCAGCGCCAGGTCCAGGTACAGCAGATCCCTGAGCACATTTGTCAACAGAAATTCTCAAGAAGATCTCATGGTTCTCCACCATTAACGCATTCTTGATCAGCCGCCAGGCAAGCAATGTCTTCTGCACCTCCACAGCCGTACCAGCCACAGGTATGCCAGAGGGTGTTGTCGCTTGATGGACCAAAACAGAAGTCCATTGCCATTGCATTTGAGCATTGCCGAACCCTTTTCCTTGAGGTTCGTAATGTCATTTGCATGGAAAGAATGCAGTTGGTTGCTGACATGTGGGATGCCTTCATACGTAGCATATCAACACAGGCCATCGTGCAAAGAGAGGTGCGGCAGCAGGGGAAGAAACAGGATCTGCCCCTTTCACTCCCCTGGGGCCAGAAAGAGGGGCAGCACCTGTGGCCGGCGATGTGGGGCTGCAGCTCCGTGCGCGCCTCGACGGCGTTCTCCATGAGAGGCAGGATGATGTGATCCTGCGCGTGCGTCAGCACATACCCCAGGTGCTCCTTGGCCCCCTGCGGCAGCTCCCCAGAAGCTCCCTTCGCGCTCGCCTGCAGGTCCGCCCCCGAGTGCACCGCCTGCGCACGCACACCCCATCACGCCGGACACCATACTTCCCTTGTCAAGAGACCAGAATCTGGGGGTCATGGAAAAACCCATAACAGGCAAATCGCCAGCATGCATGGAGCATGGATTCCCTCGTCAGTCCTCAGGGACAGACTTTGAGGGTCATGGTAGAAGCACAGCAGCCTCGAGCATGCATGCAGGCCTGGGCGTTCAGAGCCAAATGTTGGCGCTATTGTGTCAATTCTTTCACGTGTGCGTATCACACCAAGCAGGCAAGCCTGGGGCGTCTAGTGGAGAATCAGTACAAAAGATGTGGTACTTGAAGAATGGGAGGACAGCAATACCTTGAGGATGCCGAGGTAATTGCGGAACTCGCTGATGAGGGCGTCGCGCTTGTCGGGGTAGTCCTCCGGCTCCACCTTGATCGGCCGGTCAAAGCTCTCCAGCCGCTCCCTCGTGATGCCTGCGCTCACACCGCCACATCACATGCATGCTCTTGGCGGACTATTACTTTTCTTACATTCCCTTGCGATGGTACTCTTTCAGACAAAGCACTGTGTGTTGGAGGCATATATGCATGAGATCACGTCCTCCATCACGCCCTGCAGCTCCTGCCCTGGCAGCCGAAGAGCTGGCAACATGCGCCTCCTGAAGCCTGCTTGCCCTCGGGAAGCCTTGCTTTGGCACACTGCTTTGGATGATCCTGCTGCTGCCGGCTCCCTGCTGCTGCTGTCTGCAGGCACGCAGCAGTGCAGACCTGCCGCGTGCTCAGGCGTTTGAAACAGGGGCGGTGGAGGGGCGAAAGTGCGCACCTTCGTCGGAGAGGACGCGCCAGTAGACGCCGTTGTCGCCCTGGGCCTCCAAGAAGGCGATGAAGGCTTCGCAGATGGCCACGTCGTCTGGTGTGGTGTTGTTGTGCAGCTTCTGGTGCCAGTCCTCCATCCATGTGCCCCGCTTCTCCCCGATGTTGTTGCGGTGCATGATGTTCAGGATCTCGTCCCGCACCGCCTGATCACCATGATCATATTTATTCAATCACTCAAGATCAAAGATTATAAACAGTGCATAGCAACCTAAGAATGTCAATAAAGCATCTTCCTTGCTCGTATTCATACCAAGCACAACACCAATGACACGGTCATATGTGCATGCATGCATGCTGCTGTTTGTGAATGGTTGAAACGGATATATAAAGGACACACCTGTGCGTTACCGCCGCGCCCCACGGTGCCCAGCATGGCACGTACCCACTCCTGCGCCTCACCCCCGGTCTGCCCATGTGCCTGCACATGCCGGCGCATGTCCGTAAGGTGCCGCCCAATGCTTGCATGGCAACTCATCCTTGCCGTATGACTATTGCCTTGCTCCCTGCTGCTGTCATGCAAGGCATGCCTGGCTCCTGAGAACATCAGATCTGTGCTGCTTTTTTGCAAAGGTGACGCAAGAGTGAAGGCACACCTTGGCGATGGTGTCGGTGAGCCTCTTTTGGGCCTCGCCCAGGATGCGCGGCTGGGTGTTGTAGTTGCGCTGCCAGGTCAGCTGCCGCGAGGAGCTGTAGCGCAGCCACACATAGATGCGCGCCATCGCGTCCGTCACATCCTCGCCAGGACCCTGCGCAATATAATTGCAGTTTGTGCTGAGATTCCTGACACCGAATGACAGCGAGATGTTCTGGTGGCAAGCGCCACCCTCAAAAGAACCATGTGCCAACAAGGCGAGCACCGCAGGTTCAATTGCTGTTGCGTGTAGACGGACAGATATGACGGGTGGCTTGCTGGGACTTGTGTTCAAGCTAGGTGGAGCTTATCCAGCCTTATCCAAAAACCTGCAGCAAAAGGAGAGGCTATGCAATTTGTTTTAGCTTGTGTCAAGCGTTGAGATAGAGATGGAAAGTGAGGCACACCTGCAGGGCCTGCTCGATGAGCTCGGCAGCCTTGTTGTAGCGGTGCATGAGGGTCCACTGGTCAGCATTGACCTCCAGGTCCACAATGGTGCGGCTGAGGTCGTCCTCAAAGCCCGCCAGCACGTTGTCTTTGCCGACAGAGCCCCCCGCTCCCGGCACCGGCACATTGTAATTAGAGCCACCTGTCAGCACGCCACCACACATGTCACATGCCCTTGTAACACCGCCCATGCAATTCTTGGACGCATGCAGAGCGGCGGTAAACCAGCAGTCATCCCACAAGGACTCGCCAATCTTCTCCCAAGGGATCGCTGTCACATGAGTTGTCTTATTCTTGTGTCTGTGGGGCAGGGTGTCCAGGAAATCGCACCATCACGCCACCAGGCAGTGGAGTCACCACTCCGGATCACAAAGGTCAGCCCGGACAGGTCATGCCCAGCAGGGATGTCCACCTTGACGCGCTTCAGCTTCACCTGATCACTGCCCACCTGGAGCCATTACACAAATCCAATCAGCAGAACGCCAAGCCATCTCCAATACTTCAGGCTCTCTGCAGATACATTTCTGATGAGAGGATAGATACTGCTGTCCAATAATGCTGGCCGTCAAGTGCGCGCCCATTTCTGATGGAAGTCTGTCAAGGTCGCGCATTGTTAGTCCATGTGACCTTGCTTTTATTTCCATATAGATCCAAAACATGCCCTGCATGCTGGTCATACGAGAAATACCGCAGTGTCCAATCGCCTCTGAAGCGGAAGCACGGCACGAGAAGAGCAGCGTTGTCAGGAGGTGCTCAAGGTAGCGTTCTGCATGTCAGGGTCTTTGGACTCAGAAACGGGCCCCGCAAAGCAGGGCATGAGAAGAGCAGGGTTGGCGAGGGGCTCACGGTGATGTTCTGCGTGTCGGCGTCGCTGGACTCCAGGAAGGGGGTGTCAAGGGCGGCGGCGTTGGCCTCTGCGACGGCTGAGTCAGCGGGCCAGATCTCCTGCGGCGGCGCGAGCCAGTCGGAGCCGCCGCCCTTCTTAATGCCCCAGTGCAGGAAGGCGTCCGTGGGGAGATCAGTTGTTAGGGTGACCTGGGTGGGGCCCTTCTTGCCCTCTGGCGCCCGCACCGCCACCAGCATCTCCGTCTTGTTGCCCATATTGTACGTCTGCACACCAACTTGCAGTACTCAAGAGCACTGCAACTGCAGAGTACCTTGTCTACGCCAGCAGAAGGCTCACTGCAAACATTGCATTTAAAGTTTCGTGCATGTTCTAACCTTCCAGATGGCCAAGGCCATGTCCCCATGAAACCTCCACACAATATTTTCGTGGGCTTGCGACGATCGGGCGCGGCAGATAACAGAGCTCAATAGTGTGCTGCAAGTAATCAAGATCCGAGCTAGGCCGGTCTCTTACTTGTTCCTGCTGTGGATGCTGTAACAGGGTGCCCCAAATTGAGGTCATTTGTTCACAGATTTGTTCACGGATGACCATGAATACGCAGATAGTACTGGGGCACCGTAGCAGGCGGGGCGCTCACCCTGTGCCAGACGCAGGTCTCATCGCGCGCGGCTGCGTCCTCGAGGCGGCCGAGGGCGCGCTCGGGGGCCTTCTTCTTGGCCTGGCTCAGCAGCGGCGGGGCCTTCTTCACAAAGTCCAGCGGGTTTATCACGCGCACGCCCATGCTCTCCCCGAGCTCCGTCTGCCCGCCTTCCTCCCGTGCCGGCGGTGGCGCCTCGACCTTCTGCTCTGCCTGCGGTGCCTGCTCCTCCTGCTTGGGTGGAGCCTCCTCCTGTGGTGCTTCCTCCTGCTGCTGCATCATGACACAGCTTGCTCAGAATTGTCATCTTGCATATGGTGCATCCATGATCTTGAAGGCTGTCGAAAGCAGGAAATCAGATGTCCCCCAAACCAGGGGTCCTGCTATACGTAGGCAGACATCTGTGAGGGATATTCCACCGGTGCTGAAGGAGCATGGGGCAGTGAATTTGTAACCTGCGGTGCCTGCGGCTCCTTCAGCGACTTCTCAAGCTGCTGCACAGACATGCCGCTGGACAACTGGGCTTCCAGGCTTCTGCGCGCATCGCCAGCAAAGTCCGCGCCGTCCGGCTTGCCGGCCGCCTCCCACATCAGGTATGCTTGGATGCCGACCTGCCCATGCATGTCCCACAGGATCACTTCCACTTACTTCCATTCACATCAAACCAAGAAGAAAGCTTTATAACCAGGATGATGCTCCAGGAGCATGACAAGTGCACAGAATTAGGAGGTGAGCCGTCTGGTGACTAAGAGGGCAGAGAGATCTGGCAGCGCACCAGCTCTTCTGGGACGCTGGGTGGGGCAGGCACGGCGCCATTTCCTCCCTGTGAGGAGGAGAACTCCTTGTACTGGATCTCCCCACGAGCCACCCGCCAGAGCTCATCCAGCTGGATGCCTTTCCTGAGGTACGACTGCAGCTCCTGTCGTGCACACAGAAGCCCCATAAGCTTCTCAGTGTAATCCCCTGCTTTCTCTAACATGGGCATGCAAGATTACTTGAGAATTTGTATTTCAACAGGTGGGCAACACATCAAGCCCATTGGTAAGGATGCGGCAGACAGCAGCAGCTTGATGACTCTATTCAGGAAGCCCAAGGCACAGGGTTTGATAATCACATGTTGTTTTTTATTGCAACTTCAAAACCAAATCGGCATGACACCCCACCTTAATGGCCTTCTGGTACTCTTCGTCAGCCTCATGCTGGTTGCGCTGCGGGCAGCCAGCAGTCTCCCACTTGATGTAGGACCAGATGCCGCAGAGCTCTGTGGGCAGCTCGGGCAGCTCGCTGTCGGGAATTTGAGCTGGTGAGTCATCGTCCTCGTCAAAGGCCTGGCTGGTCAGGGCCAGGCGCAGCGCCACCTTGAAGTTGGATCCGTACTGGTCGTACCAGGTGCCCGTGGACTCGTCCTTGATCACAAAGTTGAGGTAGTCTGAGGCCTCTGGCCCCCTCAGGTGCAGCGTCAGCACCTGGCCGCCGTCTGGAGCCTTCCTGCATTTGCACGTGCAGCCTTGGAACTTGTGGTGGGTTTCAATCAGTGGATGGACATTCCCCATGTGCCGTGCGATTTTTGACGTGAACGGCCACGGCTGAGAAGCTGTAAACAGCCCACATGGCACTGAAGGCCTGCCGTGCAGCAGAGCTCCAATAGGAAACAATATAGACACAATTGTGCCCTTCTCCTTGAAAATAAGTGACAGGACATTGAATGAAGTGGCACGTATCATGAAGGGGAGCATAAGCAAGGTGTGGGTACGAAGGTGCACTGTTGGAGGAGCTCACTTCCAGGGCGTTTGCAGGGCGCGGTCCTTGTATTGAACAGTGCCTTCGGGCCAAGCCTCGTTGCCGGGTAGCCTCCAGCCGCCCTGATAGTTGGCGCCGCCCTCGACTCCCCAGTGCAACAGGATCTTGCCGGGAAGCGAGGTGTGCAGACGCACTGTCTGATCGCCGCCATCTCCATTTTCAAGCTGAAACTGCATTATGCGGTGAATTGGGCTTTTCAGTTGAGTAAACAGCATTGCTTATGAGCACATGAGATGCAGGCAGTCCTGTTCACACAAGTGAGGAACCACGAGCGACCAGGAAGTGCCTTGAGAATGTGGGATGTATTAAAGCACCTGGACACTGTTGTCGGAGTCCAGCGGAAATGTCTTCTCGTATACAACGTTAAGCTGTTCTGGTGCAGCAACTGCGCGCACTCTGACGAGGGAGCCTCTGCGTGACTGCTGGATGAGGTGGTATGCACCTGCTTGGCAAAGCAATTGCTCGCCTGCCACGTGCTACGTCAAACAAGATTACAATATCGAACATTGGATACGAAATGATGCCCCACCTGAATGATAGCTGAAGGTACAATTGCCACAATGGGATCGTGGCTGTGCACACAGCACGCCGAGACGCAAATGGCCGCCTACCTTTACTGTGCCGCGAGCCCTTTACACACAAAAGTTATTAATTTATTGACTGCAACGTGAACTGTATCGGACATGTATATTTTCTTCTTCAATCACACAATGGCATGCCACAGGTTCTCATCTTGACGTCGGCTCACCTATTGATCCGTTCGGATATGCCAGAACTTGTCGTAACGACGCCAATGGCTTTTGCCGATGCCACCATTCGGATTGGTTTCCTGAGCGGCGCAGTATTCCAAATGTATTTTGTTGCGATCCCTGTAAAACAGTGCTCTGTAAGTACGTAATATAGCGCCAAGATGCTTGGCCAGTACACAACAGTTCTTTCAATACTTAAGACATGACAAGTTCATTTGTTGTGCACCAGCAGCCACTCTTCTGTGAAACCTGCATCAGACCAACCCGGCAGCTTCTCATCAGCTCCTCATGTAATCAGAAACGCCGTTTGACGAAGCCTAGGTGAGATCAGGATTCCAATCGTGGAAGCAACATGGTACCTCAAATATCACTATTACTTCCATCTCTTGCATCTCGGTATACATCCTGCAGTGGAGCTTCGCTGTTGTTCTCCGTCCCTTCTTAAGTGGATCTTGATCGCTATTGAGTCATGGTCATCTAGATACACGGTTCTGACAAAGTGAGAGTTGATGTAAGGATCTTGTATATTTAGGGAAGTCCTCGTTTATCGTTGATCATCTCTCGATGGCAGGTTGCACATGCACCCTCCGGCAGCTGCAGTGTAGGGGGCTCCCTGCACAGCCTCAGTTGTCCAGGAGGCTTGCTCCCTGGAGTCGCCCACACATTAAATCCAAATTTCGATGCAGAACCATCGGGTATCCAACAAGGGTAGCGCGAGGGTTGTGCCAATGCTCAGGAGATCAGAAAACACAAGCAGCAGCTTCCACCACCGCCCCTGCTGCCACTCCCAAAACAGCGAGAGAGGCAGTCGAGCAGGGCCAGCAGAGCTTCGACAGGAAGGACTATGCGGAAGCACTGCGGCTGTTCAAGGCTGCCCTGGAGCTGAGGCCCAATGGGGATGAGGCGCGCGCGGCGTTGTACAACAAGGCCTGTGCGCATGCGCGGCTCAAAAAATGGCAGGAGGCTGCCGACGACGTGGTCCGTGCTGTCAACGAGTACGGCCTCAGGCTGGAGGTGGCTGTGAAGGTGCGGCAGATGCGCATGCTTCTGTTTATGTTCCTCCCCTTATCACCGGGCAGGCGTGCATGCATGCTGCTCAACGAATGCATTAGACTCGCGCATGCCCGCCATCAGCATCACGTTGTGCTCTAAAATTCTGATTATATACACTTGCCATAAGGGTTTACTCACGCGTAAGGCTCAGCACTGCATAATCAGGACAGTCTCCACTTGAGCATATCGCATTAAAGATATACAGTAATTGTGTCATTTAGTGGAGTAGGATCCGGACTTGAGGGCGCTGCGGGAGAGGAGGGAGTGGCTGGATGCCCTGGAGAAGGCCAAAGGGGGAGTCTCCAATCGCGCGCTGATTGGCGCTCGTGCAGAGGCCAAGGCGCCGTTCCGACTGGCGCGCCTGTTCATCTTTGGCGGCCTGGGGGCCGGCGCCGCTCTCGGCCTCGTCGTCATTGCTGGCCGCCTCATTGCGGCCTTGAAAGGTGTGGATTTGTTTCTCTTTTTCATTCCAGACTGTCCCATCGAAGACTCTTTTTACAGTTGTGAGACTAGATGCCTGGCTTTCTCACCTGATGCTCAGGCTCCTCAACACTTTTGAGTGCAGTTTCACCACTCGATTGCATGCATTTTAATGGTGCGAGTTATCCTTTCATCGTGCTCCGTTAATCTCCCTGCAGGAGGGCTTGAGCAGCAGGCTGCATTAGTGGCTCAGTATGCAGCAGCTTCATGTGTGATGTCTCTCTGCACTCCTATTTCTCTAATGATGTGGTGTGGGGCCAGGGGGAGAGGGAGCGCCGGAGTTGACAGAGTCGCTACTGAACTTCACGATCAACGCAGCGGCGCTGGCCGGGTTCTCGTGGCTGTTCTCGCGCGACTACCAGTCTGCGGAGAAGGACCGGCGCATGGTCGACCGGGAAGAGGCGCTCGGCCGTCTCCTGGTGCGACATTTTTCCCTCACAATTCCGCCGTGCGCAATTGCAACGAAAGACGGCCTTGCTGCTCTGGAGTGGAAAATCTCCCCTGCCACGCTGCTAGCAGCTTTTGCTGGCAGCTCAGGGTACCATATGGCTCAGGACTGCACCGCAGCCTAGCTGCTGCAAACTTCTTGAGCATTGCATGAGACATGGAATACAGCGTCCACCAGTCCTTGAACGCTGTGATCGCGCGGTGCCTGTAAGCTCCACCTTGGCAATCCAGAGCTGGTGCCTCTTCCAATGGTGTTTTAGTATACCACGTGGCAGTCGTAAATAGCAGTGGGATGGGGGGTGTGACAGGTGCAGGTGGGGGCCGACAGGGAGGTTCCCCTGGCAAGCTTCAGGGGCGCAGCTCGGCCGGTGCTGCTTGCCGGCAGCTCCGGCTACATCAGCCGTGCGCTCAAGGCGTCAGAGCTGCACCAAACCGAGCTGCGCCTGCGAGGCATCTCCGTCATCCCTCTGGTGCTCAGCTCCAAGGACCCCGGCGAGAAGCTGCGCGCCCTCAAAGCCGAGTTCAGGTCGGTCACCTTGTTTGCGCTGTATTTTGCTCTTTTGTTTGGACCACGCTGGGCATTGAGTGAGGCAGAGACTGAGAATTGGGCATTTGATCAGGTAGAACCTTCGCTAGTATCAATGGAGTGTGACTGACTGACCTCGAGGCCATGCGCCCCAGGGAATTTTGAGTTAAGCAAGCTTGCTGAGCCGCAGATGTGCAGTGTATCTCTTGCGCAACTTTGCATCGTGCAGCGCAGAAGACTTTGCGAGCTGACAATGTTGATAATGAAGCACGGACATGTGTTCTGACTGGGCCCAATCATGGATGCAGGAAGGAGGGCGGGGAGAAGGGCAAGGGGTTTGGCAAGGCCGAGCCGGCAGCGCCAGCCAGCACCAGCGGCCAGCAGAAGGTGGTGCTGAAGCAAGACAAGAAGTGGGAGCTGAGGCCGACGGCCACCAATGAGTGGGAGGCCTGGGTCCAGGAACAGCGAGAGGCTGCCAGCATAAAGGGAGACGACGACTTCTATGCGCAGGTCCGCATGCCACCATCCCTATATGTTGCTCCACCCTCGTGTGCAAGTGGCAGTGTCTCATGGCATACTGTAAAGCTCTGCACAATCACAACGGCCAAAAACCAGGTATCTGGCATGCCAAGAACCTGTGTGGGGATGGATTCCTATCTCTTGAGTGCATTGTAGATGTGACAATGATTTGATCATGACCAATGTTCTAGTCTGTTGCAAATTTTTGCTGACGATGAGGTGGTGATTGCAGATTCAGCTGGATGGATCCGTGCGGAGGAGTGGGCTGGGCATACCACCATGGGACAGGTGGCTGGATGACATCCCAGAGCTGGACAGCCTCCAGACAAAACTCACTGACGGCATTGGCATATCCGGATGATCGTGTGGCAATGCATCAATGATCGATTCTGTGTTGCTACGTGGGCTTGGAAGCTGCTGTGAAAATAGTCTGTTACATTTCTGCCACAAGCAGTTGTGGGTGCTGAACACCCAAAGCTCAACCGAAACGCAAAACTTTTTGTGAGCCACCGGCCATCATAAGGCGGCTCTTTTCAATCCAGACGTAAGAAAGGAGGCTTCATAAGGCTGATGCCCCTGCCTTTTTGTCTTTTAGAAGCTGAAGGACCTGCACAATAAACAGGATGTCGACACCTGAATATATGTCATTGGCAGCATGCTATTGCAATAACTATCAGCACAACGTTAAGGGACCAAAGGACAAGCGCACCTTGTAATCACGGGTGCTGGCCGCGAGTTTGAAGGTGGCACCCTTCTTCAGAAGCCGCGGTTCATTGGCACGTATCCATGCACCGTCCACATTCGTGCCATGCCCTGCACAATAACTTGGGACCTCTCACAAGCGTGCGATATACTACTATAAACCCCTCATCACACTGCTGGACAGAGTCTGATCCATACTACGGTATTCCTTTGGAGGTGTATGGCCACCCATGAAATTGTCCAAGTCTCTGAGTGCAAGCAGGCTTATACACGCCCCACAGGTGCAGCTGCAGACAGCCCTGCGCGTACGCTCTTTGGCCTCTAGCTTTGTACTTTCCACCCTCATTTACTCATCTTTAGAACAAGCAGGCAGCGCACCTGAGCCGAGGTCAGTGATGAACAGGTTGCCGGCGGTGTCAGTGGACAGCGTGGCGTGCTGGCGAGAGATGGACAGGTGCTCTAGTACAACGTCGCAGGTGGGCGCTCGCCCAAACACCACCTTGTCAGCGATGCTCTGCAGACCCAGCTCCATGCTGCCCACCACCTTGCCCTCCTTGCTCACCTGCAGCCCCCAGCACTCTAGAAGTTCAGCAGGCCCTGAGGGCGCCTTATAGTTCAGTTTCTGTGAGCTGAGCTGCGGTTACAGAAAGCGAGTTCTGCAACATGCAGCATGCTGACGTCAACCTGCAGCCCCCCAGCACACTACAGGTGCACGTTCTGAGGGCGCTTGTTGGCTGAGTTTCTGTGAAATGGAAAGTGTGTTTTGCCACATGCAGCTTGCTCGCCTCGCCCTCTCTCTCTCCCTCTGTGCCGCTCCATGCATCCAAATTCCAGCATGCTTGGTGAATATGGCTGTCTCGTCAGTGGTTCCAAGGCCATTTTTGTGAAGATGTTTCTCTCTCTGAATTGTTGCCTTATGAGTAAGAAGGCTACCTCTAACACCACCCCAGGGCCCTGATCAGCTTCAGGTGTGGCTTCAGCGCCGGACGCCTCCCTGCTGCTGTGCTTTGCATGCCTCCCCTCTGCGCTCTCATGTCTACTCCTCTTCACACCTGTCAGACAGCAAGCCAGAAGTCAAACGAAGGCCAAACTTGTTCAGGTAAACCCCTCTGGTTGCATGATCTCACCAGATGATGCATATCTCGGCAGAAAGTCCAATCTGATTCGCAGGCACTTGCAAGAGCCATAGTCCAGGGCCCAAAATCTTGATGGGCAAGTTGAGGCTGGATTTTCTTTTTCCTGTCTCACCTCTCTCGCGCTCGCCTCCATGCCGCTCCCTGTCTGCGATCCTCTGCCGCCTGCCATCCCTTTCCCTCTCCCTGCTTCTGTCCCTGTCCTTTTCCCTGTCCTTTTCCCTGTCCCTGCCTCTGTCCCTGCCTCTCTCCCTCCCAGCATCCCTATCCCTTTCCTTTTCTCTCTCCCTGTCTCTATCTCTCCCCTCCCGCCGATGCCAGTCTCCATCGCAATCCCTGTCACTCCTGCCATCTCTGCCTCCCGATCTGTGCCCTTCCCGGTCATCACTCTGCCTCTCCCCACGCCCCGATGGCTCCTCTCTGGAAGCCGCGGGCCGCTCCGGCGCGGCGCCCCGGTCTTTTGCGCCGTTGGCGGCGGCTGCACCATCCGCCGGCTTGCGCTGGCCGGCAGGCAAAAAGCGCACTGCCACCTTCTCGCCGGCTGCACCCTCGTCCAGCAGCGCAGGCGCGTCCGCTCCGTGGAAGTCCTCTGTGTCTGCTGGATCGCTCCTGCTCGCACAACAAACCCTGTCAAGCACTGATCGCGCTCCACCATAGTGTGGAACACCCACAAAATAACCCACCAGTCAAATCCAAGGCCCAAATACATGAGAAAACGGAGTGCTGCGCTCTTAGACGGCGGCTCAGGGCAGGCAGATACCATACATTGGACTGAAGTTTGATGGCCGGCATTACTTTATACTGACAGGTCTGTGCGTGGCCTGAGATGTCCTTCAGACCCCCATGACACTCTCTGCTCTGATAGTTGATCCCACAGAGAGAACTGTTCAGAGTAAAGCAGGACAGTGACATGTGTCCTGAAGGTGGACCTGTCAGTGATGCCCAGCTGCTCCTCGAAGGCGCAGAGGGAGCGCCAGAAGCCCTGGTTGGGGTTGACCAGGCTGCGGCGCTGCTTGCAGTGCTCGCGCGCGCGCCCAGCCGGCCACGTGAACCGGCGCATCAGGTACGCTATGCACAGCGAAGCCGAACGGCTCACCCCCGCCCCACAGTGCACCAGCACCCCTGCACAGCCAAAACGTTACAATCCAATGATTGTGATCATCACAGCATCAACCTTTACAGGATCAGACTTTGCATTACCAAAGATTGATGTAAGTGCTGCCCTTCATTGTGTTGTCGTGCAGGGACAATTGCAAGCTCCGCCCTGGAGAATCTGTATGCCACAGAAGAAGCTGTGCTGGGCAGCGTGCCCACTTTATAGCTCCATTGCATCACAGAAACTCCTCGCATTATTGTTGGCACCATGAATCTGGTTACGATGCGAGGCAGCCCTCCCCCCTCCTTTGGCGTTGATGCCTTCGTTTCTTGCAATCTCTCCTGACATCAACATAAATGAGGGCCCAAAAGGGCCCACGGGAAGGAATGGAAAATCTATACCTTCGTTGGCGGCACGCGCCTCCTCAATGAAGGTATAGGTTGGCGCGAAGAACTTGGACACGTCCTGCGTGTCCACATCTGCCAGCTGCAGGCGCAGGTGCTTGAACCTGGAGGGCAGCTGCATGTTCTCCGGGTTGTTGTGGATGGTGATCACCCTGGAACCATACATGAGCCAGAATAGTTATTTTATGTCACTTGTCTGTGCATGTATGTGTGACCACCAGCCACAATATATGTAGCTTTCATGCTGGTCCTTCACTGCATGTGCTCTTGGCAGGCTACCGCTCCTCTGTACATGAACTCCCGCAATCTTGAGCATCCCATCAGCTCATTGCCAGCTTCTTACAGGCAGATTCTGGCAGGACCACGTTTGGGCCTTCCTGCCAAACTGCAGGGTAGCCGAGAATGTATACAACCCATTCTTTCTGCTCATGCATGTGAAGCTGTCCTCTCTGCGCAGCAGCGCACCTGCGGATGTTGAGCTCATCCATCCGCTCTGTCTGCTGCGCGTGCTCCCAGTCTCCCAGATACAGGACCTTGGGCACAATCTCACCGGGGTACCTGAGTTGCGGGAGCCCCTCATGAGTGCTTGTTCCCCGGCACATTAGAAAGTGCGCAGCAGTTATGCTCAGCTATCTCATCTTACCACAGGCTTCAGGATGAGACCGAACCCACCTCTTCACGGCATTGTTCTTCACAGAAGCAGAGCACAGGAACGGGTAAGCCTTTGCAAAGCCTTCAAACCTGCGCATCGACACGTGCGTAAGTCCAGTCTACCTCTCCTTCAATTCAATGGCAGACAAAGCATTCTCCACACGGGCTGTGCCAGCACTAGGGGGTGATGGAGGGATGCACCCACCCCTCTTTGTAGATTGCCAGGGATTTTGCATGCTTGTCATTGGCGAGGAAGGCCACGACTGGGTGGTCCCTCTTCAGCTTGGAGTCGCCATACACAATGACAGCCTTGTCCCACCAGCAGTCAGGGCTCCAGCTCACGTCATAGCTATTCTTTGAATAATCCTGTCACACACAAAGGAGTTCCTTTGAGAAAAGAGGTGTTGCATACAGTTGTCTGCAGGATTCAGAACTAGAAAATTTCGACGTGGCAATCAACAGTAAAGGAAGCCAGTCATAACAATAAGCGCTCATACAATGAAAGCTCACCAGCAAAGCTTTTCCATTCGCTGCAAGTCTGATGCAGTAGGCTTGCATCACATGTTGTTTGACAAATTCCTTCTGCGGGCGGACGTCGAGAATGAATGTCTTTGGATCAAGTGGACAAGAAGTAAATACACGGAAAAATCCATCAGTCGTTATAGTTTTTACTTCCATATTATGTTCTTTATGCACAGCCAGACATCAACCAAATTGCTCCACCGAAATCTGCGTTGTATGCATGTAAGTGTTGCTGTACGTGACGTATATTACTACTACATTCAGTCCAATCAGCTTCCTTTGTTTTCTGCTGCATCACAATTTGGGATTCCCAACATTCTCTCAAGGAGCAGGCCGTGATGTCATCACAGCTCATCAGGAGCCTGAACAGGTGCTTGGCTTTGGCAAAGGGTCCATGGGTAAATTCACTTTCGAGCATGCGCTTCTCTGTGGCCACCTCTTGTCGGTGAAGTGTCATGAACATTCAGTAGCGGCTGTGGGAGCTTTATGGGCGCATCCTCATGCAGCCGCCTGGCATACTAGGCGGCGAGGCGGCCGGCGCGGCGCCGGCCGGGCCGGGCCCGATAGTGCCTCTCATGCGCAGGTTTGCACACACTGCTACCGAGCTACAATGGCATCAAAGTTTTAAAATTCCTAGGAAACAGCTTTAGTAGGCGAGGAGGGAAGCTGACCTATGAGCATCCAAAGGCCAATCTGCATTTATCCTGTTGGTACCAATTGGAGGCTTGCAAGTGTGATCCCTCTGCAAGCTACCGTAGTGACTGCCGGCACACTAAGACTCGCCTCGTCCGCGGACCGTGATACACCTAATGCTCAAGGTTGTGCTGATCACGACGCACTCAATGCCGCATGCAGGCTCTGGCAGCCATTGAGCATGAACACGGGCAAGCATCTCTCTTGCCATCACTGATGGCATCTCTGACATGCCACAAACATGCCCCAGCACAAGTGGAAGGACACAACGGATTACAGCCATGTTCATGTCGGTAGCAGCGCGGGTATTGGATTGGCACATGTGTAGGATCCTCATCAATTGTGCCCCTTGTACCTGGCATGCTTTTCATAGATATTGGTACACTTGGTGTACAGTGCGACCCTCTCTCGGAATATCAAACAAGTTAACTTAACTTAGTTAAGGTGTCGGAACAGTATTCGCTCTTAAGCTTGCAGGAAATCCTGTCTTTGAGGGTCCCTGCATCTCCCTCTGAGCTAAACTGTACTGCTGAAGTCAACACTCGCAGTAGAACCTGCCCACGCAGCCTGCTGGCAATTCTCAACCATTGTCGTCCTTCTTGAGGCTGCCTATGCAGAACCCTGGGAGCTGCTTCTTGCCTCCCCCTGCCGTATGGACCTCGTCAAACTCTTCTGAGCAGTCAGTGCCTAACACTCGCATTATTGCCAGCACGGTGCTTATGCCGCAGGCACACTCCCAGCCTGGATGATTCATGATGTGAGCTGTTATGTCGTAGACCTGCGCAAGCAGGGAAACCTAAGTCCTGCTGCCGTTTGAATGCCGGTGTACCGACAGCTAGCGTCGCGTTTCTCAGAGAAACTTATCAATACAATCTTCGTTGACAACCTTGCCATTGACTACGATCCAAGCATCTTCCTTCTTATTGTGTTTGCTGACTTCTTCCAAGGTGAACGATCTTTCGGGCATCCTCGTCTGGATGTACCCCTTGCAGCAGATCTGCGCTACAAATCATTTCCCAGGACACCACACATTCGAAGTAAATTGCATCGACCGAGCAAATGCTAATCTTGCCTTACGTTGTGGGTCAAGAAGACGAAGCACGGCCAGGAAAGAATATCATAGGATTCCGGAAAGACGAACAAGACAATTCTTGGAACTTGCACCAGCAACCATTCATGGACACTGTCAGTCTTGCACATCCTTCCTTTCTTGTGTCAAAGATGATTGCCAGACGCTTAAATTTACGATTTTTTACAATATAAGCGCTTGTGCAACGTTGGGACCCTCAGATGGACAGCAGAATCAAGCAGTGGCTCAGTATCATGCTTTGCTCCTTCATAGTGTGCGCAGCATTTGCAATGGTTCAATCAGTCATTCCAAGCAATTTATCACTCGGATGCAGACCTATTCATGCAATCTTTCCCATCACAACTCGGGAGCGCTGCTATTGAGCAGTGTCTATTCACTGGCAATGCTTTCAATCTGCATGTGCTACAATCCGCAGTTGGTTCCACTTGATGCACGTTTGTGGCTGAAAGCTTTGACCATTTGTCGGCAGTTGGATGCCTCGTGTCTTGCCCTTGTTTCCCTCTCCTCTCATTGTTCTTTGCACCAAAGGCAGCCTCAATTTCCTTTCGCGTTTGGTGTTTGCACCAAATTTACATATGTCATCAACATCCTCCAAGGAAGTTCTGCAGCTCTCTGTGGTCATGTGCTTGCAGGTCATCTGGGCTGCGTCCCTGCCATTGCTTCTCACTGTGCTGTGAAGTCTCTGCTGCAGGCTCTAGCGCCCGATCAGCCTGTAGTCTGTCACCTGGACAGCACCACAAGAACGGCTGATCGACTATTTTGACCAAGGGCCGTCGCCTGTAGGCTGATCAGAATTAGAGCACCTCATGACTTCCAGCAAAAGCTTGTGTGAGCAAATGACCCAGCCGTGGCTTCAGCAGAGGCTTCAGATGCCAGACGCAGACTGTATTGGGGAAGAGCGCACAGCTAGGCGCGAGAAGATTCATGCGCATGGTGAACAAGATCCCATGGGCCAAGGGCCAAACTTCAACACGCTGTCCTACCAGCGCTGCCGCTGGAAAAATGAACAGTGTTCCACTGTGCTGCTTATGCTGTGCCGTCGGTGTAAATACCGTGATCAGTAGCAAGGCAAAGGTGCCCACCTCAGAAGACATCAGATCGTTGACTGCGCCGGGCACTGCAGAGCCGGCCGGTGCCCGGCCAAGAGACACCTGCAGCAGCATCGCAGCATATGCATGCAGTTGTATGTGAGCAGCGCTGATCGTTATGCTATCGTGGTAAATACTCTGTCACGTACATCACTGTGCATCTGGCGCCAATCGTCTGGCCAGTGATTGATATTCACATGTAGTCCCGATTGTAATTATTGACTATCCCCTGCACACGCCAATCTGAAGAGTGCGACAGTGCAAGATAGTGCTGCAAATGGAAAGGCCTGCCTCTTCACCATGTGAAAGAGCGTGTGCTGGTCGCCCACCTTGATGTTGGGGCCAGTAGCCTGAGAGATGGTGATGAAGCCCTTGGAATGGGCAGAGAAAGGCTGCACCCAGATGGTGCTGTTGCCATTTGTCAGGCCCAGCACCGCCTGAGCCTGCCCATCCGGCTTCACCACAGTCACTCCATCGACCGCCACCTACAATGATGATAAGAGCTTAGCAGCAGGACAGAGTATGGCAATTGTTCACAGACCATGTTGCAAGCGCCAGAGTAATACATAGGGCGGTCTTGCCATCTTGCATTTATACAACAGACACACACCAAGAAGGATCTTGGGGTACTAACACAGAGAGAGCAGGCTGAAGAGGCCAACCCTAGTTGGACAGGAGCACGGGCAACACCAGTCAAGTAATCCTCATGCAAAGCAGCCGACCTTGAGGATGGAGGCATCAAGCACCGGTACTGCAGCGGTGGCTGCTCCAGAGGCATCCAGGATGGAGACGATGGCGTCTGCCGGTGCTGCTGGCGCCTGCGCAGGTGCCTCCTGCAAGCTGCGGCCTGAGGCTGCGTGCAGGCAGTCAGACAGTGTGTCATAAATTAATCGTGAACGGCAATTGCAATAGAGTGATGAATATAACGGCCCTAGGCTGACGGCAGTCAACCTTAGCGATCCGCCAGCTCGGAAGCGCGTGAGAGACAGCACAGATGGATACGACCGACGCTGCACCCTCGTGAGTGCCTTCAACGATCAACCTTTCAAAGTGGAGCCCTCTCTGCTGCCTGTCGACGATGGCGAGAAACAAGGGACAGGTGAGAAAGGCATCAAGGTCGCAGAAGCCGACAGGACGAGAGAGGGTGACCCACCAACAGCAACGAAACACACGCCCAGGATGACGATGGCAGTGGCTGACTTCATCTTTTATTCTTCTTTCAATGAAATCATTGGTTCCTTTCACGACGTCGATGGCTTTCGTCATCAAGGATGGCCCTTGGAATCATCTTGTAGGTATCTGCCTAATCTGGTGCAAGTTTCTGCCCAACGTGAATGCATGCGACGGCATGTACTGAATCTAGAATGCATGATCTGCAGATGCTGACAATTCAGAGGTTTTGACAAAGGTGGCATTTAGCACAGCAGAAGGAGTAAGGATGTCTGCACCCATTGCAGATTACATATGTAATGAACGCCCAAAACACTTCCCGTATATGCAAACTTTGACTAGTTTACTTGAAGTATATACTTTGATGTAAAGGCGTTGCGCGGCGTCTATCAGGCCGAGGGGAGGAGAGCGCAATGTGCCGCTTAGTCCAATCCTCCCTCGGAGTGGAGAATAAAGAGACACAACTTGAAGTCCTGCTCATACCTTGTTTTTCTTTCCTTTTCGTCAAATGGCACAGGTTTGCTTCATGGATCTGTCTGGCTGACACTTACTTTCCGACAATCCCCTCAAAGCCCCGCCCCGAACTTGATACAGACCAGGTTCCACCCTTGGGTGGCCACTCTTGCAGTGATACTCGTACCGCACTTAGCGTGCAGGCCAGTGATCCAATGCCGCCGTTCCACAAGCAAGGCTGCACGTGTATTAAGGTCAGGCATGCATGCGCAGCCGCCCAATGACAAGTGTGCACCCGACAAGAAAAAGCCACTCATGTGGAGGTCTGTCACTGCGACATTGAGCTCATGAGCTCAAGGCGTCGGTTCAAATACAAAAAGGTCCAAGCAGCAGGATTTGATGATGGTCCTAGATCAATCGCAATGCTCCAATGTCTGGCGATTCAACGACGCTCTTATGTGAAATTTCCTTTTAAAACAAAGATACAGTTCCTCTGTGAACTGAATTGAATGAAATGGTGTGGTGCACATGCAGCAGGGGTCCCTGCTGTGTGAAACCTCAAGCCCTCAGGACCGAGTCAAAATTGACCCTTCCATCAGGAGAAGCCAGCGATGTCCAGTTCTTCTTGGCCTTGATGCTCTCCATGGCCTGTGGCACACAGTGACAATGCGATCAGTCACAAAGCCGGTCGTGACCAGCCTGACCTGAACTTGCACTGCAGCTCATACCGATCCATATTTCTGAGGCATGAGGAACCAGGTGTCATGCATCACATACTCCCCCAAGCCCAGCTTGGCTCGGGAAGGCAATTTGAGACAAAGCAATGCCACAGCACAGAATTCGCAAATTGCTCCTTGTCAGCTGTCACTTTCTGCAAGGGGCCCTGTTTGCTGATTATCAAAAGCAAGTCCAACAGCTGTCGCCCAAATGTGGACAGCTGTTGGACCGCTGCACTCGTGAGTCTTAGATGGCATGTAATCAGGATGGCCTCAAGCAAAGTTGAGGTCAGGGGTCGTGCCTGCATGAGCTTCTGGCGCTGGAAGGATGCGCCCATGTTGGCGTGCTTGCGCTGCTCCTGCAGGGCACTCCGCGCGTCCAGCAGCTCGTGTGCGCGTTCCGTCTCGCCCCGTATCTTGGCCAGCAGTTGCTCCCGCCCGTACAGATCCTTCCGCCGCATCGCCTCCACCTGCAGCGTATTACATGACATTAGGTCTTCTAACGTCATATGAGGTCATATGCTGTCATATTACGTTACATTCTGAAATGACGTTCAGGCAGGTTGTCTTGATCTGTAGCAACACGATTTGGACAGCCTGAAAGACTGTTCATGCAACGCTTCACCTGCATGGAGTGATGGATATGCTGCCTTACTTCAGTTCACAGAGCATTACGTGCTGACAGGCAGAGAGATCCCCGTCTCACTTCACTGCCACGTGTGAATGATCACATTGCTTGCACGTGCAAAGACAGCAGCATGCGCTGATCAGCACAGTCAGCCGCAACAGGCTCAGGACACAGCTCATCACTGGCGATGTTCACATTTGACAGGCAGCCAGAGTGCGAATTGAAGAGTAGAGGGCGTGCCTTGTCCCTCTTGAGGTCGAGGTCCAGGCGGTGCTTGAGCTTGCGGCAGGCCATATCATGGCTGCGCACATGATTCAGCTCGTCCAGCTTCTGATCCTTCTCCCTCTGCACAGCCGAACATGCATGCCATCTCAAAAGCCCCCTTTGCCTCCGCGCCAGAACTCACCTACTTCACTTTACAGTACCCTTGGAGCCCCCAGGCATCACTGCACCCAGCTGCCTGCTTTGTTCACCTTAATAGCTCTGCTGCACGGCTGATTTGTCATGTGCCTTGCCAATATGGAAACCTGATACCTTCGGTTGCTTCCGTATGGGGCGTTGTCTGCTGCCCAGCGTGGCAGCAGACACTGCTGGAGACTGGGCCTGGCCCAGATAAAGGGCATCTGTGTTGCTAAGTATAAAGACGGATGTCATTCCTTGCAGAGGGGGCACAAAGAAATACGGCTTGTTGTGACTGCAGCCCCAAGAATCTGCCATGCATCCAGCTTTTACCTCGACAGCATCTGACTTTTGATGGCATCCCACTGCACCACTACTATCGTCATTATTGTTTCATGTCCTCCAGTCCTTGAGGACTAGGTACGTCAAGCAATACCTGAATTATATGGTGCCCCATGCCCCATACACCATTGGTGCCAGGAAAAGTCTGCACCCCATGTAGTGGTGCTTAGTATTGTTTGGATCGCATGGCGTTAGGGGGGGGTACCTGCTTGGCAAGGATGGAGGCGACTCGCTCCTGCTCCCGACGCACGGCTGCGTTGTAGGCCGCCCTTCGCGCGGTCTCGGCTTCAGCCTCCTGCCGCCGCGCGTCAGCCTCCTCCTGCTTCCTCACCGCATCCTTCTGCCTGCATGCGTTCAAACGCGCAAACACTCCCTTTCAACCATTTCCTTAGCAAAATGTACTATTGCTTTGCTGTTCTCGATCGCTTCTCCTGCCAGAGGCAAGGTGCGTCTGCGGACAGGCCAGATCAAGCAAGACCCAAATAATGGTGGGCACGGTGCTCAGCATATATACCGCAGCTCGCCAGCCAGGGCCAGAAGCATACATCAAGTTTTCTTACATGTGGGTCAGATCACAAGCACAGACATGTGCATCAGGCTGCCTTCTGATTCACTGATTGCCAGTATCTGTCTCATTAACGCCACAGACCTTGCCATGGTTGACTTGACCAAGAGATTTACAAGGAACACCCAGAGGCCAATAGTAAAATGCTTGAGAACAAAGAGCAGAGGTGACATGTATTGGGTGCTAGTAGGTGGGAGCTCACAGGTTGCGCTGCTCGGTGAAGGCCTGCCTTTGGTCAAAGGCAGCGCGGCGGTCGCGCAGGATGGCCGCGTTCGCTTTCAGGGCCGTTTCAATCCGCGCTTCCGCCTTTTCGCGCGCCGCGAGGTTCGCCGCCGCGGCCTCCTCCATCTGTGATGTTCAAGGAAATACTAAAGTCTTTGTAGCTTGCAGACCTTAGACTGCAGAATTTTCAAGCCCAGCAGTGAAGCATGTGTAAACTATCCATGTTCATGAGCAACCAGCCTGTTCACTGACTAATCCATCAGCGGCCGAGTGCGCGCACGTACACAGCAGCGATCGTTTGTGGGCCTGGACTTTTCTATCATCGTTCTTTTGGATCTGACTAATATCACAGACAAAGTAAATCAAGCAGGAAGCCCAGAAGCACCAGAGACAAGTACACACCGCCAGTTGCTTTTCATCAAGTACCTTATGCTTTCAGGTTCAAAAACACTTAGGAGTGCTCCCAAGGGTTCACACACACACAGAAATGCCTGCATTTCCACAAACACACAGAAAATGTGGAGCGCAGGAGGGAACAGCGCGCGCCTTGGCGGCTTTGACGGCCTCGCGTTCGGCGTCGCGTCGGTTCATGTCGGCCTTCTTGGCGGCCAGGTCGGCGGCCTGCTGCGCCAGAATGCGCTCGGTCTCCGCCCGCGCCTCCTCCGCCTTCAAGCGCCGCTCCTGCTCCCTGTGACAGTCATAAAACTTGCCCTTCTCAGCACCTCTCGTGAGGTAATTCTGGCGTCAATAAAGACTCTGAAGCCTCAAAGGGTTTGCTCCTGCTCCTTATGCCAACCAACAATATCTTTTCTTTTGCCTGGTAATGCATGTGCACCGCTGCAAAACCTCCGTAGTAGCGCAACAACCAGGCGCAGCCAGGGCCACGCAAAGAGTCACTGACACTCTTTACACAGCCCCCGCCTGCACAGAACCCCTCGGCAGCTCTGTACTTGCTTGCACACAGCGCTATCCCTGGTCATCACAGTGCATGTCACATCCAGATACATTCTTTGATCAAGATTAAGTGACCGTCTGTAATGTTGTCGTGCTGTCCGGCTCAGGTCCAATGGACAAAATGCGGTATAATTGATGGAACGCACGCTGCATAGGCGTCCTTGCGCCGCTGCTTCTCAGCTGCAGCCTCTTTCTGGGCCGCTTCCAGCTCACGCGCATACCTCGCCACCTCCAGCGCCTTGACCTGTACAGCATGCTTCTTTTTCTCAGCTCATCTGCAAGGCGCCACATGCATTTGACATTGCACTCAAAACCTTGACGCATGAGTGACACATAAGTGGCACAATACCATCCATCAAGACAGGAAACTTCTCCCTTCCAAGAGAGGCATCAGTAAGGCAGCAGTAATAGCACAGGAAGCGTTTCCGGAGCAACAATAGCATGTGCGCATGCAGGGTGCCAGAAAGGACTCTTTGCACAACCATGCACCGCGGAAAGAAGGCTTGCATTATGACATTCCCTCAAAGCAAGACAGGGCCGTGCCTCCTTCTCGCGAGCAATCTCCTCCTTGGCGCGCTTTAGCTCCCTCTCCCGCTGCTGCCGCCGCCACTCAGCCTCCGCCTCGGCCCTTGCCTTCCTCTGCTCCTCGCTGCGAGCCTCCAAGTCTGCCAACTTTGCCTCCGCCTTGTCCTACACCGGTCATGCACGAATATTTTCAGTGGTGTTTTCTTTTTCGTTCTCAAGTCCCTGAGAATTGCCCCCAGCAATTCACACCCCTGAGAGCACTAAAGAAGCATGGCAATATTGCACAAGGGCACATTCCTAAAAAGGTGGAATTCAAAGCAATATCCACTGCCCTGCCGTCCGCCTCGGTGGCATACTTGCAATTGATCTGTCCAGTGTTAATGAAACTTTTAAGATATGATTAGCAGAAGTGGAAGGATGCGTGCCTGCAGGGTCTTGCGCATGAGCTCGAATTGGACGAGTTGGCCCATTTCGCGCTCCTGGCGCCGCTTCAGGACCTCCAGCCGCTTGGCCTCCCTCTCCACCATGTCCTCACTCTCAGCCTCACCCTGACATGCGCAATGATTACCTTGGGCTTTAGACGTTGCATTCATTAAATTCAATTTTCTTACATGCTTTCCTGCCAGAGGCAAGGTGCGTCTGCAGACACGCTGCAGGTAGAGTGTGAAATTATGGTGAAAAAAATGTTGAGAGTAGCCCCTTGGGGCAAGCCAGGCTTGTCTTCGCATCCTTGCATTTCATGTCATGTAATAGACTGTGCATTTCTCTGGATTCCAAGGCCCAGAAGTGTCGATTTATAATATCTGGACATACAAAGAATTTATCCGTGCTGGGTCAAAGGTGCTTGGTGTGTTGCACATGAAGGAGCCAAGATGCTGGCACAACATGGTTGGCAAGCAAGCGTATGTAAGTGCAGGAGAGGTCTCACCTTCTTGGTGCCCTTGGCAACCTTGTCATTGGCATCCTCGTCCCTCCCTGATATCTTCTTCCTCTCTTCCACCAGAGCCTCCAACCGCTCCTGCAGCCGCCGACAGTTCTCTCAATGCAGGTTGCAACCCTTCTTCCTATCTTCATTTTAGTAAGATGTGCGCATGCAGACAAATTATAATGCTATGCTGCCAACAATCCCACCCCTTGTTGCAGTCCCCAGATCCAAGCGAGACCCAATTGACAGTGTTTGCTCGGTGCTTAGTGATCCTTAATTGCCCTCGGCCAGCCCGGGATATCTCGGTACCCAGCAAGAACATATAGAAATAATAGACATTTGCTGCCAAGCAGTTCACTGTGCCTTTGTATAATGTCCTACCTGCCGGACTCTCTCATGGTGGTTGTAGGCTATCTGCGCAAGCTCCTTGTCGCCAAACTCCTCCGCGAAGATGTCCGGCGGCATGAAGTGCAGCTCAAATGGCTCGATGCCCAGGCGCAGGCAGGCCTCCACTGAGCGTGGGCTTGTGGGCTCAAGGCTGCCCATCCCCCTTGGATCTACCCACAACAAAAAGTAAGTACGGGACCACAATGTCAAACATTGCGCATGGGCATTCTCTGGCTTCCGCAAAGACACTTGAATGCTGATATGTGCCGAGCGTGAATTGTAAGAGGTGGCAAGCAGAGTCTTGCGAATCTTGTCTTTTTGTTGAGAAGGAAGAGGGGTACCATTTGCCCTGTCGATGACATCTGCTATGGTCACCTTTGCTCGCTCTCCTCGGACAGCATCAGCCTACAGGGCACATCCAAAGGGACTTCGTTGCTTTGGACCTCTCAGGGGAAGCCAAGTATAGGTTCTGTGTATGTGTGGCGGCAACAGCCAGCTTTGAGGGTGGTGCTGATCTTGGCAGTCCTCACCTTGCCACGCTGCAAGTCCCTCAGCCACTCAAACGGAGACCTGGTTCTCAGGCCGTGTTGCAGCCCTCGATGGGGCATCCTGCAAATACAGGACACGATGTTGATGGCATGTTCGGGGAAAGCCGCTGTGCATAACGGCATGGATTGCCCGTACCAGGCCACCACATTAGGAGCAATGATGTTTAGGTGCATTGAGCACGTTGTAAATGCTCGTAGCACGACAAGAGGGTGGCGCACGAACTTGAGTTTACAATCCGGATGTCTGCACTGGTAGGTGACGATAGTTGATAGAATGAGCAAGATATCGCTGCATACAGTGCTTCCACACTGCTATTACAAATCTGCAGCAGCCCTTGCCAAATCACGCAAATTCGCCACTTGGAACGAGATTTTGTGTTCCGAAAGCATTTCCGGAACGAGCTTCTAAATTTAGAACTTGGGCTCCCCCCCTCCCCCCCACGTTTGCATGCCATCATCCTATCACCTCGAAGTCCCTTCCTCAAGAACAATTGCAACAGAAACAATCACAATGAAACTCTTCAATGCTTTGCAAGACCGGCTGACAATACAGACAGGCTGCCAAATCCTCGACAGCGTTCGCTACCTATTGTACACATACCGTACACTCACGTCTCAATATTTATCTGACCGCTGACTCTCTCCTCACACACTGACTTGCTGGACAGGCCCAGGACAGACAGCAGGAGGCACAACAGAACAATATCTATCTACATTACAGAACATCTCTTGAGCGCCTTTTGGCGCGCCCGCGCAGGCTTGCGAGCCGGGATGTCCCTGCCAGGACCTGGCACAAAACCTCTCCTCTCTTCCCCTGCCTCCCCAGTGTCAATTGACTGGTCGCCATCATCGTGGGGCGTGCCCTCAACAGCATGGGCCGGGTTCGCCTCCTGCATGAACACAGCCTCACCCCTGAGATTGGAGGTGCAATCTATTGTCACAATGCCTATGATGATCAGTCTGCATGCAAGGATGATATCGCTCCACCTTCACGGAGGATTTCTGCAATATTTGAAGCAGAATAATTCACCAAAGCACTGGAAATGTTCCTCGTCAGAGACTGCATTGTTCTCAATAGCAGCCGTTCAACAGCAGCCGATGTTGAGCACTGACCTGCGCTTCAGAGGAGGCGAAGGGGGTGCTGGGGGTGCATTCGGCATGGTGGCCCATGTCCATGTCAAAATTGTCTTCTTCATTGCCGCAGTCCAGGCCGGCCTGGATCTCTTCCAGCGACAGGCGGGACTGCACCTCTGCCTCGCCGTCCTCATGCACTGTCAGATCCCTCCTGCAGCGCCGCACCAAACACTTGTGACCTTTGTAGGGGCAGCATAAACATGCAGATCAGTAATACATGCTTTGATCAGGTCAAAACTTGAAGGTAGTGCATTTCAGTTGTCCCGCTCTGGCGCACGTCATCCTTGTGTCCATGTCTTGTCTTTCAGAATTCGCACTTATCAAAAGCCCCATAGCCGTGCCAGGACTTTTTTACTTATCCCTTCAAGTATTCTCACTTTGCAGCCATGTAGCAGTGTGCTTACAGGTCATCTGAGGACTTCAAAGTTGAGAGCAGAATAGGATGCTTGTGGGATGCAGCTCATGGTCCCCACCTGCGGCGGCTGGCGGCGAGCTTATCAAAATTCTCAAAGATGTTGCGCTCGTCCAGGCCCAGGCTCTCGTTGTTCACCAGCGACATGGCCGACTCGCTGTGCAGGCTGCTGTTGCTCACAAAGCTCTTCTGCAGGCTGCCCGCGCCCTCTACGGCGCCCCCCGAGCCGCGCCCCGCCAAAAAGCCCGCCCCGCTCGGGCTCCTGGCGCTGCCCACCCGCGGGCTGGCCGCCGAGTCGTGCACGCCATTCACCGCAGCGCCGTCCTCACTGAGGCACCTATCGTGCAGCCATAACAATAGAGCATGAGCAACGAATTAACCAACAAAAACATGCATATCTGTATCTCTACTTCTGTCCTGCACTGTATGAATGACACACCACGATGCTCTATACTCCTCCATTTCGCCACACGTCTTTGTGTCAGCACTATGATTTGTTTGAGTTGTCTGTCAGAGGAAGCTAAGCGCGCCTGTCAGACCACTTTGCTGAGCCACGCTCAAGCTTCTGTGACGTGTGCTTCAAATTTGCTACTGGGGTGGTTGCGCACCTGTTTTCGGCGGCAAACGATGCAGAGAGCAGGCCAGGCGGTCTCCTCTCCCAAGAATTGGATCGCAAGCAGTCATTGCTATCGCCTGCAGGGCCGCCCCTGCCGATCTCAACAGGTGATTCCGCCTGCGGTGGCGGCTGCGCGGCCGGCTGCGGCGGCAGCGGCTGAGTTGGGCTGGCAGTGAGCGCGGCATCTGTGGCAGATGTATCTAGGGCGGCCGGCGGGCCGTAGGAGAGCCTCTGGCCCAGATCAGACGCCACGGTTGAAGTGTCTGACGCTGTACTTCTGGGCGGCAGCGGCCGGATGCTCGACCTGCAAGTATCACACCAAACATTAGTCAGGAGCCCAAGTTCTGGAACACAACAACAGAAGACAAGACATCTGATGCACAGCGCGTCCTCCATAGCATGGCAGGCCCAAGCTCTTGAGGGTCTGGGACAGTGCATAGGTCACCAGCAAATCCCCATTTAGGAGCCAGTATATTGTTCTGTGCCCCAGGAAGCAAGTGCATGCATGCTTGCATGGCGCGCATGCGGGAACAGAAAGCACCTTGCGTGTGCGATGCTGGGGTTCAGTTCTTCCAGGTGCTGCGCCACGTAGCCAAACTCAGAGAAGACAGAGCTGCAGGAGAAGTGCCCGTCCCCAATGCTGCTGCGGCCCGCCTCGTCATCACTGAAGCGGTTCCCAGCCTCACTGCCCGCCACTGACAGCTCCGACGCCGCTCGAAACTGCACAATCATCAATATAAACCTCAATGAATTGCCCAATTCCTTTCAAAAATTGCAATTAGTTTATTTGGTGGTTGGAAACTCGCAAAGCGCTGAAGCATGCAATGCTGCCGGCAAGCTTCTGCCAGCCAACATGTGCTGTGCTGAGCAGATTTGTCCAAGCAGACAAGCAGAAGAGACATGATGGTGACTCACCCTGTAGGCGGTGTGCTGGCCGCGGGAGAGGCTGTCCCAGATTTGCTGGGTGGCGAGCACGCTCTCATTGCTGGGGGTGCCAGGCTCCCACGGCTGCGAGGGGTCGGCGCCCTCAGGGTACAGCCGCACGAAGCGCCCGCCACTGCTGCCACCTCCGAATTGCAGGGCTGGTGGGCTGCCTCCCTCCGCGGAGCTTCCTGACACTGAGGCGCGGTTGGGATCTGCCTGGGCGGCTCTGACATCAGCAGCGTCCTCATTTGGCTCCCTCTCTGGAGCGGCAGGCACTGACGGCAGCCGCGTCCCATACCGCCTGCACCCACATTTGGTGAACACCTCAATCCCTATATGCCTCTCTGACGATGCAGGCAAGCTGTGATACAAGTGTAAAGCTTGATTCTTCACGTCGCAGGGAATGGGAGTGTCGGTATTGTCGAGGCAACAAAAAGCATGCACTGTGTAGAGGCAAGTGCATACCTCGAGAGCTCCACCACAAACTTCTCATGCTTGACACCAGGTGGCCTGGCTGCCCCGAAGCAGGCCAGAGCGTCAAGGACGCTGAGCCTGCAGACCTGGATCAGGTATGCACACACCACAAAGCCCGTCCTGTTGAAGCCTGCATGTGATGAAAAAGCCTGTCAATTGATCGTGAAGCAATGGACATATCTGAGCAAGAAAAGCAGGGTGCAAGTGATGTGACAATGGGAATCGCACAGGCAGCGCACCATAAGCACAGTGGATGGCAATGTACTTCTTAGGGTGCTCCTTCCAGTAGCTCTTGGCAGTCTTGATGACCTGAGTGATGGCATTTGCTGGAGGAAATGATTTTGCCACCAACTGCGCATCCACAAGCTTCCATCAGCATACTGAGACTGATGATTGATCCTTCTCTGCAGCTGTGCAACCTAGCAGCGACACTCACCGGTATGTGTGTATATTGGATCCCGTCGACTGCCTGAAGGTCATCAGCATATAGTGTCTCGTGGTTGGAGAGATCTATGATGAGGCCTATAGTGCGTCCCTTCTCCTGCTGGTCCTTGCGCAGGCTCTGGATGGTGAGCACATGCTGCGGTGGTTCGTCCAGGGACCAGTTCTCAATGATCTCTGAGGACATAGGCGTCTTCATGGGCAGAAATCTGGTGGGGCCTACTGGCTCCCCATAGCTCTGATAGTCCGCCCATTTCTGCAGTTTCTGCAGCACTGAACTGTCTTCCTTTGCACTCAGGTCAGCACTTCTCCCCGAGCCTACCAGCGCCTTGGCCTGAGCCAAGTCCTGCCTGGTGATGCTGTGGGAAGCTGCTGCCTTGCTGCCATCCAAAGGCTGGCCTTCTGTCATTCTGACACAAGCAGCTGATACAGGAGAATGCTACCTGAGACTGGAGATTGATCTAATCAAACATCCCATCATTGCAAAAGGCCGCAGGAGGTCAGCTGGACTGCAGTCCTCAAATGAGGGGCAGAACCAAGTCGCTGCAGAGCGCAGCGAGGCGCTTGCACGCCCATCCCTGAATGCAAAGACATACTTCTGAACATCGAAATGTTTCTTTTGGTGAGCCTGTTGCAGATCCTGACGGCGATTGAAACTGTTTACGGTGTGCCTTGTGATTCATACGATATCGGACGGCGTTCCTGGGGCATTATTGGCGCGAGACTTTGGGCTTGTGAAAGAGACGGCCGTTCGAAGAGCAGACGACCGCTAGACGTAGTTGAGAGGGTCATTCTATGGATAAAGTACGTGCAAATCCTGGAGCTGCTGCCGGCGCAGCCGTCGGGCTGACTGTGGCAGCTGCTGCTGCGACTTACTATGTCAGGCGCAGGAACAGCAGGGTGCGGCCCAACGGCAAGTTTTCCCTGGAGACGTTGCCCAGCGACGCCTACGATGCAGTCATCGTGGGTGCAGGACCATCGGGCAGCACCTGCGCACACTTCCTTGCGAGTGCTGGTGCCAGAGTGGCGCTGCTAGACAAAGAGACGTTTCCTCGCGACAAGTACTGCGGCGATGCGGTTAGATCCTATCCCAGAACTCAATGAGTAATGCTTGTTGCTTATTTCTCGGTATCTTTCGCATGGATCTCGTTTCTTTTTCAAACGGAAACAGATGCACATCTTCCATCTCATGCAAAGATCAAAGATATCGGAGCAGAGTTTCTGGCTACAAATGCTGATGTGCACCGACAACAGTCTATTATCTTAACCAGTTTCGATTGCACTGCAGGTCTGCACTCCTGGACTCAACATCCTTGAGGAGTTGGGTGTGCTGAAAGAGCTCGTGGACAACAATGAGGCTCACTTTGCAGACTCTGGTGGCTTCGTCAGTCCCTCAGGACTCACATACATCGGTGCGTGCCGTCACTCATTTCTTTGAGGGGGCCAGCATGCACCAGCTCCCTATCACTTATTAGGGCGTGCATGTCAAAGCAGAGTGTGCTGTTCTTTTGCATGTATCCCTTGTTGCAAATGCTAACACGAGAGGGTCACGTGCAGGCCAGTCGAAGGAGCGGTTAGGAGGTGCAGCAGCTTGTGCAGTCAAGCGCACCAACCTGGACAAGAGGATAGCGTGGAAGGCTCGCGATGTCGGCGCAGAGCTCAAGGAGGGCTTTGAGGTCGGCAAGGAGAACCCCACCTTCAACAAGCAGAGCGGCCTGTGGACTGTCAAGTCAACTGGGGTGCGTGCAAAACCCATGCTCACACATCCCAGAGGTCCTTTCATATCGCGGCAAAGTGTTTTTCTTGGAGTCTCGCGATCGCCTTGCATGTGCTGGGTTGACATGTCTGTGGGCAACACAGGGGAAGACAGTGAAGGGGCGGGTGTTGGTCATTGCGGACGGGGCGACCTCGAAGCTGGCCATGCAGATGGGCTACTGCACAGAGCCGCCCAAGGGCGTCTGCAGCCGAGCCTTCATTGAGGGCGGCACCCACAACGTGGACTTCGACGGTGCTCACCCACAACCACATCTACCTCAAACAGTCTGATTGAAGCGCACATCGCCATGTTATCCTACAAAGTCTGCATTTGATGAGCAAGACTAATGAGACTGCACAGTGACCATGTTACTCTGCAGAGGCTGCATGTTGATGAGCAAACTATCGAGACTGCACAGGTGCCCTGTGACTCTACAAAGGCTGCATTTTGGTTGTGGTCACGAGGTTGTTTTCAATGGGTGCAGGCGTGTGCTTCTACCAGAGGGAGTCGCTGCCGGGCTACTCGGCCATCTTCAGGCACCCCAACGACGAGCTCAACTTCTGCTACTACCTCATCCCGTGCGGCAAGGACGGCATGTGCGGCGACGTCTCTGTGAGTCCTCCTCTCCCTCCTGACTCCAGCCATGACCAGCAACCGTGATCGACCATGCAAGCAAGAAGCAGTGATCTGACAGGGGAGCACAACGTCATCCCTGGTACTTTGGCTTTTGTGCATCCTTGAGGCTTGAGAAGCCACGGTAAAGCCACGGTGCCATGCTGACGGGGATTCAGCATCAAAAGCGGGACGCAACTTGGCAGTCTGTGCTCCTTGCGCTCTGAGGATTAAAGTTCTGTACCCCCAACATGGTGCCCTTCTCAGTATCGATAGTCTGAGAGTGGGAACTCCTCGGCACAGGAGGCGGATCTGAAGCGGCTGCATGAGGGCGCGCTGAAGAGCGACCCCTTCATCAGCCAGGCGGTGGGCCCCAACGCCAAGGTGGAGCGCATGAAGGCCGCCGCGCTGCGCCTGGGCTCCCAGGGCGTTCCCTCCTCCTACGACGACCACTTGCTCATCATCGGCGACGCCGCCGGCCACATCGACCCGCTCACCGGCGAGGGCATCCACACCGCCCTCATGGTGCGCGCTGCTGGGCCTATCTATTCAGGCTGCATGCACTTCTGATGCTCGTAAGTGGAGTGCCTTTATTGCTTGAATGATGTGGCCAAGAGAAATGGGTGCAGGCTGAGCCCTGTCTGGAGGCTCATTGTTAGCACAGCAGAGCCAGGTACAGGAAGCGGGAAGCAGACAGCAAGTTGGAGTCGGGAGCATATCATATGCCGAGTTCGAGGAGCCTTTTTCAGAAGGATTCAGAAAGTTGGCGGTGATTTTCAATGGGCTTAAACGGGATAGATGTGTGTGGTGTGCAGGGGGGCAAGGCGGCGGCGCAGACCATCCTGGACATGCGCGCGGCTGGCGATTACTCCAAGCTCTCCACGCGCATCTACGAGCAGCGCTGGATGAAGGCCTTCGGCCACGACTTTGCCTACGTGCGCCCCTATCTTAAAATGCCCATGTTGCTGTCTTGTGTCAGCGGCATAGGATAAGAGGAGATTGCCCACTGGGTGAAGATCCTTCCCCAAGACAAAGTCATGCTTATTAATTTATATTTTCCATTGTAATGAGCGGTTTCTCAGAGAATGAGGCTCTGGGCAGCGGCAAATGTTTTGGCAGGCAAGTTGCTTCTGGATGCACAGCTCTCAAAGCGGCGGCTTGCTTGCTCGTGCACAGCTTCTCTATTGCGATGGGTTTATGGCTGGCTTGCAATACTAGGAACTGATATGCAAATTTGGTGGGGTGCGGTGCAGTCCAAGAAGGGTGCCGAGCTGATCTACAAGTACCCGATCCTGCTGGACGCATGCGCAAACGAGATGCAGCGCGTGGGCGACTCCATGATGACCAAGTGGGCCGAGGTGATGACCAACATGCGCCCCAAGACCTACTTCCTACGCCCCGATGTGGCCATCCCCATGGGCTTTGCGATCGTGAGGGAGCTCTGGGCCCAGAATGTGTCCAAGCGCCCAGACCTCTACAAGACCGGCGCCAGCCTCTGAGAGCCGCAACGGCTTGCTGGGGGCAAAAGCGTGGATTGCCAGGAAGAGGAGATGTGGCAGGCTTTGTCCTGGTGCTCGAGAGGGCAGCAGCTCTGGAGGGAAACGATTGAGCACTGTTGAACTGCAATTGGGATGAAAATTACGCAGGCGGCAAATGAGCTTTTGGCTTGTAGCAGCTGTCTGGCAGGGGCGTGGCATTTCGCGTTCCTCCAACTTTGCAAGACAAGGCCTGGCACTCCCAGATAAGATTATTGTATCTCGAAGATGGACCAGCGGTGTTGCAAGGCGACATTCATGACTCATGCCTGAGAGAAATGAGTTGTCTGAGGGAATGGATGTGAACCGTTGAGACTGATGTTTGGCAGTATCGTTGATGTTGTTGCAAACCAAACCGACACGAATGTGATTAATAATGTCCACCCCCTCTCATTCCGCTTTCCACCCACATTAAAATATCTTTGTGATCAGCTTACTGGGCCTGGACTGCCTTCAGGTCCGGCCTTAGAGGAGCTTGAGATCTGGGTACATCCGAAAAATCACGGCGCTTCTTGCCAATTAGAATTGAGCACATTAAGCCTGCCCCAGCATTCATTCCAACACCTTCTTCCAGGCCTGGATCAGAAGATCGCCGTCGAATGGACGCCCAGATCTGGGCGAGCTATTCAGCAAAATCTTCTCCCTTGTGGTTGAAATCGAGTTGTCGAGCAGCAACAGGGCAAGGTCCTGGAACAACGTCGATTCACAGTTGCATATACAGGGCCTTTGTTCTGCATCTTTGTTTCGGCCTACTGGCTCTCAGGTTGTTTCCAAGAGGTTCTGCTCATCCAGGATTGGGGCTTTTTTATATGTAGCCTGATCAGTCTTCAATGCAATCGCGAGCAGGCACTTGCAGTTGCAGTTTTGTGCAGCCATGTCGGGCAAGGCCCCTGTCATTTCCGTCCCCTGCGACCCACAGACGCTCCCAAATGCGAACTGCACAAAAGTCACAGAGGAGGACAGCAAGCCGTCTCTTGGCAGCATTGTCGCCAGATCAGCTGCTGGACATGCTGGCGCCCATGATGGATCACTTATTTTTCGCTTACGAGCGTGTGGTGATGCCTTGCCACAACATGAACTGTGGTGACGTGGTGCACAGAAGGTGCGTCTTCGATTTCTCTCGTATAACGGATCTGCCTTGAAAGGCACTGTTCGGTATTTCTGTTTAGCACGATGTGCCTGCAGCCGGTAAGTATGCTTGACAGGGTGGAGCAGAAAGGACTGTGGGAACTCTGGCATGACTTTATTGCTCACATGTACAAGGCGTGCCACATCAACCCAAATCCTCAGAGAAAGCTTGCAATAAACATCGTGCATCTGTGGTGCAGTACCTTGGATCCAGTACTGCGCCTTGAACAGCGAGGTGTAACCCCACAAGGCGTCGCCCTGGTCTCAGCTGTCATCGCTTACCTCTTCGCCAAGCCAGGTATGAAGAGCAGGAGTTTTTTTGTTCGCTTTAGCACTCGAGCATCATGGATAGTGTCCAGAGGCATGCGGCAAGGTGCTTGACCCTGCTTTGTGGTGTCTGACAGGTGTGCTGGCTGGCGCTATTGATTACTACATTCTCGACAAATTCCAGCGCCTGACAAATACGAAAACCTACACCAAGGTAATTTGTTGCCATCTGTCAACTTGGCCAGACTCTGTCACACTCTCAGGCTACACTTTACAGAATGACGGCATGCAAAAAGTCATACTAAAGGGCATTCCTGTGCCTGCAGGAAAACATCCGTCTGGGAAAGAAGTTGGCGACGGGCGGCTTTGGGACTGTGTATCGAGCAGACCTCGTTGATGACGAGGAGCCTGGTGAACCACGGCCTGTGGTTGTTAAGAAGGTGGGCTCTTGCTAACACCTCTTGGCAGGCCTGCGCAGCAGCTGTTCCTGCATATCCTGTTGCATTGCATGCCTTACTAACATCCATGCAGCGCAAGTAAGAATTATTTGTTAATGCATCAGGCAAAGGAGTTTGGAGAGGCAGAGGTGTGGATGAACGAGCGGCTGATGAGGGCAGCACCCAGCTGCTTTGCTCGCTTCATCACCGCCTTCGAGGACGGCAACAGGCAAAATAGTGGCAAGCCTGTGAGTTGATATGCACCTCAACCCGCCAAATTCCTTCTGATGTGATTCTGCCACAACTCACCATTAGAAGGATTACCAAGCTTAGCTCAGCTGATGTTGGGAGACGGTCATCCGCTTTGAAAATGCCGACGTTGGCAACATCATGCCAATTTGGCAAGTTCAAGGCTGACCTTCCCTCAGCATTACTCTTGAGGTTGTAGTCAGCTTCCTGCCTTATGCTGCGGAGGTGGGAAACAGGAGCCGTGCAACCTGGGATTGGTTGTACTGGTGAGACTGCTGCTAGTGAGACACCTGGCAACAATTGCAAAGTAAATGTGGACGAGACGGCAGCTGACATGCTGTCAGTCCCCTCCGCAAGATTGGGGAAGTGTGAATCAATAACAGGATTCTTGACTCGAACAAACAAACAACAATAAGCAAATTCAGCACCGGTGTCTGCGCAGGAGCCGCTGTGGCTGGTGTGGCAGTACGAGGGGGACTTCACGCTGTACGACCTGATGCAGAAGAAGGACTGGCCCTACAACCTGGAGCCGGTGCTGTTCGGCCGCGAGCTCAATCTGCCCAGAAGCCCCCGCCGCCGCTGGATCACCCTCCGCGTCATCATGCAGCAGGTCCGCCTCCCACCTCATGATCTGCACCACACTCTCACTGCACTCTTCTTTAGATTCTTATGCACAAGCACATCTGCATGTGCCATTCAAGATGCACTCTCCTCGTGGCAAAGTTGACACTCGACCGGGACTGGCCTTCTGGTTATGGAAGGGCTGATCTTGAGGGGATGCCAATGGCACCAACTTCTCGTAGCAATGGCATGGGAGCCATGTAGGCACCCATACTCGTCATGCCATGGCTAACCCCATTTTTCTGCTGCAGGAGACTGTCCACACATGACAGTACTCACATGTACCGTAGTCACTTTTACTAAACTATTACATGACACTGTACACGCAGATAATGGAGGCACTGCAGGCGTGCCACGCGACGGGGATCGTGCACCGGGACGTGAAGCCGCAGAACGTCATTTTGAGTGATCCCGACCGCCGCGCCAAGCTGATCGATCTGGGCGCGGCCGCAGACCTGCGCATTGGCATCAATTATGTGCCCAACGAGTTCCTGCTAGATCCCCGCTACGCGCCCCCCGAGCAGTACATCATGTCGACCCAGGTGCGCGGCTCTCTGTGTTGCATTTCTAAGGGAGCAGAGAAAAGTGGAAAGTATTGGCTGGCCCAGTCGTATTAAAGGTGTAGTCAGGCAGAAAGGGAGGAAGAGTCGATGATGAAAACACCATACAGCTCTAGAAACCTGCTGAGGGGAGGAACACCCGATGCTGTTTTTGTGGATTTCCGCCTGAGACTCTCGTACCTCATCCTGGCATGTGCGCTGACTTGCAGTGTGGTACAGGACATTCTGGCCAAGGGCGAATCTCTTCGCCATGTGTCACATGAGTATTAGTTCTACTTCTGCATCTCATTTATTTGTTCATCTTATGTGATAGAGTCGTGAATGCATTTCGTGGCCGGTGAGCACTGAGTCACGGGGAGGCTGGATCATGATCGCACGCTCAGCGCGCCCACATAGATCTATAAGGTAGTGCAAAAACAGTGTAAAATTATGTGGTGGCCCTGCGCCTGCTGTCATGCCTGCAGCCGGCCTGGTATCTCTCAGGGCGCTGACAAAGCAACGATGACTACTCTGCACTGATTATGTCTGTCACGGTGTGCGCGCAGACGCCGCGCGCGCCGCCGATCCCGGTGGCGGCCACGCTGTCGCCGATCCTGTGGCAGCTGAACAACCCGGACCGCTTCGACATGTACAGCGCGGGCGTGATGCTGCTGCAGGCCTGCATGCCCGCCCTGCGCTCCGACTCCGCACTCATCGCCTTCCGCCGCAAGCTCGAGCAGTGCAACTACGACATGCCCGCCTGGCGCGCCCAGCAGGTGCCCCCTTTGTTTCCTTGCTGCCCATGTCCAGCTCTATGCTTTTCCTGTAGGTGTAGGAATAGGCTCAGAATACATGCTCCATTTGACGTGTATTCTTTTGTGGACGGCGCTGCTCTGCCCTGAGCAGAACCCCATTCCTTTCATGCACAGCCCCTTGTTGGCCTCTGAGCAGAGTGCAGCTGTATCGGGGCTTATTTGGAGCACCGCAGTACATTAGATTGTATCATACTGCACGATGTTGACTTGGCATTTGAACAATGTTCAATTTAGCTGTGCGTTGCCGCATCGACTGGTGCTGCACAGTGCAAACTCATACATAGTTGTAGTCAATTATACGACTGGTGCCGTATACAGATATAAATAGCATGTTTGGTGCTGCAGGAGAGGAGGAACAGCAGGGAGTACACGGAGGGCTTTGCGATGCTGGATCTGGACGACGGCGCGCCGTGGGACCTGGTGTGCTCGTTGATGCAAGCCGCGCCGCGCAAGCGCCTGAGCGCCTCCGCGGCCGCCGCACACCCAGCCCTTGGCGGCGGCATCACTGCCGCGCTCAACTCGCTCTCGCGCCGCGCAGGGGATGCGGCTGACCGGGTGCGCGCTCTCTGATTTCGCCATCGCCGTGTAAAGCACATCCTTGACAGTCACAGGGATGCCTTGATGTGGGAGGTGATCCTGGGTACACAAGAGCTGCCTCAAAACTGCTTTTTCTACAGTTTGAGAAATGTACTCCTAGCTTTCCTTGTGCCACAGTTGTTGTCCTGCATAAAGGCGTTTCTATGGGGCTATATCAAGTGATCCGTATTGTGCACCTGATGCACTCAGTGGAGCAGTGCCTGATTTGAAAGCCTCATACCCCGATTCTTGTAGATTGTACGAACTATTGCTTTTTGGAGCAGTCTTAGCTGGCAATACGTCAATCAATGAACCACGCACATTGCTGTGGTCAGCCACAGCGGCGACTTTGTATGAGGGCTATTCAGGGTCGGGGGAGATGTGCTGCAAAGATGCCGGCCCTTCCTCAGAGTTTCTGCTGCTGGGCCCTGCCATGCTGAGATTGTGTATCATTACTCTCATTAGCTTGCATGGTGAGAGGGGGTCATAGTGCTGAGGAGCCGCGCTGTGCAGGTGCTGGGCACAGACACATGGCTGGAGGGCGGCCTGAGCGGCTCGCAGAGGTCTGGGGGGTTGACAGAGGCGCAGATCACTGACGAGCTGGGCCCCGACTTTGACCGTCTGCCCATCCCCAGAAATGCCTCTGCCACCATCTCCTGGTGGCAGCTTCGCCAAGCCGCCTTCAACCGAGCTGTGCAGGTAATGCACCCCTTGAGAGATTGAGTGTCATCCCTGAGATTTGTGTTTGGGACCTTTGGAGCTCTTGAACATGCGCTGTATTTGTCTGCGGCAAGGTAGCATCCGCTTTTCGGTGGTCTCCACGGGGTTTGAAATATGTATGGGTTCTGAGCTTTTGTCAAGCTGCTGATGGTGAGGATGGGGAGTGGATCTTTGAGATATACCATGCATCCGGTGGCTCAACTCCTTTGCTGTGTGATGTGTGCAGGGTAAGCAGGCGCGTGTGCAGAGGGAGGCGGCAGGCAATTTGCGCAAGTTGACCAAGATGGCTTCTCAGACAATCCGCGAGAGCAAGCGAAAGCTTCCCAAGGTCCTGATGTGGGGCCGCACCAATTGAGCGCACAGAGCCGCAGAATTCTTCCCGTCTTCTTTGAATCATCAATCACTTATTGGTGGGCCATCAATATTGGAGTACATCAGTTGATATCTTAAGCCAATATATGGAGCAATGAGACGCTTGCTGAGCATGGCGAGACAGCGATTCAATGATTCTTTGTTGAGAGAAGCGTGTGTGAGAGTAGCAAGCTGCAATTGCAATTGAGCGTTTGCACGAGATATCATAGTTACAATCTGTCACTGCGGCAATCTGCAATTGTATTCTTTAAAGTTAAATTGGCGTTACGTAGTGCCTTTTCTTCTTGCTGTGTGTGCTATGGCTGATGAGGGTCAGTCACTTGGGACCTGGCGATTGAGGGATGTTGCTGCAGCAAGCTTTATGGGAGATATTGGCTGCATGAATAAATTACCAGTGACTTGGTTGCAAAAGCAATTCTTTGAGTATAGGTGTTCAAAGGGCCCTTATGTTGTGCAAGCTGCCTGAGCAGCCCTCCACCTGCAATTTCTTCCAAAACAAAGATTTACGGTGTGTTCTTGGTGCACCTCTGAAAGGTGCTGTTCATGTATGTATATGTTATGCACGGTGTAAGTGACATGCCTGTATGTGTATGTGCTGTTGCGGCAGGATCTGTGCTCACAGATCCAAATTTGCAGAATTTGAGTGAGGCTTGCAAATCCACATCCATGCATACTGGGTATTCAGCGTCCGAGACGTCTGTCGACATAAAGCGTTTACACAACGTTGTGTTCACCTGGTGAAGAAACTAACCTACTAGATATCTACAGTAAGCCTACATCGTGTACATATCTAAAGATATGATATAAGAAAAATCATAGCGCACAAGTGTGCCTTCACTACCCACAACTCCCCCACCTTCTCAGCCCAAGGATTGAAAACAAGAAAGAACCTTGTGCCCCTCACCTGCCGCGACTCTGCCTGAGCACTGAAAGAATAGCAGTATCACACAAAAACTTTACTTCATGAACGCACTTGTAATTCATTCTAGACCAGGCCGGGCGGGCCGCAAAATTGGCGAGCGCCGCTCTGGCCGAGCCCCCGATGTCATGGTGGTCTAACACCCGCATCGAAAAAATTGACACATGACCGCTCCTTCTCACGCAAAAATAGTGAAAAGTGGGGAGCCCAAGTTGGCTTCTCGCGACTGACTTGCGAACTTGCAACAACCACTGAACAGCTCAGACAGATGCATGCCATTTTATGTCAAGAATCCTCCTGCCACGCCGGAGCAGCAACTTACTTAGCTTCCCACACAACAAAAAAGTTAAAATCCGGGGAGCCTAAGTTGGCTTCTTGCGACTGACCCACACCCTTCCAACAAGCGCTGAACAGCTCAGTAAGGAGCCCTGCATTAGCAAGGGACATCATGCCACGCCAGAGCAGCAACTTACTTAGCTTCCCACAACAAAAAAAAGGAAAATCGGGGATTCTAAGTTGGCTTTTCGGGACAACGTCTCAGTGAAGCAGAATCTGAAACAAACAATAGCAGCACTGCATGTGATAACCAATATTGTCATCATTGCTCGTCCCTGCCATGCACACTGAATGCGGTCCCATGGCCCAAATTGCATTGCCTAAGCCCTTCCGCCTCATAAAACCAAACCTCTGGCCTGATGTTCTGCTATTTTTTGTCACTACTTCCGGTACATATCGCTCTGCTGAAGCTAATGATGGTCAGACTTCTCATGGGCCACTAGTGGCTGAAACAGAAGCAACAGTGCTCTCTCCCCTCGCTCTCTCTCTGCTGGAGAAATGACAAAAATTGCATCTTCCTGCACGGCAGGACATTAACCAGAGATTGGGGAACTGCCCTTCGCCTAATGGGGGCGCCTTAGGCGTCCCCCCGTGCATGGAAGTCGGGTCCGTAACGGACCACCGCTGGCGTTCAGAAATCTTTCCATTTATGAAGTACTTGGCTGGCTGGATGCGATGTTACGTGACTGCCTGACTGACTGACTTCGGAAAATGGTGCATCAGAAATGCTCAGCGTAGAAATTGAAGGTTGTGTCGCCGGCCTTTGTGAGTTTCGCGCACAGCTTCCTCAGAGCGCCTTTCACTGGCAGAGGGCCGCAGAGGAAGACTCCCACGCGAGCCCTGCCGACTTCAGCCTGTCACAAGCACCCAACATACTCATTCCTGGGTGCACACGCCAATACCCTGGCAATGTGCGGTTTGCTGCACTTCCTTTCTATCTTCAAGAAGCACTGGGATTACCTGCAAAGACACTTGGCAGGCGGACTCTTTGCCCTTCAATTCTGCAACTGAACCAAAACTAGCTTGAGGAAGCTTCTGTTCCAGAGCGAAAACCCTCGTCAAGGATTGGTCCCTTGTGACTGGGGTTGGACAGGTCTGCCAAAGTAGATAACACCCCCAAGATTTCAGTGAAGGTGCAGTCTCAGGCCAGCATGATGAGGCTTGAAGCTGACCTGGATTCCCTTGAATATGGCCTCAAAGTCCGGCCTGCCGCTCGTGAGTACCACATTGGAGTGTATCTGCGGGTCAGGTTCCCACGCCTTGGGCGACTTGACCTCCTGCATTACCACTCCATCTGTCAAGAGATCCGTCATACAGCTAGCTGTCTTTGGACAGACTCTGCGCTTTGCATACGCACAACTTTGAAATGCATGCTACCCCCGGATGTTCAGTTTCCTTGCAGGAAACCAGCCCCTTTGAACAGCACTCTCAAGCCAAAGCTAAACAGGATCTGTAGCAGCAATTAAATGGTCCTCCATCCTTCGCCGAGCCCAAAATTCTGCGCTTACACCAAGCATTAAAATGCCGAAACCAAACGAAGTCAGATGAAGACATCTTCAACAGCCCGGAATAGCTTGTCTACTTTGACAGAACAAATATGGTCACTGGCATGGCCGTCAAGCCCTAGCAGAGCTCGCGGAACCGGCCAAATTTGAAATTTATGACATTACAAGTCTGCCTCAGGGATGGTCATACCTCGGTGCTCGTTCCAGTGATGTGGATGTGTGATTTGAAGACGTCCCCAGTGAGGTCCAGCAGGCTCATGATTTCGAATTCGTATTTGAGCCAGCCGGCAGCCCGCGGGTCGCGCACCACCCAATGCATGTATGCCTTGCGCTGCTCAACCGTCTCCGTCTGCCCACCAGCCTGTGCCAGCCAATGCATTTGATATCAACATCTGGTATTTAGATGTAGATGGCTGGACAGTGAGTTAGGGTGGTCCTGTTGGCAGTCTGCCCGCGTGCCAGGTCATCGCTGACCTGGACTTGTCAGATCAGGCAACTTGCATCGCATGGCAGTAATCCTGCCTAAGCAGCGCAGCCAGAGCTTACTGGGATTGTTGCGAATGCTATAGATGCTGCTATTGAGGCTTTTCATGCACAGGAAGCCTACATCACACAGCACAGACCACAAAAAGGGCTGCGTTGCATTTGCGGCACAGACCTGTGCAGCCTGTGGAGTTCACTGCTCCTATAGAGACTCTCGAAGGAATTCATCAAGAGTGATTTTTCATTACGCGTTTTTTCCTGCCAAGAGGCAAGGTGCGTCTGCAGACAAGGTGCAATCCAAGGCTGCCAAAACCTTCCCATTGTACAACAACTTGGACTCGCCTGATACAAGCCAAACCCGATGAATCGTGGGCACGGTGCTCATTATCTGCCAGGCGAGGCTTGAAAATGAATTGCTGGTGAAGGACTGCACCTCGAGGCCGCCTGGCGGGTCGTCGGGCAGGGCTGCCAGTCGGTGGAGGGTGTCGCGCATTATGGAGAGCATGGGCGCTATGCCCGTGCCCATACCGATCAGCACCACCTTCCTGAACTTGGCGTGCTCCTGCGTGGGGGCCCCAAAGGGACCGTCGATGATCAGCCGGGGCGCCTGCAAAAAGATGAGACGTGACATCAGCAAAGATTCCAGCTGGCACACTGCATGGTGATGACTGCTGCCCAATTTGGCAGCCCAGGGCTAGATTGTAGGCGTCACACAGACCTCATGCTAATTCTTATGCATCCTGGGCTTTTACTGGAAATTGTACTCTGCCACTCTAGTGCTGGACCACCGGTGCAAATGTAGAGCAAGGACGAGGAATTGAACATGTGCCTTTGGAAACTCTCCCACCCTTGCCAAAAGCCTGTGTGCAGACCAATGCTGAGAGAGCTATACGCAAGGAAAAGTCATAAGGAGCAGCCTGCCACTCATCTGGCTGTTGACAGGCAAGGCATCAGAACGCTGCAGCTCACTTGTGCGGGAGCGCTGAGTGTTGAAGCGCGCTGCAGCATGGACTCGAGGCGGCGCAGCTTGTTGCTGCTCATGCGCTGCAGGATGCTGCGAGCCATGTCAGGGGCAGGAACGCCCTCCCACGCCCGGCTGCTCTCCCGCCGCCGCATGCTCTGCATCCGCTGCAGCTGCGACTCCGCCTCTGTCGATCGCACGTAGGAGATGTAGGACTTTGACGGCACCGGCGCGATCTGGTGGGTGCTGCTGCACAGGTCCTTGACCTCCTGACGCAGAGATAACATGCTTAAGAGCATGACCCATGGCATGTCTGAAGCACTTGCAAGCAGAAATGCCAGGACCGGTAATTGCTCATGAGGATGCATCAAGGACTGACAGGGGTTTGCCCTGTCAGTCCTCGAATTAGCTCGATTGTCTACTGGTAGTTTCTCAGACCATCGCATACATGCACTGGGAGAGCAGAGACAACGGGTAAAGCTAGTGCTCAGAGAGCCAACACAAGCACTCAGAGAAGTTCTGGATACAACAATAACTGATCTCAAGAAGGTTGATATGAGAGTGTACCGTGTCTGGCGACTCGCGGATGGTGATCACATACTCGGAGGAGACCCGCTCGTTAGACAGAGATTTCTCGCTGGACAGAGACACCCTGGCGCGCGGCCGGCGGCTGCCCATGTTCTGACTGATGAAATCCGTCATCTCAGAATCCAGCTGCTTTGGCGCATCGGAAGGCTTGACAGTGGGAACTCCAGGGTGCACATTTCCTGTCTGATCCTCAGGCAGCTTGTTTGGGGAAGGACTGGTGACCTGAGGTGCATTGGAAGGGCACTTTGGCTGCTCCAGCCTGCACATGAGCACAGTTTTGTCACTTGATATGCTAGGGTGAGAGGTGAAGCAAGGCAACCGTGATTATGAGGAACAAAGCATAACAAACGCTTCAGAACAAGCTCAGCCATTGGAAGTTGCCGTCCTACTATGAATCCCAGTCAAAGGGGCCTGAACTTTAGATCTAAGCAATGAGGAGTTTTGAGTGCATGCGCGAACGGAGGAAGAAACTCACGTCTTCTGCGCACGGTGAAATTCCATTGCGCTGTCTTGCTGACTGATGCCTGGAGATTCTCCTCCGTCACTGCTCCCCGCTTCTGGTATAGCCTCAGGCTGCAATTTGCTCTCATCTACCACCTGCAGAGCATCCACACATACTTAGAGGAAGGAAGCCACAGCAAGCCAAAGCTTGACCACACTGTCAATGCTGGCGAGCACTACAGCTGTGGTTGAAATGCCCAACATTCACCAGCAGTATCATACAATCAGGACCATAAATTCCTTGCAGCAGAAAGTACACCTCGTGGATTTCTGGCTCACTCTCAGATCCATGCAACCTGCAGCTTTTCACAGCACCAGGAAAAACTGAATGTCGTCAGCAAGTGAGATCATGGCCTGCCTGCATGGAGGTGGCCATGGAAAGCCTGGGTCCCAGAGACAGGCGCCCCTCCGTGGCAGATTGCTTCCGAAGCTTCAGCGACTGGGCCAGAGACTGCATGAGAGCCCCCTTGTCCGTGTGGGTCACCTGGATGCTCGCGCAGAAGCGCGCATGCAACGCCCCAGTCCAATCCCCAGCATTGCCGATGTGCAGCTGCGCACAGGAAAATATCTCACTTTAAATGCTGCTCCAACAGAAACAGAGCCTTTAATTTGGCGGGTGAACGGGTTCGATAAGACAGGGCACATTCTTGTGCGCACCAGGGCAAGAAGGACACTCTTCATCGGACTTCACACTAAGGCTCGGCTGTGACTAGCATTTACTTATTCAAGAATTTACCTGCAGAAGCACACCTACTGCAACTAAACTTTAAATGTAAATTCAAAAGATTCAAATGTGGACCCAATCTGTCACAGGACGCACCTGGAGGAAGTTGTCGTCGGGCGCTGATGTCAGCGTGAAGGGATGCCACTCGTACTTGCTGATGTCACCGCACTGGATCAGGACGTACTGCCCAGGTCTGCACCCCAGACAAATACTCAGAACTAAACATCCTGGAACACCTTACTCGAACTTTTCTGCCATCCAGCCGGCCACCAAAAATAACATGCAACCCTCAGCCCAATCAATGAATCACAATGTCACATGCGTTGAAGTCCAGACAATCGTTTGCAAACAAAACGCTGGTCTAGCAACCAGTCATGTAATCCCTCAGGAAGCCCTCAGCTCAGCCATATTATAGTTACAAGTCAGGACATGGTGTCAGGAAGTGTTGGGGTCCAAGATTGGCAGCTGTCATAACATTTTCAGAATAAAGCAGGGAGCGCACATGTAGGAGAAGCCAGGTGGCTTTGACAGCTCAAGAGTGAGCACGCCAGGGTCTAGGATGGAGGCACCCATGACTTGGGTGTCCCAGGATCGGCCTCGGAACAGCCCGTAGATTCTCTCTCCAATGTACAGTGCGAACGGCCAGGCAATCCACATCTGCACCCAAGACACCTCGTCAGCTTGTTGGGGGCAAAGAAACAAAAGAATTATTTCCCTGTCTCTCTGCTACATCACTGACAGGTCTGCCACTTTGCACTGCAGCATATGGACGCACAAGACAGACTACTAAGTGAACATCAGGCAATGGCAGGCAGCCTACATGGACGATTTTCGCACACACTGAGGCATGCCAGGTCTATTGGAATATGAAGACCTGAAAAATCGTAAACTGTTTTGGGCAAGGAGAATCTGCTGAATTTCATCCAGCAGATCCAAGCTGCGAGGGTGTGCCGCAATGCAGCAGTGCACATCTAAAATAAGCAGCAGCCTAGCGGATAAGCTGCACAATGCCCAAAAAATGGCATGTAACGAGGTCTCAGCTGGCTGATTAATTTGAGCTTGAAAACGAGCGCACCCAAGAGTAGGGAATGGGCAGGAATTGGCGCTTGCCGCGCACGTGGCTGTACTTGGGCACCGGGTGGAGCATGAAGAGCAGCACAAACACCAGGAAGAAGATCTGGTGGCTCACGTAGAACGCTGTGAAATTGTTCAGCACCTGCGCACAGGCAAAAGAACTCCAGAATGCCTTTCTCGATCTCTTCTCATCTTTCTCAACATCCTCAACACCTCCTCCCAGGCCGACCCCTCGCGGCAAGATTGAATGCTGCTCGCAAGCTTGCCAGCAGCCTCTCACTCTGCACTGCCATGCAATAGCATGGTCCATTTAAGAAAATTCAAACCTCTCACTGCACAGACCCCAAGATTGGGAAATAAAATTGCCAGCCTCTGCAGATATGACCAGGAGCAGATGACCATCATCCAGTCCCTGACATTGTAGCAAGAGCATGACACGATTTGCCGCTAGTGTGAGCACGCTTACTTGGGATCTAAGATTATCAGCCCTTAAAATACTGCATGCTGGAGAGTATGCGCAGGCAGCAAGCAACAGGCAGAGAGCAAGAGGCACACCCGGCCAAGCGAGGTGTTTTGCAGCCAGCTGGCCTGTTTTGGCCACTGCAGCGCAAAGGGAAGGGCCAGGAACATTGCCAGAAGCATGCAGCATCCTGTCGCGGTTATGGCAGGATTCCACACCAAGGCGGCAGCTGCACCAGGAGCCTTGAGGTACAGCTCCGAGAAGTAGACCTCCCTTTTGGCGCTGGCGAATAAACACATAATCTCTAAGCCCTTTGCATGCGCCGATGAGGGTTAGCATGGCTGATCATTAATGCCACAATGCCCTTGTGCTTCAATGCCTGCAGCAGGAATTCCTCATGCAGAAGCAATGTGGTGCAAAGGGTGGCGCTTAATGCGCGCTCATCCACATGCACAGACATGCACAAACTTCTCTACATGACTAAATTACACAGCGTGCTGCATCAGTCTTTAGTCCGCCCCATCTAGAGGAGCACCTGAGAAAGGTGGAACAGTCATGTTATGGCCTGCCGAATGTTAACAGAGCTGCAAAAGGAGATCGAAACGACAGCCAGTGCACAGAATAGATGAAGATTAGAGACTAGGATTTGCTCAAGCAAGTGACTATGTGCGGACCACTTTAGTTGGAAGGGTCAGCGTTTAGGCACTCCCGGGGTGAGAAGAGAGACACACTATATGAAGTTGGCGATGTGGGTGATAGAGTGTAGGACAGCCAGAAAAGCCCCGATGCCTCCCATCCATCGATGAAAGCTCACTGCATCATCAAAGGGAATGATGTAGTCCAGGGGCGTGCTCCTGCACATTGGAGGACTCTGGGTGAACAGGCTGCAAGTACTTGGCAAGCCTCGAAATGCCATATCCGACATCACTTCGTAGGTGCTTGGGCCTGAACACAATCAGCTTGAGCATGACACTCAAAGTAGCATTCCCATGCATAGCTTCACTCGAGCCTCTGCTGGACCTCATCGCTTGGGGATATTCTCACCGACACTTCGGGATATCTCAGCGACATTCCGAAGACATCGAGACAGTTGCCATTATCATGATCGTGAGTATCCGGCTTACCGCAAAATTGTCATTGTGCGCCGGCAGGCTGCAAAGAGACACAGTGAAAAGATGGGGAGCATCAGCATCGCCGTACAGCGGCTGACGATAAGGCTCCACCCCACAATATCGAAGACGGGCGCCCCAACGTAGTCCGTTATCACCCAGTAAATAATCCCACCTGCATATGCCACAGCTGTCAGCCTTGCTCTTGTTAATTAGCCCGTCTTTGGGAAGGAACTTCCTGCGAAAGAGCCCCAATCCTGTCTTTTGAATCGGCACCGTCAGTCCGCGTGTCAGCAGTCAGCATGTCAGTCTTCCCTCAGAAACAACTCAAAGGTGTGTCCTTAATCTTCGCGCAGAAGGTTGTGCAGCATTTAAATACATTGACTGCAAGCCAGCTGTCTACAATTCTGTGTCGAGCACCACATGAGCGCGACAACGGCTTCGGCAAAAACAGGCCAGGCATACGGTCCCTGTTGATGGGCACCGCCACTGAGTGCTCAAATGCTTTCGAAAATATCTCTAGAGAAGTATATCTACAAGAGAATACTGCAGTGGCTTACCAGCTCCTCCCAGTAGCACAGCGACGCATCCCACGCGCCGAAAGTCGACTGTCGAGAAGAATCTGAGACACCGAATCATGAGTCGATGCCTGTCGAATGTCTTGAACAGATGCGCAAACGCTTTATGCGCTGTCCGTATTTCCCTCGGCCGGGTCGCTGCGTAGGACGAGGCTGCGAACTCTTCTACACGCAGCTCGTCGTGCGTCGCACAGCCGTTCCAAAATGACGAGGCATCATGGCTCCAAGCCTGTCCCCAGTGTAGGACAATAACGGCTGGATTTGTTCAGCACTTTGCCTCTCGAGGTGGGGCTGCTGCGTAGGACTGCGTGCGGCCGGGCTGCGTGTGCCTTCAGACGCAGCACGCCGAGCGCCAGACAAAAGTTCCAGTCAAGCTGCGCATTGGAGGCAGTCTGGGTACCCACTGATGTGTAGGTATATATATACTGAGTTCCGACATCTATTTCATCCCACGCCGATCACACAATCTTCCAAAGTGGGCCTTATAGTTACGTGACGACTAGAACGGCCGTACTACAGTGCAAACCTGGCCGAGCTCCCAGAACACAGCCTCGCAAGGACCTCTATGTCAGAGTAAAATCGCCGACTGGTTCGGCGTCGTCCAGGACCTTCAGGACGACGCCGAACCGCGCCGAACGTTCTCTGGCTATGCCGAGAGCGGATCAGCGATGAGGTCATCAGGGGCATTTGACATCAGGCCTGTCACTGATTGGATCACACCGTCACGTGGATTGTAACCGTAAGCGATGCAAATGTCCGTCATTTGCTTTTCCCTACTCACCAAGGAGGCGCACTGTTCCCTCAGAAGATACCCTACCTGTGCATGGACGAATATGATCAGGACTGAGAAAAGGGAAGAACCCCACAGTAATAATAGCAGTGCAGCCTAAAAATTTTGGTGCAACATCTGTGCCTCAGATCCGAAGAGTCACTGATGAGACCGGACTGATCTGATGATCAGATTCTGATCATGACTCAGCGTTCCATTTCAGGCTCACGCTGGGCCTGCATGACGGCGCACATTAAAAGCTCTCACAAGGTAAATAATGTACTGTACATGTGCTCGCTGATGCATGGCTGCGCAAACGCCTGCTCTGTGAGCGGCTCTACGGCAGGATTTGTCACCCCCCCCTTGGGTTGGCCCAATCCGATTGGGCTTATACATCTGGGACAGGGTTCTCGTCCGCCCAAAACTTTTGCCACATTGACTGCCGAACTACTTATGCAGCCCAGGGACTGCCCAGAGCCATCGAGAAGTGGTCTCTGGGCAGCCCCGGATGTCGGTTGAGGCCCTCACAAGCTACCCTCCACAGCCGCCGCCGGCCCTTATTGCCACCATGAGCTACCATATCTCTACAAGTTGTTGTCCCGCCCCGCAGCTCCCTAGGGACGCCGCCAACACAGGGGCTCGCTCCTTGAGCCTGTCCTCTTGCGACGCCGTATTATGTGGGGCTTAACATTATGTGAGATGTCCCTCGTTACAACAGCGGCAGGCAAGAGTTTGATGGCATGCGATATTGCAGTGGAAGCAGGCGCGCATGCAGATAGAGGCAGCAGGCAATGTTTGCAACAGATGTAAGACAAAGCATGCAAGTGCGCTAGCTGCACGTCGGTGGGAGCTCCCCTACGCTGTTTCATGATCACAATTTACTGCTGCTGTGTTTTCTCGTGAGTGCAGCTGGCAAATCCCTTGGACCGGCTTCATACGGCTGATGAGGTTAGAGTGAGTTATGAAATGGGAAGCCAGCAAACATTTTAACAGCAAGTTGAAGGGAGCAGTGGCTGCAGGGACGATTAAACTTGAATATACGAAAGATCCTCCTTGGCAGGCCTTCATCACTTCTGGATGACTCGTCTCCACATGCCTTTTATTCCCTGGCACTCTGGCGAGGGTACAGTCTTGTACATTCTATGGTACACTGATCTGCCATGCGGCGTCTCACTTCTGCTGACAGCCTTCCTGGGCTATCAGGTGACGTAGTCTATGTCATCTGTCAGCCCATTCTCCTTGAAAAAAGAGTCCAGGGAGTCCTCCATGCCCTCAAATCGCTTCTTGCACCAGGTCTGCAGAGCCCACGAGTTGTCTGCGCAAGCACCCACATTGCGTGGCTCAGGTGCACAAATTTGCATTCATTGCAGCTCAAGGCAACTATCATAGTTCTGCAATCCACTGGACCCATGGTGCCAGTTAAACATTTGCTCTGCTAGATATCTAGCACCTGACAGGATTGCTCAGCAGGCATGGCAAACAAACGGGAAGAGCAAGAGGAAGCCACGCACCCAGCCATCGGTTTGCTGCGCTCTTTGCAACGTCCACAGCATTTTCTGCAGCAGAACAACAGCACCGTCGTTCAGCAGATACTTGGACGCAGTCGAGTTGGTTGCCGCTGAAATTGGCAGATGCATCTCAGGTGCAGGACACGTGGGAAAGCACGCTCACTCATTGCTTCCAGTTTTTGGGGATCGCTGTCTGCATACTGCGCCAACTCCTGCTTGGCCAGTCTCAGCTCAATCTCAAGCTGCTGCATCTCTGCTAGTTTTGCCGCCCGATCATCCTGCGACGGAAACGCCCTTCACTTCCCTCTCCTCGAGAAAGCAAGGCATGCAAAAATACCTGCTTCTAGGACGGGTTCAAATTTGTCCATGAAGAATATGGCTCACCGAGTCCTCTTTGCCTTTCCTGCTCTCCTGTATCTTTTCTCCTATCAAGGCAATCTCGTTCTCTTGGTCTGCCAGCTGCCGCGTCTTCTGCTGGACGTCATTCTTGAGCTGCAATTCCCAGAACACCCCCACTCAGTCATTTCTGTGAGACAATTTTGGCAGATTCAAGTGGCAGCGAAGTATATTCTTTGGCAGCTTACCTTCACAGCAGCTTCACTGGGAAAGGACCAGAAGAAGTTGGACGCGCCAATGCGGTCCTGGTGCACTGCATCCCCCAGGTGATGGTTCAATTTTGGGCCCTGAGGACATTTTGTGCGATCGTGGAGCATGTGCACCTGTCTATGCAAAACAGGACAATTTCAGCACACCTAAGTCGTCGTCCACAAGCGCTTGCAGTACCTCCTTGACTGACTGAGATATGACTCCCCTCTTTGGTGCCGATTTCTCCAGATCCTGTGGGGTGCCACATAATCAGCATTGGTACGTCTGTTCTTGAACATCTTTACTTGAAATTGTTCGATGTAAGCAGGCGTGTTGTTATCAAAGCAAGTGCCCAGGCTCACCTTTAGGACAAAGACATCCTTGGACTCGTGAAAAATTTCGAGGACCTTCTGCTTCTTCTCCTCTATGGACAATCCACGTTTCTTGCTCTGTGCAGAAGCACATCGATGACATCAGTTCTTTCAGAAGAGACGTACAGAATGAATTGACTGGATGGAAAAAATAAAGACAGGTACTTACCATCCTGTTGCCTTGTCGCCGATCCTCGGGTCCAAAAGCGATTGATTATTCGTGTCACTTGCTTGAATATTCTATCTGTGCTGGGATTCATGTCCCGTTGCTGTGAAGATGCATGCTGCGAGCTGCTGCGTGATGGTTTCGAAGTTTATTACCTCACAAACCCTAATGTAGGCATCGCCGCCTGTCCGATGTACCCAATCTCGCATTCGCAGTCCTTATCCAGATCTTCAGTACGGTGTAACATCTTTCCTTTCTAAGAAGCAATTCACTTAATTCAAAAGTGGATGGGATTGTAGATTTCTTTCGGAAATAAAATTTGCAAAAATGCAGGCGTCGATGCTGTCCGAGCGCAGCTCATCTTGCTTGTTGAAAAGGTAAGATGTTGTGAATAACGACAATGCTGTCTATAACTGGCGAATGTATGTTTTTCAAGTGATCATACATTCTTTTGCTTTTAGCCGAATTGATTCGAAGAGGCCAGCACTAAATCTTCTTGTGCTGTCCAGACCATCCAACGCAGTTTTATATGACTCACGGCCCCGCAGCGCAGCATGCCGAAGGGGGAGCGTCAAAGTGTTTGCAGTAGCGGCAGTTGGGACAAAGACCGTCAAAATCGGGACGAGGGGGAGCCCCTTGGCATTGGCCCAGGCATACATGACTAGAGATCTGCTGAAGGCACGAGGGCTCCCTTTGCGATTAAATTATTCCTTATTCAAAGACAGTTGTAAAAAGGGATCTGTTCATGTTCTCTACCAGGAATTGCATCTCGTTCTTGACATTTCGAAATATTCGTTTGTACTTCTGCTGCAGGCAGCCTTCCCAGACCTCCAGGAAGAGGGCGCCCTAGAGATCTGCATCATCAAGACGACTGGTGACAAGATCCTGAACCAGCCGCTGGCAGACATCGGCGGGAAGGGACTCTTCACCAAGGAGATCGATGATGCCCTCCTTGAGGGCCGCATCGACATTGCAGTGCACTCCATGAAGGTGTGTTCCTTTAAATTACGATGTGCACCTCTATTGGGACTAGCTGTTGGGTTCTAACCATTGCTGTAGATTAGTCAGCAGTAATATCCCACACAAGGGTGTGTTGTGCCTTCTGATCAGGCCTGTGGTGCCTTCTATGGTCAAGCAAAACGGGGGCACGGTGTCATCCGTCTGAAAAGGACATTCTGTGACTCTCTGCAGGATGTGCCTACCTACCTGCCCCCTGGCACAATCCTGCCTTGCAATCTACCGCGTGAGGACGTGAGGGATGCATTCATCTCACCCATTGCAAGCAGCCTGGGTGAGCTGCCGGCGGGCTCTCTCGTCGGCAGCGCCAGCCTCCGGCGGCAAGCCCAAATCCTCCACAAATACCCCCACCTCAAGGTGCCCTCTCTTCCTTCCTTCGGCCCCTTTACAAAGTTCTCCACCTGTCGTCCCACATGACAGCAAGGTCACCTGGATCTGGCGAGCATTATGCGGTGATCTGCAGTGCTGCAGCACTCCCAAGGGGTGCAAGCAGCTTGCAACCGATCCTTACTTGTGGGCTCTCGTTTGCAGGAATCTCTCATGAAACTAGATATGCCACAGGGAAGCAGATGTTTACTGTTGGGTGGCATCTGTGATGTTGTGTGGTGGGGTAGCATCCTGGTCGGTGCTTGACATTGATGTGAGCATTGCTGCTTTTGTCTGCTGCAGGTGGAGAACTTCCGCGGCAACGTGCAGACGCGGATGCGCAAACTGAACGAGGGCGTGTGTGCGGCCACTCTGCTGGCGCTGGCAGGCCTCAAGCGGCTGGATCTGGCTGACAAGGCCACCGCCATCCTGTCCACTGAGGACATGCTCCCAGCCGTCGCACAGGTGTGCACTCATCCCTAACGCTGCTCAGGCATCATGTTGCTGGTGTTTCCCAGAATGCGGACACCTGCTGCAACCTGACAATCCTGCCAAAGAGGTCGTTTACTTTTGTCCACTTTGCCTGATCTCACATCCAGAATTAGGGGGAGGAGGCCATCCCTTGTCATAACAATGCCAGATGCCATTTACCAAGTAAGCGAATATTTGGGGATTGCTGGATTTTGAGCCGAAGAGGCGGCTGCATTGCTGTCTCTTCTTGCCAGCACAGCAGGCGTTGCCGCTTTCTGCAGGAAGCTCAAGGACCTTGTGTGGAGTGTGCAGGGCGCGATTGGCATCGCATGCAGGGAAGGCGACAGCGCAGCAGGGGATCTTCTTGCGTCACTGAACCACGAGGACACGCGGTTAGCGGTGCTGTGCGAGCGCGCATTCCTGACGGCCCTCGACGGCTCCTGCCGCACGCCCATTGCCGGCCTTGCGCAGAGGAATGCCTCTGGCGGCCTCAGCTTCCGCGGCCTCATTGCCTCCCCAGACGGCGCCAAGATCTTCGAGACCTCCAGGTGTGTGAAACCCTTCCATTCACTTGTCTTCTTGAGTTATAAGGCGCTTGGGTAAGTCAATCTCACTCTGACCGATGATGCCATTGGTCTCTGGCCATCAGTGCAACTTTCTCAATCAGTGGATGATGAGTATGCGTTCCAACGGCTGTCTACTCGTCTATGTGAGATATTTCGTGGATGATCTGGTGAAAGGTTGTCAAGGAATGGGATGTGACGCAAGGAACAGATTTTGTAATCGCGCTGAGCTGGGCTTGAACATGCTGCAGGGAAGGAAACTACACAGAGGAGGAGATGGTGCGGTTGGGCAGGGAAGCCGGTGAGGAGCTCAAGGCGCAGGCTGGCCCCGAGTTCCTCAGCTGGTCACACTAAGAGCTGGCTGCGGCTACGTTTGTTTTAGGACCGACCATCTTCTTGCAGAGCACTGTCTTCTCTTCAAGAAACTAGAGGGGGCCTGCTGCGACTCAACAAGCAGCTTTGTGAAGGACAGATCAACGCCAAACTTGTGGGGAAGGAGCAGTTTTGTCCGGTGTGCTCCTTTCCTGCGCACCTCAGGGTGCTGTGTTTTTACGTGCCGGCCCTTGTTTTTGGCAGTCTGATAGCCCATGATACTTCAAGTGCCGGCATGGGCCTGGGCGCCGGGCGGGGTGCTGGGTGTCACGGTGAACGCACCTGTGAGTTGGGCATCAATCGGAGCCTATGCAGCTCCGTGCAGCTTAAATGATTGGGAAGAAAAGGAAGATTAAGCCTGTGGCTGGAGCAGTTTGCCGTACTGTACATTGGCTGCTTATCGTTGCTGCCTCAGTGCCAGCAACTGAATGCAGACCTTGCTGAAGCATATGGGACTTCCCGCAACTTGAGAGGGCCTCTTAAGATATTTTTTGGATCAGACATCGATGTTCACTCTATGTAACGCTGCCATAAGTTGCAGCTTGCTGCTGCAATCATGTTCTAGTCAGTGCCGGAGGCCTGCCGCCAGGTTCTCTGTGTCATGACCTTGAGATGCATAAATGGGACTTCTCCTCGGAATTGCGTCACGGGACGGTCCCATGGCCTACAGTGTACAGCCGCGGCCGCTGCGGCACGCATGCACATGTGCTGTTATGGTGCACAGGAAGTGACTTGTGTCCAGGCACGGACATGTAAGTTCATGAGGAAGTTCTTCTGTGGCCATCCATCCATCATCCATCCATATCTCTGTGCCAGTCTGGGAGACCGACAGGTGCTGCGAGTGAAACGGTCACGTGCTGCTGCCACAGTGTCACAACCGCGGAAAGGAAGCCAGCGCTGGAGGACTGGCGCCCCCACACGGATCGCGCTCGCGGACCTGCGATGCCTGGACCTGGACACAGAACAACACAAGCAGAACGAGGATTGCCTTGTCCAATGCAGGAGCACGATTGCGATTAGGTTTTGCGGACACGGGACAAGAATTGTGTTGGTGGGGAGACCAAAGTCACGTTGCGCGAAGGGGTTCGCCCCCGTCGCCGTTTGTCATGCATAGAACATCAGGATCCTTCCTGAAGAGGGCCAGTGCATCCACTGGCAGCCTGACAAGCAATATGAGGTGAGTCTCATATATTTTGGTATAGTTTTATACGTTGGGGCAAACTCTGCTTGGCCAGCCCTGACAGCATTCCCTGCTAAACAGGGAGTATCCAACGAATGCTGATGATTACAAGTTGTTGGAAGAGTGCGGGAGGGGAGTCAGCGCAACAGTAAGTGCCACTCTTCCAAATGCAGCTGTAGCTGCCTCTGTCCAATGGACGCCTTTGCTTGCTTAAAGATGCCACAAAAGGTCGTGCTGCATGATAAAGAAATGTGTTTTGCCATATGACCACGGACGATGCGAAAGTGTATTGTGTGTGCTGAGATGTTATGGTGCTAGGTTGCACTAGAAAATATGCCCTTCTCGTTATGACGGGCCGATTTTATATGGCGTATGCAGGTGTGGCGTGCGCTCTGTATACCTTATAATGAGGAGGTGGCAGTGAAATTGCTCGATCTTGAAAACGTGAACTGCAGCCTGGTGAGTACATCCCTCAAAGTTGTGGGCCTCTTGATGGGCAGGCAGGCATTGGATATTGTTGAAGTTTGGGGTCTTTGGAGCATTCTGATGTACTTTTGCAATGAGCAATCCCAAGGTCTTGATTACCAAAGTTGAAGTGCTGCTGATGGCCCTGCATTGACCTGCTGCAGGATGAGATTGTGCGAGAGGCTCAGACCATGCGGCAGCAGTCCCACGCCTCCGTATTGCCATTGTATTGCTCCTTCGTGCACGAGCAGAACCTGTGGATGGTCATGCCATATGTGGCGGGCGGCTCTGTCCTCAACATCATGAAATACGCCTATCCAGATGTGAGCGCCTTCTCAATTTTTGCTGCAGTTTCAGCACACATGTGGAGAGTGTTTTGGCGTGATGTCTTTTGCTATGAGATAAGGCCTACTTGTTTGAAAAACTTGTTTGACCTACTTGTTCGATTTTCAATCTTTGTCATGTAGGGGCTGGAGGAGCCAGTCATTGCCACAATCCTCAAAGAAGTGCTGAAGGGGCTGGACTACATGCACAAGCAGGGGGGCATCCACCGGGATGTGAAGGTGCCTCACCCCTCCACATCCAACAGCCTTGCTATCACCCGACCATTCAGCCAACTGGTCGCATCCTACAATGTATCCCTCTCATTTGAGCAGGGATGTGGCGTGTCTTTAATTGCCATGTAGACACAGTGCGGTATCGCTGTGGTACACCTGCATGGGATGCACCATTTTTCCTGGTTCTCTCGGGTGGACGACTTGAGAGAGAGGAGGACACATCTTTTGGGCCATGAGCATAGTCCAATGCACAGTCCATGCACGATACTATATTACACAGAGATGTCTTGAGAGAATTTGGATGCACTGTTGTGCGCAGGCGGGGAACATCCTGATCAACACGGACGGGCAGGTGGTGCTGGCGGACTTTGGGGTGGCGGCCACGATGGAGCGCGGCGGCTCCTGGGGCAACAAGAACATCTCGCGCAACACATTCGTCGGCACGCCCTGCTGGATGGCGCCCGAGGTCATGGAGCAGACCCAGGGGTGCGCCCTCGCACTGTCCGATCCCTTGAGCGGCCCTGCTCCAATAATGATGTGCCTGCCTGCTGGTCTGCGCGGACTCGCAGTTTCGTCAAGCCATGAGCGCATCTGCCTCCAACAATGATGAGCCTGCTTGGTCTTGCGTACAGACAGTCTGATCAAGCCCCTGAGCGCCTCTCCCCCTAACAATCATGAGCCTGCCTGGTCCATGATGCCATGACACGACACCCGTGAATAATGCATGCTCATGCTTTAGATGATGTCACGGCAAGCCTAGATCCGTCTAGCAGATGTGCTGCAGTGGCACTGTAAGAGCTGAAGTAAAGTGCAAGACCTGTCTCATCAGATTCTCCGGCTTCCTGCAAGAGCTTCTCAGCTGCAAGCATGAGAGGTGGCAGCATTGGCCAAAGGCTGAAGTGGAGTGCTTCACTGCATCAGGTACAATTCGCTGGCGGACATATGGTCGTTTGGGATCACCATTCTGGAGCTGGCGCACGGGCACGCGCCGTTTGCGCGGTTCCCGCCGATGAAGGTGCTGCTGATGACCATCCAGAACCCGCCGCCCTCACTGGAGTCCGACGCCAAAAAGCACTTCTCAAAGGTGTGCACCTTGGGCCATGCTCACCTGTAAATGTCATGAATTGTCAAGCCTGTCCCGGACTTCACAGTCGCCTAAGCCTAAGAGAACCAGCTTGGTTAAAGATAGAGTGTGACGTCACATTTCTGTTCAATTTGTGACATGCCGAATTCTGCTTCAACTTGCTGTAGGGGACGCTCTAAAAGTTTGCGAGCTGACTTGTTTCTGTTGCATGCAGGCGATGAGGGATATCGTGGCAAAGTGCCTGGTGAAGGACCCATCAAAGCGCCCCACGGCTGCGCAGCTCCTGGATCACAAGTTTTTCAAGGTGCGTCCCGCTGTCCTTTCTTGCTGGTCCATGCAGTGCAGCAGCGGTTACTCTTCCAGTCAGTGCAACTGTTGCCGAGCACACCGAAATAAGGCAGCAGAGGGACAGCTCTCTTATAATATCGTGTTCAAGTGCGAGCTGGCTGTGGCGCAGACGGCGCATGACCAGGGGTACATTGTGAAGCACCTGCTGGCGGGGCTGCCGCAAGTGACGGAGCGCGTGAAGGCGATGCGGCAGGGGCGCAATGGCAACATGGCGGACGATGCCAAGGACCGCATGTTCGCCTCTCAGGAAGCCTACATCAAGGTGGGACTTGATCCTTGCCTCACACCTTGCGTCAGGGTGGATATCGTTGGTAGCAAGATGGCAACAAGTAGAGTGTGTGTCAATGGAGCTGTTTGACACCGGCAGGCTTGGGTTGTGAGCAATAAGGTGGTGTGGTGCAGGGTGTTTTATTGAATTGTGTGCTGATACCAGCGGGCGTGGGATTCGAGTAATAAGGTGGTCTGGTGCAGGGTGTGTCGGCGTGGAATTTTGACGTAGCGGCGCTGAAGGAGCAGGCAGCGAGGGAAGGCGGCCTAGAGCCTTCGCTGGCCCCCATCATAGAGGGGGCGGCCAGCGACGTTTCTGCGCAGACTGGCGGACTGGGGGAACCGGGTGCTTCTCAGTCACCCAGCCAATTTTCTTGGGAGGAAGTATGTTGGCATTGCAGGTTCTGCTGCACCTCTTCTGCAAGGGAAAGGCCAGAAGCAAGCCTTGAAGAGATGTTCCATGTGTATGGTGACGCAGAGTGGCATGCACACATTGCGTGCATTATTTCGTGTGCTTTTGCCTGTATCCTAAGCAGAGTAGAGGGACGTCGACTACAGCGGTAAACACAACAGCGGCCGCAAAAGTTCTGAGGCTCTACTGTACATGTCAGCCCAGCTCTTATCGAGGGCCTCTTTTCCTGCAAAACATGATGCACAAGTGTCCAATCGCAGCGGAGCCTCTGGCAAACTTGCTCGTGATGAGCGCCTGTCCTGATGCAAGAATGCTGCGCAGTGCTGTCGGTGGAGGTGCCGAGCGGGCTGCAGTCCCCGACGGGAAAGCCGCCGCTGGCCAGCCCGGGCCAGCCGACGCGCAGCAACTCAGAGCGCAGCCTCTCAGCCGCCTCCACGCCCGGCAAGGCGCCACTGGCCGGCTCCGGCGGCTCGGGAGCAGCCACCGCCGCCGCGCTGGCCGGCAAGGGCGTCGCCATTAAGGGCGATCGCGGCCGCTTCAAGGTCTATGAGGTCGGTGCCCTCACCCCTTTTGCAGCCTGCCTTGAGTCCTGCTGCAAACGCCTTGTGCTGGCTTGTACTAGAGCTTCTCTAATCTCCTCCTTCCCTGGGTCCCTGGCGTTAGGCCATTTTCAACACAAGGCGCCATGTTCTAGCGCTCACGACGATGCTCGGAGAACACAACATGGTGGGCGATCTGCGTGCCTCAGAGTAATGAAGGGTGTCAAGCCGTGCGCGGTGGCTGTGCAGGGTGAAGCGCCTCCGCCGCTGTCGCCTGTGCTGACGAACGGGGCGCAGCTGATGGAAGCCAACCTGAAGCCGGCCACGCCGGAGCCGCGCGGTAGCACCGCTTCCCTGGATGGCTCCGAGGGCGGCTCGCGCGCCGCCTCTGAGTCCGGCGAGCTCGCCGCCAACAAGGAGGCCCACAAGAAGGGGCGCTTCAAGGTAGCTCCTGCCCTGCCTCCTTCTTTGATCTTCTCTTTGTTATTGTGATTTACGGTGGCACTGGACATTACGTGTGATGTATATAACAAGTGAAATTGGACACTTGGGATGGCCAGCGTAGGAGGGGAGCATCATTCTGGGCTCCTGCCTGTCTGGAATCAACTCAGAACTCCCAAGCATATTGTTCTGAAGGCTTTGCGCATGCGTTTGGGTTATGAAGCATCATTCCAGACTCTCGCATGCACTTGCTTGCACAAGAGAAGGACGCAGAATATTGGTCTCATGCACGCAGATCGTGGAGGAGGACATGGGTGCAGAGGGTGCCAAGGTTGCGCGGCGCACGGGCACGAGCGACAAGGTGGCGGAGGGACGTGCGCCGAGCGGCCAGTTGGGAGACGGAAGCAAGCCCATCCCGGCGACGGCGGTGAAGATCCTGCTGCCGGCGCTCAAGGAGCTGCTGCAGGGCATGGGCACCCAGTACGACCTCCTCAAAGAGGTCGTCGCCGCCGTGCAGGCGCGCCCCAGCCCCTCACCGGCCATCTTTCCTATCTCTACTGTTTTTTCTGTGACATTGTGGTGACTTGCTGCACTCTGTATCCTGCATCTTCAGGAGCACATGTGTAGGTCTTGGCCGTTAGTTCATGTCTGTTCTTGGCTGATTCACCCTGCCTGGCAAGTACCAAAGCATTTCTTAGGTGAAGGCTTGAAAATGAGCGTCTGTTGGTGCTGTGGGATTGAGGCAAGGCCTGCGCAGTGACATGCTGGTTGTTGGGTGGTGGGCATGATGAGCGGGTGTGGTGCTGACACAGGACACTGAGCGGGGCCGGCAGTCGAGCATCAACACGCTGTTGGCTGAGGTCAGCGAGCGGGCCTACCCCAAGCCCAGCCGGGAAGAGACCGACCGCTTGAAACTGGAGGTGATCTCCTGCCTCACTCCTTCAAACTGCATTGCTGTCACAGCCCTCAAATTGGCTGCGTCTGAAGACATGCCACTCTCTCCTCTGGAAGAGTTGGCAGGTTGGAGCTGCTCGATTCCACCCTCCAGCTGTGCTGCCTGATTTCTTATCTGCTATTGCTGCACCGGATGATCAGATGTCCAAGAAGCCTTCAAGAAAACAACTCAGTGGGCTCAGAGTGCTGAGGGTGGTTGTTTTGTGGAACCATGCAGAGCACGCACCCTTCAAAATAGGATCATAACTGGGCTTGCTTTGCTGATGTGTGGGTTGTGGAAACATGCAGAATAACCACCTGAGGGAGGAAGTGCAGCGGCTGGCGCAGAGGATACGCGTGATGGAGGAGGAAGTCTCACGCCACCAGCGCTACGCAGCCGAGGAGCCCTGACCCCAGGGGCCCTTTTTGCACACCACCGTCTGGTGCAGGATTGTACACTAGCATACCTCGGCCCCGCTGTCAGAGCCTTGCTGCTGAAATAATGCCCTCAACATGGTGGCAACTGAAGCAGCTGCCATGGGAAGTGCCATGGGTTATCCATTAATTTGGCGTGGAATGGAGTGAGTAATCAGGTGCTTTGCGGTGACAACTGTAAGTGAAGCATTGGCACGGCTTCAGGGGTAGGGGTGTGGAAGGTTTAGGTGATCGCGATTGCACTGCATAATATCATCCATTGCATAAGTTGTTGTGCCACATACCCCACGATGCATCTTTTGCAGAGTTGCGCGATAAGCTGCTTCAAATGTATTCAAGTACCTTTTTGAGTGTGTTGTGTCAGCAAGGTCTGGTGTGGAGGAGGCAGTCCTTGGGCGGGGGCCTGCCCCTGTGAGGCCTGACGAAGCCAAGCTACTTACGCGTGACGGGCTGGGCAGAAATCTTTGCAAGTCGGTGCAGGGCTGTAACAAATTGCATTGCTCTCAGGATGCAGCCAGCTGTTTCATGATTTTGGTCAGGAAGAGAGGTCCCTCAGCATTCTTTACCAAGCATTGCCGGCAGCCAATGGCGGTGTAAGTAGTTGTGCACACATGTAAGATTTGCTGCATTTCCTGGACTGCCTAAGACATCAACTCTCAGTGGGGTCCCCGGTATCGCACTGAGTGCCCTGAACGTCATATGGCCTGTGTCATTAATCAAACACTGCAGTGGCAATCTCCATGGACATGTGTCCTCTTCTACTCCCTGTGAATATAAGGATCTAGGTGCTCACATGGACCTATCAGACAACTGGCTGCCAACCTGTGCCTGTTTGCAGAATGCTTCTAAATTCCTGCTGGGCTGTGTTCTGCGAGACCCAATATGGAGGAACACCCTGCACCAGACTATGCAGCAATCTCTGGTGGCCATTAATCCAGGAAATGAGGTTGTTTTCTGGGGCTGCCTTTCTCCCCTCCCTTGAGAAAAATCCCCTGACGATCAGGATAAAGGGACAGCGAGGCGTACGAACGAGGGTAGCTTCCTGTTGTTCGGATTGCTTCTCAATTCACGTTGCTCTTTGTGGGATCAGCGAACAGACTATTGAGCCCCTGAGATTATAATAACAAAATTCCATACGGATATCAACACAGTTATTATAGTGTGCTATGAATTTCACCTCAGCCACCGTGATTCGCCCTTTGCACTTGCACCATACTCGGCCTGTGCTCTTCTGCCGATCGGCACCGTGCTGCATAAAGCAAACGCGTGTGCAAGCTGTGAAAAGGGGGGAGGAGACCAAAGAAGAGGAGCCTTGGTGGCGGTTCTGGCGCAGAAACAGGGCCAAGCAGAACACTTCAGACAAGAAGAGGATTCTGCAGAAGCGCACTCCACAGAAGGCGAAGAAACTTTCCACAATCAGGACTCCGGGGAAAGGAATTTCCACCAGAGGCTCAGGCTGGGGCTCATCTTATGAGGTGAGACAGATCGCCTGTGAAAGTCTCTGGCAACATCTCCTTGGCATATGTCCCATAATGCCTGCAGGAGTCATGGCATATCTTCATACATGGTATTTCTTGAGCGGGCTGGTGTACCCTTGCTTGAGAGCTCACCGCTACAGAAGCACGGTACTTGCAGATTGTTGCCTACTTGCACAGTGGATGCACTGGGCTGCGCCAGTACAGGATCGTTGGCAATGCGATTGAAAAAAGCCCATCAGCAGCATTCATGAATGCACCTTTAGGAAACGAGAAGCTGACCGAATCAAAAGGACGGAAGTGGCATATCTAGATCAGGTCAATGATTGACCCCGGTGCACTGATGTCAGAAGAGTACTGCCAATCTAATTGAATCTGTGCCTTTTCTCAGGACTCCTCTTCATACTTCGACTTCAACTTCCTGTTTGGAGACAGCACTTTGGACCACACACCTTCCAGCCCAGGTGACCTGCAAGTGCCAGAGTTCGATAGCGAGTTGCAGGATGAGTCAGTCGTCACTTGGACGCTAGATGACTCACTTGGAGGAGACGCCTCTGAAACACAGAATGACCAGCAAGCAGAGGTCGTCAGTAGCGAGTCAGATGGATTCAGCCTGCACTCAGATGACAGCTGGACCCCAAGTGACTCGCATGCAGCAGGGGAGACAACTTATGCATTGGATGATTCATCATCTGGCTATGCAGGAGGAGGCACCAACTGGTCATCAGATCACTCGTCTACACACAGCAGCTGGTCATCAGACCACTCCTATTCTGAGACCAGTTACAGCTCATCGGATGACTCATCATCATCCGACTGTGGAGGATCAGACAGCAGCTGTGACAGCAGCTCAGACTGACCGCTCAAAGAATCAGCCAGTGGCCAGCTTTAACTTGGGGCCGACATAGCGGATTGAGACAGACTAAAAAATCCTGCAATTTGAAGTTCTGGAATCTCATGACCGTCTCCATACATGATATGTGGCGTATACAGGGACATTGATCATTATCACCGAGCTGATGAGAGACACAATGAATGTGCTGGCTGAGCTGCGTTGAAGCACGGCTCAGGCTGTAGAACTGTGGCATAGTGCAAATGTATCCTGCCTGAGCTTTGAACTTCAAAAGTGGAGTCTTGGACCAGCGATGTGTTGCAACAGACAGTTGAATCTGGAAGCATCACTATATTGTCCCCCTCTGGTTGAGGGGTTCCCGCTTGCAGGAGGAGCTCTTGTGTGCTTACAATTCTGGCTTGGATCCTGCCCTAGATTGTCACCATGCGGAGTTGTACATATTTAGCCCACTGCATGATGGCTCATGCCGAACAGTGCTGTAAGTATATGTGTGAGAAGCAATTTCGATCAGCCAGGCAGCGGTGGTTTTGTCGGCAGACCAGTAAAGTTGGAATAATTGTATCCCTTTGCGCAGTCTCAAATGTGTTGCAGCTGTGGCTTCAACGAATGCGACATCTCACGGGCTATTTCACGGGATGCGCACTTGAAAGCAGCGTTGCACAACACGCCTGCCTCACCGTCGTATACCAAAGAGTACGGACTCGGAATCCCAAAAAAGTACGATCTGATCTGAAGTTAGTATAGAATTGATTTTATGTACTCCTTGAATCATGACTTCCTTGGCGTGGATCGAGCAATTGCAACAGTTTCCAAGGTTCCGTGACATGGGTTGCCTGAATTGGCCAGCTTCCGATTGGAACGCCGTTGGGTTGCCCTTTCGCCGCCGCAGTCGCAGAATGCAATAGATCTGAGCAGACAGGGGCAGAGAAGTGTGAAGTGGAGCGTTGAGGGTGGCATCATCATGGTGAGTGACCTTTATAATTACCTGGGATGTGACATAACGGTGACCGCCGTATTGTTGCTAGGAACAGCAGAATGCAGCAGGCAGGATGATGGGCTCTGCTTTTAGGCTTTACAGCTGCAAAAATCATTGATCCAGTGTTACGGTCTTCTTTTCCTGGCAGCATGGTGTGGCTTATGATAAATCCCGCATGGAACGGAGCGACAGACTTCCATCAGCTGCACAAAGCAGAGTTGGAGATGTATATAGGTGAACTAATGGAGAGGATCTTGATCGTTTCATGTGATATATAGGCACCCAAGAAGCGCGTAGCACCAGCTCCTGCTGCTACGAAGAAGGTAGGAGCTCTTCTCGGAGTTTCACCCAAGGCTTTGCTTGTGCACAACCTCTTTGCCTTCGAATTATGCAAAAGCGTTGCAGCTCTAACGCGAACGCTCTTGCTTTTGAACAGAAGGAAGCCCCCGCCAAGGCCGTCAACCCTCTATTCGAGAAGAGGCCAAAGACCTTTGGTGAGTGATCACCTGCAGCTTCCTTTCTCACATAGTTACCTTTGTGCAATGCATCTTCTGTCTCAGGCGTGAAAGGTTTCGAACGCTGAACTGCAATTGGAGTGGTGGCTTGCCATGAGAAGTATACAAGCTCTAAAACGAGAATTTGGTGCAGGCGTCGGCAGCACCCATGCACCGAAGCACGACCTGCACAGATATGTCAGGTGGCCCAAATACGTGCGCATCCAGAGGCAACGGCGCGTCCTCAATCAGCGGCTGAAGGTGTGCAGCTGCTCTGCTTCAGTTTCTGTGTGCACCTTCCTTTGTCAACACAGAGAATGCTGCAAATGGTGGAGGCGGCGTGAGTTGAGGATTGGTGTTGTCCTGCAGGTGCCCCCGGCACTGAACCGGTTCACAAAGACAGCGGACAAGAACCTGGCAGAGACAGTGTTCAAGCTGCTGCTCAAGTACAGGCCGGAGGACAAGGCAGCCAAGAAGGCTCGCCTGCTCAGAGAGGTGCGCTGCTGGGGGCACTCTCTTGAATGTTGGATCCGCAGGAAATAGCAAGGAGATAGGAGCAAAGGATTGCTGGTCTATGTGAGAGGCAGCAGTGAACATGCCACTACCACACTGCTGCCACCAGACTGTTGTTGGAGAGGCATGAAGACTGCATCTTGCTGCCCTACATGGCAGATCTGCACCGGTTTCTGCACTCATTGCGGCTCAAAGGCAAGTAGTGAGATTCGGTATCATGCATGGCACAGGCGGAGGCGCGTGCGGCTGGCAAGGAGGCTGAGAAGAAGAAGCCTCTGGTGGTCAAGTTTGGGCTGAACCACGTGACTCACCTGGTGGAGACTGGCAAGGCGGCGCTTGTGGTCATCGCGCACGACGTGGACCCCATCGAGCTTGTCGTGTGGCTGCCCGCCGTCTGCAAGAAGATGAACGTCCCCTACATCATCGTCAAGGTGGGACGTCTGCTTCAGTCCTGTACAGATCACCTTGAGATGTCTTGCATTACTGCACATGTGTGTGCCTTTGAAGGTTTGGGGGCAGGCAGATCCACAGCTGAGTCCCATAGCTGCTGGCAGGGTCTCAGCTGAGGAGTGTCTTCACCCTTGCCATCAAAGGCAGAACTCTGATCAGCACCTGCATGGCTGTCCAGAGTTTGGATGCGAGGGTGTATCAGTGAGCAGCGCCCCTCACCGCCTGCATGTGCTGATTGTCGCCTTGAGTGACAGAATGCATCCCATCCATCAGATGGAGAGGACCGGCGGATGGGCAGAAATCTGACCATCTGGAAGTTTTCCTGAGAAGAGGTGTGCCTAATTGCACAGTGATAGCATGAAGAACAGGTGACTGATGGGTTTTGTGACTGGTGCGTGCAGGGCAAGGCACGTCTGGGGACAGTGGTGCACCAGAAGACGGCGGCGGCGCTCGCGCTGACGGCGGTGAAGAGCGAGGACAACCGCGAGCTGAGCAAGATTGTGGACAGCGCCAAGACCAGCTTCAACGACGGCCCGCGCGTGTCGTGGGGAGGCGGCATCATGGGCCCCAAGTCCCAGGCCAAGGCGCGCCTCCGCGAGAAGGAGATGCAGAAGGAGCTCGCCCAGCGCCTGGGCTGAGCGCGCGTTCCCTCCTGGGGGCAGCCCGCCCCTCTGCATGCATGCGTATGCACATGCTAGTCTACACTGTGTGAGGGGACTTCGGCCTCTAGAACAGCCTCAGCGTCCGTGTGAAAGCTGCTGCATTGCATGTGCATGCGTGCTGCGCTCTGTGCTGGTGGCGAAAGGCTGCGCATGCTTGCTGCTACTGCGGATGTGGGTATCTGGGCTGTACGTGGGTTGACTCTGTTGGGGTTATGAGTGGCGACAATATAAATTGCTGCAAGACCCACTTGCAGCAAGTAATGTGGTGAACTCAGGCACAAGGTGTCTTTTGGGTCACGTAGCGGAAGTCAGGGTGTATAATTATGTAACACCACATGGCCAATTCTATGCGTGACATGTCCAGTCTGTGCATTGCATAACCTTTTTTGTCATCTGTTCCTGAGCTACTCAATTATGGCACGCATACAAACATCCACCATAAATGCAAATCAAAGACTTTGCGCCAATGCATGCTTAGTGCACCAGATCACTTCCTCTTGGGCGCGGCCTTCTTTCCCTTGGTAGCACTCTCTTCCTTCCCATCTTCTGTTAGTGCCTTGTAAGCGGGGGTATTCATCTTCCACTCCTTCAGTTGTGAGGCAGCCTCTGCAGATGGAGGTGTGTCTGTGTTCCTCAACTTCTGCAGGACATCGTCCGCTGTGACTGGTGCCTTTACATCCTTCCCACTCTGCTGCCTGTCTGCCAATATGCTCAAGATAATCTGCAAGCACACCCCTGAATCAAAACCTCTCTGCCGGAGACATTGCAGCCATGCTCTGTGGTGCTTCTGCAGTGACTGTTCATTTGAGTAATGTGCAATGGCCATTCATCACCTGCTCGATGCCCCCAGCAGAGTAGCCCTCTGACATGTAAACCACCGTGGACATGTCAAAGCTCTTGTGCAAAGGCAGGCCGTGCTTCGCCATCAGACCAGCCCACAGGATCTGCATAGCAACCTCTTGCAGTTGGCTGATCTTCCAAGACACACCTTAGACACTGACACGCTCTGCAATGTGCGAAATGCACATGTATATGACGTAATCTTATGTTTGTCACTGAACACTTGTGTCAAGTTGCTCTGCCCTGATGTCTGCATTTCCCTGTCTCACAACTTGGGACCAGGGCACTCGGAACTAGAGGGAAGGACCTGACGAGAGGCGTCGTCTGGCAGGGGCACATGTATGTGCTTCTCAAAAGCGCCCACGAGCGCAGTTTCGTCCTTGCGCTTGCAGTTGAAGGGCTCGCTGGAAGTGCCGATCACCAGGACTCTGTCTGTGGGTGCCAGGGCCGCAACCTCCACCAACAAGTCCCTCTTGATCCTGTTGAAGAGCTCAACTCCGCCCTGCCCCTCGGCTTTCCTCTTGTCCATTATGAACACCTGGTGGCATGAAATGCTTATCTTTTGTTACCTCCTGACTGTTCCTGTCTTGCATGCCTAGATGTAACAGCTCTTGGTTTGTAAGTGGTTGGTCACGGGACCTGCCCCCACGCCCAGTCAGATGGGTAGGCCACCATCACTTCGAGTTTTATCACACTTGCACCAGGCAAGCAAAGTGGCGCTGTGAGTCGCGCCTTTTCAAAGGCAAGCATACCTTCTCAGCCTCTTCAATGTAGATGACAGATGGCGCCATGGCTCTGGCAACCTTGAACACCTGGCTCGGGCAGACAGATAAGCTGAAACTCACTATCTGCCCTTTCACACCACTCAAGCGCAATCCCTCCCTTATCACAATTTTCCACAATCCTCTTTAAGATCTGCCAGAATGTGACACTACTGCCATGCACAAAACATAAAAGAGGCTCTGCAGTTCACAAGCTGCCCGGCTGGCGGGGGCCGGTATAATGACTGAGCCCCGTGCCCACAAATGATTGGGTCTTGCTTGGATCTGGCGAGTTCAACGAGGGGTAGGGTATGTGGCAGCCTTTGCCTGCACCTTGCCTCGGGCAGGAGGACAGATTGTAAGCGTCTAATGAGTGAAGAAAAAGTCCGCAAAGTTGTCAGGGTGGCGCACCATGTGGACCATTTGGGAGCAGGCGGCCTTCCCCTGGAACTTCCCATCGGTGTGGCGGGGACTCAGGTTGAAGAAACATGCGCCGCTCTCGTGCGCGACCGCATGCGCCAGCATCGTCTTGCCGCCGCCCACCGCCCCGTACAGCAACACCGAACGTGCAGCCGCCACCCTGAGAGATATCACAAATTTATGACCCTTGAGCACCCTCCCTCAATGCATCTATGGGCTGCCTCAACCCATGAAGGCATCAAAACTGCCTCTGCCCTGTCTGCCAAGTTGCTTTGACATTCAATTATGCACGCTCCTTGAAATTGAAAGCAGGTGCAGAGGCTGACACCAAGGCTCAAGAACCATTGTCCAGGGCCATGAGTGACACAGGATACTACTCCTAGCCTCCCAGCTAGGAACCTTGTGAAGGGGGTGTTATCGGTGAGTTAAAAAGAGGCGAGGTGGAGAGAGCACCTGTCATGCACGTAGGAGGATGCAAGCGGCAGGATGCACAGAGCCGTCAGCGCCGCGCGGATATCGGCCAGTGAGGGCTCGAATGCGATCTCACCGGGGGTCAGACCCCTTGTCGCCAAATCTGACGCGCCCAGGAACTCCGCCATACGGACCTGCGGGCAGGCCACCACCAGCTGGGCCGCCGCCAGCTCAGCGTACAGCGATTCCATTGTCCTGTCAGCCTGTGCCAAACATTGTTTCAAATTCGAACCTCCTGATCTGCGCAGGACAATGCTATGTGTAGGAGCCAGAGCAGTCACGCAATGTCACATGGGCATGCAGGATCCAAGGGTGTGGAGGTTTTCGAAGCATCCTGAAACAAACAGTTCAAGACACAGTATTTGGCATTGTCTGCATGACAGCGGCGATGGCTGCGCGACACTTGCTGTGTCCAGCAAAAACAGTCATGCAATGTCACATGAGCATGCAAGATCAAAGACAGGATCCGAAGGGGACAAGCATGTTGTTTAGGTGAGCAAGAAGCATCTGCTGGGTGAGATACACACCGTCATGTCCTTTCTCTTCTTCTCAGGGGCGGGCTTCTTGGCTTCTGTTCTGCCCGGCGGCTTGGGTGCTGCCTTTGCTGGCGGCTTCTTTTGGCCCTTGCCGTCCTTGGGCTTTCCTTTTGTCTTGTCAGCCCCAGACGCCGCCATCTCTGCTTCAGCCATCTCCTGCAAACATGACCCCCCATGAACTACTCATCACCATTGCACGTTTTTCCAATCCATAGGATTGCGTGCATTGCAGCAATGGTTATATGGCACCAACTGGGCCTATCCTGACATTTCCTCCACCCAAGACATTGTCACAGATATATCATCTCTTCATCCCAATGCATTAAGCTGAGCAGAGACACTGTCACAAAAGGTCAAGAAGGCTCTGCCAGTGGTTTACTTTTAGATTTGCCAGCAGCAAGCGCATTTCCTCGTCGGTCTGGAGGCGGATTTCCTCCGCCACAGACGGCCTCACTTCTGCTTTTAGCAACTCCCTGTCCAGCTGCTGCGCTGCCCATGCACCCGCGCCTGCATTCACCCTTAATCATCCTTAGTCACCCTTAGTCACAGGACGCCCGTAGTTATCCTTAGTCACCCTCAGGCGAGAGCAGCAACCGCTGCAGGACAATGTTGCATATCCTATTCCTGGGTCCTAGTGCCATGACGCTTCTCGAAAACCGTGGCACTGGGCAGTAATCATGGCTCAGGTCAGCCAATGACGTGCCTGACGAGATCATTTCATATGCAAATTTACACGAGGATCATGACTTGATGCCTCTGAGGCGCAATGAACACAGGAGATCCTTACAACAAAGCGCAGAGATTTATGTGGAAGCCACCTGGGTCGTCGCGGTCTGCCCAGCGGTCTTGCCACTCCTGGATGGCGGTGGAGAGGTCGTCCGCGCATGCATGCCCAATCTCTTCTGGCAGCTCGGGCAGTGGAGCACCTGAAAAACATCATGAGAGCATGTTCAATCTTATATCACATCTCCTGGCGCCAAATCGCCATGCATGGCAAACTATTGGCATTGATTTTACGGTGAATATCAAGGCCTGCACACTCATAGTGTCACCCTAACAAAGACACTTAATTGTCAATTCATGAACATTGGTGCAATGAAGTGTCTGAGGATGAGGGTACCGGCAGGTGCACCTTTCTTGCGCGGGTCTTTGCCCTTTGGTGCGGCCGAGGCTGGCCTTCCTGGCTGCTTCCCCTTGCCCTTCTCAGCCGCAGGTGGCTCCTCCACAGGGGCTTGCGGCTCTAGAAATATCTTTGATCCGCCTTCTGCCTCGCTGGGGAACTTTGGCAGCTGGCCGTCCTCGCCCGCTTGATTCTTCACAACCCAATCATTGATCTGCGCACAAGCCGACAAGCCCTTATTGCACGCCTCACAATAGCTTCCTCTGGGCATCAATCAGCAGATGACCTCTTAGGAAGGCGCCCTATTGCCGCAAGCATAGCGGGATGGGTCAAGATGGGCTTGGCTCGGTTAAACGTGCACTACAACTGTAGCAGAACTTCAACGCAAGGATATTCTATGGAACTTAATTGTATGCCGAGCAGGAGGAGGAGGAAAGACAAGGAGATGAAGTGAAGGCAACCTTACCTTCTCCTGCAGGGCCTCTCTGATGTCCATGCCTTCCACAAGCATGAGCTCCGAGCGCTGTGAGACCAGCGAGTCCTGGTACAGGTGCTGCATCTGCCCCTGGGTGGTCTTCCTTGCATCCGCCGCCGCTGCATCCATACATAACGGCTCCTTGTCTCCCAACGATGCCTGCATATCATCACCAGCAAGCTAGCATCCACACATTTCCTCCTGCCTGGATCGTTCTCTGATGTGGTCGACACCTGGTGCAAAGTGGACATGGATTGAGAAGCAATTTCCTGCTTTGAGGGGAAGTGCTGCTCTGATGTTGTTGCAGGAGTGTTGCTGTACTGAGAGTCTGATGTTGGCTGCTGATGTCACTAAGGGGACCATAGTTGCACCATATGGATTCGGCCATTCGGCATACGGTGAATAATCGGTCGTATATTTGGTGTTTTGGGCCAAAATAGGCCGTTTTTGACCGTATTCCGTATATTTTATTACCGTATGACCGTATATTCGGCCGAATATACGGTCCCCAAAAAGTGTTCTGACCGAATGGTGCAACTATGAAGGGGACCCTTCCAAGGTGAAGTGTTCGCGTGAGCAGTGCAGCTGAGAAACAAAAGGGAGATGATTTGCGCACCCGCGGCTGCATGCCAAGGAAGATCTGCTCCCTTGCCTCGCTGCGCTCCACGGTTTTCCGCGATGTGAAGCCCCGGAGCGCTGACTGGATCTTTGTGGCCGCCTCCTCTGAAGTCATCCCCTGTTGCAAGCCAACAGAGGTTGTTCAGTGTGCACTTATGTTATCTGCTCATGACCTTGATGCCATGCACACCGCATGCACAGCAGAATCATGCCTCACGCTTTGCTCATATCTTGCTCTAGCTGCCTAACATACAGTACTTTTAGCTGCAAGCAGGGTGAATGGGTAGAGGCTGGCTCACCCCAGCATAGCCTTGCTGCTCCTTGATGGGCTTGAGAATGGTGCTCCTTGGCCTGTATGCTGACTTTCGCGGCAGATACGCCGACATTCTGGGCATCTGCATGGACTGCAGGTATTCTGTCACCTGATCCTCCTGCACACAAATTGAGGGGTAAACAGCAATCGAACCTGTGCACACTCTGCTACACTGAACGGCGTGCTTTGTGTGAAGTAAGGTCTTGCCTGCTGTTCTGGTGGTGTTGCGGGCGCAAGGTCCCCAGATGGCCCATCCGACACAGCTTCCCGGCTCTCATGATCTGCATCTTCAGCAGGCGCAGTGGCTTGCAAAGGTGCCTCAAATGCCTCTGCCAGCACTTTTGGCTTGGCTGCTCGCTCCTCAAGCTCCTGTGCGGACACACATCGACTACTCTGCAAAACCTCGATGGCCATTCCTCTGGGCATCTGACCACGCTGTAAGTCAAGAATGAGCGTGAAAAGAATGAGCATGAAGCAGGCATCAGAAAGCAAAGATTCACCTGGGTCCTGTCCTCAAGGAAGCAGGTGGGGATGGGAATCTCTGTCAGGTCGGGAGTCAAGCCCAGCGAGTTGATGGCTGGCTCCATGCTCATGAAGAGCAGTCCTTTGTCCAAGACCACCTGTACACCCAGAGCGCCACCATTTTTTATCTCCATGATTTATCATCTTACTTGCTATCGCCTGTGTATGATAATTCCTCCTTGCATCATGTATTCAAGGGTTAGGTAGCTGGCTCAGAGAAGGTTCAGAAAGGCACCATCCAGTTCCTGATCTCCAGTAAGCGGCCCATGCAGCACTCCAGAGCACGCCTGATATCCTTGCGCTTCTGGGGCTGCACCATATGGGCGTGCGCTTCTTCTAGGCTCCGCAGGACTTGCACGTACTTCAGGAACGTGATACACCATGCTGACAAGTCCTGCAAAGACAGAGTAGCAGGAACAGAATTTCACCCGAAATGACCAGCATGCACCCCTTTGGATATCTGAAATCAATCTTTGAGCTTTACTTTTGGGTAGTCGTGACGCTGAGGGTTCTCTGCCCGTCTCAGCTGTACCAGTGTTTCCATGGCTTGTTTCCACAGTCGATCATACGTCCTGCGTGGTACTTACGATTAATGGGACAGTAGCCAAGAAATTGTCTTTGTAATTCAATCACAAAAGTTGTGTGCATCGGACACAGCCCAGAAAGCAACAAGGTTGTCCTGTCGGCGAGGCTTACACATCGCACATCGCGTCTCAGTGCAATTCCGGAATGGCAAACAGCAGTCCACAAACCTTATGTTTGCAAACAACGCAGTATCTATGACTCTCACATTGTTGACACACCTCTCTTGGGAAAGAACACTAGAACTCCAAATAGAATTCTTCCGAGATGTGGGAGACTATATTTGCATAATCAGCAGTTACATCATTCTTTGTTTTGCAGGATTGGTGATCCTTGAGTGGTTTTGTGGGTAACACGAGTGGTAAACGTCGTTGATATAGGACGTTTATCTGATCGCGTGTTGACTTCAAGTCTTCGACGTCTTTAAAGGTAAATTGTTGCCAAGGAACTCACCTGACATTACTTCGTTCAGAACCGCTGCATTTAGTGGTCGTCACAATTTTTTTCCAAAAAGGAGAGATCCCTTTGGAAGTCTTTTTTAAATAGCACTATCTCTACCGGTGACTGCCTCTTACGTAGCAAGAGAAATTGTCAAGGGCTGATATGACCAACTGCTTGAGAAAACCCACCATTCAACGTCCTTATCATCCTATTGACAGCTAATTTCCAAATCTCTGCAATACAGGGGCACTAATCAATGGAGACCAACACGATGAAGCAAGCCAGGGAGCACGTGGCACAGCTGTTTTCTGGGCCGGAGGGGCAGCGGCTGAGGGCGGGTCTGGCCCTGCGCGATATGGCGGGTCAACCGGCACACAAGGCGGCCGTACGCGAGGCCGGCGGCGTTGAAGCGCTGTTGGCAGTGCTGGACGGCGGCTGCCAGCACCCCCTCACAGTCGTGGCCGCAGAGGCGCTGTCCTGCCTCGCTGTTGACGACCCGCTCAGCAGGGTGGGTACCTCTTCAGATCATCAACGCCGCCCTTGATCTCCAAGACCCCATTTCCACGAGACTACACAACTCCCTCAACATGATCTGGGAATGTCTTCAGAGACAAATTCATTACATTTTTGCTGACAAGTCCTATCAAGGATAAGAATGCAGAGCTTGTCTGACGGATATTTCTAGCAGGTGTACCTTCGCACAGTTCTCCCAGGTGCTGGCTTTCAGGGGAAGGGAGCCGTCTGATGCACAAGCCTCATCAGAACTGCACTAGAAGGCAACACCAACAGGGCGTACTGTAAGACCAGAGAGAGGGGTGATTCAATGCCATTGGCGCAGGATCTGATGCGGCGCGCGGACGCGGCCGGCAAACTAGTGGCGTTACTGGCGGCCGGGCCGGAGTCGGAGGCGGCGCACCGGGCACTGCTGGCGCTGCGCATACTCACAGACAGAGAGGGGGACCGCATGGCTATACTAAAGGCGGGGGGCATCCCCCCGCTGGTGGCCCTGCTGCGCCAGGGCCCCTACAGCGAGCACACCGAGTACGCCGCCGCCGTCCTCGGCAACCTCGCCGCCGGCGGACAGCCGCTCAAGGACGCCGTCCGGGAGGTGTGCGGTCTGAGCCCTGTTTGTCTGCCTCCTTTTTACTTATTTATTTTTGGCCTCTAAGTGCCTCCAACATGATGTTGCCCCGCGGGGCGTGGGTAGTGGCAGACCCCAGCATTATGAGGATGCAGAATTGCTCCAAGGGAGTGCGTCACCTGCTTTGTGTCATTGATGGTAGGGATTGAAGGGAAAATGTGAAGCGCAATTCTGATCTTAAACATGTTGTGCTTGACTGTGGAAGAGCTCTCGGGCAGGCAGGGGCGATAAGCGTGCTGGTGGAGCTGCTGGCAGCTGACACGGGCGAGATAGCGGCTGAGCTGGCAGCGGTAGTTCTGCGCAACCTGGCGCTCGGCAACGCCGCTAATCGCGCGGCCATCGTTGCTGCTGGGGGACTGCAGCCGCTGCTGCACCTGCTCTCCATGGGCCAGGACAAGCTCGTGCACCCCATGTCCTGCGAGGTACCTCTTCTGCAGATACTGACTACTAATATGGTGTTGTGGGTTTGTCTGGCAAGCCTCGGCTGCGCAGAGTCCTTGAGGCAGGTAGCCTTGTGAGGGCAAGGGTCGCGCCAGAGATGCAATAGACTCCACAATTATCTGGCAAAGAAAGCTGATCCGTTTGGCGATCTCTGTCACGTTTCATGTTGCGCTGCAGATGGTTTACGCGGAGGACAAGGGGTCCACTGTGCAGCGGCACAAGGCAGGCCTGTGCTGCTTTGACCCAACTGCAGGCCACCTCTGTGTCGCCGCCGCCACACCGCTGGGTGTTTTTGGCTGCATCCAACCCCCAAGGTGATCTTTACAATAAGGGGATGCGGGTGTAGTGGAGAATCAAGAGCACAAATAGGACAGACCAATGATAATTGTCTGCGCGATGCTGAGATCACAGCTTTGATGGAAGCGGGCGCCTGAAGAGCTGCAAATGTACATCCATGCAGGCAGGCATCGCCGCGTGAGAGCGGGGCCGAGCGATACTTGCTGATGCGCAAGCTGACGGTGACGGAGCCCAATGCAGACACGCTGGAGCTGTGCTTTGTGATGGCCGACTGCGAGGGCGCACTTCAAATAAAGGAGCCCCTCAAACGGCGGCAGAAGCAGCTGCACCGCCTGCTCCGCCTGACCATCACCCCTTGCAGCGCCACCGATCTCAAGGTGAACCCCACTCCATGACTGAACAGTACAGTAAAGTGAAGGATCAGGCCTGTCAGGACATTTGCCCCAGGCGCTGTTGCAGACGAGTGCAGCCCAAGAATATTCACATGCTGCAGACATATTGAGGCTGGTGTCTTACTGCTGGGATGCGCAGCAAGGACGGACAACGTCATTTTTCATGGTCCCCTTGAATGCAGCACAAGAGGCTGTGCCAGTGATGTGCATTGATGTGTGGCTGCTTGAGCATTGCACATGTTTCTATCTGAGACATGTGGAAGACATTGGGTAGATGATAATTGATGCATGCAGGGTGCCCTGATGCGCATGCTGACGAGGCTGCATCTTGAGCTGGAGTTCAGAGACTTTGACCTGGGTAAGGAGAACGGGGCTGCCCTGCCGATCAAGCATGCCAGGATCAATGCAACCTGATTACATGTGCAAATACTGCACAGCAGAACAGACAGCATCATCCAACTCGACACCACACAGAAGCAACGCAGCAGGCCCAGCATCTATGGCTAAGACAGGCACCACACGTGTTCGCAAGCACTGTCACGGTCTGTTCAGTGCATGCTCGACTCTGATGGATGTGGCGTCGCACTGGATAACGTGCAGCTGCCGCAGAGTCACAGATTCGCAGTAGAGGTCTCATCCAAGGATTTAATGCACCCCACCCCATCAAGGGTCCACCCAAGCGCCAATTTTGCCGTATAAAAGGTTGTTCCAATACTCATGTTCGACTACAATTCATTCACTCAACTGGTGGCCAAAATGGAGGCCACACGTGCTTCCTGAGCAGTATATCTGCATCACGCTGCTCACAGGTTCTTGTCAATAGTGTTGCGAGCCACCACAAGCGTGGAGGCTGCAAGTGTGCCCACGGCGCCGGCAATGCCCGCTGCTTTCAGGCCACGAGTCGACCTGAACAGCGCCCCTGACAGGAAACCTGCACCACACATTACATCCTTGTAAGCAACCACGCCCTGCATCTAACGGGGCATCTCATTTCCTCAACATGACTCCATCAATATCCTGCAGAGATCTTGCATTGTTCACAATATATGCAATGCACACGACAGTACACACAACCTGTGATCCTGCATCCAGATTCATACAGGTGAAACACCGTCCATAGGTAAATGCTGAGCAAAATCCAAGCGTATTGAGAAGGCTGGGCAAGGTCGGATTATGCACCTGCGCCGAGGGATGCGCAGAGGTCTGGCATGCGCCCGTCATTCAGATAGTCAAGACCGGATTCAGTGGAGGCATAGAAAAGGCCCAGGCAGCCAAGGGCGTTCCCTGCGACGCGGCCGGTCTTGCCGCTCAGGTTGAGCACGCGGTTGACGCGCAGCCGCGTCGTGTCAATGCCCAGCTCCGGTTTTGTCCTCACCGCCGTCAGCAGCCCCTGGCTACCCCCCAGGGTGGCCCCTGCGCATCAGCACCCAAGCAGTGTTTCAGCAATGTTCTAGTGATGCTCCAGGGAAGTCCAGAGCACTCTCTCTTTGAACAGCCGGCTGCACTTGCGCAGTGCCAGCAGCGCGTCACCAACCACGCAATGTTCCGATGATTTCTAGGAGTCTCTTGCTTCTCATAGGTGGCTGCCATGCGCAGTCAGTCAGTCAGTCCCATTGCATCGCTTCCAGCCGAGGCTGATCCAATGCATGACTAGTTTTCACAGTCAGCGCCCAGCATGACATCCAAACACTTGATGCAAGCACACACTCCACACTGTAGGGCGCTTGCTTGGGCAGCACTCACAAGGACAACAGCCAGTGAAGCTGTCTGGATACAAATTGCAATAGATCTGAGGTGCAGAAATGTGGATCACACCTGAGAGGTAGCCAACTCCTGTGTAGTAGGTCAGGTTCTCGCTCCAACTCCTCTTGTGCACGGCTGCTTCCTCTTGAAAGAGGAACTCAGGCTGCTTTGGCAATTTGTACAGATTTCGCGGCAGTCCGCCTCTGGTGTCTATTGCAGTGCTCAGGCCCTCGTACGGGTTGTACAGGCGATCTGTGTTGTTCAGGTCCAGTCCTCCTGGCGGTCCATGTACCTGCAGGAAGCTTAGGGCTCAGCCTGATTTTTACAAACTAAGTGCATCGTGGGCATTATCTTCGCTGTCTTAACACGCTAGAAGATCGTTATCACACAGGTAAACTACGCCTGTATGCCATTTAACAAATAGCTTGGCGCGTTAGCACTACTAGATATAAATAAATTGAGCAGCAGATGTGCCCTTGACAATCGAAACCATACCTCGTGGTTGCTGAGTAATTCTGATGTTGATGAAGATGTAGCATCATGCAAGAGGTCGCCGCCTAGAGAGCCTGCTTCCTCTGCTTCTTTGTCTGCTGGTCGGGGCGATCTGAAAGCGTCCAGCAGCCCCATGCCTGGAGATCAGTTTGATGGGGATCGCAATATAATGTCCACCACGCTAGCTTGTTTGATTCTGGTAACGTTTCCTAGGATCTGCAGCCAGTCTGAACAAAAATTTCACCAAACAGCAACAGCAGGAACGCCGGCTGCAGACATGCGCGGAGCCAGTGGCTGGCAATTTTAGCTCAAATGCCCAGATGTTGAGGGGCTCGTGCGAGGCCAAGTATTGCTGAACTGCAAACTTGTTCTAGTATGTGAACTGCAAAGTCAGTACACGAGACAATTGGTGTGGGGTGTTGTGAGTTTTCTGTATCGGAATTTTTTCCTCTGACGATCCGGACTTACGATGATCTAGGGTGGATCCATTGCAATTGATACAATGTTGGAAACTAGGATGCCCTGCGCACCCAGCACGTCGTACTGTACCTGCTCCAGTAGCTTAAAAGTCAATGTCCCAAGAGGGCATCCAGCTCAGAGACCATTTCTAGCCTCTCAAGCGAGTGCATTCAGGAGAGGGGCCTTTGTAGATCATGGCAGATGTCATGACAAGGGACCGAGGCGAACCAAGGGTGCCAGACAGCGAGCTACTTGCATTGCAGCCCCTGAGAGGCTAGAGTCAAAGGTCTTTGCAGACGGGAAGGTTGAGAAGGTACTGCATCACTGCAATGCTAGCAGGCATTACCAAGTCAACATCAATGTGCCGCCATCATGAGAGGATGCTTCACGTTGAACTCATGGCCAGCATGACTTCTGCTCTCTCACTTTTGCCTGTGTGCAGGTCCCCCCAGAGCGGATTAGAAACTTTTCAATCATTGCTCACATCGACCACGGCAAGTCCACATTGGCAGATCAGCTGCTGATGCGGACAAAGACAGTGGATGATCGAGACATGCAGGTAATGCTCCTGCCTTAACCCACAACCCTCCAAAGCACCTCACCGGCTCGCATGCACCACATTCAATACAAGTGATGTCTTGCAGGCTCAATTCTTGGATGGGATGGACCTGGAGAGAGAGCGGGGGATCACCATAAAGCTTAATCAGGCGCGCATGAAGTACACGGCCTCGGACGGGCTGACATATGCGCTGAACCTGATCGACACCCCTGGGCATGTCGATTTCAGCTACGAGGTGTCTCGCTCTCTGGCTGCCTGCGAGGGCTGCCTACTAGTGGTGGACGCCAGCCAGGTGCCTTCCCCTACACTGGTCCATCTGGCAGGCTGCTCCACCCAAATGCAGTAGATCAGTGCATCTTAGTAACATTTCTGTTTTATTTACCCGGAAGAGGGACTGAGGGAGGGTCACCTGTGCAGGGTGTTGAAGCCCAAACGCTGGCGAACGTGTACATTGCTCTGGAGAATGAGCTGGAGATCATTCCCGTCCTCAACAAGATTGATCTTCCAGGTAAAGACCTGCATGCACCAGCACTCTCCCAACATTCCATCCGCGATTCTGAATTGTGTCTATTTTCTAGTCTGTCCCGCTCACTCCGGCTCCCTCATATAATGGCATTAGACCTCTCTGTGTTGTGTGCTACTCTATGTGCCTGCCTGGGAGTGAGCCGGCTGTGAAGGGCGTATAGTAGTATGGGTTGCATGCATGCTGAGCGCTCGTTAACATGGGGCTCATCTCCTCTGGCAGGTGCTGACCCGGACAGGGTGAGGCGCGAGGTGGAGGAGGTGGTGGGCCTGGACTGCAGCGACGCCATCATGGCCAGCGCCAAGCAGGGCATCGGCATCGATGAGATCCTTGAAGAGGTCGTGCGCCGCGTCCCGCCGCCGCCCGACAACCGCCACAAGCCTTTGCGCGCGCTCATCTTCGACTCTTACTACGACCCCTACAAGGTGCGGTGACCACCCATCCTTCGGGCACCTTTCAGTTGATCAATGCTGCAACTGCAAGTACCGCCGCAGCCTCGGATCGTGAAGAAGAGCATCAGGTTCAGCAGACCACTGCCCAAGGAGGGCAAGGTGACCTACAGTGAATGCTAGAAGCCTTCCCAAGGATCCTACCTGCTTGATACTCTTTTGTGTGTGCATGCTGCACTTGACCCCTATTCTTGTACTGCAGCAAGGATCATTGACAGGTGTGGTATGTGTGCGCAGGGCGTGATAGTGTACTTCAGGGTGGTGGACGGTCAGATGGTGCCCGGGGACGTGGTGAGGCTGATGAACACCGGGAAGGAGTACCAGGTAGACGAGGTCGGCGTCCTTGCGCCCAAGCAAGTGCCGGTGAGCAGCCCTTCTCCCTGCATCTCACAAAACATTACAGCCCATGTGAGATGGAAGTGACCCTTATGACATGGAAGTCACCTCCTTGTGAAGCATGAATAGGAAGCGCAAGAGGCAGTAGAGGGCCTTCAAATGGGTATGTGGATTACTTTTGTCTACTGAGTCCATGCATTGACCGGCAAGTGTCAGTCTAAGCAGCACCTCCTCACTACCATTCATTGCCGTTTATACGCACTGCTGACGTGGCGTGCTCACGTGGCGCCAGGTGGACGCGCTGTACGCGGGGGAGGTGGGCTATTTGGCGGCGAGCATAAAGGCGGTGGCGGACGCGCGCGTGGGGGACACCATAACGCTGAAGAAGGGCGGCACGGCGGAGGCGCTGGACGGGTACCAGGAGGTGCAGCCCATGGTGTTCTGCGGCCTCTTCCCCACCGATGCCGACCAGTTCTCCGACCTGCGCGAGGCGCTCGGCCGCCTCCAGCTCAACGACGCCGCGCTCCAATACGAGCCCGAGGTTTGTTCGTGCCCCTTTGTTCAAGGCTGTGCCGTTTTGCCACCAAGGGCGAATATCCCTTGATATGGCGCTGTGTGGCGGAATGTTCATTTGCTCATGGTGGCCTCAGCTGAGTTTCTGATTCTCTGCCGCTGCAGCGTCGCGCTTCCTTTGTGCTTAGAGTAGCCTACCCTGTCGGCTTGACAGTGCAGGAGCTGCTTGCGGGCATATGGAAGGACAAAAGGCGGCCCAATGATACATGGATGCTATGCTGCTTTAATCGGGCTGTATTCCTGGGAGTGTTCTGTCTTGAGGTGACTGAGGTAGAGGGTGTGTGCGCGTGCAGGTGTCGAGCGCGATGGGGTTCGGCTTCCGATGCGGCTTCCTGGGGCTGCTGCACATGGAGATCGTGCAGGAGCGGTTGGAGCGCGAGTACGACCTCGACCTCATCACCACGGCGCCCACCGTCGTCTACAAGTGCCTCCGCGCCGGCGGCGAGGAAATGAACGTTGACAACCCCTGCAACCTCCCAGACAAGCACGACAATCTGCAAGAGCCCTACTGCAGGCGCGCACCGGCCCTCTCCCGCCTGCCCTGGGTCTGTGTGAATATTCAGGCTCACATCGTGTACCTGTGTCTGGTCCTGAATGTACCTGCAGTTGCGCGCTGGGCCAATCCTGTGCCCATCACTGGCGTTTCGCATGCATCGTGAACCGTGCACGTCTGCTTAAGCTTTTCACCCGCTAAGCAAACACGACCATGCATGCTGCATGCGCATCATTGAAAAGCTTGCTGTGGATCTCTGCAAATCAGGCAAACCGGGGATCCTACATTGGCGAGTGCAGTGCGCCATATTGGCAAAGTGCTTAGATGGGTGTGAGCGGTGTACGCAGGATGGAGATCATCACTCCCAAGGACTTTGTGGGCCCCATCATGGAGCTGGCGCAGCAGCGGCGGGGGGACTTCATCGACATGACCTACCTCACAGAGACGCGCACCACCCTCGTCTATGACCTCCCCCTTGCCGAGGTGAGGCCACTTTACTACACTGTACTCATTTGTCGTAACAGCCCTGTGAACAAGCTGATTATGCCGCCAAGCTGTCCTAATCTGGCACTCATCTGCAGCAACAGCTTTTAATACCAGCCCAGACCATAAAGCGCATACTACCGGCTGGCAGCAGGAGCCCTTGACAATCAAGAGGGTGAGCATGCTAGGCACACACATGCCTGAGGCATCCAAGCCGGGTGATTTGCAGGTGTAAGAGCATGTGGGGTGATGTGCACAGGTGGTGACGGATTTCTTTGACGAGATGAAGAGCCGCAGCCGTGGCTACGCCAGCATGGAGTACCACATCACAGGCTACCGCAAGAACGACCTCGTCCGCCTCGACATCAAAATCAACGGCGAGGTGCCGAGTCATTTCCTCCCTTTTACCTCCAGCGTTAATTACGCTGATTCTGTGTTTGGGATTGTCTGATCTGTTGCACCAAGTTCTGATGTCTGCATGCTGTGGCAAGACTGCCTGTGCCTGCAGTGTGTGATAGCTGCTTTATCTTGTGAAACGTCATCTTGACTGGTGAGGGACTGCATGCAGACGGCGGACCCGCTGGCATCGATTGTGCACCGGGACAACTCGTACCGGGTGGGCCGGGCGCTGGTGAAGCGGCTGAAGGAGCTCATACCGCGCCAGCAGTTCAAGATCCCCATCCAGGCCGCCATCGGCTCGCGTGTCATCGCCTCTGAGAGCATCTCCGGTGCGGCCTGCACCTCTGTTGTGCATGTGAGATAGTGCTCATGGGCCGGGGGATCATTGTATTGTTTTTGCATGACGTGCACCTCAGGGGCAGCCCTTTTCCTTGTCCCTGGTGCTCGCTCTGCCTTAATGTGTGCATTCCTCTTTCTCTCAATTGGTGCATTTACCGCCTTATCTAGCTCATGCCAGAATTTGACTCAGGCCAAACACACTGAGGTCGTGTGTACATTCTCCTGAAGCTTGCAGTAGCGGTGGGGTGATGTGTGCTGCTGTGTTTCCGCAGCTCTACGAAAGGATGTGCTGGCAAAATGCTATGGAGGAGATGTCAGTAGAAAGAAGAAGCTGCTCAAGAAGCAGGCCAAGGGCAAGAAGCGCATGAAGGTGGGCTTTCCCACTTCTGCTGCACAACCTGTAGAATTGCTTCCATGTTGCATGCATTGCATTTACACTGCAAGGGAGCCCTTTCTCCTCGCTCCCTGGGGCTAACACTGCATTGATGTCTGCATTCCTATCTATCTACTTGTGCAGACGTGCTGATTTTGGAGGCTGAGTGAGCATTACAAGACTCCTTTGGACCTGACTCGGTTCTGTTGGTGCTTGCAGAGTTTGGGCAGGGTGGATGTGCCTCAGGAGGCATTCATGGCCGTCTTGAGTCTGGGATCCGATGATGGGGACTGACTTCGAATTTTTACATGTCACTGCTTGGCATTCTGTCGCGGCCAAGCAGTGCCAAACTTCTATATTATCTAGTATATCTGTTGCTGCCTTCCATCAAAGAGCGGCTGCAAATCTCCATGCAGCCTCCTCGGCAATTTTGGCCGAGTTCTTTGTGAGGTCTGTGCCACACCAAAAGGTACTTGAGCAGTTGAAAAGTTGTACAATTGTATGAGATTCAAACTCGAAGTATTTTTTGCTTTCCGCACCTGTCATTCCTTTTAACAAGTTGACAGGCTTCCACTGAGCTCCATCCACATCACCACCAGGTACCAAGGGAGCACTAGGATCCACTGGAACAGCTGCCACCTGTCAAACATGATCTATGCACATGACAAAACCATTGCATATCTTGAGCAGACACGCTGCTTATTGAACAAGGACCCTGTTGCCATTGAATCCACTGTGTGCAGCAACAGAGACCAATGAAGGACAGTGGGCAGATCGGCAGCAGCCCTGCGCAGCGGTCGTGCCATGAAGCAGTGGCAATTGATCCAGTGAGCCACATGCATTGCCGTTACATGCACACCTCGACAATGGCATAGTGGAAAGCCAGGCGTCCGCTGTCCTCATAGACAATCACATCTGCAGCTGCAAAAGGCGTCGGCACCTCAAGGCCACTCGACAGGCCTCCTTCCCTCTCCTCAACCGCTCCAGCTGCGCACGCCAGACTCACTTCACACAAGGCGCCCTCTCAAGCAATGGATGAGCGTGTGTTGGCTTCCTGACAAGGCCTTACCTGTCTCCGGATCATTGCGCAGGTTCAAGCCAGTCTCCTCATATGCCTCTCTCACAGCACACTCGACCATTGTCTCGCCTGTGCCCACAGACAAGAATATGCCAGCTTTGCACACTATGAAACACGGCAATATATTAATGATATTGGCTCAGAATTGCACCCCAGATATCTCACCCACTTCCAGGCTGCCGCCAGGAAATGTCCACTTTCCCACTTCTGGTGCCTTTGCTCGGCGCACCAGTAGCACCTCAGTCTCTCCAGAACTGCCCTCAGAAGATGTCACCTTTCGCAGCGCCACCACCCCAATGCCCACCTGGACGTTGTGAGAGTCTTGAAAGGCGGCATGTTGCACTCACGCCTCCAAAGCAGCTGCCAATACATTCAGAAGGACTCATCTCAGAAGGTCTTTCGCTCCCACCCTAGGCTCGTCTGGGTACTGTCGGCTTCTGTTAGGGGCGACATCGTTTGTTCCCACAGCTGATCTAGAGATCGTGTGTCTGCTGCTCAGACCTGAGCATCTGCGCACAAGGGGCTGGCATGATGGGTTAAAGGACTTCCCATAGTCGACTCTACTGTGACACAATGATGAATCTGTAATGTTGGAAGTTGAACGATTCAAGATCTGGATGTGACTGCGTGCGAACAAGTGCTGAAGGTGAACTCGTCCACAGAATGCATGCCTGAATGCCATGGACACTCCTTATTTTTAATAAAGCCAATTCATCACAAGAATGACTACGCTGTGTGCATCTCAACCACGATTAATTTTGTTCGAAGGGAGGACCATGGATGAGTGCAAGATTGATGTGCACGCTGAAAGTCAAATATAGCACATGAAAGCCAAGATAGGACGACACTAAAACGTATACCGCGCGCTCTGCCACATTCTCAGTGAGTCGCTCACCATATGCTTGTATGTACTGTATAATTGATTTTAATACTTTCCCCGAGCCCAAAAGCCCTTTGCCGTTTGTTGGAGTGCTTCGATCCTTGCAATCTTACCTCGATGGATCCCAGATCGATGAGCCAGAGTACGTCCTTCGGCTGGACGTTTATCTCGTAGGAACCATTCTACTGGAACAAACGTAATAATGGGTTTGTTCTGCTGACTGTTAACGTGCTAGCCGACCTAGCTATCCTAGGGTTGTTTTGCAGATCGCCCCTTTATAACTCAGCCCTGTTTATTTTACAGCAATTGTTCTCGTCTCCCCTCAGGTGAGCGTGAATCTCATGAGATTTACGATCTTGGGGACTTCAAGCTAGTGGGTGGAACTACCTTAAGACAAGCCAAATTGGCTTACAAATCGTGGGGGACGCTGAATGCTGACAAAAGCAATGCCATAGTCTATCCCACGTGGTACTCAGGTGATTCCCCACCTTTATGCAAGCAACAAGCCTCGCTCTTGACTTGGGCAGCTGCAAATAGGCACATGATTGACCTCAGTCAATGCACAAGCTGGACATGCATGGCCGCAGGGCGCCACTGGGAGAATGACTGGCTGATAGGTCCCGGCATGGCATTGGACCCTGCCAAGTACTTCATCGTCGTCACCAACATGTTTGGCAATGGGCTTTCTTCAAGTCCCAGCAACACACCTCCCCCCTTTGATAGAGCGCGCTTCCCTCAGGTAATTAGCTGGCCTGCTCCCCACATCTGGTACTACTAGCCATGTTCCGTCCCTTTCACGGGGAAAGCAGGGATGCATCAATTGTAGACTGATCTGGCTCTGCCGTGTGGACAGGTAGCAGTTCAGGACAACGTTCGGGCGCAGCACCAACTGGTGACTGAGAAGTTTGGCATCACAACCCTCGAAGCCGTTGTTGGCTGGTCAATGGGAGCTGGCCAGACTTTCCAATGGGCTGTCAGGTGACGCTGACTTGATTAGCCAATCTTAACACCGCATGCGAGCGTGCATGCATGCATCAGCCAGGAAGCATGCGCTGATGAATAATTTCATGGTGCAGCTATCCTGACATGGTGAAGCGCATCCTGCCTTTCTGTGGGTCCGCTCGCACCAGTGAGCACAACAAGGTACCACCCCGTTTCCTGTTATCAACTGTCACATAGGTCTGATGTCCACCTACAGGGGCTGCATGCAGTTCATATATCAGTTGCTGCGCAAATCTTGAAACATGTGCGCTGCAGGTGTTTCTGGAAGGTGTGAAGGCTGCGTTGACGGCGGATGCCAAGTTCCAGGGAGGGTGGTACTCTCCTGGCGACCCTCCAGTGACGGGCTTGAGAGCCGCTGCACGTGTGTATGCAGGATGGGGATTCACCCAGGCCTTCTACTGGCACGAGGTGCTTATTTCCCAGCCATTGCTTATCAGTGCTGCACACCTCGTTTATGAGATAGCAGACAAGAGCGATATGTCTGTTGGCATGGGCGCTGTGACAGGAAGAAGCATCTTTTAAGAGCTACCCTGCAGCATCAAAATGGCAGCTCACAAAGGCCTGATCAATGAGCTTGACGTCGTGCAGAAATGGAGGGAGCTTGGTTACACCTCGCTGGAGGATTTCTTAGTGGGTTTCTGGGAGGGATTCTTTCTGGACAGGGACCCCAACAATCTGCTGACAATGCTGTCCACCTGGGCCAATGGCAACATAGGCAAGACCCCAGGATTCGATGGCAGCCTTGAAAAGGCCCTGGCATGCATCAAGGCACGTTTCTGCAACATTCGCCTGTTTTATATTGTCTTGCTCTGAATTGTTTTGAGCTTGTTGACTTGTCATGGAGACGTGGAGATGAGCTGGTCAAATGAGGTGAAGCATGAGCATTTCAGACGTGCGCGTGGGATGCAGGCCAAGGCGATAGTGATGCCAGCAGAGGTGGACCTGTACTTTCCAGTGGCTGACGAGGAGTATGAGGTCAGCCACATGAATGGTGCAGAGTTGCGAGTCATCCCTGGAGTATGGGGCCACTTTGCTGGCGGTGAGCCCTCCCTTGAGTTATTACATTGATTTCTCACACCAAACCGCATGTCTTGTCGTCCATCAAGACTGCGCGTTGCTTGATTAGCCTTGTGCATGCGGGCTGGGATTCAATTCCTGTAATAAAAAGACCCTCTGAGGCAGGCTCTATCTGATAGGATTTTGCGTGGCTGCTCTGCTGACAGGAGGTCTTTGGGATGAGGACACAAAGTTCATAGATGCCGCTCTCAAGGAGCTCCTGTCCAGCGAGGTCACCCACATCAGCGACATGGAAAGGCTGTCTCTTGGAGAGTAATCTTGATGAAATGCATGCGGGCGACCGCCATGTGACACAGTACTGATATTGTGCTAAGACATTTCGGAAGTATTTTGAAGCTGAACAAGCAGCCTAACATGTAGCTAGGCGCCAGTGGCGACTTGCCAAAGTGATTTGCCAGTACTGTACCAACTTAGGACGGAAAATTTTTTCCTTGAAGGCCTCAGACTTGCGCAAGCCTGCGTGCGAGTGCGAGCATGCGTATAGTATCTTAAGCTATTGTATCTTGAGCTATTCACTTTTCAAAAAAGGAGGATCGTCTACACATGTCCACTATCATGCACCTATTTGTGTATTACTGGCAGTGAGTAGCATTCAGCTAGAGCTAAATTTTTTTTTAATTTGTTAATTTACTATTTAATTATTAATTTATTCAATTAGCTAAATTTATGATCAGCTTCGAAGCTGGCCAGTGCTTTCAAAGCTCGCAGCAGCCTGCAGCTCTGTTGGAGGAGGCCTTAACCTGGGCAGATACAGCACCGATACGCTTCGCTCAGTGCTGAGAATTCAAGCAAAACCATTTCAGCACCAGCATGGGAAGGTGCATGCAAGATTACTCATCGTCATTAGTAACCACGATACCAGAAGCAGGCGGCTTTGACATTTCTTTGCGTTTTGGTGCGCAAATGTGGTCCATCTTTCCAAATTGTAATTGAAAAAGTGGTAAGTGTGCCATCGGTGGCGTTTGAGGTGTTCCTTGATCGAGAAGACACAGTAGTCGCGGTGCGAGTGATCGGGAGCACATCAATATGCCAGCACCTTTTGAGGTACCAGGCATCGTGGACAATGCCGACGGTTGGGGTCCCACAACAGTGCCAGAGCAACTAGAAGGATTGCCGTATGCTCCCTTTGGCAAGGGAGACAAAGTGGGAAGGATCTCAGACTTCACACAGACAGGCTTCAACAAATACGGAAGTAGGCTTCGTTTTCATAATTTCAGAATATGTTACTCTATGGTCATTTTGGATGCACCTTGTATTTCCCTAAAAGGATTTTGTGCTGAAGATTGCTGTGTATACAGATCGGTATGGTCAGAATCAGCCCACCGTTGCTGTCTTCAATTTCTTCCATAACGAAGACGTGCGTCCCTGCTCACATCACTTGGCTTGCAAACGTTGTGCTGCTTGCGATTCATGTCAAAGCCAGAATCAATGTTTGCATTCACAAAGCTGTGACGTAGAAGGAGTTGATGGAGTTTGTGCGGGTGCATCGTGCAGGAGGACAGCTTCCATCTGGTGGACAACAAGCCCGCGCAGAGGAAGCAGGGCATGCGGCGCTTCCAGCCCAACAGGTTCCAGCAGCGGAGGAATGAGCAGAACCAGCGGGGTGACATGCAGGTGCACCAGGACCGGCAGCCCAGGAAGCAGCAGAACAAGCGGCCGCAATTCTTCCACAGGAATGAGCAGCGGGTGCGTTTTCTGACTGCCATGCCCATCTCATTGCAGTCAGTCAGCTGGATGCCTCCTTTAACAGAACTTCTCCAAGGAGATCACAGACTGGTCGAATGTTGCCTCAGAGCCGCGCTGAAGAGGTTGCAGGACGTTTAAAGTGCTGCCTATCCATCAAATGAGTCAATTCGAAGGATTGCTCAGCTGATGGGACTGGCGTTGTGGGTGTGCAGCAAGTGGTGCACAGCTCGAGCGTGGACATTCGGCCGGAGTGGGTGGTGGTGGAGCAGATCCCCTTCACCAGCCTGACCAAGCTGAACTACCAGGCGCCCGCGCCTGAGGACCTGGCCTTCTGTGGGCAGCTGGAGTACTACGACAAGTCCTACGACCGCCTCACGCCCAAAACCGACAAGGCCCTCAAGAAGACCCCCCGCGCCTTCCGCTCTGTCACCACCTCCGACGACCCCGTCATCAGGCACGTCCCATACCCACAATTGCGCTTGTAGCTTTTTCTTTCTGCATGTCAGAGATCAGTCTATCTGGACTGCAAGGTCAAACTGTGATCCCACTGGCACTGGCTGCCTGGCCTTGCTCTGCATCCACACTGAATTTGCGCTTCTTAACTCAGCAACATGAGTCTGCAGTCGCCACCAATCAAAGCGATAAAGGCAGTCTGGCCTGACTCTTTGTTTTTTGATTTTTCCATTTATGCACGAGACCATGGCACGGTGGCATGGATGAGAAGCTGATATTAAGGATGCTGCGCAATGTCGAGTCTCAGGGCGCAATCTGCTGATTGGGTGACAGCGTTGTGTTGCGTCTTGCAGGCAGTACGCGAAGGAGGACGCGGCGCAGGTGTTTATCACCGACTCGCTGCTGACGACGCTCATGTGCACGCCGCGGTCGGTGTATTCGTGGGACATCCTGGTCACACGCGCGGCCGGCCGCCTCTTCTTTGACAAGCGCGACGGCTCGTCCCTGGACATGCTGACTGTGGCTGAGACGTCCCCCGAGGCCATCCCCGAGGACAAGGACAACATCAACGGCATGCAGCAGCTCTCCCTGGAGGCCACCGCCATTAACCAGAACTTCTCCCAGCAGGTGATGCCGGTTTCATGGGCAGCCCCTTTGGAGTCAGCCCCCTTTTTTCATCTGTGCTAGCACATGCCCACCAAGCTCTGGCTGGGAGGAGTGACGTCATGCAGCTGACAGACTTCACCCTCCTTTTCAAGTGCTATGGCGTGCAAGCTGTGATCGGCAATTAGGAAGCTTGGCAGTGTGGCAGTACTGTGGGTTCCAATTGCAAGGAGGTTATTGTTGCTGAATGCGCTGTGGGTGTGTGCAGGTGCTGTTGCAAGAGGGCAAGAAGCTGACGTACGACCAGCCCAACCCCTTCGTGGGAGAGGGCAACGAGGAGCTGGCAGCAGTCGCCTACAGGTCAGCCCCAACCCCTGACATGATTCCACAGAGCTTCAATCACCGCTCGTTGCTTTATCAGTCTAGCCTGTTGTGTCTTCGACAGATGTGTGGTGGCAAAAGTGTATCAAAGATGCTGCAGCTCCAGGGGAGTGACGAGGGTGTATGGGGACTGCAGGTATCGGAAGGTGAAGATGAATGATGAGGTGGACCTGGTGGTGCGGTGCGAGCTGGACGGTGTCATGAACTATAAGGGCCAGGACCAGCTGCTCTCCATCAAGGCCCTCAACGAATTTGACCCCAAGCTCACCGGTGCGCAGCGGCCCACTGCACTCCATTTTTCTGCCCCAGCTACCCTTCTGACCTTCTCTTCACTTTGACTTAATGGAATCCTCTACCTGCGTTTGCATGCATAGCCCCTGCGCTGCATTATGTCCAGCATTGATGCGAGGGCCAAGAGGTCAATTAGAGAGCTAAGCGGCATGCAGGTCATGCCCATGTAATTGTTGAACGTTTGAAATTTGGTTTGAAACTTGAAATTGAGAATGATGATGCGCGCAGGCGTGGACTGGCGGCAGAAGTTGGAGAACCAGCGGGGGGCGGTGCTGGCGACGGAGCTGAAGAACAACGCGAACAAGCTGGCCAAGTGGACGGCGGCGGCGCTCATCTCCGGGGCCGACATGATCAAGCTCGGCTACGTCTCTCGCGCCAGCCTGCGCGACAACCTCCACCACACCGTCCTTGGCACCCAGGTGATCACCCTCCCACTGCTCTGTGCAATATTTTCGCTGTGAGACTTACAGGCGCAGACGTGACACCTTTCGGTCTGCTGGCCGGGCTTTGAGGCGATGGCGCAGCAGTGCAGCTTCACCTGCGGGAGCAAGGTCTAGTTGGCGACTTGGGAGCATGTTCCCTGCTGCCTTCATATTATAGATTGCTTGATTGCCTGTAGCTGAGGCGTTAAGTGGCAAGTAAAGGGGAGATGAGGTTTTGCGGTTGTGCTGAGGCGGCGGGTGACGGCGGTGTGCAGGTGTGCAAGCCCAAGGACTTTGCGCAGCAGATAAATCTGAACATGGACAATTGCTGGGGCATTGTGCGCGCGCTGGTGGACCTGTGCATGAAGATGGAGGACGGCAAGTACCTCATCGTCAAGGACCCCAACAAGCAGCTGCTGCGCCTCTACTCTGTCCCCGAGGACGCCTTCCAGGAGAACTACAGCGAGGAGCCCATCCCAGACGCAGAGGAGGCCCCCATCGCGGACGAGCCCGCCAAGGCCGACGCTGCCGACGAGGAGTGATCTGGGCACTGAGTACTCTCGAGGCCTAAACAGGGTCGTGGTTTCCTTGAGTGGGATTGAATCTGGACATGGTTGTGATCTGGTGGCCTGTGGGGTGCCATCTGGCAGAGCATGGCTTACCTATTTGTGTGCAAGACTGCTGCCAGTTTCTGCATGTCTGGGGGCGGATGTGCGAGGGTGGTCCTCCCAAGTTTATGGAGGGACCATATTGTTGGCTCGCGCTCAGCTTTCAAGCGTGCTGGGCTGTCGCAGAGCCAGGCTGCAATGTGAGGATGCAGTCCCATTATGCCTAGATGATCTAGGTTTTGAGGCTGTTGGAGCAAAAGATTCGAATTCTCCAGAGTGTCCTGTGTTGTTACTAAGGCACCGGCGCCACATACGATATGAGCCAAGACGTGATCCAGTGTGCTGCCATTGTCAGGACCATGATCATGGGTGGACCCAGATTGAGGATATTTCAACGGGGTTGAAGCATTTCACAAGAAGTATATTGTACAATATTACAGATATGCCGACCACCAAAGTGTTTCCTACTCAAAATCTGTATTCCAGACATGAGCTATTGTAGCTTGTAAGGACTTCTAATCTACACAGTCTGCTGGTCCTATGTCCTATTAATGTGCCTTCATTTCATTACCTGCACGTTCCTGCATGTCATTCATTTGCATACTTAATGAGCGGGACACTGCATTAACATGTACACTGCTGAGGGCCCATGGGCCAATCATGTCCCAGAACAACCTGACTCTAAACCCTAGCAGACAATAGTGGCAGCAGCACAGCAGATCTGTGGGTACTGATGCAGCATTCTGAACACAACAGCTCATGCCGCATGCACAGCACGAGCTACCGAATAAATATACACTGAGACAGCTGCACAGGGAAAATCAATCAGCGCTGAGCAGGTATGCAGCAGGGAGCATTGTTGTGCAGCAGCTGAATGGTGGAGTGGGTGATGCCCTTGGAGACACAGTAGCTGGTTGCTGCCATCAGCACCTTGCACGCATCCTGCTCCTTCGCCACATTGAGATGTGTTGCCAGCAGAGGCACCCCCGGCTTCAGCGCCCACACATGCAAGTCGTGCACGCTCACCACTCCCTCGATCTGCACAGCCGCACAAAATCTGGATTTAAACTTCCACCATTAACATTCCGGTACAGTCTACTGCTCGGCACTGCAGTAGCAGGACCAGAAAGGCTTGCACCACCCATGAACTGTGTGCATCTACAGCTCTGATCCACGTCATGTACACTGCTGCCTACCTGTCAGGCATTTCTGATCGGGTCAGCCCTGTCCTTGATCAGGCTAAAGTCAATTATTTGTCTCCATGAGGCCCAATTGCATGTCTAACAGCCTTTAAAATATCAACAACTGGCTGACAGGGATGAAGGGCAGCAGCTGGCATTGTGAGGCGATGAGTCACCTTTTGGAGGTCTGCCTGGATGACATCAGCGTCCAGGGCGCGAGGCACTCGCTCCATGAGGATGTCGCTGATGTCACGCAGGATGCCCACGGTTGTAAAGAGCACGATGATGGCGAAGATGACCGTGCAGATGGGATCGGCTAGTAGCCACCAATGGCTGCCACCCTGCAAGGGCACGACAATATGATTCACAGTTGTCAGATGCTCAATGACATGGAAGAGCAGCTGACCTTGATCCCAATCCACCTTCACGTCTTTAATGAGGTCAGATTTTGTTGATGCAATGATCAGGTAAGTCATGCAGGACATTGAGTGTCAGTTTGCAGAGGATGAAGAGCTGCACGTGAGAACTTGCTGCATGTGAAACTTTGGAAGCAAGAGATGCAAGAATGGCTCATGCGCACCTCATTGCACCAGATGAGCACACTGGCAATGACGACGCCGATGCTCTGCACCAGGTCTCCCAACGCATGGATGATAGCTCCCCTCATGTTGATGTTCTCGCCATGCCCATGACTGTGCTGGTGGCCATGCCCACATGTGCCTCCCTTTGCATGGCCCTCTTCCTCATCCTGCACATCTTCATCAGTCTAATCACCATTGCTGTTTACACAATCTCCTTTAGGGACCACCGCTTCAAGCCTGCTGCAATGCCAGTAACGAGACACATGATGAAAGAGGACATGTGTTTGGATGACGAGCAGCATGTTAGAAGGTAGTCAAGCAGCGCACCCCTTGGCTGTGGTCATGGGAGTGGCTGTGGAAGTGGCCATGATGGTGGCCTCCCAAGATTGCAAAGAGGGTTATGTTGACTACAAGGCCAGCAACCGCCAGAATGAACATCACTGCACAGCAAGGAAATATCAGCAAATCATATATTCTGAAGCGATTATGTCATATTCAGGTGCTGATATGTCTGGACACCCACAGCTGTACAACAGTTGATCGAAACTTGGCCATTCAGGGTCCGGGTCAAGGGAGCACTCACGCTTGCCATTGATGGGGGTGGGATGAATGAAACGATTGACAGCTTCGTACAGCAGCGCCCCTGTGACTAGATATGTGCTCACCACCGATGCCAGGGCTCCCATCACCTCTATGCGATGGTAGCTGAAGCACAAACATGAAGCATGTCAATGCAGATCCCCATCTTGAGATGCATGGCATTGCCCCTTGATGAAAAGATTGCTACATGTGTCATGTCTCAGGCTGCAAAAAGGTAGAATGGGGCATCACCCAAATGTGTGCGTGCTCATGCTCTTCTTTGTTGCATATATGCTGGCAAACAGCGCCACGCCAAAGCCGCTTGTGTCTGACAGCAGGTGAGCAGCGTCTGTCATGATGGCGACACTGCATGGCAGATCAAGCACATCAGCATCTGCACAGCCTCTCTGCAGGTATCTGTGCATCTGAGCAGGCTGAGCTGATGTATCTTCAGGCCACAATGTCGCACAAGGCTGATTCAATGCTGCTGGACTGTACCTGTGAGCGATGAACCCTCCTACCACTTCCACCACCATGAAGATTGAGGCGATGACCAAAACCACAATAAGCTTGCATTGTATCTGCATGCAACCACTGCAAGCTCAGCAAGCTTCCATGCGAGATGACAACATGCACCGCATCACACATGCATTCGTTCTATCTGAGACTTGCACTTTCCTTCTGGATCTGCCCCAAGTTGTGAAGAATCACAAAGAGGGGTAGGCACATACCGCGCGAGTCTCTGTCTTGGCCTCTGAAGCTCCATCAGCCAGCTGACACGTTCCATTCTCACACTTTTCTGCGAGCACATCAGGCAAATCTAAAAGACATCTTGACATGCAAGATGTTGACTGGATCACCAAACACTCCTTAACACTCCAAGATGATGGGGTAATGACAGTCAACAACTTTCTCGGAAGTAAAGCAATATTCAGTGCATCACAAGTGACTTGCTATGACATCCAATTTCAGCATCAAAGGTGCAAGTCCGAGCGCGGGCAACATCCCAAGCCGCACCTGACACAGGACTTCGTTGTTGCAGGGTGTCGAGCAATGGCTCATGGAAAGTCTCCCTGGCCGGCGTTGCGGCCATCTTGGACCGCAGCACAAATATTCAGGTATCTATTGAGACACAATCAAGGATTCGTTTGAGAAAGACAAACGAGATCCTAGAAAATCTACTTATGCTGCAAAAATTACTGAATGTGAACGTAGTTCACATTGCACAGGAACGGCAAGGAGCCCTGGACATCAATTTGCAACTGCATGTATTGCAACGCATGGCAGGTATTGATTGACGCAGGCAGGATCGAGGCAGAAGGACGTATGATGTCACCTCCAGCGTCACAGGTGGCTCCCAGAGTGCCTCAATAGTAGAGGGTGGTGCGCCACAGCAGGCGTCAAAAGGAGAGCAGGTCCTAGGTTTTGTCTTCGGCATGAGCTTCGTTTACTTCTTCTCGTCAACTAGCAACCTTTATAGTCTCAAAGCAACTTCTAGCACGCCATAGCATAAAAATCCAACACGGGCCAATCAATGGATGCAGTCCCAACCGAGTAAGACTGATATAGTATTCAACCTGCAACCAATGAAGCTGGGCAACAACAGGGTGACTTCTTGGGAAGGCCCCGCGGCAGTGTCTGAAACTCGATGCCGCCACCCTAGACGCAAACTCAGTCAGCCAGCAATGCTGCTTGTACTATACAGATTACAAAGGAGAATTCAGGGATATACGTATTCGCATGCGGCAACAAGTCATCTGTTAATCGGTTCCATCTCTTCTTTCAAAACAGGGAAAGACAGCCAGGAAACACAGGTCAAAGACACTTGACAGGTGGCTTCTTTAAGGGGTGTCTATTTTGGCTCCTTCCTCACGTGATGGCGTAAAGCGCGCATGAGGGCGCATGCCACCGTACACAATCGTCCTGCTCTTCCTTGTTTCCGTGGCCCAGTGGAACACGAAGCCACACATCCACAGCACATTCCACAAATATGGGATCTTCGACCGCTCAGGCGGGGGCAGAACCCGATCGGAAGCCTGCATCGAACACGGTCGAGCCGAAGCTGCTGATCGAAAAGCCGGCGACTCTTTCTGGTGCGCGCGCACCTCGGCCCAAGATTCAGGCTGCTCATAAGCTCCCTGGATTAGATTCAATCAATATAGATAGGTCGACAACGACGTCACGCTATCTATTCCTTCTTTCTCGTACCACCCATTCGGAACGCCACAACAGATGTGGGATCTTTTTGGGGCCTGGGAACAAGAGCGATTCCACACGGCTTTTATTGAACTATACTGCCTCATCGCTGTATGTCGTTCCACAAAGAGTCGCGTACAGAGAAGGAGCGTATGAAAATGCCACCACGTGCTCGCACGATCCCTTGCTAACGGGAAGGGAAGGGAAGGGAACTTTCGTCACGCTCAGTGCTTGCAAAACCACACAAATGCAATGCTAAGTCAGGCGGCAACGGATTTTGGAATACATTCATACGACAGTTCAGGGCAGATCAAGAAGAGACAGCAGACCTTGGTCTCTGGAGTGTAGCTAGGGAGACAGAGGCAGCTGCCTCTGCCACCTGGTCAGCTTCTTGAAGTCATGAAATCATTTGTTCAGACAGTTCCGAGCATTTACATCTAGCCGTATAGGCTGAGTCCAAGACTTTGAGGCATTGGTCTTGTGCAGGCAAAATTAGCGGGCCGCCCAGGAACCAGTGGCTGCACCATGCCAAGGCTCTATTCACAGAGGGACACACCGCATGGGACTGCCTCCTCTCAGTGGCTTGCGCTCAGGTACAGTCCTGACTACATCTATCAATAGTCCGACAGTGATGTCCCTCATGCATTCTTTTGGTGCAGTGAGGCCTGCGAGAGGCTGGAGGACAGATGAAGGATGCTCACGCTCTGGGTGCTGTCTTGCAGATTGGACAAGTCATGCTCACCATGCCTCACAGCATGGCACTGCTGGGCATCAAAGAAGGGATTGTGGTGACCCTAGTCTCTGCTACTGCGGGTCTCTGGTGAGACTTCTTCCGTTCATTGGTCTGCATTTTGTTGCAGTCCCAGCCCTTTGCGCGCTAATCGGCACAGAAGAGGTTTGGCTGTAATCGTGCCATGTTTTCTAGGAAGTATCTTAAACACCTTATTATTGCAGGACAATGTTTCTGCTGGTGAGCTTGTACTTGGAGATGAAGGCCCGCCAGATCAAAGCAGGTGATTCTGAAAGCATTGGGGTCACTTCAATGCGTTGAGTGAGAAGGCTCTCTTGCTTCTCGATGAAAGGTCTCCTGTGCCATCATCTGAATTGTTGCCCTCCCTCCTCTGTGACAGGCCAGTGGTACGACGCGAGTGGGCATCGGCGGCAGGTCACACAGTATCACGAGGTAAGGCTTGTACTGACAATATCTAGTTGCAAGGACGCTTTGACCAGCCTGCTTCAAGGCCATTGCGTATGCCTGGTGCTTAACAGACCTTTGCAGCACCTGGCTAAACAGACGCACATGTGCTTACTTATAATACAAACGAAATTGAAGTGACCTGTGTGTGTGATCAGGTGATGGGTTACTGGGGGGGTCCAGTCCTCAAGTATGTTTCTCAGATTCTCATTGCAGTACATCTGATAGGCACTGGGACCTCCCAAGTAATTGCTTGTGCAGGCAACAATTATTCCATTGACCATTCTCACAGCAAGAGGTAGGTGCCTTTCTGTGACCTTGATATTCTGCTTGGGATCCTGTGTTTCATATCATTGGCATGCGCAAATGACCTCCCAACCATCTCTGTCAGCTTGGATTGCCAGTGTACAGAGATGGTTGTTCCAAGGTTAACAGGCAGGGAGTGTTTGAAACGCTGGACGGTTGTGCAGGTTCTATGCTCTTGTCTGGGGTGGAGTCCTCATGGTCTTCACGTTTGTGCCTTCATTCCGCCACTTCAGTGAGTCATTGTGTCCCTTCAAAGTGACAAATCAGGATCTGGTGTTCTGCTGCTTGTATTGTCAGAGCATGCAAGCTAGAAAACAAGAAAAATGCAAAGTGCTGATGCTGACTGACTGGTGAATGCTGTTCATGCAGGGGTCATCAATATCATTGCTCTGGTGGGAACTGCATACACAGGTAAAAGCCACATGTCAAGCCTCTCTGAGCATGGTGAAGTGGAAGGAATTTCATAGCCTACACACAATGAGTCAACCTTGTGCGTAGCAGCACACACTAGGTTTCATGCCAGTGCAAGCAGATCTGAGATGTGGTTGTGTGCAGCGTGGTACGTTGTCACCGAGGCAGCTATCAAGGGCGTCACACCTGGCGCAATAGATAGGCAAGCCTCCACTGAAAATTTCTCATCCGGCAAAAATTTGGCAGACGATGTGAACCCAGTTGCTCTCCAGCAAACAACTTCTAAAAGTGAGAAGGATCAGAGACCCGGCGCCCAGCATCGGCATGCATGCATGCAGGGACGCACATGCACACACAATGCATATGTTTCTGATACATCTGAGGCACTTATTGTATGCAATCAGGCCTCACAAGAACGCGCAGGACTTCTTCGTGGGTGCTGCCGTGCTGGGGGAGTTTGGCCACCCTATCGCTCTTGAAATGGCAGGTGCGTGATTCATACCCTGAATAATCTCTATACGGATTCTCTTTGTTGCATCCCCGCTTTTGAGCATCCCCTGGAAACGTATTTCAGCCATTTCCCGGCTCTGCAGATGCCATGCGCAACCAAGGAGCCTTCCAATGGGCATACTTCTTGGGATGGTAAGTGCTCTCAGCCCTTGGAAAACAACAAATTTGCTGAGCTTATGCACAGGAGTTTGTAAGCATGTCTTGCTGTACCACCCTCATCAGATGTCAATTGGATGTAATCTCCTGCAGGTTGTGGACCCTGACACTCATTCTCCCTCACTCCATTGCCGCAAACCTGGCATGGCCGGCTGAAGTTCTGGCTCAAGGTACTCTCGCAATCTCCAGTCACTTCATTGTGCCCCCACCCACACACAGCGGGTCTTTCCCAGGTGTATCACTGAGGGCTGCAGCTGATGGATTGGTGGACGCCACCCCTGACAGCCAGTGCTGCCATGGAGTGCTAAAAGATTCGTATGGCTTGCGCAGACAATATCTACAGCGTGCTGCCATACAGCATCTGGAAGGTCATCTCGGTGTGGCTCATGAACATCCACCAGCTTGTGGCCTTCTCCCTCTATGTCGGTGCGCCATTTCCACCTTTACAAGACCTCAGCAATAGTTGATGGCTGCATTTCGGTCAGTCACATAAATCCTCCCAATGCAGAGCCTATGGTGAGAGTGCGGAACTGCCAAGGATGCATGCATGCGTGCGTGAGGGACTTGAAAAGGTCACTCAAGGAGCTGAGCAGATGTGTCTTGCCTTTGCAGTGCCGCTGCTGTTCATGTGGGAGAAGCTGCTCCGGGTGCACAGCAAGCCCTGGTACATCCGCCTGCCACTGCGCCTGCCAGTCTGTGAGTCCCAGCATCCCTCTTGCTCTCCCAAAACGAAGTACAAAAGTCGATTATCCTCAGTGCACATGCATCCAATACCACAGTGCCACTGGGATTTGCAGGGCGTGCAATCTACATTTCATTCGCTGCGATGATCTGTCATTGAGAATGAATCTGACAGGCTTGAGCTGGTGAAACTGACAAATGTGTATGTGTGTGCAGCCCTGGCTCTCTACCTTATTGGAGTGGCCTTTCCGGTGCGCCCGCTGAGTGCCCTCATGTGACTGCCCATATGTCGCATAGACACCTACACTGTACTTTCTGGGGATCGATTATGTTGCCAAAAATATTGCCGATCAGTTTTGTCCCTCCTGCGCGCAGTTCTATGGGACCATCAATTCGCTGTACAAGGCGTTGGCAGAGCCCCTGACGGCATTTGTCTTCCCCTGCGCCGTCTACAGCTGGGTCTATCGCACCCCCTCTGCCCGTAACGGCGCTGTACTCAAGCCCTGGAAGTACGCTCCTACCCTTGTACAGTCTATCTGTCTTGTCTGAGCACCTGACTACACAGTGCAAACAACCCCACAGCACCATCTCCAAGATCTGCGCTGCAGTTACTATGCAGGCAGGCATGATCTAAGCACCCTGCTCAAATTCCGAAGCACAAGGGACTCTCAAGGTGCTCGTGCATGCAGGTTTCTGCGCAAGGCGAACTGGCTGCTGATCTGGGCCCTGAACATCTCCATTATCATCGTCTGGCTGTTCGGCCAGTTCGGATTTGGTGTCTACTTCTCCTCTCTGAAGCTCCACAACAACATCAGAAGTGAGCTCCCAGACTTTGCATGCTATGTGCAGTGCTTTGCGCTGTTTGGCTGATTACCATAATTCACAGCTTGTTCTGGGCAAATCTGAGTGGGGCATAATATTAGGTGGTTCTCCTTGTATGATGCAGATTGCAAGATGCCAAGATATTTCTGTTCGGGGCGCAGGCTTTGGGGTGTTTGCCGAATGCTACCAATGCAAAGCGCCTGCTCCAAAACTGCATGCACCTGCGCTAGCGCCCCATGCAGGCCACAACTTTACAGCTGGCGCACACCTGGCGCCAGCTTTTGCCCCGTACTCAGTGGCAAGCTCTCCGTTCAGCAGCCCTCTGGGGTGAAAACAGGCAGAAAACTGCCAGGTGCACCACATACAAAGACTTTCTGTATAGGCTATTGCTTACTGTAGTGTCTGCGCAGCATAGCAGAGTGATGACCCCACTTCAGCTCTTCACGACGATGGGATCAGAGCAGCATTTGCTTGTCGGCAGTCTGACTGGCCAGCGCACTGTGCTGCATGCGGTCATGGAGAGGTTATTACGTCTCCTGAAGTGTTGCACTAAAGACAGCACTTCAAAAGGACAACACTTCAAAGTGCTCACGATACAACCGATACAAGTATGTCCGGAAGGGCCTCGAAGTTTAGAAGGTTGGCAACAATCTTTTTTTATCAGGATTTATGAATTTTATATTTTTCAGTTTAATTCTGTTCATCGGGAATTTTTCTTCATTGGTAGGATGGTGCATGGCGGCCATGGTAGCCAGTGCTGATGTTGTATCGTATCAACTTTTTCAAATGTGTCCTGTACAAGATCTGCTGAAACCTTTAGTGTCTGCCTGCGTGGCTGACGATGCGTCTCTAGATCTAATGATATCTCCCCTTCAATATCCCACCATCCAAATGGTAGTTGCCCCTCATGAGGGCGTGAATCCTGTTGCATCGAGTGTGAGGGTGTTGTTTCAAGGCTAGACCATCCACAAGATAGCTTACTTAAGAGTGCTCATGCTTATTGCACCCACAGAAGAGATCAAAAGATACTGCTACGGCCGTCAAAGGAGAACAAGTGCATTCAACTCAGACTTCAGCTCCCATAGGATTAAAACAGTGGGACATTTTTGCTGTACAGCGGCTCCCATACTATGATAGTATCTGGGCCCCAAACCCACAAGAGCTGCAAGTGCTCTCTTTCAAGTACATCAGAAGAGATGAACAAGTCATCTGAAATAGAACCAATTTCTAAGTGCAAATAACGCTCATCTCCTGATTGCCACAAGGGATGTGCGGGATCTCAGGATCATGAAGGTTGACCTGCGCACCAGACGTTTACTTGGTAAAACTGCAGATGCGCAGGATCGTGCTTTACTGCCAAATCAAGCAGTGAGCCTTACCAGAAGAAGGCAACCACATTGACGAAGAGCACGCGCAGGCGCAGCGGCACAAATCTGTAGTTGATGAATGATGCGAGGGGCCACAGCTGCAGCACAGCACAACAGTGTCATCTTCTCAGTCATGCTGCTAGCAACTGACACCGTATACTAGGTAGAGACATGTGCTCCTGGATCAATTGTACTGGGCAGAATAAACAAGGATTGAGATGATGTGTATCCCTCACCCGCCAGCCATTCTTCTGGACTCTGGCAAAGTCGATGAACAGCTTTGCCCTTGTGAAGTCCCAGGACCGACCTGATCCACATTGACACAGCATGTCAGGTGAGTGTACAGTGATGTGTACAGCACCAGCAGGTGCAGTATCCAGATGGCTTGGTCCAAGCCAAGGTGACTGACAAACTCACCTTCAACGATGAACGCAATGTAGGTCATCAGCAGGGCGTTGTTGAGCGGCCCATAGCTTAGCTGATCCAGCAGCACCTTCTTGCACAGCGTTGCTGCATCCCTCTTGCCGCGGAAGATGCGCTCCAGAAAGGCTTGCCAGTAATGGTTGGCTGGCCCACTCCACACCAGCCCAAACACCTGTAGCATTTATTGTACCAAGTTTCCCCGTAGACATAGCGTTCTGCACTTTTACTCTCACTTCTTCTGCACAGGCACATCTTGGTTGCATGAATTCTGCAACGAACGCCAAATGTGAGTGATGGATGCCCACCGCCAGAGCAGCTGTCCTCCGCCAGTTCAGCGGCCCTTTCCATATCATCCTTTGAGCCACGACATCACTGAAGCCAGCTATGACAGAAGAAGTAATCGCCTGCACAGTAGGGTGGCCTTAAGAGGAAGATCAGCAGCAGAAAGAAGAAGCTCAAAAACAATACCTTGGCAGCCAGGTCACCTTTGTTCTCAGCGGATTCCTCTCCAGCTGCCTCAAGTACCTGTGCAATACCTTCACAGTATTATTAAATGCATATGTAAGTTGAGGAGTACGTGATAAGATGATTAACCGACACATTCCGTTTCACCTGTCCCATGCGAGCACCAGAACGCTGGGCCTGTCCTTCCGATCCCGACTGCTGCGGGCAGAAGGGGCAGCTGTCGAGCCCCTGGTGGTCTCTGTTCCTCCCATCTAGCTCGGTTTGCCACACTTTGCGTCTGTGATCGAGTCATGTCGTGAATCGAAACGTTTGCTGAGGTGGCTTATGTGGGCCAGCTCAGCTAGCAAGCAGCTTCCCTCAACGGCTCGAGAGATTGCCCAATTGCGAGAGGTTGATCGTGGTTGAATCCATGTAGATCGAGACAACTATTGTGGATAATTATCATTATATTTTGTAAGCTGCCTAATCTGCAAAAGACCCTTCATCGATCAATTTCATTCTATTGTCTGGCATCGCTGTTGTGTTGTATAATTGAGAATTCCTTACGACATGGGCAACGTGCACATCTTGAATGACAAAACTATATTCAAATGGGGAAATCTATCGAAAGATTGTTCTTGCCATGGATTGGGACGTTGCCGAGCCAGACAGGTTAGATTGATGAAGCGTTGTGCAGTCGTAAGTGACCTTCATTCGAGACGTCCCGTAGAAAGAATGATCGTGGAAGATGATCCGAGATACAGAAGGTCTGTTTGACCCAACATCGATGGGTATTTTCACCTGGCTGTACATGGCCTGCTTGCGCCACTTTCTGAGCCGTGTCTCACTGCTACATGCTGCAGAGTGGATATGTCAGAGATCAACGCCTGGAAGGCAAGGCGCGCGTTTGTAAGAAACATTGCCAGCGGGGAGTCAGGCAAGTCACTCGGATTTTCCCACCTTGCATGCATGCGTGGAAGGTGTCACCCAAGCTCGGTCCCACACTGCACATATCTCCGCAGGAATAATTCTGGCAGAGGCAGCGCTTCAGGTGGCAGCAGAGGACGATGCGATAGTCTCGCACTCGTCGGTGCAGCTGCCTGTCCAGTCCTTTCTGAACCGGATCTCCCGGCTGGCAAACGCCGTGAATACCGCCTACCTCAGACCAATGCCGGCAGGCTCATCCCCAGACGATGCGCTGAAGGTCAGCCATTCATTTTGAATTCCTGTCTTACCACTGGGGTATCTCTTGTTGCTGGACTGGACTATTGGGGCCTTTGTCAATCCAATGGGGAGATATAAGCCTTCACAACAGAAGTTGGCCTGAGGAATGGAGTGATGATCTGAGAGTTGCTTTGACGTGTCTGCAGTTGATACATAGGTTCCTGTTCGAGGAGCAGCGCTTTGGCCTGCCGGCATTTGGCCGCTCCAATATTGCTAGCGGCCAAGTGATGGACAATCCGGGAGTGCATGAGAACGCCAAGTACGCGTACCTGCACGAGCTGCTGGTGAGCAGGAAGGGAACGCCTGCCGTGCTGGCCATCCTGCTGGAGGAGGTCTGCCAGCGGCTGCTGTCCCAGGGCGCCATCGACTTTGCCGTGCGAGTCGACTGCACCTCCCTTGACCGGTCTGGCCCCTCTATTTTCTCAAAGTAAAATCTTCATTTACAGACACGATTCTAAGACTTTAGGCCTGCCCCACATGCATACCCATCAGTGCTGACCCCTTTGGGAGACTTCGAGAGCTTGCTCTTGACGTTCCACCTGCACCTTTGATGCTTGTACCAGCAGCAGGTCTGCAAACGGAAGGGGCCAGAGGGCCATTTGCAGGATGTGTTGCTTGAAGCATGTCTATTGCGTCTTTCAGAACTCATGTGCCAGAAGATTTCTCTTGCTTCAAGCCACGAGTCAGGCAGTGGTTGTATCCCCTTTTCTGGTCATGTTAAGCTTAAAGAAGGACTGCGCGTAGAAAGCCTCAAGCGAACTTGGTTGTTGCTGCATGCATGCAGGCTGCCGCAGGCCGAGGTGATCCCGGGGCTGAATCGGGCGATGGTGACGCGCGCGGACGGCAGCATGCTCAACACGTGCTCATCCGACGTGCTGGTGGAAGTTCTGCGCTTCCTCAAGCGCGCCTACTGGCCCTTCCCCTGGCAGTCCACCCCCGACAACGCCACCGGTGGATTCACCAGCGCCGCCACGGTGCCCTGCTCTCATCCCCCCCATCAAATAGAACTACAATAGAAACAGTTTCTATTCTTACCATTACTGCACTACAAGATCCCAGTCGCTGAGCTGGGAAGGGTGCTGCTGCTCTGTGTGTCTATCGCCGTGGTCTTGAGACCCATAAACTTGCAGGCAGCTAAAGAGCTATGGGTGGGGGTGCAGATTTGGCTGGATGGCGAGGACCGCGCGGAGCTGCAGGCAATTGCCCGGACGGCCAAGCACCGCCTTGAGCGGGGAATTTGGACCAGTCCCGGCGGTGGTGCGGCCCAACACTCTGTAGCCTCACTACTCCAGGAACTACCCGTAGGTGCATTGTAAGTGCAAGATAAGTACTTGTGGAGCAGTCACAGCAATGCAGACTTCATAAAAGTTGCATTAGGTCTTCATGGGCAGCATATAGCAGCGGTCAAGCACCAGCGTGAGATCATATGGCATGGGAAGTTTTGCTATCTCAACTTGATGACAAGGAGCGGGTTGGGCAGGGGATTTGAGGCGCGCATTGGCGGCTGCGGAGCGCCTGTGCATCTTGCTGGGGGATGATGGCCCCTTGGAGCGGCGAGACGTGGCAATACTCTACATGCATGCTGGTGACCTGCCAGCCGCCAGTGCACACCTGGCAGCCTATACATCCACTGGCACTGCAGCAGGTGATACTCCAGCTATCCAGCTCCTTCCACCTCTGCATCTTCTGTACCTGTGCACCTTATGGTTCCATTGCACCTGCTGGTTGCCTGCCATGTGGGCTTTCTCATGTGCCTCTCTAGATGTGACTGTCATGCCAGAGAGTTGCATAGCATGAATCTGAGTACCCTTGTGAGCACAAATGCTCGCAGAGGACCGAATAGTGTGAAGTGTGGGCACAGAGGCACCTCGGGAGGAGAGAGACTTGTTGAGGAGAATCAAGGAATCATTGGATTCTGTTGGAGATCTGCCCAAGGTCCCTGTCCTCAGCGTGGAGTCATCCCTCAGCGAAGGGGAGCCGGTGATCGACACTGAACGGCGCATTTCATTGACTTGGTGAACAGTGTCACCCGGTATTCATGTGTGGTAAGAGAGCGTCTAGTGTGTGGAGTGTTGCGGTTTGGGAGTCAGACAAGAGCATGGAAGAGAGTTTATTGGTATTGCCACGCGCAGTAGTGTGCTTTATTGGCTATTGGAATTGCACACATCCTGTACTAACATTGAGATGGCAGAGGGGAGCCGGCCTTAGCCAAGTGTGAAATTCTCTGTGGACTAGTATGCGCATGGCAATCAATCCTTCATTGCTTGTTACACCCTGTACTTATTATGACGAAAGCAGGTATCCTGGCAAACCAAGATACACCACTTTTCATACTGCGCAGAACAAACTAGTAGCTAACTAGGTTCTTATTGTAAACACTATAAATTGAAGCTTCTTATCATCAATGCAAGAACAATAGAGCAAAAGCACATGTATGACCAGAATGGATTACGAAAATTACTGTCTTGAACACAGGCTTGCTTGGGACCAAACTCGCTTATCTGGGGACAATGTGTCTTAGGCAAAGCAACCTGTTTCTTGGTAGACAGTAGCAAGACGCAATAGATGCAATCAAAACCATGATGGACACACAAAATGGCGGTTGGCCTTGGGCAGATTTGACAGGGCTCGGAACAGTGTCAGCTGATGATGGTACAAGCTTGTTGGGGACACTGCCTTGCGCCCGTAAATACTGTGGGTGTCTCATTTCCTTGCAGAACTATGCAGATCTCGACAGACGATGTATCCGGAACATTTACGTCTTCTTGGGACTGTCATGCTGTGCATGTGCATGCGCGTGGCTCATCTTGATCAGCTCCTCGTGCAGTTCTGCCAGCTCCATCTTCTTCTCCACAAGCTCCTGTAATTGGTAAAACCCAAGCCATATGTCAGAACAGTTGCTTGGCATAGCCAGCAAGACTAGACGTCTGACACTGCTTGCTCGCAGCAGAGGCTTCGTGTGATGCCGTCAGTGATTCCCGCTCATGGCATTACCAGCAGGCACAATCATTGCATGTAATTCTTGAGCACTGCCGGCACTGACATGGGCATCCGTGCCTGCATCAACCTGTCCTTGCTTGCTGTCATGAACGCTGTGCGCAACATCGGCACAATCTTGCCAGGATCGTACCGTCAGCACTCTTGACAATTCAGGAAGTGCCTCCCAACTATAGAGGACCAGAACACAGACTCTTTGTGAGAAATATGCACGCACCTTCATGATGGCATCGTTCTCGGCGCGCAGGGACTCGACCTCGCGCGTGGATGCCTCCGCCAGGCGGCCGATGTGCGAGCGCGGCAGGGGTGAGCCGCCGGCACTGGCGGTGCCGTCGCTGTCATCGCTGTCGCTGGAGTAGGCCATGGAGGAGGATTGCGCGGACGCCAGGCTGCTGAGCTGGCTGCCCGTGAGCTCGCGCTCGGCCGTGGCCACCTCGCCCGCCGTCTGCAGCAGCTGCGCCTCCAGCATGTGCTTCTCCTGCTGCATCGCACCCCTGCGCGAGGCATCCTTTTGCGCGTAAGGACACACGCGGTCCTGCCTCTTGCACTGCCGATCAGTCAGCCATTGCAGAGAACATCCCGAGAAACTCACGACGCAACACAAGTCCTTGTGACCAGCGCAAGCCCTGTGCATCCTTTTGGCTTGTCTGTACCCCATATTTTCTTATCTACAGCATGGTTAAAGCTTCGCGCGTCAAGCAGCAAAAATGCGGCTGAAAGCAGCCATCCTGGGCAGCAGCACTGCGGCGCGCACCGCTTGGCCTCGGAGTCGCGCAGGGCGGCGTCGAGGTGGACACAGGCGTTGCGCATGTCCAGGGACTCCTCTTGCGCCTCGGCCGCCTCTGCCAGCGCGCGGTGAAGGGCATCCTCCAGCTCCGCCATGTGCCGTTGCATCGCTCCTAGCTCGCTGTCGCGCGCCGCCACCGCCACAGCCACCGCGCTCGCAACCGCCTCCGCGCCGCCCTCCTTGCGCAGCAGCTGCGCATTGCACAACTTATTATCATTACAGGTTGGCGAAGCCAGAGCCAGAGGCCATAGGGCATACACGCAGGGCGTCAGTGCGATGTATTGGTAATGCGTCATCAGACCTTTTCCTGTAACATGTGCAGACCGCAAGAGCAACTTGCAGTGCATGCGCACGCTGTTTGCCCGTAAGCAGAGTGTCGGTGAGTTGTGAAAACCCCGCTCATCACGTATGAAAGACAACTTTTTGAAAATATAAATGGTCTTCTGGGTGCAGTATTCCGGCGTCATGGGTCACATTGGATCCACGACCAAGCGACAAAGGGAAGCCCCAGATAAATCAAGTTCCATACGTCGATCTCCCTCTGCAGCTCCACCTCCGTGGCCGCTGAGATGTCCAGCTGCTGCCGCAGTGTCGCGATCTGCGCCTCCAGGCTCCGCTGTGACGTCCAGCTGTTAGTGCGAGCCTGCAACCAGCCCCAAGTTGTCCGTCAAGATTGCACTCATGACCACATACGCATGCGGCCCTGAAATGGGCAGGCAGATGTACTTCAGTGACGTTCATGCCAGCTGCATCCTCACAGAGACACTCGTATGTTGTCACAACTGGCATACACCCACATTGACGCAGGCAATGTACTTCAGGTCTGCGCATGCCACCTGCAATATGCATGAGCTCACAGTAAGTTGAGCATGAGAGTCTTGTCATGCGAGCAGCACCGTCAATAAAGCTAACTTTGCAGTCCTGACTCCAACCACATGCTGCAATGTTTGACACGTGCCAAATTATTGCAAGCACATGTACTTCAGGGACCTCCATGCCAGCTGCATCCTCACAGACATGTGCTGAGCACCAAAATATCACACCCATGCAAATGCCCTCACCCGAGACTGCCGGGAGCCCTGACTGCTGGTCTCCATTTCCAGGGCGGACTCAAAGTGGCCAGAGCTCGTGCGCGTGCCGTCCCAGGCCATGGGCGATGACTGCCCAGATGAGTCACCCCGCAGCTCCTCAACGGTCTTCTGCAGCTCCACGTTCTCCGCCTGTGCCACCCTCAGCTGCTCTGCCAACGACGCACAGCACTGCTCCAGCCACCCATCGCCCTCGTAGCTCGCCAACTTCCGCTCCAGCGGCTGCAGCACAGCAATTCCCACCGTCAGTAATGTCTTGCTGTGAATATTATTGACACTTGTGCACCCTCACATTTGGCTTGTGAGCGCACATTTAGCTAAGGACCCATTACCACTAAGCTGTGACCTCCTGAGCTGCCTTCCTGTGATGATATGCAACATTATACTTGGGTCAAAGATCATAAATATGCTCTTGAAGGATAGCCTTCCCTGAGTCTTCTAAAGGAAAGTGTGAGATTTGACACTGTCACATATTGCAATGAATCAGTCTGCAATGTCTGTGACTCCCTGGCACAATTTTGCTCAAGTCTGGCTCAAGCCGGAAGTACCTGTGATCCCGCAATGTCCTTGAAATGGCTTGATTCTTGAATTGCTGCTTGAAGTTCTGCATTCTGGGCCTTGACTGCGTCCAGCTCCCTGCGCAGCTCCTCTGTCTCCCTGGTGCATAACACAAGATGTCAAGATCTGAAGATGTTTTACACTGGTCAATTCGAGTGAAAAGACCTCCCACCAGGTTCAAGCTTCTCATCACCCAATATATAATTTCTGGGCTCCTTAAATGGCCCTGAGCTGCCTTGATCAAGGCAACAACAGTCCAAAGAACAGCTCAACTGACCTTGCTTGATTGGTTGTCTCTGATTCCCAGTCTTGATCCTCGTTATAGACGTCCCGAGTATGCGGTGCGGTATCATCTGAGAAGTGCCTGCGAGCAAAGGTTCACGGTGGTTTGGTGGACTCAACGGTCATAGCCGGCTGACGAAGGATGTGCGATGGGCACTGTAACAGAGTCAGCCTCTACAGGATGGCCATCAGACGCTCTGATGGCCTCCCAAGATCTCAAAGCAGTGAAGACCTCGGGGATCGAGGCTGAGGAACCAGCTGCAGGCTAGTACGCGCTTCACCTGATCAGGAGCTCGGCATCGTCGTGCCCGTGACGTTGCCAGCCCGGATCTGCGGCCACCACCTGCTCCATCATGAGCTGGGCTTTCAGCTGGGCGACCTCCGCCCTCTTGGCCTCGACCTCCTCCTGCAGGGCCATCGTTCTGGTGTAAGACAGCCCACCAGACGTCAGCAGGCTCGCATTCCGTTTGTGCAGCGTTCCCATGCCGGCCCGGGCTGATCCCTGCGCTCAAAAGCTCCAAGGCATGCCTGGCTGCGCAGCTGCGGCCGAGATCGGGCGTGAGGAAGGCCCGAGAAAACTAGATTTCACGAGGGCTGCGACCCGCATCTACCGCCTTTTCGTGATGACGCATCTGCGGCTGATGTGTCAGCCGTTTACCAGGGTTTGGGGTCGGGACGAAGGGTCAGCATGAACGAGCAGTGAATCATGCCAAGACTAACCGAACCGACATCCCAATAGGCTCACCAAATGTGTCACAGCTTCGCAGCAGCAACGTGGAGAGGGCCGATCGCTTGATGTGCATGGCACGAGAGGGTCCGTAAGTAAGTTTTGATCTGTGCCAGATCGCTCCAACTACCACTTCTTCCTGGGCCTCTATCCAGTCAATTTCGTGACATTGGAGGAACACAATAAGTTGTCATCCTTGCCTGGCTAGGAGTGGTGCTGGAGATGCTGCTCCTCTGCCTCAGCAGGGAGCGCCCAGCTGACCTCAGGATGCCAGCAACTGTCACAGGCGCGTCCTGTGACGCCTGAGCTTCTGCCAGCTGCTCCCTCAGGCTGGCAGCCTCCGCCGCGTACATAGCCAGCGCCCTAGCCGCCTGCTCCGTTGCCGCCTGTGAGCATGAATCACTTCACAGTGAGGATGTTCGCACCAGAGGTGCCACAAGGTAGACTTTAGCATTATCAAGTGCATCAGCATGCAGCGGACTTGTCACACCTGGGCAACCTTCTTGGTGGCATCTTCCATCTCCTGCTCCAGGGCTTCCAGGCGCCTGGTGCCCTCGGCCGCAGCCGCCACTTGGCTGGCCAGCGCAGCCTTGAGCTCGTCCCTCTCACTCCCCAGCAGGACCAATTGGTGCTGCAGCCCGGCAGTGGCCTTCTCCGCCATGTCCAGCGCATCGTCAGCCTCCTGCTGCAGGCTGGCCTGCAAGGATGTGGGACAGATTGGTGGGAAGTTTTCTAGATGTCAACCTTGCTTTGTCATGACATGCATGCATGTGTGCTGTCGCGATTGCAGAGCTGCGCATCACTGTGCTAGGTACCACCGGTGAGCAAAAGGTGATATGACTACGTGGGCATACCAGTCGCGCCTCCCCTTCTGCCTTCTGGGCTTCCAGTGCGGTCCATCGCTCCTCTAGTGTGGCAAGCTCTGCGTTCCAACACGCACAAGGTCCCTTAAGTCTGACAACATTTTGTCCACCTGACTTCGCTGAAAAGATATCACGTGGCACCTATGCACTTTCTTGCAGCAGGTGATTTAAAATATTGTAGGTCAATAGTGAACCTACTTGATTCACGGTCGGTTGGTTCATATGTGTCTGTTGCGATTGATCTGACTGTGTCAGCATCATGCTTGCCTGCGATCACTTGCTGCAAGGCTACCGCGAGCTCCTCCTCGCTTCTGCTCAGCTTCCGTTTAGTTTCCAAATTTTGCTCCTGCACAAAGGAAGCACACGCATTGTTTGGCGAGGACCAATGTGGCAGCAATACTATCTGCTCCTATCACCACAGCACTGGCGAGCAACAGCTTGGAATCCCTTGCGCACCTGGGCCGCAGTCAACTGATGCTCTTGCGCACTGATCAAAGCCTCTGCCCTGCGTAGCTTAGCAGCGAGGTCTGCGTACTGCCCGCTCTGCACTTCCATCTCGGCAACATGCGCATCCAGGACTGCTTGTTTCTCCTCCTGCATGGCCTCCAGCTGGAAATGCGCAGGCACAACATTGAGAGGCATTTTCTCATCCTCAAAATTCATCACACCGCCAACCTTGAAACACCCGTTGATCTCAGCCAGGAGCAGATCTAGACATTTGCTGGATGATCACTTGTGAGTTGTGAGTGGCACCTGGGCCTGTAGCTCTTCAAGTTCAGTCCTTAGGGACTGTTCTGAGGCCACATGGCCTCGCAGAGTGCGGCGCAGGTCTGACGCAGAGGCGTCGAGGCCGGCCATTTCCCTTTGGAGTTCCCCGACAGATGATCTGAAAACCCCACAGGCCTCGTCGCTGGCCTGCAGCTGCCCCTGCAGCTGCAGGTTCTCCTGCTCCAGCGCATGCAGCTCAGCTTCCTGTGAGCGCATGGCAGCCTCCAGTTCCTCCAACTCCCCTTGCAGCTTCCCACATGTCCCCTCAAGACCCTTGTTGGCGCCCGCAGCCTCTAACAGGGCCAGCTTCTCTTCTTGCAGAATCTGGGCCGCACATTCCTGCTCCTCTATCGTGCTTTTCAGCTCACCGATGAAGACCTGTTGCTCCTTGCAATGCTGCTGCAGCTCCTGCTCGTTGTCCGAGCGCTGCTGCGCAAGCTCTGCCATGCCTTGCTGTAGCTGCTGCTCGGCCGCATGCATATGAGCGCTGATCTCTGCATTCTCGGACTCCAAGTCAGCGATCCTGAGCATGGCATCCGGGCAGCGCGGCTCCATCGCATCCACCCTGACTTCCTCGTATGTCAGTTCACGGGCGAGCTCTCCGTCCTGGTCACTGAATCTGGACAGCTCGGACTGCTCAGATGATCTGCCATACTGGTGGATACTCTCGGCCTGCCCAAGCATGGATTTCCTACTGGGGAGCTCGTTTGCCTCAGTGGGAGTGCCCGCTTCATTCCACCAATCCAGCACATTTGGGCTAGCCGGTGTAGGGGCAGATTCCCTGCTGCGCTGGCTGTCCAAGCTCAATTCAAATTTGAGGCCCTTCAGGAGAGCAGATTCCATTGGCCTAGGATCTTCGGTATCCCATGATCCTTCCTTGACCTCTTCCGGATCGAGCCCTGATTCATTACCCTCCTCAGCTGGCCTCTCAATATCCTGCACATCCCAAGCCATAACCCACTGCTATGTTAATTTGTGCTCGCATGGATCCCTAATAGAATTTGGTGAAGGAGCGCACCTGTATCTCATCAGGCGAATGTGTTTGAGCAGCAAGCGTTCGGGTCTTTGTGTCATTGTTGCGGTGAGGGTCCAAAGGCCATGAAGTCAATGCGTCTTCAGCAGCATTGGAGGGTAGATCGTCCAGCGAGATGTATTGTGATTGTTTTCTGACAGCCTGCACCATCATAGCAGAGCTCTGCGATTGATGCAAAGAACTGCTTAGCATTAACACCATGCAAAACTTGAGGTAGACCCCATTTACATAAGGGACGTTCAGGTATTCTTGGAGAGTTCCGACCTTGATGCTGTGGGGAACTTCATCGCCCTCAGTTGTCAGCCCTGAAATCACAGAGTCCTCCCTTTCCATCACAGCGCTCTTTGCATGCGCACTCTCATCAAAATCCAAAACGTGCTCCACCTATACAACAGACAAGCCAGTCTCTTCTGCACATTTCGAGATGTATTGCAAATGACGCCAAATGAGGCGCAACTTTGACAGCAGCACAGTTGTCCAGGTGGCACTTGACAACAGCAGACCATCATACCTCAGAGAGATTGGCAGAAATTCTCAGGTGGAGCTGAGGATACCCATTCTGAGCGCTGCCAAAGCCTGATTTACTGGTGAAAGGCATTGACAGAACGACATCGTGACCGCCTGAGTCCGAGTCAATGTATTGGGCAATGTCCACAACTTTCTTACAGATGGTGATCATATCAGCCCATCCTCCCAGCTCTTCAGCCCCTTGCACCTTGGGGATAATTTCCTGTCCCAACAAAGGAGCCCCTCAGGTGCCCATCAGGTCTTTCAAAAGCCTGCTCGTCACTTGCACCGTATGTAAGCGTAGTAATAGGTGCCTGACCTTTTCCAAGTATTCTCCTGGTGCCTTTGAGTCTCTAAGGAGCTTGGACTCATGGTGCAAAGTCTGGCCAATGTCAGCTTTCCCTGCAAAGGTCATGCAGACGTGAATAGGAACAAGGACAAGCACAAGGATTTGAAGATGGTAGCTAGGCAGGGCAAATGTGCAGAAACAGCTTTTAAGATGTACCTATGTGAACGACGCAGCTGTCCGTGCTGGCCTTGATCCCTTTTCCCACGCTCTTCGCCCAAACCACCCTCACCTGCTTGAGCGATTGTGGAATACTCTGAAGCGTCTTCACCTCGATCTTGACCTGACATCTTGTTGTCGATTTACCGGCGGAGAGGTGATCAAATCGCTTCTGAATACGCTTGAACATCGTGTGCAAACGGAGGGTGAGTCAAAGAAACAATCTTGGACTGGTGATTATTGAGACTTCACCGTGACCTCAATAGTATGAGGAAAGGACCTGCTCGAGCAACATTTAGATTCTGCAATACTCAACCGAAATTTTGCCACAGCGACTGTAACAAAGTCGAGAGGTCATCATTTAATGAGGATCCAAGGATTCACCGATCTCGCGAGGCGGGGCGGAGCACATGCGAAGATTCGCGTGGTCACTCCCTCTCCCAATTTACTCCACTTTGAATATCTCCAATCTATGCTCTCCAGAACAGTATCTAGGATCGAGTAAAGTTTTTGGTGAAGATACATACTAGTGATCGATCGGACTTCATTGCTTGTTTTTAGCACTCACTAGGAAATCCCGCATGCCAAAGAACGGACAAGAATCCAGGGATGAGGTCATCGTATTGCATGCAATCTCGCGAAGATTGCATCACTTATCAATTGTGAATTCTTCATCTGATCAGTGCTGAAGGGCCAAGGATGAGGGTGCCAGCATTGGTCATGGCGGTTGCTACCACAGCATCGAGGCTCGCAGAAGCCTGTGATTACACTTCTTTGGGGCCCTGTCTTCCCTTGGGCTTTCTCTCTTCCGTTTACCGTGCACAAGACTCCAGCGGGAAAGTGACAAGGCTTAGCCTCAAGGTTACTATACCAGGACAGCACGCATCAATCCAACCACCTTACCCAGTCCTTTTCTTCTTTAACGGGTTTCAGGTGACGTATCGTTTCCAGATAACCTCATGGTCCAACAAGCGGTCGAGGATATCATCTCTGGCAATATTGGCAGCAATCTAGTCAGCAGAAGGTCCCACTGGCAATCACATCAATACGGCAATTCTTCTCTGCTGCAGGCCAGGATGTCGTTCTATCAGGCCTATGCCGAGCATTTGGCCTCCTATGGCTTCATCTTAGTACAATACAATGGGCCTGCATTGTGCATAGTGCCAGACAAGTATGAGGTGCGGCGCACTTGGGGTTTTTAAAAATGTTATTATTACATTTTAGAGACCTTTTGGGAGCCACCTGAGGCTCATTGGTCTAAAATGCCAGATGTCCTGTCTATGTATACTTACGGCAAGCTGTCTGACAGATGGATTTCTTCGATGGCATCCTGAGCTGGCTTGCCTCTGAGAACCAATCCAAAGATTCGAAGCTGCACAGCCTCTTGGACTTTGATCGCATCGCAGTTGCAGGCCACAGCCGCGGCGCCAAGCTCGCATGTCTGCATTTTGCCAGTGAGTCTCACTCTATTCAATTCACTCTTGCCCTGACGCATTGCAGTTTCTGACGCCAAAGATCAGCAATTTCATGTGTCTTTGATTATTCTTTGGCGTGCAGTGGCGCACCTTGCCGCTCGAGCAGCGTGAAATTTGAAGTAAATGACTGTGTGTTCAGCGCAGATCGCGCTCAGGTGAAAGCAGCATACCTGATTGACCCTGTAGACAACACCACCTTCACACCTGAGAGTGCCGAATATCCGAGTGCTGTCAGAGCTCTGCGCCAATCTGGCAAGCCAGTGGGCATCACAGGCGCAGGCATTGTCGGGAAGTGTAATCCCAATGGAAGCAACTATGAGGTGACAGACCCTGAAGTACTGGTAAAGAAATTTACTTTTGTACGTATATAACAAGTTGGCGTCTGGTGCTGGATGCATCATAGGTGTCATCTGTCTGTGGTTCCACAGGAGTTCAATGGAGCGGCACCCGCAAAGTCTTGGCTCACCTTGGTGGCCCAGTCAAGCCACACGGAGTTCCTCAACGCCGGCTTCATCTTGAACAGGGCTTTTGCGCTCCTTTGCGGCAACAGAGGCAGCAACTCATTCCAGGTGAGAACGAGGCCGCACTGCACAGCCAAAAAGGACCTTTGTTGTGCATAACGGCATCAAATTTGTGCTAGCTTAGTATCAGTAGGAGGCCTGAATGATGGCAGGAGACATTGCGGCTGACGGCGCCTCCAATGCTGGCGTGGATGGATTCACAGCTCAGGGGCGACAACCCCGCTGCAAAAGAGCGCTTGATGTCATTTTACAGGTTCATGGATGCTGAAGAAGCTGCAGGCACTGTCAGGTTCAATATCAAACCAGGTGGGACACTGACACTCTGTTGTGCTCACACTGTGCAACATGTTTCACTATCCAGCATTGAGCGACAGGTCACATCCTTTCTTTCTGAAACTGTCCATCTTCTGTATGGGAAAAAGAATCAAGTGCATGCGATTGCAGGTGCAACTCGGGGCACAGAAGAGCATTCTGATGTTGCAAGTCATCTCATCGGCTCTCTCTCATCAGAGACAAGCCTCACAAGTGCATTGTGAAGTTGCCCGTCACGAGGCAACCTCAATTCCAGACAGAATTCAAATGGGATAAGGAAGTTTAAAAATGGGGAACTGGAACTTTTGTTACCACTTTCATTGACAGAATGGGCACCAAAAATAGAGAGGTGGCTGGGATTCCTGTAGAGACCTGGAAGTGCGTGTAAATTCTGCACAATTTTGGTAGGAAGAAAACAAGCTGATTCAATCAAAAGCTAAGTTGGTGTCCGTACGGGACGGTTTTGTTGAAGACGTCTGCAGAATAGTCACAGGATGCATGGAAAATGCTTGCATCCGTTGTCCCTTAGAAACTTTCGGAATTTTGAGCGACTCGACAAAGCATTATCTTGAGTGTTGACCATGCATTGATCAAGAGGCCCTGCCAAATGTCAATCGTATGCCCTTACAAGTTGTTGAGTCAAATACAAGTTTTGGACAGTCCTAGCAGGTAGGATTCTGTTAAAAATCCATAGGCAAACACCGCCTGCCGCATATGTAATGTGCAGGACATGTGTCCCCCTTTTGGTGGGGCCAGCAGCTTGATTACAGCATTCTTTTCTAGCATAGCTCTCTAATCCCGGGACAGGGAATCCTTTGGAGTCTCGAATCTTGTGGGCGTGCCCAAATTGTTCAGCATGCAGGATCCTGTGATGAGGGCCGTGATCAAAGTGATTGCCAGGATGACAGCTTCCAACAGCTTGACCTGCGCAGAATAATGATGCAAATGTGAGAATACACGGGTGGGAACACAATTGGTTGAGCTCGTCAACAATTTGGACATATGTACAGTGCAAGCCGGTGAGTAGAGACAAGAACAGCAAACAAGCGTGTAATTAACAATTTGCCCCAGTCCTACCTGTGTCTCGCACTTCGCATCGCAAGTGTAAGTCTTCGCAGGTGCTCTGTGCAACTGCCGCTGGGAAAGGAGATGGCGAGCAGGTGATGACGCCTGCAACGGCAGACAATCAGTCTGTAAATGCGTCGTCCAATTCAGTTGGCCTATGTGCTTCCATCACCATGCATCCAACAAGCAAGTAGTATCTCATGATGCCCAATGTCTCTCGAGTTTCCAGCTCCAAGAGATACAGCATTACCTCAGGATTCCTGGCAGGATCTGAGATGTAAGCCATGACATGCCTCCTGTCACCCTTAGCGACAACAGCCTGAATCTGCTGCAGCAGATCCATCTCTTCCTGCAGGCCGGCCTCGCTAGGGCAGACCACAACCACCTGCACCATGCACCCAGCACTGAGCCAAGTCTGTCGTGACTGAAGCAGCATGACAACCTGCATGCGGGTAGGGTTGAAGGAGCTACTGCAGGATTCACCTGTGTCCCATCTGAAGCACTCGACAGCAGCGACTGCACAGCTGATGCTGACGCCTCAGAAGTGGAGTCCTCGTTCCCAGTGCATGCGCCCAGCAGATGCACCGCGGCAGGCTTGCTCTGAGATTGTAAGTGCTGGGTGATCAGCTCGCTGACAGTCCCAGGCCCCTGCACATTCAAGACCAGGTCTGTCGTTGCCTGCACTGTCCCTTCAATGCCTTCTGCAATAAACACTCATCACCGCAAGCCTTTGCAGGATTCGGGGCTTACGAGTACCAGCAAAAAAGGGAAGAAAGATGTACCTTGTGGAATACGTTGGGCAGAGACAGCGAGAAAGCAGCATTCTCCACAGCGCTCTGCAAAGGCCCGAGCGCTGCAGCAAGCGACGGCTCAGCCAGCGACTTTGAGTGTACCTGGAAGACAAGCATCGTGCATCATTGCCAGATCAGACTCTCAAGTAGAAGGCCGTACTCATGTAATTCACGCATCAGGAGTGACCAAGACCCCAAAATATGTTTGGTACAGTAAGATCCATCCATCTGCGCAATCACCTGGTTGCCAATGTACAAGAGCACCGTCTCAGGCGCTCTCAGCCTGATACTGTCTGCATTCAGTAAGTGCTGTGCAGCTGAGTGAACACCATCTTTTCTGAAGAGGCTGCTTAGCAGAGTCTCTGCCAATGACGCAGTCGATGCCGTCTGCATAGCATAGGCGAGGTGTCAGTACCGATCATGGCAAGCACCTCAAGTGCACGTTATAGGAATCGCAGCTCAACTTATACAATCAGCGTGCACAGATATCACTGTGCATGAGGATCGCAATTCGCATAATAAGATAGATGAGTTGAATCATCGTCTCAACAAATACACAAATTTGCTGCCACACAGTACGGCATGAACAAAGAAGCAACTCCCACTAGGGTTCCCTCAGATTACTCCTTGGATGTCTCTGCTAGTCGCACCTCGTATGACACTCTTGCCTTTTGTCCCTCCGATCCCGTTTCTATGTAACTCTCAGGTGACCAAACAATTGTTGGCGTCCTTTGAACGACTTCTGAAAACTCTTGTCCCTGGGTCAACCTAACACTGCACAGAACCACGCAACAGGCCAGCAACGCGTTAATTGCCCAACTCCTGGAACAATCCATACTGCTCAACCATGCAGCCCTTCACGGAGGCTGAGTATATCTTGCCCTGCGATGTTGGGCAAGACCAGACTCATGAAAGGAATTGCCTGCAGGTTGCCTGTTCTGGCATCTCAGCCTTAGGGGAACTTTTGAGGACTCCATGCGGTCGTCAATCCCAAATGCAGCATCTTGGACGCTGTTTACCTGGACCATTCCTGTCCCAAACAGTGTATCATCAACATTTAGGATATTCTGGAAGGATATTGCCGCAGACAGCTCCATATCGAGCGTTCTTCTGGTCTTTTGCTCAACGAGAGATGCCGCCCAGAAAGAAGAGAGCTTCTGTGGCTGAGGCTGACGATGCCGATGATGCGTATGATCCCCAAAAGAAGAACAAAGCAGGGAGTGATGATGGGGATGATCAGAAACCGAAAAAGAAGCCACGGGCCAAGAAGGAGAAGGAACCTGAAGAAGTCCATACAGCGCTCGAGGGACCTGCCTGGACAGTGGTGCCCCCATCCCTGTTGTACAGGTGCTCTACAAAACCATTTGTACGGATTTCGTTGCAACATCCAAAGCAATGCACCACAGAATTTTCATATCTCAGCGGATCAGTGGTGATCACATCGGAATCAACAACAAGAAACAGCGAAATTGATTGTCATCCCGATGCATGCCACGCAGGGAAGGTGGACCAAAATCAGGAGAGAAGATAGCTGCATTTGATCTGGTGCGGCATCCGCATGTTTGTCAGCAAGCCATGCACTCCGGTATGTTCAATAATTTGGAGCTTTAGATGACATTTATTGCCGTGGATGCGGACAGGATGGAACGCTTGTGCTCACCAAGAGCAATCAGCCCTATGTGACATCTCCAGATGACTTCAAACTCTTCAACAAGGAAGTGCCCAAAGTCCTGAATGAGTATGCCGAGAAGGGTTACAAGATCGTCGTCTTCAGGTGTGACATCTTCTTCTGATGCTCCCTTATCCACATCGTTTTGCCAAACAACGTCTTACAATTGACGATCTGCGATGCAGCAACCAGGCAGGCATCGGAAAGTCCTTGGACGGAAAAATGTCTGTGAAGTTGAGGCAGAGGGCAGAGAACATCCTTACAAAGGTGATTAAGATCCTCCCTTCCACTCTCTTGCGTGCTCAGCTTCTCTCTATCTATGATCTTCTTCAGATCATTTTTTGAACTTATTTGCTGTGCATGCAGCTGGATGTGGAAGCGACAGTGCTGTACGCAGCTGGCAAGGAGGACAGCTTCAGGAAGCCTGGAACTGGCATGTGGGAGTACTTTGTGGAGCATCTGAATGGCGGCGTGTCTCCTGGTAAAGCCGACACCCTGCATGTCCCTGTGGCCCTGCACACATGAGGATGGCAGGCATGCTGTGGTCTCGTCACATGGAAGTCAATGAAGGGTGCCTGTGATTGCAGACAAGGCGCAGAGCTTCTTTGTGGGAGATATGGCTGGCAGGTCAATTGACATACAGGAGTCAGACAGTGACAAGTGAGCTGCAGAGTTCCTTTGCTCTGTCTTGCCATCTGCCTACATTGTTACTGCTTGCAATCCCAGCTCAGCTCACGAGAACCGCTGACACGCTGCCTTTTATGCACTCAGGAAATTTGCAGAGGGCGTTGGCATTGGTTTTAAGACGCCAGAAGAGTGCTTTGGGTAGGGTTCTGCTGGTCTGTTAAGGCCGCAGATATCAATATTCCGTCTGCTTTCTCCTGTTGAGCCAGAGGGAGCTGGCAGGAATGTGAGTCTGTTTGCCATCAAGTGGGACCTGGGTGCAGGGAGGGAGCAGCTAAGAAGCAAGCAGCCCTTCCAAAGGCTGGTCAGGAGGGTGAGAACCATAATGCGGAGCTCTCGGCTGCATTCGAGCAGCTGGCTGACCACTTCACAAAGCGCGGTGCGCCCCGCGCTTTGCTCCATTAAATGCCCTCATCAAAATTGTTTGTTCACCTTGCCACCTCAGTAGGAAGAGGCAACGGATCGCTCGCCTTGCACCTGTGATGAATGGAGGTGTGTCTATCGAATCATGATGCATGTGCTTCTTGCAAAGTTGAATACACCCTCATTGATGGCTGCACCTGTTTCTAGATTGTGTCACCATATGATTGCAGGAGAAGGGTTCAAGGCGCGTGCTCTGGACAAGTCAGGGAAGATAATTGCTGCGCACTCATCTAAAGTCACCTCCAGCAAAGATCTGAAAGGCACAGCTGGAATCGGCAAGGGCAGCATGGGCTATGTATGCCTCTCCACCCTCTCGAGAAAGTCTTTCTAATGGTGTACAATCCTTCCTTGTCGTGCTCTTTGCCATTAAGATGCAATGCAGGCTTCGCCTAGCCCTCTTACCCTTGGGATAAACAACGAATGCCCATCAGTGGCTGGCACTGTGCCCAATCCGCAAGAGAGTGAAGGCAGCAAAGCTAGCTTTTATAAACTGTTCTGCTTGTCATACCTGGTGTGCACAAATGCAGATTGATGAGTTCCTAGAAACTGGCACCATCGCCGCGCTGGATGAGGCGGGCGGATTCCAGAACCCAGCAGCCAAGGGCGATGCAAAGCCCAGCGAAGAGCAGACGATGGCGTTGAAGTTCCTGTGAGGATGTCGATGTGCCATTCTGACTTGCAGCTGTCCAAGGGACTGCAAGAATACGAGAAGAACAGCATATGAAGCTCTTGGGATGGAAGTCTGAATGATGGAGCTGAGTACAGCGCAAATTTAGGAGGGTCGATGGCCTTCAATCCATGGAGAAGCAGCCAACTCAATGAACAAGAATAGAACAATAAAGATACTGAACATGTCTGCATTCCGCATGAGTGTAAAGGTTGATTTGGGAGACACAGGAGCGGGCAATACAGAGTTTGGTGAAGTTTTTATGCATGTGCAACAAAATCCAGATTGTGAGCTCGAGTGCACAATTATTGACATCATTTAAAGACAATGCCGGAACCTGCTACACTGAAATGTCTAGATTAGCTCCAGCTTCTATTACTGCAGCGTGACCCAATCTATGCTGAAATACTAGGATGTGCCACGCAAAAATGATCTCTCAGCAACTCTGTATATGGTACAAAAAATCACATGGGGTGCCCGCCGTGCCAATATGGCACGATACACTCCCAAAGAATTTGGACTTCACAACAACCCACTCTCGCAGATCACATTGCTAAAAATTGCTCTCTCCTCATCACATGGCACACTTCAGACCACAGTTCTTCAGTTTGTGGGCAGGATTTTTTGGGCTTGAGCTGCGAGCTGGGCTTCCTCGACCGAGGCTCGAGTGAGGACTCCAATGATGGACCCTCCATCATCCAGCACCATGGCCACAGACTCCCCAGCCTCATCCATCACCTGAGAGCACCACTTCAAACCTTAATGTCCGTCACATCCCTGCCAGAATCAGAGCATTTACTCAAGCTCAATGCCCTAATTGTCGACCCAAGTGAAAGCTGGGTCTTAATGCAATGTTGGCTCGATCATTCAGCGGGACAAATAAGACAGAGAGAGAGGTGATAAAGTCATTCATATCAGGGCATACGCTGTGTCAAGAGCTTCTTGACAAGGATAAGGCAGGCAAGCGCCAGGAAAATACCTGCAGGGCCTCGCTGAGGGAGGTGTCTGGTGTCAGCATGACGCACGCCTGGCGCAGCGCGCACAGCACTGTCAGATCGTCAACCTGCCGGTCCTTGGGCCGTATCGGCAGGCTGCCCACCAGCCCAATCCCCGTATCTACCTCCCTCAATTTCCCACCAGCGCCACCGCTGTTTACACCCGCACCCTGCACAGCTCTGCCATTTGTGCCGCTCAGCACCGAGGCGCCAGAGAACGACACGGAGGTGCCGCCGCCCCTGCCGAGAGAGCTGATCCTGCCAGTATGCCCGGCCTCATCCTCTGCTGCGCTCGCCTGCGGCACTGGCTTGGCTTTCACCTCCACAACACCACCCCTTTCACGAGAGTCATCCTGTGCTCTGCCCAGCTGCCGCTGCGCACTCTCCAAGACCTGCGGCACGCTGTCAGCTGGGAGAGAGGACAGCGCATCGCTGACGGCTGCCGAGACATCGTCGCTCATGGCAGTGCGGGACTGCGCTGAGGTCGACAAGGGGGAGGCCATGTCAGAGGGCCACAGGCGGAAGACTGGGGACAGGGGCTGCAGCAGGGAGGCCACAGGGAAAGAGGCGACCCAGTAGGAGATGCCCACAGACGCCAGCGTGGGAATGATGATGAAGTAGTCATGCGTTAGCTCAAACAACAGCAGCACCGCCGTCAGAGGCACCTGTTACCCGCACGCAGACCATTGTGCTCACTTTTGGAGCGATCCGTCAAGTCTAAACTGCCAAATGGTACCAAACGGATGTGAAAGAAGGGTAGTAGTTGGAGGCATAGGATTGTTGGGATTGAGAATTGGACTTAGCATCCTCACATGCAAGAAGAAATATCACATGCATGAAGATGAAAGATAGAGTGAGGGAGGGGCCAGCGCACCTGGCACAGGGCTGCGAGCATGCCAGCGACGCCGACCAGGGCATAGGCCTGGGGAGCAGTGACTGTCAGGCCCAGCGGCGTTCCCACCACTGCTGCAATGCCCCCAAAGGCCGACCCCAGGGCAGCACCTGCCCAGGTAATTTACACAATGAACACCCTCCCGGAAATCCCCAAGTGACGCTTTTGCCGGGCAGAAGCAGATTGTATGTGAACTGAGCCCTCAGAGAAGAGCTGGATGGTCAGAGGAGCTGGTAGCAGTAAGGTGTGGTGTGACTTTGCTGATCTGTGCTCACCCATGAAGATGGATGGGGCATAGACGCCCCCGACAAGGCCAGAGCGCTGGCACACAGAGGTGGTCACTATTTTGGCGGCCACGATCTGCAGCAGCAGCAGCGGCGCGTAATCGCCGCCGCGAGCCTCCAGTATCGCATTCACATTTCCAAACCCCTGGTACAGCACCTCAGGATACGCTAGCGCCACCACACCTGCCAGAGAATCACCCACGAATCAGCCACTCAGATTTCAGCCTGACATGAGAAGAACCTAACGCCGCAACAGTATCTACGTGTCTGGCTCAGCCATGCGCACCATGCACTGCCAAGATCTGGGTAAGAGGGAGTACAGACAAACTCACCTGTGGCCAAGCCGCCCAGAGCAGGCCACAGCATGTGCTGTGCCTGCTTGCCAATGACCCCCGAGGATGCATCCTCCATCCGCTTGAATGCTCTGTCGCTGACCTGCGCACAACAAGCTGAATTGAGGCAATAGTATGGACGCATGGGAAGTCCGCTGCTGCATTTTGAAGACTCTTGGATGCACCACTTTGGGGAATGGATACATGGGAATAGTGACCTGGCTGGAGGCCTTGAAGGTCGCGGATGCCAGGCCGCAGAGGGCGCCCAGGACAAGCACGAGTGGCAGCTCAAACATGCTCTGCAGCTCGTACTCCGGCACCCTGAACGCTGGCGATGCGCCCAAGCCCGCCTAAGCACATCAAACCAATCACTGTATATGCCATTTATCTTCTTTTCCCGGCTGCAACAAGGTAGCACTCACTAACACCCTCAAGCAATGGATCATAATGACCCAAGGGCAATAAAGGAACGTCTTCTTCCCCCGCCCATCCTCCCGCCTTCCTCCTCATCCCGCCAAATTGTTCTTTTAGAAAGATGCTGCAGGGAGGGGACAGACCTGGGACACCACAGCGGCCACCACGCTGGCAAGCAGGACCATAGCAACAGTGAGGGCAGATGAAAAACTGGCGCCAGAGCTGTCGGCAGACATGGCCCTGCCGGCTTCGTCCTTTACCATCCCCGGCCGCTGCAGCACTGACTCCACCGCGAAGAAGACCCCCGATATGGGCGCATTGAAGCCCGCCGCCACGCCTGCCCGCATATCAGGAGGGCTCTTCAGGATCAAATATTTCAGAACCCCAGCTGTAGATCTCCCAGCTTTCCAGAATATATAGTAGAAGTCCGTAAATCATGGCCAAATTGATTTGAGACTTTTAAAATGACCAGAGGCCCAACATTCCACTTCTCGGCACATCAGGAAATCACAATGTCCGTGCAGCGGGTGCAACCATGAAGCAATTTGACGTACATTGACAATGCAGACCAGTGAGAGATAGAAAGGTGGCTGTGCACCTGCGCCGGAGCCGGCGGCAATGAGTGGCAGAAGGAGGCGGCGCTTGGAGCGCAGGAGGGAGCCGAGCGCCTGCGCAGAAGAGCGACCAATGTCCACAGAGGGCCCCTCAGGGCCCAGAGAGGCACCGCTGCCCAGCGTTATGGCCGCTGCCAGTGCGCGCAGCACCGGCGCTGCCACCATTCTCAGCTTCACCTGTCAAAGAAGCACCATTGCAATGTTTCTCTTCTGCCCGGTTGTAGGCGCCTGTAGCCAAGTTTTCCATGGCAAGAGGAATGCACAGAAAGATGTATTGCTTGCCAGACGAAGGGTCTACATTGTTCAAGAAGAGGCACAGTTGTGCACAGGTATGGTACAAAGTTCTGATGGGCAGCGAGGTATGTAAGTGCACCTTGCCCTGCAGCTGCCATGAGGAAGGGAGTAGCCTCCTCCGCCATGAGCTGGCAAAGCCTGCAGGTGAGTCTGCATCAACAGAGGCACCAGCATGCTGTACTGATGCATCTCTGCCAGAGGTTGATGCTGCAGCTGTTTGGTCCCTCAGAACAGCTTGGCTTCCCTGCATGCAGAGCACTCCACTTCACACAACATGGCACAAGCTCTTGGCAAGACATGGTTCCAGATATTTTTGTGCAGAACTCTTGGACCACCATTTAGCAATTGGTGTACTTGCCTGAGATGGGACGGCAGCCACACTGCCATTCTGAGGCACTGCATTGCCTGCACTTCCCTGCTGCCCCTTTCCCCTTGAGGCTGTTGGGTCATCAAAATTTGTCAACGCCCGCAGGGACCCCACTACAATGCCTCCCACCACTGGTGGTGCAACCAACACGGGCACTGCAGAGGAGAAGGGAAGCTGCCTTGCCCACCGTCCCCAATGTGTGGCCTCTACCGGAGTTTCCTGCACACCATGCTCGCCCAAGGTCAGCTGGCAATCCAGGGGCCAATGACTCATCGGCACCAGAGTGCAGAACCATGAAAAGGAGGAAGGGGACATCACCTGCCATGCATAGTGTCGGATTGTGTGGATCACATTGTTGAACAAAACAACTCCACCGCCCGTTGCCAGGCCGATGGCACATGCTACAAGCAGCACTGCTGCCTCTGGCTCGTCATCAATAGTCTCCTCCCTCCCATATTTGTCCCCAGCTGCAGCATATGCCAGTGAGCCCAGAAAAGCTACATCTTTCTCCTGGCGAAGCGAGGATTTTTCCAGTACTTTCTTCACAGCCTTACCTGCAGCAATAGATAGTCTCCTGCACCGTGAGGCAGGGGCGGCATGGAACTTGGCACAAGATGTTCTACGCCTTCGCAAATTCAGAGTGGTTTTTCCCCAACCACATGCTGCTGAGCTGCTGTTCGGTACCTGTAAGGCAATGACGTATTAGTGCAGAACTTCAGTACGTCCATCACGCTGATGTGATAGTCAAATGCAGACAGTCCAAGGCATTTGATAACATCATCGTAGCTTTGTGACAACGAATTGCACGTTCTTTAGCACATCTTAAAGCTCAGCAACCTGCAACGAGCTCTTGTGACGGTGGATGTGCTGGAAGCCGGCACTTATTGATTCAATACTCATACTAGGAGCAGTATAGCTACCCACATACAGATGATCACACTGCTGGAGACAGAGGAGGACTGCTCATGGTCCCATGGTTCACCAATGTTTAGTATCAAGCAAGAAGCAGTCCAAAATCGCTACAATGTCAAATGTAAACTATGCCAGTATCTGTACCCCAACATGATCCAAGCAGCGTTTAATGTTGCTTCTGCTCTGCATGCAAAGCTTTGACGTGGAGCGGCTTAAGATCGTTGCTGAGTCATGCTCACGTGGTTTGACTTGCTGTGTGAGATCGCATGAATCCTGCAGGGACTACTGAAGTCAGATGATCAGAAGATATTGAATAGTATTGTCTTCATTTGTCACACCCAGCAGCTCTCTTCTGAACCACTTTGGTTTTGGCATGCTGATGGGATTCGCTGATGCGAATGACTCGTGAGAGACAGGAAGCTGATTTTCCACGATCAGATGGCGGAGGAGCCTGTTCTTGCAAAACGAAGAGGCAGTAGAAGCGTGGAGATTCCTCACAGCGACGACAGTCAGCCTCCTAATTTAGGTGATACTGAAGAAGAGCCAAGGCTTAAATACCAGAGACTAGGGTGTGACGTAGCTGAGTTGCTAGGCAGTAATGCAGCAACATGTCTGTGTGTCTCGGACAAGATCCTGGCGTTGGGCACTCACAATGGCACAGTGCACGTACTGGACTACATCGGCAACGAGGTGTGCAGAGAAGCTATCAATTCTCTCCCATTCTCCATTTGCCTGCCAAAATGCTTATTGTCATTTTCTGATTTTTTTTTGCATGGCGCATGACATGGGATCTGACATGTTCCTGCTCTGGACTGTACTCAAGGTGAAGCGCATCGAGGCGCACAAGGGGCCTGTCAACGAGATATGCTTTGATGAGGCGGTGGAATACATTGCCAGCTGCTCTGATGATGGCTCTGTTGTGGTGCGCATTTCCTGAAAATGTCTATGCATGATCAGAGTCTGTGAATTCTTCCTTACACTCTCTGTACCGCTGGCAATTCAACATGCTTCTGAATGCAGATCCAAGGCTTTTACACAGAGGAGATCACAACGGTCAAGTATAAACGGCCCATCAAGGTATGGATATGGCCCAAGGGCGCCATTGAGCAGTTTTTTTGTCCGCTCTTATTATAAAAACCATGATGTTGTGCTGGCAGAGCGTGGCGTTGGATCCGCGGTATGGCTCAAGGAAGACCCGGGAGTTTGTCACAGGCGGACTAGCAGGGCAGCTCTTACTGGTCTCCAAGGCAAGCACCCATGCAGCACTCTGCTAATCCCTATAATGACGTTGGCCTTCCTAGGGGATGCATCGACGCCGTCTGCCCTTGTCAATGCCACAGGGCTGGCTGGGCAACAAAGACACCATCCTGCACTCCGGCGAGGGCCCGATCCAAGAAATCAAGTGGAGCGGCACTTTGATCTCGTGGGCTAACGACCTGGGCGTGAAAGTGTATGACACCACAATCCATCAGCGCATTGCTTACATCGAGCGTCCTCGCTCGAGGTGAGCCCCTTTGATCGGACACTGCCCTTCATGTGCAACGGGGGCTGCATCTTTACGCTAAACAGAAGGCCGGAGCGTTATTTTGATTAGCAAAGCCAAGAGGCATGCTACCCTTCTTGTCCCTTGAGCAGGGAGTGCTCAACAATGTGGGTGTGGCTGCAGCTTGAAGCATGAAAAGCTGCAGTGCCACATGTTCTGGGAGGGAGAGTCCCTGCTGCACATTGGGTGGGCCGACTGCGTCAAGGTGGCACGCGTCCGCCCAGCCACTGCAGTCTCCGGCGCACAGACAGACTCGAAGCGCTCCCTCCAGATTGTCGCTTCATTCCAGATGGACTACCTCATTGCAGTGTGGTCCCTTGCTCTGCACGCTGGTTGTCTGGATCTCCTGACAGCCTTCGCTGATGTGTCCCTTTCTGTGGGGTTGACTGGGGTCCCTGGGTAACTAAAAGGATGTATTACAGGGGATTGCGCCGTTTGGAGAGGACATCTGCTTGCTAGCCTGCGCATTGGCCAAGCAAGGCGACGGCGCAGAGCAAGTGGAGGCAGGCACAACAGGGGACATGACTGCAGTAGTCCCAGCAGAGGCTCCCAGACCAGAGGTGTTTCTCGCATTGTATACTGCACTTTGCCCTGCTCTACTTCACCATACCTGTAATGAGTTCTTCCACCTGGATACAGGATATTCTCCTGAGGGCCGCCACAAGCTCGCTGCTCAGGCCAGGCCTTTCTTTTACATCCCTGCTGTGCATGCTGTAAGTGGTGCCCATCCTTGGGATTTATGCAGGGCAAAAGCGCAATACAAATGGGTCCTAAGCTCGGGGTGTGTTTGTGGCTGCGTGCAGCTAAAGATAGTGACGTGGCAGAACGAGGAGGTGGCATCGGACGCGCTGTCCGTCCACGGCTATGAGCACTATGAGGCGACCGACTACGCGCTGGCTGCCTGGTACCCGAGGCGGCCGCGCGCGCACGGCGCCCCCGAGGACGCAGCCGGCACCAGCGGGCGATCCACGGACTTCACCAAGTGGTGGGCCGACGGGGACGAGCCCCTCTACTACATCATCTCCTCCAAGGTGCCCAGCCTGTCCTGGATGAGGCTGCTGTCCCCTGCGCTTGTCTTCTTGAATGCTCTCTAGATGCATGCCAATCAACGTTGCATTTGTCCACGTGCAATCTCTGTTTCCGAGGAGCGGATGCCGTGTGTGAGCATGGTGAGGAACCCCTCAGGCTATGTTTTGCAGATGTTATAAAGCAGTGTTCTGCGGCATGCGCTTGTTGACTTGCTGCTCTCATATTTGCAATGATGGCCTAGGATGTGGTGGTGGGGCGGCCGAGGGATGGGGACGACAGGGTGGCCTGGCTGCTAGACCACAAGCACTTTGACAAGGCGCTCGCTGTGCTTGAGACGGACCGAGGGCTCAAGGCATCCACCCATGAGCAGGTGGGGCCCATCCTGTGCAATGCATATATCGCAGATTTGCCGGCTGGTGCCTGACAAGTTCTAACGAACCTGGATATCTCCAGATGACGATGACGAGCAACGACTTCTACTGCCATGCAGGTGACGCAGCGTTATCTGGAGTATCTGGTCTCGCAGCGGCGCTTTGACGAGGCCGCCCAAGTCTGTGCCAGGCTTCTCAAGGTACCAGCACATTGACCCGCTCTGCCTGTCCGTGTCTGTTCAACTGGCAGCGTTTGCTTGTACCTCAAGATTCTGCTCGTCTCATTCTTATCCATGTGTACTCTGAGCGGTTGATGTTGCTTGCAGGACAATGCAGCGGGGTGGGAGCGGTGGGTGTACGTTTTTGCGCAGCTACGGCAGCTGCCGGCGCTGGCGCCGTACATCCCCACAAAGGAGCCGCGGCTGCGGCAGACGGCGTACGAGATGGTGCTGCACTCCTTCCTGCTGGCCCCTGCGGACCACCCGCGGCTTCTGGATGCTCTGCTCAAGTGGCCCCCCGACCTCTACTCCATCCCCTCCCTCACCCAGTCCGTCATCAACAGGTCAGGCCCGCACTCACCTGCTCCCTCAAACCCCTGGACTGTTTGGACAGTTGCTCCAACTCATCTTCCCTCTCTTCCTCATACTCCTGGACTGTTCAAAACGATTATGCCTGGACTAGGGGAGCCATGGAACTGCATGTACGCCGAATTCGAGAGGAAGCACCGTTGAATTTGGATTTTGGGATGCAGCCCTCTCAGTCTTCCACATTGGTGCATTAGAAAAGATTCGATCAGTGTGCGCAATCAGGTTCCTAGAAGCCCTTGCAAAGAGCGAATTCTCTGCATTGGTGGATGGGAGTAAAGTCTTGACATGGAGTGCAGGGCACGGGGCCCAGGCGGCGACAGCAAGGCGCTGCTGCAGTCGGCGGCGCACCTGTACCAGCTGCAGGGCCGCTTTGACCTGGCGCTCGCCATCCTGCTGCGCCTGCAACAGCCGGACGTCTTCTCCTTTGTCACCGACCACAGCCTGCTCCCCCTTCTCAAGCCCTCCCACGTGGCTGCCCTCGTGCGCATCGATGAGGTGCCTTCCCCTTGCTGACATGCAGTTCGTTTTTGTTCTCTTTTATGCACTGTGCTGCTGCATCAAGTTGCATTGATCAATCAGTTTGCTGCTGGTCTCTTTTCTGTAACGTGCTGGAGCTGCAATGTTATGAAAGTTTGATTTTGGTCTCTTTCGTGTAACGTGCTGGAGGTGCAACAATCAGGGTCAGCATGATTGGAGGTGCTGTGACCTGGGTCTGCACGCTGCTCACGGGAACAGTTTCAAATTTTGAGGATGTGTGCATGGCAGGTGCGCGCGATACGGCTGCTGGTGGATCACCACGAGGAAGTCACGGCCGCTACCATAGTCCCAGCCCTGCAGGTATACAATCAAATCAGAAGGATGCTACAAACCCAATGCACTTACAGGCATCACGATGTGGGGCTGCTTTGGATTGCATCATGCCTCGCTTGAACTATTTGATACCGGTTGTTTTGACAGTGGACGCAAGTGGCATGTCCATATCTAGGTCCGAGGATGAGGTGTGGCCTACAGGCAGCGGAGGAAGAGGCAAAGAGGACGGGGGATGAGAAGGAGGCGGAGCTGTGGCGCAAGCGCATTTATTACTACCTCGACTGGCTCTTCCAGAAGGACTCCAACGCCGGCGCAGACTTTGCAGGCCTGCAGGTGCTGGGCCTTCTGATTATCCCCTCGCTGCAATTGTACCTGATGCGCCAGGCCCAAACATGTCCATTATCTTCAATGGGGCGCCTGCTCGCTCCTCATGCTGAGACTAAACTCTTCAAAACATTTCTGGATGTCTCACTGGCTACACGCTTGACTATTAGGGGCTGCCGATCAATTATTTGCGCTGTGGGTCAAGACACTGGAAGGCCCACGTGGAATATACCACAGTCTCTGTCACCCCAGTGCACCTATCGCTGTACCCCTCAAGCCTCAGTGCAACACCGTCGCTGTCATCCCCATTGCGCTCACTGCTGGATACATCAGAATTCCAAGGCATGCACTCACACCCCAGGGGTGTGCGCGCAGGTGGAGCTGTACGCTGACTACGATGCCGGGCGGCTGATGGCATTCCTGGTGAGCAGCCAGGCGTACGCGCTGGAGGCGGCCGCGGAGCTGTGCGAGGCACGCGGACTGGTGCGCGAGCAGGTCTTTGTGCTTGGCCGCATGGGCAACTCGCGCCAGGCCCTCCACCTCATCATCCGCCGCCTCGCCGACATACCCCAGGCAAAACACCCGTCTGCACCCCACCCCAGGGGACTTTAAATCAAATTTCCTCTGAATCAATCGATTCAGGTGAAATTAGGGAATTTAGAGGTCCCTGCCCGCCCCTGCCTTTGATTTTATGGAAACTACGGCACCGATTGACCTCTATGTAGGGCAACTTTCACAGAATATGTATAGTGAGGGACCGATTATACAGACCGGGGCCCAGGCGTGTTCCCTCCCCTTGGACTGTCACTCTTGAGCCTTGCACATGCTCTACGAAGAACATTGCAGCCATGAAAGTGGGTGGCAGAATGGAGGAGACTCAAACTAAGAGGGATCTTGCCCGCTGGTTGTGCTTTTGTCGTGTAGCAAAGGAGATGCAGTGGCCACAACACAAATTGGCAGGGGAGAAGAGAGTCTGCTTAAGGGGAACGTCGCACGCTGCCTGTGCTGAGGGACAGGCTGTGGTGTGTGTGCAGGCGATTGAGTTTGTGCAGATGCAGCGCGACGACGAGCTGTGGGAGCTGCTCATCAGCCTCGCCATCGGCAGCGCCGACCTGACAGGTGGACAACTCCCAGCTTCGATCATTAAAATGTAGAATGTCAAAGCTAAATGGTCTCTCTTGCTTATCACTGCCCTCATCACAATTGGTTGGCACCTTGTGCGGCATTGATGCCTGTGTCTAAGAAACAAAGGTCTTGGGCAGTAGGACCCCCTCGTCAGCAGCCAGAGTTCATCATGACCTATCTGAGGCATGCCAGCTTCACAGGCAATTTGAGTGGATCATTTCCCAGCTGAAGTATGCCACGCTCACAAGTTTTAAGTGTGGTGCGCAGGTGCTCTGCTGGACCACATAGGCGGCTACGTGGATCCGCTGCGGCTGGTGCAGAAGATTCCGGCGGGGCTGGAGATTCCGCGGCTGCGCGACCGCCTGGTGCACATCATCGCCGACTTCCGCACGCAGACGTCCCTGCGTGAGGGCTGCAACGCCATCCTCCACCACGACTGCCTCCACCTCGCCCAGGTGCTCCTTCTTCCCTTTTTTCCGTCCTCCCTTTTGCAGCGTGGTGCTGCAAAAGGGTCAATCTGCTGCTGCATTTGTCGCTGGTATGTGGCAAACAGTTGCAGGCGCAGCTCGTGCAGTAGTGGACTGCCTTGCATGTGATGCTTGATAGTGGTGCACATGGCTGTCTCCAGACTGTGGGCTGTCACTGAACAGAGACTAGCTTGAAACTCATTTCCAAGCTTGCATCGTGCATGCCATGCAACACATGTAGGGGCCATCCTGAGACTGAGGCATCAAAATTTGCTTGTGTGGCTTGTGCAGCGGCTGTATCTGGAGGTGCGGCACGCGGTGAGGCAGCTGTGCGTGAGGGAAGGGGATGGCGGCGCCGGTGCGGGCGCCTGGTACGCAGTGGAAAGGGGGGGACTGAAGAGGAAGCCCGTGGACGCTTCCAGCCTCCCTGGGCCTTGGGGCGGCCAGAAGCTGCACGTGCAGACCAAGCAGGCAAACGGCGAGGGCCAGGGTTCGGATCAATTGCCAAAGGTGTGCCGCCTTTCCTCTACCCGAAGTCAATATCTGGTGTTGTTGAAAGTGCAACAGGAGAGGTCACATGCTTCTCATGATGGGGACACAGAAAGCAATCAGTGAAGAGAGAAAGCAATACATGAAGGCATTGCTAAGATCAGAATATGATAAAGGGCTGCCTTGCAGTTCAGACATAATTCATCAAGCAAAGCAATGATTGGTTGATTCAGAGTGAAATTGTGGAGATATTGACATTGTCGGTGCAGGTGTGGGTGGGGCTGGCTGGGCAGGCGCCGGTGCAAGCGGCGGCCGAGATGGCGCGCAAGCCACAGGGGCGGCGGGCGTCTGGCCGCAGGAAGACGGGCGAAGACGCTGCCCCGCCGCTAGCCAGCCTCATTCTGGGGCGCCTTACTGCTCAGCATGCATGACGTCCATGCAGTCCGAGCCCGCTGACATGTCATCGATGTTTGTCGAAATATCTTGCAGCATTAAATTGTAGAGCAACTGATGCAGGCTGCTTACAGAGAAGCATCATGCGAACATTGAGGAGCTGAAAGGGAAGAGTTGTTTTTGCAAAAGGGGGAAGCTAGGGGAAGCTGGCCTGCCAGGCTGGCAGGTCAATGTAAAGACATCCCTGATAATCCTCTGTGTCAACTCGGATCTGTCCTCTACAGTAGGAGGTTGGTGAAGAAATTGGTAAGGAAAGGTTCTCTCTGATTGTTGGCAGCGCTCTGCTGAGGGTTGATTTGTTCGTTGGTGCCATGGAGTCGAGGGGTGGACAAGCGACTACGTCATACTCATCTACATCACTCCCTCTCCCTCATCAAATACTTCCCCATCATGTTTCTTCATCAAGACGATGGAGATTCCGTGTCGAGAGGTCGCAAAGGAAGGGTCCAAGCAGAGGTCTTGTCTGTCAAATGTCTCAAAGTGGCAGAGATGGCAGAGAAGCCGTGCAGGTGCTGATGGATCTAGCAAGATTGGGCAATTTAGAAGGTCTTCTCGATCTCGTCCCTGACTCTGTGGTTGAAAAAGCTCTAGAACGAAAGCAGCAGATGAGGTATGGCACTCCCATCTGCATATTCCTTGGAATAGACAATGTAGCTGATACATTCATCTGATTTGTAGTAGCTCATAGCAGCCATGCCATTTTTGCCTTTGCAGCCATTATGCTAAGATGGACAAAGCTGACACTATCAATTTTGTGGAGATATCCCTCATGTCGGCACAGCTGGACTTCTTTGTTGGTGCTTATGCCTTGAGAGCCCTTGTCTTCTCGAGGCCAGCAGAGTGTCAGGTATTATGAAGACATGCACATTTCCCCTGTCTCTACACAGCCTTTAGTGCTGCACCTCTCAGTGCACAGAGCTGACAACACAGATGATGTCTGCCATTTGCAGCTGCTCTCATCCATGGAATTGGCACCTGGAGAGTTCATTCAGCGCTGCCATGTGACAACCACCACTGGAGAGCAGATGATCCTGGCCTTCAGGCTGTGCCTTGAAGAGCGGTATCAGCCCAGCTACAGGGGATTCACAACAGGCAAGCCTCGGGTCCTTCCGAGCCTTTCAAGTCCACCATCCCCCACATTTGCAGGCCAGCAATTCTCAAGATACGATGTTCATTACCGCATGAAAGAGCAGTCACCGACAAGCACGTTGACTGTGACGTTTGATGCAGGCAAGTGTTGGGTCTTGCGCAGCATCAAGGGAGAGTCAGCTGGTGAGGAGGGCCAGTGCCCCACAGAGCCCGATGTAAGATGGGGCCCTGAGTCTGTCGTCTGTGGGCAGCTGGATGCGCTCAGGTATCCTCATAACCCCCTCCCCTGTTAATATCAATACTCATGCCATGCCTGATTATGTATGTCATGTCCATCGCCAGGTGTGTACAGAACGCAAATTAGAAGGTGCAGTAGGAAGGGAAAAGATGTGTGAGCAGGGATGGGGACGTGGAAAGGGCGCTGCGATTTGTGTCCCTGCCAAATGAGGAAGCCACTGGCCTCGGTCTTGACTCTTCGCTTGTGCGGCGCATCCCGGCATATGCCCCACTGCTGTACCATCATGGCTACAGTGTGGCGGCCACAGCTCAGGTGTCTGCAGACAAGGCAGTCATTTTTGTAGGTGAGTTCTTTCTGTTGGGATTGTGAGTGAATCCCAAATTGCGCGTTTGAAATCAATATCTGGGCGACACTGCGCAGTGTCGCTGGTTAAGCCCAAGTCTGATAAGGTCATGACAGGTGTTGTGCTGCATGCATATGCAAGGTGTCCAGGGTCAGAGGAAATTGGAAGGCGGGCCTCAAGACCAGTACACACTCCCATACATGTGGTTTCTCAGTATGAAGGGAAACACATGGACGATCGATAGTGTGCAGCATGTAGCTGGTCCCTGACCAGGTGCATGCATCAACCGCGGTCGGCCGAAGACAGGCTGTTACAAACATTCATCCGTTCCCAAACAGTATCAGAGCTAGTGCACCGGACGACAGATCTGGTTAAATTTGAGTGTGGCACATCATCAAAATTGCCTTCTATGGGGTTGGTTTGAGAATCAGCCTTGAAAGAGCACACAATGCAACACCAACGCAAAACATGCACGAAAATGCCTTGTTGCCCTAGCCCTGTGTGATCCCGTCAGGGGACAGCAGCAGAATGTTTGAGAAAGGGACGAGAGCACCAGAGATATCTATAAGCGTCTTCCAACTGTAAATGCCTGCATGCCACTCGGCATACATACTCTGAACCAGTGCAAGGTCAGCGCTACTTTGGGGATTGAAAACAAGAAGTCTGTCAAGGGCTGGGCAGGGCTCCCTAGGCCCTGGAGGAGATGCCCTTCTGGTACTGCTTATAGCGCTTGGGCAGCAGGCGCTCCAGTAGGCCTGGCTCGGTCTCGTTGGAGAGCGCGGCCTGCAAAATCAGCGCCTCGCGCAGCAGCTCCTCCACCCTCTTCTTGTTCTCAGTCATCTGCGGCGTCAGCGCCTGCACGCACATCATCCACACACCAGCATCTCAAACAGAGGTCCTCGCCATCTTTTTGTCTTTGCTGTTGCCTGCAAGTGCTGCAGAGCAAAATTACGGCCATAAGCACCGCGTCATCATCAAAATAGAGGACAGCAAAGTGGTATCTTGCACTTGAAGAGGGGCATCACCCCTTGCCATGCCACATGCTTGTACAGATAGTGCCTGGGATATTAATAGCTCAACCTCCAGAAACATTTCAAGCATTCCTCAACATTTACGCTGCATGCAATGGGCTTGCTTATAGCTCCTTGCTAAAAGTCTTAACCTCTTGGCTCAGCCTCATGCTGAGGCTGCTTGAGTGATGAGAAAAGTGAGGGGCTTGAGGGAAAGGCTGACCTGGACAGCGGCCTGGACGGTGGACTCGGACTGCCACACAGAGTTGCGCAGGTCGGGGAAGTTGCCGTCTAGCGTTTGCGCGAGGCCTCCCTGGCGCAGGTCAAGCAGCTCCACCACTGCAGCCGCCTCTTTCCGGGTCTCCTCCAACTCCTGCACACACAGCAAGTGTGTTTCATCAGCGAATGCCCACAGGAATAGATCCCCGACTTGAAATTGCCTGTAAATACCTCCAATTCCCCCGCCAGAACCTCAACTCAAATTCCAAACCCTTGTGTCAGCCTCCGGGGTTCAATGCATCTCTTGGTCGGGTGCGTCGCATACAGCAGGCACAGCTTTGGAACTTCACTCAGGACAGAAAACATGCTAGAAGAGACAGGATGAGGGTGCTGCTGAGCTGGAGGGCATAAGACATGGGTGGATTCAGAGGGGCGCGCCTGCTGGTCGCGGGCTTCGAGGACGCGGCAGGCGCGGCCGAAGAGGCCGAGGAAGACGAGTTCGGTCTGCTGCAGTCCCGGGTCGCTGGCGATGGTGTCCAGCACAAACTGCTTCACCTTGTGCGCGTCGTCCGGCCGCTGCCCAAACACATGCTCCAGCAGGAGGCAGTCGTACTCGTGCACCTGCGCCGCAGCCACGAAGAGACACAGACATCAGCACAAAAACATCACCTGCCACCCTCCGGAAGATATCCATGCTGGAAAGCCATACTATTGGAGGCAAAGCCTTGTTGGTGTGATTGGGAACTCGGGCATAAGAACTGCATGTGAAGAACCCCTTTTTGCAATATATGCGCAGGCGATGCCGGTAGCGCAAGGTGGTCATATTAGAAAATGGTCAATGGCACTTATAAGAATGCCAAGGGGAGCATTCCTTGTGCCCCTACAGCCTGTACATGTAATCCACAGGAGTCCACAGGAACCTAAGGTGCCAGCTTGACCTGCTGAACATCAAAGCGCGTGTACATGCAGACATCAGAAGGAGGGAACGGCGCAGACCTGGTCGCGGCCGTCGGCGTGAGCGGCGACCTGCAGCAGGTTGACGGACTTCATGAAGCGGCGGTCGGAGACGTAGACGGGCGGCTCGCACTTGTCCTGCAGGTAGTTTCGCAGCGACGTCAGGATGTCGATCACAGCATCCGGCAGCTCCACCGCATTGTAGGCCGCCTTGGCCGTGCCCCTGCACGCATGGCCGCAAATAAATTATACGACTGCTTGTATGAAGAGTCTCTGCGCTGCGCTGCACAGTGAGCGCACATGTCTCTGACCCGCAGGATTGCGGCGTTATTACAGTCTGGTGCTTTCCACCAAGGGCTCAAGCTCTTCTCAGGAGCCACTACACGCTCTAAGAAACCCCTCAAAAAAATGCGGCAAAGGCCATCTTACTTTACGGCAGGTCCCTGATGCCAAAGAAATTCAGCAAAGATCACCACAACGATCTCCAAGGTGCTGCTGCCTTGGGAGGTCAACTCCTGGGCCACCCGGCAACATGGGTGGGTGCTGCCGAGCAGTGACCTACCTGAACTCTTCGAGGGTGAGGTCGCTGAATCTACCGGTGCCGTCGGCCACGCTAGTGGCCGCGCCGTTGAACTCTGTCCCGCTGGAGGAGGCCGCACCATCACCCGACGAGGGGCTGGCCAGCTGGCCTGCAGCCAACCGCGCAAGGGATCCCAGCTGTGCTGATGACACCTGCACCCAGATTGAACCATCCCATTTAGGTAAGGAGCCTAGGTCCAGGCATGAGGAGTGGCAGGCCACTTCAGGGCGTTTCATAGCGTCATTGCATGTAGACGAGGGAGGCAGGCACTGCACCTGGGCCACGTGACGTCTGATCAGAAATCTGTCGTAGAGCGCATCCAGCTCCTCGCTCTCGGGGAGCTCGTTCGAGGCGCCCACCTGCAGCGACAGACACAGCTCCTTTCAACCCCAGCCAAGCTGTAGATATCCCTTCTCCCTCTCCCGGAGAATCTTGCTGCAGGACAGCATGTATCACAGGTGGGATTGGGGCGGCCTCCAGCAAGGCGCAGAGCTGGAACATTCATTTCCCAACATGGTAGGAGTTTGATGGTGTAGGATTGGAGTAGCTGGCAGGACAGGGGCAACTGACCAGGCAGAGGAGGGGAACACGCAGGCGCTGGTTGCCGTTGTCGAAGAGGCGCTCGTTGAGCAGCGTGAGCAGCGCATTCAGAATGGCCGAGTTAGCCTTGAAGATCTCATCAATGAAGGCCACCTCGCTGGTGGGCAGGTAGCCGTCTATCTGCCTCACGTACTCATCGTCCTCCAGACCTGCTCAATGCACACAACCCTCCTTTTTAACACACACAACCGAAAATTGGAAGGAACGAGAATATAGCAGGCATGTGTAGAGTTCAAGTAATAAAGAATACAACAGGAACAGGTGCTAGAGGGCAGTTTTTTAGCACGGCACACAAATCGATACTTGTGGCCCCTTGCGCTGCCGATTAGATACGAATTTTCCCTCACAGGAGCCCGTTCTGAATAACCGTCCCCTGCCAGGAAATTGTTGACAGGAGGATGTCGCACCCTTCATGGAGAGGGGGCCGAACAGCTCCTCGGGCACTGAGAAGCGAGTAAGCAGGCGCTCAAAGTATGTGCCGCCCGTGAGGCGCGCCATGCGCCGTGCCAGCTCCGACTTGGCTGTCCCCGGCGGCCCAAGCAGCAGCAGATGCTCCCCTGCCAGAGCTGCCAGTAGCAGCAGCCGAACCTGCAAAACACCCTACGATCAGCCCCTGCTTTGTGCCTACACAGGCAAGGTCACACTTGCAGTCAGCAAAGGATGCATGCATGAAATTTAGTGCAAGCGCCAGAGTAGGGAGAAAGGGCAGCCTCGCTGTGTAGACAGGAGTGCATCGACAGTACAATCTAGTTCCCAATTCGCGTGTTGACGCGGCTACTGGGCAGTGCGCTGGAGGTGGTCATTTGTTGCCTAGTAGTTGCAGATGTTCATGCTGTGTATAAAACAGTGCTTGCATGCAGAAATTGACTTTGCGGTGGCATGAACGGGCAAGTTAGACACCTCCATCTCTCGCTCCAGGAGGCCCTCCTTCAGGGCTTGGACAGTGGCAAGGATCTTCTGCTTCAGCTCGCTGGCCGCGGCCTGCTCCACCAGGCTTTCCAAAGCCGCCCTATTCCTCTCGATTGTGGCAGCATGCTCCTCGTCAACCTTCCGAGTGATGTCTGAAATGAGCTCCAGCGTTGCTGTGCTCAGCTGTTCGGCCTGGAAGCAGACGAGGAATCTCAGTCAAAGTCCCCATTCTTTGCCTACTTGTCGGGGACATGAAAGTGACATCAAAGTACCTACGAATGAAATATTGAAAAGTACATGAGGAGTAATTCTTGTGATCTCCCACCTGCTGATCTGCCCTGACGGCATGAGGGGTGATCGTGGAAAATCTTTCCACTTTCTTATGGACTTTGCAAGGTCTTGGGGTCCGAATGGGCACATTAGAAGATGTGCACAGGACGCGCAGAGGATGGCATTTTTGGTGGCGCGTGCTTCCTGCTGCATTCAGCGAGTTGATTGTGCAATTCATCGTGTTGATCTTCATAGCATTTCAATAAGGATTATACGCACAGGGAAATCTATAGATAGAAATTTAGTATCAGCGCGCAGTAGATTGCTTTCCGAATCGCTTTTCCGGAGGATAAGATGACTAATGCCAGCTGGACATACACCTGGCATGGTCCCTGGCATGTACTGCTCTGAGTTGTGATGGTTGCTCAGAAAACTTCTTTGCCGCAAGATCACATAGTATCACTAGCAGTCTCACATGCGGAATTTGCCTGTGTGGCTGCGTCAGCATCATTGCGCGGCACACTGCCGCAGCTAGCTGCCAGCATGTGTCATGGACGCCCCCATGTGATGTCATCGACGCACCATTGTGCGGTGACCAGGTACCATTATGATCAAGGGGTGCCACTGGCTGTGATCAACAGCACCATCGCAGATGGCTCTAGAGCAGATCTGGACAGATCAACAGTTGCACTGCAGATCAATCACAAGTTGAATAGCACGCTGCAAAGCCTTCCAACAAACGGCCATTACACATGGATGTGGAGTGTACACAACACTGTTAGTCAGAGAAAAATTCCAGCACAAGAAGTAGATGATACATGCCCCCTAAAACATGCACGCATAGCGCTAGCATAACTCCGAGTCCTAGCTCTGCAATCTGCCGCTTTGTACCACAGAAATGTCTTATAAGAAAGCAAGCACGTCCAGACTGGTGCACCATCATATCCTCTTGAGGATATCAGATAATCAAATTGAATGAGCCTGCAAAACAAATCAGGTTGTAGACATCTACAAGTACAAGGCAGTACCTCAGGCTTCACTTCTCGAGCAGAAGCACCAAAGGACAAGTCACCACCCCAAGATCACGACAAGACAAAGGCCTTCATGCTACTCGCAGGAGAATAAGACAATCAAGCATGGAACATCCCCACCAAGGAGCAAGCTCTTCAGGAGTAAAAAGGCAAGTTGAACTTCGTAATGTACAGACGCTGCGCATCAGGCAATTGCAATGAGCCAGCTCATCTGCAATGGCAAAGCGTGTATGTCGGGCACACAAAGAGCCGCGGCAGAATGTATCCCTGCTGTCAGGCCTCGCTTGCTTACACAATTCCATTGTCCAAATGATGTTGCAAGTGCTGCAGTGTGCAACACACTAGCGGGAAAGGTGTTCAAAGAATTGGTTCAATGCATACATTCGCACTCTTGCTGTTCCCTCCCCCACCACAGAATAACCCATCAGGTGCCGCGCCGTTATGACGCCTTTGTCAATGCTGCGAGACAGTCAGGTGTTGGATTCAGGTCCTCTGCTTCTTGAGGATGTTGGACAGACTAAACTCCTCGTCCAGCTCGGCCATGAAGCGCTGCATGTCCCTTGAAGCCGCCGCAGCCGCCGCCCTTGCCCGGATGCCCGCCGCCTGCTTCATTGCCAGGATCTGCACATGCCCAGAGCACACCTCAGGCAACGTTATTACAGCCTACACGTGACACAGGTCCCCTGACACAGCTGTGGTGGGAAGCAAGCAGGAATGCAGGTGGACATACCTTTGCGACTGCCGCGACAGCAGCGTTGGCCGCAGCCTCCTCGCGGAGGGAGTTTTCGAGGCGCTCCTTGACGAGGGCCATCTCGGTCTGCTTGCCGTGCGGCAGGCGGCGCAGGGCGTCCTTGAGCTCCTCTGCCGCCGCTGGCTGCTCCTCCGGCTTGGCGCCCGGGACCTCGTTCATGCTTGAGTTCACCATCGCCGCAAAGGCGGCCGAGTTGAAGGTCATGGGCGACCCCATTTGCTTGCCATACTGCACACCAACACCACACATGCTCAGGCCACGCTGCTGCATCCCCAACGCAACACTACCATGCCAGCCAAATGTGAAGACAGTGCAGAGCACCGGCTGGGCAGGCACACAGCAAGACGTTCAGGCTGACTGCTGCACGGCAAGAAGAGCACCCACCTGATGATGCTCGTAGAATGTGCTGAGGTCTCTTGCGGCGAGTGCGCCGGCAGCGGCTCGGCCGGCGCCCAGGTCCTGCTCGTGGATGGACATGGACAGCAGGTTGACGGCGGCGGCCGTCTCGTGGCCGACCACGGGGAAGGGGCTGGGGGGCTGCGGCATGGACGTGTGAGCCGGGCCCGGGCCGCGGGTGGGCGTCCACGCCACCTCCTCCGCCGAGTCAGAGTTCAGCGCTGCTGAGTCCTCCTGCAAATTGTTGACGTTCACATCAGCCCCAAGGCCTGATGGGCAATCTTGGCAATAACAGACGTGACCAGGATGCATGGTGCAGGGCCAGAAGTGGGGACAAGGAGGAGTGCAGGGGGGGCGCACCGAGCCTGAGGGGTCTGTGAAGGTTGACTGTGCTGCAGAGCGGACGGGGTATGACGCGTCAGCCTCGTCGTCCGGCCAATCGCCTGTTGTGGCAAACTCTGCGGTTCTTGAAGCTGCCTTTGCAGCCGCCTACAACCACCAAATTCCACGCCTCAGACACCGTGTGTTGATCCTTTATGGTGTTGTTCTCCCAAAAGTCAATGGCCGTAAAAAAAAGTGCCCAGCAGAACAGAATTTTGAACGGTAAGGGCAGAAGGGGCTCCCACCTTGCGCTGGGGCCGCCTGACGGCTGGCGACCTGTCGCGGCGTCTGATCACAGCATTGCTGTCGGACGTGAGCGAGCCGGAGCTCTGCTTGGCCAGGGACAATGCTGTCTTGAGGGGCGCGGTTGCCGCGGCGGGCGGGCGGCGCTTGTGCCCGTCTGTGAGCATGCGCATCTGGCGCACGCGCTTGACCCCGCATGCATTGCACAGCGTCTTTGGACCTGCGCAATCATGCTACGGAGTCAGTTGCACATCTCCCCCAGCTTCAACAGACCATGTCCCTCGCAGCGCTCTTGTTGGACAGCACAGCTTCCTCCTAGGGACAGCAAAGCAGGGCAACAGGTGAAAAGCAGATGGCGCCCGGCGCACCCTCGGGCCCTTCGCGCCACTGTGGGGTGCGGTTTGTGCCGCACTGGGAGCAGGTCTTGCCGCCGGCGCCCAGACCGATGAAGTTGGGCCGTGCATATGGGAGTGATGACCTGGCAGCAGCCTGCACAGTGCAATAACATCTGTTCGCCCGTGCTGAGGTGCACTTCCAGTATCTTGCACAGCTGGTGAGCCATCATCTCATACATCGAAAGCCATTGTACTGCACTCAGGTACGAGGCAGGCTTACATAATATTCAAGGGTGATCTGGATCAGCCGTGACAAGGTTCGCGTCCGTCAGCGGACGTCGTCCCAGGCTCCTCGCATTCATTTACATGTTTGACATGAATGAAAACCGACAGAATATTCAGGGTATCAAGATGGAAGTATATACCTGTTTGAAGACCTCCTTGCTGGTTATCTTCCCGCCGTTACCACCCATCTCCATCAAATAGGCAGCTGCTACGCCCATCTCTGCGGCTGCCATGTATTGCTGGACGACGGCCATCAGAATCGACGACCCTACAGTCAGAAAAAGGGCGGTGAAGGCTGCTCCACCACACTTCCCGCTTTGAGGTTCATGTCCTACCAACACGTTGATCCCTACCAGGAACGAGCCTGCTGGGCCTTAACAGCCCAGCTCAAAATCTCGGACGACCCTCGACTTCTACACGGAACCGACACGCGACACAGCTGGCGCGAAACCACCCTTTGAAGGCCAGGTGGCCTCCAGATCACAGAACGTGCTTGCGGAAGTTACGCAGAAAGACCTGAACAATTTTTGCCACGATTGACATTGCGCATCAATCCGAAATTATCCCTCATTTAGAAAGGCAGCAAGGCCCGCCTCAGATCCAGCATCCACGCTGGGTCAACCACCGCTGAACCTATGACTCCCCGGTAGCTGTAGTGTCACCCAGCAAGGAAACGCTGGCAGCCGAAACCCAGAGCGAGGCCTTCGCCTCACGTCGTGAAGAGCGGCACAACAAGAGCCTACTGGCATCAGCTGCTGACCCCGGATCCTGGCAATGGCCAGGCCGTGCTTTGACCAGAGTCCTCAACCCTCTGCTGACCCGGCTGCCTCAGCGAGTCCGTTTAAATATAACTTCGTGGGCCATCCGACACCCACGCACAATGCGCATCAAAGAAGGCCAGGAAATTGATGGAGGCCCAATTCCCTGAAATGGAATCTGGCCATGCCCTGGCCAGTGGCTGCTGAAATAATAGGACATGTTCACGTCAAACTGCCTCGATCTTCCACTTGCTGAAAGACCCCATGCTGGCACCACACTGAGGGCCCAAGCGGCTCAGACATTTTCCTGACTGCTGCCCTGTGCCCACACCAGGCATGCAAGGAGCCCAAGTTTGAACCTACCGTTGTTTCCCTTATGGTTGACCCGCTAGATCACGAGCCGAGCACCTTCGAAAACGCTCACTCCAAGTCTGCCTGCCTTCAAATATGCGATGGCCTATAGTCTCTCCCGATGGCAGCTCCGCTGGGCGTGAATTTCTGGGCACATTCCTTGAAGGAAAATGCTCGCTCTTTCGCGCTTCTGGGTCAGTCCAGCCAACTCAGCTTTTCCCATCAACCGGCGTTGCCTCCCGCAGGAGGCCAGTTGCAACTTTTCAAATGGCAGTGGTGACTGGGTCTGAGAGCAATCGGGGCAGAGATCGAATCAAGATGGCGTGACTGATCAGCTGGGAGGATTCGATCATCGTGTACGAGCATTGATTAATTGGGGGTAAGCCTTCGGTTCTCTCCATTCTGGATGTGGCGTTGTGAGTGCTTGGATATCTTCTGATCGGAACGCCTCGATCCGATCTAGCATGTCAGATTGGATGGGCTCACATCTGCAATTGATGCAGCATGTTGATCGCCTGCAGACCGGGCGCAGCTCGAATTCAGCTCATCGACACGATGGGGTTTGGTCGCAGACCAAACGAGGATCTTCTGGGCCTGTGAATGCAGTACACGCACCGCATATGGGCGCCCTGCATTGTCCTAAGCACAATTAGGTAGCTCTTATCACTGGTACACCTGTCAGTGGCCAGCCATGGGCCACTGTGCCAGCAAGTCTCAGTTTGATAGAGAGGTGGAAGAAGTACGAAGAGAAAGGCCAGATGCAGCAGCCACAGTGTACAGCAGCCAGCGAGGCACCCCTATGAAGGACCTAGGGCTTGTGAATGGGAAGTACTCTAAGCACAGCATCCCTGCCGAGCCAGAGACACCACAGCGGGATACAATTCCTGCCAGGCCGGGCACCCCTTCCGTCAGCGAAATTTTCCAAGAACCACTCCGCCCCTCCCCACTACCCACCTCCAAGGTCAGCCTCTTCAGAGACAATGCCCCCCTGTATCACCTTCCAAGCAGTCAATCTGGCATCACCTTAGATCACTTCAGTCAACGTAAAATCATCCCAACCTGTACTCATATTATCATGGGACTATTACTCGCACTGGAGCACTTGTCATATTGACTTGATGGCGCTGTCTGCATGTGGCTGACTTGTTAGTCGGCTGCTGACAGGCACTGCCGGGAGTGATGCTGAGCGGCCGCCTGCAGCTGCCTTACGCAGCGCCGTACGTACCCCCACCCAGCCTGCCGCCCCCGGAATACGCCCACCTGGCCGCCTCCGGGGCGTGGCAGCCAGGGCGCAGGCGCGCGCTGCTCGTTGCCGCCAACTACAGCCGCTCCGCCGACGGAAGCGCCCGCCTGCGCGGCTGCATCAACGACGTGCACTGCCTCAAGCACCTACTCACCTCCAAGTTTGGGTGGGGATCCCTCCCCCTAAAGATCAATACCCTGTGGCACTGTGCCAGCATGCCGCATCTGTGAAAGTGCCTGCACTGTCACATTTCCCACCAGTACGAGACTTAAGTGGGTCTGATTTGCGGTGCTCCTGCTGCGCGCAGCTTCCAGGACAACAACATCGTGCTGCTGCATGACGAGCAGCCACATGGGGACTACTGGCCCACAAAGGTGTGCAACCCCTTCAGCAGCAGTGGCGTATGCTTGCCACAGCTTTGCGTGAGTTTGCTCGCAGTCAGTGACCTTGAAATCCGACCCATCCGGCGGTGGCGGTGGGTGTGCAGGACAACATTCTAGCCGCGGTGCGCTGGCTGCTGGAGGATTGCCAGCCGCTGGACTCGCTGGTGTTTGCCTTCTCCGGTCACGGCTCCCTGGACACCCTGTGCGATGAGCACGGCCGCGATGGCATCCTGCCCTCTGACTTCCTGGAGGTGCGCATCAGCGGAGTAGCTACCAATGTCTAAGGCACCGCTTTGCAGATCTCCTGCTTCCTGAAGCTTGGCTGACACCCTTTGGGAATGTCCGTGGATAGCAATACATGCGCAGCCTCAGAAGGTGTTTCCCGGGGCTAGATTTTGATCGCCAGGCGCACATGCTTCAGATGTTCCAAGTTTGTGTTGCTGTCTGTCTGCGGCAGGCGGGCCCGATATACGAGGATGAGCTGTACGAGGGCCTGGTGGCGCGGCTGGTGAAGGGCAGCCGGCTGCACTGCTTTGTGGACACCTGCAGGGGCATCTTCGCACTGGGCCTGCCCTCCTGCGTGTACACCCGCGCCGACGGCTGGTCCAACTGGGAGGCGAGCACCCTTCTGCTGACCTTCTGCTGCATGCATCACGGCTTGTATCACCCCACAAGCATCGCTGCACATTGCTAAGGCCTCTGTAGACATGTGCATCCTATGCTCGGCTGGACTGGCATGGCCTGCTGTGCGGTATGATAGCACATTGCGCACGTACACTCGGTATCTCTTCTGGGAGCCTCCTAGGCTTGCCTATGCAGCACATTATGATCCTCTGAAAAAGTGACACTTTTGAAGGGCTTTTGTGAGTGCTGATGCAGGAGGATGAGCGGGGGCTGGACAGCGGCTTTGGCGCAAGCCTGAGGCCCCAGCCGGACGGCGAGGTTGTGATGCTGAGCAGCACGCTGTCCGAGGATGAGGACCTGGACATGGACTCAACCGACTACAGCCACTATGCCTCCACAGGTGCTGCTTTCACCGTGCCCATCAGGGAATGCACACGCAGTGCCTTTCTCTACTCTTATCTCACACCAATCATCATCTGGATTGGCAAGTGAAGAGTTCCTGAGCTGCTCAATCCCTCTTCAAACAGCAATGTAGCAACGTCCGGCTGGCCATTTTCTTTTGCCTGCTTGCCCCAGGCACATGTAAGAGACTGCGTTCAGATCTTGGTGGAGCGAAGGGGGTGTGAAGGATCCTTAAGCCGACTGCTGTGTGTGGCTGCGCGCAGGCGCGGTGACATTTTCACTGATCCAGGCGGTTGAGCAGGGGCAGGCAGCCACCTACAATGTCCTGCTGCGGGCCATGCGCTACTCCCTCAAAAACGGGCCCCAGCATTTCCCCAAGGTCCCGGAGCTCAGCGCCTCACAGGACTTTGACCTGAACCGCCCGTTTTTGCTTTGAACCGAGCCTTGATCCGCGGAGGCTGCCGCAGGCGACTCGGTGGCAGCATGCCTGCCTGGGCATGCCGGGCGGGCACTTTGCCATTCCTTCATCTTGCGGTTTCTCTGCTGTGGACTTCTGAGACAGTGCCAGCGGACGCGCTAGAGCGAACAGTGTAGCTCATGTCTGCTGGCCCCCCGCCCCTGTGCTGGTTGCAGCAGCGGGGGTGGGAGGGAGGTTCCGGGGTGCCGCTATGCTGGTGTGCCCCCGGCAGCCGTTTTCGATGATTTAAAGAAGCTGATTTCTGCAAGTTTGCGCAGCGCGTCTCTCAGCGCGCTGCAATTACTGTGCACCTAATACATGGGACATGCACGAGGAGGGCACCTTTTCAGTACATAAGATGCCAGTTGTAGGTTCTGTTTCGGGCAGAGTATTGCTCGGACAGTCAGCTCCCGTAAGTGTCTTTCTTCTTTCTTTGCCGGGTTTGACCCTGTTGCGAGTCAGGATGGGGCCCCATTTGCTCAGGTACAATAGAGCAGAGACAGGGTGCAGCTCTTGATCAATGCAGGATCTTTTCCTGGGTTCCCACTGAGCCTCCTGGGGTGCATGGAGCAATCCAGGGTGCCATGAGACACCGTTGTCTGGTTGAGTTTGTGATGTTGAGTGTGGGGTGTAGAGAGTTTGCGGCGCAGGTTTCTCAAGGCAGCTACAGGGGATTTTGGGCGTATGTGTGCACACGTTGCTTGGAGCATGGGCCGGGCAGAGCTGGTAGAGCCACAACAAATATCTGCATTCCTAACAGATGCGGACTTGGGACCTGCTTCCACAGTCCATGGCGCTCTACAAGGATATGCCATAAAAGCTGTAGGATGCCAAGAAAAGCAGATGGAGTGCATGCACTCAAATAAGCCCCTGCAAGGGAGAAGGCCCCTTTCTGCCAAGCAGCTTGTGCACAGGACGTATACGTATATTATATTATGGAGTCAGGGCAGCAAGTTTAAACACTGTGTTAGTTTTGGTGGCTTTGAAAGGCAATGTGGCTTAGAATTTTGGGGGGCAGATTTTTGGCCTTCTGGCCAAATTTTTATTGGATGTTTCTTGGTACACCTTGACGGCGACCTTGAGATGTCCGCTTGAAAGCCAGCGATCGGCTTACAGAAAATAAAACCAGCTGCAAGAAGCCACTTTGTGGCCTTATTGAGCTGGAATGCCCCCAGAAACTTTCCACTTTGAGCAGCATTGTTCTTGAAGATTCAATCTGTAGCCACTTTCTGTGCCTTCAGCCGATTTTTTTCAAGAAAATGTTCAAAGCCACATTGGTATTCAGCCAAACTCCTTGAAAGAAACACTGGTAGTACGACTTGTCTTGGCAATGTGCCCATGGTCGTGAGTCAAGGTGGGGCATATTGTAGATGATACTGTGAGTATAGGCAAGAGTCAGGAATTGTGTCTCAGATGGGTGCCATTGAGTCTGAACAGTGTACGACCATGCATGCACGGCAACTCAGAGCTGTTATTTAACAGGTCACATGCCAGTGCACGTGCTGTCGAGTTCAGACATATATCATAGATATGATATCTATATTCCAATGAAGCTTTAATAGCAAACTTATACAATACAGGATCTTGAAAATAATCTGAGATGTCCCAACGTGGAGGCTGTGTGTGAACCCATGACAGTGGCTACAAAGGCCCCTGCTAGAATTCGGCATTTATTTTTTCAATGATGAGTCCCGCTACCAACAGTGCATGCGTTGCTTCAATGACTACAGTCGGATATATCGCTGCCTACCGTAGGCTACAACAGGTACATTACATAAGTGATGTTCATTGCGATCAGCCATCAAAGGGGGCTGGTATCATGCGCCATCTGTGCCGCACATCTTCCAGGCCCTCCTGCACAGGGGACAAAGAAGTTTGCTTTTGGCAGCTCCACAAATCGCATGTCTTGCATTCTCCCTTTCCAAAATTGCTTGCAGGTCTGATCTTGATCGCAACACCATTAGAATATGCATGAGAGTGTAGTCATGAGCAAAGAGGCGCCGTCCTGCTCACCTCGAAGTGCTTCTCGTAGTAGAGGCACATGAGGTCTGCGCTGCGCGATCCGGCGTGCACTGCCCAGGGCAGCAGCTCGTTTATGAGGCGGCTGCGGTCCTGAGCCTTGAGGCGCCACGAAGCCCCCACCACCGACAACGCTGTCATGGGCATGCCCGTCTGCAACACAGCATCATGTGAGCACGGCAAGTCCAATGCTGCTTCACACAGCACCCCATACATGACATCATGAGCACAGCGCACCTAATTGCTCGATGGACTCCTGATGATTGAGCAACAGATAGATGCGTGCATGTGGTTCTGTGGAGGATATTTGTCAGCGGAGCAGAGGCACACCTGCACAAACTCGACCGCTTTGAGGGCGAGCTCCCCGAGGACGGTCGTCTTGCAATTGAACAGGACGTGCCACAGGTCATGCACCTCTCGCGAGCGCTGCGCCACATAAGCCAGCTCCTCGTCGTCTACGAAGCGCACCGGCGGCCGATCGCTGGCCAGGAATTTTCTGTGGCGCATAAACTCGCCGTACGCGCGGCCGAACGTTCCCTCCGGCAGGCTCTGCGCATACCGCATGGTCGCATCCTGAACATGCACCACTCTCTTATTATTGAGCACAGTGCACAGACCTTTCTTTGTGTGTCGGTATCTGGCTGTGAAAATCTGGTCATTTGGGTCATGACAGGTGGGATCCACGGGAACCAGGACCGAGGTGCTTGCCGTGATGCGGGGTCGTTCCTCCAGAATTATGCGGCCGGTGGCGCTGGCTTGCATGCGGGCGCGCATGCTCCGCAGCGCCCTCTCGCCGGTTGTTTCGCCCAGGGCAGCAACCAGGTCCGCTCGTGCTGGGCTGTGCAACAGCAAAGCACACTCTAACCATGTCGCTTTTTTTATTTATTTTCAGAACAAAGGGATTTTGGGCAATGCAGGGTGTGGGGTAGTAGAATGCTGACTCACTTCAGGCTTGCTCCAATAGCAGACAGGACTGCGACAGTCGCCTTCTGCAGGGTGCCCAGCTTCACATGTGAGGGGTACAACAAATCATCTGAAGGTCTCTGAGCAGCCTCAAAGCTGCGACCTGATGATGTTGCTGTCTCTGATGTTGGACTCATCCAGGGTCTTTCCACCGATGGAGATGTGGTCGAGAGAGCTGCAACGTAAAAATTGATCGATCAAGTTCAAAGGATAACAATTGATGACATGACTTGAGCAAATTGCTAGCTTGCCAGACTTCAATGTGTACCCGGAAGTCCAGTGGAGACTGTTCGCCCGTACACTGATGCCACACAGCCTGCTCTACGAAGCACACTTCTTGATACTGACATCTTGATGTTTGTATATCCACACGGTGACAACAGAAAGAGCAGCTTTGAGGAGTAGCGCTAGCGTAAGAAAGAAGATATCCTCTCGTTAATCTGCACCAGGTCACCTCGTAGCTCCCATCATATAATGAATCTAATAGCTTATCTGCTCACCGGGCTTATTAAAACAGAAGAAGACAAAAGAGCTCCGAAATACAGGCCAAGAATGCTGACAAAGCAACAGGGTCCCAGACCCTAAATGTGTCCAAGGAAAAAAGTAATTTATCATATCAGTCCATGAAAATTGATAAGGAATGTTGTGCAGTCCCGTATTGCCTGCGCATCGATTGAGAATTTTCCTCATGCAAGGTACAACTCGACGTGTTACAAAAAGATAGGGTAGAAGTACTGTGCTGATCTGCCTTGCATTGCGTGCTTCATCGAATACTGTGCCTGCATCAGCAAAAACGTTCACATTAATCAGAACTGACTCTATTTTGGTTTTACAAGAAAAGACTCAATCTGGCAGTTTATTGCGCAGAGTTCACGCCAGCAGCATGCAGCATCATGTGACAAAGCCAATGTGAACACAAGGAGCAAGGAACAAGCTCACAAATGGGTGCCATTCCCTTCGATGTCCCAAATTCTATGGGAAGAATGGCAGTATCTGCCCAGATGGAGGACCAGAATGACCCAGGTCGAATCCAGCATGCCTCCACTCAGCGAGCAGCAACACAGGTAAATTCTCCAAAAATTGCAGCACATGCTGTCATGGTCCAGAAATGCAATGGCACAATGTCACATGATGTCTGGCGTGAGGCCTGCACATGATCCAGTTATTCACCTTGTCAAGCAGAGCTTGGCAAGCCCGTAATCCTTGCAAATTTGCTGCCTTATAGGATCCACTCCAGAGATCAGAGCAGGGCATACCGGATCCTGCTGTGGTGGATTGGGTTCAATCTCTGCCGCCAGGCAGAGAAAGCACCCAACAGCGCAGCGCAAAGCAGAGACTGGAGTTTTTCTCGCCACCAGAGAAGCCAGCTTTTTTGCAGAAGTCAGCTCTTGGGGATGTGGCTGTTGTCAACACTCTGAGCAGGCCGCACTCTGATGCAGTGATGGCGTCTCAGGGTGACAGTCAGGAGAGTTTCCAGCAATCCGCGCAGACGGTAGGCACCGAAATTCATGGACCCTCCATCAAACTCAGCAGAGTGAGCACTGACGCGCAGCCCGCGCCTGACAGTCTACAGCAGGCACCAGCAGGCTGTACAGAAACGACAGCTGCACATGAGGGCACAGCAAATACAGCCCACGGCGTTGGGCTTCCTGAGGTCAGACCACCAGCAGCAGAGGAGCCCCTCAGAGAACAGCCTTCACTGCACGTTCCACCTGTGGAGGAAGCTTTCTTGCCAGCAGAGGAGCCTGCCCGCTTGGACCAGCCATCCAGGGCGCCACTTGCTTGGCCAACAGAAGCTGGGAGAGATCCTGCACCAGAAGCACCTGGGGTCCCAAACAGCTTGGTGACCGCGGATAGCCATTCCAGTACCCCACCAGCACAGAGCATGTCACACTCGCTGCCAGGGGGCCACAGCCAGAGTGGGCTGGAGCCACCAGCCATGCCAGCACCAACAGGGGAGGTGGCCGATGCGCAGTCTGAGGGTGCGCACAGAGGAGAAACTGTAACAGAGGAGGAGGGTGCAAGCTTCCCAGGTGCCGTGCAAGGAGCACTGTCTGCAGATGCAGAACCCAGCGAGGCATGCAGCGCCATCCAGCATGCACCAGACATGGCTGCAAGCCATGGGTACAGGGGCGAGCCGGAGACGGAGTGCGCTCAGACAGGGCAGCAGTCAGCTGGTGGCGACCCTCTTCCTGAGCCCAAATGCTCTCTCAGTCAACCGAGCGAGGGAGCAGCAGGCCCAATCATCGAGCGAGGCGCTGGCAAAGCAGAGGAGTTCGGATCAGATAGGCAAAGGCCAGATTCTCTGCCAGAGGAGCAGACAGCTGGAAGTGGCAGCGTGGGGCGCGAACAAGCATTGGGAGCCGCACTTGTGCCAGTGGACGCAGAGCAGCAACGTCCGCCAGCACTGCCGGATGAAGGGCAAGCAGCACCGGGCGCAGCAGAAGCCGATGAGGAGCCAGATGTCGATAGCTTGCCATCGGCAGCTGAGTCAGCCCTTGAGGCAGCACCGGAGGTGCACGCGGCAGCACAAGCTTCATCGCAGACAGACAGGGTCACTGTCACTGCAATGCTTCCCAGCCTTCCCCTTCCTCCGCGTGTCCCGCCCTTCCAAACGCAGTCCTTCCTTCGACCCTCCAAGGCGCCCATCATCGCCCCACATGCGCCCGCAGAGTTCAGCCTAGCAGCAGTGCCAGCAGAGGAGGCGGCCACATCTCCCGATGCAGAGAAGCACCTGTTTACACATGAGGCTGTCAGCGAGGGGCCTGTGGAATCAGAGGCTGCGGATAGCAGTGAGGCAGCAGCGCCGGACTCTGCCGCCACGGAGGCAGATCTGCTGGCTCTGGCAGAGGAGGTGGAACGGCTGGAACAGGAGCTGGAAAGAGCGCAGGACTCAGCAAAGAGCGCAGCTAGGCAGGCAGACGCGGCACGCACGGACGCTGAGTCAGCTCGCGCTGAGGCGGCTGAGTGGCGTGAGCGGGAAGCTGATGCGCGGGCTGAGGTGCGGCCCTCGCTGATGTTCTCCATCTTACACAAAGACCGCACTATTTACATAAATAGGCCTTCTAGTTTGCGTTGTGAAGGTAATTTGGTAGCACCAGGAATGAGTTGATTACTAATGCATGTTGATTGGTGCATGCAAAGATGATGCATTGCTGTCTGGACTACAGCTTGCAGCGATCCGGGAGGCATACACGGAGGTGAGGGGGGAGGCGGAAGCCGCCAGGCAGGAGCTGCAGCAGCTGCAGGACGCGCACAGAGCGCTGCAGGAGCAGACGTCCACCGCCCTGCAAGAGGTACCCCGCTACAGTTCCCATTCCATGCCACTTGATCCCTGCTTCAGCTAGGTGCTGCAAAACCCTGATTGTTGTGGGCTTACAGGGCATAGAGCATGAAATTGAAGAGAAGGGCTGCTGAGGCAGTGCCAATGTGCAGGCGCATGCAAAGGAGGGTGGCAAGATGCGGATGCGGCTGGAGAGGGCGGAGCGCGCCATCGAGCAGGAGCGCGCCACAGTCCGAGAGCTGCAGCGCGCACTGGGGGCAGCACGCCAGGTCAACCCTTCCCTGCATGCTCAATGTTCCATTACCACCTTGTACATGGAGTGGGTGGCATGGCAGGGCAGGGCGTTGCTCAAGTCAATACTGAACTGCATTGTGTATCCAACAAACGGATGGAGTGATGCATGAAGCGAGGCAGTCAGGGTAATTGTGGGGAGTGCAGGTCAGCCCAGCAGTGTCGCCGAGGAAGGATGGCGGCCAGGCGCGGGCGGCCCTGGCAGCTGCACAGAAGGAGCTGGCGGACACCCGCGCCGCTCTGGATGCCCAAAAGCTGACCAACAGTGGCCTGCAGGCAAGGCTTCTCCGTGCTTGTCCTGTGCATCAGAGACAATGCAGGCCTGTATGTTCATCGTATGGCATGGTGTTCATAGATATTCAGAATATTGTGATGGCTTGGCAAATGGTGTCCATGTGTAATGCCTGGTGTGTTGTCACAGATCCGGGTGACGGAGCTTCTCAGGTCCGCAGAGGAGGTGGCGCAGCTGCGCGGCACATGCGAAGAGCTCAGAAGCCGGTGTGAAGTCGTCCAGAGCAGCGAAGATCACACCAAGCAGCTCGAAGCAAGTGCGGCCCAGTTTTCCCACTTAGTGAGGCTTCCTTACGAGCAGGCCAAATTCTATTCAAGACCGCGTTCTCAGCAACTTTCATGCATTTGCCGACTCCAAACATCAGGCATATGGTGCGAGCTGGTCAGTAAATGCGTTGCTCACCATATCTGCATGTGCAGCGGTGGAAACGCTGCGGGCGCAGAACAACTCCCTCCATGTGACGATGGAGCGGCTGCTGGGCGCCAACAGCGAGCTGGGGACCAAGCTCAACTCGCAGGCCGCCCACATCAGCTCGCTGGAGGCCCTTCTTGCTGAAGCCCGCGCAAAGAGCCCTGCTGCACCTGCTACGGATGAGCCTGCAGGTGCGGTTCTCTTCAGTCTGCAGGTTTAGTGAGTCCATCCTGACAATCGGGGCCTCAGACATTCAGCATGTATGGGTAGGCACATATGCCTGTACTGGACACTGTGCTTGTGTGATGAACGGCCCTTCATCTGAATCCTATGAAGTCTGACACGTGTGAGCAAGGGGCGTGTTTGCTGTAAAGGTGGCAGTTTCTGGAATCTTTGCAAACTACTGTGTGGTGAGAACGCAGGCGGTGTGCGCTTTTCGGAGAGTGATCTGGAGCTGCTAGCCCTTGCAGAGTATGTGAAGGAGCTGGAGACCGCCCTGGAGAAGCAGCGTGCGCTGTCAGCTTCTCAGCAGCAGGCGACACCCGCTCAGTCACATCCGGGTGAGCAGCCGCAGATCCCACTGAGACAACCCAAAATTTCTACTTTCAAATGAATTTGTGGAGCTTGAGAGATCATGACAGGCTTTTTGAAATATTGACAAGCTTCCCTGAGGTCATGTCCTGTCCCATGGCAGGCTCAGAAGCTGGCGGCAGCAGTGGCGGCTCAGGCGCGCAGCTCAGCAAGAGTGGTGAAGCAATTACTGTTCAGATTGAACATGGGCTTTCGCCATCCGTGAGACCTGTAGATGAGACAAAGGAAGGCCAGGAAAATGGCCCTGATGTGCTGGAGAGCACTGCTCCAGTGAGAAAAAAGAGCGTGACATGGTGGGGGTACATCACTGGAGCGGATAGGGCGACACCGGTCAAAAGGAGCAGATGATGTACAATGATGGCTGTTGCATTTGATTCATGGAATAGATATGTGATCTTTTCATGCATATTCACTTGATACCAACATTGAAGGTGTTGTGACTGGGCTTTTTGGTGGTCCTGAAGGCAAATTTAATACTACACTGAGCTCTCGAGACAGGCGGGTGCCCCCTCAGGCGATCTGCAGGACATGTGTTCTACTTTCATGGAACATCATATCGACCAGCCATACAGTGTAGTCCAGAAAGTGCATCGTAATAATCCTCCTCACAAGGACCTGCTTTAAACATTTTCATGCATAACAATTAAGCTGCATGACAGGCAGGACACGCTAGCCAACTACAGTCAGCGAATACGAAGAGGGTGCCATAAGCTTCATGCTAACTTAGCCTGATCTGTGAACAATGGGCCAGACAGCCTTGCTAGAGACAGTATTTGTCTATGAAGCTCATTCAACTGTATCTGCACATGCCTGAAGTATTGTAGAGTTGGTCACGACAAAAATTAGGCAGGGCACGCATAGATTAGCGGAATTCATGCCAAACGGGCGGAAGTGCATGTTGCAGCATTAGAAGAGCCTGTATGCTGCGGGGTTTCTTACTATCGATTCACTCTACGTGAACCACCCCCATGAGACTTGGCTGTATATCTCATCACTTGGGGCCGGGGCCTCCTGCCTTTGCTTTTGCCCTGGCAGCCACTGCTCGCCCGCGGCCTCCAACACCCATTGGCACGGCCTTCGCCTGCAGCAAAAGGCACTGAGTCACATGGAAGGTCTTTGCAGAGACATGCCCAGCCCAGGATCAACCAAGAGAGCCATAAGCAAGCCGAGCACAATACTGCAACACAATCGTCGCAACAGGATACCTTGTTCTTGGGGTCGATCCGCTTGAACATTGGCGCGTTCTTCAACATGTCTGGAATGATGACAAATCGGACTCTGCTGCCGCGGACGAATATGTGCTCCAGGTGACTTACTCGCCCGTCCTGCACAAGGAGCAGCTTTATAATTTGCCCTTCCAGCTCATTGGTGGATCAAAGCAGCCAATTCAAGTCGTTCTGCGAGGAACCCTTCTATAAAATACAAAGGTGAGCACCTTTGCTGTTGCAGTCACTTGTTTTAGCTGCACATTCCAACTGTCCTCTGCTTCTGCCAGCTCCCCTCTGTAGGTCTCACCAGACTTGAGCTCGACCTGTTCAACAAAGGATGTATGAATTGATTGGGAAAAGAAGTAAGAATTGCATTTTTATGAAAGGAACCATCCTTCACTCGCCATCAAACCCCACAGGTCTGCAGGCCTACCGTAATTACATGCCCCTCTGCCTCGTGAAGCAGCTTGACAGGAACGCCGACACCCTTTGCTGATGTCATTACGGTGTGCCCTGCTGCTCTATATGGTCCTGTAAATCACTAGAGAGCGCAGTAAACGAGATCAGGATGATGTTCCTTTTCTGCGCTTGTAAGATCAGCGGAGGAACCTGTCACACACGCGATGTACTGCTTCCCTTAAGCAAATAAACACACTGTTGAATCGGTCTGTCTGTCCAATGGGCAGTGTCCATGGTGCCCAAAGAGTTCAATGAAGGCGGCGGGGAAATGCGAAAATATCAAGGGAATTACAGTATGCATGCGTACTCCAGCGAACGTTGATCTCGATAAGATTGAACGGCAATTTTTGCATTATTTTTACATTGTGAACATATGGATTGCATCAGAAGGTGAAACTTCGGTCAAGATGTTGTCTAATTCTGTCCTGTCAGGCGCCCCAAGTGCCTACGTGAAGTCTAGCCCTCCACAATGCACTTCACAGCGAACAAGATCGATCATCAAAAGACCTTTCAATACTTCACCTCATGTCTGGCATCATCGGAGATCATGGACTTGCATCAGAGCCGAGGAAGGTGCGCTTTGCAAGTCAGAGCACCTAGTACAAGCGTCCGCTAATTTTCACGAGTGCTGTAGTCTTTGATCCTGGTTGAGCAAAATGAATAATACAAAGTTCCTGATCTCTGTGAGACTCATCAAAAAGTCAGTGAATCGGTGAGAGTATGTATCACCAAAACGCGGTATTGCACGAACAATGTGCCTCAGCTGAAGTGTCGTTGCTATGCATCAGGGCCTCTTGGATCCAACACATTGGGCGAGGTGCCTGAGGACAAGTATGAGTTTGACGAGGGTGCGGCGCAAGTGCAAAGACTTCTGCAGCGCGACAGGAAGGAGTTGACAGGCATAGAGGAGATCGGCGCTGGATTCAGAACAGAGTTTGACGAGGGGCCCAGCGACAAGAAAGAGGAGGAAGAGAAGCCAAGCACAAGTGGCAGATCAAATGGCAGCACTCCCCCTAAAGGTCTGTCTGCATCAGAGTGGTGCATGTGAATGTGGCAGCATGTCTCACATTTCTCACTAGAAGCATTGAAGCGCCTTTCACTGACTTTTGCAATGGCATGCAGGAGCAAGCAAAGGCGCCGTAGCTTTTGGCAAGTCTGCAGCTGCAAGTCCATTTGGGACTCCGAAGGGGAAATCGCCCCCACCCAAGCCCTTCACTGGTGCCGGGAATGCAAAACTCTTCAATGAGATGGACAACTTGAGCCCTTACATGGAGCCGGATGCCATGATCGACCAGCCTTGGTGGAAGTCCATAACGCTTGGGCAAGTGGTGCGCCTCTTACCCGCACGTACAAGATTCAATCGATGCAGCAATTCCTTTTCAGTATGAGCTGTCCAGCGAGTTTGTAAGCACATGCGGCAGTACCTCCGCTATGGCATCATGCCAATGGAGTCTTGGCAGTGTAGTGAGATTGTGGTGTGCGTGACAAGAAAACAAATGTAATGTGCGTGCAGCTCATCGTGCTCAGCTTCACCCTCATCATCAGCCTCATGATTGGGACCTTTGCAGTGGTCTTCAAGGCGGGAGGAATCCACTTCAATGAGTGAGACAGTCTTGCAAACAGGCTCTTTTATACTCCTTCCTGGAAGGTTATGATGAATGGGTAGCATTGTGAGGTGCCCAACAGGTCTAGAGATGTTCAGCTAATTTAGAGATGTGATATCTTTTCGCCCAATTATTGAATCGCGATGTGGTAAGGTGGATCAGGTAGCTTTCATCCAAAAAGGAGAGGTCCACAGTTTTGGCAAGAGGTAGCGACAGCATGCATGCTGTTGATGTCAACATCATATGAGAGTGCCACAAAGTAGATTTTGTGAGATCAGGCATGCGTTTGATGAGGATTCCAGAACCAAATAGCTAGAAATGTGAAGGAACTCATTTCTGAAGTTCAGATTCTGAGATGTAATGATTCAGAGATCAGATCTGGTAACTTACCGGTGGTTGAAGACCGGTGGTTGATGGAGACAAACAAGCGAGCTTAGCCCCATATATAGCCCCATAGCCCGGGCATATATATGGATTACATCCTATAACTGCTTGTGGCAAAGAGCAATACCTCTTGATTACCACGGGGCTTGCAAATTGAGTTTCACTGTGGGCCTCAGCGAAGTATCTCACCATAAAGGGTGAAGGGTTCCTCATGAACACGCTATTGCCTGAGCGTGAAGGATGGGCATATGCCTGCATTTCCCTGCTTTTCCAACTCCACAATATGTTCCGAGGACGGGCTTGGCAAACAGGAACAACATGCCACATTTAGCCACTGGCACCTCTGGGCTATAACCTAGCAAGTATTCAAACGTCAAAGTGTCCTTTAACGACCACCCGAAAGAGGAAATTGCATCGTGCTTGGTAGGCCTGTTGTATCACGGTGGCCAAAGCAGATGGGTGAAGAATGTTTTGTGACAGGCACTGCCATTTCTTAGAAGGCCAGCGAGGCAGAAGCTCAAAAGAAGCCGCCATTCTCTCTGAGCGCACTGCCTGCACAGCCCTAATCGGTATGATGTGTCACCCATCGAGAATCACATCACGTGCCACTGTCATCACATCAACCATGCAGCCGCTGGCTGCTCCTGGCCTGGCTGGGCCCTGCATCATCCTTGCGTTTGGCCTGTGGTCGCGTCCGTTCTGTGTGGTTGGCAGGCGCCGCATTGCCTGCAACCCCCTGCTGCCACCACCCCTCCAATTGTCAGACCCCTCAGGATGAACAAGCAATCCTGCCGCAGTAGCTCAGTATGCTACCTGTATAGGTACATTTCAGGGAGAGCATGGATCTCTTCCTGATGGCCAGCAAACATTACACAAATTCATGCGTGCCTCACTTCCTAGGCCCCATGTAACGGAAAAGTGTTTGATGAAGCTGCTGGGCACCCTGCTGCATTGTGTATGCTGCCGCATCCAACATGGCACCCGCACAGGGCCTGCACAATAGTCTGGCACGTGGCTGAAAAACCTCGCCCCTGTTGAGCAATGTTGCTTCCCAGCAGTTCACGCCCCAGTCTACTTTCTCATGTACCACCGTACACAGTCAGGCCAGGATGAGGCTCACCCTGGAGGCAGTTGCATCATTGCGCTGGGCATCGCGCGAATCGTTTGGCGGCGCGAGCGCGGCGGCATTCAGCTTGAAGCCGAACACGCGCGGGACATAGCGATCTGGCGGCTGCTGCGGCCGCATGCCCGGGTATGACATCAGCAGGAGGTGTGGGAATGTCGTGCCAAAGAAGGCGCCGTCCACATTTCCCTGCACAGCAGAGGATATCATACAATGGCTTGTCTTGATGACCGACATCGCCGGTTGGGTATACGAGAAAAATTGCACTCGACGCCCATATCTGTGGCCAAAAAGCTGGGGATATTTAAGCTGGGGAGCACAGGGGAATCCGCACCTGGTACTTTGAGCGCGGGTAGTAAGTCTCCTGGCATTTGGGGCAGAAGATCTTCACTGTGCTCTGTCTGGGCACGTCGCAGGTGCCGACAGGCAGGCAGGGCTGCCCGTTGCAGAGCATGCGCGGGCAGCGGCCAAACTCGCACGCCTTGTACTTCTCATACATGGCCCCCATGCCACGGCTGGTGAGGATGTAGCGAACATGGATGAGGCCATACAGAGTCTCCGCCGCGCTCTCCACGAGCTCATGCTGCTCATCTGTCAGGATCTCTGTGCTGGGCGAGTCAGCGTCCAGGATCAAGTCCAGCGCATAGTCATAGTAGGACACCTGCGCTCAAGTATGACACAGCACAAATGTCAGGCAAGTCATAGTGTGGCCATGTCAGATGCGCACAAGAGTATGACATCCAACTCTTCTCCAGACAGGAACTGCAGAGGTTCATCAAGCAGCAAAAAGTATTGTGACAGGGATCAAACCTAGACCAGCCCACCAACTTTCTAGTATAGTAGGACCATACAGGCCTGACTTGGCACCAGCTCACCTGGCTGCTAAGGCCGCTCAGGTTGAAATCGTCCTGTATGAACTCCTCGTCCACCTCGCAGAAGAACTCGTTGCCCTTCAGTGAACAAAACCAGCCAATCCATGCTGCTACTTCGTCCTCACTGCCTGTTGCTTCCTCAGAAGACCCACTATCCGTGTCTGAAACCAAGTCAACCTCAAAGCCTGCGTTGGACATGCCTCCAGACGCTTCTGGTAGACGCTCTCGGGTCAGCGCAACTGAGCACCGCACCAACCCAAAGAGGCCGTCACTCCTATCCGGGAGGCATCTGCTCGAAGCTCTCCAATCAAAAGACCTCAGGAAAGATCGTAAAGACTTGCATGCCGAAAAAAATGATCTCTGTGTTGCGCAGGAGGTCGGATGGTCTCACTAGGCACCAGAGAATCTCACTCAGAGCCCCCAGGGTGCGCCAGCAACTATAAATTCAGGAGCTACGTCAGATGCCATCCACAATCATTGAGATCAGACAGACCGTATCAACTCCAACCACTCTCCAGAGCTGTCCAAGCCTTGGCAACCATGTGCCAAAATTTTGCAATTGCTTACGGTTTTGCGGCAAAAGTTTTGCTCCAGTCATAAACTGGCGCAACATCCATCGGCGAAACGGCACAACAGTCCACTTGCTCCAGCACTTGCCGGACTCCGCAGTTGCATTCCACCCGGCCAATTTTTCTTAACGATGCCAAAGGGGAGATAGCGGCAGTCATAGCGCTTGATCAAGAGTCAATAATGGTGCGGCCTGCAAAGTTGGCAATTGTTTGTGTTTTCCAAGAATTGCTTCCCAAATTGATATATTGTATCGCTGCGCAGGTCAATGCATATCTCCTCGTGTATAATGCTTCGCTTGCTGCAGGCTGGTCCGTTTCTTCACATACATGCATGATGGTAGCCTTATCTCCGAGCGTAATCTTGAAGTCGGGTTGTCGAAGGACAATGTCTTCTGGAACTCAACTATTTATTATGGCTGCTGTGCAGGGCATACGTTGCTTTTCTTGTAGGAAGTACCGTTTACAACGGTGGCTGGACAAGAGAGGTGTACGAGGTAGTGCTTCTCCCCATGCACTTTCTGTCATATCCATTCTGTTGCCTTGGATCCAAGGTATCCTTTGCTAAATTTATCATTTTGCAACGCAGACGGTGTCGCTCCCATTAAAGATCGCTCAGTCTGCTGCAATTGCTGAGGTGCGTCCCAACTGTCTATATGCCGCCTCCTCCAGCTGACCAATTCTCTGCACAACTGCTGTGTCTCACTCGTGCAGATGATGACAGGTGTTCCACAGCGTCTTGGGAGTTGTGAAGGCGCCCTTCTTCACAACATGTAAGCGCCCTGCATACACTCTACTGCTAGTGTCCTTGTGGCATGCAATCCTTAGACACCAGGCAGTGAAGGCAACTCCTGCAGTGGCACGTCGAGCAAAGTCTATGCTTTGCAGTCATCCAGGTCCTGTCTCGCTACTGGGCACTATGGGGCATAGTGGAGGTTGCTCCTGAAGCGACCAGCACAGGAGCTCTCACCCTGCTGAAGGCTGGGCCCGTAACACTCCAGCTGAACATGATCACTCTGCTGTTCTGCTGGAGCGTGACAGAAGTCCTGCGCTACGGCTTCTACGCAGTCAAGGTGATAAACTTACCCACAGCTCCATCTGCGGGCAATTTGCTATCAATCTAAATAAGAAGGAGGGCATGGGCTCATACAATACTCAGGAAACTGATGGGTCACCTTGGCGCAGGAATTGGGCATTATGCCGTACCCTCTGTTGTGGCTGCGCTACTCCACGTTTGTGATTCTGTACCCATTGGGAGTCGCCAGCGAGATGACAATGGTGTACCTTGCGATGCCAGTCATCCGAAAGGAGCGGCCGCTCAGCTTCAGCATGCCCAACAGCTTCAACTTTGCTTTTGACTACTACGTGTTCTGCTGGATTGCCATAGCATGCTATGTGCCAGGCTTGCCAGAGCTGTACTTCCACATGCTGAGGCAGCGCAAGAAGATCTTGGGGGCACCAGCCAAGGCAGCGAAGAAGACGGCATAATTTGGGCAATCCTGCTCGGACGATTAGCTGACATTCAGTACTGTAAGGATTGCAGTACAGGCGGAATTGCAAGAACTTGAGAGAATGCCAGTCGAGCAGCAGATCTTGTGATGCTTCTTCAAACTCAACTGAACTGCTCCCTGTGCTACAAGCTTGTAGCCCTTTCTGATTGCATCTGGCACTGGAAGAAACCGAAACCTATGCTCGAGCATAGTACAGTTACAACGTTGTGCAACTGCCCACGTGGATTGCTGACAGTCACACAGGGAGGAGCCATCAGGCCTCCTGATATCTGAGTTCCAGCTCATCATGAGGCTTGATCACGTCTGTAATGTCTTTTGCTGTGGTCCTGTTGCACTGTTTGGAATGCCCTCCACTTGCTGCCTGAGCTCCTTTAGTTGATCATCTTTGCGCTGCAGCTCAAGTTGCGCTGTTCTGAAAATGCATGATATGTTGCGCACAAGAGTTTCTCTCTCCTCTCGCAGCTCATCCCTCTGCCAAAGAAGCACACACATGTCATGAGCATCCGGGGGGGTGGGGGGGACACTGGCATGTAGCATGCACCAAATCGTACATGACTACACGCACCTCGGCCTCTGCTGCTTCCAATCTGAGCTTCAGCTCCTCAATAAGAGCTTCCTGTTCCTCACTCCTGTGTCTGAGCTGTGGAATACACAAGAGAGGCGTCAATCAGCTCTGCATGTACATATTAAGTTCAGAGAATATGGCATGATGCAGGAGAGTATGCCATGAGAGTACTGCCTGATCCCTCAGCAGAGGTGTGCAAAACTAGATATCAGCAGCGCATGCATGCAATGCCTTGGAGCGTTTCAGGCTTGCCTCAGCTGTTTGGATTGGCAAAAGCCCCTCCCCAGCCCCATCCCGAGCGAACAGATCACCATACAACTCTTCAGCTCCCGCCTCACCTTCAGACATTGCAAGACGCAGCATGTCATCTTCTATCCAGAGCCTTCATACTTATTTGACAGGCAAATACCGTTATCGAAAGATTTTTGATTTATATAAGATGTGAAGAACCTACACCTCCATCAGTTGACGGGGAGTTCTCTTCGTCCTCGTATTCATCATAATCTACTTCCTCTTCCATTCTTAGCGGTGACTTCATTAGAGTAGATAAAAGTACAAGGACCTCTTAGTCCTTGTATAGACCCTAAATGACACACCGGACCCGAAAAACGAATTAGAATATATTAGAAAGAGGATATCCAAGAATGATCAGGCCAACCATGTCAGTCCAGCAAAGTATCAGTTCCTGCAGCTGATCAGGGCTATGATGTGTGCAGAATTATAATGAGAAACTGTTATGTCGGACAATTGGTTCCATTTCAATGTCTGAGATGCGATTGAAACAAAGAGAGTTGGCCTGCATCCACAGCCTCGAGGGTTTGCTGTGCAAACCCTCTGAGCACCCTTTCAAATTCAGCCCCAACAGATTCAATTTTGGGCAGATCCTGGATAGATCTATCCACTGTATACACATGCTGCCCACAGGCAAGACAAAAGCAAGAAAATCATGCACCGAGGAATGCCATAAGATTGGCCGTAGCCAACCGATGTGACAGTGTTGGGCTCGCACCCTGGCAGGTCTAGATCTAGGACCGCCAGCGAGTCCATTCATGATGAAGTTCAATTCAACTCGGGCTTACACTTGTGTCGCCAGTAGGATGTTCCTGAAGGTCTACAACATTGTCCTGTCTGGAGGAAGTGCCGGCATTTGCATCCTCCACATCATCATCATCATCAAGTCTTTACCAAAACACAAACGTCCATTTTGCCAATGATAAGGTGAGCACCAAAGGTCCTGCAATACAGTCGCAGCGCAATCATCCTTTGCAAAATCCAACGGCTGCTATCTCCTCCACATGTCTGTCTGCTCCAGGTCCACCGCATCCTCCCACCATGTTGACCTCTGAAATAACAAGACACTTGTTGGAAGAGCCCAGGTATGGTGTGCACAGCTTGACATAGCAAACAATACCTTGCATGTGCCCTACTTCACTCAATGATGAGCACTGCTGACATAATAATTTCTGCCAGAGAAGACAAAACCATAAGCTGCACCTTGTAGCCGCGGCGCAGGAACTGCAGGGCTGATCCCTCCTCCTCTGTGTCCAAGCCCATGGCTGCCATCATCTCCTCCTTTGCCTCTCCAAGGTTGTACCGCCTCTCGTCCTCGGCAATGCATGCATACTGCCCGTTGTCTTGCCGCAGCATCACCTGCACCGGGTCAAAGCACCATCTCTGAACAACGTGCCATTGCCATCCAAAGTCCAAGTTATACACTAGAAGAACAAAGCCCACACAGACAAAGCAGGCCAGGCCTCACCTGCCACGGCCCAGGGTACTCCCTGAATATGCAGCCGCTGTAATTGATGATGAAGGGGGACACTGCCACGCTCTGCATGAACAGGACATGTGCTCAGAAATGCTCAAATGATGGGAAGCCGTATTGAAGTCTGTCTTACTGGCCGCCAACAGTGCAGGGGCCGTGTACCTTGGAGTAGTCACGCTGCCTGATGTAGAAGACCGGAGTAAATTGACTCAAGAAGCGGTATTGCAGTTCCTTGGGAGGGAAGCCCAGCAAGCCTACAGGCATCACACACTGCCGGCTCAGCATCGGAGTCATCCTTTCACGGTGGGTCAATTGGATCCCTGGGATCACCAATAAAAAGGTCTGTACTGGTGGACCTCATATGTTGCTCACCCAGATCAGCTCTGAGGGTGTCAACCTCCAGATTCCACAGCACCAGAGGGCGCTCTCCAACAATCTCCTCAATATAGCGCTCCAGATCGGGCAGCTCAATCGTGGAGGCATTTACAACAATGAAGACGTCTGCCTTCCTGGCAGCCTGACTCAGTGTCTCAGCATCTGCGTCCGGCACGCTGCCAAAAAAATTGAAGCTGCTGAAGACTCCCTTGCTGTTCTCCTTCAGGTGGCCCATTGAAATACCGTCTGCCAGATCAAGGGCCCCCTTGAACCTGCAAGGACATCAAGGATCCTCTAAAAAGTTTTCACAACTGAACTGGGCAGAAGAACGCCACCTACTGCATGCATGCACAATAGGGTGTTAATAAGAAGTGCATGGGGAGAAGTGCTTCGCACATCTTGTACGATCGATTGTATTCACCCCCATCTGGGACAAGGATGTGCACGCGCTTGCCCGACTCCTTCACAAGCTGCAGGGCACAGACATAAGGTTGGAGAAACAACGTTTGCCAAGCCATGCGTGTGAACTAGTGTGCTCACAGCATGCGTCCAGCTTTTCAACCTTGGCTGCACCGATCAATGACTAGGCTGCAGGTTTGGGTGATCATCTCTTTTAGTGCAGCTCACAATAGGGAGCACTCACTATTCTCGATGCTGCAATCGCCAGCTGGATGTTGGAATCAATGAACCAGTCTGAAGCACCTTTGTAGCCTGCACACCACAGGATATCAGTCAGATGCCTCTTTGTGATCTACAAGAAGGAAAATTGCCTATGGCCTGGCCACTCACCGTCTATGTTACCAGGAAGGGCAGGAAACTCCACTTCCAGCCGCGTGAGCCCATCACCGATCGCAGCTCTCACTGAAGCAGTGGCGTCGTTGACCAGCTCTTGGAAAGATGATGGTCGATACGTCTGCCTTCCTGGCGCCCTTCGTTTCTTAGACTTTTCTTCTGTCCCAGGGGTTTCTGCCACTGTCTCTTGCTCCTGAGTAGATGCTCGAAGAGGCACGGATCTGGAATTATTTTGTGTGCTAAATGCATGCTGCAGCACTCTTCTGCTACATGAAGCGGGTTCCGAAGTAAGGGAGGCTGGCCGAGAGCATGACGCTGTGCACCTCAATCTGACAGGTTGAATATGCACGGGATGTATCTCTGACAGTATAGTAGAGCGATTCATCTTGTATTGTATTCTAGAACTATTGTGCATCGACTTGCACAAGGATGGATCTTGATCAGACGACAGATTGGCCACGCTGATATCAGTCATGCTATCGTGGCGCATGAGTCACAATCTGGGGTCCAAGAAGGGTGCTTCAGCTGTTTGGGTGATCGAAATTATCACTGGAGGTGTAGTACAGTAGACAGAAAATCTTTTGGAAAGCAATAGTCATACCTTCTCGATCAACCAGTCGACATCCTGATGCGCAGCGATCACTGATGTTTCTATCAAATCTCTCAGTCTGGGCTATTAGAGATCATTGCATATATTGCTGTTTTAAGCGAACAACAATAGCAGCATGAATCGAATCTAGTCCACTCAACACGCCTGGTGCAGCTTCCCAATACTCGACGGTCACTTGACTTAGTGCCATCGAAGAGCAAATGGAAGTTCCCTAATTTAGGATGCCATCAAGGGTCCAGCAACAATCACACCGCGACACGCAAGGCAGAGGCTTGCAGAATGAGCTCACTGACTACGACGAGAGCCTTCTACTAGACCGCGCATTCGTGCAAACTCCCGCTCATGGGTGTGCTGCCAGCACGCATTCACTCTTTGTAGAGCATTATTTGCGAGTGTGTGGACCTCATGCAAGATCTGCCTGACATGCATGACAGTATGGAGAATCTGTCTGCAGGTTTGGCTTTGGTGGGGACGAAGAGGCTGGCACAGGGCATGTTGAAGAGCCAGGTCCCATCCTCAGCACCGCGCTTGCTGTCTTCTGCTACTGGGCATGCGCATGCGCATACACCGTGTTCCTCTTCATCCCAATCTACGACACTACCTTGGATGATTTTCACATCAAGGTGAAGTCACGCCCTACCAGACATCAGAGCTGCCATGCAAGGGCAGTGCAGTCCTTACATTGTAAAATTAATTTTTGATTGCATGCAGGCATCCGCGCACATCTTGCTGCTGTTCCTGGCGCTGCTGTTGGAGTCGTACCTGCGGGTGCAGCACAGGAAGCGGCAGCAGGCTGGCTTCCTTGCCTTCTACTGGAGCACTCGTGGGCTGCTGTCTATCCCCAGCCGTGTCACAGCGGTGGGACAGGTGTTTCATCTCCCCTTCCTGCCTGCGTGGACCTGTTTGGAAGTACATGGATGGTGCATCGTGAAATGCTGATATGAATCTCACTTATTCCAGTAAAGCCACCACCTCTAATGATGACATAACCCTAATTACAACCAGCTCAGCCACCACCTCCGATCCAATTATCAGTGTTTCACACTCATGAGATGCCTGTGCGCAACAGGGCGTGGTGACGATGGTGGCGTTCTGGCCGGACGTGCCTGCGCAGCTGAACCAGCTGCGCAAGCTGCAGCTCATCACATGCATCGAGCTGGCCGCCATCACTGCCTTTGCGGTGGCGTATGCCTACCAGGTCTGGCGCCACAACCACGAGGCGCAGCCAGATGCGCAGCTGTACCTGCGCACCCCTCTGTACCCCACCCCAACCCCCTCCCACAGGTGTGGCCGACTTCAAGTCCCCTACGCTCCCAATTGTTATATATTACTCTGGTCATCAGTAACCAGATGACCTGCAGATGGGGCACCCTTTTACAGCCTGCATAGCAGGGATGCGTGAGAGATAGGCCTCATTTTCATATCTTGACGTTTTGATGCTCCCAGGTGCCTGAACCAGTCCGTGGTTGCCAGAGTGTGGGTATGGTGAGACTGTGAAGTTTTACAGTGTTTTTTGTAATTTTTTTCTGGCATTTGTGCTCAGGGGGACTGGGGCGGTGGTGGAGCACCAGGCGGAGGCCATGCGCTGGCTCAGCAAGCGCTGCCAGAACCTGCAGCGCGAAGTACTGCGCCTCAGCATCGCCAGGGACAGGTGAGCTGTCCTCCCGGCCGCCGCATGCACCGCAATCTTAATGCAAGGACGTTCTTATGTGCCACCTCGTGCTCAATGCACAATCTGCTCTAAATGATGACATATGTACATGCCAATTCTGCACATATACCACTGCAGGCCTGTGTCAGAAAGGAGACATGATATTCATCGAGGTATCCCCACTGTCACTGGAGTTCGCATCCGCTGCAGCTGCCGGCAGCCAGAGCGCGGCCATGTCGGCCACAGGCAGCCTCCTAGGGACTTCTGTAATTTAGACTGGACAGACGTGTTCTCAAGGGCGGTATTGCACCATCAGAGAGTAAAATGTAGGGTGTGGTGCTAGGGAGGAGGAGGGGGTGAGCGCCGGGGTTGATGTGTGCCGGACGGATTTGGAGCACCGGCTGGCGGCGCGAGAGAGGGAGCTGCGCGCGCTGGCGGCCGAGAAGGACGTGCTGTCGCAGCAGGCGCGCGCCGCGTGGAGCCTCCTTGATGAGCGCACCGCAGCCGCGCACGAGCTCGAGGTCCGCCCACCACCCTGCACTGAGAAGCTATCTCGGCAATTTATGGGTATATTTTGTCTGTCTGGCTCTCCGAAGGGCTCTCCTCAGTAATGTCCTGAGCAGGTTTGTAGATTGCTTTCTGGAATCAGCCAATTATTGCCAATGGTCCAAGAGGCAATCTGCCTTTGACAACCTCGCTTCAGGAGGGGTGCTGTGGTGCGCAGTTGTGACAAAACGATGGTGGTGGTGCTAAATAAAGGCTTGGCCCTGGCAGGTGGTGAAGCAGCAGCAGATGGATGAGAACGCCAGGCTGCGAGCCACCCTGGAGGAGTGGAGCCACCGCAACGCCAGGTAACCTCTATATGCGCCCATCCTCTGATCAGGCTCTTGCGGCCAAGAGTGTGAATATAAGCTACACATCCTGTTGTGCCTTGCTGAGCTGGCTTGCTGTGTGCAGGTTGGAGGCACGGCTGAACCGCACTCAGGGCCGACTGGGAGACGCGCTGACGCAAGCAGCAGAGCTGCGGCGCTCGAGCGATACAAGCCCAAGCGGCAACAGCAGCCAGTCCTGATCGCTGCCTAGAGATGCTATTTGTAGTGCTGGAGGATGCATTCCTTTTTGTCGCAGTCACATCTTCAAAGTATGAGATTGTCAGCGGAGAGAAGTTTGTCAGTGTGGGTGCTGCAGCAGCAGAGCTAGCCAGAAAAGTATGAAGGTACAGAAAGGTACATGAAAACCATCAGTGCAGGTCAAAAGTTTCAGGAGTTTGCTTTGGCTTCAGATTCCAAACAGGTTCATGGCACGGCCATTTGCCAAATCAGCCTCTCCACGATAGTAATGGCACCAAGCTCACTCTGAGCTTTTGACATACTCGATCGCCTTGGCGCAGATAACAGTCATGGAGGTCTCAGGCCCAAACACCTCCACAGGGATGCCTGTGTCAGTGCCCAGCTGACGCATGAGCGCGAGGCCAGCCTGGTAGTTGGGCCCGCCCCGCCTCACAAAGATGCGCATCTCGGCCGCCTTTATCGCATCCGCCTTTTCCCGCATCGCCTGCGCAGAACCTCAGGTCATTAGCTCAAAGAGATCCCGGATGCATCAGTGTTTACATGATATGCCCTCTATTGCTCGGAGCCATGGACTCTCTCTCCTCAGGGAATTGATCAGACGAGGTGGACAGACTAATCTGCGTAAACGGCGCGGAAGGCATGACTCTTGCACAATGTGGCAGGTACAACCAGGATGCACAGAATGAATGATGCAGGCGCTGTTGGGCGCACCTGGATGATGCCCTTGAAGGTGGCGGCCACGTCTGTAAAATTGGCAATGCCGCCGCCGACCAGCAGTGCGCGTGCCCGCCCGTCTGCGCTGGAAGTCGCCACGTCCAGCAGAGTCTTCGCGTACGCATACGTCTCCTGCAACAACAGATTGTGGCTCTCACCTCCAGCAAGCAGCACCAGCAACAGACCTCCTGCTGTTCACTTGGTTGCAAAAGTGAATGACGCTTGCAAGGCCTTGCGCAGAAGTAGGCTCAGGCTCTGGGCCCTTGATCTCTGGTGAGAGCCGCTCAAGAGGCGGTGAGAGGATGCCTGACAGAATACGCCCTGATGTTCATTCGAGGAAGCATCATCAGGCCAAGTGCTGGGCATTGTGCAATTGCACGCTTGTCACATGGCGAAGCAGTCCTCCCTCCCTTCTTGGCACACGCCCTGCCTTGCTTTAATCGCAGAGTGCGAGGGGGAACTTACCGCGGTGTTGGGGGCGCCGGAGTACTCGGCGTAGTTGCCCAGCTCATCAGCGTAGCCGAGGTCGCCCACGGTGTCCGCGTAGATGACCGAGGCACCGCCGCCGGCGACCATGGTCCAGATGCGTCCCTTGGGGTTCAGGATGCTCAGCTTGAGGGAGGCGCCCGTCTTGCCGTCCAGCTCGTGCACATACTCCTCCGCCGCCGTCATGCTGCGCCCAAACGGCAGCGGGAACTCCAGGTCCCCCCACCTGCGCCACCCCGAGGTTGGCCATCAGACAGCAGCCTAGACTGAAGCCCAGCCACTTGAAAATGATACCAGCATAGGGGAACTGCAGCCCACCGGGTTTCCAATCGACGTTCATAATTCCACCTAGCATACTAGAAAAGGTCTCGTAGTCAAACCGAGCTGTCACAGCAGTATGTTGGACCTGTGGTTGATGAAGACTCTTGCAGCGCTGATTATTCAAGCCTCTTATAGAGGAGGGGCTTGATATGCTGTCATCAGGTCCCCCTGGTTGGTGCCATGCGGCATGCGTCTACCCATGTGCGGCAAGGACTGTGGTTCCTTGCACTGGCGCTGCAACTTGTGGCACTGCGGGGTGAGCAATAAGTGGGGCTCACTTCTTGCCGGACTTGAAAGCGGCGGTGTCGTCGAGCTCGCCGCGCATGTCGAGCGGGAAGGGCTTGCCCTCAGAGTCCAGCGTGAACGGATTCATCTCCATCAGCGTGAAGTCCAGGTCCAGAAACACCTGCCACAGGAAATTTTCCACCTTCAGGCACTTGTTCGCCCAGGAATGCTGAGCAGAGCTTCCCTGAACGGCAGGCCTGCATCCCCTGAAATGATTTTCGAATAAGTTTCTCGTGCAAGGAAGTCCTGGCGTCGGCCTGACTTGAACTGCCCTCAACACGTGTTCAATCTGAATTCCATCATGCTACCATCTCCTGAATCCTTTGCAAGCCTGCCACTGTTGATCAGAGTTTGATATCATGATTTTCTAGTGAACGGCTGAACCCAATGTTTTTGAGTACGGGCCATTCCACGCACAAAAATACTGGAACAGGGTGGGGCCCTGCCTCGTAGCAGGCCTGGATAAAGGTCTCCATGTCTGGGCGCAGCTCCAGGGGGAGGCTGGACAGCAGCGGCGCCAGGCTGTCATTGGTCGCCTCTTCCTCAACCGCCAGCGTGACCTTCTTCACCTTGTCCCAGTTCTCCTCGATCTCCACTCCACCCGCCTCGCTGAAGCTGATGTCATTGCCCAACCGGTTCGACTGCACCACACACCGAAAGCGCTTCAGCCTCTCCAAAGCGCTCAGGAAGCGCACATTGCTCCTGCAAGAAGGCAGGCCAGCAAGTCTCCATCATGGCCACTAGCAGGCTGTGACTGTGGGCAGCTTGTCTCTGAAGGCAGGTAAATTGCTGGGAGCTGACCACACCGGTGAGCTCAGGAACAAAGACACACATGCAATGCTAGCCTTGTGCTCTTCATCAAGGCAATTGCTGGCTGAGATGTATCGTGGCAGACCTGGATGCAGAGGTAGTACTCCTGCTTGTGGGGTACAAAGGGCTCCACAACGAATGTGTTGATGCCCCCCACGCAGCCATCCATGTCCACCACCTTGCCCATGCGAGCCTTGATGAAGGCCTCCACGCCTGGAAAGTCCAGGTTCAGCCCCACTAGGTCGTGCTTGCCGCGCTTGCCAAACAGCATGTCCGGCTTCACCACCAACTTGGTGGTCTTCAGCCATGGGTTGGCGTCAAGCAGCTCCACAAAGTTTGTGTCTGCTCGAACCTGCAATGCCAACTATGCCCGTCAGTCAAGGCTGTAGCCTGCTCTTAACTGCAGGGAGCCGTCCTCAATTAGGTATGATTGACACAATATCGTCAATACCAAAGACCGGAGAGATAGAGGCCGACAACATCTAAATAAGCGGGTGAGTCTAGCTTGCAAGATGGAAGATTCCTGCACAAGGGAAGAGGCCCCATGAGTCCAGCACGGCATCCAACGACCTCCATTGGACTCGATATATTTTCTAACACGATCTGAGCATAACAATGGCTTCTACAAGGCTCCCCTTCCCAAAGACATCCGCTCTCACTGGGCACAGAGTCTTGAAATTCCCCCAATCTGACCATGTGCATTGATCAGAACTACACTCGATAGACTTTGGATGGCATGGGATCATCCCAGCCTCCTTTTATGACCACGTCTATCACCCGTGACGAAGGAACCGACCAAGGTCATGAAGCAACACCAGCGTCTTGTCACAGGGTGAAAGCACCTGAGCGACATTCAGCGGCAACTTGATTCCTTTCAGACGCAATATGTGTGCTTTAAGAAGGCGTTTCGAGTCATATTCTCTGATTTTCTTGCGCGCCATCCCTTGGAATTTGGAAAATAAGTCGCCTTCTACAGGAGCTGCGTTGTACTTTGCCTTACACAAGATCCAAGTGTCAGTTTGTTTCAAATGTTGACCGCACTGTCTGGTGCAATCTGTGCATCTGGGAACATTACATTCACAAGCTGGGGCGTCTTGGGCCCCCCGTTCACAGGTGGCGTTTCACATCTGCTGCAGATGATCTGCATGCAAGACGTTATGGACGTCCATCGTCATTTAGTCTCTTCTTGTGGATTCCCCTGCGTTGGAAAGCCGCATGCGATCCTTTTGCAATAAGGTTCACGTTGAGGATACTGCAACCAATGTCCCATGCTCCTGACTCATGCCGTTCGAAGATCTTCTTACTTGCTGTCATTGTATCAGACTAATGTGCTAAGAGGTTCACTGAACGTGTTAATCCCTTTGGCGGAGCATATGCAAGCGTCGCCCCTGTCAGTTTCGACTGATGTCGATGCCGATCGGTTGAGCCATGCTGTAAGCCCCTTAGCAATACACAGTTGAAGATGAACACACTTGTCGACCTGCAACTCTGTAAAAGGAGTACCTGTCTTGAAGATCACCCCATTCGTCCATTGTATTGAAGAATGTCAAAGGTGCAGGAGAAAAGAGAGGCTGAGATCATTAGCGTACAACAGATCACCCCAACAGTGAAGCTCTTCCAAATTGGCGTGGTGAGCTATACTCAAACTTTTGCACACCTGGTTCTGGCACATTCAGTCCTTCTCAGTCACTCACTATATTTGTATTTTGCACAGGCAGACGGGCAACTCCCTTTCTCACCAGGGCAGTGGGTGGATTTTTATGCCCCCAATGTGGCACATGTGGGAGGTTACTCAATCTGCTCCCCGCCCAGCCAGATGGAAAGGTCCAATACCCTTGACTTGGCCGTCAAGCTCTCCAGCTACCCACCAGCCATCTGGCTCCATGAACAGGCATGCATCCTATTGGAACTGCCTTCTTCCTGTGTAACTGCTGGTATCACCGTTCTTGCTTGGGAAGTAGAAGGATGTCTGTTCGTGCAGGCTACTGCCGGAACAAGGGTGAAGCTGCAAGTTGGCGGTGACTTCTACCTATCCCAAGAAGATCTCAGGCGTCCACTTCTATTCATTGCTGGAGGGATTGGCATCACACCCATCGCATCCATGCTAGCCCACTTTGCTGACCAAGTAGGTGCGGTAGACAGCTGCACACCTTCCTACAGAAAAAATGTTTTGATAAAGCGCAGAAGCAGGTCCTGAATCCCTGGGATCTGATCATCTGCAGACTTCTAAGGAAGGAGATCAGCATGGGAAGTCTCAGGACATTCAGCTTCCAACAGCAGTGTTGCTGTACTCTGCCAGCACTTCAGATGAGCTGGCGTTCAGAGGCCACTTTCTAAGTTTGGCTGAGCAGTTGAGAGGTGTGATCGTGCCTCCAGCAGACTCCAAGTGATTGAGATACCATCTTTCAATAGGATTAAAAAGTGACTGCAGACTTGTGTGCATGCAGGGAAATTGCGGCTACATTTCTTTGTGACCAAACAACGCGATGGCAGTGACTCAAGCAATGGACAGTTGAAGAGAATCAGGAAGGAGGATTTAAGAGAAGCTCTGCAGGCCCTCAGTCCTGAGCCTGCATCAGGCACTCCAAAGGTCTTTCTGTGTGGTCCCCCAAGCATGCTTGATGAGATCTCGGATCAATTGTCACAGCTCGAGGTGGACAGGGATGACATCAAGTTTGAGAAGTGGTGGTGAAATACTTGAGATCTGTGTGATGACAATGAACAAATTATAGTCCTTCCTTCAGTGCCTTCCTAGTGCCAACTGTGTAATTTCAAGGGCCCAGAGAGACCTCAAGCATGTCTGACTCTTACTGAAGACCTGAAAGCATGGTTGTGCATTATCCTGGTCTTGCCTAGTGCGCTGACTGTAAATTTTTGTTGCATGGGCTTGCTGTATTACAAGCAGCATAGTACTGCGTCTCTACTGATCAGAAGATGCCAAGTTCTGATCCCTTATCCAAATGCCCTCCTGCACTTGTATCCTGCAAGTCTCACTGCAGGGTCACATGGTATGGCAGTGGTCCTGAGATGCCGCGCAGCTTGAGATACGCATGTGTCAGGCCAGCTCTCAGACTGGCGCTCTGCTGCTGGAGGGCCTGGAAGGCCAGTCCTTGTGAGTGCAGCCCGCTGCCACGATCTGTCAGCAGCCGCAGCTTCTTTGCCCCCTCTCCAGCCTCCTGCAATCCCCCAGAGTGAAACAATCAGAATCCCCAGAACTCCACCACCCAGACAGTCCTGGGCGGACCCAAAATTATTGGAACGCCAAATGAAATTTCACATTCGCACCTGCAGTGCTGCGGCAATGCGCTGCAGCTCATGCAATTCAGTCTGTGCACGCTTCAGCGCATCCTCACGACCAGCCTCACTCTTGTCAGGACTCTGCATGCCACACAGCTGTTCATGACGGACCACAATCTGACGCCATGCATGGTGAGCATCCACTACAGCAGAGTATTCCAACAGTGTCCTGAGCACGGGAACTTGATGCATTGCACACACCATGCCAGAAAGCTTCCTCTGCCATTCCTGGAGGCGCCAGGACATGCACTCGTGTGAAGCCGCCAGAATGGCGACATCAGAGCTTTTGAGGGTCAATTCCAGCCTTGCAACGCCTGCTCCAGGTGATGTGGTGGAAGTAGAAAGCAGGGCTGCATGCATGCTGAGGGTGGCGCTATTGCAGCCAAGCGACACAACGCCTGTCACGTTGTTGCCACCCATCAGGCCAAGGGCGCCTGTTGCTCTGCCATAGTCGTCTGCTGTGCACCACAAAACAACTTCACAACAGCCAGCCTTCTACGGTATATACACAGGCAGACTTCTGTGGGGGGGACATATTTTGCTGGTACATCAGAAACGATGGGGATCTCTGATTGGTCATCACCTGGGGGATGCAGGCAGTCATCGACTCCCACAGACAGGACTTGCTGCATTAACTGGGATGCGGTGGGCATGGAGGACAGCGCATGCACCATCACGCTCAGCGAAGCTGTGCGCTGCTGCTCAGTGTTTCCTGCGACAGCACCACAAAGTATAAAGTGCAGAATCGCTTGACGCACAGGCATTGTGAACATTGTTATTCAAGTAAATAAAAGCACTTTTTTCGGGCATCCTATGCTGCTATTGACTGCCATGGACAGCAGCATGAGTGGCGCACCAGGGAGGCAGGCACGCTCATAGGCAGTCTGGAAGGGCACTGGCCGCATCAAGAGCAGCAGGTCGATGCGCACTCTTTTCAGCAGCGCTGTTGTACAATGCCCCTCAACGGCACCCTGCACCCATCATGATATGCATCAGAATCACGGTGTCCATACATGCCTTACTTGTGCGAGCCCTTCAGTGCAGCTGCAGGATTGTTGGGAGATACCTGCTTCTGCACGTGGCACAAATAAACGGACACCTCCAAAGAGCTAGTCTGCATCCCCTCAACTGTGAAGCTGTGCTTCCAGGTGCGCCCCACTGGCAGGCCTTTCAAAGGAATGGCCCTTTGCATGGCACACCCTGTCAAGCCACGCTTGCATCAACCTCCACCCCTGTTGCATGAAATTTCAATGCGCAATCCTCACAGGAATGGGCCAAAGGAGGGCAAAGTTCAGAGCAGCACAGTAGTACCACCTTGTGATACTTTGGGCAGCATCTACCTGTCCGCTCACCACCGGGCGGCAATGGCGCTTTGCTGACAATCTGTACGCTCCAAGACTGGGTGACTGGATAGGGTCCAGTGTTCTCCAGCCCAACAGTGAGCAGCACATCCGGTGCAACACCCCCAGCGGCGGCCTGGACAGCTGCCTCCACCCAGCAGTGCAAGTTGCGCTTCTCGCGCAGACCCTGCGATTCACCCAAATCCTTAGGGTGCATGGTGCGGCTGCTACATGCCCAAGGTTGCCCTTGACTTCTCTGGTGAGGTAAATGGACTGCATAGACCAAGCCAGGCCTGTATTTGCATCCCTGCTTTGCATGCTATGTGTTAGATCTGCCACACGCAGAGGTCATTTCGGTACGTTAGGTCCAGAGCAATATATTTTTGCATGGGGTAGCAATAAGCAGGAGAGCATAGGTTTGGCTGTCACCTGAGCCAAGGGGATGGAAAGAGCCAGCTCAGCCAGGCCAGCATCCGCTGCAGCCAAGTGAGGCTGAAGCAGCGCCTTGCATGCCGTCAGCTCATTAATGCCCTCAATTAGCCCCTGCAGGCACACATGCAAGATCACTCGCTGACCTTTCAGAGACAGGGGGAGGTCATCAGTGCAGTCCTCACAACCATTTTGCGCCAGGTGACCAGGGTGAACAAAAGCATAGTCTGGATTTACAAATATTGCTGGCATGGAGCATCACCTTGACTTCTTGTTGCACTCTGCTGCTCAGCAGCGCTGGCTTGACGGCGGAGACCGCCTCAGCAGAGAGCACAGGACCCTCAAACAGCGCTCCATTGGTGCACAGGATGACAAGTCTGCCATGCCCCGCTGCCGCAGATTTGTTGGCTGCCCTGTCAGGTGCCTGCATTGTTGCAGCTGAAGTGCTGGGCTCGCAGATGCTCAGCAGGTGCGGGCACTGCCCAAAGCACTGGAGCGGCAGCGGCTGCAGATCATGCCAGCAGTCCCTCTTTGCTGGGACTGCGGGCGCGCCCGCATCATTCGCCGACTGCAAATTCGGCGCGCACGGCAGAACTGCGGCACGGGCTGTGCTACCGGTGACGTAGTAGAGCACGCCCTGACTGACAGCAGCTGACGTCACCGGCGCATGCACGCGCATCTGGATGGTTGCCAGGCTGGCAGCTCGCTCTTTCTGTACACCGCTTGCAGGCAGCTGCTGCTGTGGCCACACTGACACATCCCTCACGCAGACCTGCACCACGTGCCCTCCCTGGCCAATGATGATGAGGCATTCGTGGGGAGGGCCGCCAGACGAGCATGCCTCATTTGTCGATGAGGCTGCATGGATGCTCAGGACTGGCTGCTGGATGTCAAACAGGAGCACGGGGCCTGCTGTCCCGCTGTCCGCTGCAGCTGGATTCTGAGCTGCCAATGGAGGCGCGCTGCTTGCGCCAGTTTTCTGCTGAGCACTGCTGCGGCTGAGGGGATAGGCCCACACCTTTCCTGAATAGTCCCCCACAAGTAGACAGCTGCCATTGCTGGCCCCTGTGTCCGCACATCCTCCCGCCAGAAGCGCCGCGTACAGCTGCGGGCTGATGCAAGCCCTGCTTCTGCAGCGCAGCTCATCCCTGGCACCGGTTGGAGGCACGCCAGACGATGCATGTGCATGCACATGCAGGCTGCATGTGACGCCGCTGAGCTGCGGCATGGTGCCTTCGCAGCAGGCGCCAGCCAAGCCAGACACCGTCCCACCGCCCAGAGCATGCCTCTCCCGGCTGTATTTCCTGCCCACCTCTGAGATGTCGAGGAACATGCCGCTGTCCGATGCTGTGCCATGCAGCATGCTAGGGCTGTCTGCCAGGTGCTCCCAAGCGATCTGAGCTGCCAGGCTGGCGGGCCCTGCTGGGCTGTCCAGGAGGCTGGCTGCACAAGTCAGGAGAGCGGCGAGCCTTGTGGGTGCATGCGTTGTTCGCGGTGCATCTGGAGCGCTCCCAGCCTGCGCTGGCACCACCTGCCATTCTACTCTGAGCGGCTCGGCTGCAGCACTGCTCTGCAATCTTTCTTTTGCCTGCTGCGGAGGACTCGAGGGCTGCGCCCTGGCATCTGACGCCCCTGTTGTCGCCACTCCTCTGCCTGTCTGTGTTGAGGCCCCTGCGGACTTGGTGGGATCTAGCATCCATGCCCGGCACGGCTCTGTGATGGCCAGGAGACAGACCTGCTGGCCCTGCAACTGTGTCTGCGCTGGATTTGCACTGCGCACTCCAAACTCCAGGTGGCACACATCCTCTGGAAACAGGACTATGTGGCGCAGGGTACCGCCAGCGAAAACATGCACTGTGTCAGGTGTGAATCGCGCCGCTACCCAGAGGCTATCACAGGCAGCAATGCTGGCCAACAAGGGACGACCAGGCCCTTCGAGCTGGGAGCCTTGCGCCAGCAATGTGGGAGTAGGACCTGTCATGAAGGCTGTCCTGTCCTACAGTGCCCATATGGCAGCTACTGCTTCATGTATGCATCAGTTGTCGAAGTCAGTCATGACGATCGTGATCACATGCAAGCCAAGGTCAATAGCAATAGCTTCCTAATCAAATATTAAGAAGAAAATGAGATCGGCTTTTCCAAATGACAAGATCAAGACAAATCACAAAATGGCAACCGGATGTCAGGATCGAGCGGTGGACAATCTGCCTGCAGATCGTAAAACTGAAACTCTTTGTAGTAATAGCTCAAATCCTGATCACCTTGGCTGTTCTTGCCATTGATCAAAAGAGCACGATGTCGACCAGGCACGCCCTCGGCGACGTGACGGTGTCACGGATGAGCCTAAATAGTATCGTCAACTAATCCAATATCTCTGGACGCAATAGAAAGACCCACAAGAAGACAATCTGCTCTTCAAAACAAATCAACCACTCCATCCAGCTTCAGATCATCGCAGAAATTTTTCGTAAAGCTTCGCAGACGCAGACTGCAATGGCCCTCCGGGCTGGTGTGGTGTCACCCGTGGCCGGACAGTGTGCAACCCGTGTTCACGAACACTCTAGAGGCCGCCAAACGCTGGCGTCAGCCAAGTGCTCCCTGGGCTTCCCGGCGATCAAAGGGACCATCCGCCCCGCCGCTGCTGCGCGCAGATGTCGGGAGGAGAGCAGAACGGCGGCGTGCAAGCCTTTCTGGCGTGCACCAGCACATGTACTTTCTGCCTCCCCGAGCAGATTTTCAGTCAGCTGTGGAGCTGGCATTGCTCAACCAGGCGAGGTGTGTTGGTGGTCCCTCCTTGTCTGCCTGGAATTCCTTCTGTAGTATCTTTCTGAAGTGCGTTGCTGTCCTGTTACTATGTGCCACAAGTACTATTGTGCTTCTAGTCGCTTGTTGCTTCTTTAGTCATGTTCCATTATGTCTTCTCGAAGCTAATGTGACGAGTGTATGCCCGAAACAAGTCAATTGTGCTGCCTTGATATACTCGTGCAGGGTTATCCACATCTAGAATGTTCACCCACTTTATGACTCTTCCATGCAGGAGCAAGGGGAGTGCAGCACCAGCGGACGTTCTATCGAAAGCCTCACTATCCCAACCAGGGGAATGGCCAAAGGCTTGGGATCAGTGGGCGGTGCAACGCTGCAGAGGTCTAAGCTGGATATGGCCAAGGAGGTGAAGACCCAGGAACCAAAGGTGGACGATGGAGCTGGTGGTGGGAACAACGGGAAAAACATCTTTAATGGTGGTGGTGGAGACAATGATGGAGGGGATGACGATGACTACTTTGACAATTTTGATGGTGGAGATGGCGAGGGAGACGATGGCAACTTCTTCAGGACAGTCATAGAGCAGTTGTACGACAGGAAGAGCATCAACGCAGTGCTCCAGGAGTGGTTCAGGACTCTTGAGAGCTTGCCAGCAATTCTTCGCGGCTCAGTAGAGATGGGCCTGTTCAGCAGTGCTCAGCTAGTGCGCTTCTTGTCCATGGACGTCCGGCCCAACGTTGCCCGTGCAGTGACCCGGTCACTCCCACCCCAGGTGTGTATCCTGTTGACGATAAAGATTGCTTTGTGGCTGTAGCTATTGTTGTGCATGTCGTTTAATTTTGTTGGAAGTCAGGCAGAAGCTGGTCTGGTGTACACCTACCTATGCGGAAGGTTTGGTGTCAGTCTCTATGAGCTGATCAGATGTGCTTATGGAAATGTGGCCGTTGCAATGCAGGTGGCACGCGACATTGTGGGCCGCTTGATGGCAGACCCCGCATTCGTGCAGAAGATGTGCATCGAGCAGATGCTGACGATCGGCTGCAACGTCAGCTGGGAGTACCAGCAGAGGCGGGAACGCTTCTGGAAGGAGATTGACTTTGTGGCCATCAACACCCTCTCGCTCATGGCAGCCACAGGAGGCCTCGTCTGGCTCATGGCGCCTAACAGAGCCAGCGGCGTGCTCAAGGTACAGCCCTCACGAGAGCTTAGACTTTTCCCGTGTTTCTTGCTCAAGATCAATGCAGTACAATTCCAGATATTTTGCAATGCTGCTGGTATGTGTTGCTCATGTGGGGCTTTGGATTGCAGGCGGGCTGGCAGAGGAAGTTGCACGATCTCCCCAACCACATCTTTGACGCCTCATCGCCTGCCAGGCGGATCACAGCTGGGCAGCGAGCGGGCAGCGTCGTCGCCAAGGTGTTCGAGCTGGGCGCCGTGGGCACACTTGCAGGCGCTGCCATGTCAGGCTTTGGCCAGGTACACACCTTTTGGCTCATTGCCGGTGTTTCTATGCATTCCAATGTGTCCTGGCAAGTACAAAATTCTGCAGCAGCACAGTTGGTGTGTGAGAATCTGGCTCTTCGCCGTGCACATGTGCTGTTTGCTGATGTGCTCTGTGTGTGTCTGCAGCTTGACGTGATGGCGAGGAGGCACTGGGACCCGAGCTTCACCCCATCAGTGCCCATCCCAGAGCTGCGCACCAGCGCCACCGGCATGGCGCTCACCATGGGCGTCTTTGCGAATGCGCGGTACCAGATGCTGGGCGGCATCGACAGATACCTGTTCGACCACTCCAACTTCCTGCTCCCCTACCTGGGCATGTCCACTGCCTTCCGCGCCGTCTCCACCTGGTTTGGCCAGGAGACCAGGCTTCACCTGCAGGTGATAAACCTTCCAATGCCACAACAGCCAATGCCAATTGTTTGCGGAATGTGTCTAGTTTCTGGGCATGATGTGAGGCGGTCTACTGTGTGTCGTGCTCCAAGAGCAGGCTCCCTGACAAGTGTTTGTGGGCGTTCAGGGTCTGCCGGTGAAGCCACCCACACATGTGTACAAACAGCGGCTCGGTCCCGGCGTGGTCATCAGAGAGCAGCTGCCTCCTGCCAGGCCTGCCACATCCGGCACCTCTGCGCCCAGGAAGGCAAAGAAGCGCGCAACAGCCAGCAAGGGCTTTGAGATGTCCGCCACAATGGCTGCCGCGCACTAGATACAGTATGTTGAGAGTAGCAGGCCCTCGTACTCGGAATGATAGAAACGAGTGCTTGGAATTGGTCTTGGGGAGGTTGAAGTGGGGATTGCCATATCCTGGGGATTTTTGTGTCTTGACATGTCCTTTGCTAGTATTAGGCAATGGACAGCAGCAAATGTCTCGCCACTGTACTGCCTGTTCCCGTCAGGCGGTTGACAGTCTGCTCTACCTCCTGAATTGCTTTTCTAGTCTGTGAAAAGTGTTGTAGATTGTTTATCGAGACTGGTGCTGCTAGAGTATTTGTTACCTTACCATATACCAAAGGATTACCGCTGCAACCTTGCGGTTTTTGACTGAAACCTCTCGATTGGAGGGATAAGATGCACTGTAGAAACATGCTGGTGACCCACGTATAAGGTCATGTTATAATGTAATATCATCATTGTTGCAAGGCAAAGAATTGCAACCTGCTTCCTTCGGATAAGGGAGCTAGGCGGCATATGTGATGGTCATAAAGTAGTCTGGACGTTCCTTCATAAATATTTCAACAAGTCACATATGTCACATAAATGCTGTCTCCCCTGACCTTGCGCAATGCTTGCAGTTATACGTCACTCTTAAGCTCAAATTTATTTGGAAACAATCTGTGACAGAGTTCTAAAGACCTATTCAGGCTGAAGTTGACATGCACCGAAAATCTCTGCAGAATAAGCTGTGGAAATGCTGGCTTCATGATCTCAGAGAGGCTGCATCCTCGTGTCCATGGAAAGGGCTGGCCCCCAGATCCGTCTAAGCTAGAAGTCCAGCCATGTTTGGTAGTACGTGCACGTGGAAGGAGATATTACCCCGCCATCCGAGCATTCATTGATAACCTACAGACCAACACAAGGAGCCATCATCAGGAACCAAATGAAAGACAATAAGCAAGTGCAGTCTGGACAACGAAAGGCAAGGAATTTGCAGTGTGAAGACCGGACGTACAGGGCAGACGCCACATGGCATTGATGTGAAGGGTGAAGTCTTTGGCACAACATGTCTGGCCGGCCGGTACACCTCCCCATCATCTGACAAGGAGCTCTCAACCAGCCCGTCAAACTCCAGTGTGCGCAGAATGCACAGCACATCCGCGTCCCTCAACTCCACTCTGGAGAATCCCTGTCAAGCCCCGCACAATGCTAATATCATTTGCAAAACTGACAAGGGATCCTAAAGATGACAAAGCATACTCGTCAAGCAAACAAGAAGTTGCATAGAGCAGGGCACACCTTTGTGCGAACGAAGTCTGCGACTTCCTCCAGCGTGGCAACACCCTCATTCTCGATATACTTATGGCAGGCCTGCTGCAGCACCTGAATGAACTCAGCATCAAAGTCCTGGCCCGTGTACCTGCGCGTAAGATATTTGTGAGCTACCAAGCCACCCTGCAAAAAGTGGCACGTGGTACTGGCGCAAAACGCGCAAAACACTAATGCTAGGAAAGTAAAAACAAGGTTCCTGGAGCGTCTCACCAGGCTCCACCAGTGAGCTCGCGTGCAGGCTCCAGCTCAAAGAGTATGTAGACCTTCCGGCTGGGATTGATGACACTCTTCACGCTCTTCACCAGGCTGCGCTGATCCAGGTTCTTCAGGATCTTTGTGATCTGCGGCTGCTGCAGATTCGTCCTGTTCTTCAGGTCCTTTGTCCAGATGCCTGCACGGAGACAGCATTGTGATCTTGTGCATCAGACGCTAGGCTACTGTAGCTGCAAGGACACTGGAGCTTTGCTTTGTAAGCACTGAAGCGGGCATGCAGAAACCAAACTGGCGTCTCGGCAAGTTTCTACAGATCAAGTTACCTGTATCTCCTGCTTGCGCAATGTGCTGATACACCAGTAGGTCCTCGGCTGATAAGCCCTTCAATCTGCACCATGAAATATGGCAAGATTTCCACACGGGCGCATAAGACATGCTTCATCATTGTGCATGCCAAAGAGGAGGGTGTGAAGTGGGGTCGTACTTGGCTGCCTCCTCCTGTATCACTTCCTGGTAGACCAGTGAATTGTCCCTGGGATGCTGCAGGATTCTGAGGCGGTGCTTGGCAAGCAGGTTGTTCATTGCTGTAGTCCTCTGAGTAGCTGGAATGTACTGCTCCAGGACAGCTTCTGGGAGGCCCTGCAGGAGAGTATGATGGTGTCAGCAAGTTTCTCACGGACACCAAAGCCATGACAGGCGATCATCGAACAACTTCACGAGACAATCAGCACAGCGTTACCTCTGGATGCTGCCTGCATAGTGCAAGAATGCTCTCCTCTATATTGCTTCCCATCTTGGCCGTCGATCCTCGGAGCTGTGTCCCACCAGATAGATACTGTGCCTATTTTACTGCGTTGCAATTCGTTAGTGTGTTCTGATCGATCGCCAACGCCATGAATCTGCAGTGGCCCCATTGAGATGCATCATACAGATCTCCCAAAAGTACGTCCCATCATTTCAACCTGTTGGCTAGTATCCAAGGGATATCTAAGATAACCTTTATCCACACTCATTCTTTATTAGATGACGACCAAACACCTCTATGAGCAAATGTGCATTTGGTTCCGAAACAGGTCGTACGACGGAGTTCCTGTAGGCCCGACGGCTCAAGCGTGATGGAGAAAGAAACCGTCGTTTGGAGCAAACATAAAAATCCAAATCCTCAAGATCGGAGAAATTCTCGGAATATCACTTGTATAGAGCTAGTCCTTGTGCAAGACTATCAAGGACGCTTTACAAAGATCTTTCTGTCTAGTGTTCACCTCATAAAACATGGCCATCACCGAAGATGGTGGTATGAAGGTGAAAAACAAGCAAAAAGTAACCAAGGAGTCACAGCTAATTGCACACAAGGAAACAGCGAAAGTCGATAATGCTGGTGAGCGTTCTTCACAGTGGTTACAAGTCTAGTATCTGTCTTTGGAGCTTGGCTTCCTCTTACAATGTGCCTATATGCGCAGGTACTTCGGAAGTGAAAGCGAAGAAGATAAGGGGGAAGAAGCGGAAGAAGACAGACGTGGTGCGGGCACCTACACTTCGCAGACTGTGCAAAATAGCCTGACAGTTCGTGGCATTTGTGCTAGTCTCAGTATGACATGCTCCTGGAGACGGAAACGTTTGATTTCAAGATTCATTCTGCCAACAACAAGAGTATGTGGCCTTCCTCAGGTGCCTGGTACCATCACAGCTGAGGCAGAGCAGAATGAAGGACCTGAAGAAGCACCAGTCAATGCAAGGCAGCACACTGAGGAGGCAACCACAAGCGGCCGGACTGAGGATGGCACACCTGCTGCACCATCCTCTAAGAAGGCATGTGCCCACGTTGAATTGAACCGAATGTCCTTACCGCACTGCAGCATGTTTTATGGCCTCTGTGTAATTGGTGATCTGATGACTTTCAGGCAAAGCGAGGTGTCGAGGTGGAAAGAGTGACAGCTCGGGTCAGCGGCATCATGAGTGCCTCAGAGTTCTCCTCCCTCGACCTGACAGAGCAGACGCAGCGGGCCATTGCTGAAATGGGCTTCACGCACATGACAGAGGTGCAGGCACGCACCATCCCGCACCTCCTCACCGGCAGGGACGTCCTGGGGGCAGCTAAGACAGGTGTGGATTGACCTTCATCTGCATGCTGATCGCATCCCTTGCTCACCGTGTAAGCTGTACAGCCTTTTTGAGAGGATGTGCACAGATAAAAGCCGACTTTCCGACTTTCTGATTGTCAAGGGATGTGAAGAAGCTTGTTGTGGACGGGCCGCTGAAGCTCCTGTACACTCACAAGCGAAGCATGGGTGGATGCATGCAGGCAATGAACACACTTCATGCCGGCCTAGGAAAATTTGGCGGTTCCTTTTTTTGCGGTATATATACTGATGATGTGATGATGGCAGGGTCTGGCAAGACGCTGGCGTTCCTGGTGCCCTGCTTGGAGCTGCTACACAAGGCCAAGTTCATGCCGCGCAACGGCACAGGCGCGCTCATCATATCCCCCACGCGCGAGCTGGCCATGCAGATCTACAGCGTTGCCCGAGACCTCCTCCAACACCACTCCCAGACGCACGGTGCGCCGCCCGGAATCACTGGCCATTTTATTGACCCCACGTCCCTTACACAACAGATTCTGAGAAATGTGAAGCTGGGATCACACAATGGCAGGCATTGTGAATGCTGGTGTAATGTCTCAGGCGGGCACAGTGCCTGGGCTTTGAGTGACTGACACCAAGCCTCGATCATAGCAGAAAATAGAGAGGTGTGGCATGCGCCAGTGATAGAGGCATTGAAATTGTCCTGGCTTGTGCGCAGGGCTGATCATGGGAGGCGCCAACAGGAGGACGGAGGCAGAGAAGCTGGTGAAGGGGGTGAACCTGATCGTGGCAACTCCGGGGCGGCTGCTGGACCACCTGCAGAACACCAAGGGGTTTGTCTACAGCAACCTGGCGTGCCTGGTCATCGACGAGGCCGACCGCATCCTGGAGATTGGGTTTGAGGAGGAAATGCGCCAGATTGTGCGCATCCTGCCCAAGGACCGTCAGACCATGCTCTTCTCCGCCACCCAGACCACCAAGGTGCGTGTCCTGACCTGCAATATGCGCACTGCACCTTGAAGCTGGAGAATTTTACCAACATATATGAGATAGATCAAACTCTCTGCTTCCTTAACCAAAGGAGCACCAAGCCCCATGATGGGACTGGATAGCTTGTTCCAATGCAGCTGCACCTGCGCAAGGACCTGGCAGCTGGGACAGTATATATTGTATTTGCAGTATCAGAGGGCACTAGAGAGAATTGGATGGTGATTAAGGGTGCTCATGAGCAGTATGAATGGAAGCTTCTGTGTGGTGCATGCCGTCTCCTGGATGCCTACTTTGTCTTGTTGGACCCTCTTCAACACGCAATCTATATGCTTCATGCTTGTCTGGAGAAGTACTGGCAGCTGATTGGTCCGCTGGGCAACAGGTGGAGGATTTGGCGCGGCTGTCCTTCAAGCGGCAGCCGCTGTACGTGGGGGTGGATGACAAGCAAGAGGCGGCCACGCGCGAGGGACTTGAGCAGGGCTACTGCATCGTCCCTTCCGAGCAGCGCCTGCTCCTGCTCTTCACCTTCCTCAAAAAGAACAAGGACAAGAAGGTGCAGCTCCCTGCGCCCCGACAAGATCAGCACCTTGAAAATCATTTTCCACTGAGGCAAAATTCTCTATCCTGTCCAAATCAGGCCATATGTTAACTCAAACCGATCTGAACATGTCCCGCAAATGTGCAGAGGTTGATGTGTTGGGGCTGTGACACTGCAGGTCATGGTGTTCTTCTCGTCGTGCAACTCAGTCAAGTACCATGGCGAGCTGCTCAACTACATTGACGTCCCAGTCAAGGACATCCATGGCAAGCAGAAGCAGCAACGCCGCACCACCACCTTCCTTGAGTTCTGCAAGGCACGCTCGCCCTCACTTTTTCAGACTTCAAGCCTGCAAACACCCATTTGCGCTGCTCAAAAGGATAGAGTGGCTAGGCTGAGAAGTCTTCTGTGGCTGGTGTGCAGGCAGAGAAGGGCATTCTGCTGTGCACAGACGTGGCGGCGAGGGGGCTGGACATTCCTGCAGTGGACTGGATCATCCAGTACGATCCACCCGACGATCCCAAGGAGTACATCCACCGGGTGGGGCGCACCGCGCGTGGCCGGTCCGGCCGCGGCCGCGCGCTGCTCATGCTGCTGCCCCAGGAGATCGGCTTCCTCAAATACCTCAAGGTAACAATCATACACGTTGCCAAATGCCACACCTGCTCAGACAGCCGCTACTCACGCCATCCGACTTGTGATTTTGTGTTGGTAACACGGGTCAATGACCGCGTAGCCGCCATGATATACGATAGCGTCTGCCCATTGGGTGTCGATCAAATGTGTGGGGAGTGTGCTTGTGTGTTGCAAGTGCCAGACATGCGATGCATGGCAGTGACTCTGAGACATGTGTGTGGCATGCACAGGAGGCCAAGGTGCCCTTGAACGAGTACGAGTTCCCACAGAGCAAGCTGGCCAACGTGCAGAGCCAGCTGGAGAAGCTGGTGGAGAAGAATTTCTACCTGCACACGAGTGCGCGCGACGCCTACCGCTCCTACCTGCTCGCCTACAACTCTCACCAGCTCAAGTCCACCTTCAACGTCCACACGCTCGACCTCCTCTCTGTGGCCAAGTCCTTTGGCTTCGCGCAGCCGCCACGGGTGAGCTGCCCAATGGAGGAGTCTCCTCCCTGTGCTTATTTTGGGACATTTGCCTGGGAGCTGCTTGTCTTCGAGCAATCAATGCCCTGCGCTGTTCTTATGCGACATAGCTTGACTTGCTAGAATATTTGGAAAGATGAGGCTATCAGTATTTTGACTGCTGGGGGTGCATGATGCAACAAAGATAGGGCAAAATCTGATGAATAGCTGACGATTCTATCTACATGTATTCATACTGTCTGACACCCCCATGCCACAGCCACTCTGCTAATTGGTGGTAATATAATCTTGGGAGCTGCCTGTCATCGAGCAATAAATGCCTGGTGCGGCTGTACTCATGACTTGTAGCTTGATGTGCAGGAATAGGCATTTGAGTAAAATGTTTTGCTGGTTGGGGAGGATGATGCAACAAAGATAGGGCAAAATCTGATGAAACACTGACGATTCTATCTACATGTATTCGTACTGTCTGACTCCCCAACCCACAGTTATTTTCTAGCGTGTGCAAATCAAGTTGTCCTCACTTGCTCAGTCAGCTGTGACTTGTTCGTGTCTGTGTGTGTGCCAGGTCAGCTTGAACCTGGAGAGCAAGGCTGCCAATGTGAGGAAGGCTCACAGGACAGCATTGGAGGGAGCTAAGGGAGGTGCAGACTACCGACGAAAGTCTGGGCATGCCTTCTCTGCCGATAACCCATACGGCAAGAAGACTGCTGGTGACACCCGGCAATTTGTGCGCATGTGAGTGAGGTTTTGTGGAAACTGAACGCATGAATGACTTTGTCTGAATGTACTTGCTTTAGCTAGGGCTGTGCAAGAGTCTGTAGGGTTCCTCAACATTTACAACGCAATTTCCTAGTATATAGCATTGTCCCTAAGGCTAGCTATCTCAGGGTGCATCCTCACAGACAGTGTCCTTGTGTTATGGGCCTGGGTTGTCATAACTGGAACAAGATCAATATTATCAGCGCTTTTCTGACGTTTGGCCTGAGATTAACACGTTTCTTGCCATTTCGATACAAAGCATTTGCAGAAGAGTCAAAACAATTTTGGCCGATAAGAAATGCTGGTAATTTTGAGCACCTGATATCACCAAGTGGACTGATCAGAATTTTGTGAACCACAGTTTGCTGCACATGACATATGTTGAACGCGCCAGCCACCGAAAATGACGTCAAATGCTACAGAGCACAGCGCAACCTAGGCAATGGCGTTCTTGTGCTTCAAGTGGTTCCCAACAACAGAGACCTCTTCCAGGATGGTGTCAACTGCTCGCCGAACGGCTGTCTGGTCCACAGGCACGCTGGCTTGGTTTGCGATGGCGGCTGTCATCTCCTCAAAGCTCATGCCTGCTGGCTTGCCTGCTCACAGCAAAGCTTTCCTTCACAGAAGAACTTCCAACAAGAATAGTAAGCAGCTGCATGGCATCATGTATTTGGCATGAGTTCCTGGTGCAACATTTTGGAAGCTGAGAGGGTGCAGCTGCCGGGAAGGTGACGCACTTATGAGCAGCTTCTTGATCTCCTGGGCCAGCTGCCCGCGCGCGATGCGCTCGGAGGCTGACACGCCAGTCTGGATCAGGTCCATGTCGATTGCGCCCGTCACCGGATCCGTTGCCGCCTGCTGGATTGCCACCTGCGCGCCCAGCAAACACTGTCACATCCACCACATGTCACCACAGTGGACCCACAAAGCAACCAGCAGATCCTTTGCTGACTGCTGTGAATACTCATCCTACCGATGCAAGCACCTATTCAAAATCACTGTCGAGTGGAGATCATGTCATGAACTGAGTACAGGGGATAGAGCTCTTCCAGTCAGCGGGAGGGAAAGATTCGGACCTGCATGAGGCGCAGGGCTTCGGCGGCGTCTTGGCGCTCGACGGTGGCGGACAGCCGCATGCGCGCCAGCGCCTCGCTGATGCGGATCAGACTCTCCAGCTGCCGAGGCGTCGCCGTGATCGTCTGCCGCCGACAGAGACACCCATCATCCCCATGCCCGGTTGCGGGAATGACAATTGCTCAGCATTTCTGAGATGACTCTGTGGTGCCGGAGTGCTGCGCAGAAGAGTGAAATCTGCAAAGGAGGAGCAGCGAGGCGCACCTTGCGGGAGGAGCCCATGCGGCGCATGTTCATGTAGCCGTCAATGATGTCGGTGGCGGCCTCGGGCGACAGCTCCGGGTGGCAGTTGTTGCGCGCGTACGCGATGAAGTCCCGCAGCTGGTCAATGGGGATCGGCGCCTGCACACAGCAGCACCCCACAATCAGCCACCAACCCTCCATTCTGCTATTGATCAACCATGCACCGCCAGCACCTGAGTGATCGGCAAGCGCTGTGATCCAGGACATCCTGACAGCTGCTCAGCACCTATCCTCAAGCCACAGAATGAAAATCAGGGTTTGAAAGCTTCAGTTGAGGCTTGCAGGGAGATATTACACAGGAAATTGTCATAGCTGGCCTGACTCATTGGCATAGCAATGACTTCGACCTAGTAGCAGGATTCCACTCGCCTGAGCGCCGTTCCTTGTTGACAGGGTGGGAGGGAACAGCGAGCAAGCCAACGGCGTGCCTGGACAGGTGCCGGCACGAGCGCCGTTTGTGGTGGAAGCGTAAAAGACGTAGTAGGGCAGGAGAGAGATGTGAGATGTGCCATTGTGGTGGAAGGGTGGGAGGGAACGCGCCTGGACGGCGGCGTCGGCGTCTGGGTAATGGAGCGAGAGGAGGTGGCGGGCGAGGCGGCGGTCGTTGGCCTCCTCGGCCTTGTCTAGGACGAGGTAGATGAGGTCGAACCGGGAGATGAGCGAGGGAGGCAGGTGCAGGTTGTCCACGATGGACATGCGCGGGTTGTAGCGGCTGCCCACCGGGTTGGCCGAGGCCAGGACGCTCGTGCGCGCGTTCAGCGTCGCTATGATGCCCGCCTTGGCCACCGACACAGTCTGCTGCTCCATCACCTCGTGCAGCTGCGCGCAACCCAGCATAGCAATCTGCTTTGAGTATTTTCTTCTCAGCTGATTCCACGCAGCTGAAGTCCATCACCAATCATTCAGCCTCACCTACAGCCAGCCCGACACACATGCATGGCGCATCAAAGGGGGACACAGGCTGCTTGATAGGCAACGAGAAAGGGGCAGGTGGGTTGCAGACGAGGGCTGCACCATGGAGCGGGCGGCGTCGGACATCTTGTCAAACTCGTCGATGCAGCAGATGCCGCGGTCGGAGAGCACGAGCGCGCCGCTCTCCAGCACCATCTCCTTGGTCTCCTGGTCCCTGGACACGTACGCCGTCAGGCCAACTGCTGAGCTGCCGCGCCCGCTGGTGTAGATGCCGCGCGGCGCCAGCTTGTGCACGTAGCTCAGCAGCTGCGACTTGGAGACTCCAGGGTCTCCCACCAGCAGCACGTTGATCTCCCCGCGCACCCGGCCCCCGCTGAACTCCTGCTCACACCGCGCTACTGCACTCAGGTTCTGATTTTGCGGCTTTTTTGGCAAGGTTTGGCTGCCGTAGCCCTGAAAATTTCCCCCTGCTGACTTGCTGAACCAGTCTGCAGGCTTGCCGAGTGCTAAGTCTATTTCAAAAGTGGCATGGAGCGTGAGGCAGAGCTGCTTGGGCTGCAAACTCTTGCAACAGAAGCCTCCCCATGTCGCCATGCTGGCACCGGAGCTGTACAGTAATGGAGCATGCAAAGAGTGCTCTCACTCAGTACTCCAATGACTGTGGTGCCCCTTTGCCCGCGCCAGGCTTGCCTTTAGCGCATATGCTGTGGTAGGCAACCCCAAGTAGAGGTCATTCGGTTGCTGAAGGCAAGAGATTTTACAACAAGTGATGGAGGGGTGTAGGGGTTTGAGGGTGAGGGGGCCGTGCCTTGGAGGAGCCGCCGAAGAGCTGGCAGAGGATGCCCTTCTTGACGTCGTCCATCTGCCAGATGGAGGGCGCCACCGACTTCATCAGCTTGTCGTAGATGTCCGGCTCGGCGCCCAACGCGCGCATCTCAGCCTCCTTTGCCTCAATCTCCTCCCTGCTCTCGTTCCCCGCCTATACACCACAGCCGCACCCCATCAGCACCACTTCCAGTGCGCATCACAACACAAGCCTGTGGGGGTGCAGGTGATGGGTTTGCATCCCTGTCCTGATGACATGCTACAGATAGAGGGCCCATCTGGATGCCAGGGTCCAATGAAACCGACACAAGCAGTGCAATCGCCCTAAGCGCTGCAGGTCAGGCTAGCAATGCCTGCTTGATGTCCGCCATCAGGGTAATGTTTCATCGCTCGCAGGTGACTCTCATCTCAATGCAACCCTGCTTTGGCTGTTGGCTGACTGTCCCGCTGAGTGCGCTGGTCATGCTGATGGCAGGACTCATATAAAGCGCTGCAGCTTCGAGGATCATGGGAATGCTGAAAAGAGAGGGGATGATGCAGACCTGGAAGAGGCCGTCGTTCTGGGTGTCTTGGGCGGCGCCGGGGACGCCGTCGTCAGAGTTCATGGGCCCGCGCTCGGAGACGGAGAATAGGGTGGACGTCTCCTCGCGCTGAATGTGCACGATGTCGATGTTGGCCTTGTAGACCGTCTTGAGCATGCGCAGGCGCGGGTTGACGCGCAGCGGGTGCGCCTTGTAGATGCCTGTATATAGAAATGTGACATAATGACATCCTGGGCTCTCTTTCTACATGCGTGTGTCAAAGATGCCTGTCACATTTTACATCCTGCTAAGAGCAACTGCAAGCAATTAGGGACCTGCACGAAACTTGGGGTCAAAGCCTCTGGAAGCTGTCTGAAGGCATGCAGGCAAAGTTTCAAAGGAGCATGCCTGTTAGAAAGAGACCTTTTAAGACATGATGCCCTGCTCAAAGCAAGTGCAGACAAGTGCGGATGTGCAAGAAAGCTGGAGTGGGAGCTGCTGGTAGCTGTCAGCCGGGCATGCAGGCGAGGTGCAAAGGAGCGTGCCTGTGACGGTGATGCGGTCGCCCGGCTTAGTCATGTCAGTCATGGGGTCGTAGCACATCAGCGTCACATTGTGCGGCGTCTCTCCCTCGGGGATCGCGTTGGGGTTTTCCTGCACATGGGGGAAAAATTCAATGACAACTCTGCGTCCATGCCGAGTGGAAGGTGTGGAGCCTCCAGAAGTTGCTGGGTACACCTACCAAACAGAGGCGAGGCAAGCCAGAGAATTGAGGGTCAATTGGAAGCAAACACAAGCGCAACAGGACCAGGCATGCACCTGCATCTTGACGATCTGTTTGTTGAGGTAGATGCTGCGGTTGTGCACCATCTTCATCATCCATTTCTTCTGGCAGGATGGGCAGATCTTGGGCTCCTCGATGTGCCCCAGGATGTTCTGCACCAGCTCCTCGTGCTGGCAGTTGTCGCACTTGAAACAGGCGTGGCTGCACCCATGCACCCACTGTCAGCGCCAGTAGAAAATACGCATCCTGCTGCTGGAAACAAATCCACAACAGGCTATCGGGACCTGCAAAGATTTGCCTGCTGGGTGGGGAGGAGCGGAGGCTGACCTGACTTCAGGGATGATGTTGCTGCAGCGGGTGACCATTCCGCTGACTGACACCAGTCGGTCGATGTCATCAGGGTCCAGATCCCTGATCACCTTCCGCTCCATCAAGTTGAACACATTTGCCTGCGCAGCAAACCAACAGCAATTCCAACATGCTCTTGGTGACAGCCCCACACAATCACATGCATGCAGATTGTGACAAATTTGAGGAAATGCGCACCTGCACTTCTGCGTTCTCAGCCTGGGTCTGCGCGATGTCAGCGTACACCAGCTTGACTGCGCCGTCCATGAGGGTGATGACTTCTGAGGGGTACTTAATCAGCTTGCTGTATATCTCGGAGTTGTAGGCGTGCAGGTCATGACAGTCCACATTCAGCATCCCCTCCCCGCTGGCATGCATCTGCACAGCAATGGAAAGAGTTGGTCACTGCAGGAGTGGCTGTGGGCTGCAAGGCGAATCAGCAAGGAGGCATACTGGAGTAGATAGGGATGGCATAGGATGAGCATTACCTCCCTGAGCAGCGTGATGTACTTTGCCTCATCTGCCCCCTCCTCCGTGAAGTTGAGGAAGAACTGCTCCAGCTCCCTGGTGATCTGGTGTGCTCGGATGGTGGTGCCCCAGATGAAGTTCTCATTCTCATAGTCCTCGCTGACACCTGAAATTCCTGAGAAGGGCGCCTGCAGCATGAAGTGATGGGAATCAGCTGTTTTGGCAGCAGCAGAAGATAGATTAGCGAGCCTAAAAGCGAGCTAAGTCTGCCATCGGAACAAAACTACATAACTGGATGTTTGCTCTTTGCTCCAGGACATACGCAGGGTGAACGTTGAACTCACTCCCTGAGAGAATGACAAACTGAATCGGCGATTTTGGCCTGCACGTGCTCCTGCCAGACCCCGAGCAGCATTCAGAGAAGCACTGGCCACAGTCCCGCCAAAACTCCTTGCTGATTGAAAGCCAGAGTTGTTGGGACTGCCTCCAGTGACGTTGGAAGGAGCTGGTGCTTCATTATTGACTGCTGAGGGCCCTGCATCTGAACCCCCACTTCTCTGCATGCTCGAAGGGAGAGGTGGCAGCGATGGTTGGGGGCCTGCATACAAGGAGCATACATTTTTCAGTGGAGAACGGCCTGATGGTCAGTGCTGTTGCTTATCCACACAATTTATGACTCACCTAAGCTCCCTGATGGCTCCGGACCCTCGCTCATGATGGCTGTGCTTGTGAAATTTGCGCACCGATCGGAAAGCCGAATGCGCAAGAGCTCGAGAGAGTTGCCAAATCAGGCAGCGAGCCATGCTCAGCAGGACAAGAGCAGGACAGGTGGCTTTGAAATCCGTTGCAGACAAAAATGTTGATAGTTGTTAGGGGGCGATAGCTTGACGATGCAATTGAGGACATCGTGCAAGTGGAACTAAGGTCGATGTAGACGACAGCAAACCACACGTTTCATTGCACATGCGCATGATTTTCTTTCAGAATTTTGATACTCAGCAGCGATGCCTACGCATTTCAAGCGTTGCCAAAGGGTCAATTTCAAGTTGAGAAGATCGATTCTGAAAGTATCATGAATCTGCACTTCTCTGGGGAGGGGACTCGTACCATGGGCCAGAGGCAATTGTTTTCCAGGGAGAAGTGTCATCAGATTTTTCCGTTGCGCGGCAGTTTAGTTTGTCAGAGAAGTGCTCTCGGAAGGAGTGCAGGAACAACGCATGCACGACTTTGGAATCCGAAGGCTAGAAGATGCCAACAGCTCGGGAAAGCAGGAAGAGACAAGCTTTCTGTCTCCTGCAGCAGCAGTTCTCCGGATGCTAGCAGCTCCAAAAGATTCCTGACGTCAATGGTGAGCCTCATTTGTGTCCTTGAGCACCATGTCAGCTATGAACTGGGTAAAGGTCTTGACTGGAATTGCTGGTGCAGGAGACCAGGAAAGACACAATACTTCAGCTGATGTCCAGGAGCAGCGATGCTCTTCCATATGCTGTGGTGGTTGCTGCGGCATTGGCACTGTGAGACACAACCCTCTTGGAAAAGTGCTGAAGGCTCTTGTTGACCTTGTGACCAAATTGTCTCCTCACTGAAGAAGTCGTGTTACAACTCTGTTGAATTGAGAGATCTTATTGTGGCGTGCAGGTTTGTGCCAGCGTCATTTGCCTGGTTCACCCCGCCCATGTATGCCCCTGGCCTGGGCTTCTTGATGTTCGCGGTGGGTGTGAACCTCAAAGTGGAGGCTTTTAAAGAAGTCTTCAAGAAGCCTCAGGTGAGCACATCCTGTCATTGCAACTCACACTGGCAGTTTTTGGAGTGTTGCACTGATAAAATTCAGCTGTCTAGGAAACTCATAGCTCTGCAATTTTCTATTCCAGTACATTGCGGTTGGAGCTGTGGGGCAGTGGCTGGTCAAACCATTGCTGGGGCTCATTCTTGCGCTCACACTGGTACCAATGCTTGGTCTCCCCAATGCAGTCGGCACAGGCTTAATCCTGGTGCGGCCTGGCACCCACTATCTATTGCTCTCATGGATTATTGGTCTTGCTTGCATGAACAGATTGACTGTTGTAGACGGAGCGCTGTGACTCTGTGGCGATGGCTGATGAAATTGTGCTGTGCAGGTGTCTTGTGTCTCTGGAGCACAGCTGTCAAACTATGCAACATTCTTGGTGCATCCAGAGCAAGCTCCGCTCAGCATTGTTCTGACTGCGCTGTCAACTGCGGCGGGGGTTCTCATGACTCCTGCACTTGCACTGCTGCTGCTGGGGGCCCGTATTCCTGTCGACCCTCAGGGCATGGCACTGTCCATCACACAGATTGTCCTGGTGCCCGTCTTAGCAGGTGGGATCTGCCTCCAATAGCTTGCAGTGAATATTTCTGACCACCTCATGTCACCATTTCTTGATACAATATGTGATTGCAGAGGCTCACAACCTGAGTGTCAAGTGGTGCAGGTCTGACATGCAGTCAATATTTCCCGAGCTTTGTACTTTCTGCAAAGCCCTTCCTCACATTCTTGTCCCTGCTGGACACCTGCGCCTGTGTTGGAGCTTCTCTTGCATCCAACAGCGCAACCGCGCGCAGTTCCACAGGGCTCACTGTGCTTCTCCCGGTGAGATCCACTATTTTTTTCCAAGACAATACCTGTTTCCAGGTACAATGGCCATGTGCTGCAAAACAGCTCAAAACATCATGTTTGAGGTTGAGTTTGTGTTTGTGTGACAGGTGGTAGTGCTGCATGTTGCCGCCTACTACTTTGGATTTCGGTTGGCACGGTCTACAATTGCAAAGGAGTCCATTCCTTTGGCCCGCTGCATCTCCTTGGAGACAGGAATGCAGGTGAATAGCACACCCTCACATGAAACATCAGCAAGATTTCAATTTATGGCTGAATGTCTGCAGAGGTGATGACAGCTGTGTGTTGCCTGTGCAGTCAAGCCTCCTGGGCCTTTTGCTGGCGTCCAGATTCTTCAACGATCCCCTTGTGTCGCTGCCTTGTGGCATCTCCACAATATTCATGACACTTGTAAGGACCAAAAGCGCGCTCTCTGTACCTGATCAAAGTCAGTGCAAGCTCTTAGCATCGCATTTAAGGCTGCATATTAACATGTGTGGCAACATCACATATGCCTACCGAGAGAGCTGACTGCTTTCCCGTGCGATTGTTGCAGAGCGGATTTGCATTGGTGGTGTGGTGGAAGAGAAAGGCGGCAGTGTAATTGTGAGCAGCTTTTGTTGATGGCTGCACTGGTGCCCCTCTAGGTTGTAAGTGTTCAGTAGGTCGTGTACATTAGTGGAGTTGGTTGTCCAGCTCTAGGGGCACTGCTGCTTTCCTTGTGCTGATGTTGGTAGTGATCTGGTCCTATGTCAAGTTTTTGTGATCCTGATTGTAGCCAGTGATGGATTTGATGCTTTTTGGAGGATGCAAGTCCTTGCAAGGTATTTTAGCTAAGTGCAAGCTTGTGTAGAAATAAGAACACATTTGAACTTTTTGAACCATTATCAGGAAACAGTATCATGAGACGGGATATTATGGCAGCTTTGTAAAGGAACTTCTTACTACAGCCATTTGCGTTCACTTGTGTGATACCTATCACGTTTCTAATTCTGAGCTTACTACTATTCAAATTCTGGAGTCGCTTTCATATCATGACACATGATCATGTGTCAGACCTCAGCCCAAAATGAACATGTAGCGCTAGAGCTGCGTCAGTCTTCCAAGTCATGTATTGGTAGATACATACAAGGGTGCTCCTTCTCATCAGCAGAAGCACAACATGAACGTCGATTGTAGCACAGTGACCCTGTACAGGCAGCTGGAGCACTGCATGAAATAGCTATGAAGGCCCCAACCCTAGCAGCCCATCAGTGGCCATGGCAGCAGGGGTTGATAGCGATGGGCAGGCTCCCTTCGTAGGGCACCTTGGGAACATCTCCCCGCTTGATCAGCCTGGGGCCGACCGGCGGGCCTCCCTTCTTTGGCCTGATATCCTGGAAACACAGCAACGCAAGATTATAAGCATGCGAATGCAACCTCTCTCTGATCAATGATGGACGCTGCACATTGCTATCTTCAAGAGCTCTCAGGAACTTCTGCTCTAGCTTCCACAAAAGCAGGTGGGTCCACCAATCAAGAACGACATGCACGTGGAAAGGCAATGGCGTACTTGGTCAAAGATGGCGATGGGGATGGCCAGTGTGGCACAGGCGTTGGGTACATCCACAATGCCGGACAGCCGGCCCTCACAGGGGCAGCAGGACAGCAGCAGGTACACCTGCAGACAGTGCAAAATTCAAGGGACCAATAAGACAGCGGCTCAGCATCCTATCTGCATCCCACGTTACTCTCTGTAAATCCACATTTACCAGTAGCCCAACTGGTTCCCCGGGATCCTATAGAACACATACAAGCTGAAAGAAAGCAACCTACAACACCGGATGCACTGACAGCATCCCAGAATCAAAACAACCCATGGTAGCGCCTATGCATATGAAGGACATTACATGCATGCATGCCCTCACCTGCTCCTTGGTGTAGCCAAACTTGGAGAGGTAGTCAATGCAGTTGAGCACAGCGCGCTTGAAGGCCACAGTGGCGTCCAGGTAGTGCTGCTTGCCCGTCTCGTCCACGGACAGGCCCTCAAACACCAGCCACTCTGAGAAGCGCGGCTCCAGAGGGCCGATCTCAAAGATGGGGTTCACGTGCAGCTTGGTGGGGCCCATGGGGGTCAAGTACTGGTCCATGCCACCGCGCAGGATCTCACACCTGCGCCATACAAATTCGCTCAGCCAAAGTACTAATGACCAGAGAAATGCAGAATTTCTCTATATGCAAAATCTATGCTGCAAGCCCTATTTTGAATAGAGGCTGGCAAAGTTGTCCCGAATGAAGCGCTGCCAAGGTTGTCCTGATTGAAGCACTGCAATATGGGTGCTGCCAGTAGTCCCGCAGGGGATCCACGGGATCAGCTGCAGCAAGATACTGGGTGCAGAAGACAGTCTATGTGTTGCAGCTCCAAGATGCGAAAAGAAGAACAGCAGAAAGAAACTTTCAGGAAGGGGAAACTGGCCTGAGCTCCAGAAAGCCGCTCATCTCTATGGCGCCGCAGAAGGAGACTTCGCCGTCGCCCTGGGAGAAGTGCATGTCGCCCATGCTCAGGTTGGCGCCCTCCACAAACACCGGGAAGTACACGCGGCAGCCCCGCGACAAGTTCTGCGCCAGACATCACAGCATAACTTCAGCGCTCAGCCAGTGCGCAGGGGTGATGTGACTCCCTGCCATGCTGCAGCTTGCTGTTTGATGAGATCAAGCCGTGTTCATGGTGTCAGGCAGTTTGACATGCACATGTTCGATCTGCCGTGCAAGAAGAGCACACCTTGATGTCGCAGTTACCTCCGTTCTCGCGCCTGCAGCCCACATCACGAACAGGGTGAGGGCCTTATTGTGCCGGAAACACCCCAAACAGCACAGACAAGAACAGGGAGCACAAGAAACAGCACGAAGTCCATAATGCATGGCATCAAAGCTGTGCAGATCTCGCATGAAAACGCCAGGACAAAAGCAGGACAAAATGCTATGTTGCGCCACTAAAGTGTCAAGCATGTCACAAAAGCTGTGCAAATTAGGTATGGGAAAGCTGTTCAGGCAGGACCAGGGCAGGACAGAGAGGCTCACCCGGGGATTGTGCGCGCGGCCTCTGAGGCGACGCGGTCCCAGTCGGCGGAGCCCTTGGGGACCTTGCCCAGCAGAGCGCCCTTGGGCTCCGGCAGCAGCGCCAGCGGCCGAGTGTGCAGCACGCCGCCCAGAGTGAGCGCGTCGGGGCCGTTGGCCACCAGCTCACCCTCTCGCTTGTTCCAGATGTCCAGCAGCTCCTTTGACGGCGCCGTCCCGATCAGCCCTGCGCGCACATGCACACCACGAGTTTAGCTCAAGATTGTTGTTTTAAAAATACATTGATATGTAATTGCCCAATTGGGGCCCAATTGGGCACCCAACGCTGATTCAGCATCGTTGTTGGATGATGCTTTGACATTCAAGGGCCCAAAGACGCACACACACCACTGTTTCAACCGTTGAGTCTGTCTTCAGTGCGCTTCTTGGTCACTAAATGCCTCATTGCAGTCGATGTCACACAAATTGCCAGAAACCTGCTTGTTAGCGGGCACATAAGCAGCAGCAATATTGCTAGAGGTGAGCTGTAGGTGCTTCGATATTCGGGCGCCCGATGCATGCAGGTGCTCTCTAAGAAGCCGGGACGCAATGCAGAGCAGGAGGTGCTCCTGGCTTCGGATACGAGGAGCAGAAACGGCTAAAGTATCCAATGTGAGGCAGCAGTGGCGCACCGGGGTGGATGATGCCGGGGAATCTGACACCGGGGATGTGGCGGGAAGAGCAGTAGATGCCGTCAAAGTGCCAGATGGCCTTGGTCGCGGACGGGAAGTGGTCTGTCAGGAAGCCACCTGCGCACGCATTGCTCCACACAGTCAAAGTGAATTCTTGCCCAAGCATACAGCCATTGCCTTACAATGCCACGGTGCATGGAAAGTTCTGCTGGGGAAGAGTGTCCTCGTCAGTCAAACTGGGTTCTGGGCCATGCATACAGCCGATGCCATGCAATATCATAATGCAGATCTGCGCAGAATTTCTGTTTGAGAATGCATGCCCACCTCCGTTCTCGCGGTCAAAGGTGCCTGTGAAGCCCCACTCATCGCCAGGCAAAGGGCCCAGATTGCAGATCTCCACCATCAGCAGGTCCCCAGGATGGGCTGGCTCGCCACTGGCATCTGTCACGGCTACAGGCCCGCTCAGATTGTGCACCTGTAGTTTACAGCATGACATGATTTAGTCACTAACCCCTCACTCTCTGCATGGCGCATCGGAGCGTCAGCAATGACAGGAAGGGAAGATGGGCGCACCTTCGTCAGATCGACGGTCTTCACATCCTCTGCTGAGTCGTCGTCCCTGATCTGGCCACCAGTCCATTCCACAGTCTCCACACGAAACAGGTCTCCTTCCTTGACAGTGCCCACCTGGTGTGGGAAACCATAATTCTTGTTAAATCGCTGGTGCCTGTACACTGCATCACATACGAAGAGGATGGAAGGTCTGACAAGCGTCCATGAGTGACGTGTCGACTCACAGGTGGAATATCAGGATGCCATCTGTTGTGCAGGCTTGTCGTGGTCTGATCCTCGGCCTTCTTCTTGACATCGACGGTCACAATGGGTATCGGCGTGCGTGGCGGCATCTTGAATAATGTATGCCCACCTGCCATTCAACGCAAAAGGTGAGCAATATGCATCAGCTTTCGCTTTGCAAGTTTAGGATTTGCAACCAGTCGCGGGTTCCCTACAAGCGCGACACAATGGAGCGCTGATAAAAGGATGAATCTATCACAATATAATGCCTTCACATTGCACAAATGCGGCCGAGCTGCACTGTTTGATTCAGGGATCGCCACTACGTATGTGTTAAAACCTAACTCCGGTTGTCCTCTCGGGTAACAACGCAAGCGTCGAACAATGGAGTTTAATCGCATGGTTCACTGAAGATATCTATTCCAATTGGCTGCTGGTGTACATTAGCGCAAAACACGAAATGACGACGAGATGTGTTCGACGGAATGGGCATCTGCAGCTTCAGGAAAGGTGAGCGGAATGGGTGAGATGCCTCACCTGCCTCTCACTCTCTAATCAAAAGCTTGCCGTTCCTGATACCGATTTGCGAGGTATAATGAAATTCAAAGAGACCATGACTGGCGAAGAAAAGACTGTCAAATGTTACGTCAATCGTCACTTTAAAACCGTAAATGGATCGAGGTAAAGCGATATGAACTCGATCTTCTCATTGTCCGATTGCAAATTCTTGGACGATTCTTGTGAACATTTGTCTGCTTCTTTAACGTGCAAAATGACATCTGTGATGACCCAGTCTGGGGCACTCGCCAAGACAGACGGGCAGAAGTTCAGAATGCAGGCCAGCCCACTTGCTCAGCGCAGTTTGCGCATGCCCGCTCCTTTTGTCAGCTCAAGGCAAAAAAGAAAGCTTCCAACGAGAAGACAGCAAGTAAGCAGAGCTGGACTTTTGGATTTTCTGACTCCTCAGGCTGGCCCAAAAACCGATGCTCGAGCAGATGAGCTTGTCAGCGAGCTTTTGGAGATTGCAGCAAAGACAAATGGTGGAGCAAAGGCGAGCTCAAGCATTCGTGAGCAGCTCGACGACCTGGTGCGCTCAGAGTCACTGGCATGCAGGCAGATCAGCCCAGATCTGTGGACCATTTGACGTGCACTATCATACACGTTGCCAGGATTATATGCGCATTGACAGGTCCTGTTGCATGCCTGAGCACAGCTGTCTCTGCAAATGTGAGGAGTAGGCTGCAATTGACATAAATGTCGTGCTATTCTCAGACGGAACAACTGCAGAGATTCAGGCCACGGGCACCGACTCGCAGCCCCCTCTTCCCCGGCACCTACAAGGTGAGTCCTTATACAGATCCAGATGCTCTAGCAGAACAGTATTTGGCATGACGTTTCCGTTGCTGCGCACTGCCTTATATTTTGCATGCGGCAGGTGCTCTACACATCAAACCCGAACGCTCCAGGAGGGCCCGTGCTGCGCAGCGGCCCTGGGCAGGCCGTGTTCACTGGGCAGCAGCTGCGGCAAACTCTGCAGAAGCCAGACGTGTTCCTGAACGAGGTGGGCTTCAAGACTCTGGGCCTCTTCCCGGGCACAGCTGTGCAGGAGGGGCGCTGGCGAGCCCTGGACGGCAACCGCTATGTGGTGAGCGCCCGCATCCTACTCTTGACTCGTAGCAAGATCCTACAATTGTTTAATCCTGAATGCTCCTAGCAAAGGATTCCTGTGAGCTGGTGGCGAGACACTCATCCCTGAGGGATGGTGCTGACAGCGCTTTTCTTGGATTCAACCAAGACAGAGTGCAAAACATACAAGACAGTGCAAGGGTATTTTAGATCAAGGACCAGCCGGTGAACTTGCAACAATTGCAGGCCCAAGGGAAGGAGAGCTTCAGTCCTACGGTCAAGAGAGAAGGGACACGTCTACTTCTCCCTGAGATGGTGAGGTTATATGGGAGCAGGTTGATCTGGAGCCGGCGGCGCTCAAGGTGGCAGGGAACGCTGGGGTGACCAACCAGGGCGAGGCTGTGCAGCGCATGTTCGAGGTGCTGTACCTGGACGAGCGCGTGCGAGTCGTGCGCTTCCTGCCCGACGCGGACTCTGGCAGCCAGCCGCAGCTGTTCGTATTCCAGCGCGAGGCCGAGGAGGCCGAAGACGATGTTGAGGTGCGGCCCGGCTTCTTTTGGTCTTGGCTATATTGAGTTCTACACAGGGATTGCAGAGATGCCCAGAGATCAGCTTAGTCCTACATAGCGGTTACAGACATGCCCAGAGCCGGTATGGCTTAATTGGTAGATGCAACGTGGTGACCCGGTGATGAAATGGTTTTGGATGGGCTCCTCTGCATTGCTTCTGCCTCAAGACAAGTCTGTCCAAAACAGTCCATAGAACAACCGAGAGACTTTAGAGGGACTATTTTCACACAGGAAGAGGGAGATGAGCCGGAGGAAGCGCCGGCTGCGCTGTCGTTCCTGCTCGGCGGCAGGGGCAAGCCGGGCCTGGCCACGGAGGCGGAGAGGAGCTACGCAGAGGAAGCTTCTTCAGGCACCGCCAGGAGGGGCCGCAGAGTCACTGCAGCTCCTGCACAGTGCGTACTGCCCTGCTAACCCCTTCCTGTGGGAGATATCACAGCAAGAATTTCCTGATCGAGTGAAGTATTGACACTAATACTATTACTAGGATGTTGTTCCTGCCAGAGGGAAGGTGCGGCTGCAGATAGGCTGCAGGGCAAGGACAGCACAAATCCTGCCCCTTGATGGACTCGCCAAATCCATGCAAATCCCAATCAACCGTGGGCACGAGTGAAGTATACAACAAACACATGCTCGATGTAAGATGAGGGCGCAGATGTATAAAATGCTATGTTGTGGGCGCTGTGCAGGGTACCTGACGCCAAGTCCGAGGAGGTGAGGCGGCGCGAGGCGGTGCGCGCGCAGCTGGCCGAGATCACAGAGGCCTACAAAGATGCACAGGCGCAGGCTCGTGCCGCCCTCAAGGAGCTCAAGTGAGCTTGTCCTCCTTGCGTTCATGCTCTGGCCTCTGGCCTGGCCTGGCTGGGCTTCATTCGTCCTGTAATGCAGAGCAGCAGCAACTGGAAACTCGAGGAAAGAGATGCTTTGGCATGTTCTGCCTGGACCCCATATGCTGTACTCCAGAACAATGCTGTGCAGTTGCGGTTCAGAAGGTTCAAAAGGGAATGGCAATTTGGTGGATGTGTTACCTTGTGGGTGCAGGGATTTTGAGAAGGAGTCAGTGCAAGCGCGCCGGCAGTCCGGGCCGGCACTGGAGATGGTCCGTGTGGCGGATTCCACGGTGGAAGCTGCCGAGCAGCAGGTGCAGGCAGCGCGCGAAGTGGCGGCCAATGCAGAGGAACAGCTCAAGGCGGCCAACAACGCTCTCACGTAAGTTGCTGCAATACCCTTGATTGCTTGTGTGCAGTTTGATGAATCTGCTCCTGGGCGGAGGTGTCTTGCATGTTTGCACGCATGCAACATTGCATATAAACTGCGAGGCAGCCATCTCTTCCCACTTGGCGCTGCACTGCCTTGCATGTGTTTTGCATTCTGTCTTCCTTCAATCCCTTGTGGGCAAAGGGACTCCTGTCTGCGTGCACGCATGCTCGTGCATGGGTTTGCAATGGGTATGCCCTCGACTGGGACGCTGAAGAGACTGTGCGTTCTTGCAGGGATCTGGAAAGGCGAGTTCGTCAGCGGTGAGTGCGCGCTATGTACATGCGGCCATTGACCAGATCAGATCTGAATCATATGTGGTGTGGTGAGCAAGCACGGAGCAAACGTGCGGATAAGCATCATGCCGGCGGAATACTGAAGTGTCTGTGATCATGAGAAAAGCGGTTCAGTTCAATGAGTGATGAGTAGTGTGGCAGGTTTGAGAGGGCAGGTCCAAGCAACCTTTCACAACTTTGGATCTTGAGCTTGTCCCGACCATTGTGATCTTCAAATTCCTGATGTGGCTGCCGGCATGCCCCGCAGCGCTGGCGCCAGTACTGGTGATCACTCATAAGCGAGGGACGGACGTCAGTCATGAGTTATTGCATCGCGCAGCGGATGGATGTTATGTACATGCGGCCTTACACATCACTGGCGTTGAATGTGAGCAATGAACTGAAGTTACAAGCTTGTAAAACATCTGGGGAACTTTGAGGTGCCTCTATGCTTTGGCATGCATTAGTCAGCATTGTTTGTGTGCTGAGTCATACCCACAAGCAATGGCATAACCCCTCGAACTTGAAGGAAATTGGGAACCAATGCATTGCAATTTGCAATTGCATTCTCGGAAGGAAGTGGGTCTTCAAGAATGCCCCTCGGTGTCGATCTGCAGTCCAGTAGCCTGGTCATATATTCCTGCAGGCGAACAGTCAACATCTTGCATCACGTTGTTTAGGCGCGTGTGCAACGCTTCTCGATCGGAAAGAAAGCACCAATCATCAGTAAAGCCATAACAAAGACACCTTAGATCCTGCCTGAACGCTTGATGTGATCCAGTCAGGCGGACGGTGAACAAACGCACGGGATTGGTTTGATTATATGGCAGAAGCAATTTTGTCAATACCCAATACAAGTGATACTGTGAAAAATTATTCTGAACGTATTGACCAGGAATCTTCAAAGTCATTGCCACCTAGTAGCTCAGCAGAACAGACCACGACGGTTGCATTAGCCAGTGAATCAGCTTCTGAAGAAGACCCAGCTGGAGTCCCAACTGAAGGCAGGCAGCAGATTGCCTCCAGTACAGACGAAAGGCACAGCATTAGGCAACCCAGCCCTCAAGCTCACCAGGACAGATCAGAGGCCAAGACAGAAAGCTCCAGAGAGTACCGGCCAACAGACCAGTCTCTACCTGCTAAACAGGAGGAGGAGCAGTCAGAGCGGTTGTGCTCAGAGGCACAGGCGAGCAGCCTACAACCGCCCACTCCCCCGCTGTCCTCTCCTGCTGGTGCCAGCCCCACGTCAAGGCCAGCCTCAGTCACTGAAGGAGAGGAGACCAGCAGAGCAGGACCCTCAGATTACCCACCTCTGCACGAAGTTGCTGAAGGCATCAGGGAAGCAATCAGGAGCAACCTCAGGTGCGTGAAATGCTGCAAGCATGTCTATCTTTGTCCCCAAGCATGGCCTTCAGGACCCTCTCGGTTTTTATAATGTGGCTCAATGGAGAATTTGCTGTGCAGGGTATCAGAAGTGAGGAGGCACCCTCCAGAAGCAATGGAGGACTCTTTGCCCTCCCTGCGTGTGGTGGCAGCAGAAATAGAGACGCCTGGGCAGTCACCCAGGGGCGATGCCCTGTCGCCATCCACCTCTGGCGACTCCTTTGGCAAGGCCCTCATGCACCAGGCCATGCGCCTGAAGACCGCCATGCTCAACCAGAAGGTAGTTTTGCGCCATTCCGAGCAATTCTGCGCAATATTCGAGGTTGATCTCGCAATATGTAATATGTAAGGCACGACATGAAGTGCTGAAGGATGATGACACAGTTGTGCACTGTTGTCATGACCTGGGATGCAGGTCAACTTCATGGACATTGCCAAGCACCCCGGGCTCGCAAAGGCTGCCAAGGCGGAGCTGGATGGGGAGAGCCGCTCCGGGAGCGCTCACCTGGACCCCAATGCCTTCCCCCGCGAAGCTGATGTGCGCCCCTCCCCACGCCCATCCTATCACATCTTCACCAATAAACCCCATTCTGGGTGTTGTGTCAAGGCTGTCCAATGTGACAGCGCAGTGCAGTGGTCCTGTGTTTAACAATCCATGCATTCGACAATACTTACCTCAGGCTCTGACACTTCATGTCAGCATCACACCATAGGTGTGCAGTGTTTCTGGGGTGGCTGACTGGGCTGTCTCACAGGTGGAGCGGCAGCGAGTGGCGCTGGCCGCGATTGACACGGAGGCGGAGGAGGAGAGCGGCATCAACCGGGAGCTGGCCGCCGTCATGTGCACGCGCATGGACGCCGCTCGCAGGGCCACCGAAAAGCTGCTGGGTGTCCTGCAGGTGGGCCTTAAAACATTCTTACCAGAATATGCTCACCAGTGGTGTCTGTATGTACAATCTTCACCATTAACATGTGCGTCTGAAGCAGTTTGCGTAAGTGGTCACTGATATCTCGGTGCTGTTAGCAAGTCATGAATCGTCACTTATTTGGCTAAGTTGCGAGATCATTTTGCAATGGCCTTCAAATGCAGACACATGCCGGGACAGTTTTCAGGAGGGGGAGCTCCTGTGTCAGTGTTCGTGAGCTCCAAGTTGTCCTGCAAGTTGCATCAGTCAATTTGTTGAAGTGGAATATCTCGATTTTATCAGATCTGTAGTAAATGGCGGTTTTGGAACGCTGCGCAGGCGTGCGCGGGGGCGGAGGCGGCGTACACGCGGGCGCTGACCGCAGCGTCCAAGGTTCCCCTGGTGGGCGGCTGCGACGGCGCCTCTCTGCGCGCCGCCCTCTGCGGCTTCTCCGATCTGCCCTTCATGGTCGGCCAGGCGCGCCCCATAACCCATGCCAGTGCCCTCACACAACTCTCTTGCAGTGTCAGGACCGTCCTTCTGCTGGCTTGCTATGTAGCGCTGCGGCAAATTCGACTTGGCGCCACGTTGAGGTTGTACAAGGTGGGAAGATAGCTGCCCGGCTTTCAACGCTGCAAGGTCCACTGTATTTCAGGTCACAGATGAGTCCAGCAATGGTCACTGGAGCTGGATGGTCATCGATGGAAGCGCAAGCTCTCCGAAAAGCACACAGGGGGTGGGAAAAATCATGACAATTGTCATGGGAGAAGCTGCACTAGTGCTGAGGGAGCGGTGGGGGGTGCAGGCGCATGTGACGGTGGGTGCGGGACTGTCGGACACGACGAGGGGCATGCAGGAGGTGGTGGGCGCGCTGCGGACGGCCTGCGCCGAGATCTCGGGCGAGTCCGCCAAGGTGCACCGCTCCATCGACGCCGCGCGCCGCCACCTGCAGGCCGCCTTCGCCGATCACACCGCCGCCTGCCGGTGCGATTCAGCTCCCTTCAAACCCTGCGGAAATTCCCTGCTCAGCTGCCATGACTCTCCTGCGCCGCATCTTCTCCACAGGGATGACTAATAGATTGTGTGATAGGTTTTTGTGTATTCTCCGGCATTATCGCCATGTACTGCTGGTGCAGTATATGGAATCTTAGACAATTCCAACTCTTTTTGTTTGAACTTCAGGCCTGGTTCGTCCCTTTTTTGAGTGAAGAATCATTTGTGTCTGAGGGTGTGACTGCGCTGTGCCAGGATGACGGATGAATCAGCGCTGGAGCGCGCGCGGGGCCGGCTGGGGCGGCCGTTCTCGGAGACGGGCGACCCATGGCTCACGGAGGCGCGCGTCGTGGCCGCGCACGGGATGCTGCAACGCGCGCAGGCCGCCGAGCGCGAGTTCCTCACCCGCGCCTTCGCGCGCGTCAAGGAGCTCGAGCTGCAGCGCACCGCCGCCATCAAGGACGTCATCAACGCCTTCGTTGCCGCCTACAAGTGAGAAACTGCGCTCTCCTCATGTCCACCTGCCTTACTTGCTTTTACTGGACCAGCTGGGATCAGGTGGAATTTGCAGATCATTGAACGTCGCGCCCTGACCACAACCCTCCCTGCATCGCTGGAGATTTGCTTTGGGGATGCAGCAGCTGCCTTGGCCTGCCAGCCCATGGTGCACGTTAAGGTTTCCTGGTTGCCAGTCTATAATTTCCGGTGCAAGAGAGGATTGTGAAGCATGCGGAAGTGATGAGCCGGGTATTGTGGCAGGAGTGATCTGGGCGTGGTGAAGGCGGACACAGCGCCGCTGCTGCGTGTGGCGGAGCAGATAGATGGTGAGGCTGACCTGGCAGAGCTGACGGCCAGCTCAGCGGCCGCGGCTGAGACCGGCGCAGCACTGGGCGCTCGCCAGACCGAGGCCCTGGAGGCTGCCTCGCAGGAGCTCCTGTGCAGCCCAGAAATCGTCCGGTGGGTTCTCCACTGTGCTTTTGCTCATGGGCCAGCATGGAGGCTGTCTACTCACAGCTGGATTGCCGTGCACAACCCATGAAACTCAGGAGTTGTGTCCCCAAGTCAAGATGACTTGGTGAAATTGGGTCCTGGACATGCAGGCAAGGGGAGATGGCGCGCTGGGTGTCTGGGTCAGGCAGGTGGATGGACTGCCACTTTGTGCTGACGCGCTGCGGCTTCCTGCACTGGTTCAACAACAGCCCGCCAGCGCCCGCTGACATCGTGCCTGCAGACTCCCTCAACCTGTCCAGGCGCGATCCCTATCCTATATCTGAATGCCATCGCAAGTTCTCGGCTGCTCACCAGAGGCTGTTGTGGGGTTTATTGTTTCAGTGCGTCAATTGTTAGTCCCGTGGCTGTGCAGGTGTCAGTTTGAGACTGGGGAGGCACCGGAATTCAACCTTGTGGAGATGGGACCGGGCATGTTTGGGCGCAGCCGCCGGCTCATCTTCCGGGCCTCGAATGTGGAGGAGTGCTGCGAGTGGGCCATTGGGCTCCGGGAGGCCATACGGGGAAACTGAGATGTATCAAACTTCTGGACCAGCCTGCTTTCCCAGATCATCTGAATTTTGTATATGTAGCTGTTGTGAGGTGCTGCGGATGACTTGCAAGACTCCACTTGGGATTCAGCGAAGGCAATGTGTGCTTGCATCTTCTTGTAGATTAGCTGATGCCTTGGAAATCCGTATCGGGACAAGCTTTGTCATGAAAGTACTTAGTACGTGCTGCTGCAATCTACCCCACTAGAATGTATTTTACACATTGGCATTGCAATTACATAGAGGTTCTGTGATGCGTGATTTAGGCCAAAAGAATCTAGCTATGATGCCAGTGGTCACTACTGACCTGCTAGGACAACATGCAGCTTTGAATGATAGATGGGCAATCTTGTCGTTCAATTTACTTGCACCACATCGGATCAGAGCGACTGCACAGGACAGTCAACGGTGGCATGTTTAACAGTAAGTTACGCATCAAAACAGCTGGAATTAACTCTTGTTGAGTGACATGTTTCTGCAATTTGTTCTGCTGGATGTCATCACAGTGCTGATTGTCATCATGGAAGGGCAGCTTCAAGGGCAGGCAGACCTTTCACAAGGCTCTGCCACTGCTCTGCCACCAAAGAGATGCCTGCAAAGTCACGTATGTGCATTGAGAATGCATTGAGAACATGGCCACTTTGCTTGGTCCCCGCGGCAGCAACAGAACATCATGAGCACATTTAGTGTATGCTCAGGGAAATCGCACCTTTCTTTCCAGGCAGCTCTTTGCCGTCCTTCTCATACATTTCCCTTATGTCCACCATAATGCTCGATTTGAACTGATTGATCCGCACTGCTCGCCTGTGCAACACGTTCTACTTTCAGGAGAACACAAAGATGGCTTGGCAAAATTCCAAGGTGAACGATTGGGCACATTGCATCGGAGGCTGCATCAGGCTCTGGCCGTACTTGCTTGACAGAGCTATTTTGAAGTCGACATCCTTTGATGCAAGGGCGGCAGTGACATCGCTGGCAGCAGCATTGAGTATCTGAAACTGCTCTGGGGAAAGCGCTATCCCCTTGGACCCAGGCAACATCTCGCCATTCTTCTGCACAAATGTCAAAGAAAATTTTCTCAGCGCGAAGGCACATATGCACAGCTTCCATGTTGATGGGAAGGACTGGAATGGATACACTGCAGCGGCGGCGAACAAACCTCGTAGTATTCCCTGATGTTAACAAAGGTGGATCCTTTGAAATTGCTGATGTCAGCGCGCCGATTGCTGCTCAGGATGACAGGGAGGGGGCCGCTGTGCTGCACGGTCTCTGATTCCTCAGAAGGTCCAGCAGCACCGGACCCCGCAGCAGCTTTGCCTGCAATGTCCCATAAGGAGAATCACTCTGCAATGATCCATGTAAAGGGTCAATCGCACAGTCCAGCAGACAGCAGTATGGGAAGTAGATGAGCACCTGCACTTTCCTTGGGCTTATGGTTGGCTGATGCGCCCAGAGCCTGCAGCTCAGCATCAATGTCATCTGTGGCGCTGACCAGGGCCTCCCACTGGACTGCAGGTAGACTGATGCCTGCCCAAAAACATTGACCATTCAGCCGGCAAATCTTGCTTGCTCCACAAACACCAGATGATTTACAGAAATGTGACAAGCAGAGAGTCAGACACGGAAAGATAATCACACCTTTCTTTCCAGGAGCATCTTCACCATCCTTCTCATAAAACTCGCGGATGTCCACGCAGAGGTTCTTACCAAATAGCCGCACACGCAAATTCCTCTGTGCCGACAAGTCAACTGTGAAGTCCTCTTCCTCTGCATCCAGAGCTTCTGAGACTGCTGCTGCACTGCCCTTGACAGCTGCCCACTGCTCCGGTGTCAGAGATATGCCTGTGGATGTAACATGCAAGTCAGGAGCACTATCTGCTCAAGCACAAACAAGATGTCCACGCTGAAGATGTCCACGTTGAAGTAAAGACCAACTGGGTCTGACCAGAGTCCTCCCCCCACCTTTCTTCCCAGGCATCGGCTTGCCATCCTTCTCGTAAAACTCCCGGATGTCCACAAGGGGCTTGCCCTTAAAAGAACGGACAGTCACCTGCAACAATGAGTAGTGTCAGGAGCTCAGGAGCGCCTGCAGCTACTTTTCCGTGCGCAGCAACAGATGCATGGACCGCATTGCAGCGAGCTTGCACCTGGCGTCGACCAGAGAGGTCAAAGGTGGCCTCCTGTGCAGCATTTGTGCTTCGAGCTGATTTTGCATGGTGCGAGGGTTCTGCAACTGCCTCTGCCTTCCTCTTGCCCAACTTTTGTCCCAAAGGCACTTGTGATGAGAAGGGAGGCTCGTCATCCTCGTCATGTGGATCTTCCTCAGGAGGAAGGCTTGCGAGGTAGCCCTCAATTTCAGCCTGGGGTTCATCAACACACAACGCCCTCAGCGCAGTCCCAGCCAATGTCAAAACTGGCTGACGATACAGAAGGGCCACAAATATGATGTGACACCTTTTTTTAGATAGTTCAGAAGGCACTGTGTGGGTCAGAGTGCAGGTTCCTGGTGAGTTAGCACAGGACAAGGACGAGAAGTCACCGCGATCATCTTTTTGTAAGCATCCGTCTGCACAACATCACCGAATTTTCCAGTGAGAAGCTCCCTGATATTTCGTTCACACAGTGTGGTCAAGTCTGCTGTTTCCAAGATGACGCTGACTTCCTTCTTTATCTCTGCTCTTGAAGGGCCCGCCATTTCCCCTCAAGATCGTCCCTTTTCTCTATCGTTTTTATCTGATAATGCTGTGGTGACCACAGTGTGGTCTCTTCACATGAGATGGAAATGAGCCTTGCTATTCAGCTCATGCTTTGCCTGCTGCGATTCACGTGCAACTGGTGTGTCGAGAGCGCCTTCGAGCACATGCGAAGGATATGAAAGTTCATTTCTTTTTATGACATTAGTGTCCAGACCATGCTCCACAGTCCTGTGACAGTGAACAGAATTCTGCGGCGAGAGGCCGTTTGATTGATCCCAGATCTCCATAGAGGGCCGATGCCTGAACTCCCCGAGGTTGAGGCTGCAAGAGTGTTAGTCCATACACATTGTAAGGGCAAATGTATTGAGCAGGCCATCGCTGCAGATGACACAAGTAAGTCACTGGAGGAGATCAAGTGTGCACCGTCTGAGACCACTGTGATGTCTTCTGAGACTCTCTGACGACAGGACTGTATTGATGCAGAGGTCATTGAAGGAGTAAGTCCTGAGGAGCTACAGAATGCTTTGCGAGGGAGGACCATCGTGGATGCCCATAGGAAGGGCAAACACATGTGGTTGGAGCTTGATGGTGAAAATCCAGCCCTGCTGTTTCACCTAGGGATGACCGGCTACATGGTGGTGGAAGGCGTCCCCATAGTGCAGTATGTGAATGCCAAGAAGCGTGGAGACGAATGGCCTCCAAAGTACTGGAAGGTGTGTGCTTGAGGACCAGTGGAAAATCACATCGTGTTGACGCAAGCATATCTTTCAGTGGAATGAATCACAAGCATCATATATTAATAAATCAAGGCATGCAGGTGGTGCTTGAGACAGACTGTGGAGTCAAGCTGGCGTTCTGTGACCCCAGGAGATTTGGAAAAATCAGGCTTCAGGCCGATCCAGAGAACAATGAGCCAATCAGCAAGCTGGGCTTCGACCCGATCTTGAGCATGCCAGATCTGGCCACCTTCTCAGGCATGCTCGCAAAGCAGAGGCGCTCTGTCAAGCCCTTGCTGCTGGATCAGAGCTTTTCTGCGGGAGTGGGCAACTGGGTGGCCGACGAGATCTTGTACCAGGCCAAGATACACCCAGAACAGAAGGCAGCCTCCCTTGACGAAGCGCAGTGCGCTGCACTCCACCACCAGATGAAGGTGCTGCCAGCTTGTTTGCACATGTGAAGTATTTTGGGCCATTGCTATCTTATATCATAAGACTGGTGGTCTGAATTTAAGGGTGTGTACAGGCCGTCCTTCAGACTGCTGTTGATGCTGGCGCCGATTCAGAGAAGTTCCCAAAGACTTGGTTGTTCCATCAGAAATGGGGAGCTGGCAAGAAGGGGCCGGCCCCGAGGCTTGAAGGAAACAAGATAGAGTACATGCAGGTGGGGGGTCGCACAACAGCATATGTGCCGGCACTTCAGAAACTCAAAGCTCAGGCCGCTGAGAAGCCAAAAGCAGCAAAGAAGAAGGCAGCTGACAGCGAGACTCAGGCTGCCGTACCAGCAGTAAAGCAGCCCAGGAAGAGAGCAGCGCCCAAAACCCCGAAAGCACAAAGTGTCGCTGGTATGCTTGGCCACCTCAGCAGAAGGCTCCTTCATACTCGTATCATGATATGAGAGGTGTGCTGTATCATTAGATGATTGTAAAGAACAACATTTTGAGGGCCTTTTCCAGTGACCAAACTGCAATTTGATCCCAGCATCAGGCAGGTGGTAGTTTGATGTGATTTCCGCCTGCAGCAGAGGAAGAGGAAGACGGAGCGTCTGAAGAAGCAGCCAAGCCAGTAAAGAAGAGCACAAAGAAGAATAATGCAGATACAGATGACCAGGCAAACAAGGCTGAAGCGGCGGCACCAACCAAGAAAAGGGGCAGGAAAACTTAAGGCAAAGCAGAGAATGATGGAGTATCCTGCTGATTTAGTACTGCATGCATGTGCAGCACCCTACATATGCCGGGTACAAGACCGTTGATGGTCCGATAAGGTAGAGATGTTAACAGAGGCCTTGAGGAGCTCTTATGCAAAATATTACACAGTGATGATAAGAGCTACGACATGGCAGAGTTGTGTATAACCATTTTTAATGCCACAACGAATCCCTCTCGACGCTAGAAATTTCACTGTAAGTCATAGATTCTCCAATTGAATCCTCGTAATTGACATTTACAGCAGCATCATACCTCTGATCTCAGAATTTACTAGACAAAATCCTTGTACAATATAGCAAATTACTGATATGATTTCTGCTTCTACTGGACTTGCTGAGAGTTCATGGATTCCATCACTGTTCAGGCAGTTCATGATATTTAGTAGACGTCTCACAACGACATTGTACATGACACAACCAAAGGACATGCGCTATCGGACAGCCTGCAGTTCAGGCAAATCATCTACAGCACTGTTCATCCGCTCTATCATGCCCACCAACGTGTCATACAGCTCCCGGGTTACAGGCTGGTCATCCTGCATCTTCCAATCCTCCCTGTAGGCCGGTGGCAAAGGCACACGCGGCGTCTGCGCAGCATGTCAGTATTTCGTCAGGAACTTGCGGGCCAAAAATAAGGAGCGCTCTGTAAATTGTCGTATTCAAACGACAATCATGCCATCGCTAGCCTGCAAATGCTTTTGGGGGCAAATGTAGGGCAGCGAAGTAATGAGCAGCAGGGGCCACACCTTGCGCTGGATCTCTTCAGCGGTGTAGGTGCGCTTGTCAAACTCCCAGATCTTGCGCCCGAAGGAGTCCTTGAAGATGGTGCCCCAGGTGTAGTGGAACATCGCCGCGCCGCCCAGGGCCTGGTCGGCCGGCGGCTGCGCAATCAGGGGGCACCGCGGGCAGGCCAGGATCTCCGGCTTGACCCCCTTGAGCGCCATGGCCACGCTGAACGCGTACATCTCGCGCACCCACCCCAGCTTCTCCTTCGACTCCATGTCCGCCTCGATGTGCGCCGTCAGCCGTTCCCACTCTGGCGCCACCTGTGCCCATGATAACATCATTAGCAATATTTTACTGCAGCACTGCACCATGGTGCAGCTCTGGTCATGCGCATCATTGACCATGTCTGCGTCACTCTTTGAGGCTCAGCAACTTTTGCATCGAACCGTGAACGCTCACATGCAGAAAGCCCAATGTCGTGCAGCTGTGACCATGTGCAGACTTGACCGTGCTTTGCACCGCTCCATTTGAGGCTGAGCCATCTCGCATCAATGCACAAGGAACTCTTGGAGGGTCTGCATAAAGGAAAGTTGGCCAGGAGAGCGCACCTCCATCCACTCGTCAAATCGCATCATGACAGGTGCCGGGCCGCTGCCGTGAATGCCTGACAGGGGGCCCAGCTCCGCCGGGTACATCTTTCGCATGACCCCTTCCAGGGGCGGAGCAGTGGGAACTATGTAGTTGAAGGGGTATGCCATCGGACGGCTGGCCGGGTCCTCTGCTGGTGGCGCCTGGAGCGGCCTCATCCACACATAGTCTGTCTCTATCATCAGCAACCACGGTGCCTGCCACACAGCAAACACATGGATTGATCTGGGACCTAAATGACCTCAATCAGGAATCGGGAAGAGACATACAAGAGAGACAAGACATATGTACAAAGCTCTCACAGCAAAATTGGAAGCCTTCTAGTACGTACTTTGATCATGGTGGGGTCCGCCTTGGCTGCCTTCAAAAACTGCATTACTGCATTAGGCCGGTCGGACACAGGGAACTCGCACCATGTATCACAGGAGGGTGTCAGAGGATCTGCTCTAAATGTGGGCACCTGCACAACACGCTCTGTTGGCAAGAGACCATTCATCTGAGCAATCAGGCATTGCGGCTACTGTTGAGCAAGATGTAGGAGAGAGGCTTGCCTCATCCATCAGGAGATCAGGGCGAGTGCGGTGGAGGATTCGTGTGAAGCCCACAAGGGAATCACCGCCTGGCATCTTCTGGGCCTTCTTATAGGTCCCATACCTGTGCATGCATCCCCACAACACGTTAACGTGATGAGTCCTTTGCAACATGTTGACCCCAAGCTTAAAAGGTCCACAAGGTCCTGAGGTGAAATGTTTCTACTTCTCCGGCGCATCACACCAACAGAGCATGCACAAATATGGAGCATGCAAGAACGTACATGATGCGGTTCTGAAAGTTTAGGTAGGGGCTGCCATTGCTGGTGACGAGAGTGTGTATTGCCGTGCCCTTTGTTGGGATTCCGGGAGTTACTGTGCTCCTTTTGACCTTCGCGGTCGGCTGCCCTGGCAGCTGCTTCCTTGTAGACCGGGTATCGTGCATGCTGTCATCCAGGGGTGTGAAGCGATCTGGTGCACATAGTAGATATGTCATGTCTTGAGAGCTCAGCAGTGTGGGACGGAGAATGGTTATTTTATGGGGTCAAAGGGGGTCCGTCAGCCTACCTACAGCCAGCCCTTGCACAGATTCCTCCCTGAGCTGCAGCATCTGCAGGTCCAGGCCAATTGTCAGTCCCTGCCTAGATGTCTTCATCAGGTCAACATTGAGTAGTTATCCTCGATCATGGATGCACAGGCATAAGGCTGTTTGGTGCCATGGCATTGGACAGGAGCCCTCACCGCATGTACAGTGCCCATGAATATGTACCCAAGGCCAAGCCCAGCGAGGAAGCCTGCAATGGCAAAGGTCACCAGCTTCGCTGGACCCACACGTGTCTTGCTCTGAAACATCTTGTTCCTATTGATTGCAGTGTATGCTACACATCAGTCCCTCGGGTGCCTCTGCTCCGGCCTGTCATCACAAGTAATCACCAGCTGCAAGAATCGTGCTGCCATCTATTTCAACAAAGCTAGAGAAACATATCAACTGTGCCACCCTTTGCATGCTGATCATCGTTCTTGTACACGACTAGACTCTCATATTCCTGACACTCGATGGCAGATATTGATAACAACAGCTTCAATTTCTCCCTAGGTTGTCTGGGTTTGGTTGTAAATGAGGCAAGGTCTTGGGTACAACAATTCCTTGAGGGAACGCTGAGACTTGTCTGGCTCAACTTGATGATCATGGGCCCACATTCCACACCATTCTTGATTGGCACAACCTTTATCTACTGTTCATTGTTATTGGATCTACTTGACACAAGACTCACTGCATTCCTTCGAAGATACCTCTACTCCCTCTCTTCCCAAGTGTCCTTCAGCAGAGAAACTTCTGATACAGGCTTTGCACTATGAGCGCTGGCAAAGTAGATGATGGTGATCAGATTGTGGCATCGGGGGAGGCTCTCAGCGTGGTAAATCAGCCTCCCATACTTCCGTTTGTTTTTGGCTCCCAATGCACTGATCAGATAAAGCTTACGGGAAGTTGAGTTCTATATGTGGTGTCAATCTGAAGGAATCCTAGGTGATCATGTCTGTGTCATTCTGGGATTAGCAAGACCAAGCGGGTGCAGGTGTCAAAGTGGTTGGGCCTTAGCAGCTTCCAGGAAGCTCTAGCAGCAGACCCTGTTCAGAATAGCACAGATGTGGAGGAGCTGCGCCCTCCACTGCTGGGGTTGGGAGCTGACCCACGCAAGTACCACAAGGTGGGTCTCAGCCGGTACCACAATTTGCGCCGAATGCCCCCTTAATGTATCACCTGATGACCTCCCCTCTGTCGCATGTTGCAGTCTTTTGTTATCAAATGGAGTTTGCTCTGCGCAGGCACTGACTGCAGCGTCAAAATTGGAGAGGAGACTGGGGCAGCGGCTGAAGGGGCAGCAGGATGGGCAGCAATCGAGTGCCGGCCACAGTCAAAAGAATGGAGCCACTACTGGTGCTGGGCCCTCCTGAACAGGGCATGACTGGGAAGAACCCATGGATTTGACATTCACACAGGAAATATATGCATGTGATCTCTGTGTGTTTTTCTAGTAGGGACGGGATCAATCTTGCTATGCATGGCGTACTGCCTGGCACTGGGCAAAGATATCCTTGCCCATGCGCGCAGGTCAGACAGCCGACACAGCAGAGGCAAGTGAGCAGGAGGAAGAGGAAGAGGAGGGCCGTGCAGGGGCAATCCAGAAGCAGAAGCGGCCCTTTCAGCAGGACCTGATGCTTTACCAAAAGAAAGGGAAGAAGAAAAGGAAGAAGAACGCACCATGAAATGCTTCTGCAATGTTTGGGCCCCCTGACACCCACAGCGTACCACACTACCATTCCTGGTATGTTCTGATGCATCAATGCACCTTTTGGCGCGGCAGGAAGTCCTGGTACTTCAGTTTCCTGGAAGTTCTTTCCAGCAATCTCATCAAGATTGGTTGCGTCTGCAAAGCAGTTCAATGGCATGTGCAGGGTCGTCGATCATGGTAGAGATGGATGTCACTGCCGAGGCGGCTACTGAAGGAGCCTTCAGCAGCTGAAGTTCATGAAGCTGATCAGCTTATCATTCTAGACCCAGTGCTGGTCCCTTAAGGAGTACATAAGCGTTCCCAGTTGCTTTATTACGAATGGTTTACCTTTACATTGAAGAGATGATTTCTATGGCAGCATGCAGTGCTGCAAACAATATTGATTAATCGGTGCCTTTCTCATCAATATATCATGCATGTCCCACATGATGTAAGAATTGAGGTCATAACATGCAGGTTCCTATCACTCCCAGTCCAGCACTGCGCAACCAAAGGTGCAACCTCATCATTCCTTATGATGCTTGCCCAACTTCAGATCTTCTCTTGCAAGTCAGCATATGCAAATTGCAACACTACTGTCCAAGCACACCCCTCAATTGTCGATCACTGAATGGAAATGGTCATACATTGCGTTATTCTACAACTGTATATAAAAGATGCACTCTCTACTGTAGCCTATCTTCTCTGCATGGACATCACAACTCGGAGACTTCCCTGTCTGGTTCCTTTTGTTTCCCAAAACATGGGCTCTGACTTCAATGTGACGGGCAGATATTAGCAGTTCTGGCAAAATCATGTTCACGCTCATCCAAAGACCACAGAAATGATGTGGAACTACACGTGTTCAAGTGAGGAAACGGTGAACATTTTCCTTTTTTGACAAAGATATTGCCTCCACAATCTCTACTGCTACTCCTCAACTCCACTCGTTTGCTATCTGTTGGCACAATCTGCATCGTTTGCTCTCCCGCGCTCTCTCGCTTGTCTCACAAATTCTTGAAAAAGTTCAGTACCTCAGCGTTGTTAGCTATGGCTTCTACTGTAAGCTCACTCCTCATCGCTCCAAACATGCTCACAGTGACATCCGCTTGGCTGATGATGCCAGCTTGAAGCCAGTGCTGTAATATGTACTCATGCCACCAGGACCTTGCTTGAACGGCCACCGATGCGGGGCAAAACCAGGCGCGGCCGCAGCCGTGAGGGCGCTGGCCGCTCCGCGGTGGCAGAATTGCAGACTGTGCTGCGTGTTCCTGCTACCGCCATTGCACCCATCACACCTTGGCCAGCCACAGATAGCACCTGTGCAATCATGCTCACTGTTCAAAAGCGCTCTACCTGTCTCAGTCACAAACGCCAGAAGCTCTCCAAAACTATTGCTTCTTGTCCAGTCGCTCAGTGCTAAGAAGAAGCTCATCCTGTAGGTCCAATATCTGTACAAGACCAAACTCGTCGAGATTTCAGGATAATAAACCCACCTCCTGGAAGCTGCCGGCCGCTGCTCTGGTGGCGGAGCGCCCCACGGAGCTCGCTGATGCCACCATGTTCATCGCAGCAGCCCTCACACTCTCCCCAATGCGCCAGCCCACATTCAGAGCCTCCCGCACCTGCACCAGCAAAGCACGTCTAGTCAAGACCCGCGCACAGACCTCACCGGCGCCCTGGGCAGCAAAAGCCCGAAAATAGTCCCTCAAAACTGGGTCAAAAGTGCGCACCGCAGGAGCTCTCCCGGCAGTGTAGGATGCCGCAACAGCTGTGGCCATGGCGATGGGCGGCCGCTGCAGGGTCCTGCTGACGAGGGCCCTGGGAGCAGGCACTGCGCTGACGCGCGCGGCCAGCCCCGGCAGCAGCTGCGGCCGCAGCCGTCGCAGCGTCGAGCGGCTGGTCAGAGCACCCGCAAAGGTAAGAGTCATCTGCAAACACCATTGACATTGTTTAGATAAGAAATTGCATTCTCCAGTGCATCTACAAGAGGAGTGCTCCTGAGCCGGCAATTATTGGCCTGTTGCTGCATGATGTCCACTTGCAAGGCAGCCTTTTCTTTCCCTGCATTCCTTTTAAAAATGGAGGTTCTCACAAAGTGCAGGATCTGGTAGACGGCATTCCCCTCCCCATGCCTTACTCAGCCTCCTGAAGAAGTCCTTAGTATCCCCTGCACAAGCGAAGGCGAGGGAATTTGATTTGGGCATCACCTGGGTGGCTGTCTGGACCTTTGGCCAGTTGGCGACGTCTGTGAGGGCGTGCGCCAGGGTAATGACCGAGTCTGACCACTGCGGCGTGGCTCTGCGCTGTCGGAAGGTCGTCCTTTTGCAAAGGCTGGCTGCGTGGCTCACCCCAGTTGTGTACTGACACAGCTTGTCAACATAGTGCCTGCACAAACATCCCCGATAGGTGCTGCGCTCCAAGAAAACTATACAGTACAGTTGACGAGGCAAAACAAAACAAGCACAAGATTGTTTGGCAAGCATCCGAAGACGATGGCAAACACAGGGAGCTGCGCTTACCGGCAGTCATTTTGGTTCAGGAAGTAGGTCAGCTGCTGCAGGTTGTTAAAGTTCCGAATGTCCTTCAGCGACAGTTTGCTCCTTCCAACGTACATATGCTGTGGTGGAAGCTCTGTCAACTGTCCAACAAGTAAATGTCTTTAGGTCAACGAAACTTAGCTAGGCTGCAATATCGCATCTGTGGCTGCTGACAATTTCAATGGTAAAACTTACAATGAATACTTTTGACCCTACAGAGAGCCAACACTATTTTGCATTCTGTTTTGTTCCTAAAAGCAACTTGAACCTTCTATGCAGCTGGTGGTCAACAGTGACAAGACCAGCAGAGCACACCTTCATCTCTCGGATCTCTGCCTGCTTGAGCCGCTTCGCATTCCTCTTATCCCCGTTTCCCATGACTCCCCTTGCTGGGAGCTGAAGTGAGTTGAACTGCGGGAATGCGATGTCCCCACCCACTGGGCCGAAATCGAACTGGGTGAGGCTGCCATCCGTGGTCTGCTTTACTATTACAAAGTAGTGAGCTACTCCAATGTCTTCCAGGAACCCGTGAAGCCGTGTTGGAACCTTCGTCGACAGCTCTATCAGCTGCCTTTTTCCACAATACACTTCAAGGGCGCGGTCCGAACCGCAGTCGCTCAGTGATGGGAGACTGGCACACTTTCTCAAACCGAGGCTTTCCCCACGGGCCAGTCCCATAGGTGACTTCCCGTAAGTGTATTGTGGGCTGCGCTCGTTCCGGATGACGGGTTCTTGCACCCGTGCGGGAGTATGCGAGCCCACCGAGAAATAGGGGAAACAACCGGCTCCTGTTTGTGACTCGTACAAGAGACTCAAATCCAATTAATTCTTCAAGGTCTTGCCACTTGTCGCGCCAATTTCACTGCAGAGATGCACTGAATCGAGGGTTTGGAGATGAGGAGTCGATAATCGCATGCATTGAAACCTCCCCAGCAATGAATGACCATAGCGGTGAGTCACAGTTATTGCGCGCGGAAGCAAGAGCATTGCATCCTGCCTGAGCAATTTTTTTACAAATCGAAGTATATTTGTTTCATGAAGGGCTTCGCGTGGAGCTGGTAATGCTCTCGTGGGTCGCACCAGCATACACTTGTTGAGCAGATTTGGTCAATCCCTTAACGCTTTCACACCCAGCTCCAGCTGGGTGCTTCGCAGAAAAGCACAGCGTGTACTGGCAGAATAGATGTTGGGAACTAGTATCAATATGCTGCATATCCATTCCACGTCAGGAAGATTCACGGCTCTGGCCCCAACAGCACCCTCCACGCAGCTTCCTCAATCGAGATCACTGATATTTAAATCATCGCCTCGTCCCTCGGCAAGGCAGCATGCTTGGACCACTCGTCATGGGCGCAGTGAGATCGGCCACAAGTTCGATGTGCAATGTAGAAACGCGGCAGCGTCCATGGATTGGGGCCACTCAGTGAGTTACTTCCACCAATGACCTCCGAGAAAACCCCCTTCTGTTGTGCGAGCAAGCTACAGCATGTTTTTTAATCTCTTGTCTCAGTGATTGTGCGTGTCTGCGCTGCACTCTCTCTTGTTTCTCGTTTGACCTATCAGCCCTCAACAACAAGATGCAGGGCCCATACTGTGTTTTCTTCACAGGGCAATGGGGACACAGTGCTTATTGCTGACATTGGTGGCACCAACTGCCGCTTTGAGCTTTGGAAGATCGACATGACAGGCGGGCGTGCTCATCAGGAGCTTTATCACCAGGTGCACAACTGTGGGTCATGACGAGCTTGCTGCATCATGCTGCCCATTTAGAAATGCTGTTGTTGCGACCGCAGATCTCATTGATCAGGTGCAGGAGTTTGTCAGAGACTGACATTCATTATTGCTGCATCTGCAGATTTTCCCATGCAGGGAGTTCCCAACCTTCCCGGACGCCCTTGCCGAAGTGGCCAGACAGGAAGTCTTTCAGGCAAATCTACCAAAGGCCGCAGCTTTTGCATGTGCTGGACCTGTTGCACACAACAAGTGTGAGATGACAAACTTGAGCTGGGTCATTGATGGTGACTACCTTTCAGAGGCGCATGGCATCAGGTGAGCCACAGATCACTGTCCCCAATTGGCGCTGATCCAACTTAATGTTTCCCTCCTGAGATTCGTAAACCTCTTGCCCTCATCGCACATGCCAGCAGTGTTGATTGGATTGAGCCTGTCGTCCAGGGTTGCTGTGCTCAATGACTTCGAGGCGAATGGATATGGAGTGACCGCCTTGGAACCTGAACATCTGGTCTGTCTGAACGAGGTGCCCGATGTCGAGAAGGCAAGGATCTGCTTCCTCTCAAGACCCCACTGGCCCCACATATTGATTAAGCTGTAGAAAATGCAGACATTGCATGCAATCCCATGAAGTAACCTGGTCACTTCACCCCAGCCATGCGAGACGTTCACTGCACTCCATGCAGTTCAAGCTGCTCAGGCCACAAACTAGACCTTGAGGTGGTGAGAGGCAATCATGCATTTGAATTTATCTGGTGGATTGCACAGTTAGGGCCCATGTGGTTGCGCGCAGGGTCCCAAAGCAGTGCTGGGTCCAGGGACTGGGCTGGGGGAGGCGCAGCTGTTCTGGGACGAGATCCAGGGCGGATACAAGGTGTGGCCCAGCGAGGGGTCCCACGCAACCTTCGCCCCCCGGGGATGGAAGCAGCGCGCCCTGCAGGTGACCTGACTCCCCTCACACTACTCTTGACTGGCAGCAAACGGATTCATTACATTTGCTGGACTAGGGGAATTCTGAGATGAAAATTCTGTGTGTTCGCTTTGCGGGCCAGCTCATGCTCTGCTGGTCCAGATGGACATAATTACTGCAATGTGAAGAGTTTCCTGTCTGGTGTCAGTGCACCAGCATGTCTTGGGTGTACTGGCACATGTCAGAGATCTTTGTTATGCAGACGAGTGTGTGGCGCAGGTGTTTGTAGAGCAGGAGCTGGGGTACTGTGAAGTGGAGCATGTTACATGCGGCAGCGGCCTTGAACGGATCTACAGATTCCTGCAGTCAGACGAGAGCTGCAACCGGCCCCTTGTTTCAATGGACACCTGCAAGGCATGCACACCACCCACTGTCCTGGGCCGAGCCAGGCCAAAGTCTAGCTGCCCAAAATGAGGCAGTCGCCTTGGAAACCACACACAAGGTTGTCAAAGGGGTCCACAGTGATCTAATGATGTGACTTGATGCGCCTGGCAGGATGCGCCAGCAATCACAAAAGCAGCGCTGAGTGGGAATGATGAGTTGGCGGTGGAGGCTGTGGACATGTTTCTGGCCATCATTGGGGCAGAGGCTGGCTACATGGGGCTCCGTGCGCTGGCCACTGGAGGTGTCTATATCTGTGGAGGCATCACGCCCAAGGTCAGCCCTGCAATCACCTGGTGCCTCTCCTCCTGTACATTCTTGCTTGATATTCGTGCTGCATCTGCTCAGAGGTCTGTCTGCAGGCGCACCTTGCCTCTGGCAGGAAAAGCGTGTAATAAGAATCAAGTATTTTGCGGTGAGGTATCTGCATGGCTCTGACGGGAGATTTTTTGATGCTATGCAGCTCTTAGAGAAGATCAGGGACAGGAGGTGTCTGGTGCATTCCTTCCTGCACCAGGAGAGCCGCTTCAACAAGCTGCTCCGGACATTCCCCCTGTATGCTGTCATTTATGAGAGGACTGGCCTCCTAGGGACCCGTGAGTATGCCATCCGCCTAATGGGGCAGCCCAGCTTTATCAAGGCTACCTAAATAACACCATAGATAGAGATTTTGCTATTCAGCGCAATGACTGTTCGGGCGAGATGTTAGAATGTGTACACATGTACATGCTGCGCTGATCAGGATGGCTCCATATCAATATATGGAGGTGGTACTAGTATGAGTTGCCTGAGATATTGTTCCAATCAGGCAGTGGTGCCGATCTGTCTGTTTATAGAGTCATGCAATCCGCAGGGCACCACAATAATAGCGCTTATCATAATATGATAGGTTAAGATTTCCTGTAAGTCTTGGTGAACACATACAAGTCATCAGCACAAGTCAGCCTGGGGCAAAAAAGGACTGCTTGCAGTGTGTCAGCAACTGGACAGGATCATCATGCGTTTGTATGCATCCATTCTATGGATACAATTGGCACATCTACCCGTCTAGTAGTACTAGACATGGGTTGGGTAAGAAAGAATTTTGCTCTGCAGCAGCAGGCAGCCTAGGTAACTACAATTGAATCTCTATGATGCTTGCATGTATCCTTTACTGCACTCTAAGGACGACGATCAATGCGGCTTTGGCTTGTACCCATCGACTGCAAAGTTTCTGGTGGCTCCAGGTATTCTCACGCGGATCCCATCGATGTCCTTTGAAGCAATCACTTGGCACCCAAGCCTGGACCTGCTCACAAACACACAGCCTTTCAATCCATTGCCTCCCTCCCCAAGTAGACGTCTTAACTGCATCTCTTGTGACATTACATTCCATGATTATATTATGGAGCAGCGTACGTTTCTGTGAGGCCATATGCCAGGTCCAGCATGTCATTCTCATCATCTGTGGGTTCTGGCAGTTTGTCATAAAGCTCCGGATCCTGCCACAGGACCAGACCATTCTGAGAGAAGATTGAAGGCATCAAGGCGCTGCCTTGAACGCAGACATGAGTCATACGCAATACAATAAAAAGTTCCAGAATCGAGCTGCGGCTGGAGAGCACTGAATGGCACCTCAATCACCACGTGGCAAGTGGAGCAGGCTAAGGATCCCTCGCATGCACCTTCACAATGCACAGAAACCACACGTGAGTTCACACCCAGCTGCAATTGCCGCTTGTCTAGAAATGGGGCTGGATCAAGCCAACTGGCACAATCATAGGAAAATGGACAACATTTCAGTGAAGCCGGCTTTTCAGACCAGAGCAACAGCGTATTGGCGCACTGCCCTGCTCGCCACCAGGCAGAGAACAATGAAGAAGTCCTCTCTGTCAATCAGGAAGGCTCTCACCCTCTAGATCAATGTCATTTGCATGTGCAGCTTCCATTAGTGACTCCCCTAGTGTAACCTGCACGGTCTTCTCAGACTTGTCCTTTTCGTCAAAGAACGTGGCCGTTATCCTGCAAAAAACGCCAGATGCATTTCTTGAAATAGCAAACGATGAGTACAAGCAGTACTTGGGCATACAAGCTTAGATCAAGAATGCGAATAAATGTACAAGTGGTATTGCACTCACGATTCTCCCGTTTTTCTTTCTCCATGTGATGCAGATGTGCTAGCGTGGAAATGAGACGTCTGACGTGCGTCGATCGCACCCCCTAAACACCTCTCGGAAAGTGCAGGCAGGTGCAATCTGTGGCCCAGCCTCAAGACCTGTGCCAACCTCATGCAGCGATCCAGTAGCATGCGTCAATTCCAGATCGATCTTCTGGAATATTGAAGTTGTTCTTGATGTTTTCAATTGGGTAGGGATGTCGGAAGGCTTGCAGCTCTCAGCCATTCAGCATTGCAAGTCATACCTAATTAGGAGAGTGAACCTTGGATTAGGGTTTTCAACACGCTTCAGGAACCCTCAACGCGGAGATCAGCACCACCGCTTTGGCGGGTCCATCCTGTTCCTCTTCTGTGAGGCATGGATTATTCTTCCGATCTCATGCGTTGATGTAGCAGCTTCTCACGCACCATTCGGGATATGGACAAACCTGTGCGTGATTCTGGGAAGACGGCACACCAAATTAGGGAAGTAGAAACGCTTCAAAGCATGGAAGAAGTCGTGGCACCTCCTTCCCATGCCACAGCAAATTTCCAGAAAGCTCTCGATGCTGTCGTTCCAGCTTGCTTGGTTCTTAAGTACGCTTTTCCACCGTCAACTCCCGCAGCCTGTGAAGTTCACTTCACAGGCTTTGTGGTACTCTCTTAAATTGGTTCAAGCTATAATTTGCCACTCTAGTGTGCTTTTTATAATAGGGCGTACTCTTGAAATTGGCCTGGGCCATGCAGGGTCACGCAAACAAGGTCATTCGACACTGAGAGCGCAGGGTCAGCCTACGCCACTGGTTTCATTGTGGATGCAAAACGCGGCTTGATACTTACGAACAGACACGTTGTGACACCAGGTTCGGTTTTGGAACAACCGATCTGCACCCGGCCCCCATTGTTTTGCTTGTGCCTGCCCTCCGATCTAGCCCTATACGTTGGGGTGGGAGGCAGTAAAGCTGCCATCAGCCTCTGATTCCTCATTCTTTAGTCAGCTGCAAACATTCCGACACAGTTGCCTTCAACTTGTGCTGCAATGGCGCAGGCCCCATCACTGCAGAAGCAATCTTCCTGAATCGCGAGGAGCTGCCTGTCCGCCCACTGTACTATGACCCAGTCCACGACTTCGGTGCGCATCCTTATTTGTAAGCATTGCTCACCCCTATCAGACTATGAGAGACAGCAGAATGTGGATCAGATGAGGAATAAGGTGTCCCTTGTGTCTGCAGGGTTCCTGCGCTTTGACCCGAGCAAAGTGCAGTTCATGCCAGTCACCGAGGTCCCTCTGAAGCCGGAGGGAGCCTCTGTTGGCATGGAAGTGCGCGTCGTGGGCAACGACTCTGGCGAGAAGGTACGGGTTGCCTGACAAGATCTGTTGACCCTTCTGGTGACTGCTTGATCTCGATTATTGAATCTACTGTACTTCACCCTAGACATCTTATCTGATCTGATCGAACCTCACATCCATTGCAGCTGTAATGTGCTTTTTGTCATCAGGCTCACAAGCGTACAATTGTGCAAATCCAAGTGCTTTTAATGTGCGATAAATCACTTTGTGCCCCTCCTTCTCTGTGCAGATCTCAATTCTTGCCGGAACTCTGGCGCGGCTGGACAGGGACGCGCCATTCTACTCCAAGAAGGGCTACAACGATTTCAACACCTGTGAGCAATCCTCCCTCAATTGAATTGAGATGATTTCTCAAAGAAATTGCTCTTTTTTTCAGCTGCGCAACAAAGGTGTCAAGAGTTGTTTCATGTGCATTATTGCTGAGTTGCTTCGTGGCGTGCAGTCTACCTGCAAGCGGCGTCGGGCACCAAGGGCGGCAGCAGCGGCTCCCCTGTCATCAACAGTCATGGCCAGGTCATCGCGCTGAACGCTGGAGGCAAGAACAAGGCTGCATCCGCCTTCTACCTCCCCCTGGACCGCGTGGTCAGAGCCCTTAAGCTTCTGCAGGCGCGCACCAGCTTACCCTGTCCACCTCAGCATCTGTATTTTTTATTGATTTATTATTATCATCACATGCTTCTCCTGCCAGAACCAAGGTGTGTCTGCAGACAAGCTGCATGTAAAGGATGCCACATGTCCTACCCCTTGTTGGACTTGCCAGATCCAAGACACAGTCAACCATAATCAAACATTGCTTATGTAATGATGTCAAAATTCCTATTCATGTAGCTGTAGAAGTATAATGATCTCTGCATGGAGGCTTGTGTCAGGGAGGCAAAAATATGCAATGGCAAGAATATGCTGTGGCCACAAGGGGCATTGTGGACTGAGACTGACCAGACGTGGTGTGTTGGCTGACAGGCATGCCATGACATCGGCAGTGGGCCGGACGAGTGGCGCGCACCGTGCATTCCCAGGGGAGATCTGCAGGCCACATTCGTATTCAAGGGCTTTGACGAGGTCCGGCGGCTGGGGCTGACACACACCACTGAGGCCGCCGTCAGAGCGGCCATAAAGCAGCAGACTTCCTCCAATGGTGTGTGCCACCACATCTGTACTGCCCCCTTGACGCTGTTTTGAAGACACTGCCAGGGCTGTGTAGTTTCAAGCACCAGGGATCACGATTACGTACAGACACAATCGGTAAATTGAATTTAGCACGTTTCTGCAGACAGCCAGGAAGGGCTGGAGGGCAATGCAGGTGCATAAGTTGATGTGGGAGTCGTCACTTTTGTGGGATGCGGTCCGTGCCCAGGTGAGGAGTGGAGCACGGGGATGCTGGTGGTGGAGAGTGTGGTGCCGGGGGGACCGGCTGATGGCGTGCTGGAGCCGGGAGATGTGCTGGTCCGGCTGCAGGGTCAGGTAATCACATCCACAGCACACCGTAATTGTGTTCCTTTCCGTAAGCATGTCCTTTCTTCTGTGCTTTATTCCAATAGCATGTCCTGCCTTATTGTAGCCAGCAACTGCGAGGCAGCGGTCCAAAGAGAACTGAATGACCCAGGAGCCATGTTTGCTGATAGCAATCAAAATTCCAAACCTGGCTGGGCGACTCCTTGACCCTCTTTTAAGATTACTCATGGGAAAATGCCAGCGATGAGAGTATGGTTTTGGCGGCAGGTGGTGGTGCACTTTCTGCCGCTGGAGACGCTGCTGGACGAGCGTGTGGGGGGCAGCGTGACGGTGGAGGTGGAGAGGGGGGGGCGCTTAGTCAGCGCTGAGCTGGCGGTGCAGGACCTGCACGCGGTGTCGCCCAGCAGCTTCCTGGAATCTGCCGGCGGCGTGCTGCACGGCCTCAGCTACCAGCAGGCCCGCAATAACTCCGCCCACGTCGGCCAGGTGTGGCAGCGCCTCTTTAGTGCAGCGCAGCAAGGCATATGCCTCCTATGGCAACATGTGAGAGGCCATATTCCTGCAAGCTTTGACTGGGTACCTTTCGGGCAACAATGTGACTGCTGCCATGGTCACTGTTTGGCACGTCAAGAATTCTTCTTGGATGCTGGTGGGCTTCCCAGTGTAGTAGTCACGTGCCCTGGCAAGCATTGTTGGGGCAGGCTTAACAGGGAGAATTTGGTCTTTTCTCAACATTTTCCCCTAGAGTATGCTATGGTAGGTTCTGGATTGCTGTTGCTGTGTGCAGGTGTATGTGGCAGAGCCGGGGTACATGCTGTCGAGGGCGTCGGTGCCAAAGCAGGCCATCATCACACAGCTGGCAGGCGTGCGGACGCCGGACCTGGAGTCATTCGCGCGCCAGCTGGCCAGCCTGGCGCACGGCGCGCAGGTGCCCCTGCAGTACTTTGTCTTTGGCGAGCGCCACCACCGCCGCACCGCCATCCTCCACATCGACCGCAGCTGGTCAGCGCCCCTCACACCTGCATTCACACCACACACATTGAGAATCTGCTCCTCACATCAAGTTCACACTGAATTCCCAGCACATGCTCTGATAAGCTTCCTTTTGCCTCTTCAGCACAGCCGATCTTGCTTGCTGAGCAGTTCCCATGGTGTGGCCCTGCCTGGCTGACACTGGGAATACATCCTCACAGCTCAACAATTGGCTGTCTCATCTTGGAAGCTATCAGCAATGTTACCTTCGAGCTCCACAGAGTTTAGCAGAGAGGAGAGCGCCCCAACAACAACCAAGATTTCGAAGAAGCTGACGTATTTGGGCAGGCACGGGGTACCACAGTACTGGACGCGCGATGACGCGAGGGGCACATGGGACCGCACGGAGGCGTGGCCGCCAGCGGTGCCGGCAGCCCTGCCCGCGGCAAAGCCGCCGCTGGCCCCGGCATCCGACAGCTGCTCTGGGGAAGGTGACAACATCGACGAGGACATGCTCCTCGAGGTGCGCCATGCCCCCGTATGTACATTCATCCAAGCGATGCGTTTCTGTAGGCATGCATGCTTGTTACGGCGTGTGGTCAAGGACAAGACCCGAGGCTTGCTGTGTTGAACTGGGCTTCCCGAGGTTCAGGCTGTCTTCAGTCCTCCTGGAGCGGGACATAATTGTTGCTGCCTGATGCCCACTCTTATGTCTGGCGCTTGCTCTCCTTGGATGTCTGCGTCTGCATCTGTCGTTCTCAAAATTGTCTCAAGATCTGGCGATAGCTCTGCGCTGATGTCTGCATCTCTCTTCCTGAAAATTGTCTCGAGAGGGTCGAAAGCTGAGGTGTCCGTGTCTGGAGTGTGCACAGGATGGGGAGGAGGGGTCAGTGCAGGAGCAGGTGCCGGCAGCAGTGGAGGAGAGCCAGGCCGAGCGCGTGCGCCAGTCTCTGGTCATGCTCGACATCCACCTGCCAGCCATCGCTCTGCCCGACGGCGTGCACTGCCGCGCATTCGTCGGTGCGTGCCCCTACCCATGCTGCATGCGCATGTCTGATCTGATCAATACCCGACACTGTAGGGCGGAAGTGTGCGTCGGTTGACTCAGGTCTGATGGGTGGTCTGTCGCGCACCCTAACAAGGCTGATTGATCGGTCCATTGCAGCGAAACGATTGGAAAGCACCGGTTGCACCCGCGAAACCACCTTAGGGCTGTCTTTGCTGATTCATTTTTGGGTGGAGCATCATATACATCGCTCTCCAGCACGGCATGGCAGGGAAAGTCTGAGACTTGGGTATTATCAAGAGTCCTCGGTGAAACACCACGCGCGGGGCAATACAGTATATTACAACTGTTGGTAGGTTAGTATGTTCTGCAGCATGGGGGCATTGGGAGTAATCAGAGGTGTGCGGTGTGATGCGGCAGGCAACGGCGTGATCGTGCACCACAGCGACAAGCTGGGACTGGTGGTGACGGACCGCAACACGGCGTCGGTGTCGGTGGGCGACGTGCGCATGTCCTTTGGCGCGCACCCGGCCGAGGTGGAGGGCCGCATCCGCTTCCTGCACCCGCTCCACAACTTCGCCATCCTCTCCTACAACCCCGCCGACCTGCCTCCCGAGGTCAGAGTCCTAGCACTGTCGTGTCCTCGTGTGCCCAGAGCTTGTCATGGCAGTGTGTGGCACGCATGCACTCTCCTGACAGCGCCTGCTTACAAAGTTCTTATGGCGGAAGACTGCTCAAAGTTGTGCTGTGTGTGTGCAGGCACGCAACGCCGTTGTGCCCATTGCCATGAACGCCTCTCCAATGAAGGCGGGTGAGAAGGTGTCGCTCATCGGTAAGCCTCGTCGCCAAGAGGCCCATCCGCCTCTTGCTTGGGGCCTACCTTCACCAGCTTTGGGGAGTCCCTGACATCCAAAATGTCATTGGCGGGCTGCATGTGCAAATGCACTCTTGAGCAAGCTGAATCTACTCATGTTGCCGCAGGCCTGAACAAGTCGATGCGGTCGATGGCGCGCAACAGCACCGTCATCAACGCCTGCTTCCCCCTCTCCATTCAGCCCATCGAAGTGCCGCGCTACCGCGCCGTAAACGAAGAGGTGCCCCTTTCTGCCTGCATCCCTCCTAACCGCTCAACTCAACTAGAAGGACCCAAGTCCTGTGCCAACATCTACCTGGCCCCATTGTCATGTCCATCTCCTCAATGCGCAACAGCCTGCTGTGCAGGACATGTCATCAATGTCCGGTTTGTCACACCTTCAGATAAGGCACGACATCTTATGGGCGTTTGATTTCTGCCACACAGGTGGTGAAGCTGGACCAGGACTTTGGCTCGGCATTCAGCGGAGTGCTGGTGGACGCTGGTGACCGGCTGCGCGCGCTGTGGGCGTCCTACAGCGAGCAGGTCAACTCGGAGGACCGCGAGCTCTGCGCCGGGCTGCCCGCCGCCGTCATCGCGCCCTTCGTGCGCCGCATCGCCGCCGCGGAGGCCAAACTCCCCGCCCCCTGTGCCAGCGTCTGCCAGGTGCACCCTCGTACATCATTCTCTCATATACTCTTGACCAACTTCCCAATCATTTTCAGGCAAGGGGAACTTCCGGCTCTGTCCCTTGTGCTGAGCTTTGAGCCAGCTTGAGGGCATCAAGAGTCAGACATTGAGAAGGTCCCAGCTGCGTGTGGCGGTGGGAGGTGCTGCGGTAGGGGATGTTCTTGTCAACGCAAAATCAGAGCTGACGCAAAATGACATGGAGAAATGATGTCATGGTTGCAGGCGCTGGCGGTGCCGGAGGTGCGGGTGCTGGACGTGGAGCTGGAGCCGGTGCTGCTGAGCAAGGCTGCGCAGCTGGGCCTGCCCGAGCCCTGGGTCGCCCGCCTCGCCCGCCTAGACCCCCAGCGCCGCCAGGTGCAGCCTCCTCCACCTCGCACAGATAAATGCACATTCTGATACGCAAGACCAGGTCTTGGTATATTGCATGCAGGCATACAGCATGCAAGGAGAAAGGCCCGGAATGGGCCAACAAGCACGCAGATCATAACGCGCCTGCCTGCCCAGCATTCTTAGTGGCTCCGCTCCTCTGCCCTGCTCGTCACAACTTCATAATTCCCAGCAAGCCTTGTGGGGTGCACTAGTCGTTATGGTGGCTTATGCAGTTGTCTGACCAAAATGATGGGTTGGTGCAGGTGCTGCGTGTGCGGAGCTGCATGGCGAGCTCGGCCGCGCGCGCAGTGCTGCTAGACGGCGACCTGCTGCTCTCCGTGGCCGGCCGCCCTGTGTCCCATTTCCGCGCCGTCGAGGCCGCCGTGGCCGCCTCCTTCCCGGCCGCCCAAGCCTCAGTCAAGATCTCGCCGAGCCCTGTTGCGGTGGCGGCCGGCGGCGCGGACCGCCAGGACAGCACCGAGCTGGCGTCCGAGGGGACAGTGTTCCAGATCGGCGCGCCCGAGGGCGGCAAGCGCGGCGCGGCCAGCAGCTCCGCCGCGGGGCCGACCAAGCGGCAGCGCGTCGTCAGTGGCGCGCGCCTTGACCTCAACTGCACCGCCTCCGACGCCAACACTCTCGACGCCCACGCCATCCTCGGGTGAGGGGTTCTCTTAGGCTGACCTGCCTGCCAGTATTATTCCACCTCGTGGGTAGGCTAATACTTTTCTGAACATTGCTGGCCTGCACGCGCTAAGCGGCAGCCCCAGAAGGTACTGTGATTGACCGGCATTTCAGCTGGACTTGAAGTGCTAGGGATGCTGGCTGATTGGAAGTGATGTGGCAGGGGTGCGGTTGAGGTGGCGGCTGCTCCGGGAGCGGGAGAGCAGGTGGCGCTGAAGGTGTGCCGGGAGGGCAAGGTGGTCAGCGTGCAGGTGCCCCTGGCGCGCGAGGACGGTCTCGGCACCGCCCGCATCGTCCACTGGGCTGGCGCGCAGCTGCAGGTGTGCTTTCATTCCCCACTGCTGCAGTTTGTGATGCCCCTTTGCCCGAGCCAGGCTTGCCTGTTGCACATGCCTGCTATGCATGAGGTATCCAGTGACCCCCCACCTAGAGGTCGTCTGGTAATCAATGGCCAGAGAATTTCAATTTGTTCTCACCTGCCTTTATGCTGTTCCTTGTGCCCCCCGGCTTAAGTATCAGTCAAGGAAGCTCCCCTGACTGCGTGCTGCATTGAGTGGAGAGGTTTGAAAGTGCAGCATGTTCCGAGTGCAGGCGCCGCACAGGGCGGTGAGGGAGGGGGGATTCCTGCCGGCGTGCAGCGGAGTGTTCATCTCGCGCTGGCACCACGGGTCGCCCTCGCACCGCTACGGCCTCTACGCGCTGCAGTTCGTGCAGGAGGTCAACGGCGTTCCGACCCCCGACCTGGACGCCTTTGTCGCTGCAGTCAGCAAGCTGGTGAGCTGAAGCTTCTTACTTCCCACCACAATGGTGCTGACAGCCCTCTGGCAGTTGTTGGTTGTTCCATGAGGCTCCAGACGATGCCTCAGTGCGTCAGCAGCCAAGAACTGCTCCGTTCTGGCTGACACCGCCATGGTCAAAGAGCTGAGCAGGGACCCTGCAAGAGAATGCATCAAGATGCGTGCAGCGTGGGTCGCAGTGGGTTGGCAGCTTTGCCGACGGTATCAAAGGGATGCTTGAAGGTGTTTGCTGAGCAGGTGTTTGCTGGCTGTGCAGGAGGACGGGGCCTTTGTGCGCGTGAAGCTGGTGCACCAGGAGACAATGAAGAGCAAGGTGCTCAGCCTGAAGCAGGACCTCAAGTATTGGCCCACCTGGCAGCTGGCTCTGGACCCCGCCACCTCCTCCTGGACACGCTCCAGCATCAGCGCTGTGCAGCCCTGAAAAATGAAAAGTCCACCTGTGGGCTGAGCTTGGAGCAAACAGAGGTGTCAGTCCTCAATACAGCGGGGGCCATCTGTCATATCAACGATTTTCAGCAGCTTTTTGGGCCCGCACGCAGAGGTCTGCGGGAGTTCAACTGCCAGGGAGCAACCTCAAAAGAAAGAGGTGCAGAATCTGTATAAAAGTAGCTATGCTGGAGGGTTGGAAGTTGCTGATTACAATCAGCACAGCGAGGCATTTGCTCACATGCTGACAGCATGTGCACCTGTGCTGAGGATAGACCATTTGTGTAGGATACCAAGCATGCTGGGATGAATGATTTTTATGTACCCAGCGGCCAACTTACCCTCTCTTGCGCCTCTTTTAGTTTTGACTCGTGCCATTGGAACCAGGCTCTTTGTTCCTCTTTTTCCAGCCCTTGTAGCATGCAAGCCAGCAGCACAGCAGTAGAAAAGAAAAATTACTAGAAGATCTATGACGAGGATACCTCTTTAGGTCTCGCCAAGAGACCTGACTTGATGAGGCAAAGTCTGGACGATGGATTCACTGATCTGACAGCTGCAATGCACCTGCAGTGACTTATAGATGCAGAGCGTGCTGCAGACAATGATTGCATCTGTACTCAAGATACTGCAGTTGAATTCTGATTGCTCCCATCCACGAATGTGGGTGAGATCATCTAGATTGAACAAGATGGACATTTGGGAATGGTCGTGATTGTGACCAATAAAGAAATTCTTGCGACACATTCCCTCAAGTATTGCAGAGGCAGTGAGTGCATTGCACTTGCTATTGTTGCATTTGAACATTCATTGTTGACGTTACGGGTTGGCTTGCTCATGGCTGGGCAAGTCTGAAATTTGGGGCTGTGTGGGTCTAGCATTTGAGTCTATACTTGTGATCATTGCTCGCGTGGTGAATCTAGGTCACCATGCGCACAGCGGCAGCTAGTAGTGCCGCCCTACATTGTACAAAATTCTTTCAATTGCAGGTGTTGGCCATCCCTGGTGTCACAATCGTGTTGGAGCTGCAAATAGTCATTTTGCCAGCCAACAAGTCATGGGAAGGTTGAATTAGGCGTGAGTGCTCTAGAATGGTGAGGTGGTTCAGGCTCAATTCATGATCATGGAGTCGCTGATTCCACATTGGTTGGGATCAATCAAGAACTGTCTTGCAATATTTGACTTGTGTTCCCGCAACTGCATGGTGTTTGTGAGGAAATCAGGGGTTTGACGCGCTCTGCATTTCAGAGCACATTAGGCACTTTCAATGATGTAAGAGTCTGTTTACGTGAAATGCCAGAGCACCAAAAATCGCCGAAGCGGCGCTCATGTCATGACATGATCAACCCGCAAATGACATTGAGCACCATGCAGCACTCGAACTTCTCATGAAGTACTGCAGGGTCTCATACTATGTCCTAGCTAGGGCACTAAAGTGGGACCAGCTAGGAGTAGATGAAAGAATCCTGGGGCACGTTTCCTCCTCTGAGGCTAGGGTGGCTTCTGGTCATCCCTGCGGGGCCCTGACTGCGGCTCAACTAGTCGTAGCTTGTGCCGCAGCCGGTCGGCGATGTCACAGTACACCTGGGCCGTGGGGCTGTCTGGCTGGCTGGCCACTATCGGCGTCCCTGCATCCGACGTCTCCCGGATCCCAATCTCCAAAGGCACCTTCCAGCGCAGCATAGCATCAGCACGTATCGCATGCCTCCATTTAAAAAAACACAGTGAAGAGATAATCGAGGAATGGCAAATCCAGAAACTTGTAAGCATCATAGTGTAGTGTTCATGGAGCACTTGCCCCACAAGACCAATGCTAAGGGCTGACACTCTTAAGGTGACCCTTGGGGTTACAGAGGGACAGCAGATTCCGCAATGGTACTACTAGTACCTGTCCAAGGAGCTCCATGTTGAGCTCCTCTCCTGTGCGCTTGGCGCCGTCGTGGCCGAAGATGTGCTCGCTGTGGCCGCAGTTTGGGCAGCGGTAGTAGCTCATGTTCTCGATGATGCCCATGATGGGCACCGCCACCTTCCTGAACATGCCCGCCCCCCTCCGCGCGTCTATCAGCGCAATGTCCTGCAGTCACACTGATGCTAACTGCACAACTCAAGCAGCAGGGCTTGCATGCGAGCCTGTGATGTTTAGCATGGGGCAAGGAGCTTGGCCGGCTATATGGGATGCTTACAAGCAGGCCAACTGAGGGTGACCATTTTCCTGGACATCGATAGCTACGTGCTGAAGGCAGCAAAACAAATCTACCAGCAACTGGCCGCAGTTCCTATGTAGACAGCCAGTTTGGGCAGGCCTGGAGGGTGGACCTGGGGGGTGGACACCATGACAGCGCCAGAGAGGCGCAGGCGCTGGGTGACGCTGAGCTGGACATCCCCAGTGCCGGGCGGCATGTCAATGACTAACACGTCCAGGTCACCCCAGTTGACCTTCTTTATGAAGGTGTCTATGGCGCTCATCACCATCGGACCCCTCCACACCGCCGGTGAGTCATCCTGTGAACAGCCATCCCATACAGCTTGGTGTTTCATGATGAGAGGCTACAAGGGAATGAGGGTTTGCTTGCCCGTTACAGTAGGGCTGAAGTGCTCCGGATGCATTACAGCAGTAGGGGATCCTACCTGCATCAAGAACCCCATGGACATGCAGCGGATGCCGTAGTTCTGAAGTGGCAGCATCTTCCCAGCTGCACAGCAGGGCCGACAAAGAGCATTCAAGTATTGAAATTCTGTAAAGGAAGCACGTGCAAGTTCATGGCCAAATATAGAGGCTGTGAGGGCGCACCCTTGTCTATCTCAGGCTTCCCCTGTAGCTTCATCATCCTAGGGATCGATGGGCCAAACACATCCGCATCCATCAGCCCAACCCTGAGATTGGAGCCCCTTGCCAGTGCAATTGCTAGGTTGACTGCGGGAAGGATACAAACAGCTCTCAAACAGCTACAAATGCTTGAGAGGCATGCATGCGGCCACATATCCAACGCCTTGCAGTATAGCCGAGATTTAACATTTCTATCAAGCTCGATGATTATGATAAGTAGTCAGATTCGGACAAGAGCTGACCTGCTGTGGTGGATTTCCCTACCCCTCCCTTGCCAGAGGCTACAGCAATAATGTGATCTACTCCCGGAATGCCCAGCCGTGGCACAGGAGGGCCCATCCGTGTCGAGAAGAATCTTGTAAAAAGTTTTGTTACCGTGGAGAAATTTATAGAACCCATAGTGTTTGCCCATCGATTAATCACGACATGGTTTCATGAGATCAACAACAGCATGTGGCAATTCAGAACCTCCCTGTCGCCGCGAACACATGCACCCGTTGGCCTGAAATATATTCCTCCCGAATGATCAATCTTTCAAACTATCATTCATCCATTTCAAACTTAATTCAGGAAATTTTGGCATGGTTGGTTTCGGAACTTACGTGTTTGTAGCCTGCCCATCCATCATTGACCTGAATTTCCGAGACTTCCCAGAACATCAATGAATCCTCTGTGCTAATTTCTACCCTTCATTCGTGAAGCTTGTAGTTGTAGACACATCCTTCGCAGCCCTCAGTGCTGGCACTCTTTACAAGCTGAGATTGTTTTGGATCAGACAATTGACCGATCTGTTTGCTAAGCGTTCCTAAAGCACTTATTGCATCCACATAAATAGCACAGGCAAACACGGCAGTTCCTGATTGCTGACAGAGTCAGACATCAATTCCACATACCACACAGCGTTGCAGGCCTGCCTCGACTGCTTTGATCTCAACAAGTAGCCCCTGGCAGGGCAGATGCGCAGGATGGCCTCCAAGGCTCAGCAAAGTGCAAATGGGCCCCTTGCACAATCCATCCGAAGGTGCATGCAGCCTTCGCCAGTCCTGCAGCAAATGAGTCTGATCAGAGGCACGAGGATCAGGAGACTGTAATTGTGCCCTTCCTTTGGTTTGCAGGAAGCTGGAGGAGGCCCTAACTCCAACGACTCTCAGCATTGTCAATGAGTCACACCTGCATGCAGGTCACATGGGGAATCCAACCGGGGCGCCGGATGCAGAGACCCACTTCAAGTGCGCACCTTGAACCATATCATCTGCCACTTCGTCTCATGGCTGCAGATATAGATAGCTACCTTTGTTTATTAAGGATTATCTGCAAGACGCTGACCTTTGAATCATTTTCTGCAGGGTGGAGATCGTTTCAGATGCGTTCAAAGGGAAGAGTCCTGTGCAGTGCCACAGAACAATTTACGGCATACTTGACGAGGAGCTGAAAAGTGGAGTGCATGCTCTTTCTCTGAAAGCGAAGGCTGCTTGAGCATTGTTGGACTTAGGCTTATAGCATGCCTTTCTGGGATTATCTGCTGTGGAATTAATCATTACTGGGAGTAGCAGCATGTTCAACAAGTTGGCACATTGACGATGGCATCATACGCGATCCACCATGCGTGCGCTGATCTCAATTTTTGCTCTTGAATGCTGATCACGTGACTGCAAAAGAATAAAAAGGGTATGGTTTCAAAATATCATTACATGACCGTCGGTCATTTGCTACAATAAAATTCTACTCGCTGAGAGCTTGCACATGCCATTGGTTGAACGGCTCTTTTACTTTCCCAGCAAAGATGGACAACCAAAGTAAGGAAATGGATAGCATTTGCATTGACAATTCCGTTCCATCTAAGCAAGCATGAACGACATGGGACCAAGCAAGGGCCCCAAGAATTAGAGACTGCATACAGCAGCGCAAATTGCTAATAATATCTGAACTAGCCAGGTGGCAATCAGCTGCAAGCTCTGCTCTGTTGAAGATAACGACAGAAGCATGGGAGCCCAGCGCACACCAAAGTTGACATTTGCCATTTTGCAGGCAGCATGGAACCTCACAACTCGTTTATTTTCTGCTCATGGTGTTAAGGGGCACACCGCATCTTCACACCTCTGCTGACCTCCAATTCCCAAACTCCAAGCAGCACCCACCCAGTCCTTCCAAGCGTTTCCAAGCAAACGATTGAACCATTAGCCCCTGCTTCTGGCACTGCCGCCAGTCAGGTGCTGCCGCTGCACAAAGCCTCAAATTCTGCTGCCACACAAGGTCCCAACAACTGCTGCTACACAAGGCCCATGACCGCAGCGGCTGCGGCCGCCTCGGCCCGCGCCATGCGCTCAGACCTTGGTACCGTTGGGGATCTCGGCATTGCGCAGGACACAGACAATGCCTGAGCGGATGTAGAGGCCCTCGTCCTCGCGCACGGCCTCGTCGATGCCGGCAGCGTTGACGATCTGACAATCGCGGCCGATGCGCGCGTTCTTGTCCACGATGGTGTTGCTGATCACACTGTTCTGGCCAATGCCGATGGGGATGCGGCCGGCCGCCACCAGCGCGCTCCGCTGCTCCTCGCTCTCGTAGTAGTCCGCGCCGATGATCATCGCGTCCTGCGCGCATGGTCACACAGCAGCCCTCAGCTAATTGGCCGGCCCTCAGGACTTTTACTGAGAATCGCTTCTCTCTATGCTTCGATGCAGGCGTACCGCTGCTGATCCTGGCGGCATCATGGTGGAGTAGGGCAGGCTCCATCTATGCAGCTTCATGCTCCTTTCTCCATTTCAAAAAGTGGACGCCACTCTGCCCGGAGCTACCAACAAGGAAGAGCCCTATTGTATGCAGGAGGTGGGGGCACTGTTCACATGCTGTGCAGATGGCCCAACTGCAAGATCTCTGCGGTGCTCCTGCCCTGACAGAGGGTGTGGGCAGGCACCTGGATGACAGCGCCCTTGGAGATGCGCGAGCGGAGGCCGATGATGGCGTTGGAGACGGTGCACTCCTCCAGGTAGGACCCGTGGCTGATGATGGCGTCGTTGATCTTGCTCTTCACCACCTTGGCTGGCGGCAGGAAGCGCGGCGACGTGTAGATCGGCGTCTGCGGGTCGTAGAACTCAAACCGCGGCGGCTGCACCACACGCACAACACCCCACCACTCAGCCACACTGTCATATGGTATTCCTGGCCCACTGCAATTGCTTGTAACAGGAAGCCATGCCACAACCATGCTACAGCGTGCTTGGAGCTGGAACCACTCTTTTGCTGCATGGAGGTCACCAGGTCTTACAAGCACGCAATGACAGCAGATGCAGAGTCAGAGCAGCATCCTGTGGCAGCATGGGTCATGTATCCATGATGATACTGCTCACAGAGAGGAGACAGACCTGCTGGGCGAGGCCGAGGTTGGCCTCGAAGAAGGATTTGATGGTCCCGATGTCCTCCCAGTAGTCGTTGAAAAGGTAGGCCATGACTCGGCTGCTGGCGGCCGCCTCAGGAATGATCTCTCCGCCAAAGTCGTTGAACTTGGCTTGCTCGCGGAGCAGCTTGAGCATCAGCTCCTTCTTGAAGACGTAGATGCCCATGGACGCAATGAAGGGGCTCTTTGCTGCCTCTGCCTCGCTCAGACCTGATCACAGCACAGGGAAGGATAGGTTCAGAAGTGCACTGCAAGTACCTGGCAACAATGAGCCCATTTGAGAAATGGTCTTTACGTTGGAGTACCCATGCATAAAGAGATGGGTAGCAAGGCTCACCAAGAACAGTTGTGTCCACCTTCATGGCTTCCAGAGCGTCCCCCTTTGGCTTCTCTGCAAAGTCCTGCGCTCAGCACAGAGCATCCATCGGCAACGATACAAGTGTCGTCACAATAGATGTTCAACTACAGCAGGGGCCTGCACAAGTGAGGTGAAGGGGCAAAGTCAGTGGGCACGCACATAGATGCGGCCCTCCTCATCGATCTTCATGAGCCCAAAGTCTGAGGCGCGCTCGTAGTCCACTGGCAAGCACCCGATGGTGATGTCTGCGTTGGTGCTCCTGTGGTGCTCCACAAACTTCAAGTAGTCCATGCGGTACCTGCACAAACACATAGAGAATATTATATTCGTCTTCAGACAGGCCTATCTTCCCAAGGGCTGGCCAGATCCAAGCCTGCTACGTCATGCTCATGTGCTCAGCTGTGCATAGGAAATGCAAGCATGCAGAGGATAGGTATAGAAGGTACGCACAAGTGGTCTCCAGAGAGGATGATGATGTCCTCCACCACCCTGTTCTTGATGTCCTCGAACAGCCACGCGTACTGCCTGACTGCATCCGCGGTCCCCTGGAACCACTCCTTGTCTGTGGGAGTCTGCGTGGCCGCCAGGACCTCAACAAAGCCGTCACCGCCGAAGCGCACGCCCGAGCCCACGTTGTAGGTGCGAGCCAAGTGGCGATTAAGCGAGGTGGAGTTGAACTGCGTGAGGATGTAGATTTTGGAGATGCCGGAGTTGATGCAGTTGGACATGGGCACATCAATCAGCCGGTAAGCTCCGCCGATCGGCACTGCTGGCTTTGCCCTGGATTTTGTGAGGGGGTACAGCCGCGATCCAGCTCCACCACCCAGGATGATTGCTGCAACCCAGGAATATGCTTCTTGAGTTGAAGCACGAACACTTGCAAGGGGGTTGCACAAAGCGAGCAGCAATGCATAAAAACAGCTATTGGACTGCACAATAAACCAATGGGGTCCTGAATTGATATTTGTTCAGAGCATTTTCCATGCCCACCTGCAACACTCGCAGACACTGAACGGGCGGAGCTGTTTTCCAGCAACGGCTTGTCGATGACTGCACGCACTACATTACTGCTCCGTGACCTGGCAGACCACAGGTGATGTCAGTTGTGCACCTATTCACGAGCAATCGAGGCTACTAGTGCGATCCAATATAGACACAAAAGTGCTGAGGAAGCACCTTGAGCATCGTCCTGTTGATGCCAAAGGTGCTGTACTCTGCTTCGACAGATTTCCATGCCGCAAAGGAGTGCCACAGATCGTTCTGCCATAGCCAGCTTCAATCTGACTCGAACTCCCTTGAGCCAACGAGCTAGTCGTGGGCCCAAAGGTCATGCCCTGCATCAGGTACCTCTTTTCTAAGTCACTGGGATTGTCTTCTTCGGATGAATCTTATGAAAAAGCGGGTGTAAATCCAGCAATCTCAAAAATGATATCTTCCGTTGCGCATTTGCAGCCATGAAGAATCTCCCGGCAGGTTGCCTACTGAGGCACCAAGCGATTTGTGTAACGGAGGGAGCAATTTGGGTTGCTGGGGGTCTGATGAGGCAGAGGGGAGACTGGACTCAATCAGAGTCTTGTCAATGTGTCAGAAATGCTTAAATGCTAGCGCACTCTGCAGCCTGCCATCGCCACCATGCATGATGCAGCGGCCCAGGCCCGCAGAAATATCTTTCATTTGAATCTGCAAACACTTGCGAGTGGCCGCAGCTGCTGCCGTGGCCAGCTAGCCGGGGTCCGCAGCTGCCGAGCTGCAGCATCTGCTGCTCGGAGCCGCTCTAAGGGTGGCACTTTCACAATGCAGATGATAGTGATCACCATTATAACTTCAAGCTTGAAGTGCAGGTTGCACATACACTGGCATGATGCCTGATGAGAATCATTCATGCATGATGCCGCTCGGATTCAAGTCCCTCTCGAGCATAGGTTCAGGTTATCCCTTACACAATTGGAGTGCTACCCAGATGGTACACATCTTAGCACAGACTCAGCATATATAGCAATAGACGAGCATCTCAAGCTTACTACCACTGCTTAAGCTTTGCTGCTGCAAGTAGTTCCACAACGTCGATAGGTCTTATAAGTGACGACACACTTGATCCAGTGCAGTGCACTGCACATGACTCATCTTGCTCACAACTAGGCTGCTCACATTTCAGCGCCTCATCATCCTTCCACTCAAAATGTCGTTTTGATCTTCTCATCTGATACAAATATCCTAACAGATCTAATGCAATACACAGTGCATCCGTTCAGAACCAGTATTCCATGCATGCCGTTCTGCCAACTCGAACTCTCATCACTCAACTCACTCTACCCAATTCGAAAATAAATGATCCTGATCAGGAACTGCTGAACCAGTGGCTCCCAGCCCACTGCAATCTCAAAAACGTCTGTCTGGAAAAGTCTGCCCCAGCTTTGCTACTGAAAACAAAATTTTCTTCTCGTCATCTGCAGTCTGTCATGCATCTTCAACTAGGCAGTGTAAGGATCCATCCAGATACGATCCGACAAAACCAAATCTTGAGATGGTCTTGCAGCTAGACAGTTCTTTATAGGTGTGAATACAAAAGCCCTGCAGTGCAAGCCCGAAGACTACCCTCGATACGGAACGGGGGGGCACAAATGCGCAGTGTGCTAATAATCTAACAAAACGTCTTCTCGCAGCCGGTCTAGCCGCCATTAATTCATGATAAGTGCTCATGCATTTCTTGTTGATTGGCGCTTACTCTATGACACGACGTCACCGCTCACCGCATTTTCTACAGGTTGACATGCGCGTCGCAGCACGCCTTCACGCCGCCATGCTGCGCAGGGCGCCAGCTTCGGAGGAGCCGCCGCGCGGCGCAGCCGGCATGAGGGGGACGATGTTGTTGCGGCCGCCGCCGGCAGCCGACTGGCCGTCACCGGCGCTGCCGCCGCTGTCGATCTGGCGCTGGAACCAGGGGTGCTCCAGGGCCTCCACAGCTGTCAGGCGCTGGGTGGGGTCGCGCGTCAGCAGCCCCTGCAGCAGGCTGAGGCCCTCTGGGGAGACTGACAGCCAGGGGCCATAGTCCACAGGAATGTCCTCCATGATGACCGCCTTCATCACCTCCTCCAGCGACCTGGTTCTGCACTGCTCCACGCTTGGCCTGCAAAGCGTGACGACCCACATCAGTCAACAGATTGCTTGCAGGAAGTTCCCAGGGAGTGGGCGCCCCAGGGAATGTGCACGAGGAAAGAATCATGCCAAGTGTGTGCACAGACCACAGCAGGTGGTGCTTATAGGAAGGGGCTTACCAGAAGGGGAAGCGGCCGGCAATAAGTTGGTACATCATCATGCCCAGGCTCCACAGACTGCAGCATAGCAGATGCAAAGGAGTTCAGCGACCACAACAGAAGCATCGTTGCAATACCAGACAAAAGCAGTGAAGCAGTGGACTGTCAATTGTTACGGCCCAGAGCAAGCTGAGAGATCTGGGGCTCACTCGGCTTCAAGGTGGTACTCCCGCCTGAAAGTCTCAGGGGACATGTAGACAGGAGTGCCTGTCCGCCTCGCCAGAGGAGCAGGGCCCACAGCCTGGCTGCAGCCAAAGTCGATGGCTGAGAGAAAACCCTCCCCCAAGTGCTCGCTCTCCAAGGCCTTCAAAGGATCTCTATATCTGTGGCGCAGCATGAAGTTTGCTGGCTTGATGTCGCCCAGGAGCACCCCTGCACCATGCAGGCAACATGTCAAGACATCCCTCAAGCACCCAGATGGAAACATTGTGGCAGATGCCAGGAAGGTAGACATTGCTACGCACCGTTGGCATGGCAAACGGAGATGATCTTCAGGCACTCGTACATGACAGTCGCAGTGGCTCGCTCTGAGAAGGAGCCATACTTCTGCACACCAAGCACAACCAGGATGTAAGCGCTCTGCCTTTAAATTTGTGCATACACAAGCAAAGTTGAAGGCATGACAACGGATTTGACAGCTGCACAGTAAGAGCTTCCGTCTCAAGTGCAGGGAGCTGCATACCTCAAGAAGCTGCTCCAGGTCACCGCCCTCATTGAGGCCCATGACAATGTAGACGTAGTTTTTGTCCTCGTACACGTCAATGAGGGGGGTGATGCCCCTTGACTGTCTGGACACCCTGGCCATCAGGGCCACCTCTCTCTCCAGCTTCTTCAGAGTCTTCTGAGGCTGTTGTTTGCTACGCACTTTCGGCAAGATCTTGACAGCTGCTTTCTGCTTCGTGACCTCGTCAATGCACACGTGCACCACTCCATAACTGCAGCACAGCCCACGCAGCAATATTTCAGGATCCTCGATAATACGAAAAAGTCCTTGATTTTGCAAGCAGCATGACACATAGCAAGCTCCGAATTCACAATACAAGCCTTGAAACCAGTGATTATCACATTAACAATTCCTGGGCTATGCGCCAAAGACCACAGAGCAGTAACTACCAAAAAAATCTGTGTTCCATATGCTGTATACTCTTCGGACCTGCGCAAAGATGCATTTGAAAACTCAGAAATGCACTGGAGGCACGTATGGGATGCGCACCTTCCACTCCCCACGTGCCTGCCCAGGGAGTACTTTTCCCTAAAAGATGATTTCCACGTAGGTGCAGCTCTGCCGGCAACTTCAGCCTTGACCGCTTCAGCCGTGCAAGATACAGGTCGCAACACGCTGTACTTTGCACGTCTTCGCTGCGATGCCAGCGACCTGTGCTTGTAGCTGTGGGTCGGCAGGAGTGCGGCAGGCTGAGTGTGCTGCATGCTGAACGTCGGGAACTCCATCCCCTTCAGAGGCGAGAGGCCGGGCGATTCGCCCCTAGTATCAAACCTTCCTCAAAATAGCTAGGAGCCGCAAGCAATTGGAAGTGCTAAATCACGGGTTCCTCGACCACTTTGAAACTGGCAAAGCCACCCTCGGGTCTACGCGTTAGCTAGGCAGGGGAGTCTTCAAGCTCTGCTTGCCCTCGCATCTAAGCGCCAGCTCTTATTGGCTTGCAACGAAAGGTTTTACTTTTGATTGAATAATCTGACAGATATACCCCAAATCATCGTTATGTCTTCGGCTTCTTTCACCTCTTCCTGCACGTTGTTTGCGGTCCCCCCGAGCTGACGTCAACCCAAATACCCCCCCACACGCACTCCTAAACAGGAAACTGACAGACACATTACCAACTTCACAGGAAGCCAGGGGTGAAGGCCTTGCTTCAGGGTCCACACATGGCATCTCGTGATCAGGGCTCGCTCGGCTCTGACGCCCAATGCATGTGGTATGCTTCTGAGGCAGCGACGGAGGCCCAAGCTGGAAAGCTGGCCGTCAGCCTCGCTGCCTCCGACGCTTCTTTCGCTATGGACGCTGCCACAACATCAATGGCCAGCTGTCCTCCTGTTCTGATGTCCACCTGTGGACACAGGCACCACCCCTTCACGCTTGCATCAGCAAGATAGCAATTTTATGATTCAGCCAAACACAATTGTTGCAAGCACCAGTGTTAACAACGTTGTGAATGCTACAGCAGCCGCGACAGATTTGAGCCGCACGGCAGCTCACCCAGAATCTCCATGTCTCGCTCCCCTTGGCTCCAGTGAAGCGCACCATCCTCTCTGCCTTTGCCCCCTCGATCGGCCAGGTCTTGTTGGTGAAAGACCAGGCAGTCATGTCCCCGGTGAGGTTCAGGGCTCCATAGAATCCAAAGCTGGGGAATGACAGACTAATCTGCAGCCGCTCACTCACACAGCTCCCTGACTGATATGTTGATGCACACGTCCTGCCCACCAGATCCACGCGTGGCAGCGGGGTGCCTGGCTCTGGCGCAGGAGCTGGAAGGCTTATCCCCTGCAGAGAAAGATGACAAATGAAGCCTTAAAGACACCCGCCGCATGAATTGCTAGTAATATCTCATTGTCAGACATTGTGAGAACAGCAGCAATGCGCGCCATGACTTGTATGGTCAGATATCAAAGGACCAGAAGTTCTGCACCTGCATGAATTTGTTCACCGGGTACAGCACAATCTGGCTGCCCGAATTCCACTCTCCTACCGGCAAGCTTGCCAGGCTGCTGGGAAGCGCCCAAGAGACGGGTGACGAGTCTATGGCAGCCAGGTCCCATGTTGAGCTTGCCACTCTCCTGCCATTCACATGATGCATGTGATACATGTACACCTTCTTGGGCGCTTCAGCCGTGTACGGCTGCACTCTCTGCGTCCAGACAACGCCAAAAATGGCCGAGAAGACACACAACATAAGCACCGGCACCTGCAACAACACAGCCTCCCTGTCAGAAACCACTTCAACTGAAAACGACTTTAAATTCACAAAAATGGCGCTTCCTTGCAAGGTTGTCGATCAGGCCTCACCCATATTTTCGCTCTAAATTGGATCGCGAAGAGGCCTCCCAGAAAGCCCACGCAGCCGATCAGTGACAGCCCCAGCACGACAGCGACGGAGATGTCTGTGCCATACTGCAGGAAGGGCGCGCCGCTGGTGCTGGCTTTCTGCACTATGTGGAGGGACAGCATCAGCGCCGGGGGCGCCACCAGCAAAATGGCCGGCGCTGCTGCCAGCACCAGCCAGGGCAGCTGCACCCCACCGTCCTCCTGACAGGCACCCACAAAGTTTCAACAGCCATTTCAACAGCCCCATCTCTGCATATGTCATTCAGCCTCCTGCGTAAACACTGGAACTTGCAAAAGCTTAGGAGGTTATACAAAAATGCTCACTCACCCCAGAGACAAAGAGGCTAGCAAAGATAGCCGCCAGGGCCCAAGCAGTCAAAGCATAACCAGCGCCCAAGCCAGCAGTGGTGAGCAGCTCTGCCAGAACGCCCATGTGGACAGCAAAGCCCAGCAGGACCCACTTTGGCTGAGCGTTGGGTGCCAGGCCATATGGCAGGAGTGCGCCAGCCAGGGCCAGGGGCATGTACAGCGCATATGCTGCTGCAGAGTGGCCCACCCACGCCAGTGGCCTCCCTGTGCATGCAAATTTCTGCTTGAACTCATGATCATTTTTATGTAGCAGCACATACTAAGGCCATTAGCAGGCACATGTGGGGAGCTGGGTACATAGCTCACCTGTGACATAGACAAATGCAACACTGAAGAGCACAGGAGTGATGACTGCGAGTGCGGCACTCAAAAAGGCCACAAGGGCCATCTTGGACTGCTCAAGGTACTGCTGCAGCACGGTGCGCTGCAGCTTGGGCCCCACAGCTAAGCTGAGGAGGGGCAATGCCAGGGCAAGGATGAGCGGTGTCCTGTGGAGAATCCTAGCCAGCCGCATGGGATATGTCACCTGCGCAGCATGGATCGACACATTTACGCCCAACTGAGGATGCACAACGGTGTCCTTACCCTGTAACTTAGTTTTGCAGAGTGCAACTCATGTGCATACCATGAACAAGCCGAGCACATCGAAGAATATCAACTTCTCATCTCCCTCCACCTCATCTTTCCCCTGCTTAAGGTTGTCCCCAATGTCTACAATCAACTCTGCCACATTCTCTCCCATAGCCTGCAGGACAGAAAGAATTGGCACAGGTCACACACGTTTGCCTCAAGCTGCTTGGCAAATAATTGTAGCGGCACTCATTCTTATTAAAATGCAAGAAGTGTCACCTGCAAGGTGCCTGGGCGGATTCTTTCAGGCACATCTGCGAGCATGTGGTAGGCTCCAGAGTCCAGCAGGAATGCAATATCAAGGCCCGGCAGCTCCCCAAAGTACTTTGCAGACATCATCCTAAAATCCGTGTCGGCAGGCAATATACCCGCCTCAAAAAAATCCTGCATAGAATGCAGAGAACTTCAGAGACATGCACAGGGAAACAGGGCTTCACTGCGCCCATGCAAAAATGCTTATGGATGCTACAAGGAAGAGGGGCCGACCTGAGCTATGACTGTGCCCCGTGGATGCCTGGCTACTCTAGCGTAAGATCTCATAGTCCATGATCCACTGTGCTGGAAAACAATGTCAGGCCCTCCAGGCCCTGTAGACTCCCTGCATCACACCTCTTGTTCGTCTCTCCTTCATCCTCATGTGCGTCAATACTGTTCCATTGCAATCATCTCCCTCTTTGCTGCAGGGACCACCTCTCACAACAGCTTGACGTCCTCATCATATCAACTCCGGCGTGGAAAACTCACAGATTTATGATAGCTCCCAGCCTGTGCCTGAAGTCGCTCTGCTGCTTGAAGGCATGCGCTCCCAACAGAAAGGCCTCCTCCCCGCCATTGAGCAGGAAAGTCACGGGCGCTTGCAGCTTGCGTGACTCGTCGGTCACAAGCAGGCGTGCAAGTTCTAAAGCAATCCCAACGCAGCTTGCGCAGTCCGATGCACCTGGTGCAGCAAGCCCTCACAGTGACATAAATGTGTTATCTGTACAATCACCATGCCTTGCAGGAGCTCCTGACATACTTGAGCACATGAAAAGCAACAGGCGATGGTGCGTGCAAGAGGAATCAACCTCTTACCTGGAGATCCAAGAGTAGAATCAAAATGGGCGTTGACCAGCACTGCTTTCTCAGCGGCCGCATGCAGTGGGATGATTTTCAGGATGACATTGGAGAGATTGTGGTAAGCATTTGTGAAATCAGCGTGTAAGAAGTAAAGGTCTGCAGCTCCTGTAGCTTGTTCGGAGGCGACCTGTGATGCAGCAGGCTCATGACCTGTCAATTTTCTGTGCCGAAAGTAGATTGGCTGATAGGATTGTACATCAGGAATGTCTGGGCATCAGCAGATCACCTGCACGGACAGGTCCTGTCTTTTTGCAGCAAGTCGCTGCACACTCCGAGCCTCATCCAGCAGGAAAGCTGATGCGTCACTGTAATGTTTGGCACCCACCTGCCAGAGGGCAGGACCAAGAAGACAGCAGTTCCTCAGACTGCAGTTAAAGCTTTGCACTTGCAGCCTCTCCAAGGGCCAGTCAGACATTCCTTCTGCAAGGCTTGCCTTGACATCCTACCTGGCGATGTGGGAAATCATTTGCTAAGCGTTTGATTAATCGCAAAGCTCTGCCCTCCGAGAATTGGTCAGCTGGAGACGTTCCTGGCAGGGGCGAAGCTGTGCGGTTGTTTTGGACTATGCAGAAGAAGATCTGCACCAGAGATCCTCAATGTCTACATCAGTATCATTTCACACCTTGCAAAGAAATTGAAGCACCTCAATTGAGCTCACTGAAGACAGCATTGGCGTCTTGTTTTCCAATGCAACATGAGTTTATAGACATTGCGTCTTGGAGAACTCACCAACACTACGACAAGAATTACAGATGTGAAGATGTCATTACAGTTGCGACAGATCGTGGGTGAATTCTTGCTGGAGTCTTGTGGCCTTTGTGCGTTACGGGAGGCTTTCATGAAGGCTCACAAGAATTCTTGATATGGAGATCCTTGTATTCATTTATTATTACTGCATATGTTTCGTGTCTTCCGAGCTCATTCATACTCCAAATTGTCGCCGAATCTTCCTCCAAGGTGAGCTCTACGAGATTGCGTGGCATGTGCACTCATGAGTGCACGTGATCACGTGCCATGAAAAGGAATTCCAAACAAGTGCTCGCTCGTCCAAGGACAAAGAAGCACCAGCTTCGCTCTCAAGAAAGTCCGGAACCGTCTGATTGCTGCTGCTCTTTAGTCTCCTCTTCATGACGGGCATGCTTCCCCAGGTTGGGGTGGGTGAGTGGACACCTTGAACGATGGGCTTGCGAAGACTGTTGGCCGTATCCCGTATTCTGTGTCGACGTTCAGACAACACCATTCAATCACATTCTACGCACGCGTCGACTAGCCCATCTTCTGCAGCGTCGAGCAGCAGTTGTCAAGGTGAGAAGAAACCCTGCTATGAGGACCTCAACTTTCTAGGCTACATATTGGGCCCGTTGGTCCCCGGGGAATGGCATCTTCACCTTTTCTGAAGTACTGGCGTTGCATCTGATCATCATCTGGCGTTGTGTTTGTGACAGGACTGCATCCTGGCAACCCTCCAATCTCAGTGCCAGTCGATGGAAGCAGCAGCAGCGCCGTATTTACGGCATCTTTGATGCGTGAGATCCAGCACGCTAAGCCATTCAGGAGGTACATGGGGAGTAATGGACAATCTGCTCAGGTGGCCCCCTTGGACCTCTAGCATCCTCGACACTGGAGCTGCTGAACGTGTGGGGTCATGACCGTTCAGTGTCTTCTCGATCGAGTCACTCTCGATATCTAAATACTCTGCCTTTGCAACCACAGGGCAGTCACGGACCTTTTGGCAACCCAATGATGCATTTTGTCTGGGGAGGGGTGTTGGGTGCTGGTTTGGGAGCAGCAGGGTACGGCTCTTCCTCAATTTCAGACTTCACTGTAAAGCGTGAGTAAACTTTTTCTCACACACAGACTTGAACATTACCTGGTGGAACCTGCAGGTATGCAGGCATCGCCAACATGAAAATGCGGGACTGGGAAAGCACTCTCATGCAGGCGTGGAACAACAATGTCGGTACATTGAGTGTCCTGGACGTCCTCAGCAATCTGGGCGGTGTGTGCAGTCCACCTGCTTATTCCTACGCCCGTCAATGCAACAATCTGTCCCATGATCAGCTGAGTGCAAAATTGCATTGGCGGAAAGTAGGATGCTGAAAAGGTATCGCGGGGTGACAGGGCGAGTGAGAGACTTCACTGAGGAGACCTCGACCTCGTACTGGTCGGGAGCAGCCACGGCGCCTCTCGGCCCGCACTCACTCGCGGATGCTGCCGCAAAGGCAGCTCCTGCCGTCGTCAATGTCACCCTTCAGGGCGGCAGCCAGGGACTCTTCAATGTGCGTCCATGTTGCATGCACCCCTTCATCACCATGGGCTGCCCACATTGACCTGCCTTACTTGCCTGTCCACAGCTGCACTTGATTGCCGTGCACCTAAACGCCAGGAGACCTAATGTACAGGAGTGCAACTTACAGCTGATCATGATGAGGAGCAGGGGGCCCCAAGTGGGAGTGGGTTCATATTGGATCCGGACGGTACCATCCTGACGAACGCGCACATAGTGGCGGAGGCGTCGCCGCAGCGGCGGCAGGGCGGTGGGGGCAGCAGAGGGACGCAGCCGACGGTGCACGTGGCGCTGCAGGACGGACGTGTCTTTGAGGGCCGTGTCATCAGCGCTGACAGGTGGGGCCTGCCTCCCTCCTCATATGCTGACATGCAAAGCATTCAATCAGATGCATGTTGGCCTGTGTTTTTGGGCTCTCCAATTATTGATCGAGCGACAGGTCCTCTGGCTCAGCCATGCTTGATAGTGCATGCCTCTTTCACTCGGCCGTACTGGGGATGGGCATATTGCAGCAGCATGTAGAGATACTCTTGTGCTCCTCGTGAAATTTGGGTGCTGGCGCAGGCTGTCGGATCTAGCGATAGTGAAGATAGAATCGGCGGAGGCGCTGCCGTGCGCGCGGCTGGGCACGAGCGCAGGACTGCGCGTGGGCGAGTGGGTGCTCGCGCTCGGGTCCCCCCTGCACCTGCAGAACTCGGTCACCGCCGGCATCGTCTCCTGCGTCGACCGCAAGGTGTGCTTTGGCCTTTTGTGTGCTCGGTTGCCTCATGTGATAAACTCACCTAGCACACCCATGATTGCTGCTTCTGATCCGCCCCACACCTCAACTGCTCTTGTCTCTAAGATCACTTCAAGACTCTGGATGCATGCAGTGGGCTCTTCAGTAGCATAGGAATGCTGCTTCCATTCTGGACGTGTGTTGGACAGTGCTGCCATTGGGGACTGCTCAAAGCTTAGTGGCTGGTTGGCCAGGCTGTGGAGCTGGGGTTGGCGGGGCCGAATTCAGACTTCATACAGACGGACGCGGCGATAAACTCGGGCAACTCGGGGGGTCCCCTGGTGAACCTGGCGGGCGAGGTGGTGGGCATCTCCTCCATGAAGGCGCTCACGGCCGACGGCGTTTCCTTCGCCATCCCCATCGACACCGCCAAGCACGTCGCCGCCCAGGTCCGCCCCCTGCCGACAAGCCTGCCCTGCTCATTGCAAACATACAAATTCTGTTGAGTGGAGACTTGTATAGCTTCGAAGACAGCCTGGTTGTGGAAAGAAGATCTCATGTTGACGTGGCATGCAAGTGCCTGAAATGTTGCATTTAGGAGGTGTCCTGTATGTCTGGTACTGCCTATACACTGCCAGGCAGCCCCTTCTCCCTACTTGGCGCTCACACTGCCTTGTATGTCTTGCATCTTCCTTCTCTTGATTAGGCGTCGCATGTACCGGTTCTATCATTGCACGCGAGGTCAAACGAGCATCATTTGTGACATTCATGTTGGGAGGGTCTGATGCGATCTGTGGATTAAATCTCACGCCAGCTGTCCATTTCAGTTGAAGGCGCACGGGCGGGTGGTGCGGCCGTACATTGGGATCAAGATGCTGCAGCTGAACGAGAGCAAGGCGGGCATGCTCCGGCGCGCCGACCCAGCCTTTCCCGCGGTCAAGGCCGGCATCCTGGTGCCCCAGGTGTCGCCCGGCTCCCCGGCCTCACGCGCCGGCCTGCGCCCGGGCGACATCATCGTCGGTGCGCACCTACCTCCCCCCTCCTCAAAATGTTTTGCATGGGTTAGATCTGCTCGAATCGAAATGGGGCCACATGTGGGTCGTATCAGGGCCTCACAGAGTCAGTCAGTTAATTGCTAGTTAGCCTGGGAATGAAAGGTGTGAGGAGGGGAGGCTGCAGCTGATGTTTGTGATGTTGAATGGCAGGGTATGCGGGGCAGAAGGCGCCCAGCACAGCTGGCCTCATCAGGACGTTGGGGGAGCAGGTGGGGAAGCCGCTGGAGCTGCAGGTGCTGCGGCCTGGCAGCCCTGGCGAGGTCACAATCAACATTGTGGCTGTGGAGGCCCCATCGTGACTGCTGTACCACCAGTTTCAACGCTGCCCCAGTCAGAAGCACACAGGACCTTCCTCAGTGAGTAAAACATTAGATGGCCTGGACTTTGTGATGGTGTTCTTGGATGATATCCTGATCTTTAGCAAGCCCGAAGAAGAACATGTCGTGCACCGACGAGCCATCAACGTGACACTAAATCTGGCTTCCTCAGTGGGTTATATTTTGCAATTTTTGAGTGTACTTGTATGATCAAGGACCCGGGACGTCCAAATTGGGACGTATTTGAAAATTAAGATAGAAGACAACATGCACGTGTGTACGTACATGCATGCATGCTGTGTATTGTGAGACTGGCAGGGATGATGCTCTTGCTGAGTTGTACGAGTCGCCAGGTTGCAGTATGTTTTCATAACTTGTACCACCCAATTTGGATGCCCCTTCTGTGCAACATTGCTTACAAGGTCTTTCCAAGTGCCTGCCGGCAATGTGTTAGCAAGCTTTAAAATCAACAGAATTTGAACACAATGCTCTACTTCACACACATACCAGTGCCCTGTCCTAGGGGCATGACAGCAGAGGCCTCATTACTGCCGGTGTCAGGTTTAGGATGTAGCTTATCAGTTCAGGAAGCAAAATCCAGCATCCCTCAAATCACCCCTCACAAGGATCAATCACTCAACAACTCACTCCAACAAATCAAGCCATCTGGAAACGGTGTACTGAATGGCGCAGGTCAACTCTAAACCAATTTCCGACAGACAATTAGTCTTGCAATATTGCCACCCAATTATTCAATGAGATTGAAGTCCTAGGAGGGTCAAGATTCCATAGATGAGATGCCGCTGTACGACACTAGCCCCACTGGCCCCAACCACCTGAAGCAATTGCACATGCAGGCTTCTGTCAAATAAAGGAACTGCTTGTAGTTTCACTACTGGCAGAAAACAAATAGGGAGCCTGCAGCTATAAGACCAGAGAAGAACAGTGTAGTGTATTTGGAGCCGATGCAGCATGCAGCTATGCAAGGCATTGCGCACCTTGCGGTCCATTGGCAGACACAGTCGGCCCGAAGTGGCTCTGGGTGAGCTGCAGCGGCGCGGGCTGCAGGTCGTCCCGCCGCGGCTGCTGCTGCACCATGCGGTCCAGCGCACCAGCCGCCTCCGGCACCGGCAGCGCCGACGGGAACGGCCCAAACGCGCCCGACCCAAAGCCGCCCAATCCACTCCCCGGCTTGCCGCCAAACGCGAGGCTGCCGACCGTCCGGGCGCTGTGCGGCGTGCTCTCGCCGGACGTGCCGCCCGCCAGGCTCTCACTTAGGCCGAGGGATCCTGCCGGGAACACCGGGTGCGCGAATAGGGAAGAGCCAGAGCCGAGGTCGACGGCGGCGCGAGGCGTACCGTTGCCGTGGAAGGGGCCGACCGCATCAGACAGGGACCCTGCCGATTCCAGCGAGCGGCGGCCGAGGCTGCCCTGCCGCAGCAGCCCCTGCTGCGCGAAATCGGTCGAGCGGCGGGGCGGCCCCTGCGGGGGCGGCGGCTGCTGCGCATGCACGCCCTGTGTGCTCGTGGGCATGCCTCTGACTCCTGCAGGTCCAAGCTGCGGATGCTGCTGCTGCAGGCTGCCCATGCCGCCCGCCTGAGGCCCACCGAAAGGTCCCCGTTGCGTGGCCGCAAGATTGGCGTCCTGCCAGCTGACTGGAGTGCCTGGGGCGCTGCCCCAGCTGCCGGGCTGCAGAGGCGCCTGCGGAGGACGGGGCCCCGTGAAGTGCGCGGGTGCTTGCTGCTGCGGGATAGCCCTTGCAGTGAGGGGCTGACTGTACAGGCTGCCGGGCTGGACCCCGGGAGGCGCCGGGTGCGGCTGCGGCTGCTGCTGCTGCTGCCAGAGCGGCGCCGTTGTGCGGACCTGCGCATGCACCGGCGGGGGCGGCGGTGGGGGCAGGCGGCTTGGTGCGGGGCCCGTGCCCGGGACCGGCAGCAGCAGGGGCGGCGGCGGCGGCTCCCAGGAGTGCTCCCGCTGGATCAGCTTTGGCGGCGGTGGCGGCGGCTGTGCGTTCGCGAGGGGAAGTGGCCCGTTGGGCGCCATCGGCCGCGTGGCCGGCGGCCGAGGGCCTTTGCCGGCGGCTGCAGCGGCAGGTGGCGCCTGCGCAGCCGCGCCGCCCCATGCCGGGCCGTTCGCGAGCAACTGCTGCCCCAGGAAGGTTCCTCGGGCCGGCTGGGGTGCTGCCGCGACCGGGGTCCTGCTCCGGGGAACGGTTGGCGGCTGTGGCTCGGCGGCTGCAGGCTTCTGCTCCTGCTGTTCCCGGGGCTCCCTTGGCTTCTCAGGAGCTGGCACACGAGGGCTGTCGTTGCCTGTGGGCACGGCTGCAAGGGGTTGTGGCTGGGGTTCGAGCTGTCGCTGCAAGCGCTTCAGCACCTTCTTGGCGTACTTGGCGCTTACACCGACCTCTGTCGCCATGCCGATGCACCCCGCCAACTCATCCAGCGCAGCAGACATCTGCAGCAGCGACAATTTGGTCAGCATGAATATAATATTCCTGCCGAGGCCGGAGATAATGATACATCGCCAGGCATGCACACCCAGGGGTCTATTGCGACAGTCAGTTATCACAACAAAGCAGGGATCGTGAGACCACACACCTGGGTTCCGCTTGCCGCATTGCCGAGGTCCAGCACTTGCAGCGTCAGCGCAATTGCCGCATCCAACCGGCTCCGCACCTCTCCCTGCTGCTGCGACTCCCCAGTGATGGCCTCTGCATCAGCATGCCGCTCACCTACATCACACCCCTCTGTTTCACTCTCTGCATGGAGCACGGTTTGCCAAACATGCGGGCCAGCGAGATCTGCTATCCTGCACAGTAGGAAGGGAGCAGATGAAGTGCATCGCACCGTCATCCTTGGGCTCTCCTTCGGCCTCAGAAGCCCGATGATGCCCATTCTCGGTGGGCGCCTTCGCGCGCTCGTCCACCTCCGTCTTCTTGCCGGCCTTGCCCTTTGCCGGCAGTCGCTCTGCTTTGCCACTCGTAGGCTGCTCAGCTTTAATGACTGCCCCGCTGCCGTCTGCGTTGGAGTGGGGGCCCCTGACAGAAGGGCCCGGCTGGTCTGCAGGGGCGATGTCTTGCGCATGGGGGCTGCCGGCCTCCTCTGCGGCGACCTCTGCGGCTGCATCGGGCGCCTCCGATTCGGCTGTGACGCTGCCGCCGTCCTCGTCGGGCTTGGGCTTGCCAGCCTTCTTCTTCTTCTTCCGCTTCTTCGCGCATGTTGCAGCTTTGCTCCTGGGCAGCGCAAGCAGCCCATGAGCTTCAGCCAATGATTGACGCTGATACACCGTAAGACCTGCTCGTCACATGACGTGCATGCAAAGAAAACTTTGACCATGCATTTTATCAGCCTAGCATGTGCATGCTCCCCCAGATAAGCAGTCGCAAGCTTCCCAGAAAACTTTCAAAGAGCATCTGTCAGATCGCTGCCAGTAGTCAAACGCCAAGCCAGTAGTGTGGTCTCTGCAAGATGGCAGCTGACCAGACAGAGGCTCTCAACAACCTGATGAGAGCACACGTGCAGGCTGTCCATTTGGAGGAGGAACGTTGGGTGCACATAAGGGTGATGGAGCGCACCCGTCGCCCTCGAGGTCCATTTCGGCGAGCAGGGCGGCCATGTTGGCGTCGGCGCGCGCGGCGGAGGCCTCGTCATCGCCGTCATCGCTGCCCTCGTGGCCGGCCAGCTCAGCGTCCTCCAGCGCCAGCTGTCCCGGCAGCCCCGAGTGTGCCGCGCGCTCCGCCACGCCCTCCGCATGCACCCGCCTCAGCTTCGCCTCCACCAGCTTCTGCACACACCACTCATGCTTGCGTCACACCCTGGACGCAACTGGACCCTCGCTCTTGATGGTCATGGACACAGGCAACAAGCAGTCTTCTTGAGCTTCCAAGTGACCCTTTCATTGGCATTGCATTCGATTCACAAATATTGCAAAATATAAACACTCCCAAGATAGCAATCTTGGGAGTCCCTGAGGTAACAGGGTGGGGCTTGCTACTCTCCCTATGTGATGGAGAAATTGATGCATGGCAAATGACCATGGGACTGCTAGAAAACGATTTCCTTTAGGGAGAGTCGGCAACCCACACACACGACCCGATCAGATAAGGACGGGTAAATACACTGGGACAAAGAGCAGAGGAGCGAGGGGCCAAGATGGTGACCTGCTGGCGGGTGGTCTTGCCGTGCTGGCCGCAGAGCACGAAGGCGGCGGTGGCCCCGTCGATGCCCTCGGCCTTCGCGCGCCAGTCGCAGCCCAGCCGCGCCAGCAGGAACATCATCTCCTTCTTGTTTGCCATGGCCGCATGGTGCATCGGCGTGCCTGCACATGTGACACCATGCAAGTCCCTGTTGTACTTCTCATATTATCCCTTGTCAGAGACGCCACCACAAATGACGCCACGCCAGGGTGGCATGACATCTTTGAGGCAGCATGCACAGGCAAGTGCAGAGCCGGGCAGCCCTTTGAAGTGCACATATGACCTCAATGACCTCTGTGACCTCAGCAAGAGCTGGAGACGGCTTGCATCCAGATCTGCTTATGTAAGATGCACGGGGGCCTCTGGCAGCCCCTAGCAAAGTAGGGAGAGGGAGCAGGCGGCGCACCGCCGACGGAGTCGCGGCAATTTATGTCGGTGCCGAGGGCGACCAGCTTGAGGACCATGGCCTTGTCGCCGCAGCCGGCGGCCAGGTGCAGCGCGGTGCGGCCCTCGGCGTCGCGCGCGCCCACGGCAGCGCCAAGCTGCACCAGCCGCTCCGCCACCGCGATCAGCCGCGCGCGGTCTGCCTCCATGCTGCTCAGCTGCAGCGCCTCCGTGCGTCGCAACAGCGCCTCCAGGCTGCTCTCCGCCGTCGCCCGGTCTATGCATGGCTCCCCGCGGACCCCGCTCCCTGCGGATATGCGCCCAATAATCTCACATGACCGCACCCCTCTTGCCAGGCACTGCTGTCGTACTCATCCTCATCCACCAAACAATGTCAGGGCGTCCACACCATCTGGCTCAGGGCCCTGCATGGGGGCAGTCAGGTACTCTGCAGAACACCATAATGCAAATGGTGAAGACCCCATGTTCCCAGGAGCAGGGCTTGCAGAACATTCTGACAGCGACGGAAGGCAGATGCATGGGAGTGGGGGTGTGCCTGCGTTGGTGAGGCGGGCGATGGCTAGATCGAGGCCGTAGCCGGACGCGGAGGTGGAGTTTCGGCGTTTGGTGGCGCGCTTCAGCAGCTGCATGAGGCCCAGGCTGCGCCAGTCGCCCGCGCGCGACTCCGTGTCCGCCTCAACCGGCCCGCACAGCGCACTCCCTGTCACCAGCCAGCAATCGGTGAATCCCCATACATACCCACTGCCCCTGTGCTATATCGAAGAAGTTGAGAGGAGCAAGATCCCTGTCGCCCTGTCAAGGCCGGATCGGTCACCTCCCCTCTGGGTGCTTTGCAAATCTGATGGGCGCAGGCAGATTTATTCAAAACAGAGCGGTGTTTAGGGCCGGTAACACTTGGTGTTCGGATTGAATACCTAGGGTGGCCCAGGCGAGGCCGGTCCTGACAGGCATGAGGCCGTTGAGGTGGCCGGTGCCGTTGCAGAGCGCCATCTGAGCGGCCGCCTGCGCACTGGTGAGCGCGCCGTTGCCCGTGGCCGCCGCCCCCCGCGCGCCTGCCACTGTGCCGGCCGCCGGCAGAAGCGACGCGGCCGCGGAGCCCGCCCTCCCAACAGTCCCATTTCCTCCTACGAAACATGTATATTTGTCCTTGTGTATACTTGACCTTCACCTTGCATCGCATGCACTTGAGAATCTGCTGCAATGTGCCGCTGATGCTTGGAGTGCTGCTTGGGGAAGAGGAGTGCTTCGAGCGGCCTTGAGAGCAGCACCTGGCTGGTTGGGTGGCGGCATGGCGGCGAGCGCGGAGTAGGTGCCGTGCGCAGCATTCTGAAGCGGCGTGCAGGACGTCACATCGCGCGCGTTCAGATCAGCCCCCAGCAACACCAGCTTCTCTACAGTGTCTATGAACCCGCACCCTGCACCCCACACCATTTACACAATCAAGCTCCATTGTTTTCCATTCCTTGTGATGTTGCTCCATGTGCAGGGGGCAAGCGTGTCTGAGGCACGACGCTCTTATATTGCATGGGCTGCTAAACAAGGACGTACCTGCTGCAAGATGCAAGGGCGTGTTCTGAGCGTCGTCTGTTGCGTCTACAGGACACCCAGCATTCACCAGGGTCTCGATCACACTCGACTGCCCAAATGCCGCCGCGTAATGAAGAGGAGTGCTGCCATCCTGCAGTGAAAACAAGCAAACTTTCATCTGCAAGTCCCCATGCATTTCTGGTGGCTTGAAAAGGTCTTCAAGGTTGGCATTTGCAACAGTGAGAAGGCAGACTTTCAACAGTAGAAAAGGATTTCAGGAGAAGGGAAGAAGGAGAAGCGCCAGACCTTGGTGCGGGCAAGAACTTTGAGGCCGCAGCGCAGCAGCTTCTGCAGCACGTCCCGCCGCCCGCAGCGGGCAGCAATGTGCAAGGGCGTCTCAAGTGTGCAGTGCTCCATGACTGCGCTCACCTTGGCCCCTAGCTCCACCATCACCCCAATGGCATCCACATTCGTGGGACCCTGCTCAATGCACATGATACAACCCCCTTCATGCGCAAGTCTTCTTTTTATATCATTATCATATTTCATATCCATTGCAGACTGGTATTTCCCACGTGGCTGATAGCGTGTTGCACATGCTGTAGCCATTGCTCACAAAAATTGAAGTGGTCCAGCAGTGGAAAGCAGGTCCAGCATGCTGCGCTCCAAGTAGGTCAGGCGCTGGGGACTAGGCAAATGGGGCCCACCTTGAGGGTAGCGAGGGCGAGGGGGGTCCAGCCCTTGGTGGAGCGCGTCTCCAGGCACGCCCCCAGCTGCACCAGCCGCGCGATGGCCTCGCACTGCCCCGCGTCGGCCGCAAGGTGCAGCGGGCTGTAACCTCCGCGCACATCCTTCTCGTTCAGCGCCGCCCCTGCCTTCACCAGCACCTCTACAGCCGCCACTCGCCCGTGCATTGCCGCGTAGTGTAGCGGCGTCCGACCTGCAACAATACTCGCGCGTCTCATCCCCTGTGCGTCCTCCAAATTTGCCTGAGACACCAACGCATGCAGCAATGCAAAAGAGCATGAATGGACACCAAGCGGCACATTGCGAGGGCGCAGAGATATTTTCAAAGAGAGAGGTGACTTCACGCACCGAGGTAGTCCTTCACGTCAATGTCGTGGCAGAACTGGATCAGCTTCTGGATGGTGCGCACGTGGCCGCCGTTGGCCGCGCTGTGCAGCGGAGTGAACTGATACGTATCCCGCACATCAACCTGAATAAAGAACAACCCAATCTCACACACGAGCGCAACCAGGTGTCCATATCACAATACTCCATAGAGTTGATCACGCAAGCCTTGCCGTTTTGCACTGCATGGAAGGCATGCCGCAATCTCATCTGCAGGCCTGCAGAGGTGATATAAGAACGAATTTAAAATTGGCGCCGGCCCCACCTTGTTTTTGAAGTGGCGGACGAGGAGCTCTATGAGGTCGGTCCAGCCCTGCTCAGAGGCCACGTGCACGGCTGTTCTTCCCTCCTCGGAGCGCGCCCACGATGGGCATCCCAGCGCGTCCAGCCGCCGCACAGCCTCTGCCCGGTTCCACGCCGCCGCGCAGTACAGCGGCGTGCACCCGTCCCGATCCTTCACGTCCGGCGGCGATCCCTGCACCACAAACTTTCACCCATCAGGGACATGCAAACGAGGCCAGCAAACTACATCTCAAGCCATTGGAAAACACGGCAAGCCACAGTGCGCTCTTGAGGCCAGATGACGTGCTGGCCCACAAGTTGGCAATCAAATCCATGCACGGTGACAAGCCAAGCCTGGAAGCTCACCAGGCTAACAAGGGCTGCAATGGCGTCAAGGTGTCCCTCTCCGGCTGCCACATGCAGCGGCGTCGAGGCCACATTGTCCTGCACCGTCGCCTCGCAACCCAGCCGCACCAGCAGCTTTATCGCCTCAACCTGAGCATGACCATGCATGCAGCTCAAGTCCTGCTCTTTTGGCTCCTTGCACTGCAAAACAGGAGCATGGCAGGCAGCATACAACAGCCCATGCCACCAAAGAAGCGATGCCGCACCTGATTGTGGGCGGCGGCATAATGCAAGGGCGTCCACGAGTTGGCAGAGCGGGCGGTGATGCTGCAGTCAAATTTCTTGACGAGCTTCTCTATAAGTGCGACGTCCCCATCCATGGCCGCCAAGTGCAGCGGGGACCATCCCATTATCTTTCGCACTGCCGCCAACCCCGGCCTGCCCAGATCCAGTCGCTTGGCGGCCTCCTCCCATGCCGGACTGAGCTGTGACAGGTCACCGTCATCCAAATCCTCGCACGTCGCTGTGTCCCATCCCAAATGCAAGAACCCCATGAAGTCCTGGTGACAGAGAATGAGAGAAAAGTTTAGCCGCTGCAGACTGGTCATCTAATGACTTTGTCTCTTATACAAGCCAGAGTCTGCTCGCTCAGACATAATTGGCAGCAGTGGGCATTGCAAGCTGTGATGGGTGTCCCTGCCAGAGATAGGGCCATGCCTGCATGCATCTCCGCCTCGCGATCTCATGCAGGGGCGTCTTGCCCCCTTCATCCTTGAGGAGGGCTTCCACAAGCTTTAAGATCAGCGTGACCTGCTCACAGCAGAGCACCACTTAAAACTCTGATCCGGATACAACTTTCCGGACATCTGCTGCACGTCACCACACCGTAGAAACCTGCAAGAGTGGCACGGTGCAGAGATGGACGAGACTCTCACCTGATTTTGCACCGCAGCGAGGTGCACGGGTGTACACCCAAGGATGTCCTTGCTGAGCAGCAAGATGGGGCCTCCTGACTCCAGCAGGGCCTCAACTATTGCCAGGTGGCTGCGCATGACTGCATGATGCAGCGGCGTCCTGCCCTCTGCATCCTTGACTCCAGGATCGGCCCCCTGAAACAAGTAAGAATTGACAGAAGTTACCTCCCTGCTAGCTGGTACTGCAGGGCGCTGCTATGTATCTCCAAGACTGTTTTCAGAGGCAAGGTCGCATCCTCCGTTCATGAACAGGGGCACACCTTCTTTATGAGGGCACCGACTTCAGCGAGATCTCCTTTCTGTGCTGCTCTATGCAAGGGCGTCAAGCACTGCATCTGGATCACCTCCTGCACAGGCAAAGTACAGTATCTGGTTAACAGCGATGACCAGCGAAAGAATTCAGGGTTTAAATACGTGACATGAAGGTCACAAGTTCCAAGATCTCCGAAATACCGAGCCTTGACACTTCCTGCCTCTACTGGCAGCAACAATCCAGAAGATGTCTTCGTTGAAAAGACATGATTCCAGGTCCTCATGATACAACGAGATGTTATCAATATCTTTAATTACTTCCAAAGTCAGTTAAGGCAGCATAAAGCCCCAGACTTTAAGAAACACCGCTCACCTTATACAGGCTGGTGTCAGTCGTCTTCCAAGCAGTCGCCTTGCGTTCCTAGATCGGTTATAGACATACGCAGAAAACGGATCAGCATCTGAAGCGGCTGTCAATATAACGTCAACAGGCTCTTGAGAGAACAAAGCACGTCGGGATTGCTGACACAGGCGCCACTGCAAAGACACGCGAGGAAGGCAACAGTCTGAGGATCTTTCTTCAGCACCAATCCTAGTACTAAACATGAAAGGTATGTGATCTCAATTTAAAGGAGAATATGACGCTTACTGGTAGAAATGCGCCAGCCATGGTGCTGCAGGTGGTGCAATCTCTGGAGAGATGACCAATGGCTTGACGACCCCGGCACAGCGAAGGGCTCACCCTTTAGTTTAAAGCTGAACCCTGAGCTGACAGGTGCTTTCTCAACTTGGAAGTTCTTTCTCAGAGGATCTCTGATCTCGCTCGAACTCACCTGATTGTCACGAAGGATTCAGTGTAACGGTACCTTCGCTTGATCGGGTCAAAACAACCTTCCGACTCGGAAGCAATGAGAAGATCAGATCCTAAATCAGTCACCAACACTTGACAAATCTGCCGCTTGAACGAGACGGTCAGATTGCACTTTGGTAAATATGCTAATACGCTCCATATGATGGACTGATGCACGAGAATACGCTGTTAGTAAAGTATACCTTGACATCGAAACTAAGCTCAGAGTGACATTGATACAGGATGCCGCCCTTCTAATTCGGCTCCATGTGGCCCTTTAGCAGCAAAGGATCGAAAGGCAGGCTCACCGAGGAACATCAGCAGAAGATCCGTAAAAATTGCAAGTCCCTCTTGTCAGCATATGCTGCCTGCTCCAAGATATACCCGAACGACCCTTCCAGGTGTGAGAGGCTGGAGACCAGGGTGGTAGAGTGCTATGCCAGTCAGTGTCCTGGCTGTCAACCTCAAGTGGAGGCTTTCCAGAAGTGCTTGCTGGGCACTGGAGCAATGGTGGGCGGTATTGCGGGAAACGAGTGCACAAAGCAAGCGGAAGATATGCGGAAATGCTTGACAAAGCTGCACCTGTCTCCCATCAAGTGACGCAGTGCAGCTGCATCCCATCGGGAGAGCATTTGATTGGTCTCTCACTTCTGACATTGTTGAGACTGTTCCATTTCAGTTGCATAGGGCCAAAGTTGAAGGCACTTAACGCATGCATGTAGGTACAGGCCATTTTATGTAAAGGATTGTCCATGGGATTACTTCCGCTTTCTCAGCTTTCCTGGCAGCACCTTCTTCCCTCCTCTCTCCTCCGCCTTTTTCCTCTTCAGTTCAGCCTTGTTGCTGGACTTCCCGAGCATTGAAGGCGCTTCCCTGCCATCCAATAGCAGGAGGTTGTTGAGAGCTTCAGATTTGCATACCGGCGCAGACAAAAGTCTGACAACAACTTAGATGCAAGCAGTGCCTGCTACTAGCATCTGCATTGAAGATTCATTAAGTGCACCAGAGGACTTGTTTGCACCGGACAAGCCACAGAAATCATCCCAATCTTCCTTAGCAAAAGTTACTGGTAGACCGGCTGTCATAGCTGCTGCCTGTACCAGCATCAATGGACAGCAAGCTCACCTGAGCGCAAAGCTGTGTGCGACGTGGCCCAGGTGCAGGCGCTTGACATGGAACACGTCCTTGAGGGCGGCCGGGTGGGCCGCATACGCGCGCACGCTCGACCGGAACGCATCGGCCGCCAGGCTACGCAGGCCCGGGTCCGCCGACACGGCCTCCCCCAGGCGCGCCTGCAGCGCGTGCGCCCCCGTGTGCGTGTCCAGCGTCCGCCCTGGCCGCCCCTGCGCCACCCCAACAACTCACCCCTCAATGGCCAAAATATGCCTTTCTCCAGCCTGGAGCAGGGGGTGCATACACCCCCCTGCTTACATTTACTGATTCCTCTGGACCCTGGCCTTGACCCTGATACGGGTATCTAGGCGAACCTTATCACAATTATACTCAGATATTTCATATCTAGTACCCCTGACTGAACAGCAAATCAAATTCAAAGAGCGTGCTGCTCTAAGGACTGAAGATATGCTGAGCCGCAGGAGATGCATGGGTGACTAGGGGGCTTGTGTTGTTTGCGGCTCCAGCTGCACACCTGTTGCCCCTGGGCCCCCGGCAGCAGGTCGAGCGCAGCCAGCAGATTGATGGGCTGCAGGCGGACGCCGGTTGCCTCCAGCTTGGCCAGGTAGCCGCGCTCGCAGGGCAGCAGGAACAGGAACGCCTCCCCGACCTTGCCCATGCGCGCAGTGCGGCCCACCCGGTGCACATACCTGCCCCAGCACACTCTCTTCAGAAACTGCATCTCTGTAGTTTTCTTAGGCTCAATGCAGAGGTGCTCTGAGTGACACAGTTGCTGTGCTGTGGCAGTGCCCCTGCAAATTGCACAAGCTCAATGCAGCAATTAACAGGCTGTACCACAACTATGATTCTGAAGCAGTCAGTATGATAGGGACCACTCTTGTGGCAACATGTCCATGTACACTCCACACGCCAGTCGCGACTTTACATCAAGTCCTGCATGTCTTGACTTCAGGACAATGGGGCTTGTCCTAAAATGCTACATCCAAACCCCATACATAGTACAATCTTTATCTCACCAATCTGGAGTCCATGATCTTGATACTGTGGGTCAAGAGTGTCAGGGCCGCTTCAGATGTTCTGGGAGAGAATGGAGAGGAGCTCACTCTGAGGCCTCGCCGGGCGGGTCATACTGGATGATGCTGGTGACCTCTGGGAAGTCCAGGCCGCGCGCCGCCACGTCAGTGCAGATGAGCACGCCGCTCTTGCACCGGGAGAACTCCAGGAACGTGTGAGTGCGCACCCCCTGCACATCGTTGAAGTATGACCATTCCAGAGCAAAACGAACTGCATGGCATCAAGAATTAGACACCTCTGGCCATGCTCAAAAGTGGTGGTCAAACACCTCACAAGGAGAATGTATTGAGACTTTGTATGCCCAGACATCCACCATGGGAGCTGGGACTGGCCTCTCGAGACACTGGGCACTCCTTTGGTAGCAAGCAAACACAGGCCATCATCAAGCCAGCCTGGGTCTTTGCTGGCTGCCAAGTGCGCACCTGGGCCAGATTGCCATGCAGCTTGAAGATGGTGGTGGGCAGCAGCGGCTCGCCGTCCACGAGCTCGAAGACCTCGGAGAACATCTGGTGCACAAACTCAACCGCGTCGCAGCTGGACATGAAGAGCACCACCTTGGCCGCGCGCTGCGCTGCGCAGATCTGGCGCAGCAGCGCCGCCAGCACCACCAGCCGCATCTTGCTCGGCACCTGCGCCGCGCGTTCCCTTCAGCCGGCCCCAAGTCAGATTATGACGTCCGTTCAATGGCGGCAATCACAACCCCCATGAGCGATCATAAACCATGAGGCCTGGCCTCTTCTGGATGGGTGCATGTGGGCCCGGCAGGGGTCGGACAATCATCTTGGCAGCGGGCAGGTGTTCAGAAAGAACTTCCATAGGGGTGCTTTTTATCTATTTGGCGTAGCAGGGAGAATATTGCATGTCATGTTGGGTGCCGTCCTGAATAATCGTCATCTGGCAGCACATGCAGCAGAAAGGGGCATCTTCTTAAGTGGTATGGGGGTGTGCTGGAAGACCAAGATGTTCCTGTTGCAGTCTGGAGGAATGGCAACTGCTCACCTCTACAACCCGCTGCTTCAGGAGTGTGGGGATGTGGAACTGTTCTCTGTCAGCTGTGTGGGCGCTGGATGCCGCGGCGTTGCCTCCGTCATCTTGCCCTTCAGCAGATGTGATGTGCAGGTGTCCCTCCACCGCCTGCATTGCAGCAAGCAAGATTGTGGCGTCAAAAGCAGTCTGGGTCCAGTCAGCACGTGGTCGATAAGAAAGGCATCCCAAGCGGCAGCAAAAGACTCTGCATGCCACACCGAGCACCTGCAACATCGAAGTAGCTTACCTGTACTTGAAAGCCAATTGCGGCGGGGTTCTGCAGGCTGAGAGATGCCAGGCTGTCCAGCTTCGAGTGGAGGGTGGCTGACAGCAGCACCGTCTGCCGCCGCCTGTTGCCGGCCTCTGCTGTGCGCTTGTCAGTGATGGCGAGTATGTCACCTGCACCATCGCAAGGAGCTCTCAGAGCTGTCTCATACATGACCCCACACCTCATTCAAAAAGCCATACGTTTGGATTGGGTGACCTTGGATAATAAGTATCAGCAAGAAAGGGCTGCGTCGCGTTCTTTAGCAGAGACTTGCCAATCTTCTGCTCGAAGCCGAGGTCGAGCAGGCGGTCGGCCTCGTCGAGGACGAGCCAGCGCAGCTCCTCGGTGCGGAAGGACTGCGTGTTCTGCAGGTGGTCCAGCAGCCGCCCCGGGGTGGCCACCAGCACCGTCACACCCTTGCGCAGCCGCGCCTTCTCCTTTGCCCGGTTCTCCCCGCCATATATCGCCCCGCCCACCTGATGTGTTCACAACCCATGTCACCCTCTCATACATCCTTGCGATGCCCAAGTCAACCCAGGCCCGTCATTGTTTACAGGAAAGCTCCATCTAGAGGTCAAGCTGATGGTTCAACTTTCCAGCAATTCACGCCCAGGGAAAGCCAGGTGAAGAGCAATACAGAGGCAGCTCTGATAGGCCATGCCAAAGCAGCTAGAAGAGCTGAGACAGGGGCAGCCCTGATGGGTGTGAAGGTCCGATTAATTGAATATGTCAGCCCATGCAAAGCCAGCCAGTGAGCGGACACAGAGACAGCGGTTTTGGTGCGCACCAGCCAGATGTAGCGGCGGAGGATGAGGGTGAGCACGTCGGCGATCTGGAGGCAGAGCTCGCGCGTGGGCACCACGATGAGCGCATGCGTTCCCTCCGCCCGGCTCACGCGCGGCTCCTGCGCCTGCAGATCATTCACAATGGCCGCCAAATACGCCAGCGTCTTGCCGGAACCAGTCGGCGCGTTTACGAGCGCGTCCCGGCCCCTCTGCCGCATGCACACAACTGTTCAGCCTCACCAGCAGCGTGGGCTACCAGCGCCTTGAGTTGCAGAGGCTGCTTGCAGATCTTGGCGTTGTTTGCGATACACAGTGTCCAAAACACTGTCTGTATATGATATGATAAGATCGGCAAGAAGCACCATGCAGATACACGCCACCTCGGCAGACCTGCTCATGCAAGTTTAGAGGGTCTCCAATGCATGGGTTGTGGTGGTTGAAGGGAAGGGTGGGGAGGCACGCACCAGGAGCACTGGAATGGCGGCCTGCTGTATCCGTGTCGGCGTCACGAAGTTGATCTCTGCAGGCACACATCCCCGGTCAGCAACAGTTGGTATGTGGCGATCAGGCCTCGCTCATCTGTAACATTCAAATGCTGTACCTTCAAGATGATCTGACAGCGTCAGAGCCAGGCCCAAGCCCCTGAATGATGACGAGTCAACCGGCCCAAACACCTCCAGCTTCTGGCTTGCAGGGACAGACGACTCGGCATGCGTAAGTTCCCCAGTCTTCATGTTGCTCTTTGTACCTGCAGGGTTGCACAGTGCGTTATGAAGGCTGCCAATAGGATAAGCACACATGTTGCAGAGCGCCACACAAGGGCATTGCAGGAGGCACCTTTGAATTTGACTTTCTTCTGCTTGGAACTGTCTTCCTCCTTGACTTTGCGCTTGGTGGCGTAGCGCATAGTCTTTCGCTCGTCGATGAAAGACACGAATCCCCTCTCCTGCAAGCACAGCTGGACTGTAAAATTCTGCATTTCAAGCATCAAGCAACACACTCGCAGTTCTCAGTGCACAGATACAGAAATGAAAGGCATCGGTGCCACTAGCATGTGTTTGGAAAAGCCTGACGGTGCACCTCATCATCACTGTCACTGTCTCGGTGGATGGGCACTCCATTGTCATCTGCCACGCTAGGTTCTGCTGCTTGCAAGCCAGCATCCCGCTGTCGGAGCCTTGCCACAACTTCTAGCACGTCCTCTTCTTCGCCACTTTCGATGTGTTGTGGCTCTCCAGCCTCCACCATGGCGATGACTGCCGGGTCCTCCGCTCCTGTTCAAAGTAGGCAAAAGATAAAGGCCACTGTAGAGATGGATTTCAGATTCAATCTCATATTGTTCTTGACACAATGGTCAAGGCATACCCGCAGCATCCTCCGCAGGCTGTTGCTTCTGCTTCTGTCTATTGTGAGTCTCGAGCTGAGGCGCCAGCTGGGGCACTTGCTGCTTCCTGGGAGCTGGAGCAGCTGCTTCGGACAGTCTCGGCCTTTTTGTCCCATGGGACCTTCCGGGTAGATCCGCGACGGCCTGTCCCTGCTCATCTGGTGTGTCCTCTAACGCGTACCCCTTCAACGACTGCCCAGCAGAGGGCTTGCTGAAGGCCTGTTGCGGCCTGGGTGTTTCCCTCCTTCTTGTCTCTTTCTGATCTCCCTGTATCAAGTGTAGCATAATTGGTGAGGAGGCTTGATGCACACCTGACAACAGCTGCAGGCAGCTGTAGGCTTCACTGCACTTGTCTCAACTTGTCTCAACTTGTCGCAAGGAGTAAGACAGGAGTTACCAAGGCTGTCTTCTTCTGATTCCTGCGACTCCACTTGCTGCTTTTGCTGTTTTGTTGTCGCACGTACTCGTTTTCAGCAGCCAAGTCATCCAAGCCTGCAAGATTTAGCAGCATACCATCGTCTTCCATACCTGGGGATGGGTTTGATCAGGTGAATATAGAGGCGTTCAAACACCTGTTTGCACGATCAAGTCTACAAGATCCTCTCAGTGATCAAGTATGAAGTCCGATCGGAGTACTGAGCTCGGTCCTCTTCCACTCCCAAGCATTCCGGAACGACTGTCGGAAAACGTTGGAACGCCGCATGCATGAAGCGCCTCTCCCGAAGCATTCAGGTGGGCGGCTGGACACTTCCCCTTGAAAAAATCATTGCGCAGTAGCCGCACTTTGGCGTTGGAAGGCATTTTCTTCTGCCCTACAAGGTGAGTCCTCAAAAAGAAGTGAGTGCAAGGACCTTTGGAAGGTTGATCTGGCTGTGAACCCGATGATGCTACAAAATCTTTGAGACCGGACTTTGAGAATGTCGACAACACCAAGCAAACTTCTGAGGGTTCCATGCACGGATCTTTTATGGCGTGCCTTCGCTTGAGTTTTTACTGCACACCTTGTACCATTCACTTCAGCAGACCAGTACAATGGATGGATACCACCTCAGGCAACTCCGTACGCGGGTTCCTAGACCGTGGAACTTAGTGTCCCTACCACAACTGAGGAGAGTGACACTCGGTTTTTGACCTGGCTGGACTCTTGAAGGCTGGACAAGCAGCCGAGTGACAATTCAACACGTCCCAAGCAAATTCATACATCAAACCTGTACTGGGATCGACCTGCAGCTTTCTTCCTGCTTGTAGGTACCAAGGACGAGCGTTGTGTAGACTCTTCTCATTACCTTCTTTACCCAGGTGAGCAATCACAGCCGTCATGCTCCATTTTGCGGTATTCATGAAGCATGCCTATAAAGATCATGGGAGAGTGATGAAGAAAAATTTCGACGCTTGAACTGAGCTTCGCTCTGAAGAAGCAAAAATTTTCGCTGTGTTCTTTCTGACTCCCATACATGTGGTAAGTGCTTTCGTGCATCGCATTTCTTGTGGCATGGCTATCGGATGATGATTGAATCCATCTTAGGACACCTTCTGAAGCAGGCCAAAGTGTCTGCTATTGAGACCAACATGGTTATTAACCCTGACGATAGCCTTTCCTTTGTTTCACTCGAGGCGTAGTTTCTAAGCCCGAAGCCCTTTGTCTGCAGTACCTGCATAATTGCATTTAAGATAGTGGCTGCAAAGAAAGTGCATGTCCGTGGCCCCAATGATGATCAAAAACTTTCGTTCTACCGAGCAGTTCAAGCTGTGGGGATACAACCTTGGTTTGGAGACCTGAACTGAGGGGACCAGGACTGCATTATATATTTTTGAGTGCCATCACTTGCATACTTTGAGGTCCGACATGTGCTGCGCCGTGCAGGTCATTGGATCAGGCAGCGTGTCTCATCAGGCAGCATGCCATCATATGTCCGAACGGAGCTGCGGCCTGGCGGCTTTGCCATTGTATGGCTGGAGAGAGAGCCTGTCAATCTGATGGACTTGACAATGTGGCAGCAGTTGATGTCTGCTCTGCAAGACCTGGAAGACAACCAGGTAAGGAATTCAGGCACGGTCAAATTCGTCACATGCACTTCACATGAGCAGCAGGGAGATGCTGAGGGCTGTGTTGTGCCAGCAGGAAGTCCGCGGCGTGATCTTTGCCTCAGGCCTCAAGCGCGAGGTGTTCACTGCTGGCAATGATATCAAGGAGCTTTATGCACCGCAGACATCGATGAGCAGGTGCGCCCATCCACACATCTCTATGATGCAATCTGTGTGCATGCAAAGACAAGCAGTGGCTGATTCCTCTTTTTGCACCACAGGTATCGTGACTTCTGGGTGACCTCCAACGTGTTTCTTGCACGGCTGTATCGCTCGCCGCTGGTGACCCTTGCAGCCATCAAGGGTGCCTGCCCAGCTGGAGGCTGCTGCCTGTCCCTTTGTTGCGATGTCCGGATCATGACAGAACAGGTGAGTGTCAACCTGCAGCCCACGGAAGCTAATTGTGTGCTTTGCTCCTGTTATGACAAGTCTTCTTTACTGCGGGATTTTATCATGTGGGCGCCTGCCTGATGTGGACAACGCTGCCTCTGACAGGGGCATATTGGATTGAATGAGGTTGCAATTGGCATCTCCGTACCCCTTTACTGGGGCAGACTCATGGCACGTATAGTGGGCGCCAAGACGGCAGAGCACCTCTGCAAATTTGCAGTGCTTCTTGGACCCAAAGACGCTGCAGCGGTGAGCCAACCCGCAACACCATGATCACAGGAGTGATATTGAAGTAACACAGCTCGTTTGTGTTTGCACATGCTGTTGTCTGCTCAAATTTGCATGATGAGATTTTGGTTCTTCCACAGGTTGGGCTGGTGGATAAGCTGGTTCCATCCTCAGAGCAGCTGCTGCCAGCGGCAGTGGCAGCCATGGCAGATCTCCTGAAGCAGCCTGACTCAGGCCGTATGATTGTCAAGAGCCGATTCCGTGATGAGTTCTCGCATGAGTGGGAGGCCTATCCAGAGCAAGAGGTGCCAGGGGCTTGGGCCATGCTGGCAGCCCCCGCCACAGTCAAAGCGCTGGAAGCAACCCTGCAGCGGTTGTCTGGCAAGAAGGCCAAGTCAAAATTGTAGCTGTTGCTGGTTGCTTCGTGGACTGCATGGGAATTTTTGTGAAGCTGTGCCCAATGTGCTGCAGCAAGTGCATCTGGCTGTATCCCTTGCTTTTGGGTAGCGATGTATGTGTGTAGACTTAGTGTGTACCATCATTTTGCAGGGTTTTCTGTAGCTCAAATGTAGCTGTCTAGTTTAGGTGTCTGTGAAGAAGAGAGAGAGAGAAACATTACATCGTGCCAGCCAATACGGGCTGATTAGATGTGCTGTGTTCTACACACTGGTGTGCCTGAGCAGAGACCGGACAAGACATGGTCACATCTTAATGTTGTGGTCAACAACAACATTCGATCTACTAGTTCCAATAGAGCAAAGGTAGCACGGAAAGTGTCAGCACAGCACTCCCAATCACCGAGCAATCACCAACACACGCAGACATGGATGGGTCCAGCAAAGCCACACAAAGCAGCGATGTTCCAGCTCATGAGAACAACCTAACCATCACGCAAGACGCCGCCAAATCCTACATTAGATCAGAAGTGCCCCCACAAGACAGGAAAGGGCCAATCACAAGTAGGGTGCCCAGTCCCACAAGAGATCAGCGTCCACCAAGTACTGCTAAGCTACTGAGACAAGACCTGAAGGCTTTGGCCGCCAACAAAACCATCAGACACCGTCAGGTTCGCAAAAGGGCTCACCTCTGCTGGCAGGTGTTCAAAAAGCCGCAGGTGTTCTAGAAACAAGAAGAAGAAGATGTTTAGCTTCAAGACTTGCATCTTTTCGAGGGTTCCAGTTGAAATTTGTACTACATCAACATGATGTGTATCAGAGGAGATCCCTTCGGGCGTGAGCAGGTGAGCATGCAATGCCATGGGTACTTTAGCCTGCTCAGCCATGTACTGCCTACTGGTTTTGGTTTTTCAGGGACAATTAGAATTAAAACTGACGAGGACTTCCGTGTCTCGCTTCACTTCGCTTTTACAGCGGGATTGACCAGCAAATGCTGGAAGTGAAGAAAATTTACGCATGTACATCTATGCTATTGCAAAGAGTTGACTTCGAAGCTCTTCAGAGAGAACACGGTGGATGTGTAATGTTTGTTCACTTACAATCTATGCTTTTGGAGGGGCAGCAGCTAAGGCTAGCACATTTATCAACATTGAAGTCTCCATTGACCTGTATTCCAACCAGGAGAGAGAGCAAACTTATAGACCTGAATTCCCAGAAATGGCCCCCATCAAGAAGTAGATGCGCATCTGTGCCGTACTTGCACAAAATTATACAACGGTACCCAAGAAGAGACAGCACCTGCTTCCAAACCCATATTCTGCAGAGCCAATCCAGCCATATGTCTAATCTACAAAGAAAGCTCGCAAGATGCGCCATGAAGTGAGTTCCAAACTTCTCTATCCAATTCGCTCGCACAGATTACAGAGAGTTTAATAGCCAGAAAATCTTGATCAAGCATTTGAGAACTGATAGTCGACCTCATGGCGATACTTCTCGCCGGGCCCCAGGATGACTGAGGGGAAGGCGTGCTCGTTGACAGCATTGGGGAAGCCCTGCGTCTCCAGGCAGACACCTGCGTGCTTGTTGTAGACTGCGCCGTCCTTGCCGCGGATTCCCTCCAGGAAATTGCCCGAGTAGAACTGCATGCCTGGCGCGGTCGTGAGCACCTTCAGGCAGCGCCGCGACTTTGGGTCTGTCAGCTTGGCCGCCAGCTTGGGCCTGCGTAGCAAACATGGAGGTGCCTTGAGGATACGTGCTAGCCTCACAACGCGAGAGTCACCAAAAGCGGCTGCCCTGAGCGCTTTCAAGCAGTTTCCCTGGGACCCTGTAAAGAGTGACATGGCACACATGCGCGCACATGGCACACCTGCATCAGTATTGGGACAAGAGCATTGTGTTTGGACCATGTCAGAGCCGAATAGGTGTTTTGGCAACTGCCTAAGCCAAGTGGCTCCCCCGGTCCTATCCTGTGTGTCCTTTGCAGTGGACCTTTGCAGCCTGCTCTATCCTCAATCCACATCAGATTACCTCACGTTGAATGCGGGGAATTGACTTTACAGCAGACATCTCTGAATGATGTGAATGCACGTCACTTATGTGACTATTTGGCACCTTGACCCCCGCACTTGACCACCTACACCGCTATTGCTCCTCCAGAAATAGTCAGTATGGCAGAAATTTGTCAGGGTGCTGTCACTACCTGAAAGACTTCCTCTTGTGCTGCTCTGCAGCTTGCTGTGCCAAGGCAGGTCCGATCAACCAGGGATAGCACTGCTATCATAGCAGCGAGGAGACAAGGAGCCAAGGGCTCATGACTCGTTGAATAAAATCAAAATGATCAGATTTGATGCCATTCCAACTTCCTTTGAGGCAATTGTGACCGGACAGAATGATGTATATAGGACACCTATCCAAGTAGAATGTCACAATCAGGGCGGAGGTTGTCATTCTAGCGGAGTCAATAATGGTCTCGGTTTCACGTGGAGAATAACAAGTCTCTGGTTAAAGCTCGCCAGTGTAAAAAATGTACGAAAAGTTCTTTTTTGCTTCACTGTTTTGTTTTAGAATCCGCTGCTGAGCGCTACTGATGAATTTGTTCTGTCTCTAAGCAGCAGGCAACGAAGGATTTGACCGAAGGCATTTGTGGCCATGTGTGGTCGGTGATGAATACAATACAGGCGTCAGCCGCAGTGGCAAGGGTTTCCCCAGACATGCAGTAAGTCTTGCAAGGATAGAATAACACCAAGAAAGTCGTCAGCAACCAACAGGAGAGAGGTGAGGTGCGCACTTGTTGCTGGCTGCTCCGTTCTTCACAATGAACTTTGCTTGCCGACCCATGCCAAAGAGCACGTAGTTGTGGTCGTAGCCACCAGAGACCTGGCCGATGCTCTCCCCAATGCTGTGCTCATCCGAGAAGTCGAAGGGTGTGCCAGCCACAGGGGCAATCTCGCCGGTGGGAATGGCGGTCTCATCCAGCGGTGTGTAGTGGTCCCTGCTTGTGGCACAACTCCAGGTCAAGCCAGCACTGATTGAAACAATTGATCGCAATTCTGTATGCTGATGATTGCCTTATTGCTCAACAACCAGCACATCCCATAGCAGTGACATTTGCAGAGCATGTGAGAAATGCAGGTCATGTGCATCCTGCTGCGCACCCATTTATGTACAGGGTATGATCGAGGGCAGAGCCGCTGGCATGGCCGGCAAGGTTGAAGTAGGAGTGCTGCACGATGTTCACGGGCGTCTGCTTGTCTGCCGTGGCCTCAAAGATGACCTTCAGCATGCCTTCTCGTGTCATAATGTAGGTGAGCGTGGCGATCAGCGTCCCGGGATACCCCTGCGCCGCATCACCAGGACATCAGAATTGTAGAATTGTTTGAGAGCTTTACGGGGGCCACATGTTGACTCAACGCTGTTCCAACTTAAGCAGCAATGCACACCTCCTCGCCGTCCCTGCTGGTGTACGTCAGCCGCAGGGCGTCACCCTCTGGATGGGAGATGCGGGCGCCCTGCCAGATCACTTTGTCAAACCCACGCTTGCCGCCATGAAGTGCATTTGGCCCGTTGTTCACTGTAAGCTTGTACGTCCGCCCCTCCAAGCTGAAGATCCCCTTGGCTATCCTGTTCGCAACCCGGCCCACCACAGCCCCAAAATAAGGGCTGGTCCCGTCCTGCAAATAAGAAAAATCGGAGGCAGTGAATTGATGAGTCCGATTCCCAATGATGATATGGAGTGAACCTTGTTGTGATCGCCATCGTGGTTCCTGGAATTACCATACGACTACGGATGGCTATCGTGGGTCATTCTCAACTTGGTTGAAGTGGTGCAAAGATTGTAGAATTTGAGCAAATGCGCGTTCTATGACAGAAACGTACCGCATAAGGGGCCATGTCATCAAAGCCCAAAACGACATCTTCCAGATTTCCTTCCACATCCGGGACGTATAGACGCTGTATGACGCCACCCAGAGGACTGATGTGGACTTCCATGCCATCGGGACCTTGAAGAACGTGCATGGGTAGGTGTCTCACGTCCCACATCTGCTTCAGCTTGTGTGCTCCTTTGACAAGGGGTGCGGCCACGATCGCAGCCCCTGTCAATACCCAAGGGACTGGACCGCTTTGCAACACCGAGGGAACTCTCATGATTATATTGAAGTGTTCAGATTAATGGCAAAAGTGGATCCGATGTACTCTTTAGAATGAGTACCCGCGTTCTGTGAAAGAAGGGCATGCAGCTAGGCTGGCCTCCGTCAATGACACCTTAATCAACTCCTTTAGAAGTCGGCAAGGAATTATTGTTTATGCAGCCAGAGCATTGTATTGAGAATTATTTTGCTTCGTCATTCAAACGAGGCAGACCAAGAGTTAATGACGATACGCTCTCCACCTGTCGTGACTTCCTTCTTCTTCTCTCCATCGCAGCAGTTGCAATCTGCATGAGACTTTCTAAAGAGATTCCCTTATTCATCTGTGCACATCGTTTATCCTGAAGGGGGGATCTTTGGGATACTGGCACTTCAGGTGCATTGCAAATCCGTGGAGCGCAGTAACTCTTAGCACTTTTGTCACTTTCTAGTTTCTGGACCAAACAATAACAGGAATAAACGAGTACCTACCAGTTTAATAAGCAATTGTCTCCAAGCAGCTTCTCACAAAGGGCTCTACTTTTGCCCCATCAAAAAGCATCGTCAAAGGCGCCTCTTCAAAACAGCTAAGAAAGAGTACGTCAGGATATCAGGCTAGCCTGCAGTACTCCAGTTTGTAGTGCACTGCTTAGTTCACACCGGGTGAAGGCCTGGCTGAATGGCTAGCGATGCTGGCCTTGCCCCCCTCGTTGATAGTAAGTATCTCTTTCCCTGTTGACTGTTCCCCAAGCAAAGCTGTTTATGTATTTTCTGAGTGGGAAGATCCGCATTCTGATGGTTAAAGAAGCAGAGGTCATGTGGATAGGAAGCATCTATAAATGGTGTTGGGTGGTGAGTCCCTACTGCCAGGTGATCATCTCTGAAGATATTCGTGTGTACTTGCAGGCACAATTTCAGTGATCACAAATGATGGGCGAGTCATAGTGGTACGTCCAATTGTACCCAACTGAAGCCATTTGCCACCTCCTGCACGATTGCAACATTCAGACACGTTGCGGAGCACTCACTGTGTGATGTGACAGGGCATTCTGCGGGGCTATGATCAAGCTACAAACCTCATACTGGATGAGTGTCACGAGCGGGTGTACTCCAGCAAGGTGAGTGTGGATACTTTGTCAACTAGAATGTCAATCAAACATCTCTCCTGCACGTGAAGGAAAGCCGTATTCACACCTTGAGGGACACCGCTCGTCATGATGTGCAGGCTGGCGTGGAGCAAGTAGTGCTGGGTGGACTGCATGTAGTAAGGGGCGATAACATGTAAGCTGCTGTGCTCACCACCCTTTATCAGCTCAAATGACTGCCTAATGACTAACTGACTGACGTGCAAACACCAGATATTCTCACTCATATCTTCCGTGGGATTTCGCAGAGCTGTTGTGGGAGAGGTCGACGATGAGATTGAGCAAGGGCTGGATCTGAGTGCCATTCGTGCCACGCCACTCGCCCCTGTTCAGCATTGATTGAACACACCAGGCTGCTTTGGATTTGCTTGCAATGATGCAATATGGGCCTGATGTGACTAGGATTTGTTGCCGTGCAAACGGTCAGTGGCAGAGTTCTTACAGCAGGAAGTCTGATCAGACCTTTCCCTCATCGCCACAATCAATTTTCATGATGATCGACCAGCTGTAATAATGACACGGGATCACGAAGGCTTGCTCAGTCCTTGCCATTGACTTAGTCCTAATTTCAGCCCATGGCATACTTCATTATTCTTTCTTTTAGAGCAGGAGTGCCATTTATGAGATCCAGACCAAGGCCCCTGATACTGGCAAGGAGACCCTTCTGGGGTGCAAAAATGTGCTTCAGGCTGTCCAGCGCCATCATCATCATCCCATTCTCACGCTGACGTGGCTGTTCATACATCTCCTGCATTCACAACAGCAGCACATCAATACAAAGCCTGCCCATAAGGGTGCCACAAAAACCCTGCGCCATGCAAGACAGCCAAATGACACTTGTTCCATGCTCATCAAGAAACTAGTGCCCAAGGCTCACCTCAAGCAGTGCCAGTTCTCCAGGGTCTCGCCCTGTCTCAACAGCATGCGCCAGAGCGGCAGAGAGCGCTCGCACATCCCCAAAACCCAAATTTACACCCTGGCCTGCCAAGGGGTGCACAACATGCGCTGCATCGCCCACCAGCGCCAGCCGGGGCCGCACATACCTGCACACACCAAATTGGTCACTATATTGGAAGAATTTCTTGTGGGCATTAGTAAGAGTGACAGACTGACCTTCACAAAAGAGCTTCTCCAGGTCGGACTGGTCAATTATGCTTTGGCAAGTGTCTCACCTTCCAGAACCAGCAAGGGTCAGAGGAAAAGACCGCTGCACAGTCCCATCAACAGGAAAAACTGTGGGAGGGGCTGTGAAGTCCGCAGCGCTGCTGAATGGCAGCAGAGGATTGCGAGCAGGAGTGGATCCCCCATTCAGCGCCTGGACATGCCATGCAGTCACTCAAATTTAAGACAATATCAGGCACATGTCCTGTGCCATCAAGCAGATGCGCTTGCGTGCTTGGGAGGCCAGAGACTTTGAGAAGAAGTGAAGTCAGTGCACACCTCGTTGACTGCAAAGGCGAATTCCTGGGGGGTTGCTTTCTCCAGGGCCAGGGCCTGCTGCACAGTGGTGGACCACACAATGTTGCTGTAGCCGCCGCGCACAGGCAGCAGAGCCAGGGGCCCAGTGGGCAGGAACCTCTGCCACGCAGTGTCATTAACCTGCTGCGTCCTCACGCTCGCCACAATGCCTCGCTGGTGATAGCTCCGGGAAAATGTTCGCAAATCTGCACTTCCCAAGATGCCTCAGCCCACTCGTCCTTGCATGCATGTGCGCCAGTTCTGATGCTCGCATTCTGGACCTGGAATCCTCCGAGGTATCGACAAGTGCCACCTGCTAGCTGGCGTGTGCGTGACCGAGCGCCATCAGCCCCAACGACCAGCCGCGCATGAAATGTCTGCCCATCTGCCAGCCTCAGCTCAGCCAGTGTGTTCGTACTTGGACCTGGAAGACAACTTAAATTACAGATTGTAAGTCACTCTTTCATTAAGGGTCACGGCAGTTCACCATTTCAAGAATTGATAGAGTGTTGCCGGCGGACAGATGCAAGGAAGAAGTGGGCCTGCCTTCATGAGCTTCTGGAGCGTAGCTTGGTAGGGTGAGCGCCTCCAGACTTGCCTGCACACCACTCGCCAAGCATTTGGTATCAGCTTAGAACCGCCGCAATATGTTTGGAGGTAAACTGATTTGCACAGCAGTTGATTTCTCACCGGCCATAGCAGTCTGGAATTCTCAAAGTGCGTCAGCCTGCGCATCAGCGCTGCTTGAAGGACTCTGTTTTCCGCCACGTAACCCATGTTGGGAAGTCCAACATTTCCAGCGCTGTATCGCACACACCCATTCCCTCCTTCATCCCACACCTGCATCCAATACTCACTGGCGTATCATTGATGTAGCAGACACATTGAACTGTTTGATAAACTTGATTTGGAAGATCTGCCGGACAAAATAAAAGTGTGACAGGTGTGATTAAAAGCTAGAGCTACCTGCATCTGTTGGAATGCAGCAGAACGCGGTGGTGCAATGTCGTCCCAAGCCCCAACGTCCTGAAAGAGCTGCACACTGGCAGGCGTTATGGTGCTCACTCGCAGGTCAGGCACCTCTTGCAGGGCTGATGTGACCTCTGTGGGTCCTTCTCGATCCATCACCAGCACTTTGAGACCGGACGTATTTGGATTCGAACCTGGACGGCAAGCAAGTGAGACTTCAGGCACTGCAGGAACTTCCTGGCATTACATGCACCAAGCATCTATCCTGGCCTGTACCCCTCACCCAGTGCGCATGCTAGTGCAGATCCAACCATTCCACTTCCAATGATGGCCACATCATATATCTCTTCCATAGATGTGCTGGAGGAGATCTGGCGAGCATGATGGAAGCCAATCTGCCTGGCTAGGCTCCTAGCAATCATAGGGATACTTTTATCTAATTACAAGCAGTTTTCGTAATGGCACATATACTATGAGACAGAACATTGTCTAGTATACCGTCAGATGGGTTGGACATTGGATGCCAGTATATCGATAGGAAAAGATCGGCGTCGGAACAGATTTGAACGGAGACGAGTGAGCAAATTTTTCTAGATATCGGAATTTGGGGACAAGGGCGAAGCAAGAAGAACTCGGACCATCGGACTTTCACCGAAAGAACAAGGTGACGTCACCACCTTGTCGCAATCCTCTCTCTCCTGATTTCTCTTCATTCACAATCTTAACGATCCATTTGCACATGTAGCTCTCGATCTAATTTATAAATGTTGCAAGTGTGTTACACATATTGGTGAAATTTGGGTTTTTCAGATCCCCAAAACTGGTAAAACCGAGGTCCGCATATTTTAATGGTGCAAGAGTGATTGTCATTCACTGTGAGGAGGAAAGAAGTATATGGCTTTCATTTTGGATCAGTTGAATGGGCTTCCATGCTGCAGTTGGGAAGAAAGGCCACCCTCTTCAGTGCAGGTGCCAGTTGCGCTGGAATCCTATTTGCCTTATGAGTGCCTCCAATTTGACATACGGGGAACCTTCTGATCTTGAGATGCCCTGTGCTTTACAGTTGACAAGCAGGAAGTACTCTGGCAGAAGGCCCTTCAGCAGTCATCAGCCAAGGAGGTCCTGTTGTCTGAAGACTAGCAGAATCTGTGCAGCACAGACCCCAGTGGTGGTAAGAGGACTCACCAAACTTTTCAGATGAGTGCCAAACCATGCACGTGTACCCAGTCTTGCTGCTTTTGAACCAGGCAAAGATTGGCAGTAGCCAGATAGAGAACATCAACAATGACGCAAAACGGGACCTGCTTGCCGCTCTGTCGTCCGTACAGGACAATGGCGTGTATGGAATAGAGGTAAGCAAGGCATACCACGGCAGATGCACTTTTCTCTCCATAAAGATACCAAGACAGTACCTTTCCTGAGATGATTTGTGCCTTCAGAGTGCCCAGCGAGATGAGCTACTGAAGAGGATTGAGGACCTGGAGGCATGCAATCCTCTGGAGGCTCCCACTGAGCACTTGGATCAGTGCCATGGCTCCTGGCGCCTGCTGTTCTCTACAGTCACCATCCTGGTGCGGAATGGTCAAATCTCAGGGTGTTGACAGAGCCTGATGTGCTTTCCTCTTGAAATAGCCTTGCCAGACTGAGGAAATGCATGGGAACAGGGACGGAGGAGGATCAAGCTAGGGCTGAGAAACATTGTCAATGTGGGGGCGCTCACACAGCACATTGACATTGTCACTCGCCACACGGTGGGGACTTTTCTACGCCCAGCTCAAGACCACCTGCAGTTTGCTGTTGTTGTGCGATGTTCATAGCACAAGGTATGCAAAATCAACAGTGGTTACTTTCCTGTGCAGGTGAATAAGGTCAATTTCGACATTCTGGTGTTTGGAAAGTTCAAGGGTGCCTTGACTATTGAAGCCAGCTATGAGCCGGTGTCCCCAACCAGAGTAGCCATCAAGCTGGAGAAGGCGACACTGGTGCCAGAGCAGTTTCAGCAGCTATTTCAGAAGAATTATCAGCTGTTGATGGATATATTCAATCCGGATGGCTGGCTGGACATTACCTTTGTAGATGCCCAGCTTCGCATAGGCAGAGACGACAAGGGCAATGTATTTGTTTTGGAGAGAACATAGCGAGGAAACTCTGAGAGTTGAGATCTGCAGCGTGTCTGAGGAGAGAGTGTGAGAAGTGAAGTGTTTATCTTTGGAAAACAATTCCAATCAAAATTGGAAAAGGGATTCCAGTAGTTCTGCAGGGATTGATTTGACTGAAATTGGCAAGATTTTGCAATAAACATGACCGTACAAGAAGGCCAATTGCAAGAGAGAAGGATCAGCTGCAGCTTCCCCCAATGAGGAAGCTAGGGATGCTTCACGCTTCTCCTTCCTCTCATTAATAGATCTGAAGGTCCAGAGTTCTACTCCGAAATTCGTAAGACCGTATCTTTAGATGGCTTGAACGAGTGTGACAAGAAAATGAACGGAAGAAGCTCGATAACCTCTTCTTTGCCCATGGGCATTCTGACTGACAGTTACAAGACGACCCACTTCATGCAATATCCACCTTGTAAAGAGATGGTAGCGGTAGGTTCATTTGTTATCTCCAAGCACACGTTATCACCATCTGCCGGGCACTTGAGATTAGTATCCTAGGGGTTCAATGGCACTCAGACCCTCATGTTGTGGTGCTTCTGCAGTACGGGGAATTTCGCTCGGGATATGGAGGTGACAACGAAGACACGCGCATGGTGTTCTTTGGGATGCGATACATTCTGGAGAATTACTTGTTGCGGCAGTGGACTGTCGAGGATGTGGAGAAATCTGAGAAGTTCTACAGGTGACTTCTGGTGGCCACCTAGCTTGCCAATCTGTGTAACACAGCTCTGTAGAGAGCCGCAGTGCGCACTGGGGCCGAATTGAGTTTCTATTATGAATGCAAGCAGACTAAGACCCAAGGCTATGGCAGGACACATATGGCGCCGGCCATGACTGCATTCCCCTTCCCAATGGACTTATTTATGCGCTTCATTGAAAAACATGATGGTGAGCTGACATCTAACCATTCATCATAGAATCGGCCGTTGTTTGGGTCCCGCAAAAAGGGAAAGGTGTGTGTGCAAATCGTGAGCTGTAAAGTATATTCTGTCATTCAGGTTACTTCCCTATCAGGCTTGAAGCGTTGCCCGAGGGGACTTGCATAAATGCCCATGTTCCAGTCTATCAGGTGCGGGTGTGTTGGTGTTGTGTGATGGACTGCCCTCTCTTACGCCCTGTTGCATCATCATCAGTGAGGAACGTGATGGGCTTATTGGCCTTGCAGATCACATCAACCGGGGAGTTTGCCCCACTTTGCACATACCTTGAGACAATATTGACAATGATCTGGTGAGCGCCAGAATGTTTATATGTGCTTGAGGGTCAGGACAATCATGCCATGCTGCAGGATAATTTCTCCTGCAGTACGTGACGAGACCTTGATGCTGAAAGGATCGAAGACATCATAATCATGTAAATGCAGGTACCCCACAACTGTAGCAACGCTGAGCAGACGAGCCCGCGATGTTATAGAGGCAGCCTTTGAGCAGAGCGTGGACGACGGTGCTGCGTCGCCGCTGGTGCCCTCCAAGCTCCATGACTTTGGCTTCAGGGGCTGCTGCACTGTCGAGCAGAGCGTGCTGGGCGGAGTGGCCCATCTGCTCAACTTTGATGGCACAGACACCCTATCTGCCGCCTACTACGCACAGGCATGCGCATCTCCAATCGTAAATCTGCACACAACACCTGTCTAGCGTGACCGCTGGATCGCAGAGGTAATCCCTTGTTGCAATGCAGCATCATATCAGCATGTGCCAGGAGCCGACGGGTTGCTGGGGGCTGCAGTTTGAGTTGAACGATGGAGAGCCGGTTGGAGTCAGCATACCGGCGACAGAGCACAGCGTGATGACGGCGTGGCCCAGCGAAAGAGAGGCCATCCTCAACATGATCTCCCACTTTGGCAGCGGCATCTTTGCCTGTGTCATGGACTCATATGACTATGCAAAGGTAGCCTCCCACATGCAAATTCCAGCAGACTGTGCTGCTCTCCATTGCATGTCTCCCTTGCTTGTGTCAGAGTCTGCTAGCTGCAATTGGGATCCTAGAGTGTCTTGTTGCTTTGAAGTCTGCTCGGTGCAATGGGAACGTTGCATTGGCTGCAGGCACTGGCAGAGGTGGTGCCAAGCATTGCACAGGAAAAGGTAGGAGCAGGCGGCTACATGGTGCTCAGGCCAGACTCTGGGGATCCTATAGAAGCTGTCTTGGCAGCGCTGGATGCTGCGGAGAAGGTGTTTGGGGTGGACACAAACAAGAAGGGGTACAAGGTGCCTTGTGGTTGTGGAGTCATCCAGGGCGATGGCATAAACCTTCGAATGCTGTCCAAGATTCTGACAGCCGTCATGGAGAAGGGATATAGCGCTGAGGTAAGCACATTTCTCGTTGCATCACTAGGAAGATTTATCAATTGTATTGGCAAGTGGCATGCAGGCAATCTAAGCATTGTTGTGGAGTAGCACACACAGGATGCATGTCTGTCTGCAGGCTGTTGCGTTTGGGATGGGCGGCGGACTACTGCAGAAAGTGAACAGGGACACGCTGTCCTTTGCTACCAAGCTGAGCCACATAGTGTATGCGGACGGCACCCCTGCTGACATCATGAAGGCACCAGTCGGCGACTCTGCCAAGATTTCATTTCCAGGTGAGATCCTTTGTGAGACTGTTGTTGCTTTTTATGCAACCACCCCGTGCGGTCAAGGCACCCCTTCTTCTCATGGTGGCAGGGGGTTCTATATCTTACTAAGATAATGAACCCCCTGCCATCACAATCCCCCTTGCATGGAGGCAGCAAGGGGGATTGTAGAATACAATGGACGCTTTGTGTCCGCAGGGGCTCTTGCAGTCAAACGTGTGGGTGGTGTTCCTACTGTCTTCCCAGCTGAAGGAGGGCACGTGGCATCAGAAGAGAACTTGCTGCAGGTTGTATACGACCACGGACCAGTTCAGGTGCGCAGAACTGCCACGCCTGAGCTGTGATCAGATTCGGTCTCTGCTGCTGACAAATTCATCGTTGCCTCTGCCTATTGAGTACTGCACAATCAGTAATTTATGCCTCTGCCTAGAGCCTTGAGAGCCTCTGCATACACTGATGCTGCTGCCCTTGTTGTTTTGCAGAACAATTGGAAGAGTCTCACGAAGCTTCGGCAGCAGGTTGCTGAGGAATGGACGGCGCTTCCTAAAGCACCAATTGTGGTCAGTGAGGCCCTATCGGAGAAGGTGGCAAAGGTCAGACATGACAAACATTTGTGACCTCCGTCCTCTCTGTATTTGGGTTGTAGATTGATGTGTAATGATTCCCTCTGCGTTGTGGGCCCCAAACTGTGAACATGAGCATTTGCTCCAAGGCTTTAGTGTGCTGAAATTGTTCAGGTTTGCTGAGCTTGTCGGTTTGCTGCCGTTTTTCGTTGAATGGGCAATTTCATGACCTGATATCCTCTATCAAGTTGAGTTTGTCCCCAAAGTTGGCCCCATAAATATGTACTGACAGGAATTCTTGGCAGTGATTTGGTGCTCCTAATGTTGCAGTCTTTTGCATATGAGTTCGGCTTTGCAAATTCTTTGGGCCTCCATCCTTGATCTGAATGTCTAAGCCTGCATTAATAGGCTGTATCTGTGCTTTACCTGTGATAGTTGACTATAATGCGCGTGGTCGTAGCATCAAAATTAGGTGCACATGCCAGCGTGCACACGTGTAGACTGTCTCAGAGGTGTCAAAGAGCAGCAGTGCATACATGGCCAATCCAAGTGGAAAAACTATCCGTTGGACCATGTAGATGTGGAAGTGATAATGCCATGACAGGTCACTAACACAGACTGCTGTTACATGTACAGCATTCTCTCAGCTGCAGCACATGCAAAGTTTGCCTATCTGGCAAATTCTGTTACACGTTGGTCGATGTGCTTCGATAACCTAGAGTTTTGAAGAGTTGTTCCATCAAGAATGATATCCTGAGGCCTGCATCACTAACAGACCAGGATCTGGACACTAGGATACTAGCCAAGTCAACACCCAGCAAGTATTTTGTGAGCGCTCAGCGCTTCTTGGCAACACCCACAGTGCGACCGCGGCGACCGGTGGTCTTTGTGTGCTGGCCCTTCACGCGCAGGCCCCAGTAATGCCTCAGACCACGGTGGTTCCTGCATGTCAAAATACCTCGTTCAGCACCCCACTCCAACCCATCCGAGTAGCATACACAGACCCCGATATCGGACACACTGCCGCGTCTAGTTGCAGAATAAAAGCACTGCTGAGTGCGTGGCAGCACGTGGCCCTAGTAATGGGCGTCCACGAGCAGGTGATGGTCACCTGATCTTCTTGAGGCGCTCCAGGTCCTCACGCAGCTTTGTGTCGAGGGCAGAGGAGGTCAGCTGGGAGTTCTTGCCGTCCTTGTGGTCCTTCTGCCTGTTAAGGAACCAGTCTGGGATCTTGAAGGTGCGTGGGTTGGCCACAATCACCATCAGCTGCTCGAGCTCTGCCGCAGAGAGTTCACCTGCCCTGTGGAGGCAACAGTTCGAATTCAGTTCTGCTGAAAAGCATGATGGAGATCGTGCTTATCGAAAATTTAGAGGTGATCCAGCTCTGCATGCTCATGCAGCTCGCTCCACGCAACACAGAGAACAGCAGACCATCCTCAGGGAATCCCAAGCTGCATGCAGAGCAGCGACGCCCACCTCTTGCGCATGTCCACCTCAGCCTTCTTGCAGGCGATATTGGAGAACCGTCTTCCAATACCCCTGATAGCCGTCAGGGCGAACATGATCTTCTGCTTGCCATCGACGTTGGTGTTGAGCACACGCAGAATGTGCTGGAAAGCGTCATCTGCGATGAGTGACTGCACCACATCACACAGAACAGAATTTCAGTCACCGTGCACAAGAGATCCTTTGTAGATTGGTACAGAAATGTACTGCAAGTGTTCCCAAAAGAATTAATAGTGCTCCTCGAACATCATGCATCCTCGCGCTAGACAGCAACGTGATGTTCAATTGTGGACTAAAGAAACCATACTGATCTAGCATTAGATCCCAAACATCGCAATGCGCACTAAATTAGGTGGAACACAACAGTTCTCAATCCTTGCACACTCCAAAATCAATGAAACCAATCGAGCGTGCAGTCAGTAAAGATCTGCGATGAGAAGAGACATACCCCCATGTTGGGCAACGTTCTAACACTCTCAGACGCTTGCAGCTTGTGAAAGGTTAGCAGCCGCCGAGGAAAGCAGACTGCCAAGGGGACCTCCCGCTCATCGGACCTCCCGCTGTACAGTCTGACCGGATCCGGAGGCGTTCCTGCCTGTTTCATGGGGAAGCCATGTTATGCGACTTTCGTTCAATTCTTTCATCTTTGATCGTTTGTCATTCGATCTTTTCATAGCAAATTACCTTCACTACTGTTGTGACGCGATAAATTTGCACTCATCACCAGAGATCTTATTGGTACCAGCTTCCACCGTCTACGTCTTAATCCGTTTCGTCGAATCAGCAGATAGATCTTTGTTTAATTTATCAAGTTCTTGGAGCGGGTGAGAATAAAGTATCACATGACACGCTCAGCCATTCAACACCAGTATATGAAAGCTCCGAGAGGAAACCAGAAAGTGGTCTTTCTTGCTGTTGTTGGAGCATTGACATTCGCAGCACTACCATTTATCAGTAAGGAGGTGGGATTTATATCTCAGACATAGAAACATCCTTACCCGCACTTTCCATCATGACAGTGTGTGGCCCACATAATTTTTCTCACGTTCATAGGTGCGAAGACGGGAGCAAGACGTAGCCAACCTACGTGATGCTTCATACGATGCCAAGGATGCTGCCAGAAACTCGCGACTGAGAGTCAAGAATTAGATCTCAGCATAAGGTGAGTTAAATTGTCATGTATTGGAAAGTCTGTGTGGAATGACACTTGGGAGTGACGGTCACCTCCCTGTTCGAGCAGGATTCATTACATGCACGCCCTCGCAAGACAGATCGCAAGCCCTTGCTTGAGGCAGTTGGCGAAGAAACCTACTGGAAGCCGGGCTGTCAGTGGCGAAGTCTCCGGCATGCTGTTGGAGGGCCACAACAGTTTGGCAAGCAAAGACATGGAGTCACCAGCCGTGCAGCCTGCGAGCTTGTGGCAACAGTTGCTCACTGCTGGCAAGCCTAGTACGAAGGGCACAGAACAGAAGAGTAAGAAACAGCAGGGAATATCGATCGGCAGCGCATCAGGACCGCCTAGCAAGAAGTCTGCAGGCCCAAAGCTGAAGTCACAGCCTGGACGGTCAGCAGCAGCAGTCCAGGCTGGGCCAGGCAAAGCAGGGACAACTGATCTGGGCCAAGGCTCCGTCATCATATACTCGCCAGCGCTATTTCCACCAAGGGAAAGCTTGGCGCTCTATCAGAGCCTCAAGGTATCTGCTGACTTGTGAAGGATACCATCCTCACCGCTCCAATACTTTGTTTGTCATGAGCAATGCAAAGGCTGTGCTGAGCTGCTGAGAATGCCTGGCAGGACACTGTGGAGTGGCAGGCAAAGGAGGTTACAGTGATGGGGCGGAGGGTGATGCAGCCGCGCCTCGTTGCCTACATGGCAGACCATGCCGGCCTGTCTTACACCTACTCTGGATCTTCAATGACTCCCTTGACCTGGAACGCGGCAGTGCTGAGAATCAAGGTGGGCGCTCTGCCAGTGATTGTAGCACACATGCTCATCATATGTTCTTCACTTTCCTGTCGCGGAAGGTATGCTGACATTGACGGTAGCTGACATGCTGGGGGATGCCTGCCAACAGGAAAGAGTGGAGGAAGTTTCTGGAGCCACATTTAACTCGTGCCTGCTGAACTTTTATAGAACCGGCATGGACCATCTGAGCTGGCATTCAGACAACGAACCCCTGTACGGCAGTGGCAGTTACACCATTGGTGAGCAGCGTGCTTCTGTTGTAGAATTGCTCTGCTGACATGGAGAAGCCTGCTGATAAACCAAGATGCATTTTGGTTGACTGATTGTGCTGTGAACCTCAGGATCGGCCTCCTTTGGTTCGGCCCGAGACTTTGTCCTACGGTCCAATGCTGACCGGAGCAATAAGATTACTTACCCACTTGGCTGCGGCGATGTGCTTGTCATGAAGGTAGGGCTATGTGCATCTAAATATGGTACACAGTACTGGTTGCATTTCTGCCGTCAAGAGCAAAACATGTGGATGTACACGTCAACGTTAAGCAGTGGTGCTACACCCAGGGGCTTTTGACATTGCTCTTTGTCCGCAGGGCACTGTGCAGCAGCACTGGATGCATTCTATACCACGAAGGACACGGGTATCCGGTGGCAGAATAAGCTTGACTTTCAGGCAGATTGTTAATCCTGAGCTGTGCTGAGGCAGAATAGGGGCTAGGAAGTGTGGTCTACGTTCAGAAGGTTAAGAGTACCTCTGAATGATCGGTAGCACAGCTCACTCCTTTACCTGTCAGGACATCTGATCAGGCATGTTGCGCAAATTGTTTGTATGCTAGAGCACCAATTGAGGCCCAGAGGAAATTTGTTTGGTGCAGTCATGTATCATGATCGTAGTTTGGGATGTCAACAGAAATAGAGCTCAGTTTACAATAGTCTTGCAATATAGGCTATGCGTGACTCACAATTGTTCTGCAGAGCTTCTACTAGTTTTGCATTGTCATCACAAGGTGCCGCACACTTCTCCACATGGCACACGTACATGCATGCCGCAACAGCAGCATTTCCATTATCACATCCAGCGCCAACTTGGAGGCTGATAACAATCTCAGATGCCCTCCTCCTCTTCGTAGGCCTTGGCCAGTTCCTCCTCAGCAATCACTCTCTCGCGCGCGGACTCGGCAGTCTCCAGCTTCTTGGTGTTCGCCGCAGCATCAAATCGCATTGCGCGAACAGCCTGCAACAGCAACACTTCTCTGCACACACAGAATCATGACAGGGTGACAATGGAATCCACCGCACTTGCAACATTTTACGCATCCCTGCTATGCAGGCTGTAATATGGTGCCCCATCTAGAGGTCATCTGGTTACTAATGACCAGAGATATACAACTAATGAAATGAGCAGGAGGCATGGGCTGGGGCAGGGTACCTCATTGTGGATGTCCAGGCAGAAGGCGACACGCGCATGGAAGGCAGCGGCGGGTTCGGCGGTGGCGTAGATGTCGACGACCTCCTTGGACAGCATCCAGCCGTTGGCGTGGTCCAGCACAGCATCCACGCCGCCGTCGCGAATGGCTTTGGCCACGATGCACTCTGTGTCCTCCACGCTCGCCAGGCCTGCCCACCGGAAGACAGCGCTGTCTCATAGCTGCCTTGTCTGAAGCGAAACTGCCATCTCTGCCATATGCACATGGGACAAGGTGGCAAAGAATGCATGCAATCTTTGCCTCCACATCATGCCGCTTGGGAATGGTTGTATTTCCTGTCTCCAGCCACTGCAGAGCGCCGCAAGTCAGGAATTCTGTGGCAGGGCTGCGCAGAAGATGTTGTCTCACCAAGGCGTGTGGCGACGTCCGCAAGGGAGATGCGCGAGTAGGCCAGGTTGATGCGGCGCAGCCCGGCGCGGATGACATTGTACTGCAGGCGCACGATCAGGTTCTGCGTCTTGTCAGCCGCAAACACTGCAGCATTCGCATCCGCCACTTGCCTGCACGCATTCCAGATTCCACTGAATCCCTTCATTTACCTCAAATCCAGTGAGCAACAACTCCAGCATTAGCAAGGCTGTCAGGCGGGCAGGAGGCAGCTCATGCAACCACGCTGGAAGAGTGGTGGGCACCTGAAGGCGACGAGATCACCGGCACGCACGGCCTGGGCGATGCTGAAGTATGGGGCCAGGGGCTTGGCGAGGCCGGCGGCGGTGAACTCGCTGTGCTCTGGCACCTCTCCCAGCAGAAGGCGCACCAGCGACAGCCATTTGCTCACCTCCACCCGGAAGCCCACCGCGCTGCTGGGCGCCTGCATACAGTATGCAGCCACATGAAGCATGCAAAAAGCAAGCCCAGAAGACTGCAGAGAGCGCAACCACATTGTTCCAGGGATTGTGCTGTCCATAGAATTTTGTGACGCAGGACAGCATGCGATGGCGTGTCGGGACAGGCAGAAATTGGCAGCACTGCGCGCGACACTGGTAGTGAGGTACGGCACGGACCTTGCGCGAGGCCTGCTGCAGGCAGTCCTTGGCCTCGGTATAGTCGAGCTGGATGGCGCGGATGCGGCCCAGGTAGTATAGGTAGCGGCACAGCTGCTGCGTGCTGCGCGACACCTCTGGGCGCTGCGCCTTGCTGCGCAGCTTCTCAGCCTGGCAGCCACAGGAGATGCGTGAAAATTATGCACACTATCGTCCACTTAAAAGCAGCCTGCTTGGGTGAGGTTCCCTTGCGGGGTGTTTACAGAGAAACTGTTTCACAAGGCAGGCTTCCTGCTGCTGGTTGCGTGATGAAGGCTTTAGAGGGCATGAAGAGCTGACCTGGTCGTAAAGGTTGTAGTGGAGGTAATTCCGCAGCAGCAGGTTGAGCAGCGTCTCTTGTCCATACTCGTCATGCCGCAACACAGCCGTCCGGTGCAGGGCGAGCAAATGGCTGCAACCCCAAAATACTCATCTTTGATTATTTGCACGGCTCTCAGATCCCAACGCAAATACTCCAAATCTGGCCATTGGAATATGATCAACACTGACAGACAAGCACACCTTCGTATGTCTGCGAGGGTGTCTGTGTGCTCATGCACGAGGGAGTAGTAGAAGTACAAGCGCGCAGCCAGCCCATCCAATGTGCGCCTGTTGAAGTCAGCAACCCTAGATATGCCCGCAGTCACAACCTCCTTTGCCTGCAGTGACCACGGAGCATCTCCTCATGCCTGAATGCAGACCATATAGGCACAGGGCAGGCAATGAAGCCATGCCGCAGCAGAAGTAAGCACTGTTCAGGTTTTCTCACTTTGCAAGACGAGCAAAAAGGAAGGCTGGCACAAACCTCTGGATACAACTTCTTGTCCACCAGAAAGGTGACCACCAGCAGGTAGGCATATGTCTCTAACTCTGGAAGGAGCCCAACTGCCGATGAGGCAGCTGCACTTTCAGCTGGCGCATCAGTGCCATCAGTCTCCATCGCGCTAGAGGCCTGCGCATTCATGCGTCATTCAGAAGCTGCACAGCGCATATGCACAAGGGTCGTGGTAATCGGCCCTGTAGCAGGCAATGCTGCAACACTCCAGCTGAACCAGGCCAGGGCGTCTTGAGCAATCTCCTTCAAGATTAGAAAGACCTGGCTTATCAGACACATTTATTTTGGGATGAGCTGCCCAATATTACCTTGTTGAGATGTGTCAGCAGAAGTGAAGTCCCTGGATATCCCCTTGGGAGGACATTCTTGACAAAGTCTGCCAGATTTTCTGCGGTCAGTTGTTTTCTCACTGCTGTTGTCTGCCTCAACAGCCTGCCTACTAGCAATCTTGTCTCCTTAGCACGTACTGCTGATTCTAAAAGAGACACATTGGTTGCAAGCTGGGCGCTGACTGATGGAGGTTGCTCAGCAGTTTCCTTCTTCTCTGTCCGTGCTGCTGTCGAGTCGCTGGGTGCTGCATCTGCGTCTTTCATTTCGATTGCTTTACCCATTCTAAAGCAGATGCTCCTTGAAGGCTGTCAAAGCTTTCGGAAAGGCCTGTGATTGAAAATCTTCTGGAGTCCGATCACAGTTCACAAGGTCAAATTTTTCGTCAGCATGTCTACTGATTTTAACAGGGTGCCTAATAAGTTATCTAACGGCTGACAATCTGCTAAGAACAAGCCATGAAGTTCCCTCAGTGACAATGAAACTGCCTGGCTCATGTAGCCAGATTTGGAACCACGGGTGCCATCATGCCATGTGTGCATGCAAACTGCTGCTGCATGGCTATTGAAGCTAACTTACTAGAGCTAGTCGTCCTGGAACTCCTGCTCCGTTACAGAATTCTTGGCAAGCTCACTTTCTCGAGATTGTACAGTGAGACATTAGTGCCGCTCACACTAGCGAAATACACTGGAATGTCTTGACCCACAGCGCCTTCCACAGCAGACATGACATCCCTCCCTGGAGGCCTTCCTTGGGATATGCACACATGGTACACTGGTGGGTCTGGCCTTGTGCGGCTGAATCTGCTGTTTGGAGCCAACACATCGAGCACCTGGCGGTCAAAACGAAAACAGTCAGCAAGACTGGACTATGTATCATCCGCATTGAATCTCAGGGTGCCACCCAGTGGGCCGAATCCTGCCTAAGGGATCTCACCATCCTTGCTGGAAACTCGTTGAGCTCCTCATATTCGCGGGGGGTACATGCAAAGGGAGTTAAGATGGATCCATCTGCTTCGTCAACCTGGCACCTGCATGGGATCATGTCTTCAGGTGCTCATCCTGCCGACTCCACAAACAAGTCATGCCACATGGGGATGACGGCATCATGCACTCCCAACAAAAAAATTACCTTGACGTTTCAGCTTGGCATTCGGTTGTTTGCGGCCACCATGACCTCTGATTCTGCTGCATGAAAAACAGGCCAGGGCGTCAGGAGAATTGGCATCAGGGCACTGCTTGCAAAGTTGACCATCTGACGAAATTGCTCCTAAGAATCTTCAGCACCTGCAAATGGCTTCCCTTCTCGCTGATGTTCTCAGGTGCCTTGTTGGCTTCCACAGAGCGGCACATGAGTGAGGGCGGTACTGCCCTTGAATCCTGCAAAAGAAAAATCACAGCAGAAAATCTCAGATCTCTAACACCCGTGAAGGGTAGGGAAAGCCTTAATGATTCACAGAGCTGTCTGATAGGCATCATTGCCCTAAACCTGAGAATTGGAGGTCCCCTCTCCTTCCGTCTTCTGCAAGGGATGGCATTCGCCAGTGGTGCCACTCAGTTGCCATATACTGTTGGGATCCTCCTCAGGCATCAATATCCAATGCGCTGGGTGCCTGCATAATGCTTCCCCATCTATAGAAGTTCCTCGTCAAGGAAGCACGATGTCTGTGCTGGGAGATGCAGGTCCAAGGTACGAAACACAGCTGTTGCATTTTGGAAGCAAGGGCACGCATGGGAGTTGGGACACACAACCTCCTGACAATCAAGCTCGCCTGCATCAAATGTGCATAAATAGCATAGAAATCCGCCCCAATCCCGATGCTAGCCTGCAGTCACCCAGATGCCACTAGGATTGCATAGAGACGTGCATTGTATACAGAGCTGCATTTCATCAAGGGTAGATGCAGTATGGCTGAAAGGAACACCACAAAACAGTTTTAGCGCTGGAGGTATGTGTCACCATGAGATCCCTGGCGCTTTGCGCAGACAAAACTTGCCGCCCTTCGCCAGTGTCAATGAATAGGTTCAATAAATTCCGCTCGATGAGGTACCTGCGATCATGATCAGGACCGTCCTGAAGGTACTGACAGAAAATTTTCGCTACCCCCATCTGGACTTGCTGCGAAGTCACGTCAGTGCCAATTGCCTTTGTTGAAAAGAGGACTCACACAGCTTCTTCAATATGAAGGTAAAGCCGCCCAGCTTGCATGAAACCTGTCCAGACATCTCATGGCTGAGTCATGAGAACTTAAGGCTGGCAAGGGCCATATAGCAGTAGCAACCATTGGCATGGACCCTGAGGATCCCCTCGATTACATACCCATCCTCATCAGCAACTTTCCTCGTTGAATGAGGACCTGGGCAAGAGCCCCTTCCGGTTGCCACAGAGCATCAGAGGCTGACGAACTCCTGCATCACATGCATCGGTCGCTTTGCTACGTTTTGGAAAATTCTTTGGTCAATCAAGGTATCTGCCATTTCAATAGACCGAAACTCACCCACCACCTGCCTCCTTGCTTTCCATGTTGGTGCACGTAAACTTGCCAGTTGAAGCGTTTCAGCTCTAGAAATGAAGTACACGACTCTGCGTAAACTTTGCACTAGTCATGCATTTGTAAACTCTGGCAGAAGATGATTGTTTACACGAGAGAAACTTGTTTGGCGAGGATTGTAGTAATTCTAATGCGCACACCCGCCCGTCCAATTAAGCAGTGCACCAACAACAATCATTCAAAAGAAAAGAAATAAGATTGGAAAGGAAACAGACATCGATCACCTCCAGATCACGCTTGGATCAGTCTTTATTCTGCACTTGCCTGATTTAGCTTCGGCTATTTTTAGAAGGTACACTGGTCGATCTACGACGCGATTTGGCCACCAGCCCTGTCCTGATACATCGTACAAATTGCGAACTGAATGTAATAGCTCAACGTCTGGGCATGTACTGTTGTCATTTGTGAATTTGTTTATTTTCTGCCTCTGGGATGCCTTTTCTTGGACAGCTTCAACTTGAGACAAACCGCGATCTCAAAACCAGATCGGACCTGAGCACCTTGATCTTATCAAACTGCGACTTCCTACAGCATTCATCCATCTTTCAACCATGAAAAGCAGCACGCTATCCTTCAATGAAAATTTCTGACGCCCCAGGCAAGAGATTTTCTAGACCACATTTCATCTCTTGATGAAACCTCAAAACCAGTTTCTGCGACTTATTTCTGACTCTGTGTCAATGTGCAGGCGATGGGCAACAAGCCATGCCTCAAGGACCTGTCGATCTAGCAGGCCTGAGACCAGAAGAACTCACTGAACTACTGCAGGCGCTGACGCCTCAACCATCCACATTATCCCTTGGGGAAACAGCAGAACCCCTGATGTCCAATCGGGTGTATGATGAGGCCACGCTGCTGCAAGCCATGGCCTTGGCAAACGCGGCTGCTTTACAGCACCAGAGCAGCGATGCTCAGATGGACATGCCACAGCTCTTTCCAGCCCTGTCAACAATGTCGCAGGCAGCACTGCTTGACTTGTTACAGCGCAGCACCTCTCAGGTGCAGCGTGTTCCTAGCACTCCATCAATTACTGAGGCTTCTGATTGTCGCAGTGCAAATGGCAACAGCCCTGACGCAGCTAACTAAAAGTATAAATCATTGTACCTCACCAGTAACTTGCTGTTCATGACGGTCTTGCTCCTGTAGGTGCCTGACACACCAGAGCCCCAGCCCGAACCGAGTCCTGCTTCATTTCAAACGCCGCCACCTGTGCAGCCGACGGCCGCAAGCAGCACTGAAGCTGCCTCTGCAAGGCCAGGAGCGCCTCGCAACAGGAAGCAGGAGCGCACTGCAGAGACATTCAGGAGGGGCTGCGCTCGACTGCGCACTATCCAGGTGACAGCAGATACAAAAAGCATAATAATAGCAATGCTGTCCTCCTTTTTGTGAGAAGAGGCCTCTTTGAAAGTGTTTGAGAGCTGAGCTTTTGCATGCATGGCGACAGGAAACGGAGCAGGGAAGACTTTTTGCCAGTAGAAGCCAGTGGCATGACTTCCGGTCCGCCCTGAAGCAGAGCCTGTCAATCCTGGGCAGGCTGCTGTCCCTGTGGAAGACTTCCATCCAAACTGTGGAGGCCAAGCATGGTGTGCTGACTTGCAAAATGCTCAGCTGAATATTAGATCCAGAAATAGAGGTGAATGTTCCGCAGAAAATGGCAAGTGATGTTGAAAGTCGTGACCTTGGTTTGTATGTGCAGGCTCAAATGTGTCACTGACGCTGTACTTCTTGCGATTTGCTCTGGGAATAAACGCTGCTCTCTGTCTCTTTTGGCTGGGCGGCACTGTCATTCCTTTCATGATCAGTCCACCACCAACATTCTCGTGGTCCTACTTCAAAACATACCGACCACTTGATCTCCTGCAAGGCTACGGCTTGCACAACACATTTTTGCTGTATGGTGAGCTTTTGGCACCTCGTTTGGTATAATCCTTTGCCAATGGTCACGCACAATGCAAGAGTTCAATTATCAAGTGTTTGAACCTCTGCAGGCGGGTATAATTATGGTGACAACATTGGAGGCAAAGGCGACTTTCGTCTGGACCTGAGCTTCCCACTTGAGATTGTGGCAGCCTTCTTCTTCAGCCTCGTTATGCTGCTGACCACCATCCACAAGAGACTGCAGGTAAAATAATTGACTTTGGTGTGAGCACTGAGTGCTCACTGTGTTGCATGCGCAGAGTTGCATCGGGGATTTCCTCTCAAGCAGCATTGTCTGGTGCAATTTTTGAAGCCGCGTGTGCAGGGTGCAGGCGATGGGGCATTTGTCGGCCAAAACAAGCTCTTCCCATTCTCCACTGTTGTGTTCACTTCCTGGGACTATCACCTGACAGATGCAAAGGCTGCGCGCAACCTGCGCAATTCCATCCGCAACCAGCTCGCTGAGATGGTCTTTGATGCCCAGCTGGCAGATGCTTACATCTCCAAGTCCACAAGGATCACCTCCATCATGCTGAAGGCAAGGCTTGTGTTTCTTTCCCCATGACAAAAGAGATTGATTTGGGTCCAGCACTGCAAAATGTATGGCTGGTTTGTAGGGTATTGTCGCCTATCCCTGCTTCAACTTTTAGATGCCGGTAAAGCATGTGATCTTTGCACCCCTGCATCGTGTTTGCTGACATGTGTGTCTGTGCAGGCATTTGGCCTGGTCATCGTGTGGCCTGTGATGGTCGGGGGCACAGCCATAGCAGTGTATTTGATCATCACAAACCAAGACGCCATTGCTCGCTACTTGGGGTTTGGGTTTGCCAGCACAGTCATGCTGTCACTGGTCACTGTCATCAGCCAGATGCTCGTGCACATGACAGTTGTGGCTGAAAACTGGCATCCCCGCCAGAGGACTAACGTGAGCACTTGTGCACAGCATTCCCTTCTGTGCAACTCATGTGTGGAAGCCATAGAATTACTTTAGCTGATCAGGATGGGTGTGAGGAAAGGCAGCGCTGATTTAATTGGTGTATCATTTTTGACTTGGGGAAGTTCTCTTTGGCACAGGTAGAGGCACTCAAGCTTCTGTCTATCAAGCTGATCAACACAGCCACTCTAGTTTACCAATTATATAGAATACAGACCAGTGTCTCAGGGGAGACCACAAGCACTGCAAAGGACGCCAGCACTTTCCAGGTGATGTTTCTCTTCTATTCGTGCGTTTTAATTACTTGGGTCATTCTCAAATCCTGGTCCATTCAGACCTGGCGTGCATGTGGTGAGATCACAGCTTTCCTTGCCCCCACAGACGTGCAATCTTGGCCTAGGGCGAGTGCAGGCAGATGCTTCCTGCAGCAAAGGCTACCTTTGTTGTGATGCAAGTTGTGCGGCGGCTGTTGTGCAGCCAACATTTGAGGTCCGCCTTTCTGCCTGAGTCATGAGGCTCAGCATAAACCCATGCAGTAGTGATGAGCCACCCATGAAAATCTTGATTGGCATGTTTGTGGGATCATTCTACTGACAGAAGGGTGCATTGTATGGCAGAGCCATTGCGTCCCAGGATGTGCGGAGAACTTGATTGGTCTAATCTTCTACAGGCTGGTGTTGACCAACATGGCAACGCTGAACCTGGTGGACGTTCTGATGGCGTGCATGTATCGCTTGCTTGGAATGGCTGTGACCTTTGACCCTCCAGCGGCAAGTTCCTTTTGTGATATCCAACAGCTCTGAAGTTTTGCATGATAGATGTATGTTCCATGTATGGCATGGGAGAGGCTCCTTGTACCCATTCTCCTTCATTGTAAAATATCACTTTACACATATGTTTTAAGACTGTTTGGTGGATGCTGCAGGTGGTCATTCAGATAATCGATACCGAGGTGCTCGTCTGGCTAGGCAGCATGTATGCGCCTCTGTTGCCATTCTTTGGCCTGGTGTCCAACATCGTCCTGTTCAACACAAAGAAGTTCCTGTCGCTGTACCTGTACACACCGCCAAAGGAGCGCTACTCAGCCTCGCGCACAAATGTGCTGGTCTACACCCTCATGCTGGGTATGTTAATCCCTTTTAGATAGGGGCATGCCGCCTTACTGATGCATGTCCAATGCACCTCACTATAGTGCTCACGTTGTGGAGGCAAAGAGGGGCATGCTGAGGTTGGGATGCTGTGACTACGCAGGTATCTTGACAGCTTGCAGCGTTCCCATGGTTTTCAACCTTCAGTATGGGCGCAAATACTGCGGCCCTCACCAGGGCATAAGCCAGACCAGTGCACTCAGCACTGCAGTCAGTCACGGACCTAGGTAGGAAGCCCATGGAAGTAAAGATCAGCATATGAGCAAGAGAACCACTTCCTGCCACACGCTTTAGGCATCAGTTCCAAAAAAGTTGACAACGCCTTCTTTCTTTGGTTGCAGGGTGCTCAACAATATTCTCACGTGGGCTATCTCTCCATTTGTGCTGGGGGGTCTGTGTGTTGTGTTGGGCTTCTTTCTTTTAGTGACTCAGGGACAGCGCTCCCACTTCAAAAAAGACAAGGAGCACCTCCGTTTGGAGTTTGAGCAGTATCGTCACCAGATGCAAGCAAAGGTATTACAGCATGCATGCGTTTCTATCCATCAGCTGCTCAAAAGTTGCCACCTTGCAACAGGCTGTAAGCTTGCAGGATCAAGTTGTGCCAGCAGGAACCTACAGTTTGTCTGCCTTCTGACAGGTGCTCATTGCAAGGAAGCTTAAAGGCAGGTCCTTGTCAATAGTATCTCAGACTAGCTCAGAAGGATCGAAAGACATGCGGATCACCGCCGCAGTTTATGTTGGAGCGTTCAGGGCCATCACGGCCTGTGTCCCATTTGGCCAGCAGTTCAAGTGATGCTGCGCATCTCAACAAAGCATCCAAGCAACCACATGTCTAGAACAGTGATTGTAAGGCTTGGCAAGTTACAATGGGCAGCTTTTCCAGGTGTTCACCTGTTGCAAGTCATTGCTATCAAGTACACCACACAACATCATACACCTTCAGGGTAGTCGGGCTCCTGCTTGTTTTGTTCCTGGAGCATTCTCAAGACAGCGCTTCTGAGGTCGTCCAGACCGCTCTCTGTCACAGAAGAGACCCAGATTGCCTGAGACAGTGCTGCAGCAATGGTAGGGGCATCAAGGCCCTGCTTGCCTCTGTCATTCCAGCTGAACTTTGCCGCTGTTTCTGATGCCTCCATCAGACTGGACGCCTCTCTGTCTGCATTCCTGACCCTTTCATGACTCTCCAGATCGGCTACCACCTGCGACCCGCCCTCCCCTGCACCAAAACCTCTTAAATCAGACAGATCTTCTCTGATCGTATCCCCAGCGCACTGCACATTCAGTCCGCCGTGGCACACTTCCAGCACACCACACACTCAGGCAGCAATTGCGAGACCTCTCCGAGCCGCACCTTCTTCAAGCAACTCATTGCCAGCACCGGCATCGCTGTCAACAGCAGAGCCAGTCGCGCCAAGCGTTTGCGGCTGCTCTGTTGCTGCAGCCCCCTGCGCCTGCGCGTGCACGTCCTGCAGCAGGTCCTGCTTGGTAAAAACGTCCAGCCAGGGCTTGTTGGGGAAGCGCGCTCTCAGGTCGGCCCGGATCTGCCACTGCGTGGCCGGGCTGGTGCCGCACTGCCCCGTCAGGTCAATGACGAACAGCACTGAGGTGGGCAGGAAGGCCATGCACGACACCGTCAGCCGCTCCATCGCGTTGCGATCCTCCTCTGCCCTGTTCAGCAGCCCTGGCGTGTCCGTCACCTGCGAGGGCACCCACATCTCCATGTTACCTTGTCCTTGAAGCCTCACCTGGGCTTTGTACCAAGTTGACTTGCACAGTCCCTGAGACATGCGTTCTCCTGAGAGCTTCCGATTAAAACCACTGGCCACATTGAGTCCAAAGAAATGGTGAAATCTGCTTCCATCCTACCAGTAATCTGCATGTCAAGAGCATTTTATGAGTATGTGGAAGAATGATAAGTATGTATGGGGACGTGGGCACCTGGTGGCGGCGGCCGTCCACATAGAAGTGCCCCATTTTGATGCTGCGCGTGGTGAAGGGGTAGTCGCATATCTCGGGCTGCCCCGACGACAGAATCTGCACCAGCGAAGACTTGCCCACATTTGGCGCCCCCACCAGTGCAACCTGCACCAACGCAAGCACCGTCATCATGAGAATGAAGTTCCGGGGCTACTGTAATCTTGTGCAGATGCTGACTGCATGTGCATTATAGCAGTGGCGGAGGCTTACTGTGGGCAGCATGAGGTCCACGACAGGCAGCCTGCGCAGCTGTTTCGCCATGTCTTTGAGGCCGTCCACCGCTGTGGCGCCCTTCTTGTACACGGCCGCCACATTCTCAAACCCCTCCACCCCCAGCGCTTCTGCCTCCTTCTTGTTGGCAGCCTTGCCTGCCCTGGCCGCGTACGCCTTCCCCACCTGCAAAGCACCCATCTTCAATTCACCTGCATTCCTCTTCGTGACATGGACCACGCAACTGGCAAATCGGCAAGTGTACAGAACGATGGGAAGCTGTGATGAGGGCTAAATTTTCAAGCAGAGAAGGCCATGTGACGGTGTGCTAATTTTCCAATTTGTGTGAAAAGAAAATGTTTGTACCTGGACAGCAGACTGGCGCAGGCTGGTCAAGCGCGCCAGCCGTTTCTCATACAGCTCCAAGCCGATTGTCAGATCCAGCAGTGCTCTCTCAAAGGGGTGCAGCCGCTCAGCAGCTGGGAATCCCTTGACACAGGCACCCAGCGGCGTGCTGATGGCCTTCACAAGCTCTGCACCAGCAGATCCCATGTCATGTGTCCCGCCTCCGTGGGCCCAGCATCACTTCCACGATCTCTTAGCGCTAATTCAGATGACCTGCTGGGCAGCCGCCTCACCATCCATCTGGCGAGCAGTTTTGTTTCGCGCTCGCGCGGCCTCATTCTTGAGCTTGGTATTGGGTCCAATGCGGCCGGCGCGCTTCAGGGCGCTGGCTAGGTGCTCGTCAGATGTTGGGACAATCGGAATTGATTGGAAAGCACCCGTCGCATTCCTCCTACCCTGTCACCCAATCCACACCAACAGTGGTCATGCCAGGATCACAGGAGCAGCGGCAAGATGAGAGAAAAAGCCCGTGTATGGCATGTCACTACTTACAATCCTTGGCTTTGAGTCTGTAGGGGCTGCTTGGCTGTCTTCATCTGCAGCAAACTCCAACACAGCTTCCTCTGATAGACCGACAGCCCGCTTGATGAGACCAGGGCTTCTGGTAGTCCATGCCCTTGAATCTGAAAGTCTTCTAATAGGCTCTACGGATTGAAACGGCAATCCTCTGACCTGTCCAAGAGCTGATCTGAGGCACCTGTTTCACAGAGAGAAGAGAGTTAGAGTCTCAGGCTGAGATATATCAATGTCGAAACTGTTGCCTCTAGTTCTCGTCACCGCTAACGACATTGTCTTGCCTGGTGAGGTGAACGTTGTTCCGATAACAAGTGCAACTGCCCTGGAGCAGCAGCATCAAGGAATACTATTGGTCAGTTATGATAGACCATCAAAGGCTGCAGCTTCTGCCCATGATGTGACTAAAGTCTTCTTGATGCAGAAGGAAAGGACAGATCTTAGTATGCCTGATCCACAGCGCCCAAGAAGCGTAGTTTCATTCGGAAAGGAGGCTTTCGGAAATTCCGACAGCTGTGATGACTGATCAGTCGCAGCTTCCAAGGCTTTGTTTTACTCACGGCTGCAAGACTGTTTCAAGATGTGGAAAAGGGGCCTGTAGACGTTTCAATATTTGCTATCTTTGGAATCACGACAGCAATTTCGCTTTTGTCCGTTGGGCGATGGTGGCATCATGTCTACCTTTTCTAGTCACCACACATTTTCTCATTCACTTGTTTGAATCAGATCGCTGAGATGAATTAAAATATGTCTATTGTAGCAGATCAGCAGGGCTTATACAATTCACCAGCATTTCCCAACAGCATTCAATGGTCTGAAGACAATCTTCTTGCCGTTGCCTCTGGGCACAGTGTGGTCATTCTTGACCCATGTGATCTCTCAGGTCCACGAATGTTTGTTGGCAACGACTTGGCATCTTCATCGATTTCAGGTTGCCAAGGTATAGACAGTCCAAGAAATGAGAAATGTGACTCACCAACCTCGCCTGGACATTGCATTTTTTGTTTTTGTTCTACTTCTGATCATATCAATCTTTCTTGACTTTTTCTTATGCGCGGCCTGTCGTCAGAAGGGCTTAACGAAGCTCAAGACAGCCTCCACAGCCAGCTCAGCAAAGTGCAAGATGCCAGCGTTAGTGGCACCTTCAAGCACGATGCAAAGATTTGTTCAGTGGCCTGGTCGCCAGCAGCTGCATGTTCTGCAAATGCCTGTCTCCTCACCACAGTGGACACCGACAGCAAGGTGCAAAGCATTTGCAGATGTCTGCCCTCACGGCTAGTATTTGCTTGATTGAAGGAGGAATTTCCCTTGAACCGAACATCAGTAAAGTCTCAAGCAAAGCTCATGCGCAGGTGAACATCTTTCAGCCGCCAGCTCATCTGCAGAATGAGTGGGTCCTTGCCAGCGACTTAACGGGAAAATTGCTGACCTACATGCACAGCACAGGCTGGAAGGTATTGCTGCATTCAAAGCTTCTGTTGTTCTTGATGGTTCCCACATGCATGCTGACAAGATGCCCTTTCGTAATTGTAGACACGCAGCACACCAGCTGAGAGAAGATTACCGCTTGTGCAGGAAGCAACAGCGGAGAAGCCTGGTGCCGTGGTGGGGGCAGCCCCGTTGGAGGAGCCTGCTATGATCAGGCTCAGGGGAGGTGGCCGCCCCAGAAAGCGGCCGAGGAGTCCTGTTGAGGAGCGGGCCAACTCAAATGCTCAGGCCTCCACCTCTGCAGTTTCTACATCACAGCCCCTGTTCAAGCCCGGAGATCACGTTGAGGTGCAGCCTGTGCATCATCCTGTATCGAGACACAAACTCAAACCAACTTGATGTGCTCACGCAGAGGTGTTGTGCATCGCGCTGGCTTGTGGGGTGGAGGTTCCCCTTTCAGCTATTGGTCTCAATATATTGACCGTTGGTTAAGCTGTGGCACCAATGAAGCTTTTTGGCTGCAGGTGACCAATGACGAGGCTGGGCTGCGGGGCTGCTGGTTCCCGGCGGCTGTGCAGCAGGTGGAGCGGGGCCTTGTCTTGGTGGCCTACGATGAGGTCGATGACGAGGACACAGGGGACGCGCTGCAGGAGTGGTTCCCTGCACCAGGAGCCCCGGCATATCTGCAAGCTTTGGCCAGCAACTTCAAAGCCCACACAGCCCCAGGCTACCTCATCCGGCCTCAGCCACCTGACAATGTAAGCAGCCTTTGCTCTGCTCTCCATTTTGTGCGATCACGAGGATCCTGCCTCGTGCATGGCGTAGAGGACATTGTTATGTTCTGGTCATGGAAATTATGGTACAGGTTGCGGAGAGGGGCAAGCGGCGTGATGTGGGGGAGACGATCGACGTGTACTTGGATGGCGGCTGGTGGGAAGCGACGGTGAAGCGTAGCTCGGGCAATGACGGCTCTGTCATTGCTCAAGTGGGTCTTGCAGAGCATGACGTCAGCTGTGCTGACATCAGAAGGAGGCTGTCATGGACCTCTGGCGGCTGGTCTCGTGGTATGCCCTCTGGCACTCCTGGTGCGAACATCAGACTTGAACACCCTTCTGTTTGTCCCTTGAGGTATTGTCCGTTACCGATGAACTGAGAAGAATTTCATCAATTCGGGTGTGCGGGGACTGCAGGGCGGGAGACAGGCATTGCGGAGGACAGCACGCCGCAGAGGAAGAGGCAGAAGGACTCCGCTTCTCAATGTATACCACCATCCTTTTGCATGGCTTTCTCTCTTTTTCTTGGGACCAAGCATATGGCTCACCGCAGTCAAAGAATGGGCGCATCAGGCTGCACCATGATGACGGATGCATGCACAGGTACTCCAGCTGCCTCCCAGGCAGGCACGGCACAGATCTACCGCATTCCGGAGGGCTTCTCTGCAGCAGACCTGCCGGCAGTGGACACGTCTTCTGGCGCCAGAGCGCATGGCACAATTGTCGCAGCTTTCAAGCAGCGGTTTTTGGATCTCCGCAAGCAGGTACATCTACAGCCCTTCTTGGCAAGCGCGGCAAACAACAAGGACAAGTGGTTCAACATGTCCTTGACTCATACCAGGAGCACGTGCTTGGCTCGCTGCTAATCCTTCCATATTTCTTACCCAACACCGAGCCAGAACATTTGTCCCACACTTGTCACTTTGCACTCTTTTTGCAGCTGTGCTGTGTTGCAACAGGTCTGCGTGAGTATGCTTGGGATAGGCATTCCCCTTCAATGCTTACTGCTCGCACTTCTAAACAATTGCTGTTGCACAGATTGAAAACCCTCCTTCGTATGAGAAGGGCGAGCAACTGGCAGAGGTGGATCAGCAGCTCTTGGAGCGCGTGAAGGCCGAGTTCCTGGCAGTGCACGGGAAGAAGCTGAAGAGGCTGCGCAAGAACCCAGATACTGCCATGCTGGCAGGGACAAGGCTGGTGCAGGCGCAGATTCTGGGAAATGTGGAAGATGAGGACGCGTTAGGCACCTTCGCCCCTGTCTACACAGTCCCCCAGGCAAGCACTTATCATGCCACTTGGCAGCTTTTGCACAGCATTGCAGATAACATGGAAGTTATCCTGGCAGCGAATGAGAATCACTGCATGTTTGCCTTCAAAATTTATTAAGCTGAGTGTGATGCACTAGTGTGAGCTTGTATCATGTGACACAGGACTTTGACGCCAGCGTCTTGAAACCCATCGCAACTGACAAGATCGGCAATGCAAAGATCAGCATTGCCATTGCCTTTGGGCAGCGATTCCTCGACCTTCGACAGCTGGTGTGCCCACACAGAACCTTCCTTTGCCTTCTCTGCATTTCCTTGCAAGATTGCTTTCACTCATCACGTTCCTTGATTTTTTTCTCTCCTGCAGGTGCCCGAGAGTGAGCTGCCGTCCTACAAGGCGAGGGAGCACCTGAAAGGCACTGATGCTGCACTGGTGGAGCGTGTGAAAGCAGAAGTGCTGGCTGTGTATGGCAAGAAGTTGGCAGGCATGGGCATAACGCCCAAGCATGTCCTGATGGAAGGGCGCAGAGGGTAAGTGCTGGCTTCATGCTTATCCCGCTGTGAGGTTTGCCACGGCTAGCAATGGCTCAACACTGTCCTTCCATGTCAGCTTCAACATGAGTAGGTGCCGGGGTCCTGTGCATGGCATGATGTGTTTGTTTGCTGCCCTTGCAGGATCAGGGCGGTGTGGGATCCTGTCACGGGAGAGGTGGTGAACAACGGTAAGAACTTGAAGTATCAGCAGATGAAGAGGCAACTCCAGGATACTCCGACGCCTTCCCAGGAACATGCAGCAACCGGCCATGAAGCAGGTGATTTGGGGTGTCTTACCTTGGTCTATTGATAGATCTAGTAATTGAGAGTCAACATTTTGCTGCATTGTGACTAAACTCTTGCTTTGATTTGGTGTCTGATTTTTGGACACTGCGTTGTGTCTTGAAGGAAACCCTTGATGCTGCAACAGGTGGGCAGCAGGCGCAGGGAAGAGCCAATGCTGGGCAAGAATGGGCAATCACTGTTGATCCAAATGAACCATACAAGGCATGTGATCTTCTCATGTCAAATCCCGCTCGGCCATTGTTCAGACACAGCAGTATATGAGTATTGGGTTTCTTTCTAACTGTGCTGAATTTATTCCCCACTGTGGTTTGTCCTGCAGGTGCCTGCGGACTTTGATGCAGCTGCCTGCCTGCCTGGCGCGGACAGCACCAACAAGAAGCGGATCATTGCCACATTCCCCCTTGTCTTCCTGCTCAGATGGCTGGCATTGCGCGCTGAGGTGAGCTCCACATGCACGAAATTTGTCTTCATGAACATTCTGTTTCAATCCAGGATGTTCTGCTGATGTTGGCTGTGCGCAGATTCCTGAGGAAGAACAGGAGAAGTACGAGAAGGGGCAGCACTTGCGAGGCAGGGATGCAGAGATTGCAGACCAAGTCTGCGCAGAGATGGTGTGCTCATCCTTCTTTTTCGTCTCACTCCTATTGGTTTTCATCATTTCTCAGTTCTGCTTGGTCAATTGATAGGATCCACTGTGCCTTGTGCTGCTATTTGCTTCAAATTCTCCTGACGCTGTGCAGATGTCAGCTTTCAAGGAGCCGTTGACGGGGGCGGGCTTGACAGAGAAGTGGCTGATGAGAGAGGGCAAGGTCCAGATCAGGCTGAATGCTGTGCGCACGCGCCTGAAAGGAGCACTCCCTGATGCAGCCGCGGCTAAGCAAGCCGCTGACATCGCTGCACTGCAGCAGCGCATCAGCGCAGTCGTGCAGAAGCAGGCTTTCCTGGAGGGGATGCCGGGAATTCCTGGTGCGCATGCATGCAACCTATTGCGTTCTGTTCTCAGCTTAGTACATTGTGGTGCTTGAGCACGGTGTGGGCTGCCCTCCACAGACCCCTTTCCCCGGCCGAGGAGGGTTTCAAGTGCAGCTGGGGCCCAGGCGCCATCAGTGCCATCCTTCACAGAAGAATATGAACGGCGGCTCTTCTCCATCTCTGCTCTGCAGGTTTGCAGCTCCTCCAGAAACAGAGGTTGCATTGCCTGAAAATGGCTGTGAAATCAGATTGGAGGCTGCTGAAAACTCCACGAGGGGATCACTCAGAAGACGTGAGGGGATTGCTTGTGCAGGTGGCATGGTCACCTGTTTGCGTCACTGGGGGGGCCAATGCTGCGAGGTTCTCGATCCTGGCAGTGGGCACAAAGTCTGGAAGGGTGTGGTTGTGGCGCTACAGAATGCCCGAGAGCTTCTCACTCAAGGAGGCGAGTGACCTGGTGGATCACAGCTTCAGCTTGGTGAGTTCTTAATTCTTGCTGAGTAAAAAAAATAACCTGGAAATTCTTGAAATGTGAAAATCGACGTTCTGCGATTTTGAGCACACGACGACTGTTGTGTTCAACGTTTTGTGCTGCTGTTGGTGAAGCTTGTAGTGCCAAAAAAAGCAGCCATGATGACATGGGTGAAAAGGTATGGTTTGCGCAGGTGGGCTCCTTTGTGGCGCATGCTGGCTGGGTGACAGCGCTGGCCTGGTGCGCTGTCGGCGATTACCTGGTCCTGGCAACAGGGTGCTCCGAGGGCTCTGTGCGGCTCTACACCGCTGCGCAGGCCGCACTTGCTGACCTGCCCGACATCCTGCCAGCGCCCACCCCAGAAGACCAGGCCCCAACAGCCACAGAGCCTCAGACAGGCGGAGATGCCAGGGGTGCATCTGAGCAAATATCAAGCACAGCGACATTGCAGACAAATGCAGCGACAGCTGGAGGCAGTAATGGAGCAGCAGATGGAGCCCGGCCGCCCGCCATGCAGCTAATGGCTGTGCTCGTGACGGCAGACTTGCGCGGCGTGACATGCATCGACTTGCGCCTCAGATCAAACAGCAGCACAGGTGAGAACCTGTAGCCTGGAGTGTCTGCACAACGCTGCACTTGCAAGTTTATCAGAGCTGCACTGCAAGGTATTTAGAAGCTCACGCTTGACAGTGGTTGTCGGTTGTCATTGTGCAGGAGCATCCACGCTGTGCCTGGCAGCTGGCAAGGCTGCGGGCATGGTGGCAGTGTGGGAGAGCGGCCCTCTGGCGAAGGACTCCTGTGGAGCCCCTTGCGCCAGCCAGCAGCGCGCCTACAGCAACAAGGCACATGGCTCCATGGCAGTCACCGGTGTCTCATGGGCACGCTGCTGTCCATCTCCCCTGCATGTGCCTGGGAGCTCCCAGGATGGCCAGGCACTGCTGTGCACGACCGGGCTGGATGGTGGTGTCAAAGCATGGCGATGGCAAAAGGATCAGGTGATGCCAAGAATGGGCCCTGCCTATCAAGTGCCTCTCTCTGCCCATCTCAATGGATCACGTCAAAGGCAGTGCAACATGGTCTGAATGACGCTGAGCCTGTTAATGCAATGTGTGCAGTTGATGGAAGTGGAGCTGCCACAGAGCCTGCATGGCACACCTCCCAGTGCAGAAGCAGGCAGCATACAGACACAGCATCGAACCTTTGGAGTTGCCACGTCAGGCAATGGGTTGTTGGCAGCTGTTGCCCGGGAATCTCCACGGCCCAAAGCTAGTGATGGGTGCGCCAATGCCTCCTTCACTTCACGACACACAACCCATGTCACATCGCAATGACATCCAGTATTTGGGCCTCCTTCTTCTGTCAGGAAGAGGGCACATGGTGCAATGCTGCGATGAAAATGCCAAGGGTGTGGTGGCAGGCCTGAGGACATCTCCAGGAAGCTGTGGCGCGGCTGCGTGCAGCTGCTGCGGCTGCATGGACCTGCAGCTCCGCTGGGCCCCCACCCAGCAGCAGCCCTGTCATGCGTGCCTCCCCTGGTGCACCTGGGTGTGCCGTTCCCTGCAGACAGGCTGTGGGACGCCGCGGCTGCCGTCTCATGCGCAAGCTCGCTGGACGCACAGAGCAGCGGCAGCAGTCAGCTGAAAGTGGAAGCTGCCCAAGCGGTCCAGGCAAGTCCTGCTTCCTATCATTCTGTCTGGTGGATATTCAAGTGGCATCGATTTTGACCTTTCATTTGAGTACACGCTTGTGTTGGGGGTGTTTGCAGGGTCTCTTGTCAGACCTGGAGCGGCCTTTCTCAGCACATGCGCCCTCCAGCAGCCTATCCCCAATTCCCGAAGTGGCCTGGCACGGGCTGCAGCTGTCAAACGCCATCCGACGCCTGCTGCACCCATTACCGTTGCAGGTGGCCCACATTTATTCTTTCTGAGTGCCAGACATCACTCACACCATCTGTTCTCTTGACGGAAACTCCTGGAGATTAAGGCGTTTGCTGCAGCATGCTGAACATGAGTGTGCTGCAGGGAGCCACAAACAGCCTTCGCAACGGCAGCAGCTCTTGCCTCTGCCGGCCAGCTCTGGATACTGGCCCTGAGTGGGATGCTGCTCTTGAGCACAACGAGCTGGCGCTGTTACAGCGCCATGTGCTCAGCTGCCTGTCTGACTCAGACAGCCTGGAAGGCAGTGGGACTGGGCCTGATGGGTCGCTGCAGGTCATGCTGGCTTGGGTCAAGGCAAATGCTCAGGACCTGCATCCTGAGTTGCTGAGCATCTGTGAAGGTGCGAGCAGCTGCCCATGACGGTGTTTGTTGGGACATTCAATTATGGCTTCTCGGTGTCCATCTGTATTTATGGATCCATGCAGCATCACAGGTTCAGCAAACAATGTATTGTGCCTGCAGGAGCATCGGCCAGCACCCATGCTGAGGAGAACCCTCTCCGGAGTTCAGAGCTTGTTATGACTGGGGGGCCTCTGCAGTCAGCGAGGGCAGCTGAGGCAGACATTGGGGTGCGACTCTGTCCCCCATGTACCACTCCTGACTACCCTCATGCTATGTACCTGATATCCCTGCCATGCTATTTGTTCTCTGGCGGTGATGATCACAAATCTGTGCAGACTGATTTGTGCAGCTCCCAGACCATGTGCTGGCATGACGCTGTGCGTTTTTGACGAACAGGGCTGTACGGTCAGCTTGCAGCGTTGTGCGGCGAGCTTGCGGCTGTGCGAGGGAAGCCCGCCGTGGCTCTGCCTCCTGTGCAGGCGCACATACAGCTCCAGCAAGGCTTTCCAGCATGTGCCCACTTGCCTGTATTGTGGGGTGGCGCTTGGGCCATGCCTCCCACCAATGTTTCTGCACTGGCCTGGTTCGCAGTGAGTTACTACTGACTTTGACTCTGCGGTTGAGTGCTCCAAATGAGATTCAAATATGTTATTGTACAGGCAGGCGTATCCCCAAAGAGGTGGATCTGAATATTGGGCTCTTTAAAAGTTTGAGCAAAATTTTGCCTAAGCATTGTACAACATGTATTTAAAATTTCCATGGTGAAGATCCTCTTAAGACTCTTGGTCGGACCTTGCAAGGTGGAAAGTACAGATATCCATCAAGCTTATATATAGCATTGGCGCGTCAATAATCAACGATATTTAGAGCTGTACATCCATTTGCAGCCCACATACCGTTCAGAACGAGTCATTACAAGTGATCATTTCTCATTTGTGATAATTTCAATCATTGTACAGGATCTTGATGGTCCTTTGATCCCACACAATTATACATGTGGGTCGGGCAAAAATCTGTCATTTGCAGCTCTGCTGACAGGGCCCGACCCTGTCACCACCCAAAGCTGTGACCAGAACTCCGGATCCGGTGGTACCATGACCGTCATGGTGACCAAAGGGCACACCTGGGGGCCCAACATAAATGAGAGTTACCAAGACATCAGGAATGCCATTGTGAGGTGTCACAAGCAATTCTCACTTGCACGTGAAAGTGCACTTGACGAAACAGACCGAAACACACCCTTCGAGACCGCTTCAAGCAGGTTCCAAAGGCGTATTCAACACATTTTTTGTCCTAGGATCTTGAGTTTCACACGGTCGCCCACTGGCCAGCACCGTGCACATATGTCCCCATCTCTTCAAGACTTGAGGCAGCCTGGATCAGGCAGGCACTTCACCCGGAAAGAAAAATAGTTCTGTATCTGTTTGCCATGAACTGCAACTGGGCAGCCTTTCCTACGCGGGTTCTGTTCCAACTTGAATTCCTCCTGAATGTTTCCTGGCACACTCCCTCCACTACTCCTGCCGACCAGGCCATACTTCTTCCCTGCATGTCTATGTCTGTTTTTGTACGGTGCTACCGCTGGGTACCGAGCTCACCAAGCAGGCCATTCTCATGGTCCAAGCCATTCACTTCTGGCGGTGGTCTGAAATCGCCAGGGAGAAAGGCAATTTTTGCTTTGATGCTCTTGAGGGTATTGCAGACCTCTCTAATCTCTTGCACAGCCAGCTTGATGTCCCTGGAACACTCTGGGAGTTTGAAGATGGCCAGTATGAGACTGTCCACAACGCTCCACACTTGCCACCCCAGACTCATTGCGGTGGATGTGCTCCGCCTCCATTGCACAGCGGCAGCTGGCCACAAAGCAGCTGCAATGCAGGCAGCTGCCGCAGCAGAACTCAACGATGAACCTGAGACTGAAAGCAGGATGGAGACGATACGCTGCCAATGGCCTGCTATGAGGATGACAGCAGCCAATGTAAGGAGGCTCCACTGCCGCCGCCCAAGCTGTTTCAGCCGCTCTGCGCACCATAAAGACACTGCTATTAGCTAATGCTCAAGGAACCTTGTCAATTCAGAAACAACAGCAACGAATCCACATTTCGTCTATCCCCATCCAACTCGAATGCATGTCTGATATGCCGAAATGGGGGAAGGTCGTTGTTAAATCGGACACCAATTTAATGTATCGTAGCACACTGTGTCCGAAACGCATAATAGGGTTCAAAGCCTCCTAGCACTTTCCGGCACTTCTTACTTCTCGGCCTGTATGCACCAGTAGGACACCTTTAGACGGTCTCTGAGGGGTGATCTCCTCCTCAAAGATTTCGCTGCTGATGGAATCGGCTTCAGTGCTCCTGTCCTCGACCTTGTTGTATGTGTCCGCGGACGAGCATCCAGACGCACTATCCGTCCGGCTGCAGGACCGACGATGCATGCGTTTGGACCATGACTTGATTGCAAGGATTGCCGCTTTGTGCCCAAATCTTCTCCTCGGCGACTTGCTCTCCGTGCTGTCGGCAAGACTCGACTGCATAACCGACTTTACCGAACGTACAACGGAGAGTGTTATTCCGCAGATGAACACTCCACAGCCAATAGCAGGGTACATGCTACCAACATCCTGGAATTGTCAGTCGTGTCCACATGTCTTCAAGATTATTTTGCAAGGACCAAGGATTGAGAGAGAAGAGAAGGGCGCAAGCCCTATTTACAAACCCCCAAATATGTATATCCAAAGTTATGCCCTCGCAATTGTTGACTCATCAGTTGCATGGGAACTTAGAAGCTCACCTCGGCATTCTGAAAGCTTAGCTTTCTCTACGGGGGGCTAGAAAGCAATTTGAGATTATTTCCTAGAATACTGGTGTTCTGTACCAAAGACAAGTATATCAAGGGCCTGAAGAGCTCGCACTCAACAGTCAAGGGAAGAGGCAAAGTCTGCCATGGGGGAAAGTAAGAGCCGGGGAGAGTTGGCAGAGATCAGGACAACATTAGCTTCTCTTGCATCCACATCGGGATCTTCCAAGGGTGAAACGGCTGTCACTGCTAAGCGTGATGTGTTCAAAAAGATCATCAACTACATCACGATCGGCATCGATATGTCCAGCTTATTCATGCAGGTAGTTTCTTTGATCACTTTATTTCCTCTCGTTGCCACACATAAATTCTCTTTGGCAATGAAGTTGGCTGAGATTGGCTTAGTGGGACTGCTGGATTCCCTACTGCACTGTTTGAAGGAGACAAGATGCAGCCTCACTGTGTCATGATTGATTGCAGGTCATGACGTGCGCAGTGTCGAGTGGGGAGGATATTGTGCTTAAGAAGATGTTGTACTTGTATATATGCACATACGCCCAGTCCAACCCTGACCTCACACTGCTCACCATTAACCTCCTCACTAAGGACTGCAAAGACCAGGATCCCACTATCCGCGGTCTTGCTTTGCGCTCTCTGTGTCAACTGAGGGTGGCGAATCTGGTGGAGTACATTGTACGTCCCTACCAACAGCCAGATGGTTTTCACTATGTGTCCAACAAAGAGTCCAAATAAGACTAACAGGTTATTGAGGTCCAAGAGGAATTCAAGTGGCAGTGCTGTTTCGCAGATGTCCCCGATCCAGCAAGGTCTGCAAGATGCACACCCCTACGTCAGACGTACTGCAGTCATGGGAGTGCTGAAGGTGTACCATCTGGACAAAGCAGCGGTCCTCAATGCAGGTAAGCTCGAGCCCTTCCCTTTCTTGGCTCCATCTGTTTTCTCGCTCTTGCTATGACACTCCTTGCACAAATATTTTTAAAAAAAGCCGCGTGGTTATTCGCAGGTATGCTGGACACCTTGCAAGACATCATGGTGCAGGACAAAGACGCCCAGGTTGTGGCAAATTGCATGTCCGTCCTGAAACAGGTATGGTGGCACTCTTCACAAGCCTCTGCAGCAGGCACCCTATAATGCATGCCTCCTCATGTTCTTGACCATGCATGCTTGGTGCCCGCGCAGGCTGGCGCAGCACAGAAGTTGGTGTCACGCTCGCTCGTCATCCCATTGCTGAATCGCATCAAGGTGAGCCAATCGCGGCTGCTCTTTCCAGCCAGAAGGAGCTCCTCATGCTTGCACACATACATCCTTGAAGCCCAGCCACATTGCATGCCAGCATGGCATAAGTATGCTCACAGCAATTGGGAAATCTGACCTGAGATCATTGTGTGGGGCAGGAGTTCTCAGAGTGGGCGCAGTGCCAGGTGCTAGAGGCTGTCAGCGCTTACAAACCGAGCAATGAGCAGGAGGTGTACGATATCATGAACGTCCTGGACGACAGGCTGCTGCACTCCAATTCAGCTGTGGTCATGGCCACTGTCAAGCTGTTCCTGCACCTCACCCTCTCCATGCCCCCCACTCACCAGCAGGTGCCCCCTCTGCCACCCTCTTGAGTTCGTTGGTCTCCCATATGTTATGTCAATGTTGCATCATGACTGGCAGGTGATTGCTCAGCTATGTGCATGGTATTGGCCAGGTCCTGGAGAGGATAAAGGACCCGCTGCAGACTCTCATCTCACGGGATCACTTTGAGACGGCATATGCAGTGCTTGCCCACTTCTTGCTCATTGCACAGCGCGCCCCTGTCCTCTTCTCGCAGGTAGCCTCCTTTGCTGTGCCTAAAACTTCCTTCTAAGTTGCTACCCTTTTTGCGATGCAATGTAGTGAACATTTGCAGCAGTGGCCACGGTGGCAGACCTCTTGGACCCAATCTTGTGAATGTTATGATTGCCTTCCTTGCAGATCTACACAACATTCTTCTGCCGCCAGAATGAGCCCAGCTACATCAAGACGCTCAAGCTTGAGATATTGACAGCCCTGGCGGACGAGACAAACGCATACGAGATCGCCACCGAGCTCACGGAGTATGTCAATGACATAGACGAGCAGCTGGCTCGAGAAGCTGTCAAGGCCGTGGGGCGCATTGCAATAGAGGCAAATTTTCCATCCCTCAGCACCAGTCTTATAGCGCTGTCTTGATGTATTGTCATTTGCCTTTCAGTAATAAAAGATCAATATGCTGTGATGTAACAACTCTAACTGTAGAAGCAGAAGGTGAAAATTGAAATTCCATGCTTTTTGATGCTCAATCGCAGGTGCAGGATGTAGGAGGGATCGTTGAGCGGTTGCTGGGATTCCTGGAGACAGGAAAAGCTTTTGTGACAGCGGAGGCAGTGATCCAGATTAAGGATCTTCTGAGGCGCTATCCCGCCATTGCCGAAGCCTGCCTGGCCTCAGTCTCGTCCATTGCTCCTGAGGTAAGATTGCCTTTCTATCCCTCATGTGTTTTACAATGAAGACTCTTCCTATAATCAGATTGCAAGGACCACAATCACAGGGAAAACCAGTCGACTTCCTGCATTGTGCTTGTCAACACAGGATGTGACAGAACCAGAGGGGCGCGCAGCTTTCATTTGGATCCTCGGAGAGTATGGACACAACATTCAGGCAAGCAGAGACAACACATTCCCTGCCTAATCATCTTGAACAAGGCACTCAGAAAAATTTAAGTGTCCATACTTGATGTGACACATTAAAAGGAGATGCAACACGCTTGCACAGGATGCGCCATATCTTCTGGAGCCTCTTGGCAGCAGCTTTGCGGACGAGCCGGTGCCTGTGAGGCTGGCGCTGCTGGCGGCTGTGGGCAAGCTCTTCTTCAAGCGCCCGCCCGAGTGCCAGCGCCTGTTGGGCACCGTGCTGGCTGCTGCCATGAGCGACGCCAATCAGGACGTCCATGACAGAGCCCTGCTGTACTACAGGTTCACCCCCTGACATCCACCTGATCTGCCTTACATTTGAGATGCCCTGTCTTCCAGTGCATACCGTACATTTTGTATTCTGCTGCAGAGGATTATTTCGGGGACTCACTAATGGCAATTTGTGCTTTTCAGGCTGCTGCAGCAGAGCGTGAGGGAGGCAGAGCGGGTGGTGGGCGCGCCTCTGCCAGCCATCTCCCACTTTGCAGAGGAGCAGAGCCCCGAGCTGCGCGATCGGATCTTTGACGAGTTTAACTCCCTCGCCGTGGTGCTGAAAGCTCCGTCGGCCAATTTTCTACAGGAGTCACCTGTCACAGCCGTTGACGATGTCCTGGAAGGCCCTACGGTGCTTAAAACACCCATTCCTTTGTAGACATGTTATCTCTGTGATTTCCCAGCATTGTTGCAGCTACAGAGTCGAGCCTTACCTCTCATCAAGGCTGCAAAGTGACCGAATGCTTGCGCTAATGCCAGGCGTTGCCAGAGACTCCCAGAGCAGCGGCAGGGGTGGATGAGGGCAGCGCACTGCTGAGCTCGCACGAGCAGGAGGAGGCGCTCATCGACACATCCACCTCCAATGGCAACTCTCCAGGTGTGCCCACCACCGCCCAATGACAGCAGCGCTTCCTCCATGAACGCACAACCCATGCTTCACATACTTTCAAGCTCTCACTTCACTTCCGAGAACTTTCCAACTGAGTCCAACTTCCAACAGTCCACTTCACACTGCACTTTAGTTCCTGCTTTCATTCTCCACTTATCTGACGATGTTACCCCTCCATGCGTGCAGGCCCTTCTCTCATGTCGAGCGCGGCCCCGGCAGCTGCGCCGACAACATCAGCGTCCGCACTGGACGACCTGCTGGGGCTGAGCGACGGAGTCTTTGGCGCACCCGCGGCAGCGCTGCCCGCCCCCACGCCGACACTGTCCCTGGAGCCGCGGCCGGTGCTGACGCCTGCAGCCTTCCAGGCCTCCTGGGGCTCTCTGCAGCCTGCCGCGCGCTTCTCCCACCCGCTGCCCCCCTCCGCGCTGGCTGCCATCGAGGCCAACAACCACCAGGCACGCCCCACTATAACCTAGCTGTTCAAGCGCACATTACAGTATTGCTCGTCAACATGCCTACCATGAAAGCATGTGCATGTCCAAAGTTTTTCCGTTGAGGTGAGAAGCATCTGGACGCATCCAGCATCGCTGAGAAGTCCTGGTGTGGGATGTCTGCAGGACTTTTGCCGCAGAGTTGGGGCGGTGGGCATTGCGACGATGGCCTCGGGCGGGGTGGCGCCCACCTTCAGGTTCTACATGTATGCCAAGCCGACAGGCAGCCCATCCACGGTGCTGCTGGAGGCTATCGTGGACAAGAGCGCTGGAAGCGCGAGTGTGACCCTGAAGTGCGAGGACGCAGCGTTGGTGCAGCAGTTTGGCGAGCTGTTCCGCAGGCAGTTGGATGCCATGGCAGGGTAGCCACAGCTGCCGCTTCTGCTCAGTACTCATGTGCTTTGTATCAAATGCATGACGCCGTTCTGGTCGCCGTGCTCTTCAATTTGTATGGTAGCTGCATTATACCAGACCCTCGGTTTTGTGCACGGGTGCTCCTTATATGAGATGCTATCTTCTGCTTGTGCTTATGAGGTGTCTGGGATATTGTACCTGAGCATGGCAAGATTTGACGCAGCCTGTGCTTTCCAGGGTTGACACCCTCGGCCCGGCATTGCATAGTGGTTGGAGGTTGACCAAGGGAGGCAGCCAAACGGGGCCCACCGGTGGTACCATGATCTAGATTAGTCCTTGTACGTGCAATGGGAATGGCTTTGATCGAGCTATGATGATACTCTATCGCAGGATCATAATATCGTGGAAGCCCCACTGCCAGGGGATGCGGGTTATGAGCATAATGTGGCTCAAATGCTGTAAGGAAGGCCCATGTCGACAACGCATCTGCACAACCAGCTGACAGGAACATGCATGAGCACCTCGAACACGAGCTCCACGTGAAAGTTCCTTCCATTTCCATACCAGAGCATCAAGTTGCATGGATGTCACGATCCACGGTCTAAAAGATTCAATCAGTTGCAAAGGGTTTACAATCTCCTCTCTTCTACAATTCGCTACTGCACATTGCCACTCAACTGACAGTAGATGGCTACAGCACATTCATTCGCAGAGCAAACGCCCTTTGCACAGGTTGCTATATGTCCATGCAGCTTTCGCGAGGACAAAGGGCAGATCTGCGCAGCATTCTTTCTGCCACAGGGATTTATGTTTTTACTCAAGAGACCATAATCCCATTTTCATGCATGTTGTTGCTATGATTACACTCAAACCATCCTGAAATTGACAGGATTTATAGCGTGGCCTCCCTCAGCTCTTGCAGGTCTATTTCATCATCTGCAAGATGCAGGTAGGGGTTGTCTGCTGTCGGTCGGAAGCTGACCGCAGTCGTCACATAAAAAGCCAGAGTGGCAAGCTCGCCTGCAGAACACAGCAATCCTCATCTGCAACATTCAGCCTCTATAACTCGAGTCCCTCCTCATGTCAGGAAGTGGATTTTAGTGTGGCAGGACAGGAGCAGCATGCTTGAGGCTCACCTGCTCCATCTGACAGCCACACGTACTGGTAGGGCATTGTGGAGCGCAACAAATAAACCACGATCCGTGTGAAGTAGATGTAGATCACCACCATCACATAGAAATGCCGGAACAGCTGCAGCTTCAACAGGTTGCGCGCTGCCTTGCCATCCGTCTGCCCGGCACAGCACACCAAATTGAGTCATTTTCCTTCAGAAAAATGTCACACGTCAGTGCAAGATGCTCAAACTGCACAGGAAACCAAGCAGCCATGCAGATGACAGTTGGTGTCATGCACTCACCCCTGCAGCCTCACGCAGGTGCTTGATGGACCAGACAATGGGGAACAGAATGGCGCAGCAGCATATGATGTCCACCAGGTGCAAAATATCCCGCCAGGTGAACCAGGACCTCGAAGCTGGCGTGTTCTCGTCCAGTATCACTATTGCAACCTCTGCACACACCTGCACAGTACCACAGAGCAACTGACTGCACTGACCACAGTCTGGTTGCAGTATGGTGGGCCTTGCAAAAGTAGCTAGCTCGCAGGATACATAGACTGTAGGGAGCAGCACACCTGCAGAGGGATAACCACCATCAAGAGCCGCTTCTCCCTATCGCGCAGGAATGGTGTCATGTAGCTCCAACCAGTCCCAACCAGCACAACCACCTGCAGATGCCCAAGTACTTACTTCCATTCACAGCATCTCACATCAATCAACCATCAATGCATAAGATCTGGGGTTCACGCCCTGGCATAAAAGTGTACACAAAGCAGCTGGCACCCACCGTGAAGAAGAGGATGCCCCGCAGGAAGTTGAAGACGTAGAACGCGACGTTCCAGCCCTCGGGGTGCCCTGTGGTGCGGATGAGGTGGTACATGCCCGCCTGGCTCAGCAGCGTGAGGGCCTTGAAGGCCACCAGCACCATCATGAGGTAGTGCAGCCGGTGCGCCTGCTTGCGCTGCCTGAACAATACCATGCCCCACAGTGCTGCCGCCACCGAAAACAGCACAAACATTATCTGCACCCCCACAACCAAAACCTCAGTGCCAATTGCCCCTATTCTCCAGCATGTGCATTGCAGGAGGCAGGCATTGCTTTCACGTTCATTACAGTGGTAGCTTTGCTTGATGCAAGCATGTGGGAGTGTGCCAGCTGCTCACCATGAACACCGTTGGCAGCATGTCCTCTCCCACACTGAGGAAGTCCTTGATCCCATTTCCCCGCACATTGTACAGCGCCACACGGATGTCAAAGGACACCACCGCCAGCTTCTGGCAGTTGGCATAGAACAGGCTGAATTCGCCGCCACGATAGTCCTTTATCAGGTCAGCCAAGCGCGCGGACAGCTGCGTCAGCTCGCTGCCTGCCGCCTTGTTGCTCTCCACCGCATCAAAGGTCAGCAGCTTGATCACATTCTCCGCCTCAAACGCACACGTCCCCTGCCACCAAACAAACAGCTCAGTGATTGAACATGATGCTGCAGCACGCAGGTTGGTTCTCCTTGCATGCGGCTGAACAGCGACGACTGATGATTCCTCACACCTGTGCAAGGTCCACTTCAAGCTGCGCCTCAGCCTCTGAGGTTGTCACAAAGAACCCAATCTGGGTCAGGTCGATGCTCCCCTTGTGCCAATAGTTGAAATCTTTCACCGCGATGTCGATGTAGCCATCTGATCCGAACCTGCAGGAGATATTGGAAGATCACCAACACCAGGCTCACGTGAACCTTGTTGTACCAGCCTTGACTTAAGTTATTGATTCGTGCATACTATAATTTCCACACTGTGTAAGTTTGTAAATTCGCCATGATGTACGCATGTAAAGAAGGTTATTACCCGAAAGGTGTGGCAATCAATATAATCGCTCTATCATCTCGAACAACCGAAGCGTCCGTGATCCGGCATAGGCATGGCGCTGCGGACGCTAGGCAAAGACACAATATCAACAATCGCGTCCAATTTGCCATCTCAAGGCACAATGAAAGAGAAACACTGTCACATGGGAGAAGTTCCTTTTTTCTCCCAGCAAACTTTGAAAGTCCCTGTGCTCAATAACAGCGTTCACGTCGCAATACTTTTCTAGCCGCAACAATCATACAATGGCATGTCTTAATATCCACAAAATTTGAGAGGAATTTTTCTTCAAGGGTGGAATTCTTCCCACCTGGTCGTCGGCGTTCCTGGCCTTTCATGTCGAACATGCTGAAGTCGATTGACTGTGTTTGACGGTGAGTTTTGATCCAAACTGCATCAATCAGGGTCCGATACTTTGCCATCAAAGTGCCAAGGAGGTGGTAAGTCTGTGGCTGTGCATAGCCAAAGACAAAATTTTGCTTACGGGTAGCATGCAGCTCCTAGATCAGCCCTCATCGGTCCGTTGCAGACCGTTCGGCGATTCAAAACTACGTCCACTATCGTACATAAGAACATCAAGAGGTTCACTGTGCATACGTGCTGGCTCTTTGGCAAGTAGCAGTGCCCGTCTTCATAAATTATGATGAAATCTGCCCTACATAGGCATTACATCGGCATGCATTTCACTGTCACAGGCAACTGAATTTCTTTGCTCCTTGTGAAGGTGCCAGGCGATTTGGTTCTTGTTGCTGGTGCCACAGGTGGAGTGGGTCAAATCCTGACAGCAAAGCTTCTCGAGGTGATAACCTTGCTGTCCCTCCCAAGTGTCATCCCATCTCAAACTTGTCACTTGAAGAGGTTTGCCTCATTCTCAAGCCAACGATGCCCCGTAATGATGTCGCCTAGTGTTTGTTGCGCAGCGTGGTTACAGGGTGAGGGCGCTGACAAGAAGCTTGGAGAAAGCTTCACAGCTGCTGGGCGAGAAAGAAGGGCTGGAAATAGGCATTGCTGATGCACGGGATCCAGCCACGTTGTCACCAGTGACAGAAGGCATCAGCGCAGTTGCAGCTGTCACAGGCACAACAGCCTTTCCGTCCAAGAGGTCAGCAGAACACTCATATGAGGAACGCGCTGCTCACCTGCGCAGATTTTTGGCCTTTTACTTCTTGGCAGTTGAAGGAGCAAAGTGCTTGCAATTGCAGGTGGGATGGGAACAACGGCCCTGAGCAGACAGACTATGTGGCAATGAAGAACCTCATAGAGGCAACACCAACCTCCGTGAAGCGTTTTGTGCTGACCACATCAGCTGGAGTGGACAGAAGCAACCAGCTGCCCTTCAACATCTTGAATCTATTCGGTGCGTCCCCCATGCATCTATCTCACCCTGCCAACTGTTCCTTACCCCTGGATGCCTTCAAATGCTAGACCTTTCTTGGGGGCTGCCATCTAATGTTTCTTGTGCGCAACAGGAGTGCTGAAGTTCAAAAAGGCGAGCGAGGGTGTTTTGCAGCAGTCAGGGCTGCCCTGGACAATTCTGCGGCCTGGCCGCCTCACAGATGGCCCCTACACATCCTACGACCTGAATACCCTGTTGCAGGCCACTGCTGGCACACGGCAGGACGTGCAGATCTCCTTGCAGGATGACCAGTCGGGGGAGACGTCGCGCATCGCTGTTGCAGGTAGTGGGCCTAACCTTACGTGTCAATATTATCTACAGCCACATTGTGTGAGCCATGCAAGTGTGGTTCCTTATTGTAACAGTAGAAATATCAAGGCAGGTAGAATACCGCTGGCAATTCATGCGTGCTCACTCATGCTCACTCTCTGACTGCCTGTGCAGAGGCGATTGTACAGGTACTTGCTCTTGAGCAGGCGGAGGGAAAAGCCTATGCCATCACCAGCAAGGAGGGGGATGGCCCTGGAACTGATCCTGCAAAATGGAAAGCTCTGTTGGCATAGTTGAAGCTCAGAGAGATGTGTTGCAGCTGTATATCGCTCATGTAGATTGTTCTGACATCATTGACAGAGATAATTGATTGCTATCAGGCACAGGACAGGTGGGAGAATAATTACAGCCATCTGTGTATTGTGAGCAGCTGTACATCAGCCTCGAAAGCTCTGAGCTGTCAGCAACAGAGTGGCAGTGTCAAATTGAAGCAAGTTGTCCTAAGAAATTTGAGTCTCCTGAAAGCAATGCAAAGCTACCAAGCGAAACAACTGGTCAATTCACAAATGCAGAAAGTACAGATCATCTGAGCTAAAGAAACTTCCAAAGGCCTTTCAGATAGTCTGCCAGTGACACCACCGTCAGAAATGTTGCACACAGCAGCAGACCCAAGCCCAACTTTGCAGCTGTGGTGTATAGTGGCCCAGTGCTTTGTCCAGCACTGAGGAGCATCAAAGTAAGGGAAGACATCTGCACAAAGACCCCATCCATTTTGGCTCGTCTCCATTATTATGAACATGTTCCAAGCACAAAAGGCACAGAACTCCAAGATTTCCGTACCTGTGTTGCAGTCTTCCACTTGCCCCATGAGCTCACAGCAACCGCACTGTATGCCTCTCCGCCCAGCGATGCAGCCAGCTCACGCAGTGCCGACATAGCAATCTCTCTGCCAATGATCACTGCAGCCAGCATGAATCATCTGAACCTCACTTTTCCAAGCGAAGCGCCACCTGCGCTACATTTGATTGGCCGCACAGCTGGCATGCGTACCTGAGCTGATGACTGGGAGGACCCAGTCATTGCCTGCAAGGGGTCCAATAGCCAAGGGACGAGAGCTCATCATTATGAGGATCGCAGCCACCATGAGCTTGTCTGCCACTGGGTCCAGAAACGCTCCAAAATTTGATGTGAGCCCCTGAGGAAGACATGCGGACACTTCAGTCTATTTATCACCTTTAGAAGCAATGCCAGCCTCCCACCAAAGGTTCTGCCAATTTGGGTCGAGAGATACTTACCCATTTGCGTGCTAGGTAGCCATCCAGGAAATCTGTAAAGGAAGCTGTGAGGAAAATCCCACAGCAGAGCTGGGGAGCATATTGCAACTGACTGAACCACACTGCACAACACGCCTTAAGCGATGAACGATATTCGAACAGCTGGAATGCCAGGATGTGCTGGTCTACTGCAGGCCCAGATGGCGCACCTGCGATGAGGACGGGAATGGCCAAGACTCGACAGACTGTCAAAATGGTGGGGATGGTCCACACCTGCTGCCCATCAGCCACCGCAAGCCATTGGTACAGAGTGTGTATTGCATGGCAGCATTACAGCATACATCTCCAAGGATGGCGCCAACAAGCTTCAAACATTGAATACAGTATCAAAGGCTTAACAGGAGTGTCACCTGCTGCTTTTCAGGTTGTGAGCTGCCCACATTCCGTTTTGCGGCCAGGACCCGGCAGACCCTCATCGATCTGCCATTCTCTTTTATCTTGCAAGGAGTATATTGTCTAGGAAGACACTGCGGCCGACCACCTGCAGTGCAAGGGAGGGGTGCTAGTACTGACAAATGCAATGCGAGGCAGGATTATTGTCTGCAAGGCAAGTGTTTGCCAGCCAGTTACAAGAACTATTAGCGTGTCTGGTTCTACCTGAAGTAAGGTATCTAGCAAGAGGAGTCCTTCTATTGCAAGTGGGCCGATGGATGACGTTGAAAATTATTCTGCCTGGCGTTGCAGCTGGACGGCCAGGTGATACTGACGAACAGAGGAAATTCATCAGATCTTTTCGTCTTATTAATCAAGGGCTGGATGTTCGAGCACATCTGACCGAGACATGGACAATCTAGTGTTCGTCTATTTCTGTCCTCAAGAAAGCATCACTGCAAGGATCTGTTCCTTGTGATTCTTTGAAAGATCACAATATCAGAACACTGATATCTAGCTCACCGGAACTAGTTGTTTGGCCCACCGGAACGGATGGCTCAGCTGAGTCATCAGACACTGAGCCTAATCTGGTGGTGTGCCTCATGATCTCGATCATGCACCCAATCAGGGGCACACCGATCGCGCATTGGGGGAAATACACTTATTTGGGAGTTTTTGGGAGGCAGCAGCACTTTTCGAGGACCATGGAGGCTCCAATGCCTGCCTCTCTGTCCAGCCTCACTTCCTTGACATCCGTACTGCAAATGGAGTAAGAGAGGGGCTTGGCAGGCAGGAAGCAAGGAGACCACGTGATCAGTAACCAGCGCATGCCATCCCTCTCGCTCGGTAAGCATGCCTGTGGGCGCAAGCCTCATACGACTTCAGCCATGGAACCCCAGTAATCTAGCCATTGTGCTATGGAAATAGGCTGATCATGCCCAGCACTTCAAATCAACGTATTTTGGGGCACAATTAAGGTTGGATCACAGCTCACGATGATGATCGTCGTCATCATCGTAGAGAACCCCGGCACTGCTATATTCCGAGTATTCACCCCTATTCTCCTGCTTTCTCCTAATTTGCGGCGATTGGTACGTTGCATCGCAGCTTATTTACATTGTTATGCCTTTACGATCTGAACCTATCACCACACTGCTGCGAATAATTAGCCAGGAGCTTCACATGACTTCTTGCTAGGCGTCACCTGTATGACGTTGTCGAATTTGCTGATCGAAATTGCAATGGATTTATAAGAGCTTCAATTCACAAAAAATGAGACAACACATTGCACAGCGCAGTACCCTGGGACATACTATGCGTGATGCAGTTCAGGGATCCTAAAAAAAATATGCCTTTGTGGAAGAGGTCATCCCACATCATTATGCACTGACCCACTTCTTGATTGTGATGCAGGTGTGACAACCCACACGTGAGGAGGATAGCCCTCATCTGAGGCTTGATCGCTATGCAGCAGTACAGGCTTCAAAGGATGATGCAATATTATGGGAAAGCAGTGTTTGAGCAGATCTAGCCGAGACAGAGAAATTGTGTTTTAGCTAGGCAACAGTGTGGGCAAGCGCACATTGTAAAAGCGGCAGCTATCTTGCAGCCTCAGCCAACAGAGTATCACTTTGAGTAGCACGGCTGGAGCGTCCATGCAGGGAGCGGACAATGACTCTGATCTGCTGCAGAACTCAGCGCTGTTTGGGGGCAGCGTGCTCCATGGAGAGCCTGTGTCTTTGCAAAAGCCTGAGGTGAGTCTGCACCTGTGTCTGCCATACAAGTTGCAAGTCCTTTGTGTCATTGGGGATGCCACAAATTCTCCTACTCAGAGCATGTCTAGTGCCATGGTGACAGGCTGATCAGGATTTTGAAGGTTTATTCATTCTCGTTTACAGGGACATGGATTTGGGGGGTCGGGGCCCAGCTTCCCTGGGGACTCTGGCATGGGAGAGAGGTTGGGGGCCAGCGGCAGTATGCAGATGAAGAATGACCCAGCAGCCGCCATGCCGCCCATTCAGCTGCCGCCAGGCTTCCCAAACTGGCCTTCGCCAAGCAATGGCGCTGGCGGGCAGCAGCTGAATGGGATGGGGAATGGGCAGCCTAGCGCAGCTGGGATGCACGGCGCCGGAAACTCGATGCCCAATGGCGGCCATGCCGGGCCGGTCTGTTTTTTGCACCCAAGCACTGCTCATGTCTAACATGCACCATATGTCAGGGGGATCATTGCAGTTGTGATGAAAAAATAAGGGAATTCAGCACTCTGAGGGTGTCATGGAGAAGGTGAACTGCAGGGCTGACAAACATGGCCTGTATGCAGAGCCATGTGCGCCACCACAGCGATGCAAGCAGCAGCGGGGCTGGAGCAGCGGCTGGGACCATGCCCATGGTGCGCCAGGGCACCGGTGGGCCCAACAAGTCTCGCTATCGGGGTGTCAGCTACGACAAGAAGAAACGCAAATGGCGGGTGCAGATAAAGGTGAGTTCTGGTGCAATTCTTTCCAAGGTTTAAGCACACCCAGCTCAATATGCTTATCGATGCAAGGCAAGTCAATTTGTGGCTCTCTACTGACTAGACTCTGCTCGCTGCTCTCAGGTTGCTACTTTGGGGAAGAGCGGCGTGTCTGTTGGCTACTACGACACAGAAGAGGCAGCTGCCCGTGCGTATGACAGGGCTGCAATTGGGCTCTTGGGGCGCAATCATTCTGCGATCACCACAAATTTCCCTCTGCATGAGTACGACAAGGAGCCCGTCCCACAGCTCATCGGCAAGACGCGGGAGGAGGTCAGTATGCAGGACATGTTCATGTGACGCAGTATATGTTCAGGTTGTGGCTGCGCTTTTGAAGTTCAAGTACTGCAAGTCACCAAAGAATATTCTACCCAGAAGCTGCCTGGTTGATGCATTGCTTGACCATACCGGCTGTGCACAACAGGTGAAGGCCACGCTCAAGAGTGAGCGGGCCAAAGTGCCCCGGCGGCGCTTCAGCAGCCGGCAGCGCACCAGCCGCTTCATGGGCGTGGGCAGCAGCAACCGCAAGAACCAGTGGCAGGCCCGCATTCTCGTGCACGGCAAGGTCGGCAAGCCTGCAAATCTCACCCTTGTGTCCGACTATGCATGCCCTGCAGCTCCTGCATCTTTTCTCTTCACCCTTGTCTCTGTCACATGGTTATGGTCTGGGATAGTCATGAAGAGAGATCTGTAGGTGACGCACCTGGGCTACTATGCAGGTGACGCACCTGGGCTACTATGAGACGGAGGAGGAGGCGGCGCGTGTGTACGACAGGGTGAGCATCAGCCTGCACGGGCCGCACGCGCAGACCAACTACCCGGCCGCCGAGTACGAGGGGCAGGACTGCGGCGAGTTCCAGGGCCTGGCAAGGGAGGAGCTGCAACGAGCCCTGGGTGTCAAACCCATGGACAAATCCTCCCAGTGAGCCCATTGCCCTACCTGCCAGCACCGCGCAGCACCCTCTTGTGGAGCAAACCGGAGTCACATGCTGATCTTTTTCCCAAATTTCCTGACTGTGAAGGTCGGAAATGGACGAATGGAAGATGCAAGTGCTTGATGCTGGTGGGTATTGATGTTCAGGTACCGGGGCGTGAGCAAGAAGAAGGGCAAGTGGGAGGCCAAGGTGATGGTGAACCGCAAGTGGGCCTACAGAGAGCTGTTTGACAGCGAGGAGGAGGCCGCGCGAGCCTACGACGATGCGGTGTGGCGCCTGAAGCCCAAGGAGGCCAAGAGCTACATCAACTTCAAGGAGCGCTACTCCGCTGAGCGCATGCGCACCGCTGGGAAGCCCCGCCCGTCACGCCAGCTTCTTCAGAGGTGAGTTTTCCTGCAATTATCCTTCGATTGGAAGGATACATGGTCTTGTTGGTGTTGTGGGGTTGGGCTCGTGATGGTGATGAGCCTCAAAATATCAAATGAGGCATGATACATTTTGTCCTTGAAGCAAACTATCTCGTTGTGGCGCAGAGGCTCGCAGCACAGCAGTGACTCGCCGCAGGGCGCAGCGTCCTCGCCGTCAGGCAGCCTCGTCTCGGCCGACGGCGGCCCCGGCAACGGCAACGGCGCGAGCGCGTTTGGGCGTTCGCTGCCGCCGCTGTCCCCCGCATCGGCCGGGGAGGCCGGCATTGCGCGCGTCAGTAGCGGCCGCACGCTGCGCGCGTCCGACCTGGTGCGCACCAACAGCTCTGCCAGCAGCGAGGAGCCCGCGATGATGCGCCGCCACTCCTCCAGCACGGGCGGCCTGCCCTCGTCCCTCATGCAGGGCTTTGGCAGCACGCGGCCCCCCAGCCCCGGCTCCTCCGAGGAGGCCCTCTTCCGTGGCCACCTCATGGGCGTGCCCCTGCCCGGTGTGAACCTCTCTCCCAGCCCCCAATCTTTCTCCATAGACTGACGCTGCCTTGACTGACTTGTGCTGCATGGCAAGATGGTATGAGCATCTTTATGCTGGAGTGGGACCCTTTGCAGCGGCTGAGACTCTGTTGATGGCTGGCGCAGGCCAAGGCGGTCGTGCAGGGAGTCCAGTGAGCAGCACGGACGATGGGCTGGCGAGAAGAAAAGGGCTCCCGGGGCTGCTGCCGCCCCAGGGGCAGGACAGCGCCACATCGAAGAACTCCCTGCCCAAGTCTGCATCCACCTCCCACCTGGGCGGCCTCAACCAGATGCCTCCTGGTCCCATGGTGCAACCTACATCCAGTCACTTGGATTCAAGCTCTTCTTGAGACAGCATTGACCAAGTTGCCCAGCGAGCATCAGCACTGCATTTGATCGCAATGAGGAAATTGGGGACATAGCATTCTCAATGCATACCCTGAGGTGCATTACGAGGTGGTAACCAGTTCTGATGCCTCCACTTGTGTTGCAGAACATGGGGTATTTCCCGGACGGGAGCTTCATTCCTTTAGGGCCCACTGGGGAGGGCCAGCCGAGTGGCTACAAGCCTAGTCAGATGCCGTCTGGGCTGAGGATGCTTCGCACCATGTCCACGCCCCACATCGCTGTCTCCCAGGGCGCGCCCATGCAGCCGGGCATGGCCCCCTACAGCATGTACAGCATGGACAACTCCGGTGGCCAGGTGACCTCCCCCACTGACCATCCTAATATATCCGAAGTAACTGCACCCTGTAGTTCCATCCCTGCATGCAGGAAATTTGTTACAGCACTCTATTCCTGAAAATTTTGTGTGTTGCCAGGGGCAGTATATGATGGGGGCGCCCCCGCAATATGTCACGTCCTCCATGCCATACGGTGCCATGCACGGCGGCTATGAGGGGCCTCAGGGCGCGATGCGCATGCGCCACTCGGCGTCGGCCGTGGAGCTGCCTCGGTCGGGCGGCATGCAGGCCGGGGGAGGCAGCTTCCAGCAGCAGCAGCAGCCATTCCCCATGTATGGCCTGGGCGCTCCCATGGCGCCCCTCACCGACCTCCAGCACCTCAGCAGCCCCCGCGCCTCCCAGGTGCCCTCTCCCTGCTGCATTTCTATTTACGACTAAATCGACGCGTCTCACTGTTTGTGGCACCGTGCTGGGGGAATGTCGTCCACACAACTTGTGCGCTGTTGCATGTTCTCTTTGTGTGTTGTTCTGGTGTTGGAAATGCTGATTGCCAATGAGGCTGATGATAAGTAGCAATGTGTCAACTGCCATATCAAAGGATATGAGTTTACATGACAATTTGAGAGTAACGAGAGTTTGCTGCGCAGTCTGCTGGGCAGCTGGCGTCAGGCGGCATGATGGTGCGTGTGGGCAGCGAGCAGCACCTCATCTCCGACCAGCCCCAGCAGCACATGGGCCGCAACCCCTCCGACACTCCCTACCCTGGCCAGAGCGGCTCGCCCTCTCACCGCCCCTACTCCCCCTCCCCTGGAAGCATGCCCAGGTGCTTCCCCTCTCTCCAGACTTCTTCATTTGGTTCGCCTGCCTGCAGACTCTTCCACATGGTCTCCCTGTCTTCAGACTCATTGACTTGGTCACCTCTAGAAAGTGGCTTGCATCTTTGTTCTGTGATCTGCAATTGTTGCTGTGTATGGTTGTGTGACGCGCCGTGCATGGCTGCAGCCCGCTGATTGGCGGCCTCAACGGCAGCCTGGGCCTGCGATCCCAGAGCGGCCTGTCCGTGGGCGAGGCAGGAACGCCGCGCAGATCGGGGCTGCCCCCCCACCCGCCCAGCCCCGCCGCATCCCCCAGCCACCACAGCCGCGCCCAGCTGCCCCCCCACTCTGGCCCCCACCAGCAGCCCCCCTCCGACATGCAGGCATGCATGCACCTCATGAACTGTGCTTCTGGCATCTTGTGCAGAATCCACAGCTTGTTTATCACAAGCTTTATCAATGTCCGTATTGGTGTGTGTCCCCAGTAAGAAACTCGCCAGACTTGCCTTGGGAGCGCTGGGCTGACTGGGCATGTGGCACCCAGGTGGACGCACTTGATGAGAAGCCTTTTAGCATGGACACCCTGCAGCAGCAGGCGCAGGATCAGTCACAGAGCGGGCAGCAGCAGATGCCGGCCCTGCCGCAGAATGCGCCGCTCACCTTCACCATGGTCATGCCCGGCTCCATGGCTGCCCAGGTGCGCAACCTTAATAACACCTTTCACAATGCTTCACTCCAATGTTTTCCTGTTTGGGTGAGCTGAAGAATGAGCGTGCGCGTGGTTGAGACATTCTGCTGTGGCAGCAGGACGAGGGCATGGGAGGTATGCCGCGCTCGCTGTCGATGTCGCAGCTGCCCATGCAGTACCGCAGCCCCGGCCTCATCCAGTTCAGCGGCGGCATGACCGTCCCTGGCTCCATCCCCGCGCCGCAGTGGATGGTGCGCACTAGCCTCTGCCTGCTTGCCTGTCAGCCTGTGCTGATCAGTTGGCTCAGGATGTGCACGGCCGGTTGCATTGGATGTGTGTCCACACTTTGGCTTAGAAATATGGTTATTAGCATGTTCTCCTGATTAAAGGGTGTGCGCAGGGTGCGGGGCAGGAGATGGGCCAGGAGGGCGCTGCGGGCACTGCTGCGGCCTGGCGCTGCGATTACAGCCTGCCCAGCGGCCAGCTGACGGGCATGGGTCAGCGCTCCGCGTCCGCTTCCAACCTGGCCGCCATGAACCTCCCTCAGGGCGACTGGTGTGGGTCCCAGGACCAACGTGAGCCCCCCTCTCCTGCACTCCTTGCCTATGTTTTCTGCTACTCTCTCGTCAAAGACAATTGCCGCACCATCTTGTGGATTAGTTACGGTTACTACTGAATTGCTGGCTGCTTGAAGTGCAAATGTGGCCATTTATGAATGATGGGGCGATGTGCTCGGTGCAGTGCAAAACGGCGCGTCGCTGGTCAAATCGGCGTCGGTGTCGAGCCTGGGCCACCTGTGCAAGCAGTACCGGGCGCAGCCCTTCACGGCCACGCTGCCCACGCTGCACGCCGACAAGCCCACAGACGGCATGGGCGCTGACCCCTCCCCAAACACCCTCGACGCCAACTCATGTGAGCCGCTGCCTGTTCCTCCCATCACTCCCATGCCCTCACCTCAATGCCTTCTTCCCTAATTGCATAGTTAAAACAGAGAGGACTTCCGTGCAGTACCTAAGCCACCATGCAGGGCGCTGTATTTCATGCTTCTGTAAATAGGAAATTGAGGGTGTGTGCTTGGGATGTGCAGCCCTGCTGGATGACTTGGCCGGGTCTGCAATGGTGACGGATGGCAATGGCATGGAGGGGTGCCCGTCGCCTCTGAGGGCCGTCCAGATCGGCGGCGAAGACCTCACCATGTTTGATCACACTGGGGAGGGGGATGGCACTGACTTCCTGCTGGACCCTGACCTCACCCCCGATGACTGAGCCTGCCGCGCTGCCAACCAGTCACCGTGCTTTCAGGCAACTGTGACGGTTCAGTCAGTCGTCCCAGCTCTGCTGCTGGGCATCCGTCCTGGAATTCGATGTGAGAATTCTTTTGCATGCTGAGGATGGCACAGGGCACGTCAGGGCGTTCGGATGTCGCCAGATATATTCTGTCGTGGAACACAGGTTATTCACTTGATCTCACCTGATTCTTAAAAGACATTGGGAGCTAATTTTCTGGTGAGTCTGCTCCGTGCTTGGAGCTGCTGATGTGGGAAAGGACGTAGTGGATGCAAATGGTGACCAGAAGTAGTCTGCTGATCCCTGAAAGCTCCTAGTGTTTTGTCATTCGTTTTGGGAGCGATACATTGTGTGTCATAGAATCCATTGTGGTGCTCGTGCTAATGGTGTGCACGCCAATGGTGGGAACCAGTCCAGGGGCATGTTTGACATTGTATGGCCTCTGTGTCTTGCATTGCAGTGCAATGATATCATGCGTTGCCGTACAAAGAAGGACTTCTGATATGAGAGTGCACAGAATACAGAAAGGAGCAGACAAGCTTGGTGCGGTTCAAGAATTTTTGGAGACGTGTGAGACATCTGCGTTCGGCTTTGGTACTGGCTTTCTCATGCTTTGTGCTGACTAACTGAGAGGAGAGAGGGGGTGACTCAGAGGAAGTGGCTTGTGCTGCTGTGCGTCTCTTTATTTTCCAAGAGGTGTGACAGAGCGTGTTCTGCTTCGGATGCAGCAGGGTAGTCTATCACAGTGTGGACATTTCTTTGTCGACCCGATTACAAGAGCGTTCTTGTATATGATGCATGCAAATGTTACAAAAGAACTGTACATACGGCTTGGCGCCTTCTAGCATGTGCCTGAGGCACTCGTGTAATAGTCCCAAAATCTGCAGAAGCAGAGCTAGTATGCTTGGCATCTTCCTAGCTGTTGACCGCAAAGCCATGCTCCTTGCCTCTTGGCAGGAAGTGCTCACGCGCTGCAACGGGCGCCTCTGCGCCAGCCAGGGTCTTTGCCGCGCGCCCCATGCTGGACTTCTTGAACTCACTGTTCGGTGCCGTACACCTGCAAATTTTTGACACTTCAGCCAGTTTCCAAAGATATCCTCAACACGACACTCACCAATACTTTCTCAATAATTCCGACAGTAGCGGCTCAGGGGAGATCAGTACAGCACCTGGGATTGGGGCAGCGCTTTTTGGGATACTTGACGCCGACTGTGGTGAAGCGGTTGTTGCAGCCGCTGCAAGTCCACCAGCGCTTGGTTGCATCCACCCGCTTGCCAGCATGATCCTGGGGCACCCGGCTCACATTTGTTGGTAGGTCCCAGTCAGGCGGCAGACCCTTATCTTGACGAAGTGTACACTGGCAAATAACGACAGGGAAGCAATAGAGCATGCACAGAGTTGTATGTTGGCAAGCTGCTGCTGTTATTGTCTTCTCAAACTAGGACAGTGGTAGTGCATCAATGCCGGGCCAGAAGGGAAGGCAGGGCGTGTCACCTGGCACTTGGGCTTGCGGCGCTCGGTGATGATGTCACAGGTGGTGCAGTGCCAAGCGGTGACGGACAGCTGTGTGATGGCCTCTCCGCGCTGCTGCAGCTCGTCCTTCTTCTGCATGCTCCCCAGCAGCTTATCCAGCTTCTCTGCCTCCTCATCATCCACAGTCTCCTTGTACCTGTGCACATCGCAATGCCGAGGATGAGGCTGCATGCAGGTGTGCATCACAATCTGATCCTTCACTGTGTACACATGTTGTACAGCAACAAAATTGGGTACATCCAGCCAGGCCTCACCTTGTCCCCACGTTCTGCATGTCCTCCTCGGTGACAATACTCCCAAATGCAGCCGCAAAGGCTGCGCAGAAATACTAGAGTCAGCTAAAAAGGAACCTAGTCTCATTGGCAACTTCACCACTGCAAACTTCGCAGGCCAGAACAATCATTAGAGCAGCCTTGCAGAGGCTGAGCTCAACCACTGCATTACTACAGAAACACTCACCTGAGGTGCCAGGATGGACGACCAGGGGTTTGGCGCGCGCTGCAGAGGAGCCTGGAGCTTTGACGCTGCTCTTCGGGCGCAGGCCCAGCTTCACTTCCAGGCTTGTGCGCGTGCCAGACCTGGCCGCGGCGGCCTTCGGCTGAGTCACCGCTGCTGCGGCACCGCCCCGGTGTGCTGTGGAGGCCGCCGCAGGAGCCCCATAGAAATTGGTTGATGGGCGCCCTGCAGGCTTGGCTCCTGGCCCAGTGCCTGAGCAGCCATGGCATCCTGAAACCCCTCTAATCACAATGGTGAAACATTTGCCAATGCCCTCTTGATGGAGCACTGTGCCCTTGAGATGCCAGCTATCTTGCTGGATAAATTGCCACAAAACGCCCCAGCTGGCGGGGGGCGGTATAAATTCTGAGCACCGTGCCCACGATTGGATAAGTCTTGCTTGAATTTTGCCAGGTCATCAAAAGGTAAGATTTTGGCAGCCTTCAACTGCAGCTTCTCTGCAGACGTACCTTGCCTGTTGGCAGGAAAAGCGTGTTATAATAATAATCAAGTGCCACTTTATTGCACATGGGAAGGCCATTAGACAAGTGAAACCTACCTGAGCTGGTAGGGGCAGCAGTGGGGCCAGCGCTGGGAGCGGACTGCTGTGGGACGGTCCCAGATGCATCCGCCGGCTGGCGGTCTCCCTGCTTGACAGCGGTGGCCTGCTGATCCCTCTTTGCTGCCTCCCTGGCAGCTTCAATGCCGCCTGCACAGACATTCCCTGCTCAGAAGAAGAAAGAAGGTCTGACAAAGCGCAATGCACCATGCAGGGCGAAGAGCGCGCAATGCACCGGCAGAAACATACCGCAGGTCTTGACAAGCGCCACAGCTTTGCGCATAGCCTCCTGCCGGGCCCTCTCAGCTGCTGTGTCAGCAGGATGGGACCCTGCACCCTGGCGGCATGCGGCCACACTCGGCCCTCGCGAAGATCCAGCAGCAAAGCTTGCAGGCTCGGGGCACCTCACACCTGCGGCATACCCAATTGAGTAACGACATTATCCCGTCACAACCTCCTCAATTGCTGCAGCACTGTGTCGTGCATGTCTGACTCTGTCACCAGGTAAGGGCTCGCGATTAGATTGTTACCTGAGAGCCGGACGTGGCTAGAATTGCCTCCTTCCTCATTATCATCCTCGGGGCCGGAGCTCCTGTCCACATGCCGCACACTGCTGCCTGGGCGGCTGTGCCGCTTCAGGGCAGCCACATCCGCCGCATCCCACTCGATCTCCGCCTCCTCCAGCATGACAAAGCCTGCCTCTGCCCTCTTGGCCTGCGCAGCGCCCCCAGCTGTGCCCCTAACCAGTGGCCTATCAGATGGCAGTCTGCGCTCAGCACTGCTGATGCTGCCCTGCGCACCACTGCGGCCCAGCCCGTGCTGCAATGCCGGTCTCCCAGCGACGGCTGCTGTGCCGCTGCCGCTGCCTGGAATGGTGCGCATTGCAAAGGCGCCGCGTGCGTCGCCGGCCGGCCGCGCGGAAGTGCCGGGCTGTGCAGAGCTGCCGGGTGCGGCTGGCCGCGGCCGGATGGGCGCCGTGGCGGCCGGGCGCGCCGCTAGAGGGGTTTGCTGCGGCGGCAGGGGTGCGCGAGGGGGCCTGGCAGGGTCCACCCCGGCCGTCCTCGGCAGCGTCATGATTGCTTGCAGCTGCTGCCGTACCCTGGGTGGCGCTTGTCGCGCGCCTGTGTAGCAAGGCAGCTCCCTGGTGCCCTCCTGATCTCTGCGGCCTGTCAGGATGGACGCATGCTCAGCCCCTGGAGGGTGCAATATTCCTTGAAGGAAAAAATTAATTGCATGTATAGCTGAAGGGAACGTACTGTACAATAGCAGAGGAGCGCGAGAGGCAACGGCGCAAAGTGGGCACACCTGTCTGAAGAGCATTGCTGGGCCTTTGAGCTGCAGACGACTGACAGGAGTTTTCTTGCGCAGCGGCCTTCCGCAGCGCCGTGATTTGCCTGTTGTACACAACCTGGTGCTTATTTCTTGTCAGGGGCAACGGGCATGGAACACCCTCAGTTGAGAATGGAAGCAATCAAGGTTTCTTGCATGCCACTCTTAAATTGACCGTTCACACAGGAGGCCTCACTCACCTGGCCCCCTGTGAGCTGTAGCTGACAGTCTGGACAGCCAGCTCGTCATCAGTCATCTGCTTGGGGACATACGGCGCAAAATTGGGCTTCTTCTGCCGCTGAGCTGCCTGCTCGGCTTGGGTGTTGAGCCTGGCAGCATGTGAGCTGTCCTGCAGCACGCCCCTGCTGTTGTTGACGCGCCTTGACTCTGACTGGACATGGTAGTCGCAGAATCGGCACTTGCTGATGTTCACAGGGTTCCGGCACTTCGAGCCATCCTGTATGCGCATGCAAAAGGCTTAATTACCATGCTGAGCCAGACACTCTACAGGACACCTTGCATGACAGAAGAGACCAGCTTCCAGAACATGTACATGTCTGCTCACCTTCTTTCTGGACCCACAAAAAGCAAAGTCAGCAGATGTGGCCAGCTTGAGGATGGAGGAGGCCTCATTGACTTTCAGAGTCAGGCCCTTCCCATCACTCTCAGCCACTGCATTCATGATGGCCACCAGCGACCCCTCTGACTCCCTGAAGTGCTCCTGGTGCGAGTCCCCAAACAGGAACATCGTGACCATTGTCCCTGCACATAGAGAGCGCTTTACATCATGTGTGCTGACCGGTTCCACACGGCATGATGAGACATACAGCATCCTCCGTGCTCAAGTCATACATCCCCAGCAATCATGAACATTGGGGGACAAGCACCCTCACCATCCAGGTCTGAGAGCTTCCACAGCGAGTACATGGACCCCTTGGCACTGGAGCGCGGCTTGGACTTCTCAACCAGAACCCCAACTGTCGCCCATGGCCCGGCACCGTCTGCTGCATTCACCCTGTCCCTGCTCACATCACACCCTCATAGCCTTTGCGCGGGAGTCCTCAAACATAGGACTTCACTGGCATTGCTCTCTGTGGTCAACACGTGCTGTTCATGTTGTCACAGTATGAGTCGAAAGGGGGTGAGCCATGCTGCCTACCGGGCGCGGGGCAGGCGCAGGAACTGCAGGTGAGACACTCTCTCCCCAAAGACAATGGTCGGGAACACAGGATTCTTCATCTGCACAAGGCGCAAGTCACACACTCATCAGCTGCAGATTGGTGTTGATGTACTGTGTAGCAATGAACCTTGACCCTGACATGTCAAAATACTGCAGCCAACTGAAGGCGGCCAACCGGCCAGAGCGTTACCCGCAAGCCTGAGTGCTTCTCCACATGTGTTTCTGTGGAGGAGAGCTTTGCAGACTGAGGCGTTGGGTTTGCGGTGTGCCCACTCGTCCCCTTTCCATATCTGCTTGAAACAGGCTGAAATGCAGCGGAGGAAGGTCTCGCAGCCTCAGGTTTGCTGCCAGCGGCTGCCAAGGCTGAACTGGGAGATGATCTTTGCTCAGCTTCGTTAGAGCTGGACCTGGCCCTTTTGACTGCAGGAGGAGGTGCAGATGCTTTTCTCTTTGCTCCTGGTGACCCTGTGGGGAGCTTGGCTGTCTCTGGCTCAGTTGCTGCAAGAGTGTCTCCAGCTGGCAACAACTTCTGATCCGACTCTTCAGCGGCTTCTGCCTGAGCAGCCATCTCCAACAGCAAGTTGAAGTCCTCATCCTCCACCTCTGCTGGTCAGCAGTTGTCAACTGCTTACATAGAAATTTCAGAAGTCATGGTAGAGAAAATATGAACAACATCATTCGATCGAATTACCTGCCAGCATGGGATCAGCAGCAGAAGGTGCTATGGCTGTCTCTACAGGAGGATCCTCGCAACTATTCTTGTCAACCACATCGCAAGGTTTGTCTACAGCAGCTTCGGCATTCTCAGCTTCTTCCGCCATCGCCAGCAGAAGGTTGAAATCTTCATCCTCGCACATCTTCTGCAATGTCAGGTTGCGCCTTCGCAGCGATGAATCTCTCGTTTGCCCAGGCTTTGGTAAAAGTGAAGGAGTTCACTTATATGGCATGCTTCTCTACATCGATATCACATGGGTTTCTTAAAATCGTCTCGTTCTCTCACTTGTAATGCCCTGGTTGTAGGACAATGTTTCATCATCAGTTACAAGCTGTCAATGATCATCTTTCAAAACGACCTGCCCAAAACTGGGCAGACCAGGGCAGCTGGGCAGATTACTTCCACAATACACAAGAACACTTCACAGTGTCAATTGTACAGCTGGGATCGTCCTTCTTTACCATTGTGCAGTCAAGGTATTGTCATGATCATGTGAAAAATGGCGAATTCCAGGTCTCCTGACACCCACTATCCTCAATCGTAGCTAGAAGTCTATGAATCTGCAGACTTCTGTTGGACCTGCCAGTACATGGTCACACCACCACAAGGATCCTCTTCTTCAGAACTGATCAGCAAAATAGATGTCAACATCAGGAAGAGTCTGACAATGTTGCTACAATGTGCTGGGCCTTGCTTGCTGTGAGTCTTTGCTCTGGCTTCCTTATGAGCAGGCCCTGAAGTAGTGCAGCTGCCTGCACCCACAGATCCACAAAGACGTCAAGACAGATGGTTATAAGGACAACTTCCGTAACAAGCCTTCAGAGAATCTGTCTTTCACGCCCCAACATTGACAGGGAAAAGGGAATTATGACGTGTTCAGAATGGGTACCACCGGTGTGCCGCAGAAGAGGCTTAGGTGTTCACCTGGGGGTCGTGGAAGAGCACCCAGAGGGATGGGTCAGCCTCAAAGGGCAACGGCTTGACTCCCAGCAGGGCCATGACGACATCCTCGTCTGAGAAATTGTCCCCGAACAGCGGCCGTCCCGTCAGCAGCTCCCATGCGCATGCACCCACCGCCCACATGTCTGTTGCCGCCTGCACCACGTGGTGTGTGGGGCCCTCTGCAACGCTTGCCGCCTCGGCGTCCCCTCTGGCACCGGCCGCCTGCGCTGCGTCGGCTGCCGGCCGCGCCGCTTTGGCAGCCTCTGCCATCCTCAACCGCATCGCCACGCCCATGCAATCCGCCATCACAACCTGCAGTACTGATTGTAAATGCCTATGAGCACAGTATGAATCCTTACACAGCTGCTGGCAGGGCATCCAGCTCTGCAGAATGTGGCGGTGAGCAATCAACAAGCAAGCAACAAGATAAATAAGAAGGGCAGGCGACGAGAAATGTGGACTTGCCTCAGGAGCGGCGTAGCGTAGGGAGTAGGAGAGCGGCGCGTCGCTGCCCTTGCGCGCCCACGACTCGCACCCGGTCAGCCGCCACCTGGACACGCCGTCCGACCACACCAGGTTGCTCGGCTGAACGTCCCGGTGCACCTGCAACATCCAACCTTCAACCCTCAGCCCATCCTCGCCTTTCATGACCTCTTGCTCCCATGGAGGGCAGTCCTGCTCCTTGGCGGGGGAAACAATAGATAGGGTGCATGGACGATTGTCCTTTTTCTTTTGCATCCCAGTGGTGTAGGGTGACCTGCATGCCAGAACAATGGTAGAAAAGTGATGAACAGAGAAATGTATTAGACAAAAGCAGCAAGGGCAGCAAAGGTGGCGCGCACCATGCTGCGGCCGTGAAGATATGCAACGCAGTCGAGCAGCTGAGTGAGGGTGGACTTCTGGCGGGAGGCGCTGGGATTCCGCTCCATCCTGCTCATGTAAGTGGCCAGGGAGTAGGCTCCCCGCTCTGTCACTATGCATGCTGGATTGTGCACCCCGTTGCCCAGCGCCACCTCGTCCACATCAAACATGTCCAGCACACCTGCAGCTCACAGCTGCTTATTCAGACATCCTCCCCTCCATGGTATGTCAACCAAGCTTGCCGCTGTTGTTTCAGCCACCACCTTATGTGAGTAGTGTGCAGTGGCCGGGATGTTAGAAAGGACAGGCAAGTAGCAAGGTAGGATAGAGGAAGGGAAGGAAAGAGCGTGCCTGGTATGAAGGAGGTGTCGCGAGCCTGCTGGTGGAATTTCCTCAGGTGCACAAACTGCTCCTCATCCACAAAGAACTTGAGGGTGACTGGGCAGCCGCTGGAGATTTGCTTTCCGGTTGCAGCAATGCAGGAATCGCCGTCGAAGCGGGCAGACTCCAACACATACTTGCCTGCATTGCAGCATGCTCAACCTCTCAGCATGGCTCGCATCATTCCTTCATTGGAGAGTTGTGTGCTTTCTCTGAGCACCCCCCACAGGAGAGAGACCAAGACTTGGTGACGGTGGGCTGACAGAAGCATCCAGAAGTATAGAATTACCTGCAAAGCGCGAATTTTCTGTGAGGTACTGCATCACTCCGTTCAGCTGCATGACCTTGCTGCCAGTTGCCCCAGGCGCCGCCAGCTTCCTCCGCTTGGCAACCTGCACCCATGCATGCATTGGAATTTGTTTTCGACCTTCCAATTATAGTTCTTACACACATGCAGCTTGTGGTGGATTCATCTACCATCTATCGCAAGCAGTTAGTCAAAATAGCTGCACAGGCAGGATAGCTAAAGGGGATGTGCAGGTGCATGCCTGGCGGGCGAGCAAGGCCTGCACAGTAGGCCGGGCAGAGGCCGAATCCAGGGACGATGTGAAGGCGGAGAGCTGCGAGTTGGCGGCCGCGATGCGCCCGAGCGGGTGCATGGACTCCGACGGGGTCAGGTGCAACGGCGCATGCGGCTCCACCTCATCCGCCTCCGGCAGTGCTGGCGCCATCTGCTTCAGCTCGTCTGCACATGCATTCTGGCCCGTCTCAGCCAAAGGCTATACAGCTGCTGACAAGATTACAACGTCGAGAGACCTCCTGGCATCAAGGAATCTCCTCCCAAGCTTGAGGCTCGAGGCTGTATTAGTATTAGAGCTGACTGTGTGAACGGCCAGGGTTGGGTTTGTCTGCGCAGCAAGGAGGGGGGATTTAGTCGCAGCACACCCATGTGGGACTGCAGGCTGTCGATGGTGGTCTGCACGCGCTCCGACACGTTGCTGTTGTTGCGACTGTGTGCAGCCACCAGCGCCCCTGATCCCCTCGCGCTCCTCGCCAAAGCATGCTCCACCGGCTGGGGCTTGGCTCTAGTGCTGTCTGCAATGCACAAGAGCATAGGGCTCAGAAATCACCACGAGTATCTCACATGAACTTCTCCAAGCATCTAGTTTGTCTATGATTACATGCTTGGACTCCAACAACATGTAATAAAAGCATCCCATATGGCCCCAAGGAATACGGTCCTGTGCTGTACCTAAGACTGCATCTGCCTCGATGTCAGTCATGTCAGGCTCCGGCCCCTTGCTGTATGCTTCATAGAAGGGCTTGGCCTTGAACTCCGGCTCTGGCTGCACGGCTGCCTTTGGCACAGCGTTCTTGTGCCTGCGCTTGAGGCGCATGAACAACAGCACTGCCACTATGATGATAGCAATGCCGCACACCGCTCCTGCAATGCCCCCGACAATGACTCCAATATTGGGACCACTGCTGCTGCCGGCTGCATCTGGTGCTGCCAAGTCAGCGGACAGGAGGCTCACAGAGTCAATCTCCACACTGTTCTGCCTCAGAGCATCCTGCACGGGCACCCATGCATACTTACACTCTATGCTGAGAAAAATCCACACCCATGCACACAAGGCTGCACCTGGGCTGCTCCATAAGGCATGGCAGCGCCAGCAAAGCAGATGCAATCAAGCTAATCTGGCTTTGGGAAAAGTCTTCAGAGAGGGTCTGGGGACTCACCGCCAGCTTGCCATTGGAAGCAGCTTCCTGGAGCTGACTTCTGGCGGTGTTGGCAGTGGCAGCATCGCCAGCCTTAGCGCTCACATGCGCATCAGTCGCCGGTGTGGCCTGCTGCAGCCTGCGCCCTGCCTGTGACGGGTCCTGCACCAAGCCAGAGCCTCCTGCTCCTCACTCATCCTCTTCAGCACTAACCTTCCTTGCAGCTTCTTCCGCCTTTGCACAGCCCCTCCCTGTCTCCTCCACTGACAGACAGTGCAGGTTCACCAAATTCCATGCATGTTATACAGGTACTGATGTGCATAAACACACATACACAGTATAATACACACCTGAGCAACGCTGACCACGCTGATGGCGCTCCTGGGGACGGCGGTCATGACACTGGCGAGGGCCGTCACGAGCGCGTCCTGAGCGCGCGCATCGAACGGCCACACGCGCGGCCCTAGCAGCCGCAGCCGCGCGTCCACAACTGTGTTCCTGACGTCCTGCACCTGCACCTGCACCGCGGCCGGCGGCAATGCTGTATCCGCTGCAGGCGCGGTTGCCGGCGCGCTCGCAGGGGAAGCGTTCTGAGCAGGCACCGGCTGGGCCTGGGGCGTTCCTGCCACGGCTGCCGGCTTGGGTGTCGGCCGAGCGGCTGGCCCGCGCGTCTGCTGCGGGAACTGCGCAGGTGGTGTGGGGGTGGGGTTAGCTGCCGGGCTGACTTGTGGGACGGGAGGGGCCTGCACAGGGGCGCCCTGCTGGCCCTGGTTGGCTGGAGGGCTCGGAGATGGGGATGCAGGGGAGGCTGGGGCTGGGGAGGGAGATGGCTGCGCGGCCAAGGAGGGCGAGGTGTTTGCGGCAGGGCTTGCAGCGCCCGGGCTACCGCCAGAGCCGCCTGCTGGATTCGCTCCGACAGCCACAATTCCCTGCATTGAAGAATATGTCAGGGGTATGGGCTGCACCCGGCCGTTGCATGCATAGCCATGTAGTATATTTACCGAAATTTTGCATCAAGCATGTGTCAGGATGCGTGCCTGCGGAAGATACTGCACTGTAGGCGCGCCACCGCCCGGGCCCCCTCCTCCAGCTGGAAAAGCTCCTGGCGGTCGTGGCGGGTTGCCTGGACCTTCACACGGACAGTGGTGCGTTAGAGCGGGTTAGATAGCAGCAGCAATTAAACACACAGGGCAAATATTTGCGGCACATTGTGTCATCAAATTTTCCGTACACAGGAGACAGGCTCTGGCTATACCTTGTGCTCCTACTTGGGCGCTCAGGAGCAGGATGGCTACCACACACAGCTGCAGGTGCATCGTGGCCTTGCACTTCAGCCCTGCTAGCGGCAAGCAAGCTAAGCTATAACGTGAAACTAAGGAGCTGTTTCCTGCGTCTTATATGCATTAGTCTTGCTGAATACCTCTACTTTCCCCGGGCATCCAGTTCTATAGCCTGCAGGATTCAATCACGTTGAGGTCAAATTTGTCCAGATTTATGACTATTGTGATCCCTGACGACAATTCTATTCAGGACAGCGATGTCGAAAGTAAGCCAAGCTATGAAAGAGGTTCCGGGAACTTCAGATCTGCCTGAAGTGCACGCCGCTGACTTGGCGTGAACAGCCAACAGAAGGTCTGCACAGACGTCTCAATATATGAGATTGGTCAATACATGTCGAGAAACTGGTTCCGCACAACCTGAATCTGACTCGACGACAACAGCCGAAGCGATGACACTTGTCGACATTTGACAATGGCAAAAGTGGGAAAACGCCGTTTAATACTCCCCTGTACTGTTTTGCCGAAATATGCCAGATTGCTTTGATTTGATAGCTTTTCATTCATCACTGTCTTTACTGCCCCAAACTCCAGAATAAAGCTTGTAGCCAATTCACCTGTGCTGCTCGCATGCACTTTGTTGAAGGCGCTTCATGATGCCCCTCCCATATGGCTCAAGCTTCAATTGCTTGCAAGCTGCGCAACTTGAAGTTGCGCAAACGGCCGGTTTCAAAGGCAAGTTGCAAGTGGACCCAATCAATTTAATTGGATCAAAGGCATTGCTTGGTAACTTGGTGTCTCAGTTGGCAATTCAGCTGCAAATTTTACAACAGGGTACAGCAACATGCGCCTGAAGGCCCCCAGAAACTTCCGTGGTAAGCTAGCATTCGTACTTGGCGGTCAACTGTACACGGGTGCATGCACCCAATGAGCAACACAGGGTTGATCATGATCTTTTCTCTGCTGCCAGCTGCAGTGCATGATGAACGTCATTATCGAGCATGTGTCCATCAGTCACCCTTCTTTGCTTGAACAGCGCCCGGCGGTGGGTACCAGCGCATCGTGAACCATTTGATCGGGTGCTCGCTGCCAAAGATACGCCGCAGAGAAGCTTGCCAGTCACCACCATGGCTGGGTGCCGCCGCCTGTTGTGCACACTGTCTGTCATTGCCCAACACCGTCACAAGGAATGCCTTTATTATATCAAAAGATGAAAAAATCAGAGAAAAGTGCTGATGCGCAGCCTTTCAACAGAGGGGCAAGGACTGCGGACCAAAGACTCAATGTAAGTCTGCCCTCGCACGATCAGCCGGAGTTGTGAAGCCAGGAGGATCGTGACTCCCACGCAGGACCCGCCCGTGAGTGACATCAGGTAAGTCACGGCTGCTTGCCATGCAGGTGCCACCAGCAGAAACCTCGGCGTTACAAGGATCGCCTCCCAGTAGCGTTTGCTCTTGGCAATGGGCAGCAACAGCCTGCAATGCAAATCCAGTGTCTTACATACCGTTGCTAAGCGTGCGAGCAGACTTTGTCCTTGTGGGTAAGTATTGCAGAATAACATGAATAAAAGGATCCCCTTACCTTTGCCAAGTCATTGCTGCTTCATCCCAGCGGCGCCAGTGGAGGGCACAGCACAACAAAAATGTGTATGTGCAGCTCCAAAATAGAAAGACAAGCAAGAGGATGAAGTGGCGGATGTTGCCGCGGCCGACACAGTTGTTCAAGAAGAGACAGTGATGGTCCATGTCCATTACGCATGTCGTGCATCGACTGCGCTGCAGTTGCCACTGTCATTTCGGTAAGGTGACTGGGCCAGGAAGATGGGCCTTGCAGCAATTAATACCTGATTCGCAATGGCCAACAAAACTGATCGGCAGAGGAAGGCTGTCACCTGCAATGATGAGCCTGCGGAGGCTTCACTTGCCGGCAGTGAGTGCAAAACATGCAGTTGTCAAATGCGCCCTTCCCCACGGGTGTGTTGGTCTGAGGCATTTCGAATTCCACTGGCCCTGGCCACTCCAGACAAAAGTCAACAAGAGAAATAGAAAAGGCTACAGACGCCGAAGCAATATTAGAATATAAGTGCGCTCGTAAACGGCAGCATGTCGGCAAGGGCACCTGGTGGGCGCAGCACTGCTGCAGCAAAGTTGAAGTACGTATTTGCTGCAAGGAGCAGGGACCAAGTCAAGTGCAACGCCAGTGGAAGCCCGGAGAAGAGGTTGGGCAGCAGAAAAATGAATCCGAAAAAGGGGACGGAAAACAGCAACAGCACCACAAAGCCCACAAATGCGGCTCGAAGCGCCGGCAGGACACTGCGAGACGCATGAAATCTGGGTTACAGCCCTTTGCAGACTGGCGCTTAGGCGCTAGAGCCTTGGTGGGTACCTCCCTTTTCAGGCAGAGCACAAACTGTACTTTCTTCTTACCTTCTCAGCTTGTCGAAAGGGTGCGCCTCCCGCCTCCTTTTCCCCGAGCTGTCCAGCTGGCTGATCGCACCACACCATCCACACTGCCAGCAGGTCACAGCATTTTGTTCTCACCAGCTCAGCTTACTGCACTTCTACGTGTCTGAGAGCCAAAGTAATTTCCTGTAGCACTGCTCCAGACCCATGATGTACCTTAAAGATGGGGGCTTGAACCCCATCGGCAGATGGTATTGCAAGATGAGTTTGACATCCCCAACAAAAAACGTGCGAGTCATCAGAAGTCTGAGTCGGCTTTTCAGAATCGGTATACATTGTATTTTGACACAGATTCCATTGCCTAATTCACATCCAGCAGAAGGTAATGGCCTCGTCAACTCAGGTTGATCCAGTTACTACAAAGTTGGCTGATACGATCTGATGAAATCAAGGTTAGGATTAGCAACTAAAACTGCAGCTTCTGGTACATCTAAAAGGAACAAGCAACTGAATAGACAATTTCGGAACAGTCCCGATGCGAAAGAGAGCTTTCGGCCACGGCTGGTACCAGAGGCGAGCGGCGGAGACATCGGGGGGTCCGCATCACCTGATCGTGCAACCTTGCTAATGAATCTTGAGAGCACTATAGCGATCACTAGCCTTGAAATATCGACGTCTAGAGCGCCTTAAAGGTTTGAAAATAAAAGTTTGCTCAAGGCTGCCCTCGTTGAGCAGACCACGTGTTACTTGCCTAAGGGCAGATGCAACAGGGCGTCAGGCAGCAACATCGGATTCTAGATACATGGTCAAGCGGTTAGTGATAACGGAAATGGCAAATCCGGGAGACCTCGAGCAGGATTTCCTCCTCACGGGTGCGGCTTGGCCCATTCCCAATCTGGTACTTGTGCTAGCGCTTGTGCTCAGGCTGGTGCATCTTAGCAGTAAAACAGGCTGTCTGTTGTTTTAATCAGACTGCAGCATGCTGACGCACGCTCTCTTAGTTTGAATGGCTGTTCAAGAATGGAAGGAGCCCTGGAACGAACACACTTCTTGGTGCCAGCAGGCGATGAGACCGCCTGGAATCTGCATGATTGGAACTGGGACTCGCAAAACTTCACAGCCACTCCCAAAAAGGGCATTGTGGCTGCAGCCAAGCCATGCAGGGCTGCAAAGCGGTGTCGCGTAGGGGCACCCACTTGTTCAGGTCCTGGTAAGGACCGAGCTGCTGCTCACGCAGAGTGGCATTTCTTTCAATCGCAGAGGACATGGACCCTACCATGATTGTTGATTTCTGTCATACCCAGGGGACATACTGGATCAGCAGCCAACATGCATTGACGGCGAGGTACTTCAGATGACAGCTGGAGGTGCCTCAGGCGACATGCTCCATCAGCTTGCTCAATCGCTGCCTCCTCCTGATGGTGGCAAGCTGGGCAACACCGTAGGGGGCCCCTCCTGCCAGGTCTGTGCCATGAGCGTGCATGCCCCTCTCAAAATAATGGCGTTTGCCTCGCACATTATTGGGCATGCATGTACAAAAGATATCATTCGCAACTGAAAGGAAAGCATTTGCAGGTGGAGGGCTGCCGCAGGGAGCTCAGTGATCTGAGCGCATATCACCAGAAGTGTCGCATTTGTGACATCCACATCAAAGCGCCTTCCTTCATGAGGGCAGGTCTCAAGCAGCGCTTCTGCCAGCGCTGTGGCCGCTGTCATGAACTGGATGCTTTTGAGGGCTCCAAGCGAAGCTGCATAGCCCAGCTGGCAAAGCACAACGCAAGGTGTGATCTTCCATCTGCCTGCTGTAGGCTAATTCGCGCAACTGCCCACAGACCATGCTTGGAGTGGGATGCTGGAAGGTTCTTGCAGCTCACTTTATGTGGCCCAGCCCTCTGAAGTGCGGAATTGGCATGCATGCAGGCGGCGGCGGCAGCAGGGCACCACAGCCGCCTCAGACGATCTTTCCGCCTTGTCTTTAGACCTGGCAACAGCTCAAAGCAATGTCTTGGAGAGCCTCAACAGTCGGACGCATTCTTTGCACGTTCCCATGTCCCAGGCGCTGCCGCCAGGCTTCTCATACCAGGTGGATTTAACTTGCAGTGTGTATCCTTAACCACCAGTCAATCCATGCAGGTTTACTCATTTAAGATATAAGAGACGCGTGCGCCCTCCACTTGTTTGTTGCCTCTGTCCAGGGACTGATGGGACCCGACGTTGCTCTGGGAATCCCCATCGGCGTCCAGGGCAACATGCAGGCACACACTTCGGCAGCAATGCCCCTCATGATGAGTTCAATGCAGGCGCCACCAACCACCAGTATGGTGAGGCTTTTCCCAACATCACGATCTGAAGTGACAGGGGACCGAGGTTGTGATTGCATTGCACGACTTACTGATTTTGGGATCTGCTACAGCTGTATCTCATGCAGTGGTGTGCTGTGCAGGTATCAAGCATGGAGCAGGCACTAATGCAGATGGGCCACCCATCTGCCGCTGGCCAATTGGAATCACCTCAGGAATCCATCACTCCAGAGTTTGCAGATGACAAACCAGGACCCATCCAGCAGGTATTGCACTCTAATCCGCGTCACAGATGACCCACACTGAAGCGAACTTTCTCTTCGTTTCCCATGCTGATTCTACATGGTCTTGGCCCAGAGCCATCAATGAACACCGTGATAAGAGTGCATTTGTGGTTGCAGCAGCCTGTGACAGCAGCGAGTGCGGTGGCGGCGGGGCTGCCGGCCGCGGCTGCGTATCAGGCGAACAGCCTTGTGGTGCGGCTGTCGGTGAAGCTATTCAACTGCACGCCAGGAGACCTGCCGCAGGGCCTGCGCGAGCAGCTCTGTAATTGGCTCTGCGCCACACCCGCTGGCGCTGAGGGCTACATCCGACCAGGCTGCCTCCACCTCACCATGCAGGTGCTAGATGGCTGCCTCCACCTTTCCCACGATCCACAGATTTCGTTCTGGTTTCACTCCTTCCCTGCAGATGCACCCTGCCTCTCAGCAGAAAGATGCGTGTAGTAGTAGATGATTGTTGTTACCATGTGCAGAGGCAGCATGCTTGATGGGCAATGTGCCTTGTAGACTGTCTAGTGCCAGACTGAGTGGATCCTGCGTTGCATGGACAGGTGCATGTGGACGCGGCTGCGGAGGTGGCGGAGGGAGTGATGCCGGTGGTGGAGAGCCTGCTGGAGCAGCCGGGGGAGTTGTGGCGCACGCACCGCATGCTGCTGCAGCGCGACGCGGAGGTGGCCCTGGTGCACGACGGCCAGCTGCAGTCCGTAGCAGTCGCGCTGTCAGCCCAACAACCAGGCAACACCCAGCCCCTCATCCGTGAGGTGGGCTTGCATTCCCATATCTCATTTAAAATGCGAAGAAGTACACAGCAATCGTTCATATGATAGGGTCGGCTTGAATGAGGGCCCGAGACGTGTCCTTGACTGGTATAGTGTGGCTGAATGCATCTGTTGTTCTTTGTGCAGGTGTTGCCAAAGGTGGTTGTGTGCCAGGAGGGCGCCCATCAAGACATCGCCGTGCAGGTGACAGGGGTCGGCCTGGCCTCTGCTGACACCACCATCCTGGCCCGCTGCCACGGGCACTACCTAGAAGTCCAGGTGTGCTCCTCACCCAAATTGACTTTGGGGCTAACACTGCTCTCCATGTCTTAATATTGTCTAAACGCTCCCCAGGGCAGGAATCACCCAGATACTGCAATCGGTGAGCAATCTCACTGTGCTGTGGTGCGTCACAGGTGGAGGGTGAGCAGAGCGAGGGTGACAAGTCCCTGCTGAGCCTGAGGCTGCGCGGCCCGGCAGCCCCCGGGCTGGTGTGGGTGGAGACGCAGCATGGTGTCATGCTCAGCCCTGCCACGCCCTTACTAATCCTCCCCGCGGGCCTTCACGACCTGGCCGCAGATGTGCTGCGCATTGTATCAAGCCCCGCCAAGCAGGAGGCATCCGCTGACTCCCAGCGCAAGTGCTGCGACGGCTTCCTGGCGGACCTGGGCCTGGTGATATCACAGGCTGGTGCCTTGCCGGGGCCGGCCGGCAGCACTCTAGAGCACCCTGCGGAGCAGCTCACGTGCGCCGCCGCACAGCCTGGCCCACCGGTGAGTGTCTTACCCAGCTTCCCCTGTGCTGTGTCCTATATATTTGTACTCTCGGAGAAGCTGACCAGAATATTTATTCTGCACAAGGCTATTACGCTGCAAAGGCACCTCACACATCTCTGAAGATTCATATGGGTCTATGGCATCGTGGTTGCCTTGGCTGTTGAGCTCAAAGTGCTGCTCATTGGGTTGCAATGTTGAGCGGTGGATGTCTCTATGCCAGGTAACGGCCACTCTGGTGACGAGGACGGCGCGGCACCTGCTGGCGTTTGCATGCGACGCGGGCGCGCCGGCTCTGGCGCACTTCCTGCTCCCCAGCGCGAGCGTCGGCTGCCGCAGCGCGGCGGAGGTGGTTGCGGCTGTGGACGGCGTGGAGGCGCAGGGTGGAAGCACGCTGCTGCACCGTGCCGCGCGCTCCGGCTCCGGGCCGCTGTTGCGCGGGCTACTGGCCTGGGGGTCCACCAATGGCTACCGCTGGAAGGTGCAGCATCTCAAAATTCCCCATGGTGGAATATCCATGAAATGGTCCCCTGCGCAACGAGCAGACATCAGACATTCTTGAGCCTGCCTTGGCATGCCCCCATGTCATTACCAGCGTGGCCAGCCCGCTTGATCTGCACAGTGAGTGAGTGCCTTCAAGAGAAAGTTTCGGACCGCATCGAGAAAGTTCCCGCTGCTCAGGCGGACGCGCGGGATGCAAATGGGTTGACTCCCCTGCATTTCACTGCCATCGTGCCGGATGCTGACCTGGCGGTGCACCTGCTGCTTGCATGCGGCTGCAGCCCGCGGGTTTGGTTCACTGCCGCGGCGGACGACGGCCTCACGCCAGCACATTTTGCTGCCCGCGTTGGACGCAACGATCTTAATGAGCGGATGCTGCTCCTTGCACAGGAGGCACAGGTACTCCCAGCCCTTTTCCCTTTGTTGTGCCACTAATTCACAACACTGTAGAACCAGGAGGCACAGGTACTCCCAGCCCTTTTCCCTTTGTTGTGCCACCAATTCACAACACTGTAGAACCTTGACAATGCATGCATTCTCGGACGCTCTTCACTGGGTGTGATGCATTCTGGATAGAATTGAAAAAGTTCGGAGAGCTGCTCACTGACTCACATTTGTTGCTTGCGCAGCCTGGATCACTGCCGATCAAGCCAGGCTGCGGGTGCACTTGCGGCGACGCGTGCGCGTGCAGCCGCTCTGGGATATGCCGCTGCGCCGCGGCCTCTGAAGGCCCCAGCTGTGGTGGCTCCGGTGGCCACTCCTCCGACGCAGGGGCCGTCTCAAGTGGCGGACAGAGCTCTGCCGGCGGCTGCTGCGGCAGCACCGGTAGCTGTGGGGGGACGGTTGTGTATGCCGATAGCGTGCCATCCGCTTGCAGTTCCAGTGATGGTGCACTGGCGCCAGCAGGCAACCGCCCCATGTCAGCCTGTTGCGTCGGGGTGTCGCTGTGATTTATGGATGGTATTTTGCTCTAGCGTGCATGTTGCAAATGTCCAATTTTCGTAGCTGGAATGGTTGAATAAATAGACAGTGTTGTTTATGACACAGGAATGATATGTCGCTGGGTTTGCCATGTCATAACATTGCAGCATTTAAAACATTGACCCCTACATCAAGTTCCAGCCAATGCTCAGACCTTGATGGTTTCACCTGTTGTGAAGTATGCCCATTCTCATCGCATACTTTTTGAAGTTGAAAACGCGAAATTCAAAGTTGACAGTGCCAGAATGGTCGGCCCAGCACTTCTGTTTGCGAAATTGAGGCAGTCGTGCAAGGGCCGGGGAGGACTACCCCTGCTGTAAAAGTACACTTTGTGTGCAATTATGTGTTATCATGACTGTTAATGTCAGGTCTGCATGTGCATGCGTTGTGTGCACATACGTGTGCCCGCCATTGTAATATGCTCTGTTCACTTTTTCTAAGAAAGATTACCAAGAACATTTGATACACGTCTAGAAATTGAAATCTCAAGGACGCCGCGCACACGCGAGTCTGGGACTCAAGGAGTCCCAGAGAGGATCACTTTGCGCAGTTTCTAATAGACTCCCGGGAAAAGTGTTCATTTCTGGGACAACATGCAGTCGCTGTATCAATCTGCCCAGAAACAGAAGCAACAGCTGTTCCAATTTGCGATTTACAGATACAGTCCTTCAAAGGTGAGGTTCATTGACAGATTCGTGCCCAGGGCAGGGCGCAGCACTTTGTGTACATGATGCCGGGACATGCTGAACAACTGCAAAGCCAATCAAGCGGTGACGGCGCTGCCATTGCTGTATGCTGCCTTGGGCTGCACTGCAGGGGCGATGTGCACCTGGCCATCGGCACTCTGGCCCACGGCAAAGCCGGGCATGGGGAAAGATGAGGCAAAAGCCTCCACCTTCTTCTTGATCTCTGGCAGGCGCGGGTCGGCCTCAATTACCCTGGCGCACACAAACAAAGCAATTAGGTCCTGTTTAGCCAAGAGAGTATGCAAACACGAACACAGAGCGAGCGCCTATGAAAAGAGAGAGAGCTGCCTCGCAGGTGCAAGATTGTCAACTCATGATGTACAGGTCAGCGACTGGTTAAGGTGGTGAAATGTGCATACGTTGTGCTCATGCAACAATGTGAGTGAAAGATCCAGTGTGAGGAGCTCACTTGAGCCAGTCCTTGTAGAGCTTGCCGGTCTTGTTCTGCACGTCGATGACAACTCCCAGCACCTGTTCACAGCACCCAGCAATCAGCACTTGGCGCATCCCAAACGCCACGATTAGTGCTCAACCCAATCACCTTTCAAAGTGAGACACAATTGCCTCTGGAGCATGGGACCACAGAGGCAATGACACCCTTCACAAAGCCAGGATGCATGAAAGCACACACAGAAGCAGGGGCCTTGCCTCGTGGAGCAGGTCGGCGATGGTTTCAAACTCGGCCTCCTTGAGGCCGCGCGATGTCATGGCGGGGGCACCGATGCGCACGCCGCCGGGGGCCAGCGCGCTGACGTCACCCACGACCGCGTTCTTGTTCAGCGTGATGTGCACCAGGTCGCACGCCTTCTCCATCTTGTTGCCGTTCACGCCCTGTGAACCAAAGCAAAATTTCCTCTTCTGCTGGCAATGATGATTATTCTTAGTATTATTACGTTTCAGACCTTTTGGGAGCCACCCGAGGCTCATTGGTCTTGTAGGCAGTCTGTCACTGCCCATCTTCATATCGCAAACTTTCCCATGTGTCTGCATTCCGTCAGAATTCTGACAATGATGCCCTCACAGTAAAGTGGTAGGGTAATACTTAAACTGCCAAGCTTACAGATAGTGTGAAGAGTGTGTGCATGCAGAAGAGAAAAGGTGGACAAGGCACGTTCAAAATAGGAATTTACCTCTGGGCGCAGGTCCCACAGGACGAGGTGGTTGTCGGTGCCGCCGGTGACGAGCTTGTAGCCGCGCTTGGTCAGGTTGGCGCCCAGCGCTGACGAGTTTGCGCGAATCTGCAATCGATTCACAATCCTGTCAAGGTGCCTCCTTGCTTGCAAACTGCACTATCAGAAGCTCAAAAGACCAGTCGGCATTGTGACCTTGTTCCAAAAGAGGCAGGGTGCCTGTTCATGATCTGACATCGGTGGCAAATGAACGGACACAACAGAGGCAAAAATTAAGGGAAAAGGGAGGGAGAGGCACCTGCTTGGCGTAGGTCTTGAACTGGGGCGATGCGGCGTACTTGAGCGCGACGGCCAGCGCTGCGATCTGGTGGTTGTGGGGGCCGCCCTGCAGCGAGGGGAACACGCTGAAGTTGATGCGGTCCTCAAAGTCGTACGCCGCGTCCGCAGCCTCGCCCTTCACCGCGCGCTCACCCTTGGGGCCCTGCACCGCGCACCCACACCCTCCCTCTGTCAGCACATGCGCCTCCACGGATGGATGGCTAGGAACAAGTAGAAAGCCTTACTGCTGGCAAGGCAAAGCGTGGTTCAGATTACTCACGGAATGCTGATGGCCTCCACCGCACATTGACAAGAGCAGCTTAGGAGAGCTGCATTGAGACTTTGCTTCTGTTTTTTTTAGTCTCATAGAGCTGGAAAGGGGCTAGGGACTGAGCCGAGGGCGCACCACGCGGAAGAAGATCATGCCGGCGCGGGGGCCGCGCAGGGACTTGTGGGTGGTGGTCGTCACCACGTCGCAGTACTCGAAGGGCTGGTCCAGCTCCTGAGCCGCCACCAGACCGCTGCAGCCCAGCACCAGCTTGTCAGTACATGCACAGTCCCAGAAACAAGCTCTGCTACATACAGTGCAATCTCCCAGCTCGTACAACAAGCTGTCAATTGCGAAAGGCCTCTTCATGGGCTGCTTCTAAGCTGTTCCAACTGTGGATGGTGATGAATTAAGGCTGGCATAGATGTAAGGAGCTTGGCGGAGGGAGGGTGGGTGGGTCACCTGTAGTGGGCCATGTCGCACATGAGCAGCGCGCCGACCTTCTTGGCGATGCCGTAAAGGCGCTTGTAGTCCCACTCACGCGGGTATGCAGAGCCACCGCAGATGAGCATCTTTGGCCGGAAGTCGAGTGCCTTCTCCTCCAGCTTGTCATAGTCAATGTACCCCGTCTGCGGTGCAGCATCAACATGTTGAGTCATCCTTTCAATATTATAGGAACTCTTGCCTGAGAACTTTTGACAACAGAACTTTGCTGGTCGCTACAGATGATCGAGTGAATGAACCCCCCGGATGACAGAAAGAGGCATAACAAGACTATCACATTTGGGTGCGGCTCGCTGCATGATAGGTGCGTTGTCGACAGGAACTCAGACCCCTCAAGATAGATTGCTCGAGAGTGGTGGTGCTGTGGCTTTACCTCGGGGTTCAGCTTGTAGGGCAGGGACTCGAAGTAGATAGAGGTGGCCGAGATCTTCTTGCCATTGGCTGTGTAGTAGCCGTGGGTCAGGTGGCCACCGCTGGGCAGGTCCAGGCCCATGATGCGGTCATGGGGCTGCAGGAGGGCAGTGTACACTGCAAAGTTCGCCGGACTGGCGCAAGAACACACACAGAGCAGTCGGATGCCTGACAAGCTTACAGCATCCAGGTGTAAACGTGACATTGGCCTATGTCACCCCTTCGTTGGGAGAAGAGACGATCGCTTTTCAAGATCATGGTGACGAGCAAGGTTGCTCATTCCATTTGCACGTTTGATCATGAATGAACGCCACCAATAAAGGACATTTCTGAGGTGAAGTTTCCACGACATCAAGGTCTCAATACAAGGGGCGCTGTCTACCTTCCGGAGTACGGCTGCACATTGACCCCCCAGCTCTCAGGGCTGAGATGAAACGCCTCCAAAGCGCGAGCCTTACACAAGAGCTCGATGCGATCGGTGTTGACGTTGCCGCCGTAGTATCGAGCTCCTGGCTGACCTTCAGAATATTTATTGGTGAAGCATGATCCCAGCGCCTCAATGACGGGCTGCGAAGTGAAGTTCTCGGAAGCAATCAACTCAATCCCCTTCCTGCGATTTGAAGGAATTATTTTGGATTCAGTGCAATCTTCAATGTTACACAACAGATTCAAGACGCGCCAGAAGGCATCAAGTGACCTCAGCCCATGTGCAACGATCCAACGACTTCGAAAGAAATTAGCAGTCTCAGGGATCGAAAAGAATCAGCAGAAGCTTCACCACTGCCTCTCCTCCTCATCCTTGATGATACCAAACACCTCAGGGTCGGCCTGTGCCAACGGCGTCAGGCCCTCTGGAAACACTGCTGCAAAATTCTGCTGAGCCATGGTGCTTCTTTCCAGTATCTACGGTCAAAGTTTCCAGGCCAAGTGATCACGGTGTGCTTCACTTTGCCGCTCGGCGTGGGGAGCCCGGCTTCCGGCGTTCAAACAACCCTGATCTTGCCGCCTAAAGTGGCTCCCAAGTGACATGACCCTCCACCGAGCTCGCACTACCCTAAATATCTGTGCACTAATGTTGCGATCACCAATCTGGCATCCACTCTACTTCTTGGTGTCTAATCATCAATTTAGTTGTGCGCGGATCGGACGCCCACACACTCCTGGGTGCCACCGTGGCTGGGCGCCCGGTCACTGCCGGCAGTTGCTGGCATGTTAAACATACTAGTAGTATCATACATGATTTGTATTAGTAATTAAAGGACCAGTGGCATCAATGGTCATTTATGTTCATCATTCATCATATGACATCATCAACTTTTATTAACTCATGGCCACAATGGTGCACCGGTCAGAGTGGCAGAATTCAAATCTCTAAAAGGTACCGGTAAGAATGGTGCTGGTACCATCATGAGCCTCAAGCTTGCTCAGTACTACTTAGCTTAAGCTCAAGCTTAAGCCCAAGCCTCTAAAAGTGAGCAAACCCATCGCCCTCGCCTGCTGACACAAAGAGGACATACTGGTCCCCTGGCAGCACAAGCAGGATGTAATCATTCTCGCCACCCATGCCTGGTCCACGGCCATGCTCCGTCCCCAGCCATGACAGAGGAGCATCCACGAAGCCCCACACAGACACAGCAGCCCAGGGGCAGACACCACGTGCTACTTCATCTCTGCAGAAGGTGATGGCTTCCATGATGCTGCATGCTGGCAGCAGCCCCTCCCATGCCAGGCACGTCATGTCTGCAAGTATTGGTTGAGTCTCCTCTGAGTCATGCTGGCTGAAGCTGCCTGGCACACCAAAAATGGCCATCAGTCTGGCTGCACCAGGCCATAGCAATTGGATCGTGTGCCAGGCTTGATGATCCCCTTCACCTGCCTTTTCCAAGTTACTAATCTATTAGACATATCAGACATACCTGCAATGCCACATGCCATGGCGCCAAGCCACTCATGAACCCACTTGAGCTCCTCAACCACTCTCTCTTGTTCTGCAGCACAGATCAAGCGTGAAGGATTCGGTGGGGTAGCAGCACATTCCGCAGTAATTTGTGGAATTCAGCAGAGTAAGAGCAGCACATGTCAACCCCGTTGCAGCAGAGCTGAGAGGTCACCTGCCATGCTCTCAGATGCATAGCCTGAATTTTCCTTAACCAGGCTGCCCCAGACTGGGACTGGAAACCCTTCCTTGGTCCATGAGTTCAGGATAGGCTGCTGTTGCATGCTGAAGCTGACATCAGGCAGTGCTGAGTAGTCAACCTCTGCGCCTCTGCCGTCGACTGTCTTCACACACAAGAAGTCCATCTCACTTGTGTGCACCCGCAGGCATTGAATGACCTGCAGGAATTTGGAGTCTGTCTTAGGATGTAAATGCATGTACACTGACCTTACCAGCAAGGATTGTTGCATAACGCCTTGCCTCACCCTCTTGTAGAAGTTGCTGTCACTGGAAAAGCTCCTTCCAAGCAAGTTGATCTCAACTCGATACAAATCTGCGAAATCATAAACCAAACATGATTGCCTGCATGGGGTCCTCACTTGCACTTCCGTCTAACACATTCCATGTGACAGCAACCAGGTCCAAAGGCGTCATGTGCATAGGAATGTGCCTGGATCATGGGAGACATGCTGTCCAACGAGCCCCAATCGCTCATACGTGTGCTTTGTGACGGAGAGGATGAGATGGCCATCTGGTACAATACCAGCAACATCGGTCCTGTCTGTAGGTGTGTTCACTGAGAGCGCACTAAATTGGGCACATGAGCCTCTGATGTGTCTTTCTAGGAAGTCAGCTTCAAGAAGGGCAGCTAGATTGCATCGAATCAGGTTGTAAGGACAGCTGCTGTACGGCTGATCTGCGACAGATACTTGCGAATTTTCTTTGGCCCTGGAAGGAGAAGTACTCAAATCATCAGGAGGATCTACAGACTCGACGCCCGCTTCAGCTCCCACTTCCTGGCTTTCTTGATGAATGTGGGATGTTTCATTCGTTCTAGGTAAATAGATCTGCAAAGCGCTATTAAATGGATGGCTGGCAACGAAGTGTTCAATGGACGACTTTGGATGCAGAAAGCTGCTGCACCGAATCACGACCCTCGCACCCTTCCTAATGGTCATACAGATGCACTGAAATCCCCATGGGTCGAGTCATGTCAAAGGAAGAAGCATCATGTGTGGCACAGATGACGCAGTCCGCTCGCATGTGCCGAACGTCCCAGTCACCGCCCCGGCGTCACCATCCATGATCAGATGCACAACCTGTCTTGGGAAGCATTAATTCTTATGCTAAAAAACCCTTCAAGACAGATTATAGATTCAAAACTCCTTGCATTGCCTTCCATCACCCCCCTGTTACTGTGCGGCCAACACACTGCGAATTTTTAGACCGGGACATCTGTGCTTGTTTCGTGTAGCATGGGGGTCCCTGCTTGGTGGGCGGCAGGATTGGCGGTCCCAGCTGTGATTGTGAAGGGATTTGTTGGAGGGCGCAGCAAATCCAGGAAAGAAGAGGAGGCAAGGACAAGGTAGGGACGCAAAGGCTGAAGACAGTGTACAAGCTAGCCTATTTCTCTGATGGAAAGGGCTCCAATGCAATTGCTTTGTCCAATTTGTGCATCAGTGCCAATTGCCATCGTTGTGCGAGACCCTGCTGACTCCTGTGACTGTTTCTTTTTCTTTCTTCGCAACAGGCCAGAGGAGGGCACAGACCCCAGCTTTGTGTGTGAGCGCGTGTGCACATCAGACAGGCTTCTCCGCCGCATGGGTGGTCTCTCAAAGGATCCAACCCCCAACACATGCGTAACAGTATGCGGTGTCTCAGGTGAGCAAGTGCTGTGCTGCACCTGTGACAGATTTTTCCTCCCAAGATAGGCATCATGTCGCCTGCTGAATTGGCCTCTTTGAGTTGCTGCTTAAGGCATGTGCTTGCTGCTGCAGCAACGGATGCCTGCACAGAGGCGTGCCAGCGAGGAGTGTGCACAAACATGCACCAGGTGCCAGCATGGAACGACGCATGCTTGAAGAGATGCACCACAGAGTGCACACGAGGGCGGACCTTCTGACGTCTTGCTCTGTCTTGCTTCAAGGGGAAGCAGATTCTGCCATGCTGGCGCTGGATTGCAAGCTCCATTGAGCATCTTGCAGCGACAGAGCTTGCTGTTGAAGAGAGCTGACTTGCACAGATGCCTCCAGCCTGGGAGCCCTCCTGAGGAGCCCAGCTGCAGTGTTATTCTCTGCACTGAATGCAACGCTAATATGAGCTAAGAGATGCAGTGGAACTGCAAGAGTCCTACTCCAAAGTAGATCGTACATGGCTACGATAATCAAATTGACTGCTTATATGCTTCTGCTCCTCACATTAATATTGTGGGCTTTAATTTGTCCATCTGACGTGGTTTGTCACCATGGGCACATGTGTGTTTGTACCTCGGGCTGATGCTTGGATGTGGATGCATAAATGGCACATTCTACAACTTTGGTTGCCTGAAGACATATTTGAAAGGAAGAAGATATTCACACACGCATGTACAGAGACAGATTTTGTCTTTGCTTTTGCTCTCAGTTGTTGCAACCTGAAGTGAGCAGTTCAACGTGCGGTCATCCCAGTGATGCCAAAAAATCCATCCAAGGAGGCTACTATAGAATCAGCACACCAGACTGTGCAACTAACGTCTGCTCACAAGTATCATTCAACTTCTCCAATGCAATCACACAGCAGCTGTACAGCAGTTTTCTCTGGTGGCCCCTGTCAAAAGAGCGGATCCCATAAAAAGAACTCCTCGCAATCATATTTTTACTCTGATTCAACATGCAGCAGACATTTGACAAGGCCCCACCACTCACTAGTTGGGCTGCCAGATGTAGCGTTTAAAACAATTGGCAATGTACGTGGTCTGACTATCACTGCAGCATAGTCATGAGTGTTCTGCTTCCACCAGTCATCACTGGAAAAAGCACCATTTTCTTAAGGAACGAAATGGGATCTGTTGAGGACAGCACTGTCGTACGTATGCACGACGTGCAGGCATGTCACAATGCTACTTCTCCTGAGTATCAAGGACACACTGCAAACTGCAGATGAAAGAATACTTGAGTCACTGGCGTTGGCAGCAGCGTGCATCCTTCCCTGAACGGACTGCTAGCAGCATAACCACCACATCTTGGCAGAAATACATAGGTCATATGACAAACTCTTGGCTGTGCCACATCCTCACCCAGCAGAGCTTGTGCCTTTCTTCCCTTCATCTCATATCATACAACAGCATTTCACCAACTAGCTGCTCGGTAAAGCATCTTAGATGATCAAATTGCAGTATGGGCGCAGTGCAGTATTGCGTAGCGCCCAAAACGCAAACGCGCACACTCAGGGCCTCTGACAAGCCCAGATTTAGACCGTACAACCTCAGCAGAAAATCACCACAATCATGGCGCGCTGAAGTCACCGGCTCAAATCTGGACATTGTGGAAACCCAGTGCACAACAAGTCTTTGTCGCATTTTCCCTACAAGTGATGATTAGACGAGTCATCTGTGAGGCGGGTGAGGTTGTCAGCCCACCCGCTGGGCTTTGAGTCAGCGACTCACTCATTGCGCGTGCCTGCAGAGCCCATCAGGAGCCCCACAGCCACAGCAAACATGAAGAGCATGCCAGCCTGCGCAGAGACAGTGCTCAATGCCTCACTGACTCAAGAAATGTGATGCACAGGAATCTATGATATTTCTGGCAAAAAAGATAGTGAGCTTGAAACTCACCAGCAGGATGTAGGTCCGCTTGGATGACCTGAAGTACTCTCCAAAGAGGACTACTCCCCAGATGGTGCTCACCAGAGGAAGGGCCTGCAGAAGTAGCACAATATTCAGGGGCGCATAGCGTGCATGCCTTATTGCAAGCGTTGAATGACTGGTGAAGTATTGCCACCAGCAGAAGTGAACCCAGGTCCTGTACAGTATACCTAGCAAATAACAAAACGTTATAAGATATACGTCTGAAAGGGAGCAGTGGCAAGGGTGATGGAAGGCCGGACCTGCACAGAGTCAGCTGCAGCATATCCAGCGGCCTGCAATCACACACCAGCACCTCAGAGACATTGACAGCATGCCAAGCAAGTGCACATGCATTGCTATGCACCAGCCAAGAAGACAAACACACAGGGCTCAATCTGCTGCAAGCAAGGGCCCAACCTGGCCTCCCATAAATTGGAAACTGTTGCCGAGGCCGCAGATGATGCCGGCCAGCACCGCCCACAAACGGCCATTCATGTCCTTGAAGTACTCGGGCAGGGAGGACTTTGGCGCGCCCAGGATGGGGAAGTACAAGAACACCGTGTTCACAATCCTGCAAGGCACAAGTACCTCACGCGAAATCATGTCTACACATAATATGGATTTTTGATCATCATATACATCTACAGACTGGAAAACCCAGAGACCAACTATTTCGCAGTGTGCGGCATTCAGAGCTCATTGTGTGTGTGAACTTATCAACTGGTGCTGACATGCGGAAGGTAGATCAACTCACAGGGAGAAGATGAAGAAGCTGGTCGAGAAGTAGAAGAAGGCAGTGTAGATGACCAGATGGGGAACACCCTCTGGCAGCCGATTCCACTGATCATTTGTGGCCAAATTGCTGCAAAGCACAACCGCACATGCATTAAAATCTTAAAATTGCGTTTGTATTGTCACATGGAAGCATCATCTTTGCATATACAAGGGAGGTAAGGGGATGACTTACAAGGCGGGACTGAACAGGGCGTAGCAGGTGCCATTGAAGCACAGAATGAAGACGCCAATGAGGACACTGTTGCCCACGACCTGCGCCCCGGAGGAATCCCAAATCAAGGCTTTCCTGCCACGTGCATGCTGATGCTTCGTGCTGTACCAGACATAGACATGCCAAATCTTGGCCATTGCAAGAAGTAGATATAGAAGGACAGGAATAGAGCACCAAGCAATACAAAAGTCACACTCATCTCTCTTTTCGCCAGCTCCAGCTCAGCGCTGGCCGCCTGATCAGGACAGAGGCAGTGGTCAAGGGGCGTACCTTGATGGAGCGCCTGCTCTCGACATCGGCCAGAAACTGAGCGCTGCCGCGAGCGCTGCTGCCCTCACTTTTGGCGCCTGCCTTCTCAAGGTCCACGCCGACACCCCTTGCTGAGTCATCCAGGCCGTCCTTCGTCACATCTGGAAAAGACAGACCCTTGTGATCGCCTTGCATTGCTTCAGTCTATCTGGCAGAGTCTCAGGCTTGAAAGATAAGTGGCAAGGGGCAAAGAGGACTTGTGACTTGCAGGCTCACCGTGGGACGGAAGGGGGTCATGCTCCTCCTTTGCTGTCATGCTGCATCATTGAAACAAGCAGTGTTACTACTTTCCAGCCAGAAACAAACCATTACTGGGGTCAGCCACAACGTTTGCCAGGGTGGCCATCCCCATGGAACCAGCCACATGACATGCGACAAGGCTGTTGCCAAATTGAAAGCCCACAAATTGTAAAAAGTGCATCCGAGAACCTACTTGCTGAGCCAGCCCTTTGAGGACTTCCTCCCCATTTTGGTATTGTGGTCGTCCATATTCGAGGCATGCACAAACAGCCCTGTGATGGCGGCAATCAGAAAGCACGCCACACCCGGAAACAGGATCTCGGCCCTGTTGATGCGCCCATCCAAGAAGTAATTCCTGCATGCATTCCAATACCATTCTCAGATCAGCCCCCTTCGCAACACAGCGCACGTTTGCACCAGCACTGTGCCTGACTCAAGATGTCAGACAAGAGACTGACATTATCAGGAAGGTACAAGATGGACCATGATGGAGGGGTTGGGTCGCACAGGATGGTGCCGCCGACCACTGTGAGAGAGGATCCAACGACCTCTGTGATGGACAGATTTGTATATGCCAACGCATACTGTGTGCCAATATTGCCCAGGCAGAGGAGAATGCCTCCAGCCACAGCAAATCCAACCGAGGGCCCATTGTCCTGCAATAGCATAATCATATTAACAGTACAACGTTGTACAACAGCATATTCATGTTGTACAACGCACTAATTCACTTAAGGTTTATGTATTACGCAGCCAACACAATGAAGGCAATTGCAATGCTGTGATGAACATAAGCCTGGTGTGCCGCCTAGTTCACAGCAGAGAAATTTAGCACCTGGTGGAGCTGTGGGATGAAGTTTGGCGTCTCTTCTGTTGAATAGCCGATCTGACCAAGGGTCAGGGCAATGATGATGGCAACCAAGTAGTTGAAGATGCAGTAGTCCATAAATGTATGCTGGGGTTTCTGCACATCAGAGGAGATGGTCAGATTGTCCTGCCATCAAGAAACTGATGTTTGGCCGTTTTGAAAATCAAGTCTAAAGGTGACTTGGGATGCTTGTTTGAGAGTTTTGATATGATGCCGTACCCGCCCGCGTCGCTCGAGAAGGTTGAACAGTGCGGGCCAAGTTCCCTGCGTGATCGGAAACCCTCAGGCCCCTGCATCACTGCTTGGCAACATCTGCAAACGGTGGATACATCAAAATGACTGGAAAGTAAGGAGCTTACCAGCAGGATAAGTGCCGCAATCATGAGGACCACGCCACCCCCCTGCACAAGGTTTTCAGCCAATAAGTCAGGATCGCGACTATAAATACAAAGGTTTCACCAAGCAAACTGGACTCACACATCAGAAAAGTTTGGTCACGCAATCTGGTCAATGAAGGGGCCGAAAGCGAGCAGCGTCGAACGTTTAAACTTACTTTTGAAGTGACGACATACATCCTGGCCCGGTCTGATCGTCAAGCCAGGAACTTGATGCACAGGCTCAGATAAATCAAGAGCTTGCAGGACGACAGCGAATTGCTTTTCTTGTCCACTTCCTGCTACGGGAGGAGCAATGGCAGATTAGGGCTAGATGGCATCGGAAAGATTGCATGTGGATCCCACGTGGATGTGCATGTGATCTTTCCCCTTCCCAGAAAGTTTTCTTTAGAGGATGGCAAGATCGGTGTTGTTGAATCGTTTCAGGAATGTCTGCATGTCATGCTTGCCTTCACTGTGATAAGCGGAGCCAACATCAGCTGATGAATGCTAAGCTGAATTCACGGAATTCGAACCCACGGCTGGCTCGCATGTGTGGCGGTTTTGGCCACTAGCTTATTTAGTAAGACCTTTCTTTGAAAGCCGGCTGCAAAGACTGTATTTTGATGTCCCGGTCAGTTGCTCGTTCTAAAAATACATAACAACTTGCCAACAGTTGCCAGTGCCAATGAATGACAGTCAAAGTGACGCAACTGGAAAAGCAGAGTCTCTTGTTGCTGGCGGACCAAGCCCCAATCATGGGCAGTCACTGGTGGCAGGCACGGTGCTGCAGCTGCTCAGGCCTTGCCAGATCCAGAGCACTGCAAATGACAATAGTACCTAGAAACCGCACTACTTTCTCAAGTTGCTCCTGCCATGGTCAGCATGTGCTCCAGTCCAAATCTGCAAACTACAAATCTGTCCAATATGAGCACGTGAATCCTCAATGTCCTTGCTCTGACGCGTCACCTCTTCTTTCCTGCAATGAGAGCCAGGACATCTGGTGCCAAGATCTGCGCTTCCTCGCTGACTGGATCTGTTTTGGCTCTCTTCTGGCCATAGGTTCTGAGCACCCTGCTTCCTTTTGCAGGTTCCACCACCTTACTCTGCGCCTGTTCCTTGCCCGATCCTGCCCCTTCACTCTCCTTTTCCTGACGCTGCAGGCCACACAAGACATTGTTATTCACATAAGCCCCTGCACCAGTTGCACATGTGCAGGGTACATATCCAAGCTGTATATTTGGTGTCTCTGTTTGTAGTACACCCTACCTTCCGCTTGCGCTCCTGCTGGGCCGCCACTGCCTTTGCTTTGTCGACTCGGGACAGGTAGAAGTCGCGCTCACGCTTGGCTGCAGAGATCTCGGCAGCCAGCCTCTGCTCCCGAATCGCCTTCTGGTACGCTGCAACCAGCCACACATCCCAGCCTTTGTTCAGCAGTCTCCAGAGGACTCTGTCTCAATTGCACGAGCTGGCTCACTGGTATAAAAAGACATGATCTAGGCAGCACGTGAGAAGGTAGACATGCACACACGTATGGTCACTGGCACATCAGGAGAACTTGCAACCAAACAGGCATTTGAGCAAGTTTGTTGCAGAGGCTACACACCGATCTCCTCGCTCAGGTGGTCCCACTTGAACTTGCTGAGATATTTCAAGCACCACAAGTCATAGTGGTATGCTGACCGCCTCTTCCCTCCCATGGGATTGCCGTTGAGCATGGAGGCCACCTGTTTTGCAACTTGCTTGTCCTCAAACTCCACCCAGCCCTCTGAGAAGTTCTTTCCGGTGTTCTTCCCCATCTTTTTCCTCCTCTTCCTTGCTGCCGCATCTGTTCATGTGTGAAAGACACACCTCAAATGTGCAGACTGACAAACCAATTGAAGTCTTTTACGCGCGAAAGTCACACAAGAAGCGGCGCACACGGCCCTGATTTTGACAATCAGTGCTCACACGCTGTTGCTGCGCATTGGCACGCTACTTTGACAGCCCTCTGCCAAGTGGGGAGGCTATGGAGCCCACTGTCCAAAAGCTGCCTATCGATTGGGAGGGATCACCTTCTGGGGCCAGATATATCCGCCCAATCTCCCCATACTGGGACAGCATGTGCCGCAGCTTTTGAGGCTTCTGCAAAGCAGGCACAAAGCCAAACCTTGGAACAAGTATAGTGGAAGCATAGTACATTCAGAAAAACTAGCTTGGGCTAACACTCACCATGTGTGGGGGTATCCTACTGATGTAGACTATGCCTGTAGGTCAGAAAGATGTTCTTTGAGTGCGTCAGATAGATGGATTTATGTGACAACAGCTGCATCGCGTCCAGGCAACAGCACACGATACCTTTCTTGGCATATGCATCTTTGAGCTTTTGCAACTTCTTCTTGAGCTTTCTGCGATTCGAATTTTCCTTCGATGCTGCATCTTCCAGATCCTGTTCCTCGCGCTCTTCTCCGTGGCTCTCACTTTCTTCTTCTGACTGCGCTGCTGCTGGCTGCAGATCGTCTTCTTCCATGGCGAGAATCTTGCTATAGGCCGAGGTCCGGCATACAGTCACACTAGTACTTTCAAAAATATTTGGTGCCTTGATCAGAATGAAAGAGTCCTTAGAACTGCAAGCTAGACTGCTCTAGTTCTGCAAACACGCTTGGACGCTCAAGTTTCGTGATTTTTTTGCCAGGTTACGCTTCGCAACTCTCAGACTGTATTCACGCGTACTGGTGTCCTTCTCTGTAGCAATTGAGCTGTGCAAATTGTTTTGAGAGAGAATGGAGCTTCACCGGAAGCCCTCATATCCCCTGGTATCCATCGACGACCCTAGGGCTGATCAGAAACCCTTCCGATTTCTCCGAAATGGGTTCCGATACAAAGGTGTGAGAAACCTGGAGAAGCCTCGAACAGTACCAATTTGTATCGAGAAATTATTTCATATTTCATAATGACCAGCACAGCGGTTCTGGGCGCAGCAGGGCCTACGGGTCTCGAGTGTGTCAAGCGTCTTTTGGACCTTGGACAACCAGTTGTGGCAGTCGTGAGGAACCCAGATAAATACAAGGATACCTTTCCTATCGACAAGAACCTGCAGGTCAAGAAGGGCGATGTGACTGATGCTGTAAGTCTTCAAGATGTGTTCTCTACGACGAACGCTAAGAGAGTGATCTTTGCAGCGTCTGGCAAGGGCTACTTTTCAGCCAAGGATGTCGATGAAAAGGTGAACACACTTTCTCTTTTTCTTTTGTGCTTCTAGCATTTCTCTTGTTGACTCATTTCACTAGACATCGGCCTGCGTCTTGACGTGGCTCCTCCTCAAGTGCAGGGCGTGGCCAACACTGCAGAGGCAGCCAAAAAAGTGGGAGCTGAGAGAGTGGTGCTCGTCTCGAGCGCCCTTGTGACGCCCAAGAATCGATTCCATCCCATCCGCCTAATCCTGAACAATATCAGATGGGGTTTGATGGACTCCAAGTACAGAGGCGAAGAACTCCTTCGCAAAAGCTCTGTGCCGTATACAATAGTAAGACCTGGTGGGCCTTCGGTCCTCGCGCAATTCTTGACATTCCCGATTGTGCAGTGTGCAGAAAGGTTGTAAGGCTGAGCGCATAGGGCAAAGTCGCTTTGGTAGACCCGCCGAGGGGCAACATCGAGTCACATTTCTGAGGCTTTGTATGCTTCCGCTGCACAGGTGGTCTGACAAATGACCCACCTGGACAGAAAGCGCTGGCCATCAGTAAGAGTACTTGCTCATCCCTAACACAGAGCTGTTGCAGAGCTGCTTGTTACATCTGTGCATGCTGTTTTGTGGGCAAGCAGGCTCTCTGAGAAGAGATCCATATAGAGGACTGAATTGTGGCTGTCCATCCCTGCTGCGCAGGTCAGGGAGACACATCGGCAGGTCAGGTTGCAAGGTCAGATGTTGCCAGAGTGTGTGTGGCAGCATCGACGGATTCGCATGCCAGGAATGTGACTCTTGAGCTCAGCAGCAAGAAGGGCTCAGAAGCGCCAGCAGACGAGCTGCAGAACATTTTCAAAGGACTGCAGCCAGACAATGCTACATGATGCATAGAAGGAAGGAGAGCACTTGTCTACATGTATGAAAAATAGCATCGATGATATCAGTGCTGATGTCAAAAGCTTCAAGCTCAAGTTCAGGATTCAGGGAAAACACACATTATAAAATATTGCGCTAGCTACTATATAGCTATAGTCATCCTGGCGCTCTGCGGATGCCGGCATTTTTTTTTAGAGTGAGTGCCAGTACCTGAAGTTACTGCTTCAAATGTGAGCTTGCCATCGCTGCTCGGCTTTGCATTTGTCCAGGAAGCTCTAAGAAACACGAGGTGCATCCTGAGGTGTGTATGCTGATGCAATCTATTGAGAACTTCAGAAGTCATGTACAGAGCTCTCTAGCCAGGCGAACTGATTGCTTGCTAAGTCACATTACTGGTGAGAATCCACTTCAAACGCTTGGGCACAATTGCTGGGCATATTTTCGGATGTAGATCAGCAAAATCTTCCCTATGGCTGCTGAGCAAACAAACGAACTCTCATAATATACCAGGGAACATCTCATTTATGAGCTGCAAGAACACGCCACACCTGCTTCTTTACCACTCCAAAAAATTGCCAGCCAAAAAATGATGATGTCTCAAATCTACCATTCCGAGATCACAAAAGTCAAAGAGGCGGCGCATATAGCTGAGAATTGCAATATACAACAAATATTTTGTACACAGATGTGAATCTTGCAATGCGACCACACGTCTTGCCACCCTTTGAGTTACACCTCCTGCCTGCGCCCGACACATGACTTGCTATTCTGAACAACCGCAAAATGAAGAATAACGCGCCCAACACCTGAAGGGCTGCAATTTGTGGCATCAATCTGGGAATCAGGCGCGCCAGGTTCCCATCTCTCCGATCTCCAGCACGTTCATGTCTGGATCCCTGAAGAAGAGCGCTGGGCGGCCGCTCATAGATTTGGTGTAAGGCACCCCAGCCTGATCCAGGCGCTGCACCAGCGGCTCAATGGACTGCACACCTGTCAACACAGCCGGCACCAACCACATCAAACTAGAGTGGTCCGCACATAGGCAGTTGCTTGGAGAATTCCCAGTCTCTACCCTTTGTCTATCGGTGAATGTGGTGTTATTTCAGTCTCCCCAGCCATGATTTTGCAGCTCCATTTGGATTTGGGCAGGCCACATCGCTTTGGCCCCATTTCCTCAGGTCCTCCTCTAGATCGGGCAGACTGACTACATGAAAGCAACATTCCCACTTGACAAGCATGAAGTGCACCGGAAAGAATCCATACTGGGCTTCATGCAAGGGAAAGCTGCGCTAGTGGGTGACAAGAAGGTATAAGGGATCACAAGGAGATGGAAGCCTGTGCGCACCAATGCAGAAATGGCGGTCGCGGCCGCCATGCTGAGGCCGCTTGTCCATGTCGAGAGTGTCTGGGTTCGGCAGCTGCATCAGGTGGATCATCTCACTGCGAGGCAGGCCACCGGACACATTCAAAGGCTTGTACAATGTCAAGAGATGCACCCGCATTACGCTCAAAGCTATGCCTCGAGGTGCTGGCAAAAGGGAGCAGCACAGCACAATGCATGAGCTGCCATGCTCAGATGTTCTGATTCGGCCACAATCTGCTGGCAGATGAAGGATGGAGTGGTGGGCACCTGCCGATCCAGAGCCATGCGCCGCGGTAGGGCAGCTTGCTGTCTGGGCGCGCAGGGTTCAGTTCCAGGCCCAAAACTCCCATGTAAAACTCCAGGGAGCGCTCCAGGTCCTCCACGAGCAGTCCAACATGGTGCAGCCCGTTGTACACAATGCGCCCTGGCAAGAAGACAGGAAGCCTTGATAATCTTAAATAATGTTTCGATTTGGGCCATCAAGAGGGGTCGGTGCACGCAATGTGCACAGAATGGGGTGAGGTAGTCAGCCACACCTGTGCTGCCTTTGGCCTCTTTCAGGCCCTGCACAAGAGCATCCTGGATCTCCTTCTCCGGCGTCAGAAACTGTGGTCCCGCCAGCCCCTTTGCAAGCTGCGTGCTGCGCCGTGAGCGCCAGAACAGGCTGCAGGCCAGAAATTGGTAGTGAGGCAATTAGGTCCAGAGAAGGGAATATCAATATGGTGGAGGAAAGAGCTGCAACCTTAGCAGGACAGCAAGCTGTATGTAGGAAGATCAGCGCCCTAAGATGTGTGTGTGTGGTCATGCTCGCCAGAACAGTCTGGACCACCCATCTAATAGCAACATTATTTATAACTCAGCAACTTACCCCGTGGACGATGATCGAGCAGTTGGGACAACGAGTTTATTATGACATGGTGTGCAGGCGCGTAGCGGCCCTGTGTTCATATCGTGTAGCCCACGCTGACGGTGTATGGCCGACTTGTGTACCCGAGCGATGCGATGTGATGCCTGGCACTTGCAGGGCCTTTACAACTGAACGAAGGAGCAATCAGCAACAACAATAGTGTGACCAAGACCACACTCGGCGAAATTAATGATAGGAGTGTTGCTGACACTGTCTTCCGTATCTACATGTGACTCATATCCTCAACAGGTGGGCAAGTGCACATGTGGTGGGGCTGCCCTGACTGGGCAGCTCCTGGTGCCAACGTTGCTCCCGGGATTCTCCCCGGAGCGCAGTCGTGAGCCCACTGGGACCCACTATTAGCTGGGTACTTTCGTGGACGTCTCTTTGAATGGGCCTTACAGGGCTTGCAAGAACTGGAGGATGGTGCACTTTGTCTGGGGTTGTCTTTACAGCGTGTACCTAACTTGGGATGATACCATCTGACATCTGATTTTTCCTTGTATCATCATAGTTACCTTTCTGAGCAGTCGGGACGGCTTTGACAAGGCTAACTGAGTACACTTCCGACATAATGCAGAACCTTGTGTCAAAAATTGCTTCCAAAATGGCCTTCTTCCCACCTACTCCGCCTAGCTACGCCGTTAAAATGCATGGAGATGGTACAGGGGAAGAGTACATCGAGCCAGCAATGCCGTACGTCCCCTTTCAATCTGAACTAGCTGACTGTTGCTGAGTGCTCGTTAAGATTTGCTGCTTTTTTCAGGCATTTTCAGGGCGTTGCATAACGGTCAAAAAGTTCTGTATAGTGACAAGAACTCATGCTGCTAAGCAGGGGCTTGCGCAAGGTTCTTGACTGCCAGGTTGTCCGCCTTGATACCAAGCGCGGCACGAACATCGTTGCAGCCTACATTCCATTCAGAAGAGACACCAAGCCAACTATTCTCTTCAGCCATGGGAATGCAGTGGATCTGGCACTGATGCTCCCCTTCTACAGGTCCTTTGGCAGCTCCTCTTGTGCACTTCCTTTTCTTGTAGACTGATATTTACATTCCACTGGACATAATAAAAAGTTTCACTGTCGCAGGGAAATTGCACGCGAGCTCCAGGTGAACTTGATGGGGTATGACTACTCTGGGTATGGGGCGAGCACTGGCTTGCCAACGGTTCTGAACACCTTTACAGACATCGAGGCATGCCTCGTGTGGCTGCTGCAGCAAGGGAAGCAGCCTGAGGACATCATCTTGTATGGCCAGAGTGTTGGCAGTGGCCCCACATGCCACCTTGCAGCAAAAACACCAAAATTGGGTGGGGTTGTCCTGCACAGTCCCCTTGCTACAGGTGAGTCTTGTCCGACAAGGCACCCAATAACTGTGCAATGCAAGCATCTTGCATTTGCTGCCGTCTTCTCAACAATTTCCGGCAGCTTGATTCTGCTTTAGCTGATGGTTGCTGGGGCTGTGCAGGCATGCGCGTCATGAACCCCACATGGAATTACTGGCCCACCTTCCTGGATGTGTATCCCAACATCCGCCTGGTCCCAAAGATTGCTGCACCGCTTCTCATCCTACATGTGCGCATGGAGCCTTCTGCAGGACAGATCACTCTTGTCAGTGATGAGTGTCTTCTACAACTCCTTCTAGCATCCAAAGCTATGCTCTGTAGATACTGTTGGAGAAGATATGACTTGTCTAAATTGCTGGCACCAGGGCACGAAAGATGAAGTGGTGGACATTTCAGCGGGACGTGCACTTCATGCAGCTGCCAAGAACCCTGTGGCCCCTCTTTGGGCTCAGAACTGCAACCACCAGAATGTTGAGCTCAGTCCAGAGTACCTTCTCAGGCTCAGAGCATTTGTTCGAGATGTGGGGAAGCATTGAACAACATAGCCATGTCACCTGGGTGATCACGTGTGTGCATTTTATCAGTGTACACATGTCCTAGCCGACCCACAATGAAAGTACTTGTGCTCTTGATTGTTAGCTGACCCTTGTATAGAACTGCTACTAGCAGCAAAAGTCTTGAACACAAAAATGTAGCCTGTCCCTGAACTCGAGCTGGGTGTGCTGAAACTAAATTTGAACCTGATTGCAGGCTTGGCTCCATTTGCCATATACACCAGGAAAGAATGCATGTCTGGAAAGCCATAGTGTAATGAGCAGGTATCTTAAAAACAACCAAACATGGTGGTCATGATGAGAGCAATAGACCGCTTTGACACAAGTCTGCAATGGCTTATCTCATTTAATTGCAGATATTCGGCGGCAGTCTTCCCCACTATACAGCTCTAAAGACTTCGATGGCTCACGTGTCGTATGATTTGTAAGAAGCTGCATTGCACGTGTTTCCAGTAGTAAGGTAAGGCAAAGTAAGGATTGCTTGCATACGGCCATCAGAAATGCTGTATAATCACAAATACTCTGAATGAGTCAACGGAGGTATAAGTGGCAACCACGCGCACATTGCCAAGTGCTGACCCAAAGCAGATGAGGATGTGCAGCACTTGCAAAGTTCTGACAGGCACAACAGCAGTTTAGCAAATCCAAGGTCCAACAGCAACTAAGAGCACAAACGTACCAGAAAGCACAGGATCAACAAATACTCAACAGCAATCAGCAGCTCAACAAATCAACACCAGGGCCATGTGTTTGTTGGTGCGGTTTGAGACTTCAATTTGTCCTTCTCGAGCACAGAACTCAATCGCCCTTGATCGGGATGCGCAACAAGAGAGAAAGGATGACATAAACAGCTGCCAGCTGCAGGCATGCTGCCACCAGGCCGCTCCCAATCAACAGCGACTTGGACCGGTTCTCTTGCACGCAGTGCTGTGGCATGCTTTGCAACCACGACACATCTGCGTGGGACTGTTCCCGCCTCTCCAAGTGCTGCGTGAACTTCTGCTCCCATTCCCTCTGCTTCTCGGCCCGAACCTTCAGTCCAGCAAGCCACGTCTTAGGTTTTCTTTGGCAATGCGCAAACAGGTCATTCTGCCAGTCCTACACAGGGTGAAATCACACTGCAGACAGAAGCTTGCAAGCAAAAACATGCCGAAGGGCACAGAGCTGGTATGATGATATACCCTGGCCAGCTCTGTGATGTCATCACCAGCGCCGTCAACATTGAAGAGGTGATACTGATTCTGCTCCGTCCTTTCCAAGGCTCCTTGCATGTTGGGCAGCTCTGCCTTTGCCTGACATGGTAAAGCACAGTACTTTCAGACACCAATCCAACGACCCATTACAGCTTTGCACAAAATAAATACGAAAAGAAGGGCACAGAATTGAGAAGAAAGGACCCGATGCATAGACACTGAGCGGCCATAGAAGACCTTCTGCAAAAGGCATCACTCTCATTGGCCCCCTTACCTGCATCAGGAGTGCTCCAAGCTCATGGTGACTCTCATGTGACAAATGATCCGGCACATTTGTATAATGTGATCCGACCAGCGCATCCAGAATTTCCTCATACTCAGGCAGGCTCAGCGTGTAATTTTCTTGGGCATGCTTGGTCTTGATCTTCAAGAGTGCCTGTGCCGCAGCAAAAGCACAATTAGAACTAGTGAAAAGGTGACAGCGCTTCTTCAATGCTTTCCGCACAAATCGCAACGAAATTGAGCCACAATCCCCGCTTGTAAAATTTATCGAGTTTCTCACCTGGTCTGCAAGATCAATTCGTGTTTGCAATGCATCCCTGCAATATGCCAAAGCATCAGGAATGCAGCTGCCACAACCTGCCACTACAGAAATTGCATAAAAAGGAGGCAGACCAGTCATGGGAGCAATATTACCTTTCATGCTGAGCCATCTGCTTGACTGACTCATCTGTGATGTTTGGGTTCTTCAGGACACTGTCCAGCATGATCTCAGCATGCTGATGCAACTGCTGCAGCTTTGCTTGGATGTAAGCCTGGTCAGTTTCCTTCAGCTGGTCCTGCTTTGCCCTCAAATCTATCGCCTTGATTGCGCCATGTTGCACCAGATCCAGCATGTCCTCCATCTGCACAGTCACTCACCTCTCTGTGTGATAATTTCTGGGATTGGGCAACTGAACATACTATGGAATGACAACCAGAGCAGAGCATATGGCAAAGACATGCATGAAGCCAAGTTTGAAAAGCCTCATGCACACCTCATTTATTCGGGTGTAGATTGTGTTGAAAATTTCTGCCTGGTGCTGGTCCTTCACCAATCGCTCAGTGGCTAGACCACGCACATACAGTTCAGCCAAGGCACAATCAACTTCCGCCTCTCTTCCCACCTGCAAATGCAGCCGCTTGTGAACCACACTGTCGCTGTGATTGCCACTTACGGTTCTCAAACATGTCTTTCGGATCAAAGCGCTGTTCTTGGGACTGTAGTGATTACCTCTCCGATGAATTGAAAAGAAATCAGAAGCCCAATAATGGACACAACCACACTGATATTCAGCAGGTTTGCACTCCGTGCCTGTGCGCCTGCAAACCCCGCAAGTCCACCAAGCCCAAGAAGAGCCCCCAGAATCTGTTCATTGAAGCAGAGGAGGATCAGACATAGATATATGGCACGTACAAAATTCCCCATCAGATCATCCTCAACGATCCTAAAAATTTCCGTCAACATCAGAACTGCAGGAAGACGACCGATCACCATTCCAGTCACCCTGGGAGAGCTGTTGGCATTTGTCAAGGCGATCAGCGCCATCAAGGCACCGCCTCCAAGAAGAACCATGCAGACCGCCTTGCAGGCTCTGGACCATTTCGCAGAACCTGCAGCATAGCCATATGTCTTCAAATACCATAATATATTGACGATGTTCCAATTCCGCGAGCAGCTCTACAAATTCAATTGAAATACCGTCTTCAGAATACTAAGTAACCATAAAAAGCACAAACACCTTTTCGATACGAAGATGCCCCAAAGCCGCCAAGCAGGTCACCATTTGTAGTTCCCAGCATGATTGTATTGGAGGACAACGGCGATTACAGGGATCCCAGGAAAAGCGGAAAGTTGTGCGATCCTAAGTAATGGAAAAGGAATTCCCGGCTTCGTCTCTTTCTTTTGCTTTCAACAAGTTCTGACATTCGTTGCCTTCAACATGACGACCAGGCAGTTTCCGGCTTCGCGCCACGCAAATTGTGCATCCGAAGGAGAAGTTGGATCTCATTGATGGGGCGTCATAGGCAGCGTCCTAAAAAGGCACCTGACCCCACTAGCCAGCACGTTGCATGTACTGCATACATAATGGCTGGGCAAGGTGCTTCGATAGAGGCGGCCCTTTTACAGTTAACGGCATCACCATAAACCACTGATCAACTGGGTCGGGCTTCAGCAGCCAGGCAACATCACAGAGAATTCAATGAAAAGGATGTAATCAGACGAAATAATCGCCGGGCACAAAGCGACGCTTCAACAGAGGCGGCCCTTACAGCAACAATGTGGGTATACAAAAGTGGAGCAGACAGAGGCCAGGCGATAGCGGCTGGGAAGCATAATAATAAATTGATGTTAATGACGCAGTAGTAAAAATATCTAGGACGGCCAAGCTTTGGTTGGGGCGGAAGAGGCAACAGCCGCCAGCCGCCATTACCAGTAAAAGAAGGATGCGACGGCTGTTTGCATCATTGTCTGACGCGAAGAATCGACCGCAGTAATAGAAATGGCCATGAGACCTTTTACAGAACAAGCAGATTTTGCAGTGTTGCGTTCTTGTGTGTGCCCTGCAAAACCCAGGCAGGATGTTCTGGGTCCTGGTCCAAACCTAGGACAAAGCGCGTACAAGCTGTATTGGGGCTTTGAGGAGATTTCAGTCTAACCTCCTGCAGTTTTCACCTGATTGCAGCTCCTTGAACACCTGCCAGTCCAGGTGTGCCTTTGCAAACCACTCAGCTGTGCTCCTTGTGGGGGTACTTGATCCACAGTACAAGTGCAGGTCTGAGGATCTGTTTGGTGACCTTGCATTGCTGGTTCGGTACGGGTCTACATGCTGCTGTGTAGTAGCTTAGCAATACAGGTGGCGGCAAGCATTGTGGGGCATTGGGTACCCCCCTTGCTTGTTTCACCGAGAAGCGCTATTAATGCAAGGATTTGGGCAGTCTTTACAATGACAGCAAATGGCTGGACCCACCCGCAGCACGCACAATCTGTTTGGCCTGTGATTTGCGTCCATGTCCTGCCCTTGACTTGTCGCTGATTTGGACCGACATACATCCACAAGCAGCCTTGCAGTCCTTTTTGGCAGTTGATACTTGTCTGCGTGCTGGAATGCATCTTTTCGAGTATTCATGATGTGTGTGCTACTGATGGTTTGAGATATGTGGGACGCTTAATCAGCCCTGTGTGGCTGGAAAAAGTGTAATCTCTCTCTCTCTCTCTGCATGGCATAGATTGTTTTGGGACTTGGACACCAAAACTGCTAATGTGAAGAAGGTGTCACAGGCCGACCCGCAAAGATAATTGATGATCTCATTGAGACATGTTCATTCACTGTACTACTGCCCTTTGTCTACTTCTTTTGCTTTCAACAAGTTCTGACATTCGTTGCCTTCAACATGACGACCAGGCAGTTTCCGGCTTCGCGCCACGCAAATTGTGCATCCGAAGGAGAAGTTGGATCTCATTGATGGGGCGTCATAGGCAGCGTCCTAAAAAGGCACCTGACCCCACTAGCCAGCACGTTGCATGTACTGCATGGCATAGATTGTTTTGGGACTTGGACACCAAAACTGCTAATGTGAAGAAGGTGTCACAGGCCGACCCGCAAAGATAATTGATGATCTCATTGAGACATGTTCATTCACTGTACTACTACCCTTTGTCACCAACTTTGTATGCCATCTTTGAGAATGAGCTTCTTGAGATGCTTCATTCAGGGGAGGATGCTTCTGTGTCCTTCATGGCAGGCACACTTGCTCTCATGTATGCAGATGACCTTGTCGTGTTTGCTACTAGCGCCTCTGACTTACAGGAGAAGGGCATTCAGCCATGTTTTGAGCATGCTAGGAAATACAGATATATAGCAAATGTTGCTAAGTCTGGGGTCATGATTTGTGGGCCTGCAACTGAGCAGGATCGTGCCCACCAGTTCTTTTGGGGTGTCCAGCAGATTCCGGTGGTGCAGGAGTTTATGCACCTTGGGGTTCTAGTTTCAGCAGACGGCTCGCATGACGCACATTTTCAGAGGGGGATCAAGCAGGGTAATGCACGGGTGGCTGCTATGAAGCCACTTTTTACAGATGCTTACCTCACAGTGCGAGTTAAGCGCCTGCTTTTGTTGACTGCCCTGCGTCCATGCTTAGAGTATGCCAGTGAGGTCCTTGTGCCCACCACCACCCAGTCGAGAGCTTTAGAGTCTGTGCAGCTCAAGGCTGCACGGATGATTTTGGGGTGTCCCACGTTGACTGGGTCAGAGGCCGTCCGGGGAGATTTAGACTTGCCTTTGCTTAGCTCGCGCAGAGATGTCGCGAAGCTAAAGTGGCAACACCGGCTGCATGCTTTGCCTGCGAGTCGCTTTGAGAGTTTTTTGTACGGTCAGGAGGTCCCTAGAGGTGTTAGGGGCAGGCAGCGGCGGCTTTTTGGCCAGGTGTGTGATGACATTTGGTCCTCACTTGTGTCTTTTTCGCGGGATGAGCTTACTGCAGCCTACCCTGCGTTTGTCACTGCTCTTGTCTCGGCTGTCGAGGAGAGGGACGCCGCACAGCTTGCGGGGGCCCTCTCAACCAAGCCTCGGCTTGGATTGTACAACCGTGTCACTGAGGGTGCAGGTCTCAAGGAGTACTTATGCCGACACACCGATGGGCACCGCGCGGCTAAGATTAGGTTTCAGTTCCGTTCCGGCACCTCCATGCTTACACATCACCGCGCTGACTACCTTCGCGCACATGCTGATGAGGAGGCCTGCCCGACTTGTGACCGGGCTGAAGTCGTGGAGGATGTGCCACATGTCTTGTTTGTCTGTCCAGCTTATGCAGTGCTCCGGAGTGCCTTTTTTGCCTCTTTGAGGGAGCTGGTAGGAGGGCAACAGTTTGATGCGTTCCTTGCCTTGTCACCTTTTGAGCGCGCCGCCTCTTTTTTGAGAGACGACTTCATGTCAGGAGTCCTGATCAGTTGCATGCGGTCCACCGCCTTGGGGACAGTTTCCTTGTGGACATTGTGTCCCTTAGGACCTCCTTGTTGCCCGCATAGTGACTTCAGCTTTGTTTCAGTGATGTACACTGTTCCGTGTGTGATTGACTACATGTTTGTCTGTGATTGTCTGCCCAACTCTGGGTATTCCTGCAAGATACCCTCAACGTCACCTACAATGGTGTTGCGTTGCTGGCAGGCCAGAGGCCCCGGATATAGAGGGGTACTCATCCGGGGCAGGGAGTGCATGCATGTATATGATGAGTGAGTGATAGGCTGCAGACTAATGAAGGCCCCGCAGATGTGGCTGCAGACGCCCTGCGTGTATGCCCTATGGCCTCTGGCTTTGGGTTTGCCGACCTGTAATAATAATTTGACATTAAAAAAAAAAAAAATTGACTACTGCGCGCGATGGCGAGCCCCGCTCAGCGACCCCCGACGTCACCGTAACGTGACGTCATGATGACAGTGATTACTGATGTCAACAGGTGCCATATGGATGGCAAATCCCCCTTGCATTGACTGCTGCCCCGGGCCTGGCCCACCTTGTCAGCCCTTTGGAGCATATCAATCACATTATATTGATCATTGCTGCTGATATCATGATCGATCACGAGCATCACCAAAGGTATTCATATCGTGTGCAACCTCGATTTATATTATCAAGCTTGAAGCCTTGCAGTTGCTACTGTTGACAGCGTTAATGGTGAAATGTGGTAACAGGCAATCCTCTCCATTCAGCAAAAGCCTTTTTTCTAAGAATTACAGTCACGTATCCCGGGATAGCAGACTGTCAAGTCCCGGGAAAATTAACAGCACTTGCGAAAGGCAGAATACAACAATGACGTTCCATAATGCATGGAAAATCGCATGGTACCATAATGCCATAAAATCGCACTTGGGTTGTTATGGCAGCACTGCTGTACTAAATGGCCAGGGTATAGCGTGCTCACTGCAGTTGGCCACTGCACCATGATTGCTTCAAAAGTACCATGAAGCGTCCGAGGCATTGCATGGCACAGAGGGCAAAGCCCACAGGTCAATGAGAGCTATTTTGGTCAGAACACAAAATTCCCAAGCGGCTACCACATGCAAAATTGTGCAATCATCCAGCGGTGGACGTGTGCCTTCCTGGCATTCACTGCTGATTTCATGCAACGATTATATGTTACCTAAGAAAGTACTTCAATGCACTGAACGTGCCAGCAAAATTGCAGCACAGATACCCAACGTAGAAGTAACAAATGCAGAAAGAAATTGTAATGGCATATGTCTCTATAATTCCTCATGCCAAAGAACCTGGGTCCCTGATCTTCAAAAGCTGCACTTCAAAAAGCAAAGGCTCTTTTGCATGATTCAAGAGCTGGCGCCTTGTCGCAAATGTTGGCGGCTGGGGCTGGGCATTGTCGGGATCGGCAGCATATCCGAGCTCGGGTGGAATGAGAGCTCTTCTCCTACCACCCGGCTTCATCCCTTCCAGCACCCTCTCAAGACCTGGGATGACATCCTTTGACCCCTGCAAAGGCCACAAGTTTGCACATCACTACACAAGCGGCACACTTAGTAGGTCCACGTGTAAGGTCTTGCATGACGTAATACTCTATAATGGCGCCTGAGACTCCAGACCTACCAAAGTGATTTCCAGAGGCCCTATCGGTACATCACGAGGCTGGAAGCTCACTCCCTCTACTGTGGCATATATGAAATAGCCATTCGCTCGCCTGGACCCACAAAAATTTCAATTGGCATGCCATCTAAGCACTCATCAAAGAAATACAGAACAAGGAACTTCGACACACCTGAGTACATAATCAAGCACAACCAGATCTCCAGGCTTTGCTGCTTGATCTCCTCTTCCAAGAGCCAATTCCTGGATCTTTACGCCATCAGGTGTTTTAAAGAACCTGTGCTGCATGAAAAGCCTCTGTCAAGTCATGGGGCAGCGCGCCATTGAATCGGCCCACAGCAGCAGCCCCATTGCCGATATAATCCTTTGCCATGGAAGACAAAATTAGGAAGACAAAATTAGAAAGCATGCCACATTACCTTGGACTCTCATCATCCACAGGCGCAGCAAGCCCAGGTGATGACCAGTCCCCACCCGAACCACCTGACTGGATCTGTTTCTTTGCAGCCGCTGACCCGCTCAGGCTGCACACAAGAAAATTCATGTCATGCCAAGAGCAGGATCATGTTGTGGGTCTGCATTGCACAGACCTGGACAGAGCAGAAACAACCCCCATCATCTTGACGTTCTTGAAGGCAGCAATCTACCTGAGAGTGAGACTTGCGAGTCCGAGTGACAACAGATGTCTTCGGTGTGAGGACTGCTGCGGTTTGATCACTCCTGCGTGGTCATAAAAATGCTAATTCTTGCCATCTAATGGCTTCCACCTCATACTCCGAAGGAGGAATTTACAGATCGCGCACCATCCTCCTTGTAGTTCATCAGAATCTGTAGAAATTGTGGTTTGTGCTTCCTACATTTTCCTGAAGTTCTGGGACAAGCATTGCATGGCAATGCCAACGTCAGCATTGGCTTCCAAGACGATTTTAAAAGCTAGATGAGAACAGAAACTAGAGAAGGAATTAAATACAAGGTAATAAAGCTAATTCTGCAACTGATCGGCATCAATGAATGTGAGGGAAGGCAAAACTCATGAAGCAGGTGGACTTCCTATTTAGGCCGAACTCGATGCAATTCGCTGGGAATGCAGACTTTCTTTCAAATCCGCGAGTCGAAAGTGATAGCTTCTATGTTTCCGATCATGAAGAAACTGCTTTTATGTGACTGAAAGGATGAGAGGTGTTCACGGGCCTTAAAAGAATGTCACATCCAAAAGAGTATGTCCTGTGCTGACTTGGACCTCGGGTGAGAAATCATCGTCTTCACTTTTTCATTTGTGTGAAATAATACAGATTCCAGGGGCCGCAGCACCCATTTTGAGTGGCACCTTTGTGAAACCATTTTGTGATGACCAAGCGTCTACCTCCCCAAACATTTTATTTGGGCACCTAACTGATACAGTTGTGCCACTTATTGCGATCAATTATAAATACAAGAGCATCAAAGTTTGATTTGGTTTGCAGTGGTTTACTCCTGAGCTTTCCGATACAGAACAAGATGCCCCAACCGGAGAGACCGAAGACCTTCTCTCGCAAGCAGCAACGCTCGGAGAAGCCGACGTCTGCTGAGGAATCCGATATCAGCAAGATGTTGAGTAACAGCTCACAGGAAGAGGTTCTTGCTGAATCAGAGGCTGACCCCTATGATTTTCAAGAGAAGCAAGCAGACAGAGGAGCTGCCCAGGATCAGGACAGCAAAGGTGCAGTTACTTTCCTTAATTCTGATAAATATGCTGAATGGTGTGATAATGTCAATAGCTTCTTGCTGATTGACCACTTCCTGCTGTCTACAGCACTAGTGAATGGCAGCATCCCTCAGGCAAAGAGACCCAGTAGTGCTGGCCAGCCTGAGAGAAAGCATAAGCCACGTGTACCTGCTGGCAACCGCACCGCAGCCAATGGCAGGCAGCCTCCTGTGATCGCGGGATCTCAGCATGACCCCGGCTTCCTTCAAAAGCTGATAGCAGCTCAAAGGGAGCGCAAATCTGTGTGGTCATCAGAGGATAGCAGCAGCTCAGACGAAGAGGCAGAGGACACAGCACATGAACCTTCTTACATTCCTAGCAACCACAAGAGCACCAGAACAGGACCTGCAAGGAAGCCACAGAGGGATCAGGCGCTTGAAGAGCGAGGGACAGACGTGAACAGCCAAGGTTCTGTTGACACACGACGAGCAGCCCCACAGGCTCTCCACAGCAGTGACCCGTACCGTGAGGTCAGCAAGGCAATGCCCAAGGTGCCAAAGCCGCAGACGTCTGCAGACTCGTGCGCACCATCGCTCGAAGCCTCCAAAGCTCCCCCCCATTTGAGAGGTCCCGCTCAAGAAGCTGCACGGAAGAGGAAGGAGGCCTCCCAAGACATGGAGGCAAGGCCGCTAGCCTCATTTTTCCCCTTTCTGCCTCCGTAGCTTCAACAAGACGCTTTGAGTGCTCTACCAACATCAGAACATCATCAAATGTAGTCTTTGCAATTGCAGCAGGTAGACGATAATCTTCAGCCCAAGACGCGCCCACGAACGGTTGGACCTGGCACTCCGGTTGCCTTGGGGGCGAGCCTTCTGGTTGGCATGTCCCGGGGGCAGGGGCAGGAGACAGACATGGACAGCGCAGCTGCCACAAGCGTCATGGAGGCATGAGCCCACTCCCACATGCTGCTAGCTCTTATTCTTGTGTGAGTCAGAAATGGGTCCTGGCCGATGCTGCGTGAAACATGAGTGACACGAGTGGGGTGTCAATGCTGCAGGCGCAGGAGAGTGGGGAGCAGTTTGAAATACAGGACAATGTGGTCTATGCCCTGGATGGGCTGACCAGGAGCGCATCTCCAGCTGTCAGGCAGGAAAGCGCAGCCAAAATCGCTGAGGTCTGTGCATCACAGCGAGGGCGCCTGGCAATGAGGTATGCCACGCTCTGCCCTCCTCTGCCCTCCGCCAAGCCTTGTCACTGAAACACATGCAAGGACAGCAATGCAGACTACGGCCGGCAAGGGGTCCTCCTTGGTAACATTACAAATATGGGGTGGTATGCATGCAGGGCTGACGGGCTGATCCAGGATGTCATGGCTGCTGGCAGCAAGCTCGCCTTGACGCAGGAGCCCATTGTGGCTGTGGCTTTCAGCGCCATGCTCCTGGCGTTCTCACGCGAGAAGCTCCACCAGGCAGTCCTCGCGCAGAAGGACTCGCTGGCTGTCATGGGTGTCCTGCTTGAGGTGCTTTGAGCCCTCCTCAACAATATCCTGGGCTGTATATTCATCATGTCAGCCAGGTTCCATCCAACAAGGGAATTCTGCGTAATGGTGAGATGCATTTGGTGATTTCTTGCCTGCATTTGTACATGAAAGGTTGGTGGCTGGCAGGCACATGCGAGCGCAGACTTCAGGGCGTGCCAGGCGAAGAGCGCGTGCGGCGCTTTGGCGCGGCTGCTGAGAGACTCTTCCCTGACAGCGCGTCTGCCGCAATCCGAACGCGCCTGCCCCTCTTCCCTGGTGTTGACCGCCCTTGCAGGTGTGTACCGTCCCCTCCGGCATACCGCCTTTCACACACCATCTCGCTTCCCCGAGTGATTCTGTCACACACAGGAGGCCTGGGTGGGTTGAGGGTCCATGTGAGAACATAGCATGCCATGCGTACAGGGGCCACGGACCCGCAACACAGCTCCACTGCCAGCGAGGCTCTGAAGATAGCGCTGCATGAGGGTGGCATCCTGCAGCGACTGTCTGACCTGGCAACCCACCATGCCAAAGCCCTGCCCATCTCCACACCGCGCTCCGCGGCCAGGTATCCACCATAGAGGCCAAATCCTAAAGATGAATGGATTGTCTCTTGCTAGACTGCATGCATCCGCCTTACTAGGCTCCTGAAACCAGGGATGGAAAACTTAAATCCGTTTGGGCAACTGTATAAACTCTGACTGCGTGGGACAGGTCGCTGTGGGGGCTCAACCGGTGCCTGGTGGCCATCGAGAATGCGACGTTTGCATGCGCTGCGAATGAGCAGCACCTCGTGGCCGTCACTGTGCAGCGTGGCGATGCTGCAGAGCCCTCTTCATCACAGCCACTCCCACAAGGCCCCAGGTGCTTCTGTTGTCATTACCATTGTTTGTCACCCTCACAGACTCCTGAGTGTTTGCAGACTCTTCTCATGCATAATGGAATGCTGCGCAGGGCCATGTCACAGCCTGCAGCTATCAGCTCTGACGCTGCTGATGGGCTGCCCAGCCAGAAGGCCTCATCCCAGCCGATCTCCAGCAGCAGTCCGCCTCACAGGAAGTCTGCCAGCATGCGCTGCGGCAGCGAACCCCAGGATCAACCAATGAAGCTACAGAACAGCACCTCGGTGCGTTGATTCACACTTTCCTGACCGATACTGTGAAGAAGACAGGATGCTGGAATTTGTGAGCTTTAACGAGCCACTCTCGTGTTGGTGCAGGGCCGGCAGAACAGCGGCAAGCTCTGCGCCCCCTCTGTGGAGCCGAAGCACTCCAGCCAGGCAGCCGATGGCACACCAACCACCAGCGCATGCCCTCGGAATATCACCTTCCCTGCCTGGCTCGTTCGACAGGCACGGCTCCCCCTTCACCCTCTCCTTCTACCAGAAACGTATTGTTGTGCAGCACGGGCGTAAGGTGGTCTAACAGCCTTCAAATGCGCGCAGGCCCAGACTTTTGCCCCGGCTGACAAAGGCGTGCCGCACCGCGGGCCCCAGAGAGATGCGCTGCAACGCATGCTGTCAGTACTCATGAATCTGACGCACAACAACGGACCCGGCTGCAGTGCTGTGTTGGGCGCAGACGGCCTGCAGACTGTGATTGGCCTCATCGACGCGCTGCTCGGGCCCCCAGAGGAAGAGGCAGATTTTGTGCGCATCGCAGACAGGTGCAGTCCAGCCATTGCCTGCTCTGAGTCGCAATATTCTTTTGCACGTTGTGGCAGGCAACATGGTTACAGCCTGAATCATGCATGTTGTGGCAGAACTCTGTCGCTCCTCTGTATTTTTGGGCATCTTGGCATGCAGGAGGCGACTTCTGGAGGGGCTGGATCTGACGAGCACGTCCTTGGGCCTGCTCATCAACCTGGTGGAGCACGACTCCGGCTGCCGCCCACATCTGGCAGCGCTGCCTCTCAGACATGGCATGCGCGCCCTGCCGCTGCTCTGCCGCCTCATGCAGGTCCGGACAAGCTTTCATCTGTCTCTGTACGTTGACTGAGTACCCCGGGACACCATTCCATGCCGCAGGGTCTCCTCAAAAGTCTGATGATCTCATTACTGTACTTCTGGCAAGCAGTCTAGCCGGACAAAAGAAGCAAGATACACCCTGCTCGTGTGGCAGGCAAGTGGCGCAGTGCCGGAGGGGTCGGTTCCACCCTCAAGCGGCAGCCCTGGCCTGGAGGTGACGGAGGAGCAGCTGCTGGCCAATGAGGAAGAGGGGGCGGCCTCCATTGTGGAGGTGTATGCAGCCCTTGTGCTGGGCTTCATCATTGAGAGTGACCCGGCCCTACGACAGGTACTCCCTCTGCTCTTACTACCGTCCTACGCCCATGAGAATTCTTGAAACTCTGGTTCTACAAGTGCTGGGGCAGGGCAAAGGCTGGTTGATTGCCACCAATATAGTGCCGTCAATACCCACAGTCAATGGCCCTTCTGTTGCCCTGCAGGAGGTGGAGTCTTTGCTTGAGGGAGGCGTGGCAACAGTCACAACAGCCGTGAGGCGCTGCCTGCAGTTCTATGTCAATGCTGGCGCCATCACTCGCAGCACCGAAGATTCACTGCGCGCCCTGCTGTCGTCCTTACAAAAGGGGCCTTGACATGACTGATTGACAAGAGTGCCGAATGTTTGTTGCTGAAAGCGCCGCCCCGACACATCCATTGGAATGCCGTGTGCAGAGTGAATGAAATGGAACAACGAATATATTGAACGATAGGAATTGCTGGTCCACCAAAAGCTTTTATGAGCGTCACCATGTCGTGTAATTGTGCGATCATCATTGATGCTGTTTCATGATGTGTGATCAATGAGCACGTGGTCTGCATCGTCGACAACTGGCAAGTGGCAACTTTGACTGCCAGCCTCTGACTTGCAACTGCACATCAGCAACTTGCTGCATATATGGTCGAATCATGAGCGCTTCAAGCTTTAAAAGTTTTGAGCTTGCATGTTCACCTGTTGAACTTCAACAAATTAACTTGGAGGAGGCCTGGTGTGCAACATGTGCGCACTGCGGCCGGCCACATATTTCAACAGGCAAAATTGTTGGAATTTTCCACAATACGAGCATCCAGGATTATGTAGCGTTTTGGTGCAACTTCAAATACTAAAAAATCTGCACATCGTTTCCTTCGTGTTTCAAAGCCCTGCAAGGGTTCTCTAGAATATTCACCCCACCATCTCCCAACATCTATATAGGGCCAGCTGCATGGAACACCGCCGAACGGCTGACGGCTCCAACATGCTTCTGCCTGGGGCATCGTCTCTCTCATTCCTGTTAGTGCTCCTGCAATTGCTGCCGGAGCTTAATATCTTTCAGGATGTCGACTTCTGAGCTAGCGTGCGTTTACGCTTCCCTGATCCTGCACGATGACGGCCTGGACATCACGGTGAGCTGTGGATTGTTGGCGGCTGAATGTGAAATTTTGCGCTATGATCTCGATGCCTCACAGTCTACTCTTGGGAACGTTGAGGATTATTACCCGCAGTGAATCAACAGCACTAGTCTGTTGTTTGCTCAAGTAGTTGCCAACTTGAGAATCTAACTCGTGAGTACTGCGTACTTGCTGCGAAAGGGGCTGAAGTATGGGGATGGCACGGATGAGCTAGATAATGCGGTACTGCTTGCTTTGCCAAAACCCTAATGCGATGTCAACCTTCTGTTTCTCTTTAACAGGGTGACAACATCACCACCCTTATCAAGGCTGCTGGTGTGACTGTGGAGCCTTACTGGCCCGGACTCTTCGCCAAGCTGTTCGAGAAGAGGAGCATCGGCGACCTGATCACCAACGTTGGTGCTGGTAAGCACTGGAATGTCTTCATCAATTTCTTAGCAGCTTTACTCACTGCTGCGATTTGGCCTGGCAGGTTGGCTGACTTGGCGCATAAACCCATCATGGGTCTGTCCTTTTGAACAGGATGATCCAGTCATGCTTAGTTCCATTCCTGTCCTGGCAATCTGTCTCCTTCTGTCTTCTGAAGCAGGATGGTTCAGTCTTGGAGATTGTCCCTGTGCTGGCAATTCTTTCTTCTGTTGTCTTCTCAAGCAGGGTGGTGGCTCAGTCAATGGAAATTTGCTGATATTTGTTCCTGTGCAGGTGGTGGTGGTGCAGTGGCTGCCGGCGGCGGCGGCGGCGGTGCTGCAGCCGGCGGTGGCGGTGCAGCTGCCGAGGAGAAGAAGGAAGAGAAGAAGGACGAGGAGGAGGAGGAGGAGGATGACGACATGGGCTTCTCGCTGTTTGACTGAGTGCCATGATCTGTTTCCGTGACCGCATGCGTCTGCGCAGCATGTTGTGCTGATGTACATCGCATCCTTGTAATAATGTTTGTGTTGTCATCCTGTTTCTCGCAGCCAGAAGGATCCTTCACTTATCTGCACCTCCCACTGGGCAATGGCATTGGTTACCATGCATCACTTTGCTAGTAAGGTCTGTTGGCAAATACACGACAGGAGGTCTGAACAGTCTTCATGTTATTCTAGAGATAAGGAGTGCTATTCTTTACACTACGGTATCTCGAATATGCCCCCCACCAAGAATGATACCTAGCACACCCTCATTCAAACCTTCTGCCTTCCTACTTTTGTGGCCACAAAACCAACGTTGTTGTGTGGTATGACACACATGCATGATAACGTTTCTACAGGGAACGTCTTATCCTAAATCTGCTGTTCACACATTGATGCTTCTACATAACGGACAACCATATGATACAGAAATGAAGAGCACTCTTGTTCTGTCCACCGGTAAATTACTGCGGATGTCCTGCTGTGCCTGGTGCAGATAAAGTTCACAGACCTACGCCGTTCCTGTACCTAATTCAGATCTGATAATTGCAGACACAATCTCAGACAATCAGTCTCCTAGCAATGTCACTCTCTTGCGCAGAGACTGTTGCTCTCCTTCAGTAGAACAGCTTCTTGACCTGCAAATCATCAAAGCAAGTCTGAAAAATCCAGTCTAAGATTTCAGCAAGTTGTGGCACTGGAAGAAGCCGAGCAATCAGTAATGGACAGTAATGGAAAGGCAGGCAGCACCTGCTCCACAGTCAGGAACATGGCGCAGTTCCAGGATCCCAGACGAGCAAAGTTGGGCAAGAAGCCGTTGTAGAAGGTTGCAAGCCCTCCAGTCCTGAAGCTCTTCACAAAGCAGTCCACCAATCCACTGTACTGTCCAGTCTTATCACCTATACCATGAATGGCTATGGTGAATGCTTCTGCTGCTATCCACACACACATATGCATTCAAATATTGCATCCTGACAGAAAACATACTGGAGTCATGCTCACAGAAATGTCGCCTGCTCAACCAACCCAGCTTGACCTTGAGGTTTTATCCAATCCAGGTAACTTATGCAGGCGTTTTATATCGCACGCAGCTACAGCCCAGGCAAAATGAGACATGCCCTGGCAACTTAAGAGTCTGCTTGCTGTGGGGAATCTCAGTCAGAAATTTGATGGGGACACAGCACTCACCCATGAGGCGGGACTTGACAACATCAACTGGAGAGCCAAAGCAGACAGCAAAGAAGCCTGCCCCCAATCCAGATGCCAAATGGCAGGGTATCGTGTCCTCAAAGTACCCAGTAGATATCAGTGCTGTTTTTATCTGCATCAGAGAGCAATCGATTAGCCACATGGGAACACTTGACTGCCAGGTAGCTAGAAATTGCAAAGAGCATATGCCTCGCACAGCAAAGCTCGGAGAACTCACCGTGTCGTAGCTAGCCAACTCTGCTGCATTGATGATCGCATTCCGACCAACATTTGGTGTGACGCCCTTCCACAGACCTAGCAGCCCCTCTTCCCTGTTATCCCAAAAGCAACAGCCACATTCTACCAACTCCACTACATCCTTGTAATGCATGCTTTGCAAGTGCCAACGGCAATATTTAACAAGCACCAATAGGACAACTGCTCTCATTGCACCCACCTGGCAATCATGCCGTACGCTGCCCTGGCATTGGGGTAGCGCTTGGGGCCACCACCCGCCTCAGACTGCATCCGCACTTTGACAAGATCTGTCGGGCTGGCAATGAGGATGCCCAGAGCCCCTGTGGTAAGCCCAGCAGCCACCTGCAAGCAGTGTCCATCATCAGGGTCACTCCTCGCCAGGAGCAATCGTGGAATATATCGAGATGCACAGACTGACTGGTGCAACAGGGCACTTCAGCTAGCAGGTGCCCACCATACCTTTGTGTGGAAGGGTGCAACAGCATCAGGGGTTTTCCCCATGTACAGCCTTTTGACTGGCTCATACAGGCCAATCCGTAGGCCACCAAACAAGCATTGCCTGTGCAGTCCTGCGGTGGATCACCGCATGGAGTCAAATGTCAAGCTCATAAGAATGAACATGGATTTTAGGACATGTTGCATGCGTCACGAGTTAATGGAAGCTATCCACCTGCTTCAAGGCCCTTCCAAAGGGCTCCTGGCCCTTCTTGCTTGGCTATTGTCCTAACAGTTCCCAAGAGTCCCCTGCACACCCAAATTGGCAAATTGAACAAAAATACGCTCATATACCATGTCGTCCACACATACAGTTTGTTAGCCTGTCGACTAAATTGGATAGGTACCGGCTCTCACTTGTACAGTGGAGGACCTGTGCTCTTAGATTGTAGCTGTAGCCGAACCTTCGCTGTATCTAAAGGTAGTGTGAGTGTCTGTGATCACAGAGAATATTGCGTCAGCAATTCATGGAACAGGGAACCAATGCTGTTGATTGCCAATGCTGGTGATCGGTACGGAATCAATTTTAATAGAGAACTATGTCACATCAAATCAAGCAACTCACCTCTGCCACACAAGCTGCGATTGCCGATGCTGCAAAAGACTTGTGCAGTGGTAGGGGCTTGCTCTGAGTAGGGGGACTCATTGGTACAAACACCAATGTTCACGGCGGTATGTGACACAATTTATGAGTAGAAAGAACCGCCGAAAATATGAAAGATCAATGATGGCCAGCAGTAACGAACGCGCGTCTGCAGGAAGGCGTTCCCTGCAGGAACACCCTTGAGCTGGGAAGTTAGATATATCAAGACGTGTGTGCATGCTTATAATAAGTGGGTCAGTGGAATATCGAGCAGAAATTCTGCGCATGGCATTCCCATGAAGCTGATCTTCATCTGCAGTGGGGTGCAATAGTTGGTTGTATCACACATGGGAATACAGGTCACTCCACTGTATGGAGCTGGCACGGATGGCCCTGTCTGTAATCTTCTTCAGGTAAGATTTGGTTAGGGGGCAAGACGGTCGTTCCAAGATGAAGAGTAGAAATAGACTTGATTTGGGCTTGCTGATGATCCACAGATTGATCAACTCCTATTGTTGCTGGATTGCGGATGGGACGATGCCTACGATATGGAGCTCCTGCATCCACTGAAGAATGTTATTGGTCACGTGCATGGCGTGCTTATCACGCATCCAGACCCTGCTCACCTTGGAGCTCTCCCATACCTGGTTCGCCTTCCTGCATTATCCTGCAGTAATTGCTTGCATTTGCCCTTGTGTAGCTCCTCAAATTGCCATTCAATCAGGGCAGTGCCTGCTCAGTATTTAAATGCAGAGGAAGACTGACGTCCTGCTGCTGCACAGGTTGGTCGGCTCAAGTTGTCGGTGCCAGTCTATGCCACATTCCCAGTGCAGAAAATGGGGGAGATATTCATGTACGATCAGTACGTGACACGGCATGCAGTTACAGACTTTGCTGCCTTCAATCTTGATGATGTCGACGAGGCCTTTGCTCGCATCACGCCCCTCAAGTACCAGCAGACTTTGACACTGGAAGGTGAGCTCTGGAGATGACCTGATCACCGTCATCATGCCTTCTCAATCCCTGCACTTGCTGAATGTCCATAAGCTCTGCTGCCATGATCTTACTGACAGCAATGTTGGAGATTTTTTGTTCTGCCGAATGCAGGGCCAGGTGAGGGGTTCTCCATCACCCCCTTTGCAGCAGGACACCTGCTGGGAGGCTGCATCTGGCGCATCACAACTCCAGAGGAGGAGCACATCGTGTATGCGGTGCACTACAATCACAAGAAGGAGCGCCACCTGAACGGAGGGGTGCTGGACTCTGCCTTCTCCAGGCCGGCCATCCTGATCACCGACGCGGACAATTCAATGCTGGAGGGTGCTGTGCGCAGCAGGGAGACGTTGGACAAGGAGCTCAGAGAGGCCGTCATGGCCACCGTCCGCGCAAACGGTGCTTGTCTCTTCTCACACTTAAGCCAGGAGTGCCTTGTGAAGATGCAACGCAGACATGCAGTTGTGCCCACGCTCAGGGACTTGGAAGGTCCTCTATCCAGGAAAGCAAATGGCCTTTACATGCAAGCGGTTGTGTATGGCCAGGCGTGTCAGCTGAAAATTGTTGTGTCTGGTGCATTCAGGAAATGTGTTGATACCTGTGGATGCTGCTGGGCGGCTGTTGGAGTTAGTCCTGCTGCTGGAGGAGCACTGGGACAAGCAGAAACTGACCTACCCCTTGGTCCTGCTCTCGCCAATGGCATACAACGTCCTGGAGCTTGCCAGCAGTCAGCTGGAGTGGATGTCCCACTACATTGGGCAGATGTTTGAGCGCACGAAGCAAAATCCTTTTTCTGTCAGGCAAGCCAAGTCAAATCCTTCATCGTCATTGCGGGGACGTTGATATATCTGCATGTTGGGAGCATGTCAATACAAGGGGGATTCACATGCAGGAAGCTGAAGCTCTGTCGGACAACGGAGGAGCTGGCTAAGCTGCCCCCTGGCCCAAGAGTGGTCATGGCAACTCTGCCTTCGCTGGAGGCCGGAGCTTCTCGTCAGCTCCTGACTGAATGGGCCACCAACCCAGCAAATCTGATCCTCTTTCCTGGCCGCGCCCCGGTGCGTCCAAGGCTCTCCCATAGTGGTTGCATCTTTATTAGCACATTATTCATTGGGCGTCTGCCTGGTAGTAGGTGTTCTTGCCACAAATTATAAAGCACACAATAATGACAATTCAGGATACACAAGAAGACCGTTTGTTTGCAGAATGACACATTGGCGGGACTTTTGCAGCAGAACATGCAATCTGGACAGCCGTTCACTGTACCGATACGGCTGTCAAAGCGAATGCCCCTGCAAGGCGCAGAGCTGCAGGCGTGGCAGGAGAGTCAGACTGCACATGTCCTGGAGGAAGAAGAAGAGCCAGCGATTGTGCATGCACCGCATGAGCTTCCTACGAGGTACAGCTCCTCATGCTCTGCTGCCTCTTGGTGCACCACTGGAACAGGGCAGCTCGGCAGTCTGCAAAAATCTTGATGAGCCATTTCAAAGAGGCGATCCACTGTCCTGCAGGAAGAGCACAGAGAGCATTGGGAAAATTTCGCGAGCCACCTCTGACGGAGCAAAATTGGCGCCTGCATCACTGCAGCCCTCTTCCATGGCATCCCTCCCAGCTGCCAGAGTGCTCATCGATGGCTTTGTTGTGCCTGAGGTGCGTGCAGGCTGACTAAATTTGCATGATGAGTCATGTCCAGAATTGTGCTGTCCTGCATGGACGAATTTTTGGGCTCCTAGGCGTGGAAATAGTTTGTCCACATCCATTTGCATGGATCCCCGTGTCATTGCGTGGCCTGCTGCCTGCAGGGTGCTGTAGCGCCCATGTTCCCCTCTGAAGATGACGACAACGAGTACGATGACTACGGAGCTCTGCTTCATCCGGGAGAGTTCCAGCAAGCCGGTGGCACTGCAACTGGTGCGTTGTAATTTCTGGGATGCCTTGATTGAAAGTCGGGGCCCCCTCAGTGCGCAAGATGTGCTGCGTTGGAACACAATTGAGTTGTTTCAGAGCCTGGGAATACCAGTGGTTTTGCATCTGCATGGGGAAGGTAATGCTGTGCTTGTGCCGATGCAGCTATGTCGATGGATATGGATGATGGGGAGGACAGTCCAGAAGAAGAGGAGGTTCCAACAAAGGTGGTTTTTGAGGATATTAAGCTGCCGGTGCATGCGCGGCTGCTGCTGCTCGACTACGATGGCCGCAGCGATGGCCGCAGCATGCGCCTCATCCTGGGCAAAGTTGCTCCGCGCCATCTAGTTCTTGTGCACGGAACCCCCCAGGTGAGACAATTGACAGCGTCAGAAACAACGGCAGCATCACGTAACAAAGTATTGATAGATCCATGATGATGTCATTGCTGTAGGAGCAGGATCAAACGGCCGAAGGGGCACGAAAGCAGCAGAATTAAGGAGTAGGAAACAGGCTGTCATGTGGGCCCACATGCTGACACATGCTTTATGAACAGGCGACACAGGTGTTGAGAGACGCATGCGGGGACGACCTGTACTCTGTCAATGGCCAGGTGCACTGCCCAGCCAACGGAGAGACCGTGGACGTGTCGGCGGGGACGTCCTCCTTCCAAGTGGTGCGCTCTTGTGCCCCTAGAATGCCTCAATGAGGTTCACGGTGCCTTTCTTGTATACCTCAGGAAGGTTTCTTGAGTCAGTGAATCACTTGTTAAGCCTCAGGAGCATGGTGCGCGGTTTGCTCTTTCTTGAGCACCTCGGGTAGGTTTCTTGAGTCAGTGGATTAGTTGTTAAGTCTCAGGAGCATGGTGTGCTGATTGCTCTCTTGGTCCATTGAAACATGCAGCAATCTTAATGGAAATTCCTGTGGCAGGGGCTGTCGGACGGGCTGCTGGCGCAGTTGCGGATGCGGCAGATGGGGTCAGAGTATGCGCTGGCCTGGGTGCACGGCGTGGTTGCGTCGGTCAACTCTGGCGCACTGCCAGAGGTCCTGCCGGCATCAGCATCTGCCGGGGAGGCCCTGGAAGGCGGCGTGTTCATAGGTGTAAGCTCATGCATTCTCTGCAGCTGTCAATTGCGGGACATTGACCACAGCAGAGAGGCTCACACATCATTCCATGCCGCACCATGAGAAGAATGGGCACATTCTTCAGGACGACACATGAAAAACAGATGTGTGCACACATTTTGAGGAGTTGATCACAGTGGCATCGTGTAATGCCATGTGATGCTCGGATGTGATCAAGTTTGTCTGCTGGTTTTGCAGGAGACGCCAAGCTGTCAGACTTGAAGACTGCGTTGGAAAAGGAGGGGATTGCGGCAGTCTTTGTGGAAGGCAACCTTCAGTGTTCGGGCAGTGTCTCTGTGAAACGGACCGTGCCAGAGGACGGGGGGATTATCTTGGAGGGTCCCTTGTCGGACGATTACTACCGCATCAGAACTGTGCTCTATAGCCAATATCAGGTTTGCTAGTCAGACATGGCGTGCGAGGGAATTGACTGCCTTAAATAAGGACTCCATCCAGGATTAGCATAGGATGTCTTGCCCAGAAGCCATGGGCAGCCTGAACTGAATGAACTCGTACTTGAACTGACACCAAGAATGACGGAATTGGGGGAGGTTCATACATTGTGGGTGTTGTCCCAGAAGTCGTGAATAAAATATTTTGAGCTGGCCAGCTCCATGGATTGTGGCATGATTTTGCTTGTCAAGAACAGTACATATATGCGCACGCCTGGTGATATTGAAAGTACCTTAAATTCAAATTGATCAGAACGATCAGTGGTGATGCAATCGAATGGCCATGGCCTACTCTAAACGCATTCTCCTTGAAAGGGAAACCCGAACGGTTCACTCAGTTCGTCACTTCATTCAAAGTAGAGGTGTCCTCAGACCTGCTGCATGCAGCTGGGCAATTGCTTTGCCAAGTTTCAAGTCTGTACGAGTTCAGGAGGTTCATTGATTGTTCATGCACTTTGGCAGTGCACTACCGCAGTGACTGCCAGTTTTGTCGGCAAAGAAGCTTCTTAAGACTGTTTCATTGCACAATGCATGATGGTTGCAGGAAAGCTTCAGGCATCCTTGGCCTTCATCTCGCTCGTATCAGGGCTCCACCTCTTCCCAAAACCGTTGAACTTCCTCATGTCTTCCTTGGCATCTGCAGCAATGCTGTCCAGCGTGTCATATAGAGGCTTCAGAGCCGCAGGAGGGTTGTGCGTTGATGACGGCGCCCCCAAAACCTTTTCAAGATCAGCGTCCTTTCCATAGATTGCTGCATTTGCATCCTTGTCCACACTGATTTTGCCACCTACGCAACACACCAGCTCTTCATCCCTGCACGTTCATGCGTAGATCGCAATAAACTTGGAATATGGCCTTGTGGCAGGAGTGCAGTAATGTACATACCGATCAAGCTCCAGTCGACAATGGCACCGTCAGCCAGGCTGTGCGAGATGATGTCACGAGATGCAAAGACATTTGCATCTTCAATCACATCGAAGCCGAATGACTTTCCCAGGCTCAGGTCTTGCCCCAGCACCACCGGCCCCTTCTTGGCACCAACTCTGAACTGGTCCACGGCCTTCTCACTCCCAAGAATCAGCACTGTCTGAATGTTGCCAACACCTGCCATTGAACACCCTACTGCATCAGCAGGAGGATACCAGCAACAGCTGTGATCCAGATATTGTGTACTTTTGTTGCTCCACCACACCAGTCTGTGAAGCAAGGGGAACAAAGTTGCTCGTCCTTTTCAGAGAGAGGTGCAGCCCATCTTTCCATGGCAAATCTGCCGATTACCTGCGAGAAGTCCGAGGGACACCTCGTTCACCTTGAACAGAACAGGTGCTGACCAGCTTTCACGGCCATTCTCGTCAAGTATGTGGGCAAGAAGCACGCCCGCTCCCCACTTAATGCCCAGTGCCAGCCCCACCTTCTTTGTGTGGAAGAAAAAGATGCCCTGCGTTATTTCATTAGTGAGAATGATTCTGTACAATCATAAAAAGAAGCTTTGCGTTTTGTTTGCGATGAACCGACGGGGAAGTTGGTATGAAGCTAGCCGATCCCAGCAAAACTACCCACCCGACAATGCTTTATTGCCTTTGGATTGAGTTCTCCAAGTGGGTTCTGAGGAGGATTGGGCTTCGTCAGGTTTCCAAGGAGCTCTAGTGCCCGATGAACCTCATCCTTCAAGTGCTCTGCACCTGGATTCATGGCTGACTATATAGATATGGCCTGATCTGATGACCAGCTAATTCCACTTCGGTAAATCTTTGAAGTGTTGTGCACATGGAAGACCACCGAGGCAACCCAACGAACGTTGGACAAATTGGTGTTCCGGAATTCCGGAACGAGCCCAGGATTTCACAAAACCCCTTGTAAATCCCCTGCATAAATTCTCGAGCAAGGAACTGAAATATCGGGAAAAGATCACGAGCTTTATCTTTCGAAACTCTTTAAAATCTTCTTTCAATATTTATAAGAAATTTCATCAAGACCCTGAGTTGCTAAGTATTAGAACGTATATCTTTGTCCAAGTGAGTTTTGTACGTATGGAAGTCACGATCCTCCATAACGCGAGTGTTTGGGGTGGTGTGAAAGAGGTGTGTTGATCTTGTCAAGGATCTGATCGATGCATTTCTAGCAATAATAATGCATGCTCTTGGTACGTCCGGAAGTAATTGATTCTCTTGTGATTGCCACAGCAGGGTTGCTTTGCGTCAACAAGGCTAGTACCACTTCCTTTGCACAGGCGCGATCATGAATCTCATTGGATTTTATCTTGGAACATATAAAGTGATAGATACATTACATCCTTTGAGCGTGTGCATGAGAAAGGATCTTCCTGTGTTCTGCAGGTCGTCTGCTCATTTTCTCGCACAGCCAAACACTACCCATCTCAGGCATGCAGGTCAGTAACCAATACATGGTGACAAATACTATAAAAAGGCAGGAATGTCTCCCTTCCTGCAATATTGCTGACGGTGGGAATTCTTGCAGAACGGAGCGCTTCGCTTGTTGCCCGGGCCATCAAAGCCATCACAGAGAAGGAGGAAGAGGTGGGAGCTCCCCATGTCACTTCCATCATTTCAAGTGTCTTGAGTGTCTGCACCCTCTAGTAAGAAGCATGCAGAAGTTTGACAAATTCAATTACCTGGGGACAGGACCTCCTCCAGTACAAGGACCGGGACCAGTGGTACCTCCCAAAGTTTGTGGCGGATGATGCTCCAGACTGGAACCCAGGCAAATTTCTGAGGTCCAGGCAGCTTGGTCCAGGTGTCAAGGAGGTCCGTGCTATGACATCCCCGGAATTATGGATTTCTTGAGTTGCTGCCGGCAGCACAGATTGTGAGAATGTCCTTAGGCAACGGTGTTCTGTTGAAGTGCAGGTCGTTCTGGAAGCTGAGATCAGCAGGGAGCAGATCCCCCTGCGCAATGCCTACAAGCACATCGGCCAGAGGGCCACCATCAGAATTAACAGCGGTGTTGACACCGAGCTGCCAGGTGACACACTACCCTTGCCATGCCTACTTGTCGCATCCTTGCAATAATCTTAAAACTCATGTGTCAAGGTGCTTTGCGAGCACGCTTTTTCCGCAGATAATCTGCACTGCTGTCAAGAAATTCTTGCTTGGCAGTTCGTCTCAAAATTTATGGCACTCTTATTATTATTAGCACACCCTTTTCCTGCCAAGCGGTAAGATGCGTCCTGCAGACAAGCTGCAGTTAAAGGCTGCCATAATCCTACCCCCTGTTGGAGCCGCCATATCCAGGCCAGACCCAATCAATCGTGGGCACGGCGCTCAACTTATACCGCACCCCGCCAGCCGGGGCCGTTCTCTGGTATGAGCGCTGAGGGGTGCGCTGTTACAATTTAGTGACTACATAGATCAGACTAGTACAGATTGGTCATCAGGTGATCTTGGGTCTGATTGGGTCCAGTCATCTGGGCCGATCTGAAACATGTGGTGTGCATGCGGCAGTGGCGCGGGGCCCCTTCCCGCAGGAGCTGAACAAGCAGGCGCTGTTCCGGGCGCGGCTGGACATGCACGCGGGCGAGATCAAGGCCGTAAAGGAGGTGGACAGCGTCAAGGCAGAGCTGCCGCTGGTGGTGTACCAGGACGAGGCGCCCGACATCTACAAGATGGCCGACGACGACGCCGTTGAAATCGGGCCCTTTGTGGTGCGATTTCGCCCAAACCCCCTCACCTGCTCTTGCTCGCACCCTCCTAAGCTGTTGTGAGGAGATACTCTCCAGACCTTATGATCTCTTGTCTGGTTGAGGGGGCTTCAATTGCAAGAAGAAGATTCTCACAGAGAGGGCAGCCCTAGCCCAAATGATGTGGAACCCAGTCAAGAAGGCTGTAATTGTTTTTGGCAATTTTCATGGTACAGATGCGGGGCGTGCTTGTGATCGTGGCCAGTGTAGGCTCTAGATAGTGGGGGTTACTTATTTGCTGCGCTGCGTGGGTGTAGGGGAGCGGCATGGACCTGAGGGGCCCCATCATCTCCATATACACCTTCCCCACGATTGTCATCTTCTGCGAGGGCCGCGGCATCGCCGCTGCAAAGGCGTTGGTGGAGGCGCAGCCGTCCGAAGGCGGCCTCAACTTCCCCTACAGGGAGGATGTGCGCATGTACTACAGGGTGGGAGCACCTCTCTTGGGGACACCTATTCATTTTCTAGCCTTTTCCAAGCTGTGGGAAGTGCAAGTTCTGCATCACTGTCTGTCCGGCACACCAGCTGTAACCTTCATTCCAGAGAGCTGTTCTAAGCTCTTGGAAGTGCGATTTCCACTTTGCCTGACCGTCTGTCTGGCACGCAAGGTGTAGCCTTCATGCCGGACACCTATGGTCTTATTTTCATACTAGGCTAGTTAGATTGGTGTGAGCAGTTCTGTCTGTGATTTGACTGAGTGATGCTCTGAATCTGCAGGCGCCGAACCAGGAGGCGCTGTGCTTCAGAGATGAGCTGGAGGAGTGGGAGAGCAAGTATGGCTGCAAGGTGGTCACATCCACGCGCGGCACCTTCCAGGACATGTTTGATGACGATGACACACTGGCCTATGAGCCTGCCAGCACAGCCGCCATCATCCTGACTGGTGGCGACGAGGAGGCAGAGGCAGCTGCCTTGGAGGTGGGACATGCAGGCTCATCTGGCCTTTTCTACAGAGGCATCAGTTGGGGATCTCCTTTTCCAACGGAGATGAATGACGTCGCTTGTCGGCCTGGCTCAGGAGTTGAGGTGTACATTTGGTGTCACCTGTGGAGCAGCATTTGATTGCTTGTGACATGGTGTGCAGGTGTGCAAGGAGGCAGAGATCACAGAGATTGCCATCGACAGCAGAGAGCAGATCCAGTCTGTGTATCTGGTGAAGGGATCAGAAGGGCCTACAAAGTCAGACAGAAAAAAGGAACCTTCAGCAGATACCTAGGTGTTGGACTGCTTGAGTGTTGCCCATCATAATAGGCAAGCAGCAAGCCTGTTGATTTTGTTTTGTACTGTGGACCTGACAATGTATGTCTTCAGAGTCTACCATGTGCCTCAAGGGCATCAAGCTCAGGGGTATCAATCATTGCACCACCGCAAACGCAAAACAGAGTGTAATAAACTATTGTTCTTTAGTCTTCTCAGAATGTGTATGAGAGGGCTGCTCATGTCAGAAACATTTTCTTGTACTCTAGACATCCAATTAAGTTACAATAAACTTTCGCTGAATTTAGTATGAGGCATACCGGAAATATGACTCTCATTCTGTCGTCAAGCAATAACTTAAAAAGTTTGACAGAGACTCCTGTTGCAATAATCCTTCGCTGACTTTCCATAAGGGGCATGCTTGAATGCAGCACAATTCAGTGTGCATACTGCATAGCGGCCATGATCTCACAAGAACCAATTTACACTGGCGCCACCATCGGAAGGGGCTGCGTCATTTGTGTGGAGTCGACCTGCACAACAGGAAAATTTGCAATTTACAATCGTCCCACTTTATTTTCCCCGTGCGCGCTTTCATTGTTACTCACAGAAGCCCAATAAATAGATGCGATCCACTGCCGGACGATTGTACACTTGTGCGTAGTTGGTTGTTGCGTGTTCACCTGAGCGCGAGCTTGATACTGGGAGGGCTCAGAGGCACGGAATGGAGACCCCGGCTGCAGGGGATTTACTGTTTGAGAACCAGACCTGCTGGCGGCATGGATGCTGTGGATGGCAGCCGCTGTAGAGGAGGCACCCTGTTCCCCATACCATCAGCTTCAGCTCGAGGCAGAGATCTCATGAAGGCAGTATGCATGCATGCCGATGAATCGAGAACACGACACACCGGCTTTGTGTTGTTGACCCTTCATCAGACAGGGACTCACCAGTGAGCCTGGCAGATCTTGGCCCTGGCGCTCTGATTGTACAGTGACATGAGCGTCTGCGACAGGGTGCGAAGCTGCATGTGCAGCGCTTTCAGACGGGCCCCTTGCTTGGGCGCCGTTCGTTCCAGTGGGCGCCTGACTGCCAGGCGCGGCTTTGGAGGGCGGCGCGTGCGGTCCAAGGAGCACTGTCGCTATCCCATTTGCCAGCTGCGCACCCCCCTGGACAAAGATATATACAGACTCGAGGTTTGCATGATTGAAGGCCGCTCCGGCAGGGTGAATATGGAATGCCCAGCATGGCTCAATGCACAAAGAGAGGTGCCAGGTGACCATGCGGCTTTGAAGACAGAGTGGAGCTGACAAACCTGCTTCTGCTTGGCGTCCCCGGCGCTCTTGCGGGGCCCATCAGGCTTGCTCTGAGCTGGGCTGTAGGGGTTTGGCATGTCGTAGAGCTGTTTGAAGTCCTGACAGGCAGCAAGCACACAGCACAATCATTTCTAGTATACTGAAAGAATGGTATGCCCAGCAGAAATGGTCCGCTGATAAACACCCAGGATAGGATGCCACCTCCTATGCCCAAGGATAGCCACATTTCAGACAGTGGCAGAAACTTGTCATCCTGAATGAGCGCATGAGACAGTGCGCGCACCCCATCGTCGTTCTGCGCGGAGCCGCTGAGTTCCTCGTGAGTGAGCGCGTGCACTCTGTCAAAGATGAGGCGGCCGCCGCGGCCGATGCGCGGGCACCCCTGGCCCCGGGCGAGTGCATCGGGCAGGGCAGGATCGCCCCCCAGCGACATGCGCGCCATGTTGGGCGGCAGAGTAAACAGCATGACTGGCGAGGGCGGCAGCGGAGGTGGCGGCAGCGCTGCCAGGCTCTGCATTGCGGGCATAAAACATGTTAAACGCCGAGCAACAGCGCTGCCATTCACCCTACATCGCTGATTGATATTGTAGCCATTCCTGAGACTCGTTCTTCAGTGCATGTGGCAAAGGGAAGCTCTCCTAATCTGACGTACTGTACAAATACAATAAGTTGAAGCTCGCCAGCGGCATATAATATCTTGGAGGAGGTAGTACCTGCGCAGGGCGCTTGGCATCCTTCTTGCGCTTCTTCAGCCGCCTGGCAATGTCAGCAGTGACAGCCAGCGCAGAGGACGCTGCAGCAGCCGCAGCATCCGATGCCGCATTGCCAGCAGTCCCAGCGTCACCTGCACAGCCCAGCAGGACTCACTGGAAGTCCAATTCCTTCCATACTTGCCCTCAGCAGCATGACAGTTATATGCAGTAGATCTTTGAAACAACAGAAGCCTGCCCCACCTGACTTTGGGTCCAGCTCGATGGGGCGCCGCACAGGCTTGGCCTTGGCAGCAGCTGCGTACTCCGCCTCAATGGCATCATGAAGATGCCTAGGCTCCACCTTGAGCTTCATCTGAAGCCTCTGCAAGTCTGTCTCGATGTACTGCATGGAACGCACATTGTTCTGTCAGCACCTCCACATGAGGCTAGCAGGGCGGAGTATCCAAAGAGCGTTCCAGAATATCATGCAGGGAACAGTTCCTCACCGCCAGGTTGACCTTGCGCTGCTCGCGCCGCGTGAGCCACTCCAGGATCTCGCACGCCTTCTTCATATTCTTGCGGATGGCCTGCATCTTGTCAAGGCTGTCCTCATTGTTCTCTCTCCGCCGCCGCGTCTGCGGCCTGTGTATCTTCTCCCGCGGCCTGCAAATGCCACCACCCCCCATCATGCTCCTGACGCACTTTCTGATCCTCTGCGCAACTCCCACAAGCTTGCTGTAGCACAATTGAGTAACGAGGAATCCGTAACAACAAAATTAATCCCTAAATGTGGCCATGCCGTACCTGAACACCCCAAACGGGTTCTGGTCTGAGGACGAGGTGGGCGCCTGCAGCCGTCTGAGGAGCGGCTTGCCGATCCTCTCCCGCTTGGTGCGCCAGAAGTCATATATGGCGTCCCTGACCAGCGTCCGGACCGGGTGGGCGGCTGTGATCACCTCATACGCCTCCTCCCGAGTCATGTGATCCACAGCCGCGGCGGCTGATGGGCTCTGTCGCTCGGTCTGCGCTGCACCTGCAACCCAGCATGCAGAAGCGATGTCATTCGTTTGCTCTGGACCTGTCTTGATACGTCATAATACAACCCAAGTGTGTGTGACAGGGGCTTGATGTGCGTGAAGTATTCAGACAGGTGGCGCAAGAGCCAGGGTGACTCACCGGCAGCGGCCAGAGCGCGGTCGGTGGCCTCAGCATTGGCGCATTCCAGGCGCCACATAAGCAGCTCCATGCGCCGTGATGGCAGCCGATCCTGCCCCTTGTTGAAGGCTTCCAGCCACTCCTGATCCTCTTTGTCCAGGTCATACTCTATGAAGCGGTCGTCGTGATACCCAATGCCACCTGCCGCCAGCAGACAAAATCACACAATCGTCTGAATTCACGGCTTAAACATTCTGTCAGGTTTTCTGAGGAAAAGAAAAGGTAGCCTTGACATCCTGATAACTAAATAGTCATCATGATGATTAGTATACGGTACTATGTGGGCATCACTGCCATGCATGCTACATGAACATCTCACTGCATGCAAAGGGGGGCCACCTCGCCCACGGATGTATGTGTTCTGTTCTCGGAAGGTTGGCAGGTAGTCAATGTTGTAGGTTGGCACGAGGGTGACTTTTGGCACAGGAATTTCCTTGCCCCCCTTCGCTTTCGCACTGCTGACCATTTTAGCCTGTTGGCATGCACATTTCTCAGAACATGCACCACCCCATACGTGGTTTTAAGTGATGTTAGACTCCTAGAAAGTGCTCTTGCATGATAGTTTCCTTGATGTCATTCAGGTTGGTGCCTGTGCAGTGTATGCTTGGCACTGGCAGACCACATGCAAATGTTCCATTGGCAGGTGAAGGGCTTTAATTCTAGGGCTCAAAAGATGCATAATAAATTCCTTTTTTCTTTGAGATGACTGTGCTCACCTCCTCATTTTCTTTGTCTAACGCTTCGTGGTTGTGAGTGATCTCCCTTGACACAAGTCCATCAGTCGAATCTAAATCTTTCAGGTCTCGAACAATTGGAAGCTGCTTCTGTAAATCCAAAGGCCTGGGCCTAAAACTGGTACGCGTTCCCATGTTTTCCCTCATCGTGTCAATTTCCTGAAAAAGTCAAAAAGCTTACAAGCACTTTTCTTTCAAGCTCGCATCAGCAACATCTCGAACATATACTTTTGCTCAGGGGAAATACCGATGAAGCGTAACATCACGCGATCATCGCAGCAGCACACCTCGAGAAACTCTCCCAAGCAAAAATAGCAAGGGAAATGTGATATCTGGACATTGCAGACAGCGGACTTGAAGGACTCGATATCATTGGATCCAGCACTTTAAAGCAATCCTTGTGTACTGAAATTCGCATATAGTATTCTTTGTCATCCATCGCTCAAGGAGCAATCGATGCCAGGTTTGCCGATGCTTGTTGCACTTCGCATGTGTTTGAGGGTCCTCTTAAGTGAATAGGTTTTCGTCGTGTGCAATATCCAATATACAGTCAGATAGACATTTTGTTATGGACCTGTCATAAATTTACCATGCCTTCCGTTGGAAGGATCTTGGAGAATGAACAAGGTTCTGTTCCAGTCCCATCTTGCTTACTTGTCTGGAAGCCCCAGTATGTAGAGACTCTCAGAAATCGACATAAGTCGCCATGTGGTCCATAGTATTCCACAAAACATCTATGAAAGCTGCCTCAGACTTATTGTGTGTCCTGCTGCCTGCTGCAGGCCGTGATGACTTTCCAGCTTTTCCCTATGAGCCTTACAAAGTTCAACAGGACTTTATGCAACACCTGTACTCAGTCTTGCAGACGGGTGGAGTGGGTCTTCTTGAAAGCCCAACAGGTGAAAGCAGCCTGCCATGATTTGGAACCTAGGATCCGGAAGAAGCAATCATTTGTTGGCTTGGTTGTTGATGAAAGAAAATTAAAAATATCGGATTTTCCTGTGCAGGCACAGGGAAGACGCTGAGCCTGATCTGCAGCACCCTGCAATGGCTGGAAGACAGGAACAAAGCTGACGCTCAGGAGGCGCTGGCCGCCTCAACGAGCCAAGGTGCTGACAAATGACCCAACTTCATCCTGTGATTGCCCAACTGACATTGGAAAGTGCCTCTGTGCGCTGTGCTCAACCTGAGAATCATGCTGTGGGACAGGCTGTGAAGCAGACAGTGATCTCCCAGACTGGATGCGCGTCCACTCAGCTGAGCAGCAGTCTGAGCAGCAAGCGCAGCGCGAAGCGCAGCGTGCACAGCGGCTGCAGAAGGCAAAGCTGAAGCTCAGCAAGAGCAGGGGTGCTTTTGGAGCCCTCCACCCCAGCGGTGAGGCTCCTGCCAAGGGTGCAAAGCAGCTGGCCAGATCAGGCGCTCGTCCTCCTGGACTGCAGGAAGAGCGGCAGGGCATCAGCAAAGAGGAGGCAGAGTTTCTACTGGATGAGTGGGAGAGCGAGGGAGAAGACTGTGGCAGCAAAAGGAAAGCAAATGGGTATGCTAGCATGTTTCTGGTTCCGTGCACGGTTGGCTTGCATGCAGGAAGCAGGGAACAGTTGACAAGAAGTGATAAATGTGATCATGCAGGCCAAGCGACAGCAGCAGCGATGAGGATGGGACGGACACAGAGGAAGAGGAGACGCCAAAGAGGAGGCAGGTCTACTTCTGCAGCAGGACACATTCGCAGCTGAGCCAATTTGTGAGCGAGCTGCATCGGACACCCTTTGCAGCCTCCTTCTCGGTTGCCACTGTGGCATCTAGAAAGGTGCGCATTACTGTGCTAATTTCTCAATCAATACCTAACATAGAGCGGCACTTGCCATATGCCAAACAGCCTTTCCTAACAAACAGAAAGGTCCTTGCATTTCCATGCATTTAATGCGGCGTGCAGGCACTGTGCATCAACGACAGTGTGCAGCGTCTGGGCAACGCCACGCGCATCAACGAAAAGTGCTTGGATCTGCAATCTGGGAAGGGCCGGAAGAAAGTGGTCACAGAGGCGCAGGGCAACACAAAGGCCTCCTCCAAATCCCATTCCGGCTGCCCATTCCGCAAAGCGAACATGACCTCACAGCGACAGCTGAAGGTGATTTCAGACACATCATGGGGTGACATTGCCCAAAAATTCCCACAGACATTGGATTCAACCGAGCAGCCCTGATCGTCAGCCTCTCAGCACTCGTCAAGCACCCTGGGCTGACTGCTATTCAGGATACACTGCATGTAGCAGCCTAAATTGTCAAACTCTCCAATGGTTTGTCAAGCATATTTGGTTGGCCGCAAATTAGGACACAGTGCTGGCGATGCCCATGGATGTGGAGGACATGGCACGGCTGGGGAGGCGCAAGGAGTTGTGCCCCTACTATGCTGCGCGCGCTGCACTGCCAGAGGCAGACCTCGTGCTGCTGCCCTACCCCGCCCTGCTCCTCAAGGTGACTCCTTCATTGGACTCCTTTATGAGCCATCTTTAGTACGCCCAATACTACAGAGGTGCTCGCCAAAGTGTGTCAGTAATTTGTAGTCTGCTTTTGGGCAGACTACAATTCCAAATCGAGATTGATGTTTGGCAATCGGAGCACCAGCAAATTCCATTGCGATGAACGATCGGAATGTGAAGAAGACTCTAGTTTGACATTGACGTTGTCACAGAATGTCTGCATGCATGACATTCCTTGACCAGTGTGACAAGCGTCCCAAATCTGTGGCATGGAGGGATCTTATTATGGGGCTTTACAATCTCAATGATGTATGATCTGCTGGTGGCTTGAAAATCCTGTGGGACCGGGTGCAGGAGACGAGGGAGTCCCTGGGAGTGCGTCTGGAGGGCAATGTCGTGGTGGTAGATGAGGCCCACAACCTGGTGGACGCTGTGAACAATGTGCACAGCGCACTCATCACAGCACAGCAGCTAGCCACTGCACACAGCGCTCTGGAAAGCTACTATCAGCGTTTCCGCGCTCTGCTGGCACCTGGTACGCCCTGTGATGAAATGTGCCCTCATCAAGCTCATCCATGTCTCATTGATGAAGTCAATGGGTGGAAGCGGGAAAGCATGAGAGGTGTCATTCCTGTGCAGGGAACAGCAAGCACATCCAGACCCTCATGTGCCTGGCATCAACGCTTCAGAAGTGCTGGAACAGACCCAGTGGAGCTGCGGGAACGAGGCTGGACACGGTCAACGACTTCCTCTTTTCCATGGAACTGGACAACATGAACTTCTTCCGGCTCATCAGGTGGATACAAAGGACAATGTAAAAAATTACAGGTGATAGCTGCTTGATATTGTCAGAACAGGAAAAATGCTCACTTGCACCCCCAACCACCTTCATGTCTCTGCAGGTACATCAAGGAGAGCAAGGTCCTGGTGAAGATTGCAGGCTATGCAGATGCTACAAGTGCCAGGGCCGGTGATGAGGTCACCCCAAATGCCACAGATGGCCAGACGCAGTCCGATGGTATGCTCTGCTGGCCTGCAAGATTCTCGAGGGCTCATCAGACTGCGTTTGTTCTTGATTTTGAATTGGAACCGAATGCACGATTGTGCGCACAGGAGGTTCTGGCATGTCGTCGCTGCATGCGCTGGTGGGCTTGGCCTCTGCGCTGAACAACGCTGACGCAGACGGCCGCATCATCGTGGACACAGCGGCCAAGACCCTCAAGTTTGTCCTGCTCAACGCCGGCGCACACTTTGTCAAGGTGCCATCCCACCTCCTGTTCCTGCACATGCTGCTCTATATAATGTGCTCTTTGAGCCCCGTTTTTGGCCATCAGGCGTGCACAAGCCAAGATTTTGAGGTGCAGGTGCTGGCTTCGGCGCATGCGGTGGTGCTGGCATCAGGCACTCTGGCGCCTGTGTCGTCGCTGAAGCAGCAGCTCTTCCCTGGATTGCCTGCCACGCAGCTGCACCAGTTCAGCTGTGGCCATGTGGTGCGCGCGCAGCTTGTCACCTGCCCACTCTGCATCATCGCATTCAGCATGCAATGTGCATATTTCCCTTGCTTGGAGTGCCTAAACTGGTGCTACTCCAGGATGCTTGTAAGAGGATGAAATGTTGCGACGCTTCTGTGCAGTCCTGGTGCCACAAGGGAATGCTTAATTCAACTGATGTTTATCTTGAGTGATGCTTTTTGTGACAGGTTCCAAAGGAGCGCCTGTTGGCTGTGGCACTGGGCCGAGGCCCCACAGGTGCCACGCTGGACCTGCGCCACGAGCAGCGCGCACAATCCAGCAGCATGGACGAGATTGGCACGCTCCTCACCAACATCTGTCAGGCCGTCCCTCAGGTCTGCCACACACTCCCTATACTCCCCACGCCTGCCAGATGCTCCCAAGAGTTCCACAATATGCCAGACGCTCGCTGATACGTCCAGCCATCTGTCCAACCTATATCAGCAGTTGCCTGGAACATTCAATTCTTGATGCTGATATTGTAGCCATCAGTGCACAAGGTGCTGAAGATTGTTTTGCATGCGCAGGGCGTGGTGGCGTTTTTCCCTTCGTTTGCATATGCGGACGCAGTGTATGCGCACTGGCAATCCTCGGGCGCTCTGGCTGCACTGAGGTCGAAGAAGCACGTGTTCCGGGAACCCCGCTCCTCTGTGGAGGTTGAGGCTGTGCTCAGGCAAGTCTCAAGCCTTTATCATATAGCACACCTTGCAGTGCGTTCATGTTGTCTCTCTCAGGAGGCACTTGATTAGACATGCTCCGATCTGATCATGCGTTGGTGCGGCTAATTTGACAGGCACTATGGTGAAGCAGCCAACAGCAGCGCAGGAACTCCTGATCCTCAGAAGCAGATGGAGAAAGGTCCCAGTGGAGCCCTCCTGTTGTGTGTGGTTGGTGGAAAGATGTCGGAGGGCATCAACTTTGCCGATGGCATGGGCAGGTCCAAATCCGCCCTTGACATTATTTAGTCCCTGGTCCTCGTTTGTGGTTTCATTCCCATGGGACTTCATTCCTGGTGGTGACCAGGGTGACATGTGACTCGTTGTTGGGGGCAGGTGTGTTGTCATGGTGGGCATGCCTTTCCCCAATCCCACAGATCCTGAGCTGTGTGAGAGGATGCGCTTCATGGACACATGCGCAGCCAGCACCCCAGCGGCTTGCACAGATACCTCCTCAGCAGGTACAAAGTGATTTTCTCTGTACTGGTCATAGGCAGGACATTTTCTGCATACCAACCTTCACTCAGCCCTTGTGTGCACTTTTTGGAGCAGGCGATGGTGTAGCGCCAATTTCTGCCAGTTCACCAGGCCGTGAATATTTCGAGGACCTGTGCATGAAGGCGGTGAATCAGTGCATCGGCCGCGTGATCCGCCACCGTGGCGACTGGGCCGCCATTCTTCTTGCAGATGTCCGATGGACTGCAGGTGACTCCTCCCAATAGGATGATGTATCAAGCACATCGGAGATCTATGCCGAGCCTAGCCTTGTAGGTGGGCTGATCAGCACAGCTAACTGCTCAAGCCCAAATATTTCCTTGAATTTGGAAGCAGGTGGCGCGAACAAACCACTGCGCAAACTCCCTGGCTGGATCCAGGAGTCCCTTGTGGTGGCAAGCGGATTTGGAGATGCGTACAGCAGGATCAGGCGATTTGTGCGCAGCATGTGATCATCTGTGTGAGCCGGTTGTCAGGCTGCGGGTGGCCACGACCATGGTGTCGTCCAGATCTAAGTTGCAGCATCTTTTTATAGCAGCTGCAACATGTGCATCTCCACCACAATCTGTTGAACTGGTCATTCTCACGAAGCCGCACCTGAGAGAAATTGGTGATTTACAAATGGATGCGAAGTGTTTTTTTTTAATTCTGTCAGCCACCCATTTTGAATTTGAACCCAGCTGTCGTGGCCTTGCTCGCTTCCATCGTGTGATTGTGCTGTTGTGCCTGGTTTATTTAGATTCCAATGTATGTGTAAAATATTTGTAACATCGTGTTGTATCGTTCTACTATCGCTCACTGTAATTGCAATGGATATCTCTCGGTTGACCGGTGATGGTGCTTCTCAATTGCTTGAAAGTTGTTGTCTAGAATTGGGCGGGAGACGACGATGTGGGAAGACACGACGAGTCATTCCAGCGGTGAGCGAAAGTCATCTTTCATAAATCTGTAGAGTGCGAAAGGATTTGCGAAATTTCACGCTGAGATGTGGACATCTTATGCTTACAGGATGAGGTCCACTTCAGCTACGAGCTTGACGGAAAGAGGATTTACGCGACTCTAGAAGCTGCCAGCAAGGAGCTCATGCCCTTGTTGAAGCCAGCAAAGACGCGCAAATCGGCTGCACTGAATATCAAGGTCTCCCCAACACCAGTTTTCCCTCACACGCCCAGCTGCCCATATGTATCAGCTGCATTATTGAAATGATGACGTCTGCATCTGTTGATCTGGGCTGTGGCTCATCAGGGCCTGGACAAACTCCAAGCGCAAGACAGGAGTACATTCTATGACCTGTTCAAGGTCTCCCCGTCAGCAGCTAGAGGCTTTGATGAGGCCCATCCACCACTCAAGGAGGAAGAGGCAGAAGAGTTACCCAGGAAGAGGCGCAAGCAGGTGTGCAAAGTGGATCTTGGCAGCCTGACCTTTTTCCATGCCGTGGTGAAGGGCACTCGCAAATGACATGCACTCTGTTGAAAGCAGGAGGTGGAGATCAAGGATGAGGCAGAAGGCGAGCAGGAGGAAGAAGATGTGGATGAGAACGGGCTCTGTGAGTATGAGCGTGAAAGGGAAGCTCGCATAGCCCAGAATCGGGCGCGGTTGGCTGCCCTTCAGCTTCCTGGCCTGGCCGATCAATTCGCAGCGAAGCATGCCGCCAAGCCAAAACCTGCCAGGCCGAGAGGCCTTGCCGCCAAAAAGATCAAGAAGGCAAGAGGCATCCATTTGTCAAAGATCACAGATGCCAGAAGATCACAGATGCTAGAAGGAGGAATTGGGCATCTGCAAGGAAAGGAAAGATTGCAGGTGCAAGAGTGCTGAGACAATGACTTGTGTATGCCCATGTAGGAGCCGAGGCAGCCCCAGCGAGCTTCCCTGCGTATAGCCGGCATCGCGTCAGACGGCACTTCGGTGGATGAGGAGCTGCGGAACGGGCAGATCACCTTGAAGGGTGGAACCGGCGGCCAACAGGCACGGGAGGAGGAGAAGCCGCGCGCACTACCAACCAGTGTGCATGCTTGTGACACCTACCTGTTGCGCTGGATCATGGCAGATGTGCACGTGTATTCCTCTGGACCCAAAGGCCCCAGATGACCTCCAAGTGGGGCAATTAATTATATAACATGCAAGGCAGGGATGCTCAATGGCAATCCTGGTTCGATCGTTGGAGCTCTCAGTCACTTTGAGTTCTGTAAGTACAGGAGATGGCAAAAAATTCAACCTGCCTCAGAGTGTGAAAGATGTGACAAATCATGAAGCTAGATTCTTTGCATTGGAGGACTTCAAGGTCTGTTCTTCTGAGTGGGCCACTGTTGCTGACAGGTCCGCTGCCATTTGCCAGCACGATCGGCAACCCAAAGTCGGACGCCGCCTTCCTGGAGGTGCTCAAGAAGTGTGCTGGCCAGTCCACCGCTGGCAAGGGCAAGGAGCTGTCGCATGCGCAGATCAAGAAGATAGGCCTGAAGGAGAGCGATGTGGCCAAGGTCACGCGCGAGGGGATCTCTCACCTCGCTTTTCACCCTCAAGCACCCCACCTGCTCATCGCCACTGGAGACAAGCAGGGGCACATTGCCCTCTGGGATATCGACAAGAAGACTGAGCCACTGGTGGGCATGGTTGCCCCTAGCAGAGAATCTCTCACTGTTCACTGTTTTGCCGAATGGGCCATGCATTGTGATGTATTGTGACACAGGTTTATCAAAACCGCTGCTCTCCCTGTATACATTCAGCCATTCAGCGGGTGCCCTAGCAGACTTATTGCACAAAAGGATGGGTTTAAAGTCAGGCCTCATCCATTTTCTGATTGGGCGGTAGTGGCAGCAGGCTGCTGAAGAGGTTGATGACGTGGAGGAGTCAGGATCAGAGGATGGAGTGTATCTGTTCCGGCCGCACACCAGCTACATCTCAGGCCTCAGGCAAGCCTCCTCAACTTGTGACATGGCTTTTGCTCACGTCATGTCTCCCTTTGCAGCCGAGAGTTGTCCACTGGATTGCTGCTTACATCAGCCAGTATGGTGATATTATGTGACGATTAGTCCGCCCAGTACCATGTGATGCCGACGATGTACGTCCAGGTGATGTGGCCTGGCTAATCAGAAGTCGGATAGCAAAAGCAAAATACTGCGGAGCCAGTAGCAAGTCGGCAAGTTTTTGGAATGTGATAGGCTCAGATATGTTTGCATGTCATGAATATGTTTCGACACCATTGAGTGGTCCACATGCTTATTTTGTCATCTTTGGTGCAGGTGGGCTTCTGGCAAGCTGTACAGTGCGGCATATGACGGTGTAATCCGCCGGTTGGATCCGGCACGGGGCGAGTTTGAGCTGCTGGCGGTGCGCGAAGAAAATGAGTTCTCTGCCTTTGACTGCACGGCGGACGGCGGCTGCATGCTGCTGGGGGATAAGGACGGCGATGTGGAGGTGGCTGATTCGCGCGAGGCTGCCAAGGGCACCAGCATCAACCTGCACGACCGCAAGATCAACACCCTGCATGTACGCCCAGTCATGCTGTTTTTCATGACATGCCTCATGCAAGTTGCTGCATGGCATTTAGCATGTGTGATTGAGTCCTGATGGAAACGTGACGCTGCATGCATGCGTAGTGATCGTGCTGCACATGTAATGCACCTTATGGGAGGTTCGTTGTAGCATGCAACATTTGAGCATGCATGAATTCTTTAAAGGACCGGCCCTGCATGATGCATGTGAAAGTGCAAGAGCACTGGCAAGCAGCAAGTACTGAGGTTCACAAATGTGTGCTCAGATTGAGCCAAGGGGGGAGCAGCTGGTGGTCAGCAGCAGTGGAGACAGGACGGCCTGCATCTGGGACAGGCGCAAGCTGGGCCCTGGCGTGAAGGCGCTGCACACAGTGACTTCTGCAAACGTCATCTTGAGCGCCTACTTCTCCCCTGACGGTAATGGCATTTTCAACTCCCTGCAACATCTGACAGCTGCTGTGCCTGTAACTTGTGCAACCTTTCAGGCAAAGGTAGTTGAAGCTTTCTTTGAGGATTTGGTATGTGTCCATGCAGGCGCGCAGCAAGTGCTGACAACCAGCCGTGACAACACACTTCGCTTGTATGACAGCAGCTTGCAGCAGAAGACCGTCATTCCCCACAACAATAACACAGGTGCTGGGAAAGCCCTAAATCGTCATACGGTACATACATGAGTCCTGCCAGAAGTTGACTTCAGCTGTGCTGTACAGGTCGGTGGGTCATGCCCTTCAGGGCGACTATGGGGCCTGGAGGCGTGTGCGTCTGCGGCAGCATGAAAAGAGCGGTAATGGCCAGCCCTCCTTGCATGCAATCTACTCTGCAAATTCTACCTAAATATTCTATGGGTACATGACGCGCTTCAGCCTATTTGCAGCTTCAGCCTATTCATGGAGTTCAAGCAGCTTGAGCCAATTCATACAGTTCCAGCAGTAGAAGAACTAAATCATGTGGCCTGTTGCTGCAGGTGGACATCTACAGCAGCACTGGGGAGCAGCTAGTTGCCCTCAGCAGCGAGTACCAGACAGCAATATCCTCAAGAAATGTGTTCCATCCCGATGGAAGTGCTTTGGCTGCATCCACATCCAGCGGCAGAGTCTGCATCTACCGATGATCTGGGGGCCTCATGGTGCTGACAATGATCAGTTGCAAGGCCTGAGGCAGGAACAGAAGTCAGCACAACATCTTTAACATGACCGACTCCAGTGAATTCTGCTGAGAGCTTATTATTTCATTTACAGGCCAAGACAGACATGGGAAGAATTGTACCAAAAGCTAGTTAGGTTGGTGGCACTGCAGTGTGCAGAGATGGCTGGTGCGCCACAGCTGTGGCAAGCAGAGCCAGGAAGACACAGAAGGCAGCCAGAATAATGGCATGCAGGATCTGTCTGCCACAGGATGCCTCCCTCTGCCTTGTTTCTGGCGAGGCCATCAGGGACCTGGCAATCCTGAGCTCATGAAGATCCTGCAGCACATGACCTGATCATGATCTCGCCCTGTGATCAAGATAAGTGTTTCTCAGTGGCTGCATGCCGTGACAAGGGGTGCAATGCATGACATAAATTGGCATTTTCATTTTATCTATCAGGTTTCCTGCTACATGTGTGCCTCATACCAGTCTTTTCTCATCAGCTGAGCAGGATGCCAGCAGCTTCATGAACTTGTACAGCTCCTGTGCCATCTCGTTTGACAGACCGTCTGCCTTCTTTGTGTCCTCCTCAAAGACCTGCATATGCCTGCCTTGTCATGCATCAAGCCTTTTGACAGGCAAGGTGAAGGTGCACTTCCAGAAAGACAGTGCTGGAAAGGCACTGGCAAGCATTTGTTGTTGCTAATCTCGATTGCATGCTCCCCAAGACAGTGGCAGAAATATGAAGAAGAGGAAGCACCTGGTTCTGGATGGACAGTCCTGCTGAAGCTGCAAAGCCAGGATGCTGCTGAGAGCTGCTGGTGTCGTTGGAGCAAGCCAGCGAGCAGGTAGAGGACACATCACTTGCACCTCCATCGTCGCAGCTGTAGCTCTCTCCTGTTTTCTCTGGTGTTTCCAAGCTCCTCGGAAATGTTGCTGACCGGGGCGGTGTGGCCAACGATGGCTTCTGGTGAGCTTTGTTGGGGCTGTCACTGGTGCTGTCCGACCTTCGGCGTCAAGCAAAGCCTCAACGCGTAACTCTAAAGAAGTGATCAAGTCGACATCTGTGCAGACTGTTGAAAAGCAGACAGGAGCCAAGCAAGAAGGATCGGGGATCACCTGCAAATATTTGGGCCCACTGTGGAGGACTGGTGGCTGTCATTGAGCTGCGGCTTGAAGATTAGGGACTGCTTGACTTTTGAAGCTGTTTTGATCCTTCCGGGGTTGCCGCCTGCAGGAGCACCCCGACGAGGCGGAGCCCTGGACATTGCCGCATTGCCATCCATGCTTCTCAGTCGTGGTTGCCAATGCTATCGTCGCAAATGAAGATTGGGAAGGATTGACGGTGTTCTGACTGAGCCTCTCCAATGTCACAGAATGGAGTAATGAGGTGTACTGCAGTTTGCATGCAAGCTTGCAAGAGAACAAAATCATAATATAAATTTTCAGAAAGGACGTTTCAGACCAAAGACAGCTCCATAGAAGGTCAATTTCATGACCAGCTTCCATAATCATGGTTGAGACAATCTCTAGAATGTTTGGCCGGCCAGATGCCTAGAGCTCATGAGCTGATCAGCAACACGATTTTTGAAACACCACATCATGTTCTACAGATCCGCATCCAGCCGCGCTCAGATTTCAACATGAATTACAAGTTCACTCCCTCAGATGATCTAACGACGGCATCTGCAACCCGCACAGCGTCGCGCACAGCTGCAACATTGTGGGCCCGCACAATGTTAGCTCCGCGTGAGACGCAAAGTGCTGCCGCTGCGGCCGATGCAATGTCCCTATCTTTGGCCTGATCACGCCCTGCAGCCATGATGCACGTGAGCATACACCGCGAGAGGAAATGGGAGCGAAGCACATGCATGGCAGCATTTCTGCGCACCTGTAATTTTGCCAAGGAAGCTCTTTCGCGATGGGCCAACCAGTACCGGGGCATTGTGGAGCGGACCCTTCAGCTGGGCTCTAACCTTATCAAGCCCCCCGATGAGCTGGAAATTACCCTCAGCTGTCTTGGCAAACCCGATACCTGCAGGGAACACTCTCTTTGCGCAATGCATGTCTGCATGGACAGATGGTCTGAAAGTGGTGGAGGAGGAGAGCACGCAACCAGCCTGACTTCATGCCAGTCAGCATCTGAAGAGCAACAAGCACCTGGATCAAGGATGATGCGCCAGGGCTCTATGCCGGAGCTGGTGGCCGCCTCTGCGGAGGATTGCAACGCGCGTCCCACATCAGCGCACACGTCAGCGTACATGGTGTGCTCTCGCGACGCCATTGTGCCCGGGTCCCCGCGCATGTGCATCAGGATGTATGGGACCCCCAAGCGCGCCACCTACTCAGCCAGACAGAGGCCACTCTGGGGGTGCAAAAGGCTGCCTTTTGCAGTGATTAGATGTGTGGGCATGCAATTATGGGCATGTGTGGGAGATGACAGGTCACCTCTTTATGCATGGCAGGGTCCAGAGACCCGCCGGACACATCGTTGACGATGTGCGCCCCTGCAGCAACCGCCTCTCGTGCCACCTCGGCATAAAAGGTGTCAATGGACAGGGGCACACCCTGCAGTGCTTCGTCCTCCGCCAGTGCCCTGCATGTGGCAGGAATTTGTGTCTCTGCCATAAGTCATGGGGCAGTGCCCAGCATCCAATCTGTGTTGGCAATACCTTGACATCCAGGACACACCATCACCAAGCAAGACAGTAAGAGGGGTGCATGCATGTTTGGAGTTACCTGATGACAGGCAACACTCGCTGCAATTCCACCTCTGCAGGCAACCTGTCGGCACCGGGTCTGGTGGACTGGCCCCCAATGTCCAGCATGTCTGCCCCAGCAGCCACCATCTGCCGCGCAGCTGCCAACGCTGCTTCCACGTTGGGCAGCTGCCCTCCATCGCTGAAGCTGTCGGGCGTCACATTCAGAATTCCCATGACCTGACTCCGCCCCTGTCGCCGCAGAACACCCAGGTTTGCGTGTGTGCATGCAGCGCATGGACAGATGTAGAAAGAGAGCCCTTCTTCTATCACGCCTTCCAAGGTACCTCTGGTCTCTACTACAGGGCAGTCCCCGACACGGATTCCAATACTGCAAAGCACATGTATTAGCGAGGCAGGGTGGCTTGGAACAGACCTGCCATGCCCATGTGCCCAGGCGGGGCAGGGGGAGCACACAGCCCAAGTCCGCACCCCCAAGGCTGCTTTCCCCGCCCGCCTGGGCCCACATGGAATGCACCTGCTGCAGAGGTGGCGCCATCTGCCCTGCTGCCGAGTCCGCACCCAGCTCGCTCGCAGCATACAAGTCCGCCACAGGCGCCTGACAGGGCAGTGAAAGACCTTATTGCAACCGCTGTTCTAGCCTTCTGTGTCATATCAACTCTGGCAAAGATACTGCGCTTGCAGAAACGTGAGACTGTTCTGTTGGAAAAGGTGACCTCCCTTTGGCCCAACCTGCACGAAGGACCGCTCCTGCCACCGCGGGTGGGGAACCTGCAGGCCGTCCTCGTCGCAGGATATGCTGTCATAGAATATTATGTCAAGATCCAGGGGCCTTGGCCCCCAGCGCAGGCCCCCAGCCTCCCTCCCTAGTTCTGCCTGCGACAGAGTTCATGTTGTTTCTTTCAGCAAAGGAATATCTGATGGACTGAAGCACAGCGAATTTCTCATGTACTGCCCTCTCACCAAATCTGACGCCGCACAGAAGCTCACCTCTACTTTCTTCAAGGCATGCAGCAGCTGGCGTGGCTCCAAGGATGTCGTGACAGCCACGGCTGCATTTATAAATCTGGGCTGATCTGTCACGTATGCTGGCGCGCTCTCATAGAGCCTGGAATGCCTCACAACCTGCATCGATGCACTGTCAGCTGCAGGAGGGCACTATGTGTCGCAACATTGGTGCAGTAAGGAAGCTGCAAGTGAGACACACCTCAATATCATGGGCTGGCAGGAGCTTCAGAGCCTCCTGAATGTTACTTACCCTGTCCCCCTGTTCCGCAAAATTGAGAAAGCCCATTCAGGCAAGGAACCATCCAAGCCCACCACAGTGATGACGCGAAAACACATGAACAACATTTGGAGGGTGCATGTCACACCAGATTGGCACCAATGGCAAGAGCAGCAGTATGGGCGAGCTCGGCAGCGTGTGTGGACATGGCATTGCATCTGACAATTGCATGCCATCCTGCGTGCCTATAGACAACACGTAAACATTATGCAATCCTCTTAGATCTCTACAGTAATCAGCAGACATGAGACTACTCACCTGGTTCTCTGCAGAAATCTTGTGATACTGCCACTCATGCTGGAAGGTCGGACTCCGTCTGTCGTTCTAGGCACCTTTAAACCCATCAAATCATCTGTGCTCCGATTAGGACTTGCTAAACGTGTACGTCAATGTACTCCCAGGACAACCGTCGATGACCAGAATTTTACATAGCGACGTCGCAACTTTCGAGACTAATTGACCAGTGTAAGATCGCAATACTCAATCGATTTCCACAGCAGTACTTTCTTCCTAAATGAGAGAACTAGATTGTAGGAGAGAGAGCTGTGCACTCCACAATCTGGATGAGCAGGGTTTCACTTACAGGGTTTTGTAGCTTCCCCCAGCTTCCTCATTCCTCCCAATTGCTACTCAGTTGCTTTAAGTCTTGCTAGGAACTGACACATGAAGATATGGATTCAGTCAGATGTTACTTAGCGTTAAAAGCAGCCAGCACATGAGTCCGGACAGAGCTCAAAAGATTTCTCCAAAGGAGCTCCGAGCTTAAGTTATTTGTAACCGTTCAACGAGTTCAAGAACACTTCGAAGTTCTCTGGCAGCCACTGGTCGAATTAATTTACTTCAAGTTGAAGTTGATGATGAATGGTTCTCTCCCTCTCAACCCAGCTCCCATAACCCCAGACAGAGCTAACCTCCCTTGTCAGCATTTCACAAGACAAACTCAAGGTATCTGTTGCATGCCTCACTAGTGATGCAGGCTCTCTGTTGTCTGAAGCATTGCAAGAGCTCTTGCACAATCTCCAGGACCTGAAGGCACAGCCGCTTCAGTAGGTGTTCAGCAAACTCTATACTTCCTAACCTGGCATCACGCTGTGCCATATGATGTGCCCTCACAGGACCACAGCACGTTGGGACAACTCTTTCTTTCCATATTAAAAAAAATGAGGGATGTGCTCAAAGTATCGACGCACCTCATCCAGATCACAGGTGAGAGTCTCCAGCCAATTCTGGATGCTGCGCCCTAGGAGCACGCTGGCAACATGCATGCAAGCAATTGCCATCACGTAGGGTGCATGCAGCAAGCACAGCTGGGTGCGATACGAGTCATTCAGGACCGCCCTGCAGCCCAGAGGGAATACAGAATGAATCGAAAGGTTCAAGGCAACATGCATCCGGCCTATGCGGAGTTGGAGGGGTTTGCATTCCAATAAGAAAGATCATGCCAATGCCACCGCTGCCAAAAAGTAGCCAATAGCATACAGCACAGATGATCGTCAGGCCAGCATCTCACCATGCGCATTCAGCCACATCCGCCACCTCAGCATCTTTCAGGAAAGTGACGAGATCTCTGTATGGGCTGTACACAATCAAATTGAACTCCAAAGACTCCTGCGGGCACATCGGAATGACTTCGTGCTGATGGTGATCTGCATACTTTCATCCAAAAACAATTACAGGAAACTCATTGGCAGGAATGATCTTACCAGGACAGCCATTTCCAGGTCCAGGAGCTGTGCAGAGTCTGGAAAGGGAAGTGCATGGTACTTGCCTGTTTCAAAAGCCAATAGGAGTCATGCGACTTCTTGGTGTCCTTTCACAAGAGTTCATTAAATCATAAGACCACAGCATGTCTTGTGCTCGCTCCGCACCTGTGCTGATGACTTTCCTTAGCATCTGGAACAGAACCTTGGCTTGGACCTGTGATTCCTCGGCTTTGCATGCCAGGAAAAGACAGGCGGGGCCCACAAGCCGTGGGTCATAATCGCAGAAGTTTTCCTTCAAGTAGAAACGTCGGAAGTACACGCATGCTGCGGCAGCTACCCTGTCCATTGCCAGGAAGTGGTGACTTGACAGTACACAGCATTGCCAGCCCACCTTGGAACAAACAGGATAGCTTTGCAAGCGGCTCACCGCTGGCGAATGAGATTTTGAGAGTTCTTAGCGATGTCCTCAAGGTCTGCAACAAAAATATAACAGTCACTGCATGCAGACTGGTACAATATGACAAGCAGAGGCACCAAATGAAGCAGAATTCTCTGCTTACACAGCGATATGAAGACCTTCACATCTTCTATCTGGTCACAGGTCAATCCTTTCTCTCGATCTTGTTTGTGGGCTTCAATTAAGCATTCTCGATGCACAAGAAGGTTCCTGCAGATAAGCTAGTTCTCAAGGCGTTCTCTTATGGCGTCAAAAGGATACATCGTTTTACCAAATGATACGACAATACATTCAAGAAACAAATATCGCTATTGATGAGGATACGATAGCCTTACGAATGCCCCGACTTCCAATAATTGGACGCCATCCCTGTTGGCCATCCCAGTGGTCAGATCGTACGAGTGTGAAATTTGGCCATGATCAGCTACATACTGCAGATGCTTGCAACAGAGTTGAATATAATGGACGGAGAATTCGATGAAAGGAAACAAAACATAGATGATCCTCCAAAACAACAGTGAGATTGTCTGCCTGCCCATGCATGCATTTGTACATGATCCAATACGATCTTGTTTCCTAGCTGTGAGCATTTTGTGAAGGCAGTGCTGCCTGTTGCACAGGAAAACTAACCACAGCGACGATTCTTTTCTGTATGTACGTACAAGAGAAAGGGCGGACGATGCTGGTGCGCAGGCAGCCTGATGTTGATTGATCAGACGCAGCAACGCCTGCAACTTGAGATTTGGCAGCTCCAGAAACCATCCAAGGTTTGTCTTCTATCCATTTCGTGACGTATGCAATGCAAGCAATGTGAATGCATTGACTCATTTGTTGACTGACACTTCATCGGAAGCTGACAGGTAGTGCAGTTACTGCGAGAGATCGGTGGAGGCAATTTAGCTGAGAAAGCTCAATATTCATTGCTTGATTGCATCAAAAACCCTGTGAGCCAACGATTCTCTCCAGGGAATCTTTATCTCGATCGTCTCTTGAAGGCTTTGGTAGTGTCAGCTGAGAAGGAGGAGGAGGCTCTGATCGACGATCTTGCTGGATTCCACCAAGATGTCCTTCTGGAACCTCCAAAGGTACATAGGTACTTTCTTGGGTCAAGGCATTGCATCTACAACTCTGACATGCTGTATGGACTGAGGGAAGCTTGCAAGGCATGCATCGACAGGCGCCTGTTGAGACCGCTTTGTGTGCAGAGTGCCGCTCCGATGGAACTTCCAGCAAGCTGGTGTTACAAGACATACAGCTATGGTGTAGCAGGACCAGAAACGGGCAATTGCGATCAAAATCCCACATGCGGAGCAGCAGGGGCCACAGGCCTGATTACCTTGCATGTCTCCCAGAATCTGCTTGAGGGCAGCACAGGTTGTCATGAGTGGGAGGCAGGGTTTGTGCTGGCTGAATACATCTTCAGTCATCCCAGCCTGTTCCAAGGTATCTCTACACTCTCTTCGCTTTGCTGCAGGATACGAGCTGCAACCATCTAATATCTTGAAGTACTCTTGTACAGTTCTATTAAATCTGCGTGGGCAACTTATGAGCTGGCTTCACTGCAGGGAGGAGTTGCTGTGAGCTGGGTTGTGGACCTGGAACAGTGGGGATTGCCTTGCAGCGGGTGGGCGCAGGTTCAATTCTGCTGACTGATGGGGATGCAGAAACTCTTCTGAACTGCAAGCATAACTTGGGTATCAACAACGTGATTGTGAAGGACGGCGACTCTGCTCCACCATCACAGACAAAGGTGAGGGTGCTGTCACTAGGCAGGTTGTGATCAGTCCTTGTGTTAAGCTAGGCTCCAAGCAATCTTGATATCAATGGCAACTAACTTTGAAGAACCTGATAGGATTAAAAAATCTCTGCAATGAGATCACTGTATCGGTTACTGACTGGCAATGGCCGATGCAGGGTGTCGAGATGGCACAGATCCAATGGGAAAATGGAGGGTCCCTTGACGCTGAAATTTTCCTGGGTGCAGACCTCCTATATGATCCAGGTTACTGTCTGCCCATCACTCTCGTCTGTAGCATTAAGAAACGCTTCTTCATGTCATTCTGTCATGACAACTTATGGTCCTTGAAGGTTAGCTGAAAGGTTGAGGTGCGACAGGGTCCCATGCAGCACTGGTGCAAGTGATTGAGTCCTCCCTGAGAGGAAGCGGCACTGCTGAGCAGAAACAGATGATCCTGGCCACCACAATGCGGGATGAAACAAGCATAGCATCCTTCTTTTCATTGCTTCAAGAGTCCCGGCTTCATGCGGAGTCCTTGGGGGATGGAGACCTGCAGAGTATGGGCATCCGATTCCAGCATCACCTTGAGCTGGACAGCATGAGAGGGTCCATCCTGCTCCATCGGATTACAGACGCCTTTGCAACTAGATGAGATCTAGTAGAGAGTGTGAGCAATTGCAAGAGAACTAGTCACTATGGTGGCTGAAGTTGCACATAACACAGAATAAAAACAATGATTGAATGGCTCCACTGGACATTTGGAATTGCTGCTTACTGCTGGTATTGATAACAATGATGATCTTTCTAAAGTGTGTCTTTCACAAGCTGTTGGAAAACCCTTTTCATTACGGCACTGGCAGTAAATTACTTATAAGGGCCCCGGGCCATCTTCAACTCTCAACGTTGAGTGTGAACCATCCAGATTTGTGCTATTACTCATTGGTGAGAACTCTCCTGGGAAAGCCAGTGGTGTTTCTGTGTAGTTTTTCCACTAAGGAAGCTGTTGGAAGCCGCACGGGCGAATCACGTGAGCACTTGCTTCCGAAAGGGGAGAAATGAATTGGCCTGAACCAAGCCCAAGCTCACTCTTGCTTGATCCCGCTGAAGTGTTACCACCTTTATCACAAGATGAGTTCATAACATAACGGAGATGACATTCTGCAATCTTTTCACAAGATAATGATTGTGAATTCTGCTTCTGGATCGAAATGCATGGCTTTCGGAATTTGCTGAGCTGCCTGTAATCTGGGCTTGAGCCGTTGCAGTAAGCCACATTATATTTTTATGATGACCACGTTGGTTGCCGGATCGTATGAGCGCTTTTGGTTCGCATACGAAGTTGAGCCGTCTCAAAACGAGGTACTTCCTCTCCCAAAAGAGATGTTGGAATATCTTTCAGGTCCTGCTTTAAGTGTATTTTGCAAGATCTGAGTCTTCTTGTGTTCTTCTTGCAGAATCAGGAGCTGTCTCGGGCCTTTTCCTTCCCAGCCCACCAGGTACAGTGTGCCTCTACAGGGCGTTCTGATGAGGCCCTCATCGAGCTCTTGCTGAAATGGTATTGAAAGCACCTGTGCATGTCAGATGCTGCGAACCCCCGATTTCATCCCACAGGCATGCGCGCAGGGACCGGTCAAGTGCATAGCAGGCGCAGCACCATTTGTGGCATCTGGAGGCGCTGATGACACTGTGCACATTTACAATGCAGAGGTGTGGTGAAATTCTGCATGTCATGAGACGCACTGTAAAATATTATGAAGCAATATCTGTGCTGGACGGGTGTAAGAGCGCATAATTCTGAGCTGGTGTTCTTTGGCTGGCAGGCTGGAAAGGACCTGGGGTTCTTGATGAACCCGGGCGATGGAGCAGTCACAGCGGTGGAGTTCTACACGCCAGCCGGCACTTCTCAGCCCACTCATCTGCTGAGCGGTGCAGCCGATGGCAGCATCTCTGTCTGGGGAGCTGGCGGCAGCTGGGAATGCTTGAAGGTTCTCAAGGGTCACAAGTGAGCCTGTGTTGACTCCCTTGTACTTCTATCGGTCATTGGCAATGCTCAAGTCTGTGGGCCACCTGCCTTTGCCCTGCTGGAAGTCTCATGGAAGCGCATGCTGCTTGCAGGAAGGAGGTGACAAGTCTTTCAGTGCACCCAAGCGGGCTGCTGGCCTTGAGCACATCGCGAGATGACATGCTGAGGATGTGGAACATGGCCAAAGGCCGCAGCCAGTACAAAACAAAGATTCCCCCTGGAACCGAGAGCGTCAGCTTCAGCCCCAACGGGGACATCTATGCCCTGCTGAGCGGCTTGAAGGTGCTGCGAACCTGTTGCATTATTGAGGCAGTATCTGGCTCATTTTTGGCTTTGCTGTGGTGTGATAAGTGCAATGATGCCTTTTTGACTAGCAACAACCTCTAGGACCCCCCTGCATGGCGTAGGTCACCGCACACAACGTCTCAGAGGAGGGAGACATTGCCGCAACGTTTGAGCTGGAGAAGCGGGGGCTCTGTATGACATTCATGTCCGACCAGGTGCGAGTGAATTTTGCATGCATCACCCCAAGTGCGCAGAGATATACTGCAATCTATGTGCAGTGCTGACGTAGGCCAGGAGGCATATCAGGCAAGAGTGACAAGATTCTGGACGCTGCTTGCAGGTCATCGTTGTTGGAGGAGAGGACGGCAGCCTGAGGACGCTGGACCTGCGCACAGATGGGGTTCAGAGCACGCTGAAGGCACATGGCACACGGGTGCGGGGAGTGGCGGCGCTGTCCCCAGGGGACGCCTCCGACAGCGAGCCTGCCCACCAGGTCGCCAGCGCTGCAACAGACGGCTTCATCCGCCTGTGGGACCTGCGCAACACAGGTGCCGCAGCCCTCCTAGTCTTGTGATTCTCCACAAGCACATTTTCATAGAGAATTTTGACAGGCCCGACAGGCGCAGAAGGGTGTTCTGCCGGCCCTGACCCTTGATGGGCCTTGCAAGCACCGACCTGCACAGCTGGGGTGGGACTGTGAATGAAAGGATTCCGGTGGTCTGCGAGGGACTGGGAGAGCCAAAATCGGGATGTGGCTGTGCAGGCTCTGCCAGTAGCAGCCAAGCGCAGCAGCTGTGTGAGACTTCGACGTCCGCTCGTCTCACCTGCCTCACAGTGCTGCAGCCTGGCAGGAAGGCGCCCGCCAGCCTGGCAGTGCCTCAGCAGAAAGCGAGCGCTGCTGACGACGGTGGCAAGGCTCCAGCAGAGCAGAAACAGCCTCGAAAGAGACGCAAGGAAGAAGCGGATCAGGAGAAGAGCTCAGCTGCTGCGCATGATGTCGGAAAGGAGCCAAAGGGTGTGCCCGAAAAGGCAAAGGGAAAGAAGGTCAGCGAGGTGGAAGCAATAGGGGAGGAGGGTGTTGTGGTGCAGAGGAAGGCTGAAAGGGTTGTGGAATTCCCAGATGAAGCACCAAAAAGGAAGAAGAAAAACACCACAAAGGGAAAAAAGGGCAAGTAGGTACAGCAGATGCTAAAAGTGCAGTCTATGCCTGTCTTAGTGTGGATACAAACTGTCCTCATGATTAGTGCTGAACGTCAATCTCTGACATCTGCATGCATGGTGACTGACATGCGCAGGGTGGGCTATTTGTATTGCCATGTGAATAGTGATGGAGGCACTAGTGCTACTGTAACCCTACTGACGATCATGCCAGTGAGGCTTCTAATCAACATGTGCGGCCGCCCATGGCCATGCATGCCATGCCATGCCAGTGGTGCAGATGCCACATTTGCCCATGAGAACAGGGCTCGGCTTCAAAACATCAGGCTCCACTGCTTGACCTCAAGATGCCATTTGTCGAAGATGTCTCTACCAACACATCCAAACGCACCAGAAAAGTCAAACTTCTGGAGAGTCAAACTTAAAATAGGAACACACCCCTTGTAGGGTTGCGACCAGCCCACACTGCTGAAGATCCCCACACTTTATTTGAGACTGCTCTTCTTCACTGGAGGTGCATCAAGTAAAAAGACATTGTAGCATGTAGGAGGGTGTAGATGGAGTTTGTGAGTCCAGAAGGCCTGAGACTTGATGGAAGGCGACCCAAGGAGCTTCGTGCGCTGCGATGTCAGCTTGGACCTTTACCACAGGCGGATGGATCAGCATTATTTGAGATGGGTAACACAAAGGTAACCATTGTGCACCCAAATATTTGGTCATGACCGCCTGTTTCTTGTTGATCGGCTGGTGATCTGAGCTTCCTGGTCCTTAAATTGCGACAGAAGAGTCCATTACATTGGTTTCACTGTTGAGAAATAACGCTTCGCAGGTGATAGCTACCGCGTACGGCCCAAAGGTGGCAGACAATCGTTCCCAGGCCCTGCATAACAGAGCAATAGTGAAGTGTGACTACGCTGAGGCAGCCTTCAGCACCGGTAAGCCCTGCTCCTCAATTCTCGAACATACAAAACTACATGTGTTTTCATTTATCTCTGGTGATGCTCCTCGGTCAGCAATGGCCAGGGGAATCTTCATGTGCACATGATCAGGGCGGAGTGTTGTGGCGGCCAGGGAATCGGAGGCAGAGGCGAGGCCGCGGGGACAGGAAGACAACGGAGCTGGCTAGCACGATCCGGAGCGCCCTGGAACACACTATCCTTCTAGATCTGTTCCCAAGGGCGCAGATAGGAGTCAGCGTGCAGGTGCTGCAGGCTGACGGCGGCGTGCTGGGAGCATGCATCAATGCCGCCATGCTTGCACTTGCCAATGCAGGCATGCACCGCCCCATTGCTCTTGTTCTTTTCCCAAGCAAAATGAACGCACACAAACAGCCTGGTGTCACACAGAATGACCAGCCCGGATGGCCTGGCAGCCAGCAAGCTCACATGCAGAAGCAGGCGGCAGCAGGTTTCTGCCAAACCAGCTTGCATCCAGCGCACCATTTATTAGATGAGCCAAGAGACTGGGCTGCTGTTCGCAGGCATCCCCTTGCGGGATATGATCGCGGCAACTTCTGCCGGCTACCTGGAGTCGACTCCGCTGCTGGACCTGAACTTCCTCGAGTCGACCGGGGCCGGCCCCGAGGTGCTCATTGCAAAATTCGCAGCATATTGTTGACCATGCCACGGCTGGCGCAGGGCGGCACAAATACCGAGCACTGTGCCCGCACTTAATAGAGTGTTGCAAATATTTGGCAAATTCTACCAGGGGTAGGATAAGTGGCCGCATTTACCTCCAGGCTGTCGTGCAGACGCACCCGTGCCTCCTTGACGGGAACATCGTGCCAAAAATCAATGCCACGCATTGTTAAGCAAGGAAGTGGCTTGCAGGTGACGCTGGCGCTGCACACAAACCTGGACAAGGTGGTGATCTTGACAGAGGATTCCACGATCGCGGCGGAGCCCTTTGAGGCCGTCACAGAGCTGGCGCAGCAGGGCTGCAAGGCGGTCGCGCACTTCATGCGCGCGCAGCTTCTGCAGCACGTGCAGACGGTTGCCACCGTGCGCGGACTGGCCGCCCTCTAGCGGCGGCTAGCAATGGGGAAAGCTCACCTATACTGATGGGCTGGATATTTACTGCTTGAAATATGGTGACGCCTACGGTGCTTGTCCTACAGTTTTGCGATGCTCGACAACTGGAGAACAGAGAGAATGGGGTGGAATAGCTGATGGCTTGTTACACTTCAACTACAACCAGTTCTCTCTTCTTGTCCGCTGCCCTGCAGCATGCGAGGGCCAATGGGGCAGAGGGTGGCCGATGTGATGGAAAGCATTTGCACAAGGGTATCACTGAGCAGGCGGGTGTGATAGAGGCAAGAAAGACGGGGAGCACCTGCTGTAGCAACTCAGAGAACATAGGCTTGTCCGACAGAGGAGCATCATGCAGCCCGTGCTTTGCACGAATCTGCACATCTGATTTACAAATGCGGCCTGTGCTGAAGCAGGACTCTCGCCAGGCTTTGCACCAGATGAGTGCAGTGAGCATTGAAGCGCCAAATGACAGTGGTTGCCACCTCTTGAGTACAATCTGCGCGATACATATAATTTCTGTTTGGCTGCATTATTACACAACAAGCTTGTAGCAAAATTTCAGTGTGTCAGTAAGTATATATACAGCACACCTTAAGCTACTATATAATCAAGCAGGAAAAACCATGAATGCACTAGCTGCATAATTAATCACAAGCAGTTTTGTCACTCTCGGCAATTCTTGTAAAAAACCAACAGGGACAAAACCTTTCCAATCACTATATACTGTATAAAGTGAATCTTGACTGCCAATGTCAACCGCATGCACACATATACACATACTGTCCCACCTTTCAACTTGCATTCTCATCTATCAATACATGAGCTCATGTTTCAGAGCTGCTGGGTCTGCATTCCATCGCCTGGTGGGAACCATTAAATGTCAACTCAGGAAAAATTGACTTTCTTTGGCGGCCGCCTATAGGCATCAAATGTGGCCGTGATTGCGGCCGCTGCTCTGGCGGCGGCTGCTCGAGTGGGCCCCCTCGGCCCCACTTCTGCAACCTGCACCTCCACCTGCAGCTGACACCCTCTCAAACCTGCTATGCTTCACAGCAGCACGCCACTACTCACCTCCTTAAGCACACCAGCCTAGGAAGACGCGGTAGCCTCAGTCGTCAGGGCACGATGCAGGCCAAATGGCGCCCAGGGATGAGGCAATTGAGGCAGTGTCCGCAGCGCTCAGGTTGCTTCAGTTCAGGCAGCTTGGGTGTCCGGCATTCGGGTGCTTGGCTCTGCACGGGATGAACATTCTCCTGAAATATTCCTTTCTGCCTTGATCACATCGATGAGGTATCCTTAGTCGAAGAAAGTTGGTGATGATTAAGTAATCTGTCTCAAGCCACTGCGGCGTACATGCATCTCTACAGCAACGAGTATCGTGCTGGCCGACACCCTAGCTCTGCCATGTAGATTCAGGCGTAGTGTGCATTTCAAAGAGCTGCAGAAATGAGCCACCCACCTGCACAGGCACGACCGGCACGCTATCGCACGCTGGCTGTGCTGCTGAGCCGTCTCCACTGTCCTTGCTTGAGCTGCCTGGCGCCTGTGCCGCCGCTGGCTGGGTGGCCGGTTGCGCCTGCCCCGCATCGAGGAGCGCAGCGTGCACAATCCTCCCTGCAGGCTCTGGCTTTGCTACGCCGCCCTTCAGCGCAACCGTGGCACCCACTCGGCGTGTGTACTTGCGCTTGACCCTCTGACCAGGAGCAAGGGTAGCAGCCGCCGCAGAGCCCACCACAACGAGCGCCTGTGAGGGGCCGCCGGCCCCAGCTGGCGCAGCCCTATTAATAGCAGCTCCGAGCGCTAGCACAGATGGCTGGTCAGGGCCTTTGCCGCGCTGTTTGCCCTTCGCTCTGTCTGCAGCGGGCGGCGTGGCGGGCGGCTTGGGCTGCTTGCCCGGCAGGGTCCAATCCGGCAGCGGCCGTGGAAACCCTGCGATGCGCATTGCAGTCAATCTGTTGCCTCATCGCCACGATGAAAATTTACATTTCAGGCCTCTTTTTCCTTCTGCAGTCCATGCGGCAATGGCAACAAGGACAACAAATCGACAATTTTTTTGCAGAACATATCGGAGAGTAAAACGTGCAGGTGCTCACTTGTGATGGGGTCAAAGGCGCGGACGCAGAGGAGGCCGTCCAAGAAGAAGCGTGTGACTTCCGACTGGCCCATGCCCCGGCAGACGGCCGCCACCGACGTGCCAAAGTACACCGGCCGGCGCACCCACGCGCCCACCACCTCATCCGCCACCTGGACACACAGCTGCCATCCTCTGCCAACTCAAATGCCAACTCAGTAGCTCAATACAGTACCTGCACTTGCATATATGCATTTTTAATGGCCTCCTATGCTGACTTGCAGGATGGCGCATCCCCAGCATCCCAAGGAAGGCAGCTTCTGCATAGTGTGAAGGACAACCGATGACAAAAGGGGGGGGCAGGAGTGGACCTGGATGGGGCTGCGCAGGGAGGTCTCATCCAGGAACACCTCATTGACCTGGAAGTAGGTGCCATTGAGGGGGAACCGGCCGCGCATCGCAGTGCGGCAGGGAACCAGCACTGCGTACCCCGGCTGCCGGGCTGCTGACTCATCCTTGCTAGGCGCCCGTGCCGCACCTTCCTCAGCCATCTCAAGGGCAGGTCCCTGGCCAGGCTTGGGGTCCTCGCCAGGCAGCTGGCCAGGTGAGTCTGCTGGGGCAGCACCAGTGTCTGTGATGCGCGGCTGCAGGAGTGAATTGAACAGAGCCATGGTCACGCTTCTGTCGACCTTGCCGCTGGTTCTGTCAGGAGGGCATGTTGTTGCCGGCAAGGGCACAAGCAGCAGCGGCAGGTCTTCTGAGGTGTGATGCGCAGTCACTGCAGGACTGAGCAGACCGTAAAAGGCAGCCGGGATCTCATGACCCTGCGCAACAAGTCCTGCGTAAAAGTCTTGCAAGCAGCACAGAGCAGACTCACAGCGTTCTGGGCGGGTAATGCAGCGATACAGGGTGAAAATTGTAGGCTTCACCTGCAGCAGCACATATTGCCCTCCCCTGGGGTCCCCTGCAGAAACAGAGCCAGGTGCCGCATCCTCTTGGCCTCCACCGTTGGAATTGTGCTGCGGGCTGACATGCCTTATCAGCACCTCTTGTGCCCGCCGCAAGTGATCAAACGCCTGCCACATAAGCCACTCAGTAATGGTCCTTAGTGCATCAACATATTCTTATGTAATTGCAGTGGCTTGATCGACGTGGGCTCTTTTGGGACTTGCCATTTTGTCATGCATCAGAACAGCTCAGGGCACACCACATTGCAGTGGCGGGCAGCACAGCTTGACAGTCCCTCCATGGTTTGATTCGGCGGTTGAACGATATGTACCTGCCGGGCTCCCACAAGTGTGCATTTGTCGGGATGCACGACCACAGACAACTCCTTGAAGCGGCGGCGGACAGCCTTCGCATCGTAGCGCTGCAACAGGGTCACAATGTCTTCCACACCGCTGGCATGGCCCCCAGGTATGATGTCCAGCACTGCTGCAGCCGCCTCCAGTAGCCTGCCGCAGAAATGATACCCAGCAATCTTCACAGTTTTTCACGAGTATACACAGTGACCGGATACAGAAAAAGCCCAGGTGATCTCCGAAGATGAGGCACACCTCGGGTTCACAGAAGCAGAGGGGACTGTGTCCTGGTCCATGTCCCCTGTGACTCCGCAGTCCTCTCCCAGAGCGAGAATGCGTGACAGCTCCTGGCCCTGTGATCTGGGTGCCTTGCTGGGAATGGAGGCTTTCTCAAGGTCCTCAATGTCCGGCAATGCAGCCTCGGCCTCGCATGCAGCCTTGTGATTAGATGCTCCCTGTGCTTCAATTATGTCATTGCCGGCAGCAAGAGGCCTTGTGCCTCCTTCTGTGCTCTTGGTGGGTGTGGTGGGAGCTGCAGCTTCGCCGTTCAGAGCCCCTTGACACTCACGGCTGGCGCCTCCAGCTGATGCAGAGCTGTCAGCCCTTGGTGTGCAAGGCATCTCATGGAGGTCTGCTGCCTCAGAATTGCCCTTATCTGCGTTCTCCTGCTTACCAGGCTCTGCAGTCCCTGTCCCCACTGGCTGGCCACATGCACCCTCCTGCATCCTGTCACTGTGGGGCTCCACAAGGTCTGACTTTGGGACCTCTTTGCATGGCTCATGCACTGGGGGCGCCGCGGCTTCAGAGGTGGCGGGCTGATTGTGGGCTGGGCTGGCCTCTGATTTGGGCCCTTCCGACGCAGGGGGCTTTTCCTTGAGGTGGCGTCCGTTTGCCTTGGCATACTCACACTGTGGCCGTAGCGGGCAGGCTCTGCAGTTGGGGTCCTTTTTGCTGCAGAACACCTGCTTGCAAAAACAGCCATATCTGTGCTCATGAATTGCAACGAGCAGAGCAGCAGCTTTGCATCCTGCGGCATTTTGTCAATGGATCAGAGACAACCCACCTTGCCCAAGGTGATCATCTGGTAGTGCAGCTCGTACAGAGTCTCCGTGTCAAAATGCATGAGCCTGCACACAAACATTGCTGCATGAGTCGGGCGTGACATGCCTGGTGATGTCAAAGATCCTGATGTAGAGTACACCCATTTTGGTGACAATATTGTGTGGATACCGAAGCTCACCTGGAGTGCAGGTATTTGTGAACCTCTGGCTCTGGTGCATATCTGTCGAGGTCCTGCGCGCAAGCACACCACAAATCACTGTCCTGACTACTGCTTGGCTGCATGTAGCCACCCCATCGTTGTCAGGACCCACATATCACTCAGCACTTGAAGGGAATCCCCTAAAACACAGATGGGAAGACAACCTCAAGGGCCTCCTCGGCATCTAGTGGGATCCAGCCAAGCCGCGCGCAGATCCTGCCAACATTGGTGTCCACTGGGAAGTCATGCTTGCATAAGGCCAGCAGCATCACGCATGCCACGCTCTTCCTGCCCAGCCCTGCAAGCCATGCATCCAACCATCATTCTTCTTACGTTTCATATCCCACTCCCTGCAGTGGCAAGGATGCAGAGGCATGCTCGTGACTGAAGACTCTAGGATTTCACACCTAATGGTCAGAGGCAAGTGGAGCTTAAGGGAAGGCCCAAGACGCACCCATGACACCCATGAGGTACTGCCGTGCATCATCCTCTGCCACATCCCTCAGCCACTCCAGCGTCGTGGGATGGACTGCGCCCTCCATCTCTGCTCCCTCCTCCTCGGCTGCCATGGATTCCATGCCTGGCATGCTGGCTGGAAAGCCGGCCGTTGGTTCTGCCTCTAGAGGCGGATCCGCCCCTAGCGCCTCCCATGCATTTGGCGACTCCTTCTTGGCAGCCTCCATTGCAATGCCTTCCAGGATCTCATGGCACTGGAACTCCATGCCCGCTGCAGCTACAGCCCAATCATCCTTTGCAAGATGCCCAGAGGGCGCATTTTCTTTCGTTAAGGATTCCACATGCAGCTGATTTGGCAGTGCTGAGTCAGCATGCTTCCCTCCTGCACCAGATGAAATATTGACTGTCTCGCTATCTGTACTTCGATGGCCTATGCTGGCTGCACCTTCCTCCACCACTGCAGTACCGTCACCCGGTGGGCGAGACTCTTCCAGGCTGCCTGGCATGCCTGCAGTAGGGCACCTGTCTGGAGACTCCTGCTCTTGTACAGCTGCCTCTGTGCGCTGCCGCTTTGAGGGCTGCTCCTGCACAACATTGCATGCGCCATGAGCATGCCATGACCGATATGTGGACTGCAGGCCTTCACAGTCCAGCATGAACATATGGCATGAACATCATGACAAGTGCCTGCTTGGAAGCAAAGGTGCGGAGGCGTTCTGACAAGGGGTATCCCTAAAAGAAAGCAGTGGCCCTACCGAGCCAGGCAAGGCTTTTGAGACCTCTGCTGAGTGCTCCTTCTCTCCTCCCTCATTTTTGCACACCGTCCCCAACCCCGGGCCGACCATGGATATCTGTTTGAGAAGGTTCTGTCGTACACAGACAAATACAACCTGAGGATACTGTATTTTACGCGTGATTGAATGGAGTCATGTCACGCAACAAAAATACAGCTTTTCCTGATATTAAGAACGTATCAAATAGTCACCTGGAGGCGAGCTGCCAGTTTGTTGTGCATGCCACGACACTTGATGGCTTCAGCTACCTGCAACGCACAGCTGCTTGAGTCCACACAAAACAATGAACTTGGATTGGTGACGAAGAGGTGAATAGGCCAAGGAAGCTGGCTGGCACCTCATGCGTCTCAGCTGCGCGCACAGCTTCCCAGTCAATGCTGTCTGCTGTGTCCCTGCAGCGCTGACCGTGCGGGGCAACATCTGCTGCGCTGGCGGGCAGCTCCTGTTGGGGCACTGCCAGACTGGACAACTCCGATCCCTGCTTACACTCCATCTCACCGCTGCAGCGCCCCAACCCGGCAAGACCATTCGCAGCATCTCCTGCCTCCAATATCCCCCCGGCTTCCTGCATGACACCAGATTCATTCATTGCACCAGCACTATGACTGTACATAGCGGCTTTCATGTATTTCTTTCAGGGAGGTTTTGTGGAGTAACATGCCTCAGAGGTGTATCCTTGGGCATGCTACTGGCAAGTCAGGAACCAGCATTACCCGGTGCTGGTTGTCAGCAGCAGCAAGGGGGAAAGTGGCTGCCAGAGTCATCCATGCCTTCGATGAGAGCGCGTCAGACACGTTCTGTGTCAGGAAAACTCCCATCACGCTGTCAAGCACGGACCCTGCCCACTGACCAGAAACGCGACGCCGATCCCCTAGGACTCCCCTGCATGCACATGTCAAGTTTGGAGTGAGGCATCCTTTCATAAATAGTGAGCATTGCACTCGCTTGACCTGGACTTGGTCATTGTACCTTCCTCAGGTCTCCATTTTCTCAGTATCACGTTCAGGACATGGAAGGATACAATACTTTCATTTTAGGCAGGCTGAGTGGGTCACACCGTGCAGCCTGGAGGAAGCTGGCGACACGCATCTGCCACTTCAGCGCCTCGTCAGCACCGTACAGGATCATGGTCAGGCTGCCGTCCTGCAGGATCCTTGCCCGCCGCCCTGCACCTCACATGTGCGTTCTCAGCCGTGGAATTTCCAGATGTTGTCGCATGCTAAGATAAGATGACATGCAACAGGAAGTGTGTGGGCTGACCTCTCTTCTTCTGCGCAGCAGCTTCTGCTGCAGGAGCCGATGGGAGGGCGGCGCTTGTCCAGCTGTCGTCCAGAGGGCCATCGATCATTGGCTGGGGGGGCGGGAGAGGAGCCTCAACCTTGAGCGCCGGACGAGGAGCCTCGGTCATGCGCGCTAGTTCCATGCTGTCGAGGTCGGAATCGTGCTCGTGCAGGACCCGCAAGGTGACGTCTGCAAGGGCCTCCCCTGTTGTGTGCGCTGGAGTGCCATGCTGTTCCTGCATGTCCTCCACGCTGGCCAGCCGCTGTATGCAGCAGAGGCTGAGGTAGAAGCTGGCCACCTCAGGGCTCAGCCCACACAAGGCTGCCCGGGCAGGGGCCGACACAGCCCCACTCTGGCCATTTGCCAAGATGTGCGCTGCCCACTCATGCTCAGCCCTTGGCGATCCCTGCCATGTAGAAGCGATCTGCAAAACTTCCTCCAAGCTGTTCGCATTTCCTTGTGTCACATCTTCCTGAGTGGATGGGGCTGTCAACCCGCTGCTCCCTCCTGCCTCTGCGCCTGCATGCCGGATCCAAGGTGGCCCACTTGGATGGCTCGGAAGTCCAATCACCTGGCTGTCGAGGACGGAGGTGAGCGCGTGTTGATGCTCAACTTCAGGCTGAGCGCTGTTGGCTGAGCTTGAGCTCCCCTTGGCTGCCTCTAATTGGCGTGCTTGAAGAAACGCTTGGCACCCTATTCCAATGCCGAAAGGGGCAAGGAACGCACCCATGCTGCTGGAGTTGCTACACTGGCACACACAGCGACAGAGGGGACTGCAGAATCTTCCTGCAGGAACCACACAGCCATTGTATCCAGGTGAGTCAGACTAGCTACAAATGCAACACCTAGTAAGGAAAGCTAGCAAAAGTTCTATCGGGTATTCCAGACATCTGCATGTACTTCCTTCCAAGAACGTATATTTTGGCACTGTAAACGTTCTGTGAGCCAGCAAGCAGATTGTACCTTTCAGAAAACAAGGACATAGCAGAGACATGCACTGAGTTGAAGAGCGCTTGTTACAATTGCACGATCCATTCGTATCGCCGATCATCTCAATTTAGGGGTCATCCAAGTACCTGTCGGTATCAAAAAATCCAGATCGAGCGGCAGGAAGGGGAAACCCAATCCGACCTCCGTGGCATGGAGAGATATTACAGGAAGCAAACGGACTCAATTACCCTTCCTGGGATTTTGTTGCAACACTAGAAGTCCAAGTGTTAACGAAATGACGATGCATGTCGTGACGAGGTCACAAAATTGTCGATCGAGCCCCACTGGCCGCCCATCCCATCATCTTCGCTCCTTCCTCAGAACGCATTTTCTCCGTTCGTATGAAACGAGTATTGAATGAAAGCGCACAATTCCGATATCTCTTACAATTCTTATACAGCTGTCTCGATCTGCCCCAGTGACAAAATCGTCCATCTCAGATAGGGCTTCAGGGTCCCCTCCCCCTCTGACTTCTACTGGACTTTCAACCTTGGACTCAAATGAGTACATCATTGACATGTATGGCACGTAGTGGCCGATTCAATTTCATAATATGATGTCTTTCTGAATACACTAAAACTCTTCTGGAGATCACAGACACCAAAACCAGTTGAGCTGGCACATCCGCCTGGAGCTTCAATTGAAAACCACTCATCATGATGATCATTCAAATGCGATACCTGCCGGCTGCAGGTCTGCTAAATTTACTATACAATGCACCACCAGATTTTTGACATCCGTGGCAAATGCTATGTTCCTCAAATTTAGGTTGGCATGTTGTGTTCCACAATCAATTCCTCTTGCTAGCTGCAATATCTAAGGAGGTTCTACTCATTGTGTGGCCGCTGTGACAGTGCCCCGCCGCCCTGAGCTCGCCCGCCTTCCAGTGTCCGGTGCGGCCGCGTGAGCGAGACAGTTGCATAGATTGCTGTCGCACCAGCAAGGTAGAGCCCAAGGAGGTATGACAATATGACACTGATGCAGCCCAGCATTGCCAGGCCGAAAAAGGCGACCATGGAAGGAATACTGGCCTGCACAAACAGGAACTCACATATGAGAACGCACTGAGACAGCAGGAAGGGGCCGAAACAATGATTGCTGGAACTGCATGCTTCAGTGGCAGCAATGTGAAAGGTCAGCTTCATGAGGACACAGTAGGTGGGACAGACCTGATATGACATGAGGAGCCAGGGGAGCTGGAAGACAAAAATGAAGACAGACGACAGCATGCCAGCGGTGAAATTGACGATCGCCGTGCAAATCAGCTGCACGAAAGCTGTGACAATGTTCCGATCTCCCTGACTGGACGAGAGGAGGTTGAACGCCGTATCCCAGATTGTCTGCCTCCTTCCAAACACCTGCAGTCATGCTGGAGTCGAAAGATCTGCCATTGGTGCAGCTATTACAGCGCTTATGCACCCGTATGAAAACCCGTGCACTGTGCAAGGCGGGCAACATCAGATCACCTTGCCCGCCTGGAAAGACCTCCAAAACAGCTGCCGCCCTTCACCGATCCCCAGCTCCGACCAGAGCCCCAGCTCTGCTTTAGCTGCAGAGATCAAAGAATCCAGGTGCCGGTCATGCTCCCGAACAACAGCATATGCAGCTCGCTCCTTTGCCTGCTTCTCCAGCACCAGTGGCTTCTGCTTTGTGAAGCGCCAAAACCATGTCTTTGCCTCCCTGAGCTCCTCTGCAGCCTCATACCATGCCTGCAAAGTAAAGTTCCATCTTGCTGGGCATGACGCACAAGGACAGTGTACCTGAGGACTGGGTCATGCCAATCCTGAATTGGGACACGTCAGCACAGTCTTGTCATAGCTTGATGCGGACCTGCGTGGAATTTGCTGTCTGCTTGCTGTAGTTGGCTGCTTCGTCAAGCTTGCCCTCATATCTTGCCATAGCGTCTTCCGTGATGGGTAGTGGGGCTGGGAGGAAGAACATGCTGGCGAGGCCAAACATCCACAGACATCCAACGATGTAAAAGGAAGGCTTCCTGTGCAGCTTCAGGCTCTGAAACACCTGTCACTCCACAATGACTCCTCTGAGGAAATGTGTCAAGAGTATTTGAAACTTGTGAACCTTATGTAGGGTATCACTGAACACCTGGAAAGGAGAGAATTGCACCTCGATGGCTGTATTGCCACGCCTGGGTCTTCGGATCGCTGCATTGGCCTCTGGACCTCCACCTCTGTCGTCCATGTGAAGGGGTGCTTTCACTATCGTGATGTACCTAGATAATTACAGTACTGCACAGCACTGCCAGATCATTGTCCAAGCACAAGACGTGCTAGTATGAGTGGCATGTCTTTATGATCGGGTCAGAAAACACATCGCGCACGCCTGCATTCGCGCACCTGTGAGGCACTGTCAAAATATACAATAATTACCAAATGCAGCTGCATCAATGCTGAGGCACCAATAAGCGAGAGTCTGGACTATGGACATCACGTGCCAAACCGTGACGTAAATTTCTTGGCCAGCCTTTGTGGGCAAGTGGGGATCTGCGCTGAGTGGGCTGTCCCGGACGGCGTCGAACTGAATAGGGATGAGGGCAACCCGCTGTTGAACCATTCGATGCCTCCAGAACTTGCACCAATTTGCGGATTTTTGGCACCAGTAAACGTAATCCTCTGAAACAGCCAAGTGCTCAATCGGAGAGCAAGAGGCACCCGCCCGGGAGCTCACAACGTCTTATCGGGGAAATACAACTTGAGGTTCCTTGCACGCCCTGAGGACAACTGAGGGATTCATTGGTGCACCATAGCGGTGCTACTGCTCCCCTGCATAGAGACAAGGATGAAAGTCATGTGATATGGAGGGTGCAGGTGAGCTCTGACCCTGGTTTGTAATCTTGAAGGTTTGACGCTCCCTCAATAAATTCCGTGCTGTCTTTATTGCCTCGTATGCTATTATAGACAGGAAAGGTAGCATCACAGGGTAGAACTTGCTGATCTCGGTTGGGGTGAGGGAAGACTGCTCTCAGGATTGATTGCGTAACACAACGCTGTGCTTCGAGATGACAACTGCATGCATCTACTGGCTGACAGCTAAATAGCCTTCTGAGTATGGCTGATGGGTTGATGGTGAGCAAGCATTGGAAAATGACACTGCTTAGCAACGCGACTGGTGGTGCAGATGGGGAGCAAGAACCCTCACCTGCCGCTCAAGGCGTCAATGGAGCTGCAGAGCCTGAGGAGACCAAAGCTAAGCCTTCCAGGGCGCTGAAGACTCCTCTTCAGAAGGAAGCGCTTGAAGCTGCCTACAGCAGTGAGCCACACAATCTCATCTGAATCATGCGTTGCCGGGCGTTCTCAGACCATCATGCATTGAATAATTAATTTCCTGTGGCTCACACACAGTCGAACTTAATGGAGGCGATATGCCTGATGTGTTCCTGCTGCTGTGCAGTCAACCCTCTTCCCTCAGATGAGGTCCGCAAAGCCCTTGGCGAGAGGATCGGCCTCACTGCGCATCAAGTGCAGGTGGGTGTCTCCTGAATGTCCTTTATACCCTCCCAAGCACAGAAAGGCTGTACTAAATCTATTGATCCAGGTAAACTAGTCATTCATGTCCCAGCATTGATGTTTCTGCAGATCTGGTTCTCCCATCGGAGGCGCAAGGACAAGACCGCAGCCCAGGCGGCGCAAGCCAGCGCAGCAGCCGCAGTGCCCCAGGCAGCGGCAGCACCCAACCCATCATCAACACCCGCCGCTCTCCCCAAGCCGTCCGTGCCCCCACATGCATCATCGCCGGTGCAGCAGCCTGCGCAGACACCGCTGGGCCAGCAGCTGGCAGCGGTGCAGCAGGCTCGCCTGGCGCGCTCCAGCCCTCCTGCGCACATTGGCGGCCCGGCCCTGAACCAAGCAGCGCCCCAAGAAAGCCCTGCCGCCCATCAAATGAGGCCGCAGCCCGTTCATGAGAACGCCCCTCAGGCAGCTCCACGCCAGCTTCCATGTTTCATTGCCCAGGTGACTACCCCTACATCAGGACAAAAGTGAAGACTTTTGAGTGGAAGAGCAAGTCGTTGCGAGCAACTAAACGAACAAGCAGCTAACATGAGGCACTCTTGCCATTATGACTGCCATTTTGAGCTGACATTGTGCTGGGTGTGTGCAGGCGGAGCCAGTTGTGGCGTCCGAGGAGGAGTTACAGGAGCTTCTTTCGCTGGCGCGCGAGAGGCTGCCTCAGCCGTACAGGGAGGAGGGTCCCCCACTGGGGATGTTCTTCGACCCTGTCCCAGCAGCGGAGGATCCCGGCAGCCTTCCAGCGGAGATTGCTGGAGAGAAGCGCAAGCGCGTCATGATTGATGACTACGAGATGGAGGGCGGCGAAGGAGGCGATCTCAACGTGACTCGCATGGTGCCCACCTCTCCCAAGATAAAGATCCACATGGTTCTAACTGGTCCCTATATGGCTAGTTATCTTGATACTGCACGCTCTAACCTCTTGGACTACACTCTTGCATGCAGATTGGAGACGGGTACGGAGGCGGCTGGCGCAATGACAGGTGGGGCCAGGACCGGGGGCGGCAGGACGATCGGCTCATGCGGGAGAGGGACAAGGTGCGCGCATTTGCCTTTCCCGCTCGATCGTATTCATACTTAATGTCCTTTTCCCAGCAGCTGCAACGGGAGGTGTATTCATGAGGCACTTGTGGAAAATCTGTCGTAGCCGGCGCTGCAGGAGATGGACAAGCTGACGCGGGAGCAGCGGCGGCTGGCGGACCGCGAGGAGAGGGAGCGCCGCAAGGCGGACGACCTGAAGGCCAGAGAGGACGCGCGGCTGCGGCTGATGCAGGAGCGCGAAGCCAAGCGCATGCGCGACGTCGTCGAGAAGGAACGCCGCGCCGCCGAGCGCAAGGAGAACGTCGAGCGTCGCAGACGGTGAGGCCACCATTCTACCATGCACTCTTATCCGCCAGTTTTGACCCTGCAGAGACATCTTTCCATCCAATTGTGAGATACTCCTTCCCTAGAAGCACCAGAGCTTGTCGTAAGGTAGCGAGGCATGCAGCGAACAAGGTGTTTTGCAAGCGAGAAATGTGAAGGCTGTGTGGTAGGGCTCCCCCCCCTGATGGCGCGCTCCTGCCTGCCTGCCAGGGGGGGAGGCGCCCGGCCAGCAGCCGCCAGCCGTCGCGCTTCCGGCCCTTCTGCCAGCTTGGCAGAGTTCCGCGACCTGCAGTTTGCATTTGCTTCGCCCTTCAGCATTTTGCTGGCCATGAGGCACGAGGCTCAGGAGGATGAACAGCGGATGCACTTGCTGGATGACAATACAGGGTGTGTGTTGCAAGAGTGTTCCCTGTTAATTAGTTAGGGGCGGCCTTACCCTAACCTGGCTGTAATATTGAGAGGCTCTTCTTAAAAAACAAGACTAGCATAGCGTATCCTCTACAGATCAGAATTTGTCCATATGCACCCTTTCGTGCAGACATGTTGGGGCTGAGCAGCATTTTTGCATGTGCTTTTCCTCATTACTTCAAAGTCTGTATTGTATATGTGTGCACAGGGAGAAGGAAATGCTCAAGGCGCTGGCCCAGCAAGAGAAGCAGGCGACCAGGCTCCGCCAACGGGAAGCGAACGCCGGCCCCAGAGACGACCTGGACATTGAGTGGGAATCCCTCTTGGCCTCGCAACGCCAGCATCTGCCACTTCCACGGTCCGCTTGTTTCTATCTTTCCTGACGTGCACTCTGCTGTATAGCACAGGCATGACTATATGCATGCCTTGCACTTGCATTGCCGCTTTTCTTGCTATTTGTTAGGGCCTTGCACCCATAGCGTTGGATAGTTCCAGCGGATTGCGCAGCATTGGCATGTATCTTCTATATATTTGGTGGTGAGGTCCTCTACAGCAAATCACTGCTATGTGTTGCAAAGGGTGACTGATGGTTTGCTGCACTTTGACAGGGAGGGAGAGGCGCCCCCAGAGCTGCCGCTGCCGGAGAGGCCGCCATTTCCGCCGTCAGCGCTGCAGCTTCCAGCAGCGTTCCCTGCTGAGCTGGGGGACACACTGGGCAGCGAGCTGCTAATGGTGTGGGCCTTCCTGCACTCCTTTGGGGAGCTGCTGGGCCTGTGGCCCGCCACCGTGGACGAGCTGCTGGCCGCTGTGGTTCTGGGCGAGCGCAGCCGCCTGCTGGGCGAGATCCACGTGGGCCTGCTGCGCCTGCTGCAGGCCGATATGGAGGAGGCCCACGCAAGCGGGGCCACCCAGGTGCCAATCCTGTTGCTGCTTAGTCCCTGACAGACTTGCGCTGACATCCAGTGCCATCAAAACAGCACGATGTGTTGCCTGGTCCGCCATTGGTTGGAGTTGGCGTCTCGTGGAGGTCATGAACGAAAAGGTTTGGCTGGTGGCATAGGGTGGTGGACCGTCCAGCGGCCTAGACCGGGCAGTGGCAATGAGCGCTGGCTGGCTGGAGGAGGCCTGGGCCTGGGGCTTTGATGTGGACATCTGGAGGGCCCACCTCAACGCGCTGACCTGGCCGGAGGTGAGCATGCTTTTCTCAACATGCTTCCCTGCATGGTTAACTCCGCAGGATCGACATGAACTGTGGTTCTTCCTTGAACTGAGAAGAGCAACAGGACGTCTGGCTGGACGCTGAATTATTTATTGCTGCGGCAGGTGCTGCGGGAGTTTGCCATAGCGGCTGGCCTGGGCCGCAAGCGCCCCAAGCCAAGGAAGGAAGCGCGGCCCAAGATGGGCACGGAGGGCGAGGACGTTGTTGCCGACGAGGCCGGCAATCTCAAGCTGCGTCTGCCACCCCGCTATGCAGTCGGCACTGTCAAGGCGGCTGCCTGGCAGGTGTGCCTCCCATCCTGTCTAGGCAATGCAAGTGCGTTGTGGACTCACGCAGGCTGATTGGTCTCAGAATTAGCTGGACAAATTTGAAGGTGGTGAGAACAAGTGGATGTTGGGAGCAGGTGTTGGCTGAGGCTGGCCCGGACGGGCTGGGCATCACAGAGATTGCCAAGCGCATTCAGAAGCAGGGCCTGCGAGACCTGAGGACGTCCAGAACGCCCGAGGTGTGCTATTGTTCCAAATGACACTGTCATATACACCCTGTGGGAATGCCGCCAAATGATTACTTTCAGCATGTCAAAAGTCCGATGCATGCCAAGTCTTCCTGACTGCGCAGGCTTCTGTGGCGGCTGCCCTGTCACGTGATGTGGTGTTTGGACGGACTGCTCCGGCCACCTATGGCTTAAACTCCCTTGTCAACAACATGAAGTGCGTCCCCTTCTACTCACTTTGTGTTGACCTCCCGTTTGCAATTTCTGAGACTCGTTTCTCAAGTTGTTTCATGGAGCAGCTGGTGTACAAAGTCCCTCCAAAGAATACTGACCTGTTCATGCAATGTTGTGCAGGCTTGCGGGGTTGCCAGCACCAGCAGCATCCGCAGACACAGAGAAGAAGGAGGCCGCATCAGATGCGGCAGGCGAGGTCAAGGCAGAAGTGAAGGAGGAACCTCAAGGCACTGACAAAGCTGCAGGCGCCTCCGCCGACGCCATTGCCAAGCAGGAGGGGGATGCGAATGCGCATGGCCACGAGAGCGACGATGACTCCGACTCAGAAGATGAAGAGCCCGAGGAGGATGTGGTGAGTGCTCCCATTGCTGACTGGACTGATCGCCATTCCCAAGCTCCCACTTGTATATGCATGCTTACCAGACCACATGCCCTTTCTCCCCGGGTGACTTTGTAGGGCTTTGTGAACCCTTCCTTATCTGCAATAACTTGCCCGTTTGCATTTCAGTTCTCCAATACTTACTGATTGACCTCTGCAGGGCCAAAATAGACGGTTCATGGGTGACGGGCTAGTTTTGTGTACATGAGCAGGTGCAGGGGGAGCCCTGGGTGACAGCGCTGGAGACGTGCGAGTATGGGGAGCTGAGCATGGAGATGCGCATGGCGGCAATAGTGGCGCTGATGCACCTGGCGCTGGATGGCCCTTCTGTGCGCACCTGCCTCGATGGCCGCCTGGAGGAGGCGCAGCGCGTCCGCAAGTCTATGTGGGACGAGGCCAAGGCATGCCACCGTCTCATCATCCTCCTTCTATATTTTGCACTACCTTAATCTTGCCATGCTGCCTGAATCACTGCTGTTGTCAAGCCATGCCTTTGGCTCATCCAAGCACATCTTGCTCATCTACTACTTGAACCGCTGTTGGTGTAATTCCAAGTGATGCAAGCAAATTTTGCTCGTCTTGATCCTCTAATGGGTGCTGTTTTTTATTGAAAATTTTGGGTCGTGCGAGCCATGGGATGAGGGTGATGTTGTGGTCAAATTGCAGGCTGAGAAGAGGCAGAGGCAGATTGAGGCGGCGGAGCGTGCGAAGCGCGCGGCGGCCGAGGCGCAGCGCAACCTGGAGCTTTTCAGGCAGCAAAATGGCATGGGGCCCGGGCCCTCCTCTACCCCAGACGCCGAACCCAACCCCAGCGGTGCTGCCAGCGCCACCAATGCACAGGTCAATACTCCTGGCAGCTGCAGTTTTGCACATGCTTTTTGCATGCTGGCAAGGGATCAAAATTGGCTCTTTGTGAACACCTTTGTCGTGGGGATTGAGGTGAAGTGGTGCACAGGGAGGGGCTGGCGGCCAGAGTGCCGCACGAGTGGAGAGCAGCGTGGAGCCCACTGGCCCCAGCATCATGGAGGATGAAGTCTCTGCGGCCAACGCAGCCAAGCAGCGGCAGCAGCAGCGCGCAGAGACCATCAGGTGCTACTTCTTTCCTTTTGTCTCATGCTTGACCCTACCAGTTTCCTCATGTCTTTACTGTTTATCTGGGCTGAAAAGTTCTCATTGGCGGTATCTTGATGGTTTCCAAAACCTGCTCAGGAGAGCCGAGGAGTCGAATGCAGTTCGGACAGAGCCGCTGGGGCAGGACAGGCGGTATAACAGGTACTGGCGCCTAGCGGCCGGCAGCGAAGCCGGATCAGGCCGCATCTTTGTGGAGTTACAGGTGTGCATGCATTGCAAGCCCACCGCCAGTGCCTCTGTTTAACATCTGATCATGCTTTGGAACCATGGCGCTTTCATGAATCTCAATGATGAATTCCCTCTATGGAGCACGAATGTCACAAATGTCTCCTCTGCTTTGCAGGACACGCAGACCTACAGGATACTGGGGCAGCCTGACACATTGGAGACGCTGATGGGGGCGCTGGAGAAGAGGGGCGCGCGCGAAGGCGCCCTCTACAACTCCCTGCTCCGCCACAAGGACTCCATCCTCCAGGGCATGCCTGCAGAGCCCCTCAAGTGAGCATCCTGCGCCTGCTATCTCTCCTCTTTCGCTGTCATCTCTCCTACTCTCAGTTCTTGATTTAAAAACAGATTGCCTCCCCTTCATTCTAATTACACAGAGGCCCTGAAGAGTGCTCCTTCCTGGTCTGGTGGCCATTGCTGTCTCCGCCTCTGTCCATTCTCCTCGACACTGTACTAGCGTGCCTGCCCTTCATACTCCCGGTATATGACACACAGGCGCTGAGACTGCTGCTTCGTGGTCGTCTCAGGATGTTGCGTTGACAAAAGTGGGATTGACAGGGCTGCTTCCTGCTGTTGTGTCAGGATGCCGGCGCTGTCTGAGGCTGAGGGCGCGCAAGTGGAGTCAGAACATCGTGCGTGGGTGTACAGCCTGCCAACGCAGGCGCACGTGCGCGCCTCCGACCCGGCGATTGCGGCTTCTCTGGCGGCCGAGGAGGCGGCCGCGCTCGCGGAGCAGTCTCAGCCGCGCCTGGCCAAGCTCAAGTGCGATCTGCTCCGCGTGCAGGCCGCGCTGCCGCCGCCCGCCATGGCCGAATCCTGGGACGCTGATGCCTGGCGCCAGGTCCGCGCGATCCCTCTCGCCTGTTTTGTCTGCTGTCAATTTCCATAATCGCTGCAGCGCAAAATAGCAGCCCCCGGACAGAAATTTCAAGGTCAAACTGGAGACGGACAATGCAATCTACGTGTTACACTGCAGCAGCTGCATACCTTTTCTACCACTCTACTTTCCTAGTATAGTTCAAACGGGAAGTTTCAATATTGAGTGCAATGTCATGTTTGCTGTAAGAACTCAAGCCGTGAATGCAATTGGTATGGGTGGTGCAGCGTGTGCGAACAGCTTCAACTGTGGTGGAGCTGCGGACGGCGCTTGGGCAGCTGGAGGCGAGCCTGCATGACGAGTATGTGTCGACGCAGTTCAAGCGCAAGCCTGCTCCCGTCAAGGGCGCCTGCCTCAGCACAGGTCCGAATAGGGTCCCCCGTGCATGTCATTCTGATGTTTGGATCACAGGAGCGCTAGGCATGGTGATTCAAGTAGATTCTGGGCAATGAGCCTGCATTATATGTACCATTGCGGGGGCACAGGCAAGGCGGCAGGGCACAAGCAGCAGGCGGCAGAGGGCGCCGAAGGCACGGAGGCCCAGCCGGCTGCAGCGGATGTGCAGCTGCTGGAATGGCTGCCGCCCACAGTCGCAGCTGTCAGCCTGCGACTGGGCGCCCTGGATGCCGCGCTCATCTACAGCCCCGGCATGCCTCCCGCCAGGGACAATCTTCAGGTGACCATCGACACCCCAATGCCATCGGTCAGCTCTCTTGTTGCGATGTCTTGGCTCACACGTGGTGGCAGCAATCCGAGGTGATGAGGGGAATTTGAGGGATGCGTGCGCCGGCTGTGCAGGCATACAAGTACATCCAGCGGCCTGCGCTGCCGGTGGAGCTGACAGAGGGCGGCATGGAGGCCCAGGCCAAGGGCAGCCGCGTGGTCTCAGGGCAGCCCATCGGCATTGGAGGCCGCTCGCGCCCCTCCCACTTCCCTCCCTTCCCCCAGGTCTGCTCCACTGCTATATCCACATCCTCCGTTTGCCTTGCAAATCTGTTACACGGCATGCATGATCCGTGTTGACATTTTTGTAGCTGGCGGGGCTGCAACACTGTGGTGTCGTCTGGTGAGGTGCGTGTCACCTACACTTCTGCTTGCACGTCGATCTCACCGGGTCCAGTGCGATTCCGTATATACTGACTGTGTGTGAGGTGGGGAGTGGGTGTGTGCGCAGGCTGTGCTGCAGGGCCCGCCGCAGCCATTCCAGCTGCCGATCGAGGAGCTGCGCGCGGCGGTGGCGGCCGGCGAGAAGGAGGGAGCGGCGGAGGCCCAGGGATCCGAGCCCGCCTCTGCCAGCCCCAGCCTCGCCCGCTCCACTCCCCCCGTCAGCAGGTCAGGCCTGCTCGGCTGCGTCCCCTCCACTCATGCCTCTGCTTTTACTTTGCGAGCCTGCATCGATGAGTGATCCCTTCACGACCAGTTCAGACCATGAAAATTGCAGTCGTTCAAAGAGGCGCCGATCCCCTACACAGTTTTGGAAGCGCATTCTGTTGAGAAGGTTGTTTTGGGCTGGGTCCCAGACAAGCTGGAGGAATGTATTAAAGTGACCATCAGGGCCATTCTGTGAACTCGTCTGGCAGAACTATTGCGGCAGCGCTGATTGGTTGGGTACTGAAGGCCAGCCCTTTGTACTGTGCAGGGCCAAGGGCAGAACGAGCGCGAAGGCGGCGCCACGTGGCAAGAGCAACCTGCGGCGGCAGCTGGACGCGATGGAGACGGACGACGACGCTGACGAGGACGAGGGTGACAGCGCCGATGACATGGACATCGATGCGCGCTACCCCGTCAGCTCCCGAGCCACGCCCGCCTTCTCTGAAGAGGGTGCGCCTACCGCCACTCCAGCCATGCTTTCTGCATCTGTACATACAAAGATGTCATGGGTCTTGGCAATGCCTCGATGAGTGCCTCTACTGAGCTCTGAAGGAAGGGGGGAGAGGTGTTCGCCAAGTGCGGCATATGCTGAAGTGTCTCTTATGGCGTTGTGTGCAGGTCAGGATGACGAGGAGCAAGAGAGCGATGATGACCAGCCTGGTGGTGAAGAGGACCTTGAGATCAGTGACTAGCGAATAAAAGTGTTTCTCTTCAGGCTCTATTCTCTTGAGGCAGCTTTCCTCCCTTTCTGCCTATGCCGTTATTACTCGATCTTACTCGTCTTGTTTGTGTTGCCACCTGTTGCAAATTATATGAGCCGTCCAGGAAGCTGTAACGGGATGGTGAGCTATTGCAGAGGTTGCCCTGGGCGTTTCACAAGGGTGATGTCCCAGACAGGCACATGCATTCCTTTTGGCAAAGCACTCGTGCGAGTGCATCTCAAGAGGCTTGACAATGCCCTGAGTGCAATTGCCAGATATACCAAGTTCTACTAATTGTGCAGATGCAAGCAGCATCAAGCACGTAGTATAAAATGATTTATCGATCGACAGTGTTCGCTCCCACACTCATCATCAGGATCTGAACATAGTGCCCACACCCACCTCAGGCAGGACAAGGAAGAGCTTAATTATCATCAATCACAAGATTCTTCAGGTGTCTGAAGATTACCCACAGCTCTACGCTCAAAGCTAGCAGTCTCCCTAGTATGAGCCCTGCTCCCAGAAATGGAGATGCCATCCAGCTCGCAGAAAGGTGACTCCTTGCCCTGTGCGATGGCGGGCAGGTGTTGATAGGCAGATGTTGAGCAGATGGTATAGCGTTTTGCAGAACTCCTTGTTAGTACTAATAAGGTGGGGATCTTACCACAGCCACAGCGGTGTTCCCATGATCCCACTGATGGCAAGGATACCGGGAGGTGTCTTGAAACCATTGCTCATTACAGCCTTGACCCAAGGCGGTGCTTGGCAGAAGTATCCAGTCTTCCAAGCTGCGCCACCTCCCTGTTGATGAAGGCATCTTTCTGTATGCACTTGAAGGCAACTGTGTAATCTGAGCCAATCCCATTATGCTCAAAGCCCCTCAGTGGTCCCAAAGACGGGCCGAGAATTGCGCACCTTGTGAGTGGCCACAAAAGTCAGGAACTCCAGGGCTATTGGGAATGCAGCTGCTGGCCCAGGAAGGGTCCAAGCATAGAGCACAGCTCTGCTGGTATTGTCAACAGCAACATCTAGCCAAGCTCCAAAGGCAGACGTCTGCATAGATGAGCATCTATGGTTATGTCGTTGCATCTGATTCTGAATTCATGCATTATTGCATTGTGATAACCGTATATCACCTGTTTAAGGGCTCTTGCAAGCACTCCATCGACGAAATCCAAGAGGAAGTTGACAAGGAACAGAGCAAAGGTGGACCCTGGATGACTAGATCCAGTGCACAGCGCGCACAACAACAGTATAATTCGCACGTAACCAACTAGATTAGGAGCATACCACAGAACTTGTCCGGTGCCCATGTCAATTTTAAGAAAACATCTTATGGAAAACCTTCATCAAACCAGAAATGTCTGACCACAAACACTCCGTCTATAAAACACTTGCAGCATTGTCCAGCATAAATTTCATCAAAGAAGGCTTGGGGTTGTGACGTGTCAGAAGAGATCCACGGTGAAGCTGGAGGAAGCTGCAGTGAAGGAAGGGACTCTTTCAACTTCTGCCTCACTTCGTGGACATCTAATCAGCCCTGACTGTGCTGGAATGATGTAATATGTTTCTCTCTCTCGTGCAAAAATTGGCAAACTCAGTGGCTTACGTACATGCGCTCCAGATTTAGAATGAGAATTCCTTCAACAAGCTGGGTGCATCATGCTGGCACTGGCAGTCATGACTGTGATCACTGCTTGCAAACTTTAGATGTGTAGGCTCTGCGCTGTGCCGCACTGGAACTTGTGCATGCATAGTGCAGCTGTACTCCAGTCACAGTTGCTGCAGGCGCATGGTGGCTGTGAGATGGCATGAATGCGCTGCAAGGCAGAAATTTCTTTGAGATGTCACATAATTACCACATGATAATTATTACAGTCAATCCTTCGCACCGCAGAAACTTCCAGTGGCATGGCAGTCACTGACTGGCGTTGGCATTCGCAGAGCTGCACACATTTTCAGATCGGACACTGTTTGTCCCCGATAATCACAGGTGAACTGTCACGGCTGTCACTACGCCTCCAGTCAGCTCCATACTCAGACGTCAGCAATTGTGACCTCCACCTCCACACCGGGCTCAATGCTGCACGAAGCATACACGCACCTCTCAGCATTTGCGTTACAAAGCTACACCCCACATTGAAGAGTACACTGCAAGGGCGGACGGTAAACGATAAACACAGTGGTACGACAGCTGGTGACAACCGCCATGTATCACTCACCTGATCGAGGTGATCTGCTTGACCACATCAGCGGGAGAGTGCAGGTCAATCAGGCGCTTGTGGATCCTGCAACAGCACTGGGACATTCAGGTGCCAGCGTTGACAGCTCATCACAGACACCAACAGCAGTGCAGACCAGCGCCCAAGCTCTGCAATGCCAAATGCCAGGTGCTCTGCTGCGCACCTCATCTCAAAGCGATCCCATGTGTTGGTACCCTCTCCACAGGGCGACTTCCTGGTGGTGATGTGCAGCACCTTGGTGGGCATGCGCACGGGACCCTTCACCTTCAGCTGCTTGTCCTTGGCACCGCGGATCAGGTCGGTGCAGACTGTTGCACACAGCGTCCATGTCAGCGTCCAGCATCCAGCGACAGAAAGCCCAGCAGGGATGGTGAAAGCAGCAAGCAGCCTGGGATAAGTGATCAGAGAGTAGCTGCGTCAGGAACGGTGCCTACCCTTTTCCAAGTTCTTCACGTTGCGTGAAGTCAAGGTGATGCGAATGCGGTGGACCTGGACATCCTCCTCCTGGCCGGGCTTACCGATGGGCTTCAGTGCAGACATCTGCGAAATAATTACATGAGCAGTCAGGACAGCATCTGTAAAGCGCAGTTGAAAGCAGTTAAGACTTGACTATTATTTTACTCAGTATGCAATCAACCGTATGAGGCTCTCACGATATGAGGCCTTCCTGAGCAGAATCAGACATCTCACAAAGGGCAACACCCACCTTGGCTGGTTGTCGTTAGTTGATCGATGCTCGGCAAATCCCCGACTCACACTGACGCTTCTGTCAGTGAGGCAAAGTGAGGGATCTGCCTTCTTTCTTGCAAGTTTCGCCTGAGTGGGCGGCGGATTGACAACGCCGTCGCAGGGCTGCCCAAAAGCCCATTTTGGGCAGATTATCTCGCTCCTGAACGAGATCTCAGTGATAGGCTCGCAACAATCGCAAAGGGCGCGAGCAACAATTCATAGTGAACACGTGTAATAAGCTTTGCCCTCTAACATATTGACTACTGCAACTCTAGCAGCCGCATGGGCGCAGATATGGGGCTGAACGTCGTAGCCGGGAGCTGGTTGGAAGGCACCAATCCACTCGTTTCTACCGCAGTCGGAGCGCTGGCGTTCTGGGTGCTGGGCGCTGTCGTGGGACTCTGCGTACGTTCTTTTATGCTTGTACCGGCTGCTGCCGGCCATCTGATGCTTGGATTGCTGTCCTGCCTTGCCTAGTCGTTGACGCGGTGTCTTTTCAAGCAACGACGGCTGAAGCTGGTTGGGTCTCTGTCGTGCAGCTCCCCCGGCCAAAGTGGTTGGCCACGGGGTCTCCCTTTGCGACATCGTCATTCTACAGTCCGGCTGGCTTGCTCGTGCGACGACTGTCTTTGTGTTTCCAAGGCTTTTACATTATCAGGTACAGCTTCCGTCCTGTAGTGGGTGTGATTTTGTGGGAGCCTGGGATACGTTCTCTTTGCTTTTTTATCAATCATGGGTGCTCTCTGGCGTTGCATTGGCATCGGGCGTGTGCATGATGAGAGGCGTTTGTCTGCCGTGGTTGTTAGATCCTCCTGCAGGGACATTGTCTGGCACATATCTGTTCGTTTGCCTGCAGGGAAATATGGAATCATTTTACCTCGCCGGGCACGTTTCACGCCCTCATGCTGGCAGTGCAAGGCCTGCTGTCAGGGACCGGCTGGCACTATGTGCCTCCTCAGAAGAGGGCACACAAGTTGCGCAAGCTGAGACACAAGAAGAGCAGCGATGCCCAGCAGAAATCGGGGTCCTCGGACCCTATCAGCTGGTGAGTGGCGTTATTCTGCATTGCAAGGGACGCAGACAAGGCACACATGCTTAAACAGCTGGGATGTGAGGTTGAACTTAGTGTTGCAGTGAGGGTTTGTATTAATAGTTGGGAAATGCTCACAGGTACGTGGGTGATGAGGACATGGAATTCTTCAAGGAGAGGCTTGAGGTGCCGGCGGGCTCTGGCCCCTGGGAGCACATGATGACCAAGGACTTTGGCACCTTCACATATGAAGCCTGGCGCCGGACCCTTGCGGTGAGCGCCTGCACTGCTGCCCCGAAGCCAGTGAAAGTGACAAGGTATCTGTCTGTATATCAAAAGTTTGGGTGACTGTCAGTGGCTTTGATGCTGAGAAGCTGTCTATGTATCTCAACAGGACGGCAAGACAGAGTACAAGAGTGTGACAGTGGCAGAAGACTCCACTGCGGAAGAGTTCATGGACTTCTACCTGGACGACCACACCCGCACCAAATGGGTGAGTCCACCTCTTTTGCTTCATACCCCCACATCTGCATCCTGTCGGCATGCAGGTTTGCCTTGTCTTCAACTGGAGAGGGTGCTGACAGAGTTGGAAATGCAGGATACGATGATCTCGGAGCACGAGAGCCTGGAGGTGGGTGACGGCAGGCAGCGCTGCCAGGTGGTGCGCTGGGTGCGCACGTTCCCATTCTCCTTCCTGTCCAAGCGCGAGTACATCATCGGCCGCCGCATGTGGCGCGGCCCCGATGGCTGCCTCTTTGGCATCACCAAGGTGTGCCACTACCCGCTACATCGTTTGAATATCTTATGCGAGCTTCCTGTGCTCTGCATAGATCTGCGGTAATGTGGGAAAGTCTGGACTTTCCCACAGGGCTTTGACGATATAAGATGCAGAGCTTGAATTACTGAGTCCTTGTGCTGCAGAGCATCGACCACCCTCGAGCGCCGCCGGCGAGGGGCATCGTGCGGATGGATGTGTTCTGGTCCATGTGGCGCTCGCGCACCATCCCCTGCCCCCACGGCAGCGGCCGGCCAGCCTGCGAGACCGTGCTCATCCACCACGAGCAGTTCAAGATCCCTGAGAACCTGGCGCGCTTCGCCGTGCGCCACGGCATGAGCGGCTTTGTCAAGAAGATGGGCCCCGCCGTCTGCGAGTTCGTCGCCGACCGCCGCAAGCGCATCGCGCCGGTGCGCCCTCCGTCCCTGCTCCCTGGCAGTCCGCTGTTGCCTTGCCTGAACTGATTGGTGCTTCCATGCTGACACACTTCCATACTCACAGCAGTTTAGCTGCATTACATGCACACAGGCATGTCAGAAAGTGGGGCGCTGACAAGCAGGCTTTTGGTGTGCAGTTTGAGGATGATCCGGAGGCTTTTGGAGCGAGCGGCGTGCCCAACCCGCCCTCCCCGCCCTCGCGCTCGCCCTCGATGGGGTCGACAGAGTCCCTGCTGGACAGCGCGTTCGAGACGTCCTCTGAGCCCAGCACCGCGCCCAGCTCGCCCTCAGGCGGCCAACGGCGCGAGCGGCGGCCGCAGTGGAGCGGCGAGCGTGAGCGGAGGGGGCCCCTCCGGCGGCTGCAGCAAGTCAACGCTGCGGTGATTGCTGCCGGGGTCGCCTTCGCGCTCGGCCGCTCCACCAGCCGCGGCCGGATGCTATGAAGGATCACAGGAGATCGGTGTGCGGGCGCATGGTACTGTGATATGGCTTTGGGTTGCGGCGGGGATGGGTGTCCTCCCCGTCACGATGCATGGCCGTGAGCGTGTTGACAGGCAGTGGAGTTGGTTTCAGCTCATGGACAAGGGGTGTGAGGATTTGCAATCATATTAATTACGTGTGAGAGGGAGAGCGAGTGCGAATCTGCGTTTTGATAATTGCGGCAGGTGGCCTTGCATGCTATGGTGCTATAAGTTTGCTCGTGATGCCAGCATGAGAATCTGACATTGACCGCAAATGGCAATTTTTGAGAATGACCCAGGCGTTTGTGGCAAGGCAAGTTTGGCTGGGTGGGTCCTTGAGGCGTCCCTCTATTTTGAGCCCCAATATCAGCGTGCAATTTTGTGGATGAGTTTGTTTTTGAAAGGAACAAAGGATTGTGTGATAGATGTATAGGAAACTCTTTTTTGCATGGAGTATAGGGCCCAAAAGAATAAAGTTTTTACTGTGTATTAGGCTGTTTTGATGTTCCCATATACATACGTCTTAGGGATATCTCTTTTGTATAGCGCCTCATGATCAAGGCACGGCCGATACTTGGCCAAATTTTGGTGTGAACTAGGACCCTTCTCGTATATATCCGATTTTTGGTGTATTAGGACTGAACCCCTGCATCTTGTGTGTGCCTAGTGGCCTGGGCGTGCTGAGGGCTGTCATTGCAGGGCCTGCGCGCCATCAGGATTTTGAGATGCGCACAGGCAGGGTTTCAAGTTTTGTGACATGGGAGTGCAGCTCCCAGGGGTTTTGTAGGTGTGCATTAGGATGTCCTCATACCAGACTCTCACAAAAGCCATTCTATTCCAGTTGTGTGGTCTGGAACTGATCTGCCTGTTTCTTGGTTCTCCGTGTGGGTCCAGCTAGCTCAGGGCCCAGTCCCAGCCGAATTCAGCCTTGACTATCCTATAGAATACAGCCTGTTGTCTCTATGCCACAATTCCTGTATCGATGTGGTGAGTAATGGAAGGATGCTGCATCTGAGGTCAGCGTATTGTAAGCTCGTTGCAACACCTGCCCTGAGGCCCATCTTGCCATATTGCTCTAGATTCAATATAGTAATCTGTAGGTGCAGGGTATGTTTCTCACATGATGCTTCCCTTGATACTTGAGCCACATGCGATCCACCTTCATCAGTAGACTGAGTCGACTAGACTTCACAAAAGGCATGTGATACAATGCAGGAGCAATATGTTTATCAGTTTAGTGTTAACAAAGAATTTGTAATATCTGCACATGCGACGCTAGCTCTCCACCTGGAACTCTCTGTAGCTCTGGCTGCAGCTGCTCATTGGGCTCTCAAACCATGTCTAACTTTGTCTAATGGTTAGCAGTGCCCTGGCAGGGCAAGCACTCAAAAGTATCAGCTGCCATGAAGTTCCAATCCTATACATGCATCCCTTGGACACCCCACAAACGTGTTCTGCATTGACAGATGCATACATGATCAGCCATTTGCAATCAACTGCAAGGTGCCAGTCACACTCTCACTTCCTGCCATGATCGTAGGTACTAAACCTGAACCCATGCACCTAGATGCTGCAAACTCCTTCTAAACAAAAACACATACAGGGCTCGCATGACTCCCTATCGAAAATGACCCACACTGGTCATGAGTACACAGAAAAGCGCTGTGCAACTATTCACCTAAGGCAACTCTGCAAAACTGGTCAGGATTCAATGAAGGGGTGGTGATCTCTCTCATTTGGCCCTAGTGGGGCTCTCAAAACTGGCCAGACACACAGGAGCTGGCTGACAGGCAACAAAGACACTCACCTATGGATATCCAGTGTGACAATGCAGACCTGACCTAACCCTCACATTCATTAAATAGGTCTTCGATGCGCCTCACAAGGACCGCCGCCATGCCAGGCATCAGCTGCTGCGTCCCTTTGAAGTGCATCACTCCCTATCCAGGGCACACGCTGCCTGCCTAAAAGTGGCGACATTCTCCTATAACCCACGTGCCCCTACAAGTACGCCAGGTAGTGCAGAATTCCCAGTAGCTGCTCACAGCACTACAACTCCGCGGCCCCGTCCTGTTCCACAATGCGAGGCTGACCTGAGGCAGCCCTTTCTACCTACTTGGCGCTCACACTGCCTTCAAGGCACTGCCTGGTACGTCTTACATCTCTCTTCTCTTGACCTGTGGTGGCAAGTGCCTGATCAGGCGTCAGATGCCTGCGACAAATTCTGCGACGGTGTCGATGAAGCGGTTGGGGCACTCCTCCATGGGCATGTGGCCGCAGGCAGGGAACGCGCACATACTCGCGCCCGGCAGCGCGTCCGCCAGCCGCCGGCTGTTCCACATCGGCACCAGCGCATCGTGCTCCCCATGGATCACCAGCACCTGCAGTTTAAATGTTTGAGTCGACCTCACTGCTACTGCATCCTATGTCTGCATGCTGTCTTGACTCTGCAAACCCGAGCTGACACAGCAGGATGGTCCCCAAAGTGGGGCCGGCAATATTTATTACGGTATTGAGCGTCGGGAATCAGGGCAGGGAGCACGAGGGAGTGTTCAGCTGACTCAGGCCCCATCAGCATGTTTGTTTGTGGCATGGTAGGTTGTGGACGCAGGGTGTCTTGGCTGTGAAGTGCAGGTGGCAGGATGCTTGGGGTGCATGAGATGATGGGTGGCCGGCTACCTTGATGTCGTGCTGCGCGACGGCGTGCGCAAGGCGCTCTGCCTGGCCGCGGGTGGCTTGCGCGTAGCCACTCTGCAGCGCCTTCCACACGTTCTTGCCCCCTGCGCGCAACATCTCCCCCTTTGTCAGCGCATCAATTTCCCAAAACTGCCGCGCACCATGTCAGACAATGAGGGCCCCGAGCAAGGCGCTAAGCAGAGTCTGGAGAGGCAGTCACCGGCCACGCGTGCTCTCAGGAAGCGCAGGAGGCCCCACTCCCACCCGCGCACCAGCTGCGGCAGGCGATACGCGTCCAGGATCTCGGGCGTAACGCCGTCCTTTGCATACCTGCGCACAGCACATGTCTCTGTCACTGCTCATGCCACCCCTCACCAGTTTGAAGCACAAGGAGCTGCTCCACTGATCACCTCCCATGCGCGCAGGGACAGTCCCAGCATGGTGGTTTGAGGACGGAGTCAGTCAAGGGTTGAAAGCAATCGGCGTTCCCTGCTCCCCCCAATGCAACTGCTAAAATGATAAGCTTTGCACAATTTCTCATGCTGCTTTGAGCGAAACAAGTGCAGGGTTTGAAGGGGATGAGCGGCCGGGGTGACTCATGGCTGACTCACCAGGCGCTGCCGAGGCCGCGCTGCCAGAATGCGCGCGAGCGGACGGCCGAGCGCAGCGCCAGAACCAGCAGCGGCTGCGTCAGCCATATCGCGCACCGCGCCACCGCAGCGGCCGCCTCCGTCGCCAGAACCTGCACGCCCCCCAGCCAAACCCACCGGCCCCTGTGCATTCACGAGGGGGAGGTCATGCAGGGGTAGAGGGAGATGCGCATTCACAACAGGGCACACCGGCAATGCCATATCTGGGACAGTAATCAACTGATGCACAGGTCGCACCTGGCCCTGAACATGGATGCGGTGTCTACATCAAACACCGCATGCAACCCGCCACAAAAGGCAGAAGGTTTCACAGCAGCAAGACAGCTCCCTGACTGCACGTATTCAAAATGGAGGATTGTGACATGCAGCCAATGGATAGAAGGCAGTGCTTCACTGAAGCACAACATGTTTTGGATTTATGTATCCACCATGGCTTCGCTGAAAGGATTTTATTCGAGCAGGAAGAACAAGGGGCCAGACCTGGATGTCTGCTGGGAAGACTTTGTGAGCTCGATGTCGGATGAAGCGGCCTCCTTGGGGGCGACGGAGCTGCTGGATTTGCCAAAGATTGGAGCGACGATTGCAGGAGCCACAAGGATCAGCGCGGCGATGCCCTGCAGTGACACCTGCCCTTTCAGAGCGGCAAGCCTGATCAAGATTTGTGACAGCAGCTACCTAAAGCAATTTTGTAACAAAATGCTACACAGAAGGAAGAGATGTGCCTCCACAGAATTGTCCCAGATTTTCTCCCATGATTCCCAGAGTCTTCTGTAGTTGTCCATATGATATGGAGAGGCGCACCTCAGGGTGGTCAATGACCTCTGCCGCCGCGCAGGCAGCGCCCAGGGAGTGGCCAATCAGGATCCGGCGCACCCGCCCACCACCCTCCAGTCCGCTTGAAGTTGCATCCGCCGCCAGGGCATATGCGTCCCCTGACGCCTGCATGCAAGCACAACACCATTCCCACCATGAATATGTTTGATTTTGTGCTGGTAGATCTGAGGCAGCAGGCCGGCTCACTAAGGGCCGTTGAGGAAGTTGACAGGCCAAGGGTCATCAACTTGTACTGTGGATTGCAGCCGGGGCCTGCACAGTACTGCATATAGACATGGGTATGCAGGGTGTGCGCACATCTGGCTTCTTGGCAGGCTGCGTGCTGGCAGCAGGGATGAGGCTGTTGGCGGCCAGCTCGGCGTCCAACACCTTGCGCCCAATGCGTCCGTTGCTCTGAATGCTGTAGTCCGCCACGTCTGGCGTCCTGCAGCGATTGAATCACGCAACAAACCACTGCTTAGCTCCTCGGCTCAAGCAAAACATCTCCACTAGAAATGCGTGAAACCTCTCACCAAGATCTCCTAGTGGGGGACATCGTCCCTACAATGCAAGTGGCGCAGCGCTCCATTCTGCTAGGTGATTATGGCACTCTGCTGAGTGGGCAGCTGATGAAGTCCTGGTGCATGGGCCCTACAGAAGCGCAGTGCAAGGGAGGGTGAGGCAAGAGCTGCACCTCTGGGTGAGTCCAAAGCCGGGCATGTCATGGGACACCACCAGGGCTTTCAGCTGCGCGGCCAGCTTGCGGTCCACAAAGGACCAGCTGAAGGTATTTGCGCCAAACCCGTGGTACATGGCAATGGCAGGGACGACGGCTGAACCGGCCTGAGCGGATGCGTAGTTGGCTGCTTTGTAGTGGACGCTGATGCCGTTCACTGACCTGAAACGTGAGTCGCTGTCTGCCAGCTCAGCCTCTGCCACCTGGCATGTCTGCGCAAGCATGGCAACATTGTCAGATACAAAGGGTTTGAGAACCCATAATTAACATTGTAGTACATGACAGCTACCGTGTATGCAGAGAGTCTTGTCCTGGATTGGGCTTGTCTAAGGGGAGCATCAGACCTGGTATTGCTGCTCGAGGAAGGCTGCGCGCAGTGCAGCCACCAGCCAGGCATACAGGGCGGCCATACTGATGGCGACAAAGAGGCTGAGTCGTGCTGGCCTCAGGGCAGCATACAGCGTGGCGCAGACCAGCGCCGGCAGCACAAGACACAACACCACCTGCACATGATCACAGAAACTGAGGCAAATCCTTCTCTAGGCAGAAAGTGAGTGCAATGCAGATGAGACGCATTTACAGTGGGCATGATGTCATGCCTGCTTTGTCTGCAGGCCAGGCTTTGCATCCAAGCGCTCCCTGATGCTCTGGGGGATGATCTGGGGGGCTCCAACTGAAGATGCCTCCCCAGACGCTGATGCCTGCACGAGACCATGGACACCGTTGAGAAGGTCTGCTACAAGCCAGAAGTAATGCTCAGCCACGTCTGATCGTCCAGACTTACCAAGCAGGTGGTGTGGAAAGGCCGGCAGGGCTGCTGTGGCTGCTGAGGCCCGCACAGCCCGGCTGATACAGCATTGACTGCTCCCCAAAGCTCATTTGGGACCCTCCAGCTCAGTCTCAGCCATGGCCTGAGGACGTTGCTTGTGCCAGGAAATGAGGCAGTGAGACCTGCAAGCACAATCATTATTGTGGTGTGGTGGGGGACAAATGAGTGTGCTCGTTCCGAAGCTTTCTCACCCCGCCAGATCCGAACCGCATGTTTCGCCTTGGACAAAACGTACCTTTACCAGACTTCGACCGATCTAGCATACTGTAGCGGGAAAGTTGCACATAATTGTTGCCTTTACGACTTAACGAATGACGTGGGAAACAGACAGTATGACGAAGAGTACTTGCTGCTGGGCAACGTGCTGCTGACATTCAGCAAGTCAATTTGGCTTCGTGCTTGTATGAAGCACCGATCTTGCTTTTCGATATACTCATCTTGCAACAAGGAATGATGTCGAGCACTTGTAGGTAAATTTTAAATAAAATCCAAGGAAAGATGGCCAATCCTATGTGGCTAATTGGATCAAAGTCTTATCCAGCACGTGCGGCCATTTTGGCGTAGGTCCTGTTTTGACTCCTGAGAAATTTATTTCGAATTCTAAAAGTTATAAATCCCCAAAAAATGTATCGTGGCCAAGCACGGTGGTAATAATACTATCCATGTGATGCTGACGATGCACTAGTGTACTGCAGGAACAGAATCAGGGAAAATGCCGCAGCCGCAGCGGCTGCAGCGGCCGGGATGACTCGTCTATTGGATATCAGATCCAATGATATGAGATGCATGTGCCACCATGATGGCCAAATGCAAGACCCCACCAGTCTCAGTCATGCAAGGGCGCATACAAACCGTCTTTCTTAAGATCCTTGCTGGATTATAAGGATATAAAGAGTTGGGCTAACTTTGAACGCCCTGAAGGCAATCAGGTCGGCATGCATCTGCACGCAATCAATACCTACTTAATTAGCAGCAGAAGCACACGTGTACAGTTATGTCGAGCAGAAAATCTTTGTTGGCAATTTATGCACCGCACCTAGCCAACTTCAGGCTCAGACTACTCAGTCCATGACAGTTGATCTAAACGACGCAGTTGGGCTAGGTGAGACACAAGCACTTGATCCGCCCAGCAACTCGACAGCTGCCCGGGCGGGTCGAATGCTCAGGAGGCGGCCCTCTCCCGCTTGTAGGAGGCGGTGAGCTCGGCCTGGCGCTCTGTGCTGACGGGGGCGTGGCGAGCGTACTCCATCGTGAACTCGCCCTTGCCCTGAGTCATGGAGCGCAGGCCCGTGCTGTACCCAAACATCTCGTTCAGCGGCACCTGCCGCACCCCCACACACAAGCGCTGTCAGATCCCACTCAGGCATTTGCTTAATCCTCGGCACCAACAGACCCCCTAGTCCAGACAAAGCAAGTCATCGGTTTTGCAGAGTAATACACCCACGCTCACATATTTGTTTGGTGCAGCCATTTAGACCATGCAACAATTCATGTGGCAGTTTGATATTGTCAGTGTTGCACATTTTGTCATGGATTGTTTTGATCACTTGGATGCTGTCAGTACATCCAATCAGGGCGGCTGGAGTTGTTGTGTAATTTCCTTCCTTCCTTCAGCAGCGTGCTGGCATCAAGATTCCTGTGGACCTACACAGGAGTGAGTCCACTGCCCAACTGCACAAGCCGTGTCAGATGGCGGCTACCATAGCAGATGAAGGGGTGTACATGAAGCCCGAGCCAGGCCTGCTATGCATGCTGTAATAGGGTGCCCCATCTAGAGGTCATCTGATTACTAATGACCAGAGGAATGCATGAAGATTCCAGGGGTGCGAGACAAGGTAGGAAAGAGCACCTGGGCCTGCATGACGACGTCGTCGCCCTCGCCTTCACTATTCAGGATGATGCCCTTGCGGCGGTTGAGGTCGCCGATGATGGTGCCCTGGAACTCGGAGGGCGCACGAACGTCCACGGCCATCACGGGCTCCAGGATTACGGGCGCCGCGCGCATGAAGGCCTCCCGGAACGCGTACTGGCACGCCAGCTTGAACGCCATCTCACTGCTGTCCACCGCGTGCGCCGCCCCATCCGTCAGCGCCACACGCACCCCCTGCGTGCATTCAATCAGTATATTTCAATTTCAACTTCTATATCCATTCACAAGTGTATTCGAAGTGCCTTGATCAGGTGCCTGATTAGATTGCAGGCACTCATTAGGCACCGAGACTGTAGTGCCAGATTCACTTGAATTCACAGCACACAGCCACAGGAGCTGTACCGCTCCTGTCGGCATGACAACACGCCCTGGCAGCCTCTGACGGGCATCTCAGGGTGCACCAGAAAATCTGCCGGCATGCGTAGCAGGTCATGTGGAATGGTGGAACGAGTGCAGGAGCAGAGAGTGCAGAGAGAGGGGGCCCACCTGCACGGGGTGGCCGGTGAGGCCGCCGGAGTTGGCGGCTTCGCGGAAGCCCTTCTCGCAGGCCGGCAGGAAGCTTGGCGGGATGGCGTTGCCCACAATCTCACGCGCAAACACAAAGCGCTCTGGCTCATCCTCTGGCGTCGGCTCCATGTAGCCTATCACCCGCCCATACTGCCCCTGGCCACCTGCCAGCAACAACATTGCCCCTCAGAGCCCCTCGGAACGCTGGACTCAAGGTTTTCATTTCCGCATCAAGGGAAGATGCTAGTGCCTCTCCTGATGCTAAGGCCTCCATTGGCTGGTACCAGGCGTGGGCTTGCACCTGTCTGCTTCTTGTGGAGGTAGTCGAAATTGATGCGCTTGGTGATGGCCTCCAGGTAATTCACCCGCGGCTTGCCCACCTCGGCATCCACCTGGCATCGCAGGAGACATGCTTCATTCTTGGGTCATGGCCATCAGCAGCTATTAGCAAGCACGCAAGAGAGTGCGTTACATTGGCACTGCTCACCTTGTACTCCCTCTTCATGCGCTCCACATAGATGTCCAGGTGGAGTTCGCCCATCCCACTGATGATGGTCTGGCCAGTGTCAGGATCTGTGCTGACCTGCACAAAGCCCCACAAAGCCCTTGAGCACAAAGCCTTCTCAAATTGCCACATGACAAGAGCAGCATGTGTCGTCCTGACAGCTCATAAGTGGGCAGCACCTTGAAGGTGGGGTCCTCCCTCTGGAACCGGCTCAGCGCCTTGGAGAAGTTGCCGGCAGCCTCGCGCGTCTTGGGCAGGATGGCCAGGCTCATCACAGGGTCCGGCACATTCATGGACGTCATCGTGTACCTGCACAGCGGCGGAACCTCAGCAGAGGAGCATGCAACATGCTGTACAAACACCGCGCTTTCTGGGAAAAGGGCGGGGACAATATTTTAACATGATGAAGGAGGAGCCTTTTGAGTGCTGCTGGCGCCGGCTGGCGGGGGGCGGTATAAATACTGCGCACCGTGCCCACGGTTGAAGGGGTCTTGCTTGGGTCTGGCGAGTCCGACAAGGGGTAGGATTGTGAGAGCCTTGAACTGCAGCTTGTCTGCAGGACGCAACTTGCCTCTTGGCAGGAAAAGCATGAAAAAGTGATAACTTAAGGGAGCAGCACCTGACGGTGCCGTCGGTGAAGGTGTCGCCGGTGGAACACTCGATGCCGAACATGGCCACGATGTCCCCAGCGCCCGCCTCCATGATGTCCTCCATGTCGTTGCTGTGCATGCGCACCAGCCTCGGCACCTGCCCGCACATGCGCAGCTTTCAGATCCCTGTCGATATCAACACCTCGCCGGAACTTCCCAGCAACCTTAAGACACGTTTGCAAATGGTTCTCATGCAGAGGCAGACAGGCTCCTTGCCAGTCTGAACGCCAACATGAATTTTCCCAGCAACATTGCAGATGCGTGCAATGGTCACATGCAGGCTGAGAGGTCAATCTCCCTGGCAGACTAAGCTGCTGTCGCTGAAAACAGGCTCATTTGCAGGTACCTTGATGCGTTTGCCGGTGACGACATTGATGACGTTGTCGCCCTTGCTGATGGTGCCGGAGTAGATGCGCATGTAGGTCAGCTGCCCAAAGCGCCCCTCCTCCAGCTTGAACGCCAGCGCCACCAGCGGCCCATCGCGGGAACACGGCAGCGCCACCGGCTGCTCCTCATTCGCAGCATCCTGCGCCCAGCACATTCATCAGTGCTGCACGACACAATCACACAAGCACACCACATGTTAGTCATCCCTGTGCACAGGTGGCGAGGCGCGGCAGCACATTGTTCCCATCGATGCCCCACAGCCAGTTCCTCACACCCTTGGCAGTCAATCCGCCACTCATCCCCCCAGGATGCCCATGACGTTCAAGGCGAGACCTAGGTCATCTTAGGTGATGCTGAGAGGCAACATATCAACATACCCCACTGCATCATAACATCAAACTTGCAATGCCAATGGGCATTCCTCAAGCAGCAGCATCTGCAGGGATGACCGCTGAGAAGGAGTGCGGTGGCGGGAGTGAGTGATCAGAAAGGGCGCGCACTAGGGCGCTGTTGCCGACGTCTGAGGGGGCAGGAAGGTAATCAGTGACACCGTCCAACAGCAGCTGCACGCCCTTGTTCTTGTAGGCGCTTCCCATGAAGATGGGCACGAAGGCGAGGCTGGTGGTGGCGCGGCGGATGGCGCCCCGCAGCGTCTCCTCGTCGATCGGCTCCTCCATCAGGAACAGTTCCCCCAGCTGCTCGTCCACGTCAGCCAGCTTCTCCACTAGCTCACTGCGCTTCTCCGCTGCCCACGCCGCCTGCTCCGCCGACATGGGCACCTGTGCGTTTCCACTGGCTCTTATACTATTGGGTTTTAAAGCCATGTATATAGGAGGTCATTTGACATTGGCAGGTATCCCAAGAAAATTAGATTGACATGCCAAGGCATGCCCTCTGAGAGCTGCACATTGGCCACCCGGGCACCTTCTCAGAGAGGCCTTGAAGGCAGTGAAGCAAGGGCAGTATACCTCGGTGATGGTTTCTCCATTGGGGCCCTCAAATGCGAAGGCCTTCATCTTGACGAGGTCAATCAAGCCCTTGTGATCCTCCTCCAGACCAATTGGCAATTGCACAGGTGCGCAATTTAGCCGCAGCTTATCCTGCATCTGACCTATCACCTGCGCATCCACCAAAGCACGTTTGGGACTCAATGCTCTGTTGTCTTGTGCCTAGCAGCGATGTGTTACATCGTCGGGGTAGGCTCTCAATATCTCATAGATCCTCACCTTCCAAGGGTCTGCACCAGCCCGATCAAGCTTGTTGATAAAAGCTAGGCGTGGAACGTCGTATCTCCGCATTTGCCGATCCACTGTAATGCTCTGACTCTGCAAACCACACACTTGAAGCTTAGCAAGCTTCTGCTAGAGAGCATTCTGCAAGGGCTGCACTGCAATTGGTACCGAGCCTTTGAATTAAGATAATGAGAGGGCAATACACTTGAAGCCACTGTCAAAAGCTGCCCATCTCGTGGAAGCTATGCAGGTCCAGCTCTGTGCAGGCAGTGCGCTGCCATTCCCTTATAGCTGACACTGCCAGTAGGACTCACCTGGACACCACCCACAGAACAGAGCACGAGGATGGCCCCATCCAGCACTCTCAGCGCTCGCTCCACCTCAATAGTGAAATCCACGTGACCCGGAGTGTCAATGATGTTGATGGACGTGTCCTTCCAGGTGCAGTAGGTGGCAGCTGACTGGATTGTAATTCCCTTCTCTCTTTCCAGGTCCATGTGATCCATCTTCGCCCCAACACCGTCCTTTCCCCGCACCTGCATGGGACAACACGGGTCTCTGACTTTACCTGACCGGGACAGAAGGGTCCAACATACTCAAAACAATCTAGAAGAGCACATTCTTCAGAAATAGGGATAGACAGCATGCAAAGGTGGGCTTGCCTCGTGGATTGCATGTATCCGCCCAGTGTAGAACAGGATGCGCTCTGTCAGGGTGGTCTTCCCAGAATCAATGTGCGCAGATATTCCGATGTTGCGGATGTGAGACAGCTCATCAGGGTCATTTGTTGCTGTTTGAGCGAGAGGTAGAGCGCTGAAATTCCTGTCCAGTGCAACAGGAGCCTCCTCAGCATGTTTCAATGGCCAGGGGCAAGTTGTTGTGTTGCTTCTGAAAGATGAAAGGTACAGGCACATATCGCGAGGAAGGCATGTTCAGATGCCATTCTCTGTAGTTTGCCGAAACCAGGGACTGACACCTAGAAAGGGTAACTTGCTTGGCACGACAATACTCCAACTGATTTCACCTGAAATCATTGTAGAAACAATAAGAAGATGCCTCGAGAGAACTTACCGAAGGAGTGTAAGTTGCTGGGGAAACAAGCCGCCAAGGTTAGGTCTGAGTGCTGCGCATCCAGCTATTGTTCGATCTGTTGATAATAGCCGCAGCGATTGAATCCCTGTACCACTCTGACTAATTTGATTTAGACATTTAGATATTAATTTGAGGCATCGACTGGAAATAAGAGTCCTCATGGTGGGAAACTAACCGATTCTAAGTGATAGTTATCCGACTGATTCCCTCATAGAGAACCTTCACATCTTGTCTCAGAGTGATTGAACTAATTCTAACACGATCGAAAGTCTAGGACGCCCCGTTAAGGACTGCTCCTTCAACAGAAAGACTGGCGAAATAAGCTGGATTCGCACGTGTCCACGTCAAGGCCACGTGCCTATAGAGGGTGCATGTGTGCGAGAGGGGTGGCTGGCTGCTGCACAACTCATTGTGAATTGATTGGCCTTGCAGGCAACATTGGACATTTAGAACATGTCGTGTAACATATTGAGATCAACATCCATTCATTGCCCCATGCATGCCCACTAGTGGCAGTACTGCCCGTGATTACAATTAATTGTAATCAGCAGTGGCAGCCGTCTACAATATTGTAGACGGCTGCCACTGGCACATATACACGGTGGCACGCTGGCATCATCATGACCGCAACATCGTTTTATAAAGAGCAGCAAGCACACAAGGCTTGAAATTTTGGAAATAAGTCAAAATGATGCAGCCCGGCCCTGCAAATTTCTTCTCTGCAGTTGCTAGTATATATCGGGCGCTGAATGATCCAATATGTCAGATTAAAAAGCCTTGTGACAAATTTGATCATCTGAGACAATGCCTGACACTGCAAGTCACCTCAGGAATGCAAAGCAATTCGGCCATTTTCTGCCAGGGATCACTTGTTACTGTACACAACCTGGTCCTTCCTCGGCCGATCCTGAACAGAGCCGGGCTTGACCTTTGAAGCCTCGTGGTGTGCCAACTGTGATGGAACATTTGCCCCACTCTCCTCCAGCAGCCGCTTCAGATCATAGAACACCTCCGTGTCCTGCATCAACAATCACGACCAATCAGGAAATCCACCAATTGGGCCAATCCACCACCTTCGAGATTCTCTCAGTTTCCAAGAAGTCATTGCTACTCCAGGTTCCAGATGCAAAGCAGAGGGACCAAAGCGGCACTCACCGACATGGTGAGGAAGGTGACAGCGTAGCCGGTCTTGCCAGCGCGCCCAGTGCGGCCGATGCGGTGGGTGTACTGCTCAATGCTGTGGGGCATGTCGTAGTTGATGACAGCCGCCACGTCCGGCACATCGATACCGCGCCCGGCCACGTCCGTGGCCACCAGCACGTTGTACTTGTCCTCCCTAAAGCCTGCCAGGCCTGCCTCACGCTGATCCTGCACAGATTCCAAGCCAAGCAGGAACTTAGCATGCATGCGCAAAAACCAAGCAAAAGGGCATGCGCCCAATAGAAGGAATGCACCAATATATCGATGATTGAGGTGAAGTAGATCCCCCACCTGATAAATCAACAAGAGTACTATTGCAGAGCATCAGCTACAGGGCAGCAAACATGCTCTGTCCACAAGCTTACAATGCTTGAATGTGGCGGAGCAAGGCAAGGGGTGATGCTTCAGGTGCATGGCTGGGAGGGCGGACCTGGGTTTTGCCGCCGTGCAGGACGGTGCAGTGGTAGCTGAGGTGGTCCAGGTGGCGCGACACCACATCACAGTGCGTCTTGGTGTTGACAAACACGATGACGCGCTTGTCGCCGACGCGAGACAGTTGGTCCTCCAGCAGCCGCAGCTTGTCGTTGTCCTTGCAGATGACCACCTCCTGCACCACACACACCAGCAGAGCATTCAGAACCCCAGGCATAAATCCCACGGCTGTGATACTCGCAGTCGCCATGATAGACCATTTGATGTGAGCAGAATCAATCACGCGCTATCTGCACTCAATACAAGTGATGCAGGTAATGGACAAGTAAAGAAAAACCGAAAAGGGGTGGGACTGGCCTGGGTGACGCTGTCGGTGGCCTTGCCGGCGGAGCCGATGTTGATGACAACGGGGCGGCGCATGTACTTGCGCGCCAGGCGCTCCACAGCCGGCGGCATGGTCGCGCTGAACATGTAGGTGGTGCGGTACACGCGGTTTTCCTCCAGCTCCTCATCCTCCTGCTCCGGCTTCAGGTTTGTGCTCGGCATCGCGTCCAGCACCCCGCGCACCTGCGCGCACACAAACAGGGAAACCATTACTGAGTTGAATTTCAGTAATAATCTTTATAGACCAGAAATGCTACCTTCCTAACCAGGAAGGCATGATGCATAGACAGTCACACCGAGGCAGCAGAAATGCACGCCGAGCAAAATTGCATGCAAGCACTTGCTTGATGACGCAAGGGCAGAATTAAAAACATGTGCTGGCATCCCTGCCAGGATAGGACATACGATGGCTGTGGACTAGGGCCCACAACGAAAGAAAGTAGGCTGACCTGGGGCTCGAAACCCATGTCGATCATGCGATCTGCCTCATCGAGGACGACGTAGTTGCACTGGTTGAGGACGGCGTAGCGCTGCTCCAGGCAGTCCAGCAGGCGGCCGGGAGTGGCGATCACGATCTCACACCCCTTGCGCAGCTTGAATCCCTGGTCCTCGATGCTCTGCCCGCCCACCACGCTCACCATGCGGAACTCCGTGAACTGCGCCAGCTTCATCGTCTCCTCCTGTGCCACACACCAATTGCAATCTTTCTACCTATTTACCCAGGCCAAGCCAGTTTGAAATGCACCATTCAAGTCAAACACCCAGCAGCCACGCAATATCCACAATTTCGCGTGGCATTGTGCGCATGCATTCAGCAGGGTCAATGCCTCACGCCGTAGAACCAGGGGGCATCAAACAGTGCTAGTAGTACTTAGAACCCCCTGGCTGGACAGAACTACAAGAGAGTGGGACAAACTGACCTCGATCTGCTGCGCGAGCTCGCGAGTGGGTGCCATGACGACGGCGTAGGGGCCCTCGGCCGCGATCTCCTCGGTCATCTTGGGCTGGTTCATGATGTAGACGAGCATGGGGAATACAAAGGCGGCCGTCTTTCCGGAGCCCGTCTCGGCCACGCCGATGACGTCGCGGAACTTGAGGCCCAGCGGAATGGCCGCCATCTGGATGGGCGACGGCTTCACATACTTCATCTTCTCAATGGCCTGCGCGGTGCACACCCTAGCGCTCAGCCACCACTCCAAAACATCCATATGATGATGTCCATGTCCCCCATTACCTCGAGAATATTGTGGCGCCCCACACTCTGAAGTGCTCTGAATCAGTGGCAAGGGCATTCTTCTGCCTAGTGCGTGGCAGATTTTTTGTAGAATGCATGATCATTACCCACGGGTGAGATGCCGTGGAGTTTTTGTTGGATGATGGAGAGTGAGTTCCCCAGAAGAGCATGCATGCAAGCTGCTGCACAGGTGGCATGAGGCGCACATCCATGAGGGGCTGGGGCAGGCCGGCCTCCTGCCAGTTGCGGATGGGCAGCGTCGAGCCGGTGTTGCCCTTATAGGCGATGGAGAAGTCCTCGCGGAAGATGCGCCAGTCGCGCTCCGTCATCTCCTCCCGCGCCTTCTCTGTCCAGTGCTTCTCCACGCGCTTGTCAAAGTCATCGTACATCTCCGCCGCCTGCTTGCGGTCCTTGTCCCTCTGCCTGTCCTCCTTCGTCTCCGACACCCCCTGCGCCACACCACCCAGTCATGCTACTGTACCACTCACTTGACCATACTGGGTCCCGCCGAGACCGTGGTGTTGCACAGGTCCATTCAACAACATTGAGACAGTCAAGCAGGACCTTCACAGGTGCAAGATGATGCATGTGAGAGGCAATCAGAAGTGCGGCAGGCCTTGCTACACGAGGCATGCATGGCCAGGAGAGGTTCACAGTGAGCAGGGGCGCACCGCGGACTGGCGCATCTTTTTCATGACGTCGTTCTGGTGGGCGGCGGCGGCCTTCATCTGCTCGCGGCGGTCGACGCCGGCGCGCAGGCCGCGGCCAAAGAGCAGCGCGGCCTCGTGCGTGTTGTTGTACAGCGGGTTGAGGTCCTTGGATGTGTCGTCCTGGGCCTCCCAGTCGAAGTTGAAGCGGAACTTCTCGCTCGGCTTCAGCGTCTTCTTGCGCACCTTCTCTGTGCCCAGGTACTGCTGCTTGATCAGCAGCAGCTCCTTCTCGCGCTCACGGTCCTGCACATACACGCACTTGGCTATAAAGCAGAAGCTCACCAGTAATGCTGCTAGATCGCCACAGTTTGGTGGCTAGCTGCCAAGAAGCCAGCCAGTAAAGCCTTGCTTGCGGCGCACGAGTGAGACAATTTATTCCAATCTCCGCAGTGCAGGCAGACAAAAATAAATGCATGACTGCATCAGAAACATTGCACTTGGCAAGGTGCCAAGAGTGAGGATGCAGACCTCATTTCGGCGCCGGCGGTCTTCTTGTGCCTTGCGCTCCGCCTCGCGCTGCTTTTCCTTCTCAATGCTGTCCACGTACGCAACGTGCTGCTTTCTGAGCTCCTCCACCCTGCAAGCCCATAGGAGAGGGGTCACAACTTATTATTTATTCATCACACGCTTTTCCTGCCAAGAGGCAAGGTGCGTCCTGCAGACAAGCTGCAATTAAAGGCTGCCACAATCCTACCCCTTGATGGATATGCCAGATCTAAGCAAGACCCAAAGGTCAATATACAGCACCCAATATGCAAAGCACCCTGGCAATCTCGTGAAAGATGCCGAGCATGCAGAGGGTGTGATGCTGCCTACTTCTGCTTCTGCAGAGCTGCCTCCTCTTCCCTCCGCTTGAGTGCAAGCTCCTCACGCTGCTTCTTGGACAGGAACTTTGGCTGCGCCCACGCCAAACAGCCGGTCAGCATGATGATAGCAGGACAGTTGCCAATCATGGCCACGCAGGCTCGAGACAATCTATACCACACATCAGAGATTGTACGTACCTTTGCCTCAGCTTCTTGCTCCAGCTGCTTCTTCTTCAGGAGCTCCTCCAGCGATAAGGGCTGCAGAGACAGCCAATCTATGTCAGAACAGAAAGCAACGCAACCAACAAGGTGGCCGAGCCAAGTCAATTCCAAGCAGCAGTCAGATAGCTGCATACCTCAGCCTTGTGATTGCCATTGAGCTCCCCAGACGATTTGCCATTTGACAGACCATTGCTCTCCTTCTCAGGTGCACGCGAGCTGTCCTTCGTGCTTCTGTCTGCTTCCCTTCCCCTGTCATCTCTGTCCCCGTCTCGTCTTCTTGTGGCAGTGAGATCCCTGTCCCGATCTCTCTCCCGATCTCTGTCCCTGTCCCTATCCCTGTCCCTTTCCCTGTCCCGGTCCTTCCTGTCACTGGTTTCCCTTTCCTTCCCAGCATCGCGGTTGTCCTCTCTCCTCTCTCTATCCCTCTCCCTGTTCCTTTCCCTGCTGTCAGGGCGCCGTGCTCTCTCCCGGCTTCTGCTGCGCGCTCTGTCCACTTTCCTTGCAGGACTGGCACTTCTGCGTCTCTTGGGATCCCTGGTCTCTGCTCTTGCATCCCTAGCCGCTGGACTGCGTTCCCGCTTTCGAGCATCTCGATCCCTATCTCTGCTACGATCACGACGCCTATCGGCGCTGCCTTCAGGAGATCGCGATCGTGCCATCACTTGTCAGAAGCTGCCAGAGCTGCAACGAGTTGCGACAGGCAAGGAAACCGTCGGAATAATGACAAGCACACTCCTGTGACAGCCGTAGAGAGCTATTTCAGGGGAAAAGTGGAGCAGCACTAGTGGGAGAATTTGCAAAGTCAGATGAAAACTCCTGGCGATCTTAATACAAAGCGCAGATTGGCGACATCAGACGACTGTTTAAAGGTAGACTTAACAGAGTTGTTCTCTTCTCATATATAAGATCACCCGAATGAGACACATGAAGCTTCACAAAATTGCATGCCTTGTGCCTTGGCACCCGTCAAACGGCGTGCTTATCCGAACACGCAAATAGCCCAAGAATTCCCTCAGCACATTCATAAAAATCCAGCATTGATTGTAATATCGGCAGGAAGGTCGCAAGAATATCTCTCAGGCTGTTTTCTGGGCTGCTTGTGGGAAAACCTCATACAAGATGTCGATATTAGGGAATGTCGATTGGCAAAAACAGGGCAGTGAGGCCTTCACCTATCTCAAGGGCCTCGGAAATAAGGTCAAGCAGATGGCATTACAGCTCACAGAGGTCGAGATAAAGGTTGAGGACGCTACCAATAATGAACCTTGGGGCCCCCACGGGAAGGATATGGCCGGTAAGGACCAGGGGTGTATCAAACCTCGATTCCCTGTCTTTGTATCCCATTGGGTGTTGCAGATAATTTTGGGTTCGTGCAACATTTCTGCATGAAATTGTGGTACAACCCAAGCCAGATGTCTCGGTCAGCTGAACCCATCTAGGGATGTTTTTGATTCAGCACTATTGTGCAACATTCTGACAAAAGATATCTATCTATAGTACGCTCATGAAATCAATATTGGAATTGCAGCATTGATCAAGACTCTATGTAGACGAAGTGGTTGTGATCAAGGTCCTGTGTACCTCTGCAGAAATCACCAAGGCGTCCTATGACATTGAAAGCTACAAGCAAATCATGGGAGTACTGGCTCGGCGCCTGCAAGATCAGGGGGAGGAATGGCGGCATGTGTACAAGTCACTGCTCCTGCTCGAATACATGGCAAAGCACGGTCCCCAGAAGGTACCTCAGAAGGTCACCCAAGCACCTAACACACCTGCAAGCGCCAGCAACTTGGCATCGGAAGCAACATGCTTGCAACTGTTGCTGGTGGTCCTCAGGTGGTGGAGGAGCTGGTGTCCAACTTGGGAGTGATTGAGAAGCTTACCTTCTTCGAGCACAAGGATGCCAATGGCAAGGACTGGGGCCTGAATGTGCGCCAGAGGGCCAAGGAGCTTGTCGCTCTTGTGACTGACTCCGATCGGATGCGGGCTGAGCGCCAGAAGGTCAGTTCCTTCTCACACATCTTGCCATTGCCACAATGATTAATGCAATCTGCAGCCCTCACTAGAGATACACCCCTTTCTTGCAGCATTGACCTCTTGCTGGTGTGTGTTGGTTCCATAGGCCAAGGCGAATGAGACAAAGTTCACAGGAGTGTCTTCAGAGGATATGCGCAGCGGCGGCTTTGGCGCCAAGTCCTCGCTGGGGTATGGCTCTTCATCTGGAAGCCGGGGGACCCTGTCTGCTGGGGGGTCGTCCACCAAATACCGCGCTGGCGGCGGCCTGGGCGGCTCCGGCTTTGGCTCTGAAAGCCGCGGCACCCTCTATGATGACTATGATGAGCCCACTCGCAGTGGGGACACCGAGAAGGTGCTCTCTCGCATCTCTGGAGGGCCCGACAACTGCAACTGACCTGCATGCGCATGTCAGCCTGCTCATTCTGTGCCTCATCCTGCGCAACAAAGCTTGTGTGTTCCTGTTGTGTGCTTGCCTGAGCTGTGGGCTGGCGTGCTGCAGAAGGATCCCAAGGAGGCGACGCGGGAGCGCATAGAGCGGCTGAAGCGGGAGGGCGTCGTGGACCCCGATGACCCTGGCGCCATTCCCCCTGCCCGCGTCCCTGCCCTCAAGCCCGGCCGCATCGCCGTCGCAGAGGTGCCATTCCATCATTGTGCTATCATGGCGCTCAGTGTTGCACTGTGAGCTGGTCTGATGGCTATTCAAGTGTGGCATCCGCTCCTTGTCTGCCTCCCTATCTGTTGGATGTAACTACTGCATGACTGACAGGCCTTTTTGCATACATCGTGCTGTTGTGTACATCTTCGCGTGTGATGGGGTGTCTTGGGAGCGATGCTTGGCTGGGGTGGCAGACCAAGGCGGAGGAGTCGCGCGGCCCCAAGAAGCTGTCGGACGTGAAGGTCAATCCCAGCATCGCTGCCTCGCTGGGCCAGCTCCCGGTCCCCGCTGCCAAGACCTCCAACGGCACAGCACCAGCCTCGCAGACCACTGCAGCCCCATCCGCCACTGACCTGCTGCTTGAGCTGGACGCGCCTGCCACAGCACCAGGTGACCCACATCGACCCATGAAGTTCTGGGTGCCATTCTACTGTGACTCATGCTTCCTGACCTTTGAGGCTCATCACTTTGGTCTTTAGACCTTGTTGCGGTCACATTGAGGAAGAGGCAGATTGGGATACCAGCAAAGGGTTGCTAGATATTGTAGTCTGAGAGAGTGTCGCTGTCTACTGCAGCTGCAGCTGCGGATGACAATTCCTGGAATGCGTTTGAGGGGCCCCAGCAGCCGGCAGCCGGCCAGGACTGGCTGTCGTTTGAGGGGCCGGCCTCCTCCAGCGTGGCCGCCGCCGGCAGCAGCGCTCCCTCGGCTGACCCCTTTGCGCAGCTCTCCGCACCGCCCGCTGCCGCATCGGCTGGCGCGTTTGCATCGGTGAGGCCCGTCGCTGCAGCTGCTCCTGTGCATTACGGGGCGTTCTGAGTGCAAACCTTGAGCCTTGAGCACGTTGCTCTTTCGCGCAGGATCCCTTTGGGCACCCGGCTGCAGGCCCCTCTGTCTGTGCCTCGGTGATTGTGCTGATATCACACATGGATGGAGAGCACAGTCATGGAATGGACTGTTTTGCCTAAAAACCCTTCATTCATGTCAAGATGAACGCAAGACACACAAGGCAGCCTGAGTGCCATTTGCGGAGGAAAACCTGCATTGGACTTCTCATTCTGAAACACGGATCGCCAACGTGTTTCCCTGTTTGACAGCTTGCGCTGTGTGTACAGGGCTCCTCAGGCCAGCTGGCAGATCCCTTTACGGCGCCGCAGCTGCCACAGGGAGGGTCAAGCCGGGCATCGTCAGCCTCCAAAGCACTGCCAGAGGACTTCTTTGGGATGGGCCCGCCGCAGCCAGCGCCCAGCATGGGCCTGGGCTTCTCACAGCAGCAGCCTCACCAGGTACACATCGAGCTCTAACAAACCCTGCCCTCACTGAACAGATGGTCACGGTTGGAATAGCCCTGACAGAAGTCATTTCTAGGAACGAGAGATGGCCTGCCAAGAGCACGCGGGTAAAGCAAGGTGGAAAGGTTTCTGTGATGCCGAATGCTATTTGGGGCTGAGGGGCATTCCTGGGTGTCTGCAGGGGATGGCAGGGGGCCTGTCGCAGCCTCAGCAGGCAGGATCTGGGTTTGGGGCGTTCGCGCAGCAACCTGCCCAGGGCTTTAGCAGCTTCCAGCAGCCAGCTGGGAACTCACCCACCTGGTCGCAGCAGCAGCAGCAGGGTTTTGGAGCGTTCCAGCAGCCCTCCATGGGCTTCACTCCTACCTCAGGGAATCTTGGTTTCGGTGCTTCCAGTCAGCCCAAGCCTGGAGGGCAGGTGAGCTACTCACCGCTGTACGCAAACTGAATGTTAAAAAGGCAAGCTCTTGAGACACCAATTTGACTACGCCTGCCTGCTTGCTTTCTTGAGGCACCTTGAGACGTGTCAGTTTCAGGACCCTCCAAGATCTGCGTCATGAGTTCTGTTTGCGAGATGAAACTGATGACACGTTTGGCGTCAACAGGGATCTTCAGCCCTTGGCACAAACGCCCCATTAAACCCAGCAGCCCCGCCTCTTGGGGCCTCCTCCAGAGCAAAGGACCCCTTTGCAGACTTGGCAGCTTTCTGAGCGGAATCACCGTGTATAAGAGATGCCGTACTGTTCACATGTGTGCGGGATCAACTTACTTTCATAATGTCTTGATGTCGCACGTGCGCAGTGCACTAAAGATGTTTCAATAACACACTCTGCACAGGATTTACATGCTCCGTCTAACATGAGACGTCAGGATTGAATATGCTGAAACTTTTGGTCTGCAGATCTAAATTTCCATTACATCCATTGATGTGCGTCCTCTCAGGTGTTTAGATTGAACAGGGTGCTTAGGTGCCACTAACTGTCCCATAGCATAGTTCTTTTTATGTAAGCTACAATGGCACCACAAGCTCAAGCATGCTGCTACTCAGCTAAGAGGCTTCATTTCATTCATACTGCTGTGTAATCAGCGAGCGCTCTGTTGTGCTGACACATCTCGGAGTCAAAATATTGCGTATTTTCAAAAGGGCAATCTCCCAGTACAGGTTCATGAACATCATGATCATTTAAGTTTTGAATGGAAATGCCACATACCGTTGATCAATCATGATGCATGGGACTGCAGCGGAAAACGCAAGCTTTTCTCGCTGGCAAAGCGGTATGCAGGACTCCATTGGATCAGGACTCAGGACAAAATCGTGCGCCAGAGACTATCCTACTGTGCTATCAGCATCAAAAAGTAGAGGACATGTGCAGTCACTCTGGCAAACTCGCAGACCTGACAGATTGCTGACACTGATGTTCTAAGCAGAAAGAGAGAGAGAGAGAGAGAGAGAGAAACATTACATCGTGCCAGCCAATACGGGCTGATTAGATGTGCTGTGTTCTACACACTGGTGTGCCTGAGCAGAGACCGGACAAGACGTGGTCACATCCTAATGTTGTGGTCAACAACAACATTCGATCTACTAGTTCCAATAGAGCAAAGGTAGCACGGAAAGTGTCAGCACAGCACTCCCAATCACCGAGCAATCATCAACACACGCAGACATGGATGGGTCCAGCAAAGCCACACAAAGCAGCGATGTTCCAGCTCATGAGAACAACCTAACCATCACGCAGGACGCCGCCAAATCCTACATTAGATCAGATGTGCCCCCACAAGACAGGAAAGGGCCAATCACAAGTAGGGTGCCCAGTCCCACAAGAGATCAGCGTCCACCAAGTACTGCTAAGCTACTGAGACAAGACCTGAAGGCTTTGGCCGCCAACAAAACCATCAGACACCGTCAGGTTCGCAAAAGGGCTCACCTCTGCTGGCAGGTGTTCAAAAAGCCGCAGGTGTTCTAGAAACATCTAGTGTAAACACGACTGGCTCTTTGAGGGCCCCAGTACTGTCCAAGATGCTTCACACGCTACCAGCCTGGGCATTTTCCGACGATAACTGCTGGCTCATATGCTTTACTCCCTGGAACTCACGATTAACGTGTATGAGTTCAGCCGATGATGGTGCGTGCCGCGCTCTTCCTTTTTATCGTGCCTCGACATAGGGCCAAGAGAATAATGAAGTATTTTATGTGTCCGTGACTTATTTGTGTTGCGCTGTATCGAGATACATGCTTCAAAGCCCAACTTTCGTGGCTCTTCTGGAAGTACCGTCGAGGGTCGCCCCTATCGGAGCGCCACACACATTGCCGTCTGAGAAAGCCTCCATGCTGAGCTGCTGGATGTTGAGATCACTGAAAGAAAACAAAAAGATAATTGGACCCAGGCCCGGCACATGCCCATGGGATATCACACCGCGGCACTGCGGGGCTGATTTGCTGGGAGCATGACTTCAGGGGCAGAGGTGGGCTGTCTGGGTGGACCAGAGCCTGAAAGGTTGTCGTAGCAAAACATTGGGTGCTGGGTCACCGTGCCATTCTTTATCGCTAGCCCCAACTCCGCCGATGTATATAGCATCCAGATGCCAACCTGCACATCAGTTAATGTTCTTTTCAAGTCTGCATTCCTCTTTCTCTTGCTTAGAAAAAGCATGCTCCAGCATTGGGTGATCAACACCCTGTCAAACGTGCAAAAAAAATCCAAATGGAGAGCATGTCTGTGAGACAGACCGCAATCGTGAGGATGGCCACTTCCACAATGCCCCAGGCTATGAGGGCCCCAGCGATGGCCACAGCGAGCACCACTGTGATGATGGCAGTCGTCCTAGCATTCACCCCGCACAGCAGCAGCAGGTCTGCAAATATCCTCCCCCCATCGAGCGGGTAGGCCGGGAGCAACAGGTTGAAGGCCATGATGTAGAGGTTCAGCTGCAGCACAAACAACGCTCTTCATCAGAACTTCCAGCATAAATCTTTGCACAGGCAGCATGCTGCCCTGCTCGCATACGCGCAAGTTGGAAGAGTGACTGTCCTCATTTGCACAGCTGCATTGTGTTGCAAGGAGTTACCTGAGAGGCTCCTGCGCAAAGGGCCAGCCAGAAATGCTGCCTGGGATCAGGCACGCTCAAAGATGGTGTCCATCCGTGGTGGACCACATGGGAGGATACCGCCAAAATTGCAAACCATATGAAGAACTGTGGAACGTGCGTCAATGGTCCTGAAATTGACACAAAGAGATCTGTCTTTGGGGACGTTGAGTGCCCCACAAAGGCCAGTCCTCCCAGTGGCCAAAGAAGTATTCCGTGCACCTCAGCACCCACCTGCAGAGGATTATTTTTTGTGACACAGCCATGTCTGGTTGTAACACCTTGATGGGTTGTGCAAAATGAGATTTTTTTGTTTGGTACACACAACCATTTCTGGAACTCACCTTGCGCGAGGCCAGGCAGTGCCCAAGCTCGTGAATGTAGACCGTCAACAGCAGGATGGGCCCGAACAAGACAACAGCCCAAGCCACTGATTGTGCAGAGACGAAAGCTTGGCTCAGAACAGCCAAGAAGAGTGCGACAACGAACAAGACTGCAACAGCCAACACGTTTTCAGCTGCTTCTGATCTAGCTTTTCGCTCGTAGGCATAAAACTCAATTCAATCTGGATGTAACACCGCTACAAATGGACACTAAGCTGGCAGAAATTTGCACAATTAACGTGTAATAGTTGATTTTTCCGAACGGCATCTGATCATAGACTCGGGTACCCAACCAGGCAAATATTCTGGAAGCTTGAAAGATGAGCAGAGCAGTACTTACAATGAAGACGAACAGGAATGCCGAACAAGCTGCCCAATGGGATGGTGCATGCCGTGAAAAGTGGGTCTGCCATGTGGATAATGGTATCCTTAGGGGGGTATCAAATATTCATACCAATTCTTATTTGCTCCTTTCTCTGCTGTGTTTGCAGCAGTTATATGGTGCTTTACAAAATAAACTAATTCTGTGAACTTGTCTTTCGCAAAACTTCTCAAGCAACAGATGACCACTGGCGTTGCCTATTCTGGCACTCATGCAGCCAACTTCTAGACAGGTATCCACAGGCAGAGTGCTAGGAGACCTTGAAGCAGTGCCTACCTTTAAGGCCAGAACCCATACTCAGGCAACTAGACCTGATCATGTTCTCGTTTCCGCTGATGCGCTCCCCTTGATTTCTCATCTTGTTGTGAATACTGGTAGAAAAGACTCTGATCATCATCCTATTGAGATGACGTTGCAAGTGAATGTGGCTGCCAGTGTTCCCTTACCATGTATTGGGGCGCCATTGTCACGAGTGAAATGGCAGCCCAGTGCTAGGAATGCGTATGCTGCTGCTTTGCGCAATGTTGCCAGTGCAAGTCTTGACGCCTGCACAGGCCATGCTGTGGCTGGGGAACTTGATGCAGCCTTTCAGACCCTGGAGGCGGGGATCCGGGAGGCCGCAGCCGCGAACAGCATGCCGGCCCGCACCGGGCGCCATCAGCGCAAGGCGCGTGCCGACGCGCCCTTCTTCGATTCGGAGTGCCGCCAGCTTAAACGGGACGTCCGCGCCCGCGCGCGGTGCGGGGGCGATCCAGCCGAAGTGCGCGCGCTGGAGCGTGCCTACCACAACACCGTCCGCCACAAACGGCGCGCTCACCGGCTCGCGCAACTGCGCCGCCTGCTTGATGATTTGCACAGTGACCCCCGAGCCTTCTGGAAGCGGCTCAAGTCTCAGCAGTCTGATATACCTGAGCAGCTCAAGCCAGTGCAATTGTGGGCTGGCTATCTCAAGCGGGTTGCAAACTTGCAGTTGCCACTCATTGCTGAGCTGCCCCACTTGTCTTTCCCTGTCCAGCCCAGTGCTCCTGTTGCCCATGTTGATGCTCTCAATGCACCCATCTCTCTTGGGGAGGTGCTTGCTGGGCTCAAAAGTTTACACAATGGTCGTGCCACCGGAGTGCAAGGTTTACCAGCTGAGCTGTTTCGGTATGCAAAAGATGAGCGGGCGCCAGGCATGCCTCCTCCGGAAAATGTCCTGGCGCCTGCTTTGGTGGCTGTGCTGAACTCTGCATTTGTGGCTGGGCAAGTGCCACCCTCTGTGAATGGTAGCCTGATCACCCCTGTGCACAAGAAAGGCAGCAAGCTTGACATGCTCAATTATAGACCCATTGCCGTTACTGAGCCCATCATGCGCTTGTATGCTGGCATATTGAATTCTCGTATTCTGAAGTACACAGAGGGGGCTGGATTGCGTGCAGCCACACAGGCTGGCTTTAGGCCAAAACTGTCTACGGCCCACCAGCTATTCACCTTGCAGCATTTTATCGACCGGCAAAACCATGCTAAGCAGCCCTTGTATTGTTGCTTTCTTGATCTGAAGGGTGCTTATGACAGAGTGAATCGGGTGTTGCTCTGGGAGAGTCTGCGTCGCCTGGGCATTGATGGCCGCCTGCTCTCTGCCATTCAGTCTTTGTATGCCAATTCTACGGTTGCCATTAAGATTGGGAGCAGGAAGGGTCCTAGTTTGCCCTCTGAGACAGGATTGAAGCAGGGTTGCCCCCTTAGCCCAACGCTGTTTGGCTTGTTTGCAGATGGCCTGCACAGGCACTTGCTGCAGAGGTGCCCTGGGGTTGGCCCGCAGTTGCGTCCTGGCAGTTGTGTACCAGATCTAGGCTATGCCGATGACTTTGCTTTGCTCGCCACCACACCTGCTCATTTGCAACGCTTGATTGATGCAGCTGCTGAGTTTTGTGAACAAACGGGAATGGTCATCAGTGTTGACAAAACAAAGATTGTGGTGTTCTCTTCAAGTTTGCCAGGACCTTTTCAATGGCTTTGTGGTGGTGCGCCTTTACATTGGGTTCAGCAGTTTGAGTACCTGGGTGCCCATTTTGACGGTGCCCAAGGCATTAATCTCACCTTTGGCAAGCTTCACAGGAACATGTGGGGTGCGTGGGCACAGCTCAGGCAGCAATATGGGAAGTTGCATTGCAGCATGTCAGTTGGCCTGTTGTTGCGCCTATATGATGCATGTGTGCCGCCGACTGCCTCCTACGGTTGTGAGGTGTGGGGCCTGCGCAGCCTTCCTGGTGGCGACAGCCGGCGGGGCCGGGCTGCCTTGGCCTCCTCTCACCTGAAAATTCTGAGAGACATTGCTGGCGTCCCCACCTCTGTGCATGGTGCCATCTTGCTTAAGGAGTTGAATCAGCAGACCCTTGATTGTGTGTGGTGGCGGCGCATTATCAAGTTCTGGAACAATTTGGCTGCCTTGCCTGCAAATAATTTTCACAGGCAAGTGGCCCTTGATGATTGTTGGGATGCCATAACCCGTAATGTTAAGAATTGGGCTTGGGCCTTCATGCGGGGCTTGCGCCGGATTGGGTATGAGTTTGTTATTCGGTTTGACACCCTTGTTCCTGTGGAAGTTGATGCTGTGATGCAGCTGCTAGATGCGCAAGCACTGCAGGTTTGGGATGACATTGACATTTGCCCTAGGACCTGCCCGTCCAGCAATGCCACCTTGTGTACATATCACAGATGGTTTGCTAGGCCAGCTTGTGTGCGCCACCCTTGCCAGCTCTTACAGCAGCCTTTGAGTGCCCGTTGCTTGCGTATACTGTTGAAGTTCAGGATGGGTTGTCATAGTCTGCCCAATGTCTCGGGCCGCTGGGCAAGGATTCCCCGGCCCCAGCGTTTGTGCATGCGTTGTGCCCAGCAGGTTATTGGGGATGAGCGCCACCTTGTGTTTGAGTGCCCTGCCTTGCAATCTGTTCGGGACAGATATCCTGGGCTGTTTGGTGCAGCCATTGTGACGATGCAGCAATTCATGTGGCAGTTGGACATTGTTGGTGTTGCATATTTTGTGATGGATTGTTTTGATTATTTGGATGCTGCCAGTTCATCCAATCAGCCCTAGGCGGCTGGAGTGATGTAATCTTCCTTCCTTCCTTCCACATGCCTTCCCTGGACATCCCCACTGCTGTTGGCATTTGAACATTCACTTCACGAATATCCTGCCACACCTGATCCCTGCCATGTTCTTTGCAGACACCTTGCACTGTCTCAAACCATTCACTAAGCGGGCTGTGGCAGGTCTCCGGGGTCCAAACCTGTAGGTGAGCGATATGGACAAGTCCAGGCTCTCTGTGTAATGGGCCCATCGTGGCGGAAAGAATAAAGTGTCTCCTGGCTCCAAGACCGTTTCCACAGCTTCAATCTGCACGTGCACAGCACAGGCTTCACCACTCATGATTGCTGCTCGCTGCAGCTCAATCTGGAAGTTGACAGAAGCAACGCATAAAGCTTTCAAGAAGTTGTTCATGTACCACATGATCAGTGACCTTTGCCAGATGCTATGCCACTCAGAACTCTACAGACAAGGAGCCCATACTTCCTTTTCAAGATCTTTGCATTAGCAGTCATTTGCACACCTGGTGGAAGTCTGGAAAACGCTTCAGGTCGGGCTTTGCTGGGTCCAGCCTGCAGCGGCGGCGCAGGATGTGCCAGCTGGGGTAGGGCTGCAGCTTGCTTAAGGCGCTAGGAGGGTACAACAACAACCGCTTCCTCCCTCTGATCTGCACCCAAAAGGCAGCCTCATTCCCATGCCACCATGTGCAGCCTTTGCATGTATGCGGCATGTTGAGCTTGGCAGTAGTGGCAACAATTGTTCTATTGAAACCTATCCCTATTGGCAGGGGGCTCCACATGCTGAGTTTTACCTGTGTGAGGAAGCTCGTGTGGCCGTCGTAATGTAGCGGGCTGACAGCTCCTGAAGGGGACAGCCACATCCTTGCCACTTGGCGCACCGCCATTCCCTCCTCTGGGTCACTAGGATCTGCGCATGGGACACCTCAACATATTTTCCTCATACACCCCACAGGAGATTTACTTGAAGAGTGTGGTGGCACATCTGCAACAGAAGGGCTAGGTCATACCCGGCTGAGTGACACAGTTGAAAGGGGGCCCATTAAGATCCACATCTGGCAGGATCTCTGGCCACAGCGGAGACTGCAGGTAGTAGAACTCGCTGCCCGGGTAGATCAGGGGCAGCAGTGTGCAGCCTGCCTGCATGCGCTGCGCAAATTCGTGCAGTGGCATCCCGGGCACCAGCATGCTTGGCGCAGACTGTGGGGAGCGGAAGGCTAGATAGTAGGGCATCAGCCGCGGCTCCACAAAGGTGAAGCGAAGGCTCGGCGCTATCCTGACTTTCACTGTATTGGTACCAACACGTCAAGTCAGGGCAAATGCATTCATGGCTCAGCTACTGGAAACGAAGGAGCTTGCAGCATGCTTCCACTTATCTTTGGCGGCCATGCATTTTTGCAAGCCAGTCCAGCGTCCATTTATGCACTGCTGGCCAATGCCTGACGGCGCCCTTGATCAGGACTGGGCCGCAGTCATTCCCTGTGGTCCCAGCAGCATACTGTCGGAGGTGCCTCTGGGCCTCTTGCTGCTGTCCTTCACTGTCCCAAGCGAAGGTTTTGACTGAACCTGAGATCCTGTCGCAGAGCCATCAACACATTTATTATTTGGGAGGTCATTTGTGTCAGCATCCAAGCACAGGTATCCTGTCATATGCCGACCATCATGCCCAAGAGGTCGAATCTCAGAAAGAATACAACATGGATATTGTTACCCGGAATACACGTCAGGGAGAGGTCCACGTACAACACCCGCTTCCAATACCTCGTCACAAGTACTAGACATTTTATGCTTCCAACATCATCACCTTAGATATTTCCAAAAAGAACGAATCATACCTCAGAGAGACTAGTGTCAAGACGCAATGAGTTTTGTTCAAGCAACAAGATCGCAAGCACTCGATAGAGTCCAGGTGAGCGACGACTACATCAAGAATTATGAGCACCGCTGAAGCACTTGCTTGACGTCTGCCACGTGCCCCAGGTGGGATAAAGCATCTGTACTTGATGAGATATGATCCTGGAACCACGTACTGTTCATTGCTGTATAATGCATGCAAATGTTGCCCATATCATTTGATGGTAGCAATGCTCCTGGTATGCATGCATGAGCCGGCGGGCGCCCGGTCCATCTGCCCCCATGCGCATGTTGGGCAAATGATCTCGCAGTGGCTGTCAGTGGATCCATGGGAATGTTTGTAGACCTGCCTTTAGTCCCATGCCGTGCTAGATTGCGCAGAAACACGTTCATGCTGACAGCACATGATTGCAATGCCCTGGATGGTTGTCACGCGCACGGTCACCGGTGACATGGCAAAAGACAATCATCTCAGCTGAAATCAGAATAGCTCGCTCTCTGTTCAACTTGAACAAGTAGTCTGCCTCAATCCAAGCCTGTCTCCGACAAGTAGCTAGATATTTCTGCCTGGATCCTGAATTCTCTTGAAGAATTCTCAGATTCCAATTGGACAATAATTACTACATAGCAATGACAATCCTTGGGTGCTGCACAGCGGCTGCAGCTGTGCTATCCCAGGCTGTAGCCTGGCTGTACTGCATCTGATTGGTTGACAAACTGGCCACTCCCATCACTTGATGGGATGACGTAGGATCATGAGGGCAGTCAACAAGTCGTTGGACTGTTGCACAAAAGACTTGGACTTTAGTACTTGGTTGTATCAGGCGTCTACATTCTGACAGCGTTCCAAAGCAAGAACTTTGCAAGAGGCTGAGCAAACACCGTATGTCTTTGGTATTTGCCGTGCATACATTCCCCACCTAAGTCAGGTCATGGCACCAGCTTTCCGAGGTTCAAAAAGAATTCACTTCCCCTGGTTAGAACAACATTCTGCGAGAGGCTGTAACACTCCCATCAACAGCAATGCAGGGATTATAACAGAGGCCAACTTGGCTAGCAGCAGGAGCGCCGCGGCATTTCCTTCTCAAACGCGGGGACTGCTGGTGTGGCTGACTGCGGTGAGGAGGGCCGTCTGCTAGGGTATCTAAATTCCTGAGCCCTGATGGTTGGCGAGGACGGCCGCTGGTCTTGCGGCCACTGTCTCTGCTCCGGCGACAAGCCTGCCATGTCCTCTGCTACTGTCTGGAAGAGAGCATGCACCCCAATACCTGCACATTGCACACCAACCTTCTCAATGAACGACAGGTTGCTCGTGTTCCTCTGCGCACAGCATGCCGTGCAGTGGATCCTTCTCAACCCATTATGGATATACATCCACCCTCTGAGGCATGCCACCAGGGGGTACTAAAGACTACTAATCTGACTAGTCTTTAGTACCCCTGATGCCACGTATGATGGGAAGTCAACCAAATGGACACACCCTGCTTGGCCGAGGTGACAAAGACCCGAGGAGCGCCATAGCGGGGCACAAGCAGCTGCTTTGCATACTCTGCCACATCCTCATCGCTGACCTCGCGCCGGCCAGATGTGGACGTCAGAGAGGCTGCAGAAAACTGCCTTGACATTGTGGAACTGTCTCCTCCTGCCCCACAGCACATGATACCTCACATCGCAGCAATCTGTGGATGGCTCGCCCACATGACTTAGAATTGCTGTCCAGACAATGTGCTTGACCCAAACATTTGTCGCACCATTGATAGAGTCATCAGCTTCGGCATCTGGGTCCGGTTGCGCTGTTCCAACAGCTGGCAGCTCCTCCAGCTGATCACATTTTGTGAGGGCAATGTATATCCTGCAGTCTGGCTGCGTTTCCCTCACTTCCTCGACCTGCAGCATGACAGGGGATCGAACTCCCAATCGATTGTAATGTTCAGCATGTGAGGCCTCATCTCGGACATGGGCAGTCCCATTGCCATGTACAAAAGCAACCCTTGTGAGTAGCACTTCTGTACCCAGAATTTGAGCTTGTCAAAGCTCTTGCGATCACAGGGATCAAAGCAGAGGATTGCTGCCTTGGCCCCGTTGTAGTACATTCGACTGAGGCTCTCAAATCGCTCTGCTCCAGCTGTGTCCCATATTCCCAGAGACACAACTCGCCCGCTGTGCACCTTGATCTGGGATGAGAAACACAGCTTTTGATTGAATAGGATGTAAGCCAACTTGTGCAGCAGTACTAACTGAGTTGTGTTTGAGCTTGGTGCCGTATTAGGCTTGCTCAATCCAATCGGCAAAGGAGCAGACCTTTTTGGCAGCAAAAGCGGCCCCAATAGTATTTTTAGGAGTATTCTCAAAGATGCTATTGATGTATCTGTCAACGAGGCAAGACTTTCCTGCGATACAGTGGCCACAGATCTCTACTGGTTACTCGGTGCACCGACAGGCAACGCGTGATCAAGCCGTGCAGATTGCATTTTTCGTGTACCACACAATGCCTGACGTATTAGTCTATCTGCATGCAATATACAATGATACCAGCCGTCTTCTTGTCAAAATTGCGTCGGTGGTACGGCATAATTTATCGCACCTACACTCTGCTGTCCCAGTAGGACAACCTTCAGATCAACCTTTGCCATTACTTATTTGCGACACAGATGCGATCTTAGTATTGTGCATCCAACCATCGGAGGCAGCTTGTTCAGCCGATGAGTTTGCGGTTACGACATCATAGAGCGGCTCCCCCCAACTTTGTCAAGTTAGAAATCTAAATGTTCGCAGAGACGTTAAATTAAACACACCTTATGTGTAGGTTTGAAACTTGGGCATTGTCCGACGCATTCATCATTCTGAGTGAGTCTTCGTGAGGGTTCCCGAGCAGGGTCAGGGATTTAATTAAGCCACTAGCACCTCGGCGACGGGCGTTCCATCCCATGCGACATCCCCAACCCCCTCTCAGCACATCCCTTCAGCATCCCATCACACGTCCTGTCATACGTTCCATTGAATGTCTGGGATGCTCATGGGACGGAACGCCTCCCAACAAGAGGCCCCTATCATCCCCTTCCATAAATCCAGGAGACTGCTGATTGGAAGTCTGGTGTCCGCATCATGCTGGGCCCCCCATGATGGGGACAGTGCAGCCATGGGGGGGCATTTGGCGCAAGAGGACTGCCAGATTGACTCAGGCAGGTCGCCACTGGCAATCCAGAACTTTCTTTGAAAGTCCAGTCTGGAGCACGTGCACGCTCAAAGTCCAAGAGGTCCCAACATGAGACACACAACAGGCCAGACCTTGTGGCAGGGCCTTGACGCCAGTCACTTCTTGAGCACAATGCAGCGGTTGCCTGAGCCGAGCGGGACCTCCTCCAGCTTTGCAACCTTTTTGACCAGCTTGGTGAAGTCGGTCTTGTGCTCCGGCGTCTTGATCTGGCGCTTGAACCTCGCTGTCAGCGCACTGGAAGCGATTGGTCCGGACGCCTTGAGGAACTCCACAATCTCCTGCTCTGTCACACCGCCGGAACCACTCCCTGCTGCAGGCGCCGCCGCAGCCTCACTGTGCTTTGCCTGCATTGCACAGGAGGATCTGGTTCAGCAGGAGCATGGCAGAGTATTCATGCTACATGGCAGCTGTGGCAGCTCTGTTGCCCTTTGCCTTGTACCCATGCATGGATGGCTACAGAGTCCCTCTTGATAGGAGGTAGGCAGCGCGCACCTTCTTGGCTCCATCGGTGGCCGCATCCTCGGCTTTCCGCTTGGAAGGCCGACTGTCCGCGGCAGCCTGAGCCTGTTGGGACGACGAAGGCCCTGGCATGGGGCTGGGAGTGGGAGTCCTTCTCCTGGCTCCCTGCTGATCAGCTGTGCCGACCTGCAGATACCTTTATTCGTCAACTTCATCCTTTTTGCATGCCTTGTTGCTTGTCACAGGTTTCACTCCTGGCACTGACAGCAGGTATTCTCCATATCCCATTTTGCTGCACACGCTGTAGTCATGCTATCCCTTTTCTGGCTATCACATCTTTGAACACGGAACTCCCCATATCGTCCAACGCACATAACCTCCTGCATCAGCCAGATCTCAATTGCTTGGACGCATTCAGCCTGGGCAACCTGCAAGGGGAGTTGGCCAAAAAGTCACCTTCTTAGGGGCACCAGCAGGAGCGTCCAGGTCATCGTCATCATCCAAGTCATCGTCGTCGTCATCGTCATCATCTGAATCGGACTCCAGCCCCGTGTCCTTCAGCTTGCTCTGGATGGACAGCCCAGGTGTTGCCCGCCCATCCTCATCGCTGTCAGTGCTTCTCAGACCCCTGCACAACACGCCAGCGCAGCTTCATCAAGCTCCTGAAAATGGCCATGCTTGTGCTTTGTCCATTTTCTGAAAACTTTAAAACTTCAGACTTGGGGGTGCAGCGACCGCCAGAGATGAGAGAGGACTGCCTCACAAATATACATCATGCAACAACATCAGAATGACCCCACAACAGGTTTTGTGAACAGCAATGACACAAGGTGGATGGCTGACTTTGGAGGGGTTGGATTGGCATCTGCGTCCTCCCCTTCCTCGCCCATGTCCACATCATCATCCGCGCGTTCGTCCTCATGCTCCCAATCCTCCCCCTTCACTTGCTTATCCACCTGCAACCACACCACAAGTTTACATTGCTGGTGCCACTCATGCAGTTGGGGAAAGTCCATATGCTTGCCTGTCACACCATGACAAGGCCCCTGAAATTTGTCAGGAGTTTACAGCAGTGTCCAAAGGAGGTTCAGTTTGAAGCTTACAGCGGTGTCCAAAGCACTGAAGGAGGTTCGAATTGAAGCTTACAGCGGTGTCCAAAGCACTGAAAGGGGGTTCAAATTGAGGCTTACAGCGACATCGGTCCCCTCATCAGCTTCGCCCTTGGGCTGCCCGTTGCGTCCGGGGGCGCCACTTGCTCCGCCTCGGGCCCCCCTCGACATGAAGTCATCTTCATCCTCTTCATCCCTCTCGGAGCCTGACGACGCATCGTCAGCCACCGTGCCACCCTTCTCATCCGCTGCACATGGTGATGCACACAAGCTTCAAAAGCTGCATGACCAGATCCTAGCCCTGCTCTTGCCAAGGCTCTTACTGGCCACTAACAAAGGCCACACTCCACCACTTTCACTTTTCCATTAAATAAAGTTGTGAAATTGTGGGAATCACCTTGGGCCACCAGAGCAGCCAGTCTACTATTTGCCAAGGGGAAGTTAATCCTGTCGCGGCTGTCCATCTGCCTTTCAGCTTCCTCCAAGCTGTTGACCTTGAACCTGCAAAACAATGAAAACTTTCGGTCAGATCTGGCGCCGTCATCAACAGAAGCATCTGCACTTGGCAAGAGCGAAAGCAACTGACAAGTATTGTGGCACGTGTGCTCACTTCTGGGTGGGCCGGAAGCTGTAGAAGTCATCAATGGGGATTGCGGTGAAGTTGTCACCCTCCTTTATGAGCACAAAGTAGCCAGCACTGGAGGAGGCACCAGCAAGACCCCCCTCTGGGAGACCTCTGTGACTCAGACTGCCATTGCTGTCTAGCAAGCGCCATGGACGCGCCCTGAGGATGCAACAATAATCCTTTTGTCAAGCTGGTTCATCCAGCTATACCAGGGCACCATCATGCATATGTGTGTCCATGGACACAGTAAAACTACACTTGAAGGGCGGAGAAGAGAAATACCTGCTAGCTTCCAGCATACTCCTGGTTGTGTCAGTCTCTGCCTCCTTTTCCAGTTGCCAGCCAGCATGCTTCTTCTTAGCAAGTCCTGGGTCTCCCTGAACACCGGGAGCACTCATCAAGACCCAAATACTTCGACTGCAAGCCTTCATGCAAGGTTATTAAGTCATGCAGGATGTCATAAGGTTGCATGATCGACATCGGGAATATTTGAAGTAACCCTCTGTGGTATCCTTGCGTGCTCACCCCAGGAAACATCCCCATGAAGTATTTTGTGATGCTGTGCTCTGGGCCCGGTGCACGCAGGACAAATTCCTGCAGCAACAAATGTTGGCGTGTCCTTATATGCACGCTCCATTATGCCACAAGGAAGTGCCCAAAAACCTCAAGAATGCAGGGGTATAATGCAGTGGGTCTTTCAGTTGTGAGATCACCTGTGCAGCATCGGCTGAAGCACCATCAGTCATCACGTATGTGGCAAATGTGCACAAAGAATTTCAAAACGTCTGCTGGTGTTCAGCGTGGCTGACCAATTTCCGAGCAACCAATTTTTACTCGTTATGCAATTGGACACTCATGGTGACCATCACTGTATCCCTCTTGCTGAAGCAGACGACAGACATGAGCGATCGAAATTCTGTGTTCCCTATGAAGTCTTGGGTCACGCCAAAGGACTAAGTGAGCCGTGGTCATTAGCAATGTCCCCTACCAATGGCCTGCCCACGGTAGTGCCCCAGTGGGCCAGCAGTGGGCAGTTAAGCTGGGCTGACATGGATCCAATGGGGTGCCAAACTTGCTCGTTCTTGGCTGCTGTGTGCTTGGCTTGTTCTTGGCTGCTGTATGGACCTTCAAGTCGAAATTTGCAACATGCATGCAAATGGGTCACGCTGCCACCATGGCATGATCATGATCATGATCATCAGTACCGGCGGTCATTGTTCTGATACTGCGGCTCATGAGCCAGCTGATCAGCTGGCAAATTTGGGCAGCGCACCCGGACAGATCTGAGGGCCCTAGCGTGAATAGGGCAGTCGTGCGGCCGCCAATTGTGCCAAAGAATACCAATTGACATCCAATTGTATACATTTATATATCTAGCAGGGCTGTTGCAATTGCAATGACACTGTCAGCTGGCAGCTGAAGCTTCCTGTCCTTAAGGCCACTTGTCCCAGGCATCAAACTTCGAATGTGCAGGCACTGCCAATGGCATACAGTACAGAACCCTAAGGGGAATAGCGAGGATCAGCGTCAGCTCATATCACCACCCGTGCGATCTGGAGTATCGAGGATCGCACTGCAGTATTAGGTCACCACGGTGGTTTTATGCTGCATGCTTGCCATGCCAGAGACTGTGCAGAGCTGCAGCTCTTGCAAGCTCATCTCGGCTAATGCAACTCAGGTACTGATTGACTGCAATGTGGGCAGATAGGGTCTAACGGGCCCTGCATGCTGTTGTAGAAATCAACCATCACTATCAGAGACAGCGTTAGCAAGACATACCACACAGCAGCACAAGAGGTTGGAAAGAGATTTTCACGAGGCGCTTGAGCTTGAACCCGAGGCCATTACAATTCCTGCGTGCTGGTCTTATCGGTCTTGCCATATGGTTCTTTGGCATCAGAGGACCTGTGAGATAGTGTACTCAGTAGAGTTTGACAAAGTACAACTGTTCGAGGTATCGAAGGAATGTCATCACCAACCTTCTTGGAGTACAGGACGAGTTCCACTAACAATGTTGTCTAATCAAAGAGGAAGGGAATAATGTACCTCACCAGTGTTAACACAATTGAACAAATGATAACCTGTAGCAAGCTGGTGTCATCATGATCTAGGACCCATCATCAGAGGTCACCAGGAGCCTGTGTAATGTCATATGCTCGTTCGTTGCCAGCGAAGAAAGACAGAAGCTTACCACGGTCACCATATTTTGCAACGAGAACGCGTCATCCCACATGATTGCTCCAGGAAGATGTAAAAGGTTATCATCAACCCATTCGCCAAATCGCTGCAGTCACAGATAGTCACACGTTACTCAAATTGTCCGAATGCAGCTGAAACTTCTATGGTCGGAATGGGAGCCAGGAGGAAAAAACAGAGATGCTCGTTGATGTACCTTCCGTGGCTTGGCATGTCACAAGACGCGCCAGACGGGCGTCGGGTTGCGTGGGGTGCGATCTTGTCGCAGGACAGAGCTGCTTTAGGGTAACACGCCCGGCTCGACATGGTACTGCCTTGCTGTGAAGGTTGTATAGATATACTTTGCAATGGCCAGCCCAAGCGATTGCAAGGCCATGCTTCGTGAGGGTAAAAATAAACTCGAACTGAAGGGTTAAATGAGCTATAGTAACAGCCAGAAATTCTTAGCACCGCGCTTTAGGTAGTATACCGTAGTCGGCACCATAATTCCCGCACCCCTCAAAATGCGTGAAATGTTTGGACCTGTTTTTAAGAGTCTTTCCTTCATTGAAATGATGTTTCATCGTCACCAATGGGTCGGGCTCAGCGAGAGCTTTCCAAAACTGGTCTCAAAATTGTCATAGCATTTATGTTTTGCATTTTAGGGTCTTATTTTTCGACCCTTTTTAGAAAGATAATGATTTCATGCGGGAAATGTGGTGCTGACTACGGTAAGTGTTTCCTCGGTGCAAATTATCGGTGTTCACTTATAGGCCTGCAGGTTCTGCAAGACTTATATATAAGACGGCTGTATATATATAAGACGGCTACACCCTGCTTTCGATACTTCTGTCCCCTTTTGCATAAACCCTAGCCTCAAGATGACTTAATCCTCTTGCAATTTGCTTGCTCTTGCTTGCTCCAAGGACTGGCTCATTGGATCCCAAAATTAGCATCTTTAAGAAAGGTGTTAAACTCTCTCGGTATCTGTGCAGCAAATCAATTGCATCCCATTTGTTGCAGCAGTATGGGAAAAGATGAGCGGTTCGACTTGCCCGTCTTGGACAACAATACATTCGATATGAATGCGACAACGGGCTTGTTGTCCCTTCATTGGTCCAAGGACCTCGTTGACACACCAGGAACGGTTCCGGTGCTTACCGCAGGGGCCCTTGTAGGCGGTGATTCTGAACTCCCACCAGACCACCTGGTAACGTTTTCAGCTTCCTGTCGATTTGTCAGATTATTCGAATCCACGCATTATTGCTTTAGATCTGCCAAAGGCCTGGCATCGCTCAGATTCTACAAAATATATGGGGCTTACACGAGACTGTTTGTCTGCAGTTCTCCACCCTCCTGCAGACAGGCCTGCTGCATGATATGCTGTGCCTCTACAACAAGGAACAGAGGCAATTTCATACCCTGGTCACGCTTGGCCCAAACGTTTGCGGCCATCCAAGGATCACGCATGGAGGTGAGCACTTCTGCAACCTGAGCTCCTCATATAACTGCACACACCTCATGATGGCTGATGCGCGACGCTTGAACTTTTCGCAGGAATGACTGCAGCCATCATTGATGAGACGCTGGGCGGACTCAACTATGTCCTGAAGCGCGAAGGCATTGTCCCTCACGGGCCATCCTTCACAGTGCACCTAGAGGTGCATTTATTGCCCTGATCTCCTTTCATGCTCCTGATTGCATCTTCAATGACAGCAAGGGTCAGAGAACCAAGGGTAATGTAGGCACATTTCTAGTGGAATTCCGGTGAGAAGTTTTTGTGGCCTGCAGGTGGCGTACAAGGCGCCAGTGCCAGCGTCGACATCGCTGATCTGCACAGCAAGTCTCCAGTCACTGGAGGGCCGCAAGGCATGGGTGCTGGCAGAAGTTTTGGACAGGCCCGGCGGCACCCTGTACGCTACCGGCAAGGCCTTGTTTGTGATCCCCAAGGACAAGATGCTGCCGCCATCAAAGGCCTCGGAGAGTGCTGCTTTTGCAGATGCTGACGCTCAGGCAGGGGCAGTGCCCGAGACAGAAACAGAGGTGGAGAGGTTGAGCCTCCAGCAGTAACACAGCTGCTGGGCCTGGGACAGCAAACTCTCACCTTGACCTTCAGACAGCAGTGACGAGAATTGCTAAGCCAAATATTGGAATTGAGCGGCTGAACAGAAGAACATACACTTACGGTGTGAAAGGTCAAACAATTGTGACATTGAGGTTGACGTAGGCCAAGCAAGTGCTGCTTGAACAAGGGAAGAACAACATGAACTGAAGAGCCGCTGAAGATGTAGTACTCATTTCAAGAGAGTTAAGCACATTGGGATACATTTGTTGATTGTTTAGTGTCTGTATGATCAATGCATGAAGGAGCTGATCAGTCCTAACATTGGTGTTGCTCGTCCATAAAGGAATCATTTGTCAAATGGATTTTCACTTGGTCCAGACCCAATAATTCTTTTGTAGCTCTGCTCTGCTGTACAGACTCTACACAGTAAGCACAAGCTTGTTGACAGCTACGATGCTCAGTTCTATTTGCCATATTGCCAAGCATGTCTACTGGCTGTCAGAAACAATTTTCAAACAAAGATCACCCACTTGATTCCCTACTGTGTAAAGCAGTACGATTGCGATTGGCAGACAAAGCTGACAATTGAGCAAAATGAAGCTGCTGGTGGCAGCAAGAATGTCAAATCTAGTGCCTTTCGGCAGGTCAACTAGAGCGGTAAGCACATGGTGTCAAGTTCGATTCATTTCTAGATCTCTTCCTTCATTGATCCATGAGGTTGCTTTCCCTTTGATTCCCCAAGCCAGAGTTTCTACATTTTGAATTGGATTTGGGGAGGCTACAACCCACAGGAACACCGCAGCGTCGGGCTCTGTAGTGTTGGGCGTACCAATCAGGTGATTCCCATTGGAAAGGATCAGAGAGATGCATTTGCTGCTGTGAGCCTGGGGACCATTCTGTAGGGGATTCCTCCATCATAGTTGCAGCACCAAATCGAGGAAATGTGCGCCATTCTGCGCCAGAAGCCGTCAGCAGCAGTCATGTCACTGAAGCCGCGGAAGATGCCTGTCACATTCCTGACCATGAGCACCTGCACACATCCATATCACCGTTGAATTGTTGCAGATAGCAGAAGCTGCATATGCATGAACTGAGCATCAAATTAATTTTAAGCTCCTTGCAGGTATGATGGCACACCTTGATGTCATCGTGTGGCTGCAGTGTCCTCCGCAAATCCTCATCGGACAGATTTGCAGGTATGGTGAGCTGGTTGCCCATCCTTTTCGCAGGATTCCACTCCCTCGTTGCCACTGGCACCACCTCCACTTGGTTATCCTGCGCTCAATTTGTTGCTTCAATTCTCCGGCCACCAAGACTGGTGGGCTGTTGAACGCCTTGAGCAAAATTGTGTGAGTACTGCTGACGTCCAAAGGTGAAGTTGCAAGTCACCTTGAGCTCTGCGGGTGTGTCGGGGTTGTCCCAGAAGGAGTGCTCTCGGAATGCTATGGGCGGACCGTAGAGCTGCGGATCATCGCCAAAGTGGGATGGGCGCAGAATTTGATCCAGCGGGCACACAAAGGGCAGCTGCGTCCGCGACGCCCCCGGTGCCCGACACCTCTCCAGCGGACTCCTGCACAGATGGCGCACTCCTGTTTTCAGTCTGTCCTTCACTGAACCTTCTGTGAGCCTTGGTATATTGCGAGTGCCCATGGACCGAGCCAGGACTGCTTCACTGAATTCAACATGCGCAGTCTTACAGCCTCAGTACATTGCTGGGTGCCCCACCACAGACGGAACCAGGACTTTCTTCAAGCATCCCTGCTTTGCATGTCATGCAGGAGGGTTCCCCAATCAAGGAAGTGGTCCTTATAGGCCGTGGGGTGCAGATCCCCAAACAGAGGGATGCACAACGTTGGTGTGTGGGTTCTGGGACGGATGCGCGCATGGGTTGAGTGGCGGCGGTAACTCACCAGAACCGGTCGCAGAAGCAGACGAGGCGCGGCATGACCAGTGTCCGGTTGAGCGTCATCGCCATGGCAAAGCCCACCACCAGCTGCGCACAGCTTCGCCCTTCAGTCCCCCCACTCCAAACTTGTCTTCATGCATAACCTTTTCGATTATCATGTAATAGATTCCTCAAGGTCAAGCTCGTCCCTAAGGGACCGGTGCATTACAAGACCCCTGGGAGAGAGGGGCGCCAATCTCCCAAAGAGTGCTTCATCAGCACACGAATGTCATTGTTCTTCCTGAGGCACTGATTGTACAAAGGGATCGTGTTGGCAGAGGACCTGCAACGCACCTGGTCGAGCTGGTGCTGCATGAGCTTGAGGTGCAGCTCGACCATGTAGTCGTTCTTGAGGCGCTCAAAGTTGTCGGGGATGGCAGGCACATGGATGTCCAGCGTCAGCAGCCGCTTCTGGTCATAGTACTCACGGTCGTCCAGCCAGATCTGCTCCTCGCGCAGCCGGTTGCGCTTGGCCGCCACGCCCCCAAACACATAGCTCATGTGCACCGCGTACGGCGACACGCGCATCACCTGCACACGCCAAGACACGCTCAAATGTTGCAGCTCAAGATCATGCATCCAAGCACAGTATGGAAGTACACATGCACTATCGCCACTCGTGACGCGATCTAAGAAGCAGCACACTTGCATGTAGTGAGGAAGGGAGCTGCAACACGTTCGAAAGCGCTTAATCCATTGGCATGGTATGGTGAAGCTGCCACGCAGAAGAGATGCACAGAGCAGTGAACGGTCCGTCTCAAAGGAGCTGGCGTTGCTCTAAGACAATTCTCTCATGCCTGCGCCAGTATTGACAGGGCAGGGTGAAGCAATTCACCACACCTGGACAGGAGGAAGGAACAGCTTGCTTTGGATATCCATGCACATGCAGCAAGAGGTGTGGTCTACAGAGCAGTGACAGGGGGAGGGAGGGAACAGCGTCGCACGTCATGGAGGCGCTGAACAAAGTAAGAGTGGCCGTTGGCGAAGCCGGAGGCGGGCAGGATGCCGAAGGTGACGGTGCGGCCCATGCCGTAGAAGACGCGCCAGTTGTCCGGGTGCGTCTTTAGCGGCTTCACTCCGACGCGCGCGACCGCGTTGAAGGCCTGCTGCTCCGTGCGGCTCACGTTGCGCCGCAGCGCGCTGTCCCACGCGTCCATGAAATTGCGGGCGCCGCGACCGTGCCGCAGGAACACGATGCCTGCAGCCGCCGGGCCGGTGCCGTCAGCCGCTTGTTCAGCAGGATGCTCAATTGTAATGGAACTGGCATCTTGTGACAGCAGGAGGCCAAAAGTGGAGTGACGGCATTCAGATATCGAGAAATTTGCCCGCCAAAGCATGAATATCATGCCTGCAGCTGCGGGACCAGCACTGTCAGATGCTTGCTGGCAGCAGGGGTTGCCACAATGTGACACTGCACAGAGGGGCATTTGTGATTTTTGGCTGGCTTTCCTGCCCGGAAAGGCGTTTTGTTTAGTGGGCGTCAAGGTTGGGGGAAGGCACCTGTGCTCATCTGGTGGCGCAGCGCGGCTTCTGGACTCTCCAGGCCGTCGTCGTCCTTGGTATTCGACACTCCAAGGCCATCTGTCGCCACCAGAATGTCCGCCTCCTCCAGCCTGAGGGGGCCAATCAGCTTGGGTGACCCAGGTGCGCGACTGATTCGCATGTGCATATGCCTAGGGAGATGCAGGTTGGGTCGGCTGTCCATTTCGCACAGCAAGTGTCAGCGCGCACCCTGAGAAATAGTCAGAGGGGTCCCGGAGCCAGACCACATCCGTATCGCACAGCAGCGCATCCAGCCCAAATGTGTTGAGCGTCTGGGCCACGCCGATTTTGTTGAAGGCCAACATCCGCGCTGCTTTCGTGCCCTTCATCAGGTGACCTGCACCCCCAGAAGTTTTAAAAGCCTGCATCATGCGTGCTCATTCTACATTGCAGCTACAAGCCTCCTTTCTAAAGCTCAGGGAAATTTGCAATGAAATGGGCATTCGCAGCTATGAGCCGCACCTTGCATGTCAGAGTACATGCCGGCCTGCATGTCAAAGTATGGAATGTTCTGCTGGCGCAGATACTCCGACACCTCATTATCCATGGCCCCTGCCGCACAGCAAGAGAATCTGTCACTGCATGCCTTGCAAGCACATACCCATCACATACCCTCCCAACTTCCATGATTATAGCTGCATGTGAATTCTTACTCCGTGGATGTAGGCGCTCACCTATGAGGAAGTTTTCCACCTCCAGGATGGTCAGGTGGTGGATCCAGTTGCGCAGGAAGTCCAGGTAGGCAGCGCTGGCCCACGTGACAAGCACAATGCCGTCGCGGCTGCGACTGTTGGCCAGCGCGGCAGTGAGCTGCGCCACAGGGGCCCTGTCGGTCTGGCCCTGCAGCGCTGAAGGCGATATGCTCGCCACATCCTGCTTGTACAGCGCCTCCTCCCCCTCCAGAACGCCCCATGTGAGGTTGAATCCCAGCAGCGCCGGCCGCACCGTGATGTTTTTTGCCGCCTTGTCCGAATCCTCGCCGACAGCCGCCGAGCGTCTTTTCTTGGCCGTTCTCCCACCTGCTCTCTGCTTCCCCGACTGCTTCCTCTTGCTGCTTCCCCGTGGCAGAGATCTCCTCACCCTGCTCCCAACCTGCTTTGGCCGGTCCATGGAACCTTCCTTGGCGGCCGCCGCGCTCCCTTGTCCCCTGACAGTTGCTCTCCTCAAGCGCGCAGGGGCCTCCTTGGTAGCCCCCTCCTCTCCATCGTCATCATCAGCTTCTGACCATCTTCTCCCCTTGCCTGGATCCTCTAATTCCTGATCCTCCTGATCCTCCGGGGCTGCCACCTCCTCATCGCTGCCCTCTTCATATGTCCTACTGCGGCTGCTGCCTCTGGCTGTCTTCCCAATTGATGAGCCCTGCTCCGCAGTGACATCATCCTGATCACCGTCTCCTCCCTCATGTCCCAAACTGTCATCCAAACCTCCATCTTCTTCATCCTCCCCAGCCGCGTTGCCAAGTGATGCTCCTTGCCGTTTCTGTGCAAGATCTGAACCTCTCTGCAAAAGGCCTGTTGCTGCATCTTTGCCAACAGCTGCGTCCCTGCTGTACCCTGCATCCCAGGCTCCCTCCCTCCAGTCTGCACCCCTCTTGTGGCGCTGCACTGGAAGCCCCCTCGTTATGCTCTCTTCCTCAACCACGTCAGCCAATGTCACTGGCTTCCGGGTGATTGCCTCTTCATCAGGCCCCCCAGATTCACTGACATCCTCTGGAGAACTGGAGGACTCTGTTGCGCCGTCGTTGCGCTCATTGCGCTTCTGGAAGTGGACACGCATCCTGACTGCTTGCTTCCTGGGCAACTGCCTGGGGCTCTGCAGCTCCTCCGCCATGGCAACTTGACTTCTGGCATTGCCATCCGGCAAGGAAGCAGCTTGCCGCGTGTCACTCTGAGTCCCTGCAAGCATCTCTTGGTGAGTAGGGTGGATGCAAACAAGTACACTGATCACCCAACAGGGAGACGATAATCAAGCTTCCAGATGTTCACTATGTACCTGGTAATGCATCTGCAGGGTGTCGATTCAAAAGTGCAGAAAGGTCCGCCTCCTGCATCAAAGCATCACAAAATATACAGTTGTGTCTTTCGTAAGGCTCGCCACAATTAAGAAGGATCTCACGCAGCATCAGAAGCAAAAGACAGAAATGCATTGACAACCACCACAGAAAAAGATCGCTCACCTGATAAAGGTAAGAATATGCCAGTCCCAAGACCAGCCCAGTCGAGATGACTGCAAAAATCTTCCACAGCCTCATGGACCCCTCTGTCCTGATCCGAAAAATGTTGTGCAGGTTTTCATCATAGTATTGGTTACTTCACCACCAACTACATGATGGAAAGACGACCAACCCATGAACTTCAATTCTGAGGATTGCAATAAGCCGCAATACTCAAGCTTTCACTCCAACTCCATCTGGTGAGTGAGCGGCAGAATATCAGTGCAATACTTAACCTGCCTTGGAGAGCATGGACACCGGCGATCTGGACGTCTGAGATCCAGATTGGAGCTGCGCTTTCAAACCATCGCGTTGCCTAAATTGTCTCTGAGCCATTAATGTTCTCGTCTGCACGTCAGAGTTGGGGCCTAGCTTCTCGTCAAGATGAACTCCTGAGTGTCAAAGAACATCCTTGAGAAATTACACTCAAGTCAAGCCTGGCTAGCTTGGTGCAAGACATTGAGCTCCTGCCGATGCTTATATCCATGCAGATCTTAAAGAAGTTGTAAGGTGCAAGATTGCAAAAGATCTACTTGTCGAAAATTTAGAGATTTTGCGAGCATAGATGACGACTTTTGATCGAGGATTTTCTTCTTAATGTCACAGTCAAATCTAGACACATGGAAATCAGACATCTGGCGATGGCGTTTCTATGGGATTGCGGCGTATGAGAGTATTTTGTTATCACTAGTGTCATTCGTAGTGACCACAAGTTCCACTTTTGTCTGGAGCTTGCGCATCAGGGACTTATTTCAATCGCTGATCAACCCATGGCTATGGTGTCTTTTCATGCTCGAAATTGCCCTACTGACAGCTACATTGATAGGTACGTCCGCTACTTTGCGTTTCTCATTATTGTGACGCAATGTGAACCCCTACATGAGCCATCGCTGACGATCCCGTGGGACAGCAGTGTGTGCTGACAAAGTGATCTTGCCTACATCCTCTTGCAGCCCAGGCGCAGCTGCTGAGGGTCTCGGGGCTGCAGCAGCCTCGATGGCTGCGCTCGGGCTTTCGACTGCCCAAGTGGTTTGTGGAGCCAGTCGCTAACATACTGGGCCAGGTGCAGACAGTAGGTGGCCTGATAGACCTCTCGCTCTACTATGCAGCGTCTGCCATCACCGGTGCTGCCAGCATGTACTACTTCACATCGCTTCTTGGCCGAAAGGGTAAGCAAACAAGCAGCAGGAGCAGAGCATAAAACTTTCGCTCGCACCCTTTATCTGTCTAGACGGACGCTGAAAACATTAATTTGCTGCAGGAGCTGATTGGACATGGTGGTTTGGGCTTGTGCTTGGGGTCCTGCACGCAACAACAGTTCTCGCCAGGTCAGCTCTGAATTTGATGACTTCATAGCTAACTTTTCTTCTCTCCCAATCATGCTCAACGGCTTAGCAATGCACGTCAGGCTCAAGCCTGCGATGGCATTTGCAGGGGTAAGAACGTTCTAAGCTTTCCCATCATTCACCAGCAGCGCATCTTCAAATTGAAGAAGGAGCTGCCCAAAGGTGAGCACTTTTCTGGAAGCATGTAAAAATCTTGCATGATGCCTGCATGCACTGTCTTTGCCGGATGCGACATGCAATGTGTACTAGAGAGCTTGTGGGCGAGAAGAGATGACCTTGTGCCATGTGTCTGTGCAGCTGTGCCTATTGCAGCTGTCCTGCCCGTCATTGCTGTTGGCATCACAGCATTGCTGAGACTTTTACTCGTCAGCCAAGGGGCGAAATGGACATTGCGCGATATCATGCTCTCACAAATCGCTGGCTGGCTCACAGTCTTCTGCCTCTACATGGGTGAGACCCTTCTTGGACCATACCCAGTGCATTTGCACGTACAAACCCACTGTATGTGCAAAAATATGCTTTGAGAAATGAGCAACATTGTCTGAGAAGTTGAATTCCCCGTTCCTGTGTGCAGGCAGCTGTCTGCTGAACATTGTAATGGTGGAGCACCTGCGCTTTGCCCTGCCTGGAGACGCCGATCCCAATGGGAAGCTCTTTGCAGTCTTGCAAAATGACAAGGTAAGCTTATCCACCATCCACGATGTATACTCTTTATAAAGGCTGCCTATGCATAAGATGATGTCCTTGGAATCTCCTGACGGTGACCCCTGACCTGCTGTCACGCAGGACCCAATATGGCAAGCTCTCGCCCTGCAGGACCTGTTATACTTCACTCAGCAAGGTCCATCGGAGCTCTGGCGTCGAGCAGCCATTTTCAGCGATGTGTCTGGCAATGCTTGGAACACACCTGTGCGGTTTTGCCTGACAGAGGTGCTCCCCTCTGCACCAGCTGCTACTTGTTTTCTCACTGCTGTGCTACATCCCTGCCAGCATTCATATGCTGAACCTTCTGCGTTGCTGGTGCCCCAGGTGGAGAAAGTGGCAAAGCAGGTGGCAGCAGTACTGCCACAGACTGGGGCAAAGCCAGGCGAGGCGCGCCCAGAGTCACACTCGGCACCAAAGTGGAATGTGCATCCCACATCCACCAAGGTGACCAGACTTTTCAATTGCTCTTTCTTTGTCACACATGCATGCTGTCGGGGCCGATCAGTCTCCTGGCACCCCTGACTGTGCAGCACGCCTGACAGTCATAATTGTGTACTGCTTGCGTCATGATGAATGACAATCATGTGTGGGCTGCAGCCGCTGGGGGCAATGGGGCGCGCACAGGAGGAGGCGGCAGGGTATCTCAAGTCGAGATGCTGGCAGAGCGTGCAGTGCATCCGAGTGCTGGCTGCACTGAGCGTCGCTTCACAATCTGAGGACCGGCTTGGCACTGCCCAGCTGTCGGAGCCGACTGTGGGTGAGGACATATCTGGCTCATGCTGGAAATCCGGAGCAACATTATTGTGTGCAGCCCACATTTCTATCCACTTGTGGGTGTCAAGGACTGTGGCATGCAGCTGAGAAGGCGTGTTGACTGCGCAGGCGCCGTCACGGCAGTGCTGGCGAGTACAGTGTCGGCGTTGCAGGCTTATGCAAAGACGTGTGTGGCGGCTGCTCCCAGGGGAAGCGCCCTGGCACAGCAGTCCATGGGGCCCGATGCATCAGGTACTGCTTTCACTCCTCTTGTGCTTGCCTAGATCTGATCATAGTTCTGCAATGAAGGCCCATTTGAACTGTTAGACTAGGAGGTCGAGTGGACTGATGCCTCATTGGGGCCTTTTAAAGGCCTGAATTCTTCGTTGTGTTGGAAACTTTGTCAACTCATCACTCATCATTGATCCACTGTGTAGGTGCGATGCGGAGCGGGGAAGTGGGTGCACCAGTGTTTGCTCTGCACGACGCAGCTGTAGCAGCGCTGTACAGCATCCTTGGAGCCTTTGGGAGCGAGCTGATTGACATTGTGAAGAGCAGCAAGGCCCAGCTTCCCTTTGGGACATCTGCCGATGTGGTGGCCCTGCTTAACAGATGCGACAAATGCCAGGAATGAATCCTCCACAATCTAAGACTGATATGTTACAGTGCAATTCCCTTTTGGCATCCTGCTGCATGTAGCTGTAAGTGATAACGAATCCCAACCGAATTTTTCCTCTACACGCAGTACATGTTGTTGCATGTACACACACCTAAGCCTCTCACAGCCCTCAGCAGCAGTGCAATATTGCATATACTCCCACTCATGTCAACGTTAATTCGCCGGTCCACAACGAACTCTTCACATAATCTCAGTTCTCTTGTTGTCGATCTGGTCAGATAATTTGACAGTCATGACGTGCACAATTGTGACTTGAGTTCCCTGCCCGCGCGTTGCGTAGAGCATGTCCGACGCATTTGCATGCATGCATGCAAAATTATGAAAGTTTGATCCGACCTCTAATGCAATCAGAGTTTGCTGCTGAGTACCGCCTGGGTTTCCAGGATCGGAAGATGGGGCGCTGGATGATTTTGGCATAAGCCTCAAATATCTCGGAGAGGTTTGGCACATTATCCTCTGCGAGACAACACACTCTTATCTGAGCATTCTTGTGTGGCTCTTTGCAGCCCGGCACGAAGTGATTCAACACTTTCATGTGGCATGGCTTCTCACTCTCAAGATTGCTCAATGCATTCACCACGGATGCGGCCCTGGCATACAGATACTCTGGAACCCGACTGTCTTCTTCACCTCGATTGTGGCTGCCAGTGAGGTTTCTACGCGCTGCTTTGTTCGGCTGGTTGTTATGTATGCGTCTGCCTCACATTGTATGGGGAAGGGCAGGTCTGCACGTCCATTGTGCCTGGAGGTGGTGAGCAAGCTCTGCTGCTAGCCTTGTCAACCCACAGGGCATGACTTGGCAATTGCACCTGCAAACAAGACGATGAAGTCATAGGAGCTCATATGGCAATTGAGCCTCACGCTTAAGCAACAAAGGGGAGCAGGACAAGTGCAAATATTGGAAGTTTCCACATTGCAGCAAGCAACCAGAATAATGTGCTTTCCCCGCTGACTACTCTACTGACTAATCTCCTCACCTTGTCCTTTACGGCTTGAAGATATGCCTCTTGCTGCTGTGGCTCATGCTTGTTGGCTGCAGCCGGTACATCAGTGTCATTTCCCAGCTCCCCTTCGAAGTCATCTTCTGATCCGATCGCAACGCAGCGCAGCGAGCTCTTCATGCTATCAAGATCATCTTGCGATACTGAGGGCGCATGGCATACATATACTGATCTGCCTTTCGCCATCTTCTCTTGCAGGGTACAACTGAGAAGCCTGCTAGCAGCGCGGTCGAGTCTTTGGACTTCATCTGCCAGATTTATGCCCCCAGCAGCTGCAGTATACAGGTTTAACATGTCAACAATGACATCTGAAGGCAAGATGATCACACCCCCCACAAGCACGAAACACGAAAAACGCCATATGTGATTTCAGCAAGGACATGCAGCTAGGTGAATGGTCAGTTGCCCTAGTGGTGACAGTTGTCCCCCGACGAGACCAGCAAGCAGCTCAGATCTCATGACAGGGTTGCTGCCTTACTGCTTGCAAAAGGCTATCAGGAAGCCGCAGTCAAATGGCTCGAGGGTCATTACTACCTCTTGATGTCTCACTTTCACAGCATACGTAAGAGATGCTCACTGCTCACCTTCAAGTCAGTAGAATTTGTTACAGTAAGGACCGCACCTGCTGGGCTGGGCAGCTGGGCTTGGGGTAAGCTTAGGTGCTGCTGCTGGTCTCGACATTTTGCCAGCAGGTGCTCAACCCCTCTCTGATGGAATCTCCAGCATCCAGATTCTCGTTGGCTTCGATGGCTGGCTTGAGCCTTTTTCGATTGGTACGAATGTCCTCCCTCGCCCTGTCCAGCTCTGAATCCCACTCCAGCCCAGACATCCCTCCTCTAAGGCTCCTTTCTTGCCTCCTCTTCCACCACTTTTTTCTACACTCCTGCCTGCAGGGGTGCATTCGGTTGGTCCCATTGATCAGCATTTGTCCTCTAAGAGGTCTTCCATCCTCCTGCTCCTGCTTTACTCAATCTCACATTGGGCAGCAGAGAGCATATGCATCAGTCTTGAAAGGTGCGCTGTATAGAAAAAGCTGAACTGCAGTGCACTTTACAAGCTTGATGTCAGAAGGATAGGCCTCAAACGAAATACCGACCTGCTCAGAGCTACCTCCAATCAGACCGTTCCTGCAAGATAAAGTTTTCCACAGCTATCACCGAACGAGACGCTCCTAGGACTTCCCCTCGAGGGCTCGAAAGATACGCTCAACAGGAAGCTTCCTGTTGCACTTCCCACAATCGAGTTGGAATGGAAGACTTCTCCAAGTTTTGCTATTGTTTAGACCAAAATGAGGCAATCTCTCATTTCTTGGCGTCAAAGTCCTCCTGCAGATAACCAAGGCCCTGACTGGTACCGCTGACCTTGGGGCATCGATGCCAGTAAGAGATGGATGAAAGATCCTCGTCACCAGGATTTCCTAAGGAGCTCTGCTGTCCAATTTCAGAGGAACTATATAAAGATCCTGTTCTGCTTGTGGAGTCGGGCCAAACTTATTCCAGGGAATCCATCGAGAAGTGGTTTGAGAAGGGTCATCGAACCTGTCCCTTGACAGGGAAAGAGCTCATATCCACTCAGCTGGTCCCCAATTATGTTGTGAAAGGGCTCGTGCAGACTTGGATGGAAGGACGTCCAGCAAATGGCGTGGAAGACAGCCATCTAGCAAAGAGCAGCAGTGCTGATCAGGCAAAGTACCCGCCTGTCTTTGATGGCGGCCCTCAGGACAAGATCTCCCAGGCAGCCAACTTTCTGAGTCATATCAGATCCCCCAGCATGGAGGTGGCAGCATACAGGAATGGGTGCTCTTACCAGATCTGGCAGCTGCACAGCCTGGCCAAGGACAGGGCCTGTCGCCAGTACCTGCTGCGAGAGGGGGCTGTTGCCACAGGAGCTCTGCTGCTGGCAGACGGCAACCTAGCAGAGAACACTGCAGGCCTGCTACGGTGCCTGGCCACCCCAGAGAGCAGCCAGGAACTCATTGAGGCCGGTAAGCCTCACTTACTTGTGCTGACTTGTGCGCCTTGCGTTTGACTAGCCGACTGCATGCGTTATAATCGTTTCATCATTAGTATGCTCCCAAAGCACGTGTGGCTTGCACAGGGGGCGTGGACAGGCTGGTGAGGCTTTTGGGTGCAGCCAGCGGCAAGGCGAGGGAGGCAGCGGCGTTGGCCCTTTACCACATGTCAGCAGCCAGCCCGGCCTTCTGCACGGAAGCTTTCACCGGCATGTGCAAGGCCATGCTGGCCAAGCGGGGCGATGCGCTTGTGCTGGCCGCCCTTGAGCCCCTGTACGGCGGCGATGCTGCCGAGGGAGCTGCTGCAACATACCTCCTCAATGTGAGCTCTTGAGGCTGTTGATGTGCAGAATTTGTACTTAATTTTAGGCACAGTCTGATTGTTGGAGATCCCTTGCTGGCTGCTGCTTACCCTGTCCTGGTGTGCACATCACAATCAAGGATACTGTTCGATCCATTTCTGGTGACTTTGGCAGGTGCTCACAGCCGGCCCAGGGCAGCAATGGCCGGACTACTTCATCTGCGCAGGCACGGGCGCACTGCCGTGCCTTGTGCAGCAGTTGACAGATGGAGCCAGCAGCAGCGCGGCCGTCTATGCAGCCTCCTGCGCCCTGACATCTCTTGCTGCCATGCCCAACAATCAGGCTGCCGTTGTGCAGGTGCAGCATCTACTCATCAATCTACTGTATTACTAAGGACCACTTGAGTTTTTGCCTCGGTACCTAAGCATTCAACTATTGGAGGAACCCACCACAAAGAGTGTCAATGCAGGAGCTTGTTGCGGCGCTTCAGAAGGGTAGCTCCTCTGGCAAGCAGGTGGCTGCAGTGTTGCTGTGGCAGATGCTGACTGTGCCCGCCACGGCCAGCACAGACCCTGCGGTGGCAGGCGTGTGCATGGCCTGTACTGGGTTCCTGCCTGGGATCAGTTGGGCGCTGCATGCCTCCTCTTGGGCAGCTGCCGGCTTGATACAGGCGCTCACACATGATGGCCACCGGTGAGTGCTTGCAGTATCCTCTGCCAGCCGTGCTAGCCCGCATGTTCCATCGCAGCATGTTCAAACCTTTTTTTTAAAGCAAAGAATGGAGTTGTCAGCGGGGTTGGTGTTGCAGGGTGACCAACAGCGTGACTCAGGGTCCTGACTCAGACGCAGTACGGCTCCGCATTGTCGCCCCGGAAGCGAATGTGATCCCCCAGCTTATCAATTTTGTGAGCAGCGAAGGTATGCAGAGCACTATTTTCTTCTTGCAGAGTCGGCCCTCCCAATCTCAAAATCACATGTGCTCATGGTGACTGTGAGTGCCTGTCTAAGACTGCCGCTAGTGTGCGCAGATGCCCAGAGCCATGCAGCTGGGGCGCATGCCCTGGCCAACTTGACAGCGTACAGGTCTGGGAGTTGCGAGGCCTGCTCCAAGGGGCACAAGGCTGGAGGCTTCGGCTCCTTTGCTCAGCAGCGAACTCAGGTGCCACTTGCCTTCTCTTGCTTCAGCTCTTCAAATTTCACAAAGTCTTATCCACCACGATTCGTTATCCCACAGCCAGTAACATGGCTACTGAGTGCTGATGGGTGATGTGTCAGCAGGGTGCCTGCCCGCACCAACCAACCGGGCGGGTGTTGGCCAGTGCCGCGCCGAGTCAGCTCCTAAGGCTGCTGTGCGACTCCAGCGACCCTGCTGTCGTGTCTGCCTGCGTGGCGGCCATCAGCAACCTGTGCGCCACAGAGGAGGGCCAGCAGCGCATCCACGACGAGGCCAGGCGCTCTGCAGCGGTGCGCGCCGCTCCCGTCCTTCTCTGCTTACAGCATGCAATCAACATACTGCATGTCTAGACTGGTGCTGAAAGCCTTGCCATTAGCCTTCATTGGCCCTTAAAAGCATGTGATGGATAGTCTCATGCGCCATACTCTGTGCACCCCTGAGAATGCGCCGAAAACAATATTCCTGGAAGCATTTCTCGCAGCCTTTCGGTGTTTCCGCAGCATTTCGCGTACGGTAGATCTAGTAAGAGGTTTTCCACTGTAGAATGCTGATCTGTGGTGACTAAACAATGATGTGGCAGGGGCTGGAGGGTGTGAATGCACGGCTGCTGCAATTGATCTCGTGGAAATCGCTGCCAGGGAGGTGTCAGGATGCGGCCAGGAATGTGCTGGTCCGGTTGGAGAGCAAGAATCGCAAGGCGCCGACCATTTCCCTCATGACCCTCCTGCTGCTGCCGCCTGCTCCAATTGCTGCCTTCCCTAATCCGTGAACGCTGAGCCAGCGAGAGGATTAATGGTTGCACCTTGAGGGCGTGATTTGGATGAATTTGAGACTCAGCTGGCTATGTGGTTGTCTGAGCCCTTTCCTCATCAGATCTGACTGGGCCGCATTGTATGCTATATAGTTACCCACTGATGTCCCTGCAATTTGCAGGCAAGCCATATAGCTGGTATCGTAGATGAACTTGATTTGGGAATCTTCACCACTGCATTGAGCATGCGCCTGAAGACATGCTGTGGGGTGCCCCTGGGTGAGTACTGAGTCAGGGACAGGTCAGGGTGAATCGATATCCCCGCGGGTCCTGGAGGAAAATTCGAAATGTGTTTTTTCCACAAAATGCTGAATGCATGATGGGTTTTCCTCCTAATTAGGGTTACTTGCATGGTTCCCTTGCAGGATGAACTGATCTCAAGATTAATGGTGTGCATGTGCTGTTGCAATAGATAAGAATATTGGGAAACGCGCCACTGTCACGCCGCTATACTGTAGTGGCACCTGCAGGCCAGTTGTGAAAGTCTTGAAGATTGCAGTATTATGATTACAGCAACCTCAATATATGTAATTCATCACATGTCATCTTTTAACTGATGGGTGCGTACACATACTTCTACTTCTCGGGATGATAAATTTGACTTCACTGTCGAGAATGCAAATGACGACCGTGCATGAGACCCACGTGGAGCGCATGCGTATGCGCAACACGTATACGTGTTGCCGGTTTGAATTTACCGGCAACAGCAAGATGCCCATGACGAATAGATTCTCCCGACGGTCCCTGCACGGCATACCCACGGCAAATAGGAACTCCAGATACTTCCAGCCGAAGATCTCATGCGCAAAGCGCAAAGCAAAGCACTATAGCTCCACCACCGTGCAGTCGGGCGTCCTGCTGGTAAGTGGGGAAGTGGCTGTACAGGACCTACCCATAGCTTGCCAGACAATTGAACTCTAATGATTCTTTTACACTCTTGTACATAGTCACTGCTACTGCCAAGCAGGCATTGCAAATTGCCGAGGGTACGAGATGCTTGCAGCCAGGATTGCTCGTACACGGAATCTGCCGTATAGTAGACGCAGTTCGACCGAGAGGCTTCTTGTCTACCTTGAGATCTAGCCTTTCGTATGGTGTTCTGGTAACATTAAAATGAGGAGATTGCCGCATGGTTGCAGTCCTGTCTAAGGCTGGCTCCCGTGTCGTCCCCCAACTTCCAGAAAGCCGTCCCAGGACTTATCTCAAGGGCTCTGCCATTTTATTATATATGGATCGATTTTTCATGCCATCGAAATTCTTTGGCATGCACAGGACGATGGTGGCGCCGTGGCTTACAGCAGGGACCGTCGTGATCTTGTTATGTGGGGCATCTGCTCAGACCATTACACAGCTGGTGCCAGGTTTTCAGGCAACACCTGGATTTACAGTGTCGACAGACATCACAACATTGACGACCTCAGGGCAGTTCGTGACGGTAAGCTCATATCCATGGCTGCAGCCCAGCAGTAGGGGTGGCACCAAACACTTCATTATTTTGAGCTTCCAAATGAAAAGGAAACGCCTGAATAGGGCACTTGCCTGTAGCAGCGAGCACTTTCCATGTCAAAAGTTAATCCACTGCAGAGGATGAAGCTGGATTGGCGCACATACATGCTCCTGCTATCACCCTGTGAGGTGATCTGCAGTGTGTTCAGTGGCTGGCACTTTTGACAATTGTTGCTTTGCACGCCACAGGTGTCCTGGACGGGCAACCCAAGCCCCACCAACAACGATGCCATCGCTGCCTACGTGCTCGCGCCAAACGTGACAGTGGACGGCCTGTCTCCCTTCAAGTTCCAGTGGATCAACCGCTCGCCCGGGGCTGAATCATCCGGATCTGGATCCCTCAAGTGAGCTCCAGTGCACTGCTTTTCTATATGAAATGCACTAGCCCATAGCTAAGCTCTGAGGAAAGGAATATGCACATGTTGCTGCTGCACTTCTTCTTAATGAAAGATTCCAAGTCGCCGGTGGGCAAGCCCCTGGGAAGAAGCAGCCTGCAACGGGGCATTGCCTGTTGCACTTGCACACGTCAGCATTGCTGGTCATGTCCTTGCCTTCTGTGGTCTTGTGGAATAGCAGTGGCCCATTATCAGCGCACAGCGTGTGGTGATGAGCAAGAATGAAACGCCTTATAAACGAGGTTTGATCATTTTTGTGCAGGTTCCAGGTATTCAATCAGCGCTACCCTACGGTGTTCCTTTACTTCAGCAACATTACCAGTGTGGGCTTTGGCAATGTGGCATGGAGCTCCAGCAGAGTGAAGGCTGTCAGCCCACCCATCGCCATCAATCCCAACGAGCCCACTCAGGGTCACCTCACATTCACAAGCACCCAGGGGTGAGCGCACATAGAGATGTGTTCCTCTGGTCTTTAGAGAGAAGATTTTCTCTAGCTGGGGCTCCTTAGACAGCATAGAGATTGACAGCCGGGACTGCCAGTGTTCCTTGTGGTCAGAGAAGAAATCCTGCAGAGGTAGCCCGGAGGAAGCTGTGTGAGCCGTGCAGTCAGTGCCATCCCTTACTGCGCCTCATGCAAACACCTCGGCCCAATGATCTTGCACATGCAGAGATGCTCTAGCTGAGGGTCATGGGTAATGCTGCTGCAGGGAGGTGAGCGTGCAGTGGACCACGAGGGATGTGGGCACGCCAGTCGTCAAATTTGGCACCTCATCAGGCCAGTACGGCGCTCCAGTGCCGGCCAAGACCGGAGGCTACACCCGCGACATAATGTGCGGCCAGCCGGCAAGCACCTACGGCTATTTTGACCCGGTGAGATTCATCGCGTCTTGCTCTGCTCACTTTTGCATATTGCACAAAATCTGACGCATGCAAAGATCACTCATGCGCATGGCTATGCTGCCAGACTGTGTGAAAGGTGAGCACACCATGTGATGCATGACACAACCACAACTCCTGAGAGGGCTGACCCTGCCGAGTTGCTATAGACACGCTCGGGTGATAACACTGACGCTGAGGGAGATGGGGTTATGTCTGCATGCAGGGTTCCCTGCACTACGGGACCATTGCGGGCCTGGCACCGAACACAAAGTATTACTACACCTATGGTGATGCCGTACTGGGTCTGTTTGCGCCCGAGTCCTCCTTCGTCACCCCTCCGCTGCCGGACTCATCTGCTGCTGTGCACTTCCTGGCATGGGCCGACGCCGGGCAGGCAAACGCAGGTGAGCTGCTTCTGCTCAGACTGTCTGGCTGATCTGGATGAAGGCAGGACTGAGGCGCATCCACTAAACAAGGGTCTGAACAGACCTTTGAGCATGACCTGTTTGGCACGCATGCATTTTGGCGCAGAGAAGGGTAGCAGAAAATGTGCAGAATGCACCGTATTGGCATAGCCGTCTGATGACCTTTGTTTGTTGCGCAGATGATGCATGGTCATACGACTACTACAGTGAGTGACCATGCTCTCCAACAACACCTGCTTCATGTTCATGTCCTAAAATTTACGCCTTAAAAGTGCAGTATAGTCACCCCCGCCATTGGCAAGATTACATCTTCTAAATACATCCTTCATTGCTTTTTTAATGATGCTGTACTCATCCCTTTTTTGGCAGCATAAATGAACCCGTGGTTGTGTATGACAGCTGATTACGATGACATTGACACGTCGCCTGATGGCACGGAGGCGCACACATACTGGACAGCCTATGACACTTGGGAACAGGAACAGGTGAGGGCATGGCGCAGAGCCATTTGTGCTCTATTCTCCCCCTGCATATACCCTGCATCCTTTTATTCAGTATGGACTAGCTGGTGCACATCGAACAGCATAAGAAGCTTCACAATTGACTGAGCGCCTCCCAGCTTTAGCACTTCTGGCCAGAACCTGCTGTAACGTGTGATGGTGCGGTCACACCAGGTTTTGACATGCGTGTTTTTTGCTCTGCAGGCGACTCAGCCGTCATCCCTGAAGCTTGTGCAACGGCTGTTGGATGAGGTCAAGACATTCAAGCCGACCCTGGCAATTAACAATGGTGACATCAGCTATGCCAGGTTTGGCACCAGATCCAACTACAACCCCAAGTCATTTGCAAATCTCAAGCTTGCATGCGCCCTTGTAGTCCAGGCATCACGGATCTGGCATGCCTCAAATATGATGTCTTCCAGCCCTGAGTCGCCTATTGACTCCATGCAGGGGAAGTGTCAGCCAGTGGGATGTCTACTTTGAGCAGTACAAGTCGCTGTACACCCAGCTCCCTGTCATGTCTCTCCCAGGTGTGCCATACCACTTTCTGCCTCTGCAAATTTTAAGCCTGGCACGCGTCCTACTTTGCACCTTCCAAGTCGCTAAGCATGCCATGCCCTGACTAGTATCTGGCCATTTATTAAAAGGGTGCCCCATATTATGTCTGGTTTATGGTGAGCAGGCAACCACGAGCGTGACTGGCCCAACACTGGTGACCGCTTCTACCCGCTGCAGAGCCGCTCCGACTCCGGTGACCTTGCAATTGCCTCATCTGGCATGGGCACATCAGACCAGATTTTTCTGTTGCCAGGCCTCAATAGACCGTCCATGTCTATCACTTAAGAAAATGCAGTTCTCTGGCAATGAGGCGCAGCAGTCTAATTATCAGACCAGCTGTTTTGCCGAAGCAACCAAGCCAAAGCTGCATGCCCATCGAAGCTTCCTGACCAATATGTCATGCTGTTTGTTTGGCTGTGCCAGGTGGCGAGTGTGGCATTCCCTACCAGCAGCGCCTGCGCATGCCCACCAAAAACAGCACCAACGAATGGTGAGCCAGGGATTTGATTGTGAGAAGCTAGTCTGGTTGCTCCTATAATAAACTTTATCCCTTACAATGCTTGCTGAACCGCTGTCTATCATAACACTTGGATATGGCATTTGCGATATATTGAATTTGACACAGACCGGGCCTTCATGTAGCTTCTGGTGCAATGCATAGTGCAGTCAGCTGAGTTGCTGCATGTGTGCATGCCAGGTACTCCTTTGACCACGGCCCCATCCATTTCATCCAGACGTCCACAGAACAGCCCTTTGGAGCAGGATCACCCCAGTGGCAGTACGCTTCGACGCAGCACACCTGAACTCTTGCTCAAAATGACCTTGCTGCTGGTCGTAACACTTTCACTCTGCCACGACCGATTCGCATGTGACATGTGAGCCTTGGTTGCAGGTTTGTGGTTGCCGATCTGATGGCTGTGGACAGGTCCAAGACTCCGTGGGTTGTTGTGGTACGATGCTATGAAATTCCATTCTATTTTTCCATGCAAGCTGCTTAGAGCAGCACACAATGCAATTGAATTTCTGTGAAGTCAGCCAGTCCTCACATCCAGTAGAGCAACTTCATGCTTTGATCAGACAAATGCAGAGATAATGTAATTTGGATGCAGGGATTCCACCGCCCCATTTACACCACGTCTCTGGAGGGTGTCACTCTTGCGTCAGACCTGCAGGTTGCAAATGACCTGAGAGACGCTTATGAGCAGATCTTTTTCCAATATGAGGTGTGGCACAGATGACCTTTCCACACTATTGCTGCTAGGCATTGCAGAAGGAACGCTGAGAGTCTTGCGACTAGGCAGAATTTCAGCTGCTGGGAAGCAGTGAAACATAGCGAGAATTGTATCCATCTCTTGAGGGCTCTTACACGGGTCCACAGAGAGACCATCTGTTCCTAACACAGTGTTGCATGGGAATGTGATGGCCATAAGCAGCCTCCTAGATGCATACTGGCCAAAGGTCATATGTGAAGTCAAGCTGTGTCACTGTGGCAGGGTGACCTGACCCTCTCTGGGCATGTGCACCTGTATGCGCGCACATGCCCTGTGCTGAGGAAGGGCTGCCTGGGATTCAACAAGACCACCGGCGCCCCCAACGCACCCATCCACCTCTCCATCGGCAACGGAGGGTCAGCCACATGCACTTGCTCTTTGCCGGCATCACTGCCTTTGTCCCACTGTGCATGTTGATGATTGCAGTTCAATTTAAGGCTGGGGAGCTTGAGAGAATGCGTGTGCCCTTGCAGGTATGCCATGAGTTGGTTCGTCAACCACGACACGCCAGACTACTTTGACGCGCACATCCTGGAGCATGGTAAGCGCAAAACTTGAATTTAGATCTGTCAGTAAGGCACCTCAAAGTTGAAACGGCATCACGGCAAATGCAATTGAACAAATATATGAAAATCCCTGCCTTTTGAAGGGATTCCCTGTCAGTGTGGCAGGCAAGGATTTTCAAGATGTGTGTCATTGCGCAGGATACATTCGGGCCGAGGTTGACGCCACCTCTCTGCACATCACGGTGAGTCTTTGAAGGCTTTCTGCCAAAATATATGATGTCATGTTTACCCATTACTGCACACATTTCCTTGCAAAGGTAGGGTTGCCGGAAGTTTGCAATTGTGAAGATGATTTCATTGCAAGCAATCTATAAACCTCATTTTAGAAGTATGCATGCTGAGCATTGCTCGAGGTCCTCAGATGTTGAATGGCAGGCCCTTGCGAGTGAGACTGGCAAGGTGATGGACGACTTCACCATCAAGAAGGCGGCCGGTTTCAAGCCAGACCTCAACGCTCGCAACCAGTTCCTCTACAGCGGCTACCAGCCAAACTACAAGCCCACCTTCCTGGAGGCAAGACCCACCACTGCCTTCTTGCCCTTCTCTGAGCTTTACCCAAATGCGTTCTGCATTGACGGCACAGTCTGCGTGTCTACGTAGACTTGAAGGAATGAACTTGCTGCCCAACAGCTCACTTGGCATGCAAACTTCCAGGATCCCGGCCTCAGCCCGGACACAGTCTTCTTCAACCTCTTCTTCAAGAATTTGGCTGCTGACCTCAAGAAGGACAAGGCTCTGCTCGCCAGCATTGCCAACGCCAGCTTGGTGGTCGGTGGACCCAACCAAGGTGAGTCAGTCCACCTGTGCTTACCATTGGAGATGTCACAGACAAGCACTGACGAGGACACACAAGGTGAAGTTGTGTATGTCAGATGCAAGGAGACTGAGCGTGTTGCATATTACATGAGAGCTGTCACGCATGCCAGCACCATTTGAAAGGGAGATGTTGTGCCATGAGTACCAAGTGTGTGTCATCTGCAGAGGACAACGTGCCAAACCTGTCCGAGATATTTGATGCTTATGCTAAGATCCTACGGCGCCCCAGCTTCCTCAAGGAGAACGGCATTACGGACCCCACTGTTGCAGCAAAGTTCATCTACAAGGTGGACCTTCTGCACCTACCTTTCCCATGGCACATTACACCCACATAGCGCCATGTGTTACAAGACCCGGCTCAATTGACTTGCACTTCTGCGCATGCCATGTGCGCATGCATGCCATTTTGTTGTAGGTGGATGAAGCATTCTTGTGCTTCCTGCTCCAATCTTGTAAAGTTGAGAGTACTGATGTTCTGATAAGCAATGCATTAACATGCTTGGCATGGTGTGCTCTCGCTGCAGGCCTTCCTGCCCCTGTTCCAGCAGTTTGACAAGAACCGCATCGCTGCGGCGCTGAACCCCAGCCTTGACCCCAATGTCTTGAAGGATCCCACGACGTCGACTGCAACGGAGACCTTGGACCCTTACAGGATTGTTGGCAACATAGCCAGCAACATCAAGAACCCCCTTGTCTTCAACCAGGAAGATACCACCACTTCCACACCCTAGGTTGTGTGGCTAGCTAGTGCTAGCTATAGCAAGTGTCTCAGCTGCACTACTGAGCAGATCATAGGTCAGATTGCCTCATCATTTTTGATTCCGAATCAGTGAGTCACAGCCTGCTCAGATGACTTTGCTGGCAAAGTTTGGACTCCTCAATTTATTTGTGAGCAGCATGTGCTATTGCCCATGCTTCTGCTCAGAGGTTTTGACCCATACATAATTGTTGGAGAATTGCCAGTCAGTATGAACCCTATTGAGTTCAAGTACATAGACTCCTCAGATATTGAGCCCAGTGGTCCGGTGCAAGAAGATTTGTATGGCTGGTGGGACTAGCCCCTGCTTGCATCAGAGCAGAGCAAGCTCTCGCGCCGGTCACATTGACATGGTTGGAGCTTGTATGCAAATGCTTCAGACACCGCTGTTCAGCTGCGCGTAGGCAGGGAATTGTTTTATTATTGTCACATTTCATGTTTAGGGGATAGCGAGACAAATTACAGAGCATGATTGTCACAGTGTGGACCAGAAAATTGATGTCAGCAGGGGTGTATGGTGGGATTTTATAACGCTTATTGACGTGATGCAGATGTTGTAACAAATTGTTACTAACGATGTTGCCATCTCCAGAGGTGCGTGGTCTCGGTGGTCTCTGCAGTCTCAGCACTCAGGTCAAGAGCGTTACTATCAGGGGACTTTGCAAAACATGCCGCATATTCATGGCACTTACGGATAGCTAGCAGAGAGCTCTTCTGGGCTACTTGCCACTCTTCATCTATATACAAAATACTTCAGCCAACAAACCACTTACACCTTCCAAATAGCATTGTCCTCACATGCAGACCTGCAATAAGTCTGCTGTTATTTCGTACACATGCAACAAAAAGCCCCTCGCTGCAAGATTGGGGAAATGTAGTATACAAGCTAGGTGAGATACACAAAAAATACACTATTTCCAGGCCTTCACCACGCCGTCATGGCTGGCCGTGAGCAGGATGCGGTCGGTGCAGTCCAGGGACGTCATGTGCAGGATGCCATCCTGGTGGCAGATCGCTGCTGCCCTGTCCAGCCCCGTGTGCTGCTTCTCCGTCTCTGGAATCTGCATAACACCACCAGAACTCAGCCCAGTCCCCACCTCACATGCTGCCACAGCAGCACTATCGGCAACACAGAGACAAAGCGGGAACAGTGTGTGCAACAGCAAGCAGTAAATTCAGTTGAGCAATGTCAGATCGTGACAGAGGAAGAGTCAAAGGGCGGCACCCATTGCAGGTCGGTGCTGCGGCTGATGCAGGACTCCTCGACGACGCCCACGCCCTGCATGCTCTTGTGCGAGTACACATAAGCCACCGGCAGCGGCGCTCCGGCGTCGCGGCCCAAGACCGAGCTGGCCTCCTGCGCGGCGGCGGCCGGGGAGGGCAGCAGCTGCGGCGGCCCGGACACCATGAAGCTGGCGTCGGGGCGCGCCGCGTCCCAGAACCGCACGCAGCCGTCGCTGCCGCCGCTCAGCAGCGGGCCGGCCCCCGTCGGCAGCAGCGCCCGGCAGCCCGCCGGCCGTTGCGGCGGCGCCTGTGCGGCACACAGACCACATCAGCCCCGTAATGTTGCCTGAACAGACTTTTTGCCACCTTCGTGCATAATCAATCAGCACCCACACTTCCCAGCCATCCCAGTAAGCTTGGGTGGGATATGTCGATGCTGTCGATGAAGTCACTGAGGCGACAGAGGTTGCAGGGAAGTCTCAGACAACACAAGTGCATGGGATGACTGCCAACCATTTGCACCAAACCGCAGTGCTGTATGTGCTTCCGCACCTGCAGCTCTGCAACGGAAAGGTGCCTGGCGAGGCCGGCGGCGTCCATGGCGGGCGGCAGCGGCTTCTGCGCGCGCCTGATCGCGTAGGGGAGCTCGCTGCGTACCGAGTCCGGCTCGTCCTTCCCAATCACTCGCAGCACCTGTCCGCAAACAGCTCAATCTCATGGATTTTCACTTATAAGTTGAGACGAGGTGCTGGTAGCATGCAAGAAATGCAAGCAACAATGTGCGCCTAGGAGGGCTTGTCAGGAGTACATTGCGTGTGGAGGATTGATGAAGCAGCATACCTGGTGGCACTTGCCCTGCTCCACATCGTAGAGGCCAATCTCCTGGGGCCCTGCAGCCACGTACACGAGGGGCGTGGCCAGCGAGGACTCCTGCAGGCCCAGCTTTGTCGGCGGCGCCAGGGCCGGCGCCAGTGCATCGATAGGGAACCCCTGCTCACCACACATTGACTTCAGCTGTGACTTCAGAGCACAATTTGCTCTTCTCCCACAAACTTTGACGAAACCTCCCCCAATCCAATAACAGAGGGAGGCTCTTATCCTTATTTATTTTCATAAGTGAAGTACTACCCCTGAGAGGCAAGCGGGTGGCAGGAGGGGAGGCAGGCGCGCACCTGGGGCTGCTGGATGGAGTTGACGGCGAGCTGGAAGCGCATGTCCCACAGTGTCAGATAGCCGCGGCTGCTGCCGGTGAGCAGCCATGCGCAGCCGCTCGCGTCCACCGCCAGCCGCTCCAGCACGCCCTGCACCCCACACTTCGTTGAGCCAACGAATCTGGGGTTGAAGATTTTCTCTGAGCTGCCAAGACAGTTTTGAGCTGACCAGGGACCTTCTGTGGTGTTGACCCCGAAGGATCCTGGCCAGAAGTGGGCAGGCCGGCATGCGCCTACCAACACATTCAGGGTGCAGGCAAGTAGGAGAGGGGCGCATAGATGAGGAAGACCGCAGGGGAATGAGGCGGGGCCGCGCCTGATTGGAGGTGCAGGGCAGCGTCCAGGCGAGGGTGTCGGCGCGCAGGTCCCAGGCGTGTATGCCGCCTCTCTGCGTTGCGTACAGCAACAGCCCGCCCCACTGCATCACCTCCAGCACTGACCCCTCCCCGGGAGCCGCCTGCCGCTTGCCTGTAATAAATTCCCCATATACACAGTCCTCAACCCCCCTCAATTGACAGAGCACTCAAGGCATGGCTGCACTGGGGGCAGGAACAAATATGAGACATGGCATGGGCAGGGACACAAAGACTACTGTGCCTTTGCTCTGCCGCACTGCCTTTCAACTGCAGTTCTGGAAGTGTGTGGATGTAGGGGAATGCTGCAGATGAGACAGAGGGGCTGGCGTGCCTATGATGCCGTTGTAGCGGTCGGGGGCGCCCCCGGAGCGGCTGGTGTACTCCACGCGCCACACGTGCACGCTGCCGTTGCTGGACGCCGACGCCACACTCTGCGCCTCCTCGCACGCCGCCACTGCCAATATCTTACCGCCCTGCACACCCATCACCGCACCATCTGGTCCGGTGAATTTCCCCAAGAAGCAGCAGGCTTTTAAGAGGGGCAAATCTTACATGCATGCCTTCTGCACACACCTTCAGAAAATATCACCACAGTAAAGAGAACACTCATTTTTAGACTCAAATGCCTGCTGGGAGCATGCCTGAGATGCGTAGGTGAGCTTGGAGCGGAAGGAGATGTCCTTCTCGAGGCGGCGCGAGTCCCAGATCTTGCACGTCTCGTCGTTGGAGGCCGTCACGAAGAAGGCGCCGTTGGGCGCGACCGCGATCCGGTTCACCGCCCTCTTGTGCTCCGCCAGGTGCGCCACCAGCACGCCACGCGGCTGCCACGGCGTGCTGCTCGCCAGGTTGGCTGCACAGGCAGAGGTACACTTGAACAAGTCATGCCCGACTTCCAATCACCAGGCTTCTTACAGCTGAATGCCCACAGCCCGCAAGGATCATTGCCAGAACTGACCGACAGGAAATGAAAAATCTGGGTTGTTCAGGAGCAGAGAAGGGGCAGAACGTGCCTGCGTAGGGGTGTGCGGGCAGGTCGGTGTGGATGGCGGCATCAATTGCATCGCTGATGCCGCGCGAGGCGCCGCCCGGCTGGAAGCTGAGCGGGCCCTCACTGCTGAGGTGGATGCTGCGCACGCCCGCCGCTAGCCGCCCCGACACACTCGCCTGCACCGTGCTTCTCCCCCTCAGCCCACGCTCGCACCACTTTCTCCTGCTACAGCTGCTGAACGTGGCATTGTAACAGCAAGAGGGCAATTGGTCTAACAAAGTAAAGGTGGTAAGCGCACCATTTCCGCGGTGGGCTTGTTGAGGCGCTTGGCATGAGCGACCAGCCGCGCGACGTCGGCTGCATGTTGTGGGGGAGGGGCGCCGTCGGCCGAGCCGGCCCCGCGGCGTGCGGCTGGGCCGCTGTCGGCGCGCGCGATGATGTGGCCGTCCTGGCCGGATGCGTTCAGGCCCTCCAGCGCGGCCGTCAGCCGCGATGCGCCAGGCCTCAGGAACTTCGGATCCTGCACAACACTCCCAGCAGTTTACTCTTCATGAAAAAGGACAATCCTGCCATGGCATTCTTGAGGCAGCCCCACCATCAAACATATGTGCAAGAGCGAAGTGTCGGGAGAGACGCACGATGGTGACGGTGTAGAGGGGCGCCGAGGGCAGCTGCTGGAGCAGGCTGCCGCTGCGGCCGCTGCTGCTGGCGGGACGGCTGCTTAGCGGGGGCCGGCCGCTATACCTGGGAGTGGGTGAAACAGGCTCGCTGTTCGCATCGTGCCTGCCATTCGACACTGTAAGCACACCAACAACAATCAGCTTCAACCCTCCACCCTTACAATAGACTTACACAGGCATGATAATAGAGGCACTTGAGCAGAGTGAATAGACATGCGTTTCCAATACCATCAAGCGTGGTTTGAGAGGAGTCACCTGGGCGGAAGCAGGCAGCGACAGAGCGGGGATCGGTCATGATGACGGGCTCGGTGGCCATAGCCGGCATGACCAGCGGCGTGAGCAGCGCGTAGGTCTCGGCCGGGGACAGCGAGCGCGCGGCAGCCGCGATGAAGTCGGAGGCGGCCGCGCGCATGGCTGTGGAGGCGGTGTGCTGCAGCTTGGCGGCCACGCGCGCGGTGGCGGCCAGCAGGGAACGCTTGCGCATGTGGCGGCCCTCCACCACGCGCGTCAGGAACCCGATCGCCTCCGCTATCACCGCCTCTGACTCATCCGCAAGCGCCTATCAATCGCAACAAAAGTCTTCAGTCTCAAGGACTGAAACCCGGTATTTGTAAGAAGTCCAGCGCCTGCATTCAGGCCACAGACAAATGAGCACATGAAATTCTCATGTGTGCATCCGGTGTGCTGGGCAGCAGCACACCTCAGATCGTTTGGCGGGGGCTGGTGACAGCGGCGGTACAGGGGGCACCACCGGACAAAATCCATGGAGGGGAGACAAAGTGAGACAAGGGCTCTTGGAAAGCAAACAATGTTTTGGTTGATTGAGAGGGGAGAGACTAAGGAGGGTAACAAGAAGGGAGAGGGAGGAGTCAGAGGGGCGCGCCTGCTCAACGCAGGGCAGCAGGAAGGCTTCCATGCCGGAGAAGCCGGCCTGGGATGCGATGCAGGAGACGTCCCGGAAGAAGGCCGCGCGCGTCTGCCAGTCGCGGTCGTTCAGGAATGTGATCATCGTGGGCAGCAGGAAATCATTGCTCAGCCTGCACCCACTCCTTCATTTTTACATATCTTATTCCAATCAAACAACCCTTGGAGAAGCATCCCCATGGAGTACTAAATACTGCTTGTTAATATTCCCTTACTTCTAACATCATCAGAGCAATGCACATAAAGCTCTACTTCCTGACGAGGCAGTAAGGTGCAGGCGACGGGGCAACCGGTGCAATGGGGGCGCCAAGGGATACACAATTCTGGAGAAGCGGGGAAAGGGGGCGCACTTGCGGCCGAGGACGGTGGCGAGGTGGGGAAGGTGGGGGAGGATGGCGCGGCGCGTGAAGGGGGTGGATCGCGGGGACACCACCAGGTCCTGGAACACCCCCGTGAACGCGCTCCTCAGCGCCCCCATCTGCTCCTCGTACCGCACCACAGCGCCGCCGCCCGCCTGCGCACACCACCACAGATCGGGACCACTGCTACGATTTCAGACCCCAAAAGGTCTGAAATCGATAATTGCTTCAACCTAAGCCTAGTATGATCTACATCTACCTTGCTGATCCATGGCAGCACACCATAGCGCCACTCCTTGGACGCCAGGCCTGCTGCAAAGCTGAGTGCCGGCTTGTTGAGCAGTCAACAGCTGTGAGACGGGCACCGAAAGATGGAAAGACAACCTTGACGCACCCTGCCTCCAAATGGGCCCTTGAAGCTGTTACGCATCCCCCATCCGAGTCAAGACGTACCACAAGCCTGTGGTGTTGGTGTTCCTTGGGGCCCAAACTTGCATTTCGAGAATCACAGCAGCTTTGCCCTGCTAGAAAGAATGTTTTACCAAGAGGGCTCAGCCTTGCATTCTAAGGAGAATGGAGTTTTGCTGGGATGCAAAAGGGTCAAGTCTGGAATCACCTGCTGCTGGGTGGACGTGGCGGGCATCTGCAGGCGCATGAGGAAGCGGTGGGCGGTGGCAGCCAGCTGCGCCAGTATACCAGCATACTCCACTCGCACCGACTCCTCTGCCTCCGCCGGTATCAGCGACAGCGCCGGAAGTATGTATCTGGACACGACACAGCCTTTTACTTGCTTATTTTGAGTATTCATGGGTCATTTGAAGTTTAGGTGTAGACATTGAAAATGCTGCAGGCCGATACTGCATGATGTGCCTGTCGAAGCAGAGGGCAGGCACGCACTCGTTGAAGATCTTGGCGTCACTGGTGGGCACGGTGTCGATGGTGCTCAGCACGTGGCTCAGGCTTCGCAGCGCCGCGCACTGCACGCTGGCAGGCGCCTCCCCCTTCAGCATCATTGACTGCATGCACCATAACAACCCCTTCACCAAGCGGCACCTAGCACTCTCGGTGGATGTTGGAAGGGATGAACGAAGGAAATTCTACAGAAGAGCAACAAATTAGTTGCCTCAGCTTGACTGATCCCAGCAGCAGGCTTTGATGATGTGTGCGTGGGTGCCAGGGGTCTCACCAGCAGGTAGGGCACCACCCGCTGCAGCCGCGTGTCATCATCGCACAGCGCTGCAGCCTTGCTCAGCAGCGCCACCGCCCGAGTCTGCAGAAACCCCAGCTTAGCGCTCAGGCACGCATGCGATCAGCATTTGTAAGTTGTGCATGTCGCCAATAATCTAGCTGCTGGAAACAATAGAGCTGTGCCCACCTTGGCCTCCTGAAGCTTGGCTCCTCTGACGAGGGTGCACAGGAGAACCGTGATGAGCACCATGCCGTTGGCCGTCGACTCCCTGCCCTGATACCCTGCCGCCACGATGCTCGCATCCCACGCCTGCACCCGCCACATACAAGAAAAGATAAGACTTGCGATCTGTGGGGTGCAGTGCTGGGTGAATGGAGATGAAAGGGAGCAGGCACGCACATGCAGCCTCCTGCGGCGGTGCCGGACCCATCGCCGCCTGCGCCAGTTGCAGTTGGGGCCGCCGCGCGCGCTCCAGCCGTGCTCGCCCACCGGGTTGGCCGGCCGCGCCTCCGCCGCGCCGCTCGGGCTCGGCTCCCGGTACTGCCACCCCTCACCATCGCTGCTGCCGGCCTGCGTCTCCACCTGCGCATATTTACACGACACTTCCTCAGAATTAGGGGATGGGAGTCATTTCAAGAAGAAACCTATCAGCAAGAAGATCATACCATAATCACAGCCACGCCACATAACGAGAGCAACGCGAAAGATTGCCGTCCCTGAGAACCAAGCTTTCCCTTTATAGGCAATCTTCTTAGTAAAGTGAATCCTCAGCTTCTGAGAACAGTCAAGGTGATGTCGTATGTACTTTAGGCACAGAATCAAAGGGGGTCACCACCTGCCAGTCACTGGTCCACTGCCAGCCCCCTTCGGGCGGCAGGACCACATCCTCCTTCCTGGCTGCTGCATGGCCACCCCAGCTGCGGCTGCCCGCCTCCCCAAGCAGTCGTGTGCAAAAGGGACCGTCTTCCTCTTCCCGAAACTGCACACAGAGCCCCACACGATTGCTGCTCGGATCTGTACTGATATGACACAGGTGAGCACCTAAAGTGTCATTTGGTGTGCTCACAGGGGGTGTGAGGCCTCACCTCAAAATCATACACTTCATCGGTCGCAACCTCATCAGGAGGCAATTCAGCCGCAGCATTGGGGGCTGGAGAGGCCTCGCGCCCAGGGGAGATGCTGGGGTCGGCCGCAAAAAAGTCCCCGTCATTCGCATCGGCGCTGTCGCCGTCCTGCAGCCGCGTCAGCAGGGATTGTGTATCCGCCAGCAGCGCCCCCACATTCGCCAGCAGATCCACCTGACCATTCACAGCAAATATCTGACACTGCCGCGCCAGCAAAAACACAGGCAAATCCGCCTTGCAAGGGAAAGGACAATCTTCTTAGAATATAATCCATGCACAAAGCTTCGCTCTGCCTTGATGCCTGCATACCTCCTTCTCAAATCCATGCACAAAGCTACAGATACAATGCAGCACGGAGTATATTGTTGTGAGAGCCAGCTCAAGCACCGCGATAAGCAGGGTATTGTTTGTTTTTGGGGGAAAAGGGGGGCAAAGACAACTGCCCTACCTGCATGGCCGGCCCAGCCATGGAGGACAGCTGGGTTCCAAGGCCCCCCGCAGCGCCCCCTGCGTCCACCACTGAGCGGTCCAGGCTGCCGGGCCCCTCGCTCGCGTCCCTGCTCTGACTCGCCTTTTCCTCCGCCGTGCCGGAGCCGGCAGCCGCCTCCGCCCTCGGCGGGGAGCTGCGCGCCGGCTGCGGCGGCTGCATGAACAGCGCGAACTGGGGGAAGGAGGACAGCATGGCTGCCACGCGCTCGTCGGCGTCCATGGGCAGCAGCGCTGTAAAGAACGGGTGCAGCACAGCCTCAAAATAGGCTGGGAACAGGCGGGGACCCCACTGCTCCAGATAAGCTGCCGCCGACAGCCTCTTGCCTGCGCGGGGATCTGGGCGCTTGAGAAGTGTCCGCTGCTCCCATATTCTAAGCATTGAATTTGTCAGCAATTTGCCAGTATTGCTGAATTGTGCATCGTGCAAAAGTGGGAAGTTTACCTGGCTCTAGCTGGATCATGTGCATTACAAGCTGCTGCATGGGGGCCTCCACCTGCAAAGCACCATTGGCCAGGGATATAGCAACTGTCTGACTCACTTTTCTTGTCCCAGGCAGGCTATATTAGCAGGCGAGAGACTAATCGCAAACTCACCTGAGCAAGATCGTTGGACGGATCATATTCTCCTCTCCTGTAGGACAGCAGCTGCGAGGCAGATAGACATGTCAGTGACAACATTTCAGCGGCCGCAGAGAATGATGCAATGTAAGAAGTGGAGGACAGCAGTGGACAGAGCTGACTGTACCTTTGACAAGTCGAACAGCGCCTTGCCCTCCATGAACAACTCAGCAATAACACAACCCATCGAGAAGATGTCCTGCAGCCAACCACATGTATTGAAGACCTGTTCCCATTGCATTTTCTCCAATTGTAGTTTCTCAAGCAGTGTCATTGAAGCCATTGGCATAGATAGCTCAGCCTACCATTTCTGGCATCAATCTCTGCACAGCCAGCTGCCCAACATCTGACGTGCCGGACTCATAGAAGCGCTCTGGAGCAATGTAGCAGCGCCTCCGGCCACCCGTGTCAAAATAGAAAGAGAAATCAGCCTGCACAAATTGATATATTGTTATTATTATCAAACGCCTTTCCTGCCAAAAGGCATGGTACACATCAATAAAAAAAAACGCAAACATGCCCCTGCCTGTTGTGTGTGTGCTGTCTTTCAGTGCTTGTGTAGTACGGCATGTTGATGCATGTAAGCAGTACTTAACCAAGACTCACCGGGTTATCGACTGGTAGGTATGTGGGTTTGTAGGAGGCAAAGTCTGCCAGGTACACCCAGTTCCACGATGTGACCAGAGCGTTCTCGCACTTGATGTCCCCATGGCAGACCCCTCTCTCGTGCACTTGCGCCAGCGCATGCAGCAGCTGGAAGGCTATCCATCTCTGCCACATCCCCAGGCACATCTCACAAAACCTTCCTCCGTTACTGAACATTTTCAGAGCACAGGCAATGCTACCCACATTCTTGTGTCAGATGGATGAGACCATGCATTGGTCTGAAGTGCAGTTGTAGGCACCTTTTCAATGCTGCTCAGGAACGGCCTGGTGCTGAGTCGATGGTACAGGTCTGCAAAGATGTATGGTCGGATCAGGTAGGCTGCCCTGTCAGACTCCAGGAATGCCTGGAAAGGCAGCACATGCACGCATGCAGGCCCTGACAGACGTTCCCTGCGCACCAAGCATCACACTCTGAGAGATCTATGCAGACTTTACGCGCTGATTGCTATGGACCATGCATGCTCCTGCTCAGGACCCTTGCAGCCATATTGTTGTAAAAGTGGACACATCAGCAAACACCACAGCGCCTACCTGATCTCCAGGAGCCTGGATTCATATCCTCGCAGGTCAGGGACATCGTCTCGCTTGTAGTAGACCTGCAACCATAGCGTGGGAGTGTCATAACCGTGAAAAGTAAGTAGGTGGTTGGCTGGAGATTCTTGGTCTTCGGTGCATGATTACAATTACCTTCACAACTACCAAGCCTCCATCGTCGTGCAAGCACAGCAGAGTCTTCAGAAAGCGACCACCACCTGCAGCATCACAAATCGATGCGTCTGACTTAGTGAAGACCTATCACGATTTGGTGCATGTGTAAGCTAGGTAAAGAGAGTATTACTAAGATCACAATAATTGCCATATTTTATATAGCAGTAGATTAACCTGACCCTTACCAAGATTCTCTTTCAGTACTACTTTGGGTACTTCCGCAAGATGCTCGGGCTGCAATTTCTGGGGTTGAGACAGCTGGTTCCCCATGGCTGCCTTATTCTACACCATTTTCGTTTCAAGTTTGGGGAAATCTTGCCTCCTCCTGGCTTTGGCACTCAAGAGGAAGCAGTGAGGACTGGAGGGTTTGTCTTGCTAATTAGGGTTTGTCCAAGATGGCCTTCCTCGTCGTCTTGGGCCCAGCAATTTTCCTTTGTAATAGACCCAGTCCGACTTTCAAAATCATTCAACAAAAGACAGCATCTACCCTTACAATCCTCTAGTATTGACCATTCAATTTATTTTGCCGGAGACAAACCAAATCGGTGGACATTTTCTATTTTCCAGAGCACATGCTCAGTATGTCAACTCGTACACGCTGAATCAATGTTCAATCTAGCCAGAAATTCTAAATCTGAGATCATCGGTACATGTGCTGGGTACTTGTTACTCGATGGCCAATGGCTCAACATGCAGTGACAGTGGCTCGGACCTTGCGGCCCTTCTAGAACAGGAGTTGGACAGTGCATCATTGCCTGGGTCTCCTAAGGAGACGGTGCTGGCTGAGGTTGAGGTGCTGGAAGATTCAAGGCAGGCAAAGCGGTGAGGCAGCTCATTGCGTGCATTGGAGCGCAGTGGCAAAGTACAAGTGAAACACATTCATAGCTATCAAAGAGCTTTTCCACGCGAATTTACGCTTGTTGCAGGCAATTAGCGGATCAAGGTGCAGGGAAGCGATCCCTGAAACGTCCCAGATCAGGTAGGACACTCCTGACAGATCTTGTCCTCTCCTGGTAACGTCGACACCTAGCTTCCTCAGCAAAAGGCATGACGAGCCGTGCCTTGACAGCGCAGGCGCACCCACAAATGTTGGGCAGGACAGCCTCTGTCCGCCCCACCCGGGCTTCATGCATGGCATGTGCATCAGATGTGGCACTGAGGAGGATTTGGCAGACGGCGACACTGTAGCTCTGAGGCAAGGAAGATATATTGCTATTGCATGGGACTTCACATGCAGCTTGCATGGATCAGACACTGGTCAAAATTGAAGAGAAGAAACAAGCACTGTGCTTGTGGCACAGGTACATTCACTCCGGGCTGAAACTCAGCGCTTCAGAAGCAGAACGTGTGAGGTGGGCAAGAGACACCACCAGGAAACACTGTCTATCTACAAGTCGCTTGTAGACCTAGCTAATTAGGTGATGTCAGACAATCAGAGATAAAAGTGGCTGCAGGCAGCAGAGCCTGAAGAGGGCGCTCAGCAACAGGAAGTTGCTCTTGGTGCTGGACTTGGATCACACCCTGCTCAACTCCACGCGATTTGATGAGGTGAGGACAATACTTTGTCTGTCGTGGAGTGAAAATCCATAATAATGCATCACTCTTGTACTCACTCGGGAGTCCTTTGTGCAGGCGGTGGGTTTTGAGGAGCAGCTTGCTGCCATACAGCGAGCAAGGCCTGAGGATCAGCCGGTGTCACTATACCATCTGGAGCACATGCGCCTGTGGACAAAGCTGCGGCCTTATGTCAGGGTACAACTTTGTCTTGAGAACATCCCTTTTCACTTGCCCCCTGCTCATCACAAAGACACTGCATCAGCAGTCGCAGAATGGCTCTTTGGAATCTCCTGGTGATGTGTGACAGACAGGCCACCAGGGGAACCCGCAATGGAATACTTGTGCCATGTGCGTATGTGCAGGAGTTCCTTGAAAAGGCGCACGAGGTGTCAGAGATGCACATCTACACGCATGGCAACGCGGAGTATGCCATCGAGATGGCTCGCCTGCTGGACCCCACCAAGCGCTTCTTTGCAGAACGCATCATCTCCCAGGTCTAACCCTTCTTTGCACCATATGCCAAGCGTAGTCTCATACCAGCAGCAACATTCATGTCCTGTGAGTGATGACGGCCTGGTGTGGTGTGCAGGGGGACAGCACGGTGAAGCATGTGAAGGACCTGGACGTTGTACTGGGTGCTGAGACGGCCGTGGTCATCTTGGACGACACAGCCGGCGTTTGGCCCTCGCATCAGCAGAACCTCCTACAGGTGCTGAAGCCTGCACATCTCAGCTGAAGCCTTATCATGTGAAATGGCGCAGCCGTCTTGGGGCTGCTTGAGAACGTCAGACAAGATTGTTTTTATAGCTGGGAAACTATACTTTGATATTTCGCGGTGTTTCTTGACAGGTGGAGCGGTATGTCTTCTTCCCGGCGTGTGCGCGCCGTTTCCAGCTGAACGTGCAGTCTCTGCTGGAGCTGGGGAGGGACGAGGACGAGCAGCATGGCATGCTCGCCTCCGCGCTCCGAGTCCTGCAGCAGGCAAGCTCTCCCTCCCAAATACCTACCCCACCCCTCAGCTCTCAGGGTCGAAGATCTGCAATCTTATGAAGGCCGTGCCTTCCCGAGGGTAATGCCCACGGGCCCCCTTCTTCCAGGCTGCTGCCCAGAGTCACAATTTGTCTTCCAATGCAGCATAGCTTTGTCAGTCAGTGCCGGCTGCAGCCTGGGACATTTGGGAGTCATAAGTCGATTGTCATGGATCGAAAGAGCCAAATGCAAGTACCTGACACTGCACGCCTGGTGGGCGTAGGTGCACAGCCGGTTCTTTGGCGCGTCGGCCGGCGGCGGGCAGCAGGACGTGAGGCAGCACCTGCAGGCCCTGCGCCTGCAGGTGCTGTCGGGGTGCCGCATCAGCTTCAGCCGCATCATCCCCCGGGGCGATCGCTTCCCAGAGACCCACCCCCACTGGCAGATGGCACAACAGGTGGGCCCAGCACCCTCTCAATCACCTCGTTTTTATCCTTCACTTGTGAGGCAGCCCTTTCCCTCATCTGTCGTGCTTTGCTTTGCTTCCATATCTGCAATTCTCTGCAGCACAAGCCAATTAAGTTTGCCGTCAGCAATGGAGGCAGCAGAGAGAGTCAAAGCATAGAGTGGGTGCAGCTGGGCGCTGTGGTGACGCTGGGAGTGGAGGAGGACACAACGCATGTGGTGGCAGCAGCCAAGGACACCGACAAGGTGCACTGGGCCGTGGCAAACGAGCGCCATATCGTCTCCCCAGACTGGCTCACGGCATCAGGTACTGTCTCCTTTGCTTGGGAATGGCCCCTGCTGCACTTTGTCGTTTAGCAAATCAGCGACCTGCTGCCAATCAGGACATTTGCAGAGCTGTGATTTTGTTCCTGGTGGACCAGGGATGCGCCTGACAAGTGTTGTGTGTGTGCATGCAGCATGCTTGTGGCGAAAGATGGATGAGGACCGGTTTCCTGTGGGCGATGCACCCACTGTTGTGGCCAAGGTGGGGCTGTCTGCAGAGGAGGATACCAAGGCAGCCTTGGCTGGAGCGGGCGGTGGCATGCGAGTTGCAAGCAGCAATGAGAGTTGAGCATGGAGCCAGCTGTACCATGCAAGGATCTAAGAAAAGTTTGTGTAGGCCACAATGCAGTTGTTGTCCACATTAGGCTGGTGGCAGACAGGAAGCAACCTGTTTAGGAGATTCTCAATAAATTATTTACAAGCTTTTGGTATTTCAGCCTGCTGTTGCGGTTGTGCTCAACCGATGTGCACGTGCTAATTGATTAAAACCTATAAGGATGCAGGAAACTCAACAGCAAGCTTATCCTAGCATGGCATTCCCTCATGGGAACGCTACACAGTTGTAATTACCAGCAACTTGTTCTGATGAAAGCAAGCATATCTCCGAAAGTGACATATGCATGCAGATTCCCGCAGGTGCATATTACCTACTCCTGACCCGGAAATGAAATGGTCATCTTATTGCATAAATAGCAAGTCAGAATCGTGCAAACTGTACATATTGGCCATGGTGTATTCTTGAGTAGCTTGAGCAAGAGTCACGCATGTGCGGGGTGCAATAGCACCGAGCTCTAGGCAGTATCATCTTGAGAACGGTATGTTTTGGTGCATTTGCCTTGACCATAAATCACTTGACTTCTTTATGAGCATCAGTTCAGCATGGAAGCTGACACCAAGGGGACCTCGGTAGTCATCGGCACAGCCACATAGCCCTCATCCACCACTGTTCCATTGACTGGGTCTGAGGAGCACGGACGCTGACGACCCCTGAACATCCACCAGAAATCACAGCGATCAGGATCCCACCATCCATTGCTCACTGAGAATTTCATTACAAGGGAAACATGCATGCATTTGTATCGCATGCATGCGATGGCCCGCACCTGTAGTCCTTCCAGCGGTAGGAGAAGAAGCTGCCGGGCAGGTCCCACATCTGCTGCTCCTCGCAGGTGCTGGGCGTCGGCTGCACGCTCTGCGCATAGCTGTCCGTCGCCCACGCCCAGTTGCTCACCGGCGACTGCACCATATACCAATCAGATTTAGATTTCAGGCCCTCGCTCACAGCTTGTTATTCACCTCGTGCATGCTTCTGCCTGCAGCCTAGCTCGACTTGCACCAGACTTTCAAAGCTGCAATACCACGCTGTGAGATTCATCACAGCTCGCATTCTTCGGGTGTGCCAAGCTCACAAATAGCAGCATGACTGACAATAATGCAGACTCTCCCAAGATTGGTAAGTCTCTTGTAGATCCGGAACAGAACCTGCCAGGCAAGACTCAAGGCCACGCTGGTCAGAGCCTGCCATTGGGCAACTTAAAGGTGACAGAGGGCTTGCACTGGAGCACACCGCGCGAGGGGCGCTGTAGGCGGCGGAGTTGGCGAAGAGGGTGCCGTTGGGAGTGGGGATGGCACCCCAGGCAACGCTCGGCACGGGCGCCACCTGGCTGTGCAGGGCGCCATCCACCGTGCACGGCTTCAGCAGCGGCATCGTGCACTCCGCCTTGCTGGACCTGCAGTGCATGACAACAACCAGTCCTCATGGACTTTTCTGGGCCACTCGCAGCTGCCTCTGACGCTCTGCAGGGCGCTATCCATTGTGGTCTTCCAAGCACGGAAGGTCAGGCCCCCAGATCAATCAGCGCACGCACTGTCTTCTTTCCAGAATGGACTCCATCTGCATGTGTTCCTTGATATTGCTGCTCTGCTATAAATGGCCAATCAGCCTGACAATGGACAGTCTAAAGGGATATCTGCAAGGGTAGACGTGTACAAAAGTGCCGGCGCAAGGAACCATAATCGTCAACTCCATGCCAATTAACTGCTAGTGACTGCCCTCAGTCTGCGTGCTACATACAGCCAGCAGGCAAGAGAAACAGCGAGGGCGCACCTCTTGGCCTCGAGGTCCATGGTGATGATGCCCTGGGCGGCGCTGTCGTTGGCGCGGTAATTGACGATGTAGCGGAAGGTGGAGGAGCTGGCCGTGGCAAACTCTGGGTAGTACGAGCTGTTCACGTAACGGTCCGCGTGGAAGTTCACGGTCAGGCACTGCGGTGGGAGGTTCACCGGCTCGCTGCAGAGCAACCATGCCTCCACCGCCGGCCTGTCTGTCATCAGCCCTGCACAGCCCACATGCATTTTTTACAAGCCTGTGTGAATATTAGCCGCCCAGGCCAAGTATTAAGTGAAAGGCAAGGTGCGTTACTGTTACACCTTCCTTATGCATGCCTTCCTTCCTCCAAGCTTGATTCTCAAGAGTGTCTAGTGAGGATCCTTTGGTGTGTTTTGGAAGCTGCCTTTACCGGCAGCTTGTCCGCAGATGTGCCATGCCTCTGGAAAGAATAGCGTGTACCAATAACATCAAATGCAGTGTTGGAGAGTCAGTGTATCAGGAATAGTGGTAAGAGAGGGTGCGCGCACCCATGTTGTTGCTGCAGCACATGACATCGCGCAGGTAGAAACGGCAAAAGGGCCTGCACAACAGCAGATACTATCGGTCAGAAAAATATCTAATAGACAGAGGTCACTGCAGGCTGACTCTGCAGCTTGCAAGAGCATCGCATGCTTGCGTAGCAGAGAGTTCAGAACTCATGTATTCAGTCAGATTGGTGACGGAGGCTCACTGTCTGTTGTCGTGGCAGATGGGCGGCGGCGGCGGCGGCGCCTGCAAACAGTGCTAAAGAGTCAAGTATAGCACACTTGCACTTTGTTAACTGTAATATTGTCGCAGTGACCAGATGAAAAGTTGGGTTCAATTGCGCAAATATCACGCACTTGCCAAAAAGTAAATAACTTGAATACCCAGAAGAGACTTTTGGACATCACTCGGTCAGTCAGTCAAATTATGTCATCTCCACTGTCCAACAGCAGTACCTTGGGAGCAGGCGCCGGCGCCACGATGATGTTGGCAAACTGCGGGCCGGGGGCAGGAGCCAGAACTGGCTCGGCTGCCGGGGCCGGCGCGGGTGCCTCGCGCACCGGGGCGGGAGCGGCCTGCTCAGCAGCCACCCTCTTGGGCTTCTGTGGAGCCGCCGGCTGCTCTGGTGCACGGGCTGGCGCCAGAACAGGCGCAAATTCTGGTGCCGGCACAGGTGCCAGAACAGGTGCGAACGCCTGCTCTTGCGCTGGAGCCGGTGCCAGAACAGGCGCGAATTCCTGCTCTGGTGCCGGGGCCAGCGCCAGGACGGGGGCGAAGCCCTTTTCGGGCGCAGGGGCCGGTGCATGGACGGGCTCAGGCGGGGGAGAGGCCGGGTGCTGCTCCCCGTGAGGGGCCCGCAGCACTGCGGCGGTGGTGACAGGCCCCTTGGGTGTAGGAGCGGGCGCGGGCACAGGCGAGAAGTGTCCCTGCGCGGGGGCGGGGAGGGGGGCGGGAACTGGCGCAGGGACAGGGGCCCAGTAGCCCTGAGCCGGTGCTGGTGCTGGAACTGTGGCCCAGAATCCGTGCGCCGGCGCTGGGGCCGTCGCCTGCTCAAGCTCTGCCTCAGGCTTCTTGGGCATGGGAGCCTGCTGGGCCGCCACCGCAATGCCCCTGTGCGCTGACTGTGCGGCTGCACGCTTGCGGATCGCGCTTGAATGTGGAAGGAAGTGCGACGGCGCCGGTGCGGGCGCGGCCTCCTCGGCGGTCGGCTTCTCCGCAGCGGGGGCCGGTGCCAGCTTTGGGACGAATGCCGGCGCCGGTGCGGGGCCGCGGGGGTGAAGCTTCTCAGGGGCAGGCGCGGGAGCCACTCTCAGAGCCCTGGGGTGCGCTGGCGCTGGTGCTGGCACGCCCTCCGGATGCTCAGGCTCGGGAGCTTCGGCTGCTTTGACGGCGGCTGCCGCCTTACGCGCTGCGGCGTGCCTCGGTGCTGCACGGGATGGTGCGGGGGCCTCAGCCTCTTTAGGCTCAGGTGCTTCGGCCGCTTTAACAGCGGCCGCCTCTTTGCGCGCCGCTGCATGCCTCAGCGCTGCATGGGACGGCGCCGGTGCCTCGGCCTCCTCTGGCCTGTGCGCAACTACGGGAGCCGGAGCGGCAGCCTTTGCGTGCTCGACAGCATGGCTGGCTGCGGCAGGGGAGGGCGCGGGTGAGTCAGCCTCTTCCTGCTTGCGGCTGCGCGCGGGGGCTGCGGCAGCCGCCAGCGCTTTTCGCGTGGCATGCTCGGCGGACGGGGCGGGCGCTGGGACCTTCGCGTCAAGGACAGCGGACCGCCGCGCGGCAGTGGCTCGGCCGAGGGCCTCTATGGCGCGGCTGACGGCGGCGCTGGCCGGTGTCGGCGCGATGGCCGCCTCTGCCTCGGGCACTTTGGCTGCCGGGCCCGGAGCTCTGGCGTCCGGCGCGGCAGCGCGGCGTGGCTCGGCCGCCTTCGCGCTGGCGGGTGCCTCTGCGTGTACCGCCGCCTTGCCGCTGCGCGGGGCAGGGGCGGGGTTGCCCGCAACGGGCAGCTTCCGGGCAGGCTCCTCAGCTTCAGGGGCGGGCGCTGGTGCGGCGTCTCTCTTCTCTGGAGCCGGAGCCTCGGCCTCACCTGCAGCAGAAGTATTAAGGGTCAACAGACCTGATAGGTTCGAAATCCCTACCAATGGTGTCAGCGACCAGCAAGACATTACAGTGGTTTACATTGTTGTACATTTTCACAGCAAAAGTATTTGCTGTTGCTCCCAGCAACGGTGACATTATCCACAGGCAAGTACAGCCCAAATATAACGAAGGGGGCACAAGAGCAAGCACGCACCTTTTGTGCTGACTTTGGAAGCTGAAGGTGCTTCCTTGGGAGCATCTGCGCGTGCAGATGCAGCTGCAGTGGGGCCTTCCGAATCTTCTTGGCGCTTGGGTTTATCTGCAGCCTTCGGAGCACCGGCAGACGATGGTGTCGCTGTGCGGTTTCCGATCTCCACCGCTGGTTCCTGCACAAACACAGTTTCATGCATCAATGCTTTGCAGGCTTTCAAGCACAGTACTCATTGCACTGAGGACCTCAAAATATGGGAATCGGAGCTGCTGCCTTGATACATCTGGCAGGCGAGTCTTTAACAAAGATTATGGCTGACAAATCAAGTACAGGGTGCCCTGCAGCTTGTCTGCAGACGCACCCTGCCACTGGCAGGGAAAGCAAGTTAGTGAAGTAATAATGACAATAGTTTGTCCACAAGTTAGGATGGAAGGAGCTCTATAAAGCGCACCTCTGATGGAACAGGAGCTGGGGCAACCTTGGCTGCATTAGCCTCAGCTGTCTGGTTCCCCACGTGCACTGGGGCTCTCTCCAGTGTGTCTGCTGCCGGTGCAGGAGCCGGCTTTTTCACAGGAGCAGCCTCAGGGACTTCAGCTATGGAGAACGCTCGGACAGGCAAGCCAGCTGGGGAGGGGGCTGGAGCACCATCTAGCGCCTTTGTGTCAGCACCCTGCTCCTGGGCCAGTGCACCTGCGTATGCTGACACAGGTCAATTCGTGATCCCACCTGCAGTGTGATAGATCTGTGCTGTTACACTGTGGGGTGTACTCACTTCAAGCTCGAATGGAGACTTCCAGAAACGAGCGACGTTGGGAAGGCGTCGGGAAGGGTTAAACGAGCCGAAAGCGGACCTGAAGCGAGTATGAGCAGGAAAATGGCGGTGTAGGAGTTGCGTCGCCCGGCCATCCTGGCGGCCTGGGCGTGCTGGTCTGCTGCCTGAAGTCGGCTACCGGTGCCTCCTTGTCTGTGACAAATGATTTCGGCTGCTCGCCTGTGTTCCTGATTTGCACGAATTGCACGCAAATCATCAGGAACTTGCTTATGTATACATACTCGTTGTCTTAGGGAGCGGGTGCAGAGGTTCAACATCGGCGTCCCCGATCCTCTTCGACCGTAGTTCCAGGGATCTATCCAGCCAGAATGAAAGCTTTCAAGGCGGATATGCAGATTGCAGGAAATTCATCATGCCTTGAGGATGCAAACACAACCAGGAGGATCACCGCCCAGGGCCTTGGGGAAGCACCTTGTGACGATAAGTATTTGTCGTTCGGCAGGGGGTCGCCGCCACACCTTGTGGGAAGCAGTTGAAGTCAGACTCTACAACCTCTGGAAGTGACAGACTCCCAGCGGTGTAGACTTATGCACGGCGGCTCTGTAAAAATATCTGTCAGGCTGTCCTGCTTCTCCTGAATTCATATGCATCCTGGCAACGCCGCTAGAGTGATGCCAAATTTGGACGAATGAGAAGGAGGATCATCTGGCTCATGCACATTTGTCAAGCTACATTTGTTTTGTGTAAAATTGAGATCCGGTATGGATTGTCGGTACTGGAAATGTCAAAGTTGCATGCAGAGGCATCTATCGACAGCAGATTGATCCAGGCATGTCGTTTGCATGTGTTGAGAACGCACCCGAGACGAAGCAATCAATTCAATCGGCATAGATTATCGTTACATATTCTTCCGAATCGGTCAAATGAATGGCAGCAGTGCAATAACAACTGCCGAAATTCCAAGTCCAAGGCTACTCGCTGCCTTGCACAAGGCAGATCGCCAGGTCAAAACCACCTCTGATGACGCTGAAAGCAGAACAACCTGAGGAATACACCTTTCTTGCACCTTGCGAAGGCTTCAGCTGATTCCTGCGTGATTGCAGGCGTGAGCTCTGCAAAGGAGCCCATTGAAGCCAGGGTGCTCTCGTCCTTCCTGAATCTCACCAGCGTCCCTTATAGGTGAGCAAGGAATGACTGTCAAAGCTTTCAGTACATATGGAACCCACAGCACCAGGCTCTGAGACCATTGTGCTCGTCTGCAGCTCGTATGTGCCCAGCCCGAAGACCTTCCTTCATGATATCCATGCGGTGATTAAGCAGGTACGGTCTCCGGTAACTACCATATGCCTGCACCAGACGATATCAACGTGCACGTGCCCACCCAAACCCTGCAGCATGCCCTGATGCATTCCACACCAAAAGCCGGTTGAGTCAACCGTGCGCATGCGCATGCGCGCAGCTATGGCTGCTGGTGTTGCTGGTGCTCATGGCGCGCGCGTCTGCGACGGCGAGACTGTCCCTGACGCTCGGCCTGGCGGCCGTGACGGCGGCGGCCCTGCCCCGCAAGCTGTGGCAGCCGCAGCTCAAGCGCCTGGGCACGCTCGGCCTCATCATCTTTGTCTTCACGGCCATCGGCGCAGGCACGCTCCACCAGACACCTTGGAGCGAGTAATAACGTAAAATCAATCAATGCAGGAAATCCAAGACATAGAAGGTAGTGTGAGGGCCAAGGAAGGAGGGATGTCTGCCTCGCGGTGGAAACATAGTGCATCGACAAGACAACCATCTCCCGGCCCAGGAGCAGTAATGATCAAATTGCATACATGCACAATTTCTACGATCACCTGCTCCTGCTGCTGCTGATGGGGAACATCTGTTGCTACTTTATTGAGTTGTGGCATATAAGGGATAAACTTTGATGGGTTTTGATTGCTGCGGGGCAGATGGCGTGCCGCCGGTGCTCCAGACGCGCGGCGTACCTCCAGCAGCGGAGGGTCTGCCGTCTACGCTTAGCACGACGGGCGGCTACGGCTACGTGCTGTTCCACTTCTGGTTCATAACCATCACGCGGCGTTCCATGTCCCTGGCGATCGCTGCCAGCTGCCTGACCTTCGTGGCGCTGCAGGTCTGCCTCCTACCTTCTTGTGCCTCTTGCTGTTGCATGAGGACACGCCAGAGGTGTTTTGACAGGGGACAGGCACTGTCAAATCCCTTCGGGGACATACCTCGGGGACATTCCGGGGACATATGGTATTCAAGAAGAGGGATATCAAGCGACCGCCAAGCAAGTAAAATGGTCATCTGGGCCGGGTCAATTTCTTTGGCAAATAGGCTAGCCTCCGCACATGGTGCCACTGTCACGACAGCATCGCTCGCCTGATCATGTTGCACTGGCGGCTGCAGAGCGCAAGCCTGAGCTTGACGACAACGCCGGCTGAGGAGATGGCGGTGGGCCTAAGGCTGGCGCTGGCTCCGCTGCGGCTGCTGCGGCTGCCGGTGGACGAGATCGCACTGACGCTGCTGCTGTCCCTGCGCTTCATGGCGCTGGTCACTGAGGAGATGCGCAACCTCAGCCTCGGCCTGGCCGCGCGCGCCGTGCCCTGGCGCCGCCTGCCCCCCGGCGGCGGCGTGCAGGCGCGTTCCCTCTTTTCTCAAGGGAGAGAGAGATGCAGATATCAAGGCAGAGCGAGCGCGAGACATAAGAGGAAGGGCTGCCTTATGCAGAAATAAATTGCACTAAATTGCTTGATTTGCTCACCAAGTTTCTGGCTTGCACAGTCACTCCACATGCATCTTGCCACTTGTGACTAATCCTGTAAATGTGTGAGGGTACACGGCTGCCTGACACATCCATCTCCGTGCCTGCTCCAGGATACGCTGGATGAGGAGCTCAAGTCGTTGCAGACCGAGTGTGTCATGAGTATTTTATGTCTGTGTATGTCTGCTGCAATCATCATGTGTCTTGGGTAGATCTTGAGCGATGAGTGTGTGACTGTTGCTGCGCAGGTGCTGCTGCGCTTGGGTGGGCGGCTGTTCTCTAATCTCATGCAGCGGAGTGAAAACATCGCCCTTGCAATGCAAGCCAGGGATTTTGCGGGGCCGGAGGGGCACCATGTGCATCTGTCTGCAAAGGAGCATGTCCCCCTTGTGCCCAACATTTTGGCCGTGCTGTTGCTCTCAGCCCTTCTTGTCGGAGCACAGCAGTTCCAGCTTTTTGCATGAGGCACAGAGGTCTGCAGGGGGGTCCCAGAATAGTGTGATAATTAATCATTTGTTTTCGACAGCAATTGGAGAGATATCTTGGCTGTACACATGTGTGGCTTTACGTGACTCAATCTCAGTCAGTTGACAATGGTGTAACAGTGAGCGGCTGTGTGCCCCGTACAATGTATCTACAGGGGCGCATGCGCGCATTGAAGCCCGGGGGCTGTTACAGTACCGTACTGTGACAGTGGCCGGTGACTACGGTAGCGCGTTCAAGCGGTTGAGGCGGGCCAATAGAACGGCATATAGGCATGCACATTGTCTGGACTACATTCTTAACTTGCAAGGAGAAACACTACTTTAAGATGGAATGGAGAAGATTTAAAAAAAGAAGATTAAGAAGGAAACACGATCAAAGTGTGAAAGGGGTCTGGAAGCTGCACAAATCAGTAACCCCTAGGGCATTGAACATTTGTCAGCATTTCCCCAGTTCTCAAGTTTCAATCCAATTTCACAGCTTCAATCTGATCCCCAACAATCCAAGACTGGTGTGTCGACAATCTCATCGTGATCGTTGCTATTGGGCCCCGATATAACTCAAGCAGAGCAATCGAAGATCGCTCAAAGAGTCGAATCCTCCTGTTCACATCTGGAAATGAGCAGAATATACTCAGCAGAAGAGCTATCGGAATATGATGGAATCAAGCGACAGGAAATATATGTCAGCGTGAGGGGAAAGATCTATGACATGACGCCTGGAAAAGACTTTTATGGTCCAGGTAATATGCTCTTATGGGGAATTCAGATGCCATAGCCAACCATGTCTTTGGACCCTTGTCATATGAACAACGATACAGGCCATTTCAGTAATTTTGGAACGCTCCACAGGTGCTGGTTACCACATCTTTGCAGGAAAGGAATGCAGCAGGGCCCTTGCGAAGATGTCTCTTTCTGCGGACGATTGCACGGGCGAACTTGGCGATCTCGATGAAAAACAACTGAAAGTTCTGGATGACTGGCAGAAGAAGTTTGATGAGAAGTACACATTCGTTGGAAGATTAGGCTAAGCTGCTTGGCAGATCCTAGCGTATGCAGCTGTTACGACGAACATATGGCCTCTCAGCTGCTTAGATATTATTTGATTGTCAATTAATATCGTCTCTATAGAATCTGGAACTGTAGCTCTGCTGCAGGGCCTACGAATGAGGAAGAAGCGGTTACTAACAGTAACGCTCGAGCTCGTGCGTGGTCTATTCTTGGATTCCAGACGGCGTCGATCTCCTCTGAGGCTTTGTGTGGCGTGATCTAGGACCCTTGGAAAACTGCTTGGGATGTACATCGTAGAAAACCACTCGAGTGTTTTTAATATTAGCGTCCCAGTTCTGGGGAACGAGTCCTTTGCGGACGTCGCATCGCCGTGCCAAGGTTGGACCTGCATGACGGCTTCCTCATAGGCTAGAACGGAACGTTATTTCATGTGACACAAAATCACGTAGACATGAAGATTGCTGCATTCGCCGTTGCAGCAATCGTTCTCAGCCGGGTCCTAGAATGTGCGCCTGCCCCGATCTCCGTCGTGGACTCGACGGGTTTGGGATTGCAGATTACAACATCGCAGGTCTTGGGAACTTATACAAGCACAACTAGTGCTGATGGAAAGCAGCAGCTCGAGCGGAGAGCTCGAAAGGTGGAGGTCAACTCTGCGGACGGCAGTGGATGCATGCACCGTCAGTGGACCTGCGGCAGCTGTTCAGGCATAAGTAACGAAACGTTGATGATGGTAAACGAGGGCAAGTGCTACAAACCAACGGGATCCAGCTCATATGACTGCGACGGGCAGCGAATCAGCGTTGGTCTGGTCGCAGCAGTACAAAATGGCCACTGTGTGGAGACCTGTAGCCTTCGACCAAAACCCCTGCATTGCTCAGAGCCAGCACCCACAGGTATGCGGCATTTTTCACAGTCGACTCATTGCTCTAACTTCCGTTCATACATGGTCAATGCCACTGCCTTGCTGGAGTCAAAGTGACGAGCAAAGCACCTATCCCAGGGATAGCAGAAGGCTAGACAAGTGATTCACTTGCCATAAAATCCAGAGGCAGCCCGTTGCTTGACACTGGATTGGCCCTGGCTTGCCGCAGGGTCGCCAACTGCCCACAGCAGGCAGCTCCTTGCTGCAGCGGTCCTGTCTAATTGCGAAAGCCCCAGCTGGCAGTGCCAGCTCAACGCCACGCAGGCCAGCATCGCCCCAGAGGTCTACGACCTGGTCAGATCCGCGCCGCAGAACTGCACCGCGCTGAGCAACACCATGCTCTGCGGCAGCTACCTGCTCGATATGGGCCTCTTTGACGCCATCAGGGCCGGCGCCTGCCAGCTCGGCTGCACCAGCTCTGCCCCTCCGGGCTGCTCAGTCCCCCCGGCCCCGGCCGTGAAACCGTACGCAGCCTTCAAGGCGGTCCTGCCAGCCTTGCAGCCGGCTTTGGCGCCGGCGACCGTCCCGGCCCCCGCGCCCGCGCCGGCGTGCCCGCCGCAGCCGCAGCCGGGCTGCTCCCGGGCGGAGCACGTGTGCGGGGCGCAGGGCCAGTACAGGATCTCGGACGCCCAGTTTAACGCCCTCAATGCCGCCCACAGCTGTGCCGCTGACCTGGACGTCTCCTTCTGCATTGTTGGCAGGTGCTCTCTGATCCAGTCTTTCATAGAATTTCGTCCCTGCACAGAATGTACTCATGATGCCTTTTGCTGACCTGATGCCTTTGCTGGCCTTTGCAATCCATGGTACAGTTTTGTAAGCTTTGAAGATGCTGGCATATCTTCTAATGGGTGCAGCGGGTGCACCTGCAGGTTCGTTGTGGAGGCGCTGGTGTTTGATGCGGTCAAGGGCGGCAACTGCACGAGGGAGTGCCTGGAGGGCGTCTCCCTGGCCACCTGTCCTGCCGCGGCCGCGCCAGATCTGGCTCCTGCGCCAGCTCCCGGTTTTGACCTCTACGGCGCTCCCGCACCGGTGGTGGCAGCCAGCAGTAACCGCCTGGCGCAGCTATCTACACTGTCTGCAAGCACAGCACAGGTGATGAAGGTATTGCTGCCTGGCTTGCCAGATGCAATACAGTTTCATGCAAGCACAGCTTGACACCATAAAATTGCTACTGAGCCACAGCTACACGTATTGCGCCCCAGATGGCTTTTTGCTCTGTCAAAGGACCCCTGGTGTGGCACCGGGGAGCACTTTTCTCTCCAGTTAAAATGATATTCCCCTGCTGACGTAGATTAATGGCATGCAGGGCGGCTCTGGTTCCATGTATGAGCTCCTCATGGGCCCCTTGGGAGAGTGCTCTGTCACCTGTGGTGGCGGCCAGGCGCAGCGTTCCCTCTCCTGCATCGATGCCATTCTAGGGCTGCCAGTTGAGATGTCCAAGTGCCAGCTGGACGCCAGCGCCCTGCACAACCTCACCCAGCCCTGCAACACCCAGCCGTGAGCCCCTGCACGTCCTTGCTGCCTTAACATGTCCACTATCCAGAATGAGCTTTCCATTCGACTCAAATAATCTGCCATGGACTCCCTCAGTGCCGAGAGAGTATTCAGTAATACGTGCTGCATTTTGTGGTTGAAGTAAGGGTGTTATTCATGATGTGACTCATTATTTCTTGATCATGGCTGAGCAGGTGCGGCAGCTGCCACTGGGAAGCCGGCGAGTGGAGCACCTGCTCAGCGGCATGCGGCACAGGGGCAGCCACGCGCAGCGTCCAGTGCATAAGCGGCGGCCAGGCCGTGGCGGTTGATTCCGCGCAATGCGCCGGCGGCTGCGCGGCGGCCGCCGCGCCGGCCGCGTTTCGGAGCTGCGCTGCGGCGGCGCCGTGCGTGGCCATCATGTGGCAGACCGGCCCCTGGTCCGCCTGCCAAGGCGGCGGCGCCACCCGCAGCGTTGCCTGCGTCGACGCCAGCGGCAGAAGCACTGATTCACAGGTAATTGATACCCCTGTGCAGGCCTTATGCTGCTTTCTCGACTGCTCTAAAGCTGCAGATGACTGTGATCATTCGGCCTTCTTGTCTGCCTACAATAGGAAAAAAGGGCCTGCAAGAATCACCAGATAATGTATCGTCACCGCTTGATAACAAACCTCTCCCCTCCCAACATTAAAGAGACCTTTGGTGATACCGGCAGGAGTGCACCCGGCTGCTGGGTGCCGCGCCGGAAGCGGCGAGAACGTGCGGCGTGTCCGGCTGCTCGGCCGACGCGGCCTGCATGAACGGGGGCACCTGTAACACTACGTCAGCGGTGTGCGCGTGCCGTACGGGCTTCGCCGGCCCCACCTGCTCCATCTCGCTAGGCCCCTGTGCCGGTGGCAACAATTCGTCAGCGCTGACAGGGCCCCTCAACGCCAGCACGCCGCTGTGCTGCCCCACCGGCGTCGTGGACAAGCAGGGCGCCTGCTGCAGCTCGGGTGCGCACATATACTTGTTGCAGAATTCTGCCCTCTGTCCTTTGCAGCACCCTTTTTTAGTCTCTGCACCCAGCATGATCGGCACCTGACTTCCTCCAAGAAGCTCAACAAAGTTCTCAGGAAGGAAATAAGCTTAGGCAGCAATAAGTCGAAGGCAGCAAGCGGCCGGAGAGGAAGCAGTGCAGGTGGTGAACATTTCAGTGGACGGGGGGTGCAGGAGTGGTGAGCGACGGGGGAGCATGCTGCGCTGCACCCATCAAGGGGACCGCCACGCTGGACCGCTCCGGCCAGTGTTGCAGCAGCGGCCGACTGGATGCATGCGGCATGTGCAGCGGCAACGCTACGGCTGTCGACTTCACCGGCGCCTGCTGCGCTGGCAGCCTCGACGCGGGCGGCCGCTGCTGCCCTGCGCCGGCCGTCACTGATGAATTTGGCGTCTGCGGCGGAGACTCGTCCTCTGGCCTTGTCGTGCTCAATCTGGGCACTCTCACCAACGACACCCAAGGCAAGCGTCTTCCGTTCATGTTGAGCTCCTGCAGATACGGAATGTAGAATCTTGGCATTGTGATCACTCGACTGCATTGTGAAAACATTACATTCATTTGCAAAAAATAATTGTTCTTGAAAGATGGGTGTGTTTTGCAGGCCTCAGCGACAGCAGCTCTCCAGGATACGCTGCATTCAGTCAGGGTCTCCTCAGCGATCTCAGTACAAGGCTGGGCGTCAACACCTCGCAGATCTCTCTGAAGGCCGTCAGCACCCCTGGAGCCGCCGCCAGACGACTCCTGTCCAGCGAAGTATGCCCCCAGACCTCACATCAAATCTCACCCCTCTATGAACTAGAGCCTTCTGGAACCTGTGCAAAACTTTGATGCAGCAGCAGCACGACTGTCTGGTGCTTTTGTGCAGGTGACACCAGTGATTGATGGCGTCATCCAGAATTCAGCCACGGGCCATCCGTCCAGAATCTTGTACAACCCAGACCTTGCTTTCATGTCCGTGCTGGGTGCGGCAGGGAGTCAGCACCTCGCCCATGCCTTCACCCATCTGGTGAGCTGGCTGTGCCACGTGTCCACCGCATGTATTCATGAAACTGGAGGCGCCCTCTTTGCTGTTGATTTTTCACTGTTCCCAGCCAGGCTTCTGCATCCATGACGTGATGCCATCACGGTGATGGCATGCTGAAGGATACAGGGGTCATCAGGAATCCAGGGTCCAGAGATATCAAAGTCAATAAATGTCTGACAGTCCCTTTGAGGACACCACCCATGCATGCAGCCTAACCACCCAGATGCATGTTCATTGCTGTCACATGAGTTTGTCAAGATGCATGTGATGTATGAACAGGCGCATGGGAGGGCTCTGGCGCAGTATAGCTCAGCAGCAGCGGCAGCTGAGGCGACTGTGTGGGTGGTCCCCCCGTACGGATCGCTGACATACGCGCAGCTGCTGCAGCTTCTGGGCAACAGCTCGGCTGCGGATGCGGCTGTGCGCCTGACCGGCGTCAGCAGCTTCAGCAAGAGCGGCCTCGCCGGCAACGGCCTCTGCGAGCTCGGAGAGCTTCCCTCCGCCGACTCGGCAGGCAAGCATACATGTCCCCTCACTCCTCTTACAAGAAAAACAAGGAGGGCTGCCTCAAGAGAGGCTGCATGTTTAGCTGGGATGGAGCAGCAGAGAATACATGCATTAGAGTCCAGCTGTAAAGGGTCTCCCTCTGGAGTGAGAGCAAGCAGGAGTTGCTCTGCTCACAAGGGTTGCGCATGCAAGATGGGGCAAAGGTTGGGAAGCGCACTCCAGAAGAAGAGCTTATAACAGATTCAATCCGAGTTAAAAACCCAAGTTGTTCATTAAATTTTGCATCACAATGAAAAAAATGCCCACATGCACATACATGGGGCGTGCAGGTGTGCCGGCAGACTGCCCATTGGGCTACCACGCAGTGCCCAGCGGGTTCAATGGGACTGCCTGCAGCGGGCGAGGGCTGCCGGTAGCGGCGCAGGGCGCGTGCCAGTGCTTTGTGGGCTACGAGGGCCCGGCGTGCGGCGGCTGCGCGGACGGCTATTGGCCGGCCGGCGGCCTGTGCCAGCGCACGCTCGGCAGCTTCCAGGCAGCTGCAGCCCTCGCCGGCCGTAACTCCCTCCTCATCCCAGCCGCCGCACCCGCCCCGGCCCCCGCCGCCGCAGCCAAGGTAACCCCAATTTCTGGTCATGCTCTCACTTTTCGCAAATTCTTTTATCAACCCAGAAAGGGGATCATTGGCCCAGAAGTGGGACTTAATAAGAGGATGAACCGTTCAGAGTCCCCCCAACATAACCACACCAGCGGTCATAGCTCTTGTATTGCAAACTCTTGAAGGGCCCTGTTGCCACATGCAGCCCAGCTGAATGGGTGCAAAGGCAACTGTAATTTTATCCTGCAGTATACCTTGAAGTTTGTAAAAAAAAATTGATGCTTTGTTGGGGTGCAGGACGAGGCGGCGTCACTTGCAGCGCCACTGATCGCGTCTCTGCTGGGGGCGTTCCTGGTGCTGTCCTTGGTGGCGGTTGTCTGGGTGATTGTGTCGCGCCGCCGCAAGCGCAGAGCGGCCGAGCCGGCCGAGAAGGCACCCGCCGTCGAGGGCAGCAAGGGCTCCCTGCAAGACCCCGAGAAGGGCCACAACGCTGCCACCTCATCCCAGGTGCTTTGAGGGTCCACAAGTGTTCTGCTTGCCTCCTGTTGTCCCAAACCAATTGTATCCATCGCAGCAGAAATGGTGGTGTAACCATGCCAAGATCTTGACATTCAGTATACTCACTGCGTTCTCATGCTTCTGCAGGTGGCTGGAACGTTGGGCCCACAGAGTCATGCCATCAGCCTGGTGTCTGACAGCAGCACCCCCCATGTGCGTCCTGTGACACTGAAGCAAATAGTCTTGCCTGAACTGCGCCAGCTTCAGATTTTTACAGCACCTGCTGCTACTGCACTAACACTGCTTGTGATGGTGCAGGCTGCTAGTCCAACAGAGACTGCCCGCGGCAGCTTCTTCGGCCTGTTTGGCAGGCAGTCTCAACAGCCACCCATGCAGCCCACCGCCAGCCCTGTGTCGGTGCGCAACCTGCCTGCACGTGGCCATACAACTGCACCTGAGCCTTCAAATGGCTGATTATCCCTGAAGACTTGTCAATTTTTTTTGCTCACTGCACCTAACCCTTTCACACCGCTGAACATGCACAAGGAGTGATCAGAATTTCATGCTGACAGCATGTCCTCACATGCCTGCAGGACTCGAGCTCGTCAGGCTCAGTGTCATCGCTGACGTCAGCGTCGCGCCGCCGCTCGCACGCGATGGGCTCCATCACTTTCGCCAGCCCTGCAGACTCGCGTAGCGCCCCCATCAACACCTCCCGCAGGCACGCCTTCTTTTTACATTTTTGAATCTGTTGCTGGTCCAAATGCAACAGATATCTACATTCGGACTGTATACACGCCCTGCAACTTTCTTGTTTCTCCACAGATAGGCCATGATTAGGGAACCCTCAACCCAAGAATATAGGCACTCCCATGCTGGTCTGCGCAATACGACATTTTCCTTCACGTGCCAGCGAAGCCAGACAAGCAGATGTAGCGTGCTGGGAATGCTCCCTCTACAAGCCTCAAAGTTGTGCATGCTGGAGCACGCATGAGGGTCCAAGGGGTAGAAGTGAGCGGTGTGAGATGACGCAGGGGGACGTTCTCGTATGTGCATGACACTGAGCAGGGCACAGTCAGCAGCCACCCCCTGCGTGGGTCCAGCAGCCCGCGCAGCCTGCACTCTGCAGACAGCCAAACACCCTTTCCCACCCAGGTCAGCCCTGCATGCATGCACCGCTCTCGACGTGTGCACATTCAGCGTTACTGTCCTGCAGGCGTCGATGTTGGTTTTCTGCTTGATTGAAATAGTGTGTCCCCTGACAACTTCTTGTATTGCAATGGCATGCAGTCTTTCCGCCAGTCAGGGAGCTTCCGGTCCGATACATCTGACAAGGGCAAGGCGCCAATGCAGCCAAGGGACATTGTCTCGCATCACGTCACAATCACGGACTCATCAGAGCTCTCCAGCGCCGTGTCATCGCCCATTGGCAGCACTCGGCCTGCCAGCTTCATATCTGACAGCGACGCCCACCAGTCTTGAACAAGGAAAGAAACGCAGCACGCGTAGAACTTCTGATGCATTGGGTACTGGAAAAATAAAAAAAATGAGAGCATGAAGGTCAAGAGTATAGTTGACAGAATTTTTGAACAAGAAACAAATTTTTCTGCTTAAATTGATTATCGGGAATGTTGCTTTACACAAGCATGAACACAAACCTGGTGCAGCGCTGTGTATTTACTTCCTTGCATGCATATATATCTCAGTGCCGAACAGGCAACACAAACTTTCGGCAAACTTTTATTTATCATTGTACTACTGATGTCAGTTTACTACGTGGGCATTTATTTCTCCTGGACCAGGAATCCTGGTCATTTGTAAGCTATCCTATCTAGTGGCTTTGTAATCTCTGCTCTGATCTGCTAGGTGTTTGACAGCGCATCTTTTGACAGTTCTGGTGATTCCAAGCACTCCATCATCCGCTGCTGATGAGCAGTGACTTGAGCGATGCAACTGGTATCAATGCATAGCAAAATTGTCAAGTATCTCAGTGACTGCTTTGCTGTCTAGCAGAATGTCACTCTTGCGCAACAGCTGTTCTTACCCCAGCGCCAAGTGCTCCCATACTCTGACCAGCCTCCGAGGCCTAATCTAACCCCATAGCCATGGCAGCTTTGAGCCAGCCTGACCAGAGAGTAGGCCGGTCAGCCCAGGACCATTGTCAAGGGGCCCAAATCCAAGCCGCCAGAAATCTAGCAGGATCGTGACCAGCATGCCGGCAGCCAGAGCGTCTGATGCTGTGCGCGCCAGGCTCCACTTTCGCAGCGACTCATCCATGAAATAGAATGCCGGAAAGGACACGAAGAAGTAGATGGCGTAGAACAGAGACCCCACAGTGTACATGCGTGAGCGGTCCTGCGCACATTGGATACACTATTATCCCGATGCAACCGCTCTCTTTTTAAGATTGTTATATGGGCACCAGCTCTGCTGGAAAAAGAGGGCAGAAAAAAGATCACCTTGAATTTGTAGTAGGGGAAGTGGGCGATTGTGAGTGTCTCCATGTAGGCCGTGGCATAAGCCAACAGGAACACCACCAAGGCCGTCGCAGCATTTTGCGCTGTGCTGCCATACTTTGCTGTGGCAGCCCTCGTCCGCCTCAGCACCACATTGGACAGCGCGTGGTAGAAGCAGAAGTAGGCATGCGTCATGAAGTACAGCGGGATTGGCACCTGTGAATGCCCAAAATGTCAATATTGCAACCGTTCTTTCACTTGCCTGTGAGCCACCATTACAGCTGTCCGGAGACCAGCTGATGGCACTGTACCTTATTGAGCTGCCAGGAAGGGAAGGTGTATTCTGCCCCCAGCAGGTCATAGAAGTAATGGGTCCAGAAGTAGTTGCCAATGAAGGAGAATATCGCGATCCACACATTTGCCTTGACCCAGTACTGCTGGGCCAAAGGCTTGCCCTTCTCCACATTGCCAGCCAGAAGCGGTGGCAGTATGACGCATGGCAGAGAAGCTGCTAAACAGATGGCCAGGTATCCAAGCTCATCAAGCTTCTGCATGCCAATGTCAGTGAGTCTTGTCAGTCCCAGAGAATGCAAGGGAGTCTGCTCAAACAGCCTACCAGGTGAATGCAGGTGCATGGGGTCACAGAGGTTGACGAGGGACTGCACCTCGTACAGCTGAAAGGGCACAAGTATGCCGAGGGCCCAAATGATCCAGAAAGGGCTGTAAATGAGGAAGAAGAGCTCAGTCCATCTTTTCCCTGGGCTAGCAGCTGTCCACAGGCGCTGGACTTTCGGAGCTGCAGAGCAGAGATAGGTGTAAGCCAACAACCCATTGAAATGATGTTCAAAAAGTCCATTATGTTACCACAAGCTCTTCCTGGGTCCTAGTGCTTGCAAAGGAAATGTGCCGACAGAAAATATGAAGCGCACCCATCACGCGTGGAAATGACTATATTGATTTGGCCGCGTACAGTATTGAAGTTCAATTCACATGAGGCTGCATATTGGACTATCTCATCTACATATCCGCAACAGGAACATCAGAGATGCTGATTGATATTTCTTCAAAGGTAAGTTGGATCCTGCAGCATATGCGAACAGTAAAAGCTTACATTTAAATCCAGGATAATTTCTCCTTGCTCCTTCTTGTGGAGTTTGATCCCACGATCAACAGATTTCTTGTCGATCGCCCATTCGAAGCGCCGCCCGAGACCGTGGAAGCTCGGTGTGCTGGCTCGTTCATGTTCCTTCCAAACGTCTTAAACATGATGGTCTACCATCATGATGCTAAATTTTTGAAGAATATGAGCGACGCCATGAACCAGAGAATGTGCTCTTGAAATATCACTGAGGAAAAACTTTGCAAGCAGACATCTTCTGCCATCTTCTTCAGGTGGTGATAAACTAGATGAGACGTTTTAGCTTGGGACTGGACGCTTGAAGCACAATGGCTGATAAGAGCGCACGCCAAGCTCCTGGGAGTGGTGCAGAAGCGTATGCACGCTCACGCCAATATGATTATCGTGCAGTAAGCCGCTTTCTCCCTCTCTTTGCTTAACATTGATGGAGTCACTGTATTGATGCTTGAAATATTCCTACGACTTGATATTGGTGTAGACAGGTGGTGCCTAAAGTTCCTGTACCTGAGAGCACAAACCCTGCTTTGTTGCAGTGATCTGAGATAGTACTTGCCATCATTTTGCTCAGGCTTTCGAACAAGGCTATTAAGAGCTTCATTTCAATATTGTTTGTCCATTTTTTACGGCCATGTTGTGCTTTTCTTCTTTTGCACTGTGATGTAATTGCTTCCTTTTCCTTGCAGAATTCCAACCTCGTGCTCACAGCCGAGACCAGGACTCGGGAAGCTGCGGAGCCCAGTGGGGAGCCAGAGACGCTCTGGGGGCGGATGCCAGGCAAGATGGGCGATCGCGTGCAGTTCAACAAGCCCGAGGGCCTCAGTGAGAAGAAGGCCAAACAGAAGAAAAAGTGCGCCCTCGTGCTGCTCTCAATGAAGTGCATAACTTGTCAAAACTTGCCTACTGCTCTGTCTAGGACCAGATTACAGCCAGCAGCATCGAGCACTGTCCGATCTTAACATGTGGTCTTGATATGTGTTGGATGCGACCCGCAGGCGCGATGCTATTCTGGCAGGGCAGGACCCAGACATAGAGGCTTCGAAACGGCGGAAGGTATGCTGCACAGATGTCTCCACCTTGTCTTCTAGTCCATGTCGAAGCATGCATGTGATGTCCCAGACTTGTAAGCCATCTGCTGAGAGGGCTCTGCAACCTGCAGACCACAGTGCTTGATCTGGATGCGGCGGGGTCATATCGGCCAGCCACAAAGGAGACTCGTGCCGCCTACGAGACCCTGCTGGATTTGGTGCGCAGCCAGTTTGGGGACCAGCCGGCAGATGTCCTCAGAGGAGCTGCGGAGGAAATCCTGGCTGTCCTGAAGAACGACCACATGAAGGTCAGTCAGCATGAAGACCGCATGTAGCTTTATCACATTCTGCAAACTAGTGAGATATCGCACGCTGCGTATCGCTGCCTGATGCTTCATGACGGCGTCAAGCTTCACATAAGCTGCTGAGAGGGATGTGTGCTGGCAGGACCCGGACAAGCACAAGGAGATCAACGCGCTCCTGGGCGAGGTGGACAGCGGCAAGTTTGCGGACGTGGTGGCGCTGGGCAAGATGATGACGGATTACTCTGTGGATGCGGGTGCGGATGATGCCGGCGCGGGGGACATCCTGGACAACGACATCGGCGTGGCCGTGGAGTTTGAGGGAGATGATGATGATGAGGATGATGACGACGTGGACGAGCTTGTGGTGCGTGGCTTTCCTGTGGCGCTCTGTGGTGGCATGTTGGATGTTGCATGTTGGATCTGGCGGTGCTAGCCATTCTCTGAAATGATCTATGCCAGAAGTGTTTATCAGTCGGCAAAGTTCCTTTGAGCTGCTGTGATCATAGGCTATCCATGAAGCGCAAATTGTTGCAATGCCACATGCTTATGAGTACTGAGCAGGCCGATCTGCTTCCTCAGGGCTTCTTGAACGATGTCTGTCATTGTTAAGGGCGCAGATTGTGTCTCTCGAACACATGCATGATTATATGATTGGTATGATTGGTGCATTGCCGCAGGATGAGGAGGACGAGGGTGACGATGAGCCTGGGAGGGTGGATGAGGTGAAGACTGGGAGGGATGTGGATGCCGGGGAGGATGAGAGGGAAGAGGGGCTGCACCCACAGGAGATTGACGCCTACTGGCTGCAGCGGCGGATAGCTCAGGCGTTCACAGACATTGACGCCGATGCGAGTCAGAAGCTGGCAGAGGAGGTCCTCGTCACTCTGCAGGTGTGGCTACTTCATCTTGGTGGCATGGTGTCTATATTCTGCTGTATGCAATGTTGCTGTGGTTTCGAATGGTCCATTCCACCAAGCATGTACTTACGTGCATGCTGAGCGGCTGGCAAGAGCTGATGGAGGGTGTCTCTGGTGTTGCAGAGCGGTGATGATCGGGACGTGGAGACACAGCTCGTGCAGCAGCTGGACTTTGACAAGTTCGACCTCATCAAGGAGCTGCTGAAGAATCGGCTCAAGATTGTCTGGTGCACGCGGCTGCAGCGCGCACAGGCCGAGGATGAGAAGAAACGGATAGAGGTAATTTTCCAATCCCCCGCCACCACCGGTTGCGCTCACAATTACAACGCGATGAATATCACAATGCAGAAATATTGACAGTGTGCTTCTAGCAGGTAGCTATTGGCTTTCTGTGATTGTCCCTGAGCTGAGAATGCTCACGTGGTCTCTGTCTGCGCACAGACGGAGATGGCGGGCAGCCCGGAGACGGCGGTGATCTTGGATGCCCTGAACGCCACGCGTGCCAGTGCGCGCGAGCGCCAGGATGAGCTGGAGCGCAAGATCAGGGACGAGGCACGCAAGCTGCGGCAGGGCGTCGCAGACGGTGAGCCCAGCCACTCTGCTCAAATCCGGTGTTTGCTGCTCAGCTCAGACACAGTAAAGTCCATTTTGCATGCCACTTGATTGTCAGGGCATGGTGCATGCCTTGAAGTACGTGGCGTGAGAGGAGTGGCTAAGGTAGAGTTGTTGGCACAGGCACTGGAGCGGATGGCAGCGGTGCAGCGGCGGCTGGCAGGACGACGGTGGACTTTGACTCGCTCGCCTTCGTCCAGGAGGGCCACTTCATGTCGAACAAGAAGTGCGACCTGCCGAAGGGCTCACATCGCACCGCCTTCAAGGTGAGTTCTTGCGCACAGCTTTGATACTGTCATGCTGAAAAGCCAGAGAAGCTCCAGTATTCGTGAGGAGTGTATTGCGCGAGATTGCATGGGTCTGCAAATTGCGATCGACCTCTTTCTGTGCAGGGGTATGAGGAGGTGCACGTGCCAGCCCTGAAGGCCAAGCCGTTTGAGAAGGACGAGCGGCTGATAGCGATCAGCGAGCTGAAAGAGTGGATGCACCCCGCCTTTGCCGGCATGAAGAGCCTGAACCGCATCCAGAGCAGGGTGTGCAACACCGCGCTGTACACCAGCGAGAACATCCTCATGTGTGCTCCCACCGGCGCCGGCAAGACCAACGTGGCCATGCTCACCATCTTGCACGAGGTGAGCTCCTTTTCTCTTGCATTCTGTACTTCTTATGTATTTCTTAGGGCAAATGTACCTGTGTCCTGCTGACGCATTTCAGAAATTCTCTTCATATTTGGAAGAAGGGCAAGGGGTGTGTGACTGTAGAGAATGTACACTGTGGCACAGATGGGCCTGCACATGAGGAGCGACGGCACCATTGACACCAACGCTTTCAAGATTGTCTACGTGGCTCCCATGAAGGCGCTGGTGGCCGAGATGGTCGGCAACTTCAGCAAGCGCCTGGAGAAGTTTGGCATCCAGGTGCTGCACCTTGTGATCCTCTCGTTCGTCACTTACTTTTTGCTTAGGGAAGACTTTGAAGGAAGCTGTGTAGTTGATAAATGCATGCATTCTGGCTATGAGGAGGTTTGCCTGTGTATGAAAGAGGTTGTGTGATGTCTTGTGGCAGGTGAAGGAGCTGACTGGAGACATGAATCTGACCAAGGGCGAGATTGATGCAACCCAGATCATTGTGACCACCCCCGAGAAGTGGGATATTATCACGCGCAAGAGCGGCGAGCGCACGTACACCCAGCTTGTGCGCCTGCTCATCATCGATGAGATTCACCTGCTGCACGATGGCAGAGGGCCGGTGCTGGAGTCCATCGTGGCCCGCACTGTGCGCCAGATCGAGGTGAGCAAGGAGCATGTGAAGAATTTCATGACAGAGTTGCACTTGCTGCTTTCAAGTGCATGTCAACATGGATGTTTGTTGCATGCAGAGTTTTGCTGGCTTGCAGGCCTGCAGATTTGTGTGCAAGGTGCACACATTTAAACACCTAATGTGTTCAATGCGTGCTTGCAGGCGACTCAGGAGATGACGCGCTTGGTGGGGCTGAGTGCCACGCTGCCCAACTACCAGGATGTGGCCTCCTTCCTGCGCGTGAAGCCGGACGTGGGCCTGTTCTACTTTGACACCTCCTACAGGCCCTGCCCGCTTGCCCAGCAGTACATCGGCATTAACATTAAGAAGCCGCTCCAGCGCTTCCAGCTCATGAATGAGATCTGCTACAACAAGGTGGGCACATTCGTGCATTCACCTCTCCAGAAAACTCATTGCAAGTCTTGAGTTGGAAGGTTTAGTTGACGAAGTGATTTCTGTTGGGTGTGAATGTTCCGATGATGGTTTTCTCATTTGGTGTTGTGGCGCGGCGCAGGTGCTGGACTCGGCGGGCAAGCACCAGGTGCTCATCTTTGTGCACAGCCGGAAGGAGACGGCCAAGACGGCGCGCTTCCTCAAGGAGGAGGCCCTGCGCGAGGACAAGCTCGCCCAGTTTATGCGGGTGGGCCGGCGCCACCCTTCACCTCCCAGCCATGCATGCATGCACATGCCGAAGGCGCCTCTGATCATGCTTGTTACTGTAGGTTGCAAAGAGATGTCTGGTGACAACACAGTGGAAGTGATCCTGATATCAGCAATGTTGTGGATGAGCAGGAGGGGTCGGCCAGCCGGGAGATCCTGCAGACGGAGGCGGAGTCGTGCAAGAACACGGATCTGCGCGACCTGCTGCCCTATGGCTTTGCCATCCACCACGCCGGCATGGCGCGCGCCGACCGCACCCTCGTTGAGGACCTCTTCTCTGACGGCCACGTCCAGGTGCACTTTCCCTCTCACTTGCCCCCGCTCCACCACCTGCAGGGTCCCTCGACTTGCTCAAAGAAGTAAGGATTTGAATTCTTTATCATTTTTTGTTCACTACATAGTTTGGGTGGAAAAAAGGGGAAGGCAAGAATATACATTTGCAATTAGATCAATCGGATTGCAGCACATCACTTGCCACCAGAAAATGCTTCTTTCTGTTTTTTTCACAAGCTAACATATGAGGATGCATGAGAGGTGACCAATGTGCATTGGCTGTCTTGACAGGTGTTGGTGTCAACTGCGACACTGGCGTGGGGAGTGAACCTGCCGGCGCACACGGTCATCATCAAGGGTACGCAGGTGTACAACCCCGAGAAGGGCGCCTGGGGCGAGCTGTCGCCGCTGGACGTCATGCAGATGTTCGGCCGTGCCGGCCGGCCGCAGTACGACTCCTTTGGCGAGGGCATTATTATCACAGGTGGGCCCCGCATCAAGTGCCCATGGCAAATTACATGCTTCGCTTTTCTGTCTTGCATGCCATGTGGCTCTCGTGCATGCAGGCAGGACAGGCGCAGTGACATTGTTGGTCTTTTGTGTGCGTTGCAGGGCACAGCGAGCTGCAGTTCTACCTGTCGCTCTTCAACGCGCAGCTGCCCATCGAGAGCCAGTACGTGGCCACCATCGCCGACAACCTGAACGCTGAGATCGTGCTGGGTACCGTCCAGAACCTGCAGGATGCCGCGCAGTGGCTGGGCTACACCTACCTCTACGTCCGCATGCTTTGCGACCCTGTGGTGCGCCTCCAACTCTTACAGGACTCTTGGCTGCAGTATTCTTCTTTGTTGCTGCTCTGCATCCTGAGCTCCTGCATGTTGAAATTGTTATACAGTGAAATGATTCACGGCATGTGTGTCACAATACATGTGACATGTACATGCACAAGTACAAACGGTGCATGTGCATGTGTGCAGCTGTATGGAGTGCCGAGGGATCAGCTGGACTCTGACCCGCGCCTGCTGGAGCGCCGCCTCGACCTGGCCCACTCGGCCGCCGTCGTCCTGGACAAGAACAACCTCGTCAAGTACGACCGCCGCAGCGGCAACTTCCAGGTGCTCCCTGAATTCACCTCTTTGTTCTGCAGGTGTTGCCTGCCCTTACCCCCTGTTGCCAGAGGCTACCTCTTAGGTCAGTACATCATATAGGAGCAGAGCCCTTTAGGAATGGTTACTGACTGGTGTTGTGTGGGCAGGCGACGGACCTGGGCCGCATAGCGAGCCACTACTATGTGAAGTACCACTCGCTGGCGACCTACAACGAGCACCTGAAGCAGACGATGGGCGACATCGAGCTGCTGCGGCTGTTTGCGATGAGCGACGAGTTCCGCTTCCTGGTGGTGCGCGAGGAGGAGAAGCTGGAGCTGGTCAAGCTGCTGGAGCGCGTCCCCATCCCCGTCAAGGAAGCTATGGACGAGCCCGCCGCCAAGATCAATGTCCTCCTGCAGGTGCGCTATTGATCACTGAAAACCTTCTACAATACCACAACACCCTGTGTGTCTGTACTATTCATTCTTGCGGTGTGGAGCAGCCAAGTAGGCTTTGTTCTGCTAGCATTGATGCAACTGAGACTGTAGGCTACATCCAGCAAATTCTTGAAGCATGGAGATGTTGATCCTTATCATGTGCTAGGTCTTGCATGAATGTATACATGATCCTTCTCTCCTATGGGGTATTGAGTCTCAGCATGTACCTGGTCTGTTGTGGTGCAGGCGTACATATCGCGTCTGAAGCTGGAGGGCCTGTCGCTGGGCAGCGACATGCAGTACATCCGCGACAGCGCGGGCCGCCTGATGCGTTGCCTCTTCGAGATCTGCCTCAAGCGCGGCTGGGCCAACCTCACCGAGAAGGCCCTGGGCCTCTGCAAGATGGTCTCCCGCCGCATGTGGGGCAGCCAGGTGCGCCGCCCTACTCCCCTGTCAGGCCTTCCTCTGCTTTCATGCATCAAACGTTGTCAGGCTCATCCAAACCTTTGGTAGAATTTTGGCATTTAGTTAACAGATCACCTCTACTTAGCTACATATAGCAGGATGCACAGCAGATATGTGCAAAAGGCAACCCTGACTCAGGCATATTCAGTGTGAGAAAAGACGTTGGAGGATTGTTTCTGACGGCTGCGAGTGTGGTGATGCAGACGCCGCTGCGGCAGTTTAAGGGGATCCCGATAGAGGTGCTGACCCGCATAGAGAAGAAGGAGCTGGCGTGGGAGCGCTACTACGACCTGAGCGCGCAGGAGCTGGGCGAGCTCATCCGCCTGCCCAAGATGGGGAAGCTCGTGCACCGCTTCGTGCACCAGTTCCCCCGCCTCGAGCTGGCCGCCCACGTCCAGCCCATCACCCGCTCCGTGCTCAAGGCACGCCACTTCCTCCCTGCATGCTGTGTTTTGCCATCAGCGGCTCTGCTGCATCCCTTTATTTGCTGTTGCTATTTTAGTGATTCACAAGGAAAATAACTCAGATCGGCACGCAATTTGACAATTATGGTCCCTTGCCCTGCCAAGTAGATACAATTTCACCCTCATGGGTGTCCGTAATGAACATACATCATCTGGCAGAATAGACGCATCTTATGCCTGGCTTCATGCCCTGGTCTGCTTGTCTAAATGTACCCTGAGGGGTTTGCATGCGCGGTGCAGATGGACCTGACAATCACGCCGGACTTCCAGTGGGACGAGAAGGTGCACGGCTTTGTGGAGGCGTTCTGGATCATCGTGGAGGACAGCGACAGCGAGGCCATCCTGCACCACCAGTACTTCCTGCTCAAGAAGCCCTACGCCGAGGACGAGCACACCGTCACCTTCACCGTCCCCATCGCCGAACCCCTGCCGCCCCAGTACTTCGTCAAGGTCCGCTCTCACCTAGCTCTGACATTCCATGGCTGCAGTATATTGCCTGCTGTGCCTGGTGCGAAGTTTTCATGTCAACCATTAAAAATGCATGTCGAAGCATGTGCTTAGGGGTCTGCAGAGGCGAGTGTTGTCTTTCTTCAAGCCGCTAGCTCTTGCTCCTCTTGCCGTGAGGTTCTTAATGGAGCATACCGTTTGCATGCCGAAGCTTGTCAAAGCATGGTACACTGGTGAGGTGCCAGCAGAGGGCTGAGGGTGGGAGTGTTGTGTCTGCGCAGGTGGTGTCGGACAAGTGGCTGAACTGCGAGGCGGTGCTGCCGGTGTCATTCCGGCACCTGATCCTGCCGGAGAAGTACCCGCCGCCCACCGAGCTGCTGGACCTGCAGCCGCTGCCCGTCAGCGCCCTGCGCAATCCCCAGTTCGAGGCCCTCTACACCAACTTCAAGACCTTCAACCCCATCCAGACCCAGGTGGGCATCTTGTGACATACTTGAAGCTCTCGAGTCCCTTCTATGGGATGAAGTATCATAGGGCCCCAGACAAAAACAGAATGTTCATGCCAGTACTATGGGCAATGCCTGTGCATTTTTACATGAGCTAGTCAAAGACTACACTCTGGATATTGTGGGAGCCCTTGAGCTCCCAAAATTGAGAGTTACCTATTTGTTGTCTTGTATTGCCAGGCATTAAGCACCTTGCTTTGAGCGTGCAAAGCTGAATATCTATGACTTCCGCGCATGCAGGTGTTCACCGCGCTGTACAACACGGATGACAATTGCCTGGTGGCGGCGCCCACGGGGTCGGGCAAGACGGCGTGCGCAGAATTTGCGGTGTTGCGCATGATTCAGAGGGCCTCCCAGGACAAGGGCGTCGCCCGCTGCGTCTACATCGCGCCCCTTCCCGCCCTCGCCCGCGAGCGCCTGGCTGACTGGACCACCAAGGTGAGTCCGCACTCCATAGAATATATCACTCAAGCTGCCAGGCAGGCTCTTCCATTTTCCTGATGCATGCAGCCATATTTGACCACTCTTGTTCTGATCATCACGTGGGAGATCATTGCACAAACGTGTCTTATGTATTGTAATGCGTTTCACCCCAATTCTGACATAAGCATTGTGCCTTTTGGTGCAGTTTGGGCCGGAGGGGCTGGGCCTGAACGTGGTGGAGCTGATAGGGGAGACGGCGGCGGACACCAAGGCGCTGGAGAAGGGCAACATCATCATCTCCACGCCGGAGAAGTGGGACATGCTCAGCCGCCGCTGGAAGCAGCGCAAGAACGTCCAGAACGTCGCCCTCTTCATCGTCGACGAGCTCCACCTCATCGGCGGCCGCAACGGGCCTGCCATCGAGGTGCGCGCCTAAGAGATCACCCCTGACTTCTGCAGGCTTTGATGCGTGGCTTGAGGCTAGGTGTGCAGGCCTGGGTATTGTTGAAATAGTTGCAGGTGCACGCTGTGAGCAGAGTTTTGACGTGGAGCAATTTGGGGGTGTGCGCAGGTGATAACGTCGAGGATGCGGTACATAAGCAGCCAGCTGGAGTCGCCCATCCGCATTGTGGGCCTCAGCACCTCCCTGGCCAACGCCAAGGACCTGGGCGAGTGGATAGGCGCCACCAGCCACGGCCTCTTTAACTTCCCCCCAGGTCAGTCTCATCTCGCCTTTGCTCGCACCCTCCTTTAGTGATACCTTTTCTTTCAGTAAGAAACCCTTGCAAGCAGAACACACTGAACAAGCAGCTGGAGCGTTTTGTGTGGTCGTCTCACATGTGCAATCTGGCGCAGGTGTGCGGCCGGTGCCGCTGGAGATTGTGATCCAGTCGTTCGACATCGCCAGCCTGGAGGCGCGCATGCAGGCCATGGCGCGGCCGGCCTACACGGCCGTGTCGGCGCAGGCACGCGAGGGCAAGCCCACCATCCTGTTCGTGCCCACCCGCCGCCAGGCCCGCCTCACCGCCCTCGACTTGCTCACCTACGCCGCAGCCGACGGGCAGCCCAAGAAGTTCTTGCAGGCGCGTCCTTGCTTCTGTCATCTTGAGCACAATCCTGAGGGATGGCTGAAGTGTCCTCGCTGTCGAGCTCTCCTGAGTGCAGCTGTGTATGGCCCGCGCCACATTGTCTTTAGAATAGATCATGCATTTGCAGAGTCTCTTAGCTTCAAGAAACTCAGATTGGGGACCTGAAACAATCCGTTTGTGCTGTGCAGCTGAGCGAGGAGGACCTGGCGCCGTACCTGGCCAAGGTGGGCGACCGAGCGCTGAGGCACGCGCTGGAGTACGGCGTGGCCTTCCTGCACGAGACGCAGCCGGCCGCCGAGCAGGAGGTTGTCAACCTCCTCTTCAACACCGGCGCCATCCAGGTCCGCTGCACCTCTTCTTTACGCCTCCTCAGCCACTGCATCTCTCGCACAGAGCCCAGCAAGCCATTGCTTGATAGCGCAACCTTTGACTTGCCTCAAACAAGGCAATCCGCCCAAGTAATTCTGAAGATTGGGGGCGGTCAATGCACCTCATGTTGGCGGTCCTGACAGTCACCAGTTGCACCGTGGTACTGGTGTATACTGTGCATTGGTTTATGGACTGACGTTCTTAGTTTGGCGCAGGTGATGGTGGCGACGGCGCCAATGTGCTGGGGCATGACGGCGGCGGCGGCGCTGGTGGTGATCCTGGGCACGCAGTACTATGACAGCAGCGGCGCCACGGGCGGCCAGGACTACCCCGTCACCGACCTCCTCCAGATGATGGGCCGCGCCTCCCGCCCAGACCTCGACCAGTCCGGCCGGTGCGCGCTGGCCTCTCCCATGCTGCCACGCACGTGCTCCATCTGCTTTGGCACGGAAACTTGCCGCTTGAAAAATTCACCGTTCTGCATGGGTTGTGCTCGGTGCTTTGTGGAGGCTGATATCATCTGGAGTTCCAGAGCATGGTGCAATCCATGCAGTGCAGTGAATTGTCATGCGGGGAGTGGCATCCGAGCCCATTGGTGGGTGTGTCCGAGAAGGAGTCATAGTCTCGACCTGACATTGTTGAATTCTGTCTTGCGGCAGGTGCGTGCTGATGTGCCACGCGCCGCGCAAGGAGTACTACAAGAAGTTCCTGTACGAGGCATTCCCCGTGGAGAGCCACCTGGACCACGCGCTGGCGGACCACATGGCGGCGGAGGTGGTAACGCGCACCATCACCACCAAGCAGGACGCCGTCGACTACCTCACCTGGACCTTCTTCTACCGCCGCCTCGCCCAAAACCCCAACTACTACAACCTCCAGGTGCCTCCCTTGTTGGTCTCTGTCATCTTATGCCAGCTCAAATGTATCCCTGACGGATCCTTGCTGACTTTTGTCTTACTCATGCTGTAGTGTGTGTTCTTGCAAGGATCTCATGTGGGTCCATTAGTGCCTCTGATGTTCCCACATTTTGCTTGTACCACTGCAAGAGTCGGGGATCGTCTCCTTCGGCGGTGGCAAATAGGAGTTTTCTTGGATCTGTGTGGGAGTAAGCTTGGCTGATACAGTATCTCAAGTGCTTTATGCGCTGGGAGAGTGAGAAACTTGCCTGCGGCAGTGGCAAACAGAGACTTGCTTGGAGGCATGTAGCCGTGTGCATGCGTTTTTGGACAAGCGCTAAATCTGCGGTCCGCGCGAATGTGTGCAGGGGGTGAGTCACCGGCACCTGAGCGACCACCTGTCGGATCTGGTGGAGGGTGTGCTGGCGGACCTGGAGGGCAGCAAGGTGATTGCAATCGAGGATGACATGGACCTGGAGCCCCTCAACCTGGGCATGATCGCCGCCTACTACTACATCGCCTACACCACCATCGAGCTCCTCTCCTCCTCCCTCACTGCCAAGACCAAGACCAAGGGCCTCCTTGAGATCCTCGCCTCCGCCAGCGAGTTCGACGCCCTCCCCATGCGCCCAGGTGATCCTTGTGTTTTCACCCTCTGCAATCATGCGTTGTTCCCAAAGCAAGCTTTGATGGCAGCTATTTTCTTTGCACCAAGGTACCCTCTTAAGGATTTGCATGGGTCTCCCAGTCTTCAAGGAGGTACTGCGCTGTAGGTCTCACCAAATACCTCGTATTTGTAGTCTCACGCGTGGCGCTGAATGGAGGTTTTTTTTTGCGCAGGCGATGAGGACTCGGTTCGGAAGCTGCTGCTGCATGCGCCGCTGTCGGTGGAGGCGCCCAAGTGGACGAGCCCGCACACGAAAGCCAACGCGCTGCTGCAGGCCCACTTCTCGCGCACGCCCCTGGCCGGAGACCTCGCCGCCGACCAGCGCTCCGTCGTGCAGCAGGCCGTCCGCCTCCTCCAGGCACGCTTCCAACTTCCTTTTCTCTTGCCGTCCGTGGATACACTTCATCGTGCACGTCATACCCCATTGCTTATCAGGCGCTGCTGTTGATCAGGCTGAGATAGCAAATCTTTGACATAACCTCTGGGTCATTGATATAGTGCCAGGCATCAGTGACCAGTGACCACTAAGCTTTAAAAGTGAGGCGAGTCGTCAAACTTGAATTGCTCTGTTCAACAACGGATGGGGCGGGGATAAGAGATGTTGGTGCGGATGGCGCAGGCAACGGTGGATGTGATCAGCAGCAGCGGGTGGCTGAATCCGGCGCTGGCTGCGATGGAGATGAGCCAGATGGTGAGCCAGGCGCTGTGGGAGCGCGACAGCGTCCTCATGCAGCTCCCCCACTTCACCAAGGAGCTGGCCGCCAAGTGCGCCGCCGCCGGCGTCGAGTCCATCTTCGACCTGCACGAGATGGAGGTCAGACCCCTGCTCTCTTCTGTTTCTGGCAATTGAATATTTGCGAAATGACTTGCTATCTGACTGTTGGCTGGCAACCTTGTGCTCGAAGACTGCAGGAACTTGATGAGCCCTACTGGAATTGACAGAAGAACTGACTTGCCACATGGCGGCTGCGCAGGACGATGCGCGGCAGGAGCTTCTGCAGATGAGTCAGGGGCAGCTGGAGGACGTGTCGCGCGTTTGCAAGCGCTACCCGGACATCCAGCTCACCTACGCGCTACCCTCCGGCAACGCAGCGGCCGCCGGCGACCAGGTCACCCTCGTTGCCGAGCTCGAGCGCGAACTCGAAGGAGACCTCCGCCCCGTCGACGCCCCCCGGTGTGCATTGTCCTCCTCCTGCCCCTTATGCTGTGCCAACAGCGCCGGTCACTGATTGTGCCTGACATGCATTGTCCCTGTCTTGGGGTCAGCTCTTGATGTATGAAACCATCGCATCTTGCGCGGCCGGCAGATGCTGGCTTGTGCTCATGCGGCAAATGGAGGTGGTCATAGGACAACTGACATTATGGCCGTTACCTGAACATACATATGGTTGAGGATGAAGAGTGACAGGTCGGAGGTGAGCTGAGCGGGTGTGTGCACGAATGCGCAGGTTCCCGGGGCGCAAGGACGAGAACTGGTGGCTGGTGGTGGGCGACTCCAAGGCCAACACGCTGCTGGCCATCAAGCGCGTGGCCCTGCAGCGCAAGGCGCGCATCAAACTCGACTTTGTGGCGCCCTCCGCAGTGGGCAACCACCACCTCATCCTCTACTTCATGTGCGACTCCTACCTCGGCTGCGACCAGGTGGGGCTTCGCTTCTTGCACCAGCGAGCGCAAACTGAACTGCCCCCACAGAACCTCACTCTAATGACTGTGGCCAGACCTTGTGAAGGAGTGTCCAGCTTGTTGTGCTGTTTGAAGCTGCAGTCTTGCAGGTGTGCAGAAAGATATTACAGCAAGCGTTGAGGTCATGCATTGGTGTTGCAGGAGTATGAGTTTGATTTGGAGGTCACAGAGGCAGAGGGGGATGAGGGCGAGGAGGAAGATGCCATGGAGCAAGATTAGGCAATGGATCCATGTTCAAAGCCATCCTGCTCGCTGTATATTAGTGTTGGATTACAGTCATGCAAGTATTTTTACTGGTCTCTGTTTCCAGTTCTCTCTACGGCAGACTCAGAGTAATTCGACGACAAGGCAGTCAGGATGATGCTGCCTGAACAATTTGTGCACCTAACAGAAAATGAACGACTGAGACAACAGGAGTATGGACCCAGCATCCTTTTCTTTTGACATGCTGAATGCTGGTTGTGGTTGTGATACCGTCTGAAATGTATGTCATGTGAACAAGTTCCAGATATATTCCAAGCCAGTACTCTTGACTCAGCACGCAGCATTCTTCCTCTTTCTCTGCGGCCGTGTCTCCTCATTCAGAGCTGCCGCTGCCGCACCCTCAATCAAGACTTGCATGTCTGCAGCATGTGCACTCCTGCCGCTGCCGCGCTTGGCTGCAGGCGTTGCCTTCTTGGCGCTGTCCCCGCCCTTCCAAGTGTCCTCCGCTATGTTCCAGCGCTTGGGCACCTTGTCCACACGTGCCGGGCTGGGCAGCGTGATGTCTGCCGGCCGATTCGCATCCCAGTTCTCGCCTTCCTCATCAGCTACAACAGCTGTCAAGCCATCCTGCACACCACTCTCTCCCCATTTGAGCACGCGGTGCAGGGATAAATCTCTCTAAAACTCCATCAATCTTTAGACATTTCATAACAATGCTGCAAGCATGCACAGCTTAATGGAGACTTGTCATGAGCACAATAGACTTCCATGGATAAGGTTGAGGACTGGTGAGGCAGGACTGATGCACCTGCTGGACGACAGGCGTCGCCGGGTTGCCGGGTCCCAAGCGCGAGGGGCGAGCCTTTGTGCCGGTGCGCACTCGTGGCACGGACATGCTGGGCTTGCCTGCAGCAGCCGACGGGCTGTGGGTGCTATCCATTCCTGCTTTTGTGCCCGGCGTCTTGAAGTCGGCGGCACTGTAGGGCACACCGGAGGCCGGCGTGCCCTTCAGGCCCACCCCAGCTGAAGCCGGCGTGCTCGATACAGCCTGCACCCACATGCCGGCACCGTTCAGCACTGCAATCATGTGTGGCTACGTCCAATTGCAAGCAGAAGTCATTAAGTTGTGCAGCAAAGTGTCTGCTTTTAGAAGGGCAATTTTCAGGGACAGTGTTGCACCGGCTGCCTGTCAGCACGAAGCTGCAGGGGTGTGTGGGCCGATGCAGGCGTCCTGCAAGGTCCCGGAGTGGTGTGCGGATGCATGAGGCCTGGCCGCCCGGCCGAGCCGGTGCCGGGAGCAGCCGCCGGGCTGGCAGCGCTCCTCAGCACCTCCGCTGCCACTGGAGTGCCCGCATGCACGCCCGCAGGAAGACCGCCTGCCCAGCACAGCAGCTAAGTCTCCCTCCACCTTCATAGCTAATACCCTCGTCTTTGAAGCTGTCAAACTTCGTGGGGTATGCAGGAGGTGATGATCCTGTCAAGAGGGTATCAAGAAGTGAGCTGAGCAATTGGACCGCACCTGGTGATGCAGGGCTGCCGAAGGAATGCTGCGCCAGTCGCGAGGCGCCCCTCGGCTGACGCACCGGCCGCTGCGCAACTTCCGCCACCCGCTCTCTCGGGCCCTCGACAGCAGCCCCTGCAAGCATCATAATTTAACCTCATGCCTCAGCCGACAGTTTGCAGAGATATTGAGCCTTCAGTTCCTGCAGATAGATGGATTCACAGATGCTGACAGGAGGGTGAGAGGTCGCGCCTGCAGGCTGGCTGGCAGGTGGCGCGTCATGCTTGAGGTCGTACAGGATCTCCTGCGCCAGCTGCTTGTCCCCCGCCAGGATGTCCTGGATCTGCACAGTTGCCAAGCCAGCCACGAATCACCACCACATCATTCATGTTGGCAACAGCACACCCAGGGCACTGACATGCAGATGCTCTTGCAACATCGAACCCTCACAGTGCTGCAGGACATCACAAGAAACAGTAATAGTAAAAGCAAATAAGGCAGGAAATACTGCAAGATCCTCCCTTTGTGTATTTTGGGGTCTTGGTCGTGCTCTCAACAAAAGTCGGCAAAAAGCCTAGTCCATCTGGCGTCATCTCGAGCATTGAACCGGCCAGAAATGTGTAAGGGTCAGGAGGCGCACCTCGCTCTTGTGGTCGCGCAGGAGCGCTCTGAAGGCGGCCAGGAGGTCTCCCAGCAGCGGGTGGCGCGCGGCCTCCAGGCAGCGCTTGAGCTCCAGCAGCACGGGCACCATGCCCTCCGCCAGGTACTTCTTCATCATCGCGCTCACCAGCCGCCCCTTCGCCGCACCCTCCACCGCCTTCGCACTCGCCCCGGCCTCCTCCTCATCGGCCGCCGCGGCGCCACCGCGCGCGCTCGCGACCTGCGCAGCGGCAGCGTCATGACCTTGTATCTTACCTATTGAGGCATGCTGCATGGCCCGTGCCCGAGACGCATATTGAGGAAAGGGGTGGAATCTCAAGATTAATAATGATGACATATTTGGTGACGGGGAGCGTCAGCATTGCTTGCTTGAACTGTGTGCGGGGATTACGTCTGCCACTCGCCATGTACGTGTGGAACATGTCACAGGTGTCTTGAGGCCAACTGATGAACCAGAGAAGCTTGAACAGGGGCTGGGAGGCAAACGCTGCAGCGGGACAGGGCTCTGTAATGGATCTGAGACGCAGGGGACAGTGCATCAATTTTGACTCTAGTCGTAGAGTGCCCTGAGAGGGGGTGGGTGAGCGGCCGTGAGGGCGCGCCTTGATGTCTTTGGAGGCGAGGATGTGGAGTGCGTCTCGCAGCACCTCGGCAGCGCCGTCCAGCGGCAGCGTTCCCTCAGCAAACCCGCTCAGCACCTCGCTGCACAGCCGCGCCGCGCTCGCAAACTTGTGCTCCGGAGCCATCCGCCGCAGCAGCGCCCTGCGCACCCACCCCCCATGCATGTGTCAATGTGCCAGCTCTGCAAAGGCCTCCTACTGGATATAAGCTGTTCTACTTGGGTGCAGGTGATGTCCTTTCTGCCCTCATATTGGATTTAAGCCGTCTTACTTGGGTGCTGGTGATGGTAATTCTGCCCATGCCATATTTGTAGATGCTTTTTATCACCCCTAGTGCCCCTTTGCCCGAGTCACGCTTGTCGGAGTGGGATGAAGCAGGATGCTTGTCATTGAACACACCGGTAGATGGTGTCACGTTTGGCGCGGCCAGACTGCCCGGCGAGGCTGAATGCGCTCCGGGCGTCCGCGCCGCCGACGGCCTGCGACAGGGGCTCCTCTGGCGCATGCAGCCCGGCGCGGCACTCGTTCAGCACAAACAGCGCCTCCACAAAGTGGTTGTACGCCAGCAGCGGCGCCTGCGCACACCCATATGCATGCTGTCAGCGATGCTGGCTTTGATTATGTGGTTGGCAGGCAAATTTGAGCAGGGTAGCAGGCGTGGCTGGTAGGTAAATGTTAGCTGACCTTGGATGAGAGGGTGTCGGTCAGCAGGTACTCGGCGAGGCTCCTAACGCGCGCGCTGTCGTCCACGAGCGCCCTCAGGAACTGGTGGAACAGGTGGCCTCGCCACTTCACATAGTCCTGCACTCAGAGCTGACTGCTATAGAAAGATCACAATGTAAACTACACTAGCAGCAGCCAAGTGACCATGCCAGGGATGCGCTGTGCCTATCGTAAGCACAGCACAGCAGAAGATCTCATAAGGGAAACCGGGAGTTGGCTATCGTCAATCACAAGGACCGTTACGGAAGGGCCGTTGTTTGACTCCACAGGGGGCATGGAGGTGTCGAGTATTCACCCTGGAGAGGAGGGAGGCGAGGAGGGCGAGGGTTTGGCGGCGCACGAGCTCGTGGGGGTCGGCCAGGCATGCGGCCAGGCGCGGCACATGCGCATCCACCAGCGCCGTGTACTGCACAGTCAGGTCCGTCAGCGCCACCATTATGTTGTTGCGCACCTGCACTCCACCACACGCACATGTTTCAATGATTTCCCTTGGATGTCCTCACCTTCACCCTCTTGAAGTGCATGAAGCCATGCATGCACGCTAGAAGCAGGCACAGAAGATGGTTATAGGGCACGGCAGCGTCCGAGGAGGGTAGGCAGACCGCTGGGTTGGAGGCGCGGCCGAGCTCCTGGACGAACAGCGGCAGGCACTTCTTGGCGGTGGCCTCCTCTGTCAGGCACAGCTTGCCCAGCGCCACCCACGCGTGCGCCTGCACAGCCGTGACTGCTGCCTCAAAACCCTGGGATACCTCGGGCACAGGGCAGTGGGTGTGACTTGCTTGCCATTTTACGGAACAAAATAGCCGCAGATGAAAGCAGTGTGGAGGCACCTGGATTGGGGCGGGCACGGAGGAGTGCGCAGCATCATTGCTGGCCAGCTTGGGCGCTGTCAGGGCTTGCACCAGCACCACCAGCCGCCCTGAGGGCTTGGCCTGCCTCAGCAGCACCACCTGAAACACACACCAGAGCTGAGTACTTCCCCTTGACATCCAGGCATGCTCGGTCCCATAAATGCTCTGCAAAGTCCAGATATACCCAAGCAATTGGAAGGCACACTGCATCTCATGAGTGGCAAGAAATAGCCGCGCACCTCTCCAGCAGTAAAGATGGCGGTGGTAGTCTGCCGGCCGGCGGCGGCCGCGCCGGAGGCATCGCCCCTGGAGAAAGCGTCCACGAAGGCGCCCAGGTGGCGCTCGCATGCCGCCAGCACGCCCGCCGTCCAGCCGTCACTGGATTTGGCCGCGCCCGCCGCACTCAGCTGCGCCAGCGCCAGCACGTGCGCTGCCGTCAGCCCCGGCGTCAGTGTGAACGCCTGCACAGCCTGCAAGAGGCACACCAAGAGCTCAGCTGGCGCCCCACTACCATTATTGTCATTATTATAGTATGCTGTTCTAGCCAAGAGGCGACGTGGATCTGCATACATTCTGCAGGTGGAAACTTTCTCCTGCCACAATGCGTACAAAACTTGTTGGAGTCATAGATCCCAGCAAGGCTCAATCAACCATGGGCTTAGATTGATATTGGTACTGCCCCACTCTCCTGCATGAGAGGAGCTCGCTCGACACGTGGAGGAAAGTTGGAGCCCTGACAAACTTTATTGCAGGCAAACCTTGAGGAGGTCGCGGACGAGGGCGGCGGCCTGCGCGGGCGGGAAGCGGCCGGCGGCGTGGGCGACCACTCGCAGCAGCAGCGCCCCGTCGCCATCACAGCCGTCGGCTGCGGTCCTCCCCTTGACCCGCTCCCATGCGTCCTGCGAACGGCCACACGTTTGATCTGTGCATCACGCCTTAACAACGTGGCACCACACTCTGGTGACGTGTGAACAAGTTGAGAGCTTTCTTTCAGTCATTGTGTGAAGGCAGCACCTGCAGGAACTCCCAGGACGGCGCGCTGGGGTCCTGCGCTGACACCTCAGCCAGCAATTGCCAGGCGCCACTGACTGCCTCCGGCGCCATTCCTGTGCAACCCATGCCCAAACGCTCAGCATTGACCTCGGGCTTTTCAAAATTTACTTTTTGAGGTTCAAAGGCACAAGCCTTTTGTATAGGTCAAGAGAGAGTCAGACCTTCTGTGGAGATGATGTGCTGCATGGCGGCGGCGACCTTGTCGGCCTTGAGGCGCTTCTTGACCTTGAGCTGCGCACATGCTCGGCCGAGGCACACTGCGGCGGCGCCCGAGTCCTCTGACAGCGCTGCCAGCACTGGCGCCAGCCGTTCTACTGCCCCTGCATCCTTGCTCATCGCCACTGCACCACCATGCAGACGCGTAAATTTACTTTTGTTCCTGTACCTCCTTCTGCAGATTGTAGGGCTGGTGGCAAAGGTCCTGAACGGTGTGGAATTTTTTACGACAGAGAGTGGTGCGGAAGGTGCTGCGCGCACCTGCAGGGACGATGACAAAGTCATGGAAGCTGTCGAGGAGCTGTTCCTGGAGGGACGCCTCCACGTCGCGCACCAGGGGCAGCGCAGCCGTCACCCACAGGGCCGCAAGGGAAGCTTCATGCGGCAGCGCCCGCAGCAGCCCCGAGCACACCCCCAGCGCCGCTTTGCGCACACTCACCTGCACCACATCACCTTCTCAGGCTCTCCTCTGCCCCTACTGGCTTACACAACAGGGCCAGCTGCCTTCACATACACGAGAAATTCTGCTGCGCGCAAGTCTGTGAGGAGTCACTCCCGGCCAAGCCAAACTTGATGTGAGGAGCCAAGGCCATTAACATGCAGACAGATGGAGATGAGAATGGTGAATACACATTATGAGAGGCAGCTACTTGTGGTGGATAGACTTGCAGTATGTGCTGAAGGGGAGTGGGGAGAGCTTGCCAGGGAATCGGCGGCGGCGGCTTGCACAACGGCGATGTCGGCCGGAGAGGGAAGCACGACGGCGGCTCCGCCGGCGCCGCTGGCGCGCAGGAGCAGCAGCCCCTCCAGCAGATGCGCGGCCGCCTTGCGCACGCCCGCCTTGTCATCGCTGCACCGCTTCCGCGCCAGCGCCGTCAGCGCCTTGACATCCTGCACCAGCACACTCTTGTCATCCCGACTGCCCGAGCCTTTTGCGGACCCAGCGTGTATCACGCTACATGCCTTCACTCGTCACTCGATTCACTTTGTAGAGAGGGAAATTATACATAGCTGCATGCAGAAGTAAGCTGACAGGGATCCCAGAGCCTGGAGCAAGATCAAGGAACTTAAGCTTGGCCATCAGCCTGCAGGACAGGAAGACAGGTCACAAAGGGGCAGTACCAGGTCCAGCTGGGCGGCCTGTGCGGCGGCGCCGTGGTAGGCGTGTTCCAGGAGGGTGCGGTGCAGGCCGGCGCGCTTCTTCTGGACGAAGGGGGCGCCGGAGGCGGAGACGCTGTTGGGCGGCTGCGGCGTGTCGGCCATTGGAGTCGCGCCCGGCTCGTCGGCCGCGGCGGGCGTCACAGCCGGCGGCGTGATTATGGCCGGCGTGTTGCTCAGCGGGTGCTGCATGCGCACCGAGCTCGCCAGCACCAGCGCCTGTCCACGAAAACTTCAAGTAAAACAACATGCATCCCTAAACACTTGTTCAAGGCGCTGACGCATTTACGGCTTGGTGGACAGCTTGAAGCACCCCCATGCCTATTGGTGCTGCCCGCATCTGCTGGTGCAAGAAAGTCATCTTCATTCCACTATGTCTACACACATGCATGCACATTGTAGTGAAGGCGGTGCAGAGCTTGGTGGCTTTGGTGGCTAGTAGGGGGATTTAATTCTGGAATTTGACCCACCTGGCGGCAGTGCAGCATGTGGGCGCTGTCGGCGCCCTGCTGCGCGGCCAGCATGTCGCGGACGGCGGCCGCCAGATTGGCGAGCGCCTTGCCTCGCACTGCGGCGGACTTGTCGGAGCAGCGCTGCAGCAGCAGGGCTAGGCAGATGGTGCCGCACGGTGCCGGGCTGGCATCCTCCCCCAGATTTGGCGCCACTGTGGCCGCCGTGTCCACGAGGCTCCTGGCGTCGGTGCTCTGCCCTGAGGAAGTGCCTGAGACTGCATGCGAGCCGGCAGGCGTCGCAGCCTCTAACGCAGATGGCGACCCCAGATGTGAATTGCGCGAAGGAGTCCCCTGCAGTGCATGTGAAAACGCTCACACCGGGGCTCTTTGGGACCTGGAAAAGCTCACACACAGGCAATGGATGTTCAAGGTTCTGTCTAGGCACGTACTGCAGAGCCGTCAGAGCGTGGCAGCGGCAGAATGGCATTGGCAGGGTTGTATGGATCAGGAAAGCTCCTTATCAGCGCTGGTGCTAGCTCCACCGCAAGCATCCGGTGGACAACCTGCACATGCACATATTAATAAAGATGCCTCTTAGCATCGGTGAATGCGGCACTTAATGTGGATAATACAGAGAGTTGATGCGCACCTTGGCTGTGCGTGACAGGCGAGCAGCAAAGACAACAAAGTTGGTGCGGTCTGTCATGGGCAGTTCGGCTGTCAGCTGCATGGCACAGTCCACTGCCAGGGAGCGGAAGTCCGCCTTGTCTGGTGCCTTGAGCACCACATAACGCGCCAGCGCAGCCACCGCCTCTCTGCATTCCAGGTTTGCGCTGCGAGAATCACAGCAAATGATCACTCTACAGCCAAGAGGGCTGCCATGCAAAAAAGGGGCAGATTGTCCGGCACATGCTGGTGATGGCTCGCCAGCATAATGAGCGATGACCACACCTGACGGCGCTCTTGGCAAAAGCAATGATCTCCGAGCGGACGGCTGCTGCACTGCGCTGCGGTGGGGTGCTGCCGTCATCTGAGGGCGCTGCCCCCGGCTCAGAGAGGCCCAGCAGGCCAGGCATGAGGTGGCGCAGCACCGCTGCAGCTGTCTCCCGGACGATGCCATGAATGGGCTGCAGCAGCTCTAGCAAAACTGCGTAAGCGGCAGCTGCCACCCTGCCTGCGCACAGAGTGGGATGGCTTTGTCATACTTAATCATTAATTTGCATTGCACATTTTGGGTGGAATAGGCGACAGGAAGCCTGCCTGATGCGTAGGTCGAGCGTGCGACCTCTCCGAGGACGTCTATCAGGGCATTTAAGATCTCAGTCTGCCCAGAGAAGCCGTGCGAGTGCAGCAGCTTGGACAGGTTTCCCAGGATGACTGCACTGAGCTGCTGCTGTGCTGTGTGATCCATGTCCCTTGAGCCTTCTGTGTTCATGTCTGTCACCTCAGCCCCCTTCTGGCTGCTCATCACGTTGCATTCTCTAACGAGCCTCAGCAGCTGTGTCATCGCCACGCTGTCAATAAGGCTCATGACCTGCAGTGCAGACACCAGTCCAGATTTCCTTTCGAGATTGCACTGCAGGTCCACGATAAAAATGCTTCAAGCCTGAAAGGAACTTACCGGGCAGCCTTGTATTGTCACTAAGTGGGATAGAGCGGCTGCTGAATTCCAAGCAACCTCCTGGGAAGGAAGCTGCATTCCAGCAACAAGGTTCCTGCGACACATGGAGGAGTCGTCTTCTTCAAACATCCAAGGGGAGCGGATTTTTAAAGAGCCATCAGAGGAGCTTGAAGTGTATTCTAGGGACATGTGACCCACCTGCCAACTCTGCTGACATTGATGTGAGCATCCAACAGGCTCTCCCAAAAGCCAGCTCCAGCATCTTCTTGAGAATCCAGGCTGGAAATCACTTGAAAGTCGGTAGTTGTAATTGCATCTTCCAATGGATTTCTGGACTGTCCACCCCCTTCAACATCCTCAACGTTTTCAGAAAGTCCCAGGCGCTGCAAAATCTCTAGAGCTTCCTGCGACCTAGTCATCTTCAACAAGGTAGATTAGTAGAGGAAGCCAGTCAGAAAAGTTTCTGGTAGTCCGCCAATATCCTTCCAACTTTTTCTAAGAAGAATTCCTAGCTGTGAAACTTCCCTTTGAACTTCCGGATCGCGGTCCACGAGCTCGAGCCTGCAGGGGTCGCGAAAAGATTTGCCCTTATCGTCGCATAAGTCAAAGTCAGCACGATCCTCCTGGTTTCTCCTAGATCAGCGGATGATCACAATTGTTAAACAAATTTCAACACCTTCTTGTTGAATTAGACATTATGAAGGTTGTTTCTCAACAGAAAACAGTTCTTTCGGGAACACATGGTCTTGTCCATAACAGAAATGCACAAGCTGTGAGACGCTCAAGGGTGCATGCCAGTCACAGGATCAGGTAACGTATTTGAGGTTTCTTTTTTATCGAAGGAATGACATAGTTCTGTACACAGACTTTGGCATCAAAGAAGAACATTGCTTTTGCCGCAGGACTATGCCAGTCCGAGCAGTAAGTGGCAGCGATGAAGCGGTGGACACCGAGCAAGATTTGGAAACCGCCATGGAAGAATTCTTGCGGAAACAAGCTGAGATAGAGAGCGGTGAGAGACCTACGCATTGTTGTCAGGCTCGATATGAGCTGCTTTGTAAGCAAGACCACAGCTTTGATTCTCGATTTTACTGATGCAGGTAATCTTCTTGCGCAACCTGCGACGCCCGTCGTAGAGGTTGTCGGGTCTGACGTGGTGACAGATGAGGTAAGTACTATTTGTTTGTACACCTTCCTCACAGTGTGTTGCCTTTAAGATATTTCCAGAGTCTTTTGCAGCAACTATGTCTGCATCTGCCTGCAGGAAGCAAAACGATACTGCCGAGAAGTGGTTCGGGTGCTGAAGGAGCTTAAGGAAACTCGGGACATGTCTGTGAGCGAGGTCAAGCTGACCCTGGCAATCGAGGACGCCAGCGTGAGAGAGCAGAAAGAGTACATGGGGATTGAGGTGCGCTGCAGAGGGGCATAACCCTCTTTAATGACTGTCACATCACCAGCCTTTGGCTGCAGGTCGATCAGTGTTGAGAAAGATTCATCTGCATGAAGGATGAGAGGGGAGCATCGCGAGATGAGATGGCAGCAGCACTGGTGGAGGTTGCTGATGGACGGGTGCCAAAGGATCGCATAGCGCTGCGGGAGCTCTACAAAGAAATGATCCAGTGGCCCTTTGTGGGGAATGCTGAAGCTGCGGCGCCAACGGCTTCCTCATCATCGCCCTATGAGGCCATCACAGACACAGGTGTGCCTGACTAAAGTACATGATTTCCAGGAAGCACTGTCATCAGGAGAATTGTCTGTCACGTCTTTATCTGATGCAAAATAAACGATGAGTGGGCTCGTAAGGTTCGCATGCGATTCAGCAACAAGATTTAGGGAAACAGCTGACTCAACTTGTGAATGGTACAGGGACAAAATCTGCAGCGGCAGGGTGGCGGCCAGCTCAAGCCCGCCCAAAGATGATGGGCCGTGACAAGAGTGAAGCCCCTCAGTCGTTGGTCGACACGCTGCCAGACTGGGTGGGCTACGGGTTTTTGTATTTTGTATCAGTCATTCCTGTCCTGATTGCCGGAAGTGTGATTGCCATTTTGTTCTTCAACTCGCTGCGATGAGATGTGCAATGACGGTCGTGAGTGACTACTAGTCACTGACCAGGGATGCAGAAACTGTATATAGGCAATCACATAATGGTATACATTCCCCGGGCTGGAGTCTCAGCTGACTTCAAGCTGTCCTGATGCTACGAGCTTAGTGAGTGCTGCACTGCACTGGTGTCGCGGCAGCGCCATGGCAGTCATTGCTGCCCTGTCAGCATGCTTCAGCAGCTGCAGCTAGTGCGAAGCTGGTGTACTGGTCATGAGCTAGGGTCTTACTTGCAGAGCAAACGCTATGCAATGATATCGCTGATGGCAAATTGCTTGCCAGCATGCTGCGCAGCTGCAGCCGACTTGAAGTCACAGGGTGCAGTGCCTTTTCCATTGTCACGGTGATGTTGATCCATGCACTAGTGTGCACAGCATCATGGTCATGAGGTGCCACACGTGGCGTACAGCAGCAGCTTGCAGCAACATCTTGTCAGGTCACGGCATCGATGACCTTGCAAGTGCGCGCACGTGCGACTGTGGTGACAAATTTGATCTGATCAGCACATGTGCGCACAGTGCACACGAAGACATTGATCTCACGAAGCAGGTGTTCACTCTCAGGATGGCGAATTGCTATGCTTTTGCAACCACATCGGGGGGATTGCTTCCCTGTACAGCATTAAGTATGCATGCATGATCGTGGAGGCACGTGCTGATTAGTCATACCTGTCGGTTTGGACAAGCTCCCGAGTCGTTGCTCGCGTTGCTCCCGGTGCAAAGTATTGGGATTCCAATGGACATAGTTTTGTCGCTCGATACTCCATTTCGTCTCATTTGATGAAAACCCAAAGAGTCGCGACGTAGCTTGGCACCTACCGTTAGCTTTCCATGTTGGATCAGCAGGACCTCACTGACGTGATGCAGTCCCTTCGTCTGAAGGCACTAGAGATCGATGAAATAGTCAGAAAGGTACTTGGAACTGGCATGCTCATTGGATTGCATGAACATCAAGCGGACATCCTCATGAAAGACCTGCGTGGGAACACTGGGAACATAATGTACATGCAGTGATGTTGGCAAGTTCAAAGTGAAATATTCTAACGTCAATCTGTTGGTGTATCAGGATGAAGAGACGAAGCTGGAGAAATGGTCGAAGGAGGTTCCTGAGGTGAAGAACTACATCTCTGCTCTGTCGGACGCACGCAACCTCATGCGAAAGGAGCTGGATCGATTGTTGGCTGAACAGAAAGCGAAATCAGCGGCTGCACTGAAGAAAGCAGCTGCTGCGGCCAAAGAGGAAGCTGCACCAGGAGTTCCCCTGGGCTTCAACCCGATCAGGTAATGCTTTACCTCAAAAACTCGGCATGGTATGGGGGAGACCTTCGATCCTTTGCAATGGTAGTTGTTGTAACACTCAGACCCTCACAATATATTGAGACCTTCTGTTGGGCTGCAGATCCATCAGCAGCCCAGAAGGAGAGCCACTGCCCCAGTCAGATTTACATGCAGAACTGGGACGGAAGGTTAAGGCAATAATGGCCATTGATGCCTCCATCGAGGCTGCCCGAGCTCAGCTGGCAAACCCACGGAAGGCAGCAGAGCGAGAAGTATGGGAGACCAATGTCGTCATATTGCAGGTCCGTTTTGCTCAGATCTGGGTGCATGCAGTGGATGTTGCCAAACCTGCATGCCATCCCAAGCGCATCGTGTCCATCACAGGAAGCAGCTGGCCACAGCAGGGCATGCCTGGACTCACATCTGTGCTTACTCTTGCCATGCATCCTGTACAGGACACAAGGCGCATGCATGCAGAAGAGGCAGGTGCCATAGAGATGGAGCTGGAAGGCAGAGAGCGCATGCGGCTCCAGGCAGAGGAGAGAGCACGAGCAGAGGACAGCGGCGCTGTGGCGGCAGCTGGCATGGCTCAGCAGATTGCATCTACTGAAGGCAGGCTGGACGCTCTCAAGCAGCGTTTGTACTTCCCTCCGGTCAAGGGCTACAGGTACCGAAGCTCTTCAACTGAAAATGTTTGGCATGTGCCCAGAAATATGCGCACTGCATGTCACCATGCCTATTGAGAGATCTGGTTGTTTGGACATATGTTGGACCGAACACTGTGTTGCTGTGTGGCAGCTTTGCTCAAGGGAGCAATGGGATCTACTTTGGAGGCAAGGACGTCCTGCTGTCAGAGGTGTCAGGCAACTTCAGCATCTCGGCAGGCATGGTTGCCAGCAAAGGCAAGGGAGGGGATGAAGAAAAGTCTGCTCGCCTCAGCATCCGGGCAGGCTACCCCACTGCAGTTGTCAAGTACGTGCCACCTCCTCGATTTGAACGGAAGCCTGGGGCCACTTGCATTGAACTGCAATGCATTACATCGTTCCTGTAGATAAACGTTGTGCATTTTTGGGGTCCTGGCAAAGTTGTCAAGACATTAATATACTGCTCGCTATCATTACAGGTCCACCAGCGAGAGCCAGACAGGCAAGGGCTCGAAGGGCAGCACATTCCTCCGGCGCGGCGCGCCGGTGACAGCAGGAAAAGGTTCAGCGGCTGCGAATGAGGTTCCTGGCTCACCATCCAATGCTGCAGCGCCTGCTAAAGACTTGGGAACGAGACCAACTGGGGAACAACCTTCAACGCCGCCACCGTCACAGGCTCAGGATGCTACACGGGCACAGTCCCTGCCAGCAGGCATGCCGGGGAAGAGGCTGTTCAGCAGGGACCTGGATGGGCCCCAGCAGGCAGAGCCTGCCCAAAACGGCGAGCTCGGAGCAGACAGGGCCGGCAGCACCGCGCACGCGCCTGCAGCCGCATCGAGGCTGGCCTCCAACAGCGAGGCCACCAGCAGCGGGCGGCCACCCGGGCTGCCCAATGCGCAGAGCATGGCGCGGGACGCAATGCTGCCCAAGGCGACCATCGGCAAGCGCATGGCGCTGGGGCTGCTCAGCAAGATCGGCGCCAAGGAGAAGTACACTAAGCGCCTCGCGCGGCTGGAGGCCACGGCGGCCGAGCGGGCGGCCAGGGCGCAGCACCCACCGGCGGCCGCAGCTCCCGGGGAACAGCCCCCGCCGCGGCAGGGATTTGCGGCACGGCTGCTGCCAAAGCGGGGCTCCGAGAGCAAGCTCACGTTTGGCAGCCACCGGCTCGGGGGCCGGCGACAAGAGCCGCCTAGAAACGCGCGCGCTCCCGAGCCACCGCCGCTGCCTGAGATGGCTGTGGCAGAGGAGGAGGAGGAGGCGGCATGGCACGAGGAGGCGCCGGTGGAGCTGCCCAAGTACGTGTTTGCAGGCGCTAACCCGCACTCCTGCTCGAGTAAGATCCGCAGCCTGCCGCCCGCCAGCAGCATCGACTCCGACAAGCTGCTCTTCCAGAGCCCCTTTGGCGGCAGGGAACCCCCCCTGCCCCGCCCTGAAGTGATCCCGCAGCCAGAGCCGCCGCCACCGTCGCCGCCGCCGCAACCAGCGGAGCGACCGGCGATATTGTCGGAGCTGATGGACGAGCGGCACACGAATCCCTTCCTGGCCATGATGGAGGAAGAGCGCGGCACGGCGGCACAGGAAGCGCTGGAATTGGGCACAGAAGATGGGGAGCAGGGCATGAGCGAGGGGGTGTCGGCCGGCTTCGTCGATGACTCAGCGGAGGCGGGGGATGATGACGGGGGGTACTCCTGGCGGGACGATGAGTCGGTGCAGGAGATTGAGTTGGACCCCGGCATGGGCCACCTCATCGCCGGCAGCTTCAGCAGCGGCGCCGACACACTCTCCGTCTCCGCCGCTCCCGCCCCCAAGCAGCAGCCCAGACCGCCGCCGGGTTCGTCAAATTCCCTTCAATAGCATATGCATTGCTGCTGGCTTGCCACACACCTCTCAGTGGTCATGCTGGCCAAAAGCAAGATTGAAATTGATGCACATTGGATTGATTCAGTGGCATGACCTGAGGGTGTGCGCCTGTGCAGAGGCCAAGGGCAAGGGGGCCTCGACGGACCGCAGCTCGGAGGCACCAGAGGCGGCCAGCATGTCGGGGGCGTCATCGCGCTCGGGCATGTGGATAGTCGTGCAGTGCTCCGGCGTGGGCCTGTTTGGGGAGCGTGGCAGCAAGGTCCCCAGCGCTTCCATCGGCGAACTGTCCCTGGAGATTGAGCTCTCCCTGGCCTTGGACTTTGAGTACAGCAGGTGCGACTGCTGCTATTGTAGCCGCCTCTGCCGTTCGAATTTTGCTCAGGTCATTAGGAGGCGTAAAATAAACCCTGACCATACAGCTGAGCGGGGCAAGCACAGCAACTGGTACTCACGCACACCTCACAAGTGGGCGCATCAAACTTAGCAGCCGGCTGGATCCGTGAAAAGGGTTTGTGGAGGCTTGCAGCGTGACCGGGTGGCGGTCCGGAGGCAAGCCCAAGTTTGAGATCACGGAGCTGCGGCGGAGCCTGAAGGACAGCAACATCCCCATGCCCAAGACGCTGCTGCGCCTCATCCTCAACGCCACGCTGCCCCGGCTGCTGCACCGCGGCCTCCTCACCGCGCTGCCGCCCGAGCTGGGCCAGTACCTGCTGGACTCCACCCAAGAACTCCACGTTGCTGGTGATGCTCATCACTCATGCAAACTAGTCTGGTAATCACACGCATTGCGATTGCTGCGAAGGCTGGAGACCTGTGAGCCATACTCGGTGACGTCTTGGCATGTAAACTAAGGCATTCTGGTCGTCATGGGGACATTGGTAGCCCTGGACTGGCGCAGGTAGGAAACCTGTGAGACATGCTCGGTGACCCCATGCCATGTAAAGCTAGTCTTGCCGTGGTGCACATATTGAGACTGCTGGACTGGCTGAGGCAGGAATGCTTTTTGCTAATGTGATTGGTGGCTGCAGGTGAGGTCGCAGTTGTGGGGCCGGCTATAAGCGCGCTGGATGCCGATGTGAGCGCGGCTCCCAACCCATCTGCGCCCCACAAGAATGCGGCTGAAGCAAAGCGTGCCGCCCAGCTCTGCACCACAGCGCAGGAAGTTCGCTCCATGCTAGGTACAGCCGTCTGTCCTCCCGCTGCACTGGCCATGTATTCGCAGATTTCATCCTTCTACCTATCCTGGAAGAACGTGCATTATGCTGATTGCGGAATGTATGTGCAGGCATAGACTTGCAGCAGGCAGGGCTACTGGCGAGCCTGTTCTCTGGGCCAGAGGCGCTTGTAGATCCCCCCAGGCCCTGCAGCATCAGCGAGCTGCAGGCCATGTACTCCAGATGTGCCCACATCCCACATGCATGGGAGCCGCTCGCTGCTGTCTGGGACACTGCGCTGGTGAGCAACTCTTTCCCCTCACTTTCTGCCATGCACATATATATGCTATCAGATATCCCAAGAAGCGGCGAGCAGCTTGTGACCTACCCGTCGCAAGAGATATTATTGCTGGTGCTTGTGCAGCGCGCTCTGGGCAAGTTCAGGGGCGTGCCAGCTCCCAGCTTCCTCTCCGTCATGGACAATATTGTCAACCTCCTGCGCAAGCCCGTCCGAGCCAGGTGTTCAACTATGCCCTCCTCCTGCATCTGCAGCACCACTGCTGGCCACCTGTTGAAGATCTTGTCGGCCTGCAACTCCCAGCCTCTGCCAAAGCATTATTTTCTTCCTGTTGCTCAATCTGCGGCTCACATGCCCTGCACATAGCGCTTATTCAGGTCATGTACTAATTTATAACTTGACAGTGCGCGCTCAATGCTACAGGCTGGTGCTGTCGCGAGTGGAGGTGGCAATCGGTGTGGACGCAGCGTTGGCGGCGGTGCGCAACTACTTTGAGCGGGCGGCGCGCGAGCTGCACGCGCGCGGTGGCCGCATCCTGCCGCGCAACGGGACGCCCCCGCGCAGCCTGCAGGAGCAGGAAGAGGCGCTAGCCGCCTGGTACACCTTCCTCGTCACCCGCCTCCGCGTCTTCAAGGTCCGCCCTTTCATCCGCCTGCCGCCAACCGATACATTTGGATGCTGGATTTCAGATGAGTCTTGTATCCTGCATCGCACTACCAAGAGAGGGATGCGAATGTCAAGCCTGGCTTGGTATTGGGGATGCCAGAATAATTGTATTTGATGCAAGACATGGGTTGAACAGATCGGGATAGAGTCCGTAGCCTGCACCTAAGCACTGGGCGCCCACCAATCAACCACACTCTGGCAGCGAGGCACTGCAGAAGTCATTGTCACGCATCTAGTTGCACGGGGGGTCCACCAGAACAGCGCATGCAGGAGTCATGTAAGCTGTCTTCGTCAAGCTGGCTTCGGGAAAGCGGTGAAAGAAGCTGCTCCGTGGGTGTGCGCAGGCCAAGTTCAAGGAGGCGTCGGTGACGCTGGTGGCGGCGGCGGACCGCAGCAGCCTCAGCCTGGGCCTGGAGCAGGGGCTGTACGAGGGGCCCCTGCGCGTGCGCCTCCCGGTGCGCCTCAGCCGCGACGCCACGTCCGACGGCGCCTGGTCCTTTGAAATCCCGCTGCCCGACCCCGCCAGCCAAAAGCTGCTCAGCAGGTGCCGCCCAGCAGCCGCGATCCCACTCTGTATTGCTGCTTAGAGTCCTTCAGGCATCTTGTGCTGCAGCCGGCCATTGTGGGATTCTGGTTTGATGGTTCAGCAAGATGGAGTTGTGGAGTGCGCGCAGGTTTATTGGCGGGCTGAAGGCAGCGCTCAACACGCCAGCATCCATGCTGCGCTCGCCCAAGAAGCCTGTGCCAACCCAGCAGCAGACGCGCGGCACCTCTGAAATTGAGGTTTGTCCTCCAACCTGTGGCTCTCAAGAGGTCATCCTCTGGTGATCTGCATATTAAAGAAATCAAGGAAAGGCAGGCCCGCCTCATTCACCAGCGGCTCATTACTTCACTGGTTCTCATTGTTGCAGGGACGGCGGCTGTCTCTGGCCCTCCGAGCAGATGCTTTGGCTGCGAAGGCGCTGCAGCCTATCACAGGAAGCCCTTTGTCAGAATCCACTGGCGAGGCACTGCCAGAAGGCCAGTCACTGAGCTCTGACAACCAACCAGCTGCTGATGAGCAGAACAGCGCAGACAATCCCGGGCTGCTGGATCAGCCGCCGCTGGAATGGTTTGGCAAGATCATGGAGGAAATCCTGGCCGACGGGGGCCAGCCGCCAAAGCTGGGCAAGGTGCCGCGGCTGACTCTGCCAACATTTGCTTTCTTGCTTATCTCGGCACCCTAAGCTTTTCAACATGATCCATAGGATGGCGGTGCCTGCCCCTGTCATGTGGTGTGTCCAGCTAATGGAGGGGCTGGGGGGATGCCGAGGGATGCATCTGGGTGGCTGACCAGGGAAACATTGAGATATAAAGTCTCTGTGATATAAAGTCTCTTGATGACAAAGCAGGGATGTCTCCCGTGCTTGAATTTGTCGGTGGCGCTGGGCAGGTGCTGGTGAATGGGCTACGAGTGCGCGTGCGGCTGGACGAGGGCCGGCTGACGGAGCTGCTGCGCGGCCACGGCGACGCTGCCACCACGGCCGGCCTGCTAGCCTGCCTCGGCGACCTCGCCACCGTCTCCTTCGAATCCCACCTCTCTGGTGCGCCCCACACCCTTCTCACTGGCGTATCCTTTCTAGAAACTTGTTTCTGTAGAGCCTATTCTGGCCATGGTCAGGCATTCCTGTTACACGTAAGGACATCTGCAACAAGCGAAGTACTTGCTCATCTTGCTCTCACTAGACCATGCCAAAGACAAGAACACATCCAACTTCAAGTACACATCGATTCAGCAGCTGGCCCCCACCCACCCTGTCTGGCCAGCTTGCATAAGGTGGCGAATGTCAAATGCGCTATTACAGGACGATGTTGCACTGTGCCTGATGGCTGTGTGTGTGGCATGCGGCGCAGAGGAGGAGGGGCAGGAGGAGTACCTGCTGGCGCTGGAGAGCAGCGAGATGGCCAATCTGCGCGCAGACGTCGCCGCTGCCGGCTTCCTTTCGGGCTCTGGTTTGTCGCCCGGCCGCCTGCTGCGTGTCGCCCATGCCCTCTCACGCGCCGTCCTCATGACCTTCTCAGGCACGCCTCTCACCCATTCAACCCAATTGCCATCCGCAACAGCCTCAATTGTAACGCTGTGTGCGAGAACTTCCTGCAAGCCCGTGTAATATCTGGTTGTTTGATTGAAATGTATTCCTTTCTGAAAGAGCCGAGGGCGTGCTCAGAAGAGTCTGAAGTTCCCGGAAGAGCCGCGGCGTCCTCAGACGCCCACCATCTCTACCACTTGCAGAGAATTGAGGGAATGCAGGCACAAACGGGTATATGGCAAAGAACAGGTGGATCAAAGTAAGAAGTATCTGGAGTGCAGCTGAGAGTGGTGAAGGGTTGTTGTGCGCAGGCACGGAGGAGCAGGTGGCGAGCATGGACGCGCAGTTTGAGGCGGTGTATGAACACGTGGTGCGAGAGGCGCTGGATGTGTCGGTGTGCCTGGAGGGCTCCGCCAGCCTGGAGGGCGCCAGCAAAGACATGGTGGTGCGCCTCATGGGCGGCAGTGAGGACACCTGGCCCCTCTCACTCACCAACGACTTTGACTTTGCGACCCTCTTCGCTGCAGAACCGCAGGCGCCACAGCTGGGGCCCCACGCCAGATGATGCACCGCTCCTGAAGAAAACCTCCTCTATATGAGTCTAGGCAAGGGTGGGTCTGCAATTCCTGAGCCCTTGCTAGTCATGGCAATCCGTGGGACTGTAGAATGTACACTGCCTGCTTGTACAGGTTCTGGTCTGGTGTGAAACTTGAGCTTGTCAATATTTTTGTGAGGGGTAGTCTGTGCTCAGTCCTGCATGCTACAGCACTTGGTGTTCAATTTTCAATTGAGACAAATTTCAAAAGTACAAGATGGTGAGTTTTGCATTATCAAGTCTTGAACGGAATTTGCTTCTTTGCTGATCATGATTGTATTGCTCAATGATTGTATTGCTCAATGATTGTAAGGTGCATCTGCTCTCATACAGATGCATCTGGCTTGCAAGCCAGAAGCCAATTGGTACAAATCCAAAGTGTAGTAAAGGAACGGATAGAGCAATATGGTGGGGGCTCCATGGAAATTTTCTAGAGATGTACATGTAGCCAGCAACGTCTTTACAGGTCGTCTGGAGAGGATCCCCTCAATGAACATGTGTTGCAGTGATCATCTTGATTGCATTCATGCCATGAATTTCATGGCTAACTTCGCAAAGCTGTAACCCGAGATCTCAGCTGACATTCTCAGACCTGCACAGGTATCGTAAGTGCACATTTGCTTGGTCAATCTGGACAACATTCAAGAAGCCAATCATCAAGATGTTGGCCTCTGTAAGGTCACGAAGTCTCGTTGCATGGGCAACAGAAGGCTCCCAACAGCTAGTCACAAAACCGTTTCCCTTCAAAGGCTGCGCTGTGCAATACGGATCAGAAATACCTTCAAAATTCTGCCTTTGCATTCACTACTCCAGCATTGTCTCTTTGCATGCGGCACATCCAACAGGTTATAAACTTCCTTTGCATAAACAATCAACAAATGACATGGCTGTGGCCATCTCTGCAGCACCAATCAAATGGCCGGGGACAAGCACCTCCCAGCAAGAGACCAGCAAATTTGCATCCCATTGTACTCAGCATGCCAATGCTTGCGAGTCTGTGCTGCCATTTGCATACGTCTTGACCATGCTCAGCAGCCGAGAGCGCCTGAGTCCCTGCTTGGCCGACAGTGACCGAGCCTTTGCCTGAAACGCTGAAATCTCCTCCTCAGTGAGACCACCTGCAGTGCAGCGCAAAGAAGTCAGTGCCAAATCCCCAACGCAACTGACTTGTACACACAGCATCGAGCATCACAGCACTACCAGAAGTTAAGATCAAAGAATGGCAACAAAAACTTCCAATAGTCAGGAAAGCCAATGGACAGGAAGCCATGGCGCACCCTCATTGTGATCATCACTCTCTTCCCAGCCCAGGGAGCGCAGAAAAGCTTTCTCCTCTGCTGGAATGGACAGCTTGGACGCAGTGATGCTGGGAAGGTCTGCGGACCCTTCCCCGCCATTAATTCCATGCATGGATCCATTGGATATCACGTGTTTGTCTCCATTCTCGCTGGGACTCTGATGCTGGCCCACATCCTCGCCTGTGCTGGACACTGCTTTCTTTGGGCTGGCCTCTGCCGCACTGTCCTTCCCGGGGCTCAAGGGACCATCCTCATGTGAGGTGCTGGCCGCACTCTGCGGGCTGACGGGCTGCGCGGATGGCTGCTCTGGGCCGGCGTCCGCTCTGCCTGAAGCTGAACCTGGCGCTGAGGGCGAGGTGGGCACGCTCTTGCGGCGCAGCGAGTCGAAGAAGTCGTTGCGGTTACGCTGCGCAACACCTGCACTCCACACAGCTCTCCTTCTTATCAATCCTTGTCCCTGTCTTAAACAGCTGCCTATGCAGAATTCGTTTGTCTGCATGCGATAGTTCAAGGACGTCTACTAGGGGGCCTACCATGACGCATGGCCGGGCTTCTGGGTGCGGCCAGAGCGGCAGGAGCGGTGGTGGCGGAGGCGGCAGGCACAGAGCGGCCATGGACGGCGGCAGCGGCCGAGGCGGGCCGGTCTGCGATGGAGGCCAGGTCCACCAGAGAGGAGCCGTTCCCTGTAGAGCCGCCCTCCTGCAGCGGCTGGCTCCCAGCACGGCCCAGCGCCTCCAGGCTGCTCTTCTTGGACAGGCCGCCCCCATTCAGGTGCACGAGCGACTTGGCGCTCCCACCGGCTGCGGGACCGCCGTTGGATGCGCCCCCGGCCTTCAGCTTGGCCTTGGCGGAGCCCGGGGACTGCGAGATGATGGGCACTAGCTGCTTCGATTGCCGCAGCGCCGCCTGCTCCCGCCGCAGCACCTCTGCAGCGCTGGCTGCCGCACTCTCGCGGCCGCCCTGCACAGGGCAAACGCCATGACATCAGACCCTGCAATTATGGACGCGCTCTTTGCAAACATCTGATGCCAGGCAAAAGCACAGGTGGGAGTCAGGTCGGACTAGGGATAGGCGCGCACCTGCTGGACCGCATCAGCCATGCGGGGGGTGTTGGGGTTGGATGCGGAGGCGGCGAGTGCGGCGGCACCAGTTCCAATGGCAGGCAGCAGCGGGCTGACGGCAGCCGCGGTGGGGGGCACCACATCCGCCAGCCGGGACGTCCATTGCTCTGTGTCGGCGCGCCCCGACGCCGGCTCCTGCGGCGGACTCTGCCAGTAATCTCTGCCGGGCGCCGGGCGCGGCCCTAATCCCGGGTACTCCTTGTCAAAGGTACCCTGCACGTCAGTCATAGAGCTCACATGTATGCCCCAAGATGTATGAGGATGCCCTTTTGCATGAGCGCGTCATGCGGATAAATGCACAGAGTTTTGCGGCCGGGGCCGGTGTCTCACCCAGGCAGAGCCGGCCCTGGCTGACTCGGGCCTCACGCGAGCTCCACCAGCGTCGCGGCGAGGGCCGGCCAAGCGATCCAGGCGCGGTCCATTGTGTTTCAGGGCAGGGTCCTCCCACTCCCTGCGCAGACCAGCTCCTGGAGAGTCTAGGCTGGTGGTGCGGTTCGGCTGTGGGCCTCCAGAGAAACGACCGCTGAAGTTGAACCTGGCGTCGTCGTCTTCTTTATACGTGAGCTTGTCGCGTGCAGGGCCAGCAGTGTCAAGGCTGCTCGTCCGGAACGTCTGCCTGGCACCAACTCCCGGACTCCGAGCCTTGCCGAGAACCCCGGTGCTTGCCGAGGAGGGCGATGTCCAACCACCACTTTTTTCCGACGGCCTCCTGCTGCTAAATGGTGTGCTTGAGCTATCCTTGTCTGCCGACGCGAATCCGGAGCCCGAAGCACTCCGTGTCTCTGCATGCCAGGCAGCACCAAGTCTCAATGTCCCAAATACAACATGATTGTTGGCCATGCAGGCCACGATATGTCATCAGTATTATTCTTGAAACATCGGGAAAAAAACAGCAACGATGCCTGAGAAACAGTGAGCAGGCCATTTTACTACAACCTGCAGCAGTTAGCTCCTGTCACCTTTCGAATGTGCTTGATTCCCAGCTCCTGCGGCGAGCGATGATTTCTGAGAGGGTGAAGCTCTTAGCCACTGTGGAGCAAACGCTGGCAACGCGTCGTCATCTGCTGGCATTTGGCAACTTGGCTGGAATGGGAGGCTCCAGAGAGCCTCAGAAGCCCGAGAGCATGGAGGCTTTCCCCCTCAATGAAGCATGGCGTTCAATCAGAAAGCATTAAAATACAATCACTAGAGGTCTGACAACAAAGATCTGCGATTCGATTGCTCTTCGCCAGACTCAAGCTTGCAATGTTGACTGGTTAGTGGCTTGGCTGAACAGCACTCATGACCTTGCTTGGCATGTGCAGACACCAATACTGCAAGTTTCTTCCTCAAAAATCCGTCTCAATAACAGTACAATGCGATCGCACGATACAAATCTCTTCAGATCGCAAAGGTGCCTTGAGTGTTGAGTTAGGGTCGAAACCAGCTCTTCCAAGAGCGATACCCTCCACACAAGCCTCTAAGAACAGGGAATGCAATATCCAGCTGATTGTGATGCCTCAAACCACCGAAGAATGAATTTTGCGTTTCCAGAAAGCCTAGGGTTAGGCTTCTAAATAGAGGGGTTTGGAAGCGAGCTCCCAGAGCGTTCTCTAGCCCTCTACGAACATCCAGAAGCAAGCGAGACACATTCTGGGCTGAATACAAGTGTCAGAGTATTTGGCGTGCTCCGTATCGAGCGATACAAATCACTTTGCTATTTTCCTCTTCGCTCAGTGTCAAAAGGCATGCGAGGAGAAGCACAGTCAGGATATCGATTCGATGATGTAGCATTTCAATAATGCCAGAAAGCTAATTTTGGGTGCTGTGTTCGTCATTGGCATCTGAGCAGGCTGTATGAGAGAATCACTGAGTCATATCGATCAGCTGATAGAGAGATGGCACATCAAGGCAGAGTCATAAAGAGAACATTTAAGACACCCGAAGGCCGCTTTCAGATCCATAGCGAGCGTCCTAATGCCTGCAATTTCAACAAAGAGAAGCCCACGAGATTGACCCTTGCAAAGCTCAACACTGGCACTTTTGTTGTTTTCAATCTGCAGGAGTACATCTACATCTGTTCTTATGCTAACACAGACAAGGTGGGAGCCAAAAGTAGGCCTGAAATGTTCCAGTACCGCTACTTACACCATCTCGCTAGTCCTGAAGGCCTTGTGCACCAACGGTGCAGGTGCCCCAATGCTTGATCAACTTCAACCTGGCACCGAGCGGCTCCGTCATGCACCCGACATGCCACGCGCATTCTCCTGCACGGGATGGCTTTGACCTCCTTGTGGGTCTGTCTACGGGGGATGGTGTGCACCTCTGCTCTCTTCAGGGGTCAAGACAGTTTGGCAGCACTTGCACAAATTCTGCAATTTATGTAAGGATTGGTCCCCTTGCATCATCAAAGACTTCTCAGATGATACACTTTGGATTTGCAGTTGTGGTGGCGTCCCTACAAGCACAAGTGGCGGCGCCGCAGACAAACACCAAGCTTGTGAGCCAGCTTCATTTCAATTTGGAGAGCTCAGTCGACGCAACGAGAGCCGTTGGAGTCGAGTGGGTGCCGCACACCAACGGCGATCTCTTCGTGGCCGCACACATGAGCGGATCAGTCTATACCTACAGCAAGGTGACTCACACCGGCCGTGCATGCAATCTGTGTGCATGTTACTCGTCCACCAATATCAAGCAGGCTTGTGCCCAGCTCACCAGCACTGAATGCATGGCAGGGGAGTGTGAGCGGCACTGGCGGCCACTTCAGTGCTAGAACAAATGGGAACCTGGCGCCTGTGTCGACGCTGAATGCCTGCCAGAAGGGCCTCAACGCCATGGCTCTGTCGCCCGATGGATCCAGGATTGCCACGGCCGGCAGAGACAGCGTTGTCCGTGTGCATGACTTGGGAACCGGCGCGCTCCTCACAGGCTTCAGGGTGAGTGCATTGCTGCCCATCTCTGGCAGAACACTTTCCTGCCCTAGTGTCTGCACATCAGGGGGAAGATTGCCTGCGTGCCTGTATTGCTCACATGCGGGTTGTCGGGTGCAGACGTACTATGGCAACCCTCTGTGCTGCACCTGGAGCCCAGACGGGCAGTATGTTGCGGCCGGAGGGGAGGACGATTTGGTGGCGGTGTTTGGCATGGAGGAGCTGAGGGTGGTGGCCTGGGGGGAGGGCCACGGCTCCTGGGTCTCCGCTGTGTCCTTCGACCCATGGTGCGCTCAGGGGCGCACACCTCTTTTGACCTTCGATTTGAAATCCATATTGAGTTGAGGAGCGCACCCGGATGTGCTGATGAGGAGCACATGCTGCAGGAACTTTGTTGGATTTGAAAGTGGTCGTATCTGTCTTTTCTGCGCAGGGTGGTGCGGCAGGGTGAGGGCGAGGGCGAGGCTGCAGCAGCACCTTCGGGGTCAGACGGCGGTGATGTGGACATGGAGGCAGAGAGTGCCAGCGAGGGCGCCAAGCCAGCCAGCACAGGCACCTGCTACCGCCTGGGGTCCGTGGGCCAGGACTGCCAGCTGTGCCTGTGGGATCTGGCGGTGCCTGCGCCGCGGCACCGGCTGGCACATGCTTCCAGGTCTGCCCTCCTAGATAGCACCCTGCCCACCAGTGTATCAGTCTGCCGAACACATCAGCTCCTGTGTATGTTGGGGGAGGCTCCACAACTTCACCAACCAGTGGCCTAGCGTTGATGCTAGGTTGCTCTGCGCGTTGGTCTTAGGCACAGCTCCTAGGTCACATGTTCGCTTGTTCTCATATCGGTGAAAGTTGTGAGGGTGACATGCATGGTGTGTGTGCACGCAGCGCGGGGCCGGATCTGAATCCTCGGGCGCTGCGGCCGCCGGCGAGGCAGGAGCCGGCGAGGCGGGGCCGGGACAGCAGCGCGGTGAAGGACGGCTCCCCGAAGCTGCTGGCCAAGCTGAGCAGCAGCCTTCACCGAGACTCCTCTCCCAGCGCGCATCACCGCAGCGACAGCAGCTCCAGCAGCTGCCTGCCCCCAGAGGTCGTGCCCACCACGCCGCGGAAATACATGCACTTCATTCAGGCATTCGCTGCCATCAGGTGGGCTGCTCTGCAACAATCCAAAAGCCTGCGCGGGGATGCTGTATAGGGTCCACACTGTAGCTGTCTTGGGTTGATGATGTCTTGGTGGTGCACCATGAAAAGCAACTTGGTCTGGTGCCACAGGTGTGCAACAGAGCCAGCGTCTGATCTGGTATTCTCGCACGACGCTCTCTTCACAGCATGCCACGGAGGCTCTGTGAAGGCCTGGGAGCGGTTGAGACACCTGCCTCCTTCTCCACCAGATGAGGCCCAGCGGGCAGAGCCCAGCACAGCCTCAGCTCCTCAGAAGATACAAGAAAGCGCAAGGAGAGCGCCTGATGTAGATTTGTGAACTTCAGCTCGTGTAGTGATGCAGGCTGATCTGCTTGCCTTCTCATGTATATCGCTTTGTACATTTTGAATGCGCAGTGCCATCCTTGTCCAGTGGTCATTGTCATGCCTTTTACAACACAGCTGGTACTTAGATATAATTGTCAAATTTCTGAACAAAGTTTAGGCAGAGTCTACTGCCGTTAGAATAGTGCGTTTGCTTACTCTTCCTTCTTGCTCGTTGTTGTAACCCCAGTGTACGTACGAGGGACTCGAGATGTGAATGACTTTCGAATGCTCGGGCGGCTGGCAAATCAAATAAACGTTTCAACCTACAGTTTGTAAAAGCTATATTTCCATTCATCTGATAGCCAATCTGTCACAGCAACTGACACAGTTGCTCTAGCAGATTCAGCTATTGCGTTTTACGTGTGCGCATTGCCAGCTGCACAAACTTGCAGGATCTGGTCTCCCCCAGGACCACAGGATGCCTGATTCAGTAAGAGCTGACTCTCGTGCTACTCTGAATCCTTCATAATCATTGCACACACGCAAAACTGTTACCACTCTCCGCTCAACAATTGAAATAGCAGGGTCAAAAATGCAGGCGTTCTCACAGCATCTGATGCATGAAGCGCTCCCTTGCTTCCATGATCTGCATGTCGTTCAGCATGGCTCCCTGCTCACTGCCGGGCTTTGCTGGTGAGACCACCCCATTGCCGCTCCTCACTCGCAGCGTGGGTGCAAGCCACAGGATCCACCAGAATCGGCCATGCACATCAAAAGCATCCTGTGAAGAAACATCATACATCCGTAATTAGGGCAGTCAGCCATGGTGCACGCACATGCATGCAATCAGACAAGATCGTGCAGGTCTGCCTCAACGCAAAGAGTAATCAGACACCATAGTAAGAGTACCTGCCAATTGGCAACAGGTCCCAGGTCATAGGGATTGGACCATTGTTTTCCCTGCTGCTTCATTTCCCGAGCTGCACCCCAATTCTTCATCATGTCAATGGTGCTCTGCGTGCAACAATCTGTCAGCACCCAGCTGATCAGTGTACCTTCAGAATCATGCCAGATTGATGAGTGGAGCAGATGTCTTCAGACTGGCCCCTTACCTGAGCAGTCAACACTAGGTAGACATGCCAGCAGAAAAGCACGCCCACTGAAAAGCAAGCTGATGTAGAGATCGCGAAGAGAAATATCAGCACAGTCAAAGCATGCGTGCTGGGGTTGACAATGGCCAGGCAGTTCCAGGCAGTGATTGCCTGCATGAACAGCCATTTTGAAAGTACAACGTGACGGCCACACAGGCAGGCAAGGGCCAATGGACATGTGCAAATACACACATGGTCCATAAGCAGGTTGGCAGGGATTTGCGCACCGCATAGCCAGATCCAACAAACAGGTAAAATGTAGAAAGAAGGAAGTAGCGATAGTTGAAAAAACCAATGCTGCGGCGCACACCAACCTGAAGTCAGGGTCAATCGAAATAGCAGAATCTCCATCGTCATATCAAGCTTTACTTCCAAAAAAGATGTGCATACCAGTTGTGTGTCCAGGGACAGTGATGATCTAGGCGCAATACACACCTGGCATAAGCATGAGAATATCCGTCAAGGCAAAAGGCAGCTGAGTACATTTATTGTGAGCAGGCACAACGCTGCGGACTAGAGTTCAAGAGGCTCACTCGTTGCAAATGCTGCAATGGTGTGTGAGCGGTGGTTTTGCTCGGCGGCAATGTTTACAAAATCTGCAGCTGTCTCTGCCTGCTGCTAGATGGTAGCCCTGCCAGAACCACAGGAAACTGAGATTGTCCTACAGAAAAGTGCATGAAATTGTGTTCCTTCACATTGGTGGCATGATACTTACAGCGATATTGATGCATGTACTCCGATGACTTTCACACAGTCACACTGCCAAAGGATCTCACCTCATTTAGCGTCGCAGTTGAGCCAGGCTTTGTGACGATGCACATACAGTAATTGAACAGTATGTTGCAGAACACCGAGGCCCCAAAGGCAAAATGGACCACCTGGATGACGAGATTGGCCCCCAGCACAGGAAGCACGATGTACAGATATGCGACTGCTACAAATAGTATCAATCCAAAGCCCACAGCTACATACAAAGGCCCACCATATTTCATGGAGGCCTCTGTTACACTAGCCATGACTATAATAAGCTGATCAGTCCTGCGAGTGGTACAGCATAGTGAGTGATACTTATGCTATATAATTATTCATTCCATTTAAAGACCTGTTTTCGCGCAACCTATTGCAGTAAGTTGTGAGCATCATTGATGCTTACATGCAGTACCAGCTAAACCACCGCGATCCAGTGGTGTCATGGCGATGCACCGATGATACCAGCCCCCGATGTGTTCCCAAACAAGGTAGCAGGGATGTCACAGGTAGCAGAGACGCCATCGGGGCACTTTCTCAAGGTTCAGTAACATCTCAGCATCTTCGCCACGATGCAAAAGTACCAGCAAAAGATCAATCTCATGGATGCAAGGATTAAAGCCGAAACATCGGTGTTTGAGAAACATAAATCAGTCGAAAATCCCTCTGCTGTTGCAGAGAGTCAAACTAGGGTTCCGGAACATTGCATTACTAACAGCTTCCTGTCGGAGCTGAGTTGGACTCCCTCTTTGAGCTCGCATCCTGCCTCCTTATACACAAGAATAGACTTCCGCATTTTCTGCATCGTCACCATCATTGTTTAAAGGAAAGTTTCGCACAAAGTCACCTGCCGTTTGGCGATGGACGGATCAAGAGCTCCTGGTCATACTGCCCTGAATGGAACAAATCATGTGCACTCAGAGTCTGATGTCGAGGAGCTTCAAAATATTCCACAAATTGATGTGAGTCCAAGCATGTCCCAGAGGGATGTGAGTCAAGCCCTGGGCGAGAAGATGCTGCAGGGCTGGACGTTACTCGGTGATCAATGCCCAAGGTCTGATCCCACCTGAATGAATATTCTTGTCATCTAGAATCAAGATATATAATCAAAGAAGACGATTATTTTGTATGCAGCAGTAGTTGTCAGGCATGAGCCATCTTCTTGCCAACCCATATCCACCATACATGTAACCAAACTGCTCTTACTTGGCTGCCTATAGGTAGCTACCCAGCGACACCAATCATTCCAATGTGCTGTACCAGGTGTTTCACGATCCTAGTCAGGAATCGTCAGATGGAGCACTTTTGTGTGTCCTGTGACATGTTTGTGCGGGAAGAGCCGCCTCCTGAGAAAGATGACTCGCCATCAGGACAAGCGCAGGCAGTTGAATCGCAGCGGCAAAACATTCCCACACCAGCAGTGCAGCCTTCCTCAGCAGATCCCAGCTGCAGCATTCTCGATAGGCAACATGCAGTTGCTCAAGAGCTGTCCTTCAGCCTGCTGGACAAAATGCTCAACATCAGCAAGGATGTGGCAACGGCACGCACCGCAGCAGAATGTGAGCAGCAGTTGGCGCTTCTGAGAAGCTGTATCAGCACCTACCAGAGCGTTGCAGAGGAGCTCATGTGAAACTTTGGCAGCTTAATTCCTTAATAATCATTTTGGATACCTGCGTTCATCCGTCAAGGAGAAATAGCTGTGATGAGAAATGACAATTCATAACATATGATTTAACATGTGGCGGCTCTCCCTGCAGGAGGCAGCATCTGTGTGATGCATGAAAAAACTTTTGCTGACACGAAGAGTCTGCAAGCAATAATGCAAGCAAGCGTTTGATGTAAATGTCATGTGCTGCGTGCAATGCGGGCGAATTTGTTTTGCAAGCTCTCTAAAGTTCCACCTTACACAACCAACAATGCTGTCATAAGCAAATAAATTGATTTATGTGATGAACATAAATTCATCATGATGGCTCATCATGTCATCTTTGCATTGGCATCAAGAACTCTCCATCTGCAATCCGACTGTGACCGCATGCTCCAACATCGCCAATGTGTCTGCATCTTTGTTGATGGGATTTCTCGGCTCCGCACTGCGGTCACACAAAGCACTGCATGAGTCGCTCAAACTTGGGGTAAAATGGCTGGACGTGAGGCATGTAATGGGAAAGATGCGCACGTTACAAGGTCCAGTGCTGACTGGCCAGAGGCATTGTCCGCAGCAGCTTTGGCGCCAGCTTCAAGCAGCTGCCTCACGAGCGCACTGCGCCCATAGCCGGCCGCATAATGCAGTGGCGTGTTCTTCTTGGAGTCCTGCATGTGCACCCCAGCAATGCCAGTCATGTCAGAAACAATCATTCTTGTGTGGTGCATGCCACAAAGAAACACAAAGGCGAGTCGCCTTAGGCGGCTATGCACAACAAAGAAGATCTGAGGCAGGGCAACTTGCCTGAGCCTCCAGATTTGCGCCCGAGCTGACCAGCTCTTCGACTATGTCTGCATGGGAGTAAGCGACGGCATAGTGCAGCGCCGATCGGCCGTCTCCATCGCGCTCATTGACGTCCTTACCGATGGCGATGAAGTCTTGCACCGCTTCAAGATCGCCATGCCTGTAAACAGGTGACCTCCAGTGAACAGCAGCAACCATGTACAGGTACTAATTTCAGCATAACTGAGCAGCACCATAGTAGTAAGTGACACGCATGCACGAGTATCCAAGGGGCACACTTTGCTGCGTCCAGCAGGTTATTGATCTCTGGCATGCTGGCCGCAGGTGCTGCCTGTGCCTGGGCTGCAGGTGCCGCTGGGGCCGGCCCCGCGCCAGCCTCTACGGGTCCCATCCGCTCACCAATCTTTGCAAGAGTCGCAGGGTCGTTCCAGTACTTCATGAGAGCCCCCATCCCGTTCTTCCTGTCAGCACAGGTCGCACACTCTGATGCTCGTGCAGGAGGAGGATCAGGAAGATTTTGCAGGGTAATCACTGATAGTGGTATTCGAGCAGCTGGACCAGGGGCACTTACTGTATATCTTCGAACATTCCGGCAAGTTCGGGGTCGTCCTGCGCATGCATGCATGGGCAGTGAGCAGCTACCATTTCTTGGTCTCATGCATCACAGATGCCTTCCTGCAGCAGTGATGGGCTTAAAACTCGGACATCCAGCTCACCTTGAGCTGGGCAATGCGCTGCTGAAGCTGCTGGTCTTGCATAGCAGCTGTCATCTGTTCCACTTGAGCCGCAATCTCGGGCTTTTTCACGGCTTCCTGAATAGACTGCATCTGCTGTGCCACCTGCATGTCACACATGCAAATGTTGAGCTCATTCTATCCTTGGGGGGCTGTGCATACGTGAAATTATCGAGACGATGAGGGATGCCAGAAGAAGTAATGCATAGATCACATCAGTTCCCCAACACTTTCAGATTGAAGGATCCTTGTCCTCCTAGCAAGAGCATGCCTGAGGATCCTTCATTGCTTGCTGCATGGCTTCCTGCATCTTTGCTGCTTCTTCGGGCGATGGCTGTGCTGCCGATCGTACTGGCGTGAGCTTTTGTTTTGGCGCTGCACGACATCTTAGATGAACATTATGCACCTCCTGAAATGGACAAAATCTGGAGCCCCCAAGGGCTTGGTGACGAGTAAAAAACATCTTTAATCCAATATAGCTGCAGTAAGAAAACTTCCTTCTACCGAGTGATGGATCTTGTTTGGGAGCAGATGAGGCCAGCTCAGCTGATAACTTGATCAGGTTATTCTGTTCCCCTCAAATCATCCCTATAGATCAAAAGTGCTGTAGGGTTTTTTGAACTGTCTGGTGCAGTCCTCGGGGCGCCAATGCCGCGGCCGGGTGTTTAATGAACACTGTTCATGTGAGCAGCGCGCACGGGACAAAGTAGAGAGCAGACACGGATGCCGGAGGATAGAGGCATAGGGGGGCGTAGTAGCAATCTGATTTCCCTGACAACGCCCACAAAATAATATAGTGGCATCTATCTTGTCTCCGCGTTTTGTCCCTCCTGAAAGAGTCCGTAAACCTGGTGTTCTGCACGCCCGAGAGCGCAACAGACTTGTAAAGTCTTGTTAATAAATTGGAATCGCTTCATTGAAGAGATCTCGGGCAGCTGTCTTTACGAAAGAAGAGTTCCCACCGATTCTTGCTGGCAGCTTAGATAAAGGCTGAGTGCTTGTGGAAGAGATTGATCAATAAGTAGAACGGAAATAGTATTGGAAGCGCTTGTTCTGCGTCTGTGTGGCAGCACTGGCATGCTTCAGGTCCCTGGATAGAGAAGTCCTCAGAATAGGTGCTAGACAGAGCGCAACATAGTCTCGCCAAACACGCTGGCTAGGAGTGCCCATTATACAGCCAAATTACACCCTTGTGCAATGCGGCAGAAGGATATGGCAGGTCCCAAAGATATGGCAGTAATTGAGAGTGGTAGAACCCTCAGAGACCACCATGAGGTGGACGAGGCGGAGGTCATGAAAAAGCTGAATAGAAACCTTCTGCCGCTGTTCTTTCTGACGACCGTGCTCTGCTACGTTGACCGCACGAATCTAGCATTTGCCGCTTTACAGCTCAACAAATCCCTTGGGTTCACAGAGAAGGTCTATGGGCTTGGCTCGGGGATCTTCTTCATAGGCTACTCTCTATTTCAGGTCTGCCTATCCATGCAATGCTCGATCCCACTTGTGCAGACATACCGGTGTTGCCTTGCAAACCTTCCAATGCATTTCTTCTCTGCTGTGCAACTGAATTGCCCTGGTGGTGTTCCTGCTCATAAGCAGCTTTTGTTCACTGTCATGGCAGGTTCCCAGCAACATGATACTTGTCAGGGTTGGAGCGCCGATCTGGTTGTCAGTAATAGTGATCTCATGGGGGTTTGTGGCCACCTTGTTTGCGGGCCTGAAGACCGCAAATGAGTTCTACATCCTTAGATTCCTGCTCGGTGTGGCAGAATGTGGAACTTTCCCAGGTGAGCCCCTTACACTTTGCACACATGTAATACCAGCTCAACTGCGAAGCCAGCAGTTGCACTGACTATCTGCTGGCACCGCAGGGATGTGGTACTATTTGTCCACATTCTACTCTGAGAAGGACATTGGAATGGCATACTCATGGGTCATCACAGGGACAGCATTGTCACAGGTACACCCATTGATACAGGAATCAACAATGACTAGATGAGACTTTTAAATTGGAAGAGGTGTCACAGTTCCTGTGACCAGATCACTGTTGGAACGTGAACCATACATGAGCTCTGCTCTGCTGCACTCTTAGGAGGGGTGTGTTGCAGGTGATCGGCTCACCCATTGCAGCGGGTCTGCTGGCATTGGATGGCGTGCTCGGGCTGAAGGGGTGGCAGTGGCTTTTTGTGGTGGAGGGGCTACCCACTATTCTGCTGGGTTTCTACATCAGCCGAAACGTATGTGACGGCCCAGCGAACGCCAAATTCCTGACACCGCAGGAGCGCGATTGGCTCGTTCAGCGCAATGTAAGTGGTACACTTGACTTTCATAGCTGCTCCTGCTCAGATAAATAGATCTTTAATCCTCCTGAGTGTTGTTAGTCTTATGATGAATTCCATGTGTTGTTCTGCATCCACTCACCAAAGAGGAACGCTTTCTGCAGGCTGCGCTCAACGCGGCAAAGACCGGCGTGGAGTCAAAGTACTGGGATTCGGTGTTTGATCTGCGCACATACCACGTGGCAGCCATCTCCTTCCTGGAGGGCACCGTGAAGAATGCCCTCCTGTACTGGTGCCCTTTGATCATCTACAGTCTGGTGCGCGCCCACCCTGCAAGACTCAGATCATCCATCTGTCCCATCAACCCATCTGTCTTCTTGCAGGCCCGTGTGATGCGCATGCTATTGGCAATGGCAGAGACGCCAACCAAACCATTGTGGGTGATTCTCAGGTGGGAGCCAGGTCCTCAAAAGTTGCAAGGGAGCTGTCAGAGGTGGTGCTGCCTCCTCCAGAGGCGGAAGGGAACGCTGCGCTGGTCGCCCTGCTGACAGCGCTGCCCTTTGGCCTGGCCGCTGGCTGGATGCTGCTCCTTGCCAAGAGCTCCCAGCGCACAGGTAACAACCATGCGCCCGGCAAAGGCTGTGCCCATTCAGTTCTAAAGCTTATCTTACCCCTTCAACTGCCCCGATTCCAGGAAAGCTTTTCTGTCAGTCAAATACAAGGCTTGCTGCCACATGCACGCCAATGAGGCATCTGGAATGCTCCTGACTGCCAGTATCACCAGTTGCAGATGTCTGATACAGTGCGCGCCGTGTGCGCAGGGGAGCGTCGGCTGCACTCGGCCATCCCCTTCCTGGTGGGTGCTGCTGCGCTGACATCCATGGCATTCTTCATGGACAGCGACCCTTCCGCCGCTTTTGTCTCCCTTTTGGGCGCCACCATTGTCTGGGGCCCTGCAGGCGTCGTCTACAGCCTGCCCGCAACCTTCCTGCAGGCATGCCTCTCCTTCCGCCGATTGAGCACAAGCTCGACAGCTTCAAGACTTATGCTGCATTTGTATAGCAGAAGAAGAGCTGGACCAAGAGTACTCAGTGCAGAGCAGATAGAATGTTATAGCGATGTGCTTACCTATTCTTGTGTGCAAACAGGGACCTGCAGCGGCGACTGGGATTGCTCTGATCAATTCCCTAGCAAATGTTGGGGGACTTCTAGGTCCTTCCATCACTGGTGCGCCCTCCTGAATTCACAGTGCTGCATGTTTTGCCACCGCTTGTTTGACACCGCTCACTGCACAAATGGAATGCAGATGGGAGCTGAACAGTGTCAATGCAATGAAATGCAGGTCATTTGAAAGCAGAGACGGGCAGTTATGAGTCTGCTGTGATGTTCATGGCGTGCGTCATGCTGGCAGCTAGTTTGTTGGTGGCAGTGTTCCCTGTTCCCCAGGCTGCCGGCAGCAGTTCACGGTCTACTGGCACTGGCAAAAAACTGCTGGAGTTTCTGCGTCTAGTGCCCTCTGAAGGCCATGACATTGAGCATGCTGACAAAGCAGCATCAAAGTCTAGCAGCTGCTGATGTGTTCCAAACTGTGCTCTGCTATTTGGGAGGCCATTGGGATGCATTGATTCAGTTTTGCTCTACATATTATGTAGAGCAAACCTGGGTAATAAACGGCACGCTAATCAGGGTACACAGCTGTTTAAAACCCTGCTTTGTGCGCACCCCAATGATTCATTACAAGGCTCTGTATGAATAGATGGCTTTACTAGGAAGTTTGCAAAACATGATCAGAACGTGAGAATACCGCAAAGCAAACGGCAAATGATGCGGCTCGGCGCTCAGAGAGCTGCCAAGTATCTACGATGGGGCTTGTTCTTTTTGGCATGCTTGAAATTGAGACTGCTATTAAACCCCTAAACCTGCCCTAGCATCCAACACCAGGCAAAGTGCTAGTGTGATGCAGATATGATCATGACCTAATCCTGAGCATGCAGTGCGTGCATGCCATGCGTACCCACGTAGCTCCAACCAAGTTCACCCCTGTATGGAGGGCAGCCTCCATGTGCTCTACTGACAGATTCCAAAAATTCTTGGGCTAGAAGTCCCGGCATGGCAGATACCAATGCACCTTGACTGTCCTCCCCAACACTCCATCAAAGCAGAAACTTCCCAAATGAGAGGCGCAGCCCACTGCAAGCGATTTAGCACTTTCCGCCGAGCTAGTAACATTTATGGAGGCGACACAGTCATCCGGTCTGAAGCGGTCACTCATGAAGCATCCATGGCTGGCAGTGATAAACATGATGTCTGAGAGTGGCGGCCAGTGCTGGCAGCGACCGGCACGATGTCTGAGAGGGGTGCAGAGCCAGGCTTGAGCCGGTCTGCGTTGTGAGGGGCGGCTGCTGGGGCTGCTACTTGTCGGTGAGCTCGCGGAAGCCTTTCCAGGTGAATGGGGCGGCGTAGTCGAAGGGGGCCATGTAGTCCAGCAGCGTGGTGGAGGGCCCGTCCATGAGCGGCTGCCCGGCCAGCGTCTGCCGCATCCACTTGGTCTGCTCCAGCACCGCCCGCGCCTCCTCCCACGCCCCCGCCTTGTACGCCGCAAACCCCTGCACGCGCATTCCAGACCCTCGTTGCGCTCTTCAAGAACATACAGTACACAGACCTAGCAGCAGCATGAGCACTTCAAAATGCTTGTGCCTTGGTGGTGATGGGCAGCTGAGCAACACCGTGACTAATGCGCAGAGCTCTCCAGAGCACCTCTCCAGTGATGAACACCATGGGAATCGTAGATGCAAGTTAGCACAGATAGAAATCAAGGTAAAGAAACAAGTTAGGAAGAAAGAGAACAACGTGGGGCAGGCAAAGGAAGAAAGGGGGCCGGGGCCGGACCCGCGCGAAGGTGTCGAGGAAGGCGTGGTCGACGGCCCAGGTGTTGGCCAGGTCGGGATGGTCGCTGAACTCCCAGTTGTACGCCGACAGCGAGTACGACACCGGGTCGCCCTCAATCTCGGGTGGCGCCGCGGCCGTCGCGCTGACCGACGACGCCATCGAGTCGCGCCGGCTGAGGCTGGTGGTGGCGGCGGTGGCCGAGCCGGGGGTTCCGGATCCCCCCCATGGGGGGGACTGCTGATCTGGCGCGTGCACGCGGTCCAGGCTGACGTCGTACGTGAAGAGACCCATCGGCCGGTTGCTGCCCTTCACCGTCACACAGTCAATCTGCCGCACCCGCCGCCGCACCTGCGACCCCACAGCCTCAAGCAATCATTTGTGTGCAATAATACTCTCGTGCCCTGGAAGAAGCAGCTGCTTAAATGTGCCCAATGCCAGGGCCAGGCCTGTTTTTGCATCCGTGTCACTCTTCTTCAGTGCTGTCTTGTATAGAAGGTCAAGATGTGTTGTGGGGTGCATGGGGATTGCGAGTGCATGTGGCGTGTGCAGAGGGGTGGGGAAGGGAGGGTACCTGCGGGGAGAGCAGGCGAGCGAAGTCTTCGGACATGAGGATGGAGGTGCCGAACTGCTTGGTGGCGGCCTCCAGGCGCGAGGCCATGTTGACGTTGGGCGACAGGTAGGACGCGTCGATCTTGTACTCCGACCCGATCGCGCCCTCGATCGCCCACCCCACGTGCAGCCCAAACCCCATGCGCACCTGCAGTCAACATGATCCAATCCATACATCACACTCAATGGCAATTCTCTCAAGATATCACCAGCAGCTGCACATTGCTCTCGCCCTTTTATGTAACAGGAGCTGGCAGACCACCCACAGAGGGCAATTGGGCGTACACTGAGGAGGCTCGTTTGCAAAATAGATCCCCTCAAGAAAGTACCAGCAGCTGCACTTTCTTCTCGCACTCTCCTGTATATGAGTTAGCTGGCAGATAACACGTTATAAGATATTTACGATGACGCGCACCTGGAAGTTGGGCATGCGCTTGTTGAGGTCTTCGCGCAGGGTGTAGAGGTGCAGTCGCTTGGAGCGCTTGAGGGCGGCCTGGATTATCACAAACGACGCCAGCGCCTTGTCCGCCAGGTCCCGCGCCTGCACGCACCCCACACGCAAAAAACTCACCACATGCAAAATCTTGAGTGATGTTTGCTAGCATGCGCATGGACTGTAGACTCTAATGCTGCAGCGTGGGCCAGAGTTTGATAGGCACCCTGGGAAGGTCTAAGAATGGCCCAGGAATAGTCACAATATACCTCTGGGCCATGCCTGGGTAACCTATCTTTTAGTGCCTCGACATCCCGGTCTCAGATTCTTGACTCTACAGACAAGTCCAATCCTCACAGCATATGTCAGATTCTGTGCGTGGGTGAGGGCAGCTGACCTGTTGGAGGCTGAGCCACTTGGGGTCCTCTTTGCCGGGCAGCACGAGGCTGGCCCTGCGCCCCGTGGCCGCCCATCGGCTGGCGGCGCTGTCCGTGGAACTGTCCGAGCGCTCCGACATGCGCGCCTGCACCCCATCAACAGCTGAGTCAGCAGCCGATCAGTACTAATTGAATCTAATAAGGCACTTTAACGGCGCCAGGTGTGTTTACATGCTTGACAGAATTTGCAGAATCCCAGAAATACAAGGTAAAGCAGGGGCCTGCTGGAATGCAAGGCAGGGAAAAATGCGCACCTTCTGCCCCGGCTCTGACGGCATCACTTCGCCCGGCAGCCCCACCGGCAGCAGCGGCTCCGGCTTCGGCTCGGTCAGGGACTTGAGGTCGCGCACGTTAAAGCCCTTGGGAAACTTCCACGCCTGCACAGACATGCGCTTGCTGTTGCTTCTATTTTTGCATGCCTTGGAAGGGAAAAACAATGAAAAGCCTGCAAGAAAACAAATGCGCCTGCGTTGAGGCGTCTCTAGTGCGAAATTTGCTGAGTATTCTGAGTGGGAGGTGAGTGAAGGTTACCAGCAAGAAGGCGTCCCCAACGTTCTTGTTGGGGAAGCCGCCGTGCAGCGAGGTCTCCATGTGCACGATTTTGGCGATGCTGTTGACAAACTCCATTACGTCCTCCTGCAGCACCTCTGTGGCGTCCGTGAACTGACGGATGTCGCAGAACCCAAAAATGGCGCACACCTGTATACCAGCCACAAGAGGAATTATTTTAGCACTCAGGCATGCACACAGAGAAGTGAGTGCTTTGCAGATCACATGATATAGATTGGAGATTTTGTGATCTGTCTGCCCACCTTCTGCCCAGGAACCATGGCGTTCAAGTCGCCCCCATTCTTGATGTTCTCCGCAATGACCTGCATGCCAAATATCTCTTCAGAGCATTCCACTCCACATTCATTGCATTTCACAAAGCGCCAACAGACACGGAACGCTAGACGTTAGCTATTGCATTTTGCGCCATCTCGGCAGTACTGACAAGAGGACATGTGACACAGGCTGCCGATTTGGTGCAGTCATCAGACTTGGCTTTTCTGCAGGGGCAGGGCCCCACCTCTGCTCCAGCATCTCCGAACCCGACAGCGAGCAGGCTGCAGATTTTGTTAATGCTGCTCTCCAGGATCCTGGTCTCCATCTGCGCCTCCCCCTCCCTCAGCTCCCTGCTGAACTTCCCGCCCTGCACCAGTCAACACCCCATCTTCAATCCCGAGCGTCGACAATAAAGTCAGCCATGCACTCCTTCTCAGATGTCCACGTTCCCCAATTGCACAGAGCAAGAGGATATGTACATGCACGAGGCTGCATTGGGTTGGGTATACTCCAGGCGTTAGGTTCCTAAATTGCATCAGGAGAGGGGTCCTCGTCTTTGTGGTTGCAGTATGCGCGCGCCTGTTTGATGGCCAGGGGATTTTCGCTGACGTCCTTGACCTTTTTGAGCATGCGCTCGATGGGCTGCAGCACCAGCTTGCTGGCGTCCCGGTTGAACACAAACACGCCCACCGCCAGAATCGCGCAGATGAACAGCGTGCGCAGGATGTTGAGCAACGCGTTGAACTGGCTGTACCATTTCAGGTCCAGCACAGCCACCGACTGGTAGCACGCCGCCCAGTCACCGTCCCAGCACCCGGGACTGAACGTCCTGCACGCACAGGTAATTTCCAGTTGCCACTCCTGGCTGTAATGCTTGTGAAGATTATTCAGTCGTCCTTGTATTGAGCCTAATTCTTACAACGAGCAAAATTATGACACGGCTGCATGTCAGAAGCAAGCTTGACTCTGCACGAAGCTTGGCACAGCCAAGTCATTGTATGAGCAGCAAAAGAGTCTTGCATGACAGGTCCATGGACAGATGCCCTGGATAGCTTCTCTTGTTGTGACTGGGGCTGCTACTCATGAGATGCACAGCGGTGGCAGGGGCGGGCGCACTTTCTGATGGAGAGCTCCGGGGTGCGGCGGGTGAAGCCGACTTCAGGTCCGTCGGTGTATCCGAGCGTGTTGTTTGCCACGATCAAGATGAGCAGGTAGCCCGTTTCGCGATTGACCAACTGAAAGACCACCCCCCTGTGGTAGTCATCCACCGCCTGCAGCACACACCCTCAAGACATTCACACCCATGCTTTGATCATACCCTTCAAGGTGCTTGCAGTGACCACCGCCTCAGAGGCGCTTATGAGCCTTTGTCACGATGCTGTAATGGTCGAACAGCTGCAATACTGGGCTCTTGAGCCCCTGCTATCTAGCTCCAAGCCCTCCTCCAAAGTGTGGGTGCCCGATAGTTGCTTGATTTTAATCAAGCACTAACAGCAATCCACTGGAGAAAGACCCATTTGATCTATGCAGCAGACAAGAAGGTAGATGTTGCAAGGGGGGGACCTGCTGGAAGCCGGTGGAGTTGCCGTCGGCGAGGAAGATGTCGTGCATCATCTTGAGGCCGCCGTCGGAGATGTTGTTGAAGTTGCCGTAGAGGCCGCTGTTCCAGTTGAACCCCGGGATCATGATGAGCATGGTCAGGATGAGCACGATCACGCGCTGCGACGTCAGGTCCGACAGCTTCTGCCCCACGCGGCTGCGCTTCGCATTCGGGTTCCACCTGCACATAGTGGCTCACACTCACAGCTGGCCCACACAGCATATCCTTCCACCGACCCAAGAGCTGCATGCCCCACACAGGGGGCACAGGTTGCAAGACCAGCCAGGCTTCCATCCTCAAAGCTGGCCCACACAGGGTCTGGCAAACAGCATGCACGCACTAATCCCAGCAGCTGCAGGGCCATTGAGATTGTGAGTATTGAGCAAGAATGCAAGAATGGTGGAGTCCGACTTGGTGATGGGTGGTAAGTACCATCGGGCGTTTGAAGAGGTGGAGGGTGTGATGCCGCTCTTTGCCTCAAACGCCTTGTTCTCGCGCCACACCTGCCGCGCAGAACACACGTGGGAACACAGCCCCAGAGACTCCCAAGCCACATCTTGCCGTACAGAAACATCTTATTCATGGCTAGAGAAGACCACTTTGACTCTAGGTACCAGGGCAGACCCTCCCTCCTCAGCAGAAGTGTGTGGTTGCAACAACAGACCCAACAATTGTCAGCACCGTTGGAATCTATCAGGAAGAAAGCTGTTGTGTCTGCTATAGTATAGGATATATGAAGGTTGAAGAAAGGTTGTTGTCTGCACTCTCACAGCTGCAAGACAAAGATGACTGTCATAGCTGCAAGACAAGGATGAGGATGCAGGTCCGGAGGCAGAAGCAAAGCAGAGGGGAGAATCAGGTCACACCAGGTATTGGAGGTAGAGTCGGACGAGGCGCATGAGGCGGAAGATGCGGGTGACGCGCAGGATCTGGCGCACGCGAGCCAGCACCTTGTTCTGGGGCCCGCGATCGAGCGCGCTGCTGCCGGCCAGACTGCTCCTCTGGTGGAACACCAGGTCCATGAGCGCCGTGATGTCCAGCAGCATGGAGACCGTCGCCGCCAGGTCGATCCAGAAGTAGATGCTTGCAAAGTAGCCCTTGCGCACCAGGCACGCCACCGTCAGCTCCAGGCTGAACAGCACCTGCGCACACAGCAGCGTAATTGTCATCTCTCAGCCCCACCTCCAGCATATCGCTACCCCAACCCTCTCAGCTCACCCGCCCTGCCATGCTCCAGCAGCACTGATTCCAGCAGATGTGAAGCGAGGCAGCATGCTTGCGCTTGATCAGAAATCATATCTTGCGGGGCATGAGGGGTGTTTGAAACCACAGCAGACAGCGCCAGGTCCATGGACTATGCACGCACTCACGCAGGGGTCACGCACAGCATATGACTCCAATCAGTAGATGTCTAGGGCTCTGTGCTGGGCAGAGAGGCAGCACCAGGATGAGGCCGGAGATGTATTCGCAGGAGACATCGAGGGAGGTGGGCAGCACGGCCAGCCGGAAGTCGTCCAGGAACAGTGCGAAGAAGACAACCACGGTGATGGCGATGGTCGCGTAAATACCCTCCAGCCAGTAGGACGCCTTGGCCTTCCACGACGCGCGGTCGTCGCTGTTCAGCAGATCGAATATCGACCCCGCTGCACAGCACACGCAAATTATCATCCCGCACCCCCTTGCAGATTTTCATTGTGCGGCGGCCCCGCATCGCCTGCTGACATAAGGACAGCAGGCACATTGATGTGATCAAGTATGCTACAAGTTTCTGCGCGACTGCCCCACAAAGGTGCATTCAACCGCCAAGAACATGTGCTGTGTGTGGTTCAGCGGCAATTGCCATGGCTGGATGCCACGATGTATAAGCTCGCTAGGACACTTCACTTATAGAGTTGCTGTGTTGCTTTAGCAAGCTCAGCCCAACTCTCCCCCTTGGTGAAGAATAAGATACTGCATGTGCGGTGTGCCCGTGCAGCGGTGCTGGGGAGGAAGGCGCGCACAGACTGAAAGGGTGGAGAGTTCGCGCGAGGCTCGCAGCAGGTCGTCCCCGCCTGCCTGGCTGCCGGACGCAGATCGCCGCATGATGCGCGAGCGCAGCGTTGAGAAGCGGTTGTTTGCTCTGCGCACCGCCGCCATTGTAGGCCGGAACCTGCTGTTCCTGTTGCATCCCAGCAGAAGTTCGTCATCTTGTACAAATCAGGGTAAGGTACTAAAGCATGAGAAGACCCTGCGCTGCCCAGCAACTGGGAGAACAAATCAGAGGAAATCACAGGAGACCTGGAAGACACACAAATTGAACAGGGCACTGGCCCGCCCAGCAGCATTATGTCCAGGAGATCAATGACTCGGCACCATGTGTGGAGAGGGATGAGAAGCATTCCACTGGGCTTCCAGGGATGATGCGGTCACCTTGGGTAGGAAGGGTCAGGCGGGCCATTGCTGTTTGCCACTGAGAAAGGATTGCTGACAGGCATGTATCCGGGTAGCTCTGGGACGATCTGCTCTGTGCCATTGGTGAGGCGTCTCTGCAGCGGCTGGAGTGCAGATATCCTGGGAGAGGTGCTGGGTATTGGATACAGCTCATCTTCCCCTCCTGGCCGTCTTACTACTGCGCTGTCGGAAAGCTCGCCTGCACCGCTGCCTTGGCTGAGGTTTGATCCGAATGCTGTTAATCTCACCGTAGAATCCTGGGAGTACAAGGAGTTCTGGCTATCGAACTCAATGTTAGGCATTCTGATTATTCCGAGCCTTTTCAGGCATCGAGGAGGCGAGCCACGGTCGTCAATGCCTTTCAGAGGCCAAAATCTTATTGAGAGACCTCATCAAGTCTTCGAATGGATTGTTTTTACGACGTGTGCACGTCCAAGGTAGCACACAGCGCACTATCGGCATATCTCCTGTACATCGGAAACAGGCGTCCGGAACATCAGTTCCTTCGGACAAAAAATTATCTGGATTGCTGCCGATATAAGTAGCATATAATCCTCGGTGGAAGAGCCCACCCTGAGCACTTCAGCAATAAGTCAAAATGGCTGGCGTTCCAACTTATTGCGCCACCCCAGACCCTAAGAAGGCAAGGGGTTTCGTGATGGCTCACAGGGTCATGTGAAGTCATTGGCTTCACTATTTGTATGAATTCAATGACCAGGGGCGATCTTGGGCGATCTTGGGCGAGCTTGGGCGATGAGTCAGGGAACCAGAAGTCAGTCGAAGCGCCCAGCGCAGGGCAGCCCAGGGCAGTCAGATGAGGAGATGGAGCCGCCCCTCCACGATCTCCTTCTTGCAAAGGTCGAGTCTATGATCCACGGCCTGGAAAGCAAGCTTGACAGTAAGCTGGACGAGAAATTTGGGGCCCTCTTCCCTCAGCTGAAGGCAGAGCTCAAGGCAGAGCTGAAAACCGAGCTGAAGGATGAGGTGGTGGCTGAGCTGAAGGCAGAGCTGCTGCCTCTCCTGCGCGCTGAGCTGGCCAAGGACACGCAGACCAGAGCCGCCTCCAACGATGAAGCAGTGGTGAACAAAGTGCACCATCTGGAGTCTGTGGTGGAGTCTCAGGCCCGCCAAGCCAGGAGTGCCAACCTGATCTGCCATGGTCTGGCAGAGGACAACACAGAGAATGTCTCAGCCCGCGTGGCAGCGCTGTTTGACAGCAACAGCGGCCCCCCTGCTGTTGTCAGCGAAGCTCGCCGCCTCGGTGCCCCCAGCGCCACGCGCACCAAGCCGCGCCCCGTGCTCATCAGCTTCAGCGGCGTGGCAGCCAAGCACGCTGCCCTCAAGCACAGCAAAGCCCTGCGCCAGCGCCAGATTTTCCTGGATCCCGACCTCACCCCGCAGCAGCAGCGCATCCGCGTCAGCATGCGCCCACACTATGTCGCCCTGAAGACAGCCGGCAAGCAGCCCTTCTGGCGCGAGGAGCGCCTCTTCGTCCGGGAGGGCGACCGCGTGCGTGAGCACATGCCTGTGCCTGGGCCTCCCCCGGCTGCCGCGCCGGGCGCCGCTGCCGCCCCGGGTGCTGCCACTGCCGGGCCCTCTCAGGCCGCGCCTTCCTCCCCCGGCCGCGCCGACTCCTACGCCGAAGCAGTGCGCCGCTAGGAAGTCTCCAGCCGCCTATCGCTGCGTATATTGTCCTGGAATGTCAATGGCTTACATGCTAGCAAAATATCCTTGTGGGACACGGCAGCCTATCTTGACCAGTTCGATATTGTACTTCTGACTGAGGCCCGTTGCTTGACCTGGGATGACTCGATCTTGCCTCACCACTCTGTGACTTTCACGGCTGCTAGTGAAGAGGGCAAGGCGGGTGAAGGCATTGTTGTTGCGGTTCGGAAGCACCGTGATTACCACGCACAAGACTGGGTGTCAGACACTGACAGTGCCTTATGGGTGAAAGTGCAGTTTGAGGGGGACTCTACACCGCTGCTGATTGGCTCCAGCTATGTGCCTCCAGCGGGTTCCCGGCAATTGCAGACTGTGGACCTGACCAGTCGATTTACGGGCTTATGTGCAGAAGTTGTTGCCGCTCGTGCTCAGGGCAATGTGATCCTGGCAGGAGACTTCAATGCTCGTGTGTCAAATTTGCCTGACGCTGATGACAGCAATACTCGAGGCTGCACTGATGAAGGTGTCAATGCTCATGGGCTGCGCCTGTTAGATTTTTGCAAGGAAACTGACATGCTCATATGCTCTGGCAGAGTGCTAGGAGACCTTGAAGCAGTGCCTACCTTTAAGGCCAGAACCCATACTCAGGCAACTAGACCTGATCATGTTCTCGTTTCCGCTGATGCGCTCCCCTTGATTTCTCATCTTGTTGTGAACACTGGTAGAAAAGACTCTGATCATCATCCTATTGAGATGACGTTGCAAGTGAATGTGGCTGCCAGTGTTCCCTTACCATGTATTGGGGCGCCATTGTCACGAGTGAAATGGCAGCCCAGTGCTAGGAATGCGTATGCTGCTGTTTTGCGCAATGTTGCCAGTGCAAGTCTTGACGCCTGCACAGGCCATGCTGTGGCTGGGGAACTTGATGCAGCCTTTCAGACCCTGGAGGCGGGGATCCGGGAGGCCGCCGCCGCGAACAGCATGCCGGCCCGCACCGGGCGCCATCAGCGCAAGGCGCGTGCCGACGCGCCCTTCTTCGATTCGGAGTGCCGCCAGCTTAAACGGGACGTCCGCGCCCGCGCGCGGTGCGGGGGCGATCCAGCCGAAGTGCGCGCGCTGGAGCGTGCCTACCACAACACCGTCCGCCACAAACGGCGCGCTCACCGGCTCGCGCAACTGCGCCGCCTGCTTGATGATTTGCACAGTGACCCCCGAGCCTTCTGGAAGCGGCTCAAGTCTCAGCAGTCTGATATACCTGAGCAGCTCAAGCCAGTGCAATTGTGGGCTGGCTATCTCAAGCGGGTTGCAAACTTGCAGTTGCCACTCATTGCTGAGCTGCCCCACTTGTCTTTCCCTGTCCAGCCCAGTGCTCCTGTTGCCCATGTTGATGCTCTCAATGCACCCATCTCTCTTGGGGAGGTGCTTGCTGGGCTCAAAAGTTTACACAATGGTCGTGCCACCGGAGTGCAAGGTTTACCAGCTGAGCTGTTTCGGTATGCAAAAGATGAGCGGGCGCCAGGCATGCCTCCTCCGGAAAATGTCCTGGCGCATGCTTTGGTGGCTGTGCTGAACTCTGCATTTGTGGCTGGGCAAGTGCCACCCTCTGTGAATGGTAGCCTGATCACCCCTGTGCACAAGAAAGGCAGCAAGCTTGACATGCTCAATTATAGACCCATTGCCGTTACTGAGCCCATCATGCGCTTGTATGCTGGCATATTGAATTCTCGTATTCTGAAGTACACAGAGGGGGCTGGATTGCGTGCAGCCACACAGGCTGGCTTTAGGCCAAAACTGTCTACGGCCCACCAGCTATTCACCTTGCAGCATTTTATCGACCGGCAAAACCATGCTAAGCAGCCCTTGTATTGTTGCTTTCTTGATCTGAAGGGTGCTTATGACAGAGTGAATCGGGTGTTGCTCTGGGAGAGTCTGCGTCGCCTGGGCATTGATGGCCACCTGCTCTCTGCCATTCAGTCTTTGTATGCCAATTCTACGGTTGCCATTAAGATTGGGAGCAGGAAGGGTCCTAGTTTGCCCTCTGAGACAGGATTGAAGCAGGGTTGCCCCCTTAGCCCAACGCTGTTTGGCTTGTTTGCAGATGGCCTGCACAGGCACTTGCTGCAGAGGTGCCCTGGGGTTGGCCCGCAGTTGCGTCCTGGCAGTTGTGTACCAGATCTAGGCTATGCCGATGACTTTGCTTTGCTCGCCACCACACCTGCTCATTTGCAACGCTTGATTGATGCAGCTGCTGAGTTTTGTGAACAAACGGGAATGGTCATCAGTGTTGACAAAACAAAGATTGTGGTGTTCTCTTCAAGTTTGCCAGGACCTTTTCAATGGCTTTGTGGTGGTGCGCCTTTACATTGGGTTCAGCAGTTTGAGTACCTGGGTGCCCTTTTTGACGGTGCCCAAGGCATTAATCTCACCTTTGGCAAGCTTCACAGGAACATGTGGGGTGTGTGGGCACAGCTCAAGCAGCAATATGGGAAGTTGCATTGCAGCATGTCAGCTGGCCTGTTGTTGCGCCTATATGATGCATGTGTGCCGCCGACTGCCTCCTACGGTTGTGAGGTGTGGGGCCTGCGCAGCCTTCCTGGTGGCGACAGCCGGCGGGGCCGGGCTGCCTTGGCCTCCTCTCACCTGAAAATTCTGAGAGACATTGCTGGCGTCCCCACCTCTGTGCATGGTGCCATCTTGCTTAAGGAGTTGAATCAGCAGACCCTTGATTGTGTGTGGTGGCGGCGCATTATCAAGTTCTGGAACAATTTGGCTGCCTTGCCTGCAAATAATTTTCACAGGCAAGTGGCCCTTGATGATTGTTGGGATGCCATAACCCGTAATGTTAAGAATTGGGCTTGGGCCTTCATGCGGGGCTTGCGCCGAATTGGGTATGAGTTTGTTATTCGGTTTGACACCCTTGTTCCTGTGGAAGTTGATGCTGTGATGCAGCTGCTAGATGCGCAAGCACTGCAGGTTTGGGATGACATTGACATTTGCCCTAGGACCTGCCCGTCCAGCAATGCCACCTTGTGTACATATCACAGATGGTTTGCTAGGCCAGCTTGTGTGCGCCACCCTTGCCAGCTCTTACAGCAGCCTTTGAGTGCCCGTTGCTTGCGTATACTGTTGAAGTTCAGGATGGGTTGTCATAGTCTGCCCAATGTCTCGGGCCGCTGGGCAAGGATTCCCCGGCCCCAGCGTTTGTGCATGCGTTGTGCCCAGCAGGTTATTGGGGATGAGCGCCACCTTGTGTTTGAGTGCCCTGCCTTGCAATCTGTTCGGGACAGATATCCTGGGCTGTTTGGTGCAGCCATTGTGACGATGCAGCAATTCATGTGGCAGTTGGACATTGTTGGTGTTGCACATTTTGTGATGGATTGTTTTGATTATTTGGATGCTGCCAGTTCATCCAATCAGCCCTAGGCGGCTGGAGTGATGTAATCTTCCTTCCTTCCTTCCTTCCAGGTGAGCAGGTTGCCATGTAGAAGAGAGTCGGTCTAGATTTTGAACAGTTTCAGGATCCTGATGATCATGCATGCGTTTCATATCAGCGTTTCATCACATGAGCATTTCAGGGCTGTCGACAGGAGCGCTCCGAGCCTAGTCTAGCTAGAGTCTAGTCTGCCAGTGAGGCCTCTGCCGAGAGGCCAGCAGGTCAGGGTTCAAGTTTCAATTTTTGAAAGCTTTCATATGATTCATTGAATGTATGCTTTGTGTCAAAAGCTGGGCCAACACGCGGTGTAATAGAAGCCCTGCCATTAACCGTGCACGTGCAAGTGATTAATATGGCGCTGTTCAACATCACGGCTTCATTAATTGACCATGATCGGCTGTTGGTGATGCTAGTCCTTATGCTTATATCTGAAGCTGCATGCAGTGGTCAACTGTGCCGTGTGGCAATCTAAAGCTACTGTCACATGCGCATGCAAAGCTTCCAATACTGGCAAAACTCTTTATGATATTACACTCCTTTCTTGCCAGCGGGCAACGTGCATCTGCAGACAAGCTGCAGGAAAAGGCTGCCATATATCCTACTTCTTGATGGACCCGTCATATTCAAGCATGACCTAAACAAACCTTGGGCACAACGCCAAGAATTTGCACTGCTCCCGGCCATCTGGGGCCTGGCAATTCTGGCTCAGAAAATTGTTTGCACAATGTGCGAGACATGGAAAGTCCAGCGGCAAGAGTATCCTTTATTGTCCTAACACCGTTGAAACCTAGACAATATAATCGGAGAGTGAGACAAGCTGCTCAGCTGCACATGTGGTGAATTTGTTGCTTTGCCTAACCTATGCATGCTTTTGCCAGTGCCTCACGTTTCCCTAGCTAGCCCTTGAAAGGAATACTTCACAGGCATCCAACAACATGACGCCGATCCTTACAGCAGAGAATATAAGCTTAGATGCTTTGAATGCGTGGACGCGTCTTTTGGAACCCAGCAGAACATCCAGAACTCTCAGATTCCCAAGGGTGGAAACGCGAGGCACCAAAAGTCCTGTTCAAGCCCAAGAGTGCGGGAGACATGAACCCATACAATATACTGCTATCTGATTCTGACTGAGCACTGAAAGTCCAGAACAGCTGCCAAGACAGGCTGCCTCATCTTCTTTGCAGTGACTGTATTCTGCTAACAGCTCTGCTCGCACGAATCAAGGGGTATTGACTTCATGCCGTCGTGAGCTCCAAAGCAGGAAGTGCGGCCTTCATCATCTTGCTGGCTTCCCGGAATGTTCTCTCAGCATTGTCTGGGTTGTTCAGAGGGTTTGCGCATGTGAACCTGCATTGCAACAGATGCATGCAATTAAGCAGACTGGAATAGACAGGGACCTAGTGAATACTGCCACACAGGATCATATAAGGACGGTCTTGTGCGACACAGCACCTGAAGGGTCGGCCTTCAAATTGCCCATCATGGACAAAATGGTCCCAAATCTGCTCATCCGTCATTGTTCCAGGCAGGTCGCGGCTCCTGGCACGGTACAGGTTGAAGTCAAAGCAGGAGTTGCCCCGCAGCAGCATGGTGATTGCTCTGCCAAGCCGGAAGCTCATGCGCTTCTTGTCATAAACATTTGCATTGGCAGCTCCCTCAGCAACCTGCAGCAAACCAAAGACCATACTCAGTACTTTGTCACAACTATTCATGCATGTCATTGGAAGCCAGGACAAGAATGTCAGCAACTTTGGAACACAGAATGCTCACATTGCTGGACAGCCATCGGTCATAGGTGCTGGCCATCTGCGCTGACAGCCATCCGCCTTGCATCTGGAATCCCTTGACCTTCACAAAGAGGACCTCCAAGGGATTGAGCACCAGGCCGTCGTATGCAAACTCCGCATATGGATTCAGCCTGCACAGGGCAGACAATCAATTGTGGCATTGACATGTGCGGCATCCAACATTGACATCTTCAGGGCAGGGTATGAAATATGGGTACAATATAGGTCTGAAGCAGCCTCACCCGGCGTTACAGTTCCAGTTGCTGGTGTTTGTCCAGTCCACATGCTGGTACTTGGACATGAGCGAGTCGATGGTGTATCCCTGATCCAAGATGACGCGTGACGCCCCCACTTCGGCATGGTATATGGTGTCAGCCATGTTGCCGTAGCAGGCAAAGACGCGCCCATCATCTTGCAAGGCCTTCAGCCCAACCTGCAGTCACAAGAAAATGTCAAGCAGCCATGCATGAGGAAATTGGCAATCACCTATGTCCTCACGCATGCAATTGGATGGTGGTCTGACCTGGTCTGTGGCCATGACATAAGACTGGACATGTGCGTTCTGCCGCTTCTCATTTGCAGTGTTGCCTCCCTCCCAGGCTGGCTCACAGCTGATGGTGCTGCCTACAAGCTTGACTGTGCTGCTGAGCCGTAGGGTTAGCAGCTTGCTCCAGTGCAGTCCAAGCTGTCAGCAGCATGCATGCATGTCAGGCATTGCAGCAGTTCTGAAAGTGCTTGTCCAATGGTATACAAGATGTAGCAGAGATGCATGTATGCGAAATGATTGGGTGGATACTTACAGGGAAGTAGGGCGGGAGGAACGGTCCCCGCACTGAGGAATTCATGAAGATGATGCTGTTGTAGAGCGACGCATTGACTTTGCCCTCGTCAAAGACCCAGCCAAAAGTTCCCCAGTCATAGCACTTGTTCTCATGGAACACGTAGCGCGCACTGCGGGGGAGTTGTGGCAGGGTCGCTGAGCTGAACAATGCTGTGTCCTGCAGCCACCAAACAAGGAATGCATAGTTCATGCAATGGCTTCAGACATCCTACCAAGCTGAACAGGGTGCATGCATGCATGCAGATCAATGAGCATCCTGAGAATGCATCTCATCAGCAGGAGATCCTACCTGCTGGACCACAATGATGTAGTCACATCCATCGCCTTCCCACATGCCATTGCGGACAAAGAACTGCAGGTTGCGAGCATATTCCGTGTCGCTGTCTGAATAGACATAGATGACAAGCGTGTCTGACAGGCGGCCATCCGGAAGCAGTTCGTCAAGCTTCTCATAAAGTCCTCGCATGCGGACATTGGTGCGGAGTGGCCTGCGCAAAATATGAGATCATCAGATTGCCTGCCAGTACTATTACAAGCTGGGCATGTGCAGGCCTATCTCATGCCATGCAGGCCTCAGAAATGCGTTGGGATCACCAAAGATGGGGCAACAGGTGACATCATGTGAAGAAATTTGCCATCACCTTGTTGGGAACAAGAAGGACAGGGACACCATGAGTCCCAGAATCAGGCTGGTCCAGAGCAGCAGCTTTGCTACACTGGAAGAGCCCAGGAGTGGGAGATTGAAAAGACCAGAACTCGCTGAGCTGGAGCGCCGAAGATGCTGCTTTCCTGGCCGTCGCTCCAGATCAGTGAGGTCCAGTCTTGGTGGCCAGCGTGTATTGCGTTCAGAGTGACCCTCCATCGGAGTGTCAGCTGACCTGTATGTGAAGCAATCCAGCTGTCAGTGGCGTATATAGGATGGATGCATCCGCAAGGAGCAGCAAGGTAGACGTCGCACATGCTTTCTTGGACACAATTTGCAGAGTTCAGAATATATAAAAGGCAAGCAATGCTGGCTGCTTTGCATTGCATCAAGGCTCTAGAATAATTGATCTCACCTTGGGATGCCCTCCTCAAGATCCCTCTTCCGTCCCTGATTCGCAGGACTCTGCTCTAACATATGATTGTCCAGTACCTCTTCCTCCAGCATCGTTGCGGATCTTGTTCGCTGTCAAGTACAAACAAAATATCAAATGAGACGCAGAGCCTGAGCTTCACCTCATTTAAGCGGTTCACCAGCGTTGACCTGTACCGGCTTGACTTGCTCCATTGGAAGAGAAGTACAGACGTGCGAGAGAGGTGGCATCTCAGACGCGGGGAAGCTCACCTTCTGAGGAGTGAATGTTCCATCACGGCTAGGAAATGTAAAAGCAAGGGATGAAGTCATGCGTCCCCGCACGCAGCCGGCTCAGTCAAAGCCGGCAGTTTCCTTTTCAGCGACTGTTATACAGCGGTGCTTGGCTGTGAAGGAGGCACTTGCAGTGCATCAAATCACATCCTTGGATTCTGGGAACAACAAGATTCTGGATCATCCAAGTGTGCTGAGTTTCCGCAGGAGGATACTTGCTGCAGTGTGTGATAGGGTCAACCCCTAGATTATGTTAGCATGCATAGGGTTTCAGGAAGGAGCAAGTAATGGACATTTGGTGTAGGAACGGAGATCTAGAGGACGATCATCTCGTACTGCTGCTACAAAAACAGAATAAAAGAGCAGATTAAGTTCATCCAGTACTGGCTCTTGCAAAATCAAACTCCATGATCACCGCCCATGGACAGAAGACTGCGTTGAAGATTTTGACTCAATCTTCCTTTTTGGCCGGCTGTCATCAGCAGGTGCAATTGTTCCTGCGTACTCTGACCTCTGGTGCCACTGGGAAGGTCCCGCAGGTGAACGCAAAATCCACATGGCTGGCTATCAATGCCCTGTCAGTATGTTGTTCTGAAATAGTTGATCGGCCCATTAATGTCACTGTCCTCAATGATGACAATTTCGATCTCATGGCAATGTTGACGCCAAATTCATGGTGCTCCCGCAGACCGGAGCAGCAGAGTCAGTACACTCTCCTGGTCAGCTCTTGTACAACAGATTCAGCCACACATGGGGTCCCTGTCAAGGACTTCAGATGGTAGGCACCCAGTTAAAGCAGAATGGCGCACTCCATGCAGTTCTGTCAGCGAGGTGGTTTTCCGGCTCCAAGCTGAAGCCCAAACACGTGGGTGGAAAGCTGAAGGTGTACTCTTCCTTCAAGGAGAGATTTAAGCTCACAGGCACAGGAAGGGTGAAGTACATGCCTCCAGGCCACAGGCATAGGCGGAGCCGGAAGTCAGCTGATCAGAATAGGCAGCTTCGCAAGAGCTCAATGCTCTTCAGCACATATGCAAAGACCATGAAAAAGCTCGGGTTTCGCATGACCAGTTACTGAGGCACCTGTGCCTGTGCTGTGCGTCATGACAAAATGGCCGAGACATGTGTACACTGTGACCTCTGCTGCATTGAGCTGTAAACAGTAAGTATTTGCACTAGTCAATCTGGCAAATCTCACTGCACAGGTGAAGTTTGGACGTGATCATGCAATCACTGCAACATAGCAGGGCGCACTGCTTGAGCAACGAATTATGTCCTAATTGAAATGACGCAATTTCTCGTATGATAACATTTTCAAATTGTCTGGATCAGAGCAATGATAAGCCGAATGGTTCAATACAGCTGTCATGACCACTGATCTTGAGCATGCTTTTATGTAAGTATGTCTTCATCAATGGGCCCATCTTGAGGAATAAGTTACACGTATCCATGTATATACTGAGGACATCCTACGTTGCATTGTTGATAATCAGCTAGATGAATTCTACTTGACAAAGCTACTTATAGAAGATCTTAGTAAGAGCTCAACCTTCAAGGCTTCCATGCAATGGCTAGTAGCAGTACCCCCTGCATGCATCTGTCTCTACAGAAGATGAGGCAGAAGCTCTTAGAGCAGTTCCAACAGTATATGGCTGGGCAATGAATTCTTCTAATGGCACCACAATATATACCTGTATGAAAGAATAACTTCATATGCCGAAGTCCTCCTCTAGCATGCGCATCCCATGGGAAGCTGGCTAATCTTCATACCTACTTGAATTGAAAAATACTGCAGAGGAGTGGCAACATTATATGGTGCACTTCAATCACTAAAAGAAAGAAATATACCTCGCCGTAGAAAGGTAAATATACATAGCTATATAGCCTCTAGGTCTGCTATGAAATCTGGATATCTTATAAGTGGTACCACCGGTACCAGAAGCTTTGAGCGCCGTCCAAGGCCAGTGACACTCGGACAAGGACAGAAAAAGAATCAGCCTGCTCTCTTTGGACATGTAAAAGCTGTGCCACGTCAGATATCGCCACGTCATATCCGAACAGCCGCTCGGATGGTACTTTGCAGTCCTGTGAGAGCATAGCCCACAGCAGGCCCAGGATGTCACCAAGTGTATGAGGGAGCGTTCCAGTGCTCCCAAGCTTTGCCACACTCCGGGTACCAGCCCGCAGACCCTGGCCTGAGAACCAGCCAGAGCAGTGTCATCAGCCTCAAGGACATGACACCTTTGCTGTGGCAGCACAGGATCAACTTGCATGCAATACTTCCCATGCCACCATCATGAAGATAGCTTCCCACAGCACACAATGCAGCACACAGGACAGGGGCTGCTAGATGCCGAGTTGCATTTAGTACCCCCTCGACAGGAGTGCAAGGGAGATTTTACCCCCTGCACAGGAAGTTCCAGACGTGTGACTGATCATGCAAATATTGCAGTACTGGTCAGCACCCAGAAGTCTAGGAGTCACCTGAGAGCCGGGGGCAGGTAGACAACGGGATCCACGGTGGCCAGGGGGGCGTCGGCTGCAGTCTCCAGGGGCATGCGCTGCACGGCCTTGCCAAAGCGCTGGTGGCAGTAGCGGTTGAATTTGAACAGGAAGGGCGTCAGGATGAACCACATCAGCGTGGCTTGCACGTACGCCGCGTTCGCCAGGAAGATGCAGCCTGGAAACAACGCCGAAAATAAGCACGAATGAAAGAAAGAGTGTTGAAAAATGTATCGCAGATCATCAGAGAGCGCATCTCAACATGGATTCGAAGCCCACCTGTAAAGAACTCCAGGATGAAGAGGCACCAGCAGAGCTGGTCAAAGATGTTGTCCCAGATGAGCCCGCCGCTCTCAAAGCAGCGCTCGCTCACATACAGCATGTTGTAGCGCCAGAAGATCCTGCCGCCGAGCATGTCACAATGCAAATATTCAAAACCTTCAAATTTCCTGAAACGTGCATTGCAATATGCAACATTTGGCATGTATGATTCAGTCACAGGGTTCCAATATGGAACAGGCAAGATGCATGGTCCAGAGACTTGTGCATTAAAGCGCGTACCAGGTGGTGACAAAGTAGGCGAGGGCGAAGGGCAGGATGATGGGGGACGTGGCGGCGTAGGAGAGGCCCATGATGAAGATGAGCATGGTGGTGCCCACTTCGCGGCCATAGCGCACGCTGTGAGGCCACACCGCCGCCATGTGCTGACGCTCGTGCACCGGCTCTGCGCAGCAGCACAGCCAGTCAGCTTTAAATCAGCGCTAGGCACATTACAGGCCTGCAATCCTCTCAAAATGTCGGAAGATATCTGAAATGTGTGAGGGCATCAAGAACTGATGATATCAGGAGAAGTTGACGACTCACTGCAGTGGCCGCAGAGCCGGAAGAGGCCCACCAGGGAGCCAATGTGGGGGTACATCAGCCGGAATGTCTGCATCGCCAGCCCCTGCAACCACCAACAGCCATGTAATTCTCTGGCCCTTATTACACTCAAAAATTGCTATTACATTTCCTCTGCAAGCCACGTCCCAAGAATCATGCCTCCACTGGGCAGCCAACGCTCCCATCTTCCTTTCTATCATTCCTTGGAGCTACTGCAGCCTGCATGTTTTCCACAGCAGCCCATGAGCAGCCCAACAAGCAAGCTATGCCAATGCTGGAGGTGTGATGATGCATGACCACATCACAAATGAGTACTGATGCATCGTTCCCTGGGACCTTGATAGCACCCCAGACCAGCCTGAAGACACTGTTTTCAGCACCACCCACCATATTACAACAAGCTGCAATTCACAAAAGCCTTTCTTTGAGCTTTTGAGCTTTCAAGCTAAAGAAGGAGGCACCTGGATGAGGATGTAGTTGATGAAGAAGTTGGAGGAGGCGGGGAGGGCGCCGCCGATGACGTTGGGGATGATGCTGGGGTTGTTGATGACGATGCCCAGCTGGGAGAAGGCACTCCCGCCCAGCATGGCGCCCAGGAACACGTTCCATGTGGACCAGTAGAAGAAGAGCGAGCAGATGCGCCGGTCCAGGCTCGACAGGCTCGGCCACTTGCCCTCCATCAGTGCAAACCTGGCCCCCGCGCAGATGAGCTTTGAGTGATACCTCCGAGAATGTGCAAGTGCAACGGCTTTGTGTACTGTAGCATGTGCATCAACGGGGCCTTGTGATTGGAGCCTTAGCAACGCCATGGCCAGCAGGGAGTGACACAACAGAAGATTCACACGTTTTGCATCTTGGGGGCACGAGTGACATGCATGCATGACTGGGCCTCAGAACGCCCAACGTTCACATGCCTGAGAGATTAGGTCCCTGCTTTTACCATCAGGTGCCTTTGGATGTAGCAGGTCAAGCTGGCAGCTGAGGGTCCAGTGGGAAGAGAGGGGAGGTGTACCGGTAAAGGGCGTTGGGCATGATGAGGTTCTGCCAGAGCATGAGGAGGATGGTGGGCAGGATGGAGGTGATGATGGAGCGACCCAGGGAGCGGCGCTGGCAGTACCACTCGCTGTACAGGATGTTGGACGTGCTCGTGTTGCCGCAGATTGCCACCGTCGCCTGCGCCACCGCGCCTGTGCAGCCCGGAAATATAGTCAGGGGAGCGCTAAATGCCATATGTCACGCATGCACGACCTTTTCAGCGATGCGCATTTGCATGCTGGACTCTATTATGGGGATGGCTTGTAGTGCGGTGACAGATCTTCTTTTTGGGCGCCAAGAGCAGGTCTGCAAAAGCCATGCTGGGCGAAAAAAGACTGGAGTGCACCTGAGAAGAGGCCGATCGGCACGAGCATGATGCCGACAATGAGAGGCAGCACCAGGATCTCCCGCAGCTCCCTCTCGCGCCAGCTCATCCACAGCGTCGGCCAATTCACCTGCGCGCACGCAGCAGTCCCGCTTGAACACCACAAGCGTGCCATTGGTGTCTCAGCAAAGACCTCGTACCCCAAAAGAGCTTTCTTAGCCTGATTCAAACTTGCCTCATGCACACAGAACCAAAAGATTGGTGTGCAGATTGACATCCAAACATGTCATCTTCCGGGGATGAAGTGGCGGCGCATGGGCACCTCCTCAGGCCCAGGGGCCTCGGTGACGCGGAAGGAGTTGCCGTCCTCGGGGTGCAGGTTGGCCTGCGCGGCGATGGCGGCGTCCTTCTGGCTGCTGAAGAACACGAAGAAGCTGGCGCAGGGGGGCGCTTCCAGCGCACGCTGCCGCGCCGCCACTATGTCCGCCTCCAGCTGCCGCACCCTGCCCGCCCAGTAGTCGATGCTGTCCACCTTTGCACCTGTGTCCAGCATAAACTTTGGATTTCAGGAACGAGTTGCATATTTAGTAATGATTTTCCACCCCAGCTGAAGGCCACAATTTCCATGGCTGGGCATCCATGCCCAGGTGAAGTTAATAGTCAAGGAATGATCCACTGCCCGAGATACGGTCTCAATTGCCATGCTCGGTACAAGCAATAGATATACTATAGTCGTGCCTGACAAGCGCGCAGGATAGTTTGGTAAATGTTGGGATTGCTATGAGGAGGTGGAGGGCTCACCGAAGCAGCCACAGCAGCCCAGGCGGTGCGTGGGCCGTTTCTCACGCAGGCTCTGCTCATACCTGGCCTCCGCCTGGGCCAGTGACTCCCACGCCTTGTCCCACTGCTGCAGAAGCAGATCCACCTCCTGCAACCAGCCGTACAACACTGCGTTTCAGCTGTAGAGACAACGCTCATTGGACTCTTCCGCTCGTTGTGTATCCCCTTCAAAGAGGCCCTTTCATCCAAGAAAGGCGTTGTCCTTTGTCTGGCGGAAATCGGTTTATTCGAAAAGTGGCAGGCATGGAGAAGAAGCAACGGCCACGAGAGGCGTGCATGAAGCCAGCCTACCTTGTGCTTGTGCACGGGAAGAACTCCTTGGAAGGAGTCCGGGAAGAGGTTCTGGAAGGTGTCAACCACCAGATCATGAGCATTCAGGAGCTTGTGCTCATCCACCTTATCCTCATCCTCCTGCGGGCATCATGAGATTCCTCAGAAAGGGCGTCCCTAGACTCCCTGGCTGATATTAGGCTGGACAAACCAGTAACCTTTCACGCAGATTGCCAAAGCTGCCAAATATGCTGGAAGCAGTGACTCCAACTGGTGATGAGGCATACTGGGCAATGAGAGAGATGAGACACCATGTCGCCATTACCGGATATTGGGAATACGCGCGAAGTGCACACCTCTGCTGCCTGCTGCTCGGGCTCGACGCTGTCGGACAGGTTGGAGACTTGGAGGGAGGGTCTCATGAAGGGGCTGACAATGGGAACTGAGTCCGATGCCACAGGCGCAGCCGTAGTCCCAAACTGCACACCCCAAAACACAGTCTCAGTCATGCATATCACCTCACACACGCCTTCTTCACACAATCATGTTCTTATTACAC